TATTCTCTAACAAACCACCTAGATAGCATCTAGGCACCCCGATTTTGGTAGTAATCGTAAGAAAAATAGTGAGTTAACCCCTACTCAACGTTAAGCTATTATATATGCTATTAGAAAGGGTAATATTTCACGTGCTTAGCTAGCACAGGATTTTAGGTGCTCGGTTAAGACTATATATAATATCTTTAAACGCTACCAAAACGACTATACCTTCGATTCAGCGCCTCGTTTAGGTAGGCCTAGGAAGCTTAGTAGGCGTAATTACACCTTCCTATATTTACAAGGTCGCCGGTATCCTTTTTAGACCTATAAATAGCTATTAGCCTGCTTACCTAGTTATCCTTCTCGGTTAATAATTTATCGAGTTCTTCGCTAATTCCGACTTGCTAAACGTTTATCAAAAAAGAAGATTCCTTTAGGGCTTCAGACTACTTTAAAACGACGATATTTTATATTAAAATAGCGGAAGATAACTAATACTTCAAGGGTTGAAAAATAGATATTTTTACATAAGTGTTCTATTCAAAGAACGTCGAATTCTAGGCCTAAATAGTGCTAGAGATTTGCTTCTAAGGCCTATAGGCGTGATCTTATTAACAAGCAGGTTTATATTAAAGATATTTCATAGATAGTTTAGGGTGCTATCTAGCTTAGTAGTCGATCGAAGCTTGTTATAATAGAACGAGAGGAATCTAACGGTCGGAAGCGAGGTTATATAATAAAATCCTATCTAGAAGCGTTAGAAGAAGGTCTTCTACCTATATATAGGCCGGGGATTATATTCTAATAAGATAATACTAGGATTTATATTGCAAAGCTAATATAAGAGTAGTTTGAAAGACATAGAATTTAGGTAGAAGATTAGCCTCCGTACTTACCTAATTTAAACCCGATAGAACCTATTTAGAGATAGTTAAAACTGAAGCTTTTTGAGTTATATCCTAAGCTTATAGATATAGGAAAGTCTAAGGAGGATTAGCGCTATTTTAGAAGATATATTATAGAAGCTTAGGAGGCATTAGAACAGAGGAAGATAGATAGGTTGATTTTAGGGATAGGAAGAAGACTAGAAGCTGTACGGAGGGTTAAGGGTTATTATACAAAATATTAGTGGTTACTAAGCGAGTCTAACCCTACCCGAATTTAAAACTTTTTACTAGAACTATATATCTAGAAAGATGGTGGTGTGGTATGTAGTGTAACAGATATATATTTTTGATGTTGGGGTGATGGAAGTGGGGATCGGAACAGACTTTTGAAACGTTATGTATATTTAAAAGAGAGCTTAGATACTAAGTATTACTAAGGATTATAGGGTAATATAGAGATATATATTATATATATCTCTACTATATTCGATTCAACTTACCTACTTACTAATAAGTAATACTTAAAAAAATTATAGAACATAGATCTCCTTAGTAATTAAGAAAGAAGAAGAGATTCTAAATTAAATTTCAAAATAATTTTGTAAATTTACCTAGGCCCTAGCAGGTTCTAATAGTATTCGTGAAGGTATAACTAGAATAGATATAAAAAATAGTATTTAATTCTGATAAATAAGCTATTTTATAAACGCTAAGACCTTGATTTTATATAAAAATAGGCTTTTATAGGCTTTCATAGGCCCGGAGCCTAGGCCTATAGTAGGCTTTGGGTTAGGCTCGGGCCCGGGGGGTTAGGCCGTAGGCCCGGTCCCCAGGCCTAAACGTAGGCTTTGGCGATATCTAATCCTAATTAGGAAAAGCGTCTAAATTTTATAAAAATAAGGGTCGCTAAGGGTCGCTAAGGGTAAGCCGTATAACTGTAGGCGAGGGTCGCGGGTCGGGTAACCCTTATAAGGTTTAGACCCGACCCTCGCGAGGATCGGGTCGAGGGTCTGAGTCTTAGACCCTCGCGAGGGTCGTGCCGAGGTCTACTTCTCTCACCTCACCTCTTCTCTCACCACTCTATCTCCATCTCCTCCCCCACCTCCATCTCCTCCCCCTCCATCGACAACGTCAAGGCCAAGATCCAGGACAAGGAGGGCATTCCCCCAGACTAGCAGCGTATGATCTTCGCCGGCAAGCAGCTCGAGGGATAGCCGCACCCTCTCCGACTATAACATCCACGAGGAGTCTACTCTTCACTTGCTGCTGCTCCTGCGTTTTTCTACTAGTATGCAAATCTTTGTTCGGACTTTGGATCTCCTCCCTCTCTATCTCTGTTAACCACTATTAGTGCCTTACACCGCCCCCCAACCCTTCCGGGTTGTGGGTGCGCCACACAGTAACCCAACTTCACACAGTAACCCAACATTTTCCTAAACACCCTATTTTTTACTTCTCTATCCAATACCACCATCAAAATATGCCTAAATTCGATGAAGCCCGTATAGCTGAGGCCTGCCTAGCAGCATCACGCGTTGCGAAGCCAAATATCGCCCGTTTAGCACGCGAATATGGCGTTAATAAACATACGTTATACGATCGCATTAAACGTGGAACAGGGCCTAGGAATGCTAAAAAGGGGGTTGGCTATGCCCTAGAACCCTATCAAGAAGAAGCCTTGATTCGCTGGATTCAACATATGAACGATTGCTATATGCCTATCACTCCTAGGATACTAGAAGCGTGGGCGAATCGTGTATGCTAACGCGTCGGGAAGCCGTCGGTTAGCAAGATGTGGGCGTATCGCTTTATTAATAGGCTTCCTAAACATCTTCAATTAGGGCCTACTAAGCAGTATACGAAGGAATCAAAGCGAATACTAGCAGAAGATCCAGCAGCATTACAGCACTAGTACGATCTACTAGCCTAAACGATCAAGAAGATAACGCCTACACGTCTAGTCTATAACTTTGATAAATACGGCTTTCAACTAGGCGAAGGAAGGTCTAGAAACGTTATATCTACTACTACTACTACTAGTAGTAGTAGTAGGAAGGTAGTAGACCTTCCTTAGCTAGACCAAGGCGAAAATATTACGTCTATCGAGTGTATAGCTGCCGACGGGTAGCAGTTAGAACCCTGGTTTATCTTTAAAGGTAATAGTATCTTTATAGAATCTTAGTTTAATCAAACAGACGACCTACTAACAAGAACTACTATTACTATATCGCTAAACGGTTAGATAACCGATAGTATAGCAGTTCAATAGCTTCGATTCTTTATAGAATTAATATACGACTATACGAAATCAGGTAAAAAACGTATCCTAATATTCGACGGTCACGGTTCGTATCTTATATTCAAATTCCTACACCTTTACGAAGAGAACAATATCCTACCTATAGGATTCCTACTATATACTACATATCTTTGCTAGCCGCTAGACGGTAAACCGTTTCTAAGCTATAAGCAACACTTCCGCTTAGCGAATAACGACTACGCGTTTTAGGGTAGAAGCCCTATCGGAAGATCAGATTTTCTTCGAATAATCGGTGATATTCGGAATAGAGCGTTTAGCTAGCGAATTATTCGTGAATCGTTTAAAGATCGAGGAATCTATCTAGTCGATAGTAGAAAGGTTATTAATAGCCTTCCTATCCAAGATTACCTAGATCTTACAGCGCTAGATCTACAACCGCTTTATATAATACCTTCACTACTACCTATATCTTCTTCTAGTATCGACTAATCGCCGCCTAGATCTATACAGGATCTAGAGAAGAATCAAAAGAAGATTGCTAGATATCAACAAGAAGATCTTACACCTAGGCAGCAACGCAATCTTGACCGGTTATTTTATCATAACAAGATTGCTATAGAGAACCTAAATCTAGCGAACGATACTATTCGCAAGATTAGGGAAGCTCAACAACCACTACAGCGCCCAATCACCAAGCGCTAGGTTAAAACACCGCTTAGCAAAACAGGGGTACTCTCTATTAGAGATGCAAATCGTTCTATTGCTAAAAGAAATGAGAAGGAAACAGAGGCAGAGCGGAAGCGGGTAAGGAAGCAGTGGAAGAAAGCGTATAGAACATCACCACCACCAGAACCTACACAGGAATCCCAGGCATCGTTAGATAGAGCAGAGGAAGCACGTCAGAACAGGCAGGGTTTCTTTTTAGATACTAGTAGGATGCAGTAGTAGATAGGGGAAATAGGAAAAATGTTGGGTTACTGTGTGAAGTTGGGTTACTGTGTGGCGCACCCACAACCCGGAAGGGTTGGGGGGCGGTGTAAGGCACTAATACCTGTATCCATATACGGTCAGCACCCTCCACGCCTGAATCCCCTCCCCTCTCCTAAAAACAAAACAAGCTCACCGAGATTCTGACCGTGGTCAGAATTCGAGGGTCGTCGGCGGCCTGGAACGTACAAGTCGAAAAGATTTTGACCGGGGTCAGAAATCCGCGCGCCTCCGTTTCGGCCGTTGCGGGATTCCTCGTGATAGTTATATAGATAGAGTGTTACAAATCCGGCAGGTGCAGTGTGAAGCGGCGGAGGTTACTAGCACGTGTTTATTTTCAAACTTGGCCTATCTAGTCAAATCAAAGTAGGCTTAATACACTTCTAAGCGAACTGATAACCACGGTACTCTCTGGAGTTAGAATGTGACTTGCTCAGAGCAACAATTACGCTCTTGTGCCTTGTATTCTCGCTGGTGTTCACTCGCGGTTTCCTCTCCCTCTTCTCCTCATTCCTCTCACCACTCACCTTCGATCCATCTCAGAGCTTCCTGTGTGTTTAATGAATAAAGCTATTTGTTCAACTCTTTTGTCCCCTCTCCAAGCCTTGTTCTGCCAAAGTTCCTCTCCCTTTCGCTTGGTACACCAGCTCTCGTAGAGAGCTGGTATTCCCTTGTTTCCCTTCTCCCTTTTATCTCATACTCCATTTCCGAGCTCCTGGTTGCGGTTTTCGTCAGCTCCGTAAGACCTGTCTGGGTTTCGAGTGTTCAAGTGAGACTTACTAACTTATTTGGCACACACAAAATCGAAACTGAACTGCTGGAGGCTCAACCAAAAGCCTCTATCGTTCAATTTCAAGTCCTGGTCTGAATAAACCCATTTCATCATGAATGACTCGCCACCTTTTACGATCCCCGACAGGGTCTCATCTCTGATGTCGACAGAGCGACATGACAAGATCAAGCAGTATAAAATGCGATCTGTTAGCGTGGCCTCCCGAGTCTCCGAGATCTCTCAAACCGCCGATGACTCGACAGTACCAAAATTCATCTCCGCCAAGATCGATGAGCTCGCAAATGAGACAGAATGGCTTTGTGAAGTAACAGACTCTTGTGCTGATGCCAGAGCTGCCGGGTCGATCAGCCAGGCTGAATACGATGCGAAGGTGGATCCTTTGCTCACAAAATTTCGATCTATGACTTCCATACTCGCCAGCCTTAGGCGCCAACGGAGAGTGCTGAGTGAGGACCTGAAGGATGCCGTGGAAACCCAGAAGCGGCGCAGACATGAGGGGCCACCTGACGCAGGACTTCTCGAGAGAGCCTACGCAGAAGCGATCGTCACACAGATCATGAAAGCTGATGGCAATCTACCCGCATCGCCCTTCAATAAGAGAGAGTTTAAGAGGGCTGTCAATGATTATTATGGCGTTGCTGAATATTCTGATCAGACGTGGTGCCATGTCCTGGGGAGACATCTGGAGCGCAAGTCCGTGAAGGCGGCCCATATAGTGCCCAAATCTATGGACCTATCACAATTAGCACATCTGTTTGGCGACCAAGACGCTGTCACCACGCTTCCTCAAAACGGTAAGGGGACTCTCACACCCAGTCGCATTATAGACCCTAGTTGACGGAATCTTAGGACTCTCCTTGCACCACAAGGTAGAAAATCTACTAGACAAAGGAGATATAGTCATCGTCCCAATGCCTGGCAATCTCACAAGTCCAACGTCATGGAAGTGTCTCGTTATCAACGAAACGATAAAGGAACACACTGTCTATACTTCTGACCGACAGAAAGGGGAGGAAAGAAAAATTATTCGAGTCAAGGTCAGTTTAATAATGAGACGAATATAACGGTCATCCATTAACAAATGGACAGGATCTTGACGGTCGCCAATTGGACTTTTTGTCCGACAATCGCCCACGTCGTCGATACCTCTACCTGCAATTCATCGTCTCATACTTGTGGGCAAAGAAACGTGAACTTCCCAATATAGCTGAAAAGGTCGAGACAAGGAAATTCTGGCCATCTGGCGGTGACTATCTCCGCAAGTCGACCCTTCAAACTATGGCTCGATGCATATCGGGTTGTGAGATTCCGGATAATCTCCTCTCCGGACAAACATTTGAGGAATCCATCGCATCGTCCCAAGATGTTCAAGCAGGCATGCTTCTGGCCGCAGATGTCAAATGTTTACCAATTAGAGATTCTAGTAGGCCTGACCTTATGGGTGCACTATCTACGGCTATTATGAAGAACGGTTAGGGGCCTAGGCTTAAATTGTCTTCTGATTTTCTTTATATTGCTTTCGATTGTTTTCTTCTTCTTTGTATTGCTCTTCCTCGTGAATTTTATTTGTTTAAGTCGACGTTGGCATGCTGAAACTGATCAAGAGAACCTGTTTTTATTATGTATTTCGTCACACAGTGTGGGGCCTACGAGTCTAACACTAATGTGTTGTAGTAACTAACTTGGTAGGATCAATATTCGATTGCTGACGGATCTTCTTTAACATCCTCCTTAGATCCGTGTATAAAAGCACTGTATGAGGACGGGTCGTTGAGTTTATGTTAGAGAATAACTACCTGTATAGGGTAGAAAGCTTGTCGACTAGGTAGGAAGATAGACGTCAAGTAAGGAAGGCAAAACACTGTTTTATGCTATCTCGGATCTCTCTATAATCCTTAATTCATATTGCAGTGGGGAAATGGCCAATACTAGGGAGACCTCTAATTGGAGGATATCTTTGCTAGTACACAGTCTTTACAGAATATAGCTTGCATCTCTGATAGGGAGAGAATCAACTTTCACACTCTCTTCGCTTCATCTGCTTCTGCTTTCCCTTTTGGGAGGCTTCCTCTATCGTGGTTTGGTGTGGTTTGTTGGTCTGTTCGCTGATCCATCTCATCCTGCCTGTTTTCTCAGGCTTGCGGTAGAGCGCCCTGGTTCAGTAGTTAGATGGGTGACCACCGGCGAATCCCTACTGTTATATTTTGTGGCTTTGTTTTCTGTTTTGATTTCTTTTACTCATTTGATTTGGATGCCTGAAGCTATTCTCAGGAGCCTACACAATCATAATATGGTGGGTCACGTGGTGTAGAGCCGTGTAAAAAAGTCACGGGGAGCGTGGTTGCCTGGCAGGGTATTGGGGTACGCAGGCATCTAAGCGCTTGGCAACTTTTCTATGGCGATTATGGGGCCAATACTGTAACTAACATGCTCAAATATACGTAGTATATCTCGCGGAGCCGGGGATTTTTTTATCTTCCGGGTTCGACCCCTAAATGTCCCTCACCCAAATGACCACCCGAAAAGGAAACCACCAGCCTCGTCTGCCACCAAGATATAGCTCCAAGAAAAGAGAAATTGCGATGGCGTCGCTGCTTGACCTCCCCTTGGAACTCCTAGGGCAAATTGTACAAGAAACAATCCCGGTAGACTTCGAAGCCACTGCTCTCTGTTGTAAAACTCTGTTTGCTGCCAGTGCTCCTTTCCAAGCTCGATATAACCAACGGCGCAAACGCTTTCGAGACTTCACTTTCTCGGAAAGAACCCACGAAAAACCCGAAGACGCAGAGGAATCAGAGTCGGAAGAGTATTGGGATGAAATTACTCGAACAACCGGCATCCAGATCACGACGACGCGAGGGCTGTTGGAACAGATTGCTCTCGATCCCACCCTACCGCAATACATACAATCCATTGACTTGAGAGGGGCTGAAGAATCAGAGGGTAGTGATGGTGAGGAAGCATTAAGCTCACTGGAAGGCGAAGTACCCGAGTCTCTGAGGGACCTGGTGTCCACGTCGCCCTTCATTGAAGCCTATGGACGAACTCCCGAGTACTGGATTGAACAAATCCGGTTGTCGACTTATGAAGCGGACGTCTTTCTCCTCACCTTGCTGGCGCATGTTCGTGAAATCTCATTACCCCATCGGTGGGATGACCTTCAACCTGATAGTCACCCGAGGGATAGTGACCGAAGCAACAAACATCTGTGGTCGGTACTCAATGAAATTACGCACCGGGCTAATCACCCCGAGGAGTTTCCTGGTGCGTCGTTGTCCATGTTGTCAGTCCTGCAGCCATCTCGTGAGAGTGGCTACGAAGAGGGGTCTCCCTTGACACCATACGAACCGTTCTTGGCAATCAATTCGGTGTCGGAGGTCAATTTGACCAGCTGCATCTTCAACGATGATGGCTACACTGGAATATCGTTTGACCCGAAGGTGGAATCCTACAGCAAGAGTTTGCGAAAATTGAATTTGACCTCCTGCGTCTCTGGCGCGGCAGAGCTAGAAAAGCTCCTCTCGCGGATACCAAACCTAGAGATCTTGCACTATTCTCACGAAACCAAGTGGCATGGCTGCGGCTACTTTTGGAATATCGGCGGATTCCTAGACACAGTGCAGAAGACTTGCTCGAAGACGCTCAAGAAATTGTCGGTAACAGCAATGACCAAGTGGGGGAATATAGGCCCCACCCTGGAGGATTTGACTCATTTTAAGAAACTGGCAACGCTTGAGTTGGACGTCATTATGCTCTGCGGTCCCTCGTATGATCCGTCTATGAGACTTGAGGAAGGGGATGAAATCGACGCGTCTGGCCCTCCAGCCTGGCCCAAGCTGGGCAATATGCTGCCAGCGTCAATTAAAAGGTTCAATCTATACCTCGACTTATTCGCTGACGATCGTCTGGAGTGCATCTCTCATTTGATCGAGGGCCTTCCGGATGCTCGGGCGGAGAGGCTGCCGCATTTGAAGAAGTTGTTTCTTTATGTTTCTGTGGATTCGGATTCAAAAATTCCGGACGCGGCACGTGAGGTTTTGAATGCTGCTAAGGAAACGGGTTTCTCGATCTTGCAGTTCGGCACGCGCAAGCCGCTTTTGTAAACCTCGCGTTTAGATCATGAGTTATTACATGAATACATGTTCACTTTGTAACATGGAGACTCTAGCTCTCAGTCTGAAGGTCAGCATACTAGTAGCTGCAGGATTCCAGCGTCTTGGTAAAACGGCGTGCCCCATTTGAGGGATAGGACTATGTAATAGGCTAGTATGGTTGAGTATGTATAGATCGCGTGATATTAATACCGCTTATAGCCTACTATACTATTCCCTCGGAAATGGCCGGTTTTTTGAAAAAGTTAGCGTTATGCTTCCAGCTCGGAGAAAAAAAGAGCTTACTGAATATGAAGGACGTATAGTACACACAACCTCGAAAGCTCTATGTCAATCAGCGATTTATTATCAAAAAACTCTTGAGCATACCTTTGACAAGAACGTATCTCCCACAAAAGTCAATCGGAGCAATGCATTGGTACTATTGTGGTGGTATTAGCCTGATCTGTTTTCAATGTTAGCGATTTTCAAAGTCGCGTGGAGAAGAATCAACTTATCATTAGGCTTAATTTGGTTGAGAGAAGGTAGCAGATAATTAATTGATCTTAGAAGAGGGCGACTAATAGGTTTTTATAGCCAACGAGGCAGGTACATCGTGGTTCTTCAGCATCATTGAGACTCGTCTCAATCGGACCTCATATTGAGCATACCGTATCTTTCCAACTATGAACCAATATTGTAACATTGTAACAGCAGGCGAGTCTGGGAAGCTTTGGTGTGTATTGATCCTCCAGAAGCTGCCGGTCCTGCCATTTTACTCCGCAATCCCCATTTTCTCCCTCCATCAGCTTCCGCAGTCCCTCATCACCGTTGAGTTAATGTTGAAGGATCCTTTCAACTGTGAAAATGCAGGGTGGATCTAATAGGTCAGCCTCAACGCTGACCCGCGCGAAATTGCGAACCGCCGTTCCTCGGAATCAAGATAGACAGGTTTGGCGGCTTTCAGTAAGACATTGACCTGGTGTTGTACATGGGTATATATGCGGTGAAGGTCGCTCTAAGCTTTGAACAATTATTAAGAGAACCGTCTTCTTCTAGGCACTTTTGCTCGTTTAACCCATATCCCGGGGACATAAAATGCCCTATATGGTGGAACGTACACTAGGTACCAGCACATTTCAGCGCTATCACTCCTAGGCTAATTGCTAAGTACTTCTCAAACATACTATTGCTTATTTGATACCTCTTTTTGAGCAAAGATTATAGACTACTAATATGCCAGAAGCACACCGAGAAATCCATTGTTTACTACCATAACGTCAAGATTATCCGCCCAAACGTCTGATAGAGATATTAAAAGTAATATTGCAAAGTTTTGTTCATCTCATAACTTAGGTTAGCTTTTTTTCTGATCATAATCGATTTCGGTGGATTTCTTGGTGGCGAAAAGATCTATAGAATCAAATTACCGCTAACGCAAATACTGTAGTAGGGAAATGGCAGACGAGGGGCGATCTCTAATTGGATGATATCTTTCCTAGTACAGACTTTACAGGATATGGCTTCGCATCTCCGATAGGCAGCGAATTAACCTTTACATATATTTCGCTGAAGTAGTATCTGTTTCCTCCCTAAGAGGCTTCCGTCTATCGTGGTGTGGTGTGGTTTGTTGGCTTCTTCGCTGATCCATCTCATCCGGCCTGTATGTCAGGCTTGACGTAGAGCGGCCTGGTTCCATGAGTAGCTCCCGGCTGTGGAGAGTAGCCACGCACTACGAAATTTGTATCTGACCTATTCATGCCTGCCTTTCTAGACAAAAGACCTTTTGCAACTAGAGGACTGAGTTTGGGGCAATAGGCTCTAGCGAGACACCTATCTGGTTGAGTTCCCATGTGTCACTGAATGAATTTAGGGTCAGTTGGCTAACAATTAATAAAACATTATGGAGGAGAAGGTGTACGATTACAATATAAACTTCAAGGAGACAACTTCTCTATATCATAGCCCTCGCCAGCACAGGCTCCTTTTTTCTTCTATTTCCTCGTAAAATACTGTAACCTAGAGTCGAACAACTGCGGCCTCCTTTCCAGATAGTCACTTCCACACGCAGCTTCAACACATCTAGCAAGACTTCCGAAGTAAAAGCTCTTTCCAGTGAGACCTGGGCCGTAATGTGCATATTTCGCCGAGTTAGTTATGATGGCATTTTGAGATTCAGGAATGGTTGGTTCGGTGATCATACACCAACAGGTATCGGTGATGAACTGAACTCCAAATGCTTCTAACTCATCTGTCAAGCCAGTTTTGCAAGCTGAAGTATAAGTCACACGGCCGCATGTCACCATAATGGCGACATTTTTGTCCTTGGTGCGGCCTTTGCAGAGGCTGGCAAGCTTTGTGATTTCAGCTAGTGAGAAGTGCGGATTTCCCAAAGACACCAAGTCAATTGGCTGTTTGTTCGATGCACTATTTAGTGAGTCCCAACTTTCTATCAAATCACCCAGGTGTACGTCGACAGAACGTACATCCGTTCCTTTGCTCAGTGCAGCCTCGAGGGTTGGTGCCTCAGGCGTCACTCCAACCATATGAAACATTGGAGCACTGGATACCGTGGCAAAAGCTGCTCCGAAAGCTTTCAGGTTATCGAACGTCGGACGCAAAGATTCCAGCCCCACCACTACAGGAATCTGGCTTGTTGCCAGATTGCCTACTTGATACCCCAAGAGTGGATAGAAAGAATCATCCACGTTCGCTTTCTCAATCTCGGGAGCCCTCACAATGATCGAGGCTAGTCTGTTGATTTGAACATGCGGTCCTCCATTGGGTGCACGACCAGTTAATGCAATTGAGATGTCAAGGAAGTCAGGATATTTCATTGTTCGAGCTCCGAGCACACTATTCGCATAAACGACCGCATTAGACTCAGCCCAGGCGATTTGATCTCCCAGCTTCGGTGCGGTATCGAGTTGGTATGGTGCGCAGGTAAAAGTTGGTCGCGCCCCCATATCGATGTAGGCATCTGCTAGCTTTCCGGCTGCAATACTGAACTCTTGACTGGCACCTTGGACTTGGCGAAGATTTTTGTCAATAGAGATAGAATTCAGTGATGTTGGTACTCGAACCTTGCCCCCACGATCCCGCAGATTTTCTGCGAAGGCGAGAGAGCCTGGCCCGGTATAGCCGCACCCATCTACATGGACTTGTGTCACATCCATCAACTCTGTGGCCCCGAGAATATTTGCTAATCTTAGCACTATTCTCATTGCGGCACGGGAAGCGTCTCCATATGCACCTTTAAGAAGAGCCTTGTCTAATTCTATGAGATTCATGTCGTTTAAGGAAACTGTTGGCTCAGTTTCGTGAGAACCTAGCAGGGCTTTGGTCATCGCATTAAGGAGCGGCTTCGTTGACACTTGACCATTGGCGACATGAATAAGGCGACCGTTCCTCTTTAAAAGTTCCCGGAAGTCGTTTGGGTCAAGTGTCACCACGGGTATGGCTTTTCCAAAGATCTCTTCGGCAACGATTACTCCGAGAGTTAAAATGTCTTCTCTCCGCTCAAACACCAGGGCTTTGGGTGCTTTATCGCAAAGAATTAGCTCGAGGATGACTGTGCTCCCGGTACATGAGCCACGTCCACCTGGGATAGCCAGTATAGACCCTTCAAGACGTTCTCCGTTCAACGGGTGGTGGCGGTCAATAATTTCGCTGGTTCGAGGACTGACACCACCCCAGAAGCTCAGCTCCATGTCGCTTGCAATGAGCTTGCCCGAAGCCTCTCCCCGAACATATGGTGTGCCATGAAGGGAAATTTCTTTGCCAAAATCGGTGATCGCCATGTCAATTCAAGTGTTGGTATTTGCACCTATTGAAGGCGCTTAACCAGCTCGGGTCAAAGAGATTGGAAAGTAGATATTTTGATGTCTGCTTCTTTAAAAAAATTAGCTGTCATAAGGTGGGGGTGCAGGCTGGTAAAAATTCAATATCACTTTCAATGCCTTTCAGAATGAAAGGTCGAAAATATATCACTCAGGCGGAACTTGTATAAATTAGTCATATAAATTGGCTGGCCATCCGATAATTATTATCAAACCGTGGTTCAGAATAAAGGGTAGCGTGGAGTTGATAGGAGAAATGAGATTGCGGGGTCTGTGCCCGGGAAAAGGGAGTCAGCTGACGTCTTCAGTTCGTCTCCACATATTCAATAATTTATTATCTTTTGATAAGTAAATTTCTATTCCACTTGGCCAATACTAATACGGTACGACGACTATGAGTGTGGCCCTAGCAAGGTTACTGTCGAAAGTTTGCTATGATTTGAATTTTTTATTAGATCTGAAAAGGAGAAAATTCCAGAAGGAACATCCTCATATGTGCATAATATTTTCTTGGTTTCATTTCAAAATAGCAAAGATTGTTGAATTACGCCTACAGTAAACTCTTTCGTGGTTTAATCCACTGTCCACTCCTGTTACAGCTTCCCATTCGACGGTATTAACCTTTTGAACCAGTGTGTCTGCCGTGCCATACGAAATAGAGAACCCGTTTTGCCCATGTCCATCGGCGTGCAATATGTGAACGTGACCGGGTACACCACTTCTAGCCTCCTTTTCCAAGCGATATCCACCATCGCGACCGGGGCGAATTCCAATGACGCTGGCGGCTACATCCGGCTGTGCAGATATCACATGGGGTGCCAGCGAATTTGTGCGGTGGACTATTGCAGTGGCTGCATCTATTGCTGCCAATCTTTAGTGTAAAGATCGAGCATGAAGTTATGTTTGAATGGGTTCAGTCAAATTTTTAAATAAAGGACGTACGTTTTGTCCGGCTAAAAGACGTCCCCACATACAAGCAGATTAGAGCCTGGTCGAGGAATGATATTGGTATGTTTCTCGATAAAAGAATGTTCCTCTTTGCTTTGAGCGAGCAAGCAAATTCTGGCCTCGCACCCGGATGGCACTTTAGATCATTTACGCCGCCTAGAGTCATTGATCCGACACCAGATGGGTTAACAATCACTTTGGATTTAGGTAATGCAGTAGAAATTTCATCGATTGATTTGAGCTCCTGGAGCTTGATCTTCCCGTCTGGAGCTTTAATCTGACTCTTTAGCCATCGATGGTGACTCGGAAGCCCCTCAATAACTGTAAGATAATGATTCTGTAAGTGAACTTTGGGACTGATGATGATATTCCTCTCAATGGGATAGAATTTTACCAATTCTCGTTCCGCTATCAGACCAATAATCTACGCACCGATGACTAAAATCTCCGTGTAGAGAAATGTGTCTTACTTCATAGCATTCTTCATTACTGCCTTTCTGAAATTAAGATTGTCAAGGGGTCAGCATAGAGAGCAATCGAGGCTTCAAACTCCCGTCAGGAGAAACTCTAGACAAACAAGATCAGATTGATCCCGCTTTGATAAGATCTTCAGTTCCATTCTAGATGATAACTGTAGGTTATATGTGTCGGTCTAGCTTTCCGGAAGAACATTCGGCACGACAGTCCGTTCATGAAGATTTGTAGAATCGCGGAAATTTCACCCGACCGCATCATGGATATCTTTTTCAGGAGGCAAAGATAGAGAAGTTGTGTAGGCAAACTTTCTACATCCAGTCCCTCTAGTCAAAGTGTTTCCAAACCGTTGAAAGCCCTGCTCCACATCATACCTTCCTTTTTCAAGTTATTTTATCAGGACATGGAATACCTAAACTGCAAGGTCTATTTTGAAGCCTAATCGAGAATTATCAACCACGATATTTGCCATGAGAAAGTCTCGCAATTCAAAGATTCTGAGTTAGGAGGTTGCTCTTGCCAGGATGGACAGATTGTCGATCTCCCCGTCCAAAATAGCGTCGTCCGTGTTCTCAAGCCACGGCATGTCCAGTTAATTGCTATCGGAGGATGCATTGGTACTGGCCTGTCTGTGAACAGTGGCCAGTTTCTTAGTAGAGCAAGTCCAGCGTTCCTACTTGCTGGATACTACATTGTCGACTTTTTCATCTGGCTTATTGTTACCGCCATCACCGAGACGGGCACATACCTCTCGCTATGAGTAACCTCGATCAGCTATTATGCGGAACGATTTGTCTCCAGCAGCTCTGGATTCGCCGTCGGCTTGTCATACTGATATTCTTGGGCAAGTATAGTACTGACCGAAATCACGGCTGCCGGCTTGATCATCGAATATTGGACTGATGATGTCAACATGGCGATTTGGATTTCCATCATGATAGAGATAATTCTCGTCCTCAACTTGCTTGTCTATGTCTATGGAGAGACGGGATTCTGGTTTGCGTCAACTAAGATTTTCACTATCACCGGTTTAACGTTCTTCTCATTCTTCCTCTTCTGTGGTGGTATCCAAGGCCAGCAGATTCGTGATTTTCACTACTGGAATAACCTCGGAGCAATCTATAAATATCTTGTAGGGGGCGTTGGGGGAAAAATTTACCAACTTTGTAGCCGGTCTTATCGGCGCAGTGATGCCAGTCGTCCTCTCGTCGGAGATGTTGATTGTCTCGGTCGGCGAGATGCAATCGCCTCGTCACAGTCTTCCAAGTACGGCAAGAAAGTTCATTTGGAGAATCCTGATCTTGTATACTGGTGGTATCTTGTCAATTGGAGTAATTTGCCCCGCTAACGCGCCCGATTTAACTAGCGGAGGTGAGTAAAGCATCGCTAGCATATGCCCATACAGCTAGCTAACGATGAGGAGCTTCAAATGCGAAATCATCGGCCTTTGTTATCGCTATGAAAAATACTGGAGTCAAAGGTTCAGACAGTGTATTAAATGCTACCATTTCAGCATCCGCTTAGTCTGCACCGGAATGCTTTACTCCATCTCTCTAGTCGGTCTCTATACTCCCTCGCTCTTGTCGGTAACGTTCCTCGGATCTTCACCAAGTGTACCAAGCGAGGTGTGCCTTGCGGGCCAGTGCTCGCCAGCTCTCCCTTCATGCCCCTTGCATACCTGAGTTTTTCCAGCAGTGGCTTCACTGTTTTCAATGTATATTCGCATCTTCTGCGTCGCTTAAAAATACGCTGACCGACTATCTAGTGGTTCGTCAACCTGACAAACACGCCCGGGTTTATCACATGGGTCTCTTGTTGTATCATCTTCCGTCGATTTCGCAAGGCAATCGTGGCCCGAAATTTGCTGGACACAGTGATCTACCACTCGAGGACTTAGCCGTGGCAGGCTTGGGTCTGAATCTTCTTCGCATTTCTTTGTCTCGCCAACGGGTTCCAAGGATTCATCGCCGATAATTTCACTATTTCGAAGTATATTGAGCCTACTTCTTCTAGAAGGCAGCATGGCAGAATGCCCAACTTGGACAATATCATGGGCCGTATCTAGATTCCATTTCTGTGCACGAGCAGAAATCAAGGCACCCGGGGTTGTCAAGATCCCAAACATCCTGGTCACTTAATTTCGTAGGGAACTCACTCTATCATAATTATAGAATGAATGGAAATAACAGGATAGGAAATATCTTGGCCAAGACACGAATCCCTGGGATCGGATGGTTCGTCCGACCTGTTTTCTGTGACTACACGTCGAAGTGGAGCAAATTTCAATAAAAGGAGCAATCGAGATCTTCGCTAAACTGTGATTCATTGACAATATTTACTGTATTTTCAAACAAATTATTATTTGGAGTAATTTCCACACGCCATTAGGGAGTCATAGAAGATACGTTTATAAAGGTTAAGGTCACGAAGCCTACACCTTTGAGCCCAACTTTTTGTTGATCAGGATTTGTGCTCAATCACAGTATCCTGAACAAAATGCTTATCCTATACGATAAAATATTCAAGAGATTCTATACAGTCTTACCTAGGCCGAATGCATTAAACTACTCAGCAACTTTTCACGCTTCATGGCAGCGTAGTCTGCAGTACCAAGCCAGGTTCACCAGCCTCCTCGCGCCTGCATCACAACCTCTCTTGGCCACAATTCGCTCTTTATGCTGCCTTCAAACACTTTAACAACGGGTATCAAGAGCATGTCTATCCCAGCTGATGGGCCCGCTATTCATGGCACGGTTTCTGTCTGCAAACCCACCAGTGAAATTGAGGGCCTCCTCAACGCCCGCAAACTCACAGCCTTTCGTATATCCTTGGCTGCAGATATCATCTTCTCTCATGGATGATGGGAGAGCAATGGAGAGATATTTATTTTCGGTGTAAGAAAACAGGCGGAGTGGCATCTACGGATTGCCTTACTCCTCGGTTCTGCACCGGGTAGTATCCGCAGAATCACTTTTATAAATCGCATTCAGCCTAGCCTTGATAGCTTTGAGGATAGAGTCTTTGCAGATCTTCGACTGAAGCATCCAGATATCGATTTTCACAACTAATGTTCAAGCAGAAAATCCTACGTATACAGATCAAATTAAGAATACGCTAGAGGGGAGCGTTGTGGTTTCTAGTTGCACATTATCAGTTGAGCTATTGTTTCCGTTTAAATATATTCATGGTAACGAGAAATACAATAGTCGGTATTTTAGTCTGATAGGTTGATAGGGAGACGATTATGTCGGGGAAGTTGCTCTGCGTCGATCATAAGGAAGAGTGTCTGGTGGAGGCGGGTGAGCTGATCATACGAAATGTGAGCAAGGAGGTGATGACAGAGATTAGAGAGCTCTTATTTTTCCACTATAAGGACGACAGATGGCGTGGTTTGAGAGACGAGGATGTGGTGTTCAAGAGCGTGGGTATAGGGATCATGGACATAGCGACTGGGTCAGGTGTTCTCAAGCTCACCCGGCAGAAGCAAAAGGGTTCACTCTCGATGATTTCTAGCGGAGCACAAGTATTCTTTTTTGAGAAGGTGGAGTCCTGGGTCAAGTGGATGTCGAGATAGACGGCGTGGAGACAGTGGGGTTTTTCCGATGTTAACCCGCCTCAAAACATTTCTATTATTAGCTAGACCTGCCAAGTGAGCCTAGGTCTTTAAGAAAAACGCTCATCCAGGCTTGAAAAATAAGAGAATTATATCATTTAAAGCTTTTCATAAGAGGGTGCGCCATCAAAAGGTTCTCTCAAAGACGTCACGGCTGGATGAGCTAAAATACCGCGCGGGATGTGGTATCATGCCGGAGATGACATCCGGTGGTGATGCTTATTGATATCGGATAAACGAGCAATGACCCCGACCGAGTCATCCGCCAGTTGAGAATTGACCGAAGCCCTTTTGGCAGCCACTATCTGTTCCGGAGGACTATATTGAGGATTTGTATTTGTATTCACCAGCATATGGCATGAATTCAAGCCGAAGGGTTGATCGGACAGGGTGCGAAAGGTGTGAGGGGCTAGCTGACCATTGGATATGCAAACACCAACAGCCTCCTGTTACCTCGAGCTTTCTGGCCCTATACGGTAGGATAGGCTGACTATGTTCAGGCTTTTGAGAACTACCCTCCTATTGAGATAAAATTCCAGCATTAAAAAAAAGTAGATATATAAGGACACACATTTACTACGTATCATATATATCTTATCTTTCGTGTTTCATCTTAAATTATTACTTGGTCCTACTAAGAAGGACCATATTACCAGTTGTAGTTACTATCAATAGGGTCGGATACGCTTATACTTGTAAAGGTGGGACCCAAGAGAGCGCAGTGCTAAATGTAATGATGTTTAAAGAACTCAACTGGATGGCCGGGAGTGTTCAATATATCCTACCTCGCTGACTACCGTGTTGCGGCGCTGAGATCCAAGTATACAGGGGATACTATACATAAACAAGCAGGGAATCGAGTATTCCTGCAATGTCTGTGCTCACAGTCTCTTGCGGGGCTTACCCTTTATAGATATAATTAACTTTCCACTTCAAATGTTATATAATACGTAGAATATGGAAGTCGAAGACTATGTTAGTTACTTAAAAAAACTTCACTGTCATTGTACAACTGCCAAATTCCGCGGAAAGCTGGCTCATTGGTCACAAACACACTAATGCGGGTACTGCGACTCTCGACCGTGGAGACTCCCATGTGGGGTCGCTCAAAATAACAGAATCCGGGGTACTACTTGACTTTTTGAGGTCCACATCCCGGAGTAATGGCTCTGCTACTATACTAAAATTCGGCAGGTGGCCTGACTTTGAGGAGTTGTAAACCCCTAGGCTGACGTGGCTAGTCATCTAAATTAGCGCCTTCAACATTCTTTTTGAGAATTTTTGCACAAATTAACATCCTAGATTAGTTTTGGACCACGACTGCCCGCTCAATCACAGACGGTGACAATGTATGAAGTACCCGTTGCGGGCCGCATGTGAGTCTAGGTCTAAGCCAGATTTCAACCAAATCCGAACCCCAGGGGTTTGTGAACTAAGACACATCTCAAGCCATAACTCAAATTCAAAGATATCGTTGCGAGAAAACGCTTGTAGTACGACCTGCAGTCATCTAGGCTGTCACTACTTGACTGCCAGCTTCTTTCGCCTATGATGATATATCCATTGCTACAGAGGGAAACTGACTTAACACTAGCAAAATTGTGCTTTCAATTGAGAACAAGACTTCGGCCAGTAATCAGCTCGTGTCGTTTATGACTTACGTGCATGGTAAATTGACTTTGGGCTCATAATTTCTGAGATTTCTTCCATGCCCAATTGGGTACTAGTTGAATTTTGTTTAGCAACAATTCCGGCCCCAGAGCTTCAGTTTCCCCTCATTACCCTTGGCTCCGATCGGGACCACTTGGTTCTGTGGGCAATTCTTTGAAATTGGTGGATTGGAATAAACATGTCCTGATCCCGAGATAATGGCCACTTCGGCTGATTCTACACCAGTTTCGTAGTCATAGGATTCGGTAGTTAATGGATACACGACCATAAAATCCATATAAGAAGTTCAGGTACGTCGATATCATGTACCGTGACACGGCGCCAGCCAGCTTCTCTCCACCACCATCTTGGTCTTCAATTACTCAAAATGGGAATTTTCTCGGTGCTCCTGCTTGCCGCGGCTTCTTTCGTTAGAGCGTCAGTCACTATTGTTGACCCAAGTAATTATGCCGACCTTGCTGCGGATGCCTCCGACAATGCTCTGTTGGCCGACTACACTACGGACAATGGTGGTGTCCAGTATCTGATATATGACATCACCGGTCCTTATTATTACTACGACACGGATGCAAGTCTTGAACACAGGACTGTGTCTGTCGACAAGAATGACACAAGCGTTGTTGTTGCCACCGATGGCTCTCAGCTCAACATCTCCTATGTGACTGTAATCAAGGAAGGCTACAGCACCTGGCTCAATCAAGCCAGCTTTTTCGGCGTGAACGCTGCCGTCAATATTGCGAATGACTCCACAGCATATATTTCGCATACCAACATCACTGTGCACAACGGCGCGGCTAATATTTATGCGTATGGAACTGGTAGCACTGTATACGTTGAGGATGTCGACCTTTACAGCTCTGGACCTGTGTCCCACGGTATCTACGCTGCTGGAAACGGTACTGTCTACGCCAATAATATTCGCCACTATTCAGGCGGTAACCGTTGTTCTTCTTTTTCTGGCGACAGCCCGGGTGGAAACCTTTACATTACAGACGCAGTTGCTCATACTGCCGGCATTGGAAGCGCTATCTTTTACACCCTCGGGGAGACATACGGCACCGATATTGTTGGGAAGGCAGAGAACGCCCCTTGTCTTTTCAGTGATGGGGAACAACTTTCTGTGTTCAAGAACGTTGATTTCTCTTGCGGTCTGCTTGCTGGCACTATTCTTTTTAGCTCTTCCTCTCGTGACAGCGGTGCTTCAGTGAGCTTCGAGAATTCTCGACTTACCACAACGGGTGAGGACATGGCGGCTCTCTGGTTTGGGAACATTATCGCATCTGCAGAGATCATTTCAACTGAGATCAACACTGCCTCTGGTATTCTGGTTATTGCCAACACCTCCCAAGTTACACAGGCCTTCAGTTACTTTGCCGGTTCCGAGGAGAACTCGGCGATCAAGCCTGCTGATGTGACTGTTACCGTCTCCGAGTCCACCCTCGAGGGCAACATCGTTGCTTATAACGGCAGCTCTATCACCTGGAAGCTGGCTGACTACTCTGACTGGACTGGTGCTGCTGTTCTTGGCGGAAGCAGCGGCACTGCTACCTTCTCCATCTCGGTTGATGCTACTTCTACCTGGACTCTGACCGATGATGTTCATCTCCAGGCATTCAAAAATGGGGACAAAACCCTATCAAACATCAAGTCGAAAGGCCATAACATCTACTACAACCCTGCCAATACCCATAACTCGTGGCTGAAAAAGAAGACCGTAAGCCTCTCCGGTGGCGGCAAGCTTCGTCCTTCCTCATAAGGTCGCTCATTGTGATTTTATTTTAAATTTTCTAACTGAAGGCGATATAATATAACGAGTGAAATCTTGTTCTGCGCAGCAGACTTACAGCGCTGTGTAGACATAAATATCCGTGACCCCCAGATAGCTTTAGGACAGCCATACACTGGTGAATTTGTTATTTGTTTGGAATTAGCTTGTTATCTATTTTCCTGCGCCTTAATTTCAAGAATTCATTTTCATAATACGCATATCTACATAAGGTCTTACTGTTTCTTTTGAATCGGGAATAATTCCCAAGATTTATTGAGTAATCCCGAGACGCCACATAGGTCTTGAGTGCAGACCCTGGCAGGGATATAAGCTGACTGTATTGCATTTGCAACTCTAGCCCCTCAGCCCATCGTCTGGTTTACGAAATTATCAGCATCTGTGGCTCCAAAAGGATATGAAATAGAGATAGAACTTCCGCGGTGCAAGGTAATGGCAACTTCATATGGATTGAGTTGCGCTTATTATTTGTGAACAAATAGCTATGAAGATTATCTCTATTTTGACTCAGTGCATCTTTTCCTATGCTTAGTTATTCATGTTCGAGAGTATTTAATAATTCCCATTGTGATCTCAAGCATTGGTTCTGCAGTTTGTTTATGCCCTTCAAATTCTCGAAATTGAACAGCTAAACCAAATCAACATTCTTAGGCGAGAGACTCTGTATTATTTGCGATACTATTTGATGATGCGATGCGGCTATCCCGAAGTATCAAAATCTTTGTGATGTAGATCAAGCCAAATATAGAAACGAACGTATATACAGTTTCATACATGTATTCATTGACACAGTTCAACAAGATCTAGATAGGTCAAACGAGATATAGCTCCATGGGAAAGTCGTGGTACATCTGGTAGTTCAAGTCCATACTCCATTCTAAAACAAAGCATTTTACCAAAGCAGTGACATCCATTGGACTGAGGGCCGATGAGCATGGCTTGGAGACGCTGTCTCGCCACAACTTCGTTTCATCAAGCGCAGAGATGTCGCCGTCCCACATAATTGTGGCTATGTCAGTCACAATTCTCACGGCATCTCCTGAATTGCCTTGACCTGCTAAGATTGCGCTTGCCGCAAGGTCCGCCATGTTCTCCCTAACAAACCGTGAGTCCCATCCCCGAGCGTCTAATCTTTCAGGCCAAGTAAATACAGCAAAGCGGAGTGTATCAGCTAATCTAGTCCGATAGCTATCCATCCTTTCCTTGGCAAAAGCGACAAGAAGGTCTCGAAGGCCACGGTGGATAGACCATGATAGAAATGTCCACGGTAGCTTATCCAGAGCTTCGTTGAGGATAGCAGCTTCCTTCCCTGGGACGTACAAGGTGACGTTACGCTCCCCGTCCTTGTTATTTGGTAGCAGAACAACAGCATATTCCTCTCCTAATTCGACGTCCTCCCCAATTCCCTTCATAAAGAGATAGTCGACTTCGCTTACATTTCCCCCATCATATGATAAAGGTGTCTTCCGCTATGAACGGCGCCAAATCCTTTCGGACCATATTCAAGCAAATACTTTCCAGGCGATTTTCGCCCCGAGAATGCGCATTTGAAACTCGATGTCTGCGAATCAATCACACCAGCTAGCATTTGTAAGCACTTGTCGACCCGTTGCTCAAAAGTTGGTGGATACAAGGCTTTGGATGAAGGATAGAGATCGTGTTCAAAAAAGTAAACGCGTGCTCGGTCTCCAATAGGCCATTCCACACGCCACTGTCCACAATAAGAAGGATATGCGGCACGATGCCCAGAGGCGCTACTATGGTGGACAACTGGCCGTGAATTGGTGAGACAAAGTAAGGCCATGAATGTCGTACGGGATATAACAATCTCTGGAGCTGCCTTGTGCTGATAAAGACCATGATTGGCAACGTCTGGCCAGCTATTCTTTGGAGTCTTCTCCGGCTGTCGCTCGGTATGCTTATCACCAAGTGAGCACTTGCTCCAAGTTTCGGCCTGACGGCCCGGCATGATCTGACAGTTCCCATTGGAGGGTGTCGGGTGAATAACGGATAGCAGAGTGAGCCATGCCCCTTTGGGAGCTGCATCTTTCAATGGAAGTTGACTCAGATAAACCTTCTTTTTGCCAAATAGTCCGGTTGGCAGGTTTGCTTCAAATAATGAGTGATCAGAGCGAGAAAGATGAGCCTGCTTCGAAGGAAAGCTCCACCGCCGTTGCCACCAAGAAGCATAATGTATATCTCCTTTTGTTGACTTTGATAGGTCCTGCCGACAGATGACTGCCCCAAACCAGCTGCTGGTGCTGTAAAGGCTCAATATCATACCGACCACTGATATCCATACCATAAATAGAATAAGTTCCTCCATTTTGACTCAGTTGGCTAATTTGTAACTGTGTCAGAATACAAATGGAAGTGGCTTGAAAAGATGCGAGTAATAGCTAGGTGTTAGCTAAACTCCCCACTATCCTGGTGAGCCTCTGGGAAGACGAAGTCGGAAATCTTGGAGAATCGAACGATTTAGATATTTGATATGGGTAGAGTTCATTTATCTCATATTTTGTCGCGCTACATCAATAACATTTCTATTTTAGGACAGCACTAGTGTTGGCTATGGGAGACGCTCTCAGGCCACCACTCTTAGTAGCCGTGCAGGATGGGAGGACTTTTCAGTCCATAGAGCCTTTGAGTTCAAAATAACATGTATTGAACGGTCCTAGGCATGAGGTAATTTATTTGCAATCATATATATCTTGCGAAGATTACGGAAGGCCAAAAAACAAAATAGGAGGGCCTGGTAATTAGCTGATTACATGTACATACTGTAGTGGGAAATGGCCAACGATAGATGATCTCCGATTGGAGGATATCTTTTCTGGCACACAGTCTTTACAATATATAGCTTGCATCTCCGATAGGGAGAAAATCAACTTTTACACATCTTTCGCTGAAGCAGCACCTGTCTCCTCCCTGAGAGGCTTCCTTTCCATCATGGTGTTGTAATTTGTTGGCTGGTTCGCTGATCCATCTCATCCTGCCTGTATTGTAGGCTTGCCATAGAGCGCCTTGGTTCAATACGTACTTTCGACAGCCAAATGGGATCCTATTCTAGTGTATCCCTTGGCAAGTTAGATTAATTTTCACGTAATATTGCCAACTCACTGATCCTTTGTTATAGGGAATGGTTTCCAAGCCGAACCACATAAATCATTATTTTACCAACAATGGCCAACAATTCTTCAATACTAGCAAGATCATTTGTTAGTACTGTTTTGTCGTCATGTACCCGCCTTGTAGCCGCCGAGTACCGCTGTTACAACAACCTATATGTTTTACGCGCTATGACACCAACGCAATACCTCATTCGAAAGTCGTGTGGATTGCCCGCGTCCTTACAAAGCCCGTCTTCAGCAAATCACATAGAATTCTTTTTTTGGCGACTGCGCCTTATTTGTTTCCGGAACTCAGTTGCTTATGGTTTGACGGGTTAGGTCATACGCTGCGATTTACTGCTCCAGTATGGCTATCTCATCCGCCGCATGCAACTATCGACTAAGTGGTGCCGACGTTATCGGCGTATTGCGGGTGCCGATATAGAAGGCAACCGAATCCACTATGACGCGACTTGGGATGCCTGGGCCGCAATAATATCCGAATGTCGATGGTATAGCAGGGTGTTACAGAGAAAATGACAAGGATCGAGTCGCAGCGCAGGGCGGCTACGGCGGTGGAAATACCGCGGACAAGGCATCGACAACTGAGGGTCAGCTAAGGACTTGAACAACGATGGATGACGCCAGAGTGGTTCAAGGCAATGGGTGAATTATGTAAATATACACCATAGAGGAGAAATGGCGATGAATCCTAAGAAACCACAGGGGGAAAGATGGGTGAAAGCATCGGAAATGGGCCAGCCCAATGAAGTCTATTCCGAATCCATCCTTCATGCAGCCATGCCAAACAGAAGATAAACGAACTCGAGAATGATTTGGCCGTTGTTGATAGCAGGTGATGGCAGACGATGTGATGAGTGATTTAAGGAGAAATGACTAATACATCGATCTACTACTAACTTGGTACTAGTACTGGTATGAGTTGTTGTTGTACTCAGGTTGCATTACTCTCCACTGATGTATGCTGCAATCACATACATGCAGGGGCATGTGCACGAGATAAATCAGTAATTATGCAGATCCTGTGGATTTTCGTGCATGATTATGGGTCCGGGGTGGTTGATGAAGAAGCGTCCTGCTATGGATACTGTTGGTACTCGGTACACAGAGGATCCGGAATATTCACCAATCCCTGTAGATTACTCCAGATCGAAATAGATCAAGACAGCATGCGAACGACCAGGTACCGGGTATTCCGTCGCTGGGCTGGATCTGGTATATGGAGTATTCATGGAGCCATGTACAGAGGAACAAGAAGAAGAGAAATAGAAAGTTGGAAAAGAGAGAACCATATGCTGAACAACAAAAATGAATCTCCCAGCCTCCAAGCAGTAAGAAATAGAAGAAATAGAAGAAATAGATATCACATTTGCGCCGCATTCGCCTCCCTCAGTTGAGCGACCCCAAACTCAAAACTATACGAGACCATCGTAAAGCGACAGGGCACTGACGATAGTCTCGTCGCGCTTGCTGCCCTCCTTGAATTCCTCGATATCCAAGCTCCCATTCTCGTCTTTATCCATCATCCGAAAGATCTTTCGAACTCGTTTCTCTGGCGTGTCCTCGTCCTCCGGTAACTTCACCATTGATCCCACCTATGGCACAATACCTCGTTAATTATGGGCACTAGCCACTAGGGGCAACGAGGGGAGGAGCAGAGGGAAGGGAATCCTCTAGTTGTCCGACGGAACGAACTTTAAGGACTGAAAAGTTTTTGGGCCGTGGGTGGGGAGGGGGTCAAGAGGGAAAGGGGAGAGAAGAGAGTGGGAAGAGCCACAATCCCCATGTTCCCTTTGCTACATTCCCCTTCATGATTTGTGGGTACGTACCATTTTGTATATGGCCTCCACAATGGCCAACATCTCGTCATATGTAATTTTTCCATCCCCATCAATATCGTACAATTGAAAGGCCCAATCTAGTTTGTCTTCCATCTTACCCCGCGAAGTCACCGACAGGGCGCAGATGAATTCCTTGAAGTCGATCATGCCACTATTGTCAGAATCGAATACGCGGAATACATAGTTGGCAAAGGAGGAAGGATCGCCGAAAGGAAAGAACTGTCGGTAGATTTTCTGAAACTCCTCTTTGGTCAATGTCCCTGACGGACAATCTTTGAGAAAACCTAGAGAGGTCGCGAGTCAGCAAGCCTGAATCATGCGGAAGATGGAACCCGCCTTCCGTCGCATCTGTTGAGAGACCATATACCCTTATACCATTGCTGCAACTCCTTCTTGTCGAAATGGGTTGCTTTCTGCAGCTCTTCAAGCTGAGAGGGTGAAAGCTTCGATTGTCTGCCGATCCGGTCAGCCGGGAAGGAGTTAAGAGTCATGCTCAGGGAGTCTCGGTCAGGCAGGGCTCGCTAAACAGCAAGCCCTCTTGACAGCTTGTGCGAGGAGTATTTCAACTTCATCACTGCCAAGGCATTTTCGGTCTGGAAAATTGCTGTGCGAAGCGCTTCTGCTGGGGGTGCATTCGGCGCGTTGGTGGGTGACGGGGGAGGGACAGGAGATGTGGTCGAACATACGATTTGCCCATGGTCAAACACCCAAACCCAGACGGACACAGACGGACACAGACGGTGCTATGCGCATGCAAGTCGGAGTTGGAGCTCGTCAGGAACACGATGGGACTTTTGGCGAAGAAAAGAAGGGAAATTGGTGACGCGGGGTAGGATGGGGATGGATGTGTGGCTGAGTCGTGGCGGGGCCTGACAGATTACGCGCCCAAGGCCGGACAGCACAAGATCGGATGGTTGGAGGAGCTGCAAGGCCACGAGGAGGATCAAATCAAAAAAAATTCAACCCGTTGGAAATTTGGCAGGTCGAGCAGTTGGGAAGTTGGGAAGTTGGGAAGTTGGGAAGTCGAAGGGATGGAAGGGAAAAGCAAATCGGGGAGTCGGGGAGTCGGAGACTCGGAAGTGGCAAGCAAGTCCAGGCTCTCCCGGAGGCTTGGCATTGTGCAATTTTGGCAGGCCCCTAACAACTACGCAGTCCGATTTATATACAATGTATAAGGCCCGTATGAAGGGAGAAGGGATATCGAAAGAACATGAGGCCAAGAAAATGAAAGAAAGAGTAGGGGAAAAAAAGAAACCACAAGCAATGTATCTATTTTCCGGCTATCCCATGCAATCGTCGGGCTATTAAAAAAACACGCGAAATATTACCCGAACAAAAAAGAAAAGGAAAAGGAGATAGAGAAAGCAGGACATGGCTACTGCTGAGTGCAGATGAGCAACAGGCGAAATAAATTGCCGGTCAGAAATGCGCTTTAATCCACCTTGATAGAGCCATAGATGCGGTGGATGAATGCCCAGCTGGCAAAGACGCCGATTGAACCTGTGAGAAGAAGTGTCAGTTGTGATTCTTCGAGAATCGGAAACAAAGTCCGGATCAAAAAGCAAAATCAAAGTAGAACGCAGGAAGGAGTTCCGGAGATACCTGTCAAGATGAAGACAACAAAACCAATCAGTGCAGAGTAGCCCACATAGAGTACTGCACCTGTCAGGCCGCCAAAGCTAACACGAGTCGCCCAGAAGATGAGTGCGTTCAAGAAGACATAGCCACCCGTCATTCCTGCACCTGTGAATGCACGCCAATGCCAACGATAGTTCTCGGCGCACAACAAGAAGTAAACCAGCAGCACAGTAGTGGCGGCAGAGGTGATGATCATCAAACCATAGCAAAGGAACAAGAATCCAAACATGTAGTATATCTTGTTGGTCCAGAGCGAGGTCATGATGAAGTAAAGCTCCACGAAGATCGCGCCGAAAGGGAGGATTCCAGTCAGGAGGATGGACGGTATCGTGCGCAGGCTACCAGCCATGGGAGGGACCTGACGCGGGATTTGATTGGTCTTTGTCGGACCCTCGAGAGCCTGGAGATAAATGGAGTGATTGATTAGTACGAGAGGCGAGAAGGGATGTAGAAGCCTAAAGGATTTAGGGGTCGATCATACCGATTGCCGGAACCCAACCCAACTACCAGCCACACTCAGTGGTACGCTGATGACGAACCAAATCAGAACCAAGGCAAGCATGGTGCCGAATGGGACTGCACCACTTGATCCCTTAGCCCATACGAAAAGGTTGAGCATAAAGAATGTGCCAAAGATGACGCCGGGAATCAAAAGAGGAGTCATGACAATGTTACGCTTCCAGGCCTCGCCGCCAAAGGCCTTATAGACACGTGCGGAGACATAGCCACCAATGGCCCCAAACAATGCAGAGATCAAAAGAATAGCGGTCGCCAGAAAGCCACGATTGGCGGGAGAAAGAAGGCCAAGGAGCGCAAAAGCTGGTGAAAAGTTTTAATCACCATCGCCGTCATGAAGGGCATAGAATGACTTACCAACGGTCACGCCGGTCATCATGAACAGTTGAGCGCCGTTGCCCAACATGACACTCAACAACAGCGGGGATTTGGGGCAGCGGAAGACATCGCCGTGAACTAACTTCCAACCTGAGTCTTCCTGAATGCCATCTTCCACAGCAGCCGAGGTGCCATCGAGGTCCTCCAGGCTAATTTGGTCCAGTCGATTGTAGCGAGCAATGTCCTTTTTGAGCGCACGAACCAATATCATACTCACCATTCCCACTAAGAAGACGACAAAAACCGCAGAGTTGATCAGAGAAAACCAATGAATCTTCGGGTCATAGACATGAAGGTACTTGTCCCAGCGAGTAGCCCACGCCGTATTGGACTCTTTCCAGTAGACACTGTAGGTCCAGGTTATCGGGGTATCCACATCTTCACTCAATGTCAGCATATTTCCTTGCGTGCCACACTCTACGGTGCCGTCTTCGAGAATTCGGGAGTCGCGGCGGGACTCGGGCTGAACAAGCACACCAACTACACGATACTTGTCTTTGCCGCCGAACCCTACCCGGTGATAGTCAATCACAATATCAAAGTGGTTGTTCAGCATGGATTGCCCATTGTCATCCAAATCGCCTAAGGAGAATCCCGGGTTGTAGAACTGCGTGTTGGTGTTTCCGTCGTAGTTCAGCTGCGCCGCAGGCAGCCCATCAACAAGCCAGTTGATATTATATCCCTGGGAGATCCGGCGATTCGTAAACTTTGCACTTCGTGCATCGAATGTCACCTCTGCGCAGATTGCTTTACACGTCTCATTCTTGGCCATGTGAAGCTCTAATGGGGAAGTACGGATCCGATCACCAAACAGGATGCTTCCGAGAGATTCGCGAACATCTTGGGCGCCCCCTTCTGGCCTGCAGAAGTGGAATGAAGGATGGTAGTAGTCATATGCGAATACAGAGTGAAGCTGGTCATCGCGTGACAGGCCAGGGGTCAAATGGTTGACGGTGAGCGAGACACTATCGCCGACATCATAGGAAGTCGGCGCAACCCCAGGAAGATAGAATGCTGTTGATATTGAGGAGACGCTAAGAAGGGAGGCAATGAGCAGGGAACTTCGGTCGGTCAACCGCATGGTGAGGGTAGAGCGTTCTCGCGGGAGGACTGCTCAGCCCAGCTTCATCGGCGATTCGGCAGGTTGGTTTGGGATTAAAGACGATAGTGGCGACAGATTCAGTGACCTGTTCCCCGAGTCGGAATATATGCGCAGCTTGAAGTTTCAGCGGCAAAAGAAATCCCGGCGTACTGTGTGCTGCAGCGCAACGGAGACAGACGCGGCTACGAAAGGACAGAATGACGATCGATGAATCACGTGATATTATTCTGGCTCACGTGGTGATAAGACCGGCCTCAAAAAATTTCCCGGGCTTGAGCATCGTGTTGGAAGGATCCATTCGCCATGGCTTCAAGCACAGCGCCTCCTCGCGCCCAGACATTATCGACACTACTTCATAGTCTTTATTCATGTCTCAACAATGCCCCGTCCTCCCTCCCGGCCTTACGGAAAGAGGCGCCCTCGGACGTTTCGATTGAGCCTGCCCAAGATGGCATCTCCCTTCTCGATACCAAGAGCGAAATCCTGCTATCCTATCTGCATAATCTTGTATTCTTGATCATTCTTCAACTGCGACAAACATCTCTGGGTTCCGGTTTTGGTGAACGGGACAATGCGATTGATGTCTCTCTGCGCGATGAGGCTGTGAAAAAACTAGTTGAGCTTCGGGTCTTCCTGGATCGCGGTGTGCGACCGTTAGAAAGCCGTCTGAAGTATCAAATCGACAAGGTCATCAAGGCGGCAGAAAATGCGGAGCGGATGGAAGGCCCTGCATCGTTGCCTGGGTCGAAGAAGACCAGCAAGGCCCATGGGACAAAGACCGAAGGCTCCTCAGATGATGACGATGCGAGTAGTAGCGGTCATGAGAGTAGCGATGAAGACGAGGAAAATATGGACGAAATGTCGTATCGACCGAATGTTGCGGCATTCTCGAAAGCGAAGGTCGACCAGAAGCAGCCTCAATCCAAGTCGGCCCGGGAAGAGCCCAGCGACGGCATCTATCGGCCGCCGAAGATCATGCCCACTGCCTTACCCACCACCGAGCGTCGTGAACGGGAGGACCGTCGACCCCGCAGGTCGAATGTCATCGATGAATTTGTTAGCGCCGAAATGTCTGCGGCGCCGATGGCTGAGCCCAGCATCGGTAGTACCATTCTCGCTGGTGGTCGACAAACCAAGTCCAAGAAGGACCGAGAGCGTGAAGCGGAACGGACTCGCTATGAAGAAACAAATTTCGTGCGTCTGCCGAAAGAGACTAAGAAGGAACTGGCGAAACAAGGCCGCGGCCGCGACACCACGTTTGGCGGCGACGAATGGAAGGGACTCACGGAGGGAGCCGATCGCATCGAGCGGCTTACACGCCGAGGGAAAAATAGCGGTGCTGTTCTGGACAAGAGTCGCAAACGAAAGGCAAACGAAGATGGACAACGCAGTGACGGGGTCGGTATGGGCGAGATCTTCGACAAACGACGGAAGAAGATTGAAAGTTGGAAGCGATAGCCATAGCCGATCTGCTCCTACGCCTGGTTTTCTTTCTTTTTCTTCTCACTTTATCTCGTTCATCCGCTGCACGATATCACCGGAGTTGACATGGCAATGGCAAGGCTTCTCTTTCCTACTGTATTTAGATCTCTCATTGTCTTTGATATTAATGACAAGATATGCATTTGGAATTTACCTTCTTGGAACCATGTCTTATTCCAATCTCCCCCACTTAGTCAACCTAGGTACCGGGAAGACACTATCCTAATCTCGGCATGCCGAGCGTTGACCAATGCCTCTTCCCGTTTGCCCTTGGACCGCATCTTGAGTGTAGCTTGGATGCAGCACCGTACGGCTACATCCACGGGAAACAAGCCCGGAGGCCCTATCGTCACCTCTCTCCCTCTGATCTTCAATCACATCTATTTTTATCTCAATCCTGGCCTTTGTGGTGCACACCGGCCCAAAACTAGGCGACAGAGCAATTTCACATGCCCGGGGCCCGCATGATGTCATCGCCCAGCAGCTCTTGATAATGCGGTCGTGCACGATCTCTCGTCTATCGACGCCGTGCTTTTCATTGAGATAATTAACCCGCCCCTTTTGAACACTCGTATATTATGGAGCACCCAGGTAATATGAAGTTTCCCCGAGCTGCTGTCTCAATGTGGAAACTACTGGTGGTTAACCCTTGACCCGTAGTGACGGACATCCCCACGGTCATCCAACTTCTCACCCAGTCGTCACCTTCATTGCAGCAAAAGGCTCTGGAGCGGTTTTTCACCCCCAATGCGGCATTTGTGCATCCCTTCTGTCGAGTTCCCAGTTTTGATGGCAGTCGATGGTGGGTGATCAAAATCTTCCAGTGGTACAAAATCATGTCACCTCGCATTGAGATGCAGATACACTCCATCGGTTGGTGGTTCCCTATTCCAGTCCCGGCGACCACACAACTGACGGGTTCCTAGCATTTGATGAGCCACATTCGAAGCTTTATGTTCACATGTCTCAAATATTTTCCATCTGGATTGTGCCTTTCCATGTTGCGCCTGCCACTCTCACGACTGTGCTGGACCTCTCGACCGGCTCTACTCAGAACGATGTCTCGGCCAACGGAGACCGGACGCTGTACTACATTACCAAACAAGAGGATCTGTATCAAACATCCGAGTTTGTGAAGTTTCTGCTTCCGCACCTTGGACATTGGATAATCCTGGCCTGGCATTTGATTGCAACCTTCTTCTGTGTCGTGGGTGTGACGATGTTGTGGCCCATGTTGTGGTTGGAGGAGAAAGGTTACCTCTCCAATCAGATTACTCGCGGAGGAAATGTTGCTTGCAAGATGGACAACATGATGGCCCCGGAGGTCAAGGGCCAGTGATGCCGGTGCATTTGACACCCCCGCGCACCCCTTTACGCCGCTTCTACAATTTACTTTTTTGTTAATTTCAAGGCCTATTTACAAGCCTTTCGAGCCTTTTTAATGGATAATTTTAGCTTTGGGTAATCAGGAGTCGGCAAGTATCAGTCATATGCTCGCGACCCCCGGGCATTCATGCAGATAGATTGATTAGCCGAGGTCATCGCTCCTCAGTCATCTAGATCAATGTCCTGAATATACTCGAGAAATTTGGTCATGCCGTTGCATCGTCGAGTCCTGTGTCCCAGACGAACCGTTTGTCTTGTGCCAAAATGCCTCAGTTCGACTGCTTATTGGACCTTTCGCTCTTTCCGTAGCTCTTTACGAAATAGGTTCTCCTGTTCCACCACTATCAGCGGCAGGCCATGGCCTATGCCAAAGAAGACAAACAGAGCCCACTTCCAGCGGAACGGGTTAATGAGCAAGACAAAAATGTACCAGTAGAATAGTTCGGCGTAGGTGAAAAAGTGAAAGGCCCGGGTAGGTGCCAATCGCTTCATAAACCGCGTGAAATCAATCCACATTTTCATCCATTCTTCCGTGGGTCGCGTCAAGGGGTCGGTCATGAACATCATCAAGAACCGCGTGTAGATTCCGATGTGCATGTTTCCCACGGTCCCGATTGCATCGATGTATGTGCTGTTGTTGGCACAGATGTCAGGGTACTTGGGTGGAAACACTTGGAGGTACCAGTTGGGTGGACCGTATGGCTCTTCAAAGACCTCCTCGGGCAGGAAGGTGAGCGAGGGCCGTTTGAATCCGGTCGCCATGACGATGATGTCGCCTTCGACCAACTGCTCCTTGCCTGGTCCACCCTTGGGCACGCCATGCGCTCGATGGTTAAAGAGTACACCCTTCTCTTCCACCGACACAATATCACCCCGCAACCAGTGCGCCTTACCTTGGCGAATCTGATCAAAGAGCTCCGAGTTGGCCATGGGCGTTTGGGTGAAGATCCCATCATCGGTCGGGGCAATGTCCTGAAGGTCCCGGTAGAAGAACTTGCGCAGCAACCATTCTGGAATCCAGGACAGGAAAGTTTCTTGACCGAAAACATTGAGGGCCAACAAAGATTGAACCAACACATTGCGAGGGATAATCCATTTGTCGGACCGGGAGAGCACATCGATCTCAGCAGCACCCGACTTGACAGCAAACTCGAGCGCTTCAATCGCACTAGCTCCCCCACCCACGATCAAAATCTTCTTGCCCTTGGCATCCTTGCCATCGAGATTGGAGGAGTGGAAAATTTGTCCTTGAAACTTATCCTGGTTGGGTAGCGTTGGCATCTGGGGGTCCCCGCAAACCCCCACGGCGGCGACGACGCCGTCAAACTGGCCATACTGATCTTCGTCTTGGTTGATAATCCACTGTCCATTCTTGGTCTTCTGAACCGATATGACGCGCGTGTCAAACACCGTCCGTCGTTCTAGATCATACCGTTTCCACAGATCCACGATCTGCTCACGGACTTGTCCCTGAGCTGGGTAGGCGGTGTCATAGTGAACTGAGGGGTGGAACCGATACATCAAGCTGTGCACCTGCAGTCCGGAGGTCGAATTGACTCTCTATATGGAACATTAATGACCGTGTACCCCCAGAACTCTCGAGAATCATCGTTGGACATCAGACTTACACTCCAGATTCCACCAAGCCCCTCGTTCTGAGCCCTGGACTCGAAAATTTGGACATCGAATCCATGGCCCACGCAATGCGCTGCAGATGAGACTCCCGTCAACCCAGCGCCGATGACCGCAACGCGCTTCCGCGGAGCGGATAGGTTCTTTGTCGCTGGGGGAGGGGGAATAGGGGCGAAGAGATAATTCAGTACTGCCTGCAGAAGAAGATACAGCCAGGTGAAGCTCTGAACAAAGGGGCGTCGAATGATTGCCGGGATGGTCGACTGGGGGACCGCCATGGCGATTATTAGAGGAAGAAAGGGAGGGGAAGAGAGAAGAGAGGGGTAAAAAATAATGTGGAGAGAGAAAAGTTGTAATCAATCAATCATTCTCAACCCGGAAAAGGGAAAATTTGCTTTGTTTTGTATGGGACCAGCAGAGGGCGTGATGTGATGATGGATGGAGTCAGTGGTCGGATTGAGCAATGGGGTCCGGCACACCAGAAACGCTCGGAATGGCCAGATTTAACCTGAAATGAGCAGCAAACGGGCTGTTTTCACATGTGATTGACTGGCCGATGTCGAATATTGTCTGATTGTCGGAGATTGTGAAACCATACTGCCATGACATCATAGGTCTCGACCTTGGAATCGGGCTTGGCTATCCAGGGCACCGAGTGTTTGTTGTATTGCCCTTCCCTGATTTGCCCTGGTCTCCAGATGTCGGAAAGCCATCTTTCAGAGTCGCTGTCCTTTTCAGTGCGTCCTGGTAGATTGGATGTATAGTAGTCATACATTCACTGTATCCTGCAGACTGCCCTAGAAGTCCCGGTCACCGGCGCATGGGCGCTGCACGACCGTTAAGCTGCTTTAAGTCACTGGCTCGCCTCACACGTTTGTCGATGGGGCTCAATCTTGTTTGAGTGGTCCCTGTCGAGGTGTCTGGAATGTCTGTTTTTGCTATTCAGTAATGACAAGTTCTCACCAATCCCCCCACCTGCTGATATATATCTACATATATGTACTGCCCGCAACAGAAATAGATGGTGGTGAATCTCAAGAAACCGGACGGAATTATCCTGGATACTGCATCGTATATGCCCCCCTACATAGTGCCGAAATCTTAGACTTTTTATTAAACGACTTTCACCTTCACCCTAGACGGATCGGACTATTTTTCGCTCAAATGAGAGGAAATCTTGACCGTCACGAATAATCAAACGTCCCGAGTCATGGTAAGCAAACCACAGACTACAAAGCCAATTCTGATTCAAGTGCGAATAGAAGGATGTTTCGCCCCAGGAACAATGATTCCCTGTCGGACTGACTGAAGCAAAATAACCTAGTCTCAGTGCCAGTGCCCAGGACTAACACGCTAGACCTAGTTTGTACTAGTCCACCGTTATGCCTGCCTGAACAATGCCTGATTGTTGCCTGATAGATCAGGCGACGAAAATGTCGCGTTCGCTCGACATCCTACAGCTCTCACATTTAACTCCGTGTTGCGTGCGCAGCACCTCCATTAAGTCCCATCCGCTTCACTTCGCCCTCAGCACGAGACTTATTACTTCTCGTTCATTCCCAACCCACGCCATGCCGCTGCCTCCTCCTCGTCAGTCCCTGTGATTACCCCCTTCACGTTCTCCATCTCGGACACCCGGTCAGCCCGCCGAAGACAAGCGCCATGGCCATTCCCAGCCCGATCCTAGATCAATTCCTCGGCAGCCTGAGCGATTTAATCCAGACGCGCGATGGGGCCAAGCTACAGGATTTTCTACAAATCGAGCCGCCCCTGTCGGACATCTACCAGCGTATGATCGGGGAATTGCGCCAAAGTTACCCACCAAGTCCTCAGAGCGATACAAGGCTGTTGCAGCGATGTGAGGCCCTGGTGCCACGGAATAAGACCGCGACCTCCTGGTCTGCCTTCCCAACCTTCATGAAACTCTACTTTGTCTTTCTTCGCGATGTCAACACCGACAATTTGCTTGAGACCTATAACATGCTGAAGGGACTGCTCAAGTAAGTGGTCCAATATTCCTCCAGCATCCTCGCCTCTGGCGTAGGTATTTCTGGAGCAGTCATCAACTATGAACTACAGCGGCTAACCACTATGCGGGCGTGACCCGAGGAGGTGACGATAGCCAGTGTGTCTTAGCCCTCGGAGATAGTCAAATGGGCGTTATTGTCCTCCCCATGGTCTTGTATCTGTCAAAAGTGCTGGCTAAACTAGCTATGGGACTGGATCGCCGTCCGGAATTGATCGCGCATATTCTACGCACGGAGGGCGAGGAGAGCAACGAGAAGGTAACTTTGGTGGAACAGTCCGCTAACGTCGTGCGGGAGGCTTTTATTAAATGCTTGACGGATCGTACAGGCGCGCCCGGTCCGAATGGGAAACCCGAGGGAAAGCGAATTGGGATCTACCTCATGGCCAATCTTTGTCTCAAGCTCCTATTTCAGGTATGCAAATCAGTTTGCGCTCCCGCGCCTCCCCCACCCAGGCTTGATCTTGGGCTTCAGCTCTCCCGAGAAATCGTGGGCCTATTGACAGACAACCCTAGCTGACCAAATCGATCAAACCAGTGCGGTAAACTCCGTAATGCCGAACAGATGTTCGCCAGCATCAGTGCCCATTCCCCTCCCTTAGCCTACTTTCCGGCCTCCCAGCGTGTCACCTACCTTTACTACCTGGGGCGCTATCTCTTCTCCAACAATCTCGTCTATCCGGCTCTGATTGCTCTGCAAGCTGCCTATGATCAATGCCACCGCCAAGCACTCAGTCAGCGACAACTGATTCTCACCTACCTGATCCCCTGCAACATCATTCTCGGGCGTTTCCCGTCTCGGAAGCTACTCAACCGCCCGGAGGCCCAATCTCTGGGAGAGAAGTTTGAGCCACTCTGTCGCCTAATTATCCGGGGCGATTATATTGCCTTTCGCCAACACCTCTCGCCAGAGTCACCGGCAGCGCACTGGTTTAAAGGGAAAGGGATCTTGCTGCCTCTGCGAAATAGATGTGAGATTTTAGTCTGGCGGTCCTTCTGTCGCAAAGTCTTCGTTCATGCCGGATTTCAGGTGGAACCACAACCGCAGGCACCACGAGGACCCCCTCCCTTCCTTTATCTGCACAAGCTGGCCGCGGCTACTCAGTGGCTTCAATCCCGCCATCAATCACCACGGGTGAATGGGTTGGCATCTAATATAACAAATTTCCACTCCTATGGCTCTCAGTTAATCGCCGAGCCCGAGGATCCTGACTTTGCGGGCGTTGGGGATCCGGGCAGTCTGATGACTCAGGAATTGTTAATGAAGTATGGTGACTACTGGGCCCCCGAGGGCTTTTTCGATGAGAGTGGCCATTGGCAGGAAAATGTCCCTGGTCAACTAATTGATGGTCACCCTGCGACAGACTTTGAGCAATACGAGTTGGACCCGTATGCGGTGGGCGCCGGTGAAGATGTCGAAGCCGAGAAGCAATCCTTACTTATGGAAGAGGTAGAATCCATTCTCGCCTCCTTAATCACACAAGGACTGATACGGGGCTATCTGACTCACCGAAACCCCCGATTTGCGATACCCGGAGCACGGCAAACAGGAGCCATCCCTATCGGATTTCCGATAGTCTGGAAAGCGATCATGGCTCGGGAGCAAGAAGATTCCAATGTCCCTGGATGGGTTCGACCCGCACCGCCGACCACCTTGGGTGGTCCAGGGCTAGGGGGAGGGGGCCGAGTGGTGAATCTGAAAGGGGCGCGGCCTGTCGGCATGCAGCAAGGTTGAACACAGATTCAACAAAGTTTTCCCTAACATTTGGTCTTATTGAATGATACCTCAACCTCGTACACGCCCAGCAGTCTTGGTCGAATCTTGACTCTTGCGAAATCACCCCTACATGATGGACTCATTCTGAATCTGTACCGGGTACATCTCCGTCAAATAATTCGCTCAAATGTTATTGACGCCCTAGGAAGGGGTTGCCGCTTACGAATCTGGTCTTTTCTACCTTTCAATTTAGGGATCTGTGATTTCCTACATGTGGTCAGTTTTGCCATTCCCGGGTTAGCATCGTCCAGGGAAAGTTTTACGAATACCACCGAGTTCCCGGGCCAATTTGGTTCAGGGTGATTAGACAGACCTCTATTTTCACGACCGTTTAGCTCAAAATCTGTCGTCACAGAGCCTTTCCACCACTGTCAATTTCCGAGGGCCAAGGATCCTTGGAATCAATCATTCGTGGAAATCTCACTTGGCTGGCAGCTCTCGAGAACGATGTGCGCTTCAAAACCATGGAGACTCTACCAGGGCATCATGTCACAGTGGAAGAGATCAGCATATTGCTTAAAGCTTGAGTGGGTCAGGTGCATTCTGCAAGCATACTGTACAGCCATGAAATCAATTATTGATATGCTTGCAAACGATCCCCTCCAGTATGATTCAATCGCTGTTATTTGTAGCAAAAGGATATTGATCTTAACGTAAAGAGAGCACTGGTGGCGACGACGACAATAAGTGATGAATGGCCACGCTTGAATACCGATACTAGAATACGAGTGGTTCTAGAGCCGCATAGAATACTATGCCATGGCCACCAGATGTATCGTGGCTAGAATTGGATTTTGTGTGCCTTCAATACTACTATTTCATACTGCTGTTATCTTCCCCGCCCAATGCAATAATAAATAAACTATCGTACGTAGCACTAACACATTAGATCAAAGTCTATTACTATTGCAACCGAAATAATACTACAATCAAGGTAGTATCAATAGTGATTACATTCACTACTCTACTATCACAATGAGGGGTATGCATTGGGGCTTGCTTTTCGAATGTGACTTTGGCTTTGGTATTGTTGTCTCGTATAGGTCTGCGCATACATGAGCTAGTATTGTAGAAAGGCGGCCGTTTCTGGCACCAGGAACGGCACCAGAGGCTTGCATTGCCGGCGTTGACTTTGCAAGTCCCTGAGTCCAGGTTGTAAAATATATTTTTACATCCGCTAGTCACCCAGTCATAGCTTGGACTTGGCCCACCACATCTCCGGACACCATATCTCGTTTAGCAATCGAGTAGCGTTGACCATGTCGGGGTGCAACTGATCTAGCGAGGAGACGCCGAGCATCTTCATAGTGATTTCCATCTCTTCGGCCAAGACTGTGGTTTCCAGGTCAGCGATCATGATCCAGAGATCCTTATTTTGATCAATCGATAGCAGTCGAAACTCACTCTCAGTGCACTTCTCCACGCCTTCAATCCCATAGGCTGCCATTGCGTAGAAATATGGCCGGCCCACGCCTACGGCGGTAGCTCCCAAGCAAAGGGCCTTGAGCACGTCTGCTCCATCCCGCAGTCCTCCGTCGACAAAAATCTCGAGTTTGTCAAAGGCCTCGGGAAAATACCTGCGAATCTCCAAGAGTGTCATCAAGGCACTGGGGGCCGAGTGAATCTGCCGACCACCGTGATTACTTAGAAGAACTCCCTGCACACCGTGCTTCACCGCTAGTTTCACATCCTCCACCGTCTGCACCCCCTTCAACACAATGGAGCCCTTCCATTCATCAGATATCCAGGCCAAATCGTCCCAGCTGAGACCCGGGTCTAGAAACCCCGGAACGGGTCGGCCTCCAAAGGCCGGGGCAAAGCGATTTTCGGACCCGGCACGCCGAACTTGCTCGTGGGCATCTTGGTCTAAGCCTTCTTGCGCTTGCAGGTAGCGATCAGCCGTTCGCTTCCCCAGAATCGAAGTATCTACAGTGATCCAGAGACTTTGGTACCCAGCTGCCTTGACTCGTTGAATCAAGGTCCTGGCAAGGCCCCGATCGACGGGAACATACAACTGAAAGGCCAGCCTCGAGGGGCTTTGTTTACCCAATTTTTGCTGTTCATTCAAATGGGCCTCCATGATCTCCTCTAAGGGTTTGGTTGATGCGGTACTGACCACCATGTGCAATCCCCCTCGCGTCGCTCCCCGAGCCAGTAAGGATTCAGCACCATCATGCGCACTGCCCAGCGTCCCCATCGCGGAGATGAAGAAGGGAAGTCGCCCCGGCTGGCCCAAGATAGACCTAGTTGTGTCCAACGAGCTCACGCTCCTCATGATCCGCGGCCGGAAATTGATTCGAGACCAATCGTCCAGATTCGACTGCAGCGACAGACCTGATGCTGCGCTACTTGATGCATAGACCCAAGACTTCTCCGAGAGGACTTCCTTTGCAGCAGCCTCAAAGTCTCGTGTTTGCACGCATAATTCCAGCCTTGATGGTGTGTTATTGAGGGTCATGGTGTAATAGTGTATAGTGTATAGTGGATGAGTTGTGTGTCAGAAAATGTACAAGGGTACTGGAGACTGATGCTAATTTGTTTCAATCAATAGAAAATGCCCCTGTTGTGAAATTGACAGTTGAGACTGATTGGATGCAAGAATTATTTGGAGGTGTTGCGTAGAATCGACAGCGGCGATGGATGTTCAATGTGGAGAGCTTTGAATTTTGCAGGCAGAAACAGTCTGATTGGGATCTATAAAGCGGAGAAAGACTGACCTACGAAATGTAAATCGTGAATGATGACACTGGAAACTCATATCCGTAACGCCGATCTCGGGTTCTCCCTGCTATTCCCCGTTCTTCACCTTGGCTGCTTTCTGTTTGCGCTTCCCCGTGGAGTGACTGGTGATGAAATAGCTATGTAGGTTGACTCGGAACTCCTCGCTTCCGAACGAATGATCAACCACGCTGGCCGACTCCACGAGGGCCACTGGGATTGCTAGAATGCGAGGATCTGGGGAGCCGGATGCTCGAAGCTACCCCAGCCCGGCTTTGCTCCGAGGCCCAGGAGGAAGGACAGACTGACCGGGGTCAGAGAGTTATTGGATTCACTTTTCGAATATCCCGCGTGGCGCCACTTCGGAAGATTGAGGTATTAGCAGATTCCTTTTTCCCTTGGCCAACGTCGGCATCTGATCGGTCTTTGCAACGATGGGGTTTCGGGCCGTCGAGGATCGGCCGACCCCGACGGACATCTACCACCGCCTCTACTCGGAGGTCATCGTCATTTCCACGAGGCGACTCTCCACGAATGATGATCGGGCTCTGATAACAGCTGGCTGACTCGGCCGATAGCGTTGGTTCGACCAGCCAATTGTGGGAATGACAATAGCCCGCGATCGGCCTCCTGATCGATTTCCGCATCACAAAGACCAAGCAGCGCCATCTGAAGAAACATCATCGACCCTTCAGGCTGGAGCCTTCATTCATCCCAAATAATTCTTTCTTTGTGAGTTTTGCCCCAGTTGCTTCCATGTTTTATTGCAGGCCTTGGGAACCCTAAAACGTATAGAGATCATAGAGACATTGGAAACCTTGGGAATCCAAGACATCGACAATCTTTTTCAGCCATAACTTAAGCGACTAATACAGGTTTGACTTGTTTTATTACGGGACCTAGTTTTTCTTCGCCAGATCACAAGTCATTGCAGCTACCTGATCGTACTTTCTGCTGCAGGAGACGAAAGCTCCCACGACTGACTAAATACTGCAGTGAGGAAATGGCCAATACTAGGGAGACTTCTAATTGGAGGATATCTTTCTAGTACCCAGTCTTTACAGGATATAGCTTCGCATCTCCGATGGGGAGAGAATCAACTTTCACACTCTCTTCGCTTCATCTGCTTCTGCTTTCCCTTTTGGCAGGCTTTCTCTATCGTGGTGTGTGGTGGTTTGTTGGTCTGTTTACAGTCTGTTCGCCGACCTATCTCATTCTGCCTGTTTTCTCAGGCTTGCCGTAGAGCGCCCTGGTTCAATACCTATGATTTGATATGTTGACTCGCACAGAAATTTCTTTCTTTTTTTGGATGATACTTCTGGCAGTGGCTAGAATCAACCTGATCGCCACGACACTTCCCATAGTTAACTTGCTACGACGTGTATATCTTCATCGACCACGCTGGAGAAGGGAAGCGAAGTTAAGTATTTGATGTTGTTTAGAATATTTAAGTCCTTTGAACTACAGTCTCTCTAGTAATATAGAAAAAAGAAAATATTTGGCTCGATATATTATTTCCGTCTGGTCTAATAACAAATTTCTTCCAGAGCTTTTTTTGTGATTCATTTAATGAAACAGGTCCCTTGTTGATTAAAAGCTTATTCAGATTTTCCAATGAACTTATCATTTAAAAAGACCCCTCATATTTCTCAATCGAAGTGAATAATTGTGATCAAGTAGCCAGATATATAGTTCCTTGGTCATTATATATTAGACATTCATTCATTCCTCAAGAGGTGACTGTCTACAGGGGAGTTGAATCTTATCATCAAAGTACAATTCCTGAGCTCATCTAAAATCTACCGCAGGTCTGATTAGCCAGTGACCCAAAGGAAAGATGACGCAGAGCGAATGCTATCTTACAGCATGATCATCTTCTCTACCATCGCGTTATCATGGGTGGTTTTATCATTCTTGTGCAGTTTATTGTTGATATTTGCTCCATTCATTGGACTGGTAACTCTCATTGTGGGTGAGGGGGTGGCCAATGAATTAGGGATAGTGCGCTTCATTGGCATGGACATGGACATGGAGGAAGTAGCCGGTTGCTCGATTTTCTGAAAGTGTTGCTTAGTGAAGTAATATTTCAGTAGAACGGCGATTCAATTACCTGATGGTGCTGCGAACATTGTGGACTATCAGCTATAGGAACTAGAATTGACAGCGAATATGGTCAAGAAAATCACCTGTTGGGCTCCACTATGCGGCATAGACGCCGCCATAGTGGCGAAAGCGGCACAAATAAGCTCGAAGCGCATATTGGAATAGGTGCACTTATTGTAATATATAGTAGGTCAAAGGCGAGAGGTTCTTAGTGAGTTTGTTGATGATGAAGAACTACAATATCTTCTGTTGACAGGAAATTAGTTTCTTAAATAATTCTTTCTTGAAAGCAACACCGCAACTAAACTAAATGGCCTCATTTTCTTCTGACGCAGCTTTGATGATGACAAGAATCCTAGAGAGTATCGACGTCATGGGTCATAATGTTGAAGGTGTGACAGGCTACTTGAGATCGACAACAAGATGACGAAACGAGCTTATACATAGACACTAATAGAGAACAAACGCCCTTAGATCGGAATGTGGAACAGACGTTGGTCCAAGCTCAATGACATTTGCATTCCACTGACGACTAATACCCCTTGATTCTCCTTGGCCCAGTATATAGCCCATTTATCAAGGGCGGTAAGTGTTGGGATGTCGATGATACAAACAAGAATCCACATCAGAACTAGGCGATATAGTTTCACCTAGCTTACTATGGAAGTAAACCGACTCTCCTTCCATGTACTATGTATCGAATTTCATTCCTCTCTATGAACGCATACCCCAAGCTTTTATTGTCCTATATCTGAATTCAGTGCTAATTGGATGCACGATGTCGCTTCCAACTAGCAAACATAAAGCATATGGAGAACAGGAGCCCTAGCCCGGCTAAACCGACACCCATATAGAGTGCGCCTCGGTAGCCGCGAAGGGTATTTTGCCCCGCGTCGTTTACATGGGATTCCACGGTACCCGCAATTCCAAGTCCGAGGGAGATGGAGTAGTTGACTGTGGTGGCAACGAGGGATGCGGCTAGCCCTTGATGGTGGCGGGGCATGGCATTACTGAGAATGAGCGTTCCCGATGGAAAAGACATATCCCTAATTCATGTGAGCAAACAATTCGACGAAATAACGAACTTTCAAAGACATACATTCCCCATGAGGTGATCAGACTAACGACAAACGCCTGTGCCCAGTATGTTTGATCCACGGGAACGGTGGCAAAGATCGAGAGACCGGCTGTGAAGAACGCCATTGCGCAGAACATGATGACGCTCGGTGGCAAGCGACTGAGGAGGAATCCAGTAACGAGGGCGGCGACAGCGCCCGAGGCAGCAGCGCCAGACCATTTAGCCGTCGTCAACAATGGAGAATCGCCCTTGATGACCTCCATGAACTGGTAGAAGTAGTATATAATTATACCGAAGCTTGACCACCCAGCGGCAATACAACCCAAGACCCAGGCCAGATCGCCGGTGAAAATCGATCGCGGCAAGAGCGGACACACTGCTTGTCGCTCTATGATCGCAAATGCGCCTAGGCAAAGGAATCCAACAATAAGAAGCACGTATGTATACGGCTCCACCCAGCCAACCAAGGCGGCTTGGTTCCAGGCAAAGTTGATCAGCACCAACCCCAAGATACCAGTGAAGCCACCTAGTAGATCAAGTCTCTCCCAGAAGTTCAAATCGTTGTCGAACATTCGTTGCGGTGTAGATGGGATAACCAGCCAACCGACCATCGCAAGAATTGCACAGACGATGCCCATGACCCAATAGCCCCATGGCCACCAGACCAATTGCGCGAAAAGAGAAGAGAAGACACCACCGACAATGAAACCTCCAGGGGCAGTTGCTCCGAAGAGACTAAAGATCATTTCTTTTCGAAGGCCCGGGGGTAGGTTCGGCCTAGTAAGGCAATCGCATTGGGCAATAACATCGCAGGGCCAATTCCCTGAAGTGCGCGACAGCAATCAAAAAAGATCTGATTAGACCAGATACTGAATCCTGCCAGTAGTGACCAGAGACTGAACCAGCCAAAGCCGATGATAAACATGCGCCGATGGCCATAGACGTCACCAAGGCGACCGGCTAGAAGAATAAATGTGCCCACAGTCAAGCTGTATGCGGCTGCAAACCAACTGAGCTCCGCAGCATTAGTGGTGCCAAAAGTGTGACCAATAATATGGACTGGGGCAATCGACATGCAAAGGCCTGCTTGGGTCATGAACTGCGCCATGCAGACGACGCTCACGAAAAGAATCTCCCGGGGAAGGGACTCAGGCGGATCCATCTGAGACTGACATGTTTCTAGGCGTGTCAAGGCTTCCGGGTCGCTTCCTTGTCGTGTGGGAGGTTTCTCAATATCGTCGCACGGGCGCACGTCCGAGTCGGTCGTTGACTCGCACTGGCGAGAGTTGGGATCCATGGCCGAGTCTTCTTGAGAACCTCCTAGACGGAAAGGCGGAAGCGTGAGGATAAATTAAAGATGTAGCAAGAGCTTTTCCCAAGCCATCTCATCTGGATTTTCCGTCTTTTGTCATGCCCAACATTTATCAGATCCGGGCGAGAGGTGGAGTTCATGTGCTTCTATACTTCCGTCGGGCCGGGATCCGTCGGAAGACTCCATTGTGGTTCAGCTCCGCGAAAGGGAAAAGCCAAAGCTTCGTCAGGAAGATCCGTTGCAAAATAGTCAACTACTCGAGGATAATTTGCTTGCTTCGCTCCTGAAATCCACAGTGTTGGATTCATGGAAGAGTGAATCAGGCCCAATCTTCGGATGCCGAGTCAAGTGACGGGGGGCCCGAGTTCCCTCAAGTCTCGCCTGAGCGAACCGGAGAATTCCCCACGTCATATCGCGTACTGCGAGATGCGGTGCTGGCGATCACCCAGGCATCGGGCTGCACGGTCATTCTGATCTGATATTAGCACTGAGCAAAGAGTTTATAGTTTTTCTCCGATGAGCTTTCTCCGTTTTCCTGTGGGAAGGCCACCGAAGTATAACTATCTGAGGTTGCTTTTGTTACCACAGTTTTGTGCTTCTCATGACACTATGCCTCCGCATTGTACCATTAGGGGTTCTGTAAGCTCAAGCACTCCATGATTTGATTTCCTGCTTTGAACACTTTTTTCAACTGCTGCTTTAGTCGATATTGTTTGTTCAATGCTACCACTATTTCTATACAAACCCTGGTGCTCTTGCGTCAAACCCTCCAGTAACTGAAACCGCCGGTATCGTTCCCCGGGCTTTGCGCCGTTACATAAGCATCACATGCCAGCCGCTTTTTTCTTTTGAGTTGGCCATGTTCGCTCTATTCGGCCTTCAAATAACCCCCCCTCGCGGCTTCTGCGCGCTGCGTGCATCCCAATCATGCCCTGCTGAGCTTCATGGGACTTCCTGTCTTGCAAATACCCCACCGTTGCCGCTTCGTGGAGATCAGTTCGACGTGAAGCTCCCCCGCACCTTCCGCTGTCTGCCAACCTCCCCACACTCTTGATCGCTCAAAGACGGCCGTCATTATGGCGGAATTGCCGCCTATTGTCTTCATTGCCAGGTAGTGCTATCAGTCTCTTGAGTCGATTCTTCGCTGGCATTAACTTCGAGTTTTTTCCAGACATGGCGCCCGTCTCGATGCCGCTGACAAGGACTGGCATTTGACCTCGCCCACCCCCTATGACCCTCCCCTCTCCTATGGTGGATGGATCCAGGCTCGAGCTCTAGGAACCCGGATTGCCAGTCTGTTAAGGGCATCAGAACTTACAGGCAAAGACTCAGTGGGCGACCGCGCCCAATCTGCAACCTCGGAAACCCCGGTTCATCTACCGTCACCCCCCGCATCCTCGGAGTTGTGCAACCGATACAATATCGTCATCCACACCTCTCCATTTCTACGATGTCTCCAAACCGCGATCGGGGTTAGTGCCGGCCTGAGCCAATCAAGACTGGAGCCGCCCGAGATCGCCGTGGAATCCGCACACAAGGACACTCGCCCTTTGTTGCGCGTGGACGCCTTCCTCGGAGAATGGCTCTCGCCAGACTATTTTGACCAGATCGTCCCCCCTCCTGCATCGGATAGGATGATCGCCTTGGCGAAAGCCGAGCTTCTTCGCCGGAGCGAGGGAATCCCAGTCACCCGGGAAGGGACGCGATCGTTGTCGGGGCACTTTCCAGGCGGGTGGAGTAGCAGCCAGTCCAACCCAACATCTCCGCATGACGAGGATGACCGCCGTGCACCTTCCCGAGGATCCTCCACCATCACCGCCACGATTATGGGGGGTCAGGCTCAACGACAACGGGCCAGCACCTATGACAATCTTCAAAGTCCCACTGACATAAGCACGGGTCGCATCTCCAACGGTCCCAAGGCACTCGGTCGTTTGAATACGGATCTCCCTGCGATGGCCGATACAGCCTATGTGCCTCCGACTCCCGGATATGCAGTTTCACCCTCGGACCCGATCCCTGCCGGGTATGTGGCCCATGCCAGGGACGCTTGTACCAATATCGACTACCAGTGGGACAGCATGCGTACCCCGTTTTGGGGGACAGGGGGCGAATACGGGGAGGAGTGGAGTAGCATGCATGAACGCGTTCGTCAAGGCTTTCGACAAATGGTCGACTGGTACCAACAGGAGAACTGGGCCACTCGGGACCGTTCAAGACGTCTGTCGAATGGTGCTCCCCGCAAGGAAGATTTTGCCCAGACAGTGCTTGTCATCATCACCCATGGGGCGGATTGCAATGCCATGATAACCTCGTTGGCGGGCCATTCGGTGCTTCTTGACATCGGAACCGCATCCCTCACCATGGCAGTACGGCGGGATCGGGTGACGAGTTCCCCGCTCGAGTCCGACCGTAACGATCGATCTTTGTCGCTGGACTATGCGCTGCAGCTGGTGGCGTCGAGCGATCATCTGCGCGCGGGGGTAGACCCCTCGCAGCTCCCATTACTCACGTCGCTGTCGTCTGCCTCGGCTTCGCAATCGCTGCCGCCCCCCATCCCCTTCTACCGGAACCGCCTCGGCTCGCGCCCATCCGCTTCGCGCCCAATCCTGCAAGGCTCATTTACGTTGGGGCCAACTGCGGCAGTCGGACCCAACTCGCATGGTTGGTCTCTCGCTCCGCGATCATCGACCTCCACAACCACGCCTCGAGGGGCGTCAGGCTTGTGGAATTCCATCGCATCCCCAATCGAGAAGAATCCGGATGAAAATGATGATGATCTGGATGACTTTGTTCCCAACTTTGGAGACCGGCCCGTCAGCCACGGCTCTAATCATGCAAGTCCCACTTTGGATCGATCAGGGTGGATAAAGCAATCGCCTCAGCGAACCCTCTCCCAGCGTGGTCTCTGGGGCAGTGCTCCCACCTTGGACGATCGTGACGGAACTTCACGCCGGCGCTGGACGGTGGCGGAACAGAAATTGTGATTCATCTTGAGCTCTCTGAACACTGGACGATTTCACCCTTCTATAACAAAGCCGTATGCTCTACGAGCCCTGTCTCCTTGCTGTTCTTGCTGTCGTCTTTATTCTCTATCTGCTTGCGTTTGTTTATCTTGTCGGGGATGAATTCATTTATGTCCCTATGTGTTTTTTAGGATACCTCTTTGCATGGCGCCGGGCGTTTGGCAAATCGCATCTAGTCATTCTCCTTTATCTTTGGTTTCAATTCATATCATCTTCTTGTCTTCGCCTCATTTTCTGAGTCGGGAATTTTTTTGGCTGTCAATCTCGACTTGGCTTTTTCCTCTCCTGATATTTGAACCCTCATTTATCAGGCATTAAGGCACTCAGGCATAAAACAGTTGTTCCCCGGATTCTCGTTGTCCCGCCTTCGTCCTCTCGTAAACAAACTCCCCCTCACTCTCCACTCCCTTCGCGCTGTCGTGCTGCCAGGCTTCGATCTTCTTTGATTTCTTTTCTCTGTATTTCAAATTTTTCGCCTGAACAATCGCCCTCGCCCTCCGACAGTCAATGTCAGCTCTCGAGTCCGACGGTCTCTCCGTCATATTTGCTTCGGGCCGTACAGACACGCCGGATCTGCGGCTGATCCACTACAATGATGTCTATCACGTCGAGTATGATAGTCCTCCACCACATCGATGGTTAATCAAGATGTAGAACGCAGCTGACTGAGCAACATAAGATCCGGATCTGCGGAGCCCGTAGGCGGCGTCTCCCGATTTCAATCACTCGTGAACTACTATCGCTCCGACTCAAGATTTGCTGGCCAAACCGACCTCCTGACCTTCTTCTCGGGAGATGCCTTCAACCCCAGCCTTGAAAGCACTGTGACCAAAGGCAGACATATGGTACCGTTCTTGAACAAAGTTGGAACTGATGTGGCCTGCGTCGGGGTGAGTGACCATTGGGTTGGAATCTTGGCGGGGATATGGCTGACTTGGTCAGAATCATGATCTAGATTTCGGTGTTGCACAATTCCGCCACTTGTCAAGCCAATGCCATTTTCCATGGCTATTAGCCAATGTTTTGGATCCGGCACTGGGAGACGATGTTCCAATGGCCAATTGTGGGAAAACCTGCATGCTCACCTCATCGAATGGCATCAAAGTGGGTGTGATTGGCCTCGGGGAAAGGGAGTGGTGAGTGGACCCCTCCCCTGCGTCTCGACTCGGTGTCTCATCTCAGTCTTTGTGCTCATTCTTATTTAGGCTTGGGACAATTAACTCCCTTCCCCCAATCTGATTTATAAATCAGCGAGCCAGACGGCACGAGAGCTGGCTCCACATCTGCGTGAACAAGGCGCCGAATTGATTGTCATTGTCTCCCACCAGCGTGAACCTAACGATGAAAAATTGGCGAGGAACCTACCACTAGGACTCGTCGATATTATTCTGGGTGGCCATGATCATTATTATGCCCACAGTATCGTCAATGGAATACACGTTCTTCGGTCTGGGACGGATTTCAAGCAATTGAGTTATATCGAGGCTTTTCGGAAGCTTGGTGGAGAAGGATTGGGTTGGGATTTCAATATCATGCGGCGCGACGTGATACGTTCCATTCCCGAGGACTCCGAAACGGTAGCAATGGCTGATCGCCTGACATCCAGCCTCAAAGCGAAATTGGAAAAGCCGGTTGGGTACACCGTTAGTCCACTCGATGGCCGCTTCACCACAGTACGGCAAAGAGAATCCAACTTGGGTAATTTTGTCTGCGACCTAATGCGCTTTTACCACTCTGCTGACTGCGCCATGATGGCGGGTGGGACCATCCGAGGAGATCAGGTTTACCCCCCGGAGTCCTGAAGTTGAAAGACTTACTGAACTGCTTCCCTTTCGAAGATCCAGTGGTTCTACTTCGTGTCCAAGGCCAGGCTTTGTTGGATGCTTTGGAGAATGGGGTCAGCCAACTTCCTGCACTCGAGGGGCGCTTTCCTCAAGTCTCAAATATCTCTTTTGGTTACAAGCTTGATGCACCATCAGGGTCCCGTATCACGTTTGCCCACGTGGGAAATGAACCCATTGATCTTCGTCGGTATTATACTCTTGCCACTCGTGGGTATATGGGGCGTGGAAAAGACGGGTTTGAATCTCTGTTAGTCAAGTGTGAGGGAGGAGAAGTAGAAGAACTTGTGTGTGAGGAAAACGGCGTTCTGATCAGCACAATCCTTCGTCAGTACTTCATGAGCTTAAAGGTCCTGGGAAAATGGCGTCGGTGGAGTGCCAGTCTTCATCGGCACTGGGGTTCCGTGCACCGCAATCTTCACGGAGAAGGTTGGCTGAAGCCACCATCTGCAACCCCATCACCAGTGGCTGAGAAGGCCCCAGCACATCGATTGAGTCCCCGGCCAGCTCTCCACCGAACAGGTCGAGAAGCATACTACTATGGCCGCTTTCCTGAGGAGGTAGACCAGAACCAAGCCTCCACCAATGGGACCAATAGTGATGCCATGGATTCCGATTCTGATGATGACCCAGACATTCTTACATCCCCCCGATCGACCATCAACTATGTAACACGCCCTGCAAAATCCTCTATGGATGAAGATTACCGTCTGCAGTTGGCACGTCGGGTGGTTCGCAAATGGATGCGGCATTCAGGTCTGAAGCCCGACACCCTTGATATGATGGATGGAGAAGGCGAGTTCACGCCAGCATGGACATCAGGTATTGCGCCACGTCTTGAAGGGCGCATTGTAGTGGAGTAGCCATGTTAAACCATGGTTCAATTTCTCATCTTTCTTGCTTCAACTTCATTTGGCCCCTCATTCCTTTCCTTTCATGTCCTTTGGGCCAGCACTGCATCGCTGCCTAGCGGGAATTACGGGTGTTTTATGGACTCTTGATACATAGGGGGATTGCATTGAAGATCACGATCTGACGAAACCTTTATTTTCTAGATAAGTCCTCATGCATATAGTATTTCGGACGGGTAAATAGATTTTTATTTTTTATTTTTTAGTTTGGGCTGCATGTATTTGTCCATGCCAACGACCAATTTCTTTCATAGAACGACGCTAGTAGAATAGGTAGTATTTGAACCTGCCTGTGCACCTCCAAGGTTTTATTGCATCATGTCTGATATATTTAAACTATGATATATTTGCAAGCCTCCAGGTTCAAGTATACAAGATGCTCATGCAGTCGCTTCCACCTTGCCCCATCCACCTCCACCAGCAGTCATAATAACGACCCGGTCGTGCGTCTTCACGGCCACAGTATTCTTACCACCGATGTTGATCCGGCGCTCCTCGCCTGTGTCGAGGTCTCGTGTGATCCATTGATTCAGTCCTGATTGCGCGTCGCCTCCACCCTCCATACCGTAAGGCCGATGTACGCGACGCTCAGACAGGATAGAGCACTGCATCGGGGCAAGGAACTCAATGTCACGGACCACACCTTCTCCACCCGGATTCTTACCCTGGCCACCAGAGCCCTCACGCAAAGTAAATTGACGAAGCAAAGTTGGGTAACGCTTCTCAAGGATCTCGGGGTCCGTGATACGAGTGTTGGTCATGTGAACCTGAACACCAGATTCACCTTTCCAAGACGGGCCGGCGCCGCTGCCGCCTGCAATAGTCTCGTAATATCCGAACCCAGGAGAGATCACAGCTCCAGTGTTAGGGTCCACTCTTGGATTTGTGCCAAATGTCAAATTGTTACAACAACCCTGAGATGCGGCACATACTCGGAAAGCTTTGAGGACAACATCGGTGATACGCTGAGAGGTCACCACGTTGCCACCCACAACGGCCGCGGTCTTGGTTGGTGATAAAATGCTCTTTGGAGGAACTCGAATGTCGATTGGGGCAAGACAGCCCTGGTTCAGTGGAACATCGGCATTAATCATGCACCGAAGACAGTAGATGATCGCCGAGTGCGTGATAGCGATGGGTGCGTTCCAGCTGCCGTAAACCTCAGGGCCCGTACCTTCAAAGTCGAAGACAGCTGACCCGGTTGATTTATCAATGGTCACCTTGAGACGAATGGGTGTGCCATCATCCATATAGTCTATCGACTCTAAAGGCTGGCCGTCAAACTTCTTATGCAAATCCTTCAGAAGATTCCGCACAGCAGACTCAGCTGTCGCTTGAATGGCATACATGTATTTCTGAACTGTGCCAACGCCATACTCAGAGAATAAATTCTGAATAAGGTTTATACCACGAGTGTTTGCTGCAATCTGCGCCTTGAGGTCAGATAGGTTGTCGCTGATACACCGTGCGCCAGCACAGCCTGGATATTGGGAAGGCTTGGTAACCAGCAGTTCGATCAAGCGGGCTTCGTCTAAGATCCCATTACTAACAATCTTGTCACCTTCGATTGCGGCACCTTCCTGCCACAGCTCCGTTGATTTAGGAGGCATTGATCCAGGCAAGATGCCGCCAATATCAGCGTGGTGACCTCGCGATGCAACGTAGAACATGATCTCAGTGCCATTAGGCCGATCGAAGACGGGAGTAATGACCTTTTATCGAATATATCAGCTTCAAATTCTACCTTCAAATGTGGGAATGAAGAAGCAAGTCAAAAGCAGGTACCTACCGTGATATCAGGAAGATGAGTACCACCGCAGCTTGGATGATTGGCCACCAACACATCTCCATCTTTCAAATTACCCAGCCACTTTTGGTGCTGATAGCGCACTGCAAACTGCATTGATCCCAGATGTACTGGTACATGCGGTGCATTTGCCACCAGACCTCCATCAGGGGAGAAAAGAGCGCAGGAGAAGTCCAATCGCTCCTTGATATTTGTCGACACGGAAGTCTTTTGGAGTGTTCGCCCCATCTGTTCTGCAATAGACATAAACCGATGGCCAAAAATACTAAGGCGAATAGGGTCGACCTCAAAATTGGTCTTAGAGTCTGGAAAAACAACCGCCGGCTTATTTTTGATATCAATGACAATGCAGGTTTCCAGAAGACTTGCCATCGCATTAGGTGCCACAACAATAGTCTGTGTTTGATCAATGATAATAGCTGGGCCAGAAATACGACTATGCTTCTCTAGTTGATCAAGAAGGTAGACAGGCGTATCAATGCGCTGAGGGTAGCCATCAAAATAGGCAGATGCTGTGTTGGCAGGTTCGGTTCGGACATCATGTACCTCGGCATCCTTTAATTGAACCAACGGGCTGCGCTCGGTGCGAACTTTGGAAGAGGCAATTGTACGCACGCGGATATCATCGACAATAACCGATCTCTCGGAAACAAAATTAAACTCGCGGCGATGGCGATCACGGAATTCGCTCAAAAAATCAGATGAGCCCTCTGGACGCAGGATCATCAGGCTTGTGTCAGACCCGTCGTATCGCATATTGAGATATTGTTCATGTCGTACTTGGTTGGGTGAGAAACCTTGTTCCTGCATCTCTGTTGTCGCTGCCGCCGCCATATTCTCGAAACGTTGTAGCAGGCCGAGGTGAGAAGACTGATACTCCGAGGACACTGGCTCTTGAGATTCAGTGACCACTTCCGCTAGAGCCAAGCCATAGGCTGAGAGAACAGAAGAATATTTATGAATAATAATACGCGATATTCCTAAAGAGTCGGCCACAGAGCATGCATGCTGGCCACCAGCTCCTCCAAAGCAGGCCAGATGGTGGGATGCAGTCTCAAAGCCCCGAGCTTCGGTAAGGTTGCGAATTGGGCGGGCCATTGATTCGTCTGCGACTTTGAGGAAACCAAGTGCCACATCCTCCGGGGTATATTCAGCTTGAAAGTGTTGCCGACGTTCTATATTGATATTTTCTGTCAATTCTTGGAACTTCTGAGTCGTGAGCTCGGTATCAAGAGGCTGATCCTCATTGGGGCCAAAGATGTTTGGGAAGTACTCAGGCAGCAAACGACCAAGGAATAGATTTGCATCAGTGACAGTCAGAGGACCTCCCTTCCGATAACACGCTGGGCCAGGGTGTGCACTAGCTGATTCGGGTCCAACATAAAAGAGACCATTGCGCCAAGAGAGAATTGACCCCCCACCAGCGGCGACTGTGTTAATGTCGAGTTGAGGAGATTGAATCAAAACACCGGCTACCTTGGACCCAAAAACATGTTCTAAGTGGCCGTCAAAGCGCGACACATCCGTTGACGTGCCACCCATATCGAAACCAATAACAGGGATCTTCTGAACCGGATCCCAGCTGGTAGCGGCAAATCCAACGACTCCGGCTGCAGGCCCGGAAAGAATAGCTTTCAGACCACTAAATTTGCGAAAATCAACCAGCCCACCATCAGACTGCATAAATTCAAAGCGACAGGCATGCTGACTTTCGAGGCCACCTTCGAAACTGGCAGAAATGGAGTCGATATACGTTTTGATCACGGGAGTGAGATATGCATCAGCCGCAGCGGACATACCGCGGGGAACAATTTTAATCATAGGCTGCAATTTTGAGGAGAGGGTGACAGAAAATCCCATCTGTTCTGCAATCTCCCCAATTTGAAGCTCATGATATGGGTACGCGAACGAATGCACCAGCGCCACAGAGAGAGACTGGTAACCTTGCGACTTGAGACGCTGAAGTTCTGTCCGCACTTGCTCAAGGTCCAATTCGCGTACCACGCGAAACTTTTCCCCAGTAATACCTTCCACAATCCGTGAATTCGGGAAGCAATCCTTATCGGACAGAAAATGGCATGGAACCACGCGTTCGTCGACCTCAACGACCCCTTCGGGTAACACTCCCGGGCGTGCCATAGACAGATCGAAGATGGCTGGGCGAGATTGATCGCCAATTTTGAGAAGATCCCGAAACCCTTTCGTTGTGAGCAAGACTGAACGAGCACCCTTGCGCTCCAGCAGGGCATTTGTTGCAACAGTGGTGCCCATTCGTAAGCAGCCAATGCGATCAAGCTTCAGCGGCTGGCCGCGGGGGTGGGGTTCGCCCGTCGCAAGCTCCAGGATTTGTCGAATTCCTTCCGTGGGAGCATCCTGGTAATGTGAAGGATCGACTGAAAGTAGCTTGAGAATGATGTCTGAACGACCCGGGACAATGGCATGAACATCCGTAAACGTGCCTCCGCGGTCGATAGAGATGGTGATCCTCCCAGTATCAGCCATTATGGGTGGGGAGGATTATAGGAGCGATTTATGGTGAATAAAAGTTGTGAAATTGAAGAGAGCCAGGTGGATTCATATATTCATTTCTCCATTGTCCCCACACACGCCGGTGATCCTGCCCGCTCATCCTGTATATGGTCACGTGTCGGGCCGATGGTCGGCTTTATCGGGATCGTCGGGCCGGTGGCTGGTCAGCAATTGCGATAACAACATTGGAGACGGCTGGCGACGGAATTTGGTAGGATTTGGTAGAGTTTGAGAGGATCAGGCGTACAATATATATCAACAAGTTCAACGTTCCAACGTTCCACTAGGCCATCACTCAGGGCGGATTGATATAGTTTATCTCTAAAAATTATCATAAATAGTGCTTGAAAGAGGTAGGGGAAACTACAAAGTGTGGTCCAAACGTAGGTAGGGAGTCGCATGATTGTCTCAGTCTTGGCTTCTATGTAGGATATTAAGGTCGCCCTTACGCGCCTATACAGTTGAAAGGGGTTTCTGAGCCATAATAGTATTTCTCAAGCTAATCAATCTCTCTGGCTTTCAGTAATACTATACATTCACTCCTTTCGTTTTAATGTGTTTTCAATCCAGTCTGTATCCATATCAATATCGATCTGGTTCAATGCTCCCTCCCAAAGACCGGGGTCGTCGTTGAGGTCGAACTGAAAAGAAATATCTTGCAAAGAAGGCAAATCTGATGAGTGGTACCAGTCTTCGTCCATTGATGAGCCTTGCGTCTCGGTATCGTTGATCAAGTCCGAATGGATAGTTCGGTCGCTCTTTTGGGTAGCATCACCATCTGACACGCTAGTAGTATTGAGGGCAATCGCCATAGGCCGAGGCTCAATGGATGCGCGTAGCTCTAGCAGCAAGGAGTGGCGCGCCTCTAGGTTAGTGTTACCTCGGTCAGCCATACTATGAAGCAATCGTAGTGCTGTCTCCATCGCCCGCATATTAGTCTCATTGTGTGGAAATGCAGCATTCACCATGACTAGCAAAAGAGCTGCAGAAAAAATGTACTCGCCATCCAGGTAGCCATACGTAGCTAGAAACCCCATCCAGTATCAGCATGCAGAAGAACAAGGCCGTGCTAGAAGAAGACCCAACATACCGACCAAGTTATGTTTCGCAGCTGCATCCATGATCACAATTGTGGCACGAGCAGCCGTGATACAGCTCTCGATCACAGCAACTGTGTTCGTGGCAAGACCTTCTTTCCAATCACCAGTGGAGCTTCCAAAGACCCCTGCATCAAGACGCCTCTGAATGATGTAGAAAACAAGCGGTCTGGCCGTCATATTGATACAGGAATAGAAGTGCAAATTGATTGACACGGTTTCACGATTAATGTGAGTGTCAAGAGAAGCAAAATCAATTCTCAGGCGATCAGGCACCTGTCGAAGCCAGCTAGAAAGGTCATCGGTGATGCTTTGCACCGACATAATAAGATTGGAGCCTGATCGTGGCTTTTTTCGGTATATCTCTTCGCAATCGAATGAGTTGATAGCTTGAACAACAACGAGTGGAGATTAATTGCATACACTCAACATACCTTCTCCGATCCTCCCCAAAATACGTGAGAGCTGTGTATAGTGGGTAAGGACAATTGCTGGCCATGGATCTGACGTTGAACCGTCCTAATAGATCAAATGGAGGTCAGACAAAAGGAAGTCGGAACTTCGCTGAATAGGCGATTGTAAAAAATGAAAAGAAAAAGGAAAACCATACTAGTGCAGCTGGCCACGTTATGCCGATATCTTCGTCTTGTATGGTAATTGGATTTCCAGATTTGACAGAAAGAACCCTTTTTTTTGCACAAAAGAAGTAGAAGTTGTTAGCTTCTCAATTTTTGTTGCATGCATATACCAAACCGTTCCAGGGTTGATTACCGGTCTAAACTATAAACAGACCACCATGCTCGACGTCGGCGATTACGGTCTGTTTCACTAATTTCCGGATCAGAAACTTCTTGGTGAAGGCCCAGAGAAATTGCCATGCGAAGTGCAAGGCCAATCTAATGAAAGTTAGACTCTGTGTCTCTTTCACAGAGACAAAAATGTAGATGATGAATATTCTCAACGTACATAAAGGAAGGCCGCATCACGACGGTTAAGATTTTGCATATAGTATGCCACATAGCACAGAACTTCGACGAAAAATATCGATCCTTCTTCATGGATATCGGGCAAAAGTCGCAAAGCATGTTTAAAGTATTTGAACCCGGGGGGGCCGTCATCTCCCGACCATTGGTTAACCGAGTACATTAGTCCAAATGCAACTACAAGCAGATATTGGCAATATATTAGACATTTTTCACGGTGAGAAAAGTCGGGCGGTTGATGATAGACAAAGTTCAGTCGTTTTTCGAATTCTCTAGGGTGAATCAGTGAGAAAATCGTGCCAATGTAGGCATACTGTACCCAGAAAAGCCGTTTAGCGAACTCAAACGGGGGCAACTGGGGCAATGCTCCTGTCACCGTGCGACGGAGTGATGAAGGATCATCATAGAGAGGACGCACATCCCAAGCTAGATCAGTGGATCCAGGATTGAGACGTCTGGCAAGGTGGGTGGTCGAGGAAGCACCAACGAAGTCTGCGAACATCCGTCAGTCTTGGGGCTTTCTTTCTTCTTCTATGAAGCTCGATAGCCTTTGAGGTTGGTTCATATTACATACGTCGCTCTCCCGATCTGTTTAGAAACAGATTATCTGCGCCTTTATACCACCAGTCATCTCGTTCCATGGGTAATTCGCCTTCCGAATAACGTGTGGCGGCTGAAGTTGTACTTGATGAAACACTGGATGGCGTTGGGCGATCTCTATCAATGGACTGGCCATGAGGCAAATGAGGCAATCGAGCCTGTGATTGTAACCGGCGGTAATGGCTAAGCGATGGTTGGTTTTTGTTGGTGATATAAAGTCTGGAAAGGTAGTTTCATAGTAAGGGTATTTACCTTTCAGGAATCGAGACGCGCCTTTCCGCCTCCGAGTAGATACACGTTTGACCAGCATCCACACATGCTGCGCATGGGAGGGAGGGGAGCCTGCACAGCGCGTTTTTCGGTTCCGACATCGATTGCACCTGCACAACGATCAGCGGGCTGTTTTCCACAGCACCTCCATACAAGATAGGATTCCAGACGTACGCCACCATAGACCGCCGAGCTGACTGGTCCTGTGACCGTCGGTAGACACCTTTTCCACGGACCATGGCCGAAGATTAAGGGCTAAGCATGACGTGGGAATAGAAGGATAATGGGCAAGAAATAGTAGATAAGCGGGAATGCGGGTTAGGGAAGCCTACCATCTTATCAGGCTTGGATAGGCGCTTATCGTCGCTTATTGTTGTTCTATCGCGTGATTACATCCCTCCGCCCGGCAATTTCTCCACACTTTCGCCTGATAAGGGTGTCTTCGGGCCGAACGTGAACCCAACCATTGCAGCCCTGAGAGTGCATTGGCACCGCCGTAAAGCGCAACAATACCATGCTAAATTCGATTGATCCCACGTATAATCCTATCTGTATACACGAAGAGAATTCTATCAAGGGAAAGAAAGCCTAACAGGAAATCATACTAGGCAATGGCTGGACTCTCCATACCTGTTCGCCCTCATCCAACGACACAGAAATCAGAAGATAGCCACCCCATTGGGAGGGCTGGCGACGCCCCCAGGGACATTTAATGGCACGCTGCTGAAGAAAAAACTATACCGTCCTCTTTTGCGGCATTCCTGGCCAAGTCGCTGGAGGTCGAATAGCTCACCGATGGGGACACCCCAACCTGCCAAAAGCCATTCGTGCAAGAAGAACTCCGAGTTTTGACAAGGATATGTCTCGAAACTCGGCATATCGCCTGCGACAGCTGCAAAATCATTCTCCCAGATCCATCGCAGCATTTCTTCGGACGACTTCACTCCAATCACCGGTGGTGCTGTATAAGCCGCCAGCTGTTGACGATCTGCTGTAGCCAATTTTTCGTAGGCTTCCGTCCATCCCGTCCGAATAAACAAAATGTCACCCTGTTTGAAAGTGGTCTGTTGGCTTGCAGCAACCTGTTGCAGCTCTGATAAAGGGATAGATTGACTTCGAAAGCAATTTACAGCGACACCGTTGGCCTCCGCCCATGCCGCATAGTCGAGGAGGACCCCACGCCCGACAATCCCGCCCTTTTCGACCCAGGCTACGAGGTTGAGTGAATCAGCAAGTTTCACACCAAGTAGTTTAGGGGTTATAGACCTACTGTGAATCCCGTTTCGAGTGGAATCCTGAATTTCCTGAAGGGAACAGCCATTAAAATAGCTTCCTTCTTTGAAGCCATAGTGCCGGAACCCATCCCATTGAGAGCTACTCTGGGTGTTAAAGGACAAGACATCGTCGTTCACTGGCCGAGGCGCCTTGTTCTTCACTGTATGTTCGAAAGCAGATCGACCAAAGCATGGCATCGTCATACTATTGAGGGCCCAATCGGTCGACACACGCACTCCTTCCACAATCTCCTTGGCGGCTGCCACAGTATTTTCGGGTGTGAGCAAATTCAGCATTCCCAGTTGGTCCTGGTTGCCAAATAGCCCCCATGCATTGCCTCGTGGGCCATCTGAACGAAGCGGCAGGGACTGGAATGTGGGTTTTGAGAAAGGCACGCTCATTGCACTGTAGAACTGGATTTTTCACGATATGTGTCTCTTTGTGTTCGAATTACCAGGAATACTAAGGGATAATATGAGAGACTGATGCAGGCACAACCTACGCATAGTAATAGGAGTACGGGGAATGTCTTCTCGCCGCTACCCCGCATATAGCTTTGGTGGAGGGGTGGAGATCTTCATTCATGTTGTGGTGCCCGGCCCGAGGTCTTCACACATACTTAGAAGCAGGAAGGGGGAAATTTAGCGGGGAAAGCCCCGCTAAGTATTCGAGCCTGTTCATTAGAACGGTAGAACAAGTTCTCACTTCCAATTCATAATCTACTAAGAATTCCAAAAGTACCATACTCGGGTCATGTAAAATGAGTTCGGTGATCTCACCGAGAAGTCGCCAGAAACCATTCAGTGTTGCATTTATGTATCGGACGAGAGATGTGACGCTGCATAGATGCAGATACTATGCACTGTAAGTATACATAGTGCCACCGCATGGGAATATGATGTTGATTGTCACTATATATATCTTTTCCACCCCTGGCTCCCAAGGTCACGATGGCCTTTGGAATTCATTTGTCGGTCGTTCTAGATGAAATGAAGTAAAGATTTTGTACATGAAAATATTGCCATCCATCTGACAAGATTAAACTACTTGCCTTAGATTAACAAAAAGAAAAAGTCGTTAAAATATTACTAGATGGTAAGCCTGGGCACGTTCAAATCAAGTCCAGGCATGACCCGAGCTTTCCTCATACATTTTTAGACTCAAGCATGTATTGAATTTCGATTCGGCCTTAAGGCATTCGACGAAGCCCCCACGTGATGTGTATAACACGTGACGGACTTCATGAACGTTTTGTCTTCGACTTCAAATCCCAAAAGGTCCTCTGTCCATCCAATCATTGGGCGCCTCTAGGTGGAGACCAATTGTGGCGCCGTCACCGAATCAGATGATATCAATGCCGCCCCTAACCCCCTGCAGCCTACACGGCCGATCGTTTCCTTTCGCCGTTGTCGTCATCGGCACTTTTCAGTTCGGCCCCCAGGCACGACAGACATACGGCTACGGTTCCCCTCTGACGGAGATGCGGCCACCTTGAGCCTACGACGTCGGCAACCGGCAAGTGGGTGGTTTCCGATGCCTCCGCTGGATGGTCTATCCTAGACGAGTGGCTGGATAGAAAGGGATATGTACTGAGAACCCTGTACGGAGTACTGGAGAAAGGGAGGATTGAGGCCTGGTATGGGTCACCAGCGGCCACTTCGGCCAATCTGCGTACGTGTTGCGTTGTCGACCCACCGATGCCCTCATCATCAACGAGTCAGGTTGCGCACAGTTTGGATGGGAGCCCCCGGAGTGAAATTTGCACCCGCGGAATACACCACACACAACGCACTCCCTCAGATGATGAGTGGTGGTCTGGTGACCCTCAGGGTCAGATCCATGGATGAATACAGTGGATTCATTGCGATCTGTTCGTTGGATCCTTCCCCTCCTTCTTTTGCGGCTTCCCTCTCCTAACGAAGATCGAAGAGGTGGCCAGGGGAAATTGTTGCTAGCCCAGTGTCTCAGGATGCGGATCCATCTGGTGGAGACCCAACAGAGCGGGCGACGAACGATAGTGGCAGAGGCCATTGGGCCCCGCCGCAACGCGCCTCCACTGCCTTCATCGCCCTTCGTTCATCTTCAAGCCTGCGCCGCCTCCAATCAAATTCTGGTGCTCCAAAAATATCTTTTATTCCTGGGCTGGTGCAGCCGCCAGGCTTCCAACGGAATTCCATACCTTTGTCCCTATCTTTAGCTACACCCGCGGGACACCATTCTTCGGTATTCAACTTTTTTTCCCTATCATTAGTCTCGAGCGTCGTTGCTCCTTCACCGTCCGTCGTCAGCCTTTTTAGTCCACACCAGCCTCAACTCGCTTCAAGAGATTATTTTCTAGCGAGCCTCGCAAGGCGACGTGTCCAGGCGGCCTGCTTCACCCTGGACCTGCTAGCGTCTTACCTCGATCCGGTCACTCGTTTCCCCTTGGTTTAACGTCCATTTTCCCTCTCATTGTGCCAGATTACCAGAGTCGACACTACATCGTCGAAAGCTCGTTGCCTCGATTCTGTTTGTTCGCTCTTGACGGCCGATCGCGTTTCTAGACCCGACGATCGGGGAGCTGTGCACCATGGCGAATCCTATGCCGACATCTCCCCATTCACCCCGTTCACCTCATTCACCGCACTCGTCCCATTCACCCCAAGCGAGTGAGAGCAGCCTTTATTCGCACAATGGTCCCCGTGATGTGAGTGGCAAAAGTCAACCTCTTGGAGAGATGAATTGTGGTGAGACCTATACTGACTGGCTTGATTAGCATGGATACGGCTACGAAGAGAAAAACGACCAAGGCGAGAGTGCACAATCCCTTCTCTACCGAAACCAGCCCAGCCCGTTTAATGCGCCATTCGATGACCCATATGCGTCGACCGATTCCCTTCGCCGCTACACTCTTCACGACCCTGGTGTGACCATTTTCCCTGATGGGCCATACCAAGACCCCTCAGCGGTCGGGATGAATCGTAGCTCCGGCGTTCAAACCCCCATGTCTGAGACCCCATCAGAAGCGTGGCAGCAACGGCAAGCACCGGCGGCGGGATTGCGTCGTTATGCGACCCGTAAAATCAAGCTGGTTCAGGGCTCTGTGCTTAGTGTCGACTACCCAGTGCCAAGTGCTATTCAGAACGCAATTCAGCGTGAATATCGCGAATCGGAAGAAGGTTTCCCAGAGGAATTCTCCCACTTGCGCTGTGAGTTATGACTGAGCTGGAAACGACTGGAAGAAAGCTAACGGAAGAGAATTAGATACGGCCGCTACATGTGATCCTGACGAATTCACTCTGCGCAATGGTTACAATCTTCGACCCGCCATGTACAATCGACACACCGAGCTGCTAATTGCCATCACCTACTATAATGAAGACAAGGTTCTGACAGCCCGAACTCTACATGGCGTGATGCAAAACATTCGAGATATTGTGAACTTGAAAAAGTCCGAGTTCTGGAACAAAGGTGGCCCGGCCTGGCAGAAAATTGTGTGTACATTGGTGTTTGATGGCATTGATCCTTGCGACAAGAACACACTTGATATGCTGGCCACGGTCGGTATTTATCAAGACGGTATCATGAAGCGGTCTGTTGACGGCAGAGAAACACTTGCGCATATTGTAAGCTTTCCCCCTCGGGTCCTATCTAGGCCCATTTCGAATTGGTTGTACCACAACTGTGAGGCTAACGCGAACTAGTTCGAGTACACAACGCAACTTTCTGTCACCGCCAACCAGCAGTTGATTCGCCCTCAGGGTAATGAGTCAACTAACCTTCCCCCGTACAGATGATCTTCTGTTTGAAGCAAAAGAACAGCAAGAAGATCAACTCTCACCGCTGGCTCTTTAACGGTTTCTGCCGAATTCTAAACCCAGAAGTAGTTATTCTTCTCGATGCTGGTACCAAGCCAGGCAAGAAATCACTTCTTGCTCTTTGGGAATCGTTCTATAACGATAAGAACCTAGGAGGTTCTTGTGGTGAGATTCACGCTATGTTGGGCTCGGGCTGGAAGAATCTCATGAATCCCCTTGTTGCTGCGCAGAATTTCGAGTATAAGATCTCGAATATTCTCGACAAGCCCTTGGAATCAGCCTTCGGATATGTCAGTGTGTTGCCTGGTGCTTTCTCAGCTTATCGTTACCGTGCTATCATGGGTCGCCCTCTTGAGCAGTATTTCCACGGTGACCATACACTATCCAAGCAGCTTGGGAAGAAGGGTATCGAGGGAATGAACATCTTCAAGAAAAACATGTTCCTTGCTGAGGATCGTATTCTTTGCTTCGAGCTTGTTGCTAAAGCTGGTTTCAAGTGGCATTTAACTTACGTCAAAGCATCCAAGGGTGAGACCGATGTTCCCGAAGGTGCCGCGGAGTTCATCAGTCAGCGTCGTCGTTGGCTGAACGGATCGTTCGCTGCCAGTTTGTATGCGATCATGCATTTCGGTCGGATCTATAAGAGTGGACATAATATTCTTCGCCTCTTTTTCCTTCATATTCAAATGGTCTACAACTGTGCGGGTCTCATTATGACTTGGTTCTCTCTTGGTATGTAGTCTGTCTCTGAAAATCCCCCTGATCCGATCCAGGTACAAGTTGATTGCTGACCGCGATCTTTTCATAGCCTCTTTCTGGTTGACCACTTCGGTTATCATGGACCTTGTCGGAACTCCTGGCGATTCGAATAAGGACAAAGGCTGGCCCTTTGGCAATGAAGCGTCGCCAATCGTGAATAATTTCCTGAAATATGGATATGTGTTTTTCCTGATGCTTCAGTTTATCTTGGCGCTGGGTAATCGACCCAAAGGGTGAGTCGGCTTTCCCTCTTATACAACTCAGACAGCCCGGCTGATTTTCACAATAGTTCTCGCCTGGCCTATACCCTCTCGTTCATCTACTTCAGTATCATGCAGTGCTACATTTTGGTCCTGTCATTCTATTTAGTAAAGAATGCTTTCACTGGTGGCACTCTAGATTTTGACATGAGCCAAGGTGTGGGCAAGTTCCTATCGTCTTTCTTTAGCTCGAGCGGTGCTGGTATTGTCTTGATCGCCTTGGTTTCTACCTATGGTGTCTACTTTGTCGCCAGTTTCCTGTATATGGACCCGTGGCATATGTTCACATCATCGTGGGCGTATTTTGCCGGCATGACGTGCTCGATCAATATTTTGATGGTGTATGCGTTCTGTAACTGGCACGATGTCTCATGGGGTACTAAGGGATCCGACAAGAGTGAAGCATTGCCGGAAGCTCAAACTAAGAAAGATGATGCTAAATCCAACTTTATTGAAGAAGTGGACAAGCCGCAGGCTGATATTGACAGTCAGTTTGAGGCTACCGTCAAGCGTGCGCTGGCGCCGTATGCGGAGCCGGAGGAGAAGGAAGACAAGAGCATGGACGACTCTTACAAAGCCTTCCGAACCAATCTTGTGCTGCTATGGATCTTCAGCAATCTGGTTCTGGTGCTGTGTATTACCAGTGAGGGCATCGAGCGATTCTGTCTGACAGTACGTATCATCAATTCCGGTGCTATCTCGAACGATCGATGAGAAGAGGCTAACAGTGACATTCTCTAGAATACCTCCACCACCCGAACCTCGAACTACTTCTCGGCCATTTTGTGGATCACGGCAGGATTATCACTTTTCCGCTTCCTTGGATCTATTTGGTTTTTGGGCAAGTCTGGTATTTTGTGCTGTGTCTCTCGCCGTTGAGTATGCATGGCATCGGTGGTTGTCCCCGGTCGCCTCGTACCCGGTCATGTTTTTCCTGTATATACTGTCGGCCAAGCGAATTTGGTATGCGTCGATTATGATGTCTTCTTGTTTCCTTGAGACTTTAGGGGATTATGCTATAGAAACCCGGATAGATGGTCTAGTTCTTGTTTGATTTGGATTGACTTTTCTGCGTGAAGTGCATCATTGGGGTGGTATTTCCTGTATTGGGTCGCGACGATCCATGTATGATAGGGGGAAGTGATCTTCACTGGCATGTGTTGGATGCCCTTGGCCACGATAATATACTCGCCAGAGCATTGAAAATATCAGCTTGTTTGTATAGCTTCTTTTGGATATTTTTTTGACTTCTCTCTTACTGCTCTATAAAATGCTCCGTCTTTCAACCCACTTTTCTCCACAATCTGGGGATCTATGGGGGATCTGCGGGCATTCTATCGAGACACCACAGTTGCAGTAGTCGGGTGGGCACGAAGTGGGCAAAAGTGGAACTGTCCGATGAAATCCGGAGGATGGACTGTAGGTCGCTGTACCCCGACTTCTCGCTACTAAGTCTCCGTAAATCCGCCTGCACTGTGTTCTCACTAACCATCTGCTGTAGGACCCGATAATGCACGGACGAAACGCACCATGTGGAGTATTATTACTTTCAGCCTGCCATTGCATCGACTTAACACGGCTGGCCAGGCCCCCTTCCCCTCATACATGGAATGGCCAAGCGTTCTAGCGAAATCCACCTCCCATCCTATGCGAGCATGGAGCGTGTGGATGGCAGTCCTACCTTCCGACATCTCGGAGTACAGGAATCCGAGGCCAGACACCCAGACAATCCGATGGCGCAGCTGGCTGGACAATACGCACAGTTCTCCCAGTCCGGTTGATCAATAGCTTCAGTATCAGACTACAGATAGATATCATCTCTGTCCTTATCCCCTTGGCCGGAAAAGCCTGCACCGATAGCTTCCGGGCCGCTTTCTCGCAGGTAACCACAGGATCTTCCTTCTGTGCACTGGCCGCCAATGTATGCACACTACCGTCATTTGCCCGTGCCCCCGCATCGGCCTCTGCCGATCACTTGTGACTCGGCGGGTCTTTTACTGTTCCATGAGTTGGAATGCCTCTGATGCCGTTGATTTGTTGTTGATCTGTCGCCGTCCACTCCGGATGGAGTCCCACGGAGTTCCATGGAGCCCATAGAGACAATATTGGGAACAATTACTCTCCAAACGGCCGTCGATTGAGCGACCGCCCCTCCCCAACAGCCAGTCTCCATCGACATCGATGAGACGGGATCAGACGAGACGAATGCCATTGGCCGAAGTGATGACCTGAGGCATTTTTTTTTTTTTGCTTCCTGGGTAAGCGTCCCGAAAACAACTTCAAAGAGATGCACTATGAACCGTGAGATGCAATGGCCAGGTATATAAACCTCCAGATCACCTTGCCTCACGGACAATTTTAATCTCGCTCTCGTATCCCTTCAAATTGCTTTCTCGTCCTCAATTGTTTGATAATTCACCCTCTATTTCCCGACCCACCAGGTCCATTTTATTCCCACCCCCGATGTCGCAGTACATTCCCCAAATTTCCTCCGTCTCCCTTCTCAATAAGGTGGTTCTCATAACTGGTGTGTTCTGATCTTATTCCTGAACTTCCTTTCCCCGTCCTTCCTCCACATATACCTCCCCGTAGAATCACTCATCTCATTTCTCAGGCGGTGCCAACGGCATCGGTGCCAGTTTGGTTCAGCAATGTCTGGAAAGCGGCGCCAACGTGTGCTTTGGGGACCTGGACAATATCGGGGGTGACCGTCTGCTTAGAAGATGCTGCGATGAATTCAAACCAGAGGAATCTGGACAGCCCCCACGCGCGATCTTCCAGAGTACCGACGTAACCAATTACCAATCGGTGCTAGCCTTATTCGATTTGGCCTTCCAAACCTATAAACGGATCGATCACGTCGTTTCTGCGGCTGGTATCGTAGAGATTGGCAATTGGTTCGACTTTGGGCTGACTCTGCAGACCGTCCGCCAGGTAAGTTTGATTGGGGGGTGTATAGACATCGCCCGTGAACTCCATTCTCCTTTTTTCTTGTAGGTGTAGGGTAATAACCGTCATTTCAAGACTCCCACCCACAAAGTGTTAGACGTCAACCTGCTTGGCTCGATGTACGTCTCTCGAATTGCATCGGTCTACCTACGACACAACCGTGGCCCCGGTGCTGATCGATCTATTCTGCTCTTTTCGTCAGTCTCGGGATTCAAGCAGAGCCCGTCTCTTTTTGTTTATCAGGCTGCCCAGCATGGCGTTGTTGGCCTCATGCGTTCCTTGCGCAGCTACATTTCCTCTCCATATAAGCATTATTTGCGCATCAACACTGTTTGTCCCTGGATGACCCAAACTGAATCCATGAAGAAGATTGAGCAGCAGTGGAAGCAGGCGAGCCTGCCAACAAATTCCCCTCGAGAGGTCTCCACCGTGGCCACGGGTATCTTGTCCGACCAATCGTTGAATGGCAAGTCCATGTTCGTTGAGGGTGGGCGTGCTTGGGAAATTGAAGAGAACATCGAGCGACTCGAAGCCCAATGGCTTGGCGAAGCTCCATCGAAGGCCCTTGCAGCCGGACAGGAGCTACTGGACGATGGAACTATTTGGACTGCCGCACCTCGTAAGAGGAGCAGCATCTCTAATGGAATCCCTCCTGGTGTGCCTCTCAACAAGATTAATGGCGTCCAGCCGAATGGCGTGAAGATAATTGCCGTTAACGGACATACCAATGGACACACCAATGATCACACCAATGGAATTACAAATGGAGTGCATTAGGGACGCGCCAAATCATGATTTACCTTGATACCCACAGAGCTGACGATCCCATGCAATGGAGCTTGATATCTATCACGTACAAATAAAGTGAAGAACCTTGATACACTGCAATAGATAGAATACAATGGAAGACCTGGTCGTGATGATGAGAATGATAATGTGATTAACCCTTCCTGTGTCTCTTGCTTAATATCTTCTAGCAGCTTGAGAACATAGATTGAAATCAGCAAAATGCTTGCCCACTTTCTACCGTATGGCATCTATGATCGCCTTTATAGATACAAGGCTATACTCTGTTGCGCCCCGCAAGTGGATCATGAAATGGATATTTGTGATTGGGTGTAATTGATACCATTTTTACAGCGATGCATTGATTTCATCTGCGGGTTCAAATCCAATTTAATTTCTTCTATGCTAAGTTGACCCATACAATGAAATGTTGGGACAATGTGTATGAAATTGCAATGATACTATTTCATGCATTTCCGACCCCGGAAATTTGATTTTTCTGAAACCTTGATAGTATTAATACTAATATTCATGACTAAAAAGTCTTATCTTTGAGAGGTGAGAGAACAGTAAAAAAACACCAAATGTATGCAATGAATATAATTATGACCAACCCACCCAACTTGCCTTTCCCGACCACTCAACGCCCTAAAGACTCCCAACCTATTTGAAAGACTCACGGGTGTGTACACGGTCAACATTATACGGGTTTGCATCGTAAGTGGGAACCCTTTGTATTTGAGAAACATGGGTAGATGCACGGGAGAGAGTATGGTGAAGAGGAAGTACCTCCGGTGTACCCTGCTTTTGAACCGCGTCCGAGGCGCCCTCTTCTGCGATAGTTGGCACTCGTGTGACAACATCATCTGATGGGATTGATTTGTTGGTTTCTTCATTCTGCTCCAATGATGTGCTCTTTTCACCAGCCGCCCGCAGGAGATTCTGAACAAAAGCTTCTGATTGTGCAGAATATTTGCAATATTTGCGAATGGCTAAGCCTTTCTTATAAAGCACGAACGGAAAAGGCACGCAGGCTAGAGCGAGGAAAGCCGGAACACAGGAGGCCCAGTGGATTCCGAGGTTGTTGAACATATAAGTCGTAAAGAGAGGAAAGGCAAAGCCAAACATTGACCGGAGTAACGAATTCGCCGCAAGAACCGACGCGGCAAAAATTGTGTAGGCGTCGATCAGGTAGTTAAAGACGCTGAGGAAGACTAAGACCATGCCAAAGCCAAACGGCACACCCGCAGCGATACTGGCCATCCAATGGATTGAGGGAGAGTTGGTCCAGGCAAACCAGAAAAGTCCAGCTGGGAGAGCAAGGGAGGCAATCATACATGGAGGAAGGCGACTTTCTGGGGGTGAATAACCACCGTTCTTCTCGAGGAGCTTGCTGTATCGAGTATTCTCGGGGATGGAGTAAGCAACAGCCCCCAGCATGCCCACCATAACCCCAAGGAAAGCCAGACCTGCGACGCCTTGGTTCCAACCTCGATGGATCTCATATACGATAGGGAATGCACCGAAGAGCATATAGAGTGTTCCATAGATGATTGCAAGGTAGATTGAAAGCAAGAGCACAATCGGCTCCCTGAAAAGAAGAATGAAGGGCCGAGAAAGGGCGGTTTTCATGGCCTCCTTTGGTTCGGGACGACCTTGGTCGATGTCGAGTTTGCTCATGTAGACCTTCCCGGTAAGCTTCGATAAAGTCCGCGCACGCTGACGAAGAAGAACAGGTGCGTAGGTCTCGGGCTTCAAGGCTGCTCCGATGAACCACATCACGCCGCAAAGGATTGTCAAGAGACCCATCACCCACTTCCACCCGGCCTTCATGCCTAGGAATCCACCAACAATCGGTCCAATGACGGGTCCGAGGAATGGAGCCAGCGCAAATGCCGAGAGGGCCAGTCCTCGCTCACGAGCGGCGAACATATCGGCTATCACACCCCCCGAGTTTGTGAACGGGGATGAGCCAAAGGAACCCGACAGAAAGCGGAAGATCAGCAGAGTTGTGATGTTTTTGGCGCCCGTGGTGCCAGCGCAGAAAATTGTCAAGCCGCAATAGGTCCCGATGAAAACTACCTGCCGACCATAGAGTTCACTCATCGGAGCCCAGAGCAAGGGACCCAAGGCAAAGCCTAGCACATACAGGGAGACACCCAACGTTGCGATTTCGGTGGTGACGAGGAATTGTTCCTCAATTTGAACGATGCCGCCTGTATAGGCTGAAGAGACGAGAGCCACGACGAGCGTTTCGAGGGCGGCCACCAGTGTGACTCCCCATTTCATCAGCGAGCTGAGCTGGAGAGGGTTTCGAAAATCTTTCGGCATCCAATACACCACATATGGGTCCTCATCAGTTCCGGAACCTGCATAGTTATAATCGAAGACTTCTTGAGTAATGGCACCAGGTTGTGTCACCAGTCGCCAGAAGGGAATCGTCCGAGGGAGGCTGGATTGGCTCCTGCCCCCCGTTGAAGGCTCCTCCATGGTCATTGATCACGGATGGAGGATAGGGAATAGGGCAACCGTGAGCCTCGGCAAGGCAAGCAGCACTGCTCGATTGAGGGCAGCCAAAGGATTTTGCAAGGCACTGCAAGTCTGAAGTCTGAATACTTCGATCAGAGAAGACACAAATATTTGCAGAAAGAATCGAGGTCGAGATCTGCAACTAGAAGATCAGAGAATATAATCCTGTTTTTGGACCAAAAAAAAGGACAGTGCGGCTCCCAAGGGCGAGACCGACGGATTTTGTTTGGTATTAGTAGCTAGTTAAATATTACAGCCGTCGTTAACTATTGCTCACTCGCTGGGATTACTCAACGGAAAGCGTTTTGCCGGAGACATTACTGCTTTGGGGACAGTGATATCGTTGGAGTGGGTCGAAAGAGGGTCGCTTGCGAGGGATTACTACAATTTTGATATTATTATTGGGATCAGGAACACCTCCCGGACAACCTGATGCAGATTCTTTGAGTAACTCGGAGGGTTCCAGATGACCGGCGTTGGGACAGCGAATCCCGGCCCGATTCCATATCGAACATCGCAATGGATTGGCTCATTGCGGGCGGACTTCGCAGCGAGATCCAAGTATCAAATTCTACCGAAGATCAGGCCCTTGTTGTCCCCTCGCCACACCCCGATCATCCCATGAATGGGGCCAGTCTGCCTAAACCCATAGTTCGGCAGGATATACTCTGTACTCTGTACTCTGTACGGAGTATCACGGACACAGTATGAAGAAACAGAACCGCAGAAAATCCTTCAATCCTTTGCTCGGCCCGATCAGCCTTCGGGGCTGCCGAGTCGACACCGATAAGATTCTGCTCATGCGGCCCGTTCATTGGCCCTGAGTGACCGTGGACCCCCCATTGACGGCTTAGACATCGAGCCCAAGGCGGGTCAATTCCCGCCCGAACTCCCACTTGCCGAGGCTCACCTCTCAAAAAGGCGCTTGGGTCTTTTGGAGGGGGGCGACTGATTCTATGATTTGTTTCAAGAGAATGGTAGAGAATGGTTCGGTTCCTGGAACACCCCCATTGCAGTGGATCCTCTGCAACTTGAACCTCGGCATGTTGCCGTACAGGGAACTTCCGATCACTCATCCATACTGCGATGACAATTCAATCCGACCTGGTCGGCTTTCCACCTGTGCCGCTCACTATTCAAGTTCTATGCCCAGCAGGACTGTTAGTCGTTCTCTGGTGCTGATGATGCTCAGCTTCAATAAATCTCCCCCTCTTTCCCCTAGCAACAAAAACAACACTGAAAATGGCAACCCGTTATAGCTAAATCCAGGTCCCCTCCCCTTGTCGTCCAGTCTAGCTGGGCGCCTATAACTTATCTCGCCACCCTTTTCTTTCGCGTAGCGTTATATTCCCCTCCCTATTCCAATTCCCCTTGACCTAAGTCGACTTCGACGATATTGTCTATATCTCTCGTAACACAGGTTCCCAATTCAGGTCTTTGCATAAGATCTGTAATCCTGAAACCAAAGACGTTGCCAGGTATTATTGTTATCGAAAACCCACGAAGGTGAGGTTTCCTCCTCTACAGCTTTGCTTCCGAGGCGGTTTGGTTTTGTCTAGTATTTCTGCCCGGTGTGATGCATTGCTTTGATGACCTTGTGTGCACGAATCTATTTACCGGTATATATTGGTTGATATTGCCTATACTATGTCATGCCGTAAAGAATCATTCAAGCGTTTTAAAACTCACATAGGATCCCGGCATAGTAACAATCAGTTCGGACAAATCACCGTTATGAAAAAGACATTGCCCAGCTTTGCAGTCAGGCTGTGACCAAGGGACAGGCTGACTATAACGCGGGCGAACTAGACCACAGCGGAGAGCTTGCTAATAACGGCGATAGCCTAGGTGACATGGCGGCGGTTGTAGACAGTCTGTGGCAAAATGGGTCATTTTTGGGCACGCTTATAAAACGGACAATGAGCTTGCAAACATTTTGAGAGAAATCTTCGCCCGCCAGTTTTCGCCAGAGTATCATGTCCTTTTCGTCCACAAACAAATTTTTTCCGAGTCCGTTATGATGGGAAAGGATGTGCCTGCAATTCCCGCGACATAGTCTATCGTACGCTTTTAAATTGCCGTCGCTGGACCGGTTGATGCTGACGAGTTGAGCTTTAAGGAGAAGCGCTTTGCCCAAAATAATGTCATGTAGACTGGATTATCAGGCGTTCTATACTCACGATGCTTTTTCATATGTATGGTGGGTTCCTCCGCCATCTCCCAGCGGTTTTTTTTTTTTTTGGGAGTTCTGATCCGCTTTAGGCAAGCTCTGTCACTTTTTCTCTTTGCCGGGAGGCCTGGCAAAACTCGAGATTCGAGCTTCTTCGTGCCTCTTCATCTTCACGTGTCAATTCTCTCCCCTACGCACTATTCTCTCCGTAAATACTGCATGGCTGCCCTTCAACGTCCTGGAGCTCCTTTGGTCGGCAAGTAAAGAAATTTGATCACCACATGGATTTTCCGAGGACGCTTCTATTTAGGAGTTACAATATCTAAGTAGTCCAGACACATATCAACCGCAACTGTTCATCACCTACAGGCCTTTCTCAATTCCCGATACTTCCGCCATCACTTCTCGAACTGCTATTTTGGCGGGCTCACCAACCGGCTCATATGGATGACGAGGCCGCAATTTCTCTTCGGCACCTTCAATTCCAGCGGCCTGGGCTGAGTAACAGGCCACCGCATACTTCGTTGATGCGATGCCGCTCTTGATCGGGCTCTCGGCCAAAGCGGCCTTTCCTTGCAATCGCATCGCGTCCTCGATCTGGTTCTTCTTATAAAGTGAATAGACCTGCACTGCAGTCTTGGGAAAGACATTGGCGAAGGCGGCGATACAGCCCGCACTTCCGGCTGCGAGGCCTCCGATGAGGAAATCGGACTGGCCTCCAAAGGTGGCGAACTCCTCTGGCTTGAATGTGGCCGATAACCGTGTAATCTTGCCCACCGATCCACAGGTCAGTTTCACACCTACGACATTTGACCGGCCGGCGTTGGCGGCAGCGGATTCGCGCACGATCGCAGTGATGGTCTCCGAATCCATGTCAACACCGTTGCACACCCCGGGGAAATTGTATAAGACGACGGGAATGGAAGACTTGGCGGCCACCTCGGAGAAAAACCGTTTGACCACGTTCATGTTGGTGGCCTTACCAAAGTACGCAGGTGGCAACACGAGCAGATAGTTGGCGCCGGCTGCAGCCGCATCCTGGGCCAATTCGATGGTCTGCTTCGTCGAGTGTGCACCGACTCCGGCCATCAGCGGAAATTCGGGGCCAACGGCGGCACGGGCGGTGGCAATGAGTTGAGCACGCTCTTCACGCGTCAACAGGAACGCCTCTGAGTTCGTCCCGAGGATGACGAGACCGGCCAGACCAGTGCGCGACAGGTAGGCAAAGTACTGTGATTGCGCGGCGAGGTCGAGCGTGTCGGTCTCGGGGTGGAAGAAGGTAACCGCTGGACACCACACGCCCGCCGGGGGAACGTGCGGCTGCGGCACGATAGATTGAGAGCCCATTCTTGCTGCTTATACTGCGGCACTGCGTTGATGGCTTCGAGTGCGTTGAGTGCGTTGGGGGCGTCGGTTATTTCGGTATGGGGAAGAGAAGCAAGATCAGACCAAGGACAATCGCGCGAAAGAATATGAAAAGAAAAGAAGTAATGGCGACCACATTATCGATCTATAAAACCACCGGCGCCCCTCACCTTCCAGCGCTGCCGGAAGTGGGGAAGGAGGGGTAAAGGCCATTTGACCCTTTGAAAAGAACGTCGTCAGTTCTGATTGGAATGTCTGTTGGGTCTCTCGGGTCGCTGTCCCGATCGCGCGAAACGGGCTCTCGGCCCGTCTCGAGTGATCGGGCGGGCATCCGATTCCTACATAACACGGCAGTCAAGCTGCTGCTGGATTGTTCGGTCGCTCAATTGTCAATCCGGGATGGCTACCGAGATGTTGGGGGACACTAGGCAATTTGGAGAATCCAGGGAATATGGATGAGGAATAGGGTTGTGATGGTCGATCAACAGTGTTGAATATATAGATCGGCTGCAGCGACCGATGCCGCTCTGCGGGAAAGACTCTTCGAATTCCAATCACATTCACGAGGAAAGCGAGCTACCTGTAAATAGTATGACCAATCACGAAGAAGATCTCGCGATTGAGGCCCCAATTGATCGATGGCCAACAATGTTGTTGGTGTTGCGCTCTTCAGTGCATCTACAGACCGATGGACCTACGAATTCGGACAGTTGAGGAAATCGCTGCACTGCTCCATCCACTCTGAAACGCATACAAAAACATGAACAACGCCTCGTAAGTCCAACCCTTAGCTCCAACCGCCGGGTGGAAATGAGAATGACCCGAAGAGCATCCGAGAAGGAGAAACCTCCAATGCAGGCAGGCCATCCACTTACTCGCAACTAGGCGGAATCATGGATCACCCGCCACTCACCATATTCGAGTCCATAGCAGACTATGGACGTATCGCATGGTTTGGATTGACCCAAAGGGTAGGGGATAATTGGAGTGAATGAGGGTGCACTCCAAAAGGGAACCCACCTAGGACGGATAAGGGAAGAATGAGTCACAGCATCGCAGCAGGGGTGTCGGCGATATAGGAGGGCCAAGGGCACCAACATTACAACCCAAATTAGCCGTCATTGGAGAGTCCCATGCCACTGCTCACCTCTCGCATTTCATCTTACTATGCCCGCTCCTACGCTCTCGATAAAAACACCCTTGGTGGAGCAATGTGAAGAGGCCGAAGTCATTCACATCCAGCGCCAAGGAGAAACGTATGCAAAACTGCATCCAGATAAATCAGTCGTGGTCCGCCCCATCCCACAAGGCGGAGTCGCTATCCGTACTATGTTCGCCTTTGATGGAAAGCTCAACCGGGCCGTGGGGTGCGGCAAGGAGGGGGACATGCATGACACGACTTTGCGCGATTTAGATTTGACTTTCGCAATCATTGGACTTTCTCCGGAACTGCACCTGAGTCCCCTCGCGACATCATTGACTTTCCAATCCTTGATCACTCGCGGTTATGTGGAGAAATACGAGCTTACCACTTACTGGGGCGCACCGGAGCGTCTCAATACCATCGAATCTCCAAACCGTGCTACCGGAGAGATGGCCGTCATGACTCGCCGAGTCACCACCCATGAGCTGAACCACTTCATCGAGACTTCTGCGGCCGGGTTTCAAAGTAATGGCCGACCTCCCGAATTGCTGAGAACACTGGCACGAATTGCGACGCAGCGGCAAGACACCCGACTCTATTTCGCCTTGATGGGAGGGGAGATTGTCGGCACCGCCGCGCTGGCAACCATCGACACGTCTCATGGGAGCGTGGCACATCTGTATTTAGACAGTACGCTCCCTCGGCATCGGGGACGAGGAGTACAACTGGCGTTGATCCAGGCTCGTCTCCAAGAGGCGCAACAACTGAGGCTGCCACTAGTCACAACCATCACTCGGACTGGGGACGGAAGTGCACGTAATGCGGGACGAGCTGGGCTGCGAGTCGCATACACCATTCCTGTTCTCACTCGCCCAAAGACGCTGTGATTAATTGTGGGTCGCGAGTGGCTGGGAGAGCCCCAGAGTATGATGCTGTCATCATGGCTGGGGTGCTCTCATGGAACAGAGTTGGGGTACCTGAGTGGAGATTGCGGTATATGATTCTGTCATCTATCGTATCTGTTGTTCTGGGAGAGTGTGGGTATAGCCATATGAAAATGCAACTCAAGAGAAGACCCCGGGGCATGGTCGTTCGCGATTAAACTGTTCTGGAATTTGGTATTCCTCGTTTGAGCCCAAGCATTTATAGAGGGCCTGATATTCAGGAGCCGAGCAACGGGGCGTCGATGATGGAAGATGACAGCGAAGACCGATTTTTGATTCCAAGGCCTAGACATATCGAGGCAAAAAACAGAGTACTCCCGTAGTGCTGAAACGATTTGCATTCGCATTTCCAATCGTTCCCCATCAAGTTCGAGACTCTTGGAGGAAGACTTTTGAGTTCAAAAAAGCATATCCTGCTTAGGGGCCAATCAAATGGCTCTGCAGATCCGCCGACAGACGGCCATGGCGGGGTTGAGAGGGACGAAAAGAACATATTGGCTTCGACGCGTCTTCCATACCCCAAATTTCCCCCTACCCCAAAAAGGCCCTGACGGAATGGATCCTCAATTCGGATATGACAACAAATCATAGAAGTTTGCACTTGGCCACTGTGTCTGGGAGCGGGCCGTCCGACTAGACCCGATGGCGTTTGGTGGCGCTCCGCCTGCCGGACAAGGATCTGGGGTTCTCCCAACCACCGCTTTTCGCAGTTGTTGAGGGTTGCCTGGCGATGTAATTCAAGGTAATGAACGAGACAGATAGGATGATCGGCCACCAGAGGCCAATCCCAGGTGCCCGAGGATAGTTCAGGCAATGGGAAGCGGGAGGTGCTCGTTAAGCTGGTCTGCGAGTGGTTGAAGTAGACAAGACGCGGTCGCCGCTTGCGGCCATTCACGTGACTCAAGCTTTACGCTCGAAAATCTTGTCTCCAGAGCCTTGCGACTTCATTGGATCATTCACTTCTCGGCCAACCACCCGGGCAAGGATAATTCGCTTGTGGCGCAATGGGGTATCGTGAGGTTCTTAGGAATCTTGAGCTCGACTCTCTTTCTCTCTCCATGTTTCCCACCTCGATTGCCTGTCCGACGATGCTCCCCGCATTCTTTCATTTCTCCTCCGCCCTGTCTTCCTTCAACGCGGGGGTGCCCCATCTTGAGCACCACTACGGCTGCCCAGGAGCCAATGTTGCATTTCTTTTACATAACAACCGAAACCTTCTTATCGCCTAACCAGGCCTGGGGTTTATCGGGGCGCAAGATGCGTCTGGTCGCCGAGCAAAAAGGTGGGACTGACGCCCCAGTCCAGGCCAGGTAGCCGGGGTGCCCGAGCTGCTTGCGGTCTCCTCGTTGGGTGGACGATCAGACGTGGTGGAGCAGCGTCGTACTCCACGTGTGGGAGCCACCAAGCAGGACACCCCAATTGCTGTTAGTCACCGAAAACCCGCATTTTGCCTCTCGTGCTCCCATCTCCCCAAAGATAACGCCGGATCCGAGGGCGAAATCCCTCGTGCCCCGGCGTCTTTCTTAATACCCGGGGTTGGTCCTCATCTGCCACCTGTCTCACGTCTCCCTCCCTCTTTCACCTTCTCCTCGTCGACTTGACACCCCTCCTTGCCAGCTACACCCACCCCACCCCATACTGGCATCATGGGTTACGATGACATCTCCAATGGCCATGACGCCAGCAAGGTCCTAGAGGCTGAGGGTGAGAAGGAGAGGGTCTATGCCGCCCCGCCGGCGTTTGAAGGGGACATGCTTGGTGAGATGAGCGAGGCTGAGCGCAACATCTACGACCACGGTATCAAGAAGTTTAGCCGACTGGGCTGGAAGCGACTCACCGTGGTGCTCATCGTCGAGGCGATTGCGCTGGGAAGTCTGTCCATTCCTTCGACTTTTGCTGCTCTTGGAATGGTGGCTGGTGTCATCTGTTGTGTGGGGTTGGGTCTGGTGGCCATCTATACCAGCTACATTGTCGGCCAGGTCAAACTTCTCTTCCCCCAGGTAGCTAACTACGCCGATGCTGGTCGATTGATGTGGGGTCGGTTTGGGTACGAGCTGCTTAACGCGATGCTGGCGCTCCAGCTTATTTTTCTGACGGGATCCCACTGTCTGACTGGAACGATTGCTTTTATGAACATCACGGAGAGTGGAATCTGCTCGGTTATTTTCGCTGTGGTGTCGGCCATCATTCTTCTACTCCTTGCGATTCCTCCGAGTTTTACCGAAGTCGCTATTCTTGGCTACGTGGATTTCGCTTCCATTATCATCGCTATTGGCATTACCATCATCGGTACCGGCATTGAAGCCACCAATCAACCTGGCGGCCTCGCTGCGGTGCCTTGGTCCGCCTGGCCAAAACCCGACTTGACCTTCACAGATGCTTTTATTGCGGTATCCAACATCATCTTCGCCTACAGCTTTGCTATGTGTCAGTTCTCCTTCATGGATGAAATGCACACACCACGTGATTTCGTTAAGTCTATCTGGACTCTCGGCATCACCGAGATCATTGTCTATACATTGTCTGGTGCCTTGATTTACGCATTCGTGGGTCAAGATGTCAAGAGCCCAGCTCTCACCTCCGCTGGATCTCTGCTCAGCCGCATTGCGTATGGTGTCGCCCTGCCGGTTATCTTCATTAGTGGTTCGATCAACACGGTTGTGTTTGGGCGCCTGGTGCATGGTCGAATTTTTGCCAATTCCCCCATCCGATTCATCAACACCAAAATGGGCTGGATCACCTGGTTGGCTGTTATCGCTGCTGCCACCATTATTGCCTTTATTATCGCCGAAGTGATTCCGTTCTTTAACGATCTGCTGTCGATTTCCTCTGCCCTCTTCATCTCGGGCTTCACTTTTTATTTTCCCGCCTTGATGTGGTTTTTGCTCATCCGCAAAGGTAGCTGGACTGAACCGAAGAATCTCATGTTGGGAATTGTCAATTTCGTCATCTTGATTATCGGCCTGGTGATCCTGGTGGCGGGAACCTACTCCAGCGTTGACGATATTGTGAGTAGATCACGCATTCACCCGACTGGTTTTATACTAGTCATTATTCCGGAGACGAAATTTGCTAACCCAAATAGATAAATAATTATAAGTCTGGCTCTGTCCGCGGCGTATTCACCTGCGCTGCACCGGAGTAAGTCCTTCATGAGCATGGCGTAATTTTTTCTTGTGCAATGACGGTAGGGCGTGATACGTCCATTCGAAGCTGGGCTACGACCGATTTGTCACAGTTATAGAGAAACCATAGATCTGACAAGAGATGTCATATTTCGTGACTGCTTTGCATTGTCACGACTGAAGCCGGAATCCCGGTGTTTTATTCCCCCACATGGTTTGTGTACATAGCATTCTAGTTTCATGTATTTTTGACCTATTTCCTCCTCGCATAATTTCTCAATCGGCTAAGTAGGCTGCCACAAAAGGCGCTTTAATGCTCGCTTCCAATTCTAACATCCAACATGAACCGATGATGGTTTGGCGAAGATCAAGACTGATGTATTTTCATAACTCAACTTCATCCTATTTTCATAGGACTTTTGGCCATTTCACTAAATAGTGATTAGTGTGATCTTGCGGGGAACATTTGGCTATTCAAGCCTCAAGAATATCCAGCCGTGAGGCGCAAGTGCATTCCTGCTGTATTCCCGCATGCCGATCGGCTCAATAGCCGACGCAATTTTTTTTTAGTGCCGAATTTCCAAATGAATATACTTGCTGTACTCGATATAATGAGTGACCCACTGAATTCCATGTACACTACTGCTGAATGGAAGTCCATGCCCGCCAAGTCCCGCGCCGGGACGATTATATGGGTTCTCGTGCCGTCAGATTAGCCGGTGCCGCTCGTGCACGATAAGCAGGACGTACGAGTGTTCCCCGACTTCCCCGAACTCCGCACTTTCATCTCCGCCACTGCTACGCCTAGAGTCCCACGTTCCGACTCTAGGGAAACCGACAACACTTGAATGGCTCGCGACTATCCCTGTGAAGAGCCTGGTTGTGGAAAATGCTTTCTCAGGCCCGAGCATCTCTCGCGTCATCGCCTCAACCGTATGATTGAAACAGCTGTCCGCATGAACCCATATTGACCATTCGCTAGATCGACCAAAACAAATATATCAATGTAGCGCCTGCCCAAAACGTTTTGTGCGCAATGATCTCTTACGGAGACATCAAAAACGTCATGAGAGGGGAATGTGGTATCGTAATTCTGGCGGGGTTGTTAGACCGGCCAACGCCCAAGAAATATCCCCCGTCTCACGCACCGAAACTCGTTCTTCGGACCTCGAGTCCACACCTAGTGCCTCTACAACGGAGGAAGTCATCGATGTCATTGACAAGTCGGTCCAGTCTGCTGGCCATCTTTCCCTCAGCCGCGGGGCAGCCCCGGATGCTAACACTTCAATGGGCAATGGCCCGGCCATGGATTCGTTCCATAACGCAATCGACGCTGCGCAAGAAGAAAATGTTACTTCTTTGTTTCTTGATCCATCATTTAGCGCCCCGGATCCGCTCCTAGATTTTGATTGGCTATTTGAGAATGTACCAGCAAGCTTCGGTGCGACAGACGAGGATGGCCTCACGGATATGATTTCCCCGTCGCGAACAAGCACCTCCGATATGTCACCACCATATTTTCCCATGAACTCACAAGCCATTCGTTTTCCTTTGCCTCCAGACCCTTCATCCTTTGCACCCTGGGCGCTTGTCCAGGGTAGATTATTCGAGGCCCTCCGGACTTTGCCTCAAGCGGTTCTGGCCTTACCATTTTTTATCCCTTCCAACTTGTCCCATTTTTTCGAACTATACTTCGAGAACTACCACCCGCATTTTCCAATTCTACACCGACCGACACTGGACCCGACTACAGCGCCAGCTTTGCTGATTGCTGCAATTGTGACCCTAGGATCCACCTTATCTAATGATGTCACTCATTTCGAGACTTCAATCCAGATTCATGACTCTCTTCGCTACATTATCTTCAATGTAGGTCATTGTTTCTCTTTTGTCTGATACAGAAGTGCGTGCGGAGAGCTAATATACCAAGACCCCCGACTTTGAACCCCCGGCGTCATTATGGTGTGTCCAGACACTTCTTCTCGTCCAGGCACATGAAAAGATGTTTTCAACTAGAAAGCATCATCAGCTATCGCATATTTTCCATGGTGCAATAATTACAGTAAGAATCCTTGCAGGTGCATCCTCGCTCGTCAAGTATAAGTGGCAGTATAATTGACTTGCAACCAGCTTATGAAAAGAGGTGTTTCATATGCCATCGCTTACGAAGGAGACCTGAGTTTAGAACAGTCATGGCGCCAATGGATCGAGGTTCAGTCGTCAAACCGTACTGCATTCTTTGGGTTCGTCATGGACGCACAGCATAGTTTCATGTTCGGTCATACCTGTGTTCTGTCAGTTCAGGACGTACGCCTCCCACTGCCCTGTTCAGACTATTTATGGGAATGTGGAAATTGCCACGATTGGAATTCAATGTATCAGAAGATGCCAGAGCCTCCAGGCTTTCTTCCTGTACTAAAACGGCTCATTGCACGTGCTCCAATTCCTCCCAACTGCACTGCCTATGGTCGATTAATATTACTTCATGGTTTGTTTAGCGTCACTGCCCATTTGAAAGCGAGAGATTCAGTCACGCTTGGAGTTGGTGGCTCTCTGCCGCATGGCTCCCGCCTAGCTGCCACTGATGGATGGAAAGATACACTGGAAAAGGCTATGGACACCTGGTCATTTTGCCTTGTATCGCGAAGCTCGTCACTGGCATTAGAAGCCTCGAAGCCCCTACATCGAATGGCATATGTGGCTATATATACTGAAATAACAGACATGCACGTATTGGCCGGTGCGCCATCTCTTCTCGGGAATATGCTTTCCGAGGCTGACTTTGCAGGGGCTACAACTCGGGTGCGGGCTTGGAGTGAAAGACAAGAAGCAAAGAGAGCATTATACCACTGTTTGCTTCTGGTCCAGGAGATTCTATTTACAGGAAAGCACTATCGTGCCGCTCAAGACAATCTTTCCCTACGACCTTGGTCTTTGTACCATGCCGCGCTTATTTTGTGGGCATTCGGATTTATGTCGAAAGCAAAAGCGCCAGCCCCAAAGCAAGACATCTCATTGAGTGCCGAAGAATATCTTGTGCGAATGTTGATGTTGCTCCGTAGTGACGATGATGTTGGACCTGTATCCCAACAGACATCTGAGCTATTAAAGGCGGTACAAGAAAGTTTGGAAGATTGCCGTTGGGAGTTACTACGAGAAGCACACGATACTCTTGGTCGCCTAGTTGCGAGTTCTACATAAATAACGAATTTTGTTGGGAGGGAAATTGCCTGCAATAGCTCACCATACATTGAGTTAATATAAGTCTTTGAGGTCAAAAGAGAAGGGTGGTCTCTTTTAAAAAGAAATTCTTCAATCCCACCGTCACAAGTCAAATTCATTTTCGTCATTTGTGTAGTACGGGCTTGGGGTAAGCAGTGAGACAGATTTCAGACATCCCACACGATGATTGGAATGCTGGCACATATACCTCGAATCCAATTGAAGATTGTGAACTTTTCAGAGGATAAATGAGATCAAGTGAAAAAGGCTTCTGCTGCCAGGATTTCTGAAACTCCTTCAACTCCTTTGGTTTCTCTTCTCTACCCAACATTTGCATAGTTTTGCAGCTTTCATCAGGATCCACGACGTCATCATGCATATTTGATTATATTCAATTTCTGTAATCAAAAATATTATTGATGTTGTGTATATTCGGTAGCTCCATGCATCTGAATCATACTTGTTCATCGATCGCGGAAGACTCCCCCGGAGGCAACCCGCGAGTCTTGAGCACGGCTTGTAGCTCAAGACAAAAACCAAAAGTATTGAACCGGAAAGTAAAGTCCAGTAACTTCCGAGCATTGCTTGATAGTGTATACCTCTGACATCTTTTAAAAACTAATGCAACACCATTACACCGAACACTGTAGACTGCGGAATGAATGGATGATATTAGGGGATCGTTGGAGGGACTACCAATCACCCAACATGCAGAAGTTTACCAGATTCCATCAACGCAGCCATAGACAGTATCAAGTGCATTAATACGAATGGCATGTGTCCCATGCAAATATAAAAGACGGAATCACTTCTTGTTACGATGAGAGAATCGAACAGGGAATATTCTGTCCTGTTATCGGATCTATGTAGCTAGCTTCCCCAGATAAGCGGGGGTGGAAAGTGGAGTCTTATCAAGCGAGCTTTGAGTGGGATATTTTGGGCCGGCGTGGGATGTGACCTTGCGCGCGCACCGACATCCGCCCATGCGGAGGACATTCTTTACCTTCAGATTATGACAGCATGTTTATGGGCTCTTGTTGAAGGATTTTTGCCGCGCAGCCTTACCACTACAGCTAAACTGCCGTTTTCCTTGACCGTCATCCGACTAACCCTCACCCCCATGCGCCATAATGGATGTCCGGAAAATCTCTTTCGCATTTCAAAAGCCCGAAGATTCCTCGGATGAAGGGAAGCAAATCCCTTTGAAGATTGCGTTCCTGGGGACACGCCATCCTCATGTGATGTATCGATTTGCCATCCTAGACAAGCTGGGAGGGTTTGAGTTCGTTGGTTTCTACGAGGAAGACTCTGAGATCGCCTCGAGGCTACATGAGAGGCTTCCTCAATTGACCCGATTTGATACTCCTGGGGCCTTACTTGATACTAACCCGGATATTTTAATGATTCATGCTCTGGATCCAGATGTTCCACGGTGGGCTCGGTATGCTCTTAACCACCCAGCCCCATTTAAAGGGCTATTCCTTGAGAAGCCCGGGGCAGCCATCCCACAAGACTTCTATGAGCTTGCCATGGAGATCAAAAAAAAGAGGCCGGGTCTTGTTGTTGAACTGGGGTATGAACTTCACTATTCGGAAGCTCTTGAATTTTCAAGAAAGGTGATCCGAGATGAGGTTCTGGGAGACATCACATCGGCACGGTTTCATGGAGGATGCCCCTCTGGCGCAGGAATGGATTTGTGGCAGTCAATTCCTGAGGATCTTGGGGGAATCCTGCAGACTGAAGGGTGCCATACGCTAGAAAATGTTGTGGATCTATTTGGAACACCTGAGCGGGTCATTTCGTCCATACGAAAGCTGCCAACAAGACCTCCTCATCCCGTTGTGGGTTGGATCCCGGATATTTTTACGGGTACCATGGAGACTGGCGAGTTTGGAGTCGGAAGTCTACTTTACGAAGATATCTGCTCTGGAATAATGGAATACTCCGACAAAAACATCATACTTGACTTGACCGCCTGGGAGGCTACAGAATGGTGCAATGAGTGGGCGATTGACATTTATGGCACAAATGGGTCATTACATGCTATTCCCGATTATCCTGTTGCAACTCTTTTTCTGCGTGAACCCAGGGGGGATTTCGCAGCTGGTGAGACAAAGATGACAACTGAACACCCACACGGAATTTCCAACATTCCGGGCTGCTATCGGAAACAACTCGAGACCCTATTTGCGCGGGTTCGCACTGCCAAGGCCCCGGCGGACGGATGCTGTGATCTAGAGACCAATGTGAATATACTGAAGGTGATCGATGCATTCTACAAGTCAGCGGCTTCGAAGCAGTGGGTGGATGTTTAGTGTATTTAAGAGCTAAAAAGTTTCACCCAATTACAACATGATATCCTCGCAATTTTTTTTGTTGGGAACAGCCCGAGTGACAAGTATCAAAAATTTATCGAAGCTCCGATTCTGGGACAGCCTGAATATCTCCTTTTCAATCCGCATTTGGTGATGTTTTTTAAGCGAAAGTCACAGTGGCTATCATTGAATAGTGTGAGAGAATCTCGGACGATATCACCCCCCCCCTAAAGCTTACATGGATGAAGGACACAAGAGTGATCTATTTCTGGAGACTTGATTTGTTCGTAGGCACATACAGAGACCCACCATATTAGCCATCAAATTCATGCTTTGGCTGCCCACGAGCATCGGTTGGCTTATATCGAAAGAGGTGACCCCCTTCATCTCCTGGGGCGGGATTTGCGCGCCGGTCTTTCCCGGTTGCTACATAAATGATGTTAAAGTCTTTACCTCCCCATGTCGTGCACGCTGGGTTCCTAGCGGAGAATACAATGTCCTTCAAGTGCCGACCATCCGGTGTGAATACCATCACTCGATTTGAATCGAACATGGCAATCCAGAGATTTCCCTTTGTACTAGAGCGAGGGTCAGCCTTTGCCGGCTTGATGACGATGAGTTTGTCTACTCAACCTACTCCACAACCATGCCATCCGGCTCCCCAAAGGAAGTGCGGCGATCAATCAACAAACGTTTATTGGAGATATTTCCGTGCTCCAGATCGAAATCATAGGCCCAAACAACCATGGCCACTGAGTCATGAAAGTACACTTGAAATGGCAGTTAGAAGGTGCATGCTCAGCAGATCGTCTGTTGCCAGGAATCAAAATGATCGCTTACTAGTCTTATTGTCTGGACTCCAGCCCAGTCCATTTCCACAAATTATACCATCAGCAATCATCAATCTGAGACCAGCACGCAGGTCATATCTCCACAGCCGACCTTTCGGCACTCCATAGCTACTGGGTAACTGATTGGGACCAAAGGCCATGGCTTTTTTGTCGATCTCGGCCAACCAAAAGCGACCCTGGGCGTCGATCCCTCCGTCGTTGAAACGCAGTTCCTCCCGCTGATGTGTTGGAATAATTTCCTCGACTACCTCCATCTTACCAGTCTGCTCATCGATGAAACAGATTCCTTGATAGTAGGCCGCGATATATCCCGGTCGACCTTTTCGGAAGAAGACGACGGTGACGCTGTCTTCCAGTTCAAGCACCCGTGCCTCCCCGATCGCGTCGCCATGCTCATCGACCTTCAGAACATAGAGCCGCGAAGGGTCCGAGAGACAGTCAACCCAGTGCAAAGTCGAATCGCTGGCTCTGAAAATCGGAGCTTCGCCCAGCACCATGGGCTCCGGGCAAGAGTACCATTTCCGGCCCCCGTCGATCGACTCTAATCCGTCCATCGTGACGGCTATCGAGGCTTGTGAATTGTGTAGAGATGACCCTATGTCTTATTTGAAGGCAAGACGACATGTCGCGCTTTTATCACGAACCTATCCCGCCGCCTGGTCGATATCTGTTGTCCATCCCGCCGGTGTCCCGGAAGCATCATTGGGGCGCATCGGTTCCATCCCGCGTAAGAGGTGGAGCAGCCACGATGCACAGTGGCCGTACTCCCGTATGCTATGTCGATATCTCTAGTAATGACGCTTTTTTCCTCTTCTGGCGAGGTCCGCAGAGCACTCGATCATCCTGGATGGAACTGACCCTGTCATGCGTTTTTAGCATTCTGACCTCGACTGCTTCCCCGTTCGCGATCGACGCCAGCAGGTCATTGTATTGTGTCCCTCCATTATTCCTCTCTCTGAGCGCGCCACATGGAGAAATTGAGATTTACTCGGATGCTCACGTCCTGAACCACCAGATTGGCGCTTCCGTGCGCGGCATCGCCTGCTCGCTTCCAAGCTAGATTCTATAACTTCATATACACTCTCTAAGTGTCGAAGTATCGATTCCCTGGCAAAGCCTTTGGCAAAAAATTGAATATTCGTCTGAATTAAAAAGCTAAGAATAGACTTGTAGAGCCATCGAGCCAGTGAGTCATATGATCCAAGAATCATGCATTGGGTTGGTAACTTCAGGGGCTCAGTTGAAGTGAAGGAAGGCCTAGAGGCATGGGGAACATCCATCTTCGCCCTTATTCTTGCACTGACTGTTCGGGTGCTTCTCCTGGCCGGCGGGTGAGGCTCTGCCAAGCGCACCCTCAGGAGTCACAATAGTCGGTTGGTGTTACAGAGTACAAGAGGAGACCCGGGCTATTTTCGACCTGGTCTTCCGGAGTCCAGAATCCGACAGAAAGCTCCCATTTTCTTTAGCGCGCTGGGCGGCGGCTACGGACTACATAGTCCTACATGAACCCCCTCGTGGTGGGTTTGGATTTGGTTGGGAAGGTTGGTCAGATTGGCCCGCACAACTGCCGGCGTTCCAGATTGGCGCCGAAGATGAAACCCCTCTGGAACCGAGGCGCACGTCGCGGGATAAAAAAAAGGGAAATTAGAAAACAAGTGGATGACCCTCATTCTCACACTCTAGGGCGAGGCAGGGTCACCTACACATATCGCGCTAGTGTCCACCCGCTGCGGTCATAGGAACTAAAGAATATTGATAGTTGCGTTTTGGGGGTGTTGTGAACCGTCGATTCGTATTTTTAGGAATGGGAACTGACCAGGGCCATCGCAAGGGAGATGGATGCGTTGAAAGATATAAATGATACCGTCTTCTTTGCTTTAAGTTCTTATCTCATCGCACTGCAACTCTCTTCTCGCAAAGCACCACACAAATCATCTCGCAAGGCAACCCCCACCCCCTGCTCTTTCAACCCGGTTTCATACTTTCAGGCCGTCAAAAAGATGCAGCTCCTCAGTGTTATGGTCTTGGCTTCGATGGGCTTCCTCGGGGTCTCAGCTACACCTGCCCCGGTGATCCACGATGAACGCGACACGGCCATGACCGAAATTTCAATCAAAGCATTCTCTGGCACGGGCTGCCCTACAACGGGCGATCAGTCCAGTTACACATTCTCATTTGGCAGTTCTAGTAATAACAAGAACCTTTGTATTTGGGATACTTATGGCAACTCCTTTCAGGTGGCTGGTACGCCCCCTGTAGGCTGCACAGTCACTACGTGGCCCGGAATGAACTGCGGAGGAGACGACGCCCGAAAGTTCGCAGCCTCCGATGCCACTGGAACTTGTTCCACGACCCCCAGTACGAAGAAGTTGCCTAATAATGGAAATATTTCATATGGATCTTTACAGGTCGCCTGCACCTGATAATATCCTTAATACATTGCATTGTTGGATTATGTCCACTAAGACAAAGAGGGATAATCATATTTTTCATTCTGCGTTTCTTGCTTTAGTCCTTTTCTATTGCCTTTCATGCATCTCGTTGATTTTCTTTCACATGCATCTCGTTGATTTTCTTTCAATAGTCTACAATATACACCAAGGGTTATCGGGAATTGAAAGATGGGAGGGTTTCGGAGGTCGGGCCTTCGTGAATCATGTATAATGCATTATGTTGATCCAGCTTATTCACATTTCGAGTCAACTTTTTATTTTTGACTCTCCAGCATCACCTCCTCGGCTTTCTTCAGTAGCATATCGGGTTCCATGGTGATCGCTATGATATTGTCAATCGTTATAGCAAGAGTCGTCCATAATACTATGTATCCATCCCTCTCCTTTCACCAAATAAATTGACCTGCTCTTCCTGACCAAGGCTCATGTGGACTCTTATAAGCTAGGGAAGTTTAGCTCCGACTAACTTCAAGTTGGGCCTCCCCGCGGATTTCCCTCGAATCTGCTTTCTACTCTCCGCCTTGGGGTTGTTATATGAAAGCCAGTTCCGCTAGACGGGTACCCATCTGGCCATAGTGAGGTCTGAATTAGTTTGTCGTATCGAGCCTCCGTTTCAATTCTCAACAAAGGGTGAATATTAATAGTAGAGACTGTTGTGTCCATAGTGTAGTATGTCGTGAGAATCAGTGCCAGTTATTAGAAAAACGCCTCAGTCGCGTTGCTAACATATATGTATTTCTGTGCGCAATTCGCCAATTGCTGAGAGGCTGAAAATACCCCGTCACTTGAGGACGAGTTAACAAAAAGGCAAAAGTGCAAAAGAAAATCCAGACTTGGATGCGTGAAAAATTTTCATCGAAGCTTCCTATCTCCTTATTGCTGTCTGCAGAGGCTTAAGGATTCTGACCTCCCGGGCACACCACAAAATATTTCGGCGATCCGCTTATCATCATAAATTCATGCATCGGGACAATGAGGCCGGCGATGGTGACCGCGCGCAAGATCAGGAAGTGCTGATTTGCTTTGCAAGTTGCTCTGCTGTTTCTGTGCGAAAAGAGAGTTGAATGCGATGAGAAAAAAAAAACTCGAGGCAAAGAGGTATATCATAGAATTCATACAAAATTTAGCAGTTTTAGGCAGCTAATTAATTTTAGTTGACTAGTTTCAGTTGACTAGTAGGAGGCAGCCGGGGTGGAATGTGTTAAGTCGATTCGTCTGTTGGTTGGCTCGGAGGCAAGCGGAGGGTCCCAATAGGGTGAGGAGTTCAAGAGCGCTAACATGAAACTGACTAAGGCTTCCTGAGATAAAAAAAGCCTGAAAACACAAAATATTGATTCTAGAGCCTTATAGTAGTAAGGGTCCGATCCAGCCACAGAGCTATTTGAAGAACGCTGACGTTATACAGGATAGGAATTATCGACATCGGTGTTTGACAACATCTTGGATGTTTGACAATATTTTGGGTGTTTGACAACATTTTGAAGATCCAACAATTATTTATAATGATAAGAACTCACAAGATCGACCAGAGTAGCCAGAATTTCCAAGTATAAAACCATCTTGTTCCCCTTTGCTTTCAGTTTTCCCTGCATCGCACTTAAGGCATCTTCTAGCAAGGCATATCTTCTAATAAATCGAAAGTCAACGCTTCCAAGAAGTTTTTCAGTTTCCCTTAACTATTCGAAGAAATGAAGCTCCTCGGCTTATTGGCGTTGTCTTCTATGAGCCTCTCCGTCTCGGCTGCACCAAGCTCCTTGATAAACGAACGCGACACGACTGAGAGTATTACGTTTCTGGGTTATGATGACGAAAATTGTGCGAAGACTCTTATCGCACAAACGACATTTTCCTTCCTTCCTGCTATGACAAATAAGGAGGTTTGTGTTTGGAAGACCAAAGGTTACGGGTTCAAGCTATCTGATCAAACCACTACTTGCAAGATTACGACCTGGTCGGGAGTCAATTGCCAAGGAAGTTCTGAAGTGATCGAGGGCACATACGATTCCTGCACAGGTATTCCCTACGGATCTGTGCAAATTCAGTGCTAGGTAAACCATATTAAGGACAGAGTGAAATGGATGAAATCCTTGATACATATCCTCTACACTGGCTCCAAGTCCCCTCAATATGTATAGACTGTGTCCACTTCGTCGACTTTTCTCGGCAGGGATCATCATATTCTCTATATTGCTTCGTCTTCTTCCCTCTGCTGTCGATATTTTTGATGTAATTCCAGCGTTGATAATTTGCCTAGGATTAGCGATGTCTGAAAATCTTGATGCATTGGATATGTGAGTTGATGGCTCACCCAGTTCAGACTAGTTCCGTATCTTTCGGGTTAGATAGAAACTTTCCGTGCCCTTTCTCATGGTTTCATTATCCGCATAAATTTTTCTTTTTCAATTCGCTAGCTCAATCTTGTCTGGTCTATTCAACAGAATATATAGTTACTCGGCAGATTATTGTTACAAACCCATTAATCAATCCATTCACTTCATGCGAATGTCGCCTTCGGTCTTCCAGAGTTGGGAACAGAAGCTCCCTCTGGTTCATTCTCTATTAGGTACGGGTTCCGCACCGATCATTACTTAGAGCAATACATACTCACCTACAACCGGCCAAGTACACGAAGACAAATGACAGATCATGTAATACATCTGTCCAGGGAGGGTAATCAGAGTACCGAGGTGGTAAGCATGCTAGTTGGCCGGGACGTCAGATAAATCCTCCACGTCAGGCATTTTTAGGTTACCCTCCGCTAGATGATTGGTATAGAGGTTCACGTAGGTAATATCATAGTAGACTCCATAAACAGAACACCACCAAAATTAAGGAATGAAAAACATGATCAAAAATTCAACACACCCCGGACAGCCCGGGTTAATCAGGGGTACGGAAGATACAGATGGCCAGACAACTTTACTCTCATAGCCAATTACTTAGACTCATTTCAGACACGAGAAACCTAGCTTATAAATTCGATTCTGCCGTTGTCTAGCAGTTTTAATTCCTATACCTTTGGATGACAGCAGCAATGCTCGAGTTCAGCTATTTATCAATATTTGATCGCCATAGTCGATACAGATGTCCTCGAAGCTCACTTCTTCCGTACGTAACACATGGATGGCATTCAAACCCCGATACACTTTGCCACAGAAGCCTAGAAGGATGAATGCGTTCAAAGGTATTCTGACGGGGGCTACTTTAAGGATGCCGGTGTGGATATGCCATCAGACAACTTCATCAGGTGCGATTCTCAAGGAATAGCAAAACTGGGACTCGCTATATGTGAACCTGCTTATGATCAACTCACTGCCACCGATGAGAAATGGTTTGCAGTTGCACATATACAGAATATTTCTGTAGCGACCTTTGTAGGGTTTAAATGTGCATACTGCACAACTTTTTGAGAAGGAACCTTGCCAGAAAATTTTTGATACAAAAATGGACGTCGTTGCACGTGCTTTACCACAGACAGTAAAGTAAATCATTTGAAGGTTGAAATAGCTGAGCTTTCGGATTTTGCTGCCTCATTCTGAGCCTTTCGTGCTTGAATATGGATTGTAATACGTGAAGAATCATATCCAGAGCAGCGATCTCTCGAATTCAAAGAAAAGTTATTTCAACAGACAAAGATACATAACCTGGCCTTGCTGGATTTCGACGAGAGAAATAGAGACCTTATGCTTCCCGGTTTACGCGATCCAAAACCAAATTCTTTCTGTTAATCCAATGTTAGTCAATGTTGATTGAGTAGGTAGAACATTTCGACGTTCTTGCTTACCAAGGAAATTTCGTGGCTTGGGTTCTTCCCAAGTCAGCTCCAGTTGATCAGCCTCTTCTTTTCCAGACCAAAAATCCATGTCTTCCATCTTCACAAATTGGGTCTTTTTAATGACCTTATAACCAATGAAAAGGGATGCAAAGATCGGAATATCGATATACGGTGGAATGAAGGTCTTGGCGCTGAAGTGCCCCGGAAAGAAGGCATCAAAGCCATTGAAAAAAGCGACTATCGAGGAAAACGCCACAGCGAAATATGCGAGGTAAGGTTGGAAGGGTGCTTGATAGGGGAGTGCAGATCGTGGAATTTTGTGATATTTCATTCCTTGGTGGAATCGGATATACGTGATAGCAATCGAGGCCCACACGATCAGCGTGCTGACGGAGCTCAAGTTACTGATCCAGAAAAAGACCTCAGCCGAACTCGCCGATACATTAAGGTAGACCAGAAGGCTCAATGCGGCTGTGACAGCCACGCACGCATATGGTACACCGAACTTTTCGTACCTCAAGATGCGAGGAGCCTTTCCATCCAGTGCCGTCGAATATAGAATGCGAGTCGACGCATAGAAGAAGGAATTTCCAGCAGACAAGGCGGAGGTCAAAATGACCGCATTAATTATCGACGGCAGCACTGATATTCCTCCATTCTCAATGGCAATGACAAAGGGACTTGCCCCTGCGCCAGTTGCCCCCGAATCAATGGCATTGAGAAGTCGAGGGTCGCGAGATGACACGCAGAGGCCTACCAAGAACACACTTCCCACATAGAAGATAGCAATCCGCCAGAAGACCCGACGCACAGCTTTGGGAATGTTACGCCGTGGGTTCTCAGTCTCTCCAGCTGCGACCACAACCATTTCACTGCCTCCATAACTGAATGTTGCTTGAATAAAAACCTTCCAAAAGGCCAGAAATTGGCCCAGGGTTCCACTTTCCAGGTATTCATTCATTGGCCCCGGATGCTGCCAATAGCGAAATCCAATCCGATCATGCGTCGGTGTCCCACCGAGAGTAATTATAAACATCAGTATCATCAGTCCCACTATCGTGATGAGTTTGATGGAGCCCAGCAAAAACTCCAATTCTCCATATACGCGGACTGGGAGACTATTGATGACAAATATGGCGATATAGAGCACCGTAATCCACACTGCTGCAGGAACACTGTTGGGCCAGTAGTCGATGACCAAAGCGGCCGCGCTTATTTCGATCGGGACGCCGATAGCAAACTGGTACCAATAGTTCCAGCCCAAGGTGAATCCAAGTGCTTCGTCAACGAAGCGAGCGGCATAAACTGGAGTCGCGCCCGGGAGGGGAAGCCATGTGGCCATCTCTCCCATGCTGTTGATGACCGCGTATAAGTTGAAGCCGGTGATAAAGTAAGCAAGGAAGGCCGAAAGCGGACCCGAGAGAGACAAAACCTGGCCCGCACCGACGAAAAGGCCGGTTCCAATAGCTCCCGACAAAGCGAGAAATTGGACATGTCGCGATTTGAGACGGCGTTGCAGATTCCCAACGTTCTTCTGCACGTATGCCGACTTTGCTTGTCCGAGCGGGTCCATTTCCCGTATAACATGAGTCTGAGTGAGGTCTAGGGCCTCTACATCTGCATCTAGACCTTTCGCCTGTTGCATCGCCATATTCGCCTGAAATAAAACCCCTTCAATCCAGGCCGTTTGCGAGAACTTTGAAATAGTCGTTCTGGAACCTGCAATTTCCCAACTCTCCAACACCTTAAGAATAAGAAGAATAAGGCCTGCCCAGGCAAACGCACGGGCCTAGTCGCTCAAGGGGCGTGGGGTCACTGCGTGGGGAACAAGCGGAGCCAAGCGCGCGGATTGCCAACGCGGGGATAGTTTGGTAGTCCTTCTTGTCTCTTCTCTCTCATTTGACTTTCCTCCCCGGAGTTCGTGAGGTATTTCGGGACCCTCCTCGGCTGAGTCCGCGTCTAGGCCAATCACAAGACCGCTAGTGATGGAGTTCCGGGCCTCGTCGCGGGTCGGCAACACGCCGCATGGGCCCTCGAACCTCCAGAGCCGTCCCCAGAGTGGTATTCTGCGGTGGTATTCGCGTTCAGATGTGCCGTTAGACCGAGATAAACAGGCGGTGGCCGAGTGGAGACACAAACAAAATAGCAACCGGAATTGCAAATGCGTCTGGCATATGAAAGTAATCGCATTGAGGATTTGGATTAACAGTCATTCATCATGGACGAGAGGACTTCGTTTGGACATGCCATGGGCCGGCATTTTTCATTTGAGCCAGGGTATCGGAACCTGAATCATGGTGAGGCTGGTTCAATTCATCGTGCTTTCCTTTCCTGACTCTCTTGCTTCCAGGCTCTTTCGGCGCAGCTCCGACGGACATTCTGCAGAAGGCGAATGAGCTGCGCCAGGAGTGCGAGCGCATGCCGTGTCCATTCATCAAGTACCGTTTCCCGCAACTGCTTGATCAGTCGCGCACGGCGATGAGCAGTTTCCTAGGGGTCCCAGCGAACACGGTGGTGTTCGTGCCCAATGCGACAACGGGAATTAACACGGTTCTCCGAAACCTGGTTTGGAATGCCGACGGACGCGACGAGATTATTCAATTAGACGTAATCTATGGGGCATGCGGGAAAACGACCCATTATATCTGCGAAGCGAGTCAGGGCCGAGTGCGAACGCGCGAAATTCACCTTACGTATCCCCTGCCGGCCGACGACATCGCGGCGGCCTTACAAGAGGCCATCGCAGCATCCCGTGGCGAGGGCTTCCGGCCCCGTTTGGCTATCTTCGACACCATCTCCTCGAACCCGGGCCTTCGCTTGCCCTTTGAAGCCCTAACGGGAATTTGTCGATCGGAGGGCGTGCTTAGCCTGATTGATGCCGCCCATGGCGTAGGACAAATCGATCTGCACCTCTCGTCGCTGGATCCCGACTTCCTTGTGAGCAACTGTCACAAATGGTTGTTCACACCTCGGGGATGTGCCGTGTTCTATGTGCCCAGGCGCAACCAGGCTTTGATGCGAAGCACATTGCCAACTAGTCATGGGTTTGTGGCGCAGGACTCGCATGATGAGGCCAAGAGGAAGAAAGACGTCGGAGCAATACCGGTGGACAAGAGTGATTTTGTGTCCAATTTCGAATTTGTGGGCACGAGCGACAACCTGGCCTTCCTGACCGTGTCTGAAGCGATCCAGTGGCGCGAACGCGTGTGCGGAGGTGAGAAGAAGATCCGCGAATATTGCATTGGCCTATCTCGCCTCGGTGGGCAGCGTGTCGCGCAGGTCCTGGGGACGCGAGTGATGGACAACGAGGCCCAGAGCCTGACGAACTGTTGCATGGTCAATGTCCTGCTGCCGCTGAACCGGCCCACGACCGGAGCACGAAGTTGGGTGAGAGGGCGCAGCACAGATGCCGTGGCCGTGAATGAATGGATGCAACAGATCATGATTGAGGAATACCGTACCTTCATGCCTGTATTTGCCTTCCAAGACCAGTGGTGGGTGCGACTCAGTGGCCAGATCTATCTGGATCCCAGCGACTTCGAGTGGGCGGCGTGGACCTTGAAGACGCTCTGTGAACGAGTCGAACTAGCAGCCTCGCCGTAGTCTCGGGCCCATTGAATCACCAAAAATACATAGATCAGATTATTTCCTCACTCATGGTCCTGGCCCGGCCTCGTTTCATCCAGCTCTCAGAGCGAGGAAGAACAATCCTAGGAGGAAACACAGAACCTTCAAGCCCGGCTTTAAGACTTTCAATTAAGGCGGGAATCATCAGGCTTTAATAGCAATTAGAGAATACTCAATGAGCAAGAAAGGCACGGATTTTCTTTTCCACTATCCATCAGTAGGGTCAATCCTCGTCCTCCAAAATGCCATGGCCAGGCCAGCCCGGACGGGGATAGTGGTGCTCCTCGCCTTGACCAAAAGATTCCAGAAATTCTTCAAAATTCATATTGCCAATACTCAGATTGCAGAATGCATCATGTGCTTTCCGCCCCTTCAAGCGACCACAGAGGATGCCTTTGGTCGACGGATCTTCGACGTCCTGAAGAAGCCGATTTGCCTGCTCGTTGTCCGACGCCCAGAAGAAATGATCACAGTCCACCATGATGACGGTCTGGTTCACTCCAGACTGTTCGTCGACAAAGAAAATAGGCATTTCACAAGATGTATGTCGTCGCAAATCCCAGAAAATTCGCCAGATATCATCCACTGTGCCATCAGGCGCATCCGGATCGCCATCTGCCCATGCGACATAGCAGCACGCTTTTTGCAGACCATCAAGGTCCCCATTTCCTTCGTAGAACTCGGCACGGAGGGCCTGTGTCTGCTCTTTGGAAAGTTTGTTGGTCAAATAGAACACCGAAATCGACACCAACCCTTCACCATTCACCGGCGCCCAAGATGGAGGGTTGTTATAGAAAGGGTCATCGGGTCCAATTAAGAACTCTACCATAGCCGGGTCTAGACGTTGGTTCTCGTGCCATTCATTTTGAAGTTGCGCGAATTTCCCAGGCGGTAGTTCGGTGCGATTCAGTCTTGCTGCCGCCATCTGCGCCAGGGAGTTGCGAGCCATGAGGATGAAACCATCATTGCTGTGGTATATTGACCCCAGTTGCGCTTTTTCGAGAACATGGCTCTTGCGGGTGGTCTCTAACGGCGCCAGGAGGTAGTTCAATGGACAGAGAGTGGGCTCGTGTATTTCTTGCCAATGATTCTCGAGGTCACGCCGGGTTGCTGGATGACTGTACTCCCATGGAACCAACTGCACAGCAAGATGATGTACTGTGTCATCTTCCTTACTCCTTTGTAAGGGTTGAAATCCCAACAGCTGTAGTTCACGCTCCATCACTGCTCGCATTGCGTTGCGCTCATCTTCCTCGGTGGGAAATGTTAGGAAGAGAGTCAAGGCGTCACTCTGCGTTGGTGAGGAAACCGGTTCAATCTGCGTTCGGTGGTCCATGGTTGAGACGATACTCGCAATCAGTTCAGTGGGTAGAGGCGTGGACTCTGACAACGCTGCTTTGATAGCGCATTCGAACTCCTCCCGACCCGTCGCAGAGACAGTGTCCCGCGTGAAGACTGCATGGTCTGGATCGTGAAGCTCAAGCCCGTACTCGGACAGTCGGGTAGTAATATCTATGCTTGCCCCGCCAAGAAACTGGTATGAAAGCTCGAAGGTGCTCAGAAGATTCGGCAAGCGTTGTCCTCCGTCCTGGTCGAGCGTATGGCGCTTGGCAATCACCCGCAGTGGTTCGCATTCGTGTAGAGACGATCTGACGGAAACCATCACCATCGATATGGACGGGTCTTCTCCGGGCCGAGGATCGCCCTGCAGTTGACGCTTGGTTAGTCGATCAACAACGTAAAAGCTAGCTCGTCCGGCGCGGTGCGCCAGGACTGCGAGGCCATAAATGTTGGCTTTGCTATCCCGGCGGTCTCTTCTCTTCGATATAGGTTGCGGGAGGCCGACTTTGGGGGGATGCCAGAGTTGCACTGAATAGTCTTCCGGGCAGGTTTCATGGAGGCGTTGGAGGAGAAGAGCCTCATCGGCGAGCTCCAGCTCCGTCAATAAAGCCACAAGCAACGATGTCTCGCCGGGACTGGGGATTCCGTAGGCCATGCCAGGAAACACAAATCGAGATCGGAAGGGTTTTCCAGGCAGTCCGAAGAGGCCAAAAGCCGGATGCGTTACAAAATTGGAACCGAGAGATCAATGTGGGCGTCGGCCCCCAAGTAAACGGGGCTCTCTGCCGATCTTTTCAGCCTCACGCGGAGCCTCACGCGGATGACGTCGAGGCGGACGTTCGACGCGCACCCTTTCTATGGCGGTTGGCTAGGCCATGCCCGATACGCCTTCAGCCGATGATGAAATCTGACGGGGCGAGTGATGGGACTGAACAGGGAGATGGAGAATCCTAAATCGTCAAAGATCGACATTCATTCGCAGATACTCGCAGATACCTTGTCGTGTTGATATATTGTGGATAAAGTGTTGCTATACATACAAACATCCCAACTTGGAACCGACAGCTCAGTTCCGTATAGATCAGGTCAATCATCCATCGCTGCCATAGACAACCCGTCCAGCTCTGCGGCATTCTATCTGTATTTGATGTACAAAGGGTATCAGGAAGATCCACAGCCGCCCCCACCCCCCCCGAGAATACACTGTGCAGTCTAATGTACTAGGAGAGGGGAGGTAGGAAACAAGGGCACGAAAACTACATCACATATTCCAAAGTCGAAAAGAGTCCCGCGGGAATAAATCGTCCAAGAAAGCGCACGCAAAATAACAGATGAGAATCGTGGGACAGCGTAAGGAGAGAGATCAAGATTAGCTGAAGACCAGTGAAAGGAGAACAAACTGCAAGAGGTCTGAATTCCACGGGATACAGCCGTCAAGTTTCAAAAGCAGCATGGCCACGGAGGAGCATTCCTCCGGGGGTCGGACAGGATTATTTCCGGTCGAAGAACCAGCTCGTGCGCTTGCCCGATGCCTCCTGCGATTGCACGCCCGTGATGGCCGCATTCGCCGGTGGCCCGTCCGAGCCGCCGCCGCCTCGCAGCGGCTTCGCAATGCGGGAGCCACCGAAGCTGAAACTCCCATTGGCATCCATGGTGGGCAAACCGCGGGTGGAACCCTGTTTGGCGGCCTCGAGACGCTCTTTCACAGCCGTGAGTTGGGCCTCAAACCTGCAATTATTGTCAGCATCTGTCAGAACGAAGAGGAAGTGAGGTGAGATAGATAGCAGGATATCATACCGATGGTTGGCCTGAGTCAACTTCTCCTGGCTCTCTTGCAGCAGGCTCTCCAGACTGGCGATTCGCTCATTGCGGGCAATCAGTTTGCGCTCCGCAATGGCCACTTCCTTCTTCAAACTACTGTTCTGTTCCACAAGCTGCCGCTGTACATGAGTCAGCTGCTCCAGGTTGCGCTCAAGGAACGCCATTTTCTTCTGCTGGGCGCGGTTGTTGGAGGATCGAAGCACATTGTTGTACTGCTCACGCGCATCGTCTAGAGAAATTTCAAGCTCAACAACGCGCTCGCAGCGGTTTTGAAGATCACGCATCAACGACTTCTTCATGGCATCAAACTCGGCGATCTGTTGCTGTAGAGTCTTGCTGGCAGCACCGTTCGTAGAGGTTCGAGACTCGGTATCGGAAAGGGACTGGCGCAGCTTTGTCATTTCCTCATCCTTGCGGGTGATCTGGGCGCGGAGCTCATCGACGGCCGTTGTCTCAATATCCTTCCGGCTGATAAAAGCCTTTTCTAACCGCTCACGAATCTCGTCCACGTCGCTCTCACTCAGGTTGCGAGTCAAGAGATCCTCGTACTCCTGTTGAACTTCCTCTAGTTTTCTCTCCAGCTCTACACGGCGGCTGTCCTGCAGCTCACCAAGCTCGCCACGATCGTTCATTGTCAGCTCGGCCTGACGAATAAATCCTTGTGTTTCGAGTAGGCTAGCACGAAGCTCAAGCACATCATCAGGCGCAATAGTTTCGCCCGCGGCGCTGACCTCATGCAGTGCATCCACGCGTGAGATCAACCCCTGCAGTTTGCGCTCGTTGTTTGAAAACACATCGTCGCCGAGGTCAAATCCAGCCATCATCTTAGCCATCTTCTCGGCTTTTTTCTTTTCCTTCTCGTCAAGGGCAGCAGTGGTCTCTTTGGCCTTCATGCGAACATCGAGAAGTTGCTGCTTGACCTCATCCAACTCGCTCGTCAGTTCGGAATTGGCTTCCCGAAGACCATCCATCGTGATTGCGGCCTCTTTACTCTCGTAGGACACCTTCTCCAACTGCATCCGGAGCTCATTAACTTCAGTGTTCAGGCGATCGTTGTCCTTGCCTGACCGGCCAGCGTTCTCCTTCATCGACTTAAGTTCTTCCCGAGCATCGCGAAGGCTTCGTTCCACATTGGCAATATGCGTCTCCTTCTCAGCAAGCTGGTCTTGCAGTTCATTCTCTCGGCGTAGGAATTCCTCCCGCTCATCCTTCTCCAGCACCAGGCTGGGTGTGCTTGAGCGGTCACCGACCCGAGAATCAGGTCGCGGAGTCTCCGAACGAGCGGTTTCCTGAAGGCGTGATGGGGTACCGGGGCGAGGGGTACGAGCTTCCGCCTTTGCAGCGCTGACGAGATCTATGCCGCGGGCAGGAGTCCACTGATCCTTAGGCACATTGTCGCCACTACGCCAAGTGTTCACCTCAGTCTCCAGTGCTGAGATGTAACTCTCGAAGCTGGTGACCTGTGTCTGGGCCTTGCGCAGAAGCTGTTTCAGCTCCGCCGGGCTTAATTCAGCATTCACCTTGGCCTTATTCTTGATTGCCTTGGCACGGACACCAAAGCGCAAAGTGGAAATAGTTTCAGCGTCGTTGTAGCTGCTAGGCGAGCAATTGATGATCAGGGTCGTCCGCGAGTTACCACCCAGGGATTCTTGCAAGATTCGAGTAAGCTTGGAGTCACGATATGGGATATGACTCGACTTTCCATCTGTCAGCGCGTTGATAACCATGCCGAGAGCACTCAGACTCTTGTTGATCTTCTTGGCCTCCTCCAGGGTTTGACCACTTGCTCCAGTTTTGCCAACTTTCTCGCTGCCGGCCAAATCAACCAGGAAGAGCTGGCCACTCTTGGCCGAGCCAGTCTCGACATTCTTCTGGCTGACAGTGATGACAAAGATAGAGTGCGAACGGGAGGACTCCTGGTTCATATTGGTCGCGGCGACGGCTCGTGCAGCTCCACCTCGGCGCATAACTTCGTAGACTTCCTGCACGCTCGATACGTAAACCTCCAACAATCCCTTGACATATACTCCGCGAGACTTTTCCTCGTGTACTGGCAGGTTGTCGTTCTGTGGAACGAGCAAGTCACGGATTCGCTCCATGTAGATTTCCATATAGCTGACGCGCACGGTGTACTCGATGTTGCTCGGACTCGTCAAGATACTAGCAAATATTTGCTCGACGATTCGTGGAATTACACCTTTACCCACGTCGTCGTCGATATCCGAGCCCATCATAGTATACGACTTTCCCGCGCCGGTCTGACCGTACGCAAAAACAGTTCCATTGTAGCCATTTAGAATATCATCGACGGTAGGACGAATCGAGAAGTTAAAAATGTCGTCCTGGAGGGTGTTCATAGGGAAGACACGGTCGAAGGTAAAGGATCCCGAGCCCTCGTTGGACTGAATGTGTTGTTAGCCTGCTGTTGTTCCTTTGTTCTCGGTCTTCGGGGTCGCCATGCTCACAGTGATGATACATGATTCATCGCTTTCAAATTCAACGACTGGTTTACCACCAGAAGCCAACTCAACCTTGTTCTGGGGCCGGAATCTGGCGACCACTATGCACGTTTGGAGATTAGCTCAACCCTCCCTCCGCACATTCTTTGGTCTCCCATATTGTGCGTACCTTTAATAGTGTTTGACCCCGCGGACCTGCAAAATGAGTCAGCAACAAACCCACTGAGAGCTGCCAGGCATACTCACGCCATCCTTGTATTGCACCTGCTCTCTTGTGGGAAAAAAAGACCCCAATGAGGGGCAGACAAATTCCGGGGCTCGAGTTGTGTCACGCAGCCTGGAGATCCAGGGTCAGGGGCTCCACGTGCGCGCGTGGAGAAGAGGCGCGACGAGAGTCAAGGAGAAAGAGCGCAAAGGAAACGGTGAGAAAGAAGAGAGCCCAGCTCGCCAGGGCGGGATTCAGTGGGTGACAGAAGCAAAAGGCTGTGAGGAGGAAGTGGGAGTGGATTTGTTGACAATCACGCCCGTTTAGGATTCCTCGCCGACCGCCCCGGACTTGGTTCTGCACTCCGGTGCAGAACGGGCAGCCGGGGATGCATATTATTTCCCCCTATCAGTCCAAGTGCGAACGCATTATCTGATTACTGCTACTGACTATCATTCTCATGTTCTTATTAAGACGACAAGGGATTCGATTATACTGTTTCGTCTAATGCTATTTTTGAGGTTTTTGCAGATCGCCGAATTTTGTTGGTGAGATTTATTGAAGTTTTCCGTCTCATGGGCAGGATTCAAAGGCTGATGCAATGAACTATGGAACGAGGAATGGAACAACAGATGCACGAGAAGGTTTAAAATCGAGAGAAAAAAACGAACCAGTGAGAAGGACAAAATTATCAGGGGCATAAAAAAGATAAACGAAAAAAAAAAAAAAAAAAAAAAAAACCGAGCGCCTTAACTCCACGCTGTGCAGATCAAACGGTCCGTCCGAAGGCGATACTCGACTTCGGGATTTCCATTCCCGGACTCGTTTCGGTCCCAACGTTTCATTAAATGAACACAACGAGATTCTTACAGAGAGCTAGGAAAATCAATCCGGTCTCACTCCATCAGTCTTCCCAGCTTTTTTCCACGGTCTCCCGCACCCGTTTGATGTATTCCTTGCGGTTGTCCTTGTAAAGGTTCGAAGCTTCAACATTGGCCGGAGAAGATGTGTTGGGGTCGTTGAGCAAACTATAGGGAATATCAATAGATTAGCAACGGGAAGTTTTTCAAGCGAAAAACAGCATTGTCGAGAGATCTATGGGGATCGAAAAGCCTACCTTTGAATGCTGGTCAAGATGGCGGCCACATCATATGTTGGACTCCAGCGATTCTGAAGAATGTCGAGGCACAGCTCGCCAGTACCGTAGACATTAGGATGGAACATTTGACTGATAAATTTAACCCCGGGTGGCTTGTTCGGATATTGTTCCTCGAAATTCATCACGAGGCGAAAGGTACCATCCTCAAAGGGAGTATCCGCCGGTCCGATAATAACGGCATTCCTAGTAATTTGTGAGAACAGCTCAACGTCGAGCACGGCCTCTTGGTTGTCCACATACCAGGTCATAACATTATCGGCCACGGGGGAGGCAGAAACACCAGCGGGAGGGTCGGTTTGCATGCGCTGTGGTCAAAGAAGCTCAATGTTAGTGAACACAGGTGATTGGTAATTACCGAGGACCTTGAAGACACAAATGACCACAAGGACCATGCGGAATTATGATCTAGAGATCCGAGGGGCCAAGATTCATGCCAGATGCGCCAGAGACTATGCATTGGCGCCGCTGCCGACGTCTAGGTTCCCGGGGAGTCACGCGGCAGTACATACCTTGAAGTCCCGCATGAGACGACGGCGAGCAGATGTCGACATGATGACCGGTCGGAGAGGAGGTAAAAGCGGAGTTAAGGGAGACAATCCCGTCGCCCGAAAAGACAAAGATGCAACTGTTGAAAAGAAGCTGTTGATGTTGTTGCGCGGGTGGACTATCAGTTGGGAGGCGGGAGGAGGGGAGCCGGGCTAAAGGTCCCAAAGGGGAAACTATCTGTATCTGGACATGCTGACTCAGCAATAAACTGCCAATTATGTCATATCATGTGATCTGTGACAGCCTCGGCCCAGGCGGTTAGCGGCGGTCGGCGGGCCGGGCGACATTCCGTCGTCGTTGGGGGTCTCCAACCGCTACTCGGGATTATTATTCTCGACGTGCCATAGTATATCCCCTCTCCTTACCTCTCTTTTCTTTAGCTTCATGCTCCTATTTTGACCTGCATTCTCTCCACGACCGATCGTTGTTTGCACCATGATGACCGCAACTAGGCTATCTGCCCACCTCTCTAAGCGGGCCGCCATCCCCGCATTCCGCAGCCAGAGATCCTTCAGCTCCGCACGCCCGACCCTGAAGGAGGTGCAGGAAGCCTACATCCTCAGCGCAGCTCGCACCCCCACCGCAAAGGTAAGCCAAAAGAAAAATGGACGATGCCTGGGCATCGGGAAGTGGAAACCCTAATGGAGCTTGATTGTAACGTATACTGTCCAGTTCAATGGCTCGTTCGCCTCCGTTTCGGTCCCAGAGCTCGGCGCCGTCGCCATCAAGTCTGCCCTGAGCAAGTCCAATGTGCCCTTGGACAAGATCACAGATGTATATATGGGAAATGTTCTACAGGGTTCGGTCGGTCAGGCCCCAGCCCGGCAGGCATCTATCTTTGCCGGCCTGCCTTCCACCGTCGAGTCGATGACGGTCAACAAAGTGTGCGCGTCTGGTCTCAAGGCGGTGGCCCTGGCTGCTCAAAACATCCAGCTGGGACTGTCTGAGGCTCAGATTGCTGGCGGTATGGAGAATATGACTCGAGTGCCATATTACATGCCCCGTTCTAGCCAATTGCCCCCTTTTGGCGAGATCAAGCTGGAGGATGGCCTAATCAAGGATGGACTCTGGGACGTATACAACCAATTCCACATGGGCATTTGTGCTGAGCAGACTGCGAAGAAATACGAGGTTTCACGCAAGGATCAGGATGAATATGCTATCCGCTCCTACGAACGAGCCCAGCAGGCCTGGAAGGAGAACAGATTTGCCGAGGAGATCGCCCCAGTCACAGTCAAGAGCAAGAAGGGTGAAGCTATCATTGAACGAGATGAGGGCTACGAGAACCTGCGCATCGACAAGCTGACCACTCTGAAGCCTGCTTTCCTCCGGGATGGAACGGGTACCGTCACCGCTGGCAATGCTTCCACCATGAATGATGGTGCTTCGGCCTTGGTCTTGACCAACAAGGAGCTGGCTCGGGAGTTTGGCCGCGGGGGCCGTGCTCTGGCTCGTATTGTGTCCTCCGCCGATGCTGCCATCGACCCTGTAGATTTCCCTGTCGCTCCCGCAAAGGCCGTTCCCATCGCGTTGGAGCGCGCCGGCATCACCAAGGAACAGGTGGCGGTATGGGAGTTTAATGAGGCTTTTGCCGCAGTTATCAAAGCCAATGAGAAGGTAAGGATCATGCACTTCTCAGAAGGAAGCCCTCCGTTCGGGTCAGGGTTCTTGTTACTAACAGTGTTTGGTAGATACTGGGTCTTCAAGATGCCAAAGTCAATATGCTGGGCGGTGCCATCTCCCTTGGTCATGCTCTCGGCAGCTCTGGCTCCCGGATCCTCGTTACCCTGCTTCACCAGCTGCAGCCTGGCGAGTACGGCGTGGCAGCCATCTGCAATGGAGGTGGAGCAGCCACCGCCATGGTTGTGCAGAAACTGGATCGGGTAGATTAATGGCTTGGTAGGTCCAAATATTCCAAAGATACCCTCACAGATCGACTGTCCGTTTGATGGCGATTCCCCTTTGTACATATATCTCTATGGCGAGCTCCACATAATCCATTCAGCCTTTTTCAGTCAGCATGCACTTTTGTTCTGTACTATATGTAGAAACCACCCATTTTTACTCCTGGAGTTCGATTCCAGATTCAACCCAGGATCTTTGTAAAAACAAAAACAAAACAAAAGTAGAAAATAACAAGCATCCTCCCAGGTGGTCATTGAGGTGGTGTTCGCGCAAACCCGAAACGGAAGCGCATGCAAATCGCTCGGAATGGCGCTAGGCCCGATCGGGCATTCTTCATCACAGCTTCACGCGTTTGCACCTTGGGCCCTTTCTTCAATCTTTGCAAAAACTTCTAGGATGCGAGAAGATAAGGGGCGGAGAATCGCGTGTTAACAAGATGCTGAATACCCTGGAATTGCCTTTCTCCCCATCGTGCTATGACTCGCTTGCGTGGTCGCCCGATGGTGAGCTCGCAGTGGCCAACGGCGAGCAAGTTCAAATCCTGGTGCGTGGAAGAGCAAAATTCCGGCGGGAGCGAGGACAGTCTAACCTTTTGACAGACCTCAAAACACACCGGAAGGGACACACAGCAGTCCCAAAGTAAAGATCAATGGCAGATGACTCGCGTCCGCGTCAATGCCTTCACGAACGCGGAATGGCCACCCATCTATCCTCAAAATCGGGACGATTTCTCTATCGGCGCAGAGATGTCAAATAGTACTGTGGTGGGACTTGCTTGGTCCCCACCGGGTCTGGCACGTTTTCGCCGCAGTGTGCTGGCGGTCCTGACCTCGAACCTCCTCCTGTCTCTATGGGAGCCACTTGGGACCAAAGGCCAGTGGACCAGGGTTGCCATTGTGAATCATAGTCTCCAGCCGGCCGCTTCCACTCCATCACAACTCGAGGGCCTGGAACTTCGTCGATCGAATATCAGATCATTCCATTGGTGCCCGCCTCTCTATGCACCGCCCTCCAGAAACACTCATTCAGCCCCTGAACCCGAGACCCGCTGGGGTGCGCATCTATTGCTGGTTGCGAATGATGCAAATGAAGTAATATTGCTCCGTATTCGCAGATCAGCTGCTGAGATGCAGCCCTCATTAAAATCGTATACGATCGAGAAGGTGGCTCTTTACCAGGTTAATCCGGAACAAGTGCATTACCCTATTCCCGGAACGGGCTCTCTGTTGCAGAAGGCCCTTCAATCAAAAGCACGACTCTCATCAATCTCATGTGGCCCATGGGTGGCATCACCTGAGCCAATGGAAGACAGTGATCACTCTGTCGTCGCAACGACTGCCGTCATATCTGGAGCGCAGCTGTATGTTATCAAAATGACCGCATCCTTGCGGAAGTTGACTGGTGGGAACAATGACACAACCCGATATGAGACAAGGGCCAAAATTGCAGAGCACCCGATGCAAAACCTTTCGGCGAACTGGTCATCTTACTATATTCATGGCCCACTGCTATGGGCTTCTACTGTACGTTCAGCGTTTTTCTCCCTAGAGCGGGATTTCTCTGACGTAAATAATCAGCCAAATGCCATTGTTCTTAACGTTGGAATCAATGCTGGTTTTCTCACATTAGCTATTACACCATCTATATATGATGGTACCAGTGTTGAAGCTGATCGGTCTGCCATTCGCGAGTGGGCTTTCTCGAATTCAATTGACGAGAATGGTGAAGCTTCGACAAGATTTGTGGAGCCTATCTCGAGTGAGTTCCTTGCAGAATTCAATTTTCTTTTTCAAAAGCTCATCTCCTCTATTCCCAGGTATGACGACATTTCTTGATGACAGAAGCGGTATATGCAGCCTCCACGTTGGTACCGTTGGGGGGCTGGGTAGTGCCATTTATCTTGACCATCTCGAAACTGGCGACCTGAGTTTGCCACGGTGGAATAAGCTCATGGTGGATCGTCAGGAGCAATATGACCTCGATCGCGACCTTGGAGGCCAAAGTGTTGCGCGTATCTGGGGCCTGGCTTCTTACCGCAATGCAATTGCTGTCCTCTTCTCGAAACACCCGACAGATATGGTTGAATATCGGGTGGCATCTGACGAAAAATCTACACTTATATTCTCTTCCGAAGACCCGGAATACCCGCTCGATCTGCCAACACTCTTTGCTCCAAACGAAACAGCAACAGAGTCGTGGTCTGCCCAGGATCAGCGCGAGGCAGCAATTGCATTTTTGTTGTCCAGTACGGGCCAAGATGGCACGGTTGGTGCCGAGGATCGCAAACTGGTCTATGCAGCGGCCTGCTGTGCTATCGTTGATCAACAGAACGAATCAATCCGCAGCCAAGCTAAAGAATCGTTTGAATGGCTAGCTTCATTAACTGGTGCGGATCTGAATGAGGAGATTCTTCAATGCAGTGTCCCTTCTCCCAGTATCTGTTCCAAGTCCCCCGAACAATTCAGCGGCCCTGGGGGGCATCTGTTTGAGCGCTGTGAGATTTGCGATGCCGGAATCGCTTGGGAATCTTCCAAGGAAGCGCAATGTATCGAAGGCCATCTTTTCGGTAATAACCTTCCCAATCTCTTCATAGATCCTCTTCCATTCTAATATAAGTTGTCTATAGCACGCTGCGGATTGACGTTTCTTGCTATTCAGGAACCTGGTGTTTCCAAATATTGCTCCATCTGCCGGACAGAGTACATGGACGAGGAAACGATAGCTCACGCACGACAAGGTAGCTTGGGCTCTTTGTTCAGGCAGGTCTTCGACGCATTCGATACTTGCCTCTATTGTGGTGGCAAATTTCAAGCTAGCCTATAAGTGAATGCTCCCTAATTGTCTACGGCGTTCGGTTGAAAATACTACCCACTTGTCTCCAACTGAATGTACAAAATCCCAAGTATTTTCATTGTGGATTTTTCTGGGTTTGACTGCGATGCGTGACGAGACTCAATTCTTAGACCCATTACGTTAAGCCGAGCAACCTTCCGGCAATGGGATCCCACTCATCATCCCATCGTCGAGTGCTTTCCTTATATGCGCCGGCTCGAAGGGCCTCCAGTTTCTGTTCGTCTCCAAAGAGCTCGACTAAGCGCTCTGTCAGCTCATCCGAGGTGCCGAACCCCATGCCATTGACACCCTCCGTCACCAATTCTGGCCACGCCTCAAAGCGATTCCAGCCGACCACCGGCAGTCCTGCGCCGAACATATCAACAACCTTCATTGGAAGATCTACTCCACTGCTGCTAGTGTGGAGACTGACCCCTAAAGATGCTGACGCCAGTAATCGTGCATAGTCCAGCACACCGAGCCATGCTGTCCGGATTGTGACCTTTTTCAGCTTCCCCGAAGCCTCTAGGGCGGCAATCTTTTCAAGATACATATTTTTTTGAGGGCCCTTTCCAGTGATAATGGCCAAGACTTCAGGAAGTGTTGATTGGGTCATAGCCAGCTCGGAATATTTGAGCAAAGCATCGATTAGGATCGAAAAGTCTTCATCTGGTGTCCAGGAGGTAGAGCTGACTAAAACTCGGAGATTTCCTGCGTCAAGTGAAGCACGTACTGATTTTGTCTCGGAGAGGGTCGCCAGAAACCTGGTTCGCTCTTCTGCGTCGGGAATGGGGTGAAAGTGATTGGCTGGGCGGTCATGCAGAGGTAGTATAGGAACTTGGAGTTGGAAATCCTTTTTGAGCACTGCGCTCATAGCATCGGTAACGCACAGGTGGGCTGAAGCAAATTTGCAGAATATCTTCTCGTACTTGGTCGACAATCTCACCAGCGGATGGTGTGATCCGAGTTTTAGCGCTAGAATCGAGTATCCAAAGTTATGCCAATCAATCACTAGCTGGGTCTGTCGGAGAAAGCACGATAAAGAGGCAACAGCCAATGTGGGAACTGAGGGTGGGTTCTATCGAAATCAACATGTTACAATTCCAAGTCTCTCAATTAGATACCTCAGACACCCACCTGGACTACAAGCCAGCGTGCTGGTGAGGTTGTGTAGGCCAAGCATCTCCAGAGGCACACAATCTGGAAAAGCACTTTCAGAGGTCCATATATCAAGAACAGCAACTTGTTACTGGTTTGCAAGATACCCGGGTGTGGATGCAGGGGGACAATCGAGATATTAGGATTGGAGATGATATCGGGGTGCGGATCGGACTCTAACAATATGATAGGGAGCTTAGTAACATTCTGCACTCTTGCAACATTGACCAAAAAAAACTCACCTTGATACCCAATGATGGTCACTTTTGCCCCCTTTTTAGCAATGCTAAGAGCATGATATTCCATGCGCGGGCTTCGCCCAATGTCTCCCAGGACAAGAATCTGTACCGTCGGTTTCGGCTTTTCTTCCTGTCCGACGGTTGAGCGCGATGGTATATGTTGCGATGGAAGCAACAGTATCAGCACTGTCAAGGCGCTGGATATGCAAAATGCAATGCTGATCAGTGTCTCAATCATTGTGATGGGGTAATTGGCGCATCCTCGCAGTTCCAGATTCGGGTTGAAGTCCACATGCAAATCCAGGTGCGCCGCGTGTTCAAAGCAACCGGCCTTATCAGCGCAACGCCGATAAGGATCACGTGGAGGGCTCCAAGGTCCGCGACGCGACTCAATATTGTTCTTGTGTCCTCCCCAGCTCGTCTTCTTATTCCCTGGAGCCTGTTCCCTTGCTTGGACAGCTTGCGTCTCTCCTGAACTTTGCTATGATGTGTGCTTCCCATCTGCTTCAGCCGATCTGACCTTTCCCAGGCTCCACTTCTCCCCCCGCGGATCTTGGCGCTCGGCGCCCCTTCTCCTGTTCGCCGCTGGACGCTTCTGTCCTCTGCTGCGCACCACCGTTCAAAGAGACCATGTCAACAGGGGTGCCGCCCTCGAATGCGGAATTTGGTCATGCGCCTGGCACCACCAATGGCCATGCGCTCGGCCACAGCCGCGGCCGTGGCCATAATCGATCCGCTCGCTTTGCGCAGCCGCCACCTCCCCTCTTCGCAAGGAGTCTCAACACGGACCTAGCCCAAGAACCGGAGTCAACCGACCCTACCAACATCAACAACTCCTCTGACAATACAACACGGTCATCATTGTCTCACCATCATCATTCGGGCTCCTCTCATTCGATCGCACACCATCACCACGCCAAGAGTGTCTCTTCAATCCATCACGATGTATCGCATAGCCATAGCCATAGCCATAGCCATGCCCATGCCCATGACCTCACGGCTGAAAGTCCCATTCATGTTGATGAGAATCCTGAACGAGTGTATGTAGGGATTTTCTTACATCTGCCATCATGATATTTAATAACTTCATTCTTAGGCAAGAACTCCTCGCAGGCGCTTTGATTGCATTCCCCTGGATCGTGATCTCCTGGTACCCTCAAAATTGCGCACGGGCAGAAATTTCTGGGACCGAAGTATGCACATCTACTGCATTCACGGATCAAATGGGATGGAAGACTTGCACTTTGACGGCAATGACCCTGCTCATCTTCGGCTGTGCACAACTGATACGCATGAACAACCAACAAGCTCGGCCAATGACCGACATCTTTTCTATCAAATTCCCGACGCCAAACCTGAAGACAGTAAAGTCTGCTGTTTTGCAGATATGCTCAATCGGGCTGCCTATTTATGCTTCTCTGAAACTCGGGGGCTTTTTGGTCGTTTTCACACTACTCCTTGTCTCGGCCACCGGCATTCCAAGTCTAGTCAACGGCAATTCTCACAGCAGAACATCTGACCGATACCGTAAAAAGACTTTGACAATGGCCCTCATAGGAGCTGTAGTCTTACTGAGCTTGCTAGGCATGAATCAACCATGGGATTCATCACCACATTTCGGGTACCTTGCGCTCCTGCTCTCGACATTTGTTCTTTCTCCGCCTCTCCCTTCTCTTCACCACCAAGGACCCATCCCAGAGCCAGGCTTGGTTGCTGAATCCATATCCAAACAAAACACGGTCAAGGGTTCAAGCCAATTCTCATCTATTGTTACCACGGATGCTCCACTTGCACTCGTGAATGGAATTTCCCTAGCCTGCCTTGTGTTAGTTTTCTCTCGTGGGCTCCCATTTAGTATATCGGAATTGTTTTTCCTGCTGGTTCCCGCCGGACTTTTTGCACTTTCTTTGATGTTTGCACTTGATTCAGGACTGCGCTCCCCGAACAAAGTCGGACTCGCTGCCTGCACTGGTGCTGCGGCACTTTTTTGCTCGCCTCACACTGGGGATGACCTTCTAGTTGCCTATACAATACGCGGTATCTTGACTGCCGCTTCTTTCTTTGCTGCACGAATGGATGACAGTCACTTACGTCTGGACTCCCATCCGTATAGTCACGGTCACCAGCATCACCATGGCCATTCCCATGGTACCAGCGAGACCAGTCGAGTGACAAAGTGGCTAATTCAGCGAAGTGAAGCTTATCCTCTGATTTCCAGTATTTTGAAAGAAAAAGACTCACGCAGCATTTTTTACTTCATGTGGTGAGGTTTTTGCTTAGTTCTAATTGTTGATAGTCCACTAACAACACCCATAGCTTGAATTTTACATTTATGCTGGTCCAGCTATCCTATGGATTCCTGACTGGCTCCCTTGGGCTTTTGAGTGATAGTATCCACATGTTCTTTGATTGCCTAGCTCTCATCGTCGGGCTTTGTGCAGCTGTTATGAGCAAATGGCCACCCAACGCCAGATTCCCTTATGGCTACGGGAAGGTAGATACTCTGTCCGGCTTTGCCAACGGTATCTTCTTGATGTAAGTCAACCCTTGATCAAATTTATGAATCGTTGGTTAACCATCAGCAGGATTATAAGCGTTGAAATTATCTATGAAGCAGTGGAACGGCTATCTTCGGGGAGCCAGATGCACCGGATCGGCGAACTGCTGGCAGTCAGTATTGCTGGACTACTTGTCAACTTGGTTGGCATTTTCAGTTTTGAGCACGGACATCATCACCATGGCCATGACCATGGCCACGACCATTCCCATGGAAATGAAAATATGCACGGAATTTTTCTCCACATTCTCGCCGACACCTTGGGCTCGGTAGCCGTGGTCATTTCAACCATCCTTGTGCACTATTCCGGCTGGTCAGGGTACGATCCTCTAGCATCTTGCTTCATTGCGATCTTGATCTTTGCCTCGGCTGTGCCGCTAGTCAGTAGTACAGCCAAAACTTTACTCCTGACCCTGCCTGCGGATACTGAATACAACGTCCGTGAAACCCTAGCGGGTGTGAGCACATTACGTGGAGTTGTGACCTACACGGTGCCTAAATTCTGGCTTGATGATACTAGCTCATTCGCATCTGAGCATGGGCACGACCACGATCATTCAGGCCATGGCTGCGATCATAATCATAGTCACAGCCATAGCGAGCACGGCCATCACCACAATCACAATCATGCTGACGATCACACCCACGATCACCATGACCACGACCATTCACATGAACCTAAGTTACAGAATGTGCTTGGAGTCATCCATGTTACTGCCTCCCGTGGCTCAGACCTAGAAGATGTTCGTCAACGAACAGTTAACTATCTTCGTGAGAAGAACATGGATATTGTCGTCCAGGTGGAAAGAGATGGGGATTCACGCTGCTGGTGCAGTAGTGGAGGAAAGGCCTCTTGAGTAACCTGAGTCGCAGGTGTTTCACCGAGATCCAACCCAATTCTATCCGGCCAGGAGACCGAACTTGCTTGTTCTAGGCCTTTGTTTCTGGCATATTCTTCCCGCCTTCCTTCATTGTCATCAGTCTGGTCCGACTATTCGCTGTCTAGGCGCTGTGACTAGATCCCTCCACAATCCAATTGACTGCACATCGTGTATTATTGATTAATATGTAGTCATAAAAATATTAATGACTGCTCTCTGATCTGTTCAATGTTTGGGTCCCAAGTACCGGGCTAATATCACATGTAGATAAATTAGAGGCCACACTACCATAATACTTGTGTAACCCGTCTACCTTGTCGCTGGTGCCAAGCATTGCCCTTGCATATTTTCTAATGCGAGGTCTGGCCTTGTAGGTTATCCTGCATGTCCAGCCCGGATCCCAAGCACTTAAACTACTGAATGCCCTGTAATACTGATTTACTTCAACCCTGACCAACGGTGTTCGGGGGGCTGAACAAATTGGGTTATGATATCGAGTGGCATTTACTAAGGTCTGCTTATCCTTAGAACTCTAATGCTACTTGTCTGTGTCGTGCTACCTATCACCCGTGTTATCTTTTTGTCCCACCATGCGTGAATCATCCCAGGGACCTAGAGGATCTGGAATTCAATCATACATAACTAGTGAATTGGCGTATTATATATTATAGAGCTGTACATCACCGAGCACTTGGAACTGATATTCACCCATCAGATTAAGTTGTCTAAACCCTCCATCTAGCTCTAACTTATCTCCGATGTCCTCGATTTCTGCCTCGGTGCCATCCCACGTGGAACAAGTCATTCGTGAGGGATATACAAAGATATTTGAGGACCATTCCGTCTTCCTCACAGGAAGTACTGGGTCTTTAGGAGGATGTCTTCTGTATAAGTTAGCTCTCCAGCTACCAGTACGCAAAATCTATGCGTTGATCCGAGGAACACCGGAGCAGGCCATTGAGAAATGGAGGAAGGCCATGCCAAATCATACACGAGCGATTCTTGCCTCGAAGAAAGTCGAATTCGTAATTGGAGATATGAAAGCTGCTAATTTTGGTATCGAGCCTGTTATATTGGAGCAGTTGCGGAGCCAAATCACTCTGGTTATCCATACAGCAGCCAAGATCAGTCTCGATTCTAGTATTCAAGATGCGTTCGAAAACAACTGTCTCCCATCTCTCGAAATGGCCCAAATAGCTTCACGTTTCCGCCGTTTGAAACTTCTGGTTCAATTATCTACGGCCTATGTCAATAGTTTCCTCCCCGATGGATCGGTCTTGGAGCGGCTGTATACTCTAGCCGAGTCGGATCCAGAGGAGGAATTGAGCTCCATTTTAACGCAGGGCCAGTCCCCACATGGGGATCGCTTTTCTTCGACATATGCTCAAGCCAAATATGTAATGGAACGACTACTTCCAAAAAGATTCCCACTTTTACCGATCTTGATTGTACGTCCGACCATCTTTGGCCAAGCATTTCGATATCCTTATCCACTCTATGGGCTTGAAAACTCGACACCGCTGAACAAGTTTTTTCAATATTTCCTGGCTGATCGGGGAGCAACACAGGTCTGGCACTCCGCTGAAGGATATCAAACGGGTGCCAATATCATAGATGAGATTCCCGTGGATTTTGTCGCCAATGCTTGTCTGTTGCACGCCGCCGCGCGTACTACGGGCATCATCCAAATCGGCTCGGGGCTATATGAGCCATTTACGTTTGACGAATATTTAGAGATCGCTATATCTAATGCGCCGCCTGCGATTCGTCGTGAGCTTCCTCGCGTCATCTTCACCGAGGACCGGTCTGCACCACAGTGCTTTCTAGCCGAGTTGGTCCAGGTAGCATCGCGAAACTGGTTATTTGACTGTGGCCGTTCTTACTGGTTAAAACAGGTTGGCGGCCCACTCAGTCTGCAGACGTGCAAATCTGAGGTCGATAACGTGAATAAGATGAGAATCCGTCAGATATACGGGAGAGTCGATAAGAAAGCTCGAATATGATGGGATGTTGACACATCAACATGATAGGCTTAGGAATACTGGCATTGGATATTACGCCGAACTCCCAGTGCAGCTTTTGCCACTGGCAACGATTTCTCACTCATCTATATTTCTGTCTGTATATGGCAATTTACACTGTGCAAGGAAATAAAAAGTCATATTAGTGCCCAATCCCGCGGGCCGTATGAGAATAAGATCAACCTGATTCCCCGAAAATAGAAATTGGCCGCCCGTGATTCGTCAATCATTTTTGTATGTTCGGTGTCAACGTCAAGGATCTCTGATCATGATGACACATATGAATGCAATGAAACGCATGCCAGATTGGTTCGAATCAGTGAATAGTAACTAGGATGGTCAAGTATTCAATGTTGAAGACCACGTTCGCTTGTGTGCATCGTGTTTCTGAACAATAGCCGCGCAATGGAATTCTGGCAGTTTTCTTTCCAAGCGCGTAAGGGGTGATTTTTTTTCAGATGCCGGTAGGTCAACACCATTTCGACCTTGTGCAACCTAGGGAGGTGCAAGAAGGGATTGTGGCCGTCGAGCCGGCAGGGCATCTCCAAAAAAATACCGGTATCTCAAGTTTCCCGGGCTTCGAATGAATGAGGTCATGTAAATGGGAACAACGTCACTTTGAGTGCTTGCTTGCTCCGAAGAGGGCGTGGGTCACAAGTTCAGTTTCAGCTGAGGCCATAACAATGACTCCGCCCACCGACCGTTTCCGGGCTGCAAGACTCGCAACAACTCCGAAATTAAGGCCCTGCCTGAATTCCGAGCCCACCACCACTTGCCATCAAGCTCCCCCAATAATACCCCCCAGTGCATCAGAATCAATAGAGCAAGGGGCTGTCGACGTCGTACATTATCCACAAATCCCTTGTCGACCGCAGCCAACCAGGCCAACACATTGCCAGGGTCTCCTGAATTCATGTGCAAGATGAAGCAGTGGCGAAGACGGTCAATGACTTCTTTGTTGATGTGATACTGGTCCGTGTCGATATTGGCTAGAGCCTCATCATTGAGAGCCGCCAGTCGGTCCATAGCGACCGAGGTCTCGGAATCTAGCTCCGTGGGACCGATGGCTCCAAGATCCCGCTGACGAGCCCAGAGGGTGAGCTTAATCCACGGGCGACCAATGTGGACAATTTTCTTGATGCCCTGCAGCAGCTCAAAAACGATTAAAATATTCTCGGTCATATTGGAGTTCTCATCACGCGGAGCGGTGACTCTGGGCAAGGCGATGCCAATGACGGTCGTGACAATGGACTGCGCCAGCACAGCCTCACAGTTCTGGGGGTGAGGTTGTCGATGGCCACGCGAAAGGGCGCGAAGGTGAGATTATGGTACTGGAGGGCCGTGTCGATATAGGCCAAGGAGGTCGGAGCCTCATCGGTATTGGCGATATGCAACGAGGCCAAGGCCAAGATTCCATTCATCAGAAAGTCATACTGCAAGGCGAGGCGAGGGATAACAATTTGCCAGACGTGGAATTCGGGCTCGGCCGTGCACAGGCTGCGGAAGGTCTCGGTGGCGAATTTATGCATCAACTCCAGATCCCGTACCCCGGAGACGGCGGACGGGGTGGAGGCCGGGCTGAGAGGCGCCAGGATCCGAGGCGTCCCCAGATCTCTGGTCGGGACCGGCGCACTGCGTCGGACACTGGGCGCATCACGTGGAGGCGCTCTCAAATAGGTGCAGTTGAGTTCGCGCGAGATACAATTGGAGCAAGGGGGGCCCTTTTCGTCGCACTACGTTCTTGTCAGACCTGCGGAGATCGCCTGCCGGGAGCCAGGAAGCCCGGCCGGCAATGCATCACGACAACTCACCTTGACCCGGCGGCGCTTGCACTGGTCGCAACCATTGCGAGACTTGGTATGCGCCCGGCGAGGAGCCATGTCGACCACGCACTAGGGAACGAAGCGACGTTGCGCGCGAGGGAAAAGCCCGGGGTCACGTGGCATTCTCCGTCGGGGAAGCCATTGACGGCGGCATGTCACGCCCGTTAACTCCGCGACCGGAGTCACCAGCTGCGACCTGGCGGTTCGCTCGAGGTCGTCTCGAGCGTTTGACGGGGATGGGCGGTCATCGCCGCGCTGAGAGGGGAAGAAGAAGAGGGACGATTGCTCGTCCTGATCATTCACCTTTTCTGAAGCAGCCTCGTTCTCGGACCGACTGATCCACACCCCCCGGGATCAGCCCTGACGTGCATTACGCAAGTAATAATCGAGCGCCACCAGGTTAGGCCATCGTCAACTCTCTGCTTCATCTATTCCGTCTATGGGTCTCCAGGAAACGGAGAAATTCCGCCTTGTTCAAAGCCAGATGGTTGGATCTACCAGCTGAGTTCCCAAGGAGCCCGTCCACTAGCCAATTGGGTAGGGCCTGAGAAGATATCGGTCGCCACGACGCTCCGCTATTCGCGAACTCTTGTCTATTTGAGATTGACTCGACTAGCAGCCCCCGTCACTGATCAAGGCCAAGTTCTGATAGGCCTGACTGCCAAGATTGACTAGGACGTAGTGGATTGATTTACACTGGGAGCTATCTGAGCACTGTGCTCGAAGAGGAGGATACTGTGGCCGAGTTTGTCCCTGCTATTATCGCCGCAATCCCAGCATAACTCGCCAGCGAGGGCGAGGAAACTATATAGTGGAAGGCGGATGGATGCTGGGTATGACCTTCCGAGGGGGAGGGAACAGATTGATCAACTTCATCCATGTGCACTCCAACGGGTGAAACGGGCTGATGGGAGACGCATGCGAAGCCTCTTTTGATCCGAGAAGCGATCGACAAGGAACCAACCCCCCTCCCCCAAAATATGAAATGCTCGCTTCGTCCAACTCCTTATTGCTTGCTAAGATGTTGAATTGCAAGTCGAATATCACAGATGGTATCCATCTGGGATCTGGGCTATGCTGTCCAATGCTAAAGATTGGAAATAGAGCTAAAGACTCCCTTTATGGTAGACGCTGATGTAGACCGCGCTGCCTCAAATAACAATCTGCAGTTTCTATTTTTCTTATTCACCACGAGCTCAAATCGAAGTCGAAAACCCAGACTCAGTTTTACTAGAGAGAGAGAGAGAGAGAGAGAGAGAGAGAGAGAGAGAGATCTGGCTACAAGTGCCAGAACCCGGAGCAATGCCCATCAAGCATCTATATCATAGATTACGGCTACTATACTGCTAAGCGCCTTACTTTGGGAAGAGCCCCCGGGACAGCCCCGTCATTACGAACAGCTCCAAGCACGAAGGGTCCCTGGGGACTATTGTTAACAAGGACTATCGGTTAGCAAGGACTATCGCCTCCACGCTCTCGCGCTTACCATTTGGGGGGGGGGCCTTCTTCAACCAACCTCTGAATCAAGTAAGCTCCGACTAAGCAGGCCAAGCCGAATTCTCTTCACAGCCCTGGTAGGGGGTTTCGATGGATAGATACTTCCTAACTACCTACCCCGATCGCATGTCCTGCATACCTCGAGGACCTGTTGTCGTGAACTGATTACTCAGGCTTTCGGTGATTTTTTAACCAAAAATCACGATCTCCGGTGGATTCGGAGTGGGTCGAGCATGGCCCTGGAAGCGAGGTCAGCACTAAAAGCGAACACGGAAACGAGAGCGAGGCCCAATCGCAGCCCGGAATGACCGCCGTTTCATATCAAGAGCCCCGCCGGTTGGCCGCCTGGCGTTGGCCTGGGCCTTGGCGTGTTGGTGGTGTCTCCAGTGCTCTCTCCACACCAGACGGGGTTAAAAAGGGAATCAATGGGGTCGCCATGGCCTTGAATCAATTTAATCAGCACTGCAAAGCGGGCAACTGGGCCTGTCGACCACCGACGACCGCTATCTCCGAAGGGCCAGCGTCACGACTCCTCATTTCACTCACGCCGCCATTGAATCGTTGAACCGACATCACTTCGTCCTCAACTGGTGGTCCCTTTGGAGTCGCAGTTCGGAGGTTTTCCATTCAACTATGCCGAGTTACGCCGATTGCACGGCGGTGTCGCCGCAGTGTCCGGTGGAGGCCACCACTTACGGTTACTATCCGAACTTTGCGGGCAATGTTTTCTTCACGGTCTTCTTTGGAGTGCTGGGGGTTTTCCAAGTCGGGCTGGGCGTCTACTTCCGCACCTGGACCTTCATGACTGCCCTGGGGGTGGGAGCACTGATGGAGATGGCGGGATACGTGGGTCGAATCTTGATGAACGCCAACCCCTGGAATGAAAGTGCATTCAAGCTGCAGATTGTGTGTCTGGTGCTGGCGCCAACCTTCGTTGCGGCCGGGGTGTATCTGACTCTCAAGCACATCGTGTTGAATCTGGGGCCCGAGCACTCCCGGCTCAAGCCACGACTATTTACCTGGATCTTCATCAGTTGCGACGTGGGTTCATTGATTCTGCAAGCTGCAGGAGGTGGTGTGGCCGCCGCCGCTGGTCATGATGACCAGAAGCTGCTGAAGGCCGGTGACGACATCATCATTGCTGGCATCGCCTTCCAAGTCGTGACCATGGCCGTGTGCGGCATCTTGGGCCTGAACTTTTTCTGGAACGTCTGGCGCAAGGGCAATGGCTTCGTGGGCGAGAAGAATCTGAACGATCCCACTCCTGCGATTTCGCCTCGCCGGATGAAAATGATTGTCGTCGCGGAGATCTTCGCTTATTTCACCGTGTTGATCCGGTGTATCTACCGGTACAACCTGAATCCTGAATCCTAGTCCAAACGAAGAGCAAAGAGCTAATGGTGTGTCGCAGTATTCCTGAAATGGCGGGCGGTTGGGGGAGTGCGTTGATGCAGAAGGAGAACGAGTTCCTTGTCTTGGACGGCATGTGAGTATCAACTTCTCCGCAACGAACTTTGAGGGTCGAGAGCTAATCGAAGCAGGATGATCGCCTTGGGCGTGCTCGCCTTCACGCTCTGCCACCCCGGACTTTTCATTCCCTCCATGCGCACCGGACATCAACAGTAGGACCTCGACTACTTTCCTCTTTATATTACTCTTCTTCATGTTGTTATTGTTGTTCTCGTTCTTCTTCGTGTTCTTGTTCTTGCTATCGCATTTGTGAGCCATAGAATTGGGCCCGGCACGATTCCTCAGTGTACTTTGAAGATACGCTGTTCCGAGAGATTGATCAATTTTAATTCATAAGCATAATGCTACATGCCAATCAAATGTATTGACAACAGGTCACCGAGCCGCCAGAGGCCAAGGAGACAAGCTACGAGAGGGTGAAATAGCAGAAGATGATTCAAATGACAGGAAACAGATCCGAATAAACTCCAGTGGCCAATCGTGCAAATCAATCATAAGAGGAATTCCCCACAGCAAGGAGTGTCCAATGGATGCTTAACCCAACCCCCGCCCCTATAAAAGTGACCCCGTTAATCGCTCGCTCTATCATGCATTCAATGAGAGCAACACCATGAGCACGGTGAAGTGTGGAATCCCGGAATGGCGCAGGGAAAAATTGCAATGGGAATGAAGAAAAAGAAATAAGACGAAGAAGCGAAATGACCAGCCAGATGCACCGTGGAGAGGAAGGAAAAGAGAAGCTCGCATCACTCGGAACCGTCATTTACTCCTCGCCCAGGCTCTCCCGCACACACCGACGCACACGCTTCTTGAACTCGGCCGGGTCCTCACGCCACAAGCGGGCCGCCTCCACATTGGCAGGGCTCTCATCGTTGGGGCTCGACAGCATGGAAATGACGGACAGCAAGATGGTCTCGGGAGTCTGAACGGGCGACCAGCGCTCCGCAGCCGACTCATAGCCGAACTTGTCTTCCTCCGGGGGATGCAAGATGGAAATGCAGACGTCGCCATTCTCGTAGACTGCACCAGCGAAAGGCGATTTAGCATATGTCATAGAACCTTGCCCTCGTTGTTTCCAGAAACTCGCTCCAAGTCCATGATGTGGACCAGTATAATTCCTTTGAACTCTGGTGATATGGCGATCACTTACTGTTTGGGTGGAAGAGGGGCGACTCGAATTTCATCTTGGGCGGCATGTGGGGGTACTCTGGCGGGAACGAGAGGCGAGCACGGAAGAAGCCACCTACAACAGTGAAGATTAACCTTCTCTTCTCTCATATCATACATGCGTATCCCAGCCAGTCTCGCTCGGCAACAGAGGGGCGAAGAGAGGGGGGCCATGTTTTGCCGAGCAGCAGCCAGGCAAAGTCGCATATGGGAGACCATAAACACGACCAAACTGGAATCTACACATACCTCCATATAGCTTGACATCGTCCGAGATCATCAGCATCACTTCCCATTCAAAGACGTTGTTATCGACCAAGCCACAGCTGATTCCGGGGATGTCCTTATCGGACTGCATCTGCTGTAGCTGGCGGGACAGCATGCGGCCGGCGGGGGAAGTCGCCATCGTGGATGATCGAAGTATCCGAGAGGAGAGGGCGCGAGGAGGATAGGCAGAGGTTTAGAAGGAGGCTTTTGTCGTTGGGAGGTCAAAGGCGCAGGTGAGGGGAACGCAAAAAGAAACGAAGGCGGTGAGACGAGCAAGCGGGGGCGGTTTCCGATCGGATCGGCACGTCCGCTTTTGGCGTGTTGATTGTATAGATCTATAGATCGTGTACTAAGTACAATCTATAGATTTGACAGCCTAGTGAGACAACGAGGAGACCGGTGTATACGACGATAGTGAAGGCATCAACAAAGGCAACAAGGGTATGTCATGGCCAACCATCCAACAGGAGACTGGTTGAAGGGGTGCATGAGCCACAATACGAGGCCTCAAACATGGCCTATCCAACCGTCGAGAGAAAGCTAAACCTTACACAAAAGGGCGAGCCGGGTCTAGAAGAATCGAATAGATGATTTAAGGAAAGTCTGGGGCTAAAATCCCATACCCTGTTGGGCATGGCCGAGTCATCTATTCACCTAAAAAGACACGGCGCAGGACATCGCGGGTGAAGTATCAAGGCACCAAGAAAGATTCTACGTGAGAGGAGCAGGGGAAAAAAATAGAGAAAAGGATAAAACAAGAAGTAGCCAGACAGCCCTCAAACTTCTTCCGAGGGTACACCAATATATTTCAACGCAGTACTCATCGTCCAGCCAAGTTCATCAATCGCGGAGATACTTAAACGATCGAAGGCTTCACAGAGCCGTCGGCCGGGACCGCATCCGGAGCCATGGTAAAGATCGAAACGCCGAGCACCAGGCCAGCGAGCACGCCTAGTGCCATCTCAATGGCGACGGTCTTGGCGATCACCTTGACGAAACGGACACGAGCAGCCCAGTCGAAGGTTTTCCAAGCATCAAGCAAGCCAATTTTGCCGCTGCCACCGACAATCTGGGGCTGGACCTTGCCACCAAAGGAGCGATCGAAAGGAACGATGGTCTCATCTTCCTCAGGCAGCATGGACGCGGCAACCCGAATGAAGATCACCCGAGCCGGGATGGAGATCAAAAACGCCAGCAGCGCGGGCACGGCACTAACCGCCAAGAAGCGGTACAGGTCCGACAGAGTGTACCGGTTGTCGTCATGGGCGGAATCAACCCAGCCCGCCACATGGGCGACAGCCATCGGCAGGAAGAAGGCGGCTGCGGTCAAGACATCTTCCAGGGCGGCGGCAGGAGCAATCTTGGCCCAAGTGCGGAAGCTGGGGATACGCTGGTAGAAACGCTTGGGGAAGGGCTCGGAAATGACGATATGCACCCAGGCCATCTGCCAAGTCGACAGAAGCACGCTCACGAAGGACTGCACGAAGAACTGGGCGAGGAAGGAGCTGCTACGAATGGGGACGATGCCGGAGATGAAGCCCCGGGCCAACCCGTAGGTCAGGTACATGGACAATCCACGAAAGCGCGACCAGAATCCAGCGCGGGCGCGCAGATGCCGGATCGTTGACCGCAAACTGCTGGTGATGGGCTGGGGCCGGGGTAGCGCACCCTGCTCCGGCTCATTCGGATCGAACGGCTTGGTCGGGTCATCGTGATCGGTCGGGTTGTCAATACGGACGTAGATGTCGGGATTCGAGTCCTCGATGGCGGCAAGAGTTGCCACGACATTGCCATATGTATATTCCACCTAGAACGTGAGACAGCGTCAGCACCATGTGTTATCACATCCCCATATCAGGTTGAATCGTCAACGCTTCGACCACGACCGATACGGCATAGATGATCGATCAAGGAGACTCACCCCCCATGCAGCCAGACCAACCACCAGGATGGTCAGAACGACGATGGCGACTAAGGCCCCGGGCATCTGTTGCGGCTGCTTCTCGGGATCGCTCAGATGGGCGGAGGCGAATTCCGTACCCCGGCGCATAAGATGGGCCGTGATGGACGACATGATGGCACTAATAGAACTGATGGAGGTGATCAAAGAGGTGCAGAGGTCGAAGAGAAAGCAAGCAGGGAAGAAAGAAGAGGGAAGAGGGAAGAGGGAAGAGGGGCTTTTTCAACACGAGGCTGAGTCGACAAAGCAGGCAGCACCGGCCCAAGACCTTGACACATTTGGGGCATGGCCCAGCCGGGGCGGGTGGGGACGTGAGACTTGCCAGTGACCTCCGGCGCCCTGCCTGGGCCAGTGAGCAGCCCCGGTACCCGGCAAGTCCCTCGTCCTGCGTTTGGTTGGTCCGGGGGTTTGTTTATTCCCCCGATCTCGAAGTGTTTGAAGGGTTTGAAGTGTTTCGTCTCAGGCCTTTCGGACGAGTCTGTCTGTATTTCGTTCGACTCGAAATGGACCCTCCTCTCACCATGTCCACCCCGAGGGCCCAAATGTACCGCTCGGACTTAAATATAGAACCCCCTGGAGCCGTCGGCGAGATTGACCTCCGACTTTTCCGGTGAGCTGGCGCTAGTGCGATGGCTCGATATCCCTCGCGAAGCACCCGGATTGGCCCCAAAGAAGACCCTGAGGGCCCTCGGACGCTCGGCTCCCGGAAGAGGAAGAGTTTGCAGGTCTAGACACCAGCCCTTGAGCCTCATGTGCTCCTCAGTGGATCCGCGGCCCGGTAAATTTGCAACCCTGCAAATCAGCAAATCGGCAATCCAGCAACCCAGAGAGCGCTTTCGATCCAGATGAGGCTCAGTGGTATGTGTACAGAATCGCGCCTCCAAATAAAGACGGATGTCTTAAGTTCCAACTGATGCCCGCAGGACGAAGAAATACAAAACTACCATCACTGCCTACAGGGCTCGTCGTACCACCAACAATGCAACATGGGATTAGACGAAGAATTTGCTTGACAGCTTTTAGCTCCAGTTGGCGTCGAACTCAATGCGAACAGAACTCATGTGAGGACTTCAATCTATACAAAAAAGAGCCCGGCTAGAAACAATGTCCGAATGTATCTCTATACGAATGCCCCCGCCGAAAAGGAAGGGGAGCTGGGAAAAACAACAACAACAACAGCAGCAGCAGCAAAAGGAACCCCCGAAGATCGAAGGAGCTTCAATCACTTCAGAGCGATTTCAATGCAGGCCAATCGGCCCCTGACACAACTTCATCACTAGCATCCATCCGCAGATGGACGAATCAAGCGCTGCAAAACAAACAACAAGGAACCCAAACCAGAATATATACACGAGTTGGTGCAAGGACCGAAGTTCTTACTCATCAAAGAACTTCTTCATGAACTTGTGGGCCAACTCAACACCCAGGCTAGAGAGCAGATTAGTCTGGGAAAGTCACACCAAAGAGACGGGAGAGACGGGTCGGACACTCACAAGGTCGCCGCGTTGGCCGGCACGGCACGCGCCAGCGCCGGCCCGAAGCCGGGGAAGAAGGCCTTGAAGCCACCGCTGCCATACACTGCACGGATAGTACCGCCAATGGTGGGCTTGCCGGGAGCACTCTGCAGACGGGATTTGATAGTGTCGACGGGGAAGACGGGAATCCACATGGCAATACCAGCAGCGCCACCGGCCGCCACGACAGCGGTCAGAGACAACTCGCCTGTGACGTTGCCATTCTCATCCTTCGGGGTCAGCGAACGCTTGATGTACTCGTAGGCAGCGAAGTACGCGGCCGACCCGGGGCCATCACGGGCCAGGGTCATGGCACTGCCGCGGAACACACTACGGATCCCACCCTCCTTGTACAGCTGGCGAACCACGTCCACACCACCCGAATACTTCGGCTTCTGGCCCGGCGGAGGCGGGTTCTGGCCCTGGATCTGAAGCAGCACCTTGACACGTTCGAAAGGAGCGGTGATTAGGGTCATGGGGATAGCTGAGAAGAAGCCCGCGGCGGAAATCTGAGCAATGGAGTACTGCTTGGTATTGTTCACCACCTCCACAGTGGATGCCTTCTCGACAAGGGTCTTGCCCACATCATAACCCTGGTTGTGCGCGTTAGTTCGTCCACCCTAGGAGAGACATAGCCATTGCATCGCGTCGCGAGCTCGAAACATACCCAGAAGCTGACCGCAACTAATAGCAGGTACTATGTTAGCTCACATTCTAGACAATAGATGATCTTGTAGGTCGATGAGACCGATGCGGGGGGTGGGGGAAGGGCACTTACACATGGGAGTCACACCCACAAGCGGGGCAGAGACACCAGCATAAAGTCCCTACAGGCGATGCGCCAATTAGTTCATGCCTCCCAAGGTTCAAACGAGATTTTCATGATGGGGCCGTACTCGAGCCAGTCCCTCTCGGGCAACCGTCTTTCGCACAACATCCATTGCACCCGCATAGACACCCTTCTCTGCAGTCTGGAGGCGGACCTTGACCAGGTCGAAAGGGTGGCCCACGACGACGGCACAGAGGCCACCGGCCGCGCCGGCCGCCAGGGAACGGATTTGCTGAATGGTCTGGTTCACAGCCTTAGTCTCAATGACCTTGATCTCATCCTTGAGCTCTTGCGGGGGGAGGTGGAGGTTGACATGGTGGGCTCGGTGGTATAACAGTGGTCGGCGCAGGCGGTCAATGCGGGGGATTCCGGAGGGGTGGGGGATCAAGGGGAGGGCGGAGGCGAGAAGAAGGAGGAGAAAGACAAATAAAAACAAGAAGAAGAGAAGAAGAGAAGAGCACGAAGAGCACGAAGTGAGGTAGAAGAAGCAGGACTGAAACTGAAAGCAGATCGGCCTAGGCACTGCGGACCGACGCCGAACGGGCGGCTCCTTGGGCTTGGGAATTCCCCGGACAACTGCAACTGAGCCTCGGCTCGGGACGCGGAGAAACCGGGTTCCCGGCCACGGTGGGGAGCGAATGAGCTGGACAGTTATCGTAGAGAAGTTGCCAGAGCTGTGTCGCCCTTAAATGCGGCCTTCGATCTGGGAAGTACTGATCAGGTCTACGATGGTGCTACAACGATCATAGGGAGCTGCTTATTCGGAGGGCGCCGATCCGGGTGAACGGGAAACTTAGCCTCGACGCTCCCACTTTTCCGACGGGAATATGGAAGCTAGTCTGGATGGGTAGATGGAGAAGTCGAGCACATTCTGGGATTTCTTTCGTATCAAGACAGCTATCTCTCCTTTTACTGGGCATGGCTCTTTTGGCTCGGTGCGTTCACCCTCGATGGAGTGACAAAAGATGAGAATAATAGTTTAAAACAAGGTTCCGCAATCACATGCGAAGACCCCAGGCACGTGCCCAGGCGGAGCATGACTTCATTAGATCGACATTATTTAGCTTCATCGCCCTTCACTAGAGGCACCGATGAGACACGGTGGTCCATAAACCACATGGAAAGTACAAAGAGCATCTGTTCAACATTATGCCAGTATCCCAGACCCATCAGCGGTTACAGAACGAGAAGGGCAGCTAGTCCGAGGGCGCCGACAGCACCGCTGCCAACAGTGGCCATCGGGTGAGCAGCGCCGGTACTGCTTGAGGGAGCAGCAGAGCTGGAGCCCGAGGCAGTGTTGCTTGAGCCAGAGCCAGAACCAGACTCAGTCGACGATTCCGAGCCTGAGTTGGAACCAGAGCCAGACTCAGTCGCAGAAGAGCCAGAGCCGGTGGTGGTGGCGGTGGTGGTGATCATGGTCGATGCACCAGTGCCGGTGTGAGTGCCCGTCGCGGTGGTCTAGCATAGGGTTATCAGCACAGAAATATTACAAATCCATTACTTGGGGACCGCCATGGTTACTCACAATGCCAGAGCCGCTGCCGCTGCCGTTGGAGTTGGTGCCGGTGCTCTCGCTGCTGGAGCCAGTAGTGGTGCCAGAACTAGAGCCGGAGCCACCGCCGGAGGTAGCACTGCTGCTAGAGCCGGTGGAAGTCCCAGAGCCCGAGCCCGAGGCGGTGCTTGCGCCGGAGCCGGAGCCAGAGCTGGAGGCGGAGCCACCTAAAGGTAAGAGCGTAAGTGATGTTTCCTATTTTCCCCATTGGAAGGGGAGGGTGACAATAATGCATACTGGGACACTTCTCGAGAGCCATCTTGACAACCTGGGCAGCATCATCGCTCGGGCAGGCCTGGGAGGTACAGTCGCGGATCCCGTATTCATAGTCATTGCTCTTGCACAGGCAAGCCATGTCACCCGAAGCACAGCCTAACTCCGAGGCCTTGGCGTTCATGTTTGAAACACACATTTGCTATGTCATTCAAAGGATTTAGCACTTGGAAAATAATTCTCGCGTTGGGACTCGCAGAGGAGCAAAGCTTACGGCGCAATCCGAGGTCGAGACATCGGCAGCGGCCACCATGCTGGTCGCCGCCAGCAAGGCCAAAGCAACATTGGAGAAAGACTTCATAGTTGTAGATTGAGTTGAAGAGACAAAGGTCTGGTTGAATGACTGGATTGCTTTGGAATGTGACGCGGGATAGCTGGGATCTGGAACCAGTGGAGATCAAGGAGCAGGTGGTTGAGATGAGAAAGAAAGGGGAGCAAGACGTGCAGGGCTCGGTAAGTCCTCTTATATAAAATTGCCCCAGGGGAGAGAGCGTCTCAGATCATCTCTCAGCCGTAGATTAGTTTCCCAGCTGGGAACCAAACAACCGCTGCAAGCAACCTTTCGGGGACTGACCGTGCTGTGGCGGGAACCCGGCGAGTAGCTATAATAGACACTAGGACCTATCCTAGCGACCAGTTTTTCTGTGGAATACTAAAAAGGAACCATCAAATCCCCACCAGGAAGATGGCCGAAGCTCATCCAATGCTAATGGAACCAACGAGTCGAAGGGATCGGCCGCGTGAACTGCCCTCTGCAGTAGAGATGTGTTTTTCTGGGAAATGGTCTGTTTGCTTTTTGGGTTTCTGTTGTCCTCTGCATCTCCTGCATCTCCTGCATCAGTGCAACCCACGCCAACGTGGCTGGTGCATTGACTGAGTGGTTTCACCCACGGGGACCTGTACGGAGGACTGCATGCAGTCACAAGCTGTACAGTCTGTCCAGGTCATACTTGCTGTACCTGAAAGGCAGCATAATTGGTGATGAAGTCATTAAGGATTGAAGATTGGGCAAAGATGAGACCCATCGACCGGTCTCCGGGGCCCAGGAGGCTTCGATCCGCGAGATCAGACCCTTGCCCCTCGATTGGGCATCGATCAACATGTGGCGGGGATGCTGAACCACTCAAGCGTGTGCGATTCGGCGATCTCATAGGCTCGTCTGATTAACCCAATAGCTTAAAAGTGGGACTCTCGAGAGCATCAGAAGCATCTGCAGCCAGAGCAACATCGAGCTCGGGATTTGACTTCAAGGGTTTCCCTGGGTGACCAAAGGAGCCTGAGACCCTGGGCCAAATGGTAATGCTAATTTCCCCGACGCGTTCGACTAATCGCACAACCTGTAATCCGGGTTTGGGCGTGCCTGAATTAATGCCCTTGTTCCGAGCCGGCGTCCATGTCTGAAATTACATTTTGGAAGCGTCGCACTCATGCATTTGTCTTGGCTTTCTTCGGGAAGCACCAGCCTGGACTTCAATTGCCGTCATCGTGGATGCAACACGGCATTTATGGCCATGGCCAGGCGAAAAAGGAAAATATGGAAGAGGAGCATCTTCGAATCAGGGCCCTTTGTGGCGCTTGGTGATCGACCGTTCCACCCCACATCTGATCCAGGAATCCTGGCCTGACTGGAACCAAGTCGAATAGTTGCTGGATCCATCAACATGCCCTGACCGCACTATTGAATCCATTGCATCCATTTGAGGCGCCGTTCTGACCGCGTCTTGCTGGACATCCTCGGAGTCACCGCTAGTGTGGCTGGAGCGAGGCTGAGCATGGCCACATGAACAGTGCTCCTTAAGCGAAGATGGACCGATCAACTTGTGGATCGTGAAGTACTCCGGGATTGCACACAGAAAGCGAATGAATTAATCTCATCTGTCTGATTTTCTGCTTCCTGGGAATTGTTTTGGCCGTCTTTCGCGCTTCGACTCGGGGAAAAGGGGGAAGTCCACTTTGTCCTCCCTCTCCCTTGCCTCTGCAACACCAGAAACAGCATGTCCCTATTAGGACTTGGCTTAGAATCTACTTCATAGGAAGCAGAAAGAAAAAGAGATTTTTTTAGAAAAAAAGCGTGGAAAGGTGACGATCAAAACATTCAAAAAAACATTCTCAGTCCACTTGTCGTCTCAAATTAGTTGAACTTGACATAAACATCGAGAAGAATCGTACATCACGTAATCAGGGCATCTCTGTACTCCAGCTGCAACAATATTCATTGACATCGGCACTTAACCACCACCGTAAGATTCTCCAGTACTTTTAGAAGCTCTGGTGGTCTCTGATATTATTCATTGCCAGTTTACCGCCATACCAACAGATGTCGCAGACCAGGAGCACCGTCTGCGCGTCCTGCTTGAAGACATGTAGGAGGCGTGGGTAGCCTCGTTTTGTTCAACACCGGTATTAGCAGGAACTGCACGGCACTACCAGGCGAACAGAGCTAACTGGAACCCTCATTCATGTAGTTGAGTTGGCTGATTCGGCATCGACGTCGCTGCCAAGGGTCTGCGACGCCTGCCACGCGTCGAAAGGCCTGCACCACATGTGTTCGGGCCAAGGTCAAATGCGCTACTCGCACCCGTGTGGGGATTTCGCCAGACGAGGGATCCCCTGCAAAATATTTCTTGAAATTCTGACATGCAGAAGCTTGTCGACACCGACAGCTCCCAGTTTGAATGGCCAGCCAATGACGAAATCGTCTACGTTTCAGCTCCAGCCTGCCGATGAGGGGTCAAGGACGCAAGGAGTTTCAGTTAGCGAATCCATGCCCAGTTCCATTTCTGCAGCCGTGGAGAGCCTAGGAAAACTCATCGACCTTGACGGCATTGCCTCCCGTGCCAGACGTCAACGGCCTCGACGCATACACCACTCCAGAACAGTACTCTAGATCCTTGATCTAGATATTGGAGCACTATCCTATGCCGTTCCTCTAAGAGGATTCCCATCTGCCTCTTCTCCATTGTGATCTGCAGGACGAAGAGATCTCAGAGATAACGACGCTTTCGCGAACCGCGATGGCGGTCTGCTGTGGCAGTGCGATGAAGACAGTGGATGGGACGCGCTTCGCACGACCCGCCATGTATTTGGAGCGCCGAAGACTCATCGAGTCTTATTCCACGTATACCTGCATACAGCAGTGAGATGCACTACACGCCATGCTCGTATATTAGATATTCTAATTACGGGTATCCCATGCCGACGGAGACGATCATGAGAAAGAAAAAAGCTCTCCCTGAGGATCCCGTGGGGCCCTTCCTGGTTAAAATGACTCGAGTCTTTATCCGGTACCACGGTCATGAAATATCCGGGCTGGATTTATCGGCTTTAAGCTCACCATGAGCGGAAGCCCATAATAAATGACTGCTTACCCAATAGATCACGGCCTATCGATGACCTCCCCTCGGGATTTTACTTCGTCTCTGGACATCTGACACTCAAATACATACTGAAAACCTTCTCGAAAGACCATCTGCAGGCTATTCTTACTCCCGATCCTGGATCTGGGAGCTCTGATGAGATCCGGAATCTTACTTTTCTATGCACTGTCGAAATATTGCCGATATATTTCTTATATTTTCGCACTTTATTAACAACGGGCAGTAGTCAAGATAATACCTTGAGAATGTAGAGATTGAGCTTTCGATATGCAGACGGATCGGGCGATCGATCGGCCTATGAAGGCTGCAACCATCCAATTTCGTAACTTCACGGAGCTCAATGGCATGACGACCAAATTTCTCTGGATTAGAAACACAAATTCTGCGTCTCCGTCATAAATACTGGCCCAAACGCCTGAGCATATTTAGATGATCATCTTTATTCTTTTGTCTTTGATCATTATCATCGTTGAAACTTAGCGCGTTCTAACTTCATACAGTGGCCTTTTAATATGATCACAAAATTTGCAGCTATGGCCGCCTCTGACAATGTCTATCGTCTGATGGGTCTCGGTCTCGTTATTGGATAGCATTGCCTACCTCCAGTCAATAGTCGCATAAGTCACACCCATCCATTGAAGGAGCCCTGGTTTCTTCAGTCGGGGTTTATGCTCTACTACAAAGTGGTGAGAGGGGTTTCCAGTTCGTCGGTGGAATGGTTTTCACTTCTTAATGCAGTCTTCTGTGTGCTTCGGGATGGAGCATTAGCAAGCGGGCTGGAAGACAAAAAAGAAGAAATTTCTGCTGTTGAAGCTATTCCAGTCCTATTTATGTATGTTCCGATGCTCCTATTAATAGATTACGCAGGTGAGCTAGCGAGCGGTGGACACATTTTGTCCTGGTGACAATCCAGCACTCCAGTTTCTTCTCCCCGCACTCTTATCAGCAATGTTAGCCATGGACTCCCTCCCTTTAATTGACCTGTCGATAAAGCAGAACCCCGCAACCATTTCCAGATTGCGACAAGCATTATGTAAATACGGCGCTTTTCGCTTATGGGCCCCTTAACTGAAACAGGCGTTTTCTTCGGGCCTATTGCGCGAAGTTGGTTTCATTTTCCCAATATCAATTTCTTCTTTGAAGTCTAAATCCACGTTTCCTAGGCCCGGGACTTTTTCAAGCTCCCCATTGAAGTAAAACAGAGAACTCAAGGATATTCAGGCTTTGGTATGGAGCTCATTCGTGGAACTACGCCAGTACCAAAAGAACGCATCAATTTCTTTCGCAAGAACGACCAACGAGAGGATCATATTCCTCCCCCTCTCGAGTTTCTTTGCTCTGTCACAGCCCTGCATAATGTAAGAGCCCTGCCTGCCTCCCTCAAACCGCAAACCCTCAAGTTAATCACGCGAAAATCAGAAATGGAAGCATTCTCAAGACCAGCTGTTCAGCACAGTCTTTTGTGACATTCTCCAGTCGGAGATACCCTTGACGGGGACCTCCACTCTTGACTATGAGTCGCTGGGAGTACAATACTATAACCCGCAACGGATGATCGTTGAGGGACGCGATTATATTCCTCCGCACATGGATGGTGGCACACTGACGATATTGATTCGAGAAGATGACGATAGTGACGGCTTTGAAGTCGCCGATCTTGAAACCACGGAGGAGCTGGGTAGCGATGGTGTTGGTCGCAAGGCGTCTTTTTTGCGTGTTCCTGCGGCTCCAAATGAAGTGATTGTATTGGTAGGAACTCGATTGCAACGTCTACTGGGGAGAAACAGGGCTCGCGCCTGCGTGCACCGAGTAGTGGGCCCAGACCAAAAACACAGCGCAGAAGATCGTGTAAGCATTGGAATCTTCCGTGCTTGTGCTCCTCCTCCTCCTCCCGCTTAGAGAGCCATCCATTTTTTGCCCATGCCGAAGGTTGTCAATTCATAAGGCAGTACTTGTGCTGGACGATCTTTGGACGCTCTCGTCCATAGAGTACTCCACACCAGTCAGAATTGGTATCGGTGGGCTTCCTACCTCGGAGGAGTTAATAGGGATGTAAAGAGTCTGCAAAGTCACTATCAAAACGTCAAAAAGGATTGAAGTTCATCTAGGAAATGCATTCCATTACACTTCTCTCAGAACTACTTTCAAATCCGGCCAATGTATTGGCGGAAACAGAGCATCCTCCTAAGAGCGTCTTATCTAAAATTAAGGCATGTTATATTATCCTATTAAGCACCATTTACTAGGTGTATCCTGCTTGCGAAGGAAAAGATTGCCAAATCAGTGGCAAATTCACGACTCGAGCTCTTTGGTGGTGGGATAACAGGTGTTAACTGAAAGGAATAAGTTGCACAGGAAGTGAGCTAGGATGACGCGTTTTATTCAGCTTGCTTATTTATATCATTTCTCTCTGTTCAGTCTATATTCAAGCAAAGCTTGAGACAAGTCAGGAAAACATGCCTTTTGACTACAAGTTCGACGACCCATACTCTGCACCTCTTATTGAAATTTCCGAAGCAATTCGGACGGAGGTATCTGATCTTAGGGGTTTCCACACAAAAGAGATATCGCAGCTGAAGAATGAACGATTGGCGCGGCTTTTGCTAAGCTCCCTGGCAAAGCACATGAACAATGACAAGTGAGTCGGTATCGACTTAGGCTCGTTTGCTCGAGGTCAAAAATATTCCTACTTCGCTGAGGATATATCAGCCAATAGTGCTGGGGATGCTGCACATGAAGTCAATTCCGGATCCTTTCACAATTATATATTGCATAATCCTTGCGGTATTCTTGATTTTACCGAGACAGGCCACCTCGGCGGGAAAGGAGGGTGGCATCCAAGCTTACCAACCGACGATCCCCTCGTTGCCTTGCCGCTCTTGGGAAAGCTGTATCCGGAGAATGCCATCCTACATCTCAAGTATGAGGAGCTTGATCTAGTCGTGTATGGTGAGGACGGTTTTGGACATAATTTGCGATTTGAGGTACAGCAAAGAGTAGGGGGCTAGAAGGAGCATTTTTAGCACCCAGTCCTTAGTACGTGTGCTGCGTGATGTTCCTACAAATGATACTTGGGAGGTTCAAAATACGAATTTCAGGTCTGGCCCAATCCCCGACGCACAATGTACTTCTATCAAGACTTTCAGATAAACCCCCGCCTAGAAAATCGTTGACCATCTACATACTCGTTGAGATTTGGGCTTTTCTCAAGAAAAAGATGCGCTGGTGGCGATATTTTGGCCCCAGTGTCAAGAATAATCGAGAGGCATGCAGGTAAGACGGGTGTAAGACGGCGAGGGCGAGCGGGAACAACCAATAGATCCGGAGCTGGCTAATAGTGCTAATCTCAATCGGTATGGCATAATCGAGTTTCATATGTTCATGCAATCTGGGGTTCCGGTCCAACTTTTTTCATTGGAGCTCTAGTCTGTTGTCGATGTTGCCCATGCTGACGGGCTGCTGGGCAACCGACCTATCACTACTAAGTGCCCTCCTACAAAAGGCTCTTGATTCAGCTTAGGTATGTGGCTGTTAGCCCACATTGTTCCACATCATCGCCTTGAAAAATAAGATTCAGCCCTACCTACGCGTCTCACAGGGCACCAACTCGAAAGAGCGATAAACTTGAGATATATATGAGTTCTGGAATAGAAAAGCGCGACAGCCCCTCGGAAGGTTGATTCTTGAGATCTCTTAGTCTTTCAATAAAAGGCCCCAGCACTCTTCGTAAAACACCCGAATTACAGGTGATATGGAGCACCGCTAGGGAAGCAATTCCTCGGGCGCATCAATCAACTGTGGTCTCGTTGAACCGTCTTCCAAAGTTTTCTTTTCCGATTATCCATCGAAGAAATTCTGTGAGATTTTCTGAATAAAAATGAGCAGTTGCCCTTTTATTATTTAATAAATAGTCTAGAAGAACGCGGAAAAATGGCATCTGTTCTCCTTTACTCTCTGGGCATACTCGTTCTTGTCGCCATCTTTTCAACTCCCGTGTTCGCAAGAAGTCAGTTCCAACACTGGTATGCCGAATATGGCTTTATTTTCGATCGGATTATTCAAGAGAATTGCACATCTGAGTATGATTTCTATGAGGCGGGCCGCACAAACAGGACATACTGGTTAGACCTTAGCCGATGGCTGGGTTCTGGTCCTGAACGTTCCGAACAGTTGACGGTGCCATTGATCAACTGCATTATGGAAGCGTGCCCCGAATTCATGAAAAGTGATATGGCTAGTGCCAACGTGCTGCTAGGGTTAGCTCCAGGGATACTCGCAGTACTTGGCTCTAACGTTGACGAGACATCCTTACTTGCGGTAGTCGGAAAACGACCTTTTCTTGCGATCGCATTAGCTGCTGGTTCCCCCGCCGTGGTTCCCCTGCGTCCGCTTGAGTACCGAAGTCCCCTCGAAGGTCTGAGGCCTCGCGATGACGAGGTCAAGCCCAGATTGTTCTCTTTCTACATCGATGGGCTGATTTCAATGCTCGAATATGCCTTCGTGGTGGCTGCTATCGCCAACGTCGCACAACTCAGTTATGAGCTAGGATTTGATACAGCTCTCGCATTTGCACCGGGTTATCCTTATTTGATTCTGCTTTGGTCCTTCTTTGGGCCGATTGCTCATGTACTAGCAGCGCTGAGTTTACTTTTCCGTGCACGCTCGATCCACCACGTCTCTCGGGGAATGTCTCTGCGCAGTTGTCTTTCCCAAATGGCACAGGGGATAGGTCTGCCTTCTCGAATCCGTACGATTCGCGACGATATCTTTAGCGACGAGGCGACCTTTCACAGTTGGATGCGGTGGTTTTTCATCGGCTATTCACGGGAGAATCTACCCCCAAAAATGACCATCAAACGCGAGAATATCTACATTTTGGTTTATAATGCAGTTTTGGCTGTCATGATATCCTGCCACGTTGTTCTAGGTACACTGGTGTTCTCAAGTATGTTGTTCATCTCGGCCCGAGATGCTGTTTATATCCTTGGGCGTTTTATGTCATCTGTGATTGTGTGCCGGGTCGTGCTCGCATATGAGCTGGCTAAGCTTCGATTACTGTACAACATTGACGACCCGATACCTTCGGTGGCAGGTGAAAATGGGAATTATCACGAACTTGTGACATTGAGCCATAGTACTAAAAAATGAGACGCCGCTTCGAAATTGGAAGGACACATTTTCAGGGTATTTGCTGGCATTTAATTGAGGACTTCTGTGGCTTTGGATTAAATGTGCACGTACCTCGTGATACAGTATTAAAGCAGGCAAACGGTCGCTGAACGAACCGCCAAGTGAGCAACTAACAAATTCATATAATAGTCAATTATTTTCCACTACATGTACATGTATATGTTCAGACTCGGCGTTTATTCTTTGACCCCAGAAACTAGAAAAATAAAAGAAAGAAAAAACAGTCAATGTATGTGTTTGAATTAAGTCCATAATAGCTAATGAAATTTTCAGAGCAGAGGCATTATAATTATGGTGGTGGATGGATAAGCAGGACGCCCTCTAAGCCAAAGTATCATATACGTATTATATATATATCAGCATGCTGACACCATAAATCCTAGTTTCTCTTGAATTGAGTTTATGCTGTCCGAGTCACTGTGCCATGAGTTTTTTTTCGAACAATACGATTATTGTTGAACACGCTTAAACTACGATAACTTTATTCGACTCAGGTTGACTGCCTAGCCAACCCCGGGAGTTTGATCCTGGAGTGGAGTTTTGTGGACCCCGTGCGGTCGGTCTGGCTGAAGGCCAATTCAACTTGTAGGCACCACCATTATTCAAGTGGCTTGAGGTGAGAAATCCATGCAATTTCAATCTAGGGAAGTGCAAATGAAGCTAGCTCAGTGTAAGCCTCAGCCTTGTGGTACCCATCACCCCCTCCCTCCCACCCGGGGGCGCTCCAATGCATTACTTCAAATTTCCACTAATTGCCCCATCAGAGGCAGCAATGATAGAGGAAGTTTATTCTATTCGAAGAAATATTATCGTACCGTGTTATCCGATAGCGGTGGTACGTATGTATAGAGTGCCCCTACTTTGTGTGCATGCATCTACGGAGAAACCTCGTGTCGAGGGCTATCATTGTTTCAGAGGTAGCATAGCATACTAGACATCGGATGCTGGATCTGAAACTAGTTTATGTTAGTTTGTGCAAACTACTCTATTAACTACTCTATTAACTACTCTATTACTCGGTAGTCCGATTGACTTATTGAGAGGCGATCGCCAATGCGAACGAACTAGCTTGCCGCCTAATCTGACCCACCATCTCTACCGCGTGGTGAGTTACCTGCAGGCAACTGGATATCGTTATGAGACAGCCCCGGCTTGGGTGGTATTGCAGAATGAGCATAAGCATGGTTCACGATCCACCATGGTTCTCGTGGATCAACATAGGCAGAAAAAGCTTGATATCGGCGAAACCGCTTAACTCGGCCTAGAGGCATTCGGTTCGGATGGAACCGGTGGGCCTCGCGACTCAACCGACCCGAGACACGGAACCAAAAAAAAAAAAAAAAAAAAAAAAGAGGAGAAAATATTCTGGTTCGGAGGGAATAATAGGCTCCAAAAAATTGACCGACGCAGGGGTCGAACCTGCAATCTCTTGATTCGTAGTCAAGCGCCTTGCCATTGGGCCAGCCGGCCTTGTTGGAGGAGGTGCCCATATTTGACTACATGGACGGCTGGAGCTTCATTGAGCGAGCTGATACTTCTGAATGTCAAGCGATTTTGGATTGGGTATCCACATGAGCCTCATGGAGGGTGCAGGGACTACATACACGAAGGAGATCTATAGATACAGAGACAGAAAGAGATATAGACACCAGAGGAAATGAAAAGAAAAGAAATAAAAGGGGATAGAAAAGTAACAGGCAGGAAGGAAATGATGCAAGTCATGCTTGGATGTGTGCCCGAAGGCTCAGAAAAAAGAAAAGAACAAAAGAATCGAATCCCAGACCGACTCCCCAGAAAAAAAAAACAAAACCCAAAACACAATGCGCCTCTCAAAATGCCTTGGACATGAGTCATGTCACTGAATGCGTCGCGAGGAGGCCCCTACGCTTCCGAATTGGTATCCGTCACATAGATTTCCGGTACCAGGAGTTGGGCCTTCTCCGATTGAGAGCCATCTTCTACGGAGGCGGAACGGAAGCGTCGGGGTTGCTTTCGCTTGCGGAGCCCGAGACGGACGGAGAGGGACATGCATAGATGGCCGATGACGAAGCCTACCAAGCAAGCTACCAGGCCCGCGACGGCGCCCAGTACGGCCGGCAGGATGACGGGGCGCACCAGGCGCAAGAAGGGGCGGTCGCGGTGGTGAGACGAGTGATGACCACCGCGGTGGGAGTAAGTCGGCGGAGACCAGTAGGGCGAGAAGGCGAATCCGACTTGGGATTCTGCTGAACTGCTGTCGTCGGGGGCGGCGCTCTTCGGGTGTGCGGGCGCGCCAGCGGCAGCAGAACCGCTGGCGGACGAGTGCGGACTGTTTTTCTGGTGGCCGGAGTCGTGCTGGGTGTGCTTGAGGAAGGCGCTCATCTGAGTTTGCCAGAACTTCATGTGCCAGGGTCGGTTGGCGCCCCCATGGTGGTGGCGCCCGGGCCCGGGCTCCATGCGGATGCGGGTAATGCGCTGACTGCCATCGGGGTGCGCCAGTAGGTCGAGCACGACGGCGTTGGGTGTGACCGGCGTGCCCTGGGCGTCCATCAGGTCGACACGCACTCGCACGATGCTTGACGTCGGCCCAACTTCATCTGATGACAGCGGGCGCGCTTCGAGGGCGAACACGAGCTCGACATCCTCGCCGGCCACGGCCACGCCGTCCGTCAATCGCGGCGCATGCAGTTGCATGGGCATGGACGGTGGGAAGACCTGGTCATCATTGGCGAAGAGAGAGCCATTGATGATGGACCATTTGAGTGACTAGAGCAGGGGAAAGAAAGGAGGGTCAGCCTGAGGGATGCGGATGAGGATCATCTTTCGATGAAAAAAAGACTAAGAATACATACCAGACAGGAGTCGGACTCCGTGTCGGATTGCACATTGGGCTGGATGGCTGGGAGATAGGGGAGATGCAGTTCATGAGAGGTCGCAAAAGGGATCGACCCTGCGATCGCACCGACCAAGTAGACGGTGGACCACGGATGTAGCCGCATCTTGAGGTTGGTTGATTGATACTGAGGCCACTCGCGATGAGGCCTGATGCTGCGCGGTGCGGTGGATAATGTGGAATGTGCAATGTGCAATGTGCCCTTTTTGGTTTTCTCCCCTTGAAATCCCCGAAGCCAGGGAGAGGACACGCGAACGAGGGAAGTGAAGCGCAGTTGGGGCGATGAAAGGGATGGATGATCACCCGCGATCACGGGATGGGGCGGAGGCCCAAAGAAGGTCGTGCCGTCGTTTCCTGTTGTGCGACTCGACAGGGCCTGCAGGTACCCCGATAGACGCCGAGAGCAGCAGAGGGCAGCAGAGGCCGAAAGGAAAATCCCAGACGCGGTGGGGAGCAGGGAGGGCTACACAGCCCGGCAGGTTGGGACAAGGCTCGCGGGGGGGGGGGGGGGGGGGGGGACGAAGCTTTTTTTGAGGCCGACGATAGAGTGGAGCAGCCTCTCCGCGGATGGGTTTGGGAGAATAAGGAACACAAATCGCAGGACGCGAAGGGGATCACAGGGTGAGTCGGGGGGAAAAATCGAAGGGTGTCTCGATGGGAGGAAGTGGGAAGAAGAAGGGGAAGAAAACGAAAGCCACGAGAAAGAAAAGAAGGCAACGCGCGGGCGGTTTGGTGAGACGGTCAGACTGTGAGACGTGTGATGGGCGTTTCCAAACGGGTTCGGGGGAGGGACCCGCGTTCGGTGTCCACTGGGGCAGACGCTGGACGTGGGAATGTGGATGCCTGCCACCAGCGTTCGGCGAAACACAAGGACGATCAGATTCCGACCCGATTTGCGTTGGATTGTGGATGGAGCCCGTCTGGAACACGCTTGAAGAGGTGAAAGGGAGGGCGAACGGGCGAACGGGCGAGGGGGAGTTTGTGGATGGGGTCCGACGGTGGATGTTTGGCAGTCTGGATGTTGCTATGTATAGGTACTTGGCCCGGGTGGGCGATCAGCGGGTGCGCACCGAGCACCGAGCACCGCACGCCTGTACCGGTACCTGGCCCGGTGCCCTAGCCCTGTCGCTGTCGAGGACCGATGAGACCTGGATGTCGAGTTCGGTAAATTCTGTTTCTGGATCCTGGATCCTCCGCATCGCCAGCAATCTTGCGCATCTTCTCCTCGGGGGCCAACCCCCGACTCTGCAAACCTGCAAAAACCCCCAAAGACGCAAGCAGCCAAGCTTTGGCGGCCGAGGGGAAACACGCTCCTGATTGGTCGGACCTCGGAGTCAGGGTCCAGACGCAAAGTTGGATGTCGAAAAAGCCCCCCCGAGACCCTCGAGACCCTCGAGGACTGACCAGCCGAGGAGATCCGCTGCGGGAGAAAAAAGAAAGCAGAAAAAAAAACAATAACAATAACAATAACAGCCACCAACTCAGTTCCTTTCTTTTCCCTCCAACAATGACAAATGGAGACTCCGTCAATCGAGAATCGAGAGCCACTCCTCGTGACCGCCCCCCTCGGTCGCGAAAAAGTGGTCCCGACAAGCGCAACTTTCGGGCTGCCCGCCTCCATCGTCGTCTTCATACGGCAATTCTGCAATTCTGCAATTCTGCAATACTCCAATACTCCAATACTCCCATACTGCATTCCTCCATAGCAATGGATACTGAGACACTCAGAGTGGGGATCTTGCAATCTCAGCCGTCGTGACGATCGATCGACAGGGAACCCCCGGCGCTGCCGTCGCGCCTCCCACTCGATGGCTCTCATGTCTCACAGAACCAGAACGAGAGGTGCATGGATGCGGTGCCCTGCATCTCGTATTCACCCGACGGGGTTGGTGGCGGGTCGCTTTCTTTCTTTCCTTCCGTCTGGTTTTGCCTGGCTGCGGTTCTTGGCGTTCTCTTTCTTTTCCCCCTCCCCCTTTCCTCGGTTCCATGGCACACCGTCTCGCGGCCAGGGAGAGAGGAAACGAGCATTTGATCCTGGACGGGCCCTGCCCGAGATCCTGACACCCGCATACCCTCAATACCCTCAATACCCTCAATACCCTCATTGCGGACAAGAGACTCAAGAAAGGAGAGTGTCATCCGGAGGGCGAGGAGACGTGCAGCAGACCCCGCTGGCTCCTCAGCCCGCAACCCTGTCGGGACAGAGCCCGACAGGGTATCGTGCAGTGAGCCAACTGCAACAAGTAGCTGGAAGGCCAAGAAGGAGGGGAGATCCCCACCAGCGACTTTGCAAAGGGAACCACATCCCTAGTTCAATAAAAGCATGTCCCAGCCAATAATGGTCGAAGGGAATGACAGCACGATGTGACGACCGATAGCTTTGGCCCGGGCCAAAACGAGGCTCAGGGTAGAGTTCGTGGACAGAAACATTCACGAAATAACCTGGCAACGATCAATCTCGTTTGCGATATCTGTCATCGGTCGCACGAATTGATTCAACTAAGAACTACTCGTCATTGCGGCTGTTCGTTCCAGGGCAGAATGTCGCCCCGTCGAAGCATTGAACCCCCCGCCCGGCCTCTCCCTCCCCTTCTTCCCTCTCTCGTTCTTCTACTTTTGTAGATGTCACAGGGGTAGTGAAAACAGTAGTGAAAACAGTCGGATTTGGAGAAGGAGAAGCCCATAATCGCATCAGGTGGATCGACAGTACTGCAACTGACGAGGGGTATTTCAAGATTCGAGCAACTACGATCTCAACTAGCCTACTGCTCAGCAGATGATCTGGTGTGACATGCGCCCAAACCATAAAAAAAATCGGAAGAAAGATAGGTATATACACAGTAAGTCATCTGGTAGAGGCAAATGATGAATGGGATGGAACTACTTAAACGGCGCAGTTTGCCAGAATCGGCACCGCGGGCTATCAGTTGGGTCACGTATGGGGCCGATGGCGGGATTGGCAATATTCATCAAGGATCCTCGTTGGCCATATTGTTCAAAGATGGGACCCAAGGGGGAACTGGGATGGCCGGACTGAGCGAAGCTCGTCAGATAATCCTGGAGGACAAAGGCCACAGTGCCGTTGGAGACGTCGAGGGCCGACAGACCCGCATTGAATCCTGTCGACCCCGGGTTATAGAAAATATAAAGACTGTCCTGACCATGCAGAGCGGGCGGAATGCTGAATTCGTAGGCATACGTGTGGTTTGAATATGCTCGGTTGAGATAGTCGGTGTTACACACAAAGGCCAGATCTGCGAGGAGCACAGCATTACGCTCGAATGGGCTCGTATATCCATAGAACCCGCTGTAGTTGGCCGGGTAAAGATCATTCGTAATGAAATTGGTGACGCTCGGCTTAATGTTGGGGAACTGAATCTTTAGTAGATCGCCGAGCGCACTCCCGTTTCGCCCTGCGGGCGACGTAAACACAAGACCTTCGTTAGCATTGTGACCAACCATGACCCTCAGGTTAGGATCAAAGCTCCCTTGTAGGAGGAGCTTCCCAGGAAGATCTGGGACGAAGCTGCCATCCACAACTGGCCCGTAAACGAAGTCGCCCCAGGTCGCCTTGGTCGCGATTTGCTTTGCATTCCCAGCGATCAATTTCTCAGTTGGAAGGTTTCGTGCTTCGTCAAGGGTGCTGACATTCAGAATCCCTAAGAAATCTTGGAAAGTCTGCTCTTGAAGCTCTTCATCGACCACCGGAGACCATCCTGGGCTTTGTAGAATGGCCTGTTTGAAGGGAGACGGCCCGGCTTTCCCTCCGTACGCCGTTATTTGGTGCATGAGGGATCCGCCACCCGAAGATTCTCCCATGACTGTGACGCGGGCAGGGTCGCCTCCAAACAAGTGAATGTTCTTATGAACCCAGTCAAGGGCATGTCGCTGATCATGGAGAGCGGCATTGGCAGTGCCGTTAGCTATCACCGCTTCGCCTCCAAGCCAGCCAAAGGCTCCCAGCTACAAAATAACCGAGTTAGCCAGAGAAAACCAAGGGCGGCAATTCTGCACGATCTACTTCATAAAACTCACTCGATAGTTGATCGAGACATAGACAATCCCGTCACCGACCACCATGCTTCTCTCGATTAGCCCGGTGGGATCGTTCGAACTCTTGTCTCCCTTGACGTAACCGCCGCCCACAAGCCACACCAGGACTGGTGCAAGTGCATTTCGTGGAACAAAGGATTTTCCATGCGTACGGTGGAAGATTTTCCTAGGAACCACCACGTCCATGAATAGGCAGTCCTCCGTGGTTCGTGGGTCCAATTTGGCCGGGACGTATGGATACGAGGAGATATCAGTCGATTGATTGAAGGTGGTGTTGTACAGCAGACTCAACAGGAACTGGGGCTCGATATCTGTCGTCCATATTGGGAGAGCCTGTGGACAAATCCGGCCTACTGCACCAGTTTGAACTTCCGTTCGATTTTGCTCGGGCCACACCGGAGCTCGAAAACGCAGGTCACCCACTGGCGGAGCGGCGTAACGAATATTGCTGAAGTTGTAAAGACCCGAAGTACTCTATTCATCCTGATCAGACTCGGTATTTTGAGACGGTGACTGGCAGCTCACATTCAATGAAAATGCTTGGTGTAGGTTATAACCAAGGTCGACAACTGGCAATTCACTTGAAGCATAGCAAGCCGATACCAGCATCAAGAACAAAAAAATAGTCGTCATCTCGACACCGGACAATTACTATCCGCCTGACTGGAGGAGGGGATGTTTTAACGAGTCATCTCTGCCGCTCTTTGGGGCAAGGGGATGTCAGAACTCTATATGGAAGCCGCGCAGAGGCAGAGAACCCCGGTTCACATCCTTGGCTCAGAGTGCACGGGTAAGCTTGCAGGCACCCTGAAGGTTCCATTGGGAGATTTCTGCCTTTGTGCAAACAGAGAAACGCACGTTGCTTAAGTGGGCCAGGGTGCAGTCGATGCCTTCGTGTTATTGCCTGGATATACACCGTCCAACCGACACAATGATGTCAAGCGGCCGGGCCCGGCGATCCGAGCTCCACCGTCTCCACTAGACAGGCCCCGCCCTCCATACATTGAGTTGCCGCAACTGGCAAGCAAGCAAGGGGGCGGGACCCGGATAGGTAAACTGGCGGTCATTCCTACATTGAATGGAGCAATGGTTCTGGACATATGGGCACCGGGACATCGCCCACTTTCCCAATTGTGGCCTAGTCCGTTGCTCAGCTGGCATCGATCGTGGGGTTGCGATCATCACGATCAGATCCTCAACATGGCCGGCGACGATGGGGCTGTGGTTCCCGATAATAAAAAGTCCGGTATTTCTTCCACCACCGAGGATCTGCGTATCAAGTCTGAATAGATGTGTTCCTCAGTGGAATCGATGGAAGTTTGCAATGGCTGAATTGGGTCATCCCGCAAGTCCCTCCGGTTCCTAAACGGGAGGCGGTCAATCGCCTTCGAACGGGCTCCACCGTCATCGGCTTGAGACTGCAACATCCCACAGCCCGACGCGGCGGCCCTTGGGAATCCATAGAAGAATCCGGATCGAGAAACAATGCATAGAATGCTCATGTGGGTCTACCAAGCACACAGTAACTTTAAGGACAGGAGGCTTTCCATGGAATGAGGCCGTAGGGAGTGGAGAAAGTCTACAGAGGATAAGGGATCTTGACAATGCGTTTGTACAGACAGTCTAGCCCAGGTACGAGTCCAAGGCAGCTAGGATAAGCCGAAGCTACCTACAGATTTGAATAAGAGTCACAATTGAGACACAACATACCCATGATGCACGCGTATGATTTAGGACATACTCTGATCACATATCATGCATCTTTGACCTCCCGAATGCCGTATTCGAACATAGCATTGGAAGGCACTTCATGCTCATTCTGTAATTTCTGGGCAGATTCCACTCCCGCAGCAGGGACGCGATATTCAAAGCGATGACCAGGCGTCGGAACTCGTCCATCCGGCAGGGCGTACGGGAAAGGGAGATATTGGGGCAGCAGGCCCAACTGCACTAACACGGTAGCCTGGTCCCATGCGATATGCTCATGATAGAGTCGATCTCCACGAATATTCACCACCGAGGTGAATGGGATGCGAAGATGTTTCCCGGTCGGAGGAACACCGGGAAGCCTAAAACAATTGTGTAGGTTAGATGGGGATACTCCAGACATCTAACTCAGAGACCTGCAGGAAATACACACAGCCAGTCAACCTGCTTCACATGGGTGAGGCAGAAGATGAATTCATCCACGATCCGATCCGTGCCTACTGTTCGACTGATCAATTCCAGAGCAGTATCATCAGGGTTGCTGAAGATGAAATGATTTAGGTAGAAGTGACTCAGACGAGCCCGTCCAATCCCTCCGGTTAACTAGGCCTGGTCAGTCAACTTCATTTTCATATTTCTAATCTTGATCATCCAGTAAGGGGGGAGGGGAGGAAAGGGATGGCTCTGCCCGTACTGTGGGAACGTGGTTGACATATGGCTCTTGTACCATTGTCGCCATCGTCTTCTCGACAGACCGATCACCAAACTCATAGTAGGTGTGCTCATCCCAAATCTGCTCTAGATCAAAGTATGGCCCACCGAGATGCTTCTTGAGGAAGGTTAAGCTACGGGTGTGCGCCACGCCCGCTGCGGTGATGATAAAATCTGGGTGTCCCGGGACCATAAAGCCGGGAGACGAAGCTTGAGGGTACACATGTTGAATTTGTTTCCCCTGCGTGGAAGTAATTTGATCCCCAGCTCCTGATACATGTAACAGGGTCGGTTTACTGTCACCAAGGTGCCATTCGTCAAAACAGACGACTGCAGCCAGCCGGGACTCACAAGCGACAATTTCCCGCACCGCGTCGTTGAAACCGGGCAAGTAGTCTTCTTGCGCTCCGTAGACTTCAATCATTATCAGAAATATCCTTAAATGTGAGGAGTTGCATTTGAATACCACCTACTCAACACTCCAAAAGAGCTATCACTATCGCAGGCAGGCAGAGATGTCAAGCCTTCTCGTGCTTGTGTGATAGCCTTTCGTAACTCTGTCAGATCCTGCCCTGCATCGAGCGTTATTTGCACCACCGCAAAGCTCTCTTCTGCCCATTTCAACAAAGGCTCTGGATCCAGGCTCTTGTTGAGTTGTTGATACCCTGAGTAGGCTGAAGGCCGCACGAGGATGAGACCGGGCCCACATCCGCAACGCGAGAGAGGAGGCTGAAGGATCATATCAGGCCCTAGCTCAATAGGCGTTGCAAACACAGACTCTCTGTTCTCGGTCATGTTGACAAGCAAAAATTATCTTTCTCAGGGTGTATATGCAGAACGCAATGTTTCTCAATTGCCGAGGTTTGATTTGTTGAGTATTTGAACGGCAAGATATCTTGCCACCCCACTAGAGGTCACCACTCATGCGCGTGGGGTATCTAAGCACTCGGGAATGCAGGAGAATATCCCGCATGTCAATAGATAGAACCAGTCAAAGGAAAAACGGGTTGCATATTCTCAAAGCTGATTCCGGATCGTTTATTCAAGCCCCCGGTTGACTCTAGAACAGCCCACGTGACCCGCCGTTGACCGACCTCCCGGCTCCGCCAAACGCGTTCTCTCTCGGCCCTCGCTTTATGCTCCGTTCCTCTCGACATTGCGACTGCTGGAGTCACAGTCAGGCCTGACGGCTCAAACACACTCGCCACGGCCTTGAAAAAAGATTTTTATCTTTCACAGTTTACAAGCTGTCTCATCCTTCAATTCGCCGAATCCGCTCTGAATTCCGACCGACGCTCACTCGAGCCGCGGCTGTTCCGCGCATGCCTCCAAAATGAATTCTCTCATGCAATCATCCCTCTCCGACGTCGAGTCAAAGCTGAACACACTCTTAACTACTATAACAACCGCTCCCGGAGCTGCTGGAGCACCCGCTGCCGCAGGGGCCCTGCTGGACGCTGATGATGCGCTGTCGTCTTCCCTCGAAACACTGCGACAGCACCAAGAGAACTACGCACGGATTTTACAACTGCGAGCTGAGGCAGAAAGACTAGAAAACCGCGTCAAAAGTATCGTGAAGGATCTTGAGAGGTTCGACAAAGCTATTGGGACGGCGTGTGGCGAAGACGAGGAGGATGACAGCGACCTGGACTCCCAAGATGAGGGCGCCATAACGAAGAGCAAGTCTTCGCGAAAGGAAATCGATTATAGACTTCTCCTAGACTTTGCCCGTCGCATTAGCAAATACAATCTTGAGGCTGCTGCAGATGCTGCGAATGATGATACGTCAAGAGATGGCCAGAGCTCACGCCCACAACCCTTGGACAAAGACGTGAGGATGACGGGCATGAATGGTGAATCTGCCGCGGCAGATGGGGCAGAGCCAGTCTCATCCGTGACGAAGAGCGCGACACAATGGTTGGATGACTCGGCAAATGTCACGCGGCAGGTCTATATGATCCCGTATCCGATGGAGGAAAGGATCCGGATGGGTGTGATGGGTCAAGTCCAGCTGGCAGCCGGCGAGGATCCGGACAAAGAAGTAGACCGATTGATCCGCGAAGCAGAAGGTCTCGGAGCAGCCGAACCTCCGGCACCAGTACATCTTGAAGGCACGAGGCAGGATGAAGCTGCGAAGGCCGCCGCACAGGCTGGCTCCTCCGCCAGCGGTGTGGTACGACCTCCTGCACCGGCCTCAGCACCGCCATCGAGGCCAAAGCCGAAAGCCCTGCTGGACCTTGATCTATATGATCCCGATGATGACGATTTTTGAACATTTACAGCGCATCAAAATCTATCGAATGTTTTTATGATACCAGCAACAAAGGCTAGGAGCGAAATTTAATCGCGTGAATATGCCATGTATGATTATCGCAAACTTGATCCAGCTGCAATTTGACGGATCTCCTTATAAACGTCACCAGCTTACATCTTGTGCACCGAGGACTTGGCCGTCCACCCCCTGAATCTCTTCCCATAGAAATAGAATGGGATGGCACACAGGCACCATAAGGTTGCCAAGCACATGTTCAGCATGATCGGCTTGACGAAGCCACTCTCTTCAACCCACGGGGTGATGAACTTGCTAAAGCCATAGCCCCAAACATTCTTGTTGACAGTGATGGAAACAAATATTGAACCCGCAACAGGTTTGTAACTGTCTACGGCATAGGTACTGGCAATGGCTGGGAGAGCCGCCACTTGGATGCCAGCGGCGGTGTATCCAATGATCACAATTGCCTGTAATGGTCAGATTCATGTTTACAGTCCAGTGATTGAATGAAGGCAGACACTCACCCGCCAATCCCATTTGTACTGGTATCCAAAAGCAACCACAAAGTTTCCAATAATCATAATAATAACATAGATGGCCATTGCTGGCAATCGCATCTCAGGCTCACGAATCCCCCTGTTTTTGCGTGTGGCCTTCATCGAAATCCAGTCGGAGAAAGGCCCGTTGGTAGCTAGACCGATAAACGCTCCGATGAGAATGGCAAAGTTAAAAAACCCGATCGTCTGGCTGTTGAAGTTGTATGGTGGCTCTGCAAATGCCTGACTCTGAGTGAGGTTTAGCGTCAAGAAGCAACTGGCCGACCAAGACACTACGAAAGCTGCGAGCTCAACTATGGGGAAGGTGAGTAACTTCCAAGGGATGAAGAAGCTCAAAAGCACTGTCTTAAGGTTGTTTCCATCCAGCTGCCAAAGCATAAACTGCTTCTTCGAAGGACGTCCACGATGCAGATAAGGGTCTTGCTCGGCCGCGTTTTCTATGCTCGCGTTCTCCTTCTGCAAGACCTCGACCGGCTTCTCCTGCTCGGCGACCTCCTGAGTCAGGGTTGCAGCATGACTCGGACATGCTACTTCATCGGGATGCGACCGATGCCACTTGGTCTCTGGAAAGAGGAAGATCTGGAAGAGCAGTACGATGCCCAGCACTCCGACGTTGAGCCAGAAGAAGCTCCGCCAGCCGATGTGCTCTGCCATCGGGCCGGCAATAATCGGCCCCACCTATTCAGCTATCAGTATTCCAGGACTTTGACAATGGGAACGCCACTTCTTACCATGAGGGATCCAAAATAAGCCGTAAAGTATAGGGTATTGTAGGCACCCCGCTCGTGAAGAAACATGATATCCGCGATGATCTCCGGCTGAGATGTCTCCGCGGGGCCAGCGCCAAACCCATTGAGAACACATGCGCCCATATAGCTGCCATACGAAGTGGCCAGCGCGCGCCAAACATTGCTTACAAGGCAAATGAGGGTCGAAAAGATCAAGACAGGTCGCCGACCGTAGGATGTTTGAATCGGAATCCTAAACGAATGAGTTGGAATCACGCATTTACAGATGTGACGCAAAGATTAATCACTAGCCGAACGTACCAGAAGAAATTGCTAAATCCCAACACCAAAATACAAACACCAGTAAACTGCACCATACTGGCTAGGTCGGAATGGAATGACTCCATCAGCTGTGGGAACATTGGTGCCAGAGCCAGCGGGCCCAACCCCTGACTGAACGAGGTCGCGGTGGATATAGCCATGGCGCTCATTTTCCAGAAGCGACTCCAATTCTATAACGCGGATAAGTTAAGTTAGTCCTGAAGGTGGGTTTTTTCGATCATCATTGATAGTAGTACTCACTAGCGGATCATGTGGATCCAGCGACGGTTGAGGCACTAGTACTCGATCCGATTTGGATGATGACTTGACAAAATGATGCGACCCTACATCGGCCATGATCTCTGTGCCGGGATAGATGGTGGTGCCCAGCTCCTCCTCGATCCTAGATAATCATGGTGAGCAGTGGGTTGGCTTCGGGTGCGAGGACGCAGAATGCATACTGGTGAAGGGCCTAGAGGATACGATGATTAGCGGCAGAATGTCACCACGGCTCCATGAAAACTTACCCCTTCATCATGATTCATCTCCATGGTGTCAAAAAAGACTCGCCTCTACAGATGTACTGCAGAAATGAGAAAGAAGATTTCCAAAAAGGATGAAGCAACTGGGCCAAGTAGCCGGGGGAACGGGTTCATTCAAGTACTCGATGCTTCTGCCAAGCTGGGGACACATGGTTTTAAGTCTCCTTCTAGCAAAGATCTGATGGGTCCCTGCATACTAGTCCTCTGGAGTATGTGCGGAACGGAGCCGGCTGTGGCTAGGGGCTATTTACCGACCCCCTAGAGGGGGCGTGCAGAGTATAAAAAACCAACTTGACCCCCTAACCGTTGACCCACCCATAAAACTGCAAGCATACCACCATTGACCTCCTTCAGTTTCAAGGTTGTCGTTGGAGCACTCCCGAGTCAGTTAGACTATACGATGACGGGAGCTCTTCTTGATCAAGCCAAAAATGACTCTGCTCAGGTCCCCCACATTTGACCCCGGATTCCCCCCCGCACGCTGGCCTCTCCGCCAGTCTCTCCCCGGAGTTCCCATTGTGCTCGGCTACCTAAATGGTGCGCCTCACATATCATTGCCACCGCGCTCGGTAAACCCCCGCGGCATTTATCCGCCTTCCAGAGCCCAGATGAGATCTGCTTTTCTGGCGAATCCCCTCGCTCCACATTCAATCAAGAACTTAGGAGGAGCCCCACGCTGTCGTCGTCAGTAGATCTCTTATGTAGTCCCAAGTCTCCTATTACCAACATTTTTCCAAAGAGGATCTGAAAAAAGGGACTCGCGGCCTTCTATTTTGTATTATTATGATGAGTCGTATCAAAACCGCGGACAACGTTTCCAAACGGTGTTTCAACGGCTGTCGCAAATACCGAAACTTAATTATTCATGATTGTATAATTGTTGATAACCTAGGTCAGGGATGAATTCATTCCGAGCAACAGATTTCACTGATCTTTTCGTCTTTTCTTGTTCTATACTCTAGGCTATATGCTTCTCTTCACGGCGGGAACCCAATTGTGCAAGTTGTGATATGAGGTCGAGAACCCCCTTTCAGGTGGCTTCGCAAGAAGGGCTTCTCCAACGGGGATATTCCGCACCTCTATACTTTTCTCTGACAGCCTTCTTGGAATAGACAGAGACACCAGCCACACCACTATTCGCCATAAAAGAGTAAGATATGACTATCTCACATGGTGGGTGGGGCAGGAGTCAATAATTAGGACGAGAGTGGCACTGACCCGGCATTTCGAACCTCGGGTATCCAGTGGATTGTTACCTACTCCACAAGGTTTGTAGTTCCCGAACCGCATATTCAGTGGCCCAGCCCAAGTCTGCTTCTACACCTTGCAAAAGATCCACGATTATCTGATGCTCATCAGTACCCTCTAAACATTGCCCCACTGCAAACAAAAGGGGGGTCATATAGACCCGCACCTCCCCCTGAGGGCGTCCCAATGCGATACCACAGACCTCACGGCTCCGATATTCAACCTCCTTTGTCACCTCCCGATAACCTTGGAGACGGTCAAAGGCAGTGCTTGGCGCACTCGTGACATCTGGCGGTCGGTTCAGTAGGAGTGCGATGCGCCCGAAGTGATAATGCTGCATAGCCGCCGCGCAGGTTGCCAAGCTGTGATACACTTCAGGGAAAGGGAGATGGCTACTACTTTCTGGACTTGAAAGATTTCTGGGACGCTCGAGGCGCACACATGGGCGAAATGTTTCCGGCACACCCTCGAACCACGTCTGGAACTCGAAACAAAGGCCAAGCCAGGTACTGGTATCTGGCGGGTTCGACCCAGCTGGAGAGTCGGGAGACCCTGGTGATTTTTCTGGTGGAGACCCGGTCCACTGGGAAATTTGAGACTCCTTGGACTTGGCGAGGAAATTGACGGCTTTGGACACAAGCCAGGACAGGCCATTGGCCGCTTGGTCTTCAGGAGATATACTGACCATTTCGGTTCCCCCGATATGGAATTTTTCAAACTCGTCAATCAAAATACCTGCTGCGCGCCACATGTCTAGGTTGCCAGGGTCGAAATATGTTGCTGATTTGGTGAAATAGGACCCGAGGTAATCCTGACGGGCAAAATTCCAGAAACAGGCACGGATACCACGAGAGAAGAGGGCTGTATTCCTGGGTTTTATTTGTTGAAGAGAATCAAATACCGAACGAATCCCTGACAGGTACCTGAACGTTGCTTCAGTCAATTGCGATATCTGAGAGTTGATTGGACTGCAGCTTACTGATGCCATTCCTCGCCTTGCGCATCGAAGAGTTTACACAACGTGAGGATTGTGACTGTCGCCATTATGTCCTCAATTTTTCTCAGAATTGTGCCTTCATCTGAGCCCTCAGTCGTAGTTTGAGTCACCTGGGAATCCAACCACCGGCTAACCATTTCCACCGGCGAGTCGAGAACTGCGGAGCTCGAGACCACCGTATAGCCATTTGAGGTAGCTCTTGTTAAATCCGAGGCAGCCAAGTAGTAGTAGTTGGCAGCCTTGAGGAACCAATCCACTTGACCAGCATTGGGGTATGTCTCGGTTGTGGAAGGATTTGTGAACATGCCTCCTAATGTGGAGGCTTTGACCCCCTTCACCCGGGCCAGTTGCTTTGCTGCTAACGCTGCGATTGAGTACTTGAGAGACGGGGAGTTATTGGATCGAATAGGCACATAAACCGTGAAGAACTTCCCACCATCCGATAAATCCAGCCTGATTCAACATTAGAAGGGAGAAAGATATGAAAACGCCAACTTAAAACATGTAGCATACCAAGGTCCCAGTACTTCGGCGTAATGGCGGGTGAGAAATGCGATCTCATGTTCAGTACCAGTCATGAGTTCTGAGAAGATATCCTGGAATTCTTCTTTCTCACTCCGTTGTGATACACTCTCTGATGAGACTAGTCGTCTGCTTTCTGGTCGATCGCTGGACACTCCGCTGTATGTCTCCAGCGCTGGATTGAAACCTGTTATCGGATTGGGCGAAACCGAGGTGCAAAGAGGGCTCCGGTAAGAGGAACCGCTGTTGTGTAAGGCAGAGAATTGATTCACCTCGGGGCTCAGTCCAGGCCTTGGTGCATTGGAAGTCGCATTTTGCGCTCTCACGCCCGTAGTGCAGGGTGTATTTGAAGCGCCTGGCAAGTTACCCGAACTGGAATTCGCCGTTTCCAGCTGAAATTGAAACATCGACTCCTCTTTGGCTCGGTCACTCGAACCCAGGCCGGGCATCTGCGGGATCTTTATTGGCGGAGCTTCACTCTGCGTAGGCTGAGGTGCATGCTCCTCTTGCTGCGGACAGCATGAGCAACTACTCGTTGGGAGAGAAGCAAGGTTCACGTACTTTGCCAGCATTGGCTGTGGTTCCCAGTTTGGCGTGGGGTTCCTGATACGGTGCATATCTGCGTCTCACGGTGGCACCTTGATCGATAAACTTACGGGTCTGGACATAACCCGGGCATTCCACGCCCGCGGTGGCACACCGCTGGCAGTGCGGGCGTGTCTCATCACACTGAAGGCCATCAGTAAATGCCCGAATTTCATGTAAATAAAGGTTAGGTATGGGCCAACCTTCAGATGCCTCTTCTTACACCGCTCACACGCCTTATTGGAAGGCACACCGGGCATTGTGTGCTTACCAATGGAATGAAATTATGGCGTTCGCGTGCAATTCGGGGGGTGAGATCGAGCACCGTCTTCCCTCTTCACACACAATGATTTTAGCTGTGTACGGATGACTTCACATCCCGCAAGCTTACTAGGTCAGCTCCAACCCTAAGGAAAGGCATGCTGGGGAATCATGACGTGAAGCTCATCAAGGGATCATATTATGTAAACCGGAGCAATCTCGGCCCAGTTTCGGCCCGGTACCGCGCGGCCGTTGGCAGCCGGTCATTCTTCCCGAAGCCGATCCCTCCAAGACCGTTTTCCATGCTTCTCTTGACTCGTCAGGGCGAAGATGCTGCGCAAACCCGATGGTCTCCAGTCACACGTTACGGGCCCAGGGGACTCGAACCAGCTGGTCTGGCGATCGATCGAAACGGACCATGATGCAAACGAGCCCAATTGGCGAGTAAAGAAAAGGCGCTCCATGGCATCAGGGCAATCGATCCTCTCAGGGTCCGAACAAAGTCGAATCTATCATGACTGGGTCGGTAAGTGACCTTGGATAGACTGTTGCTCTCGACCGAACCTGATGAGCTCATGTTTGTCCTCTGTAGAGGGCGGCAAGCCGCATCACTTTGTCTGCTCGGAGTGTCGTCTTCCCGAGAAGCTGATCGGATGTACGACTTGCTGTCGCTCCTACCATGCATCGTGTCTCTCGCTCCCCGGAAACCAAATGGCGGGTTATTTTTATTGTTCGGCTTGTAAAGAACAAGCGTGGGACCGGGTACCACCATCGCCGCCGCCGCCACTCTTGTCGCAGCCCTTGACGCCTGATACGCGCGGGGCCCCTCGAGAGAACACCCCCGATAGCAGTGAGAGCCTCTTCTCCAAAACGAATCATCGAGCGGGAGACGGCCATCCTCCAACTTCTCAGTCACCCCCAATGGTTTCTAGACGACCCATGTCTGGAATTCCATCGATGCAAACCGATGCTTACGAGCATGGCCCGTTGCTTCAGCAGCCGGCACCCATCTCTGACTTGTACCCGCACCTTCTAGCATATTTATCTGACTCCCGGCCTCCACGTAGTTCATCGGCTGCATCGGCAGTTCAGCCGGAGTTCTTTTATCAGCTGGATCTGATGATGCGAGAAGTCCAAGCCTACCGAGCATTGCTGGACAAGACTGCCACTCTACGGGAAGAATTTGCGAGAGTTCAAACAGAAAATATCCAGCTTCGAACCTATCTCAATGCCCGGTTGCCATTGCAGGAACCTACTTTCTCCGGTGCTTCCACCTGCGTTTCGACTCCACGGCCTCTGCCAGAAACCAGTGGAAGATCTTGGGATAGCATTGTTCTAGATATCATGTGAAGGATCCCAGCCTATATTTAGACCGATGCCGATGCCGACGCTGGAGAGAACGCGGTCGTTGCGCCCACGGTTTAGATTTCCGTTGCGCATATCAGTGCTTTCGTGCCCTTTGTCGGGGTAGTCTCCACCGAGGCCTTACAAGAATCGAACGATCTGCCGCGACCAGTGCGAATTACGCGGTTTTCGGCTCTTGGTGTGAGCCGTTGACCCCCTCGACCCCGTTCGGCGGAGCTCTGTCTGTCCACGTGTAACCCTGGACCAAGTCCAGGAGTCTGCGATGCACACTGGGCACACTGGGCACACTGGGCATTTCTGTCGCACTTGTAGGTCGTTCCGTCTGGATGCCGCCGGTATAGATCGGCCCTCCCTACTACGTGTTTTGTGTATATTTTTCAAGTCGACATCTGTAGAATTACCCCTATGCCTCCATGGGTCTCGAACTGCGTCTCCTGACAAAACAGGAGTCCTTCATTCCAACTCCAATGAGCACGGTGTACACTTCGATTCACCGCACGTAGCCGATCCCGTCGGTCGACAGCCGAGACGGTGCCATCCACCCTTTCTCCCTTCTCCCTTCTCCGTTCCCCACAAGGGTTTCCCCTCTTAGGCCACTAGGCGCATCGTTGGCATCGTCGACTTTCAACGTCGTGCGCGGAGGTTACATGAGCGAGGACTGACCCCCACTTCTCCTCTCGCGAAGCTTGTCGAATCTTGTTGAGGTATCTCCTTGGGACCCGCGTTCCCCGCAGCTCGGAGATCTCTGCATCTATTGATTCGCCCACCACGACCGACCGTCAACAAGGATCGGCAACCAGGAACCGGGGGGCTGCCCTGACCGTCATTATCATCCCCTCCTAACTCTTGCCTCACCCTGGTCGGCTTGCTGCTTCCAGTATGGATCGTGCCTATCGCGACCAGAACTGCTCGGCTCGGCTAGGTGGTTGGCGGGCAGAAACAAAAACGCGATGGAGGCACTGGAGCTATGAGCGCAGAGGTAACACCACGTTCGAGATGAAGAGGGGCCATCGTGCGGCGAGCCGATGTGACGTGCCTCGTTCTTGGGTTGTTTGACCCCATGTTGCCCATTGAGTCGCGACGGGTTCAATTCTAAATACTCCGACGCTCCCTCCCCAGAGGAGTCCAGCCCTGTCGATCAACACATCCACGCGCGTGGAATGTTACCCCCGCCACTTTAAATAGGCCTCCGGGACGGACATTGAGAATTCGCTGACGCTTTCACGGCGTGGTCAAACTGCTTCATAACTGCTTCGTATGCTTTGACGTCGCGTTCAGTGTTGCTGCTTGAGTCCACCATGCACCCACTCATCGTCCCCATGCGCCGAGACGCTCTTGTGGCAGCCATCCTGTATAGTTCTGTTGTTTTGGGGGCTTCAGATGCCTCGGTCACGGCCTTTGATGTTCTCGATTATGTCGATCCGCTGATCGGAACTGCAAATGGAGGTGCGTCATCCAGACCAACCACATACCCTAAGTAAACAATTGATTCAGTCGCTAATGTTTGACTCCTGGCAGGCCATGTGTTCCCGGGTGCCACTCTGCCTTTTGGTTGGTTATTCTTTGCCTTGGGCATTTGATCAGGAATCACTAAAACAGGTCCACAGGCATGGCTAAGGCCGTCGCCGATACGATCGGTGAGAACCAAGCGGGCTTTGCGTTTGATACCACACTCGTCACGGGCTTCTCACACATGCATGATTCGGGCACGGGTGGGGTATGACTTCGGTTGAATGATGTCTAATCAATGTAGCTTCCATTGCTGATGCTCGCAGTCTCCGTCTCTGGGAAACTTCCCCATATTTGCTCAGCCTTTTTGTCCAAACGACGATATCAACCAATGCAAATGGCAGCAGAACGACCGGGCCATCGTGTGGAATCGAAACTCGGTCAAAGCGTACCCCGGATATTTTGGTATCTCATTGCAAAACGGGGTTCAGGCAGAAATGACCACAACCAACCGATCGGCCCTGTATCGCTTCACCTTTGATGGAACCTCCTCGGAATCGCTTAGTCCGGTGGTTCTGGTGGACTTGATGGACTTGCCCCAATCACGAACGAACGGGAGAGCAGATGTGAACCATGCCACAGGCCGACTGAGCGGAAATGGCACTTTCAGCCCGAGCTTTGGCATTGGTAGCTACGACCTACATTTTTGTGTCGATTTCAAGGGTGCTCAGCTCCGCGATACCGGAACCTGGGTTAAAAATCGTGCAAACATTACCCAGAAAACGGTGAATCTTGAAGCAGACGGAACAAACTCGGCAGATACCCTCTCGGCTGGCACCTTTGCTCGCTTCCAACCCCCTGAAAACAACACCATTCTGGCTCGAGTCGGAGTGAGCTTCATGAGCGTCAATCAGGCCTGTGCCAACGCGGAGAGGGAACAACCCGACTTTGACTTCGAAGGCACCGTCGCTGCAGCCCAGGCTGCGTGGAAAAAGAAACTGGACATCATCACCATCGACGCGGATGGAGTCTCTGACGATCTGCAAACGGTTTTCTGGAGTGGAGCGTACCGAGCGATGATTAGTCCTCAGGACTATACCGGCGAGAACCCACTGTGGAAAAGCGATGAGCCGTACTATGATAGTTACTACTGGTGAGAAAACCTGGAGCCACCTCAGGGTCAAGCATCTGATACTAATGAACATGCGTCTAGTATCTGGGATTCGTATCGAAGCATTCATCCACTTCTAACTCTAGTGGATCCCCTTTCGCAGTCGCTGATGGTACGCAGCCTCCTCGACATTTATCGCCACGAGGGCTATCTGCCTGACTGCCGCATGTCACTCTGCAAAGGCTACACTCAGGGAGGCTCTAATGCCGATGTTCTCATGGCAGATGCATATTTGAAGAAGGTTCAAGGCATTGATTGGGATACCGCCTACGAGGCTGTCGTGAAAGATGCCGAGGTGGAGCCTGCAAATTGGAATGTCGAGGGACGCGGTGGCCTACACAGCTGGAAAAATCTAGGATATATTCCAACCGACGACTACGATCCCTATGGCGTCGGCACGCATACTCGTAGTGTTTCGCGAACGGTTGAGTACGCCTACAACGATTTCTGCATTGCAGAGATGGCACAGGGAATGGGAAAGAAAGATGACTACGCAAAATACATCACGCGCTCTGGAAATTGGGCCCACATGTTCAAAGCGGATCAAAAATCCAGTATCAACGGTGTCAACACCAACTTCACGGGATTTTTACAGCCTCGCTATACAAACGGTACCTGGGGCTACCAGGATCCGATTTTCTGTAGCCCACTGCTGAACTTCACTTCCTGCTACCTTAACCCCACTGGGCACGAAACATATGAGGGTAGCTCTTGGCTCTATACTTTGTGAGTAGAAGTCCTCTGTGTTTGCCGCGTTCATTACCTAACATTCTCAAAAAAAGCTATGCTCCACACGACATGGGCTCACTAATTCAGACTCTTGGAGGCCCGGAGCAGTTTACGGCTCGTCTCCAGTTCCTCCACGAGTCCGGGCTCCTTTACGTCGGTGACGAACAAGCCTTTCTGACCGTTTTTCAATTCCATTATTCTGGCCGACCCGCTTTGTCTGCCAAGTACAGTCACTCCTATATCCCGTCCCAGTTCAACACTACAACTGCTGGTATCGCAGGAAATGATGACAGTGGCGCAATGGGCTCATTCGTGGTGCTGAGCATGATGGGATTGTGGCCTGTCCCTGGTCAGGACGTCTATCTGATTACCCCACCGTACTTCAAAGAATTGAGCCTTAAGAATAGTGTCACGGGCAAGACCGCTACAATTCGCAACAGCAATTTTGATCCCAACTACAAGTCAATCTATATTCAAAGCGTGAAATTGAATGGTAAGAGCTGGACGAAGAATTGGCTTACTCATGATTTCTTTACTGAGGGAGGTGTTCTTGAACTGGAGCTCGGCTCGACTGAGAGCAAGTGGGGTACTGCGTTGGAGGATCTACCTCCCAGTCTTGGTAACTATCATAATTAGTGGTTTCAGGGGAGGAGCGATGAACCGCTTGAACTTGCATATATATCGCATTATTGGTCCTGGAAGCATTCGATATAGTGACTTTTTGTTGCATCCTTTAATGATTGCTCTGTTCATGGATTACTTCCGAATAGATTACTCCAGCAAGCTATATCAGAGAAACAGACACCAAAAATATAGGCAAAGTTCTTGCCTTCGGTTGGATCATATCCACCACGCTCATTGGGGAGGCCTCGATCGTTGTACAAGTAAAGGCAATCACAGGTATTTAACGGAATATGGCATCGGAATCATCCAACCCCCTCGCATTTTTCTCGCAAAGAGACTTATGGTAGTGTATACCCCCCATCAATCACAATATTGGCACCAGTCATGTAGCTGGATGCATCAGAGGCACAATAAACGTAGGCCTAAGATACGATTTTTAGCCCATCAGTCAGTTCTGTAGACTCTATCCAAGACTCACTCCCTTCAGCTCATACGCTTGCGCCATTCGTTGAGCAGGAATCATGCTATTCCACTTCGCTCGCCACTCTTGGGGATGAATGTCCAGAATATCAGTTGCAATGAACCCTGGCGAGATGCAGTTGACACGGCAAAAGTCCACCCACTCAACAGATAAACATTTGGCCATCTGAACGACGCCAGCTTTGGATGCGTTATACTAAATAAAATCAGTGAGACTAAACAATATCACACCGTATCTTAACTGACTGCTGCTTGTTTCTGAGGCACATTCACCAAGGTTGCGCTGACGGAAGCTGTGAAGATGACATTGCCATGACCTTGTTGCTTGAAGATGCGTGCGGCGGCCTGTGCGGAATAGAAGGCACCATCAAGATTCACTTTCATGATGTCACTCCATTGGCTGGGAGTGTAATCTTCGGCAGCGATGCACGATGTAATGCCCGAGTTAGCGACCAAAATATCCAATCTTCCAAAGTCCTTTGTAATCTGTTGGATAGTAGTCTCGATCTCTGCCTGGTTCACAACATTTGCTTGATACGCCGCTGCTCTCACGTTATTGGCAGAAGCAATTTCTGCAGCTGAATTCGCGGCTGTGTTTGACGAGTTATATATGATAGCAATCTAAAGGTTGTTTGCTGGCGTTAGATAGCTTGGATTCACATCATTTAAGTTTTGATCAGGACGACTTACATTAGCGCCAGCTTCTGCTAAAGCGCGAGATACTTCAAGGCCAATTCCACGGGCGCCACCTTAAGAGCTATGATGAGTTTCTTGTTCTTGATAAAGGTGACGTCTCTTACCTGTCACCACTGCCACCTTTCCTGTAAGGTCAAAGGCTTTCATAACATGTTTATTTTCGGGCTGCGAGAGGACCATTTTGGAGAATATAGCGACACATTCAAAGCCAAAGACTTTTCGTGTATAATGCTGCTTTGACAGCTAGAAAAGAAAGGATAAAAAGACTGCTCTTTTACATTAGCCAAGCGTCCGAGATCCAGAGATCCAGTGTACGGAGCACTCTCGCCCCTTTCACCCCGCACGTCGGCCCATCTCCGAACGGATCCTGTTGGCCGCGCCCGGCTCGATGGTTCCGCCCATCGTTTTCTGACAATCTAGAAATTTGTTTATCATCATAATTCCACAATTTTGATAGCAGGCCGAAAAGCGGTGAAGCTTCTCGATATTGATCTTCATTCGGTATATTAGATACTAGGCACTCTTATTCAAGGCAAAATGATTCTCAGGGGTTCGCTGTTGGGCCTTGCAATCAGGGTTTCAGCGCAACTGTTCTCTTCTCAAAAGTTTTGAGTCTTGTCTGTTTATAAGGTCTACATTCCTCCAATAGGGTCCTCATTGAGAGGCTCAATCGTCTGCCAAAGCTTCAATGCTCACATTTAAACGGGTTCAAGGAGGCCACCTGGGGGCATAACGAAGTAGACCATTTAAGTGACATCATCTTTATCTACGCAATTTGAGAACATATGGAATACACTCAAGAAAACGGTATTTGTTTCAAACTTCCGCGGTATCCACCATTTCCCATCGTGCTTTTAAAATTTCGTATGACTTTCTCATGGGCCAGGCACAGATGTCACTTGTCATGTCGATGATACCAACGAGAGCATCTCTCTCTTCCTGGTTGGTAAAATATTCACCGTATAATTTAATCGCAATGACTGCATTGACGAGTGCAGGCTGTACGCGTGATATATGACACAGTGCAATGCCGCAAATGTCGAGAACGATAGACCGGACCTGTGCCTCTGTTCTTCTATGCACAGCTCGATTTGCGGAACTAAAATCAGTTTAGCATGATCCAAGGCAGCTCCTAGCAAGGTTTATGGTGCATACTCAAGGTGAGGATTTTCCGCGGTCAAAATCATCTGTGCCAGTCGAAAATGTTGGATGGCTGCCACCTGTACATCAAAGCTATACCAAATCGTTGGGAATAAATCCCCTTTCGCTCTATCTGCATTGAGCTGCAGGAGCGGCTCAAGTTCTCCCAAAGAATCTTGATGTAGTTGCTGTTCTTCAATTTTGAGTTGAGCTATCAATCATATGATTAGTTGAATTTCGAAGGAATACGTATTTTCAGATGACAAGACATACTCCATTCCTCGGCTGACTTTTGGCCCCACCGCCATGTTGCAACCTGGCCAGCAAACATGATCATATGATCTGCGATTGAAGTGTTACTCCAGCGTCCAGGATCGAAACCTAGGTAGGGAACAGATTCCCTTGTTAAGGCATAGTATATCTCTTGTCGAACAGTAATCCAGTAGGCCGCATTTGCAAGTGAGCAATTGTGAGGAGAGGCACTCATAGAGTCCATAATTGTCTGAGTGATTCCCAGGAAGTTTACTCGACTATATGTCGAGTTCTCAAGCTCTGTTCTATCCTCATCCATCTCCTCCTCCATTTCTTCATACTGTCTTAGAATTACCGTAGCCGCCATTATATTCTCATGGTGAACGGGATCCTGGATGTTTGGAAATTCGATCAAATCTGGAATACACTTTAACATGTATTCAAGGGCACTGGACTTCTTCAAATTTGGAAGAAGCTGTCCTCTGTAGACTATGCCGTGCGTCGTTTTATATTGTGGAACTCGACAAAGATGCCGTGACGAAACAGCAAAAATGGCATTTCTGAGGGTGTGGCAATGCTGTGCCCGGCGGGGAACAACAAATTGGAAGTGTCGCTGCTCATCGCAGTGATCAAACTATGTCTCGTTATTTCTTAGATTTCCATCTTGAAACGTTGTTTCCATGGGTGTTTTCATACCCATGGAGATAATTCCTCGATAAAATATCGAATCAAGCAGGATTCTTGTACTCCTTCGATGGCACTAGTGACTATAACACTGGTGGGCGAGTGGGAGACAACACTCTGGGTCTTAGAGATATTGGTTGCTCCAAGTACGGAAATTTGGGATTCTACCTCATGTGCCGACTTTGAAAAACTTCTTCTTATGTGGCAACTTGCATCTGTGGCGTTTGAAGCTGGTTGCTCTGTATGATGAGTTTCTTCAAACGGAGTTGGAGAAGAGGGTCGATGAGTCGAAGATGCTGGTGGTGATTGCTCTTGAATCCGATGGAGAGCAGCGAATGGGCTGATATCATAATCTATTTCGTATGTGTTAGAAGTAGCAACGCTCCCATTATCATGCTCCGGGTATCTTGGCGAGTCCAATGTAGGCTGACTTCTGGAGCCAGAATCTTCAGGTGTAATTGTTTTTCTGGTTGCATCGAAAGGCTTTGCGGACGTGAATTGATCCTCAGTCGAATTTGGAGAACCTTTGTGGGGTCTCCAGTTTTTTGGTCTACTATTAACCCATGTTTGGCGATTTGAGAAGCTAGAGTCCAGATTTGCCGTCGACCCATGTCGAAACACTGCTTTCCTCTGCACTGGTTTGCAGAGAAGGCCTTTGGTCTCACACCGTCTGCATATTGGGCTTCGCTTATCACCTGTTTAGGAATCAGTACATGCAAGTGAGTCGCCCACTATTCACCATCAGCATTTGTGGAGTGGTTATTACACTTTTGGTGACTTGCTATGAATCAATCTGTTAGTAATTCATTGGCGCACGCCTGGGAAGGTAATTACCACGGCAATTTAAACAAGGCGCTTTGACCAATTGGTCGGCGGGCATTGTGACTTGTGTGATGCTTCTTACAAAGATGTTCTATCAGACTGCTCTACAGAGCGCTGTATGTTGGATGCGATTGAGAATCGGTACGGCATCAGCTTCCCTGCCGGGTAAAAACCGAGGTGTTTCGTTACCCCGCACGGAATCACCAAGTTTGGCAAGAGATCCCGATTGCATTACGGAGAATGTGCTGCAAGTGGGCCTGTAGATGTGGGCATTTTTAGCAATGATTAAAAGTGGTAGACATGGTGCATGAAGGCTTATGAGAAGAGTAGGAGAGTAGAAGTTGTACCATCACCATGAATTATGGCGATAGTAGCAGAGATGCATAATCCACTTTCTCCGGCAGTATATTTGAAATTTGAAATCCAGTACTAGTATTTAATATCTCTGATGGTATAAGTGGCGACGGTCTGGCAGATTAGTGTGCGAAGTTGGTACAGCACTCCCACCACATTTCCGCGCTCTAATATACATATCGGAAATTCGGATTCTCACGGTCAGTAAAATCTTCGAATGCCAATTCATGTGAGATCTGCGTTGAGCCCTGCACCTTTGAGCGATTACGTGCGATCAAGATGATTCTTGTCAAAACCACCAAAGCAACGTATACAGCGTAAACAACGATATGCGCTAGGAATCCATGGAGATATCTAGGCGCATCTTTATTCTGGAATATCTGAGGGGCAATGAGATTTCCGACAGCCCAGCCGATAAATACCATGGTCATTGTAATACCCTTCTTGGTTTGGCCCGCCACGTTGCGTGTGATTAGCGAGATAATCATATTTCCCTCGGCCAAGAAACACTGTGTGCAGTAGAAAGCAATTAGCATCCCGCCGGCGTTTGAAGCAGTCGGTGTAACAACAAGAATTATAATTGTTCCGATCATAGCGGGAATCGCGCAAAGCTGCGTTGCCATCAGCTTTTCAGGGTTTCGGAGAGATTATACAATATTGTGGACCTACGATCATGACAAAACATGTCTGCTGGAACCTTTGGGCTGCCCATGCAGACCCAAGCATCACTCCGATAGTCCATGCCCCCTGAGCGATATTAAGCAGCTGCGTCTGTAGGAGCGAAAACCCGAATTGCTGAATAATGAGGTTGGAGAATACACCCAGGCCACCAATGACAAGATTAGCTGTGGTGATGAGCATGACACAGCACCAAACTAATGGGTCCTTGAGAGCTTCGACAACCTGGTATTTCTTATACTCTCGATTCTGGATACCAGTCTCGTTATTACGCACTCTCTCAATCATTAGACGCTTATCCGCTTCGCTGAAACACTTTGCTGATAAAGGGCTGTCCGGGAGAAGAATGGCAATGAAGAAGGACCACACGCATGTAGCCAGGCCCAGAACTAGAAACAATAGTTGCCAGTTCTTGATCGGCCCATCGGTAAAATGTGACACACCAAATGCTAAGAGTCCACCAATCTAAGACTGATTAGTCTCCATATTTAGAACAGAGGACTTATATTTACCATTAAGGACACACCACTCATGCAATACCAAATCGCATTCAAGACTGACTGCTCTTCTCTCTTATACCACATCGCGGTCCTGATTGCACAGAGATGAAATAAGCGATGATACAATGGGAATATGTGACTGTAAGTATACTCACATCAACATCATAGCTGGTTGTACACAACTCTCGAAAAATCCGAGGAGGAATCGAACAGCCATCAGTGATTCGAATCGAGTTGATGCAGCGGAGCATGTCACTATAGCCCCCCAAAGAAAAACATTGATAGAGAGAATCTTTGCTAAAGGAAATTTCTGCAGCATGAGGTTCTGAGGATATTCGCCCACTAGGATGCCGATATAGAGGATAGTTCCAAGCCAAGAATACTAGTCGTATGATGATTAGCGATATCGAAAGAGTGCTATAAAGCAAGAAACACTCACCTCCTGTCCTACCAGGTGGGCATCCTTCTTAATTCCCATGATAGAAGCATAGTTCAGAATTCCCTTGTCAAGCGACTGGCAAAAATAAGTGATCACTTGGATGACCAGAATGCGCCGAGTTATTTTCCAGAAGAGTTGCCTATTGGTGGCAGGGTCGATATCGATGACAGGATCCACTGCTAGATTATTGGCCTTCTCTTCTATCTGGAAAGGACCAGATTCCATATTCGGATTCGAGTGCAACTCCTCATGATCAACAGTTGCTTCCATCTCGAATTTGGTTGACGGCATTTTGTCGTGAAATACGGAAGTCTACAAATTGCAGAGCACAATGTTGCAGACCAGAATCAAGCACTGCCTTTCACCGAGATATTTGTAGCGCTTCACTATCTCATTTTAAGATATAGCATGATATTACGTATGCTCGTGTAGACTAGCCGGAAATTTGTCCGCAATCCCCGGAATTTGGATTTTCTTGAGTCGAACGAATGAATGATTGGAGTCCTGCGGGAACTGGCGCCGGAGCGGATGCCGGCAATTCTTCCGGACAGTGCTAGGTGGAGTTACCACACTGGCTTGGAGGGGCCAAGGCGTTTTCAATCGTGAAATCACGATAGTCGGAGATTTCGCTCGCCAATTAATTCCGTTAAATTGGGTACTAGCATCATGTGAGATACGATGCGATCGGACTTCAAACGTGAACTCAAACGCGAACTGCAAAGCCGAAATGTGTCTGGCCTCACAATCAATCCTTTCGTTTCTTCTTCCAAAAATTTCGGACCATTCTTGATTTTCTTAGCTTTACTTGGTGACATAGAAATAATCTACCCTGAATAGTTTGTGAATCGAAGTCTACAGATTATTCTAGTGTGCTTATTGGGAACTTAGCATGATTCATACTAGAGTAGGAAGGATCAGTTGAGCAAGCGGTGATCTGGAACCGCATATTGAATTTATCAAACAGCCCCCACCAACTAATTCCCCTGAGAGCTAGCAGGTAAAATGGAGTAGGAGGCTCTCGGCTGCAAGGGACAGAGCGTATCGTTCTCTTAGTGTCTCTACCTCATTTGCAAATGAGACGGAGCATATACCGGATCTTTTCCGGATGTCACAGCTCCGTGGTGTATTACTCAAGCAGGAAAAGAATTCGGTATAAGATTCATAAGAATAATCAGCGGTAGCAATTCGCCGGACGATAATCGCCTTTGACGTCTCTGTTTATACGCCATCTGACCTTCACCATGCCATTAGATGAAGAACCAAGCACGGTGCGCCAAAATCCAACCTCTTTTTAGAATCGCTCAATACTAAGTTGACTTACTTTAAAGGAGCCCGGTGTGAAGCGAGCAAAAACAAGACCTACTAAGCAAAATGGGAACTACGAAATTCAGACTCAGACAGAGCGTGCGCTACACGCTCTTTACTCAGAGTCTGTTGTTGCAAAAGTATGGCATGTTGCAGCAAAAGCACTGGGAAGTGTCAGTTCTTCAGAATTCATTGAATCCAATCCAAACTAATCTTCCCTTCAAAAAACCCAGAGCAAGCCACCAGTTCTATTTCCTGAATATACCAGTAGAGAAAGTGCTACTTATGTCTATCGTCAGCTCGATTTTTGGACTTCCGGTTTCTTCCCGGGGTCTCTATATCTCCTTCTTGAGCGCTTGGTAAAGTATCCTCAAGATATAGTCTCCTTTCAGCCCCTCGAAAAGAACAGTCATTCATCGAAGCCACACCCACTTCAACTCGAGCATTTGTGCAAATGGTGGACTGCCAGCCTACACCAGAATGCACTTAAGCGCGACACCCACGATCTGGGCTTTATGATCGGGCCATGGGCAATGAAGGCCTGGGAACTTCAGCGAGACCCAGCCGCGTACAACAGCCTAGTAGTGGCAGCAAACTCCCTAGCCAGCCGTTTTAATCATACCACTCAATGCTTGCAGAGCTGGGATGTCTGCATCACTAATCGGTATTCTTTCACCGATCCTTCGAAAGATTTCCTCGTGATAATCGACAACATGCTGAACCTTGATCTACTATTTTGGGCTTCACGGAAGACGTCAAACAGATCGCTGTATGACATCGCGCTAGCGCATGCGAAGACAACCCAGAAGCATCACATCCGAGCGAATAAAACAACCTTCCACGTGGTGAATTTTGATGCTGAGACTGGTAATGTGAAAGCCAAGTTCACAAACCAAGGTTACAGTGATGATAGTTGCTGGGCAAGGGGCCAGGCCTGGGGAATATTGGGCTTCATGCAGACGTTTGAGTGGACGGGTGAAAAGACCTTCCTCGATACAGCAAAAGCGCTGGCCGACTATTTCCTCACGCATCTCCCCGCCGACGGTGTACCCTACTGGGATTTCTCTGCGCCTGTCACGGACGCAAGCCCAAGAGACACTTCTGCAGCTATGATATCTGCATGTGGTCTTTTGCTGTTGTACAAGGCGATGAAAGGTACACCATGTGGGGAGCACTATCTACGAGAAGCGATGAATCTCGTTGATGCTACAGTCGGGAAGTTCTTAAATCCGCCAACGCTCCAGTTCCAGACAGTCGAGCCTACCTCCGGTGTTGAGGTCTATCATGAGGGATGCACTGGGAATCAGTACGATAATGGCTTTGATAAATTGACGGTAATGGATCAACATAGTGCAGAGCCTGGCGATACCATCCTGCATGGCGCCACCATAAACAATTATGAATTTGCGCCTCGGCGTTGGTCTAATCACGGACTTGTCTACGCTGACTACTACTTTCTCCTCTTCGGCAATATACTTCTCGATCTGGGCTTGGTTAACGGCGTGGCTCAAAATTGATTAACAGGCATACATCCCAACGAGGGTATAGGATTTGTCATAAAACATGTTATATAGAATTCATAGAGAATCATATGTTCAATCCCGTGTCCCTGGCTGTTTTGCGATTAAATGCAAGCTATCTGCCAGGCATACAAAAGAATTCTCATGAATCTTCAAGATTTCTTTCAAATATTTGAACCTTTCGTGTTCGCAATTTGACTCTCTATTATCGTTCCACCGTAGCGACTGATCCTTTGCCCTGGACTCGGGGTCAGGCAGAAGACCTGGAATGGATTATCTTGAGGACTTCCAATGCCATGCTCAATGTTCACACTGGGGCCTTGCCATGTATTATATTTTTGATGTGCTGGATCCATCGCCATCGTTGACGCTACTGTGTTCCCAGAAGTCTGTGCAAAGAGTGATATGGGATCAAATCGTGACATTGCAGGGAAGTCCTGTTGGAAAGCTGGCGGAAGCGGTGGGAACGCCAAGCTAAATTGATCGATATTGGATGGCTCCTGAAGTGTCTGTTTGTTGATAGCTCTTGCAGGGGGTATGGAATCTGCGGCTTCAGGATAGAGTAACGAGCCCTCGGGAGGCGAAGCTTCGAAGCTGGGTTTCTGGGATGGTTGTTCTTTCGACTCATCTGAATACGCAGTTTGTCTGATATCCAAGCTCGGCCGAGGCGCGGCATCTGAGTTATTCTGGGCTTCTATAAGACGCTCAGCAAATATGGCGGCCAGATTTTCATCCCACGGATTGCTCGTTTCACTCTTTCCAGTCCAGCGATGGGAAATTTCCAGTAGACTTGCGATCAGTGTGTCAAGTACTGGCGTTAAAGGGATTGCATTGTATCTCGCATGAGCAAGAAGCATTCTACCAGCAATAAAAAGACAAAACGAGAATTGAGGGTTTGTAAATATTGGCGAAAATGTCAAAAATTGATGTCCAATCGTTGCAATCTCGGAAGCGGCCTCTAGGCAGGTCTCAGCAGATGCAGAAGATGGCAGCTTAATTGCACAAGCTTGCCAATGAGCTGGGGGGTATGCAATTGCTTGATGCAGAAGAATAACCGCAGTGTTGTGGGTGATATGAGCTAACGTCAGATTCGGGTCCATGACTCCGTCACTATTGAGGACTGAAGCTTCCCGCCACTTCAAGGGCAAATATAACTTCCATCTAGTGATATAATATTAGTACAGAAATGCTCCCAATGGGTGTTTATGAAGTGCTCACTGAATCAGGCGCAGATCTAATTCTTTAAACTTCATGAGCCACATCCGCACTTTTTGAGAATCGCTGACAACAAAGGCATGATGAAGAAAGAAGTTTGTCACTAGAGCAAGTGATTCGGTGGCTTCTATATTGTATGCAAAGCCACCGATGGCGTCTTGGTCTTGGGGATTCGAGGATGCTCGATCCTCATTCAGGGCAGAGCTGCTCCATGCGTTCCCCCTGGAATCTGAAATCCCAAAGTAAGGTGCCTCAACCGCCTGTTCTTTCTCCCACAAAGCACCTTCGCAGGGCAAGCGGCGTTTAACATCACCACTCGTTAAACTGATTTTCCAGCCGGTGGAAACACTGCAAAATCGGTCCATCAGGAACACAGTCCAGAAAACCCTCCTGCGTTCCTCTGTTTCGCTCCATGATTCCGAGGGATTTAAGAAGACCATTCGTCGGATCAAAGTCTCCCCCTTTTTTGTCCCTTGGTAAAGGGCATCTTCTTCGACACCTAATTGCAGCTTTTCCACCGTACCCACCATGCTTCCGACAATTGACCATGACGAGGGCCCGCGACCCCGACCGATCTAGATTGAGATAATGCACTTCAGTATACGATATCATCATGCCAAGAATGTTGAACTCACAGTTTCAAAAGCAATGATGGCTAGAGCCTGCAGGTTCTCAACCGAGAAAGTCTCTGTACATTCCAAAATGACCTTTTGGCGGCTCTTTTTGGCGATTTGGATTTTGTAATCATTATCCTTTAGAAATTCGCTTTGCGAGAATCGGGCGCATACTGCTATGATAGCATGAAGGACACAGGCAATTCGTGAGCGATGTTCTGGTGACTGCATACGCTCGCGAAACTTGGCCACATGTAGAACCGGAATCCAGGGGTGAATGTTCACATAGTAGAAGTCGACCAACTCGATCATGACTTCCGGTGGCAAGACTTCCGTAAGATCGTCGTCACTCACTTCGTTCCGTCGTCGGCGCTTGACTGGGCGAGGGCTTTCTCCCCTGTCTTCCTGGCTAATATTTTGCACTTGTTGGACGTCTTGCCTTTGCTCCCGCTCCGCAGAGCCGCCAAGCTCGAGTAGGCAGGCTTTCGATTGCTCTCGTCGCTGTTCCAGGTGTGTTTCACCGGTCATGTTCAGCATCGGAATTGGAAGAGCTGAGTTTGGATGAAGCGCTTGCCATATTTGTTGCCATAGCATCTCCTGCCCCAGAAACATATTCTCAAGCGTTTCGATGCGGCGATAGAGCTGGTCAACCGCACCTGCTCGAAGACCAGGCTTCATTCTCCTATCATCATAAAGGCAGGAGACTTTGAAGCGTACGCATTGAGAACATGGCTGAGCGCGATCGCATCGCGCCTTTTTCTTGCGGCAGGACTGACAGGCCGGCACGTCGTCGTCGGCCTTACTCACGTCTGGCGGTTCGATGCCGTTCGGCTCACTGCCGCTGGTGTGATTGGACTTTGGCGGCATCTAGACTGGCAGCACGATTCTCTGACTAATGGACGGCCTCGTGAGCCCCCGAGTCATGTCTGGTGCGATATATCCGCTGGTTGACGGACGACACAGGTCGGCGCGGGGAAGTCAGCTTTCCCCACAATCCGTCGTGCGATTTCAGTTCCCCAACGTCCCCACTTGGAAGCTTACCCGGCCTGCGTCGTGCACGGTGTGCCTGGGCTCATTGACGTTCGGTCGAGATTGCAGGTCAGAGAGAATGAACCATGGAGCGACCGGTCGAAAAGGAAATCTCGCAGACTGCCCCATCTCCTTTTGATGCGAAGTCCTTTCTCGCCAAGGCTCTGCAGTGACCCCCGCTCGGCATGTTTCCCATCCTGGCTTCGGTTCAGGTTTTGAAGGCAATGCAACAATGCAACAATGCACGCATATCTTGCCCGGTTGCCCCCAATTTGATGTCATTTACCTAGGTATACAAGTCTAGAGACAATCGTTGCCATCAGAAGTTCATTATATATTTGACATGGGGCAGTCCGCGTATCCGTGTACGGGAACGGGACATGCTTTCGCCGGTTTGACAATCGAACTACGTGTGTACATCGCTTCTGTCTGTGTACATTGATGAACCTTCTTCGGTCCTGCATATCCCTCTTATTTGAAACCCACCGATGGATAACCATATAGGCTGCAGACGACTCACAACGAGGTATACTGCTTGAAGAGCGGCCAAAAGCTAAATCGGTGGCAAGGGGAGCAGACCAGCCTCGTTGATTCTTTTGAATGGCGATGTTCAGGCGAACATACTATGGCTAGTGTATAGGAAATGACTCTAGATCTGGACACTCGCATTGCTGCCATCCTTCACATTTAGTCCGGCCGGGAGCGATGCGAACCCGACTGTTTTTGCCAAGTGGAAGAAAGTAGATCATGCATCGACTTCACAGACCTCTTTTGGAAGAGTGAAGATATCTACGTCCAAACTCAACACGTAAACCAACAATGAATTTTTTGGTCTAAAAAGATCCGAGGTAAAAGGGTCATGCAATTGCAAGCTCCATTTTCTAGAGATGCTGGAGGGCGCTGTCTTTGGGAAATGCCTTGGCAGCGGCGTTACGTCCGGAGAATCCCCCGGCTTTGGGCAGCCATTGGTTTATACCACACTGATCAACCAGTGACTTTTTCTGAAACTGGCCATCTTGGTTCGCATATTTTACGGGCTCAACATTACATACTACATCATACTTATCTTCAAAAAAATTTGCCGGCAGAGCCCAACCCTAATACCTCCGTCTCAACTTGTCCCAAAAATGCCTGGTGCTTCATCAATCAAAATCTATCCAATACCTGTTGGTCTCCAGTCCAACGAGAATTACTCGATCAAAGTTCGCTCAAGGGGGGATTCATTAGATCAGCCATGGTATCAGGTACCTGTATACCCAGTTGAGGTGTCTAATGCCAGCACAAACTCCGACACATTCAATCATTACTACGTGGGGATGGCCTCGTTCGACTTTAATGGACCCATTCAGATCCGCGTCACATATAATCAGGGACCAGTACATTCGGCCGTGATAAGACCTATTTCCCGTGGAATTTTAAGCCAACTGTACGAAAACACCGTCAACTTCTCTTTCGACAGGGCTCAAGATGTCATGCTCGAATTGAACGGAAATAAATGGCAGGTCCTACACATTATCACCAACGAAATTGACGACAATCCACCCGATCAGACGGCGGAAAATGTTTGGTATTTTGAATCCGGTCTCAATCAAGGAGCCGCTGCTCAATATGCTACTGACGGCGTCAACCTTATGGTGCCTTCAGATACCACGGTCTACCTTGCTGGCGGATCGTTTATCAACTATCGGCTAAACTTTACCGACGTTTGCAATAGCTGTGTTCGAGGACATGGCTTCATTCTTGGTCCAGAAGGTGGCTTTGTCTATCGAGAACTCGGTGGAGCTATTCATATGAGCAGAGCAAGCAATATTCGAGTCGAGGGGATCACATCCTTAGGAGCAAAAGGGTTCAGTCTCTCCGCAGGCGAATGTAATAACGTTCACGTGAATCGCTATAGGTCATTCACTTCAGCAGGGAATGGTGATGGTATCGACTTTTTTTGTTCGTCAGACATTTTGATCGAAAATTGCTTCCTTCGAAACTCAGACGATAATATTGCCCTCTACTCTCACCGTTGGGACTGGTATGGAGATTCGCGGAATATTACTATTCAAAACTGCGTGTTGCTTCCAGACATTGCTCATGCCATCAATATGGGCACACATGGGAATCCAGACAATCCTGAAACCACCAGCAATATCAAAGTGAGGAACATTGATATACTTGATCATGAAGAGAATCAGATTTGGTATCAGGGATGCCTGGCCGTGACTGCTGCTGATTCGAACACGTTTCACAATATTGACTTCGAGGATATTCGGGTAGAGAGAATCACTAGGGGCCAACTTCTGAACGTTCGTGTCATGCACAATATCATGTGGAGCCGGGCTCCCGGGAAACTAATCCATAATATCACGTTCAAAAATGTCTCTTTAAATACAAAGGACTCAAAGGTGGTGAACCCATCAATGGTGATGGGTTACGACGAAACTCGGAAAATTGATGGCATTACTTTTGACAACCTCAGGATTGGCGACAAAATTATCCATGATGGAATGATAAAGCCAAAATGGTATATGGTTTCAGACTTTGTTCCTTTGTTTGCCAATGAGCATGTGAAGGCTTTAAAGTTCATCCAAACATCGGAATGCAATGAAGCTATATCCCCATACAGGTGTTAGAAGGCAAGGAGAATGAAAAGAATTAACAAGATCATTCATATGGAGTTTTCTTAGATTAAAGACGATGCTAGCTCTGTAGTTCGTTTTCCAATATCAGCTTCATTTCGACCTGAGCGAATCTGAACTATGAAATTTATAGAATTTGGTTATTCAAAAACATGAACAGTAACGTCAGTCAGCGGGATGAAGTATACCTGGGCAGGTGGAGCCAGGAGTTTCAGAATGAGCCCGGCCAGCAAGCCAATGTCGTACCGATGCAAGCCTAATGAATCTAAGGGCTCGAATATTCCAATCAAAGAACAGTAGAGATATACCTCGATTTGTTTTTTTCTAAGAAATAAACGAGAGGTCTCTGGGAACAGTTTCGGGCTTTCTCTGTTCTCTGTGATGCCGGAAGTCCTCCGGAGAACGGCCCGGCTACAGGAGATGGCCCACAAGGTCGTTGCACCAACGCCTCGAGCCGTTTCAAGTAAAACAAGATATACGTAAGCCGTGCAGATCCCTTCCCGAATGAGCGAAATCTTTCATTTCCTTCCCCATTTACCCCTGTGTTTGTGAAACGGCTCCAATCGCTGCAAGTCATGTATGGGGTAGAATATTTTAAAGGCTTTACGACACAGTCTGCCTGTATCGGCCAAAAGACCGGCGCTTTTGACATCGATCATGGCTTTACTTCTTGATTCTTACTTTCTCCCTGAAGTTTACAAGGATAGTATCCCGGCATTATGATCGAGAGGCAGGAAGAGGGGGTTTGAAACATCTATTTGAAGCTGGTAACAGCCCAGATTGAACCATACGATCGTTTCGAAGCTACCCAAATAGACAGTCAACATTTCTCATTGTCATTTCAGTCTACGCCACTCAAGGGACATCATGAAGTCCAACATTCTCGCAACATTGCTTGCATTTGTTCCCCTATCAACTGCCAATGGGGCGAATCTGCACCTCCCCAAGCACAAAATCGCCCAAAACAGATTCACACACCCAGGAATTCTTCACACGGCATCAGATATTTCGCGCATTGTCTCCAAGGTCTCCAGCCAGACCGAACCGTGGCTCACAGGCTGGTATAAGTTGACAAATAGTACATACATCAATCTGGGCTACACCCCGTCTCCAAAGACCATCGTCTACCGCGGCTCAGACGGCACGCATTCGGAGAACTACCCTTCCCTGTATAGAGATATCGCTGCAGGCTATGCCATGGCAATCTACTGGCTGATTACCGGAGACACAAGCTACGCCGATAAAGTCGTCGAGATCCTGGATACTTGGTCCTCAACCTTGACCGGCATCTCCGGCTCAACGGATATGTACCTGGCCGCAGGCATATACGGTTATGAATTTGCCAACGTTGCTGAACTCATGCGCGGCTACTCCGCCTGGCCCGCTGCGAACCTGACCCAATTCATCGACATGATGGTCAATGTCTTCTATCCCCTCAATCATGACTTCATCGTGAATCATCATGGGGCCGCTATCGACCATTATTGGGCTAATTGGGATCTGTGCAACATAGCCTCCATTCTCTCGATCGGTATACTGTCGGATAACAAGACGATGTATGAGGAAGCGATCACGTACTTTATGAGTGGAGCCGGGAATGGGCAGATCGAAAATGCGATTTGGGAACTATATAAAGTCGATGGACAGTCTCTGGGACAGGGTCAGGAAGCAGGGCGGGATCAAGGGCATTCAATGCTGGATCTTGCCCTACTTGGCCCCTTTGCCCAGGCAGCGTATAACCAGGGAGATGATATGTTTGCATATCTGGATAATCGTATCTTGGCGGGGTGAGTTATCTACATCTTCGTGTGAACTCAATTAAAATCATGGAATGTCAAAAGCTAATTATCAATGCTAGGGCTGAATACGTGGCCAAGTATAACCTGGGATACGATGTGCCGTACACGACTTACAACAACAGCGACGTGACACAAACCGTTATCAGTAATAGCAGTCGAGGGGAAATTCGACCTATCTGGGAGCTTCTTTACAACCACTTTGGAGTTCTCAAGGGATTGAATGTGACTTACACAAAGAAGTATCGTGACATGGTTGTCAAGGATGGCTCTGGTGCTGAGGGTGGCGGCGGCAATTATGGGAGTACAAGCGGGGGTTATGATCAATTAGGCTATGGAACTCTTCTTTACACCCTTGATTGAATATCAAGTGATGTTTGACAGCTAGAGGTTTTACAGATGGCTCACAGATTGAGCTCTGAGTCGTACATATTTCTTCCACCTGGGGTAAAACCTCAGCATCGCCACATATCAGTCATATGGATTATTGATGACCGCGAGTTAGGAGCTATCTTCCAAGCCATAAGCTAGTCCAGAGAAGAAGCGGTCAAAAAGAATGGTATAATCTGTGAGCGAAGTCGTAATTGAGACAAGATTTCCCAGTAATGTTAGCTCCGGTCTTAAATGGGAAGGCTTCGAGAGTCGCAATTGAAGTGATTTAACAAGACCTCCAACTCCAACTTGACATCCTTCCCTAATTTTCCGACGGCTGAACCAATTTATCCCGCCAGGATCAAGTATCATGCAGGCTCTCTCCTGGCAGCCCGCACAAACGTACTGGCTGCTGGAAGAATAGTTTTCCAGACCGATACATTCCAAGTGTTGCCAAGCATAGCAGTTAGAACAACAAATACCATGCGTCTCCAGTCCAGTGCGCTTGCCACAGCAAGGTATAGAGGACTTCAAACTGAGCACCTCGATGCTCTTGAACCGGGATTCCGAAGAATAGTAGCAATGCTCAGCAACGAAAGATGTCTGCGAAAATGCAACGGTATCTTGCGGTTCCAGTTCACGAAGAATCATCTGAACAATCTCAGGCGGCATGTTGATGGGCCACTTCTCCCTGTGGGCGCGAGGCTTCTTCCAGCAGTTCAATGTTAGAACCCGGTTTAGAGCACGAAACCCAGGTGAACATCGGTTTGCCGAATCGTTGGAAAGCAATATTAACCTCCTAGAGGCCAGAATAATCTCGCGAGAAAGTTTGACGAAAGCGACATAACGTGGTGAAAAAACAATTAAGGGAACGTTGTCATGCCTGAGCCGAGAGTCGCCAATATATGACTCAGCTTTTGAGACGGCTTCGTTTACCATGTCTTTGGATTCAGTGTCATCTTGTAAAACAACAAGGTTCCATGAAACCAGTAGACGTCCGCGTCAGGGTAGCTCCAACGGGGAATCAACGCAAAAAAGATTGGAAGCTCAACGTTGCAATCAAAAGACACCTGAAAATTCCAGGCTGCAAGACGGAGGAAAGCAATGCATAGTATCCTGAATACAGGAGAATTGTATCTCCATGTTGAAGGGTCATCGACATAAAAGCGCCAAATAAAAGGAGGTCGGTAAAGAATCGCTCCTGTAGCTCGTTCATGGGTGTAGGGATGCCAAAGTCCATTTCCAACGTTTCGAATTGATTTGCTTGTGCCTTGCTGTTCTCACAAATATCTTTGATAAACATGAATTGAGGTTTCCGCACCATATGGTCATTTATGCTAGATGTCTCAAGGATCTCGGTGAGATCCATCCGTTTTGCGGAAGGCGCCAATGATTCGTCAAGCTCACTCCATAACGAGATTGTGAAAGTGCCTGCGTCTAGATCGACAGTGTAAACATAATCTAGATTCGAATGAAGTAGGCTGGGAAATAGGACTGGTTCCCATCCTTCAAGATTGTCGGGCTTGTGGCATAAACATTTGATTGTTCGCAATGTAGAATCATCGCCAGGGTAACTTATCCGCGCTCGAGGGTAATAGAGGCGGTACCATTTTCCTAACAGAGTAGGTGAGAATTTGCAAGTCATCTAGTGCGGACTATCATTGACCATTGATGTGTAGGTTCCAGCGTCCTCGACACCCCATCTTTTTGATAAGGTCCCGGAGGGGAAAGTGCGTTGGGATTTATGGATATGTTGGGTGGTGGAGCTGTCATACACAGTGGACTGCTATAATCATCGAATGAACAGCTAGGCAAAGTTATTCTGCAGAAGTTCAAGTAAGAAGTTCCAAACGGTTTTGTATCTATCTCGTAAAGCCCTGATGCCTTCAGACGTCAAATCTGGCCCGCGCTGACACGCTGGTTTTAACGGAGCAATATTTTACCTGGGCCGACAGTGCAGTGGGCGGTCAAGCGACGATTCGCCGTCATAAGAGTGAAAGGAGGCCGTTTCTAGCGCCAGAGCGTGTCATTTACAGCGTCAATTTCACAGGTACCATATTCTAGTTGTAAAATGTTAGCGCTACATACGGAGTAGCTTGGAAGGAGTCGAAGTATACTAAACAGGTTCTGACCTTCCCCACACTATACCTTCTGCCTTGGAGTAAAATTGTCAGACTATGCCGTGGGACCAGATCTGTGCAACCTCGCAATTGTCGGACCTGCCCCGGGACCTACAAATTCTTGTCAATATCGCGAGCCTTTTTAAGTAAAATTTAATCTAAACTTGTAATCTAAGATTACCTAATGTATTTTTCAAGCATTATTCTTGATTTGCAGTCCACCAGAAAGAATACCGTATTATCCTTTTGCTGTGTCACTGTAGAGTGTGCCCATTTTTCGTGGTCTAGCAGTCATTGAAAGTCCGACATGCACGCTTAACACAATCGAAGAGCAAAAATGGGAACCAGGATAAAGGGAGCCGAGGCAACAATATTCGATATGCAAGTGATTTATATCATCAAAAAATAGGAAGAAGTCATATTTCCTGCCTCTCCGATTGAAGCGACAAAGCTGAGGTTCCTGTAATAGGTCCTTTCACCGCCACTAGCAGTACGAAAATGAGGAGCCCGAGGAGTTACTCCTGAGAGAGACTGTATTGGAGCTCCATTTTTGTTTTCTGGGCTCGATCCCGGGATGTTACGTATTGGGTTCATTCACGGCTTTCATTGCACACAGGGAGCGGGCGGACGATCACCGGGACATACCCCGGAGCTCCATTTGAATTTGTATTCTAATTCTATATTTTCAACTTTCAAGAAAAACCCGAGGCATAAGTGTACAGGTTCAGCCACTATTCTCTGATAAATAAAGCTCTTTCACGGCCTATTAGTATTAGCCCAACAGAGAAACTAGTTCCTATGACACAAATATGCGAGCTTTTTGGTGGTGCTTGTCAATCGTACCCGCCGTCCAGGGTCTTGTCCGCGATATCCCAAGTTTGAATGGTATGTGTACAGGGTGCATTACTCGAAAGCCTATGACCCTTGACGTATGTTAAGATCCCTCTCCACTGCAGGACCGGTGATGATCGTCCCCCACACTGCGGGCTCAAAGAACCGAACCAATCAATTCCAACATCCTGGACTGTGGCACAGTCATGATCAATTGGAAATGATACGCAAAAATGTCCTAGCGAATGTCGACCCCTGGGCTTCCGCTTACACTCGTTTCTCTAATGATACCTATTCCCAGCCCACCTACACCATGCAAGGACCTCACTCGGTAATTAGCCGTGGAACTGTAAGCAACTATACCAGTTTTTCCAATGATGCGAGGGCTGCATATCAGAATGCAATCATGTGTAAGACAATATCTTATAATTTTTACTCACCCGAAGAAGACAACAGCCAGGCATCAATGCTGATACCCCGTATGAACTCTAGGGTACATTACGCGCGACCAGGATCATTGGAATCGATCAGTCACTATTTTGGATGCATGGGGCTCGGCTCTAGAGAACATTATCGGTACTGACCGCTCACTTCTGGTGGGAATAGAAGGACCTATCTTCGCCAATGCAGCTGAGATCATGCGCTGGGAAGGCGGAGGGGTAGAGGCTGGTTCAACATGGAAGGGGGGTGCCGGCTTCAGCATTCAATTATACTGGTTATTCCCCCGTCAGAGTATCATCATCGGTCAGGCAAACTACGGGATGGCGAGTATCTTCGGTCTTCTCAATTTCGCCGTCTACTTGGATGATCTCGCTCTTTATAATTACGCCCTCTACGCCTATAAGAATGACCCGTGTGCTGGGGTGCCTCACAATTTCCTGGCAACAACGGGACAGAGCTCAGAGGCCGGGCGAGATCAAGTGCATGTTCAAGATGGCCTGCAGTGGCTGGCCCTGTCAGCGCGGGTGGTGGCCAACCAAGGTTATGACTTATTCCCTCTGGATGATCACCTGTTATTTACCGCATCCGAATATGCTGCCAAATATAACTTAAATTACACGGTACCCTATAATCCCTCTTTTTATCGATGCGAGGCCGTACTGGTCAATGGGCCATGGGCAAATATCTCGGCCGAGAATCGCTACATTGGATATCAGAACGGAGCGACTGCGCCTGCCTGTTGGGGGTTGATGTACTATGAAGCTTTATCCCGCGGTGTGGATACCCTGTGGACGTTGCGTGCAAAAGAAGTCTATGATCAGTCGGTAGAAGACCTGGTCTCACCAGTAGATCTTTTCAGTTGGGCAGACTTGCTTTTTGCGACCAATGCGCCACGGAAGAGCTAGTATTGTCAACTTTTCATATGCTATATTAGAGAGTATGGCGTAGATTCCAGGTCCAAGACCGAAATGAGGCCTATTCATAAGCACTTATAGTTCACAATACTCAATGAGCCCTGGATTAGACTGATGACTGAAAGAACTTTTTTGATCAATTAAGCCCAGATACCATCGCTTATCGGAGGGTAACTCTATTTGACCCGTATATACGAGAGGAGCCAGTGGTCCAAAGTAACAGATCCGATGTCTTTCTATTAGATACAGTCTCCACTGGACTGTTGCGGGAGAGGTGCACGACTATGTCACCAACACGGGCGGCCCGGGTACGTCGGTCAAGGGTCTCGCGATACTCGCATTTTCGCCCGGTACTCGTGCATCTGAGACAATATGGGCGTGCTTTGTCGCATTTCTTATGCCGGCTCCTATCGCGCAAGATTCAGACTACCTAAGCCCCCGTAATCATGGAGAACATGGGGAGGCGTACTTGCGTGTCACCCTGCCACTGCGCACTTTCGGACGACTAGCGTGCGTCTTTCTTCCCTTTTCATTCTTGACGCTTATGCGTGATTCTGTCATCCTGAATCCTATCTTGCGACCACATTTGGATTGAGAAACGCTCCCGTCGTTCAGCTCGAGACCGTCACCGCAAGTCCCCACTTTCTTGGCCACCCAGGTCACTAACTAGGGTAAGTCATTCATAATCATTTTGGCAAAATCACCCCGAAATATTTACTTGCATACCATAAATGGTTTCCGATTCAGACTGGAAGATACTAGGAGAAGAGATACGAACAATTCTCAACAAGAGGGATATCATCTATATACTTGAAATAAGACAAGGCTCGGAATAATCGGGAAGAGGGAGCAAACTCCCGCAAAACATATTGCTCATGAAATAGAAAGCCGGATCTGATGAGCGTGTAGCAATAGTGTTACAAAAGATGGCCATCACGTATCGTTTCAATTTGGGGACTCGTTTCCAGCCGGTGCAGCTCGACGACCCCATCCACTAAAGAATCCTCCGCCTCCGGAGCCAACATTGGTGGAGGTGCCAGGTGTCTTGACAGGCTCAGGGGAAGATTTGGATATGCTTGTTGTGGATGGAGAGTTTCCAATGAAGGAGTGCCGATTCTGCAACTTGCTGACATTCTGAGTATGTGGAGCACTGATCATCTTTCGCAGTGCGTCCAATTTTCCCTTTACTTCCTCTAGCTCCTGCTTGGCGACTGCTTCCGCGGTCTTTGCATTGACCAGCTCGAGAAGCAAGGTCTCTTCGGCCGCTGGTTTGTTATTCTCCGTAACCAACACGTTCTGCAAGCCTAGGCTACTCGAACGCTTGTTGAATGTAGGACTCTTATGTGAGTTTGTGCGCACCAGCTTTAATTCGCGAAGGCCAGTGGGAGAGGATGATTCGGAGTCTGGAGAAGTGCATGAGACATCGGAAGTGGATGCTGAGGGCTCAGCAATCTTCAGAGAGCGAAGTTCTTGGTTCATCCGTTCTAGTCGCTGTCGATCACGATACCCATCTTGAATTCGACTCCGAGCCTCACGAAGTTGATCTTTCAAAGAGGAATTATCTTTTTCAAAATCGTCCATTCGTCGGGTAAGGTTCAGACATCTGCTAGATTCCACCTCGTGCATTTCTTTCCATCGAGTCATATCGTCATAAAGTTGTTGCTTTGTCTGGGTAATTGACAAGCTTTTGGGCTCGCTCGACGCGAAGCGAGCCCTAGCCTTTGAGATCAGTTCGGTTGTTTGGTCTCCGGGTATTGGCTCTTGGATTTGCCTGAGCATTTCTTTCGCTAATGCGTGGTCTTCTTCGCGCTCCTCGCGTTCTTGTTGTAGTTCGAGTGTCAAATCAGCATGTTGACGCTGAAGGTCACTCAATGCCATCAGCAAATCCTCGATCTGAGTATGAAGGTCTCGGTCTTTGTGATGTGTCGACATGTTAGACTTGATGCGAGCCTTGGGGCTATCAAGGCTTGCAGTTGCAGCTGTCAGCTCTGTCGGGGCAGTGCTCGCGTCCGATGTCGTCTCCACCGAATTTAGAGTTGAGGTCATACTCTGCTTGGACGTAGAGCGGCGAATTGTGCTGTTCGGACGTGAGGGGGTTGGGTTGGGGTTCAGAGATCTGACGGAATGGTGAGAGTTTGAGCCCGCCCAAAGACGTCCAAGGAAGCGAGATGCCGCGGCCTGCATCTGGGGGAAGGAGATGCCAGTCTGTACGCCTTGAGATTGGTTGTAGCTAGCTTCCAGAGCCTGGAGACTTTCCTTGGTGACCAGAGGGGTCAAAGACACAAAGTCGTTTACAAGATCATCGGCATTGAACGCGTATCTGGATTGAACCTTGTCAGCAAGGCTTCCGGAAGGTGGTGAAGTAAACAAGGACCAAACTTACGTATCCCACAAGCTTCGTGACAGAAGCAACTGCATGACGTCCTCGAACTCAGTACAAGCCAAGATTCTTCTCTCATTTCGTTGCATCAGGGAAAGTGCAACACGCATCAATGTTTCACAGGCACCCTCGAGGAAAATCACATCGTAGATTCGCAGGAGCATCGGCAAGGGACAAGCGACTGCAAAAAAGGAAAGGAACCACTGGGACACGTAAACAGGTTCGACACTCAGAGACTCCAAGTGCTCGAATAGAGCCGGGCGATGCCGCGCCAGGAGATTCTGGAACTGATATACATGTAAATGGAGGCCTGACAAATCAGGTAGGTAGCATGTCCGAAGATTATAATGATCCATGAGACTGGATGATTTGATTGGATATGTCAGTCTCCATCTCCCCAAGATCTTCCAGAGAGCCACAGGGGAAGAAACTCACCGAACAAGTACACAGAAAGCTTCGGCATCCGACATGTGCATGAGCAACGGGCCAACCACAAACCCAAGACCTTGGCAGTATCCAATTTTTGCATCATACAGACTAAAGCATCTTAGAACACGAGCCAACATCTGCTGGCCCTCCCCGTTCGGGTCACGAAACATCTCCACATTCGGAAAGCTGCGCCCAATGTCCTTGCCGATCAGTCCATCATAAGGGCTGCTCTCGCCTGAGAGTCGCTGGAAATCGTCCAACAGGGACGGATCGCGAGCACCAGCCAAGCTAGGCCAGACCACCCCTCGCAGAGGTGGTGGCACACCGCCTTGTATCTTGTTTGAGGTTAAAGTTGGGAGTCGCTGGGCTGTCTGCGGATAATCAGCCACCAGGGCCGCCCAAAACTCCAGTTCCGTCATCGGCGGCGGTTGAAGTTGGGAAAAGCGTAACTCAGACCGTCCCGGATCATTGATCAATTTCTTGATCTGGACGAGCGACTGGGAGCGGGACTGTCGCTGATGTCGCTGGATGTGCGGCACATTAGGAGGGGTGGGATTGTTAGCCAATCCGGACTTGGGGTTGGTTGCCAACGCATTATTCTCTTGTTCCAAGCGGGCTAGGAGTAGAGCTGTGGACTAATCGAAGCAAAGAGAAAGGGATACCCGTTAGTTGTTACATTCCCGGATCGCCATGAGGTCTTCAACATTCTTCTTGTCAAACCTACCTCGTCCGAGCTCTCCCCGCGGGGTTCCTGTTCTTCAGTTTTGTCCAGATTCTCCCAATCCGCTTCGGTGTCGGTGTCTTCTTCTCCTCGAGTGTCTTCCCCGGATCCGTCGGCGAGTGAGGTTGGGGTTGGCGGTTCATCCCTAGGGGTGGGGGTGCTTCGCGCGGCATCCTGTAGGGGCATTGGGCCAAAGGACTCGGTTTTCATCTTGGTGGCCTCTATATCATGGCTCGCTTCGATCGGGGTCGGGGGAATATCAAGCGTCCGCCAATCCGGTTGGGAGTGTTCGGAGTTGGACAGGGACACGGTCACCATCGAATCGTGGTTTGGGGCATGGGCCCCTGGGGAGACGGGTGCGGGGCTCTCCATCATGTTGACGAACGCGTAGATGCTCTCCACGGGGAAACACAATCTCAATCACTCGAGGGTCCCGTCAGTTCAAGGCGCAGGTTCGGTCGGAGAGGGCCAAAGCAGTGGACAAGAAGATATGCCAGACCAGCTTCATTTCTGGGGGCAGTCGAGCGTGATCAGCAACTTCAGCACGACTTTCCGCAGCAACGCGACGAGTGACCAACCTATCGGTGACCCAGCACCGTATCGAACCGGAGGTGCAGAAGAGAATGACAATTGGAAGGGAATCCAAACCCCATTCAAAATATTCAAATTGAAGGGAAAAAGGGAGTTCAGGAGGAGGAGAAGTGGATCAGCGGCACTATTTCGCTAGCCCCTGAGGTTAGTCCGCCTCCGGCCTCGAGTCTCGCCCCTCGTCGATCATCGCTCAGACACCGACTGTCTGAGCATGAGTCCGTAGGGGGTACTGTCGAGAGCAGAAGGGGTGGGGCTAGTACGAATAGTTCAAATTATTATTATTGCCCACTGCATTTTCCATGGGCTGGATTCCCCTCTGTTTCATTCCGGGTTGGTTGAACGTCTGTATAGTTCGGATTGCATCGTACGCCCCACTGGTCATCATTGAATACGGAACTATGATCATAGACGCACAGCTTCTCTCCGGGCATACTTCTGATGACGGACTGCGGTGTTGGACTTCTTACTTCTTCTTTCTTCGCGCCTCATCCCGTTGTTCCATGGAAGCCGCACGATCGGTGGATCCCCCGCGGCGAACCCAGTGCGCGTTCGACACCACTCGAAGAAGAAAAGAGTAATATGACCTACCAATACTCGAAAGGGGTTCCGGTCCGCCTTTCGTGGCGGCCAATCTATCCACTCTATCCCGTGTATATCAGGAGGGAACGAGATGACACGATGCTACAAATATGCAGGTACTGACTCCGATATTGGCAGATTGGGACATTCGGACATTGCGGGATCAACGAGAGGGGGAGCCATGGGGTATCGTGGACGTATTATGATTACCCAGTGCATGACATTTGTTATTTATTCTGAGTTTGATTGGATCACGGAAAGCTTGGCGGTTTCCCATTGGGTTACGCCCGGGAGTATTGTAAGAAATGGGCGAGACCAGCCCCCTGGCCGCCCGTGTTTCATCGTGTCCAATTTTCGGCTACATGGCGCATCAGCGGAAGGGAGGAAGGGGTGGCTGAAATGATCTTCACTGGACTCGGTAGCCTCCATATAGCCTTCGCATCATGGCTGGGATCATGGCTGGGATCATGGCGGGGGAAATTTAGCGGCTGGCCAGCCTGCACCCCTTCCCCCGGTCTAAGCCATGCTGGCTCCCAGTCAGGACTCCCGCCTGTTGCCAACGGATGTACCCGCTAGTCCATGCTTTCATCCTTGAGATATATCTGTCTTAGAAATTCGTCTTCCTGGAATCTAAACACAAATAGAAACAAGCCAAAAAAAAAAAAAAAAAAGGTGTCATGGATTACGGATTTCCAGACTGGAGAGCATAAAGGAAGAATATCGAATCTAGTATACCTAGGTGCAGGGAGCTTAACAAAGAAAGGCTATGTATAAGCGATATGGATTGAATATTGACCCCAATTCGAGAAACAGTCCATGTCCCCTCACCCTCGCGCTGATCCAAGCAATGGTGTTTCAATCTTTTGGTCTTCCGCTTCATATGCAATGATTCTGACTCATCGGCTTTTCGATTCGCTCGCTGCACCAGGCAAAAAGCGAAGCTCCTGCAAGGGTTCCCAACACGTCCTGATCCCCGCCGTCCTTTAATTTCCAAAAATCACATAGAGAATCAGAATCCGCAATGTGGCAATATTGGCATATGACCGAAATGAAAAGTACCCAGAGACCAGTCAACATGGTAAGGACATAAGAAGCCAAGAGCACCGTGACCAGGACAGTGAGGTTCTTGCCAGAACCTCCCCCTGGGCTCTGCATAGGGTAGTTCCACTTGCCTACCCCTGCTCTTCCGGGTGATGGGTCTTCTACCACAAAGTGATGAACGTTGAGACCCGCCAGTTCACATGAGCCAGGTAAGGGTAGTGAGTGACGGGACCAAACATGATGGAAAATGGGTTGAAAGCAAAATTCGATCATTTGAAAATGAGCTCATATGTCTTCTTTGATCGCATCCGTAATGATTGAACAGGTTGGTTCTTATGAACTAGCTAGCCACCCTTCAAGCCTAATCAGCCCATCTTCCAACGTTATTTGAAGTTGCAGCGTGGTCTTCAAATTTAGTTTCATTTCTTTCGGCAGTTTTCTTGGAGATTCTCGTCCTGGATCTCAATATTATACAGCTGTCTCTATTCAAGTCACAACTGAGAGCCTCTGTATATACAGAGAGGTCTAGTCGAAAACTATACATGGCTGCCTTTATTTCCGTTCATATTCATCTATATCTATATCTATATCTATATCGATCAGCTAGCTCTACGGGCAAACCCCACTTGAGATCTCTTTTCCCCATACTCGATCGGTGAATCTGACATCATCTATCATCCCAATGCGAGTGCTATTCTGCATGTGGGCTTCTTGGTATCATGAGTGGCCATGAGGCCTCGGTACTTGGAGATCTATTATTGTATTCTCCTGATTATTGATGATAACTGAGATTTGATGTTGGTTTATGCGGCCCCATTATTCTGCCGCTTTCCCGCTTCCGAACGTTTGTTTGGGAATTGCCTGTTTCGGTCTCAGACGGCTCAGGCGGTGGGGAAGAATAATGATCCGAGTGCCCGAGATACTCACCGCCCGCAAATCCGCTGGCAGGCGCGTTTCAAGCGACAAAGAAAAACAGCCCGACGCATTCTTCCCCTCTTTGCTTTCATCACTCCTTCCCAGCCCGGCCATGCTGGGCATCTGACGACATCCGAACCCTTCGTAGATCTCTTCTTCTTCATTCCTTCTATTCGCAGTGCTTTTTTGACCTCGCCGCTCGTTTCTCTTGTGGCCTGAACCCGATATTCCTCGGTCTTTCAGCGCCAACCGCAACACAACACCCACTTTCATAATGGACGACTCCCACATGGACGATTCCATTTTCGAGATCAGCGATGGCGCCAGCTCAGACTTTGTTCCCGATGAACCTGCTCCGGTATGCCTCCCTTGTGCGCTCGGGTTTGGATCCCGGCTAACAGAATCGCGTCTACAGAAGTCCAAGGCCAAGGCCGCACCGAAGAAGGTAGCAGCAGCAAAACCCACAGCCAAAAAGCAGACAACTTTGAAAGCCAAGAGCAAGGCACCGGCCAAGAAGAAGGCTACGGCGGACAGTGAGGACGATATGTCTGATATCCAGATGTCCGATAACGACTCCCTGCTTTCCCATACCCCTCCCAAGGCCAAGAAGACGGCAGCCATCAAGCGGGCAGGCTCAAAGCCTCTTGCTGATGTGGAGAACGAGTCATTTGGGGGCGATGGGGCCTCCGAGGCATCCAAATCAAATGGGAATGCGTCAGAGAAGTACCAGAAAGTAAGCCTTCCGCACTTAATGGATGAACAATTTTGGCCTACCAGTCCTGTACGTTTGATGGCTAATAGTGGGCCTCTTTTTGCAGCTTACACAACTTGAGCACATCGTAAAACGCCCGGATACATATATTGGATCGACCGAGCGCACCATCCAGCAGATGTGGGTTTACAACTCCGAGTCCGAATCCATGCAATTTCGCTCGGTCTCTTTCGTTCCCGGTCTCTACAAGATTTTTGACGAGATTATGGTTAATGCTGCCGATAACAAGCAAAACGACAAGGGCATGAGCGAGATCCGGGTAACCATCAACCGCGAGGAAGGCGAAATTAGCGTGTGGAACAACGGACGCGGTATCCCTGTGGAGATACACTCAAAGGAACAAATCTATGTCCCGGAGCTGATCTTTGGCCACCTGCTTACATCTTCCAACTACGACGATGCTCAACAGAAAGTGACCGGTGGCCGTAACGGTTATGGTGCCAAGCTCTGCAATGTCTTCTCCACCGAGTTTTCAATTGAGACCCAGGATTCCCGTCAGAAGAAAAAATACCGTCAGACTTGGACTGACAACATGACCAAGATGGGCAAGGCTAAGATTACGGATGCCACCAAGGGTGATGACTATACCAAGGTTACATTCAAGCCCGACTTCGCCAAATTTGGAATGGAGGGTATCGACGATGATTTTGAGGCTCTCGTAAAACGACGTATTTATGACCTGGCGGGTACTTCCGGTGTCGCTGTGAAGCTGAATGGCACCCGCATCCCGGTTCGGAATTTCCGCAAGTACATGGAGATGTACACCAAGGCTATTCGCAACGAACGTGGCGATAATGGCCCCCCCGCAAAGGACGAAATCATCACCTGCAGCCCAGATCCTCGCTGGGAGATCGGATTTGCCGTCTCAGATGGTGCCTTTCAGCAAGTCTCATTTGTCAACTCCATCGCGACCACTTCCGGCGGTACTCACGTCAACTATATTGCAGACCAGATTTGCAATCGCCTAGCGGAACAGGTCAAAAAGAAGAACAAGACTGGTGCCACTTTGAAGGCGGCTCAGATCCGCAACCACATCTTTATCTTCGTCAACGCTCTCATTGTCAACCCTGCTTTCAACTCGCAGACCAAGGAACAGTTGACTACCAAGGCCAGCCAATTCGGCAGCAAGTGTGTTCTTGAGGAGGAATTTTACAAGAAGATTCTCAAGACTGAGGTCATGTCCAATATTCTCCACTTTGCGGCGCAAAAAGCCGACCAGATCCTGAAAAAAGGCGACGTTGGCCGTCGCTCTCGGATGAACAACCCCAAGCTCGTGGAGGCTAACAAGGCTGGCACAAGAGAAGGTCATCACTGCACCCTCATTTTGACTGAGGGTGACTCCGCCAAGGGTTTAGCTATGGCTGGACGTGCTGTCGTGGGTCCTGATCTTTTCGGTGTCTTCCCTCTCCGTGGAAAGCTGCTCAATGTTCGTGATGCTTCTTTTGATCAGATCTCGAAGAACCAAGAAATCCAAAACATCAAGAACTTCATTGGTCTCCAGCATAAGAAAGAGTACACAGAGACTAAAGGGCTTCGCTATGGCCATCTCATGATCATGACTGATCAGGATCATGATGGAAGCCACATCAAGGGTCTGCTCATCAACTTCCTTCAAGCACAATTTCCAAGTTTGTTGAAGATTCCCGAGTTCCTTATCGAGTTTATTACTCCTATCATCAAGGTCTGGAAGGGTGACCCGAAGAACCCTTCGAAGTCACGATCCTTCTTCACAATGCCTGAGTACGATGAGTGGAAAGAAGCCCACAAAGATGAACGTGGATGGGATCACAAGTACTACAAGGGTCTGGGAACAAGTTCCACGGAGGATGCCCAGGTGTACTTTCGTGATCTTGATCGCCATCTGAAAGAGTTCCACACCATGCAAGACAACGAGGCCGAACTCATTGAATTGGCTTTCTCGAAGAAAAAGGCCGATGAGCGTAAGGAATGGTTGCGTCAGTACAAACCCGGGACATACCTGGATCACTCCATGGCAAAGATTTCCTATACGGATTTTATCAATAAGGAGCTTATTCTGTTTAGCATGGCGGACAACCAGCGTTCCATTCCGTCCGTGGTGGACGGTCTCAAGCCCGGTCAGCGCAAAGTGATGTATACCTGCTTCCGCCGTAACCTCAAGAAAGATATGAAGGTTGTGGAGTTAGCAGGTCTCGTCTCTGGTATGACTGCTTACCAACACGGTGATACCTCGCTTCAACAAACAATTGTTGGTCTGGCTCAAACTTTCGTTGGCTCGAACAACCTCAACTGCCTGGAGCCCAGTGGTAACTTTGGTAGTCGACTTCAAGGCGGTGGCGATTGTGCCAGTGCTCGTTATATTTACACCCGGCTGTCTCCGTTCGCTCGAAAGGTTTTCCATCAATCTGATGAGCCACTTCTGACGTACAATGAAGATGATGGCAAGAAGATCGAGCCCGAAGTTTACATGCCAGTAGTACCCCTGATTTTGATCAATGGTGCCGATGGTATTGGAACTGGATGGAGTTCTTCCATTCCCAACTACAACCCCGAGGACGTCGTCGCTAATCTGAAGCGTTTGATGAATGGCGAAGATACTGTCCCCATGCAACCGTGGTTCCGTGGGTTCACCGGCGAAGTTGTCGACATCGGTGGAGATCGCTTCAAGTTTAGTGGTATAATCAAGGAGAGTGGAGACAAGGAGGTTGAAATCACTGAGTTGCCTATCCGGACCTGGACGCAAGATTTCAAAGACAAACTAGAGGATATCATCAAGGCCGAAAAGGTGCCGTCCTTCATCAAGGACTACAAGGATTACAATACTCACAGCAAGGTTCATTTCGTCATTCAACTTGACGAGAAGAACATGAAGGGTGCTTTATCAGAGGGTTTACACGAGAAGTTCAAGCTTTCCAAGACCATTGCGACAACCAACTTGGTTGCCTTCGACCCGGAGGGCCGCATCACCAAGTACGCCACTGTTGATGATATTCTCAAGGAATTTTTCACTGTTCGCCTCAAATACTACGAGAAGCGTAAGCAGCATCAGCTGTCTGAGCTCCAGAAAGAGCTTGAAAAGTTGAGCAACCAAGCTCGCTTTATTCAAATGATCATTGAAGGCACACTGGTTATTTCTAAGAAGAGAAAGCCTGTTCTGATCAGTGAACTGAAAGAAAAGAGTTTCAGGCCTTTCCCCAAGGTTGCTGACGCCGCCAAGCTTGGCGAAGACGAGCAGGTAGTCGAAGAAGGCGATGAGTCCGAAGACAAGGAGACCGAGAAATTGTCAAACGCCTACGACTACCTCCTCGGTATGCCGATGTGGTCGCTAACTCAGGAGCGTGTTGAGCGACTTCGTCGCCAGATTGGCGACCGTGAGATGGAGATTGATAAATTGATCAAGCTCTCCAAGGAGGAAATTTGGACCACCGACCTGGATGAGTTCATCAACGAGTGGCGCTTCCAACTTGAGGATGAAGAACGTCGTCTACGCAAGGTCCAGAATATGGGCCGCCGCGCCTCATCTAAGCTCATGACTGGCGCCGGTCGCGTGGCCCCCCGTAAGCGCAAGGCTGCGAATGGCGATGATCCTGATGATGAGGATTTCGCAGCTCCCAAGACTAAGAAGACGGCAGCAGCCAAAAAGAAAGAGCAGCCGGTCAACAGTTTGGCTAACTTCCTCAACAAGTCGACCGCCGCTAAGACAACCCCTTCGGGCACTGACGGCGCTAACGATTCGGATGATGACTTTGATTTCGAAATGGAAGTGCTGCCGAAGAAGAGTCGTGGCGCGGCTAAGGCCAAAGCGACCCCTAAAGAGGAACAGGACGATATCGACATGGTAGATGTACCAAGGAACAGCTCCTCTCCTGCATCTGTACAGCCAGCAGACGATCCAATGGACCTCAATGAAGAACCTGCTCCAAAGCCAAAGCCCGCGGCGAAGCGGGGTCCCAAGCCCAAGGTCAAGCCTGCCGAGGATTCAGATGATGATTTTCTTGAAATTGCAAAGAGCGAAGCTATTTCAAAAAAGCCTACCCAGTCTAGTCGCTCTCGCAAGCCTGTCAAGTACACTGCAGATATTGATTCTGACAGCGACAATGGCGATGATCTTCTTGGAGACGTCAGCCAGATGGTCAAGGGTATCGGTGGCGGTGATTCGGAGCCTCGTCAGCTCTTCAAAGATCGGTCCCGTGCCGGAAGTAGTGCCAGTCTAATGGCATCTACTGGTAAACCCTCCAAGATCAGCGAATTCGATGCCGACGAAACCGACTACAGCAAGCTTGTGCCGCAGAACTCTCCTCGCCGCTCTCTGCTGGTCAAGCCGAAGGAGGTCTCAATAATACAGGATGACGAGGATGAAGACTCCCCTGTCAAGCCTATCAAGGCTCAAGGTAAGGCTGTCTCGAGAACTGCTTCGAAGACCGCCGCAGCCGCTCCCAAACCGCGCGGTCGTCCTAAGAAGGATGCTGCCGCTCCGGCCAAGCCTTCCGCTGCAGCCAAGGCATACGCTTCCAAGCAAGCCAGAACGACCAAGAAGAAGCCCGTGGATGATTATTCCGAAGATGACATCGACGCGATGGCTAACGATATCCTGGATTCGCCTGCCGGCAAGGTAGACCTCTCAGATGACGAACCCGTCTCTCGCCCGGCTGCTGCTAGTCGCCCATCCCGTCGCACCGCAACCCAGGCGAAGAAGAGCTATGTGATCGAGGATGAGAGTGAGGATGAGGGTTCCGCCAATGATTTTGAGGAGGATGAGAGTGATTAGGTGGTGCCTACTTCAGGCGCCTAGGAGTCTTGTTTTCTACACATTGATTTGATGTGGTTCTTCCCTTTGGTTATCTATTTTTGTCTTTATATGTCTCATGGCGCAGATACTCTTGTGGCGGCCAGGCAGAGCCGGCCAGTATTTGCACGGGTGCTAGTTGTTTGCTTGTATCTTTCACTCCAAGGCGATAGATTTTTTGAATAATATCTTTTTCTCTTTTTCTAATTCTTCCTCTGCCATTATCAATGCCATCCTTGTAAATTTCAAACCAGCAGCATCATTTGACCCTGAACTCCCACTTGTCTTAACAATGGTCTGAATGAATGGTGCTGAAGATTGACCTCAAAACGATGCTTTTGCTAGTTCTTGGATTGGAAATGCATTAGCATATCCTTTTTTTTCGCAGAGAGAGAATGATATAATCATACGTATATACGCGAAAACCGTTGTCTCAGTCTTCTGGCCTCTTCTATAGTCAGAAATTTTGAAGCGGCCTTGAAGGAGATGCTGCTATATAATTATAGGGCGTAAGAACGCCAGACCAAAATTGACCACGGGCGACATTCTTAGTCTACATCATCATTTATTATTCCGACAAGATATTACTGAGAGCAGACCAGAAAGATATGATAACCACATTGAATATACTCTCCTTTATCTGCTCCGACCCAAATTAAGACACAAGCGTGAAAAAGGGTGAGGAAGTTTGAGGGGCCACATCAGCGCTTCAGAGATATATAGGGTGATCGGGTGAAGAATAGAGGACCTTCAGGGCGTTCAATAACGGCCTTAAGGGCCGGAGGAGTAAAGCGGAAAGTGTATTACACCCAACAGATCAGAAAGATCACAAAAAAAAATACAACAGCAAGGATTTGCTGGTAGTCACGTTCTCTAGGCCTTTGCATATTCCAACCCAAGATTGGCAAAATCAACAGCAAGGCTGACTTGAATGTCGCCTTCGGCCAAAATAGTGTGCTTGTTGTCCAGATATGGATGAGATGGATCCCTGGACGCAGGAGATTCCATGTCGATGAGATTAATCAATTTTCCGGAGTGGTAGCTCCCCTCCTTTATTCTGTCGTAACCTCGAAGAGCGAGTCTCATTAGAAATTGAGAAACAATTTCATCCTCTTTCGTAATCGCCGCGTGGGCCTTTTCAACGGACAAAAATGAAACAGAGTAGCACTAGGTTCTCACGCGTAATCACTTCGATCTGACCCGCGTATTGCCAGTATCTGACTCACCTTCAATCCTTGGGTCACACCCTGATGCCACTTTACTTTTTGACCAGTGCATGAGGATTGTGCCCAGGAGCTGTGCACATTCTTACCTTCTTGATTATTGACGCGTTGTCTTTTAAAGCAAAAAATTGCCTTTTCGCGACTTTCAAATGGCCCCTCGAGCTATCGAGGCACATTCGAAAACGAACGGCGCGTCCTGCTTCGGTTCGCGACCGTTTACCGGATCATCGCTCGCAAAGGAAAGTCCTTGCATTGGTCCTGTTTTTATACAGTTTTTCGATGAAATTTAAATGATATCAAAGTCAAATTGCATTCTCGAATGCTGCCGGTTAAGCATTACACTGTTTCAAACTTCGCGAATGCACTCTCCAATTCAGCAAACTCGCGCATTATTGTCTCCTTGCGCTTTTCCGAGCGAGGAATGATTCTGCAGGGAAATTTTTTCACCGAGATGATAAACCTTCGCTGTATGCGGTAGTCGGATCAATGTCAGTCTCAATGAGATTTCCATCACGAGTGGCGGTACTATGCTACAACTTTTCTCTAGAATCCAAGATTTGATAGCAAAATTAACAGTAGTCGCGCGACAGAAGGTGAGTCTCACCTGCTCTCACCCCGCATCTTACCCCGTTATTTGCGCGCTCACCCATTTCCCCGCCAAGTTAAAATACCTTGTTTGCTAGGATTGGCAAATTGTGCGTGGCTTAAGTACGACCGAGCGGACGAGAAGCCCAGGCTCCGCACCCTGTGGTGGTATGTACGTAATTTCTAGTGCAGCCACCCACCACTGAGAAAAGAAAAGAATACAATCTATTCTCTAAAAAAACCAACTACTAACCTGCCGGCGTGTGGCTAAAACACAGCAGGTAGTGCGGTGGGTGCCGCCCGGGTGAGAATGGGGTGAGCGCCGCTTTAGCGTCGCGCGACTCGGGTGATGAGGGTGAGTGCGCAATAGACAGGGTGAGAATGGGGTGAGCAGGGGTGAGAATCATGCTCCGTCGCGCGACCATCGCACTGATCCTCCTGCACCTGGCTCTGAAATAACATTATTGGTTCACCTAGGCCTGGCTGAAACTGTACATAGTATCGTATCCCAACCCCGGGATTGGCTAAACAACGGCGAGACTGACTCAAATGTCGCCTTGGGCCAGCGTGTCTTTCAACAACCCGCCCGGCGTACCTATAATCACGGAGGTTAATGGCGCAGGATTACTTTCGAGGGGCATCTGGTGACTGTGAGAGACGCAAAATGGGCGAAACAAAAATAAACTGGAATACAACACTGAGCTGACCAAGGAGTAGATGCATGCACCTTGGTATTACAGTATGAACGGTGACTTCCCGTGCAAAAAAAGTCCGAAGACCTCAGAAGGGGAACGATATCGTCCATCAGCACACTACTAGTCCACCAGGTGATTCACTTGCGCTGACAGCGCCAACTATGACTGGCGGAAGCGGTGTTCACTCGTCAACGTCCTGTCTTTTGTATTATCCCGGCATATCTACTTTCTGTATCGAAACGATATACAATTTACTCTGCCACAAGCCATTGATCGCCAACCCTGACACCGGTGGGCCAATGGTCAGTTGCATCCAAAACGTATTGCTTGAACGAGTTGATCCAAGCGCTTCCTTTCACAGTCGGCTCGACAGCTTCGTATCCTCCCAGCCTTGTCGTGCCACAAATGTGACATTTGAAGGAGCTCCCAATAATACTTCGGTGAATGAAATGCTCACCAACAGCGAGCTGGCCGGAGCATGTATGATGTCAATTCTTGCACAGCTGCCTGTGCCGTATGGACATCGATCAAATCGGCCCGGAAACACGACAACGGTATTCGCGGCTTCCATTTACTCCCTGTTGAAAGGCTCGGTGAACTCAACGATGCTCACTCCCTTAGTACTGGGGTTTTCTATATGAACTGGATATAGTTGGACTTGTTAAGCGTGCTCTTGATAGCCTCTGCGATTTGAATCAGCGTTGGGCCTTTTATGTGATTGATCTGGATGCCAATTTTTGTTGTGTCAACAACCGCATAGATCATGCGCCCCCCCCCCCCCCCCCCCCCCCAAGCAATATTGACGGCGACAGTTCCCAGCTCCGGGAATTGAGGGACTTGGATCTGGTAGTCCAACTTGAACACAAATGCGGGTACGTTGTTGAAGGCAACAGCCTTGACCTTCCCGTCCTCACAGTCTGCATCAACTGTCACCAGCCCCGCTGGCGTATCCAATGTTAAATTGGTCACAGGTTCGACCATCTTCACCATACCTGTCTCTAGGAGAACTGTAGATGTTGCGATAGTGTTGCCTCCCGACATGGGTGGGTATTCGTCACTTTCCATTATTAAAATCCGGCATCAGCCGCAGGATTGTTAGGCGGCAGGATAGGTTTAGGCACACAGCATAATGTCTTCGGGGCTCCTGCATGAGAAGCTGGCGAAAATCATCTTCGTTATATCGTAAGTGAACCAGTTTATCATATAATGACATCGCAGGTTTCACCCGCACAATGGCAGCCAACCACTTGGATGTGGCGTTCGAAATTCATCGTTTTGGAAGGCAAGATGCTTAGAAAGGATGAGCGGAATTTAGTTTCTGCAGAGGAAAGGGCCAATTATGCCATCTTGCAACTTTAGAGGGTACTATCTTCTATTTATGTTGAGCTCTCTTTCGTAGGACAGAAATGTAATGAAAAATGCCCCACGTTTCTTTAGTTTTACAAGGAATATGTGGAAGAAACAAGATGTTTCCAGTCCACAATATTCGAAGAAACAGTTGCCATAAACAGTAACTGTGGTGAACTTTACAATCGCAAGGTCTGGAGCCCAGTAGACATGGGCCCCCAGCAGCAGTTTGACACACCAATTCTTCTTTCGAAATTGCGATGAGCTTGCGCAGAAGAGTTTTTTTGTCATTTGGCTGCCTGATCTATTGCAGTTATTTCGCAAAGGCTTGGGTGTGTTGAGCGGGTGCGTATTATTAAGCGACAGCCTGAGACACTGAAAAAAAAGCTCTAAAAAACCGAGAGTTATTTACGGCAAGACAGGAGGTTTCGGTCCGGACTGACTGGGATCCTATAAATAATATGTCCAAAGGCACGGACTATATTTTCCTCAGACCTTGCCGGGAGATAACAGCACGTATCTTGCTTGATATAGCCAGATAAGAGATGTATGTGACGCCATCCCTACCTAGAGCTTTAGGCCAGCAGAATTCCAAGGCTCTAATAGCTTTTTATCAAGTCAATCGGCACCAGATCACAATACCGCTGCCCCCGAAATTACCCTATAAAGCATGCTGATCTATCGACTGTAAGATACTACATGTTTTCTTTTCTTTCTCCGATGCTGCATACAATCTACACTAAATTGTTTTAAGACTGTTCGTCAAATGTATCTTATCCTAGCCTAAACACTGCCCAGGTCTACTAATGTTTGCGCTAGTATATACTGCCTTCAAGTCGTTTGGCTCTTGCTGTCATTATTACACCTTGGAAGTAAAGCGATGGATTGTGTTCACCACATGGTGGAGAAAGGAATGGCACGATTGCCCATTCTCCAAGGAAATCTTTAGCAATACCGGGTTTGCAGAGGGCTCAAGAGTCTGCGCATCATGGATTGAGGTGCCCGTCGCAGTTAAATTCGATGAGTTGCCAGGATATGATCAGAGGCTGTAATCAAGATTTTGCGAGCAACACGCTTGAACCCCGATCTTGAAGGAGGGTCATGGGATGCGACCAATGGCTAATTAACGCCACCTTTTTCACTGAGTGTACCTTCATTGGTAGAGTATAACAACTCCCCAATAACTCATCGTTCATATGCTATTGCATGGGCCACGACAGCGAAAGATCATCGCGTATGCCTTTCATTCAGGCCATTGGCGATAGTTATCTGGGCATTTCTCATGCGCATCTTCATACCACAAAGAAATCTTGCAGGTCTCACGCCGAACTAGCCACTTAGCCCAACTTAGCAAAAGAAGCAGGATCCGTGGTTGGTTAGTTAGCCCTCATTAAACGACTGCCGACCCGGCATCCTCTTGTCGATCCTAATCGCATGCTACATACCCTATCATCGTCCCATCTCTCACAATATCTCACCTGAAACACATCTCACACGTCCTGACCCGGCCCGGATCTATTCTCTTAGCGTTCATTGTGGTGTATGAGAGCACGATGCAACGAGAGCATATGGACCTGGTATTGTCGCCTCGGGGGGGGGGGGGTCGCATTGCATTTTCAAGATCCTTGATCATAATTTCGCCAGGCCAGAGACAGATAACAGACTAAGACATATCTTCTGCCTGATTGCCTAACTTGAAATTCTGGATTTAAAACTACTATGCAAATATTCCGAATCCAAGTTGCTCCAAAGTTCTGCCTTATCCAACATTGAAAAGGATCGTTCCCGTTTTCGATCCCAGAGATACATTGTTACTTCCCCACTCTTTCTGACCTTCATATTTGAAGCCGTCTACCGATCCATCCTCATTGCTGATAATCTCCAAACCATTTCCGCCAAATGCTATGTTTCCACTTGCAGTCCGTGCATGAGCGTTGCCTGTCCATGCACTAGGGTAATTTATGTTTAAATTTCCTCTCTGGGTATCGTGGTGCAACAGAGCGGGCTTCCCCGTAATCGAAGAATTGGCCTCGAGCGTTTCGCCAGAGAAAGGGACAAAGCGAGGGCTCGTCAGATAAACATTTTGACTTCCAGAACCTGTCCAGGTCGTTATCAAAGCAGTATCTGCAACGAAATAATCTTCTTCCTTGCAATCGTCTTTCCGAGAATTCATAAGCCGAACAACTGGTAACAACCTGGCACTGATACTGCCGCTCTCAGATGAAAGGCGTGCTGAAGTTGAGAAAAGAAATTGTCCTGAGATAGATCCGCTTGTGGTTTCAATGTCAAGCTCGTAGGGACGAAATTGAAGGGGCCAAAGTTCATTCCAATGTATGTTTTCCAGACCAGGCTTTTGGTTGGACTTTATTTCTGGCAAAAAAGTAGCGTCCGGGAAAGTGAACGAGACAGCGATACTTCCTGATCCTGTTCGAATCCGGAGGCGAGCAGGCTCATCTGGGCTCTGAGCATCTGCTCTCTGCGGAATGACTGTGACCCCAATACTACCAGATGTTGTGGACAGAGATAGAAGGTCAAACATAGGGTATCTCCCCATGATGGACTCCGATTGCTTCTCAATAATGATCTTCCTCGGAAAGGAAGTATATCCATGGACTCCATTTGGGCCCCGCTTGGATTTACCTTGTGACTGGTAATCCATTAGTACTTTTATGTTGCCACTAAAATGTAAACCAGGAAACTGACCAAGCCAGGTGCAGCTGCAAGGACGTTGTATGCTAGGCCCAGGAAGCACAGGGTAAAAAGGCACGCGATAGCTAGCCATAGGCAATTCCGCGGGCTCTTCCGCTGGTGAGGTTTGCCATAAACTTTTTCAGGGTAAATATTATTCTCAACACCAATTTCAGATCTAGTTGGAAACTCCTCATACTGCGGTGAGTTTTCAAGGTCTTTTAAAAGGGGAGCCGCGCCCTGTCCATCTTTTGTGCAAAGGTACATGTTGCAATTTGGCGGGTGATAATGTCTCACTGAATAGTGTGGCCTTTTCCAGCTAAATTTACCTGTAATTTGTACTAAACAATCCTAGGAGATAGGTTGGACCGTGATTTTTTGATCGATACTATAATTGAAGTAGGAAATTTATAGGGTGAAATGATGTATAGTCTATTACGTCATTGCCGTGGTCTGAAAATGGGCGTAAGAAGCCGCAGCCGCAGTTGGACGCCAAAGCATCTGTCAAAGACCAGCCAGTTCTTCTGAACCCTATCCGCTTCTCACCATTCTGTCAGGAGATTTCAACCGTCATCATCCAATATGGGGCAGCAATCATACCCAATCAAAATTTATTGAAGACGCAAGTGAACTTATTACGTTCTTCCAAGACTACAACCTCCATACTTGCTTACCGCGAGGCACAACGAGCTTTTGGCCCCTCAATAATCCAGGGAAAAGCACTACTATTGACCAGACACTGTCAGACCGATCTGATTTGCTTAACAAGTACCATCTTTACCACGAAACCTATGGATCGGACCACCGAGCAACCTATTCGGAGTGGAGCCTAAAGCTCCACTGCAGACCTACTACAAACACGATGAAAGCATACGAACGGGCCAAATGGGACAAGATCCGGGCTGAATTCCTACTGCAGATGGGCCCATGGAAAGAGGTCAAAACAAACCCGGCTCTAGATGAGGCAGTAGAAAGACTTACAGAAGTCACGATATCGGCCGTAGAAAATCATACTCCGAACCGACGACCAAATCCCTACTACAAATGGTGGTTTACCCCAGCCCTAAAAGCCCAGCAAACCACATCCGTAGGAAATGGCAAGAGAGTTGCGCGGAGTACGGACGTCATCATACAAGGTCTGAAGACCTCTTTGAAGCGACGCAAGAAAAACGCCGAATCTGGACCCGTACCCTTGAAAAGACCAAAAGGTCATACTGGAAACAGTTCCTGGACGGAGTGGGAGAAAGAAAACTGTGGAAGGCTGCCACGTACATGAAACCACGAGAGACCTAGGGGTGCGTCCCTTCCTTGTAGGTCAACTCCAACGAACTAGTACGAGGACAAGAGTTCCTAGACTCCTTCTTCCCCAAGATGAACGAACCAGACGAAGACCTACCAGTCTAGGCGCCTCCGGAGCTACCGTGGGTACCGATCACTGAACTGGAAATCCAGCGATCTCTCACAGGAACAGAAGGTTCTACAGCGCCGCGCGAGGATGGTCTACCGGCTTTCGTATGAAGCACCTCTGGCAGCCTCTAAAACAACTTATCACTAGGATTTTCACGGCATCAGTCAAGCTAGGACATCACCCTAGGCGGTGGCGGAGAGCAAAGATTGTGGTATTGCGGAAACCTGGAAAGCCAGACTACTCGATCCCTGGAGCCTATCGCCCGATCTCGTTCCTGAACACACTTGGGAAAGTCTGCTGTAATTCTTCGGCTAAGCTATTAGTCCAGACAGCGGAGCCAATTTAGGAACGTTCTGTTTAGGTCGGCCCCTCAACGGCGTCCTTCAAAAACATAACAGTACTGAAAAACAGCTGCAGTACCCATATTATGCCGATTCTATTCATACAAGGAATTGGAGACAGGGAGGGAAAGAAGACTCTGCACGAGATGCAACTGAAGGGGATGTATAAAGCACTTCAGGACGCCGACCACACTAAGCTCCTTCAGGATACTTACCACGTGACTATGGTCTCGTTGCGCTCCACGTCGCCTTCCACTCTGTTCTATTATTGACCTGACTCTTATTACTGAAGAATCAGGAGTCTTTAAGGCACATCTGAAGGTCCGTCACCTTCTATCTTGAAAGCTGGATTTTCCACGGCTTTGGTTGGGCTTTGTGGCGCTTTATATTTCCACGGATACCCAAAATTCCACTGCGCCTGACCTCTTACAATTACGAAGCTTGTGGGAACCAAGCACGATTACGGACTCAACCGTAGCTATACCATCAGAAACCCGTTTTTCGTCCAGTAGCAAGATTCCTACGTAGATATTTCGTACCAGGAGTGCCGTGGTTGAGGCAAATTTCCAAGCCCTCTTTCGCCCCGGTGTTTCCATTCCAAAAAGTTGTCTGGTCAATGGATCCCTTCAGTCTTAAAACCCATCCGTATTTATTTTGTTCATCGAAACAAGCATCATGAACCTTGAAATAGGAAGCAACTCCAAACAACATTTTGCTTCGTTCTCTAGCGATATGCCTTTTGTCTCTTGTGTCACTATCAAAGACATCCTTTGCGACCGGTCGCCGAAGCCTTACACACTCAATGCTTTTATGATCTTCCTGACTCAGAATCATTGTATTGAGACATTAGATTTCATTCTTGATGCAGAAGCTTACTGTGACATCTACCATGCAAACCGAACATCCCCAGACAACAGAAACACGTCTGGGGACCCCATGCTTATCGGAAAACAGTGGGAACGTTTGATGGCCACGTACATTTGTCCCGGGTCTCCAAGCGAAGTCAACTTACCAAGCTGTATACGTGACCGGTTGCTTGACATTTTTTCTGAGATGGTATCATCTCCAAGTCCAGAACAATTAACCTCTGCCATGAATCATGCTTACGAAATATTGACAGAAGGTGTGTTGGTCCCCTTCGTTAGAAGCTTTCATTCGTCAAAAAACCACGATATAGACACAGAATGCATTCCAAAATCGACTTTGTCTGATTTGGATTATGGCCAGCCCTTTCTACGGACAGTCAGTTCACCGCGAAGGGATAGCATGTATGAAAAATCCATATAAACGTGAACCGCACAGTCACTAAATCAGCTTCCAGGTCTCTTTTTGATAATTCTATCACAGAAAGGATTGAGCCAACTACTCAGCCTACGGGTTCGCAGGTAAAATCGCAGTTTTTCAAATATTGCAAATTCAGGAAATTGTTTAGTTTTAAGAAGCATCAGATCCGCTGAAATTTAACGGTATTAATGTTCCATAAAGCAATATCTACTCTATTAGCCATATCATAATATCTCAGCCGTCAATGGCGAAGCTATTTTCGCATGAAAACATCCTCGGAATCTTTCCCCAAAAAATGACTTTACGAACGTGCTAGTCGAAAAATTGAAAATCTTCTTCCGGCTACTAAATACCCCCTGAGCATCAGCCATTGTTATGTTCCAAAGTTCTGGAAAAATATCTGCTGGTACCACTCATTGCTTATGTATTGCATCCGCAACAGAGGTCATAATGGGCGTTTCTTACGTTCTGCACTGTTGCAAACAGACTTCCTGGGCTATCTTGATAGGAACGTACATCGACACAGGAGCAAAAGACACATCAGGTCCGCATATCACGAGAGCCACACCAGGGAATGACACAGTAGAAAGTGCCGTAGGCCTGCGAAAGGAAAAAAATAGGGCTAAAGCAATAGCAAAAATCGTAGCCAGGTAGATAAAGTGCCTAGAAAGGATGTGAATAAATCAAATTCGACCGCGAAGGAAGACCCTGAAGCACTCGACTAATTGACTCGGATAGATCACGGCTCCTATCGGAGTATAAATCTTGAGCAGAGACAACCAAACACTGGCTGATGGCTCCCCGAGCCGACCAGGTACCAGTATTAGAGAGAACGAAGCTGGGATGAACAACCTACCCGCAGTCATGATTCACGACCTCACAATACAATGCTTGAGCAACAAAACCTTTAGTCTTTCTCATATTTCCTGCTACTTTTGGCGGAAAAATGAGCAACCTAAGAAGAGTTTGCTCTTAATAGAACATAATCTTTTGTAAGGTTTTCGATTTACGCTACTCGGTAGTCCAGACGCTTTTACTCCAATTTCCAATGAAATGAGTCACAGGCGGGGAATGACATCATACTAGGCGGACTATTAGGTGAGTGAGCACTTTTCAATAAACAATGCAATATGCTACTTGTAAAAAAAATCTTTTTCCTACAACTCTTTCTGCAATATGCCACAACAAAATGAATCTCAGACAGATGTCAAAGTAAGCTACGATGGAAATTTCCGAACTACAGGCTTCAATTAATTATCTAAGCCACCGTTCGACAGAAACGCCCAGGCAGCTCGTCGCTATGGGGTTGTTCCTTTCAGAGAGAAGCTATTTTCTGAAAGATCAAAGGTTTGGGTTCTAAGTCTAAATACCGGTCTCGAGTTGGACGGCTAATATGTGCAGCATCGTACCTACTTTGACTCTGCCGATTCTGTTCTAGAATCTGCCCACAACCCATCCGAGATCTCTGAGAAGAACACTGGAACCGAGCACCCGCAATATGCCAGTATCTCTCGGCCATTTTGCGCCGTACCTGGCTCCAGTAATGTTTCAAAGAACGCGAATAAAGGATTCCAGACTATCAGTCACAAAAATCAGAAGTGCCAGAGTCATCTCCATGAAAATGAGAAAGCTGACTGTAAAAAAAAGAATGAGGGTTCACTTTAAAATCTCACTAAACATCTGAGAAATAATATTTGCTTGCCATTTTCGATACGAACGATGAAAATGCGTGGCAGTTTTGAGTGGGAGACAGACTTTAATGTATAATAATAATAAAAAAAAGGCGTCATCAGTACTCAAGGCTCACATCCGTGCCAAGAGTGTCACTGCCGATCTCCTCATAGTCCTTTTCCAGAGCAGCCAAGTCCTCGCGAGCCTCAGAGAACTCACCTTCCTCCATGCCCTCCCCCAAGTACCAGTGAACGAAAGCACGTTTGGAATACATGAGGTCGAATTTGTAGTCAAGGCGGTGCCATGACGCGGCGATGGCGGTGGAGTTGGAGAGCATCGTAACCGAGCGGTCAACGGAAGCAAGCTCGCTCTCGGGCACGTCTATGGGCTTTTTGTAGTTAATCCCTAGCTTAAAACCGGTTGGACACCACTCAACCAAGTTGAAAGAGGCCTTGTTCTTAACTTCGGCCATAGCTCGAGTACAGTCGTGAGGCACGACGTCACCCCGGTACAGAAGGGCAACAGCCATGTATTTGCTGTTTTGAGGGTCGCAAACAACCATCTGGTTTTTAGATTCGAAGCCTGTAAAAGATTTAGTAAAAAAGACAATTCAAAGAACGAAAGCGCGTACACTGGAAGGTCAAATCCTTGACCTTGAAGCTCTCGTGGCCGCTGTTGCTGCTAGATATGACAGGAGCATACGAAATGAGGGGGTAGTGAATTCTCGGAAACGGCACAAGATTTGTCTGAAACTCATTCAAGTCGACATTTAAAGCGCCATTGAAACGCAAGCTGGAGGTAACAGAGCTAACGACCTGGGCGACAAGACGGTTGAGATGGTCATATCCAGGGCGAGGGATGTCGAGGTTGCGCTTACAGATATCGTACACAGCTTCGTTGTCAAGGAGAAATGTACAATCGGAGTTCTCAATAGTGGCATGTGTGGAGAGGACGGCATTGTAGGGTTCCACCACTGCAGTTGCGATGCGGGGGGACGGGTAAACCGCAAATTCCAGGTTGGTCTTCTTGCAATACTCGGTAGAAAGATGCTCGAGCAAGAGTGCACCGAAACCAGACCCCGTTCCGCCGCCGAAGGAGTGGAAAATCAAAAAGCCTTGAAGAGAGGCGCAATTATCTAGAAGGAAATTAGTCTGAATATCGAAGCCAAGAGAAGTTCGGTTCCATATACACACCGGCCACACGACGAATCCGATCGACAACCTGCTCCATGAGCAACTTACCGACGGTGTAATGGCCCCTGGCATCTATTATACATTAGTTTACGTGGCATGCATCTTCAATACATCGGAGGGTTGTACAGTTATTGGCGGCATCCTCCTGTCCGCTTATAAGCTGCTCAGGGTGGAACAGATGGCGGTAGGTACCAGTGCGTATCTCGTCAATAGGCTATAGAACCCTCACTAAGTCAGTTTGACTCCCATTCCAACTTGGTGGTCACAACTTCGCACCGAAGGGTCAAGGTCGACAAATATGGAGCGCGGGACGTATTTGCCATTGCCGGTCTCGGTGAAAAAAGTCTCATAAGAGTGGCCCTGGCCAAGTTCTTCCACAGAATCGGGGTTTATATGACCATCGACCAGCAGGTTATGCTCAAGCAGGTAACTATATCAACAATTAACAGAGAGTACTGCTGAATGAATCACAAGAGAACAAAGACTTACAGCTCCCAGGCAGAGTTACCCAACTGGGTACCAGCTTGGCCCAGGTGAAGATGACAGATCTAATCAGTTAGTGTTTGAATTTCCATCATTAGGGAATTTGTGTGGACTTGAATACAACCATGGTATCGAGGGCCACACCGGAAGACTGTGTTGCAGGTATGTTGCGATTCAAGGCTGGGAAAAGGAACAGAAGAGTGCACAGCCATCTACATGGCGAACACTAAATAACAACAGGATAGCACGTACTTCGCCGCGCATTCTGTAGGGCCGAAATTCGAAACCTGTCGCATACAGGTAGACAGATGTTACATGAAAGAGAGTGGAAGTTCAGGGTTTTTAAACAGGAAGTCCAAACTAGGTGAAAACTGGGCCCACTTTATTCTGCTTCTCTCCCCCTTCAGGCTTAGCGTCACGGCGTAGTCAGCTGCATATTAAAAGCCACTCCCCTAATAGGAATGTGACATACTTCCCATCTCTCCCAAAAGCCGATGATGTCCTTAGCAATCCCTTAGTTCCAAGAAGCATACGACAACGAGCAGAGTCCAAATCGCTCTTAGGTTCCTCTTAGTCGTGCGCATTTTGCAATATACCCGGTAAAGCAGCCCTGGAACCCTACCATTTCATTAGGCCTTCACTGACCGAATTTTTTGAAGGTCATAAATTTGGGGTAAGAAGATATTTCGGGCAGTCATACAAGGTGTCGCAAATATCGAGCGTATCAATTACCAGAAACACTTTGGCAAATAATGCCGCTACAGATCCTAAATATTTGAGCAGTTCGTTTAATGATAGCCTTATCCTCCTCTCTTTTATGTCCCTCGCAGAGCTTTTCCATACTTTCCGGTAGCATAGACCGGCACAGAGAGAGTTGTCTAAGAACTCTCACCAAAAAACCTTCAGCTTTTTGCTCATTTTTCCGCTAAAAGTAGCAGGAAATATGAGAAAGACCAAAGGTTTTGTTGCTCAAGCATTGTATTGTGAGGTCGTGAATCATGACTGCGGGTAGGTTGTTCATCCCAGCTTCGTTCTCTCTAATACTGGTACCTGGTCGGCTCGGGGAGCCATCAGCCAGTGTTTGGTTGTCTCTGCTCAAGATTTATACTCCGATAGGAGCCGTGATCTATCCGAGTCAATTAGTCGTAAAACTTATAGCATTTTATGGATTATGACCAAGCGTCAGAGTACGGCTGCCTCGAAGGGTGCTCTCGAATCCAGGATATTTTTTAGCACCTCCGAATACGCACAAGTGCCTACTTGCGCCACTGATCTGTTCCCTCCTCTGGCTGAGCAACTCTTGCAAGAGTGGGATCGTACCTTTCAGGCGGCGGAAAATCGGTTAGCAGTGAAGGTAGGAGAAATTTGGCGATTGATAAGGCTTTCGTTAACCATGAATAGCGTACGGAGTTGTTAAGGGCCAATGGAACAAAACCGCACTTGATTCGAGACCTGCTAGGCGATGCCCAACTGTGGGATCTGCTGAGAAGGAGCTGCAATAGGCAGATTGCGGAGCTCATGGCATTTCTTAACTGCTACGTGAGTCACTCGTGGGCTGTACTCCGTGAAGCCGACTCTACAGGAACCAATGTGGTAAATCAAGACATGAGGTCATTTCGAGACCAAATAAACCATCTGGAACGGGTTTATTCAGAAGGGTTAAAAGCTCTAACTGAAGCTTCCAACGATCTCATTCAATTAGTATCAAGAACTTATTTCAGCTAAATCGGGATTACCGACTGATTTGTGACAGGAATTTAATCTTACATCAATCTCAGAAGCACAAAAATCAACGTCAACAAACAAAAGCATGAAGCGCCTGAGTTGGATTACGGTAGGCTTCAATTTCCTGTCTCTATCTACTGAATCAGTTGCTAATTAGTTCTGTTCCCAGTTTGTTTTTCTCCCGCTGATGTTCATCGCGGTATGGCTTTCGGTTCATATTTCGCTTTACAAGACAGATACTTAACGTGAATACAGAGTCTCTTTGGTATGAATATCGATATTTTGGCGTCCAACCCACCTTGGTGGCTTTATATTATTTTTGCCCTAGTTACTACGTTGTTGACGCTTGCCGTGTGGTTGATTTTCAAGCATAACAGTGATGTTAGTCTCACCCAACCCCATACAGTTCCGCCTATTATTGATTAACAACATACATAGCTGGAGGACAGAATAGAGCGTGGATTCAAGCGACTTACAAGAGGCCAGCCACAGCAAGACCTTGAGCAAGGTCAGCGACAAAGCCTTTCTCCACAACGGCGCTCAGCCATGTTTTCGACTCTCGGGAAAAAAAGATCTTGATACAGGAAATCTTCAAATGTGTCTATGTTTTCAATTCTACCAGTGATGTCAGGGACCTCGGGACCGTAACTTAGTTACCGTAATCCTCAAGCAAGCTGTACACCCCACCAAAAATCGCATCAATGTTTGTACCACCCTACCTACATCAAAGACATAGGTACCATGCCACCAAGAAAAAAAGGCCAACCAAGAGGGCCAGATACTATGTTACGGCTTCCATATAGAAGACATATAGATAGAAACAGTACCGAATTCTACCAGTATAATAGGAGAACCTGCGTCACCAGGGTCACCTGATATCAGTCACGTGATCTTCCCTTTCTACCCCTCAGTACCTAAAAAATACAGCTGAAAGACGCATAATTTATGGAAATGTCGGTCTTCAAAAGTATTTGTACTTTTTGTCATGTTTTTTGCGCCCTCGAAAAGCCCGCGGGCGGCTGAGAGGTCTAACAGTAAACAGTATTTTCTGTTTGTTCTAATATTTATGGGTAAATCTATGTGCTATATATAGTATGAGTGTTCCTCTTGGTGAGCTTTTTCTGTATATTTTCTAGGAGTATTGTCTTTTAGCTAAGAGATAAAGATGAATAAAATGGTAGGCCTTGATGAGCGCCCCTAGGCTGCCATTTATCTAAAATACCAGTACTGCGTTGGGTCCTCTCACCCCGTTCTCACCTCTCTCACCCCCAGTCTCTAGAATTCTCATCCATATCACCCTCAATCAACCTAGCGCAAAATACGGTGCTGTTATAAGGCCGAGGGCTTCTTGAGAATTCACCGCGTTCAGTATGTAGCTTAAGTACGGCTAAGCGGACGGGAAGCCCTGTTTTCCACACCCTGTGGTCGTATGTGATATGAGTTTCCAGTAAGTAGAATAAGAAAGCGTATCAATTGCAAAATGAGTCTCAATTTTCGGTCATCGAGAGCTTGTCGATCGCAAGTTTAAGGCGATGGAGTCTCAGCTCCAGATAGTACATCTCTCAGCAGTTTCAAGGATTCTCGTGCAAACACGACCATATTTTCTGCCCGATCATTACTTCCCGTCTCAAATTCTCGAGTAACGCTCCCCGATGCACTTGCTACAGCCATCGCTACATAACCACTGCAAACCGTTAGATGTATAACCCATGATGCGCATCATTTACTCACGGTGTCCGGTTTCTTGTCGTGCCACCCGTGGGTCCGGCCGTGCCACTCTCGCTAATTGCATAGGTTGAACCCAGTGTACGCCGAGTATGATCAGCCATGCCAGCAACAATCTGAGTTGTAGGACCCCTGTAGTCCTTAAGGTTTTCTGATGTCCAGCCCGCGAATTCTAGGCGCGATTGGAGGGTGTAGACTGTGAGTCCGCCCCTGTAAATGGCCGATGCGCCCGGGGCGGATATCAGGCAAGCGGAGATGAGACCACCAGCAGCCTAGTAGAAGATAAGTATTTTCATATGGGTATCAAAGGGTGGCAAGATGAGGAATGATGAGTGTACGTACAGTCTCGGCAACAGAAATGGTCTCATTCCGAGATTTAAGAAGGTCAAACACTTCCTGGATGACGGGTTGGAGGCTAGGTGGAGGAAACTCCGCCATGGTGTTATATTCTCAAATGATTTTTCAGGTGCTTTTGGCAATATGAATGATCTCAGGAGGCTTGGAAGTGATTGATAATGATGGGAGGTTAGATAACTATACGCTGCGGGGTAACGTTAGTTAGTTTATTAACCTATTTCATTATTAGGGCATGTACCGCCTCCCCTCCCCGGTAGTTTAACCGCCGGCTGCATAACAAGCCGCAATTATCATGCATAGAGGAAAGGCGGTCAGGATGGTGACATAACTGAAGGCGAGGGCCTAAGGACGAGCTATGTTGGCCTACAATTACGTACTGTGAAGGGTCCCACCATGAAAACTTCCATGAAGCACTGAAAAGTACTGACAAGCCGGGTGAAAAATAATCTGAAACAGATGAACTAACTACGAGGTGGAGCAGTAATAAACATAAATTTAGCTGGGGATAGACCTCGGCATGAATGATACAAGCGAAGGTGTTATGTGTAAAGATGATGTTCTTATTCCCTCCGTAGAGGTCATGATAAGCTAAGCTACTGACGTAAGCAAGCTGTGATGGTAACAATGAACTATAGTTATAAACCAGGCTGGAGCTCGAGATAGCGCTATCTAGCGTAGACAAATCATTTTCGAGAGTGCTACGTGCCTGATCAAATATTTCGATGAATGTATTTAATGAAAAATCTGGAAACCCGACAAAAAAAGGAACGATCAGAGCAGCCAGAGAGGGAGAAAACTGTATCCAAGTAGCGACTGAGCTATGTGAGGCTATGAGCAGAAAGAAAATGGACCTAGTGAAGCCGATTCAGATGCCCCAAGACTGACTAAACGGGAAGGGGATAGGTGTTTAGAGACGCCGGTGCATAGCAGAGGATCACTAGGAAGCTAAGGGCTCAATTTAGTAGGGGTGTAGGTTCGTGCTACCCGCTGATTTAGCATTTTCCCTGATCCGCCTACCTCTCAATGCTTCTAGTAGTATCTATAGAGAGATTTCGCCTTTCTGACGTGCTTCGTCTGTTTTTTCTAGTCTATTAGTCCGATTCTGTTTAGGATCTAGTGGTAGTAATCCCCTATACGCTTTCCTCCACTGTGTTATAGAACAACATACATGAAGGCAGACCTCGAAAGGAAATTTAGCTGCGAATCGTATACGTGACACAACATTGAAATGTCTCGATTATAGATTTTGTCATTTATTCACCTTCTATCAGAAAAAAAAATTCTATACTCCTAAACTGAACATTTTCAAGATTCAATTAGATTCAGTTGTTGACTCTGTCATATCCTATCTATCAATTACCTCTTACCTCCTGATTGAATAACGAGTCAGCTTCCTTGTTTAAAATTTTCCTTACCTAGTCAACAGGTCACTACCCTGCAAGTAGTATCTTACACTTTCACTAGATATAGAGCCCTGGGTACTATGTAGTACTAGTTTATCTAGGAGATTAAAAGGTCGCTACTATAACCTATTTTAATTTGCCAAGAAGCTTATATTCGGCTATGGAGAGCTTTCTAGTCCTGATGATATAGACGAGAGCCATGTGTCCATTTTGATTGTACCAACAGACATCTGAATACGGCGTGGTGGCCTTGATTAAGAATGAAGCTATGAATCCTAGCTAGTATGAGAACCGGTTTCTTCAGACTTTTGGCGATCAGGCAAACCCCCAATTCTATTGACGCTGTTTGGTAGCTTCAAAAAGAGAAAGGCAAACATTAATCATGCCGTTTAGAAGACGAAATTGGCCAGCAAATTGATTATCATTGGTTGTTTGTAGATCAACGAATAAACAAGAGCTACATCCAAAAACCACGAACAAAATCCAACACCAGACTCCCACACCTTGTGACCCTAGCAACGCCATCCAGTCTAATTTAAAGAATCGTCTTGACGCAATCTTCAAGACCTCTCATCAGAAATGAGCCCGCTTTGTTCAAAAGCTGTCACAGAGAGGCCCGACGTTTTTTATCCTCCTGTTGGTGGAACCTTGATGGAGAACCCGAAAACGGCTCATCCAAATGCCCATCGGTACCAACATCCTGGGCTGTAGCCCTCTGCATGTGAAGATGGAGTAGAGCATGAGCAGCCTTGACTTCCTTAGTGAATCCGCCCGCGGGCAAGGGTCCTCGACATCTGCGAGCCTTGGCAGAGCGGAACGGGTTCTTCTTCGGAGTTGTCTGATCGAAGGCCGTCACGATATTCCGTGAACACTGAATCATGCTAGGATATTCCTCATCCTCGTCATCTTCCAGCGATTTATCGTCATCAGAAACCCAAGTATCGGAATCGACAAGGTCGGAGTCAACATCCGCGATCGCCCCATCGCTTCCATCACGTGGCAGGAACCCAGGCATACGTCGCTGTTCAATCCGAGACCCAGGCGAGAAGCCAATCTCCGACTCACTTTCATCGGCATGAAGTCTCTGTATGTTCCTGATCCGCGCCTCTGACACAAAATTCAGGAGTTCTCTCGGAGAAAGCATCAGTGAACGAGGCATGACATCCGAACTGCGAGGCATATTGATCGGCGTGAAAGTGCTGCGTGTCGGGCTCGAGGGAGAGCCACAGAACGAGTCAGAAGAGGATCCACGAGCGCTACCAACGTCGTCCAGATAGCTGTGGCGCGGGAGCTTGGAAGTTAGTCGTCGGTAGGGAAGGTCTTCAGTGGCAGATGGGTAATCCGCTTCTTTTTCGGGCTCTTGGAATCGTGAAGAGTCGACGGGAGAGGCATCGTTACGTGCACAAGTAATGTTCCCATTTTCCAGCATTCGATAGTAGTTGGCCAATTCTGTAGCCCGTGTCACAATATCAGAATCGACAACCATATTCGCAAAGCGTGAGTGGTTGTCTTCTGGGATACACAGTTCTGGGAAATCATTCCCAAAGAGCGGGGTCAGGACAAATCGAATTTTCCAGCAAAAAGTGGCAGCAAGAGCCTTGGCAGCTTCGAATGGCATCCAATATCCTATGGGGAAAGATATTCAATTAATTCACAAAGGATTCAAGAGGGGTGGTGTGCCTCTAGCATACCTTGAGCTGCCAGTGCGCCACCGGTGATACTATGGCAAATTTCACGAAGACCAGGGTTAACACCCAGAGCTTTTCCAGGAGTTGTCTATGATCATGCCGACATGAGATTATTGCATATACAAAAAATGACTGGAATGGAATAGCCGACCTTTGAATATCCCATGCATTTGAACAGGGGGGTCGTCCGGACAAGCCCAATATTGTAATCCCACATGATCACCCAAGGGGCTCGGCCCATCTTCTTATCCTGGTTCGATTGAAATGTGTACTGTAACACTAGAGAGGGAGAGAGCCTCGAGTTAGCCCCAAGCCCAAAGAGAACACAACACATCAGCTCTTAGGTTCCAAAAATGTCGGTGAACGCACCGTGGAAACTATCCCGCCCCGTTCGCTGGTGGAAGGTTTTTTTCTCGCTCTGGTATGGAATATGCCGAGGAAATGCAGATATGTTGCCCATGGGTGTCAGGTTCCAGTTGCGGTGATGCTCGGCCAGCTCCTCATCACGTTCTTCGCAAGGTGGGTAACGAAATTGCCCTTGGATGGCTCCCGGGCGAAACACAGGGCCATCCTTGCTCACCTTCATCTTCCTTGGGGGCTCTGGTGACTTGGTAGTCTCTCTCGGCATCTTGTATCTGTGTATTTCATCCGGGGCGGGATTGAGTAACTCTTGAATTGAGCCCATGAATGATTTGTTGACACAAGAATGATCCAGAAAGGATGAACCAGTGTAAAAGAGAAAAGAAAGAGAGGATGAGAGAGAGATATAGATAACAAGAAAGATAGGTCTTGTATTCGAATGCTGAGACGACGACTAGAGTATGTGAATGAAGGTGCCAGAAAAGTAGCTCAAAAGGGCTGGGTTTGTCAGAGAGAAAGAAAAGCTGCTGAAGATAGAAGAAAGAAGGAGGTGAGAAGGAAATCAAGCGGATGAAGAGTCTCTCGTGGGCTAAGAGTCGTTTTGCAGAAGGTATGAGGAATAGAACGGGAGACGACGACCGCTCGCAGTGGCTTTAAGCAAGTGAGTGGCGTCCTGGGTGAGAAGCATCCGGCGGGCTGCTAGTTTGATATAGACAACCTTCACATCCACGGCTCTTTGTCTTCAGAGGTCTGTTACTTGCAGCCTCCAGCGTGAGGGCGAACAACGTGCGTGTTTGCGTGTTTGAGGGATGGAAACCAGCGACCAGATGCGATAGGTTTCAAGAGGGAACGGCGGATGGTGGGAGAGACAGGAGGTCTCAAGACAGCCAGGAAGCGAGCAATGCCCAGGGAGCCAGCATGATAGCATGGAAGGTAGCGGTGTATGTCGAGAAAAGCAAGAGAGGAAGTTGACGAAGACGTGTCGAGACTCACCGATTCATATCACGAGATCTTTCAAGTCGGACGAGTCTTCCCCCGTTGGCTCTGTTTGTCCTTCACCTCCTCTTCTTCTGCAACCTCCAACGCCGTCCCAGCACGAGCAATAAGGTCAGTTCCTCTCCCGGGAGATCTTCGACTTTGGACTGACCGCCATGCAGTGTGCATGTTGTCATAGATGGTCCCGTCCATTGATCCCCCTGGACGCCGCTAAAAGGATGCCCAGAATGAAATCCCATGTCTCTGAGCTTCGAGGCCTTACAGGTTGCACTGCCGCCACAGTGGATACCCAAGTCCTGAAGGCCCAAGGGCTCATGAAGGATAGCCTGTGGGACATTTGGGACAGCTCGGCGATGCCTTTGCGCCTCCGAAACCTCGCCGAGCCATGTGGATTTTCCCTCTCTGATTCTGACGAAGCCAGGAGGAATAGCACCAACGCAATGGAATCAGGTTATTGGCCCCTGTGGCTCTCCTCAACCATTCAACCATAAAGAGTGGCACATGCAAACAAAATTACCCGGTGGCTGCACCAGAGAGTAAATCATCCCCCTTCCCCTGTGGATGCTGGCTAAGAACCCTAAACCCTCTGGAGGTCGACAGATTCAACACTACGTCTTCAGAACCCAATCGGTCAATTCAATGGCCAATACAAAAAGAATAGAGGGAGTAAGCGAGATAGCATCAATTCACCCATGCCAGATCAGCTTTCGTCTTAATCCTGGTCAGATTCAAGAACTTATTACGGGGTTTGGATCCACCGGAGCACCTGGGAGCCCTTTCCCGACCACCAATCAAGGGAGGACTCTGGCCAAGATCCTGTAGCGGGGTGAGAAGCACCAGGGAAGGAAAATCAATGAGGGGAAACCCGATGTGATGGGCATCAAAGAGGCCTGAGAGCCAACGGCAAGTTGCAGGGCATCCTCTGCCTTGTATGACGGGAGACTGCATGGTCCACTGGCGAGTCTTTGAAGCCCCCATGAGCTTTGTTTCTGTGTAAACTCAATGCTGTACTTTAGACTTCTGGGGTTGAAAAGTGAAGGTGAATTCGGAGTTTCCTGTCCAACAGAGACATGTATTGTCCTCTCGCTGAGAACTCTAGACATGTTCCGCCAGGAAAAAAACATTACTGCTTCCTCCATTTTTAGTGGCAATCAATCCCCAACCCAGAGAAAAAAGGGTCTCAAACAGTGTTAGGTGTCAGTTGGTGCAGCTGATACCTCAGGATGTCGCTGGGGAGACCGCCCTTTGAACACTAAAGAAGCCTACAACTGCACACGTCTGCATCCGAGTGGAGACACGCAAAAGAGCATCATACCACACTACCCGCCAAGTCAATGTGAGAACCTTCTGTGCATGCTTCTCTGCAGAGGGCGGTTGATCACGTTGGTGGCGCTTGAAAATCCATGTCTCCCATGTCTGCTTGGGCTCTGGTAGTCCAAGCGTCCATTCTGGTCTACCATATGAGTTAATAGGTTGCGCCATTCCTCAAACTGTGCCCAATGTACCAAATTTCACACCATCAGCCCTAGGTGTGTACCGTTTACATGCCACGGCAGCAGTTAGGAGTATTGGTGACTGGTAACGCGGTCCTAGAGCTGGTCTGGGGGCTAAAAACCTGAGACAACTGGACCGACGGAGAGTTCGAGAGAAGGTTGGGTTCCCAATGTCTAAGACAACTTGAAAATGACTGGTACTGCGATTGGATTCAAAAGAGCGGTATGCCCGCACATTCGTGTTCCTCCCTCCTGGCGTGTTTTAACTTTCCCAAACTTCTAGAAAAGGGGGATTAAAGTCAAATGTCTTGCTGGAGGTGCAAAATGGTTGAGCCCGGGAAAGGCATATTTATGTCAATTGTTAAAAGGGTTGTAGGGGGTCTGACTTACGGAATGCTGTCTACAAATTCATTTTGAAAGGAAACTCTTGGAAAAAGTTGTCTAATATCGTGCAGGCAAATTATTTCCCTATATTTGGGTCATTTCTCTACTCATGCGATCGATATATCCACCATAGTGATACCTATCTCGGATCAAAGAAAGCTCTCTTGATATTTCGACCACTGCTGTTAGGTACGAGTTTCGGGCATAAGGTTGAGCTCAGGCCGGCTCGATGACACGAGGTCTAGACCTCGACTCCAACAAGAGGGTGTTCAATATGGTTCATAAGCCAGTTCCTTTCTCACTTGCTCTTCTTACAGGCGCCAAAGCCCTCTTGGACCCACAGTCATCACTTTGAGAAGGGACATTTGTGTGACAGCCAATTTCCGGGGTAGATAAGGCGAGGGAAAGGAAATTCTGAAGCTCCTTCGCAATGCAAGTCTTGGAAGCTCAATGGAAGAGACGACACGGGGACAGATCCTGCACTGGCCAGCCCAAATCATGATGCTGACGGAGCATTGGAATGCCTGGCCGGCCGGGATGAAATCCAACGGTGGCCTCGTACAGCGCGGGGGGCGTTACTCATGCGGGAGCGCGAGGCCATACCGGCCTTATGTGCGAGCCCACGGCAGGAAGCGAACATCGGCTCAAGCGGATTGAGTCGAAGCTCTTGCGCAAAGGCTGCCAGTCTTCTTTAAACGGTTCTCATGTCACTTTGTTCTATACGGATGTCATACCTCGTACCAATTGTGACTGTGGCTCTTGGCCATACTCAAAGGAGGCTTAAGGATCGGCATGCTGCATAAAGATATCCGAATGTAATCTATTGAAAAGGGGACCATGCGTGAAACTCATGATATTATCATAGAACAATTGCATTAGAACAATATGGACCCGAAACGAAATAAACAAGTGGGTGATATGATGAATGAAGAAGATCAAGAAAAGAAGATAGACAGAGTAAGGGTAAAGAGGCAACGGGCGAAGAAATGAAGAAAGAACACGAGAGACATTAGAAGATGAGGTTCAGTTCATCGTCCGTGTAACTACGTAGGTTTTGTTGATGTTTTTGGTCATCATTGGTGCAAAAATCGAATGGCGGAGCTCAATATACAGCCCAACGTACCCCCGAGAGTGGGGAAGCCCCGCCGTTGATCTTGTATGCCATCAACGAATATCCGTTGAGAAATCAATGGTTCGAAACTTGTTTCCATTCTCGTCGAAGTACTTTGTTTTGGCAGCCTCTCAAGTCGAAAATCGCTGTGAGTATGCATATTCACAGGGCCAGGAGCGGCTCACGCTCGCCAGCCTGCGGAGCTGGCTCGACTGACTCAATAGATTGCGCAACTGGCTCAGCTGTGGGGGCTTCAGGGAAGTCCTCGGTCTTCACCTGAGGCTCGGCGGCGACTTCGGTTTTGACGGGGGTCGCGGCAACTTTGGACATCTCGGGAGAAGCGGAACGGCGGCCAATGTATTCCTGAGCCTTGGAGCTATACTCTCCAACGTATTGCTTCATCACATCGGTAGCGTGGGAGGTGTGCTCGCCGGCAAGATCTTTCAGCTGGTTGGTTTGGGATGTGATGATAGCCTGAAGGTTGGCGATCTGCTCATCAATTATTTCGCGGTTACTGATGTACACCAGAGGACCGAGATAAGCGATCGTGACGGCAATCACAGCCAGGCCCCAGATTGGGACGAAGCGGATCAGCCAGTAGCCCGTAAAGGCGGCGGTGAAAGCCTAATGGATTCATGAGATACCTTCCACAGAGTCTGGGGGGGGGGGGGCAGATCAAGTAAACATACAGCAACGGTGTGGACGACATTCTCAGCGAACAGAATGCGCTGGAATTCGATCAGGAAGAAGTCCAGCAGCTGCGAGAGGTCCTCAAGCACGGCCTCATGGGTCTCCTGGGGGATGGTATAGTACCGGCGAGGACGGAAGGAGCTAGCAATACCGCGCTTAAGGATGACTTGACCGGCAATCTCAACGGCCGCGGTCACTACAGAACAAATCAGTCGTCTGACTTCCAAATCCTAAGTGGTCACGCGACCAACTCACATCCCAACGACATGTACAGAATCTTGAAGGCCCAGCGGAGGAGGGGCAAGTAACGGGCGGCGAAGATGAAACCGATCACACTAGCATAGGAAACAGCGGTCGCGCGCGGTTGTTCCCACTGTATGAGGAAAAAACAGAGGGGTCAGTAAAATAGGGGCCCATCATAAGGGGCCAACTTGGGGGGAGAAGAAAAAAAATAAAAATAAAAAACTCACGCTCAGAAGGCTGTACAGCAGTGAGTGGTAATCTACACAGGCCATCAGTCACTTTTTCGTCCATTTGTCTGCATCAATCCGGGCCACCACGTACGGGTCAAGGGTTGTCCGTTGCTGGTGGTTGTCGAGGGAGTGACTCGTGACTTCTTCAAGTCGTGCAGCTCGCTGGAAGTCTTCGAAGCCTCGGATTTGATGCTATCGACCACGGGACCTGGCAAGAAAGGACAAAAGTACGTGTTAGACAGTGTTTCGTATTGAGCACAACAGAGCACGTTCAGTGTAGGGCATGAGTTTACCTTTTGTCACGGCATCGCGAAGGCCTGGAAACCAAGAGAAATCCAAGGTCAGCGAGCGTCATTCCATCGGACTGGAAGCAAGGAAATAGCGAGCGAATACTGCAGGTCGCCATGGGTCAGCATCGGCCACGAGAGTCGGAAGGAGTCGGTTGTGTTTTGAGACCGTACCTTACTGCCCGTGTTAGGATAGCTCACATCACCAGAGTCGGCCATGGCGAGTTTTGGGATGGCGGGGGGAGGGGGGATACGACGAAGAATGGAGTATGAAGATCGTTAGTAGGGAAACAGTTCGGGAGTTCCAGCCAGGAAGAGGGGTGGGTGAGGGAGAAGGGGGAAGGCGATAAGAGAAATGTTTTGGTGTGATGCAACTGCCGATTGTCATGTGCGCCGCCAAGGTTTCCTGCCGAACAACAGATGATGTCAAGAGCTGGTCGGAAACCTGGATCGGCCAACTCGAGTGCTTTTTCGAGAAAACAATGGCCTTGGAGGTCGCTTCTCCCAAGCTATCCAAGATGGCTCCGTATGTTTGAAGCAAATGTCTCGTCTACCGGAAGAGTTTGCCCTTATCTCATGATTGCCCGCCCTTTAAGCTAAGAACCAAATATAGTTAATAGCTCCGCGACCTTCCGTCTGGACGAATGAGAAGCGAAAGCTTGTCACTTGTGCTAGTAGCTACCCACTGAGTGGTCATAAAACGAGTAGTAGATGGTTATCAGTGTCGAGTCTTGCTGCCGCTCGGAGGGAAAGTCTTTGCTTCCATGAGCACTCCGTACGAAGGGTAGGAAGCAATTGAATATGCCCAACTCACTCAGTTCCAATGCGGTATTTGTTCCACAAAAAAACGCAGAAAATCCTTGAAATTAATGCTTTAAGTAATTCCGTTTGGAATCTATTGAAGGGGTCTTTTGGTACAGGGACCATTGATCTCCATCGAGTGATTAATATCCCAGAAAGCCTGGGCATGTCTATGCTAACATCATGGCCTCATTTTTAATTTTACTCGTAACTCTCTTTAATTGACTTACTTCTCAGCCCGTACATGAAGAAATTGCCGAACAATCCAAACAAAGACCCAGCAGGGGCAAAGATCAACTCAATCTGAGCCCTAATTGTAAGTTCCTTGTAAGTTCAATATAATGTACCAAAAGACACAAAAACCGCAGCCGGAGCATCATTGGCAATGCCAAATGCCATGGGTCTATTGTAGAGCATACACCCACGGCCAACTCCATCCCTAAAACAAAATTGATTGTTACTCGACGAATTCTTGGTGAAGATGGCGAGCAACAGGAGCGCCATAATGACATAACAACAATGCAACTATCCGTGATCGTTGGCAATAGCTGGTAGGATCGCTACAGATCTCCGGCCAACTAATTAATGCCGGTATCAATTTTAAATAGCCTCTTCGGTCCCATCAATCTCCGCAGAAATATAGCCATTAGTTATATACTCTCTTTTTCAATAATTTTGCATGTCTTCTCGGGGGTGAAAACTTCTGTGTCTGAAAGCAAGAGGAATTCCCTGTTGGACGCAATAAGGCCAAGGGCGGTGACGAATGGAATGAATTGCATCTGCATGCTTGAGGGAATGATACGACCTTAGTTCGATATCTCATTCATGGAGGGACGAGACTAGCCATCTCGCAATATACCTAACAGAGCTATGACAAAGGTGATAGAGCCACCGAGCAGGCCCCAAGCGTGCTGTGATTTTTAGGGCTGCGTTAACCGCTCATGTTCACCTTCAGCATTTTCAACTCCAGATTGGCGAAGAAAGGAGGGAAAGGCCCAGGGAATCCAGATGATCATTTGGCAATGAGAAGGTTAAAAATCATGGGACATTTTGAGGGGACAATCAGTAACGACCGGAGCTTAGCTTACATGCCAAGTGGTAACATTGCACTCTGGAGATATACCCAGATGCAAACCAAATCCGTGTGTTCCCAACCAGGCCCAAATAACCATCGCCAGCAGATGGAGATCAATGAGAGGGGGCTTTGAAAACAGATCATAATCTATTGAGTCTGTTCTACTAGGCAAGTCAAACGACAAAATTCACAACTGAATGTAGATTGAGACTCAGAACATTGAGAGTGTTCGTTGTGGTTGGTTGGCCCGAGTCCGCACCGCGGCCCAGGCAGACACCGCCCCCAAATTTTAAGCCCCATCGTATCTACGAGAATTGCCGTCAATCCTGGTGAAATGATAAATATGATAAGGGAAAAACCTTTGACAGGACTTTACTGGAAATTCTGAATTCTTTAAAATTCTCAATAGTGATCACCATGGTGCAGTCAACACTTAACCCAGCCAATTTCACGCATTACGATCAACAAAAACAAAGCTGTCTGTTCTCTGTACTCCCCCCTGAGATTCGCTATGTGATTTTCTCCTGTGCACTGGCCAGCACTCTGGACATGACTCAATCGTTTGATAATCAAGGATACTCTACTCGGCCCGGCTACGAGGCTCATCACCGCACGTGGACAGAATTGCTGCGGACATGCAAAAGGGTCTACATGGAGGCATGGTTCATGCCATTCATGGGTTCAGAGCATGCCTTCTACTTGGCATGGAGTGAGCGATCGCCTCGCCGAATGACTAGTAAACAGAAAATGCAGCAATACCTCAACGCGATCCATGACCGACACGGCGAGGTACACACAGGTCGCATCCGGATCTTTGCTCAGCAATGTGAGCTTCGTGCTCCATTCAAAGGAATCTTCACGATGCAACACTTCCATCCCATATCTGTCACAGTTACTATTCGCTATACAGATACCTGGTCATGGGAAAATAACGATGCTCTCAATATCGGAGCGAGCTGGACTAAGGATATGATTCTACCAGCTAGTGTAACTAGCTTCAGTCTTGATGTTGAAAGTCTCAAGCGTCGGAGCGCTGAAGTGGACTGGGTTGCGCAGCAGGCCTCTGAGAGATGGCACTTCACCCGCAACGATGGTGTTCTTCTTCTTTCGTGTCCAGATGATATTTCCATCTCGCAGTGGACAGGTAGCTCTGTGCTAGGCGAGGAACGCTGGATTCGGGATGAAGTGCAGCCTGGTCGTCTTGATTACTATGTCGGAACAATCACATGGCGGCCCTCAAATGAGCCTCTGGGTGGACGCCCAGCTGAAAACGAAACTCTTGAATATAGTGAGACTCTTGGATATAATCATCATCGTGTTCCGCCGCCTTGGAGGCCTTGGAATGCCATCAATGTGCATGACTTGAGGAGAGCGAACATCTCTCTCGATACTCCACCAGATCAGGTGTGCGAGCTCTACCAGAGTTGGCTGAATGGCACGCAACCTGGGAGCAATGAAGGCAGCGAGGGTGAAGAAAGTGAAAGTGAAGAAACCGGGAGTGATTCATATAATGAGAGCGCTGAGTAGAGCAATTATTCGGAGGACAGGGTGGTGACAAAGGTAAAGCCCTGTAAAAGACAATACATTTTGACAAAGATCAAAATGTTTCATTTAGTTCCTCTTGAAATCTAGCTGCTGGATCAACATTTTCCCTTGTAGGTTATTGAATACTTGAACTGCAAAATGCAAGTGTAAAACGACACCTCAAGTTTGCTATAGTGCTTGGTAGTCTACTGCGATCCAGCTCACGTGATTTGGTATCATCACGCGTTTCCCGGTTGGGATGTCTGTTTTGATCTCGAATCGACCTTCATTCCCGACAACCCACAATCGACCACCGACCAACGACACTTTTGCCCCAACCTAGACGCAGATTCTCTGCTGTCTATCAAATACGCGTTTCTCAAGTCACTTCTCTGTCCACCGCATCAGTCAACTTCACCTACCCCGCCTCCCGCAGCGCGTTGTTTACATCATGGCCGCCGCGGGTGCGAGGGCGCAGAAGCCCGTGGGCTCTACAGCATGGATTGCGGCGGAAAAGGAAAACATTGCCGACTTGATAGAACAAGAACTGGAGGAAGTAGAATATCCAGTCCGTCATGAAATGGCCTGGTTAAATGAACATATGACCGAGATCTTCTCCAAAGGTCAAACGTGAGTGGCTCCAGGCACTGCGGCGGGCATTGAGCTCGGTGCTAATTTATGCCGCAGAAACTTTACTGATGTGTTCAAAACACCCGGCAAAATGAGAGGCAAGACTCCTCGAACGGCCCGAAAGCGCATTGTGGAAGACAGTCGTGTGGTGAGTTGCTATAGGTGCTTGTGTGTATATACCGCCATGCCGAAGCTCATCATACATTCTGCAGCCTTTGAGCGAAATTTTCTCCTCTGCACACAAGCAAGTGGAGAACTCAGCGATCCCCAGTCCCAGCCCATTCATTCATCGCATTATCTCAAAAACATCTGCGCCCGCGGCTGAGAGCGCGGGCAGCTCTCAGGATACGAACAAGGCATCTCAGCCACAATACCCAGACCTCACGCAGAACTTAAATTCATTTTCGCATTACAATACCGACTCTGGCTATCATGGAATGGGCGAAGATGATAACATGATCTTGCCAGACACCCAGCCAAATACCCAACCGGAAACCCAGACATCCACTCAGCCCTTGAACGCGGACGAAGCGGTGGCACTGAACTCCCAGGCCGACGTTTCTATTAGCCAGCAAACAACGGAGGATTCCTTCCATTCTGCGCAGGAAAATGTTCGAGCTCGGGGAGAGACCGTCGAACCTATGAACCTAGACCCAACCCCAGCCCGAAAACAAGAATTGGACCAATCAGAGGTTAATTCTCAAGCCTCAGAACCGGACGCAAATGCAACTCCTAAGGCTAAGCGACGATCAAAATCTAGGGCAGATTTCATCTCACAAAACCAAAGAAGCCCGACCCCCCAGGAGGAAACCGAAAAGCAGGATGTTAACGAATTGGTTTCAGAGTCTACTCCTGTGTCGGAAAAACCGCATGCGATTCAATCTCCCGCTGCCCGAAACCCCCAAACACAGGAAGTTGAAATGGAAGATATGGCCAAAGATGACACTGTTCTTGATGACGACTTCGACGATATCGGGTCTCCCTCAGATGGGTCAACCCCAGAACGACTGCCGGTACGGAAAAGCAGTTTGAGTTTTGCTTCTCTTCCAGCACGAGAGCCTTTAACTAAGAAGAGCATGGGAGGCTCACGGATCTCCCGTACCTCCCATATCGATCTCCCAAAGCTCAACAATACCGGTCGCCCCAGTTATTTCGGGGTGCAAAAAGCCACGCAGCCTTCCTCGGATGACAATGTCACTGACTCAGTTGCAATGGATGTTGACAATGAGAGGGGACCTGACGAGAAGGTAGATGTTGATGAGGCCAGCAAATTGCACAGCACAAAGTCTACACAGAGCCTTCATGAACGGATCAGTATGCTTGGGAAACTCCAGCCGTCACGCCCTAAAGGCCAAATTTCGACCATTGCTGGCCTTGCTACTGGTCAGATCCCACATTCGGAACTACCAACTACAAAATCAGATGCCAGCTTCGGGCCTTCAAATCAAAAATTGCGCGAAGTTCCTGTCGTGCAGCCCACAGCAGCTGATGATGATGATTGGATCAAGCCTCTGAGCTCCCCAGTTCGACCAAATCTCACGAAAAGTCAAACTACGGATTTTAAGGAGAAGCTCTCCAATAAAGATCCGTTAATGACCGAGAAGAATTCATCGATCATCCAGGGCCAACGTCCCACCGAATCAGAACGTCCCAAATCATCATACTCAGTATTCTCCTCCCCTCGCCCACAAGGTCATCAACAAAGCGCTTCCACATCCAACATCCCGGCAGAAGCATCTACTACTCCTACTGGGTCTCCAAGGCGCTTTGATGGGCCACTAAGTGCCTCAAAAATGCGGCTACAATCAATCATGAAGACTGCCAAGGGTTTATTCACATCTACTGGAAGTTCAGCGAAGACTGAAGTCTCTTCGCCTGAACAGACACTAGTTCAACATCAGGAACAATTCAACCACGATATGGAGGATCTGTCTGGATCCCAACCGCATCAAACCTCCAGTCCTCCCCGCCAGGAGGGGCGTCGAACACGAAGCTCGACAGAAAAGGAGGAGAGACGCCGACAGAAAGAACTGGAAGATCGTCAGCGGGAAGAAGAGGAAGCACATCAAGAGAAAATGCGGGCAATGGAGAAACAGAGGGCCATGCAGCTCAGGGCAGCTCAAGAAAAATCATCTGTAGAGCCAGAAGAACGGACAGCAACCGCAAATCATAGATCAACCCAGTCACAGCGACAGCAATCACGCGAGCCCGAGTTGGCCCCGGATACATCAAAGTTGGCTATCGCTCAGCCCAAGCAAAATGACCGACGTCCTAAACCCACCCGTGAACAATTGCAAAAGCCCAAACCGCAACCCGTATCGATTCGTCTTGGGAGTACTCTATCACGTCAAATCCCTGTTGCCTCCTCACTCTCTTCAACCGTGCAAGACTCCAATGTACCAGCACCTGCTCCGGCAAATCCTTCAAAGACGTTGAAGAAAAAGGCTAGCAACCAGTCTCTACAGACATCTTCTTCAACGAGCAGTTTCAAGAGCTCTGTTTCCAGTCAAACGCAAGCCCAGCGGAAAGCCAATGGAAGAAAGAGGGAGCAAGAAGAGCGTGAAGCCCGTCGCAAGGAAGAGCAAAAGCGCGAGCAGGAGCGCAAGCGAGCTCTTCAGCTACAGCAGCAGGAAGAAGCTCGTCAACAGGCTGAGCGAGAGATTCGGGAACGGTCTACTCAAGAGGACCCGAAGAAAGCTGCTCATATGCAAGCAATTGAGCAGAGACGACTGGCGAATATTCGAAAACACGAGGGGCAAGGCAGTCAGCAAGCCACCAATGAGGTAAGAAATTTTCAATCTAACCTCCTTGAGAAATGTTTTGGGATATTAACAACACTTCAGGCTCCAAAAATGCAACACGAGAAGGCTGGGTCACAGTCTTCTCAGCGCAGTGACTTGGGTGCTCCAAGACCTGCTTCCCGCTTGGGTTCCATTCAACCATATAGCCGTTCAATCAATCCGCCAGCACCAAACCCGGCCAAGCCGCCCAAGAGAGTGATGGATGAGGAGGCTGGCCCCAGGCCCGCCGTTAGAAAACCGAGCAATATCCAGCCTTCCGGTGAGGCCAAGCGACGGAAGACAGAAGATGAACATAATCCCATGCACACACAGCCGATGCGACCTACTATGGCCCCACCAATCCGACAGTCGAACATTCGCAAGGTTAGCATTATCATTCTCCGTATCTCTGGAAGTCAACATTAACTTTGAATCAATCACAGCCCTCGATGTTTGGACAGTCCAGCGTAGGACACCCGTCTGGCTCTTCAATTTTCAAGACCGCCCAGCCCCAGCGGCCTGGTCATCCTATGGACATGGCCAAATTCACCAATGGCAAGATTCCGTTCGCCGAGCCAAATCACGCTCCTCCCCCGACGGGATACAAGTCTGCTGCTCCTGGCTCTGCCCAGCGACCCCCTGCTCAGGCCAAGCCTTCACCTAAGTACCCCAGTGGTGAGAGTATTCACCTGCCAGAGATTGCAACCGACAGTGAAGACGAGGACGACTCGGACTCTGAGATGTTCCCTGTACCCAAGTGGGCTCAACCTAAGGAGCTGGAAGGCTTGCTTCGGCAGCAGGACGGAATGGAGGTTGACTCGATTTTTGGGCCTATTGCACCGTTCTCATTGGAGGAGACGTTCAAGGCCGATAAAAAGATCAAAAGATACCGAGACCGTACCAGCAGCGCCAACTGGAACGGTCCCGATGGACTCACCCAAGAAGAGATTCGCAAGGATGTGGCCGAGCGGCAACGGCTGCGACTCAATGGCGGGTGGTCCTTCAACCCTTGAATAGTACAGTAGTCGGTCCGCTATTGCAAACATATCCGGGATATTGGCTTGTATTAAACAACAACAGCGGTTGAGGAGTATTTTGTTGCATTAATTGGGAGTCGTTGGGCGTTGGGGGACCCTTATTCTACAACCTGAAGTTTTATTTTTTTTTAATAGCGACTGGACTGTGCAATGATCCTCTCTCTTTCAGTGCGACGGCATGAAGCATCGATCGGTGCATATCATTGTTAATGGAACTTCGAATTTTTTTGACATGCATTCTCAATATAACGAAGGACATTGGTTCATTCCCGCACCTTTGATTTTCAGCAATAGGCTACAGTCGTGATATTTGTAGAACATGAAATTCTACTTCGACATATTAGAGGATATTTTGCGGGCCCGACCGCGGGTATGTGCTGTCTTAAGATCTGAGAGGAGTTTTGGGTCTTGAATCATTAGTCCTGAGGTTAATTAACAACTAGCATCATTGGTCTAGTGGTAGAATTCGTCGTTGCCATCGACGAGGCCCGTGTTCGATTCACGGATGATGCATTTTTTTGGGGTTTTCTCTTACTTCTGCTGTATCTTTATACACCGTTTTTCTATGATACTTTTTTGTATTTTGCAATTTCTGATGAGCAATACGTCGGGGGGGTAAGAAAATAGTGCTACCATGTCTATATAGCACCTAGTTCGTGCATGCACTTCTACAAGTGGGCTCAACCTAAATTCGGATAAACTATATATAATCTATCAAGACAGTCAAACGGCAGATACATACACCCGGACAAATTAATCACACGAAGCAATTCCCTTCTCGGTCCTACAAAGATAATCCATACGGTGTCAGCCCTCATATTTGAAAATCCAACCCAGCCTTAAATTGATCCATGTAGATAGTGGTTTTAGATTCTGAGTATTTTTGAGCGACAACCACCGGCAAGTAATCTACTCTTATACCCACCCTGTCACTAGTGTTGGGAAACGCTATAAATAGATATGTGCATGAATTCTAAAACGAATCATTGTTCTGTTACAGGAAGGAAGGTCCATTTTATTAATAGGTATTGTCGTTTTAACCTAGCTCTATTTCCTATTGGTTGAAGTTATTACTACCCCCCAATCAAAATTTAATCAACACCGAGACACAACTTGATTCAACCACTGGAGACAATCCTGTTACTTGAAGCCATATAATTTACACTATATACCCCTCGACTGCGTCACTATTGTCTATGCACTATAATAGTTTTCCTCGTATAGCTGATATCCTTTCTGCCCCTCCCCTAGATAGATATTCCATAACCAGCCCCATACGCCTGTCAAAAAAAAGGGAATCACCCTTGCCAATATTATCCTAATTTAGTGCCATGCGGTTAACTGCTAAGAAGCCCCAGAAGGGCCCGAGCTTTGTTATCAAGACTCGGGTCAAGCAGGAATACGATCATATCAACAAAAAAAGGTATCTAATCCAACAGCTCGATAACAACCATGTTGTCAGAGTCATCCAAGCAGATATCGGTCCTCCAGGTAGCCCAGGTCAGCCATGGATGATACTTTCTGAAATCAATGGCCAAGAGCGCACCGTGATCAGTCAAGGCAATTTACCCAGCTTGGCGTCTTCGCGAATCAAATTTGAGTCCAAGAAATCATATTCAAAATCATCTATCGACCATGTAGATAATGAAACAAAAGTGCCACTCACTTACGAGGACAGTGATTCAGGGCAAAGGATAATAAACCAAAATGGTGAGGTGGTTGCTAAGCACTCACTCGTTCACTCCAACTTCCCTTTTGATATCGTGGGGATTCTAGACATTCACACTCCGTGGAATGATGAAGATTCCATCATACCACTTCTGACAACCTGCATATACATACGGGAAAAACAATGGGTAAAGTATATCGAGACACCAAGAAGCCAGATGAGATAAGCTTCCAGTGCACAAACTTGAACTCTATAGGTGCCTAGCCCACTGAGTTGATATGCAGTGTCTATTGCAATTGCCATCATGTTTGTTTATTTTGTAGATTTTTTTGTCAATTGTACCGGGCGCCTAATCAAGTCGATGCACCATATACATTCGAACGGTCACCCTTACAAAAACCGCGACCCAAACAAGCAGAGTTTCCCGCACATAGACTATCCCTGGTCGCGCCATCAATGCCGAATATTTTACAAGACTGCCTAGAAGATAGTGTATAGAGAAGATCTAGAGATTTACTCGAAGTCAGGCTCCATGTCACTGCCACCATCCTCGAGCCCCTCATCCATCGCGTCGAAGTTGAGATTAACGGCGTCCGGAGACGCGCCGAGTTTGTCCCCGCGCTTGTCATGGGACACGGTGCGCCAGCCGGCAGATGTGGAGGGGTCTTTGATATATTCAGACATGGGGAACTAAATTTGTCAGACTTAGGATAAAAGTAGCGGGCTCAAGGCATGGCAACTTACGTAGTGATCGTTCTTCTTCATGGTAACCACCCATGGTACATTGTCGAAAGTCACTGCGCGGAGACGGAAGTACGTGTTGTTGGGGATTTTGCTAACCTCTTTGACAAAGGCATCCAGGTCAGGAGTTGCGACACCGTTGACAGCAGTGATGAAGTTGGTAGGCGAAAGACCATAATGGTAGGCGGGAGAACCGCGGCTCTGTATATTTCATCAGTCATGCACAAGACAATTTACGAAGAAGTCTACATACCCTTGCGCTCACATAGATCTCGCTATGAAGTTTAGAGATCTGCTGACGCACAGCGTGATGAGGCTTCTGCAGAACAGCACCGCAGAAGACAACTGCGCGGTCAGTCTCAAGGTCCTCTGTTGGGATAGTCGGAACACGAATACGCATTTCCTGCCCGTTTCGCACAATTAAAGCATCAAGGAACTCCTTCTCATACATCATATCCAGCTCCGAGACACGAGTGATGAGTTGGTCGTCCAGGGTGAGAATGATGTCGGCTTCCTGGAAAGAGTCGGCGTCAGAGGCCAAGGTCGCGGGCGGACAGTCCACCTTGCGGACCATGAAGAGCTGGTGGCGGGAAGGGTTGGCCTGGGCGACCTTCTGAATCCACTCTTCTGACACACCCATAATACGCGCCTGGCTCATTTGCACAACATAACTCTCCATGTTGAGGATGCGCAACCTTGGAGTAATGCCTTCTTGAATCTTGGAGGTAACAGGAAGTAATGACGGCGTAGAAAATCCAAGGTGGTACTCGACATCTTTGTGAGAACCCGGAGTACGCTCACCAAGGTAATTCAGCCATAGAGCCTGAACCACACCGTCTTCACCGATCAAGACACCATTGGTACACTGTCCGCTGAGACCGGTGTCCACTGTGATGGCATCCAGATTGATAGCCCGGTATCGCGGAGCAGAAGTATTGGCGGGAATTGAAACTGTGGTGATGTCGGTGACGGCAGTCTTAGCCACAACAATACGGAAGTTTTGGTTGAACCCAACGAAAATAGTGTCCTGGCCCTGCTTGATATAATCGGAGCTGAGGCGAGCGCTTTGCACTGGCGCCTGGACGAGGCTGGGGTCGTACTGGATGATGCTGTAATTCTGCAGCGGGTGCAAGAATACAACCTTGGCGCTGATGATGATAGAATCGGCGACAGTGATGTTGATGTCACAGAGATCATACGGGACAATAGCCCGAGAAACGACAACTAAGCCCTTCTCAGCATCGATGACTAGACCAAAGCCAGTCTTCTTGGCTTGTGGATAGCCGTCGATTTTGAGAGGCATGGTACAAGAGACGCGTACAAAGCTGCGTACAATTTCGGCTGCAGCAGGCTGGCTCACGCCATCCAATTGAATGAAGTCTGCCTTTCGGGGAACAGGAATCTCGGCAGGAATAGGCTCAGCAAGGTCTGAGAAGTCCCAGATACCAGTCTCATCGTTACGGACGGCCAGGCGCATCTTTGGGTGCCAGTGGCGGTCGACATAGATGATGCTGGTTCCCTTGGTGTGCAGATCGCGAATATGGCGGTATGAAATGACCACACGCGAGCGGTCGGGGATAGTCTTCATCACCTCTACGAATTCATCAAGATTGCGAGTGGGACGCTTGTCCACCGAGTCGACGATCCAGCCCGACAGGGTGTTCTCGAGCTTGAATGAGCCAGCAGCTTCACATATATACACTCCGCGGGTAGCGATCGCATAGAGACGGGCCTGCTGGTACGATAGATCGTGGAAAGTACCACCGGCAACCGTGACGAATCGATCCGGGGTGATGGCGTGGAGGTCACCTACCTCACACTCAACCTCGAGATCTTCTCCGCCTCGCTGAACCAGCAGCCGGACGGTCTTGCCCACGCTGGAGTCCAGAATGTCATCAAGGCGGACAAATTGGGTGAGAAGTTCATCATTCACCTTCAACAGCACATCGCCTTCTTGCAGCTTGCCATCTCCAGGGCCTTCCGGAAGGATGATCTCAGCTGCAAGCATGTTAGTTTCAGCAGGGGCAGCCTTGCGTACAGCCGCCTCCCACTCTGGAGTCAAACCAAGACGACGACATTCGTCAAAGGGCTTGAGGATCCACTGGGTCTGAATAGTTCCACGGGTCACCGGCGCGCCTTGGCGGATGCACTCAAGCGCACGGAGTGGCCGATCCAACGGCAGGAAGTAGTCTGTAGCAGCACCATCAGCACGGCCACCGGCTTGCAGAGCCACAGCGTTGCCGTCGATATTCACCACCGGACTTCCGGAACTACCACCGCTGGCGGCAGCCGCAGCTTGGATGTAGTTTGTGTTGAAATCACTGTAGCCCTCGCCGTACTCCGGTGCGTTGCGGTCCAACCGACTGATGACACCAGACAGAATGCTCAGCTTCTCTCCAGCATCGTTACCAACCACCCGAATTTCCGCACCAACTTGGGCTCCCGTGGGTTGTAGTTTGAGCTCCGTAAGCTTCATATAGCGGATGGCCTTCGGGTCGAACTGAAGAATGCCGAAATCATGAACGGGATCCCGATATACGGGTCGGACGTCGCACTAAAGATTTCAAAAAAAAAAAAACGTCAATTAGTCTCCCAGTACCATATTTTCATTGCAGCTTTGGGGGTCGCCGCAAAAAAGTCTCACCTCTTCATGGTTGTCGAAAATACAATATCCCCAGAACGGACCCGCACCGACGACATGTCGGTTGGTCAGGATATATCCACGCTCTGCATCGACCACAAAACCGGTGGCCTGGCTGCTCATCGACAACTCGGTGTCGAAGGAGCACGTTTGACAGAAATGGATCGAGACCACGCTCTTAACGACAGTCTCGATGGTAGCTTGCCATTCAGGCGAATCTGCCTGCGCGGGCCCCAGAGCAAGCATGTGGCCGGCATCATTCTCCTCTTCCACATTATAGACAGTCCCATTGGCCGGGGTAGAGTCCCCGGGGGTGAGGACCGAGCCTTCAGGCTTGAGATGTTTCGCGGGCCGCTCCACGGCGCCGGCGATGGCTGTGCGCTTGCGCTTTGCTCCAATATCCCCGTTTGCTTCCATTATGTGAGCCGATAGCAAAAAAGGCCGAAGAGGAGGGGATCGAAGGGCTTTAAAGGACCCCAGTGGAGGCAGCTGGTGGAAACGAGCGATGCGGCGAGATTGGTACGGGGACAATGAGCCCGGGCAAGGGCGGCGCGCAAGTGACGGGTCGGCGACAAGCACAAAGAAAGTGGAGAAGGGCCTATGCACAGCAACAGCGGCAGCAGCAAGACCAACAGACCGAGAGCGTGGAGCGCTTTGTCGACAGCGCAACCGCAACAAAGACATTCGCGTTGGAAAAGAGGCGGAGTGGAGGAAAGGAGCTGATTGGGCGGGCCGGGCACACGATACGATCCCATGGCCGAGCCACGCGCCTAACGAGCGCCGATCGGTGCAGGGCGCACGCACATCACCCGCGCTAGAAGAGGTTGAATGGAGTCATGGAGGGCCATTGGGGACTATAGCACCGTACACAGGCCTATAAGAGTCTTTTGCATTGCCGGATATGACGTGACATATGTTGGATTTAGGTGAGACCTAGAAGTTGAGGGCCCCGAGAAGATAGACGACTAAAGATGAGTATAAAGGGCAACATGAGTGATAAGTGTGATAAGGGGCCGTTGGGCTAAGTTCAAGTCCATCTGCTGTTGGATCTTACCGTTGGCCCGATGGCCAATGCAGTCTGACGATCAAGGGCTGAATTACTTCTCAAATCATCTCCAGCCTCATGGGAATGTCCCATTCTAAATCCCAATCCTCGGAGAATACGATAGCGCTATTTCAAATACAATAGTGGGTTGATATAGAGCATAGAATACAGGTATATAGAAACATGGAAGAAAAAGATGGTACATATCCATTGAAATGGGAGTCGCTAGGATTCAAAGTAAGGCTGCCCTTACCGGATGTCTCAAGAAGCACCAAATACAGATATCAAGATACACGGAGGGTAGAGAACGGCTAGCTCTCTTCTCTCCAACAGTCCCATACCTCCGCCAGGGACAAGTGATGGGAAGCTCCGGCGCTAAAGAAACACAGTCACCATCCTGGAACGCACCCCCTCCCCTTTCATCTCATCAGGCTTTGGGGGCCATCACGGTGATTGCCGAGGTGCTAGTGCGTAAAGTCACCCGCCAGACAGAAAGTCGAGTGGAACAATCTCCAAAGGAGGGGGCCCTAAATAGGTCCAAGGCCCTCATCCAGCGAGCGCAGATGTCAGATAGTTGGAGGGTGGAACGGGAGGCGCCGTTCCAAGGCTGTCTTTCTCACGGCGTAACAAAGGCAGGGAGGATTTGAAGAAGGGGGGGGGGGACCCTGATCTACCCAAGTGCGCCATCTCTCATTACTGACAGAGGGTTAAGAAAGCAGGGAACTCCAAGCAGGGAGCATTGGAGAGGGTTGAACAATCTGTCTTGTGGAGGATAGCATAGAGTAGAGATCTCTGTCTCTCGCCTGTCCCACATCTTCAGATGACCGATTCGGACACAGGAGAGGGACTAGGGCCGCCATTGCCTTGCATCGCTCCTGGGCTAAGCTTCTGAGAGGTGGAAGCCTTCCCAGCTCGAGGAAATAACTCATTCAACTTCTGATATAGGTCATGGACGACAGGTAGGTTTGGAGGCGGGGTCATGATGGCGGGAGCTTGGGGGGCCACGCCGCCAGATTTCTTGGCTCGATCGGCAATCGTTGCGAGATAGGCTAGATTGGCCTGTAACCGACGCATGCACTCGATGTATTCCGGGGTAGGTTTGGACCCCGGCGTCTTCACCGCATCCATTCCCGGTTCTGTAGGAGACGCGTTCGCATCAGCGTTGGACGCCGGGCCGGCCTTTCCAGCTGCCTGTAGGGTCACCACCTCTTGCAATAATGCGGAGTTGATATCCAGCAAGGTTGTGACCCGGGCCTTTTCTCGGGCCGCTATTTGAGCTTGCACCTGGGCCTGAGCATGGGCCTGTGCCGGGGATTGGGCTTGCGCCGGGGTTCCGGGTTGAGTGGATCGGGGAGAATTCATCTGTGGAGGCTTCGGCTGGTTGGCGAGCAGATTATTCTGCTGAATCGACGCCATGTTTTGGCTAAAGGCCTGCTGAACGGGAGAGGGCCCGTTGGGTACCGTGCCTGGTTGAGAAAATGGGGTCATGTTTGCGGGGACGGAGGGCTGCGTGAATGGCGCGGAGAACGCGTCCATCGGAACTGCTGTCATATCAGCGGTCAGATCCACGTCAATCCACGATAGGCTCGCCACCCGAGGAGCCCCCTCCCCTTCCTCATCAGCAGATGATATGCGAGCGAATCAATCACCGCATACTATGATTGCCAAGGAAAGCATTGATGCGACAGCTGGCGCTATCAATGGGATCCATCACGGATGCAGGGGCTACCAGGGGTTTCAGGAGAATGGAAGAGGGTACTTTTTGGGGACAGAAGGTAGTGGGCAGTTGAGAAATAGCACAACCCTTGATTAAGCCTCGGGGAGGATCACGGCCACTGTTACCCGAAAGTCTCTGGAGCGACAGGTGGGAACAGGTGACAGGTGTCACCTAGGGCTAATCATAATGGAGGTAGAGGAGGATAAGGGAAAAGGGGGGGAGGGGGAATTGACCACGTACCGGACGACTGTTGGGGATAGCCCGGGGGCATCGTACCTCCTCCGGGAACGCCTGGCTGCATGGACATAGCGCCAAAGGAATGCTGCTGTTGCTGCCCAGGCTGTGTTGGGGTTTTTGATTGAGGGTATTGGGCCATTGCATTGGGGTAGAAGGGCATTTGGTTTAGAGGGCTCTGAGTCGGCACAGGATAGCCAGCGGAATAGCCAGCGTTGGGATCCATTGTGTAAAATAAGGAACGATATCACGGTCCCCAGCTATTGGCGTTAAGGCAGGGGTGGGTGGGCAGGGGCCGGGGCGCGTGGAGGCTGGCCCGCTATAATAATAATAAAACCGTTCCTTTCACAAGCTTCAAGCTTCCTGGAAAATCTAGGGAAAGCAGCTCGGGAGAGCGGGAGGCACTTTTGATTACGCAGGCCGCACGGATGAGGCCAGCGAAGAGGGGGCGGCGGCGAAGGAAAAGCCGACGGAGTTCCTGACTTGCGGGAATCCAGGGATAGGCAGGCGCCGAGAAATTGACCTGCGGCGTCCAAGCTCTGGGCGAGGGGAGACTGAGATCTCGACTCAAACGGATGCGGGTTGATGATTGGCCACGGGGAAGGAGGAAGGAGAGAAAGGCAGGGGGGTGGAATAGGTGGTTGCTGGAACGCGATCGACCCTTTCTGCTGTGACGAAGCCTGGCCTTTCGGAGCAACGACAGATTTTTGGCCCGGATTCAGAGGGATCAGCCGTGGCCGGACGGGCTAATGCAGCGGAGCCTTTTTGGTTGGAGTGGGGACACGGGCCTTGAGGGCGGGTGGAAGGTGGAAGGTGGAAGGCGGGAAATGGTGGATGGTTGGTGGATGAGAGATGAAGGATGGAGAAGAAACGTTCGGTGAATTTCGATTGTGTCTTGCAGGCGATCGAGATACGGGCGACGCCACGGGGAGGGCAAGCAAACATGAAAGGTCGGGGAAACGAAGCGACTCCGGAGACGAAAGCTGGCCGGTCACGGGGTTTGGAGGGATGAACCGGTCAAGCGGCCGTATTCCAGGTATTTTAGGTATTGAGGTATTCAGGTATTATTACTCAATATGTTGAACAACGAGAAAATTGGTGTGATCATAACGTATTACCCTGGTATCAGAATTACGCCCAGCGCTCTCTTTTTTCTCGCGTGTTCGTGGAGCATGTGATAGGTCGCTAGTCCTCATTCGGAAGAGAAATCACACGTGTCATATTTGGAAACCTCAGGCACCAGCAGGCATGTGGGACTGCTGCTACTGTACTAATTCGAAAGGACAAGTTAGTGAATTTATTGATTTAACGAGGAATTTGGTACGGAGTACCAGTGAAAGCTGCTGCTACTACTACTATTACTACTACTCCCCTTCCAATTTGACCTTCAAGTTCTCAGTCATGATGGCCATCGATGATTCTCGCTAGCCGTGGGAGATCTACTCCGTAAGAGATTAATCACGGACATCCAAATCGTATTCTATTCTTGCTTTTTTTTGTTCCTCATTCGAAGCGCTGGATGGCATTTTCGAGAAAAAATCGTCCGGCCCTTGCCACAATGATGTCGAAGGGGCGAGGATCGACCTCATAGGGTCAATAGTCCTTACTCTTCAGCCGCAGGAGACTCCGAGAGGCAGCTGCGCCTCATGTACTCATTTAGTGGGGCGGACTGTGGCGCACAAATCCAAATATCTGCCTGGCACTTGATTGGCTTCATGCGTCACCTGGTGAAGCGCGGATTACGGTTTCAATGATTGGCAGGGCTCAGCGGAAACGTGGTACCAGAGCAATGATTCAATGTGGTGAACGGTACTCTCGATAGCTCGTCATACAGAGATTGGTGCCTTCTAGGGGTGAGAGAGCGGGGAATTAATAAGAGGAGAAACGAGACACACCGAGCGACCCAACCGGCATTATTGATTGAAACCAAAGAAAGCAAAGAGAAAACAAAAGCAAGCGGAGATGCGAATCCAACCTAATCTCTCAGCCCTTAGGACTATCGCCTTAGCCACTAACTTAATAAATTTGAACGATCGATGCGTGGAACCATGGCACTACAGATCCGACTAGATGCCAAGCTCCCCGCCTTGTGTCTTTTTCATTTCCCAGGTTTTGTTTCTTTGCTCTTCCACCGCTGGTCTAGGCTTGCTCTATCACAATATTATAATAAGTTCTGGTTTCAGAGAGCATTGTTCATCAACGGTAGCCCCGCTCACAGCGCGATTAGCTGCTCCTCTAAACCGCGGTACAACCGAGGTCCACTCCCCTGGCAGCCAACCGGTGAGTCCGATTCTCAGAGCAGAAGTGATATCAGATGAGACACTTTTGACCGTTAAGCGACCAGGGTAATGGGACCTCAAGCCAAAGAATGCTGTCCAATCTGCGATCTGCAACCTGAGAAAAGCCAACTCAATGAGGCATGTAACGGCGAGCTTGGCGGGGGGGAGACACACGAGAGAAAAGATACAATATTGTGTGTATATATATCCTTTTTTTATAAAAAAAAAATAGTAAAAATAAACCCAAAAAGAAGCAACGCCCTTGGGACAAGGCTCGACAATTACGGAGTACGTGGATCTCGATTTCGGAGATGGCCCACAGATCTGAACTGGAGGTTATCTGGAACGGGCAACCTGCAGCTCGCTAAAGGAGGCGCAGGCGGAGCGGGAAGTATCACCCTGACGCCACCTACCAGGTTGAGAGGGATCCATTTTTTTTTCCAGTTTCCAGGAAATGCAAGTTGGAGATCCTTGCCTTGGACGAAAAGGGTTGGTGAAGAGGGGCTTTGGGGAGAACCAGGAACTAACTCCATGGGCCCAAAAGAGCCCAATGGCCTAAAGGGGTAATAGTAATCTGGGTCTTGACAGCGGCGTGCATTGTTCAGCCAGCCACAGTGGACCGAAATTAATGGAGGTTGGTTTCCGCTCAGGCACAGATATGCATTTGTTGCCTTGAGCTGGGGTAGATGGGTTGGAGGAGGCAACTGCTTCCATGCAGCAAAGGGCATGTCGCAAGTGACAGAATAGAACAATGAGCATCTTGAAGCCATGCACGCTCTCCTACCTGCACTCTACGCTCTGCACTCTGCACTCTGCACTCCGTACTCCGTACGTCGTACAACAGGGACAGGCGATCCCGGTGCTCGGTACAAATGCATGGACTAATCTATCTATGCGGTGAACAGGGACAAGCACAGGCAATGATATCGGAAATGAGTCTGCCAAGGGAGCTCTCCAGTATAGAAATCTGTCAGCGGGAGTTAGGGGAAGCCCTGAGAATAAGAAGCATAGTTGAGTTTATTTTCTAGAATGAGTCTTGTTCTGGCGGTGCTAGACACGAACCTATGAGAACTAGGAAAAATCTTCTACTATGCTCGATCAAATTCAAATCCCATTCTGAATATATACAAAAGCCAATAAAAGGGAGAAAAAAAAGATAGAAATCAACAGGACCCTTGGCTGATTTCAAGTGGGATACATCCAAACTCAATCGTCAACGCGCCTTATGATGATAAGCTTAGCGGGGGTATGGACATACCCTCTAGGATCCCTCCCCCCTTGTCACACTAGCGAAGTATGCACGAGTTGGCGTCAAGGCGCCCCGACGGGTGACCCCGCCCTGCACTGGAATTTGTCAATGATTCGTGTGCATGACTTGCAGGTCGGAGAATCCAGTTCGATGTTCTCCGTTACGGCACAGCCTCAAGACACCGCATGATTCATACATGAAGATAATCCTACTGTACCGGCCACTCCGAACGGTTCTAGGAGAGAGAGCTACACACCTATAGAGAAGATTCCAGCACCCTGGATCATCTGAGACCGGTTACGTGGAGGGAATGATAGAGAGATAAACAATTCCGATTGAGGCTGACTTTCTTTCCCTGTTGTGGAAACATCTCACCGGTGTTCCATGGCTAGTATTGCAGGAGGGCGCCGGAGGCTATCGAGATTGTGCAATCCATAGTTAATTGACAAAATGGGTGCGCTGAGTTTCTCCGAGGTTTACAAGTCGCATCCACTTAGATTGGTGACAGCGCTTCGGCGGAGTGCCGAGAGTCCGGGATTTGAACCGGACAGCACACTGGTGGGTCAAGTAGATGAGGGCTAGTCATTAGCCCTTACCACTCACTATTCTCGATATTCTCACCACCATATACGGGAAAAAGAAAAGAAGAACGAGAATTGTACTGGAAGAAGGTGCCAGCGTGCCAGAGATCTTCACAAGACCAGATTTCGAGAGAGCGAGCAATCTGGGCCGAGTTGAGGCCGTCCGGCCGAAACAAAAGAGAGGAGTCTAGCCCTCCAGAGGGCTCGGGGTGGCAAAAACCAACAGTTCAATAGTAAACCCCACCAAGGTCAAAAATGTGGCCCTTTCGTGCACCTGTGGAGATAGCGTTGTATCGTTTTTTGACCTTTAGCCTGAGCTTCTGCTCGCGGGGAAGTCATTGATCCGGTATTCATGACAAAGATCATCGCCTTCTCTGGTTTTCGGCGATAAGCGTGTGATCGACAGAGGTCACCTAACTTAGCCACAGAGTGGCGTACGAATCCATTATTCGAAAATTGAAAAAGACAATCAAGAAACTTGGAAAAAAGAAAGAAAAAATGAAAATAAAGGGCACAAGGAAGCAGAAATGATAGTAATAATCACCTACATAGGCGAATCAGAAATGAGGAAAAGAGACATTTTACTATCCCTAGCAGCGATTCCCATGGTTGCGAGACTTGGAGAAAATGCAAGATCTCTATAGGCGGGTCTCATCTGTATTATTCAATTTGGACCTGTGACGAGAATGAATGATAGGTACATCGTGACATCTTAGGATAGATGCATAGATTTGTTACGCATCTCAGAAGGGGGAATTGCCTAACTATCCAGAGAAAACCGAGTCCAACCATTTTTGAGTGCCTCTGTTGAAACCAAGAGTTGATAGATCGTTCTTCTACCAGTTCTGATCGGAAAGTGGAGGTTCCCACGGAGATGTTGAACCTATAGGGTCACCAAGGCAAGGATTTGGAACCGGGATCTGACCCATGCATTCATCTTGGCGAATTGCATGCTTCCCTGTCAAGAACGTCTCCACGGCCCAAATGAAAGAATCATCGTGCAGCTGCAGCGGGTTCAAGATGTAGATATCCTGTGGACAAAAACCGTTAGACAACCCAAGAGGCTTCCGAGAGCCGAATGAGAATTCCAGCGGTGAATTGGTTCTATCCCTCGCCCATCTGCAAGACCCCACGGACGAGAATTGCGCAGCGCTGTATGCTAGCCACGACCCATGGCTTGATCGGCATTTTCTTACACTGGAATCTGTATGACTCGGTAAAGGAAAACACCGCACGGTAATGATGGTTCAAAGATCGCCGATCATATTTGTGCTGAACAATGGTACGCAGCCCAAGCCACCGAAAAGGTTCAAGTGACATCTTTGACAGAATCATGAAATACCAGAGAGCCAAATGAGAACAATAGTGTGCCCCACCGAGACCTTCTCAGGAGCCTCGGCCATGTGGACAGACGGATATCGTACAGAAGGATCTGATCTGCTTGCATTGGGGAGACGCGGGCCCGCAACACAGAACACGGCCCCAACGCCCAAGAGCCGATCTTGCTCGCTTTGCTTCATCTCTGTCTTCCAGTTCGAAACGCCACCCCGGCAATTTCAGAGGCTGCAGCTGCTCGGACCCAGAATGAGCCCCTCTCGATACAGGCGCAGGATCCCTGGCCTGACAGCAACGAGACGAAGTGGTGGTTGTCCTCCCCGGAATCTGACTTGGGTATGGCCAGCTGCTGGACCGACGGTCTGAAGCCCTAAGGGAGACTTCGCTTCCTACATTTGGATCGCCATCGTGGAATCCAGAGCAGAGGGCCAGTATCCGCTCAACTGTGCTTCCCCACTGATGCAGGTCGCCGAAAACAGACTATTCAGAAGATTCGCGGAAATCGGATCGAGTCCAGCCAGGGCACCATCGCGTTCTCCGTACTTCTGTCACGAACGGCTGGCACTGATCTGCATTCCCAACCCCGGTACAACCGGTACAACCGACCACTGTCGTAATCCGCTTAGGCTAGCCATCCACTGCTTCTCGGCGAGCACTTGTGGTTCTTGTTCGTGTAGGGCTTTCGGGCTACCATCTAGTTCGGCCGATAGTTTGGTTGGCGGGCTTCCACTCAGAGCCAGGCCCAATACCTGCCTAGCAGGAGTAGGGAGAATATCCGTGTTTTGAAGTGGATTGGTATTCAAATTTTCTTTTATTTTTTTTTCGATTTTGCTCGCTCACCCTTCTATGAACCCGGTCTCCAGCCTGATAGGGCATGTGCAACATCCATTCATCTTGCGACCAGTCCGGTACTATACCAATCCTGTCCCGATCGCTCAATATATTCAACCCACAGTCTAGGCAGATGGATATTCTTCTCGAGATGCTTATCATCTGAGCTCGGGACGTGCTAGGACGATCCCTAGGTCGCACAACCGCAACACGCGGGTGTGTGGGGAGCACCTGGCCCCCAGGATGACAATGATAATTCTCGACCAGGCAAGGGTAATTTTGGGATACTACCGAGTCTCGGCCTCGGATTTTTGATGAGCATGAATACTACAGACTTTGAGTAGATTCTAGATAGGCTATAGTGTGCTTAGCACTTCCGGAAGCTCTCACTGGGTGTAGTAGCTTGATCGACGGCCAGGAAAATCAGGAAAATACCTCCGGGTAATACCATTGAAAAGACCTCCTGGGGCCTCGGCGCCCCTGTAAGAATCTCCAAAGGTACACACGCCTGTAAGAGAGCCCAAATGGCCTCCTGGGAGTACCGGCTCTAAATGACCGAAGGGGAGGCACCAAAAAGTGCGTGTGCCTTGGCCTTAGCGGCCCAATAATCATCCCCCTCGAGGCCTTTGGGATTTTCCGCTTTTCTTTTTTCGTGCATTTGATTTTTTGACAATTTGATTTTCCTCGCATAGCTTCGTCTCTGCCCTTGATTTCTCCACATCCACCCTGCTACCGACCTGATGATGCGCCACAGGGAGAACGGCTGGTGGCTGAGACGTCTATAAATCTCCGGATCCCAAGTGTCCGCTGGTGGGACCTCGTTAGCCACACTTCCACTCTCACGCCCAGTTAACTCTTCCTCTATTTCACTCCTCGGAGCCACCACAAATGTGGATGGGCGTTCTTTTCTTCATCAGAAATGCTTCCTGGCTGTAGGCCTTCCCTTTCTTCTCTTCCTCTCTACGGCTGGGCTGCTCTTGGCCCAGACAATCTTTCGGCCAAGTGGGATTTCAAACCGTCGTCGATGAGCCTATGTTCCATGGTATTGTCGTTTGATACCCCTCCCAATGCCGTCTTGCTCGGAGGTTGGGGTCTGTACAGAGGTCTAGCTGACATCCGAGATAGGTCCCGCCAACCATGTCAAGGCAGCACCAGCAGGACGAGCTGGCGTATCCGCACTTTGCCCTCATTTATCTCGACCGGGATGGCAACCTGCACCATGAAGCATCCCGCTCCATCGCCAACAGTCGCGAGAGCATCCTGTCTCCCCGAGTCACGGATGCGTTTCTGCGAGCTGTGGCACAGTCGAGTGAGGCTCTCCCCTCACATTCTCAATGTATGTGTCACATACCCCATCCAGCTCAGTACGGTACCATTAATTCCTAGTAGATGAGCACGGAGCCCCAGCGCCTGGAGCAACATCATCACCGCCATCCCAGAGGGCCCCCGGCCGACAGATACCCCTTCGACCACAGCTTAACCGTGTTCCTCATGGTGCAGCAATCCAGGGCATTGAGGGACATCCTCGAGCCCCAGTGGCTCCAAGACCGGCTCTCCAGCCAGCTGTGTGGCCAGCAGCTCAAGCCAGCCAGCAAGAGCAATGGTCTCGCTGGTCGGGACCAAACACACAACCACCGCAGCAACCGCAGCCGCAACCCCGACCAAAGCACCGGAATGAAGAGCTCAGCATGAGAAGCAGCCAGCAAACTCTGATCTCCATCCGAGATCAAGATTTCCTGCGTCGATACTACGAGAAAGTGTTTCAAAACCTGCAGCAGACCAATTGCCGGGTGTTGGCTAAGGCCTACGTCAAGCTGGTCGAGCCTCGTAAGCAGGTCAATTATCCCTACAACGGGCGCAAGATCGTGGCGGGTCAGACCCAACAACTGGACCCCGATGAAACCAAGCCGCCGTGGTGGCCATTGGGAGTTAGCCATCGCGAGCCAGATCATCTCCCCAAGGCCGGTAAGGTGACGCTGGCTTTCCCCCTCTTTACCCTGCATTGAGGCCTGGCTGACCAAATCACCTTCTCAAGAACGTATTAGGCTTCTAGTGCATTTGCTTTGTGCGCTACACGATAGCCATGGAATCACGGCTCGCAGGTTGAAAGAAGCAGATCAGCCAATCCGTCGCCAAATCTCCCCAGTTGAGCGACTGCAGATTCTGGACGAAGTCTACCACGTCAGAGAAGAGGAAGAGAAGTTTCTAGCTGGTGCGACCGGTACGTAAACTTGTCAAAAACCTCTGCCCAGGGGTGGAAACTCATATACTACAGACGGCACTGTCAATGTGCCAATCTCCCGGGCAAATTTACCAGACGCGATCGAAGTTGCTGTTAGCCAAGGCGGGCGAAGTAGCAGGAAAAGCACACCAACAGAAAGGGCTCCCAGTCATGAACCGGAAACCATTGTGGAGACCATTGTCATACGAAGCGGCCCTGCTCACGATTCGAAGACCTCACAGTCCTCTCTGATGCCGGATGACAAGATACCCCCGAGCCTGTCCCCAACGAACCCTCGTCACCCTTCTCGTCCGAGCTCTCATAGTCCAAGCCAGTACATTCACCAAGACCTTCCTATACATCCCAATTATGACCCGACTGCATCATCATCCTCATCAATGTCACAACAAGATCTGAAGCGAAAACGACAGTGCGTGGAAACGGGACCGGCTACCACCGCTAGCCCTGATACGCTCGGGTATTATCCCCCCATGTTCGTGGGTTCTCAGCCTTTCATGCCCGAGTCCTATGACGAGCTTCAGACTTTCCCTCACACAACGATTCCCACGACGGGTCAGCCTGCGACGGACCCCTACGGAGAGCATATGGACACATATGCGTTCCCTTATTATTTTGACAATTGAAGCGTAGCGTATTGCGAATTTCGTTCCTTCTGTTTTCTGCGGCTTTATGATAACGATTTTCCTTGATCTCGTGGCGTTTCAATGGACCCAAAAAGCACCAGAAGTTCTTGGAGCCTGGCTGCTTTGTTTGTTTATTTCTTTATCTTACTTTATTTTGGACTTTTAATCAAGAGTGGGTGTTGATTAGAGCCGCTAAAGCGAAAATTACCACTGACCTTCTTAATCGAAGCATATGCACAATACACGCAGCGCACTTCAAATACCTCAAACCTGGAGAATTTCATATTCAACAGTCAACAGCCGAAGTACAGAGTAATTTCAACCTTGCTCTCTTTCCCATACTCTCTATTGCTTCTGTAACTGTCAATACATATCTTCCCTCTATAGACACTGCGAGTACCAATCATTGAAATAGGTGCAGGTATACCCGCTCGCACAGGTCGTGGCCCCTGTCCACCCGCTTCCACCACACTGCCCCCAATGTGCAGCAACACTTGTGGACGTGCTAGAGCTGGAGGAAGTCGTCGAGGTACTCGTGACCTGGGTGGTCGTGGTCGCCGTGGCCGTGCCACCCAGTGCAGTCAAGATGCCCGTATATGCAGGCTTCTTGGCCAGATTCTCATCCCAGGGACAAGCGGCGCCCTGGCCCGAGAATGTGCTCGGAACCCACGAGTACTTATCGGTCCAGTCCCAGATGGTGACACCCACACAGCCTTTGGTATCTGAGCAGGCACCGACAGTATTGCTATAGTCCGTCTTTTGCTGCGCAAGCAAAGCATCCGTCGAAGGCAGCGTCATCCGGATATCCAGCTCCGTAATAGCGACCTCAACTCCGAGATTGATGAATGATGCCATATTGCTCGCCTGCGCGCTCCTGCTAGGTGTGCTACCGACAATGAAGTGGGCCTGCAATCCGACGCCATCGATCTTCACGCCGTAGGACTTGATCAGCTTGACAATGTTCTGCGCGCCAGTTGCTTTGCTCCCAGCGTACTCAATATTGTAATCGTTATAGTAGAGCTTGACATTTGGGTCTGCAGCAGCGGCCGTGGCGAACGCAATGGGAAGGTAGGCCTCGCCAATGGTCTGGTACCAGAGACTCGTGCGGTAGGTTCCGTCCTCGTTTAGAGCTTGCAGGATCGATAGTTAGATAAGGTACCAGATTGCCACATGCTATTGCATATCCGAGAACATAAGAATGTACCTTCATTAACAACATCCCATGCATAGCATTGGCCCTTGTAGTGTGTGACTACGTTGGTAATGTGGTTCTTCAATGCTGCCACCAGCGTTGCATTGGTCCAAGTGCCACTGGTCACTAAGCAGAAAAAGAAGGTATATGAGTACCGGAAGATTTTGTTCTCGAGTCCATTTGATTCTTACCCCAGCTTGGTAATTGATTATGCCATACCAAATTATGGCACCGGACCATCTGACCATTGGCTTCTGCCAGATCGACAATGGCATCACCCTTGGTAAATGTGAAGGTATTTTGTGTTGGCTCCGTAGCGTCCCACTGGCGAAGAACAGTAAGAGAATATTCTATATAATAGAGACTAACAAGTAGAATCTGAGCACCTTTTGTGAGTTTCCCGGAGTGATTTGACCAAAGTCGTTTGTGTTATTCAGCTGAGTCTCATAGGCAGTATCGCTCAACTCAGGGTTGTCAGTCGCCGTTCCGAAGTATAGTTTTCCTAGGGCGACAGCCGCGGTGTCGAGGCCATCTGCCTGAACGCTGTGAAACAATATCTTGAGTCAAGGGTGTTGTCAATGGGGTTATTGGAAAATTGCACTTACAAACGAGGTAGAAAACTCACAGCCAATGCTATGGCACTAGCGGACAAGCGAACCATTTTGAGAATTGCAATGACTATTTCTGGATCATACACTTTCTCGAAATAATGAAGAGATTCTGCAGTTCAACTATGATGACTGACATTGATCGTGATGCCTGGGGTCCGTCTGGTCTTTATACCTAGCAACAAGGCCAAAGGCACTAGTACATGGAGTAATTCCCTCTGGGCGCTAGGATGACCCCATAGCTTTCCTTTATTCGGACTGATTTCCCGTGGCGTAGTTGTCGCGGCTATACCCAAAGAAATAAGGCCATTTGCGGTTTCCTCGGGGCATTACGCTAGATCGTTTGCATAGTCCTACATCTCAACGGCGCTAGCCGATACAGAAGCTCTTCATACTTTCTACTTTAGGCTGAAATAGAGCATTTGAAAAGGGGGGATAGAGCCACGACAAATTGTGACGAACAGAAAAGAGAGGGGGCTTAGGCCCACAGAGTGTTTCCCATCTCGACGGAACTTACGGGTTCAGAGAGGTTTCGTCGCGATTTAGAAGTGACTTGGAGTGATTGAAAGACCCGGCGTTTCAGGTAGAATTAAGGCCGATCAATTGGTTTCAAACCCGTTGGCCAGCCATGATCGCTTGATATAAATGAATGCCAGAACCGGAATATTTTCGCAATATCTTTTCTTTCACCTCGATGGCAAAAATTTAGGTTGTTCTTTCGCCCCTACCATCCTGCAGGAGATTATGTTCAACTCGGAGGAAGCTCCGTCTTCGCCGGAAAAAAACACTCAAGGGGGCCCTGCAGATGTGAATCCCCCGCATCCATCAGCAGCTGAAGAAAGGCTAAATGATCCCTGTCCGTCTTCTTTTTCGGATAAAGTCTGACATTGGCGTTGTTCCTGTCGCGGGGAAATTGTGGATCCGCTGAGGATCCCCGGCGTTCCCCTGAGGCATCTCCGGCGTCGCGGATGGAGATGTCTGGCATTCTTCCGGGGTACAGCCAACGATCACAGGTTTCTGGATACATAACAAACGAGGCTTGAGCCACGGCAGTTGAGCTAAAAGCCTTTGCCATACCCCCGTCTAACCTGATTAACAGCTAATCTGGTTCGGAGGTGGCAGAATCATGCTACCACTCGACGGCAGCAGCAAGCCAAACGGCCACTCGGAAGCAGGTCTCGACTCGTCAAATACTGGCTTGTTTTGCTTGCAGATAGTATAAGGTTCATTTTGACAGGCATTTTCCTTGTCGCACCTGCATCCGTTTACCGGCGAGAAGATGAGTGTCGCCAACATCCAGCCCCGCGGCGCTGGAAGGCCCGAGCTCCTCGACGCAACGGGACACGTTATGACCTATTGCTCCAGGAGCTCCAGGAGCAATATCAAAGTGTCAACCAGATAGCGCACAAGTATCTCCGTTGCTTATATTAACATATCTGTAGTAATGTTCGGCTTCCCACCATCTTTTGACTAATCCACAATGCGAAGGGGATAAACAAGGTCTATTTTCAGGTCCAACTTAATTAAACTAGTTTTACTATTCAGATTGTTTTCAATTTGATCCAAGCCAATTTGAGATTGCATATCTGACCCTGGCTTATATCGATCGGGCGAAGCAAGCTAAAACAATATAAAATAGCTTGCGGCAGAGCGAATAGGTTCAAAAGTCGCTGTATTAATATGTATTAGTAATATGCGATCTAAACTACGTTCGGACAAGACCTCACTAGGCATTAACTGAGAACTGAGACAGTCGCTGTCTGCGAACCAGGCCTGCCTCTAGGGGTTGCGGAAGAGAAAGAGAGGACACCTAGGGATAATGTAGAAGAGAACTAGGTATCTGAGTTGCTAGATTAGCGGGATATGCCCATATATCACATATTCCGTAACACCGCTAATTTATGCCTGTATGCCACTTCCCCACTACAATGTATATTGTTTTTTTAGCTGTAGATAGGACGACAAGGAAATCGTAGTTGTGCGAGGACGATAGCAAGTTCGGAGGAAGAATCGTGAAATGTCAATTGATTTTCGTCTCGTCTACTTTTATGTGATCTTGCTGAATTCTGAAAGTTTGTTCCCAGGGTTCTTTTCGGAGCCTTTGAGGCAAGATATCAATCTAATCATCTCTGTCCTCGAGGTTCATGATTTTGGCCCTCTGGTATGGGGTAGATTCAAAGTTCCCTGAAAGATAGTGGAGGGGTTTGGCAAACGAAGTGAAAGCGATAACCGTATGCGTGAGTAGTGCGATTTATCGCATTCGTTTTTGGGGGCAAGCAGACAACTCAGAAGTATCTGGGGTGATGTGAGATGGAATATATGGTTAATAATTCGGGCCAAACCTCGGCTACCAGCATACCATGTCTGATGCCAGCGAGCATGCACAACGCGGCAGTGCAACAAACCAGCAAAATCGGGTTCAGGTTTATCAGCCTCAGATAAGACTGATCATTTGATGACTTTAAAAGGTCCTGATTTGAACCTTGCCTTGGAAATTGCGGATTCTCGTTATTGGTGGGATTGATTGCTTCCAGAGGGGTTTATTCTTCCCCAATGGGCGATATGTATTGATCAAAAGATGAATCTATATGCAGAAGATAGAGGTTTGAAACAGGGGTATCAAGTTTGTCCGCATTCAGTCATTTATTGAATGTGTCCAAGCTCAACATTTAGATTGTGCCGATGCATTCTGAATCGTGGGACGGTCCCTGCCAGGGGCATTGGAGTATCCCCATTTGGACCGAGACCTTCATGAATGAGACATAATTGCCATGGTATATCCTACTTGGCAGGTCAAAGGGTTCTCTTGAATGAAGAGGACTGTGTTGGGATATTTGTGAATGACAACACAAGGGTATTACCACCGTGGCTGCTTTCAACCCTGCTTTCGAGCCTTCATCTCCGCGATGAACGCACCAGTCTTGGAAATTGGCACAACGAAGATTCTGACCAGCTCATCAACAACCTCGACCTTACCGCCAGAGAGAATCTGCAATAATGGCAGCCTCTTGCCAGCCTTGATTAGACCTCCTGAAACAGTGGACATGAAACACTCAACATTCTTAGTCGAATACTCATTTTTGGTGTCCCACGGCAAGGGGAAGATGTAGTCCAGATGATCCTCAATAGTATGCATCTCAGAGAAGCTCTTGATGAAATCAGACTGAGCATCCATGGGATAAAGAAGAACGGCGGGAAATTGAACGGTACTCTCCGGTGAGAGAGGGTCGGGAACCAGCGAAATCTTGGCATCTTCCATCTCCGGAGGTTGATCCGTCTTGCGGGTACGAATCTGACGCGCACGCAAAGCAGTGCTCAGAACAAGGTTTTGTTTGCGCGCCAACTCTTCCTCCGCCTTTTTCTTGGCAGCAACACGCTGAACCTGAGCTTTCCGCTCAGAAATTTTGGACGAAGCAGTCTGAAGGGCTTTATTTTCAGAATCGATGGCCAGACCTCGCGAGACACAATCTTCGGCTTCTATGACCTTGTCCAGCTTCAACAGTGCCATGGAAGAACGGTAATAGGCTTTGACATTCTTCGGGTTGAGTTTGATGACAGCTGCGCAGTCAAGTGTGCAAGAGCGATAGTTACCTGCAGCAAAATCAGCAGTCAGTCCAAATTTTGACTACAGGGTCATGATATCATTCCAGTAACATACCAAGCTCAAGGTTGCACAGTGCACGGTTGATATGCGACAGCTCCTCCATCTGGCGAAGCAATTTCTGCTCCACTTGGAGGTTCTCGGGCTTGTCCCACTTGTCCTCCTTGGCATAGATGACAGCGATGCTCTTGGTATACATCTCCTTGGCATCGATCCATCGCTTCTCTTGAACGGCCTCATTACCCTGCTCCTTAAAACTTTGTGCAACTTCGGCCCGGGTACCCTCGTTTTGCATGGCGTGTAATGCGTCCAAAAGAACATTTTCGCCATCTGCAATCAAAAAAATCAAACAATAAGAATTAGCCTCAGTCCAATGAAATAATATTCATGTCCAATGTTTGAAAACGCCAGCTTCAAAAGGTCCGACGTACTCTCATCGCCCGCGTTTTCAATGTCTGTCATGAAAAGCGGGGTCTTATTCATCATATTGAGCAACTCCTCCTTAGAATTCGACTTGACTGCTGCAATAGCTGGCGGAAGCTCTGGCGCAGAAGGGTCCTTTTCTAACTCCTTCAGCCTCTCTTGATTGATCGGGAAGGGTGCTTCATTGTTCGCAGCGAAGCCATCAAAGCCAGGCTGTGGCAAGCTCTGGGCGATCTCCGGAGGTACATCGTTGAGATTGAGCGACTCGTCGAAGTCATCTGGAAGTTCCTCGATTCGCGACATGGTTGTAGGGAATAGAATGCTTTTTCGAGTAATCAACGTTTCTGTGAACTTTTTTTGCGGGGATGAGATTGTCCGGAAATGCGTTGAAACAAACAGTGCAAACACGAGGGGAAATCAGCCGGGCCGGGAGGGCCGAGGGAGCCCTAATTCCGCCCAACGTTCTTGAGGAGGTCGAGATCATACTATTCGGCTCTAGAATCAACAAAATCAGGCTATCAACAAAATAAGAAACACGTGGATGAACTGATTTTGCTCCGAGGCAAATAGAGCCCTCTCACTGAATAATCTCTAAGCGGGATAGACTATATTATCATGACGGAGCGAGCAGGGATCCACCCAAACATTCTACATTTAAGTATAGGGTTCGGAATAACTAACGGACCCAAGCTTGGAGGGCAATCATCAAGACATGCTAGTCAAATGCTTGTGGCTCTTGTATTTATTCTAAGGCTGCCTTATACCTACAGTCAACATATCAATATAGTGTTTTAGTCAGGTTGCTTTGACGATTCCCGCGATTCCCGCTAAACGGCAGGCTGAACATCTTTCATCCAGATCTGATTAGGCTTTTCTTGAAATCAATGAGCACGTCTCATTCGAAACCCGAGAATCTTTGGGAATTCAGTGAAATTTCTTGATGAATGTTGACGCAAAGGATCATAAAAGCTTTCGCCAAAGTTGGTCTCTTCTAGTGCATCCATTACAAGACCCGCTTGGAAAAAAGGTGCAAAAAGCTGATGCAAGGGACGATGGAATAGAAACTATAGAAATTATATAGTACCATTATTTGTTTTGCCCTAAAGACGGTGGGCTACTTCCAGGACGTACCGGTCGTTCAATATTTGCATCCCCGGGCAACACTAGCTGTTTCACAGGTGGGGCATTCAAATATTTCTGCAGATTTATCGAACGCACAATAACTTCCTGTCCTGTCGTTGGATCTTCTTTGACTAATATTTGGCGAGATGCACCAGAGGTGAAAAACATCGGATGGAGAAGTGTAGCCACAAAGCTCCAAGAAAAAACTCATCAGCATAGAAAAAAAGAATGACCCATCAAGCACATCGGCATTCTATGAAGTCTAGAACTCACCACCCATTTGGCGTTAAGATTCGACCCAAGAATGATGCCAATATCTCTAGATCCGGAATATCCATGACAGCCATATTCATAGAAACTATGTCGAAACTGTCACCCTGAACAAGAAGAATAGCTTGAGATGCGGCAGACTTGTGCTAAGGTGCGACTTGAAAACTCACCACTGGAAGAGTTCGAGCTATGCGAGAGACGAAATGATCACATGAAGATGAACTCGTTACATCTAACACGTAAAACGAGATATTTCTTTCACTCCGTAGTTTTGCCGTCCGTGCGATCGCACGTTCAACCATTGATGGCGCGCCGTCGGTGGCGACTACAGTGGCACCCTTCCGAGCAAGCCAGCGGGCAACGAGGCCATTGCCTGTTGCAAGATCTAATGCAAGGGATCCCTCTGGGTTTATGATCAACTTTTCCAATATGGGTAGCTCCAAGTGCTGGAAGTAGTCGTTGCCCTCATCGCCCATCCCGAGATCCCAGGAGGCAGCATAAGTTTCCCATGAGGAAAGGGGGGTTTGAGAAGCAGATTCAGTCATTTTGGATAATTAATTAAAGAATTCTGAAGTCGTATAGAAATGAGAAGGTCACTCTATGGCGATGCCCAAAGGTTGAAGGTTAGTTTTTAATTCCCGAGACTCCCAAATCCTCCGCCGAGCCGCCTAATGACTCATCTTCGTATACCATCGATGCTCTGAACCAATTGATCCTATCCCCGTACTCCCCCGTAATGGCATCAGCCTAGTCAATATTTGTCACAATCTAGACATGAGGAGAACGCCAAGAATGATACCCCCAAAGGATCTGCCTCCGTTGCTCGGAAGCCATTTCGGAGAATGCCCGAGACTCCTTCAACCCCGCATTCGTCGGACGAAAGACCGAGCCGTTGATACAAGACAACGCGGGTGCAGCTCTGAGGCAGGAGGATTTCGAGCCAAACCCACATAACGCAATTATCCTTTGCAAAGCCGACCTCTGATATTAAGATCAGGGAAGAAATATCGGCATGTCTCAAACCCACAGTATTCTTGTTCTACCAGGTGATGGCATCGGCCCAGAGATCATGGCTGAAGCCATTAAAGTCCTTAAAGCATTTGAAAGCCCAGAGCACAAATTTCAGTTACGCCAGGAATTAATAGGAGGTGCCAGCATCGATGCGACAGGAAAGTCTGTCACCGAGGAAGTCAAACAAGCAGCTCTGGAATCCGATGCCGTCCTGTTTGCTGCAGTGGGTGGCCCGAAATGGGACAATGCTCGCCGTGGATTGGATGGGCCAGAAGGTGGATTGTTGCAGTTACGAAAGGCAATGGATATTTACGCGAACCTGCGTCCATGCTCGTCCAATTCCCCCAGCACTTCGATCGCCAAGGAGTTTAGTCCATTCCGGCACGAGATTCTCTTCGGTCCTGATTCCAGCGGCGTAGACTTTGTAGTAGTTCGAGAGAACTGCGGCGGCGCGTATTTTGGGCGAAAAGTGGAAGACCCGACATATGGTGAGTTCATATAATCTAACTAACTGTTTCCATTACCCACTCACTGATGTCAAACAGCAATGGATGAATGGGGCTATTCTGAAGCTGAGATTGAGCGTGTTGCTCGACTTGCTGCTGAGGTTGCTTTACGACATGACCCTCCATGGCCTGTGATTTCACTGGATAAGGCTAATGTGTTGGCATCCTCTCGTCTTTGGCGCCGCGTCGTTGAAAGAACCATGACGACGGAGTATCCCCAACTGAAGTTAATTCATCAGTTAGCCGACTCGGCATCTTTGATCATGGCTACTAACCCCCGTTCTCTGAATGGTGTGATTCTAGCTGATAACACTTTCGGTGACATGATTTCCGATCAGGCTGGCTCCATTGTCGGAACTCTTGGAGTACTTCCTAGCGCTAGTCTCAATGGTCTTCCTGGCGATAAAGCCCTGAAGACCCGGCCATATGGTTTATATGAGCCAACACATGGTTCTGCTCCAACGTAAGATATACTGACGATAGGAGAAATTGTAACGCTGGTTTCACTAATCGGTTGCCAGAATTGCCGGAAAGAATATAGCCAACCCCGTGGCAATGATTCTCTGCGTCGCCTTGATGTTCCGCTATTCCTTAAGTATGGAAGCAGAAGCCCGGCGAATAGAAGATGCTGTTCGAATCGTTCTCGATGCGGGTGGACGGACACCGGATCTGGGAGGCAAAATGGGAACCAAGGAGCTTGGTGATGCCATTCTGGCTGCTCTGTAGATGAAAGTACTGGAAGATAACAAGTATGATCTGAAAAATCAACCATTGAATTTGATCGAGGCTAGAGAAAAGGACTTGGCAGGTTTTCCTCAGACGATGGGGCTGAAAGAGAGAGCTGGGTGTTTCCGGGGCTTTCTTTTGGCTTATACCATCGGAAAATGTGTTCATTCCTTTTTGAATAAGTTTTCGCATCAAATCTAGTCAATTCCCTTGTTATATCTCAATGCGATTCTATAAGTTAACTGCCCCATATCTCGTCCTGAACTGGCGAAAGAAATCTCTCGCAACGCATAACTCATTGTTGGTTTCGGGAGCTTGCAGAAATTGAGTTCAAGACAGCATTTGGAAGTTGCCTCAAACGAAGTCAAACAAAGGGTGAAATTTAAAGCCGTCTTTTGGAAGATATTACGTATGTTTGCTCAATTTCTCAGTCATTCAAACAGATAACCTTTGACGTTTCTGCCATCTCTACGAAAATTCCATTCTTATAGGTATTCCGGCGCTCCTCCCCTTTACATCTACCTTGGCTTAGGAAGCTCATCGATTTCATTCTTCCGAACTAGTGCCGGCGTCTTCAAAGGTTTTGCAGCCGTCAGTACATGTGTTGTCGGTACTACAAAGAGAGCAACATTTCATCGATTGCCAGACACAGACAGACACCAGAAGAAAAGCGCCCCAGTCAAGAGGTTACAACAAGAGAGGCCGGTCCGCTAGTATGTCGCCTAAGTCCAAACGAAAGCCCCTCTCGACCACAACAGCGCCACTGAGATCCCAAATTCGCCCAGGGTTCTCTGTAATGCGTCTGCAGGGCCTGGAGCAGCGATCTACGACAAGCAAAAACTCACTCTTGGCTTCTGTTGCGGATGATATCGGCGCAACTTTCATTTCTATCGCGAATCATGCGAATGCTGGCAACCTGGACGACGCGGATCTAGGACCATTTGAAAACGTGGCGAGAATCATACACCAAGCCAGCAATGTGGAGCAGCAGGTACTGAAAAGCCAAGTGCAGCGGTTAAAGAGGGGTAACCGCGGGCTCCGACGTGAGTACCAGAAGCTATATGGGTTTGTCGAGAGGCTGGGTCGGGAATATGATGGGAAATTACTAGCTCTAAAGGATCGGGAAGGTCAGCTGCAGACGCAAGTGAAAGATCTGAAGGCGGATCGAGAGCTATGGCGATTACACATCGGTTTGAAGCCATGTCATATTGAGACCAAAAATGTTCCTGAGATCTCAGAGGCACTGAGAGAAAGGGGGAAAACCCGGGCAGTCGACGGCGAACCTGATGGAGAGCGGAAAGAGGATGACGTCCATTTCAACACGGAGATGGAGTATTGATTCTTCATATCTTCAGGTTGAGAACGACCAGGATGCTAGAGAGCTAAAAAAATGATTAAAAAATGGAACCTGAAACATGACGGTATTATCCTTTGCCGTATCCTCTAGATACGGGAAAGCCCAAAAAAAGAATGACTAGACTGGGGCTCGATCCCAGGACCTCGTCGGTGTGAGCGACGCGTGATAACCAACTACACCATCCAGCCAATTGCTTGTTAGTCAGTCAATAGACAGCTAAGATAAGCATAACTCTCAAACTCTCTGATTTCCCTGTTAAGTTAAGCCTCCGAGATAAAACTCAGTTCATCAAATTTAGGAAACACCCACTGAGCTACAGACTTCTCAATATGTATGAAGATCGCCATCATAATTTGATAAATAAAAAGATAATCAGTGGTACTGGAAAGAACAACAAAATTTAATGGTCCTTCAAGGCAGGAATCCGCATGTCAAACTGGTTTTGCTTAAGGGGTCACTGTGATATTCGAAATTAGAACTCTTACACCTTCTTTGCCGGATAATAATTACGAGTATTGCGAGTTCTGATTGGATACTTGCAATACCTCTGGTTCTAGACTGCTTTCACTATAACAATTTAGGTTGTACATGACAAAGGCGGTAGGGACTTGAACAACTTATAACTGATTTCGAATATTACTGTACGGTTTCAACTCTTCCAATTTCAATGGCACCGGTCATCCCTGGATGCGGGAACAGCTAATCCGCTTACAGGAGAAGTTTTGTTGTGGCGGGAAGCGAAAGCAAAGCTTACCGCTCCACAAACTCCAAGGACCCCGCGTAGACTATCTAATACAGAGCACAGACCGAGGAAGACGAGAAAAAGATAGTCAGGTAGTTCCAGCCAGTCTCAGTCCGGCTGGAGAAGGCCAATAGCCTACAGGGATTGCTCATCTGATAGCAAGAGTACGGCCGGCCCGAGAAGACAATGCTTGAAAGGTGATCGCAGCCGGTTGCTCCGGTAAAGACTTGCAACTCTCACGGGCTGGCGGGCATGTCGGCCTCCAAGTTCCGAGGCATCTAGGTAAGTCGCCGACGGCATTTGATTGGAAAATACCGAAGAGAATTCCATCTGTAGACGTGCATCCAAAACAGTAGAAATTCGCCCCAAAAACCCACTTGTGGGATCTCATGATCGTTTATTGATGGGGACCGAAAATCGGAAATTCTCGTAACCAGGACCAGCCGAAAATTGGGCGACGTGCAGCAGCACGCCGATAACAACGGACTATCATCGACCGAGAGGAAGCAAAAAAAAGGGACCTCGGCATTTTGGCCGTCGAATGCGCGTAGGCTGATTCGACCCGCGGATCCACTCGATTTGGACCTTCATGTGGGATAACTCCAGACTCGCGATCCCTCTCCGTCCTCGATTCACTCCCTTTTTTTCTCTTCCGTTTTCATAACATCCTTCGTCTAGTAGACTTTAAGCAGATCCCAAACAAGTCGACGGACAAGAGAAATCCGTGGTCTTGATCCATACGTGCCTTTTTCAACACCCACCCCTTACCCCAGACGTTATCGGCCGAGAATGAGCAACCACGGCGACTATGAGGCGGTCCGCAGGGACATCGTCGCTCAGCTTCAGAAGCCCGGATACGATGATGGAAGTGCAGGCCCGGTGTTTGTGCGTTTAGCATGGTATGCATTCCGTTGCTGTTGTGGCCGTTTTGCCTGGGACCGGTCGGCAATGATGCTGTTCCTGACAGTGATGCCGGAATTTGGAAAAGAGACATTTGAATCGAAAAAACCTATGTTTGCTAACAATTTGCTGCATCACAGGCACTCCTCCGGTACCTATGACCTCGACTCCGATACGGGCGGTTCAAATGGCGCTGGCATGCGCTATGAAGCAGAGGGTGGCGACCCGGCTAACGCGGGTCTGCAACACGGCCGAGCATTCTTGGAGCCAGTGAAGGAGAAGCACCCGTGGATCACATACTCAGATCTGTGGACATTGTCAGGCGTTGTCGCAATCAAGGAGCTGGGAGGACCAGATATTCCGTGGCAAGGCGGCCGAACCGATCTCGTTGACGACTCCAAGGTGCCACCTCGGGGAAGGTTACCGGACGGTGCCTTGGGCGCCGACCACTTGCGATTTATCTTCTATCGCATGGGCTTCAACGACCAGGAGATTGTTGCGCTCGCCGGTGGTCACAACCTGGGCCGATGCCACGGCGACCGCAGTGGATTCGAGGGACCGTGGGTAACGAATCCCACACGGTTCTCCAACTCGTTCTTCAAGTTGCTCCTGTCGTTGGACTGGAAGCCTCGTACCCTGTCAACGGGTATGACACAGTTCGTGTATGAGGACCCCGATGCGGAGGAGGATGAGGAGCCGCTCATGATGCTGCCAACCGATATGGCACTCAAAACGGACCCGTCATTTGCCCCTTGGGTGCAGCGCTATGCGAAGGACAAGGAGCTTTTCTTTGATCACTTTGCGAAGGCATTCGCAAAGTTGGTTGAGCTTGGCATCCAGCGCGATGCTCATGGTGTCATCACCAACACTGATAACCAGCTTGGTGGCTATGTCTCGGCTCCCAAGAAGAGCAATGTGGCCACTGGCCCGACCAAGCCCAAGGGTGAACCTCGTGCTCGCTTGTAATTCGGCTAAATGGGTTATCTGTTGCGTTATTAGGTTTTTTTTTGCGGTCTTACTTGTTGTTTTGTTTTTGATGAATTCCCCCTTGTGTTGATAGATCTGAACAGCCAGTACTCTGGGCCGGGTTTAGAAGTGTAAATAGATCATAAACCATGAGGATACCTGTCAAAATTTTCTGAACTGAGATCCTTTATTAGTACGTTGTTCAAGAAGCAGCAAAGGTAAAGACCCATGTGCCTGCCAGTAGGCAGTTGTCAGTCTTCTTAGACCTCAGAAAGCAGAGCATAGCACTCCATGAGGGTCTTGACTGCCAGAGATAGAATGGCTAGGAAGTCATGAGGTCGAAATAAGTCTCAAGAAAACAAAGCCAATGAAGGGATGGAGAGTAGAATATGTGATAGGAAAAAGACTACGGAGTGGTAAGAGGGGAGGACAGAGTAAAAGGGAAAAGGGAGAGCGAGGAGTCCGGGGTACGCGGGGGCGCACGGGACTCGGGCCTCCACAAGAATGTTTTGGGGGTGTTTCTATACAAAGTCCAGCCCGCCCGATGGTTAATAGCGGGGCCCTGATTGGTACAATGGGCCGCAACTAGTATCGTACGTGTTTCTGCAACGCAGAATTACAGAAACCTGCACCATTAGTTATTGATGATTCAGTTAACTAGGTTAGTTAACTTAGTTAACTAGGCAATTCTCATTAATAACAGTTTCTACACAGCGGCTTTACCACCGCCTATATGAATAAATATACAGGACCCAAACCGACGAAGCAGAGGAGTGACAACATATTTGAGAACTTTTAAGGCAGTAGGATAAAAGCTATGATCACAAGTATTTGTAGCATCCCCAGTGATAACAGTGATGAAGCCCTCCTCTCGTCAGGCCTTTATGAACGGGCGAGTCCGCCGAGGACCATTCACGCCCTAATCCTCCGTTTCCGTATCGGAGATGTCCCTTCATCCTTGGTCCCCTCCATTTGCGCTCTCTTTCTCCGCCCGTACAGCTCTTGCTGTTCCTCCTGGAGTTCCGAGGCCCTTTCTTTCATGGCCTTCTTGATTAGCGCCACAGGAATGGGGTAAACACAGTACGGAGGACGGCGTGTGTTGCAGATAGCCTGATTCATGCTCACCCAATTGACCACTCCTGCAGCTCCAGACTTTGAAGGATTCTTCGAGCCCGATATTTCTTTCGCCGTTTGGAAATATTCCCACAGTGAGCTCCCCTTTGACCTGTCTCTTTTTGAAGACAATGGCACTGAGAGTTTTGGGAAGCGCATCATTCCTCCTGATGTGGGGGGAACACTACCCTCCCAAACCTCAGGACAATCACGAAGAGACGATGGGTCATCCAGCAAGGAAGTGAAGATTTTTGAACACTTTTTAGCCTGCTCGAATGGTGGGTCTTCCAATAGACCGAGTTGTGATGCCCTACGTTTCATAGACATGTTCCCTGCAGAGTCACTCGACAATCCATCAATGTCGATAATCTTCTCAGCGATCCACCGCGCAACGGCGTACTTAGAATCGCCGGTCAATTCAACTCCAGGCCGGCCATTTGCAGCATGATCTGACGTCTGATATATCAGGTTCCCGGAACTGGTGGAAGATTCGACAAAACGGTCGCCGTAGTCGGGCAGGATTCGCGGTTCAGGTCGCCGGGGCACCGGAGGCGTTGGAAGCCATGGATAATGTTCGTTGAGAACATATTTTCCTTCGGACACCATGTTCATCATGTCTGAGACCGACTGTTGAGCGGCGTGCAGCACATCCGTGGATGGATTCATGACACGCTCATAGATGATGATCGGAATACCCTTTTCAGTCCAATCGGGATGAATTCGCTCATCCTGAGCATACGGGGGCAGTCCCCCAATAATTGTTCCTGCAGCATCCATGCTATCATACTTACGGATATAGCCTGTATCAAAGCCACCCCGTTCAGCATCTGTCCAGTAGACCCGGGTGTGATTATTCCGATAATAAGCACCACCAAGCCAACGATAGGTTGCCGTCCGTGTGAAGCCCTCGGTATCAATATAATTGAACACAAGGTCTTGAGTGTGATTCAAAACTAGAAAGCCAGCTGACGTACTCACGACCAGGCGCAGAGGAAGCTTTTCCACGGCTCGTATAACCGTTGGTCCGGTGTGCGAGCCGCAGCCCTCACAGATAATGTGCTTGGGCTCACTGTTCCAACAGCGTTCTACCAGCTCCGGCACTGTAACACCTTTTTCGTCATTAGCCTTCCATGGGGGGATAATGGTATGCCCGGTCCCCCGTTTAACATCTTTGATTGTATTCCCGCAATGGACACATTGCTCAATGGGAGCCTCAATATATCCAAAAGTAAACTGTTTAAAAGACCTGGTAGACTCTGCCCAAACCGTCCAGATTGGAATGGGCTCATTGATCTCGATACTGGGACAGTTGTCGCACAGCAATTTATAGAATGAATGACGGAGCTGAATTGACACTTCATCATTAAAAGCATCCCAGTTCATGTTGGTGACCTGGATAAAAGCGCGTTCAATTTCTCCGAAGGCCTTATCTGCATCATTTTCACGGTCCACGACTGTGCAGCCAGCGTCACTCAGCATCCCTAGCACCACGGAAACATCAATGGCACAGGATCCATCAGCCCAAACTGGACCTCGGCCACGATAGGGGAAAGCGAACCCAGAGGGATCGAATTGATGGGTTAACACATTTAGTCGCACCTCTGAGATCGTTGTATGCGCCCCGATCTGTATGTGACTTAAATCATCAGAAGTATTCGCGGTTCGAGTCGCGATGGGCTCCTTAACCGGTGCTTGAGGGTGACGCTCCAAGTCAGCGTAAGTGATATTGATCAAGCTGCGTTCAATTGCAACCCGAATTGAATTCATTTTGAAGTCAACTCTGTATATATGCGATTCCTTTCCGAGCGTGGCTGGCTGGAGATTCAAGTTTGATATGCAATGCTGAGAACATCTCAAACAAGAACCATCATGGCTTCTTATGACATCTGTCATCTTTATGGGGGAGTTACTTCGATCTATCGTGCCGGAGAAAGTCTCGGTTTCTGATGGAGGATCCCTGTGATTCCCTACAGGCCCCTGAGGGGAAGGAACACTGATAGAAAGGAGAAGCTGCATGAAATGACAATCTGCAATCTCTTGGGGTGCATCTGATGGACGAGAGAAGCTTCCCTTACATTTCTGTGCCAGCGTTGAATACGAGAGCTGAACGGGGTAGTACCGGCTGATGGGAGGAGGAGTTGGTATCAAATCCCAATTCAAGAGCCGCGGGCCTCCGTCTCGGTTGATATCAAATAATTCGGCCCAAGTTTGAGGGCGACAATCTGGTCGCATCCAGTAGAATAATTTGAAAAGACCATTAATTATCTGAGTTCTTGTAGGTCTCCCTCCATGGTCTTGGCATCTCTTCGGAAGAAAGATCATGCCCCAGAGATGCCATTTGGCAAGAACCTCGAGGACGCCCACTTTGAGAGTCTTGTCATTTTCAAATTGCTGTCGAGGCCGTCCCATGAGCTTGAAGTACTGAGGTGCATCATTCAATGCATTCAAGTCGTATAAATTATCAGGAGTGTCTGGCACCTGAACCCCATCTGGGTTACGTGGAAAGTCAGCTGGTAAAACAGCGGGCCCTTGATCCTCCAAACCCCATAGGCCGCCTAACTCAGACACTTCACAGTGCATCTTTCGAGTCAAAGGAGAAGGATCAAATAAAGAACATGAATATGAATATGAAGTTGAAGTATGAGGCAAATCTAAATTATCACGAAGTACAGCGGCTAAATGCTGATTTAGCTCGAGTACATCAGAAAAATTTTTGAGAACAAGGGTAGAAATCAAACAGAGTGAAAAAACCGCACAGCGGAGCTATATATTTCTTTCATTTTTTTTAGAAAAAAAATTGAGACTTTGCCATACGAAGACTAGTAGTAACCCCCGGTCCCAGCCGAGTCTAGAGAATAAAGAAACAAGTCAAAATATGATCTACTTTCAACCAAAGGGAAGACAACAACATTGGGAATGTCCAGTCTCTATAATTCCCATACTTCTAGAAACGGGCTCTGCTGAAATTCAAGTAACAAGTTCAAAAATGATACTATAAGAAAGGCGACTTGCTTGGATGAGCGTGCATGATTACTGCAAAATTGAAGCAACAGAGCACAAAGAAGACAGCCGATAGGATCCAGAAGAAGAGAGGAGATATGAAAGAAAATAGGAGAGCCCGAAGTCTTCAGAGGGGCAAGTTTTATGTCAAAGCTACCCAAAGTACCGATCAAAGTCCATAATTGTAGATTTTTTTTACCTAGGTTGCCCAGGTCCTGAGCTGTCTCTATCGACGCAGAACTATTCTAGTCGCTTAGTCAAGTTTTCATATATATGTTTTTTTTTTCATCCCCTTCAGTTCCATGTAAGGGGAGCCTATTAGTAGCTAGATGATGGCCCATGTAGAATTATGTGTAATCATACTTCAAAATACGTATTGGCTATCAAAGGGAAGTTGTGGCAGAACTTCGACGCCCAACAGATTACCAACCCTGATTTTCGATGGGTTCCAGGGGTCGGTTGCACTTCTTCCCCGAACCGTAAATATGAAACAGCTGAGTGGTGGCAGTCTTGCAGTAAATTAGTGTTCACGAGTTTACAATGGTAGTAAAGAAATGGTTACAGCCATAAGTTCCAGCAGATTATGCGGGAGGGTTTTATATCTTCTGTTTGCAGATGATTCTTATCTTTGCTCTTTCACATGGTACCATATTCGAGGATTAGATGCTTGAATAACTCATGGTGCTGTTCGGGAAAGTCTGATACACCACAGGTATGTAAAGCCGCTCAAAAAGAGGGACCGGTGGCAAGGACCTATAAGATGGATCAAGTGTCATTTCTTTGTTACTATAATAATTAAAACTGGCTTTCTTCTCAGCCGAGTAACCGCTTATAATTCTTTTACATATGACTTTTATGCCAAATTATATTTCTAACCCAGCTTACTATCGATTATGGGCTAATAGGTGAGTTGCTGGAGATGTACACGCTCCACAAGCAACCTGAGGTTCCCAACCAGATTAGGGTTCGCCCCAGGAAAGAATCCGCATGGTCACGTGATAGAATCGACTTGTGCGTGATCACATGATATTATGCACCTAAAGCAGACTAGCGCATGATCAAGCGAGCCCTCAAACGCACTGTTCCAATTACGGTTAGTGTCCCAATTACCCGATCCCACAACGGAAGCAAAGTCACTCGAGACTTCCTGCTCTCTCCATCCCTCCCGTCGACAAGCAATCGCGAGCCAGCGCGCCCATCGCCATCATGTGTATGTTGATTCTCCCACGCCCTTCTTTGAACCAACACTGCAATAATGAAACAAACGACACCGCTGTTTCCTGAAGTTGGCCCCTCGATCAAAAGAAATGGCTCAGCTAACCTGCCGACGTTATACAGCGCTCGTGTCCGGCGAGAAGACCAACTTCCAATACATCTTGCGTCTGCTCAACACCAATGTTGACGGCAAGCAGAAGATCATGTACGCGCTGACCCAGATCAAGGGTGTCGGTCGCCGTTACTCCAACCTGGTCTGCAAGAAGGCCGATGTCGACCTCAGCAAGCGGTACGTGATGAAACACTATCATCCCACAACACGAATTCCCTCCACAATGTCTCCGGTGTTTTTATGGTACAAGCGGTAGGATTTGGGAAAAATATTCAACATCTGGTTTTCGATTTGGTCGGCCTCAATTTTGTTAAGCACGGGGGGAAGGCTTGTGGGCTGGGAATCATCAAGGAAACCGACTACAATACAACGGAGACAACATATCCCATCTTTATCGCCACATGAAAGAAAATTTAAGGTTGAAATGCTGACGTTGCTTGTTCTAATCACAGTGCTGGTGAGCTTACCACCGAAGAGCTTGAGCGTATCGTCACCATCCTTCAGACCCCGACCCAGTACAAGATTCCCGCCTGGTTCCTCAACAGACAGCGCGACATCACCGATGGCAAGGACTCGCAGGTTGTTTCCAACCAGCTTGACAGCAAGCTCCGTGAGGACCTTGAGCGCCTGAAGAAGATCCGCTCCCACCGTGGTCTCCGTCACTATTGGGGCCTGCGTGTCCGTGGCCAGCACACCAAGACCACTGGTCGCCGCGGCCGCACCGTCGGTGTCAGCAAGAAGAAGGGCTAAACTATTGTGTTGTCGATCTTACGGGGGTTTTTGGAGGGATTCCTTTGTTGTCGGTGTGTTTCTATGGGCATCCGTGGGATCTTTTCCCCGATGGACTGGTTATGAAGTCAGTCTTAAAAATTGAAAATGAATCATACCAATATGAAATGAACCGATCGATTTCCTTTTATCATAAGTAGCAATTGAGCCGGAGACTGGTCCGGCTGCAATTTTGTCTGGTCTATCCGACCTCGTACATAATCGGTTGCTTTCTAGGTCGTGTGGAGTCCGGTGCACACTCGATCCGTTTCAATAATTCCTAGGCAGTTCTCTGGTTTATCATGACACATTCCATTTCATGTCTGGGTGAATGGGATGGTTACCAATAAAGCACATGAACTACTATTCAGCCGTGTAGGCAGTTACCCAGTCCATATTCGTAAATGCTACTAGGCTTAGGGCTACTGTAAGATGTTTTACTAGAAGGATTTCAATTCAAATTCATCTTGCATATATACTTGTCAACATAAGCGAAGTCGCTCTTGCCGAAAATGGCGAGATAGATACTGCTACCATGGGATCCCGGAACAATGCGGGCACGGAAAGTTGCAACAAAAATGGGACAGCAAATGACCACCTCAAGATTTAAGGAGAGGAATATCAATGCAGTAGTGATAGCAATATGGGATTCTTAGAACCACTCACCACCCAGCCAGCGGTTGAAAAACTCCAGGCTGGACTCGGGCTGGTCCATGGGAACCATGTGGCCACCGCCGTAGATACGCATGTAGGTGAAGTTGCCGTGGGACTTGACCTGGCCAATCTTCTTGCCGACGTGCTCGTTTTGCTCGATCACGAGATCCTCTAACTCAGCAGACGCGTACTCGGTCTGGCCAGGCCATTCAAGGGCCTCGGTCCAGGCTTTGTTACCGAGCCAGTTGCAAATGAAGTCGGCATCACCAGCGTAGATAAGGACAGGAATCTTCTCGAGGAGGCCAGGAACAAGACGATGGAAGGGCTTCATCCAGTCGCCGTGGAAGAGGAAATTACGGTTGATGTCGAAGTTGCACGAGTCGTAACCATCAACTTCAGCGCCAAGGGCTTCACGTACGTACTCCTGGTTGAGGTACTCGCTCACATAGCCCATACCTTTGTAGCACAAGTTAGAAGTGTCCTCACACTTGCCACGGACATCATAGACATTCTGGCCAGTCTGTTGGTAAGGGGCTAAGAGGGCATTGTTGCAGTAGATGGAGGCAGGAACACATAGCCAAGAGCTCTCGCTGTCGTAGCAGGCCTTGATCATGGATTGGCAGCGGGGCAGGGCATTATCCATGGAGCGGCAGGAGGATTCGTCCAGAACAGCAGGGTAACCGCCGTCACCACAGGCCATGGGACGGTAGTACGCGTACTGGGTCAGGCCATCAGTCAGACCATTTCCAATGAGCACAGACTTGAGATTAATGTTGCGCTTCTCATGGGAGAGGATCTCAGAGGCGAAGGCAGGGATGTAGTGACCAGCGTAGGACTCGCCGGCGATGTGGAAGTCCTGCTTGGAATACTCGGGGAACTGCTTAAAGAACAGAGACAGCAGTGCATAAACGTCCTTGCCAGCAGCGACGGTGTCACTAACGGCACTGCCGCTATAGGAATAACCAACGTTGACAGGCTGGTCCAGGAAGATCACGGAGGCATTAGAATTCCAGGAGTATTCGTTGTAAATAGTCTTGATCTTGCTGTTGATAGAGCTGGGACCAAGTTCCATGAACAAGCCAGTAAGAGAGGAGCAGCCAGGGCCGCCGTTCAGCCAAAGAACGACGGGGTCATTCTCGGGGTCGTTACGAGATTCAAAGAACCCTTTTCTCGGTTTAGAACAAGATTCAAAGAGTGAATACCAGGGGTTGACTTACAGTAGAAGAGGTGCTTGTCGTTCTCGTTATCATCCAAGTAACCACTGTACTGCTTAACATTGGGGTCAACACCGAGCGAGCTTGGGTCAACCTTCTTCACGCGGAGATCGTAAGCCTCCAGCTTCCCACCAATCTCACGCTCCTTAGTACCATCGGCATTAGACACCCAGATGTTCTGCACATCCTCACCATGGACAACATGGTCCCATTGTGATGCAGGGCGGCGGGTATGCTTCTTAGGAAGGGAAAGCATGGGGGCGCTGTGCATGTCGTTGGGGAAGTAGTTCGCAACCTCCTCCCACAACTCACGAGCCTCATCCGAGACCGTGCTGAAGTGATCCTTGAGCTGCTGGAGGGGCTTTGAGAAAGCATCAGAGCCCTGCTTGATCCAGTCCTCGTAGATGTTGGCACCCTGCTTGGCCAAGTCCTCGAACTGCTCGCGGTGGGGAGCAATGACCTGCTGGAAGGGAGGAGCGGCGGCTGCGGCGGCTCCCACCAGCAAGGTGGCGGGCACAACTCTCATGGTGATGGTCTTCAACGCAAACGATGAAAGCAATCCCTGATAGTAATGATAGCTTGTTGATGGAAAGCGGGTACCTGGGTCTAGGCGGCACCTCTTATCAGTAACGGGCTCGGGCAGCTATCACACCATGGGAGAAAGGGCACGAAGATATGGGAAAGCATACACTACCAGAATAACAACTTAATAATGATGGGTAATAGGAATCGATGCAAGACGGGGCCTGCAATCGGAGATGAGAGGGGGAAGAGGAGAGGTTGGGGAAGGGGAACCCTGGAGACGATGACGCCGGACCGGGAGTCACCGCGATAAGCGGGAGCCAATCAGGATGATTGTCTCGTGACCTGGCTGAGTCATGCGGGGTCACATGTCTGAAAGCGGAATTTGCTGACTCATCGGAAGATACTGGCCGCGCGAGGCACCAAGTTGACAGTCGGAAAGTCGCAAATAATTTGAACGGCTGCTTTCCTTTGAGATACCCTTCAGCTTGTTGTGTTTTCTATATCTCTCTTTTTACTGTCAAGCAAGTTTCTCATTTTACGATTCTCAGCGTTACTCAAGTGGTGTTACATTCATCATGCCGATCAATCAACCCTCCAACCAGATTAAATTTACAAATGTGTCGATTGTCCGGCTGAAGAAAGGTAAGAAGGCATTTATGGGAGTTTTTCAAGAAAGTTACTTTGGCTAACATATGTTTCTTGTTCTAGGAAAGAAGCGATTTGAACTGGCGTGCTACAAGAATAAGCTGCTTGAATACCGATCCGGCGCAGAAAAAGATCTCGACAACGTTCTTCAAGTCCCCACCGTCTTCCTCTCCGTATCAAAGGCGCAGACAGCCCCATCCGCTGAACTGGCCAAGGCATTTGGTGCCGACGCACCCCGGGATGAAATTCTACAGGAGATCTTGCGCAAAGGCGAAGTGCAAGTAGGCGAGCGTGAGCGCAAGGACATCCTGGAGCGCGTTGAGAAAGAGGTATTGGACATCGTCTCCGGCCGGCTTGTTGATCCTACCACCAAACGCGTGTATACTTCGGGTATGATTTCCAAGGCACTAGACCAACTCAGTTCAGCCAGCGGTCAGCAACAAGGTGGAGAGGATGGGACAGAGGAACAACCCAAGAAGCCAGTCTGGACAGGAGTCTCCGCCAATCGGTCGGCGAAGAGTCAAGCCCTTGATGCCATGAAGGCTCTTATTGCCTGGCAGCCGATTCCTGTGATGCGGGCTCGCATGCGTCTTCGAGTGACATGCCCGGTGGCGCTATTGAAGCAATCCGTGAAGGCTGCGCCAGGCGGTGCGGCGCCGAAGGAGGAGAAGTCCGCATCTGGCTCGAAGGGCAACAAGAAGGGAGGCAAAAGCTCTAAGAAATCCAAGCGGGATGACTCTGATGCCGAAGCCGGCGGATCGGACGCCGAGGTTGCTTCCAAAGCTGCGGGGACCGTGAAAGACAAAATTTTGAACTATATCGAGTCGGTTGAGTCGCAGGAAACCAGTGGCGATGAGTGGGAGGTGGTCGGGTTCGCGGAACCCGGTGCTTTCAAGGGATTGAATGATTTAATCGGCAATGAGACTCGGGGACGCGGACGGGTGGAAGTGCTGGACATGTCGGTGACCCACGACGATTAAAGCCCTTAGATTTTGGGCTTCAAGCTGCATATACCACGCCAACCCAACTCAAAAGGGTGTACATTATGACCCGACAAATGAATGACTGATGATCTTGCTAGAAGGAAGAGATACCAAAAACAAAAAGTGCTTACGTTAAAATAAGTTTTCAACAAGGCCCGCCTGAGCTGCTCTTCATCCTCCAGCCACTGAGCGATTGGCTGTCAGGGAACCCAAAGTGTAGGACAATGCAATGTGCTTCCCACCAGAAGTGTGATAGGGCTTCTACGAGGAATCAGACCTCCAGCATAATTAATCTTTTGGGCTGTAGTCATAAAATCTTTGGACGAACTTGGTGCGTCGGATCAATGAAAAGACGACCGAGTATTTTTAAGACACTAAAATCACCTGCAAGTATTATACAAATAAAACAGCCTTTGAACTATAACCTAGTAGAAATTTGTCAATCGCGGGCAATATTTGTAGCAACCTCAAAAGTAAGTTCTTGAATACTATTCTCGCCTTTTAACGCCTGGGTATCCTTAAATCGAATAGCAAAGTCAATAAAAATTTACCCGAGCGACGTGTATCACGTCGCCCATACTTTCAATCACAATCCCGCCTTTCCCAACCTCGTCTTCTCGTGTTCTCCCCTCCGCAACTACAGTACGAGGCGAAACAAGAAAAGAGATCATCAAACATGCAACTGACGGATGCCAATGGCATCACAACCGGTCACCAACAGAACAAGATTCTTTCCCGGTCCCAATTCGCGTGCCAGATCAATTGCTTTGCTCACCGCGTGACTCGAATCGAGGCCCGACAGGATCCCCTCATGGTGCTGCAGGGTTTTGAACCCGTCCAGGGCATCCGCGTCGGTGGCAGTTGTAATTTCAACACGACCGCAGCTCTTCCAATGAGCCACTTCGGGACCCGCAGTGGAGAGGTTCATGTCTGGTGAGATTGAGTGCGAGTCGATGATTTGACCGTCGTGGTTCTGGAGCATGAGCGTGCGCGCTCCTTGGAGGACACCCATGGAGCCTTCGGTTAAAGCTGCAGCCTGGGCACCTTCAACCCCCACCAGCCGAATTGAGGATCGATGAAGAAATGGTCTGAAGAGGCCGACTGCCCCAGCACCACTTCCAACGGCAGTGACGACAGCATCTGGCTGACAGCCCGCCGCGGTCCACATCTGGACTGCGACCTCCTCGCCTAGCAGTGCCTGGAACGTGCGAGTCAAGGTTGGCAGGGGATTGGGGCCCACAGGCCCACCCATCAGATAGTATGTGGTCTCATGGTTGCAAACTGAATAACGAAGTGCTTCGGTGATTGCAGCACGCAGAGTGCCCATGCCAGATGGGCTTCGTGCAGTCAGGACCTTGGCCCCGAGCATCTTCATCTCCAGAACGTCTTCCTCCTGGGACTGTGCGTCATCTGCGCCCATGATAACCACACACTGCAGATTGAGCCGCGCGCACATCGCCGCCGTGAAGTTCCCATGCTTGGCCGATGCGCAATCGGTGACGATTTCAGTGCGACCCATCCGCTTTGCGAGCAGCAGCTGACCGACAATATTGCGAGTCTTGTGGCTACCGTATTCAGCCTGGTCCTCCCTTTTCAACCAGATGGTAGCGCCGCCAGCCACCTTGGTGAGTTTAGTGGCTTTCTGGAGCGGCGTTGTCAGGTTGCGCTGGTATCTCGCATAGTCCACCCAGAAGGCAGGATCCGAAACGGTGGCCTCGAAGACGGTGGTCAGTTCGTGCAGGAAGCCCACAATGGGTTCAGGAACGAACCGGCCCCCAAAGGATCCATAGCCACCGAATGAGATAAGTGGCGGTCTCAGTGTGCCGTCCAGCTGCATGATGGGGACATACGGTGTGCCATCATCCGGGGGTGCCATGGCAGCCAGCTTGGCGAGGCCACCGGAGTTTGTGGAAAGGCTGTCACTGGTTGCAGAACTTGCAGAAATAGCGGATTCTGTCATCGAGACGGAAGTCGAGGCACATGAACTGTCAGTTTCTGGGATGCAAGACGAGTTTGCATCGGCAGATGTCGGGATTGGATCTTTCATGATGCCAGTCATAGTTTTGTCGGACTCTCTCGGGTGTGAACAAGGAAGCGCTACCTTGACAGCTGTCTTGCAGCTGGATCGAAGGCGAATGGCATTGTTCGACAAATTCACAGCTGTCTCTGGGTTTCTGGTGTGTTTGGCTTTGTCGTAGGAAAAGCAAAGAAGCCCTCGCATAGACCGAAGCATGATGGGGGTCAAATGCCGTATCTAGGTGTGATATTATTGAAGTTTGGCACTCTAGAAAGGGCTCACAGATACATGAAGTGAGAAGATAGCACAACTGCAGAGTCAATTGAAGAAATCGGTGAGCCGTTGGACTGTGAACCATATACAACCGATAAGAGATGAGAGAGCCCACGTGGGTGTCGAACAAGGCAAGAAAAGGAGATAAGGGTTGACTCTCGATGGCTCAGGGCATCTCCGAGTTTAAATAACGGTGTGCGCAATGACCTCTATTAGAGTTGTCTTCATGAGATGCAATTCTTGTGTGCTCTTTCATTGGCCATGCCATGATTCTGGCAGTGTTCTCGCGGTGTTCCCGCTCCTCGAACACCCTGGTCCAGTCTCGGGCCTCCCATTTTGCTCAACTGCCCTCATCCCACTCAGCTCACAACCTTATCTCCTCCAGTCGGGAAAAATCTCCAACTAAATTAAGTAGCAATGGCTCCTACCTTCTTCGATTTCCGTCTCACTTGGTTGCAATCATTGGCTGACTTGTGTGTCTCTTCACTTGACAGTGGACTCAGCCTTCGGCAATCCAGACCGCTATACTTCCTATATTCAACAGTCCAGAACCTTCGGTGTGACACATTCCCCGGGCATTGGCTCAAAACTCTACAATTAATTGCAAAATTTATGTACCAGAACCAATAAATGTACTTCAAGTCCACTTTCTTACGAAATCTGCCACCCGCCACAACGGTTCAAGGGATCGTGGGAGATCGTACCTTGCAGCTTCCTCATTTCGGTACTTGTATGCTGCTCTCCACACTCTATTGCCGGTGATATATGTAGCGGTGAATTGCTGATCAGGTACAGTGAGCCCAGGTAACCCTGGATATCATGATTCGGATCAATAGAACCATGCAAATCCAGTTGGGATCTTACTCTGTTGTGTACCGTCGGGATCGACTAAGCGGGATACTGCCTTACTATCCAGAGCCCAGATTCTTCTATAGGAGACGATTTGTGCATAATCAGCTCCGCATTTCCAACGATATTCCTTTTTTTATTTCAATTGGTCCGAACCTAATATCGATTTTCGGGCTCCATCGGCTTTATCGAGAGGGAAACGCCTGTTCGGGGTTTACCAAATCGATCACTAGACACCGACTATACTTCTAAATTGCCAGTATTGTATCTGCATCTAGCTCCGTAATAAGCACAGTTCCATCACATTTACAGTCGGTGGGTTATTTACCAAACTCGAAATCCATCGATCTAGGTCGTATCCGGTCATGTGACATCACACGTTTCAGGATACCACCAGATCCACAACTTGAAGGCAATGTGGTATGGTCATTTTCAATTTTCACAAGTTTTAGGCACTGGATCTCCCATTATAGGTATTATATCATGTTTGAGATGCATTATAATAAGAGCTGCTGAGTAAATGTCTGTCACCATGCGAAGATAGTCTATCCTAGCAAAAACAGTGGCAAAATATCTTCAACCCTCTGTGTACATGATATGTCCATTATCACGATATCAACCTATCTGGTCCTCTAATCAAAACTCCTTCCCAAATTTTCCATTCATTCTACTCGCTTTCGTAATATTCTGAGACACATATTCCATGCCAAGCCAGCAATTTCAACCAGGACCAGAGAAGATATAATTAATTCAGGGCATATTCAACACTTGAACCCGACAAATCATATCTTAGGCACTCCCAAAACACCTAGTGAAACACTCATAATAGGCAAATGAAATGGTAACTCTACCATAAAAGCGTTACCAAGCTCCCATTGACCTATCACCCATTGTCGGGCCCCTCCACCGCCACTTCGAAGTCGTTTGTTGCCAACCCCCCTTGTCCTAAGTACAGGAAGCAGGGATAAAGACATGCAACCAAGCCCAAACACTAGGAGCGGAGAATTTATACTACCATATTGGTTCTCCTCTCCCCGACGCACATGTATAAAGATCGTCGTGCCAAGCGGGCTGAAAATGAGACAGGGGGGTGTCAGATGCCCAGCCAGGCGACCCAGATAGCCCTGACGGAGCATAAGTAAAGACCTGAACCCCCACCTCTCTCGTCTCTTTGTCTCTCGATGAAAATTCATTTCATTCTGGCTGACTTCTATTACCTGCACGCGGCATACTCGGTCCGGTTCCCACGTGGCTGGCGACGGTCGACTTCGCAATGCACTGCCACTTACATACTGCCTCGAACACGAGGGGGCTGACAGGGGAGTCTGGGTCTGTTGATTTGAAATTCATCCTCTGGCTGTCCTACAAGATGAGCCTGAAGCTTATCTATTGGACTGTTATGGACCTGTGTACCTGATGCGACGGCTTGGTGATGAGATCATGGTCTTTGGTGAGAGATTCTTTGTGCTGTGTATGGGTTCTCCGTCTGCTAACTTCTACCTCGTTCTTAAAGTGCATACGCCTTGATAATATGACAGACGAGGATGCGGAATGATCAGTCCTCTGGATCGCGAGTCTCGTTACATTGCCCTTCTGCTTTATCAACCCAAAAGGGGCCACACGACATCGTCAACGCAGACTTCACTTCGAAACCACCCCTACCTCTCAGAATCAAGACCATCCATATCAAGCCACTAATTCCATCAACCCATCGACTCTCCAGCGCTGAACGCTGTCTCAGCACAGATCTCAACAGTACATCATCTCCCAATTCATCCCCGAACTCACTGTTCCACCGGATGCCAAGACCGCCATCTCCACCATCCTGGGTGCAACATCGTCCTCGCAACAAAGTTCATCTAACCTCACATAAGCGGCCGACACCTTACGAACTCAAGGTCCCAGGCCAGCCAGTCAACGCTTTCATCGATCAGGATTATCCAAGCCGATCCCGAGCCATCTTTACCGGGTTCGTAGATGCCGAGAAATGATGTGCGCTCTTGGTGTGGGGGTGCACTCGGGCTTGGCTTCCGGAGAGCGGGGCCTGTCAGGAGCTTCTTGAACGTGCCATCAAACTTTGTTTATTTTACATTTTATAGTCTAATTCCAAGCACCGAGCATGCTTAATCTTGGGGCTCCTGCACCTCTTGGTTCGACGTCCTCCGTGTTGTTTCGATTCCCTGCCCCTGTTTGCCTTTTCAAGCCCCACCTTGCGCTTGTTTCTCATCGTCTTTAGCGTTCTCTATTCATCATCGTTACTCAAAATCTACGCAGCGGGAAGCAAGAGAATTGATAGTGTGTCGAAGCGACGATCGTATTTCTAAATCTAGTGTATGTTCTATTCGAGTACAGTCTAGACAAGCTCGAATCGCAGATTGCGAATCGTGAGAATAGGGGGAGGGGGCCCTAAGTCCAGGTGGCCCCCCGTGTGGTCTCCGCGGTGGAAGCGGAAGCAAAACAAAAACAAGAACTCCGGTAACGGGTATACGCTCAAATGCAAAGATGCGAGGGGTGAGCCACGGAAGTTAAGAAGCGACTGTGATTGACAGTCCCTTCGTTTCCTCGAGGCCTCAAACGGTGAGGAAATCAAGCAAGAAGTGAATCCAAAGTCTCCCGGCTCCAGCCAGGGATTAGTCCTTTCACGGCTGCCGACGGAATGGATAGTCTGCCGTGCTCATTCCAATAGTCAACCGTGGGGTGGGGGGATATTCGAGACGAGCGCCATGGTCAGGATTCAGTTGTCCAACAGGCAGTCTACCCCTAAAGTGGGGCGAAAAAAATATCAAAGAGTCTACTCTGGAGAGACATCAAGTCTCATGACAGAGGGGAAGAAGAGAAAGAAGAGGAAAGAAGGGAGTACGAAGGAACGTCTCCCATGTGAGGGCGGGGTAAGGGTGTAGGAGACGGAAGGTACGTCGAGGGGATTCAGGCGCAGACCTGCACGGCGATCAAGGCCCGCGTCAGGTCCTCCGGTGAGAAAGGTTGATGCTTCCCCCGCGGTGACATGGCGTATGGGGTGGCAGGCGAGAGAGCCCGAACGATAGGAGAGGTGTAGCGAATTGATTCCTTGAGCTGGGCGATGGGATCCTCGGGGATCTCATAGACCGAAACGGAAGTCTCCGGCAGCAAGGTCATCATGGAGCCACTGAAGCTCTCGGGGTTGACAATGGTGGACGACTGTGAGCCGGCGTTGGTGGGGCGGCTAGAGTCTACCAAGTCCGGGACCGAAGAGGAAATGGAGTCGGCAAAATCGGCGCGGGCTGGGTGGGAAAGGTCAGGACGGGGCTCGGATAAATCGGGACGGACCTCCCCACACCACCATAACCAGCACTAGCAGGACAATGACCCAATGGCCAATACCCACCGTTCTCCCCTTCCCCTGATAGGGAGAGGGATCATGGGAGGGCGGGTGGCCGGAGTGTCAGAAGAGCGTGTGTGGTGTAGGTGTGGATGATGGTCGTCAGAGTGCTGTTGGTCTATCAGTACATACCTGGATCGAGGGCGACACCGTCATCGTCGGGCGAAATGTCTCCAGTATCGTCGCTATCGTCAAAGGGACTCGGGCCGTCATAGGTGGCACATGGTGATAAGGATAAATCGAGGGAACGCTCGCGTGCCGCCATTGCGCCATCAAACGACCAGGCGGCTAGACGCTTTTGATGTTCCTTATCGAAGGGGCCACGGAATTTGGAGGGCGGCACCTCATGGCGTCGGTAGTATTCAACTTTGGGTCGACCATTGTTGCAGTCCCGGCTGGCCGAGGAGCGATGGAAGACACGCTTGACTTTATCGCGGAATGTCATTGTGAGAAGCAGTTGAGATTGGAGCTTGATTGGAGCTTCGCCGCGGCTTCGGAAATTGGCAACGAATCAATGGCGGAACGAAGATCAGTCGTATGCTCGAGAGCAGGACGAAGGTCGTAGGTGCGTAGGTAGGGGGTAGTAGGAGTAGGAGGAACAGGTATAGACCTCACAGATGCAGACCACTTCCCAGGTGGGAACGGACGCGGAGGATGTGCAAGCACGAAGAGCGGAAGGGACTGGTCAGCGATTGAATGACCATTCTCTTGTATGGGGGAGTGGAGAGGGTGAAGCTTTAAAGAGGGGGGAGGGAGAAGGAGGGATGTGAAAAAGTAGAAGTAGAAGAAGTAGAGGAGGCAAGAGATCGGGAGAAAGATAGGAACAAGTAGGAATGGAATATGGGGGTCGCCCCAGGGTTGGACTCAGAGCGTGTCATGAAATAATGGAAAGCACGGAACGAGTGGAAATCACGGCAGAACCGAAATGGGCGGGACTGGAGGTATGGAAGGCAAGTAGAAGTCATGGAAGCAATGGAACCAGTGGATGCAACAGGAAACAGGCGATAAGCCCCAGGAACCATAGACAAGACACGGCCTGTGCCCGGGCGGTTGGTATTCGTTGGTATTGGGGGTTGCGGTGGTACGGTGGGAAGGTGGTAGTCTGGGTCCACGCTGTGTACAATCTGGTAATCTGGGTAATATTCCCCCATGCGTCCGCGCCGTGGACGCCGTGGTCGTTTAGTCGCATACGGAGGACTCCATTCTCGAGACCGACTCCGGTGAACAGAGTCCGGCTTAGTTGCCAGATCGCGATTATCATTCTCATTACATGATGGGCCCCTTCTGATTATTATCGCTCGGCCTTTCAAGGCCCCGTCATTGGCGCGCAGGCGCCCTTGCAGCCCACTTTGCCCCCTCGCTATCCACCCCCATCCCACATTTTCTCCGGTTATACTCCAATCCTCTTCGTAGGACTCAGTCTGAGTTGTCTGTGCGAGACGCCCCTCCATGATTGTGGGGGTCAGACACACAATCATGGGCAGAGTAATATCGTCACAGTAATAAATAAATAAATAATAATAAAACATAATGATAATAATAATGGCCACTCTGCGCTGAACTCGCCATCGGCACGAAGGCGAGATCCCGGCTCAACCGGATACGACGGGGCGAATCCCCAACTTGAGGATCCCACCGGACTGACACCCTACTTCCTCCGATCGAAAAGTGCCACCCAGCGAAACCCACAGAGAGAGAGCGCGAGAGAGAGGCCAGGAAAGAAGAGATCATAGGGGTTTTCAATGTCATCGTCACACGAATCAGAGCCACCAGTCATCGGGCAGCAGAGAAGCACGAAACAAGGTCAAGCCGCCATTGCTTGAAACCCGTCGCCGTCACGGTAGCACCTGGCGCATGGGAGCCCGGTCGTTCGTGGTCCAGTTCGTTCTTCCAGCGACGGTCCATGGGCGGTCCGCGCGGCGTGCCTCGCGCGCCCGCCGTGGGAGGTTCGCTTTCGCGACGAGAGTTTGCGACGAACCACAGTGTGCTGCACCGAACACTTCCAGAATCCCCAACGCCGTATAATGGTACCGACGATACCACGTCTCGTACGGCGTCCCCGGTATTACTTAGCATGTACCTCTGTATAGGTCGTAGAGTCGTAGAGTCGTCCCTAAGCCTTGTCCGAGAGGATATCGTCATCGGCCTCCCCTCCCAATGCAGCCAATGGAGATCGGCCCTATCGGCAAGTGACAGCTGGGCATTCAGCCGGACTCCAGATCGGCCAGCCACACACCGTGAGCCGCAACATTAGTTGCATCATCGGGGCAATTTGGTGGGGAGGGAAAGAAGGATTCAGAAACTTGAAGCCGCCCCTTGCCTCATAGCGGATGCAGCGACAACACGAGAAACGCGGAGGCACAGAGAGCGAGAGACGTCAGCATCTCGCTCTGATTGCACCGGAGGAGGGAAAACCGAAAACAGCGCCATGTTGCCCCGTGCCCCATTTTCCCAACCGCATTCGGGGGCTCGTCGGCCGTTTCGTTGGCTGGTGAGCGACCGGGACTCCACTGTGACTCGGCATGGCTTTCCCGTCTGTTGGCCGGTGACATAAGCCGACTACCAATGATGCAGCCCTGGACGTGATCACTTTTTGGCTTTGGGCAGTATCATATAGCCAAAACAGGGGCCTGTTATTCAACAAGGCCGGCTGGCCCAATGGCAAGGCGCTTGACTACGAATCAAGAGATTGCAGGTTCGACCCCTGCGTCGGTCAATTTTTTGGTTTTTTTTTGGATTGCGGGTCAGTTTTGTGTGTGTGTATGTATATCTATCTATCTATGTGAACGTTCCTTTTCCTTTTTTTTTTTGGGATTTGTTGGGAAGGAATCAATTCTGGCCACCTATCTTTTTGATCCTCAACTGATTCTTGCTGGGCTGCCCGGAGCCTGTATTGCACTGCCCAGTAGTGTACGGAGCGCATCCTTCGAATGAGGCCGATTCGGACGATCCAGCGATCCAGCGGCGCCACACAGACTATCATGACGATGGATTTCTCGAGTTGCTATAATTATCCCCTCTGGACCCGAATCGTCGCAAGCAACCCGATGATGGTTCAGCGTGCAGTCCCGGGAATGATGTAATTGGGACCCAGCCGCGCCCAAGAATGCCCTTGTCTCGGCCACTGCAGCCCGACTCAGACATGGTCGCGGCCAGAAGGGCTCCCTGCTGCTGCCCGGCCCCTGAACCCGCGTTCCATCCCCCTCTCCCCCTCGAACGAGGAGTCACCACTGGTCTCGCGTCAATGAGGAAAGGCCATCGTGGTCAATTCAGTCCAACCGTCTCCCCAGATCGACCCCCTGGACCATCCCCTTTTGCGCCCTAGCGCCCCTGCACATCCCAGCAGCCCTAGCCCCCGATCTAACGATCTAGCGTTAGGGCTGCACGAAAAAAAAGGTCCTGTGGTTGGTCCCGGCACCCGCGAGGCACGCGACCAGTTGACTGTTGATATCTGCATGCGGACACTCGGGATGAAATTGAGAGAGTGTGTGTGTGTGTAAGAGAGAGAGAGAACCACTGGAATAGTTGATCATATCATAAATATCATAACACCGCATCATCTACGTCCAGGTCTCGGTATATATGTGTGTGCGTGCAATCGTAGTATATCGTAGTATATATATCTCTCCCTCGATCTTGAACCGATCTCCTTTCCGCACGGGCACTCTAATTTGATCGCCTGCCCGAGGGGGAAAGCTAGCACATACTCCAGATGCTCTGGTGAGCAATTGACTTGTAAACTCCCGTCTCATGGCCCTTCGAATGCCATGGCGAGACGGGCAAATCATTCCCTCGCTGCAAGCGGCTCCAGGGAATGTGTCGCGCGACACAGCCGCAAAAACAAAGGCCATTTGGCCTCACCATGTTGCTCTCGGCGGCTTGCCGCCATGATTTCATGCCGATACGTAATCTGATTCTATTATAATCCTCCAATTCTAGTTGAATTGGGATCTACGACCATTTCTTACACCTCCAGGGGCGTTCCAGAACCCTTTGCTGCGTTAAACCACGGATCCCTCCCCCGGCGCTGCTCAAACCCAGCATACCGGATCATCCATCCCTTTCACGTCCGGCCCACTTCCGCCTGCAATTCAATTCCATCATTCCACTTCCCTTCTTCCACTCTCCATTCACACCCTCGACCACCCTCTTTCACACCCTTACCGTAAGTGGCTCTCCAGCCTTCAATTCCTCTTCACCCGCCCTCTCGCACTTTCCTTGTCACTGTCGTCATCCCGACGTGTCCTATTCTAACACCATCCACCCCGACGCAGACTCTCCCCCACTCACGAAATCGTCACGACCATGCCTAAGAAGGGCGGCAAGAAGAAGAACAAGGGCGGCGCAAAGCCCGCAGCTGCAGCCGCAGTCGACAAGGTTGCTGACACCGCGAAGAACGTCGTGTAAGTGCGATGCCACATCCACATGCGAGAGAGAGAGCGAGGAGTAAAAATTGGGGAGTGATCGCGGCACGCGATCAACCCACTCATCGCATCCCACACCCCCCCCCCCTCTGCCACGCATACTGACAGATTGTTCCTAGTAACCCCGAGGAGAAGTTCGAGGAGCCCGTTGAGACCGTCGAGAAGACCGAGACCCCCGCTGCCGAATCGCAGATTGCCGAGACCGAAGCTGCGCCCGCGGTGACCGAACCCCAGGAGGTTGCCGAGGAGCCAACGAAGGTCGAGGAACCCGTGAAGGAGGCAGAGAAGGTCGTCGAGAAGCCCGCTGAGGTGCCCGTTGTGGGAGAGAAGAAGACCGAAGACACACTCGAGGCGGCCGTCGACAAGGCGCAGGCCTCCAAGGCTGGCCAGGTTAGCAGCCTGGATGCCGGCGAGGAGGACGCCAAGGGTAAGTTTTCCATCATATCTATCTGTTAGCACGTCACATGGGCGAGTTGAGCGAGAGAAACCCCCGCCTCCCCCCCAAATACGAGACAACAAACCACTAAATCGTACGTCGCCTGCAGCGGTTCTGCCTGAGACCACCACCAAGGAGTCTGCCCTGTACCCCTCGACCAGCGAGACGGCCGCCGAGGAGTCTGCCACCTCGACCGCCGCCACCACTGGTGCTGTCGCGCCGTCGACCTCGATCCCTGAGCGACCCAAGACCGACGAATCGACTGCCGCTGCTGCCACCCCGTCCGAGACTGCCGATGGCGCCCACGTCAAGCGGCCCTATGAGAAGCCCATCTTCTCCAATGACGAGGTGAAGCCGCCCAAGATGGCCAAGACCGCGGAAGAGGAGGAGCAGAAGAAGGCCGCGGCTAGTGCCACTGCCGACAAGAAGGACCTGACCGGTGCCGGTCCGGCCTCGACCGCCGCGTACACCGCGCCGGAGCCCGTGCCCGTGCCCAGCAAGGCCGAGGAGAAGGCTGCGACCGCCGAGTCGGCCGTCTCGCCCAAGAGCACCACTGCTGCCTCGTCTTCCGACAACAAGGCCTCGCCGGACGCCGTGGCCGCGGCCGCGGCCGCCGTCAGCTCCTCCAAGGCCAACAAGGCGGCCCCCGAGGCCCAGCTCCAGAAGCCCGAGCCCGCGGCTAAGGCTGAGCCCAAGAAGGAGGCTGCCCAGGAGCCTGCGGTGCAGGAGCCCGTTCAGAGCACCGAAGAGACCAAGGCGTCCGAGCCGACCGCGGAGCCGCAGGCCGAGAAGAAGAAGGGTGGGTTCTTTGCGCGGTTGAAGCGGATGTTCAAGTAAAGGAAAAAACATAAAAAAAAAGAATGAAAGGGCTTTTCTCTGGAGATTTTAGCTCTGAGAAGTTAGAGAAGAAGGGGGGGAAGGAGGGGGAAAGCCATCACCAGGGAATGAAAATCAGGAAAAACATCAAGCACCACTGGACGGTGAGAGTGGTTGTACGATATGCGCGCATGATTGGGCGGTTGCTGCGGGTTGGAGGGCTCGTGGAGGAGCCGCGGACTATTGTTTTGCTGGGTTTTTCTTGTGTTTTTTTTTTTTTTTTTGAATGATACACCAATCGAAATTTATATACTATAGTGTTTATTGACTCAATCCTTGTTTTTCACTCACACGCTCTCTCTTTCTCTATCTGCTCCTTTTGTTGCGTGTATTACTCTGATTCTCACCCCTTTTTTTTTTGCCTCCCAGGGAGTCCCAAAAATAAATCCACGCTCCATCCACACCGCTAGTCTTGGTCCCTGCGGTGTGGGCTCTCTATGGTGGGCTTTGGGGCGTCCAGCGTCGGGGCTACGAGCTACGAGCTACGTTGGAGGCCGTCGGGTCGTCATAGCTTGTTCCATAGCCCCAGTCTAGTTGGTGGGGTTTGGTGGATGACGAAGTAGGGGCGGGGGCAGCATGGGTGACCGCAAGAGGCAGGGAGGGCCCGGATGGGCCACCTCACGCGACAGCAGAGCCGTGTGGAGAAGATGGAGGATCGACGAAACGGGGCGAAAGAAATCAGGAATTCCCTGTATTGTATTTGATCTGTATTCGGAGACCCCAAGACGTACAGGGTGGGAGAGAGAGAGAGAGAGAGAGAGGAAAGAGGAGGATCTCAGTCGTTATACGTAGCATAGTAGCTATAGCACCGATATAGTACGGCGGTTTGGTGGATGTATACTACAGTCCTCCTTCCCACCACGTCAGAACAAATCCTGCGTCTCCTCGACCAGGGCTAATAGCGTCGTCGCTAGACTCTGCGCGATCTTCCAATGACTGATGCGCTGTAGTAGATCGATGATGCGGAACAGTGACCCCGTCACCACCCGCCGTGGCTGCACCTCACCCATCTGTTCCAGGAAGAGACCGATGCCATCGCCGCCTAGGAGGCGCAGCTCTTCGAAGTGTACATGCTCCTTCGGCGCAAGGACGAGCTCGTCCGCACCCGTGCCGAAGCACATGATGCATGCCCAGACCAGGCCGGCGTAGTACAGGCACATGGGAACGTGGAGGGCCGGGTCGGCGCCGGCGGACAGCGACTCGAAGGTGCGCTGGATGAGCAGGGCGTGCAAGAGGCAGCGTTTGGCGGCGGGCGAGCGGACCCAGGCGCGGGCGTAGGGGATGTGTTTCTGGGCAGCGGCGTAGCCGTCGCGGCCGGCGGCACATTCGAGGGCGTTGATATCAGCGTGGAGGGTGATGAAGATGCTGTGCCAGAGCATGAGTAGGCCGGGCCAGCTGGCTTTGGTAGAGAGGGGGGAGTGGTACTGGGTGTACCAGGATATGAGGAGGTCATGGCATTGGCGGGATGGGAGAGATGAAGGGGAGAAGGTGGTGGTGGTGGTCGCGCTGCTAGTCGTGGCCGTGATCGATTCCGATGGACTAGTCGTGATACTTGAAGATAGTGGATCGGAGGGAAAGTGAGAGTCCTCGCTGGCGAGAGCGCTGATGGACTCGAGCATCGCGCAGAGCGCAAAGTCACCGGGAGCTTCGGGGTTCTGTGTCTGTAAAGGCGCATGCGATAGAGACTCGAGCATTAGGATCTTCCAGTGGGCGGCAGTTGGGGCCGTGAAGAGCTCCGTAGAGGAGATGGAGGGCAGACGATCAAACGAGTGGCGGAGGATGGTTTCATGATGATGCAGCCGAGCGAGTTCAGCGTCATGAATAATAAGACCGAGAACAATCCTGGAAATGAGCAGAGCCAATGGTTAAGATGAGTTATTTCAATTGCCTTAAATGTCGAGGTCGATGCTGGGGAAGTTCAAACGGACCGTTTCTTGACTTCGATCTGGATCCAAGCCAGCCAAGCATCTTCTAGGGACTGGCCTTCAAGATTGAGGAGATCGTACGAGGGATGTTGCAGATGAAACAGTTTTGCCTTGCGTGCCCACTAATCATGTAACGAGATCAGCCCTCGCACCATTTGACCATTAAAAAGACGAGGACAAGCAGAGGGAGGGGATAATTGAGCTTACAGCAACTAAGCTACCGTGCCAGACCTCGATTCCGGTCAAATCCTTTGGCCTCTGTATAGATCCACTGGTCAGTTCTCTTCTCCTTAAGGGGCACCAAAATCAAGAAGGCAGTGTCTCCATTACCCCCATTAGTAGACCAAATGTCTGTCCGATGATGGAAGCCTGCAATACCACCAAAGACGAGGCTCCAACCTTGGCCGTGTATGATTCCCACTATTACTCGTCAGCAGTCTGGCTCGATGCTTTCGCACACCACAAGGATGGGATACCGAAGACAGGATCGCCTTATTAAGTCGTTCGAACATGCTAATGCCGTGAGAGATGGCGCGAGGAGAGCCCACAAAAAGACTCCCAGCCGAACAGATCGAAAGAAGAAGCACCGAATTCTGCGTACCGGGGCGGAAGGTCGGCATATGCACCACCGGAAAGAAAGGATGAAGCTTAGAAAAATAGGCTTGGATGCACAGGTCCTAGCGTAGATGATTTAGTATACTCTCGCAATCCGATCAGGAGATGCTTTGCTCAGAGGGCGTACAAGGAAAGGCGTGGATGGCAAGATACCGTGTTGAACCCGTTGCTGCAGACGCTCCGCTAATCGCTTCCGATACGGCTCGTCAATCCAACCTCCCTCGTGAGGGATGTTGGGGGTCGTTTGCCCCGGGGTCGGCAGATCGCAGAAAGTATGCCATTTCCTTTGGACCGTATTGGCGCGTCGTTGGGCAGAATCATCGTCGATGGTTGAAGATGGCTGCAATGAGCCTCGAGAATCCTCCATGCTATACAAGGCGTCTGAGGCTGGAACATAGTCCGAGGTCGCATAGAGCAGGGACAGATTCACTGCATCCAAATCAAAATCGTCTCCGGTCAGAAGGGCTTCCCAGTCGCGGTCCAGCCGGGGGTCCCACATCATTGGCTGCGGACTGGCCTGGGGTCTCCAGGTATCGCCGGCCTCCAGCGAAAAGAGGGAGGAAAGAGGGGTGACCTGTATTGGATATGGATGGCTGGCACTATCTCCAATAGAGAGATTCGGCGTGTGCTGGTCCAAGGATGTGCTGTTTGGCGGTGACATCGGGGCCATCATCTGGCCCGCCATCGTGCCCACGTCCAGATGGAGTGGCATGGGCGGATGATCGGCCGCGGCGATGACTGTAGTCTCGGACGGTTGTGACAGAAGTTCTGGGGCAATCTCTCGAGGGTCCGGATCTTCTTCTGTCGACATGGAATGCATTTTGGCCGCACCAGAGTTCGCATTGCTCACTGGGTGGGATCGCGAATGGCGTAGGAGGGTATCTCTTGGAACAAATATGCGATATGAATATACACGGTCTATGGGAGAATGGAAAATGGGAAAAGGGACGAGGTATAGGGAAAAATAAGAAGAAGGCCCATGACAGGGACTTACTGTCTTGCAAACGCCTTCCGACAGACGGGGCAGCCAAACGGTTTCTCCTTCGTATGCGACCTCAAATGACGAGCCAGATGTTCCGCCTTCTTGAATGCCTGGGCACAGACCGGGCAGACCCGCTCTTCCTTGGATGTCTTGCGACGGCGTCGGACCTTCATGCCCGCATAGGTCGGTTTCGGGGTGCGGGAGGTATTTGACAACATCACATCTATCTCATCACCACAGCCATAGATCCAAGATCGGGGAAAGATGAAGGGGCCGAGGACCAAAGAGATATAAACATGACCCGTCTTCGGAAGAATCAGAGAAGTTAGGAGAGGAGAAGAGTGAGGAGGAGAAGAACTACAGGGTTGCGAGTACGGATTTACTCCTCAACACCGGGGGTTGAACAACTCCGAACCTCCCCCGCTTGGTGGCGATCTACAGTGGCGCCCCCAGCAAATCTTAAAAGTCTAGAATCCGACGGGGAGTTGCAATGCCTCGAGACGATCGCAGCATATCGAATATAGTTTCCCGCACAAGCATAGCGCGAGGAGTTTGAGGGGTATGGGGCGTGGTAAAAGAGAATAGTAGGAGTCAAAGCGTGGGGCCTATCGAGCATACTAGGCGGGCATTGTGGGATCTATCGAGGCTCAACCGGTCACTGTTGAAGCCGGAGTTCCGAACCGAGGTTCCGCTTAGTCAAGGGCCACGATCTGGTCGCTTCTCAATTGGGACAGAGAGTCCACGGAGTAGAGGAGTAGTAAAGTAGGAACCGATTCGGACAAAGTACTACTCCGGAGATTATTCACATACTTCACACGCTCAGCTATGGCGGATGCGGTTCTTGGTCGCAGCAATCCCCCCAATCTCCACCTCCACGACATCACCATCTTGCAAGAACTCTTTGCGGAAGTATCCGACGCCCGAGGGCGTCCCTGTCATGATGAGGGTCCCCTTCCGGAGAGTCGTTCCCCGTGACAAGTGGCTAATGATTTGGCGTACCGTCCAGATCATGTCGCTCGTGCTGGTTTCCTGCTTGACCACGCCATTGACTCTGGTCGTCAGCTGCAGAGACTGCGGATCCGAGACCTCCTGTGCGGCCACGATGCTGTGACCGATGGGCGCAAACTGGTCGAATGATTTGGCGTAGCAGAATTGGCCGCCGGACGCTTCGGGCAGCTGAAAGTTGCGTGCCGACACGTCGTTGCCGGCCGTGTAGCCCAGAAGATAGTCGAGGGCTTCCACCTCCGGTACGTTCTTTGCATCCTTGCCAATCACCAGCGTCAATTCGCCTTCGTAGTCGAGAAGCTTGCGCGCATCGGGGTGGATGTCGATCGTCTCAAAGGGCCCCGCAAGTGTATCCGCGGGCTTGGTGAAGACAGTGGGATACGAGGGCACAGGAAGCTAAAGGGGGAAAGAATGAGCTGTCTGCAAGGTACTCGCCGGCAAGGTGTTTTTGGTACGAACATTGGCTTCCTCCGCATGCTGCTTATAGTTGAGTCCGATACAAAGCACGATCGGAGTGCTCTCAAGAGGGCATTCGAGCTGGCAATACAGAGACTATTAGAACGGATACCTCGCTCCGTGACACCGCATCTCGGGACAGCCTACCTGCTCCACAGTAACAATTTCCTCCGTGGCCTTCAAGCCAGTGAAGGGATTGCCATCAAGTTTGCGAACAGTGTATGTCGTTCCCGTAGCACTGAGAAGGTCGCCGTAGTGGGTTTGTGTGCCGGCAGCGAAGCGTACAAGTCGCTTGAAAGCAGCCATGGTCAATTTTGGGATGAAAGAATTTAGACAATAGAAGCCTGATCAGGTCTCCCGCTTTAGACTCAAATTGGCTTTATACTGTTCAAAGGTGGGGAAGTAATAGCAATAGACTGTATCTCCGGGGAAGTGGGCGATGTGGGAACAATCCCCGATCCCCGGAACATGACAGCGTGAATCACACATCTCATCGGGGCCTCGTCGGATCCCCTCATGCCCCGCCTGATACGATCTGGTGGCTATAAAGACCTAAGCCGTCGTATTGATTAGAGCCCTGATTTTGAGCTCCTTCTTGGAAAGAAGTTGTCACCTGCTTCGACGCCCTCCATGGCTATCGATCTAGTTCAACCAAATCGTGGGGCTACAGTGCCAGATGTCGTGGCAGTTGGCAAAGCAAATGAATCGCAGCTAGATTGGCTTGCCAAACAGCAGATCAATCTCAACGATCGCGTCCATCTGAAGAAACTGTCCCATATGAGGTACCAACATCCCGATCTCGAAGAGATCCAGCAATTTATGATTGGTATAGTTTTCTGTTTTCAAAGGAATTTGATTTATATCTCGCTCTGACCTGACTAGATTTTGGTATGCAAATTGCAAAGAAGACCGACGAGGAAGTCTGGTTCAAAGGCTATGGATCTGATCAATACGTGTACTATGCTCGCAAGGGGCCCAAGAAGTTCCTAGGCGGGGCGTTCGAGGCTCAGAGTCAAGAAGAATTTGAAAAGTAAGCCCCGCAGCCATGATCTTGGTCTGAACAGATGGAGTTGATAGTTCCATGCTTTTTAGAGCCACACGTCTTTCGGCCGCAGGCCCTGTCCAGGATCAGAGCAATGCGCCCGGTGGCGGATCACTGGTGACCATCATAGACCCTGAGGGGTTTCCTTTCAACGTGATCTTTGGGCAAGAGCCAACCAACCTTGAGGTGATCCATCCTGAGAAAGTTGTCCTGAACTATGCCGGCGAGAAGTTGCGACGACGTGAGTTTAACAGGTTCGAGCCGGGTCCCGCTGCTGTTCACAAGGTAGGATATCCACGATAGTCTCTCTAGAGTAGTATATCATTTGGAGAATACTAGCTGGCTAACATTATGAGTGACTAGTTGGGCCACTTTGGGTATTGTACACAGCAGTTTGACACATTGCTCAAGTTCTACACTACTACTTTCAATATTGTTCCGACAGATCTCCTCTATGTCGAGAAGGATGGCCAGAAAGTGATCGTGACCATGTTCGCACACATTGATCTCGGTGAGACACTCGTGGACCACCATTCAATCTTCTTCAGCGCAAATCCCAAGGGCGTGCATGTCCACCACTGCTCATTCGAGGTGCATGATTTTGATACCCAGCATTTGGGTCACCAGTGGCTTTCTCGGAAAGGGTACAGTTCGGTCTGGGGTGTTGGCCGACATGTCCTAGGATCCCAAATCTTTGATTATTGGTGGGACACTACCGGCAATATGGTGGAACATTACGCGGATGGTGACTTGGTCAACAAGGATACGCCGGTCGGATATGTACAGGCGGGGAGTGAATCATTAGCCGTGTGGGGACCCGAAGTGCCTACAATTTTCCTAGAATAGCTTTTGTGGGGATGGAGTTTTGTGCTTCCATCTATGCTCTAAGCTCATGGCACACTTACTCTCTCAATATCGAACCGCGTTTACATATATTTTCTTACATATCCCATTCTTGCTCATCTGGGAATGTGGGCTGCGTTTACCTGTGCCCTCTGCGTAGCTCAAAAATCTAATAGAGTATAGAATTACGTGTAAAGCAAGGGTAACATAGGGTATTCCATGACAAATGGGAGGATTCTCTTCCATCCGTAACCATGTATTTTTGATCGTGCAAGGCCGGATATCAGAGATCTCGGATTTAGGGAAACCAGGGAACTAAGCATTACCACAAAAACTGGAGATTGGCGTTAGAGAGGGGTAGATCTCGAGAGAGGCTGTACCTTTGCACGGCTCATCAGATTATGTGCATGACCTTTGCGCTCACAAACTCCACTGGTTGTGACCATGTCGAAGAGAGGGCCCTAACCTCGGCGTCGGGTGGTACCCACCTCAGTGTTGTTCCTATTGTTCCCACATCTTAGCTTGCCGGCAACCAGCGATAGAGCTAATAATGCTGGAATCAGTACTAAAAGTCGCAACTGGGCCTCCTGACTAAATCCCAGCATAACACCGCTTTTAGCAACACCACGAACAGACCTCTATCCAACAAAGATGGCGACGGTGGAGGACTGGGAAACCACGGATGTCTTAATCTGCGGATGTGGTCCCACGGGAGCAATGCTATCTGGCTATCTGGGCAAATTGGGAACTCGGAACATCATTCTTGAGAAAGAGGCTGAGATCACCACCGATCCTCGCGGGATTGCTCTCGACGATGATGGAATCCGACTCATGCAGGGCCTGGGCCTGTACAAGTACATCTTCACAAAAATCGGTTCAAGTGCGCATTTCACATGAGATTGTTCTTCAAATGACTGGGTGCCGCTAATAACCTGAATCAATAGACATGCCCCGAATTCAGTTTGTTAGCGGAGCCGATCGCAGCCTTCACAAGAAGCCATTTCTTTGCTTCGACACCGCATCAGTGAGGCATTCTTACCCCGCGCACAGAAATCCTTATTAAAGAACCTGCTCTGACCTATTTCAAGAGCGAGGGAAACACAGGCCACGTCGGGGTTCTCGCGCACAAGCAGCCAGTGCTTGAGAAATACCTGCGCACGGTCATTGACCAAGCCCCAGATTCTGAATTGCGGAGCAGCTGTGAGCTAACTTCTATTTCCGAGGATCAAGACTGGGTATACGTGACATATAGAAATGTGGAAGGTGCAGAGAAACGAGTGCGCGCCAGGTTCCTGGCGGCGGCAGATGGTAAGACGGGATTCACACGGAAGATGTACCTGGAGCCAAAAGGTATTCAACTGGAATGGGCTGAACAGTATGTGTTTTTGCTTCTCGATTGCTTACAGTGCCCTTAGCTAACCAATTCTTTTTGATAGAACAAGATATCAAGAGACATGGGTGGCGCTCAATTGGAAATTACATCTTCCTACGAAAGATTCGCATCCTTCATTCCCGCTGTGGACTCTTGGTTATACACCGGAGCAAGTATACGACCTTTTCTTCCCGAGTGACTTCCGCTTCCTCTGCAATCCTAATCGACCAGCCGTGTGCGGCCGATTCGGACGGCCTGAGGATCGGCTCTGGCGATTCGAATTTGTTATTTTGCCCGGCGAGGATGAGATGGAGATGGCGGGACGAGACAAGGTGCGCGAGGTGGTATACCCGTATCTGACACACCTCGGCAGTCGTTTTGGGTGAGTGAAAGACGCTCGAAATTTATGTGGGAAATACTCATGATTCTTAGACTCGAGGGAGCCATAGAATATCCGGAAGACTGCATCGAAGTCCTGCGATGCAGGCCCTTTCGCTTCTCTGCACGAAGTTGCAACAAATGGGCGCTTAATCGAGTGATTCTCTGCGGCGATGCAGCCCACGTTTTCCCGCCCTGTAAGTACAAACACATACACAGCCGACGGGCTTCAGAGATCCAAACTTATGAAAAACAACTTAGTTGGAGGACAGGGCATCACGTCTGGATTCCGCGATGCTGTCTCCCTGGCCTGGCGCCTCGCCATCGCGTGTTCATCCAGTTCGAGGCTTGACTATGAGAGTCTTCTTGAAGGCTGGTATCTCGAACGAAAGCAGCAATTAGACAAGTCCCTGGCGTCCACGGTGCGTAATGGCGACATGGTCAATGGAAAGAGTCTAACGCACGCCTTCATCCGCAACTGGGGCTTATGGCTGCTCCAACTGATTCCAAGCTGGAGACACTGGCTGGAACAAGGACCGCGAGGCGATGGTCCGACACAATACACCCACACTCCCGGCATGCCGTTCATGCCCGATTTGAGTGGGGGCGTGTGTTTCCCGCAGACATACTGCACTGCATTGACCCGGGATGCGCCAGTGCAGTTCACTGACGATGTGATTTTTGACGGCAAGGCACATCCCTTTCAACTTGTGGTGCTGCTCAACCACCTCGGCGAGCTGGATGCCGCATTATGCGACGTCCGCAAGCTGGGCCCGGCAACTTCGCTCCTGTCGGCTGACGAGGTGACCTTCTTCGTCCCACGCAGCAGCAGCATGTCCCAGACTTCTCAGGATCCCGGCCAATCAGATGTATCGGTTGCCAGGGTTTTTCGCAGCGCCACGGGTGACGAATTCGCTCGGTCGGTGCTTTGTGATTCTCGCCCTCTTCCCCGAGGCTATGATGAGTCGCTCCTGTGGCGGGCCGCAAGCGGCAAGCGATATGTGATATTGCGGCTGGATCGGTTCGTCTTCGCAGTCTGTGATAGTAAGAATGAGCTGGAGAGAGCCTTCAACCACCTCAATGGGCTGCTTAATCCATAGACTTCTAGTTATCAATGTATTGCGCTGTTTTTTTTTTCTAACTAGAGATAGTTGGGGTCTTGTTGTTGCTACCGAGATATAGAAAGACATATATTTTAAACATGTACGTTTGCTGAAATTAACTGAATGATAGAGCCACAATTCTGGCAGCTTGTCATCAGATGACTTAGGATTTCAAATAGTTCAACCGGAAGCATAACCGTAATTTATGGCCTGCCTCTTCGAAGATGACGAACACCAGCTCGTAGACCCTCAGATTCTTTGAAATGGGATCAGCTTTTCCACGACATACAAAGCATATATCTGAATGAGTTTGGCATCATCTTCTTTTTATTTCAAGGTAGATTTACATAGGAATTTTATATAGAAAAGAACATTATTTATACTATATAAAATAGAGAAGCAATTGCAGATTACTTAGTTGAAATATATTATACTAGCGATGTAGCCAATGTCACCGGTTATAAGTTAACACTCTCTTGCTTACCAACAAAACTAACTCGTCAATCGCTACCTCATATCCGTAAATTAATCGATCTGTCAGTCTAGCTGCCTCCTACATCTTTGACTATCTTGCAGGAAAAAAGGCCGGAAGTATTGGGGCATAACGCGATAGACCCCACCGGAAGAGGGGCTTATGGCGAGAAAGCTAGTCCGACTCCTCACCAGTCGGAGCCCGTCATTCCCCATGGGGTCACAGCGGGCGCCGATTGGCCCGTCGGCCCTCGGTTGGCGGGGTCGGCCCGCTGAGGACTTGCTGAGCACCGCTGATAAAGGCTCCGGAGAACGCAGTGTTTGGTTGTTTTGATCCTTTCATCCCTTCGATAGACAAGAGACAGAGCTTTGTTTTCGCAGCGATGGCGGTGCCTTCTATTCCCCGGAAGCTTTGGCAGCATCCAGACCCAGAATCGACGCAGATGGGTCGGTTTCGGCGCGATCTAGAGCACGCGACGGGGAAGCAATTCAATGTAAGCGGATTTGATGCTTTTTACCCAATACAGCTCAGCGGCCTACACCGGAAAAGAAGACCAAAAAGAACACAATGGAGCTTACATATGATTAACTTGAACTAGTCCTTCTACGAGTTGTACCTCTATTCGGTCCAGCAGCGCTCTGCTTTCTGGGCCTTCTGCCTGGAAAATTCCCCACTCATCTACGAAGGCACTTACACCAGAGTCGTGGACGAGTCCGCCCGGATGGATAGCGTGCCCGCCTGGTTCACAGGGATACAGCTAAATTTCGCCGAGAACCTGCTCTTCTCGCGCGGTGCGGGGGATACCACGGGCAAGGAGGACCATAAGATCGCCGTCACCGAAGTTCGAGAAGGCGATGTGAAAAACGCCGTCCACCTCACCTGGGGCCAGCTGAGACAGCGGACGGGTGCGTTGAGCCAGGCGATGAAAGCCAATGGGGTTGCTCGGGGTGACCGGGTCGCGGTCTGCTCGGCGAACAGCATCGATACGCTACTCGTGTTTCTAGCCTCGACGGCCATCGGGGCGATATTCTCGTCCAGCTCAACAGATATGGGAGTCAAAGGTGTATTGGACCGGTTGTTGCAAATCAAGCCGCGCTGGCTGTTTATGGATGACTCGGCCGTCTACAATGGGAAGACGATTGATTTGCGAGCCAAGATGCGAGACATTGTGCAAGGCATGGGTTCGGTGGCCGAGTTTCAGGGCGTCGTGTCGCAGCCACGATTCCCATCGATCCCGGCGGATGTAAGCAGTGTCCCCAGAAGTAGGACGTTAGGTCACTTCCTGGCCAGCGCAGGTCCGGGCAACAACCGTCTCGAGTTTGTGCGAGTTGGATTCCGCGATCCCCTGATGATCGTGTATTCGTCTGGCACGACTGGTCAGCCGAAGTGTATTGTGCATTCCGTGGGTGGGATCCTGCTGAATGGCTTCAAAGAAGGTGGTTTGCACACGGAGCTCGGGCCGGACAGTGTGGGATTGCAATATACCACGACCGGATGGATCATGTATCTGTCGGCTGTGCAGACCCTGCTCTTTGGAGCGCGGGTGGTGTTGTATGATGGCAGTCCCTTCATCCCGGATGTGACAGCACTGGTTACCATTGCAGCGCAAGAAAGGTGAGTCCCGATCTGTTCCTCTGAGAGATAACCCTACCTGATGGCATTTGGTACTCTAGGGTGACCCATCTGGGCATCTCTCCACGCTGGCTGCACGAGCTGCAGCGGGCGAAGATCCGACCCCGTGAGATGGTCGATCTGAGCGCATTGCAGGTGGTGACGAGCACTGGCATGGTGCTTCGCGATGAGCTGTTCGAGTGGTTCTATGATGAAGGATTTCCCACGCACGCACGGCTCAACAACATCTCCGGTGGCACCGATCTGGCCGGGTGCTTTGGTATCAGCAACCCGCTAGGGCCTGTGTATGTGGGTGGATGTGCCGGGTTCAGTCTGGGCATCCCCGTGGAGGTCTACGATTCCACGATCGAGGGCGGCGTGGGCATTCCGGGCGTGAGCATTGAAGATGGCATCCCGGGCGAGTTGGTTGCTCCCTTGACGTTTCCCAACATGCCGACGCAGTTCTGGGGTGACACCGATGGCAAGAAATACTTCAATGCCTATTTTGCGCGATTCGATAGTACGTGGTCCTTTCCATTCTGCCTGTTGCGGCCGTTCTGAGGCTTGGGCGTACTGACCTTCTTCTCCCTTTCCCTGCCAGATGTCTGGACCCACGGTGATTTTGTCTCCGTCCACCCGATCACCAAACAATTAGTCTTTCACGGCCGTGCCGACGGGGTCCTCAACCCTTCCGGCGTGCGATTTGGCTCGGCGGAGATCTATCGGGTCATTGAGGGCCAGTTCTCGCAAGAGATCGCGGATTCGATTTGTGTGGGCCAACGCCGGCCGTCCGACCCCGACGAGCGAGTCATGCTCTTCCTACTGATGAAGCCGGGCATGGCATTCACCTCCGATCTTGTGGCACGTATCAAGAGCGCCATTCGGGCCGAACTTAGCGCCCGCCATGTCCCGACTTTCATTTTCGAGACACCCGAAATTCCCGTGAGTTGTGCTTTCCCTTGCGCCACCCCTCCCATCCCCCTCGGTGCCTATCTTGATGGTCCGGTTTATTCTTTGGTAGCGATGGGGTACTGACCCAGCCACACTGATATCAGACGACGGTGAACTTGAAGAAAGTGGAGCTTCCCATCAAACAAATAGTATCCGGCAAGCGGATCCAGCCCTCGGGGACGCTGCTCAACCCGGGCAGCCTGGAATTTTATTACCGCTTTGCCGAAGTGGAGAAGCTTGTGCGCGAGAGTAAACTTTAATAGAAAGAGACACAATGAGACAGACACAATGTGAGAGAGAGAGAGAGAGAGAGAGAGAGAGACTTGGTGAGGAGCGACGAAGTTCTAGGATGAAAGATGGTAAAGATAGTTGTCTCTAATCATGGAATGATAATAGATAGATGGCCTAGGCGTATCTCATCTGCTACTCAGATCGATTGTGTGTACGAGGTGTTAAATCATTGATTCTTGATTATCGTCGATCTTCCAATAATTTCCGTGTACGAAAATCAATAGAGAATGAGCACGACTCCATTGCATCCACCAGGATCCAACCCACTTCAACCCACTTCAACCCTGGTACGCTCCACACCGCTAGTCTGGGTCGACGTGGCGCCAGTTGCCGATTGAAGAGGGGCTGGAATCGGGTACGCCGGGAAGTGCGCTGGTCGATGTCCCCGCCAAGCTTTGTCCAAGCTTCGGCGCGGTTGGGTTAGTTTCCTGCGAAGGAGGGGGACTCAGAGCGTCAGAGATGCATGGCGAGGTCGAGGTGGCCGCAAGTTGGGTACTCATGGTGATCAATTGCAACCAATGCGATTCGGTTCTTCTCAGTCCCTGCTGTTCCTCCTATCCTACTCTTTGCTATTGGTCGTCGGGGGCGCATGGACAGTCGTAATCTCAGAGAACAAGGAACCGAGCACCAATAGAAACCAAATCGGACGACTCGACCAACGCCAATGGCTCTCGGAGGCTCCTGAATTCGTAGAGCTCACCCAGTAATGCACTCGGACCGAATGTGCAGGGGATGTACGGGGATGCACGTCGTAGAGCGTGCAGGACGGGGGGGGAGGGGGAAGGAAAGCCGCAGAGCCGGAGGTCGAGACACTGCGTCATGTCCCCCGCACGTGTTTTTTTGAACGAATCCAAGGTTGACGCTATTTAACGGCCTGGTCTTCGCTTTCTCCCCTTTTCTTTTTCTTGAATCCGTCTTCTTCTATTTCCCCTGCTCTCTCTCTAATCATTGTTCCACCTCTACCGAGCTCCTCACCATGGTTCATCTCGCCACCGTGAAGAAAGACGACGAGGTCTTCAACCCCGCCGATCGTCAAATCGACTCCATCGTCGCGACGCCTCCTGACGAGAATGATTTCTACACCAACGTGTATGGCAGCCACTTCGCGGCTGACCACCTGCCTCAGCATGAAATGCCCGAGCGAGAGATGCCCCGTCAGGTTGCCGCTCGCCTGATCAAGGATGAGCTGAGCCTGGACGGCAACCCCAAGCTCAAGTAAGTGGGCGACAAATGCCATGCGCGGGGCTACCGGCAAGAAGCAACCAGCAATCAGAGCTGACCTCTTTCTTCTCTCCCTCGCCAGCTTGGCCAGTTTCGTCACAACCTACATGGTATGCGTCCGCCGACTGAACGCCATTGACATGACCCAATCCACTGACCCCAGCTGCAATTTGTGCTGCTTAATAGGAGGAGGAAATCGAAGATATCATGACCGACTCCTTCAGCAAGAACTTCATCGACTACGAGGAGTACCCCCACTCCGCCGAGATCCAGAACCGCTGCGTGAACATGATTGCTCGCCTGTTCAACTGCCCAACTGACCCCCAGGGGGAGAACGCCATGGGCACCTCCACCATTGGCTCCTCGGAGGCCATCATGCTGGGCACCCTGGCAATGAAGAAGCGCTGGCAGAACAAGCGCAAGGCCGAGGGCAAGGACTACTCCCGCCCGAACATCGTCATGAACAGTGCCGTCCAGGTGTGCTGGGAGAAAGCCGCCCGCTACTTCGATGTCGAGGAGAAGTATGTCTACTGCACCGACACCCGCTACGTCATCGACCCCAAGCAGGCCGTCGACCTGGTCGACGAGAACACCATCGGTATCTGCGCCATCATCGGCACCACCTACACGGGTGAGTACGAGGATGTCAAGGCGATCAACGACCTGCTGGTGGAGCGTGGCATTGACTGCCCGATCCACGTTGATGCTGCTAGCGGTGGCTTTGTGGCTCCCTTCATCAAGCCCGAGCTTGCCTGGGACTTCCGTCTGGAGAAGGTGATCTCCATCAACGTGTCTGGTCACAAATACGGCCTGGTCTACCCCGGTGTAGGCTGGGTGATCTGGCGATCCCCCGAGTACCTGCCACAGGAGCTGGTGTTCAATATCAACTACCTGGGTGCTGACCAGGCCAGTTTCACTCTGAACTTCTCCAAGGGCGCCGCCCAGGTCATCGGCCAGTACTACCAGCTGATCCGGCTCGGCAAGCATGGCTACCGGTCGATCATGGTCAACCTGACCCGCATTGCCGACTACATGTCTGACCAGTTGAAGCAGATGGGCATGATCATTATGAGCCAGGGCCAAGGCAAGGGTCTGCCGCTGGTCGCCTTCCGCCTGCCCCCGAACCCCGACCGCGTGTATGATGAGTTCGCGGTGGCCCACCAGCTGCGGGAGCGTGGGTGGATCGTGCCGGCTTACACCATGGCCCCGCACAGCGAGAAGTTGCAGCTCATGCGAGTGGTCGTTCGGGAGGACTTTAGCATGAACCGCTGCGATAGCCTACTCATCGACATCAAGTTGGCGCTGCAGACTCTCGAGTCGATGGATCAGGCTATGATGGCCAAGTACAAGGCGTATGTGGACTCTCTCTCTCTTTTTTTTTTTTTTTTTTTTTTTTTTTTTTTCCCTGCTCATTCCCTCCCCGCCCCCGCCCCTATTTTCCATCTGTCCCCTGCTTGTTCGCTGTCAATTTCATCCTTCGCTTTGACTTCGCCTGGTCCGCCTTGCTAATGGTTTCTTTTTTTATCTAATCCAGACACATGCGCAGCCACCGTTCGCACCCCCGCCACAAGCAGCACACACACCAGCACTACATCGACGAGAAGCACTCGCTGCAGGGTAAGACGGGCAAGTCGCACGGTGTGTGCTAAGCGCGGCCTCCAATTGGCGACTGGTTTGCCAGCTTCCCCCTCTTCGTTCTTCTTCCCCCCCCCCCCCCTTTTCCCCCTCTTCATTTGTTTTTTCTTCGTAACCCTCCCCTTATGCCCATGTTTTGGACGGTCTGGATCTGGATCTGGATCCGGTCGAGCTGCCCAGCGTGAAAGGATTGGGGATGAAGTTCTCGTCGGGTGGCCTCGTTGCCACTTGTTGAACGTGTGGCCACGTTGGACCACCTGCGCCGTTTTGTATGTATGTTTTTTTTTGGTCCATTGTTTTACATAGCAGATGTCCATTACGAATGACTTGAGATTCGGTTGTGAAACTATTCAATTTTTGAACGTGGTGTATTTGGAGTATATGAAGTATATGAAGTATTTGAAGTAGATGAAGTAGATGAAGTATATGAAGTATGTCATCTCTTTGATAGTACGTGACGTTTGTTCGGTGAAAAACCTCCGAGCTCTTTCGATTGTTTTGTTTTTGTTAGTCCACATTTACAGGGGCGCGGAAGGGATTTCCAGGGGTTGGCGAGCGCATACCAATTGGAAGGGTCTCGACCGCCCTTCGATCTGCTAGGATTGGTTCCCTGTATGCGAGCTCCGACTGATGTGACGGGGATGCCTGCATGTAGCTATATCTCCCTTGATCGGCCCAGGAGAATTGAGCCTCGAATCCCTCGTGGGAAGGAAGAGGCCCGAGAGACGAGGTGCGCTTGGCCCCCAAATGCTGCGCACATACGAGATTTCCACCCTCGCGTCCATTGGGGGCTCTGGATTTTGATGCTGACTGAGAATTCATGTATGGCTTCTGGTCTTCCAGACGATTCCTTGTCGGGCCTCGTCGTGTCCATCGAGGATCGAGGGGTTCTGCGTGGGGAGCATTTGGTGTCTGCTCGAGCCATCGATCCATGGTTTTATAGTTTGTCGTCTATAGTTCGTGCTGTATAGGCTCCATCGATCACGGAATACTGAGCCCAGGGATCCAATGCGCGAACCTCGAGTCCCTCCGGTCTCGCGTCGCCCCGCATTCTCGAATTTGCGTCCCTGAGAGGTCGATTCCACTATCTCTCAGAGCCCCTTTCGTGCACCTCGTATCTCCTCCACGAGGCCACGTCCCCCGCGGCATTTATATATAGCATCCGCACGCCCAATCACCGCCGATCACTCTCCACCTTTCAAGGCTTTCCGGTCGTTCGATCCCCCCCCCTTTCCCATCCACTTCCAGCCAGAAGGATGCCCCTCTTCAAGAGGAAGTCGCCGTCGAATCCAACCTCGTCTCGCTATTTGGCTCGTTCCGACGAACAGCTGGTTCGCCCCGCGTTTACTCCACCGGACCTCGTCCAGCAACAACAACAACAACAACAACACCACCACCACCACCATCACCTTCATTTCCACCGGCATCACCCCAACTCCAGCCGGAGCAATCTCGACGACTTCACCGACCGGACGGGATACCGCGCTGACGGCCAAACCGCAGCCTCTCCCACTCCCAACTCGGCCACCCGCGCGTCGCCAACGCTGCAACAACACTCGTCCCAACCGGAACCAACCCAATCCTCCTTGCACCGCTCGCAAAGCCAGCGTCAGCCCCACCTACAACAACCACAACCACTACCACCACCACGAAATCCCCAGCGACAATCGAACCCACCGCCACAACAGGACCGACCGACCGTCAGTCTGGTCAGCCCTGAGGACCCGCAGCCCCGTCGCTCACGACGAGGCCTTTTCGTTCGACCCTCCTCTGGGCTGCTCGAGCGCCGCGTCTCCGTTAAGGGCAAGGCCATCTCCCATCCTACCTCGCAACCCAACTCACCCCAACGACCACACGTCCTTAGCGGTGCCCCCGAAGAGGACACCTATAACCAACAGTATTATTCCGAGAACCAATCGCCCATAACTGCTCCTCACACTCCCCACGCTTTTGAGCCACGCTCGACATCGCTGGCCTACCACCAGCAACATCAGCATCAACAACACCCGCACCCGCAACCGCAACCGCAACCGCAACCGCAGCAGCAGCAGCAGCAGCAGCAACCACAACAACTACCACAACAACTACAACTACCACAACCACAACAACCACCGGCTCAGCAGCACCAGCCGCCTACTTCAAGACCATCACCGCTCGAATCTACTGATCCCGACGCCGGCTCGCTCGATCAACACAGTAGCCGCCCATCGCCTACCGACACCGTTCCCGACTCCCCCCGCTATTCGTCGGATCAACAAGGTCACAACCGGGGCCCATCCCAGTCGCGTATTCAGCAGGATCTGGTATTCCATTCCCGGCCCCCCTCACGGCAGACTTACGAGCCACTTTCCCCCGTCCGTTCGCACACTCATCCTGACGCCATGCAGCAGGCCTCCTCGCAGGCGCCTCCAGGTCCACCCACGATAAACGACCGGCCTCCGGGCGATTCACGACGCGGCAGCACCACCGCACCACAGGCCATGCCGGAAACCACTCGGGGAGGCACCCCGACCGGCAATCGAACACGCGAGGAGGACATTGATGTACGAGCATTGCTCCAGAAGCATGAAGAACTACGTATGTAAAACTCACAAAGAGATGCCTCGGCTTCTCTGGTTAGCGAATAATACCAGAAACTGACGACTTTGGGATCGAGGGAAACAGAATCCAAGTATTCCAAGGTGAAGCGCTACTACTTTGACAAAGAAGCCCAGGTACAACATCTCCAGAATACGGTGGCCCACCAACGCATGGCCGTGTCTCGCACAGTGCTTGATGATAACGAATACGCGAACCGCTTCCAGCGACTGGATGGTGCCATCAAGGACCTGTCGTTCTCTGTGCGCAAGGACTGGCGTGGCATTCCGCCCTGGCTCCACGGCCTCGTGTCAGATGATGCAACCATGGTGGGTATGAAGGAGATGACGTCGGTGGGACGAGCGGTGGTGAGTCGGTGGTTGGTGGAAGAGGTCTTCCAGAGACACTTTCACCCTGGGCTAGACCCGGCCCTGAGCGTCCAGCTGAAGAGCATTGAGATGAATCTCCGCCGGCAACAGACACGGCCATCGACGGAGGAGGACCGGGACAATGCTCTCGTGCGGCTTTCAAACTGGCGGCGCACTACCTTTGATGGGTTGGGCGACACCCTCTCCACCCCCGAGGCTCAAGAGCACCGTGCCGAATTGATCGAGCATCTGACGGCTGAACTGGCCTCATTCCTCAGCAGCCAGCTCCACGATCATGCGCTACCCGGCCTGGAAGCCGGTGTGCGAATGATTATTGAGAACTCCATCAACATCGCCGAGAAGATCCCGCTGGAGGCGCGTGACGTCTGTGTAGAGTACTTCCCACCCAATGTACCCTTCCTTGAAGGATACATGAAAGTGGAGGGCCAGCTACCCCCACTCGCGCAACACCCTCCGCCCCCGAGCGATCAGGAACCCGATGATCCTCCCGCCGCTGAGAGTGACTCCTCGCCTGCCTCTAACTCAACTGGTACCGGTGACGTTGGCTCTCCACCACAAAACAAGCCCCCGAAGAAGTCGATGTTCGGCGCGCTGATTGGCCGCCGACCTGGCGGCCCTGAGGGCGCTCGGCCCGGTCCAGGCCCTAGTCCCGGACCTGCTGCAGCTGGTCCTCAACCTGACGAGAAAGCTATCCAAGTCGACGAACGGGATAGCCAGCCACGCATCCGATTTGCCTCTTTCATGACTGTTGAGGTGCGCGGCAAGGGACCGGCCATGGTGCTGATCAAGGCGCCGGTGTGGCTGATAGAGTGCGAACTAAAAGGACCCCGCGAATAAAGGGATGTCATGGTGAACATTGGAGAGAGGAAGAAGATAGGAGTGTTGTATATACAAGTGCCCGCCGGAGGATGTCCCACGCTGGCACGCCGATGACGACCACGATTGATCGCATTGATATCCCCATCCGTTTTGGTTGTTTTACTGGCGAGTCGTTGATATATAGGAGGAGCGAAGACGCTTACTGACTGTTTGTTTTTATTTTGTTCCTTTTATAATTTCCTCTCTCTCCTGTTATTTTCTCAACATTCTATACTTTCTTTCTGTCATTTCTTCCCCTTCTTATTCTCTCCTTGGAGAATGAGATGGGTGGTCGTCGACCTTTACTTTTTACTGGCCTACTGGCCAAGTTATCTACGATGCATATGAAAGAATCTCTCTTTTCTCTTTTGCCATGTCTTTCATTTGGGTTATATTCATCAAGGTTAATGGTATACAATTCCTTGACCTCTTCTTTCGCTCCCCTAATCTTACTTTGAATCGACAATATGATGAACCTATCATTACCTCAGCTAGTCAAGTAATCTCTTTTATTCGTAATCTCTTACCCAAACTCCATGATCAGAGCTTATTAGAGCACAAACACACTAGGACTTGAAGATATGGTGATAAGCCCTGCGTATTAGCGTGATGCTCAAGATGCACGTCACATTCCACCTATGAGATTGCCGCGGCTATCAGGGACCACAATGACTCAAGAATCACCATTTGACTGCTCGCCCCGATACTCCTGGAGCAGTACAGAGTAGAGATTCTTGCCTTCGGTCCAACCGATGGCACTGAGAATGTGGAGTTGCTGCAGTACTTGGTTGAAGAAATCTGAAAAAAAAATCATGAAAAAAAAAGCCATAATGCACTGTATTTTGCGATATGCTCTCCAAGGCACGCCTGCGACCCGAGGAGCTTGAATATACACATAATAAAAGGCCCCCATTTTACAGCTAAAGCAGCCAGATTGACAGGGCCTATATCCACAAAAAGAGAGAAGAATTCTTCAACTCAAAACAGTGTAGTTGGACGACAACAAACGGCAGTTCTTCGCCAACCCAATAGGAGGGTAGGTGCCGCCCTCATTAGCAATGTAGTTGTAGTTGTACGTCGGGCTCAGCATCTGTAGCTGACCGACCGTGGATCCATACTTATCTGCCAGATCCTTGAACACACCCTTGCTGAACGTGTAAGGTTCGATATCGCAGGTACTCGGCGAGCACATAGGGATCTTGATAAACTGGCCAGCCGGGATGGTCTCGTTGGCGCTGTATTGGCTGCCACCACCGCCGGGACAGATACCGTCGATGCAGGTGATGTTGGTGTTGCAGCTGTCGCCGCCGTTTAGAGTGTAGTATAGACGTGGACCGCCGACAAGACAGTCCGTGGTGCCTGGACCGTCGATGATGCAGGATGTCCAGTCGGGGTTGCAGACTTGACCGAGGATGATGATGGTCTGTCCGATATGGGGCACCACGGAGACGTCAACCACTGTGGCATTGTTAGAAGGATGTTTTTCTTTCTTTCTTTCTTTTCCTTTTATTTCTGAGAGAGATGCTAGGAATGGGACTGACTCAGGTTCGCGCGACCAATGTCGCAGATGCCGCGGTTGAACCTCTTGGCAATCTCGTAGACGGGTTGGTTCTCGACATTGTTCACATAGTTGAAGCTTGTGGTATTGAGGGCTGCTGTGTTGCAGTGGCAGGTAGCCTCGGTTATAAATGCCATAATGGAGCCCAGTAGGGCAGGGAAGACGGTGGACATCAAGAACATTTTGATCTTGCAAAAGGGGTTAAGGAGACGGCATCTTTCGCAAAAGCAATTGGCAAGGGAAATATATTGGCAAGGAAATTCCGAACGAAAATAAAATAGAAATGAGATCCAATAGATGGTTGCTGCAGAGGCTGGGTAGTTCAATACCCCTCGACAGGTGCTGATCGCGTCAATGAGGATCCGCCGATTTTCAGCGAGTGATCCCTGGCTGACCATTCGGGGGCCCTTCTGTCTCTCCAGAATTCAGAGGTTCGGCTTTTTAGCGTATTGTCTCGGTCTAACCGCTGGACTCGCATTGCTTTTTCCGAAGTATGCAATTCTAGAAATTATTTCACAATTTCGCTCTGCCTTGTTTTGCTTATGCATTTTACATACCATGTCTGTCAAATACTCCAATGGATCTCGAAGTGGAGCCGAGTGTTTAATATAGGTGCAAATACACAAGTCCTCACAACCAACTCTAATTATACTTTCGCTCCCGTATATGAAATAGGGCTTGCTCACGTGTGCCAATGTGTCTGCATCTTGCCTTGCATGGAGTGTCGGTCCTGTCGGCTAGGGCCTCAAGGCGCAGAAGATAACCCGAAGTTTAACCTCTTCGCAACGTGAAAATGGCAAGAATGAAAATATCTTGATTTGATATTTGGTATGGGGGAAGGGCTTTGCGGATGCGGAAGGTGACGTAATGTTATCTATTAAAAGTGAGGATGATGACGGTAATCCAATTGAGTTGTGGAAATAAGGCAGGTTAAGGCTTTTACGTGTCTTAGTACGCTTCAATGGAGCCCACTGAACGTCTTTTGGTCCGTTCTGACGAGTTCGAAGCCACACCATCCTATTCTACCCCGCTTTTTACGGGAACTTAAACAGGGGTCGGATCAGTGCTACTGCCCTAGAGATCTCTTTTGCTTCCGTCATGCCCGCTGTACGCGCCACCTTCCATTCATCTCTATTCCAGAGTGGATCAAGGGAGGAGAGCCGGGGGAGGGGAGTAGGAGAAGAGGTTGTATCAGTCCGTTGCCAATAATGATGTCTTCGTCGACACCAGCCAGGTACGCAGCATAATATTTAGAGGATGTCGGTTAGCCTGCTGGTATTTAAATTGCCAAGAAACCTTTATCAAAAATCTGCACGAGCTGCAGTCCATCATGATTAAAACCTCCGCATGTAGTACTGTACAGTCACATTGACTGTAACGACTGAGTTCAACGTCCTACAACTCTTCATTGTGTTCCAATATAAACAGTTATAGCAATGTGGGTTATCAGATTATCCGCTCGCAAACCTACCCCTAATCGGGACTTTTCCTAGCGTCCCGGGTGGACCCTTCAAAGTGATCGTCCCGTTAGCGTGATACTGTATTTTGGGAACCGGCAGTAGCCTGGGTGGTGCTGAAGAATCTTTCCCCTTCTGATCGAATCGAACCAACTCGGTTTGTACCTGCATGATTGCGCGTCTTCTTGTAGTAACTTGAGCCGGAGAAAAAATCCTCTTTCAGAACGGGAATATGCATATTTGGCTGCCGAAGGTATCCACATAAGGTAACCATTTCCGATAAGGGCACCATTGTAGCCGCAAGTTTATTCAGAGAGTTGCATTCCGTTGAAGATGGGCGAAATACATTGTTGGAAGACAAGAGAAAAATACGGAGGATGTCCTGCCCACGGAGATTTTGAATCTATAATTTTAGATCAGGTCTTTCAAACATGATAGTGTTGGGTTGCTGGGTTACATCAACATAAAGTGTTCAAGAACCGATGCGAATTGGTCCTGAAGGCTCCTTTGAATTTTATAGAACGAGCTCGATACAATATTTAACAATGTGAAAGATTCAAGATAACTCTTGCCCTTGAATTCTTTCGACATGAAGGTTATCTCATGTTCATCTCAATTTTAACATGTTGCGCGGAATATATGGGCAGGAAGAAACATGGGCATGGCATCCTCCCACAGGCTGTTAGTCATGACCCGCTTGTTGCTGCCATCGGCTTCCATCTCCACGATCACTGCATACGGCTGCATGGAGTCATCGTAAAGGGCGGCCTCCTGCTGAAACCCGAACATAGCAGTGCTGTACATAATGCGGCCATCTTGAGTCCACACCGCATGGGCATCGCTAGCTACGGAAGAAGTCAACTTAATCAGACCAGTTCCATCCAGGTTCATCGTAAAGATGTCGTAGTTGTCACCAATGTTGTTCCAGTTGGTGCGGCGAGTGAAAAGTATCTTCTTGCCGTCGGGCGAGAAGGCTGGCAAGTTATCCCACTCGGTGGTCAACTGCTTGATTTTCTTCGCAGGAACGTCAACGATGGCTAGACCAGTAGATCCGACAGTAGTGCCATTGGCGGCAGTACCAGGCCAAGTACGGAAAACGACCTTGGTGCCATCATGGTTATAGGATGGGAAACCGTAATTGGTGATGTTGTTTCCAGCGAGAACAGTAAAGTCCTCAGGACCCCCACCAGCACCGATACTCAAAATGAAACCGGGATTGCTCTCACGAGCAACAAAGTATGCACCGAAGCCAAAAGTTATGTTGGCGTTTTTGGGACCCCAGCTACCCTGGTAGGCACGCGCGTTATATCCTGATGCGAGGGAAGGGTTGATCATGGCCTTTTTAGTCTCGAAAATGGTGGTTTGATTAGTACCATCCATATTGAGTGTCATGAGGTTGTTGAGTGCGGGACCCTCCATCTGTTGTGACATGGCCATCATAGGGCATTTTCCTCGTGCTCCCATGGGAAAAACATCCGTAAATCGGTAGTCCCAATCGGAATCAAAGCTCCAGAGCTCGGAATACTGGGTCTTGGATGTCGCTGTGCTACCTCCCGTGGGGCCTTGCTTTTCGTAGATGACATATTTGCCATTCGGAGACCATGTGGGCGAACGGATTGCAGGCGTCATGGAATTCATGGGAATGGTCTGGTATTGCGTGTAGTTTTTACCTGAAATCGACGTATAGTAGATGCCATTATTATCCGACAACTTCTGGACGTATCCAATGACCAGAGCATTGTATGTGAGTAAAGTGAGAAAAAAAGCGAAAATAGTTTGGTCTTGGATAGAGGAGTGGAAGAGGTCAATTACATCGTTGGTCACGAACGAAGGACTGATCTTGGTACCTAGTCCAGTAGCGTGCACAATGCGATCACCACCGGTCTCAAAGTCAATGGAGACGATACTCGTACTCATCCACCCCTCGTACTCCACAAGCGTGGGCTGCAGACGACAGTTGTAAGTATCCTCAGTCAATATCTCATAAAAGACCAGGCGCTTGCTGTCGGGAGAGAATCGAGGTGAGCCCTGGGTGTGGCTTTTGCGAGAAGAAACAAGGTGGAAGTCGGATCCATTGGGACAACAGGCGTAGATAGACAGCTCCTGCGTATGTTCCCAGCCCGCTCCAGCGCTGTGGCCTCGCCATGGCGTGTTGCGGTCCGATGTGAAAACAACCCATAGACCATCCGGGGACCAGATAGGCTTAAAGTACCCATTAGGATTTGCATTGCTGGCCGAGCCAGAGATACCAGAACTCAGGGTCAAGTTCTTCAAGGAGCCATCCTCCAAGACCATCAGCATGATCTGGCTGGTTTGGTTGAATCGGCTAGTGGTAAATGCTAGCTCTTACCATCGGGAGAAATCGAGCTAGGATCATCGACACCGGGAGACAAGGCCATGGGCTCAACCCTGTTGCCAGCGGTACTGGTGTCGTTAATGGCGATACGGTAGATATCTGCTTGACCATCTCCCCGTCGCTCTGAAGTGAAGTAAACGTTATCGGCGTTAGGGGACCAGCTCGCTCGAAAGTCATATACAGAGTTGAAGCCCAATAGGAGCTTTTCGTTGGAGCCATTAGCGTCCGCGATGTACAGCTCTGAGTAATTGGGACTGATACGGTTGTGCAAAAAAGTACCCAAATGGGCATCGACGTTTCGCGTTCTGCCAGCGTGACCTGAAGTCAGTGGCTTTGAAATACTGGCTGCAAACGTGGCGCTAGCTAATGCGAGCCAGATCCAGCCTTTAGAGATTCTCATAGTAGATAACGACCAGTCAAGAGTGTTGAGGGTGGCCAGTTTCACTGAAATTTAGTGGAGATGTGTTGTAGTTGTTGCGAGTTCTCAACTCACTGCCTGCAGAACAATTGAGACACCAAAGTCCTTAACGGAAAGAGGAGACGAAGTTCATTTTAAAGGGTCGACTATGAATTATCTGAATCTTTATCGTTCCCAAAGACCCAGGGCAAGTGGGGATGAATCCGCTGTATTGGGCCGGTGCACTGGTACTTGGCATCCTTTTCAAACTCTGGTCTGTCTTGCAGAAAGGCTCGCAGAAAAAGACACCCCTTGAGAGTCTGTGCCACAGTTTCCGAACCCACATCACAGTGCCGGCAACCTTTGCGCCATTCTCCTCTAAGCACCAGCAGCTGTGGTATTCCCAAGCCATTCCTAAGAGAGTTGATTCTTTGATTTTATTTGGCTTCTGAGCAGTGACTATCATTTTAAGCTGTGTCAAATACGATAGTTTTTCGAGTAATATCGAGTCACTTTATCCTCTCTTGTTTCATTGTGTGGGCATCATTACTAACGGCTAACTGTGTGATAGGACTCGAGGTCTCATGCAGCAAAACTGGCAGTACTCCTCTGACCGCACTGGTATTCTTTCATACGCATGCCTGCCCTTCCTGTGGCTCTTTAGTGGCCGAAACAACGTTTTCTTGTGGTTAACGAACTTTGCGAACCAATCCTTCATCACCTTTCACCGTCATGTTGCATGGGCCTGCACCATTCTTGCTGTGGTACATTCAATAAATTATAGTGTGGTGTTTGCGGTATATGGTAAGAGGACTCTGTCGCTCGGGATATGAAAGAAAGGCTGACACAATTGATAGACGGTAGATACTGGTCTGTTTGGATTCAAGAGTATTGGTACATAGGTGTCGTGGTACGTCTTTCCGGCCTCTCTGATACTCAGACTCTCAACTTACTTGTTGCCAGGCAACTAAACTCATGTGTTTCATGCTTGTACAATCCATGACCTGGTTCCGCCAGCATTCGTATGAAGTCTTCTTGGCTATTCATTTGGTCTTTGCGGTTGTCGTAGTCGTCGGTCTTTTCATGTAAGCTCTATAGGAAATTAATTTTTTTTTGAAAAGTGCCCTTCGCTAATAAAACCTAGGCACACCAACTTTGACGGACAAGAAATTCGTCGGGTATCTGTGGCCACCTGTCGGGCTGTGGATCATTGATCGACTTACTCGTGTCTTCCGTATGGCCTACTGCAACTTGAATGTTCGTTTTGGAAAGCATTTCATGAGAAAGTCATCTTCTACGGTCACCTATGACGAAGAAAGTGATCTAGTAAGAATTGAGATAATACCTGGAGCGTCGACACCGAGCCCGAAGCCCGGTCAACATTATTTTTTGTACCAGGGAGGTGTGCTTAAGTTTTGGGGAAACCATCCTTTTTCACTGGGTGCATGGGTTCCCACTTCCGAAGCCAAGGCTCAAGGTTGTTCCTCGACATTGGATCAGATCAAGCTGATCTTCTACGTGCGCCCCTATGATGGCTAATGTCGTAAGGTTAACGGTGCTCTACACCCGAAACTTCTTCTTGAAGGGCCTTATGGTCACACTGAGCCCATGCATCAATTTGATACGAACCTGTTTATCGTTGGTGGTACTGGTATCGCCGCAGCGGTGCCCTATATTCTGGCCCATCTGGAACGTGTTGAGAAGAGCCAGACCAAGACTTCAAGAATCCATCTTGTTTGGTCTGTTCGTCAACGCGAGATGTACGATCAGGTCTTCACCGATGACCTGGCTCAAATTCTGCGAAACAACGATACTACGACTACTATCTACTGCACCGAGCTCCTTGCAGCCCCTCTGGATTCGCAATCTAATAAGGCTGAGACTTTGAAGATGGTTCCAGCAGTCACTGCTTCTGGAACTGGTTCGTCCACTCAGAGTGGTGGTGTTCAATTCTTGCCCGGCCGCCCCAATGTGCGCGAAATCATGATGGCTGAGGTAGAGGAAAGCAAAGCTAGCTCGTCAAGCCTCGGCGTCTTTACTTGCGGACCCGCTCAAATGGCTGATGAATGTCGATCATCTGTTTACCAGGCCATGAAAGACGGCTTCCACGCAATTGATTACTTTGAGGAGGCATTCGGATGGTAAAAACCGGAGAACGAGAAAATAAGTCGAGTTGATTGAAAAGATGAGATACACAGAAAACTTGGATTGCATGATACATTAACGCTAAAGTCCACCAAAAGGGATTTTTCCTTCTGAGCGCATAGTTTCAAAATGAAATAGATATATTAATTATCAAGAGACTGGAAACATTCAAGTTAAAAACAGGAAACAGGAACTTGATGAGCTACGTCTGGGGGAGGACGGCTCCTTGAGTGGTAAATGCCAAAAATTTATGGATGGAGCAAGTCCCGAGTGATTAGGTGACCTAGAGGTACAGGACTAGCATTGAAGGGCTCAATTTGGAGATTCATAATAGCCCTAGAGGCTTTTTTCTTTCAAGGTAAAGGATGGAGACATTCTTCTTATAGCTCTCCCAGAGCAGTAGTTACCCGCTTTTGACTAATTTACTCATGACTTTTTTGGCCATAAATAACCTACAGGAACCTTCATAAGAGTAAGCTTGTAAGATAAGAAAAGCGTTGAAGTCTATCACGGTCGAGAGCTTCATTAAACATCGAAGCAAGGAATGAAACATTGAGGCAAAAGAACTGAATGGTTATCATGAGCTAATTTGTAAGTACACAAAAGTAGTTGAAAGTTTAACACTGGGGTGGAGATTTTATAACACCATATCTTACGAAGACGCCTGGCTATGAGTTCATGATAGCAACAGTCGCTTATGGATAAAATAGATTATCAAGGCTGGTCGAACCTTGATATCGGAGCAAGTGAGGGAGGAGATTACCTATAAAACGACGTATTAGGGCACCGGAGTAAAAACGGCAAGGCGAATCACATGAAGTAATCCAAAGGTCCCCTTTTTATGAGGTCAAAGGAATCACTAAGCAAAAGCAAGAAAAAAGGAGAAGGGGGGAAAGGAAAGGAAGCCTACCGCTTCTCCTCCTTTCCCATTACACCGGCGGCGGACTCAAATCGAGCCCTTCCACCGTCAGCTTGAACGCATCATTCCGCGAGTAACTCCCCGCAACATCCATATCCAAGCGTCCGCGCGCACAATCATCCACATCAACCCGCGCAATTGCCAACCCATCTCCCACCGCGATCCCATCCGGCCCTACTTCTTCGCTATCTGCCACATCGTCCGTGCAGACCTCCCACAATGGACCCGCAAGTACGTCCCCAAACGGCGAGATGATACAGCTGCCCCCGCGACACACGTACTCGGCCTCGGTCTCGACCCTCTCGTCCGACTCCTTCCCTCTGCCGGTTTGCGCATGCACCTGCGGCCACACGATCTCGTGCGGGCCCTCCGCCGTCACGGAGCACTTGCGGCCGGCGTTATGCGCAAGATTCTGCGTCTGAGCCGCCTTTGCATCCAGATGTGGGCCGGTAGTATCATCAACTAGCGCAGATTGATCTTGTTCGCGCCGGCCGCAGATCCAAGCAGGCAGCTCGGGCTGCCGCACGCACTGGTTAGCGGACAAGACGAAGCAGCGGCCCTCGGTGGCGACGGTGCGCATGAGCGGCAGCCAGGTGTCGCGGGCATCGGCGGTCGGGGCGAGGTAGATGCTCACATTTTGGGCGTAGAGGCTGTGGCGCAGGAGGGGCATGTAGTTCTCCCAGCAGATGGCGGCGCCGAGGGTGAGAGGAATGCCGTTGAGGGTGGTTGTGACAGCGCGCAGGGTAGAGGGGGAGCCTTGAGCCCAGATAAGACGTTCGGCACCGGTCTGGATAGTGTTAGTCTAGTGATGTAATTCTCAACTTTGTCAAGGTGGTTGAGCAGGGGGAGAGAGAAAGAGAGAGGCAAATTAGAGACAACTCCAACATACCGGCATCACCTTCCTTCTCTTCCCAATCACCCCCCTCACCGGGTCTACAAACAACACCACACAATACAGACTCCCCCCAGCCCTCTCCACACACCCCGTCACAATAAATACCCCAGACTCTCTCGCCGCCGCCTCCAGCGCCTCGCGCGTGCCATCTCCACGTCGCGCCTTCCCCACTGCAACGTCCAGCCGCCGCTGGATCCAGTCGTCCCCGGCGCCATCTGGCGTATCACCAAGGTCTACTGCATCCTTGAAGTGCTCCAGGAATTGGTCCCGACCGGCTGGAGCGCGGCTGCCAACGGCCGAGCCGAAGTTGCAGGTGCGTGGGTACCCGCCGAGGTAGGCTTCTGGGAAAAGGAGGAGGTGAACGCCGAGGCGGGCGGCAAGGTGAGTGGTGCGAGTGAGGGCGGCAAGGGTCTCTTGGGTTGTGAAGAGCGTGCGGGATTGGGCGACGGCGATGGTGAGGGTGGGCATTGTTTTGCGTGGAGGAGTAGGGATAGGACAGGAGAATTAAGAATGGAAGATTACGAAAGGGAGACGGTGCGGGCTTGCCGGCATGTACTGTGTAGTGAGCTGTGGTGAAATTGTATTATTAGGAATGGAGGTGCATCCAGTGGATACATTTACGGAGATGGTGGAGAGAAGGAGAGCGGGGAAGTCGAAGTCATGAATTGTCGTGCGAGGGAGCAGCAATCTGATAAGGCGGATGACATCATGGAGCACGAACCATGAACTCAGTTTCGGTTTAGCTTTTGAGCTAGCAAAGCCTGAATCTAATTCGCATAGTTCTTATACTTCTTATACTTCTCGCAAGGCTGAGACACATACAGAATGGATTGAGAGCATACGCTTGAGTTAAAAAGAGAGAGAAAGAAGAAGTTCAAAAAATGGGATTGTATTTCCAAATTCGTATAGAGTTCGAAATTCACAGTCAGTCTGATAGATTCGTTACCAAAAGCACTTCCCAAAACACAGTACAATTTCTTCAACGTGACGAAGGCGAGAGCATTCCCAACCCGGGAGCGAAAGGGAACAATAGAGAAGAGAAAGAATAAAAAAAAATAAAAGGGCAAAAAAGTCCCAAGTGTACTATATACACAAATGCTCGACTCCAATGCAGTTAATCATATGAAAAATTAACTACCTGGACCACACAATAAAACGAAAGATAAGGACATGAAAGAAAAAGGAGAATGTGTTCCCGGGTATAGCGCTTCGCTGATGATGATGACAGATTTGAAAAACAGAATGACCCCAAAAACACATAAAGAAGAAATGCCATGGAGTAAATGCTCAAAACTCAGTGATGAAAAAAACAGCAGGGCTTAATCATCACAGACCGAAAGGCCAAGAATGCGCAAACGTGGAAGGACAAAAAGAGGTTGCAAGTTTCTTTTTTGGGCCGGTCGATTTCCAATGAGAATTGATTTGGGCCTGGACCCAAAATCCCAAAACAAGGGCCAATTTCAAGGAACAAAATAGCCCGGATATTCACAAAATATATCACCACCAACAAAGACTGATCCAAAAAGATGTCAACTCTCAAGTCTGGATGCCATTAGCAGCAGCAGCTTGCTGCAGCACCCGTGGCCAGCGCGACAAAATCTCGACATCGTCAAGCACGCCCTTGCCCTGGTTGCGTACATACTGGGTGCTGGGGTCCACGCGATGCTCCCAGTCCCAGTAGGCGACCTTGCCCTTGATCAGGGCTGAATAAACCAGACGGCGACGGCGTTGGGAACGGACCACGTCTTGTCGGATTGTCTCCAGGTCCCATCGGTTATGCACCTCCTCGATAAAGTAGGCCAGCAACTTGTGCGGGTCCGTGGTGACTGGCAGTGAAGAGAACTTCGCCGGACTTGGGGTGCGCGGGGGCGTGGGCGATGGGAATGGGTACGAGGCTGCCGAGGCGTCGGTGACACGCTGGGGCGTGGGCGAGACGCGAGGGGTCTCGTTCGGCGTCGGCAGGTACGCTGGCACGGCGAGCGGGTTAGGCGGCTTGACAGCTGGGACCTGCTTGCTGACAACGGGGACGGGCAGCCCGGCGACCAGATTGGTCTTCTCCTCGGGGTCAGACACGACGTCGAACAGCATTGGCGGGTCAATAGTCGAGTACACGAACTTCCAGCGGCCACGACGGATCATCACCAGCGGGGCCTGGGTACCTTCGCCCATATACTCGCCGTACACAGTGTCAGTGCGAGGCCCATCCTCACCGGTCAGATATGGGACAAGGGAAACGCCATCCAGCGGCAAGCCGTCCACGAGCGGGGCTCCAACAAGCCCGGCAAAAGTGGGCAATAGATCCATCGTGGAGACGTTTTCCGACACACGCTTTGCAGCGAACTTCTTGGGGGCGTGGAAGACCATCGGGACACGAGCCGAGTTCTCGAACCAGGTCATCTTATACCAGAGACCACGCTCACCGAGCATATCACCGTGGTCACCCGTGAAAACGATGATCGTTTCCTCATCGAGACCGGTGTCTTTGAGGACCTTGAGGAGCTTTCCGATGTTGGTGTCGACGTATGTACAGGCGGCATAATATGCCCGGCGAGCAGCGCGAATGCGATCATCCGGCATCTCCTTGCCCCAGAGATCGATGCACTTCAGCACACGTTGAGAATGAGGGTCCTGCTGGTCGTGCGGGATGGCACCGTTCTTGGGCAGTGGAATGTCGACGTCCTCATACAGATCCCAGAACTCCTTGGTCATGGCGTAGGGGTCGTGGGGATGTGTCATGGAGACGGTCAGACAAAACGGCTGGTCGGTGCGCAGGCGCACGTGGTCGTACAGATACTGCTTGGATTTGTAGATGACTTCTTCATCGAAGTCCAACTGGTTGGTGCGGACAACGGGGCCTGCTTCCATGACCGAGGACATGTTATGATAGTAGTCCAGACGGATATCCTGGCGAGAAAACAAAGACATTTAGCTCAATTCATACTGGTTCTGTTTGTATTCGTCTGTTTAATCCGCAACTTGCCATCCAGAGATCTCTCTTCCTCTCTACACGAACGAGAAACCGAGAAGTTGACTACTGCAAAAGGAATTGGAAACTTACCGGCTCATCCCAATTCACGGACCAGCCGTAATCACCGGGATAGATATCGCTGGTCAAGCGCTCCTCATAGCCGTGCAGCTGATCGGGGCCGCAGAAATGCATTTTTCCGGCTAGAGCCGTGTGGTAGCCCTCACGACGCAAGTAATGGGCATAAGTGGGTGTATCGGCAGGCAGATCCGCCGCGTTATCGTAAGCGCCGATCTTGGACGGCAGCTGGCCGCTCACCATGACAAAGCGCGAGGGCGCACACAGCGGCGAGTTGCAGTAGGCGGAGTCAAACACCACGCCCTCGGCGGCCAGGCGGTCCAGGTTTGGGGTTTTGATGGGCGAGTCCTTATCGTGGAGAGACAACAAGGGCGCGGCCATTTGGTCGGCCATGATATAGAGAATGTTGGGCTTTTTGGTTGCCATGATGGAAGGTCGTCACGAGGAGGGGGGAGGAAGGTGTGGGTGGGAAAGAAAAGAATCAAAAGGAGTATATGCGAGCAGAAGGAATATGTATGGATCAATATAGGGGCCAACAGGGAGAAGGGAAGGGGGAGGAGGAGAAGAAGGGGAAGAAGCACCCAGTGTTGGCCGTTTGGGACGAGTTTGGAACAGGAAGAACGCCGTGGTTGGGGATGGGGAGGTAGATATACGTGCTCAGAGTCGACGGAATGGCGTATGTGGGGAACCATTCTATCTGAAAAAAAAAACGGGAAAAAAAAAAGATTATTCAAAAAAGATAATGAGAAAAAGGCTTGTAAAGAAAAAAAAAAAAGGAAAAAAAACCCCAAAAAGGCCGAACCAGCCAAATGGGCGGGCACATGACCCGGCCCGAGAACTATATCCTGGACGTCGATAGAGCCATTGCGATAGTCTCTCGTTCGCGAGAAATGGGACATTCGACTCGACTGATACGGAATAGGTTTCCTGAGTGCATCAACAGGGTTCGCTGATGGGCTGACTTGGGCTGGTCGATGGCCTCCATTCTCTTATACTCCGGACTCCGGACTCCATTCAGTATTCGTGAGTAGTGAAGGGCCGGCGGCTGTCAGTACCGGCTCCATCGGGACGGTACTGGAGAAGACGGGGCAAGTCTGGAGATTGGAGGGTACGGGGCCTGTACTTGTCCTGACGCCCGTAATGTATCTCGCGGTACTTCCGTCCTCTGTCCGCCGTACTGAAAATCCAAAGTTCTCGACCTTCTCTTCCCCGATTGCCCAGATCTACAGAGAAACTGCATAGCAACTGCATACCGGGGGAGGCTACTGCAATGGAGATCAGGGGAAAATGGGGGACGATGGAGCCCGTGACGTACGTGTTGGAAGGCGCAAGATGGGCTCATCGTCGAGTGCGATGGTGTGATTGAGGGCGCTTAGGTCAGCCAGTTGGTAATTTACCCGTCACGGTTGGTTACGGTTGGGACATTATTTGGATGTTGGTTGTTGGTTGTATTTGGTTTTGTTAGTTCATTGTGCGGGGGAGACCATGTCCGCCGTCAATGCCCCCCATACAGCGAGGAGTTTCGGTCAACCAAAAATACCATCGTCCAGCGAGTACAGAGTACCGAAGTATAAGAGACTGCCTATACAGTTGACAACGCTGTTCTTTCGCAGGGATCCCCGTCCCTTCCTGATCGGATCCTCTTCGGAACCCGCGTCTTGTCCAGCACAGTCTGATGCGTCTCTATCGCCGTCTGACGGTGGTGTCTGTCCCTCAGCCCAGTACTCCCTCTCCCAGGCTGTGTATACCTTGGTACGTGGCCCGGTGGACAGAGCGTGCGCACCCGAACAGACCCCACCTTACACCAGAGCAAAAAAAGAGCATAAGGTCACAGAAAGAGAGAGGGAGAGGGATCATCATGTGGCCCCAGCCAGAAGGGAATGCGAGTCCAGAGTTTTGTCCATTCGGAGGGTCCGCTGTTCAATCCCGGAAACGAGAGACGACAGTGAAGGAGTTGGGCGAGTGCCGAGTTGCCACTTGCAGACACAGAAATCCGACGAATAGATTACGTGACGGGGGGAATACCGCCCAGCGCGTGTATTGCACGGGACTCGATCAGCCCCTCGCGGCGACCACGCATGGGATTTGACTCAAACGCACACTCAGCACTCCCCATATCGACTTTCCATGACCAGTTTTTTCGGGATTCGCACTCGACCTCTGGAGGGGCCAGTTCCGATCAGGGCCTGGCCGGCTGTCCGTGACAGACCCTGGTATCGGGCGGACGATCCCTCCCGACCATCCGCGCAAATCCCTGCAACGCCATGCAAACCTCGGGACTCCACCGGATCGTGTCATCGTCATGGCCGCCCAATCACGCTCGCCCTGGCTCGAGTGCCTGTTGCCCCTGGGGTCCATGCTCGACGATACTCGACCACGCTGGAGCCGGCCCAGCCAGACTAGGCCGCACTCGGCCAGACTAGCCACCGTGATACGCGTGTGCCGCTCGCTCGTTGGTCCTTACGACGCTTAGGGGGCGGTCACTCCACTTGCTTATCTCGCCCACGAATCACGGCTCCCGCTGCTTGACCCCGAACCCCCAGACCGAAGCGAGCTGTTTGTCAAGAGGTCCCTCTTATTTTTTTTTTTTGCCGACAGCACACTAGTCAGTTGGACTGACGGAGCCGCCCGACAACACAGTGGGACAGGCGGTGTACAAACGAACACGCGAAAGACCAGATTTACTTCGGGGATCATCGCATCGCAGAGGCACGAAAAAGGGGTTGGGGCAGGAGGGCATATCCTCGCAAGCTTTCCGCTCCCGTTTCACTAACCCATGAGCAATCCCCTTTCCCGAGCACGCCATGGAGGCGGTGTCTCTCGGGCTCAAATCACCCCGGATTCTGTGCCCGCAATCCACTGTCCACTGGCTACCAGCCCGGAAACCGGATGAGACGCATCCAGTGGGATGATCATCGGACATGGACTTCCACGCTCCATACTTCAAACATTCCCGCCAAGCAGTCACCGCTGTTTCGTCCCACGGCTGAACGATGGGGGGGGAGGGGGGATCCCCGTGCCCCATCCGATCTATGTAAATGATGACGAGGCTGCAGAGCCCATCCACAAAGAGAAAGGGTGAAAAATAATAATCACATTTAGCTAATGTCTGGCTTATGTGGTGGCTTCCGCTGCCGCTGTGCAGTGTCTCTTCGCCCCATCCCCACATACGCGATACGGCAGGAAGGAGGACACGTCTCGACCACAGCGCATGCCGCTCGTCGACCAGGCGGGACTATTTCACCCGATGCAGAATGCTCAAGCAGAAACCACCGATCCAATTACCAGATGATCGGAGCTGGATAGATTTGGAGAGAGCACATGGAAAATCAAGTCTCAGATGATGCAAGTACTCGTGCATGCAGAAAGCAGAACGGACTTTATTTCCTTCCCCCCTCCTCCCTTCCCTGTGCTTGCATATTTTCTTCCTATCCATGCGCGAGATAGCACCAGTCACACATCGAGGAGACGACAGGGGTTGTGAAAAGGGGTGAGGAAAACGCAATTTCCAGACCGAAAGAGAAAAATGAAGAAAACCAAATCAAACCCGGAAACCAAAGAGCCAGCGAAGACAGCAAAAGAGGCATTTCCTGTATGGGTATCAAATCCCCGAGAAGATTGCAAGGATTCTTCTGCATGCCGGGGCGTCAACATACTTCCCGTGCCCGGCTGAGAGATGAATGACGCTATTTTTGCCTCGGAGACGAACGGCGGTCTTCCATTGATGACCACCGGGCTTATTGCTGCAAGGATTCGTTCTCTTGTGCTTTCTTTTCGTGGGATATCTTTTCTGACCGAAGTGCCCAACATGTAGACATGCAGCACACGCGCAACATGGGGTCTGCACGTACCTCATAGAGCTCATGAAACAATGCTAGAATTTCTTTTTCTCCTCTATGCATGCAATACTCCCGTGTAATTCTGACTCAAGGAAATGACAATGGAAAAAAAAAAAAGAAAAAAAAGTCAATTTGATTTCTGGGAATTATCAATTTATGTGCCGTTTTCAAGATATGAATAGTGTATTCGATTGATCCATCAAACTTCCAAAGAGTAAAGGAGATGGGGATCCCATCGACTTAAAAAATGGAAGAATGACCGAACATCGACCAGAGCAAAAGATCAAACGCCGAACCGAACACGCAAATGTAAGCAGTAGGTTTCAAAAAAAGGGAAAAAAAAGGGAAAAAAAAGGAAAAAAAAGGCAAGTAATAAGTTCCAATTCATGAGTCGTATCAACTGTCACCAAAAGGGTGTCTCGCCGGATGGGACGAGATACCCTTCAAGGTCAAGTCTCAACCCGCCAAGCCAAGAGGTACTTCGCCAAGAGGCGAGAATCCCTGCACGAGCAAGTAAAAAGTCACAAAAAAGAATCGGAATATCAACAGCAGGTTCGTGTGTATCGACAGCATTGAAACTCACGTATGTCCGTATTGTCGAAGGTCATTGTCATGCCACCAGCCTCCCTGAGTCAAGAGAGAAAGAAAGGAAGGAAGGAAGGAAGGAGGGAAGAAACAAGAGGTAGAAGGCCAACTGGCTCGCGCTTTCTTAGAGAGTAGAGAACTCCCAGCAGGGGTCGATATCGCCCGCCGCGATGCGGTTCATGGTCTCGGTGTAAACATCAGACAACCCAATGGGCTCGGGCCGTTGCTTCGAAACGGCGGGCAGATTCTGCACATACCAGTGGACAAGATCGCGAGAGGCAACAGCGTCCTCTAGACTGTCATGTCCGAAGCGGCTTTCCTGGATTTCTCGTTTGAGATGGGTAGACGCGAGATGGGCAAGGCTACGGCATTTCTCCGGGTCGAGACGACGAGCCTCACAGTCCAAGGTATCGATAACGCGACGATGGATCCAACGCAAAGCGAGAAGGTCGTTGCGACCAGCATGAGCAACTACGATTGTTTCGGGACCCACGAAGTTCCAAATCATTTGCCGAGCCTTGTCGCGGCCGATGATGGCCTTGTGGGTTTGTCGAGCATGGTACAGCATGGGCCAGGTCACACCAGAGTACCGGGTATTCAGATGCAGCATTTCCACCTTGGGCCAAACGAGGGAGTTCAAGAGAGTCTCGCCGGTAAAATAGTCAACAGCGCTCACCCTGATAATTTCCGGCTCACCAATCTGGTTGATGCCCATCTCGCAGTCGAGGGCAATACAGCGACGCGCATTCTTGACCAACCCAGGAGTTTCGAAAAGCTCAAAGTCTTCTTCGATGTCATGCACCTCCCACGCGTCGCCATGCTGCTCAGACCGGTGGCAGCCGCGCGAGTTGAGGCTCCTGTTACAGCAGGTATAGCGCTGGAGACAAGAATGGTTAGTGAATGGGGACAAGAAATAATGGGGGAGCTCGGCTGGAGATCGTGATATATACTTACGCTTTGGCGAACCTTGCCAGGATGGCCCTGACAAATAGCACGATCGAGCCGAAGTTGCTTGTCGTGCTCCATTTCCGCGAGTAGTAAGGCAGATTGAATTGTAGTCAAAGGGACTTGATGGTAGATGGTGTCCTCATCCTCTTCAAGGCCGATGTGAATATGACTGTTGTACTCAACAACCTCTGGCTGGCGCTGCTGCTCAAGAAGATGTTCCTCGACCGTCAACGATCGTGGTTTGTCACCGGAGTCTTCAGAATCGTCGCTATTATAGGCACCAGGGGCATGGGGGAATGGAAATGGCCAGGTCACTGTGATTTTGTTGTTTGCAAGGCTGACATGGGGAATAACAGGCTCGACACAAGGCATCGGCGGATGGGGAAGGGCCGGCGGGGGGTTGTCGGCAGACTCGGCGGCCAGCTCCTCAAGCCCGCGGCCTTGTTTTTTCAACAGCTCAAGCTGGCGAACCATCCAATCGGAATCTTTCTTGCGCTCAGCCTGCCAAACCTCCATTCGCTTGTCCTCTTCTTTCTTCGCCTTCGGGGGAAGCTTGCGCTTGTTCTTCACTGCTTTGCTGCATACTCGAGCTATGAACCAAAATAAGAAAAAGCCAAGATCAGCTCAAAATCCTTGGTCGATAGATCAAACCCACTTCAATTACATGTCAGTTTAATACATACCGCGACAAATCTTACACCGTCTCATGCGAAAAAGATCCGTATAGCCGAGTTGACGGACGGTGTAGCCGTTTTGCTTCATTTGTTCCTCCGTTAGGACCATCCCCTCCATATCAGCCCACTCTTCTGGAGTGTCAGGAATGACAGCCGCCTGAGAGCCGGCAACACCAGTGAGAGACACAGTTGGTGTAGTAGAAGGTACCGGAGCTGAAGGATAGAATGGTGTCGGAGATGATGAGGTGACAAGGCCCACAGAAGGCACAGATGCCATCGTGCCAGCAGATGCTTGTACGTCACCCTCGGTGCTTTCAACTTTGGACGCCATAGCGAAGGCTGAGAAGGACATATGAAGAGTCAAATTCACTGCAATGATGGGATTTATCAAAGGGTGGATCTTAGAGGGAGGAGGTGGATGATAGACGAAGAATAAGACGCAAAGATGGGTGACAGAAAGGATAGAAAGAAAGGACGATCGAGTGATAGAAGAGAACGAGATAGGCTGCCAGGGAAAAAATGCCAGAGCCTTCGATAAAGGAAAGGACTGATCCTAGCTGAGTTTTCGAAAAGAGTAACTAATTTATGAGTCGGTCGTGGGAGAACCTTAAAATGAAGATAGGTCAAGGTTGGAACAGGAGTATTCACTTGTATATTAGCGAACTCGCGTGACCGAGTAAGGCGGCACCCAAAATGGGCATCGACGGATGGAAGCCGATAGACGTTTTAGGGCTCGGCCGGTCACGTCAACATTTGGGGGTTGAGCGTCAAGGCAGCACAGCACAGTGCGGCAGAACCACGTGCACCACTCGTTGTAGTGGATGATGGAGTGTGTTGCCTGGCATGAAGCCTCTTGGAAGTTAGGGCCGGGAGTTTCGATGGCTAGGCAGTCACCACGACGTGGCCGAGGGAACCGAAATTCGCCGAGGCAACCGTGGATGTTCAAAACCAGTTGCAGGCATAGATGGATTTACAAAGCAAGTATTTGGAGAAGAAAGAAACTTGTAGATTGACGCTCAACGCAGTAGGAAATGGCCCGGCACCGAAATCCCTCCAATCCAACTGGGTTGGCCAGCCAGCCATGGATGCTTGTCTCGGTTGGAAATGATTCCAGTTCGATTAGCGCAGAAAGGAGGCGATGCATAAAAAGCATAAAGAGAGAAGATGAGAAAGGAAAGATGAGATAGAAAGATGAAAGTGAGTGTGTGGGAACCTTTGCGACCAGGACGTGTAGGGCAGGAAGGCAGAAAAACAGGATACGCCGTGGGTGGTCAGACATCACCAATGCTTATCAGACAGATTAAATCGTGAGTATGGAAGGAAAGCACAAAACGTGGTAGAAAACACGGTGGTATGAGTTTGGGGGAAGGACAAACAGCGAGGAAAATTGATCTCGACATAGCCACTTAATCAACCTTGATAGCACTGTAGTGAATTTTGTGTAAGTATATATTCAATTCAAAAAAGGGGCACCCTGGTGAGCCAATTCGCATACCTGTAGACACGGCGAACAAAGACATAAGCGGCCAAGAAGCCGACAGTACCAGTGAGCAGACCATACACAGCACAGGCAAGAAAGCTGTAACTGAAGAATAACAGCCCAGAGACAAAGCCGGAAACGTGGAGCTTGAACATGTAGTACCAGATGCAATAGGCGAAAACCCAGAATGCACTGCTACCACCAGTCAGGAAGCTCTGCCACCACCAGTGATAATTCTAAAAGGAATTAGCCAATGAGTCAACATATGGCAAACAAAACAATGATGAAGGGGTTTACCTCAGAGCAGAGCTGGCTGTAGGTGGCAATTACAGTCACTTCGATGACAGTCACCATCAGCACCACCGAGACCACGCTCAAGAAACCAAAGACATAGTAGTAGCCACTCTTATCCTGCCAAAGGTTCTTGAACACGAAGAGGAGTTCAATAAAGAGAACCGCGAAGGGGATCAGACCGGTGAGCAGGGGCCTGCGGGGCTGCGCAGGTACCATGGCTGAGTCGGGATCTGACGGGGAATGGCATTTGTCTTTAAAGGATGCTCCCATGGAGATGCACGCACGTAACCAGCCCAGCTGCCAATGTACACTAGGGGGACTTGAATGAGCAGCCAGAGTGCAAGAAGCCCGACCAGAGTGCCGAAAGGAATTGCAGTACTAGAAGCCTGAGCCCAGACAAATAGGTTTAGTATGAGAACGAGGAAGAAAGAGAGGCCAGGGAATAGCAAAGCAGTCTATCATCGTGAAAGATTAGTCTCATAATAGAAAGGCCAACAGGCAGATCCAAAGGACACTTACAATTAGGGTATTCTTGCGCCAGGTGGATCCCCCAAAAGTCTTGTAGAGCCTTCCAGAGAAGTAGCCGGAGAAAAGTCCAGCAAAAACAAATAGGCCCATACCAACGCTGACGAATCCACCCCGGAAACTCGGATTCAAAATACCCAGGCAGCTTAAAACAAGAAGACCAGTGGCCATGAACAGTAGTTGCATACCGGAGCCTACAAGGGGAGCCAAAAGTCCACTGTAGGCTGGGATTCGGAAGACATCGCCGTGCAATAGCTTCCAACCGCTATTGTCCTCAAAAGGTTCATCATCCGAGGACATGTCTGCGTCATTCTCGACATCGGCATTGTCCAATAGCCCTTCATTCTTCTTTTCACCAGAGCGCTTCCGTCGAGGCTGCACCTTCGATTTACGGTCTTCCATGGCACCATCACCACGACCCTTAACGTCACCCTGGACAGTACGGCTCCAGATGACAAACACTGTTACTCCAAGTACTGTGGAGATAGTCAGAGAGTTGATGATTGCCAGCCAGTGGGTCATCGATCCTTCTTCTTGATTCGTGAAATAGAGATCCCAGCGGTTTGCCCATTCAACCTTGGTCTCTTCTCGAAAGTAAACCGAGTACGTGTACGGAACTTTCAGTGTCGTACCATCGTCTTCATCGTCATCTTCAGGAATATAGGAAAGTCCGCCATACTTCTCTCGAAGTCGCGACATGTCGGGCGGAATATAGAGACCGAGACCCTCGGTGTCCTTGTGCACAGCCCTTGGGCACCCATCTTCCTTTCTGTCCGCGGCGGTCACGCTCTTTGGGTAAACCTCAAAGCCGACAATGACCTTACCCCCCTCCGGGGCGCCCCGCCAGCGGATGACGATGGTAAAGTGGTTGTTGATGAAGTAGCGTGGCTGACCGGTAGCCGCTGAGATATCACGATAGCCCATTTTGAATCCAGAAGCATAGTACTTGCGACTTCGATCAACTGTCACGAAGCTGGTTGCTCCAGGCAAATTGTCCACGATCCATTCAATGACATAGTTCTCTTTGATAAGCTGGCGGGCCCACTTTACTTCGGAGCGGCTGATTTCGCGGGTGCAAAGCGCTTGACATTCAACATCCTTGCCCATGGCAAGCTCAAAATCAGAAGTCATTATACGATCTCCGCGCAACACTTCGCCCAGGTTGAGGGAAATACTCTGGCCAGACCCGAATGGTGATCCGCCATGGCTCTTACCGCTCGGTGGGCAGACAAACGGCAAGTCAAAGTAGGCATACTGGAGTTGTGTATGATCGGAGAATATTTTGTTCACGAGGAGCGGAATTGGCTGGTCATCGTTATATCGAGTGACTGAGTAACCTATAGAGACAGAGCAGTCGAGGTCAGCCCATGTCGTATACTGCAACCTGGTTCATGCTCCGGGAGCTTACCTGGAATATAGAATGCCCAAGCGCTCGATAACAATAGCAGAAGCGGTAATATCCAGCTAATAGGGCGAAATGGCCCAAGAGTTGCTGCATGCATTGCAAAAGAAAAAGAGGAAGTGGTTGTTCGGCCGGCCTGCTCGGAGAGAATGGGGGAGCTTCTAGACCCCCATCCACGAAGGTAGTCGGAGTGATGATCGGTACAAGGCGAAGTGTAGATCAGAGAAAGTCCGGATGTTGTCCAACCCTTGTTGTTCACCCCTCGGAGCTCGGAGTCTGGTCGGGACTAGCCAAGCGGTATCTAGGGGATCGACAAGAGCTGGGTGACCGATGTGCGGTCTGATGATTGCTGATCGTTTGACGGTTTATGGATTGTAGTGGGTAGGCCGAATAGCACGGGATCGGTGAGGATAGAGAATAACGAGTGAAATCGGCACCGAATGCCACGGTACCGGTATCAAGGGGATTGGGAATGGTCGAGGGGCCCTGAAGGTGTTGTTCCAGCGTGTCAACATGGATTACCTAATGAGCGGCATGCAGAGGATCAAATTGCAAGGATCGCCAATCACAGAACCAAGCCAAGAGCAAGGTCACTGCAGGGACAAAATAGCCGAAATAGCCATGCAACTGATAAGAGTAGAACAAGGGCTCGGGTGAAAGAAAATTGGAAGGAGATGAAGATCCCAAAACCCTGACCAACGAGTCCCGTAGGGCTGGAAGGATGTATATGTTTCTGCCTTGGCACCAGTAGAGGGCTTTGAATGGAGACGCTACGTACTCACGATGGGGATGCCAGTGTATCAGCACCCAATGAGAACAGTGGATCGAACCAGACAGGAGAAACTCTACATATTCATGTGGCTTGTGGCTACACTATGGCTCTTCTACAGGTTGGGTTCCAAGAGTACTTCAAATACTCAATACCCTGGAGATAAACATTGGAGGAGACAAAACAAAACGCTAGTACCAAGGATTGTCCAGACCGAACAGAAGAGAAGGGAAGAGAAAAGGAGAAGAAAAAAAAAACGATTCACACCCAGAGGGAAAGTATGCGAAAAGGGGAATGGATAAATCATCGGAACCTGGGAAAAGGCTAGTCGTAACCTCGGAGCATAAATCCAAGGGGTCATGAAATACAGGGAGTAAAAAAAGGTGGACAGAACAAGAAGATTGAAAGCCCAAAAATGAAGAATCGAAGCAAGATAGCTCATGCCGAACGGGTTAGAAGGTACTCCACAGCTCCCTGAACACTGCCGCCGGATCGACGCAAAGCCTCGATATTTCGCTCAAACTCGTAAAATCCCATATCATTCAGCTGTCGAAGTTGCTCTGCATATCTCTCCTCAGGGGGTCGATTGTCGGGTGGTTGAGGGGAGCCAAAGCCACCGCTACCACCACCACCAAACAAAGCTGCGAGAGGATTGGCACCAGCACCAGCCTCCGCACCAGCTCCTCCCATACCCTGCATCATCTGGCTCAAGAGTGCCGGGTCACGCAGGAAAGGATTCTGCTGGGGATCAAAAGGGTTGATGCCGGCCTGGCCGGCCTGGCCAGCCTGACCGGCCTGACCAAACAGAGCCGGATTAAGCAAAGCGGCAAAAGGATTTTGAGCGGTCTGAGGGGCTTGATTTTGACCCTCATCGGTCGTAGACCGATCTGCCGTAGTTTGAGCACCCTGGGTGCCCTCGGTCTGATTGGAACCATCGGTAGTTGTATTGGACGGGGGTTGTCCGAAGCCCGGGCCGCCAAAGAGAGCTGCAAATGGGTTGCCCATTGGATTCGCTGGCATTTGACCAAAGGGATTGGTCGATGGGTTCTGCTGCTGGGTGCTCTGATTACCTTCGGTCGTGTTTGTGACACCAGGCTCCGGGAAAGCACTATTGCCGCCACCTAGACCGCCTCCCATACCCATCATCCGTTGCATTTGCATCATTTGCCGCAGCGAGGCAGGGTCTGTCAGCATACGACGGAAGGCGGGTCTCTGCATAAACTCGCGGGCCATAGGGCCCATCTCCCGAAGCATAGGGTTCTGTTGAATCATCATATCGATCATGGCAGGGTTCTGGAGGGCCTCGTTGATTTGAGACTGGATCTGAGGGTTCTCAAGCATGGTCAACAAATGCTCAGGGTCTGAAGCACCCATCTATGTGAAAATTCACATGTCAGCAAATTTGAACTGAATTAGAGCGGTGACAGCCTGAAAGCATCGTTGAATATACTATGGCTGGAAGAAGACTTTAAGACTTACCCCGCCATCAGGACCAAAGAGACCCGCTCCGGGAAGCTGAGCAAAACCAGCATAGCGTGCCCCAGTCAAGCCAGCAAGAGGGTTGTTCCCCGTACCTGTCGCCAGGTTAGTGGGAACACCAGCCGCAGGCTGACTTGGGGTGGCGCCAGAGGCATTTGCAGTTGCGGAGGTAGACTGAGTAGAGGTGGCGGAGCGTTGTTGGTTGCTGGCAGCACTCTTCACCAGGTGGATTGTATGACCATCTTTGATTTTGTATGTCTCCAAGGTCTCATTATCCTTTAGTACTCGCCCAGAGTAGATCAGACGTTGGCGATCAGCGGGCGTATCGGCATATTCAGGAGCGCAGAGCTTCTGCTTGAGTTCTGAAACTGTAGTCGACAGAGGAAGGGTCAGGGTGAATTTGGCATCAGTGGAAGATTTGACAGTGAAGGTAATGGGAGCATCAGCCGTCGCAGCTGCGTCGTCGGCCATGGTTGAGAAGCAGGCGTGAGCGCCGAGTGGGGTGGGAGGGGGGGAGGGAAGATGTGATAGCACTGGGGAAAAGGACGTAAACGCTGAGAATTAATATAAGACTGGCAATTTGAGCTCTGAATCAACGAGCTGTGGTCACAATGCCAACACTGGATAGGAACTCACACCAAGAAGTGGTCAGATATCCGGAGGAGATGATGTCCTCTTGGATTTAGTTCAACTGCGCATTACGTAAGGGCGGTGATGGCTGCAGGCAGAAGGCGGTCGAATCCGATCGTGCGTCACACGTGATCGCCGCCAAACAGCTTCGCACTGGAATTTTACACCTCTCATTTTTGCTCTCCGAGCTCTCCCACCCCTAAAGCAAAACCGATCTCCCACCTTGATCGGGGCTTCAGCCATTGCGGAGTCTTCTCTCTCTCCGACTCCATCCAGCAGCAATGGGACTGGTGTGATATTTGCATCCCTGGGACTGCAATTGCGAGTAAAAACCCTTGTTTTCCTGCTTTTCGTGTCGGGGGGTGCAAAGATCTCGCCGCGAGAGCTTGATTGCCCATCATGGCCACCACCTCGCATATGTTCATGTACTCTCTGACGATCCAGCCACCAACTGCGATCACACAGGCTATTCTGGGTCAGTTTGCTGGAACCAAAGAGCAGCAGATCGTCACTGCCTCCGGTTCCCGGCTCACTATCCACCGTCCGGACCCATCTCAGGGCAAGGTCACGCCCATCTTTTCACAAGATGTTTTCGGCATCATTCGCTCTCTAGCAGCATTTCGGCTAGCAGGCAGTAATAAAGGTATGTCTTTGCTGTTACCCCGAGTATGCATTTACGAGTTCAACTTAGTGATTCTTCAAGCTTCCCGGGTAGCACGGTCTTGGTTTTCCGATCCGGCCCCTTGATGGACGGAGACCTGCCCCGGCCAGCAACGTTGACGCTGTTTCGCGAACTGTGCTGAGTCCTTTGCATTACAGATTATATCATCATCGGCTCTGACTCTGGCCGTATTACCATTATTGAGTATGTTCCCTCGCAGAACCGCTTCAACCGGATCCATCTGGAGACATTCGGCAAGTCTGGAGTGCGACGGGTTGTTCCCGGTCAATATCTGGCTGTGGATCCTAAAGGACGTGCATGTCTGATCGCCTCGGTGGAGAAGAACAAGCTGGTCTATGTTCTGAACCGCAACTCCCAGGCTGAACTCACTATTTCCTCGCCGCTGGAGGCTCATAAGCCACAGACTCTGGTCTTCGCAATGACAGCTCTGGATGTTGGCTATGAAAACCCTGTGTTTGCTGCTCTCGAAGTAGATTATTCGGAAGCTGACCAAGACCCCACTGGTCAAGCATACGAAGAGATCGAAAAGGTTCTGGTGTACTATGAGCTAGATTTGGGTCTTAATCACGTTGTTCGCAAGTGGTCTGATCCTGTCGATCGCACCGCAAACATGCTCTTCCAGGTTCCCGGAGGCTCGGATGGCCCTAGTGGTGTCCTTGTGTGTGCAGAGGACAACGTCACCTACCGTCACTCAAACCAAGATGCTTTCCGTGTGCCTATCCCACGTCGACGGGGAGCGACTGAGAACCCTGAGCGGAAACGCTGCATTGTCTCCGGTGTGATGCACAAGATGAGGGGCGCTTTCTTTTTTCTCCTCCAGACCGACGATGGCGACATGTTCAAGCTGACTCTTGACATGGTGGAAGACGACAATGGTCAATTGACTGGCGAAGTCAGCAGGCTGAAGATAAAATATTTTGATACTGTACCTGTCGCAACGAACCTTCTGATTCTGAAGAGTGGCTTCCTCTATGTTGCCAGCGAGTCAGGCAATCACAACTTCTACCAATTTGAAAAACTTGGTGATGATGATGAGGAGACAGAATTCACCAGCGATGATTTTTCTGCCGATCCCACGGTTCCTTATGACCCAGTATTCTTCAACCCTCGTTCAGCGGAAAACCTGAACCTCATGGAGACCTTGAACTCTCTCAACCCACTGATTGATAGCAAGATTGCCAATCTGACGGAGGATGATGCCCCTCAAATTTACTCCGTCGGTGGCACTGGTGCTCGAAGCACCTTCCGAAGTCTTAAACATGGTTTGGAGGTTTCCGAGATTGTGGAGTCGGAGCTGAGAACCGTCCCTTCTGCAGTCTGGACGACAAAATTGACACGAAGCGATCAATATGATGCCTACATTGTCCTCTCTTTCGCGAATGGAACTCTTGTTTTGGGCATCGGTGAGGTTGTGGAAGAAATCTCTGACTCTGGTTTCCTCTCTACTGCACCAACGCTAGCCGTTCAACAGCTGGGCGAGGATTCATTGATTCAAGTGCATCCCCGCGGAATTCGCCATCTCCTGGCTGACCGTCGAGTCAATGAGTGGCCTGCGCCCCAGCACCGCTCTATTGTGGCCGCGGCTACCAACGAGCGTCAGGTAGCGGTCGCACTTAGCTCCGGTGAGATTGTCTACTTTGAGATGGATGCCGATGGAACCCTTGCGGAGTACGATGAAAGACGGCAAATGTCTGGAACGGTCACTTGTCTGAGCTTGGGTGAAGTCCCAGAAGGCAGAATGCGCAGCTCTTTTCTTGCAGTTGGCTGCGATGATTCTACTGTGCGCATTCTAAGTCTAGACCCAGATTCGACCCTAGAGAACAAGTCTGTTCAAGCTCTGACATCCGCACCCTCGGCTCTCAATATCATGGCCATGGCTGACTCGAGCTCTGGCGGTACCACACTCTATCTCCATATCGGTCTTTACTCTGGCGTTTACCTCCGTACCGTTCTCGACGAGGTTACTGGAGAGCTGTCTGATACTCGAACACGTTTCTTGGGAGCTAAGCCTGTTAAGTTGTCCCAGGTCTCCGTAAAGGGCCAAACTGCTGTTCTGGCTTTGAGCTCCCGACCCTGGCTTGGGTATTCTGATATTCAGACTAAAAGCTTCATGCTCACCCCTCTTGACTATGTTGCTCTTGAATGGGGATGGAACTTCTCTAGCGAGCAATGCGAAGAGGGAATGATCGGTATTCAAGGCCGGAACCTTAGGTACGTTAGAAACTCCCAGTCCTCTCATACTCCTTTCCTCAATTTCCCCATTCCCCTTCATGCCCCCACTCTTGATCATATGATGAAACTTGGGATCCGAATGCAAATGAGGATAAACTTTATTTATTTATTTCCAATTGTTCCTACTGAGATCAAGCAAACATTCAATTTTTCCATTCTGTGATATGAATATATCATTATCGAGATTGACTGACTGACTCACTCAATTCAGGATTTTCTCCATCGAGAAGCTCGATAACAACATGCTCCAAGAGTCCATCCCATTGGCGTACACCCCTCGCCGCTTTGTCAAGCACCCAGAACAACCCCTTTTCTATGTCATTGAGTCTGACAACAATGTTTTGTCCCCTGCTACTCGGGATAGCCTTCTCCAGGACTCCAAGAACCGTAACGGTGATGTTTCCATTCTTCCTCCAGAAGATTTCGGATATCCTCGTGGTACGGGACACTGGGCTTCCTGCATTCAAATTGTGGACCCGATCTCAGCAAAGTCGGTGGTCTTTACCCTTGAATTGGAAGATAACGAGGCCGCGGTTAGCGTTGCTGCTGTGCCTTTCTCAAGCCAGGATGATGAAACCTTCCTCGTTGTCGGTACAGCCAAGGACATGACCGTCAGCCCCCCGTCATCTGCTTGCGGATTTATCCATATCTATCGATTCCAGGAGGATGGCCGCGAGCTGGAGTTTATCCACAAGACCAAGCTCGATGAACCACCTCTTGCTCTGCTTGCTTTTCAAGGTAGACTGCTTGCTGGAATCGGCTCACTTCTGCGTCTTTACGATCTGGGAATGAAACAACTTCTTCGAAAGTGTCAAGCACCAGTGGTTCCTCGCACTATTGTTGGCCTCCAAACTCAGGGAAGCCGTATTGTTGTCAGCGATGTCCGCGAAAGTGTGACCTACGTTGTTTACAAGTATCAAGAAAACGTTCTTATTCCATTTGTCGATGACTCCGTCGCTCGTTGGTCAACGTCCACCGCCATGGTCGACTACGAGACCGTCGCCGGTGGTGACAAGTTCGGCAACCTCTGGCTGCTTCGATGTCCCAACAAAGTGTCCGAAGAGGCAGATGAGGATGGTTCTGGTGCCCATCTGGTTCATGAGCGTAGTTACCTACAAGGAACTCCCAACCGCCTTGAACTGATGGTTCACTACTACACCCAAGACATCCCGACTAGTTTGCACAAGGCCCAGCTGGTGGCGGGTGGTCGTGACATTATTGTCTGGACTGGTCTCCAGGGCACGATCGGTATGCTCGTCCCGTTCGTCAGCCGTGAAGATGTCGACTTCTTCCAAAGCCTTGAGATGCAGTTGGCCACCCAGCACCCTCCCCTCGCTGGCCGGGACCATCTGATCTATCGCGGTTACTATGCACCGGTCAAGGGTGTGATTGATGGCGACCTGTGCGAAATGTACTTCCTCTTGCCCAACGATACGAAAATGACGATTGCTGCGGAACTCGATCGGTCTGTGCGGGAGATCGAGCGTAAAATCTCGGTAAGTATACAAAGTTAACAACGATATTCTCTCCCCGCTTTTGTATTCGCTCTAACATAGTCGCAGGACATGCGGACTCGGGTGGCGTATTAATTTAATGGGCACTTCCCTTCCTGGCGTCTGATGCTGGCGTTTCTGCTCTTCTGGGCTTCAAATACCTAGGTACCTGCTAATGAATATCCTGATGTGCGGCTTTGGGACCGCTTGTGTCTTACCCCAATATTTTCCTCTTTCTCTAGCCTTGACATGTTTTCTACTCCATTTGAATTGTCGTCTCTTGCCTCGCTCGGTCTGCCGTTTTCACTCGGCTAATCTTGAGCTGGATGCACCGAATCACTTTTTAGTGGTTTGGCCTGCATGAGACAAGAATAAGCGTGGACTTCCATGCCTTCGACGTTTTTTGAGTACGGTTTTATCTGCATTGCAACCACGGATATACACCGTAATTTATCTGTCGGGACAGTCCTGTAATATTTTCTGTCAGCCCAGACCCGTAGCCCTCTAGATAAGAGAAGAATATCACAATGACTTTCAAGCATACAATCCATTTCTATTAAATTAAGTTACAACTATATATCTTCTGCAAATAAATATGGATAAACGGCGTCCCGCGCCGGCTTCAGGTCACCTGATTCCGACTCGGAGTTGCTCACCAGGATCCTATCCTCGATTGACGACACCGATTGAATGTTTTTAGGCCGATAGTTCTACCGAGAGCAGAAACGATTTTCCATGAACCCTTTTGCCAGTTCCGAAAAGCCTTACCAGTCTTACCTACTCGGCACGGCCAGATGCTCGGTTACGGTCGGAAAACTCTGGAGCCACCCGAAAACCTGGCCCGATACCGCCGTCTGCTTCTCCTCGGGAAAGCGCTCTGGATGGAGATCTTCTCCGATGTTGTTAAGACCCTGGTTCAGGGAGTCAGAAGGGTGAACTGTTGAGCTCTCATCTGGAGGTCTCTGAATATCTACGAGGCTGACAAACCTAATACGAGAAACGGAACAATCGCCCTGCTTTGAAATGGTCCCGGTTTGTGTCAGCAGGTCTGCCTCTCCCCGCGATCGGCCGTGAGGTTGATTGGTTCCTGCGTTCAATGCCAGCGACCGAGCGCCTGTGATCGGGGAATGTGAGTGGGCCACCAAGGTTGTCGCAATTGCAAGTGGAGTCCCGAAGGGCGTGGCATGTCGACATAAGGCGCGGTCCACCGACTGCCCTGCTCTGGGTCGACCCACTCTGGCGGTCTCCAAGTCAAAGAGCTCTCGTGTGGTGAATGATGATTTCAGTTCGATTATGATCCCATCGATAATTGTCTGGTCAATTCGAGAGCAAAGAGCTTGCTGCGTCTGGAGAGTTCTGAGGGATGCCAGCATTCCCACGACGCAGCTTCCAGTTTTCGCCCCCTCTTTGGACTGCATGGTCACTCCGATCCCTAACCGAAATAGTCAAGGGCTTCTGTCTAGGCTTGTCTGTGAAGCAGGCAATCGGAATGTCATTTCAAGGGCGTGAGCATGAGCCGAGAAGGGCGTACCCACCAATCACTTTAGCCGACCGCTCCAATGTCCGTTGGCACCCTCAAACCCCGACTTTGCTTTTAACAGAACGCCCAAACGACCTTGGGGCGGCACTGGGCTGCTGGATCACCAGACGATTGGACCACGCGGGGGTTGGTCGTCATGGACCCGCGTTTGCTAGAAGCCCACGAAGGTTGTGCTTCTTGTGACTCATGAATCTGGCATCAAAGCTTCCTATGATTTGTAAACCAACATTGGTGTCATTAGTGATGATCGCATCTAATTCTAAAGTTTTCGACTTTCTATAAAACAGCGTGGTCCCTCCCCAAACCGGATGGAACCCGCCAGACCCAAATAATAGTCACTTGTATACTTCCAAGCTCCAGCGCGGTTGTCCACGGCTCCACTTTCTACTCCTGCTTTCTCTATTGTGCAATTTTTTTTTCTGTTTTCCCTGCCAGACTCCATTCCGGGGGAAGGAACTTAAAGGGAGACTACGGGTTACATGCAACCTTGCTGGTGGTCCTTTTGATTCCTGTGCCTCTGAATCCTTCTCACAGGCCAGCGACTGCAGTCGCGTGCAACTAAGCTTGTTTCCCCGCCCTCTCGCCCTCTCACATACAAATAAGCACGCATTCCCACTCCCAAGTCTCTTCTTGCTATTATCGCCAGAATCCTGAGCCCAACAACGCGATGGCAGCTATTTCGGTCGTAAGTCGGGGCTCCGACACTCTGGATGCCTGGACCCGGCGCTCAAATCCCAAAATCAGCATCGAACTTGCGGGCCAGCAAAAAGGTCTTGTGAACTCCTATACAACTGGCGATCAGATTGAAGGCGTCGCCAACATCACGGTGGATCAAGACACTCGCTTTGACGAGGTGGAAATCGTGTTGCAAGGTAATTTTGCGCCCTGAGAAACGTTTTTGTTGCACCGATCTCCCATTTAACATTTGTGCTTTCAGGGACATCGCATACGACTGTCGAGCGTGCCGCATGCCCTGGCCGCACAGGGTCGCAACAGATGTTTCTCAAGCTGCGCCAGCCAATCGAAGACAGTGAATACCCGACACCACGAGTTCTCGAATCAGGTCGGACTTATTCCTTTCCATTCACCTTTGTCATTCCAGATCGCCTGCTGCCACAGGTTTGCACCCACTCGCGAGCAAACGCTCATGTTCATCGTGCGCACACCATGCTCCCCCCAACCTTGGGAGATCCAATGCTCGCAGGTAACGGGAAAGCTTTGTTGGATGATATGGCTCCCGACATGAGCCAAATATCCTATATCGTCCGGGTCAACCTGCTCAAACGCTCTTCGACAGATCACCGCAACCTTAAGTCTCTGGCCAACCTGGCCAAAAAGATTCGCATTATTCCGGTCATGGAGGAGGAGCCTCCTATCAATGTCACCGAACATCCTTTCTACTGCATACGAAAGGAGAAGACCGTTCGTCGTGGATTTCTGCGTGGCAAACTCGGTCGAATGGTTGCGACTTCCTCCCAGCCCAAACCTATCCGTTTGCTCCCCCCACCTGCGAGGCGAGTGATACTGTCAGCAGTGTCGCGACTGTGAATCTTCGATTTGACCCAGTCGGTAACGAAGAGCCTCCACGGCTTGGCTCAATGACTAGCAAGCTCAAGGCTAGCACTTTCTACAGTGCTGGTCCTTGGGAGGATTTCCCTTCCCAGTCAGGGAACGTGCCACTCTCACAAGTTGGCCAGGGCCTATTCACCGACTCCATCCCACTGTCTTCGATGTGTGTAGCTTCCGCTCAGTGGAGGAAACACACTGCATCTGACTCTGATCGTCGGGACTCTCTCCAATCCACCTCCTCTGAGGACTCAACCGATCCATCCGCCACATTTTCGGGCGACATCTATTACACTGCCTCCGTCGTCATTCCCATTCCACTCCCCTCCCATAAAACATTCGTTCCCACCTTCCACTCCTGCCTGATGTCTCGCACCTACTCGCTGGATCTCTCGTTGACCTACCATACCCCGGGTGCGAACGTTCTCACTCCCACCATCTCCCTCCGCCTCCCCATCCAAATCATCACCCAACCCAAGTATGCAGATCCCATCAAGTCTGAGTTGGGTGTTGTTGTGACACAAGCTGAACTGGACGAGTTTTTCCAGCCACGTTCTGTTACTCCTCTCGTGCAAGAACCAGTCATTGCTGTGAATCTAGCACCGCCAGGATATTCAGAGACAATATCTGCACCTGGTCTCCCACGTGCACGTGCTACCTCATGAACAGTCTGATACACGCGAAACTACTATCTACCCTTATCATGACATAAATACCCCCTTCGATGACCACTAAAAGTTGCCCTAATTCTTGTTGTCTTTGACCTTGTGCTTTTCTGCATGGCAAGCATGCATCTGATGACTGTGAAGCCCGTTTCAAGTTTGCGCTTTCTATTGAAAGATACCCCTCCTTTTCGTCCAGTTATTTTTCTTAAGAGCGGTAAAGGTGTATGATTTTCTTGGCAACAATTCTAGTAATTTGATCTATTATTCATTTTATCGCGGGGGATAGATGCTTTTTTGGAATAGAAACCTATTGGAGAAATGCGCATATGAATTTAAGTTCTATTCTACAGAATTTGTTGACTTCTTCTTTCTAAATTGGCGCACAAAAAGCTGGGATTGTAAAGTTGAAATTCATTGACCAGAGGAAGGGACAAAGGGTGGTGCTAGGTAATTTCTTAATAACACTAATTCTTCCATGAAAATAGGTCTCCTTCTTTAGTGCTCCCTCGGTATGGGCTGTAACCTCTGTTATTATTATGAATTAGTGAGTGGGTTGCTGTTCTGCTCCATATGTTGTCTGGATTTATGCTTCTAATCCAGGGCAATGTGGTGATCATTGATTTTGTTCTTAATACTTGCGCTGAATATACAAACCCATACTTGTCTTAATAGTATCGAGGACGTTGGCTTCTCTCTGGGGGAGGTAGATGTTACTGAAGGATTATGTCACACCCCTTAGCACATCAGCCCCTCCCATCAGCAAAATAGAATTTGAGCTTTCCCGCATCACAAATTTCCGTGACCATTTTCTCCAGGGCATATCACAATCTACCAGACTTCTTCAATAGCTGGGTCGTTGGAGACAGGGTCTTGCTCTAGTAAGTTCTGATATCGAAGAGCAGATGTCTTCAGTTTAGACAAGCTAGTATTCCAGTATCGATCAAAATACATTGAGTGGGCAGTCACCCGTTCACTATCTTCATAGGAATAATCATCAGCTAATGTAAACCCATTCTCTTCCGGTAGGATCCATTGCGCACACAAAATAGGTGGCTCGGTTGGTTTTTACCGGGTATCGGGTGGAGTTCCCGAGAAAATTCTTATCAGGGGTTGTTTATGTAGTTTTCCTACTGTGAACAGTACTTTCCTCTGTAGATCTTCCCCATACAAACAGGAACCGACCATGCGGGGAAACCCTTGGAGAAGTGCTGTCGTGAGGGGGCGGCATTTGTGGAGTATCCGGGTAATCCGGGAGACGCACTTTGATTCGTTGATGGTGAATGGTATTTGGGGATTTTGAAACCAAAAAAGTAACTTCAGAAGTCTTGTGCGAATGAAGATGGCTGAAAGCAAATAATGAAAGTAGAATAATAAGATAATTGATCAACTTTAGGTCTCTTCCATCCACTGAATAGGGTAGGAAGAGAACAGACAGAATAGAACAGACAGAATAGAGCAGGAGGCTTGGCCGGTCTCGGGAGGGTGGCCGGAGTTACTCTGCCTGTGGTCGGGTGCATAAGCGATATCGGTACAAAATGAGGGAAACATATGCAGATGTTCCAGTTGTGGGGTCTCAGAATGTTGATAAATATCTATTACGTACTGTTTTACAAACTTGATATCTGTGATTTGTTCCAAAGGATTATCTCCCATATGTAACACCCCGGGAGCATATCAAGGTCAGGAGAGTAGAAGCCACGGTATGCAAAAGAATCCGATAATGTCTTATGCGATACAGTGCACAATTCTTGAACGAAAGTTAAGTGGCAATGAGACATGATTCTGATGATAGTCTCTAGTCTCCCAATGAGGTCACTCTTGGAGATACGTCGGCTTTAAATATTGCACGATAAGTAGATGTAGATCGGCTCGGTAGCCGGGGCTTGACCCGATGCGTATGCAGCCAAGTTAAATAGCGACCGTGTATCCCGGAATTGAGAACTAATTCTTCTCAAGGCATAGCATTAATGTCTCCAACATGCCCGAGGAAAAGCAAGATGATTCTCTAGCGCCTGTCCCCTCCCAGGTTGGCCAGGTCGAAGAGCAGAAATATGAACAAGATGCTGTCTTTGGAGAGATCACGGGAGAGGGTCCGAACTACCGCAATGTGTGGGCATCTTAAAGTGACGAAGCCTCTATTGAAACTAACAAACGAGATTAGGTTGGATGGCTGGGGACTTCCGCGCTCATGATGAAAACGCAGATCGGACTCGGAGTGCTCTCGATTCCCGTTGCTTTTGACACTCTGGGAATCGTTCCAGGTGTCATTGTTCTTTGTGTTGTGGCCGCCATAACGACGTGGTCAGACTACATTATTGGCGTGTTTAAAATTCGACATCGCGACGTCTATAGCATTGATGATGCAGGCGCCTTGATGTTCGGTCGTACAGGACGCTTCTTTTTTGGAGTCATATTCTGTCTTTGTAGGTACTTTTCCGAACTCACTTATTATTAGTTCCACCTGACTGTAGGATAGATTGGATATTTGTGGCTGGGTCTGGCATGCTTGGAATTTCAATTTCCCTCAATGCTATATCGAGCCACGGAGCCTGCACAGCAATTTTTGTTGTCGTTGCTGCAATTACAGGATTTATATTGTCAAGTATACAAACTTTGGGCCGGATTAGCTGGATCGCATGGGTTGGCTTATTTTGTGTCCTGACATCGAGTAAGCTTCGACCGAAATGAACAGAAGCACAGGGCGTTTTGCTAATCCATGGGCTATATAGTCTTCATTGTCACAGTTGCCGTTGGGGTTCAGGATCGGCCTGCATCAGCACCACAAGATGGCGTTTGGGTCTCTGACTACAAAATCATTGCGAGCCCAAGCTTCACCAACGGTATCACAGCTGTGTCGTCGATTGTTTTTGCATTTTCAGGGACCCCGGCTTTCTTTGCGATTGTCTCAGAAATGCGCGATCCTCAACATTATACTCGATCCTTATTTATTTGCCAAACGGTAGTTACTTCAGTCTATCTCGTTATCGGCTGCGTGTTATACTACTATTGTGGGTCATATGTTGCTTCGCCTGCTCTAGGTTCGGCGGGCCCGACCATGAAGAAAGTGAGCTACGGATTCGCTCTTCCCGGTCTGATTGCCAGCACTATGCTTATTATCCATGTGAGTGTTGGTAGCATCTTTTTCGCGGATCGGACCGATCTGTAAACTAATGACCCTGCAGCTACCTGCCAAGTACATTTTTGTTCGCATCTTACAGGGGTCCCGGCATCTGACCGCAAACACTGTTATACATTGGGCGAGCTGGCTCGGCTGTACCTTTGGCATCACCGTAGTTGCATACATTATTGCCAGTGCGATCCCCGTGTTCGACAACCTCGTATCCCTCGTCGGTGCTCTACTTGGTACCGTGATGTCATTCCAGCCGATGGGATGTATGTGGTTATACGATAATTGGAGCCAAGGCCGAATCGATCGGTCCTCGCGATGGATTGCGATGGTCTGCTGGAGTGTTTTTGTCGTAGCATCTGGAACTTTTCTTATGGTAGCCGGTACATACGGATCTGTGATTAGTATTATGGACAGTTATCGGAAATCCGGGGGTTCAGTCGCCTGGTCATGCGCTGACAACTCTAACTCGACATAGAATATGATTCGACATGAGTTCACAGTCTCTATATGATCATATCGGGTCGATGACGGCAAACAGAATTCTGTGGTTGTTCAACGACTATATCTAGTAAGCTGTTTCTTCAAACCCTGCTTGGTTTACCAAGGAGCCGCTGTTTCGTCCTCGGATCCCTTCTCAACTGATCTGGGCTGAGATAGTCTTAGCTCTTGCAAGGAAGAGAAATATAAAGGTAAAATAGGAACAATACAAGCCAGAGGGCATGACAAGGGTACCTCGTACAGAACATAGCATCAGAAATTTTGATGAGGCGGATTTAGCCTGGGGCTGTACATCGTATGGAGAATGTGGTGCATGCATCCCCGAGTCCACTCGATCCTCCGGCTCAAGCGAGGCTGTGATGTATTCCAAGACCCAATCAGACTTGATCAAAGATACGACATAAACCAGAATATATAAAGCAGCTTGGAAGACCGTCAAGTGGAAGTAGATCCAACCGAGGAGATGACCGTTCGCTTTCTAATGTGCTAAATTATCCAAGAGGACGTCTCCGAATAGACTCAGACACTAAGCACACCCGAAGGCTAATAGAAAGGTCACGGATAAAATACATAAGTCGAATTTTCTCGAGTTTGTCATTCCTCGGCAACCGCCCCGAGACCTGGGGCCGCCCACGGAAGCGCTTATCGACCAGAAACCAGAGCTACCACCAACGAACCAGGTCGAGCTCTCAATGGATCTTCATAGCTACAAGGCTGTTTTTGGGCGGCAGACTCGGTCTATCCTCTATCACTGCTATCTTACCACCATACTTTTAAACCGACATACGCGTACATTCGCACACGCGCCTCGCACCATTGTCGCTCCTCCCAGACTTAAAATCAACCCTGCCACCCCCACTAAGACCACCACCAACACTCGAGATAGGCGCCAATATCTTGTCTGAGGTGAGAACGGTGGGTTACTTGATGGTATAACGGCCAATGAGCTATCCCAGAGCCCATGGCTATGCTATTTTTTCCATCGGCCCAAAATTCGGGCGGGACGCCTCCCCCAACGCCCAGCTAATCGAAACACTAGCTAGTGTGGCCCAAGACCGAATATGTTACATTGCTAACGGCCCGCAAGAATGGGGCCGATGTAGCAATTACGCGAAAAAGCTCTCCATATTGATTCAGCTTGGAAGCTGTAATCGCCAGCGGCTGTGCGAACCCTGAAAATCCGGGGCGGTTTTTTTTTAAGTTGCCCAATGCGTGATGCTTCCACAACTGGAGTTAGTATTGGGCTCTTTTTTTTCTGCTTGGTATCCTGTACAGTAGAAAGGGCTTTCAGTTCGGGGAATTTCGATGATCGAGTATGTTGGTCCTTTCCGGTTCTCGAGTGTTCTCTCCGAGTTCCGGCCCCGCTGGACTTGTTCCTGAGACTCTTGTTGGAAAATGGGGCACCGGTCATGTTGGCCATACGGAGAGGTCGAAACACGCAAACTATCTTAGGGCCTTCCAAGATTTTTTGAAACGTCTGTGTGATTTTGATGGGAAAATGGGCCAAGGTGGAAATCCAAAGTTAGCTTAATGCCATGACCCCTCAAGCGCGCAACATATAGCCCGATGGACCGTCGAGGCTAAAAATGGAAACCCGATGCGGTTGACCTTGAATAGGATATGGAGTACAAATAATGATAGTTTTTGCTCAGCCTCTTGGATTTGCGCTATCTTAATCCCACCGTTCCCGGCTCGAGAACCCAACATTCCTTTTGAGAAACATTTGATTCTCCCTCGCCATGCGTCTGGTACTCCTTCTCCTAAGCCTGGGATGGCTCACACTCACATCGGCAGCGCATCTTCCTTATCACCGCCACAAGACCACGGAATATAACGCGCTTAAGCCTCGCGATACGACTTACCGCAATGTTGCTTACTTTACTTACTGGGTTGGTTCAATAACACGCACCGGGGGATTGAATCATATATCATCAGATTAACTGACTTGATGTAGGGCTCTCTAACCCCTGCGGAACTTCCCTGGACGAGTCTGACCCATGTTTTATACGCCTTTCTCGACGTCGATCCGGAGACCGGAACGATCAAGACGACATACACTGACACAACCTTTCTCACACAGCTTGTCACGCTTGGAAAAACCTACAATGTGAAGATTCTTTTGTCTGTGGCTGGCTGGACCTTTACCAGTGATCTGTCGGCGGGTGTGAATACCACAGCCAAACAAGAAACATTTGGTCAATCTGCCGCGGCCTTGGCCCAGAATCTCAATATTGATGGATTTGACATTGACTGGGAGGTATATCTGACCGAACCTATCTCTGCACCGAGATGTGAGGCTGACCGCGAAGCAGTTCCCTGCTTCAACTGATCAGCATAATATGGTGGCTGCCGTAAAGCAACTACGCACAGTATGTGTGACCACCACAGAAACCCCATCATAAATTCTCTTAAATTGACTTGTCTCCCAGTCCTTGGATAATTATAAATCCAACCTTGAGATCTCGATTATTGTTCCTTCACGTGGGTCTCATCCTTGACAAGCCATTAGACTTGTTTGGGTACTAAAAATCATAGGGCAAACAAACTACCAATATATCAATGTGAAAAAAATGGATCAATATGTCGACTTCTGGAACCTCATTGCCTATGATTATTCGGGTTCATGGTCTGATTATACTGCACACGACGCAAACATCTATGCGTCGACAACAAAACCAGAAAGCACAACAACGACCGCAGATTCAGCTGTGACACACTTCCTTGGCCTCCAAGTCTTCAACTCAAACCAAGAGCTAGTTGATTTCACTCCCAGCAAGCTGGTACTTGGTATTTCATTGTCTGGTCGCTCATTCAAGGGCACTACTAATGAAATTGGTAACACATACTCTGACGGCGTAGGGAACGGTAGTCCTGGTGAGAGCGCTGGCTATTGGGACTACAAGTACCTGCCACCGACAAACGCACAGGTCATTACGACTGATCTACCTTCAAGCGGTGTTGCTATTGCTCAAGCAACTGGATCACCCATTGGAGTCTTCTGTTTCGTTGAATCGAACTCAACGTTGATTAGCTATGATAATAAGGAATCCGTGGAATGGAAGGCCAAATATATCAAATACAAGGGCCTCGGCGGAGCAATGTGGTGGGAAGCCAACATGGACAAAATTACTGCAACTGATACCAGTGAAAGCTTGATTGTCGCGGTATGTGAACCAAGAAATCGTGGATACTGTGGATTTTCTTTACTGATGGCATCACTCGCTAGGGCTACAATGCGCTAAATGGCGCCAGTAGCACATAGACGTTAATTAAGCAGCGTGCTGTAGCTCAATCTTGAGAGGAAAAAAAAAGAAAACAACACAAGGAATTGACCATTTTCATGCCCCTATTAATTTGATAACATCTGGGGAGATGGCTGTGAATATACGCCTGACAGGCATTGATGTATATATTTCATGTATATTTCTGTATATATTTTTTCTTTTTGTATACCAATTGGGGCATGGCGAAATTTGAGCTTTTGCTATGGAATCAATAAACATCTTCGATTTGACCAATTTTCCAGTTCGTTGGGATTGTTTCCAACCTAGATTTATTTTTCTTTCAGCCTAGCAGCCTAGGCTGGACTTTTGTGCCCGCTAGCCAATGGTCTTCTTGTTCAACTATCTATGCAAATATCTTCCATGAAGAATTAGAGAGAAAAATTAAATAAATTGAAAAATGCTCGTAGGGGGTATGTGCAGAAAAGTCAGAAAACAAAACAATCATAGACATTTCAATCGTATTGCTCCAGCTCACTCGCTCTTTTCTTCACAAGATCACTTATGCTTGACGTCGTAGTCAGTGCTTGCAGGCAGTTCAGCGATGAAGTCTCTTCCACCTGTGTCCATTTCATATATCTCTCGCGGATGTTGTGGTCCCTCGCTCCCCGGCGCTTCGGTGTATTTTTGCGATGCCTCATTGCTCTCCATTTCAGAGGGTTGCTGCATTTCCCATCCTTGGGGACTATGGCTTGCAGGGACCGATTGATATCCGCCTTGTATCATACTATTTAGGCCAGTTTGCTTGCGCTGGTAACGTCTCCGCCGAATGAGGAAGAACGCAGCAGCCCCCGCGATGCATGCAGCACCGGCTACACCACCAACAACACCGCCAGCAATCGCACCAGTAGAGGTAGACGAAGACGAAGACGAGCCATCATTGGTAGCAGTTGCGGTGGGAGATTGGGTAGCATTCCCTGAGTAGGCGAAGTGCGTGGCGCTTGGCTTCGTGGTAGTTCCATACTTCGAATCATAGGAGGAAGAATAAGAAGAGAGACCGGCGTCGTTGATGGTGCTCATTGCCACAGTCGTGTAGATCTCGGTAGCACCTGTGACGCCATTGGCGGTAGCCCAGGCGTACATAGTCGTATAATCTGATGTGTAGGCGCATTGGTAATCCACGATGCCGAGATCGGAATAGGAGTAGGTCACGCAGGATGGATAGTCTGATTGTGTGCAGAGTATAGCGAAAGGATCATCTAATCCTGTGAGGCTCGGAGTGGCGGAAATTTTAGAGGAGTCATAGCAAACGGTCTCAAAGCTGCAATCTCCGTCCAGACAACATCCCACCATGCCGGGAAACGGATTGGCTCCTGTCGCAGTGGTGTGGAAAACACAACTCGAACTATCTTGGCAGATTATCTTGGCTGTTTGCAATCTCATTGTTAGTATCGATGGTCATCTTGAAAGTAGTTTGACCTGTGGAATGGAGAGACCATTGAGTTATACTGACTTCCAGTATCGGCGTTCACCCAGCCACAGACACTTGCATCTGCCGTGACATACCCACTTGCTACATATTCATAGCCCGACGTGGTGGTCGCATATCGGCGCTGAAGATCTTTAATAGACAGACCTGGAGTCGTCTCCGGAGCTTGTGGCTCTCCTCCTGTCAAGATCTCGCCATAATGTTGGATGGCAGTTGGTTCCGCAGCCTGGAATGCGAATCCTTGGGCGAGTTGAGCGAATGCGAGGGCCCGTAGCCCGTCTCGCCCAAGACTGAGCATGGTGGCGGATGAGAACGAAAGAATTTTGAATGCGCAACCGCGGCTGCGGGATCCTCAAATGCTTAAAATGCATTGGAAGGGGCCCGGAACACGGCTGGCACATCGCCTCGTGGCTCATGTGCTAACCTGTTCCAAACCATTTTCCAAGTGGGCATAGGCTGTCGAGGAGTGCCTTGTATGTAGCCTCGACTCCATGGCTGACCAGGGCCCAGTTCCTCCGACTCCATAATATCTTGGCAACTTCTTTTCATTGGTACTGACCTCAAAGGAAGGACTTTTAGCGCTCACTAACCGACCGGCTCCACCCGTTCAATTGCCCTTTGAAAAGGCCCGCGCAACTTTTGTGGAGGACCGCGCGGGATCTGCTACAAGCTATCTGCAGCTGTCCTGCATATCTACGTGTCTCGTCACATACCTTTGTTTCAGTAGAAAGATAAGATTATTAGATGGAAAAAGGAAGTTCGGTAGTCGGTGATTGATTCACACCAGAACTATATAGATGAACTCCATATCAAGTTTCTGGACACCGAGCCGCCCGTGGGGGAATGCACCAAAGAATTTAAGCCTCCACGATTCCTGTGGGCCCTAGGGTATTTATGCATCCTTCGAACAGGTCGGCGTTTAGGATCGGCAGATATTGTTGGACGCTGCTTCATACGGTGTCAAATTGATTACCCATGAGACTGTTCAATTTGGTGGTGTTCAAGTCTTTACACCGTGCTAGTATCAATCCTGTGTCCATGATCATCCCCGATACAAAAAAGAAGGCAATGTCCGAAAAGAGAAATGTAACATCCTCCAAATGCTGGGAAAACGGCCCCCACCTCATTAAAATTACGCGAAGCCCTGCTCCCTGATCTCCTTGTTGTGCCAAGCTTTGGTGGCCCCGTGGCCCGCGCCCAGAACGTATTATTATTAGCCGGTTCTGGCGGCCTCTACGGAGTACTCATCGCTCCGTAGAGTTTCGACTTCAAAAGGAGCCTTAACCTTGATGGGGGTCACTAATCGACCCCACAGATGGTGAAGATGGCACTGCGCTAGTTTCTCCTTTCTGAGTGAGGTTTGAGTTGGTATTTCCGATGCTTCTTTGTCCCAGAAGCCCACGGTAGACTTGAAGTATCTGCTGGATGCCACCGTCGAGAAGAGGGTATAAAATAGCAACCATCATCGTGCCCCAAAGCCAGATGATGGAAATTACGACCCAGGCAATGAAGAACTATTTAGCGTCATGTTAGTTCAGAACCATAAAAGCAATATGTCCCGGGATTGTGGAAAAGAAATTGGAAACGAAAGGAAGCTCCAAGCAAAGATTGCAATCATACATTTTTCTCGAACACATAGTGGGACCCATACATCGGCAACGGCCAAATCACCCAATGGCCGAGAAATGTCGCCAGAGACCAGAAAGCTGCTATACGGCCCCAACGTTTGAGTTCTTGCGAGTTAACTTTGGCATCGCGTACGCCTCCATCCTCACCACTGGTATCTGCCCGGTAGTGTGGAGATTCTCCATGGTGAATGGTTGTCAGGTCGCTGTCTAGCTTCTCTAAAGCCAACTTTTTCTTTTTGAAATCAGCCCAATCGTATCTCTGAGGCCGAAACAAAGTAATCAAAATGGAGTAGGGGATAGGCGAAAAGCAAGATGCCACCGTGCCGTACATGCAGGGCAAGACCTGTCCTGTGCTTTTCACGGAGACTTCGCCGCCAAAATGAGCGGCAGTGGCCAGCCATACAGCAAGACCGGTTGCCAGTCCAAGGATGGGGGAAAGAATAGCCGCTGCTTTACTTTGACGCCGCCATAGTACAGTGAAAACCATCGGGAAAATGCCGGGACATGTTACCACTCCTATAAAATTATTTTAGTCTTTATTTCGAGTCAGGCCAAATAGCAGACAGGGGGCCTACCCAGCATGTAGAGGGTCCAACCGAGGTCAATGCCGACATAGTGCAGCATTGTACTGAATCCAGCCGAGAAAGCCGCAAAGAAGATGACACCAAAATGACTCGAACGAATCAGATCTCTATCAGTTGCAGATTTTTTGAAGTACTCGCGGTAAACATCAAAGCTTAAGATCGAACTGACTGCTATAACTTGGGCTGAGAGGGTAGAAGTTACAGCCATGAAGGTCATCAGGAGAACTGCCGCGGCGCCACCTTTGCCTGCAATGGTCATAGCTGCATATGGCAAGACTAGGCCACCACTCACTTCCGAGGATGTCATTCGCTATGATTATATTAGTATATGAGAAAGATGTCGTGTATTCCGTATACACGGTAGCTTACTCTCGGATAAGTAGGGAAGTTGGGTTGGTTTTCAAGTCCCAGAGCAACAGAGCTCATTACCGTTCCCAAGGCCCACGGGATGGCGAAATAAGCAATGCCGCCGATGGTGTATCCAGGAACAACTGCGGCCGGAGAAGCTGAAAAAGCCTTGATGAAGTAGCTAGTGTCCATCTAAATTGACGTTAGACTGATTCCACGGACTAATGCAGAAAATGACTTACAACGACAAGACCAAAGTTACCGCAAGTGTGTAGTATACCGAAAAGGATGGCCTGAAGACTCTCAGCAGATGGAAAGATAAATTGTTAATTGTCATTTGCCTCCTTACGCTCTTGGAAGTCATTGTTAAGTACGTTCCCGCCTGGTTTCCAGCGACCGGGTGCCGTTGTGCTGCCTCCTTGAGGAGCTCGAAGAGGTTGCCCACAGAACCAACCTGATCGACTGAGAAGGCCTTGATAGAGAAATAACACGCAATTATCAGGATCACTGCCGTATGGAAATAGTCCGTCAAAAAGCTATGAGTTGTTAGTGGTGATAGAAGCAAATCCGGGGAAGTCGCTCACGTTGCTTTGATTCCTCCAACAAAAGTGTAGACCGTTACGCCAACCGGCAGCAGAAATGTGGCAGCAATGACATGCATGCCCGATCTTCACTTGTTAGCCTCGAAAGGAAGTTTCATGATTGAGCCTTGTCACATACACTGCGGAGATCACGGCAGCGGCCCCGAGGAGCATGTTTGCGCATGCGAAGATATTGTTGATCAAACACAGCACCATAAATACAATATGTGCGGTCCGACCTGATATTGAATCAAAGTCTCTAGATCAGCTATTCAAGCTCCTGCTTTGCATTAAAGAACCAAATCAAAGCATACCATATCGAATCCGCACAACTTCCAGGGAAGTATGGGCCTCCGGAATTTTTCTTTTGCAGGAGATTCCCAGAAGAGCGAAGAACACGATCATGGGGCTACAGCCCGCAGCAAACCAAAAGGGGCCGGCAACGCCATAGTCGTATCCAACAAACGAGGATCCGAGGAGTGCGGTCGACCATAGCCAGGACTGGATCAATGAAGAGGATATCAGCCATGGTAAACATCACCAGAAGTCATCTTATGCATGAAAACTCACCGAGATTACTGCAGATGTTGTAAGACCTGTGCTGACAGTCCGATTTGCCGTCATGAACCTGTAATAAGTCAGATCGAGATGAACGTTTGCGGTCAGGGATAGTCGGGGAATGGGGAGGGGGGGACAAGACGATACATTTCTGTTTTTTGATTGTCTTCTCCAGTAGTCTTCTTCAAGATCTTCGTAATGAGCATCATCACTATAGCTTTATTAGATTCTGATCTATTCACGCAAAGCGGAAATACATTTTTCGTCAGATATACCTAAAGCGATAATCACTCCAATGGCAACCACGACCACATAAGCGGCTGCCTGAGACAGAGGCGGCTCTACAGTCGAGATACCATCGCGAGTGGGTAGAATGGACATCTTATCATTAGCGAGAATAGAAGGGAAACTCTCGAACAGCGATTACAGAGGCAAGGATGATATTGCGGAGAGCGAGTCGTCCTGGATCCGACTTGCCCTCTCGATCTTTATAAACAGCGGAGCAGCGGATGGAACTAGCCGATTCACCACATGCTCTCGAGACCGTGGGAAGGGCATGAATCAATGCATGTTTAAATGCGGGCTCTGCTCCGTGCACGCTGCTGGTGGATCCTCTCCAAGGGACCGGCGGTGGTACTCAGCGTATGATAAGAATCGAGTTGCTGTGCAGCCAGTCGCCGGTGGCGTCTAATGGATGAGCGCTAATCGATCGACGATGATTTGATAGGTGCCTTTGATGAGGTGCTTTCTGAGTTTACGATACGTTGTCGCCAAATTTGAGGCAGGCTTTAAGGTTTCGAGATGCGCGGCCCTCCCATGGAGCTGAAGATGGTGTCATGGGAAGGCTAGCTATAGTATGCAATCTTGGCAAAAATCTTCAAGTTCGAGCTCTGGCTCAACCGCATATTCGCGTTGTTGTCGTTTTCATATGTATTTGGCTCTCTTGTTATCATATTATGGCTGGGGACACATCGCGGAACCCTGGCCTAGTCTATTATATTCACATGGGACAGGACCCCCAAAAGACATTTCAGATAACTCTAGATAAGACGGCTAGTCGGCTGCATGTTGTATGAGCTACCAGTCAGGTTTCATTCATGATGGTGCCTCTGCCCAATTATGTCAACGACGGTGGAAGGTAATGAATCCAACTGGGCCCGAGGACTCGGAAGCCCAGTTTGGAGCATCAGAGAGGGTTCCAAGACTTAAACCATCGCCTCGAGGCATTAATCAACCTCTCGGGCGAGAAACTGCAGATGAAGGTGATTTCGCGTCTCGAGCCAAGTTCAACGGTCGGCCACTCGTGTGCGTTGATGACATCGCGCCATCCCGGCCCACTTTGATGTCTTGCGAATGCTCGTGGGGACGAGAATCATGTGCGGATCGATCATGGCGACCATAGCGATACAAATGAGCGCATATCCCGCTAATTTCCTGAAGCAAAAGAAAATATCTGAAGGAGCCAACGAGTCGCTACTGATTTACAGTACTCGGCCAATATAGAACCTTAATCGCGCCCCATCTTTTTTTCGCCGGAACTACGTATATTGCTAGCATTCCGCGGTTAAACCACTCAAGCCCAGCATGGCACAGAATAATCAAACTTCGGGAGTACACAAGCCCCGCAAGTCTTTGATTCTCAATGCTTTCGTTGAAATGTGTAGGTATTTCTTTCCTTCCTTCTTTTTAGTACCATTGCGGCACACTTCGACGAGGAGAACTCGCAACATATCTGATGGATATATAGGCAGCGGGCATCAATCCCCAGGACTGTGGCGTCATCCAGAGGACGAATCCCACCGATTTAATGATATTGATCACTGGGTTGAGCTCGCGCAGTTGCTCGAATCCGCTAAATTCCATGGGATTTTCATCGCAGATGTTCTAGGTACGCCTATTTAACCGAGATAAATGTTCATGTCCCTTGCGTTAACACCGTATGCCAATCTAGGAGGCTATGATGTCTATAAAGGTCCTCGAAATCTGGACCCTGCAGTCATTGCGGGCGCGCAATGGCCAGTCAACGAACCGCTTGCCGTGGTGCCCGCCATGGCGGCTGCGACCAAGAATATTGGCTTCGGAGTGACCGTAACTACGACCTATGAACAGCCGTATCATTTGGCAAGGAGACTTTCGACGGTGGACCATCTTACCAAGGGCCGGTATGTATATCAATCTATTCTAGAAATTGCATCAGAAAGGAAGATTCGCTGACGATCCGCAATCCCCAGCCTTGGATGGAATGTAAGTCAAGAAAACGCATTGCCTCGCAGGAGACAACGATGTTCATCAACCTAGAACCGAAAGATCGAAATTGACTGAATCCCAGGTGGTAACCGGCTATCTTGACTCGGCAGCCCGGAACATGGGCCAGGCTGAACAGCCACACCACGATGACCGATATGCCGTGGCCGAAGAATACATCAAAGTGACCTACAAGCTATGGGAGTCCTCCTGGCGCCAGGATGCCGTCGTGCTCGACCGCGAGCGTGGCATCTATACAGATCCCGCACGCGTGCGCCAGATCAATCACGAGGGCAAATACTTCAATGTGCCGGGCCCGCATATTTGCCAGCCCAGTCCGCAGCGGACACCCGTCATCTTGCAGGCCGGCACGTCCAAGGCCGGAAAAACATTCGCTGCGCAGCATGCTGAGGCTATCTTCGTGGCCGGACATAGCCCGTCCGTCGTGGCTAAGAATGTCGCTGAGATTCGACAGCTCGCCCAGAGGGAGTTTGGACGTGACCCGCAGAGCATCAAGTTCTTGGCTCTGCTATGCCCGGTTCTGGGAAGGACAGAGGAAGAAGCAATCGAGAAATTTAAACACTATCGCAGTCTGGGGTCGATCGACGGAGCGTTGGCGCTCTTTGGTGGGTGGACCGGTATTGATCTAAACAAGTATGGCGATGATGAGGAGCTGCGCCACGTCGAGAGCAATGCGATCCGGTGAGTGACCGTCGCCATGAGATCTCGAGGGGCCGGATCATTTGACTGATCGTGTAATCTCTAGATCTGCCGTAGAAGGCTGGTCCAAAGCCACCCCCGAAGTCGCAAAATGGACCAAGACCACCGTGGGCCAGCACATCACCGTTGGGGGACTGGGCGCGACTCCTGTGGGTACGCCGACACAAGTTGCTGATAATATGGAGCGCTGGGTTCGGGAGGCAGATGTGGACGGATTTAACCTGGTAAGAGTTCTCTTTCGATTATGTCGCTAGGCCATTGGATTTGATTTCTGATCCTTTACCTTGTTTGTATAGGCCTATGCCATCAAGCCCGGTTCCTTCAAGGACATCATTGACCTCCTCATTCCCGAATTGCGCCGGCGCAACCTCTTCTGGGACGACTATTCTGTCCAAAAGGGAACCTATCGTGAGAACCTATACTCCCAGGCGGGACAGTCGGGCCCGCGGGACGACCATCCTGCCTCTAGATACCGATGGCATGCGGGAGTCGATGCAGCAGACCACCCCGTCCCTGAGAACTAAAGACCTTTCAAGGTGTACAATGAAGTATGAAAGCGGAATGACATGAAAATTGAAAATAAATAGAATTCTTTTGCGCGGGCAATGCCTGCATTCCCCTCCCAAGGGGGTCTCTATTCTTACAAACGCCAGCCAAATGCGGTAGTTTTTGTACAAAGAGTCACCAACGGCGGCTCTAGGTCAACATATCATCAAGACGCTCACCCAGCACATTCTCAATCTGCTTCACCCACTTCCTCACTTCTCGCTCCACGCTCTCATCTTCATCTTCCATTAGCTCACTGATGTAAGGCAGCATCTCCGGCAGAAGGGCGAGCCACTCCTCGCCGAGCTGCTCGGTCAGCGCCTGCTCGGTCTTCAGGGCAGCCAGACGGGTAAACGGGTTATCTCCATCGGTCGACTTGGCATTGGGAGCAGAAGAAGGACGGAGGTACTTCATCAGAGCGGTGTTGAGCTCCTTGTGGTTGTCGGTGGAGTCGGCAGCGACAGCCAACTCGGTGATCGTAGGGACAACTTCTTCAATAATAAGCCCCGCCGTCTTAAGGGTAGTAGCGTGAGCAAGCTGCGAAATAAGAGGTCCAGAGATGGTGGCCAGATGCGAAGGAGATTGCCAGAATTCTGTAAATAAGCGAAAAAAAAAGCACATTAGCTGTCTTCCACGGGTGAAATAGTAAGAAAAGCAAGACATACCATCTTGATCATGTTCAAATGAGTTACGGAGCGTGCGCAAGGCGGCCAGCCACAAAGCCCGAGTAGCCTTGGCCGGTCCAGCTGTGCCCAAGATCTGTACCACATTCTCAAGGATGTAGTTGGAATAGCCAGTGACAATGGACTGCAAAGTGCCAAAGAATACTTGGAGGAACTTGTAGAAGGTCGTGAGACGCGAGATTTGGCCCTGCTCATCCTTTTTGGAAATGCCGGTGGTAGCCCATTCAACAAGCTTGATAAACAGGGGCCGGAAGGTACTGTCGTTTAGCTTGTAGATCATCTTGATCGTGACATCATTCAATGAAGCCTCGGCCTCCTCCAAATCAGAGGCCTCGAAATCAGCTGCATCGCCAAGGGTAAGTTGTTCACGTCGCAGATCAAATGCATGGAACAAGATCTTAGCCAAGAGATCGACGTTCTTAGATATGCTGGACTTGGGATTCTTCTCAACAGCAAGGTTGAGAACCTCTAAGACTTCGTTCACGGCAGTGGGGCCAGCTTCAACAGCGTGCTGCCAGTTCCGGTCGATGGCACCAAGGGTAGTGCCAAGATCCATCTTGCGAGATGCCATCAAGCGAAGAGTCTCCCGGCGGCTGTCATCAGAGCCATCTTCGAGATCAGCATTGGTAGACTTGAAGGCCAGCAGCAGAATCTTGTCCAGATGACCGGCAGACATCATGAACGGCAGGTGGACAAGGAGAGCAGAATAGAGGGAGAAAACTGCATCGTGAAGTCGTGAGTTCTCATTGTCGGGGGTCATACTGAGCTCCAACAAGTTCAGAGACTGAGAGAGTGTGTCTGGAAGAGCAGGAATCATTGATTGACCGAGAACCTCCGCCATTGATGCGAGACAGAGAATACCCATGATGCGAATGCGTTCATCACTCTCACCAAGACAGGAGGAGCTAGCAACGATTTTAGCAGCAGGAATGACTTTGGAGGGATCCTTGCGGCCGTATTTCTCAGCAATGCGATCAATGCAAGCAACGGCAGCGTGCTTGAGCAGTGAGTCGGGCGAGGACTCGACGATGCTAACCAGAGTAGGCAGGAAATCAAGGACCCTGATCTGAGACTCGCCGTCACGCTCGGGAGTCTGACGCAAACGGTTCTCCAGAAGACGAAGAACCTTCCGGCGGAGATCGTCATTAGGACCCTGGAGAAGAACCTCAATCGTGTCCAGGAAGTCAACGAGGGACAGAGTGCCGAACAATGCCCCCAGAAGCTCACCACAAGCCTGGCTGACAGGCTTCATGCTCTGAACAGACTCGCCAATGACGAGGACCTGCTCCAGAACGCGGGAGAAGCAAGCCCGAACTTGATCGGCAACTTCATCTTCGGTTTCGAATGCATCCTCCAGCTTCGACTTGAGTGAAGAATGCTTGAACAGGTGGGCGAGATCGCGCAGCAAATCTACAGCAACCTTCTGGGCATCACGGCCATCATCACTGCCGATTCCAAGCAAGACTTGCGAGATACCAGGTTTGGGCTTGAACGCATCGATAACCAGGTTCAAATACTTGCTATAGGTTGTAAGCTCCACAATAGGGGTGGTATCAGAGGCCAACCCAGTCATGAGAGTGAGGACATCCTTGTCAACGGAGTACCGATTGGCGAGCATAGCAAGGACAGCAAATAGGAAATCCTGAGTACCGAGCTTGCTGATCAACGCATGGAAAAGACGCAGACGACGGTGCGACGGAATATGTTCAAATGCAGCTGTGAAGCTGAGCAGCAACTCCGAAGTTCCCGAAACTATGTCTCGCTTCTGTTTGCGAAGGGACTGGATCAGGGCCGGAACAACCTGGTCAATGGTTTGATCGATAACTGAGACTGAATAATCATCATCCTTGCGGAGCACACTGGAGCCCATAAATGTGAAAATGGGCATCACGCTATGAAGAACCAACTCGGGAGCGAGGACAGATAGGCCGGCAACGAGAAGTAGGGCGGCGTTCTGTACCTGAGGGCTGTCGGTGGTCCGCACACAATCGACAACCAGATCGGCACGAATGACCGAAGTATCGAACAAAGGCTTAGCGAATTCCTTAGACTTGTTCACAATAGCCAGGAGACTTCCCAGGGTCAGGCTCAAGAGGTAGCTCATGCCAGACTGAATCTGAGATTTGAAGTGGTGAAGAGCAGCAAGAGTCTGGAAGAGACCATCCGTGAGCTCAGGGTGGGCATCGGGGCTCGAGCTGTCGATAACCTCCAGAATGAAAGTCATCTTATCCATGAGCTTGCTGAGCTCAGCCTCATCCTTCACAGTCATGGCGACCATATTATTCTGACTGGTGCGTCTGCGCTTCGGCGCCGGACCTAGGGCTTCAATATCAGTTAGGGAAACAGGGATCTTCTGCACGAAGTTCTTGAGAATAGGCCCGGACAGTTCAACACTGCGAAGAACATCACGGCAATTATCTGCCAGAGAGACTTCATTAACGGAGATTCCAAGAGAGATATCCAAAAGCTTCTCGGCGACCGTGATCTGGGTTTCCTCGGCGGTTTTGGCCCAAATATCCTTCATGCGAGCAAAGCCAGCAGAGACAAACGAGGTTCTGGGAGCTTTGGAGCCGGAGCCAACAATAGACAGAATGACATCCATTGCATCACTGTCTTTGGGAGTGACAATGGCAAAGATTTGGCTCTCGCTCTCAAGAACAGACAACCGCTCCTTGACGCAAATCTCATCAACCTCTGTCTCACTCAAATCACGCCAGTAATGAAGCAAGGGAAGGAGTTCCTTGGTGCGTGTCGTGCCCGAGACCTTCTTGACACTGTTCAAGATCTGAAGCAGCGCAAACTTGGGCGAGAAGATTGGCATCCGAATAACATGGGAGCAGAGGAAAGTAAAGAAACCAGTTCGCAGTGACTTCTTGAGCTCCGAAGCACCCGAGTCTTCAGATAGGACATTTCCTCGCAGGGTAGCGTCGATAACCTTTGCGATGTAGCTAGGGTCAAGAATATACTCCTCTAGCCCAGGAAGCAAGGCACGCTCCAAAATCTTCTGCACATCCCGAGCTGGCAGCCAGGAAATACCGGTGGATTGCTTGCCCTTCCCATAAATCGCATCACAAGCCCAAGGCTTAACCTCGTCGGACTTCTTGTTGTTCTTGTACAGAGAGCCAATTATGGCCAAAGTGCCAGTGGCCTCGCGACGGATCCGCTCGGATTGGTCGGCAAGAGCAACGATCAGGAATGGCAGCAAAGCCTGGGCATCGAAGTCTCCGGAAACAGAAGAAAGGACAGAAGAAAGGGTATTCAAAGCAGTAACCTTGGCTCCGATAGGGTAAGAGCCAGAGAGAATGCGGGTGAAAAATGAAATGAACTGAGGGTTTTTTATGGCGTCGGCTCTGCCGAGAATGCGCAAATTGGTAAACTGGGTGAGCTTGTCTTCGGAATCAATAGCCAAGGCAAACAACTGCACAAGGGCGTCGAATTGAGGAATCGACTGCTGGCTGAGGAACGAAGAGCCAAAAAGGGGTTCCTTGGTCAACGATTCCAAAGCAGGTTTAAAGTTATCCACCTGTTGCTCCATATCCACATCCTGCATATCAATATCTTCAATGGCTGGAGGTAGAATGGGGGCCTCCACCACCGTTTGCAGATTATGCTCGAGCGCGGAAATGTTGAGGGCGCTGTCCGCAAGAGCCTTTTGGAAGAGAGTCTGTGAAGACGGCGAGCGAATGAATCCCTGGATGAGATCGGCTAGTCCTGTTTGGATATCAAGAGACATGCCGCGGTTTTCTTCAGTATTGCTTGCAGCCTTCAGAACTAGGCGCATGGCTTCTTTCAGGTCATTCTCCTGCAAGATAGTGGCTTCGAAAAGAGCTGACAGCAGCGCAAGGCGAGTATTATCGTTCTGCTTGTCAAGATCGCTGACGCAGCCAGCCACGACACCAAGCAAAAGTTTGGAGTTTTGATATTGCACAGTGGCGTCTGCCAGTTGTTTGACGGGATTGTCGATGCGGACGATGGCCTTGAAGACCTTCTTCGGAAGACCAATTGAAGGCTTCTGCTGGGCCAAAACAGACAGGCATATAATTCCAGAACTCAATGTTTCCTCGCTCCAGGAAGAGACCACACTTTCCATTAGTCCATCGAGGACTTCATCGGAGAGAGAGGCCTTCTGGGCCAAAACCACAGAGATCATATAGCAACTGACGACCAGCTCTGGGACTTTTTTCATGGAAAAAGCTCTACTAAGGAGAGGAAGAACACAAATCAAAACGTCTTCATGTTTCTGCTTCTCTGCTTCTCTGCGTCCTTGGCGAGCAGCATCCAACATGCCCGCCACTGCCTCGGTGACAATACCAGCCCAGAAAGAAACCAACGTCTGACTTTGGGCCCTTTGCCGACAAGCACTCAATACATATTCATTCAACGTCGCGAAAAATTCTTTGTTAGTAGTGGCGCTGTGCACAATCGGATGCCGTGGGGGGTTGACAAGTCCATTTTTGTATGGGTATAGGACTTTGAAGGTAGGCGTTAGGTCATTCGGCAGAATCGAAAGAAGGTTCAAGAATAGAGGAGTCGTATGGTACGGTAGAAATGTGAGAATCATGAAAGCGGTATTGTATTCATGAGCCCTGCGCAACGGCGGTTAGCTAGATCTTCTCACGCAGAATCCTTAGGTTATAGGCGCACCGAAAACGTCTCACCAGCCAGTCCACAGCCTTGACGGCAGGGCTTAGCTGCAATCGACCACCAACAAGGGCCAAAAAAGACTCAATCACAGAATCAAGTTCTTGATTTTGAGCGGCATTCATTTGTGTTCGGTCTTCGGCCTTGCTCTGTTCGCTGAAAATGGAACGCGCAAATTCCTCGAATCTTGCATCGAGAGAACAGAGTTCCTGGAATCCATCGTTGCAAATATCATAGATTGTATCGAAGTCCTGAGATACAGCGATCTTCTTATCAAAAATCAATGATTGTGAATGGGCGACACGCTGCTTCTTAAGATCGAGCTCATGAGTCGACTTGGCGGCGATCTGCGACAGCTGCGCTGTGAGAGAGGAGGCCATCGTTGACGAAATTGTGATCTGGAGTTCTTCAAAACAGACCGCTATGACCCATCTCTCTGATCGCCTGATCAGTTGTTCGTTTCTCCCAAGTGAAGGAGCACAGATGGTTCCGCAGTTCTTTTTCTTGAGGCGGTTTACCACCAACTTTTTTCTGTCGGGCCCGCACTCACCGCCTTCAATTCGGCACCTGGAACAATATTTGTCCGCCTAATCTGATCAACGTGGGACGCGATAATACAGTAAAGTGGTTCTTGACGATGGACTCGTCGGGTTCACAGGTGAGTTTTATTGCTTTCATGCTTGTGGCAGGCTTCTTTGACTAATATATATTTATATATTTAAGGACAGAAAGTCCGTTCCAAAGTTTTCCAGTTTTAAACCTCTTCCAACTAGCTCGGAACCTCGTCCCGTGTCAGAGAGCCGGCGTCAAGAAAGCACCAAACGCGACGATCGCGATTCCAATCGCTCAAAACGTCGTCACCATGGCAAATTATCTCGCTCCGAGAGGCAACTAAACAGTTCAAGCCGACATAGATCTACTCGTCGCCGCTCCCGTTCTCCCTCTAGATCTCGATCTTCTCCCCAGTCCCCTCATGAACGAGATACGCGCAGAGATGAACAGACTATCAACTTTCACGCTCCGCGCGACCAGCCTTCCCAATCTGTAAAACAGGGTGACTATGCGACTGTAAGCTCTCAAGTTGCTATAAGCTCTGGTCCCGTTGATACGGATCTCTATTCGATCGATCTCAAAGGTGACCGCTACAACCTCTTCTATGGAACATCGCATCGATATGCAGTCCCATCCTATCGTCGAGTCGGCTACGGAGAAGTTCTCGGCTTACCGGGATATATTATTGATCGAGAAAATCGGGATACCGATACCATTATCCTACGTCGGAAAGGTCTTGGACGTGCGAATGAAAAAGCCTCACATCCCTTGTCCGGCCGCCTGCCTCAACCGACGCAATTGTTTCGCTTTCGAATAGAAGACATCACCTCATCTGATGCGGATCTGCTGAATGATACCATTGCGCTCGATCCTGCGACACGAAGGGCATCCGACATCCATGACCCCGGTGCTGAATCCAGCGATGAACGCCATGCTTACCGTTCTATCCATGGAAAAGCCAAAACGGAGGATCTTCTCCCAACTGGTATGGAAGTTGTACCGGGCCATTTGGATCACGGCGATACGACACAAATAGGATTTGAGGCGGAGCGTAAAGCTCGCAATGCGGAACTTTGGAAAGCTGTGAATGCAAATCCCACAGATGTCGCCGCATGGATTCGGCTTATTGACCATCAAAATATTTTGATTCTTAGTCCTGGGGAAGATACACGGCCATTGACATATTCCGAACGGAAAGCTGTTGCCGAAGTGAAACTCTCACTATATGACAAAGCAATCGCAAAGACCAAGAATGCAACGCACATTGACTGCCTCTTACTTGGGCGAATGCAAGAGGGAGCCCAAATATGGGATAGAGATAAGATTCTCGCAGAATGGCGCCGTACGTGTGAAGAAAACAAGCACTACGTCATTCTCTGGATAAAATATCTCGATTTTCGCCAGACAGACTTTCGGAATTTTACCTTCATGGAGAGTAAACAGGTGCTACTCGATACAATGAATTTCATCGCCGAAGATCCATCCGCTCTACTTGCGCCACCCAATTTTCCTCATTTTCCAGCGCAGTGGTATTCTTTCCTGCGTCTGACTCTTTTTCTTCGAGAAGCGGGTTATAGTGAGCTTGCTGTAGGTCTGTGGCAAGGTGTGCTCGAAAAAGCTTGCGCCCCAGAGACAGTCTCGAATTGCGCATGGCATCTCAGCGAATTTGCCCGTTTCTGGGACTCAGAAGTCGCCAGGGTTGGCGAGAATGGTGCAACGGGCTGGCAGAGCGGCTCGTCCTCCGCTAAAGTGGATCCTCTGAAACACGTCTATCACCAGCATGTTCACTTGTCGTGTCTACTGCCTTCTTGGGCAAACGCCGAGAGAGAACGCATGTCGAATGCACGAATGCCATTCCGAACTTTGGATGAATATAATGTCGATATAGATGCCGCCTATTCGGTGGTTCTTCATTCCGACTTCCAAGATATCGAGTCTCTTATGCCTCTTTTCCAGAACAAGAAGATTACCGAGCCTATGATCAATGCCTTTCTAAGCTTCTGCTATCTGCCGCCTTTGGCGACAAGTTCCAGTGCGGCGACAAACCGAATGTGGAGTGGAGATAATTTTCTTCGAAATGAATTTGTCGATTGCTTTGATACTGGAATATCAGATTGGATTCCTTCCAACGCAGATAGCTCGCAGAATTCAATGCCGCCTTTTCATTTCCCGGCCTCTAATTTCCTCCACACCACAGACACCTTGTTCGCTCCGGAGGACTGGTTTTACTCCTTCCATTGGTGGAGCAAGAATATCTTGGTTCGATCATCTTCCATTGATTGCACTTTTGCGCGGAGAGTTCTCAAATTTTTAGCTGGGCATTTCAACACCAATAGCGAGTTGGCCGAATATGCATTGGCTTTGGAATTCGCGGTTGATCGCCGAGCTGCCAAGAAATCTGCAAAGTCTTTGTTAAAATCTCGTTCCTCGGACCTGAGACTTTATAATGCTTTCGCTCTGATGCAATGGAGAGATGGTGCCCAGGCTATAGCCAATCAGGTGTGGTCAACAGCTCTGACGATGAGCAGCAACTTTGAGGGTCTTCACAAGATAGACTGCGGACTTCTTTGGATATCATGGGCCTGGCAACTACTCGAGATTGGGGATTTGGCGCGAGCGTCATATGTTCTGCAATCTATCCCTTCTCAAAATATCGACCTAGCGTCATTCTCTACAGTGTCCAGCTCTGTTGAGTTCACTGCTGCCATCAAACTCAGGATTCAAATGGTAAGTGTCCCCTTCTTCCTCCTCACTCCGGTATTTTCTAAATAAATTATTATTCTGTGCAGTTTTCAAACGATTGTTTGAGCCACGCCTTGTCTCTTGGAAAATCCCAGGCATATTGTGCCTATGTTGACTGCCTCGGCCTTGTAGCCTATTTATCTGACAATTCGCTTGAAGCTGCTCTAGATTACTATGCCTCCGCAGTTGCCAAGCTGGATGAATCGCCTCCCTCTCAGAATGACTCTAGAGAATTCACAGCCGAGCTACTGCACCAGTCGCGCGCAAAACTCATCTATTACCATATTAGCAGGAAGGGTGGCTTCAAGCCACTTCAGATCCACAAGGTCCTAAAGGAGAGCATATTCGCGTTCCCCCATAATACCATGTTCTTATCTCTCTTCATGTGGAACGAGTCGCGTTTCCCTATCTACGACCGGGTTCGAGATCCTCACGCCCTCACCATGCCCAAGCCCAGCGATCATTTCCGGTTTGATACCGAACCTAGCCTATCAGCCGCTTTCCCTCAGAAGATACCAGTCACGACCCATCTATTTTCCATCTATTTGGAGTTTTGTCGCCCATTGCATAACGCCGCTACGGTGTACTCGATACGTGCAGCCTTCGAACGAGCCATCGGTGAACATTCAGAATCCAGTCTACGACCTACTGAGCGGGATGTAAACAAAATCTACGATAATGACTCTGCGCGTTCAAATTTGACAGTCTGGAAATTGTATATCCTCTTCGAGATCGAGCGTGCGAGGGACATCAAGGCCGCCAAAGCGGTCTTCTTCCGAGCGATTCGGGCTTGCCCGTGGTCCAAGCAGCTCGTCATGCTCGGCTTTGAGCGTCTTCGTGGAGATCTCACTGGGCCGCTGCAGCAGTCAAGACCTGAGGACGGTCTCACTTTTGATGAACTCCAGGATTTATACCGTGTGTTGGATAGCCGACAATTACGGATTCATATTGATATTCTCCCACAGCTGCGAGAAGTGCGAGTTCAGAGAGCGCAGGCCGCTGATGCCGATGCAAGAGCGAAGCAAGCGGCTGCTCAGGCCGAGAACAAATCATAGGCGGCTGGATCACCGGTCGATCGGAGTTGTGACAGGAATGTCGGCCAGCAAAAACAGTATGGGGACTGTGGAACAAGGATATTCACGCTATTGTATGACTACTGTAATGATATCTTAAAGAAGTTTTCTTGCCGAAATAATCAACGGACTTCGGAATTTAATCGCTACCAAGGAAGTATAATACAGGACATCCGTCCAAACATACCCAACGCTTTGTCTTCATCGCAAACACCGGGGTACTCAATAGCACAGGCTAAAAAAAGGACAAAGCCAGAGAGATTCGTCACTCGTTATATCATTTGCGATGGAGCCTTCTGCATCACCGCCAGAAGATAAGAAAAAATTGGAACAAAACGAGATGCAAGCTAAAAGTTCTCCTTCCAGAACTTGAATTTCACATCTCTTGTTGACGCATAGCTCGCTGCGTTTTCGATCTGCCGTGCAGCTGTATTCGGCCCACAAAAGTAGACACCGATCTCAGTCGTCGGTACATTTTGCAAGCCTCGGATATAGCTCTGATCGTGCAAACCGTAACGCATGGCAGTAAACAGGCGCTTGAAATCTGGCCGACCAAAGTTGGTTTGACTTTTCAGTTCGGTCAGAGGGTCGAGGGCTTGGCCGACGGAATTAAGATAGATATTGGCGGCGGTATCATCATCTAGCCGCTGGGTGAGGTAGGTGTGGATTCGCAAGAACTCCGTGCTGCCTTCATGCATGGCAGTATTGGCGGATTGGGCTTCGAGGGAGGATAAGAGGGCCTGGAACCATTCGAACGAGGACGTGTCCTTGCAGATCCAGATGAACTCTACTCGACGTAAACGACGAGGTGGGTTGGGGCTGGCGCGCAGGTGCCAGATATTCTTCAGAATTGAGGCCCACGGTGTCACACCGATGCCGGTACCGATTAGCACCGCGATTTCGTTTTCGAATACATCCTCCGCAGGTGCTCCATAGGGGCCATCGACGCGGATGGTCGGCATCATCTGGCCGTTCTGGAGGGCGACTTCGTACATGCCTAGAGGGTCCAGGCCTTCAAGATCTTTTGCTTGGGCTGGACCACATCCAAGGGCATCACCCAGCGCGCGAGTAAAATCCCCTACTTGCCGAACGTGAATACTCACGTAAGGATCAAAGGGACAGGAGGTGATGGTGAACGGGTGCCACTGCGTATTGGACACATCAGGTACTTGGATGAATATCCATTGGCCAGCTTTGTATTTCATGCTTGGTTTGCTGAACTGGATTTCCATGGCATCTGTTTCTCTTTTATTAGACATCAAATAGAAGACAAACGATGGGTGATCTATATAACATACCATACGGGTGACGGATCACCTTGATGATCACAGTATCCCGTCGAGAGCGAATTTCTCGATAGAGTCGCTCGGACAAGTAGAGTGCTGCTGCGACCAGTTCCCATCTCCATCCCTCGTAGCCAATGCAATGGTTCCAGAATGGCTTTCCAGCAAAAGGGGAGATTGGATCAGTAGTATCTCGCACGAAGCACCCCGTGGCATGGGTGTAGAGAGCCAGCATAAAGGGGATAAAAAGGTGATGGGTATACCAGAAGGTTTCGAAGGCCTGTTGGCGAATGCGGTGGTGGGCCGTTGTGTACATCAGCATCATGCACAAAAGCATAACATGGCCGGTGATGCCACCAGCTTCGGTATAATGAATTTGCACAGCCAGTACTGGGCGGATCTGATTTTTTTCAATGTTGTAGAAGCTAGCATCTATCAGTCTTCTTTTCCCGCCTTGAAGTGGTATTTGAGGAGGGGGTGATTGGGTAAATTCTTACTTGACATAGTGAGCTGCAACATGGAGTCCGGTGAAGATCAGAATCGCATAAGCCACTTGTCGATGGAACCAAGCCGACTCATCTAGTGGGAGCCATCTAATCTGAGGTCGCAGCCAGCGCAAGACATTCCTGCACATGGGAAGGAGAATCAAGGTGCAATCAACCGACAGCACCAGCCCGGCGCCTCTGGAGATCCATACGGAGTACTTCAGAACATTCAATCCTGCGAGTTGTTTATTTGAAGCTTGGAGATACCTTTCAATGCGATTTAGCAAATCGCCGTAAAATCTTTCCAGGTAGAATTTTGGACATACCATCCGAGGGCAAAGATGCCACAGTGAAGTCCCCAGAATACGAGGTAGAAGAAGACCTTGGACTTCGTGAGATCATGTCTTTGGAGCCAAGAACCCTTTGTTGCGGCCATTTTGTCGTCTTAAGCGCGTTGTCGCAATGTCGCCCGGCGATGAGTGCTTTGGAGGGCAAATCTCAACTATTCCGAAACGACAAATAGAGGTTGACCAGCAACCTGAAGCCGACGATAAGACACCTCGATCCGGTCGAATTGATGAGTCTTTTCTAACGTCCGATGAACGAGCTCGCACGTTGGAGCTAATCAGAGGCTGTGCGAGTTGTATACGTATCGCCGACGTCGTTTCTTCTCCATAAACTTGAGCTTGAGCTGCCACAGGCTTCTACTGCGAACTCTTCTCCGATCAAGGGGAAAAACAGCAGTTGGGCCCTGAGACCTTTGGCCCGACAACGGCTTTAATAGTCTTTAGTGAATATAGATCTTTTATACGACCCAACCTCCAGTGGTTCTGTTGGTTGGGGTTGATATTTTGCAAGAGTCGCGAAACAGTGATGTTTCTTCAATGTCTGCTCGGCGATTCACAGTGACTCTCGAACCCAGGTGAGCAGCGAAAAGGCTTAGAGAGCCAGGGTGGACGGCACGAAGCTGTCGCCAGTCATCATGAGTCGGTAGTATTGGTTTGGGATAGTTGGGAAACGACCAGACCGATGAAGTTGGGTGGTTCGGCGAGTCCCAGCGATATGGTTTTGGCCTGCAGGGGCGAGGGAGGGGGGCAACGATCTATAATTACCACAGTCAGGATTCCCGCTCTGGCGGGCACCGAAACCGAGCAGCCGAGAACGAGGTGGATCCTATCATCCCATGCTCTTTTTTTTGTCTGGTCCAATAAACCAACAAGCCGCTGAGACGCCCCCCAGCTTCGACTCGGTCCGTGCTTGGGGGTGGGAGATTGAAATGTCCTCCCAAAGCCCGTTGTGGCCGCTATGGTCGCCGATGTGATGAGGACTGTGAAAAAAAGCCCGCATCCTCGTGGACCCTCATACTTTCGTACAAAATGATGTTATTGACATTACTGTTAGTACTTGTGCTTCCCGTTCCATCATCGTCTGCTGTTCTCAGGTCAATAATTTCTCTTGGTCCCAGTGAGGGCTTGGCTATCTTCCTGGAAACTTTTTCGCTCTCGACCATCTTAGCGTCAACTTGACTCTAGATCTAGAGACCCTGAATTTATTGAGTACGATAAATTATAGTCTATATAGGTGAACTAATATAGCGGTTGAGCGAGATGAACCAACCGCCTAATGAGGCCCTTGTTGGACTTATCCAGTCCAGTTAAGGGAAACAGATTGGCCCTATCATGCCATCTGGACTCCGACTCCAACTGGATGATACCGAAGATGATACGGGCCATGGTCCAGGAGGCGCCCTGGTTGCCAGGGAATCCGAACGAATCTATTCAAAGAAAGGGAGAATAAAAAGCAATATGTGCTCCTCTTGAACCAATTGAAGCGTCTCGTCAAGGGAAAATAGGGAACGAAAAGCAAAAAAAGAAAAATGGTGGCAGAGGGACTACACGGGTTGGTCGGCTGGGAAAGAGCGTCGTGCAGCAGAACCCCGCGAGGGAAAGACTCTGATCAATCGATCCCAATCAGCGAGATTGGAGGCCAGTGAATGGCCAGCGCCAAATGAAGCCAAGGTTCGAGCGTTACTAGGGCGCGAGCCTATCACGGGCCTTCTGCAAGCGCTCCCTGTCGTCACGCACAGGGTTCTCAGACCGACGAACGCCATCGATGCCCAGTTTGGCCCTATTTCTCTGGCGCCTCTGGCTCGAGGAACCCGCCGGCTGTGTGTGGAGTTCCATCGACTTGCATATCAGACCCTATCCAGGCCATTTATTGGCGGAAAGGGACTAGGACCCGGATGGAACTGATGTACTTCAACGCACGTTCTCTGGACCGCTCTCCCGCCACAGTTTCTGCTGTTCAATGGGACCGGGATCTGGGTCCACTCAGTCCTGCACATCCAGTCGGTCATCACGGCCGATCACGGCTGACGTTGTCTATTCTGGGCCTCGCACATGAATCGCACCCATTGAGCCCTTCCTGGAGATAGGCTTCATGGCTAGACCGCGACCGACGTGAATAAACATGCCACTCCAATCCTTGAGGGTTGAAGGCTGAAAATAAGTCAAGACTGGTGGTATCACATATATGTCCGATGGGTTGGGAACATGTTGATGTTAGCGTGAGACAAGAAGGAGGGCACACCGCAACCAGTCGACGGAACAATTCCAATTATGGGTGAAACGAATCAACCAGAGATTCAGACATGCAGAGATTCGGAAACCAGCAACCCCAGGAACGAGCTGCAAGAGGTGTGCCACGACCTGCAGCCTCATCACGCCAAGCGGCGGCGTTGCGGCCACTGATTCGTGCCGACTAGCCTTGCGATCCGCGCCATCACATTGTCCATCCGCCAATCAACCCCTCCATACATCCTTGAAGAAACTTGACGGGTCCCGCAGCCTCTCCGCCAGACAGACAAAAGGCGAGCAACGAGGATAACAAGGGGAAAGAGGCGTTCAGAGAGACTCATTGGCCCGCTGTTGGACAACCGTGCGAGTGTGTTGCCCCTTTGAGGCCTTTCTGGGCCCTCACGCGCCCACTAAAGCCCTACTTTGCAGGGCATGCACAGTTCAGCCCACTTCGCACAGCAATTCACCTTGTTTTGTGGTTTTCTTTTTGGCGCCCAAGCGTCGCATCGCTTGAATCCCTGTCATCCTTGCCTCTCCCCCCCTCCCTGGAAGCCTGTCGGTTCCACTTGCCGTCCCACTTTTTTGCGAGTTTATCGTACGGAGTAGAGGAGCTAAATATACGGAACCCATGCGAGCCCCTCAGAGTCTATTGGAGCCCATTGGAGCCCATAGTCATGTAATTTACGGAGAAGTCCCAGCGCAAGCCCAGTCATTGAGCGTTGTCGTAGTTCATAGGAATGCATATACTTTCCCTTCCTCCCCCACCCTCGCCGCGCGCCTGCGGCGTTGTACGCATCTCATCCATCTTCCTCGAGCTCTCAGCCATGCTTCAAATGTAAACCGACTACCGTGAGATCTCGGATTCTCGAGCGTTCTCTGATCCTTGTGAACGGGCTATTCTCGTTGACCATACTCACTGCGATCTGGAGGAGCTGGAGCTCGAGTTCCTAACCGTATAGCCTGGCGCATAAACATCGATACTGTTATCTCTCGCCTTTACCTCTCTCGCTGCCCCGGATTTAAGTCCAGGCCTATTCCCATCATCAAACGAACTGTCAATAGCCAGTCGCGCGATTTCTTAATGCGATAATCTCCATCATGGGTCGTCTTATTAAAAACCACTGGGGACGATTGATTATCCTCACGGCAGCAGCCTGTAAGTGCCATTCCCCCTTCCACTACCAACAATCAGCACCATTCCCTGGCTCTAATATATAATCGCATAGACCAAATCGCAAGTTCTATCGAAGGTTTCATCTGGCCCAAGGTGTTTTGGGACTTCCTCTCCAAAAACCTTGACGCCGCCGTCGGTCCCATCCCCGCCCTCCAAATTCTCAACCTTGTCATGGGCGTCATTGCCATCGCCTGGGAATGGCCTCTCAATTTGTTCGCCGGATCATTGCTCCATCGTAGCATCGAAATTCGACTCATCCTCTATCCTCTCAATGCAATGCTAGCCGCCCTTCTATACCAAGGAACCGACCCCGCCCTCTATTACTTGATTGGCATTGGCGTATATTTCTGGGCGTATAGTGAAGGCGAGGTAGGTGGTCCTTTACTATCCACTTCTTCTAGTCTATAATGCTATCCAGTGTACTGATAATCGTTTATCTAGGTGATTTGTCCGGAGCCTTGGACGTTACCCAAACGAGCTGGGACGCTCAAGGAATGCTAATCGGTTTGGCATAGTGTCAGACGCAGATGTTGTACATAGCTTTCTAATCGAACATTAATTTCCGTCTGCCTTCTCCTATTATGAATGTACTTTCAACCTAGTTATTTACATACCTATATACTTCTCCCATCAGGTTTCGGTTGAATATCCTCGGAGGAGTTATCGTGTTGTGGCCCCCGGCTCCGGCCCCAACAATATACTTCACCAACTCCAACAGAATCCGGTAAGACGTATGATAGGTTATTATAACATCATCTGATAGGCTTCCCATCTGCTACGAATCTAGAACCAAGCATACGCAAGGGGTTTCAAGGGCAGGCTATTCATCCTAATGCATCCTCAGGGCGATTCTCTTGAGAGCCTTTTTATTCCCTCGAGCGCCGACACATCGACACCCGGTAAACAAGGCTAGAAGACTAGCACGTGACAATAACTGACCTCCACGGGAGGGAACGGAAGTTCATACTTCATGTCAACAAGGTCGATTTTTGCACGTCCGATAACTGTCCTGGGTATCACCGACCTTGGAGTAGGATTGTGCAACCGGCATTATATATGTGACTAATTTCACTGGCTAATCTTAGCATAGCTTTCCTAATGACAAGGCCCGCAACACCGCCGCGTGTCCTGCCCTCGGAGGCTCAAGTCGAAGGGCATGAACACGCCCTTGACTCCGATGAGGATGTACCTGTTAACAAGATTGCTAGCTTCAATGGCAAGCTCAATCAATATATCCATACAAGCGGCCCCTCAAGCGGCCCATCAAGCGGATCAACCGAGCGGGAAAGCCAATCCATCAGTCCGTCCAAACCCACCCTGGTTGCTTCCGGTCTCAAGCGTGAATTACCGGCCAGCGACATCGACGTTGGGCTTATGAAAGAACAAACCACCCAAGACATCATCTCAAGTCCCAAGCGAAGCAAGAAAATGGACCCAACAACACCCCATCCTCTCCCACCACCTCGGGTAACCCGCTCCCGCACATCTCGCACGATCATATCCATGTCCCAAGCGTCAACATCCGTCTCCTCCCCCAAGAAACCACCACGTCGCCACCGCAATCCCCCACCAACGTGTCCCTTACCCCCGATCCCTTCTCTCCTCCGCGACACCATTCCACCAAACCTGATCCTCCTCCTCGTCGGCGTGAATCCGGGCATCCTCACCGGCAGCACGGGTTACGCCTACGCACACCCGTCGAACCTGTTCTGGAAACTACTGCACTCCTCCGGGATAACGTCCACGCGGCACCCCCCCAGCGACACTTACAAGCTCCCCGCGCTGTACAGCGTCGGTAACACGAACATCGTGGCGCGGCCCACCCGTGACGCCAGCATGCTCAGCAAAGCGGAGATGGACGCGGGCGTGCCGGAGCTGGAGGCCAAGGTGGCCGCCCAGCGGCCGGAGGCGGTTTGTCTGGTGGGCAAGAGTATCTGGGAAGCTGTGTGGCGGGTGCGGCATGGACGGGGTATCCGTAAGGAGGAGTTCCGGTATGGGTGGCAGGTGGAGACAGAGAATATGGGTTGCGTGGCTCACGAGGATTGGGGCGGGGCGCCGGTGTTTGTGGCAACAACGACGAGCGGGCTGGCGGCGGGGATGAGGCCGGCGGAGAAGGAGGCTGTGTGGGCGGAGTTGGGGGCATGGGTGGTGAAGAGGAGGGCGGAGAGGGGAGAGGGCAGCGGGGGTTCTAATTGCTGAAGCTTGAGTTAGGAGATGGGTTTATGTAAGTCGTTGGATGGTCTGACTAGTGCTTTGGCTTTGTGTAAGGGATTCTGATGTTTTACTCGATACCCATTTGTTGACGACGTAATGATTCTTGTTGCTTTCTCTATATCGGTGTCCATGCAACGTGCCTACTTGAAATGCCATACTAGTACAAAAACCCGCTGGTGAATTGCTTACTGTAGTAATTGCTTCCATAGACAGTGAACCAAAAGACGAGGAGGGTCTAAATGTGTAAATGTATAAGAGGACTGTGTGTATGACGAGTTCAATTGCTCGTTCTCTCATTATCTCATGATATCAGGTAAGGAAGCCTGCTGCTCATATGCATTACAATCCAAAAAAAGAACAACACTCCGCAGTAGTACTCCTCCATAGAACACAAATGACTGGCCACCACCAAGACTAAGCGAGGGAAACATGCATTCCCAAACATCCATCACTCTTGATCAAGAGCACACGCCAAAGTCGTCGACCAGAGACTGGAGGGGATACTCGAACTCCGTGGAATGAAAAGGAGACAATCCCAACAAGGACACGGTGGAAGCTGTACATTTCATGTCTTGATGCTGTCGAGTGAAGATAAGGTACCCCATTTACCGGGTAATGCCAATGGGACCGTTGGCGTCGTTCTTGCCGCCTTGACGCTCGGCAGCCTAGATGGACATGAGTTAGTATATCACGAGAATCGATAAAAAAGAAATGCGGAAAATATCAAACGAACCGTATTCGACTGGAATTCGCCACCCTCCAGGATCTTGATCATGCAATCATCCTCGTTGTGGGTGCCGAATTCGTTCTCGAGGGCAGCATTGCTGGCACCATCCAAAACACCCTGTGCGCCATGACTAGTTGAATAGCAAGTTAGATAAGGACGCAATAAGAGGGAGCGAAGACGCTCAATAGAGGCTCTGAGCAGCCGTAGTACTTACGAGTGAGTCAAGAAAATCTTCCAGCCGTTCACAACATCGCTCAATGGGATGCTACGGTCATCCTTCCACTTCTTCACGCTCTCGACATCGTCAACGAAAACAATGAAGTCGTCCGAACGACCCTTGTAGAAGATCTTTGAGGTGGTGTCGTTGGCACGAGGCATTTTGAATTGGAGTATTGGTAATGGGAATATTCAAAAGAGATTGACAATTTGGAAGTTGAATCAATGGAACAATGAAGATGGAGTGGAAGGGCCGAAACGGGAGGCTTTAAAGCAGCGATGATGATGGATGACGTCACGTCCACCCACCAGAGAGCAAATGCTGTGTCATGGAAAAGCTCCTTGTCTCCCTGCCTTGCGACGTCATCTACTGGATTCCATGCCTTTTGGTCAGCAATAGACCCCGCCGGTGGATCCAAAGCTCGTGCTTTCTGATTCAATTGCTTTCATTCCTCGTCCATTACGTTCCGCCAAGCTAATAACAATATCCTCCCATGTTCCATTCCATGCTTCCCATCATCCACTCTCCACTCTTCACTTGCCTACCTGGCATATCCTAAAACGGCAGTGGAGGTTGATACCCACCCGAAGACCCCATCAGATGCCTGAGCCCGGCCCTGATCGCGGCCGCATCAGATGCTTCGGCGACAGCGCACTGAATAACGAGATGGGCGAGGGCCACTTCTTTCGCGACGGGGAGGTCTCAGGGTTACTCTCCTGGCTGGAGCCCTTGTCACTGCGCGGGGAAGATGCCGGTCCCGTATTTCCTCTGGGAGTGCTCCGAAATCGAATTGTCCTCGAACGTCCAAGTGTTGAGGTCGGAGTCCTGGGCGACTCGCAATCCGGTTCCGTCGACTGACGTTGCTCCTCATTTCCTTCGTGACTCGTGACCAGTTCCTTCTCCTCGCCGCTATAATCATCGATGGATCGTGCATCAGTCATCGCCGGTCCTGAATGAGACGTGCTGACGGAACTAGATCGTTTGGCAAAGGTAGCGTGGAGGCTGAGGCGTCGCATGATCGACCCTCGCCTAAATAAGTCCCCTCGACCAAGTACCATACCTGGTAGGGGCAATACATCTCGAGTGTAGACATCGATGATTTGTCTTTCCAGTCGAATTCGATCGACGCGTTTGGCAGTAATAGTCGGTGCACCGCGTGCGACTGGTGTATTGCTCGGCCGATCGATCTCGCTACTAATTGGACTACCGGGCTCGTCCAAACTGTGTGGATAGTGTGTCTTCTTGATCACTATCTGTTGAACATGGGCCTTGCGTGATATGGCCATCGAATCCATTGATGATCTTCTGGGGAGGGAGGACGCTGTGTACTGAACCCGACCCAATGGGAGCAGCGCGAGACTCAAAAAGAATACTTTCGAGGATCCCAAACTCCACCGGGCTTCGCCATTTCCGAAAGCGCAGCGGAGTATTTCAAACTTTCTGTTTTCCAAATCATCTCCTCAATCGCAGAGGACGCGCTGAGGATGAACTCATAATTCTCATCTTGTTCTTGGAATGAAAGTTTCCAAGAGAACGGACATCCGTAACAGTAGAGACCTAATAATTTCGCTTCTTATTCGAGGAAAGACAAGGAAAACAGAGTCAATAGGAACACGCTTACCTTGTCCATTCTGAAGAGTGTCCATTTTCAAATCATCCATGTAAATACAAGCCACCACCTCCAGTCGATGAAAGTCGTCTACGCTTTTGGCAAGAAGAAAATAGCTATTGAAGAGGACACAAACCATAAAGTCTCCTGTTATATGGCCGGGTGTGTGATACGTCGCGTGTAGAACACCACAGAGGTTCATTGGGCCAAGTTCTCTATATATGTCCTGGAGGGCATACTGGCCAGTTACGCAAAAAGAAAATGGTCAGCCTCATCTTCCTGAATTAATGAGAACTAGAGTGCGCACCGATTCCGAAAAATCAATCTTTCCTTGAAGAAGAAGAGTCTTTTGAATGCGATCCTTATTAACAGGATTTCCAGTGGCTGAATTTATCCGTGCAACTAGAATACGTAAGCCCTCCAATATTTGTCGAATGCCATCGTGAGAGGATGGGCAATCGCCAACGGGGGTGTGTCGCAGAAGGTCCTGAAGGAGAAGAGGGTATTTGCATAGACGTTGGATAGGCTATCACTTGGTCAACATGTCAAAAATTGGTAAATAGAAACCATCAGGGTCGAACCTTGATCATCAGATCGCTCATGGTCATGGACTTGTTATATTCATTCTTGCGGCTTTCCATTGAAGCAACTGACTTTGACAGTGCTTCGATCCCCTGGTCAAACATTGCCCAATTGGGAATTGAGCGCCGCAAAAGGGCCATGTCCTGCGCAAAAAGATCGTAGTTTCTACAGAATTCCTCATATGAAGAGAACAACAGCGACTATAGATATGACTGGTCAGCATTTGCGAACTACGGGTATTTTGGGAGAGAATCAAAATGTACTAATTTGTCAATTTCTCGTGCAACCTCGAGTGCCTCCACGGGTTCTGCTGCGAAAGCCTGTAGACGTTGGTTTATCGTCGCTTTGAAGTTTCGGGTTCTTAGCGATCTATTCTGGAGACCTTTCAACCCTGGGAGATCCAATTTTGACACTCCTCGAGACAACAGGTCGGAAGCGCCCTCGGGAGACTGGGAAGCGGACATGGGTGATATTGTTTGGAGTTGTGTCAGAAAGCGTTCGTGGATTTCCCGAATACGTTGGATATTATGATATATCTGGGGTCGGGTATTGAAAATAGATAGAACCTATAGAAAAGCTATTATTCAGTATAATCTAAGCAGGTATTTTCCTGGTCATCAGCCACACCTACCCCAGTGAGGGCCTTGAGACCGAGAACATAGTCGGTCTCCGTCATAACAATCTCTCGTAGCACCAGACGTCTTCTGTTTGCACGGAGTTCTGCCTGCTCATCGACACAGTTATTGGAGGATGTCGGTCGAGAACTGTCACCGGACGCCCTCGCATCCGAGAGTGTGCTCTGTCCAGCGGTGCTCTGAGTTCTTCCTCTCGACCTTGCCATGCTTTGGCTGGCGATGCTGACGGTGGCTGTCTTGACAGTTCCTAGCTGTGATGAGTAACCCGAAAGTAGGGAATCCCGACGAGGAGCCGACTGTTGTGCAGAGAATTCAGTTTGAGAAGAGTCCGACCAGCCCTCGACATAGCGTTCGGGAATCGTCGGAGGCACGCGTTTGCGCGCTCGAAAACTGTCCATCCATTTTTTGAAGGGATGTGAAGCGGACTGGCGTAGTGTTGGCAGGTCATCTTCGTCCTTGTTCTCAAGAAGTCTCGCGGTGTCATCTTCCACGGGGAGTACTGATTTGTCGGGTTCAATCGCATCGTCATCGGTATACTCCATCATGCCATAAAGCGGCAAGCCCGCTGGTTTGATGTAGGGCTTGGAATGTGGAAGGCATGGAGATCGACCACAAGATTAATTCAACACATCCATACCAAAGACCACCCCTGAAGCCAAGACGCGCTTCATGGTTTGGCAGTCACGATGGAGGAAGCCCCGGGGTGGAAACGGCGAGCACATCAATGGGGCTCGTCAGGGGCTCTTCTTTTCTCTTTGGGCCGTGGGCGATCCATTCACCACGTTCCCCGTCGCATTGAGGGAGGAACGACAGGCTCAGCGCCATGGAAGCAGCCCGCATCGGCTCCAGGCAGCTGTTAAGGCCGCTGAGAAACCGACAATTTGAATTCGATCCATTGTACGTCATGACGTGAGGCAGCTCAACAGGTGGGATTTAAATCCTGCTTCGAACTCCCCCATCAGACCACTGTAGATGCATTGCTGTTCATTTTCGCTTCCGTTTGCACATGATAAGTCCTCCGCGGTGAAGGGCCGCTTGAACAAACGAAACATACCACCGAAACATATCAAATTGTCAGTGTTCCGGGTGGATCGGGGATCCATGTGTATAGTTCAAGTTTGCTGTGGATGCCAAGTCACGCTTATATAAAGGTGAACCGGCGCGACCCACCGCCCGCGAACGCGATGGTGGTTTGAACTTCCCCACCTTTTGTGATAGGCATCCTGATGGACGATAATATCCACGCTCCAACTGTGGCCTCTGGACCAACGTCCGGGGGTGCTCCCCGTGACTGGTCCAAGCTGTCGATGGCCGATCTTATGCAGGAGAAGGACCGCATCGAGGCGGAACTGTCAGCCTTGAGCAGTGTTCTCAGCTCGGTGGGTAATTTCGAGACTCTTTTGCCCCAGAGAGAAACCCGAGCTCGTTGTGTGGTACTAACAGCTCCCTGGACGATTCTAGCACGGTGTGAATATGAACTCTTCTCTGACTACATTTGATGGCTTCCCGCGCGACGATATCGATATTGCTCAAGGTGTGCCAAAACTCGACGTGGGCGGGACGGAACAAGGTCTGTAATTTGCTGAGACGATGGCCTAGTACGAACTACACGAGTCCGCATCATCCACCTACGAAATGACCACAAAGGGGTAATGAAATATCTCGAGGAGGGATTGCACGCCCACTTTGCCCAGCTTCAGAAAGCTTCGGGCGCTGGCCCGACCACAAACGGCACCAGTGTGCCTTCGGCAACACCAGCCTTGGTCACCGGCGACAGCATTTCGGATGCAGGAATGTTCGGAACAGCTTTTGCAAAGGTGAACAGCGTCGAGCCAAGCAGCCCAGCCGCTCAGGCAGGCCTCAAGGCTGGGGATACGGTTCGAGGCTTTGGACGTGTGCATTGGTTGAATCATGAACGTCTGTCGAAGGTTGCGGAGATAGTACAGCAGAATGAAGGGGTATGTCTGAATCGAGTTCCGCCGCCAAACCCCTTTCCAAGCGTTTCACTAAGTCTTCAATCCAGCGCCCACTCTCGGTCAAAGTGACACGCGAAGAGGATGGTGGATCGGGCACGACCGAATTGGATCTACAATTGACTCCACGACGCAACTGGGGCGGCCGAGGACTCCTGGGATGTCATCTTGTTCCGTTGTAGGAGAGGCGGATCTCCTTGTCGTTGCCGTGGCTACCGGGGCCGCTCGCCGCTTGCCTTGCAGGGCTGTACAAATGCGACGAGGCAATTTGATCACGACTAACGAGACCCGGTCCGACTGGGCCAGCAGAAGTGACCTTTACTATTATCCAGGCTAGAATCCAAGGATGCTTCTGTCGAAAAGAAAAAAACGAAAGGGGGGTCAATAGTATTTTTCATGTAAACAATATTGCGAGGGCAGGGATCATCATAGTTCGGATGCAAGAGAATGGAGGCTGAATCTCGGCGCCCTACGGATATCTATGGGTTCTGTACAGAAAGGCGGGAGATATTGAGAGAGAAGACGACTACCAGAACCGATCGAGAGACCATCTTGGCCTCTGCACTAGTTGCGGTTGTGGCCAATCCTCTTCCGGCCCCGTTGCCTAGTCCCCGACTATTGATGTTCGTGATGTAAGGCGGTGTTCAGTGTGGGAGCGTGTTGACACTACGTCAGGCCATCTCAGGCACACAGACACGTGACCTGACGGCGACCGGGGGCAAAAATTCCATCGCGCATTATTCAGACTTCCCCTTCTTTCTCCCCATCCCCTAAACAACCACCCCCCGTTTCATTCCTCATCCGTTGAATCCCCGACCCGGCGATTCTTACATCTCACCACACATCGTTCTTTGCGAAAAAAAATCTTTCGTCATGGCGGACCAGCAGACCCCGCCCACCTTTAAGCTCGTCCTGGTTGGTGATGGCGGTACTGGCAAGGTAAGCGCTTATCAAGCTCCTTTGAGATGAAGGCCATCAATTGTGGCGGAGAGGATGGCTGTCCCCTGGAGACGGTTGCACCAAGCTCTCACTGCGATGAACCTTGGAATCCTGGTTGCTACCAGCTGCCCCTCTTGCCCCGCGATTGTCAACGAGAAATGAAAAATATCTGCCCAACACTCGCCTCATCCCTGACAGGCTTATCGCTAACCCAATCACTATCATAGACCACCTTCGTCAAGCGCCACCTGACTGGTGAGTTCGAGAAGAAGTATATTGCCACTCTCGGTGTCGAGGTGCACCCGCTCAAATTCACCACCGTATGCTATGCCCCGCCGAGCCCCGCTCCGACAGCACCCTCCCCCATCTCACGTCCCAAATCGACTAATTCCAAGCCATAGAACCTGGGCCCTATCCAGTTTGATGTGTGGGACACTGCCGGCCAGGAGAAGTTCGGTGGTCTCCGTGATGGCTACTACATCAACGGCCAGGCCGGTATCATCATGTTCGACGTTACCTCCCGTATCACCTACAAGAACGTTCCCAACTGGCACCGTAAGTATCTTCATCACCTGATTAGATTTCCATGTTCGCGGCTTACCAAATTCGAACCAAGGTGATCTCGTCCGTGTCTGCGAGAACATCCCCATTGTGCTGTGCGGTAACAAGGTCGATGTGAAGGAGCGCAAGGTCAAGGCCAAGACCATCACCTTCCACCGCAAGAAGAACCTCCAGTACTACGATATCTCTGCCAAGTCCAACTACAACTTTGAGAAGCCCTTCCTGTGGCTTGCTCGCAAGCTTGTTGGCAACCCCCAGCTGGTTCGTATTTGATTCTCCACCGCCAAGTCCGATACTAACAACTTTTTTAGGAGTTCGTTGCCGCTCCCGCTCTCGCTCCTCCCGAGCTCGAGGTCGACGAGGTCCAGATGAAGGCCTGGCGCGAGGAGATGGACGCCGCCGCCCAACAGCCCCTGCCCGATGAAGATGATGCCGACCTGTAAAGTGGTGTCAACACCTAATGGGCCTCGAGAGGCTACTCCAGCCCCCCGAGAGCCCTTATCGCAACCACTTCCCCTTTGTCTCTGTTATCAACAGCGACGCCGAATAGGGGCGGCAAATTCCACAACCGAAAGTTTTTTTTTGGATTTGACCAAGTCAGTTCTCAGAATCACGATACAACGAAAGCGGTTGGGGCAGTGGCGATTTGAAGAAAGGGGACAGCACGACCATGCATTTCTTTTTGTTTTCCCCAACCTTTTAGTAGCTTAGACTCTTACCATCTCAATGTCTTTTTTTTCCTCCCTCGAAACGAATTTGCTGCACAAAAAAAGCAAGTCTTTCAAAAAGGTCTCAAGAAACCTCGGAACTCTTTTTCGATCTATACCATAATAAATACTGGCGATCTTGTCAGACAAAGCAATCTTTTTACTCATTTGCTATGCTAGAGCTAGGAAATAACGGGAGAAAAAAAAGTCATGATACCAGACATCATGTGGAGCCTTTTGACAAGTGTGAGCACAGAGAAAGACAGGGTATATCGTATAAGGACCAAAACAAAGAAATAAACCATCCTTCCTTGCGGCAGCACCTAATCTAGCAGTAGCCCACTTTGGCTAAAATTCTACCCGTAAAGCATAAAGAGGCTGGGAAAAGTGAAGTTCTGGAGGGGGCTTGCAAGACATGCTTCGAACCATACTCGGACAATGCAAGACTATGTGCGAACGCCCTGTATAAAAGAAGATAATTAGAAGTGAAAAAAAGAGATATAAAGCAAAAGGAAAACAACTCACGAAAAGATAAGCCAGTTCCTGGATATTCAGACGAGACACGTTCATCGTGCCACCTTCATCAAAAGCGCCACTGATCAGTTCGCGTTTCTGATCCTGGAGATTAACGATGCGGTCTTCGACAGTCCCCTCAATAAGCAGGCGGTGCACGAAGACTTCTTTGTTTTGGCCAATGCGATGAGCGCGGTCAATAGCTTGGTCCTCAACATATGGGTTCCAGAATGGGTCAAAGAGAATAACATGAGAAGCAGCCACAAGGTTCAGGCCTGAATTGCCCGCCTTCAGTGAGACAAGCATTACCTTGATCTCAGGGTCGTCCGTGAAACCCGCCACAGAGGCATTACGCTCGGCGACACCCATGCTGCCATCGAAGCGCACATACTTCCACCCGCGACGGTCAATAGGCACCTCGAGAAGATCGAGGAGTGACGTGAACTGGCTGAAAATAATAGTTTTCTCGCCCTTGCCGCGCTGCTCATTGGCTGCGAGAATCTCTAGGCTTTTCTCAATCTTGGCGCTTGGGATCCAAGTTTTCTCCAGGCGGCGTAGGTATTTCTGCTTGGCACGTTTGCTCTTCTGAGCTTCCTGGCGCAGTTGAGCGAGAGATTTGGTCTTCCGCTTGCCGGTGGATCCATCCGTTTCAGTGTCTGAATCCGACAATGTTTCACTATCATCTGATTGATCATCGTCTTGCTGGCGCGAGTCAGTGTTGGACTCGGCGTCTGGATCGTGAACCTTTCTGAAGGATTCCCCATTTGTGATCTTGGACTGGTCAACTACACCCCTGCAGTTCTGACACTTTAAAACACCGGGGTCCTTTTCCTGTCTTTCAAGGAATGCAGGATCGGAAATCTGCGCATAGCATTCAGAACATACGGAGTGCCCGCAGGGAATATAGATAATGGTATTCTCAAGCGTATCCATGCAAATCGGACAGGTTCCGTCGTACTCGCTGTCGTTACTCTTGATACGATCGACAACTCGAGGACTCAAGAGCTTCGCATTAGCAATATAATCCAACTCTGTAGTTTTGGATTGCTGCGAAGCACCAGACTTTGTCAGGAGATGGGGGTGACAGCAGGCTTGCCGGAGGCGTAGGAGAAGAACCAGGACATGACTGTAGTTCTTTCCCAGGACACCTGCATTGAGAAGCCTAGTAATCTGGGCCTGAGTTTTCGAGTCGAGTGTATCATACAGTTCCTTCTCCGAGTCGCTGAAAACCACATGTACCTTTTCGATAAATTTAGGTGGCAGCTGCAGGATTGGTTGACCATCAATCTTGGAAGTCTTCGTACGTCGGAAACAAACAGATTTGACTAAGACACGTAGTTGTTGCATTATGTGCTCCGGAACAAACCCCCCTCTTACGGGGAAATCCTAGATGCAATAGGCAATCAGCTCCGTGGTAAAGTACGAAAGTGTAGCAAGTTACAATTGACGACCTACCAGCCTAAATTTATCCTTATTGTTATAAGGTCGAATGCGCAGGAAGCCGAGCAGAGACTGAAAGTCTTCGAGTCGATTCATCATAGGTGTTCCGGTAAGACACCAGCGAAAGGTAGCATTCAGTTCACAGCACGCCTTGGTTGACTTGGCCGATGGGTTCTTGATATTCTGGGCTTCATCGACAAAGACTCGGTGCCATTTGCTTTGCGGTGTAAACAGCGTTGCCTGTGCTTTGAGCCTATTCACTAGACTGGCGTCTTTGCCTTCCTCTGCCAATTTCCTTGCATTGACCAGGAGCTTGTGGTTGGCGGTCAAAGTGCCGAACGTCGTGATGATGACATCGTAGGTTTTCAACTCTCGCCAGGGAACCAGGCGGTTCCTTTCGTGGAAAATGAACACCGATAGCTGACTCTTACCTGGCTCAACATGCCTCTGAATCTCCCGTCTCCACTGATCCATCAATGCCTTAGGAGCGACAACCAGGCTTGGATGACGGTCTGGGTCGGTCGGTGGGCGGGCGACCATAAGAGCGATGGCCTGAATCGTTTTTCCAAGACCCATATCATCTGCCAAGATACCCCCTTTGTGATTGCTATCCTCTTTGGCTTTCATCCATGCAACACCGACCTTTTGATGTTTCATAAGGGTCACCTTGAGGCCTTTTGGTGTGTCATCTTTTTCTGCCTTAGTAGCTTCACGGATATCCTTGATGCCAGTGATTAGATTTTTGATGTCCTCCGGGAAGTGCTGGTCCTCATAGCGACTATTGTTATTGATTAGCACCAATCTAGGATCTCATCTTGAATAGTGCACACATACACAATGTCTTCGTCATCATCAAGACCAAGCTCATTTTCGCGGATCAAATCCATAGCCTTCGTCTCTGGTAAATTCTGCATCCATGGTAAAGTTCGACCAGTCAGGGAGGGAGGAATGAAGGGGCGGCCAAATCCTCGACCAAAAGAGTCAGGCCCAGAATGAGAGTGCCCTGGGAAACGGGACTGGAAGTGATCTCGACTGATTTCCTGGATATCATCATCAGAGTCCAAGGACAGGTGAGACTCGCGACCATGATGGGCCAACTTCATAGACCCATGATAAGCACCGGGCATTGTAGGATAATCGAACTGTGTAGGGACAGGATAACGGCGGGGCATCGTATCGTATGGAGATGAACCGGTCAGGGTTCTGTCTGGGATATCGAATACTCGTGCCGGACTGAATGGATCATCACTATCACTAGCGTTTTCCTCTGCTTCGAGCATACGAGCAAGTTCTTCGTCTCGGTCCATCTGGATGGATATGCGAATGGCCTCCTCCTCTTCCTTTTCTTCCTTGTCAAGCTCCTCCAAAGCCTGTGCAATGGTGATGCCCTTGGTCGATGCAATAGCTTGAAGATTCTCGGGGTCTCGCATCTCATCGCAGACCTGACGATATTCGGCCAATTGTCGCTCAAGTTCTTCATCGATTTCGTCCAGACGGGCTTTTGATTTTGCTAAGGCAGATCGCTTCGAAGATTGAAGCAGGGTTGAGGAACTATTCGAATCTTGACGTTGTCTCTTGCGCGATGCTTCAGAAGAATTCTCAAAATGACGATTCAATGAAAATTCAAAGGGCGAGGGAGCTGAAGATGGCCAGTAAGGAGCGGTGATCATGGAGTTCGCCTGTGCTCCGCCATGTGGAGTTGGTTGCAAGCTGGGTGGGACCACAGGCAAGGCATCTGGATCTCCATTTAACCTAAAAGAAGGCGAAGAAACTTGAGGGGGTGCATTCGGAGAAGTGACCGAGGGGCCAGCTCCCAACAGGCGATTCACCTCGGATTCTAGCTGTTCGATCTGCAGTTTCGTCTCTTCTGCACTGTGGGTATCTTCGGGCCTTGATTGCATGAGATCCTCAAGAATCCACTTTTGGGTTTCTACCTCATCCAGGAGGGATTTGATTTGGTCTTCCGTTGATGAATCCATGGCTGTTTTGTGTTGGTGGAATCTGAGGTAAGAGATAGTGCAAGTTGGATATCAATGATAGGATGTAAGTTGGATGTAAGTTGCGGGGCGGTTGTTGAATTTTAATATCAGAAATCACCATCCAGAAAGACGAACTTCAATAGATAAGCGTCCAAGTGAGCCAACAGTGATCAAAAGTCGAGAGAGCGCGAGAGAGCGAGGGAGCGGCGTGTGAGAGAGAAAGTACGTCAAATCGTTATGCCGATCAAGAGAAGTGCAAAGACCAGATTCAGCTGTATCTAAGTGAGGGAAGCACCAGAGCGAACGATTGCGGATGATGGCAGGGATCTGTCCAACACATCAGCTTAAACGGTCTGGCAGAGAAATGACGTGAAGCAGGAAGCCACAGTTGACGCGAACAGGACGTGGGTATACAGAAAAAGAAGAAGAGGAGGAGGAGGAGGAGGAGGAGGAGGAGGAGGAGGAGGAGGAGGAGGAGGAGGAATAAGAAGATATGACCAGCAACGCGTTTTCCTGGATTAGAGAGACGGCGTTTGATGCATCGCGGGGAGCGCGGGGAGCGCTTTTGGCTGGTCCAGCGCTGGCGAATGGAGCAACAGGCAGAAAGTTCAGGCAGGAAAGGGCTGGAGAATACCACTCAATAAGGATCGTGAAATTGAGAGGGCTACAAGGAGCATCACAATCAAGAATTTAAAACCCCCAACGTTGAATCTCCCATGGCTGTTCGTCCGTCGTCACGGTTGGTGTCGCGGTCGTTGTCGCGGCCGTGGTCACAATCGTTATCGCGAAGAGTTTGGCTGGCGATGTCATCTTGAGCCTCTGCCAAGGCCTCCGAAAAGCCAGTTGGTCTTGTACTGCTCTTCCGACTCGTGAGAAGGGCTAGCATGCCTTGCAGAACTGGCACTCTCTGCACCTCTACATTAATTGAAAATAGCCTACTCCCCTCCTTGGGCACCCCAATGCTGGACAACTTGGACACTCCATTTATCTTCACAAACCGATCAAGACACTACAGTACACTCGTCTTATCCTCACGTGCCGATAGGACGCGTCTGCGGGTCACGGGACGCCACTCGTGTTAATCGAGGCAAACACTGCAAACAGCGGGCCTGCGCTCCGGAGCATCAGAGGCACTGGTTACCGGGTCCCGACTTGAGGAGTACAGTAATACAATAGTAGGCATTCCAGACAGCCATACATGTTCTGGAAAATACTTGGGGGCCATGATGGCGTATGTAACTCCCTCTACTGTAACCCTTGACTTCGCTATTGCATACTGTGCGGGGAAACTGGTCAATCGAGTCGAATGCCTTTCATCATCGGTGGAAAGTCCGGCAATTCGGCCCAGGCTCAGACGACAAGCTACCTATTGTATGAGACTACACTGACCTTGGCAGCCAGAATGCAAGCTCGCCATCCGTTTATGGACCTGCAGGCCAGTAAGGTCGGCTGGTTACACAGCCAACTCAGGAGTTGGCCATTACTCGGATTAGGATGGAACATCTCAAGGATAACTCTCGCTATGTGGCACACAGTTGGTCGCGTTCTTCTTTTTATGACGATGGATAGGGCTCTAGGGGCATCTTATGGGATGTGCAAATCGCAATTCATTGACAGCTTCGGACTACAGTGGTACTGCAATGGCCTAGGATGAGTCAAAGAGTAGCACTGGTCATATCTTCATTTCAACCACAACGGGGTGCTTAAACATTCTGTTCATGCCCCTCTTGACTAGTCACCTCGAAACCCAGTGACTCATAAGAGAGAGCAGTCAAGAAAACAATCGTCGAATCATATACTGTCGTGACAGACACAGAGAGTTCCCGGTGTCGTAGTTGGTTTAACAGTCAGTTCCGCATCTACAGACGACCAAGTAAGGGCGGCCTACGGTGCACCGGCGGTTGTAGACAGCAGGAGGGGGGGGGGGGGGAGAAGTTGAGCTTTAAGTACTAGAGCCAGACGCTCATAAAAGAATTCATATGCGGAATCGAAAAAGGTGTCGAAAAGATTTCCAGTACTGTCTTCTTTATATTGTATCTGCAGAACCCAACCAGCTCGGCTCGGCTCGACTCGAACCTGGTCTACAATCGAAATACCATGAAAAAGCTCCTCAGAGGAATACAGGAATCGATCCTGACTCGACTCCTACGGAAACAAGTCTTCCGGGAGACTTTAATACGGTATCTGGCACAGGACGACTTGGTATGCTGTCGTCTTGTCTGTCGGACCCTCGCCGTCCAACTCGCCCCGTATCTATTTGCGAATATCACCATTGTCTTCCGCAGTCGCACTCTGACTCGACCGTCACGCATATCGGCCCTCGAGCGCATTGGTACCCACATCCAGACTATGACTTTTACGATGCCACACACAGCCGAAACCTTTCTGCCGCCGGTGATCGATCCGGTCACGGGGAGAGAGATGAACTTCATCTACATGCCCCAACACCAGCAAATGACACACCGGAGTCCAAAATACGGCACATGGGAGATGACCAGCTGGCTGGTTCAGCAATACCCGCCCGTGTTCCATGCTGCGACTGACATTCCCTCCTTTGTACGCGCATTGTCCATGATGGAGAACTTACGCCACCTTCGGATCAACTGTGCTGGCCAACTACCCAGCCATCGCTACCGGCGAAGTGCAGTAGACTATGCATTAATTTCGTTACGCATAGCCATTGAAAGAGCGCCAAGGATAGCATTGGATACTGTGTCGTTGCAATCAGTTCACCCTGCGGCGGTGTTCTACCTACAGCCCAATGGGGGGTTTGGTGCCTCGCCTGCGTCGCGTAAGCGCTGGTCCCAGGTTCGACACCTGACTGTCCATATGGAAAGCTTCCCCCACCATGTGGGGTTACCCACGGATCATTTCAAGCTTATCCATGCGTATCTGCAGAGCTTCTCCGAGCTGAGGACATTGGCATTCCATTGGATCGGCGAGAGGGGACCTTCCCCAGTGTCACTAGCGACGGAACAAAAATTGCCAACTGCGGCCTGTGCCTGTCCGGTATCCATCCAATGCACCTCCGGTTCCGAAGGGCCGGGTCGGAGCAGGCGGTTGATATATGGTTTCTTGCAACAACTGGAGCTATTCAACGTGACAATGGATGCATCTCAGGTTGCAGCATTCATCCTGGATCATCGGCATTCGCTATCTGACTTAAATCTTCGTGATATCACTCTGCGCCGGGGTACTTGGGCGGATGCACTGGCTCCATTGACATGGCTGGGCGGCAGTGACAGATGGAAGCAAGAGCAGCGTCAGGACGGTGGCGATGACGTTTTACCCACCATGAGGAACATCGCAAGCGCTGGCTAGCAACAATGCAAGTAGATGGTTGGGGCGCAACTTAGTGAAACAGAAAAGAGAGGGTCGGTGTATAAGCATTTCTGGGGAAGATGGGCCCGATCATATGAAGCCGCCGGTTATCGGGGGTCTCCACCAGCAGTGACGTCGAGGGTTCTTTGCCAAGCATCTTTGCCGGTGCAGAAAGGGAAACGATTGTCTTTGAGCTAAGTTCGCGATGAATACCGGATTGGTACAATCCTCACACAACACTGCAAACCCCATCAGAAATAGAACAGGGGATAGGCCCAATTCGAGTGGAGACTCATAATTCCCTGCCAAATCTGGGGGTCGTTGGGGGAAACAGCCAGGGAAGATTGGAGATGGGGCAATAATGGGGAAGGGTTTGTCAAGTCGGGGATATGTGCCTCCGCCTCTTGAAAACTTGTAGATTCATAGGGGCAGCATTGGAAGATGAAATTCCATTTATGGAGTAGAAAAATAGAGTAGAGAGTATGGGGGAATAGTAGATGGGCAGAAGTGAGGCTTTCACAGATGCACAGATTCACAGATTCACGGGGTCACGGGAGTGTCACGGGCCTCGGCACGGCAGGAAACCACTTCACATGTTGCGCCCGTGACTTCATCGCATATAATAACAACCTCACCTCTCCTTCTCTTGTGTCTTCTTACCCTTTCATCCTGATCCCTTCGCATTCAATCAACATCATGCCTCTCAAGAAAGGTATGACTGACATGCACCTCCCCCGGTCGCAACCCAACTGCCACAAGCTTCAATAGTTCGCTGCTAATCAACTCCATGACAGACTCTTTCCCTTCCTCAGCTGCGTTTGACGTGATCAACGACACGCTGCAGGCTGATGCTGCTGAACGTAAAGATGCGGTGGACAAGGCCAAGGCTATCGTCGCCTTCAACCTTAAGAACTCCAAGGGCGAGGAGCAGAGTTGGTACCTCGACTTGAAGAACAAGGGCGAGGTTGGGGAAGGTGCCGCCCCTCCTGGTGGCAAGGCTGACGGTAAGTGGAGAATGATATGGCTGGTGCAAATTTTGAAACCATATGGCTGACAAAGTCGTCTCAAAAATCGTAGTCACCCTTACTCTCTCCGATGACGATTTCACTTCTCTCGTCACCGGCAAGGCCAACGCGCAGCGTCTGTTCATGGGTGGCAAGCTTAAAATCAAGGGCAACATTATGAAGGCCACTAAAATGGAGCCTATCCTCAAGAAAGCGCAGGGCAAGGCCAAGTTGTAAATATTTAGATACCCCTCTTCTTTCAAACCAGAAATATGTACATCCCTTGGTTTAAGACCTAAAATCTGTGGTCTATTTGAGCTCATTGATCCTTTCCTGTATTGAGATATATTGATATCATGAGATATTTGTTCCTGGATTAGAACATGACATGGGGTGACCTCCATCCCTACTGACTGGTCACCAACTATAAGAGCCACGTCACGCTCACGGCTACAGAGTAAAACCCGTGCAGTCTAGCTATAACATTCCAACCGTGAGTCGCACAAGAAGAGCTTTTGACTGGTATGCAGGATCCGTCCATACTAAAGGTCTAATGTCATCAGAAACCTGCCATGGAAGAGAAAATACATCCAATTCAAATATCTACGTAGTGAGAATGATGAGGAAAGAGGTGATGGTGACAAAATTTTTTCTTTTAAAAAAAGCTCTGATAGACTCAAAAGGGAGCTATCGAGTACAAAATATCAGTTTCAAAAAAGTAAACCAAAAAAACTAAGTAAGAGAAATGAATAGTGTCTCTAATTAGTAGCAGAATGCACGACAAATGAATGGAAAGCAACAGAGGACAAGGGGAGGAAACCCCGACACTTGAAGTGGATGTCCATAGCTCTGCATGATGCATGTGTTCTGATTTTGGAGTTTCTTATTACTGCTTCTTTTCGGTTTACGTTTGCTGGTACGGTAACGAACAAGCAGTGAATGAAAAGTTTATCATATCGGTCATGTGTTTGGGATTTCTGAGTTCACCTGACAGTATAGTAACCAAGTTCAAATATAGAGACAAATTTGATTACAAGTCGCAGACGTACCCATGGCGAGAGACTCGCCCTTGGTCTAGAACAACGAAGTAATCTGCACCATTCACAGCCTCAATTCGATGTGCAATCGTGATGACAGTTGAAAGCCGAAGCTCCTCTCGGACAATCTGCTGGATCTCTAGAGATGTTTCATGATCAATTGAAGCTGTTGCTTCGTCAAAGATAACGACGGAGCTACGCCTGAGAACTGAACGAGTCAAAGCAATGAGTTGACGTTGACCCTGGCTCAAGTTTTTACCACCAGCCTCAATAGTTGTGTCAAGGCTCCAACCGTGTCGGCCACAGAGACGTGCTAACAAATCAGCACATTGTTGATCAGTGAATTCCTGGGTTGGATCAAGGTTCAACCGAATACTCCCTGGGAAGAGAACAGGATCTTGGGCGACAAAGGTCACCCGTGTGCGCAGTGCCTGGGTATTCACATCGGCGATGTTGATTCCATCGATCGTTATGTGACCCATTTCCGGTTGAATGACTCTGAGAAGCGACACCGCCAAAGTAGACTTGCCACTACCCGTGCGACCAATGATTGCGGTAGTAGAACCCCCGGGAATCTTGAAGGAAACGTCTTTCAACGCGGGATCGAGATGAGGTGCATATCGAATTGTTACATCTTCAAAGGTAATATCACTGCCGTACTTTGGCCACGCCGCAGGAGGGTCAACTGTGCCACATGGCTCCTCTTCAATATGAAGTAACTCATCAACTCGCTCTACTGATACAAAGTCCATCTGTAATTGGCCATACTGCTTGCATAGAGCATGTGTCGAGGAAACGAGGTTGTTCGCAGCGATGAGCACGAATGCCACCAGCCCGGGTGTCGTGTTTGTGTATAGCGCCAGAATTGTAAGACAAAATGTCGAGAAGGCAGACAAGTTCTCGAATCGGTATGTGAGCCATGCTTGTAATGACCAGTAAAAATGATCCATTCCTTGAAACTTATCGACCACTGAGATGACGCGGCTCTGAAAGCGTCCCTCGGCATGAAAAGCACGGACGGTGGTCAAACCATGTAGCAACTCTCCAAAGTTGGAGAGGAGAGGTGAAAGTGATACCATCTCGAGCCTCCGAAGGCTTTGTGAAGTCGGCAAGAAATGGAGGAAGATTGTCACAAATGCCATAGTGAGCGCCAGTGAAAATGCAAGGAAAATTGGAGTCGCTGTGGCAATAACAAGAATAGAAGATATCCAAGTAATGGCGTGGAAGGCAATGGCTTGAAACTGCATGCTGATGTTTCCATCAACCACTCCGATATCAGATGTCAGACGGTTCATCAGTCTTCCTACCGGAGTGATGTCGAAGAATCTGAAGGTAGCATTACTGACTCGGGCCATCACTCGTCGAAACAAAGTCTTGCCAGCGGTGTAAACAATGATCAGCATTATTAATTGGGACACAACCAGTGCGATGGCCTGGAATGATACTATTGCAAAAAAAGCCCAAAGCCAAGGCCGAACATCTTCATTTGGAGGCGGAAGTTTAATCATGGGATTGTTGGGGGAGAGTTGTGTGCCTGCATTTGAAACAGAAATCATCAGTGTATCTTGTGAAAGACCTTTCCACACTGATATGCCGTTATAGGCAACTGGCTTCTGGTCGTAGGCCTCGGCCCATCCTTTCAGAAACCACGATTGTCCAACAGCGGTCAATCGAAAAATAGCTAGCACAAAAACCAGAAGAATCCACCAGCGATATTTTGCGGACTTGATATAGCTCCAATAGACTCGAGATTGAACACCCCACTCGGCGCGATATTCATCCTCAATGAATTTGTCCGGCACTGCTGTTTCTTCATCTTCAATGGTTACTTGTTCACCTCCGGCTTCTGGACTATGCAATCCCAATGCAGGACCAACATCGGATTGCTGAATAATTGCAGGAATCGAAGACTTGCCATAAACCGTGGCATGTCCTTCGTCAATCTGAATAATCTGATCGGCGATGTCGCGAATCAATGCAGTCCGATGCGTGACCAGAACGGTTGTGCGTCCCCGGGTCAAGGGCCCTGACAAGCATTTTCGAACCACGAATTCTGCAGTATTATGATCTAAGGCTGACAATGGATCATCCAGCAAAAGGACGCGAGATGTGCTATATACAGCCCGTGCGAGAGCAACGCGTGCTTTCTGTCCTCCTGAGAGTCCGACACCATTCTCGCCAATGAATGTTAAGTCCCCATGTTTGAATTGAGAGAGATCTGGAAGTAAAGCACATGCCTCAAGTGTCTGTTTGTAACGGTGTTCCTCATAGGGAGCCGAGAAAAGAATGTTCTCTCGAATACTCATACTTTGCAACCAGGGTGTTTGTGCACAGTAGCCCACCATTTCATTGGGAATGTGCGCTGTGCCACCAAGTTTATCAAGCTCTCCTAGAAGAGACTGCAGAAGAGCAGTTTTACCAGCCCCAACCTTTCCGGTCACAACAGTCAGGCCCTTCGGAATTGTCACGTTGATGTCAGTGAGCACGCCTTTCTTTTTTCCTGGCCAGGCAAATGAACAGGACTCTAGTCTGAAAGTTGAATCGTCGATTGAGCCATTGAGTGGAATGCTCGTCTTGTCTGGTTCCATCATGAAATCTTCAATGCGACTCAGGGCGATAGAGGAGTTTATTAGAACTGTGATCAGACCTGGAACTTCTCGAAGGCGGGTCTCAAGCATGGTAAAAAGCTGTAACGCGGGAAAAATAATGTCGATCCGTAGTTCATGGCCTGCTAGCATAGTGTACGCATACAAAGCAACCACGGGGAATGCACCGCTCGTGAACGAATTGACAAATTGGATCAATGTGCTCCACAAGCTGGTGACGATCCGACGGTTCAACTCAGTCTGTCGGGCATCCATGACTTGTTTGAGCCATTGATTTTGCCAACCATACCACCGCAAATGTCGAATTGCTTCCACAAATTGAGAGGTGGTTTGGAGGCGAGTATCGGTTGCAGCTCTTGTGACTCGCTCCCGTCGAAGGAGAATTCGAGTGATCAAGGCATTCAGAACTTGGGCTACCAAGACAGCCAAGATACCAAGAAAACAAGAGGGGCCAAAAAGCACCCAGACGAGAACAACAGCAATAATCAAGCCCAGTGGTTGATCAATTAGTCTGTCTATTTCCCAGAATCGTTGAGCTACATCGTAAACATCGCCCCGGAGAAGGTTGAAAATCTTTCCAAGAGAGGCAGCTTCTTTGGGCTTTGATGGTTTGATTTTGGGCTTTCCAGAGCTTCTGTGGAAAAGGCAGCTCAGGAAACTTGGCTTGGAGGAATGCGCTTCATCTTCCTCTGCCGCTATATTATTATCACTGATATCCTCTTCATCGGTCGGCTTCTGCTGTTCATTTTCTATATGCAAGCCAATAAGATTTTTTCGTGATAGCGCTTTTTCATAGATCATCATAATCATCTCGCCTCGGGATCTCTCATAGCAACGTCTCCCATACCACAGATTCAACACCTGGGACTGAGAAGAAACTAGGCGGATCACCAGTGACAAGATAGCATAAGTCAGTGCGACGCGCTTAGGTTTGCTTGGATCCTGTATAGCTCGAAGGAGTTGTTGCAAGAGAACTGGCGTTGAGAAGTCACAGAGCATTTGGACAATCGCAATCGCTGAGATGATGATAACATCAAGCCCGTTTGCTGTCAACACTCGACTAAGGACGGATCCCCGAATACGGCGAAATTGCTCATGCAGGCGACGATGCTGAAATTCGAATCCTAGAAGCCATACATCTGGCTCGTGAAGCTGTCGTTTGCGACCGATAGACATCAATGGTGCCATCCACGAGACGGTCAGGAATTGCCATAGTCGAAGGTTATCCTCGGGGCTACGAAAGTTGCTGGATGGCGCCTGTCCCACGGCACTGATATCAAACACTGGAAGAGACGATGTCCGAAAGGGCATCATTAAGATTGTCAAGCAAGCCATTAAGGCAGCGCCAGCTGCAATATAGCGAGAGACTGCCTTCGCCTTCATGCCTTCCTCGTCCGCTGTTGATAGCACGGTTTCGACAATGAAGACGAGAACGAAGAAGGCTAGCATAGTTAGCGAGCATGATGTTGGCCGTTTCGCTACTATCGCTATTGCTACTAAGATCTGTGATCTACGTTAGGTGATGAAGCGCATCTAGTTGATTGCCGTCCGACGACGATGAACATGACACTTACCCAGGATGCGATGAGAGCAGTAGCGGAAACGCCGATACTTCGGGGAATGCAATGAGCAATCTCCGCTGCCAACCCGATAAGCGCGAAGCTGAGAAGCAGGACTGTCCATCGTAGAGCTTGTTTCGTCTCTTGGATCACCAAATCCTGTTGATCGCGTTCCTCTGAGATGAACGGAATAGTCCACTTTGGGCGCCACTGTCGAAGCATTGGCCCAAGCCAATGCTGCAGCGAAATAAGCAAAACCACGGCTGCAGGTGCAATGACCAAGTAAGGTTGTGCACAGCGTGACAGCGACGCGTTATCCGGGTCCTGGATTGGTCAGGTCTGCGTGCGGGTAGGGATAGCATTTCAAGGGTGCAGGAGGGGGCGTCTTACCCAAATTTGACAACCATGTCGCCCAGGGTCTTTGGCAAACAGGAATTGATCCATCATGCCATGAAGAAGAAGCCAGCACCAAAGCACTTGGGATTGAGAAATGTCGAGGGTGAGACCGGCGCCTACGAGTTCGTAGACACTGGGGGCCGTTGGAACAATGTTGCTCCGGTGGAACTGGTTGGGTTCCAACGTGCAAACGCGGAGAGCGGAACTGACGTCGACGGAGGAGGAAAGTACACCGTTTGTACCGGCTCTTCAACTTGCTGAGTTCGACTCCTCCCGCTTGCTACACTACGAAAGGGCTATATAACTAACTGTATCAAATCTTTTTTCAAATCATGAGAGCTATCATATAGGCAGATATTGTTGTTGTTGGCTTACAGATAACCAAAAGGCAATTCTAACTTTCGGTTTTATTTCAAGACATACTGTATACCGGTGCATAAAAGCTTCGTATTCAACAGACGTACGTAACCAGCCAACTAAAGCAATGAGACCTGTTTACTTCAAAATATAGCAAAGGCATTTGGCGGGCTGGCGACGCCGCCTACAACCTGTTTTTTTGTTAATGATAATTCGCCGATTTCTTACCCGGAAACACGTTTGCAGCGCAGGCTATAATCATACCTTAAGAGGCATACTGGAGAGGAAGAAGCTATATCGCCCCGTCGCTTTGCAATGCTCAGATAATTTCTCCAAATCGAACATCTCTCCGATTGGGGTTCCCCATCCTGCCAATACCCATTCGTGGACATTGAAATTCGGGTCGGCATGACTGCCTCGGATAGGAGCGCGCTCGAAGCTTGGAGCATCACCGGCCACGGCGGCAAACTGATGCTCCCACAGCCATCGCAGGAGATCCTCGGTTGCTTCTACGCCATTAAAGTCGGGTGAAGGGCGGTGCGCAAGATCCCTCCGCTGCTGGTCGTTGAGTTGATTATAGGCCGCGGTGAACCCGCTTCGGATGAACAAGATGTCACCCTGTCGGAACTCGAGTTGGCGGTCTTTGACAACCTGTTTGATATTTTCAACGGTAATCGGCTCAGATTGGAGGGCTGAGATTGAGATGGAGTTTGAGGAGGCCCAGTCGGCGAAGTCAAGTAGAACGCCCCGGCCGGTGATGCCGCCGTGTTCAGCCACAGCTACAATAGGGAGGGTCGGTTAATACTAGCGGTGACTAAAGAAGCCAACATTCAGGGCCATATTTTACATACTGTGTAGGCCAATCACATCCGAACACTCGATCTCCTCGGTGGTATGTCCATTATAAAAGCGTCTCATTTTCTGGTTGGCTGATCGATGATCGATTTGCCCCGACATTAGTACTGGCTGCAGACGCTTCCAGGGAGGGTTTTGCTTCACCATAATGCCTGAATCCATCCCACTGGGTAGACCCCTGGCTATTGAAGGTGAGAACGTCATCATAAATGCAATTTGGTTTTCGAAGAATGAGCTCCTGCTTAAAGGGATCGCGATTGAAGCTAGGATAGGTGGGCATGCTGAGCGGCCAGTCCAGCGAGATGCGCACCCCCGTTCGAATCTCTTTTGCAGCCTCGACGATGACCTCTGGCGTAAGCAGATTCAACGTACCAAGCTCGTCATCTGGTCCAAATCGACCCCAGGCATTTCCACGCGGACCAGTAGGATCCAGTGGCAATGCCTCGAATGGAATGGCCTTGTTGTTTACAGCTTCTGTCATGGTAAGGTGGTCTGTGAATATTGTATGGGACAGATATGAGAGAAAGCCGGAGACCGGCCGATGCATTATGGGTCCTTTTATAGTGTTCTCAATCGACGGCCTCATCCTCGGGATATCTTTGTTCTCTTCGCCGAGGAGCCGCCCCTCATTTCCTCATTGTACCAGGAAACCCCCCCACACGCCCCCACACCTCCGGATCTCTATCGAGCGGATTCATATCCGGTGTCGGTGTCAGCGCGTTCGCTCTACTGTCTTGACTGTCTTCCATATGGGAGCAGAATTTCTCTCGGACATGTTCTCCAATAGGATTAATAAATGGCCACGGTCTACTCGAGGATAGTACGTCGACTTCCTCTAATTTTCGATTGTGGACTCCCGGGAATAAGAATCATTTGGACATATTAATCAGAAAAATACATATGTTCATGATCAATATGTACTCATAAAGGAAACAGAACCCGAGCAGCGAAAAGCCATATCCGGCTTAAAGAGTGAAATACGCAATCGTGGCAGCGTATGTGGCCAGGTTATCGCTAACAACTGCCAGCGAACTGCCATCCTTGACAATCATATTGGTCGTTCCAACGGTGCTGAGAGTATAAACCACCAGGCCGCTCGTGCTACCCTCGATACTGAAGATCTCACTCTGGCAGTTCTCGGGAGTAGGGAAAGTAGAACAGGTGGTGCTATAGTGATTGAAGAAACTGTACAAGCCTGCCCCGTAGATGACGATGCTGTTACTGTTCAGCACCCGAAGACCGAGGGAATCGCAGTTGCCAGAGAGACAGCTGCTGTAATCTGGGTCCTTGAGGGTGGAGTTGGTCGGGTATGGGCCGTTAGCGGCGTTGGGATTAGGTTGATAGTAGCTGTAAGCGAGATTGTCAGTTACGAATCGAAAGAAAAGGCGAGAGCCAGCGCCAGGTTCAACTGCATGACTCACGGTGTTTCTGTCTGGATGAATCCTGCCACAACTGAGCTAGCTCCAGAAAACTGATACTGATATAGCGAATGATGCTCCACTCCGGTTCCGTATCTGAATGAACGTTAGAGTCTTCGAAGGGTGCCGCAGGCGAGATTGATCTACTTACAGCCAAATATTTTTTCCTTCCACCAGGAGACCACGTCCCGAATAGACAGAGATTTGAGTGTTATCTGCACTATCCAGATCATGGTCTGCTGTCCACAGCCAAACGTTTTCCAGATACACTCCACTGGCAGAGCTTGTAATATGCATGGACATATAGGCAACCTCACACGCTGCTGAAACAGCTGCAGATGTCGGGCACTGGGCCACTTGTTGTGAGGACCCACTGAATCCCCCAATGCGAGTGTGGACATCCCACATGCCTGAGCCCGAATTGGCTGCTAGATTCCACTCAATAAGAACTGCTCCTGGGGTGGAGCCCTGGGTACTGACGATCATGTCGGACCATTCAACTGAGCCAGCCTCTCCCGATTTGCCGATCTGGATGACGGGAATTGGTTTGGAAATACTGGCAAAGGTACTTCCACTGGCCATGATGACCGGGTACGCCTCACCAACGATTCGCGAGCCGGGGGGAACGTAAATAGTTCCCGTGACTTTGTATGTACCCTGGTCGAAGTAGACAATCTTGCCAGAGGAGGCTGCCGTAGTCAATGCCGACTGAATTGCCGATGTATCATCGGTGGAGCCATCACCTTTCGCGCCTGCGCTTCGGATGCTTACAAAAGAAGATGTAGGTGAGGCCGCGTATTGGGGCTTTGTTTTAGTGTAGTATTTTGATGATCCACTGGCAAGCAAAGCACTTGGACGGGTAGCAGCAGTAAAAGTGCCTTGGAAATTGGTGGGCCCATTGGGTGTATACTTGTGGCCTTGGCCCCACGCCGCAATTGTCGTGGTGCCAGAAGAACCAGCAAGAACGGTACCACTCGGTCCCTTGACCGCGACGGGGACATTGTCAAGGGCGATGTTCTCCAAAATGAGACTACCGTTGCTGAAGGTCGAACTCTTCCACGCAGTATCAATGAAGGTAGAGCAATCCACAATGGAACTGTCGAGGACAGTTACGGAGCCGACGAGCTGGTTCCCAGCTCCTCCATTACTGATCGAGACAGCCGTTGTGCAGTTAGTCAAGGTCAAGCCTTGATAGGTCCAGCCCCAATTCCAGATCTGGGAGATGCCAGTCACTGCATCTGAGATATCGAGGTTACGCATGGTAAACTGCTGGTTGCCAATGTTGGCGCCATAGAGACCGCCGGTAATCGTAATATCCGTCAAGAAGCCACCAGAGCCTATATGTAGAATCAGTGACCATCCATATAGGAATGTCCATTACTCGTCTTACCATTCTCAATGAAAAGCCCTTGATGCTGGGTTCCGGAAGCAGAGCTCATCGCGATCTGGACGTTTTGGATGCTGGTCGCCTGTCCCGTTGGCCAGTGAATACCAGTGGCTGCCGAGCTCGCCGGGATCGAAGTCAAGTCCAGTTTCAGGTTACGGATCTGCCGAAAAAATACGTTTGTCGAGCCCCAGCCCTGATTTCCATCGCTCTGATATTGGTCTCCATCAATCAATCCCAGCCCTGAGAACCCGGAGGTTGCTTTGATGACCGGGATCGAGTTCGGATTTCCAATCAACTGGGTGAAATAATAGTCGATGATCGGGGTTGAGATAAGGTAGGTTCCGGCAGGGAAGTATACGATGGCCGGGGTTGTGGTGGAGGACTGGCGACTGGATGGACTATAGCGGCCACCAGCACTGATCGCAGAATTGATGGCCGCCGTGTCGTCGGTCACACCGTCTCCTATATCGCGTGTCAATCACTTCGTGACGAATGAAACACCCACGGGTGAATCTTACCTTTGGCACCATAGTCCTTAACATTGCGAAACACGGTATAGCTCGATGGATTCGAGTTGAATGCGGCCAGCCCTTGATGGGTAATGCCTGCCAGCCAGTACGAAGCGTCTGCTGTTGCCGCCGCCACGGCATGTAGATTCGCTGCCACGGTTTGCTCGCTCAGCACGCCCGAGGCGCTTCCCTCAGGACCATCATAGTCTAAGTACTCAGCCAGGGGCTTCATAGCCTCACTCACCAGCTCATCCACTTGTGGGATGTCCAGCAGCTGGGCATGTGTGCCCGCTACCAGAGAGAGACATGCAAGCAGTGAAGCGAAATGCATCTTTGCATCCGAATGCCAGTTGACGTCGGTGTGGACCAGCCTGACATTGTGGACACGCGGTGTTTCTTATAGTTCCCTCGCACCATGCAACAGGATGGATTCAAATCCATAGAATGCATGGAACCCGCATGACAATTGGGAAGGGTGGAGCCTCCAGCTTCCCCGTCCCTTTTTTTAAAAAAAAAAAAAAAAAAAAAAAAACTTTTCTTTTGTTTTCTTCTTAGGGCATGGGCGACGCTTAGCGTGAAGAAAATCCCACCCCCGGATACCACTTGAGACGGGGAAATAGATTGCGAATGACCATCATCTTTAGGACTAGCTCGTCCGGGTTGTATTCTTTGAAGTCCACTTTCATCAAGTGTCGCCAACTGTCACGCTGGCCGGGCCTCCTGATCGAAGCCCTTATTAAGAATGGGAATCACCCATGCCGATCGGGCCCCACGGGGATCTTGTCCCCTGTCGATACAGGGATCCCGTCTGCGGGCCAATCGGGGCCTCCAGCACGACCACCTCAGCCAGTACCGAAAGAACAAATAGGAAAGTCGCCCCGGGGGGGCACGCATCGCAAAACTGGAATGTGACTAGCTGCAGCAAATATTGCCGCCACCGATGGGGGAAAATGTGACTCAGGGGTCATGGCTGATGCGACTAGACTCGAGGGCAACAGGGGCCCAGGAATCTGGAGATTCCTGTTTCGTGTTCCCCCGAACGGCTGAGAAGGACTACGAGAGGTTTTCGAGCGTAGTGCCCATGTCTGGATACCACGATAGAATGACACTTGAAGACGGGAAGTGCAAGTACATCTACAGTGGGGGTACCGCGATACATATGGGTTCGGTAATGCCCAAGTGGGGTTTATCGGGAAGAAAAAGAAAATAAGCTCGAGATTATTGGTAATGCCGAAGTGTGATCGTATGGTTCAAGGCAATTTCGCTAGATGGCATGTAGACTGTAGACATAGTTGACATATGAAGTATACCGAAGCTAGGACCAATAATAGGTAGACACACCCATGTATCATTATGCGCCATGTAGCCCCGTCTTCTGTAGAACAACATTTATGAGAGGTGGCAGGTGAGAATCGACCAAATCAAGCACAGCCCATCAAAGCAGATTGCTTCAGACTCTTGAGCAGACACTGAGCAGACAGGGTCCTCCTCCATCCGCCCCCCCCCCCCAAAGTCTTCAAGGGTCCAAGGGAGGTACGAAATGCTCCGTGCACGGGATCCCCGTCGCGGGTTTAAGACGGACTTTTGGACTTTGGTTGCCAGCTGGCGACGTAATGCCAGCACTTTTCAGCAGCCAGGCGTGTTGGACCTTGTCCTGAAGACGGAGCTCTCCAAACAACCTCTGGGGAAATCCATCAAAGAGACATTGTGGCCTGAAAGGCTTTGAAGCCTTTCAAGAGAAGCCCATGACGAACAAACAATAAGCAGTTGGCGCGTCATGCCAAGATCCACGTGACCTCATTTTTCTGCTGTGGTGTGGCCTCCGCGAGAGTCTCCGCGACCACCAAAAAAAATAATCCCCAGGGTCATCCTCAATCCTCCCATCCCGCCATCCTCCTTACAGAGCGTTTCTCGATCGAGAGGCCGCTTTCCTTCTTTCCTCATCCATTTCGACCCTGGTGAGGCTTTGGCGAAGCTAGCTCGCGCGACGGGTCGCGAACTTGGTCGTGTCACGGAACGAGGGACTACCAACCACGATCATCGAGTCGCCCGGAGAACACTTCTCTTTCTCTTTCCAAACGACAAAAAAACGGACTGAGTACCTCCCGAGCCAGTCTTTTCAATATCTCGAATCCTATATTTCGGACGGCGCCGGCGCGTAATCCTCTCCCTGCGACAGGCAACTCGAGCGCTCTCCGGTCATCGAAATCTGGGAGCAAACCGAGTCCAACCATCAGCCAATCTCCCTTGCTCCTTCAAGCAGCCTTGTCGTACATGATCCAAGGTCTATATCACTGCCAGTGATTGGTTTTTGCAAGGGGTGTCGAAATCGTTGCGCGGGAACGTGAATCCGGGAACCGTGTGCGCACACACAAGGGACATTCGTACATCTTAGCATGTCAAAACGTTCGGCTCAAGGTCCTGACGGGTCCAGAGAAACCGAGAGGGAATTTTCCATGGCGAGTACACCTGAAGAAGCGCCCCAACGGGCGACTGCCGCTCAGATGGCCAGCAGAAAGTAAGTTTTGCCTTGATTTTTGGGTCATAAGTTGTCCTTGCAGGGGTTTGCAGAGGTCTGCAAATACGAGAAGGGGGCATTTCGCAGCAATGAGAGCTCTGAGATCGATCAAATTTCTCCCATGCATCATGAGACTCGGGCATGGAGAAGGTACCTACTTGATCTAGGGATCTGAAGTATGGCGGGGGCCGCTCATGCTACTTTTGCCGTCGCATGGTCGATTCTCGACACATGTGCTGCAGATGGTGAATCGGTTGATCTCAGACAAAGCATTGCCTCTCATCATTGCCTCGGTCTCTCTTGTCTTTGACCCTTTTGCATTGCCGGCCCAGAAATACCTGCTCCCCCATCCCCTTCCTGCAACCTCCTACACATTTCTCTCTGCTTTGAAATTCGTGAACCAAAATTTAGAGCCGTCGCTGACCAAGAAACGCTCCATGGTGTAAAGAATCAAGGAGATCCGCAAACGTCCCCGGGGAACAACTCCAACAGACCAGCCCAACACCGGTGCCGGTGCCGGTGCCTTCTCGCAGCTCTCTGCTGCCCCTACTTTCTCCAGTTCGAGTTTTTCTGTCCCGTCAAATCCATCCATCGGGTTCTCTTTTGGCCAAAGTCAAAGCTTCCCAGGGGCCAGCTCCGCCCCCAGCCAGCCCGCCCAGAGTAGCTCGACTCCATTTTCTTTCGGTAGTGGGAGTAATGGAACTAGTGCTGGCTTCAACTTCTCTGCTGGTGGCGGGTTTTCTACTCCATCCTCCAATCCCTTCGCCGCAAGCTCCTTCGGCGCTGCAAACACATCTACTCCCAGTACGGCCCCTGTCAGTTTTGGTGGGTTTGGAAACCAAGCTTCGTCGCAGTCATCGCAGCCAACCTTCTCATCAGGGCTGTTTGGAGCCCCGCAAAATACAACTAGCTCAGTAGGCGCGGGCGTTTTTGGCCAGTCGATGGCTCCAAACACATCTGCGAACCCAGTTGCCGATTCCATGCAAACCTCTCCTGACAACAAACCCAAGGGTCCTTTCGCTGCCACTTCACCGTCCTTGCCTAGCAAGAACTTATTTGGTAGCGCTGATGCCTCATCAAATTTGTTTTCACCGAAACCTGCTACCCAATCTAGCAATCCATTTGGCAACCTGAGTGTGCCTTCTGCCTCAGATAAACCTTCAGGCAACAAGGCAGAAGGCGATGCTGCTAAGCCAGCTCCTGTCTTTGGACAGGCGACTGCGGCAGTCACACCAGCGCAGCCTTTCGGCTCTCTTTTCGGAGCTGCCTCGGCTTCCTCGACTTCAGACCCTCAGAAGGCGACCTCACAGCCTGCAACAAACAACCTCTTTGCACCTAAGACAGCCACAGGCAACACTTCCTCCGGAAACCTTTTCATGTCAACTGCAGCTACATCGCAGCCTGCTAAGGCCGACGCCGCTCCATCTACTACAAATAACATCTTCTCCCCAAAGCCTTCCGGGGGAATACCAGATGGCAACAATTTGTTCGCTCCCAAATCAACCGATCAGAGTTCGACCTCCAATCCTTTCGCTCCTAAGCCCACCTCGGAAGAAGCTGCTGCTGCTTCAACCTCTCAGCCGTTCGGGTCTCTGTTCGGAGCTACAGGCTCTCAACCATTCAACAGTCTCTCTACCTCAAAAGCCGCCACGGAGCAACCTGTGGTCAACAACATCTTTGCTTCGAAGTCTACATCAGAGAAGGGCTCTGACAACACTGCAAGCAGTCAACCTTTTGCCTCCTTGTTTGGTGCTGCTTCTGCATCTTCAAAGCCTGTGGCCTCGGAAAATACTCACTCATCTTCAACACCTCAGAACCTTTTTGCGCCGAAGTCCACAGCAGACCAGAGTGCCAGCACGACTTCTGAACCTTCACCGTTCAAGGGCCTTTTCGGCGCCACATCAAACCCTCCCAAGCCTGTTGAATCTGAGAAGGCTCCTAGCCTCTTTGCCCCCAAGCCTGTTGCAGAACAGACCACAGAGAAGCCAACTCAGGAACAGCCTTTCAAAAGTCTCTTCGGATCTTCTTCGCCCAGCAAGCCTTCTGATCCTTTCAAAGTCCAGTCTAGCCCAGCTACAGCCCAGAATCTATTCACTCCGAAGCCTGTTGTAGAGCAGCCATCGGCTACTTCCTCGAATCCGTTTTCCGGTCTGCTTGCCGGCAAGCCTGCAGCTCCGCAGCTCAACTCCGTCAAGCCTTCTGTCTCTTCCTCTCCCCAGAAATCGCTGGCGACCTCTGAAATGTCCAAGCCCGACTCTTCCGACAATGTCCTCAGCAAGGAAGTGCGGGACGAAGCTGATTTGCTTTGGGTTGTCTCCAGCTTGGACAAACAGTTCAAGAAACAAGTTCTCAGTTATGAGCCCGGTATCGACAGTTTCGATACTTTGATCATGTTTTATCTCAAGGTTCGCAACCATATTGGTGCTCCGGTTAAGGGCTCAAAGAAATTCTTCCGGTCCCAATACGCCACATCGGCTGATAAGGACGCTGAAAAATCAGTGGAAACTAATGGTCCGAACGGTACTGCCACTTCAAGTTTGTTTGCGAAATCCTTTTCCTCCTCGGGTTCCGTCCCACCCAAGCCTACTGGCATTGTATCCGAGCCTAAGAGCTCGGCAGGAGAGAACACCTCTGCAAAGCCAGCTGCGACCACCACTTCTACACCCGCTGCCCCCAAATTGGCTGGAAATATGTTTGCCCAGTCGTCCCAAGGTCCAACTTCCGCTCCCGCTCCCGCCATTCCCAAGTTCGGAAATGGCGCAGCTCCTGTGGACTTCATGGCCCAGTTCAAGAAGAAGGCCGAGGACACTATGGCCGAGGAGAAAGCCAAGCGAAAAGCCGAAGATTTTGACTCCGATGAGGATGACGAGGCGGAGTGGGAGCGCCGTGACGCTGAACAGCAGCGTGAGAAGCGTGCAAAGGTTGAGGCTGGTAGCAAGAAGAAGTCTGTCTTCAGGAATGGAAAATTCGAGTGGGTTGATGCTGATGAATCTGACTCTGCCGCTGCTGCTCCCAAACCTTCTGAGAATCCTTCCGCGACCACTCTGTTTCCTCCTTCCCAGAATCTTGCGGTGAATGCACCTTCTCCTACTTCTTCTGCGAGCTCCATCTTTGATTCATACAGCCGGCCGCTGCCCGCTTCTGAGAACATCTTCGGTCGTCTCTCAGCTACTCCCCAGCCCATTGATGATTCCAAGGAGAGTGGTGAATCGGATGACGAGGACAAGCCAACTCTCAAGCGCAGAAACCTGGATAGCAATAGCAGCGATGAAGGCGATTTCGGCTCTGCTCTGCGCAACTCGAAGCCTTCTAAACCTTCCGATAATGCAGACATCACGAAATCCAGTCTGGACACACCTTCTGCTGCACCTACCCCTGGTGGTCGCAGCCTCTTTGATCGCATTCAGTCTCCTACACCCCCTCCTCAGAAGGAAGGCGCCGGGTCTCTTTCAAATCTTTTCGGCTCCAGCACGGCGCAGAAGGAGCCTAGTTCTACTGCTTCAAGCATCTTTGGCACCCCCACGACTCAGAAGGACTCGTCTCAGAAGGAGCCTACGACCTCTACCTCTTCCCTGTTTGCATCGAGCTTTGGTCAAAGCACCTCTACCCCGGCTGACAACACCTGGAAGCCCAACACACCGATCAAGTTCTCTGCTGACCCAACCCCTGCTCCCACATCCGTCCTTACCTCTACCCAGGCGTCCAGCCAGGCTTCCAACGCCGACAACGCCACTTCTGGTGAGGCCACGCCTGACGGGGAGACTGCGCCAGGTGCGATCTATGATATGTCCCAGGCCAACGCTGGCGAAGAGGAAGAGGTTGTTGTATTCGAGGGTCGCGGCCGTGCCTTTAAGCTGGCCACGGGCTGGGCCTCCCAGGGCACGGGCGCTCTCCGTCTGCTCAGACACCCTGAGACCGGCCGCGCTCGCATTATCCTCCGAGCCGATGGCAATGGCAATTTGATTCTGAACTCCCTTCTCAAGAAGGATTTCGATTATGCTCGTCAGAACAACAGCGTCCAGTTCATGGTCCCTCAGTCTGACGGGAAGCTAGAGCACTGGGCCGTCCGTGTTAACGCCCAGACGATCGAGCAGCTGCACAGCAAGATTCAAGAGATTAAGAATTAGGTAGAGTATGAAACCGACATCGCGGAAATCATGATCGATGAGGTGTTTCTCACAACCAGCTTGAACGAGTGGCCTTAGGGCGAGCATCGTGAGAGGATTGTTTTTTTTTTCTTTTCCCATTTATTGATTGTACGATATCAAAGTCGGATGGAGTTTTTACATGTTTCGTGTTCTCAATTGCATTTTTTTCACCAACATACAACCTACCATTCGGCGAGAATATGCATGCATCTTTAGGCCTGGTTTTCGAAATGAAGATCTTTGCCGGTGATTCAAAAAAATAGCGTTCCTGAGTTATAAAGTGCGTAGATCCGATATTTTCGATGTAGATTCAATAATCCCCGTATACTCTCGAGATGTCTCGGCTTCCAACCATTTTTGGCACATGGGATTGAATTCCGCTTACCTGGGCCCCAAGAAATTGAAGCTATGCGAGACGACGTGGAACTACAAGGAATTAACCTACTACGGAACCAAGCAAGTGGTGGTGCAAGAAGTGATTTTTATTTTTGAAAGCCCCGACCGAACCCCAAGTGTAACATTGGAATCATAGAAGCAGATAAAACACCGACGAGATTTTCAAAAACTCATATTTACGCGTCATCGACGGTAGCGGTGTGCAGACCCTTGGGGTTCTTGACGTTGACAGCCTGGACGTGGGAGTACAGACGCTCCTTGGCACCCTCCTCGTCGTTACGCTTGCGGGAGATGCGGACACGGAGACGGAAGGGAACGCCCTTGATACCGGCCTCCCAGACCTTCTTGTTCAGAGCGGGGTCGAGGCGGACGTCCTTGGTGCCCTATTGCAGACAAAAAGACGCACATATTAGCCATTTACCCAGAAGGGACTAATACACGCACATAGCGCGATGCAGGAAAGAGACGGAGCAACTTACCATGGCCTGCTCGGCAAAGGCGCGGATCTCCTTGATGGCACGAGGAGCACGCTTCTTGAAGCTGACACCGTGGCACTATAACCCAAAAGAAGGTTGCAATTAGTCTTCCGTCCGAATGCCATCTGATAGAGAGCGGGGTCTCTGCGATGTTCTGGTTCGGCCATAGAGGTGGACTTCATAAAACTAATTCTTCTTCTTTTGTCATTCCCACTGGCCAATCTCTCTACGGTATGTGGAGAGCTTGACCAGGAGGGCCTGATTATCATCGAAACGACAACCTGACACCGAGGGTGATCGGGTGTGTGGTTGGAGGTGGTTGAAGGGCATTCTGTGAAGTCGAGTCCCTTTCTCGCACCCGTGTGCGCACACACACTGTATTCCTCGTAGAAGAACCTCCGTGTTTCAGGAGAGTGTGTTCTCTGTCCAATTGTGCCTCCACAGATTCTCACAGAATCGAATTCTCGCAGGTAAGGGGGATCTCTCGAGAGACTTTTGGGGGGATTTTTTCAACATACACGCTTGTGGAGGTTGATGGTGTACTCGCGGGACACCACATCGGCGATGGCCGAGCGGGTCTTCTTGCCGGTGTTGACGTTGGACATCTCTGAAAACTGATGTTAGGAAGCGATTCGGAAACTTTGTGCTAGACAGAGAGGTAGACTGACTGTTGGGTTGGTCGGCGACTGTGGGCGGAAGTTGTCGATGGGGGAAAATCGAATTTGTGGCCCGCGAGTGAGTGTGGCTCGCTTATCGCCCGCACGGCCCGTGATTGGCAGCGGGTCACGTGTGTATTCGAATGATGTTCCGTTTTTCATGCCTTAGGTGTCAATGAGTCTCCTTTCTCATTGAGAGTAGCCAACAAATTAACTTACCTTAGTAGTCGTGTTATTGTATGCACTTGTGACCATTTACCGGGTTGAGCCAGTTGGTTATTTGAGCTTCTATTCCCCAATGTTCGGGACAATCTGGATGTATATACAGGCCAGTAGAAGGATTTCTATCCTTTCAAAAAGATTATCTTTCTTGATTCCTACCCAACAATCTAACAATTTAGTGTAACCCGCCCAAGCTCGCTTTCTATTTTGAGCCTTCACCACTCACGTCAGGATACACATCAAATCGTCGCTGGTTGTAAATAGGAATTCCTTTGCGAGTGCTAACAATGGTATCATTATCCAGGTCAGCGTAGATAATTGTCTCTTTCTCCTCCGCTTCGCTCAGAATCTTCGCGCTTGGGTCCGCAATCAGGCTGTGACCATAGGCATGGTAGGTCGCCTCCATATCTCGAGATGGACTGCACAGCGCCACATAAGTTTGATTGTCAACGGCACGGGCACGGCCCAAAAGCGACCAGTGCAGGGGCCCAGTGGTGGTGTTGAAGGCTCCCGGATAGACGAGCAAAAATGCGCCCTTACGAGCGGCGATCATCGCAGACTCCGGGAAACGAATATCATAGCAGATAGCGAGACCAATTTTGCCATATTCTGGGAGATCAATAACCGTCAATTCGTTGCCGGGCGACAGCACATCGCTCTCCTTGAACTTGATCTTCCCCGGGATGTCGATGTCAAACAGGTGAGTCTTGCGGTGTGTGCCAATCAGAGAGCCAGATGGGGAAAAGACCAGCGAGGTATTGTAGTATTTATTGGTGCTGGGCTCCAGCTCTGGGATACTGCCACCAACAAGATATGCATTCGCCTCGGCGGCGATCGCCGACAGGGCATGAAATGAGGGCGACTGGTCCTTCGTGGGCGGAGAAGGGTGAAGGGTTTCGGCAAATTTCGGGAAGTATTGCGTGCCATAGGGGGAATTAAAGCATTCTGGGAGGATAATCAGGCGTGCGCCAGCTTGCGCAGCCTCGAGGACCTTGCTCCGGGCGTGGGAGAGATTAATAGCCTTGTCGGCGCCTATCGGTCGGTCAGCTGAGAAGGGCAAATCCGGGAGATGGCGGTGTCATTTACCTGAGGCCAGCTGTACTAAAGCTAGCTTCAAGGGCTTCTTCAAAAATGCAGCCATGGTGGTTGTGCTAGTGAATTGGGTCAGAAGGAAAGAACGCGGAGCAAACAGAGACTCCCGCTCGAAAGTCCGAGTTGCGGGGGGGGTTGCGCACTGATAAGGGCGCGGTCTCCGGTGTTGACCGTTGGGGTCATTTGTACTCCGATTCGCCCAGAGGAATTGGAGAAGGTATGAGCACCACCATTACAATGGGGGGTATTTTTTCGGTGACTTGCGGAACATTGCCCAGATGGGTTGAAAGTGAGACTCGCAGACAAATCATTGACTCCTATTGGGATCTGTTCCCTCTTGGCAATGACATATATATAATACGTGCACAGATGTATATGCAGTATACCTATTGGCCACGGGATGGAAGCTTGCGAGTCTGGACTGCCGAAATGATTAGCTGACCTAATCGTCTTAGTATCATCATCACGATACAGTCTCAGTAATTACCTGAAGATCTCAAGTAATGCTTTCGAAGGATAGATAGTAGATCAGTTGCAGCGTGTCCCCAGATTTGGCGGATCAGTTGCAGGGAGGTAGACTACGAGGACTGTTAGGTATCACGCAAGGAAACATTGATATTCAATCATTTAGACCGACTTTCATATCAAAAATTCTTCAATCGGTCGTATATAGGAGGAAATTCTAGCTATTTCTCCACATTAAAACATTGCAAATAGCACCACATAATTTTTCCTACGATCAGTGCGTCGGAAACTATTCGGTGTTAGAAAATATAGAGACGTCCACAAACCTGGGCCTCAATCGCCGCACAGATCTTCTTTGTGCTGTCATACCATGCCTGACTGTCTGAATTTTTGGTTGTAATCTCTGAGATGTCCGAACCGGTATAATTAAAAGCCTTCTTGAGCAGTGGTTGAAAGATTGCGACTTGCCGGATGCATTTCTTCGAAGGGATGGCAGGGTTTTATTTTATCAAAGACTTTGGAAATTTGAAGTATCAGGAGGAAGAGTCAATGCTGAAATGTATAGAAAAAAAATTTCTGATAGTACCCAAAATAGGAACCGAGAAGGGCCTTAAATAGTAGAATCGGCAGTATGAAAAACATATCGCAAAATACAGAGAAGGGCTTCTGATAAGTTGGACTGTCCAAGTCTTTAACCGCTTTTCGGTGTTTGAGGAAAATGAAATCGAAAGACCGTCACCACGAAAGATGCTTGGAGACCGTACTATCTATTGAACATCCTACCCGCCGCCAGGGGTTGGAAATCCTAGGGTTTGTGATTTTGGAGAAGCTCGCTTTGGGGCCGAGACCTTCGAGGGGGGTATTATGCCAAGAAAATACCGCGCCCCCGAAGTCATAGTGGGACTCTAAGGTGGATATCTGGGTTATAGCTATGGTCGTAAGTGACTACTCATAACTTACCCTTAAAAAAGATAGACTAACAGTGATATAGGCTTGGGATATAGTCCATCCTCATACCTTGAATAGAGCGAAAACCAAATGGCTCTTTCGACGAGGGTGTATGCATTGCCGAGCTTGTTGCTTTACTCGGTTTCCCTTCACGAGAATTTTGGCAGCGGACACCAGCCAGCTCCCTCTTTTGGGACACTTATGGAAAATGGACAGATCTAGTTTCAATCCCCGACAGATATTTTGAGGATCTAGCCGGTGAGATCAAAGGCGAGGACGTAGAGTGCTTTTTGCGATGGATACGATTGGCCCTACAGTGGGACCCCGAAGACCGCCCTACAGGTATGGAGCTTTTACTTGATCCATGGCTGATGGAAGGTCTCAGTATTGAACCAAAGTAAAGAGGTCAACCCAGGATAAGAGACGTGATTCTGATATTACTCATTTTTAATCATCATACCTCCTGGCGCTCAAAATGTATTCTCTCCTTTGGAACCTGTCCCCTGATAAACTTCTTTTCAGCCAAATATACTTCCATCTTCGAAAATCTTTGATTTCAGGAGGCAGAGGACACACGGGGAATATTCGGCATCTGTCAACCGACCCTCTCCTCCTCTCATTTCGCCACACCGTTTGTGCATGTATACTTCGAAGAAGTGAGCACAGGCATTTTTGCACGAGTTCAGTTTTCTCTTTTGAGATATTCAAATCCGTATATGCTTTGTCCTGGCCGGGTTCAAAGTGGTATGGAATGGTATTCCTCGTAGAGGGGGGTAAGTGGCATGTACTCCGTCGACGCCGCCACTAGCCTCCGGTTTCCGCCCCCAGCCTCGCAGGCAAGTGATGCTTCACCGAGCTCCAACGAGACCACAGGCTGTGGCGTATGTATGCTACGGTGGGATGGATCCGATGCAGGGAACAAAAAGTCTTTGCAGGAACTTACGGCGGAGATCTTCAAGTCGACCAGGGGTAAAAGGTTGTGAATACTGCAAGAGGTAGTCATAGATACTTCGTGTCGTGGTCTGGATCTCTCGTATTTCGAAATACTTCCACTCCAACCGAACTGTATTACGGGCTAGGATGCCTTATAAAATGTTATATAGCATCAATAATCATATTGGCCAAGTTCAACGAAGCCCGAAATTCAAGGATAAAAAGCGTCTGCGTCAAAGCGACTACAGTGAATCGAGCGAAAAACAACGACTGGGCGCAGATCACGTGGTGTTGCCTCCCTTCAACCGCTGGTCGACGGTTTAGATTTTTCATTCTGGGGCAAATCGCAAGTCGCTGGGAATTTCTCGGAGGGATTTACCTATTTACATGCGCCCTGCCTAGATCCGCGCTGGTAGACTTCGTCTCGCCGCGGAATCGGGCGCCAACTAACAATTCCAACGATCTTGAGCCTCACCTTCCCCCTCAACATCGAGTCCTCGAGTCCAGTGCTTTTACCACAATATGTTTGAGGACTTCTCCTTCTCGTCGCCTTCATCGGGGCCCACTCGCCTGGCCGTTGATGCGGACGAGCGGCTGATGGTCGACTGTGATAGCACTATGATATCCCCCTTGTCGTCGCGGTGCCCCTCGCCGCAATCGCACCGATTTCGCACGCTGTCCCGCCGCCAGAGCAGCTATTTTCGCTCCCAGCAACCGCCTCCCACTTCGGTGCCCTTTCCGTACGAGTCGAAGCGTCTCTCGATCTCAACATTGACGCAGAAGTTGCATGAACACACTCTCCAGAGCCCCATCGGGCGCAACGAGACTCCTGACTCCCGGCGGTTACGGCACGACCGGACCCGGCTACCAGGCCGATACTCAGGCTATGTCCTAACGCCCCCCGACACAGATCACGACGAGGATGGACACTTTGACTCCTCGCCTTCGCTCTGCTCGAATCCAAGCCCAACCTCTATCCCTCCCGATTTCCCCTCCCTACCGAACCCGACACTCAACCCCCCAGATCACTTCAATGTGCGCATGCAGCGGCAGCACATCTCTCAGTTGCAATGCCACGAAGGAGACATCGATTCCATTCGGCGCACTGTGCTTGAAGAAGATTCCCCGTACCCAGATACCCTCCGTGAAGACGATTGCCACCCGAGTTCGCTTCCGCCGCGGTCCTCGCCCCGTCGGAGGGCAGCAACCTTGCACCGAAGTCGATTCGGACCCCCGGATGTTTTGGCAAGCGAGACCCGCGGGCGGCGCAGGAGCAGCTCGGGTGCGATGCAATCCCACCGAATAGAGAAAAGCCACCACCATGCCTATTCAGGACGGGATGCACGCGGCGACCATGGTCTTCGAAGAAAGAGCATAGTGAGCGCAGCGCTCGCGTCTGTCGTGGAACGGCCTTGATCCCTTGTGCATTTTATTTATACTTCATCTTCTCTGTATATACTTGAGATTGATACCCGTTTTTGATAGAATACTCTTTTTTACCTTCTATTATTTTTTCATCCAATCATAAAGAGATTCAAAAACTACCTCGAGCCTCTTCGTGTCCAATAATTTATGCTCCAAGCCCTTCAAACCAAGCTACGGAGGTACGTAGTCTCGTTAGAATTAAAGCAGTGATTGAGAAGCTGACGGGGTGGATCAGCAGTAAATGACAGCCCCCCCCTGGGGCCGGCCTGTCTTAGTTGTTTCCCCTCTCGTCCAACGTCACCTTGTGCAGCATTGCAGCATCACGACCCGGTTCGAACTCGCCCACCAAACATCCAGCCAATGTCTTCCGGCCAACATGGTTCGCACCGTGGGGGCTCTCGTGTAGCTCCCTATGTCTTTGGCATCCAGACACTCCCCCTGGTGGCCAGCGGGGTGTATACATTATTATGGCCCGCAGCCGCGGCCGGGCTTCCCAACTCACCATTACAAGGCCTAAGTAATGGAACTATCCAGGCGCTCAGGTAAGCGTTGTTGAGAGAAAAGACTCAGCAAGCTGCGCTAATAACCGGCAGCCTAACATCCCTCTCCTTGGGGTCATTCTACGCAATCGCCGCGTGCCAAAACAACACTCCAATGATGATGGCCGCCATTCCGGGCCGGCTTTTGGCGATGGTTGTGTTTTATCGCAGTGGGGGTGGCTGGAAAAATGTCGCCCCATTCGAGGGGCTCATGGGCTTATTTACGGCCTTCGGGCTTTATTGGGACTGGTACACTGCTCGACCAGCAGAAGAAGAAGAAAAACAAGAGTGAAAGGCCTGACGGCATAATGGAACAATTGAGGAGACGAATTTACATGCAATTCATCAGGGCTTCCAAAGATTTAACTCCCAAGCTTCTACGACATGGTTTACTTATCAATCAATCGTTTGAATATGAAAATTTGTTGTATAGGTGTGATCCTCAGATAAATACCTGTGATTTCGGTCAAGAGTCCCAGACTCCCCCCCCCCCCCCCAAAAAGTGGATATAAAAATATGAAAAGTACAAGTGAGAAGTGTAAAACAAGGAGAACCCTTGACGACAAAAGAAAAAGAGCAAGGTAGATGCGCCAATATCCAGATCCCAATCCATACCCATCGTCACGCGTATCATAAATCCGGTCTTTTCACATCATAACAAAGGCACAAAACAAAAAGCAGGTGGTCGAGGATCGCTTCAGTTCCCAGAGCGCCAGCTGAAAAACTTCCGCAGCTTCTTCTTCTGGAGAGACGGTTGCTTTCGATCGTTCTTCCGCAAAAGCCCATCCCCAGCGCTCGAGCCCGAGAGCGACACCGAGCTTCCAAACCTCCGCTGCAAGTCATCGAGCGCGCGTGCAGGATGCCCGCGGAGGCCCATGGTATCGGCATTGGCAGCCGCCAGAACTGACTGGACATGAGGATCAAAATAGATGGGGTCATAGGGGTCGAAGTGCTGCGCGTAGCCGGGAGACATAGTGTTGGCGTAGTAGGTGTCATAGGGTGATGGGGGTGGCGAGGTGGAGGATGATGATGGGGGAGCTCGAGGAAGATGCCGCGGTCACGCTCATCAACCCTCGCCCATTCCCCATTGGCATAGACTGGGGAGCCGGGCTCGCCGATATCACTTCCCTCGGAGTAGAAGGTCGGTTGCGAGAACGAGGAAGGCTGGGGAGATTGGGCCACCTGGGGCTCCGGGTGGTCAAGGTCCGGCTCCTGTTCTGTTTCTTCTAAGCGCTCAGAGATAGAAGCCATCCGTTCGATTGGCGGGTCGCCAACTAGATCATAGTAATTTTGGTTATCGTGGATGTCGGTTTCAACTTGGCGATCTTGGGCCCAGTAATCATGGTCATGAAGAGAGTAGTCAGAGAGCGAACGGACTCGGTCGTGCACACCAGGTGACGAGGAGGGAATATCGGCTGTTTGCCGCTTAGGTGTAGAGCATCCCGTAGAGATAGAAGTAGTATACAGAGATGGGGTGGAGTAATGGGATGGCAAAGAGGCATCGGTGAACTGAGAGAGAGAAACTCTATCGAGGCCCGAGTCCGTCAAAGAGTAAGGATTGGTGGAGACGATAGACTCTCGATGGGGATCCATCGACATGACTGAGCAGCTATCGACATCTTCGATGTAAGAAACGATGCGTGCAACATCCAAAGACTTTCGCGGGTTCAAGATCTCGAAAGAGGTCCCTCCATGAGAGATGGTGGCAACGGCCTGCGTATTGGCCAGCATCGGACCTGAGGCTTGGTGGCGGGATAGAGATGAAGATTGTTGAGTTTCACTCTGAGCTTGGATGGTGTTCTGCTGGAGTTTCTCACGAAACGTGTTCTAGAAAAGAAAGGTAAGTCGTATGTTTAAAGGAAAGCAGGGGGAAAGGACAGTTGTTTATCACTGTCTCAGAGTACCTACCAATCGCTTCCTGTTTGGTCTCGGACGTGTCGCATTTTCTGAGACAAGATGCACTCGTGGGCCCTGAGATGGTGGCAGGGTGACTGCAGAGAGGTCAGTGGTTGTTGTTCCCCGACAAGAAATCAAGCAAAGTTAAATTAGGATATGACAACGTACCGAAGGAGGCCTCTGCAAGCTCCGGCTCCTGCTCGCTTTGATAAGAGATGATGCTATGTGAATACGATGGTGACAGCGGTGGAGGGCTGGAGGCCGCAGACGATACCGATACCGCAGATGAACGAACTGATGTATGTGCAGGTGAACGGTTCAAATTTAACGTCGCCATTTTGCGCTTAAGAGTCTTCTCCGACCGATCGACAGGATCGCTCACGCACTCTGCCGACTGCGACAAATACTTGCGGTAATCATGGAGTGAGAGGGCACCGGTGATTCCTGATTTGATTGACCGAGGGGGAAGTGACACCGCATCCGCAGGAAGGGGCTTAGGAGGCGTGCATGGTGCGTGAACGCCATGAAGCTCCAGGCACTTGGAGCACAACGAGCCGTCCAGCAGCTCACCGTCACGCCAGATCCCGAAGGCATGTTCGGTGCGACAATGCGTCTCTGCATACATCTTTTCGTTTCAGTTCGTTTCGTTTTTCTCTCTCTTTTGCAATCTTAGGCAATTGGAGTTTCCCGTAGCCTTAAGGGGTTGGTCTCCAATGGCGTCTTTAGTAGATTGACATATCTCTTGCAGACGTAGATTGGGAGATCAATCCAAAAAAACCAACGCCCAAATGTTATACTTCTGATTCGTCAGAGCGGGGAACCACTGCAAGGGACGACGACTTCTCGGCTTACCAATTTCACCATCAATGCAAGGTACAAAGTCGAAACCCTGTACAGCTTTTGTAACCGGTAACTCCAATCCAGAGAGAAGAGCCGCGACACTGAATGTTTATAAAGTAGTATTCAAGATATGCCGGCAATCCGAGCCTCTCAGCCTTGGTGGCTCGGAGCCGAACGGAGAAGCCTGGACTCGTCTTTTTTTTTTTCTCTCGTCGCAAGATCTTGTATCCACATCCCCACATGAGAGGAACGACTCGGTCTGGACCCGGGCTGGTAGGCCAGGAACACTGGGTCGCGGGACAAACGAACCGGTGGTTCGGCGGGCCTCATACTGGGCATATAATGGGATTATGTACGAATGGTAGACGTCACACTGCCCAATTCCGGCGGCCTAGGGGGGAGAAAGTTGGGAGACTACAGGGCGAAAAGTCGGTCTGACAAGGTGTGTTGTATGCAGAAACACGCTCACTCGCCCAACCTTTCATATGCTGCCGAGTAAAGTCCCTGGGTGCCCCGGAGGCGTCGCACATCGTCCCCCTAACCCATCCCCTCCACCAATAGAATGAATCAAAGGTAACCCGAGTGACTGGATGCATCGCAGCACATCGCGACATGACATGCAGCAGTAGGAGCCCCCTCTGCGATCGCCCGCTGGGAATCTCCTCCTGATCCTAGCGCGGTCGTTAGTCGCACACCCTCCCGTCCCACCCCCAGCCAATCACCCACTCCAGACACCCTTTTGACGTGAACCCCCCGATCCATCGGGTTGAGCCACGAGTAGCCAGTCGGCGTGCAGAACGAGCCCGTCGACGAAAAAAGATGGTGGGTGAGGTCAGTCAGGGCTGAAAGAGGGCGGGCCTTGGGCATACACACACCTGTTGAGGCGTTTTCGTTGGTGGCCAGTGCCTCCGAGTGCAGAGGACCGAGTGGCAACAGTTGATTGGGGGCGACTGGACACTGACTCTGGACATGATGGACACGACGCGTAGTGAGAATCGCAACATGGATGATGCATGGCCCTATTAAGCCCCACCCGAGAGCCCTCAAACAGGTCCCTGACTCTGTGGAGCAGATCGTGGGCCGTTCTTTCTTCCATGATTGCTGCTAGGAAAATTCATGAAGCCCTTCATCGGTCTCATCCGAGGGTGGATTACCCGATGGAGAATCCTGGGAGGAATCCGAGTTTTTTTCTTTCCCCGACCGTTGGGTACGTTCAATCCATGGTTCCTTTCGGTCGCGAAAGTTTTCGGGCTTCGTACCTGACCAGAACATGATTCATGAGTGATTGAAGAGGAAAATGCAGGATGGAAACAAAGGGCTTGCGAGAAGGCAAGGGAACCAAGCGATCGGCACAAGCGACTCGTGGCGGGGCAAAGGGCGTTGAGCCCCAGAATTAGAAGAATGAGAGGAAATCCAAATGAATCGCGGGTTGCTGATAGGCTGGTCAGAGGATGTGGCTGAATTTCACATGGAAGAAGCGAGAAAGGGTAAATCGAGCAAAAGAGACGAAGGGAAGTCAAAGCGAAGTGAGAAGTGAAGTGACCCTTTCCCAAATAGGAAGTAAATGAGGCTTTGGTCCTTTACTGTGGTCCATCGCGAAATACACTCTAACTAGGGAAAGTCATCCAAGTCATATTCACAGAATGAACTCTGATGTATTCCTCAATTTTCCTAAATCTATCCTTCGATCCTTGTAACTTTGAATCTGAAATGGCAGATAAAAAAAGTAAAGGGTGCCCCTGCGTTGATCAGGGTGGTGGCGCAGCTCTCCAGGTTATTACATGATGCAGTGCCTCCTGAGCGATCAATGACTACGTGAACAATTACCTTGATCAGGTGTAGAGTTTTATTTTACGAGGTCTCCCGATCAACATACGTAAGTCGGGCTGCTCTCTATCGCAACGAGATACGCACACAGATATATATCTTTCCACATTGGCGGGTGATTGATTCTAAATACGGGACTCGTTCTTATTTGAAACACTATCAAACTCAAAGGAAGCGATATCAATGCATCTAACAGGTTCGCGGAGGGGAATATAGTAGAAAAGATCAGGAATCGCCAAATCAAACGCTCAAAATAATGGAACTGAGCAAAAGCTAACACAGACCAGTCAAAATCCAATCAGCCAACAAATAGACCGTGGCAAAGTTTCCCGGATGACTCGGTCGAACTATGTCGTCCCTCATACAGAGACTTCCGATCCGCATAGAGCAGAAGAGCCCTCGGACTTTCAATGACGTTTATACTTCTGTATGGACGGTGTCAGCCACAAAACCCCTGCATAGACCCTTTTCTCCACAGAAAAAGCAACTGAACAAACAAGAGTCTGTAGGTCCAGCAGTCCCAGACCGGGGATACACTTACATCTTCCATTTTTCGCCGATTGCTTGGGTCCAGTGTGTTCCCGGCGCCCAGGAGAGTTTGTCCCACGGCTTTGGATACACCAATCGCCGGCCGCAGAATCACCGTCGGCGCCCGTTTCCACACGGCTTTGGCCGCTGCCTTGGCGCTGCCGCTCTCGACCACCTCGCCAGGCACGGCCACAATCGCATCCCGCGCCAGCAGGAGATCACGCTCCAGACCATTGAACGCTCCCCGCAGACCCTGCACTACACCGATTGGTTGGTCGGCATACAGCGAGATCCTCTTCGCCTCTTCTTCCTCATCCCAGCCCTCCTCGGACGTGGTGGATGCTCCGGTCGGGGATGTCAGCAAGTCTTCTGCGCCCTGGAGGACCGTTTGCGTGCCAATGGCCAATTTCGCACCCAGCTTGACTAGCTCGTTAGATGTGGTCTTCGCGAACGCTAGCGCACCCTTCTGGATGCTGCGCACGATCCGGCCATCCTTTTGGTACTCGCGCATCGGGATGACGACCAAGTCCTTCACGCCCCCACCCACATTGACGAGCGATCGGATCGGGGCCAGACCTGCGAGGACACCCGGCAGCTGATTCCGCTTGACATCTGGCATCCAGATGTCGTTGAGCGTGTGCCCCAGGCGATCAAACCCGGAGACTCCATAGATGATGACATGTCGGAGGACCATGTCAGCGCCGTCTAACACGAAGAAATTCATAAACTCTGTTGTGCGACCCGACCGGAGACCCGCGTAGTCAACTCTCTTGGGTTTGAAGTCTAGTTTCACCTGCACGGCATTGACTTCAACGCGCTGGAGGAAGGGCACATCACCGGGCGTGCTCGATGCATCAAGGGATTCATCGCGGAACTCAAAGAACCTGCTCATGAAATCCAGTGCATCTTGGTCGACATGTAAGCGAAGCGGTAGTACAGTAGCCTATCAACCCCGTAAGTATCAATCAATTTATGCATAAAGACGCACAAATAGACAATGGATGGCTTTAGACCTACCTTGAGGACAATCTCAGACGCGGCGAGTTCAGGAATCGGCTTGACAGTGAGGATCTCAAGGTGCACCATGCTCGTTCCGCTTTCCCGCTCACCCGCCTCGTGCATGTAGGTCGCGAATTTCTTCCATGTCGACGTGGGCACATGATCATAGATCTCTAGGTCCTTAACTCGTACATCTACTGAACTCTGTGTCTCCTCCGAGTCCGGCGGGAACACAACCAAATCAGCACAGACCCCACGTAACTCAAAGGTCATCTTGTGGTGTTTGCTCCGGTGTAGGCGAAGTCTCCTCTCCCTGCCCGATCCGGAACGTCCTTGCCGGTTAGTTGCGCCGGTCACCGTGGTCGACGTGGCATAGCTACCCGTCTCACTGGCTAAATCCCCAATATCACGGTTGATCCCGTGATGGAGCTCGCGTGGGTCTTTGTTGGCTGGAATTCCAATGTAGATCGAGTTGAAGAGAAAGTCTCCAATGACAGATTCCTCTTCATCTTCAGCTGTGGGAGACATACGGGAGGCTCGGGTCCGGCGTTCAGTAGCCTTGATCTCGACGTCTTCGACGGCTTTGGAGATTGTGTCTCGGGTTTGCTGCCAGTCATATCCGTCGAACAGGTTCCAGATAATATGCATGTCCCGTACTCTCACGCGAAGAGGGCTGCGCTGGAGTTTGGTATCATTGGAAAGACCGTACGTGTTGTGGGCTGAGTCCCATCGATGCGCGGTACCGCCAACGGTGGATTGCCGTGCAAAGTGGTCGTCTTGGAAGTCCAATTCGGTGATGCTGGATGAAACTTGATACTGAGAATGGAAACTGTCAAGTAGGTCATTGCTATCAGCTGCTGTAGCAAGCTTGATATCACCGCTACCTGAAGGACCTGATTGTCTCCCTGGGTAAAAGTCGCTGACATATTCTAGTTCATCGCCAAGCTGGTCTTCCTCGGAGATATGTGAAAGGTTCATTGCTGGATCGTTGTTTTCATCCATATAGACGGGGGGCTCAGTAGTGAATGCATCACCCGAAAAGGAAGCAAGCATGTCTTGAAGTGGCAGGATTTCTGTTCGGTATTTGGTAGTGACAACTGGTGGTGCTGGTGGCTGTAGACCATTCAATATACCGATAAGGGTTTGCGTAGAGTCCGCACAAGTCTCAAGGATCAAGAGATCGTCTCTTAATTCAACATCTAGCGACTTGGTTCCATCGTCGGCGAGGTCCATCATCTTCACAACCGCTGTCGCAGAGGAGATGGAAGAGACAGGAACATATCCCTTTTCAATGTACGCTTGAACTTGATTGCTTTGAATGGTGGCAGACGTGCGCTGATGGAGATTATCGGCATTCCCCACGTTTGCGACATTGTCAATGATCATAATGGATGCCTTTCGAATATCCAGTGTGACTTCTGAGGACTCATCGCCATGAAGAGCACCTCCAAACTTAGCGTTCGTGAGTACCACGAGTCCCTTCGACGAAGAATTGCGAGGATTGAGGCCAAGAACGGAATCCCGGAACACAACTGCCAGCTTCGTTGGCTTGACGGAAACTCTCGAGGTATCTGACCTGGGTGGAGAGAAAGTTACAATCCCAGTTGCTCGAACCGAGTGCTCAGCGAGATTAGCAATTGAATTGGCCATTTCGCCTGCCAATTCTCCACCTGTGGTGTCTCGATTCAAGCCCAGGAAAGCCATGACCGATGGAATGGTGTATTCGACTCGGAGATGATGGAGTTTAATCTTGAATGTTGGGTCCATCTCGTCAGGAATAAATCGAGCCATTAGTACCGGGGGGCGAGGTCGAATGAGGGTTTGGTCTTGACTGGGGATGAGCGCCTCTCCGACCAGTTCCTCTTGGTGATTGCGGGTGACTGTCATGGTTCCAATTTGCGTCGCTATTAATGAAGGCATGCTGATCCAGGCCACTTCGACATTAGCAAGATGTGCGTTAATATCGCCGACGTCGGATCCAACTTGAATTCGGGCTTCAAATTCACGGATCAAAGTCAATGTTAGAAGTCCAGGCCTGTCATCTTCAGGCAAATATTTTGTCACATTGGATAGTCGACCGAGCTCATGTCCCAAGGAAGACAGATATCCCAAATCGGCGGTGTTTGAAATGATAGTCTTCATGCCTGCAACCGTCACACGAAGGACCGAGCCTTGTCTTCGCTGTCGCAGGAGAGTATCTAGCATAATGTCGTCGTCATCATCGTACTTGTCTTTAGAGGGCGTTATCAGGGTCAAAAGGCGATCGAGGTCAACTTCCTTCGGTGCAAATAGATATTCAACCCTGATATTTGTCAAAGTGATTTTCCCTGGGCCGTCTGACGAGTCTTCGAGTGGGTGCGGGCCACTCAGTTTTGCTTTGTCAATCTGGATACCGATGCCCTCGAATCTGCTGATGATCTTCACAGCAGTTGTACTCAGCTTGAGATAATGGGTTTCGCCAATGATATCAAGGACAATCCCACCAATCCGAGCGTTAACTTTCCAGGGTGCAGAAGCTTTCGCTTCCTTGTTAGATGCCGGGGCAGGCGTCTCAAAGTGCACCCCACGAGATCGCTTCTTTGGAGGTTTATGAGCACTCTTCATCGTCGATGTAGACGATATAGAGCTTCCCAGCTCAAGAATAGTGCTTAGTCCACCCATCCAGCCCAGAACTTCTTCCACTTGTTGTATATTGAGATTGATATAAATAGGAAGAGTGAAAATATCAAGTTTGACAGAATCAGCCGACCTGGTCAATGAAATCACAATGTCACATTGAGACGGTGTGACAATATCACGAGTAGACTCCCGCATTTTCAAAGATTCGTTGAATGAAATTAGATCCTCGGAAGCAAAGCCAAATGCAAATTTCGAAAGATCGAGAGTAAGATGAGATCTTTTGACATCTGATGAGAAATGAGTTCTCAAATCAGACGCTGTAATTTGGAATATGATGTCCTCCAAAGGAGCATACGCGGCCATTGAAGCAGTGTTGATATCATTAAAGGAATGAGAATTTCCTGCAACGTGTTCGAGAAACCTGACTGACAGCTTGCGAATATCAAGCTTGAACGAGGTCTGCCGAGATTGTGGCTCTGGCTGTGTTTGCTCGTTAGAACGGGCCATTCCAGACCCCTCAAAAAATGCCGATGCCCTTTGGCATGCCTTGAGAAGGAGCCACCCAGTTGATATGTCAAAGTGAGTGGTGATAGAAAATACTTCCACTTCCAAATCATTGGCATTTTTTATCAGATGACCATGTTGTTGGGCCGGTCGATCCCTTTCAGACATTGGAGGGGAGTCATTCATGGTCTTGTTCAATCTTGTAGATGAGGCGGATTTTGAAGCCGGTAGACTCGCGTCTGGTACAGGGTCACGGAGACCACGCATTAAGTCTTTGAGGTCGCTGTCTGTCCGCTCTGTGGGTATTTTTGGTGATGCAAACTCTGCTGTTTCCTCTTCGATGAGCGAAGGTAGCCAAATGAGTATTTTGTCAACATAGAATATAGGCTTTCTTGTTTCAGTTGCTTTCTGTAGAGGATAGGGCGAAGTAGAAGCTTTATCAGTGCTCAGATATTGAGACGAGGTCTGATTTTCTTCGGAAGACTGCTCTTCAGCAAAGTGTGAGTCTGTTGTGGCAGTCAACTTTGGGGTTGATGGCGTAGCTTCATCTTGACTTCCTGGGATTGGATTGTTGTCATCATTAGGGCCGAAATCTTTGTTCATGGACTCAGACGCATTTTTTGCTTTATCACCAGAATCAGATGAGTCCCATGCGCCTGGCATGTTGGGAACGAAGCTCTCAGAAAAATCACCTTGGGTCATTGCGCTCATGTACAGACTTTGTGCCTCGTCGTGAGAGAAATATTTAGACTCCATGAGATCAGCGTTAGAAGCAGTTCCTTCCGAAACAGCACTCCCAGATTCAGAAGGCGGAGCAGATGCTTGAAAGGTATTTGAGAACGCGCTCATTCGAGGCGTACTATTGTATTCCTCATCATTGAGATATGTAGAATTTTGTAGGGTAGCATGTGTACTGAGGCGGGATGAGCTCTCCTGCGGCGATTTGTAGGTTCGCAGACCGTGAAGGCTCTCTGCAGATAGTGAAGGCATGTGTGAATACTCTATATTCTCGTCATTTGCTGTCGATTCAGTGGAATGTAATGGAAGATTGAGATGATAGGAGCTATCTCCACTTTCCGGTTCTTGTTCCCTCTGAGTCTGCATAAATGCAGAGGATTCGACCTTGAGGTCGTCAAAATGGGCGTCAAGCACAGAGTCCAAATAACCTGCATTGTCATGAAAGGGGTCCCCTCTTCCAAAGACCTGAGAATCATCAAGGTATCTATCATTTCGAGATTCCAGGTCTGAGTCCGCGTCAGAGAAGCGACCATCATGAGAGAATGTCGTTGAAGCATCCATCCCAGGATCGGCAATATTCTCAGAGCTATATTCAAACCCGAGAGAGGGTTCGAAGATTGTCGATCTTGTCATAGCTAAATCGGGATCCGAACCGGAGGGTCCTAACGGAGGTGGCGAAAATGCGCGACTTGAGGATTGGCTTTCCTTGGATTGCATTGTAGTCGTAGGAGATGCAGGCGTTGCGAAGCGTGCATAATTCGAAAACACAGCTGTATCCGATATTAGGCCAAAATTGATACCCGCAAGCGACACCAGCCTCTTGCCCTCTCGCGATGGCACGGACTCGTCTGGCCCGGCAGTGATGCCAGACACGCCATGAATATCAATTTCTCCCAGGCTCAGCAACCCAGCAACAAGGTCTGGCTTGTTCTCAGGCTGCCTTTTGGATGGACCATCCTGCCGCAATTCCATATCCACTCGGACGGCGACATCTTTTATCTTCAGCTGCAACCGGTCTGCCACGCCTTTGAGGAACCCCGCCACAAAGCTCGGTAAAGAGAGCGTTTCATTTCCGAGCCCGAGATCTTCGTCATCGTCTTCGATGAACGAAGAGGACTTTGCAAAATTTGGGACTGCGACGAAATCGCAGCCTGCAGCTCTTCTTTCTCTTCTTCGGGCTCGGCCTCGAGGAATGACTCCGCAAGGTTGGATGGCGTTGGTAGAGTTCGCACATCCTCCGATCCTGGCACCGCCGAACGGGAGGATGCCTGGGATTTTGCCTGTCCCTGTACTCCTTGGGCTGGGTCCTCCGGCAGTAACCGAATGTGAACGTTGATACCGCTTGCTTCGCAGATGATTCCGCTACTGTAGATGTCGGCGGGGACGGTGATACGGAGAAGCTGGACTCGGGCACGGAGGAGCTCACACGTCACGGGAAGATGGAGGAGAGTCGCCAGTTTCTATAACAGACCAAGGTAGACGTCAGATTTCATTCGCATATAGCTCTAACAAAGCAGTAAATATGCCCCCCGCCTCCACAAGAGAACCGCAGACTCACCTCTAATTTTAGGCCAACATCCTTCAGCTCAACGATACTCCGCTGACCCCATCGAATCCCCAGATTGTCTGGGTCCAGAGCTTCCGTGTCCACGACACCCAGGCGAGAAAGGGCATATTTCAGCAGGCGCTTCTGGAAGAACGAAGGCAACAGGTACGCCATCTTGAAAGAGCCGCGAGGAGGCTCAGTCATCCACGGGTAAGGCTCATCGATACGCAAACCATCATCATCAAGAGAGAAATGAGAAAGCAGCTAGGCCCAACCCAGGCAACGAGTGGGCGTTGAGAAAGGGGAGAGTTGACGATGACGTGCGGAGCATTGGAGGGATGGTGGGCACCTGATAGAGGGCGATAAGTGATCGGGCCAAGTCAGGCGGGCCCGACGGGTTACCTCGTGTGGGCAGTTCGGACAATCATCGACGACTCCCCACACCGTTTTTGCACTTCTTCCACACCAGCAGTCCCACCATTACGCTATCACGTCCCATACTACGAGACGAGCAGATTTCACTAACACACGTTGAATACCACAGCACCAGTTCACGCTCACACCGCCTCAAGGCTGGGTATCTTCTGGGGTTGGATCTAGTTTGGGGGCCCAAAGTATTCGGAGACATCTTGCGTTCTATTGATCAATAGCTTGTTTTTCAGGTCGCTCCTAGTCGTCCTCGTCATCGAACTCTGCAAATTCCAAGACAATCCATTCGCAAAACTTTTCCCAATCCGTATGCCATTCCCGAAGGCGAGCTGCCTTCAAGCCTTCGCCGAGGATTCCGGCCTCGACGTCTTGTTTCCACTCGGGGGTCGGTTGGTCCTCGAAGCAGCTCCACCGCAGCGAATTTTGAACCATCATCGCGAGACCGGCCAAATCCACATTCTGAAGACCCTGAAGGGCCTGCCAGAAGTCATGAGTCAGGCCGTTTTTTCCGTGGCCCAGGATGGCAGGGTCGTCGTTGCAGAGCGACACAGGAACACCACGAGACAATAAGGCTGGTAGGGGGTGCGACTTGATGGAGCTGGTTAGGCGAAGAATCTCATTTGAGATCGGGCAGCACTCGACCATGATCTTCTTCTCCTTGACCAGATCAATCAGTAGAGGGTGTTTGTAGAGAGAAAAGCCGTGGCCAATCCGTCGGGTCCCCAGTAAGATTGCATCGAAGAGATTTTGGTCGGTAGCATCACCGTCGCCCAAACATTCGCCTGCATGGAAAAAGAATGGGATATCAACTCCCTCCTCCGCGCAGCGTTTTCGGAACCAAAACAGCAATGGAACAAGGTCGACCAGCGGTCTCCCCAGGTCCTCCTGCCCGACCAGATCAAAGCCACAGACCGAGTCGGGGAAGGCATGCTTAATGTCGATACAATCCTTCATAGAATCCACGAGAACCTTGTTGGACAAGCGCCGCAGGCCACACCAAATGATTCGTGCCTCGTAGAACCTCTTACCTTCCTCGGTCTCCTTAAACCGGTCTATTTCCTCTTCAAATACTCGGAACCATTCCTCATAACCATCCTCTGGCTTATCGCTCCCTTCCTTTCTATACTGAAACACGAAAGCAACTCGAAATTCGACGTACCGAATTCCATCTTTAGCCAGCTGTCCCATCAGCCGCCGAAAGCAGGCTCGGAAGATCGGCTCATACATCAGAATGGAGTTGATCACAGGGAAGGTTGTGGTGAAGATCGCCCAGATCGCATCGACGCCATGATGGTGGTGATACGAGTGCTCTGGCATGAGCATGCACCGACTGCGCAGCCATTCACGAAATCCCTTCTCCCCGCCCTTCGGAAACGAGGCTGCTGCTGTATGGATGGGGATCAACGAGGAAGGTTGGTACTCTTCCGACCAGAGCCCAGGTTTTTGGGCCGCATCCGCAGCAGACTGGGAGGAGAATTGAAATGCGACATGAGCGGACTCGTAGTCTTGCTGGGTCAGCAATGGAATTGGGGCGGATATGTGAATTCCTGGCGTGGAGAAGGCCAGGTCAATCAGGAAGTCAATATCGAACATGGCATCCATGTGAGCATGCAACAGCGCCCCTTTGGGCATTTTCTCGACAATTTTCCATAGATTCGTCTTCTCCATGCGTCCCTTGGCATGGTGAAACATCACTCCGGGGTACAGGATCTCATCAGCCTGGTGGGCGGTCGCCGCGTCCATGCCCGTGGTCCAGACTTCATTTTGTTCGCGGGCCCGGATCTGCGAGACGATCTTGCAGGCTCGGGCGGCGATGGGTGATAAGGATTTACGAAATGTCGCATCTATAGGTGGTCAACGTTGTCCTTGGGGTCTTGATCCGGGTCTGAGATTTTCAGCAAGGGCCGTTCATCTCCAGTCATCCATACCATGGCGTCTCTTTTGCTCTTCGGCGATCAATGCATCGCGGCCGTTCAGATACTGCTGAATAAATGGGTCCTCAAATTGAGGGAGGCCCTCCTCCAGCTCCCAGTCCTTGCTTTCACTGTCCATGCTGTAGAAAGTGATCAGCAATCTTGATGGAAGCTGTTTCAGCAATTCAGAACAAGTACTGGTTGATAGTGTTGACCGATTGTCGACTCCAACGGGCTTTGGTTTGGGCCGAGAGGGGTTCCCCGATCCCCGCCTCCACACAGTGTGATTTGCATACCGCTTCCGGTCATCCTGCTGCACCCGCGTTTAGCATCGGCCTTAAAACATAGTGCCCCGTCCAAGTGAAATGCTTGAGTTTGAGTTGCTGTTTTATGATTTTCTATGCCTATTTATACCTAGTAAACTGATTTTTCCTCTTTATGTTTCCCCAATGTATCCCCATACATAATCCGAACCCCCTTTTTCTTGTGTTGGGCTTTCTTCCGCTAGGTTATGGCTCAATATTGGTCGATATTGTATATTATCGTCTTGAAAGGGGATAAAACTAGGACCTGTGCTGCCCATCGGGATTCTCCGCCTTGCAACGCAACTAAAGAGCCCTGGGGCCAGGTATCTACACGGCGTCTACACAGCGTCTCCTTGGCTCCTTGTGTACCCGGAAAGAGAACATAGAATGGTGTCCAGCCTCTTAATTTATGTGCCCTACCTAGGAAGTGATTCGCTTTGCTGGAACAACCACAGGTCTTTCCTCGCGTCTAGCCACTCAGGACATGAGAGGCGCACTGGAGGGTCAGCCATCGTTGCACCAGAGCGATTGCAGGGAGTAGTAGGATCGAATCTATGGTCGATTCTGGCCGATAAAGCATAAGCACATGTTACGCCAAGATCTGCGGTATCAGGCGGAGGTCGCCTGAGGTTGGCCCATGCAGGGGCACCAGTTTTCAGTCAAGCAGACGGTCAACGAGGACAGGCCTCCCAGCCAAGCCCGTGGAATTTCTAGGAAATGAAAGATCTTGGCAAAGATGGAACTTTATTGTGTGCCTATCGCAAAATTCGCACGCTTCCCAGGCCTCGTGGCACCGTGGACCAACTGCGCTAATAACGCCCGAGCAGCGTGGGTGGAGATATCGAGAGATAGGCGGCTAGGGCCCGAACAGGCGAATCTGGACCTCACCTGTCGATCACAGAAAAGACTGGCGAGCAGGACAAGCGAAAGATCTTCGACGCATAACAACTAGACGAGGGCTCCAGATAACATAACTTCTAGAAAGAAAAAGTGTGCAAGGGCACACGACCGCCAAACAAACCACATTCAAGAAAGCAAAATCCACAGAAACCTAAACACTAAATACTTCCCCACTTGCCGCTCGGTGCGGAGGTTCCAACCTCCTACGGACATGGATCGTGGATCATCGACCGACCGAACCACCCAACCACCAACCTCCAACCCGCGAAGGACCGCAAAGTGGCAAGATAGCCTGACCAAAAAGTACTAGGCCGCCGAGATAGCGGACGCTGGTTTTCTCACTGCCTATCATCTGCTGCCCAGCAGCCTTTGGTTACATGCGCGCCCCTCACGTCCCTCTCAGAGTGAGACGGGACGGCCGTCGGTGCGGCCGTTTCCAAGGCCCTAGAAACTTAACACACGATGAAACAGCGACGAGCCATCGCTGGCCTGGCCATTCACCGTTCCCATGGCCATTGAGATTTTCACCCGACCGACAGGCAACCCCTGTCCATTCTTTATCTCACTGTGTTTCCCCGCACAAGAGGAGACAAAAAAAGTGGCTCCAGTACAGCCTTTTGATAAACTAAATGTTGCCTCTCCTCGGGGTCCAATGGCACAGCAGAATGCAAAACCTAAGCCAGCCACATTGGGATATCTTACCGATCCTCTGATAACCGAGTGCTACTAAATCGATAGCTATAAACGGGCACCTTGGCCCACTTACAACGCTGTCCGATATTGGTTTCTGCTGTGTTGAGATTAGAGATTGCAATTTGAAATTCTCACGTGGCTCTGTTAAGCTTGTCTCTGGGGATTGCGTTTCACAAAAGGGAGCTCAACCTCCCGTGGAAGATCGGCAATCCGGCTGAAACAAGGGCCTCTCATTTACCAGACGAAGAACATAGGATTGTACTTCGTAACGACATCGATTCTCATCCATCAGCATGACCGAGAAATCCTCTGAGGGGAATGATTCTCCTGGCGTTGAAGCCCCCGCCCCAATCTCTCCGCACATAGACCCTGCGCTGCAGCCGGAGCACCAACACCACCATGTACACAAGCACCATACTACATTTGCCGAGCAAGGCCGTGAGGATGAGGTGGTTTTCTCGAAAGATGCCTCGTTTGAAAAGGGCATCGTGCCCGAACCCACACCACTGGATCACGGCAGTCCACGCGAGAGCAGCGGTGACAAAGACGAAGAGACGGGTGACAGCGAGCCTGCCAAGCGGCCCTGGCATCGGCGGGTGGGCAAGCATTGGAGACATATTGCCCATGCGGTGATCTGGCTTCTGTTTACCGGGTGAGTAACTTCTCTCTTGGATCTCTGCCCTTACATTTCCACGCCGTGGCGCCAGACGAGGATCCCAAAGAGACTGATTCCGTTCTTAGCTGGTGGATTGCCGGTCTCATTCTTCACCGGTATGACCTAGGCTGGCTGATTCCTTTCCTGCTGTATCTGGCCATTACGCTGCGGATCATCTTCTTCTATGTCCCCATCACGATCATCACCAAGCCCGTGCACTTTATCTGGACCAAGACTGCTCACCCGATTGTTCGGGTAATCCCACAGAAACTCAGGACTCCCGCTGCGGCGCTGTTGTGTATCGGTGTAATCGTCATTGGTGCCTTTGCCTCGCCTGAGTCGGCGGACAACACTCGCGCCAATCGTGCCGTCAGCCTGTTCGGTTTGGTGGTTTTCCTCTTTGTGCTATGGCTCACCTCGCGAGACCGCAAGAGGATCGTTTGGCACACCGTGATTGTCGGCATGTTGGTGCAATTCATCATTGCTCTGTTCGTCTTGCGCTCTGGTGCTGGATATGATATCTTCAATTTCATTTCCACATTAGCGCGTGACCTGCTTGGATTTGCATCGGATGGTGTAATCTTCCTCACCTCGCAAGATTTCTATGACATGACGACCCCCTTTTCACCCAGCTCATGGTTCCTAGTCAGTGTCATTCCTGCAATTGTTTTCTTTGTGTCAATTGTGCAGCTGCTGTACTACAGCAACATGCTGCAGTGGTTCATCGGAAAATTCGCCGTGTTCTTCTTCTGGAGTATGCGGGTATCTGGTGCCGAGGCAGTCGTCGCCGCTGCATCTCCCTTTATCGGACAGGGCGAGTCGGCCATGCTGATTCGGCCTTTCGTCCCACATCTTACAATGGCCGAGTTGCATCAAGTGATGTGCTCTGGCTTCGCGACAATCGCGGGAAGTGTGCTGATCGCCTACATCAGTATGGGTGTTAACCCGCAAGCTCTAGTCTCCTCATGTGTCATGAGTATTCCGGCCTCGTTGGCCTGCTCAAAATTGCGCTGGCCTGAAGAAGAAGAAAGTCTGACAGCAGGTCGAGTCATTATTCCCGACAATGAGGAACACAAGTCTGCCAATGCGCTCCACGCCTTCTCCACTGGAGCTTGGCTTGGTCTTAAAATCGCGGCTATGATCGGCGCCACTCTGCTCTGCATCATCTCGCTGATCGGTCTTGCTAACGGTCTGCTTACCTGGTGGGGCCATTACTTGAATATCAACGACCCACCGTTGACACTGCAGCTTATTGTGGGATACATTTGCTACCCAATCGCATTCTTGCTGGGTGTCTCTCGTGATGGAGACTTGCTCAAAGTCGGGCAACTCATCGGTCTCAAACTGATCTCGGTATGTCAGCCCAACAAGCCAATACACCCTTCCCTTTATATATCCAACTAATAAATCAATCGGGATAGAATGAGTTCGTCGCCTACAACTCTCTCCAAAACGATGCTGCTTACGCTAGTCTCTCCGATCGCTCGCGTCTCATTGCAACCTATGCCCTCTGTGGGTTTGCCAACATCGGATCCCTGGGTAACCAGATTGGTGTGCTTGCACAGATCTCGCCCGGCCGTAGTGCGGACGTCTCGCGTGTTGCTGTCAGCGCCATGCTCACGGGCGCCATCAGTACCTTTACCAGCGCGACGATTGCCGGCTTGCTGATCACGGACGAGAAGCAGTATTTTTCAACCTGAGTTGAGGGACGCTTTTCATTGCATTCTCAACTCTGCATGGTCTGGTGGATGTCATGCTCGCATTTTCTCGGTTGTATTTTGAAGATGTTTACTACTTATGGTAGCTCAAGTAATGCATACTCTATTGAAGTCATCGGATACGCAACGCATCCAGCAGCACTCCCAATACCTACCATATCGCTAGATCATCTACATCGTGCTACAAAAGACGTGTTCTTCTCCAATGTGACGTAGGGCACATGGACCAGGGACCATGAATTACGCAGGGTAAATCAAGCCCGCGATGACAGCTATAGGAACAAGAGTTCCTCGGAGCAAAAGGCACCCCGAGGTCAACACACACCTGTACGTGAATGCGTGTAGTAAAGATAATGTGACACACAAAAGCAACCATAGAAAGCAGACCAATAACTCCTAGCCCAATGATAAACCAGGGCACCATGCATTCGTACCACGCACACCGCGGCCCCAATACAGAGGGCACGAGGAACATGCAGTGGGACCGACCGGCGCCTATGCAGAATCCCAAAGCACGAGTCAACATCTATTCGTCATCGAGATCACGGTGTCGAGCCAGGACATGGCGCTTGAATTCTTCTTGATCGGAGTCCCAGAGCTCCGCAGCTTGCGCATTCAGCGGGCTCGCGCTATTTTTTCAGGGTCAGCAGCTAGTCACCAAGCATCGAATGGGGTCGCTATGCAGATGGGAAACAAAAGAGAGGGGCAGCATGTTTACTTATTTGGCTCGCCCAGGAGACTCTGCAGACTCAGCAGGACGCTCTGTACGTTATAAACTGCGCTCCATTTGTCCTTGAGGATATCCAAACAGATCCGGCCGGAAAAGTCGACGTTGGGGTGATAGATGGGAGTCTTGAAGAGGACTGTTGGCGGCGAGTAGGGGTAGTTGTTGGGGAAGGCGAAGGAGAGCTTGAGAGTTAGACCCTCATAGGGGGTCTCGGTCGGGCCAGTGATAGTTGCCGTCCATGAAAGAAGGTTCCCATCGGCGTCGGGGAAGGCAGAGATGCCCGGCGAGGGTGAGAGCATGAGCTGCATCAGCTCCGCCTGCAGACTAAAACACCGCAACATCCAGGGTCAGCACGATTGGTTCCTAGTTCTGCATGCCTGCCGGGCTGTGACCAATGCTAATATATGGGTGCAGGGAGAAACGAACCGCTTGGTCACGCTCTGCGTGTCATTTCGCTGGGTGGAGGAATTCAGCTTGGTAGCTTCCAGCGCATCGGGCGCCGAGTTCTGGGTGTCTTCCATCGTGTAGTCCATCGCGAGAGGATAGTTCAAAGAGAGGATGCTTAAAAGAGCAGTAATCTCGAAGTCCGCAGATTCCCGGGCCGTCCCTGGAATGTGAGTAACAGTAGCACGAGGGTTGCTGTCTGGAATGACGACGGATCCGAACAGTAGACCCACTACGACCGAAGCAACGTTGAAAAGGGACGAAGACGGGGTGGGAGAGGGTGACGGAGGGTAGTGGTGAGGAGAGACAGAAAAGCGAGATCTGCAGCAGAGCCAAGTGGTTTGATTGTTGGAGGCAAAGAGAAGATGAAAGAACGGCGCTAGACGGTCAAGACGCTAAGCGCCATTTTGTTTACTCGGTGCCCCCTGGCAACGAACGGCCCGCTGACGCTCCCAATGACGAACGCGGCCGTCGCCCGCTCGGAAGTCGGAGGCAAATGCCGGATATCTTGGCCCTGAAATTTAGAAAGGACAAAAAATAGGGTAAGGTAATTTAGGTATACATCCTGGTCAGACTGCACATCAAGATGAGAGTGAGAGGGTAAAGGGCCAACAAACCCCGAGCACAGACCGAGCGATCGGAGAATTTAGTGCGATCGAACGGGATGCGGGTCACGCTGAGCGGGCACTGGACAAGTGCAAAGGGCCCTCGGAGATGGCAGTACGGGAAGTATTGTGAAAAGCAGAGAATCGTGGAAGAGTACGGTAATAGACTCTCCCTCTCCGTTCTCTCCCTCTCTCCGTCGATCAATCATCCATCTCCTTGACTCTTCAAACCCCACTGTCGCTTACCCCCTGTTGTCACCCCTCGTCCATGGGTCGTCAACACACTACCCAAATAGGATAAAGTGGCCCGCGTCTCGACCCGCGTCTCGCTATTCGGCCCTTGCTGCCTTCGCGATCCCTCTCCCTCGTCTCGTCCCAATGTATGGGAGTCGAAAGCCGATTGTCCATCTTTTTATCTCCCATTTCATCTGATTTTGCCGCATTGCCTCCTTCTTCCCGACGAAGGCAACGATGCAGCATTCGCAACTTGCCCCGCTGCCAAGCGATGTCCCTTTCCGCATCATCTCCAAAACAATTGGTCAAGGCGCGTACGCATGGTGAGTATTGGCCGTGACAATGATTTTTGAACCTCTCACTCATGTGATTTACATGCCTGTAGCATCAAAAAGGCCTGCCCGCTAGATGCCGACAACCCTGTCTTCGCCGTCAAGTACATCCACAAGGACTACGCCGCGCGCCATGGCAAGATCAGTGCCAGGCAGCTTCAACTGGAAGTCACGGTACACAGGCATGTGACAGGCCATAACAACATCATCAGCTTTTATCAAACCGGCGAGGATGATGTGTGGCGATGGATTGCGATGGAATTGGCAGAAGGGGGCGACCTCTTCGATAAGATCGAGGCAGACGAGGGAGTCGGCGAGGATGTGGCCCACGTCTACTTCTCGCAACTCATCAGCGCCGTCAGTTTCATGCATTCCAAGGGAGTGGGTCATCGCGACATCAAGCCCGAGAACATGCTGCTCACGGCCGATGGGAACCTGAAGATTGCGGATTTTGGGTTGGCGGCACTGTTCGAATACAAGGGAGCCCGGAAACTCTCGGCCACCTTTTGCGGAAGCCCGCCCTACATTGCACCGGAGGTGATTACCTGCAGCACTCGGGGTACCACTAAAGGATCGGGCTACCATCCCGACTTGGTTGACATCTGGTCCTGTGGCATCGTTCTGTTCGTTCTTCTGGCGGGGAACACACCGTGGGACAGCCCAACGGACGAGAGTTATGAGTTTCATGAATACCTGACAACAAATGCGAGAACTACAGATGAATTGTGGCAAAAGCTCCCTCCGGCTACATTGTCCCTATTGCGCGGCATGCTGACAGTGGATCCTAAGAGTCGCTTCTCCCTAGAAGATGTACGAAGACATCCATGGTACACGCGATCAAACAAGTACCTATCATCTGATGGTAAATTGCGAGACCCCATCAACCTAGCCACCTCCATGTTTGAATCACTGCATATCGATTTCAGCCAGGATCCTCTATCCCAGAAACGGAGAGGGGCCAGCCGAAGTTTCGATCCTATGGATACGGATATGGATGGCAATGGTGGTGGTGGTCTGTCTTCCACCCAGCCCGAGATGCTGGGTGGTGGGCTCATGATGGACTGGGACACCCCCCATCTAGCCTCAGAGTTCTCTTCAACGCAGCCCGCCCACAAACCATTTGCTTCTCAAGATATTGCAATGGCAACCCATCTTGAAGACGAGCCCTCCATGTCACAATTCTCCCAACAGCCATCCGTTCCCCTGAGCCGGACCCAGAATGCCCAAAAATTCCAGGATATCATTCCTTCACGATCAATGACACGCTTCTATTCAGCATGGGAATTGAAGCTTCTAGTCCCCTTGATCTGCGAAGGCCTTCATCGTCTGGGGGTTCCTGTTCCTTCGGTCCCGGCTGTGACTGCCGGTGACACTTCAGCTATGATCCGCGTGATTGCGAAGGATGGCCGCATGTGTCCACTACAGGGCAAAGTACTCATTGAGTGTGTCTCAGAGGGAGTATTCGAAGTGGAATTCGTCAAGATCAAGGGTGATCCCTTAGAATGGCGCCGATTCTTCAAAAAAGTGGCTATCCTGTGCAAGGATGCAGTATTCAAGCCTGATGAATGATTTTGACATGTGGGGGTTTTAGATCAACTACGGTCATCTCTTTTTTGCTACGATTCACCTCATGTTTACTCTTGATCTATGACTTACGATGGGAAGACGGGACATTTTGGGTCGAACCGGCGTTTGGTTGTGGAGAATCCAAATGTTGCTTCGCGCTCGCTCGGCTCCTCTTGTTTATTTATTCATTTATTTATTTATTTACTTCTCTATTGCATAATGTATATACCAATGCCATGATATTTGCATGGACTCGACCTTCCCAAATAACTGCGGGATGGAAATCCGATCGGATTCGCAGCATTCAAATTACGATCCGCGGGGCATTTTGGACCCTTGTACCCACGTCACGTATCCGTCACTCCGTTTGATATTCCTCGCATTGCGACTTCTCCTCTGTCTTGGATGACCGGTTCAAGGTCTTGAATTCCAAGGCCACCCCTCTATACTTCGAATTTCTGGACCACGTGACGGCGTTGGCGCAGATCGCGGGGAAAGAGACGCCTGGAACTTTTTTCAAGTCGCGACATTACAGGCTCCTTCCCCCTTTATCCCCATACTTCTCTTCCTCCGACTTGCCCCTGATGCTGCAGCTTCCCAGATCTCCCTCATGGACAGGCTGCCGGTAGAGATCCTGACCAAAATCATCGACCGTAAGCGCCATGGAAACCCCCTCCCTCTCTCCCGCAAATGGTCCCCGCACCAATTTCCAATTTACAAAATCGTCGCTGATAGATCTCCGATAACCCAGTTCTCACGCCCCGTGAGAAGGTGCAGCTACAATCGGTCTCCAAGAAGTTCTTCGACCTCGCTCGTGACAATAACCTCTGGAAGCTGCACTGCTATGAGCAGTCATGGGCTGCGCGGCAACCCGCCCGTCCGGCTGGCCGGAGGTCGGAGAGCCTTCTCACGAACCCAACCGCATCATTGAGTACATTGGGACAGAGTTCGCTGCGTGACCTCATTCAGCCGCCAGCTCTACCGCCCACGGATGGTGTTCGTGATGAGGAACGAGGGCTATCGTGGAGCGAGAGGGCAAGGGCGGCCGCCGAATGGGATTCTTCGACAGAGGGAGAACATGTGGATTGGTATTCGGAATATATCGCCCGTCATGGCCCCATGTCGCTATCATGGGTGCAGCAACCTTTATGTCCTAATGGCGAAAGTCGACGGCGGCAGCCATATGAAGTCAAAGGCATGGGACTACTCAAGGACTGGAGCTCGGCGAGGCAAAATAAGATCGTTGCACCTCTCGACGATGGCAGTGTTTGTATCTGGGACTTGAATCACTCCCATCATGCTGCATCTCCTTCAACAAAAGGCCGAGTTCTCGGTATGAGTGAGCCTGGTGTTCTCATGACCAATCTTTCCGGCCGCAGAGATCCCTCGCCGTCCAAAGCTTCCTTGGAATTTATCAATCTCGGGGAGGGCGTCAGTATAGATTCGTTCCGACGACGCGCATACCTTGCCATCGGCAATGTTCTCAATGAAGTCGACCTAGAGACATTAAAGGTGGTCTCGCAGCAGCGCTATCCCTGGTCGATATTCGCACTCTCCCAGGAGACCGATTATTCGGTTCCACTAACGCTAGCAACCACGCTCAGTCTACAGATCCACGACGCACGTTTATCTGCAATAGAAGAAGAAGAAGCGATCAGCATACGGTGTGAGAAGAACTCCACACCGTTAATTCCGGAATTGAATATATTTGCTTATCCAGACTCACCGTTATTACAACTTCAACCAAACGGACAACCACCTACCCGCATTCGGAGCCCACAGCCGACGGCGAATGAGAATTATGCCCCTCTCTTCCAGCCCGGGCCTCTATCTATCCTACATCCTCCGGCCCCTCATGTGAACACTATCCTTCTTGCGGGTCGCTTTCCCAGCATTCTCTGCTATGACCGCCGCTTCTTTCCCCGCCTTCAAAGCACAGTCCATTCTGGTGGCCGATTATGTAGCCTGGCTTCCGCCCCCGAGCCTCGATTCCCCGTGTTCTCGGACTCGACCTATCCAGAGTCTCATGCGGTTCTCGCCTGTGGCGAGTACAATGGACGCGGCTCACTCGAACTGTACAGCTTAAACTCCTCGTCCCAAAACTCCAATGGCAATGTATCCAATGTGCATTCAGAGTTGAGACCAGAATATAAGAACCGGCAAAGCGCGGCCAGCTCCAAGCTACTCTCAGTGGCCTCTCACGGAAACCGTCTTGTCTATTCCGATTCCGAGGGAAATATCAAATGGGTTGAGCGAAATGGTCGGTCGGAAGTTCGTCGATGGAATATCAACACCTCGCAACCACAAATTTCATTCTCACGGCATGAACAACCATCAGCCACAACACAATTGGCCAACGATTTCAAACCTCGCGGCCTTTGGCCGAGTTCCAACCCCCAAAACAACAGTAGCGAGGTGGCTCGCAAGATTCTTCCAACTGGAGGTAATCTAACAGGCGATGAGCTGCTCGTTTGGACCGGTGAACGGATTGGCCGCCTCAAGTTCTCCATACCCGGAGACCTTGATGGAGAAGGACTAGTGGAGGATGACTTGTTTATGCATGCAGAGGTCGACGAAGAAACCCGCAACGTAATGCGACAAAAGCATCGCGATGAGTGGGATATGGAGCAGAGATATGAAAATATGATGCGGCGGGCCCTTGAGCGACAGGCCGACGAAGTCCGATGGATGGGGACCGATGGGATGAGCTAGTCTGTCTCTGACCCCATAACTGTAGGCATATTTGATGCTTTATCCTGTGTCTCCGCAGGAATAACGCGGATGCGTTTCCTCTCGTTTATATTGACATCGATTGGTATTTTGTATTGCATGGAGCCTCCTATATGCTCGGCCGATAGAGACGGTGCTGCTTTGGGTGATTATTGTGTCGAAATCCAAGCGGAATATATAATTCATTTCCCAGTCATTTTAGAGGCATCTCGACTAAACGATGTTTTTGGTTCGCTCCTGTACTATCATGAAAACTATCACATCTGATTCGCCCCCTTCTATATTCCGAGAATGACTCCGTAAATACTCGGTCGAAAACTATCGTTTGTCCCACTGTCCAAACCCGGTAACCCCGAGGAGGCCATGCCACTTCCGAGGCACCGAGAAGTCCGCTTCACCGCCCGGCTCCCCGCCGATCGCAGCATCACGAGCATTTCTAATGCATTGTCAGCGATTATGGTAAACCTCTTCAAATTCTGGAACAATCCAAATAATCGACCCTGATCGTGTGATTTTGCGAGAGGACTTCAAATTCCTCATCCACATTTACCCACTACCAATTCGCCTCCTAGGCCTTTGATCTTCCTCTCATCCTCGGCATTGCGCAGTGAGGGGCAAATTAACGGCTTTCTCATACCCACTGCTCACAATGCCTGCCATCACGGATCCAGCACAGCAATTTGACACGATTGAGGACACAATTAAGGCCTTTAGTAAGTGGATGCTTCCACGAGGCCTTCCATTCCGCTATATGTTTTTGTCTCGCGACTTTCAGGGCCTCCGTCGTTTGAATCCATCATTAACGGTGACTCACCCCCAGGCAATGGCGAATTCATTATCGTGCTCGACTCGCAGGACCGCGAGAATGAAGGCGATCTCATAATTGCAGCCGAGTCTATTACAGCTGCCCAGATGGCATTCTTGGTGCGCTATACGAGGTGAGCATACCACCCCCACCCTGATCTGATCCGAGGAGACACCGGCTCTCTCCCCAGATGCGGAAGCTTTGGCCTGGGCCCATACCTTACCCCAATCTGCATGCTCACCACGCTTTTCTACATCAGTGGATTGATATGCGCTCCCATTACTCCGGACCTAGCCACCCGCCTCGGCCTCCCCCAAATGGTCGTCGAAAACGCCGACCCCAAGGGCACCGCCTACACGATCACAATCGACTCGAGTGACGACTCCGTGACCACCGGAATTTCTGCAGAAGACCGCGCGCTCACTTGCCGTACACTTGCCTCCCCAGGTGCTCAGATCGACTCTTTCCGCCGGCCCGGCCATATCATCCCGCTCCAGGCGCGGCCGGGTGGTGTGCGCGAGCGCAAAGGTCACACCGAGGCTGCGGTCGAGTTCTGTCGCCTGACGGGCAAAGCACCAGCCGGTGTCATTGCGGAACTCGTTGAAGGCGGCGAGATTGTTGAGGGCGTCGCGGAGATCCGTGGGAATAACGGTATGATGCGACGGGATGCATGCTTGCGGTTTGGAAAGAAATGGGGAATTAAGGTCTGTACCATCGAGGATTTGGTCGCTTATCTAGAGAAGACGGAGGGTGTTACGAATGGGCGGCATTAAGACATTGTCTGTTTTTGCTTTAACTCTTTTTTTCTTCTTTCTTTGCATCTGTTTTTCCTATTGGGTTGGGTGTATATACTTCGGTTCTTTTAGTGCCATTGTACATCACGAAAATTTGGAGTGGGTATCTTAGATGAATGGACAAAACGCCATGGTAATTCGATAAGTCGAATAAGTGCATTGTGTTGCTTTGGTTTATCTGGGTATCTATCATTTTGGTGTCATAATTTACAATTCTGAAAAACTGGTTGGCCAGGCGAACGCGCGAAAGACTTAAGAAAGGGGGCCGTGTAAACATAGGCAGCCTGCAATCACCATCACAACGCCGATGCAATGCAGGGAAACAAACGAAAGGCACTCTCGGCCCCCAAATGCCAGTCTTTTGCCACTGGGGGATGGCGCATCACCGCTTGAGGTGGGAGTAATCTCTTAGAATACCCATCATGTGAGTATTGGTGGTCTTGCCGCTGCGGCGCGGTTTCTTCGTCTTCTTTGCCTCCACCTTGACTCGAGGCTTAATGACCTTGTTCTTGTTCGTTGGGACAATGCCTGCTTTCTCCAACGCTTCCTTCACAGCGTTAGGGTCCGGGATCTTGATTTTATCCCATATTTGTTTGAACTCATCATCAAAGCGCTCAATCAGCGATGGGTCGTTGGCCCAAACCATCTTCGCATGGTCATCTTTCTTGTTACGAGTCACAAGAAGCTTTCCTTCCCTCTCCATCTGATTGATGGCATCCTCAACGTTCGGCCATCCTTCGCGAAGCTCACGTACACTCATGCCTGCCGCAGTATTCTGTGACTGCAGCTTTTGCAGGAGCTGCTCCGGGTTGCGGACGTTATGAGGTGGCCGGAAGCTGAACGTGCCTTCGCCGTTGGCGCCACTCGGATCATAGTCGACTTTCTCGTGCATCTGCAAGATACTCCGAAGCGCTTGAACGTAGCCAGCATCGTTGGCACGGTGTTGAAGTGACAAGTAGGAGATGATATCCGCAAACTTGAGAGGTACGCCCTTGGTCTTCATGTGCTCGATTGCGAAAAGCACCTGCGTCATGATATCTTTGCCCGTACCGGTATTAGCCGGCTGAGAATAGACGATGTCCGCTTCATGGCGCTTCTTCTTCACATCACCAGATGATGATGGAGTGGGCGCGGATGATGGAACCTGCGAGCTGCTGCCGGACGCGGGAGGGTTGTTAGCTGCTACTCGTCTCTGTTGAGGCAAGCGGTTAGCCGACTCCATGACGCTGGCATTAAAGCTCTTGAGTTGCTGCTGTAGGTATGACATGGTTGCGATGAGGTGCCGGGGGTATTCCAGACTTCGAAGACGAGAAATGAAAGGATATGGAGCTGGAAAGGCCGAGCGCTGTCGTGCCGTCGAGCTGGGACAAGCTCAAAAGGTTCCGATAAAGATAATCATAGGATGAAAGAAGACTGATAAACAGAGCGTCAGATAGTGCTGAAACCAGGTGAGGAGGGTCAAAAGGCAAAGAGGGCCGCCCTGACCGAGTCAAAGAAACCGAGATCTAAGTGTAACTTGCCGCTGTAGTTGATGATCAAAGAATCGAATCACGTGACAATCGCGGCGCTAGCCGTCTTTGACGAAAGCAACCCCAAAGCGCGCAGCAAAGGACCTTACGCCCTCCGGACATTGGACTCTTCCCATCGACCGATTGCTTTCCCCCATCTACTATTCACTGTCGCTTTCCAACGGCCGTGACTCTAAATTCATTTTTCTGTATCGCCATGTCCTAGGGCTCCCCCAAAGCGCTGTGTGTACTTGTTCCCAAGCAGTGCACACCGCGCGTTTCACTGAGAGCATTCAATCAGCTCCAGCTTTGCGCCATATCTTTTTCTTTCCCCTAGGTGCAATCAAATCTTACCACTGGTGAGCTTCTCATCAACATGGCAGATGCGGCTGTTGAGCTGCCATATCTGGCCTCACATTATGCGATTCCAGAAGTTACCCTTTCGACCCTGAGTCAGGCTCCAACAACCGACCTGGTCAATCAACTTCTGCAGTCAATCACAAAGAAGGCACATGAGTTTGATGAGCTCAAATCTGACAAGCTTCGCTTGGATGTTGAGCTCGAGAACGCTGTGCGCAGCAATGAGTCCAAGGTGAAGGTGTTGAAGACAACAGTGGAAAAGGGCCATGCTGAAGTCGAAGATCTTCGAAAGAAGTTACACGAATCTGGTAATTTCATGTTCTGTGGTCAATTATAGTTATCTCTTACTTACAGTGCTCAGAAAACACACGTTCCTCTCTTGAATCGGAGATCTCTACACTCAAATCAACCTCTACCACCAACGAGACTGAAGTCAACTCGCTCAAATCTCGTATCTCAACCCTCGAAGCCGAGAAAAGAGAAAGCCTTGCCTTGCTTGAATCGAAATCTGCAGCCCATGACAAGCTTGCGGAAGAGCTGTCCACACAACACAAGAAAACGATTGAATTGCGGCGCGAGCTTTCCACCGCAGAACAGAATCTCCAATCCGCAAACTCGGCTTCTGCAAGCTCGCGATTCCGTGAACAAAGTCTGCAGCAAGAACTAGACCTCACAAAGAAGAACAACGAATGGTTTGAGACGGAGTTGAAGAGGAAGGGCGAAGAATATATCAAATACCGCAAGGAAAAGACTGCTCGGATCTCAGAACTCCAACGCGAAAACGAAGAGTCTGCTGCTATAATTGATTCGCTAAGACGTAGCGAGAACTCTTTGAAGACCCGCCTGGATGATACCGAACATCGTTACGAAGAATCATTGGTCAGCATCAATCAACTGAAGGAAGATGCTATCCAGTCTGCCGAGTCCTTCCGTATTGAACTTGACAGTGCCAACAGACTTGCCAACCTTCAAGAGTCCGCCGCGACTACCGCCAAGCAACGTGTGCAAGAGTTTCAGCTCGCATTGGAGAAGGCCAAGGATGACGCGGCCGAAGAAATCTCTCGCCTGCGTGTTGAAGTTGAAACCGAGCACTCTGACAAACAGGCGGCCGAGCGTCATGTGAGCGAACTTGAAGAAACCATCACTCAACTCCAGGCTCAGGGTAGCCGCAACCGTTCCATGAGCCCGGCTCGTTCCCTTAATGGCGTGGGCCCAAGTACACCTTTGCGACCAGGCACACCTGGTGGCACGTTCTCTCCTCGAACCTCTCGCACTAAGAGCGGTCTTACTCTTACCCAGATGTATACTGAATACGATAAGACGAGGACCCAGCTCGCTGCTGAGCAAAGAATAAACCAGGAACTCCGAACTACTCTGGATGAGATGGTCCAGGAGATCGAGTCTAGCAAGCCGGAGATCGACTATATTCGTGCTGATCATAAGCGCCTCGAAGATGCGATGATTGATATGTCTAAGCTACTCGAGACGGCCGGCAAGGAACGTGACGATGCTACCAAGGAGTCAAGGAGATGGCAAGGCCAAGTCGAAGGTCTTGCTCGCGAAGGAGACATTCTGCGTCAACAACTTCGCGATCTGAGTGCTGAAGTGAAGGTTCTGGTCATGGAAGTTGCTCTCGCCAAGCAAGGAGAAGACTATGATCGCGAAGAACTCGAGAAAATTTCTCGGAATGAAATCGAGGAATCTTCGGCTGAATTGAGCCCGACTGGTCGTTTCATCAGTCGGAACCTGACAACATTCAAGGATCTCCACGACCTGCAAGAACAAAACCTCACGCTTCGGCGTATGCTTCGCGAGCTTGGAGACAAAATGGAAGGCGAAGAGGCTCGTGCAAAGGACAACATACGTCAGCAGGAAGCGGAAGAGCTAAAAGAACTGAGAATCCGGGTACAGACCTATCGTGATGAGATTGCCAACTTGGTTGCGCAATCCAAGAGCTACGTGAAGGAGCGTGATACGTTCCGTAGCATGCTCACTCATCGTCGTCAGACTATTGGAGATCCCTCTCTATTCTCCCAGTCTGTCCCCCCGGGCGCTGCTCCACCAACTGTTTTTGATAGCCAGATTAAGGACACGACCGATTACGCCGAACTTTTGCGTAAGGTTCAGGCTCATTTCGACACATTCCGCGAAGAGACTGCCACCGATCACTCGGCTCTACGCCAGCAAGTCAATGAACTTTCACGGAAGAACAGCGAGCTGCTCAGCGAAATCAGTAGATCTAGCAGTCAACTTGCTGCTTCCTCTCAACGTGCTGAGCTTTTGCAATCCAACTTTAACATGCTCAAGAGCGAGAATAGCGAGCTACAAAAACGTTATTCTACGCTGTTCGAAAATGCCAATCGACAAGACCTTCGAACACAACAGGCTGCCGAGGATCTTGTCGAGGCCAAGGGTCTCCTGGATAGCCTCACCCGAGAAAACGCGAATCTCAAGGCAGAGAAGGATCTGTGGAAAAATATTGAAAAGCGTTTGATTGACGATGCGGAAAATCTGCGGAACGAACGCAGTCGACTTGATTCGTTAAATGCCAATCTGCAAACAATCCTTAATGAGCGCGAGCATGCTGACTCTGAGACCCGACGTCGACTCCAGTCAAGTGTCGAGTCGCTCGACTCTGAGCTACAGTCGACAAAGCGCAAACTCAACGATGAAATGGAGAGTTCCAAACAGGCTGTGCTGCGTCGTGATTATGAGCAGGAGCAAAGCCAGAAACGGATTGACGACCTAGTCACCAGCCTCGGTGCTGTCCGCGAGGAACTTGTTGCTACAAAGACGACAAGAGACCATCTGCAATCTCGTGTAGATGAGCTTACTGTCGAGCTCAAGAGCGCAGAGGAAAGACTCCAAGTGATCCAGTCTCGACCAAGCGTCTCTGCGGCTCCCTCCGCAACCCCCGCCACCACACAAGAGGTGGGTGACGGTAGTGGCCTGACTCGCGAACAGGAACTCGCAATCGAGGTGTCCGAACTTAAGCGCGACCTAGACCTGGCGAAGGGCGAACTCACCCATGCTAAGGAGCGCGTTGAAGAATACCAAGCTATAAGCCAGTCGACCGAGGAGCGTATGGAGTCCGAGTCTGAAACTCACGCCTTGTACCGCGAGGAGACCGACCGTTTGATCGAAGAGAAGGACAAAAAGATCCAAGATCTGGAAACTCGCCTCGAAGAAATTTCTTCTGAGCTTTCGACAACCAACACTGAGATCTCTAAGCTTCGCGACGTGCAAGGCGAAGCTACGCGTCACTTGGAAGAACAGAAGGCTAATTTCGAGTCGGAAATTACTCGCCTGAAGGATGACAATGAAAGACATATTGCCGCCGCCCAGTTCCACCAGGAGGATCTCAAAGCCCAGGCTGAGATTGCGCAAAACGCTCAGCAAAATTATGAGGCTGAATTGGTCAAACATGCCGAAGCCGCAAAGAATGTTCAGGCAGTCCGCGCGGAGGCCAATCAGCTCAGGCTCGACCTAACTGAGTTGCGTACGCAAGCCGAGACCTACAAAAAGGATTTGACCCAGAAGGAAGAGAGCTGGGCCGAACAGCGGGCTAGGTACGAAGGAGAACTCACCGAACTGCACAAGCGCCGCGAGGAAGTTCTTCATCAGAACTCCGTGCTGCACAACCAGCTTGAAAACATCAGTAATCAGATCTCTGCTCTTCAGCGTGATCGTGTCAATATTCCCGAGAACGATGATCAGGAAGGTGAACAATCCGCTCCCAACTTGGAGGGCTTGCAGGAAGTCATCAAGTTCCTGCGCCGCGAGAAGGAGATAGTTGAAGTGCAATACCACCTCTCGACGCAGGAGGGCAAGCGACTCCGCCAGCAACTCGAGTATACGCAATCCCAGCTTGACGAGACACGCCTCAAACTCGAAGAACAACGTCGTTCTGCGGCTGATAGTGAACACAATGCTCTCAACCACAACAAGCTAATGGAGACCCTCAATGAGCTGAATCTCTTCCGTGAGAGTAGTGTCACTCTTCGCAACCAAGTCAAGCAGACCGAGTCCGCTCTTGCTGAGAAGTCAGCACGGGTCGACGAGCTTGTTCTACAAATTGAGCCTCTGGAGACCAAAATTCGCGAATTGGAAGGTATTATGGAGGCAAAGGATGGTGAGATGCAGCTACTACAGGCCGACAGAGACCACTATCAGAAGCGTATCCAGAACATTCTTCAAAAATACGACCGAGTTGATCCGCAGGAGATGGAGGCTTTGAAGGAGAAACTTGCCACCCTCGAAAAAGAGCGTGACGAGGCCATTGCTGCGCGAGATGAGGCTGTTGCTACACGTGATGCCATTCAAAATGAAGCTACCTCTTCTACCGAACAAGTGCAGGCTGCGGAGCAGGCTGCGGAGACTCGGATCAACGACTTGCGGAACAGACTTACCGAGCAGTTCAAGGCTCGTTCGAAGGAGCTATCTTCTCGCATCAACAACAAGCAAATTGAGTTGAACACGGCTTTGCAGGAGAAGGAAGTACTACAAGAGGAGCTCAACAATGCCAAGGCCGAGCTGGAAGTCTTGAAGACCAAGACGGCAGAGGTTCCAATTTCACCAGCCACATTAGCAACACCGGCGCCAGCTGCTATGGAAGCCACTCCGATCAACCCCACACCAGCGTCCCAGTTCCCGACAGCCACTACTACCATTACCACAGCTGGCAACGACCAAAAGGTCCAGGAACTTGAAGCTAAGGTGGAGCGCTTGGAGGCTGCACTTGCCGAAAAGGATGGAATTTTGACTGCTAAAGAGGCAGAATTGGAGGCAAAGGTCAAGGAGCGTGCCGATAAGCTCAAGGAATCCTTTAACAGCAAACTAGCTGAAATCAGAGCTACTCACCGTCAAGAAATTGAGAAGCTCTCTGGCGGAGAAGTGTCAGCCCCTGCCACCCCCGGTGCCACTATTGATCAACCACCTGCTACCCCATCGAAGGCTGGGTTTGAGATTCCGGACTTGACTGATGCTCAAGCTCGTGAACTGGTCGCAAAGAATGAAACGATCAGCACCATTGTCAAAAACAATATTCGCAACTGGGTGAACAAGGAGCGAGAGAAGGCGAAACAAGAGGCCGAGGCTACTGCCGCTACCCATGAAGAGACTCTGAACGGACTGAAGAAGACCCACGAGGATGAGGTTGCTGGAAAGATCAAGTCGGCCGTGGAGCTTTCTGAAAAGAAGTCAGCTGCTCGCATCAGTATGCTCGATACTCGCGTCAAGACTGCATTGGCCAAGATTGACGTTGTGCAAAAGGCTGCTGGCGAGACCCCGCAGAAGCCTGTTGTTGAAGTGTGGGAGTTAGCCAAGGCAGCACGGCCTGCACCTGCCGCTCAAGCTGCCAAGCTGCCGGCCGCTGCATCGCCGGCACCCGTAGCTTCGCCTGCACCCGCGACACCTTCTCCAGCGCCAGCTGCAACACCTAGTCCAGCTCTGACGAACCTCCCTGCTGCTGCCCCTGTGCAACAGGCTCCTACCCCGGCTGTCCCGACTGAGAATGCCACAACTAATGCTCCAACTTCAGAGAAGACTGAGGAGCAGGCTGAAGAGGGCGAGGTTGAGACCGTAGCGCCGCCGAATCCTTTCGGACAAATCCAACAGATCAATGCGCAAAATAAACAACAACCTCCGTCGTTGCCAACTAAACCTCCTGCGGGTAATCATCCTGGCATCTTGAAAACTATTCAATCCAACCTTCCTGTTGCACGGGGTGGCCGTGGTGGGGCCCAAAACTCATTTGGCCGACAGCAACAGCAAGCCCAGCAACCGCAACAGGCCCAGGCTCAACCGCAAGCTCAGCGTGGCTCTGGTATCGCTCGAGGTCGTGGTGGCCGGGGGGGACAAGGTCGCGGTGGAAATCAGAACCAGGCCGCTGCCAATCAAAATCAAGGCCAAACTGGCAGCCCGACCGCCAACCGCGGCGGGTTGAATGTTCAAGCGCGCCAATTCATTCCCCAGGGCAACAAGCGTTCTCGCGAGGATGGATCTGACGCGAACAACGAGGGTGGAAGTGGTGGTAAGCGCGTTAAAGGTGGTGGCGGAGGACAAGCGCGCGGTGGTGCATCGGCCTAGAAGGATTACCTTTTTCTATTTACTGAATTTTTCTGATGATGTATTATTTCTTGCCCAAGTCATGTATGCGGAAAAAGGAGGACCTTGAATATTTTTGATTCTTCCCCATGAAGGCATTTCGCCATGGGCATTGCGAAGCTATATTTTATTCCTTTTGTTTGTACCTACTGAATGTACGATGGAGCTTTTTGGGTTTGCTACACTCGTTTTATGGATTGATTTCCGAGCATTTATCACCTGAGATTCTTCCTAGGCATGTCTGATTGCTACCCCCCCCCCCCCCAAAATTCCCCCAAAAGACAAGCCTCATTATTACCGAATTCAAACAAATTTGGGTATAAACCGCTCAAAATGCAAATTTCATCAATCGGTATCTTTCCACGCACGCCTGTAGCTAGACACCTCTACAACTGGTCCAGCCATGTAAATGAAAACAACGCTCTAATAAAAACCAATAGAAAACACACCTGGGTCCCTTTTTTTTTTTTTTTTTCCATAGATCCTCTATTTCTTCCGCGCGGGCCCAGAGGGCACAAGCATGCGTGCCAGCACTTCTCTCTCCTTCTGCAAAGCCATCAACCTCGCGTCTTCAATCACCTTGCCTGCTGGCGCAGGCGACGGCATCGGGGTCTGCGCAACTTGCGCCGCGACCAGCACCGCGGGCCCAGGTATTCTCGCATCGCGTGCTCTCTTGCGCCGCTGTCCGACCCCATTGCCCCAGACAACCGTCCAGTCGGCCACAGCGCCGCCCGCAGGAACCTCACAGCCGGAGCAGATCTTGGAATGGGAGCCGATCTCCGCGTTGCGGTGTATGGTGGTCAGGGCTTCGATCTCTGCGGATGAATGGATGTGCGCGCCGGGGAGAACGGTGGACTGCGGCCCGATGATGACGAAGTAGGATATGCGCGTGGCTATTTCTTGGCCGGTTGGTCGGGTGAGGTCAGTGGAAGAGGATGAAGGCGACGGGCCGGTTGAGGAGGACGGTGACGCCCTTGATGAGACGGATGAGCTTGGGGAGGCTCCAATCACGGCCTTTTCACTGATGACGCATCCATCGCCGATACTTATGGGCCCCTCATAGGCGTAGAAGCGCGCACGCGGGTGGATGATCGTGCCGGCACCGATGGTGACGGGGTATGTTCCCTGGAAAACGACGGTGTCGGCGATTGTGGCCGAGGGATCAGCCTTGAGAGGAGCCTTCGGGGGGCCGGTCGGCGTATGTGAGGATGAGGAGCGATACTGTGCTGAAGGAGGCTTGAGTGTTGCCATTCTGGTGGTTGTGTGGTTGTGGTGTTGTGGTGTGATTAGTTGTTTTTTGAGACGTGGTTGCCGGCGTGAAAGGCGCGGGCTTCGGGCCGGGCCAGCTTTCCAATGGATCCAAGTTGAGGAGTATAAATCTACGGCAGCACCGCCCCACCGGCACTGGGGGACTTGAGACACTTGGAAAATACTTCATATACATGGTATAAAGCCCGGTCAGCGGGATATAATAACAAAGGCAAGAATGCAATAGTGCGAACCAAGAATTGACGCAGTTCGCCGGGTATCAAATCAGAAATCTATAAACAGAAAACGCCGAGATTCCAGCCCGCAGAAAAAGACATCTGGAACATTGACAAAGAGACAAACGAATCCCACTTGTCGGGATATCTCAGGCATCGGAGGACTCCTCGTCAACCATTCTCTGCTTGATTCCATTCCGCTTTCTCCAGGCCCACACGCCCCGATCCACCTCGGCCCGGGTCATGCCATCCCGCACCAGGCAGAAGGTGACGCCCAGCTCCGTCTCGACATTGCGGTTCCGCGCCTCGTCGTCAAAGAACAGCATGTCCTCATACGCAATACCGCTTGCCTGATTGATGCGGGAGAAATGCTGGGTCTTGTTGGCCGGGAATATCTGAACGAAATCGAAATAGTCCAGGGCACGGATCGATTTAGCGTTGTTGGCGGCGGGGTTATCTGAGAACGTCGGGATGATATGTAGGGACTTGAGCAAGTCGCGGGCCAGATCAGGGGTATGTGTGCGCGAGGCCAAGGCTATGGGGATGGAGCAACTGTTACAGGCGTAGATAATCGAAGAGACATCGGGGTAGAAGGCAAACGACTCGCCCCATCTGAGACCAGTTGCAGTTAGCCCGGACCAGAGGGTTTTAAGGCCATCCAAGATCGTATGGGTTTAGGGAAATCGGGCAAGGGAACACACGTACCGGTCGACCACACGCGAGTTGTGATCGCGGGCCTTGACGGGCGCACTGACGTGTGTGTCCACCCAAAAGGGCCACAGCGTATAGTCCAGGTCGAACGCGATCAGTTTGGGGAGTGGCAGCCCATCGGTGAAGGTTGCGGGGGCTACCGAGGCGTCCTCGAGGGGCTGTGTATTCTGGCGTTTGGCGCGTAGCATAGCGGGTGTTGAATGAGCGACGAAAAGAATGAGACGAGATAATCTCGAAAGGCAAAATACACGTGCGAAACAACAAAGAGAAGACAAGACTCGGAGTGAACAAAGCAGGTTCCCAGTGCGCCGAACTTGATCGTCTCGACTTCGACTCCCTCAGGATTATGTAATCAACACGCTCACATTGAACTTGAAATACGAGAAATCAACTTGAGGAGGGGCATCGAATTCATACTTGTGTGAATCAGTTGAGCCAGTTTATTTGATTCTGACTCTTCAGGTTCTTTCCGAATCCCTAATAGATAGCACAGTTGTGTTATTGTTGCTGTCAACCGTGATAACTTCCATGGTTCGATATGGACAACCCCCTACTAACCAAGCAATTGAACTGGATCACGGTCGAGACATCAAACTCATCAGAGTTCTCTCTCTTCCCTTTCAAAGTCGAGATAATATGGCTCTATATGTTTCTTGTGCAACCCTGAATTGTCTGAAGAAGAGGCCGCTCCACATGTTTCGCATTGTTGCTCGCCTTGAAATTAGGATCATGAAACTTTTGTACACAATGCTTCACGGCTCGAGAATAATTGAATTGAAAGCCGGTAGACCAATTTATACTACCTTTCACCTCTCTCTTAGCTTTCGCTAATTATGGCTCAATTGTCACCAGCCACTTTATTTTCGCGTTCGGCTAAACTTCCCTAGCCTTATATTGCACTTAAGTTGGGCGGCTGAGCCGAATCAAAGAATTCAATGCAAAGCAGTTGCTGAATACACCATGGCCAATCCGGTCGGGCTAGGAATGAACCAGATATCTGCCGGTTCGCATCGGTAATTATCACCATCAGTTCCTGCTGATCTCATCTCCTGCCGAAAGGGTCCAAGCCACAATTCTCAGCTTGGACTACCCCGGCGGGGCTAGACTGGAGCTATACGAGCTTAACTTTACATGCTGAAGGATACAAGGAATATTGTATCGTCCTGCTGTGCGCAATATAGGTGGTAGTATTACATTAAATGATGCGATTGTCGTTTCTTATCGAGCCAAAAAAGATCCGTTGCGAGAACTTGGCCGAGTGCCACTGCCATCCAAAACAGAGGCCATATTAGCCAGTTGAAGTTTGCGACACCAAAAAGGAGGGGCGCCATCAGAAGCATGGACTTTCAGCCCGCTGTAGCACATGCTCGTGTCAGAGGCCAAGGGCTGCTTACCCGCTTCGTGAGGCTGCAGTGCCACTGCCCCCAAGCAAGTTGAAATGCCGAAAGACATGTATATATACAAACAGACCAATCCACCATCGGGACCCATAACTTTCTCCTTTTACAGACCTGATCTTAAATCAACATCACGTCCTTGGTCAACATGAGTCCGCAGCCGTCTCTTAAAATTGTCAAAGGCCTTCCTGTCTTGCCCTACGGAAACTTGGATGATTCTTCTTCTCCCAGAAACGGAGAGTACATTGTCCAATCCGAGCCGTGTGAGAATGATGGCAAAGCCCTTGTTGTAGGGCATTCTGATGCTATTGAGAGCCGTATTTGGTTCAAAACCAATGTACGTCAAGATTTTATGGAGGCCCAGTGATTCATGTTCTAAGTGAGGTATAGGCACTTAATGACGCCTTGATCCGTAGCTTGCAAAGTATCCAGCTTTTTGCAGAAACCCATGATCAAGGGCATGCAGATGATACCTCTCTGGGTAATTGGACGTGGCTAGAACTAGCAATTTTTGAAGACGAGTCTTCAGAGAAACCTCGAGTGAGGAATGGAATTGATCTGGTCTGGCTGAGCCACAAGAACAGATTTCTTGACGACGATTATGGCTGGGTAAGCTAAATCGAAAGGAACCACCCAATGACCGAAATTGTTTTGACAAGCTTGTAATGAAGCTCGGCGGCCAAGTTTTTAATCGCAAGCACGATCTGCTAAGCCTTCTAGAAGTAAGATATTCTAAGCCTCGTCTGTCGCTTGAGCTTACTGAATATTTCATCCACGCGCATAGCCAAACAACGTTCTTGCCGTTTGTGTCTGCGCCAGATTCCCCGGCTGGGAGCTCTATGGACGAGATGCATACCTGATCTTTGAAATAGGGTCCCAGAGAGGTAGGTTTATTGCTTGAAAAGTATCTTAGAGATGCAAGGACATGTTAAGCTCACCACCCGTACCGCAACAGAAACGATCGAACCTCCGCCTCCATACTCCAAAGTTATGCAACAAATGATGAGCGTTCAAAAAACTCTCAACGAAGTCAATAATCTGAAACTCAAGATCAATGACAAGGATATTGATAGAGAGAGCGATGCTTTCAAACCTCAAATACCAATTGATCTGACACGCGCCGATGCGTACTTCGGTAGAGATGCTCGACCACTTCGTGTGCTTTCTCTGGGTGAGTAGACTTTCGCTTTTGCGCTGAGCTTTTGTCGTCTATTTCTGAATTTTATGTTGACCCCGACTAGATGGTGGGGGCGTTCGAGGAATTTCCAGCCTTCTACTTTTGCAGGCAATTTTAGATAAGGCAGCACCTGGGAAGAAACCATGTGAGATCTTTGACATGATCGGAGGCACTAGTACTGGCGGGTTAGTTGTCACCTTCATGCGCCGTCATTTTCCCATGGAATTGAGCAATTCTAATAATAATATCTAGTTTGATCGCGGTAATGCTAGGCCGCTTGCAAATGACTGTTGCCGAGTGCATTACCCAGTATGACAATGTCATGAAGGAAGTATTTCCTGAGACTGGAGATATCGAGAAGGCATTCAAACTAGCCACCGAAAAAGAATTCTATGATTCCTCCAAGTTGGAGGGGATCATCAAAAGGCTTATTAAAGAAAAGCTTGGAGATCCCGAGATTAGCTTGCTCGATGAAAAGAGCCCATGCAAAATGTGAGTCAAGAGAGCTCGTCCCATGCTGATTACCTTGTGGCTGATCCTTTGTGTTCATATAAAGCTTCCTCATGGCAACTAATGCTCGGGCTGGAAATAACCGGGCCCCCGTCTTTCTGCGTTCTTACAAAAACCCCAATAACATGGAGAACAGCGCACTGGTAAATATTAAACTTTGGCAAGCTGCTCGTGCTACCTCAGCTGCACCAGCATACTTCAAACCTCTGCAGGTAGATGGGTTTACCTTAGTTGACGGTGGTCTTGGTGCAAATAATCCCTTGGGGTGGTATGTTCCCGTGATATCTTCAATGCACCCATCTTTTCGGTGACAAGGATACTTTTGTTGCCATTGAATGAAAAAGGAGGGGGAAGTAAACAGCAATACACTGACAAATATATATTTTTTACAGGCTTTGGACTGAAGTCCTTGGGGTTTACGGTCCTGCCCGAGCCACAGATTGCTTCCTCAGCATTGGTACTGGCATGGCCAAAAACGCGCCTGTTATTCAGCCAGGAATACTTCCAAGCCACGAAGTTGAAGAGAGCTATATATCAGTTGCTACAAACAGTGAATTGATTAACATTATGTTCCGAACGCTGATCGACGCGTTCGCTCCTCAAGCCCAGGAACGTAAGTACTGGCGTTTGAATGTCCACAAAGATGTTCTTTCTGAGAAGAAGGTTGTGGGGAACGGGTGGTCAAACTGGAAAAATGAAATCGCGAACGGAACAAATGATTATGAAGACCCTGGGTCGCTGGATGATGTGAAAGCTGCTCTAGGAAAGTTGACAGACTGGACGAAGTCGTACATTGTGCAAGAGGGAAAAGCCATCGGGGACTGTGCGGCTGCGATCAAGAGGAATTTGGGTAATTCAAACTAATTGGAATTTGCTTTTGGGGGGTCTGGCAGAAAGAATCTTGTTTCAATCCTCCTTTTAAAGGTTCAGCCTCGATTTCATAACCTTAATGACATATTTTAGTATTCCAGACAATCTACTTACTGGATTTCTTTTGATAATTAGGCTCCACCTATCGTGTAGACCTTCACACGGCCACAGTAATAGAGACCGAATTACTGAGCCTTGGACAAATCAGGCCATGATCATGCTCAGTGGGCCTGGCCTGACCATATTCAAACAACGGAACAAATGATTTATCATGACTTCTCGCAGAATTCCGCAATTTCGTCCGAAGTGGGCTTGCATGCTCTCATAAACACTCTGGGGATCGATTTCAAGTTAGGAGAGAGGCCAAAGCTTCAGAAAACAGATATATTTGCCTAGCTAATGGAACACCCTGGCGAATTTTTGGATCAAATCATGCAACAATTTCCCGTTGCGCTCATAAATTTTGGATATTATTCAATAGATGTGGTTTATGGAAGGACCGAGTGGTCGGACTATGACAAAATTGCCCGCTGTGATGGATGGAAAGTATCAAGGCTAGCAACACTAACCGAAAGAGAACATATGCCAGACCCCCGAATCTACAAATGTAACTAAACAGTAGTTATTTCACTATTTATGATAGCATACAATTCAGTGCTTTGAAATGAGAAATGTGATTGACATACCACAATTTTGGAAATTCTAATTCAAAGGTTTTGACCGAGCCCTCAGTTGTGCTCCAAAGTATTGAAACAGAATAGGAATAGGTGACATGGCCAATGCAAGAAAAGCTAACAGGGTATTACCCCATCCCAGGCCCAACTTGTCATAGAGTTTCAATCCACACAGGGGCAAAAGACCTCCAGCTAAGCTCCGTAGAACAGTGCAGGCCGCAATTGCACTTGCAGCATGTTTTGTGAAAGCATCAACTAGATATGTCTGGATTCCCATAAGAGTAATGATCATGCCATATCCTGTTACCGCATTGCCAATCTCGGGAACAATCCAATGAACATGTTTGTCAGTGCCCCAGCCGTATATGAACAGCCCAGCAGGAATGCTCAGAGATCCAGGCAAGACAATATACCAAGGAAGTCGATCCTCCGGCTGGGGCTGTTCATTGCGTTTGATCCTCAACTTGATCATACGATCGCTCAGAACTCCTGCGTATAACAGACCAAGTAGCATACCAACTCCACTTCCTAGAAAAGAGAGACCGCTTGTGGCCGAGGAGAATCCATATTGCCCTTCGAACACCTCAGTGAACGTTGTAAAAAGAATATAGAGAAGACCGTAGAGAACTGCGATATAGATGCACATGGAAGCAACAATTGGTGAAAGGAGCAACATTTTTGATGGACGAACAAGACTTTGCAAAAATCTTTGTTTGGCCGGAATTCCATCGTCTAAGCGAGATTTGTATCCCATGTTTCCTGTCTCTTTTCGCAAGCGTGCTGCTTTCCGTGCTAGGATAGTCGGTGCATGGGTTTCAGGAACGATGAAAAAGAAGGCAATCGCAGAGATTCCTCCCTAAAGTCAAGGAAACGAAAGGTCAGTCATGATTTGGTTTCGTGGTTGCAGTTCATCTGTCCACAGAGCACATACAACAATAGCAAGAACCCAGAAAACCCATCGCCAGCTTGTGGCCTCAACCAAGTATCCGCCAACCACGGGACCAATGATAGGCCCAAAGAGAGGTCCCAAAGACCAAAGCGCCATCGCTCGACCGCGGCTCTCCGTGGGAATAATATCAGCAATCGTTCCACTCCCAATGGTTGTTGGTGTGACGCCTGCGACGCCATCTAAAAATCGAAAAATGACCAACGAGGTCAAATTTGGAGCCACAGCGCTGGCAATATTGAATATCAAGAAGAGCACGTTGCATGCATTATAAACCACCACGCGACCACTATACTCGCTCAGCGGGGCAACTATCAAAGGCCCAAAGGCGAATCCGAGAATATAAACGGAGACAATAAAGGTAGCGAGGAGCGTTGAACTGCTATTAAAGTCCGCCATCACCTGGGGTACGCCGGGTGCAAACATGGATGAAGCGAGGGGACTGAGGTTGTTAGATAAAGGTTCAAACGAAACAAGATGTCCAAGAAAGTTGGGAGAACATACGTCAAAAATGTAATGAATGAGACGGTTGCGACAATAGTCCATTTTCGAGCTGAGCTCCAATTCATGGGATTTGCAGGATCCTGGTCAACCGGTTCATTCCAAAATACATCCAGGTCTGTCTCGCTTCCTTCATCCTTTTTACCACTTGTGTGTCTCATCTCATTGATAACAATAACTTGGTCTCAGAGGAGGAGGCTTTTCGCTGCGATTTTTGAGCTGCAGTGTCAAGTGATATGACACAAGGAATTTCTTTGCGGATTGAAGATGATTAAACAGAAAGACATAGTAGTGTCTACGCCAGAATTCGAGACAAACCGGCGTAGCGGTTACTTGTGAACTATTTATGTTTCATGGGTGTAAAATGTTATCCACATTATGCCCGGAGATCATGGATCCGATGAGTATTTGTGTGATTTATGACCTAAAAAAAGTCCAAGGGGCAACTGTTAGCGCATCTCAAACACCCACGAGACATAGGCAAGATCCGCGCAAGCATGTCGTATTCGGGGTTGCTGATATATCATTGGTTCATAATTGTGGGGTCAATAATTGGTGACAGTGGATATTACACCAATTACATGCAGAGTTTTGAGGGTATGTGTACATTATTATCGTGAGTTATCCACCCAGATGTAAAACTTCCTCCAGGCTAATGAAAGCTTCCAAGCTCAGGGCGAGGTATTTGAAATTCTCTGATACATTTATGAACTGGTCTCCAGCCATTTATACAGGGCTGTGTCTGATATTTTCAAGCCGTGTGAGGCTTCTGTAGCTTCGTCTACCACGGATAGTCTCACACCTCTCTGGCAAATACCAAATCTCCCAGGCACTTAGTACGATTATCATTTGATATCCATCAAATGCATATGATGGCCATTCATTTTCCACCAGGAAAGCGACCTGACCAGCCATAGTTAAGCGCATCACATTGCGCCCAAATGCAATGATGCCAGTCGAGAGACCGAAAAGTTGATTCCACATTTTCCAATTCGTCAAGGAATCTTTACTGGCCTCTGTTGGCTGACCGCTGAGACGAAACATCATGAAAATATTGTCTGCAAACACAAGTCCCCAGAATAAAGTCTGGGCAACATAAATGGCGATTGTCATCTTTGTTCCCACGGCAACTGTGGCAGTGGAGGTAGATGCGACGACCATGATGCCTCCAATAGCCTGGAGGAAAATCAAAACAGTATTGGTGCCCAAATAGAGTGGCCGCTGCCACTTTATTGGGATAAAGCAATGTTTCTCCGCATCTAAAGCACAGGCGAACTTAGTCTGCATCATGTCGACTGACATCATGATCAAGGTCGGCCCTAGTAATAAGAGGACTGATTGGGCGCCATACGCTGCGCGGTTGCATGTGTCTAGTGTCGAAAATAGGCGAGCTGTATAGCCTGACGCTTGAACTAAGCGCTGTTGGTTATTAAAAAAAAATTGGATACAACAATGTTCTCAATCACTCACATATAGCCCCAAGGACGAAGAATATGCTAGACCAGGTCTTGGTCTGGATCATCCGGAAGCAAAGAACAGATGCTAGGCTTGAAAATGTGATCACAGCAACAGCAGCGAGAGGTAGACTTGGAGTGTACATGTACAGCTCGCAGTGTCTTGAGGCCATTATGAACGAGAAGCCTTCAACGTTGGTATAGTTAATGGAATTAATTAAAGAGAGATTGAGTAGGTAGTACTTGGACTGGACTGCCTCACAATACCTTCGCTACGATAATTTATAGAGAACTGATCTAGGCAGTCACAATTAAGTAATCCTGGTCTTTTTAGGCTGCTGAGAAGGAAAGTTTTGTGATGGAAAATCTTGCAAGATTGGACAAATAGGTCCCAAGGTTGTATGTTTCACGATCGCCAGCCCAACTTACCAAAAGGCTCCTAGACGCGTAGGTGCTAAGTCTAGATATCTGCAGAGCGCTATGTCAATCAAACTAGCTCAGTTTTAATATAGAAACAGGCCTTCATTATCATCGAATTTGGTACTCGACCTGGGATCTACCAAGCTTTTTTTCATAGTGATTTAAAGTTTGAGGTCCGGGTTCGGGTTCGGGTCCGGGTTCGGGTTCGAATTCGGACCTTAGGCACAAAAAGTTAGTCCGTGGACCTTGGTAAGCCTTGTTCAACTTCTGCAAAATCACGATACGGGTCGAGAAGTGGAACTCCTGGACCAATAAAATTTCGCTCGATATAAAATTAAATAATAGCATAGTGCGTCGCTTTGAGTTGATGCGGAGATGATTGCTTTCTGTCTATCTTTAGCTCTAGTGGCGAATTTGTGCGACGATCATGAGCCAAGATCCCTAGTGATATAACTATTGAAACCCCATCTTCTGATGGAATCTCCTCCGCTGGCAGTTAAAAATTATGACGCAGTCCCTCCTCATCTGACAAAAACCATGCTGCAAGAAATAAGCGCGTTGACGAACGCAAAATCCGTCCTAACAGCTGCGATCTCTACGGTATTTCTCCTTTGCTAAAATCAAATACCCAAGTGAATATTAAATAACAATTAGAGTGCTAGCTAATTATTTACATCGTCACAACGGTCATCTACAATGTTTACTTTCACCCGTTAAGTCGGTTCCCAGGACCGATATCTCATGCAATTTCTCGTATCCCATACTTCTGTCGTGCGATACGCGGTACCCTTCCATTTGACATGCTAGAATTGCATGAAAGTTATGGAGATATCGTGCGTATTGCACCTAACGAGCTTGCTTTCTCTCACCCAGATGCTTGGAAAGATCTATTTGGCCACAAAAACGGAGAGGCGGAAATGACAAAAGCTAACTGGTTCTACCGCCCACTCGATGAGCCTTTGCACATTGTCAATGAGAATACTGATGAGCATAGACTATTGCGCCGTCAAATGGCTCATGGATTTTCTGAGAAAAGTATGAGAGCCCAAGAGCCTATGATCCGGAAATATGTTGATCTCTTACTTCAAAAACTTCACGAAAACTGCAAGAGTGGCAGCTTGGTGATTTTTGATTGGTATAATTTTACTACATTCGATATCATTGGTGACTTAGCGTTTGGAGAGCCCTTTGGGTGCTTGGAGGGCTGCAACTATGATCACTGGATCAAAGGTATTTTCGAAGGAGCTTACGTGGGCACCCTGCTACAGGCGTTGTCATTCGTTCCTTCTCTGAAGTACTTACTTTTGTCGCTTGTTCCAAAGTCCATGAAAGAAGCTCATCAGAAGCACAAGGATCTGACAAAGGCGAAGATGCTTCGTCGCGTCGCTATCTCGGAGGAACGACCGGATCTCATTGAGGGATTGCTTAAGAAGAAAGATGAACTTGTAAGCCAATTAATTACTAAAGCACTCAATATTGCTAGCATTTCAACTAAAATGAGATGGAATAGAAACTTGGCATAGAAAAATTGATTTCTAATGCTGAGATCTTGATCATCGGAGGCTCCGAGACAACTGCATCAGCTCTGAGTAGAGTAACTTATCTCTTGTTACAGAATCCCAGTGCCTATGAAAAACTGAAGGATGAAGTCCGTTCATCATTTGACAACCAGGAAGAGATCACCTTGATCAGTGTTAACAGACTGTCATATATGCTGGCATGTCTTGATGAAGCATTACGCATGTATCCACCAATTGCCAATGGCCTTCCTCGTGTTTGTCCCAAGGGCGGAGCTAGGGTTCTAGGTGAATACATACCAGAAAATGTAAGTGTTTAGAAAAAAAAAGTTCTTTTTGGTGTTCAATTGAAATCAATCCTAAGAATTCTCATATTAACATTTTTGATTTCAGACTAATATCTCAATTCATCAATGGGCATTATATCGCCGCCAGAAGTATTTCAAAGACCCCAACTCATATCACCCAGAACGGTTTTTATCGGATCCAAAGTTCGTGGACGATTGCCGTGATGCATTTCAGCCATTCCATACTGGGCCAAGAAACTGTCTAGGAAGAAAGTATGCATTGCGTCATAGTATTTATCAAATCGAATATCAGATACTAACAGAGAATAGTCTTGCATACAGTGAAATGCGTCTAATTCTCGCTCTTATTATGTTTAACTTCGATATGAAGATTGCAGATGAAAGTAAAGATTGGATGAAGCAAAGAAATTTCTTGATGTGGGAGAAGGGCCCATTAAAGGTGCATTTGACACCCAGGACTCTCACAGAATAAAGATTGATCTAATCTGCTCCTAAATGCTACGTAGTAGCAGCAAAAAAAAAATGAGATTCGATAAATTGATGACAATGACTCTTTCTAAAGGATATGACGTTTCTGCCAATAAACCATAACTCAATTAGCCCCCCTCCCCCCGCGGTAAAATTAAGCTCGTAATTAAGATGATGGTGAAAGAGGTCAAAACGAGCACCTCAGGGTCTCTGAAGGCGGGCAAAAATGAGATTAGCGTCAAGGCGATCCGAATTGGATCAAGGCCTGGAGAGGGCTCTTAAATGGGCACGAATGTGAGATCAGATAGCCAGCAGCAACTTGCCTTCTTTCAAATCATCAACTTACTTCTAGCACCAGATCTATTAACAATATACCTAATAAGGTCAATTTCTATTCAATATATCCCAAAATACATATAGATGATATCAACGATGCTCAAGTCTCTTTTGTGACCTCATTTTCGAAGTTGAAGAACTACTGGTAAAAAAGAAATCTTGAAAGATGAAGAAAAGCTCAACCAGAAAAACGGGAGAGCTGTTCAATAGTAGATAGAAAATTGATCAGAGTTGTGGCGAACTGATATTATTTTGAGTATGGGCAAGATATAGACTAGGTGTTCAACATTAATAGATACTTCTGCGTCATCATTGAGATTATTTAGCGGATACTCATGATCATGATGACTGAGTGCTCACTGACCCGTCACAAAGAGTGGCTCTAAGCCTGGACCTGAGCGCTGTCATAAAAGCGGCGACAACTGAAATAGGTAAGCCCCATTCGCCAGGGAAAATGGAGTACATACAGCTACTTATATAACACTTGCAAAATAAAAATACCTCAACACCCATTTCGAGGCAGGCGCAATAATCCTCTCCGCTAATTTCTCCGTTCGCAAAAAGAGCAACCCCTCTCAAATAATACTCCATAATCATTGATCTTAATAATGATTTATGGCATCGTTAAATTCTTCCAGCAAAAGTCGATCAATATCGTCCCATCCAGAAGAGGTGTCAGAGGAGGCCTGGGCCTTGAGATCTTCTACGTTTGAAACAGGAGCAGACATGGGCTCCAAACGAGGAAGGGCGTGCATGGTGTTCAGTTCAGGAAGAAGAGAAATTCGAAATGGTGATTTTTTTATTGAGTTCAAGGTTCTTTCATCGAACCAGTAAGGATTGCTTGGCCTCCTGGCTGGAAAGGCCACGGGTTGTCGACTGGATATAGAATGAGACTCCGTTATAGCAGAGCTTTCCAAGTCACCGGGGTTAGTGAAAATGTCCGGGTTTGGCGTAGAGTCATCTGAGATTTCAATGTATTTTGGGGTCTTTGGACTCGTGAGTCCTTTTTCTGTTTTGAAGAATTCACTACTCGCGTCGGAAAGACTGCGATGGAATGTCCTATCTGGCTTTTCACTCGGAAGCAGCACCGTGGATGACAGCATTGATGTAGACCTTCCGGAAGCAGAGGTTCTGTCTTTTAACAGAGTTGAGAGGGGTGGGAAGTCGTCCAGACTATCATCATCATGGTAATCACTGGGAGACATTCCCCTCGAAACATTTTCTTCCTTTTTGTCTGACAGTGAGAAAAAACCTTTGTTGTTATCTATGGCGTGGGCGTGGTGCTGATCTGAAGATCTTCGCTTGTTTGAAGTTTTGAAAGGAGTCGTTTCTGATATATTGCTTGATTTTTTCTCGTCAATAAACTTCTGTTTGGTTGTTTGCTTTCCTTTCTCAGGGTATGCCTTCGTATCTCGCTTGGTAATGGTTGCCGACAATGTCAATTGGCTGAGGTTACTAGGTTTTGACGTGAGAGCGGATTTCTGTTTACTGGTCTTGGGGGGCTTCTCAAGACCATCGCGACAGCAAAAGTGTTTACAACTACAAATGTCAGTTAGTCTATCAAAACTATACCAGAAAGTGCTTACCTTGTCTTGTCCTTGCATTTATGGTTGCAAGCCCAATTTCCATTTGGAAGTTGCAATGGTTCATGTATTCCATCATCCTGAAGTCCTGTTTCCGACACCAACTTACTCCTTCTATTAGAGCGCTTGACTGAGGGCTGCCGACAAGGGCTTGGGGTGTCGTCCAGGGATAGCCAATCTAAATCGTCTTTTAAACTTTCCCTTGATACTTTTGGAGGACTGGCAGGTTTGGGGTTCTGACACCTCTTTATCACGTTCAAAAAGTCGTCAAGCTGCAAATCATCCCCATCAAAATTATCGGCTTCTGACAGACCTTTGATCGGGCTTATAGGGAGATCCCAAACATCGGGTTGACGAGTGTCGATTTTTGACTTTACTGTGGTTTTTTCAAATCTGGTTCCACTTCGCCTTGGCTTATTAGGTGGAAATGGATGTCCGGTAAGATTAAGCTTGATCTCAGCTTTTCTCGCAGTACCGGCTAGCAAGAATCAGTGAAGACTTTAAAACGCACTGTACTACTACTGACCAATATCGTCGCACATGGTATGGCAGATGATGAATTGGCTTGGTTCCTTGATATCTGCAACAATAGTTGCCTCAAAGCCATTCAGAAGCTGTCTAGCACTGGAACACGTTAGTGACGAAGCAGCCGTTGTCGAGCTCTAGCATCCCAGGTACCTTATGCGTCTGAAATCGATGAGCCGGCCATCTGAGGTTTCTGATAAACAGCAAACATGGACTGGTCGTCGCTGGAAGACAATCGGGACCTTTTCATTCATGAAGGCTACTTCGAATTTAAACCGTATTTTAACATCTCCGGACTTTATGGCGTAGAATTCGAAGTCAACAGATATCCATATAGTAACGTGGGTATTTACATATACTTACCTTTCCAATCATTTCAGCTGCAACTCTCAACTTGGGAAAATCCCTCAGTCGGGCTAAAAGCTTTGTCCCAAAGGGTGGGTTCTTGCTCAGAATCATATCGATTTGTGGGGCTTCAGCAGCTTCAAGTTCCTCCATGTTTGTGATACCAGCGGCCGCAAGTTTCCGTACAGCTACCACACCCACTTGATCAATCTGCTTCATTTGAAGCGGTGAATGATCCCAGACCTTTGCACCGAATCCACGTGCCAATTCAAGGGCGTTGCATGTGGAAACCGAGTCTTCTTTTGCAATCTGACAGTCAATGATGCAGCGAATCAAGCGGTTCACATGTGCAAATACGAGATTTTTATCTTGCTGGAACGAGAACTTGTGCTTCTGTAGCTGGTCGGTGTTTGGAAAATCGATAGCACCGAGCTCTGCTTGAAGTAGAAGCGAGACTTTGTGGGATGGAAGTGCGATGTCAACTTTGATAGCATACCGGATTCCCGGGTCACGGTTGATCTCTCGATAGAGCATCTTTTCCCCTGGTTTTAAACGAATTTCTCGGAACTCCTCAGCTTGAACGACCGCATCAAACTGTTCATGTTAGCTCAACCAGGTCACTGGAAAGAAAAAATACCTACAATCTCAGAAATGTTTGCCTGTGGTTTTAGGGCGAGCAAGGCTTTCATGGTCTCAAATCGAATGTAATACCGAGCCATGGCGTCACCGAACTTAGTCGAGGAAAGCTGACCGGTTGCAACAAGTCCACAGTCCTGGAGAAGTCGGATGTCCTTCTCGCATATCTGCCGAAGCAGTGCATCCTCATCTTCCTGACTTGCACCCTCCTTGAGCTTGTAGCAAGTAGGGTTCCGACGAAGCCGAACAAAGAGAAAAGTTCCCGCAAGCCACTTGATCGCAGATTCGACGTCGGTAACATTTCCCAGTCCGATTTCCGCATTGAGATGATCAATGAGGTTAAGGTGAAGACAACTCTCAAGGCTCTCCGAACCCGCTACTAACCTTTCATAATGACCAACTCGCTCTTTTCTCGTCAAGATCACTGCAGTAGCACTTTCATCAAATTGAGGCCGTCCTGCCCGGCCAAGCATCTGCATCATCTCTAGGTCCGAGTATTCCTTACAGCCTCCCTCTTGCCACCCGACGGTGTTTTTAATGATCACCAACTGGCATGGCAGGTTCACGCCCACGGCCAGAGTCGAAGTACAACAGATGACGTTGATCTGTCCCTCCAAAAATCCTTTCTCGACAACATGTCTGTCGGTCGCGCTGAGCCCAGCATGGTGGAATGCCACGCCGGCAGAGATCATTGCTATACACAATCAGGACCAGATTACAGATACCCCTCAAAATTAATGTAGCTCAAGAATACCTCTCAAGTCATCATTATAGACTTCAATCCTCTTCCCAGGGCCTTTCCAGCATCTGGCAGGTGGGTTTGTCATGTTCCACAAACGAGCAAGATCTTTGGCCGTCGAAACAGACGAATTTCTTGTACAGCAGAAAATCATGATAGGCTTTTGACCTGAATGTTTCCCAATGATGTCCGGCAATCTGAAAACTCATCAGCCGGATTGGGACTGGAAAACTCCATTTTGTGTATACTTACTTTGAGCCGCAAATTTTGTCAAACGCAAAATCATTCATTATCGACTGATGATACCCATACACGAATTTCTGAAGCTTCACAGGCCGAAAGTCCTCACCAAAATGCTCTCTATGTGCTGGCACATGTTTATTAGTCGAATCTTTGCCGAGCCAGGTTGCAATATCCTCTGAATTGGGAACCGTCGCACTTAGAGCGATGAAGCGAACATTCGAGCCAATGTTCTTCATCCGAGATACAACAGCCTCGAGAGTTGCACCACGTGTTTCTTTAAGAATATGAACTTCGTCGATGAGAAAAAGTTTCACCAACTGCATGAGACGCATGTGGTCTTTCCATTTCCGTGTCATACTGTCCCACTTCTCGGGCGTAGTGATTATGATTTGGCTGTTCTGTATGTTTCGAAGTTGCATGTGGTCCGTGTCGCCTGTCAATTCCGCGCATTTCAGGTCCAGTTTTGCGAACTTGGCGTTCCAGTCGCGAAATCTTTCAGAGCAAAGAGATTTCGTTGGAGCCTGATATATTACTTTGAATCTTTCATCCTTCAGAACATCGAGTAGTCTGCAAATCGCAAGTTCCATGACCACTGTCTTCCCGCTCCCTGTTGGCGCCGAGAGCACGATGTTGTCGTTGGTATGGTATACGGGTTGGAAGCACTTGGATTGAATAGCGTTGAATAATGGAAATGGATATAAACTGCGGTAGCGCTCTGGAAGTTCTTGCACTGAAACTAGGACTATGCCTCGCACGGAGAGCGGGATATTATCAAATGGTGAGGCATTTTGACTTGGCACGTCATTGGGCAATGCGGTATTCAGTTGAGACAGAGTGACTGGCAAGCGTGAAGATGGGGTTGCTTCATACTGCGATGAGCAGTTTTGAGGTTCCAGCCATGGTCGTGGAAGCCAAGATGTTCCCTTCCTTTGATTCAACCTCATCAGTGGGCTTGATGGCGGGCCAGAAGTAAGTTCGGATTGGCTAGAGCCAAGTTCATGCACGTAGCTGAATTCAAGGCTTGCTATAATTCATAAGTACCGTGGAAATTGACAGAAGATTTCAACTAGATGCCAAAGGGTTACATACGATCAAAGAAGCGAGATCTTTGCGGTGAGGCATTATGATCATCGTAGCTGGTCACAAAGCTCTCTTGTTGGGGAGTTAATCGAGGGTTCATAGACTGTTGTACTTGGAATACATCCGATTGGTCATCTTGAGCGAGAAGCTCCAGATCTGGAGGGACTTCAATAACTGCCAACAAAATTTGACGATTGAAACGTACCGAACGCATCCAATTGAGACTCCTCGTCACGAAACGTAGAAATCAAGTCTTGTGGGGGCAATGGGCCTTCGGAGACTGTCGCGAAATGCTGGGACTGGTGGGATCCATCAATAAGCCCCTGGTCAATGAGTCCTACTCTGCTGCTCTGAGAGGCATTAGCAGAGCCCGCATCAAGTCGACGTCTCTTGGGAGACGGTTCAAATCGCTTTGAACGACTATATGGATTGATTTTCATGATGTAGAAAGTTGAATTGTCGTTGAATTGTCGAAGATGTTGGGAGGGGAGATCTAACTAAGAAGTTGAAAGAAAGTTGGGAAGAGATAGGATAGGATGGCGGCACGTGGACAGGCGTCAACTCGCGGCCCAGCACCAGAACCGCCATTGCTAGAGTTTGTATTGGGGTATATGGAAGTTTCTCATTGCTTCGTATATATGCATACATGACCGAGATTCAACGGTTCCTCGACGTTATACAACATGCTCACATAGACCGGCCGCAACCTACGAGGGCAAATATCAAAATGGCCTCGATTGTCAGGAAGCACGGTTCTCATCGGATCTATCCGGTATCCAAGTTTCATATTTCCATTACCACATCAGGGGTGATCAAGCAGAGCGGAAGACCAAACGTAATGGGCATTTCTACTATTCTTTTTCATAAAAAGTGGCCCCACTAACGTTTCGGCTGGAGCTCACCCGAGTATGGCCCGGGTTCGGGGAGGTTGGTCGAGATGATGACATGCCATCTGAAAGGAACGGGGTGGAAGGGAGTTTGATCGAGAAATCGTTGGTGGACCCGTTGACAGGAGAGCCATTTCCATTGCCGGAGTCCTTCTCATATGCATCGACACGGATGGGCGGTGGGCGCACGCCACCGACTTTGGCCACGGCTGGGCCAAATCTTGGGTTTCCATAATAGTGGGTGGCTACAAGAATTGCAGCGGAGCCCAATACAAACTAAAAAAAGGAGATATTGTCAGAATCAATTTACACAGCGGAGAGGATCATAGTGAGAGACGTACTGTTGGGGAAAGTTCAAAGTCAAAAAGCCAGACACTTCCAACGATGCTCAAAGCGATATTGGCCGTGGTGGCCAGCGACCTAGGGTCTCTCTGTCCATGGCCAATGGAGAAGGTGGAGAGGATGCCACCAAGAGCCTGGACCAGGATCGTCGACCATACGACCCAATTGTAGCCTTGAAAGAAACCATCGTTGGCAATTCGCTCGCCATCCCGAAACCCAACACCAATGAACAAGGCGGGGAAAACGGCATAAATTGCTAACTGCACATTGCGCACCCACATCGATGTGTGATTTGAGCTGTCCTTGAGAACCTTCTCAAAATATCCCTCACCAATGCTAGACGCCCAGACAGCGCCAATTGTGGCCAGGAGGCCCACAAAAGGGTTCAGACGTGGATCAGCCGTCAGGAGGTCCTCTTCAATGCCTTCATAGGTGGCGGAACGCTTGTGCAGGTTCCCTGTAGCGCCCTTGACGGCCTTCCACTCTTCGAGAGATCGTGGAAAATGGAGCGATGACCGTTCATCCTGAAGAGACATCTGCTCCACGTTGGTATTGGAGAGCTGGACCAAAGCAAAGCCCGCCAGAAGAAGTACAATCAGGCCCAATTTACGACCCGTCATATGCCGTTGGAAAACCACCGAGCCGAAGAGAGCTATGGGCACATACTGCAGCTGATAGGTAACCATGAATACCGCCGGGCGCAAGTTTGACAACGCAATGTATTGGAGGGAGTTTGACAGGACCCCGAGGCCGGCGGGGATAGCCAGCTTCCAACTATCGCCCGAGAAGACAGCACTTGTGAGCGAGAAGAAGAGGGAGGTGGCGGGCATGGATGGCGGTGCAGTTTTCGAGACGTCATAGAGGGCCATTGTGAGGGCGACGGCCAACTTGACCACTTCACTCACGAAGACTGCAGTGGAGGTAAGGTATCGTTTACCCCCCGCCGGGGGCATGATCTGGGAGTAATGCGACAGCTAATGGCAAGAAAGAGGCATATTAGTTAATGAGCGCCGGTCGCAGTCATTTCGGACTCTAGATGGGGACTTACCAGCACAAACCCTGTGGATTGGGCAGTCAGCTGTGACAGGAAAGAGCCGCGTCAGCCATCCATTCCCAACAAACCGGGATGTTCAATTTCATAACAATGCAGTGCGAATCATACCAGCAACCAAGGGACATTATTCGTCGCATCTCGCAGCCATGACGGCTGACGTGTTGTGCGGTCCCCCATGGTAACAGGGTGTCGAGAAGGTGATCGCACCCTGAAGAGGAGGGGGGAGGGGGGGATTGTGATGGATGTATTCTCCGCGGCACGGCACAAGAGAGGAAGCCGACGAAAACAACGGCGATTGATGCCTGGCGAGGTTTCGAAACAACGATTTGATGTAGGGAGCGACGAAGATTGGTGGTGCAAAAGACGAGAGCTGAATTTCCACACCCTCAAGTCAAGCCAGGGGGCTTCTAACGATCTTCCGTCTAGGGCCCGGCGTCAGGGCTTCGGATGGCGATCACGGCGGAGCTCCGTGCGAGGTGGCTGGGTGGGCTGCAGAACGACCAGGTACCGGAGTGGTTCGGCGTGTTTTGAACCCCAGGCACCAGGATTGTCGTAGCCGCACGATAGAAGAAGTAGGCAGGGTAAAAGCGTGGAAGCGTGAAAAAGGTCAAGAGAAACAGAGAGAGGTGCTGGTGGGATCCGGGGTAGCGGCGATTTAATGGATGAATGGGTTTGGAACGGCGGTGTGGATCACGGGGGCTGCCAGTCACGAGTTCAGCGCTCCGAAGTCAAAACGGGAGACTCTGGAGATTCTGGAGATTCTTGGGCATCTACAAGTATCTCCAGGTATCAACCCCGTACAGCACTGGCGCTCCCGGTGTCTTTGGCGCCTGGTGAAATGACACTGGGGTCGTCTATTGGCGGCATCCTTTGGGCCCCCAGCCTCTAGGGGGCTTAACGCCTGACGTCAAGCCCATTCATCCTGCCCACTTTCACCTCGCAGCTTCCCACTCCAACGGCGCCATTCGCTCCAGCCTGGCCATTGGCCTAATCTGGTCTTGAGGAATCCAGTGCACTGGGGCCATGTCAACACACAGCCGCCGGGTACCGCCCACGAGTTACGTACTCCGTTGGTACCACCCCCGGCCGCTTCCTGGGCGGGCTTTGGCCCTCCTGCAGGTCAGCCACACTGCGTAGGACTGGGCCATGTTGAGGGGAAAAGCGTCAGCTACATGTATGCTCCGTGCATTGTGGGGACTCATCTGCAGCATGTAAATTTTGCGATGGATTTTGTGTTAGATATTAATGATCATTATGATGATGGGTAGGGTCAATATATGATGTCACCAACAATTGGCGCAAGATGAGATTGGAAAGGGAAGAAAGGTGTATATAGTAAGACACATGCGAGCGGGTATATCAGATGCCCATGTGTGGAAACAGTCAAGGAAACCAAGGTCACAAAAACAAAGGCAAGACCAAACACGTTCGTAAAACAAGGTCCCAGAATAAAGCAGAACCGTGGCAGATTACCTCCAATTTGACCCAAATAGTAGCATGAACGCCCAAATGCAATACAAAGAAAATGCCATGAGACAAAGGATATATATCAAAGGGCGTGATGGAGGTACCGGTCCGAATCAGAAATGAGGCGATTATACATGGAGTCGAAAGGAAAAAGAGAGAAAGAGAGAGGGAAAAAAAATCGGATAGTGAAGGTGGCAATCCCGAGGGATCTGAGGGACCTAGAACAGGCCATGCAATTTAATGCACTGGGGCGACGCTGGTGCGATCTTGATTCCAATCGAAGTCGAAGGACCACAGGGGGAGATCGTGCTTGCGTTGAGGCTCACCACTATCGTTCAACATAATGGCCTCGCTGCTGTCCGTACGACGACGTGCATGCTGCTTCTGGTCCTCCGGAATGGCAGGTGGAGGACCGCGTGGTGGAGGCTTCGGAGATGGCAGCGGTGAGAAACGATGGATAGGGAGGGTCGGCGTAAGGGGGGAGGCGCCGCTGGTGGCTGGGGACGGTAGACTCTCGGAGTAGCCCATACTGAACCGCGGCGACGTAATGGAGTTACCAGTTTTCTGTTCAGTATCAGAACTCGAACTCTGTGAGGGAGAACCGTCTTTATCCATGTGAGTTGCACCTTGGTCTTTCCGCGCAGGGAAGGGCGGGAACGCAGCGCTGAGGCGCAGGAACGACGTGTCCGATCCGCAGAAGGAATCTCGGGATGGGCCGGAAATCATCGAACTCTGGTCGGTGTCTGGACCGGTATTGTATTGGAATATGCTGGGCGTGATCTTGCCTTTCCGCTGCCGCATTGCCTCAAGTAGGTCCTGCTCCTGTCGAGTGACGGCGATAACGCGGCTGCGACGGTTGATTTCTTTCAGTTCCTGGGGCGTGCGTCGGGGCTGCTGCGGAAATTGATCAAGGATGCTTGGTTCGGCAATGATAGGAATGTGGCTAGACCGTCGAGATTGGGTAGTTTGGGTAGTTTGGGCGGTTCGGCGTGTAGTCGTCGACGATTTGCCAGTGGATCCAATAGATGTATGTCTGCGGTTTGGGGGTGTGCGCGAGGCTGGATGGGAGCCGTGGCTGCTGGTCGACGGGGCTCGTTCGACCTTCTTCAACATCTGAGCTGTCGCAGCCTGAGCGGTAGAGGCTGTGTAGATCTCGGGTTCGAATTCGCCGTAGGTGGCCACGCTGTCCCTAAAATTCTTACGGTTGTTGCCCTGCTCATTTGCTGGGGTCTCTTGCTCCGACTCATTCTCATCCTCAGAAGATGAGAGGCAGAGAACGCTCGAGTTCTGCAGATCCTTGTTCCGCAAGGTACTTTTGCTACTCTTCTTACTCACGGCACTCTTACCCCCGCGCGAGTTTTTCGATTCGGTCGTCAACGCGCGATGCCGACTTGACTCCTGTCGTGTTGTCGGGTTCAGGTGCGGGGCCTTGCGCTGGAGACTGGCAGGACTGTGCCCACGGCGAGCGGCAAGGCTTGATTCGGCAGGGAGCTGTGGCTGATCAATCCGCAGTTGCTCCTTGCTGGCTGTATAGACACTCGAACGACTGAAGAGCGACCGTCGACCGGCGTACCGATCCAGCGCTATATCGATCTCGCTAGTCCCAACGGTCCGTTCCAGTGGGTGGTCATGCCACTCGCCATCTTTGGATTCGGGGATGGAAAGCAAATCTGAACGGTCGGTGGTATGCTTCGGCCCTTCGTGTGAAATGACGGAAGAACGTGGTGGCAGTGGATCCCCAAACTTTTTCGTGCTAGAAATGCTGGAGATCTGGTCGACTCTGTGAGCGGGGTAATCCGAAACGACCGTTGAGACCGGAGATGGGGAATTGGTCATCCGTTGAGGTGACAGGAGTGGCGGGGCGGGATTGCGAGGTTTGGGGAAGAGAATAGACAGGTCGATACGAGGTGGACGTAGTTTGCGCTTGGGCTCTTTGGCCGTGCTGCCCGCTTGTTTGTATGTCACATGTGGATTGGTCCCTAATTCATTGCGGATTTGGGGCTGGAGACTGGAATGCCGAGGTGTCGTCGGGGAGGACTTGGATCCATCCTTTTCCTTCGAGCTGAAGTATGAGAACAAGGTTGAGGACGATCCGGTGTGGTGGATTTTCTTGGAAGGCTTCGGCAGGGGCGGTGCGGGCTCCTGGGACCGATAGTTATGGCCCAGCAGCGGCGATGAAGCGCGAACGCGCAAATTCTGAGGCGGGACGGCCTGCTCTCCAGCAGGAAAGGGGACGAAGCTGGTAGGCTGGGGTTTCGTCGTGCCGTCTGGAGTCCGAAGGCTTTGGCGGCGCGACTTGACCTTGACTGGCTTGTCCCACCCGTGATTACTGCCAGGGAGGGGCAAGTCCGTCCCTAAGATTCGTTGGGCTTTGGATGTCTTGCGCTCCAGAAAGCGATCCTCCTCGTAATCTTCTATGGTTCCAGCACGTAGCATATTTCGGCTGGACGTTCGAAGCGGCACATGTACTGGGGAGCGATCTCGGTGCGCCATTGGATTCGAGCACGAGGACGATTCAGGTATTCGGCATGAATTCGACACAGAACATGCAATTGATGATTTGCCCGGCAATGTCGTTTGAGGCCGGATCAACTTCGAAATTCAGACGATGCAGACGATTCACAGTATTCTAGCGTGAAATGTTTTATAGCCGGGGCTTCCTCTCGGGTTTTGCGTGCGGGTCAATGCAATCTACTCCACCGTCGGGACGGTCAGTGATTCTCTTCTCAGGCACCGTATCCAGTCGGAGTCAACGGAATGAGTCTCGCGGAGGCCTCCACCACGTACCGTAGGACAAAAAGTCGCAAAAAGGATTTGGAAGGAGATAGGGAAAGGAAAGGAACGGAATGGACTGGGCCGGAAGGGAGGGGAGGGGATCAGAGAGGGAGGAAAAGAGAGGATGTGCGTCCGTTTTTTTGTAATGCTCGAGGTCGGGCAGCTCGTGCTACTCCGTACTAGTCGACTTAGTCCCCCTTCGCCCTCTCCCCAGTTCGCCCGTCAAACCCATCAGGCTTTGCGGAAACCAGGATCGGGGTCGGGTTGTCCCCTCGATCGATTGGCTCCTCCATCTCTTGATTCCCGCTCCATCCCACGGCCATCGGCCAATGGATGGAATCCAGCCAACCAATCTCTCTAGACCGACCACCCTAACGCCCCAAACTAGCCGCTCGCTGGCCCAGAGCAACTCAAATCAATTCATGGCGTCTTCAAATAGGGGCGGCCCACCTCTTTCTGGAGCTTGCATGGACCACCCGTGGAAATAGACTCCTCCTCCACCCGCACAACCTCGCACGGGTCAGTTTCATTTCGCTCGGTGGAGTCCCGCGCATCCCCGATGGGCGCCTGCCATTGGATCATTCCACTCAAAGGGGGTGGATGTTCCTGGTGCTTCTGGTCGACGGGATCCGAGGGGCTATGATCGTGATGGGCCGCAATCGGGGGGACCCAGTGATGGCCCTGGGGGCCTCGAGAGATCGACACTCTCATCATGCTGGCGCAGTCACCTCGCGTCGACCAAAACAGCAAGTATCGACAGGCACCCACCGAGGCTGGGGTCTGAGTTCATACCTGGCCCAGTCTCCGTCCGGTGTCCGGGTTCCTAGTGCATAGAGACCCATGGGGGTTCCATGGATACCATGTTGATTGCAAAGACATTGCATGAAAAACTCTGGCGCCAGGTATGAAGAGCGGTTACGAGCCAATACACAACTTGAGGTGAAGCAGAGTAAAGCGACGGCTTTTCACGCAGACGGGACGATCGAATTGACGTCTTCCATCGTCGTGACAGCCATTGATGTGCCTCGAGGACGCAAACCCCTTACGGCGGGACCACGGGACAACCTTAAATCACACGTGTTGCCATGCGTAAAAAAAGCATATCCGTACCGTGGGAAGAGGATCTCAGGACTGAAGCAACGCGGAGATTACTATCTCGTTGGGGCCGGAGTTTTTTGGACCAATTGTCACGGACGGTAAAGATGATGAAATGAAGAAATCGTTAAAGGTTCGTATTTGACGTAGTATACGACGGAGTATTCGGAGTACGGAGTACATCTATCTGCATATCCTGTCCCTCCACTTCCTGTGATTCCCCGTGGGCTAGGGCTACACTATTAGGCGCCTCTTACAAATGAATCAAGCGCTTCCCACGGTTTCAGTCTCAATAATGAAGGATAGAATGATGCACCGACCCATCTCAAATCGATCCAGCGTGTGCCCACCGTCGTGGCGTCGGCGCCTCTCCCACTCCACTCAAACTTCTTGCGTACCTCGCTGGTCTAAAAATGTATCCTGCACTCGTTGACACATATCAAGTACGAAGCACATGCGTCCCCGGTGGCTGTCTCCGTTCACCCCCTTTCCCTGCAGGAACCGAAAACTAATTTAGAATCAACCAGAGCTGTCGAAATCCACGCCATGGCACACAGTTGGGTCTTGGTGCCTAGAGCGGGAAAAAATAGATAATAAAAAATAAAAAGGGGGAGATGGAGCCTCGAGTGCGAGATCGAGGGCGTCATGGGCCGCTGTTCACTCCAGCAGATCGACACCTCGATCGTTTATCGACCCGGCTGGCTGGTGCAAGAGTTCCGATCGCAGAAACTCGACCGCCCTGCGCTGTCCTCCACTGCCCCAGCGGCGCTGTGACAAATACTCGGGCTGTCGCGTTGCTCCTCTGAGGCGGGCAACGATCGTCCCCCTTTTCGATCCCGGCAAGATGCGTGCGTATTGCTCCGATTCCAGGCCCCGTCGTGCAAGGCGTCAAGTGCCCACGCGTTTGGTATCCATGGGAAGGGGCTCGACTCTCCTACAAAACCCACTACTCCGGGCGATGGCTGAAACATTGTCCACCGCTACCCATGGACCCTGGCCGGTTGACAGGTTTGACACGCGCCCTCTGGCCCCATGGAGCGTTGCTCAGCGGATGATCCTGACCCCGACTGTTGTCAACCGAGCTCAACAGGGGATCCTAAGAACCAAGGATCCGAGGGTGGATTGTTTGAGAGACAAAGACCGCAGCGACTGGTGGCAGAGACTGTTTTCCCGGTTCGCTCTAGCCTGTGCGACCGTCGAGTTGGTCCGAGCAAATCAAGAACGATCGTGAGGGCGATCAATCGAGCCGGACAGCTCCGTCCATCGTCTGCCCTCCACTGACGACCGTCTCAAACCGTGTGCCGTGTCTGAGACCCACTCGCGACGGCACAGCAAGCGGTGACACTCCGGGGCAAACCTGATGCTCAAGATCATGGTTCTTCTCAAGAACCATGCTATTGGCCAATCCCCGATCGACCTAATCGTCCTGATGCGATGGCCGCCATACCGCTTTTGTCGGGGGCGCCGGACTTTTTCGATCTGCAGAGGATAGGGGCTTTGTTTTGGTAACAACAGGTTTTGCGGGTCGGGCATCAGACACGGAGAACAGGACGCACACAATAATCCCAGTGCGATGGGACAGAAACGTTGGAACAAGTGGACATGCACCCCATGTACCCCATGCACTTTCTGACCAGGGCACTATTGAACCCAAACAGGTGGTTTGACAGGTGTGGTGAGGGCGTGTTGATGGGGGCGGGCTCCATTTGTCGGCTATGCCCAAATGGTTGCAATGGTCGCCCAAGCTAGCGTCGAGCGGGCGAATAGCGCCCTCAATAGTCTCGCTCCCGCTCCGCGTACCTGGAACAACGTCCACCTCCCACCATCCATTGCCCTGGGATGTTCTCCAGAATGTTGCATGCTTTGCTATGGTGGAGTTTGTAGATCATATAACTATTGACCATATTTAAAGAATAGAGAGGAAACCGCAGCATTCGTGCTGGTCCTGGGCTGGTTTGGAGGCCCCCCAGTCTCCACCATCTGCAAATCATGGATGTGATGTCAGTGGACGGAATGTCGGCCTCAAAAACCGGTCGTCTGGAATGCTTTGTTTTGTTACCCGGTATGTTGGTTAGGAGGACCCCTGCAACACTCGAGAGACTGGGTCGACATCCAAGTGCCTCCATTAGCCTATGACAATTAATTACTGATCCTCGATTTTCTGGTGAAACAAACTGCTCGTGGACTGGGTCAGCATGTTGTTAATCACATCATTAAACCTTAGCTAGACTCATGAAAGGCAGCAAGAGAACTTTCCTCCTCAAGATTTATGCAATGAGTTCGAAATTCAATAGATCATATTCTTGGTCAGTCTCTGCTAATAATAACAAGTTGGTTACTGCTATGGCCAGATCAAAACAGACGAGAGTAAATTGGATACAAACCACCCAACACGAATCTCCACGATAAGAAATCATCATAGGAATAATTCCTAGTAATAATGGTAATGATGCATTCTGCCCATAATCCTACTAACCACTGTCTATGGATATCCTAACGTCTTTCTGTCAAGCACCTGTCAAGTCCACATCCTTTTCTCGCTCCTGGATTCCGGCTCATCTAGATCAAATTATCCCAGCTTCTTCTCTCCTGACGAGCATGTTCGGTTCTAGTCTTCCTGGGCTAGAAGATTGCCGTCCAAGGAAGAGTCGATATATCGCACTGTTAAAGTGACACTGTCCTATCTCGTAAGCCATGCCCCTGGAGGGTTATAAGAACCAAGCCTACCTATCAAGCCCAGTATCGATAGTGCGGCAGACGAAAGTGGCGGTAGAGCTCGACTCCGTGCCCGGGGACAAGATCGGAGTCCCATGGCTTTCATGGAATCCAGCAGGTTGATATTCATCTGGGCAGTCAGGGGTATAAAACAAGTGGAAGCCCAAAGTCCGGGCTCCTTGCTAGGCTGTCAGCTTACAAGCATATCATTATACAACGATAGAGGAAACTGGAACCATACTGGGCAAGAGTTGAAGCATAGGACTTATCGCAGCGACTTGACGCACCATATCCATAGTGCTATATTTGACTGCCCTTGAGTCGTGCAAATTTTGAGATCGATCCTCGGAATCGACGACAGAGTGACTTAGCCGCCCTGCCTTCCCCTGCCGTCTGCCGTATCCTAGAGTGATTGTGTAAGACTCGAAGGCAGTGGAGCGGGTCTTGTCTGACTCGAATACGGTGATCTGGATAGCCAGAAGTCGGCGCCGTATCAAAGCATCAAAGATTCCATCTTCCTATGAGATTATCAGTTCTCCTTGCCCCCAGATTGTCAAAGAAAATCAAGCTATTGACTCACTAAGAGATTGAGAATCTTGTCAGCTTTTTCATGACGTCCCCGCTCCATCATGATGGCATTCCAGGGGACCTCGTCTGTCGGGGGGTTGCCATTGACAAAGTGCTCCTCATAGCAGAATCTTGTTTTCTTATCAAATATAGGATGTTGTCTATGGCCAAAACACTCGACGGGCAGGATTTCTCTGTGGATTGCAGGCTGGTTAGAAATCGAGAAGGTATTGCAAAATGGAGTAGAACTAACCGCACGAAAAATAATGAAGCAAACTGTGAGACAAAGTTGGAATCAACACCCTCTGAATCAAAATTCAAAACTGTTTCATGCAACATACTTACTGTTACATGGACCGCGGTCTTCACCAGCTCAAGACTCTGCGCCTGATCAATGTCAATATCATCTCACATCTCACTGGCCAAGCCAGTGCTTAGTGCACCCTTTCAAAGCTATACGTACAATGACCGGATATTCGAAAGGATGTGGCTGCATCAGAGGGCCAGGTGAAGCTGAGAGCAAGGGAAGCGGAGGTAGTGCAGATGATTCTGGTTGCGATGGAATCTTTTGTGGCTGTCCAGGTGATTGCGGTGGAGATAATTGCTTTTGACGGGAGGTCGCCTGTGACTTCGCCATTCGGCGCTTTCTCTTGGGAGGTCCCGAGTACATGAAAGCTTTTCATAAAGCCGTTGGAGCACAATTGAATGGGGCAAATGCGAAGATTGCAGAGGTACGAGGAGATCGAGGACGATTAGATGAGGGGGCGAATATATCTGATGATGGGAGCTGTGCAGCCAATGCTCATCGACCACTTGAAAGGAGGCGACGGCCACAACTCTCAAATATTCACAGTAATCCAATTACTAGACTTTTAGTCAATATCGCAGTTACAATACTTGTTACAAAAGCTTACGGTGCACTTTCCGTGTCGACGATGATGAAAGACACCTCAACCCATATCTCTGCGTAGACAAATGCTACACTCATGAGGTTAATACGTGTATGATTCTCAGCGAACTTCAAGGCCAGAATTAACATGTCGTAGCTTGTAGTCTATCTGTGGATTTAGTGTACACGCGGACACTTCTAATGATTTTGGTCGATCAAATCAAGGTACTACCATGTTAGATTCCAAGCCGAGATTTTTCCAAATCAGTTCATCAAGCGTTGTGAAGTCGGTTGTGGACCTTGAGAGCATGATCTATGAAAAGACATTTGGCTCACCGATCTCGAGCCGCAAAATATCATCACAGGTTCGCCAGATAGAAACAGGCCAGCTGCCGTGTTCATTGGTTTTCCCCATCCTCTCTTCAGCTGCAGGCAAGATGATCCTATGCGACGGTTGAACTGGGTTATCTCATTAAGTAAAACTGACCTTAGATGACGGATAGCGAACAATATTGTGAGGATAGAAGAAGCTCTGGCAAACTTTACGACACTAGCTCTTCGTTGGTAGTATGCAAGACAGGCTATTAGTTATCTAGGGAAAGGGCCTTATATAAAAATCGAGCCCAACTGTCATAATTTATTGGGCATATTACTTGGACCATCGACTCTCTAAGCTCAAGCTAGTATTGATGGTCGGATCAAGGAGGCCCAGTCCGGATGAGGAGATCAGAGGATTTACAGAATGGTAGCTAAATCAATAACCTGCTGGGGCTCCCAATATCCCGTCCCTACTTTGTAGATCCATTAGATTCTTTTGATGCTGCAACAAAAGGATTGCAATGGGTTGGGATGCAGATATCTTTCTGAGTACGGGACCATGTCGTATCTACTAGGCCATACAAGACGATTCAACTCGCACCGAACTCCTTACGAGATGTCCAACGGAAAACGATGAGCGGCAAGGTAAAAGGATGAAAAATATCTGTTACTGAACAATATGAAAAGGATGGTTAAAACAATAGTAGCCAGGAAGAAAGAATAAATGAGACACGCCATTCTAGAGAAGGAAGCGCCGCAGAAGCCGGCGTCGTTGGTAAACTGAGATACAAGGAACGGTAAGACGGGAAAGGTCCATACATTGGCAAATAAAAGGGAAATGTGAAGAGCAAAGGGCATGATAGAACCGACGAATGCAATCAGTGGGGAGGGCATAGAAACCAGAGGAAAAATAGAAGCAGGTTTAAGATTTGAGTGAATATAACATGAAGATATGCTGAGGTCTCTTGGGAGAATTTAGGGTGCGAATGAAAACAGGAACATGAAGGAGAATGAGAATCAGGAAACGTGTAACGCCTGTCCCCCTATCGTAATGCTGGATGACCAAATAATGCCGACCGCGCTATGCAAAGGGTTTCTCGAGGGAAGATGACACAAGTCGTAAGGATGGGGTATCGTGGAAATGTGAGAATGTGACTTGTTAGGGGAATAGTGGAAAGCGACAAGAGGGAATAGAAACATAAGAAAGCTGGGAGATAGACAAGCCCATCCAGCATGGACTGAGATTGCTGGGGCCAGTCCAGACGATTTAAATTCAGTCGGAGTCTGAGTCTGAGTCGGCATTGCTGGTCGCGATCTCACGCCCACGGCGGTTGACTACAACACGCTTGCCGAGTTTGTTATCGGGCACACCATCGCGCCCGGCACCAAAGTCAAGAACCTGAGAGTCAAAATGTCAGTATTTCACGGCAATCTATGTTGAGACTAGTAATGCAATGGGAAAATGCTCACCTCGATGTATGTAAGGCTATCACGCTGCACGGCAGCAACACAGCGTCGATCATTGAACTTAACCTGCCATACGCCACTCAGATCGGTGAGAAGATCACGGACACAGGCGCCGGTGCTGACATCCCACATTTTCAGGGTCCGATCGGACCCCGAGATCACCTTTTGGCCATCATGCTGGAAGCAAGTTATGGCACCAGTGTGGGCACTCAACATATTCTTGCAGTGACCATGCTCAGGATCCCAAATTCGGAGAGTGGAATCCGCAGCCGCCGAAACAAGGTAGTCGCTCTGCAAAGAAAGCAGGCCGACAAGGGAGGTATGGCCCTCGAGATTGTAAAGGAGAGATCCATCATCGAGAGACCATACTTTAACCATGTGGTCCATTGCACCGCTAATGCAGCGATTACGTTTAGGATCCAAGACCACACTATACACTTTCAAAGAGTGGCCTTGGAGTGTATGCAGAACCTGGCCAGTAGAAATTTTCCATACACGGACGGTGCAATCGTAGCTGCCACTCACAAGGGTATCACCATGAGCTGCAATGGCACGGACCGAGTGTGTATGGCCCGAGAGGACGCGGACGAAATAGGGGCAATCGCTGTCATCCGCGAGAGGTCCATTGGGGTAATAAGGTGCGTCGTTGGGTTTGGGCAACTTCCACACGCGAAGTGTTGAATCACGAGATCCAGTGATAATCAGAGGCACCTTAGGCATCATCTCCGCACCGCCATTTGCATCTCGGCCCACCTCAGTAGGCAAGACAATCTGCAAGCAACGTACAGTAGATGTGTGGCCGTTAAACACTTGAGTGCATCTGGCACGCTCGATATCCCAGACTCGCACAGACCGATCAGTAGATCCAGACACCAATGTGTTGCCATGGTACTCGAGAGCCCATACACCACCCTCATGGCCTTCTAGAGTAGCTTTCATAGCCCCAGTCTTGGTGTCGTAAACATTGATGTTGGTGTCATCGCTCCCAGTCAAAATTTTGTCGGTGTCAAACTGCAAACAGGTTACAACATGACGGTCATGGGCGCGGAAAGCAATGTGTTGAGGCTTGACCTCCGGGTTCATCCACCCTCTGCGGATGGCATGGTGTCGGCGGTAAAGGGCCTTGTAGAGGTAAAGGCCGCGAAGAGAGGGCATACCACTGTCAGGATAGGGAACAGCGGCGGCGGCGGCATTGGCTGCAGCATAAGGGGCTTCCGACGCAGCGATGTCTTTCTTCCAGTCAGGCTCACTGTGATCTGTACCACTGGACGAGATCTTTCGTTTGGCAAGCTTTCGGCTTGATGCGCGGGTGTTTGCCTTGCGCTTAGGACGTCTGTTCAGAGCGAGAGAGGCCAAGGGAGTCCTGTCGTGCATATTTGAAGATGACTGAATGGGGGACATTTCGTTCTCCATCTTGGATGATGAACAGACCACACTGGAACTAAGATCCCTTTCAAAGTCATCAATGCTACTGCACTGCCAACCCCAGCCCTCCCGGATAGCTCGCTCCAGTTCACCGTCAGAAAGCGCATAGCCGTCTCGATCAAGAAGCTCTTTCCAAGTCTTCTCATCAGAGCTCACAATATGTCTCCATTTCTTGGAGACTTGTGATGCTCGGCACATTGTCTGGACATCAAAATACTTGACGATGTTCAGACTAAGCTCGAGAGGGAGCAGTGCCAAAAAATCGCATTTCAAAGTTGGGTTCACAATATCCGCTACGAAATGCAATGTCGGCTTGGGGCATCGTTTCAAGAACTGGTACATCAGGTAACTTTTCAACTCATCTGGCGCGGAGTCGAAAAACTCCAGCACTTTAGGCATATCCATCAAAGACGGTGCAGACGTTGTCGAATTGGCTGCAGAAATGCTCTTGACTCGAGAATCCGAATCGTGCAGGCGAGCGACTTTTGAATGACGGGAGACGTTGTGGTCAAGGCTGGAGTCGGTGTCCACGTCCGGGCCTTCAGAGTCAAAGGATGACTCGCCATGAAGAGCATTCATGGCAGCCACTGGTGATAAGCTCGGGCTCGGTAAGCACATATCCTGCGCCATGGCGTTGTCAATGGCCGACAGCTGAGCTGCCAGATCAGGTCGAACCTGCTGAGAGCTCGACGTAACTGAAGTGCTAAATGATGGGTTCGGGTCGAACGAGTTCTGGTTGAAGGACGCCGTTTCCGCAGTCAATGCCTCGTTGTCCATACCCATCCGCTGCTGCTCCCGATTCTCAGACAAGTCGGATTTGCCTCCAGCCCCGGATGGCCCAACCTCAGAAGAGAGGGGCGACTTCAGAAGGGACTCTTTGCGCGGGAAACTCGCGCTTTGGATCCTCTGCCTCGCGAGCGCACTCTCCCCTAAACCACCAACATTGTGTTCCGTCTCCGGAGTAGCGAGACCGGCAACAGAGAGATGGGAGGAGGCTGAGGCCCCGTGGCGGGTCCGTCGTGATACGGGTTCCGAAGGAACTCGAGACGGCCGAGTGCGAGGAAGAATAGATGGACGAGGATCCGGGATAGAAACGGGGGAAACGGGGCGATGCTGAGAGTTGGGACGATTGTTGCGAGTCATGAATCTAGGCGGGGCCAGTCGCCGAGAGCCGCTGTCATCCTCGGAGGAGAACGAGGTGACCGATCTGATAAGACCGTTGGACGATCTTAGGGCATCACCCCGTTCCCGAAGCTGTAGATCAGATGAGCATTTTGCCGGCTGCCTCTTGCGGGAAAGGGAGGGGGGGGGTGGGAGAAGGGGAAGGCGCTTACCTCGGTGGCGGCTGCAGTGGTGTCGTCGGGTTCGTTAAAAACAATGGACTTGTCACCGACCTTGAATCTTAGATTCCTTAGCGATGCCGGTGTGGCAGATGCAGCAAGAGGGTATTGCCTCGCATCCAGATCCTTGATGGCACGCGGGGGGTTGATGATCAGAGGCGGGAATGAGGTTGTAGTGGTTGTGGTGGTCGTCACCACGGTCGTTCTCGTGGTCGGAGCGAAGGCAAACTGGCCGAAGGTATGGCTGGAGGAGGGCCCTTGGCTTAGAACCAACTCTTCGCGGTCGTCCATGTCGCGTTGTTGGGGAGGGACTAAGCAAGTCTCCGAGTGGCGAGTGACATGGGAGGAATGAGATGGCGGTCGAGAGGTGTTTGGGTCAGTGGCGGTCAAGTCGACTTGAGAGAGGCGAGGTGAGGGAGGGAGGAGTGAAGACATCGAGCAAAACTCCCGTGAGGGGAGGTAGGTGTGGTGTGGGTGGTGGGAGTCGAATGGGGTCGGGATCCGGGACCACTTGCACAGAAGGTTCACGATCGAGGATGTTAGCACCACACCCCGTCAACACGGTAGGCCTGCGATACCATGTACAGGACGCGCAGGGAAGAGAAAGAGAAGAGGTTAGAACATGATGGGGAGGGGGAAGGGTCGAAGGATGGAAGCAAGGAAGGTCAAAGGGAGAAACACAGTGGCGGCTGACAAGGGAGTTGGGGCGGAGAACAACACTTAATCCGAGTCCCGGATTGGACGATGTCATGGCGGACAACGTGCACCTTTCATGGGTTGGGCTCGGTTATGAGACCGATAGGGCTCTCTGGCTTTGAAATTTCATTTATAGGACTGGCCAGACTGGCAATTAATGTGCTAGCTTTCTCATATTTCTACTGCTGGACAGAACAAGGCCCGAGGGAGGAGGGAGGTGTTTGTTCAAGCCTAGTTTATCCGTTGCCCATGTCGCCGTCATTCTGCCGTGAAAACCTTGAACCCCGGCCACCACCACCACCACCACCATCATTTTATCGCCCCCGGCCCCAAAGGCAAAGCCACCCCAACCTCTCCGTTAGGCCCTAAGTTGCCCCTGGATAGCCCTGAAGAGCCAAATTTAGTATTGTGATAGTGAACCGTATCAACTATTTTTACCCCCGTATCGAGGACCCGTGAATCCAGATCGACTGGACCTTTGATCTAATCAGGTCTGGGGGAATACCCAGAAACCTGTTTACGAGTGATCAAGTGGGGAGCAACCGACGAGTCCAGACAAAAACCAAGGCCACCCAGCCACCGAATCACGTGCCGGTGGGGACCCGAGGTGGTTTTTGACTCCAAGCGGACACAGCGGGAAGTCTTGGCATCGGTACTTCCTCCAGGCCTTGGCAGGTCCCGCCCCTAACCAAGACCTACAGCACGTATTCCTCATCCTCCTGATATGGAAGAATATGAGAAACGTGTCTCTCTCATGACCCAGCAATTGCAGATTGAATTCGGAAGTCTGGCCAGAATATGGATCGAAAGCCCCCAATCCCCCACTCCATATACTCTTGTGGGATCATTCAATGCAAAACTTATAGTTGACCCAAGTCGGATCCCGCTCATCGAACTCAAAGCCCCCATTTCCACCATGCGTGAACATCCCCCCAAGCTCACCCTTACCACTTCCCGTAATGACAGTAAAATTCCCAATTACCCGAAAGGTTTCGGGGCGGAACCGTCCTTTCCCTTGCGTCACGACTCCCGGCATTGCTGTGGAAGTTCCGTGATTCAACGCAGTCGCTAAAAATGAAGACTGCCGCACCATCAGTTTTATGAGCACCTCCAGCGGGAACATACACCATCTGGTATTGGCTAGTCACTTCCGCGTTGAGTTCCATTAATTTCATCTTCATGATGGCAGGATTCAGGCGAGCAAGAGTGGATTGTGTTGTGGTTGACCGATCTTCGTCTCACGACAAGACCTTAACGGTGGATGTGAAGACTTGAGGCATGATTTTCTTTGGTGACTCAGTATAGATCAGTACATGAATATGAAATATAAATGGTTCCAAAAAGGCTCTAGATGGCCAACCCTAGAGGCACCTGCATGTTGATAATGCATGTGCATGCCCGAGGGTCTGTGGGGTCGTCCTCGGCTACCGGATAGTCTTCGGCATTACTTCACGAGCTACTTGATAATTCCTTTGAGTCTTGAGACAATCATTAACATGAGGAATGGAGACCACAAGTGATCTTCATCTTTTGACCCATACTACATATGTTTGTTAGATGTCATAGCTAGGCCCAGATCATGGAGCCATTCCCCACCTGCGCAGTTGGGATGCTATTTTCCTACGTTCCGTTCTGCGCGAAAGACTGTAAATCAAACGGTCTATTCTGAATCACCTTATAATCAAATATAGTTTGTAGGGTTGGTTCTCTAGTTTTTTGCAGATCCTCCTGCAGTTGCAAATTATTGCAATCCCCTTGTCACAACATAGAAACGCCCTGATAGATCTGGGACTGGGTGCCAGCGGCCCCATTGACTGTGCCAAAGTTTACTGCTTCGAAGGTGTAGATTCTCCCCCATTATCACCTAGTTGCACTGGCTTTCCTCAGCTGTAGTTCTTCTCCAAATTGAAAGAGCAGGCCAGAGAGTGGACACCCAGCTGAGTTGAAATCTTTATATATATGAATCCCGGTGAGTCGGTAGCTTGAGCCACGCGGAGTATGCAGGATTATGTAAAAGGTGCTTTGTTCTCTTCATTAGAATGACCCAAGATCGCCTCACTGGCTTGGCTTGACGAAAGTACTACTTTTGCTTGCAAGGTGCCCACCCTCTAGGCTGCCGTCAATCCCCGCCGCAGAAAGGATAGCCCAGCGTACAGCATCCACGCCTAGCACCCGGCCAGACTCGATGAGAGTATCTGCACTGCAAGTTAAAATCTCACCCAAGGCGCCAGGCCCCTCGGAGGTACGTGGATCCGGCTGGACGACAGGCCGCATGCTGTTAAGCATATCATGAAGCTTTTGGATACCGGCAGCCGATGCACCGGATTTTATTTGTTTTCTGCTCTTGGCAAGAACTTTATCGACCTTGGAGATGATGATCTGGTGTGGGATAGCATAGCGCCGGAACAGACTCAGAATGTCTGCGTCATTTTTTTTGATTCCATGCTCGCTGTCGATGAGGATGAATGCGCGACGAAGCCTAAGGTGAGTTCACGTTAGCCATGGGTTTCCCCCCCCCCCAGTTGAAGAGCCGCCAGTCTCAAAACCACTTACTGCTTGCGTCCCTGAAGATACTTCATAATCTCCATGCCCCATTCCGCTCTGCTAGCCTTCCCGTATCCCGGCATATCGAGCAGAACCACCTTTGACTCGCCACCCTTCGTGCCGCCGATACCGAACGCATTCATTTCTCTTGTGCGACCTGGCTTCGACGATGTCCAGCATATCTCCTGGCCCATGATCGCATTGAGCAGAGAGCTCTTTCCGACATTTGAGCGGCCAAGGAAGGCAACCTCAGGCTCGGCGGATGAGAGAGGCGTCGTGCGAAACTTGCTGGCAGACCAGAGCTTTACAGGGGAATGACGTGATGGTATAAATAGCTTTTCTGCGAAGGCGAGCTGGGAGGCATTCGGCGGTTTGGTGTCCCAATAGTATGAGAGATCCGAGGGTGTTAGGTCTTTAAGGCTGCGTTTGTTTGGGTTCGAGTGAGGGTTAGGGGCTTGAGATGCTGGCGAGGATTGCGTAGTCTGTATTGTTGAATACAGTCGCCGGATGGACCCCGCGGCCCTACAAATCTTGAGTCGCATCGCGGACTGCCACAGGTCCTGCGGCTGCAGGAACCGAGTGTCGTCGCGGTCTCCAGAAAATTGGCCGCACGGACCAAGTGGAGATCGCTCCGTGGGTTATCAGCTTCGCCGATAAGAACCTCACCTCGACCGGACCTTGAACATCTCGCAGCACTGCTAGACTTCATCTTGCCCATAGCATTTTTTGCCCGCCAAGATGATCAATGCTGTATTAGTCTTCAACAACAACGGCCAGCCTCGCCTGACCAAATTCTATACCCAGCTTGTTCGTTCCCCCACGTCTACAATCCCCGAAACTGCCCACTAACCTGAGCCCCTCGCCTCAACAGGACACGCAGACCCAACAATCCCTCATCGCGCAAATATACCACCTTGTCGCACAGCGCCCTGATAGTGCTTGCAATTTCCTCCCATTGCCCCCACTCCTGTCCCAAGGCGCTGCCAGCTCCTCCGCTCACGGGCCGTCGGATGCGCCCACCCAGATCACATACCGCACCTATGCCACGCTCTCCTTCATCATGATATCAACCTCTACCGAGTCACCACTCGCACTGATTGACCTGATCCAGGTCTTCGTCGAGGCCCTCGACCGGATGTTTGAGAACGTCTGCGAGCTGGACCTGATTTTCGGGTATGAGACTTTGCACGCGGTGCTGAGTGAGATGATCATCGGCGGGGTCGTGGTGGAGACCAATATTGACAAGATTGTTGCCGCTGTACGGACCCAAGAGGGTTCACTAGGAAAGAAGAAGGCTATCCAGGCTGCGAGCACAAGCCTAGGACGTGGTGCCCTGCCCGGGCTGGGGGCTTGGCGATGATACTGTTCCATTCCATACGATTCATACGGCTTTTTCGACGATGCGTCTGGCGATTGTTCTGCATAAGATTCTTTCTATGGCGTTTTGGGGTGTATATAGAGGCTACTTGTTGTCCCACGCGCTGCACGATAGGATACGAAGTTTGATTTGGACCTCGCCTGTCCAGAATTTTAGTAGCAAATTTTCGAGCTGATCCGAGTAGTTTTTGTTTTAAACAACTGAACTGGAAAAAAAAAATTTTTGTACATAGTCCTAAGATATTGTAGGGGTGACTTTGATCCAAAGGCCGATCCAATCGAACACTGAAGTGGTCACGTGATACTTCATCAGGCATTGCCATGGCTGAGTAGCCCTAGCCCTAGTCACATGCTCACGCTAGCGTGACCCACGAGAAATTCATAAGATCGTCCACCGAACTTTTCTCTTTCCATCCTTCGTCAACCGTCAACCAGCGCACCGATCTTCAGTCGACAAAATGGTAAGCACTTGAACGTCTTTTGTTCAGGCTTCGCCCACTGCAGCGATGCTATGATACAATTATTTTTCGCTTCCGATTTTCGAATCGAAGCAAAATTCCGTCCTTTGCCCACAGCCTCGAAAGAGATGTGAGACGATTGGCGATGATTTGGCTGGAGGCATGGTTTGAGAGCCCGTAGCACGGCTCTCAATCTTATGCTCTCCTTAGAGTTCAAAAGAAGATGCAGCCCGTGGTGGACTAGATCGCTGATCTTCTCTTTTCTCAATGATAGCCTCCCAAGTCCGGAAAGAAGACCGCCGCCATGCCCTACCCCCAGGGCAAGGCTGGCTCGTCCAAGAAGGCCGCTAAGGTACGTTTCTTTCCCTGGGAGTGCGAGAAAAGTGGAGGGAATTGACTAATTATTCCGTTGACAGAACCCTCTCATCGAGAAGCGTTCCCGCAACTTCGGCATTGGCCAGGATGTCCAGCCCAAGCGCAACCTCTCCCGCTTCGTCAAGTGGCCCGAGTATGTTCGCCTGCAGCGCCAGAAGAAGATTCTGAACATGCGCCTGAAGGTTCCTCCTTCCATCGCTCAGTTCCAGAACACTCTGGACCGCAACACCGCTGCTCAGACCTTCAAGCTCCTCGGCAAGTACCGCCCTGAGACCAAGGCTGAGAAGAAGGAGCGTCTCGTCCAGGAGGCCACCGCCGTCTCCGAGGGCAAGAAGAAGGAGGATGTCTCCAAGAAGCCCTACCACGTCAAGTACGGTCTCAACCACGTTGTTGGTCTCGTTGAGAACAAGAAGGCTTCCCTCGTCCTGATTGCTCACGACGTTGACCCCATTGAGCTGGTTGTCTTCCTCCCCGCTCTCTGCCGCAAGATGGGTGTCCCGTACGCCATTGTCAAGGGCAAGGCCCGTCTCGGTACCGTTGTCCACAAGAAGGTATGCTTCCATTGTTATTTTAGAACACCATTTTCGTCTTCCCGGTATCTAACATGAACTTACTAGACCTCCGCCGTTCTGGCTCTGACTGAGGTTCGCTCCGAGGACAAGGCTGAGTTCTCCAAGCTGCTGTCTGCCATCAAGGAGGGCTACACCGACAAGTACGAGGAGTCCCGCCGCCACTGGGGTGGTGGTATCATGGGCGCCAAGGCCGTCGCCAAGCAGGAGAAGAAGCGCAAGGCTGTGGAGAACGCCATCAAGGTCTAAGCTCACCTTTCGTGACTTGATTTTGTCTGACGGGATCGGCTCTTTCTTCAAGCGCTCTCCTACAAAAGTTCTAATGGGAAGTTAAATGGGTGTTCAAGGCTCAGGATGACTTATTGACGCCAAATTCTTTTAGCTTTAGATGGGTGTGAAAGAGCCCACGGGCATCTTTTTGAACTCCCGTTCTAACCAAAAGAAAATTACTACCTTTTTTCTCACGAACTCCTCTACGGCCTTATGTACCACTTTTTTTCCTTGGCAGATACCCATGAATGCATTTCTCCAACTGTTCAATATGCCTTGTGTTGTAGTTTAAGATTTGGCATTCATGCAGTCTGCTTGTTCCTTGTATAATGATGCTGTACACATTATCTAGACCGTAAACATTTGCTTTGCCGTTACAACCGATTTTTGCAAAAATTTCTGTCAAAAATTTGCATGTGGAACTCGGTGGAGACGACTATGAAAAGGCTCCGTGAAAACTCCACGGAGCCTCAGTGTTAATACTGATCTCAGCGTATACCCCTGCACATGTTAATCTGGTCAGCGATTATCAGCTTATGTAGTGGGTTGGATCCTTTATTAAAACATGCTACTGCCTCGTCAGAATTATCCTGTTTGATGTAAAACAATCTGCCTAGTTCTCCTCAATATTGGTCCTTATATATATCACACCTCAATTGATTTAAGAGGGCTATCAAACAATCTCATGTGGATAAATTGGCGCGTAGGAAAACTTTGAAATACTACTACTCAAGAAAAAAGCGGTATATTCTTCTATCATTTCGACAACCTGCACCTGGTGAGCCGCAGCCTTGCTTGGTAATCTTGAGAGCGGGGGCCTTAGATGGTCAGATGCTTTGGACGTTCAACGGTGTCTGACTTTCCTCTGTTGACTAATTGACCGAACATCCCGGCTTTCAAGCTTGTTAAAGTTAAGTCACTTTGATTCCAGACGTGTATTAAAACATCTAATATCCCCTTCCAGCTTGGGTTTCTCTTTTGGCTGTTTACACGGTGCTCTTCACGCCATACCCCTCTTATTCTTCTGCTTATCCATCAAAACCCGGTTGTATATCATAACCATGACTAGTAAGTCTTTTCAAACTCGTAATTTATCCATGGTACTCGATCTCTCTATGGAGCAAGTATTAACCATCTAACGCAGACCCGGAAAGCCAAGAAATGCTTCGTATCGGAGTGGTCTTATTCCCAGGCTTCCAGGCCCTGGATGTATTCGGCCCTGTCGACTGCATAAACGTGCTCTCTAATACAGAAAACATTTCTCTAGCCATGCTATCAACAACGCTAGACCCAGTCACCACAAAGCCGGCCAACATCCCCAAACGGGTCGGCCAATCCGTCGTGCCCACACATACTTTCGCAACCGCCCCGCCTCTGGACGTGCTCCTTGTTCCAGGCGGCCATGGCACACGCGGCTCCGGACCCATAGTCCAAGCATGCATCAATTTTATCCGGGAGACGTACCCAAGCCTCAAGTATCTGATCACTGTGTGCACGGGCTCCGGGCTTGCCGCGCGGGCCGGCGTGTTGGACGGTAAGCGCGCGACGACAAACAAAGCAGGGTGGCACGAGATTGTTGCGATGGGCCCACAGGTGCAGTGGATTCCCCATGCGCGGTGGGTCACAGATGGGAATGTCTGGACCTCGTCTGGGGTTAGTGCTGGGATCGATGTCACACTCGCATGGATTGAAAAGGTTTATGGCAAAGCGAAGGCAAAGCATCTTTCTGAACAAATTGAGTATACGCGGCACGAGGACTCGAATGTAGATCCTTTCGCTCAGATATACGGGCTGTGATTTTTGATGGACTTGTTTATGGCAGGCTGAGATGTTTTTTACCAGCCTGTTGCAATGGCATTCATCTATCATTGACAAATACACTTCTCTACTCCGACTATTAAAAGAAATAATCAATCGAGTACTTGGGGCAGTTAAGGTATCAGACAGGGGGCTTGGGGTGAGGCTATACATTATCAACTGAGAGAGAGCCAGAAAAAAAATCCTCCCAGGTCGACTTTTAATCATTTCCCAGGGAAAGCCCTCCAGAGGAACGTGGTAGAAGACATAGCAATGCAAGGAAAACAAGAAGAAAGTTGGTATGGAGAGATTACAGGAAGATGACAAGACCAGACGCAAAACGACCAACAAAAAGAAGGGGGAAAAAACATAGAAGACCCAGCCTAGCGCCTTCCGCCGGCCTAAGATGCCCACCACAAGGTTCAGAATCGCGATTGCATCATTAAAGAAACCCAGTCTAAAGCACACATAATAAAGAGAAAGTGGGTAGAGGTGTACAATGAAGTGAGGAACAAGTGACATAAGCATAATCACGGTCATTTCGTCATTAACGTTGGGCAGGGGTTCGTGAGAGTCCTTGTCTCGCCTGTAGTAGTGTAAGCGGTGTGGGTGTGGGCTCTGGGTGAATTGAAACACGTACCTTCATTTGTTCGATCCTCGCCTTCAACTGGCTGGTGACTTCAGCAGCCCGTTTCCAATTCTCGGCCGGCTCCGCGGACCGGGGCTGTCCCTCCTCGTCAGTAGCATAGGCAGATCCCCGAGCTGATGAGCGTGTTGGGCTTCCGATTCCAGACAGACCATAGGTTGGGCTTAGCTTGCGACGACCGAGACCACCCTCACGGCTGCCGAATCCTGGAGACTCGAGGCCATTGTTTTCTTTCTCCTCGCTCGGACTAGCAGAAGCATAGCTTCGAGGCCGTGAACTTTCGAATCGGGATCCCATATGAAGGCCAGATCGGGGAACTGCACCATGTCCGTTGCTCGCAGATTCTTGGTAGATTGAGGCCTCTGGAATTCCTATACTGCCAGTGTCAGACGCAGCGTTAGGTGGACTCATGGCGGATGCCCGCAGAGCACGGGCCAACTCTCGCTTCAATCTTTCAATCTCGCGCTGTTGCTTCTGAACGTTTTGCTCAGCAGCTTCAGCATCACTGCGCGCCCGAACCAGCTGGGTCTCCTTAGCCTTGATACTCAAAACATCTCTAGTGTGATCTTCAATCAGCTGTGCGTTCTGATTCTGAAGCTCGGTGATTTGTGAATTGAATTTAGAGCGTTCGGACTTCATGTCTTCGATGACCCGAGCAAACTTTTCCTTCTCCATTCGAAGCTCTTCCAGCTCTGCACGGTCTGCAGCAGACATAGCACTTACTGCCGGAGCGGCAGGGACTGGAGTCGGCTCAGCAGCAGCCGCGGGCTTCGCGATAGGACGGCCGGCAAGACCACGCCCAAGCCCAAATTTGGGTGCTGCTGGTGGAGGTGCTGTCTCTTCCGGGGGAGAAGCTACTCTCCTTTGAGGTGAGGCAGCGCTTCCCGGCCCAGCAAGTTTGCGTTGTAACTTGAGACCAGAGCCAGGTGCGGCCAGACCGGGCTTTCCAAGCTTCGACGCAATCGCCTTCGGTGCAGGTTTCGCAGGAGGCTCTTCAACAGGAGGTGCTGCGGCAGCGGGCGCTGGCTTCTTTAATCCCAGAGTCGGCTTCTTTCCAGGCACAATCTTCTTACTGGGAGGGACGGCTGCGGATTTGGGGGGCCCAACGATTGGCTTTGGCCGCTCTTTGGCCTTTACCTCAGCAGTCTCAAAGTATTCCTTTATCTTGGTCTTGCGAATTTCGTCCAACCCATCGAGATAAGGGTTCATGGCGCGTTCGCCCAAAATTTTCATCAACGTCCCTAGAACCTCGGCACCGCCCGATCGAATAGCCTCAGTAGATTCCGTGAGTAGTTTTGTGCCCGCATCGGCGATCGATTTGATTTCAGGCTTAGCGGGAACCGTTCTTGTTGTGCGAAGACAACGAACGAGAAACTTGACAGTTTCCTGTTTGATCTGGGGGTTCTTATGCTTTAGATATTCCAGGATCTCTTCCAAACAGTCCGCAAGATCTGTTGACCCGAAGACAGCATCCAAGGCTTGACCCAGAGCATCTGCCACCGATTGCTTCTTCTCCTTGAGACGTTCAAGCATTGGTACCATGATAGTAGATCGATACTTCATGAAGCCATTGCGGAGGCCCTTGGCCAGGAGATCGACACAGTTGGCAGCCACTGTAACGACTGCAACGTTGGCATCTTTCATACACTTGGCCAAAGCCCTCACGATTTCATCGTAGGGGCCATCTTTGATCCGAGGCACATTCAACACGTTATAGAGCGCATCCAATGCTTCCTTGCGATCTTTCCATTTTGAGGAGCCCAGTTGTTCATGGAGATCCTTAGGGACTTTTGGCATGACGTCGACAGGCTCTGCAAGGTCAAACACATCCACTTCTTCTCCCTCCTCTTCCGCGAACTCTTCACCACCCTGATCATCGGCTCCATCGCCTCCGGGAGAGGCGCTAGCTGCAGCCATAGCATCTTGTTGAGCTCGGGTGAATCTCTCTTGCTTTGGTGGTGCCTCCTGCTTCACATTTTCAAAAAGTTTCTCCAAATCTTGCTGTTGCACCGGTTTCAAGTCTCCCCAAAAGAGGGGCTTTATCGCCTCGCGAAGCCATCGATATAATTCCACTGTTAAGTTTTGTGCTTCCGCTCGAACGTTCTTGTCTGCGTGGCCGAATACCTTGGGTAGCGCCTTCAGGGTCGGTTTCGGGTCCACAATCTTGCAGCCATAATTGTGATAGATGACAGTTAAGGCGGCCAGAGCACCAGCAATCACTTTTGGTACTTTGTGTGATAGTGTGGGAATGAGATCTTCGAGTACGGGGTCTGCTTTATCCAGTTCGACGCATAACAGGAGGGCTTCTTGTGCGTTGGCCTTGCCAACTGGTCTGGCGCACGGGAGTCCCTTCTCCGCGATCGGCCCGACAGTAAACTGGCGAGTTCTAGGCGCAGTGTTAATGTTAACCAGTCTGCCCTCAACCAAATCAACTACTTCATGATTCGCAATGGGTTATTCAACGCACCTGGTGCATGCCTGTACCCCACCAAACTTCAGAAAGGAACAATACGATCCCAGGCCCTCCACCTGTGCGGCAACATTCGAGTCTGCGACCGCCCCTTTCCACAACTCGGGATGTTGAAGAAACGGCGCGAAAACCGGGTCTGATTCATCGGGTGATTTCTCGAATTGCGCTTTGGCGTCCTCGTAGCCCTCCTTACGCACCTTCCAGTTCTGGTAATTGGGGACAATGTCAGTTCATGTCCGTGGACAGCCAGACGACGCGCAAAGAAGATCGAACCTTGTGAGCGAACCGGTCAGGCAACGGAAGGGAGGAAAAGTCTTCCTCGCCATCAGCCATGGTGGGCTAAGTAGCTATCGGGAAAGGTGAAATCGAGCGTGGCCTGTCTGTGACCGTCTTTTAATCAGCACGATTTGATGACTGGGAGCGTTGCGCTTGTTACTAGCACCGAGTATAGAAGAGAAGATGCTCTCTTTGAGCTGGAAGGGTTCGAATCTTCTTACCACAAGGCCTTTGATGCCCAAAGGAGGTGACGGAGATAGAAATTGAAGACGGTCTCAGTCGGTGGTTCAAGACGTCGATCGTCTCATAAAGGGGACACGGGTTGGCATTCAAAAAATGATTCCTGGCAAGAAATGAAATTGAAGAAACTGCCGGTCGATAAATAACGACGGCTGGGTCCGATCAAGTCCTGGAAGAGGCGGAGATTTGGAAATAAACAGCGGGCGGCGTTGGCGATCGGAAGGTAAACAAGCGGCCCGCTTGGCGGTGACGAGCGTTGTTTTGGCGACCCCGCGGTGGATTTAACCGCTACAACAATTCCCAGTGATGCTGACTTTCTTGTCATCCGAAGTCAGGACGACTGAGCCTGGAGGCGGACCCGACTTGCTACTCTTCATTCCCAAAGGCTGCCAATGCGCATACTTCATATGAATCCAGTGCTATACGTGGGCCTATGAAATTTGAGCCTCTGCGATGCTGTGCGGATTGCGACAGACGGTCTGACCGATCCCATAAACCAGCTGCTTTAATTCTTACAGAAACTGGGATGGATTACGTCCAAAGATAACTACATTATTATAGAGGACTGATGTCTAGGGCTCACCCATGTCACGTCATAGACACAAAGCCGTGTCTACGCACAACTATGCGAACGTCCGCTCGAGTTTACTTCTTCTCGAAGAAAAGCCGTAAATATTGATCGCCCAACAATGACAGAAGGAATGGATGAAAGCATGCCACGTTCCAGGAGAAGCTAGGATTCGATTCGGCCACAGTAATCGGCCTGGGGAGGTCGAGAATCTCAATGCAGGACGCTCAACGGGTACTCATTGAATGAAAAGATGGTTTATATATGCCACACAATATGATGAAAGGCAATAAAAGCTGTTTAGTATAGTACATAGGATCCGACATGCAAAATCAGCACGGATATCAAAAAAATGGAAAACATCTGGAAAACCAAAATGCGACGATCGGTACAGAAACTCCCTCACAAACACGCATTCATTCGAATAGCCCATGCCTAAGCCTCCGTATTCTGTGCTTTGGCTTCGGCAGCTTGCCGTTCCTGGAGAGCAATTCGCTCCTGAACCAAGGCCTTCAGCTTCCCAACGCGTTCCTGGCCCAAATGAATTCGGTGAATCAAGTCCGCGGTGGATACAGTCTCGCCTTCCTTAACCAATCCCTGAGACTGAGCAATGGATTCCAAGTTAATATCCTCGCCCAGTCGCCTTGACTCCTTGCGTACATATTTCTCGGCCCAACGCTGCTCGCGCACCTGCTGGCGCTCCTCGCGCGACATCACGGCCGGGCGGTCCTCCAAGGGCACCGCGAAGGGAGTAACAATGCGCTCGACAACATGGTGCACGTGCCGACTCTTAGGGGCACCGGAGGAGAACTCAATCACATCGCCCTCGCGCAGGGAGTTGTTCGGGTCCGAGACCAAGTACCGGGTCTCCTTCGGGTAGTATTTTCGGATATGTTTATCCCATACGTTGTGGCGGTGCGTGACGCTGACAGTTCGGTTCATGCGGCCAACAGAAGTGACAGTGCCAGTCATAGTCTTGTAGGCGTAGTTGCGGAGCAGAGTGGGCGGTTGAAGACCATGGGAGGCGGGAGCAGGAGCTTGTGAAGAGGTGGCAGATTCTTGTGCGGATTCGGATTGCGTTGTGGAGGCATAGCGAGAAGCCTGGGACTGAGAAATTGAGAGAATAGAGGAGGTAATAGCTGGTCGCATCAAGGTCATTGGAGATGCCATAGACCGGATGGACATTGCTGCCCGGAGGTGGCTCGGGGCCATTGTGAATCGGAAAATTCTGTAGCGGGTAGCTATCAGTCAAGAGAGCCAAGAGGATCAGCAAGCGCGATTCCCAACAGTTCCGAGCGTAGACAATTCGACAACTTGGCAAGCTGGAGAGACAACAAATCGTGAAGTTGCGGAGTCGTGAAGTTGATTCTGCGGGAGAATTTCTTGGGACCGAGTTTGCATCGTTTGCATCAGCTCCGCTGCCATCCTGAATCCCTCGGCCACTACCTAGCGGCATGAACAAACCGACCACTGAACCACCACACCGGGCTCGGAGACTGCCTCTCAAAGAGGATCGGGAAAAATAGTGTGCAAGGTTATTTTCAGAGCTATCTGAAAGATGAATCTTTATTTGTAACGACGGTGTACCAGAAAATACTCCCCAATGAACTCCAGTCTCCCGCAGGCTAGTTCCCCGTTACTCTTTTTTGGCCTAGCTGCTGCCTGAAACCTAATGCTGTATTATGGTAACACCTACTGCCGCTCAGAGGATAGCGAGATCATCAAATGTAAAGGTGTCCATTGTGTTACATAGTTGCTACCGAATATGAGCTTTATACTGACTAACCATAGGTGATCCTAACTAACAACAGTACTTCAACCCCCATCCATCGCACAAAGAAAAGAAGGTCCTCTCTGTTAAAAAAAATTGCGTGAGTACTGGTGGATTCTCATCCTCGGCAGAGAGCAAGATATTAATCTGTCGCATACCTTGTACGGTTCCGGAGACACAATTACTTTTGGAAGTGAACGGACTAGAGCTGTGCAATGCAACCCATCACTATATATGTGTTGGAATCAAGAGTGATTGTTTGATAACAATTCAAGATAAAGTCACATTGCTGCTTATGATAAATGTGTTCTCTCTGTGTCAACAAATTAGACCCTGGTATACAATACACTAGATGCTTTGGAAAGGGTGTATAAAGTAGCAGACTTTTTTTCTCAAGAACATGAATATTCTTCTCATCGTTCATTTTTCGCATGAAAATGAGTCGTGCATCTGTCCTTATGGTCTGCAAAAAAGGCAAACAATAACATGTAGTGTCTATCTTCGCCCTAATCTTTAGATAGGAAGACTGTACGTAATTTTGTATGCTTCGATTCCCTCTCTATTTATAAGGGTGATATTGCCAATGGAAAATTCCTTCCAAAAAGAAACAGTAAGCTGATAGCCATTCAAGATGACATAACGGAGTAGTGGTACACTTACAGACCCCTGATCCACTATTTTTCTTTTTTTTTATCAGAAATACAACGGTGATGTACCTATTTATTTGGGTGCAAACTATCACCAACTACGCAGATTTTTTTTTCTTTTTGATAACTGGAATCTTATTCTGATCATTGTGCAGAATATTTATAGGCCATATACATATAGTACGACCAGTTCTATAAGTTTGAAACGCATCCTCACATAATTTCATTCATCCGGAACAGCCTGGTCTGTTTGATCTGTTCTTCTTTAAACCCAATATATGGAACGCCTGCATTGGCTCGATGGACTTCATGGCTTTGCGGCAGCCATGGTGGCATTTGATCATGCCTTCGCATTTGAGTCGGCAAGCATATTTGGAGCAGTTTTCCGTCCATGGGAGGCTTCCCCCAGAAGAAAACCTCCACTTCTTCCAGATATTCTCATTTAAACTTCTTTTCATCGCACCATATATGGAGGCTCTTTTTTGCGTTATATCAGGCCTTTCGAATTCTATCACTTTGGTCAGACACCGGGACACGAATCACACAGATCGAGAACATTTTTTCGCCGTCTATGTTCTACCGCTACTCGTCACACGTTTCGCTTATTTATCCCTTCATCTGTCATAATGACTATTGCCCAGTTCCTGTTCTTCCTCAACTTATATTGTTTCAAGATTGAAGGAGATGATGTGTGGAGCTTGTCGCCTTTAACCGATCCATGGCTACATATTCAGTGTTTATAATCGAAATTTGTAAGTTTTGCTTTCACTTTGGACTATTCCTATTGAATATCATAAATCATATATTGTGTACTTGACGGTATTGGCGATTTCCTTCAGAAAACCGCAATTTCGACGTCTGGATCTGATAGCAATGATAGTATTTTGACTATGGCAAGGATACTGGGATATTTTTGCATTCTTAGCGGGACTTTTTCGCGCAAAAACAAGATCGCTTCTGAAACGGCAGAGGAAGATGGTGAACTAGCCCTGCCGTCTAAGCCTCCAGAAAAATGGGCAATATTCCATCGAATCCTGAAACAACTCACCAGCTCGGCCTGTTTTGAAGGGACTAGAATGCTGAAATGTCTTCAATTCGGGCTATATTTCATCTGTGTAGATGCTTATAGTCCATTGGCACCTGGATACGAGTTCCTGAAGTCTCTCCGGTCCCCACGCTGGAGGGACCTCAACAACTGCGAATAAATGCTGGGAGACAATTGGCGCTGTGCTTCTTGTCTTCGCTATTTACCAATCAAAATTCCTGCAGTATCCGTTGAATTTACAGCTGGTACAGTACTTAGGAAAAATTTCCTTTGCACTTTACCTAGTACATTCATGTGTGTACTTTGTCCTGCTACATCTACTTCGAAATTTTGTCTGGTTTCTAGCTACTCGCGATTCATATCCTGGCACAGAACAGGTGATTCACTATATGCTGCCAATTTGGTTAGCGTGTGTACTTCCTTTCTTATTGCATTGGGTATCAGTATTGCATTGCACACTTTTTCACCAGGTTTGTTGATAAAAATGCCGTGTCAATTGCGAGAAGGATAGAAAAAAGGATACCTGTGTAAATTTAGACGAAAGAGTTGCTAGACAGTCACGACGATATTTCCAACTACTAACGTAAGTTTGGGGTTGAAAATAAGCTCGGCCTAGGAAAAACTTCCCCGTAACTGTCCAGAAGTAGTGGCACAAGATTTGCCCTATGGAAATCAAATGAGATCTATGCCAAAGATTTAGGGAGTCGTGAATCGCATGAATGCTAATGTATGCTCAATATCTTTATAGTTTGGCATTCCATAAGCCCCTTCTTCAAAGACTGGAAAAATATAGGCCTTGAGGACCATCATACAACAGCTCCTCATGATTTGCTTATCCTGATTTCTGTCAACCTGTATGTGGCAAAGCATCAAAGATTCAAAGCTCGCTACCCGGGAGATAAATGTGAGGTCTTCAATTCTGACATTTGTAAAGTACGGCCCAATGGGAGCCTATGGCATTGATTCGAAATACTTCCTTGTAATCATAGATAATATCACAAGATGATAATAGCACTAGTTGATGCATTTAATCAATATTTGAGAGAAGACCCCTATTGGCGAACCTAAAATTTAGGAAAAAGGAATTATAGGCAACTTCGTGGGAAAGAGGGACCGCATCCTCACTTCCATGTCTATCGTTTACACGCATAATTGAAAGAAGGGAAGTCATGGAGTCCAACTTGGCGAATCACTCAATTGACAATAGAAACCACTATTACATCAAGAAAATTTCCTTGGAGATAATGCTAAAAGCAAGACCCAAGGTCAATGCTGAATAGGCAGATTGCAGGGTATTCGGAATAACTGAATTGAAATAATCTCAAAGACAGTGCGGATATTAACGCTATCTATAATTCTAGCTAGTGCAAGTGCAACCGTGGCTGCATGTACCTGATTCTCATTATGAAGCAACGGGCTATGCCTGCCGCGTTCGATCGTCCGAGACAACAGAGATCTCTACCTGCTTCGTGATCCCCGGATGTTCCTGCACCGGAGAATCCGGGTGCCCACCAACAGTAGTGTTCGTGTGCACGCTTTGATCAAGGATGCGCTCCACGCTGCCGTTCTCGAGGTGATGGGACTTGTTGAACCGCCGAGCCAGGCGTGATTGACTGGTCTCATTTCCGCCCGTACGATGACCACTGAAAGGCGTGCTGAGTTCATAGGAACGGGTGACGCTGGAGATCTTGCGAACGGAGGAAATGACCAATGGGCGGATGCAGGGGACGGAGGATGTAATGATGATAATAGAATTCTCGACATAGCCCCAGCGGATCAATTCAAGGCCGCCACTAGCGCCGAGGTTGGTGATGCCAGGGAGATCGGTGAGCTTCGTTGTTTTAACAATAGAAGCAACCATTGCACTATGGTCATCAGCTTTTGTAATGAATGGAGTCGAGACGTTTGGAACTTACACAATTCCCAGGCTTAGGAGGACGATCAAACTGATCTTGATACGCATCTTGAGGTTCAAATTCCAGAAAATGATAGTTGGGAAAATCGCCAAAAATAAGTCGGTGGCCGAATTGAAAGCTAGACGGATGTGAGCAAAACTTCTCTTCCGCCTCCCCCTATTTGGAGCAGCACAAAAACATACTATTCGAGAAATAGGCAAACTTGATCACGGAATCAGTGTTGCCACAGGTAGTATGCAAAGCAGCCTCCTTGTTCCACAGCGCCGCCACATTGCGACAGATACTCAGTGGGAGGACTGCGGAAACAATGTTACCCGCCAACTGAATAGCCAAAACCGTCCAAAGCGCAATTTGATATGTCTTGTTGGTGCCGAGAATGGCCAAGAGGTAGATTATGAATGCCGAGCGGGCGATGGTGGTGCTGAAGGTGACAATCGGCACTTGGATGGCGATGTATTTCAAGACCAACTCCTGGTCGTGCGTGTTCAACGTCGTCAAATCGCCACCGAAGCCATGCTTGATTGAGAGGGTGAGGAAGACGGTAGATACGATTGCTAGGATCTAGAGGTAATTTTATGAGATGTGTGAGCCACGGCAGAAAATGGCAGCTGACGGCGGTGCGATAATGACCAGCATTGTAGGGGGTATTGTCCAACTATTCGAAACCAGAGGGTACAAGCATAGGAGACAGTATAGTGTATCATACCTCCGCAATGATCATCAAGACATCGTCGACCCCAAACCGTTTGATTTTGATCTTCGCAAAGACCCGCAGAATCACGATCACCGCGGCGATGATCACCGCGGCCCAAATTCCTTTCTCCAGGGCCGGGCCCTGCGTGTTGGTTTGTGACATTCGGATGAGCGCTGCGTCGCGGGATGTGTGGAGACAAGCCAGGTTCTCAACACGCACACATAACGGGGGGTTGAGACAGGGGATGCGGGCAGGAAGGCTTTTTTTCTTCTTTAATAGAAGAGAGTTTTCGACCAAGGCAGCGATTATACTTTTCGCAGGATCCAAAATCGGAGTCTCCCTGTAAGAAAGATGCAGAGACAAGGTCCTCGAACCATACTCAATTCATGTCCCTGAGCGACATGAGCGATGGGCGCCACCTCAACCCCTCTTTCTACCAGAATATAGCGGCCAACCTCGGAACCACGATGATTTAGGCGACATTCCATGGGTCTGCCTACTCCTAATGAGCTCACAACCCCCGGATGGCGGTCGAGGTACCCGTGGGGAGGCACCAATCACCGGCATGGATCTTCTGGAAAGCCCTAAAAGAGGTCTAAACAAGTTGTCGGGAGGCTTCGGTGGGAGCTGGCCGGAGCCTTGGAACGCACCAAGCCCGTGAATGGGTTTCTCCATTGATGATCCACTGGTGATCCACTCATGATCCACTGCTTGGTCACAGTTTCTCCAGGCTCTAGCCAATCTTGATGGCTTGTGCTGGATACGACTCCACCCGCTGAGCGTCGATTGGCCTCAACGCTGCTTAAGTGAGACACGCGATCGATCGAATGTTCGGTTGGCCTTAAATTTCAGCAACCGCAGGGCGAGCGGGCGTCCGTCGCTTCCGGATCAAAGAGGGTCTGGTGGCTGAACCTCCCTATATAGCGGGACTGTTAGGTTGCATTTTCGAGAGGAAGCTTTTCCGGTGAAAAAGTCTGACGCATAAGGTTCGACTTCCTGGCTGTGGAAGTTGTGGAAAGCTTGGAACTTCTGGCACTTCTTGGTGGCCAAACGAAGAACGTGGAGATCGAGCGTAGACATAGAGTGTGGCGAGATATAGATCCGATCAACCGATTAACCACACTTGCCCTCCACATGGGTCGACTCCAGGCGATCGGCTGCAGCACGCACTTGAAACTACCGAACTCCATTTGCCCCTGCAGCTAAGGATCCGGCAAAGAAGAATGCAGCTGGCCACCGCAGCGAATGACCGAAGAAACCGAACCAGCGTTCGCCGCTCGGGACAATCCCGGAAAATCTCCTGCGAATGACAGCGCTGCATATCCACAGCCCACCACACCACCCTCTTTGTCCACTGGACTATTGTTCAGGCTAGACGCTCTGGGGAACATCTCCGAACAGCTGCCAGCCCGGAAATCAAGCGGCGAAAGGGAGGGAAGAGGAGGGGGGAAAACCGAGGCTGGGGTCGCGTTTAAAAGTCGAGGAATGCGACCTCGATTTAAAATCTAAACGATCGGCAAACTGAGCACCAGTCTTGGTCGTGGTCTTGACCTGCAGACTCCAGTCTTCTTTACTCCTTCCCCCTCTCTGGAACCTTTTGGATCTCCACCATGAAGACCTGGTTGGTGACCGTTGCGGCTCTCGCCTCCACGGCAATTGCCTCGTGCGAGAGCAAGTGCCACTGCCTGCCTGGCGACAGCTGCTGGCCCGCCCCATCGGCTTGGGCATCGCTGAACAACACCGTTGGCGGTCGTCTGGTCGCGACTGTGCCCATTGGTAGCGTTTGCCATGCTCCGACCTACAATGCCACGGCCTGTGCGGCTCTGCAGGACAACTGGCACGAGCCTCAGACTCAGTATGTTTGAATCTCCCAGTCCGATCGGGCCCCAATGGCCCAAGGGCACGATCCGAGACTAGATAGGAAGACCCAAGAGACATCGACTGACCATGAGGATAGCCTGGCCTCGTCCTCGTCAGTAATGCAGGCTTTCTTCGCCAACCAGAGCTGCGACCCCTTCACGGCGAAGAGCCGGCCCTGTGAACTCGGCAACTACGTTGACTACGCTGTGAACGTCTCCTCCAGTGATGACGTCGTGGCTGCCATCGAGTTTGCTCAGGATAACAACATCCGTTTCGTCATCCGCAACACTGGCCATGAGTAAGTTGCCTTATTATCCGAGTCGACATTCCTTGCTCCCTTGATCCACGTCTAATGAGGATCTCTCTTTAGCTACCTGGGCCGCTCGACCGGTGCTGGCGCCCTTTCTGTGTGGACCCATCATCTGAATGACATTGAGTATAAGGACTGGTCGGATGCAACCTACCAGGGCCCTGCATTCAAGATTGGTGCCGGTGTGATGGGCTTTCAGATCCTTGAGGCCGCCACCGACCAGGGTCTTGTTGTTGTCACCGGCGAGTGCCCCACGGTCGGTCTCGCTGGTGGGTACACCCAGGGTGGTGGTCACTCCGCGTTGAGCACCTCCTTTGGTCTCGGTGCGGACCAGACCCTGGAGATTGAAGTTGTCACCGCAGCCGGTGAGGTTGTAACCGCCTCTCGCTCGCAGAACTCGGATCTTTTCTGGGCTATCAGCGGCGGTGGCGCTGGCAACTATGGCGTGGTTATGTCCATGGTCGTCAAGGCTCATCAGGACGCAACCATTGGCGGTGCTTCTCTGGAATTCACTTCTACGAACATCACCACCGACACCTTTTACGAAGCCGTCGCTGAGTTCCACAAGCTGCTGCCTGCGATGATTGACCAGGGCGTGACTGTCATTTACCAGATGACTGCCAGCATCTTCGCCATTCTGCCCCTCACCGCGTACAACCAGACCTCCGCCGAGGTCAAGACCATCCTGACCCCTTTCATGTCGGCTCTGACCAACCTCGGCATTGAGTACGAGCTTTCCTTGACCCAGTACGATTCGTACTACGACCACTATAACAAGTACATGGGCCCTCTGCCCTGGGGTAATCTGGCTGTGTCCGAGTACCAGTACGGTGGTCGTCTTATCCAGCGCGAAACCCTGGAACACAACTCCGTCGGCATGGGTAATGCGCTGCGCAACCTGACTCAGTCCGGCGTGATTGCCGTAGGTGTGGGCATGGACGTGTCCAACCCTGGCAACGTGTCGAACGCTGTGTTCCCCGCGCTGCGCAACGCCGCCGTCACCATGCAGATCGGCACCGTGTGGAACGAGACCGCTCCCTGGTCCCAGATGGTCGCTGATCAGTACAAGATCACCAATGAGTATGTGCCCCAGCTGGAGGCCGTCACCCCCAACAGCGGCTGCTACCAGAACGAGGCCAACTTCCGTCAGCCCAACTGGAAGGAGACTTTCTTCGGCAGCAACTACAGCCCCCTGCTTTCAATCAAGAAGAAGTGGGATCCTGAGTCGTTCTTCTACGTGCTGAAGGGCGTGGGCAGCGATGCTTGGACCGTGTCCAAGTCTGGCCGCATGTGCCGGGCTTAAGTCGGTATCAGGGGACGTTCATAATAGCTGTATGGCCTGAACTGCCATACAGTGCAAGATATAATGTTAGATATAGACATCAGCATGTTCAAAGCGAGTGCTTGGGAATCTGGATTGGATTCTTTGTGTAACGATTGACGTGATTGTACATTCCTATTATTATACACTTATCCATTGCAATCCTTATTTGTTCAATACATATTCTCCAACATGACTGTATAATATGATATCCTACTAATAGTATGCACCGATCGAAGTTTAAATGAAATGGCAGAGGCTTGAAGCAATGTACAGACCGGCCAATACACAGCATTCGTGCTACCTGGGGGAACTTGCATCTAAACTACTTAAGACCCCTATTGGCAATATCAGGAGTTTGATCAACTCTATCTTTTATCGTTTAAATATTTTTCAGGCGACGGATTATCTTCGCAAAAAGACAATTCATTTTGCCTTCTATGCCCAAGGGGCTCCAGGGTGATAGGATACCGGGTGATGGTGTCCGTCTGAACGCATCTTGTAACAAGCGAATATGACGGCCTTGATTGCCGGGGGCTCTCTGTGAAGACTCGGGAGAGATCTTTCTCTTAAGTTATTTGTGCCAGATACGGCGATAAATGTGATATTATTCGAAAAAAAAGTCGAAAGGCAATACTGGAATAAGTCTGCTTATTTCAATCAATTCGGTTGCACAGCCTCTAATAAAGAGACCGCCGACTGCTAGTTCAATCGATGATATGAGTCAGTCATAGAGGGAGATCTAGATATTTTTGGAACTATTGATGATCGTGATGGTTGTAGGGGGGCCCGATTTGGAAGGAACGCAGCGGTCACTTATTGGCTTGCGCGCGCTAATCTGTCTTCGTATTCCCCCCACCCGCCGCAAGTGTATTTCGTGCCTGCGTCACGTCGATCAACCCTGACTCATGACACTTTTCCACGTCTTTCAACGTCTATAAGAAGTGGTCTGGATTTCAAGAAACTACATATCATCAGCTTCACAAATTTCTCTTTTCACATCACATCCCGAACCTGCGCGAACCGGCGAATCCGCCAAAATGTCAGATCGCTCGAGTCGCCCAAACAAACAACAGCGCCAAGATCTGGCAGAAGAGACGCACTTTCTCACCTCAAACATTCTGGAAATCACAAATGCATCCACCGAGGCTGTGTTATTTACCCAGCTGCTGCCCTTTCTTGAAGAAAGGAAGGAAGCGGGAAAAGCACCTGTTTACGTGAGAAACCAAGATAGCTTCACCGCGGCGGAAATGATCCACGCCTCCAACCCGGCCGCTAAGATCGGCGTCTTGAATATGGCCAGTGAGAAAAATCCAGGTGGCGGCTGGCTTCGCGGCGCATTAGCTCAAGAAGAAGCCTTATGTCTTCGAAGCACCCTAGCAGCAACCTTGCACGAACGGTTCTACCCTCTCCCCGTATACGGTGCCATCTGGTCTTCGGATGTTGCCGTCTTTAGAGGCGAAGTCGATTCATGGTGCCGAGTATATCAACCAGACGAAATCTTCACGGTTGGCGTGATTAGTCTAGCGGCGCTACGGCGCCCTGTGCTGACAGCAGATAAAACAAAATTCGGTACGTGATAGCCCAGGAAAGCCCAGTCTTGATGTTTTGGAAATCACCACTGACACCATGTAGCTCGCCCGCAAGATATTGATAAGCTCAAGAACAAGATGAGGCAGGTTTTCCGTGTTCTAGCCTTACAGGGCGTTACTCACTGTATCCTCGGGGCAATGGGTTGCGGCGCATTCCAGAATCCGCCCGCCGAAGTGGCCCGAATCTACAAGGAAGTGCTAGATGAGGCAGAATGGAATGGGGTGTTTGAGGAAATCGTGTTTGCTGTCTTGGATACTCGCAATGAAGGGAACTATGCCTTATTTAGAGATACCTTGAGTTCTTGATGTGGCAAGCGTTTGGCCCGAGTGAAGGGTTTTGTATACCAAAATTCGACGAAAGCAATATCACACACTGCAATTCGCACACTCAATCTCTAAGTCTGTTACCATAGCACTGGGAATTATTATCGGGTTTGAGTAGACAAACTAAAACATAATTTGGAAATCTTCGGGCGTTTTGAAGGGAAATCCGAGCACACGATGGCCATGGCAAAGAGGGTCAATATAACCGAAGAGAACAGTTCTTGTCTCAACAGAGGGCCACGATCTACCTCAATCGTCGGCTTTAATATACAGGGAGCGGATATGCGTCAAGATCGTAAATCCAGGTGTCGAACGACTTTTGATCGAAGACGCAATCCATAGTCGTACCGTTGTCCTTCCAGAGAGGACGCAATGGCCACGCGCACAGTTGCTGCTGCACACCCTTGTTCTTTCCACTGAGAATGGTAGAGTTGAGAGTAGCGGGGGTTTCACTTTTTTCAACCCAGTCGATGAGGGAGCCTAAGCTGGTTTGTGGGAAAGGCGCGTTTGGTTGAAGACTGTTCGTGTTGCAGTGAGAAGCGCCAGGCACCAGAAACAGGCGGTACCAGTCATTCAAAGCCTGAGTACTCTTGCTGAATGTCAGATTCGAGTACATGGTGGCCCGAACCGACTCATGGAAGCGAACAGAAGAGGCAGGGGGGATGCTGTTGTCGGACTCGCCATGGTACGAGATAATCTTGCCACCGGCAGCTTCAAATGGACTCAGATCGGGCCAAGTCGTCTGGAGAACATCTTCATATCGCTGCCATCCCTCGAGCATCCAGTCCCTCAAGACGTCATAAGTAACACCATCCAAGGTTGAGAGGTTGTCCAGCTCCAGCAGCTCCAGGCCACGCGTAACCCATTCCCCACCGAGCTCTGAGATATCGACGGTCCATTTGCCGCTGGATGAATCATAAACAGTCTCCGCATCTGTCATTTGAGCTCCCGGTTGATACCAGAAATAAGCACGGCGACCGTTGCTATCATGAAGACCATTATAAATGGCACTCGCGAGAGCTGCGCCTTCAGCCGTGACAGTGCCACTCTGCGAGGGACTTGCTGGGGAGACCAGTTGTCTCTTTCCAAAACTCGATCCCGAGCTGGCTGCACAGTGATATTTCTGTCCAATCGTTGAATTGAAGTCGAAGTGCAATTTACACAGATCGCTGCGGCCAACAACGCCGTCCACTTTGCCATCCAGTGGATCACAAGCACTGATAGTGAGGTTGACAATCTTTTCCAGTTCGCAATAAGGGGGGATATAGTTCATTGTTTTTTGAACGACCTGGGGAAACAGATGGTTGACTTGCTGTTGCCCGTAGCGAATTGCAGGCGCACCGATAACAGCCCCGTCCCATTCATCGGGGAATCTTTGGACTTGGCTAAACCCTTCACGACCACCTTCCGAGCATCCCTGGTAATACGCGTATAGCTTGTTCGAGTCGGAAAGGTTGAAGAAGTTCTTGGTGAATGCCTTGCCGATAGAGGACATTTCGTGATGCGCCTGGTAGCCAAACATGTACAGTGCGTCTAGATTCGCAGTCCCATTCGCAAGTGGGAAAACATCATCAAAATCAGTGTCGAAGCCACCGAAGCCTCCATCTGTTCTACCTGTAGCGGCACCATAGATCACACCGCCAGGCAGGGTCGACTCGACGTTGATCGCGTAGCCGAACCCACCGGTTGATACCCAACGGTTCCGGAATTTCTCAGGGGCTGGAAGCCAGAAGTTCAAAAGAACTTTATCGGTTTTCCCATGGTGAGAGTAAGTCATTGTCACATTGCAATAGTCGAACGTGGAATCGGGATAATAAGGTTCACCAGAGACAGAAACATTGTACACTGGATTCGCCGAAACAACCGAGTTTGTGGTCACGATGCCAGGAAGCAAGCCATCAAGGGGTACTGCTGCTTTCGCACGGGATGTTGTACAAACATCACGAAGGCTACTAGCCTGGATCGTTGTGGCCATGGCCACCAAGCCAAGAGCGCGTAGCTTCGGCATTTTCCAGGAAACTTGAGAATCAAAGGAAGGGCAAGGTGATAAAAGAATATGTGAGGATGAAATAATCTAATTACTTGGGTGATAGATACTCGTAAATTTATAGGCCAGTGTTCCTTGATTTGATTAAGCTTCGGTCCTTCACCTTAAAGGTTGAGTAGCCCCTCTGGGGTACGTACATGGGTGGGTCCATGGGGTCCCACGCCGAGTTGATGAAAGGTCATTAGTTCAATTGTGAAACTAGATCTAGTAATAAAATCAAGGTATAAAGATTACATTTAATGTAGGGGAGTTCCAAAAGAAAGTATGATAAATCCGGTAATTCGAATGTGCTTGAAACAAACCAATGAAATAGATGATAGCCTTAAGATTTTACCCTCGACTCGACACCGGTCATGGAATTATAAGAAGAATAATCCAGTGAGACCTAATAGAATGACGTATAAAATGGAGTAATGAAAAATCTAAAAAATCAAATTAATATTTTGCATATTATCCATTCCAATGGAACTGACCTGTGTTGGTGGATTCTATCTTTGAATGGGTGAACTCGCTCTGCAATGAACCTCAAGTCAAACAACCCCTGAAACTTTGAAACTTAGTTGACTACGGACATTATTTGGAAAACCAATAAGATAGCAGTGTGAAAGTTATCTCCACCAAGTAAGTGACTTTTTTTCCAGGGCAATACTTCTGTCTTCAAGAATCGTTCGGATTTAACAATTTCGGTTCTCGGGTCGGACTTCCAAATACAGAATATTGCACTAAATAGGAGTATTGAACCGCCATTTTACATATATCATACGCTCATACACTGATCATCGTATTTTTATGCTTTAATGCTCTTTGATGCCTCATATTAATTGAATGGCTGCGATGTAGATTATGTGCGCTTGTTAATTTGGATATCTCCGTCTCAAATAGTCCGAGACAACGAGCTAGAGAATATACTTTGCATTGGATCGCTCGGAGTTAAACTCGAAGAGGCTTAGTCTCCGCAAGCTGAATTCAGGCTCTCCTCCTTCAGTGCATACGTTCCGCGACTTTATAGACCACATGATGTCTGGCGAGTGGAGCTCTCCAGTTTCGGCTTCCGTCGCTCTTATAAAAGCACTCATTTTCATGCTCAGTGAGTAGATATTAGTATGGGCTCAGACTTCGTGATCAATTGGTGCTAGGTCACCTCCTGATACGCCATGTCCAATCAAGGGATATCAGTCAGCATGTCCCTAGCTACCCCTAAATTGGAACAGCCGATATGGTCGTTTATTCCATCTTAATGTTCGTAGGCGGATCATCTCCGATTAAACAAAGGCTGTGTCATGTCACATTCATCACATCAAAAACGAGAGAGTGCTATTTCTTTCTGGAGATACGTTCAAAAATGGATTTTCCTCTTGATTTCTTTTATTTGTCTCTATCTACTCCTGCGAATTTCCCTGCAGAGCCTCTCTTGATGAGCGACGATTGACTTCTCTTCTCAGAACTCATTTTGCATTCAACTTATCAGGGCGCAATTTCTGCTCAATGCACTTTTAGACCTTATTATCAATCAAATTGTTGCAATAATTATATTGCCCAAGAGTGTTGTAAGTTTGATTGTGTTGTCGACATCAATTAGAGTTACAAGAAGTATCCTTGGTTATTCCTTTTTTAACATAATATCTTTGTAAATTCGAAGTTTAATCCAGAGGAGATGCAAGAAGCGAAGCGACAACCAGATGTACAAGCCCTCGAACCATATATCGAATATCTGGCTCCGGGATTTCACCAAAGTCTTTTGAATGAACACCTGGCAGATGGAGTATCTCCCAAGTTTAAGTCTCGAATGCAAATTCGGGGGGATTATCCGTTTTGCACATGTTTCTTCTATACAACTCCTGTGTCTGAAGGGATGGATCACCATGTTATCGCACAAATTGACTGGATCTGTGAACAATACGAAAACAGAGATATGGATCAGATGTTGAAACGCTAAAATCTCGTATTCATCTACCGTGGTTCTCGATTCGAGTTTGGGGAAAGATCTAGATCTACCCTCGACGAGATCAGATCAGATTAATCAGAATCAAGCTTTGATCAACTCAAAAAGTATCATCAATCAATCAATCAACGATTGCCTAATGCAGACTAAGTGGTGGCGTAATGGCTTTGTAGGTGCTTCATCAGGCGGAAGCAAGAGCCATCCAAACGGCAGCCTACGCAGATAGAACGTCAAATAAGAAGGAGAAAAGATGCTTTAATATAGACTACCGGCTAAGACCCTAATCTAGCCTCCTTTTCTACTCCTTTCCTATTACTATTAATAGAGTAGATAGAGATATAGTGGTCAAATTGAGATTCGATGTCTATATTAGTATCTAAAGCTTAAGCTCCGATCCAACCAAAATTAGACTTTAACAAAATCAATGCCTCTAGCCAGCCAGCACCCAATCTTGAATCCCGAGACAGCGCCGCGGTCATCGCGTTTGAGTACCATTGTCCAATTACCGGGAGCCGGTGCATCCAGTCCTCTTGGGCAGGTGAGCTGCCAGACATCATCTCCAAGGTAATAGAGAGGAGCCGGAATACCACGGCCAAGGTACCCTTCAAAATAGCCATATAACATTCCAGCCTGTCCAGAGCAGTGAAAATTGGAATCAATCTCATCGGATCTATAAGTGCCTTGGAGAGTCTCATCTTTAAGAGTGACATCGTTCGGGACAAGACGGCTGGCCACAAGAGTTCGGTTCTCGGAGATCCGGTGGATACGAACAACATTTCCTTCGATACTCGCGGTCATGTCGAGAGATTTGGCGTGGATGGTATCAGTCGCTTTAATTATCTCAGGACTGCCTTCATAATTGATTATGAGTTCCCCTATTTGCAATCCTCGGGTGATCGTTACCGCAAGTTGCGTATCCTGGTCAAGAAAAGACCCAAGCCAAGCGGCACTGGGCTCGACCGGAGGAATATTTGGGAATGGCCTGTTCAGAAGGGCACGGAGCATGTCACTCGCCGCAGCAGGTACATCAGCTTCGTGATTGAAAAAGACTACGACCGAAAGGCGCTCATGAGGGGCATTGCGTCTATGAGATCTGAAACCGCGCAATCCGCCACTATGCCCGAGTGTCACAACCTCGTCATAACTCTTTCGGTCCATGCCATAATGATACGGAGCACTATTTCCATCTGCATAGGTCTGTGGACTGGTGATGGCGCGGTACCAACTTTCTGAGTCGGTAAATAGGCGATCCAGATACTTCTCATAGGCGATCATGTCCTCCAGTGAAGCAACCAGCCCCCCATCCCCAGACCACTCTATGCGATTAATGACGGGAATATATCCCCCAATCTGTTCGGAACCTTCATATCCAACCACTGGGGAGGGGATTTTCGCGTTATCGGGGCACATGAACGCTGTTGACATTCCAGCCGGGCCAAGAATTCGCTCGGCCAGCAGTTTGTCAAGTGGCTCCCCAGCCACACGTTCTACAATTCGACCTAAAACGTGGAAGTTGACATTGCAGTAGGAGAACTCTGTCCCAGGGGTGAAATGAAACGATCGAGTCCGTTCTTGCGCAGGGGGGAAATCCCTCTCCACGAGAAATTCGTCGTCCGGTTTAGCACCCCACAGGGTGGTCATGGCCCAATAGTCGCGCAAGCCTGATTGCATATCGACAAGATGCTGGAGAGTCAACCCACTGCCTTCGGTGAGCTCTGGCGGGAGAATTTGAGCCATTATATCCTCGAATTGCTTTCGCGCGGGGCCTTTGCCCGCCATGGCCGAGGTCGGGTTGCGTTCCAGGTCGAGCATCAAGGCGCAGAAAAATTGTTTCGAGATGGAGCAGATGGGCATCTGAGTCTGAGGGGTCATGGCAATGTGGTTCTCAATGTCCGCATATCCCCAGACGCGTTGACCGACTAGTTCGCCATCTTTAATGACCGCGATCGCACCGCCTGGTCCGCGATACTTCAGCGCAATGTCATCGAGGATTCTCTGGACAGCTTGTGGGTCAATCGACATCTTTGAAGGGGAGGTGGATGTGGAGGAGCAGGTCGTGAAGTTGCATTTGCTTATCAGGCGATCAGAATGGGGAGGGGGGGGGAGACCGTAGATAAACAGGCTACTGAATTACCTATTGGGGACGCCGATAGGAACCCCACGCTTCTTGCCGGATTCGGGTCCCCCGCTGTCACCGAGTGGTCCAATCGGAGTCGATTTGTCGGGGAACCGGAAAAGATCCACGCGACCAAAAAGCTTACCTTTGAACACAGACATACAGACGTACGGAAGAACCTTACATACTTTGGTATGCTCCAGGGAAGCCCAGAGTACCAGGGTAAACTGGAAAGAACTGGCCGGGATGCTAATGTAGGCATTCAAATCGCTCTAGATCAAGTTTCAGTGAAACTACAATTCTTTGTCATCCACTATCTCGATCATTTATCGAGCATACATCACTATAACCGACTTCTTCCAGATCCTGAATTGTTTGGTCGCCCCTGTCTTCGCCATTTTCTCTTGGAGTTGCGTCCCTTTTCCCCCTAACTGAATCACATCGGCAAAATTACATCTGACACTCCGGTCCTTCTATGTCCTCGACATAATTGTATTTTCACCTCGCTTTTTCCTTGTTTAAGCTTTCATGCTCCTAAAAATAGGTTCCGGTACAAGTATATATACTCCGGAAGGCTCCGGATTCGGGGCCAGACCCATGCTTCAACAATGACGAGTAATGATTCATGTTGACGAAAGCGATGCTGAAGAGATATCTACAGGGTGTTTCCCTTGAAAGGACCTGAGACATTAAAGAGGAACATTTCGAACATCGCCCCTTTAGTATCCAGCAAACCACATAACTTTTAATAGGCTCGAGACTCAAATCATCATTATTCTTGTGAAGATAGTTCAGCCTTATGTGTATAATTCATCATGGCTACAGGCAAGATGAATATTATAGTCCCCGACATGGCCAAGGAGTTCGATTTTATTGTCGTGGGAGGTAAGTCGGGGTTTATTTTTCCGTAGCTCAAGCAGGGCCACTAATTCCTAAAATCCTTAGGTGGCACAGCTGGAAATGTTGTAGCCGGTCGCCTGGCTGAGAATTCAAAAGTATCGGTTTTAGTCATCGAAGCAGGTCGAGGGTATGCCTTTCCAGCGCTCTGAAAAAAAAAACATTTGATGTGGTGATTCCAAACTAATATCGTCTAGAGATCCAGATAAAATCCCCGAAGTTACTACTCCTGCCCGTGCCTTTGAATGCCGAAATGGGCCAGTGGATTGGAAATACAAATCCACACTCATTGATCGTCCAGACTATACACGTGTCGAGAAACCCAATACCAGGGGTAAAGTTCTGGGTGGTAGTAGCTGTTTGAACTATTACACATGGGTACGAGGTAGTAAAGGAACCTACGATGACTGGGAAGATTTTGGTGGCAGTGAATGGAATTGGCGCGGGGTGAAGGACTATTTCGACAAGGTGCGCATAAAATCCGTTTTCCATATTGGATCAACCTAATAATAAGTTGGGCAGCCTGCAACTTATCACGACGATGGAAATAATTACCCTCATGTTCGAAACATTGGTCTAGGAGGGCCTCTCAACGTTGAACACGCAGATCTGGTGCCTGAACTACGGCCATTCCGCGACGCACTGCTTCAGGCTTGGCAAAGCAAGGGTCTTGAAGTCAATGATAATATTTATGATGGAACTCAAACTGGATTAACTCGCTGTATCAACACCATTTACAAGGGTGTTCGTTCATCGAGTTGGTCATTTCTTGTCGGGAAACCCAATGTTCACATTCTACCCTCCTCACACTGTGAACGGCTGATTATACAGGGTGACCAGGCTGTTGGAGTCGATATTCGTGAACCGAATGGAAAATGCATCAAGGTCAAGGTCCGTAAGGAAGTAATCATCGCCGGTGGTGTATTCGAATCACCAAAGCTATTGATGCTGTCCGGTATTGGACCTGAGAAGGAGCTAGCACAATTCGGTATCAAAGCCATTTCCAGCTCACCTCATGTCGGCAGAAATCTTCTTGATCATCCTATTCTTCCGCATGTCTTCCGCTTGAAGAATGGACTTGGCTTGGATGATCATCTACTCCGCGTCGGTCCACAAAAGGCGGGCGCAATCGCAGCCTATAACCGTGATCATTCGGGACCTCTAGGAAGCGGCCTTCTAGAAATCGTGGGCTTTCCCCGTATTGATGAGCGTCTTGCAAGAATCAAGGAATATACAAAAGCGAAGCTGGATAATGGTGGTAAAGATCCGTTTGGACCAGCAGGACAGCCTCACTTTCAAATTGATTTTGTGGTAGGCATAGTTTCGCCCTCAATACCCTTCATTACATTTTGGTTTTATTGCTAACTCTTGTAGCCTATGTTCTCGGATGCTTTTCAATGGCATATTCCTACTCCTCCAGAGGGAGGATGGCTCACAGTCATTGTTGACCTACTTCGGCCTATTTCAAAGCCAGGTTGGGTCAAGTTGAATTCCGCTGATCCCTTGGATGATCCTTACATCAATACCAACTATTTTAATAATCATCTTGATATAGTTGCCATACGGGAAGGCATTCGATTTGTGGATGATGTTCTTATGAACGGTGATGGCTTCAAAGACATTATTGGGGAAGATTATCCATGGCCTATGCCCCGCAATTCCAATGAAGCAATGGACCAGATGATCCTCGAGCGTTCACAGACCGGATTTCGTACGTATCCGACAAGCCCCCGTTATCACTGAGACATTCTGATTGCGTCCTTTTAGACCCTTGCGGGACTTGCCGTCTTTCAAGGAATATTGGGCAAGGAGTGGTCAACGAACAGCTGAAGGTGCATGGTTTCAAAAACATCCGAGTAATCGATGCTTCTGTGTTTCCTGTCATTCCCGACTGCCGCATTCAGAATCCTGTGTATATGGTTGGTGAAAAGGGTGCGGATCTGATTAAAAGGGACCACAAAGATATCTATTAATGATTATTCTGCTTCTGTGAAAAGTTGATCTGTATGGCTGTGCCATCGTGAACCATTCTACTTAGGTGAATTAAAATATGATATTTACCAATTTTACAGATGGCGACTAAATGAGCCAAGGTTGATAGATCAATTCATGATTTTATTCCTTCTCTACCATCTCAACTTATCACATTGAGCAATTGTAGCTTCCCAGCTCTGCCGTGACGCAGGCACCGGGAACAGCCAAGTTATCATGCTGAAACAGGCTTAGTCTCCGCAAGCTTTCCCCGCTAGAAGTGAGGAGAATCAATAGACAGAAAACTTTGTTTGATTCAAACACCGAGCCCCTGAATTAAAGCACCTTTTTGAATGAGCCTCTTTAAAAACGTGTTTATCAATCTTTCAGTTCAACATATTACAAGAAGTCCAAGGCTTAAATGCCTCGCATAGCATTAGCCTAACTACGTATTTCCTGTTGCTGAGTGATTCATCACTGCCATTTACATACACAATCTCAATGCCAGTGTTCTAAATGATTTTTGTACATTCTTGAATAAAATAAGGTCGGATTCGTGAGGCTTCCGAGAAAATGTTAAAAGATAAGCCGAAGTTCAAGTAGACAGAAGATAATTCCCAAGACTCAACGAAAATTTTCCCTACCGCGCATTTCGAAAGCTTCCTTGTGTTTTTAAATTTTAATCCAATCTACAATACCGGACATCAAAGCCCCGCTGGACCATGCTTAAATTTTTTAAACATAAAGATCGTCACAAACCAAACCGGGAATATGCTGAGCTGACGAATTTCTTTTTGAGTGGGTCGCGCTCTACTTCGGCCTCATGGCCCTTCTTCGGGGAAACCGCATACCCTGGTTGTCTAGAGAATGAAAGGTTTCACATCATTGCCACAGAAAATATCATGAAGATCTTCACTGATTCGGGACAGTCCGGCCGGAACGTACAACTCAATATCGATGTACCCTCGGTTTTAACAGCTTTTGTGACGCGTTCACAAAGCGTATTCTCCGAGAAGCGGTAGATCATGGGTATATAAATGCATCTTTTTCTTTCTTATCTTGACTTCTGAGCAGAATTCCAAGTATTATTTGACATTTGTCTACTTCCGTGTCAAGCTTCCAATAATGATATTCCTCAAGGTAGCCACTGTTGCTAACTTGGTATTTGGTACAGCCACAGCTGTGAAAACTTCCAATCGTGCCAGTTGCAAGGTTTCCACCTTCCAAAAGTTTATAGATGCAGATTCCACCATTGCAACAGTTCAATGGGCAACTTATATTCCTCAAAATGGTAGTTTTAACCCAGAGAATTATACCTCTGCAACTGAATATCCCACGAAGCTACCTGAATCATGTGCCGTTCAGATAAATGTTGCTTCGGAGGGTAACTCGAGCTATCTCGTTGGTATTATCCTACCTTATGATTGGAATGGACGAATGCTGTATGTCCCTTCCATATTCTCACCAATAAATCACGTTGACATGTGCAAGGTCTGCCGCTGCCGGAGGAGGTATCAACTGGGTTGACATGGTAAGCCACTAGAAGATATTACTCCTCTTAGTCTCTTACCAACTATTTTCATTACAGGGAACCGGTACTCATTACGGCTTTGCTACCGTGTCTAGTAACTTGGGCCATGTGGGCATCGATACCACCGGCACATGGGCGCTTGGCAGGCCCGAGGCGGTCATTGATTGGGGTTACAGAGCTTGGCACGGCACCACTGTGCTGGGCAAGCTTCTGATCAAAAACTAGTATGGTTCTGCTGCTAAGTATAGCTACTTCTATGGATGTTCTACCGGTGGGCGACAAAGTATGAAGAATCTCCAGATGTACCCCGAGGATTATGATGGTGTCATTGCTGGTGCTCCAGCCTGGTGGACAACCCATCAGCAACTCTGGAACCTCAAACAAACCACCTACCAGGCCCCTGTCAATTCATCTCATACTATCCCAGGGGTGATGTTCGATATTCTTGCGGCTGAAGTCATCAAACAATGCGATCCTCAAGATGGTTTGCTTGATAACATCATTTCAGATCCGCAGGGATGTAACTTCGACCCTAGCACATTGGCATGCAACGCAACCAGTTTGTCTGATGAGTGTCTGACCGCAGACCAGCTCTCAACACTTTACAAGCTCTACAATGACTGGGTCGATGTGAACCAAACCTTTGTTTACGGGCATGTGTGGCTTGGTAGTGAGGCTTCATGGTTACTGGGCAATATCGGATTGGGTGAAAACAGCACTATCGAACAGCAATACTGGTACCCCCAAGATCTCATGGGTCTAGGACAAAGCTTTGTATGGCAGGGCTTGGATTACAATACTGTGCAGCTAGCGGAGAAGCTTAACCCTGGAAATGCAACCGCGGATCAATATGATATTAGCGAATTTTACAACCGCGGCGGCAAATTTCTCCATTACCACGGCCTGTCGGATGCCTACGTCTCTCCGGATTCTAGTATATACTACTATGATCACGCTAAGAGTGCAGTCCAGCCTCAGGGTATTAAAATGGATGAATTCTATCGTATGTTCCTGATTCCTGGAATGGAGTAAGTATACGGTTATCCCTCACTCCTCATTGCTATTCTAATAAAAGTCAAGGCACTGTGACTCAACTCCCGACAACATGAATGCTCCGTGGTACGTTGCTGGTCTAAATCAAGCCGCTACCATCAACACGGGTACCTACAGTACTCCAGGATACAGAGATGCGCGACACGATGTTGTTTTGGCTCTAATGGCCTGGGTTGAAAATGGCACGGCACCTGCTGAAATCGTCGCTACCAAGTGGAAGAATGATACAACTGCCACCGAGGTTCTGCGCCAACGGCCGATCTGTCACTATCCCAACCAGGCAAGATACGACGGCAATGGGGATCCCGATAGTGCCTCTAGCTGGACTTGCGAGTCTCTCTACTAGCAAAGCCTAAGTTAACGATGGCATCAAGAGCTCTTGACTGCTTGTGAAGCTATCAGTTGATATGAGCATTAATTACAGCTTGTCATTATGGGCGATGTACGTATATATCAGAAAAATATTAGCTTAGGCTGTCTGTTTCTTCGCATCGTACAATGCACCGCGTTCTTTCACCAATGAAGAAATAGCGTCTCCCGTCTCACTTCCCATACTAGCGAATCCCTGAATCACGCCCTCCCGATCGCCTGGTCGCTTCTCCTGGCTCATCTTGAACTTGCCTTGGATTTTATCGATACGGATTTTGATTCCAACAATATTCCGCTTTAGTAATTCCACGTATTCCTCCGGAGCTTCAGAGACCTTCCACGGCTCAGGCTTTTTGCCACCCGTATAACCCATGATCGACCTCTCCGTGTGTTGTGAAAGATCATGGATTTGCTGGGCCAAAAATTGGCCGGCTTCGGGGGTCTTCGAATCATAGTAAAGCGAGAGTTTTCCGTAGATCTGCACAGCAGAGTAATTCCATGTCGGGACGACTTTGCCCGTGTCAGGCTTCGTTTCCACGTAGTATTTCGGTGTCACGTAGTGATCATGTTTGCCATTGAAAACCACAAGGACATCTTCATCGAGTTCGAGAACATCGGGCTTCTTTTCCAGGGCTTCGATCATGCTTTGGATCTGTGGGTTTTGCTTGGCAATGTGGGCGCGCAGTTGACCCTGTGGTGCGGAATCGTCTGTTTCCCCGGGTAAGTCAATGACAAATGGGGCGTGCGTGCATTGAAGGAAGTCATTGGATGATTTGACGCCCGTAATCAGCATTCCCAGTGGATTTTCGCGAATGAACTGGAGAAGGACATCCGTGTCCGTCTCTGCATGAACACTTGGTAGAAACATTATCGCGGTTTAGGGAATCACGAGAAAAAGGTTGGAAGAAATTGGTCAGGACGTATCCCATTGAAAGAGACCGCAGGTCTATATAAATATTCAGGCCATTCATACTGAAACGAATTTCGCAATGAGTCACGTCAATGGCTATTCGACGCCAGCATGCCCCAGGGCAAGCACAGTGGGTCGCCCGTTAAACCAATTCAGCAGGTCCAAGACGGTATTTTCGCAAAGCCCGAATTCTAGAGCCAACTATCGACCAATCAACCTTAAGGTATTAATCTGATTACTACAATTAACGGGACGGCATGGCATCTTCTGGAAGCGAGAGCAAAACTTGCCTACGGCTGATTTTCATGGGATTGCAGACGAAATAACCAATTAACATCGAGTATTGATCCCGCACACCATATTCAGTATAGGCGGATCCACAGGATACAGATCCCGCCAATTCAATGGCAGTCTATGGATGTCATGGTACATACATCATGAAGAAGATTCTGATTAACTTGTTCTAAAATAGTTTACAAGACCGATCTACCTATCAATATACAGCGTGTACTGATATACAGTTCCCCAGAAGACGAAGATTTCTGGCTAGATGTATGACTATCTTGGCAAGAAGCCTTTACCAAAGTTATTCCCGAGGCTGAAGTTGACTTTTATGACCCCGGTGTTCGCACGCGAATTTCCTGATATCTCGAAGTACAAATTGATCGATCTTAGCGGCGACAAAGCAGACGTATCTCCTCCCCGAACCCTGGGTGCTTGGTGTACTGGATTTTGTTCGCACCGTAAAACAACACTTCCCTTGGACAAAGATTCTTGGACTCTACTTGGGCCACCAAGCTATGTCGAGAACACTTGGTGGCGAAGTCGGAGCTGTTCCGACTGGTCGTATTATTAGTTCCTTCCAACTACATGCGAGAGAATATCTACAGTCTTGCAGCTATACCGATGAAGATCGTTCAGGTCATTATTCAAGATGTTCTTCTGATGGAAGCGGGCAAAGGATTCTTCCAATTTGCCGCTAAAGCTGGTCTCTAAGCGAGTCTTTTCCTCAAGAACCGTTTCCCAGAGGTCCCTGGCCTGATTTTAATGAATTCTCTTCAGTGACCGCCGACGTTCGACGCTCCTGAGGCCGCCAAACCTGCGCTTCGGGCCTCATTCACCTTGCTGAGCACCGCGAATGCATCGTAAACGAGGCCAATCCAGTCCTCTCGCTTCAGGTCCGCCCTGAAATATGGAACAACCTGGTCAGTAAATTGCCGCAAGGGATAGACAAGGTGTACAATGGGAGCTCCTCCGTCACCCAGTTGGAGCAAGAAAATCAGAAGTTGAATCAGCCGACTGGCGGAGTAAAACTACTAGACCGTGTTGTCCAGTGGCTGGAAGAGATTGTGTAGCTAGGACAGAGACAGAACGGAATTGGGATCCAATGAAAACAAATGGTAATAGAAAGCCGTTCGAAGAATTCGAATTTTTAGTTCTAAAAGAGAGAAGATGATTATTCCTAACCCAACCGTCTGCAAAAATAATAAATAAGGAAGACAACAGAAAGAATGACCCATGCAACCCAAGCACAAAAATTCAAGTACATTTCGCCACATCCATGTCGTGAGAGCATCTAAAGTGAGTTCGTTTAACGTAGTCCGTCCGCAGCACCGAAATACGAGATGTCTTTAGAGCATCATGCGGCATGCTCGGGAGCTGGGACGGTGCCGTCGGTGGAGTTGGACGCCGCCACGGCCATTTTCTTCGCTTGAAACTTATCCGCTGAATGAGCTGATATACGGGTAAGCTCGGTAACAAACGATTGGCCCCAGAATGCACTATAGAGATTGAAATGTTAGTCTTTGGGTAGCCTACTATTACAAATCAACATACCTGGTGTACTTAGACACGTATTTGTCCAATTTGGCGAAGTTGAGAGCACGTTGTTCATCACTCATGGTAACAGCCTCTTGATATGCGCCAGCCAGCTCCTCGGTATTCCAGGGGTTAACAATAATGCTGCCATTCAGACTCTGGGCAGCTCCAGCGAACTCAGAGAGTACCAGAACACCATGACGCTTCTGCTGTGTTGCAATGTACTCATAGGCAACCAGGTTCATGCCATCTCTGGTAGAGGACACAATGCAAGCATCCGATACAGCATAGAGGGCAATAAGCTCGTCAAAATTGACAGACTTGTGGAGGAAATGAATCGGCATGAACTCGACAGTGCCTAGTACCAATAATTAATAAGCATCAAGAAAAGAATTGCAGGTATTCAAAGCCAAAGTACTCACCGAACTTGCCGTTAATACGGCCCACCAGCTCGTTCACCACTGCTCGCAAGTTTTGATACTCCTCGACGTCCTGTCGACTAGGCACTGCGACTTGTACCAGCACGACCTTACCTACCCACTCTGGATGGTCGCTGAGGAAGACTTCCAGGGCATGAAGCTTTTGCGGCACGCCTTTGATGTAGTCCAGCCGATCAACTCCAACCATGAGCTTGACTCCTTGGAACTTCTGCTCCAGCATCGCGATACGCTTTTGCACCTTTTCCTTCTTCAGACCCTCTTTGAATTTCTCGGGGTCAATGCCGATCGGGAAGGCGCCGCAAGTGATTATCTTGCCCTGAAATTCGATACCGTTCGGTGTTGTTGTAAGTCCCCTTGTATCATTAGCCATGAGAAATGCAAAAGCGGAGCCGGGAATAAAGAAGGAAAGAATGGAGCGGGAGATATGTGCAGCCCACTTACAGCAGTCGTGAGCAACTGCTCAGGAAATGGCGGGTATAATCATAAGTGTGGAAACCAATCAGGTCACAATGCAACACGCCCAAGAGAAGCTCATTGCGAACCGGCAAAATACGATATATCTCGCTGCTGGGGAAGGGAGTGTGCAGAAAGAACCCGATCTTGACGTTCTGTTTGCTGCTGCCGATCTCCTCGCGAAGCATCTCCGGGAGCAGCATTAGGTGGTAGTCGTGCACCCAAATCAGATCGCCATCCTGTACCTCTTTCGCGATTGCCTTGGCAAAGAGTCGGTTTGCCTCCTTGTAGGCTTCCCAGGCCGACTCGTCGAATGTAATTTCACCAGGGTGGTAGTGGAACAATGGCCAGAGGATTGAGTCTGTTCACAATACCATTTATCAGTACAACCCACTCAATACGTCAATTAATCGCATGCTCGCTTCAAGGGGGCGCGACTGACTCGAAAATCCGTTGTAGTGCCGATCCGCCAGGTCGTCATCAATGAAGACTGGGACTGCACCATACTCCTCCTTCAGACGCTTCTTGACGACCGGTATCTCCGCCTCGGGCACCTCCAGTCCCGGCCAGCCGTACCACTGGAAGGTGGTCGATTTGGACAGCCCACTCAGCCCACTCACCAAGCCTCCTGAGGACATGGAGAAGTCGTATTTGCCATCCTCAGAGCGCTTGATTGTGATCGGAAGACGGTTTGAAACGAGCAGGAGGCGTGCCTCATTCTGCTTGGGTTCTTCGAGAGAGGGCATCGCGGCGGAAAGCTCAGAGGAAGCCAGTTCGTGGATTGCCGACACCGGTGAAGTGGCGGAACAGGGACACGGGCACAAAGGTTACGCCCGACTGTTCTCGGATACGATTTTTAGGAAGCTCTTGATGGGAGGCAAGAAGCCTTTTGGCGCCGACCAGAAAGTGGTTAGTATAGCCAATTTGTCGTGGTTCTTTTGTCTTTGGGATCAACGGATGGGGATCGCGGGGAAGAAGGGACCGGGCCGACTCACCGAATGAGAAAAGTGCAGGGCAGTCAAAACCAAACGCCGGTCAGGGCTCCACAGTTGCTCGTCAGCTCAGACACTGAACAGACACAACAGCCACTAACAGCCGCAATGGAGGGGTGGAGCGGGGAGGGTTGCTTAAAGAAAGAAAAAAAAAGCGAAGCCGAGTCAAGGGCGGGCGGGGGAAATGACGGAGTGAGGTCAGCGCCCCGAAACTTGGAAACAGCTACAGTGGAGCTCCTCAATAGCGCTCACATCAGGAACGGGGAAAATAAAGCCAGGAGAAGCAGAGTAGAGGTTTGTCAAAAGTCAGGGACGTTTGAAAGATGCAGGGAGAGGATGATCCAGTTTCGATCATTGTGTCATGTGTTCCGTTGTTTTTATATAAGCCAGTCATGATCTCACGTTCTCCGCCGTGCAACTGCAACGCTAGTCTCGTTCGCTGTTAGTGTGCGTCTCTCGGTTCTCTTTTACTGTACTGCGCCTAGTCTCCCTCTCCTCTTTACCGATCTAATTTTTTCTCTTGTACTTGATACCCTAGTTGCTCCGGCTCTTCTTTCTATTGTGTTCGGATGTAACAACTGCTCGGATCCGTCCTTCCCTGGTCACTGCAGGTCACTCTGATCTCTTTGATTGGGACCTCACCCCCAGCCAGTCAGCAGCCAGTCCCAGGATATGGTTGACTCTGAGTGCCTCGCCAAAGGAAGAAAAAACGAGAAGAATGCAATCCTCGTTGCTGCCCGATTTCCGATTGTCCGCGATGACCGCGAGCTGACGTCGACTTACGTAATGATCGAGGGGTCAAGCCAAAGTTGACAACTTGAATATCAGCATCAGAATCAGGACATTAGATCGTTTATGTACAGCCAGCCAAGTAGGAACACTCTTGCGTCCTAGGAAAATCCTATAAACCTTATATACCCGCCCTGGGATCCTCATTGTGAGCGAAGGCCCCCGTCACCGATGTATAGAATTACCCCGTCTCGGAGGCCAAGTGCGGCAGATATCTCGAACAGCTAGATCACGTATATAGAATCATTCAAATGGCCTCCTCTTTTAGCTTCACCCACCTCACAGCGCCGACTTCTCCCCAGCCAACGACCATGCCCCAGACTTGGAATCATGTACTGTCCGCCCCTCCTCCTCCAACTTCATCAGTACCTTTAGCACCCCATGCGACGCTGGCAAGTGCAGATTCTCGGGTACATTACGGTAGATTTGCTTCACGAGCTCGATAGGCGTCCAGGTCCGGCGGCGCTCGGGCGAGGGTTCGTCCGGCACCACGTCCAGCGAGCCGTGCCGTAGTACACGCAGCACCTCATCCTCCCGCTGCTGCCGGTGTTGGATGTACTCGGCGACGCGGGCGGTCGTGTTCTCGATCACGGCACCATGTCCGGGGTACCCACGGCCCTGAACGCGGTCGCGCATGCGATTCAAGCTAGAGAGGTAGACCTTGAGATCTTCGAAGACGGCGGTGCCGTGGCCGAGGACGTCTGGGGGAGATGAGGTTAGCTCATAGTCCTGAATCAACATGGAACCAGATGGAAGGAGAAACAAAGAAAAAAAACAATATTATTCTGATTTTGAATGCGTCGAGTAAGGGTAGACATATCAACGATACTTACTGTCACCCGTAAACATTGCATCCTCCTCTTCCAGCACAAACGCCATGTGATCGACCGTATGTCCTGGAGTATGCAACGCAGTCAGCGTTGCCCCCTCGACACGAAATACCTGGCCATCCTGGATATCGGTCTGTCCGTCATCAGGCTGGTGCTTGAAGACCTGGGCCGTCGGGCAGATGCGCTGCAGGTCCGCGAGCCCGTTAACGTGGTCGCCATGCCAGTGAGTGAGCAGGGCCTGGTGCACGGTGGCTTTTTCTTCGGAGAGCACGGATTGTAAGCTGGCAGCCCATGCGGGCTTGCCCTCGCCAGTATCAATGAGGATGCGCTGGTGTCCACAACCAATCAGGTATGTGTTAGTTCCTAGGAACAAAATGGTGAGCGGGGCCGATCTGATATATCAGGGTGGTGACAGGTGTTAGCATATACCTTGCAAGGTGAACTATAAGTCGTCCCCGGGGGCTAAAATCAGCTTTTCCCCCTAGTAGGCCAATATCATTCAAGCCGGCAGAGCTGTGATTGTCACTCACCTTTCCCGGATTCCCGCCTAAGATTCTAATCACCGACGCGCTGAGACGCTCCACCTCGGGGAGCGGGACGAGTTGCGTCGCCATAGTTTCGATCCGCGCTGATGCACGTTCCGAATACCAGGAATCTTAGAATGTATGAATGCGTTACACAAGATGATATATGAACAAAGCCAGGGCTAAATGAAAGCCTAGCGAGTGTTGATCGTGGATGGTGGGGAATAGAAAATTAAGTTCTTCGGAAAGCGGAAGGGTTCCTCTTGTAACAGATGACTGACAGGTCGCAGTCCACAGCCTACTCTGCAGGTCTTATACCGTCGAATTGGAATGACGAATCCCCACAACCGATGTCGCCGTAAATCTGGAGTCAAGAATCTGTCGCGCGGGGCAGCAACGGAGCCTCGGCAGATTAGCTCAGCTCCGCGATTCCCGCGGTCTCGCGCATTCTGCCATCGTGGAGGGCAAAGGCCGATGATATCGATTTGGGACAATACCTGAGGCATTTGCAACCAACACCCTCTGACCAATTGCAGAATGGGAATAGCTAAGCAGGAACCGAGGAGTTCATATATACAGGACGAGATATCGACCGCCAGGTATCACAGATTACGACAGGCCTGCAAATGCAGTTTACAAAATTACACAACCTCAAAAGGTAACACGCAAAGGAAAATAGTGTGATGCAGGCTATCATGGAAACATACAGAAACAATGAGATAGTGAGAAAATCAGATAGTTATATCCATTGAGCCCACCCAAAAAAAGATCGGGAATCCAACGCAAAAGGCCAGAGCAGGCCAAAAGTCAAAGATCATAAATTTTTCCCAGAGCACAACTCCTCATATCCGGCTCAAAAAAGGGGACAGACACGCAACACACTGTGGAATCGAGCAACCATCTCTCTCCAAACCTCATGCACTCAAGTAGTGGGGGCAACTGGGAAAGGAGGGAAGAGTGTCACCCAAGCTCTCTTTGTTGAATCGCTGAACGCAAAACGATAGAGAACATAGTTTACACGGGGACAGGCCACAGTCGATCAGCGACCGACCGTGAGACAGCCCTGAAGAATCTCAAAAAACCATGAAACCGTCAGGAACAACTTGAATGGGAGAAAATCCTATTTAGTTGGAGGCAGACTTGCGAGCCATGGTGTTCAGAGCAGAACCGTCGTGGAACCACTCGATCTGGGACTCGTTGAAGGTGTGGCTGAGGGAGATATCGAAGGTCTTGGAGCCGTCGGCGGGGTGGACACGCAGAGTCATGGGCTTGCCAACAGCGAGCTCAGTGCACAGCAGGTCAACCTTGTCCTCGGGGCGGATCTTCTCGTAGTCGGCAGGGTCGGAGAAGGTCAGGGGCAGCATACCCTGCTTCTTCAGGTTGGTCTCGTGGATACGAGCGAAGGAGCGGGTGATGACGGCCAGACCGCCGAGGTGACGGGGCTCCAGAGCGGCGTGCTCACGGGAAGAGCCCTCACCGTAGTTCCAGTCACCAATGACAACCCACTTGATACCGCGGGCCTTGTAGTCACGGGCAGTGGCGGGGACAGCGTTGTACTCGCCGGTGAAGGCGTTCTTGACCTTGTTGGCCTCGCCGTTCTCCTCGTTGATGGCGCCGATCAGCATGTTGTTGGAGATGTTGTCCAGGTGGCCACGGTACTTCAACCAGGGGCCGGCCATGGAGATGTGATCAGTGGTGGTCTTGCCCTGGCACTTGATGAGGATGGGGATATCGGTGGCATCCTTGCCATCCCAGGCAGCGAAGCCGGCGAGGAGCTGCAGACGGTCACTGGAGGGGGAGACAGCGACGTTGACAGCAGCACGGTCAGCGGGAGGGGCCTGGTAGGTGTTCTGGCCGGCATCGTAGCCACGGGCGGGAAGACCGTCACCAGTGGGAGGCTTGAGCATGAACTCGTTGCCGTTGGCATCCTTCAGCTTGTCGGTGAGGGGGTTGAAGTTGAGGGTACCGGCAACAGTCATGGCGACGACAAGGTCGGGGGAAGCGACAAAGGCGTGGGTGGCGGGGTTGGCGTCGTTACGGCCAGTGAAGTTACGGTTGTAGGAAGAGATGATGGAGTTGGCCTCACCCTTCTTGACATCCTTGCGGTCCCACTGACCAATGCAAGGACCGCAGGCGTTGGCCAGGATGACACCACCGTACTCTTCCATGGTGGCCATCTGTCCGTCACGCTCAATGGTGGCGCGAATCTGCTCGGAACCAGGGGTAATGGTGAACAGAGACTTGGACTTGAGACCGTGGTCGAGAGCATCACGGGCGATAGAGGCGGCACGGGACATGTCCTCGTAGGAAGAGTTGGTGCAAGAACCAATCAGACCAACCTTGAGCTCTTCGGGCCACTTGTTGGCCTTAACAGCCTCCTTGAACTTGGAGATGGGGGTAGCAAGATCGGGAGTGAAGGGACCGTTGATGTGGGGCTCGAGCTCATCCAGGTTGATCTCAACGAGCTGGTCGTACTCGGCACCCTCGTCCTCACGGAGCTGGGCGGCGTACTCGCGGGAGAAGTCACCAATGTGCTGACGCTTGGTGGCCTTCAGGTAGTCGTACATGCGGTCGTTGAAGGGGAACATAGAGGTGGTGGCACCAATCTCAGCACCCATGTTACAGATGGTACCCATACCAGTGCAGGACAGGGAGTCAACACCAGGACCGTGGTACTCAATAATGGCACCAGTACCACCCTTGACGGTCAGCAGGCCAGCAACCTTGAGGATGATATCCTTGGGAGTGGTCCAGCCAGACATCTGGCCAGTGAGGCGGACACCAATGACCTTGGGGGCCTTCAGCTCCCAGGGGAGACCAGCCATGACGTCGACGGCGTCAGCACCACCGACACCGATGGCGGCCATACCGAGACCACCAGCGTTGGGAGTGTGAGAGTCAGTACCGATCATCAGACCACCGGGGAAAGCGTAGTTCTCCAGGACGATCTGGTGAATGATACCGGAACCAGGCTTCCAGAAACCGATGTTGTACTTGGCAGTGGCAGAGGCAAGGAAGTCGTAGACCTCCTTGTTGATCTCGTTGGCACGGGCCAAATCCTTCTCACCACCAATCTGGGCCTCAATCAAGTGGTCGCAGTGGACGGTGGTCGGGGTCTGGACAGAGGGCATGCCAGCGGACATGAACTGAAGGATGGCCATCTGGGCAGTGGCGTCCTGGCAAGCAACACGGTCGGGGCGCAGCTTGAGGTAGGAGGTACCACGCTCAATGTCCTGACCATGGGGATCGTCAAGGTGAGAGTACAGGACCTTCTCGGCATAGGTGAGAGGGCGCTGCAGACGTGCACGGACGATGTCGAGGTTCTCAGACATCTTCTTGTAGTTGATGTAGTTACCCTTCTCCTGGTTGGTCATTTCGACCTTCTTGTCGAGAGGATCATTGCCAATGGTAGCGAAGGCTCGAGTCCCGAGGGTCTATCAAATGGGGGAAAATCCCATGTTAGTTCTGACCGATAGTTCAATTTGGATTGTTCCATGCTGCCACAGTTGTTTCCAGCGCCAGAGCCACGGGCGGAAAGAAACTGTGCCAAGAGGGCGGATGTTGCTTACAAGACGGGTCTTCGGAGCCTGGAGGAGAACAGTAGGTCAGCTTGAATTCATGGGTAAAGCACCAGTCGGATTCAATATCCAGATTGGCCAGGCAGGGAGCGCCGTCGACGATGCTATTCGCGCATCGCCCACTCTCTCCCAACCTAGGGTATCTGCAGGGTTGACAACGTACCAGCGCAGCGGCACGCGCAAGCCGGGTGGAGATCATGATGGATAGCTCACTCTATGCAGAGGCAGCACAACACATCCAATGTAAGCAACCACCTTCACCTGTGGGAGCAAGATAGAGTGGAGAGTGGGAAGGGAAAAGAAGGAGAAGAAAAAAGGGCAGCTTGGAGGTTTTGAGTGGGAGAGAGAAGACTGGGACCGAACAGCCGTAACCGCCGTTACCCAGGCGATACCACCGTACGGTATTGGTACTGGGGCCATGACCTGCTTCGTTCTCCCGCATGCAACCTGGAAGAGGCTGGGCAGCATGGCCTTGCCAACAAGCGAATCTACCTCTCCCCAATCTTCCAAATCGAGCACGATTAAATCACTTGACATTCAGCTCGTCTCTCTGGTACTTTTTCTCTGCTCCGAACAACCTCCCTAGGTATTTCCATGTGAGAGGGAGGAGAGAGCTGTTTGGGCCACCCCGGACACGGTGTAATGGCAATACGCGGCATGTGACGGGGCAGAAGACGGCCACCAATCACGGAGTTTGCGATTACAGGCAATGGAAGCAACCTTCCTGGGACTTCGAGATTCGGGCCAACGGCACAGGTCCATGCGGGTTCGAGGGTACTCGGCATGTATGCAGCCCGCCTACAACTCCTCCGGGGGACTTGTGCCGGCTCTGGGAGAAGATATGTGGGTATATCGAATAGATTGACGGGGCTCCTCCGCCTCCCACTGGGGTCATTGGGGCATCTCGAAGCTCGCCTCATTTCCTATACTAGTTTTGAAGCGGATCCTGCCTCCATCTCAGACATATCATTCTTAGAGTTGTTCAAAACAATCCCAGGTCTCTAAGGGCCTGAGTCCGCTCCCTCCGGAGCAACATGCCGCAATGCAAACGTCATAAAATACAGCGCAATACCAGCCATACGAGGCCCGTAAGCCGGTGACGAAACCGAGTGAGCCGAGGCGTGCCGACTGCTGCTCCCGCCCGCGAGGGCCATCCGGGCGACCGCCAATCAGGCCCGAGGCGTTTCAATCGTAGGCGCGGCCCACAAACCGGCGGAAATTTCACTCCAAAACTTTGCCCACTGTCTTTTCCTTAGCTCCTCCTGTGCTCCACTCCGCCCCAGTATCCCTCCGGATATCGGTGATAATCGCTTTTTTCTCTCTCTTCTCTGTCTCTGTAGGATAGCTGCGCGGAAAGCAAGCCGAGCCTAACACAAGATGGGTGCCCTCCGCAGAGTCAAGACCAAGCGTCGCACCAGGTAAGCACCCTTCGACCAAGAAAGACATTGAGTTAAGGGAGAGCATGAGGCTGATTCTTTGTGCAGAGACTACGACCAAGTTCGTGCCGACATCGATTCGGCACGCCATCTGGAGCTATACAAAGAGACCAAGGATGCAGAAGATCTGCCTGGTCTCGGTCGGCACTACTGCGTCGAATGCTCTAAATGGTTCGAGAGCGAGTATAACATGAAGGCGCACACCAAGGGCAAGAACCACAAGCGTCGGTGAGTTGTGAAATTATTCCAGCGTCGCGTTTTGCGCGAAATCTCTGACCATCTCGTTTTTCCTCATTGCAGAATCCGCCTCTTGCGCGAAGAGCCTCACTCCCAACGACTTGCCGAGGCTGCGGTCGGCATTGGGGCTCCCGACAATGGCAAGCGACCCCAGGATGAGAATGTTGAGATGCAAGACTGAGCTGGACTCCGACCTGCTACGACGAACACCCCCCAATATTTTTGCGCAAAATTGCGGAGAGTTGCCAAGGGTTGGCGAGCTGAGAGCACACGTCTGTCTGCTTTCCAGCGCGGTCTAAAGTCAGCTCTATCCTCAAAACGAGAACTAAAACATACACGTCGCATACGAATTTCATGTCCAAAAACCTCGACCTGCTTCTATCTGCAAGGCCAGTGGGGACTCACGTGAGGCTTTTTTTTATATTGCCGAAAATCGGCGGGTTTCCGTTCAGCCGGTTTGCGGGTCCGCGAAAAAAATGCCGCCGTTTCTCGGCGGTTCCGAGGGACGGCATTAGGGCGAAAGTTACCTTCCCCCTTACTAGCAGTACGGAGTACCTGGAGTAATTATTCCAATAGAATTCCCTCAATACCAAATAATAGAGTCTAACCATAATGGGGTTCTCGGTCTATATTTCCATGGCTTGGCTTAATCCCTTTCCATATACATAGTAGTCGGGCAATCTGCACAACACCATATCCAACTACAAACTCCCAGTCACGGGAGCCATTTCGCCTGAACTATTCAAGCTTTTCATCAGCCATTCATAGGCCGCCCACTGCGTTTATTTTAGTATACAATGGCACATCGCTTGTACGCTTGTACAGCATCTGGAAAAGACTCACCTGGACTGCGTTCACGATAAATGCTCGAACACTGCAGATCCCAACACCCCGATAGAAAGCGCCCATGCCCTCGGTCCGATAGACCTCTTGGGTGATTTGAATGGTGTTCATGGCTCGCTGCGGATGTCGTAGTAGAGTCTGGTTTTCACCAGATATTCGGGCAAAGGAGTGGTCATGCATTGTCTGCGCTTGTAGTCTGGTCTTGATCATATCCAGCGGAAAGATCGAGCCCCAGGTGACAATGCCTGCAATGCCACCACAGAGGAGAATCTTAAAGCCAGCTTGCCGCGATGTTTCATTCTCAGCTGTCATCAATCGTTTGCAAAGTTCGTAAGACCAGAAACTGCGCGAGTCAGCTGGTGAACATACATTGAACATATATTCTAGAAACTCAGAGTAGGAGGTGGGGGGTGTCATCAAGCATACTAGAAGCCATATCCAATCGAATCTCGTGCACTCGTAATCCCTCCACCATAATACAGTCCTCTCCAGCCACGACTGCGATAGATATCCTTGGCAATTGCCCACGACGAGATCTCTGGGCGAGAGTCCAGCTGTGCTCGGCACTTGATGAACTCGGTGGGAGAGGAGATAGTCCAGCTTGCCAGGCCGCCAGCAGCACCAGCAATCCAAAGCTTGTACAAAGGAACGCCCTCGGGGTTGGTGGGGTCCGCAATGGAGCTATCCATTGCCATCAGAGACCGATTGTAAGCCACAAAGAGAAGTGCATTGAGAGCTCCATATCCCAATATTGGCGCAGCCACGCCTATAATGACAGCTTATATCAGTACTGTGTCTTGTATCTATGACCAGGAAAATCAATTGGACACAAACCTCTAACAAGAGAGCTCGCTCTCTCTAAACGACTTAGATTCGAGGATGAAGATGCATCTCGGGAGTGGCCTGCTTGCAGCCGGACTTTGATCACGTCTAACGGATTGCCGATAATGATCCCGAGGGCCCCGCTGAGGTATCCAGCCCAGAAATCTGATGACATGAGGTTTCACTGATTGAAATGTGCGGTCCCACATGTGAAGCTCCCCGGGTTTCTATGGCGGGGTGACCCATGGTCACGTGGGGCCGCGGCACTTTGGTGTTGCAGGCAGACGCGAGGTAGGAACGCGTCGGCGCAATCACTCTTTCAACATCCAGATCATTCTGCATAACAAAGAAAATTGTACAGCTGCATTTGACGGGAGATTATATTTTTGAGCTCCGCTTTCATGTTAGTTACATTATTTTATTTCAGACTGCACAACATGGTTGTTGACATCTTCCTAGGTATCGTCCTCGGCCAGCCGTGGCAGACGGCGGCGTCAAGACACCTTTACAACCAAAATCACTGAATTCCCTTGATCGCCTCGCGAAGCCCTTTAAATGCCCAGGATCAGCGACACAAACTCGGGCATCCGAGAAGCCCGCCCGAAAGAGGAGAAAGGTCAGCTATGCAGATGCCGACGGCAGCACAGAGGATGGGACAGAGAAGCCATACACAAATGAAGATCGACTCGCACTGGCAACGCGAGAAGTGAACAGGTTCCCCGTCTTCAAGGCTAAGGACAAGGATACAGCGTTTCGGCAAAGATTCCGAATCCCATTGATCAATAAGAACACGGGCGAGTACAACCCTGGTCGAGTTGCTCCGACACTGGGCCTGCGACAAGGCGCCTCGTTCATCGCTAAACCGTTGCATGATCCAAGCGGAGAATTCGCGATTGTTCTTTACGACCCTACTGTCGATGGCGTCGCCGAAGAGCCCCAGCCTAAAGATGCCGAAGAAGCTCAGGAACAAGAGAAGCCGAAATTGGAAGAACCGCTGGTACATAAAAGTCTGGCAGACATTCTTGGTATTAAGAAGAAAGTGGAAGGCCGACCAAAAGTGCCCGTGGTTATTGATCCGAGATTAGCGAAGGTTCTCCGACCACATCAGGTCGAGGGTGTTAAGGTATGGTTCTCCCTTCTGGTAAATTGATAATATGGGCAACGTTGACCTTGATCACCCGGGTAGTTTTTGTATAGATGTACGACTGGTTTGATTGATAAGAATGCAAATGGTTGCATCATGGCAGACGGCATGGGTCTTGGTAAAACGGTATGTAGAGAAACAGGCTCTCGGTGGGATTTTAGATACTGACTTGACTAGCTCCAATGTATCTCCCTGATGTGGACATTACTCAAACAGGATCCCGAGGCCGGGAGGACAACTATCCAAAAATGTGTCATCGCATGCCCATCCAGTTTGGTTGGTAACTGGGCGAATGAACTGAGCAAATGGCTTGGTAAAGATGCCACTACGCCATTTGCAATCGATGGAAAGGCTTCCAAAGCGGAGCTAACTCTTCAGATCAAGCAGTGGGCCATTTCCTCTGGCCGAGGAATCGTCAGGCCCGTACTCATTGTTTCATATGAGACACTTCGGATGTACGTAGACGCGCTGAAGGACACCCCAATTGGTCTCCTCCTGTGCGACGAAGGACACCGTCTCAAAAATAAGGAAAGCTTGACTTGGACAGCTTTGAACAGTCTGAACGTTAGTCGACGTGTCATTCTTTCTGGAACCCCCATTCAAAACGATTTATCTGAATATTTTGCCTTGCTACACTTCGCCAACCCCAACTTACTGGGCTCACAAAATGAGTTCCGCAAGAGGTTTGAGCTCCCAATTCTTCGCGGTCGAGATGCAGCTGGGTCAGAAGAGGAGCGCAAATTGGGCGATGAACGTTTAACTGAGTTGTCTGGTATTGTTAATAAGTTTATCATCCGCCGCACAAACGAACTTCTATCAAAGTACTTGCCTGTCAAGTACGAGCATGTTGTGTTCTGCAACATGTCTCCATTTCAGCTGGATCTCTACAACCACTTTATTCAAAGCCCTGAAATTCGAAGCCTTCTACGAGGGAAGGGCAGCCAGCCTCTGAAGGCTATTGGTATCCTGAAGAAACTTTGCAACCACCCCGATCTTTTGAATCTGTCAAATGACCTTCCTGGGTGTGAACATACACTCCCCGATGATTATGCACCGCCGGATTCCCGTGGACGTGACCGGGATATTAAGAGCTGGTACTCCGGAAAGATGATGGTCCTCGATCGCATGCTCGCTCGTATCCGCCAGGACACCAACGACAAGATCGTACTGATTAGTAACTATACTCAGACCCTGGATCTATTTGAAAAGCTATGCAGATCACGCGCATATGGCTGTCTACGACTGGATGGAACAATGAACATCAAGAAGCGATCCAAGCTGGTGGACAAGTTCAATGACCCGGATGGCCCAGAATTTGTCTTCCTGCTCAGTAGCAAGGCTGGCGGCTGTGGCCTCAACCTGATTGGTGCGAATCGACTTGTCCTTTTTGATCCAGACTGGAACCCAGCTGCCGACCAGCAGGCGCTGGCGCGTGTCTGGCGTGACGGTCAAAAGAAGGACTGCTTCGTATATCGGTTTATCGCTACCGGTTCAATTGAAGAGAAGATTTTCCAACGCCAATCACACAAACAATCCCTGTCGTCATGTGTCGTAGACTCTGCTGAGGATGTCGAGCGTCACTTTTCTCTAGAGTCTTTACGAGAGCTGTTTCAGTTCAAACCCGAAACCCGCAGTGACACACATGACACTTTCAAGTGCAAACGATGCCGTGATGATGGTACTCAGTTCATCAAAGCCCCAGCTATGCTTTACGGTGATACTAGCTCCTGGAATCACTTTGTCAATAATGGAGAAAATGGCCCTTTATCTAAGATCCAGGATCTGCTCATACGTCAGGAAACTGGCGAACGCGATGTCTCGGCCGTTTTTCAGTATATCAGCCACTAATAAAATGATTTGGAATGAAGGCGTTTCGGTCTGGATTAGAGAAAGAAACTTACAACGGCGTTTTTCATGATTATTGGATAGATCATCTTCTCAGCGTTTAGCAATCAAAAAACTCTATTATTTTCATTTACCTGCACTTCATTATTCAACCGAGCTTGACTTTCTTTCGAAGTGGATTTATTGTTTCGCTTCTTGTGATACATGGTAGAAACTATGCTAGGGAAAATATCGGACAGCTGGTGTCTTCTTGGACATCTTCCTTTGCTACACTCTCCTTCGCAGAGTTCAATATGTGTTCGGATCTATTGGAGACTTTTGCGATACTTTGGTCATCCTCACCTTTCTTGATACTTTTTCACTCGTCTTAGATCCGGGAATATGATGACCCGTATTTCTAGAAAATCACCGGAAACAAAGACCTATTGTTTTTCATATCTCAATCCTGTACGCTAGAACGTGTGCGTTCAGATTCTCAACTGACATCGATTGTATGTTCGACATTTTCTATTTAGCTTGGCTGAAAATTTTTAAATCCGACAGGTGAGGAAGGTTACCTACCTGGCCAGAGAAATTACTCATTCAGACTGTGAGAAAAACACAGATCTCCACAAATCCTACTCTATTTTATTTCTGAGAAGTCTAGGAATTGCACTAGAAGACAGCAGTATCGTATCAAGATGCGAATACCATTTATAAGTTGACGATCCAAAGTTCCCTGCGGCTGAGGCTTTGCCTCTTATCATTTGATATGATATTTAGCTCTCACAAAGTATACCAAAATTAGACGTCAGATACTAAATGTTGGCCGGCACTCATCGCTCTTATCTTGATCTGTCTATGGCGTGAGGGTCCTCGTTCTTTTCATTTTGATTTTGGAGATCAATGTATGATATATTTGAGCTCGTAAGTGAAGTGAGAATACTATGCGGACATATGTGCTCAGCTGAAACTCTATTCATAAATCATTTACGTGACCCTCCTACAGATGAAGCCAATCAGCAATCGAAATTGGTTCCCCTCTCAGCATCATTGGTCTAGTGGTAGAATTCGTCGTTGCCATCGACGAGGCCCGTGTTCGATTCACGGATGATGCATTTCTTTTTGTTCGGGCGATCCTGGGTTTCTTCTAGCATTGGCTTGTTTCAATCTGCTTTTCTTTCGGATTTTTTTGAAAGCCTGGCCTACTTACCATTGCAATAAATATTGACCTGATAACAATACAACTTGTCCCTCATCGGACATCCAAAATTATTTTGATATGGTTTTGATCTCGTATATCTTATTCTACGTTCTAAATTTCTTCCTTTTCGAAGGGCTTGTGGTGTGGATTAAGTCCCATGTCCACTTTCAAAAACAATAATTGGGAAACAAGGCTAGATTGGATAAAATCCATATATCAATTTTTGGGGGGAGAACGTGAACTGAGCTATGCGAATGACTAGCGACTGTAGTCCTATCTGTCCTCTGTAAGTTGCAAGACATTTTCAACGTTATGTTCGGTCATAGATTCTTGAGAAGCAGATCAGCTGTTTAGGTTTCATCGTTTTCCTCAAATGGCAAAGTCTATCTCCAACCTTTCTTGCCTGTTTCACCAAATAGAACTTGCACCAGGCAGGGTTACATTTTTCACCTTCCCCGCTGTGAAGCTACTGGTATTTCTTGTTGAATAGGGAATTTGGTATGAGACTCCTATATGTCGAAGGCATCTATACTGAAAAGTGAAATAGTCTCCAGTCCAACTCACCGAATGTCTTGTAGCGCACATTGTGAAAATTGAATCGCTCATCTGCTTTATGGTTGGTTACCCATCATACATATCAATCCTCTGTCAATCTTGTAGTCAGTCATTGTTCCTCTTGGATTTTCAATATATGGTCAAAGCAACTTCGGAGAAGGACCTACCACATTCCATGTGGTCCAGTCTTCTCAGTGAAGATGTCTAGCACTGCGTCTAGGTCGCCTCGATTCCAGGCAATAACATAGCTGCTAATTCGACTCACCATATCTCATTAGGGAACGGATGGTTAAGTAAAATTTTGAGGCTCATAATATGCAGTTGGCATATTGACAGGCTGCGTTGTGGTTGGGGTTAACATGTACACCGGGCTATTGTGTAAAATGTGTGCATACGCAACGGAGCGAGGGGGTCCAACTTGAATCAGGGTGAGTCGTAGGTGTTCTTAATGTGCCAATGTACATAGATTAAAATGATATCTTCTGGGTGATGTGCTTAATCTGGCTTGTTTAATGTCCTTATCGCATATCTGCGTCGGCGCAAGATATTGATTTTGCGGAACTGAAATATATATAATTATCGAAGTCTTACTTGCAAATATTGTCGTAGTTGAATTTATCAATCTCTATGATAGGTCTTCTATATTTCCTAGTCATTATCATAGAAAGCTTTAAGTAGCGCCTTTACACCATGGAATGCGCTGAAAGCAAGCTACAGCAGTCTCAAAAATGGACACATTTGAACAGGGCAAAAGTTGATAGGATATAGCTTATATTCAAAATTGGGCCATTGTTTTTCAACAAACCAATCAGGAGCCAGATTGGACTGTTCCATTTGCATCATTGGTCTAGTGGTAGAATTCGTCGTTGCCATCGACGAGGCCCGTGTTCGATTCACGGATGATGCATTTCTTTTTGACGACGGAGGGAAGTATTGGATGGCTTTTTCTTTTGACATTTGTGCAAGGGGACTTCCCCATTAGGACTAGCTTCAATCACAAAGCTCTCCACCATCTCCAGGATATGTAGGACTCCATTGATAGTTCCAGGTCTAGGTTTCCGGGTTTTTGCAAAAATATAGGCCTTCGTATTCTGCTTGGAACTTGGATTACGAAAACAAGACAAGTATCCTATCGGGTTTCATGGTAGGTCTGAATTGGTCTACAACACCCAGAGCAGAACATTAAAAAAAATCAGAAAAAGAAATTGTTTAGTTACCAGCTCCATTTCAATATGAAAAGCAATTCCTCACAAGTCCCTCTTCTTTGTAGCTTGTTCACATGAAACGCGAAAATACCCATTCGAATAACTGATGGCAACAACCCTCAGAAGCCTATACTGTGTGACATTTCGTTATGTGCGATTTGGAATAATGAGTATAATACCGGTAAACCGAAATTGATTGTATTCTTATTTTGACAATCTTCTTTGTTAGACAATTGAAGGGCCTGATTCTTTGTCCTATCAGATATCGGTAGGGCTTTTCCGCGCTAGCGACACGGTGAAGTGTCTCAGCACTGGTGCTTCTTCCAATATCTGAAAGCCATTCTTTATGGAATCGCGCCGGCGATAAATTTCAGTAAGCGCATGAGCTACATAATCCAAATGCTCGTCCGTGTAAACCCGTCTTGGTATTGCCAAGCGGAGAAATTCGATCTGTGGAACCCGCTCCAACCCACTTTCTGGATCACGGCCATGGAGAAGTGTTCCAATCTCGACACCCCGTATTCCAGCTTCAATATAGAGTTCGACAGCTAAGGTTTATGCGATATACTCCTCGCGTGGGACATGTGGCAGGAATGCGCCGGCATCGATGAGAATAGCGTGTCCACCCACTGGGTGTTGAATAGGTATGTTAGCATCTCTTAGAGTCCTCCCAAACCGCTCAATCTGCCTGATGCGAGTGCTTAAATAGTCTAATGAAATGACTTCAGTCAAACCAATCGCTAGAGCACTCAAATCTCGTCCCGCGAGCCCGCCATAAGTTGTAAATCCTTCAAAAAGAATGACGTACTCCGAGGCCGCAGCAAACCAAGTTTGATGGCGCGTGGCCATGAAGCCACCAATATTAACCAGGCCATCTTTCTTTGCACTCATCAACATTGCATCAGCGAGGTTGTATATTTGACGAGTGATTTCTCTGATGCCGATACCTTCGTAACCGGGCTCTCGGTCTTGGATAAACCAGGCAGTTTCGGCGAAACGAGCAGAATCAATTAATATGGGTTTCTTGTACTCGTCTGCAAGTAATTTGACCGCTTTTATGTTCTCCATGCTGACTGGCTGGCCACCAGTAACATTGCAGGTCAAGGTGAGGAGAATAAAAGGTACTTTGTCGTGGCTTTCGCTGAGAATACTGCGCAATTTGACAAGATTCATGTTTCCTTTGAAAGGGCTGTTTGATGAAGTCTTGAAAGCTTCCTCTCTGACGGACAGTCAACGGCTACTGCCTTTCTATATTCAATATGCGCACGCGTTGTATCGAAGTGAGAGTTTGCTGGAACAATATGGCCCGGTTTCACAAGAATGGAAAACAAAGCGTTTTCAGCTGCTCGACCTTGATGAACTGGAAGAAGGAACTCTAGATCAAAAATATCACGCACCACATTTTGCAATTGGCGAAAGAAGATGACCCAGCGTATGATTCATCTCCATTCATCAACGCGGCCCATTGATTATCACTCATAGCGCCAGTTCCGCTATCTGTCAGCAAATCGATAAACACTTGGTTACTCTGCAGACTGAACAAATTGTAATGTGCCTCTTCAATCCACTTTTGTCGTTGCTCTCTCGTACTGGGGCTCATCCACTCAACCATCTTACTTCGCCAAACCGGGGGCACTTTTGCTTCAGTCATCTTGCTTCTGTATGCTAAACTGAAAATGATAGGAATCAATATGGCAGTTACTATGTGATCCTTTATAATGTGACTTTGGCTTCTGATGCCCTCGCACAAAATAATATGGCGTCAAGCCTAAAAACTAAAAGCCGCGCTGACCGAGAAAAAAGAGTAATCCCGAGATGTGGTCGCTTACACCATAGAGATCAAATTCTTGTTTATTGCTATAAAAAGAAGGAACATTTAAAAATTGTAGATCTTAGCGTAATTCAAGAACCAGTATTCTTGGTATACAGAGTCTGCGCCCCACAAATATGCTTTGTGGTTACACCGATTCCCGCGAGAGAATTACCAGCACCACCATCAATCAAAAGCAAAGCTCACATAAATCAAAAAGAGGAAGGCCGTTAATTCACGGTAGCCTAGTGATATGTGAATGATATCGACGTAGTCCCTATTAGAGGCGTTGATCAGCTTGGAAGAGGAAAAGATCAAGTTGCTTGATGACTATTAGCCTGTTGGGCATAGAACAAATTTGATTTATATCATGATTTCAGATTAGAATCAGTGTGAAATGAGAAATTCTATTGCAGTATGTTGACCAATGCGAGGATGTGAAGTTTGATCTTGGAAGCTATGCCGATAGGGAGTTGCGATTACTGGATTACGTCATATGATGTCTCTTGTCCCCTTTCAGGATATTATACTGTAGCTGCAAGTGCACGCAATAGGCGATGGGGTTATCATGCCGAGAGAAATTTCTAGGGATTGCCGGGTATAAAGGGTAAAATGTTCCAGAATACATTGCGTAATATTCCACTGGAACTTTAATGCAACAATTATTTAACTAACCAATCTGTGGTTATCTGGGAATACTATGTATTCTAGTATGGAGATGTGATGCTCAATATGATGATGTCTAACTATTGAACCAGGGCGCTCTACGGCAAGCCTGCAAATACAGGCAAGAAGAGATGGATCAACAGACAAGCCAACAGACCACGCCACACTACGATGGAAGGAAGCCTCTCAGAGAGGAAATAGATGCTGCTTTATCGAAAAATGTCTAAAATTTAATTCTCTCCCTGTCAGAGATGCAAGCTACATTCTGTAAAGACTGTGTAAAAGGAAAAATATCCTTCAATCAGAGATCACCCAAAACCACCCATCGTCGGCCATTTCCCCACTACACTATCTATGATTTCTGGTACGGAGTGTTGCCGTTGCATGGCGATTATGTAATAGCTCTAGCTTAACATGACCTCTTATGAGGGAATAAGAACATCATCTTTACACATATCATCGTCGCTTGCACCACGGAGTGTTGGATATCCCCTACCTTAATATGCGTACAGGAATATGTGGGTCTTCGTGATATCTGGAAGCACTTCCTTTCGATTTCTTTCACCTAGGAATAGGTGTCTCCCACCTGGTATGGATCATGCAGCCTCATGATCCAAGATCCCAAGGGGCAGCGACAGCCAATCGTTCGCCAACAACATCAAGATCACGTGCGGTTGGGTATAGTTCGCGCCAGGCCCAGGGGGAGACCAGGGAATTTTTAAGGTAAAGGACTCGACTTATAGATCATACGGCTAGTGTGACGCGGGAAACGACAATATATTTCCATCACATCAGCTACCATCTATTCCCGTTTAAGCGTTGGGCGTCGTTGAGTTTGCAGGGGTAGGAGATGTTAAGACAGATTTATCTGCTAGAACTATAATGATCTCAGATGATTCCCTCTTTGCTACGTGGTTCCTCTATGTCACTCGACTCTTAGCAGATTGCTTGCTTATTGTCTTCAAGTTCAAGAGCCTATTAAATATTGATCTGTTGATAATTTTGCCCTAGAGAGTTTTGCTCCTATTACAACTCTGGAATACCTTAAACAAATCATTATCTAGAGCACTAGGAAATTTGCCTTGTTTCCTTTCTTACCACTTCACGGCATTGCTAGTGGTATTTACCGTATCTACTTTGCTTAATTCTTTTATTGCAAATGCAATATTATTCAACGGCTGTTCCTAATATACACCTATAATAAGCAGACATTACGTATAAAGGCTCGTCTTTGCTTTACCTAAAGGCTACTAGTTACTAGCACTACGAAGAAATACGAGCCTATCGCTAGTAGCCCCTACTCTACATAATCAAGATTAGCCGTCTCGAATATAGGAGCTTTAGATAGGGGTGATAGTAATTAATATATTCACTAATTGATCAAGTTAAATAGCTTCAGCAAACTACTTCCTTTATCGTAGGCCACAGTTTTGTAACTGAGAGGTATAACCCTAACGACTATAGTACTAAATTAGGCGACGAACCCGAGTCGATCGGCGGCGCGGAGAGGAGGAGTAGGAGGAGGAGGGCGACTAACGGTGAGTAGGCAGGTCGGCGGCGGCAACAGCGTGCGCTCGGGAGACCCGATCGACTCGGGGAGGGGGAAAGGAGGAGAGGAAAAGGGGGAGGGATGTCGTCCAAGGCGACGGCGGCGGCGGGGCGGAGGATGGCGTTGGATAGGTCGCCCAGCTCAGTACCATGGTCATTAGGCCCCTGCTCCGGATCGGAAGTTCTTCCTGGATAGATTCTCGGCAAAGGATGTCATTGTGCCAGACGGTCACAGAGCGAACCCCATAGTCTCTTCAGTCGCGCTCGTACCGACGGAATCCCGAAGCAGATTGCCATCACTACTATGAAACTAGCAATTAGCGTCGAAGGTCAGTCAAAATCAACCATTTTGAAACAAAAAAGGTGAGAAATTAGTCTATAGAATGGGACACAAAAGCAAGTACGTCGTGTAACTGGAGCTTGGACGGTGTTAAAAAAAAAAAACACCCGACAAAAAAAGGGAAGACTGAAAAGCGAGCAAAATATAACAAGCTTGGATTTATTCTACTACCTTGTGATCAAAAATGCTCTGAGTGCGCTGCAAAAACTTTGGCATGCGAAGGAAATATTCTGTGTAACAGATATAATATTCCTCTGTATCGTCTATTATATTGATTATATTGACTATAGGGAGTAAAGAACTTTCCTGTGTGCACTTAGTGCAGTCAAGGTGTTATGAGTGGAATATAATATGACCGTGAACTGCCCTGTAGGGCTTGCAATAACCGGAGTCCGCGTCCATCAAAAGCAATATATTTATTGACCAAATTGTCAAAAAATACGGATGTGGAGACACTGCCCCAGTCAAGATGCTTCTGGATATTATTTTCATATTCTTGTTTCCTTACGACGAGCGATGAGTTTCCACAATAGAGTCCGAAAGAATCACGAAAGGGTCACGAAAGGATCACGTGGAAACCCACGTGCGTTCAGGCAAAATATTTTAGTAAGGGACTGTTTTGAACACCCTTTGGTCGGTTTAAATGCTATTTTTTGCTCTGAGAGGCTCGTTACCGTTGAATTTGTAGCTGCCATGAGAAGTCCTTGACCATCGGGCGATGATGCGACTAACACGAGGCCGTTCTTTGGAGACTTTCTCAGGCCAATGATCTTGTGGGCAGCAATCACGAAAACCTCGATCAATTCAAGGACAACATTACCACCCTACTACAATTCATTACACAGTGATGCAAATAATAGGATAATTTTGACACAAGCTTTTTTGGCAGAAACTTCCAACTCTTCTAAGGTTCACCTTGACTGAAATGACCTTAAGTCTTGCTAGCGCACAGTTAAAAGACCCTGATTTATCAGTCAAAGTTGGCGAAAGTCTCCTAATTACTTTTTAAAATTGACATTCTGATACGGTTGTTAGATAAATTCACAAGATTCAAAGACAGTGATTGACCTCGACGATATGCGGCTCATGGCTTTTCCTTTCCTCTTTTGTTCACATCATCAGAAAATGGAAGATTCATTGGCACAATCTCTTTGCCACCATGGACCATATCTAGTATTTAAGCAGCCAAACTTCCCCCAGAGCCAGCAGATCCACTGCGATATCTTCCTTCATCTGGAGCGGCTGGATCATAGCCAAAGTGGAAGCGGTCCTCTCCCTTGTCATGATCGGCCTTGTCGACGATGGCCAGGCTCTTTTTCCATGGCTGCCTACGCGAATCGTTCTTTGACACTTCTAAGACCCATGAAGGCTCTGTGAATTTCGCTGAATTGTTTCCACTGCTGCTCTCGGATGAATCACTCGAGTAGTTGACGTCTGAAGAAGAATCGTGATAAGACATATTCTTCTCAGGATGGTTAGTTTATAATTGTTGCGTGTGCTGATAATGTAACTTACGAATATTAATGGAATTCTTTTTTGTAGGGTAAACAAATTTCTTCTGTCCAGATACGAGATATCTTTGTCTTGGTCAGCACTGGTGTTGGTGTGCGCAGGATGTGAGTGTTACCTCTGGGCCCGCTGTGGAAATGGGGGGTTATATGTTCGAGAAGTTCTCATGACCTGGAACCGGGATTCTCTGAGATTCTTACCTTCATGAAATACCATATCAAGTCCTCTACGTGGATAGACATCATTGGCACCTGGGTTCAACAGGGTTAATACGGGGCACATCTCTGTGTCCAATTACAGGTCCCAAAGATATCCGGGCAAACAAGACCCTTGGAAACCCGAGATGCAAGTCTACGAATCCGTAATAGAAACTCAACGCCCCTGGTCCTGAGAAATTGAATTTCAAATATTAGTAGCCAATGTGCAGAGCTTCTGATGTAACCCTGTGATGTTCTTGCATATATCCCACCTGTCTGCTGTCTCTCTGATATGGGATTAACTTCTGAAATAATTCATCACGTTTCGGCCATTGAAAAAGACCAACGAGATTTGTGTCGAGACTCTCGGGTATCAAGCTTGTTCCAAAGGAAATTTGAACTAGTTTGAGTCGTTGAAACTTCGCTATTTTAATCATGCACGCAACATTGCAATACTTGAAAAAGCTTCCAATCTATGATGAAGAAAAGCCCTTTCGGATTTTTACAAATTTACCACCGGACGCACTTGATCAGAGATACTCAAACCTGGAGTTTGAAAAGAAGGAAGTTACAATTCATGACATCCGAGACCAAATCCCCGCACCAACCCTTGACGGCAGAGGGTTCGAGGTACGAGAATGGCCCAGCAGCCTGGACGTTCATACTATCTGGAATAAAGATGACGTGGAAAACGTGTACCTCCCTGAATTGGAGACGATGTTGCGAAAGAAGGACCCATCAATACACCGGGTTTTCTTCTTTGACTGGAGGGTAAGCAGCAATTCTTTAGGCGCATACTATGCCACTTTCTGATACCCCAGGTCTCGTGGACAGATAAGACACTCTGATGGGCCAGGAGAAGATAGCATTGACATCAACGATCTTGCCACGCAGTTGTCACCCGCAGAGGAGGTGCATGTCGGTTAGTGTGACACCCAATCCATTCAGCCTCTTGCTCACCCAGGTATCCAATAGACCAGAGCCCAGGCGGGGTTTTGCACCGTGTGCGGCTACAACTGCCCAGGGAGGCCAACAGGCTACTGCAAGGACGGATCCGAGTCATAAAGTAGGAAAGCCTCGCTTGCTATGCCACAACCCCTGCTAACCCCTCATCTCCAGCTTTTGGCGTCCCCTCGTATCAGTCGTGGAGAAGGATCCATTGGCTGTTTGTGACGGCTCGACTGTCCACGCGTCAGATTTGATTCCTTGTGACTACGTCCGCCGCAATTTTGCTGGCGAGACTATGTTTGCTTGCTATAGCCCGGCGCAAAAGTGGTACTATCTCAGCAGTCACAGACCTGAGGAGGTGCTTCTCTTGAAAATTTTTGATTCACGGGAAAATGTACCTGCAAATAGTTGGTTTGACTTTTTGTTACTGCCTGAGAACTCATAGACTGACGCCTTGACAGACTGCCCGCATGTCTCTTTCCAGTTGCCTGGGCAAAATCCAAATGCCAAACCTCGCCAAAGCATTGAAGTGCGAGCACTTGTGTTCAGTGAGTAATTCACGGAAGTTTCGTCCTAGCAGCGTGGGGAAAACAATATCAAGTATGGTGCTGGGAATAAGTAACTACGATTGTCAATGAAATTATCCTCTTTCGACAGATCAAGCTCCCAGTAAACCTAAGAAAATTATTCAAATGCGAGTAAAATTTTGCAGTCCAAGCGACGTTCATTCAATGTAGAAATCATCGCCGTCCTTTCGTGCTTCATCATGGATCCAATTGAGGCTGACAACCCGCCCACTTTCCTCAGCCGAAAATTTGATAGTGTAGAACCAACCTCCAAATCGTGTGAATCTTCCTCTACTGGCCAGTTCATTGCGTGAAGAAAGCCACGTGAAAGTGTCACCACTACACCAAGTTAATTTGTAGAACTCCTGGGGATTGTCTTGAAAGTTCATGGTGAGAGAATCATCCTTCTCTGTAATATGGATGAGAAGCGTGCGTGCCTTGTTGTAGTATTTACCAGCATATACGCCAAGAGGTCGAGCTTGATCGCCAACACCATTGTGGCTTGGCAGTTGAGATAGAACCCTGTCATGCCACCCGCGCTGAGAATCAGCCGTTTTCTTGGAAATGATACGATAATCATTCTTCTCCGGGGCGTCAAAAAGTGTTTCTGTAAGAAGCTGGCCAATCCAATCATCACTGCCGCCCAGAGGTACTGAGTTTGTGAGAACTATTATGCCGCTCACTGTCTCTGGAAACAGAATCACAGTTGCAAATGCACCTGCCAAAGTTCCTTGGTGATAGAGTGCCAAGGTTGGAGACAAGCCCCGGCCAACAATTGGCATGTCCGGAAGGAGAGCCGGGTTGGTACCGATGGACCCCATGGGAGATGGCAAAGTAGCCCGAGCAAGGCCAAAACCATAGCCCGTCTCACCATATAGAGGCCCTGAAAGATTGATTTGCGATTTAAACTGCTCCTTTGTGTTCTTGAAAGGGGATCCTGTAGTCGTTGATTCTCCAGTTCGCTGTTGATCGCTCTCTGCCAGGAGAAGTGCGCGGTAAAAAGTCAACATATCCTTAAGCGAGCTCCGTATACCTCCACCAGCACCAAGAATAGAATGGCTACTCAGCTTCGGTCCTTCAATCAAAACTGGGATTGCATTGTCCAAAGTAGCATATGCGCGGGCGACATTGTTGTGATCTCCAAACTGGATGTCGAAGCCAGTTCGGGACATGTCGAGTGGCTTTAGAATACGATCGGAAACAACCTCAAACCAAGGGCTCCCAGTCTTCTGCTTGATGATATGTGCAATGATCTCATATCCGTAGTTGCTGTACTCCCAGGCAGTACGGAATGGATGTGCCATTTTCAAAGAGTTCACGACTCGCATTGCTTCCTTGGCTGGGAACAACACATTGTTCTGACTTCCTAGCCAGAAGTTGGACCCTTGGAGCCCACTTCGATGGGACAGAAGATCTGTCAAGGTCCCATTCTCTTTCAACGCCGGGTCTTCGGGGTTGAAATCTGCCAGAAGGTCCGATATTCTAGTATCGAAGTCAAACTCTCCGTCACCGACCAAAATTCCAACAGTAGCTGCCGTAATTGATTTAGAAAGCGAACAAATGGGGTATATAGTGTCATCGTCTGGTTTAAGCCCTTTTTCAACGTCTCTGTAGCCAAAATGGTCGGCGTGGATTATCTCTCCATTGTGAATAACCCCAAGGGAACAGCCGGCTGTGCCAGCATTTTCCAGAATAGCTTCGATTTCGGGCCTCAGTGCAATCAGCTTTGCCACAGTGTCATGCCGGACTGGCTCTGTATCTTTTGTTAGATTCCCCTCTCCAGATATTCAGATTTGGTTATCTGACCTGAGAGAGTATCTTGCTTCGAAGTAGGCTGGCCAAATATCCAACCCAGCATGATGGCTATAACAGAGAGAGATACTAGAACAAAAGATTTTGTCGGTTCGAATATCATTATGTGCGTTACCCTTCGGTGACCGCGACCACAAATGGAGGGGCTCTCGGGTGCTAGCCCTTGTCATGATTATGTATTCCAATGAGGTGTTTTCGGCGGTGAGAATACCATTGCCAATAGAATACAAATACCCAGCAGCTACTAGGCAGGCATGCGTAGTTTCCTGACCGTGCCACAATGGCTGCTGTAACATTCGCTCAAGTACCTACAGGGGGCATGCGCTGGGGCCAAATTGTTTTGTTGGGCCGTCTATCCTGGGTCTCAGAACCCTGTACCGCGTTTCTCCACTTTTTGTTTCTTCTTTTCCTTCGTTCCTTTTTTTTTGGCATTTTTGTCTGGCAACATACACGAGGTCAATAATGAGATTTTATTGGCGAGTGATACCCGAGACTGAAAAATAACCCTACTAGATGTACATGGATGAGCTTTGCTGTCTTGAGTCAATTTTGATAGGATTGAAAACGACAGGGAACATGTCCATTCACGAGTAAACGGCCCGGATTCTTGTAACGAATAAGGGTGGATACAATTCTAGAGTTCAACATTTCAATCTAGTCCGACTATGTAGCTGCAGCCAGCCAAAAATAGGGGACCAAATGCCCGGCGACAGACATATGGGTGCGGAGTGATAAGAATCTCAATTGGAAGACCACCTGAAAAGAAATATGATTCGGTATGCAATCACAGGGGTCCAGCGTCACAGGCTGGCTGACTCGTTCACTGAGCCTAATCCCTCTGTGGCCCCACCTGGGGCAACCCGGGTGAACACCTCCCCATAGGGCTCATCACGAGCGTAAGCCCAGAAGATCGAGCCGACGCTTCCAGTCCCATCCACTTGGAAACAGATCTTACGGAAGGCATCGGAGAGCTGGGGAAACATGGCTCGCTTGGTCTCTGCATCCCGGTCACAGGTCCAGGCAAAAACGTCGTCATAATAGTGGTACAGGTCATAGTATGTCCGGGGGAGCCCCTGAAGGTGCATGCGCAGACCGTCGCCGCGAACAGAGACATCCAGTCGGAAGTTCCCTTCTGGGTTGATGAAGCGGCCTTCGTATTGATCAAGGGGCCTGTGTGAAGTTCCCAGCTTTCTGTCTGCTGCCAACTTCTCCTTGGTGTTTGCGTAGCCTTTGACCAGTGATTCCTTAGCCTCAGTAACCAGGGGCAAAAAGTCTGTTGGCTCATCCACCCCAAGTAGGGTCTCAAGGATAAGGCCACCAGCATAGTCAGGGATATCTGCAAGAGACAATGTATTGCCGCAAATGACAACTGCAGTATGAGTCTGAGGTATCAAATGAACAGAAGCCAGTATGCCGGGCATGCTTCCATTGTGATAGGCGACTGGTGTTGGATCAACGCCACGGGCAATAGTTGGGTTTTGAGCAACCCGACCGTCATTGATTCCGATCCACCCAATCTCTGCAGGAAGATTGACCATGAACCAGCCTAGACCGTATTCCGTTGCACCCTTCTTTCCATGAGGAGTAAACGCCATAGAAACCTGTTTGAATGGATTGTCGGGGGTGCTGGTAAGGCCTGTCTTCCTTTGGTCCTCCAGTGCTGTAAGAAGTGCATCATACAAGCGTAGCAGATCGGCTAGGCTGCTTTTCAGCCCAGCGGCGCCCGCCATTACAGTACCGCTTCCAATACGGGGGCGGGAAACTTCAAAGGGTGTTTCATCACTCAGAGTAATGTGACAAGACGCGTAGTTGTCTTCGGATGGCACGGCAAATGTTGTCCGCGTAAGGCCGAGGGGTTTGAAGAAGGTTTGTTGCATGAAATCCTCCAGAGATAAGCCACTGTACCTCTCAATAATCTCTCCAGCCAGAGAGTAGGTCCAGTTATTGTATTTCAGAGTAGTTCGGAAATCAGCGGTACTATGCAGTGCGCCCAGAACATTAACCGCCTCTGTGGGCGGGACAAGAAGCTCCTGCTCCATCTGAGCCCAGTAGTTCATTCTCATGGCCAGGCCCATGCGGTGAGCCAGCAGGTCGATCAAGTTGGCCTGTTCCTCCACATATTTGTTTCGCTGGTGGAATCCCGGAATCAATTCCTTTAGAGAGGAGTCCCATTGAAATTTCCCCTCTTCAACAAGGACTGCCAGTCCGGCCGCAGTAATAGCCTTGGAAAGGGATCCAAGATGGTAAACAGTGTTTTCGTCAGGGGTTTCCTGGGTTCGGAGATTTTGATAGCCGTAGTGGCTTTGGTGGATGATCTTTCCTTCTTGCAAAACACCCACAGAAAGACCGACGTTTCCAGCTGCAGTGGAAAGCTGCTCGATCTTGTCTTTCACGGAGTTGAGGTGTATTTCCATTGTGAGTAAAGGAGGTCTTGATAGATTGGTCAGAAAGCACCGTAGAAGTGACCGAACTGACATACAAAATAACTATCTGTTGCGAACAAGTCTTTTGGTCAATAGTTTGTCAGGAGAAGTTGTTCTCGACCAGAGCGATATAAAAATACGGTGACTACAATTTAGGTGAAAGTGTAGACCAATCATCCAAAGCCACGAGAATAGTGGTTAAGATGATTTGATTTGATTTAAATATGGCACAGTAGCAGGTGTTTGCCCGGGTGAGCGCGTGAAATGTTCCAAAAAAGTAACAAAAATGTAAGATGGATTGAAACTCGGCCCCACACTCTGCCAAGAAAACGTAAAGCAAAGAGTGGGGCCACGTCAACCCAGGTTAATATGCACATTGGGTCACACTGTCCTGGCCCAATCAGCGCCTTTTGCTATATGTTGCTGTAGTTAAACATCGTCTGGTGGCAAGGCAAAGCTGAGTCGGCATTTTGTGAGGCGCTAAGAGCGAACCGACATTGGAGGGATGCTCTATTAGTATGGTAAGTATTGAACGAAGTTAATAGATACCCTCTCAGCCTATTACTATATTATCTCCATCTAGCCAACAAAAGTCATTTGAAGATATCTCATCATGCACATATTTCTACCCTGATACAGTTTGTTTGACGCTATGGCGGATAATATATGGCGCCATTCATGCGCCAGATTGGAAGATGAGCTACGAGGGCACGGAATGCTGAGCGATGATGTGAACGACCTCGAGTCCTTTCAAGCATGCATGGAAAGGGCCTGTAAAGAATACGCTCGCTCACAAAGAACCCATTTTATTCGCGACAAGATTACCCCCCATCTACAACATGTCCAGTCGTTCGAGAAAGCCATCACAATATCATCTCAGCTGTCTACTCCTTCTACCATCATCTGGTCAATAACATGGGTAGTTATCGAGGTATTGTCCCCGGCGACTCGACTCTATATGGTGTCAAAACTAAATGAATCCTAGTCTGCTTCACGATTCGCAACTCATCTCAGCAAGATTCTAGATGCTTTGGAGAGATTTTACCGAGCGTTACCCCGATTCGATCAGTACCTCGAACTCTTTCCAAATAGCAAGAGGCTGCAAATCCCCCTGTCAGACCTCTTCGTTGATTATGGATATCTTTGTATACATGCGCTCAAGTGGACCAAGAGAAATCCTATTGGTAAATTTCATTTGGTGCAATATTCTATACGGCCTAAACTGACAGTTTCTCTTAGTTCACATGATCAAGGGAGTGGTATCGTCAAGACCCTCCAATAACCTCGATGAAATAATGCGAAGGATGGAACGTCATATCGAGGACTTCAAGGAAAATGTAGAACTTACCTTCCGCCAGTACCAGATGGGACACCACGTCTCCAATCGGAGCGGTCATAGCAACAGCTTTAACAAGAAGTCACACTACTTGATCATGGAGCGGAGAGATCCGGGGTTCAAAGGAAGAAAAGACGTTCTCAAGGAGATCCATGCTTCTTTCGGTTCTCCAAAAGCATCACCCTCCGCTGAAGCTAAATCCTATCTACTTTATGGGTTGAGTGGCATCGGAAAAACCTCGACTGCACTGGAATACACCTACATATACCAGAAGTCATATGATTTCATCTTTTGGATCTTTGCTGAGACAAAGTCCGACCTGGTTGGATCTTTTACACGAGTGATTACGAGGCTTCGGTCACTAAATGAGGTCACTGGTTCAGGGACTTCTGATGCTGCGGATGAGTCCGGTGCCAATGATGCTAGAGATTGGTTTGAAAGTACAGGTGAGCCATGAAGCAGTCATCCATCTTTATGCTGTACTGACATTCAACAGAGCATAAATGGCTGTTAGTTTTTGACAACGTCGAAGAGTGGGAAAGTTTATCCCAATACTGGCCCACTAGCGCAGTTGCAAACTCTGCGATCTTGGTCACTGCTCAGAAACAACAATTTAAGCGTTGGACAGGGTTCAACAGACAATTGGACGACCTTTCCATGGCTGAGTCAACTGAGATCTTGCTTGCTGAAATTGATGCTCGTGGCTATCCACATGAGCGAGAGGCCGAAGCTGCGCAGAAAATTGTGGAGACATTTGGTGGTCTCCCGCTAGCGATTGCTCATATTGCGGGCTACGTTAGTGATGCGCAATGCTCCCTGCATAGCTTCGTCGAGCTTACACAGCAACGCTATGCGACAATTTGGGACTACAATGTGCCGGTGTCAACAAATAAGAATAATAAGAGGCTCAACGCTCTTTGGGATTTTGCTTTAGACGAACTTCCACCCGATGCGAGGAAGCTTTTATACACCATGTCCTTCTTGAGCCCGGACGCCATTCCCGAGTCCATGTTCCTTCCTAATGAAAGTCAAGACTCTCCAGCATATATGGTAAAGAAGGCTGAGTATGTTTGATTCTGTTTGGTTCCGCTATTTATCAAATTGGTTCCGCTAATATGCACCGAAGATTCATTGAAATGATCCGTTTCCTTGTAAGAAGAGCCCTGATTCGACCAGTGGCAGAGATACAGGGATTCAACACCTACGGTATGCACAGAGCTCTCCAGAGAGCTATGCTGTATAAACTGGATAAGCAACCAGACCTAAGGTCCCAGATATTCAGTGAAGCATACTCCGTTGTTCGGGATATCACCCCATCTGCATCCCCGATTCAGGTGCCAAACCCAAGTTTATGGCTCAAGTTTGAGAGAGCAGTGCCACAGATCTTGGCTTTGCGAGTCGCATTTAAACAGTCTCAGCCATCAATGCAAGGTTCTATTGAGTTTGCCCGTCTGTTATACGATGCAGCTTTCAACACTTGGGAGAGAGAGTCCAGTCAAGACGGACTCACGCTTTTGGCCACGGCCATGGATGTTCTCAATGATATTGGCTACGATGAAAATGGGAAGTTACGTGCCGATATACTGGTCATGCAAGGTGTCATTTGCGACAATATTGGCATCAGCCGACGACAGGAAGCACTCAAAGTTCGAAAAATTGTCACACACATTCGTCAGATGGTTATCAGAAATAGTCCAGGGCCGGTCAACGAGACTGACGACATCTTATTGCACAATGCACTGAACGATACCGCCGAGTCTCTCCTGCAGTATTACAATTTCAGGGAGGCTGACCGTCTCATCGAACAATGTCTCGAGAGATACAAGACTTGGGGCAGCGAGGAAAAGTATCCATTTGAGTATGGGAAGTACTACCGCAACAAAGCCGCTGTTCTCACTCTTCAGCGCCGATTTGACGAGGCGATAACCCATGCAAAACGATCTGTCGAGTTAGCGAGGCTTGACACTGGCATTGGTCCACGCTATCTACTCTATCTACAAGACGTCGCTTCTCATCTGCTCCAATCTGGTGATCTGGAAGGGGCTCTAGAGCAACACCTAGAGGTATTCCGGCTGCGAGAAGAATTATGTGGAAAATTCCATGATGTCACCCTGCAAAGTGCATATGCCGTAGGCGCGATGTACTATTATGTCCAGAACATGGAAGAGGCTGAGCATGTTATCCTATCTGCACCCGGGGTTGTGTCATCGATCGATCATTGCTAACAGGTTTCTCAATCAGGGTTTGGTTCAACCGGACTTTGGACCGCGCCAAACGCACCCGCTGGCCAGAAGAGCCTCTGTGTCGTGCAAAGTTCCATCTTGCTCGCGTTATTCGAAGGCAAACCCCAGGGCCACATCAATCAGAGAGACTTCGGTATGCAGATGAACTGGAACAGAGTGCATGTGAGGTTTTAAATCGGCTTCTAATGTATGACCGGCCGGACTTCCTCAGCGCAGTTGATGATGAACTTGTACTCTATGACCATTTACAGCCAGCGTTTCGCGGCAGGTGGACAGGTGTATCTCTATTACGCTGTATCCCTACTTATGTACAGTCTGGACCAGGAAGTTTGAATACATCCCGCGAGATTATATAATACTCTGCCAGCAGAAAATGCTGTACTATACACATATTCTCAGCAGCTAGTATATCACCCACCAGTCTTGATTGTCGCTTCCACGCGATTACTCATGCTCTTGCTTAGATTATCTAGAATACTAAAATCTAACTTCGACCAAAGTCTTCGGCAGCAGATATTAGATGCTATTCAGTATATATGCTATTCAGTAGCCTTAGTTTTAGGCATAGTCTGATCTACGTGCCAATTACTCACGTAACTATCCCATAACGCCAAAAAGACATCAAACGAGGGCGGGAATCATTTCTCTCATTCGGGCGACAGGCACCAGATTGCCACACATCTCAAACAATAGAGATCCTGTCAAGAAAGGATCTAGCACATACGACCACAGGGTGTGGAGAACAGGGCTTCCCGTCCGCTCAGCCGTACTTAAGCCACACGCCGGCAGGTTAGTAGTTGGGTGGGTGACCACCAGCGAATCCCTGCTGTTGTATGTTTTTTGTTTTTGTTTTTTTTTTTTTTTTTTTTTTTTTTTTGTTTCCTTTTTTTTTTAATCCCTCAAGCGAGGGAACGTCCGCTCAGCCGTACTTAAGCCACATACTAAACGCGGTCAATCCTCAAAGAGCCCTAACGCTTAAAACAGCGTCATATTTCATGTTAGGGTGAGTGCGGGTGATTTGGGTAAGAATTTTGTAGACTGGAGGTGATAGATGTGACAATAGGGTGAGAGCGGGTGACAACGGGGTGAGACTAGGGTAAGAGGACCCACTCTGATACGTCGCCTTCAGTCCTAGTCTAGAGTAATTATAAATGACTCCTTAAGGGCGTAAGCCTAGATCTACTATTCCTAAATTTTCACTATCTTTTTAGTACGCTGAAATACCTTTTAAAGATGTATAAAAGAAGCTTGACGAGTGGAACCTATGTACTATATCATGTAGTTTCACTCGCGAGTATTAGAACGCGAGGGAACAAGTGGATAATACTATATGCCTTAGGAAGCTTACTCTAGCTACGCTCTAGAACTACGAGAATACTATATTAAATTAGGTATTATAGGTAACTTAGTGAACTCTCTATTTAGAAAGATTTACTAAGATACGATAGGTAGAGGCTTTCTCGAAATAAAGCGACTAACGCTAACTTCTCTAAAAAGGAGCCCGATCCTACCCTGTAACTCCTAAAATTATTTGTAGAATTTTATATTACTACGAGAAGAAAAATACTATCGTAGAAGTCTGTATATCTTAATTTTGTTAATTTCACTTCTTGGTAGGAGAGAGAAACTTGTCGTTAGCTAGGTCACCTTGGGATCCATTTGGCTGGGGTTTTGGAAAGACATCTCCTTGTTTGGCTGGTATTCATCCCTAGTAGACTCCCAAGCAGAAATCGCGGTTGTTTCGTTCCATGATGGGCCGGTATGTTGAATTTGGTCTTCGTGGACGGAAGTGGTCAATTTTTGACAGCTCCGAGAGTTCTGATCAATCTTTGATAAATTAACATGGGTCAAATGTATGAACGGAAGTAAACTTCAAACCTTTATGTGTCTGAAACACTGAAAAAAGACCCAGAAATTTATAATTAGAACTTTTGTAGCATTTATCTAATTCGGTTTCGTTGATTCTATAAAAGAGTAGGAATAATCCTATCCGTTTCGACCGCATCTGTATCCACACCGAGGAATACGCCTTCGGCAATGGTCCAAAGAAACGCAGCTTCTTCTTTCCCCGGGCCTTGACAAGCCGTTAAGTCGCTGTACCGGTTAGTTCACTCGCTTATTCCCATTTCTAGCGTTCCAATTTGCGTGTCCGCACCTTGCGCCAAGCGATTGGTATAAGCCGAGTCCCATTCGGGTTAGAGGCTACGCACCTGCTTCACGTTATGTTCCGAGTTGGGCGGACGAGTCAAGAGCGACCAGGACCGAACTTAAGATCCATTGATAATCAATCACATCACTCTCATATTCAATATTTCTGTGATCTTCAATGTAAACTGAAGATCAGAGTGAGGTGAATTTATCTATTTGATAGGGCAACATTCAAATAAGGTCGACGATCAATTACAGCCCCTACATTCTCATAGGTCAAATACGATCTATACCGGAAGTTCCTGGCCGATGATTGGTCAACCTTTTGAGACGTCACTTTTTTATAAACTCGCCCATGGTTCGATTCTTACCACCTCGCAGTTTGATGCAGACATCCTGATGCCGATTTCCAAAGAGCACTGGTAATTTTGATGGGAATGACTGAAATCTTAAGGGGACCATATGCCCTATTCCTAGGTAGCTTCGGGATTTTTTTGAAATTGCGCAAGGTGCGGCGGATCAATCTGCATGTAGAGATGGATCAAACCTCTCAGTACACAACAATACACACATAATAGAAACAAGCGAAGTTACGGGAGTGATCTGGAAAGGGCAAAAGCTCCATAGTAGCTATTTATACAAAATCCCCGCTCCCATGTATAGTGTTTTCCCCAAAAATGGCGCCCATCACATCCAAGATGGTCTCCCTCCCACTGCTTGCCCGCGCCAGCTCGCCCCCGTCGCCCTCCTCAACTCCCTCGACCCCCTCGGACCCCTCGCCCCCCTCGCCCTCCGTCGTCTCGTCCTCCTCCGCCGCCGCCGACGCCGCCATTGCCGCCAACTCCCACTACGTGTGGGTAGTGCCCCTGGTTGTTTTCGTGGTGGTGGTTGTGGTGGTGTACCGGTGCTGGCGGGTGCGGTATGTTGTTCCTTCTGGCGTGTAGCTCTAGCGGCTTTTGGACGCATTTGTCGGCTAATTAAGCGACTCTTATAGCCGCGGAGAACGCGGGCACCCCCAGGGGATACTCAACATGGAGTATCTGGAGGAGCGTGCGGCCGCCAGAAAGGCGGCGAAAAAGGCCGAAAAGGCCGCGAAGAAGGCCGAGAAAGGCGTAAAGAAGGTCGAGAAGACCTTGAAGAAGAGAGCGGCCATGATGGCCGAGAAGCTCCGGCCCGGGTGGCTCTTTCGAAAACCCGTCGCCTGTGAGATGATATATCCCTATGAAGAATTGTGTGGGATATGGGCTGATTAAATGGTATATAGCCGATGCCTCCGACAACGAGCAGGCCCAGCAGACTGGGGAAAACCCCCAGGGATGTAAGATCTTCTATCCTTGAGCAGCATGGGCTTGCCGAACATGATGATGCTGACCAGATTATGCGTATATAGCTGCTGCCTCCGGTGTCCGGGCGGGGCCCTCCAATGAGGGGGGCAATAACGGGCAGAAGTCGCCCTCCGATGAGGGTGTAAAGGAACTTCTGCCCACCTCCCGTCCCCCCTCTCCCCCCCTCTCCTCCCCCCCTCTCCCCCCGCCTCTCCCCCGCCTCCCCCGACTGCGCGTGCTCGTGGATGGCTCCATGATGGAGCATCCATCGCCCTCCGCCGCCGCCGCCGCCGCCAATGCCCCCGATTACGGGGTTGATTTTGTTGTCGCGCCGCCCGGTTGCCACTTGCTCGCCACATCGGCGCAGCAGCCAGAGACCCCATCTGGCCTGGGCAAGGCAGCCCTTTCGCTGCTCGCTGGGACGAAGTGAGGGAAGGGAAGGCATGTGGTGTCGCGGTCGCGGTGGGGTGATGTATACTCATTGTTGGTGATGTTTGTCTGTTTGTAGCACCACCCGGCCGCGGCACTAGCAAGAGGAGGAATTTCCTTTGTTTTTCCTTTGTTTTTCCTTTGTTTTTTTTCCTTTGTTTTTTTTGCCCTTTGTTTCTCTTTTTTTGTTATATTGGTTTCAATACCCTGGCACGGGGAGAAGACCCCGTTCTGAGCGTTTTGGTTTGTTTGTTTGTGTTTTTGTTACATTTTTATACCCGCGGGCCATAGACCCGTTTTTGTTTTATGTTATTTTGTTTTTTTGTTTTGTGAGTTGGTTTCCATTGACTTCTCTAAACGTCTTCGAGCGGCTTAGAACTTCACCATCTGGTTTCGATACTCGGTTGTAGATCCCGACTCATCGACTGTTGCCAGGGAAAGATGGGTAAAAGGCTATCCCGAGTCCTTTGGAGATTTGACTCGACCGCATTACTGATGCAGACATCAAGGCTGCATGTGACTTGTCTATACTGTAGGCGGGGAATCATTCATAGATTTTGAACTCATGCTCGTCGCCTTGCACACCCAACACGTACCAATCTCAGTAGAGCAGCTGAGCTATGTAAGTATTCTCTCCCGGTCATAATATTTCATACGTCTTCATTGCCAAGCAGTCATGATATGAATTTAAAATTAGTGAAGTAGAGTGAAACCCTCATATCGCAATAAAACCTCAAATAGCCGTTAAGGATTTGGTCACCACACTATAAGAAGAGAGCGAGAGCGAGATCGAGAGCGAGATCGAGAGAGATTTCTGGATCGACTAGCGATAGAAACAAAGTATTCGCTCTAGTGCCAAACATATTTTGGTCCTTTATATCAGCGTTTGATACCTCGCTCGGACTTTCTCTGCCACCAGGAGTGACACTTTTGCTTTTTCAATGGAGAAAAAAAGCAGTTTCCGAGGAATAAAACATGTTGACAATATTTATTTTCCAATAATTCTTTCAGACCAGTCCTGAATTTTTTCTTCTCATCATCGGAGAACTCAAAACCTCGGTAATTTGCGCAGCACCAACATTCTGTGGTGCAATGGCCCCTGCCTTTCTGCCTTTTTGACAATGATCGTTGTCTGCAACAACCACAACCTCGACTACAACATCCAAGTCGTTTCGAGCAATCCTGAGCCATTTCGTCACGCATAAACCATGTAGCATCATCCTGTCTAAGAAGATCGTACTCAATTCTCAAAGGAGGGCATAACATACATTCCACCTTGTATAACGCATGTTCTTCTTGGCAAAGCTTTCTTTGAACAATTTCAAGCTCGTGATTTGCCTCCTGTAGCTGATCATTGTCATCATCAATAGCTTTGGCCTTTTGTAGTCCCTTGATTTTATGTTGTATCATTTCTTCGCGCTGTACAAGTTCACGTACGCCGTGTTCGACAAGCAACAAGGTAACCACCATTTCTCGTGCGATCAGATGTCGGCGATAAATGAGCCAATCCTTGAGGTTGTCTGGAGTGGTGAATTCAAAAGTGAAGGTTCTCATATTTCTATCACAATCAGCAACTTTCTTGTTTGTGTAATATGGGAATCATACGTAGTATAACTAAACGTATGAAGAATCGGAAAGACGGTACTTCCACAACCAATATAGCGTGACAAGAAAGATTGATATTCGACAGTAGAAGGATGCTTATGAGTAAAGGAGGAAAAACGTCCCTCATGGAACTCAGTGAAAGGGCGGCCCCGACCCTGAACTGGGTATCGGGCATCATGTGATAGCGACTAGACCTTATTTGAATCGGTCAGGGACTATCTATGCATGATTCATGAAGATGCCGTCTTCAGAAATTACGTATTCTTGACGCCTGTATTCTAAAGTTCTTCTTGCCACTCTTTCCACTGCTCCTTGATTTAAGATACTAGCGACGTTTCCGAAGGCTGGCCATTTATTGCATAAATTCAACTATAGCATCCAACCATCGTAATTCTTTTCGAAACTGTCCACCGAGGAATAGGTTCGGGTCGCTCCGCTTCATTATTATTACGTATAATCAACTTCAATTATCTTTTAGCGCACCTATAACTTGTGACGGAAGGCTAATCCTGTAGCATAGTAGATTCCAGAGATTCTCTAACAGATTCGATAGAAAGTGGAAAAAAGAGCGTCTTAAAATCTAGCTTTTTGACAATTTCTTCTGTTCCATATACTCGATATAGTGCGTATCTATAGCCCTAAGAATTATCAGAAATTATCATTGGAAATATTAGCCTCAGATTATTACCGGTATCACATATCCTAAGACCTCTAGTAAGGGTAGTGTCCTTTGTAAGCGCTGGCTATCAACGTATCTTAAAGGTTTGAATAGTTTCCTGGCGATGGTTTGCCTTCCTTCTGCATTTCAGCATTTTCAAAACCAAGGTGTCTACTACCGAAAGCTTACTACTATAGAGCCACAGTATCATTATAACCTCATCTAAGGCAAAGATTATTAACTGAGTGCACAAGCCGCCATTGTAAAGACTGTCGACTAGCTAGGGGCCAAGAGCCCAAACAAGCCGGTCTCTATCTAATCATTATAGCGAAGTAGCCCTCTTATGGCTGTGTGCAGATACCAAGGGAATTATTATCACACGAGGACCAAAGTGAACCAATCATCTACTTGACTAAGAGGGTCAATACGCTACACCGCGCGATCATAGGTGAGAATCACCCGCTCTCACCCGGCTCTCACCCTCTCTATTGCGCACTCACCCCTCATCACCCTGGTCGCGCGACGCTAAAGCAGCGCTCACCCTATTCTCACCTAGGCGTTAGTCACCCGACTACTGACTGAATAATAGCCACACGCCGGCGAGTTAGTAGTTAGGTGGATGACCACCAGCGAATCCCTGCTGTTGTATGTTATTTTCTTGGTTTCCAAGATGTTAATCAGTCAATTTAAAGCCATGGAAAGACCGTTGTTGAGACAAAATGACCCCTTGCCCTGAGAGAAATACAATACACCCTCCAGACAACATTGGCAGGTTCTTGCCTGCGGAACCTGGTAATTGATGTAGTCCTCACATCTACATCTTCCTGGTTTATATCTATAAAGACAGGTGTTCTGATATAGTTTGATCTGGTTTGATCTAGATATCCGCACCAGAGCAGAAATCCAAAATTTGTATGCAATATTTCTAGACTGAAGCCATATGATTCTGACAGATGGATCACAATTGGTAACGTCTCAGGCTCCTGTTCTTGGGTATCTTTACTTATGAGGGGGCTGCGTCATTGAGTCACCGGTGAGCTATGTAAGCGCACCTGAAAGATCACTTTTGACAATCACAAATTCGAAGACTGGTTCATAAAACCCGCAGCTTTGGGGGTGCTGCATGTAAAGCTTGGGAGGCGCACGAGGATACTAACTTTGAGCTGGGAAGTACAATCGAGACACTAGAGCTAACGGCAGCAATACGTGAACATTGAAGCGAATTCAAAGTTCAAGTCGACTTCAAACTCAAGCGGTACTGGTGGAATGACATTCCGGCCTCGCCACGGTTCCACAGATGGAATTTATTCCTATGTGCTTTTCTAGAAGCGAGATATTGTCCCATCCACAGGAATTACACACCACTTTGGAGACCCCATATATGAAAAATTGGCTGCTTTCTTGAGTTAAAGGTACACATGCTATGTTTGGAAATGGATGGGTAAATTATTATCAGAGAGGTTGGGCAAATTTTATGCAGTTAAGCGCCATCGGCGCTTGTATGGTAACCCTGGGGTCAAATTACACCAGACAGGGGCAACTGATCTACTGATACATAGAAAATAGTATCTGGTCCCAGTCAACATTCAATCCACGTCCATCATCCGGGAACAAAATTGGCCATTCATCTCCTTCAACCCAACTGCCATCCACCTGATAGGCATCAACTGGCATGTCCAACATGTAAGGAGGGGCAGAGTTGATCGACGGAGCGTACTCGGCTGGAGGGCCTGTCTCGGGCTGGGACATAATGCTGGGCTGTGAGTATGGTGCCGCATCCGAGACGTTCCAGTTCTTTGTTGCATCGCCTAAATTTGGTTGTCCAGACGTGGAAATCTTTTCATGATTAGATTTATCCAGAGTTGTGGACTGTTTTGTTCGGAACAAAGGACCTAGTACTTCCTTCATTTTATTCATCAGGCGCGGCATAGGAATTTGGTTCTCTCGGCCTAGTACTTTCCTGCGGGCTTCCCACGCCTGTACAACCAAGCCAGCGAAGGTTGCAACCATGTTTCCCTGCTTTGCTTCGTGCATTTCCGGCCCGAAAGAACATATCCAGTCGGGACGGCCAAATATCTCATCTTGGCAGCCCATAATATCCCATGCCCGAGCAACGAGCTCACCTTCGGTCCGTTCTCGAAGAATATAAAAAAGATTGACCACTGCGAGGAATGGTGGAGTGTTTGCTAGATACCACGCAAACTTTAAAGACATTAGATTTTGGACACGGCAATGGTATGCTTCAATTGCTTCAAGGCAGATCCGTATAACGTTATCTTGATGATCATCCTTCGTCTTGGTGTTCTCGAAGGGACCCCTGCTAAGGTAGGCACCGTACGTGATGATTCTCATCTTTGTTAGGAAGTATGTTGCGTAGTAGCGCGACAAATCATGGAGTAAAAGCTGGGGATCACAGTATTGGAGGTATTTGGCTTCGATGTGCCGCTCAAAAACGTCGATAGAATCAAGTTTTTCTTGTAGGGATAAGGGCGGGACTTTTAGATTGCCACAGCCCTCTTCCAGGATTCTCCTTGCACGAAATTTGCGATGAAATTCAGCAGCCTCGCAACGTATGAGGCAGAATAGCATATCTGTTGCGCGCTCATATTCCCGAGGCAATGATGTTGTTTCCGGGTTCAGGTCGCTCTCGTTGACATTGAGGGGCAAATTTACTTTCCATTGACAGTCAACCACGAATGTCCCTGATCCAGAAACCTCTGCTGCCCGGCTGTCCAGTAAGACTATGTGCCACCAAGTGCGACGTCGAATCTCCAGATCGAAGGCAGATAGCTGCTCTCCTTGGATGCCCCGATGTAGAGCATCACGTTTGGCAATCCGGTCTGCGATGGCAGTCAAACAGGAATATGAACGAGGGTCAATGATCGTCGATACTGAGTACTAACAGAATGTGAGCTTTTGAGCATTATATTGCAACCTTGTTTTCCATTCTTACCAGAAAAAGCACGTAGGCTTGCAGGGTAGTCAGGTCGGAGGACTGCAAGAAGCCAGCTTTGTGGAGTGCATATTGCACCCCAGCTGTATAACGAGATAGCAAGACCGATCGGTCTTCATTCATTGCTTCTAAGCAGAGCTCATTGGTCATTGACTGTACTGCATTGGCATAGATCCCCAGAAGCAAAGCATGCATTGAATTTGAGGTAGTCGGTAGGCTAGACGCGCATTTGAATAGTGTTTGCTGGATCTTTGTTGCTGAAAACAACTTGAGCAAGGGGTGGACATTATCAAGAAAAATTTGCCATAGATAGAATATCCGCACTGGAGGGGGATGAAGGTTTGGTAGATCCATTGAAGTCACAGGCCTAAAGAGCAGCACTGTTTCACTTTGGCCCCATGCGTTCTGGTCTGCTGAGAATGGGCATTGATCAAGTTGGTCTTGTGAGGATGCTGAGAGTAGCTCTTCTTGATTCTAAAGGGTGATTAGTCAAGGCTCATTGACCAAGGATTATCTGAAGAACCAGAATCGTCATTTCATTTTCACTTCCACAGTACTTACATGTTGGACTGTGTCTGATATACCCGAGTTCTCTTGTGTTTTCTGGGATAGCCTTTTATCTGAGATTTTTTTTTCCACTTGATGGATCTTCTCGACCTTCAAATGCCTACGGGTATTGTCAAGTGTGCTATCTCCTCTGTTGATGCGATCAATATTGGCACCGTAGCTCTTCAACGCAGCCTCATATCTCTTTAACCGGGCGAGTAGCTCCGCTTCCGGGAATCTCTTTTTCCTAGGACGGGGAGCTTGAGGAGATGCAGGAATACATGGAACCTTTCGGGATGCACAATAGGTACAAGGGCTTTTCTTGTCGCATCGAACTTTTCGCCGCGCACATAATGCACAGGAGTGGCCTTCAAGTGGGGGCTGCATGCCCTTCGGACTTTGTTCACGATCACCTGCCATTTCTCTCGGCTAGCATAGAAATGGAAAATAGTCCGTTCAGTTGCTAGGTGAAACAAAAGGCAAGACAGGGATGGCTTGCTCAGGCCTCTGGGGTGGCTGTTTACTGGTAATAAAAGCCGAATGGCCCGACTCCGACGAAGTGGTGTGAGCCTTGATGAGTGCATAGTCCGATCCCGTTGGTCTTGGCGTATGACTGGCCCTGGATGTATAGAATAACCATTTTCCATATGAGAGCTTTCCTTGTATTCGAATTGGCCTCATTTTGATATTAATATGTGTATTTTATTTTATCCCCTGTGGGTTCAATCCTGTGCCCATGTCTAAATGTCCAATTTGCCCAGGTGGTCAGAATACAGGTATTCTGGCAGGGTCTCACACAGTTGAAACATGTTCCACTCGGTAGCAGACTAATTCAAATGCGAATGATATCTTCCTTTTAGTCATTGAAAACCGGACTCTAGATTTTGATCATATTTGTCTACCGAAATGTCCTACAGCACGACGCCTTATCACTCGGGACTCCTGCATTCGTGCCCGACACCAGAAGACATTTGGTACCTCGGATTCATCGAGAAATTGGGTGTTTGACAGGGAAAAATACAATAGTTGAGACATATTTTCGAGCTATTCTAGCTTGAGTCGACCATGAAATGAAGTATGCTCGACTATGTTTAGGGCGTCGATTGTCCTGCAATGCATGCGGTGAACGCGAGGAACAAAGAGCAGAGGACTCGGGCCGAGTCGAGGCCCGTTGCTGACATACGTCACACCGCGCTTGGACTCCCCATCTCCGCGTTGACAACACATCTTCCTCCCCCCGCTCTCCAGCTGGTGAGTTCGATCGTCGAGGCTCTGTGCTTGCGGGACTTTCACGACCAGGCTTACTGAATCCTCTCCAGCTCTCTAGCCGATCCCAACCCGTGGCCTCGTGACCCAACCCCGATCGACGCGACCCTCTCCACCATGAACTTTGCCTAGCCGAAGCTCGGGACAGCTATCTCCGCCGGTTCGAGCGATGGATCACTCAATCCAGCGCTTGCTTAACGACAAGCTCTACGATAAACGAAAGCAGGGAGCCTTGGAGTACGTGAATTTGACCCAGTGAAAGCTTGGCAAGGCTGCTGCTAACACGCGAGACCGTTACAGGTTGGAGAAAATCGTCCGCGATGCCGTTTTCAAAGGCGAACACGAGAGGATTTCAAAAATCGTCGAGCAGCTCTGCCATGACTATGCCTATGCGGTACACCAACCACACGCTCGCAATGGAGGCCTGATCGGACTGGCGGCTGCCTCGATCGCCCTCGGATCGGTGAGTGTTCTGACAGCGAAGGAGATGGATATTGGACCATTGAGTAGCATTAATTGACGAACGCGGCTTATAGGAAGGTGTCGCACCGTACTTAAAAGAGATCGTACCTCCTGTTCTCGCATGCTTTTCCGATCAAGATGCACGAGTCCGATACTACGCCTGTGAGAGCATGTATAACATTGCGAAGGTGGCAAAGGGAGAAATTCTGCTTTTCTTCAATGAAATATTCGACTCATTAGCCAAGGTAAGAATGGTGGAATACGGTTCTTTGAACTTTGTTTCGGGGCTAATTTATTCGCACAGCTTGCGTCTGATTCGGAAATGTCGGTTAAGAATGGCGCGGAGCTTCTCGATCGCCTAGTCAAAGACATCGTCACCGAATCTGCAGCTTCGTATGTGTCGGTACTCCAATTATCAGAGAAGCAAAGAGCAGATCTAAATGATCTCGATGACACGGAATTACCTACGGCATTCTCACTCCCGGCCTTCATTCCATTGCTCAAGGATCGAATCCACGTAATTGGACCGCTCACTCGCAGCTTTCTAGTCTCTTGGCTGAACCTGCTCGACACTATTCCTGACCTGGAGCTGGTGTCCTTCCTACCGGAGTTCCTTGAAGGATTGATTAACTTTCTCGGTGGACCCCACAAAGATGTCAATGTGGCCACTCAAGGACTTCTAGAACGATTCCTTTCAGAAATTAAGAGAATTACACGGTTGAAAAAAGGACTTGAAGAGAGCCGGAAAAGCCAAAAAAGCCGCAGTCAGTCTGCTGCCAGTGAACCCCTGAGCGGCAAAACCGAACACACCATTGAAACGTTGGGTGCCGATGATGGTGAGAAAGATGATATCGCCGTGGAAGACTCGGCGTCAGGGTCTCTTTTTGACGACGAGGTGGTCGAGGCCGATGGAGATTGGATTCCTGGGCAAGATGTCCACATCGACTTTCCAAAGATTCTGGATATCCTTGTCAACTTTGTTGACACTTCGTATGGTAAATTTTTTTCTGTCCTCGAAATATTGAATGTGATGCTTACTGGGAACTAGATGAGGAAATGCAGCTGACTGCTCTACAATGGACCGATGCCTTCTTTGAGATCAGTCCTGAAGACATTCTTCCTTTTGTGCCTCGGCTTCTGACACAGGTGCTCCCTGCAATGTCCAGTGGTTCAGACTCGGTTCGACAGGCCGCAAATCGAGTTAACAAGTCCCTTCTTGAATATATCTATTCTCTTTCTGACGATGCCCCTGATGAAGGTGTGCAGTCGTTCAAGACTCCCTCGGTTGCGCCGAGCAAGGAGAGTTTGGAAAGGAAGCCTTCTGAGATCACTTCGATCGATAGTAGAAAAGCCGCCCAGGACTCCTCGAATGCCGTGACCCCGCGAAGTAGCATTATATCGACACCTGTGCAACCTGCTGATCTCGATTATGCCGCAGCGGTAGCTTCGCTAACATTGCAGTTTCTAAATGAAAATGAAGCCACTCGGGTAGCCGCACTATCTTGGCTTATTATGTTACACCGCAAGGCCCCTCGAAAAGTGATTGCATTCAACGATGGAACATTTCCGGCTCTGTTGAAAACTCTCTCAGACCCTGCAGAAGCCGTGGTGACCAAGGATCTGCAACTCTTGTCGCAGATTTCGAGGAATAGCGAGGACAACTATTTTACCTCGTTTATGGTCAATTTGTTGCAATTATTTTCCACTGATCGACACCTGCTTGAAGCTCGTGGGAATCTAATCATCCGACAACTATGTCTCAACCTGAGTCCGGAGCGGATCTATCGAACCCTAGCAGATTGCCTTGAAAAGGAAGAGGTAGGTCCATGACCAAAGCAATCACCATTCATAATCATGCTCATGTCGATTAGGATATTGAATTCGCCAGTATCATGGTTCAAAATTTGAATAACAACCTTATTACCGCACCTGAATTGTCTGATATGAGAAAGCGACTAAGGAACCTTGACACAAGAGTATTTGGCCTTTTCTGTCCTTTGAATAGCATTAGCAACCGGACTGACCAAGTATCTAGGAAGGACAAATGTTTTTCGTTGCCCTCTTCCGGTCTTGGTGCCACAATGCAGTGTCCACGTTTTCGCTGTGCTTGCTCGCCCAGGCCTATGAACAAGCCTATAATCTCCTCCAAATCTTGTAAAGTCACAGCACACCATACGATTTTTTGGGATGTATTCATTAACACAATTATTTCTCAGTGCCGAGCTCGAGATGACAGTCAATATGCTCATCCAGATCGACAAATTAGTCCAGCTCCTTGAATCTCCCGTCTTCACCTGTACGTTCTTTTACCACTCTCGTCGCTGGGAAGCATCTCAGTTAACGGCCATATAGACCTCCGACTCCAGCTTCTCGAACCCGAAAAATACCCCTATCTGTACAAATGTCTCTACGGCGTCCTCATGCTCCTACCCCAAAGCTCTGCCTTTGCCGCGCTCAAGAACCGCCTCAACAGCGTCAGCAACATCGGCTTCCTCCATGGCGGACCCCGCAGGTATGCCACTCCTACTGCCACCCTTAGCCTCAACCGGATTCCCATGCTCATGCCCCAACCCCCTTCTAGCACGGCGCAAACTGCGCCCGCCTACGACCGTACTACCAGCACGCGCCTCAAGACCCGCGATGATATCCGTTGGACCGAGCTTCTAGACAAGTTCAAAGCCGTGCAGGAGCGCGCACGCCGCGCCCAGGCCGCGCAACGACACTCGCTCGATCCAACCGACCCCTTGCAAAATTCGTCCCTTACCGCCGCCCTTTCCGCCGCTACGGTCGACCGCGCACGAGACCGCTCGACGCTGCCGGATCCGCCGCGCGGAGCTGTCGCCGGCCCTGGGCTCGCTGGTAGCGGGCTTCCTTTGCCTGGATCCCGAACGGACCCAAAGGCGAGCGCGTCGACGTCGTTGCTCGGAAGCGCGCACAAGCACAAGTCGAGTCTGCCGAACTTGGGCCGGTTAGGGATTGGGAGCCGCAAGTCGAAGCGGTGATGGCGATATGCTGACGTGCGAGGAAACTTTGGCTTTCTCATGTTCCCATATGTATTTAGCTCGGTTTTGCGGCGGTTACAAAAGCCCCGAGATACCCATCGTCCCGTACTTTCTTTCCTTGAATACGGATCTATCACCAGTGACTATCATTAATGGGAACCAATAACCTGGCTCTTACATTCTCAAACTCGACCTCGAGCCATGGAATTAGGGATCCGACAGATTGAGTTGCTAAATGGCCATTCGGGACTCTTTGATTCAAAGGTATAAACAAAGAAGAGAAAAGTATGATAGAGGCAAGCGTGATGCCAATAACTTGAACAATGATGGAGGATGGAGGGGAAAAGGGTGTAAACAAAAGAAAATAAGAAAATGCACAGAAATGGTATGCCATATGCCAGTTTCGCACAATGCAAAAAAAAGCACACACATGCAGAACGAGATCCCAAGGGTTAACCAATCCACCAAGATCCAAACATGCAAAACAGATCATATGCAGCCCAGAAACAAATATCCAATTGAGCTCAAGACGAGAAAAAAACAAAAGCTGCCGCCCCTGAACGAAGCTGGTTATCGGGGACAGGGCGTCGGCAAAGACGACAAAAAGCGACTCCTAAATTTTTCGGCTCTCGTGTCGCAAGTTACGATCCAACCCAAAATAAAGTGGATAGGAGAGAGGAAGTCATTAGCCCTGCGCTGCGGGGGGGTGGCAGGGCCCGAGAGGATGGCGGAAGGGGGAGCTGGGGTTTTAAAACATTCCGGCGGAACAGACATGGCGAGTAGTCGTCAAGGAACTCGACGTCTTCGCAGGGACATCACGCGAAGCGGGAGAGGGAGGCAAGTGAGACGCGGGGCGCCGAACACAGACCGAAAAGAATAGAGGAACGCAGACGCAATGCTAAGCGCAGCAGGAGAGGTTGGAGGACACAGCTTGCGAGAGTCAATATCACAAGCGGAAGAGGAGAGGACGCGGCGAATGCAATATAAAGGGCATCACGCATCACCTGGAGCGTGATTCGGAACCCCAGCCTGAGGGCCGCCAGTGGCTCCCCGTGGAGTGCTTGGAGACGGTGCTAACGGGGGAGTTGGTGCCGTTGGAGTAGACGTATTCGCCGTCGACGTACTGGGCGCCAGTGGAGAAGGTACTGCGGTGCTTGCGGCGGGCGTAGCGCTGTTCGAGGCGGTACAGCTCGAGCTCTGGAGGTGGGAGATTAGTATCGGGTGGCAGGTATCCGATCGCGCGGATGAGGGATCTCGATATCTCGATCGATAAGGGGGGCTCAGGCCGACCGCGGGGGAGTGGACGGAGGGGTGCGACTCACTTGCTTGGAGTTTATCGATGAGACCCATTCTGGCAGGAAATGAGTGTGTGTGATGTGTGGAATTCCGCAATTCTGGGGTTCTGGGGTTCTGGATGCTGGAGGGCGCGACAATTGTTCCCAGCTGCAGCAGAGTGGGACGTAACGTGGGAGAATGGGGCTGGCAACGCAAGGTCGTGCACCACGTTCTATGGCGATTTCGAGTCAGTCACAGCGAAAACACGGTGGTGAAGGGTCTGGACTCAGAACTCTAGGTTCATCTGGACATATCCTTACCGGGAGGATTTGTTCAATGTGAGAAAGGGGGAGGGGTAAGAACTTGAAGAAGTCGAGGAAAAAAGCCGGATGGTGGGTGGATGGTGGTCGGGGGCGCACAAGAGCGTCGAGGGGTGCCACAAGGGGGTTGGGGGTGGGATGGTAGGATAAACCGATAGAACCAAAAGGATTGATTGTAAAGACTGCAATGGTCGAATGACAAGGCCGGCAATGGGGGGGCCGTATGAGGCACGAGGGCGTCAATTGGAGGGAGTGGCTGCAGTGCAAACGAGTGGCTGCGACGGCGCGTTGGTGATAAGGAGCGGAGTTGGAGTTGCGCGGTTGCAAGTGAGCAGTTGGGGCGTGAAAGAGGGGAAAGAGGCCAGGATTCAGGAACAGAAGAAGAAGTGGAGATTAGTGCGAAGTATAGTCGACAAGGTTTACACAAAGTACAAAGTTTACATCATGCGAAGATTGTGGATGCGAGTCCCCCGTGAGTACGGGAAGATGGGAGCTGCTTGCCGGTGTTTACATTGTTTCTGGGATTTCAAGTGGGGAAGGCCGGTCGTTAGGGGGGAGGTTGAGCGGAGATTCGGGGGACATTGGGGGACGCTTGGGGGCAATTGGGGGCACTTGGGGACACTCGGGCGGGCGTTAGCGCCCGGAGGAGTGGACCGCCAGGGGGGAAAGGGCCCGTGAGCGGGCCCCCAGGGAGGGTTTGGGCGGTCTTGAGTGGACTCTCTTGATTTTGTATTGGGTTCCACGCCATCTGACGCGGTTTTATCGCGCACACTAACCCGCTAACCCGTCACTAGTCTCGTCTCTAGCGGTCTTCCAGATGGTCTGGCCCAGACTTCTCGAGTCTTCGGTGCCCGTTCTTTCGTAGGGAACTAGGCCGTGCGCCAACGTTTCATCCTGTCTTTGCATGGAATCCTTGATCTATCGCGGGCCCACGCGAAGCCTGCATGAACGTGCTCCCGGGCTCCTCCTGGCTCCATCGTCTGTACTCCGTACTCCGTACTCGATGCTCCATACACCGTCCTGACATTCCCCATATGTACGGTTCAGGCGGAGCCCTGACATCGAGTGCTCCGGAAATCGTCGAGGTACGTCCCCACCGTGGGCGCTCTCGCCAGGAACCGGAAGACCCCAGGTTCACCAGCTCATCGGCCGGGGACCATGAAAACGTGGGAATTTCTCTCCTAGGGCTGTTCCTCCTCGCCCTCCTGCGCGAGCGATCGTTCCTGGGCTAGAAAGTAGTTCACGTCAGCAAATGTGCATCCTCACGCCAAGGCATTGCCCCCAGGCCCCCCCCCCCCTCCACCTCCTCCAAGCTCGATAGACTATCCTATACAGAGCAAGGGGTAAAGAAAAATCCCCGGTGGCGCGTGGCCGGAGGAGGCTTGTGGCTGGTCCCACGATTGATTCGTGGGAAATTCGAATTCACCACACACGCTTGCGACTCACCATTCCATAGTTCCGCATAAACGCCGTCCAGATCTAGGAGCTCCCGATGCGACCCCATCTCCACCACCTGTCCGTCCTTAAGCACCAGGATCTGGTCACTGTCGTAGATGGTCCGGAGCCGGTGTGCCACGAACACGCTTGTGCGTCGCTTCTCTTTCAGAATGCTGTTGATGTTCTGTAGGAGCGCCTGCTCCGTGTACGTGTCCAGCGCCGAGGTCTGCATCCATTTACACCTCCTGGTCAGCCACTAAATCACTAGGGCAAGCAAAGAATGGAAAGACGACCGATCAATACAGGAACAGGGTATATTGTCTACACCCCTTCTCCTGTCGACCTGAAGTCTCATACTTAAAGAAAAAGGAAGGGAAGAGAGAGCAACTTACCGCTTCGTCGAAGAATAGCAGTTGCGGATCCTTCAACAGCAGCCGCGAAATCGCCAGTCGCTGTTTCTCGCCGCCCGATATCATCATTCCGCGCTCGCCCACTGCCGTCTGATACCCATCTGGCAAGCGCTCGACCAGCTGGTGGATGCGGGCGCGCTCGGCCGCATGCCGCACCTCCTCATCGGTCGCATCGATCCGACCGTAGCGGATGTTATGCGCAATGGTGTCGTTGAACAGCGGAGTGTCCTGCGGCACGACGCCGATCGTCTGCCGGAGGCTGTCCAGGCTGACGTCGCGCACGTCCTGGCCGTCGATCAAGATTCGTCCGGACTGGGTGTCGTAGAAGCGGAACAAGAGACGCAGAATAGTCGACTTACCGCAGCCGCTGGGGCCGACGATGGCGAACTTGGAGCCGGCCGGAATCGTGAAGGTCGCGTTCTTCAGGATTGGGCGGTCCGGGTGGTAGCCGAAGGTGACGTTCTCGAAGCGGATCTCGCCGCCGCGCTTCAGCTGCAGCGGCTGGGCATTGGGCTTCTCCTGGATCGTCACGTTGACCTTTTGCAGATTGAAAAGCGTCTCCATGTCCAGCAGGGACTGGCGCAGTTCGCGGTAGACGGAGCCCAGGAAGTTGAGCGGCACGGAAAGCTGGAAAACGAGCTGATTCACCATGACCAAGTCGCCGACGGTCAGGGTGCCCGTGGCCACCCCGTCCGCGGCCAGGTACATCATTGCGGCCAGCGCAGTTGAGAAGATCATGTTCTGGCCCGAGTTGAGGAGGGCGAGAGAGGTGGTCACTTTGATAGAGGCATCTTCGTAGTTCTTGAGCGCTTTGTCGTATCGGGCAACCTCGAACTTTTCATTGTTGAAGTACTTGACGGCTTCGTAGTTGATCAGCGAATCCACAGCAACGGTAGCACCGCGGTTATCGGCCGCATTGGCTTGTCGTCGAAACTTGGTTCGCCAGGCAGTCGTGGTGATGGTGAACGCTGTATAAGCAACCATCGTAGTGGCCGTGATAGCCGCGAACTGGAGGCCATACTGATATGTCTGTTCCAAGCATTAAGACTAGTACGAATTCGCAATGGGAAGTTAGGTGACTTACAAGAATTCCGCACACGAGAGATATCTCGAGGGCAGTGGGTACAACATGGAAGACCATGGAGGTCAGCAGGAAGCTAATACCCTTCGTTCCACGGTCAATTGCCCGAGTCAAGCCACCAGTCTGACGCGAGAGGTGAAAGTTAAGGTCTAATCGCAACAAATGGTCGAAGACATTACGCGCGACCTTGCGGATCGCCTTTTGCGCAACGCTAGCAAACACTGCATTGCGAAGTTCCTGGAACAAAGTAGCTCCAATGCGAGTTGCGCCATCTGGGAACATGAATTAGCGACATGAAGGACATGGGCCACAATGAATAATGAAGGATCCATACAGGCTATGATCATGGAACCTGCCACAGTATAGGCGGTTCCTCCTAGGGTCGCAAAATCCACGTTCATAGAGTCAACAATGCTCTTGAAGTAGAACGGCACTTCTACGTTGAGGATCTGCAGGTAGCCATTATCAGTAAAGTTGATTACAGGCTGTTGATTCCGGACGGAAACTAACCTTAGCTCCCACAAGCAATGATAGAGCCGTTCCGACTCGGAGCTTGGTACCCCAATCATCCTACACAGACCGTCAGTACTTCGTGTGTCGAGTATGCATACGTCCACCGGCGAAAAGAGCAATTACCTTTGGCCAAAGGTACTTGGCCATCTCTCGCATGATTGCCCAGTCTGCCTGCCGTTGCTCCTTGCTGGCCATAGCCGACTCGCTCAGCAATTCCTTCTTCGGCTTCGGTGCGCTCTTGGCCGCATCTTCCGGCGTTGGGAGAATGTTCGCATTCGCTAACTGCGATGCGGGGGGTGCAGAGGCGGCATTGGACTTCAGGGACGCCGGGTCTTTGATGTCTGTTGGCTGGTTTCGCCACGGGCTGCCCGAGGTGAATATACGCAGCTGTGTGCCATTTGGGCTTGTCCACGGTGCTCGGGCGGCGAAGCTCGGATGTGCGTACCGCGTCGAGCGCAAGCACGAAGCTCGAGCAGCTCTGAGCAGCATGGCTGCAAGTTAAAAAGAATATAGGACCGCGGTGGCTGTTCGACTGCACGGACCGTGCTCAGGGGAGCATAATGTACGCACACGAGAAGAAAGGCGTGCGCAGGTGTAGCTGTGATAGCTCGTGGGGAAAGGAACCTTGTGAGCCGCCGGCTTCGGAGAAAAGGTGTTGGGATTGCGTGTATGTACACTGACGGGAATGGGTCAAGTCGAGGGTGCCAAAAGGAAGTAGAATAAAATATAGAGAAGTAAAAGCCGAGTATCCAGCCCCGATATGAGGGAGCTCGCCTTTTAAGACCAAGTGCAGAAGGTAATGTCCAATGTCGCAATCCACAGCGGACGTGGTGCGCCGCAACAGCCCGCGCAGCTTCGGCGCCACGATTTCCCGGGCTGGTTTCGATCTCGAGCTTCCAAACTGACGTAAAGTTCGTGAAAGCCAGCAAAACCACCCCGGTCTCCGGTTTATTTCCAGGCACCATGAGTCCAGCCCTCCAGCGAGGTGTCCGGACTCTGTCTTGGACAAGAGTTGTTCCTCGCATCCACCGACAAACAAGATGCGTCCAGATTCGAGCGACGCCCTCCGAGGAGCCCACCCTCAATGGAGACCATCTACCCCTCGCCAGCACTCCCAGCTCTGCTGAGTCGCGAGGTATGTTGCAATTCCGATACATACAGGCAATATGGTCGTTCACTGCCCTTGAAACTAACAGTCGTTCTTCCCTAGACGCGCGATTTGACGTTATCGGCGCTCCATATTCACTCCTCTCGGTATCGCTCTCGGCCTCGCAAAATCTATACACGCGCCGAGGAACTTTAGTCGGGTTGAGTGGGAAGGCCGATAATGTATGAAATCCTTTGTGAACTTGCTTGAATACTGGATGGTTCCAAGTTAACAGGTGCGCCATCACAACAGGTAGTTTCGACTCTGAGCGTACTCGAGCCTTTCCGCAGGGCTCCCCTCGGAGTGCCATTCCTCTATCAGAAGGTACAGCGCATCTGCATTTAATCGGCAAACGAAAGCAGAAGGTTAATCAATGGTATACCAGGTATCCTCCGCCAGCCCAGTCACAGCCCTTGTCTCTGTTCGATCACCAACAACGTCATTTGCGGTCGTGAATCTCAATGGCTCTGAGGATTGGATGGTTGCCCAGCGCCGCGCATTACTGGCTTGGACGGGCCGGTCTCTGTCTATCAAACCCACTATCAACACCAATCTGGTTCGTGCATATCATCCTTGAGAGGGAAATCAGGATTCGGACTAATTTGTGCAGAGCCTGGCTCACTGGGGTAGCTCCGAGGTGACGGGACGGGGATTAATGGCGTTAGTTGGCAATGGCCAGGTCTACTCAGTGGATTTGAAAGATGGCGAGCAATATGTCGCCCATCCCAGGTACGCTTTCCTCTCTCTTTCGCCAGACTATCTTGGCTTTCAATGAGGCTTTGTTAATAGTTCTTTCAAAAGTAACGTCGTCGCCTACACAATGTCCTCCAACCCTCCACGCCCCTACCGGTTCAAATCCACTACCCTAAATTTCCAGGTCCCGGGTCTGAAGACCCTCCCGAGACTCCTACAGAGCAACAAGTTCATTCGGGACATGTCCGGCTCTGACGCCTGGAAAAACACCATGCGTTTCCTGCACAAGCTGCGAACCTGGTCTCGCATGACCGTCTGGGGAGACAGGGTATGCCAGTACTCCTATTCAAAACTAATTTGATTATCTTTGACTAACCCTTTCGCGTTCGCAAGCTTTTTCTGCAATTCGACGGTCCCGCGACTATTCTGATGCAATCGCGTGGCCCCCGCCTGAACGACATCATGACCGAGCAGCAAGTCAACGAGATTGCCGGTTCTCCTCGCGGAATCACCACCACTGCTGCCCAATCTCTAGAATCCAAGCCAAGCAAAGAGGCCGAGAAGGCTGTCAACGGAGTGCCGGAGATTTCCCGCTCCATTGAGGACCTGAACCAAGAGATTCGCGGTATCAGTCAGAGCGTTGCGCAGATCCGGAAGGACGGTAAGGTGGAGGTCAAGGAGGTCAGCCAGACCAAGGCTGTGTAAAAGAGGCTTATGGTCAATATGGGTCAAGTTATTCTCCAATATTTTTCATCCTAGAGGCGGTTTTCTTTGGAGGGTTCTTTTTGCATTCTGTACAATATCCTAGGCCTCTTTCAATCTCAGTCAGTGGCCGCTCAAATCAATCTCTTTTATTTTGACTTATCGGCTGGTGTGTATTGAGTTTAAGCAAAAGGGGGAGCCGGGTTGGGGGGCAGAAGAAGTGCTAGCATACGCTGATCGATCACTTGATATATGTGATATTTTTGGGTTCTCCATTTGTTGAGGTACAAACAGTCGAAGCTTTCTTCATACGGCGAGTTCGCCATCAGCCACCCCATGATGAGCAATCGGCGCCAATGAGGATTCAGGGCAATATAATCAGGGCCCCCTTTCACTCTGAAAGAAGCTCCCATAAGGGCTGCAATTATATGTTAGCTCAGTAGAGCACTCTAGGTTCAAAATAAGTATATATCATTAAATACGCAAGGGGTAGAGTTCATCTAATGAGAGATTCTTGTGGCTTCCAGTATGGCCGTGAATCTAAGAGGCCGCAAGTTTTGGACTAATGTTACAAGATGTATAAGGCGTGAAGCGCCTGTTGAGTTGGATCTCCTTTGGCGCCGATTGTTCATCATACAGTAGCTCCACAGATACATCTCCGCATATAGTCAATCTTAGTAAAAAATAATCACCTGTTCCGAGCCTTCTTGCTTCCTAGAAGAGCTAGTATCCGCTTGCAATTGTGACCTCTGGTATGTAACTTTTACTCTTGGTGTACCAGAGAGAAACTCGGCCCGTAATGAATCGATGCGCGAAGACTCAGGAATGGTATCTTGCACCCCAAACCCTTCCGATTCTTTTTGAACCATTCGGGATATAACCAGAGCTGTGTTGGACATTGACCAGATCCCTTCGGAAGTTGGCCAGATCTTCAATAGTCGAAGGGCTTCATGTCGTGTATGCCAATGTCGGCATTTCAATGCGCAAAACACCAGCGGCGTCGTGATCCACACCCAAATTTCATGGTTGGCATGTGAAAGAAGCTCTTTCGATAATTGTATCACTTGTTGAAATGACGGAAGCCTGTCGTCGTACCGTGTCTCGCCCTCCCCAAGCCTTTCATCGGTCGAAATTCTGATGAGGAGGACCTCTATCCAGATTTTGAGAAACAGTATCAACCTCTTCACTTGAGATCGGTCTGCTTGAACTCCTTTTAAGCCTTCTATCTGCTTTGTCCAAGCATGAAGCTTATCTAAGAGCGTTACCGCTATTCCTTTCCGTTTTGTCTCGTGGCAAATCTCCGGTTGTGTTTTGACTTGCAGCGACAGCCAACCAATCGCTACAACGAATCCGATCGACTCTTCTGCAGAGTCTAACGTCTTTACTACTGGAAATTGCCCCCCTATTACATCCGGGAGAGTCATATTAGGGTACGCATCGCCATTATTAGTCAGGGAAATCCATCCCAGCTGGTTCTGGGTAAATGTCTGTAGCAAAAGAGCTCCTAGGGCACTCTTGTCAGAAGAAATCCCCTGCCATTGATCCAGGAGCTTTAATCCGGATGTGAGGTGATAGCTTGAGCCTTGGGCGTCGCCCTGTATCATGGAGGTGGCTCCCAGAACAAGGCACGCACACAATACCGTTTCTAGTTGGATGCGGTCTGGCGAGCCCGTCAAGAGAAGTTGTCGTACATGGCGGATGGCTTTATTACACTGTTGCAGTGGCAGCATCCGATTCTCTGTGGTCTCGCAATTCCAGTGCGTCGCGCCCAGGCCGATGGCTGCGTGGCGGACAGCAGGTTGGGACTCGCCGACTTGATGGATCAAGTGGTCCCAAAATGTGCCTTTGAAAAAGCTAGCGACTTGCTTGGAGGTATTGCGTCGAAAGAAGTCGAGATAGTAGCGCTCCTCTTGTGTGAGATCTATTTGCGCTGGATCCACCAGAGCCGCTATCATGCTTAAACATTGTCCGTTCGAATGGCTCTGGACCTTCAAGTTTTGAAAAACATAGCGCTGGACTCCGCTATTGACACATAGTGTTTGTGAATGGGCACAGCGAGAACATGTCGGTTTCCGCTCATCGCACTGCTCTTGATGAGTTAACGCCAAAAATACATTTGCCTGATACATCGGGCGGATTTCTGACCTTCCTTTTACGCTTGCGACACGCATCGCAGGCTCGACTAGAGGGAACCCCAGGCATCTTGTGAGAATGTGGAGACTACCTGGGATAATTGCCTTCCAAAGCTCTAAACCAGGGCGTTTAGTGACCAAAGATTCGGGGGGAGGGACACCGTTGAGATGACCCAAAAACCGCCCCCACGGCCTTAGGATCATCGGGCGGCCTTAGCTGGAGACTCTCGGCGTTTATGGTTATCAGTACTCTTATTGGGTTCCATCTCAGCCTCCTACATCATTCGAGAACAATTGCTGCCATGCAAAAAAGAAACAAAAGATACTCTTGGCCTTCTCATGAACAGTTTCCATGATTGGGATCAACCCCGTATCTAGTAATCTAGTAAGAGGCGGTTGATACGGTCGACCGTACGTACATGGTATACAACCTTAGCGCTGTATGGATCTGCCATTGAAAGTAAGTACAGATCACCTACGATCTACCTCCAGATTCTTATCCTATCCTTATTATTGATGTCGAGATAGACTTTGCTGGTCAATATACTAGTAAAGCTTTAGGCGATATCTCGCAACTCTTCACTCTGCACATTGAAGCCTCTAACATTCTTGATCCTCATGTTATCGACTCATTGAACACGTCGGTTTTTAATTCACTCCACATCTCGCAATTTCTCCTCTGAGGATCTAGTCTGATATCAATTTTCAATTTTCAAAGTTGAATACTGAGAGTACCTGGTGGAAACGTTTGGCTCCCCCTCGGTGATAGAACTACTCATTGGAAAGTAGAGTTCTCCTCTGCAGTCTAATTCCTACCGCTCTTCCTGTCTTTCCTCTATCGCAACGCCTGTTTACACGTGGTTCTCCTGTTAACAGGGTCATATTAATAGCGATACTGACTGTCAACCCGCATGAGCCAAAGAACTCGTTTATCAGACGGCTTGTCCAGTTGCATGAGAGTAGTTGAATCCCATCGGACCCAGCTCTCCAGAGTCTTGATTACGGGAATGAATGGGAACAGGGCTTACTACCACCCTCCGCTCAGTCCCCGAGTTTCTGCAGTGACACGCGCTGAAGGCCAACACCTGGATAAAAATCTCGCTGGCGGAAGGAACGTACAGGCACCAGGTAAACCCAAGGATTTCCGCTTAGCGTCAATATTGAATCACGACCGTGCTGTGATTGGATACTCAGTAGTGGCAGGATTCCTCAGGAGACGACGGAGAAAGCGGTCTCAGCCTGAAAAGGCCGGTTTTATCCCCGATCTCCGATTTCTGACGCGAATGTTCTGTTAGCGATTCCAACCAAGGCGTGATAGGGATAGGCCATTAGCAATTAGCATTTGACTACCAAAGTTTAGCCATAGTGTTGAGCTGGTACTGTTGAGCTGCTAGCAATGACTGCTAGCTAGATGCTTTCATGAATTGGATTTGAAGTGTTTGTTGCACGCTTTGGACGGCTTTCATAATCGGGTACTTTTTCGGCCCCTCATCCCGAGACATATCAAGTCGTACAGCCCCCCTAATTCTCGCCCTTGTGTCCTGCGGGCTTCAAGTATCCAATGCACTTGATACCCGTCATCCAATCGTCCAGGCTCTCGGTCCACCCCCCACGGCCCGGGGCTAGGCGGTCGGAGCCCCGAAGTGGAGTCGTCCGTTGCTTTTCTTGGTCGATGGTTCGCCTGTTTAGGGTGAGCGGCGCTCATCCGACACCATTCGACTGAAAGAGGAGTGCTCGGGCTTAACAAGACGCGATGGCCGAGGCACGCAGCTGGTCGCCGAGAAATTCTGGTGTGTCGGCTCTCGTTCCCTGAGACCTTGAAAAGCGTAGAAGTTCCTCTCTGTCCGCAATCCCCGCTCCTCCCAAGAGTAACTACGAAGTTGCACCCAAAAAGAGATTCCAAGGTATCACGTCGATTCGTTGCCTTTATCTTTCTCGTCTCCGAGTGGTTTGGTTAAGGTTTCGTGCCGCGCTTGATCGCCAACCGTTATCAATCATCGGACATTCTCCCACGCGACAATGTATGTACAACATCCCAACGGCGAGCCTCCTCGAGGAAAGGGACCCCCTCAAGGAGACTGTGCATCGACTCGCCTTGTGTGACAGTGATGTTTGCTCGCGCATTTTCTAATGGCTGTGTGGATAAGACAGACCCCCGTTGATTCAAAACACACCCTGCGAGCGCCTGCCAAAAGTGTCATCATCCCAAGGCCGATCCCAGAGCGGATTGCGATTGCGCATCGCCCATGGCTTCCACTCATCACGACCACAATGTGCAGAGCCTCGACAGTATCAACACAGAAACAAACACTGCGCCATCAGACCACTCGACCCCCACCATGAGTGAAAAGGTCGATGGCGACATTGAGAAGGGCATTCACCCAGATAAGCACCCAATGGACTCGGATACCAGCATGCCAGAAAAGGATGTGAGAGCAGAGGCCGCGTTAGAGGATGGCGAGAACGCTGTCCCAATTCCGGCGCTGCCACCGGGGCCAGGTCCGCCTCCAGACGGGGGAGCTCAAGCTTGGATGTCCGTCCTCGGCGCTTTCTGTGGGCTTTTTGTCAGTTTTGGATGGATCAACTGTACGGAAATCCTCCTTCATCGTAGCGAGCGAGTGTGTGATTAAGCAAACTGACCTCATTCCAGGCGTTGGTGTTTTTCAAACATACTATGAGACTCATCAGTTGAGCGACCTATCCACCAGCACGGTGACTTGGATCACATCGCTGGAGACCTTCGTCATGTTCTTCGCAGTAAGCACTCCGTCGAAGCCCAACTCATTGTTCCACGCCCGAGCAAAGCTCAGAACCACTTACTGACACTGCAGCTCTTCCCCCAAAAAGGGCCCCGTCTTTGGGACGCTTTTTGATAGCTTCGGTCCTCGATGGATCCTCCTGGGCGGCACCATTCTCCACGTTTTGGGTCTCATGATGACCTCCCTTTCCACCGAGTACTACCAGTTCATCCTGGCGCAAGGCATCTGCAGCCCGATCGGTGCCAGCGCCATCTTCAATGCCAGCATAAATTCGGTCAGCACGTGGTTCGCCAAGCGCCGTGCCTTCGCCTTGGGCGTCACAGCGTCCGGCTCCAGTCTCGGCGGCGTCATCTTTCCCATCATGGTCACGCAACTAATTCCAAAGGTTGGCTTTCCTTGGGCCATGCGCATCTGCGCGTTCCTGATCCTCTTCATGCTGGTTATCGCCAATCTCACCCTGCGGTCCCGATCGGTGCACTCCAAAAAACAGCTGCAGATGATGAACTTCGTGCGCCCGCTGAAGGATATCAAGTTCGTAATCACGGTGGCTGCCGCCTTCTGCTTCTTCTGGGGCATGTTTTTGCCCTTCACGTTCATCATCACGCAGGCGCAGCGCTACGGAATGTCGCAGCACTTGTCGGAGTATCTCATTCCCATCCTGAATGCAGCAAGGTAAGCCTACATGGACCCTGCCTCCCAGTTCCTTTCCCCGTGGCGACGATGTCCTCCCCCATTCATACTCACATATACTCACCATTGATGTAATACACAGTATCTTCGGCCGTACCCTGCCAGGTTACCTCGCCGATCGCGTCGGCCGGTACAACGTGATGATCTTCTTTAGTTTCCTCTCCAGTATTCTCGTACTGGCGCTATGGCTTCCGTCACGCAGCAACGCACCGGCCATCGTGTTTAGTGCCTTGTATGGCTTCGGCTCCGGCGCCTTTGTGTCCCTTGCGCCGGCACTGATTGCCCAGATCTCGGATCTGCGGGAAGTCGGCGTCCGCAACGGCACTTGCTTCTCGATTATCTCGTTCGCCGCGCTGACAGGTACTCCCATTGGCGGCGCGCTGGTGTCAAACGTGCTGCAAGGCTCGTATACCAGACTGCAGGTGTTCTGCGGTGTGGTCATGATGGCCGGAGCGTGCCTGTTTGTCGTGGCGAGGATAGTGGTTGGTGGCGCGAAGCTGGGCAAGGTGTAAGCGGGGGCTTTTGTCATACTTAAATGCAACTACCAAGGGGGTGGGGAGGAGGGGAGTTGTTCTTTTTCCCAATATGTTCCTTAGATAATAGGTTTTGGACGGCCTTTACTTATAGACACAATACATATATAGAATTAGCTTCTGCAACTACAATGTTGACTAGGAACTCACACTAGTTAGGAGCTAGACGGCCATACCTCTAGACGTCAAATTTCAACATGATCAAAATCACCTACGCACTATCACCGAAGGACATAAAAATGAAGTAGAAAAAAGACTCTATTGTCCTAAAGGAGGCAACCTTCGAGCCCGGAGTGGGATCGGAACCAGAACGCCCCAGCACCGTCGCTGATGGAAGATGCATGATATAGTAACACCAAAATGCCAGAGTAATATATGCCCAAGCCACATCAAGATGAAGAAAGAAAGAAAACGAAAAGAACCAACACACGTTTATCTAATCAGACCAAGACACCATTGCGCATGTTCTCAACCGTACGAACACCAACCCCTTCAACGTGCTCAGCTCCGCCAGGCTGCTCACTTGGAACTGCGGCTGGTCCAATGTCATTTCATGGTGTTCGGTGCTCAACGACGCCTGGTCCATCTCACAAAGGCAGTCAACAATAGCTTCGGCCTTCTTGGCACCCACACCTTTGAGAAGCTTGATTTGGCTGACATCGCGTGAGTTGATGATGGAGAGGAGGTGAATGGTCCGTGGCGAGACGGTAGGGTCCTCAAAATCATCTAGAGCGCTGAGATCACCATCACTCTGACGAACAGACTTGGAGGTGGCGCGCTTCTTCTGCCGGGGGAGGAAGCTATCCTCATCGCTGGAGAACCCATCCGCACCAGGCTGATTTATATACTCCTCATCCATATCCTCGGCTTGACGCTTCCCCGAGGTCATAGTCGGCTCCTTCTTCAGAGACAGCATGCTACCGAAGCGCCCCTTGGCAGGCGGAGACGTGGGAGCAACGGACTGACGCGGGTGAGATTTGCCCTGGATACGGTCTTTCAGAGCAGCAATCTTGGCTACCAGCTTCTCGTTGTGCGGGAAATGCGGCAGCGCCAATTGATACATTCTCAGCGCGGAGCTATTTTCACCACGGGCTTGGTGCTGCTTGGCCATGAGGAGATAAGACAGACCCTCCGCGCGAGCATCCTCCGTGCCCTCGATGCGCTGTTCCAGAAGCTCCAGTCGACGCTGGACCTGCTCATTGAGCTCGCGGACCTGCGTCTGCCGTGACTGCTCGCTGACAGCCCGGACAGCGAGTATTTCCTCAACCTTCTTCTCAACCATCTCCTCAATCTTCGCGGCAGAGAGATCGCCATATCCGGAAAGAGGTTGTGTGGAAGCGAGGATTTGCCGGGGGGCTTCAATGTCCGGATGGGATGCGAGTCTGAGGAAAGAGAAGTTCGCTTGGCACCGTCCGGTTTCCGGAGTTGAGTAATATTCTTTGGCTGTGGTCGATCGGAGAACACACTGAATGCCTTCAGCGGCTTATCGTCCTTATTGGCCGGGTCCTTGACCGCAGGTGCCGACATGTTGACATTCACAGAAGCAGTGAGAGGACGCAGAGGCTGCCGAGATGCCGCCAATGATGGCCGAACCGCGGGCCGTGCAGGGCCCTTGAAGATAGGATCATTTTCGATCTCTCGTACCTCGATTTTCCTGGTGCGGTTGGCGACGTTCAGGGAGCTTATGGTGTCCAGATGGTATGAGCGGACAGGGGCAAGGTTGAGAATCATGACCGTTAAACCATTATTTTGACCCAATGACAATATTCGAGTCATTTTGGACTCGCGATATGGGATTCGGTGCTGCTTTTTCGTGATCGCCTCCACACACTGCGCTAGAACGAATAGGCTCTTGTTGATACTGGCCGACTCCACCATGCGTTCCTTGTCATTCTCCGTTCGTCGGTTGTCTTCCGAGCCTGCCAGGTCAATTGCCGAAGCAGTACTGATACGAGTCTTCTCTGGTGTAATTACGGTGATCTTCACTCCCAGGATAGCATGAGACCGTGACGAATGAGCATTGAGCTGGAAAAAGATCAGCGGTCAGCCAAGGCAACTGGGGAAGGCATTGGGAAATTTAAAACGAACCTTTGTTGCAGAGGTAGATCGGTTGGTGTTAGCCTGGTCGTACAGCCCTTCAAACTCCTTGAGGCTCGTGCAGGGCTTTTCGGTAAGTCCACAAACAACAGTCTTGCCCCCATTGTCCCGCAGAGGCAGTCCAGCCAAGGTGCGCTTCTCTGGAGGCTCGAACAGATCGTAGACCTTGTCGTTGTAGATCTCGTAGTAACTTAACGATACCTGGACGGTCGTCTCCCCATTGCTGTCCTTTTCCATCTTGCGACTCCGTCTATAAATTCCGCTCAGGAGTCGGGGAATAACGCCTCGTTCCGCAAGGCTTTTACCGCCGCGCATTGTGTGTGTTTTCCCGGTTCCAGTGACACCGTAAGCGAAAAGAGTGACATCGAATCCATTGAAGAGATGCTTGATGGTGGGTGCAACTGCATGATATACCATTGATGAGCATCGACCTTTGTCCGAACCAGGACCTCTTGATCCTCGCTACGGGTCGCACCACTTACCCTCGGCATCGAATAGCTCCTGCTGGGCCACATCGGCATCGTAGACAGCATTGAATTGAAAAGTGTATTCCTCGCCCTCATTCTTTGGGTTAGGAATCCGCACGACGTTATCCCTATCCCTCAACGCGGCCAGCTTACGGTCGCTATTCAGGGATTGCTGGGACTTGCCATCGGTCGTTCCAGCCGAGGATCCGGTGCGAAGAATAATATCAAGCTCTCGTTCAGACTTGAGGAGGGGTCGAACCCGCGCGACGACCCGAACACTCATTATGACGGTTCACGCATCCACCAGCGTTGATCTGCAGGAAGCTTTGGTTGCTGAGGGAGGACCGGATCCAATCTGATTGCCAATGGCCCGCTGAAAGAACCGCACGAAAGAAAGAAAAAGAGAAAATATAAAATTAAAGTCCCCCCAAAGAAAAGAAAACCTACCTACCGTGGTGGACGTCGATGCAGAACTGGAGAATGCAGTGGTGGAGGTGTTCGTGTGTCGCGGAAGACATTGTGGTCGGTGTGTTGGCCAGGCAACGGTGGTCTCTTGCGGCCACATTCTTGCCGATGGTGAGAACCGGAGAGGACTAGACAGAGAACCAAGTCCGAAGGTCGGGGCTATTGTGAATTGAAGGAAGGTGATTTCGAGGTCTTCGGGCTCAATATTTCCGGTACAGCGGACCGAATGGCCTGCTGAGACTCTGCGTTCATAAACCAACGCTGCTGTTGGTGGTCGAGCACTTGGTCTGTGTACTAAGTACCCGGGGGGTCACCAGAAATGTACAAATATATATTCCTGATTATCAGCTCCGCAAATGTCTCGGACTTGTCCAGAAGAACCGGAAAAGATCTAAACCGAGTAAAATACATGCCCTTTTCCGCCATCAATTGATATACAGCTATCAACCGTCCAGTTGAGGGTTGTCTATAGGATGGCCGAACTCACATGTGCCCGCAACCCCGTGATTGGCTGGTCGGCCGCAACCTAAAGGCCACCTTCGCCATCACCGCCTCCTTTGCATCCCTCCCCTCTCCGTCATTGAAGTCCTCGGTACGAGCTCCCCCTTGTCTTTTGAGTGCTATTGGAACGGCGCAGCTGTGCTCACTGATTCCTATCCTGTATCTCGTTTTTCTGGTCGATGGTCAAGCTGATTGTGGGGTTCTAGCGAAGCTGTCACCCGCGACCCCATATTTAACCAAATCACCCTCAACCCCCTCGCCAAATTCGTCACCCATCCCAAACTCCTCATTCTCCCCGAGAAGTTTCTTTCCGGCGGTTTCTCCCACTCGCAGACCTTCATGGCAGCTCCACAAGGGGGTTACCCTCCCCAGGAAGGGTATGCCCAGCCCGGCTACGGCTCCCCGGATCCCGCACAACAATCGCCCGTCGCCGCGCAGGGAGCGCCGGCTCCTGCGGCCGCTGGACGGAAGAAGAGAACGTACGCGGGCGAGGCGTTCGAGTTCGGTTCTGGTGCCAATGCCGCGCTCGGAGGACAACCCACCGCCGGCGGGGCTTACGGAGCCTATCCCCAGCAGCCGCAAGCTGCAGGATACCAGCAACCTGCGTACGGCGTTGACCCGAACCAAATGCAGCCCGCCGCGGCAGGCTATGCGCCCCCCCTCGTCCGATGTTGCGCAAATGACCCAGCAGTTTGGTGGCATGGGTATGAGCGAGCCGCACCACATGCCTCCCGCGCAGCCACAACCTGCGGTGCAGCCCCAGCGTCAAGTCCCACTCAACCAGCTTTATCCGACAGACCTCATCTCGCAGCCGTTCAACGTTGCAGAGCTGGATTACCCTCCACCTCCTATCATTCTGCCTCCACAGGTAGGGCTGGAAATCCTCCCCGATTGTTGATTAGATTCGGTGGGAAGCTAATCTCCCACAGACCAGTGTTTTCGAGTCTCCCACCGCCAATTGCCCCCCCCAAATACATGCGATCCACATTGAATGCAGTTCCCACGAACAATTCGCTCCTCAAGAAATCCAAGCTTCCCTTCGCTCTCGTCATTCAGCCCTATGCCGCTCTTCATGATGCCGAGGACCCTATTCCCGTGATTCCGGATCAAGTCATTTCACGGTGCAGACGTTGCCGCTCCTACATCAACCCCTTCGTCACCTTCCTCGATCATGGCCACCGCTGGCGTTGTAACATGTGTAATCTGACTAATGATGTGCCCCAAGCGTTTGACTGGGATTCGACATTGCAAAAGCCGGCGGATCGTTCATTGCGTGCGGATTTAAACCATAGCATGGTGGAATTTGTTGCGCCCCAGGAGTACATGGTTCGACCACCCCAGCCGCTTGTTTATCTCTTTTTGATCGATGTGAGCTATTCGTCCGTGAGCAGTGCCCTTCTGGCCACCAGCGCACGCTGCATCAAAGAGAGTCTCGACCGCATCCCCAACGCGGACCGCCGCACTAGATTGGGTTTTATCGCCGTGGACTCGAGCTTGCACTACTTCAGCATTCCTCGCGATGGGTCCGGCTCCTCGGATCCCCGCATGCTGGTTGTCAGCGACCTTGATGAGCCCTTCCTGCCTATCCCTGGTGACCTTCTGGTGACCCTGAGTGAATGCCGGGAGAACATCGAGTCTTTCCTGGATAAGCTACAGTCAATGTTTGAGAACACCCAGAACAACAGCTGTGCCATGGGCTCCGCTCTGCGCGCTGGTTATAAGCTCATCTCGTCTGTTGGTGGCAAGATGACGGTTCTCAGCGCGTCTCTGCCCAACATTGGTACTGGTGCGCTTACTATGCGAGAGGATAAGAAGGTGCTTGGTACGAATAAGGAGTCTAGTCTTCTCCAGACCGCCAACTCCTTCTACAAGAGCTTTGCTGTCGAGTGCTCCAAGGCTCAGGTCTCTGTGGATATGTTCCTTTTCTCATCCCAATACCAGGATGTGGCATCCCTCAGCTGCTTACCCCGGTACACTGGTGGACAAACCTACTTCTACCCTGGCTGGAATGCCACGCGAAGTGAAGATGCTATGAAGTTTGCACGCGAATTCTCGGAGTATCTGTCCTCTGAAATTGGTCTTGAGGCTGTTCTCCGAGTGCGTGCCACCACCGGTCTCCGCATGAGCACCTTCTATGGCAACTTCTTCAACCGCTCCTCCGATCTCTGCGCTTTCCCTGCTTTCCCCCGTGATCAGGCATATGTGGTTGAGGTGGCTATTGATGAGACCGTGGCCAAGCCAGTTGTCTGCTTGCAAGCCGCCGTGCTTCACACGACTTGCAATGGCGAGCGTCGGATTCGTGTCATCACTGTCGCCCTGCCGACCACCACCAACCTGGCCGATATCTACGCTTCGGCGGATCAGCAGGCTATCACGACTTTCTTCAGTCACAAGGCCGTCGAACGCGTGCTGAGCAGCGGTCTCGAGCCTGCCCGTGAGGCTCTGCAGGCCAAGATCATCGAGCTATTGACCACCTACCGCAAGGAGCTTGCAGGCGGTAGTGTCGGCGGCGGTGGTCTCCAGTTCCCAGCTAACCTGCGTGGCTTGCCAGTCCTTTTCCTTGCCCTGATGAAGAATGTAAGTTTTTGTGGATGGTTCCTCTTGATACAACCCCGTCCGATTCGATATGTTTTCGTTTTCTTCCGTTACTAATTGCAATACACTTCTAGCTTGGTCTTCGTAAGTCCGCCCAGATTCCCACGGATATGCGGTCTGCGGCTCTGTGTCTGTTATCCACCCTGCCCCTACCGCTCCTCATCCAGTACATTTATCCCAAGATGTATTCTCTCCACGACATGCCCGACGCTGCGGGTGTGCCCGATGCGCAGACCGGCGAGATTGTTCTCCCTCCGACTGTCAACCTGTCGTCGGGCCGTATCGCCTCGTACGGTCTGTATTTGATCGACGATGGCCAGACCCAGTTCCTGTGGGTTGGCCGCGACGCCGTCCCCCAGCTGGTGGAGGATGTGTTCGGCGTGCCGGACAAGAGCCAGCTGCGGGTGGGCAAGACCACCCTCCCCGAGGTGGACAACGAGTTCAATCAGCGTGTGCGGGCCGTGATCGAGAAGAGCCGGGACCATCACTCGAAGGGAGTGGGTAGTATGATTGTGCCGCATCTGTACGTGGTACGGGAGGATGGCGAGCCGGGCCTGCGTCTTTGGGCGCAGACGATGCTGGTGGAGGATCGTGCCGACCAGAGTGTCAGCTTAGACCAGTGGATGACGACGCTACGGGAGAAGGTATGACCTGACATTTCTTCTAACTCTGCATCTCCATTCTTCTCTCTTCTCCCGTCCGTCTCTAGTCCTTGTGTTCCTAGAGCTCACAATTAAACTCCCAGGTGGTGCAATAAACGCCCGTCCGATTCTCACCGGTGCTTTGTTAATCCCCTTCCTCCTCTTGTCCTCTCTTGGTTCTCTCCATCTTTCTCTATCTATGTCTACATCTCTCTCGCTCATGAAATCCCTCTCTCCATACCTCTCTCATGAAATTCCCTCTCTGTTGTTCTTGACTCGCCCTCCCGTTCTGTATCTCCCGCCAGTGTACCATTACGGATCAAGGGCACGGATCTCTCGCTGAAGATCATCCCCCTACCCTTTTGATCCCATTTTGGAAGTAGTAGACCCGGGTGTTTTCGATTTTTTGTTCTCTTCCCTCCTCTCTCTTCCTCTATAGGGCGCTTCAAGCCCCATCATCTACAGGAAAGTAGTTCGAAAATCTCAGTTGACGTCATGGCTGTAGTATTCGGGTCCCTCTATCTGGTCTGGTCCATTAGTTTAACCATTAGTTCCAGAGTGGGATCCGCTTGCGTTTCAGATTCCGTTTCAGTCCGCCGCCGGGTCCTTCTTTCGTGTCCTTGACCGTCTCGTCGTTTCTCGACTCCTCCAGGCTCTGGCCAGGATGTTCGCCGAGGGCCCAGCTATCCCGCTTCCACTCATCCCGTAGGGTTCACACCTTCCAGCGCGGCTTCCTCTCTGATTCGTTCCCTGCCAGCCCTGCGACCTCCAATCAGCACCGCCTCTTCCCTCTTCCCTCTTCCCCCTACTGTGTAATCATGAAACCGAGCTGCGAGCCGGGATCACCCCAATCACACGCGTGAGGCTGCGGGGAGAGGGGGGGGGGGACGTGGAAGGGGAGCGGGCGAGTCACTGTGATTGTGACCAGCTCCGACAGTAGCGCCGGTGGGCGTGGACGCGACGGGCCCAGCGTGAGCCATTTGGCGCTGGTGGCGGGTCGCGGTCGGGGACTTTGCTTGGGCACCCTGGGGCTTCTCTAGTGTTGCTCTCATGAACACGCTTCTCTCTGTCTCTCCTCATTCTCTCTCTCGTTCTCTCCAAGTTCGGGTGTTTCGTATTGGTCTAGTCATTTGTTTCTCGTTCGTATCCTCCGTATTGCCCGTCTGTCTCCGTGTTCTGCAGACGACGCGCTCTAGCGCCAAGTGGACACTGTGGAGCCACCGCGACGACCGAGCCAAGGTTCAGGCGATCAAACCTGTCGGAACGAGTAAACCATAAATAAGAGTTCACCTGTGCAAGCAAAACAAAGAGGACCAGAAAAGCCGCGCCAATGATTGGATCGATGCGCTAGACTCCCTCTCCCCATCGCCCTGGTGCCCTCGAGACTGTAGGATCGAGCCAGAGACTGCCCCCTCGCAATGGCTGGATCGCATGGACTCTCGCTGGACTCGGGAGGCCCGTCTAGTTCCTTGCCCCAATCAATAGCCTCGAGCTAGCTAGAACTATCAGATCGCGAGAGCGCCAGTATACAACGACAGGCCCTGGGACATCCCGCCACGAACCGGGATGGGATCTCTTGCGTCCATTGGATCCATCTATAGAGTCTCGATGGTCTTATACCCTTTCTTATAACGAGACGAGACATTGGTCGCACTTTGTCGGGGCAAATGGTTTCAGCCAGCAAAACCGGCCGCGAGAGGACCGAGAATGCCAGCCATTGGAGCAACTCGCAGATTTGCTAGAGTCTGCGAGTTGTGATAGATCGAGGATCGAGGACCACGAGCCCCTCGCGTGTTTCCTCGCCCATGCAGACTGGCTTGGGTACATTAGTCCATTGGTACATTGGTACATTGGTGCTGCTGCTGCTGCTGCTGCCGTCACGGCGCTTATTTTATCGCCCTTCAGCCCCCGCTCCTCCCCCCCCCTTTTTATTTATTTGATTCTCATATATGGACTATGTAGTCTGCTACTTTGGTCCCATTTCCCGTTTCCCGCTTCCCACCGATTCCCATTTTGTCTCTAGTCTTTCGCCCGCACGTCCGCGAGTCTGTTGGACCTAGTCGACTGCCGCTGCCCCACCACCGCCCGACACAGCGGCCCGTGGCTGAGTTCCGTTCCTCGCTCTTCCCTCCCCACCTTACCACCTTACGTGCACCTCCACGACTCCCCCTCTCCCCATATCCTCGTTCTGCTCCGGAACCAGACAAACACACCTTCCTCCGGTACGTCCCTCCCTTCGGTGCCTTCCTCGCGATCTACTCTGGTTGCCGCGCTCTACCCTTCCGACGATCTGCGGGAGAGCGACAGCGCAACCCCGCCTCGGCTCCCCCAACCTGGCACGCGCGAAGTGCTAACCTGGAAACTCCCTTTCAGCCTCTCCACACTCTACCCTCTTGTCGCAGCCAGCTGGACGGTCTTGCTCCGATTCGATTAACGTCTCAGAGCTCGGGCCACTCCTCCAGTGATCGTACATTTGTCCCCTCGCAGCGTTACGCCTCGTCCCCCCTGATCGTTGCTCCCCTTCTCCGCCGTCAGAGCTTCGTTCGACTTTCCACGTTCCCGACAAACCGGTGGCCGCGGTCGTGCGACAGGCCTCGAAGCATACTTGAAGACTCGAGGGATTGAAAAAAGGAGCTGGACCACTCGAAAGAACTCGCCTTCATTCCTCAGCGCAAACGAATGTAAGTTCTGCTCTCCCCTCCTCCGATTCCTTTCTTTCTTTCTTTTTTTTTTTTTTTTTTTATCTTTTGGCAAACACCCCATCTCTGTGTGTTCGAATTGCGATATTCGTGCTCCAGCTTGTTCACCACGGGCTGCTGGTTCCCTCGGCGGCTGTCTTCTCGTTTGATCCCCGAGGGAACGGTGTTCCTGCCGTCATCTGGAGTTGACGGTTTTCTTCCGAGCCAATGGGATCCCGTTGCCCGCAGCATGGATTATTTTCTCTCGCACCCTTTTGTCTCTCTGGGCTTCAAGGTTACGAGCTAACCCGCGCCCCCCCAGTTCCACCGAATCGGCGATATGGGTCAACAGGCCCCTCCCCAGGGAGGCTCCCGCAAGATCTCCTTCAACGTCTCCGACCAGTACGAGATTCAAGATGTCATCGGTGAAGGTGCATACGGTGTGGTCTGGTAAGTTCCAATCAGTGCAGAGGAGAAGAAAGATGAAGAGGGGGAAACTCAGGAGCCAAGCTCATTATCGACACAGCTCGGCCATTCACAAACCGTCTGGCCAGAAGGTTGCCATCAAAAAGATCACCCCGTTCGACCACTCCATGTTCTGCCTGCGAACCTTGCGTGAAATGAAGCTGTTGCGCTATTTCAACCACGAGAACATTATCTCTATTCTTGATATCCAACGGCCTCGCAGCTACGAGGCCTTTAGCGAGGTGTACTTGATTCAGGTAGGGAACCCCATTGCCTGCTCTCGGAGCAGAAGAGAACAAAAACCAAAAAAAAAATCAAAGATCATTCAGAGCTAAATTCTCTATCTCATGTTCTTACAGGAGCTGATGGAAACCGATATGCACCGTGTCATTCGCACACAAGATCTGTCAGATGACCACTGTCAATACTTTATCTACCAGACGCTACGTGCGCTCAAAGCTATGCATTCCGCCAATGTCCTTCACCGTGATTTGAAGCCCTCCAACTTGCTGCTTAACGCCAACTGCGATTTGAAAGTTTGCGATTTCGGTCTGGCCCGATCAGCTGCGTCCACCGACGATAACTCGGGATTTATGACAGAATACGTCGCCACTCGTTGGTATCGTGCGCCGGAGATTATGTTGACGTTTAAGGAGTACACCAAAGCCATTGATGTGTGGAGTGTCGGCTGTATTTTGGCTGAGATGCTAAGTGGCAAGCCACTGTTCCCCGGCAAGGACTGTACGAAAGACCCCCTCTTCCCTTCCCTCGCAGAATACCGAATTGCGCGTACTTTAGCTTCATTTTTCACTGTACTTTGTCTGACAATTATCTCCCAGACCACCACCAGCTCACTCTGATCCTGGATGTCCTTGGCACCCCGACAATGGAGGACTATTATGGCATCAAATCCCGACGAGCACGCGAGTACATCCGCTCTCTTCCGTTCAAGAAGAAGATTCCCTTCCGCGCCCTCTTCCCCAAGAGCAACGACATGGCCTTGGATCTGCTCGAGAAACTACTGGCATTCAACCCGGCCAAGCGGATCACGGTCGAGGAGGCCCTGCGTCACCCTTACCTGGAGCCATATCACGACCCGGAGGATGAGCCTACAGCCCCGCCAATCCCAGAGGCCTTCTTCGACTTTGACAAGAATAAGGATGCCTTGAGTAAGGAACAATTGAAAAGTAAGCAACCTTCTACTCTAGCTTTGGATTGTTTTGGTTATTTTGTTAGAAACACTGGTTATCTCCCTGTCCACATTAACTAACTTTTTTTTCCCCTCTCATCCAGTGCTGATCTACGAGGAGATCATGCGGTAAGCCAGGATGGTCAACGTGTCAATAGCCAAGCAATTTATGTGTTTATTTTCATTTATTTCCCTTCCTTTTCTCTCGAATCTTTATTTTTTCTCCGATCTCTTTTGAGCATGCAAGTCAATTCAAATTCCAACCTGTCAGCGTGCGCGAAGGAGAACCTCGTGGTTTTAGATAGCCAGGGCACAAGACATGGGAAGCAACGCAAATGAAAAGAAAATTGAAACAATCCCATGGTACCGTGCTCAGCCCAACGCCCTAGTCAAATGCATATCAGTTAAAGTCGCACCCGAAGCCTCTCTCTCTCTCTCGCTCGCTCCCTACACATAGCAGTCATAAACCGTTGTCACCCATGATCGGGTTCTGAAAAAGGAAACCCATTTTCAATACCCTGTTCCAAACCCTTATCCCATATATACAATACATAACTCCAAGCCCACATTATCTCCATCAAAGCCAGCATAATAGCTAAACCCCCTCCCCCCCTTCTCTTTCTATCTCTGTCTCTATCTCTATCGCTTTCTCTTCCTCTCTCTCTCTCTCTCTCTCTCTCTCTCTCTCTCTCTCTCTTACACGCCCCCTGTCCTCCCCTCCATAAACCTCCGAATGCCTTCCCCAACCCCTTCAGGACTCGGCTTCTCCGCACAAACATCCGCCTCAACCCCAAACTCCGCCCTCAGATAATCCCTCGTCGTCGGTCCAATCGTCGCAATCAATACCTCCCTCTTAGCCTCCTCCTCATTCTCCTCCTTCCCGCCCTCTCCCTCCCTTCTTTCCCGCGCAAACGACCCCCGCCCCAACACCCGCACAACAGCCTCGCACCCCGTCGGCGAAAACACAACAACCCACAGCACGCCCGTGCACTCCTGCACCGCGCGCGCGAACGCGCCCTCGAACGACGGCACTGCGCCCGTCTCGTAGACGACCAGCTCATCGACGGTAACGCGCTCGGACGGGGCGCGCGCGGGGTCGGACAGGGTCTTGGGGATGATGTCGCGGCGGGTCTCGCCGACGAGGAAGAGGAGGGCGGGCTTGGTGGGTGAGGCGGCGTGCAGGGCGTTATAATGCTGGAGGATGAACTCGGCGAGGTGGGCGCCGTTGCCGGAGTCGGCGCCGTGGATGGTGGCGGTAGGGAAGTGGGTGTCGCGGAGGGTTGTGAGGGAGCGGGCGGTGGCGGGGCCGACGGTGTAGAGGGGGATTGAGGGAATTGGGGGGGGCGGATGGGACTGGGAGATGAGATTGTTAGAGGTCTGGGTGCTCCTGGAAAAGAGTGGGGGGAGGGGAACGTACGGCCGTGGGAGTCGATCATGGCGGCGAAGGCCTCGACGGCGCGCTGGCTAGTGAATATGAGGCCGCCATACTTCTTGGGCGCGCCATTGGGGTCGCGGGCAATGTGCTCCGGCGAGGCGGAGGGCGTGAACGAGCCAGAGGCGAAGAGTTCGCGGACGGTGGAGAGATTCTCGTTGTGGAAGCGGTGCTCGAGGACGGGGATGAAGGTGGGGGTATAGTTGGCGGAGAAGTAGTCCTCGTAGCCATCATGAGGAGAGGACTTGGTTTTGAGAAGGAAGATTGGAGGTTGAGGAGGCATGATGGGATGAAAGAAGTCTAAGGAGGAGGGTTGGGGAAGTGAAGAAGCTTGGGAGTTGAGCGTAAACGATGATGTGATGTTATCGCGATTGCGGGGAGCTCTTTTTTTTTCCGGGGCGCATCTGCCGCTCAATGAGAGGATGCACCTCACACCCCGCCATTGAACGAGATCGACGGGCTGCAGAGACATGAAGATTCACAATTTACTTGGAATCGGTTGAATTGAACGACTGAGTCGGTTTTTTTTTATTCAAATCCAGACAACAAAAGGAAATAAAATTTGGGTCTAGGAAGCATAGCTTATGTACACATTAAAAACACAGACTACTGGTCGTCCAGCACATGCAGATACTTCTTCTCCTCGCGTTGCTCACGCTCGGTGGCCGGGGGAAGATCGTAGTATGAAGCGCTACGGTATCCTTGCTAAAGGGTTGTTAGCATAGATCCCAACATCCATTTCACGGCAGGGGCTAGGAAAGAAGTCGAAACGTACCAAGTAGTGGAAGGTCAGGTCGGCCAGGTCGGCAGTCTCCTCCATGCCCAGATCCTTGAAGGTCTTAGCGCTGGTGTCAATCTCCTGGTTCAGGAACTCGCGCTCGACCTCGTCGGCGGAGATGGTGTGCCACCACAGATACTTGTTCAGATAGAAGGCGAAAGGCTTGAGGATAGCCTTGGGGACATTGATGTGGGTGCGCTTCTTGACAATTTCACGGTCCACCAGCTCGGCAATCTCGGCGGTCGAGTAGTTCTTGGGGCCGTAAAGCTCGAAAGTCTGACCCACGGTGCTGTCATCATGCAGCATCTTCTCAAGGGCGGCGCCAACGTCGATGGCCTGGAAAGCGCAGCATTAATACCAGCGGTCATCAATTGCTAGAAAAAGTATCATTAAACTTACGTGGACGGGCCAGTAGCGCTCCTGCATGTGGTTGGCAGTGAACAAGTTGGACGCGCTAGCAAGCTTGTGGAGCAGGTTGTCCTCGAAGCCAAACATCGGGGCAGGGCGCACGATGGTGGTCTCAGGGTAAATGGACCGGACGATCTCCTCACCCCAGGCCTAATTTGCATCTACGTCAGTCTTGTCTCTCGTGTTGCAACCCTCGAAATAAAGGACTCGATAAACCCACCTTAGTGGCAAAGAACTCAGAAGACGAGTCACGGCGGGCGTTATAGGAAGAAACGTGGATGAAGCGGTCCACATCGTACTTGGCGACAGCCTCCGCGATGCGCTCCGCACCGTCAACGTGCACATCAGCATAGGTGAAGTTCCTGGCAATTCCTGTCAGTTGATTCTGAACACTGGTCTATATGCCACGCTGATACGCACTTGGTAGGGTACTGGCGACCAGTCAAGTTGTAGACAACATCGGAGTGACGAACACTCTCCTCGATGGACTGGGTGTTGCGCAGGTCGTATTCCTGTAGACGGGTCAACCGGCTACCTCTATCAATCGATATCCTGCTCCAGTGGTCTGCTTACCATAAAAGTAATACGACCGAGATCACCAGTCACCTTCAGGTGACGCTTGGTCATCTCTTCACGGTAGGGGACCACCACATTGCATCCCTGCTTAGCTGTGGGATGTCAGTCGTTCGCTGCTCTCGCCCTTCTTTTCCAGACAGACTCTCCACCTACCGAGCTTGTTGACAATATAACGACCCAGGAAACCAGTGGCACCGAAGACAGTCGCGGTATGGCCTAGAAAGGAGTGGTGAGCATATATCCGCACGGATGAATGAGGTCGGAACATCAAGGGCTAGGCGGTACCTCCGAGAGACGAGCTATATGACGCAGCAATGTTAGAGATCAAAAAACACTCTGATTCAGTGCAATTGAGTACTTACCGGCCACCCTGGACCTTGAGAACGGGCTTTCCGGTGCGAGTGATGGCGACATCCTGGAGGTTGCGGCGCTGGAACTGAACCTGCACCCGCGGGGCGGGGACAAAGGCCCGCGACCCCAGGGCAGGATTAATGGACCGACACTTCTGCATGGCCTCTGCGTACGACTCGCGAGACCTGGTAGAGAGGAGTGGTTGCCGATTGGCGTGGTGAGGAGCAGTTGAATGGGCTTTCGCAGGTCCACTGCAATTCGGGAACACGGGACTCTGGCGCTAGGCCTGATTCGGAAGTCGGCGACACCCACCTCTGTTGGTCTCAATTCCTTCTATTCTTTTTCTTTTTGTACTTTTATTCTTTCTGTGTTCAAATCATGTTTGTTATTTCTATTACTGAGAGGTATTTAAGGATAGACTTACGAGGGTGACGTGGTGTTGAATGCATATCGACCTTGAGTGCTTATGAAAGGTCTGACAATATACCGCCTGTGATTGGGTGCGTACCCCAACCCGCTCGATGATGCGAATGACACCGCACTAGGGATCCTCATAGGGACTACCAATGATCCCCTTCTTGACCCCGTGAACTGGTTCTCTAGCTCTAGAGTCTAGTATCTGGTATTTATATCTCTTGACTTAAAACATTGTCGTGGTCAATCTGTGGTTTAGTTGCATACCTTGAGTACCTCTCTGCATTGAGATATAGGTGAGCTGTCCGGACTTTGAAATATAGATTCAGATGCGACGAGGGGCAGTTTGAACCGCAGCAGGTGAAAGCCTGCATATTAAACAGGTGACTGAATCCGTTGACTAGGACAAGTGTGCTCTCAGAATTGCGTGCGATTAATAAATGATTATAGCTGATTTTAAGCCCATCAAGTTACGATGCTCTCAAGTATCCATTCCAGACATGCGGCCAGTTGCGAACCATCCGTTGCAATCTAACAAAGGAACGACCGATAACTTCTGGTTCCAAGGGCAAGGATGTGGCAAGCTTAAATTGTATAAGTTTCTCGTCTCCAGCCAACACGTAGACATGGTAATAGTTCTGGCAAGACTCAAGATACACTTTAGGGGCACTCCCGATCACATGCGAAGGGTGAGCCAGACAAATAAGGTACATAAAATGGATTTTAGACTTCATATTTCCTAGAAAATGCTCTTTCGCTTATTTGCAGCCTTATGGCCCATCCTAGATAGAAGGAGAAAGCAATGACGGTCTGCTGCGTATACAGTTGGATCGAGGGTTGACACCAACCTTATGCACACGCACTTATAAATTTGAGATGCGACAAAAATCCAACCAAATTGGAGTGGAAATGCGTCAAAAACCAGCTGGAGGGTAAGGGGGACCAAAAGTCATCAAAAATGCAAAAAGAAAATAAAAGAAACGACAGCTATGTCGTAGCGTGTGAGGTCCAAAGATTCAATAGAGGAGTTTTGTGGGCAAACCACGGCCATCTCTGGTAAAAGGCAAGAAATGGGTTCTGTACTAGCTTGTCCCACTCCTCGGGGTTTCCCCCCCATTTGTGCCCCATATACCCCCTTTTTCCCGGCCCTCGTCACCCGTTCGAACCCGGGCATCCGCACTCTCTTTTTCCTTCTCTCGGAGCTGTTTATGGGAAAAACGAACCCCGCATATCGATGACTTCAATCGATCGCCTCCCTTCCCCCATTCAAAGCAGCCTTCAATTCTAGCGCAGCCATATTTGCTTTTGATTCCTGCTTGGAACTCGGAAACTACCACACTACTCAGCTCAAAATGTCTACCGCTGCTTGTATTTTCTGCAAAATCATCAAGGGTATGCAACCCCGTCGTCCGCATGCTTTCTTCCTGGCCTGCGCGACTCGGTCGGGTTCACGCGCAACAATCGTATACTAATTGTTTCTTCGCGACCCAGGAGATATCCCTTCCTTCAAGCTCTTTGAGAGCGACAAGGTCTTTGCTTTCCTCGATATCCAGCCGCTGAGCCGCGGCCACGCGGTATGTATCCCCTCTCTTCCCTAGTGTTTGCTTCCCCCGCACCCGTCGCGGAGCCGGCCAGCAAGGTCGTTCTGGGCTTTGCGTATTCATTTGATCCGAGCGCAATTTCACTCCTCTGTTTGAACCACGGCTATCTGAGGACCCTTGCCGTAACCCGGAAACGCTGATTGACCATCTCAATAGCTCGTCATCCCCAAGTTCCACGGTGCCAAGCTCACCGATATCCCCGACGAGGACCTGCTCGAGATTTTGGTGAGTGAATCCCACAAGGAGAAGAAGAGATATACATCGACAGAAAGCAAGGATCGATGTGATACAAGTTGGAGGAAAGTCTAGAGAGAACGGTGCCTTGGGAGGAACAGGGACCTGAGGAGACCACATCAGTCCCCAAGGTCCTTGTCCAGATGCACCAATTGGCGAAGAGAAGTGGAAAGACTGGATGACGACAAGGCAATTTGGCTAACAGGTTATCTTTCCAACAGCCCGTGGCGAAGAAGATCGCTATCGCTAGCGGTGCCACGGACTACAATATTCTGCAGAACAACGGGCGCATTGCGCATCAGGTTGTGGACCATGTGAGTAGTGCTCCCATTCTCACAGCTATGCCCTCGATTTCTAATGCTCGATACAACATGACAGGTCCATTTTCACATGGTATGATCTCCCGCACTACTTCGCCCCCGTGCACTTCCGCTAGTCTCATCTGCTGGATCCTGTGCAACTGGTCCGAATGCTAACATGTCTCGCACAGATCCCCAAGCCCAACGAGCAGGAGGGTATGTCCATTGGCTGGCCGACTCAGGAAACCGACATGGACAAGTTGAAGGCGCTGTTCGAGGAGATCAAGGCGAAGATGTAAAAGGGGTCGGGGTTAGACTACTTGTACCACTGGATGGTATTTAGTTCGGCAAAAGTCGGTGGCTTTTTTACGATAGCGCGTAGACTCGCTAGCAATGCCATTGATGTTACAGGCTCTTATATAGAGTGCCTAGTATTGCCAATCGTTCCTGGAAACCAGTTAGAATGTTCGCTCATGTGAGACAAGGTATTCAGATGCTGCGCATCATCCAAGTTACAGCAGAATACCGTGGAATATATGGTCTATATATTCTCTAGCTGACGACTCTAATAGAACAACCCACGCTGTACTTCCCTGCCTATAAATTTACACACAGAGAAAAAAAAAAAAAAGAAAGAAAACAAGCGGAACAACACATGCAAGACGCATTCTAAAACACCTCAAATCTAACAAACCCCAAAACAAAGATCAACCATGCAGCCGAAATAACCCTGGAAGTAGCACTAAGCGGCTCATGCGCTCTAGGCAGCATCGGTCGCCTCACCCGCAGCACCCGCATCAGTCTTCTCCTCACTCTTTTTCGAAGCTTCGGGGTAAAACTCGATCTTGCCGTCGCCCTTGATAATATCCAGTCGGTCATACAACGAGCGAGCCCGGATATACGGGTCCAGCACCCAGTATTGCGTGCGCAGTTGCTCAATCAAGCCACTGCGCTTTTCCCGCGCGGCAGCCACCGCCTCGCTCTCTTTCTTGTAGCTGGCGCGGATCCATTCAATGGTGATGTCTTGGATCTCTTTGGCGAGTATCTGGCGCTCGGCGATCAGCTTGTCGCGAGTCTCGGTATCTTCCATTTTAGTGTTCTCGCCGTCTCGGATCTCGGCATAGGCGTACTCCCAGTTCTCGTCACCTTCGAGCTCTTTCATGATCTGGCCCGGGGGAATGAAGGCTTCTAAGTCTTCGCGGTTCTTGGTGAAATGGATCTTGGCGGCGACCACAGGGTCGAGCCAGCCCTTGATGATGCTCCAGATGCTGGAGAAGATCCACGGAGCCTTGTGGATGAGAACAGAGCCAAGAGATTCAGGGTAGTTGGCTTCGAAGCACTTAATCATGAACTTTACGGGGGTGTAGTCCTGAGAGGATCCGAGTTAGTACACACGTGAGAGAAGACAATATCCAATCGAGAAAGAGGCGAATACATACCATATTGGCCAGAGTGAAGTTAGTCATATCAAATACGATCGTCTAGGAGAATGCTCGTCAGATTTCCACTGTGTCTCCAAAGGTAAAACAACAGCCGCAATGCAGTCACCTACCGCAGTCTCGATCGGGGGCGCCAACAACAACCGCGCCGTCTCAATTGTATACACCGTAAACCGCTCCAGTGTGTCGACCTCCTGCTCCGACGCGCGGTGCAGCCGCACGCGGACCACACAGATGGGCCGGCCGAACCGGTCCACGCCGTGCAAGAAACTCTTGCCCATGCGCATCTGGTGCAAAAATTCCTCGCCTTTCTTCTTCTCCGCGGAGTCGGAGCTCTTGGACAGCCGAAGGGCCTGGGCCTCACCATTGGCCATGATATCATCGTCGACATGGACCTCCTGCAGACGCCAGCGCATGGTGGAGATGAGCATGATCAGAGCCTTCTTGACATCCCACTTGCGTGCGCGCAGGAACCGCAGGAGTAAGGAGTCGGGGTTGTCCTGCTTGACCATGTTCCAGAAGGCGGTGCGGATCTCCTCCGGCTGCAGCTCGACGAGGGCCTGTTGGAACTCCTTCGACTGGCCGAACTTGTCGTCCCCGTCGGAGATGTTGATCGAGGCCAGGCTCGAGGTGATCCCGTTCGCGGAGGCAACGCTCTTCGTGTCGTCGTCCGTGTCGTCGCTGCGGCCCCAGAGTCCCCACCGACGCTTGCCGCCGGCCTTCTTCTTGTCTGGAGTCGGGCTGGAGGAAGCCTCCGTCTGGCTGGCGCCATTGGTCTGGGAGGCCTCTTCGATGACATCGAGCGGGACACCGAAGACCTTGAGGGCGAGCACCCAGAACTCTTGCAGCTTGGTCTCTTGCTCCGGGGTGAGATTCCCGAGGGTACCGGGGGCTTGCTCCACGGGCATGGTGGCGAGGGTATCTATGATTTCAAGAAACGAGCCTGATCCTTGCGGAAGTATCGGAATCGACGGCGGCGAGGGCGACGAGACGGGGTCCGTGGGGGGAAGTATTTATTGTGTAGCCAGGCGCCTCCGCCCAGGGCGAGTAGGGTGAATGTGATCGACCAGAGAGAGGACGCTTCCCTCGGTTGTGCCTGGGGTGCCTGGGGTTCCTGGGGTTCCTGAGATGAGGGACGAGTGGAGTAGTCGAGTCGCGTGCGTGGAAGGGACCGGGGCAGGCGAGGGTACTGGAAGACGATCTGTGCGCTTCGTCGCGGGGAAGCAGAAGCAGACAGCGGACGAGGAACCGGACAGGGTTTGGCCGAGGAAGTGATACGGCGCAGAATCTGGCAGGCCCGCATGTGGCGAGCAGTGGGGCGATGTCTCGAACTCAAGGGACCAGCACACACAGCAGAGGGAAACCAAGTATGGCGGAGGGGCGACAACCCCGTTTGTCTGGTCTTTTGGTCCTTGGGCTTTGGGGGCTTTGGGGGGCTTTCGGGGTTGGTGCAGGGTTGCGGATGTCGGCAAAGTGGATTCCCTCGCCATCAGGACGATGACGATCTGCCCGACTTGCCCGGTTTTGCGGGGAAGGGCGAGCCTCAAGTAGCGGCATTGCCATCGGAGGCCACAAGCAGCGAGGAATTGCGATGTCCCGAGCCGCTGGGAAATTCTCCGGAAGTCTGACTACGTACTCGATCGTGCGCTACAGTGCGTCGTCCCTGGCAGTCGACCTTCGCTCTCCCCCATTCTGGCCCCGATGCGCGCGCACACGGGCGCGTCGTTCGGCCGCGGGGGGATCAACGGCCGCCTTCCTCTACTGCGTCTAGTCGGTTCAGCCGAAGCCACTTTCCTCGAAGCAAAAAGACCTCCGATTCGAGTTCTGCGTTGGGCGGTGTTTCTGAAACTCCCCACCGCCTCCAGCTTCGTCCCCGCCCGGGATCCCCTCGCCAAACAAAACAACCCGAAACACGCGAAACGTCGACTCAGCCAAAGTCTCGCTGACCCCCTCACCCTCCCAACCAGGAGTCTAGAGAATTCCAGGAGTCACGTCTTTGCAGATGGATGGCGCCCCTGCAATGAGGTCTTCCTCGCGTCCGAGGCCCTCCTCACGCCCGACAACCCCTCTGCGACCCAGCTCGCGGTCATCCCTCCGTGAGGCCCATGGCTTCGGGCACAGCATCAGCAATGCGGGATACGGCCAGCCCGCGATCAATGCCTTAGAACCCCAGTTCGCCGAGCTGGCCGACTCCATGGCCGACCTGGAAGCCAATCTCATGCACCTGCAGTTGATGCACGAGAGCCTGACGCGGTTCACCGAGAGTTTCGCCAGTTTTCTGTACGGACTGAACATGAACGCGTTCTGCGTGGATTTTCCCGAGGTAGGTGGGATGGCGATGGCGCATGAACACCCCGACCTGTCGCCGGCGACCTCCCGGGGGTACCAGCACTGGCTGGATGCTAACGCAAAGATCGCAGGCCCCGATAACCGATTCGTTCAAGCGAGTCAAGCAAGCAGAAGCCACAAAAGGTAGGGGCAGTCAGCACCCACGGTCCGCCACAGGCTAGAATGGAGAAGCTCACAAACCATCGTGCACAGAAGCGGAAGACGAGATAGCTCGAGCGGATGATGGCGAGATGACTTTCCTGTGAGTCCGACCCATTGACGGGGGTTCTTCCTGGATTCCAACCGGGGCCCGATGACCGCCTTGAGCCCGCTCAACTCGGAACTTTTGGGATTGACCTTGTTGATCGCCCTAGAACTACGGATACCTCCTTTGTCGACCACCCGCCCAGCACCGTTTCCTCGAAACCCACCTCGAAATACTCGGCGCCTACGCGCGGCTTGACGCGTGGTACCACCCGGGGCTCGGCGACCAGCCGGTACACCACTCGGGGCACCACTCGAGGGCGACCAAGTGCCCTTCCCCGAGGGCGAGGGGTGCGGTGAACGGTCCGGATACGGCGTGCGGACCTGTCCGACCCCAGCGCTTGCACAGGGGAGGCCCTTAAGAGTGGACGGCAGATAATATTATCTCAAAGAAACCACCCTCCATTGCGCCGCGGGAGGAGGCTGGCTAGCTGATTTGCACTTCGCATCTGTGTCTCTGGACAGGGGATGCTGAATGGCCGCTGAAGATGTTCTGCGTCCTGCGAGGCTCCGCAAGCGGAGCCCCGATCGCGCGATGGCGGCGCCCCCCCGGGGGCGAACATGAAAGCCTAGTAATAATTATGAAATATGATGAGAAATGAAGCCCTATGCCCAACCGAATGTGCACATTGTAGTTCTCCAGTAATGCTATATTGATCCCGATCACTATTGCCCTCTATCGCCCACTATCGCCCAAAATAGTCTAAAGAAAAAGGGTCGAATCCCAAGCTCTGAAGCTCTGGTCTGTCAAGTTGGGGTTTGCGGGACGGAGACTCGCGGTTGCTCCGATGGCTGATCCGGCGGTAAATCGGGATCAGGCGAAAAAAATGGCCCGCCCGATGGCAAACCAACCTCTCCGCCCTGACCATTCTCCATACATTGATACTTGATACTTGATACTTTTGATACCGTGATACGGTAATACTCCCGATTCGGCTCATCTGTTCTTCATTGGCCTGGAGTCCCTTTTGATCTGGTCTATCCCATTGGAGCCGGGGGCATGGTGGTAGCGCTGTGACGTGAGCTGCCGCGGCAACCCTTGAGAGACGGCGAGAGCCCTATAGCTCACACATCCCACGGCCCCTCGCGCCCTAAACAACGACAACCTGATTCATTTGGTCGATTTGTTAGTTTGAACGAAACCTGTTCATATGTCCCGTCACCAGTGATACTGATTACTCCTCACCCAGGGCAATGCTGCTACTCAGGGGGAGTCCTTGAGGCTGAAACTAGATACCTTGATCACCCCCGCGGCCATAGAGCTGACCGGACCGTGGACGTTTCAGGCTGTTCATTCTTCCTGCTAATTCCTTTCTTTTTCTTCTCTTCGTTTACTTCGAGAGGGCAGGAACCCTTCTAGTAACACGTCAACCACGTCATCATCGCATCCGGCTGAAGCCCTCTCATCATCTCATCCCCTTTCTTCTCTTTTTTTTTTTTTCTTTTTTTTTTTTTGGCATCATTCAATTCTTTTTCATCCCAAAATGGCAAACCCCAAACCAGGGACTCTCGATTCCTTTCATCTCTTATCTGAAGCTGCATTTGGCTGCGGTACGTGTTCATGCCTCTCACGGTTCTAAGCGGGGATGGATTGCGAGGGAATGACCGACTGATATCTCCCACCAGAACATCTTGCCACCACTTTGAAAGATGGATCGGCTGCTGGTCAGTTCAAGAATGGCTACCGCAAGCACTATGATTCGCTGGCACCATACACCAAGCCTGAAGCCGTTGCGGCGCCGGCGACGGGCTTGCGTACAATAGCATCCCTGAAGCCGAAGTATCACTGTTTGAACTGCTCGGAAATTTGTCTGAACAGCGAACGCAATGCACACACTAAGAAGACTGGTCATCTATTTTGTAAGTCCTGCCTGTTTTTACAAGCCCCCGGGAGAGTCGGCCCCGGCGTTAATGCCAAGTCTTCAGATATGGAGTCGCGCAATCGCTTCGTTTTTTGTGAGAAATGTGCGGATTTCATTTATGACCACGGCCTAGAGAGGCTTTGTGGCCCTACTGGCAAGTTTGAGCTTCAAGGTTAGTTTCAGGAAGTTTGGGGTTGAGGCTTGATCTAGGGGGATGGAACGGTAAAATGAACACGGAACTGACAAACCCGACGTATAGAGGGCAAAGGCAAATGGCATAATGACTCGGCATCTGAGCTTTATGTCAAGACCAATGCCAATAAGAACCCCTGCTCCCGCCGTGGTGCTCGCGGCGTGTGGAATATGGGGCAGACTTGCTACCAGGCAGTCATTCTCCAGGCTCTCCTGCATGACCCTACACTGAACGCCTATTTCCTCGCTGGAGGCCATGATATTCACACTTGCAGTAGAAACTTTTGCATGGCCTGCGCTGCCACGGAGGTATTCATGGATTTTAATAGTGGCGAGAAGACAGATGCTGTCTCGGCTGCGACCCTACTCTATCATGGATGGGATGCATCACGGGTATGAGCCTCCCGTGACATAAAAATTGATGTGTACAATGAGGGACTCAACTAACATTAATTCTTTCTAGGAAATGGCGGGATACCGCCAGCAGGATGCCCACGAGTACTTCCAATTCTTAGTTAACGCCCTTCACTCCTGCACTCCCGGACACTCGGAGAGCTACGAGAAGAAATGCGAGTGCTTCTTCCACCGTACCTTCTACGGCGAACTCCGCAGCAGTGTCATGTGCCACAAGTGCGGCAAAACCACCCACACCTACGACCCTATGGCGGACCTGAGCCTGGACGTCCAGTTGCAGAACAAGAAGCGCAAGTTGGGCAGGTCCAGTGCCACCTCGAGTGCGACTCTGACCAGTTGCCTGGAAAGCTTCACTGCCGTTGAGGATCTCCTCGCCGACGCCCAATACCATTGCGAGAAATGCGGCAATACCCCCCAGCGCGCGTCTAAGCGCCTCCAGATCCGAAAGCTCCCTGCCATCCTCTGCATGCAGCTTAAGGTTTGTACTATGGGATTTCCCTTCACTCTTGCAGACCTTCTTCTGACATCTCGCCCGCCAGCGCTATGAGCACAACTCAATGTCCTCGGAGAAGATGGACGGTCACATTGACTTCCCCATCACCCTGAATATGCTTCCCTACACTGTCAAGAAGGACAAAGAGCGTGTCGATACTTCCAAGTACATCTACGACCTGTCCACAGTCATAGTGCACCAGGGCACGATGGACACTGGGCACTACTTTGCCTATACTCGCCTAGGAGAAAATAAGGTACGTGTACACAAGCGCAATTCCCTTCTACTTGACTCACCTGCTCACTCCATCGCTTGCGGTAGTGGGTGTTGATGGACGACAACAAGGTCACCGTCGCCAGCGTGGCCGATGTTCTGCGGCAGGATGCCTACCTGCTGTTCTACAGTATTCGCTCGGTGGATTGGGAAAAGTGAATTAGCTTCCACTACAGTAATTCCAGGACTTGTTATTAAGCAGGGGGCCTAGCATTCTGTGTTTTTCCTGTGTTTTTTTTATTTATTTGTTTTTGTACATAGCGGGAAGTTGATCACGACCAGCAATGGATTTTCTTTATCGAATGTACCTGGACTGGCAGAGAGCAAGATAAAAGACACCGATCTGTGTCAATGCTGTAATCTTAGGCTAGAGCTCGGGCGGACGAGGAATGGGCCCCGTCCTATTAGAAAAGTCACGCACATCATGACGAAGCGACCAGCTACCAAACTACGAAGGGGTCGCTAACGGCACCATATGGAACCAGAGGGCAATTCAGACCAGTAATGCGTCTAAAGATCAGAGCTAGTCCGTGCCTTGCGTGCTCGGATTTCGCAAATAACACCTCCCAACTCAAACATACAAGCGTAGCACGCAGACTCATGGCACAAGTCCGATAGGCCGATTGAAGATCCCGGTAAAGAAAATCCGTCATTGATATTGGATAATGGAAAAAAAAGGATGAGGGATCCACATAACATCCTCGTTTTGCGAACTCTTCACACAACAACCCCAGTCCCCCCCGATCCATCCGAGACACCAAGCAAAAAAGAAACCACATAGAATGTCTCCTCCACTCAAGAATCAACAACCATTTTTGGGGGAGCCGTCATGTGGAAGATCGAAGAACGGCGGGTGCAATGCGAGTCTTTTTGGAAACCGCGACGCTTTCGAAACATTCCCCATCCCTGGACACTTATCGAGATCGACGAGATCGAGGAGCGCCAGGGTACGTCAACGAGTACACGGGTCGTAGACGCGGACGGATCGAGAAGGGCGTTAAAATAACATGGTCTCAAGTTGTTTAACGGTACTGTCGAGTGAGAGGTGGGATGTTAGTATGCTGTCTGCTTTTTTTTGTGTGTGGCGGTTTCGATGGTGGGCGGGGGAACGAAGAATCTCTTGCTCGACGAGAACATAGTCGACAAGATATTCTTGGAATTCTCGGGTGATTCTTGCATCGATGGGGCGAAAAAGAAACGAACCTTGTTGAAACCGATGTCGGAAGACTTCTCACGGAAGCACTGACGGCAAATGTTCATCTGGAGGATCATCCATGTTAGCCACATTTGTCCGGGAGTAATGAGCGTGCGCGATAGAGGTATCGAGGGGATTCCACATACGCCGTACTTGCGGATCAGACCAGCACGGTGGGCGCAGACACGGCTGTAGTCGTCCGAGTATAATTAGCATTTCCAGTCTTTCACAATCGTCTTGTCCCAGCATTTTCCATATCGAGTCCGCCAATTTCTCGCAATTGTAGTCCTTCTCTTGGAAATCTCCTCTGATGGGGGGCAATCAATCCGAGGGGTGAACACACCATTCGCGGGAACCCTTGCCGTACCTAAGCAGAGCATTCAGTCAGTTTCTCGTCACGGAATGTCGATTTTTGGCAGATCTTGGGCTCAGAGTCGACTTACTTGCGGGGCCGGCTGAACCAAACGGACTCGTGAGTCATCTTGAGATGTCGAAGGGGGGTTGTTGACGAGGTTGTTGACGGGGACGAGGGTCGTTGGCGCTGTTGAAGAAAGGCGAAGGTTAGGGTTGGAAAATCGTTGTGTGCTGCCCCAATGGGGAATAGGGCACGGGCCAACTCGCTTGGTGTGAACTAGTCTCATTTTGGAAGTCATGTGTGGTTTGCGGGTGATTATGTCATCTCGAGGATGGGGCGGTGGGACTGTGAGCACCCCAGGTCTTGGTTTTGGACATCAATTACAGGATTGATACGTCGCGAAAGGATGCCATTTGGTTTCTGAAATTGATTGAATGGCATTATGTGAGACAATATAGGGCAAAAACTTCGGTATCTTCTTCGTGCTTTCACCTGGATGACTGTTCATGGATCCTGGACCTAAAGCCATGTTGGATCGACGATATTGCTTTGATCACATTTAATGAATCTTCAAATTTTCGCTGTTTTCTACATGTGTTGTCATCACCAGACATATAGTTATGATTTTACTGCTACTGTGGAGGGGATTCAACTCAATATATATATATATATATATATGGTCTTTTTGGAAATCCACATATATTCCGTATAAACGAAGAATTTGAGAATGGATTATTGGCGCCAGGTTAGTCTTAACGCAGCATGATTTGGTTCTGTCCAAGCAGTCAACTATTGCCTATAATCTAAATTCCTTGGCGCCTGCCTATGTTTTCTTGTCGATGTTGCACCCTTCTCAAGCGCTGTTACTTGGGCAAAACGTTATTCGGACCGAATTCTGCGGGACTCTACTAAGGTCCTCATTGGCTTCTGTGCAGCCCTGCAAGGCGAAACGACAACCCTTTGCTCATATCATTTAAACTGCGTATTTCACTACGCTCAAAATATTTGCAGTAGAATGGCGACTCAGCATATCGTGTAACTGTGATGAAACTTCTGGCAGGTGAGTAAGGACTCTCACTCATCGAACTTTTCCTCATTTCAAAGCGATGCCACGATGATTCAATTTCCCTGGGATCATAATTCATGCGGGCAGGTTTGTTGTACTAAAGAAATGAATAAATTCATCACATACATGCTCGGAATTGTTAGGTGGGATGATTCATGTTTCTCGATTTCTTCGCTTCTAGTACCGAGACACCACACTATTACATGTTGGAAGTGCCGAACCGAGGAATTCTTTGCCATGAGATATCAGTAGGTCATTTATCTACAAAGGATGTTAGGGCACCTCTTGGACATTTCTTGCTCTATCTCCAAATAAATGAATGATGATTTTGGATTTGATCTTGCTTGACGCGCGAGCCCCGTCCAGTGCGAGGAGAAGATGAAGAGGAATGGAAGAGCAAGGCAAAGGGAAATTCAGGATAGTTAAAAGTTGTCTATTTACATGTAATCATTGAGATATATTTAAAGCTTCTTTCATCAAGTCAGACTATTCAATGACACGTCGCATAATCAAGACAATTTAGAGCAGTAAGAATGTACTGGGGTAATAGAGCCTGGGGTGCAGGGGGACACAGACACAGACTATTACGTGGTAGTAATCGACTGCGTCGTACCACCGAACGAAGACAAGTACATTTTCGTTGGAGAGATACAGACTCAAAAGGTCTGGGGTCAAAAATTTATGTGCATTACTAGTATGGTTGTTTCTTCAGTCACATCACTTCCGTGCCAGACTCGGGCCACCATTGCCGATCGCGCGGGAAACAGGCCAGGTCTTCAGGGTAATCATTGGACGCCGGCGGTGCCTGGGGAACGCCTAGATCGCAAGACAGCTTTTCGGATGGTGTGGTGCCGCATATCCGACCTTCCGCAGGGCTGTATTGCCTAGGTCGGTAGCATCGCTTGAGTCCGCGTGCATGTACATTGTCGATCTTGCTGATCGGGTTGGAGGGGTAGAGCGGGAGACAGAAGGTTCGTCGCCGTGATCCTTTCCCTGGATACGGTATCGGTCTTTAGCACTCGTACTATTTGATTTGAACTCAAAATGATCTAGCTAGTTCTTTGGGTTCAGCGTTATATGGAAGTAGTCTCCCTAGAGCCGGCGACATAATAAACGTCGCATCTCTACAGAAAAAAGTGACCCTCGCGGCGGTCAGTTACAGCGGACCATGTCATACCGTATGACCTCGTATGATCTTGTAGCACCCGAAGCACCGATAGTCCGGGGTATACGGCCGTTCAAGCAGGCCCTATGCAAGGCAGCTCAGGCAAAGAGACAAGGGGGGGGGGTGGGGCAGGATTGCACTCATGGAAGGTAGTGTACTCCGTATAGTATGTACTCGGCCAGAAAAAGCTCAGGACCAGGTGTCATATGACAGCTCCGATGAAATCATCTCCCAAAAGTCTCCGGAATGAGTAGTGCGTGCGAACAAGGTGCGTGGTGGAAGGGTCCGGCTCGCACTGGTGCCCGGAAGCTCGCGGATACCGAGCCAAGCCCAAGATGATCGCTGAAGGGCCAAACTGGTCCCGGCCCCGTTCCTTGGCTGAACCTTTAGTGTTTTTTTGTTCTTTTTTTTGCTCCTGCTTTTTTTGCCCTTAATAATAACAGATACCGAACTTAACTACATAGTGGTATCCTTGGTTATCCTTTTCCCTTGCGTGATTTTGAGGTAAAACTCCAAGAAAAGGAACTCTGTCGCGACAATTATAGACATAGCTTCTGGGACACCTTCGACCGAGGATGGGGGCCAAACCCCTTTTCCCACGGACTGAGCTTTGAAAAAAAAAAGAATAATATGGCATCCGTAGATTCCGTGGATGATAGTATTCAAAACCAAACACGCCAGTAATCCCGGGTCCAAGAAAATCGAAGTGGAGTCCGGAAATATAGTCAAAAAACGCCTTTACCTCAAACTTCTGTCCGCTGGTTTATCCGTCGCCAGGAACCCGGTCCTCGACTAGTATAGCCTAGCCAATCCGAGGAAGCCCAAAGTACTGGGATCAGATCATCGAATCTGTCCCGCTTTTTGACGATGGTAAAAGCTGTTTCATCGGAAGTTTCGGCAGCGCGACATTTCCTAGCAACTCCTAACGTGAAGGTTGACGGGTCTTGGCGGCACACAGAGACGTATTGGAGTCACTTTGCTCCTATCTCCATCGCTTTCTCGTGGACCTGATCGCAGCGGAGATGCCCTTCAATCCCAGTGGGCTTGGCGACCATGGTGGATCCATGGCTGAGCATATAGAAGCCCTGGGTAGAGGAATACTGCTGGGAAAGAGCAAGGGCTCTGCGGCGAAGGGCCGAATTCCGGCAATTGATTGCCGTGATGAGTAGAGGTATACCGATCCTGATCTCGAAAGCAAGTACGGTTGCGAGTCGTTCGGATTCGCGGTGGCTGCTACGGCTGCTTCACCATGGCAGAGGGTTTCTATGAACAGATCTAGATACCTTTCGTGGATGGTCCCCTGACGCTGTAAATACGACAATAGAAGGCTCCTGGTTTCATTGTGTATTATCTCCAGCGTGGAATAAAAACCAAACTCTGGATCTATATCGGCATTTTGGACGGTACGCAGTTAGTAAAAGGGTCGTCTCCATCGAATCTGCTTGGATTCCAGCTCCTCCTTTGAATAAAAGCCTGCCCGAGCTGTGACTTCCTGAATTGCTCGTTATGCTTTGTTATGATATTTCATTTTGTTACACGAGACCAGGCGTATATAGATCCTATTGCCTCGGAGCTATAGTCCTGCAGAATCTGGACACCGATGAAACTACTCTAGTGACCCGTGCGACGTGGATACCGATCATATTAGTTGGAATTTAAGTCTACATAGACCGTAATGAGCCCAAATATAATAGCAGGGCGAGCTGATGGTTCAAATAAACATTCACTCCTGGGGGAAATCCTTCTAGAGCGGATTCTAGTCTAGATAGTCTTTGCGGGGTCTCGTAAAAGAGACTGACTGCTACCCATACTACCAGTTGAGACTGGCAGGTTTGCGGGACTTAAATTTTCTAGCTCATGTCGAAGAAATTGGAAATTGAGGGTTCGGTCCTGCAGAAATAGTACCCAGAGCTCCGTCTTTCATCTTGGCTAGTACAGGGAACGGGGATGAATGGAGGCCCCTGATTCGTAGAGGGGATTATGCGCGATGCGTTTAGTCTAAATAATCACTATGGCGGCCGTTGGTCAAGAAGTGATGACACGACGAATATTTGTCGCCGCACTTAAGTATCCAGTCTCTGGTTGGCTAAACGAGTAAGAATATTCTTTTGGCCCTCAGAGGTTGCCGGGAGGATAGAATGGAGGAGGGACATAATTGCACGCTTGGCATATGGTCTTGCTTTGCTTCGTCCGATATATGGACGATCATTCTAACAGGGACATGCAAGATGAGAGGCAACGAAAAAGGTAGAATTTAGTATTCAATAATGTATATAATAAGATATAGTTTTTGTGATCTTGTGTAACCAACCCCACCCTGTGGTACGTTCAACGATCGAGGGCGTTGGTTGTAGTCGTTTCCCGGACATATCCAGCTCGCCGAATCCCGCTTGAACGTGTTGGGAGCCCGAAAATGACCTGACTAAGCGGTGCTCGGATATGAAGACAATTTGAATTCGTCGCGTCTTTGCCCAGCTGTTTTGAAGCTGTTGTGCTAGAGTTTTGTGGAAGTTTCTCGGACCTCCTTGGCTGGGAATGTAGAGTGGTATAGAGGGGTGGCCGACTGACCAATATGAGCTGAAGAGTACGATGTTCGGCAGTAATTTGATCTCTAGATGTGTTCTTACTTAAATTTTCATCTAGCTTTCTTGTCAGCTATTTGCTTTTGTAAAGACCCACTACTATTTAATTCACATAGATGATAAATAGCGTCATTCTACTCATTCCTGACAGTTGTATTGGGCTGTAAGTTTGGTCTCAGTTACTCTGCCTCGCTGTCTTGTTTACTCATGCTACGTACACGATGTGTTCTGAATTTTTGGGTTGGGATTAGGATAGAGCTAGGCAAGGTGGTAACTAGGGCATCACATCATCCTGCATCGCCGATGATTCATGCTTCCCATGATACGCCTAGGCAAACACTATGTGGCCTGGGAAGTTCTTGCTTGTGCGTGTCCCTTAACCCACTGTGAAATACTTCGTACAGTAACAACATCGGAATGTGGAGCCTACTTCAAGTCCATGCAGCTGGACCCATCCTCGTGCAAAGAACGAGAGGGTACCATGCTCGCTATTATGTTTGGTGTACCCGAGCAGCTGATGGGCTTGCATTCTGCATGGCTTCAGCCACCGAGCAAGGTGCTCTACCATCGAGAGGCGTCAACGCAGCGCATGCCCGACCGTAAGGATCGGGGTATGGCACGTTGACCAACCCCGCCAAATGCACCGGTCACCAGTACGGCTCGGAAGACTCAGCGAGCGAGGCCGAGACAGGGATCTACAAAGGATGTTCAGAACGCCGTGGCCCGATGGCTGCTGACCGTGGTGGGGGAAGGGGGCTGGGCGTGAGTCAATTTTCAGCCTAGCCTCTGTGCTCCGTGCGAGCTGTTGAAGATATCTGTTCCATCCAGGAAGTATTTTGTACGCCACACAGGCCAGCTGTTGGAAATCCCTGCTTTTTATTTTGTTTATGTCGATTGAGTGGGGACGTGATATATATCACCGTGAGAATGGCCTGATGCTCATCTGGAGGGGGCTTGGGCGGCTGGGCCCCGATATCTCGGGTCTGAATCGCTTGGATCGGGGCGGATGGGGCTAGATTTCCGAGAGCGATCCGTTGACGACCGAGCGTCAAGCTGTTGGATTAGGACATTTCGTAGCTCCGACACTTGAAATACGCTTTGGAGGAAATGGAGGAAGCTGACATTTCCGAATCCGATCCTGATCCAGACAACTGTGCGCTTGCTGTTACGAACGCCCCCAACTGGTCCCAACATCCTGGCGGTGAATCACCACCCCAACAGGGTATGGATCGTCATCAATGGGCGCGCTGTGAGTCTGCCCTGTGCCGACCTGATTGCTTATAACGTTATAATCAGATGATAGAATGGCCTTCTACAGCAGCAGTAGTATATGTCAGTGGATACTATTCTATACCTGGTATGTACAGAGCACGAGATAATTTACTTTATCGATGGCTGCCTACAGACCCCAACAAAGCTCCAACAAGGCTCCAATAAGGCCCCCCGAAGGCTGTGTATGGAGGAGAAGTTAGTCACCTGTTGTTGTTGTCGCGACGGTGCTGGAATTGCGGGCATGAGGTCATCTAGGCGCTGTCCCCATTGCCCAGAGTCATTGGATGGGGCTCAGGAGGTATCCCGACTCTTCCGAGTGTAAAAAAAAAAAAAAAAAAAAAAAAAAACACTAATCTTTTTTCATTGGTACCAATTTTTTTTTCTTTCAATATCCTAAAAAAGTCAAAGAGCGCCAAGAGTTCCCGCTCCCATTAGAAAACAGTCTGTAATACAATGCATATGACTGCAGATCCCCATGCTGGTTACTGCGTACTTCCACCGGTCACCACCGCAGCTTGGGTGGCAGACGGACACAGCGATAGAGCAAGCTGCTCAGAGACTGAGGAACTTCTGCAGTAGGCAGAGGAATGAATCTTCATTCTGACCTGTGTATCAGGAGAGGGAGGGAGGTACGGGAACCAAATCGCCGGGAAGCATATTATTCATAAGCAGGCTGCACAAGGGGTCTGAATCATCGAACGGCTTGTCGGAGGTCCCAGGGAAGCTCTTGTTGCCACGCACCTTCGGGCAGCTCGCGTTATCCCCGGCTGCTCCGAAGCATTGGAAATCAGCGCCGGCGAGCCTTTTTTTGTCTTCTCATTTCAATTTCCTAGTCTAATAAATCCACTTGAAAACCGCCCGGCGCTTCGTTTCCGGGTTACTAATTCCTGGCTGCCCCGCTGGGAAGCTCTTTTATATGCCTTGTTCTCCCCTCTCCCTCTTCGATCCGCCTATACTTCCCATCTCAGCCCTACAGCCGCCACGGTCAACTTTCCCAACCCTCCTCTTCCCATTCCCAACCCCCGGATCTTTTGCACTGGGGTTGAACCTGGTCGTTCCTCGGTTGAGGTCCCGTCCAGCTGCTCATTTGACCCTGCAGGAAAGCAGGAACCAGACGGAAAGCTCCCATTCCCTGGGGTTGGCATCAGTTACGTCACGATTCGATAGGAGCACTTGATCTTGGGCCAGAGGGGATTTCTTTTCTTTCTTACTTCGGCGCGGCGTCATATTTTTCTCTCTTTCTTTCTCTTTTTTGCTCCGTCCCTTCTCTCTTATCTCGTAACAGCACATACATCCTCGCCGAGTAGTACATAATCGGCCCTCGAGGAGCTCTGTGACTCGCAAACCACAAACAGAATCCACAAGGCCCAATGCGCCAGATAGCATCTCGTGTGGCCTTCGCGGCTCTCCTATTGGTGTCGCTCGCAGCGGCGCTTCCTCATGGTGACGATGAGGGCATGGACATGAACAAGGATTCGGGAATGGACATGGATATGCAGGCCAGCGCCTCGGCCGCAGCTTCGGCTGACAACGCCGAGTCACCCATGAGCTACTTCAAATACAACAAACACTCGACTTCGATCATGGCGCACATTGTGCTGATGGTTCTAGGCTGGTGCTTCGTTCTCCCTGCAGGTAAGCTTGAAGCTCCCCGTCCTTGCGTACAGACGGATTTTCTGTCAGGTTCATCGAGCAACATGAGATTAATTTATCGTAACAGCGGTCATGTTGAGCATTGCGCGCTCGCGGCTCGCTCTACCCTCTCAATTTTTGTTCTTGGTCTTCAATGCATTTGGTCTGCTCCTAGGCATCATTTACAACACTAGTACCCCCGATCTCTATGAGAACAATGCGCACCACAAGATCGGCTGGATCGCAACGTGGGTGATTAGCGTGCAGGTTGTGCTGGCGCTGATCTTCGCTTATGCTGGCCGCGGCGAGTCGGCCTCCCAGTCGCCCTCCTACGAGCGCGCTGCATTCCTCCCTGTTGCGACAGACGAGTCCACGCACGTCTTCCCCACGGGCCCGATGCACGAGTACCGCTGGTCCCGCGATAGCGGCCAGGGCACCGAGCCGGGGTCGCCAAACCACAGCCCCGGCTCGCCGTCCAGCGAGATGCCTGACTATGACGGCTTCGAGAAGCCCGAGGACGAGCAGCCAGCTCCGGCACCACGCCGCTGGTTCCCCAGTACGTTTGTCGATCGATTCCTGTCACACCGGGTGCCGGGCATGGTCTCTAATCGCGTGCTGCGCATCTTCAACGGCGTGTACAATGTGATCGACCGGATTATTCTGCCGTTTGGATTTGTAGCGATTGCAACAGGAGCCGTGACGTATGGTGGCATCATGCGTGATCGCGAGATCTTCAATGGACTGGCGCACTTCATCAAGGGTGGTATCTTCTTCTGGTACGGCATTCTCACACTCGGCCGATATATTGGGTGCTGGGCGGATCTGGGCTGGGCCTGGAACAAGAAGCCTCCGGCGTCGGTGGTGGGTAACTGGAAGTCGAAGGCTCCATCGGGCGAATTCACAGAGTCCTTTGTGATCTGGTTGTATGGCGTCACCAATGTGTTCCTGGAGCACCTGTCCAGCTGGGGAGGTGCCTGGTCCGCGACTGATTTGGAGCATGTTTCCATCTCGATTTTGTTCTTTGGGGGTGGCTTGGTAAGTACTGATCTTGGATTCTCGTCCTCACAGCATGGGATTTACCTCGATATCATGGCAATTTTCGGTGTCGCTAACTTTTCTGGTCAATGTTTTCTAGGCTGGTATGCTCTTCGAATCTTCGCGCATCCGTGAGGCCCTCAACAATACCATCCTCCGCTCTCCTCCGCACGGAACCCGGGATGAGGGGTGGCAGGCCCCAAAGTCACAGGGCGTGTCCCTCAACCCGATGCCCGCCTTGATCATCTTGCTGCTTGGTATGATGATGGGTTCGCACCACCAGACAAGCATGACCTCGACGATGGTGCACAAGCAGTGGGGCAACATGCTGGTGGGCTTTGCCCTGGCGCGCGGACTGACCTATGTCCTGCTGTTTCTGCGTCCGCCAACATCGTATCTGCCGGCCCGGCCGCCCACCGAGATTATCTCGGCGTTCTGTCTGATTGCCGGCGGACTCATCTTCATGATGAGCACCCGGAATGTGATCGATGCGATGGAGTACTATGAGCTGGACGCGATGTTTACCTTCACCGTGGGACTGGGCCTCACGGCGTTCATCATCGCGCTAGAGATCCTGTTCATCTCGCTCAAGGCGTGGGCGGTGAGGCGCGAACAACGGCCGCTCAGCTTCCACTTCTCGTGACTTGGCTGCATGTGGCAGCGATGGCCTACTATCTAACTCAATCTTTGTTTCTGTTTATTTTCATTTTTGGATCGGATTTGGGGGAACTTCTCCAACCCGACCATATCGTTTGATACCCCCTTTACACTTGTGTGACTTTCCATGAATTCTCGTGCACTTGTATGTGGCCATTTGATTCGTGACGGAGGTAGATGACGGGGGAGAATCTGGCCTGCGGGACTATAATCTCCACTATGTATGCTCTAACGGAGACCATGTTATTCACGATTCCGACAGTATCGGAATGAAGCTTACGGACTGATGGACTTAATGAGGCGGTAATATCATGACTATCAACTATCCTTCCCCCTTCGCATTCACTTCCGTATAGGTCAGAAGGATAGACGAGGCTGTTCGAGAGAGTGAGAAGCTTTTGAGCCCACCAGTTGAGGGGCCGACATCCTGCGAGTTTAACCTTTAACGTTTAGCCGACTCGGCGCTCACAACTTAACGCCGAGCGCGTGCCGAGTACCGAGTTTGTTTGGGTCGACATCTGATAGCATTGGCCGCAATTTACACTGTAATGCGAAGCTCGACAGGATAGCAGTTGAGAATGAGTGGCTACGAGGCGATAGAGGCATAGCCGTTACGCTGTCTGGATCCTTGCGCTCTTTTCGGTCCTTTTCGTAGCGGGATACACAGCGTGTTACCGTGTCAAGTTTATTTCGTCACACATTATTAATCGCATTTCGACCATGAGCGGCAACGGACAAGTGGGTCCGAGAGCAATTGAAAATTACTGTAGCTCCAGCAATTGCGACACTGGACGCTGGTGATTGGCGCACAATTGCCGAATGGGACTATATCGGCTAAGGTGAAGACGATATGAAGCCGTGTGAAGGCGGGATGAGGGGCAACACGGACTTTAGAGCAACGAAGGAGGGCAGCACGGACTTTAGAGCGGGCAACGCATTTAATGACGCCCACATTCTTTCTTCCCCTGCGCATCCTCCATATTCCCCCTCCTCTTCTTCAATCCCCTCCAACAAAAAAATAACCATCAACATGGCCTCTAACCCCCCTGCTGCCTGCTGTGCCTCTGGCTTCAAGCACGAGGGTAACCCCGTCGGCGAGGTGAAGGACATTGACGGAGGTGAGTTGTTAGAGGAATAGCCAGCTGCATGGCCCCTCCAGAGCTTCCAAGGCTAAACAATTCCATTGTGGCAGTCAACACCTACATCGTCTACCCGAAGGACAACAAGACCCCTGAGAAGGCCGTCATTATCTTGACTGACGTCTTCGGCATCTTCCCGAACTCCCAGCTGCTCGCCGACGAGTTCGCCAGCAAAGGTTACCTGACTGTCATCCCGGACCTGTTCCGTGGCGACCAGATCAGCGTCAGCGACATGAACTCCGGCAAGGTCGACTTCCCCGCCTGGATCTCCAAGCATCAGCCCGAACACGTCGACCCCGTCGTCGCCACCTCGATCAAGCACGTCCGTGAGACTCTGGGCGTGAAGAATGTCGGTGCAGCGGGCTACTGCTTCGGTGCTAAGGTACGTCACAAGATCTTCAAGATCCTCCACACATTCCTCGGGTAGCCTCTAACCCCTCACTTTTTTGATCTATTTAGTATGTCACCCGCTTCCTGAAGGCCAACCAAATTGACGTTGGCTTCGTCGCGCACCCCTCTTTCGTGACCCACGAAGAACTCGGCGCCATCGAGGGGCCGTACTCCATCGCTGCCGCTGGTAAGTATATATTCTTTTCGCGCCCCCAACGAGTCTCGCAAGCCCTCGAAAAAAAAGAGCAGATCGACTAATTCGCCCATTCCAGAAACCGACAATATCTTCACTACCCAGCTCCGCCACGAGTCCGAGGAGACCTTGATCAAGGCCGGTCAGCCATGGCAGATCAACCTGTTCAGCGGCGTCACGCACGGCTTCGCCGTCCGCGGCGACCCGAGCGTCAAGATCCAGAAGTGGGCCAAGGAGCAGGCTTTCTTCCAGGCCACTGCTTGGTTCGGCCAGTACCTGTAAGGAAACTGCACAGAGCTAGCTAGCCATGCGCGCCCCAGGTTCTGTAAAAGGATAAAGCATTATCTTATTTTTACGTCTTGGATTTGCTTTTCTTTTTCTGCCTTGGGAGAGTTGACATGAGACTGATTGGTTCCGTAGAGACGTGGTCGTGCAGGCGGCAAAATTATGAGGAATGAAAATAGAGTAATACGATGATTCTTTTTTCGGACGTGTTTCATTTTTGGTGGAGAAATTCAATATCGTAGTTTACAAAGATGGAGAAAAGTTGGGGAGTGGGGCGGAGCGGGGTACTGTGCTTTCCCGATTTTATACCGGGCTATACCACGTAAACTCGGCTGGGTTGTTTGTGTATGTCCCAGTTTCGAAAGGGAGCTGTAAAGCATAGTTAGACGGGTATGGGCCTTCACTACGCGTATGAAGCCCTTTAATCACAGAGGCCCGGCTTCACTAATCAGAATAGATAAGCTCAGAACATATTTCGGTATACACCTGAGACTTCGGAATAGTTGTCCATTGGAAGGGTAGCCTAACGTTGAATAATTTGAACCAGCCGAGCAGCTTGCCCTCTCTCGGTTATGAGGCTGGCCGTTAAATTCTTCCAGACGAAGTGTGGGTACTATGTATCATATAAACCCACTCAGGGAGAAATAAAACTCAGTAACTAGGACCAAGGATGCCTAGCAACTTTTAGTCACATCATGCCCAATGTGACATCGTATTTGGCACTAAATTCGAGGCATGCATCCGAAGTTACGTGGTTTTTGAGCTTTAAGCCTAAAGCAAACGATCAAAGAACCAGAGTTTTAGCCTCGATTGACCCTAACCAAAGTACTTGACCATCATCCACTATTATTTAATTGAACTGCAAATTCTTGTATTTATTGCCAACTGGTCAATACACGAAATTTGCGGTACGTTATACGTTTTTATCTAGAATATGGTTCCTGTGCTGAGCTTCGAACGACGATAAATGAAGTATTCGAGTCCTAAAGGTGACCTGACTCAGTCAGGCTTGTTCTATGAAAGATGTGAAGGTGGACATGGATCGGAAGATCGAAGATGCCAGTTTCGTCGCATCGGTGAGAGATAGGAATGAGATGTCCATGGGCCTTTGCCTACCTCCTGACTGCTATTCGTAGCTGCTGAGGGATCAACACGCCACAGCCCTCGTATCACATAGATGATTACTCAACTTGTGGAAAAACGACTGCATTGCGGTAAATTGGTCTCTGAAATTTTATGAATCGGTACATACTCACAGCTCGACAGCCTACTTTTTTATTATTTTCAATCAGAGTACCCTACGGCATAAACCTCTCTAGATAACCGTACAACTCATCTTCGTTTTCCTTTCATCATTGAGAAAACTTACACAAACAAAGAATAAAGATTCAGAATTATTCGGAGAGATATTCGGGCGCATCCAGGATGGTTTTTTCGAGGGGGTAGCTTCCACTCGTGAATGGCTGTGATTTGTCACTTATTTATAGATTGAAACAGGTTCGTTGTTCGATTTGCTGTATCGACCCATTCCGGATGGCTGTCAAACACTAAACCGCATCCTGAGAGTCCGACGGCCCCTGGATCGCACGAGCCTATCAGCCACTAATTTCAAACAAAGAAGAGTGAAGGCCACGCTCTGCAGCGCAGGATTTGTCATGTCTAGAGAAAATGGACAAAAGTGGAGTATGCTGTTGATCTGCTTCACCGACAAATTCCGTACTTTTGTATCCCCGGTTCAAGCTTCGAGCTTTACTATATTTCGCTAGCCTGTCTCTTGGATACAAGTATTTCATTGGAGGGCTGATGTTTGAGGTTTAAAAGGGAAACGTGACCAGGCGCCCCGTGTGATTGGAACGTGGATAAGACGAAGTATGTTCTCCGTACATGACTCGAAGATTCGATAGGTCGCCTTGGTAGAAGCAAAAAACGACAGGGATTCCGAACTTGATTGGATATAATGCGCCCAAAAGGACAGAGGCTTAATGCCGGGCCATAACCGCCCCTAAAGGGCGCTAAGGCCCCGTCCCCCTTTCCTTCCTTTGAGCCCGTTTGGATTTGCCACTAAAATCTTGGAGGGACTTCTTGGGCGGAAACAACCTTAATGAGGATGAGAACTACGCAAAGATCTGGGACCTATAGACTTCGTTGGCAAAAGAACGCCTCGCCAACGATCTGGATCCAACGCCACATTCTCACCTCTGCATTAGTGTGTAATAGAATGGTTGACTGCACCAAACTACATTGTCATAATCATCGAGCCAGAGTAATTACGAGGGCGGCAGTGTATTTTTCTCGGTAATTACTTTATTGGCGCAGTGCGTCTTGGTATCTGTCGCATAGCCGCTGTGTCTGCTGTTTCCTGATTTTAGCGGTCCGACTGATATCCCCATTTTGAATGAGATTTTAGTAACCCAATCAAGCTGTGGAAATTTTGAGAAAGAAAAACATAGCTAAATCATCATGAGGGACAAACCGGGGGTTAAATATGATATTGCTTTCGATCGATCTATTGCGTATACCTGAGCGAAGGATATTCTCCGCTCAGCCCAATGGCTGTAGTATCTCTCCTGACCAGGGTGGTGTGGCCGTTTGCTGGCGCGTGCTAATCTTTACGAAGTATTCCAACATGACCCGGCTTTCTTGTCTGGCAAAATTACGGATTTTAGGTATTTAATGGACCCCCTCTTCTCGTAGGAATCCCCTGGATAATTTTCTTCTGCCGTCATTTTTACAAGCAGACATTGGACTATCTCCCCTCAGTTTCATTTTTCAAAACATATCTTTTCCGAAGCTTTCTACATCTCTCTGTTTAAAAACCACTGCCAAGGCTTTGCTCATGGACATGCGTGCCAGATCCACGAAAGAAAAGATTCAGACTCCGAGTGTGATCGATAAGTTGAACCGGGACCTATCAAATCTTGACTTTGTCAACCGCCATGAAAAGTATCCTCTGCTCAGTTTTGGTTCTTGGGATTTGAAACTAGACGAACTCTCCAATTCGGTGAGGATGTATCATAATATATATGACAGAAATGCGAGTCTTGCTCTGCACATGGACGCAAGAATTTGGGCCGTGGAATTCGACAGAAGGCTCCAGGAAATCTTCTCAAATGGTTATCCCGAGCTGATTGATGGAGAAAGAAGCGGAATAGAGGTGGAACAAGAAGCCAAATTCTCTTTGAGGGAGTTTATTCGGTGGGCCCAGTCTGCTGACTGTAGATCCGACGGCAATGGCACATACCAGCTGAGCTTCAAAGGCCGCCTTTGGCGTCTGACTGAAAAGGAGTATCAGACGATCAAAGCATATCCTCCTGGGCATCTTACCCCGTGGGATGGAGATGTGGACGAAGAAATAGATGCAGCTTCCACTTTACACGCCGAGTTATCATTACTGCGAGATCACATGGACCAAGGTGAGTTATGTTTGTGTTTCAAGTCTCTCGGTTAAATACTGACCATAACAGTCCAAATTGAGTTGGATCATCTGATACGGAGGAATTCTTATCGAAATCAGATGTGCACTGCTTACTCGAAGGATCGATGCACACACGAAACCTCGTCTGTTAACTCTATAATAATGGACGACGGTGGGGATATCCCAGCCGGTGAAATTCATAGAACGAGCCCAACAGACCAGTGAGTAAGTCTACTGTTTAATATTGGAAACCAACAAAGATTATGAGATCTGATACGAGAGACTGGTTGCCATTAGGGCCTCACAGCCTTCTGCCTTCAATGAGACACCGTGCGAGGAGACCCGGGACATGGAGGTCGAAATGATTGATCAGCCGCATTCGAGTATAGAGGTTGAGTTAGATACAATGCAAAGCGAGAGGGTTGGATACTTTACACGGCAGCATCATCCCCCCCCCAGTCCCAGGCAGCCTCCTCTCAGCCAAAATATCTCCACAGAGTCTAATCGATCCAATCACCCTCGAAGATCAGGCATTGAAATTAAGGAGGGCTCAGAGTTTTGCCGAATCCGGTTGGCAAGCGGAATGACTTGGGATGAGATACAAAAGGCATACCAAATAAAATTTGGGAAATCTAGGACGGTGCAGTTTCTCAGACGGTGGGCCGAGGACGCGAAAAAGAAGCAAGGGCAAAGAAGAAACAGGCGCAAAACCTTGGGATATTTGGTACTAAATCTCTCTTCTTATCGCTTCCCAGCGAATTAATATGAATCAGTTGCTTATAAAGTTCGCAGGCTGAACCTGATCGAGCAGGGCAAACTACGGAAGTGACCCAGCTAGAAACGGCAGAAGTAGCAAGCTTGGAAGAAATCAATCTGAACTTGGAAAGTAACTCACATGACGTTGAGCTCGGTAGAATTTTGCCGATGATCCTGCCATCTAGCAGCTTGCCCGAAGGATCGGATGGTATACAAGCTCCAGCCCTCACCTAAGGTTGATTCAGTACAGTACAGCTAAGACAGTGTGAGGAGGCTTATTAAAGTTTTGTAGCTCGCAGTTAATGAACATACTTGTATTAGGGAGCTTGAGGCTTCTCAGATAGTACTACTAGCGCAACTTTGATTTATATCCTATGCTCTATGACAGGAACGAAAGCCTTGCCTTTGATATGAACGCAAGAATTTGGGCTTTAGAGATGCACGGCATGTCCACGACTATGGCCCAGGGAATTAACCCTTCAAAAAGCAACTCCTCAGCGTCTTACAACACACTCAGGTTCATTGCCTCAATGTTCACAGTTATCTGTGACACTTCCCCCAGCGATTTGAGAGACTCCAGCGTTTCCGACCAAATCTTCTTTTGGGAAATGTCATGGTGTTCCTGTCAATGGTAAGCATGGTACTTGGAGCAGTATAGCAGGTTAGATTATTAAGCTTACCTTCACATTTTGCCATCCTATGATACCCATTATGACATTCTTTTCAAGGTTCGAGCTCCTTCCATAAGTGACAGAAGTCGTACTCTCTCCATTGCCACCTAGATTACGGGATGCCTTCTCCCACACTTGCAGGCTTTGCTCGACATTCTCAGAACTGGAGACCCCCAACCTAATTATTTCAACCAGATTCGCCGAAGCTGCATCTCTTGGGGAGAACTTTGTTTCAAATAATTGCAAAGTAGGCGGCCCAGTCACCAAATGCCTGATTGAGCCAGCAAAAGCAGCAAATTGTTCCGAGCCGATGAAGGCATGGAAAGAATCGGCTGAGTTCCACTCTATATCATATCAGATATCGCCAAATTTGACGCACCAGGTGACCTTACCAAAAAGCAGGAATTCTCTATAGGCCTCTCGTACATCCAGCCCATCTTCTGTCAAAATCCATCCACGGAACGCGTTAAGTAGGCCGGGATTAGGATCGATCAACCCTTTGCTCAAGCTGGGCCAATCTCGTTCAAGCTCCTTGAGTGAAGCTGAGTCGGTTTTGACGCTTGGAAAAATAAGCTCAGTGATGGCCATTGCAAAGAGAGAAGTGTTAGATTCAAATTTTCAAGGATAGTATAGAGAATCCCTAATATTCATTGTCTCCTTTATATGCATTTGATTCCACCTCATGATTACAATATCTGCCATAATCTGTTGCGGATTTTGGAACTTGCACATAGCAGTTCCGGCTGTAGACTTTTGCGGAGTTTTGGGAGAGTTTGCGGAGTTTGCGGAATTTGCGGGGTTCTGCGGAGTTCTGCGGACCTTTTGTCATCACAACCTTGTATTCCCCGGGGCTGCTCATCTGTGGGCATCTTGCTTTCTTTCTAGTAACAATACAGACCATGGCTTACAGATCGCCATATGCGCACTCACGGCAGAAGTCATGTATTGCGTGCGCCGAGGGGAAGCGGCGTTGCAATCGTCAAACTCCGCAGTGCTCACGATGTCTTGCCCAGGGAGTGAAATGTACTTATCTGAATGCATGGTCCCCACAAAAGCGCCAAAACATCTCGAAACAGTTGGAATCATCCCATCTTTCGGCAGTGGGGGCAGAATCACCCTCTGTTCTTAATGAAGCTCTATCATTTTGGCCGTTAAATGACTTTCCATCCGACAATACGAAAGTTTCTACCCCATGGCTTACTTCGATGCCTTCTCTGCTCACCATACCAGCACTATCTCCAGCTATATTTTTCCCAGAAACCACCACCTTAGATAAATGGTCAAGCAGTCAGCTTTTACAGAATATCAAACGCTACCCGCATGTGTTTGTTAGCTCTCGAAAAACTCCATTCATTCATTCCCGTCTCTACGACGAATACGTGCCCGATGCTATTCAAGATGCTTTTACAGTTTCGGCAGCTTATAGTACCAAAACATCGGAAACAGAGGATCTGATTTTCCGTATACTGGAGAGCAAGACTACCAGCCTCGTGGAGCAGGATCACCACACAAGCACCCTGCCCCACCTCCTCGCCGCAGTGCATGCACTGATGCTGTTTCAAATAATTCAGCTCTTCGATGGCGATATTCGGCAGCGCTCATTAGCAGAACAACACATGAATACATTGCGAATCTGGACCTTTAAATTACAAGAGCGAGCCGGAGAGCTTACCCCTGCGCTCACATGGCAAGAATGGATGTTAGCAGAGAGCGCTCGAAGAACAATAATTATTGTCATGATGATTGAGGGCTTGTATCTGACACTGAAAACTGGGTGTTGTCCGAACGTCAAGATAATGAGTATGCTTCCCTTCACACCCGAGGCCACTCTATGGGATCTCAGGACAAGTGCTTCATGGCTTGCGGAATCAGATCAATTGCGATTTGAAACTATACTCTATGGTGATTTTGTAAGAAGATGGCAGGAGGGACGAGTCCCTGGACGACTTGATGGATTCCAAAAGCTCTTACTTATACCATGCATGGGTGAGAGATACAGAGAAATACTGGAGCTAGATGGTTGAATGTCAATAGTATGGTTGTATGTCGCCTACCAAGACAATTTGGGCCCTTTTGTTAATAGAAGAAATTACTTGAATTGAATGTATATTCCTATATCATATCTCAATTTCTGGCCCAACCGAAGACGAAATAGCAGATTTGGAGTCTCCAACCACAAACCTCCACGACCAACGTACAACCAACTCCTTTTCCAGTGCTTCGCATGTACAAACATCACTTATCGCTTTATATTTGTGTCAATAGAGGTGACTTGGTTACCCCAGGGTATCTTGACTTGAATGCCAGCGTGGCCTATCACCTTAGCTATTAGATTCGAGAGAAGGTGCTCGAGTAGACCAGCTAAACCGAGCACTTGGGGACCCCCTCTAAGGCCAACCATTTTTATAGCACCATTGACATGATGCTTTAACATAATTCTATCATGTATAAATAGCTAGTTTTTGTCAGCGTTGCTTTTTATTCGCATGAGATGCATTACCTCGTCATAAGCTAGCATTATAGCCTTTGCAACAGTCGAGTCACTATATACCGGTGCCTCCGTTGAAATCGCGTCTCTCAATGAGTGCAGGATTTTGAGCTTATATTGGTAGCCCAGCCACGTAAACAACTGTTTCTGTTTTTCTTGATTTGGTTGATGATAACTCGCAGATAAACTCCGACATGACGCAAGAAATAATATGTTCAACAGACTTGATTCTGTCAATGCAAGTGGTATCCATACACTTGTCATGCGTTGAGAGAAGTGGCTTGCGAACTCAGTGCAGCGCATTAGGGGTATTATAGCTGTAACATCTTCTGAAATTGGTATCTCTGCATCGAAGCCGGTGTTTAGGCCAAAAACATACAGTGATCTAATAGCATTTCCTCCAGTGGCTTCAAGGGCCTTGCAAAGCTAGTAAAGGGATCTTTTCGGGAAGCCGGAAGTACAGTGACGATATCGGGGGGCTTGTTCAACCTGAATGTTACATCATTCAGCAATTCACGCTTCTTCTGCGCCTGGTATTGTGAAGTCCGGAAGTGCCGCTCCCGGGCGTGTGCGGAGCGTGCGGCATGCGAACGAGCGATTCTCCGCTGTGGCGTGGTTAATGTTGCTGATTCAGGAGCTGCGATAATAAATTGCAGTTCCCGCAACGGCATGGTGATGTAGGCGTTTTTATTATAAGTTGGGTACCAAAATTTCTCAGGGAGAAAGGATAGAGGGCAGAGTACCTCAGTACGACTATGAATTGCTGATAAAGCATGAGGTGGCTCGTTTAAGTGGGGTCCAAATTTAGATCGCTTACAGAGTCAGAGAAATTCTAATTCCCTGTTTCTAGGAACGCTTCATACTATTATAAATCATTCCTAGAAGTTTATGTCAATATAGTAGTTTACGGTATCGGCTAGGAAAGCTGGGATCCAATAGAACGAGATGCTCAATTTGATGATGTCTAGCTAGTTGAATGTGTAGGCGGGGGAATGTTGAATATCCCCTACTTCGCTGTCTAGCGCGTTACGGCGCTGGGTTCCAAGTATACCCGGGATACTATACAAAACACAGGGAATCGAGTATCCCTGTAATGAGCTGACGCATGGAGATATGTGGGTCTCGGTGGTATTATGCAGCCCTTCTTCTTGACAATTTCTAATATCATGCGACTTCCACCTACCGTCTGGACCACAAATTCTTTTAATGATGTTTGAACGCCTCCGTGGGGCAAGAGCTTGATTATTGGCGTTCGTCTCATTCTATATCGGCATAACAATGATAGTGTAACAAAACAACAGGAGTCTTCGTGAGAAATCTAGTCCCTTTCTATTCCTTGTCATTCTCCTTGTCCACGTCGGATGAATTTCTTCGGTGCTCATATTTAGTAAGGTGCCGTAATGATGCGCGCGTCTAATATTTTTTTTCTAGTCCTCAAACTGAGCCTATAAAGACGGTTATCCCAGATCGGCCCCTCATGAGGGTTACTTGGTCGCTGTAGCCTTTTTGATGCGGGTTTCGGCCCGAGTATTCAACGGATGGCTTCAGCACAGAATACAAAGCATATGAAACATGAGCTCAATCAAGTTACACTAACTATGCAAGCTTGCCTGTCTTTGGATCAATGCGTTGCCTTCCTTGGAAATCCACCTTAATGATTGCGACCCACTTCGAATGATAGCTTGCAACAACTCCGGAGCTCCACGCTGTTTCAAAAAGTATCAATATGTTGGCTCTGAATCATAATGGGTAACTTACAATACCCGCAAAATACCGGAAAATTCCAGGGAAGTACATGGTCCTCGAGGAGCCGCTGTAAACTGTATCGACGATCGCATCACCGATAGTATCAACATGCATCAGAGGAAAGAGAAAATTTGACTGGTTCATCTCTCCCTTGAATAAGGGAGTTTTGGTGAAGCTCAATATTGCTAACGATGTACGGACTGTAGGGGCTGCATGTCGATACTTGAGTTCTAGACCCAGTGCCTTGGATCGAGTCTTAACGAACTTCATCCGGAGAAAGATGGGGAAGCAGAACGATACTTACTTCATGGAATGCGATTAGCCCTGCCTTAGAAGCACTATAGTCTGCAAGGCCTGCAGGAGGCAGGTAGGCGCTCATCGAGGCCAAATTGACGATATGACCATGGTCGTCTTCGATCATGCGAGGCAAAAACTCTTTGGTTAAAAGAGTTGGAGCTAGTATGTTCGTTCGTAATGTGATACTGTTGTCGTGGTATGTACCCTCGGCTACAGTCTGCCTACGAGAAAGTCCGGCATTGTTCACTGCGACTTTTCAGCACAGGGCTCTGATACTTGAAAATTCGTCATTCCGAAAAGTTACAACCGTTCTTACCTAGGATGGTGGGCTGGCCCACCTCTTCCCGAACTTGTGTACAAACGGCACGGATCTCTTTTTCGTCGCTCAGATCACAACGATGGTACGACATATGTTTGGTTTCTGAATCTCAGCGTTCTTGTCACATTTATGAGGATCATTCTGATTACCCCTTGCGATATTTGGCTGACTAAAACCAAACACTATCACACTCACCTTATCTGCGAGTAGTCGCTCTACTACAGTGGCTCCAATGCCACTGCTGCCCCCCGTAACCACAACAATCTCTTTTGTCCAATCATAGGTGGGGTCAATGGTCCAGTTGTTTCTGCTTTTATAGCTAAGAAATTCGTTGATCCAGATTGCAACGCTTATAATGGCCGACCAAAAGATAGGCCTTTCAAGTCCAGGCCATTGTGATGTTAATTTCACATAAATCAGGGCACACAAAGTGAGTGCTGGGCGAAGCAGGGTCTTTATCGTGAAAAAGATGATTGGGTCGGTGTAACACCCCTCTCTCGGAAAGGTACCCGGGTGGAATCTCATCTTAATCTGATTTAATGATAGACATCTCTAAGGAGCGCGACATGACTTATATAGCTTACAAATCTCCATTTACCCCAGAAACTTAGGGGGAAAAGTTGATCACCTTCGGATATATTCCGGAGTACGAGATCCACCTGAGTCGCCCTTGGTATAAGCCTCGGCTGCAACCAAGCTTCTTCGTTTAAGATCAAAAGTATCGACTCTGTGCGGGTGTAATGCTGTGATGTGGTGGAAGAGCTGGCTGAGGGCTTGGATAGCCTGGAAGGTTGTTATCGGCCATGTTTCTTGCACATACTTCGGTTGCGCTCAGTTGATATTGACACCTAGGACAACGGACAAGAAAGTTTGATGACACAAAACAGTAAATCATGAACAGGAAGAACCATAAGACGGAGTTTACCATCCCCTTGCTCGACGGGACGACGGCCTATCCAAATAAATACGACTACATGTTGAAGTGACGCTCATTCTCAAGCTTGACTCACCTGACAAAGCAGAATATAGGCATACCGAGTTCTTTGATTTCACATCTTCACGTGATTGAGCTTGGAACTTTTTTCAGGTGGCCCATGCTCTGGAGTGCGGGGAATCTGGGGTAGTTGCTTAAGTAAATCTCTTCTTGGGGAAATCCGCGGGATGAGGTCCGACAAGTAAGTGCTTTTAGGCCCTACAGTAACAGTGCATCACAGTTTAGGTGATATTTGCCCTCAATTTCATTCGTGAGACTCCATAATGATAGTTTGATGTTAGACTGCTTGACGTTAGACTGTTTAAGCGTGTCCACGAGATCAATGAATAATCAAATCTGTCCTTTTCAAATCACATTCAAGTCACGGTGGAAATATCAAATCTCTACCCGAGGTGTAAGCTAATGTTCGGAACGGCATCCGTTAAATAGAGGGGCAATGAAGTCGTAGCAACCCAAACACATTCCGAGACCAGGCTCTTGTCAAAAATTATAAATACATGAGAACCATCTCATCTCATCAGGCTAAATTCTAAGCAGTACCGATCAAGATGAAGTTTTCTCACAATCTAGCATATTCTCATTTTGCCACCGGTCGTCTTTTGCATTTGGCACTTGTGTTCTTGACTTGTGCAAATGTCGCCCTGGGCTTTTTAACCAGACCACCAAAGATTGACACCCACCACCATTTTGTGCCTGACTTCTACGCAGAAGGTAACAATCGGATTCAATATCTTTGTAACTTACTGATCAAGTCGAATAGCCCTCACAGAGGCTGGAGGAGACCCGTCTGGTTGGCCTACTCCTCAATGGAGCCCTGAGTTGTCTTTGGAGAATATGAAGGAAAATGGAATCAACAAAGCAATTTTATCGTTGACTGCTCCAGGAGCGACAATTGCAGAAACTGATCAGGGCGCGCGCCAGCTCGCTCGCCGAGCCAATATGTACGCAGCGGGCTTGCGCGACAAGCATCGTGACAGATTTGGATTTTTCGCTGCCATGCCTTCGCTAATGGACGTAAATGGTACCTTAGCCGAGGTAAAGTATGCACTTGATGTTTTGAAAGCTGACGGCGTTACGTTGTTTACACGGTACGGCGATGAAAACAACTACTTGGGCCATGAGATATTTGCACCGATTTGGAGCGAGCTTGATAAGCGCAAAGCAGTCGTCTTCATCCATCCTACACACCCGGTTGACCTAGCGAGGGTTAATCCACTCCTTCCCCAGCCATCAATAGATTATCCACAAGAAACCACCAGGGCCGCCGTTGACATGATCATCAGCAACGTCACCCAGCAGTATCCGAACTGTGTCCGAATTTTGTCCCATGCCGGTGGAACACTTCCGTACCTTATGTCGCGGCTTGCTGTTACATCACGCGCAACAAGATACACCAAGAAAACGTGGGGGAAAACATATGATGATTTGATGGATGACTTTCGGTCTTTCCATTATGACTTGGCTTTGTCTAGCTCCCCTGCAGTATTGGAACTTCTACTGGAGCTTGTGCCCTATGACCATATAACATACGGTAAGCCGCAGGCGTGATATAGCCCGGAACTTACTAACATTGTTGATTATCGCGTAGGATCTGACTTTCCTTACGCCGATTCGGAAAAGATTGCTGGTTTTAGGGAAGATCTGGATTCATTTTCAATGAACAAAGGTTTGCGCGAAATGATATACTTCAGAAACATAATGGGCTGTCGCTAGATCTATATCCAATCTGTTGAGACATTCATGAGGAAATTTCGGTACTTATTACCCGACCATTTTTGATTTCCGGAAGCTAATTGGTGGGCAGTGGTCTACAAGGGGCTAGGCTTTATGTTTTGTAACACAATTTTTGCTGTGTTGTGATTATACTGGGGTATTTGGTAATGAACCCGATTCATCTTTGAGAATATGTGGTCTGCTCTGAATTTGATCTTAATTGAGCTCCGCTTTGCTATTTTTTAATATCATGCAACTTCCACCTACCGTCTAGACCATAAATCGCTTTATTATCGAGGAGTTATATCGCCATATCCAACTAACATTACTTACATACGAGGTTTCTATATTTTAATATAACAATGCCCCTACGTATTTTAGTGGGGGAATTGTCGACGATGAGTGATCTTGGGTGATCTCTGATTGGAGGATATCTTTCCTAGTACACAGTCCTTTCAAGATATTGCTTCGCATATTCGATAGGGAGAGAATCAACTTCTACACATCTTTCGCTGAAGCAGCATCTGTTTCCTCTCTGAGAGGCTTCATGTGTGTCAGCTCATTACAGGGATACTTGATTCTCTACGTGTTCTGTAGGGTATTCTGGGTATACTCGGAACCCAGCGCCCTAACGCGCTAGACAGCGAAGTAGGGGATATTCAACATTCCCCCGCCTACACATTCAACTAGCTAGACATCATCAAATTGAGCATCTCGTTCTATTGGATCCCAGCTTTCCTAGCCGATACCATAAACTACTATATTGACATAAACTTCTAGGAATGATTTATAATAGTATGAAGCGTTCCTAGAAAAAGGGAATTTTAATTCCTCCCGACTCCGTGGGAACGTTTCCACCGGTGCCTTTAGGTTTCGCCAAGAACTGCGCCTCCCCGATTCGGTATAGATCCGATTTTTCGAGAGTATACAACTGCATCGCCTCAATAATCATTGCATTGACAAACATAATTCCCAAAAAGAACGGAAGGTAGGAACCTAAGTCCGACAGGAATTTGTGTCTCGACAAGGCTATCTGGTAGTGACCAATGGTCAGTGTCTGGACTCGCTTGCCAAGACCGGCACCTACTAATTGCGGGACAGATTACCGACATAATAATGTAACATCCGTTCTGTCGAAGATAAGACATCTGATTCACTTAATCTGCATTTGTAATTCGAGTGAATAGGCCAGGGTTTCAATCTGTATAAATAGCGAGCTTCTCACAGAATTTATCACTAAAGAACCCCATTCAGACCTTTCCCCTGCCATGAGTGGAACAGTTATCATCACCGGAGCCAATGGCTCATTGGCCCTTGGCTTTGTCAAATCTTTCTTATCTGAATACCCTCAGCGTACCTTGGTAGCCACCGTTCGCAACCAGTCTCCTGAAAAAGACCCAAATACCGCCAACCTTCTACGCCTGGTTAACGAGTACCCAGAAGCGAATTTCTACCTGGAAGCTCTCGATCTTGGAAGTCTAGCTGGTGTCAGGTCCTTCGCTGAAAAGCTTTCAGCCCGGATTGCCTCAAAGGAACTTCCACGTATTTTAGGAATTGTCTGTAATGCCTCCACTTGGTCGCTCCAGTCGGGGCAGAAGTTTACATTGGATAACTACGAGGCCACCTTCCAAGTCTGTCACCTATCTCATTACTTGCTGGTTCTGAAGCTGCTCAGTAGCATGGACACCAAATCTGGACGCATCGTCATGCTCGGCTCCATCACTCATTACCCCGATAAGCCGAACCCCTTGTCTTCGCTTGGGCCATGCTTCCCTGACGACTTCGAAGAACTGGTTAAACCAACGCTAGACCCAACGAACCTTGTTCATGACCGTGGATTCCAGAGATACGCGACAGCTAAACTTGCAAACGTGACATTTGCAAACGACCTCAACAAACGACTCCAGAAAGTACGTACAACCGGACTGTGAGCATCCAAAAGCAATCGACTCACATATTCTGACAGGACCTCAAGCTATCAAATATTACCGTCACAGCCATGGATCCCGGTGGTCTTCCTTCGTCAAGAGCTCAAGCGGGGCAGAAGAGATCGACTAGGTTTCTGATGGGGGCAATCAACTTTCTCATGCCGGTCCTCAAGCACTGCACTACATTATTCCGCACTACGGAGGATGCTGGCCGAGATCTGGCCACTGTGAGTTCTGATCCGACATTTACGGGGAAAAGGGGATATTATGTTGGCATTAAGACGGACTTTGCAGCACCAGTCAGCCAAGATCCGGGCATACAGAAGAAGCTTTGGGAGTGCTGCTGGAGGTGGGCAGGTCTGACACCCGCAGATACCCCTCTTAAGAATATCGTCTAAAGTTGACTTGTTTGAAGAGTTGTTAGGTGGTATAGTAATATAGCTCTATATTATCTCTCCACCTATAAGCCAAATTATTCTGGCATTTGCCCCAGAATGGGTGTTTGTCAATGGTTCCCAGTGAGGGCTGCGAGAGGGGTGTCAAGGGCGGGCGGTTCGGTGCTGATGGAACATTCTCTATATCATAACAGCCAAACTCCTGCATTTGGCGCCTCTCAAATATGAATAGTAAATGATGTAATCTTTATTCGAATAGAGACCCTTTGGCACTATATTTAATTAGGAAGCTTAGCTTTCTGGTGCAAATATCAACGTGCTAATTGTCATAAAACAAATGACCTTATCCACTATACTAATTTAGAAATAGCTAGAGATATGCCAACAGACATAGACTAATGTGACTCCGCGTATTAGGAGGTAAACAAGTCTTAGATAGAGACGAGATGAAGGTGTTGATATTCAGGAAGGAAAGGGGAGAGCGTGAGAAAGAGGCTATCAGAACACACAGGATCGGGCTAGTCCAGATCTGGCGAGGACAAAGCCACGAGCACTAAGGACGTATTAACTACTGAGTCTCAGCCTGAGCACTCTCACAAAAGTGGTAGCGGCCAAGATATGAAAGTCCCACTTGTCAGACATTATGTGGTCTATAAAAGTGCATGGAGTCAAATCAGTATGGTATTCCCTGCAGCTGCAGTGGATATTTGGCGGCAAAGTTCTTTCTAGATCGTATTAATGGACATGTTACTTTTATAGCGAGAATTTTAACATCAACATCCCGCATAGTCTAGAGGTTAGGATCACCCGCTTTCACCGGGTAGGCCCGGGTTCGATTCCCGGTGCGGGAATTTTTTTGCTCATCAACATTTTTTAGAATCTAGCGATTTATTTATATCATCATTCACTGAATGCATTTGAAATTAAAAAATTTTTCAATCTTATTTTGGACCAGAGAAAGCCTTGTTATACAATCTCCAGTCAATTGCGACAAGAAGCTTCGACCCGGGAATGGATCAGTCCCGTCGTAGAGGACATCTATATCAGCTAGTAGCCACCCAATTCAACAATTTGGGTTCAGAGCTGAAAAAGCCGGTAGAGCACAGTGGATGATTTTTAAAATATCATACTGGAGTTTTTTTTATTCATTGGCTTTCTATCTTTGTCACGCCTGCAAGACATTGAGATAGATCAAGTCATTCTTGGGCATAGCTTTCTTCGAATCACTGTCGTTATGATTGCCCAATTTGAGTCATGCTTGGGCTTATTTTCATACCATACCTTGACGTGTATTGATTGGATCCTTTGAAATCTGATTATCTACGCCCTAATTCTCACAGTGGTAAATGGTGTTCTTTTACTGCCGTCCATCCATGAGCTATTATGTATAGATAATGCTTCAAGAATCATATGATAGTACCAAAGTGAGGAATCCGCGTACCAATATTAGGCCATGGGGGCTTCAAATATATAACGCTGAGGTAAACACAAAAGTCACATGGCATGGTTATATAAAAGCAAGAAAACTAACATTATATATTTCTCGAAAAATTAACCTGGGCGATGGTCTTGCTACCACATCGACGATTTTTTCAAAACTTTCGAAACTTAGACCTCTGGAGGTATTAGATATAGAGGCTCTCTTCGAGCATTTGGAGCCGACAATACAGATTCAATCGAAGTGAGGTTCACCCTTGCGAACAAAATTATTTCTTAAATCCTCTTTTCAAACCCACCAAACTGATAGATGATATAGGAAAATATCATAACTAATAGGTAATCATTGCAATTTATGGGCATAAATTTGGAGCAAGGTATTCTGTTTCTCCTATATTATGATTTTTGGGCTTCGCCACCATTTTCCAGCCACAACAGATAAATAAAACTGCCACGCGCATTCTCCGCCTTAATGGTCACAAGAAAGGAGCGGAGACCGATTGTGACGGACCCCACATCTAATCCCGCACCTAAAGTGTAGCACAAGATAATGTCTTGAAACTCCCACAAATAAGATCATCTCATTGTTCTAATTTGATTGTTGAAGAGCCTTAACAAGCCTCATGGTTTGTGCTGCCCATCGGCCGCCAGTATAACGTCCTAAACCAGCGTCTATAGACCTCGGAATGCGGCTCGTATGTGACAACTCGGCTATTTTAGGCAATCTGATTCGTAGTGATATCCCAGTCTTTTGTCCATAAATGATGGTTGGTAGAACTTTACATGTCGAAATATTTCTGAAAATTATAACTGGGGGTTTACGGACTTAATAAGCTAGATCCTGCGACACTTGGCCCCTTTATAATCCGGCCCCCGGTTCCTCCAAAACATCTTCTCTCAATATTGTGAAAAATTTTCATCTATTTTGAACACCATGCTTGAATTCGATGCACTCGTCCTTGGCGCCGGCTTTGGTGGCTTATACCAGCTCAAGCGTCTTCGAGAACTTGGACTGCAAACGGTTGCGATAGAAAAAGCACCTAGTGTGGGTGGAACATGGTACTGGAACCGGTACCCAGGTGTGATGAGTGATACCGAAAGCTATCTTTATCGGTATTCGTGGGACAAAGAAGACTTGCAGACATATCCCTGGTCACATCGTTATGTTCAAGGGCACGAGGTCCTCGAATACCTCAATCACATTGCAGACAAGCATCAACTCAAGAGGGATATTCATTTCAATACAACTGTGAAATCAGTCAAATGGATTGCGGAACGAAACAAATGGTACATAGAGAGCGACAAGGGTATTTACACTGTCAGGTACTTCATCGGAGCAATTGGGCTACTATCTGTTCCCGTATTCCCAGACATACCTGGACGGGAGAATTTCAAAGGAACTAGCGTGCATTCAAGCCGGTGGCCTCAAGACTTGGATTGTTCCAATAAACGTGTTGGCATCATTGGATCCGGGTCCACGGGGGTTCAAATCATCACTGCTTTAGCACCGAAGGTGGAAAGCTTGACATGCTTCCAACGCAATCCGCAGTACACTGTGCCAAGTGGAGACAGACCAGTCACTGTCGAAGAGCGGAAATGGATCAACGAGAATTATGATAAAATTTACGCGGACATGAAAAAGTCCTCAACCTGCTTTGGATTCATTGAAACAGATGTCAAGTATGCTTCGAAGACACCCAAAGAACGGGAAGCCATTTTCGAGTCCTTATGGCAGCAAGGGAATGCATTCCGGTTCATGTTCCTCAGCTTTGGAGATATCACTTATAGCAGAGAGGCTAACGAGGGCGCATGCAATTTCATTCGCAAGAAGATTTCGCAGATCGTGAAAGACCCCGTGAAGGCCCGCAAGTTGCAGCCAACGCAGCTTTATGCCAGACGGCCCTTGTGCGACAATGGCTATTATGAGCAATTTAACCGGAAGAATGTCGAGGTGGTCAATCTTCAGGAGACGCCAATTGTGCAAGTCACCCCAGATGGCATCCAAACCCAAGATGGGAGTGTCCACGAGCTCGACATTATTATCTATGCCACCGGTTTTGATGCGGTCGAAGGAGCGTATAATCAAATCGAGATAATAGGCTCACGGGGCGAAACTTTGCGCCAGCGCTGGGACAGACTTGGACCAACGAGCTATTTAGGAATTTCAGTACCAGGATTTCCAAACTTTTTTATGGTCACTGGTCCCCAAAGCCCATTTACAAATCTACCTCCCGCAATTGAGGTACACGTTGAACTTATCACCACCTTGATTAAGGATTCCGAAGCAACTCGTTTATCGGCAAATCCAAAAGTTGTGATAGAGGCGTTGGATTCAGCCGAATCTTATTGGATGAAGAAATGTGAAGCATACGCCGCACGTTCATTGTTTGCAGAAACACCATCGTGGCTCTTTGGACAGAATGTTGTCGGGAAGAGACCAGCGCCCCGGACCTTTCTCGGCGGAATGAATGGTTATTTGGCAGAAATAAAGAAAGTCCTCCAAAACGACTATGTGGGTTACAAGCCAATCAAAGTGAAAGAAACCTCAAAAATGGGCTTAGCAGGACGCAAACGTGCCGCAAATCAGATCAAAAGCTTGATTTGAAGACGAACCAGTCAGAAGGCATAAAAAGTTGAACAGGGCAGAAATGCAATATTCGTACAGAAAATTGGCCAGGGTCAGGCGTGTCCCAATATTCTAGGGCAGCGATTATTTGTAGGGACATCCTGTGAACCACTTTCTATGAATATCAACGGGTGCAGTGTCACAATATCTCAGGAAGCCTGTATCTGAGACATGAATTTTTGATAAGATCTCTGAAGTTTTTAATTCGTATTGCAAAGAAAATATTGTGAGAATGCCTCGTTAGCCGGGTAGATTGTATAGTTTCCTACGCCTAGAGGGCCTGATTTCCAATTTGGGAATAGTGGGGATCGCCTCGCCGCGGCCACGCTTTTCCGAACGCCCCAGAGTTTACGAGAGCAGGACTCACGATTACCCTCCTCGACAACTCTTTCTTTTGCGAAGTTGTTATTAACGGGGAAGCCCTGTTGTTTTGAGCCTATCACTTCGGAGCAGTTGTTTGTGAGACGTCTTGTTGCGACTGTCGCGCCCTTGAAGCCCGATCAGCGAATCGCGTGCGCCTCGTGAGTTATCCCTGGAAAGCCCAGAAGTTCGTTTCGCAGCGCTGTTTGTCGAGTTATTCAGCCAGTCCTGACCTTCAAATTGCGCAAAAGGTTATACCATTGCTCGTGAATCCACGATATCCAGATATACACCTGCTCGATTGCCCTGGGCGTCGTCTCCGTGTCCTCCGCTCGCGACAAAAGACAGGCTGTTCCACCTGCCCCCCGAACCACAAGTCACGCTCTCAACGACTGACGCATCAAGACGATCTGCATATAATATTCACCGGTATACACCGTCTAGAGTCGCCCGTGAACCTCTGCGGTTCTTAATTTCATTAATCCCCCCGCGAAACGCCATGGCAACTCCTGCTGCCTTGCCACCATTGCCCTTCAATCCCGGACGCGTACGGTCCTACCTAGTACGCTTGCCTTTATTCACACGGCTCGTACTTCTCGTCATTCTCGCATTCTGGCTGTTAGAATTCCAAACGATCTGGAGTGTGGTACAATGGGGCGCGTTGATTCCAGAGGAGATCAACCTAGGGACCAGTACGTGGCTTTACCCCAAATTGAATTACCGACATGCATGTTGTTGGCTGGGGCGTTCTAATGGCCGATATAGTGTATCGACTAAATACCTATCCCATCATTCACACGGGGTTCTTCCACGCAGCATTGAATACCTTGGCGTTGACACCGCTCTTGGAACGGTTTGAGGCGGAGCATGGGACCCTCACATCCATCGCCTTGTTTATCGGACGTAAGTGGAACCAAGCATTTGACTTAGCACAAATGGCCGCACTTCACCATTCTTCCTGCAAGTCTCTCGTATTCCTTGGCTAACCCTGTCTTTTCCGTAGCACTGTCGACGGTCCCCGCCGGATTGTACATTTTGATTGAGAAGTTCATTCTACACAGCAACACTTCAGTTGTTGGCTCTAGGTGCGTTCTATTTGTAGCAGACAAGAAACAGAATCAGTAACTGATAGCTTCATGCAGTGTCTGGGTCTTTCTCCTCCTCGGTTCTGAGGCTATCAGGACATTCAAATCCAACCCTTACTTCAGGTAAATTTGCACCACTGGTATATTTATTTGGCTGCTACTGACAATAGAAAAGCCTGGGCCCGTATAAAATTCCTACCTGGACATCGCCTTTGTTCGCTTGCGTAGTCCTGTCGATTCTTGTTTCGAACGTGAGCTTCCTTGGCCATCTCTGCGCCATTCTTGTGGGCTATTTATGTAAGTTCTCTGCCTCCCCTCCCTTCCCAAGGGGACGTGACCTCGACCTTTTGATAGTTTACTGACTTTAACAGTCGGACTCGGGTATTTGAAGGTGTTCGTGCCCCCGGAGAAGGTCCTGCGTTGGATCGAGGGCAAATTGAATCTTCTGGGCAGGCTGCCACACTATGTTTCGGTCGACCAGAAGACGTACGGGCGCTATGGTGTTCTGCCTTCGAGCAACGGAGCCAGCATCGCAGGAAACCAGACTCCAATGAGCTATCTGGGAACCACCCAACGCCTGGGCGCATGATTGTGCAGCTTACATCGAGGTTTACTCATATTAATTCCCTGTGTATATTTTGTCATAGTCTGGTTTTATTATCTGGAAGGGGGTGCAAAGGTTGGAGGACAGGGGGAAGGGGTATTGGATCATAGCATAGCGATTGCATCTATAATTCTGCACGTTTGGTCTTTTCCGCCCGGCGTAAATTCCACGTAAACACCACCGAAGCTCCGCGGACCACTCCAAGTTGGCCTCTTGCCGTCAAGCCTCCCGGATTCCAATTGACGGACTGGCCGTCACAGAGTGGGAATATATTCCCCAATGGTTCTCATCCGATGGCGCTAAAATGTGAGTGTTTAAGAATCAGTCTGTCGCCGAACTGAGTCCCTTTTTCAATACGACCCTGAGAAAACAAGGCAGTGAAACTAACATGGAATACCAGCTGCGATCCGCAACTTGCGGAATAATCCTCACTTACTCTTCGTCCGTCTCCCGAATCTCTTGTCCTTCCTATGTATTGTTGTCGGCGTGGTCTGGCTTCTCCTTCTCCCATTGAACGACTATTCGCGAAACACCTATATCTCCGAGAATGCGCTACTTCCCGGCCAAGTACATGCCTATTTCACGGGCAGTGAACAGAACATCTTCCGTGGATATAAAAAAGAACTGGAAGGATTGGTGACTGAAGGGCGTGAAAATGGACCTCAAAACCCCGAGTTGGAGTTGACTCCAGCGTACGTGAATAGCAGATGAATGATATGAGGAGGACGATGTGCTGATAATAATCAAGGATATCTAATAAGTTCTATTCAATTTTGCAAGCGGCAGGGTTGAAGGTCGCAACCCAGAGATACGAGTACACATCCGCGGGTATCACACACCAGGGAGAGAACATCTATGGAATCATTCATGCGCCTCGAGGCGATGCAACAGAGGCAATCGTGTTAGTTGCAGCATGGAAGACAGCAGACGATGAGATGAACCTGAATGGTGTTACCCTTGCCTTGACCCTTGCGAGATATTTCAAACGTGAGCTCTCCACCGTCTGATCGTTGACTTTGGTGCCTGCTAATCCCATGCTCCATAGGCTGGTCGCTTTGGTCTAAGGACATTATCTTCCTTTTCACGCCTGACAGCAAGACTGGTACTCAGGCATGGATCGACGCTTATCATGATCTTCAGCCAGTATCGGTGCAACCCCTACCGTTGAAGAGTGGTGCATTGCAAGGAGCATTGGTGATTGAGTACCCGTTTGACCATCGCTTCGAAACCCTTCATATTGTCTATGATGGTGTCAATGGCCAGCTGCCAAACCTGGACCTTTTCAACACGGCTGTCGCTATTGCAGGCGGACAGATGGGTATTGGGGCCAATCTGCAAGAGATGTGGAATCATGACGACAGCTACGAGGCGCGCTTGCAAACGATTCTGCGCGGCATGACCAAACAGGGTCTTGGCTATGCCACCGGAGCCCACAGCAGCTTTATGCCATACCATATCGACGCGATAACTCTACAACCCAAAGGCAATGGGTGGGAAGATGAAATGGCACTGGGACGGACCATTGAGAGCCTTTGTCGCAGCCTGAACAACCTTCTGGAGCATCTGCACCAAAGCTTCTTCTTTTACCTGCTCATGCAGACGAATCGTTTCGTCAGCATTGGTACTTATCTCCCCAGTGCCATGCTGATTGCGGGTAATTTTACTATCATGGCAATTGCGCTGTGGATGCGGACTGGCTATTACTCAGACGGCCAGTCGACCAGCTCTGCCAGTTCTGCGCCTTCAAAAACCAAGAGCGAAGAGGTCTCCAGCTCGGATGCTAAACAACCTCAGAAGATCGTTGCTGAAACGAAGCTGAACGGTACCGTTGTTGAGGAGCGCTTGCTAGCCCTGCCTCTAACACTTGTTTCTGGATTGCATTTGCTTGGTCTTGTTCCCCTCTGGATCTTCAACACTATTTTCCACCAGGTGAGCTCTACGTGATTGAAGTGATACATCAATTTTTGCTGACTGTCGTAAAAGTACTTTACAACTGCGACATATATCTTTGTTGTCGTTGATCTCGTCTTACCTCTAGTTCTGGCCGCATTACTCTGCAATGGTCTTGGTCTTGGCACTCCCATTGTACCGCAGCAGTACTTGTTGATCAAATCATTCGCCCTCCTTCTGCTGGGTCTCTCTCTGTCCACATTGGCGACCCTCAACTTCTCCCTTTCCTTCATGATTGGCCTCCTCTGCGCACCACTTAGCTTCATTGCTCGCGTTCAAGGCCCGGCACCTGTTCGGTATGCCGTTTCCACCTTGGGATTGATGTTTTTGAACCTGCTCTCGCCGCCCATAGTTCTTCTGGGTGCCTGTTGGTACACTGGAGCCTCGGTTGAGACAGTACTTACCCAGGCCGCTTTTGGCTGGGATGTTTGGGGCATGTGGACGCAAGTGGTGGTGTGGTGCGTGTGGTGGCCAGCCTGGCTGATCGGCTGTGTACTCCTGGGATCCTCAATGTTTTAGCTCTTTAGCAGGCGCCAGCCACCCATTGCATCTGATTTATAAAACAAGAGTAATTTACAATTTAGAAATAAAGAACAAGCATACGAAATGCAGTACACACGCCGTTTCATTCATTATAGATAAAGCGGACATAGAGAATACATTTAAACCGTCTATGCAGCCCAGACATCCTTGCCAACACCCTCAATCCAATGACCAAGCTGATTCACACCGGCATCCCAGTCCTTCAAGCGGTTCCGCATGCCATCGATCTGCTTCATATCCAACACCTTGGGCTGTACCCAGTGAATCTGTGCAACCTGCGCGACCTGATCAATTGAACCCTTTAGCAAGCCCAAGGACAGCGCCTTCATCACCAGATGCTCGATCTCATCGGGCTGCACCTTCGTCTCGGAGGCGATAGCAGTGAACGCGAGGGAGCGGTCATGCGGCGGACGCCGGAAGACCATCTCCGTCAGCGCGGACAGCGAAATCTTCTGATACAGGAACTGGCGGTGTGACTCGAGCAGCTTGTTCTTGCTGATGTTCCCGGCGAGGACATCGTAGGCGGTCAGGTCGCCCCGGTTGAAGGCGAAGAGGAGGTCGCGCAGCCAATTGTGCGGGGTCTCAGTCAAGGAGTCCAGGATCGGGTGCAGGAGGAGCTCGCCGAAGTTATAGATGGAGTCGGAGACTAGTGCGGCGACGCTGAGGTTGTAGGCACGCGAGACGCGCTCGCTCTCGGGAAGTTCTTCGAGGTCGATACAGGCCAAATATAGGAGGGCGTTTTTGTAGAAGGAAGCGAATTCTTGTTTAGCCTGGGAAGGGATTATTAGTATTCGACCAATTATGGAGGACCCGCAAATCCTTTCCGATGTCGATCGTCAAGTCTAGGGTTAAGTTGGATGAAGGAACGTACGTGGTAGTAGTCGGCGTTGACTTTGTAGAATGACGCATGCACAACGGTCTCGACCGAGTCGAACGAGTCCAGGGCTGTTTGACAGGACGCCAGGTCCTTCTGTGCGCCATCAAAGTCTGGTAGCCGCAGCTTGACGTTGGCAGCTTCGGCCAGCGCATAGACGTACGCATCTTGTGATTCGGGCTTGTCAACCTTGTCGGCGAGGGATGTGAGGAAGGCGAGGCGTTCTTTATCATCTAAAGGGCCGAAGATGGTCAGCAATTTGCCTCAAAGACAATGCCATGACGAGGAATCCTTCTTTATATATATTCAGATGGTGAGCTCACCAGCACATTCCGTTGATGCCATCAACCCCAAACCCACGAACTTAAGTTGGTTGATCCGATCCGCGAAGCTGAGGACGAAGGTCTTGAAGATAGCTAAGCGTTGGGGAGCACTCTCTGGTAGACGGAAGAACTCCACCAGTGCATCGGTCAGCTGGTGCCATAGCTTGCGCTCCCAGAAGTCTTCGAAGGTCAGGAAGTAGGTCTGTGTCTCCGGGGTGCCTTGCGCTTGCTGCTCGGCCAAGAAATCGGGGATCTTGGAGGACTCCATGACGGAGAGCGGGGGTGGTCGACGGGTATGGAGTCCGAGATGCGATCACAGACACACAGAGATGGCGAGACTGGTGATAAATAAAGGCAAAGAAGGGAGAATCGTCAGATATGGGGATTAGAGAACGATGGGTGGACGGAGCTGATGATGTCTTTCGGGCAGTTTGGAGCTCGCGGGCGGTGAGGGAGCTGCGTTGGCCCTGAATGCTCCCCTCCACAAACAGACCGACTCGATCTTCCACTACACATTGTACAAGTAGTGCGGTATTGGATATGATGATTGTACATTCTTTGCCTTTTTGAAAATATGCCTCCGTGAGAAATCATGGTGGAATATTATATGAAATAACATGTTTGACAGGTTGTCTGTTTGCTAAAGGGTGGAGATGCTTCGCGACTCTCTCATGTCAACAGAGAAATATCGCGAGTTACTCTACAGGCAAGCCTTGAGCGGCCGGAGAAATTGATTATGAACCTTAAATTGTTCCAAGTCTCCGGGGGCCATTAAGTTCGCAAGGAGGAAGACGGATGTCCCCGAGACTGTGGTGGTGGAAACTCTGGAAGTATCCGAAGATGTCTCCGAGCCGCATCATCAAAAGCATAAAAGACCGCCTTGGTTCCATGATGCAGCTCTCCTCATAATCTACATTCTTCAATTTCCTGCTCATCACACATTGTTACATCCCCAAAAAAAATACTCAACTCAAAGCTCACAAGATGACCGAATTCACGGAGGCCAACCGCAAATATTTCGAGTAGGATCATCTTCGTTCAACTGAGATCAATATATAGCAAGCTAACTTTGCGCTCATGATAGTCAGATGGCTGCCACATACAAGGCGGAGTTTTCCGAAGCCATAAAAATGTTGTCAGAACAGACCCTCAAGCATCGACTCTGGCTCAGTGACCGCTGGGTAGATACCGACGTTGGCAAGGGTCAAGATTTGAAGATGCTCGAATACGCATGCGGTCCTGGTTACATCTCGATGGTGAGTGTGACAATATACCGATCCTTCGGATCCCTAAACCAGACTTTGTGAGAAGTCGCATGGCTAATATCAACCCCACGAACAGACACTCGCGCCATTTATGACGAAGATTGTTGGCCTTGACGTCTCTGATAAGATGATAGACGAGTTCAACCAAAATGCTGGTGCCATGGGGCTGAGCGACAAGATGGTCGGCCACAAGGCTGATATTTTGGCTGAGACTGCCCCGGCCGAGTTCTCCGGGCCTGATTTCCACGATTTCGACTTGGTGGTTGTCAGCATGGCGCTCCATCACTTCGAGCACCCAGACCTTGCCCTCCAACGGCTTACAGCGCGGTTAAAGAAGGGCGGTGCACTCATGGTCATTGACTTAGTGGCTTCCTCTGGTCATGGCGACGGGCACGGACATAGCCATGGCCACAACGACCACACACATGATTTCGGAGAAGCCAGGCACACGGTCAAGACCCACGGGTTTTCGCGAAACGATATGCAGCAGTTGTTCCAGAATGCTGGATTGACCGAGAAGTTCGACTTTGAGGTGATTCCAGAACCATTGGTGTTCAAAAAGAACGACAAAACATTCCAGAAGACGGTTTTTATCGCTCGCGTTGGGCGCGCATAAGGGTAGCGCTTGTGCTATATGCTTTCCCGGTTATTTCACTTGAGATGTTCTTCTCAGTCTTGTGAATGTCACTATATGGATTTCTATCAAAAGATGACATGCCATTATGGTATCTATATGTATCTGGGCGATACGATGCTTACATACTGAGGACGCGAAGAATATTTTTACATAAGAGAATGATGTATCGAGTTTCTCGTACTGAGCACTCCGTGGTTAGATAGCGACGCTCAAAGTCCTACAGAGTCGCCCGATTGAAATTGTCCGTCGTAGTCTGCAGCTTTCGTCCAAAAACCTGTTTGAGGACCGCCGTGGCGCAGCGGAAGCCGCGAAACTGAACGCCGGCTGATTACCCACGAGTAAATACCTCCTTTCTTGAAGTCCCAAATGTTGATAGTGATTGCAGTCATCTATCTCATAGAGGCTTCTGGCAAAGGGTCTTATTGATAGACCTTGTACATGTATAGCATGGTGAGTGTTCTACGAAGTTCCATCCGGATTGATAAAAATAGAGTCAAATGGCCTTCGAGATCGGAGGTTCGGCATTCGATTTTAAGGGGCAAAACAACGCGAGCCAAACTTGCCAGCCTGCAGGATTCGGACTGGCCGACCAAAATGTGCCAAAACGCCTCCCAAGCGCCCCCAAGGACCCTTTTGAGGCTCACTAGTTGGCCAGAAGACCTCTATGCTAGGGTCCAGGGGTCTCCGATTGTCCAATCGAACTGCCGCCCGGGACGCCACTTGTTTCTTGGCAGGGATCCGGACTGCCTGGCGCTCGCTTCTGGGGATCTCGATGGGCCTAAATAAAAAGATATGGTCGGTGGCTTTTGACAGAGAAGGCGAGAGCCCCGGGTGTCAGCGCCCGAGGAGATGAAGAGCCTATAACTAGCTCCGTTCCTCGACACGATGACAGCCTAGGAACATCTTCCCGTCACTCGTTTCTGTTGAAGTTCCTCCTTTGCATTGCGTTATTCCCTCGTTCTTAGACCCTCGCAACCATCGCAACAATGAAGACCTTCACCTTGCCTATTGTCCTCGGCCTCGTGACGCTCGCAACTGCTCGCACCGACATCAGCGGCTGCATCTCGTCGCAGACGACCAACCAGTGGCATGAAGCCAGCATGATCTGGTATGTCCCCGACACTGGCGAGATCTGCGACTTCGTCGACTGTGGCGGTGGCCGGGCTCCCCCCAAGACTGACCAGCCTGGCTGCCCTCTCTACACGGGCACTGCGACGTTAACCTCGAGCTATTTGCCTGGATATGGCCCGAGCGGCAAGATGACCGCGGCCACCACGACCGTGTCGGAAACCTCGTCCGCGACCAAGTCGCATTCCTCCGATAGCACTTCTGTGACTCAAGACGGCAGCAGTATGGTGACTACCGCTCCGACCACTTCCCCGGTAGTTTCAATGACCACTACGACTTCGCCCGTCTCGAACTCCGGGAACTCCACTTCCGCGGCCGCTTCTAGCACTCAGACCGGCGGTGCTGCTCAAACTGCGACCTACAATGTTGCGGGAGTTATGGCTGTTGTTGCAGCGGCGCTTGGTGCAATTGCCCTGTAAATCGAAGCTCGGGCACCGGAGTATTTTTTTACATATATTGATTAATAAACGTCATGAGAAGATAGGTGCTTCTTGCACCTCTGACATCTATGTTCTTTCCTGATTTCCGAGAAAAATCCCTTTTTATTTAACTCCAAGAAAACTCTAGAGGTTGACGCTTTTTTAATTTGATGCATGAATGGTTTAAAAGAAAGTCTATGATTTGAATCGCGACTTCGACCATTGATTTGAATATACTAAATGCAATCTATCCCGTTCAATAATTATTGGACGAACTATGCTCTGCTTTCACACAAAGTTTGAAATATTTGCATCATTGTTCCATACATATGATTAAGAGACGATTACTCCCAGTCTCCGTCCAAATCAATTTCCTCTCCGGCTTCCCTTGTTTTTAGCAATTCATCGACGGTCCACGGCTTATACACAAGACCCGATGGGATATTGGTATTTTGGAATGGACTTCCACACAGCAGATGGTCGAGTGCCCTGGAGTAGGTATCTATAGCATAGCGCTCCGGATCATGACGCCAAATCCAAGCTCCCAACAAACCAACCGGCTTTGCTTGGGAAATCTTGGCGTCAGCAGACCGGTGTCTCATCTCCTGGTTAATAACCCCCAGCTTTTGTAGACAAGCGACACGCTCGAACCTGTTTTGGAAGAAGGTAGTTAGTCTAAGCAGATGGTGTTGATGTTAAAACAAGTGGCTCACCTAAGAGTGTTATGAACTCTTGTTGCTTGAGATATATGACTCCTGCCTGCAATTTGTAAGCACGTTGCGACTGACACAGCATCTTCTATACCCTGAGTAGCGCCATTTCCCGACGAGGGAAGGAATGTATGCGCAGCATCGCCTATCTGGATTACTAGTCCACCCGGTGACACCCAGCAAGGCTGAGGGTCTCTCCACATAAGCCTGAAGTCATGGAGTCGGTCTTTGGGAGTTAATTTGATAACTCTATCTGCGACTTCTGGCCAGCCCTCTACTGTCGCTGTTTTGCGAAGGACAATTTCGGGGTCGACAAAAGTTGACCATGTTTCTGATCCTTCTCCAAAATCCTGGGGGTACGAGATTAGCTTATTGAATATTGTCCATGAGGGCTGGAAACCTACCGGATATGTAAGAGACCAAGTCATTTCAAGCCTATTCAAACTGAACATGACATGCATATCTTCACTGCAACCGAATCATATGAGCTGGGCTTCGAAGAATGAATTAATCATAGATACGCACGCCATCCAAAGCTCGACAAGGGGTGTTCCACCCTCCAAAACCTTGAACCGCTCTTGCACAAGGGGGTCTGATGTCGCTAGTTCAGCGGGGAAGGCAGCCCGATAAATTGAATATCCTGTCGGACGGGTCTGTGCCTTGTCACCCATAGTCAGCTTGGAGGATTTGCTTCCGATTCCATCAGCAGCGATAACCACGTCAGCCTCGATTTTTGAACCATCATCCAGTGTAACGCCGGCTTGCTGTGCATCAATTTTCTCAAAATACCCAGTGACTCGTTTGCCATACTCGATCACCAATCCTATTCTTTCAATTTGGTCGGATAGCATCTTGTGGAATTTGGGGCGACTATGTCTGTAAAGCTTGGTCGGGGCCTCAATCTCACCATCATTGGTCCCAGGTGTCTTCTTGATAGGGTCCAATTTTATCGGCGCAGGCCCAGAAATCCTCTCTCCCGTGATTTTATGCCATGATAACCATGGGTTTGTGGAAATTTGCTCATTCTTCTCGGCCATATCCGGCCAGAGCTGCAGCGCACGAATTGCACTAGTACCTATTGTGAAGCTGTCGCCTGACAACATTTATAGATCATGGTTAGTATCATTGGGATTGGACTGAATTCCGACCCACTCTATCGCAAACGCAAAACCAGAGCTCACCAGATAAGAGCCGGGAGGAGCTTTTTTCAACAATTCGAACATCATGTCCTTTACGCCAGCATTCTAAGCCGGCCATCAAACCAGCTACTCCGGCACCCACAATGAGCACAGTGATACCGGATTGCGGACTTCTCTCAGGGAGTTGGCCATGTTGATCACTGGCTCTGAGAGGAGTGTATGTCGATGGTTTCTCGGTTGTGTTGCTCATGATGGAAATGTAAATCTCGAAGGCTGGATAAGGATTATAAGCAAAGATAGTCTTGCTATCATCTGATTTTCTCGAAAATTCAAGATTGAAATATATTTTGCGGGAGAATAAATATTCACTTGACGGGACGGGAACGGAATTCCGTCTTCATGCCACAAGGGGGCAGAATCGGCACCCGGGCAGAAAGCCCTACGAAGTTCATACGGCAGTTAATTCGCTCTAGAGCTTGGAGCAAGACTCAATAAAAACACGGAGCTAAGATGTTTGACTTTCAGATACCATAATATTTTCCCAACCCATCATACCCCAACAATACATTATCAATTTCTCAAAAGTCCACGCGGATCTCTAAAGATTACTTTATATCTTAAAAAAAGATAGCCAAATAAAAGGACACAGTTAAATTATTTGGTAATATCGGTACTTCCATTGCTTGAAGCTTCGTGAAAACTTTACTAGACGACAATGGTAGCAAAAATGGGCTTCAATGATTGAATATCGGATTTTCTTATGAAACATATTATCTTCCTCGAAGACAACTAAGTAAAGTAGATGGAAGATATTACCTCCGCCGGCTCAGCTATTCCACGGTTGAGCATTCGTAGGACTCCAGTAAGGACTGATTTTCATTTCTATATGAGCCCTTCAAAAGCATCCGGCAGGTTTCCAAAGTCCGGGATGGTAAAAAAACTATCTATGGGGACGCTGGACATGAAATCAAAATCTGAGAATACTTGCTGCTCTGTCTGTATTTGAGCTTTCTCCATGGCCCACTTTCTTGAAAGATGCGCCTCCTTAATCATTTTCGTAGCCCGACTGATCTTTCCATAAATTTCCGGCAGCTCATCTGTCTTTTGCTGACTACATCCGCTGGTGCAGGAAGCAGAAAGCTGCACTTCTTCCATTTTTCGTGTCAGCCTGTCAACTGTGTGATCTAGATCAAGTGTCTGTTGCACATAGTCACGATCCCAATCGCCTTTGTCTGTTTGGTACAGGGATAACCTCGATAGAGTTACAATGGCCTGGCCAAATTGGCAGTAGAATGTGAACGGCAAGAGTGGAAATAAAGCGGATGGCAATGAATAAAAATTCTGGAAGAAAAGTTTTGTTGTTTCCAAGCAGCGAAACAGGAGGTCAAGCAGTGTCACCGGGTAATCGCCATATTGAGCATCTGAAAGATCGTTGCCGAGGGAAACGCGATACAAAAGTATCTCAAGGGTATTGTAATGGAAGTCCAACGTGGCTATTTTGAATTGAAAAGGTTATTAGCTAGCAGACTCTTCCAATCTTGGAGCATTGAACTTACCTGATTGTGGGAAATCACACGAGAACGAAGCTTTGAGGGCCTTGATCTCAGATTGATACCCTCTCAGGCTCAGTCCGACTGGAGCCGAGATAATAATAGTGGATTTCGACTCTTGCCCCGAATTTGCACGAAGAATCTTTTCCGCGAGATGCATCGTACGGACCAAATGAACCCCGTATGTATCATTTGGGAACTCTGAAGCATTACATAACGTTTGACAGCATTCATCTGCATAATCTGTAAATTTCAAGGGCTGCATGTCTTTCAGACATACTGAATATCTTCAATATCAATTAGCATACTTAATTGCACCAAAGATTTAGGAAAACTCACATCATGGTAAGATAATAGCATCCCAGAAAGGTGCGTTTTTCTTCCAGGGTGCGAGCTGAAGCTTGGTCATGAACAAGATCATCTTGCCTAAGGTAAGGAGTCGGTTGGCTCTGGATTTTGGCACTATAGTTCTCTTGGTTCAAGCCTAAAGTTATAGCTTGTGCCACAGCTAGATACAGAAATGTATCCAGCTGGTTGTATCCGGGGTCGTGAGCCAGTGAGTCCATGTGTAATGTGTCCGACGCCTGGGGGCGTGAAATTGAAATGATCCACGCCAGATGAACCAGTAGACCTTGCAATAGGTCCAAGCTGCATGTGCTTTTCATAATAATATGATCAGCTATATATTTCTTTGAGGCTTCTTCAAGTTTTCTTTGCTGTTTCGAATCTTGGCAAGCAACAATGGAAATGTTCAAATAGAGAAACGGTTTTTCTAGGCGTAGTTGCTCAGCGGTGACATGAGGTTTTATTGGAATAAAAGGGAAAAATGGAACCATTTTAGTCATGAACAACTCTAAAAGAGCCTTTTCGTGCGTTTCCATCGGTAGAGCGGAATCCCCATTTGAATTTGAGGACGAAGATTGCACATGATGGGAATCAAGTTCCGATTGTGCATCACCAGGTAGCTTTCCAGAGGCTGCTAAAATAGCAACCATTCGATTTAATTTAGCTTCTAGTGTGGCAAAATCACTAAGAGAAATGTAAGTGCCCAAGCTCCCTACCAGATTTGATATTTGTTGTCAGCTTACCTGTTGCGTGCACTGGCCTTTTGACGTCGATGGGCTCCGGGAGCTTGGTCGCCACATTCCTTACTGAGACGACGACATCTAGAAATAACGCTTTAGTAGACGTCCGTCTTGCCTTGGCGGCTAGGGTGTGACCTGCCTTTTGCAGGCACCGGGGCCTTCTTGCTCGCATCGTACTTTCGCCTTGGCACATGTTTTGCAAGCTTTTGGCGTACGCGCCCCACATTGGTCCTGCATCACCCCTGAGTACGGTTGACTTGGTTGCGTTCTAGTGCGCCTTTCTGTCTAGATCGCCCAATAAAGCGGTATTTGTTATCAAGAGCCTCTCAAGAGCCTCTTATTCTGACTCGTTAAAGCACGCGAAGCTAGATCACCGGAAACGGAATTCCGCGTCGACTTGACCCCCAATCCATAACGATTGGCCCCCACTGAGTTGTCATCCTCCTCCGCCCGGTTGATGACAAAGTGCATATCAAAAGGACTGACGTATTCCACAAGCGAGCTGCGCACCCCATCACCTACTACTTTTTGAAAGAACTATTTTTCCACCAAAACACTAGATATTTGATTCAACTATTTACTAGGGCACTGAGTAATCTTCCTATATCTAGCGGCTCTAGAAGATATAACGAATGCGGCGGTATACAGAGTGGTATAACATTATTTTTTACTAGCAGATTTGGTCGAATTGTAGTGTTAGATAGTTACTATGACTATCTAATATTAACAAGCGATATTTGCCTTGCGTACAACTAGTAATTGCTAGAATAAAGAGCATTTCTAGCCAGCGTAGGCTAGTAGGATCTTCGTTTTGTGCACGTTAATAGTCATAGCGTCTAGAGAATCGTGTGCAAGGCTCTGATCGACGCTTAATATAATTAGAAGCCTAATTTACACCTATAGTAGCAGGTGTAGTATTACCGTGCGCTGCAAGTAGAAGATTTGCTATATCTCGAATATGCGAAGGCCTAGGAGACGCTTCTCGGGCGTCTAGCGATAGTATCCACTGGTAAAGCGAATCTTCTTCTTCTTATGTCAATTTATAACTATTTTCGCGTGTTTCCTGGCGGTTTGAAACACCCTTTATACGCGTTCGAAGCGTGCTCTCTGGCACGCTATAAACCGCTGCTGCTTTTCGTATAGATATAGTAGTATAATTTTGAATAGCTTTGATAGCGAGTAGTATCCTACCCTCCCTATCTGGTGATTTTGAGCGCTTTTCGGACCGTTTTGGTGGCATGGTGTCTGGTGGAAGGTAGTAGGTAGAAGATGGGAGACGCGTTTTTGGTAGGGTGCGCAGCTCGCTTGTGGAATACGTTAACTCAAAAGATGCCATGTACGAGCACAAAACTTTCGAGGTAAAATAACGGCATGTACTTGAAATAGATAGCCAGCCTGATAGGTACATTGTATCTCTGAATGCTGACGGTAGGCAGACTAGGCTTGAAGGATAGGATTATGGTCTATCTAGGGGAAAAACGGAGTCATATGAGGCGAGGAGAACAATGTAAAAGTATTAGTGCTGCTTCTAAGGTATTGGGAAATAATTTGTGACTTTCATCTTGATATGCCCATCATCTCCGACCATCATGTCCCACTCGGATATAGAGACAAGACGGAGGGACGGCGCGGGACTGAATGTTGACCTGTGGGGCTGAAGATGTGGGGCGCGGGGAAATTTGTGTGGGCCAGAACCATCCTGGTAATCGATATACTTCGGATCAAATCCATAATATGGAAGATTTCACGGTAAATATAGATCAAGCCCATCTTTAAAAGAGGTTAATAGCCATTCATATCACTCAAGGCAGCTTATTATACCAATTTCGATCAGAGATGACTCCCCCCAACTGTGGTGAATCAATCCCAGACATTATTGCGGTTGGAAGTGAAAAAGAGAACATAGCGCAATGGCAACAAAGGTGTGGCATTGAGCAGAATCATCAAATTCGTCTGGTCAAGCTATCTCACATGCGATACCAACACCCAGACTTGAATCAAATCACAGTCTTCTTGGACGGTATGTAATCATTATTTCGCATTCCCCGTTCTGAAATATAATTTGATTGAGTATTAGACTTTGGTATGACCATTGCCAAAAGGAATGAAGATGAGGCCTGGTATCGTGGCTATGGGGAGGACCAATATGTATACTATGCTCGCAAGGGGCCAAAGAAATTCCTTGGAGGAACTTTCACAGTGGAAACTTACCATGACCTGGAGAAGTATTGCGCCCAAATGTCTCTGCAAATTCGTCTTGCTTATTTATTTCTAGAGCTTCCCAGCTGCCAACAGCCAGCAAGATACAAGATCTCTCCTATGCCCCCGGGGGTGGCTATATGGTGTCATTGACAGACCCGGAAGGATTCCCGATTAATTTGATTTTCGGGCAAGCCTCTGCTGACAAGGGCAAATTTCCAGAGAAGCTCACAGTCAACTATGAGGAAGAGAAACCTCGAATCCGCAGATTCCAGAGATTCCAGCCTGGTCCAGCGGCTGTATACAAGGTCTGTTATTGTCTCACGTCCTTGCAATAAGTCCATCGGCTGATCTATCGGGAGTAGCTCGGCCACTTTGGAGTCTGTACCCAGAAATTCGATGAGATGGTCAGCTTTTATACGAGGACATTCAACATTGTTCCCACCGATTTCCTATACGTCGAAAAGGATGGCAAGAAAAAGAACGTTGCGTTGTTCGCTCATATTGACCGTGGCGAGGATTATGTGGACCATCACAGCTTCTTCATGAGCACGAATCCGACGACACACGTTCATCACTGCTCATTTGAGGTTCATGATTTCGATACACAGAAGCTGGGCCATCAGTGGCTGGCGAGTAAGAACTACGAGTCCGTGTGGGGAGTTGGCCGACATATTCTCGGCTCCCAAATCTTTGACTACTGGTGGGATACGAGCAGGAATATGATTGAACACTATGCAGATGGAGACCTCGTTAACAGTAAGACTCCGATTGGATACGGTCCTGCTGGGGACGAGTCACTCGCGGTCTGGGGCCCGGAAGTTCCGGCGTGGTTCCTGAAATGATGTTTTCGTTAATTGCTAAAGAGTTATGTTACTATCTTAGAAAATCATATATTTGAAGAGAGCGACCTCTGCGGGTGTTAAGCTACGGGCTTCCTGCTAGTTTTTGGACTCATTTATGTAATGAATCACCGTCTTCTGTTGCCACACTGTTTCGTTTCTCACGGGCTGGTGTTGGGATAGCTCTTGCTTCCGTCGGATGAAGTCCCAGCTTTCATAGCCATTACACCACAAGTTAGGCTGCATTCGGCTTATGAAATTACTAAATGGTTGAGTTATTGATTTAAGCTGAGATAAGCTCCGAAAATGAACATCTCGGGATATAACTATCTATCCTTGAGTGTGATATTCGAACATTGGATTATTTATGATAAATGTCGCCATCCTCATATCACTGGTGAAAAAACACCCTCGTCAGTTTTATAATCATAGTGATCAGGTGGGGAATTAGGTAGACGCTGATTATTTATCTTGTAGAAGGTATATCTCCCCTTATTTGCCGCTTTCAAATCAGTTTACTACAAAAGCACGCATGAGCCCACCCTTCCGTATGAATTGAACTTTTGACTACGAGAGATGCCTAATGATTGCAATAGACTTTTGAGATATACTATATAAGAATGAAATTCCTCAATGGAAAGTCGGATTGCGATTTTGTCCTAAATTCTATTTGGCAGAGCAAACAGCCCACTATGATCCTGGCCGATTCTCAAGCACATCATAATGCCAGCCTATCAAGTTTATCGAATCAATTGTGGTATTCAGCGAGTATCATAGCGCACTTTGTTGACTAGTGTTCCGATTTTTTCAATTTCAATGGAAATATCGTCTCCATCTTTCAACACAACTCTAGGTTCCCTGAAATATCCGATACCTGCCGGGGTTCCAGTCAGGAAGATTGTTCCAGCCTCCAAGGTTGTGCCTTGAGATAGATAAGCAATTTGCTTCTTGATAGAAAAGATCATGTCTTTTGTGTGACCGTCTTGGACTGTAGTACTGTTGTGAATAGCTTTGATAGATAGCGTTTGTGGGTCTTTGATCACGGAAGGAGCTACAAGAACAGGCCCTATGAAATTGAATGATCCTGCTCAGTACGCTTCTCTTAAAATGAGATTAATAAAGAGATACATACCAATTGGGCAGCTGCCATCAAGGCCTTTAGAGAAAGACCACTGTGTTGTGGTCATCTGAAGAGTTCTGGCAGATACATCGTTCGACGCGGTGTATCCCAGTACATAGTCCAGCGCTTCTTCCTCCGGAATGTCACGTCCAGTCTTACCAATGACCAAGCAAAGTTCAGCTTCATAGTCACTGGTTTCATCCTGTGCACATTTAGGTATGTTAATGGCGGCGGGGTAGGGGCCAATGAGGGCCGTTCGCGGCTTGGTGAAAAGAATCGGTGCTTTAGGGAGGGCCATGTTCGCTTCCTAAAAGACGTGAGATTCAAGAAATCATTTAAGATGATAGATATTCTGTGACACACATTTGCATGATCCATGTAGTTTAGACCCAAGCATCGGATGTAGTTGCAGTCTTCTCTCGAGACCGGAGAAAGCAGCTAAGGAGGCAATGTTAATTTCTGGTGCCACCAAAACGAATATTCTTTTGTGAAAAGGACATGCCTGCTTGACGTGCATAGTCTGTTGAGTGACTCTCCCGTCAAAAATAGTCCCCTCAATCAGGAAAGCCGCAATTGCAGTGCCATTTAGACTGTCCCGACCGATATCGCGAGTGGTATCTACCAGTTGCCCAAGGTGGACATTACTGTCTTCCACTGCGATAAAACGAATCAGGTGTGTCCAAGATGGCATCTTGTTCAATTCGTCGCCGACCAAGAGAAACAAGAAAAAGCAACCACAAAAGTAAATGAATGATTTGTGCGGAGGGGCTCCGACAAATACCTCCCTGAAGGACATATGGCTTGTACTCCAAGCCTCCACGTTTTGCGGGACCTTGAGCCGAAATGGCCCCGGATTCGGATATATGGATTAAGTTCGGGTGGGGAAAAGGTGTGAGATTTCGGATATACAGGCCAGCGTTCATGTTTGGCACGATCTTATGTCCCGCATCATTCGTGCTGTACTGCCAACTCCGAACTGTTGATGGCTCACATAACGACACGCAAAAGCTAATACGGTAGCCTGGGGCTTGGTTTCCCAGCGGCTGACGCGGGGCGCGCGGGGGAAATGCGGGAGGAATGCGGGACCTCCTACCTGCTGCAAAGAGATGAGCAGCGCGGTGTCTGGAACAGAGCATCGATACTCGCTGTCTAAGAAATATTAAAGTCGTTTGGCTGTGCTCCTCAAGAGTGACTAAGGCCTTTGCCGACAAGAGAACATGTCACACATCGAGTGTGAGACGACTGATGTTGTTATCTGTGGATGTGGCCCGACAGGGGCCATGCTTTCGGCGTACCTAGGTCAAATGAACATTCGGAATGTTGTTCTAGAAAAAGGAACAGAGATCACAACGGACCCCCGAGGGATTGCGCTGGATGAAGATGGCATTCGGCTGCTTCAGGGCGTTGGTCTTTACCCATCGGTATATTCAGAGATCGGAACTTGTGAGAAAGCCGCCATCCCGTTTCTGATCATGGAGAAGTATGTAAACTGATTTTCTTTGAGGCATGCATAAATTTAAGTTTATTGGCGGAACGGAGCAAGTCCTAGATAAAAGAGCATTTATCGAGATGGATTATGGAACGGTAGGGTGATTAGTCGTCTCTTATTAACTTACGACGCTGACTTAATTTTCGATGTCTCTAGACAGAGGGTGGCACAGGACATGTCGGATTTATTTGCCACAAACAGCCTGCACTAGAGAGGTGTTTACGAGATGCAATGGCATCCTCTGAGTCTTGCGAACTGAGGTCTGGTTGTGAGGTCACTAGCCTCTCCGAAACCGACCAGGGGACGCTGTGTCAGTATCGAGACTCAGAAGGAGCTACCCATCAAATCAAGTCTCAATTTTTCATTGGAGCAGACGGCAAGACTGGCTTTACAAGGAAGCACTACCTGGAATCTCGAGGGATTCTCATGGAGCAAGCCCATCAGTACGTACCCTCAGGTCTTTGAACTTTGAACTTCCAAACTTAAAGTCTCGGTCTCTTATCGCCAACCAGGGCATTTTATGAAGAAACTTGGGTTGCATTAAACTGGCATATTGATCTTCCAAATGAGAAGACTCATCCCGAATTTCCTCTGTGGGCCCTGGGCTATACGCCTGAACAGGTCTATGACCTGTTCTTCCCCACCAACTTTCGCTTCATTTGCAACCCTAACCGCCCATCTGTATGTGGTCGCTTTGGGTTACCCTCAGATAGGCTGTGGAGATTCGAGTTTGTCGTCCAGCCAGGCGAGGATGGAAACGAGATGTCCTCTCCTGAAATGATCAAAAGAGTGGTCTTCCCCTATATCATACATGCAGGAAGTAAATATGGGTAAATCCTTCGCCATACTCATTTTGAATGATCTCCCTAGCTCATGAATATCAAGATTGCACCAGGACGTTGTGTTTCCAGAAGACTGCATAACCGTTCTCCGTTCGCGTCCCTTCAAATTCTCGGCTCGAAGCTGCAATAGGTGGGCCGATGGACGAGTTGTTCTATGCGGCGATGCAGCTCACGTGTTTCCACCGTGTAAGTTGATATCAATAACCCCACGGGAACTCTCTTATATCATGACTAATTGAATTTTGTCACAGTTGGTGGACAGGGAATTGCATCTGGATTTCGTGATGCTGTATCGCTTGCATGGCGTCTTGCACTACTCTGCAAATCCCCTTCAACGAAGCCAGGCTTTCATATTTCAGTGTTGACAGCCTGGTATGAGGAGCGCAAACAACAGCTTGAGAAGTCTCTTGCATCGACGATCGAAAATGGAAGATTTGTGACGGAGGGAAATCCGTTAAAGATACGCATGCGGGACATCTACCTGTGGCTGATCCAACTAGTACCATCTTGGCGCCATGAGTTGTCTCTTGGGCGGCGTAAAGAAGGGATGGTCCAATACGAACACTCACTGGGACTCCCCTTTCTCCCCGACTACAATGGGGGCTTATGTCTCCCTCAGCTGTATTGCAAGCCAGTGGGAAATCCAGAGGGAGATGTTCTTTTCACAGATGATGTCATATTTGCTTCGAAAAAGAAGGGCCTGTTGCAGCTGCTTGTTTACGTCCAAAAGCTGGGGGATGTATCCCCGGCCCAGATCGCGGTGGCAGACATTTGCGACATGTCCCAAGGAGAATTATATCCAGAAGAAGCCACTTTTTTGGTGGAGGACTTGACTTGCATGAGTGATACACTGATGCCTAATGTCTTCCGAATCGCAAGCGATGAAGAATTTTCTCAATCACGCCTGTGTGAAGGCCGACCGAAGCCCAAGTTCTATGATCCCATGTACATGAGGCGAGAGCTCAAGGGGATGAGATTTGTTCTTGTACGACCGGACAGATTCATATTTGCGGCATGTAATACAGATCAGGATCTTCGACATGTGGTTTCAAGTGCTGTGTCTTTCCTTGAGGGTTGAATCCGAGCTCAATATCATATAACTGGGGCGTGAGAAGAGAGTCTTCCATCCTGTCATATTAAATATGCGTTATTGAGAATTTGTAGAGTCATTATGTTATGTATAATACGTATGTCATGAGCCTAGAGGGGATTGCAGTTGCAACAGCTGACCCCTGACATAAATTCGACTCACAGGTGATTTAACCGAAACCTTTACATCCTTGATTCTCAATACTGGGAATACGAGTGCAAGGAGCTAACAAGTAACTAATAAATAATCTACAGTACAACTCCACCTCTGAGGACCTCCACCACCTTCTGCTCGAAGTCAACAGCCAAGGATGGTCCTTCCGTGCCTTTGAAGTCTCCCTTCAGGCATGCAAGCACGGCGTTTGTGTAGCCCATACCCATCTCCTTCGGCAGCTCTCTTGCCGCCAATAGCATGAGGTCCTCAACAATCTTCTTCGGTCGCGGCAACCGACCGCTATTTTCCGCCTCTCGAATCTTTGCTTCCATCAACCTCGACAGCGTAACCCAGAGTCCTATCTCAAAAAGTACCACACCCAGTGCATAGATGTCATGCAGCCGGGTAAATTGCTGCGTCGGCCGGCCCTGGCGTTGCGGATGGCGGTACAGATTAGGCTCAACCTCAAAATCAGAGCGCATGTCTGTTCCCTGCTGCACGGAGCGAGCGTAGCCCCAGTCACTCAAATACGAAATGATCTTGCTCCCTGGGCTTGGAGTAAAAAGTCGATGCTCATAGAGCCCCGATGTGCTAATTCCGGAGGGCGTCTCAAGGAAGAGCAGAATGCCTTTGCTCCAGATGTTCTTGTGGACCCAAGCTGAGGCATGGACGTTGGAAATAGTCAAGGCCAGGCTATGTGCCATGCTGAAGCGATCATTAAGGGAAGGCTTCTTGAGTGGTCGTTTGGTTGTACTATCGACTGCGTTGATGAAGGCATGCAGTGTTGTCAAAGATGATTCGCTTTCTGGTTCAGATGGCGGAAGTTTGTAGAGAAATGCGGTTCGTTCTTCAGTGGGCTGGTCCATAAACCCAAGGCACTCCAGCGCATAGATCTTGGGCTGGTCGAGCGCATTGGATGAAGTATCAAAAAAGGTTGTGCTCTGAAGTAGCCAGGCGAGATTGCGGATTGGTTCTTTCAATTCTTCGATCTCGTCCGACTCGAGATCGTCACGCTTGAGCATGCTCTCATACTCGTGGTATTCGACAACCACAGTCATCACTTCGGATTCCGCATGAGACCAATTTCCCAGTTGAAAGCCCCCTGCAGCTTTACCATTCTCAGTGATGGTGCCAGTCAATTCATGAAAATCAGCTGGGGCTTTGGCCTCTGCCAGCATCCGCCGCTTCAGCACCGGTTCGAGCCCGCTGCTTTTGAGCCCCTGAGGATCGCTTTGGGCCAGCTCCGCCAAAGTCTCTTGTGACATGTGCTGCATGATATTTCGTAAATCCTCTGACCATTTGGTATATGCTTCCAAGATGCGGTTGAGTTTCTTCTTGTCGAAGAGCGACCAGTCATAGCCTTTGAGCTTCAGCGATTTCGCTTTGGCCTTAGCCCGTTCGAGCAAAGATTCTTGCACTTTGGGCTTCTCGGGCTCGATGGTGTACTCCTCATCCACGAGTCCGTACTTAGTTGCCACAATCTCGTACTCCGCCAGGGTCTTTCTCATTTGTACCAACAATCCTTCTATGGTGTCGGCTATGAATGGGTCCACCTTCCCTGGCGTCATTAGTCCATGTTCTGGATGGAAAAAGCGCCGTTTAAAGAACAGCAAGGTCGACAATTGGACATTTAACTTGATTTTAATTTCGGCCCGATCGTCGTCAAAGGCTTTGATGTCAGAGATGACGCCCTGGATAAAGACGGTGACCTGATAGACCTGGGTGATGGCCGTCACTGCCGTCCCGTAGACATCCATTATATCTTGGAAAATAAGTTCATGAAGTAAAATGAATTTTACGAATGATGAGGAGTTGAAAAGCATGTTTATTGTGTCAGCGCTAGGTGTCAATTAGGACAAGCCTTGATTTGCTGGCGAGGGCCATGCCTGCAGGTCGAGCTATTGGTTGATGAGCATTTCCTAGCTGTCAGGCTTTTTATCCTCCAGAGTCCCCCCACCAGGGGCTTATTGGCCACCGACTATCTGATGGATAGTTTCTTCATTTATGATACTACGGGTGTCAAAGTTTGCATAGGGCCTTCTCCACGCTACCCCGCTCCGTTTCTCAATGCCCTGTAGAAGAAGTTTTGGAAAGCTTTGTACGGCGCAGTCATAGGAACCTCATTTGCCTCCTGCCCAATTTGATATTTTATCTTTGAACGAGATCTAACAATACGAGGGTGGCATTATTAGTCAGAATTCATTGGCGCAGAGCCGGGTTGTCGTGCCCACCATTACCGGAAGAACAGAGACGCCAAGCCTCTGACAAGAACACAATCGCCGCCTTCGAATAATAATATATGTCGAAAGGTATGATCAGCACGAGCTCATACGATTGAAAGCAGGTAGCTTCGTGATTGAAGCAGATTTATCGATCCAGGAGGTGTTAAATGCTGTTCCAGCGGAGCTGGCAGTTGAAAGAAGATTATAGCTAGTTCAAAGGCGATGGGATGATTGCGCAAGAACATAATAATCAATCGAGCGAATAGAGAATAGAGTGGGCTTATGGTAAAATTACAAGGCTTTGGGGCTAAAAAGGGACCGGGATTTACCTCGTCACGCTGGTATCGCACCATCGAATGATGTGTCTCGATCACTGGCAGCGGGCAAACAGGGCGCACGGATCCTTACTTGATTCGAGCAATCGGCCGATGCGCTGGCGACCGTGAAGAAAACGGGGAAGAGCGGGCCAGCGCGTCGCCTTGTAACGTCTCGAATCCTCCTCGCCTCTCGCTTTATCCGAACTGCAAAGATCGAGCGAGAGGTGGATTATCCGCTGATCCAAGCCAGAGGGAAAAACAAACATGACTGACCTCTCCTATGATGATATTCTCAACAACATCGACGATGAGAACAACTACTACTATGTAGACGGACACGATCTCTCCTCCCCCTCGCTGGAGGATTGGGCCGACTCGCCCGAAATCGAGAAATTTGACATTAGCAGCCTCAATATTTCTTCCAGCTCCGATTCATCGTGGACTGATCCACTTGAATCAGCGATCACTGCGACACGCAATGGCTCTGCACCGGTTCTCAGCACCCTTTCTCACTTTACCACCATCCTCTCTCAAACGGGAATCCACGGCCCCCGTCTTCTCAAAGCCGCAAATCTATCGGTTCGGGCCACTAAAATCGGAGCGGGTGCTCAGTTCACAGTTTTTAAGGATCCTGTTTTTGAAGGACAAGTTATTAAACGCGTTAACATACCTCTGTCAAGTAAAGCCGAACAGCGCTTCTCCACAAGTACAGACTATCGCCTCCAACTCAAAACATTAGGTCTAGAGGTTCTGGCGCTCTGCAACCCGATTCTACGTACACATCCAAATATCACCAGTCTCCTGGCCTGGGGCTTTGACTTCCCTTATGTGGATCTAGCTGTGCCTGTGTTGTTCGTGGAAGCAGCGATCATGCCACTGGGGGATTTCCTCAGCGCTGAGGAAAGAACAGTGGAGGTCCGGTATCAGCTTGCACTGGATACAGCGAACGGCCTCGAAGCATTGCACAATCTCAAGATTGTACATGGGGATATCAAACCAGACAACGTGCTTGTCTTTTTGGGTCCGAATGGGAATGTGCCCTTCCAGGCTAAATTGAGCGATTTTGGTGTCTGTATCGATTTGGAGACGACTGAAGGCAAATTATCTCCCAGTGATTATCGTGGAACCCCAGCTTGGTTGGCACCGGAGGTTTCGAGTGGAGATATCTCCAGATTCGGAGAATTTTCATCAGAATTAATGTTCAAGTTCGATTCATATAGCTTTGGTTTGGTTTTAATTTCTCTATTCACTGGACGTGGTCAAGCTCCAACTCCCGACAAAAACCCCGACAAAGTGTCGGATCAGGTCACTCAGTTGCTAAACAACCAAAAGGATATCCCATCATCTATACGTATGGAGCTCCGAAAGGCGATCCACAGCCTACTTTCTGAAGATCCAAGAAACCGTCCGTTTCTGAGTCCAACTTTGCTCAAAGCAGACTCCCCTATATACGCGTCTTGGTATTATTTTTCGTCCTTCATGTTTTTGATGCCAGCTAATTTGTCGTACCAGGCTTTCCTCGATTCAATCCAATTCGACCACCACATCTACAGGAATCATTGATCCAATTTATAATAAAGGCCCACTCTTCTGGTATCGACTAGATGGTAGTATCCGCACAGAACTAGAAGAGCAACTCGTGCTCAGCAAGAAGGGCCAAGCTCCTCCGTTTCCCGGAGATGTGCTCTTCGGAATTGCGCAGACTATAACTGGCCAGAAGCCTGCATATTTGGACCGAATGTTGACATATTTGGACGATGCAGCGAGAGCTGGGTACTCCCCTGCCAAGGCTGTTTATGCACAAATTATGGAGGCACACGGTCGAAACTTGGATCTTAGCGAAGAATTTTTAGAGGATTGGATGCTGAATGCGGTATCAGAGGGAGCTCATTTTGCAAGAGCGGGTCCACTGACGAAGAGGATGAAGGAAGCTAAAGACCGTTTCAGGAACAATGGAGGTTTCTGCTCCGAGCCATTTACAAGAAAACGTGATGTGAAAGCCACGACAAGCAGCAAAAAGATCCTAGAATGGAATTTGACAAAGGGAAGTATCATTGACAGCAAAGAAAACACATTACTTCATGCAGCAGCAGCATTCGGGTCCGTGGATGCGATCCAGGAGCTACTAAACGCCACACTGATAGCAGTGGATGTACAGAACAAAAATGAGGAAACGCCTCTATACACAGCATTTCAGGCCGGCCATACCAATGTGATTGAGCTTCTACTCGATCGGGGTGCAAATGCTGCCTGCCAAACGCGCCAGAAGGTTACCCCTTTGCATTGGCTGTTTATGCTTCCCAACGATTCGATCCATCGAATTGCCAAAAGGATGGTCAAAGAGGGAGCAGATTTGAATACAGTAATGGAGCCTGTTGTCAAGACAAATATGGGAGGATTCCCAGAGAAGATACAAATACTTCACTTGTAAGTTCTGTTCATTCTCAGTGCAACTAAGCTGACTATCCAGTCCATTTGAACTTCCTCACGGCACGCCCCTTCACTGGGCATGCTTTTTCCGTAACATGACGGCCATTGACGCTCTCATTTCCCTTGGTGCCAACACCAACGCGTTTTATCATGGCTTAGACTCCTCCACATCACCACTTGCCTTAGCGGCCTACTTGGGAGACCTCGATATCGCCAAACATCTAATATACCACGGCGCAAACGGCACTTTGCTTGATTCCGTGGGACGAAATACACTACATGGAATCACGAAGTATTTTCCCGATCGACATGGATACTTGCCTCATTGCTGGCATTATTGGATTCGCCATGGGACCTGGGAGAGGCATCTGGCGGAGACAGTAGATCTGGTGAAAGCCCTGATTGCTGCTGGGGCGGATATTAACGCAAAGGATAAGGGATATCCTTCTCTTACGCCTATTGCTGCTGCGGCAGATGCAGGGGTTTGGGATGGGGGTATGATTTGTGCATTGCTGGAGGCAGGAGCCGATCTGAAAGAATCAACATTGGCTGGTGGGGATACTATTCTACATTCATGGGTTTCCATTGTCGGGCCACGTCTGGATTATCCGGAATCGTACTTGCCGACCTTGAAGAGAATTGTGCAGGCAATTCCAGACCTTGATATCCCCAACCGATTCGAAGAGGAAACCCCACTCCATTTACTGGCGACCATCTATCATCCGGAAGATGAGTTCGAGGCTGCGTGCGAGATTCTACTTTCTCACTCTCCTCCCGCAAACATTAACGCGAAAACCCGCCGAGGTGCCACGCCACTATCTATAGCTCTTGAAACAGAGCTTGATCCCGTGCGGCGAAGTTGTTTCCTGTTAGGGAAAGGTGCTGACCCACTCGCTCTGAACGATCGTGGACGGGATATTTTCTACTCCATTGCCAATAATGCCAGTCTCACGGACCAAGTCAGCCATGACCTTATTCAGCATTTCCTCCTGCATCTGAATCCCGACATCCAAAGGGCTTATGAGATTCACTACCTTCCCAATCCCAACAGTCACGAAACTCTCTGTGCTGCCTCTGACCGTGGCAAGCCACTGACTTTGAATCTTCTTCTTTGCCTCGGCCTTTCACAATCTATTAACAAGCCTAGCAAATCCAAATCTCCACCGTGGCGCCCCCTAGACCACGCTCTACACTCGGCGGAAATCAGTCGTCGTACACACATTGAAAAACTGGCCTCCTACAAAGCTGGCGCAGCTCGTACTAAAGCTCTCGAGGAGAATCGAGTATATGATGAAAATCAAGGCCCGGCAGATCGGGCAGCAGAAGCATACAGATGCTTACCGGAGGTCATACAGATTTTATGTGAAGCGGGTGCTAAGCGGACCTGTGAATTAGAAGGAAATTCAAAAGGTGATTATATTGCGCAACCACGAGAGTGGGATCAAAATGAGATTCAAAACTATGGATTCACACCAGAGTCACAACCGAATGCTGAGATGTGGAAAGGATTATATGAATTGGCCAAATATCCTTGGACCTGGCGAGGGGTACTCACAGGCGGAATACGGTGGTGATAATGATAAACTGCGATATCAAGTCGTGCATTCGAGGGCTTCATGTTCTTTGCGCATTGGTCTTGATCACGCCTCAGTCTCCGAAGCGACTGTTTGTCACGATGCGGACGCAGTTGTTGGCTCTTTCTGCTCAGGCAATGTGTTCAAATATTATTTCTCTTAATTAACAGCAGTATTCCATACCTTTAAAAAAGCGATGATAAAATTATATGTGATGATCATATAGATAAGATTGATAACCATGGATAACAACAAAATCGAATTATCGAACCCAAGCTAACCCATATCTCCACCCAACCCATACGGCTCCTCCAAGAGCGGCCCAGCTCAGCAATCCCTTGATGATCATAATTCTCTTGATCATTGCAAATGTGCCTTTTTCGTTTACCTTGGGGAATTCTTTATTTGGAACATCTTTGCCCAGGTATTCACAGAGTGGCTCCCACCCATCCTCTGCCTTGAACTCCAAAATATCCCGTCCATGATGTTTTGCAGTTGCTCTCACCGAATCATTATACTTATCATACATATTTCCGGAGAATATCTGTGTTTCTCCCAACTTTTCCTTGCACCAATCCAAAATACGCATATTCAAGCGAAACCACTGACGGTCGGTTTTCCATAGGAAGCAGGTCCAGTAAAATCGGCGGGTGAAGAAGAAACCCAGGCTCTCAGAACAGCTTTTTGCCCATGTCTCAGGTTGGGTGCGGCCACTTAGGATTATTACTGCATCAGGAAACATGTCCAGTAAGTCATCAAGAAAAAAGACGGCAGGCATATCGCACACTGCCGCGTAGCCATCCAAAAGTTGATGTATGAGTTTTTGGCGTATAATAATGTCCGTTTCACGGGCTGCATCTAACAGTATTTGCATACGGTTTGTATGAGGGATTATGTGTGCCATGTGGAGGCATGGGTCAAAGCCGAGTTCTTCTAGTGCCGCTTGGAGCGAGGACGTTGCAGTACGAGGCAGTCCCGCGCCGATAACAAGGAGTGGGGACTTCTGCATCGGAGGCGCTCGGGAGTCAGTGATGAAGCGAACCATCTTGATGCTTCCCAGAAAAAAAAAAGAAAAGAAAAGAGAAACCCTGATACTGTGAGGAAAATATTTCATGGGAGATGAAATTGCCAATATGAGGGCCCAGGTTGACATTTAAGGCGGCCGCCTAAGGCCAGCTTCCCGCCTGACTTCAGCCCAAGAAAGTTAAACCTAAGTGACATGGATGGTAGGTGGCCTGATTGAAGCATTTATTCGATTGTTGGTAATATAGACCGGATAATATCTAACGAGTGGAACTTTCCTATCTCGACTGCCGCTGTTTTTTATAAAGGCGCTTAGGCTCAGGCTGAGTGAGTAGATATTAGGACGGGCTTAGGCTTAGTGATTGGGTTAGAAGAGTTATAACTTGTTTCACTAGCAGTGTCTCCGCCCACCCACACCGCTTCGCGTTGTGGGTGTGCCACGTATAAATGGTCACCCACACATAAATGGTCACTTTTTCTACTACCCTATTTTTTGCTTCCCTATCCAACACCACTATCTAAATATGCCTAATTTTGATGAATCTCGTATGGCTGAGGCCTGCCTAGCTGCATCACGAGAGGAGAAGCCGAATATAGCACGTTTAGCACGCGAATTTGGCGTGCCTAGAACGACGCTCTCTAATCGGCTTAAAAAGAGAGCAAGGCCTAAAACAGCTATACGTAACGCTAAACACGCTCTAGAAGCCTATCAAGAAGAGGCTTTGATTCGCTGGATACAATATATGAACGATTGCTATATGCCTATCACTCCTAGGATACTAGAAGCGTGGGCGAATCGTGCATGCCAACGCGTCGGGAAGCCGTCGGTTAGCAAGATGTGGGCGTATCGCTTTATTAATAGGCTTCCTAAATATCTTCAATTAGGGCCTACTAAGCAGTATACGAAGGAATTAAAGCGAATCCTAGCAGAAGATCTAGCAGCATTATAGCACTAGTAGGATCTACTAGCCTAAACTATCAAGAAGACTACGCCAGCACGTCTAGTCTATAACTTTGATAAATGAGGCTTTCAACCAGGCGAAGGAAGGCCTAGAAACGTTATATCTACTACTACTACTACTACTACTACTACTACTACTACTACTAGTAGTAGTAGTAGGAAGATAGTAGACCTTCCTTAGCCAGACTAAGGCGAAAATATCACGTCTATCGAGTATATCGCTACCGACGGGTAGCAGTTATGTCATATGATATTGCAACATGAAGCTATTCCCAACTTCACACCTCAGTTGTCAGTTCGACACCTTATCGGTCAGGCTTCGTCATAACAGTCCTACTTCTCCCTAACATAGATGCATGACCTACAAGGCCCTGAGGGTTCGGTGCCCTTCTATTAGGGATTCGTGAACCCCTCTTCCCTGTAGCCTTTGCTTACCTCTGTTACATGTGGGTTACGTCAGACCGCATGTTGTAATGTGATCCATCGTCTTTGCTTTGGTCATATAGGAAAGTGTTGAAGCTTGTATATAAATTGAGGATTATGGAGAGATCCATGATAGCAAGAAACAGTGTTTTGCTTTCCTTACTTGACGTTCATCTTCCTACCTAGTCGACAGGCTTTCTACCCTGTATAAGTAGTTATTCCCTAACAAGTTAGAACCCTAGTTCATCTTTAAAGGCAACGGGATCTTTATAGAATCTTAGTTTAATCAAACAGACGACCGACCACCAAGAACTACTATTACTATATCGCTAAACGGTTAGATAACCGATAATATAGCAGTTCAATAGCTTCGATTCTTTATAGAATCAATATACGACTGTACGAAATCGGGTAAAAAACGTATCCTAATATTCGACAGTCACAGTTCGTATCTTACATTCGAATTCCTACACCTTTGCGAAGAGAACGATATCCTACTAATAGGATTCCTACTAGCAGTGTCTCCGCCCACCTACACCGCTTCGCGTTGTGGGTGTGCCACACACTGATGCATAACCACACACTGATGCATAATCTTCTCCTACTTCCTATTTTCTGCTTCCCTATCCAACACCACTATCTAAATATGCCTAAATTTGATGAATCTCGTATGGCTGAGGCCTGCCTAGCTGCATCCCGAGAGGAGAAGCCGAATATAGCGCGTTTAGCACGCGAATTTGGCGTTAATCAAAGCACTCTCTATCGCCGTGTCAAAAAAGGAACAGGGCCTAATACAGCTAAACGCGGTGTTGGATACGCTCTAGAAACCTATCAAGAAGAGGCTTTGATTCGCTGGATTCAATATATGAACGATTGCTATATGCCTATCACTCCTAGGATACTAGAATCGTGGGCGAATCGTGCATGCCAACGCGTCGGCAAGCCGCCGATTAGCAAGATGTGGGCGTATCGCTTTATTAATAGGCTTCCTAAACATCTTCAATTAGGGCCTACTAAGCAGTATACGAAGGAGTCAAAGCGAATTCTAGCAGAGGATCCAGCAGCACTACAGCATTGGTACGATCTACTAGCCCAAACGATCAAGAAGACTACACCACCACGCTTAGTCTATAACTTTGATGAATACGGCTTTCAACCAGGCGAAGGAAGATCTAGAAACGTTATATCTACTACTACTACTACTACTACTAGTAGGAAGATAGTAGATCTTCCTCAGCCAGACCAAGGCGAAAATATCACGTCTATCGAGTGTATCGCTGCCGACGGGTGGCAGATGGAACCCTGGTTTATATTCAAAGGCAACGGGATCTTTATAGAATCTTGGTTTAATCAAACAGAAGGCCTACCACCAAGAACTACTATCACTACATCGCCTAACGGTTGGATAACCGACGATATAGCAGTTCAATGGCTTCGATTCTTTATAGAATCAACATGCGACCGTACGAAATCGGGTGAAAAACGTATCCTAATATTCGACGGCCACGGTTCGCATCTTACATTCGAATTCCTACACCTTTGCGAAGAGAACAATATCCTACCAATAGGATTCCTACCACATACTACACACCTTTGCCAACCGCTAGACGGTAAGCCGTTTCTAAGCTATAAGCAACACTTCCGCTTAGCGAATAACGACCACGCGTTTTAGGGTGGAAGCCCTATCGGAAGATCGGAGTTCCTTCGAATAATCGGTGATATTCGGAATAGAGCGTTTAGCCAGCGAATCATTCGTGAATCGTTTAAAGATCGTGGGATCTATCCAGTCGATAGTAGAAAGGTTCTTAATAGCCTTCCTATCCAAGAGATCCTAGATCTCCTAGCGCCAGATCTACCGCTTCGTTTAACACCTTCACCACCACCTATATCTTCCTCTAGTATCGACCAATCGCCGCCTAGATCTATACAGGATCTAGAAAAGAATCAAAGGAAGATTGCTAGATATCAAGAGGATCTTACACCAAGGCAGCAACGTAATCTTGATCGTGTGTTTCATCATAACAAGATTGCTATAGAGAACCTAAATCTAGCGAACGAGACTATTCGCAAGATTAGGGAAGCTCAACAACCACTACAGCGCCCAATCACCAAGCGCCAGGTTAAAACACCGCTTAGCAAAACAGGGGTTCTCTCTATTAGAGATGCCAATCGTTCTATTACTAAAAGAAAGGAGAAGGAAGCGGATATAGAGCGGAAGCGGGTGAGGAAGCAGTGGAAGAAAGCGTATGGAACATCACCACCACCAGATCCTACACAGGAATCCCAGGCATCGTTAGATAGAGCAGAGGAAGCACGTCAGAACGGGCAGGGTTTCTTTATAGATACTAGTGGGATGCAGCGGTAGATAGGAGAAATATAAAAGATTATGCATCAGTGTGTGGTTATGCATCAGTGTGTGGCACACCCACAACGCGGAAGCGGTGTGGGTGGGCGGAGACACTGCTACATACTACATACCTTTGCTAGCCGCTTAACGGTAAGCCGTTTCTAAGCTATAAGCAAAACTTCCGCTTAGCGAATAACGACTACGCGTTTTAGGGTAGAAGCCCTATCGGAAGATCGGAGTTCCTTCGAATAATCGGTGATATTCGGAATAGAGCGTTTAGCTAGCGAATTATTCGTGAATCGTTTAAAGATCGTAGGATCTATCCAGTCGATAGTAGAAAGGTTATTAATAGCCTTCCTATCCAAGATTACCTAGATCTTATAGCGCTAGCTTTATACAACACCTTCACCATCACCTATATCTTCTTCTAGTATCGACCAATCGCTGCCTAGATCTATACAGGATCTAGAGAAGAATCAAAAGAAGATTACTAGATATCAACAAGAAGATCTTACACTAAGGCAGCAACGTAATCTTGATCGCCTATTTCATCATAACAAGATTGCTATAGAGAATCTTCAAATAGTAAATAATACAATTCGGAAGATTAGGGAAGCTCAACAACTACTACAGCGCCTAATCACTAAGCACTAGGTTAAAACAGCGCTTAGAAAAACAGGGGGACTCTCTATTAGAGATGCAAATCGTTCTATTACTAAAAGAAACGAGAAGGAAGCGGAGGCAGAGCGGAAGCGGGTAAGGAAGCAGCGGAAGAAAGCGTATAGAACATCACCACCACTAGATCCTACACAGAATCAAGATATAGCACTAGAAAGAGCGGAGGAAGCACGCCAGAAAGGTGATATTTTCTTTATAGATACTAGCAGGATGCAGTAGTAGATGGGGGAAATAGCAAAAGGTGACCATTTATACGTGGCACACCCACAACGCGGAAGCGGTGTGGGTGGGCGGAGACACTGCTTGAGTGGAACATCCCACCAAAAACACGCTTCCCACGCGTCACCTACTATCTTCCACCACACACCATGCCACCAAAACGTCCTGAAAATGCTCAAAATCTCAGATAGGGAGGGTAAAATACTATGAGCAATTGAAGCTATTCAAAGAGATCCTACCATATCTATACGCGAGGCAGCAGCGGCTTATAACGTGCCTATCACTATATTATACCATCGGATCAAAGGGATGCCAACTCGCTAGGATACACGATCACCACGCTTAAAACTGACACACGAAGAAGAAGATTCGCTTTATTAGTGAATCCTATCACTAGATACGTGTGGCGCTTCCCCTAGGCCTTCGTATATTCAAGATATAGCAAATCTTCTACTAGCAGCACGCGGTGATACTATACCTTCTACTATAGGTGTTCATTAGATAACACGCTATATCAAGCGTCGAGTAAAGCTTCGTACACGATTCTCTAAACGCTACGACTATCAGTATGCCTAAAAAGAAGACCTGGTAAGCCTACACGCGTAGTTTACATCTATTAAATCTATTATCAACGAAAACTGTTATAGAACAACCAGATGTATAATTTTTGATGTTATTCCGATGTCATTCTGGCCGACTTCGGATACGAATCGTATGCATGACGATATATGTTCACAGGAAACAAAAAGTTGGATCCGGACTCCTTTATCATCATACCCTCGGCAAACAGCGGAATGACGACAATAGGGTTATAGAAATAGAATCCCCCTTTCTTTCGAACTGAATCTTTTCAAATTTCAGTTATTGGGATTATACACCTTTACTATTCTTCCTCGGTTCTACAACGATTCAACATTGTATTCATTTTTCTTACCTGACCAACAGGCCGCTATCCTGCAAGTAGCACCCTAACATATATCGTCATTTTCAATAAGCATATACGTTATATACACGATTCGTGAAGGTATAACTAGAATAAATTCAAAAAATAGTATTTAATTCTAATAAACAAGCTATTTTATAAATACTAAGACCTTACTTTTATATAAAAATAGGCATTTATAGGCTTCCGTAGGCCTAGAACCCGGGCACATAGTAGGCTTTAGGTTAGGCTCGGGCTTAAGTGGAAGGTTTGACCAAATCTTGAGATCGAGATTGAATATCATCGACAATCACCGCACGCTAGATCGAGAAGGTCGGTGCCTGCCTGCACACGCTGAAGGTCCATAATAGCCGAGTCACCTCAGTGGTGTTCTTTCTCCTACGACAGCCGCCGCGTCGCGTCCGGGTCCGACGACAAGGCCATCGAGATCTGGGATGCGCAGACTGGCGCCTGTCTCCAGACCCTGAATGTTGGCTCTGTTGCCATTAAACTTTCTTTCCAAACTATTGGCTGTTCTATTCTCACAAATATCGGAACTCTCGCTCTTCTCGATCCGCCCAAATCTGGCCCGACATCTTCCACCCATGTTTTCCCTACACAGCTGCGATCACTCTCAGACACTCCATACCCACAAAACCATGAGTACCAAGGCTACGGTCTCGGTTCCAACGGACTTTGGATCACAAAACATTCACACAATTTGCTATGGCTGCCTCCTTTGTATCGCGCATTTTGTTCAACTGTAGCACGGCCTGGGTTAGCCTTAGTGCCTGGCAGTCTGGACGCGTCCTGATCTTTGGTTTCGCAGCCGAGAACTATAGCTAAATGCCTGAGGCCACAAGGCAGAACGACAGGCAACTGCAGCACTCTACCCTGGGCCTCTTTTGCGGCTATAGTAGGCTAGGCACCTTATCGCAGATCTAGGCTTGGTAAGGTAACTACGTGTAATATTTACAGAAAGGGTGGCAGGGCAGCTGGTATTTCAAGCGACGCTTGTATTCTCTATAGACTACATTACATCATTGTTATTTTCCCGCGTATTGGCCCGAACAATATTGTTGCTTTTGTACCTGTCCGCTGCTAAAGATTTTGTCCAGATCAACATATTTCACTGTTCACATTATTAGGATGGCATGGAACATTGTACAGGTGACTGGGAACGCGATGAATACATGTCGTACCTGGTGGGCGTTTTATCACATAACACATTTCATTTCACCGGGAGGGGTTTACGTTGATGTCTGTGTCTTGGAGATTTGAAGTTTGGTGGCTCGGGCGGTAGACCCAAAATGGAAGGTCCTGCCGCCGAGTGTACTCCGCGTGAGCAGACCTCTGTTGCCTTACCCCCATAATTCAAACCCCCATATCCTATGGAATACAATCTTCCTTTGCGTCCATCCCCCCCCCCCCCCCCCCCCCCCCTTTGATCACTCAAGTCCTTGCCGACAAGACACAGTCATCTGATTCAATAATAGCCCCGCATATATTCAAGTTTGCCGATCTCCATGTTAACGTTCCCGGGATCCGTTCCAAGCAACGCCTAGAAAAGCATGTCCACCAACAAGACCCGATCCTACAATGGATGCTGGACCTGCAGGCGCCGCCGAAGAAAATGTGATGGCGGTCGACCTAACTGCGGAGTCTGCCGCGAGCGAAATCTTCCCTGTGAAGGCTACGAAGTGCGCTTACGTTGGGGAACTGGGATAGCATCTCGAGGCCGTTTCACTGGCGCAGAGAAGCCCACGGACGATAATGTGCTACCTAGGCCCCCGGGAAGACGGAGGAAACCTGGAATGGTAGAGCCCAACACTTTTTTGTCCAATTCACAGCAGGTTTCTTTATACAAGACAAGCCCTGCTCGCCAGCCCACCCCCAGTCCCGATTCACCAAGTTCAAATGTTGCATCTGCTGTCGATCCAATCGTTATCGCATGTGAAAATCGAGCTGTATCGCCTGAAGAGCAAACTCTTTTCCAAGAATGTAATTTTTTAATACCCCCTGCCTCGGCCCAGACCTCTGCATACGAAATCTCAAAAGGAGCTGTTGAATTAAGTTACTCATATAGTTGTCGATTCTGGCAGCAGATCCCTTTTTGCTGCACAGAAAAAAGCAATAAATCTAGTCGACTCATTGCATACTTTATGTGAGGAGTCTCGGGCATGCTACAAGATCTGTGTTGCCTTGCAAGCAGCCCTGACATGCGATTCAAATGCTCAATTTTTTGAGTACTTTGATTGTGCTTTACGCAATTTACGCAATGAGCTGGCTAGTAGTGAAGCCAGGCTCAAAAACGGCACTAGTTTAGCGTGTTGTTTGTTATGTAGCATATGTGTAAGTCCACCTGAAAGCTGTCTAATGCTTTTTTATACTCATACAGTCATTTTTCAGTTGATCAAAGGAATGCCGTGGACTTGTCATATCAAAAGCCTATGGGGTGTTATAGAAGGCTTTCATTGTATCAGTTCGTTGAAATCCAATGGCCCGATGACATGCAGCCTGCTGGAGATAATGGGAATACTGGAGATGCCATGTTGCATCCTGGGTCGCCAGTCTTCATCAATACATATCTGGTACCGATATTGCCGGTCCAAGTCCTCTACAGACGATGAAAGAGACAGTATTGAGCCAATCAGCGGCATCCCCCGCTCGCTTCTGGACCTTTTATCTGGCATTGATTTTGACACAACAGAGAAAGACTTCTTGGATTGGCCGGGGGAATTAGGAAGTTTTGACGAGATACAATTGTGGGAATCCTATCGATGCGCAGGTGTATTATCATCGCGCCGAAAAAACGCCAAGGCCCCTGGACGTGATGATAAAACTGCTGCTACTTCATTCATTACCAATACGCCTCGGGGGGATGTTCTCGTCAATCGCTTATTAACCGGGATAGAGGCAATTGTCAGACGCAAAGCAGACATGAGCAAAGACGAACTTCTGATTATCAATGCATTACAATACCCTTTATTCATCGCAGGCTGTGAGTTGGAAATCATGCATCATAACCCTGAGTGGAAAGCATTTATAGAACGAGTTTTTGTCGATGAGCTGGTGTCCGATAGATATTTGCAGAATATAAAGCTATTGGCTTTGCTCAAAGAGCTGTGGAAAGGCAAATCCGAGGGTCTTGAATTTGATGCGAACCAGTTGGCGACGCAACAGGGGCTGGAATTGGGGTTTTTATGAAGGCGGTTTCTAGTGTTCACTGAGTTATCAGCACCGCGTAAAAGATGCACTGCCATAGTTAAGAGGTACATCTTTATCACAGGTCAAATCTAGCTAGAAAGTCATATTACCTGGTCAGCCGCAACTTGCTACATCACGTGTTTGTAGATCTAGCAAGCAAAACAAGCGGACTGCCATTTTTACCTCAGTCATTGGTATATAGCACGGCTTGAGCGGTTCCAGATTCGACATGTTTTGATATACTTCTGGTACTGGGTTGATCTTGATGTAAGGGCAAACTACAAAATCTTTGTCTCTATCATGTACAGCTTATCATGCTATCCATTGAGTGTTGAGTAAAAGCCGCACTATGTACAAGAAACTTGAGGTTATACGGCCGGGTCTAGTTCACAAATTTATTTATTGAAAGTAATCTTCACGGGTTTACTTCGATATCATGAGCCGTTGGCTCTAACCAAGTTCCATACAGGATCCTCCTCGTTCCAAAGAGTGTCTTGCCAGCTGTCTATATTCCCCGCATTATCTAGTCGCCGGGCTGTCTTATAGCCAACTGTTTCCCAATCAACAGAGCTGCCATTCACATAGTCTTGAAGTGGATCAATGAACGCAGATCTTATTATGGAACTTTCATGTCGAGAAGGAAGACTGCATAATACGGGCGAGACCCACATATCTCCATGCGCGTCAGGATATTACAGGGATACTCGATTTGCTACGTGTTTTGTATGGTATCCCGGGTATACTCGGAACCTAGCGCCGTAACACGCTAGATAGCAAGGTAGGGGATATTCAATATTCCCCCGCCTATACACTTAGATAGTTCAGTTACCTAATATATCACTATATTAAGCATCTCGTTCTATTGGATCCTAGCTTTCCTAGCCGATACCGTATCCTACTACATTAATAGTTATAAGCCCGATCCGCACGCGCTAGGATTGAATAGAGATAATCCCTACGCACCTGTATAGCGCTTATCAACACGGTAGAGTGGTTAGAACCCCTGAATCGTTAGTATCCGAGTATCGCTAGCGACGTTATACACCTTCCGGCTACGCCTAGTGTTATAGTCCGAATCTCAACGGAGAGACTATATATTCCCGATTAGGAAATAGAGGCTGTTTAGAAAGGCTTCGGATATAGAAGATTTAAAGGTAATAGACTCGGTCTTACTACTCGAAGAGAAGCTTTAGTCGGAAACGTAGTAGAGGGTCTAGATAGACTATATTCGGTTAGCAGCTATTACCGAAGATATCTAGGATTACCTGAATCCGGATATATTAGATAAGGATATTAAGACCTTACCGCTAGCGTTAGAGGAACTAGATCCTCTAGGAGAATTCTCGTCGCTATCCGACCTATAGATCTATAAATAGAATATAGAGATCTTATATATAGAGCGATAAGAGACGCGAAGGCAACGCTTAAAGAAGGTATTAGCTAGAGTAGATATACTAATCTAGAAGTTAATAGTAATAGAAGTACGCTATTTAGTAGTAGGAATAGATAGACCTAGACTTAGGCTCTAGAAGCTCGCTACTATCTTCCGTCCGGATACGTCTAATAGACGCTAGGAGCTCTGATAGGTATAGAGATTAATACTCTACTAATTACTAAAAGATATAGTATAGGATTATATCCTTAGTAAGTAGAAAGCGCTATTTAGAGAGTACAAAGCCGCTAAAGTGCCGGACTATATTAATAATTAAGATACTATTCGAGATTTCTTAGATACGCTACTATTATCGGACGATATATTTATTATATAGCACTTAAGGGACCTTAAAGAGAATAAAGAATTACTTATATTCTATATAGTTATAGCTATATATCGTACTCGATAACGTACGATCGTATAAGCGAGTACTAGAAAGGGAGGTTTAAAGGTATTATTTATAATATTAAATAATTAGGAAGAAGCCTTACCGACAACGATAACGTCTATATAGAATCGGAATAAGAAGGGACTAGCTAAATACGTATATAGGAAGGTTTACTAGTATAGTGAATACCTCTTTATTAACCCTACTATAAGAACCGTAGCTTTTCAGCTAAAAAAAGAGGAGATTAATAAGATCGAAGCGGAGATACTAAAGCTTAATAACTATAAGTAAGTAAGGATAGAATAGCTAAGGTCGGAGGTATAAGAGACTCCTTAGCTATCTATACTAGCTATATCCTTCTTCTCCGATATACCGTAAGCCGATTATCCTTTATTAAACTATTAGATACTAGACTCGGGAAGTACGTATTATATATATAATAATCGTGAAGCGTTTATAATATTTAAGGCGACGAATAAATCTATTAAAACTAGTAATAGTTATACAGACCTACTTAGAAGAGGTAACGTTATTATTATAATATAGAATAGATAAGGGAATTAGCTTAAACTACGTCTAAGAGATATCTAATACTTACCTAAATTCTACACGAATCTAATATCTTATTCGAAGATTAGGAAGCTTAGATTCTAATAGGATAATAGTAAGGGAGTAATATACTATAAGGGATTTATTCCGATAAGGGTAATACTCGAAGATTATAGCGGGCTATTCGCTCTTACGAAACTATTATAATAGGATCTTACGATAGCGACGCGCTATAGCGAGAAACTATTAGTATTAGAAGCGAAAGCTAATATTTAGTATCGACGTTTAGGGTATACTTACTAAGGAAAAGTCGAGAAGCTACCGGAGCTTATCGAGGGTGTTAAGATAATACCGGACTTGAAATCTAAAGATAATCCTAAATAATACGAGGTCTATTAGCAAGTAAAGGCAAAGCGTTAGATCTCTAGACGACTAAATAGAAAAGTGTATAGCAGATTCGGCCGAGTACACTTTAACCTTATCTAAATTATACCTAGTTATAATAGGGATCGCTAGATTATATACTTCTATCTTGATAGTATTCGATTATATATTATATATACGTATTAGAAGAAGAATAAATACTAGGAAGCTATTAGGAAGTTCTATATACTCGCGAAGATATAATAGAACCTTCCGATAAAGGCCTTTCGATATAATTATAAATACTCTATAGGAAGAGTAGTTAAGGAATACCTCGAGGATATAGGATTTATTATTAAACAGAGTATTATAGGTATACTAGAACAGAACTCTTTTAGTGAACGCTCTAGGAGGGTAATAATAACTAGTATAAGAGTACTCTTACTTAATACTAAACTACCGAAGGATCTATAGCTAGAAATAGCTCGTTATATAGCTTATATATTGAATAGATCGCCTACTAAAATACTAGACGGGAAGTAGATTATACCGTAGTAGGAAGCCTATACCTAGATCAACTCCGAATTATCGTAGATACGCCTAAACCTTATAAATTTAAGGCTATATAGATACTATACGTATATTAAGAGATAGAGTATTCTATATAGTAATAAGATAGTATCGAGAATAGAGACTAGTTATATAGTTAGCTATACCGTATTAAATATCTAGCGTATTTAGATACCGTAAAGAGGACTCGTATAGGACGCGAGAGATATTATATTTAATAAGAAGGTCTTCTATAATAAGAAGTAGGATACTATTAAGCCTATAGATATATTAGAACGACTTCCTATTTTAGAAATTAATAAAGCTGAAGAGGATAAAGTTAAAGTATTAAAGCTAATAGAGATATCTAATATCTAGGAGATATAAACTAAGTAAACTAATTCTAGTTTAACTAATTAGGAGGTAGGATTTAGTTATAGTAAACGTACGTAGTAAATAGGCCGAGAGCGTATACTAGAAGAGTAGCTTAGATATAACCTTACAGCCTTACTCCTAATACCTTAATCTATTATCTACTACTCTTCTCTATCTCTAAATCCTTTAAATCTATTATAGTAAGCTATAGAAATATTATTAGTATTACTAGAACTACCGTAAATAATACTAGGAGTATTTTCCCCGACCGAAAATAAGCTAGAATCGACTAAGAATAATACTAAGCAAGCTCTAAGAGATATCGTAGAAGATATAACCTTAGAAAACGTTATATAAGGAAGCAGGAAGCGAAGAGTACGCTTCGAGGATAATTTTATTAGTTATCTAGCTATCGACGATAATAGTAACGATAGAGATATACCTTAGATACTAGCTATATTCGCTATAGCTCTTTATTAAAGCCGGATCGACTAGCTAAGATACTACCGAGATAAGCTATTACTAGAGCCTTAAGGATAGAAAGAGATAATAAACTATCTATTTAGAGACAGCTTCTTATAAGCTATAAATAATAAAATTAAGATACTAGAAGATAAAGGAACGTACGAGATCGTACGACGTCCGAGTAATACTAGGAAGTAGATTCTTCTATTAAAATAGGTATTTATATATAAATATAATAGCGATAGATATCTTAAGAAGCTAAAAGCTTAGATCTATATCCGTAGAGACCTTTAAACTATAACTACCGAGGAGAAGTACTTAGCTATACTAGCTATTCGAACTACTAGGGTAGTACTCTCTCTTATTATAGTATTTAACCTTAATACTCGGTAATTTAACGCTGTTAATATATTCTTGAATAGTCTACTCGATAAGGAAGTCTATACTAAGTTACCGGAAAGCTTTAGCCGCGTAGGGCTTAGTTAGAAGCTTAAGAAAGCACTCTACGGGCTATATAAATCTCCTCGACTATAGTAGAAGGAAGTAAGTTGTAGAATAAAATAATATAGATTTAAAGTCGTATAGGATAACCTTTATATACTCGTCGACGACGGTATTATTATTATCTTCTATATTAACGATATAATTATCGTGAACTACCCTTTATAGCGAGAATAGGTAAAGAGAGTATACTAGGTACTCTACCGTTAATAGGAGCTCCGTGATATAGGAGAAGCTTTATAGTTCCTTAGGATTAGGATTATTCGAGATAGATTATAGAAGGCACTCTAGCTCTATTAAGATTCCTATATCTCCGCTATAGCTACCCGATATTATCTTACCGATAGTAGGAAGCCTGCTATACTACTACCTATATAGACGCTTACTAAATATATAGGAATAGCTAATTATTATAGAGTTAAAGAATACTAAGAGAAGGTAGAAAGCGCCTAATACGCGATAATAATAACTAGACTAGATACCGCTAAAGCGATAGCTATACTCGCTTAATTCCTTAAGAACCCCGGACTAGAATACCTCGCCGCTATAAACTAAGTTATTATATACCTCTATTATACTCGCTCTCTCGCTATCGTATACCGGCTACGTAATAATACTAACTCGGAAGCTATACGCTTTACTAGCGATATATTATTCGCTGATATATAGGATCGTAAGAGCTCGTAGGGGTATATCGGGATAATATTTAGAGGACCGGTTAACTAGAAGGCTAGCAAGTAAAAGATAGTAATAACTAGCACTACCGAGGCAGAGCTACTTACTATATCGGAAGCCGCTCGTTTAATTATAATATAGAAGCGCCTATATAGAGCAATTAGATTCGATCCTTAATATCTACTTACTATTACTTATAATAACTAGTAGACGCTCGGACTATTAACGAAGGAGACGCCTCTCCTAAAGACTAAGCTCCGATATATTAATATTTATTAGCACTAGTTAAGGTAGAAGGTTTAGGTATAACGTATTGCTGTTAGATAGGTCGAGTCGAAGGATATAATTACTAATAGCCTTACTAAGAGCCTTCCCCGGTAGCGATATAAAGTATTCGTTAACTAGCTCGGGATAGAAGACATTGAAACGCTGTTAGAGATTTCCTAAATAGGAAATAGAGGTTAATTCGTAGAGACGCCGGAAATCGAAGATTTAGAAGATTGTGAAATCGCCTATCCCTAGGGGGGTGTGTCGAGAAGGAAGACTGCATAATACGGGCGAGACCTACATATCTCTATACGCGTCAGGATATTACAGGGATACTCGATTTGCTACGTGTTTTGTATAGTATCCCGGGTATACTCGGAACCCAGCGCCGTAACACGCTAGACAGCAAGGTAGGGGATATTCAACATTCCCCCGCCTATACACTTAGATAGTTCAGTCACCCAATACATCACTATATTGAGCATCTCGTTCCATTGGATCCTAGCTTTCCTAGCCGATACCGTATCCTACTACATTGACATTTCATAATCAGGGACCTCATGTTCGTTTCCAAAGAACCATATGGCCTCGTCTGTACCATGCGTTACGCCTGCCTCAGGCGGAAGAAATTGATCGACGCATTTCATCCGAAACTCAATGCGATATCGATACAAGAGTTCTTCGCCGCCCTCCTGGGCAATTGTCTTCACAAGGCCCCGTTGCAACTTGTGCACTTGCATGTCGGCATAAATTACCGCAAATGCATGCACCCAATTGTTGAAGCGGGACGGCAGCGTCTCAGTCGGGGTGTAGATATTCATCAGCCCGTTGACAATTTGTGCCGGATAATCTGCTATCAGGCGTTCACGCAGTCCTTCCCTACTATCTTCTTTAGGAGGCTTCCACAGTCCGTACAGGTAGTGCTCATCTTTACATTCCCCGATCATCAGAGGGACGCGACGTTCAATCAATTGTCGTGCAAATTCATCCAAATTCTGAATAAGGCCTGACCTGATGAATGCCCCATCAGTTATAGGACGGAATTGATGGGTGTGGATTGAGAGAGCGGCTGTCAAAAGCTCTTTTGAAGGAATATTTCTTAATTTCTCGAGTGTTTCTCTAGGAGAAACTGGTGGAATATTCAGCGCCGCAGCTAGTTCCTCAGATTGAAGCTGTGCCTGGTGGCGTGTCTTAGGCTGGACACCAGGTCCATTAGACCACATGCAGACACGCTTGATAATATTGCTATTACACAGGTTGAGTTCGTATGCCAGTTGATGGAAAGCCGAGTAAGCTCCTAGAAAACATGAAGTGAGAACTTATTTCATCGGTCCAGTTTTGTTTTGAATGAGTGAAGAGACGGAAGAAAGGTGATATATTGTACCTGCTGAATAACCCGCAAGGGTGATGTTGTCTGAGTTGCCTCCAAAAAGAGAAATATTCTCCGAAACCCATTCAAGAGCCAATCGCTGGTCCCAGAAACCGAGATTTCCAACTGTATTTGAAGTGTCGCCCGTTTCCTCTTCAAGCTGCGTGCAGTAAAAGAACCCAAAAACACCGAGTCGGTAGGCTGGTAGGATGAAAATAGCCTTAAACCCTTCTGAAATCAAAGCTGACGGTTTGAAGTCATTGGGCGTGCCAGACTGAAGCCACCCACCATCTTATTCAGTAATGAATTTTTCTTATTAGCAACATTCCACGGTCAAATTTCATCTAGGTCCCAGGATGTCCACTCACGGAGGAATACTAAAACCGGCCATCCGCACGCCGGTGGTTCTTCACTTGGCACCCATATATTGACTTGGAAACAATCCTCACTCCATGAATCCTCCTTGAATCCGCCATCCCACTCTAATTGGGGATAGACTTTTGATCCCATGTCACACCGAGCGGGTTCCTCTTTAGTGCCGTAAGTGAAGGATTTTGGAAGAGGGGTGGCTCTTTCCCATCGCTTTGTTTGAAAAGCATATCGAACTCCCGTGAATGACAGACAGACTGGTGTATTCTCTTTAGAATGAATAACCCCCTGGACGTAGCCCCGTCCGTTGAGGGATTTCACGTACGGTTCCTCTGTAAACTTCATACTTGTGGACACAAACGAGATGCGAGTCTTCACTTGGAAATGTAACTGTATTAAGCAGCGAGCCCTTGAGGTCTTTGCAGGTTCTCTTTATCTTTGGAGAGGGGGGTGGTTTGCCGAGGTACACTTTTTGGACTAGCCCACGCCTGTAAGTTATACCCTGGTGGTTTCAATCATTATCGGCTTATGGAAAAGTAATAGTTCCCGCTGTGGACGCTTGTCCCTGAATTATAGTATAACGAGGTACGTTTCTCCTTGACGACTAACCAAAAGCAGCAGGTTATGCCACCGAGCCGAGTGCTCCCGATCGGCTCCACCTGCTTTCCTTCCATCTAGGTTTGGCCTCGTCTAGCCTTATCTAATATCAGCCAGACAAATGCCACGAAACAGGACACGAATGATAATCAATATCTGAGTGTTTCTGTTCATGTGCTCAAACTAGCAGACCGCTCACTCTTTCCAATCGCAAAGGTTCGATACCGGATCAAGAGTCTTGATTTCACACTGACCATTGCAAATGTGCCACTGCATCATCACGTCTGATTGCGTTCGAATAGGGTTAACCATTTTAGTCAGTAGAGGGATAATATGAATGTTTCTCTGAAGTGGGTTTGTTGAGCTTGAGGCACATATAAATATGACTACCAATGAGCCTACGGTATCCGAACACGACGAAATTTGCGCTTTTCGAGGGCCAAGATAGCTACAAAAATGTTCAAGAGGTTGGTTGATTTGGATGCTACTCCATCCCTACGTATCAATATTCGAAAATTCAAAGCAACCAATTGCCCGTGAATGCAAAGTGAGATTCAACCTCTTTAGAGTTTCAATGCCCCAGCCAGCGGAGCAACAAAAGGGCAAGAAAGGGCCACAATGGAATGAGATGGAAGGGTTGAACTAAATCCGGCTATGTGCCCCCTTTTCACCCACGAGCCCCTTATACTTATCTTCGGTCTTCCGTCGAATGCGTTTGCCATAAATCATCATGGGAATATAAAGCACTGCAATAACAAAATACCAAACAGAACATGTAATATACATATTCTGTAATCCTTGTGCCTGAAGCCATGGACTCACCGCAAATGACAAGACAATGCTCACAATATTTCGCACAAAGGTGATTCCTACAAATGCCTCTCCAGTAACCTGATTAGTTGCGTCAGTCTCCGTAGCAAAAAAGAAGTTTGACGATCTCAACAGCTTGGAACCCAACGAAAACTCACCCCACGATATGAATCAATGACTAAGCACAGAGCTATGTCCCCGTAGCTGCCTAGGGAAAATCCAAATAATGCCCCGCCAACTTGTAGGTATATCCAGTGCATGCCCTGCAGAGATTTTCAGTGATGAACGAAATAAGTAGAGAGTAGGAGATGTTATTACCTGGGCAAAGCATATACCAAACATCAAAAAGCCGGATAGTCCGACGATAACGGGGAGGTGAACCATGTGCAGTCGCATTTCGGGCTCGTAAACTCCGTGATTACGTCTGGCGAGCCAAAGGATGACATGATCTGTCAGGTAGCCACCATATACAGCTCCAATGACGCATCCAATAAAAGGCCCAAGGCTCATTAGGCCAATGCCAAAGGCGTTAAGGCTGTATGGTGGATAGGGCATGAGTGCGGACATTGTCAGCATTTGGATCGTCACCCATCCAAGACCAAAGGCATATTGAACTGCTGTAAACATGACTGCTGGAAACTTGAATAAAATAATAAAAGGATCACAGAAAAGCCTCCAGAGGCTTTCGTCTGTTTTTGTGATGAAACGTATTCTGTTGCTGTATGACGCCCTGCTTACGGAAGACTGGGTTGCTCTTGATTTGAGGCTGATTGTCGGTTGATTGTCAGAAAGTTTCATATTCTCATCCGGTCCTGGTGACTTTTTGGGTTCCTGACCCTGTGCGGGTGAAACATCCACTATCCCTTCGAGTCTTGGGATATACTTGGTTTCTTCATAGAGGAAGAGAAGTGAAATGAACTGGACGCCAAGAAAAGCAGTCATGATCCAATAGCTGAACCTCCAACCGTATCGATCTGCAATGTATCCTGCAGGTATGGGTGAAAGAAAGCTCTACCAATAGCGGTTAGATTATAGCATTCGAATGTGGTCATAGTATTTTTCTGACTCACTCCAACCAGAACCATTGCCATATAGGATGCGTTTGCGGTTCCCCTTTGGTGTACAAAAAATATGTCTGCTATCTGTGGAAGTGTAAGTAAAATATTGGATATGCAACTCTTGAATACACTTCAACAAACCGTCATCTGCACAAGAGTCTCATTGGTTGAACCAGACAACCCCCATAACAGATTAGTCATGTACAGCTCAGCAGCGGTGCTCATTTTTGCGGACCAAATCGAGAGCAGAACCATAATAAGAGAAGAGAGGACATAGATAGATCTCCTGCCATATTTTGTCGCAAAGGGAATGAACAAGTTGCAACCGACGGCGCAGCCCACGTAATTGATAGCAGCAGAGTTAATGAGCTGTTCGTAATCAATTGACATGTCCAAAACCATCAATTGCCAGTAGGTTGGTTGGACAGATATCCTGAAGATGTGGAATTGACCAAGTTAGACAGGTTCAGTGGTGAAGATTTTTGGAAATCAAAAGGGAATGGAGAAAATTTGCATACGCGGTGAATATGATAGCCGTCGCAATCAGAGTCAAAAAAAGATTGAATGTTTTCCGGATCATGGACCAGTTCTAGGAGGTTTAGCTTTCCTTAAAGCTCCAAATTTTTGAGACAGCGGAAATCGAGGCGAAATACCAGTGGATCATTGGGGTCGTCACTCGGCGTAGGCTGGACAACAAACTCCGTTTCTATGACGGCAAGATTTGACTCTAGAGAATAGTTAGACGCCGTCAAAGCAGAATGACTCGTGATAATAATATTGGACGTGTTAATACCATTGTAGATCCGGGAGGTACCGGGGGGCTCATGCTGGTTTTCCATGGTGGCTGTGGTAGCAGATATTGCTTTGCGCTTTGGATATCCGAAGATATGTAACACATCCTCGAAGTATGGATTTTGATGAGCTTTTTATATAGCAATGATCTCCCCGGCTTTAAGAAGATAACGTTGTGTTTAGTTCGTCAAATCAATCAATATTAAAATCGAACTAGTACTCTTACGGCAGGTTGAACCACCAACACGCCAAACCCCGCATTCCTTGGCGAATCGCCCCTTCGCTCTCTGGAACCCGCCCCAGTTTCAACCCCGTAGCTGGAGCTTTTTACTCGCATGATCGTCTTTCCCGTCCAATTGGGTCTTGTCTTTGTTATCGTCGTTATCATACTTTTAAGCTCACTTCCAGGAGAAACGTTATATCAGGCTTTGAGCGCGGAGTATTGTCCTGCGATGGACTTCAGCAGGGCGTGGTCAACCGGACCAGCGGTAGTCTCTGTTCATGAGGCATTTGTTTAATCCCAGCCTAAAAGTTTGATTCGTGGTTATGAATCGTCGGACACGAGACCCAGTCCAGGGTTCTGTCTCACGAGATAATCCATATTTCAGGTTCAATAATACTTCTTGGTATGCGAAACACCCATCCCAATGACAAGTTCCTACAGTAACTCGGTAAAGGTATTTGGAACATCAAGAATATGCGAAAGTGGCGATGCTCCTGAAGGCCCTATCTCGATAAGGAACATGCAACTAAGTGTCTCCAATAGGCTAGCCGATGTCAACACTTTCCATCGGCAGATTAGGTTCGTGTTTACTAGTCTAATAAGTATACTATTAAGGGTAGGATTAGTATTCGCCGCGAATGGACCTTTATATGCTCTCTAGATTAGCCAAAAAAGGGATGAATACTAGGGTTTAACGCATTACTGTAAGCAGGTTAATGATACGAGGAGCCGACTGGTCACTGTGAGTAGAGCTTCCTCAGGATTATAGTTGCCTATTTCTACTGCGTGTCCCAAGATTATCTCGCAACCGTACCGCTGCTATGCTAAGCCTTACACAGGCTCGGGTACTTTTCAGTATCTTGCAGGATGTGCCAGAAGTGCGCACCAAGCCAGTCACTAAGTGTTACCGCGAAGTGAGCTCCCCTACGGGTAGGTTAGGTTGTCTTGAAGGTGAATTGTGAAGTGCAAAGTGCTAAAGGTAGTAACCAAGTAACAATGTGCAATCGATCGCGAAGAATTAAATACATTATACGAAATGAGTGTCATATGTCTATTTCTTCCTACACCCTGATCCACTCCCAGGGAGTAAATTTGGAGTCACCGTATACTCCTGCGTATACTCCTTGGAGTCATACTTGGAGTATATCCTTGGCATCACGGTGTGAATTTACCGTCCCCTAGTGTTGCGGCGTAGTCTTGGTGCTGGTAAATTGGTGACTGTTTCCTGCGTCGCGCTAACCGTCTCATCGTATAATAGTGTATACTTTGTAACCAAAGGGGTGTGGGGCAGGTGTTCCAAATATTTTTTCTGTCGCTGTACGCGTCCTCTACCCGCTTGCCCCCTCAAGCGCTCAGAAAAAAAGCTCAAACCGCTGGATAAGGCAAGTCGAACCCTAAGGAAATTCTGTCCTATTGATGACGGCTTGAATTTCAAACCTATACTGAATCAATCAGCAAACTCTCTACGCCAGCCAGCAGCAATTTATGCATATTATCCAGATCTCGACGTTGCGTACTACTCAAATTTAAGGTGACAAAGAAAGCGGATATCTCCATTCAGCCTGACACACGGCCGTTCGCTTTACAATATCGGAGTACATTAGACTGTATTACCAGAGTAGATTCACATGGTGCTTCTCCTAGACCTCGGCTATTTTCTGGTATACTAAATCTCAAGTAGTCGCGCATGGCGATAGTTGTCAATGCTTCTAATTAGGACACCAAATCGATGGACAGTCTGCTCAGTAACTTGAAATGATTCAAGGATATCAATTGATACTAGTGTTTCCATATGAAGCGCTTAATGTCATGTATTCTCAAAGGACCGTGAGGCAGGGCGATTTGAATACTAGCGAAATACAATATTTAAAGAGTAGAAAGCGGGTTTATGTGCATCACAAGCAATTCACTTCCTGGTTCCGAATTGTCCAATCTTGGATCGCTTCATCAGAAGGTCATCTATCCCACTGAGAAACCTTCGCCAAAAGTCATCGTTCCCAAGAGACTGCAATCTTTTAAAACGCGAATAGAGTCTGATAACTTCATCCTCCTCCTCAGACTTGACACTTTGCACCGATTCAGGGCCCCAAATCTTCCAAAGACCTTCCCCGCTAGTCCATGGGGACCCACCATTTACAAACTCGATCCATGCAGAAGCAAAATCACGACTCATGGCAATTTCAGTCTCGTTCATCTCATTTTTGAGATTCCCAAAAAGATAGAGAAGCTCATGGGCATGATAAGCAGTACCTTCAAGTTCGTTCTTGAGACGGGATCGTTGGTCAAAATGGTACTTGAAAAGCATTTTCTGGGATTGGAGTCGCTTGTTGTGCAACCCAACCTGCCAATTCGGTATTTTGAAGGCAGCGTCCCCACCGAGATGACTCACTCGTTCTATGAGCGCTTCCTTGTTCAGACTAGGCTCAATGGCGTATTCGAGCAAGATGCTATCAACAAGAGACTCATCCTGAATGTGATTCACGAGAGTTTCTTTGACGGTGTTGTACGTATCTTCCGCAAGATTGAGTCCGAAAATGATTCCTTCATGATAGACATCTCCTATCATGAGTGACTTGATCCAAGTTGGTGTCTCTGGATGAAGACAAGTCCTGTCGTTGTAGAACCATCCATCATCGCAGGGGTTACCGGTTCCTGAGAAAACACCCTGAATAATATGATCGGCATTGGCTAGTTCTTGTTCACCAATACCCCGTAGCTGATCCATAACGGTAGGCGAAAGGGGGTCGATAGAAAAGTAGCGGCAGGTTGCATTGAAAATTTCTTCATGCCGTGCCAATGGCGCGGGATGGAGAGAATTGAAAACTCCCGACATGCAAATCGCTCGGTGGAACTTTGGTGGATTTCTAGCAGTCAACTGATGAGAAATCGAAATTCCCCCCGCCGATTCCCCAACCGCAGTGACATTTTCAGGGTCTCCACCGAGCTCTGCAATGTACTTTTGGACCCATTCGAAGGCAACTTGCTGGTCCGTAAAACCGAAGTTTCCATTCCCTTTGAAGCCATCTTGTCTCAATTCGTCAGCAATCTTGCTGCTAGCGAGGAACCCGCCAAGTCCAACCCGGTAGTTAAAATTAACAACTATGATGGGTTGATTCATGGAAACGCTTTGGGAGACCAAGTTGACACCATCGAAAACGCCAAGGTTTGCCCCTGTATACAAAAGCGAGCCGCCATGGATATAGAAAAAGACAGGGAACCTTTTTCCATATGCCGTGGGATGTTCGGGTACAACAATATTCATTACCAGGGCTGATTTTTCGTCAATTTCCGGCTGGCGTGGGAAATGCGGGTTAGGGGGTACCGGAACTAGGATATCGGAAGTGTCTCCTTCAACTAAAGGAGCAGCGCAATCATTCCTTGAGCAGAAAATATGAACACGTCAGCGTATGGACTTATGGACTCAATGTGAGGGAATCATCCATATGCAGACCCTAATTGAGTTCCATCGTGGTAGTTCTTGTTCCACGACGTCTTCAATGTTGAGCGTGTCCACCGTTTAGCCAAATCCGCGTACGGGATACCACAGAACTGCTCAACGCCTGTTTCATAGCGGAAGCCATCCAGCTGGCCTAGTCCTTTGACATGTATAGTAGCTTTCGAACTTGGTGTTTGAAAGGACATTTTGGATGGATAGAAACAATTTGAGAGAGTAGATAGAATAATCGGCAAGAACTTAATGAGGTTCACGTCCGACTGGCCACGAGATCCAACGGTTTTATACTACAATGTGGGTCTGAAATTTTTCAAGTTGTGACCCTTTGAGCTAGATCCGCTTCAGTGATGAACAGGCACAGCACTTGAATGGCAGTGTTATCTATTGCCGCCAAGTGCTAACTCAATACAGCAGGTGGGGCTACATGTTCCTTAACAAATTAAATCATGAATATGGGCCTGTAGTCCGCTTTGCTAGCCCAAAATGGCAGGTCATGCCCCGCCTTTTGATACCCCATGGTGAAAGACAAGATGAATTTCGATTGGCAAAATTAAGATGCCTTCTCCCTATACTAACACAAGAATAGAATGTCGATCCACAAAATCGAGCGCTGGCTGTTTGGGCCTAGATAAGTGGCTATTGATAACACTGTAGCCGAGGCCCAGAGAGATCGCTAGATCTTTGGGAAAAGCAAGAAACTGAGGGACTTGGTCGGTCGATTGACTGGGTATCTGAAGCGATGGAAATCCGGGCGAAAGTATCAGTGCGAGTGCTGGACCATGAGGATCCAGCACCTCGTTAGCTCTGACAGAATCCCGATTACCAAGACTCAACTGAGAGGAATTTCAACTGGTCAGAAAGAACAGGTATATCTAATAGGTATTATTTCTGGATGCTTTGAGAACAATAAATGGAACTCAACATCAAGAGTCTATTCAAAAATATAAAGCTGTGATTTGAAATAGAAGATGTTATTACATTGTCCCAAACACCAATTTGATCCAAAATTTGCAAACGCGCATATATGCCGCGGATGCTACTTCTGCCCCAACATCATCCACATTCTTACTGCTTCACTTTCTCCCTCCCTGGGAGTGACTTTTAATTGGACCTCTTCAAAGACTTCAAACCCAAATTTCTTGTAGAAGGAGAGATTGGACTCTTTCGTACACTCGAGAACGATAGGCTCAGTACCAGCATATTCCAGAATCTTTCTCATAACCTTCGATCCTATCCCTCGTCCTTGCATATCTGGATGGATTCCTATCACTTCCAGATACCAGACTTTCTTGCCGGGGAGAGAACCGCGAACTTTTTCTAGTGCACGGTCGTGTGACTCTGACATTATCTTCAGTCGCTATAGCCGCAGAGAAGAAAAACTATTAGACGAAGATCAAGGTTGAAGTGAAAAAATCACATTTGGCTTTTGGGCTCACTTTGGAATCTATCCCCGGATCCTCCACTTTGTCGAAAAGCTGGCAAAGAAAGAGTTTTACCAACCCGGCGACTCTTTTCACCGTCCAGCGCGATCTTCCTTTCGGTGGATACAGCATCACCACCGCTGCTGGAGCAGTTTCCGGCAAAGGAGTGCTGTTTTTTTTCCGTTGTGGCCATAAAATTATCACTTTTAGATACGCTTTCGACCTGGTTGGGGGACGGCGATGGGGCCTCGTCTTCGGTGTTCGACATGAGAAAATGGAGCATCATCCCCGTCAGCCGTGTCAACCTAACCCGTCGTTGCTGCAATTTTAGCACAGATGGATGCTCGGCGCTCCATGGTTCCTTTGCATTTGGTCGCAACCAAGTAATAAGGGGATCGTCTGAGAAAGACAAGTTGATCACATGCGCCGCCGCGGCTACACTTCTGGGATCTACCATCCAGTTAGCTTTGGATGATTAACATAAGTCAATAAAATGCAACAGCATACCATCTGGCACCTCCCTGAGCTCTAGGCCCTGAACTAGAGCGGATATATCCATATTTTACCAATGGTTTGGCTTGTGAACCGTTCAACGGTGACGGGGAAGTGTATTTATAGTCACCCTGGCTGTTCTACTGGAAGTGCATGTGCTGGCTTACGCAACACTTAACCGTAAGATGTAGCTAGTGTTGATTTTATCAATCTGGGCAGTTTCTCTAGATTTCAGAATGGATACGGGGGAGGGTACCACCTCCTTGATTCAGACAAGCTGCATAGGTACGATATCAACCTCGGAAATATAACACTATGAAGGCAGATTTCGTGGGGTAAGTATTTGACATCCGGGTTGTCTTTCTCAAATTCGAATTTAACTTTCTACCCAGAAGTTCCTCAACTATCCAGAGCTAGTGGTCTCAGAGAATACACAGGCACGATAGGTGCTCGCGCCCCCTAAACACCGGGCGCGGAACGCCTCAGACAACTCAATAAATTCTTAGCTGGTGGCTCCACCTTCCAAAAATGGGTTAGCTGAAAGTCACACTGTGCTATATCCCCTTGCCTTTTCAAGCTTCTCAATCAAATAATTCAACAACTACCATTAACCCTTAAGACAAAGTTTAAGTTGCTAGATTTCAGAAAGCACAAACAATCTAAGATCGATCAATACAGTTCAACAGCAACGGAGCCATGTCGCCAGCAGAGCCTCTTCGGCTAGGACCCGTCAAGGAAGGTAGGCAGCTCATGATTCCCCGCCCTCAAGGATAATACTTATTCTTTTCTTTCTTCCTTGTCAGATAAACTCTCACTTTGGTCAGCATCGGCGACTCTTGCTGGGGCATTTGCCAATGATCCGGTCAATTGCTGGATTCGCCCTCTTACATCAGTGGCCGAGAAAACTGGTCCAGGCGCCCGCCGTGTCTATTCTCGCTGGATCCAGTCGCATAATCTAGCTGGAGTTGTCCTGGAGTCCCAGCCACCATATACAAAATCTCACCTTCTGGGAGGGGCTGAAGGAGACGATTCCCCCGCTGCTGTAATTCTTCTCACCGCACCCGAATCTGAACAACGTTGGACAATCAGGGCCCTTTGGAGCGCACTGAAATTATTATTTATAAATGTTCTCTGGGATCCGATCGACCTTCAACTCCCTGAAAGTGTACGTTCTCATGCGGTAATTTTGTCGAAACGCCTAACTGATTCCTTGCAGAGATTGAAAGAATTCCAAAGGTGCCAGAAGGTTGGCATCCATCGCCTCCTGAAAGAAAACCCTGAAGCTTGGCATCTCGAAATGATTGGAGTTCATCCGTCATTACAGGGGAAGGGAATGGGAAAGCTTGCCATGAAAGCCGTCTTTGATTATGTTGACCAGGCACCAATTCTCATCGAGTGTTCCAGTGAAAAAAATCTTCCTTTCTACAAGAGCCTCGGCTTCACTATTTTGGAGGAGGTCGAGATGGTGGACGCTCCCCAATTTGAGGGGGACACCGGACGCGTCAAACAATGGCTAATGATACGCGCATTGGGTGCGACGGATGAAGGGAAAATGAATCCCAAAAAGGGGTAATATCACTGTTCAAATGCGAATTATATATGGCTGTAGTCTGCTGCACCTTAAAGAAACCAAATCGTACCACCGCAGTGCTTGTCTCTTTTGCCTTGTTTCTTGCCGCTTTGATCATTTCCCTATCTATTCTGTCGTTAGGTATGTTATTCAAACTATCGCGTCCCACAGGATACATATAGATATACAATTTCTTCTTGGGTTTCTCGGCGGGCCTAGGAATCCCTTAGAGGAGAGGGAAATCGCAGCGAAGATAGGGGTTAGCTTCATGTTAAGAATGTCTGCAAAATCCGGTACATATGCACATAAACATGATTCACATAAAAGATAATATCGAACCTAGTCTAGGAGAACCTACCTACTGAGCCAGGGCGCTCTTCGGCAAGCCTGCGAATGCAGGCAGCATGAGAGCGATCAGCGAACCAGCCAACAAATCACACCACACCATGATGGAAGGAAGTCTCTCATAGAGAAAACGGATGCTGCTTCTGCGAAAGATGTGTAAAGTTGATTCTCTCCTTATCGGAGATGCGAAGCTATATCCTGGAAAGACTGTGTACTAGGAAAGATATTCTCCAATCAGAGATCACCCCTCGCCTGCCATTTCCCCACTACACTACGATATCCTGGAAAAGCTCCGATTTGCTTGAAAGTGGACTAGTGCAAAATGACATCATCATCCTCGTCCCTCATATAACGGATGCTGATCTTTGCGGCGTAAACCTTCTTTCAGATAGCTTCTTCCTGAAACACCAGCGCAATGTCAGAATCAATTGCTCTTTTCCGACGCCATCGCAGTGACGAGCTCGCAAAACTTGCCGATCAGCACCTACAACATGATCTACAGGCCGCAGACCGCGATGCGCTCAAGTCAGCTGCATCTTCTGTCTCTCTCTGGGCAACAGTCGGGTCTGCAATTGGACTTGGACTCGGTCTTTATGCCGCAATCCGACTAAGAAGCACACGAAGAGCATTTTTTGCTGCTGTTCGTGCTCAAGAAAAACCTACTCAGGTTGTGTTCGCGGACGGTCGGACTGGTAAACCTCCACACAGCATGCGCGCCCTTCGTTCTCCAGACTAACGTCCACTTTAGAGGCTATCCCTGATCTCACTCCACTACTAAAGCCTACAACACTCGGTGACTTTGCAACCTACTTCTTTGCCTCAGCAGGTGGCCTATTTTTGGGTGGTGAACTTGGTATGGACTTTCGAGCTCTTAATGCAAAATCTCAACATAGACAGGTTTCTGACCAATTTCAAATTATTTAGGGTTTGCAGGAGGTGCCGCAAAGGGAAGTCGGAGTATCACGGCCGATCCTGAGACAAAAAAGAGGATCGAGACCGCATTTAGAAGATTTCGAGCCGATGTCCTCCGCAGGGAGGCAGACGCTTTGGATAAGGGAGCAAATGTTTCCGAGATAATGCTGTGATCCATTTAACAATCTACATGCTTAACATGGTTTTCTAAACTTCGCTATTTATCTTATTTCAATCTCATTCCTCAAGCGGTATAGCTCGGTATGCCTATGACTTTTCTTCCTTTTTCCCAGAAGTGTTACCGCAAAGGTAACCTAGAATACATCTTTTTGTCGTAACATATCTTCTAGCACAAGTCTCACATTTCTAAATTCGGTTTCTAAATTCGGAAAAACGTAGTTTACCGATATCTAACGCATTGATCAACTTGGCGGAAAGAAAAGGGAAAAAAGTGCATGCTCAATTTTTGCTGGTAAATGACATTGAGCCGAACATCGTCACTTTTTGCGTCCTTATTTTTTTTTCAAAGTGTCTGGTTAATTGAAGTGCTTATACTTACCGGGCTCCATGCATTTTCTTACTCTCCCACCCCACCGAGAGTTCAAGCTATTTTTACTCCGACACTGGGAAAAGTCATCGAGTGCGCGGACGTGATCTGTTTCAAAGGCTTTATATAAAGATAGGACGCCAAGAAAAAAGGGTTTTCCTTTGCTTTTTTTTCAAGTATTGGACTTGAAGTGTTCCCTAACTTATTGGACTGATAGAATATCGACCAAAAACTCCGGCATTATCAAGACCGCCGAGCAACAATTTAAGACGGACCCCCGGTGCTGTATCCTCGCGAGGTTCTTGGAGAGAATTCAACATGGATCGATTTGTAAAATTTCTATCTTCCCCCACACCAACCTTGGAGCTCGCGTGTAGTTGTCCAAGGTTACCTCGTGCCACATTTACCCGTGCCGGGTATATGAAGATACTTAGAGTAACCAGTGCAGCATGTCGAGTCGACTATTCGAAACTCCCATTCGATTTGCATCTTCCTGCCTCAGCAGGCGTTTCGCAGCTTCCATTGTCAGAGACGTAATCGCCACCTGCTGATTTGCATCCATCGTCATTCGTGCACCTCGACCCATACTCTCCCGGAAGAACCAAGGTACGTATTCTCTTGGAAAGACTGTATAAATAAGTGGTGCAAATGAAATCGGAGCGATACGCCTGACAAATCGCATCGTCATCGCATGAATCGGGTGGGCCACCAGGGGCCGCAGCGCATCTTCCACCCACACAGCTCTTGTCGTAGCATTCTTCATTTCGAGAACTTTGTTCCTCATACACACGGTAGTGTGAACATTTTTGGCATCCTCACCGCAGAAAAGGTTACTGTCGCAAGGACTATCCTACGAACAATCTTGATTCTCTTGCCGGAAGCCTTCAATACAGGTACGCGATATCAGATCGCACCTATCCGTGAGACACTGATGGTTGTATGTACACGTTGCGTCTTCTTAAACCTAGCTCACACATTTGTCGGTGCTTTTATCTAGAACCAATTCTTTGGACATGCGGGATATATTACCCCGAGGAATTCAAAGGCGCATTGGCTTCCGATAGCAGGGGTTCGCGATCGTACGGGTAATACGGGTAACTTAGATGGCCTTGTGCTAGAATAGAAGAGGTTAAGAACAGAAGAGAATTTCCGAAGTGTAAAAAGCGCATATCGGCGTCTTCCAAAGGTTTGCCGTGGTATTGAGACCTGATAGAAAGCGCCGAAGGTTAAGAACCGAGATATTGCTTGTTGTGAAAAGAAAAGAGATAAAGGAGACTTGCATAGCTTTATATGCTTTCATAAATAAAGGTGATAACCACGGGGTAACATCAATTGAAAGATCAATCGACAGAATTTTATGAAAATTAGAAGCGAATATCTGTGTAGAGTAGTACAATGTCCAAGGTTTTGATATTTCAACATAGGCCCATCGACCTACTTGTCCCAATCTACACCGGGGTCAGTACTAAAGAGAAGATCTGGGTGTCGTGATTCAGGCCTCGACGCTCGATCAAACCATCCTACAGGAGCCACCGACTCCACTACGAAATCTTGCGATGTTATATGCTGATCTCCTCTGACCCACAGGGGGAAATATGACCCGACCAATAGGGCTGTATCTTTTCTTTTTAGGCGATACGAGGACCGAGCACTTGAGGTATTCATTCACAGAAGATCGCGCAAGTCCATAGCTATATAGAGCGGCTTTTACATACTAGCTTATTAGTAAGAAATGGCCAGGAGTCAGAACTGAAAAGTGGTCGCCGATCAATGAATCAAGTTTCCTGATCATATCGAGTTTTCTCGGCGAAGTGATACATAGACAGCAGTAAGGGAATACACATTGGGTTTGCGAAGATTCCAGTAAGCTCTCTCAAATATTCTCACAGTAGCCCTCACTTTTATCTTAATTGATATCTGCGGACTCTTCATCCGCAACCCGCCCTCGGCCACATTTAAATCTCATAATGACTGCTTGAACACAACGCTTTGCCCTCAGTATTACCCATTTATACGATTTGCCGACCAACAAAAATACGAACTTAGTTCGCGTGGTACAGACACCCAACATTACCTCTACATATCGGTCGGGAATAAGCTTCAATACCGCCGCCCAAGGAACACAAAATATTGCGAACCCGAGTGAGACACCCCATTGCCAACCTGAAAGCCTTGTCACGCCAAATGCTGTGCCACCGACAAAGATGATCAGTATCTGACCGCCAACCATAATTAGATTGATCACGAAGAACCATCTGTTTTTGTGTATACCCTCGAAGATGTTGAATTTGTTATCAAGCCGTCTACAGTTGAATTCGTTGAAGATCTGCATCCAAACGAAAGTGTTGAAAATAATCGTGTCTCGTTGCAGCATTTCAGCATGATTGGATCTATCAAAGTTGAATATCGAATGTCCAGCAAAGTAGAGCGCGAAGCAGATTGCAAGCTTATAGATCGATTGGCCCAGTATCATTTTCCACATTATAACTGTGAAAAGGGGGGCATTGCGGGGTGTTGGGGGGCGTTGGAGGATATCTGATGTCGGAGGATCGGTTGCTCTTGTTCAATTAGTTTCCAAAAATATCATACGAAGTTGGTACGAGCGTACAGAGCTAGCGCGGCGAAGGTGTCCATGATAAGATTCAGCCAGAGCAACTGAACGGCTTTGAATACGCTCTCATTTTTGCTGCTGTAAATCGCCGTTATCACTGTAAGGATGACTGCCGTAATGTTGACGGTAATTTGGAACTACTATGTCAATTTATAGCTTAAAATCAAATTGTTCCTGGAGGCCTACCTGTAAAAACCTGGCCACAGCATCATTCACAGCCCTTCCCCATGCAATCGCTGTCACGATAGACTTGAAGTTATCATCCAAAAGAACTATCGAGCTCGCCTCTTTAGCAACCTCAGTTCCACTTAACCCCATGGAAAATCCAACATCCGCGGCTTTCAATGCTGGCCCATCATTCGTCCCGTCCCCTGTCACAGCGACAATCCCTCCAAGGCGCTTGAGCTGTTTTACCAGGAGCTCCTTGTCATCCGGTGATGAGCGCGCAAGTACTTGTAATTTGGGAATAATCAAGGCTAGCTCATCCATTCCCAGCCTCCGTAGTTCGGGCCCCTCCATCGCGATCCCATCATCTGTCTTGATGCCGCATGATTTGGCGACTGCGAGCGCAGTATTTATGTTGTCGCCTGTGGTTTTTTTAGTAGGTTTACATGTTTGGCATCCACAAAACAGAGAGCAAAACAAACCTGTAACCATTTTGACCTGAACTCCGGCCGAATTGCATTTATGGATCGCTTCCGAAACCTCAGGTCTTAGTGGATCGTGGATCCCGAATGCTCCAATCCACGTCAGTCCCCTGAAGACCTCATCAAAGCTACATCGGCGATCATGGCTCGCCGCTGACCAATTTGTTAAATCCTTGTACGCAATTCCTATTGTCCGTAGTGAGGCTCGCGCATAATTGTCTATTCTTTCCGATATCAAGCGGCGGTCATTGGGTGACATCAGAACAGTAGCTAATGCCTCTTTCTCTGGACCTGGCGAGATCATATGAGAGGCAGCAGTGAGGAGAAACTCCGGTGCGCCCTTAACAAGAAATCGATATCCTGACTGTTGTGGTTGGCCATATATAACGGCCATTGTCTTGCGTGCTGAGTCGAAGGGATAGACTTGCACGATATGGCTAGTTGCTTGAATTTCAGAAAGGTCCATTCCAAGATCCCGATGTGCTAGCTGGAGAAGAGCAACTTCAGTCTTGTTGCCAATGAACTTCTTGTCGTTACCTTGTTGCTCTTCGAAGGCGGTTGTATTCAGTGCAAGGCTGTGGACTAGTATTTCTTTGAATGAAGACGAGAAATTGCTCAAGGTCTTTGATATCGAGACGGATGTATCAGTGTTCTCTAACGGCATCTTTCCAAATGTCTGGTTTGAGCCAAAGAGCCCCGCCACGACAGCCATCTTGTTCTGGGTAAGGGTTCCGGTTTTATCAGAACATATCACAGTTGCATTTCCCATTGTCTCACAGGCCCTTAATAGTCGAACAAGATTATTCTCTTTTAACATTCGGCCAGTGGCAAATGCCAATGCTAGTGTTACAGCAAGTGGTAGACCCTCTAGTCATTTATCAGTAAGATCATTCAAAAGGCACGGAGAGTATGGGGCATTACAGACCAGGGATCGCCACTACAATCACCGTGACAGCAACAATCAAGATATCCATGAAGTGCTGGCCTTTCATCGCCGGTGTCTCATCGTTCCCAGAGAGTTGCGCCAGGAAGCGAATAAATAAGACAGTGAATAACAACAGAGCCGATCTATTTCATGAGGGACACCGCTATTATCATATCATTCACCAACAGAGGAGAGGGGATGGGAGGAAATACCCGAGTCCAAACCACCCAATCCAGTTTGCCAACCGCGAAAGCTTCACTTGTAATGGCGTTGGATCTGTCTCGGTTCCTAATGAGACCATGATCCGGCCATATGATGAATGGGCCCCGACGCTTGTAACCAGATATTTCCCTAACCCCTCGAGAACCTTGGTACCTGATATAATGAAAGGGTCTAGGTCTTCTCTTGACCCAGCAGCATCCCAAGCTTTAAACCCAGTACACTTCTCGACGTGGTCGGACTCGCCGGTCGCAAGGGACTCATCGCATTTAATCTGATGACTCGTAATAACAACTCCATCGGCCGGAGCTGCATCACCCAGCTCGAGACAAACTACATCGCCAACAGTGAGGTCACTGATATTCATCTGAATCGTCCTCCCGGATCGAATGACCTTCACTTCGCGATCGAGTTGCTACAAAGTATCGTCAGCAACTCATATATCAACCTCGTATCGGAGATGAAGAGGATACGCACGCGTTTATTTAATCTCCCAAATTGCCTCTGCTTCTGCCAATCGTTCCCGGCAGTTACAGAAACAACAAGAAATATAGCGACGCAGACTGCCACACCCTCGATCCAGTCCACCTGAGATTGCCCAGACGCAGCCTCGTATATACCAAGGGAGAGCGAGACAATCGCAGCGATTGTAAGTAGGATAATGATTTTATCATTGTAAGCATCCCAGAGAAGTTTAACGAACGTCTTCTTCTTGGCTTCAGGGAGTGCATTCGTGCCAAAGACTCGGTGTCGATCCGCAAATAGAGTCGCCGTTCCGCTGGGTTCAACTGTCCTATTTGGACGTTGTAGTGATTTAGACGATGTTCCCGTTGTTCTGGAGTATGCAGCCTGTCTCGCCTCTTGTATTGTTGCATAGCGGGGCAGAACCGTTTCGTTCGCTGGTAATCCAGCAATGAGATCAGTCTGGAGTCCATATTCTAGACCATGCGGTCCACCCAAGGCAAAAAACACCTCAAGGGACTTTGGATTGAGTAATTTATTCAGCTGCCCGGGGGAGAACGCAAATTTGTTGTCGCGAACGTGGAAGTCCTCTTCAAAGTGGGGATCCGGGGCGAGAGCCTCAAGCCAAGCTTCCTTTTCGTCTTTTTCTGACATTGACACTGCGATGTGGCTTCATAAGGGAAGTTGCCAATATGCCTCCAACAGTTTGTCTCTGGCACAATAGGACTTTAATTATCAAGTAACTTGAATCCTACATTTACATCATCAAGTCGTTGTCATCAATATCGTGGCTGTGTTATAATCTAGAAACTTTAAGTTGTGCTTCACTTTAGGGGCGACCCATATTTCTAGGCAGTATTGGAGCTATTGACATTGATAGCAAGAAAGCTAGCATGTCACCAGGTGATCCCATATTGGTCGAGCAGTTGACTCTGACGACACGATCGTATAATTTATTGTCGGGTGGTGCATTGCCTCGCTCAACCAGGGGCCGAAGTTCCATGGTTCGGTTGACACCTTGAACTTAAGGCACGAAGGGTCTTTTTTGAAGCCATTATACAGCCCTGTAGATAATTCCAAAAACTCTGCGATCATATATTAAGATAAGGTCAGCCGGGGGATTTCGATATATGAAGCTGTGTAGTTTCATTTTTTTTAATTATGGTGAGTAGTAATAATATTGTTCCTTTGTTATACCTCAGCTCATAGGAGTCAAGAATGTACAATTCACCAGTACAGTTTATTGGCTTAATATCACGTGTATAATATTACTTTAGGGATTCCTAGAAGTACTACTTGGATGATCCCTGAGGCTTTTTTTTGGGCCTATAGGGACGATAGATCTTACTCTCTCGAAAATGACATAACGTTGAGTCCCAAAAAGATCTGAGTACGTGGTTGTAGAACAAACCGCAGATGTTTTGGGAGATCTACAAAATGGCCAGCATAGCAAAAGATTATCCTTACTCGAGGACTGTCAGTCGATCACATTTAATTAATAAATCTCTGAAATCTTGCTAATGTATTACGGAAAATGAGGAATGCTTCAAGGAGCTTGAATAATCTAGTATGAAGAAAATTGACCAATAGCACCATGACAATTGTTACTAGGCATATCTCGCTTGCAAAGAGGAACAACGCAGATTCAGGGGCGACCAACACTTTCCTAGTGAATAAAGATATTATCTGAAGGGTGGGAGGAGGAATATAAATGGCACAAGAACCAAGTATTCAAACGAGCGAGTCCTCGGGGTCAGGTTCGGTGAGCGGATCAGGTGATTCAAGAATATTCATTGGCGAGCGCAGCCGGCGTAGAGGTATACTCAATTCTACTCAGTGATCAAAATGCGGCAAAGGGTGAGCACGAGAATGGAAGGAGAATGCCAAGAGTTTGTCGGACGTAGGTAAATTTAGGTGTATCGAGGTTATGGATGGCGGACTTTGTCCGCCTCTTTCCCCGCTCTCTTATCAACTGCAATTCCGAGGTCTTTTGTTTATAAACGCCTATATAAAAACAACCACTTTAACCATGGCGAGTCTCGAAATATTTCGCACGACCTTGAAAAAGCCATTCTTGAGACCTCCACATTTAAAGGTCGCTGGGCCCGCGTTCCGACGCAGTCACATCAACCTCTTTTCGACTTCAAGATACCAAGCCATGCTGACCTCAGAACTGTCCGAAGCTGAGGTATCAGCATTAAGAGCCAACAAGCAACGTTTGTCTGAGGATTTGCATCATTCCTGCCAATGGGGATTTGGTATTCGATGGGGAGAGTACGTATATCGTCATCTCTGTAGAGACCCCTTATGAGAGCATAGACAATGGGAATTGACATTTCATTTTTTTGACAGGGGAGCGACTGACACTGGAATGCAGCGCCTCGCCTTATCGGACGAGGACAAGAGTGTCCGAGACTGGTTCATTCAGACGATGAAGAGCTTAAAATGTGAAGTGACTGTTGACGAGATGGGTAACATCTTCGCTGTTCGTCCAGGGAGGCGAAAGGATGTTCCCGCAACTTTTATTGGTAGCCATCTTGATACCCAACCCACCGGAGGACGATATGACGGCATTTTGGGTGTTTTGTCTGGAGTAGAAGCAATCAAGAGGATGGACGAGATGGGTCTAGAAACAGAGGGGGGTGTCGGCGTCGTAAATTGGACCAAGTATGAAGGAATTCCTCTCCTTTTTTTTGTACTATATTGGCTGATTATGACTGAACAGTGAAGAAGGCGCCCGGTTCCCCATAAGCATGGTATCCTCCGGCGTATGGGCTGAGTGTATCCCGCTATCCAAGGCCCATGGCCTCAAAGAGGTTCCAACGGTAGCATCACTTCCGACAGCTAGTTCGGCTCCAGAAACTATGCAGACCGCGTTGCAAAAGATTGGCTATTTGGGGAGTGTCCCTTGTTCGTACAAGTCATCTCCAATGGCAGCACATTTCGAGCTCCACATTGAACAAGGTCCTCATTTGATTTCAGCTGGCCAACGGGTTGGGGTAGTCACAGCTGTCCAGGCTTATCGCTGGTTCCGGATCAACATTATCGGACGGGATACACATACAGGAACAACAGCCTTCGAGCATCGAGCAGACGCATTGTATGCCTTTTCGTGTATGATGGTTAAAGCACGAGAAGTTGCGAAAGCTCGAGGATGTCTGGCCAGCGTGGGCATTATCGAAGTGAAGCCAGGTAGTGTGAATACTGTCCCTGGACAAGTCAGCTTCAGCTTGGACATCCGAGGTCCAGAGACGTCTCTAGTTGCTGAAGTAGAAAAAGAGCTCCGCAATGAATTTGACGCCATTGCTGCGGAAGAGGGCGCGGGTATTGGCAAACCGTGCCGTGTTGAGTGGACACTTGACTTTGACTCACCTGCTGTGAAGTTCCATGAGGACTGCATCGATTGTGTCCAAGAATCGGCCTACGCTGTGGTTGCAGATGCTCCGGTTACAGACACCAAGACATTAGTCCGACCTATCGTGAGCGGTGCTGGGCATGACAGCGTCTTCACTTCGAAGCGCGTTCCAACCAGTATGATTTTTGTGCCGTGCAAGGATGGCTTGAGCCACCACCCGGAGGAGTTCTGTTCGGCGGACGATTGCGCAACCGGTGCGTCCGTTATTCTGCAGGCGGTGGTGCGGTATGATCGGAAGAGATTCGCATAGGCTGTAGAGTGATATACATCAATGATGTCGATGTGCCTGAGTTGCATAGTACTAGAAAAATGAAATATAAAACCATCGCGTTGAACTACAATGGAGCTACGAGAAAAGGTCACAAATTGCACTGAGTCATGAGTTTGCCATTGAGCCTAGCTACATCATAAAGCCAGCGACATGATTTAAACTTTTTTGTTTTTCCCGTATCCCAAGTCTCAGTAACAAGGGGCGGTATGAAGATGTCCCAGATATCAGCCCCTTTCGGAGTCGCGTTTCCGGACACCTACTCGGGACCGAACAATGGTGACATCAGTCCCTAGGGAAGACCGAGCAATGGATGACAGGACACCAAGGCATCAAATCCCTTACTGGGGAGCGCCACGGCCACGGCCGAAGCCACCACGGAAGGAAGGAGCGAACTCGCCGGGGGCACTGCCCTCCTTGCCCTCCTGCTCGCGGCGGCGGTAGCCGCCCTCACGGGGAGCACGGGGACGGCGCTCACGGTCCTCACCGCCGAGCATGCCGCGGGGGGGGAGCGTGGGAGCGCTGCTGCTTGATGTGGGTGGCGGGGACAACCTCGGCGGGGAGGTGCAGCCACTCGCGCAGGTAGTCAAGACCCTCGGGGGTGAGGGTGTAGTAGTAGTACTGCCACGAGAAGCGGGTCTTGACGTAGCCGCGGGAGGTCAGGGACTGGCAAGCCTTGATGACCTATTTAGAAGAAAAACCGCATCCATTAGCCAAACACTCATGACAGTCGAGTCTCACTGGTTGGAGTCGCCTTACATAGAGGTTCTTGGTGTCGATGTCATTGTGCTTGGGAAGGTTGAAGTCCTTCTTGGCCACGAGCACACCCTCTAAAGGTCCAAGTCAGTCAAAGTGTCCAAAAGTGTTCGAATGGCGGCGAGCGCATCAATGAGAACCGCGCTTAGGCAGGCTTAAGCGTCGATGAGGTGCCGGTCACATACCGCGGAAGAGGTACTCGTGGATCTTCTTGCGGTCGTCCTTAGGGATAAGCCTACAGCATCATCAGTAACGTGATCGAATAGAACAAAGAGTCATAGCAGTAAATCTTACATTGTCGCGAGTTCCTGGTGCAATTCGTGGAATCGCTTTGACAAGGCCAGAGAAAGATGGGTGATTTAAGGATGGGAGGAAGAGTGGAGCTTCGCGGCGAGAAAAGTGCGATATTCCTTTTCGGGCCACTCGCTAGGGTTGATGCCCTAATCAAAGTTCTGGTACATACAAGTCACATGATCCATAGTCACATGGTACGTTTGACGCCGTGTGACTGAGTCATCATTACCTAGTCACATGACCCAATCATCGGCCCCATCGCCATCTTATCTTTGTGCTCGCCGTTCAGTAACAGTCTTGGTCAATCAACCTGCCAACACGTCATCCAAAATGTGTTCCCCGAACGTGAATGTCCTGCTCTCATCCTTCCCGGGTCTCGCACTGCCATCGACCCTTGCATTCTCGCTACCTTCCACATCCACTATTTCAGATCTGACGGACAAAGTCGCGACATATCTTCCATCGTCTCTCTCCCTCCAGCGCCTCATCCTCACCACAACCAACAACAAACAAGTCACACCCTCTACAGCTCCTCTCCGATCTCTCATTTCATACAACGATGAATCTTCCACCTCAGTCCTGTTGCCTCTACGCCTCTCGGTACCACTATGTGGAGGCAAAGGTGGTTTCGGATCCCAGCTTCGTGCTGCCGGTGGCCGAATGTCAAGCAAGCGAAAGCGCAACCAGGGTGATAACAATAGCTCAAGTCGCAATCTCGATGGCCGCCGTTTGCGCACGGTCCATGAAGCGAAGGCGCTCGCAGAATATCTTGCCGTCAAGCCGGAGATGGATAAAAAGGAGAAAGAGGAGCGCCGTCGCCGATGGCAAGCTGTAGTTGAGATGGCCGAGAAACGTCAGGACGAAATCAAGAATGGCGGCGGCAAGCAAAAAATCGACGGTCAGTGGATGGACGATAAAGAGGAAATGAATGAGAAGGCACGAGAGGCCGTTCTTGCTGCGATCAAGGATGGCGATTGGACGGATAGTCTCCGCGATGCGATTCTGGGAGGCTCGAGTACCAGCGCGAGTGAAGGCAGTGAGAACGCCTCTTCTTCTAGTTCCGATGAAGATGAAGATGATGAGGGTCAAGAGGCTGGAGCGTCTTCCAGTGCTGCCGGGCCTTCTGTGCCTGCACAAAAGCCTGCGCCCAGACGATTCATCGGTTTTGACGACGATGATGAATTTATGAGTGATTCAGAAGATGAGGAGGTTGAAGAGCCTGAAAGTAAAGGCAAGGGCAAAGCTCGTGCTTAAATAACAAAAATTGGGATTTTGATGGTTGATGACGGCGTTCATATCCCACGGAGTCTACTGGTGCATTCAATTCTCAGCGAGCGTTTCTTTTATTTTCAATAAGTTATTTCTACAATGGCCGCCTACTAGGTCTATGTCCTTTAATATCAATAACCTTACATATGCCAAGTCCGGCCTCAACCCTACTTTCTCGACATTCCAGTCAGTCTCTCTTCTGCATTGTCTTCTCAGGCATCGAAATATCATATCCTGCACCAAAAGGATATCATTTTTTCTAAGAATCGATCTCTTATATCACCCCATTCAGATAGGAGAATGTCACGTATTCTCGCCATGCAAGACTTGATCGAAAATTCATCACCACCAGCTGTGCCCATCTTAAAGCCATATTGGATTAAGGCCATCTAGATTACATGAGCTCCATTAAATATTCAGAGTTCGCTGGAAGTATCCCCACTGTATAAAGTAAATTTCAGTAAATTTCATTGCCCGAAGGATCTATACTCTATTTGAACACTTCTCATTATGTAGGCAGTAGTAGTATGGCCAAAATAGATAGGCGTTGTGGCCATCAACGATTTCAATGGCCAGCTGCACTGCTCCTTCCATCTTCTGGGTTATCCCCCCGGTCCGAGCTATTCAAGTGAGTGGGAACAGATGACCTAGATGATTCTGCCGGCCTTTCTTGAATCTCACTTTTTTTTCTTCACGCGCTGCGGCTGCTGCACGAGCAGCTAGCACCTTTTCATGAAAGCAGTCGAGGCAGCAGAGTAATGGCCACGCTTGCGGACCTCCGGACCATAATTATTGTATATGGAGCGGTTCAGAATGGCAGGAAGAGGAAAGAAGAGGAAATATAAGGATGAGAGTTCAAGAAAAGACTGTGAGTTAGCCATATTAATCGGTAATTTGATTTGGGGCCAGGGATCTGTAGCTTTTGCAGTCTGCGTAAATCCCTAAGTTGCGCGGCTGAAGGGTGAGTGGGTCTCGAAATTCCAAAAACAACCAGACATCCCGATCTACGATGTCGCGAGATCGACATATTGCACAAGTCGAAGAAGTTAGAGGTGGCAGGCATATCCTAATGCTGCACGACAAAGTCCTGGCCCGATGGGTCCATCTATGAGCGCTCAAAAGTACACAGTACAACTCTATCCTTCACACCGCTCGTCACTCGTACAATGCCCATTAGTATCCTCGGTTGCGCATGAGACACAGTCTATCAAGTCGGAGAAAGCATGTTCTGAAGGTGGAAGTATGCACGATGTTGGACCTGGGGATATATTAACAACAAGGGAAACTCGCGAAGACCCACTTTGACATTAGGCACAAGGTGTACGGCGGCGTAGAGGAACCAGCCACGCTATCGATAAGACGTCCAGCAAAAAAAAAGCCCCGAAACTCCGCAATCTACACGCCCAAATCATGTTGCCTCGCGCTCGGGGCGCATTGTCAAGGGCCCTGCGACTCAATGGGTTGCGGTCGCACCCGAAGTCTTGTCCACATGAGCTGGCATACACCCTGCATCCCCTGTTTAGCTTCACGCAATCACCCTGGCCCTCCGCCCTGAGGTATCCTGTACCAAGCTCGCGTCACCATTTCTCAACAACGCGTTTTCAAAGACAGCAATCGAAACCCGATAATCTAACAGATCTCCTGCCAATATGCTGTCCAGGGTGTGGTGCATTCTCACAGACGATCGAGCCTGATGAGCCTGGATACTATAGTACCAAGCGGAAAGAGACCCGAAAGCTTTTGGCCTCGAAGGATATGCTCGCATATACCACAGATCTAGCAGGCGCCGAGAATGTTAAGTCGAAAGCAAATGCCTCTGAGGGAGACGTGCACGATACAATTGAAGCTATCGAACCCCTGGAGCAAGCAGGAGCTCCTCGTCCGATTCAGAGTAGGTGGTCCAATATGCCTACCCAATCTAAAATGACATTCGCTAATTTGCTACAAAAGGTGGCGCCTTGCTAGATGATTCTACGGAGCCAAGTTGTCATGGTCTTCAGCCGCAGGCACGGGTTTCTCATGTCTGTGATCGATGTCATGACTTGATACACCACAACAGAGCAATCGCTGCTCCAAAGCCCTCGGTCCATTCGATCCGAGATTTTGTGAATGAGTCCCCCTATAAAGACAACCGTATATACCATATCCTAGATGCTGCCGATTTCCCCATGTCCCTCATCCCACGCATTCACTGGGCACTCTTCGCTCAAGAACAGCGTTCGAAAAACCGCCGAGCTGCGAACGAGAAATACTCCCGAGGAAGAAAGCTGCCTACGATAAGCTTCATCATCACGAGATCAGATCTACTGGCTGCTACAAAGGAGCAAGTAGATTCAAAGATGGAATACGTGCGTTCCGTTCTTCGGACGGCATTGGGCAAGGCTGGAAAAGACGTCCGCCTGGGAAATGTGCATATGATAAGTGCACACCGCGGCTGGTGGACCAAGCAACTTAAGGAAGAGATCAAGGATCATGGCGGTGGTATCTGGGTGGTTGGTAAGGCTAATGTAGGGAAAAGCAGCTTTATCGAGGCCTGTTTTCCCAAGGACTCCCGAAGGCTGGAGAACGTTGCCGAATGGATTGAGCAACGGTTGCAAAACAATGAACAGCAGACCCCCGTCTTTGACCCCGATAGTCTCCTTCCTCCGGCGCCTCGCGAAGATCAGTTCCCCATTCTTCCAGTCGTGTCATCGTTGCCAGGAACCACCGTCTCACCTATCCGCATTCCATTCGGTCGTGGAAAGGGAGAGATGATTGACTTGCCCGGCTTGGAACGGAGCGAACTCGAGGATTTTGTCTGTGATGAGCACAAACGTGATCTAATCATGACCAAGCGTATCAAGCCAAAGCGTTGTATCATCAAACCTGGCCAGTCTCTTCTTCTCGGCGGAGGCCTTGTCCGAATCACAGCCACCAACCCAACAGATACAATTCTAGCCGCATGCTTCATTCCCATCGAAACCCATGTGACAAAGACCGAAAAGGCGATTGAAATGCAAACCGAGCAGCGACCCTATCCTGGCACAATCCTCATGAGACAAGGAACCGGTTTCTCGATGGCCTCGGCGGGAAACTTTGACTTGGAATGGGATACCACAGCATCCAATCTCCCCGCTACTGTCGCAAAAGCTGTCAAGGACAAGGGTATTCCTATTCCCACACTGCCATACCGCGTAATGTCTGCAGACATTCTGATTGAGGGCTGTGGCTGGATTGAGATTAGCATTCAGATCCGCACGAAGCGTAACCCGAATGCTCACTCGCCACAGTTCCCCCAAGTTGAGGTGGTTTCACCCAATGGGAAATATGTTGGGATTAGACCACCGATTGAATGCTGGAATTTTATCGCAGAAAAGCTCAAGGCGGACAAGCGCAAGAGGCCGCGCTCAAGATTCCGTTATAGTTGAGCTCTTGCAGGAACGGCTGCTTGTTTGAAATATGGGAGTACTGTACAGTAAGGCACATAGCATAGCGATTGGCGTTCTAGTAGGGAACCATATATACGTAAATTAATCTCCATTTCTTTTTGCACCTGCCATATCCTGTGTCATCATCATGAAAATGTAAGCGCCTCCCAAATTCATCATGTGCTGGAGTCCCGACGGTCCCCGCAAGTGGGGAACCTCCACCCAGGCTGGCCCCCTGCCCTGGGAGAAACGTAGGTACCTTGCTTCTTCCCATCATAATCACACCATCTTTCAGAAGCAAGACACAATCACGTTAAAGGGTCGATGGGTCTTGCTTGAGCTTTTGCCTCAGTAGCTCAGTTTCTCATTCTTTTATCAATTTTCGAACTTACCAGTGGGAGGAACAAACAGGCCACTTCGGCTCTGGGGGTAGCGACACCGCTTCTTTGGAAAGGTAACCAGAGTTCAACAATTAAGGCACCTCACGGGGCTAGCCTCATTCACATAATGCTTTCTTCGAGAGGTCTCAAAAATGTCCAGGAGCTGGGACAGCCCTGGCGTTTTAGTCCTACGCCCGATTATGACCCAGAGACAAATCCCAGTGGACTCATCTCCTTTGGCATGGCGGAGAATGTATGTATAAATACGTCAAATGAATGGTCACGTCTTTCAACGCCTTTAACTCTTTAGTAGAGGCCAATGAGAGAATACATTGTCGACTACATCAATGAAAAGGTAGTGTTTCGATTCTATCATCTTTACAATATATATCTCAAGACGAGATCACGATCTGATATCAATGGCCAGGTTTCTTTCACTACAGACTCAGTCAGCTATCGATCCAGTGCAAAATCAAGTGGACGACTTCCCGCCGCGGCAACGGCTCATTTGAATAATATCCTCGCCCCATATGTCCCAATTCAGCCTGATCATGTCTTCATTGCTGATTCCCCAACTTCACTGGGTAATATGCTAGGGTACAATCTAGCGGAGCGCGGCGAGGGCATTCTCGTCAGTCGACCGGTATATGGCCGCTTCGAGCTTGACTACGGCGTTGAAGCAGGCGTCGAAATCATCTACGCCGATACTACGACCGAGGAGGCATTCACTCTCTGTTCAGTGATGAAGTATGAACAAGCCTTGGCTGCTGCTACGGAGAGAGGTGTAAAGATTCGAGCTGTGCTTCTTGTTAACCCGCACAACCCTGTTGGTCAGTCCATCGCATCCGTGTTACTGAGGCATGTGATGAGATAAGTGATTAAATGTTGAGTTTCTTTCCCTAGGCCGCTGTTATCCAAGAAAAACTCTGGAGGCAATCGCCCAATTCTGCAATAAACATAAGCTTCACCTCATCAGCGATGAAGTCTACGCTTCCTGTGTTTTTGATACTGTCGACCCAAGCGCCGTCCCATTTACGTCGATTCTTTCTTTGGATTTAGAGAAACTGATAGATATCGAGCTCGTTCATGTGCTTTACGGCTTTAGCAAGGTATGAACATATTTCCCAGAGGCAACATTTTATTGACATCAGTTCCTTGGTTAGGATTTTGCCTCTGGCGGTCTCCATCTTGGATTCCTAGTGACTCAGAACGAGAGGCTCCGTCAAGGCTGCAAGATGATCTTGTGGGTAGTCAATGGAAAGACACCAGTCTTGATCGATATCGACTAATAGCTGAACTATAGGAGACTTCATGGAGCCTCGCAAGCGGCTATCACTATTGGCACAACCATTCTAGAGGATCCAGCTTTCGTGTCAAGCTTTATAGCTAAGACAAGAAGAAGTTTGGCAACAGGATATCAGTTAGTCACATCTACTCTGGAGAAAGAGGGCATAAACTATGCCAAGGGCGGGTAAGTCAGCTAGTTCATATCTGGGGTTGGGATACCATATTGATCAATGTCTTAGAAATGCGGGATTCTTCATTTACATTGATCTATCGCCCTTTCTCCCCGCAAATGGTCTGTCAGTTCGAGAGCAGGAGTTTGCTCTAGCGCAGAAGCTTCTTGATGCAGGTGTTTTCTTCCATCCTGGCGAGGAACATTCGAAGGATGCTGGCTGGTTTCGCTTCGTATTTTCTCACGAGGAAGCTACTCTCGAGGAAGGACTGCGAAGGTGAGATGAGCCCTTCTTTGGTGTGTTGAATTGTGACTGACTCTAGCACTCCCTGAAATACAGACTGTTGAGCGTCTTGAAACCAACGCAGATATCTGGATAAGTATACATCTTTCGTCTTTGAAGCAATAGTTACCGGGCCTTCGATCTTTATCTTATGGAATTTTGATTGAATTCGAAAGGATTTCAGTGGTCACGCAAACCCGAATCTAGAACCGTAACAAATGCATTTATTTCTTTTCTCCTAGCATAGGCTCATAAAACATCACTCTTTAATTTGACAAATAGGAAACTTCCATCTTTGTATCCTAAAACACACCGGATGCAATTACTCGGCGACCTCGATGTTGGAGAACACAAAGGTAGGCTGGCCAGGGACAGCGTTCTCGGCGTTCAGACCCTCACGAACCTCGCCAGAACCAAGGACCTCACCGGTCTTACCACCCTCATTCACCGCGATAACCTCGACCTCCTTGTACCCGGAGATACGCTTCAGAGCAGAGACCATCTCCTGCAACACGGCAAACTCGTCGAAGGGCAACTTGCGGTCAAAGACGGTGTCTGGGGCCTCGCGGCTCTGGACCAGGCGGCGCTTGAGAGTTTGCACGAAGGGCATGGCCTTCTTCATTTCGCCAAGCTTGCCAACCTTGGCGTTGAGCTCCTTGTCATTGATGGTGACGGTCAGGGCGTCGAAGGCGTCACGGACCAGGTCGATGTACTTCTCCTGCCAGGAGGGATACTTCTTGGCGGCGAAAATGGTCAGCTTCTTGGCCTTGCGCGGGTCGAAGCTGACGCCCTTGCCCTTGGACTGGCGCTTGGCGAGCTGGGCCTCGGAGGACAGGATAGCTGAGGAGGTGCCACGGATGTAGTTCTGGGCGGCAGTGAGCTCAACCTTGGGCTCGGCGACCTCGGGGAACTTGGCGAAGTGGATAGACTCGGTCTAGTAGTGAGTTAGATTGAAAGCAATAAGAAGTATGGGCAATCGGGAGAAGCTGACCTTCTTCAGGATCTCGATCCACACGTACTCGGCCCAGTGGGGGGCGATGGGAGCGAGCATGAGAGCCTGCAACTCGATGTAACGCAGGACCATATCGCGGTGCATGCCAATGCCAGCGGCGGTGGCAGCCTCACGGTAGGTATCGCGAGCGGCAGTGAAGTCATACAGACCAGACTTCAGACCAAGCTTGAAGTCGGTGCTAGGGGAAATTGTTAGTGACGGGAGTGGATATCAATTATACAATGAAACTTACTCCTGGTAGTGCTTCTGGGTCTCACGAACAAGGCTGTTAAGGTCGTTCTCAAACAGCTTATCCTGGAAAGCATCGGCGGGACCAGTGCGCAGGGAAGCATCTTTGGAAACCTCCTCGACCCAGTCCTTCAGGGTGTGCAGACGCAGAATGTTGCTGTTGGCCACGCTCTCATCGAAGTTGGCATCCTCGATGCTGTCACCAGCATCGGCGAAAGCGATACGGGTGGCATCGGCACCAAACTTGTCGACAGAATCCTTCAGGGTGAGGAAGTTACCGGTACTCTTACTCATCTTCTCACCGTTCAGCAGCAGGTGGCCGTTGGCACGGACACCACGGGGCCAGTACTCTGGGGGGAAGAGAGCAATGTGGATGTACAGGAAGAAGGTCAGGTGGTTCTGGATCAGATCTTTACCAGATACACGAACATCCAGAGGGTACCAGTACTCGAACTCGCGGCGCATCTGGAACAGGTCATCCTTGCTGATGCCACTCTTGGAGACCAGCTCATCGCTGATCTCACGGCGAGTGAAGATGTAGTCCCAAACTTCATCGATCATCTGGTCGGGCTTGATTGCGAGGCGACCAGGGGTTTTGCCGTAACGGTCGCCATGCAGGAGGTGTGCAATGGTGTAGTAGGCCTGGTAGATAGTAGAATCACTCAGGGACTCGACCAGGAAATGCTTGTCCCAAGGCAGCTTGGAACCAAGGCCGTAGGTTCTGGCGCAAGCCCAGCGATTAAGCCAGGACAGGTTCTTCTCGAAACCGTGCTTGGTCTCCACGGCGTAGGTGTTCAGCTTGTTGACGACGTGGTCCAGGGTATCCTGCTGCCACTTGGCGTCATTCTCACCGTAGTTCAGGAACCACTGGCCGAGATATGCGACTACACAGTCGTCACCACTGCGAGAAACAACCTTACCCATGGGGTCGGCGAAGGGGAACGCATCTCCGCTCTGGTAGAGTGCCTGACGAATCTTATCTTTGACAGTGCTGACGGGCTCACCCTTGTATTCACCGACGAGCATAGTACCCTTGTAGAAGCCCTCGGAGTAGGCCAGCTCCTTGGCCTGGGCGAGCGGGGTGACATCCTTAGGAGAGTTGATCTTCAGCTGCTTAACGAGAGCAGGGGCAGTCAGGTTTCCGTAGGTCGGGGTTTCAATAACGGGATGGATCTCCTTTTCGGCCCACTCCTTCTTAATCCCATAATAGTCGGCCTTCTTGATCAGGTCCATCAGGGTAGCATAGTCATCAGGGCTGTCCGAGGGCACGGAGGTGACCACACCAGTACCCTTGGAGGCCGAGACGCCATCCATGGGCAGAATATAGACACCCTCGGTATGGAAGGACAGAGGGGCATTGACGAGAGTACCCACAAAGTCAGATCCGGGGGCCTCAAAAATGAGTGGCAGCTGGTCCTGGGTCTTAGGGAAGTTGTCACTAGAGAAGAAGTGACCCTGGAAAGCCATATTCCAGGCAGCACGCTTGGTAACAACAACGTACTCCTTCTCCTTCAGCTTGAACAGACCGTAGTTGATTTTAGGGCCAACAAAGCAGTTGGTCTGACCGTACATGGTCTCAGGACGAAGAGTTGCGGGAACGAAGTAAACCTTGGCATCGTCCTCAATCTTGCCCTTGACGAGCTCAGCCACAGCAGGAGACCACTCCTTCACCTGCAACTTCAGAGCAGTGTACTCCTGGGGACCAATGCCCTCGCCCTCAGTGCGGTCGTGGTCCATGCAAGGCTGGCCGTCCTTCGGCGAGTAGATGGTGTAGCGGCTACCGTACTGAATCTTGCCCAGCTCGTGAAGACGGTTCATCTGCCAACGCACAAAGGTATCGTAATAGGGGTTGGCATCGGTGGTGACAAACTGTCTGCGCCAGTCGATACGGGCACCCATACTATCGAGATCACGGATGGCGAGCGGGGGAAGTGGTGAAGCCAGTGGTTAGCATCGGCGAATTTGTGGATATCTTCAAGAGGTACACCAATTGCCAGCATGATCTGGAACTGGTACTTCATCTTCACGGTCTTGGCCGCGGCCTTGCTCTTCTTACCCGAGAACTTCTCAGCCTGGTCCTTGACCTCCGGCTTGGTCTCCTGGGTAGGCGCAGCAGGGGCGCTGGACTCCTCATCTTCCTTGTAACCCTCAAAGTTCTGGCCGAACATGTTCACCTCATCCCGGAGCTTATCAGCACAGGCCTTGATAGGCATACCAGTGCAGTGGAAACCGAGCGGGAACAAAGCCCGCTTGCCCTCCATGCGAGCGAATCCGGTCATGAACTCAACCTTGCTGGCAGTGAAACTGTGACCGGCATGCAAAGTACCGTTCATGTAGGGATAGGCCATCGTACCGAAGAACTTGGGGTGCTTCTCACGCATCTCCGAGGCGGACATGGAGCCCTGAGGGATCTCCTCGAAAGAGGGAGCGTCGACCTCGAAGACCTTGTCCTGCTTCCATTTCGCCTGGTATTTCTTCTCAATTGCAATGAGGGTATCACGTTTCTCGGTCTACAGAAAGAATGGCTGTGTTAGCAATCATCAACAAGAAGAGAAAAAAACTTCGGGGAACGGCCCGAAGGAGGAGGAGGGGTAAGTCCACATTTTCGAGTTTCAGGGTGTTTTTTGAGCTGTTGCTCGGGTCGAGCGCAGCAGCGGACGCAGCAGCGGCTGCCATGATTTTTTCAGCAGGATTGTCCCTGATTGCAAGAATCCTGAGGGGCAAGGAAACAAAGATCGCGGGGTTATATAAATTCGGATTGTGCCAGTGAGTCAAAGGCGGTAAACGATTTGGTGCCCGTAACTGGCTGTAATCTTTGGCACGTGCCTATGTTGTACAGCACTGACTGTGGTAGTGACTGCGTAGGTTGAGAAGTTAAATAGAGAGCTAGAAGATTGGCTCAGGGCTCTCATGAATGTATATTCTAAATGAGGCTCTGTTCCATACACTGAGTGGTGATGTGCCACAAAACCCGGAGAATCAGTAGATTTATCACGTGATACATTATCACGGAGCAACTTTCAAACCGCAACAGTTTCCGCAGTCAAATTTCCCCAGATCCACGACTCCGCGCCCCAAACTCCGTGTGAAGCCATTGAGGAAGCTGGCTCTCTTCAAAGATCAATTTTCTCATTTCTAGCGGCCTCAATTTACTACTCGCTGCAGGGCCAGCCCCTGTGCGACATAATCTGCCATCATGGTGAACCTGTTCAAGCGGATGCGCAAGCTGAAGACTGTAAGTTATCAGGGAAGAGGAATCGCCCTCCTCAATCCACCTCCAATTGATTCTATTAAGAACGCATGGCCGCTAACTCAAGCTTTTGTGTCTCTACAGAGGGTAAATTCTCCCATTGTTCCCCATTCCTCGTCTCTCCGAATCTTCCATCCCCAACATCAACTCCAAGCCCTTCAAACCTTACCCTAGAAAACTTCCGACACCTAAGCACCAACCAAACCCCCTTTGAACCTGCCACAGCATATTCTAACACCCTTGCCCAATTTCCAGATGCTCGACATCCGAGTCGGCACCGGCGCCGCCATCCTTCCCAGCGTGGTCTCGGCCTCGAAAGAATTCCCCGCCGTCACCCGGCTGCACCTCACATACGCACGCAAGATCTACGGCGGCCATCAAGGCGCGCGGCATTTCTGGCGGCACTGCCTCCCGCGCCTGAAGTACCACAACCCGGGGGTGCGGATGAGCGTTCAACAGACGGATGAGCAGGACGGGCCGGCCGCACTGACGATTTACTTCGCGGAGCGGGTGGCCGCGACAGCGACGGCGATCGCGGGTGCGAAGCAGATCACCGACAAGCACGCACCGGCGCCAGAGAGCGGCGAGAAGACCGCCGTCGTGAACATCAAAAACCTTAGTTACCAGGAGATCTGGAGCCGGGTGCAGGCGTCGACGGGTGCAGAGGAAGTCAAGGCGACGGCAGAGGAGCAGGAGGAGCTGAAGAAATTGGAGGAGATGAAGGTGAAGGCTGTGAAGGACCGGGAGCGTATACAGGCCATGCGGCAGGCCAAGAAGGACCAGGAGCGGATGCTGGCTCAAGCCCGGGGTGAAGTGGAGCAGCTGAAGTCGACATAAACGGCTGTGTCCACTGTTATTTTTGAGGAATTGGTGAAGTTGGATGGAGGTGGATGGACTGGCTGCCTTGTCTCCATCGGCCTGGCCTATTTGTTTCTGTCCTGCTTCGTTGCGGACGAGGACAGAGGGGTCACCTGTAGCATACTAGCATCATTTTGTGTTCTAACTTTTTTCTACCCTCGCGGTCATGTATTTCTTGGGAATATCATTTCTACAATCTTCGAGAAAAGTTCACGGGACTGGTTCGGGAAGCTTTCGATTGCAGCGCGCTCGCTTGCGGGTGGTATAGAGCTAAAGAGACACTCAACGGTAAGAAAGAAAGAGAAAAAAGAAACACCAATGTCGGACATGCTTTCATGAACGAAGAAAAAAAGAAAAGAGAAAATGCAGAACGTTATGAAGTCACAGATTGAACTAGTTCATGGAAACCACACGGAAAACCGAGATCCAGAACCAAGTATGGAAGAAGATTTGTGCAATATACATCATGAGAAGGAAAAGATAGCAGAACCAAGGGGACAAGTCGGCTCAGCATACCAACTGGTGTCCGTCGTATAGTAAAAAAAAAATACCGTCTGTCCAAATGGTCAAAAAGCGCTGACGCACACCTTTCATGCGTTCTCCGGATTATAGCTAGTTTCTCCTAGCATGCTGTGCCCAGTAGGAGCTGACGGGGTAGGTGTGGTTGGCCGCTGATGGGAAGACGTAGAGGGTTCGGCTAATGTGGATGGGCTGGCATTGACACGGCCCGCAGCTGCTGCCTGTAGTCGTTGATCCAAAGCCTTCAGCGCCAGAGCACGTCTCCGCTCTGCTTCCTCCCGCTTGCCGGAGCCTCTTGCGCCTCCTCCGCGTTGGCTAAGAAGAGTGGGCAATCCGGCCTCGCCTCTTGCCATCACTTGCTGGTTCCCAGATGCAATGTCGTCCTCGGAGAAGGGCTTCAAAATCCTGACTGTAACTAGGAGTGCATAGATCTGATCGGCGACAAAGGAGATAGGGGGTTGCATCACGTCGGGGAAAAGGCAGGCGAAGGCAAAGGTCTCGCTCGCATCGCCCTTGATGCCGAGGCCATTGGTCGAGGTGCCGGTAAGGTCGGGCTGCTGCTTGTAGAAGCGGAGGTATGTCCAGCTGGTCAGGAGCCCCAGCCAGGCCAAGACAGCGGCGGTATCGGTTCCAATCACAATGCCACTAAGCGTGTTGAGGAGCAAGAACAGAGCGGGGAAGTGTTTCACGCGCATCTTCACGAGACCCTTGAAGATGGCAACGGTGTGTTCAGGGACCAGTTGCTTAAAAGCGACTAGGAAAGAGGCTTGGATCGCTACGCCGCCGCATATTTGGGTCAGACTGGAGGACAAAGAATTAGAAGTCAGCTCACACCACCCGCCAATGGACAGGAACCCTCTCAGACCCGTCGCGAGGGGATCAAAAACTTACGCTCGACTGGAAGATCCCGTCACAGCTCCCCAGATCAGATAGATTGGGATAATGACGACATTGGGAATCAGGGCGACCGCAGCGACAAATTTGCTGAATTCACGGGACCCCCACGCGCGCTCGAGATACTTGCCGCCATAGAAGATGGTGGCCGCGTTCAGGAGAACGGTGAAGATGTTTTGCTCAACAAAGGTGGACGAGAGGAGAGTCCAGGGGTAGTAGTAGAAGAAGGACGGAACGAGAGTGAGGTAGGGCACAATCGGAGTGACTTGAATGCTGCCGGCGGAGGTGTCAAGTTGGCGCCATCTGGCAATGTTGTAGAGCAGGGAAAGGGCGAGCAGGCTGATGAGCACGGCGCGAGTAGCAGGGGGGATGTTGACGCGGACGGGCATTTTGGCTCGCGGCGTACGCGAGACCGCAGGCTTGTCGACCAGAAGCCTGGATGTTGGGGGAGAAGAGGGCTTCCTCGGGGGCGGAAGTGAAGGTCTTGGCTTTCCGCTTCTCCCAGGCGGAGTGTCGCTGCACAAGGCTGCGCACACGCAGAGTGGGCTACCGACCCGACAGTACCTCGGACGCTCTATTTTACTGTCTTTCTGCTATTGTTACATATCGCCTTTTTGTTTATTGGATCGGTAGCTAACCTAGTTATTTTGTGGTTGCTACCATGGCATACGGAGAGATGTTTGTTATTGCTGATCATTATTGACACTTATACAAATTGAGTGATAATGTACGTGTTTTGATAGGACAAGAATCTTGGTGGGTTTTTTTTGGTATCATGGGTTATCTTCATGGGTAAAATAAAGTCCGGATGAGACTCGATCGAAGACGTATACGAGATAATAAACGAGAGATATATATAGGCTCGCTGAGTTCTGGAACAGGGACTCGCCCCTGCCCAGGTTGGTACCGTTGAAGTGTGGTACAAATAGAATAAACTATGCATTTCGAGAATGATTGATCTATGAATGGTCACTGAAAATAACAGCCCAGTGACCTCTAACTTGACTCTCACTTGATTACGGCCTTCCCTAGATCTCTGCCTATGTGAATATCATCTGTGATGGGCGTGGGCCAGGGGCCTAGACAGAGTGCCGGTCGATGGGATCGGGGGATCGGGGAGATGGGAGAAACGGAAATAGAGGAGTTAGGCGCCTGGTCCCGACTTGGCCCAAGCGATCCACAAGAATTGTGGATTTTGCCGTTCTGCAGCAGCGTGTGGCTGGGGCTCGGGCGCGTACACAACACCCTCGGGAGCGGGAAGGGACAGCCGTAAAGTGGATGGGCTTATGCGGTTCCCTCAAATCTCGGAAACGACACATGAGGATGACGCTCGACACGACGGCGGGGAATACGACAATGAATTGTGCTGGGGGGGGGAGGGGGGAAGAGAGAGAGGGAGAGTCATGGCTGTGCGCTGTGGGCCATGACCAGATCTGGTGCTGCTGGAAGACGCCCCAACAGGGGAGTGGGGCGAGTCTGTCTTCCTGTGGCCCTCTTGTGACTTTGTGGATGATGTGCAGTCTCGAGTTTCCCCCCAATCAACGTGGGCGATCCACTCCGGCACTAAGGACGTTAGCTTTGGAGGAAAGGGGGAGGCCCCAGTGGTGGCCAGCCCTGGCAGAGGCTGAACAGGGGGCGCAAGCAAGAGAGGGTAATTCCGATGCGCGACCGGATGGGTGTCTGGATATTCTGATCCGAGTCACATTGATGCCTCCTCCGATGCAGTGATCCCAAGAGGATAGACTGTTGCGGGGTGGGACGCAGCAGGCCGAAATGAGCCCAGGATCGAATCTCAACCTCAGGCTCGTGACCGCTGACTAACCGCCATTTCTGGATCGCCCGAGAAACCAGGCATTAAGGCACCACGGCCGGGCCTGCCATCACCCTAGGCCCCGGTTGGCCCTGGTGGACTTTTGGACCTTTGGAGCTTTGGACTTTTGGCACTGTTTGTCATAATCAATTTGGCTAGCATGCCTGGCCACCGTAGTGCTACCCAGTCATCGTTCTTTTGGCGTGGAAGTTCCGGTGTCGAGGAGGACCAGCTGGGGATGTTCCTCTGAAGGCGCTTAAGTGGCTGGTGCGCTTAACGCTCGGCCTCGACGGGTTCATGGACTCGACACGCCGGCCTGGACCTCAGGACTTGACTTCCTGGACTCGCCAGCCATCGTAGCTGGCTCATGTTCTTGCACCACTCCAGGACCGCGATCCCATGGTTCCACGATCGATCTGACGAACCCCCCGGTCTCCCATCCTCTGCCAATTCCGATCCTGGTCGCCCGGGTGCTGCTGTCCTGGTGGTCGTGGATCTTCTCCCCCATTCGCGCTCTCCCCCAAACGAACCCCCAAACCCAAAATCCCCCTCCCCCCAAAAAAGGCCAAGCTCGCCGAAGCGCAAATCCCTGGCTCCAAACTTCCTGTCAACGACGCCTTCTCGACTCGCCTCCTTCTCGACTCCTTCTCGACTCCATCTCTTCTCTCCTTTCTCTCCCGCTCCCGCACCTGCTCTCCCCTTCTCATCTCGGACCTCTGACCTCTCGCCTCACTGGATCTCCACCCTCCAAAGCCCTCCAAACCCTTTCAACCCTTCCTTCAAACCCGTCAAACCCGCCAAACCCGAACCCGTCAAAACCCACCTGCACCTGCGACCTCTTGCTCCACCTTTCACCCACCATCTCGTTCGTCTCCTTCTCTCTTCCCTTTCCCCCCGGACATTCAATCCTGACGCATCGTCGGAGGATTGAAGATCCCTCTTTCCTTTTCATTTTTTTTTTGCTCTCGGCCTACTTCCCCCCCCCCTTCCGTTTGCTCCGTCGCCCGTCTCCCGTCTCCAATCTCCAGTGTCGAGTCTCGAATCGCCGGCGTCCCGCGATCTCGCCCGGCGCATCTTTCGTGTTCCTGAACCCCCAATCCTCCGTGCGCCACGAGCGTCCGACGGACTGGCCGACTTGCCGAAGTGCGGATTTGCACCCTTCACGGAAGCTTTCGCCCTTCCCTTCTGGCATGTCCGCTGCACCTTGAGTGGTCGCACATGCAGTCATGGCACAACCCGACCTTACTTCGCATCACGTCAACTACTTAATATGGCGGTTCGTCCTTCTTTCCCCCTTCCAGACTCCAGCTCCTCCGTCTCCCCCCCCCCCCCCCCCCTACCTGCCGCGCACGCGCCGTGTCGCCTCAAGCTAATCGTAGTTTTTTCCTTCCCCCCCTTCCAGATATCTTCAAGAATCAGGTAGGCAGCCACTGCTCGCAAAACCCCCCCCCCCAATCCTTGATTGTGGCCTGCTCTTTTTTCTTCTCCTTTCCTCTTTCGGTGTCTTCGACTTTTTTTTGAGACCAAAGAGGCCCCACTGCGGCGCCCCATCTCTAAGTGATTCGTGAGATCCTTTTCTAACCTCCCCCAAACAGGTCATGGCGACGCAGCCGTCTCACTGCAGCGCGCGTGGTACCCCGATCCGCAGAGCTTGCCCTTTGCGCGCCACATCAAAACCCACGCCCTGGTATCGCTCGTCCAGAAGGGACTGCAATATCATGAGCTCGAATCTTCTATTGACAAGGTATGTGTTTTTGCGCGCGCACGACTCGTGATCAGCATCACGTTGGCATCCGCCTCCCTTTTGGATCTGTCCATCTTTCCTAAGGCCCCGGGGATGACGGTCCCGGAAATCGTCCCGCAAATTTACTGGATGTCGACTCTAATCCTAATCTACAGGAGGGTAACCCGATCAACTTTACACCCTCGGAGTATTTTTTCGGCCCGGACCCCTTTGAAGTGAATGCCTTGAAAAATCAAGTGGAGGCAGACGCCGAGGAAGCGCCGGTGTCAGAGCCGGCGCGCGACCGGGTGACGAATGGACATCCGGCGGAGGTTGTTCCTGGAAAGAAGAGCCGCAAGCGCGAGGCCAATGGTGACGAGTCAATGGAGGTCGATGAGGCGGAGAGCAAAGGAGGCTCGCCGGCCCCAGATGTGGATGGCGACGGCGACGTGAGCATGGGCACGGCCGACGACGTGCCCCCGGAACCCACCGCGACAACCGGCAACAGCACCGGCGTCCAGATCCCCACCGCCAAGAGTGCCGATCTGGCGCCCGACACCGCCCTCGTCAAGGCCGATGGTCACGTGATGATCACCAGCTGGCGGCCTCGAGATCCCACCACGCTTGTGGTGGCAGGTGATATCTTCTGCAGCCTGTGGAAGCTATCACTGTCCTCCACGCCGGTACAGAAGACGTTCTTGGACCTCAAGGGTACCGGCGCGTATGTATCGTCGCTGGCGTGGGATGGCGCCGGCACCAAGTTGGCCGTGGCGACCACCCGGGATACCAAAGGCACGGTCACGATGTATAATTCTGATGGTAATGTAGTGGACCTGCTGCCCGATCTTCCTCGCGTGATCAATGGCCTCTATTGGGCGAAGGAGAGCCCACAGCTGGTCATTGTGGCCTCGGACGAGCAGACCACAGAACTCGCGCTATGGGATGATAGCCGACGCCCGGATGTGTACCCGCCACCCCAGGCGGTTGAGAACCCCATCTACGATCTCGCATGGTGTGGACGTAATCTGGTCTTCGCCTGTGGCGGTGGATCAGTGTATCAGTGCGAGGTGGACCAAAATATTCGCCTGACCAAAACCTATGCCTCTCCCGATCCCAATGCCACATGGACCTTCATCCGCGCTACCAGTGTCAACAACAATCCAGTTGCAGTAACAGCCAGCGACGTGAGCGCGACGATCTGGATTCCAACACACGACATGACGATTCAAGCCACCCAGCACGAAATCATCACAGCGATTGACATACGGGCTCCATCACCCACACAGGCGAAGAACTCGAACTCCATCACGATTTGCGCATACTCTGTGACCGGTACTGTGAAAGTGTGGCATGTGGATCTAGACTCTAAGCAACATACGCGTATCCATACCTTGAACTGCGGATCCGCCTCCTCTGCTCTCGTGGGTGGCTTTTCTCCTGACGGATATGCTCTCAGTGCCGTAAGTAAGGACCGGCTGTTCATCTGGAATGCTGAGAGGGGCGGGGAGCCGATGGCGACTTGGTCTGCGCCTAAATCCGAGCCGATAAAAGCGGAACCCGACCATCCGGCAAATGGACAGAATGGTCATGTTGCACCAAATCCCGAGCGGGCTCTTTCATGGGATCCGGATGGGAAAAAGCTGGCCTTTGGCTTTGGGAACCAGGTACGTCGGCACGCAGATGTAATGTATGATCTTCCATGCTAATCAACCCTTTCCAGATGGCAATCGTCAATTTGCAACGGTGACCAGCGAGCTGGCCCAGCCAGTCATTTTTTTTTTTTTTTGCAGAAGCTGGAGGAATATCAACCCCCCTACCCCTCCCTATGGACACACTCCTCTAATTCATCCCTACGCGATCTTCGAGTCGCTTCCACCTCCAGTCTAATGACTACATGGTTGTGTTTGAAATGATATATTCCATTTCCCCCGTCCTAGGCGGGGAGGGGGGTTGATTTAGGCTATTTTGCAAAGATTCCCGTTTAATTTTTCACACCTCCTGTGAAAAAAACTAAACATGCTGCCCCGGCACTTTCATACCGTGCCTCGAGGGCCTTTGTTTTCAGGACATACGTTAGGAGGGTGCCATAGCCCGGACTACATTTCGTCCAAAAAAAATCCCGCGGCTGATACGGGCATGTTTCATTTCTCTCCTCCGTTCTGTTATATTTCTCTATATATTTTCTCTGGACATACAGTTGACTTAGAAGATGCATTATGGCATTGCTTGGGACCAGGTTGGGGCACGGCGAACGATACGGACTCCTGGCGAGAGAGGTTTTTTGGTTTCCTTTCCTTTTGTTCTAACTCTGGGGGTTGGTGGTCTGTAGTTGGATCTTGATTCTTAATTTTCTCTTTTTTTAACCTCTTGTGAATCTTGGTTCTAAAAAATATGCATAATGAACTTGATCAACACTTTGTCTTTGAATTGTTGGAATGTTGTCAGAGTATTGAGGAATTCAAAACAGTCCAAGTGCTTACAGAGAGACTCAGGCTTTGCCTCTTCTTTTGTATTTCCTATTTACACCCTGGCTAGAAGCCGGAGAAATCGCTTGGAGCATTATTTTTCTAACCAGTCCCGTTTTCCTATGCTTGGGCTTGCTATCCTGACCTCGCCAACTGTTCTTGTCTTCGTTCCCTGCGGGTTTTCCGTGCCCGCGCTCGGACCTGGAAGCCCTCTTCCACATCTCTCCACCCACGCATCCATGCACTGAGACCTTCTAGCATCAATTCCCAATCTGTGTCAGCCGAGGTTTCATGCTCCTCTTCGCGCCTCCACCTCCGTCGAGATGTTTGGCGCGTCGTGTGTCGGGAAATTTGATTTATTTTCTGATTTTTGCAAACATTGTCTATCCAGTCATGCAGCCCGTGAACAGTTCCTTGAATTCCTTCCAGTTCAACAGCATCCTCGACCAAGTCTGCTTGTCTATATTGCGAAGAAAAAGATGTCAGCTCACCCTCACACAACTCGAAAGTATTCAGGCTTGAACTCACAGCTCGAGCATTTCGCCTTCTAGTTCAGCGACTGTTCGTGTTAACCCGCGACATTTCTCCTCGAAAAGATCCCGAATCTCAATGGATTCTTGGCGGCGTCGGTCTAACTCGCTATTCAATGCGGTCACCTCGCCCAAAAGTGTCGTGAGCTGAGCTAGGATTTGGTCATGGTTAAACCCGTCGTCGGGACCATGAGCTGATGATGTTGTCACAGTCGCATCCGATGCATCGGACGCAATTGACCTTGTATCGGAATTCCGCCGCCGATACTTTCCAATCTCTTGTGTCAGCTCCGGCCGCGGGTCGCGCAGCATGTTCTCTACCACGTCAAGATGCCGGTGAATAGTATCTTCTGTGTCGCGTTCCATATAAACAAGCCCAGGCGACGTCGCTGCGAACCGCGAAAGCTGTCGCAAGCGCTCCGGCAAGGATATCCGTGTTGATGTGGCCGGCGCGGTGAGACCAAGTCCATCTATGGCGGAACTGTTGACAAGCGGCTCCGCGGCCCAGATAGGCTCATCGGGTAGTGTCCCTCCATAGACTTCAAATGCAGACATGGAAATATATGTGCGTCAATGGCGATTTATGTCGTGTACTAACAGAAGAAGCCCTTCTTCACGGACCCAACAGGAAGAGTGTGCGCAGATCGCAAGGCGCAGAGAATCGTCGACTGGCGGAAGGGAAATGGCTGGAGTGGACCGCTATCGATAAGCGATGCACCCGATAACCGCTCCCCGCGCTAGTCCGCTTTGGGAGCCCAAATGCACTTGTGCTCTTTGCTTTGTCGCGGACTATTGACAATTCGGAAGCACACGATCGCCTTGTGCTCCGAAGGCTTATATCTCCTTCCTCTCCTTTTCTCCTTCCATTTCTCCTCGATATTAGCCGGTCTGGGTTGACAACTTCTTCACAGCGGAACCCGAAGTCCTAGGGCCCCACAGTTACTCGACTCATTTTCCCACCCGCCAAATCCCTTCGCCAACGCGGACAGAGACTCTACCTCGCTGCAGCCACTAAATAGGGACCCTAGCTGACAATGGCTCCTCCGGTAAGCACAATATTAAGCACAATATCCTCGGCGCAGCCATTGATCCAAATCTCTTCCGGTGAGTCTGCGTGCTAACATGCCTGGTCTCCGATGACTCAGATCGCCAATGTCCCGACGCTCGAGACGGCGCGAGAGGTTATCTCGCAGTCGAGGAACTCTCCATTCGCCCCGAACCTGCTGCCGGTGACAGCTTCAATCCCTGCCGATCTCCTGACGCCGACATTAGCGTACTTGAAGATTGCCGAGAGGTACGTGGTGAAATGGCTTCATGCGACAACCCCGCAGGGAGGTGGCGGGGGAGGAAATTCAAGGTTAGAGGACTAACTCAGGGGGTTGAATAGTTCGCGCATGTCATTTTTATACGAGAGTGCAGCAACTACCGAGACTATTGGACGGTACAGCTTCGTTGGCGCTGGTATGTGACCTCCGACGACCCTGGGCGAGGCATACGATACACTCTCTTACAAATCCACCTCTACAGACCCTAAAAAAGTTATCAAGACCGGCCCTGGCCATGGCCCCGCCGCTGACCCTCTCCCCATCCTCGAGGCCGAGCTTTCACAGTCCCGTGTCGCCTCTGTGCCCGGTCTTATCCTTCCGCCACTCACCGGTGGAGCTATCGGCTATGTAGGCTATGACTGCGTCCGATACTTCGAGCCGAAGACAGCCCGGGAGATGAAGGATGTGCTCGGCGTGCCAGAGTCCTTGTTCATGCTATTCGACACCATTGTTGCTTTCGACCATTTCTTCCAGACCGTCAAGGTCATCACCTACGTGCCGATCCCTGCCAATGACGCTGATATCGAGACTGAGTACCGCAAGGGCCAGGAGGTCCTCCAGAAAACCATCGACACGTTGCTTCAGGACCGCACACCTTTGCCCCCACAAGGGCCCATCATCCAGAACCAGGAGTACACCTCCAACATCGGCCAGGAGGGCTACGAAGGTCATGTCAACCGGCTGAAGGAGCACATCAAGAAGGGCGATATCTTCCAGACTGTGCCCTCCCAGCGACTCTCCCGGCCAACCTCTCTCCACCCCTTCAACCTCTTCCGCCACCTCCGCACCGTTAATCCCTCCCCATACCTTTTCTACATTGACTGCCAAGACTTCCAGCTCGTCGGCGCCAGCCCCGAGCTCCTCGTCAAGGAAGATCGCGGCCGCATTATCACCCACCCCATCGCCGGCACTGTCAAGCGCGGCAAGACCCCTGAGGAAGACACTGCGCTGGCCAACGAGCTGCGCAGCAGCCTCAAGGATCGTGCCGAGCATGTTATGCTGGTTGATCTGGCCCGTAACGACATTAATCGCGTTTGCGACCCGATGTCTACACAGGTCGACCGGCTGATGGTGGTCGAGAAGTTCTCGCACGTACAGCACCTGGTGTCGCAAGTATCAGGCGTGTTGCGGCCCGAAAAGACCCGCTTTGACGCCTTCCGCTCCATTTTCCCGGCTGGCACGGTGTCCGGTGCGCCCAAGGTGCGCGCTATGCAGCTCATCGCCGAGCTGGAGGGTGAGAAGCGCGGCGTCTATGCCGGCGCCGTTGGCTACTTCGGCTACAATAGTGCCAACGCGGACGGCTCGGCTGAGATGCCCGGGGCGATGGACACATGCATTGCGCTGCGGACGATGATGGTCAAAGAAGGGGTGGCGTACCTGCAGGCTGGTGGTGGTATTGTATTCGACTCGGATCCGTACGACGAGTATGTGGAAACGCTGAACAAGCTGGGCGCCAACATTGCGTGTATCCGTGGGGCGGAAGCGAAGTACCTGAGCATGGAGGCGAATGCTTCTATCTAAAACGCGAATAGCGTACCAGAACGAAGACAAGCCAAAAAAAAAGCGAGGGGAGAAAAACAATAACAATCTTTATTCAGCCCTACAAGCGGGGCTGGAGCCAATCTGATTCTGGGCATGTTCTTGCTATAGATATGTTCGGGTTTCGGTTTTCCACGCGGGCATTCTAGCGACTTCGGCGGGTTCAAGACTTCTATGATTCACGCATGCTTTTCTTTTCTGTTGTTAACCTGTCTCGGTGTTGTGTTGTCTTGTCTAGACCATCCAGTGTACAGCCTAGTCTAGTCAACTAGCATTTCCAGACTTCGATCTCTTTCTCTATCCAAGGAGTTCTTCTCTGAATACTGTAAACCGTATCGATCATTAGTGCTGCAAACCCTGTTGATACTCCTTTCTTACCACCCCAATTGCCGAGTAGTTTGAAACACAGCTATCACGAGTGGGTTGTGATGTTTATTGGTCTGGCTGTAGCACCCAACTATACAAAGTTTCTGTTTGAATAAAACTAATCCTCCTATCCCATATATTTTCTGTACCAAACAACCAAGCCGCGGGCAGTTGCAGGAAATAAAATCGGCACAGTAACCTACTACATGTCTGGTATAAGCTAAAATGGCCCCCACATGATAAACGCGTTTAGATAAGGAGACCCGGTTTCAGGGTTTGAAGACTGAACCCAACATAGAGAAAAGCACGGCTACACGATGAGCTGAAGTGCAAGGCTGAAAAGCAAGCTGAATATTAACCAGTCGCGGGTCGTGTATTTAAGGTCATCGACTCCCACGCAGGTACCCTTTATAGGGTTCACGAGGCGGAAAATAGCTGCTTGACCTGTCGAAAGCGTCGCAAGAAATGTGACGATGTTAAGCCTCGCTGTATTGGCTGCACTCGGAACAAATTACCCTGCCAATAGGCTGATGATGGCAACCCAGAAGATACCATAAGAAATAATGCTGTAAATGCAGGTCTCCCTGCTAAAGGAGATGGAGGATTGAATCCGGAGGCGTTCTTGGAAGTATTCAAGACAGCTTGCACACGACCCGCCGTACGTCAAAACCCAGCTCTCTCATTGGAAATATCGGAGATCCTCCACCACTATGTTGAACTCACGATTCCATCGGTTCAACCTCTGACGACCGAAGCTCTCCGGGGCGTATGGACAGAGGTTATCATGCCAGAATCTTAACGCTATGAATACATGTTCGGCACGGTCTATGGGTTTTCCGCATTTCATCTTGCCTACCTAGTCCCCTCAGATGCTGTCCGGTATGCAGGAATAGCCCATCGATATCATAAACGCACATTGAGGGTGTTCCACAGAGCTGTCACCATTATCACAAAAGAGAATGCATGCGCAGTTCTTTGCTTTGCATTCTTCCAGTTCATTATGAGCCTTGTCTCCCCATTTTCTTTCGGAGAACCCAGGCCCGAGGATGTACTTGACAGTATCCACGCATCTCTGCTCGCCGTGCAAGGGATTTATAGCGTTTCAGACGGTGCTCAGTCCACATATTGGAGAAAGTATAATCGTCTCTTGGCTTCGTATGGCGGAAAACTATCCCAAAATACTGCCCGAATCTACGACCATTATAGATCTGATCGATAATCTTGAGAGGGTGAATCAAGCATCTTTCTTCCCTCGACGCGAAAAGACCGTTTGTCTCAAAGGAATCAACCCTCTACGGACTTTCTTTTCCACCGTTACATTGAGCCCATTTGAATGGCAAGCCTTGTTCACCTGGCCCGCCGTACTTTTAGATGAATTTTTGGATCTGATTCGGGAACGACATCCGATCGCATTAATGACGCTTCTCCATTGGTTTCTACCGGCATGCTCAAAATCACACCAGCACTGGCTCTTGGGCAGATGGGAGTCCCCCTTACTGGCAGTGTTTTGCGGGCGATCGGTCCGATCTGGACCTTTGCTGTTGCTGACCTGCTATCGAAATAAGCAAAGTTGAGAATGAAAGACGTAACCTATTCGATCAGTGGTTCAAACGGCGACCTCGGAGCAGTGTCTCCAGGCTGCACCGGTGGATGAAAAAGATCTCGAAGTGCCCGAGGTACCAGTCTTCCTGGTACATCCGGACATCAAGAACTATATGAAGCAGATGAAAGACCCGAGCGAGGTGTGAACCTGAAGAAACCAATTATCGGCAACATAAAATTATATGTTCCAGTCAAGATTAGTTATGATAAATAGCGAGTAGCAATTTAGCACCGGAAAATCTCCCATTTGGGCGTAGTTGGTCCGCACAGAATTGGTTACATTCGCCCATGACACCTTACCATCCATCGCGACTCCGAACATGATTGGCCCCGCCAGTCTCCGCAACCCAAGGCCTCTGCAAGGGCCCTGCCGGGGTGTTCAAAACACGCACGGAAACTGGGTCTGGGGGCCGAAAAAAAGTGTTCACGACAATGGCTAGGACGGACCCTGCTATCCAAGCATTTCTGGAGCGCCTGAAGATCGACAGCGATAGACTGTATCGTCTCTCCCACCGCCTCTCGTTGACATATCGCGAGCTTGCGGCCAGTTCCTCGGAACAGTTCTTCCCCACTGCGACCACGCGACTGCCCACAGGATACGAAAAAGGCCGCTACTTGGCAGTCTATCTCGGTCTATATTATCTGCGAGTGGCATTTATTGATTTGCTGGGCGAAGAGCAGATCGGCAAGCATTCGCATGTCCGGCGCACGCTGGAGAAAGCATGGCCAATCGAGGATCGTTTGCGCCGAGACCAGGCCAACTCCCTGTTTGCATGGATTGGCGATTGCATCGCCGAAGTGATTCACGATGACCTGGCAAATTCCAAAGAAGATGCACCGACAGAATTAGCGATGGGCATATCGTTTTGTTTTCCTATTAAGTATCTGAATCCCCTCTGAGATCCCAATGCCGACCAAGCGGGACTAACCTCCTCGCAGACAAAAATTACTCAATGAGGCTATTTTAATGCCCACCGGCAAAGGCTTTGCCCTGGGTTCTTCTCTCAACCTTCACCAAGCCCTTCTCGATGGCTATGAATGCCACACCCGGCGCTCCGCGGACGACGAACCCGCCGGGATGCAGGTGAAACGGCAGAAGAAGTATTGCCTGCCGAAACTACGAATCACCGTCATGACTAACGATACCATTTCCACATTCGCCTCTTTGGCCTACTCAATCCGAGCGTTGCCCAATACTCGGGTCGTCATGGGCCTGATTGTCGGCGCTGGCTGCAACGCCGCCGTTCCTATGAAACTCGACGATCTCCAAGAGTCCAAAGTCCGTCACATCCGCGAGAAAGACCCAGATGCAGTAGAGACAGTCGTTTCGACCGAATGGACGCTACGAGGTGCCGCGGCACCCTTACAAGACCTCGATATTATGACAAAATGGGATACCCAGCTGGAAGCGCATTCCGATCGACCCGGATTCCAGCCATTTGAGTATATGGTTGGAGGTCGGTACATTGGCGAACTGGTCCGAATTATCTGCTATGACTGGTTTCATGGAACCAAGAAGGTCCCGCAAAGTTCATTACCGATAAAACTGGTCGAAGAATACAGTTTGACGACCGACTTTCTCTCACTGGTTGTGGCACCCAGCTACTCAGATGAGAAACTCGCAGAAGATCTCTCCAAAGAGCTCCCTGCTCCTTCACCCAGCGACTGGAAATGGAGTCCTGAGTATGCGGGCCAGCTTCGCTCCATTGCAGCCGCAGTGCAGGACCGATCGGCGGCCTTGATAGCTGCTGCCACAGTCGGACTTCTCTCCTGCAGCGGCGAGATTCATCTCCAGGATAAAGACGTTCCGAAATCCTCCACAAAGCAGGACTCGATTGAAACACAACAGAACTCAACGCAAGAATCCAAGCTCTTGGAATTTGGATCGTCAATACCTGGTTGGTTGAAGGGACCAGAGGAACTAGTTGTGGCGGTCTCCGGGGGTGTTATCCAACACTATCCACATTACAAGGAGACTGTTCAGCGATATATCGACCGCCTGGTCATCAGTGCTGGTCCCCAGAGTGAAGGCAAGAGCATTTTCATTCGGGAAGCGAGCGATGGCGGCATTATCGGCGTGGGGGTGCTAGCTGGCACAGTGGCTGGCCAGATTGATGGGATCATTGGCTCAACCTTTGAGGAGGAGCGCCAGTCGGACAGAAGCTCTTCGGGCGATTCCCCTGGTTTATAATTTAAAGTAAAGACCCTTCATGCATAAAGTTCGTATGGAGGTTCATTGAAAAAAAGTGCGGTCAATTAATCATGTTTATCTGACCACTATCTTTTTTTACAAAGTGAAGATACACAACCCCAGTCCTTTCTTCTTTTTCTAGCATCGCCTTACGACTACGACCATTATTACTGCCACTATTGCCGTCACTATCACCACTATCACCGAGTAGAATCGAGCACGCCCGAGCAGCCCGAGCCTGTGGTACTCCTAAGTAATTAACTTTGGACCAAGTTCGTAGCGATAATGACATGATCAAACTGATTCACAGCAGTTTCTTATTCGGCGATCTATCTCTCCCTTATACGTGCCGCAAATATACTGAAAATATGCATATCTAGAAATTTACAAATGAAATTATCAGTCAATAGTTGCTATATAGTCTTAATGGCAAAACGAGTCTCCACATCATGGCCCGGCTAGCTCAATTGGCCAGAGCGTGGCACTGTTAGTAAATCCGATTCCCGGAATTGCCACGGCCTTCACTAATGACGAGTAGTTTATCATCGAAATATAAATGCCAAGGCTGGCGGTTCGATCCCGCCGTCGGGCGCATCCAATTTTTTTTCTCCATGGCCAACAGTGACTGATCTAGTATTTATTGAATGAATGGTTTCCCCCCCTCTTATCGAGTTTGCCTTTTCTCTCTACCTTTTTTCACCCCTATATTGTAAAATTTTGTATATTTCATCGACAATAAGAGGTTTACTAGCTGCAGAACAAGATGGAGAGTCATAACATTGTCTCTAATTCTGTTCTGTAGGAAGCCCGTAATGGAACTTGGTCAACAGTTTTACTTGTCCTATCCTAATGACTCAATAAAATAGCCTGATTCGAGTGCAGATCTTCTAAATGGAAAGGAGTGTAATAGCGATCGATTTATTGAAAAACACGTCTAGAAGTAGCCCGAGGCCGCTATAACCCCAAGCACTTTCTAGCAGTAGATACTATTCAACATATATGAATAATATCATATGTATTACACGATAAGCTTGCTGAATTGAGTCTAGCTAGCGAAAGAGCAAGGCATTCGATATAGGCAATACGCAAGTCTAGTCTAAGAAATTAATCGAGACCAAAGGACATGACTGAAAACAGTTCATGAAATCTTCTGCTTTCTCTGCATATATAAAGAAAATTTATTGGAAGCACAGTCCAGGCAAAGAAAAAGGTCCATTCACTTTATCGTACAAACACCCTTTGATTAAACTCGCCTATTTTGATGACGGTGACTACATTTCGTCCAAAATACCAGCAGTAGACAGTAGAGTCACCATAATAGGAATTGACCAATGTACCGGAGCTTCATATCACCCAGCACCATCTAAGGGTCACTCTGGTCCTCATCGTATCATTAAATACAAGCTCAGGCCATGCCCTTTGGGGGTTCCATGCTCGAGCACGCCATAAGCTTCAAATATCTTGCAAGCTTCGACTATTTTTCTAGTTCTGCGAATTGGCTAATTCCCATTGGGCCGGAGTGTAGCATTTCGGGGTCCAGGCATGGATCTCATCGATATCTTCCTTCAAGATCTTGTTGACAGTTCGGTGTCGCTTGAGCAAGTTCATGCCTTCAAATTTTGTGCTCACGATTGTGGCCTGCCAAGCCTGTCCACAACCACCTATTTAAACCATGAATACAGTCAGTGAATGTGACAAGCAGACGGGTGTGGGGAGGGGGGCTCTAGTTCTTACCAGATAAATCCTGGAGATCAATATATGTCAGCCCTTGTTGCTCTGAGTCCAGCCCAGCATTCAGCTCAGCAATCAGCTTCGATCTTATCGAAGCCTCAGAGCCAAGCTTCATATCTCCAGCAGGTGCGCTGTTCATTGACGGTGCATCAGCCATAACAGTGTCGGCCATGGTTGGTGTCACAACGGAGAATGCGCGGGAAGTGATGGAGATGGGTGATGGCCGTGTCGGAAGAGGACGAGGACGGAGGAGATGGCGAGTGCCTCTGCTCAAGAAAGTGAGGGAGGAGGCGCGGGAGAACATTAAGCACAGTCGGAAGATCGCAATCGAACCTGACGGTGATATCGATGCCAAAGTCGGCGCATTACAAATTCGGGCGATGGGTGTGGCTAGTGCGCCGGGCACGTGAACTCGTGGCGTCGATAGCATCATCTAATCATCGTCCCGCCAAGTATTTACTTCTCTTCTCTTCTCAGCACGAATCCATGAATTTTCTACGCCTTGCTGTCCGTCGAAATTCTACAATGGCATCCGTAACCCCTTCATGTTCACCTTTTACTCGGGCTGTCGTCAGCTCAATGCGAAAGCTGTACGTTTTTTCGACAAGACGGCCCTGTGCAAATTCCACGGAGCTTGGATTGACCCGCCTGCAGATATCCAGAGGCATTGGCCGATAAGAGTTTTGATAATACTGGATGTTAGTATCTCAGTTCATTCCTTCGTTCTATTCTCTCATTGGTCTCAACTTCTCATTTACAAAGAGCGAGATCAGCTGAGCTAATCGTGGAACGTAGTGCTTCTTGAGGCGCCCTTCGAACCATCTCGGCGCCAGAAGAATTCAGTCCTGCTAGCAATTGACTTGACTACGGCGGTTGCTGATGAAGCTATCCGGCGCCAGGACTCTGTTGTTGTTGCCTACCGTAAGCTTTTACTCTTAAGTCCCTGCGATTGACATGGGTGCCCCTTTCGCTTTCAAGTGATTAGTGATTGGCTTTAGATTGCGTCATGTCTGCTACTTAAATCAACGTTTTGGTCTAACCATTCTTGTAGATCCTATCATTTTTCGCGGCTTGAAATCCATCACTCTTGGTGACACACAGCAGCGATCTTTACTCCGCCTGGCCCAGCATGGTATCAGCGTCTACTCGCCACACACCGCTGTTGATACCGTTCCTGGCGGAATGGCAGACTGGTTGTGTGATGTAGTTACTGGATCTTACCAGCAAGTTCTAGCTGAGCCCTCCTCAATCAAGGGATGTGCCTCGCGCTTGTACTCCGCACCTACCTACCCACAGTCGAAACTTGTTCCTACTACTCAATCAAATGGTGACCCTCAGCAAGTTCCTCACACACGGTCGACCATTCATCCGTCGCCCCCAAGCTCTATCCCTGAAGGATTTGAAGCTGCAGGAGCTGGCCGTCTGGTTACTTTTGAGGAGGCTCAGCCCCTGACGACGCTGATCGATCACATCGGCCGTGGCGTCGGTCTACCAGGTGGAATCCCAATTGCTCTCCCCCAGGGACAGTCAATTGACGATATTCGCATTCGCACAGTGGGAATGTGCCCTGGTTCAGGCTCTGGTGTGCTGCTCCGTGGCAGTGATGATATTCCTGATCTCCTATTCACTGGAGAAATGAGTCACCATGAAGCCCTCGCCGCTACGGAACGCGGATCAGTTGTCATCTCGCTTGCACACTCCAATTCGGAGCGAGGTTACCTGCGAGCAATCATGCAAAGCTTGCTCCAAAATGAAGTCTCACAGCAGTGGAAATCCGATCGGGATGCAGCTGTTAAAGCATTCCAAGACAATGCAAAGCAGGGCGGAGCTGCTCCTTCATCGTCTTGCGAGGAAATTTACAAGGATTCAACGGTGGAGGTCTCTGTTAGTGAGGCTGACCGTGATCCTTATGGAGTCATGATTTGGAAAGCTTGATACAAAACACTCTTAGATGAATTCTTCGTATCTAACTGGGTGGGTTGGCTATTCCATCTGGAACTGCGATTGATGCCATGTTATCCTTATTCCAGTCAAATTTGTTGAATAGAGAAGATAAGAGACTATCAATCAATCAACAGGAATAATATGGCTGTTGTATGCTTAGGTTGAAGAAAGGATTTAAACAAACACACCACGAAACTCATTCCAAGTGATGGTGAGATGCGGCAAAGTCCTATCTCTTCGTATGTGCAAAATACAATATAAAATGAATTTGGACGCGACTCCGGTAGGTAATTACTAGATCCACATGTGCTCCTTTTCTTTTTCTTTTTCTTTTCTTTCCAAAATGCGTGGCAGGCTATCAAGCAGACAATAGAGTCCATAAATGTATTTCATAACTGTGCTTGAAATTGTGGAATTCCTCCATGGTACCACATAGCTCAACTAACAATTTGGTCTAAAGTGGTCGCTCACTTCATCTAAATTTTTTTGGACATCAATCCGTTTAGAAAGATACTTGGTTGACAACGTTCTCCTCCGGGGCTTGGAAGATATAATAGTTCCTTGCTTCCCGGCAATTGGTTTCCATAGTAAGGGTCGCAAATTAAAGGTACTCCATCATAAGTGTCTACTAATAGCCCTCCAAATTGCAGTATAGAAGTGGGGCATTCGTGCTCTCATAACTTTGGCTTCGTATTCGTTCACCCGCTCCTCAAGATGCGGTAATTCTTGTATAATGTACATGATATCTTCAGTTTCTGTCCTCAGGCTCTCAAAATATTGATTTCATTTCAGCAAATTTATTTTAAGCCCTTTTTATGGAATGTGAAAGAATTCCGGTGAGAGCTTGATCAGATTGTTCCACCTACTTGAAAATGAGGTAGACAATAATTGTTGCCTCATGAACGCCACCAGTGGCAGCATAAAATTGCTGAGACAAGGAACAGTCACCTGATTGAGGCTTCAGCTCGAAGCGGGGCTGAGGCTGAGCATTCCTGAAAGAGTAGACGCATGCATGCCCAACACAACACCAAGACGTGATATTCCTTGGTTGACTGTGGAAACCAGAAATCTCAACGAACCTACAACTTTGGAATCTCCCGATGTGCATTTAAATACCTAGCGCTAAGACGGGCATTTATCAATATGGCACAAACTACCTTCACTGCGGAGCCAGAGTCCTTCGACGGCAGTCATGACACAGAGCATTCAAGCATCCAGATCCCTATAACCGCACAAATAGGGGGGCTGGAACCAGTGCAGCAGCAGCCATGGACTGAGGATATGTGGGCCAGCGGTATTCTGAAACGGTGAGACGATCCCTTGCAAAGAAGAAAGGCAACCATTAAACCACTTATAGAGACTGTATTCGGGACGCCACAACAAGACTCGACAAGCGTTTATTCGATTTCGTCGCCGTGGCTACCCCAGATGAGCGTGAGTTGCTCGACTACAGCCGTAGAAGAGTGCTAGATATTATTGAGATTGCGAAAAGCGAACATGAAAAGCACCTCGCCAATACGTCCTCCAGTATTACTCCTAGCCTTGCTGAGCGAGTTAAAAAAGGCTGGCAGGCAACCGCTGAGGTTGCATACGAGTACACTCAAATGCTTGATGTAATGGTGGGGCAAGCACCGGAGTATATTGCACTTGCCTACGGAGCCATCAAGATTTTGTTAGTTGTTCAGATCAACAACGAGGAACTCAAACGCAATGTCGAAGACTATATGGAGCAAATTTTGCTAAAATTCAAACTCGTCGACCACCTTACCTGTTATATCCCCGCGTCAAATATTGTTACCGGAGTTGCCCGAGCATATAGCCTCTTTTATCGCTTTTTAGCAAAAGCAGTCAAATACTATACCCAGAGTCGATTGAGTGCGTCAACTTTTCTACAAGATATGCTGCGCTGAATGGTAACAAGATTATTGCAGAAACTTACTTGAAAGCGTTCACCAAGCCGTGGAAGCGCTTCCAGGATCTTGTTGACAGTATTGAGCAGACACTCTCCAATATCAAAGATGCAGCCCAATACCACGGTCTTATTAAAAGCCATATGGGCATGGTGTTTGGCCAGAAGAACTTGGCTATTTCGCAAACTAACAGCATAAAACTTGAGCAGACGCTTGGACTGATACAGGATCTGCATTCGCAGATGCAGGCAATTTCAATCAGGTTCTCGAAAGAGAAGGACATCCGGCAAACAGCCGATGTCTTAATGCAACGTACTAAGGAAAAGCTCAACGAACCAACCGCTGAAATTACTGATTTACCTTCAGTTCCAGGTAAGGAAAGTGTAGTTGCTATGAATACACGATGCTAACATGGAACAGGAGTAGCTCCCGAAGTCACGTCTACGTCCAGCTCGTCGCCTCCCAACATACTCGATGACTTACACGGCACACTTTTCGCTGAGCTTCAACATTTCAACGACGATGCCGCCCGGAGGAAGCGTTCCATTGAGGAAATACCTGAAATGCGTGCTCAGCGCTCGGAAAACAGGAACTTCATGAAGTCTGAGAAAGCTTTGGCTTGGGCAGAGTCAAACAAGTCACAACTTCTCTGGGTTGACGGCAATAAAATTCTCAATAGAACGGAGTTCAATGCTTCGTTCGCATTTCCTTTGCTCCTCATTGGGGAAAGTAATCATGAATCGATCCTAATTCTCCGCCATTTTTGTGAAGGCAACTCCAATAGGTCTAACCAATACCTAGTGATGATGCAAGCTCTTCTCTTCGACTTGTTCATACAACATCCATTTGTTTATAAGAAAAAGAAAGAATATATCACCAGAGACCAGACTTGTAACACCAACAGCCTCTGGGATTTACTTCTAGCATGCCTTGACGAAATTCAAGCGCACTGTATCTTCATTGTCATTGGCAGCATCGATCATCTTACTGACACTAATACAATTGCCGAAGACGTGAGAGAGAGCGTTATAAGCCGATTCAAGGCTCTCATAAACGACAAAAACAGACTCGTCAAGATTCTCTTTTCTACGAGTCTCGCACAACCGTCTGAGGCAACAATTGAAGCCCTCTCCTCGCTTATAGGTTTCCGATCTTCGCAAAACCCAAAACGAACATTGTCACTAGATGCTATGCAGAATAACCTGCCGCTGATTTCTCATCAATTAATAGAGATCCAGGAGAAGAGTTGCAAAAGTGTCAAATTCACTGAAATACCAATGCTATATACCCCTGGGATCCTAATCTACGTCGGAGATGGGAATCAACGTCGAGCGTTTGTGGTATCTGAGCTAAGCGGGATGGACCCAAGGCCTTATGGTGCTTTTGGACCTCTGTGCATCCGTGCCTGGTCTGTTGATCACAATGGAGTATATTTCTGCAAGCAGTACCATGACTTTACAGTTCCTCAATTTCCTGGGCGGAGAGATATTGCACAGTTAAAGTATGTGCCTACTGGGTACTTACCTGATGAATCGGCACGACGCAAGGAAATAATGAAACGTGGACGTATATACTGGTCATTGGGCAGCCGTATGCATCACATGCAAGTGAAGGGAACGGTAACTTTTTCATTTCTTCCACCGTCAATAACATCTCAGGCTGATATAGCTAATTGATTTAGCGCCCAAGTCACGTCATTATTGACCAATGTCGCCGACCAATTGAACCTTCACAGCTAGAGCAATTTACCGAGCAATTTCTCTCATTATCCGAGACCAATTTGAAGCCTCGTTTCTTGATGCTGTGTCCCCCAGAAATATCCGTATATAGCCTCCAGGACATGAGGTGGAGTAAGTCAAAACATATGTCGCAGGAGGCAGGCACTAACGTCGTATTAGCAAAGACACATCTAGAGAGCATTTACCCTTTGGAACAAGCCCAAGATGCATTTGCAAATCTTGTAATTCCATCTGATCAGAAGGACATGTTACGGGCCTCCCTTGGCTCATTTAGTAAACAAATGAATCCCCTAGAAGTCTCAGAATTTGAGTCTCCGACAAATATAACCAGCCAAAATGGCCTCATTATCCTTCTACATGGTGCTCCTGGGACGGGAAAGTCCATGACTGCTCAGTGCCTAGCCGACATGGTGGGGCGACCATTATTGCCATTGAGTGCTGGAAGAATCGGGGCCACTGCTCTAGAGATCCAAGATAGCCTAACAGAGGCCTTTCAAATGGCGAACCAATGGGGCTGCATCGTTTTGATCGATGATGCAGACGTTTTTCTAGAACAAAGGGCATTATCGGATATGCAGAGGAATTCGGTCGTTGCAGGTACGTGCTAAGATGTTCTCTAATTAGCAAGAAACTAACCATATGATAGTTCTATTGCGAGCACTAGAATATTACGAAGGGAAGTTCAGCCGCTTAAATCTCTTCTTTTGTACGCGACTCATGGTCAATGCAGGTGTTCTCATCCTTACTACCAATAGAATCGGTACCCTCGACGAGGGGTTCAAATCACGAATCCAGCTTGCCCTTCACTTCGAGCCCCTTGACAGGTTACAGCGGAAGGCGATCTGGATAAACTCCTTCAAATATCTTAAGGACCTGAACATACAGCCTGTTGATTTTGAGGATTTAGATAACTACATTTACGAACTGGCAGATCAGCAAATGAACGGGCGGGAGATTCGCAATGCGATCAGGACCGCGCGGCAATTTGCTCAATTCAAAAGGGAAAAATTGAATTTTGCACATTTTCATCATGTCTTTCGGTTTACAGGCAACTTTGAAAAGTACATGAAGGAAATGAATGGGGGGTTTTCGGATGGTGAGCTGGCAAGGGATAGTATGCTCAGATGAGCACCCTGAAAACAGCATTCTTTATCAAGATCACTGTAATTCGATACCAATATTCAAATAGGGTAACATCGTAACTTTCGGGCAGTGAATCACCATTGATTGAGGAGGCTCCGAGGGGCTCAAAATGCGAGTGGCCAAGATAAAGGATGTGGAGGTTATATTCTAGGTTGGCTGTTGAAGTAGAACCTAAGGAATTCGAATAAAGTTCTGTAAAAAAAATACTATTTCAGGAGTTACTGACCTCAATTTTCTATTGATAATATCCAGACTGAGTCTTAGGATCTTTCTTGTCGATATATTTCATTTATTTGTATTTCATAATTGAGTTTCCCAAATGAACCGAGCTCCCACCAAAATAGAATAACCTGTGAATATTTTACCCTTTTCATTTACCTCTCCTTTGGTATGAGAATATATTCTTGTAGACATTTAGGCATAGGAATACCTTTCTAGGGATGAAGTAGCTCTGTTATGGGAACCGTTTGTTTCGCTACTGCGGCGATGAAGATCCCCAGGTTCATCATGTTAGTGTTGTGCCTGCCGATGGCATTGAATAGTCAGCCAGCCGGAATAGTTGACAGGTTCTGAAAATCTAGCAGCGTGTTTTGACCGAGAAAATATGCATCTATGCAGACTTGCAAATCCAAGGAACCAAATCAGAAAAAGCTCATATTAAAGCTTCCTGGCTGATACCGAGACTTTCCCTCCACATTCTACAATGACAATGAAAGAATGTCGCAACAGTCAACAAATATCGTTACTAGCTTCCTGCTCCAAAAGTCGGGCATTCTCTTTTTGCTGCGTTTTGGAAATTCCATCACGGCATCGGACTGCCCAGTATCATAAGTTCTAATGCCTGCTAGATAATGCTGCGTAAATACGAGAAAGACCTTTAATCTAGTGCTTTGAGAAGTTGCTTGGAATTATATTCGTTTCTTGCTCGTCGAGAAATTAGTGACACCAAGCTTGGACTCAAGGACGTTTCGTACATAAGAACAAATGATGAACTATAGACGGTTTCAATTAGAGTACATATGCAATATTTTGAGTCAAGATATTTCACTGTCTTTTGATTGAAAGGACCACTTCACACAACTGGTTAGATGTGAGGTACGGCAGACAGCCAATCAATGCCTTGGTATGATCCTTCTGGTAGAGCTCGTATAGAGATGAGGGAGAGGATTAAAATCCCCATTCGCGCCAGTGCATACAGAATCCAGAAACACCAGTATAAAAAGCTCTCGAATTGATTTCGAAGACTCATAGGATCAATGTATCCTTTCAATTTCTGCGAAAACGGCAGTAACCCCTTTGCAGCCAGCCATGATGCGGTTAGCGGCGCTTGGCATACAATAAAAACAGGCCAAGAAAATCCAAGTGACAGCAGCGATAACACTCTCCAGGATACTCTTTCGGCCGGGGTTGGAAATATAAAGTTCCATCTGTATTTTAATAATGGTCAGCGCGACTGTAAAACGTTTGCTGCGCAGATTGGGAATACTAAGTAAAGCAACATACGCCACAATATGGATGGCGCAAAATATCTGCACCGCAACCATCGCCCAAATTGTCAATCGAGTCTCTTCAGCATTTGACAATCGATCTAAAGTTCCATTGCTGCAAATCACGGACCATGGAATGTGCCTTCCTCTTATTTGCATTTCCCCTTCCGGCGGCACGGGGTTTTTTTTCTTTCTTTCGCCTGTTCGGTACCAACAATGTTTATCGGCATCCAGTATTTCGCGGACCTGGTGAGGCATACTCTCACTGTTTCTTGTATACGCGAGGTTGATCGTAATTGGAGTCTCCATATCTCTTGGTTTGGACCACCACAGTCCGTAAGTACACGCAGCACAGACGACATAAGCAATAGTTGAAATCTCAAGAGGAGAGATTGGTAGCTTATATGCTGCTCTAGCAAGGATATTCACGAGCGTCCATAAGCTTTGAAGTACGGTGATGAATTTCGCGAGCGCATCCGCTTTGGCACGGTCCTTAATCTCGTCCTTCGACAGATCTGAAGGTTGAATCAGTCCGGCTTCAATAAGAGGCGCAACATTCTTAGATCCAATATTATAAAACCAGTGGTCTTTTGTTCGTAGTCTGAATCCATCCATATGAATACAGAAGCCGTGCGCCATAGTCCAGGGCAGGCTTCTTTTGTTCGCATTCATCTCAGCTTCTGATATTTGCGCCTGTTCAATCTCCGTCTTTGGTATTCCAGTGTAATTACCTTCAGCCTCAAAGGCCTTGTTACATCGCTCTATAATTGCTCTGGCATAGTGAACATCTATAGCAGCAATGATTATCATCACCTCTGGAGCCAAAAGTGCCCCAAACCATGACAGGCCCTTCATAACGTAAGCAACGGCCGTTGTCATGTACTGATCACGACTATAAACATGGATGTGAAGAGCCGTCCAAGTGCAGGCAAAGATAGTAGAAAGACATGCCCATAAAATATCCCAGCTGGAGCGACTGTTATCATCAAATTGCCAACCCTCAAGGACTGGGTGAGATGAATGTTCAGCTAGGGATTTGACCGGAAAGAAAATAAGAAGCGACAGAAATTTAACCATTTCAAGATTCATGACGGGCATTCAATTCGTAAATGATTTGCAAATATATTGGATCAGGTCAGCATCATACTTGCTAAATTCGCTCCACAGGTTGGAATTCATTGCCATCAGGGGACGCGTGAGATTGTTTCCCATGAAGAAAAGGGTCTCAACCTAATCTAGTTTCGGACTAGTTCCAGCACTGAACATCTCGGCGGAACACGGTAGATCATGAAGGGCTAAAAGAACGAAGGATTAGGTCGAAAAGAGAGACTCTTTAATCTCAAATCCCAAGGGCGTAAGATATCTGACTCCAGCTATAGCCTTGTATGGGTGACCCGAGAGCCATCGTGAGGTCGATTTTCTAATACCCTTTCGAGCATTTATAGAGCTGCGATCTTACTGAAAAGGCAAACAAATTTCCTTTGTTTTCCCCTACGTATTTGCAACGCCGTATTTTTTCATAGATAGGAGTCTGATTTTGGGCTGAAATTGTAATTCTATCAAGACTTGAGCGATTTTTCGGAATGCCAAGAGTCTACTATTGCAGCTGATGTACTGTAGAAACGTGTTCAGAGTAGCTCAGGGGGCCTAACGAAGATCGCGTACAGTCAGGCTACAAAAGTCCTTTGTGGCCTCTCTGAACCCGTGTATTTCACCTTTACTGCTTCTTTCAAAAAACGCATAATTTAAACAGGGTATGGATAGTCAAAAGAGGGAATGAAATTATAGGAGTGAGAATAGCAGGATGGATATTAAGGGTACTTGGAGGGGATGTTGGCCGGTAGCCATAGATAAGGATCAGCAGGCCTGAGGCTAATTGAAGCAAGAGCCGTTATGAAATGTACCAACCAAGTCAGCAGTAGTCCAAATGCCGTATGTTAGACGGCCTTGCCTCTTAGTATGCTTTGCTGACAGATGATTCCGCCCCAACTAGTGTATTCAAGGAGTATTTAGGTTCCTTCTTCGTTTATCCATCATTCATTCATTATTAGCAATCCTCGTTAGCACAATTTCAGTTGTATCTCCATCTTAAACTTCGCATAGCTGGTATTTTTCAAACACATCTCCATTGAATGAACAAAGCTAAGTCTAAAGGCAAGAAATCCGATCATGTCAAAGAAATTGATCCCCTGCATTTTGGATGAACTGTCAACGCTGAACCCAGACAAACTATATGCCGAGGTACCAGTATCCCCCCGTGGATATGAACTTGGAACAAGAAACATCACATACAAAAATCTCGCCAATGCTGTTAATGGCCTTGCCAGGTGGCTCACATCAACTCTGGGCCCCGGCCAAAATTTTCAGACGATATCGTATATTGGTCCAAACGACCTTGGCCACAACATCGCTCTAATTGCCGCAGTCAAAGCTGGCTACAGGTTACTATTAACTTCTCCAAGATATGGCACTGTTGGACAGGTAAAATTGATGAAGCAAGTAAACTGCAATGATCTTTTGGTCTCGGCTGAAACTGAGTCAAAAATTCCGGGTGCTCTTTCAGCCGAGCATCAGAACCTGAGAAAATGGACGTTGCCCTCTCTAAATGAGCTCTTCGATACAGATCATCGTCGTTTTGAATACACCAAATCATACGAGGAGGCCAAAAGGATCCTTTGGTCGTCGTTCATACCTCAGGGACTTCGGGATTCCCTAAACCAATTGTCTGGACCCATGAATGGGCAGTGTCATTCGCTCAGCAGCGGTTCCTAAATCCCCAAGCAGGGTTTGAGTCTTTAGACTTGATGATGGCAGGCACTCGTATGCTGAGTCTCATGCCACCGTTTCATGCCGGACATTTATTCGTCAGCCTGCTGTATACCTTCTACTGCGAAAGCACCTGCATCTACCCACCTGCAGAAATGCCTCCAAGTGCGAAGACTGCTGTCCAAGTAGCCACCAACTCTCGAGTGGACACAATCTGGCTGACTCCTGCCCACGTCGATGAACTTGGCGATGATGATGAGATGATAAATTTACTAGCCGAGTCTAATGTTGAGACAGTATTCTGGGCAGGTGGCTCTATACTGCCTAGCTCCGGCGAAGCGATAGCAAAAAGGCTCAATATTTTCACTACTTGTGGTTCGACCGAGACAGGAATGTGGCCTTCTATTCGGCCTGCTGGGAAATGGAATCCTGATATTTGGCGTGCAATGTGCTTCAACCCCGAAGCCGGTATTCTCTTTCGGCATCAAACCGACGGACTATATGGTGCCGTGATGACAAGGAAATCCAACCCCGAAGAAACACAACCTGTATTCAGAGTTTTTGACACTCTCGATGAATTTGATACCAAGGATCTCTTCCAAAGGGTACCCGGAGCCACTTTGAGCGAATGTTGGGAGTACCATGGCCGAAGCGATGACCTCCAAGTATTTCAGACAGGATTTAAGTGGCATCCGGTCTTTTCAGAGCGTCGTCTCACTGCAGAAAACCGACAGTCAATTCAAGAAGCACTGCTGATTGTAACTGGATATCCAGAAGTGATTGCACTATTCGAGCCAACGGCGGATGTTCGTTCGCATTTTGAACACATACAAAAATCCATTGGCGAAGAAGCATTGAAGGCGGCACAAGGCAAAATTCTGGATAAGATTTGGCCTACTGTGGATGCCCTTAATCGATCGAATCCTGTTTACGCACAGATAGATCGGAAGCGTTGTTTGTTCACGAGCTTCGATCTGCCCATGACAAAAACAGCTAAAGGCAACGTGCAGCGACGTCAAACAGTTGAGAACTATTCAGAGCAGATCAAACGCGTTGTTTCAAGCACACATATTATACAAAATGCTTACTGAGGACACGATGAAGCTATACTGCTATATCTACCGCTACCTTCTTTACCTGTCAAATCATTCTAAGTCCAGGTTTCGAGGGCTTCAAAGGAGTTTGATTCCCTGAATCTCCCATCACCTTATTTATAATTCTGAGAAGAAGTTCTTCTCGTCGTCTTAAGTTGTTAAATATTTATAAAAATCCCTCGCACCAATGCGATTGCCGCAGATAATCTTGATAGTCTACCTCGGTACGAATGCTATATTGATCTACTGCAAATAAAACAGGTTACCTCTTGCCGTTAAAGATTATTTCTCAACCAGTCCTTTAGCGTTCTAAAAGACGTAACCAAAATTCAAGTTTCAAGATTCTTAGGCTTGAATCTCTGCATTTGGCATGACAGCAAATTATTTCCACCTCCAACAGTTAAACAGTCATCTGATATATGTCTACACACTACCACCTCAAAATAGCACTTCTCTTTTCGGATCTGCGGGCTTTTTATGTTGGGGAACCTGCCAAATTTGCAAGTGATTTGGCGGTATAAGAGTGACTTCCATGCGAGATGATTTTATGGACATGCATATATCGAACACACTTAATTGTTTACAAATTCGATCACTAGAGTAGAAGAAACTGTCTCTGTAGGCTTCAACAGTAAAGGTTACCGACAAGAATCGAACCCCGCGGACACTCCAGCGAGGGAAAGAATATTCATGATGAATATTGACCTAGGAAATTTCGAAAGATCCACACTACAGTATCTAGCAGTGAAACACAAATGTTGACGCGAAAAAAGATCTTAAGGCCAGTTGAAAAGTGAGAAGGATATCCTAAAGGCAAGAAGCAGACAAAAGAGAAGAGGAGCATCATCTTGAGAAAGAGAAGACAATCATAGATAGGGAAGGGGTGAACGACAAAGGAAGGGTCAGGGTCTGGGTGAAGGTCCAAGGGGCAAAGAAGAAAGAAGAAGGCGTAAGAACAAGAGCTGGACCTAGGAAGAAAGAAGGCAAGTATAGCGTGATGAAAGAAATCCCAAATATCGGGGCTTTGGCTTCGCAATGCAGCTGCGTTTAGTATCCATGTAGGTGATGAGCACATGGACGACGGGGATAGATTGAGTGAGGGAAGAGGAGCGAGGATAACGAAAACATCATGAACTCAAGCCAAGCCTCCGGGCAATGGAAAATCATCCAGCACCTGAACAAGGGTGAAGAGGAAGTGACGGAGAACCGTAACTACAGATCGATCAAGCTGCCGCCATGCTGCTGTGGCTGTTGCTGGCCACCCCAAGGGTTGCTGTTCGGCTGCTGCTGCACAAACCCTGTCTGTTGGGGCACGCCAGTGTACTGCTGACCGAAAAATGGGTTGTTTCCGGTCTGAGCGACGCGCAGACGTTCCAGGCCCTGACCAGCAGAGTTGACAAATGTGCCCGGTGCCGTGTGTTGCGCGGGGATTCGCAGGTCTCCAACGTTGCCGAAAGTATCCTGGCCCTCTCCCGATGCAAGGAGAGCATTCAGGCGAGCATGATGAGGGTCTGAAGGCTGCGGGGGAGTGCTCTTTGGTGGCTGTGGGGCCTGGAAATTGGCGATTGGGTTGGGCTGACTGGGCTGTTGGTTGAACTGGGATGTGTTCATCTGGCTATATTGGTTGTTGTTAAATTGGTTGGTAGCGCGATCTTCGGCCAGGGTGTTGAGGGATGGAGGTCCAGTCTTCGGGGGCGGGTTGGTGAACTGGGGCTGAGTGCGTTGAGCGAAGGGGTTGTTTGAGCCAGTTGGCATGGGCTTCAATGCATCCGCAGGCTGGTTAGCAGCCCAGGGGTTGTTGCTACCAGCGGACTGGTAGTTTTCCTGAGGCTGCTGTTGCTGCTGAGGTTGCTGTCCGAAGACATCCGGGGGTCCATATGGGTTGTTGGTGCTAAATGCGGTTTGCTGGGGTTGGAGAGTAGCCTGGGGCTGCAAAAAGTTGTTTTGAGGCTGTCCATAGGCACTCTGGTCAAAAACGCCGGGTTGCTGCTGCTGGAATCCATTTTGGTAAGGATTCATGCCTGTAGGCTGGCCTTGGAATCCAGTCGGCTGCGCATATTGGTTGTTCAAAAATCCAGTTGTCATGGGTTGCTGAACATTGATTGGGTTGCCAAACCAGTCCACGGCACCCTGCTGCTGGTATCCCTGGTTGTATCCAGTCGGTTGAACCTGTGCGGGGGTGTCGTCGAAGAGTGCGTGTGCGTTGTTTTCCTCCAACTCCCGCTTCCGTAGCTCTTCTTCTTCCCGGCTAAGCTTGATGGCTTTGGCCAGATCCTCATCTTCCTCATTGTTCGCATCCTTAGCCCGACGCCTGCGCTCCTCCTCGGCCTCGGCCTTGCTGGCTTCAATTGCTAGTCGGTATTCGGTATCGTCCTCATCGTCGTGACGCTTTCGACGTTCCCGGCGGGGCGGTTCGCTTCCAGATCCTCCATAGCCATCATCGAGGCCGTTCACACGAGTCTTCCAGAGCTTGCGATCCGATCGTTCGCTGCGCAATCGGTCCTCGTCCAGAACCAGTGCAGTGAGTTCTTTGGCCGCCACGCGCACTATCATACGTTATCAGCAACCGCTCGGCTGTCTATCTGAGAATAGCCACTCACCATTCTGTCCCACATCCCGGCCCTCTTCATCAACATATTGGAACTCGCGCAGGGTTTTGATAATGTAGACATTCTTGCGTGCCCATGTGACGACCAACTCCGATCCCTCATGCAGACAGTAGTCCAGTACCTTCAACGATTTAAGCACGTGGCGCCAGTTCTTGCCTTTATCGTTGAGACGCTTATCGATCATGTCCATGATCTCGTAGAACTCGTTCGGGCTATATGTGGATGTGGGATGTCAGGTCTCGATGCAACATTAGAGGAAACAGTCGGATTACTTCCTACCTCCCGAAAGTCATGGCCGCAATCTCGGACATGTCGGTGCCGGTTGGGCCCCAAGGATCATTGCTAGTAGCTACATGATGATGTCAGTCAGCCAAATGCTATCAGATTGCAGGTGCGTGACCATCGCATGGCCCTCATGACTGCTGACAGGATGCAAGGAGGCCATGGGCAAGGGGAGGACCAGGGTCAACGCCATTGTCGCGGGGAGGATTTGCCAAGATCCATGGTAGAAGGAGTATCACGCATACCATTTCGGACCTTGACCTGCACCGAGGAATATCCTTTTGTGACATTCTTGACACTCCGAACGACCTTCGACATGGTGCCGGATAAAGACGCGGAAGTCGCAGAAAGGGAGGAAAGGTAGTAGTCGCAGTCGCGAGGAGGAAACCGATCGGACGATTCGGTAGACTATAGCTGAGACGGTACTCCCAAGCTCTCACGGCCTGGCGTCTTGAGTCCGGATAGCGGCCCAAGGCGGTCGTGGCAGTAATACGTGCGGTGGTCGAGCCTCACCTGTGGCGCGATTGGAAAGACGAAGAGGCGGACCAGCCACTGAGAGGAAATGCAAAAGGATTGAGCACTAAGTTGAGCCTGCCGAGAAACTGGGTTGGGCCAGAAGGGGGGGTGGGAAGAAAGAGGGGACGATACAAAGGAAGAGAGGATAACAGTCCGCGAGAGTTGAGTTGGAGAGGGGAGAGACTGTGGCTGGAACGGGGGCACCGCCTTGGCAATGACGAAGCGGGAGCTGCGAGGCGCGCGGTTCGTTCAGGAGCGGTGGCCCGAGAGCCCAAACCCGGGTTCAATAGAGGTTAAGGACGCCTAAAAGCAGAAGCGATTGGATTTCTGTGGCCAAATCAATTATTTCCTGGTTCTCGATAACATATATAGGTTTTGATGCAGTTCGATACGTCTTAGGTAGAATCCCGGCCATCCGGGGATTACACCCCGGGAACCCTCATATGATTTCTACACCGGGTGTCAGAAATGACAGATTGCGATAGTTACCTAACTTAAACAAGTTAATCGAAATTGCCGAAAGCAAAGGCCGAAATGAACTGAGAAGGCTGAAAAAGATCTAGTTATAGTGACAATGGCTACATATATCGATCTAGCCTACACGACCGAGCAAGTGTCGTGAAGATTTTACAACTTGGCCCCGTGGCCGAACAGTGGATCTGCAGGGTTCAGTCTTCTGGAAGCCGTTGTCCTTTGTGGGCGGAGGACGTTTGGGTTTTTGCAACCGCCACAGTTGTGGCAAGGGCCGCGTCAGACTTAGGCACCCACCAATTCATTGATCTACAGTATTCTAGTCCGAGGAGGGGTTGGGGAAAAAAGAAAGTCCTAGTGGATGAATCCATGGATACATATATCTCTTGCTAGCATCATGTCGCAGACCATTATGGCATGAAATCATGGCCGTGTACAGGTATGAAATCAGAGCACTAATATATCTGGCTGCACCGCTCAACCAGGTGAACCGCGGCTATTTTAAGAGCTGCAGGCGACCCAGAATAGATGGATCATGGATCGATCACTATAACTATAAAACACCTATAACCCTTCCCTGTCTCTCTGCCTTACCCCTTTCTCTCTATTTGTATCTAGAATATTGTATTTTCTGGGGTATAAGATGCATAGTTTACATTTCTGCTATCTATGTCTAAGGTAACCCTCCTCAGATTGTCCAATTAATGGATTTAGGCGAGCACCTTCTCGGCAGCCGAGACTAATTCCTCTTGTTAGCAAGTACGAGATTTCCCCTAGAGCGCAGAATCCACTCACCGTTGACACCAGTGTTGTCGGGCTCCACAAATGCCTCCTTAACCTTGCCATTCTCAACCAGCAGGGCATAGCGCTTGCTCCGGTTGTTGCCAAAGATGGCAGCGCTGTCGAAGCTGAGGTCCAGGGCCTCGGTGAACTGGCCAGTCGGGTCACCCAGGAAGCGCACCTAAACGAAAAATTCCTCCCGTCAGCTTTCTCAATGATTCTCAATCCAGTAGACTACCAGAAGGTGATTACATACGCCACTCTTGCCATTAGGGTCCAATGAATCCGCCCAGGCCTTGGTCCTGTTATTGATATGTGGATTAGCAATTTGTCCCATTCGGCCTGCCGCCAATTCTGACCGCAACTCAATCGCGCCCGCGGGCGCGGAGGGTCTTGGCTTACACGAAGGGATCATTGACGGAGATGACGAAGACCTGACCAGCCTCCTTGAGCTTGGGGTGGCTGATGTAGCCCGGAACGTGGGTGCTAGAGCAGGCAGGGCCTAGGGAGATTAAACAGCTGCAGTTAGCAAGCGCGTCCGAGGTCGTTGGGTTTTGTGCTCTTGGTAATTGCGAGGAAGTTCGTACTAAAGGCGGCGGGAGTGCCAATGATGACACCCTTGCCCTTGATCTCCTTGGCAAGGTTAATCTTGTTGCCGGGAGAGTTCTCAACCAGGACATCCAGGTTGGGAATGGCATCGCCCTTCTGGACGAAGTTGCGCGGGGTGCTGTGGAAGGGTGCTACCCTCACGCGGGGGACATTGGTAGCGAATCGGCGAGCAGCGAACATGGTGCAGATCGAGCAATTGAATGTCCCAGTGTCAAAAGATGGAATTGAGCGAATGTAATGACTCGGGTGAGGGATAATTATGGTGGGAGGCAGGGGAAGGGAGGACGGGTAGAAAGAAGAAGTCAGTGTTGATGTTTTGCGCTGGAGCTACCGGGGGTATCGTGATTTCGTCATCGCCGTGGAAATTTGCGGGGCCGCCGTCCTCCCAGCCAAATGGAACACAAACAGAGTAGCGTTCCCCCAAGTACTAACCCCCAGATGTTCAAGATAGATTCCAGCTACTTACCACAATCAAGCATGCACAATTTCTGGATACGGCATCCGATTTGTGCAGTCCTAGAATCATTGCATTCAATTTGGCAAGCACTTCATGTTAGAAGCTCGTCTCAAGACTGGACCAAGACCCGATCAAATGCTTTTTTCATCTATCTGTAAATAGTCCTCTCTCACGCTCTCTCTCTCTTCCTCTCGTTAGTTTATAACCAATCATCTCAATTTTCTTCATCTCTCCGTCATCATCTGCAACGTCACTAAGCCACTGGTCGTACGGGACCGGTAGACCTTGTCATGGGTAGAGGAGAGTCCACTTGTAGCTTGGAAAAGAGGCTTCCCCTTGTGCTAGAGTTACATGCCCCCTCTCAGCTCGGGGAGCGAGAAGTCAGCGATTGAGTTTGCTTGTCGATAACAGAAATTGAGATGTCAGCCATGGACTGCTCCCCGAATCATGCGCTCTATGTAAATATGCAATAACGAAATAGGCCGAATCACAGGGTGCAAAAACTTCAGGATGATGGACTGCACAACTATGAGGCTTGACAAAGACTCTAGCTTCCAACAAGTTCCTTCACAGTAATGAATCCATGACCACAACGCTTCAGTGCCCCAGCTTCCCAAGCGTGGACTACTGTAGGTCGTAGGGTGAAGTCCCATGTTCCTCTCAAGGCTATTACAGCAGGCTGCCCTTCTCCATTAGCTATTGTATCTGAGCAGCATGTGCAATCCCTTTCACCCATCCCATATCTCCATTGCTCGAAGATTTGGCATTCTCATGGCTACTTCTGCCGTTGTCTGGAGCATGCTATGAATCTCGATGGGGCTCTCATCAGGCGTGAGGTGTTGCAAAATCAGCGCAAGTGAGATCAAGCTGGGTTACATCTAGGAAGGTCTGAAAACATGGAAGAAATAGCTGGTACCCGCAGTCATCGATGCTGAGAGGTGCTCAAGATTGAGACTGGCTATAGCGACCGCCCGGCTGATAGCAGGAGTCGGGATTCAAAAAACGGCAGGAAAGCTTGATCTGAGATGAAAATGGGTAACTGGGTAGATTGTCGGTGGTCAAAGACATGGCAATGAACACATACATGATAAAATAATAATGATTTTTTGCAACATCATTCACATTGATCTGCCCACTGCTGTCGAGTCTCATACCATTTCCTCCAAGGCTCAAAGTAAACTTTCAGGAGGTTTGGAAGACGAACAACGATTGGTACTCATACAGTCGATTTCCCTCGTCGACGGCTCTGGTGGCGTAGAAGAATTACTGTTACTACTGGGGCTAATGGCAGCTGCTGCCAACATGGTTTGCCTGTTTGTCATCATAAAACAAGCCCTGCATCCATGATGTCTATGATGAGATAATTGGAGATAAATTGAATCAGGGACCTAGTAAAAGCGGTAGTAAAGAGTAGGGAGTATCATCAGTCGAAGGTATTGAATAATAAGTTGTTGCAATTTATAGAGCAGTGTTCAGACTGAGCGGATCAGAGTGATCGAAAGAGCCGCTCCGAGTCGTGCTCAGATCTACAAAAAGCAAGAAGCGGCGCCCATTTGCGCACCAAAACGATAGAGCAGCGCCAAGAACTTGGATCGGATTTCCGGTAAGTAGTAACGTCTCTGCTTCATGACTCGGGTCTCATCCAATAATAACACCCTTCTAGTCCAAGTCCTGGCCTAACGGCTGAACCAACAAGAGCAACGCTCACTAATGCTACTAGTCTGGCACCGCAATGGCTCGAACAATGCAGGCTGCCCCCCCTCCATCTCGTGCGCACTGACATTACCGGCCAACGGATGCACCTCGTTCTACCAATGATGCTATCGCGTTGCAGCCCATCGAAAGGCAGTTTTGGCTGGTCTCGGAGTGATCAGACCAAACACATTTCTCCCAAGAGCAAGCATCTACCCACCCCGCCCCTCCCTTCGTTGTTAGCGACAAGCTAGACGAGCTAGACATCGTGTCTAGTCGGGTCTAGAGCCTTGCGACAAGACACGCAAAGCACCAGGGATATACATAAATACAATAGGGCTGGCAGAATGGAAATAGAAACAAGAGCCCTCTCCTTGCATTATTACATTATTGGATTATTCCGGATCTGGCTCAGGGACCGCAGCTGGATTTCTAGACCGAGACGATTTGAAACCCGGATGTTGTGAGCAGCGCGCGGGCAACAGATGGTCGACAGTAGACCATGATGCATCGGAGTACTCTAGTTGAGGTAAAGCATGCTGTTTAGCCTGCATGGTCTGCAGAACCCAGGAAAGTTAGTATGGGCTGTCCACTCGGTACCAACTTCGACTTCGCGTCTGCATACCGGAGGAGACCAGAGCCCCGAGGGAATGAGACATCCCGATGTCCGGACGGTACTCTTTCTTGGTGGACTGGAGCGTATGTAAACGGTGGATAAAACGGTGGAGATGGGGGGTTCAGTACCAGAGCGCAGTGTACTCGGATGTACCACGCCGTACCTGCGTAGTAACTTTGGTACTTGGCTCTACCGCCAACCCCGTCAAAGTCCACCCGTTCGGCTTCTTAGAATTCCCATTCTTTTTTTCTCAGACTTTCTCCCAACCCTCGTTCACGCGTGGACTGCCTTTCTTTTCTTTTTCTCCTCTGCGCCTTTCCTCCGGTGCTCTTGGGATCTTTCGGTTTGCATCGAATCCCCGCCATCCCGCCACCCCCGGCTCCAGCCTGCTGCTCGTTCGACCGGTCGCGACCCGTCTAGCCCAGCATGGACGGTGGCCAGACCTCTTCGAATCCCGCCCCCGCTGGGAACTCCAGCGATTTTGTGAGTCTCAAGATTATCTCCTCTAGACCCGTCAAGTGATGCTAACACCATGTTCAGGTGCGCAAGCTGTACAAGTGAGTCTGCTCGTCTCCTCGGGTCCAACGCATCTGGCCCTCTAACAATCGTCGCCAACACCTTCCCCTCTCCCCCTACCTGACCGCCAAACTGCCCGACCGCGACGCATATTGACTTTTACCGGATAGAATGCTGGAGGATCCCTCCTATGCCTCCATTGTACGCTGGGGAGACGAGGGGGATAGTTTTGTCGTCTTGGAGGTAATGCGACCCCTCGACCTGATTTTTTTTCCCCTTGCGATCGCTCACCACTGACTTGCTGCGGGAATCTAGTGCGAGAAGTTCACCAAGACCATCCTACCCAAACATTTCAAGCATAGCAACTTCGCCAGTTTCGTGCGCCAACTCAATAAGTATGATTTTCACAAGGTCCGACAGAACAACGAAGAGAGCGGCCAGTCGCCATATGGGCAAAATGTAGGTCTTCCCATTTTCTGTTCCATACTTCCCTCCTCCACAGGGCCGCCCCTGGTCTTTAGTCCTCCTCAGATGCATGTTTGGCCCTGGTTAATCCTCGATTGCTATAGGCCTGGGAGTTCAAGCACCCAGAATTTCGGGCGAACAGCAAGGAATCACTCGACAATATTCGCCGCAAAGCTCCTGCGCCCCGCAAGCCCACCCAAGCCACCGATGACTCCGTTCCAACCCAACAGATCGATTTACTCAATCAACAGATTGTTGCGCAACAGCAGCAGATTCAGCACCTCTCCGACCGCTATGCTCAGCTTACTGTGGACCACCAACTTATGCTGCAGGAGGTGATGAGGGTGCAGAAGACGGTATTGAATCATGAGAATGTGATCCACCAGGTGATGAACTACCTACTCTCCGTCGATCGTCAGCGAAGGGACAGCAAGGCTCTCTCCTTCCAGGGGCAGGCCGGTACCACCATGAGCCCCTCTCAAGTCGGGGCCGTGGATGATGAGCCCTCATCTCCCCTGCAGCAGGCCTCCAAGCTGTTGAATGACATGAATGCTGAGATCCAATTTAATCTTGCAGGCATGGATTCAGCCGCTGAGGCCCAAAAGGCTGGTGCGGTCCCTGGCGCGGTTCCTGGCACGGTGCCAGTGGCTGCAGCTGCGATGGATGCGGCCGCCCGAAATGGAGCAGCTCGTGCAGTGACCGCCGCACCCCCGAATCCAGCCCTTGTCTATCCTAAGATGGGCGGGGACTTGGAGCAAGTGGTTTATCCGGTTGGTGCCACTAATGGGATTGACCCAATGTATAGCGAACACGTCAATAACGTGCCGTATCCAATGCCAACAAAACAAGAGGTCGTCGAGCCTGCGGAGGCTCGGAGGCAGTATCCTGATAACCGGAAGAAGAGCACTAATGTCGACCCTGGTTGGGTACGTAGTCCACAGATTCTTTTGGTGGAAGACGACGCGACTTGCCGACAGATTGGCGGCAAGTTCTTATACTCTTTCTCTTGTGTGATTGATACTGCTGTATGTCTTGGCCCATGGCACATATTCCATCGATTTTGACTCACCACTAATCTGCTTTTTCCTAGTTTGATGGCTTGGAAGCTGTGAACAAAATGCAGGGCGGCTCAAAATACGATTTGATTCTGATGGACATCATTATGCCAAACTTGGACGGCGTGTCCGCCTGCCATCTCATCCGCCAATTCGACCGAACCCCCATCATCGCCATGACCTCCAATATTCGTAGCGACGACATTCAGCTCTATTTCCAACATGGTAAATTTGATTTCCGTCTTCTTATCTGATTCTAAGGCACTATATACTGATTTATTAAAGGGATGGATGATGTTCTGCCCAAACCTTTCACCCGGAAGAGCCTGCTCGACATGCTGGAGAAGCACTTGGTACACTTGAAGCCCATGCAACAAGGCATCGAGGCGGCGCCGCCTACCGTGGCGGCAGTGACCATGGCTGCCCAAACATCAGCCTCTCAATCGATCAAAGAAGACAGCTCACCCGGCCAATCCCCAGCCGGTTCTATGAACAACTGGCAATCACCGGGTCAATTCCAGGGCATGCCTCCAGTTCCACCGACCATGCCCGCGGTTCAAGGACAATATGTGGCCGCGGCCGCGGCTCCACCAGCTGCATATACGGTTGACCAGAATGGGGTTCAATTCCCGGCGCCACCCGCGGTTCCCGTTCCTTCCACGGGGGCTCCTGCGCGTCCACAACATCGACGGCAAATGTCTGAGATGTCCAGCGCCACTGAAAATCCGAATGTGAAACGGCAACGCATGTACCCCCAGCCGCCTCCGATGATGGCCGTACAGGCTGGGCGACCCGCCTAAACCCTTCTATCCCTCCTCACCTCATCCGACACCCCTCGCCTCTTCTCCGCCTGTCTATTACCTTACGATTCCCACTGTCTATAATGAAGTCCTCCAAATCGTATATTGCTCTTTTCCCTTCCCGCTTGTCTTTTTGCCTCAGTCGCGGTCTCCCTATTCCTCCTCCTCCTCCTCCTCCTCCTCTTCCTCCCCCCTTACAGGTCATGGCGTTGTTGTGGGTTTTCTTATTCTGGGTGGCGAATGCGATTGCAATTCTACGCGTCAGCTTTGATATATTCTGGGCTCTGATATATACTACTTGGTAAGGTTAGGTCACCTGAACGTTAAGGGAGTAGAGATTGTTTTCATTAAGTACATATATACCTTTTCACATATCTTTCCATCTTGCTCTCTCTTTCGCTCCCTCTCCTAGTGTTTGTTTGCCCCCAGAGATTTCACAATTCTCGTCCGGGACAAGCTGCGAGTTAGATCGGATTCAAAGTCGGTTCCACATAGTTTCCTTGGGATAGAATAGAGTGATTTTTCTTCCATGGCATGTAGGGGGGCTTGCGCAGGTGTACACATCATCATTATCAACAAATTCAATGGGCCCAGTGTTCGCTCGTGTGCCTTTTCCATATCTCACTCCACACACGAACCATCCCCACCGCGTCCACAATCTCAAAGCCGGGTCGGACGAACCCAAGATCTCAGGGCTATATTTGTCGACGCGTCTAGACCTCATTCCACGATTAACGCCCAAATAAAGGGAGTCTAGACGGGCCCAGGCCTTGCAAGGGGGCATGAGACGTTCTGGACCTTTTGCGGCTGCGGCACCTGTGGCTAGTGCGGCTGTGTCATGCGCCACCAGAATCATGTGACTCCGAGTGCGCTCTTGGCGGCAAGTGCAAACAGTGCAATGACTGCAAATGAGTCAACACAGTGGGAGTCACTCCGAGGCTTGGCGGGGTTTTTTGTGCCTTCCTTTGATAGTCGAGAGCGGTCTCTGAGAACCAGCGCGGGTTCCTTTGCAAATAGACCTGCGATTTAGCCTCGGTAGAGTCCCATTTGGTGATCCTTCGTGTTCCTCAGGTATGATGAGTCTTGTGACCCTCCTTCTAGCACTTCGACAATCTTCTATCAACCTGCCCGTTCGCCTTTTTCTCTCACACATGAGGTCACCCCGATTGACGCCTTCCAGGATCCGATAATTATGGGCGCCAAGCAAAAGGGCGGCTCTAAGCCGAAGAATACGGCAGAGGAGGTGGAGGAGACGTTACAAGCGGTTGTCCTTGCAGATACCTTCGAGACCAGATTCGAGCCCTTCACTCGGGACAAGCCTAGGGTAAGTCGAAAGTGCTCTACGGACGATGGATATAGCTACGAGGAATGAAGCTTTGTTTCATCAAGACTCCAGAACTGATTTTGATATTTCGGATAGTGTCTTTTACCGCTCGCTAATACCCCTCTCATCGAGTACACCCTTGAGTTCCTGGCCAATGCTGGCGTGGAGGAAGTGTTTCTGTACGGCGGAGCGCACTCGGATCAACTAGAGAAATATATCAAGTACGATCTCTTACCTCATGGCAAAGAATGAGCTAACCGGACGCATTCAGTGCTTCAAAATGGAGAGCCCCGTCCTCGCCGTTCACACAATTGACCTTCCTCAAGTCCACCTCTACCTCCGTCGGCGACGTGATGCGTGATCTCGACGGCAAGCACCTGATTACAGGCGACTTCATCGCCGTCACTGGCGATGTCATCAGCAACCTGCCCATCGAGGGTGCTTTGAACCAGCACCGCGCTCGCCGCGCGGCTGACAAGAACGCCATCATGACCATGGTCCTGCGCGAGGCAGGCCGCAACCACCGCACCAAATCCTCCTCCGTCTCCCCCGTCTTCGTCATCGACCCAACCAAGGACCGTTGCCTGCACTACGAAGAGATTGACCACCACTCCGACGAGCACCCGACCCGCTTGAACATCGATGCCGAAACCATCCTGTCGCACGGTGAGCTGGATATTCGGCAAGACCTGATCGACTGCAGCATCGATATCTGCACCCCGGATGTGTTGAGCTTGTGGTCCGACTCATTCGATTATCAGAGCCCCCGGAAAGATTATTTGTTCGGTGTTCTGAAGGACTACGATCTGAACGGCAAGACCATCCACACCCACATTATCAAAGAGGACTACGCTGCGCGCGTGCGCAATCTGAAGGCCTACGATGCCATCAGCAAGGACATTATCTCCCGCTGGACCTACCCCCTGTGCCCCGACACGAACCTGCTCCCTGGCCACACATACGACCTACGCAAGGGCAGCCTGTACCAAGAACAGGGTGTGACACTTGCCCGGTCGTGTGTCATCGGCCGGCGCACAGTCATCGGGAAGGGAACCAGCATCGGCGACCGGACCACTGTGAACAGCACTGTCCTGGGCCGCAACTGCAAAATTGGCAAGAATGTCAAGCTGGACGGCGCGTACATCTGGGATGGGGTGGTCATTGGGGATGGCACAGACGTCCGTGGCGCCATTATTGCGGACGGCGTAGTTGTGGGCAAGAACTGCACCATCGCAGCCGGTGCCCTCCTCTCGTACTCTGTTAAAATTGCCGACGGGGTGAGTGTTGAGAGCGGCAAGCGCATCACCCGATCGCGACCCGACGGCAGCGTGGGGACGAGCGACCCCGAGGTGGTCGGCGAGGGCGGCGAAGGCTATGAATTCATTCCGGGCGAGGACGAAGACGAGGACGAGGACGACGTGAGCGTGGCCTCGTCTGGGCTGGTATACCGTATGCCGGGGCTTTCGCTGTCCTCGGCGTCGATCTCGACGCTGTCCTCCGACGTGTCGGAGGGATCATGGCCGCGGTCTGGTCGAAGCAGTTTCTCCGACGGTGAGGAGCAGGACAACTTCCACCATGACGCGTCCGTCAGCGTGTTCGACAGTCTGCGCGAGGGCGTCAGCGCGGACGTGGTGCAGCTGGAGCTGGTCAGTCTGCGCATGACCGCCAACGCTTCAGATTTCCAGGTGCGGCGAGCCATCGTCTCGTCGTTCATGAAGTACGTCCAGCAGCTGATCGAGGGCGGCGCCGATGCCGGGAAGGCCGTTAAGGATGTTTTCACCAAGTACCGCGAGGTGGTCGACCGGACCCTGTATGACCGGGAGAAGGACGACAAGAAGGACCAGGTCGACTTGCTACTCCAGCTGCAGCAGGATCTCGTGCACCGCAGCCAGGGCGGTCGCATCCTGTTGTCCATCGCGACCACACTGTACCAGTTGGAGTTGGCAGAGGAGGAGGCCTACGAGCAGTGGTGGGCTGATGAACGATCTAGCAGCAGCGAGGAACTACGGGCAGTACGAACCGAGACCCGGAAGTTCATGGACTGGCTGGAGAGCGCCGAGTCGGAGGAGAGCAGTGACGAGGAGTCGGAGGAGGAGAGTGATGATGAGTAGATGTCTTTATTATTCTTTTAACCTGTCATATACCATGGCCCCGTCGGGAGTACGGGGGTGAGCCAAGAACTATATCCGAGCACTACATGCGATGACTCGATGCCGACACGGTTTCAGCGATTTGCCTTACGGGGGCCGGACCTGCCCGACCCTCATGTAATCACGCCCTGTGGAAACTAAGTTAGTGAACCTTTTGGCCGTAACTGGTGAGTAGTGCGGTCGTTCGACCACTAGTTCCACCGGCCAATAGCTTCATACCCCAATAGCTCGGATAGTTCAATAACCGAAGAGTCAAGGGTGACGCAGAGATTCCAGCCGTGAACGAGTTACGAGTTCCCATCCGCTATAGTTCGTGGTACGCCTCGCAACCCAGCAGTGTTCAATACTACATACACGACGGTACTAGTCACCAAATTAGTTCATAACCAACGAATTGCTTTTGCCTCGAGAAACAGGCTCCCCCGGCCCCTCGACTTCAGGGCTGAAAGGTTGAGACACTCCCTGCCAAGCCAGTCATCCCTCGGTGCCTCGTCTGGAGATTCTGTGGTTCCCTCTGTCATTCCAGATCGACTCGGCCCCGAGAACGTCCAGTATAGTGCCGTATACTCGAGCGTTGATTCTGGAGCGACACGGCGACACGGTACCGCTCGATCGCAGCCCCCTTCCCCACCCCCTCCGAACCACTCATCCGCAATTTTCCCAGTGACGTTGTGGCTCACGATCCCATCCCCCCCCCCTACCTCGTTTTCTCTTCCCCCCTCCCCCCATCTGAATTTCCCTCTGGTCTATCCTCGCCGGCTCCCTGCCGCCCCCGTGTTCACCACGCCTCCCTCCACGCGGAAGAGAAAGGCGGCCGAGGCGATTGCGGACGACGACCAGCCTCCCCCCAAAGCCAAAGCCGCCCCCCAGGCTGCCCACGCCCGGATCGCCACTGCCTCCGACGACCGGCTGCGCAATAAACCCTCCACCCTTCCTGTGGCCTCACAGGACGAACGAGGCAGCTCGACTAGTTCCGCCAGCCAGAAGAAGAGGGAGATCGCGACTCCCGCGACCACCGCGGGCAGCATGGACTCCGACGACGATTTCCTGAGTGATGTCTCCAGCCCGGACGACTTTCTCGACACTCAGGGAAGCGATGACGAGAGCTTAGGTGAAGGTAAGTTGGGCCAGGGAGTGCAAAAAATGCACTGCCCGGATGAGACTCCCCTTGCAACCAGGACGATGAACGCTGACTCGGCATCTCTTCGTTCCTTGCCAGACTTCGGAGACCTGGACGCCGGATTCTCCGACGATAAAGATCTCCTCAAGCAGAAACGAAAACCGTACGAAGTCGATTTTAAAATCCTAGACCCGCCCGACATCGAACGGGAGCAGAACGTGCAGATCGTCGAGGTCTCCGCGATCCTCGGGCTGCCGCCGGAGTCGGCTGCCATCCTGCTACGCTTTGGACGATGGAAGCAGGAGAAGCTCATCGAGGGCTATATGGAGCGCCCTGAGGCAACATTAGAAGATGCCGGACTAGGGACGAACTTCGAGGGCACCGCCAAGACGGAGACCATCAAGGGCTTCTCGTGTGAGATTTGCTGTGAGGACGGTGATGATCTCGAGACCTATGCGATGCGCTGTGGCCACCGATTCTGTGTCGACTGCTACCGCCATTACCTGGCGCAGAAGATCAAAGAAGAAGGCGAAGCGGCTCGTATTGAGTGCCCCGGTGATAACTGCCATCGTATTGTGGACTCGAAGTCGTTAGATCTCTTGGTGACGGACGACTTGAAGGATCGGTGAGTCACGCGACTAACGGTGTTCGAAATCAGTGATGGTGGATTATAAAGGCTAACATACTTTTTTCGACCATAGCTACCGAACACTCCTCATTCGGACGTATGTGGATGATAAGGATAATCTACGGTGGTGCCCGGCGCCCAACTGTGAGTATGCTGTCGATTGTGCTATCAAAGCTCGGGACCTCCGCCGGGTTGTGCCAACGGTGCGATGTGCTTGTAAGCATGAGTTCTGCTTTGGTTGCTCTCTGAACGACCACCAGCCCACTCCGTGTGCCCTGGTCAAGATGTGGTTGCAGAAGTGCGAGGACGACTCCGAAACTGCCAACTGGATTTCGGCGAATACCAAGGAGTGTTCTAAGTGTGGATCAACCATCGAAAAGAACGGCGGCTGCAACCATATGACCTGCCGCAAGTGCAAGCATGAGTTTTGCTGGATGTGCATGGGGCTTTGGTCAGAGCATGGCACCAGCTGGTACAACTGCAACCGGTATGAGGAGAAGTCCGGCTCGGACGCTCGTACCGCGCAAGCCAAGTCGCGCGCCTCGTTGGAGCGCTACCTTCATTATTATAACCGGTACGCGAATCACGAGCAGTCTGCCAAGCTGGATAAGGATTTGTACCTGAAGACCGAGAAGAAGATGAGTAGCCTGCAGTCGCAGTCTGGTCTCTCATGGATTGAGGTGCAATTTCTCGATACAGCCTCACAAGCCCTGCAGCAGTGTCGTCAGACACTCAAGTGGACGTATGCGTTTGCCTTCTATCTCGCCCGTAACAATCTCACCGAGATGTTCGAGGATAACCAGAAGGACCTGGAAATGGCGGTTGAGAGTCTCAGTGAGATGTTTGAAAAGCCGGTGCCTGAGCTAGCTGAGCTGAAGGTTGACATTTTGGATAAGACGGCCTACTGCAACAAGCGTCGGGTCATCCTGTTGAGCGATACCGCCGAGAATTTAAAGAATGGTGAGCAGTGCCCTGCGCGGGGAGTTGCAATGTGATTTCTTTCTAACAGTATCTTGAATAGGTGAATGGTCGTTTAATATTGAGTGGTGAAATGCATGTGGACTAGCCTTTTTCCCACTCTTGAAATCCTCCCTATAATCGACCGTCGATGTGACTTCCCACGATATGATGAACGAACTCCTTCCCTCCCTTTTCCCGACTTGTTTCTCTCCTATCCTCCTCCACCCCGCCGCCCCTCATACTTTGTCCTTTTTGGGATTTTTCAAGACCCAGCCGCCTCCGCAGTGGCCCCTGCACTGCTTGAAATGGCCTCATTGCTCCTCCTCTTGCTCTTCCCCTGACCCCCGAAATCACCTGCATACAATGTTTCAATTCCGAACTTCTCCCTCTTACTTTGCCCCTCTCTTTTTCTTTGATATGTTTGATCTTCTGGATTCTTCTCATGGTACCGGGAGGTTGCGGCGCAGAGGTGTTGAGATTACCATGGTCAGATAGCAGTGCACTATACGTTCATAGCCAGCCAGCGATTTGTTTCTCTTTCTTCTCGTGCATGATCTATATCTGGGGAGACAACAATAGAAATTCTCCTCTTAGCCCCGATCCTGGCTCGACTCCTTGCAGTCACGTAGTCCTCCACTCTTCTTCTTTCGTGCCTACTATATCCATGTAGCCGTAGACAGTAGATCATATCTAACTCGGGGAAGATGCAGACACTATTTATTTATACGGGATAAATTTCTGACGTCTCGTGGTGTTCCATTTCCCTTCTAGGAATCGCTGCTTTCTGACCACTTAGTAGAATCCACCTCGCTCTAGACCATGTTCCCGTGCCCTGAAAGGCCGAGGTAGTCATGTTGCAGTCTTTTGCAATGGCGTTGAAGTACTCCATTTAGGACAGCCTTGATCTGACTCAACCTCCCCACATGAAGTACTAGTTATTACGGATATTAGGGACGCGATTAAGACGTCAGCAATCCGTTAGGATCGACCATCGAGATATACGTGGGCCGCAGCAACAGAGGTAATTGCTGTAAGTACCCCATTCATTCAAGCCAATACCTGGGTTTCCTACATTTCAAACATGAATCATTCAATAATGATGATGGCCTAGAAATCAATATCGCCAAATAGAAGAGTAGCAGTTTACTTAAATGGCGCAACGGTGTAGAGTGTAGATCAAATAAAGTTGTCAGTGTCTTAAGGAGTTAAAATGGCAAGATGGATACGTTATAAGTAATACTTTGAGAAGATATACTATCATAGATTATTGAATTTATCCACATACCTCTGAAGGAAAAAGTGTTTGCTACTTCAATCATTGATGGATTCATCGAGAGTGATGATTGTGCCTAATTATGCTGTATCATTTCAAAATTGTTCACAAGATTTTTATCATGCAATATAAGTGACGGTAAAAGTGCCGCCTCGGGAAATTATCGGCTCCCGGAGCACAGAACAAGTTAATCCGCAGGTCCAAATCAACCACTAAGATCACTCCCATCACAATGTGTCTTACTCCTCCGTCCAACTGACTCTACCACTGCGGAACTGGCTCACTAGCCCGATGGGCAACAACCCTGGGTCGACTATATTGAACCCGCCAAATCGATCCACAATCTCCGGCCCATACAGCTGCGCCAGCCATTTCCAGTAGGACGACATCATCTCCCAATTCGACCGGATCCCAGATAGATTGAGCTGGCTCTGCAGCTGACCAAGACCCAAGGTAACGGGTCCAGAGACATCCTGGCGAATCTCCTCCTGCCGCGGCCGCTTCAAGAGTTGATCATAGACCCACACCAACTGGTGTTGGAAACCGTAGTTCACAGACCCCCGGTGACGGGTATATTCCTCGAATGACATGAAGTGGTCCGCATCTTCAGGGCGATAACGACGTTGGTATTCAAGGCTGTCTTTATCCTTTTCGTCGTATCGTCGCTTGAGGGCGGCGTATGCACTCTTCTCTGCTTCGAAGAAATCCTCGAGCAAGGAGTCGGGGTCGGACACGATCGAATCACGGAGGGCAACGAGATTGATGAATGGGCTAGATAGCTCTAGTCCTCCGAGATCGATCGGGAGGAAGAAGTATCCATCGGGGAGATTCTCCGTGCCAAAGCGTGATTGAATCTTGTCACGCAGGTAGGTAATCACGCTGCTGTCCCCTCTACCTCCTTCCGGACCCAAAGAGAATATCTTGCGTTGAATCCGCTCGTGCGTCTGTAACATCATGTCGACGTGTCGTTGACCGAAACAGTTCGCCGGCATCCCAAAGTTGTAAGTGAAGAACGTGGATGCGTAAGAGTTCCAAGCCTGTATCCACCCAAAAATGCTGCTTTGCTTGTCGTACAGCTGGCGCTGTAACTCCTTGATATGCTCGTCTACCATTTCTTGGTCGATCTCGAAATTGCCGGACTCGGCGTTGAGGTACAGCATTCCCCATCGAATTTTGCCCTTCGGTAGGACAGGGTGAAGGGTTGATTTCTGCTCCGTCTCTTTAGCGGTTATATGAGCACCGCCACTGGTGTCTGCGCTAATGGAAATGCCCATCGTCTCGTTGAAGCGCTGAATGGCCTTCCACGCGGTCACGCATGTTTCCTGGTCGCGGGACCAGAACCACATATCGTCGTTGACTCGCCAGAGTAGCTCGCCGTCGCATTCCTTATTAATCATCAAGTCGAGGCAGAAGAGTGTGGTCTCGCCAAATAGCTCACTCAATACATGCGACCCCGGGGTTCCTCGTCGGCGTGTTCGCGGCTCTGCATCGGGCTCATCCATAAACCTCAACGGCGCAGCGAGGAACTTCTCGAAAAAGCTCAGCCACTTCTCCGATACGCCGAGAAAGCTGAGGACTGCCAGAATTGTGGAGTGAGGCAGGCTCGGGTACAGGGATTGGTACTGAGCTCGGAAGCAAGTAATCTCCCCATAGAGCCGTTTGTTGATGATTGTGTCTGCGCTCAAGAGAAGTAAAAGGTTCTGTTTCGCCTGCGACTGGTTGGCGGGTGACTTCACGCTCGCGCCCCAGATATCATCGTAGGTGGCATCCGGGTCGTGAGAAGTGGCATCCTCGTCGTCGAACAGAGCAAACCCCATGTCCTCATCGGATTCTGCCATGTCCTCGTCTTCACCGGAATTGGCTGACTTGAGGAATCTCGCCACTCCCGCCGGTGATTGTACTCTGCGTGCGGACGGCTTTGATCGGGCTTTTTTGGCGTGACCCCAAGAGGAGGCCTCTTCTTCGCCTTCCTCATGCTTTCGGATTTGGAACTCGGTATCAAGCAGCTGCGAAACAAAATACGCCTTTCGATGAATGGATTCCTTGGTGATTTGCACATTGGGTTTATCACTGCATTTGTCGAGGAAGAACTCGCGACGCTTTTTATCGATAGCCGGGACCTGGGATCGCAGGGTTTTCCAGTAATGGCGCGTCTTTCGGAAGTCATGCAGGGCGCTTTTGAAAAATACGGACCACTTGACACCGAGGTAGTGCAAAAATATCGCCTGGATGAGGTCTTCATGCATGCGAATCTGGTATGTGCCATTCATCTGGCGTCTTTGCTCGACGTGGACAGCAGGTCCCCATGTCCACGCATGTAGGCCGGCCAGCCGCATGTTAAGCACGTCGGACAACTCAGTTAGGACGGTGTCATCCTTCTGGAACTCTCGCAAGGCCGCCCGTTGCTTGTCCGTCACCAGGTCGGAATTCAGCAGCCCATTGATCACCCATTTGAGAGTTCCAAACGTAATCTGTCCGAGGGAGAGTCTGTTTTCGAAGGCTGCAACTTTGTCCCGGAGGGCGCATAACGTCTTCTCCACGCTTCGTGCTTGGTCTGTCTCTCCCTCCTGCTCAGGGGGACCGATTCCAGAAAAGAGCTCTGTGAGGAAAGCAGTCATAGTCTCCGCTTTATGTCCAGCAGGAGTGAACACGACCTTCTCCCACGCCTGTCGACTTTCCATCTTGGCCGTACTCGCGAGCTTCTCAAAGTCATCCTGGGACGCCGTAAGGGGCTGTGAGCTTCGGTTTTTCTTGACCGACAACCACTCCATAGTGAGCTGTGCGAAGAGTGTCGCGTATTCGTATTTAAGCGTCTGGATGTCAAGATAGCGGAGTAGCGACTGATGCCAGCGCTCGGTCATATCTGGCGAAATTGCAGGATCATACTCGGCTTGTTTGAGGAATCGGTCGAGGTTGGTAAGGGCTATTTCGAGTTGTTGGTGATTGCTCGAACCTACCACCACGCGGCCGTCTTTGACGGTGATGTTGAAGCACGACTTGACTCCATCGGCGAGGGCACGTATCTTCGCGATCGGTGAGACTAGAGACTCCGCTGTTTGCAGGGCGGACGCTTTGCGCTCCAGGAATATCTGGCGCTTGAGGGAGAGCTCCTCGAGCTTTGCATCGGTGATGTGTTGCAGTGTTAGCGAGTACTCTGACGAAGCCATTTTGATGTTGGTCTCGATGTTTTGGAGAGAAAAGAAGGAGTGAATGTGAGATGGAGCAAGAAAGTGGTACCTGATAATTTAGTCCGGGTGGTGCCCTGCGGGGTGGGGATTATGGTTCTCCCTATGATGTGAGGCTCAGCGACGTATGGGACATTATTGGGTAACACCACTGTGACTCAACAACGATCGCGTGGGGGCCATTGACACTGTGCATTCGCTGATTGGTTTTTTGACTTAAAGACCCCTTCAGCTCCGCATCGAGTGGGTATAGTCCATCATAGTGTTGGCAATACTGCAAGCAGCAAGAAAGAGACGACCAAGAGCGTTCCAGGCACTTCAAACTGGCAATTTAAGATGGATTATGTAAAGCTATTGAGCGAAAAGATTAATTCCTATGTCTACGATGACACCGATGATGGAGGTACTGTAATAAGGGAGTGTGTATTCAACGGCTTTAATTGATTAGACTTGAGCCTTTTGCCTCATTCTAAGAATGTACGACAACCTATACGATATCTTGTTATAGAAGGATACAGTGGAGAAGCGGTATCGTCTGCAAGCTTAGGTCAGGCCTTGGCAATGGGTCTTAGGAAAGGAAGAGGCCATGTACGATACACAAAATGATGAAAGCTTGACCACAATGAGATTGGAAAGAACTAGCGTGAGCTTTAGAGGGCGATCTGAAATCAAGATCATCGCCTGAAATGTTTGCATCAGCCTTCATGAAAAAGCCGACAATCTAAATCGAAGAACAATCCACGACGAACAAGTGACGAGAAACGGGTAGCGATAAACGGCGAATCATCCTCTTTGACCAATCGATCACCAGCGGTTGGTCAACGAGGGGATGTAGAATCCGAAAACATAAGGTATAACAAACGGGCGTAAAGACTTAGTATCACGATTTCTATCAAGCAAATCTACAAGCCAGCACCTCGTAGGAGGTCTAGGATGTTATTATCTGTCTAATCTTTTGCCTATTTTCACGAAACGTTTGCTAATCTACGGCACATAGTAGATGAATAACTCAGGAAAATCTTATAGCGGTGTCGGGGGGTATATTTAGTCTTCTTTTGATCCGCATTATTGGCCATAATACTGGGGCTCCGCGGAACTCTATTAGTTCCCCACCGCTTCGGGAACGATCCGATTTACGACATCATTTGAAACCTTCCCCCTTTATCAAAAATGTCATTCTTTATGAAGGTTTCCTGTGACTGATTTCTCCTTCATGGAATGGTTTTCCCTCGAGAAGGATGATTCGGAAATGCTGCTGCCTAATTCAACACAATGTTAATTACATCATGTGTGTTTCCAATCTTGAGGACAAAAGTCTTCATTCTAGATAGCCTTGTAAGATCCTCAAGATTCAGTTGATGTGTGAATAATACAAAACCTTCTTCTTGATAATCGAGTCGCTATTCTAATTCTCCATTGATCACTCTACTAGTTTGTGGAAGCCATCTTCTCCATCTGACCTTCTGGGTCATTGTCAATTAGATCTCTACAATTGTTACTTTGACCTTGCGCTATTTTCTTACACTAGAGTAGATCTTCTTCTAATTTGTTACAGAACCTGTTCTTATTGGTCTTGATTCGATCTTGATTGTTAATCTTAGTATCACTTTATCTACTGCTGCTCAATTTGATTAATGTTATTCTTAGTACAAACGGCATGTTGCTTTTGTATGATGCCTTTCTCTAAGTATCGACGGCGTCGGCAATAATACTCGGCACTACGAGGTTGGCTTTTGCCCTTTAAGATTAGATCAGGAATATATATAGCCTTGAGAAGCGGTCTTTCTAAGTGGAGAGGAGAATAGTAGGGTATGAGAGGGAGAAATAATGTTAAGAGAAGGAACGAATAATAAAGGAAGCGGCAAAGGCCGAAGCCTAGAGAAAATATTGTATTGAAAGAGGTAACAAAATAGACTGCCTTTAGAGGAGGGGTGCAGTGAATAGAGCTACATTTGATAGGGGCAGCCCCTTAAATATTAAAGAGGATTTAAGTATGGCCTAGCGTATAATAGAAGGACCTTTTCCATTTTTTCGACTAGCGGCTATAATCGGATAAAAACAGATAGACATGACAACATACCTGACTACCTACCATAAGCATCCTGAGCATCCTAAGTGAAGAAAGAGCTGATCCCTGAGCAACCCTAAGCCACTATGAGTGCTCAGGGAGCAATTCATGATCACTCAGGGAGCACACGGAAATAGTCGGCGGAAATAAATCCTCAGTAACTAATATTGTGGTAAAACGAACTCTTAAAACAATGTCAAAATTAGCCGTTTTCGGCGTCGAATTTACCGTTACCTAGCATTGTGGTGTAAATACGTTTCCCACGTTCTCAGGATTGTAAAAATACTAATTTAGTATGTTTGACCGCCCATCATGTCTTGTGGGCCATTCAAAATCCCTTTTGTACCCTTTCACTATGCGAAGTCTAAGCCAGCCAGTCATCAAATTGAGGCCACGCTTGTTCACGTATCATTTTATGACGCCCGATGGAATGATGACCTCCTTATGACCACTTATCACCTCGTCCTAACATCTCCCATTCCTAATACACTGTCTGATAGATGGTGAAAGTCTGTCGTGAACAATCTCTGGAACCATTCATTTGACGGTGCACTTATGAGTTTAGTAATGCCAGCTCTCGTCGCCTCGCAATTTGCTTTTCCACCCCGACTTCACCTCTTATGAAAATATTTGTTATTGATCTAGACGGTATTCATGAGAGTCATATCGGCCCACCGGAGAGTGGTTTCTACTCCGGTTCTATCCCGGTTGTTAATCCGAATTAGTGCTCCCCATAGAAAGAAACAGCCACGGCTAACCTGTCTATAAAAATTTTTCCTTTCTTACCTCACTCTCCTTGCTGGTAAAGAGCCAGTCAGCTGCGACGAGGGGGGCCTCCAGACTATTGATATGATGGACAGCGGTTTACGTACAGGAAGGGATAAAGCGGCTGGATTTAGTCCGAGTTAATGCCCACTCCGGACCTCGGCAGGCCGAGCGGCAAAGTCGCGTGTTCAGGCTCAGCCCCCTCCACTTTAGGGGATGGGGGTGACGACAGGCTCGTATTCCACCACTTGGCTGACGAGCACATAGAGTTGGAAAGGGCTCTTTGCGTTTATGTCTTTGTTTTTTCTCGTGTTCTTTGTGTACGTGTGTAGGAGAGATGGGGCGATAAGAAGCAAAGCTAGTGGTGCATCGAGTACTACAAGAACTATTTGGGACTCGGCACTCCGGCCAGAGTATGGATGGGTCTAGGGATAAGTGTCGGGGATCAAATGGCGCCCGCCAACGTTCGCCAGCGGATCTTTTTAAACGATCTTCTCGAAGGGTGGAAAGGTTCGACGGGACTGCCAGTTTTTGCCAGTGGGCAATCCAGCAATTGACGCTCCACTCGACTCCAGGACGCCAATGCACACTAGTCCGATCGAAGAGGGGGTTGAATTAATTAATTCGTTTAGCCTGGGCCGGCTTATCAGATTGATAATTTGGTACCAAACCTGGTACCGCGAGAGTACCTGTATGGATGGGGCATAAAGCCTAATCGAGAAAGGTACCGCGACAGTATTTTGAGCGTACCGGGGCCCGGAGGCGTCCGCTTTAACCAGCCTGGCTGTGGCCCGGGGGTCTCAGGGAAGTACATGCCTAGCTCGGTTGCCCTTGGAGCAATGCAATTCCGCCGTGCCGGACCCAATCAAACAGAACGAACAGGCCCCGTTAGGTAAGCTCCGTCATCGGATCCTCGGGGTCGGGGCTCTGGGCGCTGGCTTCTGAGTAATCGGAGATACAGGCAACAAACCAGGCGTTGGTTCTCGGGGATCGAGATAGCGGAGATACGCAAAACAGAAGGCAAAGGGGGTATGAAGGTCGGTTATAACGGCCATAGCGATGTATGGGGTGTAGAGGTGTCGGGGTGTTGAAGCGAACAATTGCAGGTGTATAGAAGGCAGCGAGCGGATCTCGGGGGCAAGGGAGAGTGGAATCCGGCGACGGTCGGCCGTCAATAATTCGTGTTTTTTAGTGCCGAGGCGGGTTGGGTCCTGTTCCTCAACGCCAGCGATCTCCCTTTCTTTCTCCGGGTCCCCCGAAAAAAAAAAGGTTAGCTCCAGTGACAAAAAAAAGAAACCAACCCGCGGGATCTTCTTTTTGTTAGCGACCTCCCCTACTCTTCCCTTGTTCGGTGTGCTCGATCTGTTTTGGCCGGGCAAAGAAATCTTGTGCCTGCTTTTGCTCCACGGAGAACCCCGTTTACCTCATCCTTCTTCACGAGCACCCGCTTCCTCGCGACAACCACCTCGATCACGATCTCACACGATTCCTCCTTCCCAAAGACCTCCTCTCCACACCCGAATCCCTTCTCCCTGAATTGCGCTTGCAGCGCCTTGAGCTAGCAGAGCTCCATGGCGGCGACCGACCAGATCCCGGTTGAGGAATATGAGTACGTTCATGGTCCGCGGTGTGAACGGTGCCTCCGCGGGCAAGCCACCCCAATCATTTTATCCAGTCCAGTCGCCCCTTCGCTTGTCCTTCCATCATGAGCGATCCAGCGATTGAGCGATTGAGCTCTCCACGGGTGGTTCCATCGTGTTGAACTGGGGATTGGGGATGCTCCCCGACGGGATGAGGCTTCACGCTTTTTTTTCCCTGCAGCGGCTGTACCGCCCTCACCTCCTGAGATCACTCCAAGCTAATCGCATCTTATTTCTAGTTATGAAGCCCTCCCATCCAACTATGGCCTCGGCCGGAATATGCTTGCTGGTGCTTTTGCTGGTATCGCGGTATGGCGGTGGATGGACACCTAGACAGATGGATCTGGAGCTGATGGTCACATTTTAGGAGCACTCTGTGATGTATCCTGTGGACCTGCTCAAGGTATGTGGCCTTTGCTCTCTGAAGACATGACTATCCAACCAGTTGGGATGGACGCTGACCGGTTGCATTTTGGATGGTTCGCAGACTCGCATGCAAATCCTGAACCCCTCCACAGGCGGCCTTTACACTGGGTTGACCAATGCGGTCTCAACAATCTATCGGATCGAAGGCTGGCGGACACTTTGGAAAGGTGTTTCGAGCGTGATTGTCGGCGCTGGTGCGTTTTTTCTCGTTTCTTTTCTTTCTTTTTTTTTTTCGCAGACTTGGTGCACACTCGATTGGTCGCAGGGTGGCTGATGATTTTTTAGGTCCGGCACACGCGGTGTACTTCGGCACATATGAGATCGTGAAGGAGATGGCGGGTGGTAATGTGGATGATGGACACCATCCGTTGGCAGCTGGTAAGGCCTTGCTGGAGGAAGGATCAAGTGCTTTGAAGAGGTCGCGTGACTGACTGGGGAAAAAACAGCATTGAGCGGTGCCTCTGCCACTATTGCGAGCGACGCGCTGATGAACCCCTTTTGATGGTGAGTCGATCTGTTGCGAGGATTGGACCTAGTCCAGCGCTGATTTTGGACCAGTGATCAAGCAAAGGATGCAGGTCCACGGATCTGTCCACAAGTCTCTGATGCAATGCGCCAAAACTCTCTACCGCACCGAGGGACTCCAGGCCTTTTACGTCTCCTACCCAACCACCCTCTGCATGACCGTGCCCTTTACTGCCACCCAATTCGTTGCATATGAGTCCATCTCGAAGGTGATGAACCCATCTCAGGAATATGACCCGTTCACTCACTGTATGGCCGGTGGTCTTGCGGGTGCTTTTGCGGCCGGTATCACTACTCCTCTTGATGTTGTGAAGACCCTCCTTCAAACTCGTGGCCTTGCAGAGAGCGAGGAGATCCGCTCTGCCCGTGGTCTGTTCAATGCTGCCGCCATTATCAAGCGCCAGTTTGGTTGGTCTGGATTCCTTCGCGGCATGCGGCCTCGTATTATCTCCACTATGCCCAGCACAGCTATCTGTTGGTAGGTTTTCCACCTTTTTATCGCCTGCTTCGGCTATATTGGATCGTGTGAGAGTGTCTACTGACCCTTGGCTCCACCCATAGGACTTCGTACGAGATGGCCAAGGCCTACTTCAAGCAACTCCCTGAATAGAGCCTCTCGACGGCTTGTCACACCTGATCACCTCTTGCCGATTTAACCCACTGCCATCAATTCCGACCACTCTGTTCCGCCTTTTTTTTTGTTTCACACAACATGTTTTTGTGGACACCACATAATACTCTTGTTCTTTTTCTCCAATCTCTCTGATCTCTCGAGATGATATGAGCTTGTTCTAGGTCCATTTGCGAGGCTTTGATGACATGGGCAGTGCCCTCCAAAGCTTCTAATGTTGGCTGTTCATATTAGGGCTGGAGAAAGCCCAACTCGATCTTCTTGCATGTTTGGGGTCATTTCTTTTTCTTCATCCAAAAAAGCGATTCTGGCAATGTACAGTTTGAGGAACCAGGAATGGACTGAAATAGGCAGCTGGACACTGGCTGATGGATCGATCTCGATTCTTCACTTTTTCTCTTCTTTTCCGACGCTCTCCCGTCCGATGTGTGTTCTATCTCGTTACCGGCGTTGGAACGTGAAACCTCGGGTTTTGATTTATTATGCGGGCTGGGTTTCTCTTTGTTGCATCGATATACGTTTTTTATTGTTCGAGCTTCTTGCATGTACCGATAGACGTGCCATTACGAGGAATCTAGAAAGTGATATCCGAAAGCATACGGTCATTGGTGGCCTTCTTGACCATCTTCAAGTAGTATTTTAATCGCAGGTCTGGATTCGTAGTAGACCAGATCCCTCTCTTGGTCTCCTAATGCCCCTTTGTCCAACTAGGCGACGACTGAGACAATGTGTTAGAACGGAAGGCCGATATAGTCCGCATGCAGAAGTTGCCGAACCGACGACGTCACGCGAAAACTTCTCCCCTCACAAACGGCGGGAGATCATCGCTTCCAACTCTCCCCACCACAACCAAGCAGTGAAATGGGTGCGGGCCTGTGTTTTCCCAATGATGCGCCCACGGCCCGCGTCTTCTCTGCAGAAGACGTACGATGAATGCTATCTCGCGTGCTCGACTGCCGTCTACTTTGAGGGCCAGGTAGGTGTTCCGCCGGACGACCCCGATCACTCGAGTTCAAACCGCTCATGACATCAGAACAACGAAGAGGAAGCATTGAGGTCCTGGAGATCCGCCCTCGAGACCATTTATCATCACAATGCCCGCCGAGTACCGCCGAATTATACCCCGAAGTCCGAAACCGAGAAGGCGCTGCAGGATTCTATCCGGGCGCTTGAGGTCCAATGCCGCGAACGAGTCGACCTGCTCCAGGCCCTGCGTGACAGTCGGAAAGAGTCCGCTGAGGCTAATGGGACCAAAGAGCCTGCAACGCTAGTCAAGGGGAAATATGTGGCCGCCATGAACGCATCTGCCTCCTCGTCCAATAATCATCCCGGCTGGATCGGAGACGGTACTATCCCCGTCGTCGGCTACACGGATCTGTCGAAACCGGCTACCATCCCAGGTCGACCCCCAGCTTCCCCGATGGCGAGACATAATCTGGAGCCGTCCTCTCTGAACGATGAATTAGCTCCCCCTGGTCTGTCGCCGGCTGGGTCGCCTGCGCTGCGAGTCAATTCTAATTCCTCGGGCAAGACGAAATCCCGTGGTTCCAGTCCAGAACGTCGGAAAACGATGTTGACGACGCTGCGGAACACAGATGGGAAGAAGTCCGGGAAGAAATCCAAGATCAGCCCCAAGAAAAAGGAGAAGGAGTTGCGGCCGGCCGCCTCCAAGGCAGCAGGCCTCGCATGGGGCAATATTTATCGGTCTCCGTCAATCGAGAAGACGGCGAGCGAAGCGGCGCTGGCTTCGTCTCGGCATAGCGCTGCCAACGATCCCAGTCTCCGGCGTGATCCCGATCCAAGGACCAGCTCTGGAGATGAACCCTCTTCAGCGAGAAAGATCCGACCGAGAGTGGATTCGTCCGCGGACCGTATCCCGGCCACGAATTGGCGAGAGCCTCAGCCTTCTTCGCCAGTTCAGTCATCACATAGAACATCTGCACCACCCATCCCTCGTCCACCGCAGCCAGCATCAGAGAGTCGGAGGCCTCTCCCATCGGGGTCATTATCTATGCCAGATCCGAAAGACTTCGCCGCGCCCACCTCCTCACCTGGTCCTAAACCGTCTATCAAACCTAAGCCTGTGGGACTCCGGAATTCACTCCCGCCCCCTCCCCGTGTCACACAAGTGACCAAGTCAGAAGGAAGCTCCCGACCTACCACCCCCGGAAGGACCAAAAGGTGAATGCACCTACCAGCAAGTCCGCACCGCGGGCTTCTCAGATTAACCAGTCTTCCTACGGTTCGCCTTCGTCAGGCAGTGATGATATTCAGCGTGGGATCTATGGGATGTCGATTTCCGCCCCAAATGGCAGCAATTCCACTCGACGAAAGCCCACTCCACCCAAACGTCGGGAGACGCCCCCATCAAGCGACCAGGAATCTTGGGAGCAACACTCCTCAGAAGGTGAGGCAGAAGACGAGGATGAAGAGAACAACAATGATATTACGAAAATTCTCAGTAAGCTACCAAAGGGTGTAGACCTGCAATCAGCCCGACAAATCTTGAACGATATTGTGGTACGCGGCGATGAGGTACACTGGGACGACATCGCCGGCTTGGAGGGTGCCAAGAAAGCTCTCAAGGAAGCCGTCGTTTATCCTTTTCTTCGACCTGATTTGTTCTCTGGCCTTCGCGAACCTGCGCGTGGCATGCTTCTATTCGGCCCTCCAGGCACAGGAAAGACCATGCTCGCCCGTGCTGTAGCCACCGAGTCCAAATCCACCTTTTTCTCAGTGTCCTCATCCAGTTTGACGTCTAAATGGCACGGTGAGAGCGAAAAGCTTGTCCGCGCCTTATTCGGCCTTGCCAAAGTCCTGGCTCCCTCTATCATCTTTGTCGATGAAATCGATTCTTTACTCTCTGCGCGGTCTTCGGGCTCCGAGCACGAGGCTTCTCGTCGATCAAAGACGGAGTTCTTGATTCAATGGTCTGATCTCCAACGTGCCGCTGCTGGTCGCGAGCAGTCCGCCCGCGATAAGAAGGAGGGTGACGCGAGTCGGGTCCTTGTCCTTGCTGCCACCAACATGCCATGGGATATCGATGAGGCTGCGCGCCGTCGCTTTGTCCGGAGACAGTACATTCCGTTGCCTGAACACCATGTTCGTGAGCAGCAGCTGGCCAGACTGCTTAGCCATCAGCACCACGAACTCAGCGACGAGGACATCCAGGTTCTGGTTCATGTTACAGAAGGTAAGCCACCATCCTACATTCCTACTCGAAGTATTTCCCCTTGCTAAGCATTCCCTGCAGGTTTCTCTGGTTCCGATATTACAGCCCTCGCTAAAGATGCCGCCATGGGCCCGCTTCGCAACCTTGGCGAGGCCCTCCTCCACACCCCCATGGATCAAATCCGTGCAATAAAGTTCGAAGACTTTGAAGCCAGTCTCTACTCCATTCGACCCAGCGTCTCTCCAGACGGGTTACGGAAGTACGAAGAGTGGGCCCGCGAGTTTGGTGAGAGAGGCGGATAGGTAGCGTCAATGCTATCACTTCTTCCCTCCTCTCTACGACTTATCTCTTCCTGTTGAAATTTCGTCCTACAATACCGCACCCCAAGTTCAAATAAGAGAGGGCCATGGTTCTCGTACTGTCTTATGCTCTCTACTGTGTATAGGCGGGACCCGGCCGGTCCGATTCTGGTCCTGCCCCGCCCCGTACTATCCTACTATTTTTGATTATTTCCCCTCATTTTGCTCTCCTTTATCATTTCTTCGGCTCTTTCTAGGTGTTTGGGGAGGTACAAATCCTGTAGCGATCACTTGTGGGCGTCTTGATACCGGGACTTGGATTGTATTTAGGGGAGGCGGACTTTGGTGCATGGTATGCATTGGACGGTGTGGTCTACTTTCAGAGGGAGGCTTGGTGTTTTCTTTGTGTGGGATTATATGTGGCTGATGGTCACTGCTGTTGAGCTTTATATGATCTAGAAATGGACTTTTGTACAAAGGTTTTTATGAGTGTTAGTGCGTAACTACTTCATTGCTTTGAGGTGGAACACGTTCGAGTTGGCTTGGCATCTTTCTGTCCAACAAATGAAAAAGTTACAAGAAAATCGCTTGACAAAGAATACCCAGTATTGTCAAACATCTGTCGTCTATTGATCGCGAAAAAAAAAAATGGGGTTGCCTGTTGATAAATCAGGTCCTGTTGGCGTATATCGTTACTTGAAGTGGTCATATAGCACTAAAGTGAATTAAAATTCATCTGTCAGCAAGCTGGCGCATAGGAAGCGCGTCGGGCTCATAACCCGAAGGTACCAGGATCGAAACCTGGGTTTGCTATTTTTGCATCTTTTTTTTATGTTTCAGTATCTCTATTTCGTAATCTAGAATTTTATTGTGATTTTTCCATTACCTTGCTTAGTTAAGGCTCGCGCTGGCAAAATCGAAAATTTTAATCGCCGAATTTATTTTGATAAATTTTGATGTTACGAAACTTACTCCTCGTTGAGTCTTGTTGTTTGAATTGATGCTCATGTAACATTAATTTGAGGAAATTTGCATCTGTCAGCAAGCTGGCGCATAGGAAGCGCGTCGGGCTCATAACCCGAAGGTACCAGGATCGAAACCTGGGTTTGCTAATTTTTTTGGAATTCTTTTTCTCTCAATCTTTTTTTTAACATCCCTCTATCTCGTACCAAACTAAATCTTTATTATTAATTTGTGAGTAACTAGTTTGACTACTTAGTTGACCGCATGACCCGCGCTGGCGTAATTGAACCATTTCGACGGGGTTAGATTTGATTCTATCAAGCGGGATGGCTCCCAGGGCACCTTACTGACAGGCTTACAGGCTTCACTATCGGGCTGAAAAGCACTAGAAATAGCTTAGCATTCATAATCGCCTTTGGAAGATGCTATCTAGATACTTAGCTACCTACTACTGGTGATTAATTGCTTCTTTAGCTCCCTTGAAGCTTTGCGTGTCATATGCTACTTTGATAACTCGGAATAATCTTACTACACTTGTGACAGAGTCAGGAGATGTAAAGGTGATGCTATTGGTTCTGTCTAAGACTAGCTAAGAAGGAACTGCGGGTCACCTGACCCGGCTTGGAGGGTAACAACACTCATACTACTAAGTACTAGCAGTTCTCAGGTAATAATTTCATACCTAGCAAGCTCTTATATGAGCCAAGCTAGGTATAATTAGATAGCGCCGACCGAGTAATACTCATTGCATACGCTACAGTTTTGTCTTGGTTGCTATACCGCGGTGTAAAGCTCGCTGGTGGTCTAGCGGATACGCTGCACGGTCCAAAAATATAAGTGCCCTTAAGTGAGTCTGCGAAGAAGCATATTGTATCCTAATCATCTCGATATTAATGTCTATATCAGGTAGTTCGGTACATGGATCTCCTAAATGGAGCAGGCTATGCTTTGAAGGCTATATTACAAAACGCCGCGCTAATATTACACTGTTGGCTGCAGGGACTAATAATATACTAAAAAAAAAAATGACCCCATGGTACGGCTATTTTATTTTGATATTCACAAGTGAAATTATTCAAGAGTGCCACTGATCTTAAATACTAGCTCTATGTAGAAAGTGATGGTTGTTGATTGATCCCTGGAACTTTATTCATCCAGACTATTCACTCGGACTATTCACTCGGACTATTCACTCGGACTATTCACTCGGACTATTCACTCGGACCCTTAAATCTCTAGATCTTTTGGGAGTTAAGGGAATATGCCTAGACACGTGCTTCCTAGGTTAGGCCAAAAGACCATAATATCAACGCATGAGCGCATTTAAGGCCAAGGACCCAGATATAATGACGCACAGCAGGGTATTCCCCTATATGAAATTATTGTATGAGAAGGGCTTTGAATCTCCAGAATGTGTAGACTTCGCTTCCCCTATCAATTTCATGAATGACTAGATTCTCGTCAATTTGAAGAGGAGATGGGAAATGCCAAGATAGTAATAGCATAATTACTGGTAGTATATCGGAGGCACCGTGGGTGTTCAGAATCGAAAGGGATCCAGTAGGGCCGTACTTGATGATCGGCGAGGAGGGGCAATCGCCGTTCCATTCCCGTTGAACCGGCAGGATAGACGATTTCCTATAGTGATTTCGAGTGATCGCCTAAATAAAACATCTCTACCTAAGGCAAAGGTCCAAAATATTGATTTGAACTCCGTTCCCACTGATATTGGGGTGGTGGATAGTGAAAGTAGTCACTCCTTGGCTGAACAGAGACTCTGTCTCGAATTAAATATATCAAGATTGGGCAGCTTCCACATCATATATGATGACAAGATATATACCTCTCATAGCGACAAAGCGAGAGCACCTCCGTTTCTGCCCACATTGAACTAGTTTGAACAACTTAATCTAATTCAGGAATGCCGAGTCAGTCGGATACTGGCAGGTGGGAAGAAGCTGTAAGACGCTACCTGCCCTGAACCGTATGGCTTCTACCCGGGTCTATCACACTTTTCCTCTCGTTGGCAGATTTGAACGCAGTCATGGGAATTCTGGGCGGACTTAATAGGCCCTGTCTAATATAGAGAACAGTTCTTGACCATTCAAGCATATCTCAGCTATTAAATACAAAAGAATGAAATATATCGTGACCAAAATCTGTCATATAGCATAAATGGGAGAAATTTTCATCTGTCAGCAAGCTGGCGCATAGGAAGCGCGTCGGGCTCATAACCCGAAGGTACCAGGATCGAAACCTGGGTTTGCTATTTTTTTCTTTCTATTTTTTTCCAGATGACACTGAATCTCCCTCTGATTCGCGTTGGCTGAGTTTTTTTGTTCTGTAATTCATTTGCCACGTACTTAAGGCCTCTACTAGCATATTCGAACAATTTGGCTGAGGCAGATCTGATTCTGCAGCGGATAACTATCAGTGCTTACACCTACCCGCACCACTTCTTAAGCCTTTTTACTAGTAAATCTTCAGGTCATGGAAGATATATAAACCAAAGATATATTTCGGTCGTAGAGTTTATCGGCAAAATTTCCTAGACTATTTTCATTCTTATTAGCTATATTCCCTATATCAAAAGGATTGGTCTTCTATTATTAACTAGATTTTCAAACATTCGACAACCGATAACAGTACTAGCTCGATTCGTACTCGAACATCTGCAATCTGGGAGCTACCCAGATCGCTATCTATATATATACCACTAACGCTAGGATCACCTCGGCCGGTGATATAGCCGATGTGTTCTTTTTTCTTTTTTCTTTTTTGTTTTTGGAGGTTAGGTAATATCACGTGGGAAAGTGGCATGCGAGATAACACATTGTGATAGTAACTTAAGAAGATGAGTATGTACAAGAAAAGAGAATAAAGCGACTGTTAATTAGAAATCAAAACAACCTGACCCAGGAAATATATTCGCAGAGACACCACATATCTCAAATGCACGTGATTATTGGCAGAAGGGTCCTACCGAGCTTCTGCTAAAGCAGTGCGGTATTGGTATCACCAGGGCTAGTGCCTAGTGAAGAACTAGTGACGCATGCCCTAACAGGACTTTATCTTGTCTTGAAATTCAATAAAATGATCTTATACTGTTCACTGTGGATCTTAAACGGGATGGAGGTTGTGAAAGTGAGCAGTTGGTAGAAAAAATCAGGAATAGAATAGCATAGTTTCTCTGTACTTCCTAAATTTCCATACAATATAAGCTCTTGCGTTGGCTATTGGTTCTAACTATTGCATTTATATGACCTTTTCCTGCTGGCATATAGCTGACTTTCTTGGCACCACGCTAGTGGTGGCAGAATTTGATAAGCTCAGATCTCAGCTTGTCATATCTCCCGGGCATTGAACAAGGGAGTGTGTGTTTTCGATGTTAAATAGAGGAATGATTATGAGACCTGATGAAGCATTATTAGGATTGTTTTCGTCCAAGCAGCAAGCTGGCGCATAGGAAGCGCGTCGGGCTCATAACCCGAAGGTACCAGGATCGAAACCTGGGCTTGCTATTTTTTTCTTTTTTGCACTCCACTTCGCCAAGCCAAAGATTATCTATCTATTCAGATTTCTCAGTAATAGTAATTCCAGGTCCCTTTCAAAATTATGGCGTGCTATTATGTGTGGATCTTCTCAGCCCAGATAAATTACCCAAGTGGATCAGCGAGTGAACCTTCGGGGCAAACGCTTCATACAATCGATGATATATGACTTAGAATCAACTAGCATGGCTTATTTGAAACCTCAAACACACTCTACAGGCATGATTTGGCTCTGCATATATTAATATAACCAGTTTTGACCCTATTTAGCTTTACGAGGAGTTTCAACCTTCTTCGATAGGTGATGATGATGTGTGTATGATTGATGGCGTCTTATAGATTTAGCATATCCTGTTCCCTCCAAAATCAGAATTTATAATTTCGCTACAGATCAGCTGTATGTTCTATGTTTTGAAATGTCTAGAAGCAAGAAAAGAAAAGTGAAAAAAAAAAAAAAAACCTTTGAATATGCAAATTACAATATGTTCGAAAAGATTCTCTTGGTGGAGGGCCTAATGTTTGATTATTCATCGCTCTTTCTCGTCTTCATAACAACGCGATGGGCTGTGCTGTAGACTTGCTGATGTTCATTCCAAAAAGCTAGTGACTGTATTTTGATAAAGCTGTGAACACTGAAGTCAAAGTCAAGGAGCTATGGCCGGTCGGTTTGTTCATGAAGCTGCAAGGGAGTGTCGATAGTCGAAATGTCGATTGTTGGCCCCCCAAATAAGACCCAATGAAAGATAAGTCTTGCCGAAAAAGGAAAATGCGGCGGCATGCATGTCTAGCCTTAAGTCCCTCGAGTGTGTGACTCCGTTGGGCAGCGCCTCCTAGTCCTTGTTCGCCTTAAAATAAAACACCATAAGACATGATAGCTGATGCATTCTTCCTTCCAATGGCTATTCCATCACTTATTTACCCGGCCCAGAATATGCATCTTTTACCCCTTGTGTCCCTTGCCACTCTAGCCACCGTTGGCAGAGCCAGGACCTCCGGCTGTGGCAAGGATATCCCCTCTAAGTTCCCCAGCCCTGGCGAAAGCAAGATTCTGCATCTGCCAGGAACCGATCGCGAGTACAAGTTATTTATTCCCACTCACTATGACCAAAACAAGCCGACACCGGTATATTTTTCCTTTCACGGTGCCTCGCGAGATATGAACGAGGAGGAAGATCTGTCACAATTCTCGAACGCAGATTTCAACAAGGATGGCATTGCTGTCTATCCCAATAGCAGGAACGGCTACTGGCTGTCTCATCCTAAGGCCGACACTTCAAGACCGAATGACCTGGATTTCACCAACGATCTCCTCACCCATTTGGAAGAAGAGCTCTGCATAGATCCAAGCAAAATTTATTCCGCCGGCAAGTCTAACGGTGGTGGCTTCACCGGGGTAATTGCCTGCAATGCCACCGTCGGCGGCCGCTTCGCCGCTTTCGCTGCTGTTAGTGGTGCTTGGTACAACACTGACGGTATCCCTGGTGTTGGCCCTTGTGTGCCAGCCGAACGAGAAGAAGGATACCCGTTCCTCGAGTTCCATGGCACTACAGACACCACTGCACCCATTGATGGTAACGCCAAGAAGCCTCCTAAACTCCCTGTGATTGATATTCTCCAAGGTTGGGCTGAACGGAATGGTTGTAGAGCCAATGCCAAGTGGGCTCGAAATGCGACCATTTTCAAACAGCCACTCGTCAAGCACGTCACCTGGGATTGCGCCGGCAGGGTTGGTATCATACAGCACTATCGTGAAAGTGATAATGGTCATTGCTGGCCCTCTACGGTTCCCAACGATGACTACAAAAGGCTTTCCAAGCAGTGTAAACTGGGGAAATATGTCTTCAATGCAACTGAGTATATTTTTGACTTTTTCAGCAACTACCAATTGAGAAATTGAGGTATCTCACGAAGTTCCATAAAATTACTATAATGCTTTTAATTTTAAGAGGCGTACTATAAGTGATAGAGATGACGTCCCTTACCGAAAGCTTAAACATAACCGAAATATAGACATCCAAATAGAACCGTAATTAAAAAAGAGTTAATAATAACAATTGACAGGTATGGTAGCCCAGGATAATCTCTCATTGGGTCTGAAAACTATTCCGTGTTCTCTCTAAGCATTTTAGATATAGCGTAACAATAACGTAGACATGACGCCCAGCGGCCAACTCGTTCGATTTGACACCATATAAAACCGCGACTGGACAAGAAATTGACACTCGAACACAATTAATCATCCCCTAGATGCCAATCGACTGGAAATAATCATTTTTTAAATATTTGAATTTCGTTTCTTCTAAAATGTCGAAATCCGCCAAGCAACAAGCGGAAGCCCAGGGACAAGCTGATGTGTGGGATGAGGACGTCGATGAGGACCAATCTATGAGACCTGGTCCGCAATCCAGCTACCTGAATTCTTCTCAGAATGAGATTTGTTTGTCCTACAATCCCTCCCTACAACAGCTCCTTTCTGACCTGCTGTCTTAGCCGAATACGACATTGAGGGTATGGATCAGTCCAATATTCTGAAAGGCGATAAGTTGCGCCACGCGCAGCCACAGTCGGCCAACAGGTACAATGAGGGGCCGGATGAAGACGATCTGCCTGAAAGATAAACTTTGGACTACACTTTGCTGCCAATACTTGAGGGGACTCCTTCCTATCAGATAGTATCCAGAGCTTTCAATTTGACTTAAGATCAACCGAAGAAATAGTTGGACGGAGTTTACTTGGTTTCATGTACAGGGTCTAAGATATAGTATTCTAAGCAGGGCTGAGGTATACTTCAAGTTGCTCCCAAAAATACAGGTTGAAGTCCGACTTATAGTGTAATCAGCTCAACAAGACACGAATCTCCCCAGTGGTTCGAGGGAATAGCGAACGCAAGCTCCACTGCTCCTCTTTGCTGTCCCCTTCATCCCCATCCTTCGCACCAGTCTCTGGCCTTTGTGTCGATCTCCCACTTCGGCCACTAATAACACTACCACCGCTTGCTAGGCTAATCTGGGTCACGCCTCTTGCCTCGTCGGCGGCGATGATCATCCCCTCGACAAATTCAAAGTCTCGACAGAATGCTTCAACTGCATCCTCGGTAACACTTTGAACAAGGGATGCGCTCTGTACACGCTTCAAATTGTCGGTTGCGTCCATAAGAGCAGATGGAAGGAAATCATCCAGTTTCTGACTGGATGTGATCAGTGATTTGGGTTGAAAGGCGGGAAGAGTTGCCAAGTCTGCAAGCGAACGCTTTTGTTGTTCTGCAGTTTCAGCCTTTCCGTTCTCTGTTTCAGCTTCAGACCCATTCTCCTTGTTTGTCTTCGAGAATGGTTCCAAAGCATCCAGGAGAACCTCCAATCCGGAGCTTTCAAGCAAAAACTGGTGTTGGATATCAAGAAGATTTGTTTGAAGCGTAGACAAGGCCATGGATAGAGGAGCGTTGTGAGTGGCATTGGCGAAAGAGAACGGCACGACGGTGGCACGGGCTGCTAGGAGAATATTGGTTCTATATATAGCTTGCGCCGTGGTATCCTCGAGTTCATCTGAGGAGGATCGAGCCAGAGTCAAAAAGGGATCGAACGCGGCACGCATGACCGGAGTGAATGGATTGTCGCCATTCGAGTCACAACTTGGGTTCTCTGCTCCAACGGAGCCATCATAGGTTTTCATAAGTGATACCAAACCTTCCAAAGAATCCAGGAGGAACTCTGGAGGTGACAAATCTTCCGGTGGGGCAAGAGCCAGATGGTCACTTGAAAGCGTACTTGCTTGGTCACGCATCAAAGTCTCGAATTGGCCCAAAGTAAATTTTCCGAGGGTTTGCATCAGATCGACCAAGCTTGATTGTGAGCCCACCAGCTTAGTAAAAGTTGTGCGATAGAAAGAGAGGAGGTTAACCACTTTATAGCAGGTGATAGGATCATCATGCCCTTGGATTATCAGCTCTACTCTTTGTCGAAGCGATCGAGAAACGCCCGTAAGGTCACGGTTGACAAGGTCGCTGAGAGCCTTTCGGCCATCGAAAGCAACTTCTTCTTCCTCGTCAATTCGAGACCACGGCTCACTGTTAAGTCCAGCCTGGATTCCTCGTGCAAGTTCCTCGCCATCAGCAACGAATAGTGCCTCAAGAGCCTCTCTTTCTGATACAGTCGTTGAATGCACCCATGCAAGCATGTCGCCAATATATCGGAGCGGGTCATGAGCCGAAAATTCTATCGGTTTAACGGTACGATCGCCGCCAGTAGCGGCCCCGCTCGAGCCAGATATAGCATCTGTCAATGCATAATGGAATGCATCGGAGAGAACATAGTCGCGGGCCTCTGCGAAGAAATCCAAACAGCTGTGGAACAAACTTGGACGTTCCGCTAGCACCCGTAGAGCACGACGAATTGAACTGCTGATTCGGGGATCCTCGAGATTCAAGGACTGGAACTCCTTCTGAATCCACCGGTACAGTTTCTGGTATGCAGAGTTGAGGTTACGAGTGCATAGTTCCATGACCTCTAAGCCCAAGCGTTGGTTTTCGCCGCCAAGAAGATGTTCGCAGTCATGGTGCACTTGTTTGACGCGCGCGAGAATGTCGAAAAATCGCTCATTGATGGGTTCTTCGGCTGCAGTAAGAGACATCAAATCTTCCTCGGGCACAAGGAAATGTTTCGAGAATGCATCAAGTAGCCTTTGTTTTGTCTCCGTGTCTTTCTTTTGTGTCATCAATGCGGTAGCCTCCTCCAACACAGGCGTAGTATCTTGCTTCGCCTGGCCAATATGCCTGCGCATTTCATCGCATGTCTGGTTGAGGGTTGAAATCACGCTTCCGATCCTTTGGAGTTGCTGTTAAAAGCCATGAGATATTAGACAATTTGACCATTTCAATGTTCAAGCACATGCGAGGGATCTAACCTCCGCAACTTTTCCAAAGTCGCGCACGATCTCCGCATTGGAATCAACAACTTCCTTCTGTACATCCAAGCGCAGTTGCCTACGTGTTTCGGCAGTATTGTGAATGCCTCTTATACTCAGGGTTTCGAGAGCATCGCGGATATCGGAATCGGCATAGGATGCCGACAGCACGGAGGTCAGGCGATTGGATAGTGCGGTGGAGCGCTGTGATGCCGGAGGAGAGAGCGGCGAAGAGGCCGGCGACGAGCCATTGCTGGCAACGGCAGGGAAATAACTGGTCATGGTTGAGGGTTGATGTCCGTGTCGTCAAGTGGGGAGAAAGGACACGGAGCGCGGTAGACCGCCTTCGTATCTCTTATCGGCCGCAGAATAACCAGAACAACCACCCCAGCTCCAAGTATTACGATCTCCAATTTGCACACACAGAGATTTGCATAATGGATTCATTTGATGGCAGTCCATTGGTTTCTCCAACAAAGGCACGCCAAGCGGCCATTCAAGCCAAAGATTGGGCGTATGTGAACTCCTGGCTCACCCGACAATACGCGTCTAAACCAGTGCCCCAATTCGAACGCAACGAAGACACACTCCGTGCTCTCCTGACATTGGCAGCAGCCAATGACTCCGCCGATGAAGAAGTTACCTTACAGAACAATGCGCGCAAAGAATCCCTTCAAACCTACAAATTACAAAAGGAGGCCGAGAGAAACGATATACATGAACGGCAGAGAAACGAGATTCTGGATGAGTTAGAGATGTGCTTGGATGATAGAGGCAAGCACGATCTGAATGATCTCGCAAATTCCGCGGTCATTCTCGGCAACACCTTGGATCCAGAACCGGAAGGTCTCGGCCTGTCTATCGTGGAACTCACAGCTGAAGAGTTCGACATTCAAGATCAAGTGACAAAAGTGGACACGGTACATCGTTATTTGCAGCAGGAGCTTGCAAAGCTGCAAATAGACTTGGACAAATTGAAAACCGAGAAATCATTTGAGGCACCGGCCAACGCCCAAAGTTTGACCTCGGAGTGGGTGCGAGACACCAAAACGTTATCAACGAAGGTTGGGGAATACCGGGATCGTATTGCATCACTCGAGCGGAGTCAACCTCGTGGTCCCACAATTGACGAACTGATGGTCAAGGAGGAGGCTGTCATAAGACTACGCGAGACAGTCAAGTCTCTCGAGGCGCGCGTGAAGACTTTTCATGATCTACCCAAGGATATTGTCGGGGCCCGGGCAAAGTACAAGAGTCTAGAGCGAGAATTAGCACAGCTAACACAACAGCGGGATATGATGTTCGGCGACCTTGTTAACTGAAGTTGAGGTGCTAATTAAGATCATGATGTCTATACACGGTCTAATTCTACAAATCAAAAGTGCACATAACATTATGGTTGCCCCCATCAAGGAGTTGAAGGGTAGTAATAATATTGCATGATGGTTCGTAACTAAAGGACAAAAAGCAAATGGTATCGTCGACTCATCACTGAATCATGATAGCAACATAACTCCGAAAGGCAAGGTGAAGGCCTGGCTCTTCATTCGGTGAAAGCGACTTAGTTGTTCATTCCGAGAGCATTCTTAACCTTATCGCCACTATGTTAGGAAAAAAGTCAGCCGTGATCTTCTATTCTCTGCGGGAGGAGCTCAGGATAGCAAGCTGTGGGTGAGGGGGAGCTTGTTCTTACATGGAGTTGCTGGCACCGCCGTGAGCCTCATTGTCGTGAGTACGCTGAGTCTTGTCGAAAGCCTCCTGGGCACCACCCTTGCTGTCGTCGGACTGGAAGCCACGAGCAACACGGTCAGTGGTGTCAGTGACAGTCTCCTTGATCTTGTCCTGAGTGGACTTGGAGGAATCGGGAGTGATCTCCTCCTTAGCCTCTGTGAGGGAAGGGAGAAGGTTAGTATCAGCCATAACCTTTGTTGGTAGGATTGAGAATTACATACTGGTGGAGAAATCCTTGCGACCAGTGTCAGACATGTTGATGGTTGATTGAAGATTTGTTGGATGGAAATTTGTTGATCGAGAAGTTCTTTGTTTTGAATGTGGGAGAGGTTTGTATTGTAGAAGAAAACTGTGTAGAGCAAGAGAGGTTTAAATAGATACCTTTTTCACATGATGCCAAACTGAATGACGTCGTTTCCTCATTGTTTGCAGGTTTGCGAATGGCTTTACCCAAGTTTCACGGAAGCCGATGTCCAATTCTACAACCTTGGCCGAGCTCCAAACTACGGGACAACCTTGAATTGCGGCTGGTCGAACCGCGAATCAGCGTGGACCTCGACGTGACTTGCATGACGTTTGCTAGAATGTGAGGTCGTGGCGTTTCAGATGACGTCTGGATGACCAACGACGATCCGGCCGTGACTGTCACGTGACATACCAGCAACTTGATCCAGAGCTGAGTCATGAAATGAGGCCTGAGGCTTTAAAATGACGTATAGTCGACTCTATCCAGTATTAGAAAGCGGTCTAGAGGTGCAGAAACTCTCAAGAGTCACCGCCACCGTCGATTATGGGCTCATTGCTGCCCAGGTCTACCTAACTCACACTATGGTGGTTCATGCAGTCCTTCATGTACCTTCACGATATGGTCTGTGACATGTATCTTGATATTCTGCACTATCTGTTTCCTCCGATTCATATTTTATTCGTGTCTTCTCCAGTCTCCTCCCCCCTATCGCCTGTCTCGTCTCAACTCGTAACATAATCATCAATGCTCTCAACTGAGTCCACCGAGCGGGCCTCAAATTGGGACTTCTCCCCGGTGTTTGACCTGCTTAGGTCTCCTACCTATGAGGGGTCCTCATATCTCGCATCCACGTGTAACTCCGAACTACCGTCGTCTTCCGAAGAGAAATCCAGACATGTCAAACTTGCAGCCTGCAGCCCAGCCTTCAAGCCGAAACCTCAACGAAGCTACACTAGATTGGGAGATTTTGGTACTCTTTGGGATCTCCTCGGCCAAGAGCTGTCATCTACACAGTCTACAAAGGACACATTACCCGCTGAGGCTCCCAACACCAAACCGCATGATACCAAGCTGCCTCTTGGGCAATCTTCAGGGTTCACTATTCTCAAGCGACCTTCTCAAGATGAAACGGGAGAAGAGAAGCGTCAGCCCATACCCTCTACCTCTCGCACCAGCGCCATCTTTGCATCGGGAGATTCAAAACCGCAAATCTCCCAGACAACACTTAAAGAATGCTCCAACCCATCTTCATCTGCCAAAGTGATCACTCTTTTAAAACGAACCGCAGACACTTCATTACTTCATGGTGATCCTGCAATTACGTTACACCCACGATCGCCTCCAAGGCCTATTGGTGGCGTTAGTAGTTCTCCCATATACACTCCTAAAGCCAAAACCAAAGCTATTGCAAATGAAGCCAAGTCTACTTTGAAAGACGAACTTTTATTATCAGAATCAAGTGCAGGTGCAGAATCAGATTCGAGCGCTGTTATCTTTGACCAGCCCGTTAGCAAGAAGTCTGGTGTCCTGACGTTTGTTCCCGCGCAAGTTGGCACTCTTGACGCAAGGACAAATCATTGCGAGACCCCTTCTTCCTCATTTGACGAAAAGGATTCGACATTGACGTCGGATGCCTTCAAGAATGTCATTTCTACTTCAGCTGGCATTCGCGTCCTTCCTGCCACCTACTCGACGGCAACAGACCGCAGGATCGGGCTAATGACCCGTTTGCTCAAAGACTTTCCTGAGTATGCTCAGCTTGTGTCTCAAGTGGGACACTCTTCAAAATCCAACAAGAAGTGTGTCGAATCTCGCCCTATCCATGTTTTTGTCGACATGTCTAACGTGCGCATCGTTACATTCCCCTTTACCCTTTGGTCTAAGCTAACATGCGGTTAGATAATGGTGGGATTCCACGATTCGGTAAAAGTGTCGCGGAACATTCCTGTCACAACGCGGATTCGCCGTCTTCATATGTCCTTCTCGAATTTCTCCTTGATCATGGAACGTGGCCGTCCGGCCGCCAAGCGAGTCTTGGTCGGCTCCGACAGGTTACCCTCCATTGACGAAGCCGAAAAACTCGGCTACGAAGCTAATATCCTCGACCGTGTCCACAAAGTCAAGCACACGACACCACGTCCACCCAAGTTCAAGAAAGCTTCTGGCTTCGCCTCTCAAGCGGCGCTAGGACCTGAAATGGCCGGCGCCAGTGGAGAGCGATGGGTCGAACAGGGTGTGGACGAAATTTTGCACCTGAAGATCCTAGAAAGCTTGTTGGACACGGATGAGCCGGCGACGATTGTGCTGGCGACTGGCGACGCGGCGGAAGCTGAATACTCTGGTGGATTTATGCTCATGGTCGAACGCGCTCTACAGCGTGGCTGGGCTCTCGAGCTGGTGAGCTTCTCCCAGGTCACTAGCTATGCATACCGGAAGAAAGAGTTTCGGGCCAAATGGGGTCATCGCTTCCGGATGATCGAACTAGATTCTTACGTAGAGGAACTCTTTGATTGAATGATGTTCAGCTGTGATCCATGTGGATTGAGGTCCAATTTCGGCTTTGATATTTTTTGATGGTAGCACAGGTGCCTATTGGCCTACTTCATCTATTAATATATTGCTTAGACTGAAATAATCCCGAATGATCGGTTGCTGCTAGTTTTGAAGTCAATCGTAAATGAACTTGTCTGGGAATCGATTATTCCTTCGTAGCTGTTTAGTGATGCGGCTCCCGTGGAATCAACAGGCGGGTCGGCGCAACACGTCATTGGGTGGAGGACAACTTCCCGCAACTGCTGCCTCGCACGCACGCATATCAGCATAAATCAACTTAGGACCCTTCTGAAGAGTAACTTCTCTCGTTCTCTATTTCTGTTTCAACTGCTGTCACTGTCGGCTGTCTAGCCACAAGGTTGCGAAATCTGCGAATAGCCCAGAAAACATAAGCTCTTGTGCACCAACTTGACATCAAAATTCTATATTGGAGAGCTTGCACCGTCTTTTACGGCCCATTGGGACTTCGCCGACGTTACAAGCAGCGCAAAAACGGCGCAAGCCCTAGGACGCAATTTTACGTGTCTATCACGACTGGTCAATCCACTGACTGTCAATGGCGCAAGTTACAGAGCAGGAGTTTTTTGGCGGGGCGATCCGCGGGGTTGTGCCGCAAGGCTGGATTGATGCCAGGTGAGTTGAGCCTCAGTTTCAGCATCTAGATATCTTCCTACACTCCTCCGTCTATTGCATTTGATCTAATATACCAAATGTATACGCTCTCTTTAAACCACATGTTCCTTGAACTCCTATATTCCCGTGCATACCTTTATCAACGAGAAGGGAAAAAAATTTCCTGACCATGACGCTGACCTACGCAACAGCACTCTTCGTGAAATCCCAGACCACCAGGAACTCTTCCTATCGCCAGCTACGCTCTCGAATTTAATCATTGAAATCAATCAGCGCGTCTCCCAAGACAACGCCCTCGGTATCTTCGCCACCTACAGCCACCAGCACCCCACGCTTGCTGCTGGAGGCGGCAGCGCATCTAACGTCACATCCGAGACCGTTGATAAGGCTGCTGCGCTGTACCATCTCCATGATCTGTGCGACGAAGGCGATGCCATGCAGGTAGTCACCCCGCCGACGCGGGTCACGCTGACTCGTCTGAGCGATTCCGCATCGCCAGGCTCGCCAGTCACCGCGTACAAGGGCGTGGTAACATTCTCGTCTCCGTCGCGTCAACGGGGTGGTCATTTTCCTGGGTCATCTAATGGGATCCCGACCGCCGCGGCGGATTCAGCAGTCGCTGGTGCAACGGTCAACGGGACCTCCGGGCAAGCAATGTCGAAGATGACTTGTCATTATCTCCTGATGCGGTTGGAGGCGCAGGACACAGATTTGCTGGCTTTCTTCAATGTGCCGCATGAGGAGTTTGATAGGAGTGGAAACCCACGGGGGCTCTCAAGGGAGGAGGCTATTGCAGAGGAGACGATCGGTGGGTTGGCGAACCAATTGGAAATTCGGGACTGGGGGCTTTTTGTCTAAGCGTGAATCTTTGGAGAGCTCTGAGGCTGGATTTGTGATTGTGGTCAACATGTTGGATAAAAGTAAGGGTAGATGGCTGATCTGGCGGTATGTTGCGCTGCGAAGGGCGTTTGCTGAGCACGAGATGAATATAACTAGTTAAGTCTAATTAGGTAGTCAATTAAATCAATGAAATCGATGAAATAGTAGATTGAAATGGTATGTACAGAGATATTTGAGAATGGCAGTCGCTAGTATGAATATCTGCATGCGCAATCTGATGCAAAGAGTTGTAAAAAAAAAAATAAGGCTCAAGCGGGGACAACTAATCAAAAATCTGAAACAAAATCTTCAAACTCCCAAAATGCCGGCAAATAAACATCAAACAAAACTCAAATAAATCACAGGGTCAATTTCTCTAGATCGATCGACACCTCCTCCAACACTACCTTCGTGCCAGGAGTTGTGTTCTTCTTCGGCGACACATTCCGCGGCTTTGGCTTGATTTGCTCCAGAGTACCACGGCAAGTACTATTGCCGCAGCGGTGGTTAGAGGTGATACTCTTCGAGTGACGGCCATATTCCAGCCCGCATCCATTGCAGCTCCATACATATTTGTAATCGATCTTGTAGGTGTGCTTTGTTGTCACATGGAGTTGGCCGCCGTAAAGTGGATGGTCCTTCAATGCCTCCTCGCACTTTTTCCCCCATTGCTTGAAGCTAGCCCCATGAGGGTTATCATGGACATTAGAGACCATGTAGTTGGCAAGATGACAATACTCATGAGCTAAGGTGTTGATAAGTCGGTACTCATCAACAATGATACGCTCGGCGAGCTCAATAGTGGCATGGTGTCGAATTTTCCTCGGCCCTTCTGGCCGCCCATCAATGCTTCGTGACACCTGTCGTTCGCCTTTCCATTGGGCTCGTCCGGCAGTTTTCTGTAAGGTCTTGGACCAGACGATTTTCACACCTCCAGTAGGCTCAGCCAGCCGGGTGACTTGGCTTCCAGCTACCGCCTCATCTAACACACCAAGGAAGGTTAGGGCAAATTCAGCCTTCTTATTATCAAACGACAATCGACGGGCTTTGGCGGCTCTCTTTTTCTCTGCCTCCATTCTTTTCAACGCAGTTTTGCTGAGTGTCTTGGGCGTCTTATGGCGCACTTGCGACATGGGATCGGGCTCGCTGCTTGTGCCAGAATCGCGGCTACTGCCCTCGTTCTCGGAGTCATCAAAGTCCTGGAGAAGTTCAATCACAGTTCGTTTGGGTGACGTCTCCTTACGGGGGGAGTGCTCGTCAATCCAGTCAAAAGTGTCCCCCTGGCTCCAGAAGGCGTCGCTGCTCTCGCGATGGGGGGTTGGTGGAATGCGAATCTTCTTTTTCGTCGGAGATCGCAGACGGTTGCGCGATGGGCTGGCTGGGGGTGTCTTTAACTTCCGTTCCATTGGCTGTGGACCTGTAGGCAAATCTTCCAGGTCTATGGTAGAGCTAATTTTATTGTTAGCAAGGTGTTGACCAGCTATTAAAGGAAAGCACTGGGAGCTCATACCTTGTGGGGCTTGCACAAAATTGAGGGACTGGCTCACTAGTATTATCTAGATCCAATTTCCTCAATCTTGTAGGGACCTCAAAGTCATCCTGAAACAGGTGTTTAGGACTGTTTTTGGAGGATGGCAGTTTTACTGCGTCGGGAACTTTGGGATCCAGCTGAAGGGGAGTATTCCATGGTGCCTCAACTGAGGTCTTGCTTCCAACATCAAAACCAGGCCTTCTGCCTCTTAAAAGCCTCCTTCGCGTGCTTGGTGGCGGCGGAGGTGGTGTTGGTTCTTTTGCATGCTCGCCGTCTGTGTCAGAACCAGATGTCCCGTGGAAGCTGAGATCTTCATTGTCACTGACGATAAAGTCATCCAGTGAGTTAAAGCTATTGTCTCCACAACTGTCTTCTTGCTCGGATTCTAAACCCCGCTGGCTCAATGGGGTCCTAGCCCGTCGGTTTCTTGGAGTTCGCGGCATGTTTCGTCTCATTGTCGACCGTTGCGTGGTAGACGCCATGGTCGCTGCGTCCACTTCTGACCAATTGTCTGCAATATCGTTCTCCTTTTCATAGTCATCTGTTTCCACTTTGATACTGGGCCTTTGGCGCTGATGCGGTTGAAGGGGAAGTAGAAGCGAGTTTAGGTTCGTGGCTGTGAGAGCTCTGCTTCTATTCTGTTTCCTGGGAGAGCTAGATGTCTCTTGTTCCAGCTCAGCTTTTCCATTCTGAAGCGCAAAATCACCGTCGGCGAGAATATCGAAAACGGCACCTGACCCCCTGCTTTGTCTTTGTGACGAGCTTCTTGATTGTGTGCTTGGGCGATCTCTTAAAAATTCAGCACCGGTGCTGATCAATCTGACCTCTGAATTCTTCAGATGTGAATCAATTTGTTCTTTGAGGCCCTTCTTTCGTTGGGGGGCGTTGTTGGTCAACGGGTTGGCTGTGTTGATTCGTGCCATCGCTTTCGGGGTCCCCGGGAGGTTCGGGTCGGCAAGTGGTTCACCTGGAACACAGTAAAGTATGATGAAAGAAGATCTGTCAAAGAATTTTTGACTAGCAGAGCTTTTCTCTGGGCTTCGGATGTCCTTTGTCGGCCCTCTGCTCGTGACTGGTGGCTATGAGGCTTAGTGACAGGGTTCGACAGTGCATGAGTGACAGGCGGGGGGTGCTGTTGGAAGCCGTTGGCACGGCAACCATGATCTCTCTCACTTCACTTAATCATAACATCTATATATGAGAACGCACTACGTTTTCTTTAGCATGAATCCTCTACAATCACTTCAGCAGATGCTCTATAGCATTCTGTAAAATTTGGCTTAATTTCGGATAAGCTAGACTTGTAGTTTCTGCAACCCTATGGATGCTCAGAAGCTAGGCCTTCTAATGAGCCAAAATTGGAAGACTGAGATTGAGGCAACCAGTTTGGTTTTTGGAAAATTTTTCTTTAGACTGGGATGCTATTCCAGCTAATATTGAACATGAAAGGGGTAAATGTGGAAATAGACCTTTATATGTGAGCGGTCCCATGTGGCTATACTTTTGAGAAAAACAACGATGCGATGTATAATTGCGACCTAGGATGTAGCTAATTTACTCCTGCAAGATGTCAATACTAAAATTTAATCACATAAAGAAAGGCCAAGTTTAGGCTTATGAAGTTTTTTTATCAGTGATCAGTTCGTAAACTCCTTGTAGCTGTATCGGATGGATCTTTGGATTTCGTAATCTTAATCCTTTTGACTTCGCCTATGTTTTTTCTTGATAATTTTGATATAAATATTCCAATGTGCTAAAAATAGCTGTTATGGCAATCCAAAAAAATGAGTATCTTCGTTGTCGTCTATATCATCTATTTGTCTAATTTTTCACTATATTCCTAGAGTCTGTGAAATGGCATTACTGATTCTGGAGAAACTTCACAGCTAGCCGGGCTAAGAAAAGAGCACAAAATGGGTGCATAGTAAAAAAAAAAAGCACTTGCAAGGTCTTGCATTTTACAATAATTAATCATAACCCTTATGCATGTATTCTCCCTAGGTATAGTGGTCTGAACAGCGAACCTCTGCCACCCTTTTGTCTTATTTAAAACAAAACCTCAGTATATTGCTTAATTCAAGGAACCCATTTCCTTTTGCTGGAGACAAATCATCTTGCTTTGGCCCTAATCCAAGCCAAAGTTTGGTGAACGGGCTCTCTCTTAGGCGTAATAGCTGATTACACTGCATATAGACTGATGTGTATTCATTAGATGGCTGAGAAGCTGGACTCTATATGAGTTCAGTTTCATTGAACTCAGAATTACAAGAATATCGGAGCTCTAATACCGCATGTTGGATAAATTTAGAGACTTGAACGTTTATATTTACAGATTTCTCTCGGCTCGCAAGGCTGCCGTTCTCGGTCTTCTGATACGCTTTTCATCTTCATTGAATCTGTGGGGTTCAGTATTTTTTTAATAGCCTATATTAGCCTCAGTATGAATCTCTAGGAATATAGAGGGTTAAGATATCACTCATGTCACCCCCATCAAAGGAAAACTGGCAAAGACCGGTGTCCTCCAGCGGGCTCGGCTATCCGCCGTAGATTCACAGCTAAATCGGGGCTACTGTTATCCATGGCCCCAGCTCATAATTATTTATTTAAACCACTGAATTCTAGCCTGATGAGCAACTTGAAATAAACCATGGACAAGGTAAAGTTTGGGGCAGCAAATATACTTACCTCTTCCATGGAAACCAGAGATTCTCTCCGAAATCCTGCAAAGGTTTTCAACAACAATGTATAAAGAAATCGAACATCCATCTAAACAATCAAACCGTTGGCTTGAATTCTCCAATTAAGACTGCTAATGCCGCTAACTGAATCATTATAGCTCTACAAAAAAAACCCTAGATCGGGTTCAGGTCTGGCGAGTAAAGTAGTAGTAGATATAAGCTTAGTTCCGTTATCAGAACACTCTTGCTCAATTCACTCAGTGTCGTGAAAAAAATTAAATAAAACATGAGAGATTATTTGGACTCAGTGTATTACTATATGAAATCCTTGATCAAATTTTTAAGAAACGAGGCATTTGCAGAACTTCCTTGAAAGGCACGCGAAACTTAAGGTCATAGTTATTTACGCAACTATCAAGATGACGTGACTAGTCAATGAGATTTGCGCGGCTATTAATCGCTTTGCTTTTATCTCCTTCGCATTCTTTCCAATTTTGTAATTTGCACCGTGAACTTGTCTCCTAGTACATCATCTTTTGCTGGTATGTATAGCCTTCTCGGGGTATTCTGTGCCTCTTTTTAACCGCTTGTAAGTGCTGTCTATGCAAGGGAGAGAAACCTATCCTTAATAAAGGCTTTGCCCAACCCAACCCAACATACGTATAATCATGAATGGATCCACTGGTATCAAGTGTCTACGTAAGCGGTCAATTTTAGGCAGTGATTCTTACCAAGAACGGTTAGCCGCTAATGTGTCTCCAGCAAAAATATTATTAAGCGGCGTGATTGCCAGTTCTCATTGATTGCTACTAGATACCACTAACTCTTTTGGGAGCCCCTGTGGATAATTCCTGATCCGATATCCTTTAGCTTGCGACAAGCCAGAGAAGTCGGTGTTTATAACTTGGATTCAGAATAATCGGGAGGCTGGGCGAGCTGAAGGTCTTTTCTACAAATGGAATCATTTACTCTGTAGCTGTATTTAGTTTTATTCCATTCTCAAACTCAGTATCGACGAAGAGTCTATTTTGCAATATCTCATTCAATTTTTTTACCATTATAACCATTGCGGCCAAAATGCCGAGTTCTTCTAAATATGCAGCTGCAGTGCTAGCCGCACTCATTTCATTATCCTCTGCTCAATCACATACCAACTGCGATCCTATGGACAAGACTTGTCCAGCGGACGAGGGCTCAACGACTTCAACATTCAGTTACGACTTCACACAAAGCTCGGATCTCAGCCAGTGGAACACAACTTCTGGAACTGTGACCAGCAGTGAAAATGGTGCAGAGTTCACTATCAACGAGAAAGGCGATTCCCCAACCATTCAGACTGAATTCTATATCTTTTTTGGAGAAGTCACAGTCACCATGCAAGCTGCTCCTGGTACTGGCATTGTCAGTTCGGCGATTCTGGAGTCTGATGATCTTGATGAAGTTGACTGGGTGAGTTATTCCTAGTCAGACAAGCAGTCCAGTCTGCAATACTGATCATTCTTATAAAATTAGGAAATGCTAGGTGGCTACACAACCAAGATTCAAACGGATTATTATGGAAAGGGAGACAGTGGTGATTACGGTCGCTGGACCTGGGTGAATGTTTCAAATCCCCAGACCAACTTTTACACCTATAAATGGGTCTGGACTGAGGAACAGCTTACATGGTCTATTGACGGTACTGTCGTTCGCACCCTCAAATATGAAGACGCTGTCAACGGCACACGTTACCCACAAACCCCAATGACAGTTCGTCTTGGTATTTGGGCTGGTGGCGATTCTGATAATGCTGAAGGTACGATCGAGTGGGCTGGTGGTGAAACCGATTACTCAGATGGCCCATACACCATGTATGTCAAATCGGTCGATATTGTGAGCTATTACCCAGCCGAATCATACAACTACACGGATAAGTCAGGGTCAATGGACAGCATCGACATCATTGGTAGTGTTTCAGGGACCACATCTGTATCAAGCCCTAGCACATCATCTACCTCTTCAGCATCGTCACAGTCATCCGACTCGTTTATCACCTGGGCCTCAAGTGCTACCCCAACGGTCATCGCTCCGGCTGCCTCTTTGGGCTTTACTGGTAGCCTGGGCACCCTTTCCGTGATGATCATGGCCTTCATGATCATTTTGTCCTTCGTTTGAAGAGATATTTATTTTGAAGTATGCTGGGAGAGACATAGGTGCCAATGATGGATATTGATGGGTACCAAGCATGTACAGATAGCAAATGTTTTATAAAAAGATAGCCGAAGATAGAAGGGGACCCTACTGAACTAGGTAGTTCTGCGGCTCCTCGAAAGCATGACTTTAACGAATATGAAATGTATGAAATGTTGACATGAGCACTCGAGTTTTCAAGGTCTTTTCAAATTTCATGCCCATCAATAATATTCGACGTACGACCAGGAATCAATCGTCATCCCGAGATCTCGTCCCATGTTGAAAAAAGGCTTCCTAAAATGTGAGGGACTGAGCCAAGCTTAGTCCTATATTGTCAATAACTACATGGGGCCCGAGGGACAGAATAACCAGTAGACTTTTAATTCTTATCGGCAATAATGGATGTTCAGATAAAAGGTACCTGCTTTGAGAGTGGATGATTTTCTGGGGTTTCAATTAATAATCCATTGATTGATGTACTTTGCACAGCTGCTTACCAGTAGAATTCGATACATGGTATATATAAATATGTCACTACTTTCAGTGAATATGTATCAATACGTCAATACGGCAAGGATCACATAGCACCAGCATCGTATTTTCAACCCAGACATAGTATCTATTCCCTCTATTTCCCGAGAAGCAACACTATTATAAATACTATGATCTTGCTCAAGCCAGTAACATGAGGACCAGGAACGTCTCGAGTCTCTGTGCTGAGCTGAGCAGCCGAAGATTCATCTCACACGTCTTTGAATTATATCAAGCCATATAAAACTACGGATAAAGACAGAAAGGGTATTGATAGTTTCAATCATTTGAAGAAAACACCCGGGAAACTAAATATATATTTTCAGTGGTTTCGTTGTATGCCCGATGAGAATAACTCGACAATGTGCCTCTAGACCAAAACTAAACATTTAATGAATTCCTGCTATGTATTCAATACCTAGAACGACCCTTAAAGATGGGATCCCACAACTCGGATAGAAGAAGGAAATGTTTCGATTTGAGGTGCCACACGGAAGCTTTGGGATCAACCAAGGCACCAGGTCCGGGATCACATCGAAAATGAATCTGAAACTTACAGCATATAGCGGGACACCGAACGCGAGGATGGTGCATGGACCTGCAGCAGACCGCCAGCAGAGTCGCCAACAACGAAGATACCGGATCCAGTATGCCCGAGCCCGATTGCCATGCAGAACTCCGTGGAATGGAGGACCTTTCGAAATATGCCGATCCTTTCGCGAAGCTCTGCACTGAAGGAACCTTGGTTCCTAGATCTGCAAGCTCCATCCGGTCATGGACTGTTGACAACGGCGGATCTTTTCAGTCCATTCCTTTCCCATGTCGTGTCGGAGATCGACGTCCCCTTGCCTCCCGAAGCCGCAGAATAAGCACCAAGCCACCCGGGCGGGGGCTGGGCCGGGGAGGGAGGGGGGGGGTGGGCAGAGCGAGTCATGGAAATCGAGTCGGAAGAAAGACCGATTCCCTGGATATGTTGATGCGTACACATGATGTATAGCTTACAGGGTGAGATAATACGACAGCTGTTTATGATACCTCGACCAAGGATTATACTCCGTCGACTACGCTACATAGTCCCAACGTGGGCAGTCTCGCATGGGCAATAAGATTCAGAGTAATTCTTCTATTGCATATTAATTCAACAATGATGGTATACCGCACACAGAACATCATTGACAATGTGTTGCCTGGAATCCTTTTTCCGCGACTCCAGTCTTGTTGGTCCCACGATTGGCTCTTGATCACGTTGGTTCATGGCCCCTTCGGTGGAGAAAGGCGGCCCAGGCTGTGTATGTCTGTACATAGTATGTCCATTTTGGTGGCACTGCCCCCTGATGACTAAATCTGAATGTGCCAATGAGGACCAACTCCTGAGTATCAGATGCTGCAGTAGACTAGAACCAACTCTTCCTCCCAAGACCCATGCTAAAGAAAGAGACCCTCTCCCCCTGATTCAGGGGAAGGGAAGAAGCGGACCGGAGGGTGCCGTAATGCCGAACACGCCCAGTTGGCGCCATTGACGCCGGTGGCTCCTTAATTGCCATGACCTAGAAGAAATGGATGACTTCGCGAAGGATGATTCCAGCCACACCTAAGCCCAAAGAGGCCAAGAGGGATCTAAACATCGGGTATTGTAAGAGGAGCGGGTCAATACAATAAACTTGCAACACTAGAACCAGCCCTAGACCCTTCGAATGTCAAGTTATTTTTGGCCGGGTGATCAGCCAGAACCCCAGTCCCGATAGAAAATGGAGCCCGGCGAGACGACCCTGAGCGTGTGAAAAGGAGGATACTGACAGAGAGGAAGTTATAGTGTGGCCACGGATTAGTTGTCGTCTGGAATGACATGGAACAGGGGGAAGGCAAATTTGAGTGTTACGCGCCCCATGCAGTGGACGTATCGTTCCTGCGACCTGCAGCGGGCAAACGGGGGCTGCCTGCATGTCCAAGATTATGTGGTGCACTATAATTCCCTCCGGTCGCGCATCGGGCGTGTCTTGTCTAAATGGGGACTTCGTGAAGCGTCTTAACAAAATATGTCGTCTGTAATTAGGTCTGTGGTGTATCTCTGTCCGAGGACCAGAGTACCTAGAACTACCCTATATATTGTACTCGGTACAGTATCATGGCATGATCTCCTGATGGAGTGAGGATATACCGACAAGACCATTGGAGATAGAATTTGTGGCAGCCCTAAGCTTCTGGGGTGGCTGGTTGATGCATAGAGGATTCGCAGCGTATTGCGTATGCAGCCCCCCCCTCCCTCCGGCTGTCTTCTCGGCTGGACCGCGAGCCCCCAGTCGAGGCTCCGGATCAGAAAAATAAAAGCATTAGTGATCCACTTGAGTTGGTGAGAGAAAGAAAAAAAAGATGGGTCGGTAGTGGAGATTAGCTGCGACTCTTTCTGATACCGCATTACTGTACCTGGTGGGTTGGATACACCGTACGGGAGGTACCGTACATACAGCCGTGACTCGTCATCTGTTGGGTCAGAAGCCAGGTTGGTGTGCTGCATATCCAGAATCCAGATTTATAGCATCTGGGCATAGTCAGGTTTACGTGGAGATGTATTTGTGCAGGAAAAAATGATTGTTGAAATGATACTCGATAGTAGAAAATATTGGTTCTGCGAAGCGTGAGATATATATCGCAACCTCATTGGGTCTAATATGGCCTGTTGCACTACATAGAATATATATTAAGAAAGACTCTTATCACAGAAGCGGGACATATCCAACCGGCTTGCCAACCGAACAAGACATATATCCCATCTATATTATACAGATAGACTTTATTGATAGATATGACTAGAGTGAAGGATTTTTTATCATGACTTGTTCCCGGCTCACTACTCCGTACTCTGTCTGTCTTCTCTCCCCTGGAGGCAGATCCAAGAAAAAGGTGCCACAATGGTTTTCCACCGATAACCGGTTTTTGAGCGACGAGACCAAGGAGCGTGTAGTTGGTGGGGGGGTTAACTACATCCAGACCAGTGCAGGGCTATTAATGGCTATGCGCTGGTCTCAGTCCGGGATAGCGCAACGGTGGACGGAAAAAAAAGTCAAAAGCAGTACATTTCTGAAATGGTGTCGGACGCTAAGAATCGACTAAGGGTATTGAGTGTAATATTGCGGTGGCAAATTGAGTGTGTTAGCGTGGAAAATCCATGTCTGTCCACTAGTGAAGAGGAATGAACAGCCTCAAAAGCAATTTGAAGGACGATCATCATCCTAAGCGACTAAGAAAAGAAACAAGCCTAAAGTGTGGTAGGCAAATCGTAGGGGAGCAGTGTGTGCTCATCCCAGGGAAACCCGGTGGAAAGTGGTTCCTATCGCTTGCGCGCCATGGTTCGGTCGCGGTGGACGCGCCCGAGTCTTTGTCAACCAGTTCAACCGTATTGGGAATTCATTAAACCATGAGGGGCCTCATCGTTTGAACGATGAGATACTGTCGCCATCCCCCTCTGTCTCTCTGTTGGGAGGCGACGTGTTGGACAACGGGAAATACCGAATGGCGAGGCCCAGCCCCGTAGAAACGAGGAATGAAAAACAAGTACCGATGCAACGCCATCCCTGCATGCCGTGGGTGGTAACAACAACAAGGCACAGGCAAATCAGGGCCTCGCGGAAGCCCAGTTGCTGGTCCATCACAGGTATCCCCGATGAAAATACCCGCCCCGACCGCATAATTCGTTACCTGGAATACATGCTGGGCGACATGGTGGGGCATGTTTCAGGGGCCGTCGCAATTCCTTTGGAATCCGACGCTCATCGGGCATTGTCATTGGATGAAGTGCGCGGTGGAGAGACAGCTGCATTAGCGATGATTGGCCGATAGGAATCAGAGATGAGATTTGTCGATTTGTCGATTCGTAGGTACTGGTTGGACAACAACGGGTATTGGGAACGGGACCGAGCCGGGGCCAACGTGGAGAGTGTGTGCAGTGGAAGTTGTTCGTGGGAAGTTGAACAGGCCCCTGAACAGGGAAGGGGGAGTCACGACCCCCGTCCTGTCTCGTACGGCCTGTACGGCCTGTATGGGTTGTATTGTTTGTATGAGCTGTATCAATCCACAGTGTGTTCTGTCGACTGGGGAGCCCTCAGGTACCGGGTACTGTACGGACACTGTGTTTCTGCTCTGTACACGCGGTACTTGTGCAGCCACAGGGGCTACTCCGCTGGGCCACATACGTGTACACAGTACACGTCGGCCAGCCCATCCCTCTCTGTACGCTGATGACTGCTGTATGTGGATGACCGTAAATTAGCTCCAGCAATCCCCCCATCCCAAAATAACAGCACAGCCAATATTTTCCCTCCTTCCTCGCAATCTCCCTCCTCCTCTCAACGCCCCCCCCCTTCCCATTCCCTTCGCTTTCTTCTTCATCCATCCTTTCTTCGGTGACTCTCTTTTTTTGGACGGAAGGTCCGGAGTAGGAAGTGTTGCTACTGTTGCTCTCTGTTCGCGATTGCCGTGGGGATTCCCTGAACACCGACAGGTGATCCTGTTCGTTCGTTACACCTCCGATCGAGTTTGAGACTCGCGGATTCGGGATCTTCGTGTTAGCTCGGCTTCCCTTTTTCTTCGCCCTACGCCGTTACGGATTTCTACGCCATTCGTTCTTTGTCGATGCTGCCATAATTTCAATCCAACCACTCAACCCCTTTCAACTTCAATAGCTAATACTGTGACGGGTCGCGATTGAGGTAAGCACCTCCCTCCTGTCTTCCCACCCCCGACAACCCGGTTTCACTATCAGTTCCGTCGAAACGACAAATGCCGTGGAGGCTCTAGCCTCGCAGTGGACTGATTGGGCGTGCGTTTTCTTCCAGAGCTCGAATTCAGCGATCGATTGCGACTCTTTCGTCATGTCGGGCTACCAGCAAGGCCATTATGATGATGGCTACGGCCACCCGGCAGGTCATGGCGACTCCTACTATCAGGATGAGCACCAACAGGGGTACTATGACAACCAGGAATATGGCGATGGCTATTACGACCACGGCGGGTATGCACAAACTCCTGGAACTAGAAATCGTCGGGATACACCGCTGACAGTGAATCTTCAGGAACGCTCAAGGTCAACACTACGCCCAGGATGCCGGTGGTCATGGGTATGCCGATGGCGGATACTATGACGCCGGTCACCAGCAGGATGAGTACTACGCTGACCAGTACTATGATGCGGGCCAGGCCGGCTATGGCCGGGGACGACGTGGCCATGATTCCGAAGAGGATTCCGAGACCTTTAGCGATTTCACCATGAGGTCGGAAACGGCCCGTGCTGCTGATATGGACTATTATGGCCGCGGAGATGAGCGTTATAATAGCTACACCGACAGCCAGTATGGCCGTGGTGGCTATGGCTATCGCCCGCCCTCCTCCCAGGTCTCTTACGGTGGTAACCGGTCATCGGGTGCATCCACCCCGGTCTATGGTATGGACTATGGAAACGCGTTGCCGGCTGGCCAGCGTTCGCGGGAACCCTACCCTGCCTGGACCTCGGATGCCCAGATTCCACTATCCAAGGAGGAGCTAGAGGACATTTTCCTCGACCTGGTAAACAAGTTCGGTTTCCAGCGGGATAGCATGCGGAACATGTACGACCATATGATGACCCTGCTTGACTCGAGGGCGTCCCGTATGACTCCCAACCAGGCTTTGCTCTCCTTGCACGCTGACTACATTGGTGGCCACAATGCCAACTACCGCCGCTGGTACTTTGCGGCCCACCTTGACCTTGATGACGCAGTTGGATTTGCAAACATGAAGTTGGGCAAGGCGGATCGCAAGACCCGGAAGGCTCGCAAGGCTGCCAAGAAGGCTGCCCAGCAGAACCCCGAGAACGAGGAGGAGACTCTTGAGGCCCTGGAGGGTGACAACAGCCTGGAGGCTGCAGAATACCGATGGAAGTCTCGCATGAACCGCATGTCTCAGCATGATCGTGCGCGGCAAATCGCACTGTATCTGCTCATTTGGGGTGAAGCAAACCAGGTTCGCTTTTTGCCTGAGTGTATCTGTTTCATTTTCAAGTGCGCCGACGACTACTATGTCTCCCCCGAATGCCAAAATCGCACAGAGCCTGTTGAGGAATTCACTTACCTCAATGAAATCATCACCCCCTCTATCAGTTCTGCCGTGACCAAGGTTACGAGATCTCCGACGGCAAGTATGTCCGCCGCGAGCGTGACCACAACCAAATTATCGGTTATGACGACATGAACCAGCTCTTTTGGTACCCCGAAGGCATTGAGCGCATCAGCTTTGAGGATAAGACCCGGCTAGTAGATATTCCCCCTGCCCAGCGTTGGCCAAAGCTGAAGGATGTCCTGTGGAAGAAGGCGTTCTTCAAGACCTACAAAGAGACACGTTCTTGGTTCCACATGGTTACCAACTTCAACCGTATTTGGGTGATTCACTTGTGCTCTTTCTGGTTCTTCACTGCTTACAACGCCCCGACTCTGTATACTCCCAACTACCAGCAGCAATGGGACAACAAGCCCTCCACCGCCAAGTACTTGGCTGCTGTTGGTTTTGGTGGTGCACTTGCTGCCTTCATTCAAATCTTCGCGACCATTTGCGAGTGGTTGTATGTTCCACGTCGCTGGGCTGGTGCTCAGCATCTGCGCAAGCGTTTCTTCTTCCTTCTCGCCGTCTTCGTCGTCAACCTCGTTCCCGGTGTTATTATTTTCGGCTTTCTGTCTGACCTCGGAAGCGAGAGTGTTCAAAAGCCGGTTGGCCTTGCCCTTGGTATCGTTCACTTCGTCATTGCCCTTCTTACTGCCACATTCTTCGCAATTCAGCCTTTGGGTGCGCTGTTTGGTAGCTACATGAAGAAGAATGGTCGTCAGTATGTGGCCAGCCAGACTTTCACAGCAAGTTTCCCTCGTCTTCAGGGCAATGACATGTGGATGTCGTACGGCCTATGGGTTTGCGTTTTCGGTGCCAAGCTTGCAGAGTCTTACTTCTTCCTGACTCTGTCGTTCAAGGATCCTATCCGCATCTTGTCTCCCATGACAATCTACGAGTGCACTGGTGTTAAATACGTGGGCAACATTTTGTGCCACAAGCAACCTCAGATTCTCCTCGGTCTCATGTTTTTCATGGACTTGACGCTGTTCTTCCTTGACAGTTATCTGTGGTACATTATCTGCAACACCATCTTCTCGGTGGCCCGCTCGTTTTATCTTGGTGTCTCGATTTGGTCTCCGTGGAGAAACATCTTCTCCCGTCTTCCCAAGCGTATCTACTCCAAGGTCCTCGCAACCACCGACATGGAAATCAAGTACAAGCCTAAGGTCCTCATTTCTCAGGTGTGGAATGCCATCATCATTTCCATGTACCGTGAGCACCTGCTTGCCATCGACCATGTGCAGAAGCTCCTCTACCACCAGGTTCCCTCCGAGCAGGAAGGCAAGCGCACTTTACGTGCGCCTACTTTCTTCGTCTCACAAGAAGATCAGTCTTTCAAGACGGAGTTTTTCCCTGCTGGCAGCGAGGCTGAACGCCGTATCTCCTTCTTCGCCCAGTCTCTGTCCACTCCCATGCCTGAGCCTCTGCCGGTGGATAACATGCCCACTTTCAGTGTTCTGATTCCTCACTACGGTGAGAAGATTCTCCTGTCTCTTCGAGAAATCATTCGTGAGGACGAGCCCTACTCCCGTGTTACCCTGCTGGAATATCTGAAGCAACTCCACCCTCATGAGTGGGATTGTTTCGTCAAGGACACCAAGATTCTGGCGGACGAGACCTCTCAATTCAATGGCGAATATGGCGAGAAAGGAGAGAAGGATGCTGCCAAGAGCAAGATCGATGATCTTCCTTTCTACTGCATTGGTTTCAAGTCTGCTGCTCCCGAGTACACCCTCCGTACCCGTATCTGGGCTTCGCTTCGTTCCCAGACTCTTTACCGTACCGTCTCTGGCTTCATGAACTATAGTCGTGCCATCAAGCTTCTGTACCGTGTTGAGAACCCTGAAGTTGTTCAGATGTTTGGTGGAAACTCCGAAAAGCTCGAACGTGAGCTCGAACGCATGGCCCGCCGCAAGTTCCGTATTTGTGTCTCTATGCAGCGTTACGCGAAGTTCAACAAGGACGAGCGTGAGAACACTGAGTTCCTTCTCCGCGCCTACCCTGACCTCCAAATTGCGTATCTTGATGAGGAGGCCCCAGAGAACGAGGGTGATGAGCCTCGCCTATACTCTTCTTTGATTGACGGTCACTGTGAACTCCTGGAGAACGGCATGCGCAAGCCCAAGTTCCGCATTCAGCTGTCCGGTAACCCCATCCTCGGTGACGGAAAATCCGACAACCAGAACCACTCCATCATCTTCTACCGCGGTGAATACATTCAACTTATTGATGCCAACCAAGACAACTATCTCGAAGAGTGCTTGAAGATCCGCAGTGTATTGGCTGAGTTTGAAGAGCTGACCACTGACAATGTTTCGCCTTACACGCCTGGTATTCCCTCGCCTGAGTCCAATCCAGTTGCCATTCTCGGTGCCCGTGAATACATTTTCTCTGAGAACATTGGCATGCTCGGTGACGTTGCGGCCTCGAAGGAACAAACATTCGGTACTCTGTTCGCCCGTACTCTGGCTCAGATCGGCGGTAAGCTGCATTATGGTCACCCTGATTTCCTGAATGCTACCTTCATGACCACACGTGGTGGTGTGTCCAAGGCCCAGAAGGGTCTCCACCTGAACGAGGATATCTATGCCGGTATGAACGCTATTCTCCGAGGTGGTCGCATCAAGCACTGTGAATACTTCCAGTGTGGTAAGGGTCGTGATTTGGGTTTCGGTTCCATTTTGAACTTCACTACCAAGATTGGTACCGGTATGGGTGAGCAGATGCTTTCTCGTGAATACTATTACCTCGGTACCCAACTGCCTCTCGACCGCTTCTTGTCTTTCTACTACGCCCATCCCGGTTTCCACTTGAACAACATGTTCATTATGCTTTCTGTGCAGATGTTCATGATTGTGTTGATCAACTTGGGTGCTCTGAAGCACGAGACTATCATTTGTCGCTACAACTCTGACCTGCCCATCACGGATCCCCTCCTGCCAACCTACTGTGCTGATCTTCATCCAATCATTAACTGGGTCAACCGTTGTGTTATCTCGATTTTCATCGTGTTCTTCATCTCGTTGGTTCCCCTCGCCGTCCAGGAACTGACTGAGCGTGGTGTCTGGCGTATGGCCACCCGTCTGGCGAAGCACTTTGGTTCCTTCTCCTTCATGTTTGAGGTGTTCGTTTGCCAGATTTACGCCCACGCTGTGCACCAGAACCTGTCATTAGGTGGCGCCCGCTATATTGGTACTGGTCGTGGTTTCGCAACTGCCCGTATTCCCTTTGGTGTTCTGTATTCCCGTTTCGCCGCACCCTCGATCTATGCTGGTGCTCGTCTGCTTCTGATGCTGCTGTTCGCCACGAGTACTGTGTGGACTCCCGCTTTAATTTGGTTCTGGGTTTCCTTGCTTGCCCTGATCATCTCTCCCTTCCTCTTCAACCCCCACCAGTTCGCCTGGAATGACTTCTTCATTGACTACCGGGATTACCTCCGCTGGCTCTCGCGTGGTAACTCTCGGTCTCACGCCTCCTCTTGGATTGGATTCTGCCGTCTTTCTCGTACTCGCATCACTGGTTATAAGAAGAAGCTTCTCGGTGTTCCCTCAGAGAAGGGATCCGGAGATGTGCCCCGTGCTCGCATTACCAACATTTTCTTCAGTGAAATCGTCGCCCCTCTGGTTGTGGTCGCTGTGACTTTCATCCCGTACCTGTACATCAACTCTCGAACTATGTTCAGCAACGACGATAAGTATGCCGCGGACGCCATTGCGCGCATTGCCCTCGTCGCATTTGCACCGATTGGTATCAACGCTGGTGTCGCTGGTATGTTCTTCGGTATGGCTTGTTGTATGGGTCCTATCTTCAGCCTGTGCTGCAAGAAGTTCGGTGCAGTTCTGGCCGCCATCGCCCACGCCATTGCTGTTATTGTCCTCATTGTCTTCTTCGAGGTTCTGTTTGTCCTCGAGTCCTTCAACTGGGCTCGTACTGTGTCCGGCATGATTGCAATGATGGCTCTCCAGCGTTTTATCTACAAGCTCATCATCGCCTTGGCTCTGACTCGTGAATTCAAACATGATCAGTCCAACATCGCTTGGTGGACTGGAAAATGGTACAACATGGGCTGGCATTCGCTGTCCCAACCAGGTCGTGAGTTCCTTTGCAAGATCACCGAATTGGGATACTTCGCGGGCGACTTCGTTCTTGGCCACTTCATCCTCTTTTTCATGCTTCCTTTCCTCGCAGTTCCCTATGCCGACAAGTTCCACTCGGTTCTACTCTTCTGGCTCCGTCCCAGGTATGTGTTTTTGTTCTCCCCGTGACTTCTTTCGATACATTACTGACTTTGTCCTCTAGTCGTCAAATTCGTCCTCCGATCTACTCTCTCAAGCAGTCCAAGCTGCGCAAGAGACGTGTGATCCGTTTTGCCATTCTCTACTTCGTCATGCTCGTTCTTTTCATTGTACTGATCGCGGCACCGATCATCGTGCGCAACATGGATCTCGACGAGGGAATCCGGAAAACGCTCTACGATGCCATTGGTGTGAAGCAGGGCAACAGCATGTATCTTCTGCAACCCCTTGACCACGGCCTGAACGATACCAAGTCCTACTACACTGGTAGTCACTTGCCTCAAGGCTACTCAACTCATGCTGCTGTCACACCCACTGGCGGCTCATACAACTTCTTCCGTATGTTCTGAAGAGACTCAATCGACCCTGTATGAAAATGGCCTGTACAAAGCTTTTTGTTTGTTTCTTCTCTTTTCATCCCCATATTTCGTGTTTTTCTCCTTCAATTCGCTGCATTCTCTTGAAATCACTGGCGTACTTGTTGATCTTAATGGCTTGTGTGGAATGACTTGTATCTCGAGTGGTTCTCATCGCCCTGGTGGGTTTACCTTCGTTTACTACTCTCATAGCTTTTCTTCACCTTAAACACTCACGGAATACAATCTGCATTGCTTCATTATATAATAAGTGGACCTATTATCCTTTTCCATCCAACTCGTATCATTCCCTTTTCGAGGTGCTTGATCTGTAGACAAACCATTCACTGCTCTTGACTTGTCGCTCCTGGTCACAGTCACGTGGGAATCACGTGTCGGGGCCGTTTCACCTTGTCCGCGACCCCCCGAGGGTCTAATAAACCATTTCCTCGAATCTATCCTGCCAGTGGCCTTTCAATCCCTTCTGTTGCTGGAATTCCTCTGGTTGGTGTTCTTGCGCTACGAGCGCTCCTGATTATAAACGTCATGGATTTCCAGGAGACACAGCGTCTCCTGTCCGAGTACCTACACGAACTCGCGAACTTGTTTCATCGTGTCCCCGGATCCGCCATTTTTCTTCGCTACGTTAAATCGAGTTATCAGGATGATCCAATTCGGTCAGCTGTGGAGCTTTTTTTATTCTTGTTCGCCGTGCGCTACCTACTCGCCCCGAAATATTCGACGAAGCCCGGCGTCGTGCCCTTGTCCGAGGATGAGATCGATGACCTCGTGGATGAATGGACCCCTGAGCCTCTTGTTGCCAAGCCCAGTACTTTGGAAGAAATGGAAGTTGATAAAAGGACTGTGATCGTGGGGTAAGTCCATCTTCCTTTTTATACTTGGCTTTTATGCACACGGGGCTCTCTTTGTTTGCCAACCACCTTACTAAACGATCCTCGCGTGACACAGCCCTGTTGGTCCCAAATCCAAGCTCGCGAATGGCCGTACTGTCACAAACCTCGGCTCCTACAACTTCTATAACTTCAACACGAACGAAGCTCTCAAAGAAAAAGCCATTCAGACACTCCGGAACTATGGCGTTGGACCTTGTGGGCCTCGTGGTTTCTACGGCACCCAGGATGTCCATCTGAAGACTGAGGCCGATGTTGCTTCTTTCTTGGGAACGGCGGCTTGCATCATATACTCCCAGGCATTCTCGACTATCTCCAGTGTCATCCCGGCGTTCTCGAAGCGCGGAGACATTATTGTGGCCGATAAAGGCGTGAGCTTTGCTATCCGGAGGGGTATCCAAATTTCACGAAGTACTGTTCGGTGGTATGAGCACAATGATATGGAAGACCTGGAGCGGGTTCTCGCGAAGGTGACCAAGGAACAGGCGCGCAAGCCGTTGACTCGGAGATTTATCATCACCGAGGGTCTCTTTGAGTCCTATGGTGATATGGTGGACTTGCCCAAGATTGTGAGAACTACCCGGTTGCTGATGGTCTTGGAGCGACTGCGATACTAATTGATGGTGTAGATCGAGCTGCGCCTAAGATACAAATTTCGCCTGATTCTGGACGAGACATGGTCATTCGGTGTCCTTGGTCGCACTGGCCGCGGTATTACCGAGCACCAGAACGTTGACGCGGCTGAAGTTGACATGATTGTCGGGTCACTGGCTGGCCCACTTGTAGCAGGTGGTGGTTTCTGTGCTGGGTCTGAGGAGATCGTGCACCACCAACGTATCTCGGCTTCTGCATACACCTTCTCTGCTGCGCTTCCTGCTCTCCTTTCTACTACCGCTAGTGCTACGATAAACATCCTCCAGAACAGCCCTGAGACTGTGTCGCAGCTCCGAGAGTCTATTAAGGTTATGCGTGCTCAGCTGGATCCTCGCAGCGACTGGGTGTACTGCACCAGTGCTGTAGAGAACCCAGTACTCCTGCTGGTCATCAAGCCTGAAGTTGTGGCTTCGAAGAAACTCACCTACGTTGATCAACAATTCCTACTCCAGGATATTGTCGATGAGGTACGTATCGAATTCCGTCTCCCCTCAAATTCTCGTAGTTTGCTTACCCATGTTAATTCATCTAGTGCCTTGCCAACGGAGTCTTGATCACCCGTCTTAAGACTTTGGAGGATAACTTCCAGCCTAGTCAAGTTGTCCCTGCCGCACTCAAGGTTTGCGTTACGACCGGCTTGACCAAGAAAGAGCTCGAGAAAGCCGGCACCATCATCCGGCACGCCATCACAAAGGTGATGAGCAAGAAGAAATGAAGAACCAAAAGTTTCTTTTCAATGACTCCTCATGCTCAAATGACCCACACTTCTGGGATTTATCCCCACTCCACCACCTGGTTTCCTCTTCAACCCTCTACCCTACGCCCTAATGCCCTGACCCGACACTTCCTTCATTGTATTGCTAAGCTGCTTGTTGATATGCATCACTATTGCTACCTCGCTTTGTACAGCACTGCTCCCCATTGCTCCTATTATTTCTACCTTTTCGGGGACAGTATCATACTCTACCGGTGCATGGTCTAGATTGTTTAATACTATTTCTACTTTCGGTATAGCTTAGAGCTGTACTGAATTTCATTTCCCATACTTTCCTTTCACAAGTTTTATTCATGATTCATCACTGTTCTGAAATTTATTTAAGGGCTGTATTCTTCTATGGTTTGGAGGCGAGTCTTGATTCAAGAGGATTGAGACCTGGAACGTCCACTGATTCGGGCCTGGCAAGCTCCCTTGCCCCCTTCCAACTGGGCATAATGTGACATGCAACTAATGTTCTTCTATCGTACATTCTGCTTCGCTTACGTACCTTGGCGTTTGAGCTAACTTGAAGGGTACGAATCCCGGCGCAACAAGGCCGGAATGAACCTCGCATTCCATAGAGCCTATAGTCACCTTAGGAGCATTCCCCGCCAACTTTCGACAGGGATCTTGCCTCCTGGACTCCTTGACCGCGAGATCTTTTCGCAAGTTGATCCGCACAAATGAATACTCAGTGCCGACCTCTCAATATTCTTGGATTATGCTTCCAAGGGGCGAAACCGTGAAAGACCTGGGCCCTGATCTCATTCCCCATGTCACCCCACAGTGAATAGCTATGCCTGGATACCCCTTCATTTACCTACTATGGTGCCACGGCCTCTCATGGTGGCTCTGACCACGGGGATGAATATAATTCGGCTGATCTGCACCAGTGCCTGCTCCCTCGGTGTGCAGGGCGGAGTTTTGAGGTCTCTCCGAGTCGCGATTTACTAACCCTACTTTTTAGTTTCGAGGGTTTGGACGCGTTCACGCCCAGGGAGTCGATTTGCGATGAGGCGCCTTGCTCAGGCGCTCGTGGCCTTGTTTGTTGCATGCGGTGCTCACGCTGAGTTCCAGGGTGAGATACTTTTGATTGAGATGAATCAGACTTGCCAGACTGACTGCTTCGTAGGCCCTGACCATTGTCTCGGCGAGCTACATGACTCTTCCCAGGCGCGGTCTGTCGCAGAGGTTGTCGTCTGGGTGAATGAAGATGGAGACCTGCTTAGCACCGAAACTACCCACGCCACTGTGACACCGGCGCTGGTTGGCAATGTTAGTTGACAAAGTATCCTGTTCTATGGCCAAGGATGCCATTTTATGAGTGGTTGTTGATATAGCATATAAGTCCGCTACGACCATCCCCACTCACCTATCGAAATTGACCTCAGAATCGGCGATGTCTCTTGCTACTCCCATGCCTTCACAATCCGATTTACTAGAGGACAACACATCCCCGAACAAAAGTCCTTCCGCCGACAGATTACAGAAAAAACCGCAACCCAATGCTCATCATCCTCATCCAGATCAACCGCCACATCCTGACCATCATGAGGACCAGCAACGCCGATTTGGAATTTCATACTCGCCATATAACGCAGATAGAAGCTGCAAGACCCAAGCCGAAGTCAACAAAGACCTCGACAAGCTATCGGGGTATGCTTTTGTTCGAATCTACGGCACAGACTGCGATCAGACGAAGACTGTTGCCATCGCTGCCCGACAACACAAGATGCAGGTTTTTGCAGGAGTCTACGACCTAACAGATTTCCCTGCAAGCCTGAAGGCTTTCAATGAAGCGGCGACCCTCCCCGACGGAACAAAGGACTGGTCCGTGTTTCACACCATCGCCATTGGCAACGAGCTCGTCAATGGTGGTATCAGTTCGCCCGCGGAAGTGACTGGCGCTGTGAATCAAGCTCGAACTGCGTTGCGTGCACAGGGATATCGAGGACCCGTAGTCACCGTCGACACGTTTTCCGTCCTTCTCAAGCACCCAGAACTATGTCATGCATCAGATTACTGCGCTGCCAACTGCCACGCCTTTTTCGATGCCAATCAGCAGCCCCATGATGCAGGACCGTATGCACTTGAACAAGCCCACGCGGTCTCTCAAGTGGCAGGTGGGAAACGCACTATCATTACGGAATCTGGATGGCCGCACGCTGGCCAAGCGAATGGTGCTGCCGTTCCCTCGGAGGAGAACCAACGTGTTGCCATTGAGAGTATCCGGCGCAGTTTTGCGCATCGGGGGGACGATCTCGTGCTCTTTACTGCCTTTGATGACCTCTGGAAGCAGGACAATAGGTACACTTTCAGCGCTGAGCGATTCTGGGGTATCTACCAGCGATAAATTCACACTAGACACTCCAGGAAAGGTGAATCGGTCCTTCGGGGAGCGGGAGAAGAAGCGTGAGTTCGGTAGTGTACCACAATGTAGATATGGTTCTCTTTCAAGATACACGAATACAACGAGAAACTCGCATTCAGATGCAATAATACAAAAACAAAACACAATTTGCTTCATGTTTAATTAAGTTGCGATATTTCCAAAAAAAAAAAAAACGCTTTTGATGCAATGTGAAGAAAATTTATTATACAAGCGCACGCCAGCGCGCATCATTAAACGGGGTTTCTATTTTTACCGTCGAGCAGATGGAAGCTTCTGCTGACCTCGGGACTCTCGTGAACGGATCTGCAGTTTGTCCAGCCAACCGCCAGGACCAGAAAGCTCCTCAAATGCCTCTTTATTGGGTGCGAAATCCCAGAATGACTCTTTGCCCAGTTTGGACTGGCGCCGCGGATCGAGGTCCCGCTGGCGCCGGGTGGCAATTGATTGCAGTAGCTTTCGGGTTTTATAACTCGGAGTGAGACCGGTCACTTCCATTTCGCGAAGCAAAGAAACGACACCTGGAAGATCATTGCAGCCACGCCAGTAGAAATAGATCATCTCGTCATACAGAGCCCGTGATGATCCGAGAAATGCAGAGGTCTTTCCTTGTTCCTTGATCGTGGTTCGAAACTGGCCGATGAGCTGTGAGCTGGGAAAGTGCGTATTCAGCAAACGAAAAGCAACAAGCAGGGTCTTTGGGTAAAGGGTGGCAACCACTGGACCAATTGGCACTGTAGGTGGGACCCTGAGAGGCCCAGGTGAAGGAGTAGCGGTATCTGCCTTATTCCCTCCGGATTGACTTATGGAAAACTCCTCGCCAGACATGGTGATTGATGCCGACTGATCCAGATGCTTTAGTACTGAGAAAATGCGTTCCTTGCACACTTCCCACAGCCCTATATCACCTTTCCCTTCCTCAATTGCCTGGAACAGCGCAAACTCGATCTTTTCAGACTCTTTCTGGACAACAATGTCAATCGCTTCTTGTATAGAGATCTCTCGCTCGATGCTAGTGGCTGAAGCTGGCTCTGTGTAGCCGAGATCGCTTATACGAATTGTGACCTGGCCTGGAGAGTCATCTTCCTCATCAAACTCCTCAGGTATATCCGCGGAACTGTCCCATGCACCGGGTCTTTGATGTGATGCAAACTTGGGTTGCTTAGAAGTCTTCTTAGACTGTGCATCCTCAAGGATGGAACCAAAAATTGCAACCAACTCGCTTATATCATTCGGATCCCCCTCGTCCGATGAGCCGTGCGATTTCGCTGCCTTCGAATCTGCACTGCTGATTTCGTGGCTGATACCAAGTTGTCCCAATAGCTCTCCGAAAGCCTTTCGCTCCTGGCCAGTGACCTTGTTTATACGCCTTGACAAAGGTGGGCTTTTGTTCTCGGTTTTCAGAGGAGAAAGCGACGCAGCGCGATGCTGCAAATAGCTTCTCCGGGGTGACGAAGGGGGAGAATCGTTCAGACGGCTTGATGATCGACCTTCCTCGGATGAGTGACCCTGACTCGAATGATCGCTCTCATGCGAGTGGTCGCTCTCAGTTGCTTCAGTATCATTGGAGCCATTGTGTTGGCAGGTATAATGGTGATGGAAATGCGCCGGTAGCGCTCCGCGCAGTGAGTGGGATATCGGTGCAAGGGTGCGCGTTTGGTAGAGGAAAGGGGCCAAGGAACTGGAAGTCGCCGACAGAAAGAATGCGCGGGAAATATTGGTCGCCATTGCTCCCCGAGGCGTTGCGCCGGAACTGAAAGCAAAATGAGTTGACTCCGGCTCTTTTTCCATATGGCCCCACGTGACTTCGCGTTTTCATCGCACGCGTTCCTCGCGCAACTACTCAGAACTGAACAGCACTTGCGCTTGACATTCTTTTCCAATATTCTTTCCATCGACGAACTGTGACTGCAGGCGCCATGGATAGCCTTGAACAGCAGCGCTTGGCTAATATCGCCGAGCGCGATGCGCTCTTGAAGCAGATGTCGCTTGGAGTCCAATCGGCTAGTCTTTTCAACTCACCCAAGACTCCTGGCTCCAGTGCCACGAAGTCGAAGAAAAAGGCGGCTCCTAAGCGAATCAAGGAGGAAGAGGACTCGCCACTGCCTCGACGCCAGTCATCTCGTTTGAGAGGAATCGCGGCTGAGAGCGAAGTCGCAAAGCGCAAAGCCGAGGAACTGTACGAAGCTGCTAAAGAAGTTGAGCGAGCGAAGAAGCTGCGTCGCACAGACTCTTTTACTGCAAATGATATGTTTATCGCAGGCCAAAAAATTACTGATGAGGGCTTGATTGGTGTGGATGTGGTGAACAAGGGTGTGGCAGAGCCATATGTAAGAACTTTCGGCGACGACGAGATCCAGAAGACAACAGACAAGGACTTAAAGGCTCTGCGGGAGGAGATGAATGGCTTGAGTCTATGGGAAGAATGGGATCCTCAGAGTAAGAAGCCGATTTCAATTTCGAAACTCCTCATGGGCAAGAATTAACCGGGACCTGTAAAACCTAGGAATCAAGATTACCCCCGAGAGAGTGTACGCCATGACCTTCCATCCCTCCGAATCAAAGCCACTCATCTTTGCGGGTGATAAAATGGGACATCTTGGCGTTTTTGATGCCTCACAAAACAAGCCAGAAGTCGGTGAAGATGACGAGGAAGACGATCCAGACCCAGTTCTAACTACCCTCAAACCTCACACTCGCACGATTTCCGCTATGACTATTCATCCTTTGAACCCAACTCGCCTGTATACTGCAAGTTACGATAGCTCAATTCGTGAGTTGGATCTGGAGAAGACGAAATCGGTGGAAAAGTTCGCACCCAAATCGACCAAGATTGACGAAGCTTTGTCCGGTGTTGACATGGCGGCTGATGACCCGCATACATTGTACTGGACTACTTTGAACGGTGCCTTTGGTCGTTATGATATGCGCACTTCTCTGTCAGAGTCCACTGTTTCTCAATGGCAGCTTTCAGAGAAGAAAATCGGCGGATTTACACTGTGTCCGTCGCAGCCACATTACCTTGCTACTGCAAGCTTGGATCGTTTCATGCGTCTGTGGGATCTGCGGAAGCTCTCCTTTGACGACCCAGTGCCGGTTGCTGAACATGAGAGCCGCCTTTCTGTGTCACATGCAGCATTCAATGCTGCTGGCCATATCGCTACGTCTTCTTATGACGACACTTTGAAGATTTATGATGTTGGTGCCAAGGGCATGTCGTCCTGGAAACCAGGCCATAATCTATCGGATAAGGAGTTCCGACCTGATACTGTCGTTAGGCATAACTGCCAGACGGGCCGTTGGGTGACGATGTAAGTGGCTAGGACTTTGCCCGTCTTATTTCCATTTCAAATTACTTTGTTCTAACGATGGGGTTGTCTAGTCTTCGCCCGCAGTGGCAACTGAACCCTCAATCTCACATACAACGGTTCTGTATCGGAAACATGAACCGTTTTGTTGATATCTACAGTGCCTCTGGTGATCAGCTGGCCCAACTTGGCGGCGATGGCATTACTGCTGTTCCCGCCGTAGCCGTCTTCCATCGGAGCAAGAACTGGGTTGTAGGTGGAACAGCGAGTGGGAAAGTATGCCTCTGGTTGTAAATCCTGCGATTCTGCATTTCGGAATACGTTGTACGCATCAACCTGGATCGGCACCTGCGTTCTTTTGTGGACTGGCTTCATTGTCGTTAAGACCTCGGGTCCTGGCGTTTCAATGGAAGGGGAAACCTTCTGGTTTACAGTGGTGGTTAAGTAACACTTACTTGATTTTTGTTTGTAATGTACAGGACACACGTATGAATATGACATCTCTGAACGAGGTTGCTGAGTAGAATTTTTGATTTCAAATCATAGTGTACAGATCATGCTCATCGCATATGCCTCCAATGCCAACCATTCATATAGTTGTATTCGAGATCCCAGATTCTAGTAATAGCTTAGCATACTGCAAGTGGAGCCAAACCACAGGCCATGGCATCGGGGGCTGTCCGGTCTTGGTGTCGCCGGTATAAAAGAGGGACTTGAATCCGAATTCGATAGTCTGATCCTCTTTCATAACACTTGTCAACTCTAGAATGGCGTCCATTGGGCGCGTATCCCTTTTTGAGGGATGATCACCGCCTCGAATGACAATACGACCATCTGTCTTCTCCAGCACCTCGAATGAATCTGCCATTAGGGTCCCAGGCTCGTAGGTTGACGACATAAAATCCTCGCGAGTCCAAAGGTGTTTTTCATTGGAAGGATTCCGAGCTAGCGCATTCAAGAGAGTTCGTTGGAGAAAGAAGCCTGTAGATTCCCCAAATGAGACCAATGATTCTTTTTGCCTAACAATGAGATGACTAGGGAGTATTGATCTTACCCCAGTTACTCCATACGCCCGCACAAAACGCATCTGTCAGCTTGTCCGGTTGGTCTCGAAGTTCGGGGCGTATCTGGTTCAGCGGGACACGTCGGACGAAGAAGTCTTGAGTGAAGGGATTCCCATGAGGATTCCAGTTCTGCTCGCGGACAATTCTGAATATACGATCTGTTGGTTCGATTGGAACCAATTCATCTTTCCGTGTGTAAATAAAGAAGGAGCTCAGGCCAGCTGTGCCCCCGAGAGCAGCCACTTGGGCTGTTCGGGCGAGACGGTGAAGTATAGGACCCATAGCCGGAAGAATCTCTATGAGCATTATTAGCAAGAGGACGGAAAAATGTCCCGCCCAACCCAAGGGGCGCTACCTCCACGGTCACAGTAGGGTAGATGTTAACTGCGTTGTTTGATCGCGTCGGGTTAAACAATATAAGAGAGCCCCGATAATTTCAATACATCCAATGTCTAGAGGCCGCTCGAGATTTAAAGCAATGTGCAGATCCACCTAGATTGAAGCTATGCCAACTTGGTTCGGAGCCCTCGGTCTCGGTCTTTCGATTGCCTCCTTTCCGCGAACCTATCCGCTTACCAACCCAGTTCCCTCCACCTCCGAGTGGGGACCTGATACTTCAGATAGAATCGACTATATCGTAGAAAAGGCCAATCGAAGTATACTACAATACTCGAATCACTCTATAATTCACGTCGATAACGATATCGCGCCAGGATGAAGGGCTGAGATTTGACATAGGAGTTGGGTTTCATTTCTATTCAATTTGGCTCAAAAGACGTAAGATCCGACTCGAACCACTCCAGTGACGGCTGGCTATTAAACAAGTGCCACATAAGCTCATCAGCATGGAGTTGTGATGTACTGCCGAGAGGCTGTGTCTGCTGGGCATTCAATTCGACTGCAGGAGTCATATACGATTTTCCCATCTCAGGACCTGTGTCAGTCACAGTAATTGGTTCTAGCATTTCACCAGCTGTAATCGGGTACCACGGTGCAACGCTACTTTGCGGGCATAAATGCTGCTTAGCGTGAACCAAGGGCTCGCAAAGGTGCTGGAGGGAGTCCAGAAGTTTGAGCAACTTAACAATATAGGGACTGGCTGTGAATTGAGACAGGCTTTGCGTGATGTCTTGGATGAGGTTGTAGTCATCAATGTCTAGCTCACCGATGATGTTACAGAAGAGGACGAAAAAGGGACTTAGTGGATAGAGAAAGATTGTCCTTGGAAAATCAATCAAATTCGTTAGTGATACAAGGGTGAATCTTAAAGGAACCAGCTTACCATGTAAGAAATGTTGGGTACGGGTCCACAAAGCCCGGACTTTCCGTGAGATGGTTCAGCAGATATTGCAAGGCCTTCAAGGATTTTCGGGAATACGATACACACTCCCGATGCGTCAGGGGCGAAAACGCATATCTCAATCGTGATCGAAGAATGTCTACTAAAATAGCGAAATGACAAAATTCCATACCGATCCAGTCAGCACTGATCAAGTCAGGAGCAGCGCTTCGACTCTGTGTATTGATCCTGTTAGCGCAGAGAAGAGGACTGGGGGTTGTGTCGAAATCTACTTACAGATTGCAAATAAGAGTGTATTGCACTCATTCTGTCTTGCAGCTTTGAATGTCTGGACAGTAGTTCGCGAGTGTCTTTCAAATTTTTCAAGTTAAGAAGGTCGCCCTGCACCTGAGCTAGGTCTACAAGAATTCGAATTAATGGCATATGTGGCAGAGGTTTATCTTCTTCGCTGACGAGATCTCTTGGCGAAATATGAAGTTCGGGCAATGATAAAGGCCGATGGAGAAGGGAACTCAGCGTTCGATCAAGATAGAAGCACCAATATAAACAACTGTTGATCTCTTCATCGAAGTCTGAGTGTCGGTTCGGTGCTCGAATTTCATGGTAATTCAAGACTGTAATCAGGCGGGAGGCGTAAGAAGTATAAACCCAGGCTTGGCTCATATTACCTTGGTATTGCATCAAGAATGCCTATGCGATGTGAGGCTGTGTTAGCTTGTGTTATAGTGGTTAAAGAATCCTCCCCACCATAATGTACATACTGCAGATATTAAAGACTGGATAAAAGGAAGAGATGGGCTGTTTAGGAAATTGAGATTTCGAAGGGCGTGAAGTGCACAGGCTTCATATCTCCTCTTTGACTGAAGAAACTGTGCGTTCATCATCGGATCCCTATAGCCCCTGGGCATATGGTAGAGTCGAAAAATTGCCTTCACATAAACACAGATACAGTATTGGTAGAAGAGCTGATTCTGGTCTTTGCTTCTCAGAAAGAGTGAGACTATCATACGCAGAGTTTTCTCTGAAATATGGTCAGGCCATTGGATGTAATGGGGGCTTCCAGATGTTACAGTTGGCTCTGTATGATTTTTAGTGGAAAACTTCTATCAATTGATGAATACCACTGATTGTGTTCCTACCTCTCATGAGCATATAAAATAATTCCGGTGCTGGAGCGATAGATTCGATGATCTCTGAGCAATGATCTTGGGGGAAATCAACTGAGATATCATTCTCACTCAGATTCGACGCTTGTCCGTGTGTCATTGAGTTCACGAAATCTAATGCCGACTTCAGGATCGACTGTCGCTCCTGATTCATACGCTCGTTCCCATCAAGCTCGCTTTGTATGATGACCTTAGCATGTTCTGCATGGTGGGTAGACTCATCTGGCGTCACCACGGCGCAGCTACTATGAGGAGACATGGGAGTGTCATTTTGATAGACGACATTATCCAACTTTCTTCTCTTAGGAATATAATCCACATCCAATGAATGAGACCCGCTGGCTGGACTAGAAGTGGTGGTCGCGCTAGATAATGCAGTCAGTATGCTTCAACAAACCAATGAGGCTGATTTGGTAATATTTTTCATCTTACTCCTGTGTTTTAGAAATCGCTTTTTCCAATCTGACCAATCTTTCCCCGATTGTTGAGATGCTAGATATCTGGTCAACCGCGAATGTTGGGATCTCCTACTTTCTCTATACCTACACTGATGTCTTCTGCACGCGAGCCGGTCGCTCCGGCCGAGCACGGCGACACTCTACACCAGCATCGGCGCAATTCGAGCAATGCAGGCGTCTATCGCATCGCACCTTTCTGGAATGGCAAAGATCACACTAAGTATTATCAGCCTTTCTCTCATCTCAGCCATCGAAGGTCATGTGATCTGTAGCTTACAGCACGTAGAACATCGTCGCTCATCCTGTTTCCACTTCTCACATAATAATACAGGGTTTAAAAGAGGCCCGAGGACCTAGTAATTACGTGAATTGAACGTTCAGGAAGAATAGTCATAAGCATATAGCTTTTTGAAGTGACCGGAAGTAGCTTAGTCATGTCTTTCCTTTTTAGGTCGGGATTCCGAGAGAATGGGGAAGTTGGCAGGAGGATTCAGTTGAGCCCGACAGAATTGAGTGAGGCCTTCTTTGCTCACAAGCCGAGAAAGAAATATCTAGTAAAAAATCTAGTTATATATTGATAGACCAAGCTATTTGTGTATGAGACTTAGCTTTTTCTTGAACGTAATCTCAAAAATTAGTCCTAATGGTCTGCACGATATGACAGGAAGCCACACTATATGAGCCGAAGCTACTACAGCTTGACATTCAAATGCTACAGGAAGGAGAGGTCGGAATCAAATCACGTCAACATGGACACAAGTCCTTTCCGTCTATTCGGACAGCACGATCGTCAAAGTATATACACGCAGGCCAACCTCTCCGCGGATCCGCAGTTACACAGGCAGACAAACAGATTGCTCCAAAAAGCCAATTGAAAATCGGGATCTCAATCGCCCTCTGAGAAAGGGCCTTCTTAAATTTTGATGAAAAAAGACCACCCAAGACCATCTTATATGAATTTCTTTGTCTCTTTTTTTTTCTCACTTTTAGCGTCTCGTGTCCAATAGCAGAAACCATGAACTAGGTTGGATCGGTCGGGCATGTATAAGTGGAAGTGAGGAAGAACGGAGAGAAAAAGGGTTGAAGGTGAAAGGGGTGGCTGGAGAGTTCGAGATGAAACAGAATATAGAACCAAGGCCAAAAGAGGGGGAAGAAGGAAGGGTATCAACACCGTGACACATGCTGGGATGACATTGGGAACATGGACAGACCAGGAGGCACCGACAACCGAGCGGTTGTGAGCATAGAAGGAGAATGATGATAGAGACGGATAAAAAGGAAGTGAAGATAGAAAAGGGAAGCGTGGACTTCATGAACACATAGATAGGTGGAAGATACACGAGAGAAAGGAATAGGGCACAAGAGGTTGCCCATCAGAATTCATTCCTCAGGTCCTCATGTGAGTGATGCTGAGACTGATCTCGTTCCTTGTTCTTGCGGCGAGAGGGCGCGGGGACAAAGTCGAAGAAACGATATTTGCCGGAAGACTCCTTGGTGATGCTAGATCGACGGGCCTTGGCATTTTCTGAGTACTCAAGAGAGTAAGTAGATGAGTTTTTGGAGCTACCGGTGCTATCACGAGCATCAGACCACCGGGGAATCGAGAATGGCATACGGCTTTGGTCCCAGGTCGCCGATGACGAACTGGGTGGAGTATCATCCTCGTCGGGAGCACAATCAGTCGACCGGCGAGGCATAGCAGGCCGGGTTGTGAAGAAACCAACAGAACCGCGGTGACCGGGACTGGCTGCGACAGAGACATTGCTTGCGAATGTTCCATCCGGAGCTGGTGTGGTGGGCTTACTTGAGTTTTCGTCGTAAAAAGTCACGGCTCGCTCCATCGAGTCTACCAGCTCCTCCCATTTAATTTCGAGGTTACCACTTGGTCGCTCTGCTTGCTCGGCCTCGTCTAAGCATTCCTCGGTTCGTTGCTGAATTTGACGGGCCAGCTGGTGGAACTTGGACAGGAACGGATCCACATCCTCCAATTCCGATAGCCGATCAGGAACCACTTCCAGCCAGACACGAATCAAGTTTGCGAAGCAACGTGCAATATCGATCAGGAATGGAAGGCTCGGAAAACCTTCACGAGAAGTAGCGGGTAAACGCCCAAGGATTTGGAGAGGGGTGGTATACGAAGGTGTGATGATAGCAGCTGGGCGCTCTGCAGAGATGTTACAGATCTGGTCGACGAACTGTTTGAAATCGGCACGATTGCCGACCAAAAACTTGTTCATGGGCTCCATCCACGGCTCCTTGTTACCAAATGTGGTCATGTTAGCCAATCCTTGGAGAGCCTTGGCAATGAGAGTCAGAGTGCGTTGGGCACGAGGACGAGGATGATCTATAATCGGAGAATGAGGTTAGCATATTGATGACGGTACAGAAATATCAAGCACATATTACCTTTCAAGAGCCCGAACAGTTTGGGATTCAGAATGGCCGGACAAAAGAACCGCAGGAACAGGAAACCAGAGACACTGCTATAAGTCACAGAGCGCAAGAAGTCACCATAGCGATCTTCGGCGCAAGCCCGGACGTGTCGAAAGATGCGCCTCAATTCCGGAGGGCACCTTGCAGAGGACATTGCGATAGCCTTCCAAACCCCAGTTGTAAGCGTAATCAAGTTGCGCCAGTTTCGTTCGAGATCTTCGGTGCGAGGTACACGAGCCGGATCGACCTCACACTCTGGATCATTCTCATCGATATCCCGTAAGCGCTCCCCAATTGTCTCTTCGAGATACTCCTTGCCAAGTCGACGCATGTGAAGGTCAAGGGCTTTGGTGAGCAAAGAGTTTCCACGGAAGAGCAAATTGGCTTCAACAGTGGCAGTTCTCCCCATGTCTCTAACAAGAATTTCGCGATCTTGCCCGGAGTCACGAGAATCATTGGAATGAATTCGGGTTGTGTAGCGCAGACGATTTGCTGTCGACTCCTTGTGCACGCCGTCGATTTCATCTTCAACCAATGCAGAAATCCAATCTACCGTAGCTCCCGAGACCTGGTAGATGTTCAACAGCATTTCGGACAGCTGGGTTAACTCAGACGACATCACTTGAGCCATGTTGATCGTTAGGCCATTGGTGAATGAATGCAGAAGGTCGTGCATGGGTGCATATTCTTCGGACATCAAGACGACAGTTTCCTCCATACGAGCTCTCATGAACATCTCTCCAACCGCTTGGTCGTTATCGTCCAAAACCGGCCACCATTTCTCTGTATCTACTCCGGGCTCCAGTTCTTCGAGCCGGAGGTCTACCCTTCCGAAAATCGCGTCGTTGGTAGAGATTTCAATTTCATCCAGCATGTTCACCGCGTTCCCTTCCTGGCTGGATGAGTAGGTCCCATGTGCAATGAGTGTCCAATCCCTCTGTGTGGGGTTTAGCGTCTTGACTAGAATAGAGGCCTGGGATAGGACCGGGGGCAGGTCATTAAAGATAAAGTCTTCGCGCCAGAACGGGTTTGTAGTGCGGTATTTGACCGCAGTCTTGGCGCGAATTTCACCATCCAAGAGGACTTCGGTATAGTAATCACTGGCTTTGGGTGGGGAGGGAGCGGAAAAGCCGTGAGATCTGGACGGTTTGCGACTGCGTTGGGTTTCTTCTTCCTTGGGACGAAAAAGCTTCGCTTCTGTCACTCTCAAATTGAGAATCCTTTCAATTCGGAACATGTCCTGAAGGGCATGGTCGGGAGACTCGGCTTCCGGTGTCTTGTTCGGATCCTCAGGTTCGCGAGCGTCGACTTCGGGCCCATAGAGCTCTGGAATGGTGAATGCACGTAGAAGGACAAACCATACTTCAAAGAGAACACGGCTTTCCAGGGCAAGATATATAGGGCGCATCCCAGAATCAGGAACAGGGTGTGCAGTGTACTGTGGGAAGATAGCAATGCAAAACTCATCGTCCAAGACCGAGGAATCCAACTGCTGAATTGAACAGCGGGATAGTTGAGATAGCTGCACACATGCAACAAGGGTGACGTCGGACTCGGTATAGAGCTTAAAATAGCCATTCTCTTGTAACGTACAGCTCACTCGCTGCCAAGAGGATGACAAGGCGCGCGATTGTCGATATGTTGACACACGACGACCAGTCGCCGGGCGAGCCCCTGATGCAGAAGGCTTGTCCCAAAGAAGCATCTTTCCGACTTTGATAATAGCCGCATCTTTTTGTGCCGCACTCTCAGAGTTTCGCCGACGTTCGGGAATGCGTCGGTCTCCAATGACGACAGCCTGAGGTTTCGTCATCTTATTCTGCACGCCCTTCGGTCGAATAGGTTGCCAGCAGAGTAAAGCTGCGAGCCAGGAGTCGAAAGTCTCACTGACATGGGGTCGTAGTTGAATGCCAAGCCCGGCAGTAGAGGTGTGCACATTCAGGCAAGTCGTCTGTAAGTTGGGATCGAAGAGTGTTCGAATGCGACATCCTCGAAGGTCGGGAATCAACGTCTTTGCTAGTGCCGGCTCGCCTTTCGCCTGGTATATAAGACTGCCGGTTGCAACATTAATTGCGCAGTAGCCGGATGTCCAGGCACTCGATGACCAGGAGTTGTTCGTTGCAGTGCGAAAAGATAGGATTCCATGCATCCGTCCACATGTTGTTTTCATCAATTGTAGGATCTTGGCGGCGTCGGTATTCGACAAGGGCGAGGCGAAGGCTGCTTGGCTCTGTGCCACGGTGGCAGCCATGGAAGAGCTCTGCGATTTACTGAGTCGCTGTCGAGAGGCGCCCTGGCTGCCATAAGCAGGCGATTGAATGGACGGAAAACCGATCGAGCTGCCGGTTTCCTCGGCGACCTTGGCCTCCGCCATCTTGGCCTGCTGGGACGAGCTGGCTGCGTTGACTGATCCAATTCGTGCTCGGGTCTTGAAGGTATTCGATGGTCTGTCGTTTCGTTGTTCCTCCAGCGTCGTGGTGCGCGATCGTGTGCGCTGGGTCCTCCCTTCCGTGGGTGGTTCTTCCTCGTTGCGCTCGATGGTCCGCGATCGCATGGTGGTCCGTGGGGAGGGCGCGCTCGCACTGTTGCCGATCAAGTGATCCGCGTCGGGCCTGGAAGGATGGGACTCTGGTGTCACCGTTCGTATGCTTGTATCGCGAAAACTGTCTGGGTAGACCATGCCATGGCGATCTCTCGAGGAGGATTTCTTACTAGGACGCCGTTCCACGGGGCGGCTATAGATGGACTGGTGCATCGAGTTGCGTTTATTGCCATTGGGATTGTCGGACTCCATGTTGCCCGATAGTCCCTCTTTACCAGCCAACGAGGGCGTGATACAGAAGAGACCGGCTCGGGGAGAGAAAGGGTCACCACCCGACACGAAACTCCCTCCAAGGCAGTCGATCGAGGGGATTCCCCAAGTTGTGTATGTTGTTCAACTGCGCGTGAACAATTGAGTGTCGCTTTGGTCCAGAAATTGGCTAGAAGAACACATGGAGTCTTGGACGGAGAACCGGTTCTGAAGCGGACATTCGGGTCGAGGGGTGGGATGGGGTTACCGGGACAAAGGGAGGCGCGCGGGTCACCGTCGTTTGTCTGAGAGATGCAGCACCTAGTGGAGACAGTAAGCAATCGTCGCAGCCGGTCGCCTGCAACTAAATCCCTCTCGGTAGGGGGCAGTGGAAAGGAGAGCTCAGTGGTGGATCACGGAAACCTGGGGCAAAGGTCGTGACGGGCGGCGTGATATCATTATTATGGGGGAGAGGGGAGAGAAAGAAGAGAGAAGAGAGGAGGCGAACAGGAAGAAATTGGGGAGGGGAGGGGAGAAGAGCAGGTTGACGGGAGAAGCGAATGGCCCAGGAGGCTAGCAGAGGGGATTGCACACCTTCATCAGTCCCTTTTCAAATGGAGGGTTTGCGGGATGCCGGGAGGGCTGGGGGTTGTTTGAGGGGGGTTTGTGTGTGTGTGCGCGGTGTGCGTCGGCGTTTTGCAGGCCTCCTCGGCGAGAAGAGAACGGGCCACTTGAGAAACGGCCGAAAGAGAATCGTGTTCCAGGGAAGGATCGGGTCTCTGCTGTGGTGGTGGTAGGTGTGAAGCAGGAGGGGAGAGAAGTGGAGGAGGAGAAGAGGGAGGGGGAGGTGGATAACCAGCTTAGGTGAGTCTGTATAGCGGGAGAAATCAACCGCCCGCGACTCCCACCAATCTTTCGGAATCAACCTAGCAAAGAATACACGGGACAGGCACCGCGGTGGGCTGAGCGTGGATAATATAGTTTTGACGTTCGCTCCAGAAGAGATTGGTCGGGGCCTGCTTGTGGATAATGGTTGATTTCCATGACTCTATATATTTAATGCGTGCTCATAGATTATGTACAACAATCCTACTAGTTAAATATGCTCCGTATCATTATAAATCTAGAGTTCTGGTGATTGGGGCTCCCGGGAGCATAGCACCATCTATAGGATCCTCGCTGTCATGCGCTAGAGAGTGGCTGACAGGAGACTCTGACCAATGCATGTAGCTTGGACTGACCGCAATTCTCGGACGCGCACCCCCAATGGCGATGTGGTTGGATCAAGTCTGTCTGATGCGGTTCTCTTCCCCTGCTCGGCTCTCGTCCTCTCATACTCGCGTAATTGCCATCTCACCGGGCCCCAATCCTCCTCTTGTTCGCTCCATGATCAGGCGCGATCTCGCTCCTCCAAAGGATCCCCCTCAAATCTCCCCTCAATGGTGGGGATCCGAACACTTACAAATCTGCACCTGCACGGTACAAGGTTTCATGGAGGATTTCAGGGACCGACAGCCTCAGGTTCTTCCTCTCGCGCCGGTAGTTCGTAGTCTGTAGCCCGTAGCCGAGTACGGAGTAGACCGAGATTAGACACTGAAATGCCCTCTTGAGGCGTCGGCAAGTCTCAACGACACCTAATAAAATAAATGAAAAGTAACCCAATCAAAGCCCGAGGATAGCTACTTTGGTCCTCTCGAGCGCTCCTAATGATGAAATGGACCGTTCCACACCTCGGGCGAGTCTGGACTTTTCCTGCTTTTATACTTTGTTAATTTCTATTCCACATTTCCAAGCCACGAAAATACCAAATCCCGGAGTGGATGAGACGGTCACTGAGGTCGGAAGAACTAATGGCTGGCTAAGGCTGGCTCGGGGCTAGGGAGAGAACTATGTCGACGCTGGCTAAATGCTAAAGTGCTAAATTGCGTGGCTAGCGACTTCATGACGCTAGACGAGACAAGCGGCAACGATATCGGTCTGGAAACCTGAATCATGAGCCGATGCCCAAAGTGTGAAGGAAGCCGATCAGAAGCCCCTCCCCTGAAGCCCCAAATCATGGGACTTCAAAATGGACCACTCTGAAAGCCAGCAAACCAGCAAGCCGAAACATGTTTGGCCAAGATGGTGGTCTCCCGTCTTTCCCCAGTCAGGAGCCTCCCGGTGATCCGTACCCCCTGTTCCCTGTCCCCAGCCCCTGTCCCCCCATGCTTCTCTGCCCATCCGACGGCTGTCAAAAGTACTGTCAATGATGCGAGACGGATTCCACACCGTTCACACCCCCAGACTTCGGCCCCCTGGGAAGCGCTGGTGACAGGGGAGGGAGGGAAGACGCGATGGCGGCTGAGGGAGGAGAACACGGCATTGCAGAAAGACGGCAGGTACCGAGTACATTGTAAGGTGCAGGTGTGGCCCTATCAAAGCCCCGTCACCATTACTTCCCGAGGATAAACATGGGTCCTCATCGCCTTGGTCCTGATCGATCCGGTCGACCGTGACTCTTACTGGAAAAAAGGTCGATCGAGGGAAATCCCCGAAAGTGGAGCCGCTCGGGGCGCTGGAAAAGCTCTCATCCTAAGGATCAAGTTTCCGACTCCATCGGGTGGACGGTGGTCGTCCGAGTCATCTCATTTTTGAACACAACGGAACAGTCTGGCAAAGGAACCCGCCAGAGAGTTAAATTCAGTGGCAAGATACCACAGGCCATGCAGGGTACATCCTTCTGGGGTTTATCCGAGTCGAACGAGGTCGCCAAGGTATGCGGCGGAAAGAAGGGCGACGTTCTAGAAGTGCCTTGCCGCAGCTGGGGCTTCCGAAGGTACCAGGCAATCGGTTGGATATCTGAACCTCCTACCCTCATGGAGCGAGATAAGGTTTCTTCGGAAAACCGGAGACACGGAGCTGCCGTGAGAAATAGATCCAGGCCACCAAGCCAAGAAGATGGAGAGTACTGAGTACTCGGAGATTATTTTTTTTTTAAAAAAAAAATGCGTGATTGACTATGTCGACGACCCAATCGACCAAGAATCATGACGAAGTGGAGGCGCGCTTCACCTTGGCTTCATTTGGCTTCGTGGTCACGACCCCGCACGAACCCTCGATGACTCAGCTCCACATGACTCGTGTCGAAACAGGCAACGTCGCGGCCTATTGGCCTTAGTGCCTGTAATATCAGGCCACAAGGACCAGGCGGTCCTTATGTCATAATCGGCGGCTCTCTGGGGGCAGCGATCACGCTGAGCTCCATCAGGCTGCACGCTCTCACGCGGACATGATCAGATGCACTGGACCTGACCGTTTGCCCACTTTCTCATAAAGTTCCTCCAGGCCCGCTGCAAGCACCATCCTCTCCAACGGAGAGGTAAAGGGCGTCGTGGTACTCCATCGAGCTATATAGCGGGTCCCTCTTTCTCCGCGCTCCTTGTTGATGACAACAGCTAAACACGGTCAACCGCCCTTTGTCGTGGCGATGTCCCCTTAGAGTGCCCTGAAATATCAGCTTCAGTCTGATACAAGATGATGTCCTCCAATATTCTCTCCCGACTCCTGCCCCCTACAGATTCACCCTCGGTGTACGAAGCCATTCGTGAACACGATGCCACCTCCGATTCCTCCGACATTGAAGAGCGCGCGGGAATGATCCACGGGGAGCCTCTTCGGGATGAGTTCAGCGATGAAGAGCTGGAAGAGGCACTTGCAGATGCAGCACACAGCGAGGTTTCCAGCCCACATGCGGGCTTCCTGGGCCCCCAGTCATTGGGGAAGGCGGACGACCGTCAGGGTTCCCCATCCCAGGCTCGTCGCCGCAAATCGTCCAGACCACGGTGGATGGCGCAGGAATCCTCGCTGGGCTACGAACTGGACGATCGGGATGAGGATGTTCCTCTATCGTTGCTGGTGGAGGGACCCGACGATGAGGATCTGAAGTCCCGTCTTCCTCCCCCACCCCATAGAATGCCCAGTCGCTCCCGAACCCCGAGCCCGCAACCATCACCGCAACTTAGCCAGACTCGTTGGGAGGCGCGCCGGAATGCAACCCAATCCGAGACTGAGAATGGCAATCCGGTGGCACGGTGGTTCATCGCGCGACAACATCCGAGCTTACACAATTCCGACCCCAAGAAGAGAGCAATGTGGCGATGGGCGAACGTGGAGGATTTGGACAATTTCTTGAAAGATGTTTATACCTACTTCCTCGGGAATGGAATTTGGTCCATTTTGCTCACTCGAATATTGAATCTTCTGTACGGTCTCTCCGTTCATTCCCCAACTTCCCTCTCCCTCTCTCCTTGAAGATCTAGCCAGAATTGACCATATGTACAGAACCTCTGCCTTCGTCGTGGGATTCTCAACGTTTCTCACAAATTGCGTTGACTACCACAAAGTCCGAGATAGCAAGTCGCTTGACCAAATCCTCATTCCCCAATGCACATCCAAGATGTCCGGGTGGTCGACGGTCTTTCTTTGGTTATTCACGTTCTTTTGGATTGGCAAGCTCTTCGAATATCTGCTGGATATTCGCAGGCTTAAGCAATTACATGACTTTTATCACTACTTGCTAGGGGTTTCGGATGCGGAGGTTCAGACGATCTCGTGGCAAGAGGTGGTCAGCCGCCTGATGGCCCTACGCGATGCCAACCCAGTGACGGCGGACGCTGTCTCGGCAAAGCACCGCCGATATTTGGGCAGCCAGTCAAAGCAGCGGATGGATGCACACGATATCGCCAATCGTTTAATGCGCAAGGAAAACTACATGATCGCTCTGGTCAATAAAGACATCCTGGACCTGACTCTCCCAATCCCCTTTCTGCGAAATCGACAGTTATTTTCTTGGGCACTGGAATGGAATCTCAACCTGTGCATTATGGACTACGTGTTCAACGAGCAAGGTCAGCTTCGCACTCTATTCCTCAAGGATACACATCGGAGAGCCCTGAGTGATGGTCTCCGTCGACGTTTTGTCTTTGCTGGTATCATGAATATTTTTGTGGCTCCCTTCATTGTGGGATATTTCCTACTGCACTATTTTTTCCGGTATTTCAATGAGTTCAAGAAGAACCCGGCCCAGATCGGCTCCCGCCAATACACTCCGCTGGCGGAGTGGAAGTTCCGGGAATTCAATGAACTGTGGCATCTCTTTGACAAACGAGTCAATATGTCCTATCCATTTGCCAATCGTTATGTTGACCAATTTCCTAAGGACAAGACGGTTCAAGTCGCTCGCTTTGTTGCTTTCATCTCGGGTGCCTTGGCCTCTGTCCTTGCTCTGGCCTCGGTTATCGACCCGGAATTATTTCTTGGTTTTGAGATCACGCCTGACCGCACAGTTCTTTTTTATCTCGGCGTCTTTGGTACTGTCTGGGCTTTCGCCCGAGGTCTCGCGCCCGAAGAAATGGAAATCTTCGATCCGGAGTATGCTCTCCTGGAGCTGATTGATTTCACCCATTATTTTCCTGCAAGCTGGAAAGGCCGCCTGCATAGTGATGAGGTCCGGAAAGAGTTCACCGTTCTTTACCAGATGAAGATTGTGATCTTCTTGGAAGAGATCCTGAGCATGATCTTTACGCCGTTCGTGCTCTGGTTCAGTCTGCCCAAGTGCAGTGACCGACTCATCGACTTCTTCCGGGAGTTCACTGTCCATGTCGATGGCATGGGCTATCTCTGCTCGTTTGCGGTTTTCGACTTCAAGAAGGGAACCAATGTCATGTCTCAAGGCCGCCGGGATACCGGCCGTCATGACCTGCGGGCCGATTACTTCTCCACCAAAGATGGCAAGATGCTTGCTTCCTACTATGGTTTTCTAGACCACTACGGCACGAATCACCCACCCGCAGGGCGACGACCTTTCCACCCGCCCCCGAACTTGCCCACGCTCGGTTCCCCATCGGCGGCCGAGCTTGGCGCGCTCCCCGAACGACTGGAGCAATCGCATCGGCTCGGACCTGCCGGCGGGCCTTTCGGTCCGCAGTCTAACCTGGGCGCCTCTCGATTCCGACCCATGCCCCTGGGTGACCACCGTTCGCCCGTTCCCTCCATTCTCCTCGATCCGCATCACCAGCCATCTGCGTCTGGATTCCGACCCATCCCCCGAGGCTACGGTCTCTCGCAGCGTGCTCGTCTGGCACCGCCCCTGCAGGCTGCCAGCGACCCTCGCGAAGACGAGGAGCCACCATCTGAAGCCGTCCGAGACTCTGGACCACGACACTCTCGAACAGGCACATCGAGTGGCGGCGTCGGGACGGGCGAGAGCAGTCTTGGAGACTCTTGGCGGATGAATCCACTCGGACACGATGCCGAGGATTCCGACGGCCATGAGGGAGAAAACATCGATGCGATCGCTGGCGGGCCAGGCGTACTGGGTTTGATCCAGCAGTTCCAGAAAGCCAACACTGATGGCCGACGGACGACAATCGGAATCTAAGCCCTATACCTTTTACTCCTCCTTTTGCTCCCCCGAACTTGGGTAGTTGTATAGTTGTAACTGAGGATTGGGATTATCAGAGCTTGAGCGGAGGAGCATTCGGCAGCCGATTTATGCATGCTTAAGGACATGACGCACTTTTTTTTTCTTTCTTTTTATTAATGGTTATGGTTTATGGGCCTTTTGCATTATTCTTTGGCGTTAGCATAGCGAAACCGATAGAAGGGAAAACAATTTCCACATTTGTTTGTTGCCTGGTGGGACGCCTGGGGTTGATCCACCAGGCTTGCTACACGTGTAACTGTAACCCGCCTGCAGTGCTGCAGGGTCTGCGAAAAAGGGCACGAAGGGTCTTTAGGCTAAGGAACTGACCCGAGTGGCTTGCGCCCGCAGCGTTAGCGGTCGACTAGGTTTCCCTTGAGGTTCAGAAGACTCAGTCCTCCGGAAACACCAGGAGAATACAGGAGGACTACAAGAATACCAACGATCCGTAGACGCTAACGATGAGTTAGTCCTGTTGGCTCTACTTCCAATATTTTCTATTTTTTGCACCGGGCGATATTGCAGGGACTCTTCTTCGACATAGTTCCAATAGTGTCCTCTGGGCTGAGTACTGATTGCTGTGTCTGATCGGGAATGGTTGCTGTTCTCCCGTTCTCGCGTCTGTGGAACGTCCAGTGATAGGCCAATCCGCCGAACCCTTACTCCGTCGGACGGAGCACCGAGTACAGATCCCCCCTCCGCGATCCTTGGGGCTGAGGCCCGTCCTTGGGTGGTCCGAGAGCGAGCCGAGCGAGACCGCGGCGTCTCTTGGCTTGGGCGAGAAACCCACGGATGCCAGCCTGATGAATCATGACTTGCGGAGACTTGCGGAGACTTGCGAAGCTCGCGAGACAAAGAGACCCCCTGCCGAGCCTCTTATAGTGGGACTTGTAATCCAGGAGGCAGAGTAGATGTGATGGTCCCAGAGGAGATGCAAGGCTGACCCGGGCTCGGTTGCTGCTGGTTGCTGGTTGCTTGTTGCTGTGAGCTGTGAGAGCCTCCTGTTCATGGCCCCGGTGGGTATCGTCACGGCAGCCTTATTCCCGAGTCGTGCCCAAAGTCGTCAATAATAATATTATCAATTCATGCATGCTCCATAAACTAGCCCCCAACCGCCCTCAAAAAAAGAAACACGCGCCCCGAATCTGGGTCCTCACCAGGGGAGAAGTCCAGGAGAAGTGAACGTTGTTATTTCGGTCCCTGGACCCGCGACCCATCACATGTGGGACCTCCGCATTACCGGAGTCTCGTGACATCGAAACCCTCTTGGTCGGCCTTGGCCTCGCATTGTCGAAACTCAGACTTGATCTCCTCTCGTCGTCCGGAGTTTGCTACGAATCTGTTCTCTCCCTCGATCCCCAATTAGACCCCTCCCGACCCCTCGCCGAGAGGGAGGACGGTCCGCCATGTTTCGTGCCCGCCGATATCGCGTCCTGACCGTCTTCGCGGCGGTCTTTCTCCTGACCTTGCTGCATTTCTCCCGGTCGCGCGATTGGAGAGAGGCTGCAATCATCGAGCGCCCCGCAGAGGAACACTGGTCGGCCGATTCCAATGTACCGACTCAACAGAAGCCCCCGACGCCGGAGGGTAACCTGGAGTACGCGCCGCCCTCGGTGTACCAACCAGCCAAACCGGCGGCTGGATCGGGAACCTCTGGATCGGGAACCGCTTCTTCCTCCGAGAAGGTTGCTTCGCCCAAGGTTGATGCCCCGAAAACTGAGCCCTCAAAGGCCAATTCTCCCATCGCGCCAGAGTCCGATTCGAACGCAGACAAGCCAAACAAGGGAGCCGGCACGGGCTCGTCCAGCGATGCACCACTGACAATGCCCAGCGACACGGAGAAGACGGCGCCTTCCACCCCACAGACCGAGCTGTCTTTATCGGAGGAATACGACGCGTCCTACCCCCTCAATGAGGAGATCGATCACGGCGGCACTGGCCGCATGTCCGCTCAAGAGCACCCGGGCGGCGGTCCTCGGGCGTATTGGAAGAAAACCCCGGATCGATTCCCTGTGTCAGCTGCCCAATTGATCAAGTTGCCGAAGGAGCCAGCCAAGCAGATCCCTCGGATCCAGGCCAAGCCCAAGGATGAGTCGAGCGCCGACAAGCAGGAGCGGCTGCAGCAATTGAGCGCCATCAAGGCCGAGTTCAAGCATGCTTGGGACGGGTATAAGAAGGCAGCTATGGGCCACGACGAGGTCAAGCCGCTGACAGAAATGTTCGAGGACCCGTTCAATGGCTGGGGCGCCACGCTGGTGGACTCGCTGGACACACTCTGGATCATGGAAATGAAAGATGAGTTCGCCGAGGCAGTGGATGCGGTCAAAAAGATCGATTTCACGACGTCGCCCCGTGAGGATATTCCCATTTTTGAAACTGTTATCCGTTATTTGGGCGGTTTGTTGGGTGCGTATGATATCTCTGGTCAGAGATATTCGATTCTATTGGAGAAGGCCCAGGAGCTGGCTGAGATTCTTATCGGTGCCTTTGACACACCGAATCGTATGCCTGTCTTATATTACCGTTGGACCCCGTAAGTCTCCATCCCGCCCTGTCCAGCAGAGTTTCATTCTCGAGCTTTACTCGACGTCTGTGTACTAACATGCCTTTTCTCCCCTCCTTTTAGCGAACACACTGTTCGACCGCATCGGGCCTCAGCTAAAGCTGTACTGGCAGAGATTGGATCACTTTCTTTGGAGTTTACCCGGTTGGCCCAATTGACCAAGGAAGACAAGTACTATGATGCAATTGCACGCATCACCAATGAGCTTGAGAAGATTCAAGATAGCACAAACATCCCTGGCTTATGGCCCCTGCGAGTGAATGCACAGGGCTGCTCGAGGTATCACCCTACCCGCGAAGTTGGCACGCCTACCCAGGCAGTACTCGCTGGAAAACCTTCCCACAATGCCACCGAGGCTGCTAGCGCGACGACCACGACCTGGCCCCACAAGCGGTACGCTGCACCGACTGATTTGGAAAGCTATCTGCGCTTGATCGGCCGTGATGACGAGATTGATTTCGAGAGCGCCGAGGCCGAACCTGCTCCTTACTACCATGCCTCTACCCAGGATAAATCTTCAGCTGAAGGACAGGAACTTATTGCGGAAAAATGTGACGGAGGCCTGGAACTTCCTCTCTCGCTCCGGGATAATCGCTACGGCCTAGGAGGGCTGGCTGATTCCACCTATGAGTATCTACCGAAAGAGTATATGCTGCTGGGTGGCTTGAACGATCAGTACAAGAAGATGTACAAGAAAGCAATGGATGCAGCCCGGAGGACTCTCCTCTTCCAGCCGATGGTCAAGGGAAAGCATGACCTGCGGTTCATGGCAACGACTGGCTCCCTCGATCCTTCAAAGCCAGGCAACATTCCTTCCAGTAAGCTGGAGTACGAGGGCACCCACCTCACCTGCTTCCTTGGCGGCATGGTTGCCATGGGCGCGAAGGCCTTCAACATCGATGGTGACCTTGATCTCGCGACCAAGCTGACGGACGGCTGTGTGTGGGCATATGGAGCGACCAACACCGGCATCATGCCCGAGAAATTCCGCCTGTTGCCATGCAGCAAGGACACCTCTTGTGAATGGGACGAGAAGCTCTACCAAGCCGACGTGAAGCGCTATTCCCACGTTCGAGACAGCGAGGCCGAGGCCCGATTCCGCACAGGCGAGAGCGCTTATGGTCAGCGTGTGAGGCTGAATGCAGATAACAAACCACAAGGGTCTAGCGAGGATAGTATGGTCGTGCCTCTGCCCATGCCTGGATCCACGAACCCGCACGACTACGAGCCGGCGGTCTACAAGCGCGACAGCTTTGCGGTTGGACGCGCCGGTGCAGCCCCCAGCGCGACACCCCTGAGTAAGGTGGCCGATACAGAGACCATTGAGGACCGTGACAGCCCCCGCCCGCCATTCGTATCGCAGGCCGAGGGTAACGAGATCAACGACCGACTCCCGGCCGGCATGACCAGCATCTCAGCACCGGAGTACCTGCTCCGACCCGAAGCCATCGAGTCTGTCTTTATCATGTTCCGGGTGACCGGCGACGACGCCTGGCGGAAGAAGGGCTGGACAATGTTCCAGGCCATCGCGAAACATACACGCACCAACCTGGCGCACGCGGCTATTAAGGATGTCACGTCGCCCAAGCCATCGCAGAAGGATTCAATGGAGTCGTTCTGGACGGCCGAGACGCTGAAGTATTTCTACCTACTCTTCAGCGACCCAAGTGTTGTGGACCTGGACAAATATGTGCTGTAAGTGGATTCTAGACGCTGAAGATACTGGCATCGTGAGTGGTACTCGAGACAAGATACTGACTCTTTTATTTTATCTGCAGAAACACCGAAGCGCATCCTCTCCAGCGTCCGATTTCATGATAAGCCTTCCTTTCCCTCCTTTCTCTTTTCTTTTCTCTACTCTTTTTTTGGTGGTTTGTGTTTTTATTTACTTAGTTTTTGCGGATCTTTGTCCTGCATAGTGATACCAGCGGAAAATGTGCATATGTCCTTGTTAGTCTTTTTTATAAGATGAAATTCCTGATACTCAGACATCCCCTTGTAGCTTTGTAGTTAATCATAGCTGGAAGTAGGTTTCGTTGTATATTCTATGTGTCGTGGCTTGTTATGCTTGTTAGCATACCAAATAACTGGCAACTTGGAACCAGGCAACAGACAAGCCGACCGGGAGAGACTGGGCCACTTTTCTCCGCTTGAGGGTATGAAAGAGGTTTATCAATCTTGATCTAGATAATTCTAGGAAATATCTAATGAATTGGCATAAAGATTTTTAGAAAATTTTGTAAACTATAACCTACATCGAAGCCAATTTCAATCGTAATCACCAAACCAACCCCCCAGCTCAGACTATATTCCCATACACTTCCGCACTAGCCATCTGTCGCTCATGAAATAAAATAAAGAGGCTTAACTTTGAAAGAAATAGAAAGATGTATTTTTCATGACTATCTTGCAGGGACAGAGTACAGGGTATATCTGAGGGATTGCACAGCAGATCCACTCTACCAATCAGAGCCATTCCCCCCACAGCATTAAGACGAAAGTAGTTGGGGTAGGGTGGAAATGTCGATACAGAGGAAACAAATTTGATCAAGGTATTACAGGTTTATAGAATGATAAGTGTTGAAGTGGGGGAGTCACTGGGGAACTCAGGTTCCTTTTATCCTGATAAAAGTGGATCCTTGTGGTCAGGTTTGCGTATCTGGTCGGCGGACCTGTTGTCCACCTAATAAGTTCCCCACCTCCAAGACATTCCGCATCTCCAACCTCCCCCCGGCACAACAAGACGGGATGAGTGCTCTGACACGCCACCCCCGAAGACGCAGATCGAGCTCGGTGGGAAATGGAGCCCGAGGTCTCGGAGCCTGAGCAGTTCTGGACTGGTAAGTATTTTGTTCCCTCCGGTTCCTGAAGACCCCGGCTCGCGGGCACCAGCCACAAACCCGTGATGTCGACGATCCCTGCGAACGACCTCCATTAACACCAGTCAGAACTCCAAGCGATCCTCTCCAAGTCTTGCGATTCCGAAGACCGAATTGACGACGCCCTGCGAGAATATCTGGGCCTCACAACCCAGTACAAAGGTGACAACACCCAACGTCCTTCCAATCCCCCCCCCTCCCTACCACTGCCATTACGGAGAGGAGGGGTGGGGGGAACCTGCTCTGGAGAACCGTCTCTTGCCCGCGGGGCTTGCGTCCAGCTGAGACTGACAGGCTTTCTACCATGTGGCTCTGGGTGTAGATAGTTTCCTCCGCTCCGAATATGACATCTCGCGCTGCTCTTATAAACTCTTTGCCTCGAACATCTTCGCCGTACACGCGGACTACGTCCGGCGGCAGATTATCTACGGTCTTTTACAGGTAACTCTCAACCAACGCTGCGCTCCTCCGGTACCAGCGAACCGAAGCCTTTGCTGATCAGTTCCCGTTGCGTGTATCTGTAGGAAGATGACCCGAATACACTACATCTGATCGCTTCATTTCTTCTTTTTGACGGTCGGCAGAATGAAGCTGCCCTACATATGATGAACGAAGAGGGCGTCTTCGCGCGCCTTCTCGAGCTGATTCAAACGCTACGCAAGGAGGAAATGGATGACGGGGCTGGTCTCCACCGGTTATTGATGGATTTATTGTATGAGATGTCGAGGATTCAGCGGGTCAAAATCGAGGATTTGGGTATGTTGTGTGCCTGAGAAATCTAGGTACAATTGGCGAATTATGCTAATAAGCGGGTCTCTTCTGTTGGAATAGTGCTTGTGGATGACGAGTTCATTCGATGCCTCTTCGACATTATTGAAGATCTGTCTTACGATGTGACGGATCCCTACCACTATCCGGTAATTCGGGTTCTGGTATGTGTTTCTCTCACAGTCCTCATTGTGAGGCTAAAGCTGATCAATTCCACAGCTAGTTCTGAACGAGCAGTTCATGATCTCGGCTCATGATCCAGTGGATGAGGAGTCCTCATCTAGCCGGTTGACCAACAAGGTTATCAAGATCTTATCCATGTATGGAAGTTTGTATAAGACCTTTGGTGAGAATATTATTCTGTTAATCAACCGCGAAGGTATTTATTATCCACCCGCTCCAGCTGGAATCATATGAAGCTAAGAAACAACAGCCGAGACGTCGTTGCAGCTACTTACTCTGAAACTGCTGTATTTGATATTCACTACCCCCAGCACATACGAATATTTCTTCACAAATGATCTTCATGTGCTGGTAGATATCTTGATTCGAAACCTTCTGGACTTGCCTGAAGAGGCTTCTGCCCTACGGCACACTTATCTACGTGTCCTTTATCCATTGTTAGCACACACCCAGCTACAACAGCCGCCTCACTATAAGCGAGATGAGATCAGGAAGTTACTCAATATCCTCGTGCGGGGACAAGTATCTTACGGAAATGAAACCGAACAAGAGAAGATCCTCCATTTTGAGGATGTTGATGAGACTACGAGGCGACTTGTTGCGCGCTGTGCAACAGTGGACTGGCTTCGTAATGTCGAGCAGCCTCCCTCTGCGACTTCCGCGCAGGAGACACGGACTCAGATAGTCACCACTACGATTGACACTGTTCTTGACCAAGCCGCTCAGCGAGAATCACCTATAGACATTGAGCCAAATGATGTTACCCACACCCTTTTTGGTGCCAGCAGCGTTCCAGACTCCCCCGGTACCGCATCGCCAACCAGGATGGACTCAATTGACTCACGTGGCTCATCTGTGTCCCCAGAGTCTCGGCGCAAACTTAGTGCCGTCCATCGGCTAGGCATGAACCTCGATTCCGCAACCTCATCTTCGCTCAGCGTCCAAGCTGTCGCATCCCAACACGAAAAACCCGGTATCATCACTCCGAGCCGCAAAGATGGTCGTGCCGCGGCAGACCTCATCAGTGACGCATCCACCATCCGCCCTCCGAAGATCAAGCCTGAGCCCCCTAAATCTCGCCGTTGGCGCGGCCGGCGACAAGACTTCGACGATGAAGATCAGCAATCCCCCGGCACTAGCAGCGACCATAACACCATTCCCGAAGGTGTAGAAATCAACTCGAGATCTATTCACACAGCGCCACCCACACCAGCCCCATCATCCCTTGCAGGCCCAGAACCAGACTCTATCGACCGGCGCCACTCAACCACAACCTCTCAACTCGCACCCCCAGCGCCTAGTCATGCTCGGCGCTCGGTCTCGAATCCGCCGCCGGCCGTGCCTCCACCCCGACGTTCCGCCCAGAGTACTCCCTCATCCAGCCACCACCGACCCGCACCCACTGCGCCCGCTCCTGGAACAGGGGTTAGCAAGCATGGGCAAAAACCGCAGCCCCCGAAAACGCGGCGCTGGGGCCGTGGGAAGCCGCCGCAGTCGCAGCACGGGCAAACAGACTCTGTCGGAAGCGGGACCAGCAGCGGTAGCCAGCCGAAGGAGAATGAGGTTGAGGCCGAGGCTGTAGCGCTCAGCAGTGTACCTTATCCGACGATCGATACATCACAATGCCCAGATGAAGACGTAGGTGCGCAGCCTGATCCGTTCTCGCCGACATCGCCAACGTTGCTGGTTTCGCCGGCCGAGTCGCCGGACCCTGACGGGGCGGTCAAGACGCAGCCCTTGAGTGTGGAGGAGGCAGTGCAGAATGTATCCTTGCATTGAGAACCCGATCTTCATACTGCCGGCGATCTTTGAGGCGTAAGAATCATGGGTTGTGCTACGGGGTATTGTTTTTGTGCGAAGTGGAACCAAGGAGTGATATTTGACGGATTTAGTTACGCATAGCGTTGCGATTATCTTTATCTCTGAACATAGTGTCAGAAATCTATTTTCTGTACTCCCCCCAGTCGTCTTGTTTGAACCTTATACTCTAGAGTGAAGCCAATTCTAACGGATCAAGTTGCGTGCTGGCTTCTGATGGCAGGGGAAACCACCCCTGGGAGAACAGCCAGTCTTTATTGGGCATTATCCATGACGCTGGTTTACTAGGTTCGCAAGTGTCGAATGGCTGAAATAGTTGAACGCCCGGGTTGATCGGTTCCTTTTGATGGAGTAAGACTGAGTAGTCGTTCAGTGTTGCGAATCGAGTGTAGCTGAGATGGTGTAGGGTGGAAAGTACGTATATCTAACACCCGAGGTTGCCCGAGTGCTTAGGGGAGTCTTGCCAAGGGGTTTACTTTCTTTTTATCTGATTATTTCGAACCGTAAAGAATGGATTACACCGCAGAGGATAGAAAGGATATGTTGCTACTCAAGTAGGCGCCCTCATTATGAATGTCGATCATTAGTATAGCATTCCGTCAGGCAAGGCGTCTTCATTACAACCATGCACACTTCGTCAGCAAACAAAATAGTAGATTACATCAAAACGTAACGATTCGAGATGATCATGACTTTGGTCGGTAGAGCACCTTTTTTGAGAGGAGACGAGGCGTGTTGAAATCATGGCTCGGTAAAACAATGACATTGGATTCTCTCGCAAATTGTTTGATCATCTTCAAGATGTTCAATGCACGCATCGGGTTGTCATTGATACACCGTTTTGAAGCAAATATATTGTAGTAAGCTTCCCAAGCTAAAATATCTGGGTTCAATAATCACATGGTACTTAATAGTCATCTAGGAGTTATTCAAGTAGGCGGGTTATTTCTTTTCTAACGGCCGTCGATACGCAGTACATGCCGAGTTGGGAGCCCCACCCTAGGGCTAAAATTTTGATGCTCATTATGTACACGGTATTAATTCTAATTCCAAAAGCTGGGAGTTTATCATTAATTCTATGAATATGTAAATTGTTGAATACGACTTGGAGTTTTAGTTTTGATCTGCAACCCGGCCATTGCCCCAGTCAACTTACCATGAACTTACTACCTTTTGCGGTCTTTACGTCTAATAATCTCGAAGGTCTCTGTTCGGGATAAGTTTGTCATGGACTCCCCGTCCCAACGATTCTTCTTTCCACTTCCATGCCTCGTCACGATTGGCACCGTTACTAGTGCCGTTGAGAACGTTCACTACATACTGGCCGATTATGGGCAGGAACTTCCAGCAGTGAAACGAGCCTCCAGCTGCGAAGTACAGATTGGATAGCTGCGAGTGGGGGTGACGCGTGATAAGTGGGTGCTGATTTGGCGTGATTGCATCCCAGCAGAAGCGAAAATACTCTGCTTCACGACCGTCATCGAACAGTTGGGGTAAACGTCGTTTGAAATGACTTATACATTCTTTGCGTATAGATTCCGGGACATCATATTGATGAGTGGATGGAGGCACTGAGAGTGTATGCCCAGTGCTTGTTTGGATGGTGTTTTTAAAGGCGGTCGTGCTTGTGAATTTAAGCAAACCAGCAGCCGTGGGAGGCAAGACTTCACCTATATTGGTTTTTTATAGATTAGACCGGTTGAGAGCGTCACTAGGTCGTGAAAAGCCGACTCACCTTCTCCACCATACACGTAAACAGGCAGCAGATCATATAGCTCTCGTTCCTCTTGCGAGAGTTGAAAATGTGCAGAGCAGACCCCTGCGGCAGTGAGTTGATTTTCAATTCTGACACTTGTTGGCATCTGCAGATCATCTTCAACCGAAGCCATCAATTGGCTGGTCCACGCCCCAGTCGCCAGGAGTATCCTGCTCGCGGTGAAGCATTCGCCCGACGCAGTCTCGATTCCTGTGATTCCATGATCGCCCAACATAAGCCTTGTTGCCTCGCCAACCTGGTACTTGACTCCCATTTGAATTGTTGCTTCTGCCATGATCTTAAGGGCCTTTCCCGCATCGGCCCAGCCAGCAGACGGGTTGAAGTAATAAGAACCAAACAAACTGAGGTCTGCCTCTTTCAATACCTCCCTCCAGCTACGACGGACCTCGGCCTCGGTCATATCTTGCGTCCAGTCTGGATGCCCACAGTCTTGGAAATTCTTCCGGATACGCTGGGCGAGATCACTGTCACGCTCGTTCATCATGATCCAGCCAGTCTGGTGATAAACATCCGCATCCGTCCACAGCGGGTTGGTTTTCCAGGCCTCCATGGCCTCGAGTGCCAGATTCATATACAGCGGGCTTGAATAATCGCCCCGAATAATTTTATTGATATCGGTTGATGCAGCATTACCCGATGGTGGGGGGCGCGGTCTAAGATGGTGATGGTTGACGGGTTGGGTGATCGCTTAGCCAGATAATAGGCCGTGCTGATGCCAAACACTCCAGCGCCGACGATCAAAACCTCCGATTTCGTTGCCATGGAGAACTGGTGTAACATATAAGGGATTTGAATGTTTAATCTGACGGGGACGCTTGAATATCCCCAGGGTTGAGTACGATGGGAACGTTTGTTCCCCATTTCCGGCGTGAGAAAAGAGGAAACACCAATGAGTAAACCTGTTGGGTCAGGTGATTCAGTTTCTACTGGGCTGAGATGAGCAGATGAAAATTCCCAAAGCTCAGCGATCTTGTGAGTTCTAATAGTTTGCAAGGGCGAGCGTGATATTAATTGGCTCTGAGTCGGCTGTGAATAAATTGTAAAGATAAAATAAAAATAAAATAAAATAAAGGCAGGCTACATAGTTGTAGTGGGAAAAGGGCCTACGATGGGTGATCTCTGATTGGAAGATATATTTCATAGTACAGTCTTTCGAGATACTAGTTTCCCCTCTCCGATAGGGAGAAACATCCCTTTTACACTCGTTCGCTCAAACAGCATCTATGTAGTCTTTGGGAGGCTCTCCTCCATCGTGGTTTGTTGGCTTGTTTGTTGGCTTGTTTGTTGATCCATCTCTTGCCATTTCCCCTCATTCTTTCCCATGTGCACCTGCCTTCCTCCATCGCATTGAGGGTCCCGCACAACGCCCCATTTCACAAGTAATGAAGCTTCTCGCTCTGTTAAGGATAGAAGAGCCCCAAAAGGGGTCGAGAATAAATAAACTTGCATTTTGGGCACGCTCGGCACCCCGCGCTGAGAAATTGCTGTTGATATCCCATCTTGATCAGCCCCATGTTCTTGAGTTTGCCTTTTTAGAGTAACATTGATTATCGACCACAATACAATTGCATTCATGACCAACTCTGGGTTGGCCTATTCGTATCCCATCTGGATTAGCTTCTATACTGAACCCCCATCTGTTAGGGCTCATCGACCACTCGCTTCACTGAGTTCCTCTTGGGCCAGCCGAGAATTAAGCTCTTGGAGAGGGCCCACAGCCACCATGGTCGTAAACATGACCGTAAAGAGGATGGTAAAAATCTTCATATTTTGTCCAATTTTCAAGACGTAGGCGAATAATTAACCAGAGAACAGATGATTAGCTTTTTCAAAGAGCTGGGAGGAAGTACGTACTCTTTATACCTGGAGGCCTGCCACAGAGCCCATACTTTTAAGGTTATTTTCGGAACCCTTATCGACGATCATAGCTTGGTGGCATAGCTGAAACAGACAATAGCTTCTCATAACAGAATGCCGGTCACTCCTTGTACTTTGGCTTATGGATACTCGGAGGCCAACACCATCTCCATGGATCTTGCTTCAATGTTTACCAAAGCTTTGCGTTGGGGTGCGCCATACGCATAACGAGCAGGCACGTCGTGTGGGTTGACGAAAATATGTACTCTACAGAGCACTCGACTTAGGGCGGAGGTTAATGCTTGGTTAGTGGTCGACATAAAGATCGAGATGGTGATCAATATAGTAATCGATCCGATTGGAGCCTGTTTTCCAATGAATACTTTGACTATGGCAGAGATAGCAAGAGATAGAACATAGCGTTGATCACGAGAGCAAACCGACTCAAAATGAATTAGTCAAGTGGGGAAGCTCAAGGCAGCCTGGTCGGCCCGGGCAGGTCGAGACACGAGAGTAAAGGCGACAGGAGCATAGACAGAAAGAAATAACCAACAGAGAAGCAGTCTTAAGAGAGAATAAAATCCCGAGCATCCGCTTTAGATGTGAGCCTTTGTTCGACCATCCTTCTTCAGGGCAAGATGAATAGACCGCAATCAAACATTTTATGACTCCTTCAAGAGACGAGATACTTCCTTATACAGGGAAGAAATAGTGCACAAAAACAACAACCGCAGCACTTGATGGGAAAGAGATAGCTGAGATCACTTGTCTTTACGCGTCAGAGCTCAGGGACGTTTCAAGCCATCTTGATTTAGCGATAAGATTTGAAGTCCACGACAGGTGCAATCTACTTTCAAGATTGCAAAGTCTTTCATATACAGGCACTTTCCACGATTAATACAAAGACCACAATAATCCATCTGATAAGATTTGCTATCTTCCAAAATCCATCAGATGTACGGTATGCACAACATCCACCCCCTCTCAACCCACACTCTTCAACCACCACGTCAACTCCACCCCAAAGCTCTCTGGCTGATCATACATCACCAAGTGTCCAGCTCCCTCAATCAACACCATCTCCCGTGCTTGCACCTTCTCCTTCACCCTTGACGCTGTTTCCACTGGCAACCACTGGTCCTCAGCCCCCCAAATCACCATAACCGGCATCTTCTCCCCCACCTTCCCATACTGCTCCTCGACCTCTTCCACACTCCGCCGACTCGCCTGCACCATTTGTCTCAGAAATCCCATCCGCCCCTGATCATTCTGTATCCATGGCTTTTTCAACGCCTCCATAACCTCCGTTCCGATCTCCGCCCACGCTGCCTCCCGAATATACCCCTCCACAACGCCGGCAAACATAGGCCCCGGTAGCGCGCCAAACACACCCTCATGCGCCGCAATCAGCTTGAAAAGCGGTGTTTCAAACGGCCCTACCGCAACAACATCTACGAGACACAGACTCGCAAGCGCACATCCGTGCATCAGCACCGCCCGCAGCGCCAACAGCCCGCCGACATCGTGTGCAACTACGTGTGGCGCTGCGCCGCCCCATGCCCGGGCCCAGTGGGCGTACAGTGCAGCAAATACACGTGTCTGCTCGGCGAGGTCTGAGTCCAGTGCAGTTTCAGGCGTGATGCTGGTGTGCGGGAGGGGAGTGCCGGGCGGGCTGGTGCCGAAGCCGGGACAATCGAAGAGATGGATATGGAAATGGAGCGCGAGGGCGCGGGCGTGGGTGGCCCAGACGAAAGAGGACCATGGGGTGCCGTGAATGAAGATTAAAGGCGGGGAGGAGGGAGAGCCGAGAGTTGTATAGTGGACCTGATAGCTGTGTGTTGCGGTGGTGTGGGTGAAGGTTTGGGGGAGCGGGATGGAGGTGGTGAGGGGCATTGTTGGGCAGTGGTTTTGGTTATAGAAGGGATAAAGTCGTAGATGGGATAATTGAGTGATAGATCTTAAAAGAAAGCCTTAACAAAGATGAGAATATCTTGATAGAAGGAGGTGGAAGCGAGACGAGGGTTATGGCTTGATTTGATGAGTGCGAGTGCTTTCTTAAATATGCACAAGAGTATAGTTCCATCGGGGGCTATGATTGGACAGTTTGTGATCAACTTGATTGAGGTGGGGGCACTCCGGGTCGCCACCGCTTTGACGGAGGAGCCATGCTGAGCACCGCTGATGACGACAGTCTTTTGCACTAGCAGGAGGCATTGATTTCTGTGAATATGCTTGGACAGAATGAAGGCACAATACGACATCATTGAGGAGATCGGCAGACAATTAGCGAGGGTAAAAGGTGGAAGAGGAGGTGATCTAAGAGATACTAGGTAGGCCATAATCAAATAATAGCGCAATTTTCATAACCTATCAGAGCTTATAGACTCATGGAAGCAAAGCAAGAAGACTGGATTGATTGGAAACACTTAGATCAAACAAGGAAGAAGAACACTATCGAATAAAGGTGAAGGAAGCCTAATGAAAAATAAGCTATCACGCTAGTTCCAGAAACAACATCAATTTGTGGAAATTCAAACAAAAATGGACGAGCCGGTGCCAGTGCCAAATTACAGAGTAGATATTCATCGATATCTATCTATATTAGCCTTCTTCAATAAGCCTGACTCTTGGGTTAAGTACCTACTAGACTCCCTTGCCTAGCAACCGTCTGGAAAGAAGCTGTCCGAAATATCCTCACAATGCCAGCCATCATCGTCCGAAGATTCATCTGTGCACCAGATACTGACATTAATATCATAGCTATATATCATTAGCTTCAAAATGATCTCTATTAGCATAGTTTGTTCATCAATTACATACCAATCATTGTATCTACAGTATCTTCCCGGCAGTCGATGCTCGACGTAGTTGTTATCTTTAGTACTATACTTTTTCGCTTGCTGCTTCTTTGACCAATCATAATAGAAGGTATAGTTCTTATCATCGCACACTGAGCAGAAGCAGTCCAGTTAGCAAAATAGCCAAGTACTAAAACATTATATTTAGCATGGACGACATACTCCACTGGTCACCCTCCTTGGTCGCACCGAGCCATTTATTTTTCCCCTTGTTATCGCCGTGGCATACTTGAACACCATTGTCGACCAATGTGAGCGTGCCATATGCACCATCGACTTTATTTTCATAAATGCTGCCAGTCACCTTGAGGCATGCCAAAGCGGGAGACAGAAGGTTCATCGTGAGGATAACCGTAGCTAGAGATTTAGGACTGAAAGCGAGCATGGTAATGAGTAGAGAAGAAAAATCCTTCTAGCTGATATTGTTTGTTTAAGAGCTTTTGTGCTCGGCTGTTGTTTTCTTCATCTGGGAGCAGGAAGATGGCTCTTCTTATATGCATCGGGCCTCCCAGGCTTCTTACTGGAGATAATAAAAGAACAATATTATTAGTTGGATAATATGAGCCTCCTCACTAGTTCTAGAAGAAGATGTACGGCATTGGAAAGGATGCTTTCAGCCGCCACAGAATTAATTGACCGACATATACACAGAAGTGGTTTCGCGTCTACCTCGTCTTGCAAATAGTCACGAGCGATTTCAGCCGAAATACAGGTTAATTCACCAGCATATACATAGTAGTGGTTTCATATCTGCTCCACCAATAAAAGGAAATCAAGGCCAAAAGAAATCTCCTGTCATAAATTGATTAAATTGATAGGCAGGACGCTTGGCATAGTGATATTAATAGAGGGCGAATGGCTTGGAGTCTCCTCAATACACGTATTGCACTAATTTTCTGGTCGTAGCGTATCTGTTGATTGGTTTCTGTCAGGAATCTTCTAGATTTGGACAAGACTAGATATATCCAACAGTTGGTTGATCGCTTCCGCATCTGTTGGTTGGTCTGTTGGTTACTTGTCTCTTTCAGGCACTAAGTTCGACGGCTGGGCTTTATTAGCCACCGAGAAAGATCATTACTGTCTTGAACACATTTTTGGCATCAAGATTGAACTTATGTAGTTATCGCCATGTTTAAAGGGCCGGCCTGGTAGAGGGTTTGCTCATAATCAATGCCTCCATTGTGAGCTTCAAACAACCCAGAATCATCTACAAAGGCCTACAAGACAGGGAACAGCCATCCTAAAGAGCTGCGAATTCACGGTTTCTATGGCCTGGGGAACTTACACAGGAATTCAACAGACCCTAAAAACTTCACTTTGCTTCCTGGCCTTTGAGGATCCCACCTGTAATTACAAAGTACCATCACAACTTACAAAAGGAAAGAGAGAGAGAAAACAGAAGTACTTCGTAAGACGCTAACCAGTATTAAAAAATTGGGGGGATAGAAATACAAATGCCAGCTTCCCGGAACCAACTTCAGCGGCGCCGGGGCCCGGCAGAGGATGTGGAACAAAAATAGTTCGCTATCCAGCGAAGGATTCCTGTTCACAATAGAAATTCAGAACCGAAAATTTCTCTTGAAACAGTGGACTAGACGGAATTGGTAGCGCGCGCCAAATTGAAGGAGGTGCGGGGGGGGGATAAGGGACGAAGGATAGAGGGAGTAGGTGAAAATGTCACTTGCGTTCTGGAGGAGTTGACGCTGTGCGTTGGGTTCTTAGATTTTCAATCCCCAACTTCGTCCAGCTCCAACAGCTGTGCCACCCAGGAACCCAATCCACTCACTCACACCCTGCACCTTGGCCTTGACAACCTCTTTGTCCTCAAACCGCCGCGCCACGAATGTCTCCGTCTCCGCCAGGTCCGCGCTCGGGTCCCGCGTCATGACGACCTCCGCACTGGCATAGATGGCTGAGACCGCCAGCCGGCGCGAGTACCATGATGCATCAACCGCAGGGTCACCCGCCAGCGTTATAATATCATTCGCAAGGGCATGCAGCTCCGAGAGCGCGAGAGGGATATTGCCAAGAAGAGAAAGCTGTGCAAGCGCCTATGTCGGAGGATTTGTTATTCGGGGTGTATGATCATTTCCGGACTTGGTAAAGAAAGAGAGAGAGAGAGAGAGAGAAAAGGAATATGAGGAGTGGGGAAACTTACATCTTGCCACACGTGTTTGATATTCGCGTTCATCCGTAACCGCTGCATAACCAAAATGCGTACCTTGTCATCGACACTTAGGCTAGCGGCGTCGAGACCGCGCTCGGCCGCAACGCGCTGTAGCAGCGCACCCTCCTCAACTTGACCACGAAGTAAACCACGGCGACTGGCGAGCCAGAACAGGACGAGGTCGAATTCGCCGCGGGGAAGGAGGTGGACAGAGACATCGAGGAAGCCTGCATCGCGAGCGCCGGCAGCGAGGGCGGCCCGGGAGAAGCCGAGAGTTGGGAGATATGGCAGAGCAGCGGTTAGGATTGCCGTTTGACTATTGGTGTATGCGTGTGTTGGGGGCCGGGGGTGGAGGGTGGAGTGATAGCAACGTAATGGTTGATAGACGGGTTGTGTTGGCTGGTCTCGGCGGTGTTGCGGAAGGCGAACTTGAGTCCTGTGATGGAATTGGCGGGTTGAAAGGGAGCAGAAGGCGATTGAAGAGGGAGAAAATAAGGCCCTACGTGAGATGGGCAGGGCGAGAGATGCCATTGTTGGAGGGTGGTGGGTTGAAGCTCACTTTTTCGAGGCGGAGGTGGAGAGATTGGAAGTACGGAACTACGGAAATCTGGAAGGCCCACACTTGTCGGGCGGAGCGGGATCGGCACATGCGAACTACAAAGCACTGACATTTTCCATTCTCATTCTAAGCAGAGCAGATTGAAAGCACGCATGTTGGTGTGCGTAACATGATGGGAATAAGGGAATCATCGGCGAACGGAGAATCAGAAAAAGAAAGAGTGCGTGGTGAGAAGAAGAGAAGTGATAGAAGAGCATAGAAGCAACAAAACCAAAGAGCAGAGAAAGAAACAAGCCCCAGAACCCGAAGAAATAGCAGAACCGATTCTTTTATTTTACATGATCTGGTCCTGTGTAATGGCCGATGTGGGCTCGGTTTCTTCCATCATGTCACCGGTAGGAGCACCGCCGGCATTCAGGTACTTGACAAAAGTGATACCCAGGGGACGACCACCATACTGGTAGCCAGTGAACTTGGCTGTGAGACGTTAGCCAAAGGTCTTGGAAGGGAACAGAGAAAAAAAAAAACCAAAATACGGAGAAGTAACTGACCAATTGCAGTCTCAGCAGTGTCAGGGGTGTCGAACTCGACGACACCGGTTCCGCGGGAGCGGCCATTAGGTTCGTACTGGATCTCGGCCTTTTCAACCTTGCCAATGGTCGAGAACAAATCGATCAGATCCTCGTTACAGGTGGACCAGGGCAGCTATTGTCATATCAGCATCGACATAGTGACTTTGGACTCCCATTCCAGTGGCATATTACTTACGTTGCGCACATAGATTACAGCACTCTTCTCGCCGCCAGAGGTTGCGAAGTCGGTGAAGGCGTTCGGGGGAACCGAAGCCACAGGAGCAGGAGCTTGGTCGAAACCACCGGCGAAGCCGCCGGGAGCGCCCCCAAAGCCGCCACGGCCGTAGCCGCCGCCAAAGCCACCGCGACCCCCAAAGCCGCCGCGGCCACCAAAACCACCACGGCCGAGGCCACCGCCGTAGCCGCCGCGACCTCCGAAGCCAGGGCCAGAGCCAGCGAAGCGGTCCTCGCGAACTTCCAAGGGACGACCTTGCCACTCATATCCATTAAACTGAGCGATGGCGTTGCGTGCATCATCTGGAGATTCAAAGGCGACGATGCCGGAACCCTTAGGGCGACCGGTGGGATCAGTGTGCACATCAGCACGGATGACGCCGCCTTGCTGGGCTGAACACAATATTTCAAGTCAATTCACCAAGCGCTCGAAAAAAATGCAGGAAGGGAAAACAAAACCCCAAAAAAAAGAATAAGGGGATGAACTCAACCGTCTCCGGTCAGGTCATCATGCAGGTACTTACCGGCTTGGCGGAAAAGATCCTTCAAGTCTTGCCAACCAACGTTGAAAGGAAGCTAAAATGTGGTGTTATCTGTTAATATTCCACTGGCTCACACAAGGATACATCTAAGCATCATTAGGGGGTTGCAAGAGGGCTACAAACGTTCGACACATAAAGTTGACGACCACCACCGCCGCCGCCGCCGCCGCCAGCACCGCCGAACCCACCACCGAAGCCACCTCGGCCACCGCCGAAGTCGCCACGTGGAGGGCCACCGATGAAACGGGGCTCGGCCTCACGATCCTAAGAGAGTGTGGTATCTCGGTCAGCTGTGGGGGAAAGACCCAGGGAGAATTGGGGGGAAGGACTTGAAGCGGATTGACGTACCTCTCGAACATAGACAAGACGACCCATCAGGTTTTGGTTGCTAAGCGTGTTGACCGCATTTTGTGCTTGCTCCCTCGTGGCGTATTCCACAATCCTGTATACCCAAGGCACATTAGCGAAACATTCTCACATCAAGCATGCAATTCCAGATGGGAGAGAGATATGTGCTTACCCGCATCCCTACATTGTTCCGGACAGCCAGGCCCAGCCCGTCAACCCAACAGTCCATGCAAAGGGAAACCAAAAAAAAAACAAAGAAACCACGAGAAATCAGGGAGTAGAGTAAAGGAACCAGCCACTCTACGCATTGGCGCCCACCTTCGACATTCCATTCGGAAGAAGTAATACATCGGCAAAGAGAACCTCTCCAGCTGCAAAACGCAAGAAAAAAACAAGCCGGTTAGCCTGGACGTCGATCACGAAGAAATTGGAAAGGATTCGAGGGATCGGGGACGAGCATAGGCCAGATAAAAGTGCCACTCACCCTGTCGCATAAAATCTTTGAGATGATGCCACTTCACATCGTAGGACAGATTGCCCACATAGACCCGACGGTCTTGTTGGGACGAGTCGCGGACAGATTGCATCATGTTTTCTTTGGCGGCGAAACGATCCTCAGACGTTCTGCCCGGCGCGTAACTGCTGCGTCCACCGTAGGGGGAGCCCGACGGTCCAGCAGCACCAGAAGCACTCAATGGAGATCGAGAACGGCGATCGCTGCGACGGTAATCGTCACGGCTGCGAGAGCGACTGCGCGGTGAATAGGAGCGACGGCTACGTCGGGGACTGCGAGAAGAACGACGACGGGGTGAACGGGACCTCTCACGCTGTACGCGGTCAGAGTCGGGGAATCCGGCAGACATGGGTGGGCGAGGGTCGTAGGACATGGCGCGGGTGTTGTCTGAAATGTTGGAGGAAGAAAGAGAAAATGTGGGGTAGGGGGAATGGGAGGGGGAAAGAGAGGGAAGGAGAGAAGGGGCAATCGGGTGTCGCAAGGATGAGGAAGGTCGGGAGGGGTGGTCAAGAGAGGGTGATGAGAGACGAGGGACGGCCAGCGAGGACCGAGCAGCGCGCGCGAAGATCGGGGCGGAGGTTTCGGGGGGAGGGGATCAGTCAGGTGACCTGGGACCCGCTGGGGATCGAGGACCTTCCGGGGTGGCTTAAGGGCACTGCGTTTCGGGGATTGCGCACACGGCGCACAAAAGAGGGGGTGTTTTTGTTCGCGTTTGCCATTGAGAAGGGAATTGCCAGAAACGAAGGAAAGCCCAATTGCTGGAGTCTTCGCATCTACCCGGGCCAAGACGATGCGGCGCAAAGAGATGGATGGGCAGTTGTCCGCCCCCGCACTGACCATCAACGATAGCCACGACAGCGCAGAGCCCAGCGCATCACGATAGGGAATAACGGTCGCATAGGAAGAGCAGGGAGGAGTGGATGAAAACGAGCAAACTTACTTGATAGGGCCGATAGACGTCCGCTGTGAAGGGAGGGGACGTTAGTAGAGACAAGAGAATAAGGGGGAGGTTGTGGAGGGAAAGGGAAGAAGGGAAAGGAAGGGAGGAGGGGGAAGAAAGATGAAAGGATCAGGCGTCAAGTTGCGCGGCGGTGATTGGGTGAGGGGGGGAATTGGGGATTAGGGGGGGGAAAGTGATGGGCGACCTCAGAGAATGTACCAAGGAGTCACCATCTCAGTAAGCAGTGAGACCCGAGACATGCTCCCCCCGGGCACAGGCCATGTTATGCAGTAGACCGGCCGAACAGCTTAACAGCTCAGCAGCTTAGGAGCTTAGGAGCTTAGTAGACTGATAGCCTGGTAGCCTGATAGTCTGAGGGCTTGATGACTTGTGACTTCATGACTTGATAGCTTTTGATGGCTTGATAGCTTGATGGCTCGATAGCTCAATAGCTCAATAGCTCGATAGCTCGATAGCTTGATAGCTCCATCACTAAATAGCAGGGCCACCTTGCAAACATAGCAGAGCCAGAAGGGAGTCCGGGACATAGAAAGGATTGGAAAATTGGACCATCGGTGCATTGGACACGCAGCAGCTAAGACCAGAAGAGGACCAAGTCCAAGTGCCAGGTGCGAGCAGGTGCAGTAGGAGCAGCAGAACCCGGCCAGCTAGACCAGAGAGGGGGGTAAAAAATCGAACCTACCCATGATTTAGAACGGGGACGGACACAAGAATGAGGTGTGGTACAGAAGGTCGTGGAGAGGAGGAAAGTGGCGGAGAAAGGAAGAAGTGGTGGTTTGGGGTTGGGTTTGGTTTGGGGGTTTGGGGATTTCGTCGGATCGCGACGCTGCCAAACAGCTTTCCCTTTGGCCCCGTCTCCACCGCCTCGGGGACGCGTTCGGCTCTTTCCCCTTCTCTGGATATACTCCAATGGGGGTCACGGATAATACAGCAGGCCAACTCCAGTGAGACTCCTAATTTGGAGTACAAGATAGACCTCGAAAAACTTGACCAACCCTCAGCTGTACACTACTAGGATCTACTCCCCATACTAGGCGCAACTGAGGTAATCAAGTGATACAGGAGTATAGGACAAGAAAACATATATTCTATTATGTACATTACATCTCTACCCAGAACCCATTACATTTAAGGTCGATCTGCAATACAGCCAGACCCATCCATGTTAGGGGTTAGACCGAATCGAAATCCATCCGAATCCTGCTGTTAAGATATTCAGAGGAGATACTGAGGGAGGAAAAAAACAAATCAAATCAAGACTATCATCAAGATGAAAAAGAAAAAAAAGAAAAGAAAAAGAAGAGACTAATAACACATAGTCTGCACCTCCCGTCATCGAAGTCCCATGGATAAAATGCCGCCCTTGATGCGGTATCCTGCAGCATTCCCGGATCGCGCCCCTCGATCGTGTCACCGAACCCCCCCCCCCCCCCCCCACAAGGGCGAGACTCAGCCCAGGCCCCAGCCCGGCACCCTTATCAAAATGCCACGTCCCCCCGCCGCAGATCGCCGGGGGCCCGTCGACAAGCTTTCCACCCTCTCCCCTCCCCATGACATTCGAAAGAAGTCACTCGAGATGACCCCGATTTTTAGACTTTTTGAGACTGCATTTGATCACGGATTCCTGATCTCATGAGCCTTGTCAGCCTCATACAATATAGTCGCATTAGACTGCTTTCTGCCAATGCTGACCGAGGGTGACGGCTACGAACATTCAGACGTGTAAGGGCCAACTTCACGGAACTAAAGAGGGGGCGGCTCCAAGCTCGAAAGCTCGATATATCAAGACGTCCATTGCATAATTGACCAAACCAAGATCCAACACTGAGATCAGAACAACATCGTATTTCATTTCTTCACTCCAGAGACACAAACCAGGTACCGGCGGCGTACGTAACACACATGTAGGGAACCAAAAATACAGAGAAAAGGAAAAATGATAGGAAAAGGGACAAAAATGAAAAGATAATAGAGAGGAGGAGGAATGAAGAAAAACCCCAAAAAGTATATAACGAAAGCACGGGTGCTCAGCACCCAGGGAATCACAGGGAGAATCGAAAAGAAACCCGGTTGTGCGCCGCAAAACCCGGAACGAACGCCCGCGGCGGATCTAGCTGCCGCGCAGAGAAAAGGGGAAGGCGGGATTGAAATATGAAATGGGGAGTGGAGGAGGTATCCATCCGAACGAGAGGACCCGTACTCTTACAAAAACGCCTAGCAACAAGCTAGATCGTATTGTCGGGGGGAGAGAAATCTGGGAGTTGGAGAATGGCGGGTGAGAGATGATGGTGGTCATACATGTACAATGGACAAGACAGTCCAGGACAAAGAATAGGGAATTTGTAGTTGGGGGGAGGTGGGGGGGGAGGGAGGGATAGATAGAAAGACAAAAAAGGGGCCCAGCAAAAACAAAAGGCAATCAGAAGAAACGAATGGTTAATTGGGAAGAAGCAAATCAGGCCGCCACATTGGTGGGTGGGTACCGGCCGGGAATCTTCATGTCAATGGCCACGACGCTGTCCTGCTTCGGGCGGACAAGGTCGGCCCCAGATTTGGCGTGATCCCCAAGACCATCTTCCAGACCGTTAGTGGTGGGAATGGAGCTGGAGGCCACAGCTGCATTCTGACCCAGCTCGAGGCTCTCGTCGAGCGAGGTGGCTAGGGTGTTGTTGGTGTAGTCGGTGACGTTGGTGTTCGTGGGGGCCGTGGACACGCTTTCTCGACGGGCAACTTGCGGAGGCGCAGACGATTCTCGGCGGTTGCGGCCCTCGAGCACGCCGGACATGGCGACAACTGAGTTGTGGTCGCCATCGGATCGAACTTCCCGGTCATCCATATTGGCCGTCTCCGACAGCTGGCTCTTCTTTTGTTGCGCGACAATAGCGGCGGGGCTGATCCAATCGCCGTAGTAGCTGTCATGCCGACTCATCTGGGACCGGGAACGATCGGCAGAGCTGGCGTTCATGGCCTGTGGCGATCCATTGGCCGCGTCACCGCCATCATAGAACCGGGAGGCTCCAGTCGCCGCACCCGTGCCATCAGGAAGTGATCCTGCAGCCGCAATCATGTCACGCCCAGACGAACTGGCGCCGCTGGAGGGGGACAGGGGAGCTTGAAGGTGGCGGTCGATCTGAACATCACTCGGGAAGGCCCCGCCGGGCTGGCGGGTGGCTGAAGTGGGCCGCTCCTGGGCCAGAACCACGGACTCGGCGGAGTATGGAGTCTGGTCCGCCTCGTCGTCGTCCATGACTTCACTGTATGTGGACCGACCGCTCACACTCCGTACATGGCGGCGCACAAAGGCATTGCGAGCCTCACCCGTCTTGCTGATGAGACTCTCGATGTCCTCGTACCAAGATGTCATGGTTTCATGTGATTCGGCGCGGAAGACCCACGAGTGGCCGCGGTGCATAGCACCAGTCTGCCGACCCTTGAGCATGAATTTATGCGAGCTTGAATCCTCCTGGGAGTGGGAGCCAAGTTTCTGCTCCGGAAGGTATAGCGACATGACGGGCGTCTGCCATGCCACGCGATCGGCCGACTTGAACTCATGGAGGTGAGTCGGCGACAAGACGTACCAACCAGGCGTGTAGCTCTTGAGGTACTTGCTCTTGCGCTCCAGCATACCGGCACGAATTTCGGCCGCGGCCGGATGATCCTTGCCAGAGTAGGTGATGTTTTCAACGTTTCGTAGAGGAATCCGGGGATCGACCAGCTCATCGGTGCTGGAGACAAATGCATTCCACTCATGATCCTGGGGCATCGAAATGGGGCCAGCACGTAGCTTCTCCACGGTGTCGTATGCCTCGTCGGCTTCGCGCTTAAGAATACTGGCGTAGGCATTGTATGCCTTTTGGATCTCGCTGACCACAATCGATTCAAGTTCACGGCCTGAGTTCTCCAGATTCAGGTATGCCTGCGCCCTCAATATGTTAGCTGCTGCATCGGACCCTCAAGGCCGCTCATGCACGCGAGAAGAGGGAGGGGGAAACATGAAAGATTGGTGCAACGAACCCGATGTAAATAATTCTCCTCCTCAATCTGCTTCTCGACCTGTCGTTCCACATTGAGGCGCATCAGGAACGGATCTCCCTTGCCAGATGTTGCTGAGGGATCGGTATCCACCAGGCCAAGGGACTCGTGCAGGTTACGGACAGCCTTGCGCGTGCCGTCAATCTCCTTCTCAACCGTGTTCTTGAAATCTCCCGACAGGCTCTTGATCTCCTTCGTTTTCTTCTGCAGGTCGCTTCGGAGACCAGTCAATTGGCTGATGACTTCGATTTCGACCTCGACTGCCTTGTTGGCCTCGGTATATCCTTGGCGGTGGAAGTGCTGAAGGATCTCCGTCGCATCGGCCAGGCCACCTGACTGTAAGAAGGCCGGCGGAATCACCTGGTTGTTCATCACGTGGGAAGCGGATAAGAATAGTTTGGATCTTGTTTCGTAGGATTTCTGTACTTCCTTGAAGAACAGAATCAGGTCCTTTAAAATCTTGCGCCAGGCTGAGGGGCAGACAAGCCCGGTCAGCAAACAAAACTTTACGTATAGAGGAAATCAAATTAACAGACGGGGATCCTTACCTTGAAACCGATTTGCCAGCACCTCCGTCGGGTTCCCGGAGGTCGGGATCGGCGCCATAAAGGCACTGTTGACATCATCCACGCCCTCGGCATTGTACTTTTCCCGATCGCCCAAGCTTAGGCTTCGGACGCTACCAGCACGCAGGGAGCGACGGCTGCCATTGCGTCGCAAGCTTCCCTTCTTGCTCAGAGAGGCCTTTTTACGAAGGGTACTGGAGCGGGACGGTGTGGGCGAGCGGCCCTGGGACATGAGCGAGACGGAGCGCTGGATACCGGCGGCGGACCCGTCAAGCTGAAGGGAGCTGCGATGGCTGGCAGTTTCGAAGTCCTCTTTGAACCGGGTATTGTGGGAGATCTGAGGCTGATCGAGGGCGCCGTGACTGTAATGAAAGGCCGAGCCCGTGCCGGCGTAGGAACTCGGTCGCGAGGAGGTTCTCAAATTGCCGTATCCGCGATTAAGCACCCCCGGGTCGTTCGGGTGGGGGATCATGTAGCCGTCCTGCACGGGGGTCTGCGGCCGCGCGGCCATGGCCATGACTCCGGGAACGGGAGGGAAAAGAGGGGAGATTTGGTGGTGATGGTGGACGGCACGGCGATGGTCGACGGTCGGGAATATGCCGGAGGGATTCACAGCAAGGAGAGGGCTCCGGAGAGTTCAATGACAATGGGACTTGAGGAAGCAAAAAGAGAAGAGGAAAACACGAAGCAAGAGGGGCGATCAATGATGGCGCGGTCTCCGGTTACCCAGCGAACGGAGGCGCTGGGCTGGAACGGTTTGCGGGGGCGTCTTTCGAGACTTTAGGAGCGTCGGTTCACGAGGAGATCAGGTTGCCCCACACGACGGAACTATCGAGGAACCGCGCAAAAGGAGATCGAACGATGCGCTCGGGATAAAAGGGGGAGGGGGCTGATCGGGTGGCTTGGGAAATTCCAAACTCATGAATCAGAATCGGAATCTGAAGGATAAGAGAAAATCGGGAGACGGGAATTAAAGATTGATCTTGAAGAAGAGTGTTGTCGAGGTCAAGTTGGAGGTGAATGACGTCTACGATGCGATCGAGTGATGACGCTCAGCGTTCCTCCAACCAAGTTCAACCACCCAAGTACCAGGTACCACCGAAGACACTCAGGACCCCACGCCCACCAAGGGTATAGACTCCGTTGCGCCGTACCGAGTGACAAGCAACCACTCAAAGACTGCGTTCCCTTCGGGAGCCCCGGCACCGAAGAGAGGGGGAAAGGCACCTCAAAAGCTAATTTGCATGAATCACGATAGTTGACGTCGAGGACTCGGAGGTTTAGTCCGTCGCTGTGATTTGAGTGGGTTCAGGTTGAGCGGCTTGATCTTCTCATGCTGAAGATAGACTACGGATCCGATCGTCTTCCAAATGAAACCATTTTCTTCGAACCACTCAATCGCAGCCCAGGACTCCTGAAATAACCAAAAAGGGGCACAGGCAACTGCGGCAGAATCCTCCGAGGGGCAACTTGTCTGCCTAATAACGAACGTGGCTGACGACGGTGGCTCCGCCATGCCGCGGCGCGTTGGTCCTGCAGGCCTGCAGCCGAGAGGGGCCTCCTGAAGCGCGGGACCCCGAGCACTGGAGCCCGATGATGTCCTTGATTCAGCACCTGTGATCCACAAAGCCGATGTGGCTCAGCATCCAAAAAGAGGGCCATAAAAGGGGAGAGTTGGCACCCCCTCCCCGATTTGCCCCCTCTCCTGATCGATGATCAACCAGATGAACATGACGTCGGGACTGGGGCGGTGGACAAGAGGGGGGTGGGATAATGTTGAGCTCGTGGAAAAACGTCCTGCCCCCTTGCCGAGTACATCAGACATATGTATCCGATGACTCCGTTCATTTGGGCCATTTATGTAGAACGTGGTTCCCCCGCGGGTTTCCGATAGCGCCATGATGCACATCGTCGATCGACGTTTGGCGGCCCTGGAATATCCCAGGATAGGGGAGGATCATAACCCAGGCGTTTCAACATCCCGTCTTTTGTTTCTTTTTCTTTTGGTAGACCATAGTTTGCAGGCGACCGTTAAACTTGAGCAAGCTAAGAGACACGTGAGAAGTCCCAAAATTGTGACATAATTATTCATGATCCTGATGGGGCCTGATTCATGGCTGAGGTGAGGAAGCCAACGTCGGTCCTCGTCATTGCCGTCCATGGGAATCCAAATCGTGGAGTTGGAGGAGGAACTTGGCGAGGTGATCTCATTCCGAGGATTCCGGCAGGTCGCATGCAAGAGACACTTGCATCATAAATGCTATGTATCGGAGATTCTTGATGGGTTTACTCCATGAAGAGTGTATGAATGAACATGGAGCCGTGCGGACTGAGGGTTGGATATAGCCGCCCCGTCATTGGCCGCCGTGGACCAAGTTTCCCCTCCACGCGCATCTCGAACATCTTGGGCCACCACGTCTTATCAGACATATCAATCCCCGGCATTCCCATCAAGTGTTGTCGTAGAGCAGAGGGGTACGTGAACCCCGGGCAGCTCATGATAACTAGCTTTCATGCACGGCAATTGACCATATATCATTATTTTACTTGAGAGATTCCTTGTCCTAGAGTCACCCGCGGGGGATCCCAAATAGATCTACGTCACTCGGTGCTAACAGAAGAGAACTGATTTCGGATTGACGTGTCCGGCATGCTAGAGAGGCAACATGATGAAAAGGGGGTAATTTACACAACGCGACCAGGGAAATGAGGAAGGGTGGGATCAAGATATCGGAGGGACAACAGGACTGGCTTTTATGATGCAGAAACCGGGTATGTGGGAACTTCAATGCCATAGGCCTCCTTGATCCGCTCGCGGCGGCGTTCTGCGTAGTTAGGGCCGTAGATACCTGGAAACAATCACGATTAGCTTCAATCCGACGCTTCCATGCCCACTTCCCTCGTGGGGTCTCGGCGGGGGGTTGGTGGATGAACATACCACGTCCCTCACCCAATTCGGCAAAGGTCTGCTCGGCGGGGCTCTGGTAGTTGGTGCGCAGCTTTGTCCGACGCTCAAACTCATCTTCATCCTTGTTCTTGCTGTATCCGAACAGAGAGCCACCGGTGTATTCGAAAGCGGCCAGGGCGGTCGACAGGGCGACACCGTAGCCGAGCACGGCGGGAAGAGCACGGGCTAGGGACCAAGTTAGTATCTGGTTCTTTGCAACATCAATTGTAGTCAAAGCTGACCTCGCAGACCCAGAATGGCGCCGGAGAAGAAACCACCGATGGCGGTGTTCCAAGGGTCCTCCTTCTCGCGCAGGTTGGCCGACGCGGTTTTGGCGAATTCGTAGGTACCACCCATCGCAGCTACAAGATCAGTAGTATTAGTATCGATTGACCCATTATTTCTTTTAGAAATGGGTTCGTACCGAGAACAGTGATGGTGCTGCCGCTGCGCTGGAAGATGCCCAGCGGGCCAACATTCTGCCTCACCAAAGTGTTCTGGACAGCTGAGGCAAAAAGACCAATGCCACCAGTCATGGCAGTGGTCTTAATAGATGCCGAAATGGCATCCTTTGGGTGGTAGCTGTCGTCCTCAGCGTGGTGTGCCATGGTGGTCTGGGGGAGGGATGAGCTGCGGTGGACGGGTGGTTGAAACTCGGATTTTGGGATGCATTTTGCTACTGCTGACCGCCTTGGCCACCGCCTGGTCGGTTTGGGGTCGAACCATGGAGCTTCCACTTGGGACATCTGTAGATACAAAACTCATCAACACATCGTCCTTTTGTTAATACAAGATCTTTTAGCCTTTGTATGCTTGTGATAGGATTCAACTATTAGGTCTTTCACATTATTGCCCTAAATCCCTGGATCGGGCCTTACAGCATCAAATCCAAGCTTACCGCCCACTGCTGCCCATTGCGGTGGGCTCCCCGCTGTCTCTCCGCTAGCCAGTTCCCATCACGCCAGCGACTGTGGCGTCACAGAAGCACAAGTGTTCGGTTGGGTCTTATGGGCTATTAACATTTGTGGAGCACCCTGTCTGCCTTTATCTTCTTCTTTGTCGAGGAAAGGAGGGCTTTAAGGTGTGCGCTATCATAATAGGGCAACCACGGTCATGGTGCCTCCGCAGCGGCCGGGTGAGTGACAATGAAAGCAACATCTGCGATCAAACACTTATCATAGGGATAATCTGCTAATGTGGTCATTGTGCATCATAAATAGGCAAGACAGCGCCCCGTCTCGCAGAAGATATTCGGTTGTATGATCCCGCACATCCTCCAGGCACCGGTCTCAACCTACTTGCACAAGTGCCTCTTGTGTACCCAGAACCTCAAGACGAAGCGTATGGCTTTATATCACCAAATGCCTGCCGACATGAATATGTGATAAAAACAAACCAGACATTTCTGGCACAGGCGGAACACACGCGGAGACCCGGGACTTCCTCAAAGGTATCATGCATATGCTCGAAGTGCCGTTATCATCTGCAGGTTGTGGTCACGTACACAAATAGCGGGAATGCGTTTGCTATACCAAAGTCGGGACATATTCACCATCTAGTCTACAAATCAGGGAGACAACAGGGCGGTTCATCACCTGCGGAAGTGACAGAGAATGGCCAAGTCGCCGAGACGTATCATTACCAATGCTCACACCTCTCATGTTCCGCAATGGTCTCACTTCGCATCCTGTCCCCCCTTCTCAATCCTCAGCTTCTTGAAATATGCACAGACCCAAATCTCATTCGTGAGCGAGCAGAAGCAGCGATTGCAGATCAACCGGAGCGACTGGAGGGCATGGCCATTCCTATGCCCATCAATGTGCTTGATAACTTGCGTCTCTACCTCACTAACGCTCTTCATCATCCTGGACGTAGCAAAGCCATCGCAGCCACTAACAAGCGCTTCATGGTTTCGTTTGGAATGGAGGGCGAGCCTTGTAAAGATGCGTTAGAATTTTTGGGATTCACCTATGATAAGGTTTGTTATACCGGAATCCTTTTTGTTGCCAATCATATTGATCTCTGTTGCTGATTTTACCCATAGGAAACGGGTAGCTGGCAACCACCGCAACCAGACGCCCAGGACGATATTCCTTACCAAGATCCCCTAAGCATCTTTCTCGACGACGCAATTAATGAGCTTATCGTGTTGATACTCCAGCGGCCCGCATCGGAAAAAAGGGGAGTCCATTCCCCTGATCTTTCCAAGCAGGCAATGCATGATATTCTCTACGCCCTGGATGCACAAGATTGTGAGTCATTATCGCCCATCGGCAACAATGGCACAAGTACTTATTCATATACCAGATCCAAAGTCATCCCGGACCAGCGAGTTTTCCATGGCACCAGCTCCGTTTGTCTACCCACTTTGTTTGAACATGGTCCATGATACTAATTTTCTCAAACTTGATAGATTCTACGAAGATATTGGAGCCACAGAAGACATGAGTGCCTCATTGATAGTGGAAGCATATCAACGCCAAGTATCAGTAGACCCGGCGCGAGGAGCAAGGTATTTGCAATGTCTCAAGGCAATTGGTACTCTACGAGGCGGGGAGGACTGGGAGATCATTGACCAGGCGGCTCAAGTTGCATATTCAGAAGGGAAATACTCTGAAGATGATGTCGCGGAAGCATACAAATACTTTGGGCTTTGGCAGGATGACCCTAACATCACCGAGGACTCCATCATCGGAAAATTCTACGCTTTCTTAAGTTCAACCTCACAGGAGAAAGAAACAGAATCGCGCCAGCAGCTATGGCGGATTGGACATAGCCTGGGAAATGAGCGCATCAAGGCGGTTTCCGAGGATCGTGTATCCACCGCTGAGCAGGCTCAGGTCTTCCTTGGTGTTGAGGACAATACTCCGGACGATTTTATCATCACCATGTATACAGCAAAGGTGAATGACAACCCATCCTGCAAAGAAATGGCAAACCGAGCTGTCAGACTCATTGCAGAGTCACGAAACTCCACTGGACTCAGCCACTTTCTTGACACTGGTGAGACCATCGCTGGGGAAATGGATATTGCGGATGCGTATCGTCTGCTTCAGATCCCGGATCGAACCGCAGATGATGGTGCTATCATGGCTGCATACACGATCTGTATTGATGAAAATCCTGATCAGGCTGAGATCTACAATCGTGCATTGAGTATTATTGCCAAGGAAATGGAAAGTCCCATGCTTAGGAATATGGCGGGCATTTCATCTGAGCCTGATCGAGATTTGTCTGAATGGCCGGTTGGTCTACAGAACATCGGCAATACGTGCTACCTCAACAGCCTTCTGCAGTTCTACTTTTCTGTCCTCCCATTCCGCAATATGGTTCTCAACCTGGAGCGGTACCAAATGAACCTGGAAGATGGGAACAGCATCATGGAGAAGAAAGTTGGTTCCCGTAAGGTGGCTAGGAAAGAAGTCGAACGCTCACTTAAATGTAAGTCCAAGCAAGAAGTTCATATCTTACCGAATGATAGCTAACTGACTCATGTAGTCCTCGGTGAACTACGAGGGCTATTTCAAAACATGATAAGCTCATCTCAATCCTCGGTGACCCCCGGACAGGAGTTGGCGCGACTCACTTTGATCAGCCCAGGGAATGAAGCGGCGATTCGTCGTAGGTCGACCATTTCTAAGTCTCAAAGCCTCGGCGATATCAACGGAATGCCCATTCTTGGGCCTCTCGGACCACCTCAGCCCATCGTCGAAGAGCAGACTCAGCAAGAGCAGGCTATTTCAGACAAAGAGGTTGTCAACGACCTGAATTCCAGCGACTTGAGCAGTGAAGGCACTTTGGTGTCAGAAAATGATGTCAATGGTCCAACAGCAGCGCCCGCCGAGATCGAGGGGATTAATTCACGTTCTCCAACGAATGTTTCGGAATCAGATGGGGGACGCCAAGTCGGTGATACCACCATCTCCCCACCGAGACCCGAAGCCCCGAACCGCCCGCCACCGGTTCCCCCGCGGCCGTTATCAGATACCGACCGTCAAAGGCAGCTTATCGAGGAGGTGGAAATTGGCGCCCAGCAGGATGTCACAGAAGTCATCAATAACGTGCTCTTCCAGAGCCAGTGTGCCATTAAGCCACGAGGTATCGATAGTGACGGGGAACAACTTGACCAGATCAAAGAGTGAGAATTCTTTTTTTTTACTTTTGGATGAACTAGTTGATATACTAACTATGCCTCAGCTTGTTTTACGGTCGAACACGGTCATATATTTCCACTCAAGATGGCATCCGATCCAAAGAAGAGCGATGGTGTGACATCAAAGTCAATGTAGCGGGTGGCTCTCGCGACATCTATGCTGCGATCGATGGGGCCTTTGATGCTCAAAAGATCAGTGTCGAAAATGGTGAAGCAGAGCAATACGGCGCTATTACGCACCTGCCCCCAGTTCTTCAGATCCAAGTGCAGCGAGTTCAGTTTGACCCTGTGAAGAAAAGCTCTTTCAAGTCGACTCATCATCTGGATCTCCTGCAAACTATCTATTTGGACCGGTACATGGATACTAGGCAGTCAGATCTTGTTGATCGCCGGCGTCAGTGTTGGGAATGGAAGACAACTCTCAAGTCACTTGAATCTCGCCGTGAGGAGCTTCTACGAAAGCAGGTATGAGTAATTTGTTTGTCTGTCTAGCACTCAAACAAGTGAACTAACTTCATATAAAGGATGGTGACAACATTGACACTGCTCAATTGTTCCGTGATACCAAAACTGCTCTCGAGGATATTTCATCTATCGAAGATGACGATACTTTGGAGGTGAAACCGGAGCTGCTCAACGAACTGAATCAACTTTCAGAGATGGTTGATACCGAGCTCAAATGTAAGAATCTGTAGAACGGTCCTCCTGCTTTGTTTTGAAAATACTAACTAGTGATCACAGTCATCGACCAAGAGATCGAAAGTACGCAGAAGATGATCTCCAACCAATTTGTCGGCTTCCAGAAGCTGCCCTATCGGCTGTACGCCGTCTTCGTGCACCATGGATCCGTCTCATTCGGTCACTATTGGATTTACATCTATGATTTCCGAAAGGACATCTGGCGCAAGTATAATGATGAGTACGTGACTGAGGTTCAAAACCTCGACGAGATCTTCAAGAATACCGACACCCAGAATCCCCCCACCCCTTACTTCCTCGTCTATCTCCACGATGAAATCAAGGATCGCTTGGTCGATCCCGTCTGTCGTGACATCGTCGACCCCATGCCCGACATGAATACTATGTTCACGGAGGTCCCAACCGCCATGGATGTTGAGAACGCAGATACTATGGAGGATATGGAGGTTGATCCCCCATCCTACCAGGAGGCCGCCAGTCAAGGTGACACACCTGACATGATCATCCCTGCTGCAGACGAAAAGAAGGCCCATCTGGCCAACCTGCAAGATGATGCCACGTACTAGTAGTCCGTTGCTAAACCCGTGGCAAGCTCCTCGCCACAAGGGAAAGCTGATGCTTCCAGGATGAGGCACATATGCCAGTGAGGCCTGCTGAAAGTCCAATCGTTTCTCCGCCCATGTCTACAGCCTTTTTATTCTTTACATTTATGTCTTCTAGCCCATGTCTTTTTCGTCCCTGCATGAGTGAGAGCGCCATTTTTTGTCAGTGTACATAAACGGAAGAAATCATGAATGAAGGAAACTCTTAGAACGATACATCAGGACTTTTTCTTGGAATGGAGCCAGAGTAATCAATCTTGAATTCCGATAGAGAGCGGCATAGGCCACGGCTTGCACAGGAGCAGCTGTAAATGCATCATTAGACATAGATAGATGATTGAACAGCTGGGGTTAGGGCCGAAGGCACGAGCTAAGGTGCCCGGAGGCGAAATATCAAACTGGCCCATTGGGATTGAGTGAGCGAGTGTACTATATTAAGTCAACTGCATTCGCTGCATTATTTGCGATGTCAATCTAAGTAACCTCTTTTATCCAATAAAGTTTGACAGGAGTGTGGCTGATCACGAACGCGTTTGTTCCAGTTCATCAGGATCAATTGTTCCGGGTTCAGAGTGGCGTTTAGTGGCAGAAGGAACTGCCCTCTGACCCATGCAAGATACTCCCCCAGGGCTTTTCCCATGGATTGTCACTTCAAAGACACATGCTGATTGGCTTGTGTGGCCTGAGGCTTTAAAATGAGTCAGCTTTCCCGAGCGGCGGCCCGCGGATCGGGTATCGGATCGGGTGTGACTTCGGCTGCTACGCATTCCTCCAAGTCTTCCCGACGGGATTGGAGAAGTCGATTGAGCCTGCGAGGAGAGTGTAAATCGTATATATTGTAGATTTCAGTCAGTCGATTCCCCTAAAGTGCACCATCAGATTGTGATTGAACAGACTCTCCAATGTAATAACGGCCGTGGGGCTCCTGCGGGGAAATGTCCGGGGGAGGACCCAGAGCGAGAATATCCGGCTTCGATTCCGCCCCATTGCCGCCCCCGGAAGTATAAGACCAGCTCACTGCCGGCGTGACTTTTGCCTCCGCATTGCTGCTGCGCTCTTTGCTGGTTTTCTTTCCTTCCTTTCTATTTCTCATCTCTCATCCCGCAGGCAGTTTTCTTTCCACTCCCATAATCGCAGCAATCGCAGCAATTCATCATGCCTTCCCAAGTGGCGACGTGCCTCCGCATTGCGCGGCAATTCTCTGCTGATCCGGCCAAGGTTTGTTCACCAATGTCCTCCTCACATACTAGTATCGCCGAAAAATTGACTGAGATGGGATGGTGCAGCACCAACGCTTCCTCGCCCGTACCTTTTCCAGCAGCGTCCGCCGGGCAGCAATCAACAAGGTGTTCGCCTCCGCCGAGGAGGCCACTAAGGATATGAAGTCGAACTCGACCCTGCTGGCCGGTGGTTTCGGATTGTGTGGTGTGCCGGATACCCTGATCAATGCTGTGCGCGACAATACCTCCATCAACGGCCTGACAGTTGTTAGCAACAACGCCGGTGTCGACGGCTCTGGTTTGGGGCTACTCCTGCAGTCCAAGCAAATCAAGAAGATGATTGCCAGCTACGTTGGCGAGAACAAGACTTTCGAGCGCATGTACCTGACTGGTGAGATCGAACTCGAGCTTACTCCCCAAGGAACTCTAGCTGAGCGCTGTCGCTCCGGCGGCGCTGGTATTCCTGCATTCTACACCCCGGCGGCGTTTGGCACCGTCGTCCAGACTGGCGATCTGCCCCTCCGACACAACACCGACGGCACAGTGGCACTTTACAGCCAACCGCGCGATACTAAAGTGTTCGATGGCAAGAGCTATATTATGGAGGAGGCGATCAAGGGTGACTACGCCTTCGTCAAGGCCTGGAAGGCCGACAAGCTGGGTAACTGTCAGTTCCGCTATGCGGCGGCCAACTTCAACGGCGCTATGGGCCGCAACGCCAAGATGACTATCGTCGAGGCAGAGCACATCGTTGAGCCTGGTGAGATTGAGCCGGCGGCGATTCACCTCCCCGGCATCTACGTTAAGCGTGTGATCCAGAGCACCACGGAGAAGAAGATCGAGAAATTCACCTTCGCTAAGGAGGAGGGCGCAGACACATCTGCGCTGGGCAAGGGCGACACTGCCAACAAGCGCGAGCGTATCGTTCGCCGCGCTGCGAAAGAGTTCAAGAATGGCATGTATGCCAACCTGGGTATTGGCATGCCTATGCTTGCCCCCAACTTCGTTGATTCCTCTGTTGAGGTAACACTGCAATCGGAGAACGGCATTCTGGGCCTGGGCCCGTATCCCAAGAAAGGCGAAGAGGATCCAGATCTCATCAATGCGGGCAAGGAGACCGTGACTCTGAACCCTGGCGCATCCTGCTTTGGCAGCGACGAATCCTTCGGCATGATCCGCTCGGGCCGCATCGACCTGACCATCTTGGGTGCTATGCAGGTCAGCGCCAAGGGTGACTTGGCTAACTGGATGCTGCCCGGCAAGATCAAGGGCTTCGGCGGCGCCATGGATTTGGTGTCGAACCCATCCGCCACCAAGGTTGTCGTGACCATGGAGCACACTGACAAGAAGGGCAATCCCAAGATTGTCAAGCAGTGCGAGTTCCCCTTGACTGGCCCTGCCTGTGTCAGCCGTATCATCACTGACCTTTGCGTCTTCGACGTCGACTTCACCGACGGTCTAACTCTGATCGAGATCGCCGATGGGGTGACTGTTGAGGAGGTTAAGGCGAAGACTGAGGCTCCTTTCAAGGTCGCCGACGACCTGAAGCCTATGCTGTAAAATGCATTTCTTTTGGTCTTTTTTCTTTCTTTCTTCTTCTCCTTTCTTTTTCTGGATATCTTCATTGTGCTGCAGCGTGCATTCTGTTTTGAGTATTTTTATACCAGATTTTGAGTGTCTCTGGAGTTAGTCTTACACTAGAGTTGACTTGTATAGTCATCTCTATTTCTTATCTTAGAAATGTATTTTTGTCCCAAAAACAATAGTCACTTGTCGTATCTAGGTGCGGAGTAGTGATACAGTAAATTGAGTAAGAGCAGATTGAAAATATTGGTACAAATGCCATGCAATTCCGCGAACCCCCAAGTCAATCGATCCAAAATAACCCCATTTATACAAAGAATATTAAAGCAGAAATCTGATCATTGGAACCGAAGGATTCCACCTAATCTCTTCCGTAGTCGGCCAAACCAATCACGATTTGGCGCTTCCTCAAATTCGCGAATGACGTTGTCATAATGTTCTGGATTGCTTGCAGGGTACCGCAATTTGGAAGACATAGGATAACGGGTCGCAAAGCGATTTTCAAGCAACGCGGACAGCGCATTCACGGACGACTCGGAAATCTTGGGTGTGGAGGAGCTTGCGGGGGTTGACTCCGGCTGTGATGAACCATTTGCGCTCGGTTGCTGGCCAAGCTGGGATTGCAGATAGGTTTGGACCGATACGGAGGCAGGACGGACAGCATCAGACGGCCAGTGTTTGAGGATATGAGTAAGGCGGGTTTGCAAGGAGCGCGGGTTGAGGGCCTGCAGATATGGTGTTAGATGAGACCACTAGGATGAGAAGCCGAGAAGCCAGGTTGCGCTGAGAGAAAGAGGTGAGAGCAGCAATTAACAGGAACTTGGACATACCGGTGATCCGGACATGGTGGGCATGGAGACAAGACAAGCAAGCAGGTCGTGTTTGAAGAATCTCGCCCTCGGGCGACTTTACTGCCGCCTCCCGCAAGTTGCTCCGCCCTGCTTGGTCAGCTCTCGATCGACGAGTCCGGCCTGAGGCAGCCGCCACTCCCTGTTGCCTTCAATTCCCGACGCTTCCATCCTCCATCTTCTACCCTACAGCCTCGTCCTTTTTCCTTCTCTTTTGTCTACCGATACCTAAATTGTATTTCCTTTCTTTGCTATTGCTCTTCGTTTTTCACACTCGCTCAGCTCGTCATGAGCTCGCAGCGCTATCAACGGGTTCGTCATCCCCCTCCGCTGATCCAATTGCCCCAGCCGGACCGCAATCGACCCTCGACCCCGGATGTGGCTCAACCCATTCTGACCACCCTCTAGGTAAATGCCCATGATGAAGAAGATGGCCCGCATTCATACCCTTTAAATCCGCCCCGATCCGACCTCACTCCAACCTCTCCGCCTCCTTCCTTTCGTTCCCGCTCATCGTCGCCGTCATCACGGCGGCTGCTGCATGGCGATCCACTCCATAACGATGAAGACCAGACTCTTGCCGACGCCTTCGGTGATGAGGATGGATCGGATGAAGATGACGAACCTGATGATAGACAACGACTAATGCGCGCCAACCCGGATTTCGGATCGTCCGCAGATAGTCACACGACGGCGGCAGGGTCGTCATCATCAGCCCCCGCGCAGACAGGCAAGACACGGATCGGACTTCCACACCTGCACGACGACCGACCATTCTACCCAGCTTTACCACACCTGGGTCTGGGGGGAGCCGATCTGTCGCTCCATCAAACGACGGAGTCTTCGCCAATCTAGCCGCCAAGCCTGAACGCGGCGAGAAGAATGAGGACCTCCCTCCTGTAAGTTGATGACGCTGCTCTCGATGAAGTATTTTTTTTCTTGACAAGCTTGACTAATATGTTTGGTACTTCTCAATCTAGTCTTACGAAGAAGCCGCCGCCGATGCGACACCGCCATACTGGGAGACCACGATTGTGGCGCCTGGTATCTCGTCAGATGAAGTCTACGTCGATGGGCTGCCGGTCGGATCCATTTTCTCTTTCGTGTGGAATGCAATGATCTCGATGTCCTTCCAGCTGGTCGGCTTCCTGCTGACCTACCTGCTGCACACCACCCACGCCGCCAAGAATGGCAGCCGAGCAGGTCTCGGCCTTACTCTTGTTCAATACGGGTTCTATATGAAGGGAGGTAGTGATTCTTCGGGGGGCGAGGGAGGCAGTGACCAATATGTGCCACCGCCAGATCCCAATAGTCACAATTTCGATCCCAATAATGTCGCCGACACCACCGGGGGTGGTGATGGTGGCGCCATGTCGGGCATCACCACCAGCGAGTGGATTTCGTATATCCTTATGATTGTTGGATGGTTCATCTTGATCCGCGCCGTTAGCGACTTCCTCCGTGCCCGGCGCCATGAGCAGTTGGTCTTACAAAGCCCCGATCGCGGACTGGGTGTCCCCATCATTGCGGAAGGAGAACGGTCCGAGACTGTTGTCTAATTTTATTACTTGGATTTGGGTGAACTGGAACGGGATCTTGTCATTACGGCGTTAGAGGACCCTCTCTCGGAGTTTTTTTTTTTTTTTTTTTTTTTTTTTTCGTTTCCCTTTTTCTATATTCCATCTTTTTTTGTGATTGTATCGACACCCCATTTGCAGAGAATCCCTCTCTATCTTTTCTTTCCTTGTCGGAACTTTTCTGCATTCTTCGTTCTGCTTTATATTATAGCGTTGTAGCTATTCTGGAGATACCAAATGTTGAATACGCCACAGCCTTTTTTTTTATCTCTCCCTGGAGCCTGTCCAGGACACTGGTTGGTCTTTTGGCTGGGCGATCTGTAATACTTTGTACTATAGAAGTAACACAGCCGATCCTGGACGGAATTGGAATAGATTGCCAAACGCCTGCGCAAGCCGCCCACATACTGCGCCACGTTTGAAGGCGCGGGTCAGGCAGCCCTTTTAAAGTAGACTGATTACACTTCCCTTGCGTCTTTTGATTCAGGATGGGGGGAGAAATAAACAGGCTGCTATCAAGGGTTCAACTCTGACCCACGATCGACAAAAAACTAGTAAATTTCCCCATTCGCGCCAGCTGGAATACCAGCCAACACTTCCAGCGGATTGGATTGATACGGCCCGCCCACTGCCGAACGGACCCGCTGTTGTGTTTATTGCCTCCGAGCAAGAAAGCAGGTTGCTTTCGTCGAGCGCTTTTCTTCTTCTTTAAACCCTTCTCCCCTTCATTGACACTTTGAAAGGGGCCGGTACACCCCGGCCGTGCCATGTCTAGCGTCGCTGGAGCTCAACAAGGCCCCGTGGAGGCCCGCTCTTTATCGTCGATCACCGCCATCGCCTCGAATCCCCCCGCCTACCCGCGCAACCCAACCCACGAGAAGCTTGACCCGCTACAGCTGTATATTGTGAGGGTTCCTGGCAGTCAAGGTGCGTCGTCTTCCAGAATACCTTCACACTCTCTCGCGGTGTGCTGGGCCATGTTCATGCTGGTTTTTATCGGCTTGTCTGCAGAAAAGATAAGAGCTGGGGCTAACTGCGCCCTGCATGCGCTAAACCTCAGACATCTTCCTCTCCCCTCTCAAGCCACCCACCAAGTCAAGCATCTCGGCTGAGGCGATAAACGCCTCACTCTATTATCTCCATGTTGCGACGCCCGAGGATGATGCGCTACTACAAGAAGTCGAGCATGAGCGTGAGGAGGAAGCTCAACGGCGCAGAGAGGCCATGGAAGGCGACCCAGCGCAGCGAGAGTTTGCGCGGATGAACCATGTGCGCCGAAAGCCCGTTGGAGGAGTCGATCACCCGGTTCAGGATGCCGTTGCTGCTACGGCTACTACTGCGCCAGCAGCAGAGAATCTGGCCCCTTCTGTTTTGCCGCGCGGCCCAGTTCCGATGCCCCATGTTTCAGCAGAAAACATGTCTTTTGCAGGGACACCGGCGGCCATCGCAAATGCAGATCTTGATCAAGTGGTTGAACCAATTAAGACACCAACACGTCCGACGGTCAGCACTGGAATTCAAGGCCGACCTTTGCCTCCTCTGCCTCCCGACGAGGAGCCTCTTCATGCTCAACCAATTAGTGATGATCAGCCAAGAAAGTCTCATCGATGGAGTGCATTCGTTGATAACTTTCAGGGTCTCCAGGAACGGGGACTCGAAGCTTGGAAAGAGAAGTATGAGACCATGTCGACCGGGAGGCATAGTCTAGACTCCACCAGACCTCGACTACCCCCGCGGCCGGTGCAAGGCCGCACTGGTTCTCCGAACAGGAAATCTGGACAATCCCCCACTCGCCAGAAGAATATGCACCATTCGCCTCAGAACAACACAAGGTTTCACATTACATTGATCAGACGTGATCCCGCATCAGGCACACAGTGGAATGTGGCAACGATCTCAATACCGCGCATGAATCACAATACCGTTGATATTGAGATCTCGACACCCGGATATAACCGTTTTATTGGCTCCAATGAGCCGCTATCACTTGCTGATATAGCTGCAAATCTTCCCGCGGGGATGCGGCGACCAGGAGCACCATCCCTACCGCCGTCATTGGGGCATGTCCAATCGAACGAGCCACAGGTTTCCGAATCGCGCAAATTTCATCGGCAGCTCTGCGTATCAAGGAATTTTGAAGACCCAACACGAAGTGACCGAGGCCCTCCGGAGTTTGGCAACGGGCAAATTCCCGAAGGTTCAAAACTCAAGAGTGGCTATTACGTCTTTAATTCGCCTTGGAACGGGACATGCACTTTCTCCACAAGCGTCAACGGCCGCAGCCTGAAATGCAAGCATCTGATCTCAGGACCTGGCGGCATCGTACCCAGCAGTGACAACGATGGCAATCCCGCAGTCACTGTTGCTGAAATTCGGTTCAACACACCCTTCCAAGCCGCCAATCTCCATTTCCACGCCTCAAATCGCCAAAACCAACACCCTCATCACAACCCGTCTCTCGCGTCTTCCCCCAACAAGACATCTTTCCCTCGTCATATTCAGGATCCCACCAACGTCGAAACCTCCAAACGTAATTCTCTCTCCCAATTTCTGAACCCGAACACCTACGCGCGCCCACGTGCCCACTCCGGGCCCAATATGTCCTCCGACGCTCCCAACAACACCTCAAACATCGTCCGCCGAAACTCCCATCGTCTAGCCCGCTTCTCCCGGCAGAATCAATTTGCGCATCAGCACACCGATGCGCGGCGCAGCACCAGCACAAGCAGTGGTGGACCGGACTCGGACGAGGACCGGCTAGACTTTTCTCTAGCGCGAGAACTAGCCGGCGGTGGCATGCGAGGGAAGAGCGCTAAGCTGGGGAAGCTGGTTATCGAAGATGAGGGAATTAAGATGCTAGATTTGGTAGTAGCGGCTTGCATGGCCGTTTGGTGGCGGGGATATTATCATTGATATCCACCGGTATTCTATGTCCATAGCCTTGGCGTTCTTTATGAACTTTTTTTCCTTGTCTTGCTTTATTTGGGGATTTAGCTTGGTTGCATATTGCTTCGGCCGTTGATCATTTGTTTTATTACAGCTCGCTCTAGCATGATGTGGATATGACCAACTTCACTTGAGAAATTGGGATAAATGAAACCTGAAAACACCTATCTATCCACCCGCCCCGTCGGTATCTCGAATTCGGTGTCGGCCCTAGCAGACAAGTATGTTTTCATTCTCTCGAGGAAGTTAGAACAGCCTAGTCAAGAGAACATGAGCAAGTTACTCTCGGTATGGGTTGTAAGGACCTGTGAATGCCTATATCGGCTTATATTTTCTTGTTTCTGGGCTGGCACCCCGATACTCCCGTACCCTGTCCTATTACCACGGAAAACCTCGTCTCACGATTGCCTGAATGGGAATCGCCTGACTTTAGCTTTCGTACCTCGTGGCTTTCTCCCTCCCCGACCTTTCAACCTTATCACTGCGCTTTGGCTACAGGCCCCGCGGAGCCCCGCACCTTGGCCTTCAGCCTGATGCATCACTTCATATTCAGGACGACTGCTAAGAGGATACGAAGATCGAACATATTGAAGATAGCCCTCAACGATTAGACTTTTGCCACAACTCCAATAGTTTCAAAGCCAGCCCCTGTCTCAGGAACTTCCAATAGGACTTCCGCTCCTCAGGAGTGGTGACCATCCACCCGAGAGTCCAGCATGCCCCGACAGTGAAGCCTAAAGAGACTCTTTTCAAGAGAGAGTCGCCGCATACTGCAAGGACCAGAACAATGCTGGCGAGAATAGATCGCCAGAAATTTAGATTTGTGGTGGGCAGAGTTGGAGATTCGATTGTTAATGGCCTCGCAATATGCCACGTAAAGAAGAGTATGCTTGTTGTGACCGTAAAATTAACCAGTGCGATAGCAAAATCCGTAAGAAGATTGGAGGGAAGAAAGGGAGAGAATAGATTGTCGAGTGGTCCGAGTTGACGACATGTCACGATCGAAAGAGTAATTGCTAGAGCTCGTTGAAAATATATCAATTTTGAAGATTCTTGCGCCATGATGACGGGCCAAAGGCTTGTAGATTTAACAGTTGATTGACTGAGAGGCAAAATCAGAGAGATCAATGATACTGTAGCAAGAGAAGATATCTTGATGAAGGTCACCAACAGACTCTTTTAAACGAGAGTACGATGGCTGACAGCGCTCGTTTGGGGGCGGAATTGGGGGCGGTTCGGTGGTGGCTCATCATTTAAAGACACGGTTGGAAAGGCAGCCATTTTCGGGCCCCAGGAGCTGTCACTTTTCGACATCAATTTCACAGGCTCCCCTATTCTAGTAGTTAGATCAGAATCTTTGAATGAATTGATCTAGCCATTCAACGGCCTAAACTGCTGGGGCGAGATGTGACACAACATGGCCGCCCGTTCCTCCCAAGGTACCAGACCATTCTTACAAAGTACGACCCACACTCCATCTATACTCCTGGTATACACTCATGGACACGTGACCCATATTATTTGGGGCTGTTAGGCTGTAGGTTGTAGATATGAAGATACAGTTGGTTGCAAGATGCCCCTGCAGGTCCTTTACTTGGGCCCAACTGACACTCATCCCCTAAGGGTATAGGACAACGCGAGGAATATACACCGGTATGCGAGTCGCTTTATTCCAAGCATTTCAGTGTCAACCAAATCTTTCCAGTCCTTAGTTATGCTCTGCTCTCTGCTTTTTCAGCTCCCGGTCAGGGTTGGTAAAGAAATCGGCGAGTAACTAGTTACTATTTACAATGTATACCGGAGATGCTCTCTTGTCTGGAGCCACGTATCCAACTGGAGCGTCTTTACTCTTCCACGCCTCATCGGAAAAATACACCTTCCATAGACATTCCCAGCAAAGATCCATACTAGCTGAGAGAAACTGCGAAAAAAAAACGCTTGGTCTCCGACGCTGAAATCTCAGGATCTTCCACCAAGACCTGGTATCCAGTCATTTGTTTCCGGAATAGCGAATGTCCCCAAGACCATCCGAGACCAGAACAACGCACAAGTGTATTTTCCATTGCCGTGGACATACGATATCTCCTCCAATAGAGCTTGTGAAACCGGTGTCGCGTGAGTCTTTGCATGATTTGTCTTGACAACGCACCTAATAAGCGTCGGAGAAGTACTGTATGGCTGTCCATCGAAACTTCAAGAACAGCTCCTCAGGAGACGTGTGGCCGTCCTGAGCATGAGGGTCTTGGCCCGAACACGTTGTAAAAGATTCAGCTTTACGACGGCCGATATAACGGTCTTTAGCGGATCGAATTTCTTGAAACCCCAGAGACCAGAGGTCTGCATGTAAAAAGCAAAATGATCTAAAAGAAACCTATGAGGCATAAATATAAGAGATTGAGTTTGTAGGCTATCTCGTGTGATCACTTTAGCTTCAAAAGTCAGGTTATGATATATAAAACTACTCGCTAGAATAGTGAAGATATTCGTTTTTTCCAACGTCTTACTATATTAGAGCGTTAATCCACGCCCTTCCCCTACAATGAAATCCTTGACAAGTACAGAACAGGGCGAGATGGGGCGGCTGCTTGGCAGCGATTCGCCGTCTGAAGTTACGGGTTGAAACGCGGTCGCTTTTTGGCGCCCAAGGCTGTCATTTTCGGCTTCAGTCGCACAGGTCCCTATATTCTAGTTGTAGATCCAAGTAGAAGCGTGATCCAAAATCGCATTGGCCGAAGTATCTGGTTTGCTAACGATTTACTACTATTTTCGAGTCCCATAGCCGATTCAAAACCGAGTCTCCGTTTTTTAAGAAGGGTGGATCTGGCTATAGCTATCTATCTATCTGATCCCATAAAAAAGAATTTAGAAGGCAAAGCATATTCAAAATCATGAACAGCCCGGTAGCAAACGGCGAGGGCAGCCCAGATGCATGAATCCAAAAGAGACGAGACACGCAAAGAGGGATCAAACTGGAGAGCAGGACAGTGGGAGAACTGACAGAACGAAGAAGAAAACAGGGAACAAAAATCATGCAATCGTCCGGTCTTTCCCTCGGAGGTATCTCTTTGCTAATTCATTATGTCGACATGCAGGCAGTTGCAATGGGCAGATCCAGCCGAATCAGAACTAAACATGGTGTGGAAGGCAGGGGGTAAGAGGGGTTTAGGGAGAGGAAGGAGAAGAAGAAGAGCATTGCATACGAAAAGAATCTCCAGAAATCAAAGGTCCGCAAACGGGGAAGAGTTAGGTTGTGAGAGACAGCAGAAAATCAGTGATGTGCGTCCATGCCGCGCTGCAGCGAGGACTCCAGGTCATTCGGCAGCCCGCCGCCGACAGTCGCCTCCTGGGGCTTAGGCTCTTCCGTCTTCCAGGGGCCCTGTTGATTTTCGGGGATGGGGATATTGGTCTGCTGGGCCATCTGCTGCTGCTGGGTAGCGTGGGCCTGCGATTGTTGGCGGACAAGGGCGCGGAAGCGAATCACCTCGTCCAAGATCATCTTACGCATCTCTTGAACATCGTCAACGACCTCGAAATGGAAGTCGAAAGTGGTCGGGCAGGTCGGTTCATCAGAGGCATCGTGCCAGATGTGCAGATAAGGGTGCTCCAGGGCCTCCTCGACGGAAATACGGGCTGACGGGTCAAATGCCAGCATGCGATCCAGCAGATCCAACGCGTCGGGGTTGGCGTTGGGGAACAGCCGCTGGAAGGGAACCTTGGGCATGAACGGCAGGTTGCGCACATACTCCTGGGCGCGGGGTGACCCAATGCGGGCTAGGGTCTCCTCGTTCGGAGTACCCAGGTAGTGCAGAATCTGGTTCAGCTGGTCGACATAGTCACGGCCCTTGAAGAAGGGACGACCACCGAGCAGCTCGGCAAGAATACAGCCGACGGACCACACATCAACTATGGAGAAACAAGGGTGGACATGTTAGTCTTTGCTGGTCTTTGCTGTTGAAGAGAGTCTTGGCACCCAGCCAATCTCCGGCCGTCTATTACAAGAGAGGGGTTGTTGGGTTGGAACATACTAGCTTTAGTATAGCTCTGGAAGCTCAACATGATTTCGGGCGCGCGGTACCACCTGGTAGCCACATACTCCGTCATGTAACCGGCATTCTCCTCGGGGTCGATCGAGAACCCACGGGCCAGACCGAAGTCGCAAATCTTGAGCTCGCAGTCGGCGTTGACCAGCAAGTTGCCGGGCTTCAGATCACGGTGCAGCACGTTGGCTGAGTGGATGTACTTCAGACCGCACAGGATCTGGTAGATAAAGGACTGGAAATGCGCGTCGGTCAAGGGCTGGCCCGATCGGATAATCGCCGCCAGATCACACTCCATCAACTCTGCCACGGATGTTAGAAGCCAACCAACCACCACCGTATCCACTCCTCGCACGGAAAGGACAGCGACGTACCCTCATAGAGATAGGTTTCGTTGAAGTTATCCGGTCGGGGAATATCCATATCGTACAGGCAGGTAATCTAGATCGCGTCGCGGGTCAGTGGCGGGACGCAAGGCCGCTGGTGGGCGGGGGAGGGGTAGGGTACATTGCGATGGCCGCGGAAGTGCTGGAGCAGCTTGATCTCTCGTAGGGCGCGCTTGGCGAGAATCTTCTTGCTGAACACATTGGTGACCTTCTTCACGGCGACGCCTTCGCCGGTCTGGACGTTGGTTGCGGCGCTAAAGAAGAAAAAGCCATCAGGTTAGTTCCGCGCGATCAGTCCAGTCGATCAGGTCGATCCATCACCAGGGGGCAGCAGGCATCGCCTTCTCTTCATTCAGAATGAGAAAAACCTACCACACGATACCGTAGGCACCTTGACCCAGCTCCTTGGTGACATTGTACTGCTCATTCACGATGAAGTCCTGGTTGAAGACCTTGAAGACCTTGCGACCCTGCAGATCAGCCATGACGGGCGGGCTAGTTGGTCACAGGGACAAAGAAAGGGCCGGGAGGGGAGAAGGACAGGAGAAGAGAAAGGAGAGCAGAGGGTGAAGAGAGAGAAGGCACAGAACGAAGGCGAGGAAGAGGGCGATCTTCCACAATTGAGAAAAGGGGAAAGCGTCGAGTCGAGTGTGATGGGAAAGCAGAGCCCCGCAGTCCCCGCGGGTGATCGGAGCGTCGGTTCTAATGAGGCCACGCAACAAGCGCCAAACAGGGGTCAAGTCTCAAAGAAATTCACGAAATGTGCTAAATCCAAAATTCAAAAGAGAAACAATAGACAGAAGTGGGGAGGGACGGAGAAAGCGTGAGAGAAAGCAGACAAGTCTAGAAAAGATGAAAGAGGTCGACAAAGTAAGCTGGACGAGCTGAGCAGCTGAAAAAGATGAAACGACACTTGCAGAGCGTGACTGCGCGAGCTTGGGGATTGGGACGGGCCAAAGGGCGCTGGGCCAGCCACACCCAAGACCGCCCACAGAACCCCCAACGGGACCCAAACAAGCCCCAGGAACTCAAACAATCCGCCCAAGACCCGCAAAGGATCTCAAAGAGACCCCAAATGACCAACTCCGGCGCGTTGGCGGCTGAGTGGTTCAGTGGTTGTGGTGGAGCCACATGTCGATCCAGCGCCCAGCCCTATCGGAGCCCCGTCAGCCCGTCAGAAAGAAGGCTGCAGACGAAGCAAATGGGTGGACTTGTGCAAACATGCATTCACTAGAATATTGATTGATAGAGTGTATGTGTCGGTCAGCCTTGGTATATTCATCGCTATCTTTATCTCCATCCTTTCTCTCTCTCTCAACCCATGTACATTTACTTAAAGTGATGGAAGAAATGAACTCCTCCAATGCTCGCAGTCGTTTCTCCAGATTCAGATTTCCAAAAAGAAAAGAAACAATAGTAGAACAAGAAAGAAGAGGGAAATAAAAAGCTCTGGCTGATTCTGGCCAGGCCATCTGTTCAGTAAGGAGCTTACCGAAGTTGATCAACAGCTTCACCATTAGGGCTAATCTCTTCCTCAGAAGCAAGTGAGCTCCAATCACCCTATTCAGATGGGGAAGTACTTTGCATCGAGGATACCAACTATTACAGACAATAAACTACTCAATGAGCCAGACTACTGCCAGTCCCTTGGCAAGAGAATCAAAATGACGAGAAGAGATACGAGGCTATAAGGGCAACTATCCAGGTGACCCTGCGAAGGAATGCAGCAGCTTTTGACAAAACCACCAGCTGAGGACCACTGGGAAAACAAAGGACGGTACATGTCCTCGGTTGTATATAGGCATTATTCTATTGTTTTATTCATCCCTGAACGAATCTCGAAGCTCTCTATAGTTTCATATGCTCAAATAGAGAAAGTTCTCGCCATATGCAGTCACATTGCGATAAAGACGTCTTAAGCCATCTATGTCAGATGAGAAAGATTAGGTTCGATGCGTGTAGGCTCCAGACTTTGAAAGAGTGCATTCGATGGCGAATACTGTGATCCGAGCGAGGAAGAAACACAGGAAGGAATGCTGCACCAGCAGTTTCCTACACTACTTTTTTTGCTCACTCAAGTCTCGGCCAATCAGATCATGTAATCTGACTAGCCCTAATCTATCGTAACATCATTAAATGCAGTCAGTCTAAATAGGTTACATGGAGAGTTCGCTTGAAGGAGCTCGCGTTCCCTACCGAACCCAGGCCCCAATTCTTCTACTAAAATAGATATGGATAAGATGCGTTTAGTGAAATCCGTTGGATATCCGCATGTACTTCATTTCGCTTTTCTTTCATAAATCGGTGACACTTCATCTCATCTTGGTCATTTCACCCTTTACGCCCTTACAGAGCGTTCTCCAGTCGGCGCTCTTTACGGAGCGCCCTGAGCGATGCTCGGACCTCCTCAAGCGGCACCATCACACCCAGCTTTTGGCTGGCAGGATCATCACGGTTCCGGACATTCACGCTGCGGGCGTCCCGCTCGCTGGCACCCACGACAAAGATGAAATTAAATTGTGCCAGCTGACCAGTTCGGATCTTCTTTTGCATGGTATTGCCGCTAGTGTCAACTTCAACGTTCAGCTTGTCACCGCGCAGGATCTCCTGCAGCTCCAGGGCGTATTCATTCAGGTCGGGCATGACGGGCACGATCAAGATCTGGCGCGGGCTAATCCAGAAAGGCCATTTGCCACCAAAGTGCTCGATCAGAATACCCAGGAAACGCTCGAAGCTGCCAATGATGGCACGGTGAATGACAACCGGGCGGGCACGACCAGGACCCAGTTCCGCGGACTTGGTCTCCTCGCCCTCCTTGGTCTCCTTGGTCTCCTCGGCCTTTCCGGTCTTCTCGTGGCTCATGTACTCAAGATTGAAGTTGACTGGTGCTTGGTAGTCGAGTTGGATCTTCGCAGAGCATTAGTCGCGTGGTCATCAAAGAATAGGCCATCTATATACTTACGGTTGCAGTCTGCCATCGGCGCTTCAAGGAATCCGATAGGCTGATATCAATCTTCGGGCCATAAAAGGCACCATCACCCTCATCGATGGTCCAATCATTGCCCTTGAAATTGGTCAAGGCCTTCTTGAGCTGGTCCTCGGCGTAGTCCCAGGTCTCCAACTGTCCCATGTATTTCTCGGGTCGAGTGGAGAGCTTGAGTTCAAAAGTAAAGCCGAACAGGCCATAGATGGACTGCAAGAAATCGAACAGACCCTCGACTTCAGACATGATCTGATCCTGGGTGCAGAAAATATGGGTATCATCCTGCGTTGGTCTTGTCAGAAACCAGCTCATTCCAGCCACGTCTTGCGGCAGGGTTCGATGTTAGAGGGGCTCACCTGTTGGAATTTTCTCACACGAGTAAGTCCACTCAAGGCACCGGAGGCCTCGTTACGGTGCAGGACACCAAAGTCTGCAATGCGCATGGGCAGCTCGCGATAACTGCGCTCACGATGGCCGAACAGGATGAAGTGACCGGGGCAGTTCATTGGTTTGAGAGCCCACTGACGCTTCTCAACGTCCAGCTTGAACATGTCATCCGAATAGTGCTGCCAATGACCGGAGGTCTTCCAGAGGCTAACATCATACATGTTCGGGGTCTGAACCTCCTGGTAGCCTCGCTTGCGGTACTCAGTTCGTAGTAATTTTTGAACGGCATTGAAAATCTTGGTTCCATTGGGCAGTAGGAACGGAGATCCTGGAGAGACCTCCGAGAAATGGAATAATTGTTGTTCCTTTCCTAGCCGAAGATGAGAGCGCTTCTCAGCCTCTTCGAGGAATTTCAAGTGTTCAGCCATGGACTTCTTGTCAGGGAAAGCCACGCCTCGAATTCGTTGCAGAGAGTCGTTGGACTGGTCACCAAGGAAATATGCAGAGGAGTTCTAAGAGAGTCAGTACACCAATTGGGCTCCACTCCCGTTACATGAGTAGGTCGCTTGCTCACCTGGAGCAGTTTAAAAGCCTTGATCTTGCTAGTGTTTGTGATGTGCGGCCCACGGCAGAGGTCGACTAGGGTTCCGCACCGATACACAGTGCTCTTCTCGCCAGTAACCAGCTTCTCGATATAGTGCAATTTGTACTTGCTGTAGGAGAACATCTTTCTAAGGTTCTCCTTGGTCACCTCCAAGCGGTCGAAGTTCTGCTTCTCCTTGAAAACCTTTGCAGCCCTGCTCTCAAGCGACTTCCAGTCGGATTCGTGAACAACACCTCTATACATTGGATTCATTAGCGCTTGAACCATACCACAAGAGAATGTAACATACCCGCCAGGAATAGCCATGTCGTAGAAAAAACCTTGAGGGGTTGGGGGACCGTGGGACAGCAGACATCCATATTCGCATTCGCAGGCTTCACCAAGAGCGTGGGCACTAGAGTGCCAGAACACTTCCCGAGCCTCCGTGTTGGTGAAGGGCAGCAGGACAACAGCGCAGTCAGCCTCAAGGGGACGGCTCAGATCCCAGAGCTCTCCGTTGACCTTTGCGATAAAACAATTGGAGCTGATATCCTTGGGCACATCGCGCAAGAGAGAGCCTGGTGTAGTTTCGAAGGCCTTAGCGGGGACTGGGGAGGGGTTGCCGTCGCCGATGTCGAGGGTAACGTTGATCTCGGGGTGAGCACGGGTCTTGATATCCTCGAGGTGCTGTTGCCAGAGCTCCTCAAAGAGATTGTTGCGCTCGATCAACCAGTCGGGGAGGGGTTCGCTAGGAGGGGCCTTTTTGGCATCCTTCTGCGGGGCAGCGGCTTCAGGATTGCCCTGAGCTTCGGCGGCAGGACGGACAGGAAGGTCCTTGGGGGCTTCAGAAGCCATTATGAAGATCTCTGGGGCAGTGACAGAGAAATTGACCGAGGAGAAAAAAGAGGGGATCCAGATTGGATGAATCTACTCCGCGTCAGAAGGAAATTGACTCACAGTGAGGGACGGGCGGTAAGTCATGTGACAGCAAACTGCCCTGGCTAGCGACGCTTTACCGCATGAAGTTTCCACCACTCGAAAACTTCTTCGCCCAAGGTCAACCCCCAACCGCAACAACTTCAACATGTCTTTCCGTGGACGTGGTTCCGCTACCGGTGCAAACCGGGGTGGCTTCGGCAGCCGTGGTGGTATGCGCTCTCTTTACTCTGCGCGACGATGTGAGGAACGTACCGAAAGAAGCTAACGAAATTTTTTTTATCTAGGCCGCGGAGGCTTCCAGCCCTCTTTCGGTCCCCCGGCGCAGGTTTTCGGTATTTATCACTTGCATTGAGGATTTTGCGAATGCGATACTGATATTTTTCGGTAGAGATGGGAACTGTCATGCACGCCTGTGAGGGTGAGATGGTCTGCGAGTCGGTCAACCCGAAGATCCCCTACTTCAACGCCCCGATCTACCTGGAGAACAAGGTATGCCAAACGCCAATACTACCTTACATCAATCAACCGCACGGTACGCAGAGCTAATTGAAACAATAGACTCCTATTGGCAAGGTCGATGAGGTTTTGGGTCCAATCAACCAGGTCTACTTCACCATCAAGCCTCAGGACGGCATTGTCGCTACCTCGTTCAAGCAAGGCGATAAGGTTTACATCGGCGGAGACAAGCTCCTCCCCCTTGAGAAGTATGCTCTTTCTCTGTGTTCCATCGATGCGCAAATGGAAGCTAACAGATGGACTATAGGTTCCTTCCCAAGCCCAAGCCTGCCCCAGGTGCTGCCAAGCCCAAGCGTGCCGGTGGTGCCCGTGGTGGCCGCGGTGGTGCTCCCCGTGGCCGCGGTGGCTTCGGTGCTCGCGGCGGTGCTCCCCGTGGCCGTGGTGGCTTCGGTGGCCGCGGTGGTGGTGGTTTCGGTGGCCGTGGCGGCGGTGGTGGTCGCGGCGGATTCTCCCGTGGTGGTGGCCGTGGTGGCCCCCGCGGCGGCGGTGGCTTCCGTGGTAGCCGGTAAACATGTTACTGGCTGAACAAGTTTTCTTCTTACGGCGTTTGGGGGATTCGGGAGCTTTTTGCAGGAATACTTCTTCCTTTTCTTGTGTATCCTGACACAATTGCTGCTTCTCTGGCTGCAGAGACTGTAGAATATATCCAGTCACACAAAAATCATCTGATTCTCTTGTTCTATTTCGAAAGATTCCAAGCTCGTAGCTCCTTTAGATATCAAATGTTATGGGGGTTATTGGCCATCCCTCTTTGTAGCGGAATATCTGCATTTCCCGTGGCTTTTTCATGGTGGCTGGTGTCACGTGTGGCGCCAACTGCACCGCCTCCCGGGTTCTGCACTTAGCACTTTCGGGAATGACGTTGACCGCTCTGTGAATCTGTGCGTCCGTCAACACTCGAAAGCCGGATTGTCTGCCCTTCTGAATTCTACAGTCCCCCTCCCTCCCCCCTGCTGCAGTCGAACCTTTGTTTCGGCAATTTGAACTTCCCACCTGAATCTACTCTGAGCATGTCTCGCAGAACTTCGACCATGGCGTCGAGCAGTTCCAACAACGGCGTGCCACCCTCCGCCGACGGAGGTCAGTTGCGATCAACCCTGCATCCCTCGTGCTTGCACGATAGCTAACACATGCCAGGCCAAGAGAAGCAGAAAATGCTCCTTTCGTCTGAAAATGGCCATTTCAGCTTAGTGAAGTCGGTTGCCTCTCTTATATACCTGTTTCCTGTTGTTGCCTGGCACTTTTGAGCATCTTCTAACACTGTCACAGAGCTCTTCATCTCGCCGACCTGGTGACCGAACTGAACGGTAAGTCTCGCACCTGTCCAAGAAATGACTCTGCTATCCCAAAATGCTAATAATATTATCGCCAGGTTTCTGTGGAGGCAAGTTGATAATTTTCAATCATGTTGTTGGAAACTCCTTCTAACCGCCCAACAGTTATGTCGGTCTTCTCGTCCATGCGCTATTGTCTCTCGGATCCCTCTGATTACAGTGCCTTGTGGGCGGCTCTCGCGTTCATGCCATTCGGCCTATTCTTTGACTTCATGGATGGCAAGATCGCGCGCTGGCGCAAGAAGTCCTCGCTCATGGGACAGGAGCTGGACTCCCTCGCGGATCTGGTATGGCGTCTCTCATGTTTCCTTTTTTTTCTGCCCTCCAAACTCTAAATTCATGGAATTGCTGACTTTTTCGTGTGCTTATAAGATTTCCTTCGGTCTTGCCCCCGCCGCGGCCGCCTTCGCTCTCGGTGTTCGAACAACTCTCGACCACTTCTTCCTGGCCTTCTTCGTTCTCTGTGGCCTCACGCGTTTGGCTCGGTTCAATGTTACCGTGGCCGTTCTCCCGAAGGATAAGAGCGGCAAGTCGAAGTACTTCGAGGGCACCCCCATCCCCACCACTCTCGCTATCGCATCTTTCATGGCCTACTGGGTCTCTCAAGGCTGGACTCACGAGAACATTCCTTTTGGTCTCATTGCCGAGGGCACTGTCTTTGAGTTCCACCCTGTGGTGCTGATGTTTGTCTTGCATGGATGCTTGATGGTCAGCAAGACCATCCATATTCCCAAACCATGAAGTCGATGTCCTACAAAGAATCCAGGCAGGCGATTTACTCTTGGCCGTAATTGCCTGGACTTGTTCTCGTTTACTTGGGCGAGTGACTCTTAAAAAAAGACCGAGAGAAACCCTGGCTGTCTATAAACAAGCCCGGAGATGATCTCAATGTACTTAATTGAGGATGATACTTTTTTTACCTCTTCCAATGGGTTTCGGTTACATAGATGAGGAAACCCTTTGTGCCATGCTTTGATCACGATGTATGAGTATGGTATAATGCTTTGAACAGCTATGCTTAGTAGGTTACATGCTACCCGGTATTCCATTCATGGGAGATTTGAGCTTTGGTATAGATCAGAGAGAAATGAGATGCCTGAGACTCGGAATGTTTCTGAATGCAGCTTCCACAAGCGAACTATACTATCCACGGCTCTGCTTGGGATGGTCTGTAAACTCTATATACTACTCGGTATCCTAATCTTGTGTTGTAGACCAGTTAAATGCGGTTTCTCAATATCGTCATGCTGATCAGTACACTTCCCGTCTTGGAAATCTTTCGAATGAAGTTCAATTGTGCGAATTGTTCCTGTCCACCGTCATATAATTCTAGAATCGCTCGCCAATCTGTACCCTGATCTACCGATTAGATTCTGACAGGGTAAGCCACAAGAGTCCAAGTCGGTACACTCGTACTATCCTAACGAACAGGAATATGTCAACAGATAACAGCTTTGCCTTATAAAAACATGACAGAAATTACAACCGGTCTCTCCGCCCCCAGATGACTGGATCTGCAGGAACTGTGGTCGACACGGACCCGAGCCCGAGCCAGCCAGCAGGACCCGAATGGCAACACCGGCAGGCCCTAACTACAAATGCATCATGTGCGATCTTTTTCTAGGCTTCTGCGACCTGCGTGGCATCGCGTTCACGAACCCACGATGCTACTGCGGCCGACCCAACAGGCGACTGATGGCGGAGTCAACACACCAGGTCCCTCGAGGCGTCCATTATGTATGTATTCGAGGAGCGTGCGATTTCTACTCGGAAGATAGAAACATCGACGGAGACCAGATCTAGGTCCCAATCAAGCTAATTGATGCTTTCATATACATTTCATACATCTAAGGTAAGGGCTACGGGCTTGCGTTAAGGATCTGATTGCTTCTGAGTGGGCCAATGATAGGCCAGAAATTACGAAAGAAATCACCAGTATATATAGCTCCGTCCTTCTCGCGTTCGTGTTGCGCTAGAAAGTCTCGGTAGTTCCCGAAATAGCATGTCGCCAGAATGAACCAGATCAAGTATGCAAAGCCCCTGGTAATGATTCAATTGTTCTGTAGCCTTGGCCTGGAAAAGCATACAAATTAACCATTACAACTCTCTTCGACGTAATTAACAATACTGTAAAACAGCAAAAAACAACTTTGATGCAAATCCCTCCGTATTTTCGAGCCCTAATATCCAGAACAACTTTCGATAGCCAGGGACCGATCATTGCGGATACTATACAGCCTGGGAAAAAAAAAGAAAAGAAAAACTAGACAAGTTCTAGACCGCAACAGTCGCCCCAATCCGAGTTAGGGAAGGGCTCTTAATGGCTCGTCGAGCGCTCCGCCCGGAAAGTCCAGAATTTCCACGGAATCCGGACCTCGTTTCGATACCGAGACACGCGTGAAAAATTGCAGAACCGGCAGATCTCCCTCAGTCAATCTTTTAAACAACCACCTCTTAGTGGTATTCATGCGATGTGTTCAAATTTGTGTTCCAGCTTGCCGCAAGGGGGGTGGGGGAGGTGTTTGTTTCTTTTGGCAGGTGGGGACTTCATCTGGGCTAGCGGACGCCACTGCTCCATAAATAACGATGTGGGTGAGTCAAGACCAGATGGCGTCTCTGTGGACGGGTCTAGACAGGTGCTGTTTGGATTTTTGAGTGGGCTTGCTTGAATGCAGCTGGATGTCTAGCAAGACTCTAGGCATCCGGCATCGTCCGGGTTCTGGCTGGGGGCGTTGTTACGGGGCTGACGGGCCCCAGATAGTTCATCAACGGTAAATACATGGTCTGTTACTACGACATAGCAGAGATGACAGGGAAGGTAATGGGTGATATCGTTGATTGACATATAGCGAGATGAAGAGGAATTAAACAATTCGATGCCCAGGGGACCCTAGTGGAGTTCGATCTGTTTTTTGGGTGAGGGACGAGATTCAAGTTGATTGTGTGTGTACTTGAATGCTCCGTGGATAAAACAGAGATGATGCATTTCTTGAGGTCGATTAAGACATCTGTCATGGTGGATTGGGTCTTCGGTATTCAGATGTAGAACATTACGAAAGGAGAAAGTCGACGCTGTAAAAGCATGCTTGCAGAGTGTGGAGCAGGATGGTAGCGGAAAATGAAGCGAGATATATATTTCTGCTATTTTGGGCATCATTACAGTACAGCGCAAGCCAACGGGAAAAAGCCACATTACCGAGCTCCATATGGAAACCAAAGGGCTTTCAGTATGGAGTATTAGCCTTCATGACTGATTCATTCTTTCATCCATTCGTTCTATACCGCCCAGTGCCTATCACAACCGAGGAAGGTAGTATCATTTGAAACCGCCATTCGATGTAAAGCAGAAGAGACTCCCTTAAGCTAGGTGTGTGGAATACCCCCGACCACTATGGACAAGCCTTGTCCCTGGCGTGTGATAGTGACAAAAGAGTGCATGAACCAAGGTGAAACACCCTTCACAGTCTTGGATAGTATCAAAGTGAGATGCCTTGCGGCTTAGGATTTTTTTTGTTGTTGAAAATATCTACTTTCAATATACCAAGATCTATCTATACCTCCGGTCTCCCCGTCCGGTACTCTGTGCTCCGTACTCCGTACTCTGTATGATAATACTCCATCGCTTTGTGAGCAGTGCCTTGTCTCAGCGGGGCCTGCAGGGTCCAATGATGTCGGACCCAGTTGGATACGTGACGATACGCGGACAGACAGCTGGCTTTCCGTGGAAGCGGTCGGTCCACTCCGGGAGTGTCCGCTGGAGAGCCGTGGTAATAATACGCCAGGAAAACACCCAGGGGAAATTGGGGAGATTTTTTGCTGACAAAAAAAAGGGGGGTCTGGTTTGTGTGCGACATGGTTGGATACAGAGCATATGCGACCGAGCCTGTGGCTCCATGTCTCGCATACACCCTGAAGAGAGAGCACTCTCCGCGGCATATCGAAATTGATCGCGACCTAATTTACTACATGTAACTACTCCCATACCCCGTACGGTATCACATCCTCCAGACCCTTGCCAAGACCTAGTGTCCGACTAGCGTTCTGTCGCCGTTGAAACCCCCAGACACGGCAGGGAAATTGGTTCCCGGCTGCTACCGGGGATTCAATTATCTGAACGAAACCAGGGTCGGGTGGCGCAGATGAAACAGACTATACCTCAGCTCTCTCAACGCAAATTCTGCACTTCCACCGATGTAGATGCGATGGTGTGTCGCCCCCGGTGCCAACCGGTGGTCAAATCTGGGAGAACCGAGAGCGATCCTGGGGTGAAACAGGTCCAAGTTGTTGCGTATACTTAGAGGGAACCCAGATATATCCTATAGTTAGGTTTACAGTATAGTTTGCTTGCGCACACCCCCCTGGTCGACAGTGTATTTACCAACATGTTCGTCATGTACTCGCTGTTGGCCGTTGGGTCTTTTTGATCCCGCAAGAAAGATGGCAGTGAACAGGATGATCAGGCGCTTCGACAGCCACTGTGGATGACCCGGATGGATGGGGTGGGCGGCCAGTGGCCAGTGGGCTAGTGCATCATGCGCCCACGCCCTATTTTTCAATGTATGATGGTGTCATATGGACCCGAGGATGCGACCAACTGTGGCAATTTTGGGGGGGGGGGGTGCGTGCAGAGGAAGCCGATCGGTTGCCGTCAGAGCGGCTACGCTGGGAGATGGTCGTGGGTGACTGGGACCTGGGACCGTTTAGGGGGCCACCACCTTCGCTTGGGCTCCATTTGGGCCGTGTTCGCGGCCAAAATGGAAGGGGATCGACTGCCAGACAGTGTTGCGTTGGGTCTCTGGGGGGTTTCCTTGGGCCACCGAGCCGGGTGCCTGATTACCTCAGCGACCCGGACTGCTGGTTGGCTGCGCGGGTGAGATTTGCAGAATGAGAAACCCGCACAGAGTGGAGACGTACCGGACCCAGCGGTAAGTTTGAAGTACACCCCTGGTACGCGGGACAGGGTATGGTTCGTCGAGGTACCTCTTCAATAAACAAAACAGACACGAAGGAACAGACCCAACAGGAAACCAGCAGGGGCTTTATTATAGACTTCACCAGACCGACAAAGCCCTACGAGGGCTCTTCATGGTCGGCTAAATCCATCTTCGAGGACTCGCCATCGACAAACGATCAGGTCCTCCCCAGAACGAGAGACCCGGGTTCTACTCTTTGTATACCCTGCGCTGATTCGTGTGTATGCGTGTATATTCTTTGTATACTCGGCAATACCGTATACCGATACCTGTACCCCGGGCTTGAGAGGAACAGGACCCCTTGACCCTGAACGAGACTAGTGAAAACAGTAAGGGTCATTTCATCTCAGGGACGAGTCCAGCACGCCGCTTTCTAGCGTGGAACCCCCCCCCCCCCCCCCCATACTCTCCCCCATTTGGTCCTCTTCGATCATCCCGACGAACCCTCCTCCTTCTCCTCTTCTCTCCCACCACACATTCGTTTATCCCGACCACCCACTCAACCCTCGTTACTTGACTTTAACCTCGACCTCGACCACGCCCTTCGCCCTCAGGTTCTCAACTCGACTGACACCGGCTCGAGAACCACCCGCCCACCCTTCCTTCACCCCTAAACAAAATCAGCGTAGGGGCGCTGTTCTCGTCTCGCGTTTCACAGGGTCACATACCCTCGTCCACTCTCGCTCACCACCTGTTGACCACTTTTTTTTTTTTTTTTAACCACATCCCTTTCGTCGTGATCCCCGGCCGCTTCGGTTCAACTCGCTCCTGCTTCGATACCTCGTTCGTTCCCGATTTGGGTCGCGCTCAAACAGAACGACCACGCTGGTGCGCTGCCACGCGATCATCATCGCCGCTGCCGATGTGGAGCTTGTGAAATTCGACTCACGACTTTCTTCGGCTCATTTACTTTTCATTAGAAGTTCCCAAGGGTTACGCCGGTCGTTCCTGGTTCTTCATCTGCTCGAAAGCGCTTCCGACTGTGTCTGACGCGATATTTCCTTCCATCCGTTTCTCTTCCCTCTCCTGATTTCACCATGTACTTCACGACTGCAACGGCCCTGACCGTCTCGAGCCTGTTGCTCGCGGCTGGCTCAGCCACCGCCGAATCCTTCCAAGTGTTGGCTCCCCGCACGGCGAGTATGACCCTCGTAGGTTGCTATAGCAGCAAGGAGGGTCTCACCAATCAAACCTCCTACACCTTCCAAAGTTCAGGATGGTGCTTGGACCGCTGTGTTGGTTATAATGCCGCTGTCTTTGCATTGACTGGCGGATCGGATTGTCTGTGTGGCGAGGAACTCCCTCCATCGTCGGATAAGGTATCCTCGGGGAAATGCAGCACAGCCTGTGACGGCTGGCCTCAAGATATGTGTATGTTGCGATGCTGCGCATTAAATGCTTCTGTGACATGGGAATTTTTGACTGATTGATACATAGGTGGTGGTGATGGATTTTATTCAATTTACACAACCGGCTTGGTGTCCAAGGTCTCGACGGTCTCAGACTCGTCCTCGACCTCGAGTGATAATTCGACCTCAACCACGACTGATTCCACGGCCGCCTCTGTCTCGACTGGCGCCGGTGGTGAGACTATTGTGGTGACCGCTGCCAGTGACAACAAAGCGGAGAACGAGTCTCAAAAGACCAAATCTAGCCATAACACAGCCGCCATTGCCGCTGGTGTCGTGGTTGGCGTGGTTGGTGTGGCCGCTCTGGCAGGTGGTGCCTGGTTCTTCTATCGCTCTAAGAAGCAAAAGGCCGAATCTGGTTTCCGGGGTACGGCCGGTGGCTATGGCCGCGACTCGCAGCCTCCATCAATGTCAGATTCCCGATTTGATGGTGATTATATGGCACAGCGCCGCCAGAGCAATGGCAGTATTGATGATGATCACGACTTTTCCCGTCGCATTCTTCAGGTGAGTAGCTTTCCCGTTTCAGTTGGGGGACATGGATTTTAACTTTATGCTTAGGTTACCAACCCCGATCGTCGTTAAGTCGAACGATTATCATCCGTCCATTTACCCATCATCGGTTCTTGAATTATTCTATTCTCCCTTGACTTCGCGTCACCGACCATTTCCAACCCTCCTCGATCTCCTCCCTACTTTATGAGAGCCTTCTGTTCCTTGGTCATATTTTCCTCGGGTTATTTTTTTTATAGCGGAGTTATGATATCCGAAAGGCATATGGCTCGATCCTATTCGGTGTCCATATTTGGTGATCTTTTTTTTTTTCTCGTTCGGCCAGGCTTTGTGGGGCGTGCGTAGCCGTGAGGGTGCACAGTCGTTGGATTCAACTCAAATTGCCTATTTTCAGCCTGCGTGATTCGAATGATCTCATCTAGATCAACATTGCAGAGACCATCCGACTCATCACTCCTGGACAGCTAACGCCGAAACCGAATTGCCCCGAGCTATGTTGAACCCCCGTGTCTCGATACGCTGTCAATTTTATTCCGGCGGAAATTTCCTTATATCTGAAAAGGTGTTGTTTGATTTCGGCCCTCTCAATTCGATGCTCTGGCGCTCCACGAGCAGACCGTTCCCTCCTTTAAAAACATGACTCATTGTCTCATTTCATTTTTCTGTTTCCCTTCCCCTGTTCACCAACTTCATGCCTTGAGCCCCTCGTCCCGTGCGAGCGGTCCGGGGCCTTCAGTGCAACTAGAGCACAAGCACATATTTTGCTCTGCGCGGACCCTGAAGTGGGCGACTGTATGTAGGGAAAGTCACATTTAGCCTGTACCTAATGCGAGAATGGATATGCACATGCACATCGATACCAGATACCCTCCAAACCAGTTTACGTGTAGTCCGTAATAGGTCTTCGGCCTAAACTAAATGGAGCCGTTTCATAGAAACTTCATCCCCTTGAAAACTTGTCGACTGTAAAGAGTCCGGTTTATCCTCGTTGGAAATTATTTGCATTCATTTTAGTGAACATTCCATTGCTACTCAGTAGAAAGAACTTAGTCAGAGCAAGGCGCCTCATTACAAATGGACACCTGATGTACTATCGCCATTATTTGCTATTTCTTGAGCAATTTTGGGAGCAGGGCCAACCTTGAGTTTCAAGCGAAGTTCGTTGTTGCAAAACTGGGTGATGTATGTGACATCGGAATACCCACTGGCGGAACTGACTATTTATGTTTCCAACGAACTGGTCACATAATTCAGTAGATGGGATTGTATCAACTCCATCAAAGACGAGCTGTTGAAATCTCTTCATTCTAATTTCGATATGCATAGTTAGACATTCCCATTGATGGATCGATCAATTCAGGACAGATACCCTTCTGGATCTTTGATGAGTACATTCAGTTCATCCGTTCAACTTATAGAAGGATAGTATCGTTTGGTCTATACAATTGATCTCCAATGATAGCCGTAGCGAGTACATTAAGATGTGTCTGGGAGGAAACATATCTAGGAACTGTCACGTATGGTCCTATTAGGGTCCAGTTCTGGGTACTGAGGTCGACAATGTGCTGAGATAGTACCGCCCAATCTTTGTGATGTGTTAATTATAGAGTTTCGAAGCAGCATGTTGGGATGCAGTTAAATAAGTGCGTGACATAGTTCATTCTTAATATGTATCTGCATGTCGGCCCATTTACGATTTTCGAGGACTATAGTGTCAACTCTTTTACCGGATTCCGTTGCAACCTCGCACTGACTCTGAGGTGACATTTTTAACCCAGACCTCGGTCTGAAGTGCGACTTAATAGCTGATAAAAGGCCGTCTAAGTCCGGATAGGAGGACTGCCTGGGGTCGATCATTACCGGAAGGATGAAATTAGGCAAGCAATGAAGAGGCAAAGGCTTTCGAATCGCCATTCAATTCACTGTTTTTGCTCCTCATACTTTCAAAATATAGCTGAAGCCAGCCCCGTCACGCCATAAGGTCCAAGCAAATAGGAGGGCTAAAAAACCGAGGTTGGCCATGAAGACTTCAACTTCACAACGACTTTGCCATTGTCAAAAGTCCGTTCCAACTTGGGTATTTCCCCGCATTCAACGAATCGGCACTGATTCTCCCGGACGAGGCGGATGGTTCCGCAAAAAAGCTTGAATGGTCATGGTGCGCTAAATCTCAAAAGCCGGACAGAGACGCGTCAGTGCGCTAGTGGGGAAGTTCCAGCCTAGTAATGGGCAGTGTGGCCTCTCAACGTGAATGCCCCTGCATTTGGCCCTGGACATTGACTCCAGAGATGACCCTCTCATCTCCCGTGCAGAAAACGGTCCAGCAAACCAACAAATCAGATGGACTCACAAAAAGCAGCTACGAAGACCCAAAAGTCACATTGGAGGATGGAGAACTAAATCAGCGCTGATTCGAGTGCGTTTGAACCTGAGCAGCATGTCATCGCAGTTAGATTCTCGGGCAATTGCAACCTTTCAGCAATGTAACGATGCCCCTGCCGATCGACATAGGACATTTGGGGTACTATGTTTAGTATAAATCCATTCCCTGCTTCCTAAGTCGGTCAGGATGCCCCTTCTCATTCAGCCGTGGGCTTTCTGCTGAGACATTATCTTTTTGAAGATCTCCACTACAGCCAAGAAAAACCCATCGCTGATCAATATGGTTCGCAGTATCCCCCATACGCTGCTGACTCTAGCGGTGCTCGGTAGCGCGGCTGCTATGCCTTCGCGTCGATCCGATCAAACCTGCAACAAGGTCCAGTATGATTTTCCAAAGGGAACTGGAAAGAATGACCACCGTGCAGAATCTGTGAAGCAGGCGTATGCTCGTGAATGGAACCAGTATGCAAAATATGCGTTTCCTGACGATGACTTGCTGCCCATCACCCACGAAGGCACCAATGACTTATTTGGCTGGGGTGCGACTGTGGTCGACGGTATTGACACGGCCATTATCATGGGCTTGACCGATATTGTCGAGAAGCAGCTAAAGCACATTGCTTCTGTTGATTTCACGTAAGCCTGTTCATAGTTGTCTGCCGATGAACCAACCGAAACCGATTGCTAACTATACATAGCAAATCTGCTTACTTGGTCGACTTCTTTGACGTTAACATTCGCTATCTTGGCGGGCAAGTCATTCTTCTCTTTTCCCAAACATCAGGTGGCTATTTACCTGCTAACCATGAATAGACTATTGAGTGCGTATGATTTGATTAAGAGTGGCAAATTCCCAAATCCATACGATGATGATCTTGTCGAAGCGCTGCTCTCTCAAGCCAAATCTCTGGCTACAGCAATCAGCCCAGTATTTGACACAATTACTGGTCTCCCTGTGGCAAATCTCAACTTCTCGACTGGCGAATTGGTCCGAAGCACAACAACTGTCAACGGCACTACCTACAACAGTACCAATACAGCTCAAGCAGGAACTATGATCCTGGAGTACTACCGCCTGTCGGATCTGACAGGCGATGAATCGTTCCGTCAAAGTGTAATATACCCCGACTCGTTTTTGATATTTTATGCTCATGCATGACTATCATAGGCTCAAAAAGCCGAAAAGTACTTGATCAAGCCTAGTCCGGCACCCGCCTTCCCTGGTCTTGTCGGCACCGAGCTGAATACAGATACGGGAGAATTCATTACATTTGACGGCGGCTGGGAAGCGGGCGTTGATAGCTTCATTGAGGTGAGTATGAAGAGTGGTTTTATCATACCTCACAATGATTTCTGGCACGGCGGTTGACGATTTCTCAGTACTTGATCAAGACATACGTTTACGATCGTGGCGATTCCATGAGTCCAAACCTCCGGGATTTCTGGGTAACCACGGCCGAGTCCAGCATCCAGAATATTGCCTTGCACCCATATCACCGACCTGAACTGACCTTCCTGTCTCAGCTGGACACCGATGGCAACATTATGTGGTCAATGGATGACTATGTTTGTTCCCTCAATCTCCAGATATGCTGCTTTGAAGTAAAGTTAACAAATAATATTTAGGCATGCTTTGCCGGTGGCAATCTGCTTCTCGGAGGCAAATACCTCGACCGTCCCGATATCACAGAGCTGGGCATGCAGGTGACTGATAGCTGCCACTGGCTGTACAACACAACACTTACGAAGCTAGGTCCATCCAGTAAGCTCTTCCCTAGCCTCGGAAGCACTCACAAGAATCTAGAGCTTACAATACTAATCATTAATCATAGCTATCGCGTGGTACAACTCCAATAACCTCGCCTACAACAACGCCTACAACAAGAATGCAACCTACCGCGCCGAGGCCGCGAAAAACGGATACTTCATCGAGGACCCCTCTTACCGCTCATATCCCGAGCCTTTGGAGAGTGTTTTCTACGCATGGCGAATTACTGGAGATACTCGATGGCAAGACTATAACTGGGAGACTTTCCAGGCCCTCAACACGACCCGCTCGGCTTCGGTGCCCTATACTGAAATCTCAGATGTCAATGCGCCATATGGTGGCGAACTGGTCAACTATGTGTCTAGGTAAGCTCCTTCTCAATTTGAAATTATTGGGATGAACATAGGATACTAATTTACTTCCTTCAGCTTCTACTTCGCGGAGGTGCTCAAGTATCTCTATCTCACCTTCACCGAGCCAGATGTGGTCAGCCTGGATGACTTTGTATTCAACACTGAGTGTCACCCGATGACTATTAAAAATCCTTGCGGATCATCCTAGACCGGCTTGCTACATTGAGATAGTACAGATGCTAGTGTACAGGTTGAATTTGGTGTGTGTGTGTTTTGGGAGGGGGGATACGCAGACGTCTGTATAGGATCTTATTCTTCTATACAATGATCAAAGACTATATTTCAAGTGAGCAGATTCTCCATGTAAGACTTCAAACAATCATGTGCATGCTGTTACAGTATTCCAATCCTGGATGCCTTTGCAGTATTGGGCGTATCTGCGTTCGAAATATTGTTGCTATACGTTAGAACAATCATCCGATGTGAACAGCTGAGGCGAATATTGTTGTTGAAAGGATAGCCGCTCATTTTTTTTTGTCTTCGATCTCTGACAACCTCCATGATTCAATATGATCTTAGCTTAGTATCAATAGTCAATAGTGCACGGCTGTTTTGGAGATTGGTGCCCGTAGAGACATCCAGGCGTTCCGATTGGAATCCAATCTTCGCCGAATCATCTTCGCTCAAGAGAAATGATTTCAGAAAGGAATTTTGAAGAAGAAAATGGGTTTCATCGTGCCTTCGAAGACACACTCTACCCAGGCGAGCAACAGACACCCATGTCAAAGGACATCTTCGAACGAAACATTGAACAGTTATGAGATATGACAACCGTCTTTCGATTTTTGATCTTTGAGATATAGATATGACAGTAGCAACACGACAAGCTAGCAAAGACGTACTACAGCGAGTCTATAACTAACATGGAGCAAAATCTATATCTCCCACTATGAGGCATCATAGAACACAACACGGAGTAGTGAGTCAATCTCTAATGAGAGATCAGCTGTGAGAGCCGAAGTGACAGGGGTATCGTTTTTTACATTCACCTAATTCGGAAAACCGTCCGTTGCTCGTCTAGTTCACCGCACTTCCGCAGCCATTGGCTTCTCTCAACAAATCCGCGAGAGCACAGAACGGGTTGCTCGTCGAATCCTCGGGCCGCAAATTTCCACCACGCTGGGGTCTCCTTTGATCCCATGATATCAGTTATTGTATGCGACGATATGTAGCAAGTATCCCCCCTTTCCCATTCTCTCTTGACAGCATGAAGCCGCTGAGGTCATGGCCAGAATAACTGGATGAGACCTATCGATGATTTGCTCCGCGATCCCCTTCCTGGAAAAATAATTGCCACCCAAACCAACGGCGGGTAGACAAACACCGGACCCAACATCCAACATCGCGAAGTGGAGAACATGACACTTCAACAAAATAGGTAATCCTAGACCGGCGGAGATCTCGGTCCGAACACTCCTGGGGAGAGTGGGCAATCGCCGTGTTTGGAGCGAAGACTGGATCGTGCACATCGGCGACCGAGCCGCGTACAGTACGATCACCGTTGGAGGCATGTCCTCGAGCTCTCTAGCTGCTGTACCTGGATGCAAGACGATGAGCCGGGGACGGAGATAGCTCTCCTCATTCGGGCCTCTCTTTCTTTCTTTCTTTCTTTCTTTCTGTGTCCTCCGAAGCTTCATGTCGTTTGCGCTCAGCCCCTATCCACATCCACGCCATTTCCCCATAATCGGACAGTCGATCCCAAGGCCCCGGCGGGGCCACTTCCCGGCTCGAGACACGCAACCAAGCGACCCATGAAGTAGCCTATTGGTCCCGAGCCCCCTGTCACCATCACTCTACTTGGCCACGAAGGGACAAAAGCGGCGCTCACAGCTGGATCTTCTGTTCCGCGGAACGACTACATTCGGGGGACGCTATCCCAGGCAGGTCTGATTGCCACCACCAACCCACTGTAGACTGGACGGGGCCGTGATCTCGGTTGGAATTAAGGCGGCCTGCAGCAGGCGGGCTGCGCTATTCGGATTCGCGTGGAAGATATTCTACCTCAGCGGAAAAACCGCGAGCGAGAAATTGACGAGAAGATGCAGAGCTGCGTCGGCGACCCGACCAGTAGATACGCATAGGGACGGAAATTCTCCTACTGGATCTGAAACATGATCCAACGAGCTTGCAGGACACCGCCGCGAATCACCGTGTGTTCTCGAACCAACAGCGCCAACGGGCATGGCGCTGCCAACGCTGGATTCGAACCAGGGGCATGATGTCATTGTGCGGGTGGGGATCATCCAGTTAGAGGGTAAAGGCTTACAGATTGGGGGGAGAAAGGAGGGCATGAGGGGGACAAACCCACGTCCAGGCTTGAAAAGGAGGGGCAGCGCTTTCATGCATTGAATTGTGGCATTCTCTGGGGGGTGGAGGAGGGGGAGAACGAGGGCTGATTCGTGGGATAGAGGGACTTATCCACTGCCAACAGTGTTGGTTGTTAGGTTTGGTTGGTCTATCAGTCGATTGAATGAAGCCATGCAGATACACTGGACATGGGTATGACTGGTGTTGGCCGTGGTCAACAAGCTGACGAAAGTAGTTGACAAAGTTAACATTTCCCCCCTTCATTTTGCATGGCCTCGAGGTGAAAGCGAAAGAGAACACGAAAATCGAGTCAATTCTAGTTAATTAATGGTCGGCAACCAACACACTGTATGCAGCAGTCCACAGGACTCCGTACATAATTTCGGCTCGTTAGGTGCAGTAGAGCCTTCCATTTTCAGCGCGAATTATTTCCAGCCAATCTTGACGACTTGCAAACTTGAACATTATGGATCCTACTCCATCGACAGCGCAGGAAGACACCAGGCTGTCATTCTGACCGCTTTACAGCCCTATTGCGGGGGCTCGCATCGGTAATCACATCTAAATAATTGGTTGACTAGTTATTTAGCGAACTATACGTAGTCACCTAATAGTTACAGTACTCCGTAAGGAGTACTCCGGAGTTAAGTCCGAGTTGAGTATCCATAAGGCTCGCTCCCCGACCGAATGAAGAACGCTTGGTCGGGGCTGATCTACGCTCCATGCCATGTGGCTGATGGAGTCGCCTACCGGAGAACATGATTGGCATGCTAGCGAGAGACAGTCCTATCAAGGCTATGAATACCATCTCCCGATCAAGTTAGACGAACGAGGAGCCCCTTCCCCTCCCCCAATCTCTCCGAATGCCGATCCGCAAGTGGAGCGGTGCTGGAGCCGAGCCCTGGGTCGACAGTCGATCAAAGTCGGTTAAAATCAAGGACAGGCAATTGTGCGAGATTACGAGTGTTGGTGGAGAGGGCCAGATGGAGTCCGTTTTGTAGGGCTCTGTGGTCGAGTGGGCTGAAGAGCTGAAGGGCTGGAAGACCGTCGGGAGCGGATATCCAATAGATCCCCTAGATCCCACCTGCAATGCCGGCCACGTAGTCCGACTGAAATGAAGGTTCCTGACCACTGGAACCCGCCACGGACGACGGAGTCCATTCGTCCGTTCTGTCCGTTATAGAGACGGGCGATGTGCTCGGGCATCTTCGGGCCCGAATGGTCGCATCGCACCCATCTGCACTCCATACTCCCCCTGTGTACTCTATACTCCGTCGATACTCCATGCTCACAACCTTATCCAGATTCGGCATCCTCAGATTTGCTGACTTGCCTATTCAAGTTGATATTGGCGAACGGATTACCATCCCAGATGTTATCACCAACATCTACCCAACGTTGAAGATAAGCAGAGACCAAAAATAAGTCGAAACACTCGATCAACATTTGTGGCTGGATGGGCGTTCGATTCGGACTTCTTTTCTTCGCGTGCTCTCTCTCTCTCATCTCCTCTATACCTAATGCAGAAACCAGAACTCCCCACAAAAGCCAGCCAAGGGCAACTACTCCTTCACGGCCTAGCAAGAAATAGCCTCCACGCGGGGAGAAAAGTAAAAAAGAACAAGACAAGCCCCCAAGGGCATGCATGGAGATGCAGCATCCCCAAAGAAGAGAGTGCCCCGAAAGGGGAGGGGGGGGAAGGGGGGAAGGAAGACTATAATAAGACGAGAAATAAGAAGCAAAAAGCAAGCTCATGCGCCCTAAGCCCGCAAAAGCCGCACCGACAGTGCACCAAGTCCACGTGTAAGAGAGGTGAAACAAGCGGTCCAGGATCACAATCCTTGTCGCGCGTCCTACGGAGAACAGTTGCCCAGCCAGGGTCTTAGCCCGGCGTATCTGCAGTAGCGGGCGCCCCCTTCCCCTTCCGTTTTGGGCGCTGGTTGCACTGCATGCACTGCGGCCGAATGTGGTCAAATTAGCGGGATCATCTCACTCCTTTTCCCCTGGTTCGGGATCATGAGGCTTGGGCTACTGGTTGCTAATTTTACTTATCCTGGCTATGCTCGTGGTTCATTTGCGTCTTTTCGCCTAGCCCTCCTTCCCAGCGATGCATTCCGGATCCTTCGACCACATGGTTGTACAGGGATCTGCATTCTAAGGAGCCGTTGTGGCTCGAGGGAAATTAATGGCTCTTAGTCTACACACTACGTAGTGTGCGGCGTGTACTGATATTGGGAAGGGGCTGGGCGACCAGACGATAGTGCCGAGTATGAAGCATCGACAGGAGAAGACCACTGGAAAGAACTCGGCCGGCGGTCAATCCTTCGCCGAGACTTCTTTACGAGAAACCAGAAAATCAGGCACCCACTACAATCTACAATGCAACGTTGTTTGACTTTGTTGATAATATGGCCGTCGACGATGCGATAGTATTCGTCCCTTTCTATGCCCCTTGTCCCCTTGTACCCTGCCCTCCCCCCGGTCTCTATCTATATTGTCCCACTAAAAACCCCGGATTCAATGTTGGCATGTTAGCCCGGCGGCAAGTAAGAAATGATGGATTGAGTGCTCAAAGTAGAAACAGCCTTCCCCAACAGGGAATACGGGCGCTTGTGAGGCACGGCCATCGTCCCAAATTAGAAATCTATTCACAACTGCGGTACTCCGTAGATAGGTCAGAAATAGAACAAACAAACAACACCAACGCCCAACACTAACACACCGCGATAGGCTCGGACTCGATCGGATCGAAGGGACATCACTGGGGATCTGCGGCGGGGGGCGCGCGCTGGTGAACGAGAAAGGCTTCTCCCCAATCGCCTTCGCACATCCCCCGGTCACGATTGGCCCGCGCGTATTCTGTACATGGTCTAGGGCGATTCGGGGCGAGCAACACACTCAACGCAGACTCCCGAAGTCTGCCTTGCCATGCCGAACAGCCACATGGCCTGATTAGCAATCCCTGTCCACCATCTGAAATCTGAAACACCCCCTTCATGTATCCCCCCTCAATTCCAACTTGGAGCCAACGTTCGGAATCAAATGTATTATTACTCAGATCCGGCATATCCAGGCAAATTAAACTGGAATGGAGGCAACTGTTGCCCCCCTTCTCCCCCCCCCCCTCGAAGGGGGCCCGCCCGCCTTTCTTCCCCGCCTGGCGAGAGCTGGATCCGCGATCTGGCGTGCTGAAAAGCGAGGCGTGGGACGCCAGACCGATGTGCATCTGGATATCAGAAACTGGGAATGGTATCAGGGGGTTCTTAGTTCCCGATGAGGGATGTAGTACGGGGTGCATATGGTAGTTCTTGGTTCTGCAGTTGTAGTTCAATATTGCGGATGGGTGGCCTGGTCGGTGAAATGCCGACGGACTAGCTAGGTAAGCACTGCGAAGAATGGAAAGGGGGACAGCTGAGGAGGTTGTTTTGATGACTCCCCCTGCTACAGATGGACAAATCATAGATCACAGAAGAGAAATGAGCGAAGAGAGATTATGTTGGTGATGGGAAAAGTATGAATGATTGGATATACGCAGCTGCTCGAATGGCTGTTGGCTGCATGTTAGGTGATATATATTTTCGTGGTATACATGTCCCGGATATACATATAGTTCGGGACGTACATGTATTTTTGCCTGTACTCCATCCATAGCATTGTACAAGTCCCGGAGAATTCCTGCGACGAACCAGATGTGTTGGGGCCGATGCCATATCCGGGTAATATTCTGTCGATCGCCTAGTGAGAGCCATCCAGGACTAGGGGGAAATCCCGTGAGCAGCGGCGTATGTAGACTGACCGGGTCTTAGGGCTTCTCTGCAGGCTCCTGCAGTGAGGACCTAAAATCCCTCGGACCAGCGTCCAGCCCGCGTCCTTTCCCCCCAGCACTGACACCCGGCGACGATCATGTTCTCCCGATTGGCCACGGGGGTATGCAGATCGATCAGCCCCTTCCTGATGCTTGGCCCATGGGGCTCCCGGGCCTGTCCGAGCACGAAATGGACCGTCCCGTAGTGCGCACATCCAAGACTGGCGAGGCACTGTAGTGCCATGTGCCATGTTGGTGGGGTTCTCCCCGAAAATTGACGAGAGCCGAACCGACATCAAGGTGACCGTGGCAGGACAGTATGAGTAGCCCTCCACTGTACACGAGGGAACGAATCACGACTCCCCGGGATAACCTCATAACCGCCAGCCCCGCCCCGCTTTGGAAGTGGGGCTCGCAGGTTCGCACCTCTAACCCGATGCGGCATATGTACGGCCCCCAACAAGGATATCGAGTTAAGTGACCAGAAAAAACGGGTTAAGTCATGAGGCTGAGGCGCTTAACGGTCTTTTCTTGGTGACCCGGCCTTTGTAGCAATTTGATTACCCCTTTGGGCGATTCTGCTTCTGAGGCGAAATTCGACTATTTTGATTTCACTTCGAGTTTAGACTTTTATTTTTTTTTTAATCCGTTCTTTTCATTTCTATTTTCATTTCTATTTGCATTTCCACTTCCATTCCCTGTTTTTTTTGCGCTCTATCTTGATCCGGTTTGAGTCGGTGGTCCCCTAATTTCGGCCGGATGAGTATAGTCGAACCATGTCCAACGGTCCGGGCCTGGGAAGGGGGGGGGGCTCCGTCGACCCAACGAGCGACCGTCGCAGGCTGAATTAGAGTTACGAAGGATTAAAGGTTACAGTACAAGCCTAGGAGGCCATATTGCCGGTGCGTCCCGGCGCATTAGATGGCCGTTCAGGTGCAGCTGAAAGGATTAGCCCATGAGAGAAGCCGTTCTGCAGTCCCAATGAGCCAGGGTGCATCTAGCTGGTTGTGTGTCGAGTCGAGCTCGAGAAGTATGGATGGCGGATAGAGGACGGCTCTGCGGGTGTAGATTTGATTTGCTGGGGCGTAATATCTTGTGCCGGCTCGTCCAATCCAGAGCCTGGTGAACCTGTGAGAGTGGACACCCGGCTCGTCCTCCCCGACGCACCCACTAGACATCGCAGTACAATGGGGCCTCATCTGAGGGATTTCAGGATTTCACCCGCACATGAGCGTTGAGAGGTTTTTTTTTTTTTTTTCTCGCTCCAGGGGGCGGCTCGCATGGCCGGCTGAAAGGCAATGGATGAGAACAGGAAATGAAGATGCGATCCCAGATCGGGAAAATGTACAGCTACTGTTTTGGGAGAGCATTAGACTAACTAAAAAACCCGACAGTCGGGATGAGGCTGCCATAGTCTGAACAGCGCTACATTAAACAGGGGGGATACTGGGGAGAACTAGAGAAATTAGTGCACGAGATTCGCAGTAAGCAGTCGCCAAACAGTTCCCTTCTTGGCTCAGAAGAAGGATCATGGAGAGAAGCCGATAATCATCGCGGCCTCAGGGAGGGGCCGAAAGGGGAAGTGTCGATCGGGAATGAACGAGGGGAGAGGGGACAGCTGCATGGACGGGCCGTTCAGGCAAGACACAAGGTGCGATGGGGGTAGGTCAACACCAACATGATTTCCATATTTGTCGCTATCCACCGCCACAGGTACAGGAGGGGAGGAGCTGATGTAAGATGGCTATTGTTCTTTGCAGCCGTGAAGAAGTTTTGGCCCGTCGCTCTCCCGTGAATAAACACTCAGTCAGACCTAAGCCCTGGAGATGAGCTCCCTCTCCACCATGGAGCGATCCATCTCATCTCATCCATTGGTGTACCGAAAGCGAGCACTCCGTCCCGGTGGGAAAGAGGAGCGAGTGCGAGAAATGAAGGAATGGGCCATTCCACCGGGCTCAGGTGCGGCGGAAATTCTAGTACAGCTCGCGCTAGGATCCACCCAGGCTCTCCGACACCCAGCTCTGTCCAGGAGTAGACGCAAGACGGACAGTTCACCGATCGGCCGGGGGTGGACTCGTCGCAAGGGCGAGACCCCCGTCACCAAGTCACCCAAAGTTACCAGAGCCTCGTAGTGGAGTCGCTAGGTGGAATTGCGATGCGCGATTTGCCAGTGCTTGCGAGAGCCCGCTAAGCTCGTTGGGGATTAGAGTCATGGGCTCACACAGGAGAATTCGGAGTGTTGATCGCGTTTTCATTTACTTTTACCGACCCGTTGGAACCGAGTCTATCGCGCTGGAAAAGAGTCCAGAGGACTCCGTACGGAGAACGGAGAACGGATACGGAGAACGGAGTATATCCTCTCGTGATCGGGGGGCCATGGGTCGACCACCAATTTGCGAAAAAAAAAATAGCTATCGTAATAGTTGAATTGGACAATTGACTCATCGTGAGGTATTGATTCAGTTGCGTTTCCTATGCGATCATTCGACGACTATCTGCAAGGTCCGTAAGCGTCAGGCCTGTCATCAACTTAGGTGCTTAGTGGAGGTGGGGATGGGCTGTGCGCAGTTCAGCCAGACTGCCTTGCCCGTCTCCAAACGTGACCCCGTCGATGATGGAGAGGTGCAGTATTGACTGCCCTCCCTGTTTGGGACGATTAACCCGTCTCCCCGGAGATCGCCCGATAGGCCCTAAAAAAAGAACCAACATTGGATCGCGCATCATGACTCGCTGGCTCGGGTCGGATTCGGCCCTTGTGCAGAGCCACCAGGGGGGCTATGACTATGACCCACGGGATGGGCCACCAGTCTTCACCTTCATGGCCAAGGTCAGCACTTACGTTTCTTCAAGCCGGATAGGGCGACAACGGTTATCGAAGCGTCAGACTTGTCAGACAAGATATCTCCGACCACATGCGAAAGAGACGAATGATGGGGCGAGATGGAAGTCCCCCGAGAAGAGGGGCCCACTGGGTTCAAATGGGAGGAAGGTACGGCGTCGACCGCAAGCCTAACGACAAGAGGAGTCCATCGATGCACTATCAGCCACTCGACGAGAGCTCATTACCACCGATGGAGTCAAGGTCGCGACGAGGGGGGCAGTCGCATCGCGAGTTGTGAGTTACAACCCGAATCCGACCGCCCCCCTCCTCCCCCTACCGCCTGCTGCCGGCCTTTCTTACTATTCTCTATTGTCAACGGCCATACAAATTTCTTCTTCTTTGGACGGGATATGTCGATCGCCAGAGACAGCAGAGAAATGCACCATCCCTGGCTCGTAGGGATTCCAGGGACATACTACTGCTCCCCTTCTCGCCTGGGCATCGTCATGATCCGCACCCTGGTTCCTTTGCGAATCCGAAAAGGGGCAAAAGAACGAGCTTGAGTAACCCATTACCACGTGAGAGCCGGTGGCCTGGTAGGCGAAGGAACTGGCGCGAACCACTGCCCCCGGGGCAAGTAAGATTACCGTCGCAGGGGAACTAAACAAAATCTAGCGTCCTGGCGAGTCAGGGATTCATTAATTTACGCTGGAGCACCTGGGCTACAGGAGCGCCAGCTCGACACGCTAACCGAACTAGGGAGCAACTGGTTTCCCCAACTGGGAAAAGCAGGTTAAGTGCCGCTAAGCCTCGATGCAGGCTAGCTTGGGATCACAGAGTGGAGATTGGGAGCACGGTGATTTTTCCGGTCAATCACTCCTGCCACGCGAGATGGAGTGAGAGCTACTCCGGACGAAGCTAGTGGGTGCCAGAGTCGTACCAGCAACCAAGCCTAGCCCAGGGGGGTGGGAGGAGGGAGCAGAAATAGTAGGGCCGATCAAACAGCCTCACACCCCCTCCCACCCCCTTGCTCTGATCTAAACTGGGCATGGCTGTGTGCGGGAGGAAGAGGATCGCGTTCATGCTCCCGGCCGTGTCATCCCCAACTAGATGGGGCGATCATGCTGGGTTAATCAAACTGTTGGACTGATAGTGAACTAGCTTCCCGCTTACTCGGGACTCAATTTGGGGAGTGATAGCGCCGAAGGTGTTGGTCATGGATCCTACGTCGCGATATACTTAGAAGCTGGCGGGAGTATCGGCAGCAGGCTTGGCGCTTTTTTGGTGGCTCCATGTAGTTCAGATGAATGGAACGTGCAGGAATGCAGGAATGTAGAAATTCAGAATCCAAAAAAAGGAAAAATCTCAATTGCATGAACAGGAAGAATGCAAGAAATAAAAAGCAAAAAAAAACAGAACAACAATTTAGGCATTATTCAATGCTCACCCACCCCCCTTCTCCCCTGTTCGAGTAATAATATCTATATGGAGTGCAGTATTCGACATGGATGACCAAGTTTGGCCATGGCAGGGCAGCGTCTGATTTGCTCGTTCGTCTTGCTCCCTGTCAGCTCATCGACCGACAGCCCACAAAGCCTGCTAACATGGGACTAACAGATATGCTCTCATATGTCATTGAGTGTGATGTAGTCCAGAGGAGACGTAATCCATTGCCCATTGAATATTGCCCCTGCATAGGTGCAGCTTACATTCACAATGGCCCCCCCTCCCTTCTCTTGGCTTTTTTGGGTCCTCGCGTGGGCTTCCCGCGTGGTCGCGGCTGAGGCATATGGCATGCACGCTATTGTGCAACCTCGCTCACATTCCAGCGTAAAATCCTTCCAGAAAGCCTTGAGACGTGAATCACGCCTGGCGTTTCAGAATTGTTTCCAAATTTAACTCACCACCTCCTGGCCCGCCTCCTTGCCCATAAGCAAGGAGGATTGATCTGACTTTGCCCCTTCGGGCCGGATTGCCACGCGGGAGAGGGGCGATGATGATCCAGTGATAGTACTCATAGCTAAATGGAAGCTCACGAGGTCATGGGAGAATTGTATAGAGTCTATCAATGTTTGCCTTTGCCACGCGGGGGACGGGATGCGGAGGGCCCTTAGTCAGGGTCGGTGTCGGGCGCAAACGATGAACCGAGCGTCGACTTCCAGGGCCGATACGGGCTTCAGGGTTTGTGGCCGCATGGTGCAAAATACTCAGGGTGCAGATTCATCATGAAGAGTTCTATTTTCAGCACATCCTGTGAAGATGGATGGAGTACAAGATGGAGGATAGAGTGGTCCCAGTCTCCTCAAGGCTCAACCGCACTTAATTTCCCGACAAGGCATTTTGCTCGTTAGCGGTGATCCAGTTCCTAGTGACGTTAGAAAAACTCGGGGGGAGACTTGGGGGGGGGGAGGAGGGTGGGGAAGGGGGAACAGAGGGACAGCATCTATACTGGATCGGGACTGGACTATGATGGCTGGCAGTGTTCATTCACCCTATCTAGTAAAGGATCGGCATGCTGAAACAAACCGGTGAACTCCCTGTCCGGCAGGGCCTCCTATGTAAGGCGCATTTCACGGGACCCACTAGGCTGACCCAGTTGTTTTCACGGTCTCCCCAATTGCCAACTGCCCATGTTGATGAGAGCCCATGGGCTCGACTCGAACTTAGCGATCGGGGGATCCACCGCTCGGAAGATCCGAGGAGTTCCCACGGACGATATCAAATCCAGTTCTTTTACTGAGCCGTTCCATGGGTCGCGTGTGGAAGGCCAAGGATAGAGTTAGAATTCAGAAGTACAACGACCAGACCGAAAGTAGGGGCATTCTACGGAATGACAGAGGCCAAGAGAGACCAGGGTTCTGACGGCAGCGGTATGGGAGTATGAGGCCATCAGCCTCAGGGACACCAGGCATACAGGCATCGTTACACGGGCGGGTCCATGGCCGCGGGAGCCAATTATCATCGCCTCGGGGCGTCCAGTTGGCCTGATTTGGCTTCTAGTGCGATCCTGGAGGTCTCTTTGGGAAGCACAGAACATAGACAATGGGGCAGCCAGAGTAATACTCTAGAAGAACAAGTCACATACATGCACCCCTCTCTCTTCTTTTTACTTGTTTATCTCTGCATTGCTATTCCTTTTCCTCCTCTTTGTTCTCTGAATTCATACCCCGTCCATGCACTCTTGGGCGAATTCCCCACCGGGGCCGCACGGTGGGGCAAACCCGTTGTGTTCCGTGGGAGCTTGGACTCGCCTTTGAAAGCTCATGGTCCGGGATTTGGAAGAGAATCTGGAGTTCGGCCTCGATCGGGGATCGTAGAACCTCACAGCCCTTCTCCACCCATGACATGATGTTGATGTAGATGTTGGCTGCAATGACCGATAGCCCCCTTCCTGACCCTCCTCTTCATCTTCTTGCTTATGCTTTCTATCGAACATATACGCCCGAAAAGAAAAAAAAAAGAAAACATACGCCGCGAGACACATACGACACCATTGCCAGCGAACGAGACACCCACTGCATCCCGGCGCATCGGTAGCGAGACCCCCGGACCAGTCACGCCGTGCGCCGAACCAACACTTAGCTTACAATTTGCACCGTTCCGGATACTAAATACACTAAGCATTTAGTCCCAATTAGTCTCATTAGCCCTGACCACCACCTCTCTCCTCCTATCCTCTATCGTCCGTTCCTCCAAGGTCCGTCCCACCCTCGAGACTTGGTCGGGGGCATTGCTGGTTCCCCGTCTCCCTCCCTCCCCCCGCTGGCTAGACCCCCGGTTTGGCTGTGAAATGACTTTGTCCACGGATCGGCGTTTCTTGAGCCGTTGCGACGGGCCCCTCGTGGTCCAGTCTGCCTCATCAAAACTCCCTATTGTTATGAATAATACGCATAGTTCAGGCACGGAATCCGGAAATCCGTAGAAGGCAATTGACGAGTCATGAGCGACTCCGCAGCTACCAGAAAATTATAATATGAGAAATAATATAATAATTGATATAATACTAAACTACTAATACTACTACTCACTACCTATGGATACTTGATGCGATCGCATAGACACAAGAAAAGCTCAACCACCATCGCAGAACTAGTTCACTCTCTAGAGCTTGTCAGTGTTGGGGGTGGAAAACCATGGGGGCATTCCCCTGCACGCCTCAGCCGCACCAGGGCTCTTGGGAAGGGGGGAGGGGGGGCGGAGGGAGACTATACCCGTGCTGTAGTCCGCCTCGGGGCCGGACTAACCGCCTCTGACAACGTGGTAATTTTAGGACTGGGCTTATGCTTGATCATCCCGAGCGATCATCGCCTCCACGCCCGTGCTTGGACTTTTCCTGATCTAAGGTTGGGCGGGTAGAGGCTAATTATGGGTATTTTTGGAACCCCGCCAGACTTAACCGGGATTTTCTGCTTGGGATTTTGGGGTGTGATTTTCGTGATTTTGGTTTTATTTTCCCAGTTATTTTATTATTATTTTTTTTCTCGAATAAAATTAAAAAATCGAGAAAAAAGAGAAAATGAATTTCGTGATTTTCCATTTTCGATTTTCCCAGGCCCATTTGTCCACTCCCTTTGGGAAGTCTAATAATCCGCCGGGAGATCTGTAGGGACAGCCTTGCTAGTGCCATCGTGCCTCTATATCAGTCCACCCTCCTCCGCTCTTCTTCACCTCTTCTGCAGTTTCAGTTTCAGAATCCTTCCTCTCAACCGCTCGTCCAACCGGTCTTCCTCCTCATCAATTATACTTATAACATCCACTTCACATACTATATAACTTGTCTGATATTCCCCCCCTCTTCTCTTCCTCCACTCCACAAGGATGACCCGAGGATCCTCCACGGAGCGCAACATAACTTCCAACACATCTCTATATTCTAACCACCTCGTGCCCGTGTTCAATACTCCTGCGACCTCAGCCTCTCCTTCTCCTGAACCGCATTTTGCTCAATCATCCACCATGGTTGGCCGCAAGAGTACTATGAGCCGCAGTCCTCAGGCGGAGATCCCGCTCCCCATCACCTATACTCCCACCACACACCGCATCAGCAAGGCGAAGAAAGGCAAGCGCGTGCACGCCTGCGAGTTTCCCGGATGCAACAAGGTAAGATGCGCTCCTCGGCCTTGCGGCCTTGCGCGCAATGAACGCCTACTGACGAAGAATCACCATCTAGGTCTTCACTCGCGCCGAGCACCGGAGACGTCATGAATTGAACCACAACCCCGAAGCCTCCTATCGCTGCACCCAGACGGGTTGCAAGAAGGCTTTCCACCGACCTGATCTACTTGCGCGCCACATGGAGAGACAGTAAGTGAGATGCGACTTGCATTGCACCCTTTCCCCTCTCTCCCCCCTCACCACATGCTAATCATGGGAATAGCGAACTCGAGTCACAGCCGGATCACGCCCAATGGACGCCCCAAACCTCCCCACCCGTTGTTAACTCTGCTGTTATCCCGCGCTGCATGTCGATGGACGGCGGAAGCATGTTGGCTGCCGATGCGCAACAGTCACACTCCATGTCCATCGGCTCTCTCGTGGCTCCGGGCGTACATCCGGATTTGGCCAACGACTGCTCGTTGATGTGGAACGGCATGGATCTGCCTTTGCAGCCACGCGCATCTGCGAACCTCTTCCAAAACCACTTGCCTGAGACCGCCGACGACAGCCCTTTCTACTCTTCCCCCGCTGAGACCTGCCCCTCACCCTTGTCGGATGCCACCTACTCGCTGCCTCCTCACTCCAGCTCCTCCATCTCCTCTGCTTCCGTTTCCGTTATTGATCAATACCCCAAGAACATCCTGAAGAACGACATGACTTCCTCCCCGCTCCAGATGGCTTCGCCGCTTCGATGGGATGTCGACGCGGGAATGCCGCCAACGCACCTGGTCCCCATCTCATTGGAGGACAGCATGATCCAGCCGCCCGTGCAGTGCCACTACCCATCTCCCTCCTGGTCCAGCGCCGACTGCCTACCGTATGATGACCAGGTGCACTCGCTGGCCCACTTTCAGCCGCAGCCGATGACCTGGAAGCAGTGGACGATGTGAACAGGGGACAAGTGATTGGCCTCGATTAGGAGACGATCCACGAAACCGAAACCCGGGCACGCCTAAATGACTTTTTTGACTGTCTCCTCTCTGTCTCTGATGGGGTCGCGAAGCGGCATGGCCGCGACCTCCCCCACCGAGCACAACCCGCCCCTCCTACTTCTCCCGCGCGAGATCCCCGTCTGGGGCCTGGGCTCGCAACCACGCAACTATCCAACTCTCCACCCGAAACGAAAAAATAAAAATATGACAAAAAAAGACAACCGCACAACGCGAAGTACGGGTGGCGTCCCAGATACCCGCAACCTCCCCTTCGCACCCGGTGCCTCCTTGAGATGGCAGCAAGCACCATCGCGCCCCTGCCATGCGCAGGTCGGGGAACTCGGAGAACACCGGTCCCAAGCGTCGTGAGGCGCGACCGTGGAGCGACTGCAGTGGAGACGCTCCGCTTCCGGGCAGGGGGCTCCACCCAGCCCTCTAGACCAGGAAAGAAAAACACCCATTGCAAAGGGACCAGCTCCCGTTCATTGTTCTGATTTGGTTAAATTTGGGATTGGATTTGTACCTTAGAGGAGTGTGGTGAGGATATTAGATCTCTCTTGGTTTGGATTTGGGTTTTCATTTGCCTTTTCTGCGGGTGTTTGGGTTAACGGTGTTTTTTTTTTTTCGATGATTTGATGATTTCGATGCGTCTCCTGTGTTGTTGGATCTGGGTTTCTCTTTTTCTCGCTGCTGTATACCCCCTTCTCTCTATCTCTCTCACACTCGCTTGTCCCGCTCTCGATATACGAATACCCATTACCTTCGTTGTATATAAACTGGTTATTTAAAGTTATGCGTGAACATATTATATTCTCATCCTGATTTCCGGCTCTCTCTCTCTCTCTCTCTCTCTCTTTGGTCGTATCTGGTCCGTATTGCCTTTGTGCCTCGTGCTTCGCTTCCAACAACTAATTTACCTTTTTCGGAGCCTCCACCCTGTCGGCCCACCGCGACGGGGTTTACAGTTCTCACTTCTCTACGCGATGCCTTTGCCGACCCAGAGGTTGACGCACGACCCAGATCTCGCTGCCTATCGCGCTCCGGTCCGAGTGCCCGTCTGATAGGCGGTTCCCTCGCCTGTACGGCGAACCACGGTTCGGCTGATCGCCCATTTCCACGGTTGAGAGCTATAATTCCAAATCGTGGAGAACGGAGGACGGGAGAGCGGAGAAGGTCGCCCGTCATGGCGTTCGATGCCCTTCCGGGCTTTGCAACTCCCGGTCTGGTCTTGTGCAGCAATTGTGGACGCCTTCACCGAAAGCTAGTGACTTCCCGTGCTTCTCTGAGTATCCGCGTTTCCGCGGCACGAGCCGACTGTACTTTTCGCACCTTTTACTCGACCGAGCATAGAGTTCTCGCCGAGGGTCCCTCGTTTCCACTCAGCTCTCTCAGCTGTCCGCCCAGTAATCTCAATAGACTTCGAATTGAAGGTCGGGGCTTAGAGAGACCCTGGCGGGTTTTGCGGAACCCCCGAGGCTGCTCCGAGTCTCAACGAAAGCGCATTAGTCACCGCCAATCGAAGGAGCCGCAGACGCTCGACCGCGACCCCCCCTTGAGCCTCGACTCGCCCCTCGACGATCAGCACCGCGGAAATGGAGCCCCAAGCTTGTCTCGTTTATTTCCCGCTCCGTCGCAAACTCCGATTTTTCTGTGCCGTTCGTGCTAGCGACTCCCAAACCAAACGCGGGCTTAATTCCGAGTCCATCCACGCCAACTGGATCCCGGGATGCTCGATCAATCCACTGCGCTTCTTCCCCCTCCCCTGACCCCTCTCAAAGCGCACACAGCTCATAGCCTACAGCACACAGGATACAGCATGCAGGACGCAGCACGCAGGACATAAGATGGGTGCTCATTGCTGGCTGGGAACCTGGAGCCTCCGACGCCAGCACGAGACTCCGTCGCACCGACCGTCCCATGCGCACCCTATCAGACGTGCCGCCTAAATTAATTAAAATGAGCTCTCCGCAACTCCATGCAGAACTAACGCTCAAAGGAATGAAAATCACGAAAATCATCCCCTCTTCAACCCACGAACCGGTGAATCTCCTGCTTTCCCCCACGGACCCGTGGAGCCTCTTGCTCCCTTTCGTGCTCGTCTTGCCTGTCCGTCGGACGGACTTCGGTGGGTTCATGTTAGGCGACAAGATGCCCAAGATCGGAAGTTTCCCCGTTCTGCGCCAGCGGAGCTCCTCGTCGGCAGCTTGATTTGACTTATGGCTAGCTCGCAAATCATCTCCCTCCCCCCGTCTCTCTTCCTCCCCCCTGGTGTCCCGATCTATCCGGTCTGGCCAATCCGTGCTTGCCTTGAGTGTTGGTTGATGACGAGGGGGACTCATCGTTGCATATGGGACGTGCCCACCGGCCACAACTGTCCTTCCCACCCCTCGCTATGTACTGTCCTCCCGTACTGGAGGCTAAAAAGTACTACTGACACTAGCAAACGCAAATCACCCACGCTCTCTGTGTCATCAGCGACCGTTACCATGTCATCCACGTCAACCCAGACATAGAACCCACACGAGGCCTCGCCCACCGCTGCCCTCCCCCTTTCTTTTCCCACCTTTTTCCCCACCCAGCAATTCCTAGCGATCGTGCATATCCTTATCCTCGTCCTCGTCCTAGTCCCCGCCCTCTCATTGCCAATCCTAGATCCTGCCCCCCCCCCCCCCCCTCTCACCTCTGACTACACTCGGTAACGAGTCCCTAGAGAGGTATAGAGGCATCGCAACCATCCCGTGCACATCACCCCGAAAAAAATTTCAACCCGTGGAGATTCGGCTAAACGCGTCGGTGATAGGTGCCCGAGGCCCGGTCCGTGGGCTTTGCGCGGATCGCGAGGCCCCCCCCTCCCCCCCCCCCCCCCGGCTGGCCGGGTTTACGCCCCGTGTCGATCAGGGGCGTCATGGGCGTGATTCACTCACAGTACGTACCGAGTAAGCTGTAGGAGAACTAGACTCGGACTCTACTGTATTCAGGTGGCTCTTTGTGGATGTTTAGTTGCTTTTTTTCGGTTGTTCTTCATTTTCCTTTTTGGGGATTTTTTTTTTGCTTTCGGTCTCTCTTCTTATCTTGGACGGTAGGCGAAATTAGTCGTCATTTCGTAGTTTCGTCGTAAGCGTACCGGTCACTTGAGAAGTCGGGTGGTTCTCATCCCGTTGGGGCTCGAGTTCGGGCGTCGGGGCGTCTGCATCGTTAAGGGGGCTTCGGTTTTTCCCGCATAGGCGGGGAGGCGTTTGGCTTGGCGGGCCTTGGCGCTTGCGATCTTTAACGTATAGATGTATGTATACCTATGGGTGGGTGTTGACGATGGGCCGTGTAGATGGTGTTAAGAACGATATTCGATGCGTGTCTGGATCTGGAGGAAGGTTGGACTTCATAGTATTGCTGGTAATGTCTAAGAGGGGATTTGGAGTTTTTTTTTTTTTTTTTTTTTTTCCTGCACAATTACGGGTTTGAGCTAAGGAGACAAAATCATAGTCAGATTATGTTACTATACACAATAAACTACGTCTTGCTACTCCAAGAGTAAAAAACACCCACTGTTATTGAACGGTATACATTGTACAATTTCTGTCCTCCGTGAGCGGGGTGAACTGGCTAACTTGAAGATCCTCTGTGGATCATGTTTCGATTAGTCCAAATCAATTACCAAGAGCCATGTCCGTCAAGAGCTTCTTGTTGTTCTTGCTACTGGGAGACCGTTGGATTCAGCCTGTGTGTTTTTGGTTGTTTTGTTCCAAAAGGCTTTCACCCAAGTCATATTAAAAGCGATGACCACCAAGATTGCGGAAACAGGAATAGAAGTTCCAACTTCAGTAGAGCAGAGAGTGGGATAGTTAGCGACTCGCTCACTCCGCGGAAATCAAAAACCTTACATATGATGGGAAATATCCACCACCCTTGATATCTGAGGTTATCTCCATCGTGGGGAAAATCGGAAACGTCCAACGCAAACAAGCTGGTCAAGAAGGAGGCCGGGAGCTGTAGTCAAATAATCCAGGGTCAATAATGGTCCTTCTAGAGACGGAGATTTGAGACATGGTAAAGGCACTCACAAAGAGGATGGTCACGACTGTGAACACCATGATTGTGTCGCTTTGTTTTGCAGTTTCTTCGCTCTGCTGTCGGGCAGATTTTGCTTCGATGATATTGGCTTGCTTTTGTTTCAAGTCCAATAACGTATCAATGGACTTCTTAACGGACTCGGCCTCAATGATCATTTCCTCGATCTCGGCTTTGATATCAGCCGGCTTCTCGTAAGCCAAAAGAGCGTGTGTATTGCTTTCGGGACTAGCAGCCTGCTGCCAGACAACTTGTTGGTCCTCAACAAGGCTTTTCAGCATGCCGAGTTCGTCACAGATGTCCTTGGTTTCTTGAAGAAGCTCTGCCTCCGGAGCAATGTTACCATAAGGATTATCTGGTATGGACTGACTCTTGGGTTTTTGGCGTTTGAACCACTGCTTGATCTTTCCTAACTGCCCACGGACATTACCGGCGAGCGTTCTGATTTTCTTGCTTTCCTCAAAGCTAGTAGATGCCACCACATTCTCATCTTGTGTCGGTGAATTATTGTCCAGTGATCGCATAAATTCTTTGAACCGATTTGATTCCAGGTTACGCTTTCATCGTTTCAGCTTTGCTCAAGCACTTCTAACACAAAGATCCCACTTACCACATTCTGAATCGACTCTCGATATACATCTAGGGGCGATTTTCTGGTGTTGACAACTTTTATGTCCCTCTTATTGAAAAGACCGATGGCTGTGTTGAGAATCAAATCCAGCATATACTGAGTTGAAACTGATGAATTCTTTTCTTGCATCTGAAGAGCCGTCAAGACTCGTTGGAAGAAACTATTTTCAACTTCTGCTGGTTCTCTCGTTGTGCTGGTAATGATAGTCTCTGTTCAAAGAAGCAAGCATCAATCAGTGATGATCCTATAGACTAATGGACAGTCCGCAGCAAAACTTACTTCCGTCGACAATCCAAAGCCATAGCTGATTCACTATAAGAATCTGTCGGCTAATGGGCTCCTTGATAGACTCAACAGTAGGTTGCGAGGCTTGCGACGGCCTTTCTGATAGATGCTCCACTGGGGTAGTTGTCACAAGGGCCTCTTTCTTCTGAGATAGCAGTCCAAATCCCAGGGCTGGCTTTATTGGCGTATGTTTGTTTTGTGTCGATCTTCTGCGAAGTGTGCCTTGAGTTCTTTGTTTTTCTTCTTTCTCTAGCCTCTCAATATATTTCCACAGCGCTTGGTCAGAATCTCTGTCATCTGTCTTCTTGAGAGACGCGTATCCGTATTGATCGAGGGTCATGAAGCCATGGACAATTCTCCTTCTTCGACCATCTTGTACATTCGGCGTTGGCAATGGCTCTGCATCACTGTTGCCATTTTTATTTTCCGTCCATTTTCTCCAGAATATATAGGGCATCTAATGGAGATACCAGTGATTAGAAAAAATTGAAATAAGTTTGAGAGGGAACGCACATATAGAGCAACTCTTTCCTCAACTCCCGACTCTTGGTTTTGATTTGGAGCAGATGGCTCATTTCCTTTGCCCTGCTGGTCAGTCTCGGTCGTTACTTTCCTGACTTTATTGCCCGTGTAGGTTTGATCGCCGGGTTCCGCCGATGGTTCGTCACGCTGATTCGATTTTATCAGTGTCTGTTGAAAGGCGCCACAAAAAGTCTGAGTCCTCGTGTTCCAACCTACCAGGCATTGTGGTTTCATGTAAAACTTCTCTCCCCCGGCAAATAGCTCAGTCCAGCTTTTCTGTACGAAGCGAGCTAACGGCCGATGCTCTTTATTCGTGAGATCTTTTTCGATTGAAAGTCGGATCATGAGTTCCTAATGTGTCTCAGCATCGACTGCTAAAAGCGGAAGTAAAAGGGCAATACCTCTACCAAGCGCATCTATCATTACAGATATCTCAGTCAGCCACGGATCAATCACCAAGTGATCTAAGGAAGCTACCCACATTGTTTACGGGAAGATGAACCCATCTGAGATCCGGCAATTTCTGCTCATCCCGACCCTTTTTGACCTTTTTATTAGAATTTTCAGGGGAATCTTTGAGCTTCTCGTGGCCGTCTTCATCCGCCTTTGGAGCAGTGTCTGGTGGCTGGCTTTCCGTTTGGACTAAACAAAGTTCCTCTAGCTGCTTTTTGAGCGATGAGAAGTCACGGAACTGACTGTGGCTCATGATTTTGTTGGGTCCAGTTTCATATATGAGGTCAGATAGAAGACGATGTTTGAAGTGAAAAGTGACCTGATGTTCATCATGGTAGAGATCTAGCACCGTCCCCTCTGGGTAAGAATTCAGTTCCTGTTTTCCTGCCGGGGTTTGGAACATTTCACGGCGGAATTGAAATGTGGGCTGATGATGATCATCTCTCCGTGGCCGTCGCTCTGAAATTGGAGGAGGATCTGTAAGAAGAACATGAATAATATCTTTGGCGGATTTCATCTCCTTCGGCGAGGAAGGTGATAGCTTTAGGATATCCTTCCCCATCTTGAGGTCATTTTCGCTCCGATAGCCTCCATTAGAAAGAAGCCACCAAACCACAGTTGGAAGTTCGAGGTATACAGCCAACTTTAGAACATTATAGTCCTTCGTGCTCTTGCCAAACCAGTCATTTGTTGGGCAGGATTCTACCTTCCGTAAAAATTGCTCCAAATAGGTTTCTTCTCTAGGTTGCTCGAATTGAGCGGCTAACTCGAGGGCTCGCCTTGCTTCCGGTTTCAAGGGAAGCTCGAAGAACTTCGAGTCTGGTTTTTTGTTTATGCAGTCGGTCAATGTCTTCCACAGGAAAGCCTCAATATCCCGGTGGGTTCCAGTGCTCCCAGTAGCCGCAAGAGAGATCGGTGTGTCGCCGTGGTTGGTGACTTGAAGAATGGCATCTACAATGGTATCTATCATCATCGTAGTAGGTGCCATAGCCTGAGGTTCTTGAGGGGCCGGAATTGCAGGTCCAAACTCGTTATTGCTTTGCTCTGTCACGTCCATCTTGCTTAACCAGTCGATCAGGAATCGCACTAGATCAATGTGTTTATGTTTTGCTGCGAGATGTAAAGAGCTCATTCCGTTGTTATCTGTTTCTAGTTTTCGGACTTCTCGAGTATCATGCGCCAGGATCTGCTGCATGATGCTTGTATGTCCACCAAGTGCAGCGGCATGTGCCCAGGTAGCATTTTCGACCTTCAATTCAACCGGACCGGGCAAGTGCTCCACGCATAGCTCAATGATGCCACTTCTGCCATTCAAGGTTGCCCAAAATAAGACGGCATGCACGTTCTCCGGAATAGCAAAGGGTCCCCAATCATGAGCGTCCTTAGTAGGTTCAGCATCCGGGCTTGGACTCGTGTCTTCGACCGGATCCTTGGGCACACGATTTCTTAACGAGGCCATAATTTCACGTTCAACAAAATAGACCTCCGATTCGTTTGAAAAATGGATTTCATCCGTGTCGACTGACGTGGGCAAATAAACCTTTGTTCTCAGAAAGTCCAAGATGATCAGTAGATGACCTTGGGCCGCGGCATCACCCAACGCTGTATCCCCCCACTCATCCTGCGCTGCAAATGTTTTCCTCTGCTGCTCATACGGCTCTTGAGATAGCCTCTCGAGAAGAAGCTGCGTGATCTTCTCTTGGCCTGCGTATGCGGCGAGGTGTAAGATAGTCCTTTTGCTCTCCGTCAATGACCATAACGCGCCCCGATTGAGAAGACACTCGACCATCTCCACGTTCGGCGACCGGACCGCTGCGCTCAGTGCAGTTTCTCCATTGTCAGCTCTTGCCTCGATATTCGCAAAATTTGGCTCATCCAGCAGCATCTCTACAGCGCGCTGACTGTATTCGGCCGCAAGGACCAACGGGGTACGACCAATATTATCCTTAACCTCACAGAGCCCGGGCTCCTTCTCGAGAAGAAATTTCATTACTTCCATGCTGTCGCCATAGGCTGCAACATGCACTGCATTATGTCCGTTGACGTTTCGATAGCTGATATCCACCTCTCGATCCAGCAATTTCTGGACGATCGCCAGGCGGTCCTCCTGGGCTGCGGCGAAATAAGGACAGCATGTTTCCTGGATTGTCTCTGCGAAAACGTTCGCACCTCGATCGAGCAAGAGATCCACGATCTTTTCGCGCCCGAGTCCGGCGGCGAGCATTAAGGGTGTGACTCCCTCTTCGAAATAGTTATCGGGCGGGAATTGGTGCTTGAAGCGCGTCTCTAAGGCTCCTTCATTCTCTAGGAGCTTCTCGACCGCCTCCACATTATCGCCCTCTTCAATCGCCTGCTGTAATTCTTGCTTCCAACCGTCGGAAGGCTGGTCTTGCTCGGCGGCCGAGTCGAGGGCCTCGCTCGGCGGATCCGGTTGTGAGAGGGAGGCTGTGAGCCCATCAACGTGTGATTCAATGTAGGCGCCTGTTGGCAATGGAAATCTGCTATACCTCCGGGTTCTATTGGATCCATCGATAAAAGAATACTACCCTTTACATCCACGTTTCAACCATGCAGGAATCGGAAGTTGCTTGAGCAGGACGAGGGCAAATGCGGGGAGACCGTCCCTATTTACCCAGCCCAAGTGGAGCTGAGCGTCTCTTTACAAAGTGATAGGCATTGCATCGTGTGGGAAGGATTGGCGAGGCGAGGAATATGGCGCTGCAGCAGAGCTAAGGGTGACCAGGGGTTTATTGGTCCGAAAGCACTCTCGATCGTCCTGTGGACGCCCTCTCGTTCTCTAGTTTGAGAGTCCGGGTCAGCTTACGGCGTCAAATAGAACCAGGGGGGTTTGGTGCCCGAACCCCGCAGAGGTCGAAGGGGCTCCGGGGACGTATTTCGAATAGCGAGCAGCGCAGTATAGAGGGTCCGGGCGGTCTATCAGACTTGCTCTTGCGAGGTTCAGAATGTATAGATCGATCAATGGGTTCTGCGGAGCTTTCCAAATTTCTATAGTTACAGCAGTCCACCCGCTCCGGCCTGGTTCGCCGCCGCTTTGCTCTCCATGGCTCTTTTGACATTCGCTCAAGCCCAAAATCTTTTCAACACGCATGTCAAGATAGCCTGCGCCGGTAGTTCGCTGGCGCCTCGAGGGGTGTATCTATCGCCGGGCCTCAAATGGCCGAAGGATGTTTCCCCGCAGCGTTGGCGGAAATAGTGGTCCTTTTATTTTGTAAAGAAGATATTTCTCATTCTTGCTACGTATTTCCCATGGGATTTACGGACCAGAATATCGAGTTCAGTCCGACGCTGGCACCACTCAAGAGGTCCAGGCCACAAAACCACGGATCTACAAGGACTTAATCTGATCGAAAACCGGGAAGCGGCCCGGGCGAGGGGAAAGAGGCGGAACATGTCATCATCCAACAGCGAACAATAAGCGCCAGACTCTCCATTTCTCCTCCTGCACCTCCACGAACGTCCAAAGATTCGTGCATTCCTCCGAGTCCTGCAGTCCTGCAGTCCCAACATTCTCCAGGATCAGTCATCGTCCCCGACGACCCGACGAACGGAGCCCGCAAATCCCTCACCTGCACATCATCCCACTCGGAACCCGGCTGCCGTCCCCAGTCGCTCCCAGTCTTGCTGAACAGGCTAATTTCCTTGAAGGAACCCACCTGCTTCTATAAAGGGCTCTTTCCCCAGGAAAAATCAGGATCTGATCTTATCTGATGTGCTGATTCATCCGTATCCCCGAAATAGCCCTCCGATGGCAGCAGCAGCATGGTGGTGTTCGTCGACTTGGACCGTGATGCCTTCTCCGAGCATCACACCTCGTTCTCCCTGGAGAAACCGTTTCCCCCAAAGCTGATAGTCGCCCCGATCGTGTCAGCCGAATCCGCAGAACTCGCGCCCTCGCCCACCTCGTCCGACGACGAGCGCGATTCACAGCGTCCGGTGTCGCATGGGGAGAATCTTAACCGGAATGCGTTCTCCGCCGCTTTGAGCTGCTATCCGTACGTGGAGTCTTTCCCGAGCCCGCGCCCGCGTCCCCACTCCCGCAGCCCAAACTAACCTTCCTCCCCTTGGGGAACACCCTGTGCTCTCTAGTATCGTTAAGGAAATTGCCCGCGCCGTTGATCTCAATACCCTGCACGCCCTGTCGCGCACATGTCGCCAGTTTCATGTCAACCTAGCGCCATTCCGGCACCAGCTCGTGCGCGAGACGCTCCGCTGCGAGAATGAGTATATTGAGACCGTAGCCGAGATGCTCGACGGTGGCGCCGTCCTCCCGAATAGCGTCAAGTCGGTGCTACGCCTGCTCAGCCAGGGCAGCGCCGAGTCCGGTCGCATGACGCGGGGGAAAGTCGGCAAGTGCGCGCGTGACATGGTGGGCGAGTGTCGTCGCTGCAGCAAGATTGTGTGCAGGGTGAGCGCCCTGCCATCTGAAGAGTCTTACAGATTGGATCGGATGCTGGGAATCAGTGGCTGACTCTCTGTAGAATTGTACGATTAAACCGCCATCGCAGACAGCCATGAAGGCTCGCATCCGCCGCCTCTGTCGAACGTGCGGGACCGCCCCGCTCTCCTGCCACCTATCTGCCACCAGTGACCCCCGACACCCACCGGATCCTTGCCAGGAAGGTACGGTTGCTGCGGTAATAGCCCGCAGCACTGGCACCTGCCATTGCGACGATGCGGTGTGGCTTTGCCAACAGTGTGGGCAGACGCTGCGCAGCAACGACACCACCTACCGACGTGTGTGGGCCTGGCGCACTCGGTACAGCACTTATTTGGGCGGTGGCTTGGGCACTGGGATTGGCGAAGGTGCCCAGGGCGTGAAATGTGGGCGCGGTGAGGCGTGTCTGGCCGCCAAAGAGATCGAGCTCGAAGTCGACTGCGAAGCAGATGAAGGGTCTGGCAGTGATACCAGTAGCCCAGGCCACAGCCCTGCGAGCCACACATCCCACCACCACTATCACCACGAGCTGGTCTCGTCGGATAGTCATGACGACGAAGAGCCGGGGTATTTCCGACAGGAGGTCATCGGGTTAGGTGGATTGATGAAACACAAGTCCAAGAAGCGGGTGATGGTCGGTGCCTGCGTAGTTGAGTATGAAGATGAGCGCGAGACGGGCCGGTACCTTGTCCGCGAGGAGAGTGGATCACATCGGGCTTGGTGCGGATGGTGTTCAAGGGTCATTCCGGCGAAGAGTGAAATTGGTCATGGCTGAGCAGGCCATGGTATCCATTGCATTGCATTGTGGGCAACTCAACATATTGGTGCGAAAGCAACATTTGCCCTAACCGAGAAATACCATCCCAGTATTATATTCTTTTCTCAGCATGAGTTCCTGGGATTGGAGACCTGGACTGATTGGATCAGCTGCACTGTACATACCTCACTCCGAATAGTACTGCGCAAAGCGTAGTTTGAGGAATGAATTTGCATAGTATAATGGGTCTGATTCACCGAATTGCCAAGCAATTAAGGATCAAGGGATCATTAGGCAGTACGGAAGTTTAATTTTAAAGAAACACGCAGCATAATTACCTAATAACTACATACATCTCTCAATATCGTTGCCAAGCGAGGATTGGAAGTAGGAGTATTGTCATGGTCAATGGGCCGCACATTTCAAAAGAAATGGACCCGCCTAACTTGAAAGGAATACATTGAATAATAAATATCAAAAAAGCATTGGATATATATTCGAACAGTCTGAATGATAGAGTCCAGTCTTACCAAAGCAGAAAGGACGGGGTACTCCGGTAATGCATCAATCATGTCGCTCCTCCATGCAAAGTAACATCGTACATCTCTTAACACATATCTAATCTCAAAAATCCTCATCAATCATCACAACAAACCATAAAATATCCAAAGCACACAAGTTTGAAAACTAATGTCAGGGGTTCAGTAGACAGCAATGGATTTGAAAAATCCTTTGATCTTGGACTGCTCCGGGGGCGGGGATTCCTCGCGACGGCGTCGGCGATGAGATTGACCGTCTTTCTCTTTGCTACTCGGATGCTGGCGGCGAGAGCTCTCGGGCTTCTTCTCACGATCCCGAGGTTTGATAGCCTCCGGATCATCAGAGCTTCGTCGTCGAGATTTTCTTTCCTGCCGTGCCGCATCGTCTTCGCGCCGAGACCGAGTCTTTTCGGACCGTCCGCTGGATCGCTTTTCCTCATGCGAGGCCCGCTCCCGATTGCCACTGCTGTGGCTTTGGCTGGTTGAAGATCGACGCAGCTTTTCAGGTGCCGGAGCGGGCGACTTGACGCTGTTGACTCGGACAATGGGTCCATTGGCAGCGGGCCCACTGTTCATGTAGCGAAGGAATGCTCTCGGCTTTGCGGTCGAAGCCGACGATTGCTTCGAGGATGAAGAAGGTTTAGCCTTTTCTGCTTCAGATGACCGACGCTTAGGCTTCACTTCGACCAGATCAGTTCTTTCCGTTGTCTTGGAGGAGACACGGTCAGAGTGTTTCGATTGGTCGGACTTCACAGATGGTGGAATTCCACTGCGCTCCTTGTCCGCTGAAATCGCCTGCTTTTTGGCCTCGGCCTTTTTCTTCTCCTCGTGTTGCCTGCGAGCTTCTTCCAGGGCCTTGGCCCACCGATTAGTGAAGAGGTTACGCTCACTCTTCTGGCGCTTGAGCTGATCTTTCTTCTGTCCTTCTGATGACGTCTTCGAATTCCGGCGCTCACGTTCTCCTGGGTGCTTCTTTCGTCGACGGTAGTTGTGCCTGGCAGCCGAGTCCCCCACCGGCAATTCCTCAGGCTCCTCCGGTGCAAACTCTGCGACTGGGACCTCCTCCGGCGCAATATCCTCGATGTGAGGGGCAGCTTCTGCCGGGGTTTCAATAGGCGCAGGCTCGGGATCTGCAGCAGGCTCTTCTGCAGGGATCTCTCTGGATTGGTCCGGCTCAGGCACTGCCTCTTCATGGATGGGCTCGTCCACCGGAGCAGGCTCTTTGACTGAAGCGGTTTCCTCAACAGCGGCGGGCTCCTCCACCGGCGCGAGTTCATCAGCAGAAGCAGACTCCTCAACAGGGGCGGGTTCTTCGACCGGAGCAGGCTCCTCCACCGGGGCAGGCTCCTCCACTGGGGCAGGCTCCTCCACTGGGGCAGGCTCCTCCACCGGTGCGGGCGCTTCAATCGGGACGGGCTCCTCAACCGGGACGGGCTCCTCAACCGGGACGGGCTCCTCAACCGGGACGGGCTCCTCAACCGAGACGGGCTCCTCAACAGGGACGGGATCTTCAACAACTGGCTCTGCAGGGGCGGCTTCAGGTTCTGCGAGTGTCTCCTCGGGAGGAGGTGCTTCGGCCTCAACTGTGGCTGGCTCTTCAGGTTCAGGATCCGGCGCAGGTGCCTCGATCTCCCTAGGAGCTTCAACAGGCTCGGGAGCAGGCTCTTCGGGAGCAGCCGCCGGTGCGTCGTCAACGGCCGTTGGTTCTTCAACGGCAGCAGGCCCGGGAGTGGTCTCTTCTATTGCATCATCGGCAGCTTTGGGCTCTTCTGATGGTACAGTTTGTTCCATAGATTCCTCAGAGACATGCTCAGGAGCTTCTGGCTCGGCAGGCGCAGGCTCTTCAGCGGGGGATTTTGGAATAGGATCTGAAGGCGCCAGTTCCTGGGGAGCCGCAGGCACTTCATCTGCAGGTGCTGACGTATCCTCCACGGGCTCTGCAGCGACACCAGAAGGTTGCTGAACAACAGGTTCCTCGGCCTGAGCTGCTTCAACTGGAGATTCTTCCGCAGTGGCCTCCTCTGTAGGAGCTTCATCAACTGGTAGTTCCCTTGCAGAAGAGTCCTCGACACTCTCTGCTTCAACAGGAGTATCATCTGTAGGCGCTTCAACGGAGGCGGATTCTTCAGGTGCTGGTGGCTCCGGCGCAGGTTCCTCTGGAACAGCATGTTCTTCCGGTACAACTTCATCCACTACTTCCTCCACGGGCTTCTCGGCAGGAGTTTCCGTTGTTGCTTCGGGTGTTTCATCGACAGGAGCCGTATCTTCTACCGTGGCAGCCTCTACGGGGGCCTCGTTGGATACCTCTTCACTCTTGGGATCGTTCGCACCATCGATTTCAGGAGTAGAATCCTGAGCGAGCACTTCCTTGGACACTGTCTCAGCCGGAAGCTCTTGAGGATACTCTTCTGGAGGTGCTGTCTCGTTGGCATCGTCGACAGGAGTTGTCTCCTCGGGGTGTGCTTCTGGGGCAGGCTCTGCAGCTGGTTCCTCGGCCGGTTGTTCTGTTGCTAGCTCTGTAGTGACGTCTTCCGGGGCTGGCTCTTTCTTTTCTTCCTCCAAAGATGCCTCTTCCTGAGACTCCGGCTCTGGATCCGCAGCAGAACTATCCCCTGTCGATTTCTCTATCGCTGGCTCGACAGGCGGATCTGCTGTTGCGGTATCTGCTCCGGCATCTGGCGAGTCTTCTGGGACAGTCGGGTCTTCAGCTGAAGCATCTTCTGGGGGACTTTCAGATTCAACCGGGGCTTCCTCCTGTTCAGCAGGAGGCTGAGGGGGTCCATCTGTTGCTGCTGTGGCTGCATCCTCGATGGTTTCCTCTCGAGCGGGTGTATCATCCGAAGCAGACTTGCCGGCTTCAGTTTCGGGCTCGGGCGTTGACTCGATAGGAGCTGGCGCAGGTTCCGGCGCTTTTGCTGATTCAGCTGTCTTTTTCTTCTTCTTCTTTTCTTTCTTCTTGGTTTTCTTAGAAGACTTTCCCGCAGGCTCCTCCTCTTGCTTCTCTTTGGGGGCAGGAACCGGGTCTTCAGGGGGTTGCTCGGGCTCGGCAGGTGCTGGCTCCTCTGGTTGACCTTCAGCAGGCAATTCTTCAGATGCCCCCTCTGCAGGTGTGGAAGCTTCAGCTGCAGCGGATTCCTCAGACGGGGTTGCTGCATCGCCTGCATCCTCTGGCTTTTCAGCAAGAGGTGCTTCATCAGCCGCTGGTGCTTCGCCTTCAACGGCAGGCTCTTCGGCTTTACTTTCGGCTGGAGGGTTGTCGGCAGTTGCATCTTTCTTGCTGTCGTCATCTGCTTCGGCTAAAGCCTCTTCGGCCTGGGCGTCCTCGGCTGCTTGCTTTGCAGCTTCCTCTTTCTCGGATTCTACACCATCGTGTCCAGCCTCAGGGTCACATTCTGGAAAATCTTCGTCTGTATCGTTATGAGCTTCTCGGAGTAAAAGAAGTAAGCGATAATCTATAGGCGTTATCTTACCATTGTTTCCACCGTCATCGCCGCTCTTGGGTCCACTATCATCTGTGGCGGGGGCAGGGGTTTCATCGGCCTTTTCGGGCTCTGAACCTTCCGTAGGAGGCTCCTCAGGGGTTCCATCTGGAGCTGCTTCGCCCTCGGCGTTCGGCGCAGGCTCATCGGCAGTGACTGCCTCTTGGGCTTCTTCATTTGCAGCTTCACCTGAGGTTTCAGCGGCTTCAGCAGTTGACTCTGCTTCTGTAGGCGGTGCTGCCTCTGGGGTTTCTAGACCGCTCATGTGAGTAACTCCTGCACGGCAAGTGCCATGTTCATTATGACAATGTATCGTGTCATCATTGCCAATTTATTCACACTTACCTGCAACCTCTGGGCTTGCAGAGCTGTTGTCTGGAGGGTTCTCAGGCTCATCGGCCTTGGTTTCAGCAGGGGCTGGTTCCTTCTCTGGTTCGGCAGCACTGGGCTCCTTGGTGTCCTGGGGTTTATCCTCCGTCAGACCATTGGTTGTTGCAACGACAGGATAGCAAGAGAATGTCAAGTTGTTCCGATCAAAGGTCTGATACCGACGCTCGAACGATTGATATGTAAATTGAGGGAGCTGTGCATACTGGAACTCGGGTTTCTTCATCTTCGACACCTACAGCCACCGGCTCGAGGGCGGGATCGTCGGTAAAGTCCTTGGTATCGGGTTCTGACGTTGCAGCGCCGACGGGGAGACGGTTATTGTTATTGTTGTTGTTCTTATTCTTCTTCTTTTTACCCTTATTACCCATGTCCTTGAATCAATGACGAATCATATATCGAGGTGTGGGCAAGGCTGAGTGGCGTGTGATGCGTAGAAATGGAACAATGACAGGTTGACAAGATAATCTTAGGCGCTCGCTGCAAGGGAAGGGGGGGTCCTGGGGTCGCAAGGATAGGAGAAACAAGAGATGAGAAGTTTATGAAACGTGAGACCGAGCAAAGTACTGATGTAGTAGATGACCGAACAGGAAAGAAGTCTATGCTTGTTTCTCTGGTGACGGCAATTTGTATTGGACGGTCATTGCAAGGCAGCGTATAATCGTTCGTCCACAGTCCGGGTGGGTGGGATAACACTCCGCTGGATTCAATATTGGGCCCTGAACGTCATCATTGAACTGCCCGACGGCAGAGGGCCTGCCATTGGACCACGTCGCGTTGGTATCCATGCGGTGATGGCCAGCATGGGTGAGTTAGTAGGGACCGCTCCTCGATTAGGGCCGGGTGAGGGCAGCACAATCTCCACTTGCAGGTTGAGCTGCAGCAGCAGGCATCCCACGGCGGGATTGGATTGGGGATTGAAAGTCAACTGATCCAGATAGGAAAGGCATTGCTGCAGCTTCATGGAGTAAATGGGTCTGGTGAGTGGGGGTGGGTGCCACCTTTCAACTTTTTCTTCATTTTTCTCTGTTGTTTTGTGCTCATGATAATAACATACACACACCGCGTGGGGTGAACAACGGGCAGGAATTGAGTGGGTCAAGGGACCATCCGAATACTCTCTAAGAAGTCACTTCGAATTAAGGCTGCAGTGTTCTCCCTTCATGGAGAGAATTGCAAGGTGGCCGTCGAGCAAGGAAAAAAGTGATGCAGTCAAGACACATTTCTGCCCAACGCCCCCGGAAATGGCGGCAAATGGGATGCACGCCTGGCGTGGGTGGGGAGACGAAGGACACGACCGAGGGGACCCGACACTGGAGGGAAGGAACCTTCCAGGGGAATTCTTGAGCTAGTGAGTCAAAATACCGGCCAACTAATAGAGTGGATAGCATCGTTTGGTTGTCTGGTGGTTTGGTGGGCATCGCGACTCCACTCTCCGACACCGACACTTCAGTAGGCCGATCCACCCCTTCTCCGACTGCGAACTGCCTCAACTGCTTCAGGATGATCATTCTACCTACCGACGGCAAGGGCGTGCAGTTGAAATGGAGATGGACGATTCTCCTGCACCGCTGAAGCATCAGACGGGACTCGGAGACTGCATTGCAGCAGAAAGAAGAGGTGGTGGAACGTTGAAACAGGCTGGGCGAATCAGGTGACACATCATCGTGCGATCTTCGAACCAGTGCTCTCACACCACGTCCCCCTTGATGATCGGTTATCTGATTCAGAGACCATCGATTTTGGGCTGTGAATGCCGCTGCCCCTTATCGCACCTTAGCCGAGTCTGAAAGAAACGGTGCATGCATGGCTACCTGGTCGCGTCTCCAAAATTCTCGTGCCGGCACTACCCATAGGGTACCTTGTCTGTAAACTCCTTAAGGTACCCGAACAGTTGTACGCCGTATTCCTGGGATCCCTCGATTATGGTCCATAATTGGGTCAACTGACTACCCAACGCCCTGCAGCGGGCCGAGCATCCATGTCGGGTCTACTACTGGCGAATCGCAAGCGACCAAGTGCCCGGGGGTATAGCCGATGACACGCAGCCACTGGGATTTCGAGGATAGCTTCCAATTTGCAATATCGTATTCAAATATGCTTTAATGCACAGATTATTCTGAGTCTGGTGTCCTGGTTTGTTATTGAGACATATGACGTATGCAGAGTACTTGGTTGTCTTCAATTATATATATAGAAGCTGAAGGTTCCTTATACTGGCGATTAGAAGCAAACCCCTAGCTGCAAGTTCCCCGAACATGAGGTGGAAAAAAGGGAAGGAAAGACGCCTTGGTGTAATCTCAATTTTTAATTCTGATTATCACAGTAAAATGATATTACGAAAATTATATAGGTAGATCATCATGCTCATGCCAGGTTTTTATGTCAGGGAGTATGTAATATATTCCATGAAGTTGACTTTCATAGTACAATCATCGAGGAGTTTATGTATCAAGATCTTTGTCAATATTAAAATAGCAATTAAAAGGCGAGACCTGGCGAAATACAGCACTATCCTACCTGCTAGGTAGTAAGTACATTGCGATGGTCGCCATGATATCCTAGGTTCGAGCCATGAAGTTGATCTAACAAGTCAGTCCCCGGTCAATTGTCACAATGGACCAGGCCAACCAATCTGTGAAAGGAATCAAGATAAATCATGAAATTAGAGCGTAATTGCTCTATGTTAAGACAAAATAATACTCTAAATTGAATTTTTAGGCAGCGGCGTATGGAGGATAGAAACTTACATAAAGAGAAAGCAAACAAACTGGGGAGTAAATACATCAACCCAGATCTTCGGATAAGACACTTAAGTCCACCGTACTATACCTATGCAAGGCTTTCTAGGATCAATCATCCGATTCAATTGTTCCATCACCTCTAAAGCTTTGATTATATTCCATGCTCACCTTATCCATCTTATTTCACCTTTAGCAAAACAGGATTTTCCTAGGAGACTCATCCTGCATGTCTTGCAGTCTCCAAACAAACAAAGTCCCCTCACTACTGCACCTCATCACCTAAACTCGCACAATCTAACGCCGCAAATGACGAATCCATCTGAAACAACAACCAGTTCCCTCCGAACCTGCCCGGTGTAACAGCACAAAGAGGTCTCTGCTCCGTTTCCGATCGGCCGCAGAACCCACGCTACCGTGGTGCTATTAAGGGTGTTTTGAGGGACGAGGACTATGGCGTGATAGCCTGATTGGCTGCCTTATTTTTGAGGTGCGTTGGACCACGCATAAACCATACATTCCCCCACTTTGGGACTTGGGGGGATGTGGGGAAATTACAGGTTCGGCGCAGTGGTGCGGAGATTTGAGAGATTTGCTGTGCGTAGCGCGCCAGTTAGTATATTGAACTGGTTTTGAAAATCTGCGATGTTGGCAATGGATCGCATGCGAAGTGGTTTAGATATGAATTGAGGGATCGTTTACTAGGTCGTTAGGGGGGAAGACAAACCAAAGCAAAGAGAACCTATTCGCTCAAAACTATTCAGACAATGGCTAGACGATCTATATACCATACATGGATCATTTCAACATATAACTCCTTAGATTGTAAGAAAAAAAACATTATTTGACATTGAATATCATTAGCGGCAGTGTGTGCAATTCAAAATACCTCTTGACCTAGTAGGAGGACGATTTGAAAAAACTATGTACATCAAAGGAATGCGGCCACCTTGCTCAACAGGAACAACGGCAATAAAAAAGAATGCTGCAGACAGGATATCGATATGTAATGCCACCATGCGAATGCGAACGCCTATGTACCCAATGAACCGGAGAGGCGAACCTGGCAGTAGATAAAACATGCCAGATGAATACTCACACAGAAAAAAGTGGGACACGAGAATGCAAAAACGCCGAATATGAAATGCAGGCCCAGAAACAATTTTTTTCTTTTCTGTAAAAAGGATCATTGTAATTGCGCATCCATCTTTAGTCTCCAGCGAGGGCCAAATACTCTCATGCAGAAAATGACCGAGCTGCTTGCGAAACTGACTAGCCCAATGATGGTGAATAACCACCCATTGCCGATGCCATTGATAATCGGCGCGGTCACAAGAGATCCAACACATGAAAAGATATTTCGCATGAAGTTATTTAAAGCCACGCCCTCCGACGACTTTTTCGGCATAAATTCAGTGAGCATAGTGGTGACCATGCTAAAAATGAGCATTGATCCGATGCCAAAAAAGAAGTTGGCAATCATCTGGTGTCATTTACGTTAGCCTTCAACTTCAAATACGGACTTCACATTTCAGGAGGGAGTGAGCATACCGGGACAAGCCAGAAAACTCCCTTCTCCGCAGTCCAGCCATACCAGATGAGGGCAGCTGGATAGAGAAAAGCACCAAGCCAAGCGTTCTCTCGCATTCGATCCTCCGGGCGATAGATAAGCCGGCCTTTTTCATCATATCGGTTTGCTTTTTCGCCTCGCGTTGCATGATGCTATCCATCCACCGTCCACCAAAAAGACTGGCAACAACATACCCCACTGAATTCGGAATATAAAGCAAACCAATTATAATGGTGCTGAAGTTGTATGGAGGCTTGCCAAATGTATCTTCCACACTGACATTCAAGACATAGAGTGAACCAAAGGCGATGCTAGCGTAGTAAACACTCAGGAGCACCGGGATGAACCGCAAATAAAGCACGATTTTCAATGGGTCAATGAAAACAATCTTCAACGTCTTGAGAGTTCGGGTCGTGAATCCAACCACCTGTCGAGAGGACACTCTGCTGAGCGGTCGAGTGACTGGATTAAGTTCATCCTCAGACACATCGGGAAGAATAGGCTTCCGGACTGCAAGTGTCTCCGGTAGCGCAAGGAAGATGAAAATGACCGTAAGGGCACCGTACGCGGCCAAGAACCACATGGTACTTCTCCAACCCCAACGCTCTGCTAAAAGACCGCCGACAATAGGCGCGAATAGCGGACCACAAAGCGGACCCAGATAGAAAATGCCCATAGCACGTCCTCTTTCTCGGGAGTCCCAGAGGTCAGCAATCGTTCCAGCGCCGACTGCCTGAACAGAAGCCGAGGCACCGCCGCTTAGCATTCGCATTACAATAAGCATGGCGATCGAAGTGGATTTAGCGCAAAGGCAATTGAAGACGACAAAGAGGGCAAACGAAGCCAAATAAATCGTTCGCCGTCCCAATCGCTCACTGAATGACGACCACCATAAAGGAAATATGGACATACTCAGCATGTACAGAGCAATGGACAGGTTAGTAATAGTGGTAGTGGTGTGCAGTTCTTTGGCCACTTGGGAAAGGGAAGCTAGAAGAGCACTGCATTAGTATGATGTTTGATAGAACAAGGGAGGCTTTCGGTCTGCAACTCACGAAAGAAGATAGAGCTACCCATCGGCGCCGTAGCACCTGCAACAGCAACAATGAAGGTAATAAACCACTTCATCTTTCGAGGATAAGTTTTCGGGTCTTCGACTTCGGCGACCAGGGTCAATTGGCCGAACAATCCTCGGCGCTTCAGTCGAGGCACCGGGACAGCTGGGCCAAGCTCGGTGGTTGTTCGGTGTGGCAACGGCATGTGCTCATCTGGCTCATGCTTTTCTTCGCCCACTGGAGCGATGCTGGATGCATGAGATCGAGTCTCGTCGAGTGCCACATCTGCGGAGACTGTCTCTATCGAATGAACATGGCTGACGGCACTCGATATCGGTTGCGCCGATGTGGCAGGAGTGCCCTTCTCGACATCGTTGGACATGTTTGCAAGGTCGATTGGTCGGGGGGGGTGTAGAAATGGCACAATCAAGATTGAAATGTTGATCAAGGATATAAAGCGGCGGCGATTTCAATCACGCCAAAGAAGGAGGCGAGGAACGAGAGGTGTGGCCTTGGACATGGGATGGATAATCGCTGATTCCGAAGATCGATAATGGGACGAAACGCGGAAGCCTGTGAACAGCGCTGAAACGAAAGATCGGACTCTAATAGCGTGCCCAGGCTGGCGCATGAACGCTGTCAGGATATCAAACTGGATATCAATACGGAGTCCGGTAGTGATCGCAGCCAGTAGGACACCAGGACCATGCAGCAAAGGCTATAGTGACTGTGGGATGCTGAAAAACAGGCGACCAGAAACAAGATCGCGCTGGGTAGAGCGAAGAGATGCTCTTTCGTTCCCAAACAGGCAGGCGTCGAGCGCTTCGGAACGTGATGTATAGCACAGCAGGCGCGGGCTCGGCGCCAAAGAATCGGGCAAATGATCAGAACTTGCAGATTTGGGCCGACTACTGTTTCGATACGAAGAAGAAAACTATTGAGAAGCCGGGGAGAAGGTTGGGTGGAAGGAGTCGAGATCATCGAGGAATCCACTATGGTAAGGCTTGTTCTGCATTCGGACGAGCACCGACAAGCACCGACGGGCCCCGAATCCCCATATAATTTTCCTCCTCTTTTCTCCCAGGTGGATATTCTGACGAGCAAGAGGGGCCAAGTACGCGGGAAAAAATCCGTCGTTTGGGTCTGCTCCCCTCAACTCTCGAGGGCCGTCGTGGGTCTCATACTGTCGGAGAACCAGTTACGTTGCAGCATGAGCGTGCCGGTCTTCCGTCGGCAAAAGCCAAGGGCGGTTGATCCCGTCGAGGGGCGACCCCGGATCAAAACCAATATGACAGCCATAGAATAGAGAGGGATAAAGCGCAAGTCGATGGGGGAGGTGTTGGTCCACCTGGTAGACAGATCCATCGTTCTCTGTCTGGATGTCCTGACAGCCTGCGCGGCTCCGTGAAGCACCGAAAACGGCAAGCAACCCTAGGCAGAATGCCAAGCGGACACCCTTGGCCCTCGGCCTGATAACAAATAGAACTATCCAGAAAGAGTCAGCATAATCGAAGATATCCGGCATATTCAGCACGTATCTAGACATCATGACGCAGAGACAGATGCCTTGACCGATCGCCATTCCTGCTCAACGTCCAACAACCCACACCGCAAACTGTAGCCCAGCACCGGCCATAGCATCGGGAGCTGCAAGGAGGTGCTGAATAAGCTTACAATGAGATCAGAGATCAGGACGGAGGGAATAGAGTGAGCGCCCTCGTCCTCTCTATCTTTCGAGGTTCATCGCCGCGCATCTCGGATTCTCGATCTTTCTCGGTGAATCTTGAAGCGTCGAGCTCCCATCCGGTAGCCGACAATCTCTCCAATTCCCCGCATTCCCGCACTACAAACCATCCATCTTCTTTCCACCGCCAACCATGACCACTTCAGCCAACATCGAGGGCATGCAAGCTCACATGGCCCAGTACAAGGGCGACCGCTACGTCGATGGCTGGGCCTCGCTCTGGGACAAGGGTGATAACCTGCCCTGGGACCGCGGCTTCCCCAACCCGGCGTTGGAAGACGCCCTAGTCCAGCGCCGCGCCACCATCGGCGGGCCGATTGCCCAGGACGCACAGAACAAGTCCTACAGACGAAAGGCCCTGGTCCCAGGCTGCGGCCGAGGAGTGGATGTGCTCCTGCTCGCAAGCTTTGGGTATGATGCGTACGGTCTGGAATATAGCCCCGCCGCCGTGGAGGCCTGCAAGAAGGAGGAGTCGGAGAATCATAGCTGGTACCGAGTGCGTGATCAGACCATCGGCCAGGGAAAGGTCACTTTTGTGCAAGGTGACTTCTTTGATGATGCATGGCTAGAGAAAATCGGGGTGCCGTTGAACGGGTTTGATGTGATCTATGACTATACGGTAATATCCTCCAACCTGCCTCCAATAATCTACACGCCTCTTGACCATCTTTCCAAGTTGGCCCGTATCAATGGAATCAAGTGATTGGTCTATGGCCATTTTTGGCCAATTATTTCTCTTTGTTTTCCTCTGCAGCTATTCGAGTTGCTAACGACTGCTTAGTTCTTCTGTGCCCTGAATCCGGCTATGCGTCCCAAGTGGGCGCTTCGTCATACCCAACTCCTGGCCCCTTCTCCGGCCGGTAACCTGATCTGCCTGGAGTTTCCGCGCCACAAGGATCCTCTGGCTGCAGGACCGCCATATGCCTCTCCCTCGGAGGCTTATGTGGAGCATCTGAGCCACCCGGGAGAAGAGATTACTTACAATGATAAGGGCCTGGTCAAGCAAGACCCCCTGCGAGCACCCAGCAAAAATGGTCTGGAGCGGGTGGCATACTGGCAGCCTGAGCGAACGCATGAGGCGGGCCAGGGAAAGGATGGAGCGATCTTTGACAGAGTTTCTATTTGGCGTCGACGTAACTAGATCTGTGTCCAACACGTGCAGACGAGACGTGGCGGACAGGTATGAAAAACAAAATAAAGTGACACATTGAACAACGACCTTCCAGACCTGCGCGTGGTCGGATCTTGAGAATGTGTTTGTGGATACCGGCCCAAAGGGCCGAGTATGATGAGGCTCTAAGCAGAAGGCACAACAGCTGGAGAAAGTTCTTTTTTTCATAAATTGAGAGGCAACCTCACGGCTGCTTGAACAGAGCATTGTAATGCTCACCGAGCCCGTAAGAATGCCGGTAGTATGCGAGCCAGACGACACGCTTGCGCTGTTCCTCCTCCTCAAAGCTGTCCATGTCGCCACACTCAATTTTTTCCATGCGTCCATCACTTTGTACCACGTTGATGTCCACGCCGTAGGCCCGGGCAATCGCCTGGAGCTCCAGCTGGCCGCCCCATTCGGCCGTGAGCTTGATCTTCCGTGTATATACATCCAGCGGTTCCTCCATAAAGGCTTCAAAATCCTCCTTGTGCTCCACGATAAAGTCAGCTGTCACGGCACGGACAGCGCGGTATCCATCATGCTGTGGTGAGGCGACGGTGTCGATCCGTGATTGCGTGGTCGGCTGGAGCACGATTCGGCTTGGGTCCGGCCGCAAACCGACTCCGGAGTCGTCTAGTTGTTTGGCAATTGCAGAGTAGAGACAGTGACCATCCGGAGTCACTTCCACTTCTTTTAGCCCAAGTTTCTTGAAGACAGCGTTCATCACCTCCTGCTCATTCCCTCTGTAATTCGTTTGGTTGGCGGCCTCTTCGGCGGCGGCGGCGGAAGCGGCCTCTTGTTCAGCCGCACGACGGGCAAGGCGAGCCTTTTGGCGGTTCGGTTTCTTAGAACGGGGAGTTAATTCGCCTGAAACATTTGCTGGAGTCGATTCAGGGGCTTGCGGTATAGGTGTCGTGGCTGAATCGGTCTGGTCCTCATTCGATTCGCCATTAGCTGGCGTCTGATCCTCGAGGCTAAGATCTTCGAGAGCGGCAGCCGGGTCCGTAGACTCGCCGTTCAGCTCGGCAATCTCCAATTGCTGCTTTTCGGTGAGCTCACGCTGCATTCGTTCGCAATCATCGTTGACACCTTTGCGGGTCTTCTTTGTGGCGCCCTTTTTCTTCTGGGTGATGCGCCCTTGCAAGTCCTTTTGCTCCTTGCGATGCTTGGCCAGAAGCTCATCCATGGTGCGGAGGAAGACCCAAACCACGTTCTAAGGAAAACAAAAAACAATGACCCGAAGGAAATGCAAGTTTATGACGGAAAACAGACGGCCGGCCCGACAGTATCTATCCCGACCTCGAAATGTAGAGTCGCCCCGCGAAACCCTGATGGCGCTGCCCTAGTTACCGGCCCAATTAGGAATAGCTCCCTGCCCTCCGGATAAACCTGGGACCCGGCGAGCCTCGGCTCGCCCGCTCGGTCAGTTCGGGTATGTAGTAGTATTTGGGGTGTGCCGGGGAAGCTACGGGGTTAATAAGAGCAAGGGTCCACGCCTGCAATCTAGATCATCCTTCCAGAAGTCTATATTGGCAGCCATGGATTCCGAAAGTCTTTTCAATGTTAAGGTAGGAATCCACTTGGTCGCCCCAATTTGAAATTCCCAGTTAACTCATTCTTCCTACAGGGCAAGGTGGTGCTGGTCACCGGCGGAGCCAAAGGTATCGGTCGCATGATTTCGGAAGGCTATGTGACCAACGGTGCCACGGTTTATATCTCCTCTCGCGATGCAAAGGCGTGCGAGCAGGCTGTCAGCGAACTCAATGCGCTTGGCAAAGGCACGGCGCACGCGATCCCCGCCGACTTCTACAAGTACGACGACATCAAGAAACTGGCCGAGGAGCTTGGCAAGCGTGAAAGCAGTCAGTCATAACCAGTGCCAAGGGAGTGAAAAAAAAGCTTAGGGATGTGTTTAACTAACTCGATGGAAATCGCACTGCAGAGCTTCACGTCCTCGTCAACAACTCCGGTTCAAACTGGGGCGCTCCCTACGACGAGTATCCCACTCAGGCCTTCACCCGCGTCCTCACCTTGAATCTCCACCGTGTTTTTGATCTGACTCAGCTCGTCACTCCGCTCCTGGAAAAGGCGTCTGCTCCGAATGACCCGGCTCGCATCATCAACATTGGCAGCATTGACGGCCTCCGTGTTCCCTCGCTCGAGACCTTTGCCTACAGTTCCAGCAAGGCTGGCTTACACCACCTTAGCCGGGTGCTCGCCAACCACTTAGGCAGGCGCAATATCACGTAAGGCATCTATTGTGGTTGAGTTTAGGGGTTTGCAGCGACTAATCGATATGTATCTCACAGTTCGAACACCTTGGCCTGTGGTCCCTTCGAGAGCAAGATGATGGCGGCCACCCTGAAGTCTTTTGGCGAGGCTATCAAGGCTGGTGTTCCTCTGGGACGTATTGGCACTCCACAAGATGTCGCTGGCGCCTGTTTATTCCTCAGCAGTCGCGCGGGCGCTTTTATAAACGGCGCAACCATCACCGTGGATGGTGGCAGTGCGATTGCAGCTAAACTCTAAATGAAGGTGCGCTGGGTGTGCTGGCCTTCGATCAGGTAAACTGTGTGTCAATTATATTTTTGTAGAGATCTCTTTATCAAGCCAATCTGCTCCTTTTCTGCTCCTTTTCCCATCAAAAATAGCTGGTCAATTTCTGGATCTCGGCGCGGACATTGAACCTTCGACAGCGTGGAGAAAGCCCACCGCTCTTTCCCACTAAGGACTTTCGGATTCAAATTATCCCTGTGGTTTTTCATCGTAGATGCCATGCGAATATTCCGAGCTGTACGGGCCTGAGTTTCACAGTAGTTTCAGCCTCGCCAACAGAGTCGGGGGCGCCTGGCCCCATGAGAGTACTCGAGAGTAAACGCCCGCCGTTATCATTGTCTTATCGGAGGCAACCTGGAACGCAAGTGGAGCGGCGACATCATCGTTCGCATGCCGTCATTACCCAAAGATCATCCGGCCCTCGTCCACATCAGATTCAAACAGACTCTTTTCATACTTCATTAGACCCAAACACCTTGTTGAATACCCTGTTTCACTGCATTTAAGACTGTCTCGTTTCACGAGCCAGATCCCCCCCCCCTGTCCTTCCGCCGATCCTCAGATCCGATTCGATCAGATCAACCCATTTTGTACTCCATATCGGCTGTCCCCCTCGGAGCGTCGACTACTCGTCAGCTCGGATATCAGAGATTTGTGTCGTTGCACCATCTGGTGCTGTCACCCCCTATTAGACTCCAGGGAAGTCGGTGTGGACAGTCACACCGCCGCCTTACTTTTCGCACAGGTCAAAGTTTCGATTGCGCCTCCCTTTCCCCCCTCGCCTGCCACAGACCATGAGCTCGTCAAATGGAGAGCACCAGCGGGCTCCCTCCCTCGATCCCTTCTCTCACCCGGATATCTACTATGGTGAGGAAGACTCCCTGGCAAGAATCCGTGACCGCAGACGTGCCTTTTCAACGGTAAGCAGCCACACTGCTCGTGCGGGAACCCCGCGGATCGATCGACCACCCTACTCACTTTCTGCGGGTAAACAGAGCTTGAAAGAATATAGTCGCGAAAACATACACGAATTCCTGACCCTGCCATCAAGGCGAGGCAGTCACGGTACTATTCCCCCTGAACTTGGATTATCTATGTAAAGCTATCTAACAATGTGCGCCAGATGAGTCGACGGCACATCCCCGCAAGTTCCTTATTGAAGTGGACGACACTCTCGAGGCCCTGCTAAGACAGGAAGACACCGACAAGAACATGCAGATCACGATCGAGGATGTTGGACCCAAAGTAAGTTTGGTCACAAGCAAACCCGAAAGCACCAAACGCTAACGGCGATAGGTACTCTCGGTCGGAACGGCGGCATCGTCTGGATATAACCGAGTCGATGTGCGCGGTACCTATATGCTTTCAAATCTGCTGCAAGAACTTACGATTGCAAAAGATTATGGTCGTAAGCACGTCATTCTCGACGAAGCTCGTCTGAGCGAAAACCCTGTCGCCCGGCTCAACCGTCTCATTAAGAACTCGTTTTGGAAAGCACTCACAAGACGAATCGATGGCTCCAATATTGAAGTGGCCGGCCGGGATCCTAAGGATTGGACCGCGGATCCCCGACCTCGCATCTATATTCCACCCGGAGCTCCCGAGCAATTTGAATACTACACCAGGATCGCCAAGGAGCATCCGGAGCTTCGCCTGGATGTGCAACTGCTGGAAGCGAACATTACTCCCGACTATGTCATGTCGCTTGTTGACAAGCCTGGACTGCTGGCCTTGGCAATGGAGACAAAGCTTGATGAGGCCACCATGAAGGAAGAGTTCTACGGTGTGCCGTTTGTCGTGCCCGGAGGTCGGTTTAACGAGCTTTACGGTTGGGATAGCTATATGGAGTCGCTGGGTCTGCTTGTGAGTGACCGGGTTGACCTTGCCAAGGGCATGGTCGTCAACTTCTGCTTCTGCATCAAGCACTATGGGAAGATCCTCAACGCCAATCGCTCCTACTATCTCACTCGGTCTCAACCGCCATTCCTGACAGACATGGCTCTGCGCGTCTACGAGCGGATCAAGAACGAACCAGACTCCAAGGAGTTCCTGCGAAACGCTGTTCTCGCCGCGATCAAGGAGTATCATAGCGTCTGGGTTTCGGAGCCTCGCCTTGACCCCGTAACGGGCCTCTCGAGATATCGGCCCGAGGGCTGGGGCGTCCCTCCCGAGACGGAGCCGACTCACTTCACGCACATCCTCATGCCGTACGCCGAGAAGCACGGCATGACATTCGAGCAATTCGTGCGGGCCTACAACACCCGGACAGTCGTCGAGCCAGAGCTCGACGAGTACTTCTTGCATGACCGAGCCGTACGCGAGTCCGGCCACGACACCAGCTACCGACTTGAGCATGTCTGCGCGAACCTCGCCACAGTCGATCTCAACTCCCTCCTCTACAAGTACGAGGTGGACATCGCGCGCATCATCCGCATCCACTTCAACGACCGACTTGAGATCCCAGAGGAGTTCCGCACTCCTGCCACACAGAATATCGAGACCGAGTCTTCCTCCGTGTGGGACCGACGCGCGCGCAAGCGCAAGCAGCGCATGGACCAGTACCTCTGGGACGCGGAGAAGGGCATGTTCTTCGACTACGACACAGCCAAGCACGAGCGCACAGACTATGAGACCGCCACCACCTTCTGGGCGATGTGGGCTGGGCTCGCATCGCCCGCGCAGGCTGCCGAGATGGTGTCCAAGGCGCTGCCGCGGTTCGAAAACTTCGGCGGCCTGGTCTCGGGCACGGAGGAGTCGCGTGGTGCGGTGAGTTTGGAGCGCCCGAATCGGCAGTGGGATTACCCCTACGGCTGGGCGCCGCAGCAGATGCTCGCGTGGACAGCATTTCTGCGGTACGGTTACCAAGAGGAGGCGGAGCGGCTGGCATACAAGTGGCTGTACATGATCACGAAAGCCTTTGTTGATTTCAACGGTGTAGTGGTCGAGAAGTATGATGTCACGCGACCGATTGATCCGCACCGCGTCGATGCCGAGTACGGTAACCAGGGAACTGATTTCAAGGGCGCGCCGCGTGAAGGGTAAGTTTGCATGTTGTCATTGCTGTTGCAGAAGAATCGTGTGCTAATTTTGGACTTTCTGTAGATTTGGCTGGGTGAATGCCAGTTACGTCTACGGACTGGAGATCCTGAACGCGCATATGAGGCGTGCGTTGGGGGCTATCACGCCTTATGACACCTACCGAAAGGCTGTTGATGCCCAGAATGCGTATTAGTTGGATTTATGCAATGTACATCCTCGTTTCTGTATGTACTGGATAGAGATCGCCGACAAGAAGGAAGAGGAAGAAGACGAAGAAGAGAAAAAAGTAGAAACGGGCATTATGGGCTGGACCAGTTTTGAGTTCTTTTGGGAGGCTATTTGGCAAAGCACCTGTGGTGTACACTGTCGTAAAGAGGGTATCCGGTTGTTCTCGACTCCCCGGTTGGATGTCAAAGCACTGGTCCTGGTCTACAAGTAGGTCATGGGCCGTCCAATTATTATTTTGTTAGTCTAGCTTCGGGACGATTCAATTTGACTCCTTTCGATTTGGAAATGCACTCCGTTCCGAATCCAGATAGATCAGACCCGCATACTCCCCGCATCCAAGTTTTCTTGGGAGTCTGCCCAAAACCCCTCAGGAACGGCTGAGTCCCAGCGAAAATAACTCGGCACCGTTCGGCATGCTGACGCATATTCCGGCCAGCGTCCGAAAGGGGCCAGGGGATCCCGAATTATGTGCGACACCATCTTCGGACCTCCGCAATGTAGTCGGGGCCCCGAAGCTTCCAAGTCGACAATTACGCGGGTGCGGGAGCTGTTGGCACCCTGGATTACCCGAGGTTATTCTCGTGAGCGGCGATGCAAGCGCTGAAATACGTCAGGGGTACACAGTACAGCTTTTTCTTTTCAGGAATCTTGCAGTTGGTTGCGGGCGTTTTGGATCTTCGTTTTTTTTTTTTTTTTTTTTCATAGTGTGTAGGCAGTTTCAGATATAGATCTCAGGGTTGACGTTGACGTCTACATTTGTGGTTACTGCACAGATAACCTTAAGCACATCTCGGCGTCGGCATCCTATGGGAATCGCCGAGAGTGAAGCTCACAGCAGATGGGTGAGTAATCCTCTTCTGTCCAGAGCATACGGAGTCTTACTCGAACTAAGAGGGGGGTCACTTGGCAGGTTCTTGTCTGCCAGGGTTGTGTTACGGTGGGTTTGATACTGGACATTTTGAGCCGAGGTCCAACTAATATGGTTTAGTTTGAGTCATTTCAGTGCTCTTCGGGTCGATTGGCTAAACATCAACTACATGCGTGGGTAGGCTGCGCAAAGGCGTCAGTGCTTCCGATTTGACTTCGTGTGATTTCAAGAACCGTTTCAGGACATCCAGGATTGAAGTATTGTGCCGTTCAGGGGGGACCTGCAAAGAGAGGCTGGGGCATTGGTGGAGTGGAGATCAATGAGAGTTCTGATTCGAGTCCATCCAACGACGTGCAAAGTCAGACGGAGAAACGAAAGTCGCAGGGCCCGGGGCAAAACGTTCTCCCAATGTGATCGAACGCTAAATGTTGGACACACTCGGGTTCTTACGTTCAGACCAACCTTGAACGATGCGCGGTGGAGATGTGCTGAATACCGGGGCAGAACACGACTGTATGGATGACTCAGACTTGCCACTGCCGCCCCCCATCGCTTCCAGTGCTCTGTCTACCTCTACAGCGCAGCAAGGGAAAGGGGGAGAAAGAGAGAGAGACCGATAGCGGACATTAAATTGAATCGATCACACGACCTGAAGAACGACTATCGCGTCTTCTGGGGCACATTTGCTTATCCTGAAGGGCCGGGTTCAACCGCATGTGAAAGTAGCTTTTTGGGGTCTTGTCTGTATTGTCACGTAACCGATGCATGTGTCCCACGACGTCATCTTGCCGTCCCAATCCCGACTCTTTCGCATCCTTCAATACGCGCATTCTCGACGAAATAGAAGGTCAAATGAGCAGGAATAACGTCTTGAATATGCTCCGATGAGATGCCGATAGAAAACAACCCTATGTTCTGCAGTGGGAAGCGTGCGAGGGGGGGGACCGAAAGGGCGATGGGAAGTTCGACGAGCGCCGAGCCTAGTCGTCCATTAGACCGAGGATCTCCAGAGCCTGGATCCTCTCTTCCGAACCACCGCACCCGCCTTCCGCCTTTCGGAGCATCGTCCCTGAACATTGGTCGAGCTGATGCGTTTCTGTACGGGATTGCCTAGGCTTCCAGGGTTTGGGGCACTCAGCCTATGACCCGGTGAGCCGAGCGTTTACCGACCGCTGGATTGTGACGCATTCGCAAAAGGAATAAGTACCCCGGGTTTTCCTTCTGGCTTGTGATTGAAACTTTTGATTATTATTTCATATCCTGTGCTTGTGCTTTTTGGGCGACACTCTCCTCTCTCCTCTCTTTTCATACTCCCTGTTCGAGTACTCTTGTCTATTTGTCTCTCGTCAGGAAACGTGCAGTGAACTGCCTCGACGCTACGTGCCCTGTGCTCGTGTGAATATATATTACTTTTTTTTTGGTTCAACCATACTTACCTGTCCCTCTTGTATTCTATATACCCCCAATTGCATCATGGGCCTACACGAGGATGAAGACCGCCAGTATGCGGAGGAGGTTCAGGCCGTGAAGAACTGGTGGAAGGATTCACGGTGGCGCTTCACCAAGCGCCCGTTCACGGCTGAGCAGATCGTTGCGAAGCGTGGCAACCTCAAAATCGAGTACCCGTCGGCCGTCCAGGCCAAGAAGCTTTGGGGTACCCTAGAGAACAATTGGCAGGTATGTACAGACCGCGAGCGGGGATGTATACCCATGATGGTAAATACGATCTACGCATATCATATACTCACTCCAGATGGTATAGACCAAGCAGGCTAGCTACACCTACGGCTGTCTCGAGCCCACCATGATCACCCAGATGTGCAAGTTCCTGGACACCATCTATGTTTCGGGCTGGCAGAGTTCCTCTACTGCGTCGTCGACCGACGAGCCCTCTCCCGATCTTGCAGACTATCCGATGGTACGTTGAATCCACTTTGAAATACGGAGATACCGAATTGTCGCAACTGGAGGAGGTGGATGCTGACCACCAACCATTGCAGGACACGGTGCCTCGGAAGGTCAACCAGCTGTTCATGGCCCAGCTGTTCCACGACCGGAAACAACGTGAGGAGCGTCTCACCACCCCTAAGGACCAACGCTCCAAGGTTGCCAATGTCGACTACTTGCGGCCCATTATCGCGGATGCCGACACTGGCCATGGCGGCCTGACTGCCGTGATGAAGCTGACCAAGCTGTTTGTGGAGCGCGGTGCCGCGGGTATTCACATCGAAGACCAGGCTCCTGGGACCAAGAAGTGCGGCCACATGGCCGGCAAGGTGCTGGTTCCGATTAGCGAGCACATCAACCGCCTGGTGGCCATTCGTGCCCAGGCCGATATCATGGGCACGGATCTCTTGGCCATTGCCCGTACTGACTCCGAGGCTGCTACCCTCATCACGTCCACCATCGACCACCGCGACCATGCCTTCATTGTTGGCGCAACTAACCCCAACCTCCAGTCTTTGAACGATCTCATGGTCGCCGCCGAGCAGGCCGGTAAAAACGGTGCGGATCTCCAGGCCATTGAGGACCAGTGGACCGCTCAGGCTGGCCTGAAGCTATTCAACGATGCTGTGATCGACTCGATCAACTCGGGCGTCCACGCTGACAAGAAGGGCCTTGCGGAGCAGTACCTCAAGGCCGTCAAGGGCAAGAGCAATAGCGAGGCCCGCGCCATTGCCAAGGGCATTACCGGGGTTGACATCTACTGGAACTGGGATGCGCCCCGCACCCGCGAGGGCTACTACCGCTACCAGGGTGGCACCCAGTGCGCCGTCAACCGCGCTGTGGCTTATGCTCCCTTCGCCGACCTTATCTGGATGGAGAGCAAGCTGCCTGACTACAAGCAGGCCAAGGAGTTTGCCGACGGCGTGCACGCCGTGTGGCCCGAGCAGAAGTAAGCCATTGAATCCCCTGTCCTCTCCTTCTTCCTTATCCCACGGTCGCTAATCTATTTTTCTCTCTCCAGGCTCGCCTACAATCTGTCTCCCTCGTTCAACTGGAAGAAGGCCATGCCCCGTGATGAGCAGGAGACCTACATCAAGCGTCTGGGTCAGCTGGGTTACTGCTGGCAGTTCATCACGCTGGCCGGTCTGCACACGACCGCGCTCATCTCGCACCAATTTGCCAAGGCGTACTCGCAGAGCGGCATGCGCGCCTACGGCGAGCTGGTCCAGGAGCCTGAGATGGAGCAGGGTGTCGACGTTGTCACCCACCAGAAGTGGAGCGGTGCTAACTACGTTGACAACCTGCTGAAGATGGTGTCGGGCGGCGTGAGCAGCACGGCAGCCATGGGCAAGGGCGTCACGGAGGATCAGTTCAAATAGAGAGCGTTTTGAATGACACGCTGATGGGCCTATGGGCTGACGGATTTCCCGGAACGGGTTGTATATCTGTTGGGATCATGGCGGTGATTTTCTCATTTTCTTGGCATATTTCTCTCTTTCCTCTTTTTGACCTGATTCCCGTCGGTGGAGCCTCCTGATGTGGAGGTGCGCCGAGTGTTCTTTGCATTTGTTGGAAAAACTTGCGCATAATCGATTTTTTTCTTCTGGCTTGAACCATTGTCTCTGGTATAATTTCTCTGGTGCGCCCGCGGCAAGTCATCGACGCGCGGGGCTTCGCATAGACAGTAGACGGACTTTATGAGTAGCACGATCAGCATCCAGACGTTTTCCTGTTGCACAGCGTCCGGAGTCCAAAATAAGGAGCAACGGCGCCAATCAAGTGGGGCCGTGTGAAGCCGCGGCTGAAGAAGCTCGGGTGCAGATGCTAGCGTCGGTCGGACAGTCAAAACCTCATGCAAATAATGAACCCTGTCGTGACAAACATTCAAGGTTGAAGAGGACGAAGTCCAACATCCCATGCCAGGAGCGAGGACTGTTACAGATTGCCAATCTCCGCTCCAAAAAAACACTCTGTGGTGCCATTCTTGGTATTCGGAGGGGCAGTGGGAAAGGAGTAAATGTATTGCAGAAAGGAGGATCGACACTTCCATGTGGTTTTCGGGCTAATCCAAGGGGCCGAGCGGGGGAGACCCGGAGGTCGGAGCCCACCTCACTACTTTTAAGGGTGCTCCCCCCATCCTCTCTGCCTGACGTCAAGCTTAGTTCTATTATCCGAACTATTCAACTCCCATCTCTTTTCAACATGGGCGTTCAACTCCCCGACCTGCAGTTTACCTCGCTCGAGGACATTCCAGCCCGCGTGTCCACCTTGAAGAAGACGTTCCTGGAGCATAAGACCCGCGACGTCGAGTTCCGCCTCGTCCAGCTTCGTAAGCTCTACTGGGCGTGAGTTGAGCCCCGTGCTTCCCCTCCACTGAGACCCGATTATCGAAATACGACAAGAAATGAGGACTCTAACGTTCTATCTAGGATCAAAGACCATGAGGAGGAAATCGTGGAGGCCTGCGCCCAGGACCTGGGCAAGCCGCGATTCGAGACCGAGGTCGCGGAGAGCGGATGGATGCTGAACGATATTGTGTTCACGACCCGCAACTTGCACAAATGGGTCAAGGACGAGAAAGCCCCCGATATTGAACTCTCGTACAAGTTTATGAGTCCCAAGATCAGAAAGGACCCGCTCGGCTGTGTGCTAGTTATCGGGTACGGACTGCCCAATTCCAAGGAAGCAAGAACGCAGAAGCTAAACCCTCCCTCCTCTGATATAGTGCTTTTAACTTTCCTTTCCAGCTGACGATGGGCCCTGTCATCGGTGCCATCGCGGCGGGTAACACTGTTGTCATCAAGCCTAGCGAGAATGCGCCTCGTAGTGCTGCCGTGATGCAGAAGATCGTCGAGGCCTCCCTCGACCCCTCTTGCTACACCATGATCCAGGGTGGCGTGTCTGAGACACAAGCCTTGCTGGCCGAACGCTGGGACAAGATCTTCTTCACTGGTGGTGCCAATGTCGGCCGCATTATTGCTAAGGCTGCCGCGCCGCACCTGACCCCAGTCGTCCTCGAGCTGGGCGGTATTAACCCGGCCATTGTCACCAAGAACGCGGACCCGCGCTTGGTTGCACGCCGCATGCTCTGGGGCAAGACTTTGAATGCCGGCCAGGTCTGCACCTCTCAGAACTACCTGCTTGTCGACAAGTCGCTGGTGACCAAGGTCGTGGAGGAATTCAAGAAGGCCTACCAGGAATTTTTCCCCAAGGGCGCGAAGGCGTCGCCCGATTACTCACGTATCGTTAACGAGGGCCACTTCCAGCGCCTCAAGTCTATGCTAGACAACTCGAAGGGCAAGATTCTGCTTGGTGGCACCATGGATGAGAAGGAGCTCTTCATTGAGCCTACTGTTATTCAAGTGGACTCCGTGGAGGACTCGCTGTGTGTAGAAGAGAGCTTCGGCCCCTTCATCACTATCCTGCCGGTTGAGGATCTGGATGAGGCTATCAACCTGGCCAATGGTGTCCAGAGCACTCCATTGGGACTGTACCCCTTCGGCTCCAAGGCTGATATTAACAAAAGTAAGTTTCGATCTGCCTTTTCGCCGGACTCTACGCCCAACGCTCTATTCTAACGCTATTGAAACAGTTCTCTCCTCGACCCGTTCTGGTGGCGTCTCTTGCAACGACGCTGCCCTACACATCCCCACCTTGCCTTTCGGCGGTGTCGGCGAGTCCGGCAACGGCGCCTACCGGGGCCGTTCCAGCTTCGATGTCTGGGTGCACCGTCGCCCCATCACCAGCAGCCCCAGCTGGCTGGAGTCGATTCTCGCCATTCGCTACCCACCATACGCTGGAAAGCTGAGCAAGTTCAAGGCTGCCAGCGCGCTGATTCCAGACTTCGACCGCAGCGGCCGCAAGGTGACCTTTGGCTGGTTGCGTTACATCTTGACCCTCGGCGGAGGAAGCGCTAAGGCTGGCGCTGGCCGCGCCGCCATTGTTGCTGCCAGTAAGTGAAAAACAAGCTTTCTCTTCGCTTTCTATCTCTTTAACAATCTATATCCCCCCTATTGTATCCCCTTTCTATTTCAGTCTGCTTCTTTCTTTTCTTCTGTCATTTCCCCCCTTTTTCAATTTTTAATCCGTCGATCATCTCACCTATCGCCCTCTCCATCAGCCAAAGGAGACGATAAATAAACCCCCCCCAAGGCCAATTTTTGGCCAACATCCCCCTCTTCTCTTTTCGATGCGTCCGAAGGCCCTCGTCCGTTGATGCCTATTACCCATTCTATATACCCCCTTTGAAAACACTAGCTTGGTCTTGTGTGCTTTCCTTTTTCTTGCTCAGACAACAACGGCCTCCATAATTGGCCTTTGGACTGGACCACCGCATCTGTTCTTGTTACCCACTCCTTTTTATCTATTGATGATATACCATTCCCTTTTTCTTCTTCTGATGTCCATGTATCTTCGTTTTCGTCATCGTTCTTCCCCTTCTCCTTCCCCTCCACTTTTCCCATCGCCAAAGATTGCGTACAACTTCTTAAGTGGCTTAATTTCAATGAATTTACCTCTTGTCTGATCGCCGTGCGCCGGGTATCTACCCAGCATCACGCTACGCTGCTCGTCTCAGATTGCCCACATAATGAAGAGGAAGAAAAACAGAAGTTCTCTCTAACCTGGTTTGTAGTTGCCTACTTCGTGCTGCAAGTCCTCGAGCGGCGCACGTCTAAATTGTGAAAGCAAGGAACGGGAAAGGCACAGTGGCATGGAGTATGACAGAAAGGGTTCAAATAGGGGGCTTTTGTTTCCTTTTGAGGAAACAGAAAATATGGGGCGTTTTAGCCTTTTTTTTGTGTGTTTTGGATGTGTAACTACAATAGGATAGCTAGCTTGGAACATGTATTCTCTCCGTTTAGGCCCGTTGACGGAGCCTGTATTAGGATACGATCTTCCGGTTGCCCCATTTATGGGCTGTGCTTTTGCTTGTTTCTTTCACGTGGGGTGTCTTAAATGTCGGTCTACTCAACCGGGTCTAGCCAATCGAGGCAGAGATTACCCTTCCCTTCCAGGCCTCCCATCCAGGCCTCCCTTCCCATCAAGTATGCGCTTCTCTTGGCCGAGGCTTGAGGCCTGATCGTCGCCCCTCCCCCTGTCGATCAGATAGCCATGTTCGCGCAGGTGAACGCGGGTGTGGTGGGGCCCGAGTAGTCGGCAATGATCGCCTCAACGGCAGCGTACAGGCCTGGCCCGAGGATGAACAGGCCACACACCATGATGAATACATTGACGAGGGTCATGGTGGTGGCCTTGACGCCGGAGAACAGGCTGCCGCGATTGAGCTGCCAGTACGCGATGGCGAAGTAGATGAAGCCGAAGAAGGAATCGAAGGCAGCGCTGAGCAACGACAGGAAGTCGCCCATACTGGGCACGACCTCGGAGAAGACGAAGGCCAGCAGCCAGATGCCGGTCATGATGATGGCCCAGACGCCCCAGCCGATGACGGTGTTGCTGTGGGCGTGTCGCGAGCTGCCCATAGTGCGGCTATAGATGAACTTGGCGGTGACGTTGGCGTAGATCACGCCGATGATCAGCGTCGGCACGATCACGAAGCCGAAGGAAGCCTTTTTGTATGCGACGACGCCGAGACTACCGAAGGCCGGGGCTGTGGAGTACTGGCCCAGGTAGCGGAACCCGATGGCGGGTGGCACGATGAACAGAATTGCTGAGATTGCAGCAAGCACGGCCAGGGCCTTGGGGAAGTCCTGGGGCCGCTCCATCTCGGCGATGAAGGTGGGGAAGAGGATTTGCGGGACCCAGAGAAAGGTGATGTTGAGGACAGCATTCATGCATGCCACCCAGGTTGTGCCAGGCAGAGGGAATGCGTAGGTTTTCACAGGTCCGTCAGTTGGATAGTCGCCATTGTAGCCGTACAGCGGGGCCGTCTCGATACCGGCAAAGACGAGGAAGAGCAGAATGGCAATTCCCATACAAGCGGCTGGGCAAGAGTATATCTTGTCAGTATATACATGAAGGGGGAAAGAGAGAGAGGGAGATTTATTTGCTTTAGGGTTATCGGGACGTTGGCACTCACAGGAAAACATGGACATGAAGCTGACATGCCGTAGGGTTCGCGGCGCCGACATCACAATGCCCATAATGGTCGCGATAACCGAGAACACAGCCGTGCACAAAGTGTGACCGGACAGAGTATTGAGCACCTTGGCCCCCGTCAAGACGTGGAAGCCAATAAGCAGGATGTTGTTGGCAAGCAGCATGAACGCGGAGAAGACATAGGCGGCTCGACTTTGACCGAATACATAGTACCCAAAGTCACCTGCGCATGAATTCATATATTAGCGTCCCGAGGATTCCCATGTTGCTCGACATCGGCCTCCGATTGCTCCACTCACAAATATCCTTGATCTGCGGGTGCTTCATGATGAATTTGTGCATGGTGATGGAGGTAATCCAGAACAGCACGCCCGCGAGAACCATCGTGATGATACCGGGCACCCATCCCAAAACCCTGTCCCCATCGACGATTAGTTTTTGTTTTGGATTCTCGTCGGCGTAAGGCGGGTGCTCTTTCAGCGAGCTGGTCACTCACGAGAGCGACCACGACTGGGCCATGATGGCTAAGCAGACCTGGTCTCCGGCCAAGAGACAGGCAGTTTTTTGCCAGGACATCGTCCGAAGCTTGATTTCGTGCTCATGGTCTACCGGGCACATCCGAAAACACAAGAAAAACATCAGCAACATGCGACATGCCGGGATGGGAATTGCGATTTGTATACCTTCGGCCACCAAGGCGTTGATAGTGTCGAAAGAACTGGAAACGTCCACCTCTGTCCCGAGCACGTAGCCCGGTTGGTTCTTCTCATCAAAGTCTTTTACTTTTGACATGTTGAAGAAGTATGGAGGCGAGACGGGGACGGGGGTGTAAGAGAGAAGGTCGGGAAGGACAGCCTGCGGCGCGTCATTTTAAAGACCGGGGATTACAGAAGAATGACAGGCCGCGCCCTCAGATCGCGCTGAGGTCGATCTGGAGTGTATGCCAGTCGCATGGCGGTGCCGTATACTGTAAGGGTGTTGGGATGGCGTGATAATTAAGAGAATCGCGAATGTCGCGATTGGGCGCCGGTCCTGATCTCTTATCGGCCGCTCCGCTGGCCTGGCCGGCGTCACGGGCGCCTGGCGAATGAGGAGGGCGGGGCCGAGTGGGCCGCGGTCAAATCAATGAAGCTGGTGCGAATTTGTGCAATTACGGCCGAGGGATGCGCACAGCCTGACCAGTCGAAAGCTTAACCCCTTTGATGCCAGAGAAGCCGCTCGCTGTCACGATAGAGCCCCCTCTTCCGTGAGGTTCATGGCTATGAAGTTTGCGTGTATCGTGAGAGTGCTGACTACCTAGCACTATAACCCTAAGTGGGCACCCGGGTTGCTTCCTAGATTCCGCCTGGAGATCACACAGTATGTATACTAACAGGCAGCCAAGGAAGGATCCGAGCCATGTGGGCAATTGGGGCCTTGGCAGAGCGCGAATGACGAGTGAATGTGGCTCCCAGAGATGCTCGACCCTTTCTCAATCTCTAGGAACAGGACAGCCAAGACCAGGGAGTAGAGAGCCTGTCCATGGCTTTCCTAATGGGATGAAACGCTGATGCATAGATCCTTTTGTCACTGACCTGAGAGAACCTTCCAGCCACGAGACATTGACAGGAGGCCCATTGTCCTTGCTTCTTGACTGCATAGAGTAAGGTTCCCTAGGGTCCAAGTCCTTTCCTAGAACATTCGTGTCACTACTACCACAGCATGCTCTTCCCACACGTGATGGTTTCCATGCCAGATATGCAGCAAAACACACCTTGAGGATGGAGAAGAGGATTTTGTTGGTGGCGCTCCCAGTCCAGTCGCAAGGGTCCATGCACCGAAGTCCAAGTCCGCGATGCTGACGTGATGGGACCTCCCACGTGGGATAAGCTTAGAAGCCGCGCGCTGCACCGTGAGTCAACCTTGTACGATTACTTTGAATATGTACATGGATCCGTTGTGCAGAGCACTGGATGGAAGCATCCTTCCATAATACAGATCAATATATACTCGTGAATATAGCCATCGCTCTCCAAAAATGGCCCTTACGATAAAAAAGCTCACATATCTCATGGAACTGTATATCATTCATTATTTATGCCACCATATCGTGGTTCTGGCACCACACCGGGAAACAAAATCCTAGCATGCTCCATATTTCACACCATAAATTCGCTTGCAAGGAGTTGACCCGCTGGTCAACAGCGGCGTTCTACACCGCGTCTGCTGACACAAAGGTATTTTACTCCCTTATAGGGCTTGACGCTCTCACCCAGCCCCCGACTGCGGCGTTGGTCGATGTTCAGGCTGTCGACCTTGATGCCGGAGGGCAGCCAACCTTTGACGGAGAAGGAGATGGAAGCGGAATTGGGCATCAGGTTAGCGTTGGCTTGGGCTTTGGTTCGGCGAGGGGTCGGGCGGGGAGTGGACGAGGGCGTGAAGAAGGCGGGGAGTTGAGATGTGGAGGCAGGGTGGGTCGGAGGCTGAGGAGTCTGGGGTTTGGAATGATGGGGGGAGGGTGTCTTGGCTTTGACCGGTTCCTCGGCGAGGCCTTCAGCAGAGCCATCGCCCGTTTCTTCGGTCAAGGCGGCGGAGCGAGAGGATTTCTTGGTGGACTTCTTCTTTTTCTTCTTGCGCTTCGAGGGGTCTCGGGTCTTCCTTGGAGCACTAGCATCCAGGTCATTGTAGGAAGTCGGAGCTTCATAGTAGCCCTGTAGAAGATTGGCGTTGGCGTCTTCATCGGCATCTTCTATACTGTCCTCAAAATCGTCATCAACCGCAGGGTAGCCTGCAACACTGCAGCGCAACGTGGCAGTCCCGGAGACCGTACCCGCGTCGCGGTTGGTTGGAACGCGCCATTCAAGAAGACCAGTGCTGTGGGTGAATTGAGCGTCACCGCGACTGGCCTGCATGTCTGTGATGTGCCGCACGAATTTGGAGATTGGAACACTCACAACAACCTCTTCCAGTACCGGCCCGGACGAGTTCCCGCTCCCGCCGCCGAGGAAAGAAGGTGTTGAGGTACCGGATCCCCCCTTGAGCCGGCTGGCCGTGACGAGGAAGATTGTCCTGGGAAATTCGTATTGAGTGTCAAACGAACCTCAAAATCAGAGCCATTTGGTCCAAGTGATTTGCGAATATCCACTATCGCCGGGAGAAAGAGCTTTTCCATGTGACTTGGAGGCTGGTCCAAGCTGGGATCAATCGGGAGGAGATCCACCTCGTATCCAGCAAGAATAAAACGGCCATCGGGAGGCACAAAACTAAGATCTCCTGGTCGTTCTCGCCATCGTGCAAGGCGGACACAAGGATGAAATACTGGAAGTTCAATTTTGCGTGCAAGCGATTGCTGGCCACCCGGTGCTGATAATGACAGGAGTAAGTCGGGCACACCAGAGATCTTAGCGGTGAATGCGATAGTCCCCGAAACTAATGCAGATAATAGTCTCCCTGAAGGCGCCATTGTCACAGATAGAGATTCAATGATGTCAACGTATAGCTCGTTCGATGTGTGCCGTACCCCGGGTCGACGCCAGGGAATAGCGGGACCCTGGGCGGCGCTGGCTGCTGCCAGCGACTGCTTCAGAGGATTTGCGGAGGCGAGGCTTGGAGAAGAACTTCTGTCAAGTTTGTGCACAATGTTAGATAGAAGCTTGGATGCCAAAATCGCTGGTACTGGTCCTTACCCGGGCACGCTTATTCCGCCTAGTAACTTCCCCATCCACCCCGGTACCTCGACGACCTCCTGCAAAGCATTGGGCTCGGTATTGCATACGATCCCAGCATCGCACATCTGATGCAATATTTGAGCGACAACATCATAATTGGCTTGGATTTTGGTCGAGAGCAGCGGGGCGCCAGTAAAGTCTTCCAGAACATCGACCACGCGATGGAGAAACTCCAGCACTAAGAGGGGTTCTGTGTCCACTTCGGTCACAGCCAAAAACAACAGGTTTGATTGTATAATCGAGAACACTGTCACAGGTGGGTTTGTACTTGGGAGGTACAGTAATGAGGGGCGCGGGGCTGCATGAGCGAGGTAGAGGGGCAGGATGGCGGCGGCCGACGGTGGCCGGGATCGGTAAACATGTTCGACGAGAGGGGCGCTAGAGGGAACTCATCAGTATTTATCAGGAACCGGAGCAGCAGGGGAGATACTTGTTCTCGTCATATACGTAAACGGCATCGATCTCGCCGCTCATGATGGTAGTTGTCTAGGGCAGAAAGCCTCGGGGGTTGTATAGCTCGATATGGAGCTGTGGGCATTCTGCCGCATATCCCCGCTTTTGATTACTTTTCGCCGAAACGCGCGACCTCTTTCCCCGAGATGTGGTTATAGTAGATTGGACCAGCCCCTCAGACGAAGATCCGATACTTTCCTCGATTTCAAAACCCCTCGATAGTTTGTTGTTACACTCAACATGGCGCCGCCTTCCGACATTCAGCAAAAAGATGCTAAGCAGGCATTGGCCGAAGATGGGTACGACGATTGCACAGCTTGCAGAGTGACCGGTGGGTGTTGAAAGCCTCAAAGCTTCCCGTGTGATCCATTTTAGGGAAATTGCTGATCAGTCGCAAAATAGGTGCTGCTGCATTCATTGGTCTCGGTGTCTATAGCTATCATACGGGCATGAGCAACCTCCGCAAACAAGAGGCGGCAATTATGCAGAGCTCGACCAAGTACAAAATGGGCTCTCGCCGAATGGGAATCGCAACTATTTCATTGAGCCTGATTGGCTTGGGCATCTGGCGAGGATTTAATTGATCTAAGATTCATGCGAATTTGGGGAACTATCGCAGTTGACTGCTCAGTATCTGCAGAGCATGAGAATAATAAGACAACCGCTCGATCGAGGTTCTCTGCTACCAACAAAGGGGATTGTACGATATAGAGAGGCTTTTTGGGGAGTTTGTATCATATTGATTTATTGCATCATCACGATTTAATGATAGCTGCCACACTGGGTATCACCACAACATGAGTCCTCTATATGCTGTATGACAGGTATACGAAACAGAGGGGAAGGGAAAACATGATTGAAAGCGGGAAAGGAGAAAGAGAAAAGAAAAACCCAAAGTAGAAGCCAAATAAAATGCAGCAAAGCCATATGCAAGAGTTCACCTTCCCCAGTATGCACCCGAAAAAAAGCACCCCAAGATCTGTCCAGCTGCTGCGTGACAATCAGAATGAAATATTCGTCACATCGTCAACTTCATGTAGCCTAGGGGCGATAGCCTAGGTGAAGCGGCCTCGCTTGCCTCCTCCAAATAAGTCCCTTCCATTAGCCATGCCTGATAGGTCGAAGAAATCTGGAAATGTGAGTTTCCTCTTTGAGCCCAGGCTGGCTGAGGGCTCTCGTGTGGCAGAACGAGCATTGGGCCGGCTGTGGTTGTTGTGACGAAGTTGGGATCGGGGGTTTCGGGGCATTAAAGAAACGCTAACAGGAGATGCGCCATCTTGGGATGTCGGGGCGGAATGGTCAGACGATTGCATGTCCATATCAAGCTCCTGGCACTGAGGGAAATTTGGCCCTGCGGTGAAGGTGAACACTGTCGGGGCTCCAAAAGAGGTCTCTTGGGACTGTGGCGTGGGTGTGGTTGTCTCTGATCGACTTGGAGGGGGAATGGAGGTCGGGACGGAGGTAGGCGGCTGTCGCGGGGTTGATTCGGAGGGCGGAGCTTCTTTGCTCGTTGTTGCAGGCGTAGCACTGCGATCCCGCTTGTCGGAGTCCACTCGTTCGTCATCATCGCTGGCTTGGGAGGCGGTTCCGTCACACTTCTCCGTCGCCCACTGTCGCACTTTCCACCCCTCGCCATCACCCAAACCTAGGTTCTCACGGTCGAGAAAATGGAGCAGGTCTTCGATCGCCTCCTGGTAGCCAGCGGATTTTGCCTGAGCTTGCTCACAGACGGCATTCTTGTAGAGGTTGGTGACGGACAAAGCAGCAGCTTTGAATGATTGGAGGAGTTGTTCCGGCGGCTGCGGGCGAGGGGTCGAACTTGGCAACGAGGTATTCAAAGATCTCATGGAATCCATGGTGGCGAAGAAGGATAGAATAGATTGAGTAGCGAGGTGGAAATCGGGAGGGGGTGAGCTGTCGTAGTCACGGCGTAGTCAGAGGTACCAGGACCGTGCGTGCAAGGCGACCAGGCGATCTTGGAGTATGGAAGTCAACCAGAAGAAAATTGTCGAGTATAATCCAGAGGGGACTGGGGCCCTTTAATCAAGAAGAGCGTTCAAAAGGAAAACCAATGGCTTCCCAACTCCTGTAGTCGCCAAGGAGACGGAGATGTAGTCAGAGGGCCGGAGGGGAACTAACAAGCACCACTGCAGATGATCTTCTGCGCTTTTTGCACTGACCCGGTAACGTGACCCCACATCTAAGGAGAAACCTTTTCCCATGCTGAGTCAGCCCCGTGTGTGCTGAGTCCCAGGGCCAATCAGCGCGTCCGGCCCGCCGCGCTCTCCCATGATTCTTCGGCGCGCCTGGCGTTTCTCTTGCGCTTCACTATCCTGTTCAACTGCCTCCCCAGCGACAGGCATCCGATTTCTTTATTTTTCCCTCTATTTTTCAGAGAATCATCTTAGGAGTCAATTCTCTGCTGTTGGCTGCCTGTCAAAGTTTTCTCTCATTCTTGACTTCCTTCGAGCTACGCGCCTCAACCCCGGCAGAAGCGTGCTTGTGCCTACCTTGATCTAACGCCTGCGCTCTGCGCTCCAAACCCGACGATGGCACCAGCACCCATTGCCTCGCCGTCTCAGGCAGATACTCCCATGACTGACGTAGGCGACGACACAATTCCCTCGATTCCCGTGGATGCTCCACAGGTACGTGATGAGCGTTGTCTATTCCTGCCAGGTCCCGCATTTATTACCTTCATGTGGCAACTGAGACTATCACCAACAAAAGATTTTGAGGATGATCGCTGATTCTCTGTTTCCATCCAGAGCTATCAAGACACTCCGGACTATACGGTATCCATAAGCTATCTACATGATATTTAGTGTTAATGAGGGAGAGATTCTGACATTTCTGGTTCGCAGGATTCGGACACCAATCCCAATACCACTGCCAGCAGCGTCGCAGGCGACTTTGCAACAGCAGATGGGCGTCGTCGCCGGTCAGAAGCTACTCAACTGAGAAAAAGCATTCTTGGCAAGAAGCATGGACGTTTGGACGAGTCCAAGGTAAGTTCTACAAGTGAAGCCAGCTACTCTCTTTTTCAGCAGTTCAGTGCTGTTAACCTAGCAATTGCCGAGTAGGAAGATGATTCCATTCGCCGATTTCGATACCTACTTGGCTTGACCGACCTATTTCGCCACTTTATTGAAACCAACCCCAACCCGCGCATTAAGGAAATCATGGCCGAGATCGATCGACAGAATGCCGAGAGTGAGAACAGGGCCCGCAAGGGATCTGCCCGCTCTGGCGGTGCCGGTGGTGACCGACGTCGCAGGACTGAACAGGAAGAAGATGCTGAGCTCCTGAGAGATGAGAAGCGGGGCGGCGACACAACGACAGTCTTTCGGGAGTCACCCGCCTTCGTCCACGGCCAGCTGCGTGATTATCAGATTGCCGGTCTGAACTGGCTAGTTTCTCTTCATGAGAATGGTATTTCCGGTATCCTCGCGGATGAGATGGGTTTAGGCAAGACTCTCCAGACAATTTCTTTTTTGGGCTATCTACGCTTCATTTGCGACATTCCTGGGCCTCATCTGGTTGCGGTGCCGAAATCTACTCTTGATAACTGGAAGCGCGAGTTTGCGAAGTGGATTCCCGACGTTGACGTTCTTGTCCTCCAAGGTGACAAGGATGAGCGACAGCGCTTGATTAACGAACGTCTTGCTGATGAGAACTTTGATGTTTGCATTACTAGCTATGAGATGATCCTTCGCGAGAAGTCTCATCTGAAGAAATTGCCCTGGGAGTATATCATTATTGATGAGGCCCATCGAATTAAGAACGAGGAGTCCTCGCTGTCACAAATTATTCGCCTTTTCAACTCTCGCAACCGATTGCTGATTACGGGTACCCCTCTGCAAAACAACCTGCATGAGCTATGGGCCCTACTCAATTTCCTGCTCCCTGATGTATTTGGAGACTCCGATGCTTTCGATCAGTGGTTTTCCAACCAAGAGTCCGATCAAGATACAGTGGTGCAGCAGCTCCATCGCGTTCTTAGGCCGTTTTTGCTTCGGCGTGTTAAGAGTGATGTCGAAAAGAGCTTGCTTCCAAAACAGGAGATGAACCTCTACGTGCCTATGGCGGAGATGCAGGTGAAGTGGTATCAGAAGATTTTGGAGAAGGATATTGATGCTGTGAATGGTGCAGCTGGCAAGCGTGAATCGAAGACTCGTCTGTTGAACATTGTCATGCAGCTGCGAAAGTGCTGTAATCATCCTTACCTGTTCGAGGGCGCCGAGCCTGGCCCCCCCCTACACGACTGATGAGCACCTTGTTTTCAACTCCGGAAAGATGTCAATTCTAGACAAGCTGTTGAAGCGAATGCAGGCTGACGGTAGTCGTGTCCTGATTTTCTCTCAAATGAGTCGTGTGTTGGATATTTTGGAAGACTACTGCGTGTTCCGTGATTATAAGTACTGCCGTATTGATGGTACTACAGCCCACGAGGATCGCATTGCTGCCATTGATGACTACAACAAGCCCGGCTCAGAAAAGTTCATTTTCCTTCTCACCACTCGCGCAGGTGGTCTGGGTATCAACCTGACAACTGCCGACATTGTGGTGCTCTTTGACAGTGACTGGAACCCCCAGGCTGATCTACAGGCCATGGACCGTGCGCATCGTATTGGACAGACGAAGCAGGTGAAGGTGTTCCGGTTCGTCACGGAGAATGCTATTGAAGAAAAGGTTCTCGAGCGTGCTGCCCAAAAGCTTCGCCTGGACCAGCTGGTCATCCAGCAAGGTCGCGCTCAACAGCAATCTGGCAAGGCCGCTTCCAAGGACGAACTGCTCGGCATGATCCAGCACGGTGCTGCCAACGTCTTCAGCACCAAGAGTTCTTCTGCCAGCGCCAATGATATCACGGACGATGATTTTGATTCTATCTTGCGGAAGGGAGAGGAGCGAACGGCCGAGCTGAACAAGAAGTACGAGAAACTTGGTATCGATGACCTTCAGAAATTCAGCTCGGAGAGTGCGTATGAATGGAACGGCCAGGATTTCACCGAGCGCAAGAAGGACATCGGTATGGCCTGGATTAACCCAGCCAAACGTGAGCGCAAGGAGCAATTCTATTCCATCGATAAGTACTATCGCCAGGCTTTGGCCACTGGTGGTCGCACTGCGGACACCAAGCCCAAGGTGCCTCGTCCACCGAAGCAGATTGCTATTCACGACTGGCAATTCTTCCCTGTTGAATTGCAGGAACTGCAAGACAAGGAGACTGCTTACTTCCAACGAGAAACCGGTTACAAGGTTCCTCTCGCCGAAGGTGAAGAGGAATCGCTCAGTGAGCGCGAAGCAAACCGGGACCTTGCGCAACAAGAGATCGACAGCGCCCAGCCCCTGACTGAAGAAGACAAGGCTGCGAAAGACCGCATGTCCAACGAAGGTTTCCCGACCTGGAATCGTCGTGATTTCCAGCAATTCGTCAACGGTTCTGCCAAGTTCGGACGCACCGACTATGTTGGCATCGCCACCGAGGTTGACAGCAAAGAGCCAGACGAGATCGAGGAGTATGCCGAGGTGTTCTGGAAGCGATACACTGAGATTGAAGAGTATCCGAAGTATCTACGGGTGATCGATCAAGGTGAAGAGAAACTGCGCAAGTTGAACCACCAACGCAAGATGCTGCGCAAGAAGATGGAGATGTACCGAGTGCCTCTACAGCAGCTCAAGATCAACTACACTGTGTCTACCACCAACAAGAAGGTCTACACCGAGGAGGAGGACCGGTTCCTGCTTGTCATGCTGGATAAGTATGGAGTTGAGGGCGAAGGCTTGTACGAAAAGATTCGGGATGAAGTCCGCGAATCACCTCTCTTCCGATTTGATTGGTTTTTCCTCAGCAGGACCCCTGTCGAGATCAGTCGGCGCTGCACGACCCTGCTGAACACTGTGGCGAAGGAGTTTGAGCCCGACAGCAAGACCAATGGCGAGGGTAAAGGTCGGGGTCGAGACCGGGACGAGGAAGAGGAGAACGATGACGCGGCACCTGCAAAGAAGAAGGCTAAGAATGGCGCCACAGTAAGTCTCGCCCTGTCAGACGATCGCAGGCGATCATACTAACTCCATTTTGCAGGCCAAGCAGGCTAAGCCAGCTAAGCCAGCCAAGGGCGGCAAGAACACCTCGGCAGTGAACTCGCGGGCGGCCAGCCTCTCCAACGCCCCCAAAGCGAAGAGCCGAAAGCGATGAAGCACTCCTGGCTGTTCTGGTATAATTCTGTTCTATTAGGAGAGGGTAGTTTGCGTTCTGGTTTTTGGGGGGATCGGCGTTTAGATGATTTCCTGTGTCATGCCAACTTGAGATAGAAATTAATCCAAGGCTTATCTTGCGCCTCCTAGTTAACCACTGACGAGGAATCCCACTTCAGGACTAGTTAGCACACTTCGTACTTTAGTGGTGTGACCCCTCCCTCTTAGTAACGCCCCTCGACTAGTGAGCTACCGTAACTTACCCTCCCTGCACCCCTGCAGCGGCATATGCCGCCCCGCCTGAAACTGGGCGATCCAATATGAACATCCGGATACGACGTCGATCGTCACTGGACTACACTAGACTTGGCGCTAACAGGCTAACAGGGCTTGTCACCAGCCCATGACGAAAGACAACATTCTGTGATGCCAGACAACTGACCCAACTGGACCAACTGACTAGCAGGAACCACCGCAATCCACTCAAGATAAAACGCGATGGGTCTCCGGTGCAAGCCCCCGCATCATCGCCAATCGGCCCCATCTTCTCCCGTATAGAGTCCCATAGAAGATAAAAGGATCGACCATGTCCATTCTGAAATTCCTCAAGTTAAAACTCGGTCGCAAAGCTCCCACCACCATGACTACCACGAAGATCAAACTCGTTTCCAACCCCCGCTACCAGAAGTCGGGCACCAAGTCGTACGTGCATATGATGCGCAAGTATGGCTTCCATCCGACCAAGGAAGGGCCCTATTTCATTGCCACTACGATGCAGCAGACAGGCCGTCAGTACACGGACAAGCCAGTCGGCGGCCGCGTGCATGCCCGCCAGGTGCTACAGAAGAAGAGTGTCGATAGTGACCAAGTTGGAGAGGTCGGTGCCGACGATGTCCAGAATGATTCGATGTATCTAGCAGAGGTGGGAATTGGCACTCCAGCCCAGAACTTGAATCTGGATTTTGACACCGGCTCTGCGGATCTTTGGGTAAGAATCTTGTGTTTATGTCTGTTCCTCGCTGCGGCTAGAATCGTGTTCTGATTGAGAGATATGTTCTATCTAGGTCTGGTCCACTAAGTTGCCCTCTGCGACCCTGTCTCAAGGAAAGGACCATACGATCTTCGACTCGAGCAAGTCGAGTTCTTTCTCAAACAAGAGTGGAGAAACGTGGAAGATTTCCTATGGTGATGGCTCTTCGGCGTCCGGTACCGTGGGAACTGACAATGTCAACATCGGAGGCGTGGTGGTGAAGAACCAAGCCATCGAGTTGGCGGACAAAATGTCTGCGCAGTTTACAAGTGGCGCAGGTGATGGACTGCTGGGTCTTGCCTTTGGTAACATCAACACGGTCCAACCAACGGCAGTAAAGACCCCCGTTGAGAACATGATCTCCCAGTCCGATATTCCCAAGTCGGCCGAGCTGTTCACCGCGAAGCTAGGTTCGTGGCGCGACGCTGATGAGCCGGACAAGGGGGAGTCATTCTATACCTTTGGCTTTATTGACCAGGACACGGTGAAGGACTCGGGCGAAGACATTTACTACACTCCCGTCGACAATAGCCAGGGCTTCTGGATGTTTGACTCCACCTCGGCGACTGTGAATGGCAAGTCCATTTCTCGCTCTGGGAACACAGCCATTGCCGATACAGGCACTACTCTCGCCCTCGTAGACGACAGTACTTGCAAGGCGATCTACGACGCAATCGACGGAGCATACTACGACAATGACAGCCAGGGCTATATCTACCCCGAAAACACCACAGCCGACAAGCTCCCCGTGGTGTCTTTTGCTGTTGGTGATAAGCAGTTTGTCATTCAGAAAGAGGATCTGGGCTTTGCACAAGCAAAGTCTGGATATATTTATGGTGGAATTCAGAGCCGAGGCTCCATGACTATGGATATCTTGGGTGATACCTTTTTGAAGGGTGTCTATGCAGTAAGTGATCTATGCTCCCCTTAAATACTGGCGGTAGTTGACTTATTATCGTAATAGGTCTTCGATGTCGGAAATATGCGTTTTGGTGCGGTGCAGCGCAAGGAGCTTCACCAGAACCTTTCGACACCTTCGGAGTAGACTTGTAATGCCCTGATCCTTTACATAGGAATACTGCGTCGTATTAGCTCTGTCAGGTTGTATTTAATGAGAGAAATTTTCTATACCGTCTATTCTTTGTCATCAAATTTTATAGCGACTACCGTAGGTCATGACATGTCAATGACTACTTTTTGAGAGGCTCCGCCATAACCGGCTTCAACCGCGTCATTCAACTTAACTATCTCAAAGGTTGTCTCATCTAGGGATTTCAAAAGCCCTTGGTCGACCCAGTTATGCATGGATCTCAGATACCCGGCAGTCTCTTCTAGTGTGCGAGCAACAGAATTGCACCCAAGGAGCGAAATCTCCTTGCGATAAGCCTGAAACACATCAAAAGTCAATTCTTTGCTAGCACATTCTCTAGGAGCGGTGATCCAAGCGTAACGGCCCTTGACAGCCAGTTCCTCGAGTGATTCAGACATCAGGCTCAAATCGCCTACTGTGTCGATGACAACATCGACCCCTTTTCCGCCAGTCAATGCTGAAATTTGTTGCTTCAGCGAAGCATGAGAGCCCAGCATGACATCCGGTTTGCCTCCTCGAGCAGCGGTAAGGACTTGCTTACATCCAATCGCCCTCGCCATCTGTGTCACGGCGGAGCCGACAGCCCCATTGGCGCCGAGAACGAGTACCGTATTTTCTTCCTTCACCTGAGCGCGCTGCAGGCAGATGAGCGCAGTTGTGAATGGAACACCGACAACAGCAGCCTGAATGGCTGAAAGAGCAACTGGTTTCTCAACGAGCGCAGACTGTGGGATCAGACAGTACTGGGCATGCGTGCCATCCAGATCAAAACCGAGGCTTGAACCGCTAGTCCCGTAGACCTCTTTTCCAATCCATGATCTCGTCTCCTTTGAGTCCCCTTCAATATCAATAACGGTTCCAGAGTAATCACGGCCTGGAATGCGAGGAAATGTGGTGTATGGGAAAAGGCCTTGTGCGTTGAGTCTGTCGGACGGTTGGATGGAGGTATAGTGGATTCGAACGAGGGCATGCCCAGGCTGTAGCTGGGGTATTGGTAGAGTTGTCGTCGACATTTTCGGGGCCTCACTCGTCGACTCACGAGTCAATTGCACGGCCTTCATCATGTTTGGTTTCATCTTGGTGGATTTTTGCGCGCCGAGTGCTGTTTTGGTTTTAAGGTGGTGATCGGGATACCGGATGCTTTCTTTCCCTGCGGCTGGTTCTGGCTTTTTAAATCACGATTAGGCGTAATGGATTCATTATCAGATCTGACCAAATTTTTGTTTCCCCCTAAACGACTTTCCATTCCCGCACATCCTTTGTGCGATCATACTATCGGGATAGCAAGACTCCGTGGGCATCCGGGCCGCGCGGAACATGCGGGTGGTGCGGAGATCGGTTCTGAGTTTATCAATCAGATGGCCGAGAACAACGACGACCCGCGATCTTCAGGCCGATCGACTAGTGTCGTAAGTCGCAATTTGCTGTTTACGTATCTGGTCGCCTTTGTCTTTGCGTAAAAATGTGTGCTCTGGTTCTCTGTTTTTTGTTCGCAACTCCTGGGCATCCATCACAAGCAATCCGGGGGGAAAGTTATCAACCATGAGCCAGTATACAGGTGAGCAAGTCAAGATTATTCTATTCTGTTATTATATTTGATCACGGGCTAAGAAATATGTGACAAGAACACTCGGAATGTGTCAGCGCTGCCAATGATATGGAGTGCGAGCATAACACCATATATCCGTCCTCGCCTATTGGCGACCTCGAAACGAAACAAGAGACAGCCCCGGATTTTGGACCACAGAAATCCCCGTTTCATGAATATGCCTTCATTTTTGTGGTCTGTTCTGCCCAGCTCATGACCCAAGCTGGTCTTTCGCTTTCCATTGCTCCGTTAAAGATAATTAGCGCCAGTTTCAATAGCACTCCGAAGGACCTGACATGGGCATCCGCCGCGTACAGCTTGACAGTCGGGACGTTCATTTTTGTTTCTGGAAGACTGGGTGATGTCTATGGCCATCGACTATTCTTTATTATTGGCTTCGTATGGTTCGGTGTCTGGTCCCTCCTGGGTGGCTTTGCCGTATGGTCGAACTCAATATTCTTTGACTGTTGCCGAGCCTTCCAGGGAGTTGGCCCTGCTTTTCTTCTTCCAAATGCTGTGGCAATTCTCGGAAGATCCTATCCACCTGGATTCCGGAAGGAAATAGTCTTCTGCCTCTTCGGAGCTGTAGCTCCAGGGGGCTTCACCATTGGTGCTACCTTTTCATCCTTGCTTGCCGAGCGATTGTGGTGGCCCTGGGGATTCTGGATCTTTGGCATCGCCTGTTTCATTTTCGCAATTCTGGGGTCCATGGTTATACCATATATTCCACAAGAAAGGCCTCGAAGTGATCTTTCGACCTTTGCGAGGCTAGATGGGTTTGGTGCTCTCACGAGTGTCAGCGGCTTGGTATTGATCAACTTCGCTTGGAACCAAGCCGCGGTTGTTGGATGGGAGGTTCCATACACATATGTTCTGCTGATTGTGGGAATTCTGATCATGATTTTGTTCCTGTTTATTGAGCGCAGCGCAGCTTACCCTTTGCTCCCAAGTTCTGTGTTCAAAGGCGAAGCTGGATGGGTGCTTGGCTGCATTGCCGCCGGGTGGTCAAGTTTCGGTGTCTTGGTATTTTATTACTATGAGATTTTAGGGAATCTGGAGGGCGATAGTGGCCTCCTTGTGACTGCCAAATGGGCCGGGGCATCTTTATCTGGAGCTTGTGCTGCTGTGATAACTGGCCTACTTCTTGGTCGGATCCCAGCAAGCATCATCATGTTCATTGCAATGCTGGCATTCTCTGCCGGTCAGGCATTGCTCGCATCAATGCCTATTGGACAGACATACTGGGCCAATGCTTTCGTAATTATGCTCGTCACACCCTGGGGAATGTAAGTAAGCCCGGCACCGAAGCATAGATGCTGGACTACTAAACTTCTGATAGGGACATGTCGTTCCCCTCCGGTATTCTGATATTAAGTAATGCCATGCCACAGAAAGATCAAGGTGTTGCTGGCTCACTCGTGAACACTGTCTTGAACTATTCGATCTCAATGGGGCTTGGTTTTGCCGGCATCGTTGAAAGATACGTAAATGACAACCAGAAAGATGTTCTCAAGGGGTACCGTGGGGCCACATATATGGGCGTTGGCTTAGCTGGACTAGGAACCATTATTGCAACCTGTTTCATGATTGTGACTTGGCGGGAGTCTCGGAGAGGGGCTTAAATATTTGCAATAGAATTACATTATAGTCATTAATAGAATGCACCGCCCTTTTAGGGTCACAAGGGAAGCTGAAACTCCATAGCCCATAGCGACTCAAAGTCAAGAGGGAGCTGCGGCGCAAATGATGGACTTAATGAAGCACCATCCTGTGAGATGTGAGGCTCTATTTCACCAGGTGCAGTAACTGGTGGAACAGGCCCAACTATCTGTTCAAGATAATGCACACCCTTTCTTTTTTTATCCAATGAGGCCCGGACTAGTTGCCGTGCAGTTGAGAGAGCCTCCTTGGCTAGGTGGGAGTTCAAGCGATCAACGATCAGCTCTAACGTATCCATTGCCTCCACAAGCTTTTCACAAGTGGAGACTGTATCCAAGACAAGTAAAGCACAAGTAAATTGAAAAACTGTGCCGATCACATTCCACCATGGCTGGTGTTGACTTGCTAATCGCCGTGCGGCCGGAAGTGCATGCATCCCAGCCGAAACCACGCGGTCCTTCTGCTCATGCCGAATATTGATATCCATGACACGCAAATGACGATAGATACCCAATGCAAGATCTGCTCGTAGCAAGATGAGGAAATCGTGATCAACGTTTATATCAGTGATTGCTTCCAGAGCAGAGATGAGCTCATCCGCAATAAATGATACATCCGCACCGGGTACCAGGTTTATAGGCACGCATGCGACGAGGGAACACAGTTGTGGCGTCAAGTCCGACCCTCCAGTTATATGTTCAATGACTTCGAGGTTTTGACGACCCGTAGCCATAGTAGATCTGCCATATTCGAATGCAATGAGAACATGAAGGCAGTGGGCTACCTGTGCTGTTCGAGTCACCGTGTTTGGTACTGCCGGAGTTGGCACAACATTGCCTGTCGTTTGCATTACATGTTCTGCGGCATGATGAAGACCAATTGCCTCAACAAGATGCATTATTGTGCAACTGGATAGCCAAGTCACATGGGGCCGTCCAGTGCAACGAATGTATATTGTCCTTAAAATCCATGCCGCAATTTGTTCAAGTGAAGGGTAACGGCTGATGGCACAATCCTCAAGAATCTCCTTTGCATGGAGGGTCAACCACATTTCCATTTCTTGGTCCAAATCGCCATTAAATAAAGAAGCTAAAGCCAGAACGCCACTGACCATGGCCTCAAAGACCATATCGTGTGGCTGACCATGCCAATGCTCTTCACATTGCGTGTAAAGGAGATGAATGTCAAGGAATCCAAAAATTGGATGAAGCATAGCCGTGTATACTTCTATAAGACTCCTGGCTGTATTCCATGGGACTTTATCAACGAGTTTCCGTGAAACTGCACAGGGTGGTTCCTTCCGGATGCCCGCGTGGTATGCAAACGAGTGTAGTCGTGGAAGCTTTGTCGCCTGCACTTCAAGCCCTACATAGAGAGGGAAAGCGACTGAAGAGTATCTTCCCACATATCGAGCCTTTGACGGCTCAACAACACCAGGGAGAATCGTTGAGTTTGTGCTTGGCTTTGAGATTCCTTGCGATGGAGTCACGCGGGCCATTTTTGTAGCGGACTGCGATGGAGACCCTTCAGAGGACAAGGCACGTTTACTAGATACCTTTGAGGGGCCATTTTCGTATTCGCATTCATAGTCATACCCTTGGCATACATTGCAGGGCAGTTTCCCATCGCATTTCCTCTTGCGTTGACGACAGGGGAGGCATGCTTGCCTTGAGCGTTGTCGGACAGGGCCAGGCGCGGTCAGGTCAGCAGCCTGATGAAATCCACGAGGAAGACCCGATTGCATGGTATCCTAGTCAACGAAGTCTTTTGCTGTTTTTCCAGAAGGAGAGACTTGGAATGAGTGTTCCCCGGGAGGTTCGTAGTATTTTTGGCCTGAGGTTTCCATTCAAGCCTTGCAGCCTGAGGTGTCGAAAGGAGTTCCACGCATCTACAAAGTAGACACACAATCATGTCTGCGATTTATTAACCTTTATCTGCTGTGTTGTCCGCTGTACTCTGGGTAACTTGTGGAAATCTTTCAATGAAACAATATATCATTCGCCTTCTGAAATAGGAGAGTGGACATCCTTGAGGCTATTAATGACAAGTTTGAATGTCGACATTTCTCAGGAGATAAATCCACAAGGCTATGCTCGTGCATGGTTTTCAAGGCTTTCAAGTCCTCCAAAACGTAAAATATGACAATTCGAGACTTTGTTCGAGAGTCATAGGTATTTGTCTTTGCCAGCCATCTTAAGAAATTTGCCGGGGATATCTGGGTTTATAACATAGCCCTTGCTCGATGCAGCAGACCTAGAACCAGCATTTGATACACCATATCATAAATCCATCCACTTGATCACCGGTTTGATGACTTTCCCGGTGCGTAAATCGTCTAATGCTCGGTCCAACGAGGTTAAATCATAGACCTCGACTAATTTGTCAACCGGGAATTTGCCTTGTTTATACCAATCGATCAACTGCGGAAGTAACTAAATGAGAACCTAGTCAGATGCACTGTCAACACAAAACGAAGATAAAAGCTCACAGTGGATGGGTTTGAAGACCCTTCAATGGCACCAACGATGCGCTTGCAGTTAATCATGAACTCCAACGGATTGATGCTTAGGGAGGCATCCGCAGGGGCGACACCCACAATCGCCAAAGTTCCTTCGTGGCCTAATGCAGCTATCGAGGATTGAAGCAGCGAAGCTACACCAGTAGTGTCAAGTATATGATCGACACCATCCGGGAATATCTCTCGCAATCCCTGTTCGAGATTGGGGACAGTCTTCGTATTCAACGTGTACGAAGCACCAAGAGACTTGGCTAGCGTAAGTTTTGCATCAACAATGTCCACAGCGATAACATTTTCAACGCCTTGAGCACGAGCTGCCATCATTGCGGCAAACCCGACAGCTCCCATGCCCAACACTGCGAAACTAGTAGACAATTTAGGCTTCAAAATATTGAGAACAGTGCCAGCTCCAGTCAGATACCCGCAGCCGAGTGGAGCCAAGGAGGCCATGTCTGCTTCCGTGACGCCCAAAGAAGACGGGCTCTTCACGATAGATGTCTCAGAAATAATTGCAAGTTTACTCATCGATGATTGTCCGAAAAACTGCCCTCGCACAGGCTGCCCTCCAGTCGATGAGATGGGCGAGTCCTTGGCAGATATGCCGCGTACGCCGCCGAAGTTGATCTCTGTGAATCGACGACAGAATCCATTGCGCCCTTCCTTGCATGACCTGCAACTATTGCAGGTTGTGAAACTGAGGAAAACTAGGTCACCCTCAGCCAAAGTCTTGTCCTTGACCCCCTTCCCAATACGACGAACAATGCCTGCGCCTTCATGCCCTAATACAGCTGGATAGTCGCCGACGGGGATAGCTCCATTTTGAACAACGATATCCTAGAGATCATTGGATCAGTCCGGAACGAAGAGCCATCAGATAGTAGCCTGTTGGTCAATGCGGAGGATATTCCTGAGTAGAAAAATAGGGTTGGAAGACCTACTGTGTGGCACAGGCCAGTATACTTCATCTCCACTAATACTTCATTATCGCGAACTTCATCCAATACAACATCTTGAAGGACAAATGAAGCCCCTGGAGAATCCACAACAAAAGCTTTGGTGGAAATTTGTTTTGATGGAAGCATGTTGAGCTCTTTGGGGGAGAGAGTTGATTTGGCGCTTTTGTACTATATGCGTATTTCACAATCCTTCGAACCAAGCTGGATGCATAAGTTAAAGATCGCAGACAGATCGGCTTTCATATGGCACTGATCGCCTTTTATGGACTGAAATTGAGACGATCTCCGCTCTCTCCTTTCACCGGGGAAGGAAGGGCCTGGAGCCGTGTTGCGGGTCCCTTTCCCCGCAGACCCGATCAATTAACGAGATTCCCCATGCACTGCCGACTTCGGTAACGAGAGTCGGTACTCGAGCGAATGCAAGCTTTGGTGCCGCAGCGAGATTCCATTTAAATCCCTGGCGCACAGAAGTGAACTTATCGACAACATAGGATGTGGCTTCCTTTTTTTGAGACTCACATTAGACTTATACTAGAAGCTTCAAGTTCAATGTCGACGAAATAATTTTGTATTATATCAAATGTGGGGACAGCAGAATTGAGATTGACAAGAAAATGAAAGTGATGTTACATTGGAGCTGAACAACATAGATAGGAAATGAGTAATGTACAAAGAGGTATCATGCAATTCCCAGGAACAGAAAGAATAGGATATACAGATATATATATATTACAGTGGTGTCTACCACATCTTCGATTTGCCCTTCGCTGGAGAGGACATGGCGAGAGGAGTACGCAAAAACATCTCCATCAGTAGTGCTGCCGCTACGCTCACGTTCAGGCTGTCGATGCGTGCAGGGTCAGATTCCACCCCTAGATGTGCACTGTGGCGAGCACCGGGGATGCTGACGATCGCATCTGCCTGTGATTTGATGTGGGAGCTCAGACCAGATCCCTCACTGCCCATCATCAGCACACTTGGTGCCTGCAGGGTGGGAATTCTCATGGCGCCCGATTCACTATCGTTTGAGTGCCGGTCAAGATAGTTGGCAACAATACCGGGCGCATCGGCAGCATAAAACCGCCATCCGTTATCCTTGGATCGCTGGATGAATTCAACTTCGTTTTTGACCTGAAACAGAGCCATGTTCTCCGCGGCTCCGGCAGATGCTTTAATCGTGACAGGCGACAGAGGAGCGGAATTGCGACCCGCAAAGATAATGGCGTCAACCCCAAGGTAGTATGCAGAACGAATAATTGCACCAAGGTTACCAGGATCCACAACTCCGTCCAGAAGCAGGGTCACAGGGTACCGGTGGGACGGCTGTCCCGGCGAGGGAGCGGATGGATGAAGTATTGGGATTTTATCATTCGTACCGTTGACTGCAGCTTCCTCACGCGACTGCGCGGCCAGCTCAACCCGGAAATGGCTCTCCGTCATGTTCAGAACAGACTGAAGGGCACGAACAGGCAGCTTAGGCAAGGGCGACGCCTCCAAAATGCATCCATTGTGCGGCCGGCCGGCACTCATCTTGTCCAAGAGTCGATCCCAGCCAGCGAACGCTAGCTTGATTCCAATATTTTTCGACAGCGCTAGTTTTCGAAGAGTCACCTTAGCAGCGCCAAGTTCTTCTCCGGCATTTTGATAGAGATACAGCTTGTACAGCTGACGACGACTGCAACGCAGCGCAGCTTCCACGGCACTCGTACCGTAGATGAACTCGGATGCAGGGCTGGTGTAGGGAACTGAGTCGGGGACTTTGACATTCGCTTTCACTCGTTCTGGCATACTTTCTGTGGCTCGATGAATGCGAGACTTTGTTTCAGGATACTTGGATTTCCCCAACGGCTGTGATCCGGTTTTTGTGTTCCATGTTCCTTGTCGCGTCTCTTGATTCCATCTTGACTGATCGCGACCTTGTGGCTGACGACTTCGAGTCCGGAAATTCCCCGTCCGGATGAATTCATCTTTATCGTACTCAAAAGTCGTGGGTCGTGTGGTTCTCTTCGCATTGCCGCTATCTGGAAACCTTTTGGAGTCTGTCCTTCGTAACCTTCGGCGGCCGTCCTCAACGGCGGAGGGTCTGGCCCGCGAGGATTCTGCACCCGGGGATCTGCGAATGCCACGTCCAATAGCTGAGTTTAGGGATGCATGTCGAATCGTTGAATAGCCCAGTGGCTGGTAAGACTGTCGCAAATGCCATGTCTGCCAACCAAGGCTTGATCTGGAGAGGTACCAGCTCATCTTGTGGTTTCGGGGCAGATGGCTAGCTGTTCTCTGAGCGTTCGCAGAAAATACCCAGATAAGGCCGGAACAATGTATATCCAGCACTGCTATCTTATCGATAAGCAAGTAGATATTGATAGGCTTTATCGGTCACCCTCCGAAGACGCGCTCCGCGTCACTCACCAACCTTTCTTCTACCTTTCTTCCTCACTTCTCTTACTTACAGCAAACAGCCCGCAAATTGCTGCAGCAGATATCTGAATTCTGATAATTTCCATCTTGATCTTCTTTCATCTTCCGACATCTCCTAGTATCACTGATCTCTTGATACTGATCTAGTCTAACCGTCAGTCTCAACTTGGTAAACGGTTGGGTGCACGGCTTGCGAAAGCCGGTGCAAACCGGCTGTTTAATACATTCAGACCTGCGCCGCAATGTCTCATTATGGGAATGATGGGCTGTCGGGGTCTGATGATCCCAATGCCATGGTTTCCCAGCCATTGAGGGAATTTGAGAATTCCAATCCTCAGGAAGCGCTCTCTAGCCCCCCGTGGTCTGAATACAAGCCCCGACCAACCCTAAGACCAGTCATCTTCGATATCAACCACCCGTCTTCGTTTGAAATCATTGTCCCGAAAGTGAAAAATCCAACCGATTACGAATATCTTCCAGGCCACTTTGCAGTAAACCGCATCTTGCGTCGAATCATGGATAATCCGGACAAGCCTTCATACACCGTTCTTCTCAAAAGTGGAGAGCGTGAAACTGTGAGATATTGCGAAGCCTGTTGACTTCATGTTCCTATCTGATGGTTTTTGGTTTGTCTCCAGATGTCGTCAGATCGCCTGATGCGCCTCGAGAATAGCACACAAGCTCTGGATGAGTTCAATCCAGTATCAGACTCGGACGATGATCTCCTCATAGTCGGCAGACAGCCTAGCTCGCACCGTTTTTCACTTGGTGGCGATGGAGTCGGATCTGATTACGAAATCCAGTTTTCAGGACGCCGAAGCATACGACCGCGGCGTGCCGCTACATCTGGCATATACTCATCCTTTTACACAATCAAGAATGGCGAAGATGAGAGCGACGATGGAGAGAATCTTAGTTCGGCCGATGAACTCAATCAGCGTCACCCCCATAAAAGACGCAAACCGAGACAAGGACCCAGAAGAAGGACCCAGAAGATTCCGACCGATGATGACTATTCAGAGCCACCCAGAGGACAGCGCATATCCACTCGTGAAAAGAAAAGTCTTCGGAAGAATTTGCGCGAGCGATTGGAAGATGATCTTTCCGAGGCCGAGAGCGATGTTCCAAGACAACAGAAATATGCAGGGGCAAGAGAAGTTTTCCGAGAGATTTCGCGTGACGACGAGTTCAGACAACGACATTTTGCATCTTGCTCTAGTTGCAACTTCTACGAGGATGATCCGGAGAGAGGACTGCTTGTCTTTTGCCAGGGTTGTAGTTCCTCGTATCATCAGGCCTGTCTTGGACCTCGAAGCAGCCGCGATCACCTTGTGACAAAAATCGACGATGGAGATTTCATTCTTCAATGCAAACGGTGCCTTGGCATTGCTCATGCGAAGCACGATGTGGCTCCTCACCTGGGTTGCTGTGCAATCTGCAAAGAGGAAGGTCCGATGTCTCAGCCCCTGCGCGAGCGCCTCTCTTCTAAGGAAGAGCAACAGCAGCGTATTGAAAATGGTGGGACAGATCCTGTCACTTCCGTGGACATGGCCCGCATCAACAATCTTGACAGCATCCTATTTAGATGCACTAGTTGTCAACGAGCATTTCACATCGACCACCTCCCCGAGGCAGAGGGCCAAGACCCTGTGGATGTGTTTGAAAAATATGCTGTTCATTGGCAGTGCCAAGACTGCTCTCGTGCATTGACTGAAATTGAAGAACTTGTTGCGTGGCGACCTAGAAACTCGGATCTGAAAGGCTCTACGATTCCACCCGCCGAGGTTATCCCAGAGACTGACAAAGAATATCTCATCAAATGGAAGACAAAGTCCTACTTTCGCTGCATTTGGATGCCTGGAGACTGGGTCTGGGGTGTCTGCAAAGCTGCCATGCTTCGAGCGTTCTACGCGTCCACGAAGGCCAAAAAGCCTATTTGGACCACAGAGGAAGCGATTCCCGAAGATAACTTGCGAGTTGACATTGTTTTTAGCGTTCGCGGCTCCGAGGATGCAGAGAACTTTGAAAATGATGAAGATTTGGAGGGAATTGAAGAGGCTTACGTCAAATACAAAGGCTTGAACTATGAGGATTCTGTTTGGGAAACCCCCCAGATCCAAGTGAGACTGCTCGATGGGAAGATTTCAAACTCGCTTATGATGACTGGGTGTATCGGAATGCAATAGAACCTCCAGATCGGAAAACACTCAAGAATCAGCTCGATGCTATTCGGACTCTTGACTTCGAGCGCGACTTGGCCTTGGATATGCAGCCTGAACTTGTGACAGGCGGTGATCTCATGGAATATCAACTAAATGGCGTGAGCTGGCTGCATTACATGTTTGTGAGACAGCAAAACGCTATTTTAGCGGATGACATGGGCCTTGGCAAGACTATCCAAGTCATAGCTCTTTTCGCCACCCTCATTCAAAAGCATCACTGCTGGCCGTTCTTGGTTGTTGCTCCAAATCCAACGGTCCCAAACTGGCGACGAGAGATCAAGAAGTGGGCGCCGGCAATCCGAGTAGTCACCTATTACGGTACTGCTTTTGCACGCAACATGGCTAAGGAATACGAAATGTTCCCTGAGGGCACTACCAAGCTCCGCTGTCATGTTGTCATTGCTTCTTACGAAAGCATGGTTGACGAGGAGGCTAAGCGAGTACTGTCGAGAATCCGCTGGGGAGGCTTGGTTGTCGATGAGGGTCAGCGTCTGAAGAATGATCGATCACAACTCTATGAACGCCTCTGTCAAATGAAATTTGACTTCAAAGTCCTCCTGACAGGAACACCTCTCCAAAACAACATTCGAGAGCTGTTCAATTTGATTCAGTTCCTCGATCCGGAAAAGGATGCTGACCAACTGGAGCAGCAGTATGGAACCTTGACAACGGATAATATCAAGTCTCTTCACGAAATGATCCGCCCTTTCTTTTTACGCCGTACCAAGGCTGAGGTCTTGCCGTTCTTGCCCCCCATGGTTCAAATAATCATCCCAGTTTCAATGTCTGTCGTGCAAAAGAAATTGTACAAATCGATACTGGGAAAGAATCCTCAATTGATCGAAGCAATCTGCAAAAGACAGACAGGCCAGCTCAAGAAAACAGAAAGACACAACTTAAACAACATTTTGATACAACTTCGGAAATGCTTGTGTCATCCATACATTTACAACAAGAACATTGAGGAGCAAACGCATGATCACCAGTTAGCTTTCCAACAGTTGGTGGATGCATCTGAGAAGTTGCGACTGCTACAGCTAATGCTACCTAAACTTTGCGAGCGTGGACATAGAGTTTTAATCTTCAGTCAATTTTTGGAGAATCTCGACATCGTTGAAGATTTTCTCAGTGGCATCGGTCTCGAATACTGCCGCCTTGATGGGAGGTTGACCTCTCGACAGAAACAACACCAGATTGATGAGTTCAACAAGCCCGATTCCCCATTCTTTGTTTTCTTGCTATCGACTCGATCTGGCGGTGTGGGTATCAATCTTGCGAGTGCCGACACTGTCATCATTATGGACCCAGACTTTAATCCCAAACAAGACATGCAAGCACTGTCTCGGGCCCATCGTATCGGTCAGCAGAACGTCGTCCTTGTTTTCCACTTGACAACAAAGGGCTCGGTCGAAGAAAAGATAATGGAGAAAGGCAAAAGAAAGCTTGCTCTCGATCACGTGCTTATTGAGCGTATGGAACATGATGAAGATGAGGAAGACTTGGAATCCATTCTTCGTCACGGTGCTCAAGCTTTATTTGACGACGATGATTCTGCCGACGTGCATTACGACTCCGAATCCATCGATAAACTTTTGGATCGTAGCCAGGTGGAAAAGAAAGAGCAAATTGAGCCGCAGACATCAGGCCCTTCCGACGGCCAGCCGAGGTTCAGCTTCGCGCGCGTGTGGCAGACCGAACGGGGCACTCTAGAGGAGGTCACCGAATCTGAAGAAGCTACCGTCGACATCACTTTCTGGGAGAAAATATTGCGAGAGCGTCAACGCGATGCCGAAGAAGAAGCCTACCGGAATGCCGAGGGCCTCGGTCGTGGAAAGAGAAAACGAGCCACGGTCAACTACCAAACGATCAGAGAAGATGATGATGTTATGGATCTCGATGCCCCCGAAACATCACCAGTCAAGGCGCGAAACACAGGCGACAGTGATGCCGAATTCCAAGACTATGAGGGCGTAGATGACATGGATTCCGTAGTGGGAGACGCAACTATGGGTGCGATAACTATTTCTCAGGCAGAATCAAAGATACAACCCTTCCAGCGTGCCATCATTCCACCTCTCGAGCTCCCCTTGACGTTGGACGGTACAACAGATCTCCCTCAGTGCATCGCTTGTGGCCAACATCATATCCTTGGCTCCTGTCCCCTCAAGCAAGCAGGTGCTGAACACTGTCCTCTTTGTGGCTTGGCACATTTTGGAAAGCACCGCTCTTGTCCCCACCTCCAGTCTGAAGATCAAGTTCGGCGTATGCTTGAAGCATTGGGGAAAAGTACAGAAAACCCGAAGCTTGTCAAATTGGCGAGAAAGTATATCAAAGGAATACTTGGTCACCTCAACTCACGAGACCGCAAAATCACCGGACAAATGCCCACAACTCAAGTTTCACCAGGATTGCTGCAGGATTCTGCTCTTCCGGCATCTTCTACTCCCGTTCATCAGCGCAGAGGAGACCAAAGTGAGCCCTCCTACCAGAATCCATCTCTTTCGTGGCAATAAAAATCTTCAAAAACCAATCACATTGCTGTCCCTTGCTTTTCTCTCAGCTATATCAATCATATCACATCTTATACTGGTTTTACTCATTGACATGGCTTGAAGTTGTGGGCCTTCTGTCGTCATCACGGCGAGGATGGGCAGCCAGGGGGGCATAGAATGGGCATCGTATTGCATATGGACGTGGTTTGTCATTTCCGAGCCGTTCTACAACTACAAGTTAAAGGTTTACAAATTCAGTGCCGTGCATCCTGCCTTTCTCATAATGATTTATGCATGATACCCCGGACTACACACCAATACAATACCAATTGATTTTGTTTATTCTGCTATCTTATTCATGTAAAGCATGCTGGTATGAATTCACCTTAACGCCGTCATCGGGAAGATGCATGTCTGTAAATAAAAAGATGTTCTAGAAAAAAAACTTATCGAAATATCGTGGCTGGCGATTGCAGCCAACCGGCAAGGTGCATAGCCAACCGGTGAATATCCGGCCAACTGATGTGAAATCTTCATAATGAAGTAGTTCTTGTCTACTCGCCTATCCTAAGGTATTTCAGCATTAACTCTTTCTGAGCTCGATACCCGATGATACACTTCATCTCTATCATCGATGCCTCTCTTATACGGTTTCCTTTGGCTACACAGATTCGGGTTCTATGGTCTAGCCTTTCTTCATCTAAGAAAGTGATCTTCCAAAAGAACCCCTTTCTCTAATATCGGTGACTACTAGGTAGACCACGGCCTTTTTTTGTCTTCAATCACAATCTAGCAAGCTGCAGCTGACAAAAAAAATACTTCATCGTTTGCCTATTTATCATCTAGAAAATCAAAGGAAAATAGCGGATCATGCGTAAGCGTAGGCATTCGTCTAGAAAGCAGCACAGAGAAAGGCAGCGCTCTTCCGTGACCCGCTAAACCAACCGGCGCAATTGCTATCCTTCAATATCACAAAAAGTGAGGTCGCGGTTTCAACCTCCATCTTTTCATCTCCTCGCCTTCTTTTCTTCACTTCTCAATTCCACCCTTCTTCTCCTATCCTTTGGAACCTTTCCAACCTTCGAACCTCTTCCTTTTCATCCTCTAATTTGAACCTTCTCCCCCTCTACTATTCGATCACTTCCTTTACATTATTTCTCAGCTTCAAAATCGATATTTGTACCTGAGTTGACTTCATGATGAGCTCTCAGGCACGTCCCTCTTTCTTCTGCACGCGTCCCAATGGAGTCCTCACCCCTCTAGTTGCGGTAGATGACCTTCCTTCTCACATCATCATCCGTGGAGTCTCCCGTACTCTCACTGCCGGTGATACTCAAGGCATGACTAGTTGTGGTGTTGCAGCACCTCGTTCCGAGCCATGGACTATTGACGGAACTGTTCCTCCCGTTCAAGGTGTTGCGAACGAGGATGACCTTGCTGAATTGCAGGCTGTGTTGCTGAAGATCATGGCAGATGACAATATTGCCTCTCATCTTCGCCTATCCATCAAGGACATCCTGTACCGGGGCTTGAACTCTTCCTGGGCTATTGAGGGGCCCACTGTCAACCCTATGACGGCAATTCAGTCGAATATCCCTGGCTACTATGGAAATAATGGCAGCCACAAACATGTAAACCTTATGCTTTTCAAAATATATCATGAAAGAGACGACTGACTCTCATTTGCAGCAGGCTTATAACAGCAAGAAGGAGTATTGCTCTTATTGGATTCGTCATGGCGAATGTGACTACCAGCAGCAGGGTATGTGATTTCACTCAGAGATCTGATACAATGACTACTGTGCTAAAAAAAATAAATACGGACTGTAGGCTGTCTCTACAAGCATGAGATGCCAACCGACCCTGCGATGCTCGAGAAGCTTGGTCTCCGTGATATTCCTCGTTGGTACCGCGAGAAGTTCAATGTGGCCAGCCTGCTGCAGCCCACTTTTGGAACTTCACGTACTCAGCTTCAACTGCCTCCTCCCGTTGAACAGTCTGCTCTTAAGGCCATCCAGTATCCTGTTTCAACCAACACTGCCATTGCCACTAACAGCAACAATCACAACCCTCATGCCCACCGCAACAATCGCTACAAGTCTCCTCGTGGTGCTGGCTTTGGTGCGGGTAAACCCCGTCGCAACTCGAGCTGGAATAGAAATGGACAGCGCAGTACCCTGGCTCAGACTGTCACCACAAACAGCAACGAAACTCCCGAGACTTCCACAGCATCCCCTTCTGCCAGCGAGAATTCTTTTTCCATGTCAGAGGGTGTGAAGCTTGATATCATGTCAGTCAACTACCGTGACGATGCTCCCATCTCTGCCCCCGGCGCTCAGACTTCCGGCACCTGTGGTCACAACCCTATCCAAATTGGTACATCGCAGCATATTCTGGACAAGGATGGTATGGCCCATGAGACTACCATGGCTGATCGGCTTCTGAACCTGACTCTCAAAGACTTCAGCTGTGCCATGGACAAGACCGCGGAGAAGAGTACCTTCCGTACCAAGTCCCGTCGACTCTTTGACTTTGGATCCGATGGTGGAGTGAAGCTTCCTCGAGAGGAGAAGAATGCCTCTGCCTTTGATCTGGTCAATGGGAATCTTAGCAGTGGCTCCCACCATCTCAAGCCAACCATGCCTAGCTCTACTGCCAACAAGGATACTGCCGTCATCCCCCCGGTTGTGAACTCGGCTATCCGCGAGCTTGTAGAGACAAGCGACCCAATTCGTCGTGATGAGGTCCTTCTCAACTGGGGCCCCATTGGCGAGCCTGTTCAGCGTCCGACTTGCGGTATCTTCAGCGAGTCTTGGATCCACCCCGATATGCATTACCCTCTTGAGCCTGTTGAGCGTCCCCAATCTGTTCAGACCAGCATCCATGATGATGCTCACTTCAACTCAAAATCCGATGCCCGTTAGAGGACATCATACTCCCTTGCGATCCTTCCTGGTGTTGCCATCTTTGACCATATTGTGCGAACTCCAGCTAGAGCTAACTTGATCTTCTCTTGATCTACGCCATTTATGTTTTGCTCTACTGGGATATCATTTACTTCCCTATTTCAATATCGCCAGATTGCCAGATAAATTTATGTGTGTTATGATATACCGAGTTATCTGGCAATTGAACTACCACGGCAATCCTTCTCGCTCAAAAGTGTTTCCGATGTGCGACGCCATCCAACGAAGACCAAGGATTTGTGCAGAACAAGGAGATGTTTGAGAGAGTAGATACGGCAGTGGTGTGATGATAATCCAACGATGACGAATTTCGTTCCTGGGGGACGGGTGCCGGTTTCATTCGTGCGGCCAGCCCTGTATTCCCTTTGCTTTTCTTTGCTCCCCCAATTTTACCCCTTTGCTTTTTGTTTTTGATCACAACTGTTCTGCATGCTCTTCTGGCAGAAGGGATTTTGTGTAACTTTCGAGGAAACGAAATATCCGCCTTGCAAGGGCCCGCATAGTCGTGAATGTGCCGAAAGATAACCTACTTGACTTGTGTCTGCGAAGGCCTTTGGAACCCTTCTCCAAGGGATTCAAAGGCTGGAACAAGATCACTGTCTTTTCAGATAGCCGCATTTGCAGGACATGCCATATTATTATTACTCATAATCTATTATTACCGTCAATGCTGCCAGTTCTGGCATTTACTCTGTAATGTTGAATATATAGACCTCGTAAGCACCCACGCATTGGAAACCGCATGGTGTTGATTGGCCGCTGTGGACTTCATGATCTTGCAAGCATTATGTGCAACAGTACAGGAAGTATAGATACCAAATCCTTCAAGGAAACAAGAAATGCCCTTTAAAATCACCCTTGAATGGTAGCGAGACACTGATGAATTGAAATGAAATGGTTATTGTACATCAAGAAAAAAAGAAGCCGATTAGACCTCCCACAAAATGCGCCCGCGCCTCGCAAATGTTTGATTACAGTTGCCCAACACATCAGAGAAAAAGATCATGCAAAGCATACTTATCTATACATTGCCAACCCAAGCCTCTCACCGACGCACCGGCTTTGACGGCTTCTTGGATGACCGTGCACCAACCTTCACAGCAACACGCTCCCGTTCCTCTGCAGCGCGCGCCTTGAGGGCCGGGTTAAGCTCGGGAAGAACTTCAATCGCCTCGGAGACAATCCGGTTACCATTGATAATAGCCTCTCTCGCCTCTTCGGCATTCAGTCGTTCGGCACGCCGGGCGGCTAGCTGTTTCCGGCGCTCTTCGGTCATTTTCCATGACTCCGGGAATTGGGGACGGAATTTGGGCTTGTGGTGACGGAGATCGAGTGGAAGGTCCGCGAAGGAGTCGCCACTTTTAGCCTCTTGAACAAGAGTGCTGACAACATCGGCAAGATATCGCTTATTCTGTGCACGGGAGGGGAATTGATCCGTGGACATCTTGACGACGTCGGTCTGGGGGTTGTAACGGGGACCGACCAGCTTTAGAAAAGTCTGGCGCTGGGTTTCGGTAAGATATTTTGGTGTCAAATCGCGAGATGCAAGCTCCACGACAACCTTGGGTTCAGCCGGGTGGCGTTCACCCATGTAGGTAGTATAGCGGAAGCGGAGGATGTGGTTTTCTGGAGGGAGAGTAAACGGTTGCGCGAGTTCTGATTTACGCTAGGTTAGCAAAATTAGGCTTCCAATAGAAAGCTAGATCTTTGGCTGCCTTACTGCTCAGCATTGGCATATCCCATGCTGTGATACGCGCGTATTCTCTCATCTCGCGATGCAATTCCATCTCGGCATGGGCCATGGAAGTGATCTCGTCATCATTAATTTCTTCATCGCCGTCTTCGACTTGCGCCAGCTCGTCGCCATCATCCTCGGCCCAGAATCCAAGATTCTTAGCCCGGAGGTCTTCGAAACGAATGTCAGATTCCTTGTCGATCTGATTGACCTTCCGCTCAAGCTCCGCGAAAGCCTCCGATCGCTTCCCAATGTCATTGAAATCGGCGACAATCCGGCGATTCTCAGCATCAAAGGCTGCACGATCTTCAGGCGACATCAAATCGTACATAGATCGTTCCTCTTTGGTGAGAAGGTCCGGCGAGTACTCGGGCATCGACGGGTAATCTTCCGCTTTCAATTCCTTCGGGGGAGGAGGAACTACCGGGTCTTCATTCACGAATCTGAACGGGGAGGCGGAGAAAGACCGAGCAGGCGTAAAGCTCGAGGCCCTTTGGGCCCATAAACGGGCCGGGCGAGTCAATGACCGGGCGACACAAGCCATTGTTGAGGGCGTGCTGGACAGATAGGTTGCGGAACACCTTTTTCGATGTTTTCCACTCCCAGAGTCCGATACACGCTAAACCTAATTTGGGATCACACGTGATGTGTCGTCTGGCCGGTCCGCGCCTTCGAGATGGCAGTCCATCACCATTCATCGGCTTTTTAATTTTCTTTCGAACATCTCCTATTCCTTTGAACCTCTAAGGAGGTCCCGCGCCGATAATGAAACTTTGTTTTGTTACCGTGGGAGCCACTGCTTCATTTGAGAAGCTCGTTCAGGAAGTGCTCCACGATCCGTTCTTGGCGGAGCTCAAGAAGTACAAATTCACTCATCTGATCGTTCAGTATGGCAAAAATGGCCAGTCGATCTTCGATAAATTCACTTCAGAGCACCTACCAGGAACTAACAGCCTGCTGGGTATGGATGTTGCCGGGTTTGATTTCAAACCTGACTTGACCACATACTTCCAAATGGCGCAGAAGAACCCTTCGAAGTCGCAAGAGCTTGGGCTGATCATCAGCCATGCCGGTAAGATCTCACATCTCCAACCTGTAAGAAAACTTTCAATTGACTTTCAGTAGGTACCGGTTCCATCTTGGCTGCTCTTCGAGCTGGCTTGCCTCTGATTGTTGTCCCGAACCCCGATCTTGCAGACAATCATCAAGAGGAGCTTGCCCTTGAATTAGCAAACTATGGATATGCAGTCAAGGGATCGCTTGAGTGAGCATATAAACTGTGTTTTGATGTGTTTCAAAATATATATCTGACTACTATGATAGGAATATACCCAGCACTGTTAGCCTGGCAGAGATCCGCCGAGAACAAGCCCCGTACTATCTAGATACAGATGAACGCAACTTGGGTGCCCCGTTGTCTGACCAGCTATCATACCTAGATTGAAATCCAGGATGCTTCCCCGAGAAAGTGCTCGAATACCCGGCCAGGTAATGAATCTTAGGGTAGGATTCTCTGAAATTACTTCATTCTGACTTTTTGTAGGAGAGCAGAGCTGATGCGATTTATTCGATAGGCTACTCAGTGCATATTGCTTGGTAATGAGGCCCGACATTTCCTGATGTCTTTACTTCCAGCTATGTGCACCATTGGACAAAAGCGAGGCACATAACACAAATACCCTAGGGTGCCACTGGCACACCTACATGACCAATTACATCCATAACCTTGTCTGTTAATAGTGATTCCCCTCTTTTTCTCAAAAGACCACCATAGCAATGCTTCCATATAATGGCATCACTACTTTGCCCTATGGGAACAGGCTGTATAGAAAACTGATTTCTGCTAGCGGGTAGCTTTTTAGTAGTAGAACTGAGAAGTATCTAGAAAAGACAGAATTATTGCTGCGTACAGAAGGGTCTGAACTTGTCTGCTCTTGCGAAAGCATATTATTATTGAACTTCAGGCTCCAACAGTGCTTGTGCACAATCATTTCTGTTTTTTTAATTCGGTTTCTATGACCATTTTACAGCCTTGTAGGAATGAGCAAGACTCATCTCTTTTGACCCTTCGTGATTTTTGTATGTTGGGGAGATCAAGACCATCAGGGCCGAGTACTTTCTTTGTGGAAGTGGATGTGCCTCCGCCGGGAACCACCATTGGCCCAAGCTTCTTGTTGACAACTCCCCGTCGCGCAGCCGCAAAAACCTCCACTCCTAACGCCTGCGTGAGGTGAACCCTGCACCATCATCTGAGACAGTTCAAGCTCTCCTGTCTTTGTCGCCATTCCTGATATCCCGAGTCACCAATTCCTAGGCCGTGGGGCCGTTTCAAACACCTTGCGCCTAAACTTCCGACTCCCGTCCTCCGAGACCTCCTTGTTCATTCACGCAATCCCCCGCAATGGCTGAAGCTACCCTTCACAACGTGCCAATTGTCATCGACAATGGCAGTGGGACCATTCGTGCTGGATTCGCAGGCGAAGAAATCCCATCATGTTATTTCCCCTCGTTCGTCGGTCGTCCCAAACATCCCCGGGTGATGGCCGGCGGTCTCGAGGGTGACTCGTTCATCGGTGCTCGCGCCCAAGAACTCCGGGGGCTGTTAAAAATCCGCTATCCCCTTGAGCATGGTATTGTCACAAATTGGGATGATATGGAATCCATCTGGCACTATGTCTACGAAAACGAGCTCAAAACCCTCCCTGAGGAGCACCCCGTATTGCTCACCGAACCACCGCTGAACCCTCGCGCCAACCGCGACATGGCCGCGCAGATAATGTTTGAGGCATTCAATGTGCCGGCATTGTATGCGTCCATCCAGGCTGTTTTGTCTCTCTACGCGTCCGGACGCACCACGGGTGTGGTCCTAGACTCCGGAGACGGTGTATCGCACGCTGTGCCCGTCTTTGAGGGTTTCGCTATTCCCAACAGTATTCGCAGGATCGATGTGGCTGGACGAGATGTGACAGAACAAATGCAGTTGCTCCTACGGAAATCTGGCCATGTGCTGCATACTAGTGCCGAGAAAGAAGTGGTGCGGATGATCAAAGAGAAGGTCTGCTACGTGTCCTTAGACCCAAAGCGCGAGGAGAAGGAGTGGATGAACAACTATCACAAATCGGAAGCCAAAGCAGTCGATTACACCCTGCCAGATGGCCACAAGATCAAGGTGAGTTTTGCTCGTGCGACACAAGCGTAATCTATAACCTCTGGCTTGACGTTCGTCTAATTACTTGCTATATAGATCGGTCAAGAACGCTACCGCGCGCCCGAAATCCTTTTCGATCCTGAACTCATCGGTCTGGAATACCCTGGTGTGCACCAGATCGTCCAGGACGCCATAACACGCACAGACCTCGACCTGCGAAAATCGTTATACCTCAACATAGTGCTCTCCGGTGGCTCAACCCTGTGCAAGAACTTCCCAGATCGTCTGATGCGTGAGATCAAGCGATTGGCTGTTGAGGATATGAAGATTCGGATCTCTGCACCGGCGGAGCGCAAGTATACCACCTGGATCGGTGGTAGCATTCTTGCTGGTCTGAGCACCTTCAGAAAGGTATGTGAAATATTGAAACATATCCATCGAATTCGTCCGGAGCTAACATTTTATCCAAGATGTGGGTGAGCGCCGACGAATGGCATGAGGATCCAGAGATCATCTTCAAGAAATTTGCCTAAAGGACTGATATTTCCGACTGGTGACAAGGCCTGTGGCAATATCTGAACCTTTTTTATTAGCCCCCTCTCAACAACGATCTCCCAATGCACACATACACTTTATCACAACTTTGCCTCCAATACAACTGCAAGGTTGCCGCCACTTGAAAATCAACATTCCTCATCCTCCGATGAGAAAGGGAAAAACGCACTCAGACCAGATTATCAACTGTGCCAAATAACCATTCTGTGTTGGCTACAATACTACAAACCAAAGCGATCTGTGATTACTTTGAAACATATTCAATCCAAGTACGCATCTCTGCGGCTTTTGATACCCCCTTTCCCATTGTGTCTTTCTATCTCCTTGGTCCATACCTTGCTTATGTGACATGCTATGTTTAGCTCCTGGCTAGCATGCTCCATGCTTTGTGCAAATACAATTTTTCTTCTTTTCATCTTGACTCGGAATTTGCTGCTGGCACAGGATTGTATACAGGCGGTGCTACATACTATGAGGCGATATTTCATCTTAAATGAATTTTTAGATATTTTCAGCTCCCTTTACCTAGATCGAGATTCTGGTAACCATAATTGAGGGAAGAGTATGACGTCTTGACTGGCTTTGGGTCACGCTTTCCCCGTAAGCTTTGACAACGCTAAGCCTCGGCTGGTTTGGATGCGGGGACGGGGATGCTGTAACCAACGGAGAAACACGAAATGCAAACGCCGTCGTATTTCCATGAATTTGCTGGTCAATTGCTCTTATGATCAACCATTGGATTCATGCCTGAAAAGCAGAAACAGCCCGATCGGGCGAGGATTGTATGCATGCACTGCCATGCTCGGAAAGTACTTGTCACCACTCGCTCAAGGCGGCTCGGGGGAAACAGGGGCTGACCATGAAACAGGTACGGTGCGACCTCGGAGATCAAACAAGTGAAGTCTGCAGCAATTGCAAACGGCGCCGGCAAGTTTGTCGGTCAGTCTCCAATGTCTCGCTAGCAGACTTCTTCGATTACTGATTGTTTTCACAGGCGACGCGGTCGCCGATCTTATGGGACCAGAAGTCACAGTTTATTCCCAGGACACTTTGAACCTTCTCTTTTACCTTCAAATGACGACCATAATGCTAGGTCAAAAGACCATGGACAACTGCACTCACCTGAGTCTTGGAATCAGGATTTGCAGGATGTGTACCAGGCCACCAAAATATCATGCGAGCCTCAGGCCTTTGTTGGCGAGGAATCATTCATGACTCCATTAACCAGTATGCAAGTCAATTTCGTGCCAGAAACAGTCGTGCCAGAAGGAGTTGGCACCTTGCGGAGCCAGCTCTCTCGGGATATTCTGCACGCTGCGAATGCCACATTATTACCACCGAAGGCTCAAATCCAGGCTTTTGCCGACTCCTACTTCCAGCACCTTTACCACCGTGCTCCAATTGTGGACCACGAGGACCTAGCTGTGGAAGAACCTTCTATCTTGTTAACACAGGTCATTTGCCTGATTGGCTCTCTTCTGCGGCACCCGGGGATTCAATCCACCGTAGAAGAAAGTGAACAGTATTATAACAAGGTGAAGGCCTTGCTATATACTAATTACGAGAGAGATCCGAGATTAGTTCTCAAGGCTCTCTGTCTTCTCGGGTTTAGGAACATAACACCACCGAAGGTGATCAGTTTGGACTGCTCCTGGCATTGGATTGGAATGGCAGCGCGTCTAGCTTACCAAATAGGTCTTCATCGCGAATCTACCTATTCGCAACTAAAGAATCCGGGAAATGCCCGAAGGATCATGTGGTTTTTGTTTGTGAGTTTCTACTTGAAGATTATCAGTCATCTTGGCTAAGTATATGTTTTCAGGTTGAAGACAAACTACAAACAGCTTGCTTCGGACGGCCTTCTATACTTGAAGGCGCCGGGTTTGACGTACAACTACCCACCCTTGAGGATTTCAGGTGCACAAATCTCCAGGCCGAGATCTTTATTGAGTACACTAAGCTCAACATTATACTGGGCGGAATGGTGGACCTTGATAGTCGAAAAAGTGAGGTATTACAGGAAGAGGTTAGTAATGTGAAAATGTCCAAACCTAGTAATGGCGATCTCTCATTCCCATTTTTCTAGTCCCTATCCATCCTGCGATCATTACAGCAATGGATCAGCAACATCCCCCCACGACTTCGATTATACGGTGGCCTTGATCGCAGCCCATTTAAAAGAGATGTCTACGAAATGCATATTAACTATTTTGTCTGCTTAATTGTGTTTTTTCGCATGTTCGGTCACTCGCTTCCAACACTTACAACATCAACCGCATCACTAGTAGCGGCGTCCTGTATCACTCGCCTTTATGAAGAAATACTATACCGCGATGAAGTCAACTACCTCATGCCAATTAACAATTGGTTCTTGATGGTAGGCTGCGCACCACAAATTCAACACAATGCAGCTTGCCAGGGCAAAGATCAGCTTTGTGGAGAGGAGCTTTCTATTTTAAAGACTTCTTTGAGACATATGCGACTTAAATGGCCTCCAGCGGGTGTTTTGCTAGACATCATAGATCGCATATGCAACAACGCTGCAGAAACCTCTCCATCTTCAACCGACGTGATAGAGGGCTTAGAGAATCCGCATTTCGCAAAAGAGCCTACCTATCACCTGCCACACTCCGACCTATTGAATGCTTTATTTCCTTTCCCGGGGTCATTCAGCCCGCGATTATCCCTGATCCAAGAGACCAATGATTCAAGTGATCAGACGGTCCTGGAAAGAATGGCAGAACTGGACGACTTGAACTGGATTTTCGATGAATATCATCTTGGATATCTTGATCCCCGCTCATTTGATAAGAATTCTTAGGAGGCTTACTTGAAGAATCAATCCCACTGGAAAACTGTATAATTTACATCATCTTTATCTAAAACGACTGTTCCGCTCGTCGGGGACACTCTTCCGTCTATTTACAAAAGATAAGGCCTACAACCAGTTTCATAGATGGCTGTTGTATCTAGATTTCGAACCCCACGGAAAGAATTGCAATAGCCTCTGGAATGTCTCCGCATCCCCATGAACAGCCTTGCCTTCTGGTGTCATCTCTCCAATGAGTATTTGACGGAGTTCCTCTTTGGTCACATCCAGGCGCAGTATAGCCTTCTCCGATGCTGGGATCTGAGCAGAGAGCACTCGGTAGGTCAACGCTCCGTTGCTGAGAATAAGTCTCCATGTCTCATTCAAATCTTTGACCCGGATATCGATGACCAGGAATTCGTCAGCTGCCCGTGGACCATCAATCTGTACCGAAAGTGCTGAAAGCCATTGTTCCACACTCAGCAATGAATCTAGCTTAGGCTTAGTCATCTTCGATGAGCCTGTATTTTGATTTTGGTTGATTTTCATGTCTTGCGCTCCAGTGAGGTAAAAGTTGCGCCATGTTCCATTTAATGATCCTTGTCCCAATTTAGTGAAAACAAAACCAAGCAGAGTACGAGCCCCATTATGAGTTGACTCCGCTGCAACCGCATGGCCCAACAGTGTAGCAGCGAAGCGCAGATCGCCATTGGAGGCATAATTCTCTGCTAGCTTGACAGCTCTGTCTACCCCACCCATGCAGTCAATATACCGTTTTGCTTCTTCGGTAGGAGGATGCTTCCACAGATTGACCGGGTTTCCATCAAACCAAGTCATATACCGCTGGTAAATGGCTTTGATGTTATGGCTGAGCGAGCCATAGTACCCTTGCAAATGCCAGGCATTATCAAGCGCTGATGGCAACTTCAGGACCTCGGCGATCTCAATTCCATTCAAGCCTTCATTCATCAGGCGCACCGTTTGGTCGTGCATAAAGGCATACATGTCACGTTGCTCGGTGAGAATCCTGATGATACCCTTCTGGCCCCAGGTTGGCCAGTGGTGACCCGCGAAGAGAACCGATGCTTTCTCGCCAAAGAGCGCAATGCTTTCATCCAGGTGGCGAGACCAGGCCTTTGCGTCACGAACCAATGCACCGCGCAGTGTGATGATGTTATGCATGCAATGGGTAGCACACTCGGAGATATAAAGGGCCTCGCTATCCGGAAAATAGAAGTTGAATTCTGATGGAGCTTCGGTTCCATTCACCATTTGGAAGATAATCCGAATACCATCCACACATTTCTCCTCGCCTGTTTTTGAGACTAGAACATTCGGCGGGACAAGTGACGTGGTACCTTGAGATGTCGCCAATCCCAAGCCGCATCCAACCTGTCCCTCGGCGCTCTTGGGAAGACTCGTTCCATACATGTATCTGGCCCGGCGTCGCATAGCCGGCCCGACATAGATATTTTCACTCGTAGCCTCTTCCATGAAGCCCTCTGGAGCGATTATCGGAACAGAATTCTCCGTGCCCTCAGGCAAGATGCCGCTTGCGCCGCCGAAGTGGTCCACGTGAGAATGGGAATAGATTAGGCCAACCAGAGGCCGATCACCGCGATGCTTCTTGTAAAGTGAGAAAGCTGCAGCCGCACACTCGCAAGATACTAAAGGGTCGATTATGATAACGCCTGTACGCCCCTCAACGATCGTCATGTTTGAGATGTCGAAGCCCCGCACTTGATAAATTCCCTTGGAGACTTCGAAAAGACCATGATGAGCAGTGAGTTGCCCCTGGCGCCAAAGTTTTGGATTCACGGTGTCAGGGCAGTCATGAGAGAGGAATGCGTAGTCTGTGAGGCTCCAGATCGTGCGACCGGCCGTATTCTGAATGATGCATGGCTCGATGGTGCCTAGGAATCCCCGGGCCGCGTTGTCAAAATCGGTCATAATGGCAGAGATAGATATCAAAGACGTATAAAATACTTTCTAGCTGAATCAACAAGGATAGCCACTCTTAAATGTGAAAGGTTTGCCGAGATAAGGTAGCTGTCTCGGCGTGATCTCGGTCCATATACCGAATGTACCGAAGTGGGCTCGGCATCCCCGCGTTTACCCCAGATTTTAAATTGTATAGATTTGCGCCGTAAAATGAGGGACACCCACCCCTTCAGTTTTGCTGGAAGAATCAATCCAGTCACAATGGATCTCAAGAAAATTCCAGAGCACATCGAGATGTCAAGTCGGTCTGATGAAAACTCGAACAATACTCAGCTCGGCTTCACACCGCGCCAACAGCGGCATATTGTTCATAAAATTGATCGAAGGCTTATTACGGGCCTTGGGTTATTGTTTGGTGTCAGTTTGATGGACCGTACTAACCTTGGAAATGCCTCAATTGCTGGGTATGGCTTCAGCATCTCTAATCAAACCACAGATCGGTATTGACACCCTTCAGGATGCAGAAAGATCTCAGTTTGGAAATGGGATCACGATATGTTTGTCTTCCTTAGCCACTCATATCTCAATAATTGTACTAATATTGCCAGTCTCTTGTTGTTCTGATCTTCTTTGTGCCATATGTTCTCTTCCAACTCCCGAGTTCGATCATTGTCCAGAAACTAGGTCCTCGGAAGTTCCTTGCGGGCATTACTTTTTTCTGGGGTATTGTGATGATGGTAGGCACCACCCATTTTGGATCTTTTGTTGCTGTTTATTTGTGCACATTGATTCTAACATGAGTAGTGTTTTGGTTTTGTTCGTGATTGGAAAGTCATGCTGGGGCTCCGCGTCATCCTGGGAACGTTTGAAGCAGGTCTATTCCCAGGAGCAGTCTACTTACTGTCTCTATGGTATCCTCGCTGTAAGCAAACATTAATTGCTGGGTAGTGAGCTCCATTACTGATGAGATCAGATGATGTACACAAACGCTATTCTTCCTTCTACCTCATAAGTACCGTTGGCGCCTCGCTCTCTGGGGTGCTTGCTTATGGCTTTATGCAGATGGATGGCCTTGGAGGGCTCAACGCTTGGGAATGGATTTTCGTCATGGAGGGTCTTCTCACTTGCGTGCTCGCCATTATTGGCTATGTACTGATCATCAGCTTTCCGCAAGATGCGCATAATGCGCATAACTTTTTATCTCGGCGAGAAATTGATTTTGTCCTGCAACGAATCAATCAAGACCGACATGACGTGGAAGATGAGCCGTTCAGTGCATCGGCATTCCTAAAGCCTGCTCTTGAATGGAAAGTTTGGGGGTTTGCCCTTATTTTCCTGTAAGTCTTCTTTCTGGCAGCTTTTAGAAACCCGAACAGCTCACTTTTGGCATGCAGATGTAGCACAGTGATTGCCTACTCCCTAGCGTTTTTCCTACCGATTATCCTCTCCTACAGGCTAGGCTTCAGTGTTGGGGTATCCCAAGTTCTCAGCACTCCACCATACTTTTTTGCTGGTATAGTTATGTACCTGGAAGGCTGGCTGGGTGATAAATGGCGGTGCCGCAGCCCTTTTATTATCTATAACGCGCTGCAGACAATTGTTGGCCTTTGCCTCCTAGAATGGGTAAACTCATCCGGCGTGCAATACTTCGCTATCTTCCTTGTGACAGCTGGGTGCAATGCAACGGTGCCTGCTGTCTTGTCATGGCAGGCCAACAACATCCGCGGCCAGTGGAAGCGGGCATTCTGTAGTGCGAGCATGATCACGTCTGGCGGAACCGGGGGCATTGTTGGAGCATTGGTCTTTCGATCTCAGGATGCACCGCAGTATTTTCCAGGGATTGTCGCGTCAATTGCGTATGTATTGCCTAATAAATCTTCTTTCTAACTCCATGGCTGATTCTAGTTCGTGCTACGATCCAGGTGCAATGTGGTGATCCTGATTGTGACAGGAGTTCTTACGGTATTCATGCACTACGAAAATCGGAAGGCGAAGCGTGGAATGGTCAAAATTGAGGGTCTGGTAGATTTCTATTACACTCTGTGATTTATATTCAAGCATTTGAGTCGTAGGCAGCAATAAGAATTTTGATCAATGCATCGACGTTCATAGAACACTCGACTAATATTCTATTCCACAAATCGAAAGACTGGATTGATCAGCGGCAGATTCCAGCCACGCCTTAAAACAGGCTTTATGAAAAACCCATACCACCAATTCAGTATAGTATTCCCCTAAACCTGTTCAAAATGTAGCGAGGGATCCAGCCAACTCGATTAGCGCTTGCACAGTCGAGATCCTGAGTCAGAGCGAGTGGCGGGTTCGAGAACGGCTGTCATCGCCTATTTTCGGTTACCCACGCTGTGACTCCACAGTACAACCTAAGAACGGATGGCGACGTTGCCATTGCCACAATTCCTGATTTTCAGTGCACAATTCACATAATCCAGGTCAACGGTGTTTTTTTTTTTTAAAAAAAAAAAAGTTACAGATCTACTAGGTAAAGAGAAATAAGGTTTTGGAGTGATTAAGAACAGCCTCAGGCGGCGTGCATTTCATTGTTAGGCCCAAGACTAGGAAGTAGTAGCCATGGCGCGGAGGGGGGAATCTGTTAAGCAGGAAACAAACAATAAAAGAGATAATACGAGACACAAAGAAATGCGGCAGAAGTTAAAATCCGCATATGGTAATCAAGGGAAAAAAAATACACGGGACTCCGTTGGACAATGCGACATCTTCAGAAACAGTGAAGTATGCTCCAAATGGCGCAATCCTCAGAATGCGACTGTGTCCGCATCGAAGCAATGACCAGATCAAGTGTCCGAAGCCAGAATCTGACGTGATGCAGGCTTAAAGTGGTCTAACCGATAAAGGTAAACCCCAAGTAACAAAGGAAACGCCGAAAGCTCCATAGAGGAATCTCTCAAGTTGAAGGGTGTCAAGGCATGCAAACAAGTAGGCGAAATGACGTCGCGGGGACGGGGGTATTCGGGTGAAACAGGTCGCTAGAACAGACAACCAGTCGAGACAGGCTGTTGAAAAGAATCGAATCCATCGACGGTCTTTGTTGAAAGACTGTCAATATCGTCCCCGAGATCTCTCTTTGGAAGTGACCGCGATATTAGAAAGCGAGATAATAAGAATCAGTTAAAGATGAAAGCCGAGAGGCGCAAAGCAAGAACTTTTTTTGGTGGTTGGTCGTTAAAGTCGTCATATCATGAAATAACCGATGGCGTCTATGCGGTGCCCTTGAGCTTTCCCCAGCCCTTCTCGAGGCCTCGGCGGGCCATGTCGCGAGCACGATCAGCCACCGAGCCGGAGCTGCTGGCAGTGTTGGTGCTGGTCGAGGAGTACTTGCGGCTGAGGCTCAGGCTGCAGTTGCTAGAGTCGTCACGGAAGATCATGTTGCCAGCGCCACCACGACCGACGTGGTAGACGGGAGCGGCACGACGGAGATCACGCTCGAGTTCCTCATCGAAGCTGAAAATTGCGCGTTCACTGCTGCTGTGGACGTTGCCGGCACCGCCACGGCCGGAGGTGAATGTCGATGGAGCGCGCGAGTCTAGGCGAGTCAAAGAAGCCGGGCCGGTGGCAGTACGCGAGTCGGTGGTCTTAGTATTCTTGAGGCTGATGACATTCCCACATCCTCCACGACCAGTGTAGACAGCTGCGCGGGTGGTGTGAGGCACCGAAGGGTGCGGCTCGATGACGCGGTAATTTGAAGACGGCATGATTATGGCTGTGGTTGATTCAAGAGTGATTGCAGAGTTTGAGATGCAGATGTTGTAGTTGTAGTTGTAGTTGTAAGCCGCAGCGCAACTATAAAGATGTCCAGGCCATGTGCGATGAAAGTGAGAAGCAAGAAGTAATCTTTTTAAAAAATGAAAATTTCTTTCAATTATGGAGTCGTTCCATGATGGCGGGGGGCCAACTTTTATAGATGGTTGATATTATTACTTGGGAGGGGCCATGGAGTCATTGAACCTGGTGGCCAGGCACGACATCCACGGGTCACACGGTGCAAAAGCTGGTGGGTCGTTGGTTTGCTGTGGGGTTTTTTTCGATTTTTTTTTCTTTCTCTTTTTTCATTTTTTTCCATGATTTTTCAGCTTGTCCACTTGGCGTCATGGGGCTTAAACCAGCGAGGGCCCGACCTATTTTCAGTGGCCAGGGGTGAGTCAGCATCCACTTGGGTGCTCCAGCAACACCCTAGACATCACGTGTTGCCTATGTGAGTGGCTTGCTGGGACCTTCCGTTTCCACCACTACTCCAACTAGCCACTCCACTTCTCCACCCACGGGCTCTCGCTGCTTTTACTCATTGCGACAGTGCAAAAGGTGTTGGACTGGCTGGACACGGACGGTATGATCATCTGACTCCGCGCAAGACCAATCAAGATCGCTCACACGTAACAGAAATTGGGTGGGCCGCCAATGAGCATTCACAGCGCCTAAAAACAGGGATGGCCAGCGGGTTTGGTGGGTGCTGGGAGTTTCCATTACCCCCAGGAAACCCTCAAAAAAACCTCGCACATCGTGCCCAGACTCTTTGAACACGCCGACTTACCGTTCACCGCATCCATCGTGGCCTCGTGGCTCAATGGACTTTTTCTGGTTGCTCACGTCAGGTGTGTTGAACACATTGCAATGGTCCACACAGGTCGTCCAAACAGCGGTGCTGATGAGAGCATGAGTTGTCAAATCAAGATCCCTAGTATGTACAGAGTATATTCGGATCTACTATGCATACACCAGAAGAAATATTGTATAAAGTATGGAGTGCATGGCTATGTACATGTACAGGTACCTCTTGAACGCCCACGGTGCCGCTCGGTATGTCGCCATAGACGGTAGCGCCCTACCCCGTATGACTACCATGACTGGTTGAGAATGCCACCGGCCATATTGCATCATCCCGGCCCAGCCGCGCGCTGTCTGTTACTTACTCATCCGGAGAAACCTGTCTCGCATTGACAATTTGAGAACATACCAGTCCTCGCTGTCGTGCTACAACACAAGCAACAAGGCATACTCATTTGGCCTGCAGGGTTCGCATCGTGAGGACCTGTGAGCACGCCAAACCCTTCATGCGCACACCATTCCACACAGCGATAGGCCAGCATGTCCTTCGCGCCGCGCCTCCATTTCGACCGTATTATTTCCGGTATACTACTCCTCCACCCGTCCTTACCTAAGTGGGCCAAAATGGATTTCAGGGGAGGGGTCGCCGATCTGGAAACGCACAATGACTCCATCGTCTGTGCAGACCAGCAAATCTGCGGGATAATTTCTCCCATGCGCGCAGGATCTGAGAACTGACTCCCCTCGCACCATTCGGTCGGCCCGGTCTAGGGCCAGCACTAGTTCACGCCGGTACCTGAGGCCTGGAAGATCATCCGCCTCAATAATTCACGCAGCCCCAATGTACTCCGTAGACCACACCCACCATGAACCTTACGGCGTTGAGGGAGGCAATGCCCAGAATGCCGAGCATCCCTTTACTCCTCTATTTCTGAGACTAGCCGTGACTACCGAATTGCCACACCACAGTCAGGATCTGGTCGGCATCATGCCCCCTGAAAGAAAAACCTGGATACCCGAAAATGGCATGGTGTTCCCCAGATCAAAGAGCCCAGTGGACAAAATTAAACCAAGTGGACAAGCATGACGAAACCGCCCTAAAAATTTGTGGCTCAAGGAAAAAATCTGCCGCTCATGGGACCTGGGAAACTTGAGTGGCCGACAGATCCGAGCCCGGCGCCACCCACAAATCAGGAGCCTACACGGCGCAACGTTCCTCTTTGGGTCATTTCTTCCCCAGATTTTCCTGTTCCCCAGACTCCGACAGGCGCTTTGCTTTGTCTTTTGGACTTGAGACTTGCTCTGCTAGGACTTCCCTGCGCAGCTCTCTCGGGCACGTCGCGATCACGCTATCTACGCAGGGGCCTGAATATGCACTGGTGCAAGGACCCCGTGATTGACACCACAGCCCCAAGAGGCGAGTTCGCGCGGGCCGCTTGGCCTCTCTTCCAATGTGAACCTCGGGAACCCCCGCGGCAACATGTCTTGCCCACACACATTCAGCCCAAGGAAATCATTCCGCCCCCTGAATGAACACATGGTCGGGCAGGAATGACCTCTCACGAGTCATGTGTCCAGTTTCAATCACTGTTGGAAAAAATGTTGGCGCCATCGGGGGTTCGAGGCCCAGGGATTCAGGACTTCGCATTCGAGAGTTTGAGCTACCTCGAATTCTTTCTGGCGCTAAGATGCGAAGACATTCCTGGCGCTCCTGTAGAAGCCCATAGAACCATTCTTCTCCCATCTTTCAACCATATTCATCAAGGGAATACGAATAACTCGCATGGACAATCCCCAATGCGGAATTAATTCACTCCAGTATACACCATCAGGGTATATTCTCCGAGTTCCCCTCATTCCATATACCACCGAAAAAGACAACCAGGGTACTCCGCACGCCATTCGGAGTACTCGGCGTATGCAGTACAGTACAAAGTAGTACAGGACAAGATGTCATGGAATCACGCTCGCCATCCCTTTCGAACGTTTCTCAAATCTCAGCCCCCCGCATGCATATGCCAGTGGAGCCAACCCAGGAGCCAAGAGAAGTCTCCAACATGGTATTATCTAATAGCGAGGAAAGATGACACATGATTATTCCCAGCCGGCGGTCTCGACCCCCAACCCATACTACCTTGCATCCGCCAACCAGTCATAGAACCTGGATGACGCAAGAAGCGCTCTTGATCGAGCTTTAGGCTGCGAGATCCCTTCTAGGCCGGACTTGCAAGCGGTTGCACGCCCACCGGGCCGGATTGCGCGAGTGCGCGATTTTGTGATGGCGAGCGTGCTGCCCTATCGCGTTTTCCGAGCATAACACAGGTACGAGGTATACGCCTGCGCTGCAGGTGCTGTCAATTGTGCGACGTTACGCATGTCTTTTGGGGGCTGGAGCTTAGCTCCGCGGGACTGCCAACCTGTCGGATCTTGTGCGAGTGTGTCGTTGATTGTTGGGAACGCGGCGACCAGGGTAGGCCACCAAGGTCAAATTGAGACATTTTGGATATAATCTCTTCGGCTTTGCGCACTTTTCCAAGCGTTGTTTGCATCCAATTGAATGTTGACAAATCAATTGGACCTGTAATTGCATAATTCATTGTTTTCTAACACTAGAGCAACCTTGAATAATCCTTTGGGGCTTACAAGTCCTTCTGTGCGTCGAAAATGGGTGACATGGGATCCATGACATGAAATTCTGGTCTCGACGTGGCGTTCTTGCTCAGTGGTGCTTAACTGCTCTCATTTTATCCGACACAATCTTCTATGTAACCATGTCACTCTTCATCACAATGTCACAATAAAGTCCTCATGAAACAAACCCATTGGGAGTGAATGGGTCAAGATTCCTGTCTTGTCATCTTAGTTGAGAGTGGTGATCTGGCTGAATTGCACACCTTACTTCCCAACACGGCTCGGGAGAAGCTGCTTTCATCTAAGCTAAGTATAGCTCCTGGTATCCTTATGACTTGGGCCCTGTTGGTACTCTCAGTCTTTCTTTGTTCGGCCTTGTCTCGCTCGAATTTCCGTCTCTGCACCGCCTCGACGACCTGTTACTTCCTCTCTTCTCGACTTTATATTCTTGCCAGCTCAAGGGAGCTACATATTCTGTGACACTAGTCTTTGCGGCTCTTTGCCCAGGGCTGCTGCAACACCGTCATGGGATTCTGCTCTCTAGTTTTCGGATGCAAGACTACGAGCTTCAAGGCCCGCTACGAACTGATCCCTAGCTGTGGTCCAGTTTGGTCATTCCAGAGCTGGATACATGCTGGTCTTGGCGCCGATAGCACGATGATAGGATGGAGACAATCATATTTTCACTAGCCTTTGCAGATCAAAGGCCACTGGAACGATGATGAAAATGAACTATAAGAGAAAACAGAAGATTCATCCTTCAACCCTCTTAACCAGTACAATACGCTGCGCTCGAATTCATGTAACAGTAATGCAACGGAGAGTCCATGGGCTCGGGAACAAGAACGTAAAGAACGTCCTTGTCTATTACCACGGTCTTTCTTTTGAGTTTTACTTTTCACGATGATCAAATGAGAATCTCATGATATTAATACAGGTAATTTGTCATTCGTACACCCCCGGTGCACATCGACTGCCGGTAAGACACACAGCAGTTACTCGAGTACAATGCCTCAGATTTCGCCGTGTTCATTTTGCAGCACTCCATCCTTGAATTGGAAAATTGTCCGGTTCAGCCGCAGCAGGCAGTAGAAGCACCCCGATATATCATCATGGACACAGGTCAGTCTCCGTCGAACATGCTCATCGGCGACGACCTCTGCCGCTGGCAACCTAGCACTGGCAGTACTTATCCATTTGTCGTATCCACATCCAACAATCGGCCCATTATATCTGCCTTCTCCGCTAGCAGGCGGCTTTTCATTCGGAGCGTGGGCAAGTGTCAGCACAGACAGAAAATCTTTGAAAGAAATCAAGTATGAATATGTGGTTTTGCCAGAATTGGGATTAGCAAATTGGCATATTGAGCATATAGTTGGTACACCGGATAACTGGAGTGAATCAGCTCGGGCTTCCGTAGAGTGGTGGGCGGACGCAAGGACCGAGCAATTATTGCTCATAGCTGGCAAGGATGAACTCTTACTCTCGTCGATAGAGTCGCTTGCTATTAAGATAAAGGTCAGCTCCGTGCGAGTATGCCCCCAGTTTCGTCTAATTGCATCTCGCTAGCTCCACCCTTAGGACTTATATCCCAATATAACATACTTAGCTGGCATTGATGATCCCCCTGTTGCACCAATCTACGTAGCTAGCGGTGCGAAGTAAACCCAAACGAGCTTGATGCTTCGGCAATGGTTGAAGACACCTCTGCAAGGCCTGCATAGAGGTCCGATACCACTAGAAGGAAATATTCATAGGTTGGAGTCCAGTCTTCTCCTTTCTAGTCAGACTTTTTTCCAGTTGGCCTATATTTGTCACCTGTGGGTCATACTTCCCCGGCTTCTATATAAATATAGAAGCTATACGTTGAATAATAGACAGTAGCTTCAAAAGTTTTTCCGCCTTTGCGCGGTACAATAGAAAGAATAGATCGGGAAACAACTATTACCATGTAACGCTCACAAGGGTACTGCTAACAATCATTTACCTTGATAAAAGTCGCCGACTGGAAGTACCCGCAAATACACCGGCTCTAAAGTAGAACACCAAAACGGGCGTGATAAGCCCAAATTCTGCACCGCCACACCGCCTTCGCAACCCTCGCCATTGAAGCTGGGAGACGACATCATTATCAAACATCCTCACTTTCCACTCGATTCACTGAAGTAGGGTCTGTCGCAGTAGTCCTTGCTGGTACTGCGATACCTGTGAAAGCGAAAATCTCTGTCGATTTTCCAGTCCGCCTCCGCTGAGCCTCTCCTATCCCGAACCGGAATTTTCGTCTCCCGCGCAACTGCAGCCAAGTGCTTGCAGCAGCTGGCAAGATGCCGAAATATAAGTCGTCTCTACTTCAATTTACCCGTGACCTTATGTGCTGACATTCTGTGAACTCTTTTGTAGGTTACTAGCCCGATCCTTATCCTATTCGTTTCGAGTCCTTTCAACGGCAACTCGAGTCTTGACCCGGACGCGGCGAAGCGATAACGCGATTCTCCTTGATATCGACCATTACCTATGATAAAAAATCATGGGATTTACTCTGAGAAGCTCCTATCTGACTTTTTGCCCGATGGATAGGTGACTACTGCGATGTCTACTTGACGCATGACTCAATGAGCGTGCGCAAAGCGCATAATTCCGGCCGCAACCACCTCCGAAACGTGGTGGAATATTATCAGCGTATGTCGGACCTTGAACACATACGATAGAACAGTTTGACCGCCGCCGAGCATAGCTAATTTATCTCAACCCAGAAATCGGTCAAGAAAAGGCCCAGTCGGTTATCGACTCCATCACCTCCTCCTACGCCGCCGAGGGCCAACCTCTCCCAAATCCCGCAATGGTGCCACCAGGCGCATTCCCTCCTCCATTCGGCTTCCCTGGTACATTTACTTTCCTTCACAGCTATTCGGACTTGAATAAAAAGCTAATATCCTTTATCACAGGCCGGCCAGGCCAAGTGCCACCACCGCCCTTCGGCATCCCCCTCCCGGAGCTCCAGGTGCTCCTCCTCGTACGTGTATTCCGGATAAGCTCAAACCAATATCCCCTAGCTTTTTTGCTAATCCCCGGCCTTTGAACAGTCCCCGGTGGCCGTGGTCTCCCTTTCCCACCACCCTTCCCGACAAACGCCTCCGGCACCCCTCCCCAGGGCGGCTTCCCCCCTCCCCTCCCTAACATGCCCCCCGGCGCTGGAAATCTGCCCCCTCCCCCGGCCGGCTTCCCAGCGAACTTCCCCATACCCCCGCCCGGTGCCATGGGCGGCTTTCCCCCTGGTGCTTCAAATTCGCCCATTCCCACCGGCCCCCGAGGCTCAGAGGGGTACGCACCGCCGCCTGGTAGCGGACCCCCTCCCGGTATGAACGAGAAGTGGTGAACTTTCTTTTCTCTTTTCATCTTTTGTTTCAGTGGACGGCGGTGCCTTATGCCCGCATTTCCCCTTTTCTTTTCTTTTGTCGCCTCAGATCGAGCCAAGGTCTCGTCCCCGGTTATGCTCACGTTGCGTCTTCAGGGAACTTGCGCGTCAATGCCGATTCGGCGAAAGAGCACTGGTCAGAGCAGGAGAGGGAGTGAGTGGGCTGAAGTTGAAAAAAAGCCCTCGTCCTCTGGGGTTGCCATTTCTTTTCCGCTGGTGTTGTATAATAGCGTCTTTTGATTTTCCGATCTTTGATGCCAGATAGGACTGGGTGGAAGAGAGCTGTCCTGGTCCATTGGGCTCCAGGCTGTTTTCTCGGACACTGCTAGCCGCGGGTACTTTCACCTAGTCACCGGCATCATGGAATGGCTCCACGAATAAAATCCGGCGTTAGGACATTGGACAAAGTTCAGGTAGTCGTTGAAGCAGATTATTGTAGAAGCAGCGAGCTATTGGACTAATAGGGGATGGATGCAGTGGAATCCAAAGCAAAGGTGGAAGGCAAGGACGTCTCGTCTTTTAGAAACTAGGACTACTTTCTCCAGTACATTGCGTAGTGTACATTCACACGCAGAACCCAGGGCTAACCAACCAGGGAATGGAAAAAGAGAGCAAAAACAAAGTTGTATATTCCGAAGCCCACGAGAAACCCAAGGCCCGATCTCCATAACCAAAAAATGCATCAGAACGCCGGGTTGTAGCAAGAGACGAAACAAGACGAAAAGGAAAAAAAGGGGTGTCAAGAGAATACAGGTCGACCGCGAAGGTGAATAAACCCCTCCTATTGGGAGGAAGAGAAGTGGTTTTGAAAAAGAAAGGAGAAGAAGGGTAATGAGGGAGGGAGAGGGAAAGTAAAGAAACGTGAAAAAAAGGTAGTGAAAAAAAGTGTATAATCGCACCTACCGACTACATGTCGAGGGTGGATTGAAGAAGAGAAAAAGTAACAAGGAGAATGGTGTAGTTTCAGGAGAGCCACGAAATGGGCAGCGATAAAAAGCGCACTTAGCACAGAGATTCAAAAAGGCAAAAAGATACCAGACCCAAAGGGACGGCGAATGGAGAAGAATCATACACCATCGCTATCCCACGCTAAAAATCACATATCTTCATCTCAGTTGGAAAATAAAATCAGGAGGAAACCAATGCGGCCATTGCCTAATGGTCATAACCAGCTCCTCGTTGCCATGGGCTTGAGTTATTTTGGGCGCGGTAGTTGGTTGCCAAGGCGGATGCGCCAACGGGGGCGTTGTCATAGTTCCGCAGCGACGGCGAAGCAGATCGACTGATATTATCGTATCCTGGAGGGGGGGCCACGGTTGGCGGAGGCATTGCTGGGGAAGAGAGGTACTGATGGGTCGACAGGCGAGGGCGGCCCACGAGCCATATTGTGAGGAGCATTGGCTGCATCCAAATTGTTGTGGTGGTGGCCAAGCGTGGCACCATTTCCACTAGAGATAGAAGCCGAGTCATCATCGAACGGGTTCTGGTGATATTGGCCTGACTTGACATCACCGCGGGCAGTGGCACCAAGCGCATCCAGCTCGGTAGTAAGCTGAGTTTGCGACTTGATGAAAGAGCCACGGTCATCGCGCATCGGTTGATAGCGGGTATCCGGATTCTTCGAAAATATGGCGTAACCAGAGGCAATCAGGACAAGAATGAGCAGAACAGTCGCGAAAACAGCATTGTACACGAAAAAGACCACGCCCATGACACCAATCATCATGCCTGGCGGGTTGAAGACATCAGAAAATACGAGGAGGAAAATGACGTTGAGGAAGTTGACCACAGCAATCGAGATGTTGTAGATATTGGTCTTCTTGTCCATCCACGGACGCAGCACACAGACACCGACCAACATAGCAGCCTCCAGGATAACCAGGGCCACGGTCTGAACGACAGGGGCTTCCTGGCTAAGACCGATGAACATACCCTTGATGAGAACGTAGACCAGATAAGGCACCACAAAGTAGTATGCGGTAGCTCGGTACTGGACATAGAGGAAGCCCCATTTGTTCAGGCAGGACGGATCGGAATAAAGGATGTAAGCCGGATTCTTGTGCATGGTAACCGAACGCTTGGCCAAGCGAATGACCTTCTGGGCGGCCCAGCCCAACGCGACAAGGAGAGACAGGATCATGGCCACGGCGAGAACGACCTCCGCGGCCGAGTCACGCCGGGTGAATTCCCACAGGCAAAGGACACACATTTGGGGGAAACCGATCAGAGTCAGTCGGAACAGAATGCCGCGAGTGACGACTTTCCATCCGTTACGGAAGTCTTGAAACTTGTCACTCTTCATCTTGCCATGCTTCACTAGTAACTCGCAGATGCCCTTGAAGGAGGCGACGATGATGATAACGATGCAGACGAAAACGACGAAGAAAATGAGACCTGTCAAAAAAATGTTGGTCTCTTCAATGTTGGCCTTGAAGCCAACACGGTTGATACCTCGGACGACCTCGAGCTGCTGGGTGGAGGATGCACGTTTCGAGAGAGCGGACATCCCTCGCCGCATGAGCGAAACTGCCGGGTCGACCACATCACGCTTACGGCGTCTCAGCACTTCGACCGAAGTGTCACTCAGCTCGGACAAGACCGTCGAAGGCGTACCGCCTGTCGCACGTTGATACCAAGTGCAGATCGTTTGCAAAAAGCCAACATGGATGATACCCATACTCCACTGGAAGTTCTGGGTCCACGCTTCAACAATTGGCGGCATATGAACTGAGGTCATGCCAATTATGGCCTGCGATTGCATGAAGCCGAAGAGTGAGAGAGCATTTGCTGCCACGTGAGCAGCGGTATTGGAGTGACCCAAGCCGGAGGTAATGGCAGAGGCTGCAAGACCCAAGCCGGAGATGATGGCAGTCGTCCATGCAACACCTAACTGGTAAACCGTCTTACCGTTGGAAAGCGATGCCTCCACACAGGCAATCTTCTCGCCCGTGCTTTTCGTCTTGATGACGATCTGGACATTCGCATCGAGATCGGGGACGGTGTAGGCGATACCTGGGACCTGATCGGACGTGCCGTCGGGGAGAGAGAGCGAAACAGGGCCCAGGTCAATGGGACCGGGGGACATCGGACACATGCCCATGCCCGAAATTGAGCAAGGGTCGATGGTGCTCGAGTAAGCCTTGTAGCCATAAGCCGTCAGAGTCATCTCCGCCTCGACCTTGCCGGAGATGTATGAAACACCATCGAAGCTGATGGTGAGCGTGTTGTTTCCAGGGTAGAAAATGACGTTGAAGTAGGTGGCTGTGAAATTGCTACTCTCCATACAAACGTTGAGCGCATTGGATTCGAGGTACCTGACGGCGGATGCCAGCGGTGCCAGGAAGGCGACGAATAGGGTGAGAAGTGGTATCAACCTCATGATGGCGGATTGGCGATCGCAATGGAAAGAAGATCGGTCAATCCCAGGAAGAAGTCAAATGAGAGGAAGAACGAGGAGTCGAATGATCGGAGGGGTCGGAGATGACGGCGGATGTCAGAGCGGTTCTCCCGAGTACCACGTTGCCAGCGCCGCCGGATGCGGAAAGTCTCGCAGCGCGGCCGAGTGGTCGGCGGAGATAGTGGAGTCCGCGTAGAATTCCAAGAGGACGCAAAAGCGATCCGTAGTGAGCAATCCGTTTGTTCGGATTGGGGAGATTCGTGATGCAGGAACGAGGGCTTTTGGGGGGGGGGGAGGGGGGCCGTGGCTTTCTTCACAGCGTCATTGGAGATTTGGTGGCCGAACGGATCAACTGTCGGGGGTGAAGACGAGCGAGCGGCTATGCGAGCGAGATAGGCGTTTGAGAACAAATTGGATTTGAATGAGAGTCGGTGGACAGACGAGTCCTAAAGCGAGTGAGAAAAGGCGACGAAGCAAATTGCTGCCAGAGTTGAAGAGCTAGGTCCGGGGGGGGAGCGGGAGTTCGAAGTGAAGTAGTGGAAGTGGACGGGGTCGCGCAGGTCGAAGAGAGGAAGATAATGGGTTGGTCAGAGGACGGAAAGCGATGTCCGTTGGGGGAGCGAGCGGAAAGGCGACACACACAGTATGGCCAAGAGGATGAAGAAGAGAGAGGATTCCCAGGTACAAAGGGAGGTGAGGATGGAGGAGGGAGCGATTTGCCTCTCCGTCACACGGACTTACCGTCTTACGTTCGTACGGTGTCTCAGGGACTGGCGGGTCAAGAATGTGGGAATGTGGTATGGTACCAAATACAGAGCGCAACCTATTTTGGTTTCGGGAAAGAGGGAGCCACTGGACGGACAGACGGCGGAGGGGGTATGGTATGGTATGGACGGGTCGCTGCCCTTGCCCAGCCCAGGCCCCCTGCACGGAACCACGGTCATTTCGGTAATTTTGGTTCGGCCATGGTTTTTGGGCGCTGGAGCCGGTCCCTGTGGCATTTCCATCTTTAGAAAATACTATACTAACAAGACTTCTCGTCCTGTCCCCGGCCAGTCATCTGCCCCAGACAGCACATGAACATCGCACATGCACAGCAGGTGCTCCGGCCCTGTCGAGCTTGACCTCTCTACACACATTCTGATATCTCCCTGATGTTGAACGACTGAACCACATCCTTCTCTGCACGCGCGTCCTCTCGGGAGAGGTTCTGGGCCCCGGAAGCGGTGGATGGATCGTGGCGGGTTCCAGCGGGTCCTTCTGGGCACCTCTGGGCACAACCTCTGGGCGCTGGACTTCCAGAGATGGGATTATCTCATCACCCGTACCACAGGTCCAGTTGCCTCCCCAGCTGTGGGGAGCGTCACCACGCCCAGTGACTGGGCTACGAAGGCTGGCATAGTGGAGGGACTGCACATCGTTACCTCCAGGAAGCAGTCTGCCAATACTGTTCCCGGGGAAAGTTTCTGAATGGCCGTGCGAGGTGCCCTGGTGTGCACATCATCTCGTCATTTGCTGTGGTACATCCAATGGGGTATTGAGTGCAGCGCCGTGAGAGGGGCGATCCATTCGAGATTGGTCCTCTGTATTGTAAGCAGGAAATGGGTTGTATCTTGTCTGCCTGGCTGCATCAGGGACAGACAGCCTGAACAACCTCTTTCCTTTAAGGGGGAGGGGGCGCGTATAGTCGTAAACCCCCGTACCCCTGAGTCGAGCAAGGGGGGCTGACGACCTCTCGGACTCGATAGAGGAGTACTGGGCCGATACAAGGCTATGCTATTCTGAGCCTGTTCGTTTCCGATGTATCATCCATGTAGTTTTCCCACTGCCTGCATCTAATGCCCAGCTTTAGAGCGAGCTGGTATTTCATATGTATTTAATATCAATGGTATACCACCAAGGTATGTACTGTACCTTCGGCGCTTCGGGCGCCCAACCCAGGAATCCAAAGAGGACCCTTGCCCGATGCCATCAATGCGGAGAAATCGGGACTACTCTGTATCATCGGATCACAGCGAAAGGCTGATTTCTCCTACATCATTCTGCTACAAGCAATAAATCCAATTATTTAGGGCCATTTTTGAAGAATTCTGCTGGCTAGAGGGCTCGAAGCCACCAGCAAACGAGCACTGATCTACGGTCGCAAGTTTAATCTCTCGGTGCTTTAGCGTTTGCACAGCCTCCCTTGGTGCCCGCCCAGAACGGTGGAGTAGTTTTGGCTCAATGAGCATTCTTACCGTTCGTTTTGTGACGATTTTGAATCAGCACACCATGTTTCAGATATCTGAGAGAATCTCTGACAGGATCTTCATCCACGTGCACTGACAGCTAGTATACATATTGATTTGACTATGATCGCCTCTTCTGTCACACTTGGTGTAAAGAGATGCGTTTACTCCATCCTCTGTACTCGGTAAATGGTAATTATCAAATTCATGTTATCCAACCAACACATAAGCATCATGTCTTAGATCTACAACTCCCAACATTAGTATTGACCAATATAGGGCGGCTTTTATACTTTGCTGTTAGTGCTTAGAAAGTAGTTGATCCTGCCTGAAAATACCGTGCGTACCAGTATCCTGGCCATCCGTGAACACCGGGAAGCGGTTGATCGGTTGATCAATGAGTGATCATCATGTTGGAGTGCGCGTCATGACTTGCCTGTGCCGTCCAGGCTCTAGTTTCTGTCGCACGCCATCAATACCATCAATGGGTGCCAAAGGATACCTCCATTTTCGAATCATAAATTGTTGTCTCAAGTAGACATCGAATCCAGCGTCTTCCCGCGAATCCTGATCAGTACAGTGGTCTCTGAACCCGGACTGTCACTGTGCGGGATCCATGGGTGGCCGTGCACTATTTTTGGATCAGGGTTTTTTGGGTTGCGTGGCTTACTTCCGCTGACTGGCGGGGGTTTCGTTCACGCTCCAAGAAGTGGCCCGGCTTTAAATTGTGCGTTCGCGGTCCTCGGCTCTGATTCGCTTGAAGTGAAACTTGCTCTAAAATTTCTGCTCTGCAAGCTCCTCCCCGTTAGATGATTGGCTGTAGAGTGAAAGAAAACTGCATCAGGAGCCGCTACCGCCCGAGATCTATGTATGTATGCCAGCGTCTCTTCTCTTGCTCCCTGTTATGAATGATTATAGGCCCATGTGGGCTGTTTACCGCCAGGGTGGACCAGAATTGCCCAATGTCTTGCGTGTCTCACCTAGCTCACCTGTCGTCGTAGCTCACCGACGGGTGAGCTATTGTGGGCTATTGGCTATGCTGTCAGGAGGCTGCAGGAAGGTTGGAACTATTCGGCTACACTTACTCTGTCTCCATCGGCATAGTCCAAAGGGCCAGTAGCTAATTAACATCATGATCCTATGGTCTCTGGAAATTCAAGATACTACTTCCAAGTCAGTCAGCGTGTATTCAAGTTTGGTACCTGTTCGTCAGCTCACTTGAAGGGATACCGATACCCTCTCTCCCTCTGTCCAGTCCCAGTATGCACTGAAGCAGACTTAAGTCCTTGGCCTGAGACGGGTTGCTGTTGTGGACACAAAAGGGACGTGCAATGGTTCTCCAAGGCATGACGCTGCACCTATCTCCATCCGGAACTGAATTGACCCGGACTGCAGCGTCTAGGAGGCATTGTCGTTATTTTCTAAGCAGCTTTTTTGTATTCTTGAGATACTCATTACATAGAGTCCACGTATGTAGGTCAACAGACAAGAAGCTTGTGAGACGCATTGACCAAAATCAGGGGGGGGGAGCAGTTGAGTGGCTGATAATTCAACCTCAACCCCACTGCTGACGAATTTTTGGCGAGCTACTGTACGATTTTCTCGAAAAAAAAAACATATTATAGATCCGGAGCGTTCTGAATTCAATGGCAGTGGCCGTGTTGAAATCTGAGGGTGAGAGAGGCCCGGCCGAGCCTTTTGTTGAATGCCTGAATAAAATGGCGATAAAATGGACCACCCGTCCTATCAACACGTGACTGTGGAGATTCTGCCGATTTTCACCGTCCAGAAAAAAAAAGTAGCAGGCCGATTTTCCGCCGCGATAACCTCGTCGATCAAAACACCGTCGATCGATTCCTACACCGCTGGATTTCTCACCGGCTCCTTTGCATCTCTTCTGCTTGAACCACTGATTATCTCTTGTGAGATCAAGCAGCACGATGCCCGGCCCCGTGGACACCGCAAAGTCCATCACGAAGAAGCGGAAGAGGAAGCACGGCGCCCGCTCCACCGGAGATAATGACGAGGCTCCCAAGCCCGTCGAGGCTAAGTCGAGCCCAGCTGTGAAGGCAAAGAAGGCCGTTCCTTCACCCAAGCCTTCGGCTGAAAAGTCGAACAAGAAGCGCAAGGTCAGCCCTACGCCCAGCGACGACGAGGAAAGCGACGACGAGGATATTGAAGAGATTGAGGACAAGGAGGAAAGTGACAATGAGGGCAGCGATGAGGAGACTGAATCCGTCAATGGCGAGGGCGCGGATCTGCCTACCCTGGATGAAGTCCGTCTGCCTCAGACTGAGGGTGTGCTGCAGAAGTTTACCGAGTTGAACCTGTCGGAGAAGACCATGAAGGGTATCCAGGATATGGGCTTTGAGACAATGACCGAAATCCAGCAACGCACCATTCCCCCGCTGCTGGCCGGACGTGATGTTTTGGGTGCTGCGAAGACCGGCTCCGGCAAGACGCTGTCCTTCCTGATCCCCGCCGTCGAGATGCTCAGCGCCTTGCGCTTCAAGCCGAGAAACGGCACCGGTGTCCTGGTGGTCTCTCCCACCCGTGAATTGGCTCTGCAGATTTTCGGTGTCGCTCGTGAACTGATGGCGCACCACTCCCAGACTTATGGTATTGTCATTGGTGGTGCCAACCGCCGCGCCGAGGCCGACAAGCTGGCAAAGGGTGTCAACTTGCTCATTGCGACTCCCGGACGTCTGCTCGATCACCTTCAAAACACCCAAGGTTTTGTGTTCAAGAACCTGAAGACCCTCGTCATCGACGAGGCCGATCGAATTCTCGAAGTCGGTTTCGAGGATGAGATGCGCCAGATCGTGAAGATCCTGCCCTCTGAGGAGCGCCAGACCATGCTCTTCTCTGCTACCCAGACCACCAAAGTCGAGGATTTGGCTCGGATATCGCTGCGCGCCGGTCCGCTCTACATCAACGTGGATCACCGCAAGGAGCACAGCACCGTGGAGGGTCTGGAACAAGGCTATGTAATCTGTGAGGCCGACAAGCGCTTCCTACTCCTGTTTTCGTTCCTCAAGCGCAACCTGAAGAAGAAGATCATTGTCTTTTTCTCCAGTTGCAACTGCGTGAAGTACCATGCTGAGCTGTTGAACTACATCGACCTGCCCGTTCTGGAATTGCACGGCAAGCAAAAGCAGCAGAAGCGCACCAACACCTTCTTCGAGTTCTGCAATGCCAAGCAGGGCACTCTGATCTGTACCGATGTTGCTGCCCGTGGTCTTGATGTATGTCTTGAGCCTCTCTTTTGTTTCAATCACCCTAGGGGTTTTTTTTTCTTTTCCAGCTGACAATCTGTGTTCCAGATCCCCGCTGTCGACTGGATTATCCAGTTCGACCCTCCAGATGACCCCCGTGATTATATTCACCGTGTCGGCCGTACTGCCCGTGGTGCCAACAGCAAGGGCCGCAGTCTGATGTTCCTGCAGCCGTCTGAGGTTGGCTTCCTGAAGCATCTCAAGGAGGCGCGTGTCCCCGTCGTCGAGTTCGAGTTCCCCTCCTCGAAGATCGTCAACGTGCAGTCTCAGTTGGAGAAGCTTATTGCCCAGAACTACTATCTCAACAAGGTAAGCACATTACCCTTACCCCCTCACTTTTTCTTCTCTTCCCATTCTCTTTCTCTTTCCCCTTCCTGTCCCTTTCCATTTCCGATCGGCTCTCAGCACGCATGGCTAACTCCATTACCCACACAGTCCGCCAAGGATGGCTACCGGTCATACCTGCAGGCGTACGCCTCGCACTCGCTCCGCTCCGTCTTCGACGTGCATAAGCTTGACCTCGTCAAGGTGGCCAAGGGCTTCGGCTTCTCTGCCCCGCCGCGCATCGACATCCAGCTTGGTGCCAGCATGGGCCGGGACAAGAAGCAGGAGCAGCAAGGCCGCCGGACATATGGCAGCCAGCCCAAGGGGGGCAAAGGCCTGAAGTTCAAGCGGAAGTACGACGACTAGCCGAAGTGCGAGTTCAGTGTTCTGGGAAAATGTATGAACGTTCAAGAAGTGGAGTTTCCACTCCCCTCTTCTCCCCATGACGGAGAGAGGGGGTAAAAGTGTCTGTCGAATGGTCTGCATCTTCATGTTGGGGATTTACCGGCGTTTTTATGAGTGTAGATATACATATATTATTACTATTTTCTTCTGTTCTTTTTGTGCTTTTTTGTGGACCCCGTTCGCTTCTTATCATTCGCTTTTCCTGCATCGCGTATGCTCCGTAGCTTTGTACTAGGAGTTGGAGATGCAATCAACTCTTGACTGCTAGGAGATGAGCTAGCTCCTTCAAAGTCCTATCCGATTCTCCCTGGATTGAATACATATGTGGTATCTGCTTGCGAATGTCTGATAGGTGTGGCAGTCTGGAGTGTTGTGTTCGAGTTGCCTCCCATCGGGCAACCCTTCCATGCCGTCGACGCCGTACTCTGGAATGTACGCCTCCCAAACCTTCTTGCCATGTGGAACAAACGTTCCGAGTATCCGGCTTGGTCCCCATTCCACCACGTGGGAAGGACCGAACGTTGTCAACAAGCTGTGAAGCAAGGCATATTCCAAACATTCAGCGAGTATATATATTTCAACAATGCTTAAGATTCACGGTTTAACCGTTGCATACGAGCTTCTGTATTCCCCCCGGGAAATCTTTACTACAACCAAAATAAAAGGCAGAGAAGGGGGTAAGGGCAGCTCATAGGTCAAAATAGCCTACTGGTAGAAGTAGATACGATCATCGATTCCCAATGCTCTTGGATCACGTTTGTTGCCAGACAGGGATGAAGCAAGGAATTAATAGCAGCGACAGGAGGAAGCGACGAGAACCCAGCATCTGTCGAGACATAACTATACAGAGTATGCGCAGAAGCAGGCCCGATAGGAATCCCGTTGGGCGTGACTTGCATGATGGCGTGCAGGTCGTCAAAGATAGAACGAGGCCTGCTGTAGGATATACACAGAAATCGAAACAGGCAATTATGTCTCAACGCCCTGGCAGACTCGTCCGAGTATGAGTATGTAAGAATGTGTAGGCGGATCCTTTTCCTTAGGGGGAGGAGAGGGCAATTCCTGCAGATCCCTGTACAGCAATTCTATCGGTCAAGTTGTATGTACCCGCCACCTCTTTATCTTCAAGGGACATGTTGGCTGGAGGGATCGATCTGCGCCATGGGTTACCGTTGCCTGCGCCTAGTGGCCCCTTTTTCTGTCTGACCTCTTGTCCCCGATGCTTTTGATTTCGTCTTCAGGCTGTTCCCGTCAGCATTGTTGCCGTGAGGTCTGTAGGGCACATGTGGCCAGGGTGATGAGATGGATGCGTTGGCAGCTTCGCGGGCCAATGACGGGGTTTCCATTGGGAACACCAGGGGTGGTGGGGCGGGGATTGGGCCGGGCTCCGTTTGTCGTCGGGGCGACCGTGTGCTGGTTGAACCGGTTTGCGCCTCGGGCCCGCGGAAGGCCACAGGTCCGTGTGGTGGTCTTGTGTGACGGGGGGCTGAAAGGCGCCGAGAATCGATAGGTCCAATCGAAGGAATCGCCCTTGAAGACAGCGAGGCAGCGAGATGAGGGCTGGGCCTATAGGGGATCTTCTACCCTACATCTCTATTTTTCTATCTCTCTCTCCCTCTGTCTATAAGTTTGTTTCCATCGAGTGGGGGGATTTTAAGTTATAGCTTGGTTCAAGAACGACGGTGTCAACTGGCCAAAACGATCGAACGGCACCGGCGGATCCCCGGATCCGCCTGCAACCATGGATTCGTTTGTTTACATCCAGGAGAAATCTGACCTTTGCGCCTCAACCTGTATTGTTTTATAGGTATTGAGCATAGCGAGACTTTCTAAATAAACGAATGATCTTATTCATTTGTCTGCAAGGTACCGAGCAATCAGAAGAGTCATGGGAAATAACTATCGAGCGGACAAGGTACATATGTTCTCTGTAGTATATACTCCAGACATCATGGTGAGATAAAACATGTTCTCCGAGACCAAAACCAGTTCCCTTGGCTCTCTCGATGCTTCATTTCCGTCTAGAAGAACGAGTTCAATAATCATAGAAGCAATGTAGTTCTTGCTGTGTGGGCTTGAGGGAGCTGTCGAACCTGTAGAATCTGTAAACGCCCGGCGTCAAGCCTGCGCTTTCCCAGCCATCTTTTTTCGTGGGAGGCTGGGCTCGCCTTCCAGATTGTCTCGACTCTTTATTCTTGTACTCTCCTCTCGACTCTTCGTTCTCTCTTCTCTGCTCCAGATGAATACCCCATTCATGCTGGGGAATTCCAATTGAGGTTCCTCGCCCTTGCCCTCCGCCCTCTTTCATGTGAGGGGATCAGCAGAGAAGCTTGTGCACCCCAACCTTCGCACCTTTTCTCGGTCCACATAGCAATTGCTTTTTCCCTCCTCATCTTCACTCCCGGGTGATTGCGCTGGTACGCTTCAAACTTCATCCCTCAAACCACCTTCTTCCTCCTTGCATATTCTCTCCCTCTCTGCCTCTCTCCACTCGTCCGATCTCCGGCATTCCTACCCTCCACACCTCTTCTTCCCCCCTCCCCCCACTAGCAGCCACCAGCACTACCACCGCTACTTCCTAATACCCGACCACCATCATCATCGCCCGATCGCCAACAAAGACATCACCCGATTACAATCCTCTGTCCCCTGGCCCCTTTCTCTTCTTGTTTCCCTTGACTCTCCGCAACGTTCACCGGGTATCCATCCTCTCACCTGGAGTATGCGATTGTCGGGCTGAGAACGAGAATCCTGAAGGCCCAACCCATAGTCCCCTCCCTCCCCGTCTCCACCAGACCACCACTTGCCACCACGGCTACCATCATGGGGGTCGACACCCGCAGACCCGTCCTTCCCGCTCCCACAGAATCCATCATCGATGCCACGGGCAGCACAACGGGCACTGATCTGGCAACTGACGTTTCTCGCCGCACAGACAAGACGTCGTACTCGATCCCTGACGACGGCAGGCCCATTACTCTTTCTACCCGGCGCCCGCGGGACCGGGACGACAAACTGTCGCACTCACATCGGGACTCCCAGACCTCCCTCCTGATCGAATATTTCGAGGGCGGGAAGGATTCTGGCGGCGTCGTATCCCGACCCAGCGTGCGAGTTCGGGTGACCCCGTCCGGAGCCCGCAAATCCAAGGACAAGGATCGAATCCAGATCACCGAATCGGGCAGCGGCCGGAAACCGTCTTACACCCGGCGCATCTCTCTCACCTCGCCCAGCTCCAAGCGGAAACAGGTGCTTGATTCCGTGGATGACCAGAGCGCCACAGACAGTAATTCGGTTGAGGACGACGGTCAACATTCGTCCCGCGCTCCACCGGTCGAAATTGAATTTGTGAACCGAGATCAAGGAAGTGAACTCTCCGCGGTGTCCCGCGACACCGGCTACATGCCTGCCTCATCTGATATCTCGTCCATGCCGGCAGACAGCATGCTCGATGCTACATCCTCCGCAGGCCCCCGGCGCAAACGCAGCCAGAGCCTCGAGCGCGATTCCATCCGGGAAGACAAAAACTTGCTAAAGACACCGTCCCGACAACGCAGTCGCAGCCTCAGCAAGGAGCGCATTGCGCATCGAGTTGCGGAAAAGCTCAGCGGGTCCCCTCAAGAGGCCTCGAGTGGCAAGTCTAAAAGTAAAAGCAAGAGCAAGAGCAAGAGCAGGAGTGCCGGTAAGGATTACTTGGATGCGGAACAAAAGCCGTCCCGTCGCAAGCGGCACGAAGAGGACATTATCCCGAGCCCGGAGTCAAGTCTATTGAGCACCTCTGCCGTGTCTTCCAACCGCAAGTCGGGCGACCAGTACTCTATCCGTTCCGGCGCTTCCAAGTCATCGATCAACAACCCGAAGCTACTAGAAACCGTGGAAGATGCCATTCGGCGGCTCATCCTCCCCGAGCTCAAGGAGCTCAAGAAGGATCAAAAGGTCATGCACAACAAATCTAAGTTCGAGCGGGATATGACATCTTACTCGTCCACCACCAGTTCTCGAGATGAATTGGGCCGACGACTGTCAAAACACGCAAGTGCGCCTGATGTAATGAAGCCCATGGTAGTATTGAACAAGGATAGCAGAGATGAAGGCATCATACTGGCAGGTGAGCCTGCATCGCGGGCCAAGGAAACCAAGGAGCGCAAATCTAGCAAAGGCAGCGAAACCTCCGATGCCGCCTGGGTGAAATGGGGCCGACCAGAAGAAACCGAGCAAGACAAACTTCGCCGGCAGAAGAGCAAGGGTCTCCGCGACGCACATGCCGCTGGACGAGTAGGCTCAGCCTTGACGGCAGCATCTCTCAAACATCACGACTCTCAGTCTAGTCTTGGAGAAAGAGACCAAGACAAGAAAATCGAAGGATACAATGACACCGAGCTTGTTTTCCAAAGGCACAATGTTCCACCGATGCCGATGCGCAGCGAGCTAGACTCCGAATTGACTAGAGACTCTCTGCTCTCTGAACGGACGGAGAGTCCTGATCCATACAAGATCTCCCACGGTGCCGTTACTCGAGGATCACCTCGGCAGCTCGTTTCGCCCACCTCTCGCACTCCGACACGCACTCCCCTGGACTCAAGATACGAACTTGGTATGCGTCATGGCAACCAATCTCAGCGCGATCTTTCGATGCATAGTACCTCCGACCGCGATCTGCGTGGTAAGAGCCAATCTCCTGGAGGCGACCAAGTCGACTGGACTATCGCGGCCGCAGCCGCGGCCAACTTACTCGACGCGGCTCATCCAGGCCACCAGTCCGTTCACGAAGACCAATACGAAACCACAGGCCGAGCCCTCAGTCCTATTCAGAGCGTAGCAAGTGACCAGACTGAAACCCATGATGGCCAATTACGCTCAAAGTCCCAGGCTGCTGGAGGGCAGCGCGATTTGGAGGGCCGCTTATCGATTGGTTCTCTTTCTTCTGCGCCCAGCACCAACCTTGCTCGTTCTACCCGCAACGATGGAGTCAGTCCCCATAGCCGAAGTGGGACTTTTCATGACGAAGGTGGCCCTGAACTTGGGTACGAGCACTCGCGGCGCGCTTCCGAAGAAGATATCTATGGACAAGATGAGGAGTCGAGGCGTTCTGTGGCCTATGATGATAGCGAGGTTGATTTTATGGATAAAGTCAAGCAAGGTCAGCACGTGGCCACCGGAGTCGCTGCCAACCCTCAGTTCGTTCATCCAATGGGTGTTGAATCTGCAGTTGCCTCACTGATGGACCCGTCCGTGCTGGAGTCCCAGTCAACCCACTCTGGCAACCGTTCGCAGACCGAGTTTGAGCGCGCGGGCAGCCGAAGCCCCGAGAAATCCGCCAGCCGTGGTAGCCCCCTGAAGCAAGTTCAAAAGGCCTCCAGTATCGATGAGACATCATTCCCACGCCGAATGGGGGTCACATCGCCCCCACAGAGTGTTACACAGTCCATCGAAGATCTTGAAGAAGCGGGCTTGGTCGCTGCCGCTGCTCGCGGAATTCAGAGTAGTCCTCTTGCTGACGAAGAGCGAAGCCAAGAGTCCGAGTCAGAGATCAATACCAACCCGTCCATCATCCAAGGCCCAATTGGCGGCGTCGCTCAGGCATCTCAAAGCCACTGGGGCGGCCAAGTCCCATACTATGATGCATCCGTGGGCCAACCAGGCGGAGCACAGGATCTGGGCTCTGAGCAGCAGCGGGGTCTTGATGCAGAGTACTACGAGACTGCCCGGAACATTTTTGGCGGCGATGATTATTTCGTTGATCAGCGTGCCGGTCAGCTCTTCGGTACACCCCCGGTGCAAAGGATGAAGGCTATGTTTCAGCCGCGAACCCTATGTCTCCGAGCATTGGCACTCCCAAGCAAGGCACCCGAGGCCTCGGAGGCATGGATGCTGCTGGTATGGGTGCTTTCGACAGCCCTACTGAGGCAGATGACCCATTCACCGCTGGGCACCAACGACACTTCAGCGGCTATTCCCATGGCGTTAGCTCTCCTCTTTACGACAGTGCCACTGGTCGTGGTATCGAAAGAATCCAGTCCAAGGACATTGTCGCTCTGATGGATCACGTAAGTCAAAAGGCCCCTTTGTATATCCCCTGCAATAACTTAGCTGACATCTGACAATAGCTTACCGTGCGTGATGCTCAACGGAATGCCCGAGATACTGAAATCCTGGTCACTTTGGTCCGAAGTGCTGCTGAAATGCGCACCTCTTTCGAGGAGATGAAAAAGTTCATTGCGCAGCAAGATGAGATGCTCATGGATTCTAGCGACAAGCAGCATGAGCGAACCCACAAGGCTCTTGGTGGCCCTCGACCCTTGCCCCCCAGTGGCTCGCGAAGCCGCCAATTGAACATGGAAGATGACGAGGACCTACAGTCCAAGCGAAAGAACATTTTCAAACGTGCGCTTAAGGGTCTCAGTTTGAAATCGGGTAACGATCTCTCGAAGATTGAAGGCATGCTGGAGCAACTGCTTGAGGAGGTTGAGGCTCTGCGAACGGGCCAGGACCTTCCTGCTGTTCGACGTGCGAGCGTTGACCCCAATGGCTACGAGACTGCCGACCTGAATGGTGCTCCGTTAGGTAGTCGCTCTCCATACGCGAGCAGTCCTCGGCCTGCTACCGCTGATCAGCGCGTCAGCACTGTCCCGGAAGAGGACGAGGAAGATGATTTGGAAATTGATGAGCATGACCCATATGCCACTGCACATCTCCCTGTGCAAGAACCCGCTGTTCGACATGAACGTGCTGGATCATTGCCTCTCTCTACTCCACCACGAAAGGCGGTTGCTTCCGGAGCTCGCAGCACGGAGACCACCCCCAAGGCATCGGAGAAGGCCCGAAAGCACAAATCCAGCAGCTCCTCAATTTTCCCGAAGATCTCTCGCTGGTCCAAGACTACTGCTTCCTCCATGGGCGACAACATCCGCAACAGCATCCAGCCTGGTCGCAAGGAACGCCCGTACTCGGGTGAAATATCTCGTTCTGGCTCCGAGGAGGCCTACAAAGCCGACTACTATGATCTTGATCCCCAGGGTGACGACCGCATTCGATCAAACTATACTTTAGACGAAACGCAGCAGCAAGAGAACCGCCCACCCTCTCCACTGGTCCCCTCCCAGGTCTCCGAAGCGCCCAAGTACCGCGCTCACCGAGGTAGCCTTGATCTACAACACCCGCAGCCTCGACAGGGTCCCACAGGGCGATATCAGAATCAGCTGGAATCGCAGGCGCAAACGTATGCCACCCCTGTATCCCCAGCATCGGAGCACTGGTCCAACCCAAGCCAGTCTGCGGTCAACCCCAACCAAAACCGCTTCAGTGGTAACAGCCGCCTCTCCCCGATCTCCGACGCTGGCTACTCGGAGACCAGCTCTCGCGCTGCAGGACCGCCGCGTCCCCCAAAGATCAAAGATGACGGACCTTTGGTGCCCGAGAGACCCCCCAAGGTCCCTGAAGAGGAGGACCAGAAATATGGCGACCGCGTCGCCTCACGCGTAAGTTTCTCCCCTTACGCAGCTGTGTTCAAGCTTGATACACGAGCCACATTTTTCTGTCATTTTACCACCGTTCTAACCGCCTCTATTTTCATTTCTAGAGTTCTGCGATCCGCTCTCCGCCAACGCGCAAACCCACGGGCCCACGGCCGCTAACATCCAGTGGCACATACAGCCCCAGCAACATCAAAAAAACCCGCTACCGAGGCAGTCCGATGCAGATCGACTATGACGACGACTATTGAGATAGCATTGTAATACCCCCACGGGTTGTATTTCTTTCTAGCGAGCTTTTCCATCGCTTATTTGTTTCCTGTTCCATTTTCATCTCTTATTATCCTGTGACGAATTGTGTTTTTGTTTTTTTTTCTTCGGCGTTCGCGCCTCCTTACGACCGTGACGCCCGTGCCCTCAATCATCTCATCATCTATGCCTCTTCTCATCATGATCATGATCGTCCAATTTTCTCAGTCATCCCCACTTCATCTCTGAGCAATATTGTGATCTTTGTTTCTTGTTTATCCCTTTTATCCCTCCCGCTTCCTTCAGCATTTCTTGTTCATACGCATCGAGATGGGTGGGGCCAAGCCAGCCTCCTTATGCCATGTTGATTCAACTCCCGTCTGTCGCTTTTTCCTGTCCCTTTCATTTGGGCTCTCTCTTCCTCTCTTCCTCACTCTACCTTGCATCAGGTGCAGTGCTAGTCTCTCTTCTTGTAGCTCCTTTTTCTCCACTGGTTTCTTTGCTCGTGGCGGTGGGTTGTAGATACTAGTGTGAACTTGGGGGAACGAACTGGGGCGTCTGGGACCGCGCGCTTCTGTTGGCTTCTCTCCCGCCCCTCCCTCTTCTTTCCCCAAAATGGCAGGGTATGCGTTCGGTCAATAATGAAGATGGCTTTTTTTTGTCTAGGAGTTCCAACGAACCCTGTCTGTCTCTCATGATGTGGGATAAAATTCGTACGTGATAGATCTGAGGTAGAGGAGAAGGAGAATGCAGTAGTAGAAGGGAACACTCGGGCCTAACTGTAGTCGGCGGTGACTCGGATTAGGGCTACTGGTCTCAGCAGCGGCGCCTGCTCGCTGCGGCTTGGAAGGGTCTGCGGAAAACGTCCATTATGCGAGCGAGAGACAGACAGACAAGGATAAGTATAGAAAGGTTGCCTCCCCCTCCTCCTCTTTCCCTTTTTCTCGGCAATCCATCTGGGACAACAAACACATCACGACAAACATTGTGAACCTCAGCCTCTTTTAGCCACTATTCTCTCTCCGTCACACATCCTGTTCACAACAACAACAACAACAACAAAAACACCCGTCGTTCATAAAGAATAGGAGAATCAACCTCGCCTTCCTCTCACCCAAAAGATGGCGTTTCATCGTCTTTCCCCAAACTCCCCAATATCAACCCTAATAATCCGAGAACGGCCTTACAGAAGTCGTCCCCCGCTCTCGAAAGGCATACTCCGCCGTCGCCAACGAACTAAACTCCATCCCCTCGCTAACTGGAAATTTGCCAGGGTAACTCTCCGTCGAGCGGCATTTGGCGCCACGGGCAGCGTCGAGATTCAGAGACGTCGAATCGTCCGTGTAGTGCGACGAGGCGGACAGCACGCCGGGCTCACTGGGCCCGTCAAATGACACAGCCGGCGACTTCTGGCAGGGGCGTGGGGAGTCGGGAACTGGTGGCGCGGGGCGAGTCTGAACAATCTCGACAACTTGCTGCTCGTTGCGGCGTTTGGTGACGTGCTGCGTGACTTGCTCAGCCAGGAGCAGGGCTGGCTCAAGGGGTGGGGAGATGCGCGGCCGCGGGGAGTTTGCCGGGTTGCTCTTTTTCACGGTGTCGTAGAGGGCGGAGGCTGAGGGGGTGCATTTCGAAGCAAGATCGGGCCCAGTGCCAGGGCCTGGACCTGGCGAAGAGGGCGCCGGAGGACCCGTGGCATGCGATTTGTTCTCATGGGTGTGTGGCGTGGGTGGCGGGGGACTCGGGGGGTAGCATTGGGGCAGCGGAGGCAGATCGACGATGCGCGGAGGCGCGCTGCGGATGCTGTCTAGGCAAGCATGGGAGCCACGTAGAGCGGTGGTGAGACGCTGGCCAAGCGGATCTTCATGATGGAGGAGGGTGGAGGGCATGGGCGAGCGGTAGATTGCCGGGGGTACGATGCCGAGGAGGATGTCGACGGCGATGCGCTCGGCTTGCTCGATGGCCAGGCGGAAGGGCGGGAAATCGTAGCGCGAGGGCCAGAAGGGGCGCAGCACAAAGGAAATGAGGTAGAGGAACTGCAGGTAGAAGAGAACGGCGGCGAGGGAGATTGTGGTGAGGAGGGAAATAGGGAGGACGGCGTACGAGTGTGGAGAGCGCTTGTGGACGAGCACCGGCATGGTGAGGATGCATTGAAGGTGAGCGGATGGAAGAGGAACATCCTGAAGAGGGTTTCAAATCAAGTGTAAGACGAGCCTTTGAGGTGGTAAATAGCGAGCCAGATGGGTAAGAATGGGATAGTCGGCAAGTGCAGTGGTTGAAGAGATTGGAAGGAGCAACGAGGGCACGTGGATGGAACTGGAAGAGCTCCAAGTTGGATCCGGGATCAGTTGCCGACTGCCAGGAATCCTTGATTCTTCTTCACAGCTCAGTCCTCCCCAGACGAAACCAGCTTTGATTGTCCATCCCCTGATCCTTGTTGGGTGTAGTTGGCAGCTGGCAAGTTAGGGCTTCGATCCCAAAAGTGGAGCCCGCCGATCCATGGGAAACATGGCAAATCCCCCGGTCCTCGGCATCTCCGCAACCTCAACTCCTCATCTTCGATGACTCGCCTGGCATTCCGTGCCACCCGCCCTGCCATCATGTCTGCCATCTCAGATTGTCACCATCTTCGTCCACGGCGCTTTGCTCCGCTTGATCCAGCTCGGGCGTCCGACGCACCGTCCTTGAAGGGCATCATATTTGACGTGGATGGTACTCTATGGTAAGAATTGGTCCAAGCTTCGATCGACGTGTCTTCTCCCATCGGCATTCAAGCCGGTCTTTCATTCCTTGACTTTAGGTTTGGGGGTTGCGAATGTCAAGAACAATCAAGGTTGTCCCGACCTCGGATTTCCCGGTCTTCGACTGAAGCATGCTCGGAAAACTACAGTTTCAAATACGTTACTAACGTTATTCAAGTCTACCACAACATCATATGTTCTCTGAAATGAGGCAAGTTCAAAGCAATTGCGGTACCGGGGTCCCTTGTGCGCCAGCATAGAAGGCATTCCGGTCACTGTTCCACAGGCAAAATACCTTGAGATGATAATCACGATCTAACTCCTGAACTCAGAGAAGCTCTGGGCATTGACCGCTCCGTCGATATCCTCCACCATATTCGCGACCTTCCCACACCGGAGGAGCGTGCGGTGGCCGTCTCCAAAGTGCAAGCCGTGGAACAGCGCGCAATGCTGGATCAACAACCCCAACCTGGCCTATCCCAATTAATGAACTATATACAGTCTCGCAAACTTCCCCGTGCGCTCTGCACCCGAAATTTTGAGTAAGTGTCGTTTTCTTGTGCTAGAGCGACCCTCTACGACAGTGTAAGCCATCGGCTGACCCTATTTCAGGGCACCCGTGCAATATCTCCTCCAGAACCATCTTCCCAGCCACATTTTTCTCCCTATCATTACCCGCGACACGCCCAATGTGGTCCCCAAGCCCGACCCGGCTGGGATCCTGCACATTGCGCGCGAGTGGGGGTTGACGAACAGGGCGGAGAGCCTGATCATGGTACGTCCTCCCGCGAGCGTCGAGTACCGAGTCTCGGTCGAATCAGACTGATTTTTTCCCCTCAATCAGGTTGGCGATAGCATCGACGATATGACCGCCGGGCACACAGCAGGTGCGGCAACGGTCTTGCTCCTGAACGAGCGCAACAGCCACCTCAAGGAACACGCCCATACGGACCTCTGCATCAGCCGCCTCGATGAACTAGTCGATATTCTGGAGCAGGGGTTTGTCGGCTACCGCAGAAATGACGATAATGGGGAGTGAATGCTAGAAATGCTACCATTCTAGATCCAGGGAAGTAATATTGATGCCAGACTGATCTGTCAGAACGTGATTGGTGTTTGATAGATTGGGTAGGCACTTGTACAAGAAGAATCCGGTCCTTCCAATGCTGAACACATCTACCCACACCTCCAATGACTCCCAATCACAGACAATAAAAATAAATGTACAGGTGAATTGAATTTCGTAAATGTGGCTTTGTTCATCATCCTCCCCGAGGCTTTCCTCCACGCCCGCCCCGACCACGAGCCCCTCTCCCTCTACCACCACCGCCGCCTCTTGGTGGTGGACCACGCGGTTTGGATGGGGGGTTGCCTCGGGGCTTATCGGGGGGTTTAGGCACAAGGACAGCGCCGCTACCAAAGCGAATGGCCCCGCGTCCTCGACCATGCGGCGGGGAGGCCGTCGGCCTCCGTGGGCTCTGCGAGACATCGCATCATCGCTTTCCGACGACGAGACTTGAACGGGTGCTCCGCGACGGCCTCTGCCGCGCGAAGATTTCGGGGGTAGATTTGGCGCGGATGGACCTTTCGGGGGGCCATTTGCAATGTTCAGGTTAGTGATGGTAGAGGGATCGATGTCTTTAAGGGTAAACGATGATGATTTGAGGGGTTGGCGGAGAGACGGACAGTCGCCGATCAGATGTTTGGTACTCGTGCAGTGGGCACAGGAGATGGAGACGGAGATGGCTTGAGTCGTGGGTTCTCGCATAGGGAACTTCCACTGGTGGTCACATTGAGACTCTACGTGGGCCGAGGAGCCGCACAGATCGCACGGAACTTCGGCTGGAGAGCTTTTCAAGGGGGACGAGCACTGTGATTCATCATGGCCACGTTCGCGGCAGCGTTGGCATCTGCGCCAGGAGGGACAGCATATGCTTGAGTGTTTGTTCCACGCTTCGCAATGCACGCACTTGAAAGCCATTAGTATGATTTCTCATTATGACACTTCTGTATGGTCGAAATGTTTTCGGGGCAGAGAAGATGTGATATACATACCTCCTTGGTCGGACACACTTCAGCCATGTGTCCCTGACGAAGGCATTCAGTGCAGCCCACTGGGAGTTGGAGATCAATATCGTTGACATCCCGGTCCCAGTACACAAATTTAGCCTGAATATCCATATCTTCCTTCATCAAGTCCATCAGTGTAACGGGTGCAGTGGGGTATTTTTGAGAGAAGTTCCGGAACGCATCTTCTTTAGTTTCCGTTGTTGTCGCTCCTGAATTGAGCAGAGGGGCAGCGTTGTCATGAGGCTGCCCGTCTGTATGACCATTTATTTGCTTTCCATCGAGGAAAACAGACTCTGGGTCATAGTCATCTACTCCGTCTTCTGTCTTTGTCCCGATGTTGAGCAGAATGGAGTCATCAGCTTCCGAGCCCAGGGAGTCTGAATCTTCAGAGTCGCTCCGCGAATCTACCTCGCCTTCTTCCACGTCCTCGTCCGTCCCTTCAGATGAGACAGAAGCACTGCGACTGCGCCAGTATGTCCCATTGACTGTTTTGAATTTCTTCGCCGCGTTGCCGTTCGCAACAATCCCATTAGCTTTCAATTCGGCGACCTTTGGTTGATCTCGGGCCTCGACCGGAGCCACAGTCTCAGCCTTTCGTTTCCCCAATGAGGTGCGCACAACATTTTTTCTTGTCTGGTTCCAACTAATAGCGGGCGCTGTGCTGCCCACATGGGGGTTGGCAGGGGCGGGTTCATCGTGTGCATCCGAGTCATCGGAGTCGCTGTCTGAGTTGGAGCTCGATCCGGAGCTGGAAGTTTCGTCTAGATCCTCTAACGAGTCTTGACCGAGTGTGTTGAGTGCGGCCCCATTAGCGCTGAACGATGCTCCGCGAGGAACAAAATCGGACACTTCGCGATCTGCGCGAGAATTGCCCCGGCGCCGCTTTTTCACAGGCCGAGAGTTGCCCTTGTCGTGTGCAGGCTGGGCAGAGGGGGTGCGTCTGCCAGAGCGCTGAACGCCGACCGAGGCCGTTCGCGAATCAGCCTCGTCCCCAGAATCCGACATGACGAGGTGTTTGGGGCGTATGGAAGATGGGAGTTACCGGGAAGTTCGCGTGGTTGGAGGCAGCAGGCTCGTCGCATGGAAATTTTACGGCCGACCCTACAGACCACTTGTGCAGTATTGTTCAGTGGTCGATGTTAAAGGGGTGCATATCAGAGGGCTTGCCTGTTCTGCAATTTCTTCTGTTTGCTTGTTTATGGTGAACAATAAGAGAAATTGACATAGTCAAATCCTAGGCATTCAAAGTTTTAAATTTATTGTTTAGTGCTGTATCAGGTGCCTCGTTTGGAAAAGACATCTCCGTGTGTCCATCCAGGTAACCTGGTAGAAACCATGCCATATCGAGGATACTATATATAAGTCATATACAGCAGGCCATGAAAACGAGGGCTCGCAGCTTGTCCACGGTCCACCAATAAATCTCCCGGTCGAATTAGCCGACAATGGTGCCATGTCGAGAGCGAATACCCTCCCGTGTTGTGTAGAGCGTGGTTTGAGTCCGTGCTGGTCGGAGCTTGGCTGCACGTGTCTGGCCAATTCCCATTCTCGAGACCTTCAGCTTCTTCCCTCCTCATCTGCGAAGGCATCTACGCGATTTACCCTCCAATCACTGAAAACCGAGTCTCTCAACGTTCCGAGGAACCAAGAAATACTCCGTGCGCAGCGAAAAACGAGACTGCCCCGTGACCCCCGAAAACCGATCCGCCCGACTCCAGTTCTGGGCCGTGTGCCACTTCCATCCCCACGCTCCTTTTTCCCCCATCATCAAACCAGATTCCTCTCTTCACACTGGCGTCCGATACCTCCAAGTCCTCCCTGTTGGTCCCCCGCGCCATCTCCTTTTCCCCCGAGATGGATGGACCGCAGCGGTTATCACCCAATACCCAGAAGCAGGGCCGCCGGCGGCGGTCCAGCAGCATCATCTACCAGGAGCCCGCCGAATCCATCGAGCATACTAGTGACCAAGCTGCACTGCCCAACCTGAATGCCAACTGGGTCAACGCTAAAGGTGAGTTGAGCTTGAATCCCAGCCCTCCCCCTCCCCCCAACGTCCCGACCGAACCGATTTGGACACCGTGGACACGTCCCCAACTCGCAGAACCCCAAGACAAGGCTGACAGGAATGTTGTCGCGCGAACAGGAGCCTGGACCATCCATTTCGTCCTCATTGCTGCCCTGAAGATTCTCTTTGACATTATCCCTGGTGTCTCGCAGGAGACCTCATGGACACTCACCAACATCAGCTACATGTTCGGCTCTTTCCTCATGTTCCATTGGGTGCGGGGCATCCCGTTCGAGTTCAACGCCGGTGCCTACGATAACCTCAACATGTGGGAGCAGATCGATAATGGCGACCAGTACACCCCGACCAAAAAGTTCCTACTCTGTGTGCCCATTGTGCTCTTCCTCCTCAGCACTCACTATACCCACTACGACTTGACCTACTTTACCATCAACTTTTTGGCCACTCTGGCGGTCGTCATCCCAAAGCTTCCTTTCGTACGTTTCCCATTGATAGTTCTTTCTTAATTGTGGTTACCGGCTAACTCCCTGCTTCCACAGTCGCATCGGTTGCGAATAGGTCTCTTTTCCGATTTGCCAGAGGACTCATAGTGTTTCCTTTCTGTTTCATTCCTCTCCATTTCCTTTGCTACATTGGCGTCTTCCGGCCTGCGAGCTTGCTCCCTGTTCCTTTCGTCTCCTCTCTCTTCGCCTCGACTTTTCTTCCATTCTCCATAAAGAAGCTACTGCATTGCGTTGATTCACGGTGTTTTGAATCCGTCGTTGGCTATTGCAAATTTCCCCCTTTTTTTCTTCCCTTGGCAAATATGAAGAGCAACACGACAAAGCAATTTGGCTGTGGAAGCCTCAGCCTGTCAGTCCAGTCCCTAGGGGTGTCTAGAGTTCCCCTGTTTTAGAACCCTGCATTTCTTATTCTGCACACTTGTGGTCTCAGTCGTGTCTTATACCAAAATCTTCTTAAAGCTTCCAATTGCATGTAATACTTCCATTAAGTACAGTAGCCCAAAATTAAAACTGGGGCTTACTGATTGCCTAGGTATGCAAGTCATTAAACTAGCCTTTCTTCTTGGCGTGCCCCATGCGGGGTATTGCATCATGGTGTGCAGTGACCAGATTCACACGTTCATTGTCTCAGACTTCTTGAATAATGTTGTTTATCCGTGAGACGGGACATATATTTTTGGCGTATACAGACCTAGCTTCGTATACACATGATGCTTGGTCTAGGCGAGGATATACTAAATCTCCATGGTGAAAACATATTGCAATACTGCGGGCAATTCCTCCTTGCTTCGTACTGTTGTTAAATTATCACAACATTTTTGATAGTAAGCATTTGTTTGACACTTCTGAAGCTATGAAAATATAAAAATAAGAATTGCAGTCAAAATAGACATAAAACAGCAAGTCAAAAACAGCAACACTTGAACCTACGATAAGAGCCTGCAGCTTGTACACCAACGGCCCAACGATGTATACAAAATAAAGCCGCAAACATCACATTCTCCGAGAGAAAGTATGAATACCAATTTTTCATTTCCAACTCCTTCCTTTTTCCATTCAATTCTCCACTGCCATCTGAGCCCACCTGTCATGGCCTTTTATCTACAACCTCATCATATAGAGTCCATATGACACCTCCAGCGGCCCGATACCGCCATCTGACATAATCCTTATCGATAAGTGCGCGTCTCGCGAACCGGACCAACGCGATGTCTTCTCAACAACTTGAGGCCATGAGTCCCTCGGGTGACAGGGTGTATCTTACACCTGACGCATTGCCATTTGAACTGGTTGAACAAACCGGTATTTTTTTCGAGGAGAAGCTGTGTTCGTTGCCACACCGCATCGTACATGAACCACTCTCGGCTGACTTTCCCCAATTACAGACACACCGGCCTTGAATCTCTTATTCAACACGCTTGCCTCCGGGACCTATGCCTCAGATAAAGCTATAATTCCGCGGCCGCAGCACCTTGCCCTCGCGGCAACTTTTCTCGTTCACCCGTCGACGACGACGCGCGCAAAATTGTCCGAAGAAAAAGAGGCGCCTCATCTTGCTCTTCGACTACTGCGACTTCTCAGTGCCTTGGTCAGTCCTAGGAGTGCAAACCTAAACCAAGCTTTTGGCTTCACACACTCTCAATTTTCGCGCTCAGGGAGAAGGTACCGAGCAAACGAGAATGATCAGAGAAATGAATTACGCTTCGATGAGACTCGGCTTCGGAGCTTCGAGCTGGCTCAGGAAGCGTCCGTTTGGTCTCGCGCAGAAGATTTCTGGCATGCGGCTGGGTGGGCGTTTAATTGCTCCGTATTACATCCCGAGCGCTGGCAATATTGGCAGACCTGGCTGGATTTTATATGCGAAATGCTAGAAGACGATTGGTCGGAACGGAAAAAGGAGTACGATAGATTACAGGACCAAAAGAAAAATTGTCCAAAGAGCCCCTCATCTGTCGGAAAGGTGACTAGAAAGGACAGAACATCTCGGACACAAGAAGGTGATCTGGATTTGCTCCGGGAGAGCTTGATCTTTCAGTATGTCTGCGCAGGTGAAGGGTCTGGCAAAAACCGCCGAATCATCAGAGCCATTTTTGCAGATGGCAGTACGGCCGCGGTCAATGAGTTTCGCGAGGTATTTCACAACGAACTCAAGCTACCCAAATCTAGCCATCGGCGCGAAATAGCCAAGAAAAGAGACCGCGAGGAAGTTAATATTGACCAAGAAGAATACGGTGACTATCTGACCCAAGATGAAACAGACGAGGATGACAGCACTAGTATGAACACAAACAAGCCACAGTCTCGTGCTGCCACGCCTCTTCCCGATACCGGGAAACTGAGACGCTCTAAGCGCACACGGAGAGGCACGCGGAACGCATCGGATGCAACTCCTACAGACCCGGTGAAAGAGAATGAGCATGCAAGCAATACATCTCTCACACATCACAGCGGCAGTGTTTCGCTGATGGGCGGTCTGGATTCTCTCAGCCTGCGCACGCGCCTCCTGAGTATTCTGTCCAAAGTATCTGAGGTGTTTCCAGAAGACTTTACACCCGTGGCCGAGCTCTATCACTTCTTTATCGAGAAGATTCGCCACTTGCCATTGCCAATATTCCAAGCTTTTGTCAATCCCCATGTGCTCCCGCACTTCTCAGATATAGAACAGATGACTCTTTGCGAACTTTTGCTGTTGAACATGATTGAAAGCTCTGCTCCACCCTCCGAAGAAGAATTTTTCACCCAGTCCAAGCTGGAAAATTGTTTTCTTCCTTTCGCTGCAGCTACAGCCAGTGTTGCCGACAATGCCAAGGTATCTATTCTCCTCGAGTCACTTCTCATGTTACTGGCGGACAGTGAGGAGAAACTAGACATGAGGCCCTCATTGAGAACAGCCGTTGAAAATGGCATCGTCAAACGGGCTGATAAGGCGCAAGAGGAAATGCGGCGAAGCCAGGCCAGTCGGGTCAAGGAGTCTCTTGAGTGGTGCTGGCTGCTTGAAAGTGGGGAGAGGTTGATGTACCTGTTGGATCTCCTAGGACCGCGAGGCCATCAAATGGCTGAATGAAGTTGATCTATTACTTTACGATACTAATGATGGCAATGATCCTAATAATGACATAATTTGAGTTATTCCTTCATACCACAGTATATGATGTCCGAGAATACAACTTAGGACATGCTATTCAACGGGCAAGTATATAAACGAGTCTATCCTCATAAGCGGTCCGCATTTTGAGAGTAGGCTACGATTCTAAATCTATTTTTGATTTATCAGTTCTCCCTATTTCTCAGGTAAATATCTATCGACCACACCGCAAAGTGGGTTGTTTTTCAGTCAAACCTGCCGCGTAGGCCATCAAGGCAGCACCCACACCAGATCCATCCTTCGTGAGACTGATCCTGATTCTTTTCTCACCAGCACCTCCGATCTCAGGAATTTCCCTCACAGCACCACGCATGTCAGTCTCGAACATTGGATAAAACTCTATGAGTGACCCGTCAGCTCCAATATCGATTATCTCTTCCGACAGTGGCATGTCTCTGAGAGCAGATGTGTGTTTTGGTAGCATCGACGATAGACCCTTGCAGACAAATTTCACAAAGTCAAAGATATGCCGGGCAAGAGGAGGTGCACAATGGTAGAAGTCTTTGAATCTAAACGACAAAAAGGGGATTGCTCGCCGAAAGGGTCGGTTTTCGATTTCACTCGAAGATATTTTGAGTCGCCCACTTTGTATAATGATGGCTGATAATGATGCACCAGCTAAGCGAGCTGCACGTCTGGTAATGGACCTTGCTATTAATTGGATGGCAGCTACATCTTCTGCACTGACATTCTCAACTGATAGAGCTTTTTGAAGGACCTGAGCCTTGCTGTCACTGTCGTAAGGTTCTGTGGTGACCAGCTGAGAAAGAAGCGAACTATTGATTCCGTTGTGTTGACAAACTTCAGACACTTCATGGAGTGTCATGCTGAAAAGATTCTCTTGAAACAGTTGTAGAATTGATAAGCGGAGCAACTCTCCAAGATATAGTCCAGATACCCTCTTCTCTAGCATTTGTGATCCGGGGTCTCCAGACTCTGCATCGAGTTTGTCATCAAAAGGCGTTCGAGGTAACACCTCCATTTTGTCATCAAATGAGCCCCATTCACTATTGATCACCATAATACCCTGGGCATCGGTCACATTCTCCCCAAGCCTTCGCACATTGGATAGCTTCTCCACGTAGGCGGCATTTGTCCCGGTCCCGAAAATGACCGCGCCTAATGTCGATATCTTCTGACCCGAGCTGTATGATCTTGTCAAGAGCGTACCAACGCTGTCATTTGCAAGAACGACCACCCGGACTGCCAAGCCCAATCTATCAATGGCTTCTTGAAGCAAAACGCAAGGATCGCAGCCTATCGCATCTGGTATATCCCAGCCCTTGTCCCAGCGTATCAGACGGCCACTGTTTAGGGAAATCTGCTCGCAGGTAAAACTGAATGTAAACCCAAGCTTGTGAGGCAATTGGCTGTCGGGATCGGAAGATGTATCGAGGAACTCCGCAATCTTCTGCGCAATGAAATCGAACAGGGGCAGATAGCTATCATTGACCATGATGTTGCGCGGAACCCTGTGCTTAGATTGCGAAACGGAGAAAGTCGAATCACCATGCAGGTTGGCCATGCATATTCTGCAGTTGCTTCCACCAAGATCAACAGCCAGGAACTGGCCCTTCTCGGATCCGGTCGGTATACTTCTCAGATAGGCAGGCAGCTGCCAGGGGCGGTCATTTTCAAGGCCATCCTCTGCGATGAATCAGTATGTTTTTGCATTGCAATTCTTGACTTTATTTGCTTACTTATCTGGTCAACAAAGTGCTTCGTTATTCGTCGCACACAGTTCGGGCTGAGGTCGAAGTCTCGAGCAATTGCCTCTGCTCGAGTTATCAATCTCGATCCAGGCTCTTTCGACTTTGCCATTGTAAGCCAAGATGAGGAAGTAAAGGTATCGAGAACGTTGAAAACATATCCATGATGATACACCGAATTATTAGAGTTTCATCAATAAACGCTCTCGCCTCAACTATGTGGGGCATCCAGGCTCGATGTTACAGGATTTATGATCACGATGTTCATGGCGATGGCCGGATTGCCGGTGATGGCCAGCCACTTCCGGCAATTAACCTAAGGAAGACAAGGCCCGGCCTCCTTTCCGACTTTGAGTTTAGGCTTGCGATACATATGACCCGCTACATCCCGGTGAAAGTTCACTTTGCCGGTTTCCCCGGCGCCCCACTATAGAGAGGGACTATGTATTGAACCAGCGCGCTATACGGCAAACCTGCGAATGCAGGCAGGATGAGATGCATCAGCGAACAAACCAACAAACCACACCACACCATGATGAAAGGAAGTCTCTCAGAGAGGAAACAGATGCTGCTTCAACAAAGTAAAAGTTGATTCTCTCCCTATCGGAGATGCGAAGCTATATCCTGTGAAATATATCCTCCAATCAGAGATCACCCCTCGTCTGCCATTTCCACACTACAGTATGGATGTGGAGAGGGGTGCCGAAGGGTTGCCCGGGGTTGGCGGTATTTCATTCAACCGTAGATGTGATGGAATTCATAATTGATCCACTTCATTGATCCAAAGTTAATTTTCTGATTTTGACAGTTTCAAAAGTATTGCTTCTTCCTCTACAATTATTCCGGCTCTATTGTGATATAAGTCGCTGCAAGGTATCGACGAGGCTATTCTTCCGACAGCAATCGTCTAAAATCGTGACATCTTTGCAAAATAGTATGGTTTATAGAGATAGATTCGGATAATACCAAACTATCAGCACAGAGGATTATACATAAAGTCGAGCACAATCAATTTGACAAACAACCTGGCACTCTGGAGTTGCATGAAATTGCGCTCTAACCAATCCTCGAGAGGTTGTATCCCGTAAACAGATTCTAGAAAATTTAGAAATAATTTGACATGTAGAGAAATGTATCTATATGGGACGCCCCTGTGAAATCAAATACCAATCAAGCTGGTGAGAATGGCATAGTCACAGATCGCAAACTTAATGGCTTTAACGGTCCAATGCGTGATGACATGCTGTCTGGAGTAAGCTCTCCATCCTCGGGCTCTTTCCAAGCTCCAGTGCCAGAGGTGGCCAGACTAAGCGCCGGCGGACTCTCGTTGCTCAGTCCTTTCTGGAGGATAGTCCGTTCCACCCCGGCAAAATACTGTAGATACCGTCAATTTAGGTCTCATGATAGGGAGTCCGGCCAAATATACTTACTCTGACGGTTTTGACTTTTAAGTCTAAAGTGGCGTCCTCATCGACGACAACCATGCTAGATGGGTGAAGCTGCAGGGAAGAAAGAGTGCACATATGAGAGACACCACCCTCAACCGCCTGCTGAATTGCCAGCGCTTTCGAGCTCCCGGTTGCTATTATTACCACCTCCCTGGCGTCCATGATAGTCTGCACGCCAACAGTGAGCGCCATGCGTGGCACTGAGTCAAGATCGCCACCGAAGAAGCGTGCATTGGCAAGAATTGTCTCATATGTGAGGGATTTGACTCTAGTCCGACTGACCAGACTAGATCCAGGCTCATTGAACGCAATGTGTCCGTCGCTACCCACACCACCCAGAAAGAGCTCAATTCCACCAAGAGCTTTGATTTTGGCTTCATACGCAAGGCACTCACTTGTTAGACTGGCAGCGTTGCCATCCAGAATGTTAACATTATTCACATCAATGTCGATGTGACGAAAGAAGTTGTTGTACATGAACGAGTGGTAAGATTCAGGATGGTCTCGTGGGAGGCCAACATACTCATCCATGTTGAACGTCACAACATGTTGGAATGAAACATCACCCTGACTATGTGCGGCAATCAAAGCCCGGTATATAGGAAGTGGACTACTTCCTGTCGGTAATCCTAGCACAAATGGCCGTTCTGCACTTGGTTTGAAGCCATTGATTCGTTCCATAAGAGGTGAGCGTCATGGTCAGTCGCCTTCGGGCACTTCCACTTACTAACAATATACGTGGCGATAAACTGTGCCACCTGCTCCGGACGTTCTCGAATTATCAAGCGCATATCTATGGATTGATTAGAGGAGCTGGAAACGACAACTGGGATTTGAGTGAATGCAAAGTCGACCTCGAAGGGGGTTTTGTCTTGCGTGAGAATTATTTGGAAAGCGGAGACTATGTTCTAGGATTTAATTACTCCAGCAGTTTGGATAACCAAGGTGCTGCAATAGTCTCAAAAGTGGAGAAACATTTTAATGAAGGCCTGGATTTCCATTCTTCATCATTGGGAAGTCTATAATTTCCTAGATTGAGAAACTCCGGTGATATCGGCGAGTCCGGCGAAGTCGGGGAAACCGGTGAACGGCATGCCACGTATAAGATCAGAGCGAACAAGTGCCGAGCCGCCTCAACGGCGGACCGGAAAAAGTTTTCTAGAAGTTGATTGACACCGGAGTAGTTGGGTGACGGATCTCATAGTTGCCCATATGACTAACCGCAGGTTATGCGGGAACATCGAGTCGAGGTTCTCAGGGAGATGTCGTCCTATCTGAACATTAAAAATAATCTGAAGAAGTGATAAAATAAGATACTATGAAACTAAGCCATTTGGAAATATCAAATAAAATCATATCGAAGTATTCATTCAACAATATTCAGTCTTTGCCCAGAGACCTATCAAATGCAAAAAAAAATAACTAAGCCTCCTTAGCATTGGCAATCTTCTCTTTATACTGCTTGCTTCCGAGGAACCACCACACTAAAATGAGAATAGGCAAACCACCCACCACAACACAAGTGTAGTTCATATTCTCGACTGTAAGGGGCATAGAGTAAGGGAAGCTGAAGAATACGATGGCAAAGACAAGCCAACCCAAGGCCACGCCATTGATAACCCAGCCCCACTTGCCCATGTGGAAGGCGCCTTTGTGCATGTTGCGTCGGCCAGTTCCCATATTCGTCAAGATTGGCATCAAGTAAGCAACATTGTTGATTGTGACAGCAGCGCCAAGCATGCTATTGAAGGCTGTGCTGCTCCCAAGATACAGACAGCCCAACACTGCAACGGCGGCAGCAACAAGCAGCTGCGCATTGAAGGGAATTCCAAACCGCTTGCTTACCTTCCCCCATACTTTGGAGAACGGCATGGCATCGTCACGCGCAAAGGCCCACAGGACCCGCGAAGTAGAAAGTTGGGATGAGATGACACATGGTCCAAGGGCAACAAATAAAATGAAGGTGAGGCCAAATGCACCACCGGCTGATTGTGTCGCCTGACGGAACAATTCGGCCAGGGGCAAGCCAGTGCTGGTAGTTGACAAGGCAGCATAATCCTGGACGCTGAACATGAGACCTATTAAATAGGTGACGCCGGTGACAAACGCGATGGACAAAGTGATGGCAATCGCTAGAGGTGCATTTCGAGAAGGCTGTCCACGTCAGTTCCAGGTACATGCAAAAAGAAAAACTTGGTAACACACATTTGGCATCTCCTCCGTAATATGAGTTACGCCGTCGAGTCCCCCCAGACTGTAGAGTGGGTTCACAAGGCCAGTAATAAAGCAGATACCGTTGCTACTCCAGCCGGTATTGTTGATCCAAGTTCTGAAGACAAATTCACTGTTCTGATGGGTCGGGGCACATGCAACAACAGTAATAAGAACAACCAGCCATCCAATTTGCAAGTAAAAAAGAGAGAATTTGTTTAACGCTGGAATGATCTTGTTCCCGAAAAGGACCACAGCAGCGGTGAGAGCATTCAGAATCTGGTAGATGACAAAGGTCTCCCAGGTTTTAATTGCGATGGTAGGATGGTAAAGGGCATAAAGTGCTTGGACTGTTTTTGATTAGATAGAACATACATAGGACATGCGTTTAGATAGGGAGTATAAGAGTATGATATACGCACCGACTTGAGCGAAAATTAGATTTGTCGATGCAGTGGTGAATATCCCTAAGACAATAACGTTAGTTGTGCCATCCAGTCGCAAACAAAAAGCTGATTTTGCTACTCACAACCACAGACAGTCAACCAGCCAGTCAAAAAACTCAAGAAAGCACTGTGTCTTTTTGGAGCCACGGCGGCGATCCAGTGATACATGCCACCCTCCGTTGGATAACTCGAAACGAACTCAGCCAGCGAGGCACCCAAGAAGGATTGCATGATAGTAACAAGAATGAAGCCATAAATAATTGCACCGGGTCCGCCTGCGTTAATTTCGGTCACAATGCCCAGTCCGAGGCCTGTCCAAGAGATTGTTGTCGTGGATGCTAGACCGATCAGTGATAAAATACTGAAATGGCGTTTCAATTCCTGAGTATGGCCTATTCATCATTAGCACACCAGCATATTCCGATAAAGAAGCAACGACATACCCATCTGAGCCAGACGTAGCTCATCGGCGTTCATGGGTGGCCCATCCTTGGCCTCGAACACCGAGTCCTCCGCGATGGTTTCGCCCATTTTTGCTATTTAGGTGCGTATCGAATAGGTTGCTGTTGGATTGAACGGAAGAGGTTGTGCTGCCGAGTTCCACCCAATTGTGGCTCGGGCCATGTATTATTATATCGATCGAGTTCATCAACACATGCAATCACTTGACCTCTACCAGCCCCACAGTTGCGGGAAAATTCGCGGAGTCGAACAGTGGTGGAAAGAGTTGAAAGCAGCCTTATCGGTCCCTGGTTCGGCGTGAATTGGCACGATAACCGCTAGTCAACCGCTAGTCAACCGGTAAACGGTCGGCTCATAGTACATGATAGCAAACCCCGGTTTCCCCGGTCATTTCGCCGGAGCGGAGGCTATGCCGGTGCCGGCATACCAATTGAATTTTGGCTTTTCTATATTCCGTAAAATCGAGCGGAGTCATGGAATGTGGGGAAACCAGTCCCGACATTATGCCGATATCATGATATCCCAATAGCTGCCCTGGCTATAAAGCCTCAGTGAATGCAATATTTTGTGGTCGTGTGCCTTCCGCATAGTACGTCAAGATGCGGTTTGTCAATTGGTCTCGAATTGTTAGCCTCAGCCTGCTGAGTACCAGCTTGGCCTCTGCAACTGAGTTGAGCAAGGCGTCGCAGGCTCTCTTCGATCAGTCCATGTCCCTTCTTGATGATATTTATGACCCCGCTGCATCCTATTTGCACTACTTTTATTATCCTTTGGCCGCAGGTTCACACGAGACGCGATCAACCGTTTGGTATTCTGTTGGACTCCTCCAACGCAACCAGGGAGATGATCTCGAGGAAGCTGTGAAGATCCTCAAGAATGTCATTGCGGGCCAGGAGAAGAATACCTCCGCGCAATGGTATGGTGACTATACAGTATATCCAGAGCAACCAACGGTTGGAAGCCCTGCGTACGCCCCCGACGTAAGTGACACTATCTTCCAAATACCCTGAGCGGCATTCTGAAGAAAGAGATAGATCTATAACACTTGGGACCCCAACTGGAGAGGCTTCATTGGGACCGCATTGATTGTCATCTATGAGGAGTTTGGCAAAATTTTGCCTGCAGATGTGAAAGAGCTGGTCATTGAGAGCCTGTACAACAATACAATCGGAGACAGCTATCGCGTTGGCGGCGTCGATGGCGATAACTTATACCCGGCCTATTCCAATGCCTGGTTGATGCGGACTGTGGTGACTTCATGGACTGGCCACTACTTGAAGAATGCCAATATGACAGCTGCGGGAGACAATGATGCCCATGAATTTCTCGAGCTTTTTGATCGCAACCACACTTTATCCGAGTTTAACGGCCCAACCTACGCCGGTGTTTCGCTCTATGCTCTGACTATTGCAGCCAAGTATCTTTCATCGACCACTTCTGTTATTGGGAAGAATGCAGAGAGGGTGATCCAGGATATCTGGGGCTATGAGTCCCAGCTATGGAACCCCAAAATGAGAAATTTTGCCGGTCCATGGGACCGTTCGTACGGCTACGATATGAACAAGTATGTTGGTATCATGTCTCTTTGGGTCTGGTCGCTTGTCGGAAAGGAGTACGTGTGGCATTCAACTTCTCCAATCTGGACTATGGCCCATGCAGACGATTTTGAGATCTCGCCCCTTGTCGCCGTTCTTGCAAATTTCCACAAGAGCCTCGTGCCGAAGTCCTCTCTTGAGAGACTGACCTCTTTCTCCGGCGAGCACACCTATAGTGGACATGCTTACGCTCCTCCAGCGGACTACGAGCCTCGCAATATCACAACATGGCTGTCTGCCGACCTGACAATCGGAACAGATTCCTTCAACCAGAGTGTTGTGGGTGGCTATTCAGAGGACTCGTCGTCCTTCTCCCCTTCAGTCGTGCAGTGGATTCGCTCTGATAAATCAATTGGCTATTTCAACCTATACCCGACTGAAACGGCATTGAAGGCGGAGGTGAGCCCATATGCACTCAACCTGACATATCCTCTGGGAAATTCCACCAGCACATTCACATTTGTCCTTGCCTCCAATCCACTCGGGTCGAAGCGTGATATGTCTGGACTCAGTGATGTCGATGGTCTACAGATTGAGGTAGTCGGTGGAACTGTCAACCCAGTCCCGGAAATTTCTTTCTGTGGACTAGTTGGCGGAACTTGTGATATTATCCAGTAAGTTTGATGGTGTTCTTTTTGGACAAGGGAACTTTGCTAACAACCCCAGTAACTTCGAGTTTTGGAATATAACCTTTGTCATGGACGAAAACAGCTCTGATATTCCGAGCATTCAGTTTGAATTCACTCTCAATTAAGTAAAAATAAATCATCGAATTTAGCTAAGGCCACGTATAATGAAAATGCAGAGAATAAGATACCTAAGATCTAATGATATGCCTTTGGGAAATATGTTCATGAAGAGAATATCAGATAATATTGAGAAATGGTAAAGTAGTTATAGTTCTTCCAAAGGTTGAAAACCAAGTCGCTCCTTGATCGTTGTACGGCCCTATTCGCCGCATTTCTCTTCCAGCCCAACGAATCAAGAGACATAGTAATGGTTTTCATGGAACAGAAACTATATCTCATGTAATGTGATGTACAGTTATTCAAGTTCTCGGAATTGGCGTGACCCCCACACACTTGATCACTGTTTTTCAAAGCACCCGTCAAGCCTTAGTACAAATCCATAACCGAGCAGGCTGCCTAAATTGAATTGAGAAATACGAGTGTATATAATACCAAATTCGATTGCTTCAACCACAGGGTTGCTGCTAGCATTCAGTACAAAGATAAAAGTAGACTGTAAAAGTAGAACTCGCATCAAATATAGGATATGGCTGGTAGGATCCATCGTATCCCAGAAACAATCCACCAATCAACCGAGTCGCCGACGCAAAGGGAACGCAAGGAGAGCTTATGAAATGGAGAAGAAGACAGACAAGGCGGGGGTACAGAGAAAGATATCCTAGAATCCTCTAGGTGGGCTAGGTGAGAATAGCAGTAGTTGACTACGGAGGTGGCCGAGGACCAATAATTTGGCGTCTAGCACCTCCAATGCCGAGTCCTGGACCACCACGGTTTTGGTTGTCACCACCCAAGTAACCATACTGGTGAACATCCCAGGACTGACCCGGTCCTGAGCCAAGTGAGGGATCGCGAACGCCTCGCTCGGCGGCAGCCTGCGTTTGCTTTTGGTTATCTTCCCACTCGCGCTGGCGTTCACGTTCACGCTCCATCTCACGCTCCAAAAGTGACTTTGATGCCCAACCACCCGCACGAGTTTTCTGTTGCGAAGCCACACGGCGCTCATTCTCGGCGTCAATCTCGCCAGTTGAGGTATAATCTTGGGTTCGATGAGCTGATGGAACAGGAGCGACAGGGGCTGGGTTTGAAGAAAGGAACCGGTCAGCGCGGCTCTCTCGGCTGCGGTTGGCAGTGTATGCTACTGGATCGGGAAGAGGCCGGGGAGCTGCAGGGAGATCCCTGGGTGGAAGTGTCGGTTGTGACGCTGAAACAGGTTCAGGAAGTGGGCGAGGGGGTAGAGATGGTGTTGGCTCTTCTGTGGCGGTCTCGGCTTCCTCCTGGGCAGCTGGCATTTCTTGGTTCTTCTGCCATTCTCCACGGAGCATCCTGCGCTCCTGCTCCAGAGAGGACAGGTCGTAGCTCGGCTTGGGAGGGACAGGTATCGGACGTTGGCGGCTGTGGCTGCGAGGCTGAGACTCATTGCCGCTTTTTTGATCCGGGATGCTCTGTCTCTCTGTCTGATACTGGCGTTCCCGCTCTTTGGCTAGCTCAAGCTCTCGCTCTAACTCCTTAATGCGACGACTCTCCGGTGTCTCATCAACGGTTCCAGCTCCACTCGCAGCAGGGATGTTCTGGCTGGACTGGTATTGGCTGAGAAACTGCCCATTGAGGCGAGCATCATTGACACCCTGTCGACGTTGCCGCTCCTTTTCGAGGCGTTCCTCTGCTTCATTCTCCTCAGCCATACGGCGCTGCTCCTCTTCTTCCCACTGACGCTTCTCTGCATCCCATCGCTTTCTCTCCTCTTCCAGTTCCCGAAGCTCTTTCTCCCTGAGGCGATTCGTCTCTTCTTCCCATCGTCGCGCTTCTTCGGCCCTAGCCTGGGCCTCCAACTCCTCTTGTTCACGCTGGCGAGCCCTTTCAATCTCCTCTCTCTCCTCATTCTCCTTGCGAATTCTGTCTTCCTCTTCACGTCTGCGTTTCTCTTTCTCTGCAAGGCTGGGGACTGCAGGACCTGGGGTTGTAATCTGCCGCCGCGCACCAAATGCAATGCCCTGGTTGCCTTGACTAGCTCCACCCATATAGCCGTACTGGTGAATATTCCACGCGGGTGCGGCTGAAGACCCATCCGGTTTCTTGTTCCAGGAGCCCAGAGAGCCTGATGGTTTCGAAGGGCTCCCTGGTCGCCCTGGACCAGAAGGGACCGCATCGCTAGCGTTGCTGGACGCCCGTCCGTTCCGGGGAGTAAAAGTGCCAGGACTAGAAGAGCCTGTGGCATTCGGGCTCACCATCCCACGCTTGCTCTGAGGGCCAACTGTTCGGGGGAATGTGGTGGGCGCAAGAGCATTCGCACGCCGACTGAATGCTGCGAGACATTGGAGCACTTGGGCCGGGTCTTTCGATTCATATAGATCGACGGTCAGAAAGACGTCATGTGGAGGCAGATTCAGGGGCGCCATCTGGCATGCACGGAGGAAATGGGAGATGTTCTCCATCTGTACAAATGGCATCGCAGATGGCTTATACTTGACGCCTGGTGACACAGCCAGATTGACCAGTCTTGTAGACAAGGGGGTTAGTCGAGACTCCAATTTTTATCTACAGCATGAACTCCGCGCAGTCAAGACTCACTTGCATAGGGCGACTCCATCTTTAAGCCCTTCAATAAGATCACTCGACGGTAGTTTCTCCCGTAGCACCTCCTCGATCCAGTCGCGCACCTCGGCGGCTGCCTGCGGGGTATAGCGGGACAGGCGCATATTGCGCAAGTCTTTATCCAAAGAAGTCACGGAAGCCATGGTTGGTTCAGATCATCAATTCAGAATTCGTCGAGAGGATGTTAGGCTTCTGGGCTGGTAGTGTGTGCTTTGCCCCGGGTTGGGTCGGTATCCCTTTGAGGATGTGCCTGATCGGCCCCAACGGTATGGAGTCGAGTCGGGTATCGGAAAAGCAAGTAGTCAAGGGTAATTCAAAAGGCTAGACACGGATTCACCGTGACCAGAAAGCACCAAAAAGTCCCGCGAACCCCGAGAGAGGAAGGTTCAGAGTGAAAGGTGGAAGAGAAGGCGGACTGGAATGCCCGGGGCTGTTTCTTTCGGGTGCGCCGATGACGTTCCTGACGTTCTAGCGCTTTGCCCGCGAACCACTTTTTCTCCACGAACCTCCGCCTCAACTCTGCCTCGCGCGCCCGCACAGCGAAAATGGTCAACAGCCTGTGGTTCAAGTGGAAGAGCCTTCGGCTCCCCTGGCGACGATCGATTCTTGCTGGTTCGTCCTTAATCTTTATTCTCGCTGGCGCTTTCTGCGGTTGGGGGTTCGTCGATCTTGCTGACCATTGAATCACTCCTCAGGCCAGGATCTTACTGGAAACACCTTCTGGCTATTTAAAGACGCGAATACCAGCAGGTATCGACGAATGGTCAAGCCCGACCCCAAAATGCACCACAGCGATCTACAAGTTTCACGTTAGTTATGTTCCCTGTTTGGAGGAGTGGCGTTGGCAACTGCTTCCGGCAGCGCCTCCATCTCAAAAGGATTAGAGATGAAGAAGTTGCTAACTCTCACCGGGCGAATGTACAGCGCAATGGCATCAGTGGCTTCGATATGTCCGTGAAGATCCACCGAGCATCGAGGAACAGCAGCAGGACCTCATCCGCCAAGCACAGATTAAACAACTTGCCCGACTAGCTGATGAACGGTGGGCTAGCAAACCATCCTTCCTCGATAAACCCAAGACGCAACCGCCACTTCCCACCACCGAGACCAGTGATGCTTCTATCAATACTACCTCGCATCCTCCCGCAGACTCCTCGACACCCGCACCGCCCTCTCAGTCCAACCCCGTCTCTGCCGAGCAAACGTCCAAGAAAGAAAAGGATCCGTGGGCAAATGCGAACAGTGGAAATCCAGGAGACAGCTGGCAACCAGATTCATGGACTCCTACCTCTCACCGATGAACGACGATACCCCTCGAAACCAAAAATTGTACTGGGCGTGGTGGGCGAGGTATGAGCCATAAATAAGAAAGCCTTTCTGACTTGTCTTGGTCATACTTGAAACGGCAGCAAAGAGCGGTTAGCCGTCTCAGTCCTGTGGGCCAATAGACGAAATCCTGTCGCGGCCACGGTTGCATGTTGTCTATCTGTTGAAGTCTCGACTTGAACGACATGCGATACGTATCGATTAAAGTTTCCGGAACTGATTGCCCCCCCAAAAAACATGCCTGGAGCCGCTACTCCGTCACATGTTTCCAGAGCCATGTCCAAGACCAGACCTCCCTGTATTATATCCAATGTATTCCATACGACTTTGTCTTCATGCTTCTATTCTAACCTCGAGCAGTATTCTTACTTCTCTGATGTCTTACATGACAATCTTACTGAAACATCAGTTGACTCTATTTGGGTTGCACTAAGGCTCTTTTTGGTATTTTCGTGTTAATATCTTTGACTAATCGATGCATCACAATCGACAAGCAAACATATGGGCTCAAAATAATACTCTCTCCATCTCCACCCTTTTTTCTGGAGTTTCATCACTGTTTCCTTGATTTTTTTGGCGGTTTGACAGATGAACGTGTATCCTGCATGCAATAATGGTGTCTTCATCTTCTTGAAAGTATTGACAACCTCAAAATCAATCCAAATTCAGATGACCCATTTCCATCAAGCTAAAAACAAGGTCGGGCCCTAGCATGCCAAGATAAAAGCGAAAATTTGCAGATGAATAAAGTGATGAGCATGTGAAAAAAGGATCACAAAAGGACAGAGCTTCGGAGTGATATTGTCATAGTCTGTGAGCACGGCAATGGCATGATTGATTTCAAATGTAAACCATGTTCTCGGAAACATTGGGGGACAAACGGGAAACAATATCATCCGGCCCCGGCGCATCCTGGACATTCTGGATATATTGCTTCTCGAAGTAGTAGGCCCGGACATACTTCCGCGCGCGATCCGCAAATCGGTCAGCAAGGAAGGCAGGTGTGCTGTAGCTGATGGAGCGAGTGCAGCGGCCCATCATGTAACAGATGCTATGGGTTAGCTCCTGGAGGCTATCGACGGCGGCGGCACCATCTCGAGCGGTAGCACCGAAGATCTCGTCGTGGATCACAATGTAGTGGGCCGGTCTTGCTGAGCCCTGAAGTGGACTTTGTGCCTGGAGATAGAAGTCCCAATAGATGGGGCGAGTGACACCGCGGTCCACAACCGTTCCATTGATGGGATTTGAAGTCCGATCACAGTCCTGTTGGGCTGTGGGGAAGAATCGCACATTATGGCGTTTGCCACAGACCAGGATAGTGACCCGGGGCGGCTCATTCTTGTAGATGGCCTGGATGGCATCTCTCACCCCTTTCATTTCTTCTGTCAGGACCATCTGGTACTGACCCTCACTGACACCATCACGGTAGATAAGGATGTTCTGCGGCAGCTCCTTGTTGTCCTTCTTCCATCGCTGCAGACGGGCCAGCAGCATCTCTTTCAGGAACTGGACATTCTCCATCCGACGTTGCTGGATCTTTACCTGACCAGGCCATTGTCCAAGGCGACCGTCCACGCTGGCAACAATAGAGGCGATGCTGGGGAATGTGTCTGGATCCGTTGGAGATGGGTGCGTCACATCAAGGCCAACGACAATCGTCTTTCCCGATGACAGCAATGTAGGAGGAGTTTCGAGCACCTGGTTCACACCACCCATGCGGAGATTGATCTTCAAGGAATTGTTGGCCATGTATTGGTCATTTCCAGGAATAAACTTGGAGGCAAGACAACAGTGGTTCAAGATGCCAGCCTTCGTATCGCCAACCCATTTCACGAATTCAAAAACCCGATCCGCACCGTTCGGAAGCAGCACCAGCACCAGCTCAACGCGAAGTTCTTTCATTTTATCGAACATCATGCCAATCTGTGCTGGTTGTTTGGTCTCATTTTGGTTCAGGTCAACGTTGTGGACTGGGAGTATTGGAATAGACATATTAATGCCCAAGTCCTTCGATTTGGCATAAAAGCTCTTCAGTGCATTTTCCACATTTCCTGGAGGATTGATAGGTCTTCCGTCCCTGTCAACTCGGCGAATCAAGACTCCAGTCCACCTGTTGATAGTAGCAGCTGAGCAGAAGCGCTTGTTAATCAAGTTCCATGCACCGAATCGTGGGACCTCCTTTTTCGATCCATATTTCAGACTAGGGGCATTCAGGATGCGTCCGGGAACAACAGTCATCTTTGGGTTAATGTGGATGCCGAGTTTATCCGTGTCTTGCCTGTTGACTCCAATGATATCCAGTCCGTCTTGTGTAATGGACGTATAGTTCTCTGGGGGTCGTCGACAGCTGAACTTGATTATATTCCGACGCTGGGCAGTACCAAGTTCGCCATGGTAGATTTGGCCAGGTAAGATGGTGCAGACATCCAAAGGAAGGTAGGTCGGCCGTTCCGTATTACCGACATTCATCACAGGCTTGTCGCCATATCGCAGCGTCATTTTGTACTCTATGAAAGATTAGCAGAATAAGCGCGGACTTCTTTTTGATAGAGAAAAAGTAAAAGGGTATTGACCTTGTTTGAAGTAGTTGGTGACGCTGATGTAGCGACCCTTTGCCTGTGGCTTGTCCCGATCGTACATATAGAACTCAACGTTATCTGCACAGGATCCAACACGAGGAACACGAGGAGGGTGTTCCCCTCTTCTTCCATCACGAGGAGTTGCCAGGCCCCAGACGACCTTGACACGAGGCTCTTTGCCATCCTTTGTCTCGTGCTTTAAATGGGAGAGCTCGACCCGGATACCTTTGACATACTTGTTGAACATATGACGGTCCTGGCCAAAGACCTTTTCAAATTCATTGACTAGGAATGCCAACGGCCCGGGGCGGTAGAAGGCACCGTGGTTAACATTGACGTTGAGTAAGATGCGACCTGCGGACAAGCGCACACTACCGAAGAAGCCACGGATGCAGTCGAGTCCACCCTCAAGGTACATAGACTGACAACGCTGATCAATCCTGAAGAACTTGTTTCCGCCTTTGCCAATGGTGACTATGCCCGGATCATGGTACGGCGACCTCCCCATCAAGATGTTCAGTGCACGGATAGAGATAGCTTCATCGGGAATCTGGCTTTTCATCGTTGCATCCCGAAGCCCGGTCAAGACCTGATTATGATCAATTATACCATGGAAATTGAAGCTGACTTGATAATTCTTCTTTTCGCCGTTGCCATTCATGTCGACAGAAATTGGCAAGGGTCGTGTATCCTTGATTTCGGCACAGGTAACGAGCTCGCTAACACCATCAGTAGCGGCTTTGACTGCAATAACCTTTTCTTCTTCAAGCAGCTTTTTGAAGATATCTTTGAGATGGCGTTTCGGTTCTGGTTCCGGCTTGATTCCGATGCGATAAGAGTAAAACCGGACATTTTTATCGAAAGCCATCTCGAAGAAGTTGGTACGCAGAATGATCGGGCGTCCCTTGGTGCCATAGCCCGGACGTCGAGCCAATTGACCCTTGGAGGCACAGATGTCCTTGCCTTTACGAATGCATTCTTCCTCGAAGTTCTGGACTCTTGAGTCTGGTTGAGGAGCGCCTTCGAGCATGAGACTATATTCAAATATGTCAACATCATGTTCTGGGGAAAAGAGAAGGACAGGAGAAATTTACCTTGGTCCGGCTGAAGAAGATGGGTGACTGCCACCACCACCGCGTCCACCGCCGCCACGGCCAGTTTGTCCACCTCCTTGGCCGCCGCCACCGCCACGGGGACGACCACCTTGGCTGCCTTGACCTTGAGGAGGGCCGCCTCGTCCGCGTTGTCCACCCTGGGACCGAGATCGATCGGGCAAGTCGCCCCGAAGACCACCCGAGGATCTGTGAGACATTTTGTCTTCAATCGGATCTGGGCTGTAAAGAACAGAGGATGTGATGGAATTGAGGTGTTTCGAAGGAAAGAGGAGGCAATTGGAGGGGGTCGAAGGAGGAGAAGCGGGAAGAGTGCGATGATGGGTTGAGAGAATCTGCACAAGTTCCGGGCTCTACGGAGCCCAGCGTGAGATCCCGAGAAAGAGGGGAGTCGGAGAGAAAATATATGAGGATAGAGATGGAAGAGACAGGGTTAAGGGGTTTGAGGTTCTGAGTGCAGATGTGAAGGTGTTTGTCTGTAGGGCTTGTCAGCAATTGAAGATCTGAACAGTAGCAGAGGATAATGACTGGAGATTTGAGGGAAGAGAACAATATGTTCTCGATCCGGGACAATAGAGTTAGAGAATAAAATGGTTCAGGAAGGAAATGAGTGATGGGTAGAAAAGAACAAATCAGTAGAAATAATATTGAAAAGTTAGGGGTGATGGGACGAGAAAAGGCAGGTAGATAGTATGAGGGCTGGACTAAGAGAAGGGGTGAATAAAGTGCAGGAGATACAGATCATGGGGTAGAGAATTTCACAACATTGATGGGGAAGTCACCAGAAGTAAGGGAATCAGCAAGTATAAATGCAGTTCCGAACAAGGGAAGAATTTCGTAGGCACAGTGAATGAAAGCGGCAAAAGAGATTTGGATATCAAAGGATTGTAACGGAATAGAAGATGCGATATATGGTCATCTCCAACATCAGAGAAGACGGCGGACTTACCTTGATTAGGCCCAAGACAGCCGCACAGCGAGAGTATGTGTATGTGTATGTGAATGTGTGAGGGAATGGATGTGAAGAAGAGCGAAGAAAGGAGAGGAAAGGGAGGCTGTTTCAAGATAGGATCAAAATAGAAGAGTTATCAGATGTTCGACCAGAAAGATTGAGCATCAGCGGGTGTGGCTAAAGGAGGTGAAAGTAGAGGTCAGCTACTCACCAAGTATATATCAAGGTCTAGGGCTGTCAAATATGTTTCAAATATCGATGCAAAGTGATAAGGCTGGTTTCTATTGAGAAGGAAGAAAATCGAGGCTGAGAAAATTCGGATGATATGAGATATTGACAAATGTGTCTAGACATTATATAGAATGATTCTAACATTTTTGGAGTATTGACTTGAAGTCAAAGCTGGGGAGATCAAAGCCAAAATGAAAATGAAGGATCAAACACCGAAGCAACCAGAGCAGATATTCCCATGATATAAAAAAAGTCAAAAACACCGGCTTGAACGTTCAAAGATATCAAAAAAAGGCAAAATAATCAATTAATAGAGAGAAGAGCTCTGCATCAACATAGAACAGCTTCTAAGGCCTCGACGTCACCACCGGCATTGCGTACGGCGAGAAGGGCTGCCTCACTCAATTTTCGGCGTCGATCCCGAGCCTCCTGCTCCCGGCGGGCCTTTGTCTTGGAGCTACCAGAGGGAGCGACACCAGTGAGAATCTTTTGGCTGTCATTGGCAGTGAAATTCACAAACGACACACTGACAGACTTGTTTGAGCCACGTGGGCTAGTGGAGCTCTTTGCCGGCTTGGGGCCAGTCATGCTCTGGCCAGAAAGCTTGCGACTGTGAGTGCGGCGGTGAGTCCCCTTGGCAATACCGTTTCGTGTATCCTTTGGTGAAGTGCCAGCCTTGGGGGACAGTGAGGGGGAGCGAGAGGTGTTGTGGAGGTGAGGAGCAGTGAAGGGCGCGACGAACTTCTGGTTGTTCGTGGAGAGCATGTTGGAGGAGAGAGAGGAGTCGCCAGACATATCAAATGAGGGATCCAGTTGGATCATCAATCCGCCATGCATCATATCCTGGCTTCCGACGCTCTGCATGGAGCGCTGAGGGGCAGGGGAGTTGACCATTGTTTGGTAGTTGGTCTGTTGTTGGGCGACCCGCGAAGGCATGGGTGACCACCATTGAGCATCATGACCTTGAAGATCTGGGGTGAAGGAGAGAGAGGTGCACAGAGCATCTGATTGCCATGAAGAAATGGATTGAGGATCAGAGGAGTGTGAAGAGGAGAAGATGTCATCTGCAGATGGGGGGCTGGAGTTGGTCAAAGCCGACGAGCTGGGATGACTCATGTATTGCTGCTGGTTTCGAGCCAGTGCAGTAGCAGAAGGAGATGGCATGGAGACTGCAGGGGACTGGTGGAAAAGGCGTGCATCATATTGAGGAGGCATCTCTGCCGAATCTCGGGGGTGGTTCAGAGCGGTGGTGTCTGCGGACATGCTTTCATGTTGGATAAGAACGTCTGAGGGCGGGGGAGACAAAGGGAGACGATCATCGGAGCTAGCGAGAGTAAAGTTCTGGATTCTTTGGGCCCAGGCCTCCGGATACGCCATTCTTCCTTTGTGGATAGAAGAGCGCATCAAGCTAGGGGAGGAGCTTTGCTTGCGCAGAAGCGCACGGCGCTCATGCGGATCCCGATGGCGAATAGACTTGGGAGTAACGAGAGCACTTTTGTTCGCTTTGCGCTGAGGGGTAGCCGGGGGAGTAGACGGGGAAGCGGAGGGATGACCGGAGGACAGAGTTTGGGTGATAGTAGGGCGGGAAGAGACCTCGAAGTTATTCAAACCGCGGTCTGAAATAGCAGAGGGGTGGACGGTGTCTTGAAAAGCAACCTGCTCGCTGACGGAGCTGTCCTGCAGGGACCAGTCTTTGGTCCAGGGTTGCGGTGATTGATGATGGCGTTTGGAGGTGGAGACAGTGGGGGAGAGATCGCCACAGTCACTGGATAGGGAGTCCAGCGGGAAGAGCTGGTCGAAGTCGGTGGAGAACGAGGTGTCCTTGCCATCGGCACCCGAAGAATCCATGTTGACGTATTGGTTGAACAAGTCATTGAACGAATGATCGAACGGTTGGGCGAACATCTTGGCTATTGGGTTTCCGTTTGCGGCCACAAACAAGCGGGAGAGCGGAGACTGAGCAATGATTGGGGGATCCGAAAATCCAGAATCGCGAACCACGGACCGCGGCAGAGGTATAGGGTCAGACGGTTCGTTTGAAAAGATGAATAAGATTAGGGCTGAAGGAGATCGGAGATCAATGTAGATCTGCCGGGATGCAAGGCGCAAGGCAAAAGTGCAAACGAGGGCACGGCAGGTTTGGCTGGTTTGATAGCGATTGAAAGCGATTGGAATCCGGGGAACAAAGAGACCCGAGCGAAAGAATGCAAAGGATGCAAAAAGCGAGGGAGTTTGCAATCGATTTGCGACGGAACGACCGTTGGGATATTGGATCGTTTGATAAGAGTTTGTCAATCAACCAAAACAGTGCTGAGCATGCAAAGAAAGCAAAGCAAACAAACAGATGGAAGCAACTATTTGAATGTCCTCGTCCAGCACCAGCCTCGCACTTTTTGCATACATTCCAATGAACCCTCCCAGAGGTGTCAGGAATGTTCTCTGAGGAACCCGGTTGGCTGTCTTGCGGCTCCACGGACCTTCAAAGGACTGCGCTGAACGACAAAGACCAATCATCGAGCCAGGAAGTATAATTGAGCTGCCAGATCTTTCCCTCTCGGGCGCCCACCGTTCCCCAGCGTGGATGTCGATCCGGATAGCCACCTCCGAGAATGCAACCTTCCCGTGCCAAACCCCAAAGCAGCGGCAGACTTTGAATAAGTCGCTGTGGCGGGGGAAGTGGAGAGCCGGTCGGTAGGCATGTCAAATGAACACCTTCCATCTCGATCGACATAGCTCACATGAGAGCCATACGACCTTGAATTGGAGGCCCGGCGAAGATCCTGGGTCGGAACGCTCGCCGAGCCGTCAAGAGGAGGAACCAGCGCCATGAACTAGCCGGCTGAACCACCATTCATCACCCAGCGTCGGGTCTCCCCTCCAGTTCCCCTCTCCGAACCAGTGTATGCGTCATGACCGTAGTTGATCTAATAATCAGCCGCTCAAACAAGGTTGATTAGCGGTACGGTAGGATCTGCGACCACTTGGCGTTCGTACTTTTGTTCTTTCTCCCCGTCCGATCCTTATGGCATTGCGATTCGTGGAAAGTGACCGTTAATACTTTGTCCAATGCCAGGACGTAGAGAACGACTGGAATGTGGGTCAGCATGGTTGAAGGCTGGGAAGAATGTCACAACCCCCCTAACAATGCATCGAGGAGACTGCAGGAGAGAAAATGTCCTATTATTGGACTCCCCAGGTCGCTGAAGTAAGTATAGCGTGTAAATAAAGGCCCGAGGTGCAGACGATCGGCGGCCCCCGTCGCGCCGTTGGACCTTCTCGAACGCGAGACCGTGTTCTAAATTTATCCATCTAGTCAAAGAGATCACTGGCGTATTGTCGGCGATTCTTCTTGAAGCCACATTCAAAAACATCAAAGCCTCAAAGGATGGAAAAGATTGGAAAGGTGAGTGTGGTCTTGCCGAAGAGAGCTCTTCCCAAGCGCAGTCAAGCATGTTGGGAATCCTATAGCCAACTCCCTGTCCAGGGGTAGATTGGCCGTATGGATGAGACTGTTCCCCGGGTATTCTTTATTTGTCAAGGCACCGTTCGCCATTTCCGGTCATCTTAAATTGACGAGTCCGTGATTCACCGAGGCCCTGGGGGTTGAATATGTCGTCGTTGAGGCTTAGATGCGGGCTGGCGCCTGCGCCTTGTCCCGCCAAAGAACGGGCAAAATAGCGTGAATGAAATAAGTCAAAGGGCCATACGCCCCTCTGACTCCTGTAGATGCCCTTTTTGGATGGATTAGGTGTCGGTGTTCTCGGAGACACTTCCATGTATCGAAAGCGTAGAAAGACAGGGGGGTTTCCAGCACAACGAGTTGGAACCAGTTACAGGACAGATTACTCTGCTACTGCGCATATAGAGCTGCAGCACAAAGGGGGAGACCAAGAACAACAACAGGCTCCAGACAGAATAATGAATGAGCTGTTGTCCGTACTGCGTGAGTGTCAGATAGGCTCCGAGAGCAAGTCACGCCGAATTGAAAAAAGCATGGTGTGGCTATTGCCAATGAATTTTGTAAGGCGGGACCCTGAGTCGGGGGCCTCACATCTTTAGCCCGGGTTTTGATGCCTGATGGGCTTAGGATTAGGCTTTTGGGTAGAGGCCTTCATGGTTTTGGAAAGACCAATGTGTCTGGGGCTTTCGAGACTATTATCGGATAGATTCTAAACACTGGTCGTCCTGCCCAGTTGGTTGGCAGCGCTTAGGGCTGTCGGCAACCAGCTTAGTCAGGAATGACGGTGCCACCGATGGAGTCCTTTCTGGCTTCGCCTTCGCCCTCGCCTTTCGCCCTTCGCCCTTCGTCCTGTGACCCCATATTTATTTTCACCTGCACCCCTCTTTTCCTCTCTGTTGACCCCTATTTGAACTGTATCCCACCTTCCTCGTCTTGCCTCCGACTCGTCGCTGTCTGGTTGCCGACGACGCCGACATCCGACGTGGAGGCAGCCTGGTGACTCAACTCGGCAATTCCCTCTGAACCGCCCGTGACCCCGCGGAACGTGGGTGTTCATATCCTCGGATCGTCGCAACTCCTCTTCTCCCTTCGACCTTCCTCTCATCACCACACTTGACCAACAACCCGACCGTTAGTTCACTGGCGACCTCCTGAACTTGCCCCTTTTCGCACTCGGGCATTCCACTGCCGTTTTCATCGCGTCGCGAGAATACCACGCACACGCCGACGCCTCCTTTCTCGCCTCGCTCTCATCTCTCAACTCTCACTCGATCCCGCCTAGGCACTTATCGCCTCCCCGCATACTCTCTCCTGATAACCGTTTTGTTTTCTTGCGACGGTGCCCGTGATTTGACTGACGACGAGACTCTTTTGAACGACCCTCTCTGGATTCAACCTGCAGAAAAGGATCTCACACAACCTGAATGATAACCAACAACGTCCAATATATACTCATCATGTACTGCCTGAACCTTCTTGTCGGGGCCATCCCCGTCGACTTCCCTTAAGCGATCACACGATTCCCGTGTGCCTCACCATGGACTTCTTTCCGTGCCTTGGAGGCTTTTGTCGCCACTCCAACCTGATTATCTTGATCTTCAACTGAACAACCACAAAACCCCATCTCCCACCACGAAACTTGGCCCCTGCCAAGCTCGACAATTGTCAGAAATATTCGTGGTACTCCAATATCTGTTATTCAAACTTTGAAATCCTTGGCTCTGATGGAGCCCGTGGAGAACCCGATGCCAGTCATGGCCAGCCATGCCACCCATCGAGAATCGTGGGATTCTCTTTCTTCCACCTTCGCCAACCTCGAGGTTTCCTTCTCGCAAGACAGCTGCTACGGCTCCGACGAAGTCTCCGTCTCTTCCAACAATCCAGCCCCGCTCCCATCTAGTATCGACACCTGTACTACCAAACACGAGAGTTCATCCTTGCATCCCATCTTGAAATCGATCCTGAAAAACTCAAACGCCGATTACCACCACGACACTGAATCTGAATCCGGTTACGGATCGGACGATATTGAGTTTGACTATGATGCCTTCTCCGACGAGGACGATGACGACGACCTGTCTGATTTCTCTGTCTGGGAAGACACTCCAGAAAATGTCCCCGAGACGCGAGAGGATCGTACCGATACTTTCGACGACTCATTTATCGGCTTCGAGCCCTCAGTCCAGTTTGATCCCATCGTCCAATTTATCGACACTCCTGATCACTCTGAAGCAGAGGACGAGCCCGAGAGAGCTGAAATGACGTGTCACGAGATGATGCTGCTGTCACTTCAGTCCGGTGGTTCGCCCGCCTCTTCGATTCAATCCGATGTGGATGACATTTCGGACGATGAGGGTGACCACCATCACAAAGAATTTATCCGAAACTGCACCACTTACCCTGAGGATTTTACTCATGACGCAGTGGATGTGGACCGTCAACTCTTTGTCGCGTACATGAATGGCATTCACGGAATTGCTGATGCCAAATACAAAACTTATCTCCACGCCCAAGCCGACAACATCAGAATGGGCCACGAAATTGAGTCCATGCATCCGGATGATGCACCTTGCATGTACCTCGACCTGATCCAATCCCACGTCATCGGGGTGTTCCGGAATCTCCTCTGCGTGGATGAACTGAACGAGTTGATCGGGCTGCGTAAGGAAGAGATGACCGTCGCACAGGCTGAGACCAACTCTGCTGTCCTGAATCAGAATCATCACCATATTCTGCTCGATAAGGTGGAGCACCTTCTCCTTGACCGTCTCACCAATGGACGCGTTGACATGTATCCCGACGAGCTGAGTTTCTTTGCCGGTGGCGTTGTGCATGCCCTCGGCACACAGGACCTTCCTGCGCCGACCTAGACTCTCACTGCTCTGGGAATCTTGGCACAAAAACTATAGAAATCAAGCTACGACGTTACGATTATGAGAAAAAATTAACTGGGTACTTTCGGATTCGCCATGACACTGGCGATGGGGGTTTACTACTTGCTATTACCCCGACGGTTCACAACAACCGGGAAAAAAACTGAAAAATCAGGCAATCGGGCTCCAAACAGCCCTGCCGGCGGCAATGAAGCCTGCCTAAGCCTGGGAGGCTTCTGGTCATGTATCTTGCCTAGCTAGCATTTGATATTCCAATGGATTGTTTCAAACTTCAAACTTCTTGTCTTCCGGCTTTCGTTTGGCCAAAGTAATCCATTGTAGCCCATCTCCTCCACCGATCCATCCAGTGCGACCATCAAACGCCATATGCCTGGACTACGGCGTCTCATCTCCGTCTCGCTCCACCTGCAGTATGCGGAACACACTAACTCGACTAGGAATCCCCCTGTCCCGACAACCTGCGTACCTTCTAGAAGCAGGGAACCCGTTGAATGACATGGCCCTACCTCTCACCAGACATGTCCACGCTTACCGATGGGCGATGAAAAAAGGCCCTCGTGCCCGAGGTCTAGAATCTACGCCCACGGGGGCCCCAAGGGGCCCCGGCCTCAAGCCTAAACGGGGAAGCGACAGCCACGACGTGTTTCAGGATTCACACCCTCTTTTTCTCCCGCTTCCTTCTCGACGGCACGGACACTAGTCCTTCCAATACGCTACTCTGACACTTCCGTATAGAGCCTATTGCATCCGCGTCTCGTTTCCCGTCCGTACTTTCTTCGTACAAAGCGTGTGGAGTCCTTGCCACGCGGAATGATGGCCCGTCTCCGGGGGGTGCCCTCATCCCAGGCTCCGTCGACCAGGACGGCACTAGCAGACCGTTAGCCGTCGGAGAATTCATGCATGGTTTCCTTCCTGATGCGGCAGGGATGTGTGCTTAGTGGACATGGATGAGAGGTAAGCCCTGACCTATGTTTTGCTGAGCTAGGCTGCGTGGTTTGATATGTGTCCAGGTCTCGGGGTTTCGGCTGGACTTTGCTCGTGTCGGATCCTGATATGATCTCCTCTTACATGACTCTGATCCGTAGTTGTAGTGTCATAGTTCATCCATCCTACGCGACCAACCTCGTGATAGTCTGGTGGTATCTCTAGACAGTGTGGAAGAGGATCTACAAAGGTTCGGAATACAAGGAGCGGGAACAAGCGGAGAACAGTTCATCCAGCCTATCACCCATTGGATGGATAGTTCAACAGCGACGGTCTTTATCGCTGGAGAAAGGAGGGGAAGGAGGAGAACTGTCATGGAGAATATGTCCAATAGCCCGGTGGGGAGTGGAGTTCTGCACGAAGATTGGCAACCCTCAACTCCATCGCATTGCCCGTAGTGGCGCACGGCTGCACACTGTTGCCACAAGTGAATTATGCGAATTCTATGTATTGCTCGGAGTCCGTCTGTATACTGTATAGACTCTCGCGCCATCGACGCCCCGGCACTCCAGGGCCTTCGGAGGACAGCGGCACACGGGCACAGCCAAGTCCCGCGCCTGCGTTGCGCATGCAGGGCTTCCGCCGTGTAACTCCCGGTGCTCGTTTTAGTTTTGTTGGCCGAACACGCAGGACAGGTTGACAAGTCATGTCGGACAAGTTCGACCAGGAGAACTGGTATTCCATCGCCGTTGACCGTGTCGATCGCAACGGCCAGGCGCACAGACAGAAGCGAAAATGCAAAAGTCATAAGTCCTCAGCCGTTCGCGCGCGATGCGGTGTAGACTGCGCCCGCAAGACGAGCCTTCTCGCTTGTCCAGTCGGAGCCGTCGGTTCTGGTCGTTTGCGAGCTTCGAGGTTTCTCTATGCGCCTGTGCTAGCACCGAAGTATATCAATCATCACCAGTGCTGGCTCCATGCGGACTTGGACAGTATTGAAGGATCACCGGATGGAGCATTTCATGTCTGTCCTCCCCGCCCTTAGCCTAAACGTAGCCTGGACTGCCCCTCCCAGGGGAAGTCTGGGAAGTCTGGGAAGCGCCGTCTTGGCTTTTACGTCGTGTGGAGCACCCCTGGCAAGAATCAGAGAGGATAAGTGACAAGCCGGACCGGAGTGGACCCCATAATCCACACGCTATCACGACCTAGAGGGATCCTTATTTCCCTGGCCCCCCTCGGTACGGAGTCGTCACGCTTCGGAGAAGACAATACAGAGTATTAGCACCCTAAACAGGGTCATGGGCGGGGCATCCCAGTGCAGACTTCAATAGAGCCGGGGGTTGGGAAGGCGATCGTCGAAATAGGAAGGACTCGACAATAAGCGGCGACCAAACGCGCTGTGAGGTATAGGGTCTCTATTTTGAAGCGCCGAACGGAGCATGAAATGGATCGACTTTCGGCATGCGAGGACCTGGATGCAACGAGATTATTGCGCGGGCGACTACTGTCCTGGCTGCGCCGCATCCTTGTCTTTCACGAGAGATTTCGCTCCCATACTGCGTCCCTTTAGACTTTCGCATCTGCTAGTGCCCTATAAGCTTACGTGCTGCATGCCTTTGGGAGGGGTCGTGCAGGGGCACCGCTGGGATGGGGCATTGTAGACAAATTCCGGGGACCAATAGGCCGCGCGCCAGGACAATAGAATGTATGCACTGTGATGGAATATGATATATCGCAACCGAAGTCGTGCGACGCTCAGTCGGGGCCCTCATATCACAGCAGCACCGCACATCCGAAGGTCATGCCCGGGGGAGGGGTGATTTGGATTTTCGCTGAGATGTGAGGAGTCTCCATTGGTCTGGACCGGGTCTGCAGCGGCGACGACAATGGGAGTCCAAAAGCAAAAAAAAAAAAAAAAAAACGACGGGCGATCTCGGTGTGATACTAGTTGCAGGCGGACTCGCAGGTGAGAAAAAGAAATAGAGCTTTCCCCGGGAGTTTCAACGTACAGAGTACATGAATACATGATCATCGGACGTGATACGTACGAAAACGGGATGGAGAGCACAAGACGCACCTGCACGAGGCCTTCAAGGCAACCTGTCTCGAGTCCTCGAGGCCAAGCACACGACGGAGCAGGGTGAGAATGCTCCAAGTGCGACTTATTCTCCATTATTAGCTGGCATTTGCCTTATTCTCAGGGGCAACGCCTGATTGACCGCTCATTATAGTTTCGGAGCAGAGGCGGGTTCCACTTGCGATGTCAGGGAGAACATCATTGTTTGACCGGGTTGATAGAAGTGTGGAGTAAATGCAGTACAAGACTTCTTACAGGTGTTACACAGAAAATGATGGGATTGGAATGCATTATCTCGCAGGTCGGGGGTCCTCTCCACGAGCTTGACTTGATATGGATGATTACAGTCAAGGAGGCACTCTCCACCCGCTCTATGCACGGGTATTTTGTTTGCATCTGTACGTCCTCGGACGGCCAAGAAAGATGACATAGTCGGAAGGCTCACTTTCCCCCAAGCATTTGTGGATGGAGCCCACCCAGACCAGCCTCCGTTTTGGGACCTCTGGGACCTTCGGTTCTCCCGAAATTCTACCTGCCGTGGGGCGTGGGGAGTTGATTCGGCCCATAGTTATGCTCTGGGGTGTGCGGCCTTGGAACATGCACGCTGTCGTGATTGGAGGCTCCGACAGACGCGATCGTGAGCGATCGTTGGTGCAGGAGGGAACACCGTCAGGTACCTGCGGAGTACAATACCTCCCGTGCACCACTCAGATATAGCCATCCTGCTGGACCAGGATTGGGTCTCAAGCCAGGTACCACGGATGATTCGTCACATGGGGACAAGTCCGAGCCGTCATTTGGCCGAAGTCGCTTGGGAAGGAGCAGGTGGTGCGCCAACAAGCACCAAAGCATTGTTCAGTGCCTAGCTGGCTGGGGTATCCAACGAATTCTCAATTAGTGCCTAGTATCACTGTCACGGCAGGAGGTGTCGGATGAGAGACCAGAAATTGAGGCTCCTAAAAGAATGCTCATTGCGGACCATCCGACCGACCGCGTGCTTCATCCGCACATTCTTGCGCCTTGACCGACGGGGAGGAACAGAACCATTGTCGACCGCCCCCAGGAATGCATCTGATTGGGGGCCAACGGGGCGGGCGCGCCACCGGTTCTAATCGGCGCCTTTGCCTCGTGGGTAACCCCGTCGGGGGTTCCATGGAACGAGGGGCGAGAGCTGAGGAACGTGGTGCGGCCGACTCGTGCAGTGGGACGGCAAATGGTCTCTGACCTACGGATCGGACCAGGGGCAACACGAAGGAAACCGTGACGCTCGTGAGCCTAAGAAAGATAACCCTTCATCATGGAAAACCTGTCCACTGATGTGCCCTGGGGAGCCAGAGACTCCACCACCGGGCACCGAGAGCCAGAGTTAAGAATCAATGGCGTGGACAGGGGATGCCGCCCTGGGGCGAGTAGAAGGCATGGAAGCCACGATCGAAGGGGGCGCGGAACCGAGAGCAGCAAATGCCCCCGAATTCAAATCATTGAAATCAATCTGAAATGGCCCAGGGGGGTGGAGACGGGGGTGGTTTCAGTGGCAGATGGGCTGGGTTGGGAACAGAAAACCAATAATGCCTCCTGAATGGGCAAGGCGCGAAAGACTAACCGTCGTGCGGGCTCCGCCTGGGCTCCAGATCCGTGGCGTGGCGGATGCTTGGTGAAGGGCTGATTGGCCATTCCAATCACCGCGTGGAGGCCGGTGGGGTCCGGTAGCGCACTCTCGGGGCCCGTCGATCGTAGCCGGCGGGTTTGCTGTTTTTTTGTACCCCTGGTTTCTTCATCGCGATAGGACCAGCATGTCTGGTTGCACCCTAGGAGGGCGGGGGACACTGGATGGAGATGCTCGGGATCAGGGACGATGGTGTGATGGTGTGATGGGGTGATGGGGTGAGGTTGAAGTTGGGAAAATGAGAGACCATGAGGAATGACGAGCACAAAACGAGGTCGGGCACCTCGTGCGCTGCACTCCGCCAAATTCCAATTGGGATGCGCTTTGAAACCTTTCCTATTCATCATGCAGGAAAAACCAAGCACAATCATTTGTCAGGACGCCGCGGTAGGAACGACGGACACGAGATGGAGGAGATCGACAGTATGCAATGTAATTACAAAAAAGTCCAGACAATAATCATCAATGCGAAATAGAGTCCCCGACTCCATAAATTATTCGTCGTCCACCCCCCAAAGCCGCTCGAAGGGGCTCCACCCGTCTCGGAGGATCGTGAAGATAATTCAATCAGCACCTCCTGACCCTCCTGACCCTCCTGACTCTCTTTCTTCCCTTCTCCAACCCCTCACCCCTTCGACACCCCGGGGTAATTCTACAGTATTATGAGCAACGGCTGGATGGCATAAGCACTGGTCCATACGGGTAAGTGGGAGTTTCTCTCTTGCTTTTGCTTTTGCCATTTTTTTTGAACCCGCGATTCGGACAGCCGGAGTGACGTTGTCTGGCCTGCATGGACTGTCGTACAAGCAGCCTCTCTCCCTGACTCTACCTCCTTCACACGTATGATTTTGCTACGCCGACGGGGAAATTGCGCGGGTGAAGGAGGAAGAAACAGAGCCGGACGAAACAGGCCCCCAATACTCGCATGCCAATGTCAGCTTCCACGACAGGAGAATGTGTCAGGCTGACCTTACGCCGTGGGAGTACAGGATGATTTAGAGATTTGATTCCGACCCAGTCCCGCTTCTCACCTTTGTCTGATCGAGGGTGCACCCCAGAGCCCCCGAACCGGCAAGGCTCGCTGGTAGCAACTGAACAAACCCCAAAGACCGAGGTAGGAGGTCAAACGAGAGAAGACAAGCGGACAAAGCCCCCTCCCTCCGACCCCCGAGGACCTCCCTTCAAAGAGACACCAGGGGACCAGGGTCCCCGTGACGCCCGCCCATCATGCAATCATACAAAGGATCCGATTTCCTGGACGCCGGGACCTTGTCCCGCTCGCGCAGCACCAGTCTCTCGAGCACCAGTCTCTTGAGCGACTCGCAAAACCCCCGAGTCAATCTCATGTCGCCGCCGTCGGTTCGCCCGCCGCCAGGCTTCATCTCTTCTTCCGCTGCCTCCGAGATCATCACCTCCGACCAAGAATTCAACGCCGCCGACTTCGTCGCCGAGAATGAAGAGACAGGCGCTGGCGCAAATGCGCTCGTGACGCCTGCTGCGCTCTCACTCCTCAATGGCTTCCTTGACAATCTGTTATTTAATATCCTAGCCGCCTCTAAATCCACCCAACTCGCTTGTATCCGACCGGCCTTGGCGGACGTGCTGAAGCCTCGCCTCGCCTCGGAGGTCGTCGCAACCGCCGACGAGGAATTGAGCGAGTACATGGGGGGAGCCGAGGATGAGCAGACCGAGTTTCGCGGTGGCCAGGAGCCAGGTGGGGATTTCGATTTGATTCGTTCCTGGAAATTGACCCGGCTCCGCTGTATGGTCTATACGCGGTTGGGTGATATGGAGGAGGAAGATGAGGACGAATACATAGCCCAGGAGGGTCTGGGCGAGAGCGACGGTGCACCACGCAGGTTCTCCAGTCATGTAGACAACATCACGCCCGCAGCAGCGATTTTCCTGACCTCGATTATTGAACACATTGGCGAACGTGCTCTCGTCATCGCCGGCGAAACCGCACGCTCCCGCTTATCCGCGAAGCTAAATGACGGCCAGCAAGATGATGCCGAATCGGATGAGGATCGCAAACGGATTGACCGACTAGTAGTGGAGGATCTTGATATGGAAAAGCTAGCCCTCAATGCGACCCTCGGGCGGCTGTGGCGCACGTGGAGAAAACGCAGACGCAACACGACTCTCTCGCGAACTCTATCGCGGGAATCTTTCCGCCGCCGTGGCTTCTCTCTGGCGAATAGCCGCAAGAGCAGCATCGCGACTATCGAAGAGCCCGTTACCCCCCAGGACCCTCTGCCTGAAGAACTCCCCGTTCAGGTGGACCCGACCACTGTGCCTTTGCCTATGACCGATTATGATGTGCAGGAAATCGAGGTGCCCGGGTTTTCGCCCGAGTTGGAGGGCGAAGTCCAGACGATGGAGGCTATTGTAGCCCTCAAGGTGCGACCGCGCAGCTTGATGGTGTTTTCTTCACCATCCCTCGTACCCAGGTCCCCCGGTTCGAGCAACGGATCCCCGGTAAGCGCCGGAGCCATTGACAACAAGACCCTTGGCCATGCTCGCTCGAGATCTTTGCCAAATTCGCCGGCTAGATCATCGCGTGAGGTGCAGCAGCAACAAGCAGCACCCGCCACAGCCGATCAACCTTCCCCGAGTGGCTCGGAGAAGAAACAGCTGGAAACCATGTACGAAGATGACGAATCCGCGGAATTTGTGGATGCTGCTGAGTCTGCCCCTAGCGTTGAGGTCATCACGTCGCACGAAGGTAGCGAACAGCCTGTGGTGGAATCTGCAGAGAAGGAAAGAATATCTGTTGTGCAGGAGGAAGAAGAGCAGTCGGGTCCATCCGTTGGGGAAACTGTGTTATCCTTGCGGTCCAGTCTCGATGAAGAAGACGGAGCAAGTGATCGGTCGCATAGTCCTTGCGTATCGGTCGCCTCCATGGCTGATCAGCCCTCCAAGGATCCTGAAGTGATCGAAGGGCGAGGGATGTGTGAGAAGCCCAAATTGACATCGACCATTCAAAGACCCAAACGGAAGTCCAGTAGGGACCCTGCAGTGTTTAATGCAAAGCCGATCATTGCAGCAACTAGTGAGCCCGACATGCAGCCTGTCGTGGAGAAGCCGCCAGCCACGCAAGGGGCTGCATCCACGCCCGCACAACCCGCCGCCACAATCGAAGCTATCGAGTCTCTTCGCGGCGATGATGATGTTACTGATGGCGACCTGAATAAATCGACCATGTCTTCAACGCCTGCATCTGCCCCTTCTACTGATGTGGTGATGCCCGAGAATTCTCAACAACCCATCGTTGACGCATCGGCCGTACAGCAACCAACTGTCGAAGATCCTCCAGTAGACAAAGAAGTTATCGAATCGCCTACAGTCCAAGAGCCGGTCATTCAAGAACCTGCAGTACAGGAAACGACTACTCAGGAACTTCCAGCTCAGGAGCCAGTCGTCCCAGAGCCTAAAGTACAGGAGCTTGCCGTCCAAGAGCCCACAGTAGCGCCAGACTCTCCTCGCCCAGCATCGGCAACAGATAGCGAGCACTCGCACCGGTCTCGCCGTCACAGACCGAGCCCGTTGGTAGTTACACCCAACAATCGCAGCTCTGCAGGAGTCGAGCGAGCAGCCGTTCAGCGCATGCCTGCACGCCCAACAAATTCGGTCGCGTCTACAGTGCCAATCAAATCCCGCCGGTCTGAGAGCTTCGGTAGTGCTCGCGACAAGCGTCCAGTCACCGCTGGGTCTACTACATCGCAGGTGTCCAGCAAACTGAAAGGTCTCATGACTCGCCCACAGGCTGAGTCCCCTACACTTCGGCTGCGCAGTTCATCCGACACAAGCCGGGCGTCTGGCAGTGCTGATTCCTTGGAAAACGACACCACGGACCTGGACAAGTTGATCAATAGTGACGAGACTATTCATTTCACATTGACGCCGCGCAGTGTGAGAGAGATGACTTTCCCCGATTTGCCTCGCCCAATTCCTCGCTCCGATACGGCCAACACCTCGGATCTTGCTGAGTTTATCAAGAATACTGGTCCGCCCGGAGACGAACGCCGTGAACGAACGTCTATGTCTTCTTTGAAGCCCACTGGTGAAGCGAGCCCCATTAGCAAGTCAATTGAATCACCCAAGCACATTCCCATCTCTTCGCGAATGACCATATCGCCATCAAGGTCGTCGATTGGTGCTCAGGCGCGGGATGCTCGCTCAACAGCTGGCTCGACCCGTGAGTTGGCCGACTTTATGAAGTCAACTGGCCCTAATGGCGTGCCTGTCCATCAACCTAATTCTCCTTCTGAGTCGACACGGCCGCCTCGTCCTCCATCAAGCTTCTCCACCCGCACCAACAATACAACTCGTTCGAACCCCAACCGCCCGCGCCTACAGGCTCGTTCCGCTGAAACCAAGGGCTCTCAAACCTCGGAATTAATTGATTTCATCCGCGAAGGGCCACCGCAGCCTGGTGCGCATCGTATCCCTCGCACTGTGGCGCCATTCCGCAACACCATTGATTCGGACGATCTTCAATTTGATACTATTCAACACGAGAAGAGTCATACTACCCAAAGCTCGCTGGCCAGCACTCGCGATGGGTCTACGCCAAACAAGTCGCTGACTTCCCTTGGCTCTCGGACTGGCCTATTAGATTCATCAGCTCGCCAGCCCAAGGCTACGCCGTCTTCTAGTACAAAAATGCAGGACGGCCCTCAGCCCGTCCGAAAGCAGTGTCGGGTTCCGGATCCATATGCCATTGACGACGATGACGATGATCTGCTCGAGGAACTCATCAACGCCAAGCCTCAGCGCGAGGAAGAAAGTTTGATTGACTTCTTACGGAGTGCTCCTCCACCAGATTTTGAACAGACCCCTCAACCATCAAGTGCCAGAGTGATTCCTTCGTCTGGCATGAAATCCCGACTCATCCGTAGCTCCACTGCCGACAAGTCCCCTTCATCCAAGATGTCAATCAGTTCCCTTCGCTCTCAGAGCACCCTCAACACACAATCAAATTACTCCTACAAGGTCGGCATGGAGCGCAATCCAGGCACTATCCCATCTGCCACACACCGGCAAACCGATACCAGCGCGCTGGCTGAGTTTCTCCGCAACACTGGTCCCCCAGAGGCACCAGTAACCCGTGCAGCCCCCAGCCCGAAGGTGAAAGAAAGTACCTTCTCGCGCTTCTTTGTGCGCCGGAAGAAGGTCGAGGCCTAAGCTCATGCCTTTCCCGACTCTTCTTTTGTCTCTCCCAATTACTCCTACCTCTGTTCTATACTTTGAGCGTTTTCAAGCCCATCTAACGATCCACATCTATCATGTCCATCGTTCCAATCTTCTCGTCTTTTCTCGTCCTTCTATTTCGTCTTTCTGTTTTCCATTCTCCCATGAATGTTTCTTTTTATAGAGCTTTGATGCCCTGCACTTTTTGTTTCCAGTGTTTACTTGGTGGCTACGGCCCGGTGGCTCTCTATTTTCTTACCTCATCCCGTTCTTGATGTGCACTGCTTTCTCTCGACGTTTCCTTCTGTGGATGTGATACTCTCTACTGGACTGAACGACTAATCTGGACCTCTCCTTTTTCTTCTCTCTTTTTTTTACGCATGGGTTTGACTTGGATGTCCTTGGATTTCTTTTGTGAATTTTGCGAGATACCATGTTTTCAAGTTTGTGCTAGTATCTAAAATCCTCGACGATCGGGAATCAATTCTTTCTCAACTGTATCGATTTGTTAAAATATGTATTGCGAGTGTAGTTAATTCAATGTCAGCCCTCATTATGGACATTTAAGATATTTTCCATATAGCATTGAACTCCTCGTAATGGATCATGCCCTTTATCTTGGTTGCGGTAGATGCTAGTCCTAAATAGGTATTTTGATGCCTTAAGGCATAAATTGTTGATCCCGCCGAGTCCCCTTACCAGGTGGCATCAACAGCTCTCCTGTTTACCAACTGCACCAGTCCCCCTACACCATGGGCTCCTCTCCATTCACCATGAGGTCTATCCTTGCAGTCTTTCTGCTCGTGGTGCAGCTCGCGTCTGCTCTGAAATTCGACCTAGCTGCCACCTCGGGCAAGAACGAGCGATGCATTCGCAACTTCGTGTCCAAGGACCAGCTGGTCGTGGTGACTGCCATTGTCAGCGGCCAGAAGGGTGATGGCCAAAAGGTCAACATGCATGTAAGCATTCTGCTTTCTGGAGAATAATAGACCTCAATGCAGCGGTGTTCTGCGTCGCCTGAGGCGTTGGTCTGGTCGATGTGTGAACATGCGATGGACTGACGTTTTATCTCTTTGGAATTACAGATCAAGGACTCCATGGGCAACGACCATGGTCGACCAAAGGATATTGTTGGCGAGGTTCGTCAGGCGTTCACTTCGACTGCGGACACCGCGTTCGATGTCTGCATCGAAAACCAGCTTTCTGGTCGTAGTAAGTTCCCCAGCTACCGGCCAACACCCTCTTTCAATTATCGGTCGCCATCTCCTAGGCCTCTTATTGACCCCATTGATCAATAGGCTCCTCGTCAAACCCCTCCCGTGAGATCGAATTGGATGTTGAGATAGGCGCCGATGCTCGCGACTGGTCTAGCATCCAGGTTCAGGAAAAGCTTAAGCCCGTCGAGACCGACCTCCGCCGCATCGAGGAGATGGTTGCTGATATCGTGACTGAGATGGAGTACCTGCGTGCACGAGAGCAGCGCCTGCGCGACACTAACGAGAGCACCAACGAGCGCGTGAAGTGGTTTGCATTCGGCACGATGGGCATGCTGATGGGGCTGGGAGCGTGGCAGGTTGTCTACCTGCGGGCTTACTTCCGCTCCAAGCATCTGATCTAGAATGGATATGATATGCTTCGTTAACTTGAGACAGTGGTTGCATGCATTTTGGACGGTTTTCTTTTTTCCCTGTTGTCTCTTATTTTCCTATTCCAGCTCTCTTGGATCTCAGCAGCGCTGCATGGGGAGTTAGCTGTGCTGTTTTGGATGTGCCCTCCTGTCTTACAGTTTGCTGTCCCAATACTGATGACCTCAATGATATAAAATACATGCCCCAGAGGTTTTAATTTTTCCAATAGTTGGTCATACTTAGTGGGCTGGATATGCAATTCAAGCCGGTGTTCCGAAGACTAGTTACTTAAAGCACAACATAACTTACTGGAGAAGGTCCAGTCATTGACAGGAGAGAATCATAAATCCAGTACATATTCTCGGAATTGATTTAGACCGAAACACAGACCATTCTCTTCAACTTTCATTCCGTGCCAATAACGACCCGAAGCCGCTGTGTAATTGTCGATGGCTCAGCCCCCCAGCCCTGTCCGGGTGTAGGTCCACTGGATCTTCGGACCCGCAAACAATGCAAACATCGGGAATTGCAGGCCCCGGCCGGCCCGCGGCAGCGTACCTTTTTCGGGTCGATACTCCAGATGATGTCAAGTCGACATTACTTTGCACGTTAATCAAGACTACACCATCCGGTGACCCAGGATTTGAGCACCAAGTTTCCAGTGAACAGAGTCATCACAATGTCTGCTCCACAGCTCATCCGGTGCTGCCTCCGGCCGACGCGGCAATCTTTCAGCGTCTCGGCAATCTCGCGCTCGTTCGGCACGACGCCCCTGCGCTTCAAGGTCCCGGAGGGCGCATACCCCGGGAAAATCGAGCATTTCACCGGCGGTCGGCAGGAGCAGGAGGGCGCACAGAAGCCCGAGCTGGAGGTGGGAGAGATGGAGGGCATTAAATTCAAAGTTGAGCCTTTGAAGAGAGTCGGAGAGGATGCTACGACAATGAGAGCGCGCCTACTTTGTTCGTCCCTCCGTCTAACCATCGCAACTTGCCTCGATGCAACGCATTTCCGGTTCCTCCGAAGCTAACAATGACCATTACAATAGACCAGAGTCGCAAGCGCGGAATCCTCGAGTCCGACCTCCTTCTGTCAACCTTTGCCGACGTCTATCTGGGAACTATGACCCATGAGCAGTTGCAGGAGTACGACCGTTTCCTGGACGAGAATGACTGGGACATTTACTACTGGGCCACGCAAGACCCGCCAACTGAAGTTGACCAGACCGCAGCTCCCAAGGAGGATACTGTGACAGAGACCTGGAAGAACACCGGCGCGAAGAGTGGCGAGTGGGCACAAACTATCGGTGCATTCAGGGCTGCATACAGGCCGGTACCGACGCGGTGGAATGACTCTGAGGTGCTGCGTTTGCTGAGAGAGCATGTTCGCGATAAGAGCGCGACCGGCTTTGAGTCGGCAAAGAACAAGAGGACTGGCGGTGGAGGACTGGGTCGCATGCCGAATGTGCAGGTCTTCAACTAGAATATCTGGTTTGGATATCCTTGCTGTGTTAGTCTTCGTTTGTACTATATGAGGTGATTGGTCATTGTTGATGGTGATGTTATTATTGTACTGTAAGGATGGCAATGAAATAGACATGCCCAAGTCCCATGCATAGATTAATCTCAAGTTCTAGTGTAGATCAATCAACAGATCAATCAACAGGAAAGAGATGCGCAAGCATGATTGAGGTGTAAAGCCAACTTCCTGGATAATATTCGGTCTGATGATTCTGATGATGAGGATATTTTCAAATCGGATTACCGAGCCAATTTTCCACTTAGTCCATTTTATTTTTGCGGTCATTATAGACATTCATAGACCCTGTTGCTTGACCCGGAAGTATACAAACTTGGACTCCGCCGCCCCGTCACATGACCTTCGCTTATGGTTAGGGCACGGCGGAACCACACAAGGCGACAGCCAACCGGGTTAGGGCTTTGGCGGGCACGCAGCGAGTCTCCTTCCTCTGCGATTTTATCTCCCCAGCGTCAACGACCTACTCCGCCCATCCTCTCTCCTTCATCGTCTCACTCCCATCATGGCTGAGCAGCTGGTTCTTCGCGGCACCCTTGAGGGCCACAATGGCTGGGTTACCTGCCTGGCGACCTCCCTGGAGAAGTAAGGCCAACGCCTCCGAATTTTCGCAATGATATCTATTCTGACTTTTGTTGCCGCCTTTAGCCCCAACATGCTGCTGTCGGGCTCTCGCGACAAGACCCTGATCATCTGGAACCTCACCCGCGATGAGCAGGCTTACGGCTACCCCAAGCGCAGCCTGGAGGGCCACTCCCACATCGTCTCTGACTGTGTATGTCATCACCACTTTAACCCCCCTCCTTTTGAGCGCACCAGCAGACAAGGAAGGATTCCATTCGACAGAGGAAGGACAATGGTTTCCGAGATCTGGACTCTGGAATTTGCGACGAATTCGGAAAATATGCGACAATGGAAGCCTTTTCGCTGACCAATGGTCTTTGGATGTTATAGGTGATCTCCTCCGACGGTGCTTACGCTCTGTCCTCCTCCTGGGACAAGTCCCTCCGCCTGTGGGAGCTGTCTTCCGGCAACACCACCCGCACCTTCGTCGGCCACAACAACGATGTCCTCTCCGTCTCGTTCTCCGCCGACAACCGCCAGATCGTCTCCGGCTCCCGTGACCGCACCATCAAGCTGTGGAACACCCTGGGCGACTGCAAGTACACCATCACCGACAAGGGCCACACCGAGTGGGTTTCCTGCGTGCGCTTCAGCCCCAACCCCCAGAACCCCGTCATTGTCTCCGCTGGCTGGGACAAGCTCGTCAAGGTACGCCCCTTTTTCCTATCGATTTTTCGAAACCCCCCGCAGCTTTCCCACCTTGTTCCCACATGATGTTTGCATATTTTACGTATTTGCTACTTCAGAGCCCTCCACGGCTATGAGACAATCTTCACCAATTGCCTGATGGAAAATTCAATACCCTTTGTGGTATTGATTTGAGGAGGACAAGGAAAAAAATTTTCCAATTGACTTCACACATCGAGTTGAAATCAAGTTCCAGTTGGCGCTGACAATTTCTTCACGATATAGGTTTGGGAGCTCGCTTCCTGCCGCCTGCAGACCGACCACATCGGTCACACCGGCTACATCAACACCGTCACCATCTCCCCCGATGGATCCCTCTGCGCCTCCGGTGGCAAGGATGGTACCACCATGCTCTGGGACCTGAACGAGTCCAAGCACCTCTACTCTCTCCACGCCGGTGATGAGATCCACGCCCTTGTCTTCTCCCCCAACCGCTACTGGCTGTGCGCTGCCACCAGCAGCTCCATCACCATCTTCGACCTCGAGAAGAAGAGCAAGGTTGATGAGCTCAAGCCCGAGTACGTTGAGAAGGGCAAGAAGAGCCGTGAGCCCGAGTGTGTCTCTCTGGCCTGGTCTGCCGATGGCCAGACTCTGTTCGCTGGTTACACCGACAACAAGATCCGTGCCTGGGGTGTTATGTCGCGGGCATAGATGAGTGTTGTTGATGTGTGAGCGTATGCGGTGGAGGAAGGAGGCCTCTTTTTGATCTTATCGCCACGGGAATCAAAAAAAAGTTCAAAACCAGAACAAGAAGGGCATTGGTTTGGTTTGGGATGTATGAGCCACGAGCAACGAAGCACTTTCGTGACCGGAGGGGATTCCCCGATCCGAGAGGTTTTCTGTCATGCCTAGCTTACTCGATTCGCCATTAAAATCGAATGTCTGGAATCTTGTGAAGGCATGTGATGTTCTAATACCACACAAGGCATCAAAACTGTTTCCTTTTTTTTGTTAAATTCACCCTCGTTGTTTCGCGTAATTTGGGTGTCATCCAATGTAGAGGCCGGCCGTACGTACAATGTAGATTGGTTTATGTGGAGGACGTACGTTGACGCTTTCTTCATTCATAGATCATCCTTTGACCCTCGGTATGCATGATAGAGATATCTACACAATTGGCTATTCTTTCAACCCCTGGTTTTGCCAGTATCAGCAACCCTGTTTATTGGATGGACTTTCCGAAATGTTTATTTCCTTGTATATAAAAGTTGATTCTCTAAAATCATAATGTACATCATGTGCACAAACCCGTGCACAAAAAGCAGACTTATTTCCTAAGTCTCTTCAAAGCCGCGTCGGCCATCGAGACCCCATCTTCGTAGCCAAGTCCCTTCGCCAGTGATTTGGCCTCGGTATATCTTTGCAAAGCCACGTCAGGTTTATTCTGTAGCTCTGCAATCTCACCCAGGTTATAGGTGGCTGCAACGCATGTTATGTCGCACTCGTCGTCACGCACAGGCGGTTGGATGCGAGCTGCGACATCAAGAGACTTCTGCGCCCACTGCCGTGCAGCCTCGACGGTCTGCTCACGAGAGATTGGCTGCTTCTCCTGTGGTCGAGCTTTAACTGGCGACTGCACCTGGCCAGCCATAGTGCTGGCAACACTGTTCAGCAGCACAACCTGCTTGCAGGACGGCGAATCCCCTTCGACCCCACGAATCATATCCAGTGCCCGGAGATACAGAGGCATAGCAAGCTCGTGACGCTCTTTCGCGCTATAGGTGTCTGCGAGCTCCGCCAGCGCAGTGGCAATCTCAGTCATATTCAACCATGAGTTGTCAGACCCATCGCCTGTAGCCGCACTTCCTACGGAGAGACCCAGCTTCTGCCGGCGGTGCATCTCCTTCAGGCAAAGCTCTACGGCAGCAACCTGCGCCGCCTCTGCCTTCTTCTCGTCCTGAATATACTCGCTCGAGTACAGCTCGCCGAGCTTCATCTCCATGCCAACAACTTTCTTCAGCGTCCGATCACGCTGGCGCGCCTCAAACTCCTGCATCTCCTTCATCTCCTTCTCCGCATCCTGGAGCGCGCCCTCGTCAATCTGCACATTCTCCGGCGCAATCTTGGCCTGTGCAAGGACCTTCTCTGTCTTTGACTTGTCAACCGGGGCAGACTCCGATTCTCGACCTTCCTCGACCCAGCTCAGCGCCTCATTCTTTGTTCGCTCCAGCACCTCGATCGCGGGCTTCACCAGCCCGGCCTTTTCCAGCATCATAGCCACTTGCAACTTGATTCCTAGAACCTCGTCTGAAAACGGGTGCATACCCATCTCCACAGCGATCCGCAACGCCTCTTTGTAAGCCTTCAACGCCTTGGGTGGATTGAGGTCAATCTCGGTGTAGTACACTGCCGTGCGCAGAGAGTCCGCCACCGGCTGCGGGAACTTGTGATATTGTGGCTGGACACGAGTGACTTCCACATACGAGATATATGCGAAGATAGCAAGACCGCCGACGACTGAGAAGATGGCCAGCGGCAGGAGAACCGGGTTCTTGCGGAAGATGCCCTTGGAGGCTTCGCGGTATTTCAGGCGCACTTTCTGGGCGATGGTAAGGTATCTGGGGTGAGGAAGATGCGAGTGCGAAAACCGAGTGGCATTGTTATATCTCGGGCGTAGGATTGGTTGTGTGGTGTTGTTGCATATTGATCGGGTCAAGGAACTGCGCTGTGCGGTTGTGAATTTTGAGGCATAGACGCTTGCGCCTCGCGATGTTGCGCGGAACATTGAGAAGTTACGTTGCTGATTCAACTTCAGGTAGTTTATTTTATTATGCAATTTCTGACAGCAGTCCCTCAATTGAGGTGTGGGAGCAATGTCTGCAGCGGAGGGGGTTCAAAGTTGAGATGGGATGGGAATGGGATGAAGCCCGCACTCCGTTTTTCTCTTGGCCCAAGCTTTCCGTCTCCGCCAAATGACGTCGACCTTCTTCTGCTACCTAGCGATGCTTCAACAAGGTCACTATTTTCAACATAACCAGTATGTGAAATTCAAAATAGCCACAGTATTCCACCAATACAGTTCATAATGTGTGGGCGCTATGCTCTGGGCGTGGTAGGTTCCACCTTTGGCTTCCTTGGCTACATTTTGTACTGACGAGCCCCAGCGCATGGCGTATATCCGCCAGCAGTTTCAAGACAGAGGCATGCAAGTGGACGAAGCACCAGAAGACGATGAAGTTCGGGAGACATACAACTTTCCCCCAGGAAGTTTCGGTGCTGTCTATCGAGCCGACGTCCCTGATCATGATCATTCTGGCTCGGCACAAGAAACCGAACAGGAAAACCGAAACCACGGACAGAAAACCCAGCAGAAAACAAATGAAGGGCAATTAAATGATAATTCTGATATCATTGGCCCAACTTACAAGCTTCAGAGCATGAAATGGGGACTGGTTCCCTTCTGGACTAAGCGACAGCCAGACTATGGCTCTATGATGCGTACGATAAATTGTCGAGATGATTCCCTGGCCGATGACCGTGGTATGTGGACAACCATGAAAAAGCGCAAGCGATGCATTGTTATCTGCCAAGGCTTTTATGAATGGCAGAAGAAAGGACCAGGAGGGAAGGAGAAAGTACCTCATTTCGTCCGGCGGAAAGACGGTGATTTGATGTGCTTTGCCGGGCTATGGGATTGTGTCAAATACGAAGGTGAGTGACAAACCGGTCTTTTTGCCTTCTTCGTAGCGCGATTAACTTAACATGGGATTTGTGCATAGATGCTGAAGAGAAGCTCTACACATACACGGTCATCACAACCTCCTCGAGCTCATCTCTGAGCTTCCTACATGACCGAATGCCTGTTATCATGGATTATGGAAGCAAGGAGATGATGACATGGCTGGATCCTAATCGAAAAACCTGGTCAAAAGAACTGCAGGCTATCCTTCAGCCTTATGAAGGCGAGCTTGACTGCTACCCGGTCTCGAAGGAGGTTGGCAAAGTGGGAAATAATTCACCCGACTTTATCATTCCTGTCAACAGCAAAGAGAACAAGAATAACATCGCCAACTTCTTCTCCAACGCGAAAGCAAATGAGAAGATCACAGCCTCCGCGCCCGTAAAGAAGGAATCTGGGTCTCAAGGGACCAAGATTGAGCATAAGGGTGAGAAAAGTATGGCTGATCATGGCATAAAGCGAGAATACTCTCCAGAAAGCGTGACAGTTGCGGAAGAAGTCAAAAAGCAAAAGGCATATCAACCTTCGGTCACGCCTTCGCCTCAAAAATCCAAGATGCGCAGTTCGCTCCGCAATACCCCCCTGAAGAAACCGAAAGGGGCGAAGCCATCCGATGGATCAAAACGAATAACAAGTTTTTTTACTAAAAAATAAGTGAGAATTAATGGTCTATTTAAATCTATTTAAATCAAGTTATGATTCAACGGCTCTTGGGGGTTTTGGTTTTCTTGTAGGTAGAGTCCAACATCTATATATATTTGGCTCTGCGACGGCCCAAACACTTAGTTTAGACTACCCATAGATATCACCGGCCTCAATTTTAACTACGATGTCACCTTTTTGATAAATCCATGGCTAATTGACGAGCACGTTATGACTAAGGTATATATGTTTTGGATGTGAATACACTATTATACATGAGAGGATATGATGGACTTTAATATCAACCCTGCTTTTCGAGTTCTCGGAGTCTTTTTACAAGTTTGTCTCTGAGAAATGGACTCAAACCCAATCTAAATCTCATGTCAGTAAAACCAAGATACAAGCCGTGGGATATTCAATTCCGCAAGAACATACATTCCATTCCGAGTAACCAGTCTGTATGTGCCTGTTTCAAAATTAGGTCTACTTTGATCACAGAATTACACAACGGCGTAGGCAAAGAGATCTTACCACTGGGAGAATAACGTCCATCGCCCCCGACAAATTGACCATTTCCGTCAACTTCGAGGCTTCCAAATATGTCTTCCGGCCTGCTCATCATCAGTTGTGCTTCCAATATAGCATAGACCGAGGGCCATACCAAGCAATTCTTCCAAAGTCAGGAGGCCGCCTGTTATCTGAGATATGAATCCAGCCACCTCTACCAGCGGATCCAACACCACCTTGACCACTAGCTCCACTAATGTCGGTACGACGTTTCTTCCCCCGCTGCTGAGCGGTCATCAGGACACCGCCCGAGTAAAGATTCGCCCCAGATGTGGAGATCATGACCTGTGCCTGGGATTGTGCCTCTGGGTCTTCATGTGCATGCTTGGCAAAGACATCCTGGAGAATATCGAGGAACTTGGCGTTCTCCGTGAGCGAGTCTGGAGTTGGCGGCAGTTTGCTGGAAACACCAATGGCGAGATTGGGGTTTACTGGCTCCGAGGGAAGAAGTGAGAGAATATGCGATCCACTTATCCCATGATTAGGGAATACATACTGTCACAAAATGAGCATGAGATTGGATTGTACTGGTACTGTTCACAGGTATCACATACTATGTGAGGGTTTCCCTCTAGTGTGGAGACAGGACGGATCTGGGTCCATCTGGGAATAGCTAGAGCCCGTTGACCAATTGATCTGGTTGCAAACATTGTTAATTTTTCCTCGGAAAATCGCAAAATTACGCCCAGGTTGATTGTGAAGTCAAACTCCTGCAGCTCCAATCGAAGCAACATTCTGTCATCGTGCAGATCAAGGCGGCCGCGAAGGCGGTGAGGAGCAACCACCCTCGGTCAAGATCACGTGTGGTCCTTTGTTGTCGAACTGCACTTAAAAGGCAGCTTTGCGCCTGTCGATTGCAAGTGTCGGCGACGGTGTGTTTGAATGAGGAGACGATCGATTTGTTATGAATCTCGATCAGCGCATCTAATTGACAGTCCTTGCATAGAGTTCCCGCCGGGCCCGCCGAGATATCACATCCATCGACACATCCCAAGGCACCAAAGGTCAACAGCATATTTCGATTCTTACGACCCAAGTCACTGGGGACGTTCAAGACTAAGAACCTATTCATGACTTCTGCTTCTCTGACTTCTTGAAATTCTTTCTGAGCCATGGCGACACCATCGGCCAAACCAGGCACAACGCCAACCCATCTCACTTCTCCGCACCCATCCTCTGCGGCTCTGTCGCGTTCTATTACCCACAAATCGCCGTCAATGAAGACGCCAACGGCCTCAGGACCTGGTCATACAAACCAAATTAGCGCTTCCTCACACCAGTATGCTACGCCTCTCGCCGTAACGGGAGTGGTCGACGACCCTGTCAATTTCAGCTCTCCATCCGCACTCCTCGCACTTGGTGGATACGCCGCTATTAGCCCCTCCCCCGCGGTCCATGACGGCTTAGTTGGACCGGGCATGAACGAGAATGTCATTCAGAACCTGGGGATACAGGGCCTGAAGCTTGGGGTTGGACGGGACGGCGACGAGGAACAAAAACACAGAATCGAGCAAGTCATTCATTGCTTGCGCTCGCGTGTTGCTGGAAGAGGTGTATCTCGGGAGGGAGTCGAACGGCTTAGCCGGCTGGAGGGCTTCGAGTCTATCTGGCAAGATAACGACATCAATATTGCTGGTAACTTTGTCGACCTCGAGATCGAATTCCATGCCGGATACCATGCCGTCAAAGATGTCAGCTTACGATACGCGACGCCAGAGTATACGGAAGGCGAGCGACGAGAAGAGGCTACTGCAGTCCTGAAACGGAACCTGGTTCAGTCGCCGGAAGATGCCGAGCACGGAAAATGGATTCCCTTGAAAGCGTTCCATGAGAACTTGCACTGGCTTGCTAAACTGGACAAGCTTAGTCAAGAGGTGAATTGTTTCGAAGCATTGGAGGGCCTCGAAGAAAACCTCAAACGTATTTGGATGGAAGAAGGCAAAAATGGGAAACATGGTGGTGAATACGAGCATCTTTGTTCCGGCATCATTGGTCGTCCCAGCATGCACAAGGGCGCTCGTATCGGACTGGGATTGGAATACTGGGTTGAAAGGGCCAAGGTTCTCGATGCTAAACAGGAGACCAAATTAACCCACGCGATGGCAATCGATAGACCACAAGGCGAAGATGAGAATGGTGCAGACAGCCAACAAAAGACATGGACCGTCATGATTGAGTGTGAAGAAGGTTACCCGTCTCTCCGAATTTCAAAAGAATGGGTGGGAAGTGAGGTTTTCTCAGCTGATCACAACGGCCAAACCATATCTTCGAACGCAGTGGAATCTATCAACTGGTTGGAGCCCCCTCAAACTATGCGACTATCTCATGGTAACCACCCCGACCCCATGGCTCTCGACTCTAGCATGCTAGAGTCGTCACCTCCTAATCGGAGATTCGTGGCCAAGATTGATCCCCCACTGGACGTTCCCATTTTGGCAGCCTCTGAGATCTACCGACTCCTTGGAATGCAGCTACCCCAGGAGTTTAAGATGCTCACATATGATGGGTTGCTGGTCTCCGATGGATCATATTCTGCACTAGAATCTTCGCCACAGCCTAGTCGTAGGAAACGCAGGGTGTCCGTGAGCGCGTTTGATGTGACTGGCACACCCTGCACAAGCCACCACAACTACACTTTCCAGGCCTTCGAGTCCGTTGCAGGTCGTACTATTCGTGACATCCCCTTCTCCCACCCGCGACAGCTAGCTGACATCATCCCGGTAAGCATATTCCATTTGCTGATTTCACAATAAGTACTAATCGGCATTAGGTTTTACGCCAATATGCGTTGTTGACAAGCTTGATTCGAACTATCTTCCATTTCTCTACAGATCCCAAGGCCAATGGCGAGAAAGAACGTAAGCAGGAGTCTTTGAAAGACACCTCTTTGGTTCCTACAGACCAAGAACCATGGGATTTTACCGGCAAAGACGGCATCATGATTCTCAGCAATGACGACCCCAATGAAGAAAAGCTGAACCTCCTCCTTCACAATGGCCTCCCTAGCCCCCTTTCGGCCGGGTCTTCGAAGCATGGGATCTCCTTTTTGTCTGACGACAATGGCCAGAGCCCGATGTTCATGGATGAGGTCAAAGTGGACGTGACACTACGTACCCAGCTCGGACAGGCACCAGCTCTGATGCTACTCATTACGGATCCTGGCGAAAGCGGAACCGCAGGAAATTTTGTGCGTGATCCAGTGCAGATCTCAATCTGTTTCGAGATCGGCTTGAACGGCCGGATTTCTGTGGTCGACTCGACCGGGCTCATGAGGGAGGAATGCGGTGATGGCGCAGACCTGCAGATGCAAGGGACAGATAGCTCCAATCCGAAGCTGCAGGATATCCACAAGAAGGTCGCCCGGACCCTTGAGATCTCGCAGGACCTGGGGATCCTGGTGGAGTGGGTCCTGCGCTGGCAGCGGCAGCGGGCCGGCAGCGGGTGAGGCTGATCAGCCGGGGATTTATGAGACTCAAGGGTGTCTAATCCCGGATACTTCACTCGTGCTTCCCCAGAGGATGTTCTGTTCGAGCCATCTATGGCGTTGAATTCAGACACATTGCATTGGCCGTTGAGATTTGCTATCAATGACTGCCGATTCAGACCGGCGCTATTGCTATCGCGTCATTCTGGCTCGCCATCAACAATGCACGCAAACCTCAGCGCAGAGACTAAAACAAGTGCCAACCGATTTCTGTAGGCCCGAAAACGATTTGTTTCTTCTCGGTTGTCGCGAGATTTATAGTCATGACAACTACGAGGCATGTGTCCAAGAGACCGCTGATGTGACGGGTTAGCAACTGGCTGGCATCAGATCATCATCGTCTGTGCCGATCCTACCCTCCTCCCCTCCTCCCCTCGAAAGTCTTCTGCGATGACAGTTTGTATCTCTGCTCCTACGATTTCGCTTCGGGCACAGAGTCACAGGTGCCAGATATATCTGAGCCATTTCTAGAAGCTATGAATAAATGGTAGCTATAGCGGGCCCACGGCCGCCTATTGCAGGCTCTACTCCATACTCTACCCCAGGACAATCCTATTTCTCATGACGTATGATCAAACTCTCCGATCGTCTCCTCGGATTAAACTATCCAATTACTCTATAGATCTTCCCAAATAGTAAAGGCCATACTTGCCCCCGAGGTGAACGGGCATCATACCCGCATCATCGCTCAGCCTGTCGGTCAGATAAACCTTCACGTGAGTGCGGGGGAGAGGGGAACCAGCACTGTGACGGATTTTCCTGCTGACTCAGAAATTATGGCGTTTTACAATTACGGGACAGGTTGACATGTGACCTGAGCGCTTTTGTATTTCTGGCTTTCAACCAGTCAGATTGATTTCCGCCTTAGCATCCATCCAGACTGCAATATTACTATTTGATTCGTTCTCCAAGTACCACGACCCACTGAGCAGAATCTGTATTCTGCTGTATGTATTGCAGAGTGACAATACCTCTTGACCTACAGACCGGTCTGTAGGTCACATTTTGGTGACCGACGCAGGGGGTTTGGCTGAGCCAGGATCGATTTTCTCGGGCCTCTTGCTCACCTCGTCAGAGTACAGTCGGTTCCCCGACGATTCGGGGGTAGAACCGCGATAAACTGTACTGTCTGAAGGAGGTTGAAGGGCGTATGTCATCGAGTTCGGCCACTCTCAGAAGCATTGGAGCATATCAAAGTGTCGATAACGTCAAAACTACATCACCAACTAAATCCAGCCAATCTGTTCCACAAGGAAAGCTGTCATCCCATCAGGCATCGCACTTGAAAATCGAATCGTCGGTGTCTGCGCGGAAGAGACAAAGGATCTCATCAGTCTCGAGAAGCCAGTCATCGCCGAGCCTCCGGCAGTCCACCGCGAATCAGGGCCGTGATTCAGTGCTGAACGCACGGAAGGCGCCTGTTTTGGGCCAGAGAGGTAGAGCGAACACTGTTGCGGACCAGGTTGTTAAGAAATTCGCGCCAGATTCCACCCTTACGGGTCAGGATCGATTTTCCTGCAAGAATTCCGCGAAAAAGAGTGGTTCGAAGAACGTGAAAGAAAATATCCCGTTTCAACAACCTTCTACATCTTCTCTTCCTACAACTCCATCAAATTTCACTCATTCATCGCCAACTGAATCGTTATCTGGTTTTCAAAAGCCAATTCACCTTGCTATTATGTCGTCGTCAAGTGCACCAACGTTTTCGGGAGAAGTGGGAGAGTCTTTCGAACTCTACGAAACGGATTGCACTATGCATTGGATGGGCAGGGGGCTGAATGCTGAGGAATTGAATCTGGCCCGTGCCACATCTTTGCGAACCGGCCTACGGGGAATCGCACGACGATTTGCAGCGACACTGCCAATTGAAGTTCAGAAAGATTTTGTCAAATTGTCCCAAGAAATGAACCGCCAATTTCCATGGGTCCAGGTGCAGCAAGACCGATTGGCGCCAATAAGAAAATTAGCATCATTGAAGCAGGGAACTCGATCATTTCGGGAGTATGTTGATGAAGCATACAGGTTGCGAGCTGAGGTACCAGTTGAAGACGGCGAGCGGCTGGCCTTGTCTTGGGTTGAGGGGTTAAACAACCAAAATGTTTTGATGATTATGCGCAGCTTCATACAAGATAGGGGCGCAAGCCATCGATTTTCCCTTGACGAAATGGTTACTAAAGCCAGATCACTCCTGCATGAGGGGATTCCTGAGCAACCCGACCAGGAAACGGATACGGAAAAGATTACGAGGGCGCTCATGAGAATTGCTGATGGCTTCGACAAAGGTGCACGCATTAGCGTGACATCGACTCCGCCAACGCAGAGAACAGCACGCGACCGTACTATGGACCAGGATCGGCGCGATGGAGCACCGACTGGTAGCCGCCAAGCTCTGCCGGGACCAGAGCGCAATCTAATCTGTTTCCGCTGTGGCAAGGAAGGCCATCGGTCATCGGCATGCACACAGACACCGTTACCTCTTGAAGAGCAAAACCGAATTCGGAACGCGGCATGGGGTCGTCAAAATCCGACTCGGGAACAGCGGATGAGGGATCCTCCATTGTCCCAAACGCTGGGAGGAGAGCGTGTCACTGAAATCCCTACAGCAGCCGCAGCTTTAGAGCCTGAAGATGGTCCGCAAGGACATTACATCAGTTATTTTTCTACTGATCTTCCGCTGTCAACAGAAACTGGGCAATCAGATACCTATCCCCCTATGAATACTGTCGGAATTGACGAGTGGGGAGGCGCTACTCAAAGTGTTTACACTGTGGAAATGACAGACGAAATGCGGGCGGTTCGAAGCCAAATGGACCAGCTTTATGCAGCGGGACACAAGAGAATGCGGGGCGAAGATGACCCGGCACCAAATGAATCAGACAGAGACAGGGGAGCGCAGCCTGGACCGTCGATGTTTCGACGAAAAGCTAGACCCACGGATGAAGACGACCAGCCTCATGGACTGATCCAAGGCCTGATTGGACCCCGTATAAATGTGAAAGATCTGGTCAATCAAGTCAAGGTGACATTGTCTTTTGCTCAGCTCTGCGATGTCTCTCCGTATGTTCGTGAAAGAGTGGTGGAAAGCCTTCAACCCTGGGAAGCTGAGCATGGCGGACATTCCTCCAAGGGAAAAGAACCTATGGTTACGGTCCCGATTAATGCTGTAGGCGGAGCTATGATGCCGACTCGCATTCTACAGAGAGTGGCTTCAACAGACGTGCATTTGCCAGTCGAAGAAAAGAAGCTTAAGACTGAGAACCTTGATATGCGAGCCTCCCGGCTATTCTTTGCGCAGGCTGTCATTCTGGCCCGCTGCGAGGATAGCAAGCTCAGGATGAGCAAATTGAAATCATGTCTGATTGATGGAGGCGCTTCAGCAAACCTCATTTCAAGCAAAGTCGTTAAGACCTTGGGAGTCTCACAGATCCCGGTCCATAACGGTGCAATCGAAATGGCTGATGGGAGTATTTCCCATATCCACGCACTGGTATGGGTACAGGTGGCAGTGGCAGGAGCTCATCGAGTTGTTATGGCCCTGGTTGCACCAGGAGATACAAACTATCACATGATCCTTGGACGGCGATGGATGCAAGGTGTGGGAATGGTTGGCACCTATCTCGATGGTCGCTACAGTCTGATCAATGATGATGGAATCCGAACCGAGGTGTTACGGTCCAGGGATGTTCGCCCAGACATGGCACAGAAGAAGGAAATGCCGAAACCCATTTGGACAAAAGTCGACCCCGTGGAAGATCCCGAAGAAATGAACAGTGCAGTAAAGATGAGAGGCTCTCATACCGGCAGACCACAATCCTGTGCCGTCAGAACGGATGAGGATGAATACTTATTCAAGGGAATGGACTTTGATACTGATGAGGATGGAAGCAATTTCATCGGTACAGTCTCCCCCATTTCGGATGAGACTCTATCTGCAGAGTCACAAGAAGGGATGTCGGGAAACTGAGGAAGAAGGCTCCGGGACCCCCAGTCCCAACGGGAGCAAAAGGAGATGGCAAGCTGGGGGGAACATGCGACTCGATGATGAACCAACAATATTATCTCGAGGAAAAAGAAAACTCAGTATCAGGATATCCGTGTGACAAGCCGCGAAGGCGAGATCACCCATCATTATCTCCAAGATTAATATCACCGACAATGCAGACGTCATCATTATACAACCTCTTTCTGACATTCGATAATAACCCATATTTACGGACCAAGTTGACCGCCACTATCCATAAAGGTGGAGAGGATATTGTTGAGAAAGAAGTCCAAGATCATGGACTATTGGGATTCCCGACTGAAGACCGGCCGAGGAATCATATGCGGGCAATTTCTCCTGACTACATTGCTGCACGAAAATGGCTTGAAGGGAATCGGCAGTTAGTAGGGAATTTGCTGACTGAAGAAATGGAAGAGTGGGGACTTGCGGTCCGGGTTCTCTATACCTGGAGGGACCTGTTCGTCACTGATGTGCGAGATATGCCACCAACAAACTTTGTGGTCCACAGAATTCCGACTTATCCTGAAACTGTCCCGCGACCCCCTCGTCTGTATCGATACACACCTGAGGAGATAGCATGGCAGCATGAAAACCTTCCTAAGTTGGCCGAAGCAGGCATTATTGAGCGGTGCACGTCATCATGGTCATGCAAAACCAAGTTTGTGAGGAAGAGTGACTATGTCATAGGATCTCGGCCAAGTCTAAGGATGGTCCACCAATATATTCAACTCAACCAAGCAACTGTGAAGTTCAACTACCCAATGAAAAGAATTGAACCCATCATCAATATGGCAGGATTGCGGAAGTGGAAGGTCTTTTTCAAGGCAGATGCGGCCAATGGATACTGGGCGGTGCCTCTTGCCAGGGAGCATGCCTATAAGACTGCTTTCAATTGCATGTACGGTCAATACTGTTATTTGAGAATGGGTCAAGGTTTGACTGGGGCACCGGGCACATATGCGAGACTCAAAGATATTGTGACTGGGCCAATTCCCGAACCTGGATCTGAACCACGGCTGGAAGATGGGGACGATGGATTTGCTTCGTTTCAAGATGATGATCTGGGTGCATCGACGTCCTTACGGGCCATGATCAATTTTCTGCACCAGCGATATTTTCCTCGACTTGCCTGGGCGAAATTGACATTGAATCCGCGCAAGACGGCATTTTTCGTTGACCGGACCAAGATTCTTGGCCATGAGTGTTCAATTACTGGAATTCGACCATCTGCGGATAAAATTGCGGCAATTGCGAACTGGACCAGGCCCGTAAACGAGCCCGAGTTGATGCGGTTTATTTATGTGCTTCCATTCCTTCGCACATACATCCCCGGCCGTACGGACCTTGTTCGGATTCTGAAGAGTGCAGTCATATCTGTGGGAAAGGGTCAAAACCGGAGAGTGATTGACTTCCAATGGGGCAGAGACCAAGAGCGGGCATTTCAGCGTATCAAGTACCATATTGCTCGAGTGAAACTCACGGGAGGCGATCCAACGATCCAATATCACCTTGCCACGGATGCATCAGGACAAGGCTTGGGCGGCGTGTTGTTCCAAATCGCTGACGTTCCTGTCGGAACCCGAGCATCGCGGGAGACATCTTCAAAGGAACAGACAGTCATGTATATGTCCTACGCTCTTACAGATCCAGAGACTCGTTATCATACGACAGAGAAAGAAGCCCTGGCAGTCCTCAAGTGCTTGGAAGAATGTCGGTGGTTAGTTCAAGGAGTTGAGCATCCGGTGATCTTGTACACCGATCATTTGGCGCTGAAAACCGTGTTTGGATCTACTTCAGATGCGACTGGCCGAGTGGCGAGGTGGCTTATGAGAATCCAGGAGTATGACCTGGATATTCAGCATGTCAAGGGATCAACCCAAGTGGTAGCGGATGGTTTGTCTCGGCTGCCAACCTGGAGAGCACCCGATACTGGAGATGAGGACCCATTTTCCTTACCAGCTCTGACCCTCAGAATGCGACCGGAGAATTCCCTGGAGCTTCAGTGGAAAGCCTTCCCTGTCCTGCAAGAGATGGATCGTGGCCTCTTCCGCAGATATGAGGAAGATGAATGGTGGGGAGAAGTTGTGGACAAACTCCTGCGAGGGGATACGGACCAGGTTGCAAAATATCATCTTGTTTGTCTCGATGGCGTGGGCATCCTTATGTACCATGAGCGTCGAGGCCAATATGCGCGTTGTGTTCAAAAGTGGGAACTCCGAAATGTTTTACAAGAACTACATGATATCTGTGGGCATTTTGCAACCCGAATCACACTGGGCCGAGCTGTGGGCAAATATTTTTGGCCGACGAGGTATGAGGATATTCGAGCTTACTGCCGGAGTTGTCACAGTTGCCAACTCATTGGCCCGAACCTTCCGGCAGAACGACCCCATGCAATCGCAATATCGGAACCCATGCAATTATTCTTCATCGATTACCTAGGACCGTTCACACCAGTCTCAGACAATGGTTTCAAATATATTCTCATCGGAGGGGAATACATGAGTCGGTACACGATCGCAATGCCAACGATGGAAGCCAAAGCAATAACGACATGGCACTTCATGTGTGATCATGTGGCAAGTTTCTTGGGGTGGCCAGCAATCATTTATTCCGACAATGGTGACCATTTTACTGGATTTCAATTTGCGGGCCAGCTTGGGCAGTTTGGGGTGAAGCATATCCCTGCACCGGTCCGGGCTCCATGGAGTGTCGGAATGGCTGAGCGTCTCGTCAAGATGATGCTGAATATCATGAGGGCAGAATCAGCTGGAGATGTCCAAATCATCAGGAAATGGGATGAGTTTGTGGGACAAGCTGCTCAGGCTATCAACACAAGGAAATCCGGCGTTTATGGGTACAGTCCCGCTGAGATACTGCTCGGGTTCAATCCGCATTGTTTTGGACAACGTCATACAGAGAACGATTTGTTGCGTCAAGCCCTAGAGTCGGACATTACGGAACGGGGTGACCCTGTTCCACAGGACCTCCATCAAGCAATGGATATTCATTCTGAGACCCTCCATGCTACCCGAGCGAAGATCAAGAAAATGCTCGAACAGCGCCATGAGAAGGGTCAGGAAGAGGGCAATAGACGATATTTCCGGGTTGACGACTTGGTTCTCTTGCGTCGGGTGATGCTCGACCAAATCAAGGGTCGCAAGCTCGAAATCCGATGGGATGGGCCATACCGTGTTGCAAGAGTCCTCGGGGGCCAACGATCCGTCATCTTGAATGATGTGACCACGGACTTGCGAATAGGGAAATATCATATTGACCATTTGAAACTCTTCGTGCCAAGGACGGAAAATGTCCAGAGAGAAGCACAGGAGCTAGCGGAATGGACAAGCCATCATAGGCGATTCTGCCAGGAAGCTCTCGACCGTGAGCTGGCTCGCCGCTGATAAGCTGGGCCATTGACTTGCCACTTATGTGCTTCAGCAATATTCTGCGAACAAATTTCATGTTTACCCTTTCTCGTGTTTACCTTCACGATTACTGAAACCATCCTTTCAATTATATCCTTATGACATTTCACTTCCCACTGTGACATTTCTTCCCTTTGCAACTCCCTGAATCAGGTCTTATTGACGAAAGTCTCAGGCGCAGCTGCCAGCTCGTCGTATCTCTCAGATTTTCGACTTGCAGTGAGCGAGCCGTTGATTACATCTTGACCACTTCCTTCTTCACACAAGTGACAGTATCAATCCTGTTTCCTTTCACTTCACGATTACAACTACACATCACCTCACAACGTGATATTTCACTGATAATGGATTCTGCAAAAGATACCTCGACATCTCCGACCATAGAGGGGGAAAACAGGTTCTCTTCAAACTCAGAAGTGAGAGAATCGACCTTCGACTGTGAGGAAGTTGATACTCGGCCAGTCATGATAAATTATGACCAGATCCTGGATACCTGGTTCCATTCGACGCTGAAGGCTTTCATTGTCACAGATTTGAATCTTCCATGGGAAAGCCACAACAGCATGAAGGCAGCGGGATGGCAAATGATGGACGGCGAAGACCATTATATGATCATGACGTGTCTGAATCCTGAGCGGGAACCTGGAACAGCAGATATACATAAGGCTTCTGAGAGATTCGGGTCGCATGCGTTACAAAATCTCCTTACCCTCCGGAGCAACGTCTTCTCCCCGAATGTACCCCCTACCGAGTGTCTGCAAAAGCCGGGGCAGGTGGATGGTGTGGCGGAAAAGATACCCGACTATGCGAAGAATACTCAAAGTAGTGGGGGCATGGAAGTCCCTGCCGACAAAACTCCAAAGGAGAATGCTACTCCCGAGACATCAACAGTCGAAAAGATTGCTGCATCGCCTGCAAAGAAAGGAGGGTATAAGCGAATGGAGGGGAAAGGCGAGAATGATCTACCTGAAAACTTGAGAAATCTGTCCCCCCCGGGGAAAAGAGGGCTCAAATTAACAGACAAGCAAATCCTTGAGTTGATCCCATTCACTGCTCGAATCCGAAAACAGTTCTCACAGCATTGGACACAGGAAGGCTATCTGAAGAAGGCATACCAGCCCCTACTGAACTCAACTAGGATGCAGGATGGTAATGAAGTGCCAATGTTCCCTCCAATCATACAAAAGTCCAACTGCCGGAATTGGGAGGTGACCAAGGAAATCGCGACAAGGGAGCACCTGTTCAATAAGAGAGGGGAAATTCGGAAGAGACAGCCGAAGTCAAGGAAGGACAGCCATGATGCCGAAGGCAAATTCACTAAATGTGCGAAAGAGCAAGGCCAAAGCTCTGAGAAAGGCAAATTGGACTCGGTTATTTCGATCCTGGATGAGATGAAGTCAATGCGAGCCACGTCCGGCTCGAAGTTGAAGAAAGGTGCTCAATTGATCAGTGAAATGACGGATGTGGCGAAACAGCGTATCCAAGATCAGGAAGCGTTCGTCAAAATGAATCGCGACCGGACCGCAAAAATGGAGCGCATCAGATCTCGGAGGGATGTTGCTGTCAACCTGTACCATAGGACCTTGGAAGATCTCAACAAAATGCGAGAGACTGCGGGGCAGGATAAAGTGCCTCCAGAAGAATTGTCCGAAGACACCGATACAGATGCTGTCCGCAAGCCCAGGAAGAAGAAACCGAGAGTGACAGCTCCATCTGCAGAAGGATCGTCGACGAGTGCGAAAGACAAGGGGAGACTGTCCACAACCTTACCAGCTGGGGGAGAGAGGAAGCTGAAGATGCCGAATAATGAGAAGGACGCGAACATAGGCCAGATTGACGGAGGATCCTGAGGGAATGGGAAAGACTCGAGGAGGTTAGGGAAAAAGAAGGGAATCAGGAATTGCGGACCAAGTTCAGCGGAATTGCATTCGTATTATTATATTATCTTTTTCATCCTACAGGTGGAGAAACATGAGGATGTTTCTCATCGGGCCTTTTCTGCTGGCATCATTTGAAGCCTCAAATACCCTTCGAAAAGGCAGCGCGGTTCGGGACCCCACCTGTGACGGATTTTCCTGCTGACTCAGAAATTATGGCGTTTTACAATTACGGGACAGGTTGACATGTGACCTGAGCGCTTTTGTATTTCTGGCTTTCAACCAGTCAGATTGATTTCCGCCTTAGCATCCATCCAGACTGCAATATTACTATTTGATTCGTTCTCCAAGTACCACGACCCACTGAGCAGAATCTGTATTCTGCTGTATGTATTGCAGAGTGACAATACCTCTTGACCTACAGACCGGTCTGTAGGTCACAGCACCTGCGCCGTTACGTCGTGCCCTTGTCACTGTCCCAGAAGAGCAGGATTGCAGGCTCATCGATCCGTGAATACCAGCGTCGGGTTGTATAGGTATATACCCTGATCGGAAGTATACGATACGAGCCCATTCCTAGCGCCACGTACCCGCCCAGGCGATTTAAAAAGAAAAGAAGAAAAAAAAAAAAGCGAAAAAGCACACCCGCCGTCCGAGGAAAACAAGGCAAAAAAGAAACAGAAAACAGAAGCAACGGGACGCAGGAGACTCCGCGCGATTTCTCGCCCTCAGTAGCCCTAGCGGCCCAGACGACAGAGCCCAATTTACGAACTGGGTGAGGACGAGGCACTATCAGGATCCAGTCGCGGACCTGGTTGAAGCTATTGAAAGAGGCAGACCCGATATGACATAATGAACGCGTTCCTGTTGAATAACCTGGTTTCATTCGTTGGGTTATCGTAGGGAACGCGCCGCCCCTCTTTTTTTACTTCCCAGATTCCTGAAGGAGGGGCAAGAGGGGCTTTGTGGAGCGGTGTTGGTTGTCGAGGAAATGCCTCGTATACAGACACATTGACAGCCTCCTGGATATGCGATTGGTATTACTATTATTCCCGCTTGCAGGGGTCCGGCGACTGGTAGAGGAGTAATCGCGCCCAAGATGGAGTCATGATGGAGTATCTATGGAGTCTCTGGCTGATCCGAGCCCTAGAACCCATGTAGTAATGACCAGAACTATCACCCGGTCACAGAAGCCTCAGTCAGCGGCGTGTGTCAGCCGGGCTGGTGGCCAATGAGGATCGATCGATAAGCCAGTCGATCTTCGTTGAATAATGGCAATTCGACTGCTTCTGGTTTGATCGGACCGTCAAGCGAGAGAGACTTGGGGAGGATTTTGTTTCGATGCTGTGGCGTGCAGCCGTACAAAGCTAGACAACCCCCCTTTCAACGAATCAGTTGGACTAACTCTGCTGTATGGCGGACTGTGGTTTTTGTTCGATATGATCCAGCCCTGCTATACAAGCCCGTTTCAGCTGCCTGGTGCAGTTTCCTCCTGAAACCGATGACTAACAGCCCCGCCCTTCGCCGCCCCGAGTAATGCTGTCTCAGTGGCTGCTATTCTTATCCACGCAGAAAATAGCCACCGCGCGTCACGCCGGTGTGACTGTCGGAGAAACAGGCTGTTGCCGAGAGGCGTTGAGGTTTCGGTTCGCCTGCAGTGGTTGTACGAGGCCGAGTCACGAGGTTGCGAACCGCTATGCTATGTTTATACTATTCTAAACGACAGACTTTAGAAACAGATGGCGTACTAGTTTTGAATACCGACGCAGTCCCTGGTTTTGATGTGCTCGTTAGGGCTGGGAAGATCCCGAGTCTTAGGGCATGACTTGGTACTTGGTCCATCAGCCACGTCCAGTTCCTAAAACCCCCGACCTTTCTTTTTCGCGGGCACCTTGACGATTTGCTCGAGAAAAGCCGGGGAAGGATCTCTCGTTCGCCACTTTTTGGTCGGAGAGCCGAATTCCTGGAGAATCCCTGTTCCCCGGAGTCTTTCCTCGCATCGACCTTTTCGTGATGGTGATATTTTCCCCAGCATAGAAAAACAGGCCTCTTCCCCTCCCCCCTTCCCCCCTATCAGAAAAAAAAAAGAGAAATAAAAAACACACACCCGGACCCTAAACCCTAGAATGTTACTCGTTTCAGCGGCCGCGGCCACGGTGCGCGTTACATAGCCGAGTCCAAACGAGAAACGAGGCCAAAACCTACGATTACGGGCAAGGACACAGGAAAAGGGAAAACCCATGGCCGGTGTCGGGGGCGGTTCCAGCGGGTTGACTGGGGCTCGGCGGGCCTGATTGGTGTCTCGGCGGAGGTTTCGAGAACGTTTTGCCACGCTCCACCCGCGTCGGCCTGTGACTGATCGATCGCGGTCCCGGCGGTGGCTGGGGGACCCCCTTTCGTCTCCAGTTCGGGCCCTCGTGTATCGTTACACCTTGGCATTACCATACATGTATACCGGTCAGGCCGAGGCGCGGTGATTACAAGGGTTTGATACATGTCCTAGGACCGAGTCTAGTCTACAGTATCTCTATCAGTTAATCGTAGTCGTGGACTGGCGAACTATACCCACGAGGGGATTCGATAGAAACCTGTTCGTTACTATGAATAGCTATCTACGAGCACTCGTGACCATGACCATGAGAGGATACTAGTTACGATAAAGGCAGTCAGATTGCCTGGGTCCCTAATGTACCCATGCTATCTACACCATTTTGGTGCTCTCCGCTTGGTGTTATATACCCCTCCTTACTACTTTAGGAATCGAATCGGGACACCATGGAGGATGCAGGTACGAGGTACATAGAGCCGAGCCCACTCTTAGGACCCCTCGCACCGATGTGGACGAAATGCCTCACTGCCGATAAGGCCAGGCCACCCTGGCGAGAGATATCCTATCAGCCGTGCAGGGTGACCACGCGGCAAAAGCGCCGCGGAGGGAAGGAAAACACGCTGATAACGAATTGCGCCATGGCTTGTCGACAGGGGACACGATGGTGGGGGGCAGGGTGGTCCAGGTACTGGGAGTTGTCAGGTGTGCGATCGCATTTATTGTCCGAGGGGAGATAGGGTTTCCAATGGAGGAAAGTCGGTCAAGAGTCAGGAGTACAGGGGACGAGACGCGCGGGAACCTCGACAAAAAAAAATCATGCGTGGGAGAAGATGAGTATGGTTTATTTTAATTTTTGATTTTTGATATACTCCGGTAGAAAAAAAATAGAATAAAACAACAATAATAATGAAAGACAGAGAGAAAGGAGAATTGATCATCTGCAGATCTAGAACAGTCGATACAGTGGACGGGATTGTGGATTACTATAGACTATAGACTCCGTGCTCCTTACAGAATGGCGCTGTCAGTAATCTATCTTTTCTCCCTGGCCATGCAGCTGATATGCGCGTCGAGACTAGGGGGAATCCTAAGCGGTTGGTAAGAAGGATTAGCAATGCATTTGGGCAGACTATCTCGACAGGGCCGCGGACGCGGACACGATACAGACGGCGCAGGCAGAGATTATCCAGAATATCCGTTCGACGAAGGAGAGGGCGTCGGCCCGCGGACAGCGATCCCTTTCAGATGTCACAATGTCCTTTATTCCGGTCTCCGCCGTCGGGTAGAACGCCGCCCCCCGGACTTTGCCCGCTCTGGGCTAATCGATCCTCGATAACCACGATAGCGAACGTGGGGTTTGGGGCGAAGGGGGGTGGGGGAAGGATAGGATGGTAAACTAGATCGACTGAAGGAGGTCGAAGCGTTGAAGTTCGCATCCAATTGATATGTGTTAATTTGAAGGTGTTATCGGCCCAACGGGAGCAGTGGGATTGATCATATTACTGGGCCCTATGACATGGGCTGAACGGTGATTGGGCCCAACCGCTACGGCTATCACAAAAAAAGCAAGCCAGCATGGACGGAGAATCAACAGTCGAGGAGTCGAGGGCGGGTGGCGGTCGACGAGGTCCCCGTTCGACAGTCTACGGTATTGAAATTGTACGAGAGGGAAACGTAGCGGTACGAGAATTCCGATATCCAGGAGCATGTCGAGATTGAGTTCCCCCCCCCCCCCCCGAGACGGAGGATCACGGCGGCGAGGGCGGAAATGCTGAGGCGGATCGGGAAGACCCCACGAAAGATTCAGAATGCGACGGCCGAGGCGAGACGGGGGGTGATCCAATGGGATTGGGCGAGCATGGGACACTGGCCAGGAGCGACCTAGACCCAATCCCAAGCCCAGCTCGAGTCAGACTGCAGTCGACGAGTGTACGATCAGTCGGGGCAAGGATTGTCAGGAGTAGCGTGAGATCTCGGCGACAACCGGCGTCGGCCATTGTATGATGCGACGATGATGACACGGGGAGTGGGCAAGTTGCTGAGGTGGCGAGGACGACATCTCGGCTGGTGGACGAGACCCGCGCTTGTCTCGCGTTGGTCGGGAGGTCTATAAAGTATAAAAAATTGGTATATAGAGCCCGGTCAAGGAAAGAGGATTGGGGGATGACCGATTGGGGGATGAATGGAAGGGGATGGGGGGGTATGCGTGATCAATTGTTCGATTGTTTCAATATGAGAGATATAAATTTCGAGCAGGGAAAAAAAGCAATGAAGAATCTGAATTCCAGAATTACTAGAATTACTGTAGTAGGAACATCAAAGTGGAGAAGCCCTCCAAAAAAAAAGAATAAGGAAAGGGAAAAAGAATGATGTGCTTTGAGCGATTTTTCGTTTCCCCGGTTTCGGGACGGAAAGAATGTGGCCGGGCAAGTCGATCTGTCAGGGTTGTGGAGGGAAAAGCAGGACTCGATACAGTGCGAACACTGACTACGAGGCTCCCGAGTGCAGTGAATATTGAGAGTACAGCAAGTACAGTAAAGACAGTGAATAACAGCGATGACAGTGCGTGTATGGGGATGGTATCTGGCTTGCTGGGGTGACGGTAATACAGTGACGGAGAGGCTGTGGAGTGGCGGATCCGCGCCTTCCCTTATTCTGCCCTTGCGAGCCCACTTTTGGGCAGTTCGGGGCCTCCTGGGCCTGTTGGTTGGCCCTGCCTCCCCTCCCAAAAAGGCGCAAAAGGCCCAAAGACCCAAAGACCCAGCAAGACCCCCTCCCCAAAACCAAAAAAAAACCAAAAAAACCAAACCCAGAAAAATCCAAAAAAGAAAAATTCCCCTTCCAAAAAAGACTCATTTTCTGCCCGTGACTCGCTCGTGACTAAATTTAAATCTTTATCTTCCTCTCTTCCCCCCCCCCACCTTCAAAAACTCACCCTCCTCCCCTCTCTTGGGATTTCCCATCCATTCTGTGCTTTCCTTTCCTTCGGGAATCTGCTTCATTGTTTACTCTCTTCTTTCACTCTTGTCAAACTCCTTCAGCTTGCCTGCAAGCCGATTCCTGTTTTTAAACCACACATCCCCATAATCACTCATTATGGTACGTTACTGCTCTCTCTCTCCAGACCCGGGTGACTCATGCCGGCCCGGGCAACCACCAAATCCCACATTGCTAACCACTCTGCTTGCTACAGGCTGCCGATTCAACTGTCGTCTCCAACACGGAGAATGTGCGTTTGATTCTCGATGCTTTGGATTTCCACAATGGCCCTTGAGCCAGAGAGGAAATACACATACTGACTTGCCATGGGGGTGGACAGCTCATGAAGTACATGTCTCTGGACCAGCGCGGTCGCGTGCAGGCCGAGTACGTCTGGATTGATGCCGTTGGTGGCACTCGTTCCAAGACCAAGGTATGCCACTGCTCTCTCTTTCTCATACATTCGCTCCCCCTCTTTCCTCGATCTCGTGTGGTGTCTCTCCGTTCTCCGGTGGGCGGCGGGAAAGCGGGAAAGCGTCGCCTTCTCTCCCGCGTGGTGGTTGGCGCGCCTGCTTATCTTTGATCCCACATCGATAAGCCCTGCGCACGGGGAATTTTCCCCCCTCCACACGATCGGAGGCGCTAAAAACACGCGGCCTGCAACCATCCGTGTCACGTGAGGAGGGGCTCGCCTTCCCGCCGTTGGACCGTGTTGGGCTTGTTGAGTGGAGAGTGGGGGGTACGAAACCTTTGAAACACGATCACTAACACCTTTTGTCCGTTGGTCATAGACTCTCTCGAAGCCCGTCAAGTCGGTTGATGAGCTTCCCGAATGGAACTTCGATGGCTCAAGTACTGGCCAAGCCCCCGGTGACAACTCCGATGTCTACCTCCGCCCCGTCGCGATCTTCCCCGACCCCTTCCGCCAGGGTGACAACATCCTCGTTCTCTGCGAAACCTGGGATTCCGATGGAAGCCCCAACAAGTTCAACTTCCGTCACGATGCCGCCCGCCTGATGGAGACCCACGCCAAGGAGGACTTCTGGTTCGGTCTCGAGCAGGAGTACACTCTTCTCGGCACTGACGGCTGGCCCTACGGCTGGCCCCGTGGTGGTTTCCCCGGTGCCCAGGGTCCTTACTACTGCGGTGTCGGTTCCGGCAAGGTCTACTGCCGTGACATCGTCGAGGCTCACTACCGCGCCTGCTTGTATGCTGGTATCAACATCTCCGGTATCAACGCCGAGGTCATGCCCTCCCAGTGGGAGTACCAGGTTGGCCCCTGCCCCGGTATTGACAGTAAGTTTTCCTCCCGCGTCGCTCCCAAACAGAGCCCCTTGTTACGCGTCCCATGGACTCCATACCGTGGATTTTGAGCCCTAACGTTTTTCCCTGTACAGTGGGTGACCACCTCTGGATGTCTCGCTTCATCCTTCACCGCGTCGCTGAAGAGTTCGGCGTTCGCATTTCCTTCGAGCCCAAGCCCATCAAGGGTGATTGGAACGGTGCCGGTCTTCACTCCAACGTCTCCACTGCCGCCACTCGTGCCGATGGTGGTATGAAGGTCATTGAGGCCGCCATGAAGAAGTTCGAGGCCCGCCACGTCGAGCACATCGCCGTCTATGGTGAAGGTAACGAGGAGCGTCTTACTGGCCGCCACGAGACCGGTAACATCGAGAAGTTCTCATATGGTGTCGCCGACCGTGGTGGCTCTGTCCGTATTCCTCGCCAGGTCGCCAAGGATGGCAAGGGTTACTTCGAGGACCGCCGCCCTGCGTCCAACGCTGATCCTTACCAGATCACTGGTATCATCGTTGAGACTATGTGCGGTGGCCTTTAAATACACCAAAAATTTAAGGAACTCATTTGGTCTTAGCGCTCCGATACCCTCCGGCATCAACGGGGAGTTCGGACCATGAGAGCGGCCTTGACTGCGTGAGGGAGTCCCTTCAATAGATTCTCCTTAATCCGTCTGTACCTGTGTGCTTCTTCTGCCCTTCCTTCCTACTCTTTCGCCTGTTGCTGTTCTCTCTACCGACGAACCGGAACTTTTTATCTATCTCATACTCTCCGGCGCCAGGGTCCGCCTCGTGCGTTCTTTTACTTCCCTCGTTGCACATCGCCGATTCTCCAGTTTTGTCTCTTTCTTGAATCAATATTCCCACCAACCGGGTTATGTGTGACGTACAATAGCATAGAATTATTACATGGATGGTCAACCAACCCATCATTTGAGCATCGCACTCCTATCTCTCGGTCCTCCTTACTTCTTTTTTTGGCCTCTGCTTTTGAATTTTCAAAAATATTGTTTCCGCCGCCTAAATTGTCGCTTGATTTAAGGTTTTGTGGCATTATCTTCATTCGGCGCTCATGTTTTATGTACTGCGCAATAATCATAATCATCACATCGTACACTTGGATTTTTATCATTATGTACCCTGTATATTTTGCCTGGATATGATATTGTAGCTTGCTGTCAGAGTACAATTACAAGAAAATTAGGACTATCGTAGCGCCATCGCCAGTTTAAAGTTGACCACAGACCTCGAACAGACACTCCTATGATTGCAACTGAAGCACCTGCTTTCACAGACTACCTAGCGCTGCCAATCAATCTGTTCATTGATTGATTTCCCTCCTGATCCAGAGCAATCTCGGTAAAGCAGAAACCATTGCCGAGTACCTCACCCCACCCCCATCGGTGGAACTCCAGGTCCCACTTCCCCCGCGAATTCTCCAGGAACACGAAGGTCCGTGTAGATTTAGAGCAGAAACACCAATTTCATGTTTAAGTGAAAGAGGTAGTCAGTTTTATCGAGTCTCGAATCCTCTGTCAGCTGATCTCTCTTCTTCCAATGCCGCAGCCGCAGCTATCAGCCAGACCAAGGAGCCTCATCCGGAGCTGCGAGTTCTGTCGCTCGAGGAAAGTTCGATGTGATGGCAAGAAGCCAACATGTCAGACGTGCTTGAATCACAAAAAAAGCTGTGTCTATAAAAGCGCAGTACCAAGCCCTAGGTGAGGAGGTATCCCGCATACACTGATCCGGACCTACGTTCTGATGTTGTGTTACACGAATCGCATAGTTAACATGATAACGTACTAGACCAACCAAAGCAGCAGTCAATGCCCTTCAAAACGAGAATAGAAAGCTTCTTGCTCTGATCCGGCAATTGAAAAATGCTGCCACTGCCGATGACCTATGGATAGCGCTTCATTCGGCCAGCGGGCCAGGTCAGAACCAGGAACCATGTGCTGCACTCAGTCCTCCAACGTCTAGTTGCACCTCCCCTCATGCTCAAAACAGGTATCCAATCAAGGAAGATACATCTGAGTTTGTTCAAGTCGTTCCTGACCCGCCGATCCTCGACACGTCGCCCTATTTCTCCGTTGACGAGTCGGGGAACCTCAACAGCTTTGGTCCATCTTCGGCATGGCAAATGATCACAGACTCACCTACGGCGCCTCAGAACACCAAGAAAGCGAACATTCAAAATACCTTGGTCGCAAACGCAGCCCTGACCCGGCAATCTGAGTATCGAATGGCTTCCCTTGCCGATCTAGACGGCGTGCCGATCGACCTCGCAAACCATCTTCTCGATCTCCACTGGAATCGACAGCATCACACTTTTCTTTTAACTTATCGACCCGAGATAACTAGAGGGATCCTAGAAAACGGTGAATTTGGATCAAAATTCCTCTTGAACAGCATCTTCGCATGTGCCAGCAAATTCTCAACAAGACCTGAAGTCCGTGAGTCCGGCCCTCGCTTTTTCCGCCGCTGCGAAGAGATTATGAGCACCGAAAACCTCCTTTTGCATCCAAGCCTCCCCACCATTGTGGGCCTGCTACTACTTGGATCGACATTCGTAGCTCGAGGAGTGACCACAAAGGGTTGGCTCCTTACCGGGTATGCGTTGCGGATGGTCTACGACCTCGGGCTTCACATTGACCGCAAAGGCGCAGAAAACGACATCATTGAATCTGAAGTTCGTAAGCGCATATTCTGGGGTGCTTTTGTGTGCGATAAGCTCCAGAGCCTGTACCTGGGCAGACCATTTGCCATTAAGCTGCGGGATGCACATGTCTCGCTGGAGCTGAATGATATCATGGAGGAGCACGAGCTTTGGACCCCGTACGACGACCAAAAGGCGGAATCAGCAGGGGATACTATGCGGTTTCCGACATACTCTGTGTCATGCTTTCAACGGTTGTGCCTTCTTTCCAAAATCATGACCCGTATCATCGATGAGTTTTATGTGGTTGGAGCTACGGTTTTAAGTGCCCAGTCCAGTCTCCGCAGTATCGACGACCTCCTTCGACAGTGGGAGATAAATCTGCCTGAGGGGCTGCGACTCGGCCCAGAGCGTGATGCGTCGCCTACATTCCGACATGCCCCTAACGTCCTATGTTTACACATTATCCACAATGCATTAATCATTCTTCTCCATCGTCCGCTGGTTGCAGACGGCCACTTGAGATCTGCTTCGCCTCCCGCTGTGTCTTGGAAGCGCTGCTCAGAAGCTGCGGAGAGGATCACTCTGATTGTCTCCTCGTACCGTTGCCTGTATACCCTGAGAGGAGCGCCATATCTCATCAGCTACGGCCTTTATGTAGCGTGTACTATTCATGTGCGAAATAACGGGGCAACTACCAATGAAATTGCCAGTGAAAACAAAAGCATTCTGGAGCGCAGTGTTCGATGGCTCGAGGAGCTTGCGGTTCCCAATCCGGCGGTTTCGAGGACGGTCTGCATCATTCGCAAATTGATGGAAGCGCGCGGCGTACGTCTGGAGCCAGAAGCTGAGCCTATTGGTATTATCTCAGGAGAAGAAACATCGTGCATCACCGAAAGTAATCGAGAGAACGAGTTTAATTGTGATGGAGTGGTAGCGGGGATGAACTCTTGGAATGACCCACAATTTTTGGTCAATGAGTGGGATGAATCCTTCTCTGATGATCTTTTATACGGGTTCATGGATCAGCAGGTTCCCTTTGATGACCCGATACCTGAGTTTGACATTGGTTCCTTGGGTCAGATTTAGAGATACTAGTGTATATTGAATTAAGCTCAATTTGATTATTTTTTGGGCGCTCTGGGATTTACCCATTCTCATTGCTATACGTTCAACTATAGCCGAACCCCTGGCATTGGAGGAAAACCCGACGCTATTTCTTTACGACGTTTACTCCGACCGCCAGCACTCCTCCTCATGCGAAAATTCCTTCTCCGATGGCATGGAACGAGCTAGAACCGGTCTTGTCAGCGCATGCGAGCATATTTTTGAAGAGATCAAAGAAAGTGGCATCGGACGAGAGGGCTCAATATCTGGAACTAAGGATTGCATTAATGTGAGAACCATCACTGTGGGGATATGAGAGAGCTTCGACTGTTTCCATTTGGATTTTTCATATTGTTTCTGAATTTCATCTGTAGTACTACCATTGAGAATTATCAATTATGACGCAAATTCCTGTCCTAACTGGTATAAGAATATTCGAAAATTTCACAGGATCTCACGGCCAAAGGCCATGTTTCTGCCACTTATTATCGGTCGCATCATAGACATATTGGAGTCTTTTATGAAGCCGACTAGCATCTCCTTGCCAGAACTCGACAGCCTCAGGGGTAACAGCATATACTTTCCACTTTTTCGCACCCAGAGACGGATCTTTTGAAAAGTGAGCCTCAGTCTCCACAACACTTTGTCTCAAAGTCTCCTGATTCAAAAGGATTTCGCTCTGTCTTGAGGCCATTGCGCTGATCTTTGATGCAAGGGGGCGGCTGTTGTAGTCCTGAACACACTCCGCTTCAGGAAGTTCAATAGCTTTCCCACGTAAACGCACTTGTCGAGCAAGTTGGGGCCAATAGAAAGTCAGCGCAGCATGGCTATTTGCTGCAAGCTGTTTTCCTTTAGGGCTGTCAGCTTTTATCGCAAAATGCCAGCCGCGAGCATCGACATTCTTCAGAATAAGAACGCGGGCATCTGGCCAGCCCTGATCGTCAACCGTTGAAACAGTCATGGCGTGGGGCTCTCTGACTCCAGCTTCAAGCGCTTCATCGAACCACAGCTTAAACGCATCGTGTGGGTTTCCGGGGAAAGTCTCAAAGTTGACTTCTGGAAATGGACCCTCTAACACTTTAGTGCTGCGTAACTTCACTCTGAATGAATTATCGTCAGTCATCTTTGGAGTGAAGCCTTATTATTAATATTTAATTAGTCCATAGATGTTTAGACCCCGAGTCAGAAGTAAATAGAAGGAGACTCACTGGAATTCGGTAAGATAAAGATATTCAGCTTATGGTGTGATGTACAGAAAGATGTTCGAGAAGATGCGGATATGCCAGGTATTTCAATGTTTTTTAATTCCATACCCATGACCTCAGGTACCTGGATACCGGTTTCGGCACTTGTTCAAGCGCCTTATGCTTTGCTGGTCTTCGATGTGACTGGCATCCCCCCGACCTCGGAAGAAGCTGCTAGCATAGGATTAGATTGGATCGATATAAATTAGATACAAGATTAACTATGAATCATTTTGTTTCATATATTACAGATTACAATAGTAAGATTGTCCTTCAAAATTTATAATTATGAAGCTGCAACATAGAAGTATTGGATCGGTACAGTATCTTACAATGACTCACCCATTAAGCCCACCCCAGAAAAAGGGTTGAAATGAGGTACGATTTGTGAGGTCTCAACATTGGTTTGTGTAATAATTGAGCTTCGGTGTGCCAATAAATCGGTGAACAGAACGGGCAAATATCCTCAGATTTCGCTATGGCTAGACACCCAGATGGAAGCGCCCCATCGGAAGCTGGTGTTCCGCACACTCCAGCAGAACGCGAAAGATTTGCAAAGACGGTTCTTCTGCGTAGAATGGGTGACGTGAATGTGATCGCACATGCTGCAGTCTACACGGCCAGTGATGAGACCAGTTTTGTCATTGGCATTAATGTCCCTACCGGGAACGGACGATTGACAATGTAAATTCACAATAGACTCAAAGATGACAAATTTAGTCTCAGCAGCCAACCGGCACTACGTATGATATTCTCCAATTAAACTTTACGTGAAAATTATAATATTAAATTACCGGGTAGAGTGAACATAGCTCAAATCGTGTGCATCATATTTTGTTTGGACCAAGATAAAATAATTTACCGATTTCCTCAAATGGTATATGAAGTGCAAGTGAATATAGGGAACCAGTCCATGAAAGAAATAGCGGATTTTTAGCACATAATGTTAAGAAAGAAGATACAGGACGCCTTATTCCCCTCAAGCCAAAAGATAACAGGCTATGAATCTGGATGACTTTTCAAATGATCAGTGTTATCCATCTCAATCAATTGCACAAAACTTGTGTTCGGGCCGATATCAGCACTCCGAATTTTCTTCTGACTGCTAGACTGCCCCATACTGCTGGTCCCTTTTGTTGAACCAAATATCGTTGGGAAGAGGCGACTGAGCAGGGACCGCATGGCTGGCATGCATAGGCAAAAAACTCCAACATCTACTTCAACCACGGACCAATAGCCGCCTGCGGCATTATCCCCTATCGCGAGTGTCACTATTAGTTATCTGGAAAATAGAAAAATAAATGAAGAGCGGACATACATGTTGGATTCGTGCTAGTGGCGAAGATTTTGAGCATTATAGTGCGATAGATGCTGACACCCGTGATTCTATAAAAACAACAAAAGATTAGTTCCCAGCGTCTTTAGAATTCTCGAACCACAAAAAAGAGGAAAAGGGGCAAGCTCACAAAAAGCCCACAGAAAACATGAGTACGACCTGAAGCTTTGTAGTAATTGAAGCCTGGAGCTTCAGTACCTTAGGGATTGGCATAGTAATAACCCAGGCGTCTAGGATGATGTTCACTATGGCGGCAGAAACCACCAAAGGATTAGTCGCCACGCAGCTTCCTTCATGTTCACCATCCCAGCCATTCCAGTTGTAGCTAACGGGCGAGCATTGAAACGCAAAGGCGAATAAGTATGCTATGTAGTAGCAAGCTGTCACCACGCCGGAAACCTTGATGACCCGGCGCATCCGATCGGAGGGAAAAATGCGGAGGTAGAAGAGAAGGAAGCAGATTTTTGTGAGACAAACGCAAGTGATATAGAGGAGCTCTTGGATGTAGAAAAGCTATCCATGGGGGTTAGATTGTAGTCATGGGTAGATGCTAGGCATTCTTACATAGAGAATTCGAGTGATTTGGCTGAACTCTAGGGTCCACATATCCTTTCCTAGGCCGGCCTTTCCAACTGAAGCGATTGTTAATGGGTGTCTCGCAGAGAGACGAATTGATGCCACTTACGCAGGATTGAGCCAGAGTTAACCGGCACCATGCAACACTGAGAAACTTAGTAACAATCTTTTAATAAAAGATGTTTTAACTTACTCCGAGAAGGATAGTCATTATATCATCCAATCCGATCTCCAGTTTCATAACCACAAGGCGGGTGTATATCCTCAAACCAACAAACAGCACAACGCATAGGCCAACTGCTGGTATTATGATACTCAGGGACGTATGGTCTCTAATTGGGACTCCACATGTTGTATCAGTGACATTAACCGCAGCTATGAAATCAGTTAGAATTCAAAATGCAAATTGATATAGGAGATTCTCACGCACTGAGGCTCTCTTTGATGGTGCAGTTTGCGGAAACGCAGCTAGTTAACTCATCATTAAGTTCAACATTTGTACAGATACATGTTTGGTTTGTGGAGGCGCAGGCCGAATTGGGAAGGAGGTCTTCAAGGCATAGTAGCTGAAAATGTCATCAGGATTATATGGCACCGAGAGACGATCCGGAATCTTACAGCGCATGATGGGAGAGACTGTGTCTCAGCACATGTCAACTCAGCAAACAGGGAGATAGCACAGGTTAAGAATGTTGCTCCAACTCGAAACAATCGCATCCTGCCTGCGGCTGTGAAGAAACGATGCTGGGAATCGATTCAACCGAACAACGCACAAACTGTTTCATGAAGTTTGAAGGAAAAGGGTTCCTAGATACTGTCCCGTGGGATCCACGGGGCTTAAGAATCAAGCTATGTAATGACAGTATCTTCATGTGATAGGTCCATAATTTTTGAAGAAAAGATCTTCTTCTTCATTGGATTTGCGCTGTAAAAAGGAATTAAACCCCCAAAACGTCGCTTTGCGGATAAAGTTCAGCGAAGGATTTGTTAATATTATTAGCTCCCATAGCCCGAAGGTCGCTACCGGTGGCAAAGAACGTTCAAACAGAAAATACGTATGGCGCCAAATTAAGAACGTGTTATTGGTGGGATGTGGTAGCGTATCTTTAGTTGTCACATTCGGCCCCCCAGTATCCCGGGCCCGCCTTGAATGTGGTGGTAAGCCGTTAGCCTATCGTCCCGTGCCGCCTCCCTATCGGGGCCCAATTTCTGTTCTTCCATATCATCAAACTTGACAAGCGAATGATTTACATAGCCAGTTCCAAGTGCCCTTTGTACATCCACTGTCTGCACTCTCATTAAAATCGTGAAGCGATAGAGCAAAGCAAGACGATCCTTCCGTCCATCCAGATTTTCTACTCCGTACTGCGTGGGTCCTTCACCCCCTGCAAATCACACCACACTTTCTAGTTTCTACTAGTCGACTCGGGCTACAGTAGGGGGCCGGTAATGTAATTTTGATATTCTTTAGGATTGAACCCGAAAATTAAAAGAACGGGTCACTCGCACAACAAAGCGATTCCTTACGATTCATATAATCCTATAGAACCTCTCATCCGACCTCTACTTCTGATAAAGAAACCTTGTTTGGACAGGTTTCCTTGGACCCACGCCAACGACAATCATAACCTTGTCAGGGGTTTGCCCCTGTCACAATGCCTGCATGTTTGACTTGCAATAACGATATGGTTACTAGCTTCTTGCTATTATGCATCTACTCCGTAGCTCATACGTAGACTACCACACTGTTGGGCCATGGGTTTCGACTCCCTTCAAGCCCACGTGTATTGTATTCTCCCTGTCGAACCCCCCCCCCCCCCCCCAAAATATTTGATACTCGCCATTCCCTCCTACTATTGCTCTGAATACTCCGTCATTGCTACTGCATGATTCGGGTGGCTAATCGAAGATGGCCCAGGCCGCTTTAGATGGTGTTCGACTGTGCAGTGGAATGGCACTATATAATAGGTCAAAGTTCTTATGTCTTAGCTATATGTTCTCAATTGGATTGAAATTCGATGGATACGGAGGCCAGTCCATCACGATACAATTCTAATAGGGGACTCTAATAACAGCACGAACAATACGGACGGTGGGTCCAGTTACAGTAGCAGGGGTCTTCCATGTAACCTGAGTGTATCGTACATACAGAGTCATGACCACGAAGTCTTATCGGCAAAGCGAAGGCCATTTGAGAAGCCGCTTGGCATGGATCTTTTTAGGGGCTCTTGGCTACTTAAATGAGTTCATTAGATCTCATCCAACCTTTACCACTGTTCTGTTCAGCAACGGCCAAAAAATCCCCTTAGCCATTCTAACTTTCCACGCTATGGCTGTTTACAGGTCACCAGTAATTCCAATTCATGATGTGACAGACTTGTCCGTCTCACAGTTCATGACACAGTACAATCCAGACGAGGTTCAGGCATCCAAGATCGTCCATACTGAGACCTTTTCCGAAGACACCATCACGTATGGCTCTCTCCGCGATCAAGCCGGCCGTGCTGCATGGGGCTTGCAGAAAAAGTTGGGTCTTCAGCCAGGAGATACATTACTAGCATTGGTCAACAACTCCGTAAGTGGCTTACTTCACAATGCCCCTGATTTCTAGTCTAATTAAAATAAAGAATGCTTTTGTTCTCCTCGCACATGCGACGTGGTGGGCAGGTGCCATTTTCGCGTGAGTACAGCACTCTGGAGAGTCGGGAAAAGCCGCTGATCATCCCTGTAGACCTTTGAATACGGCGGCAACTCGCGATGATATCTCGCATATTCTCAAGATCACCAAGCCAACGCATGTTGCTACTATTGAAGAGAAGCTTGGCACAGTCCAGGATGCTTTGGCTTCCCTGCCAATGACGAACACCAAGATTTTGACTGTTCGTTGCAAGAAGGAGAATCTGCCACAGGTCTGTAGCACTCTTTCTCGGAAATGTGCTTATTTGAGCGCTCATGATCCTATAGTTCCCGGACGATATTATCGGTAGACGACCTACAGAGAGCATCAAGCCCTATGACCTTCAGGGTCGAAGCTCTAAAGATGTTCCTAGCACCATTTGCTTTTCCTCTGGAACAACTGGAAAGATGAAAGGTGTCCAACTCTCTCATTACAACCTAATCACGAACACCATAACAATGCGTGTCTCCATGCCAACCAGGGTTAACTCAAATGTCCGTGAGGTCTTTTTTGCTCCTTGTAGGTTACTCTCCTTGTGAAGTAGGCTAAATTAACCCCCTAACGTGTCTTAACATCAGATTGCCATATATACGGCCTAACTATAGCGGTGGTCTCTGGAATGTGGGCTGGAGCCCAGTACACCGCGCTTCCAGCTTTTGACTTGGAAACGTTCTGTCAAAAGTCGAGCGAAATGAAGGTTACAGACCTGCATATTGTTCCTCCAGTGGCGCTTCTACTCGCCACATCACCCGTTGCTCAGAAGTATGATCTGGCTTCTTTGGAGAGAATTGTCATTTCAGCCGCCCCATTGAAGGTACTTTCACTGACAGCCCTGTTCTTGCCATTTGCGTAACATGATGCTAATATTTCCCCCAGAAAGCAGTGCAGCTTCTACTCAAGAAGCGACTTCCACATACCAGCATCTGCCAAGGTGAACACCATCTACCTCCAAAGCAAGGGTATTTTGCTAATATTAGAACAAAAGGATATGGACTCACTGAGTGTACTGGAGGAGTTATACATCAGATAGATGAAGAGGAGCATGCTTTCGGATGCGTTGGAAAGCTCTTCGCAGGGGTGTATGTGCCATTGACCGCTTCTAAATATGATTTTCAATTGCTAACATCAGGAAAGTGAGGCCCGCCTAGTCGACCCGAAAACAAATAAGGACGTTTCTCTGGGCAAAGAGGGCGAACTATGGATCCGTGGCCCAATAAACATGATGTACGAATAAGCCTTACCTGTTCAAACCGTCCCATCCAGATTATTGACCGTTAGTGCAGGGGCTATGTCGGTGACAGTGAAGCAACGCAAAAGACCTTTTCAGAGGGGTGGATCAGAACAGGAGATATTCTGAAGATGGACGAAAACCAGAACTTCTGGGTTACTGATCGTCTCAAGGAGGTATGATTGGCTTCTCTCACAGCTTGAAATAGGGTTTACATGGCATTTAACTAATTGTTGCAAATTAGATGATCAAGTACAAGGGGTGGGTTGAAGATCTCCCCTCCCAACTGTCCGAAAGCCATGCTAACCGCTTCCGCACCTCTTCAGGTTCCAAATTGCCCCCTCCGAGCTTGAGGATATGCTCCTGCGTCATCCAGATGTGATTGACGCCGCAGTATGTGCGGTCTATGACGATAGCCAAGCGACCGAGGTTCCCCCTCGCCTATGTAAGTCTCTCACCGGCGACGGCGGAGCTATCGGGTTCTGAAAAACAGAATGTCCTCGATGCGATCAGGGCTTGGATGGACAACCAGCTGGCAGGCTACAAAAAGCTCAGAGGAGGTGTCTTCCATCTGCAGAGTCTGCCCAAAACACCGACTGGTAAGATTCTGAGGAGGCTTTTGCCTGCAAAGTTGAATGAGCTGCGGGAGGCGAAGCTTTAGGTGTTTGAGGGAGGGGTTGGGCACTATTACGTAGCCTGTCATCAACCGTGATCTAGTGTATTCTATATTTCGAGATTAGAAATAGAAAAGACTCCAACAATGAGATTGCTGGATCTGTCGTTATGACCGTCCGCGAAAATTGGTAATCAGAGACCTCGAACTTCAGGATTTACGAAAGAGACCGTGGGCTAGAGGAGTGGGGGTGAGCACGCATCTTACAGATAGGCGATGCTAGATCGGCGATCCAGTCGCTGTGCTTAATAAAGAGATTGAGACCATGAGGATGGCTCTAGCTATCCCACTAAGAATCATCTCGGCCTGGGTGTATACGTATACTGCGTATACTCCATCCAGACTTGCCGAGCCCTAACCCGCGGGCAACATGGGCACTGGAGCCAATCGGCCGAGCCGATCCCGAGACTGATATGTCACCACGTCGACAAGGCATCCTTCGCCCGCACGCAAGGGCCAGCATCCCGCCCAAGCTCGCCTGCTTAGCATGTTTATCCTACTACCACTCTTATCAAGGCGCTAGCATGCCTCGATGCCAGCGTTCGGAGGCGGAAACACCCGTGAAATCGTGAGGTGATGCGCGGACTGCCTTACGTCAGCTTGGGCGAGGCCCTGTCACGTGAGGGGTGCTTAGAAAGCGAGGGGCCTCGACGCGGGCAAATGATTAATTTGATGGGTTTTGGTTTTGCGGAAGGACGCAGAAACAGTTCTGATCTCATCATCCAGACCCCACCAGCCCACCCCTCCGATTAAAAACCAAAAAGCGGTTCCCTTCTTTTAATCTCCTTCTTCCTCGAAATACCTTCAAGCTGTTTTCCTCCACGTTTCGCCGTTTACCGTCCGCTCTCCGATCCCTCGGATTCACTGCCGCCGCAGCCTCAACTCTTCATCAACAAGCCCCCCATCCGCTTCGGTCCTCTCACAGCCCCTATCGACGCCCTCGCGCGTCAATTGCACAAACACCGCCAGAATGGTGCACTCCAAAGTTGTTAGTATGTGAACCCACGAAGATTGCGGCCTGTATGCGGAGCCCGAAGCATGTACTAACAGGAATTTCTTCTCAGTTATCGGCTCCGGCCCCGGCGCCCACACTGCCGCCATCTACCTCTCGCGTGCTGAACTCCAGCCCGTCTTGTACGAGGGCATGCTCGCCAATGGCACTGCTGCCGGTGGCCAGCTTACTACTACTACCGATGTCGAGAACTTCCCCGGTTTCCCCGGCGGCGTGGGTGGCGCCGAGCTGATGGAGAACATGCGCAAACAGTCTGAGCGTTTCGGCACCGAGATCATCACCGAGACCATCTCGAAGCTGGACCTGTCTCAGCGGCCCTTCAAGATGTGGACTGAGTGGAACGACGCCGAGGGTAGCGCGCCTGCTCGCACCGCCGATGCCGTTATCATCGCCACCGGTGCCAACGCCCGCCGCCTGGACCTGCCCGGCGAGGAAAAGTACTGGCAAAATGGAATCAGCGCCTGCGCTGTCTGTGATGGTGCTGTGCCCATTTTCCGCAACAAGCCTCTGTACGTGATTGGTGGTGGTGACTCTGCCGCCGAAGAGGCCATGTTCCTGGCCAAGTACGGTAGCAATGTCACCGTTCTTGTTCGCCGTGATGTTCTGCGTGCTTCCAAGGTTATGGCCGATCGCCTGCTTGCTCACCCCAAGTGCAATGTTCGCTTCAACACCGTCGCCACTGAGGTCATTGGCGAGAACAAGCCTAATGGCCTGATGACCCACCTCCGTGTCAAGAACACTATCAGCGGCGAGGAGGAGATTGTTGATGCCAACGGTCTGTTCTACGCTGTTGGCCACGATCCTGCCAATGCTCTTGTTAAGGGACAGGTCAACCTTGATGAGGATGGCTATATCATCACGAAGCCTGGCACCAGCTACACTAGCGTTGAGGGTGTCTTCGCCTGCGGTGATGTTCAGGACAAGCGCTATCGCCAGGCTATTACCAGCGCCGGTATGTTTCCATACTTTTCCTGCATTTTTCTTATAACTTTATCTTACTGACCGACACTATAGGCTCTGGCTGCATGGCTGCCCTGGATGCTGAGAAGTTCATTGCTGAGGGACCCGCCGAGACCAACGGCGAGGCAAAGTCCAATGCTCAGCTGTAAACACCCTATCCCCTCATCCATATCTCCCCCTGCCTCGCTATCTTCCTCTCCCTTAACGATTTTGATCCCTTTCGGCGTGTATTGTTTGGATTTGCTCTTAAACATGTCCATTTCTAGACCTGTCTGTCCTGCGACCCAATTTCCATCTCAATTCCCCGTGCATATTCTCCTTTCCTCTCATGGTTGACGGATTTCCTTACCTATTACCTATTCATTTCCTTTTTTTTCTTTTTTGTCTGGGATCACCTGGTTCGTTGCTCCTTCTGGTCAGTCGACCGCGTTCGGTTGCTTGAGATTGATCATTGCCGATAGAGATAGAAATAGATGACATTCTCATACCAGCCTGGTCCTTACGGGTCTGGCCTTTTGTATCATCTTGGGTTTAATAGACAATACACTAGGTTGTCACTTAGTTCGCTCCACTTCTTTTTCTTTTTCGAATTGCTCTCACAGACAAGTTCTATGAATAGTCCATCGGTATGGTGGATGATGGAAGCCATTCCTAGACTCATGGGTTGTAAACCAGGTTCGATATCTAAGGAACAGCCGACCGTTTTGGTGCGAGTCCGAAGTTGAACCCTTGGAGAAGGATCCATAACCACAGACGATGGAAAGTAGGTCTCTACATCTACCTGAAAATATGGTGATGATAAAATGCATAGAGATGTGTCAAATGAAACGCTCACCTGCGTTTCATCCTTCTAGTTTGCATGATGGGCATCTAAGGACACCTCCACGCTATAAAACACATAAGCGACCATTCAGGCCGTAGACGCCTCCTCCGGCGTCTTCCACCCCTCGTAGGGGTTCTCCGCGCACCACCGGTCCTTCACCTCAAACGACCGCCGATTCCACTCGTTCGCCGCTATCTGGAATGCGCCGAACGCCACCTCATGCTGCTGGCGAGTGTTGTCGACTCTATCGATGTACGGCTGCTTCTCAGCCTGGGCGGCATTGCGCCACATGAGGCCGAGGGCGGCGCGCACATCGTCACGGGAGGCCTTAGCGTTCGGATTATTCGTCGCAACCCTTCGAGCGTTGTCACACTGCTCCTTGCACGTATTCCAGAAGTCCTTCTGGTATAACAGGAACGGGTTACGCCCCACCTTAGGCGGGCAGGTAGGGGTTGGGCCGAGCTCGGCGTAGATCGCCGCCCACATGGCCTGGTCGTAGGTGGCGCGGCGCTGCTTCTCGCCAATATTGGGGTCTCGTGAAGATGAGGTCGGCGCTGCGCGCTTCGGCGCACTACTGCTCGTGCTGGCGGGAGTTGCGGTCAAGCTGGTGCTTGGCTTCTCCGGTACGAGGGGCACCGGGATCTCGATCGGGCCGATGACATCCTCGATGATCTCCGAGGCGGCTCGGAGACCGGACAGGTAGGCACCGTGGACGGTGGCAGGATGGGTTCCGCAAGTTGCTTCGCCTGCAAAATGCAGGTTGCCCACCTTTCGTGCCATAAGATCGTAGTCTTCGGGCAGTGCGCCTGCCGCGACGTAAGAGTAGCTGCCACGGGTGAACGGGTCCGAGGCCCAGCGAGTGACGATTGTCTCGAGGGGATCAGGAACGGCGGCATGTTTGAAAACGTTACGGAGTTGCGAAAGGACTTCAGCGATGATTTCCGCGTCTGGCATGATCTCTGTCTGGTGTGCAGCGTCGCCTGCCATGAGAGCGACGAGAGTTGGCAGGCCCGTCGTCTTGATGCAGTTCCAAAATAGGTAGAATCTGCCACGGTTGGTGGCGTAGTCTTTCTGGTCCATGCTCTCGAATGAGGTAGGCTCGCGAAGGAGGCCGAACATATCACGTTCGGTGTCCCAGAATGGCGCATCGAATACCAGGACAACTTTGTTCATTACGCCAAAGCCTAGTCGCTCAATGGCACCCTGCTTCCAGTCTGGAAGAGGAGGAGAAAACTGAATGGTCTGATGTTTCAGTGTGCCGAGAGAGCCAGTGAATACCACATGGTCCGCCGTGAATGTATCTCCATCTGCGCATTGTACAACCGCTTTCTTGTTCTCAGATCCCGTCGCGTCGTAAGTAATATTGTGTACGATTTTATTGGTCCGGACATCCAGCTTGGTGGGTAGCGAATACAACCCGTAGGGCAACTGCTGGTAGCCTCCAATCACTGATGAATGTTCTCCATCAAATTCGTTTCCATAATCCATATCCCATCCCGACAGACTTAGCTTATCGATATTGGAGGCGTTGGCGTACTCAAGATTCGCAAGGTGCCAGTTCAATAGTCGCATATCCTTCGGTGTCAGAGGCAGCATGGCTTCATACTGCTTAATTCCTTCGTCCATCACGGCACCTAGGGTTTGTGCCTTAGAGGCGCTGACGATCGGGTCCAAATCAAGTGTGTCATGTGCTGAAAAACCAGGGTTCAGCTTCCATCCCATTGCCTGAGCAGCCAAAGCTGCAGGATATTCTTTTGAAGGACCCTCAAGTTCCATTACTGTGTTGTTGGTCGGTTTAATGTCCGCCGTTTTATGCCCTACTCCGTGCCGGCGACGAACTCGCTTTGTAGGAACCAGGAGATCAGTTGTGCCTGCTGCACGTGCATCTTCCCATTGTCGAACTGTGAGGCCATCATCTGACGTTGATTCTTTTCCATTGTCGATCCGGTCTTGGTCACCCTCGGCGGTCGTCTTGACAGTTTTCTGATGGCGATAAAGTCCAGTTCGCTCCAGAACATCATTGTGAAGTTTGTTAGCCATTGCATCTTGCAATTCGTGGACAGGGGAACCGTCGACGTCATAAATAGTAGAAATATCGCGAAGGAAGTGGTAATGAAGGGCCAATTGGCCGCGAACAATGGCGTCCAGAGGATTCCCATAATCAAATCCAACAATGATCTGCGCACCCATCTCCACCTTCGGAACGAGGCCCTTGGGTAACATCCGAGATTTGAGACTCTGCAATGGGTGCGAATAAACTCGTCCACCAATTCTTTGACGGCCCTCAATAACGATGACTCGTGGGGCAGTATCCGAATCGCGGTAGTGGCGAAAGAGCCCTTCAAGCTGCCGCGCACAGCCCAGGCCTCCAACACCGGCTCCTACAACCAAGATCACAGGTCCTTCCTTCCGGCGACCTCGTCGTGGAGGCACAAACGGCATGGGGACCTCAACACAGCCGAAATTGATGTATCCGCTGCGCGCAAGCCAGTCAAAAGCGAAAGAAGCCAGATTCATCCAGCGATAGTCCTTGGCACACCCGAGAGCTTCTTCTCTAGTGACACCGACCATGGGGTTGCGCGTCCAAAGACGTAAAATGCCGTTTCGGATGTTCAAGTACAGAGTAACATGCAAATGACAAAGATGATCTTGTAAAGCTTCTTGTTCTTTTTCGTGTAGAGCATATGGGTTGAGACGCGATGACCATGCAGCAGCTACACACTGCTGGCCATACACGGCAGGCTTCAACTTGGGTGGAATGGATGAACGAGGCCGGCATTTAGATAAATCAATCTTTTTGCTCTCCAACACACTCACACCTGTAGATGAAGACGACATAGGTAAGGACTGTGCAGGAGTAGTCGGTGGAGTTGATGACTTTCCTGCCTCGAAGGAAGTGAAAGAGGTAGATGTAACCGAGTCGTTGGAGGTGCTGATGCTCCCTCCCAGGTATGGCTCCCTCTGAAGCCCCTGAAGGGCCTGAATATCATTTGAAACCGTGATCTGTGAATTGAATGGACGAACGCCAGGTTTGTGAGAATCTTGCACGGCCATGGTGGGGAACGGTTGAAAGGCATCTTGAGTAGGAGGAGTCGAAGTTCGGACTTTCTTCAAAGGGGGCTCCGACTCATCGGATTGAGCGGAAGCCATATTTTCTTGTTCATCAGCAGGTGAAAAAGTAGTGACAGTAGGATTTGATATAAGCGGATTGGGGAATGGAAGTTCGCTGGGAGGGAATCCAGCAAGGGTGGGAAGTTTCATAGACGGCGTGGCATGCATGGTCAAGGGAAGTAAAGGCCTCGAAATGAGATTGTCAATCTGAAATTCCAAAGGCGAGGAAAAACAGAGAGCCTCCCCATCTAGTTCTCTGCGATAGCTCTTTTCGATGAAGCTTTAGGTTCTCCCAGTGTTGTATCAAATCATCAGCCACGATTATCGAACGGCAAGAGTCCGACCCATGTTTACTGCAGGGAAGATTTGCATCGTTTCAAATAGCATTACCGGAGTACTCAAAGGATTGACGGAATCAAATACTCTGCATCATGGTTAGATGCAATGTATATGGAGTGGTTCATATCTGAGTTTTCTTTTCTGCCGGGAAGTGTAGATGTGGCGCTGGAGTAACCGGGGCCATCGGGGGACAAGGGGACCACCACATACATTTGCGTCTCCCCCACAAACTCATGGCGATCTGCAAACGGACCGGCATCAATCGAGATACAATTGGGAGTCCGTTGGTTCATGAGCGAAGGGGAAGTTCAAGAAGCAAGTCGCCGTTGGTCCCGTTGTGCCTTGATTCCTCGGTGCGGGGCGTATTTCTCAGTCCGCCTATGGCACTCGACTACGACATGGCCCGCGAGACGTTTTTATAGTATCGCAAGTATCGCAAGTATAGCACCTCGAAACAACTACAAACGAGCCAGCGAGCCGGGAGCCATTCGTAATTCCCATGCATAGGATTACGGCAATCCAGCTAGATTCGACAAGAGAGCACCAAAGAATTGTATTTGCACGAAAATAACCAGTATTGCAACAACCGAAACCCCCTTCCATAGGTAAGTATCATTATCTATTCATCCCACTCGACCGAGAACCGCTCGAAAAGCTCCTTTCCAAGGTTTCCTTCAGGTCGGCCGTGCGATGTGGCTGTGGAGCCCATAGGCCTCATCCGCATCACCCGGGAAGTCATCCGAGTCATTATCCGTGAAATCATCATGGTAGGACCGGCGGTTGGTTTTCTTCCAATGACCTGAAGGGTCGCTGTCACTCTCGTCCGCTAGATCAAGATCGACTTGATCGTCATCAAATCCAATGCGCTCTTCTTCATCGCGAGCAAGTATTCGGGCCGCTTCGTTGGCATCATCATCATCAGAGAACCTGCCGTGGGGCCGGTGGGCGGCATGGTCGCCCTCGAGGGATTCTCGAATTTCAGCGCGCTCTTTGGCTTCAAGTTCTTTCGCACGAGCCAAAGTCCTGTGGAAATGGGAACAGGACTAGATCAGCAACTTGAATCGAGATATATACGCCCACAAATGTGACATAGAAGAAATTGCGAGACTTGGGGGAGGGGGTGGTTTCAGAGAACGAACCTGTTGTAAATATAGTAACCAGTGAAAGCTCCCACACCAATTGTCACAATAATACTAATGATGTTCACGGCCTTGGAGCCGGCACTCATCTGTTCGCCCTTCTCGGAAAGAAGACGAATACGACTGCCGATAAAGGCCGGGACTAGCAACTTCGGGCAGATAATGGCCGTGGCTAATCCATACATCAAGGGTTGCACCGTAGGAAAGGTAGACACGGCGCCATTGCAGATGGAGTAAGGTAAGGGACACAGACGGATCATGCATAGAAGCTTCAGACCATCATACTTCAATGTCAGTGATAGCGCCGCAAACCGCTTGTCGTGTTCCATCAGGCGCTTCACAAATTTGGATAGTACGGTACGTGAAACATAGAACGAGGCGGTCGATCCGAGGACGGTCGCAGTGGTATAGAGAATCCATCTATGAAAGATCGAGGGTCAGCTCAGGCGCATTTCTCCATCTTATTCTCCAAGAACGCGATGCTTGTAGTCGATTCGGAATGGAGTCCACTTACCCCTTCCACCATCCAAATATGAAGCCTGCCACCGTGCCAAAAGTCGACCACCCCACCAACGGCGGGAATGAGACAAAAAAGACACAGAGCCACAGGACAAATGCGGCCAACGGGGAGCGCTCCCATCTTTCAGCGACTGGGCCCAACCAGATGAATATCTTGCCCGTCAAAACCATGAAGCCAATGCCCAATGCCCCTACCAACAGTGATGCGGCATAGAAGCCGATTTTCTGCCATAATGTCATCCCTTCCCATCGTTCCCGGACCTTGCTGTATAGTTCTTTGGTGCGCTTCACCGTGCGTTCGCGGAACCCGCTTGCCTGTTCATCCGACCAGCGCGTCGAGGAGTCCCGGCAGCCCGACCGACTCCAGGGCAGTTGGTTCTCGCTGCCCGGCGATGGTGGATCGGGCTCCGACGGCGACGTCGAGAGCGCCAGTGCCCGCGCTGTGGACTCGTAGTCCGCAGGCATGGTGGGCGAGAGCGCGGTGTTGGGCAACAGGGATCAGATCGGATCTGGGGGAAGCTTGGAAACGACGATCGGCGGGTTGCGGAGGCGGGAACCAGAACGCAATGGGTCGGGGATGCTTCAGGGTCCGTGACAGAGGTGAATTGCGACGAAGAAATGACGAAAGGTGAGCGGACAACGTGGTGCGACCCTGGTAAACGGGTCTTCCCAATCTCACATGGGGGCGGAGTCCAAAAGAAAAGCCAAGGCAGATGTCTCGGCCATTTGGTATTTGCCCCCCCTCAAAAGCGGATCCGTCGGAGGTTTCGGAGCGGTGTTGATGCTGGTTTCGATCTACATGGGACCCTGATTGTATGGCTGGACCCCTGTGCGCCCGGTGGAAACTTTATAGAAGCTTTAAAAAAGTATCAACCATGCTTTGGGTGATTGCGGAGGCGTAATGGAGGTGATAGGCACGAGAGCGTTTGCCCTATATTCCGGTTGAAAAACTATGTGGTTTGGTGATGCTCGGTCGCACTGGTTTCCTCATAGCAATAAAGTGCATTTGCCCCCTTTTCATAAATCAAGGTCACCGGAAGGAGAAGCAACTAGCCCTAGGGTTTCATTTTATGATTCCCATTCATCTTGCAAATTGAATTTTTCCTGTTGGGCGTTCAATTGCTGGTGATATCTGGAAAGAAGAACGGAGCCTGGAAGCAGCGGTCGGAGGCATTTTAGGGCTCAGGGACGTGAAACTATAACCACCATTGAACGCTCTGAAAACACAACAAATCATCGACAGGATTGTCAAGAGTCCTAGGATCATCATACTGAACTATGACTGACAGTCAGACAAGTGAGGCCCGACCCCCAATAGAAGAGGGGACCGGGTACATGGAGTGGTACATGGCGCTAAGGCACAAGGAACGGAGGAGGGAGAACCGCCCGAACGGCCTGTTCTCCGTCCACCAAACTAAAGTCCGGAATCCTCAGGCCGCCGTAGCCCATCCCATGGATTCCACTCGTCCTCCTTTCTCCGCCCCCTCCTTTGTTTTCATCCCACCAATTTGACTCGCACCGCTATTTGAACTTCTTGTTGCTTTGCGCTGCGATGTAATCGCTGTCCTTTGCGCGACACGTGGTCTTCTTGAATAGTGACTCGCACCCCTTTTACCAGCCTGACAGCTGCCTATTCACCCCTCCGACACATCTTGCTTATCAGGAGGCATGGATCGCGGCCTCTGACGCCCGATCTATATCGCTCATTGTGATTGTCTCTCATACTTTCCGCATACCCACCCTCTCGGATTGACTCGCCGACTCCGATTGACTATTGACGCTCACGATCCGATCTTACTCCCTTCCCCCCCCCCCCCCCCCCCCCCCCCGTGAGCACATTCAACAACTATTCGCATACATCCCACCATGGTCTCCGAAGAACTGCTTGAGAAATGTCTGGAGATCCTCCAGGACCAGGCGCTGGATGAAGAGGAGCAGGTCGAGAAAGTCGAGGATTTCTTGCGCGCAAACTCCTCATTGTCCGGCTCATCGCTGGAGAACGCGGTCCTGGACATCCTGTGGCGGCATCGCAATCGAACACTGCCCGACTCCTCCCCTCCTCCAGCTCGACATACCGTCATTCGTCGGTCCTCCCCTGCTCCGTGGCAGGTGGCACGCGCTTCAACACCGCTATCGCCTCAACAAACCCTCGGAAGCAGTCCCGGGGGTTCCTCATGGGTGCAGAACTCGCGCGGGGCATTCGTACGACCTCCGCTTTCCTCCACCGCGTCCCCGTTTACCTCTCCACGGCCATCCCCCCGTCTGGCCCTGGCCCAGCCGATTCCACATTCCCCAAATTTAAATGCATATGAATTCTCCGATCAAACCAGCCAGATTTCTGATTTCTACGGCGATCTGGGCGGCGATACCAACGTTGACTGGCTGGTCGGCGATGATGCGAACAGCACCACGTCCTCCATCGGCCCTGCAGGGCTGAGTGCGACAGCAGCGGAGTTTGTGCCGGACATGAGCCCGCATGATATCCTGCGCACCGTTTTGGGCGACAAACGATCGAATGATGAGATTGAAGCAGCGCTGGAAGCCAATAGCTATGACCTGGGAGCCACCATCGCTGCTCTCTCTCAGGATTCAGATGCAGATGCGATATTAAAGCAAGCGGAGGATAATCGGGTGCTGGTGGGTAAATCCATGGCGATGGAACAGGTCCGTCCTGTGACACCCTTGGGGAATGGGCGCAGTCCTGTGGTTTGCAAGTATTGGCTATCTACTGGGCAATGTCTTCGTGCAGACTGTCGATTTAGTCATGATTTAACGAGTCATGTTTGCAAGTAAGTGGGCCCGCAGGAGGTTTCTCCCTCTCGATGTTATAGGGCGTGGTACTAACAGATTGGGGTCAGGTACTGGGTTATGGGCAACTGCCTGGCAGGTGATGGTTGTCCGTTTTCACACGATCCATCGGCCCTAATATCGAATCTCAGTGTCTCCGGAAGTAGCAGAGCAGCATCGCCTGCCCCCGGCTCTCCGTTCCAAGTTGAGAGTGGTTCGGAGGCATTTCCTCCCCTGTCATCGGGAGGAATGGTAGACCAGTGGATCAACCAGCATGGAGGCCGGTACCGTGGTCTTCATCCCGGTCCCCAGGGGAAACAGACTCCTCCTGGGCTTCTTCCAACCATGGACAGACGCAATGGCAGTTTGACACACCTCGGACGTCCAAATTCACGTCCAACTAGCCGCCACCAGAACCGAGAGCTGAACCCGGCTGCGCTGTCTGTAGATGACCCCGATGCGTTCCCAACACTTGCTGCCGTCAGCGCAAAGACTGCTGGCAAGAAACACCATGGGAAACGAGGCGTCCACGGCCGTGACGCTGTCAAGGAGAACATTCCATCATCTCTGGCTGATGTCGTTCGCATGTCGCCGTCGCCTGCCCTCCCTCGGGGCAAGACTGCAACCAAAAGCACCAAGGACACCAAGGGTCGGGAAAATAGCGCGGCGGCTTTGGCAATTCCAGCTCCACAAAACATCCCTTGGCTTGAGACTGGCGCTCGCGCAAACCAGCAGTACATCAAATATCGCACAGAAGCAATTCGTCACGGGACTGTGCGCAACAAGTTCTTGCAAAGGTTGGTGATTCTACTCAATTCTTACGAAACTCAGTCCCATGAGATGGCGAGAAACAAATATTCAGGATCACTTCGCTAATATTCTTGATTTAGTGCTGCCCAAGCATGGAACCGAAGCGATGCCCGAGCTGCAAAAGCTCTTTCTCTTCGCGGACAGGCGGAGAATGATGCCATGCGCCGCTGCCACCGAGAAGCCGCACGCCAACTTTATGAAGAACGCAATCAACATCTCGTCCAGGCAGGCCTGGACGAGTCATCCGAAGAACTTTACGTTGATCTACACGGCCTCCACCCCGAAGAAGCAATTGAATATCTAGAGGGAATCCTCCTAAAGCATGCTCGAGAGGGCATCCGGGTTCTCTATGCTATCACAGGCACCGGCCACCACTCCAAGAATGGGAAAGATAAAATCGGCAAAGCCGTAAAGGCGTGGCTAAATGAATGGCGATATCTGTTTCGGGAGTTCAGTGTGCCCGGCGAGCGAGGGGGTTATGTTGGAGGCATTCTGGGCATCGACCCTACTAGCTATGACAAGTCTATTGCCAGAAGCTTGGTGGAAAGCGAGGTTTCTGTGGCAGATGGAGGACAACCGAACTTGACGATGGGTAAGATCCAGCTGCTTAAGCGCGAGGATTTGACCACGGCATAAATGACTTGATGTGGCATGATACCCAGCCATTTGCATTCTATGAAGAGCCTCTTTCAATACCCGAAATACTGATATTTTACTTTCTGATTATCAATTTGCGCCAGAAGTCTTACTCCAGACCTGTCATTAAAGGGGGTTTCAGATTATTCTGAGGTCTTTTCTTATAAAGGCGAGCTGTATTTACAGTCTTTGACCCTAGAAGGTGTTCCAAATTCCATTGACCTCGAATATTAATAATAATAAACCTTGGTCTATAATTCAGATACACGAGAATCCAGAATCCTTGCTTACCTTTAGTTTCCTTGTAGACAGATGACGGAAACAACGGGCAAGCCAGAAGAGCAATATACCTACATATAGATCTCAGGGAATATTTACTGACGCATATACCAAGACATCTAAAGCTCGATATTTAGAATCGTTCTATTCTTTAATAGACATGTACACCATAGTGTAGCCTCACTAGATTACTTAGACCCTCTTTGGTCGACTATGCTGAATTTGCTTTTCTTGTACCTGATTAAAAGTGGAGCTTCTTGTTATCATTACGCCTCTCATTTCCATACTTTTGAGCCATTGCGGGCCAAGGGACTCCACTATTCTGCCATCCCCGACCGCCTCAAGGGCCGCGTTGTTAACGTGGACACAGGCAACATTCGGAACCACATCAGTTCTCAGCTAAACCAGGATAGCTGGGACTTTGCTGGTCAACTGGGCTTCTTCAGATATCAGAGCCATTGGTTCTTTCTTGTCAATCATGGATCAACCACAACAGCAAGGTGACCTGAACTGGCGCCTTAGCGCCCATCCGATCACGCTACTTGTCTTCTTGGGAATCCGCATTGGTTTGTGAACTCTCGCCTTATATTCATTGTTGAGAGATCTCCGGTCTGACATATCTGATATAAAGGTGCTTTGCTGATGTATCTCTTCGGGCTCCTTTTCATTGACAACTTGTAAGAAAGAGATCCTCCCCATCAGAAAGATGTATTCTTTATGGCGCTTTGAGCTTCACCCCGCTAACACGCGTGCCTAGTATCCTTGTGTTCATCCTGACCCTTCTTCTTCTCTCTGCGGACTTTTATTATCTTAAGAACATTGCTGGGCGGCGTCTTGTGGGCCTACGGTGGTGGAACGAAGTCAATACTGCTTCCGGCGACTCACACTGGGTCTTCGAATCCTCTGACCCCAATGTTCGCACCATCGCTGCCACCGACAAGCGCTTCTTCTGGCTGAGCCTGTATCTGGCACCCGCTTTGTGGGTGGGACTGGCTATTCTAGCTATTGTGCGACTGGTCAGCGTCATCTGGCTCAGTCTGGTTGGTGAGTGCTACCTATGCCCGCATCGCGGGAAGCCTGCTTGATGAGACTTGAAGACTTACTTATTGTATGCAGCTATTGCGCTTATTCTCACAATTACAAACACTGTTGCTTTCTCTCGATGTGACAAGTTCAGCCAGGCAACCACATTCGCCAACCGGGCCCTTGGTGGCGGAATTGTGAACAATCTTGCAGGTGGCCTGCTGGGCAGGTTCTTCCGGTAATTGAGGCAATAATGCACTATGGTATTCCCAATATGGGCTGGCTAAGATGATGTGGTGGCTTGGCTCTCGTGATGTGTATTTGTCTCTACTGTGTTTCTATAAGTCAATTATATTTACATTGCATGATTCGTAACGCGCAGTATGCCTTCCTGAGGGTAGTTTGTTGATAATTACAGGTGAAGAGCTCAAACATGAGGGTGTGAAGTTTTTCCTATTTGAGAAACCACTGACACCTCATCTCACCTCCCTTCTTGTTGACCTCATGTCCTCTCTTGTTTTCTTTTCCACCTTCACCATCTTGGTTTCTCCCTTCCACAACTCCTTCCCTTCCCATCCAACAGCTTCAAGCTATCAGACGAGGAAAATTGTCAAGCACCTGGTGAGTATCTGCCTATCCATTGACACCCTGATCACAAAAGATGAGGTTGAGAGATGACATCTTTTTGCCATCTTCGATCAATTATTTACGCCATCTATTTTGCTTCTCCACTGATTCACCCCTGCTCACAGCGGAATCCTGCGTCGCCTGCGCCCTGAAAAACTTATTACATGTGATTTTGGCACGACGACTAACCGTGGTACCTAAAGGTTGACCATCCAACGCATGATGTCCTCTGTGTGGGCAAGATCCTCGGAGGGGAACATCGAGTGGGAGAGCGAAAAACGTCCAGGCTTTGAGGAAGATGGTAGCAATCGTTGGATGAAAAAGTCTCAAGGAACGTCTCTCTCTCTTTCATGATCCGTGACCTAGGAAGACGATTGACGTTACTTTATCTAATGTTCAATAGGCTCTAAGCAAGAAAATGACAGTCCCGATCCCTTCTCTCCTCGAGAGTCTGAGCCTAAATGTGCTGTTTCCTGCCGCATGTAAGTCTCATATGTGTACTTGAAACATCTTTTGCCGACGACTGATGGAAGAAAAGCTGCGGTGACCCGGGGCACTTTGCTCGAAATTGCCCGAGTTCCAGTTCCGGGGGCGGTTGCTTCAACTGCGGTGAAGAGGGGCAAGTTCCCTTGAACCCATATATTCATGAACCGAAGAGAATCACAGAACGGTCAACACTGACTTCAGAGTGCAACAGGCATAATAAGGCCGAATGCCCCAATCCTCGCAAAGGCATGGGGGCATGCTTTAACTGCGGTGAAGAAGGGTGAGTTATCGTGAATAACTAATATACTCCGAACTGAACCCTGGAACATGATAGACATTCAAAGGTTGATTGCCCTAATCCCCGAAAGACCATGGGAGCATGCTTCAATTGTGGTGAAGAAGGGTACGTTACAATTTGCGAATATAATTGACACCACGAAGATGAAGTTTAACATCTTGTTACAGGCATTCAAAAGCGGACTGCACCAAGCCTCGTGTCTTCAAAGGAATTTGCCGTATCTGCTCGCAGGAGGGTCACCCTGCGTCGGCCTGTCCAGAGAGGCCTCCGGACATTTGCAAGAATTGTAAAGGCGAAGGTCTAGATCCTCCTACCATCTGCAACCTGATAGACTATAAGGAAAGGCAATGCTGACTTTGTGAATTAATAGGTCACATCGCACGGGACTGCAAGGCCAACCGCAAATTCGACCTCAACCACGTTGCTGACCGACTGCCTGATGAAGCTTGGGCAATGATGAAGGCTGCCAGCGAGGAGAAAGACCTTGTCGAGTTCCGAACGGTAAGATACAATCATATACCTCGATTTAGAAAATTATACTAAGAGTAGTGTCAATAGTCTTTGCAGGTGTACTCCAAGGCCGTCCCAGATGCGACTTATGCCGATATTGAGAAGAAAATGCGTAAAGACAAATTCAAAATCTTCCTCATTGGTCTAGTAGGTCACAACTATTTTTGAATTTATAGAATTAGAGAACTAACTCGAGTGATTTATCTACCTACAGGAAAAGGAGCCCGAAGACATCATGAGTTTGATTGACCTGCAGGGTCGACTGGACCGTGAATTCTTTGTGGGGGTCTTTTTTCTGACAAACCTATGCGTGCCAACCTTGACGACCGGTGGCCTCGTGATGCCGAGGACAACCTTGAACGACTAGGAAACGCAGGACTCCCATACGACCGCGGTATTATCAAGTGCCGAAACTGTGGCGGTAAAGTGGACACTGGATCCCTGCTAGCATGATGAGATACTTACCTTCAATTAGAAATGGGGCACAGTGCGCGTGGATGTAAGCAAGAAAAGACCGAAACAGAGAAGATTGAAATCAAGTGTACCAACTGTGGCGGTCTTGGCCACCGTGTTCGTGACTGCAAGGAACAACGTCGAAGCAAGTATGGATGTCGCAACTGCGGTTCTGAGGACCATGACGCCAAGGAGTGCCCAAAGCCACGCGACGCAGCTAATGTTGAGTGTCGTCGATGCAATGAAAGTATGATTCAAACTCCATGCCCCTGCCTTATGGAAAAATGTCACACTAACTATATGCAAGCCGGCCACTTTGCCAAGGACTGCCCTCAAGCATCTGAGCGTCCTGATCGAGGCCCTCGAACCTGCCGTAACTGTGGGTGAGTGCTTTAAACCATCAAGGACTGTATGAGCAGATGAATGGCGTTGTGGCTAACTACCGGAAAATTGCAGATCTGAAGATCATATTGCTCGCGACTGTGACATGCCGCGTGATCCGTCCACCATGACTTGCCGTAACTGCGATCAGAGTAAGCACCGTATTATTCCCAAGACCAAGGGACTGGTTTTCGACATTATATATCAAATAAATGATAACATTGTTACTGTTTTCAGCTGGACATGGTGCACGAGATTGTCCTCTGCCGAAGGACTGGTCCAGGGTCAAATGCAACAGATGTGGAGAGAGTACGTTATTGGTATATAGGAGCTGATATCGAAGATGAGCTAATAATCCTACAGTGGGTCACACTGTTCGCCGATGCCCCCAGCCCGAGGAAAATGAAGTCGAAAGTGTCAGTGGCCTTGACACTCGTGGCCCCGAGGGTCGCTGGAAGCCCGACGGTGAACGCAGTCCTCGATCGACTACTGCTATAGTCACCGAGGATGACCCCTGGGAGAGCGCTCAATCAATGCCTGCCAAAGAGCCGAGCATGGTGGAGGAAAAAGGGGATGAATACGGTGCTGGGGGAGAGGATGATATCGCGTACACACTCAAAGTCCAGTCTCTGCGGGATCGACTGGCAAATGTGGACTGGTGAACACCCATCCCCAAAGTCACTGGGGTGAGCTTTGATCTGGGTAAGGAGGGGGAATTGTACCGAAATTTTCTTCTCGGCTCTGCGTAACTTGAGGGTGGTCGGACGTTGACCGTGTTCGGGATGCTTAACAAGTGCCCTGCAGATGGATGGTGCCCGATGGGTGGTATACAGCAGTGCGGGATCGGTTCGGCAAGATTCATCTCGTGAGCAGATTGGCTCTCTCTAGCCTACTTTTTTTCTTACTACGGATATTCTTGCTTGCTGGAATTGAAAATGCTGCGCGCTCCAGATGACGAGGAGACTTGATCTGATGGCCATATTTCTTATCCCTTAATCTCCATCCAATCGAGTTTCACATTTCTGGCATCGCACCTTTCACGCTATCCATTAATTGGCTACTGAGAGTTACGCCAAGTCGAAACATAGATCCATATTCTCGGCCACGATGCCCTTAGTGTCAGAATACCAAGCAGATGAGCAGCAGACGGGGCCGGTTGCATTCGTGCATGGGCTAGAGGCATCAAGTGATGACGGCATTGTGCCGGATGAACCGCGTCCTGCACAGACCTTTCGGGCCCTCACAACCAGGGAAGACAATGCGCACCTCCCCGACTCACCAGCCTTCAGTTCCTGACCGGTATCCCTAGACTCGGCCTTGCCAGACCCTGGGCCCTCTCGGCGCTGCCGATCCAGCCGCATTGGGATCTCGATACGCCGGCAGATTGATTAACCTTTCGGTGTGCGCGTTCGACCGGTTCTCTTGACTATGAGGGCAGGGATTCCCAGCGTCGAATTGAGCGCAATGATCTCATCCCACACGAGCCTGCTTGACGGTCTGATCGTCTTTCGACCATCCACAGGCAAGAAATAGGAATGGCGAGCTGGACGATACAACGGGGCACTGTGCATTGCCCAAGTGTTCTGAGGCCGGGGCTGTAATACGCGGTTCTGACGATGTTACGGGCGTATTTTGGGCCGTTCGCTGAATCCGGAGCCCCAGCGAGATTTCTCCAGTTTCTAGGCGAGTGGGGTGTCTGTAGGCTATGGCCTCGAAAGAAGCTAGTGGTCGTGAGGAGTAGATGATGTCTCGTCCGAGTCGACTTTTAGAAGTATCATCTTGGGGCAGTTTTACGTCCTACACCCGACAATCGGTCCTCCATGTGTCTAGATATTTTCCGCGGCTACTTTCCGGGCAACAATTCGAAAAGCGAGGTGCTCCGAAGCAGCCCATTGAATGCATTGTTTGAGAGACGGGAAAGGCTTTTTTAAGCTTTTGGTGGTCAATGGTGGCGTTCAACGTGACTCGTGCAGGAACCAGATGGGCGGGAGACGAAAAGTAGTACGGAGTATAGAGTACACCAGGGCCCGACGCAAGCCAGACCCCAAATTTTTTCAGTGGTGCTCTATTTCTCAGGCATGGAACCGTGGGTGATGAATCAGAAATGGCCTTCGATCCAGCAGCATTCATTACGAGTGTCAATCCAACCACTCTCCACCAAGATCATGGCAGACCGGGATCCACGTTGGCGAAACGGGTTCTCCCGATCGGGCAGCCACTTTCGCGGGACGCCATTTTCGACGAGAGAGCAAAGGAGATCGAGAGGTGTTGAGTGGGATCCCACCTGAACGGTTGTTTCATTAACCACTGCATCAAAAGTACTCGGTAGTCTATGCAATATAGGTGCAACGTACTCGGCCTCTGTCTGTTCTACCGACCTGAAAGGCTGGAGTGCCGAAACAGGTATCCCGCTCACATGGGGTCCCCGGTATTTCGGCCCCAACCGAGCCGGGGTATCGCTGCCTGCGCGAGGAGGGCTGCATGCTATGCATACATCGCATGGGATTCGATCTCTCGGCGGCTCTCGAGGAAACAACCTCGAAAGAGCTCGCATCCATTCGAAGTTTCTCTATGGAGCATAGTTCAGAACCAATTGTCCTAATTTTAGTGCAATGGTGCTTACTTTGGAGTTGAAATAGCTACTGGGAAATTCCAAGATGATGTCATAGTGTTCGTTACCGTCGTGCGATCGTCCATTGCTTCCCAGAGGCCAGAGACCGGTTTTCGGCTCATCACTAGTGGATAGACGGTCTCAAACAGCCAAGCTATACAGAACAAGGACAGAGTAGTTCTTGCCCATTGATGGCGCGTAGAGTCGCCGAGGAAGGCAAGTACTTCCCTGCTAAGCAATGAATTCTGCCTGTTATCTGGAACTGGGTATTGGCGCGGGAGACGCAGCATCCGAAAGCCGAGTCCATTTCCATTAGCAAATTGTCGGAAAATGAAAATCGCCCGAGAACAAGGTCTTCCTTGAGACTCCAACCAAGGCCACTGAAGAATCGCGGCACGGACAGGATGCCATTTGAGACCTGATGAAATGCTGTTTGAGATGACGGAATAGACCATCCGGGCCCTGGACAGGATTGGAAGCCGATGCCGTGGCTGGTCGAGCGTCCCCGCTCGCCGATCCCGATCACATCTTGGATGCCGTCCAGATATCGGGATCAACGACACCGTTTTCCCTTACACTCCAGGCCGAGTAAAATGTAGAGCAAAAGAAGTACAGCAATATTAAGAGCGCATCCTCTGGCGGTCGATCACATCGAAATTAGTGCAGTCTCCCAGTCTCTGAGCATTCCGGGGAGGGTCCCTCCACCAGAGATGCCACCACACCACACACAGTTCATGGGAGGAGAAGGCCTGGAGACTGTCAACTACCTCTTAGTTCGATACTAGACCGTTGGTGATTCCCAATACTCCGCAAAGCTAGCAGCATTACCATTCACGTCATCGATCGGTCCGAGGTATTTCCTGAAAGCAGCCGACTCCGACCGTAGCATACCGCGTACGGTAAGCCGTACGAGAATACGGCGACGATACTGGGACGACTCTAGCGATTTCCCGACTGCTCGGCTCTCCTGTTCTACTCCGTCCCCGCTGGGACTGTACTGGTTTCTCAGTGGAACCCAATGCCAAAACAAGGAGAGCAAGAGAATCATACTGGACGATGATTTGCCGGTCACCCCTCAAGCGGAGCTGAGCACGTTAGGTTTGGTATATTGACTCGACTTGCTGGGCCCTGGTCCTGTCTAGCTCGTCGGGATAGATGCTTAGAAGGCTAGGATACTTGGGTGGGGATGCAGCATCTCACACTCCTATTGCCCGATCCGGCGACATGGAGGCATCACCAATGCGACCTTTTTACTGGTTTCTCTTTCAGGACGAGGCCCCGTCGTTTTCGATGCCCACTTGAGCCCTCCAATCCCTGACCCTGCAGGTGGAGGAGCCCACACGCTGGCGCTGTGATATCGGGCCTTTTTAAAACCCCAGGATCCTTCCCCGGACAGAACCTTTGAGGGACCCTTTTTTTTTTTTTACACAGCCACCATTTTTCTTCTCCTTTTCCGTCAATTGGGTTGGACGTGCTCGTGGACTTGACTCGCGCCCCGCCTCCCTTCGTGCTGTTGTTGTCGCCCACATTTCTACAGGCGTATCTCTATGATCAGTCTGACCTGTCTCAAGGATTATCTGCACCCTAACTAAAAGTTGAGGACACAACATATCGCCATCATGAAGCCGTATTTTGGCTTGAGGGGCACATCCCTGAACATCATGATCAGTATCATTGCTGGTCTGGATTTTCTGTAAGTTCAACCTTCCTTCTGCCCCATACACCATATTCAATTAAATTGACTAACTCTCCTTTCTCTATAGACTATTCGGCTATGACCAGTATGCTCAATATCACAGGCTTGGCAATAATTGGCCCAATAGATACTAACTAGTCCATAGGGGCGTCATGGGTGGTCTATTGACATTGAACTCATTCGTCACAACGTTTCCACAGATCGATACTACCAAGGCCGGCGAAATGGGCCTCACCCAGGCCCAGCGGACTACTCGGTCATCCGTGCAAGGTATCACTACAGCCTCATACAACCTGGGCTGCTTTTTTGGTGCCATCTTTTGCATCTGGATTGGAAATTGGCTTGGCCGTCGGAAGACCATCTTTACAGGCTCCATTATCATGGTCATTGGCGCAACGCTGCAGGCCTGCTCTTACTCACTCCCACATCTTATTGTTGGCCGCATCGTGACTGGCCTTGGAAACGGCATGAATACTTCTACTGTCCGTAAGTGATCGACTACCATCAATCGGAACATAAATCCTTTTTCATCCCTTCAACTATCCCTCTAATTACTTTTTTTTCTAGCAACATGGCAATCCGAGTGCAGCAAATCTCATCACCGGGGCCAGCTGGTTATGCTGGAGGGAGCTTTGATTGCCGGTGGTATTACCATCAGCTACTGGATCGACCTTGGATTCTCCTTCCTTGATCCTAGCTCGGTGGCTTGGCGATTCCCGATCGCTTTCCAGAACTTTTTTGCACTCATTATTCTGTTTTTTGTACTTCCTCTGCCTGAATCTCCTCGTTGGCTGATTCTCAAGGGTCGCGAAGAAGAATCAATGGTGGTCTTATCGGCTATCTTGGATCTACCAGAAAATGACCGATATGTCCACTCTGAGTTCGCCGCCATTAAGGATGCCGTGCTCGCTGATCAGTCGGTCAGCTTCCGTGACCTTTTCACAATGGATGAGAACCGTCACTTCCACCGTGTTGTCCTCGCCTACGTCAATCAAATGTTCCAACAGATTTCGGGCATCAATTTGATTACGTACTACGCTGCCACGATATACGAAAAGTCCATTGGTATGGACGGTCTGATGTCCCGTATTCTGGCTGCGTGCAACGGAACCGAGTATTTCCTCGCGTCTTTGATCCCCATTTTTATCATCGAGAAGGTTGGTCGCCGACCCCTGATGTTAATTGGTGCCGCCGGAATGTCCATCTCGATGGTGGTTCTTGCTGTCACTACTAGCTTTGTGGGTCAAACCAAGCCTGGTATTGCCGCTGCGGTTTTTCTGTTTGTCTTCAACACCTTCTTTGCTTGGGGCTGGCTTGGTATGACTTGGTTGTATCCGGCTGAGATTGTAAGATTCTGATACCATATTCTATTTCTGATGTCCTTTGCCTTAACTAACAAATCACAGGTTCCCTTACGCATTCGTGCTCCCGCCAATGCTCTTGCCACCTCCGGAAACTGGATCTTTAATTTCTTGGTGGTAATGATTACCCCTGTTGCATTCGACTCAATTGGCTATAAGACGTACATTATTTTCGCTGTGATGTGAGTCTCTTCCACTGGCTTTTTTTCTCTTTCATCAATCTAACAGAACCCTAGAAATGCTTTCATCTTCCCAGTCGTCTACTTTTTCTACCCAGAGACCGCCTACCGATCTCTAGAAGAAATGGACACAATCTTCAACAAGACTACCAGTGTTTTCAATGTCGTCTCCGTCGCCCGCAACGAGCCTCACCGCTATGGCAAGAACGGCGAGCTCCTCATCAACTACCAGGACACCGAAGAACATCTCCGTCGCTCCAGCTATGTCTCCGACAAGCAAATTAAAACTCAGTTTACCTCAGGCTCTGACCTGGAGAGCGGCAAGGGCGGCACACACGTTGAAAACCCCCACAGCAGCGTGTCTGACAGCAACTAGGCATTATTTCTGGCCTGCTTGTAAAGTCTCCAAAAACATGCTTTTATGCTCTTCCACGTTATTGCTCGAGATATTTTTCCTGCGCAAAGGACTACCGATTGAATGTCTTACGAAACTTCCATCTTTTGTCATCGCCCGTCCTTGCCTTTCTGACCTTGTGGAGCTGGAACAAACCCCAAAGGCTCATCATGCGAGGACGGATTCTATCGATTGGCTTTTTGCTTTTTGTTGGGGGAACTTATTGGCTCTGCGTGATGTCTTTTATACTATACCCATACCCTTGTGTGCATGATGGTATCTTCTTTATACACAGCGATGATTACATTCTGCAAGGCGCAGAGGCTTGAGTGCGTCTGTGAATTGTAACTGTGATCAACTATACACGACCTGTATGAAGTTGATGGAGAAAATGTACGAGAGAATTAAATTAAACGTTTTCAAAGATTTTATTTTTGCCTCAAGTTATAGATCAAATTACGTCAAGGATGGAAACGGTGATATTAGATTTCGTGGTAAATTTAGATCCTCAACTCTGGGAGATCAATCATATACTTCTCATCCAGATAGTAAACAAACGACATGGACAAGACCAAGGAGTACTGGCGACAGTATTATAATCCGAAAGCCAGACCACCAAACACACCTGCCAGGGCAGCTCCCATCAAGACCATGTGCCAATCAGCCGATAGTCCACTCGCGGAACCAGGCACGCCGCCACCTTCATTGGACGAAGAGCCTCCGCTAGAGCCTCCGCTAGTGGGGGCAGCAGTTGCCACTGCAATTGTGACAGGCTCAGAAGAGCTCTTCAGCGAGGTTGCAGAGGCAGGAATATAGTCGGAATAGAAAGAGATACTGTATGAAAATGAAGAGCTGGCATCGGCACTATCGGTCACATAGGCAGACCAAATAGTGGTAGTTGTAGTGCGTGTCGAAGTCACTGTCTTAACAGTATAGGGAGAATAGGAGGTCCAGAAGTAGAACCAGTAAGTCCTGGCGACGAGTCAGAAAAACGTATGCAATGGAACTTTCATGTGCAGGAATCTTACCAGTAGTAAGTCGTATAGTAATAATCGTAATCGGCATAGGTATACGAGTATGTCGCAGTGACACTCGCAGTCTCCGTCTCGCTTAGAGTGAGGGTACTACCCAAGCTTCCGCTATCACTTTCGCCAGAGCATCCCGACGAAGGACAACACACTTTCTCGCCATTGTAGATACGACAATGCTTGCCTGCTCGGCAGTAGTACCCCCCATTGCAACACTCGCCACCGACGGGGAGCAGTATCCTGCGTTCCCGCAGCAATTCCATCCTGAAGGACATGTTCCTACCGTGCAACAGGTATCGCCAGGGTCAGCACAGTACCCATTCCCGCAGCAGCTGGTGCCCGTTTGACAACAACGAGACGTGTCATAGGCACATTCACTGTATCCAACATCGCATTCCCAGACCCTGCGCTCAAGCCCAAAGAGGTCGCGAGAATCAAGGGTGCCGGTGTTGGCGAGAACCATGGATGCGTTCCATAGTTGTTGAGGCTCGTCTTGGAAAACCTCACCGGCAGCCAGGGTAGCAAATAAGGCGAGTAGGGACACGCCCACTTTCTTAGCGCCGATAACCATCGCAAGGAGTTGTGTACTCAGCAATGAATCGGGGGAATGATATAAGGTGTTTCTCGAATATTTGATACGAATCTATTCCCATGAAAGCTAAAAGGAGGCGGCAAAAAAAAGAGGTCCTGGCTCCTGAGCAGGGCAATAGCTTAAATAGATGCTCGATGGGACCCTGCGGCTCCGGGATATTGTAAGATGGACCAGTAAAGCAGCGAATTGGCGCATGCAAACTGGACCTGGGCGTGACCTGAAGGGGAATATGGCTGTGGCTGTCGAGCTTGCTGGCGAATACGAGCCTCGGATGCTTGGCAGACCCTCGAGCCGCTTTTGCCCTGCATGATGTCGGGGCCGAATGCCGGTGACTAGGAGCAGAAGATAGAATATGGACCTCGAGAATACGTTGAAGTAGAACTTCAGATTGAAACCCGCAAGGACTCCATTGGGTTATGATCTGTATATAAACATGACTTTAGGACCCACGGTCGATCAACCGAAACGATTCCCGGATTGCGGCAAAGATGGGCAATTCATTCTGAATACGAGGTGAGAGTCTGAGCGATTCCCACAACAGAATAGTTCAAGATATAGTGTCTGAAAAAGTCCTGAGCGGTTTTCCAATAAGGCTTTTTTTCTTCAGATTTCAAAGAAATTTCGTGGGGCGTGCATCTGCAATCTGCCTTGCTGACCTTTACCAGTAGGAAGCTGGGTTGTTGTTAAGATGCAGTTCCACTCCATAAAGATAAGATGTGATGAGCTCACATATTTCACTAGCGTAGTGGGACACCCTACCACATACTATCTTTTCAAGGAACTATTTTTCTATCAAAACATTGGATTTATTGAGAAGCTATTGAACAGGCAGTGATTGATGTGATACCCTATATTACCACTCCTACAACACCGAAAAACACGCTATGTATGCTCAACGCTCCCCAAAATAATGATCAGATGAGGGAAGCTGAACAACCACTATAATCCCCGATCAGTCTTGTTTATTAGAGATGCCAATCGATCAATTATCAACTTTTATAAGAAATGAGAACGAAGCAGATACATAACGGAAGCAGGTAAGGAAGCAGTGGATGAAAGCGTAAAGGATATCACAACCATCAGATCCGAGACAGAATCGAGATATAGCACTGGAAATAAACGAGAAAGCACGGCAGGAAAGGGATCTTTTTTTTTGTAAATAGTGTTTGGTTGCGTCTATAGATAACTAGGGATATGGGAGAAATTGCAAATTAGTGTGGGGCGCAACCCCCTGGGAGAGTTTGGAGGGCGGTGTAAGGCACGAATGGGGCAAGACATTAAGGTTACTTGCTGAATGACATAAGCCAACCTATTCAAGCGTATGGAAACTCCAAAATCCAGTTCAAAGTAAATATCACGTGATACCACCGACACCGGCGGTTGAAGAAGGGAAGAAGCAAAGGAGGGATAGATCGGTGTGATCGGAATGAATCATTATTCCCCTATCAGCATACTGACAGGCGCTTGTGTGAATTGTTCCTGAAATTTTGTCAAATAGAATTATTCTGCGATTCGCTTAGAGTGCCGTATCCTCCCCGATCGAGTTTAACAAAGGTCATTGATAAGATGAGGAATGTAGCACCGTTTGAAGATTATTGTGACTTCAAGTTGAATAAATGCAAACATCCCTTGGTCTAGACAACAGGGCTCTATTTTTGTTGAAAATAAGCATGCGACGGCTGATTTTGCTAAATTACAATTTACACACGGTCATGTTCTTCATGGCAGCTCCACGAGATTCGTTTGTACCATGCCGCATTCTGACAGCGGTACCTCTGTAAGGGGATGGCCTCATCGGTAAGAGCTATTCCGAGCCCCATCAATCGAATGCCGACACTATGCGAAAGTCGCCAATGGGCAATAGTGGCCAAGAGCCATGAGTCAGAAGGGAATTTGGTTATCCTCGGTGAGCGATGTTTACCTGTTGGGGAGGCTTTTCCGTACGGCGCGGAGTGCCGAGGGTCGGAGGGATTTTCCCACCGAGAGACTTGCGACGCGCTCAACCTCAACAAGCTCAACATCTGCTGAGCTTCTTTTTGATTTCTTCAAGCGTTTTGGTCAAGTCATCGACACTTCATGTGAAAATCTTAATTTGTCTTTTTTTTTTGTTTGTTCTAACTAATTGCTCACCGGTATCTGACTCCGTCTTTGCACTGCCAAGAACACCCCTCGTCGCTTTATCAGATCTGAAAACGGGTGTTCTCCGCCTTCATTCTTTTTTTCTCCGCTCGGAGAACCTTGTCACAAGCGCGACAGCACACGGAGCGGACCGGGATTGAGTGACGGGATAAACATTATTTAAGGTAGGTTGATGCGATGGGTCCCTTTTTTTCTCGTTTTTCTCTTTTTAAGCTCCTCGCAACGGAGTTCTAGACCTCGCTCACGCTTGAATGATTTATTTCGCTCGGGAAATGCGACTTATGATATGACAAGACTACCCGCTGATCATATTACAGTTGCCTGGATCAAAATATCTCTTTTTTCTTTCCCGGGGCTTGCTGCTCATGGTCGTGATCGTTTGATTCTGCTCTTTCAGGCAAGAATACTCGACGGGTGATCCGTACGCCCGAGGGAAAAGGCCGGCAAAAGAAATAACAGCTTTCGACCGTCAGAAATGTCGACCGAACCCGGGCAGTCTGCACTTGGTGGCACTAAGGAACCTGCTTCCGATGATGTATACGAACAACCACAAGCTCCATCGGAGCTGACCAACACAGATGATCTTGAGCCTGGCGAGTTCAATGTGGAGAACATTGAAAGAATTTACAGGTATGCTAGATTGAAATCACATTTACAATTCAACTGGTCTTCATAGAAAGTGAAAGTGAAACTAACCACTTTCTCCTAGAAAACTTGACTGGCGCATTATTCCCGCATTTTGGGTCCTGTACTTCATGTGCTCGGCCATTCGATCAAACATCGGCTTGGCGCAGACCATGAACGAGGATTCGGGACACGACCTTGCCAGTGTTCTACATCTAAATAATCACCAGATTTCGACTGGTCTGGCTCTTTTCTATGTTTGCTATGTCGTCTTTGATTTGCCGTCCAACCTCGTCATGACCCGCCTGAGTCCGCATGTGTGGATGAGTCGTATTGTGATTAGTGTCGGTCTTATCGGGACATGTCTGACAGCAATGAAAGCCGCCTGGAGCTTTTAGTAAGTTCTCTAGAATACTCGTTCTTCTACGGACATCATACTCATATGTCTAGTCTTCTTCGTCTATTGCTTGGTATTGTCGAAGCCGGCCTGTGGCCTGGCATGACCTATTATCTCACCCTTTTCTACCCGCCTTCTCGCATCGGCAAGCGTATTGGACAGTACTTTACCGCAGCACAAGTATCGGCAGCTGTTGTTGGTCTCGTCTCCGCTGGATTCCAGAAGATGGACGGTATGCGAGGCTACGTCGGATTCCAGTGGATGTTTCTGGTATATGGTGTCCTTACCATTGCTCTCGGCTTCGCCCAGTTATGGTGGCTGCCAGACCGACCTGTGGCTCCTGGCGAGTCTGCTCCTGAACGCCATCGGCTTCTCCGTTGGCTGCCAGAAAGCCCCCCTGCGTTGGTTGGTAGGGATGCGGTCATCCACTATCATGATATGAAACGTGTCTACCACAACTCGAAGTGGAACATGCGGGATCTTCTGCATGTATTCATGGATTGGCGACTGTGGCCCTTGCTGATCATGTATTTCGGAGTTGTGGGTGTGGGGATTGGTGTGCAGCTGTACGCCAACTTGATTATCCAAGCCATCAACCCGTCCTTGAGTAGCATTGACGTGAGCCTGCTGACTGCTCCTATTTGGATTGTATGTGCTCCTGGTACTTCTTTTGAGTCCCAAAGAATTTTATGCTAACTTGTGATTTTAGATGGATCTCATCGCTATTCTTCTGGTCACACCGTTTTCCGATCGTTTCCACCGCCACCGCGCCCTTTTCTTCTCCATTCCCGTTCTTCTGCAGATCCTAGGCTTGCTTTTGACTAGCTACGCTGGCACCGACGCGAACCCCTGGCCCCGTTATGGTGGCCTTCTCATTGTAGGGTTCGGTCTTGGTCCTACTGTACCCATCACCATGACGTGGACTGCAGAGATCTTCCAGCCACGCCACGGCGAGGTCGGTGTGGCTGCTGCTTCCGCTGTGGTTTCGGGATGGGGCAATCTTGGTAGCATTCTGACAACGTATGCCTTGTACTCTGGATGGAAGAGCGATTACGATGCCCCTGGACGGCAGAAGTACCGCAAGAGTAATCTGGTGATGGTGGGTATCCTGATTGCTAGTATCCTCTCCGCGGTGTTGATGGAAATTCTTCTTCGGTTTGTGGATGGCCGATACCGCCATACTGAGGAAGAGATGGAAAATGAGGTGATTGATGGGGCCGCTCGCCGAGAGGTCCAGCAGCGAGGACTTCATGGCTTGGGCTCTGGTATGACGCGGTGGTTCAGACGTGACATGGCGAGCAAGGCTGGTCATGTGTGAAAAATAGAAGAACAATCTAGACCAAGATCCACAATAATTGCTATAATACCTTCCCTTGGAAGCATTTTGGACCATCAAATTCAGATCATACTCAAATCACCTTCGGGATTCTATCTTGGTGGCTCACTCTTGCTGACTCAGGGGTCCTCATCCACAGTCTTGCGGCTGAAATTACGCTTCTCCCGGCGAACGCAACAGGGACATTAATTGTACAATGTGAATATAGATAGATTGGATCCCGATCTTTCTTGAAGTCTCCACGCGTCCTGGTCTTCTCGTAGCAGCCATAGTCGTGTACACAGCAGCCGTCTCGCGCTTTGCATATTTTCTTGTGGTTTTCACAGGATATCTTGGGATCATTCGCTCCTCCCATCGAATCCAGGAGCCTGGAGGCCGTTCTAGATGTAAATCCTTCACTTGTTTCCAATTTGCATGGATCTTTGATGGGATTTCATCTAGTTCTTTCTCGATCGTCTGTAGACTTTCGGCTTCCTGAGAGAGAAAATGTTTCTGTCTTTTGTTTATGGAGTACTTCGAATTCGTCGGCTAGATGAAGTTGTCGCTGTACCAGAACATTGGCTTCTTTGACAAGATCTCACTTTTTCGTTAGATCAACAAGCTGCTTTTTCCTAGACTCTTCCGATGTCACGAATTTGCCTAAGCTAACTGTCAAGGCGAGCATTCTTAGCCGCTCGGTTCGTTGCAAATATGCCTCGAGTCTTTCGAGAACGTCGATTCCTCCATCAGCTAGCTCAAGAAAAATCAAGCCGAAGATACCATATAAGAGAAAGTGAATTATTCCCAGAAAAAAAAAGTCACGCAGACCAGGAGAAAACACAGAATACCCAGGGTCTGGAATGTCCAGGCAAGTACTTGTGGTAGACTATCGGGCACATTTTTGAATGCCATTTCGGAATATTAAGCGACAAGAAGTGAATTTGTGAGATTCCTTTGAGAGTGTACTATTGGCTTGGCGTCATACAGACCATTTATAAACTAAGCGGTAGAGAACGCCATGAACATCCAAAAAAAAAAAAAAAAAAAAAACTCTAATCGTCAAGGTTCATGCAGGCAATGCTCATCTTCTTGGTATTTTCTGAGGACGAGCCATAGCCGACAGCTTGAGAAAGGTCCCAATCCATACTCACGTAAGGCCAGCAGATACGACCATCACCCATAGTAACCATATCACCCGCAACATAAACATCGGTGCTGTTGATTGCACTCCCAACCTTTTTACCCGCGGAGTTCACTTCTTGGAAAAACGAGCCAGCAAATTGGCCACGGCATCCCATGGCGATAAAGTCACAGGTTGGGTTCGAAATTTCTTCCCAAGAGATAAGCGCCGAACTGTTACCGAAAGTCGCCGCATGCGCATTAGAACAGTCGTTCAATCCCTCCGTGATCCAATTCATCTGACTATCCCCATCTTCAGTGCCAACTTTAGACGTGGCCTGGGATCCCACTTTGGTGTACTTGTTGGAGAATAGGGAAATGGCAACATTCCGACCGTTGGTCCGGTTATTGACATGAGTGTAACCACTTCCCATCCATGTATTTTCCGTCACATCCATAGCTCCACGAGATACCCAGGCAAAGATATATCGGCTGGTCTCAGCAAAGCGTGCCAATGCACTATAGCTACCCGACATACCACCCATGGGCTCTCCAGAAGCCCCGTTCGTAGTATTCTCGTTCGATATCTTCACACCATCATTGGACATACCTTGGGTTTTGGTATTCAGCCAGATGGCACCTTGATCTTCAGCACAAATGCTGGCGAATGGGGCTTCATTGGCAGCCTCAAACGCAATACCAGTGTTGTGACTGCAACCCCAGGAGCTTGATGCACCCTCAATGGTCTTGAGGTTCCCGTCAGTTGTCACATACTCGATACTGTCCCCATAGTGGCCCGATGCGTCTCCAGAATAATCGGTAATAACAATATAAGCACCATACAAGCCGGCGCTTTCGGAATAAACAAGATCACCGTTAATATCAGGAGAAGCCGAAAGTCCTTCGGAGGCGTGCACTCCTGGTCCACCAAGCCAAGTCTTCCATGTTTGCTTGCCCTCAGTATAGCGATACAAGACCGCGACGGGGGTATCGCTGGGCGGTGCGTTGGTAGTGCCCGATGGCATCGCTTCGTTGGTCAAGAGAGCAAACCCATCATTGTGAGCCACAAGGCCGCCAGCTGTATCGTGCTATTAGACACTACTTTTCGCCGAATTGAGGAAATGAATACATACCCTCCTTTCCACCCTCCACTGTCACCGAGGTACCTGTGGCTTTGAAAGTGGTCGGGTCCAGCTCCTGAACATGGACATCTGTCTCGCTAGCATCCAGATATGCGATATACGCAGACTTGCCATCTGGAGACAAAGCAAAAGGGGTACGGCGATGGTGAGGATAGCCAGTCCAATAGGCCGCTTTCACGGGGTTAAATGAATGATCGAGCGCCAGCACATCGACATGGGTCTTGAGTTTGGACTTAGTGAGAGCAGCAGAGGCGCCCAGCGCCGCTGAAAGGAGAAAAATACCCCCGCGCATTCTGGAATAACTCTATAGCGACTTGTCACGATCTTGATTTCCTGCGATGCCTTGGGATGTAATCTTTATAGAACCGCGCCCATATGGATCTTAGCTAAATGGGCCCCGAAGTGTAACAACATGACTGAGATTCGGACAATGGCCGTGTCATCCATCTACTGCCAAGAATCCTCTAATGTCGATGTCCTACTGCCCTTGTCTCATAGTTAGTTAAACACGGTCGGTGCTGACAGAAAGAGTGCATCACCCGGGACTAGTGAAACACTGTTTCAACTTTATTTATCCGGAACTTGACACTTCTCCACCATCCAATTTCCTCTTTTCAGAACCACACGAATAAACCCATCGTAAGTCATTCGTAAAATTAGCGCTGACAGTACTCTGTCTTGCACTAGAAAAGCCATGATGACGTTTCTGCATAGACCCATTGAGTTTCTTAGCTAAAACAAAGCAACATCTAGACCGCGAATGGTCCATCGCATGTCTCTGTGCGAGATAATTTTAATGATTTATCAATTTTGTCTCATCATAGATTGTGGATATAGTTGGCTAAATGTTTCTATCACTCTGTGGTCCTTTAGGCTATAATACGTATATGTTGGAAGAATGAACTCTCATTGTCTAAATGCTGTGGCAGTTTGTCTACCCTTGCCAGATCCTCTGCTAGAGACTTTTGTTCCGCCTGTATCTTTTCTGACACTATTCATATAATTACTTTAGGATAGAAAACCATATTTGCAAAATTAAGACAAAGCTTTATTATGAACAATAAACACGAATCTGGAACATACATATGATCTTAAAAAGAGAGAGCTGTGCAAGACTCTTGTAGACACCAAATATTTATTTCTGTTTATCAGCTCTTCGTTTCGCAGATTGATGGCTTTGGGTATTTTGAATCTGCTGGTCGTTGGGTGCTAAGTCTTGATTTCTTCCTTCAATTTCCCGGCGGTGGATGGTCCTCATATGATCATTGAATTTATCCTTGCGCCCAATAAGTCTCTCACAACATGGACATGGGATATCTGATGGGATATGAGTGGATTTAATATGTCGTCACAACGATTATTTCGTCGAGAAAGTTCCAGTATAGGCACAGCTCGACCATTGACATCGGTAAGTTGGGTAGTCCTGGCTAGGAACAATGAGGTGATGGCATGTTTGTCCTTGGTTCGCCATCAACTGTAGATGTGGAATATAGTGTAGATTCCAGTGAGAAGATCAAAATTTGCGATATTTCTTGTGGCGTTGAGCATTCCGCAGTACGATATCTCTTGGACATTTCTACCATGTCACTCAAAACATCGACAGCCGGGACTATAATTGCAGTTCGAGATTCTATTCCGCATGCAACGATATGACCATATATCATTCCTGTTTTTGAGTCTTTAACCAAAGAGCCCGAATCGCCTACTTGAAGCCGACTTTGAAACTCAGCAGTAAAAGCATTGATGTACTTCGTCGCATTTGGAAGCCGAATAGGTAGGCACCGGCTGGATAATATGCCCCCGAGAAATTTTCCTGCGCCTGTTGTTGTGACGACGTCGGATAATCTCGAATCAAGAGCAGCAACGCTCTCAAGAGAAAACACTGGAAGATTTGGGAGTGAGTCATTGGCTGAATCAATCTCTATCAAACGGTAGTCTAACGATTCCGATTTAAATAATGTTGGGAATTTTGAGTGTGAGGCATGAATCAACGAAGCAAGCCCTTGAGTGACAATCATGGGACTACCGGTTTCAAGTGTCAAATCTTCGCTATCTTCCTTTTTGATTGGGGTGAGACAATCGGATGGGGCTTCTGATGCTGAGCCACTTTGGCTCAAGTTCCAATCTCGGGTGTAGCTGCTCGACTCCGGTGTCAAGCTATACCGGCTAGTAACATCAACCACCTGAGAATCTGAAGGAACTTCATCAAAGTCACTGAATCCCTCAAAATTGAAGTCACTCTCATCTGGCGCATGCTCCACTTGTGGTGTTGATTCTGCCACAATATAGTCTTGAGGATAAGAGATATGTGCTGGTGCGAGATAGTAACGCCGTCCTGAAAGTACGACGATAGCTCCAATTGTAGCCGTGCGAGGGGTTTGAGGTCTTGTTGACGATAATTGCAGAACTATTTTCAATGCCTGGCATGGCTTCATTGTTCGCCGGTCAGAGATGATATTCTCGGATAAATAGGCGCGCTGGTCATGGCTAATATTGTGGGATACATAGCAGCCAGCCTCTCCCCGTGGGTAGTATGTCTCGGTCGTGTTGAAGTCAAAAGGACTATAGGTTTGCCAAGCAAATGAAGGCATGGGCCTGATAGAAGAAAATGACGATGCAGTTCCAGTTCCACTGTTGAATGTTGATCCAACAGGGTGTGGCGAAAACATGGTAAACCTGATCCTTGATATGGGGAGGATAATCCCAGTCGCCAAGGCAGATCCCGCGAGGGAGCTGGTCGAGGATGCCGGATTGTTTGATTGCAGCGAGGGCAATTTTGCGAGACTCGGGGCGGGTGCATGAAAACATAATATGGGGTACGGCAGTCGCGGATGTTGGGCCGATCATGAATATGTCAAACATGACGAAGCTTGCGCTTGGAACTCGGTCTCCGGATTCATCAAGTAGAGTCATAATTTGGGGCCTTATATCATCGAATATTTGCCTGACGGGGCCCTCGGCCTCCCAGCAGTGGAAACTGCCTCTCATACCTCGGTGTTCTCCCAACGAGTCTTCCGGATTGGGCCAATATGACTTCGGTTTATGGAAGTACTGTAAGGCATTACGAAAGCGCGAGGAGCTCATGCCGGCTGTAGAAAAGGTTATCGTGGGTTATGCTTATTCTGTGTTCAGTCCATGGCATTGTAAAATAGATGAAGTCAATAGAAATTGAAAAAATAGGCTCATGTCTTGGGTTCGTCTTAAGTTGCCGCTGCTGCATAGCCACAACTTGAACAACGCATCATGTGGCTTTGCTGTCATTATATGCAGCCACTCCTGTTCGTTGTCACACCAACTCAAGGAACACATATTAAGATGTGGCCCCGACCTGGTCTCCGCGTAGCATTCAAGTAGCACAAAAGAAAAGTGGAAGATGCCCCTTATACAAAGTCTACAGTAATCCCTTGATACCGTGTCCCTCGATGTATCCTTTCTTGAGTCCCCTGTTCCCCCGTTGCGTCAAGAAAAGATAATCTCTCATCTTTGGGGTAAGACTCGCAAAGACTACAAACACATAAATCGGCCTTTCCGTCTATATTTCCAATACTACACTGAGCAAAGCAGAATTGCATTCCTATCCCATGGAAAACGTCTCGTCATCCGAACACATGAGCATATTATTGAAGTAGCTGCGCGTATTCAACACGGGGATTCACGCTCGGATATTCAGGAGTTTGTTCAGCGACGTAAATGGACCAGCGACGCCACATCGGAAAATGCCACTCGTGCGTCGATAGACTTGGTCGTTCGCCTTGTTTATATGATCGATATTGGCGTCTTCGAGAACGGCTACTCAGGGAGAGAAATGCTAGAATGGACCCATGGTCCCCTGCAAGATCCTCTGCGGGACACATTTCCCTAGGCTCTATCTCCTCAAACCGACAGTATTAAACTAGACGAAAAGTTTAATATATGCGAGATGACCCGAATTACAGGGTTGAGGATATGTAGCCCCTAGGTTTTAATACTCGATGAATCTCTCTTATTGCATCAGAGTTTGCAAACCTGATAATATAGGCTTGTTTAGCAGAAAGGCTTTTATGTCGCGTAGCTATACGGTTCATACCAATGAAACGCCTATCACATGGATGATTGTTAGAGCTTATGCTGCCCCAAGTTTATGATCAAGTATCAATACTACACTACAAGGCCTGAATTTAAATGATGATGAATAGAGAGCTGAAGCTTACCTGTGCAGCTACCACGGCGTCAACACTATTATTTTCCAGCGGAATCCGCTCAGCCACAGCATCAATGGCGTGAAAGTTCTTAAGGTGTCTGCCAGCCAAGAACTTCCTCATTTCCGGATGTGGCTCAATTGCGTAGATCTCGTGTTTTCGTCCCATGTCAGCCAGTAGCTGGGTGAACTTGCCTGTCCCAGCACCAAGTTCTAAAATCTGGAGATTCGGCTGATTAGAAACATACATGTGAGCCATGAGAAACTCCGCCGCTTCTATTCCATAGGATGGTCGATACCTATCGTATGTGCGAGGGTCGGAGAACCCGTTTTGTGCCAGTAAAGAATACTCCTGAATCTGCATGGGAGGTGACATCTTGGATAGGTCAAACGCGTAATTTTAACACAGCTTTTTACACCATATAATGCGTTGTAAAGCTCCATACGTAAACATATATACATAACGTTTCAAAAGTCTGTTCCGATCCCCACTTTCACCACCCCAACATCAAAATATATATCTGTTACACTACACACCACACCACCATCTTTCTAGATATATAGTTCTAGTAAAAAGTTTTAAATTCGGGTAGGGTTAGACTCGCTTAGCAACCACTAATATTTTGTATAATAACCCTTAACCCTCCGCACAGCTTCTAGTCTTCTTCCCATCCCTAAAATCAACCTATCTATCTTCCTCTATTCTAATGCCTCCCAAGCTTCTATAATACATCTTCTAAAATAGCGCTAATCCTCCTCAGACTTTCCCATATCTATAAGCTCAGGATGCAACTCAAAAAGCTTCAGTTTTAACCATCTCCAAACAGGTTCTATCGGGTTTAAATCAGGTGAGTGCGGAGGCTAATCTTCTACCCAAATTCCATGTCTTTCAAACCACTCTTATGTCAGCTTTGCAATATAAATCCTAGCATTATCTTGTTGGAATATAATCCCCGGCCTATATATAGGTAGAAGACCTTCTTCTAACGCTTCTAGATAGGATTTTGTTGTATAACCTCGCTTCCGACCGTTAGATTCCTCTCGTTCCATTATAACAAGCTTCGATCGACTACCAAGCCAGATAGCACCCCAAACCATCTGTGAAATATCTTTAACATGAACCTGCTTGTTAATAAGATCACGCCTATAGGCCTCAGAAGCAAATCTCCAGCACCATTTAGGCCCAGAATTCGACGTTCTTTGAACAGAACACTCATCTGAAAATATCCATTTTTCAACCCTTGAAGTATTAGTTATCTTCCGCTATTTTAACACAAAATATCGTCGTTTTAAAGCAGTCTGAAGCCCTAAAGGAATCTTCTTTTTTGATAAACGTTTAGCAAGTCGGAATTAGCGAAGAACTCGACAAATTGTTGACCGAGAAGGATGACTAGGTAAGCAGGCTGATAGCTGTTTATAGGTCCAAAAAGGATGCCGGCGAGCTTGCAAATATAGGAAGGTGCAATCACGCCTACTAAGCTTCCTAGGCCTACCTGAACGAGGCGCTGAATCGAAGGTGTAGTCGTTTTGGTAGCGTTTAAAGATGTTATATATAGTCTTGACCGAGCACCTAAAATCCTGTGCTAGCTGAGCACGTGAAATATCACCCTTTCTAATAGCATATACAATAGCTTGACGTTGAGCAGGGGTTAACTCACCATTTTTCTTGCGATTACCACCAAAATCGGGGTGCCTAGATGCCATCTAGGTGGTTGTAGAAGGAAAGAAAAATTATATGTGGGTGGTTGGTGTGGTGATGGAAAGTGGGGATCGGAACAGACTTTTGAAACACTACTGTATATTTGCACGTATTCCCGTGTCTCTGCAGACCAGAAGAGGGGTAGTGAGGACTGGAGACCTCATCTTAGCAGGCGACTGCTTCGAGATCATTTCCAGCCTCCACCAGCTCAATTTGAGGCCCGAAGGATTGAACGGAGTTACGGCATCGACCAGGTGCGGAGCCTCCGGTATGCGAGCGCATGGGGCTCGATGGTTGCGCATGGACTCTGAGTCATGCCAGCCTCTGCAGACATCTCTGGGGATGGACGAAGCTTGATTGGCGGATGCATCGCCAGGGGACAAGGGTCCAGCGAAGACTCAATGTACGGTATGAGCAATCGCTCACTCTTACTGTGTGCAGTGTGCTGCCTCGCTGCGCCTCGCTGAACTTGGGCACATCAATCACACATCTCCAAGCAAGAGGGACTTCGTAACGAGCCTCGCCATTTGGGTGCCGGGGCCAAAAGAAAAATGTATTAAAACGATCGGCAGAAGCCAGCGGACAGGAAGAAGCTCCTGGATGTTTGGATCTGGATCTGGGTACACTAGAGAACCATCCCGTCCAGATGGCGGAACCCGGGGCGACCGTGATCAGTTTCCTGTCATTTGTCCAAGCAGTGGCGAAGGTGTCTTCCCTGTACGAGAAGTTCCATGATGCACCTAGCGAAATCGAGCAGTTACGTGTCCAACTGGCGGCTTTCAAACAAACTCCGGACACCGTCCAGTCGATCAGACTGACCACCGCAGAAGCGGACTTCGAACGGACGCTAGCATTTCTGTTGAAATCAACAACACTCCATTATGATGCGGATTGAGTGGAGAAGATTGTAGCGAACCTGACCCAGAGCCCCTCAACGGGTCGTTTAAAATTGGATCTTTTCGGATGAATATTATATGCCATGAAATACCGATCTTAATCCGAAATAGTATTAGCGAGTCCTATTTGAAACCTACAATTTAGACTAGGTACAATATATAGTTTACAGTCAAGATTCATTTCAGAAAGTTTGGATTGTACGTTTAGCTTAATAGAAGATCGTAATTATTTATTGGGGAACGTGATAACCGAATATATTAAAATAGACAGTAACAATTAGGATACACTCCGAATTCCTATTAATCGGCACTAAAAAGGTCTATTGCTAATCCCTCAATCAGAATAATACTTAGTAAAATAAATTAAGAATTTGTATAGCAAAAACTATTGAAGAGTAGTAAACATACGGTATTGAGGTATTAGATTCACCTGTACACTTATTAGGTTTCAATCTTATTGAGCCTATACAGCATTAGCTAAAATCAAGATTCTTAAAGTATACACAGAGCTTATTAACATAGGAAAGTCTGAGGAAGATTAGCAGAATTTCAAACGATATATCACGGATACTTAGTCGGCGTTGGAACGAACTTTTGGACAGGTAGTCTATGTGCTGTTGTTGGCGTTGGCTATCTCCAATTACGATTATTTTTCCAATCATAAAGACTTCATTATGGCTCTTGTCAATCAACACATTTTATGGTATATTGCACTGAAATATGGCCGACTGGAAACAATAAACATTGAATTATCCGCAACGGGGGTAAAACGGTAATATGTAAAAGATCAAACTGATCTCGTTGAAACGAAACAATATCATAGACATCATAAAAGAAAGTCTCTCAAAAATAGAAACACCAGCATAAATCGTCATAATGTACATCAAATCATGCCAAACCACTTTTTCCGTGGTCGACTGGGATCAGGCTCCTCGTCTTCCTCTGGGGACGAACCAGCCAGGGCTTCTGGAGGCAATCGCTGGGGAACTTCCCTTCCGAGTCCTCTTCGCTTCCGGAATATCCTTCGTACTGTGGGTGGGTGGCAGCAGCATTGGCGCGGGTATTGTTAATTGTGTCATGGTCTTCGTAATCGTCCTCTTCCTCATCGTCTTCTGCCTCCTCTTCGTTGTTGTTTCTCTTGCGACGCGGCATGTTCAGCCACTTCCGCCAGCCTTTGACGATTGGTGTCGGTTGGGGGTCATAATCAGTTCCTTCGTGGCGGAGTGCTGGTACAAGCAGCTTATATGGCACGGTAATGCCAGACGGATCTTGAGAGCTTATCTCAAGGTTCAAGGTGATAGCCAGGCCACCTTCCAGATTGACAAAGGCGCCCACACCATCGTTTCCGTGTTTGGCTGCTTTCTTAGAAGCTTTTAAGCTGAGATTTGTGGGTCGTCGATGAAACTGGCCTGGTCGAGGCTCTTCTTGTGGGGATCCAGGGAAATAACTATCTCCACCTTCGTTGGGACGGGGGAAGGGGACGTCGACACTGGCTCGTCTGTCCTGGCTTCCGGCTCCCTCCTGTCCAAAGCTCATCGTTCGTGTAGGTGGACCTGCCTTTCTGATCGATAAGCGTCGGAGAAGACCCTGGGGTTTCTCGCCACCTCCCTTGTCACCGTGTCCCAGTGACAAAGTCCGCTGGAGCTTTCCGGGACGAGGCTCGGGGGTTGGAGTCATTTCTGACTCCGGGGTTCCAGGCGGGGTCGATCCTGGAAGATATTCTCGGATGGAACACCAATTGCGTCTGGGGAGTAGACGCTTATTATTTCGGGGCTTACCATCCACATCTTGTGTAAAGATAGGGATGATATCCTCATCTGTGTTTGAGTCCATATGATGGACTGTGTTGCGCTTGTTGAGCATATCCGCCAGTAGATTTGCTTCGGGCATATTTGCGATGCCTGAGGAAATGATGTTCGGCATATATCGGTAATCTCGATCTTTGGCAACATCCAGTTTGGGATTTGAGTAGAACTGTCCTATTGCGGCTAGGCTCACATCACCACTGCGGAAGTCAGTGATCAGTCAAATTTCTTTCAGAAGAACCAGTGGAATTTCTTACCTTAATATTGTGACCCTCACAGACTTCTCTGCTGCCAGGTCCTGTAGATCCTCGACCAACCACGTGCGCTCCGATTTGAGATGCTTTCCAGCCCAGTGGTCATCGAAAACTTCAATTTTACCACCGGACCGGTTTACAAGTCCACCAAGCATGCCAGCTTTGCCTAACGACTTGCGGCTGTTCATGTAATTCTTGAGCACGGCCTGATACATCGTTAGCTCCGAATTCAAAACGGTATTTTGCAGAAAACATACCACTCGAGGATAGGCGATTGGCACGCTCGAAAGCACAATCAAATGCTTGGTTTCACCCTTTATGATCTCACGGTGGCATCGGTCCCAGATGGTATCACACGTATCTGCATTCAGGACCTCATGACTCTAAAAAAGACGTCAGTGGATCTTAGATCAGTGGGACATAGGATAAGCAACTCATACCTGTCGTTCAGTTCGGCAATCCAGACCTAAGAATACGATATCGCCACCAAGAGACATAAATAGATTACGACTTCTCTCTTCAATGTAGGGACCGGGGTGAGCACCGAACAGCCAGCTGGGCTCTTCTACCTCGGTCTCCTCCGGAACACTGTGGTGCTGGAATAAGAGATAATACTTAAACGCAATCTTGCCCAAGCCGGAGATAACAGCGCTCTTCATGAATTCTTCATGATAAGAGCCAAACCCTTCGAAAATCTCGTGATCATTCCAAATATTGATCATTGGAATCTGGGAGTTGGCGAGGGAGTAAAGACCTTGAGAGAACCAGGATGCATAGCGCTCCAGATAAAACTTTTCCAGCTCGGCGCGGAATTCAGCCGTCAGTGGAGCGCCATATCTCTCCGCGGCATTCTTGATCTTCATCCACTCCTGGAAGAAGGGCGAGTCTGTGATGACTGAATCATTAAAGATCTGGTCACCTCCGCCGATCATCACATGGAACGGTCGAGTCTGGTGCTCATTAAGAACATCACGCCAGAGTGGATCAGGCCCGCAGAGATGGTCAGGGTTGACAGAAGGACCAAATCCATTACCGCTGTGGAACATGATATTCATAGGCTGGTGAATGGCGGGCACCCAGAAGCCCAGGGCAGGGCCTTGGTTAATGCGGTAGGCAATGCGTTGTTGCGTTGCACTGAGCTCGATCTCCAAGTTGAATCTCCAGAATGTTACATCCCTCGCGGCATCAGCATAAAGACGAACTCCAGCAACATCTCGAAGCAGTCCCGCCGTTTCACCATCAATGGGATGGATCCTGTTCGACGGAATAGGTTGCTTAGCCCCTCCTGGGCTGTAGTCAATTATACTGGGTGACAGCTCATAAATGCCATCGTCATTCTCCACGGACGAGAGATCAACCTGCTCCTCGAGGTGATCAACTGGTTTGACATACAGTGGCCGTCCATCCCGGCCGACTTTCATAAGGCCAGCTGTTGGATCAACATATTCAGGAGCTAGTTCTCCATTCTCACCACTGACCTCGACTGGCGGAGGGGGTAGGAGATCCATGGGCTGGGAAAATAATCTTAAAGTTGGGGGTGTCTCATAAGAAGAACGAGTGTCTTTCGTGACAATCATGATAGAGCCACGCCAAAATTCCTTTTCAATGGGCCCGTGGGGTCCGTCAGTTTTGAGCTTCTTAATGCCTGTGTATCTGAGCAATGGACCACATCTCAGGAATAGTCGTGGCTGAAAATTCTTGTGCTTGGTTACGCCTGAGGAGTGTTAGATACACTGTTTAATTGTCACATCAATTCTGTCTAGAATTATCTTACCTGTGAGTTTTTGAGCTGGGGTTTGGTAATCTTTGGGGAGAGCCCTGCTTTTTCTGCGATCCTTGACATCGCCTGCCTCCCACCAGGCTTTGCTTCGATTGATGTCCATATGCTGGAAGTCGAAATCGGTCGACTCTAGCCGTGCTGCGGGCGCATTCCTCCATTCGAAAACCGGGGGAGGTGTTGGTGGGGGCACATCGAATGAAACGGTTTGTCGCGGCTTCTGTTTTGCAAGCGGCCCCGATGCAATGGCTCGTGCAGCAGGAGGGGTTTCTATCCTCTCCTCGCTCACAACAGCCGCCTCAGGTTGCATTGGGTTTGGATGTGTTTGCTGGGACATCGAGCGAGTGTGCATGACTTTTTCCGCGATCGGTCCCCGCCTTGTTGTCGGGCCACTCACCGTGACTGATCTTTGAGGGACAGTGCCCATCTTCACAGATGGGGGAATAAAGCTTCCTGCCTGTGCATGCCCGTGGGGTCGAGCAACTGGATACGGAGGATTCATCGAGGCAGCTCTATTTTGCCGGATCGCAGCGTTTACGAGGGGTTGTGATGCTGGGGGGGCTCTCGATTCGTATCTTCAAGGACCATATCCTGCTGCTTCGGATTTCTGGCCGCTGTGGCGCCGGATTGATCCTCTGTGTGTGTACTCTGCTTCGATCTGGGCCTCGATGCGGTGTTTGCTGCGGCGGCAGCCGCCGCAGTTGCGGCAGCGAATTCGGCTTTCTCTTTCTCGGCTTTCTGTCGCGCCAGGCGCTCGCGGAGTCGCATTTCTGCCTCTTGTACTCTCGCACGTTTCTCCTCTTTGCTAATTCCATTCAAGGCTACTTCAAGTTTCTGTAGTGGCGAGCGGTCAGACGCCCAATCCCGCCGAGAATGAGAGTCGCTCACTGAGCGGATGGTATTGGATCGAGTCGGGGGGGGATGATGGCACACTTGGGGCCGTGGGAGCCTCCGAGTATGGCATTGGCTCCTCATTCTCCTGTGCGGTCGCCTCTAGGCCAGTGGGATAATCCATTGACGGAAGGCCACGAGGCGTCGTGGATTCTTCAGGCAGCCCTGGCGGAGCCAGTGGTGCTGGCTTGCGGGTGGTATGATTTAGATTCGCAGCCGCTCTCGCGGAAAACGATCGCACAGGCGCGCCAGAAGCCCTCGGGCCTGAGGTGGCCTTGGGCGCGAATTGTGGGTGAGGGTCGTCGGCGGTATGGAGCTCGGGTGCTTCGTTTTCTCCGTACTTTTCAATGCTTGGTGCGGTTTGGTTGTGATCGCGGGTTCCGGAAGCTTTCCGAGCTCCCTTGACACTTTTTGAATTGGAATTCCCATTTGCGAGATCAGGAGATCTGCGCGTTGCGATTGCTGCCATTGTATGTTGTGGAGGCGCTCTCTCGTGCGGTTCAGGTTCTGGGAGTTTGCGACAATAGAGAACAAAGGACGGACGGCCCGACCTTTTGCGAGGCGCGATTGATTCCGGATGAGACGACTCTGATGGACGAACTATTCTCACCAAGACATTGTTCGAGACCAGGATCGAAATGGCACGCGGAGTCAAATTGGACGGACGAGAATGTTGTGAATCAAGTCAACCGCCCAACACTGATGCCAGACGTAGGCTCACCACATTATCAAGCCTCGAGTCCGGTTCAGCTTCCCTGTCAGGTACTTTCGAGCGGGGCGTTGGCGGGGACCAGGAAGTACGTTGTACGAAATCCTCCGGCGAGATCCCAGCGAAAAGGCTCGAGAATAATGGATACACAGAAATCTTCCCAGATGGGACGGGTGAGGAATGGGAGAATGAGGAATGGAAGAAGAGGGGGAAATCTGGGAAATCTGGGAAAAGAAGCTCCTGGGCCGGTGATTGCGCAGGCTTCTCTAGTATACATCGCAGTATTTGGGGTGGCTGGGCTCCCCAGCCTTCGAGGGCGGGGCGCCTTTATTTATTGGCCCGCAAGGACTACGACGCCCGAAGGCTCTGAGTTGTCGGCGCAAAAAAAAAAAAAAAAATTCCTCGTTGTCCATTTCATTCGATTCTTCTTCAGGCCCATTGATGCATTTTTCTTTATTGTTTGGCGAAGTGGTGCCTTAATACCCTGTCGGGTAGAGAGGTCAACTCATTCACTGGTGCCATGGTTTGGTCCAAGTGGAGCGGCTCAGTGAATTTAAAGTTGATGGAGCAGAGACAAGGACGTCAAGAATAAGAACATTAAAAAAAATAATAAAAAATAACCGATGTCATCAAGAGGGGTGGACCGGTCGGTCTCAGTTGGGAGGAAACGACCGTAAGAAGGAAATAAAGGATGCACGACGGGAAGTATAGGAGACGCATCAAACAATATTGGCGTTTGGCACTTGGGAGACCAAGAAGCATATATGCAAGGATTCGAGAACTAAGGTGCCGCCCTTGTCGGCGGTAGGAGGTACCAGATACTTGCGGGACCCTATTGATTGCCCAGGCCGGGCAGGTCACAGATACCGGTCAAGTATTCTCATATTCTTGTATACCCGGATTCTCGGGTTTCGTCTGGACTTTATTCGATGGACGAAATTGGAGATAGATGAGAGAAATACAACGACTTGCCGCATCTTCATAGTCGATGTATATACGTAGACAAGGCCTCTTCACGCTCAATCGCACTCCGGCCAAGAGGACTACCTGGCGCATTTCTGGAGATGCCTAATCTGCAACACGTCAGCGTTGGCAACTTCGATACAGGGCAAAGTACGGCCCAGTACGGTCAGATACACGGCGGTTCCCTACGTTGTCGCTGCAGACGCCAGGTACCCTCCATACCCTCCATACCTCCATACACGCCATACATTACTCCATCCGTCCTCCCAACACTCCGCTTCGTCTCCCGCCGTTAGGAGGACCCGTGGTCTTAGGCAAAGAAACCTCGTCATTGGGGGAGAATCATCGTTCCTCGAGCCGCCCTGGTACTTGAGCCCACCTGAATCCCGTGCAAGCAGCTCCCCTTGGTCCCTTAGGGCTCGCCGACGATCCTCCTATTCTGCGAACTCTCCTCGCCACTCCCCTTTCTCAGCCGATGCACGCATTCTCGTCCTCACTACCACCACCACCACCTACTCCTCCCCTTTTCTCCATTGCCCCGTCCTCTCCTCCTTCCTTGACTTCCCGGTTCATGGCAGCTGCGCTTCCGACCGTCCACCTCGATTCCTGAAAGAGCAAGTGCTGGAACTGTTCTCGACTCGCCGACCCATCCCAACTCGACCCCGTCATGCGTGTCGCCGACGGCATTGCCGTCGCCCTTGGCCTCGCGGGCGCGGCCTCTGCATCTCTCCATCCGCGTTCTCACGCCTCGCGCGACTATTTCGCCGTCCATCTCGACGACGCCACGCCGCCCGCCCACATTGCTCGACTGTTCGATGCTCGACACGAAGGCCAGATCGGAGAGCTTACAGGCCATCACACTTTTTCCGTGCCGCGCCATCTAGGCCCCCGTTTCAAAGATCGCCTGGAGGAGGCCAAAACGAAGCGGAATCTCCGTCGGCGATCAGGAGATGGCGCCGCATTCCAAAGCGAGGATCCTTTAGATGGCATCCTCTGGGCACAGAAGCTTGCTCCGCCAAGGCAGCGGTTGCAAAAGCGAGCGCCTCCGCCGTCTGAACATGTCGCACCAAGAATCGCAAGGAACTCGGATATGCAGGTCTCGGAGGAACAACAGAACGAGATTATGTCCACCTTAGGCATTACTGATCCGATATTCAAAGAACAATGGCATCTGTATAATGTCTTGCAACCCGGTCACGATCTCAACGTCACCGGCATCTGGCTAGAGGGTATCACAGGCAAGGGCGTTGCGACGGCAGTGGTCGATGATGGACTGGACATGGACAGCAATGACCTGAAGCCTAACTATTTTGCGGAAGGTTCCTGGGATTTCAATGAACATAGTCCTGAGCCGCGCCCCTTGCTCTTCGATGACCGGCACGGTACCCGTTGCTCAGGAGAGATCGCAGCAGCCAGGAATGACGTTTGTGGTGTGGGCGTAGCATATGACAGCAAAGTGTCCGGAATTCGCATCCTGTCCAAACCAATCGACGATGTCGATGAGGCAGCGGCCATCAACTTCGCTTTCCAGGACAACGACATCTACTCATGCTCCTGGGGACCCCCAGACGATGGCGCCACCATGGATGCCCCAGGACTTTTGATCAAACGTGCAATGGTCAATGGTGTTCAGCAAGGACGCGGTGGGAAGGGATCGGTGTTTGTATTTGCTGCCGGAAATGGTGCCTTATTCGGCGATAACTGCAATTTCGACGGATACACCAACAGTATCTATAGCGTAACCGTCGGTGCTATTGATCGGCAGGGACATCACCCAACATACTCGGAGTCTTGCTCGGCGCAGCTGGTGGTCGCATATAGCAGTGGATCCGGCGATGCTATCCACACCACTGATGTGGGCACAGACAAGTGCTACTCGCAGCACGGTGGCACCTCGGCGGCCGGTCCGCTTGCTGCCGGCTCCATTGCACTTGCTCTCAGCGCTCGACCGGAGCTAACATGGCGCGATATTCAGTATTTGATGGTGGAAACTGCGATTCCCGTGGATGAAAACGACGGGAGCTGGCAGAATCTCCCCTCGGGAAAGAAGTTCAGCCACACCTGGGGATTTGGAAAGGTTGACACCTACACGTTTGTCCAGAAGGCCCGAAACTGGGATCTGGTAAAGCCTCAGGCGTGGTTCCACTCTCCCTGGTTGAGAGTACACAAGGAAATTCCCCAGGGCAAACAGGGCCTGCTGAGTCGGTTCATTGTGACCTCTGAACATGTAAATGGCGCGAATTTGGCTCAGCTGGAACATGTGACTGTTACCATGAACGTGAACCACACTCGCCGTGGTGATCTCAGCGTCGAATTGCGCAGCCCGAAAGGCATTGTCAGTCATCTGAGTGTTGCCCGCGACAGCGACAACGAAAATTCCGGTTACGTGGACTGGACCTTCATGTCCGTTGCTCACTGGTATGTATCTGTGATCATTCGTCGGCTTGGATTTGTTAGCTAATTCTAATGTTAGGGGCGAGTCGCCTCTGGGAGAGTGGACCGTCATTGTCAAGGACACCGAGGTCAACGAGTTCTCAGGCGATTTCGTTGACTGGCGACTCAACCTCTGGGGTGAAGCTGTCGATGGTGCCAAACAAGCGCTCCACCCGTTGCCAGAAGAAAATGACGACGACCACCCTTATGAGGACGCGCATGTCGCGACTACTACTATCGCGGCTGCGCCATCCAAAACCGCTACTCCTACCAACCCTGACGATCATCACGATCGCCCTGTAAATGAAAAGCCCGGCGCGTCAACCGAGACAGGGCTCCCAATTGAGGAATTGGAGTCTACAAACACCACTGCCAGTAGCACTCCTTCGCCTTCCTCAACTTCGGGAAGTTCTCTGTCTAACTATCTACCCTCGTTTGGCGCGTCAAAGCGCACTCAGATTTGGATTTATGCATCTCTGGCCATGATCATTGTATTCTTCATCGGCCTGGGCGTCTACTTCCAGCTCCAGCGACTCAAGCGTCGCCGCACCAACCCCAACGATGACTACGAGTTTGAGATGATTGAGGATGAAGATGAAATGCGCCCCATGACTGGTGGCACTGGTCGGACTCAGCGTCGTGGTGGGGAGTTATATAATGCTTTCGCTGGGGAAAGTGATGAGGAAATCTTCAGTGACGATGATGAGCCCTACCGGGATCGTCTCGCTAACATCCAAGAGAAGGATGATGAAGATGATTCGCCGGATAGTCATCTTCTCTCTAAATAGCAGTGATGATGTGAAGTATCTTGGTGGATGTTTTGATCTTTTCTTGTTGTCCTTTCTTTCATTGCATTGGGTGCGGTCTCTAGCATTTTGCTATACTGGGGCTATTGTATCTATTTATGAGCATCATTTTGTGTACGATTAATAGATTGGATAGTGATCCCACCACCATCACATGGATTATTTCTATGTATACACGTACTTAAGCCAAATACTTCCAAGCTAAAATATCATCACCATATTATCGTTGCATGAAGTTGAGGAGGTTGATATAAAGGTGTATTATACTCTCCTATACCACATTTTGAAGTTTTCAATTGTCACATTACCTGGCCCAGGTTTATAAAATGGGAATGATTCTGCCCTTTCCGTGGACTTATTCCTCTCCAATTGTACCGATTCGTCAATAGCCAGTCGTTCTCAGAAGAAATCTACGTGTTTCAAGTCGAAGCACCTTCACAATATACCGCGTGGACAGAAATATGGGTGATTTGTAGAATTATAAAATCTCGGATAAAAACACTAGTGAATTATGTTCCACGTCTGCTTTGAGAGCCGAAAGCAATGACAAGACCAGATAAAACGCGGCGCCGGCGATAAACAGGCGATGACGACGTTGCCGCTTCGGGGTCTCCGCCTTTGGGAACAACGATCATCTGAATCCCAGCTTCCCAGCTCAGCTCCACCCGCCTCCACTCCTCACTTCGCATTCCCACCTCTCGCCTGTGCCTATATCCTTTGACTTTCTGACTACTTTCATTCAAACATCTGCAGTCCAAATATCCACCGACCCTTTCGCCGGGTGATCACGGGCGACCGACATCCTGCTTCCCCGCGATGGATCAACACGACGACTTTGACAGCGTCTCCTGGAAGCATGATCCAGACAGCGATGTCTCCCGACCTACAACGTCGGGCACAGACGCAGAGGAAGCGCAAAGGTATGACCAGGATACCAATGGCAAGCGAAGGATGAGCTCCGCACACGACGAACCCCAGGCCGGCTCGCTGGCCGATGCTGTGGACCTGGCTGGTATTGGTGACGGTGTGCTGGAGTGCCGTGTCGACAAGCCACTAAAAGAGGGCGACGGCACGAAAGATGCGTATATCTCTTATTTGGTTTCCACACATGTATGTCCATTCTTTCCCTCGGATTGCGCAAGAGAAAGCCCTGGCTTGCCGCTGCCGCTGCCTACGCCCACCTCGGCTTCCTCGATAGCTCTCCCAAACGGCCTTCATCGCTAACGCAGCAATGCCCTAGACCGATTTCAAATCTTTTCAGAAGCCCGATTTCTACGTCAGGCGGCGATTTACCGATTTCTATTTTCTGTACAAGACGCTCTATCGCGAATACCCAGCATGCGCTGTGCCGCCGCTGCCTGATAAGCACAAGATGGAGTACGTGCGAGGAGACCGGTTTGGGCCGGAATTCACATCACGGCGTGCATGGTCGCTGCACCGATTCCTCAAACGTCTCACCTTACACCCGGTGCTCCGACGAGCTCCGCTGCTCATCATCTTCCTCGAATCGCCAGAGTGGAATGCGCATATGCGGTTGCACTCGACCCGTACCTCAACGAATGCTACCTCGGATAATGCATCGACCGGAATTTTTGATAACTTCACCGATACATTTGTTAATGCTTTCACCAAGGTGCACAAGCCCGATAAACGCTTTATCGAGGTGAAGGAGAAGGCGGATAAGCTAGACGAGGACCTTTCGCATGTGGAGAAGATCGTGGCGCGGGTTGCGCGGCGTGAGTCTGATCTGGAGACAGACTATACCGAGCTCGCGACCCAGTTCCGCAAATTGGTTCCTCTTGAACAGGCGGTTGAGATGCCATTGCAAGTGTTCGCAGCCTCGGTGGAGGAGACGGCGCGCGGGATGCATGGCTTGAAGGACCACACCGATCAAAATTACTTGGGCTCACTGCGCGATATGGAGGCGTACATCTTGTCCCTCAAATCTCTCTTGAGGACCCGCGAACAGAAGCAGCTCGACTTCGAGGCCCTGGTGGACTACCGTAACAAAGCCGTCGCTGAGCGCGACTCTCTCGCCGCCAACCCGGCCGCTTACTATGCATCCAACCCACTCACTTCCTCCCCGGCATCTTTCATCCGCTCTAAAATGGAAGATATGCGCGGCGTTGACCACGAGCAGTCGCGTCGCGAACGTGTACGCAAGCTTGAACTTCGTATTGACGAACTCACCCGCGAGGTCGAGTCCGCCAAAACCACTTCAGAAATGTTTGATGAGGAAGTCGTCCGTGAAGTAGCTGATTTCGAGCGCATTAAGGCTGTCGAGTTTCGTGATTCCCTTGGCTCCCTTGCCGAGTCTCACATCGAGTTCTACCAAGGTGTGCTCTCTACTTGGGAACGGTTCATTGCGGAAATGGAAGGCGATTCTGACATTGGTCTCGAAGCTGATCCAACAGCTTACGGGGCCAAGTAATAATAAACTTACAAATTGGAATGGGAATTTTCATATCTACAAACCACGAACAGATTCGGTATCCGTATAGCTGCTCATGATTTATTTCCTTAGCTAGTTTGTTCCTGTCATACCATACCCTCAATCCCATAACTATCTGTCCATACCTCGACATATGATTTTCCATCGTACGATGTATAACCCCCTAATCTTTAATGTGGTCATTACCTGCTCGGGTCCCGGTCGCGGGGGGGCCTGTGACAACTGTTTGTGCTGTTTGCACGTGATATGTCTTTCTTGATCGTCCGACTTCCCACTCCAACGCAACACCAAGAAACAATGCGTCCAATTGCAAGAACCGCTCTGCGGCCGTACATCTGTCCAACATGTCGGCATGGTATTGGTGCTAGTCGACGGCGATTCGGCACCAAGACCGACCAAACCCCCGACATCTACGATGTTGTCTGCGTTGGGGGTGGCCCGGCCGGTCTAGGGCTTCTGGCCGCGCTTCGTACGTGAAACAGGGTCTCGAATAGTCGAGGTTTTGAACTAATGCTGATTTTCGACTGCTTCAGGAGCTTCGCCTATTACATCCAAACTCAAGGTTGCTCTCGTCGAAAGCCAGGACCTCAGCAAAGCCCGCACCTGGAACATGGATTCGACCCAGTTCTCCAACCGCGTGAGCAGCCTTACGCCGTCGTCCGTTGCGTTTCTCCAGAAAATTGGTGCTTGGGAGCATTTAGATACCGGCAGAGTGCAGGATTACCAAGAGATGCAGGTGTGGGATGGCGAGACCGGGTCGCGCATATCGTTTGACTGGTCGAGTGAGACGTCAGCGTTTGAAGATATGCGCACTGTCGCTACGATGACAGAGAATTCAAACCTAGTTCGCGCCCTACTTAGACGAATTGCGGCGTCTGGAGAAGAAAATTTGAAGCTTTTTTCTAATACAACAGTCGCCTCTATCGAGAATGGATCTGATCTTCAGACCGAGGGACCTGATCTATCCGCATGGCCCGTTCTCTCCGTCAGGCCGACAGGTCCGGGGGCAGAGACACAATCACCCTCTCGCATTGCTGCGAGATTGCTGGTCGGTGCGGACGGCATCAACAGCCCCGTGCGCTCATTTGCCGACATCACCACCCAAGGCTGGGACTATAACCGGCACGGCATAGTCGCGACACTCGCCCTCGGTAGCCCCGAAAACTCCCCCTTCCCTACCACCATACGCACCGCATACCAGCGGTTCCTGCCCTCACTCGGCGGTCCCATCGCTCTACTCCCGCTCCCAAATAACCACGCCACGCTGGTCTGGTCAACGACGCCCGATCACGCTGCATATCTCAAGTCTCTTCCCGCCTCTGCGTTCCTTGCCATGGTCAACGCCGCCTTCCGGCTGTCCATGACCGACCTCACATATATGATGGGCATGCCGCCGCCCTCTTCCACCCCAAGCCCCCATGAGGATGAGCTCTCCTGGCGCCTGCAACACACCCCTCTCCCGGCACACATGCCCCCCATGGCGACGGGCGTCCAATCCGGCACAGTAGCCTCTTTCCCGCTCCGGTTCCGCCACGCAGCGCAGTATATCTCCCCGCGCGTCGCGCTCGTCGGCGACGCCGCGCACGTCATCCACCCACTAGCCGGCCAGGGCCTGAATCTTGGCCTGGCGGACGTGGCCGCGCTCGCTCGCACCGTCGAGTACGCCGTGTCCCACGGCATGGACATCGGTGATCTCCTGACACTGGAGCGCTACTCGTGCGAGCGGTACCTAGCTAACGCCAAGATCGGCGGCGCGTGCGACCTCCTGCACAAGATGTACACGATCCCCGGGCAGGGGCCGGTGACGTGGGCCCGCAGTCTGGGCCTGGACGTGATTGACAAGCTGCCGTTCGTGAAGTCGTTCCTGATGAAGAACGCTGAGGGATATTAGGTTGTTTGGCGCGAGTGTTACTCTGCCAATCGTTCTTGTACCGCTATATTGTATATCTAGTTTCCTTTGTACCCTTTCGAATAGCATTGGACGTTGATTCGGATATTTGTTGCTGGAGAGTTTATCTAGTGTCTAGAACCAGGACAGAATTACGTCCAGTGTCAGGTTTTCCTTAAGATGTCTAAGACCGAGTAAGTATTTCAAGAGCCCAATTAATAGCGTGAGGGAAAGGCGAAAGCATGTTGTGTATTGGGTATTGAAGTGTCGCTAGTTATAAGTATAGACGGCATTCAACAATAGACGACGACGCGACCCACAAGCACATTTGATCTTCTGATCGTAAAAGAACAGCAGATTCCCTTAGACCCGGGCACATGCAACAAAGAAAAGGCCGGTGAAATCTATCTTTGAAAAGGAGAAATAGGACTGAAGATGCAGAGGAATTGGGGGGGGAGAGGATAGGAAGGGAGTAAAATGCTAATGAAAAAAAAACACGGCCAGATGAAGTTGGGAGGATAAAAATAGAGAAATGTGGGTAAAACACGTAATGTCAAACATGGATATTTGAACGCCTAATTCTTCACTTTTTCGCAATGCTGGGAGAGCTTTCTAAACTTGCACACCCTGCAGCTGCTGTGCCAGGGTGACGACAGAACCGCCATGTTTCCGCTCTAGACGGGCCTTGAGCTCCGGGATAAGGTTGGCCAGGTCGACCTCAACACCTTCCTTCTCGGGGTGGTCTTTGTCGAGGCCCATCTCCTTGATCCTAACTTTGCCATTGGCAAGCTCCTCTTCGCCGATGATGACACCGAAGGGAATGCCACCGTCCTCGGCAGCCTTGAATTGCTGCATGGGCTTGGGCTTCGTCTTGTAAGAGAACTCAGTCTGGGGAGAAATTAGTCAACATGGATATCCGGAAGATGGAGAGGAATATGACTCGTGATTACCTTAATGCCTGCACTCCACAACTTCTGGCAGATCTCCATGCGCTCCTTGAGCATACCGGTAAAACCCTTGCCACCGAAAGCCATAACAAGGACGTCAACCTCACTGCTACGGAGACCCTTGAGGTTCTGGTCACGCTCGAGGCGCGCCTTTGTGATAGAGAAAATACGGTCAACACCGAACGAGATACCGACGCAAGGAATCTGAGCCTTGGGCAGGAACATGCCCACCAGGTTGTCATAACGGCCACCGGCAGCGACACTGCCAACACCAAGGGTGGGGTCGTTTGATCGGTCGTCATCCTCCGAGATCTTCTTATCTTTCTTGCCAGACTTCTGCAGCTTCTGAGCCTCGGGCGAGTCAGACTGCACAGCGGGGGCAGAGCCCTCGGTGACGACCTCGTAGATCACGCCAGTATAGTAGTCCAGACCACGAGCCAGAGACATATCGAAAGAGACCTTACCCAGCACATCAAAAGCCTCGAGATAGTCCATCAGCAATGACATGTCTTCCAGACCAGCCTTGGCCGACTCGTTGGCCATGAGCCGCTCATCCGCCTTCAACTTGGTGAGCAACTCACGGCCACCCTTGTTCATCACATAGGTCTCGATCATATCAGCCGCGGCACCATCCAGGCCCTTGTCGGTAACCATTTCCTTGCGCACATCTGCCCAAGACATCTTGTCGAGTTTATCAACAGCGCTAGAAATGGGGCGAATCAAGTTCTCCGGTACACCACAGACCTGGAACACGCCATCCAGGATCTTGCGGTGGTTGATCTTAATTGTATAGCGGCCACCCCAGCCCAGTTCGTCGAACACCTCGCTGACAATGCGCATGACCTCGGCGTCGGGCACCATTGGGTCGAAGGTACCGGCGATATCGAAGTCACACTGGTAGAACTCACGCATGCGGCCCTTGCTGACAGCAGGCTGGTCACGACGGTACACCTTGGCAATGTGGTAGCGCTTGATGCTGCGAACGTCGGCGTTCATGGCAAGCCAACGCGCAAAGGGAACGGTCAAGTCATAACGCAGCGAGCAGATCTCACCACCCTGGTCTTGCAGGTCGTAAATGAGCTTAGAGTCCTCGCCATACTTGCCAGCAAGGATCTCACGGAGCTCAAAGACGGGGGTATCGAGGGCAGTGCCGCCGTGGCGTTTGAAAACGTCGGCGATGGTCGAAAAGATGCGGTCTCGGAGGAGGGCGTCGGAGCCGCACCAGTCTTTGGTGCCCTTAGGGGTCTTGAGGTTGAAGGATGAACCCTTGTCCTTAGGCATTGTGGCGATTTGGGAGGAACGACGGCAGGCTGAAGAAAAGAAACGAGAGCGGCGGGGGAGGGTTGGGTGGTGGGGGATGGTGGGGGCACGGAGATAATTTTGATTCGAGGCGGACCGATTGTTTTGGGCTGCTGGCAGATGAGTCACAAGAATTGGGGAAACCGGAGGAACAGGGTCTGCAATTGCTCGTTGAACAGAGCGCAATGATGCACGAAGGGACGTCATAAAAGCGACGCGATCATGGGCGATAAATTTGGTTTCCAAAATCGGTCGTTGATCGGGCCTTCTGTCTGTTTTGAGGTTATTTTTCCGGCGGTTTTTCCGGCCAAGCGAAGTATACACCGTCCGTGACTGTGAATCCTTCACGGGAGATGAGCGGTCCACTGGAATTGGGAGAAATTCTGGCCCTGCGATCATGTATCTTCTGTGTCTCTCTCTCATTTTGAAAGGCAATTGAGAAAGCCCAAGCTTATGAGATAGTCGTCAGTCAAGTAGCAGAGGTCGAGGATACGAACAACCTATATTCAAGGACAACGTCACAAAGAGGCTTAGATTGAGCCATTAGAAAAGCTGAGATCACGATTTCATAATTCATGAATATAGAAGGTATCATATTATGGGCTCTGCGCCCAGGGCCAGGACAAGAAATTTCCTAAGGCTCGGCCATATCCCAGCTGGGCCTCAATCTGACCCGGACGATTTATGTCTAGCTGTTGCTCATAGCCAATCCCCTAAAGCGCTTGGCTACAGGGCCCTGCTTCCTAAACATTAGAGCTTCTGTGTCTCGAGAAGGATTTTGACCCAGTAATTTATGTGTAACGATTTGGATTTAGATCACAGATAACGATAAGGTGAGCTGATAGATACCATAAAACAAAGCGATGGAGGAGTTGAGATAAACGTGACATTTATTCGGTTAATCGATAGGGTTCACGTCTCTATTGATACTGATCTTGTGGAGTTTCAGTGTAGGGAGCAGGAAAGGAAAGACCTACAGTCAACCAAGCCACGAAGATTGCCGGAATCATCATCTCTTCTCATGATCATGAACTATGAGAAGTCGCCGCCATGTATATCCTGTAGCCAATGAATTCTATATTTTACAAATTCTTATGTGTAATCCAAATCTCAGATGATGGACATCTATGGGAAATAGGCTCACTCAAGCTAGTGACGTGGAAAGTGACAGAAAGCCACGGCAGAGCTTGCAGAAGAGAGGGGTATCAAATCCCGTACGATCGTAGAGCAGACTGAATTCATAGTGACAAGGAGCCCGTATTTGCTGCAGGTCGAGTAGATTAAGAGGGAGTCTTCCCGCGAATCAGAAAGCCAAGTCGCCGAATGGCGCAAACAAGAGCGGCCGAGAAAGGCAAATCCCAGCACCGCCGCCAATCAGAGCTGCCAAGCCCAGGGTAAATTCGACCTGAACACAAATTCATCTGATATGTACAGCTGAAGCAGCTCGAGTCGATGCCCATTCCTCCCCCAGAAGGCCGATTGCTTGGCGACATACCTCTACCCTCCCTCAAAAGATTAGGTGGCGGGGTGTGTTCGCCTTTCAGAGGATTTCCTTCAATCTGGTATGGCATCTAGATATATATCTACAGAGACGTCACGACGCAAAGGCTGGTGTCAAACTGCTGGAAAAAGTTCACGATCGCAACTCAGTCGTCCATTGCCACATTAGTGGGCTGGTTGGGTAGTTAACTACAAGTTATGTGGGATGGCACAAAAGAGAGTCGCCTCGTGTACTCCGTAGCCACCGAGACAAGGATCCCCAGCTCTAATTGGCCTTCTCCCCACGGACGATTGGTATCATCGGTTAACTCTTTCGGGGGATGCCAAGCTCAGCTAGAGACCCGGAACCAGAGTGTGGGAGCTGTGGTGCTTTCTGTGGTCTTTGAGTGGCCTCCCCATTGATTCGCGTGCCCGATGTGAGTTATGCGGGAAATATCTCCATCGCTCAAGATGCCACAAGGTATTGCATCACCTGGGCAGTGCTTCTCACCTCTCCACTTACCAAATGATGTATGTATACATATTCTCTGGGGCGCTGCTTGGCTACTGTCACATCTGCGTTCGGGCGCCGTGGCTAGAGCCTTGTCTCGTCTGCAGCTCGATTGGACTTCGAGGTAGGATCTGACGCTGTTCGCTCGAGACCCTTCCCCCTCCTCCTCCTAGAGGATGATCAGACCCCGATGTGAGGGTAGGGATGGGAATGAGGAACGCGGAAGAAGAATGGGCTCGGCCCTCGATCGTCCCCCGTATTGACGCCTTCAAAATTCCCAGGGTAAAATGGAGACATGGGGGTGGCGCGGTACAAGCGAATCGCCTATAACTCTGTACTCTGGACTCCAAAACCTATAGTCTGCTCTGTCTGTGTAGCCTTCAGCTTTCGCGTCGAGCCCTCACCTTGCTTAGTCTTGCCTAGCGCGCCCTGGGCCCCCGCAAGGGAGGTCGATTTCTTATCAACACCGTAGTGGACCACCGTATCCTTCCCCCGAGGACCGTCCCAGTGTCCGCTCGGGAGAGGGGGCCGGTCGCTGGTCGCCGCTTTCTGGCATAGCTCAGCTCGGTTGGGGCCACGCGGCCATTGAGAGGGAATCCCCAGTCAATCTACCTTTCTCCTTGCAGGGTCGTCTGATTCTCGGTCACAGTCTGCTTTTTGGCCCCCAGTGCTTGTCTGAGTCTGCTGGTGGTGTGTCCAGGGTGTGGGTGGTACACATCGTCGGGCGCAGTCCAGGAGGGAGTAAGGCAAGGCACTCGGATTACGAAGGGGAGGAATTGAGGGCTCCACCGCCACCCACTTCCCCACGGCGACGACGATCATTGGCCGTTATGGCACACCATGCGAGGGGCGGACACATGGCCCGTGAGCGCCCGCGGGCGGCAACCAATGACGACGCGGGGGGTTGGGAGGGGGAGGCTTCCAGAGTTCTTGGGGGGAGGGGGTGCCGGTCAGAGAGGTTTCCTGTGGGGAGGGGGCAAAGAACAGGGCCCGGCAAAGAATCTGAGGATGACCGAGTCCAGCTTTTCGTGATGCCTTTTGGGGTCGGAGCCTGTGCTCCGGAGGGTGGATGAAGCTGGAGGTGAATGAAAGCGAGAGACGATTGAAGATGGGACGATGACATAACCGGCCCATCTGGGACTCGGGGTTTTCCATGCTTCCATTGTTTCCATTCTTCCCCCTCTCTCCACTTTGTCTCGCCGAACGATCCGGGCCACGATGAGCAGGATTCTGGATTCCGGACCCTCCCAGTCTTCTGGGTCTTCCAAGTTTATTTTTCGAGCGCAAGTCGGTTACGAGGTTCTGAATGTGCAGAGAGCAGAGAGAGCAGAGAGAGCAGAGAGCAAAGTGCAGCAGAGAAATCGGCGATTGGCCGAGTACCTGCCTTAAAGACTCCACGTGGCTCGAGCGTGTCGCGGCACTTTTGGGACTGCGTTAGCGCCTGGACGGAGCGGATTTAGCGGAGCGATTCACGCGTGGGCGGGACTCGGGCCTGGAGAGAGCGTCAGGGAGCAGACCGGATGATATACATCCTGCTTCAGTAGTCTGACTCCCGTCATCCGCCTCGTCGTCCTACTGGACCCCGACGCCATGCAAGGTCCAGAGTGGAACTCGACCTCGGACTTGAATAGGCCGCAGAAAGTCAAATCCCATGCACCGGGTTGTTTCTGGACGTTTCCACTGCAGGCAAACATCGGCCACGGTGATTGGGGCAGACGGTCTCCATGTATACTGGACTCGCCTTTGCCCTCGTTTGCCCTCTCGTTTGCCCTCGTACCCATCTGGACCCAGAGGTTCGACATCCGTCAACATCGATGTCAGAATCGATGGAACAGGTCGATGCAGCAGTCGACCGGCGAATCCTGACGGCCGTCGAGATTGGCGATATAGCGGCCGGGCTCGATTCGTTGCTATTCATCTCTATAGATCCCTTGCCAGACGTTTGATGATCTTCACGATCTTTGCGGTCCATACGCAGAGCCGAGAAGGACCCGGTGGATCAGGTCCGTAATTTATCCAGAGCTGGCCCAGCCGTCTCCAGCGTCCTATCTCATCCTCCCCACTGGCCCTACCCTTCATCCGACTGACGGAGTAGATCCGTCCCGGACAGACCCAGAACGAGTAAACAATGCCGGTCAGCACCATCCAGGCAATTCGACGTCCGGTTTAACGAGGAGGAGCCGGGACCTCGAGCGGCGACATGGAGAAGACCGTCAGATAGTCCGACGGAGCGGATATAACAACGCTGAGAAGTAACAAAGCCACAAAGTAATAGAGCAACCACGTAGTCAAGCAACAACGCCGTAGCGCAACAAGGCAATCCAGCGCCCAAGTAGACCAAACCAGCATCGAAAAGCAATCTCACATTCTCGCAATCCAGGGGACCCAGGGAATCCAGGCATCCTCGCCCTCGTTCAACGGGGCCTGGTTGCTGCTGGTGCCTCCGCCACCCCAATTTCCAATTCCTGGGGACTCGCTGGATGACTCGTTCCACTCTTCTCCCCCTCCGACGTCCCTCCCCTCCTTCTCCTCCCTCGATCTTCTCTTTCTTCCCCTCTCGGATCCCTCCAACCGGTGAATTCTGCGTTTCAGCTGCTCTCTATAGCGGATCAGCCCCGGCGTTGGACACTTTTTTTGGCTTTGGGTTCCTGCTTTCTGGGATTGGACTTTGGGCTTCTGGACGCTTCCCGTGGCTTTTTCCCCGGACCGCTCTCCGCGAACTCAACGTTCCTGATCGCTTTTTCCCCAATCATTTACCCCAACCCAACCGCCGCAGCCCTTTTTCGTCTTGACCTCGACGGCAACGGAGGCCTGCCTTTCAACCTTCTCGTCTCAACCCTTCTGCCCTTGTCTTCGCTCATGTTCCCGCCTGTCTGCGACCGGTAATCCCGTTCCTCGCCTCTCCATGCAGCCGAGCGCGACCGACGAGGACACGCACCGATCATGAAGGGCTTATTCCACCCTCGCCGGCACAATGGGGTAAGCGCCTCGATTCCCACGAGCACCTCCTTCCCTGCCCGGTGGCACAGCAGCCGGCCTCCCATGTCTCCTCCCGTGCTCGTGAGACCATTCGGGTTGGGCCCGCCACTGACTGCTCCCTCGTACAGGCTCCCACCACCCCTTCGCCCGCGCCGCCCGTCAAGAAGGATCCGCAGACACCACAGATCTCCTCCCTGGAGAAAAGACTACAGGACATGGGCGCTATCCGAGGCGATGGCAGTGACAAATTCTTTGGCATGGAAAATGTGAGCGGCTCTTTCCCCGAGCCCCGGACTAATCTCCCTCTCGCCCGCGCGCGCATGCGCTCCCTCCCTCTCTTTCTCTCTCTTCTCCCGCTCTCTCTTACGCTACCATAAATCATGCTAACCTCGGGTTCCCGGCGCTCTAGTATGGAAACACCTGTTACTGCAACTCCATCCTCCAGTGTCTGTACTACTCTGTGCCCTTTCGGGAAGCGGTGATCAATTATCCCCAGCGTACGCCCGTCGAGAGCCTCGAAGCGGCCCTCGCCAAGAACCTTCGCTTCCAAAATCCCAATGCGCATCTGGAGGCCGAGGCGCAGGCAGCCAAGCAGAAGGCAGCCGCCTCGGCCCCATCAGCGCGCCAGGCCGGCGTTCCTCCCAATCAGCCCCAGAAGCCCGAGGACAAGGACTCGCCCGAGTACAAGAAGAAGGTTGCCTTACAAACGCTACCGATCCTCGAAACTAAGAACAATGCGGGCAGCTATGGCATGTCGGAATCTCTCTTCACCTCCCTAAAGGACATCTTTGAGTCGCTAGTCGGCAGCCAGACCCGGATTGGAGTAATTCGGCCACAGCAGTTCTTGGATGTGCTACGACGCGAACACGAAATGTTCCGCACCGCAATGCACCAGGATGCGCACGAGTTTCTGAATTTACTGCTCAACGAAGTAGTCTCGAATGTCGAGGCTGAAGCGACAAAGCAGTCCTTCTCGGAGAAAACGCTGCCACCAGCGCCCTCAGATAGCGCGGACTCGCTAGGCATGTTGACCAATAGTACAGGCTCAAAATCGCCGAACACGACGAGATGGGTGCACGAACTCTTTGAGGGGACCTTGACGTCGGAAACCAAATGCTTGACGTGCGAGAAGGTCTCCCAGCGTGACGAGGTGTTTTTGGACCTTTCGGTCGATCTTGAGCAGCATTCATCCGTTACCTCTTGTCTTCGTAAATTCTCCGCCGAGGAGATGCTTTGTGAACGGAACAAATTTCACTGTGACAACTGCGGTGGTCTGCAAGAGGCAGAAAAGCGAATGAAGATCAAACGGCTGCCTCGAGTATTGGCTTTGCATCTGAAGCGCTTCAAATACACAGAAGACCTGCAGCGACTCCAGAAGCTCTTTCATCGGGTTGTGTACCCATACCACCTGCGTCTCTTCAACACGACCGACGATGCCGAGGATCCCGATCGCCTGTACGAGTTGTATGCAGTGGTTGTTCACATCGGTGGAGGACCATACCATGGTCACTACGTTGCGATCATCAAGACTGAGGACCGTGGCTGGCTACTCTTCGATGACGAGCTGGTGGAACCAGTCGACAAGAACTATGTTAAGAACTTCTTCGGTGATCGACCCGGTCTTGCCTGTGCATATGTTCTTTTCTACCAGGAGACCACTCTCGAGGCTGTTATGCGTGAGCAGGCTCAAGAGGACCAAGCATCTAGCGCGGCGGCTGAAGCCGGCGAAGCGCCCAAATCAAACGGTTATCCGTTGTCTCCCGGCCTGATGCATGTGCACAGTGCCGGTCAAGTGCCTCCGGATGATCCCAATCGTTTTGTTCCGATCAGTCGAACTTCCACCGCCCCTCCGATGCCCACTCATCCCGAGGCCCCCGAACTCGATACATCATCCCAGTCGTCTCATCAGCCCGTCCAGCCTCCTCAAACGCCGCTTCCACCGATTCCCGACGAGCAACCCTTGCCCCTGAGCCCGAAGAAGAGCGATGTTCAGCTGAAGAAAGAGAAGGCTCGCGAGGAGAAAGAGCTTCGAGCTGCAGAAAAAGAGCGAGAAAAGAATGAAAAGAAGCGCCGCAAGGAACTTGAGCTACAGCATCAATTGGACGCCAAGCGCGAAGCAGAGGAGCTGCGCCGGGCCATTGAAGCCAGCAAAGCCGATGCCGATCTTGGCCCCGAGAATGGATCGCCAAGGAAGTCGTCTAGCCTGAACTTCCTGCGACGGAGCAGTCGCAGTCTGAGCCACCGTCTGAGCAAGGACAAGGAGCCTCGAGTCTCGACCTCCGACCTTGTGCCTACGCCAGTTCCTGAGGCACCAGCCAAGGAGGCCGCCCCAGCTGTCCAACCACCCGCTCGATCGCCGACTTCGCCAGCGCTAGTTCAATCAGTGACCCCACAGGCGCCTCCACAGGAAAAAGATATATCGGCCCCGACCATTTCCAATCCCAAGATGGCTTCACGGGTGCCGGCACCCCCGCCAATCCCCAAGGATCAAAAGAACGACAAAGCAGGCCACACACACCGCTGGAGGTCCCTCAGCTTCAAAAAGGCAACATAATATCCAGACTATTTGTGCCTGTGAGCATAATCATTCTTGGCTTGCATCTCTGCCAGTTTTGTTCGTCGAGTTTCGCCGAAGCTACTATACCGCCCTCCTCTTTAACCTGATGCCCTCTTAACCCTTCCCCTCCACCATCATGCACATACAAGCGCAATTTGCTTCCTGCACATAGCTTTTCGCGGATGTATCATCACTTTCCCCCTAACGATTTGTGCCCTCGCTCTTTCCATTCTCCTGCAACGGATGTTTCAGAACCTAAATCTTTATCAAGACTTGGGGACTACGGCACCCTTTGCATATCTTGTCTTTCTAGACTGTTGGATTTTTCGACCGGCTTCTCCGATGCGTTGCTTTCACTCATCTCGCTTCTGCTGCTGCGTTTCCATCGTTGCTGATTTCTGTAACACGTATGGCGGCATGATACCTTCGCTGACGGGTTGCGTCCACCCGGCCTAGCACGAAAAGAGGCGTTCACATTTTGTCTTATTTTTTTTTTAACTTTTCTATATCCTGTTGGGGATTTGCAAACGCTGGCGAGCATGGGATTTGGATGTTAACCGGCGTTCCTCTCTTCTCCCTGTGCTTTTTTTTGGCTTCTTCGAGCTGTGAGCGAATCTTTTTGAACTTTGATGCATGCTTGTATTTACCTATGACTTCTCTTTTTTTTTACACATTCAACTTATGCCTCTCAAATGGCCGAGTCGCTTATGATAAGTTCCTTCTTGTTCGCTGTGCTTTCTTTCATTGTATATTCCCACCCTAGGGTTCAGTAGACCTCAGCAAATAATGGAGAAGTCAATGAGTTTGGGCAATAATACCTGACCAATCCTTTTAATATAGATGATCATTGTTTCGAGCCTGTTAGATTATCGGTATATACAAGAGGAGCTGACTTGAAAGAGTAAGCTCAGAAGAAAAGATGAAGAAAAGGCAAGCATAGGCTCAACCTCAGCAAGTCCAGTCCCTGCCAGAAAAGCATTCGACCAACGACTCATTTCCAACAAATAAACAAAACTCCCAGCATTAATAAAGCCGTCTGCTTGCAGTCCCCTGTTTCTAGTATGTTGTGTTGCTCGTGCATGTCATGCCGTGTTCGTAATATGGTTGAGAAGGGACAGTAGCTCGTGCCTGGACTGGATCGCTCAAATAACGAGAAAGCGCCATCCCACGAGTTGGCGGAGGAAGATCTTTTTTTTTTTGCGAGACCGGTCTGTGTCGCCCAAGGCGCGTGGGGAAGAAGCTCGGCAAATAATTCAAAGGGTGCAGTGTATCAACCGAGGATGAGCTCGTAGACGATGATGACGGTGTTGATCACGATGAGCGGTACTGTGCGGGCACGGGTGCGTGTTAGCAGGAGGGTCGATAGGTTGGGTATCGGAGCTACGTTTTGGCCAGAAAGCAGCATCGAAGAGGCTTTCAATACCAGGAGCGAGCTCTGCGGGGATATGGAGCGAGGCAGGAAAGAGGGAAAGGCCACATACTTCGCATCACTGTCCGCACACTGGCAATCAAGTTGACCGACTTCGCCTTTACGCTGGTACTATCGTATGATGCGCCGAAGCCTGGCTCAGCTTGTGTGCGGCCCCATCCAACTGCAATGAATTGAGAGACGTTAGATTCAATGTAATATGAGGGGACGAGGTATGGGTTGAGCTGCGATTGCCCAAGGCCGAGGAAAGAAGCGAGGGGGAGGCACGAACTGCGAGCGAGAAAGCGGTCCTCGGAGAGGACAGCGATGGCGTTGATGATGAGAATTACAACTAGACAACGGATCAGTCTTGTGATAGACAAGATAAGGCTTAGTATCACTCACCGTAGACAAGCTTTCCAAGGCCGAAGAGCAGCATTGTTGCGCGCGGGTGATGTGGTGGGTAGTTGCGGGCGAGGTTGGGGATAAGGCGAGGTGCGGCGGAAGCGCCAGATCTCCGGATCAACAACCAAACCACCTGCACGGCCTGCCGATGCATTCGCCATGAGATGTGGTCAGTCCACACCACGTTTAAATGAAGTCCTTAGCTAACTTCAGTTCTAGCTTGGGTATTGCTTGCTGTGCTTCTTGCGGCGCTAATTCTATTGCACCTCTTCGTCGCGCCGTATACAAAGGTCGAGGAGTCTTTCCATGTCCAGGCCATCCATGACATCCTAGCCCACGGCTTTCCGTTCGGCGACATCGACCGCCACAATTATGATCATTTCGAATTTCCAGGTGCCGTGCCTCGGACTGCAGTTGGTGCAGCAGTGCTCGCACAACTGTCGCCGAAACTGACTACGCTGTCGCTATCGGGTGTGCATCGTCAGATCTTAGGTAAGTACTAGCCGTGGCTTTACATAGCATCTATGTAAAGCTAAAGCTAACCCTCAATTCAAGCTCGCGCTATGCTGGGCCTGTATAATGCATTTGCGCTGGGCTTCTTTGCCCGCGGCCTCTGGTCGAGCTTCGGCCAGTCAGTTGCTGTTTGGTATCTCATTCTCCAAAGCAGCCAGTTCCATCTGATATACTATGCTTCACGGCCGCTATCAAACATGTTCGCTTTTGGAATGACGACGATTGCAATGCGGTACCTTTTGCCCGATACTATAACAGTCTCACCTCAGAGAAACGGCACAAGATCAGGCAAGGTATCACTGGTGCTCCTCACAGTCGCAGGCGTGGTCTTCCGCGCCGAGCTAGCCCTCCTCGTCGCCTGTATCGCGTTGTCTCTACTCCTCGTACGCCGCAGCCACTTTATCGACGTTACAATTGCCGGCCTAATCGGCCTCAGCAGTGGCCTGATCATCACCACGACCATCGACTCTATCTTCTGGAAAGCGTATGTCTGGCCCGAGCTGAATGCTTTTCTCTTCAACGTCGTCGAGGGCCAGTCTTCTGCCTGGGGCACCGAACCTTTCTACTTCTACTTCATCAATGCGCTACCACGCCTTCTGCTCAACCCACTCACCTACCTCCTCGCCATTCCCGTCGCGCTCTACCACCCAGCCCTCCGCCGCCCCATCCTCCCGCTGCTCGCGCCGTGCATGGCCTTTGTCACCCTGTACAGCGCCCAGCCTCACAAAGAATGGCGGTTCATCATCTATATCATTCCAATTTTGACAGCCACTGCTGCCCTTGGCGCCAGCTACCTTTGGACTCGTCGGGACCGGTCTATATTCACACGGATCGCATCCCGCCTCCTCGTCCTCTCCACCCTTGCCTCATTCTTCCTCTCTAACCTCGTCCTACTCCCAGCATCAGCTTCCAACTACCCCGGTGCGCATGCCCTAAATGCGCTACACGGGCACCACGCGCAATTGTCGTCCGCTGGGGCGTCCGTCTACCTTGGTAACCTAGCCTGTCAGACCGGCGTGACACGGTTCCTGCAGAACCCCTCCGCACAAGGATGGCGCTACGACAAGACCGAAGACCAGACGACCAAGGCTATGGGCCCCTTCTGGGACCAGTTCGACTACGTGGTCGTTGAGGCGTCGGCGGAGCCAGGCTTTCGGGACAGTGACGAGATGAGCCTGCAGACCGCGCTCCCGGGTTCGCGTTGGGAGACGGCTGAGATCGTGGATGGATTTGCGGGGATTTCGGTGGTAAGGCCTGGCGATGTTGCGAGCGGAGGTGCCGAACGGTGGATCTTGTCGCGAGTGGCTGGCGAGCATGCGGTGGCGCTGTACGAGCAGCTTCGAGACATGGCGCGCAAGGCGGTTCTGCGTGGGTGGTGGGTTGAAGTGAAGACGAGGCCGCGGATCAAGGTGCTCAAGCGTGTCCGGGAGGCGAAAGCTTGATAGTATCATGATCGAGAGAGCGGTGTTATATTATATAGAGAGCCTAGCTGGCATTTTTATAGGGTACTTTTTGGTGATTATTCCAACTATCACAATGTACACTTCTAGCCATGGGGTACGGCTATGGAGTTATCCACTTCGATTGGATGAGCGTATCAACATGCCCGTAAAGGTCGAAGAAAGAAAAGAAAAGCCCATATCGACTCCAATAACCAACGCACCAGGCACTCGGGTTAAAGGAAGTACATGCAACGGGGTATTAAGAATCGATGATAGATTCTTGGCTAATAAACAAAGAAGCAGGGATAGATATTTCACAGTCCACCCGGCGGCCCGTCCAGACGAGCCATGCGAGACTCCAGGTCGCGCACCCAGGGCTCAACGGTCTCGACGTTCGACCGCAGGACCGCCTCACTCTGTTGCATTTTCTCCTCTACAGCGACCAGGCCTTCGCGCCACTGCTCAATTTCAGAATACATCTCGGCGTGTCGTTTTTCCAGTTCGTTGAGCGATTCTGCGGCGTGCGCAGCGCCCGCATGGCAAGCGCGCAACGAGCGGAGCCGCTCGAGTACGCTCGGTAGCAAGGGGTGTAAGGACTGGATGGTCGGGAGAGTGGCATAGAGGGCTTGGATTTTGGCGACTTGCTCGTCATCCGCAGCGGCAGAGGCCTCGGTTGTCGGGGCGGCGTCAGCGTCAGAGCTAGTAGTCGTGATGCGAGCGGCTTGAGCCGCTTTGGCGGCATCGTTTGCGCGTTTGCGGGCGGATGCGAGCGCTTCGGCATCGGTCGTCAGCTTTCGCACGCGCGTAGAAAGAGCCTCAAGGTGTGGAGTGGTCATGCCAGGCAAGACAGAGGGATTTTCGGATGCTGGGTTCGCGCCGACAAGCAGACCCGTAAGGGCGGAGAGGCGCGAGGTTAGTTGTTCCAGCGAGGGGAGGACTGGCTGCAGGGCGGGCTCGCTAATGCCATCGCCCACGAACGGGTTCGAGGAAGTGGAGATGCCCATGGAGGCTTCAAGGAGAGCTAAGCGGCTCTCGAACGCCGCTGCATGAGAAAGGATTCCTGCGGCTGGATCAGCAGCTTGGGGTGGCACAGGAGTTCTTGCAGCTGTTGTCGAGCTCTCTGCTGGCAGTTGTTCCTTTTCTGGAGCTCCCTTGTTCTTTGTAGGAATAGTCTGCAAGTCGAGCTTTTGAGACAGTGTGGCAGCAGCCGAGTATGGTGACGGCTGAACTCCTCGTGAGGAGGCATGCAAATTATCAAGCGCACGGCTCAACTCTGCCACACCATCGCCTAGAGCCTTATTTTCTGCTTTTTCGCTGCCATCAGCAGTTCCGGATTGGCCACCTTCACCACCCTCGATAGTTACGCCTGCTGACTGGTTCGCCATCTCGATTTTTAGATCCTCAACTTCTCGCCGCAGACGTGCCAGCCGCCGTTCAAGCGACTCGTCTTCGCTATCGCTCAGGTCACCGACCTCCTCGGTGCCATCGTCGCGTCTTCGGCGGTGGCGCCGACTTTTGTCTTTACTGCGATATGCCTGGCGCTTCGCCGAGATGCTGTCGGAGAAGTTAACGTCGCGGGCGTCGACCGCAGCACCTAGGAAGTGCCGACGTGCTTGGTCGGCATTGACGCCTTCGCGATCAATGTCGGAGTGGTGGCCGGCATCATCATGATCGGAATCCGTACGGATGGTGGCCGTCTATACCACGCGCAATTGTCAATACACCGCCCTGCAACTCTTTGTCATGGCGTGTGAACTCACGGGGACTGTTGAAGCTTCGTCGGTCAGGTCAGGGGTTTCGTAAATATCTGGGGCGGGATCCTGGACTCCTGTTAGTACCACACATCTTCAAAGGTGATTATTGACTGACCAAGTCCGGGAGACCGGCGTATTTCTTGTTGAATGCCATGCTGTTGTCGTGGGGGGTGGCAGACCGTCAACAATGGAACACTTCGGGGATCTATACTACTGAAGGTGGAAGGTCTTTTACGCCTCAGGCATACAGGCATCCAGGGACGACATCATAGGTTCGCTGAATCAGCATGCACGTGTCAGCCTCGGGAGAAGAGCACATGCGCGAGGGCAACCAAGGAAGGTATATAGGGAGACGACCAGCCGGTGCCTTCGTAATATCTGCTACATTCTCCTCTGTTTCTTTCAGAGTTTCCTGTTGACCTCAATTACATTTGAAATAAACCCAATCGCACTTGTTGCGCTCGATCTATCAGCTTGACCTCTTTCCCCCACCACCCCGCATTCCTATAGCTCTCACTCCTAAGATGGCCGCCCCTTCCGATATCACAGTCAAGAACCTGAACGGGCAGTGGACCATGGTTCGTGTCTCAGAAGAGGACAGATGCAAACCAGCTACCACTGAATGCCACGGCTAACTCATCCCTACGTAACAGGACACTACCCTGTCCGACCCCACTGACCCCATTCTCGCCTTGGTATGAACTCAATTTCCCCATGTTTCACAAGCCTGCGTTAGCATACATCCAAGCTATGATCAGGCCTCGGAAGGACAACCCGTAACAGAATCCGCTAACAACGCCCATAGCAAGGAATGAGCTGGTTCCTCCGTAAAGCCCTGCCCTACGCCACCGTTACTCTGCACGTGAACGAGTACGCAGACTCTGAGGACTCCACAGTGTACCACATTGATGTGGACCAGGTCATCACCGGTGGAATCAACGGCAGCAAAGAGGCGCGCAAGCTTGATTGGCAAGAGCGCGATCACGTCGACAACATCTTTGGCACCCTGCACGGCAAGTCACGGTTCTTCCGCGGCGCCAAGGGCGACGATGGCAAGGTGCGCCCCGCGTTGGACATCCAATCGAATGTCGGCGTGGCGGATTCCGATGCCAGGATCAAGAAGTTCCTGCGCGGCGAGGTTTCTATCGATGGGTCTGCGTCGGAGGGCTTCCTGATCGATGATGAGGGTGCCGAGTTTGGTGAGGGTGAAGGTCTGTTCGTGCAGAGCTTTGTTGTAAACGATAATAACGGCTGGACCGCTGAGCAGGTATGTGGTGGAACTTGATTCGATACCTTATGCTGAGCGCAGTACTAATTTTCTTTTCTTTCCCTTTACAGGTTTGGGGCTTCGAGATTATCGAGGGAGAGCGTCGCCACACCCGTCGCGTTGCTGTCATCAAGGGTACACAAGTCGAGCTGGCTCGTCTGGTCTACGTTTTCCAGGCTCGGAAGGCTGAGTAAAAGAGAATAAGAGGCATTGCGATGAGGAATGGATGTCGCTGGGCTTCGAGAGACCCTTCACACACGTGTTGCTCCACAATTCAATAGACTGTAGAACAACTCGATCTTTTGCTGGTTAGGATATCCTGGTATTGAGTTTAGAGCATGTCATAGCCTGTATACCAACCAAGTAGGCCAAACAAGTAGAATGATGCATGTTCTGGAGACGTATAAAGTGTAGAATGGGGTTCACACCATCGATATATATTTATGTCCCTGAGCCACACAATCAATCCCTTCCTAAACACGTCAAAAAGCCGCTATAAGAAACACAGACAGGTATATGCTTGGAACCAAATGACCCCCTGTGCCCCAGTGGGATCTCGTGACGCTTTTGTGTGGCGATTTGGGTGGTGGGCACTAAAGTCTGTTGCGTGGCTGGTTCGCCAGCACCGCTGGGTCTCTGGCACCTTGGGGCCGATCTTTAGAGGGGACGGCGTCTGTTGAGGAGCCTGCCTGCTGTACATTCCGAGGTTCAAGTCCTGGGTTGTGGGGCTAATTTTTTTATGCATGTTGCGTATAGTTGTTCATCGTGGTGACTTGCAGGTTGGCTCACGCTGGGTACCCTTTATGTATCTGCGGCCCAGATGAAGCTATTCGGAGTCCGTACCGGATACATAGCGCCAGTGAGGTCGACAGCCCGGGTTCGGTTCCCCTCCGGAGAGAAAAAGGATACTTTTGGGTAGAATATTTTATTTTTCTTTCATTTTTGGTGTTCTCTATGAAAATTAGATCAAAAAAACAGTCGAGGCCACAAGACTATAAACAAGCTCCTAGCATTCTGGGAGACGTTTCATTGCAACATAAAGGCGCGCCGACAAGGGGCAAATTTTGAGGGGGCCAACATGGGGGTAAAAGAAATGTACATAATCATGATTGGGAAGTTAAAGGAACCAGAAATTCCTAATGGTATGATTCATAGCGCTTGAAGATAGCGCTTTAAGAGTGAGTGGGCATGACCACGGTCGCCTTGGTGCTGATCGCATCTTCGGCCTTCCAGAAGCTAGTCACAGTCTTCTGCTGGGTGTAGAACTGCAAACCAGGCTTGCCGTAGAAGGTGTTGGCACCACCGCCAGCAATACTCTTCTTATTGCCAGTGAAGGAGAACATGGGAAGCGGGACGGGGATGGGCACATTGATACCCAGCTGGCCAGCCTCGATGTCCTTCTGGAAGCGGGAGGCAGTTGAGCCCGAGCGGGTGAAAATGGCAGCGCCGTTGCCATACTCGTTGGCGTTGATCAGGTTGATGGCATCGTCCAAAGTCTCAACGTTCAGGCAGACGAGAACGGGGCCGAAAATCTCCTCTTTGTAGCACTTCATGTCGGGGGTCACATTGGTGATGATAGTAGGGCCGACCTGGACGAGGAGTGTTAGGTTAGAGGTAACATTGAAACAGGGAGAAGGTGCAGCGATGAGCTTACAAAGTTGCCGTTGGGGTACTTCTCAGGCTTGTATCCACGGCCATCCAGCAGGATAGTGGCACCCTCAGCCTCAGCACTGGCGATGAGATCCTCGATGCGCTTCTTGCTCTCGGGGCTAATGACAGGACCGAGATCCGCACCCTCCTCGAAGCCACCGTTGACGTTAAGAGCCTTGGCACGCTCCGCAATCTCAGGCAGCCATTCCTTAGTCTCGCCGACCATCACAGCGGTGCTCAGAGCCATACAGCGCTGACCAGCAGCACCAAAGGCAGCACCGACAATGGCGTTCAGAGTTTGGTTCTTGTTGCAATCGGGCAGAACGGCAGCGTGGTTCTTAGCACCCAGGTTGGCCTGAACACGCTTGCCATTGGCCGAGCCCCGGGTATAGATGTACTCGCCAGCGCGGTTGCTACCGACAAAGCTGATCGCCTTAATGGCAGGTTCATCAAGGATGAAGTCCACAGTGCGGGCGGCGCCGTGTACAATGTTGATAACACCGGGAGGGAAGCCGGCCTCCTTGGCGAGTTCGGCCAGGATCATAGCGGCACCAGGATCGCGCTCGGAGGGCTTCATAACCAAGCAGTTACCGGTGACAGTGGCAATAGGAATGCACCAAAGAGGAATCATGGCGGGGAAGTCTGAATGACAATTAGCATCTCGGTAAACAGGTTCGAGAATAGACCATGATCCAACATACTAAAGGGACAGATAGCGGCCACAACACCCAGAGGCTCACGGTAGCTCCGGGTCTCCATATCCTTAGCCACTTCCAGAACCTCACCGGGCATCTGAGTGGTGATGCCACAGGCGGTCTCCGCGACTTGGAGACCACGAAGTACGTCACCGCGGGCATCAGCAAAGGTCTTACCCTGCTCAAGGGTAATGGAGGCAGCCAGGCGGTCCCAGTTCTCCCGGATCAGGTTAGTGAACTTGAAGAGGATCTGTTGCTTCGCGATGATGCTGGTAGCCCGCCACGCAGGGAAGGCCTTCTCGGCCGACTTGACGGCCGCCTGGAGCTCCTCATCGGTACTCTGGGGCACCCGAGTCACCAAGTTGTTGGTGGCTGGGTCATGAAGATCGATCCATGTAGTGGCTTTGGAAGTCACAAATTCGTTATCAATGAAGTTGGTCGTATCAATTGGGTTCGCAATAGGCTCGTGGTCTGTCGCGATGGTAGCGGCGGAGGTGGTGGCGGGGACACACTGCTTGGCAGTTGCATGCAAGCGGCGAGCTGCCGAAAGAGTCGCGGGAGTGGACACTGCCCTCTGAGAAGGCAGACAAGCAATTGGAGTGGCGGTACTCAGCGCCCGAACACCAGCAGCTCTGGCGACCACAGGCGTGCGGGGAGGGCAGCGGAGGGCGGGGAAAGTAGTGGCCAAGGACCGACGGGCGGCCATGATGAAGTGAAGGAAAGAAACGGGGTAGACAACAGGAAAGGGTCAGAAGAGAGAAAAAGAGGATGAGAGAAGACGCAAATCGAGGGCAGGAAGACGTGGCGAGAAGAGGTATAAGAAGGTTGCCTTCGTGGTTACACGGCGGTTCTAACCCCAGGCCCGAGGTAAACCGCCCTGCCCTACCGCCCTGGATCGGTTTCCCCAGAAAGTCGCAGATAAGCTCCGCTCGGCGGTGCCAGCCAATCGCTGTGCTCAGAGATCACCAGGAATCGCCGAAGCTGGCCGCAATCTGGCGGAGCTCACGTCAAGGTCGGTTGAGGTGGACTTTAGATTTGAGGGAGGAGACTCGGTGCATCTACTCTGTCCTACCGCGCTGTCTCTCTTGGGCAGGGCTTTCCATTCGGAGCCTGGCGAATTAGCCAGGGCCAATGCAGTTTTCAGCGATTGAACATGGCGGCCCAGGGGTGTACCCAGCACGGAAAGGGAAAGCCAAGTGGTAGGCACTACAATCGGCAGGCCATTCCGAGGAAAAGTCCGCCGCATCAGCACGAGTGGTCCTCTCCTTCCCTATAGGCCAACGCTCTGAATGGAGCCCCGACATCGGTTTAACCAGAAGAAGCTTCGACATGCCCAATAAGGAAAATAAATGAGCAGGAGTATACCAGGCTCTCCATTTTGAAGTGGATCTCAGACTACCTAGAGAAATACTACTACTACACATGTAAACAGCCCAAAACAAGGAAAATACAGGCAAATAGGGAATCAACGCGGAGGAGAAAATATGCGGCCAGAATTGTTTGGATTTATGAGGGAAGCCCTTCCTCCCTTTTGTCCGTCCATTGAGTTCTTTTACTCCGCAGAGGAACGGGTGGTGCGCTTGGTGGCACCGCCCTTGCCAGTGTCGGCGGAGGAGCTGACGGCGGCGCCAGTCTTCTCCTTGGCACCACCAGCAGCCTGCTTGCCCTTCTTCTCCGCGGGTGCTGGGCTGCTGGCACCAATGGCACCGACAATAATCAGGATCGAGGTGAGCACGATGACCAACAGACCACCGGCAACCTCGGGAGCGCTCTTGACGGCGTTCACAGGGTCCTCCTTGGCCAGGTTAATGAAGAAGTCGATCTTCTGGCGGACGAAAGTAACGGGGTCCTCCTTGAAGGTGACGGTGGTACCGGGCTCAGGCTTCTCGGGCTTGGGCTTGGTGGCCTCTTCCTCAGCCTCCTCGATGGGGAACTTGACATCGAATGTTTCCTTGCGGAGCTGCTCGGCATCCTCGACGGAGTGGCCGATATAGATGTTGTCGAACAGGATGTCGCTTTGCATGGTCCAGATCTCGAAACCAATCTGTACGCATCGTTAGCATTGATCTCACGGGCAAATCGGTCGAGCGGTACAGGTACTCACAGCGCCCATGGGCTCCAGGTTGGAGGGGGTCTTGTCCTCGAAGTAGTTGGGGTTGGCAATCTTGCGTGGGGCCCAGGGACCCTTGTAGGCAGGGTTGTCGATCATAGGAGCGGACCACTTGCCCTTGTACTCGGGGTTCTTCATCATGGGGCGAGTCCACTCGCCACAGCCAGAGACATCCGCGCACTTGGGGTTGGGAACGGTGGGAGGAATCCAGTCACCATCCTCCTCGTCATCCCAGTCCTCGGGCTTCTCGGCCTCCGGGTCGGGGATGCTGGTGGCCTCCTCCTCCAGCCAGTCCTCGGGCTTCTCAGCCTCTTCATCCAGGATCTCATAGGGGGCCTCCTCATCCCAGTCCTCGGGCTTGGTGGCCTCGGGATCGGCAATCTTGACCTCATCAACCCAGTCGGTGGGCTTCTTGTCCTTGGGGTCGTCAATCTCCTTCTCGGGGTTGACGGGAGGGTTGAAGTCCTCCAGAAGGCTGCCCTCCTTGACAGTCTCACCATTGATCAGGATCTGGAAGGTCTGGTCGGGCTTGACAATGAGAGTGTAGAGGGAGGTGACCTTGTTGGTACGGGCGACGGGGGGAGTCTTGAGGTGCTTCTCCTCGTACTCGCCGGTCTTGGGGTTCTTGTGACGGAAGATGAAGTGAACCTGGAAGCAAAAGCATTGTCAATTGTCTGTGCAAGGGAGAGAGAGTCCAACACATTCGGGAGAGGGCAAGCATACCTTGTTGGTGGCACCGCACTTGTCGGGGCCAAACATGATCACATAGGGAGTGCCGTTAGAGAACTCCTCCTGGTGGAGCTTCTTGTTCTCCTGAAGGAGCTTCAGGTAGGCGCCACCGCAGACCAGAGAGTTCTGCGGCTTGACTTCATACTGGACCACCAGGGTCTTCCCTTTGTTGTCAATCTTCTTGGGGAACTTGGCGGAGATGGCGTGGTGAGCAGCAGGGTTCTTGACGACGAGACCCTTGTCACCCTCGATAGCCTTGAAGACGCTGGGCTCCTCAACGGCCCATTCACCAACGTACGCCCAGTCCTCTTCGGACTTGGGGTCATCCTTCTTCGCGTGGGAAGGCTTCCAGCGCGACTCCCAGTCATCGGTGAATTGCTCCAGGAAGGGGGCCTTAAGAGCAGTTGGCTAGAAGGAGGTTAGAAGGATTTCAAGAGACGCGATCGAGAACCGGTTCGGGGAGGGGAGGGGAAACTCGTACCGTGAAGGTGGGCTTTTCAATGGCGGCAGCAGCATCAGGAGCAGCTTCCGCTTCCTCGGCATGGGCATAACCCATGAGGGTGGCCGAGGAGACCAGAGCCGTAAAGGCGGCGTTGAAACGCATGGTGAGCAAGAATGACCGGAAGGAAGGGAAGCGCACAGCACCGGGGAAGGGGAGGGGGGAAAGTTGGAGAGGAGACAGCGGTTGTTATATAGAGCGCGACCGAAGAAGGTCCAGGTGGCCTCTTCCCTGGCAGCTCCTAATTGGGACTAGTCCGGGGAGCTGCCGTCCCCTTCGATCCCCTTCGATGGAAGTATACGAATCGCAGTTATGTCCGACTCAACATCTGAGTCTCAAACGGGGGAAATGATGGATACGACAGAAATAGGTTTCATGGAGCAGAGAAAAAAAAGTCATACGCTCGACCAATAGACATTGGGGCTTGTTCTTTTTTTCCATCGTGTGTTGCCGTAGGATAAATCACAGGTAATCCCGTTGTTGCGTAGTAATAAGGCGCGGAGCTGCAGAGTCCACCCCGCCCGGAAAGATTTATTGGATTGCGCCCGTTACACCGGCGCAGCTCCCATCCCCCGATCAACCCACTTGGCTGACGTTTATTGGACTCAAAGTAAGTGCAAACTGGTCGCCGACTTTCCGCGGTTTCAATCTGGCCCTTGCGCCTGGCTCCGAAAAGAAGTCCCTGCTTCTATCCAGTGCTCCGATGCTGACTCCAGCCCCTCAGCCCACCATGGCCTCCTCCGCTACCGAGCAGGCCGTTGCGACAACCTCCAACAATGACCACTTAGTGCAGTCGTCCGACCCGGAGCACCCGGCGAATCTCATTCCAGCACTGTGCCGCAACTTCTATAACTGGGGATGGGTCACCGGCACGGGCGGAGGTGTAAGTCGAACCTCTCCGGCAACTCCTCGCTAACAGCGTACAGACGCGCATGCTCTATATCATCCGACTGACATTGACTAGACCTCCATCCGACATGGTGATCACATTTTCATTGCTCCTTCTGGCGTTCAGAAGGAGCTCATGAAGTCCGAGAACATTTTCGTGCTACAATGGCCGACCAAGAAGTATCCCGCCGAGGAGCGCAATTATATCCGCAGGCCTCTTAAGCTTAACCCATCCGCATGCACGCCGCTGTTTCTCACAGCCTTTGAGCATGGCGCTGGCTGCTGTATCCACACCCACTCGCAATGGGCCGTTCTGGTGACGCTCTTGGTGGAGCGGGAGAAGGGACCCGACGCCTGCTTCGAGATTAGCACCATTGAGCAGATCAAGGGCATTCCCCGCGGCAAGGGCAAGGGCATGCACGATTATTATGATACTTTGCGCATTCCCATCATTGAGAATACCGCGTTCGAGGAGGATCTGACCAGTGGCCTGGAAGCGGCTATGAACAAGTACCCCGACACCTATGCGGTGCTTGTTCGGAGACACGGAATGTAAGAGAGAGCCTGCAATCATCTGATCGCCACGATTGATTTCAACCCGCTAATTCTCATGCTGCAGTTACGTCTGGGGCGACAACGTTGCCAAGGCAAAGACCCAATGCGAGAGTTTGGATTACCTCTTTAAGCTGGCCGTCGAGATGCACAAGCTGGGCCTCCCATGGGTCAAATAAACCCGAGCACCGGTATTGCATGCAAATAAATTTTGCAGGGACAGGCATTGGGAATGCGAATATAGCTGTTGACCAACCCTATAGAGCTCCGAACCGAGACGATGTGACGTATGAATGTTGTTTGACTGCCTCACTGTAGTCAATTTTATGAAGTAGAAGAACATCCCAAAAAATGTAGCAAAGATATGTGGAGCAAATCTCAGCACATTTCACTCGCCAGGTAATGTAGATCTTAAGTCGCGAGGTTTGGAAGAACAGCAAAAGAAGAGCTCGGGAGCTTTTAGACCGTCGGGGTTTAACCTGTAGTTAGTTGGGCGAGGTCCCGTGAGTGACTAAGAGAGCGCGGATCATCCTCCACCTCAACCGCAAGCCTGCCAGCTGCCAGCTCCCACCTTCCAAGTCTCCCTGCCTCCTCCCAGTGTTTGGATTGAACCTACATTGATGCATCATATTTGATCCGAATTTCTTGATACCACCTCCTGCCATCTCTCAGCTGCGCCCGACCGACAACAATGGATCTCGATACTGGAGACTCCCCGTGGGGCGGTAGGCACTCACGATACCACAGCTCTTCAAATTGCGATCTAATGTAGGATACAGATGAACCCTCCCAGTCCACGACTAGCCATGCCCCATCGAAGCAGGACGCCTCGGACAATGGTATCTATACCCCTTGGACGCCTTCGACCTCCATTGACCCCTCACTAACGGCTCCGTTTCCCTCCTTGCAGCCCCCGCCGCCCAGGTGGTGCCATCAGCAGGTAGCCCTGAGGTTCGTACGCCCGGAAGACGAGGCCCGCGAGGAAACCGCAAGATAAGTGCACAAGCGACACGTTTGGAAGCCGTCGACAATACCGTCGATCCGCTTGGCCCGCTAGGAGAAGCCACCCCCGATATAGGTGCCACGCCAAATGACGAGGCGCCCGCTCCTCCTCAAAAAGAGTCTCTCGCCGCACGTGGTCCTCAGCCGGCTCCAGCTTTCTCGCAAATACCTGGCGGAACTGGCTTCGCCGACTCGGTCAACTTGGAGGAGGATGGTGCAGGGTTCCGCGGCCCCCCGCCTGTCCAGCCCGCCGTGGAGGCTGAGGGGCCGAGGCGACAGTCGCAACCTAGTATGACTGTAGAGCAAGCCGCGAAACCAACATTTGAGATCATTGTCGGAGATCCGCATAAAGTCGGCGATCTGACGAGTAGTCACATCGTTTACCAAGTTCGAACAAAGGTACTGTCCGCTCTCATAACGTGATCTCGCAATCAGCGGACAGCAAATTAATGACATATGTGAATAGACGACCTCCAAAGCCTACCGCCAACCTGAGTTTACTGTCAGCCGCCGATACCGTGACTTCTTGTGGCTTTACAACTCCTTGCACAATAACAACCCGGGCGTAGTCGTGGCGCCTCCTCCCGAGAAGCAGGCCGTGGGTCGCTTTGACACGAATTTCGTCGAATCACGAAGAGCTGCTCTTGAACGAATGTTGAATAAGATCGCGGGCCACCCAATTCTCCAACATGATGCTGATCTGAAGATATTCCTTGAAAGCGAAGCGTTCAATGTTGATGTTAAGAATAAGGAGAATCGGGAGCCTGACCTCGGCCAAAGCAAGGGTATGTTGAGCTCATTTGGTATTTCTGTAGGAGGCGGAGGCAAGTTTGTGGAGCATGACGATGTAAGTTCAAGGAAATTGTCTCATAGACCTCTTCAACCAAATTTACTGACTCTTTGGGTTTCTAATAGTGGTTCCACGACCGCAAGATTTACCTGGACGCATTAGAGAATCAACTCAAGGCGCTAATGAAATCCATGGACACCGTGGTGGCTCAACGGAAAGGTCTTTCCGATGCTGCAGGAGACTTTTCAAGCTCACTGCATGCTCTTGCTGCCGTTGAGCTGTCTCCGGCTCTGGCGTCGCCGCTGGACAGCCTCTCAGGGCTACAATTACGAATTAAAGAACTTTATGAACGCCAAGCCCAACAAGATGTCCTGACACTAGGAATCACCATTGATGAATATATTCGCTTGATTGGCAGTGTGAAGACAGCTTTTTCTCAACGACAGAAGGCTTTCCATACATGGCATGCCGCAGAATCGGATCTCCAGAAACGCAAGAACACACAAGAGAAGCTGCTGAGGCAGGGCAAGACCCAGCAAGACCGACTGAACCAAGTCAATGCTGATGTTGCTGATGCCGAGCGCAAGGTTCACCAGACCAGACTGCTCTTTGATGACATGGGTCGCTTGATGCGCAATGAGCTACAGCGGTTCGAGAAGGAGAAGGTGGAGGACTTTAAGTCTGGAGTGGAAACTTTCCTTGAAAGTGCAGTTGAGGCTCAAAAAGAGGTAAGCGGGATGAACACAATTCGTGATACCATGACGAAATTTTTGCTTACAATAATCGTAGCTCATCGAGCTCTGGGAAACCTTCCTTCTGGAGCTAGACTCCGAAGAGAATGCTGTGTCATACTATGCCTCCGAACCAGCTACCGGTGGGACTGGTGGCGCCCCTCCCGGACCGAACGAGTCTGTCCCTGCCACTGAAGATGAAGCATGATAACGTCGGCCCTAAATCTCGGATTCTCTAATGTACCAACTCGACCCAGAACCTGCCAAATTGGCACACGACCTAGCCCCTCCCTTTGTATTTTCTAGGTCATCCTTCTACCCGACTCCATATCTATGTATTGCCATGGGCTAGGACACGATGACTGCCCTCAGCTCAATTCTTCTCCTTCCATTTGTGATCCAGAATTTCCGTTCAAATACCACTTTTCGCATGCTGTAGCCGATATTATCACAGAAAATCAAATGGTTATGAACAATTGTGTGTTTCTAGATGTCTCGAAAACCGCTCTTCTGCGCTTCTAGACTTAAACTGTTATAATAATTAAAGCTCGAAGAATGAGGGAGGCAGCATGTTGGCGGATGGAATCAGTCCTAAGTTGCTTGTCAATCCCATATATACCGTCCGTAAGTAGTAAACACTCTTAAATCTCCCCTATCTTGACTAATATAAAGGGCGTCTATAATACACCGTCCATGATAGTGTGAAGTGTCGGCAAATTTTGGGGACACCGTGCATATGATAGATCTAGGCATCGAGGTCCAGTAGAAAATTCTCGATAATGGCGTGGCATACCCAGCAATTAAAGGACGTATCGGCTGACGACCGGTTAATGATGAATAATTTTCGGTTCCAGGGGCATTCAAACGTACAATCTCAGGTTCTCCCTATCTGTCAAATCCATTTGACTATTGTCTACAACCCGAGTCACCAAGCTCCCATCCGAATCGAGGGTTTCGACAATCCCATTGCTTGTGACTGGTTTGGCGGCTTCGAGTTGATCACGGCGTTTATTCTCGCGGCTCAGATAAATGCGCAGAATTATGATGACTATTGAAGGAAGAATTGCAGCAACCTTGTGAGGTAGGTGTCAGTTAAATTTTGTGGGCCATGAGAGATCCAAACCTACCACCAGCAGAATAATCCATGTTGGTCGGTATCGAGGCTTTATTACTTGATCAATACTGGCCCTATCATGGAATGTGAATCACTAACCTTCCACTGCGGTCGGAAAAGCTGGGGCGAGATGATGTTCCCCAAGCCGTATCCAATATGATACAGGGCAATGACGGTGGTCTTCTTGGTATGTCCTGCTGACGCGTTGGCCGCCCAGATCATCACCACAGCATAGGGGATTCCAGTTGTAGAGCGAATCCAGATTCCGCTGATGAGACCCCATCGATTCGACCATGGCAGCGCTATTTAATATTGTTAATATGTAAATTTGCTCGCCGTAAATGTGCAGCGACCAACCTAATAAAAGAATACTAGACAAAGCGCCAGGGATGTACGCGACAAGAGATATCCAAGCTCGAGAGTTCTGACTCTTCTTAGCGCCCATAATCTTCGAAGGTCTTTTTTCAGAACCAACATACCTCAGTGTAGTATAGTGCAATTGCCGCCGCGGCAAGAGAGAAGAATGACACGATGCCAGTAACCGTGCCAAGTAAGGTCGTTTGCAGGACCGAGAACCCGAACGAGTTGATGATCAAAGAATACTGGTTTGTAATTCCGTTGGCCATTTCCTGGGACCAGGCGTGAAGAAAGAAGAGCCATGTTTTGGGATCCTTGAGCGCTTCAATAAATCTGATAGATTCAAAAGATCAGAAATGAAGAAATCGGGATGAACGAGAATTGTCTCACTGGTATTTCTTAAACAACTTCTGTTCTATGCCAGAGTTGTTCTCTTTGATTCGAAGGATGGCTTTCGCTCGTTCCTCATAAGTCAAAAAATTGGCGTGAAGAGGGCTGTCAGGGAAAAACAGAAAGACGAAAACTCCGAAGATGATTGTAAGCGTGCCAGTGATCACTGTCTAGGACGTTAGTAATACTCGATCAGGATGACCACCAACAAGAAGGAGAGATCAACACACCCATGAACCATTTCCAGGGGGCAAAGTTCCCAGTCTCGATCCACAGGACGCCGTATGACAAAAGACCTGAGGTGATAGGGCTCGCATTCCCAATAGACCACATAATAGGCATCATCACAGCTTGTTCACCATATGTGAAGAACATTGACATGGAAAGCAGAAAAGCGGGAACTATAGATGCTTCCGCTAGTCCCAGGAAGAATCGAACGACAAAAAGGAGAGGCAAAATTGTTGCATGGAACATGCAAAATGGTGATGCCGCCCCTGATAATCTATTAGCTGGCTGCTATTTTCATGGATGCAAGACCCCCAAAGAAAGAAAACCTCAGTGCTCAATATGCTATGTGGTCTTGCAAAAACAGCCGAGGACAATCTTCGGGATCAACGAGGTTGCAAATCTTACCAGATGATCAAATTTCCGGCCAACCATTTCGCAACAGGAAATCTCTGCAAAGCCCAGTTCTGGGGCCACTCTGCTAACAAGTAGCCGAAATAGAAGATCGAAGACAACCAGTTGTATTGGTTTGAATTTAGATGCGCATCATCCATAATCCCAAGAATCGCAGAGCTCCCCAGCTGCGTATATGTTGTTATACACGAGATCCACGAGAGCTATAAATTTGATGGAAAGAGGAAAATAACAATACGTACGGTTTGCTTGTCCACATACATCAAATGGTATCCGATGCAGAGGAATGGGAGGATTCGCCATAAGCATTTCTTTCGGATCTGTCTTGCTTCTTCGGGAGTCGGATCGGCGACTTGGATCTTCGAGAACAACTTGAAGCTTTCATCTGCAAACTCATCCCGCAACTTAGGCGCATGGTCGAGATCAGTCACCTTCGGTCCTTCTTCCTTGGCTTGGACGGTCGCCGCAATCTCCGGTTTGAGGGACTGTGAAACCATGGTCCCTGGTCCCTGCAACTATATGAGGGCACGATTCTCTGCCACAACCACTGTAAAAGCCTTTGCATCCCCCCATCGGTGGGGCTTTTGTTTGATACTTATCATTCTCAGAATAGTTCCCAGCGCTATCGTTTTGCCATGGGTCCCGATTGCGCAATATCGATATGTCCCCTCGCCTTTGATCGCATTGCCGGATTTCAACCCCGTCGGTACTTCCGAGATCAGGTATACATTCCTCTTGCCATCAAGCGAATCACCTTAACGGAAAGCTCGTGGACGATGGCTCGTTCAACTGCCGAACCTGGACTCCAAAGTTGACAATCCACGTCAGTCGGTGCCACAAGCACGCCTGAAGTCGCCATCGCGGGGTCCAATCAAATCTGCACGGCTGACGTGCTTGTCGCAGATGGTCGCGATACGGTTGTACACCCTTGTCTATCCTTGTTCAATTCGGCCATCGTCCGATCTACAAAAGCCACCTGGATCTCAGCCTGAATGCTGGTTCTTAATCGCAGCCTTGCTCAGACGTAGATCTCACGATATTGCAACAACACGATAAATACGATGGCAGAGGATAAGCCGCTCAGAATTCTGATCGCGGGGGCTGGGATTGCGGGACTTGCGACAGCAATCTCTCTCGCGCGTATCTCATCAATTTCGAAGCTGGATATACAGCTATATGAGCAAGCTCCCGAGCTCAACGAGATCGGAGCCAGTATTGCGCTGAGTCCAAATGTAAACTTCCAAGGGCCCCCCCTAGGGAATTATCCCGACCTCTTTTGTCGAAAGATACTAATTGAACCAGGGAATGCGCACTCTCGAGAAGCTTGGGGTAAATAGTGCTCTGACCGAGGAGGTCGGTTATAGAGGGCCGAGTGGAATTCCCCAAATCTTCAGGTGACTCGAGACTCTCAATATTTTGATAGCAGATCACTAGACTAATTAGCCTGACAGGCATTGGAAAACAAACCAAGTCATCTCAGTCGACACCCATACGGATGTGCCTAATCCTCGTCATCATACTACTCGCTTTCATCGGGGCCATTTGCACGCGGCATTGTTAGACCATGTGTCTCGAGAATCCATTCACTTAGGAAAACGAGTTTCACGAGCAGAGGGCAAGGAAGATGGAGTGTCCCTTTATTTTGAAGATGGAAGCAGCGCACACGGTGATGTGTTGATTGGGGCAGATGGAATCCGCTCGGTATGTCCAGATCTACTTCCGTTGCTTTGGTGCTAGTGCTGAAATTTTATGCTTCACGTAGCCTGTGAGACAGTCATTCATTCCAGACTACAAACTACGATTCACTGGCAAAGTATTCATGCGGGCAACTTTTGACGCTTCATTGGTCGAGGGCAAAATTCCGAACTTACCTGTGGATTCAATGCATTGGGTATGCCATGATCATGCTCCATAGCTATGTCGACTCATGCTAATTTGACCGGTAGTGGGGCCCGCGAGACAACTTTTTTGCATCTCGGCTTGGTAAGTGCGAAACACGCTTATGCATGAGTGAAATTGGTGTATACTAAGCCTATTATGTATAGGCAAGAGGCAATACACTACCGTCGGTGCTTATGATGACCCCCGCACAGCTGGAGAACTGGAGAGAACAATTGCATGGGACCAGCAAGGGAGTGTCGAATTCTTGAGAGAGAGATATAAGGTAGGCATTATTCATTGAGCTCCTGGCCTTTTTTTTCCCGCATACCGCTAACCAGTCTGATTCGTTTTGATAGAACTGGAACCCCACGGTTAGAGCTCTCACAGAGCTCACCCCTTCAACCAATCTCTATCCCAACTTTGCCGGCGATGCTCTGCCAACTTGGGTCTTCGGTTCCCGGGTGACGCTTATTGGCGATGCGGCGCATGCCCACGGCGGTGCTTTTGCTGCCGGAGGCTCCTTGGCACTCGATGACTCCCTTGCTCTTGGTCTCGCTTTCAAACACGTCTTTCAACAATCTTCTGCGGCTCCTTGTTCGTCTGAAGATATTCGCGAGGCATTGGGGTTGTATAGTAGGACAAGACAGCCGCACACGGCTCGTTTATTACGCATCGTACATAACCAGATCGAAAACAGAAAGTCCGTCCCAACGACTGAGGAGGAAGAGGATTTTGACCTGGTTGCTAGGATGAAGAATCGTCCAAACACCGAGTGGCTATCAGAGCATGATGTTGAAACTGCTTTTGCTGCTGTGTTGGAGCAATATCAGTCGGAAGAAAGAATTGAGCTAAGTGAATCCTTGAATAAAGTCAACGATCAAAGCCAAATAAATGGGGTACTCCAGCTCCGGCGGAGTAAAATTTAGATACGGTAGTATTCTGTGAAAAACACCAATTAATTTAAATGAATATTTCAATATCTGCATGCGTAAACATTTTCCCACGGATAGTGGCATTGTGGTGATCCTCGCGGCATTCATTTTTCTAAGACTTCGAGCTATAGAGCTGAAAAGACTGCACTGGGAGTAAAGTCTGGAAGGATGAATGTTTTGGCAGCAAATTTAATCAAATAAGAGTAATACCCTTGGTGATTCTGTCGAACCATATTTAAATTACATCCTATTGCAAATTGCAAGCACAGTCATACTTTCTGGGATGGGTCCGAATGTCCGCGCTGGATGGCGTTGATGTTGGCTATATACAACTCCCGGGCCCGTTTGGAGATGCTTTTAAGCTCCCTGTCCCCAGACTCTGATGGAGGGGCATACATGCACCCAAGAAAGGAGAACGTAAGCATGCATGAGAGAACTTATGGTCCTGGACAGAAGGGATTGAGAGATGACCATGTGGAAAGGACATACCGCTACGAAGTTTACGACGGTAAATAGAAAAAAAATGAAGGACATGCATGCATGCGCGGTAGTTCACAAATGATATATGTGTATATTGTACAGGATGAATGAAACAAAAGAGCCTAACTCCCATCCAGAATCCGGGAATAATCGAATCCTCCTTTCTTGAACTAGTCACACAACGCCACTCCTATTTCTTCTTCTTCGAAGGGGCCGTGCTCTGTTCCTGGCTGAAAGAGCTGATGAGATCCAGCAGATTATCTTCCTCCTCCTGATCAGCCAGCGCCTGGGCTTTGGCTGCTTCCTCTTCGGCCTTCTTAGTCGCAGCGTCCTGTGGTTCGGTGGCTGAAGCGGCCTCCGCTGGAGCATTGGCATCCCAGCTGCGACCGAAGCGCGCACGGAAAGCCGCGAGTCGACCGGCCTCATCTTCTTCAACATTCATCAGTTTGCTGCTGGAAGGGTTCCAAAGCAGCGAATTGCGCGTGTCACGTGTAGATCGGTAGACGGGAGCCGGGGAAGTAGTGCGGTGAGTGAAGGCGCTGCCGTCAGAGAGAGTGATGAGTTGAGTGAAGGTGTATGGGCGCTTCGGGCGACGGAGAAGGGTAGCATGACGGCATTGGGAGCAGACGAAGGTTATGGCATTGGGTTGAGAGCCTGGTACTCGGGACGGAAGGATGGTTGAGGTTGAGCTCGATATCGTGGCCGCGGTACGGCGAAGAGTGGTATGCATTGACATTATGCCGGATTTTGCGCAGAACGCTGTGTTTAGACCAGGTACTGGAGCAAATATGGCCCCAATTGAATTGCTGGGCGTATTGAACGGTGGATTGCGGAGGACAGAGTTGGGTTGATGCTATAACACCATGCGGCAATCCGACGCAGAGAAATTATCTCGAATATCTCGATTATGTAAGCAACCGGGGATTTTCACGGCCTCCGATAGCTGAGGTCTCGCAAATAGTCTTCAAAGCTTTGCATCTCGCCATGAAAGAAGACAACTTTGAGCATTTATCCGTCGTGCAATACCTCTCGCCTGCTCTTTAAATACTGAGCGCTGGCTTCACCTCGTTCCGACCGGCGGGATGAAGCTATTAGTCCCGCGCCTCGCGGTTCGACGAAGCATAGGAGGTACGTTCTGAGCTGATTCTGTAGCGCAGTCACATGGTTCTAACTATCTGAAGAGCCAATACACTCGAATGTACGACCATTTTCCATCCCAACTTTCCTCCACCGAATCCCCGCCATACCGTGTCACCAGCACCCCGCTCAGTGGTGCACACGACGAGATATCAGCAGTGCTGCACCCCAGACCTCAACAGATGGACAAAACAACTCTTTGACGTCAACAAAGCCCTCCTCTCAAACCCAACCTGAATCTTCAATATCCGAACATGTCCGCCTACTTATGCGCCGGGTTCCCTATCCTGTTGCAATCATCACGGCCACCGATCCTGCCGGTCCTCCGGATACAACGTCCTTCCGAGGCATGACCGTTTCTTCCTTCAACACCGTCACACTTACCCCACGCCCGGTAATCTCCTTCAATGTGCGCCGGCCCTCAGAAACACTGAACGCGCTCCTTGCGTCTGGTCGATTTCTAGTCCATTTGCTCGCACCAGGGCCCGCGACAGCAACTCTAGCCCGAGACTTCTCCAAAGGAAATACCACACTCGCAACGATATTGAGCGGGCATGGAGAATTTCAATTCGAGGCTTTGAATCCCAAAAAGGCCTCCAGCCAGGATACCACAGCGCCCCTTCCTCTCTTGAGACGGAGAGGCGCCGAGTCGTGCTTGCCAGACTCGAATAACGCTGAATCCGTGGATTTCCCGTTCGTTTTCGAGTGTGAACTTCACCCGCAGAAAATTGATGTGCAGGACCACTCAATTGTACTGGGTACGGTTGTAGGTGCTATTCAGGGTTCGGTTGACTCGCTCTCGAACCAGGATTGTACCCGCGAAGATTCCGAGAAGCATTTGCCTGACCGACTGTGCCTGGCGTATGCTAACGCCCGGTTCTGGAAGATGGGAAGTGAGCTTTGAAATGCCCAAGTCTGCATTCTTGCTGAAAAATACCCGGTGAAGATGGCCCTTGGTATGGATTAAGGTGTGGCCCTGTACATATACGATTGACACAACGTCCCCATTCGATTTCCTGTATATATAGATAGACCTTCAAATAGATCACAAGGCTATAATGAGATCACCTACCTGTTCTGTACTTTATTAGCAGGCTTCAATGATACCAACTACAATAGAGCTACAAGACAGCTATTAAAATGCAAATGCATGAACCGAGATAGTATAGAACAAGCTTTTTGTCTCTAAGCACAGAACTGCGATTCATCTCACTTCAACCCGATCTATCCAAATTTGTTATCTTGCCGCGAGAGAAGATTCGCTTCGTGTGGCCAAACGATTCCAAGACCATCACGGGACGATTCGGCAAGAGAAGACAATTGGACTGGATATGGATAGGACAAAGAATGCGAAGAATGACCCCACCGAACGGATCGGAAAATACAAGCACAAAAATCTCAGGCAAGCCATCTCAAGACACCAAAAAATGGAGGCATTCGTAGTAGTCTGGTGGGAGCGAAATATCAGCCTTGGGAGCAGTTTAATCGCGTGCCGACTTTGGACTGCCGCTGCCACTTCGACTGCCACCACTCCCACTGCCTGCTCCACTGCCTCGACTCGCGGCTCGTTGAAAAGGACTCAAAATAGGACGGCCACCGTGGTACAAGAAACCGTTCCCATCTGAAACGGGCCGCTGCTGCTTGTCGTTGAGCAACTCGGAGAAGTCAAAGTGGAGAGGAGGCAGACGGTTAGACTCGAAGAACTCCGAGCCGTACTGACTACTGTGAGCTGAGAGGTTGGAAAGTGAACGATCCCGATGATTGATGTCCGATCCAAAATATGATCCAGTATTATTTCCCAGCGGGGACGTGGGAAATTGAGGCATGAAGGGGCCATCTTGCACCGGGCTAGTTGGATGAGACGACGAAGCGTGAACGGGCGATGAGGAAGTTTGCAGAGGACTAGACTTCGGGGGAAACTAAGTCCTAGCAACGCGCGGCCGCTAGGAGCGGAAGTTGTTATAGTCTCCAGCATAGGATTGGTGCCTGGCAAGTTTCCCTCCGGGGTCAAGGGACCAGAATCCAGAAGCATCTGTTGCTGTTGCTGCTGAATGGATTGCTCGATCGCAGAGGCCTGCTGCCAAAGTTGACTGGTCCGCAGCTGGAAGTCCTGCACAGACTGACTGATGCTCCCAAACTGTTCATGGAAGTTGGCTTCCATCTTGGCATGGTCCTGCTCTCGAGCAAATTGTTCAGCTGCGCGTCGCTCTCGTTCATTTAGTCCTTGAGCATTGGCCGAGATGATGCGCTCATACTGCTCATTGACCCGCGTACGGCGACTCTGAAGACGTTCGCGCTTTTGAACAACCATATTCAAGTCCTGCTCCAATGTCGACACCTGCTGAGCTGCTGCAAGCCGTGCTTCGGAAAGCTCTTCCTTGGTAGCATTAAAAAGTTCAAGTTCACGGTCGAAATCAGCTTTGTGTGCAGACCATTGTTCCATCTCCTCTTCCGGTACGTTCTCCATGCTGTCTAGTTGGACCTCTAAGACCGCAGTGGCTTCCTCTGTCTGCCGAATATTACGCTCCAGTTGCAGCGAACGCTGTTTTTGTCTATTTTCGTCCGTCCCACTTTGGAGCCGATGATTAAAATTGTCCAGTTCCTTTCGGATCTTTGAAATGAGAAGTTTATGGTCGTTCTTCGTTTTCTTCAAACGAGAGCGTTTCTCGTTCAATTTTGCCTCAGCATTGATGATGGAGTTCTTCAGCGTGGTCGTGGGAGATGAAGGACGATAAGGCGGCTGAGGGGGCGTTGGTACCGCGGAAACGGCTACTGGATCAATTAGTATTATAGCAATGGGACCGTTGATTTCGAAATGGGACCAACCTTGCTCGGTATCAGCAGTTGCAGGAGTCTTGACACTCATAGCACATATTTCCTCGTCGGTATCGCTGCGGATAAAGGAACAGGTATAGGCACAATTCGGAGCAAGTCCGGAAATCTCACCCCTCCACTGTACTATACTGGGTCCTTTCGAAGAATCCGAAACCCTACAAATTGTCGCAGTTGCCCAAAGAGCGCCATTCACACAAACATAGAATGGTTCCGTATCTTCGTCCAACCGGCCAGCTTCGCATGAGCTCGGCGACATAGCATCGTCGGCAAGATCACCGGCGGCAAATTTGATCGTGGAGCTGTCCACATCGGTAATCCATACCAATCCATCGTCAAGAGAAACCCCTTGCAAATCATCTTCGCTCATTGTCAATCCGCGTGCCGTTTTTGACAACACACGTGAGTGTTCGTATTCACGCATAACTGTAACTTTTGTACTGGCGAGGGCGGCCCAAAATGGCTGACGGCTACGGACTTGATTGGCCTGTCTTCTTCGTTTCTTAGCTGAAGTTAATCGGTCTTTGCTGTCCTTGACAAATTGACCATCCGGCCCCACGAGAGAAGACGAAAGGCTAGCGGCAGACTCGAGGGCCGAATCGGCCTGACCCTGCGAGCCAGCCGATGCCTCCGTATCTCCGCGCTTCCCGCTCCGCTGTGGAGTTGGAGACCGATTCCTGGCCATCGAGCGTCTCGCCATTGCAGTTCCGGCCTGTGCTAATATATGGACGGCGAGTAGGCTCCTCAGCCAACTCGGGGACGTTTGAGACTCGGTTCGTCGGAACTCGGCGGGTAGAAGATTCGAATACTGCGAGAAAAGATCAGGGCTAATGAGTTTGGCAGATACAAGATGCCCCATCACAAATTCTTGTATGCCCTTGCTGCGAACAATATGAAGAAGCAGAACAATTCCGACGCACAAGGCATTGACCCCACCGTTCTTTCCGGAGCCTCCGCCGCCCAGTGTGATGGCGACTTGGACGTGAGCGAGATCGATTGCGAAGTTCTGGGCCCATGTCCACATGAAGAGGCCCCAGAAAAGAAGGCAGAACCCGTCCATGGCAATCATGGTCCCCAGGGAAGGCGTGCCGGCGGGTCCCTGGAAAATATCGAAATTCGACGACAGAGAGCCTGCGGCGGCACCGCTCGGGGGCATGAATGTCAAGGACGCGAAGAGGAATTGAACGAGGGTAAGGACCATTGGTGGAAGCTGTAGCAGAAAAATCAAGATGGCGATGGTGTCATACATTGGACACGACTTGAGTATGGTGGACGCAAGTTGAAGTGGATTGATCGAGGAATTGGAGCCGGATCGTTTCGCGCTGCCATTGCGAGAGGCCGAGCCTACCATGCCGCCGTTATGCGGCGTGGTGCCGTTGGCCTGCCCACACGCCATTTCCACACCCTTGCTGTGCCCATTCACCAGACCACGCACATTGCCGTCCACCTTCGACCCATCCCCCGCCTGACCCGCGACCACCGGAGAAGTGACCGCGGAGTCACTATTTGAACGAGACGAGGATAGGTCGAAGGGAGCAGCGGCGCCCGAGCCGGGGGCGTTGCCGTTGCCGGGCGAGCCGTTGAGGTGGCCACTCGATTTCTGCTTGGTCACTTTCTTGCCGGGACCGATGAGGCCATTCTCGTGCCGATTGTTCTGATTCTTCCGACCCGCAGCGGATGAGCGTGGCATGGACGAGGTTCGCCCGAAACCCAGGTCCGAGTCAGCTTGGCGGGATGAGGCCAAGGACTGGGACCAGGCTGGAAGGAGCGGGAGGGAGGGGGAGGAGGGGGGATTGAAGGAAAGAGAAGAACTTCCCCTAGAAGCCGATCCAGGCAGAATGGTTGATGAGGGGAGAAGGAGGGGGGTTGAGAGGGGAGGAAAGGAAAGAGAAAAAAGAAGGTAATACGAGAAGGGGAAGAAGGAAAAGTCACGGCCTTGTACAGTATTGAAGAGGTTTAGGTTGAAGAGACTGGCCTCAAGAAGAACCCGACCGGCGTCACGTACGGTCACCGTACCGCCGGCGTCGATCATCCTGGCTCGGGCAGGCGGTCCCGGCCGCCCGGTGGTATGTTCGGTACCGTATGTACATACGGTACCTTCAAGTCCCTGATGTATGGAGCGAAAACTACGATCTATACTCTTCCTCTATTCACACTGCCACGATCGACTCTCGGAATTTGATAGTAGAGGTAATCAATTGCTTTAATCGAGAAATTAATGGCCATCCATAGTCGATATCTGGATATGATAGGGGGCCGAGTCTATCCCTCACGAGCGATTCGACCTGGATTCTGTCGGGACTCAACCCGTCCCCTGCTGGCTGCAACTACTTCGGATAGCTACACATCGTCCAATCCTCAACGAGGGCAGAAACGGCCCTAAACACAGCTTGCAGCTTCGTCTCTCTTCCCGTTAGCCGGAACTATAATGTCGGCTTTTCAGCATATCGAAGTTCGTCCCGCTCCTGCACAAACCGCTCATCTCACGTACGGGCGACCGGTTTCAGAGGTCTTATGGTGGCTCGCCCGTTTTTCCAGCGCCTATCTCTATGCATACACCCCTGTCTGAACTTTGTGGGCGTGCCGACATGTATTCAAAACACGTAGTATGCTGCTTTTATCGTCAGCCTTCGGAGGCATTATTTGTCGTATCTTTGGGGCTGATCCCGGTGACGATGCTCACCCCGAATAAGTTCATGACAGCACATTTATCAACGCCATCCCCAAGTCGACATTGGTAAATTTCTCTATCAGACCAACTTGCGGACGATCAACCGTCCTCTGGGCCGCCTGCTGCGGGGTTATCCTGCTACTAGACCTGGGGCATGCATGGCCGACACGAGTCCTTCGCCTGGGGGGAAAAGCCTATTCATTGGGGGGTTTTGGCTCATTAATGAGCGCAACTGCAGAAGACGCAAACATGCGGCCCGATGGGTGGCCCTAGCAGGAATAAGGCTCGCACGAATCCCGTCGCCCTTTCGACCAGAGAAGAATCATCCTATAGTGCCCAGAAGGCGCTCGCTGAGTCTTCTTCTTCACATGCTCGGCTATCTCGCGCCCTGTAGAGGCTCCGCTCCAGCAATGACCAACGTGCGATCCACCCTCCAGTGCACGCCTCGGTAGATCATGGAAAGTGATGTCCATCGCTCTCCAAATCGAAGCTCAGGAGACGGAATCTCATTTTATGGAGAGGGTGCATCCACACCTGCCCGATATGCGACCTCTCGATTCCTCGACCTATCGCCGACTGCTTGACCCCTCCCAAAGCCAGGATTTCCGAAGTTCTTGGCATCTGAAGGTTTCGCTCGTAGATCTGACACTAATCCGGTAAGGATCTACGCCCGCGGCCGGCTTCGTGATGGCTTGACCTCTCAAGCCTTTGCATACGGGTGACAGACCCCAGCAGACTCTGCTTTTCCCTGGACGATCCTCCAAGACGATCAATCTGGGAGTCATGGGAACCAACCGCGACAATCCGGTATCTTTCGCAACTCACCTCTTTTGACTCCTTTTTTCCCCTGGCTTGTGGGATAGAGTTCAATTCCGAATAAGTGGCCGGAGTTTTGCTTGGGTCCGATAAACGGTTGAGCAAGGTTAAGGCGCCGATCTATTTCGCTCGTCCTACTCGTTCCGGGCCCTATGTGACCCTCTTCCCGACTATATTCGGTAAGGTCTCCGAAAAATGAGGTTCTGGACGGTGCCTTTGGAGGGCCCACACATCCAGGTTTTCTGTACTGTATTGGAGAGGAAAATGAAACTGTGATACACATTGATACTCCATGCAAGAGAACTTGTGAGAAATAATGTCATAGGAGGAGAAACTTCTGCAGGGTAGTCTTTTGGCCACATTCCAATGCATGGGCATTAAACGCTTCTGTTATGGAAAGCGGCCGCTCTTGGCGGTGAGATGAGACGAAGAAGAGACTTCTCTCCTCGCGTCCCTTCTACATGGGTGCTAGGCTTCACCGGCTTCTCAATGTTTTTTGACATAGGGGTACGTGTTCTGCATCATCTGACTGACAAGATGGTTCAATGGTGGTGGCAAAAACACCAGTTGAAGATTTGGTCAAAATTTACTGGTACGGTGGGTCTTTCTTCTATTTTAAGCCAACGAAGGATATGGTGCATCCAACAGGGAGACATCCGTCAGTACGCACATAGACTACGTAGAAGGGAGAATCGTAGAGCTATATAAATTACGCATTTAGGCTCAAGAATAGGATATATAGTTCACAAAGACGACTTGATCAACACCACTCGAAGATTGGGTCTGTTTTTGTGCCCCGAGGTAGTCAAGTCGTTGCCTGAGTACTAGATATGCTGATAGTATTATCCCTCACATTATATCAACACCTGACATTACCAGAGCTCATGATTTCTTGAAAGGTGATCAAATTTAAGGCATAGGTCTTAGGAATAGAAGAAGTCGAGGGTATCATGAGTCCCAATTTGAAGACGCAATGAATTAGGTAAGCAGGAGAAGTAAGTTAACTAACTTGCGAGCAATCACTAGTAGCACTAAGGAGTAGTATTTGTAATAATAGTAGCTAGCATTTGCCCAAGAGAGACGCTCCAGCGATACAACTCACAATTCTCTATTACATTATTATCGCACATATACCCGGCATCTGTGTACATGATGTATGTAGATAAGGTTAGCAGTAATTTATAAGCCAATAGGAAGCCACCGAAGTTGTGCTGCCGAAGTGGCTTGAAACTTTTACTCATTTGAGTTTCGAGACAAGCCACATCCGTTTATCTTGGTATTCGCCATTCCAGCAACCCCTGTTGCCATGTCGCTCATTGAATAACCTAAATCATTCGGTCTTGGCACTTTCCCAGTATCTGATATGGTGGAAATGGATTCCACATGTCTTCACTCTCTGGCTACTACAAACATTCCAAGTAGTAGGGGGGAAGCACGAGGTTCTGAATGCGGTGTAGTCAATAGTAATCACCTTGCGAAATAAAAATTATCGCTCAAATCTGCTCGATGTGGTCTGCAAAGTTTCCAATCCCGGTGCTGCACGAAATGACGATCTCGGATATTACCAAAAGGTCACTACGTAATGACTGTTCTCTGAAATAGATATTTACCCGTAATTCGAACTGAGAGATGGGTTCTAATTTGGACAAAAAATGCGGAGTCGCCATACAAGCACGAGTGTCATCTGTGTGGGATTAGAATACAAACCCACTGACATTCTTCTCCTTTTCTAATCTCCATGCCCTCTCAATAAGGTGATTAACTTTTCCAGAATCTGTGAAACCACCATATTTCGCGAGCGATCGCGTCTTTTTCTCGATCTCATCCCTGACATGTGGATTAACTACTAGCTCAGGGAGACTTGGAGATACATGTCGGAGTACATACCTCGTCAAGGAGAATTCTGGATCTCCTTTGGCATATTCCACAGATTCAGTAAAAGTCTGACCAGACTTGCAAGAAACAATGACAGTTCCCTGCCACTTCTGAGGAAATGCATTGTCAATTACTGGATCTAACTCCATTTTCACACGTTGTTGGAAATCACGCAACGAAGGGTCCTTCAAATCCTCTTCAGTGAAATCGGTAATCATTGCCTGTCCCTTTTTCGCAGCTATAGCGAGAACAAAGCCCATTGAGAACTTGCTCTGGTGGACCGTCTCCCCTCGTCCCGTCAATCCAAGGACGTTGATAGCTGCCTGATAAGTACGGGCGACCACCGACTCGATATCATCGAAAGCAACATGATTCTTCTTCATGAGACTTAGCAGCGCGTCAACACTCGGGTGAGTATGTCTGCAAGAGGCATGCCATTTGAAGCTAGAACGAAGAACCTCATATTCCGTCCCAAGATTTTGGTCGATCGCTTCCGGATAAGTATCCCCGGGAACTAAGGCAACACCCATTGCCCTTGGTCCTTCCAGAATGTCCCGGGTGCCGAGAAGCCCATCGCGGGCAGTGTAGGCGGCGAATATTCCGTCAAAGCATGCCTTACCTGTATGAACCTGTTTGGAATGAGTGGCATCCATCAGGAATTGCCAAAGACCTGCTGCTTGCGTTCCAGCGGTTCCAATTGCAGATAGAGTCTGATCGGCATCTAGTTTCAAAAGATGAGCAGTAGCGGCAGCGACCCCAATAACTCCGCCTGTTGCAGTAGAATGGAAACGCTATATACAATACGTCAATTTTGAATTCAATTCTGAACTGATACTCTTTCGAACAACATACCTCGTAGTGGCTCTTTCCCAAATATTCTCCCACTCGACAACCGACTTCATAGCCGACGACGCAAGCGACAATGAATTCTTCACCACTGGCATCTACATCTTGAGCTACAGCAAGTGCAGCCGGGAAGATAACGGTGGCCAAGAATACAGTCAGCATCGGAGATTCAGATAACATATTCATGTCTTAGGCTTGTGCCTCTCTTTTAGGGGCGTTCAGGGGCGCTCACGGGATGCATTATGCTGCGATTGTGGAGATCATCTTGCTCAACCACATGAGACGAAGCACCGTTAACCAAACTAGCAAATGCTGGACTAGTGGTGAATTTCAAGGACCCGTCGACGAGCTCGCTCTTCCCATTGGAAGGCCCCATCTGGACTGCAAATTTCGAAATAGCAGACACGGCCGGATGATGGCGACCGGCAATGGTACAACCTAGCCAATCCACGAAAAAAATCCTTCGTCTTTTCGACTACATCTTGGGGAAGATCTCGAAATTGGACGTTTGCAGCCCAACTAGCTAGGCGCTCCGTTCGAGTTTGCCCCTGTGGGATAGTTTGTTGTGCCATATTCAGATTTTTGACTGTCTTTCGATGTAACCTATGCCTGGTGGTCGATTTTATAAGGATGTGGTACGTGTTCTTAAAATGGGAGGGGCATCACAGGGGTTTGTCGATTACCCCATCCAAAGGCCTCCCACCTTCCGAGTCAAAATGCCGAATAGGCGACTCTAGTGGGGCATAAAGGCTGGGCCTTGAACCAAAGTCCTCCAAATTGGGGGAGGCAGCAAGCCTGACAGCCATGCCACATAACCGATCCAATGAGACGGTGTGGGGTAGCCAGAATGTGGAGTCATCCAGAAGGGGCTCAAAAGGAGGTCAGAGAAAGACTATTCTAGTCCCACAATGTGAAATATAATAAACATGAAGAAATGACGTTGATCACAATATCTTGATCCATTTTGCTTCCAAAGAGACAGTTCATCTATATATAGCAGAGTGGCGCCCCGGTAGAATGATCGAATGAGTGCATGGCCCGGGACCTTCAAAATACATGCAAAACAGCTTATTAGACATTGAAGCGTAAATGAGAAACTGACATTGATCAACTGAGCCAGGAAAAAAACTGAGGAAGGTTTTTCGGGGTATAGAGCGAAGCAAAATTGCCGTCATCGGGCTCATCAAGGACAAAAAGGATTAAACACCACCACGTAAATGCCTATTTTGTCCTAGCACCGAGACATTCAAGCATAAACGTATAGCGTCAAATATGCGTAAGGCTAACTTCCCTGGTACGAAGTGATGTCTAGCGACGACGGGCAATAATGGAGGTGGCAATTGCACCAAGGCAGACAAGACATGTAATGAACATAAATGCACAGTCGGTTTGGGCACGAACACAGCGACTGTGTACAACATATTTGTCGAAACAATGTTTGCCGTCATCATCGGTATAGCAGCCACCACTAATCAAAGGGTTGTCCCAAGTGTTTCCATCGGTGGATGTGTCATTGCAGTTGGTACCACGAAGTGCCACGGCGTAAACCTAAGAGCATTATGAGAATCTCCATAGCAAAACGAGAGTTCGATAGTAACGTACGATTCCGCCAATCAACAGAGCAGCACTTGTTACGCCATCGACGACGATGGAGACCATTTCACCGAGCCCGCTGAATATGAGGGCGACAAATCCGATTATACCTGCAATGATTCCGAGGGCTCCAGTAAAGGCGGCATAGCTAGTTTGGGATGGAACTTTGCCATAGTATTGGTTCCTCGCTAAGTTGATAGAAAGCCCCAAAACGACGCCACTGAATACCATCTAGGATGTGGTGATTCATTAATTTGAGCTCTGACTCCATCAAAATGGGAGGGGATCTTACCTGGAAGAATCGCACGATTCTGTTGATTATCTGCATTTTGAAGGACTTGGCTTATAGAAATTGCTTGCAGGTAGAGTGTTATGGAAGAAGTGGGAAAAACAGAGCAAGCGGCTCTCTTATTAATGAGAAGAAATCCACTGAATATTATTCATAAGAAGTAACTCTGTAATTGAGCTGGCAAGGCAGACGCAGATCTGTTTCTCAGGCTGTGTTGCATGCATTGGATGCCCAGGTGGGGATCAGGGGCCAAAAGTCGGCGCTAAATTGCCAGGTGAGAAACTTCATTCGTTGATCGGACTGCGGTGAAGAATCCTACCCAATTGATTCGACTTTCCCAACGGAATCCTGCATTATTTAGTCGGATAAAAAAGTTTTCAGGGTGTCCGGGGCGCCATTCATCCACAAACGAGCCGCATCCTGAGAAGATCTTAATACACAGGAGGTACACTAACATTTGCCCACAAGTACGGTATATCGAGATATGTCTTACTATTAAAATGAAGGCTTCTATAGAGCCTCTCAAAATGCGACAACCATAAATGTTACTGCCACTTTGTTCTACACAGAAGAAGAGGCTCTTGAAACAGGGTTTTAAGGTAGATAGATGTAGATTGTGGGGCTGGGTCCGACACAGCCCTGCATAGCCCGGCTCCAGGATTAAACCCCTCTGGTAGACCCCTTCTCTGTTTCAAGTGCGGAGTGGTAGCATTATCATCAAGAGAGACTCTCAAATCTGGGTTGCTTAACGAAATTTAGAAAAACAAGATAGTCGGAAACCCCGTCATGTTCGTTCTGTCACAGGTCATACCTCACGATCTTGTACTTTGACTGAGTCCTACTGAAAATGTTGCCGGATCTTCACAGAGATTATTTTTTGAAAGCGTAGCTATTGTGTTCATGATAAAATGCATCTCGCTGGGCTAAATTAAGCTGATACTAAATAGTTTTCTTGGTTTTAGAGCCTTCAAGCACGATGAAAAAGGGCATGATATTGAAATTATCTATTAGCGCTTGAGACTGCCAGGATCGTGCATAAACAGGCGAGCGGCTGAGTAATGGTTTGCGGAGATATTATATCAACACGGGCTAAATATTGAACTGGTGTCAGGGACGCTCGCTGTCCCTGTGGAAGAGAAAAAGAGAACACCTAGGGATATTTATCGAAGAGAAAGGCTGTCTGGGTTGCTATAGACAGCAGGGTAACCTTATATATCTCTTTCTATTATGCCGCCAGTTCCCACCCGAGGTCATTTTCCCACTACAATATATATATATATATATATGCCCTTGCACTATACTATATCTTTATTACCCTAACAGTGGAACCAAACAAATTGATTCTCTATTTTCAATATGCATTAGGAGTCGCTATGTTCAAATTATGCCTCAAATAATAGTCCAGTCACATTATTCATGCGCTGCATCTATTCAATATCTACCTAGTATATCGACAGGCTGAGAAGCCAATATGAGAGTATATTTCCTCAAGCTGAACCTGTATCTTCAACAGCATCCACACGGTCCCAACTCTTAACTTCTAGAGCCCGTACCCGATTTTCAATGTCCAAAATCCGGTTTTGCCACTCATTCTTAGCATTTTCTTGTAGTTCCCAAATCGTTCTGAATTGGTCAAGAATGAAAGGTGGCAGTTCTGGGGTTTTCCGATTCTTCTTATAGTCATACGTGACAATATCTTCATAGCAACGAGCTGCGGGGCGTTGGCGGGCTTCTGAGAGGATCATCACCTGCAATTGAAATGCAGATTGCGAAGATAGAAATGATGATGGATCTGGGACAAGTCTTTGATATACTGTGATCTTGTCTGGTGATACCATGGGCTACCATGATTGATTAGCTTGACCAGTTCAGGTTTGTCGGCGATCCATTCATAGACCTACAAATTTATAGTCGACCTTGATGCTTCGTAGGATGAGCCCAATCCCAGTATTATTGAGCAAATTGAGCCATTCCTTCTTATTAGCCGGGTCAATGTGAATGCCAATATTGCGCGTCCAGTTCACTCGAGCTGTTTCGGCGTATCGCACGTAGGTGACGTTATTGACGTGACCTGCTCCACTAGTATTAGAACAAAATCAAATCTCCCAATAAATGAAGTCACAAGATTTGAAGAAAAGAATTCATACCCTGTCCTTGATGGTTAAAATGCTTTGCCCTGTAATATTGCCAAGAGGCTTGTCTAGATTTTGGAATGGACTGGAGAGACTTACCATGATATCCTAATTACCCATCAAGATCACAACCTCCGTGTCAGTAAAGCTTCTTCGTATCCTGCAAGACATAAGCAAACGCAGATTGGGTCCATACCTGCTCTCCCCACACTACATTATGTTGAAACAAGCTTCGCCTCTTCTCATCGGTTAGGAACCCCTCGCTGCCTGCGAGCAATTCACGCCAGTCCTTCGCCAATTGCTGCAGAATCTTCCCTGCTTCATCAATCTGGTCCGACTTCATACCGAACATCAGGCATTTGCCAATCCGTCGCTTCATCATTGTGAGCCATCGCGGATCGATCGTATGGGGTCGTGCCGGCGAGTTGTCCGAAGCTGACGGACGGGCATTCTGCACAAGGGCGGTCGAGGAGAGGAAACGAGAGGTGCAGCAGGAGGAGGAAATTATGCCTGGCAGCGGTCGTCGTAGAGCCGTTCGGGAAATCATGGTGACTGGTTGTCTTGAGGAGAGAAAGAAGTTGAAACCACCGCGGACCACAGGCGCATCCCCCGAAGCCGAAGCTTGGGCCTTCGAGCTCGGCTTCGGGAACGACCCCGCGAGTAGCCGTGACGTGCTTGCAAGATGCACCAACACTTGCACGTGCCTATTTACCTACAGCTCCTCCAAAAGCGATGTCAGCTCTAGGGGCTGCAATGGATTCCAAAGAGCTTTGAGATGCTGAGTATAAAGTGATCTAAAAAATTCTAGGCGGAAATAGCTGTTGCCGGCGCAGGCTCACAGCTGATAAACACGACCGCCCGAGATCTCCGCACTGCCCGACGTCACCGATAACCACCGAGCTTTCTCCAACCACTCTCCAACCCTGCCCCAACCTTTTCAACGCTTCGATTTACCTTTGCTCGCGCCTTTCAGCTCCAGGGGGCGACTGATGGGCCGACCATGGTCAACGCTGAGTTGCGCAGGCAGGTCATCAATATCTACAAAGGTAAGATTATGCAGATTTACCCACCCAGGGAACTGCACAGCATACCCTGCGAAGCCATCCGCTACCACCCTTTCCACCGCCAGTACTGATAGAAAGAATCCAAAAAGAGCTACTATTTCTAGGGCGGGACTACCCCCAGGGCTACAAATTCTTCCGGGACAGGCTTCATCGCGCATTCGCCAGCCAAGCCCACCTTACCGATGAAGAGCAGATCCGCCAGGGGATCGCCCGGGCTGAGTTCGTGAAGAAAGGTGAGCAGAGTCAAAGAACCCTGGGCCTACAGCTTGCAAGAGCCTTCTGGCCGGCTAACTCGGAATCTTTTCAGAAGTCGAAGCGCTGTAAGATCAATGTCTCCTCCCTGCGCGGGCCCAAGTTTCTGTGCCCATAATGACCTACCCCCAAGCCCCATATTACATTTTCTTCGAAAAGACTAGTGCGCCGAGGGGCAGTATTCGTCGAAGTCATCCTGTCATTTTTCTATATATATATAGTATTTTGTCCATCGGTCTCATGTGCAGCTGGGGACTAGACCCAGTTTCTTCGCCGATTCACACATCTTGTTGATCATACATCAATCATAGCATCATGCGCGCGCAACAGTTCCCTGCCTTCTTGACCACAGGGATTCCCCTTGACATGAATGAACACTAACAGGTTAACAGGTACTACCTGAAGAGGTACCGGACGCTCAAACAGCGCTATGAAAATCCTTGAAGCTCACGCCGCAGCGGACCTCAAAATCTCTCCAGGTGAAAAATGGCCAGCAACGAATGCATCCGGGGACGCCGGGTAGAAAAGGGAAAGGGTGGATGGGGGGGGAAGAAATATGAAAAATAAAGGATAAATAGTAATAAGATATCACGAAGTTGGGGGTATCACCAATATGAAGCGCACTCAATGATCATTGTTCCTTTTTTGCGCTCTCCAAACGAACACCAGAATTGACTCATGGGATCAGGGGAAGGAGGGAAGGAGGGAGGCAAAAGCTCATCTCTTTTGGCCCCACCACGCACTCACTTCGAGGCATTCGCCACTGGCGAGGCCGCCCTTTTGGAATAGATCCGTGGTCATAGCCGCCCACCACCGGTCCCATTCATCGCGACCCTTCCCACTGGCCTCCATGAGCATGGGCTCCATGCCCTCAATCATTTGGACTACGGTCAGCAAGGCCGTTCGTCGGATAGAGAGCTGTTCGGTACTCAATGCCTTGCGAGGCTGGCCCTTGGAATCTTTGCCTTGGCCCTCTCGCTCCCACCGCAACTCGCCGAGGGGGATTGCGATGCGGCGACTGTCCACATTCTCCAACAGATCCACTTCCGAGTTGAAGGACAGGCCAATAGTGGCGCACGGTAAAGCGGTGAGCTTGCGCTGGTCGAACGACTTCTCCACCCAGGAGTTGTAGTCCACTAGGTACTTGTTCTGCGGCTGGGTGAACGGCGTCGCCGAGGTAAACGTATAGGTGGCGGTGGAGTCGGCGACCTCCTGGTCCTTCAGGGAGGCTTTCCGGGCCGGCGCCGGGTTCGGCAGCAGCGAGCGGAAGACCCAGTCGGAGTCCCAGACCTCGAGAACGCCGCCGGATTTGAGCACGCGCAGGGGTTCGCTCAGGCCTGAGGCCTGCTGCGCGGGACTGGATGGGCACATGCCCGCGTCTTTGATGAAGACCAGGTCGAAATAATCGTCCGGGAAAGGGAGACGGGGCTTTCGGAGATCATGTCGTTTGAATTGCCAGTTCATGCCCTGCTTGCGCAAGTCCGGCACGAGCGAGACGAAGTCGATCCCGACAAAGGCAACGTTCGGCTGCCCGCGCCGCGTCCAGTACTCGTGACACAGGCCGGACCACAGGCCGGACCCGCAGGCGATCTCCAGGACGCGTTTGGGCGGGCGATTGGCGAGGTGGGGATTGCAAAATGGGCCGCCGAAGACGCGCAGCAGCATCATTGTGCGCAGGCTTTGGCGGTGGATCTCGGGGAGGTCGCATGGGAGAGGGTAGATGTTGTCGGGGTCACGGAGATATGTGCGATCGCCGCGTCGCACGAGGGGGTAGTTGGAATAGTCCGTCAAGGATCCGAGGGATGAGGAGGAGGTCGCCGCGAAGGTCGAGCTGAGCTTAGAGTGAATGTCGGAGTTGGAGGCCGTGGCGGCCGCAAACGAAGCCGTGCCTGCGGACATCATATTCATTGCCTGCTCAGGCGCATCGGTCCCCTGGTGTTATATCGAGTCTCAATGGGGGGGACTGCGGGTCGGTCGCATGCTCGCGCAATTGGAGCTGGTTCATGAGCAGCGAGACATGCTTGTCATGAATAGTAGCGAAGTCGAGAATCCAGGAATCGTATGCAGCGATATTCAGCAAGAGAGTATCCAGTCCGAACGGTGTATCAAATATAACACGAAGAAACGAAGAGAGAGAGAGAGAGAGAGAGAGAGAGAAGTGGACGAGTAGAATACCCGGAGGGATCCAAGCGGGTTCGGAAAATATGGTTTTTAAGTGTAGGTTTGGTCGCAGCGAATTGCAGAGATTTCGGTCTCTTCGATGTTCGAGTATAGCCCACAATTTAACGGTTAACTTAAATCATTCCTGTTTTGAATAGAAGAACCGAGCCCGCTCAATCGATCAGGCGAAGAAGAAAAAAAAAAGGGCCTCTGAGAGAAAGAGGAGGGGGAAGAAAGAAAAGCGTACAGCAAGGCCGCGGCCTGGTCCCGGCGACCCCTGGATCGAAGTGGCATTGAACGGGGCTCCACTCAAGTCCAGACAAGCTAGTTCACGTAACCAAAGTACCGAAGGTACGGATGCTTCCTGAATACCGGCTTATAACTATTATTATTTAATCCCATTTAGTGGCGAAATTGGCTCCTTCGAGGTGCCCGACTCGGCTGCGTTGGGGTTAGGGACCGCCGCGCCCAATGGCAAGCATCGCCAGTGTTTCGGCTAACTGTTTAACGAGATGCTCGACTGAAAAACTCTTCTGCCGTTGGGCACACGAGTCGGCCCTGTCTGAGATTTCAATCCTTCCGATTTGCCCCCCTGTCCTTACCAGTTCAAGCGGGCCGTTTAGTTGTACAGCACCGGCGAAAAGAAAATACCCGAGTACAGCAGGGAGTCCTCCCGTAGTAGTTTATTCATCCCTGGATGTGGAGTATATGAAGTATATACTCCAATTAGATCTTCCTCGATCGTCAACGCTGGAATATCCGTCCGCGGTGTATTAAGAGGTCCCGAGTCAACAGTTCTCCGGGAGATGAAACAAGCTGGTTAGAATGATTTATCAAATGATTGGTAGAGTCATCGGTACAAAGCTCATAGTCTCAGACTCTATGCCTGACTCTTGACATCATGAGTCGACTCGGTGCCACGGACGCTGGTCCCAAGTTTTCCGGACGAGTCCCCGGAAAGGGTAAAAGGCTGGGGCGCCCCGCCGCGAACTATAACCAACTGCACTCCGTACGCCGTGCCCTGTACTCCGTATGCACCAGGATGAAAATGTCTATCTGCTATCTCTGGACCATCACCTCTATAGGAATGATGGTCGAGTCGTCATACAGAGCCGGGGGGAAAAAGAAAAGTCGATCATGCATATTTTAGTGTCTTCTTTTCTTTTTCTGTTGGCCCCGGCCCCTCCAGGAGGGGCCGGGCGCAACGGACCTCAAATCCTTGTCGCAGGGGTCTCTGGTCGGGGCGTGCGTAGTTCACACGTGCTCTCTATCATGCGTCTCTACTCTGTATTAGAGTATAAAACCAGTTATCATTTAAATCACTGTCTGGCCTTATTGGATGTGGACTGGTGAAGAAATAAAAATACCAGCCTTCGGTATCAGCGGTTCCTTCCGGTGTTCTCGGGGTACCCGGGCTCCAGCAGAGAGACGCATCCGCCTGGAAAAAGTACATGAGGACAAAGTGAAACCCGAGATTCGGCAATGAGATTCAATGAAACTGAGTTCGGTCCTGTGCATTTGAATATTCTGAATGTATATCCATTCTCATTTCCGATCTTTCGTTCCATCGCCTTTCGTACACCGTGAACCGTGGGTAGGTGTCCATATGTTCAGGACTTCGGATGGAACTGTACGGCGTAGCGCCCATCTGTATCCAACGGCGTACGACTGAATACACGAGCATCGGAGATCCCTACCATGTTCAACCCACCCACCATGCATCTTGATCCCCGAATATCCCCATTCTCAGGTACCTGGGCCCTAGCGAGCGATAGCTGAGACTTAGCGTCCGTCTGACACTGCCCCTCGTTCCCCTTTCCCCCTGTTTTTTGGTGTCTCTGTGCCTTGAATTGACGGCCAGTTATCTTCTGCCCCTCGGACGCTAGGGGCACGGCACAGTCTGTACTCCCCATCCAGTCGCTTGGTACCTGCAGACCCAAAATGCACTGCCGATCGACACCATAGCGTTCTGCCACGTACTTTAGTGGAGAGGCGACCCGGCATCTGACACTTTCATCCGGGAGGGCACATCTGTATGGTTTCTAGGAACGCTCTCGACTCGTCAATTTCTTTGCCTCGAGCTCTCAGACCTCGTTTCAGGCAGACGATGTGCATTGCCTGTACTTTTCGGAGGGGTAAGAGCAACAGCTAACGGACGCCGATGATATCGCGACCATTGCGGTCGCCGGCCTATACGGAGGCAATCCGACATGTCCACGACGTCCACGGTGCCATTTGTCATCAGGCGAGGAGGCAATTCCCCCGGAGTGGAGCTCGAGACATGATTGACCGGCGCATTCGGGTGCACATGCGCCTTCCAGTGCCTAAAATTGAGTTGGAGTAAGAACCAATAGTCCCGGGAAGTAGCTTTTGTTTATGCTTCAGCGGATACAAGTTAGTGATCCGCCCTCATCACAGGATTGGACGGACTGCAGCGATTGCCACCGGGGGCGGCTAGTGTCTGGCTCAGATGACCGTTGGCTTTTAATCATTGTCCAAAGGCTGAAATTTGAGGCCGACAGGAGTGGAATGACATGCGTATACTTCCTGGCAATACCTCGAATAGAAGGCCGGGGTAATCATGTCTCTGGATGCTGACCAACACACCATTCATTCATCCATTTATTCATTCATTCATTTACAACTGTCCGATTTTGTCGAACCCATACATATCAACTGAATTGATTGTTTTCGACTGGTGTCGGCTCCTTGGCGCCCTCCCAATTCGGTTAGCGATAGGAGCCAAGAGCAACTATGGACCAGTTTGGCCGCGGAGCCCTTTTGAAAGGAGGCCATTGGCGGCATCACATGATGAGTACCCCTCCTCACTAAGGGGGGCGGGGGAGAGAGATGAAGGCAATCTATGAGATGAGAAGCCGGAGACCGCGGAGCCCTGGCAGGACCGAACATGGCGAATCTAGAGAAAGAACCAATCGCATTCCCCGATCCGGGCCCAGATTCAGAGTCGGGCCGGATCGTGACAGGGGGTTCATATGACACGCTGATCAAGATTTGGGACCCAGCTACGGGACAATGCCTACGGACTCTTGATGAACACAGCAAATGGGTCCGATCCGTGACCTGGTCGCCCGATGGCCACCGGTTTGCATCGTCGTCGGATGACAAGTCCGTGAAGATCTGGGATCTTGCAACAGGCCAGTGTCTAGCAACCCTCCTCGGCCATGATGATGTCGTCTGGCGAGTGGCCTGGTCGCATGACAGCAGCCGCCTCGCATCATCTTCACTGGACAAGATCAAGATCTGGGACCCAGCGACGGGACGGTGCATATCAAACCTTGACGGCGGCGGCATTTGCGTTTACTCTATAGAGTGGTCGCGCGACAGCCACCAGCTGGCGACGGCGTTAGATGATAACCTCAAGATCTGGGATCTAGCCACGGAACGGTGCGTATTGACGCTGAACAACTTGGGCAGTTTCATCTACTCGGTGGCCTGGTCTGGTGATGGCAGCCGACTCGCATCCGGATCATCCGACCACGCCATCAAGATCTGGGATCCGGTAACCGGCCAGTGCCTGTCAACATTCAATGGTCACGAGAGTACTGTCTATGCATTGGCTTGGTCGCCGCAGAATCCCAAGGTCAAGAGCAGACTCGCCTCGGGATCCTATGACAAGTCCGTCAAGATCTGGGATCCAGCGACTGGCCAATGTATATTGACGCTCAACGGCCATACCGAATGGATCCGGGCTGTGGCCTGGTCGCGCGATGGCAGTCGGCTCGCATCTGCGGGAGATGACAAGTCGGTGAAAATTTGGGATCTATCAACGGGCGAATGTATATCCACGCTCAAGGGTCACACCAGTGGCATCTGGTCAATGAAGTGGTCGGCCTGGAACGCTGTCTAGCTGTGGAAGTAGCCTTGGATCCCCCCAACATGCGGCTCGACTGCATAAAAAACTAGATGTTTATTTTGGTTGAGAAGACTCTAGGTCGTTGGAGCTTGTATCTAGATTCAAGCCTCACGGTGCATCTGCTTTTCTGTATTCTACTTGTCTCGTACAGTTGTACAAAGACGGCCAAACGCCAAACCTCTGGGTTGACATCTCCCACGTAGCTATGATTGGTTCACCTAGGTTCACCCATGAGACAACTCAGGTGGTTATGGCCGTGGACAATAGGAGAATGAGTCATTCAGTTCCTCTTTTGGCTGGCTGTGACCTGGTTCTCCTCTTCTGAACCCCGTCAATCTGTCCTTTTCGCGTGTCGGCCTTGTCTCGGGCTCATACAGTCCTCAAACCCAGCGAAACATGAATGACAAGACAGTTGGGCTCTAAAGAATCATGCCTTATTGGGGGGTAGTAGATTGAAACAATAGCGTGTTTCCCTTAATTTTGATATTGAATCAGAAGCTTCGATCTATTCCAGTCTTTGTAAATTAATGTCGGGTTGGAGCACGAACGAGCCTCATCACCCGCTGACCAGGGCGGCGACGGGCGCTAAAGTAAGCAGTTTATGGGCTCCAGCTAAGCGCTCGGGCATCAGCCACTCTCCTCAACCGAAACCGTGGCAAATATAAAAACGCGGTTCCAGTACATGAAGAGTCAGTAATTGTAGACAAGGCTACCGCGACTTTGAAACCATACTAGTCATCGATAGTGCCAGAAGGACGGGAAGGCCACTTAAGACACACAAAGAAGGTGGAAGCTGCAAAGGGACGAGTCTTGGCATGAATCACATCCGGTTGGGCTATATCACGTGAGAGTAACTCCCGCCTTCGATGCAAACCACCCATCAAGACTGTCATCTCGATCCCAGCCGTCCTCTATCAACCCACGCAAAGACAATCGTGCGATCCGCCCCGGCTTACTACCCTGACCCTCTGGGAGCCTCTCTCTAATCTGATCTCCTCGCGACTAGCTAGATTGCACCTGCCGCGAGTGCTCGTGACGCCTCCGCCCGCCCTCCGCCCTTCAGGTATCGCTCGATCCCAACCGGACTACGGGCTGTGAACCCTCTTAACCCCACCCCCCACCCGCGCAAGGTCACTTGAAGTCGTCGAACCCCCAATCGCGCTCTTCCAGTCGGGGTGGTTCAGCTTCAGGACTCTCTATGTGGAAGAAGAGAAGAGACCGTGTCCTATCCTCTACCGCTCCTCTCCCCTCCTCTTCCGTCCCGAAGCTCCTGCCACTCGCCCGCCCCCCGGTCGTCCACCAGGGAAGCAAGCCACGGTCTCGTCTGCCCCGTTAGATGGCAGATGGTACCTACAGGTTCCAGCAGCCTGGGGCCGGGCAGTTCTACTTCCAAACACAACCACAGCAACCTTCACACCAACGACACACCGTTCAAAACGGGACCAATTCTCCGGGTCGACTGAAATTCAACCACGACACCCCCTCCCCTTCTCGTTCGCCCCCCGCAAACCAATCAGCCTCCCTCAATCCGTTCACCATGTATGGCCAGGGCCATCAGGGACAACATGTCATGATGAATGGCGGTCAGGCCCATCAGCGGTTTGGCATGCAGATCCCCAAATTCCAATCGGCTGCGCAAAACCATCACCCTCATCATGCTCAGCAACCACACCCCCACACGCATCACACCCAAACCACCCATAGCCTCGCTCATCAGCACAACTTCTCCGGTGGCGCCCTTGCCACAACCACCCCTCACTTCACCTCCACCCATCTCCAGAATGGAGCCTCTACCGCAGTCGACGATGATATGGACGAATCAATGAACGAGCATTGGCAGCAGCAGCTTCAGCTTGCGGCGGAGTCAAGGCAAGCCAATTCTCCACACTACTATGCCCGGATCATGGCACAGCAGTCCAAGGGAATCCAGATCCTGCCTAGCAAGACTGAAGCGTCAGAGCAAGGCGCTGAAGGTCGAAATGGTACAGTCACTGGCAAATCCGCTTCCCGTCAAGGCTGGAATGCACTTGATTTTGGCGGCCAAGGGCTCCGTGCCATGGCCTTTTCATTGTTTAACTACGTCTTCCTAGAGAAGCTCTACCTCAATCACAACAAACTGAAAGCGCTCCCCCCAGCAATTGGCCAGCTCCGGAAGTTGACTCATCTTGATCTTTCCGGAAACGACCTCACGGAGCTCCCTGAAGAAATCGGTATGCTGTCCAATCTTAAGAAGCTTTACCTTTTCGACAACAACATTCGCAACCTCCCTTATGAGATGGGATACTTGTATCGGCTGGATACACTAGGCATTGAGGGCAACCCCCTCAATGATGTCCTCAAGTCCCAGATCATGAAGGATGGAACCAAGGCCTTGATCAAATATCTCAAGGAAGAGATGCCAGGTGAGTTGACAATTTATTACTCACAAAAATCACCATGCAAGAAAAACCAGACTGATCACCTGAATATAGTCCACCTGCCTCCCCCTGATCGAGACTGGGTAATCCTCGACGAGACTGCGAGCTCAGGCAATAGTCCTACTGAGAAGATCACCGTTCTTTCTTACAATACTCTTTGCGACTCCTCTGCCACCCAGTCGCACTACGGTTATGCTCCCTCTCGCATTCTTTCTTGGGAGTTCCGCCGCGAACTTATCCTTAATGAATTACGATCTCATAGCTCGGACATTGTCTGTCTCCAGGAGGTTGACCAGGGAAGCTACAACAACTTCTTCCGGGAACAGCTGGCCTACAACAATTACAAGGGCGTTTACTGGCCCCGTGGGCGTGCAATGGGCATGCAGGAGGAAGATGCGAAGTCCGTCGACGGCTGCGCTATTTTCTACAAAGGAAGCAAGTATATTCTGCTCGACAAACAGCTGATCAATTTCGGTCAGACTGCTGTTCGTCGACCGGACGCCAAGGGCCAGGATGATATTTACAATCGCTTGTGGCAGAAGGATCACATTGCAGTCGTAGTCTTCCTAGAGAACCGTCAGACCGGTGCACGCTTCATGGTCGTGAACGCTCATCTCTACTGGGATCCGGCCTTCAAAGACGTCAAGCTTATCCAGACAGCTATTCTGATGGAAGAGATAACAAAGCTCTCTGATGGCTATGCCAAGTGGCCCGCCTGCACTGACAAGACCGCGTTCCGCTTTTCTGAGGCAGAAAGTGGCTCTGAAAATGCACCGGTCACGGAACCTGCGCCGTCCATGGAATACGCGAGCGGTGACCAGATTCCTCTCCTTATGTGTGGTGACTTCAACTCCTCGCCCGGTTCGGCGGCATACAACCTCATCGCCAACGGCCGGTTGGCTGAGGAGCACCCAGACCTGGAGAAGCGTCTGTATGGCAACCTCAGCCGCGTCGGTATGACGCATCCCTTCAAGTTGAAGTCGGCCTACGGCGCCATTGGAGAACTTTCGTTCACCAATTACACGCCTGATTTCAAAGATATTTTGGATTACGTGTGGTTCTCGTCTAATACGCTGCATGTGTCCGCACTCCTCGGAGAGGTGGACAAGGAGTATCTTCGGCGGGTACCTGGGTTCCCCAATTTTCATTTTCCTAGTGATCATGTCGCATTGTTCGCGGAGTTTACCGTTAAGGGGAAAAAGGGTAAGGTTGTGGAGGCAGATTTTGGGCCTCAACGGCACTGATGAACCGGAGCATTTCGAAATCTTCGAGACAGGTGTTTGTGTAGTCGGGTTCTTTTTATGCAGCTTTTTTTCTTCATGTTTGTTATCTCGGAATCTTTTTGGGGGTGGTGGGTAACTTAGCCCGCTCTCTGTTTGTCTTATGCTTCTTTTCTCCCTTATTCTCTTTCTCTGTTGTCGTTTTCTCTCTCACTCCGTGATTATGAATTGTTTTTCTTTTCTCTCTTCCGTCTCCTTTCTCCTATATGTTTTGTTGTCTTGCTTATCCCTGTCCTCTTCTCCTTATACTCTCTTGCTACCACGTTTCGTCGAACTGGCTCCCGCCTCAGTGGGCTGTTGGAAGTAGTCAACGACGTAGCGGTCTCGCTGTTCATGTTTCCCCCCCTCCTCCTTGTCATCGCGTGCTTTCCTTTCCTCTCTTTTCTTTTATCCGCTACACGTCATGTTGGGGGTTTCCTGATATCTCTCGGCTTCATCTCACCTAATCTCTAACGTCATCTGTGACGGCTTCACGACGCTTAGGGCGGGTTGGTGTTCAGGTGGAACAGGTGGCCGAAGGGCTTTCTGGTGAGGTTGCTCTTTGTGGTTTTGCCTGGCGAAGGGAGTTCTTTTTCTGATCCATGTACTTGTTCTGCCATGCCTCAGATCTACTTGAGAAATAAAGCGTGGCTTTCTTGAAACTAGCTTTTCGATTTCCGTAGAGATTTTCGTATCTTGGATTCCTGTTTGCCTCCATTGCAGGTACTACAGTGCGTTGTGCGTAGCGCTATAATTCGAAAATGCCTTGGTATGGGAGAAGTGAGTGCTGAAATATGGTGCCTCTGCTCCCCAGACTGTAGCATACAAAGTCTTGGTCTCCTCTTATGAATACCTTCTAGGCATTGCCTAGGATCACAGGGGATAATAATGAATTATGATAGATGAAAGACAAGATATACTTTTCAGATGCGTTCTGGCTCTGGACCTAGTCATGTCGTTCTTCGCTGTTCCGTAACAGCTTGTGAGTACTCAAGGGCTAGTCATAATACCCAGTACCTTAAATAAGAAGCTCTAGAAACGTAGGTAGCAGAGGATCGGGTTTAATCAATACCTAGGCAATTGGCCTTCAACACGTCGAATACCTCATTTGTGGCCAAGCAGTTAATAGACACTGCAGTCATGTCATAAAATACCCTGTCAGACTTGATCATTAATGCTCGGGTGATTTAGCCCGTCGCTTGGGGTCAAATTCAAGAGACTGAGCAAGCATGGGAGGTAAATAGAGCAAAGAAGCACTCGGCATACGTAGGCGACACGGAGAGGTACGAGGAAGGCTCTAGATTTATACTGTATGATCTGACTATCGTATACATTAGATATTTCTAATGCCAAGTGGCATGTTTTTATACTTCAATACGGCAACAGACATAATTTATCCCAGTGAAACCGGATTATGGTATCATTTCTGAAGCAGAAACTGAGATGTCGTGTTCCTGCAACACTAATGGCTGAATTTTAACATAATGCCTTCTCGGTGCGCTGAAACCTTCTCAGTATGTGGACCTTCCAGGGTAAATTTCTACTGTTTGGGGATTGTGTTGTGGAGGCCCTAGCAGCTTATACCACAGCCACGTAACGACCAGAATAATTGCAGTGCTAATATTTTGTCAATTTGGAGATTTTTGAGATAGAGGACAAAAAACAGAGAAGAAAACAAATATATTTTATAAAGCAGCTGTTAAAATAGCAAATAAAAAAGAAATTCTGATGGGGCGAACCGGGATTGAACCGGTGACCTCAGCATCTTCAGTGCTGCGCTCTCCCAACTGAGCTATCACCCCGTTGTATATTAGAGACTCTTTTTTTGCCTAGATCAACTTGACTAGAAAGTCCTTCGTAAAATCAAACAGGTGTTGTCTTCGCACATCCATTCGGTAGTCGAGCCTAGGGCACTCTTATTACCTTTGTCCGGAACAGTCGAGCTTAGTAGGTGAATGGGTTCATATAAGATGATCTGCGGGTTAAATATGATTTGGGTTCTGTGTGTGAATATATATATTATATATATATTTATTGGACTCAGAAACACCAGCCCTTGGATATTACGAAATCAAAAATATACATCCCGTCCAAAACCAAAGAAAATCAAACCTGATACAGGACCCATATAAGTAAAATAAATGGTCATTATGCCTACATCCACTGGTGCTCTCAACCCGTGGCTGTTGTTCATCGCTTCACACCTGCGCCACATCACATGTCAAATGTCCCCATGTAAGCAACACTCCATACTCAAACACGAACTTGCTTCCCTGTGAAACCTCAGTGTAGTCACCTCCCCTTGCCCCCTTTATTGCCATTTACCATGTCGGTTGAAGAAGGTACACACAAGCTCCCCGATGGGCTTGAAGCCTACACCAAGACCTGGAAGGTACAGTCAACCCTCTCCCTAGCTACAGGATAAGAGGGATGCTAGAACAACCGCAATACAGTCAGATGGACAGCCGCGCGCTATAATCGCATTTATTCACGGCTTCAGCGATCACTGTAAGTTTCCATAGGGGTAACAGGGTATTTCGCACACGAAGACAAATTTCATTAACAAGATGGCAGGTAATGCCTATTATGAGCTATTTCCAACCCTCGCATCATCTGGTATTGAGATCAGAGCTTTTGACCAGCGGTATATATAATCCATCTATATCCCCAAAGTATCTGCAAGACCCAGAGCTAACACATTCGGCTTTGGACAAATCCAGGGGCTGGGGACGTACCTTCAAAACGCCTAAGGAACGCGGCAATACCGGCGGTACAGACGTCGTGCTTGCAGACATTCACTCGTTCCTGCTCAGCATTGTCCCCCATGCAGCAGCCTCAAACACACCACTCTTCCTAATGGGCCACAGCATGGGCGGCGGCGAGGTTCTCAACTATGTCCTGCACCCTGATTCGCCGTACTACCAGGCCTCGCCGCGGCCCAAACTGGCTGGTCTTCTGGCCTACTCACCGCTGGTCGCACTGCATCCCTCGACACGCCCGTTCAGGATCACCGTGGCCGCAGGCCGACTGACGGCGCGGCTCTTCCCACGGATGCAGCGAGCGTCGCCGATCGACCCGACGATTGTCTCGCGGGATCCGCAGGTGGCCACGGACTACGTGAATGACGAGTTGAGCCACGACATCGGGACGTTTGGGGGACTGGCAGGGATGTTGGATCGAGGGCTGTGGCTGGAGAAACTTAGTCAGGGGGACGTGAAGGGCATGGAGCTTTTGCCCATGTGGTTCGCGCATGGCGATGCGGATCAGGTTACCAGCTGGGACGCAACGAAGCGGTTGGCTGGGTTGCTTGGGTCGAAGGGCGACGTAGTCTTTTGCTCATACGACGGAGGCTATCATAGACTGAGTGCGGATCTGAAAGAGACTACGGATAAGTTCGTGAAGGATCTACTGGACTGGATCCTCGCTAGATCTCCTTTGGATGGAAACAAGGCAAAGCTGTGAGATATCTAAGCGTGGTATGTAGATAAATCTCAAAAGGTATATACTATCGAGCCGTGTGAATGCCAGTAATGGCGAATTTTTCTATGGTACATGATTAAATTTGAGTTTTGTCTAACCATAATGCTGTGCCGATCATGCAAATTATACAAAGATATAGTACAGATGAGGAGACGGGGATCTTGGGCTGTACAAACGAGCAGATCACCGCCCGGGAGAATCTTCGATGCGTCGCCAGATTCCAACGAAACCACCGCCCATGGTACGTATACCAACCTTGGGTCGACAAACCATAACCGGTTCTTCTTCCTTGGCCACCTCCGCTGGAGTAGGGGAGTTTTCTATGTTTTCGGTAGCTTCCGGGAAGGCTTCATCTGATTCAGCAGCCGGTCCAGCTTCATCAGCATCAGAAGGCGCCCACGAAGAAGGATCAGCCCCAGACTTCTTAAATGCGAGTCGGACATCCCAGTGCCGACCACTGGTAATTCCAAGACCAAGCTCAACGACTCGTTCTTGGACAAACGGCAGTCGCTGCTTGCGAATCAATTGCACGCAATCGCCAATCTGAGTGATGCTGGGCATGAAGACAACGAGATAGCCATCCCGTTTCAAGATGGGGGCAACATGTGGGATCCTAAGATGCGCTGAAGGCATATCCAGAATGGCGTGAGATAGGAAAGGTTCGGGGGAGCTCTGGCCGGTCAGCGAAGAGAGCAAATCAGTCTTCGTTCGTTGCTTAATTTGTTCCGCGGCCCAACTCTCGACGGGACCGACATAGAAGTCAACATCGCCCGCGTAAATTCCACGGCGAAAGCCGCGCACATTACGTTCCGCTAGCGCGGAGAATTTTGACGAGACGTCCACCGTATGTACCACGGCTCCGCGCTGTGCGCGCCAAGCATCCCATTCCTGCTGCTCCTTGTCATGACCTGTCGCCGTTTCTTCCTTTGTGTCTTTTTCCCCTGGTCTGCTCGCTCGATTCTCGAGGTATTGGATCTGTGATCGCGATGGACGGGGTGGAGGAGTGGTGTTTGCGGCATGAATAGCGCGTGCCAGATGCAGCGTCAAGGAACCGTGTCCGGTCCCAGACTCGAGGATTTCTAGCGGGGATGGTGATTCACCCGCAGCTGGTGGGTTGACATGGATATCGAGGAGAGAAACGATCAAATTGCCGTCATGCGAGTATATCTACCGGGTGTCAGTAGCTGTTGCAATACCGACAATCGCGAACTTGCACCGGATTGCGCATACGGGAGTCACCAGGCGGGGTGTCAAGGAAACATATTCCTCCAGAGTAGGGAGACTCAGTCGAACATCCGGGCCTGTTAAGACGTCAATTCATGCTGCAGCGCAAGAGTCCATGGCGTGATCAAGCCTGCCTTTGTGTGCCTGGACGGTGTCCCATATCCGGCTCCCAATGATCCGATCATGTTGGACGTGTCCTCGGCGGAGATAAGTCTTGTCACCGCACTTCAATGGCTTTGTCAATTGCGGCTGCTTCTGATGAATCACGACTTGATCCCCCTCTGCATATCTTTGTCAACCCTGACTGTGGCGTCCGAAGCCCGCGGCGCGTACCTTGGAAGATAGAGAAATCGGTGTTGATCGATCGTGGGCGGAGAAGGGAAGAGGAGGGGGAGGACGGGGTTGAGGACCACCCCAGAACTCGCCGCAAAGAATGCAGCAGACGAGCCATCGCAACAACTCGGGCGAGAGAACCGGAAGAAGAAAAGGGCTCTTGAAAAAACGCAGAACCCACTTGGCTGGCCCTGTGGACCCACTTGACAATCTTTCCCCCGGGTTCCCCTCGCCGCTCACCGGGGAACCCCTCGATCCTGGCTTCACGATTTTTTGATCCTCTGCGTTGGCTCGCGATTCTTCTTACCCTTACACTCACGACCGCCACCTACTCTCATAACGACCGCTACTACATTTCTCTTCTGCCAAGATGGGATCTACCGTGCTTCCGTATATGGAGACCAAGCCTAAGCTGATCTTTTTCACCGACTTTGACGGCACCATCACCGTCGATGACAGTGAGTAGTTGGAAACCCCTCCTTTTCCCTTCGTCAAGTAGCAGACCTCCCTCAATGCTAACGGTGGTGACAGGTAATGACTTTATGGTGCGTGCTTCTAGATATTTTGTCTGTCCCATCCTTCGCAGGCTAACGGTCGCAGATTGACAATCTCGGATTCGGCCGTGAGGAGCGCCGCAAGTTGAATGACCAAGTCCTCAACGAGACTCTTGGCTTCCGGTAAGAGACGATCTGTGGAATGGCTTGCTGGGGGTTACTTCATTTCTAACTGTGCTGCTTTCTGTTCGCCAGTGACGCCTTCCGCGCAATGCTTGAGAGCATCAAGACCCCGTACGACGAATGCATCGAGACTTTGAAGAAGAACATGAAGCTGGACCCCTACTTTGTGGAGTTCTACAACTGGGCCCGGGACAACAATGTGCCCATCGTCATTCTGTCCTCCGGTATGCGCCCAATCATTAGCGCCCTGCTCGAGAAGTTCCTTGGCCATACTCCGGGTAGCCATCTTCACATCGTCTGCAACGAGGTCATCCCGCGGGATGGCAAGGATATCAACAGCGAGGGAGGCTGGCAGATCAAGTATCACGATGATAGGTTTGTATTCCGATATTCTTTGACTGATGTTCACTTTGCGCTCTTGATCCCCCTCATGCTCATACTTGTTTCTTTTTTCCAGCCACTTCGGCCATGATAAGTCCCTCGAGATCAAGCCCTACGCTGCCTTGCCCGATAGCGAACGCCCAATTCTCCTCTATGCCGGTGACGGTGTGTCCGACCTGTCGGCTGCCGCAGAGACCAACCTTTTGTTTGCGAAGAAGGGTAAAGGTAAGTCCCGGAATCCCTGCACCAGCATCGACGCGGTTCGATCGGTAACTGATGCAATTCCAGATTTGGTGACTTTCTGCGAGCGCCGAGGAATGCCTTACACCACCTTCGAGGACTGGTCCACCATCTTCTCGACCACTCAAGATATTCTTGCTGGCAAGGTGTCGCCCAGCGACGTGGCTGTCAAGGTGAAGAGCGTTTAAAGTGAATCAACAAATAGACCTAGAACGGGAGTTTTTGTTGGAGGAATATTTGGCCATAGTGTTGATGATTTTGATTTTTTTTTGGAGTATTTAGACACCCCGGGGTACCTGTACTGTAGCCCTCAATAGAGATGAATCCATATGACAACCAAAGCGGAGAAGACTTCAGGAGTTAAAAAGTGACCGCCTTCCGCCAGGGTCCACCCCTCGCCTTGGTTCTCCTCTCCAAAACAATCATTCCCTCTCTACCCATCTTTTGCTTTATGGCTTCATGGCCCCGCTGACTTGAACGTGTCGGTCGGATCGTGGCCTATTGAAAATCTCCTTTCCTTGTGGGTGGCACAATGCGAGTGTGCGCATCTCTACTCTTCTCGAAGTTATTGCCAGGGTGATATCAGCTTCATCATGGCTCGCCGGCTCGTATGCTTCCTGTCCTCCGACTTCTACCAATCCTAGAAACCCCAGACTAATCAAGCTCATCTTTAGGTCCGAACGGGCGTTCAGCTCGGGCTGTTCGTAACCTTCGTGCTTCTTGTCGTTGTTTTCCTCGATAATCGCTTCCGTGTCCTCCCTGCGTCGATCCATGGCCACCTTCCCATGCACTATTCCGGCTTTGTGATCACGGATGTCACCATTACACAATGTTCTTCAATAAATCCCTTCTCGAACTGCAGGCTGGACCCGGATGCCTGGGCGCGCATCGACAAGGATCTCTACCTGCGTTCGGGCTGGACCTCGAGTGCCTATATCCAGTTTCAGCGGAAGAAGGAAGAAGATCTGGGCCCAGATGACAAAGTCGTCATCGATCTTAAAATCAGCCGTCTGACCCCCGAGTCAGACTACACTGGCAAAGGAGAAGTCCAGGCGTGGGAGCCACGGCCGGGGGGTATCTGGTTGAAGCGGACGGCCGCGCGCCACGCCAGCGACTCCGAGAAAGCAGTGACATATGTTGATGTTCTTTTTGGTGCTGATGCTGTGGACCCTCGCCCTAATTGGGAAGTCAAGGATACCCCGTTGCTGTTGGATGGATGGACGGAGAAACTAGAGACTCGTCTCAGTATTCGGCGTGGAAACCCAACTAAGAGCAAGAAACCCATCCCTCGAATCAATGAAAACGGAAAGTTCAAGGTTATGCAACTAGCGGATCTCCACCTGAGCACTGGGTTGGGTGACTGCCGAGACCCTGTCCCCGCCGAGTCGGTGCCTGGACAGAAGTGCGAAGCCGACCCCCGGACATTGGAGTTCGTGGAGCGGCTTCTTGATGAAGAAAAGCCCGATATGGTTGTCTTGACCGGCGACCAGATTAATGGAGAAACTTCTCCTGATGCCCAAAGTGCTCTGTTCAAGTCCGTGCAACTTTTAGTTGACCGCAAAATTCCGTACGCTGCCATCTTTGGCAATCATGACGACGAGGGCGATCTCAACCGAGCCCAGCTCATGGCCATGTACGAAGACCTTCCTTACTCTCTTTCAACCGCAGGCCCCGAAGACATTGACGGTGTCGGCAACTATATTGTCGAAGTTCTTGACCGGGGCAAGAGTACACACTCCGCCCTTACTTTCTACCTACTTGATACACACGCCTATTCCCCTGATGAACGCCAATTTAGAGGCTATGACTGGATCAAACCGAGTCAGATTCGTTGGTTTAAGAACACCGCTCAGAGTTTAAAGAGAAAACACCAGGAATATTCCCATATTCATATGAACATGGCGTTTATTCACATCCCATTACCCGAGTACCGGACCTCCGGCAAGTACTGGAAGGGCGAGTGGTCTGAAGCCCCGACGGCGCCTGGATTCAACTCAGGCTTCAAGGACACCCTAGAAGAAGAGGGTGTCCTCTTTGTCAGTTGCGGACAGTAAGTACTAACGCCTACAGAGACCCACTCCATTTTTTCGGACATGTGCTAACCTCTGGCAGTGACCATGTCAATGACTACTGCATGCTTGAACAAGATTCAAACGATAAGCCATCCCTCTGGATGTGCTACGGTGGTGGTGTCGGCCTCGGCGGCTACGGTGGCTATAATGATTATGTCCGACGAGTTCGCTTCTTCGACTTCGACATGGGGCCCGGTCGTGTTACAACATACAAACGTCTAGAATGGGGTCAAACGGAAGCCAAGATCGATGAGATGATGATTGTCGACGGTGGTGCTGTCGCCGGCCCGAAAGACTCGTCCTAATGGGGCTGCCTTCTCTATTTATCACTTTCTCCTCCGCCTCTCTTACATTTCTCCGACTGTGAGCATTTCTGCTCCTCTCATACTGTCGTTTACGCTCTTGGCGACTCCATTTCCTTTCTTCTATTTTGTACATATACTTGCCGCTTTTCCTGTCCCCTTGCCCGCAAAAGGTCGGCGTCCGTAGGATCTCCATCTCTTACTGAATACTTCACAATTTTCTTCTCTACCGCGATTTACCCCTTCCAAAGTGATGTATATCTCAAACAACGTATTGACTGACTCCAGCATTCAATTCGTAAAAGATACAGCGTTTGGTAAACTTTTAATATATTAAAGTCATACCTGTACCTCTCATCACCACCATTTCTCAAAGAAGACTCTCTCCTCTCCCCCCTCTCCAAGGTTACCTTTTAGCAACTCCACCATTTCATCCGTCATTTTCGGAGGCCCACAAACATAAGCTACTGCGTTCTGTGGATCGAGTTTACCATCCCTTCCCGCAACCGCCGAGTGGAGATCTTGTCTACTAATTCTCCGAGGATGGATGACGAGGTCTGCGGGGATGTCAGACGAAGTGAGATGATTCGAGGCCAAATTCGTTAAAAATAGATCTACAGAGATCCGCAGACGGTGTGATTGGGATTGGGAGCGAATGATTTGACGAAGCCTGGCGAGGAACAGGACCTGGTCCAGAACAGCATCCAGCGAGGACTCATGCTCCTGGGGCACCCGACTGGAGTAGAGAAAATGAATGTCCAAAGGCTGAGGTGGTTGACTTTGGTTATTGAGATGGGAAAGAATGGAGATAAGAGGGCTTGAACTGCGTTAGCCGTTATACGTATTTTACGCCACCTTCCGTCTGATTGGATCTAGCAATAAAAACACTTACTTGATCCCAACACCACCAGCAATGAGAATCACGTTCTTTACACTGTGTAAGTCAACTCCAGTTGGGGGCCAAACAAAGCTTCCGCCAACACGGATGTTGAGTTCCCTGCCGAGAATCTGCTCTTTCGGCCGCCACAGCCATGCTGCGGACGGGTTGTTTGGGGATTCTTGGACAGCTAGCTCAACAAAAGGTGCTCGTCCTTGCCACGCAATGGATGAGCCGGCCTCCTCACCTGCCAGGGTCTCTGTAGGTGATATAGGCAGTGATAGGGGCTGGGCATCTGCAGGGGTGGAGGTTATAGTAAATCCCCCAGCCTGGGTGATGGAGGGAATATGAACGTCCAGCCACTGGCCAGGAAGGAATGAAAACGGTTGTTGCTTGTCATTCTATCCGATCATCAGCGACGTTAATTTTCTTTTGCCCTCGAATAATGGGAGATATATGATGGTGACGGCTCATTGGCTGTTGGGCTTGCCCAAGTGTATATCAAGCAGAACTATACATAATGCTGACTCGGGGTAGACACTCGATTGGATAATAATCTCCCCGACATAGTGGAAAAATGGGAATGTATATCAGAGAAAACGGGGGACATACATGGCTCTCCTGAGTAGGTATCGCGAATTGTAACAATCGGACCGAAGAATTGACTTGTTCTACATGCGTCAGGCGCACCGGATAAAGTCTGTTTTGCCGAGGTTCCGCTGCCGTGCGCAACTCATGCGGGATTGAGTCTTCGCGCTGGGAACTCATAATGTCACGCAATGTTGCTGGGTTACTTCCTTGGATAATATTGGTCCGTATACACGGTCGCCAGGGCGAGGGCCCCCGGTGGGAAGCGCGGATCGCTGGATTGGCTGACGCAGTTGTCGAAAGCCCCTCATTCGATATTGGGGGCGAATCGGGACAGTGGATATAGAAGAATAGAGAACTGAAGCTTATAAAGAAAGCGTCGTCTTGAAGAAATCCTGTTGTTGGAACGACCCTCGTTGACACCCGCGACGTTGGGCGGTGTTGGCTGGGCACATGACTTGTTCGTTGCACTTCATGACCTCCTCGAGTGGCCCATGTTCCTCTCTCATTTATTTTTCGCCTCGAGGCATAATGCAATCAATCTAATTTTACGGTCTACTTTTTTGGGTTATGGACAAGATGAAGAACTATCATCCATGTCCGGCGCATATGTATGCACTGAACAATGTGATGTGCTTCGTACCAAATGCGGACAGCGAGCGATATCACTGGGGCCCACGACTCGACGTCCTCCACCACGGCGTTTCGTCAAACACGCTCGCACTAGTTATGCAACCCGAAGAACCGAGTCTCTCGTGGTAGAGGTTCTCTGTGATGCAAAGCCCTCCACCGTGCAGATCTGCCCGCCCATCACACTTGCTAGTGTGTGACGACCGGCGGGAAGCACGGGTCCTAGCCATGCTATTGGTGGGACAGCCCTGGTCTGGTTTACTCGCTGGCGCTTTGCCGCCCCAAAGTATTGGACAGATGCACACCCGGGAAACCGCCCAGGCCTCACAGTCTTCCGGGAATGCTTTTTGATTCGTGCCCCGCTCTGCAGGTGCGCAATGGGGCAAGTGAATGTGTCGGCGGACCGGGAGGTCTTGAAGCCCATATCTAACGACTTGCCCTCCGGATTTGCCCAGGCTCGGGCTTCTCTTGTTTCTTTTACTCTCCGAAGCTTCAGTCCTTGGGTTGGTCACTACCTGCGATAGACTGGATATGTCACAGCCAGCAGGTCTGGCCTAATCGCATTCTACTACCTCATTACCACATTAATATTTATCGCTGTCGCTTCCACGACTGAACTGCCAACACCAAGCCCGCAAAACAATACGCATTCTGGATTAATTGACCGGGAGCTGTCCACCGCAAAAATGCCGTTCATCTTCCCGAGAAAACACCGCCATTATAAGGTCACACAATACCTGATGATTGCTGAGCTGCCGATTACGATCGTCATCTTGACACTGACGGGCATTGCATCGCATGACCTATACCGGACCTTGTTATGGCAGGATGGAGCAGACAACGGTTTCAACAGTTCACCTGACGAGGAGCTCTATGCTGCAGCCAACTATCGGCCCTATACGTCTCCCTTGGTTTGGTCATCATTGTAAGACTCGCTCAAAAAATGGGACTAGGTGGATCGGCGCTGACTCTTTTACAGTATGACCAACTACAACCTAGTCTTGGGAGTTCTTAGCACATTCTTCCTAATCGTCAAGTATCCTCTTCATGCCATGCAGCTGTTCTTTCCTCCAGTAGCAACGTTCATCCAAGGCTCTCTCATTGCGCTCTATATCGTATCGGCACGTTACCAGGCTGGCCCTGACATGTCCGATCCCAAGCACCCCCAGCCTGGACCGCCATGGTACATTACGAAGAATTGCAATGTGGCGGCAAAAAAGTCAAACATTGGATACTGTCAGCAGGCAAAATCGCTCTTTGCTGTCACCATCATCCTTATGTATGAGAAGGCTTTCCTTGCCAGACTTGTCAATTCAAGATGCTAATATTCTTCTGCAGAGTTCTTTATGCCGTGCAGTTCGGGTTTGTCCTACACTCCTGCTTCATCACGGACGAGGAACGCAACCAGGTTCTTGAGGAGAGAGAAGAGAAGCGCGTCGAAAAGGAGTTTGAGGCTGAGATCATGAAGTCACCTAGCATGATCCCTTTGACTCCCGCCTTCTACGGCCAAGACCATCCCATGCTACCCCGGACTCCTGGGTACCCACCCTTGGCTTCTGCTGGGCCGGTGACAAATGGAGGCAATCTTTTTGCGCCTCATTCTGCACGGATACCGGCCTTCAATCGACTGGGAAGTAGCATGGGTAGCAGCAGTCCCTCATCAGATCTCCCGCTACGCAACAACAATAACAACCACCATGATCTGCCAACACCTCCAATTCCATCACAGCCACAGACTCCAGAAACTCAGTATGGACAAGGATCGCCAATGTACTTCCCTCCACCGCCTAAGAAGCCATCAAAGAAGTAAATTTAGCGTTTTGGGTATCGCATTTCTTGACAAGTTTTCCATGATACCATCCACTTTCTACAATTGTTGCTCTCTTTTTAAGGAATGGCGTTGGTCTCATTCTGCTTAAATGTTCCCTGAACACTCTGATTACTCGTGAAACGTGAAGTTTCCCATCTTGCAAGCTCGTCTCTTTGTGATCCGCGGAACCTTTCAATGGAAATTCATTTCCAGTCCATAATTCGGCAGTTGTTATTCAATGCCGCACAATTGAAAGCTCTCAATAAATAAGTATGGAAAAAGTAAGACGAATTGATTCAGTAAATACCTGATATCGAGCTCTCACAAAATGGGTTCAAACCCCGAAAAACACATATTATGTACTATGAAAAAGTGCCAAGTGATTGAAGACATGGTCATAAATTCGTGAATCATGCTAAAATTCAAGCATATAGCAAATGAGAAGTCAGAACCAGATACGTTGGTGCTGTTTGAATGGACAGGCATCATATTCACCCATTGGTTCTCGAAGGGCAGGACGTGATAAATGAGGCGGAGGGTGTATTGAGAACGACTTTAAGATCCAATAAAAAAAAGAGAGATAAGGAATGATTCCAATCGAGGAGCCTGCCGCTTTGAGAACCAATGAGAGAAACAAAAGGACTAAGTAGACTCCTGGCGTTTCTTCTCCTTTTTGGACCAGCGCACTGAGTGGATTGATCACATTAGCTAGACTCTTGCAGAAAAGGGGACAAACATACAGCCACAGGCATTACACAATGTCTTCGGGCCACCAGGGCCTTTTCTCCACTCAGGAGAATCCGCTGTGCCACAGTCACCACAAACATGCTGCGCCTTAAGCCTCTTGCGGCGATCTCCTTCTTGAACATTCCGGGCTTGATCGGCTGCCGTAGTGATGTCAATATCACAATGGATCAGTCGACCCTGGGGCAGACCTGTGCTGAGGCCCTGCGATCTTTCACCGTCACCATAGTAGAGACCAGTCATAACCTCGATCCCATCGATGTGGGAGAGTCCCTCAGCACGAGGGTGATTGTCAGAGTAGTAATCCCCTGATGGGCCTGAATCGGAATCGTCTGAATTTGGTGCCACAGTGTCTGTAGAGTCCTGATCGCTCAGTGATCCCTGTCCGCCGCTTTCAAAAGATTTTTCTTGGTCGGCCTTGCTGTATGGTGGTTTGGCTGAGCTTGCTTCTTCATCTTCTTCCTGCTTGAGCCTGGCAATTTGCTGCATCAAACGTGCGTTCTCAATTTTGTGTTCTAAGAAAGAGTCGAGAAGCAGAGAGTTCTTCGTCGGGAACGGGCGACATATGAGGAAAAATCCAATGCAGCGATCCTGGCTCGTTGTATTCTGTTCCTGGGATTGGGTTTGGCTTGCGATGTGGGGGTGCCCGAAAGCTTCGACGAGACCATACGTGCTGTTGGTCTTTTGCAATCGCATATGGGTTCGGAATGGCTTGTTCATTGCAACCGAATCGTCCATGTCTCGTAGAAAAATAAGCTTGTCGTCTTCGTGGATATGATCGGTGAAGAGGCTTCCCTCAAGTTGCTTGGGAATGCGACCGGTGATCCACTTTGCCGATGGTGATGCATAGGTGATCTGGCCCTGGGCGTTGAGTAAGAGAAACAGGTCTTTCATCTCCTCCAATACCCGTTGCGTCCAACCTGGATCATTTTGTGCCGGTTTATATCCACCTTCTTGCTGACCTTGCGATCCTTGCTGCCCTAATTGCCCATAAGGACCCACCACATGTTGCTGTTGCTGTTGTTGCTCCGACGCTGGGTAGCCTTGCCCTTCATCATTCGAGTTACTCCGGGATGGTGGAGGCAACTGCACCCTCTCCTGAGGGGGGTTGGTGAGCCGTAGCCATGATATTGAAGAGAGTCTGACAGATGCAGGAGATTGGAAAGAGGCAGTAAGCGGCGAGATGGGGTCAGCGAGGCGGAGCGCATTCAAACTCTCAAAAGTCCCTCCACATGCACTAGCGCATTATTTTGGAGAGCGGGATGCGATAGATACGCTCGGTACAAGAGTTGATGATGTAATTCAACGAGCACTACCAAGCCGGCGGATAGACCAGAAATCTGCCCTTGAAACTGGTGGAACTTCAACCTAATGGGCCTGACCGCATAGACAGCGTGTTCGGCAAGGAAAGAGAAAGAGGTAGGAAATCACATCCGGTCCTCTTCGTGGTTGACAGTCGCTCGCCGATCTTGTGGGGCACCGGCTTACTTATCGGTCATTTACGGACACGTGACTTCCTGTCGCACCGACGCGTGATGGAGAAGGTCGATACATCACAAGTTACAAGCGATCTGAGCCCCCGCCACAGCTGTATTCAGTGACAAAAGAACTCATATTTAAGCGTGGATAAGACCAAGAACAACTTATTGCAGGCCAAGAATATCTGAAGGGCCGACGTTGGCCTGTACCGCAAAGATGTAAGTGCGGAGCAAGCTCCGCTTTACATGGTTATGCTGCTAACAGTTCGATGATAGGTGTAAGTTTTTGCAACACAGAAGCTGGTGAGGCTTGATCTAATCGAGATACAATCGAGAATAGCAACGATCGATAAACTCTCTATTCTGGGGTGAGGATTCGCACCGGGCTGGCTTACGCGACTCGTGCCATCCTGCTTTTCCGGGCCTATGCTAACCTGTGAGTTTCCTTCCCAGAGTCCGTTCGTTCGACAACATGCGCAGCGAGACAATACAGTTCCACACACCTCTGACTCTGATTGTTGGATATAATGGCTCAGGAAAGACGGTATGCTCTCTATAGTCGGAAGCGTACGAGGCAATAGCTCTGCAAGCTGACAGGGCCTAGACCATCATCGAATGTCTCAAGTATGCCACCACGGGCGATCTCCCTCCGAACAGCAAAGGTGGTGCTTTCATTCATGATCCTAAGCTATGTGGTGAGAAGGAAGTCCTCGCCCAGGTGAAGCTTTCGTTCAATGGCACCTCGGGCGCCAAGATGGTAGCCACGCGCAGTCTCCAGCTTACCGTTAAGAAAACTACGCGGCAACAAAAGACTTTAGAGGCACAGCTTGTCATGGTGAAAAATGGCGAACGTGCGTCGATCTCATCCCGTGTTGCGGAACTAGACCAGATCATGCCTCAATATTTAGGTGTTTCCAAGGCCGTCTTGGACTGTGTTATCTTCTGTCACCAGGATGAGAGCCTTTGGCCAATGAGTGAACCTTCTGTATTGAAGAAAAAGTTTGACGAGATCTTTGAAGCAATGAAGTACACCAAGGCCATCGACAATATCAAAGCGCTACGTAAAAAGCAAAATGAAGAGCTAGCCAAATTCAAGATCATGGAGCAACATGCCAAAGAAGATAAAGACAAGGCTGATCGTGCTGAGAAGCGATCCATCAAGCTGCAGGATGAGATCGAGGTGCTACGAGGAGAGACTCAGCAGATGTCGAAAGAGCTGCGGCGTATAAATGACCTGGCCGACAAGGCCTGGAAAGAATCTGAAAGCTATTCTCAAGTTCTCGGGGCCCTTGAAGGAAAGCGAATTGAGGCGAAGAGCGTTCAAACCACAATTGATAACTTAAAACAGCACCTTGTTGAGTTGGACGACTCGGATGAATGGCTTCAGTCAAATTTGGAGCAATTTGAGACGAAGCAAATTGAGTACCAGCAACAAGAAGAAGCCCAAAAAGAAAACTATATGGAACTCAAAGAGCACATCGAGAGTGCCCGACACAGGCTGGGTTTGAAACAAGCCGAGAGCGGAAAACATGAGAACGACAAAGCAAACTTTGAGCGACAAGTTGAAAGACGCCAGAACATGATCATTGAGGTTGCCCGTGGCAACAATATCCGTGGAGTTGATGACAATCTCGACCAAGAAGGAATCAATGCGTTCATGCAGAAATTACGGCGCCATCTGCGAGAAAAAACCAATCCCTGGATCGTGTGAAACGTGAGGCTCAGCAGGAGCTCCGGGAGGTTCAAGAAGCTTTGAATGAGATTGGGCAGCGGAAGTCTGCCCTTCAAGAGAGCAAAAGCGCCGCAAAGAGGCGCATCGCTTCGAATGACAAAGAAGCTGCAGTGTACCAAGGAAAGCTGAACGAGATTGACATCGACGAGGCAGTTCAAGCCGGATTGGAAGCCAAAATCGATGACATTAGCTCCAGCCTAGAAACCTCTAAAGAGCGAGGCAAGACTGCCTCCTGGGACCAAGAGATTCAAAATATCAATTCTCAGATCCAACATCTGGAGGATGAGAACACAAGATTGAATTCTGAATTGATTGACTCTACCAAAAAGGCTGGTGATTTAGCTCGCTTGGATCATCTCAAAAAGGAGGCCAAGGACAGAGAACGAGGTCTACAGACAATGAAGGGTGCACATGGAGACCGTCTTGCGAAGGTTGTTGGCCCAGATTGGCAGCCTCAAACGCTGGAAAAGGACTTTCAGCATGCTGTTGATATTGAATCAAAGAAGGTTGTCGACGCAGAGCGTGACCGCGATGCAGTGAGCCGAGAGGTAGAGCAAGTCGAGTTCAAGCTGAAGAATGCGAAGAAGCATCTGAAGTTGAGACGCAAGGACCTTGATGATTGCGTGAATGAGATCCATGAAGCGGTCGGTGACGAGCCTTCCGAATACCCCATCATTCTTAAGGACCGCCAAGCTGCATTTGAGCTTGCCCGGAAGGATGCTGACCAGTATGCTGGTATGGGCGAGTATCTTAACAAGTGTCTTGATGCAGCAAAACGAACCAAGCTCTGCCGGACGTGTCAAAGATCTTTCAAGAACGAATCGGAACTTCAGACATTCACCAAAAAGCTCGAGGCCCTGGTCAAAAAGGCTGGCTGGGATGCTGAGGATGAGATCCTAAAGAACATGGAGCAAGACCTTGAAATTGCTCGTGCAGCCAGTGGGTTCTATGACCAGTGGATCCGCCTCTCAGAGACAGATATCCCCGAGTTAGAGCGGGAAGAGCAAGAATGTGAAGCGCAGAGGGATCAGCTTCTAGATAAACTTGAGGCACATGACCGACTGGTAAGCGAGAAATCAGAGTACAAGAGAGATGTTGAAGGTCTTGCAAAGACGGTCAATACGATTGCAAGGTACGATGCCGATATTAAGAACATTGCTTCACAATTGCAGGAGCTCTCTGCAAAGCAACAGGATTCTTCCATGGGCCGTACGCTGGAGGATATCCAAGAAGAAATTTCGACAATCAACGAAAAATCCCGAGAGCTGAAGAAAACTTTGGCGAAGTTAATCAATGAGAAAGATCAGAACCGAAGCGAGATGAACAAGCTTGAGCTTCAACTGAGAGACGTGAGGGACAACCTCAGCAATGCCAAATTCCAGCTGGAAAAGAAAGCCGACCTGCTTGTCCGGCTGGAAGAATACAAAAGGCTCAATGCTCAACAGCGTGAAGCAATCGAAAAAGCTGATAGTGATATTGAAAACCTCTCGCCTGAACTGCTTCAGGCTCAAGCTCGCTACGATGACATTAGTCAACGAGCTGACGCACGGGAGCGAGACCTACAGCATGAGATCAACCGTCTCTCGGAGTGCATTCATCAGCTTGATCTTGCAAACGACGATATCAACTCTTACAATGAACGAGGAGGGCCCAGTCAGCTCGACAGGAGTAGAAAAGAACTCGCTGAGATCGAAGGCGAAATCACCAAGCTTGAATCCGAGCAAGGCGAGATCACAAGACAAATCAATAAAATATCTGCTCAGTTGAAAGACAGCGAGAATACGAAGCGGCAGTACTCAGATAACTTGACATATCGTCAAGCCACCCGATCTCTAGATAAGGTCTTGGAGGAAGTTAGGCAGCTCGAGGCGCAGAACGCCGAGGTTGATCGCAGCCGCTTCCAACGAGAGTCCGAGCGTTTGACTCGTGAACATAACGCCCTCGCTGCCAAGCAAGCCAGCAAAATGGGCGAAATGAAATCCAAGGACGATCAGCTGATGCAGCTCCTAGCAGACTGGAACACAGACTACAAGGATGCCGCATCGAAATACAAAGAAAGCCATATTAAAGTGGAGACTACTAAAGCCGCGGTCGATGACCTCGCTAGGTATGGCGGCGCTCTTGATAAGGCTATTATGCGCTATCATAGCTTAAAGATGGAAGAAATCAACTCCATCATTGGCGAGCTCTGGCAAAAGACCTACCGAGGAACAGATGTCGACACTATTTTGATTCGGTCTGACAATGAGAACGCCAAGGGTAACCGCTCCTACAACTACCGAGTCTGTATGGTCAAGCAGGGCGCAGAAATGGACATGCGAGGTCGCTGCAGTGCTGGCCAGAAGGTACTCGCTAGTATTATTATCCGTCTGGCTTTGGCGGAGTGCTTCGGTGTTAATTGTGGTCTCATCGCCCTCGATGAACCCACCACGAACCTGGACCGTGACAATATCCGCTCTCTGGCAGAGTCATTACACGATATTATACGTACCCGCCAACAACAGTCAAACTTCCAGCTGATTGTTATCACCCACGATGAGGAATTCTTGCGGCACATGCAGTGCGGTGACTTCAGTGACTACTATTACCGCGTTTCGCGAAATGAGAGGCAAAAGTCAATCATTGAAAGGCAGTCTATTGCTGAGGTGTGTTTCTGAATAGGCTTCCTTTTTAAACTATACTCATGCATATCTAGGTCATGTAATATCCGTTCACGAACCCTCTCGTATCGTCGAGGTCTGGTCACAAGCACAGGTAAAATTTGTTGAGAAGCTTTATCATACCCATTTTTAAGCGTCAGGAGGAAAATTATTCCAAATATTCCGAACATAATTTTATTTATTCCTTTTGCTTCCACGCACGATGAGAGTACATTTCGAATACTTTTAATCCAATTATTGCGTAGGTCAAGAACATTTAGATAGTTCAAAGTGTGTAAAACTGTAGCTAGGCTATTGATCATCTCGCTCTATATCTATCTCAGCATCCTCGTCATCAAGGAGTGGCACGAAGCGAAATTCGACAAAATGCTTTGGAACATCACGCCCCTTGACACCAGCACCTATAGACCTACCAGAAGGGCTTGGGTCATCCAGGTAAATCATGAACTGCAAGCTCAGCGCACCCTGCCTATCACCTCGAATACTGACTTTATTGGCGACCGCCATAGCACGAGCAGCCTTTCGAATGAGTGCAAAGCTATAATTCTGTCTGATGCGCTCGCCCATAGACGGTGGTGGCGAAATCTGGAATGTTTCTGTAACAGTGGGAGCCAGTTTCGCTCTTGTTGCACGTGCTCGTGATGTCCCATCATCAGTTAGGACTTTGCGCATCTGCGATGGGCCTCCTTGGGTGGAACCACCAACAATTTCATTATGTTGGTCAATGGAAAATTCCACAGTTGATTCACTGAAAGGACCACCGGCGCCAGTTAGAGCAAAGTATGGCTCACGGTTGGCGCAAGCTGACATCTTGAGAATGGTTGGATTGGAAGAATCCAGCTCGCCAATTGCATTATGTAGCCAAGCAGAGCCCATAATCAATTTCATAATAATAGCATCGCGCTGCAATGGTATGTCTTGTTCATCATCTTCACGCTCGTAGGTCACTAACTCGCAAGTTGTCTTTACACCAGCTTCTGTGATGGCGATACTGAGCGGAGCACCGTGCTGAAAATATTGAATAGTACAGGAGCGGTCCATGAGTAAGGCGGGGGCATTAAATGCACTCGAGGCCGGATTGGTTTGGGGGAGATTGCTTTCTCGGGATCCACTGGGTTCATTCAGGTCGTTGATGCCGAAGATTTTCAATGTCTCAAGCAGCGCAGAGAGCGAGATGACGAATTGCGGATCCGCTTGCTCATCCAAAGAATCATCATTTCCATTGGACTCTTCCGTAGGATTGTGATTATTGGTTGGCTTGTTGAAGGTATAGCTGGTAAACAGAGATTTGTCCAGGAATGCTAGTCCAGAGATGACGCGGCCTTCTTCAGCGGAGAATCGAAGGCCCTCAGGGGAAATCCGAACTGTTGCTCTAGGGACAAATCCAATACAGGAGAGCAGAGTATAGAGGTGGTGGGCATTATTCGAGACACCGGTGAAGAGTGGCTCCATGGTGATGTGAGGTGAGACCTGCTATCCTGTACTTTGGGGGAGGGGGGGCACAAAGATGATATGATCAGGTATGAAAAATTTTTCACAAAGGTGTGATAATTTGGAAGCGTCTAGCAAGACAGTCCCCTTTAAATTCCCTGCTTATGGTACATGGAAGGGGTAGTCTGTGGGTATCGATACGCGTTAAACATAAACTCCGGCAGCGCAGATAGTGAAAACAGCGCCAAAACTATGTATGATAGCATAATTTAGTAGGATTTCAAGTATTGCAATGAAGGCGCATCTACTCACCCAAACAGTAATGAAGCTGGGACACCCAGAGACGCGACACTCAGAAAAGACCGGTCTGTTGATGATTGTGAGAAGCTGTTATTTGGCATCGTCCCTAGAAGTCAACTTACTCAGGCCAAAAAGTCCAGTGAAGATAATTGCTGTCATAGAGAAGGTTAGATAGATATACTTCGTTTGAAGTGATGGTGAGCTATCCTTACCGAGAAGCAGTAAGTTGAAGCCGACAGTAAACTGGCTGTCCTTAGAAACGATAGGTGAGAAAGGTGTTGCGGAGGCTGCCTCCCAGGCTTTGTTCAAAGACATGAGTAATTGATCTGTGTGCAGAGGATTCGATATCAAGAGGTGATCGGTCATCAACAGGAGAGTTGTAGACCGTGGGAGGTATAGATGCGTCGATCTGGCCGATACGGGAGACAGACCTGCCGCCATACACCGCTTTCTGTTCTGGTCTGAAAGACTGGGGAGCGTCATCTCATGCAACGCGCAGTCACGGTGTTACCTCAACCATCCACCATGGCCGCTGGATCCCCCAAGAGTAAGTTGTTTGATATACTATGGTGACTATCAGACATTTGCTGGCGGTAACTAATATTATATAGGTGCCAAGAGGAAGGCCTCAGAGGAGGCAGCTTCCCCGGACTCTCAGCACCAAGCCAGTAAGAAAGCACGCACCGATTCACCAGAGAAAGAGGTTTGTCACCCAGAAACCCTGTAACAAATCATTCTAATCCTTGACCAGGAAGAGAGTCCATTGCGCAAGCCACCACTGCGTATTGTTCCATTCCCGGAGAAAGTGAGTCCCTTTCACCCCCACTCCCTCGCCTTGCTTGAGTTCAACATGGACTGACTCGACCGATAAGCCTGCTGTCCTAGAAGAGCGTCGAGGAGATATTGAGTTCCGTGTGGTCAACAATGATGGATCGCATGATAGCTTCATCGTGCTTACAGGCCTGAAGTGCATCTTCCAGAAGCAACTGCCGAAGATGCCGAAGGACTACATTGCCCGACTCGTCTACGATCGTTCACACTTGTCAATTGCCATCGTCAAGCATCCTCTTGAGGTTGTTGGGTGCGTAAATTGAGCATTGACATATCATGATTGCGATGAACACTGACAGCGTCCTCTAGCGGAATCACTTACCGGCCCTTTAATAGCCGCAAGTTCGCGGAGATCGTCTTCTGCGCGATTTCCTCTGACCAGCAGGTCAAAGGGTATGGTGCTCACTTGATGTCTCACTTGAAGGTATGGTGAACTCCCTAGACCTTGATGTTTGCCGCTAAATCCCTCTCAATAGGACTACGTGAAAGCCACCTCCCCGATTATGCATTTCTTGACGTATGCGGATAACTATGCCATCGGATACTTCAAGAAGCAAGGATTTACTAAGGAGATTACCCTTGACAAGTCAATCTGGATGGGATACATCAAGGATTACGAAGGAGGTACGATCATGCAGTGCACCATGCTTCCCAAGATTCGGTATCTTGAAATGGGGCGGATGCTCTTGAAGCAGAAGGAAGCCGTGCAAGCAAAGATTCGTGCATTCAGTCGGTCGCATATTATCCATCCAGCCCCCAAGGAATGGAAGAACGGAGTATGCAAGATCGATCCTCTTTTGATTGCAGGAATCAAGGAATCCGGATGGTCACCTGATATGGATGAACTGGCCCGCCAGCCTCGCCATGGTCCAAACTACAACCAACTGCTCCACCTATTGAATGATATGCAGAATCATAGTGCCGCCTGGCCGTTCACTCAACCGGTGAACCGTGATGAAGTGCCGGATTATTATGAAGTGATCCTGGAGCCAATGGATCTGTCTACCATGGAAGAGAAGCACGAGAAGGACATGTACCCGACCCCACAAGATTTTATCAAGGATGCGATGTTGATTTTCGACAACTGCCGACGATACAACAACGAGAACACCCCCTACGCCAAGAGCGCCAACAAACTCGAGAAGTTTATGTGGCAACAGATTCGGAATATCCCCGAGTGGTCGGTGAGTTTAGTGTCTTCAGATCGACCTATTGATTGTTCTTTTGGCTAATTGAACTGTTTCAGCATCTTTCTGATGGACATTGAGAATTCACTACTATCATGCAAATCTGGCTTTTTACATGGAACGGCGTTTGGGAGGCACTTGGATTTACCAATACCCTGTGGATAAGTTTAGCGGAGCAGGAGGATTTGCCTTGTAAGGACACATGAATTAATGTCATTTTCAATCGCACCAGTGCCGATCAAACCGTTTCGGAGTAAGGTGAAGAATCTGTGTATATGGTCGTAATATGGAGGATGGCGGAAGATGATGCAATATCGGCGGCTAGAAAATGGGGCCGTGACGGGTGGAATGTTACATAAGCCGTGTTGTTTCAGCCCGACGCCAAGACAAGAGGCTGGTCGACGAAAGTACGGAGTCCTCTTTGCTGACTCTTCGTCCCTCTTGCCGCTGAGCTTGGTCTCATTCGTTTGACATTCAATTGATGAGCTGTTCGTGTTTTGCCTTCGCCTAATTACAGCTGCTGCGGAGCGGCTTTGGGCTGATTTTTGATCTGTTGCCGCGGCGCCAGGGGTTTCTGTTTCTCCTATCCCGGCAACCCTATTATTGCGTGTCCTGCGACGACATCCTCAATTCTCTTCACAAACCCCTCCCTCAAGCACCCCACAGGGTGCTCTTCGTTCTTTTAGGGTCTTGTTTACTGTTTCTTGGCTTGTTGAAGTTTTGAGTTGATCTTGCTCGAGCAAACGCGACTTTACACGCTCTCTACCCCCTTTTAGCGCCCCTCATTATTTCCACTTCGACTTCCAAACCCGGTGCTGGATTTTTCACCTCGAACAACTCCTATCAACGCTACCAAAATGGCTTCGCCGGACTCATTCCTCGATGTTGAGGAACGGAATCGCCTCCCAACGCTCTTCGAGGTCTTGAGCCGTCGCACCCTGGCCCCTGTTGATCTCTTCTCTTTCTACATCTACATGCGCGATCAACAGCGCTCCGTGGATTATTTGGATTTTTGGTAAGCCAAACATATTTGCAAATATCTCTAAATGGCATAGTATATCTAATTTTTACTCCGAAACCTTTCAGGCTCGATGTCTCGCAACACATGTCGCTGTGCCGTCACTATGTCCGGGAGCTTCGCCGTTCCGTCCTTGTCGCAACCCCCGACATTGAGAGAGCCGATAGTAAGCGGTCGTCCGCCATGTTGGAGAACCTGGAGAACTTGGGTGATATCCCACTGGTGGAGGCTGGGCCTTCACGTTCGCACAACGAAAAGGACCGCGATGCCGACCACCGCCTATCTGCCTTCCTACGCTCCGAGGGCCACACCTCTTCCCACTCGCCGCAGAACAGTATCGGCTCTCAGCAGTCTGCCGCTCAACGGACTCCTTCCAATGACCCTCGTCCCAGCTCTGGCACTCGCAATGGCGATTCCAATTCACCTGGCCACACTGTTGCTCGAAATGATATCCGTGCTAGCGCCGAGAAGATTCTATATACCTATCTACTCCCTGGCGCCGAGCGCGAGATCATTCTCCCGGAAACAATGGTCTCCACAATCATTAATTTGATCGAAGACGATGGTCGTGACGACCCCGAGGTGTTTGACCCCGCGAAGGACTACGTTTTCCAGGCCATGGAGCGAGACGCATTCCCAGGTTTCTTGCAGGCCAAGGCTCTCGGTAACCTTGTGCCGCTCAGTATCCTGGCCCGTCTTGCGTTTGCGTTGATCAGTTTCGGGGGTGGTTTCTGGGGTGCCTTCTATGTGGTCCTGCGCAACAAGCCTCGTGATGTTCGTTGCTGGGTCATCCTTCCCTTCGCGATTGCGTCTTATTTCATCATCTCCTATCAGTACAAGATTGACCCTGTCATGGCGTTCCTTGGATACAGCGAATACACATTTATGACTTGGGCGCCAATCCGGGAACCATATGTTCGCAAGTTGTTGAACAAGCGTGCTGTGGTCACTGCTTTGATCTCGTTCTTGACTGCCGCTGCATTGAGTATCTTGTTCATTTTTGTGCCAGGCACGATGCTGTGAGAAAACCCCCCATCCCTTTGGTCCCACGTGTTGTGTGCGACTCGAAGCGAAACGATGATGTGAGATGGCCACCGTCATCGCCCCCAGAAAAACCTGCCCTCGTACCACTTGTCGGAGGTAATTCTAGCCCGGCGTTCGGATTTTTTCCTGTTCTGATATGCTTCTGCGAAGCACTAATCTTTGGATTTGCCCTGCTCCTGGAGACTCGCTTGTCACCCGTAATTTTTGCCGGATTCATCTTGTCTCGAGAGTGTTGGGGCCTCTCCATCTTAACCCCTTCCTGATTTCCCTTCCACCCGCTAATTCTCTCGGCGGTCCCGCAATTCAATCTCCTTGTCGTGTCCATATTTGCCCATTGTCCACTTATTTCCGTGTCTTTTTTTTTTCATTTGTTCCCTTCTCTCAATACCCCTTCCGATTTTGGTCACTTGTATTGTACTTATGTTTTAAATGAGTCTGGCCATTAGGGCATTACGAATGCGACCTATTTAGGTGATTTTACTATCCTTGATGCAGTATGTTAGGTTCAATTAGCCAAAAGTAACTAGTAACTCTACATCCCACGGCTCTGCCTCCACAACGGCATCTGAACTAACCGACACAAGTGTGAGGGATTGCATCCATATGGAAATATATAATTCCAAGGCTCTGGCGTCTGGCCATAGTATTTCGTACTGGAAATATTGCCTATACATGTTGTATAAGGCTAATCAGGATCGGTACATCTAGACAGCCACCTAAATCGATATGAGCAGATATGCGTCTTGACTATCCGCGATAGAAATTGGCGAAAAAAACATGTAATAAGCTCGCATCATTGATTCATAAAGGGACATAAATTTCCCGAGTTGTCTTTCATGGACGTATGCTAAGCGAGGTTAAGCAACTTGATCATTGACGGTCATCAATTCGCATCGCTTAGAGCCCCATCAAGTCTTGCGCCCCAGTATCCGCTTTGAATGTCTGCTACTGCTCCCCCGCGATGACCCCGCGCCTTCATCGATGTCCATGCGCGAGCCAGACTCCCCGTTGTCCCCGGACGCGAACCCGTCATCGACGTCAATGTCGTCCGCCTCGCGCTTGTTACCACCCATCCCTAGCCCCAGCCGTCCTCCCAGTCGCCGCCCGACACCGGCAGCCTTACCGGCTCGTCCATTGCCGGCGCCCGCGGTACTATCAAGCCCCACTGCACTCTGGCGGCGCTTTGTGGCTTCCTCCAAAAGCCGCTCATGCTCCTGTTCTTTCGCGTGCCGCTTCGCAGCGTTGGTCTTGACGAGCACGACTTCGGCCTCGAGGTCCGCGATGACGGCGCCACACCGGGCCTCCCACTCTGTGAGGAGGGCGATCATCTTCGGAAGGGACTGCGGTTGCACATCGCGGAGAGGGGCGACGGAACTGACGTCTACGGTTGGTGGGATGGAGGCGGGGGACAAGCGCGCGGAGATAAGATTGGCATAGATGGCGGCCGTCACGAGGGATTCGAGCTCGGCGGTAGTGGAGAGAGAGAGGGCGTCCATAAGGCTTTGATATGTGAGGGGTTTTGTGGTTGAGGCGAGGGAGAGGAGGGAGAGAAGACGGAGTTTTTGGGATTGCTCGCTGCTCAGTTTGGGCAGGTTAGGGGTGGCTGTTTCGAACGTCCCGCGGGATTCTGTTAGCATCGGCCCGTCGCGATAGTCAAAATGGGAAGAGGGACTGACCTTGATAATCCTGCCATGTACCCCAAGCAAAGATCTCCAGCAGCTTCAGGTAGGCTTGGTACTCTGCGGGGGTATCGGGGGCCGCTAGGGCTTGGATGGTCGGCGTCTCGAGCAACTCGGCGAAGACGTATGTTTGGGGGCTGCTGGTCGCATTTGTGACGATATTGGCGACGAAGCGCGGGGAAGTTGCGCTGTTGGATGTGGCGAGGGCAATGAAGGGCTGTAGAGCCTCCAGGGCCCGGGAGTGTGTTTGGTCCATGAAATGCGGTCAATCGTAGGGGAAGTTGATAATTAGATCAGGTGGTGGGGGCCCAATGGAGGTATGAAATCAAAGCAATCGAGGCCCACTTAGGGGACGAAGGACAAAGAGGACAGTGTGAGGAAAGGAGAATGCGGATCCTGTCGCTCTGTTTACTGTCTGCCCCTCAGCTCCGAAGGCTCGGAGTATCTAAAGGACAACGTATGAAAGATGAAGTATCCCGTGTGGAGTAGCACAACAGCTTCCAGGTTCCGAGTGCGCGGAGGTGAGGTTGTTTATCTTGCCGGAGCTCCGGTTTGCATTCTACACAAACCATGCAAACAAGAGACCCGCTTATCGATAGCCCCGCTTAGTTATCAGCCCATCAGCTTATCTAATCCGATGGTTGAAGTTAGGTTTCCCTGGCGTGAGGATTAACTAGAGGAAGTCAATGGGTGATACATCCAAGACACAGTGAATGGCACCACTACCGACCATGTTCTATACAGGTCATATTCAGCAGACTCACAACAATCATAGTAATCAAATTAATCAGGGAATTCTTCCCTGAATAAAGTACTGGAACTCGTAGGATAGACATTCTATCCGTGTCATCTTGATTAAGTCTTTTGGGGCCGCGTGTCTTGGCAGGCTCCAGAAGACCACCTATACGGAGTATGGGGAGTATCTATACTCTTGGTCTTGATGATATGCCCGAGACCCGGCGACCGGTTGATCCTCCCATGAGCTCGTATTCAATGCAAGGTCCTGTGGTTCTGCGAAGATAAGCACTGCTTCGCGTTGCACACGGCATCATCCCGCGGCCTTGGATCCAACAGATCCAACAACCTCATACACTCTCGTCCACCTGAAACGACGGCCACGCTGACAGGTCCGTCCCCCCCAACCAATGTTTCAGCGTCGCCTGAGAAATCCACTTTTGACAGCCCTGGATAGCCCCGGACAGCCGCTGATGATGGAAGGGCGCGCAGGTTGGTATTGGCATTCTGCCTGAAGCCTGGATCCGTCCGGCCGCGATCTTTGAACTGCGCGGGCCGCATTCCTCAGCGTGGCGCCGATCCACTGCACATCCCACTGCGTAATCACATCCACGTCCACCACATCCACTCATCCACCTTTTTTGCTAGTTCGAGTTTACAGTCACTTGATTCTTGGTCAGCCACCAAAGAAGGGGTTCCTGGCTGCCGTGACGTGGCCCGAGTCTCCCCTTCTTTCCTTTCTTCTTCTTTTCTTTTTTACGCTTTCCCCGTCTCTTCCGCTACTGTTCGCCTGTATTGGGGAATGATCTGACCGGCCGCGGTCGATCCGAGAGCATCCGTCCTGCATCACGCTATCGCCCTCGTCTCTCCCCTCATCGGGTCGCACGCCCTCCTGGAAATCCAACCTCATGAGATAGTACGCCCTTTCGCTCGTCCATATCTTCGCCATGTCTGCAGAACCGTGCGGCGCGGCCGATTCCATCGCTCCCGTCGATCGACTGCCCGCCATGGCGACCACAACCTTGAAGGTCGACGGGATGACTTGTGGAGCGTGTACATCTGCGGTGGAGGGCGCATTTAAGGGAATAGCGGGCGCGGGCGAGGTCTCCGTGAGCTTGATCATGGGCCGAGCCGCCGTGCAACATGATCCCGCTATTATACCGCCAGCGAAGATCGCAGAGATGATTGAAGACTGTGGGTTTGATGCCGCAGTCCTATCGACAGAGGAACATATCAAGACAACAGACCCCAACGTCCCAAATGACTCGGCAACCCGGCTATCATCAACCACCCTCGCGATCGAAGGCATGACATGCGGCGCGTGTACGTCGGCGGTGGAAAGTGGTCTGAAAGATGTGGAGGGAGTGGACTCTGTCAATGTCTCCTTGCTCTCCGAGCGCGCTGTAGTCGAACATGACGCTACTAAGATCACGCCGGAACAGATCGCAGAGATCGTCGAGGATAGAGGGTTTGGCGCACGGGTAATAGAAACCAAGTCGTCATGCGTGGGTCTGGAGGAGTCCTCAAAGCTCGCGGACTTGACGGAGAACAAATTCGGGCACAGGGTGACCACCGTTGCGGTTGGAGGGATGACTTGCGGCGCTTGTACATCCAGCGTCCAGAATGCCTTTGCCAATGTCGAAGGTCTGATTCATTTCAATATTAGTCTACTCGCTGAGCGCGCGGTTATTGTGCATGATCCGTCCATTCTTTCTCCCGAGAAAATCGCCACAATTGTCGAGGATGCAGGCTTCGATGCATCGATCGTATCATCGGAACTGCAGGAGCCGCTGTCCAGGAAAACTCAACAAATCAAATTGAGCATCCACGGCCTGCGAGATGCCACATCTGCGTCGGCCTTGGAGGAAGATCTTCTTAGCCGATCAGGGGTCAATTCAGCATCAATACTTCTCGCAACTTCCCAATTGCTCATTGCCTTTGACACATCCGTGATCGGGATTCGATCTATATTTGACATCATCGAGGCTGCCGGTTACAACGCTTTGATCGCGGACTCGGACGATACCAATGCACAGCTGGAATCCTTGGCCAAAACAAAAGAGATTCAGGAATGGCGCCGCGCATTCATTACTTCCACATCCTTTGCAGTACCAGTCTTTTTTATCAACATGATCCTGCCAATGTATCTGCGAGCGCTCGATTTTGGTAAATTGGAACTACTGCCCGGTCTTTATCTTGGAGACGTGGTCTGCCTTGTTCTAACAATCCCTGTACAATTTGGCATCGGTAGGCGGTTCTACGCTACCAGTTATAAGTCACTCAAGCATCGATCCCCGACCATGGACGTACTCGTCATGTTGGGAACCTCAGCGGCCTTCTTCTATAGTTGCTTTACTATGCTCATGGCAATGTTTAGCGATGCTCATAAGCGCCCAAGCACTGTTTTCGATACCAGCACTATGCTGATTACCTTCATCACACTCGGCCGATGGCTAGAGAACCGGGCAAAGGGACAGACCTCTGCGGCGTTGTCCCGTCTTATGTCTCTGGCTCCGCCGATGACCACAATCTACGAAGATCCCATTGCGGCTGAGAAGTTGGCTGATGGGTGGACCGCCCAAGGTACTTCGAGCTCGTCCGAGCCGGCCCTTTCAGACGATGCATCTGTGAATCAGAAAATTATCCCCACCGAGTTGATCCAAGTTGGCGACATCGTAATTCTTCGTCCCGGGGATAAGGTCTCCGCCGATGGTGTGGTGATTCGGGGCGAAAGTTATGTTGACGAGAGTATGATTACCGGGGAGGCTTTACCCATTCACAAGAAGAAAGGCAGCCACGTCATCGCCGGCACTGTCAATGGCACTAGCTCAATCGATTTCAAGGTTATTCGGGCTGGTAAGGACACGCAATTGAGCCAGATCGTGAAGCTTGTTCAGGATGCACAGACCAGCCGTGCACCCATCCAGCGCATGGCGGACATTGTCGCCGGCTACTTTGTTCCGGCCATCATCGGCCTTGGCTTGATCACCTTCTTTGGCTGGATGTTCCTCAGCCATGTCTTGTCGAATCCGCCTAAGATTTTTCAATCCGAGGATGGGGGTGGCCGAGTCATGGTCTGTCTTAAACTTTGTATTTCTGTCATTGTTTTTGCATGCCCTTGTGCCTTGGGTCTTAGTACACCGACTGCCGTCATGGTGGGCACTGGTGTCGGTGCTGAGCATGGCATCCTCGTTAAGGGAGGGGCCGTTCTTGAAGCTGCCACCAAAGTCAGCCATGTTGTGTTCGATAAGACCGGCACACTTACAACCGGTCGGATGAGCGTGGCCCAGGCTCGAATTGAACCCCATTGGACTGCCAACGACTGGCGACGTCAGCTATGGTGGTTGATCGTTGGTCTTGCAGAAATGGGTAGCGAACACCCTATCGGTCGAGCTATCTTGTCGGAAGCGAAAACACAATCTGGTCACCCGGGCGAAGATGGGTTGCCAGGGAGTATCGGAGACTTCGATGCATGCGTCGGTCAGGGTATCTCTGCCACCGTTGAACCTACGTCGAGCGCCGAGCGTGTCCGCTACCAGGTCCTCCTGGGCAACGCAGCGTTTCTACGGTCCAGAGATGTATCCATGCCTGCCTCTGCTGAGTCCGATTCGGAAGGCGAAGACTCGGAATTGGAAACCCCAAAGCCCTCCGACACTTCGTCAGGCATCACACGGATCCACGTCGCAATTGATAGCCGCTACTCTGGAACTCTCTCCCTCCGCGACAGCGTCAAGGAGTCTGCCGTCGCCGCAATTGCAGCCTTACACCGCATGGGCATCTCCACCTCAATGGTCACCGGTGACACATCCTCCACAGCGCTCTCCATCGCCTCGGCTGTCGGTATACCCGCCGCCTCAGTACACGCCTCCGCTTCCCCGTCCGACAAACGCGCTATCATCTCCTCACTCCAGCTGAACGGCGAGCGTGTCGCAATGGTTGGTGATGGTATCAATGACTCCCCCGCCCTGGCCACCGCATCCGTTGGAATTGCACTCGCATCTGGAACAGACGTGGCCATGGAGGCCGCGGACATCGTCTTGATGCGCCCAGATGACCTCTTGTCTGTGCCTGCCAGTCTCTCCCTCTCGCGCTCCGTCTTCTCCCGCATCAAGTTGAACCTGGTGTGGGCTTGCCTGTACAATGTCATCGGCCTTCCTTTCGCCATGGGTCTCTTTCTCCCCTTCACGGGCTTTATGCTGCCACCCATGGCTGCAGGCGCCGCCATGGCCGCATCCAGCGTCTCTGTCGTCGTCAGTAGTCTCCTCCTGAAGTTCTGGCGTCGCCCGTCCTGGATGAATACCGAACGACTGGAGAAGGAGCTTGGCTCCGGCGCCATCCCTGTCAACGGTGGCCGGCACCATTCACGTCAAGCCAGCTGGTGGACGCCAGCCACCATGCTTTCGTCCGACCACCCGCGCTCTCTGCGTCGGTGGGCAAAAGACACTGTTTCTGCGCTGTGGTCCCTGGCAACTGGGAAACAGCAAACGATCCGGGAGGACGAGGGGTATGTCCCGTTGCAGACTGTTGAGCCACCTGTCTAATCCTGGTTGTGAGGGCTACCTTTGTCTGGAGTTATTTGCTAGGGGCTCTGGCTTGTTTCATTCTCGGCGTTCCTGGTTTGATTTAGATGTTCGATACCTCCTTTTGTACAGATATATTTTTATGAATCGATATTGACCTTCTTTTCCCTATCCTCGTGCGTGAGGGCTCTGAGCTTCCGAGCTTCTCTAATGCACCACTCCTCACGTAGCTGTGCTTTCCAGGTATAATTGGTGTCTGTGGTTGACTACTTTACCTGGCTGGAGTCAATCTATCAGAAGTCCTATCATGTCAACTTCGAATCCAAGAGTTCCGGAAATCCAACTTCAATCAATAGGATATATGAATCTGCTCAAAGAACCGTGGTGAACTACACTAGTGGTGAACTATGGCATACTCGTGTAACAACTCGATACGGCGATATCAATTCAGATCAATTACTATATGATCATCATAACAAGTAGTCTTGCAGGTCATAAATCATGATGCCAGAGTGTTGGCAAATAGCAGGCAAAAGAAAGATGCTATCGCAAACAATGTCCATCTTTTTACTCGGCCTTCGTAGCTGGCGTGGAATCACCAGCAGACTCGGACCTCCCCTCGCCCGTCTGGGGCGCAGCTGCTGTCGTGTCTTCAACGTTGATTTCCTCCTTGGGTTTGCTGTCGTCAAGAATAATATCACCATCCTGATCAGCAGAGTGAGTTTCGTCATTAGGCTGCGGCGCATCGGTGCTAGAAGATCCCGTCGTGCCATCTTTAGCACCCTGCTCATCCAGCTTCACCTCTAGGTCCTTTCCGTCTTGCAATCCTAGGTCCTCGACACCCACGACTGGCGGACCACGGGCATGGGGAACCTCGTCCGATGTGTCCGTCGGAGGAGAAGAAGAGCCAGCTTCCGCCTCCTGCCCTTCCATGGCCAAAGTGGCACCCGTGTCTATGCCTTGCTCCTGCGAGGGCGCAACTTCTGCTGAAAATTAGATGTCGGCTCCAAAACTACCTCTTAAATATTCAAGAGAGAACTGCGAAAAGACAAAGATAACATACCCTCTTGCAATGCACCTCCACTTTCGCTTTCAAACGAGACATTCGTTAACCAGGGAATCGGCGTGAGAAGGGCGCCGCCCAGAGACTCATCACTCCCCAGGCCGGACGAGTAGTCTGGTGTCAGATACGTTCCAGCACTATTGGTGGGGTGCATGAGACCATTTGGCTGAGTGCCAGTGGTTGCAGGACTATTGAACGGAAAAATATCAGCACCACTAGTAACAGATACAACACGATCCACGGCACGCAGGTAGGCAGGGAGTGTTCTGTAGTGTGCGGTCGGCCGAAGGATAAGCTCAGCGAGTCTCTGGATTGTGTGAGGCGGTTTTCTGACGAAAAGAGTTTGGATTGCAGAGCGAATGGAGTTTAGAAGGAGCACAAGAGGAGGCGGAAGCGTGTCGCTAGTTTGTTGAGACGAGGGCTGGGGCTGCGATTCCGGAACGCGTTCGCTTGATGTTGACGAGCCTATTGTCGACTGTTGATGAGAAGGGGTTTGAGGGCCTCCAGGGGCGGCATTCTCTTTATTGCTACTTTCTGGCAGAGCCATACTGGCCTCGGAGGGCTGGAGGAACGGTTGAGCGTCATAAGCTCTGGGAGACGCCTTGGGCATCGGGAACACGTTGTAGACATTCTGGAGGGAAACAGTCAGAAACACCACGATGGAGTTCACCTTATTATAACCTACATGTTCCAGGCGTTCCAATAGTGGCGCGACCATGCCGGTCCATTTCTCTCTAGGTCACTATCAGCCTCGAGTGATCCAGGGTAATAACTTTGCTGGTCCAGCTTCACACATACAGGTCCATCGAACCGCCATTGGCGACTGCCTCTAGGGCTTCTTCATCTAGATGTTCATATATAGTTAGATGCGCTCTTTAACAGCATCATGGGAAACGCACCTAGCGACATCGTTGAGGTGTTGCAAGCTGTAGATGCCGATGATCAACTTGTGAACTGGGGCGGTGATGGCACGTGCTGATGATTGGGCGGGCACACAGCTTATCGATAGCATCATGTGACTCTCCGCGAATTTTCGGCGGCGGGGCAGCGAATGACTCTTTTCCGGTACTTTTCTATAATCCACACCATTAAAGTGAATATTGCCCCTCAATCGCAATGTGGAACGCACCTAAGGTGGGAATCCTCGGCGGCGGCCAGCTCGGTCGCATGCTTGTCGAGTCCGCCAACCGATTGAATATCCAAGTCAACGTTCTGGACGCCGAGAACTCTCCAGCGAAGCAAATCAGCTTTCACGATGGCCATGTGACGGGATCCTTCAAAGAGCGTGAAGCTGTGCGCCAATTGGCCAAGACTTGCGATGTCATTACTGCCGAGATCGAGCATGTTGATACCTATGCCCTTGAGGAGATCGCTTCCGAGGTTCGGATTGAGCCCAGCTGGCAGGCGATCCGAACAATCCAGAACAAATTCAACCAGAAGGAACATCTGCGGAAGTACGGAATTCCCATGGCGGATCACCGTGAATTGACTCAGAACACACCCGAGGAATTGGCGGCGGTGGGCGAACAATTGGGCTACCCCATGATGCTCAAGTCGAAGACCATGGCATATGATGGACGAGGTGGGTTTCGCACGACACACAACAAGTCTGCAACAGATTTCCTGACATCATATTCTAGGCAACTTCCGTGTGAACTCAAAAGCAGACATCCCCGAGGCTCTTGAGGCCCTCAAGGATCGCCCGTTGTATGCGGAGAAGTGGGCCTATTTCAAGACAGTACGATATTTCCCTTCCCCACGCGCTATCCCCATGAATGAGACATCTGACAATCCTCCTATATAGGAACTCGCCGTTATGGTTATCAAGACCAAGGATGAAGTCCTGTCATACCCTACCGTTGAGACTGTGCAGGAGGACTCAATATGCAAGCTGGTCTACGCACCAGCTCGGAACGTGTCAGACAAGATCAACCAGGAGGCACAGGCTCTTGCTCGCAAGGCCGTTTCTGCATTTGAGGGCAAGGGTGCCTTCGGTGTGGAGATGTTCCTGCTCGAGGATGACAGCCTTATGCTCTGCGAGATTGCCAGCCGAATCCACAACTCCGGCCACTACACCATTGAAGGCTGCGCGCTGTCACAATTCGATAGCCACATGCGCGCAATTCTGGACCTCCCCATCCCGGCCAAGAGCCTGGAAATTCGCCAGCCTTCCATCATGCTCAACATCATTGGCGGCGCCAGCCCCGACACCCACCTTGAGGCTGCAGAGGCTGCCCTCTCTATCCCCAACGCGGCAATTCACCTGTATAGCAAGGGCGCTGCCAAGCCCGGCCGCAAGATGGGCCATGTTACCGTGACGGCCGCGACCATGCACGAAGCCGAGACCATGATCCAGCCGCTGATTGACGTCGTCGATAATATCCGTGCCCAGCGCACCGACATCAAGACCAAGGCGCAGCCTTCCGGCCCATCCAAGCCCGCACCTCAGGTGGCCGTTGTGATGGGTTCAGACAGCGACCTCAAGACTCTGGTTCCCGGCCTCAAGCTGCTGCAAAACTACTTCGGCATCGAACCCGCGGTGGAAATCACCTCTGCACACCGTACACCGAACTATATGGCCGAGTACTCGGCCGAGGCCGCCTCGCGCGGCATCAAGGTGATCATCGCGGCTGCCGGCGGTGCCGCGCATCTTCCGGGCATGGCGGCCGCCCACACAGCCTTGCCCGTCATCGGTGTCCCTGTCAAGGGCAGCTCGCTCGACGGAGTCGACAGCCTGTACAGCATTGTCCAAATGCCCCGCGGTAAGCCACCCTTCTTCCCTGCCATCCCCACGCTGCACACATGTCCAACGGAAACTAACACATTATCGCATAGGTGTCCCCGTCGCCACTGTCGGCATCAACAACAGCATCAATGCCGCTCTTCTAGCCGCTCGCATCCTGGGCTCGTTCGACCCGGCCATCCAGCGCAAGGTGGAGACCTACGCGGAGGAAGCGCGGGCTGAGAACATGGAGAAGAAGGGCACCAAGCTGCGCGAACTGGGCTGGGAGAAGTACTTTGAGCAGATGTAGAAGGACTGTGTTTGAACACGATTTAACGGAAACCAGAGCTAAAAAATACCATCAAAGAAAAAGGCGAGTAAACAAATCTTGCTCGACTTAGAAAATCTTTCGATTCTCCGGGTCTTGGTGGGCTAGGCCATTTCTGACCCGTTGATACAGCGGAAGGCATGTTACTATCAGATACTAGACGACAATGAATGACATTTTACTGAAACAATCATTTTTCTAAATCAACCAGAGATTGAGTGTATACTTACGATGTATATCTATATCACTTTCTGTGGAGAGCTCTAGTTTCGCAGAACAACGGTGGCATTATGTATTAGGCTACCGACTGAACAAGAAGCCATACTCATACACGAAACAGGAAGGAGAAAACGCATCAGAAAGTGCAAAAGGGGGAAATCATAGCGTAGTCACACAAACGAGAAAAGCAATTGCGAAAGGCATCAAAAAACTAGGACATTCAGGGTGATCCAGGACTCGTACGGGCTTTTCCGGAAATGCCGTCAAACATTGTATCGTTCCTGGCAGGCTGTTCCTGCTGCAAATTTTCTAGACAACGGAGGTTGAGCCATTGGTGACGTGTGTAGTGCCATTTGTGCCGGCCTTGACACCATTGCTCAGGTCATTGGTCTTGTCATTGACGAAGGCCTGGTCGACTTCATCCGAAAAGCCGCGAGACGGGTAGCCATCTGCCTTGGTTGTGCCATTGGTTGCAGCAGCAGCGGCAACACCGGCCGCACCAGCGCCGGCCGTGGTACCAGCAGCTCCGTCCTCGGCGGTAGTGTGTGCCTTGCGGGTGATAGTACCGGAGGCGGGGATGTTAGTGGATTCGGCAGCGTCGCCGATGCTGAAGATGGGCGACTCCCACTTCTGGCCCTTGGTGGCCAGGTCAGCGTACTCGGTGGCCTTGTTGGAAATGCCACCAGGCAGCTTGACATCCGGGAAGATAGAGTCGTGCAGGGTCATGACAGTCTGGACCTTGGTGTCTCGCTTGACAGCATTCTCGGCAGCCTTAGCTTTGGCCTGGGTGCGGGCACGAACGGCATCGGCGTATCGGGAGAAGATGCTGGGAGCGTTCTCTGGGTCTTCACGAGCGGCCTCCTGGGCACGGACGGCCTCAGTATGGATCTCGTTCGCAAATGCATCAGCGTTCTTGAAGGCCTCGCGGATCTGCGCCTCGACGACCTTCTCCAGGGCCGGACGGACCACACGGAAAAGCATGGGCTTGAAAGTAGCAAAGAGAACCTTATGCTTCGACTTCTTCAACTTAATATCCATGTTCTTAATGTTCACAGACACCTTGTCAAGCTTGACGAAGTGCTGCTTGTCACCATTTTTGACAGTAGAAGCAGCAACCTTGAAGCTGAAGCCATCACCACCAAGGAAGATGTCCATTACACCCGTGTCGGTGATTGAGGGGAAGCCTTGCTTCTTCTTGATGTAGTAGCTCACATCACGAAGATCGGCCTGAATGCCGGACATAGCAATCATGATTTTGTTGTCCCGCTTGTTGGTAACCTTCTTGCGACCCCAGCGGAAGTAGTTATCGCTACCGAACTCGACAACATTGGGCATCAGGTTGTCACTCTCAATAGTGAGGTTCTCGACCACAACGTCGACCATGGGATCAGACACCTCAATACGAGGGATGGGAATGTAGCGAACATTTTCGACAATACCGGGGATAATGATGTCCCGGATGTCTTTAAGCAGGTGCTTCTTGAAAACAACCTTGCCACCCGCATCACGGCCCAGGTCTTGGAACAGCTTCTGCACCGACTCGGCAAGAGCCTTGTTCAGTGGGTCCTTGTCAAACTGCTCCGCAAGGAACTTGGTCTCGTCCACGATGCGGTCGGTGTGGGTCCGGTAGCGCTCCCGGAGCAAGTAGCGACCCTTGTCATAGAGCTCGTTCCACTGACGGTTGGAGTCTTCTTCCATGATGAAGCCCTGCTCACGCAGGCACTTGCGGATGTAAACATCGATATTCTTGAACCAGCCACGCAGCTCGGGGTCGCTGTCTGCATCACGGTAAATGTTGTTCAGCGACTCGAAGAAATCGGACAGGGAGGTGTTGTTGGCAAAGCGCTCGATAAGGGTACGCAGGTTGTGCTCAACAGCCTTCACAGCATCAGTGGAACGAATATCGCTAACAGCAGTGCCACTCTGTGCGGAAGCAGTCTTGGTGTGACCGGCATACTTCTCCGCCATGGACAGCAAGGTCTCGACGGCTTGCTGGTCTACACAACGTTGTCAGCATTTAGGGCTTTATCTAGATATTGAGTTTCAACAGAGATCTTACAATCGGCGTGGCCCTGGATCTCAATGACCATCTTCTTAAGGCGCCAAATGGCCTGCTCGCGGCGCTCCTTGGGGATCTTCTCAGATAGATACTCCCGAGTCTGTTTGGCATACTTCTTGCGGCGGCTCATCTCTGAGGGGGTTACGGAGGCATTGTCACCAGTCTCGGCGGTCTCCGCAGTCTCAGCGATCGAAGGGGAGGCGACGCTGTCCTTGTCCTGGAATGAAAATTAGTATATCGTGCGTTTCGTTTAATCCAAGGCATCCATTTGACATACGCCCTTCTTCTTGAAACGCTTCTTCATATCCTCTTTGGAGATGTTGGGCTTCTCGTGCCAGGTGTTTTCTTCGGCAGGCTCATCAATATGAGCGAGCTGCTCCTCGGACGGACGAACTTGGTTTGCGACCTTCTGAGAAGCATCGGCGGCGATGTCACGGAGAAGGATCATCGCATCACTCACTAGGAATTGTTAGGACGAAGCTGATACTTTACCAGAGTCAAATTTCCAACTCACAGATCTTGCGGAATTCCCCATTGGTGATCAGCAGAGTGCCCAGGGTCTTGAGGCCATCCACAGCTTTGTTGGCATCCTGCTTGCCAGCTTCCTTGGTGACCGGCATATCAGGCGCCTTGGCACCACCGGCAGTGATCTGCTGGGCCTGCCAGATGAACTCTTGCAACAGCTCACCCTCGTTCTTGGACAGGAGCATCAATTTCGCCTGTTCAATGACATTGCGCACGTCCTTCACCAGGACCTTGCCTTCGCTGGAGAGCCCATCCGGGGGCGAGGAGAGCGCCTTGGAGTTCAGAGCACTGTTCAAGGCGACATCACACTGTTTGTTCTGCGAGACGGTAAGAGGCTCGGTTAGTATATGGAGAAAGGTCGTCGCCTATTTGGTCCGATGTGGCATTGCGATTGCGACTAACCGAAGGGAGTTTACTATTCTTGAATGCTATTGTAGAGAGATAAATGAGTGGCAGGTCCAATAGAAGTATCCTCCCTGGGCAGGCATCAGCATTGACGTACCATGATAGATCCCAAACAGCTGGAGCTTCTGGTTGATATCCTGTTTGTTTTTGTTCTCAGTAACCTTCCACATCATTGAAGCCGAATTTCAATCCGAGTGCATTATCCCACATACCTTCTCCTTCTGTTTGGTATCGGTGGGCACATTCACAGCTTTGGAAGACATGATGGTGGCCGTGATGATCGTTGAAAGGATCGGGCACCAGGGAAAGATGTCAAGGTGATATTACTGGGAGCCCCGGAGTGTTAGCAAATGGATCCCTTGTCGACTCCGCCTGGGGGTTTGCAAGCCGAACAAACAGGAAGGGCGGGTCCTTCTCGGTATTCCAGGCATGGCAGCAATGGGGATATACTCACAAGGTATTTTGGGGGGGTGGGGGTGTGTGTGTAGGATATTAGCAATTACTCCGTTGTATGTTAGGTGCTCCTTGGATGGGAGGATGGTAAACAAGGGGTGGGTATCACTGGAATGAAGGGAAGTAAAAGCAAAGTATGTGACGAAGGGAGTGGGAGAGGGAGAGAGGAAGAAGAGCGGAGGCAAGAAAAAGGAAGCAGGTCGTAAAGCAGGGATGACGACTATTAAACCATTCGAGCGTCAGATCAACCGGCCACCACAGCGTATCCCTACTGGAACAAGAAAAGAGCGGCTGCTAGCCGCACCAGCACCAGCAGCCTAGTTTAACCTCTCGAACCAGCGAACCCGTACGTGAGGGTACGATGAGGTACCCCAGTACCTCCCGGGGCTAGCAGGGGCCCCTACTGGACCCAAGTACCATTCGACTCTGGGGTACTTCGCATTACCGAAACAAACGGGGAGCTCCTTCCCCGTGAATTTTGCCAGCTTGACGCAACCACCGCCTTGACGTCATCTTGTCGTCTCGCGCACGGAACTCCGATTCCCCCAATTGCGCTTCTTCATCCGACTGATTTGCCTCGCCGTCTCGACCCAGGTTCAATTGGGATCTCGACTGGCAGTGGCTGGGCCATTGGGCTCCTTGGTATTCTCTTTTCCCTGGTCTCGTCCTTCGGCTGGAGGAGGCCGCTGCCCAGATGGGCCCCGTCCATAAGGCTGCTAGGTTTTCCAGGCTCCTGGATCCTCCAGATCGAGTCGAGCTCAACACTAGTGGCTGCGGGCCCCTCCGCGTTAAACTGCATCGAGCGCCTTGATCTGCAAGACTTAGCTGGAGCACCGCTTGCGCTTGGCACACCCGCGCGCTCTCCATGGCCCACGCCAGCAAGATTTGTGGGTCGTCGACCCCAAAGGAGGACTAGAGAGAGGGGGCGTTCCATGACCTAGTTTTTTTTTTTTTTTTTTCGCTCTCCCAAACTCTGTGCCTTGAAACCAGGATGTTGCTCCTCCGCATCAGCTTGACGTCAATCGGAAGAGGTTTCGTCGATGACATGGCACCACTCAGGATCCGAATGGCAATTCCAAATGCTGCATCTCCTGCATGGCAACCGAACGCAGGCGGATTTGCCTTCACCTCCCAGTCCCCTCCACCAGACTATTGATTGACTACCGGGGGCTTTTCTTGTTTTCTCGGGCTCCGACTAATCAACACCAAGTGACTTTTCTCGAGCCACTTCGTACTCGCTTTGTTCTACACAGCCACTTGCAAACGGAGGTGGGGACCTTCAAGAAATCACAAAAAGGAGGAAAACATACCCAGCCCGTCCCACGTCCCCAATACGTTGTGGCTTTGGGGCTGTGCAACTGCAGCGCGGCATCGAGCCACCCCGTCCCATCGGAGCTCACATTGACTCCTTCTGGAACAGGCCAAGCGCTGCTGCTCTCGTGACAAATCTTGCGCGAGTGCCTCTAAGATTCCCATGTGGTTGTCGGGTATGTTGCAGAAAGCTTCTCGAGTCGATCCACAGTGGAGTAGACCCGGACTATGCTCACTCGATTATCTAGTTCAATTATCTAGTTCCATTCTCTGAAGGGTAATTTAATACAATTAGAGAAGAAAGAAAGGGGAAGAACCGATCCCTCAAATCCCGCAGAGGCTCCGTGACTATTGTACGTCAATAGAGTACTCCGTGTGTACATAGTCTTCCCGTAAGTCTTCTCGCAGGCGGGTCTCTCACACATCCGTCGTACTCCACCGGACGGTGAAAACTGGAGACATGTAAGAACTACGATCGCAACTCGCGGCATGCAAAGAAAACCCGGTGCCCCAATGATTGCAAGCGTGTTGAGGCACCACACAACGCCATGCAAGAAGCTGGCTTCGAGGCCGCCTGCTCCGTCGATCTCTCGACCTTCGTCGCACCAGCCCTGCACAAACCCCGCCATCCTGCCTCCTCGTATGACCCTCCGTATCTCGAGGCTCGTCCGCCTTTCCTCGTTGCTTTTCCCATTCATGTGCCTCTCGCATCCTCCCTAGTTCCCGCGTCCATGTATGCTTCTATGTATGCGTCGTCCAATATCGTCTCGCATCCTGCACGACCCTGTCCTCCCACCCGCCCTCGACCAGCGGCCCGAGCACCTCGACTGGACTCTGTCCCGCGTCGAAAACCGCTCGGCATGGCAAATCGAGCGTCAGGTTCTCCGGGTTGCCCGCGCCGATGAGAGCCTGCAGCGTCTTCTCGGACGCCAGGTACACCAAGCGGCCGATATGCGCCCAGTAGAGCGCGCCCGCGCACATGGCGCACGGCTCCCAGGTCGAGACCATCGTGCACTGGGCCAGATAGTCCCAGGCGTAGTTGTCGGCGGCATTGCGGGCAAGCTCGGCCTCAGCGTGGCGGACGTGTGACAGCGACAGCGACGACATCAGCGGGGTCTCATTGTCTGGGGCGAGCAGGAGGGCGGCGAAGGGCCGCTTGGCGTGGAGGTCTTGGGCGGATTGTTGGAGGGCGAGGCAGCGGGCAGCGGCTTGGTCGAGCTGCGCGGGCGTCAATGGGACGAGCGACATTGTTGGACAGATGGGTGTGGCCCTGGTTGAGACTCGGGGATAGTGGGTTCGCGAGATCGGTGGGAGAGCGGGCTACCTGGAGTTAGTGGCGAGGCAATATGGTTTCCTGACTTATTTGTTGGGTTGTGTTTTTTTTTTCTCAGCGCCGATGCGCACGGCGGCATCCGACGAGAGGAGGAGCGGGGGAGTTGGATCCCCTCTTCCGATGAAGATCCACGGTCTGATGCAGGTCATGTATTGATAGGGCTCTATGTACAGGGGTATTGACGGTATGTAAAGTAACCCAGATTGCCCAACTAGAAAGCAACAGAGAAAAACAAACGAAAAAAAAAAGATATTATGTACAGTCGTTCTATCATGGGATCTCGTTACTCGGGCTAGTCGTGGCCGAAAGGCTTGACCGCGGATCGTCGGGCTGCTTGGACCCGTGCAAGCGGTGGTGAAGTTGGTACTCCGGGGTATCACACATGCGAGCCTGGCTGTCGCTATCCGCAGGATATTGGTTCGGGTGGAAGGAGAGATCGACGAAATCGGACAGGTCGGTGGGCGCGGAGTTGCTGCCGCTCGCCTCCGCAAAGATGACCAACTTGCCGAGGATGGCGTATTCAAGCTTGAGCTTGACGCTGTAGACAAAGGCCTTGAGGGTGACGTGAATATCGAAGAGGCCGGAATACTGGACGCCGATGATGGCTGCATCCATCAGGATCATGGCCAGATTGACGACTAGCAGCTGGACTAGAGTGCCGCGGTAGTGGCCGCGCGGGCGGAGATTCAGGAGACGCACAGCTTCCCAGGAATAGATGGCGGATAGCACGGCCTCTTGCAGGGAGAAGGCGATAAGCTGGATGCGTTCGAAGATATTGAAGGCCGGAGTGAAGCGGGCCGATTGATTGGAGTGGGAGCCGAGTTCGAGCACAGCGGCGGGGATGTGGAAGAGAATGGCGTCGACGATGATCATGGCGAGGGTCCAGCGAAGGACGCTTTGGCTGTGCACGACGAGATGGAGTCGGGACCAGAGCACGAGGGACTGCCCGGTCACCATGCCCACCCAGGCGATCAGCTCCATCGCGACGGGGAAGAGGTTATCATAGATGTCGTAGATGATGAGGAGGTATCCAAGGCCGAAGGGGATGATGCTGAAGGAGGCGATGAGCAGACACCAGAAGTAGCAGCCGCCATAGCGCTTGAAGGTCGCGAAGCAAAGAACGATCAACTCCAGGGCATTGTACCAGGCGATGCCGATGAGGCAGGCCACGGCGGTATGCTCTGCAAACTGATTGACGGCCCGTTCGGCAAGGCCGAATCCGCTGCCAGAGACATTGGCGCTCGTCATACGGGCATGTTCTCCGTCGAATTGAGGAAGGTGGTCGAGAGTCCCCAAGCGAGGAACAGAGGAGGAGGAGGAAGAGAAGAGTGAGGTTACGAGAGAAGCATATGAGAAGCGGATGGCTTTGACGGGAGTCAAATTGGTCAACCGACACTAGAGCGATCAATTAAGCTGAATTATCGGGGTCCGATACCTGACCAGGCGATTAGAGGACCCCTAGGGAGGAAAGGAGAGGAGAGAGAAAATCTATAGCATGTTGCTAGAAGTGCGGAGAAAGATATGAGGCGAAAAATAGGTACAGGAGGTGGCGGAAAGATAGTAACCGACCCCGTCCAATGTCTCGAGTACAATTGGGCCAGACGGCAGTTTCGGTGGAGTCTGGAGATGGCGTAAGCCTGCAGAGCACGCGACCATTGGTTGAGTCGATGGGAAGTAGTTCGGACGGGCAAAACGCTAATTGCAAGTCCCCGATAACGGCACCGCTAAAAGGGGAGGAAAGGAGGAAAGGGGGGGAAATGAGAGATAAGCGCCGTGGCCCATGGGTCTAAGGCTTGGCTTGGTCGATAAGCGCTACAGAATGCAGTCTTCGACTCCCATCATGCCGTTTTGATGGAGGCCCGATCCTCCTGTGACTCCCCAATAGCAGCCATTGTTCGAGCCGATAGCGCCAGATCCCCTTCTGTACGCCACCTACTATATGTGATTGGGGCTCGGTAATTCTCAGTGGGAAACTTCTACAATGGGATCTTGGCCAGTGCGCTCGGAGATAAGACCAATGACGGCTGCTTCCACGTTACTAACCCTGTTACTAATGGAGTGTTCTTGGGTCTCGGCCAACCACAATGAGCACCAACACCCAACACCACCAAACCAGCAAACAACCAAATCAGGTCCAGGCGAGGATAGAGTTTCCTCATCCGTCATACCCAAACATTGGTCATTCAATTTCAAAGCATTTAGCACCAAGTCGGTCAGATATCAAGTTTAATGAAACCCTAATTGCCAACGATCGCCATGTCTGACCTTTGGTTCCCCGGCTTCTGGAACTATGAGCGGGGGGAATCTCACTGGCACAACGACCCACTGCAACAACGGTCAAGGGGTGGTAAAAAGCACCGCAAGAAAACCTGCTAAAATAATTTTTAGATATCTTGAACTTGAATCATAAAATATTCATCGAACTGTAACAGAACGAGTCACGATGGAAACTGCGCGGCAGGGACTAAGGGAACAGCTCATGTATAGGATCCAGAGTGATTGTAGTACTGAAAGATATTACAATCACGAGAAGAAGATTTATACGACTGAAGGCAACAATCATGAGTATGTCCTATTGGGTGTTAGGACCGAATTATATTAATGATAGGATCTAAGCTCATGACGTACCAGGAGGAACTAGGAACTGGCCATATCAGGAAACTTATATAAATATATTCAGCTCTTCGCATTTAATATCTTGTTATAGGTTAGAGCTATCATTCAACAGATTATTAATTTAGTAAAGGAATATACGACTAATAAGAAGAAAGAGCCAGGGGTTATTAGCAATCACTTCGTCAACTGACTTGCCGCTCTCAACTCATAAATGTCTTCGATCCTCTCGATAGATCTGAGCCTATATAAGGGCAAGGGGATCAATCAACGATACGATTGCGATATATAAACTGTTGGAGTTGGCCTAGGTACGTATCTGACATATCTCATACGTCAACGACATATAAGTAGCAGTGTGCAACACATGTCTTCTACATGAACCTAATGTTAACAACACCTTTGTTCGCCAACGACCCTAGGCCTGCAGCTCTACATCAACTGTGTATTTCGATAATATTGTTGAAAAATAGAGAACTGTATAACCATAAGACAAACTCTACACTCGTCGTCCCATCTATCCCAGACATATGTCCATCATATTTAGTGTTGTATCCACTCTATCCTGATAACAACGATCTCTCCTATCGGTTAGATAGTTGATATGTGTCGCCCTCACTAGCCTCCGTGTGGCAGGCGCTCCGTCTAAGGAAGGGTCGAAGCAAAGGCAGACAGGCTTCACATGATTAGGGAAGTTAGATCATGAGAGGAGAGATTGGGGGAAGAACTACCTGAAACAATGCCAATATTTGTCTCTACTGCAGTCCATGTGGAGGTCCGATGAAAACCCACGTTACATCCACCGATGGCGTCTTGTATGCTTCCAACAGCCAATACTGCGCCTATTAGCACGGCAGAAGAAACAAATGGCGATGAAAAAAAGTGTTACATACGATCCTCCCATTGCGAAAGCTCCAGATAGCGCGAGCTTATGAACAGTGTTTCGTTGAATTCTCCACACATAAGGCAGGGGTAGAATCAACAAAGCCCAGTCTGTGATGACGTTTGGAACTGTGTTGCCTATGAAAAAGGAGTTGATGTTTACACCGCAGTGGGCTGTAATAAAATAATCCCAGAGCCCCCGAAGAGGTATGCATTGAAAGACGGTCGATGGTATCTGCATGGTATTATAAGCTTAAAGATTCATCGCTGTGGTAATAGGTAATGAAGCGGCCTTGCACATACCACACCAAGCCCCCAGGCCGTGATGAGGGATGCCAGGATATATATTGGTATGCGGATATTAGAGGTGCCGAAGATACGCCAGAAGAATAGTAATATGGAGTACTTGGTGCAACAGAGAGATAGCGTTTACAATATTTCGCAGACAAAGAGATTGATATAGAAGTGCGAGACGCCCGATATTCCCCAGCGATAGATATGAGTGCCGACGCCTCTTGGATCCAGGTAATCATATCAACCAAGTTTTCTGTGGCTAAAGCCTGGTATAAAAGCAGTCAGAAAAGGAAACCTTGCAAGCTAAAGAGGTACTCAGAGCTATTCGGAGATCAATGGAATTCTATATCAAGAAAAGTACAGATAACATAGTCATCCCACCATAATTTGACCTTAGAAATATTCAACCGACAGTACAAGCGCAGAGCAACAGCAACTATTGCTAGCCTGTAAGTGACTGAGCACGTTGCTCTCAACTGTGTTTGATGGGAGGCATTAAGATTGATACCGGCCGGCGGAGTCAGATCCATACTGGAAGGAATCGAGGGGAGAGGGGCTGAGCTATCAGGACATTCACTGCAAAAGAACAAAAGGATTAAGAGACGGAGGGCTCCTGGATTAATATACTCCAAAATCTCGTCTTTCCACCCTTGAATTCACAATTGTACCTGTGGTTGGTGTTCCTGGCTTCGACCCCAACTCGCATCCCGATCGCCAAGGGTTGATTCGGAGCGATCGGGGCGATGCTAATTAAAATAAAACACGTCAACCCCTGCAGGATGGAAATGGAAATTTCTGAGTTGCTCGTTAGCGCTAGAAGGAATCCATCTCTTTGTGAATGGATCGAATTGGAACTACGCATTATATTCGGGCGAGATCCGTTCTTCGGCCGGCTTGCCGGCTTCCCTTTTAGCACACCCCTCATTGGAAACATAAATATCAGCGAACTTCAAACCATGACTACCATCCTTTTTGTTCCTGGAGCTTGGATCACCAAGGCTTTCTATGAGCCATTCCTCAAAGCGCTCACGGTTGTCGGCTTCGATGTTCGCTACGCAGACTATGTCTCTTTAGACCCCAAGGATCCGACCCTAACTGACTGCCAAGCTGACACCGAGGCTATTACTGCTATGCTTCGTCCGCTCGTAGAGGATGAAGGGAAAGATGTATTGCTCTTCCTGCACTCCTACGCTGGCATGCCCGGCGCGGCAGCGGCCACTGGGCTAGCCAAGTCGCAGCGGACTCAGGAAGGCAAAGTTGGCGGTGTCGTTGGATTGCTTTCCCTAGGAGCCTTCATCGTGCCCGAAGGACTCAGTTGTGCTGGTCTCCAGGGCGGAAATATACCCCCTTGGATTTTACTCGACCAGGTCAGTGTTCCTATGTTTGGCGGCTATCAAATATGGACGACATTGCTCTTCAATTTTGCTGACCCATGAACAGCCGTCAGCGAATCTCAATGTAGCTGATGACCCGATCAACAATTTTGCTGCCGATGTCGACCCAGCGATGGCCAAGTCTCTGACCGCAAATCTCAAGCCACATGCGACTTTGCCTTTCATATCGCCCCAGCCCCATCCGGCCTGGGCGGATGAGGCGCTTCGGGGACGGTTGGCATTCATTGTTACCACGGAAGATCGTGCCGTGCCAAAGGAGGCACAATTCGGGATGATGGCGGCCACGCAGCAGTCATGGATTGTCAAGGAGCTGGCATCCAGTCACTGTGGTCTGTTCTTGAATCGGATCGACGAGACAGTGGCATTGACCCAGGAGATACTTGGTCAGATTTTGTAAATTAAACGTGGATTTCATCTCGCAGAAAGCAAAGGCTATATGCTTGGCCGAGGCTACAGCGCGGCTAGTTGCCTGAATCTTCAATTTTTTCTTCCGAAAGAATCCCTTCAATTCAATATTCACCCTTCGATCCCTATTCCCTCAAACCCAGTCATTGCGGACGTTGGTACAGGAACCGCGATATGGCTTCTTGACGTCGCCCGTGAACTTCCCACTGCAACCCTCCATGGCTGGGACACTGATCTGTCCAATACCCCGCCAATTCAATGGATACCCAGACGACTCACTCTCAACCAGTGGAATATCTTTGCCCCCGTACCAGAGCATTAACCTGGCAAATTTGACATCGTTCACCTCCGCCTTCACATTCTTGTGGTGCAGAACAGTAACCCGGTTCCCATCATCCAAAAAGTAGCCCGCCTACTCAAAGCTGGTGGGTACATCCAGTGGGATGATCTCAACTACCCAGACACCCATGTGAAAAAGGCTGACCCTACGCTGAAAACGCCCGCGTTCGACCGTCTGCGCCATTCGTCTACTCGAATGGTCGCCATGAGTGGGTGTTGAATTTGCCCGCACTGCTAGAGCAGAGTGGGTTTGCCGAGCCTCGATTAGATCATTTCCAGGACCGCATGGAGCTTGCTACGGCAAACGCAGAGCAACGTTTGGCGACTTTGGATGAGATTTCACTGTCCCTGGAGAAAAAAGATATGGCCGATGATGCGAAGAATGTCCGACAACTGTTAACACATGTTTCGATGGAGGCAGTGCATGGCGTGGCTTTGTCGATGCCACGAATTGTGGTTATCGCACAAAAACTATAATATTCAGTTGACGTACTCTTTGCGATAATTTGTCACCCATGACATGTAGTAGTTCAGTTGAGCTGACGCCTTCATCGCTGGCCAGCTAGAAGTGCGAAATCATGACAACCCACAGGCCAAAAATCGAAAGAAGCTTCAAATAACTTTTATTTGGTAAAAGCCTTTTTCTTGTTAGATATTTTGCCAATTAAAGGTTCTGCAGCCATTACTTCATACCACTCGTAGCTTGAAGCGATACCGTCTGATACTATTATATGGGCGAGATGGCAACGATAGCTGTAACTGCCACGGACGCACAGAGATCCTCCCCTGACAGAAGACCAACAGTAATCCACGTTACCCAGTAGTCCACTTCGATGTATGAGGATATTGCAAAAAGGGCTGGCTGGTGCTTAATTCTACCCAGAAACATGGCACAGAGGACTGATATGCCAGAGGATGTATCCGCGCTGTCCGCTAGTTCGTGCTCAGTGCCAAACGGGGCGAAAGATTGGCGATAACCAAGATCAATGCCGATGTCAAAGATCTGAACCGGCGAATTGACAATTTTGAAAAGACAATCAACACTTTATCAATAACTTTGTCATTGTCCACCTCTGCGACGACTTCTCGACTTCCAAGCTGGAGACTGGCAGCGCCGCATGGTCGAGACTGACACCGAATATCCTTAAACAAGCGACAATCGACAAAAGGAAAAACATGACTCTAGCAGGAAGGGCTATTCTCGTGATCGTGGCGGTAAAGCATGCTTGATGGCGTGAGGTTTTGGGCCAGGTTCCGTTTATACGGGAAATGTCGTGGGGAGTCATGTTAAAAATATATCTTGGTGAACTCGTGGAAAATATCCACTGAAACCGAAGGACTAGAATGAAAGGCATTGGAAATTAGTAACTTTGCTAGCGATTCCGGTTCAAAATAGAGGTAGACAACTGATCATTGTTTCCCAGAAAACCTTTTAGGCCCCTCAGTTTTGCTGGGGTCTTAGAGAACCCATCATCTCCGTATTGAGTTGAGCCTTGGACAATCAATATAAGGCCGACATGTATAGAGAGGGTGTTATAATCCGTGGCTACTCGAATTGAACCCCTGGCCTGTTGCAAACTTTCCTGTTGCAAACATTGAGAGCAAAATGAACGGCCTTTCTTTCGCGGAAACTGGAGTCATCTAACGATCGCGACTTGTGCGGGAATTCCCGACTTCCTACTATGATTATACGGCCCCGACCAGCGTTTACTTCGGGCAGCCAGTGCTTGAACCCATTTTTGTTAGAACCATTCAGGTATGTCCTAAAACTTGCAATAACGGCAAAAAATACCCTTCGTAGTGCTTGCGTGATTCGAATACCAGTGAATAGACTTTCCTCTCCTGAAGTCTCAGAGTGAAATGAGCATTCTGGTAATCGCTGCTTTACGGCCCAGTGCCCACCTGGCGTCAAACCCCTCTTCTTCCCGTGTCAATGCAACTAGACACGGGGATGGCTTAGCTGGTCAGAGAACAGACTAAGGCTTTTTACTAGCGTTGGACCAGGATAAAGTTTCAGGCAAATGTTTTAATTCAGTTGGAAATGTGTTGGGTCGATAGAGAATATGGAAATCAGGACGTTTTGTGGCCAAAGAAGAACTGTTCTCCAGGCTAGATGATAAATTGACTGTGGGCAAGACAGGGCGTCATGAAGCTTCAGTCTTTCCTGACACAGTCCGTTCTTGAAGCCAGCGATATTGTGCAATATGGCGCTGGCTGGCTCCATATTATGGGACTACTTCTCCGTACAAAGATTCCACACATGACAGGTGCCAGGGCTTCATATTACTCTCGTAGAGCCATGAGAGAAAGGTAATCGTTGAACATCCACGCCAATTTCCTTATACCAATGATAGGATATTATTTTATCCGGATAATTGTTAACACGACTCAAAGAAATGTAGGACCCACAGGTACTTTTTTGAGTTTTCAAAAGCCGAACTCGAATGACTAGCGCTCAGCCTCACTCACCATCAATTCACGGAGACGCCGCCACCGACCCGCATCTCTGGGTCATAGTTGGATCTAGTGAGAAGGGGCTCCATCATAGCCGCTGACCAGAATATCAGCCGTTCCGGGGGCAAAAAGCAAAACTTCAGGGTCTTGGATTACTCGACAAAGACCTGACATGTGAAGCCCGCCCATCTCCGCGCGTAATCACGCAGAGGTGCTACGGTCCGATCTCAATCGGCCCGCAGTTCATTATCCACGGGCAGGAGAAAGTGTCTTGGATCGGCCGGATGAGTCGGGAGAGGCATCTTGACCGGAAGAAAGAGTGAGTTTCCTGCCCAGAAAATGAAACACTGATATACTTCGTAGTGCGGCGGTGCCCGGAAATGATTCCCCAAGACAGATGAGCTTGACCCAAGCCCTTGACCACGAATAACTTTATTGGATAGCAATGAGCTGGGTCTCCTCTTCTTTTCCACTTACTATGACCCAATGAAATTACTGTCCCATTACTGCCCCGACAGTCAAGGATAGAGAACATGTATGACTAGTGATTTATTATTGACAAGTTTACGTTAAAGTTGGTCCAGAGAGACAATAAATGCCTGGCATGGGCAGATTGCCTCATCCAGGAACCAGCGATCAAAGCCAGACACAGGGCTATTGTTTACGAGATCCACTTTAGTTTTCTCGGGCTGGGCGGACGTACAGAACACAGGTTCGTTCCTGACCCAAAGAAAAGCTATGAACTCCGTCGATAGTACTCCGTAAAATCTGCGAAAATGAGTGAAAAAGTGGATCGACCCGTGATTAGGATCGAATACGGAGTACAGAGTACAGACTACGGAGTAGGCGGGAGCCATTCAGACGCGGTTATCGGAAATGAGCCCAGCTGAGCAGGACGAAGGGGGCCTGAAAGTCAATCGAAGAACCCGTGCCCTCATTGCGGGCGCCTTTTCGCACGGATGATGTCGTTCTCCATCCGTCGAAGAGGTCTGGATATTCGGAGTGGGGCTAAGATTGGGATTGTCGGGCTAGTTCATTGAGAAATCGATTTAGCGGCTACGGGGAATTTCCGGAGTGTCCCCGGGGGTCGTGAACCGCGCGAAAAGGCATGGAATCTTCCATGCACGTGGACTGTGTCCGTGAAGGCAAGATGCATCGATGGTCAGAGAAAACGTTTGGAGGTTATACGACCCTGCATTATGGCTTGCCGGGTATCCTTCCCCGTACCTCTAGAGGGTGGATGTCTGCTAAGACTATTGAACGATAATGTCAACCAATCAAAACTCTGTTTATAGTGTACCATCACCGCCAGCCATGATGCAGGTGGCTTCCCCCGAAGCTTCGGGCAAATGAGCCATAGGACTGCCGGGCAGGTGGCCTTCGGGGGCATCTATGGTGCTGCAAGTGGGAGTGGGCGAAATACGATCTGGAAAACAAGATCAAATAATGATTAGGGGAAAGGAGGAAGTTTGGTTAGATACTTAGCCCACCAAGGCGAATGGGGTTATCGTGCTGACCATTTCCGAGACAACCTCAGGGATTCGCCACGGATTTTCAGGGCCTTCTGGGGCAAGTACGGAGTACAGGGACTTTTTCTAGGCGCTGTGGGTGTTGGGAGGTCCCTGAATGCTGAGCTGGGGTGGGCCGCGGTGGAGTCACGAGGGCCCACGTGTGCGCCCATTGGTGCGGACGCGGTTCCCCTGGCTCTTTTCGGCGTGTTGGCATCAACCTTAACCACTCAACCACCGTCTCTTGCTCGGCATTTCATTGCCCCCAGTGGACGCCACCAAGCGACGATCTCTTCATGTCCCTCCCTGACTTCTTGTCTCAGAACTTTGAAAATATAGTACACCGAATACTTGATGATGACGCCTATCGATTGTACATCCCGATGTATCCCGCTAATGAGGCCTGTGAAAACCAACAGAGGAGCCCGGTTGCTCCCCACCTCGCAGCCAATTATCACAAAGTCATACCCGACAATTGACTCAAAATTGTGTTATTTATTTATTGCCGGACGGGCGGAGCTCCCACGATGGCGCCGCGAGTCTGGCCCAAGCTCGAGATCGGCGGCACCATCGACTGCTGGGACGGAGATATTCGGCGGTGCTAGGCCCATATAAGCTCGCGCTAGCCAGCCATACCGCACGATCGAATGATGATAAACCTTAAACAACATCCACCTTGAGGATATATCTGCAGATCATAATTTGCATGCTTGCATCGCCTTCAGTATGGAGCGGGCATCCGATGATCTCTAGCTCGATGATCCCAAAGCAGTGATGCGTGCCATCCGACGATGCAGTGATTAGGTTTCGATGATTTTCCGCCGATACTATTCTTTACTGAGATTCATGGTGGCAGGGCTGGTATCGCAGTTCCCGTTTATACCCACATATGCCCATCCCATGAGGAATGCAGATTCCAGGAAGAGATAGCACCATATCCCTTCTGCCTATCCCTATCTGTCATGAGAGCTTTTCATGGAAAGACCCTGGGCCTAGAGAGCCCACAAAGACTCCATTCTGGGCATTCCAGGACCCTCCCAGCAAACCGGATTAGGCTTGACACGCTGGAGTTCCACTCGTAGCTTCAAAAAAGTGAGAAGCCGACTAGCCGTAATATTACTTGTTCGACTCCCTTGATACGGAGCCGACCCGCCGGGGCAGATTGGCAGATGGGTCTATTGGTCAGCACTTGCTAGATGTTGCAATATGGAGAGACAAAAGTCAGTCATCAGGGAAAGTTGGATGATGGTGAGAAGGGTGCTTGGCCTCAGTATAAAGCCAGTACCAGCTGCACTCCGTAAACCTTCTTCTTTCCACACCTCAGTCATTCCCTCACTACTCCCTTGGATCATTCCGACTCCAGTCATTCTTTTAAAATATCCAACATCTTGATACCATCACAATGAAGGTTTCCTTTGCTACTCTCCTCACCATCGCGGCTTACGCCTCCGCCGCCCCCGCTGGCCTGCCTGTCCTGTCCAACCTGTCCGGCCTGTCCGGTCTCTCTGGTCTGACTGACCTGACCAGCATCCTGGGTCTTGATGGCATTTCCAACACCCTCAACCTGGGTGACATCACCAAGGAGCTCGACCTGAGCAACCTGCCCGTTGTCTCCAAGCTGGCTGACCTCACTTCCCTGCTGAACCTGGGCTCCTCCTCCACCGGCAAGAGCGGCAACACCCCCATTGCCCAGAACGGCCACCTTGTCCAGAACCTGGGCCCCGAGCTCAACAATGTTCTGACCATCACCGGCCCCAACGTCCAGACCCTGCTCCTCGAGCTGTCCCCTGAGGTCACTGCCCTCGTCTCTGGTCTGGGCCTCCCTGGTCTTGGTGTCCCTCTCGGCTCCATCGTTGCCTCTGCTTCCTCCCTAGGTGACCTTGTCACTGGCCTCGGCCCTCACGTTGACGGCCTTGTCACTGTTGTTGGCGCTGATGTCGGTGCCCTCCTGGTTTCCCTCTCCCCCGAGGTCGCTGGCCTCGTTTCCGGCCTTGGTCTCCCCACCGTGGGTGTCCCGGTCGGCACTATCGTTGCTACTCTCGGTACCTCCCTCAAGCGCGACAACGTCCCCGCCGCCGGTGAGATCGTCCAGGACCTTGCCCCCGAGGTCAAGAACATCCTGACTGTCACTGGCCCCAACGCCAAGCAGCTCCTGATCAAGCTTTCTCCTGAGGTTGCCGCTCTCGTTGACGGCCTCGGTCTGACCTCCATCGGTGGCTCCGTTGGCTCCGTTATCAAGACTGCTGGCAACGTTGGCGACCTCCTCACCGACATCTCCACCCCCGTTGAGCAGCTCCTGATCGTCACTGGCGATGACTCCTCCAAGCTCCTGATCCAGCTTTCTCCTGAGGTCGCCGCTCTTGTCACTGGTCTCGGCCTCCCCTCTGTCGGTGTCCCCGTCGGTGCCGTTGTTGCCACCCTTGGCAAGAACCTGTAATTTAGATAAGCAACCTTTTTTTCTGCTTGTCTAAATCAGGAGGCCTTCGTTTACGCAGCAATGGATAGCGTTTGGGAGCCTTGTGTGAATACCCCCCACAACAATTCTTGTGCATATATTGGGTTTATTGTATGAATTTCTAATGACAGAAGTGACTGTCTTCCTGTCTTCCACAATTACTTTTTTTTCCCCGTTCAGTCAATGACATTACATATTTAATGCTAGAGATCTCATGCTCTACAGCATCACTTGAATACTCATCTATTTGTACATTATTCGATGATCACATGTAACCGATATTAAGTCCACTGCCTTATTGACATCAACGAAGTTTATGCTATAAAGTAGGTAATCCATTAGGTTGGTTGATTCGCCTCGCTTTGTGCTAATGTGGTGTGCCCACCACTGATCGTGCCGCGCCTTTCCAGCCTTGTTTCTAATGCAATATGCAGCATCGGTAGCCAATAGACTGGATAAATCTGAACAATCCCGCGACCGAGCTGCAGCGTGACGTCTCGCACAAATGAATAAAAAACCCCGCCTATGTGCATGCTATTTAAGGACCTTGACTACTCATCGGTCCTACCGCACAACACTGTATATGTCCCCTGTGTAGCTCTAGGGCCCACGAAACATACGAATCATACAAATTCACATACGGATCGAATATTCTCCCCTCCCAAAGCCTATATATCAGAATGGCAGCCTCCGCAAACGTGATTGTATTTGGTGCAGCTGGCGATATTGGCTCTGCGACGGCCCTGGCGGCCTACCAACAAGGGGCAAAAGTGACTCTGGCCATGCGCGATACCTCAAAAACTATCCCGAGACTCAAAGGCATTGTTGCGGAGCGAGTCCAGGCGGACCTTACAAAGCCTGAGACCATCGACACCGCCGTTCGACAGAGTGGGGCCAAAGCTGCCTTTATCTATGCTTGCACAGGAAACTCCGAAAGTAATGGTCTGTATGATAGCATCATGGCGCTAAAGGAAGCGGGAATCGAGTCCGTTGTGCTGCTGAGCAGCTACACAGTGGGTGATAGCCCGCAAAATCGAACACCAGATGAATACGCCGCGTGGTTTCCTGCGCAAGTTGAGATCTCGCTGGAAAAGGTGTTTGGCAAAGATCACTATGCAGCTGTCCGACCGGCCTACTTTGCTAGCAATATTCTCTGGCTGAGAGAGGGCATCCTGATGGGAGAAGTGCACCATCCCAATCCTGGTGGGGAACACGATTGGATCGCGCCGGAGGACATTGGTCAAGTGTGCGGGATGATCCTGTCTCATGGCATCAAGGAGAACCCTGTTCTGATGTTGGGAGCCGAGCCAATGACATTCCAGGACGCCATCGCCGTTGTCTCGAGGGTCCTGGGCAAAGATGTCAAGGTGACCCAAATTTCTCGAGAGAGCGCGTTGGAGAATATGAAAGTTGGGGCTGAAGAGATCTTTGCGAACTGGTATATCAAGTACATAACGGACGACGCAGGGTATGAGTTCCGACACCCGGCCGCGGCGAAAGCTGCAGGGACTGTGTTGAAATATACTGGCAAGAATCCACGGTCGTTCCAACAATGGATGGAGGAAAACAAGACGAAATTTTAGGTTTGCATATACCAGCTCATTGTCATATTTCTACTGAAGGGCCCACGTCAGCAGCATTGCCTCCCAGAGAAAGAAATCTTGGGGTTTCCTGAAGTATACTTGGCTGGCGCTCACCGGAAGCCTTGATTCTACTTGACAAAAAGTTCTACACATCATGAAATGGAGCAAGTTTTCTTCAATAATTGAGCAATAATCAATACATCTAGATTCGAAATCCATGCTAGATTTTACGCCGAAGAATCACTGTGGAAACCCTAAGTTGAAACACCCTTTGTTGAATGCAGTAGTATACACACAAGGGCGATTTCCCCAATTCTACCAAGTATGATTCTTAAAAGGATAAATATACAAGCCGAGTAGCACAGCAGAGGACAGACAGATCTTTTTTATAAATGATCACTAATTGAAATCAACGGTGACAGCAATGCAGTGCACCATAGATAAAAAACACATATTGATCATGTTTGGACAGCCAAAGTCTAAGCTTTCCTTCAACAGACTGTTCGAATAGGACACTTCGTCAGTATGGGTAGGACCGAAGATTTGTCGCTTCTTGGAAACACAGGTGCTAAGCAGATGTATCGCTTCAGAATGCCGACCGGTAGATGCCAAAGTGAGCGCCAGGTTCGTCGTGATCTTTAGTGCGTCTTGATGGTCGGCACGAGCTTCATCATCTTGCGAGTCTCCATAAACTGAATGCCGAGCTGCTCTGCCTCCTGCCACTGTTCTGCCTCTCGATAGATTACTGCTTAAGTTAATTGCTATCAAGCGTTTCGTCGTTCTCGCTCCCAGTAATCTTCAACCGGCACTCTCTTGACCTTGATACCATTTCCCTTGCTTCCATGATATGCAAAATGTCTCCGGAATACCACGCGCCTCTCAAAAGCCCAGTAGCCCACTGTTGTTCGGATTTTTGGGATTTAGGTCCCTGTAATAACGCTGATTTGACTTGTGGAAAAAGGGACTAAAAGACTTCCCACTTTGCGAATTTACCAGTCGGAAGTTCGGAGTAAAAATTGTGTATGGATTGCCTCTTCCATTTCTCGAGTTAGCCATGAATTCTCCAGCCTTGTGTGTATCGTGAGCTGTACTAGCCGATGTATTGCGACAATCGTAGTGTTCTTCCAGATCAAAATCATTAGATGGTTGCGTAGTATGGTAATATCATAGTTGAATATCTCATCGACGGCAAGTTCAGATGAGGTATCTCCTCCATCCTCACAGGATCTACCTTGGTCCCTTCTCAGGTATGACTTGTTATCTTCCTGGCTCTCTTAAGCTTGAAGAATGTTTCCTTTTCTTTCAGAAGCTCAACAATTCTTCCAGAAGCTTCACAATATCGTGCAATAGGTAAGATCACCACCGCATTGCATCGAGATTTTCCAAACTATTAGTGATAAACTTTTTCATAGATGATATCCAAAAAGACTTTCTACAGTAGCTTTGAGCTGTGAATTCCTATTTACAAAATTATTGGATGAAAATCAAGATACTAAATGATCAATAGGGCCATGAGAAGAATTACATTCCCGCGGAAAAATGTCGACAAATACAACCCCCTCCTCCGGGCGCGTCTTCCAAAAAAGTCATTTAGATGCTTAGAAGCCTTACCCCATCAAATTCAGAGATACACGGGAGTCACTATATGAGCAGATCATAGCCACATCGGGGCATGCAAAGCGGAAGGTCCCATGGGTTTTTCTGGGTGATATTGATAGGCACAGAAATTCCTTCTTTATCGCGTAGAGGATTAAAAATATTTCTACGGTGATTATGGGTTGGTCTGTAAAGGGCTATGATTGGAAAAAACCCAACCATCCTGCTAACTCGAGCTTCAGGTTGACAGGTCATATAACTAAGAATAGTATGGAACGGAGCGTTTTTTTGCTAAATAGACGAAGAGCGCCAATAGCCTCCCACTTCATGCCCAACCCATGCCGCATATAACTGCCGGTATCTCGGTAATTTCCCGATCTCTATACCGTTGAGGAAGTCTTCCTCTTTAAGCCTCATCGGAGTTTGCCAATGAGCCCTGGGACCAGTCCGACGGGTCGGATGCCTTGCAGATCTCCCGGCTAAAACACGTGGCGGCAGTCCAGGTGCAAGATGATAGCTCATGCGTAAGATCGTAGCTTGAGCAGTATTCGAAAATGAATAGGAAGTATTCAAGGGAATCAGGTGCTTACTTCCTCTGCTTATCAGAACCGCGTGGCCATGCAGCCTGCTGCCAGCTGGATCGGGGACCAAAAAGGCATACTCCACCTACCATTTATAGACATTCGACGCGAAGCTGCATAAAAACATCTCCTATGGATTCCAATTAAACGCGATTGGGAACGGGGGTGCAGAATCGAGGCCCACTTAGACATGGTCTCTCGGTCCGTATCAGCCAAGTAACCGTGCGCCCGAATCTGTCTGATAATAACCAAAGCTCGTATTCATGCAAAGTAACGTCGGATTACGAGAAATGGCAAGTTTTTTATTGCTTATTGTTAATGCTTTTGGCCCCATCAAGAACAGGTGTTCTCCATTTTCTTGTTTCGATCAGTCGATTCATTCGATCCCAGATCGAGATTGCATCGTTCCTGAATTTTCCATGCTCCTTTCCCCCCTTGGCGACTGTCCGCTTTCCTGCCAGGTACGTTTCCACCAGGGATAAAATTTCCGTTGCCATAGTTCTATTAATTTAATGCGAATTACATCCGGTGAGGTGAGCAAACTATTTGCTCCCTCTTAATTCTCCACTTTCTCAAAACCGACGATAACTACATCCGCTCCCAATCTCGGTTTCTATTTCTGAGCTTCCGTATTCTGGAATGACAGTTGTGCTCAACACTGGCCTGCCTAGAATTGGATGACGAACCCGCCCCCAACCCCCCAGTGGGGCCCCATTTTCAACAGGTTATACTTTCAGCTTGGTCTGCCGATATTGCGGTCAGCCGGAAGGCCATTCGCGCCCCGTTCGGTGCTTTTTCCTAGCACAGACTCTGTGGCTATGGTGGATGATTCTGCTCCTACGGCATACACAGCCGGTGGAACACGATGGCACGCGTAAATTCCTAATCACTGACTGAGTCAAGTAGCTCCCCGATCCAAAGGTCATGTATATAAGGTCTCAGGGACATCTCGGTGCCCGGTAAACAATCGTGTCGAGTAACCCCGGTCGACCCACCGTTCTGGCACTCCTGCAAGGTTGATCGCCAAGACAAACATCGCAATGAAGGCTTCCATGCTGTCTTTATGGTGTTACTTTGGGCTCCTCTGGACTCTCGCAGCGAGTGCCAGTATCCCCCGATACTTCGAGAAACACTTGACCACCCGTCGTCACTTGACTAGTGCACAGGTCCAAGAAGAACTCGGCACCCTTGTCTCCAAAACAGCCACCATCTTCGGGCCGAATGATAGTCGTTTCCCCAATATTACTTCTAGATGGCAGGACACTTTTAAGCCACACATTCAAGTCGTCATCGAACCTGGAACCGAATCCGATGTTGCAACAATCGTAAGATCTACGACAAGCTATCTCTCCAAAAAGATCAATTCTTTGTACTGACTGTGATTCCTAAGGTCAAATACTGCAATGAGAATAGTATAGAATTTCTGGCCCTCAATGGTGGTCACGGCCTGGCAGCAAGTCTTCGTTCATTCAATGGTATTCAAGTAAGTATGTGGCAGCTCAACAGCATCACCATCCAACCTAGTGGGAAGTCAGCCTGGTTCGGAGGCGGCACCATTGTGGGTCCAGTCATCGAATATCTTTGGGACAAGGGCTATGTCACCACCACTGGCGGGTGTGAGTGCGTTGGGATGCTAGGCGCCGGTCTTGGGGGTGGTCACGGTCGATTTGAAGGCTTGTACGGCTTGATTACCGACAACATCCTGCAGCTTAACGTTGTATTGGGCGATGGGTCTCGCATTCGTGTCAACTCAACGAGCCACAGTGATCTTCTCTGGGGCATGAAAGGAGCCGGTCACAATTTTGGCATCGTGACGAGTTACGAGATGAATATCTATCCCCGGGGTCCCGAGACCTGGCACTACCACAACTACGTCTGGCGTGGCGAACATTTGGAGCGTGTTTTCAATGCTCTCAATCAGTTTCATGGCGACGGCACGACTCCCGTCAATATGGCCTTTGAAGTCGGAAGTTTCACCATGAACACCACTATAAGCAGCGATGAACCTGTTCTCTTTTGGACTTTTACCTATCGCGGTGATGCCGAGGAGGCAGAGAAACTTCTCGCTCCCTTCAACGCTATAGAGTCAGTCTTCGATGTAGTTGGTGACGTGCCTTACCCGAAGATTGCCGCTGCGCAGGGCACCGGCATGTACGACCCCATCTGTGAGCATGGAAAGTTGCACGCGACATCGACAGCATTTCTGCGGGTCTACAACCTGACGGCCGAGCGCCTCATCTATGAGGGCTTCAAAAAGCGCGCGGTCCAAGACGCAGAGCTCGCAGCCGGCGCGACCATCATGCACGAGGGCTACGCGACGGAGGGAGTCGAGGCCGTGCCGTCTGCGAGCACAGCCTACCCCTTTCGCGCGTACCGGCACCTAATGCTCTTCGACACCGTCACGGCGCAAGGTGATACTGCCCGCGAGAAAGCAGCCTGGGCCTGGGCCGCCGAGGTTCGCGACCAGTGGAACGCCGGCCAGCCGGACCTCCCCGTCAACGCCTATGTCAACTATGCTATGGGCTTGGAGACCCTGGAGCAGCGGTACGGCCATGAGAAATGGCGACTTGACAGGTTGCGGGGCCTCAAGGCTCGGTATGACCCCCAGAATCGCTTCCGCTTCTATAACCCCATCGTTATTAAATAAAGTCGGAAAAAGCGTGACCTATTCTATTCTTCTTAAAACGGGACGGCAGTTTCAGTCCTGTGGCATACGGTTGTGATCATAGATTATCAAATCTCAATTTACTATATTATTAGCTACCAATCAGCCGGCTAGTCAGCGACGATGCCAAGAACCTGAAAACATGTTCTTCAAACTAGAAGATTGGCTTTCAACGACTAGAGACCCAAGTTAGTTCCTGAGTCTTACAGGATAGTCCATGTGTCTTATTAAGGGAAGCAGTTCGGTGCAACTTCGCCGTATCCGTTACAGAGTACTTGAGTCTAGTCCTGACTCTGCTGTCAATTATCGCGGATTCCGAGGTAGGGTGTCCATTCCAGGTCTCATGCGGAGGTTGCGCGGCTCTTCGTCTAATTTAGTTTTCGGGGGTGTCCGAATCTGCAGCTACGTATGCTGGAGAATTGCGTTCATGTGGCCCAACATGTCAAGAAGGAAGACTGCATAATACGGGCGAGACCCACATATCTCCATGTGCGTCAGGATATTACAGGGATACTCGATTTGCTACGTGTTTTGTATGGTATCCCGGGTATACTCGGAACCTAGCGCCGTAACACGCTAGACAGCGAGGTAGGGGATATTCGACATTCCCCCGCCCACACACTTAAGATAGTTCGGTCACCCAATACATCACTATATTGAGCATCTCGTTCCATTGGATCCTAGCTTTCCTAGCCGATACCGTATCCTACTATATTGACACAACATCCTAGCACTGCCACGACTGTATCAGCAGAAGGCGAATACGACGAATACCAATATTGTATTACATTTACAGAGCGCGCAGAGTGCGGCTCGGCGGAGTATCAACCTTCTGCTGATCAGCGTAACTGTGCTTGTCGCTGTTTGTCTTATCTCCACGTGTCCAACCTGCATATACGGATGTGGCAGAGCACTGCAGGTCAAATTTCGCTTTGAAGAAGTATCGCCTAGTACCCGTATATCAAATCCCCATTATCGCAATCCCGGTTGCACCCGCCCGGGATTAGCGACCCTCTAGAAGGGCGGGTGGGGGGCAGAACAAGTGTTCATAGTTTTGCATTAGTATTGGGGAACTTTTCAATGTAAGGACCTAGTTTCGTGACGATTAATGTCTTCTAGCATGGCGGGTGGCCTTGCTTTCATGCATGAAGCAACCAAGCATCTCAGCTCCGGGCCGCCGTGGTAGGCGATATTGTTTTACAAATAGGTTGGCCATCTGGCCTACCAAAATCATCTCCTCGTTTCTATGCAGGTAAGACGGGACAAGGCCCGGAAGGCAACTTGAAATCTTAGGATAGCCTGCCAAGCTAATGCTGTATGCCCCTCCATGCATGTATCCCCTCGTCTGTTGCGCTCGGAAATACCCCACCAAGAAAATGTCTATGAACTAGTCTTTAGCCGATAAAGATGTTATAATAGAGATAAACGCCATGATAGCTCTGGTCTTAAGGCTTCACTCCTACCACGAGAGCCCTTTTCCCTTCTGATTCTCCCGCCATTGGCTCTCCTGGGCATTTCATATACTACCACTTGTCTTTTTCATTAGCGACCTGAAAATCCCCGAATCTTCCCATTTCTCATAGCCCGGAAGGTCTCTCTGACTCTGCCGCCATGGAAGCAGTCAAAGGGTACAACAAGCCAACCCATGGCGTATTTCGTTTCATTCCAGACGCATGGGTTCCCTACGCCGAACTCATGCGTCTCGATCGCCAGTCCGGCTTCTGGGCTTTCTATTGGCACTACCTGATAGGACTTGGGTTTGCCATCAACATCCCCCCATTCTCCAGTGACCTTGACTTAAAAGACATTGTGCACCTCGCCGCGCACTTGGGGCTATGGACTACCGTCTTCCGTGGCATCACCTGCACATGGAACGACAATCTAGATCAGGACTTCGATCGGCAGGTCGCTCGCTGCCGAGTGCGCCCCATACCACGAGGCGCTGTCTCGACAATGCAGGCGCATTTCTTTACCGCAGTACAGATTGCCGTTGGAGCCTGCATCTTGTATCCATTCGGCGAGTCGACGCTGGTCCACGCCGCCGTAGATGGCATCCTCCTCTTCATCTATCCCTTCCTGAAGCGCTGCACAAACTACCCCCAAGTTGAGCTGGGATTCGGACTGTCTTATGCGATATTTTTAGTGACTGCAATGGTCGGAAAGGATCCGCTGGCACCTCTGTTGGACTCCTCGTTGGATTTCTCGGCTCGCGTGTCCAAGGTTGTTGAAGCGCCGCTGGCCCAGTCAGCGGCATGCCTATACGTTGCTGGTATCATCTGGACTGTCATTTTTGACACCATTTACGCTCACCAGGATTATCTTGATGACCTGAAAGCTGGCGTGAAAGGACTCGCCGTACGCCTCGGAAGAAAAGGAACGAAGCCAGCCTGCTACATAGCGACTGCCGTTCAGGTCTACTTCCTCGTGTTGGCTGGCCAATTGGCAGATTTCGGCATGTCATACTACGCTATATCATGCGGTGGAACGGCGCTCCTGTTGGCAAGGATGATCTGGGTTGTTGATTTGGAAGATGGCGATAGCTGCGCTTGGGCGTTCGGGCCTGGAAGCGGCTACGTCGGCACCGCTATCTCCGTTGGGTTTTTGGCCGACTTTCTTGCAAAGAAGTACGGATTCTGACCGATTTTGTCAGGTCAAGTAGTTGATTGTGGGGCTTGAATTAAAGAGAGGTAGGAAGTATGAAGCAAAAAATTTGACATCTGCTTCAATCGATTGATTGAGAAGGGAGAGAGAACGTAAAGGCGTTCTGACAAAGCTGGAATCATTACCAATTCGGTTGAAATGAGATACAAAATACAGAGGATGACCAATACACCATATTAAGTACTTGGAATCTTTTTTATTTAGACAAAGGAGGAGGTATTTGTTTACCTCGACTCCCTAGTGGCCTGGATTGGCCTCCCAAGTCTAGATATCACCAATGAACGAGACATTATACTGGAGGCAATATGAAGATACCAATTATATAAATACAAATCAATAAGCATGCGGGTGACAGATACTTGAATGAATCCTAACACCATCCGCGGAGCATGGAGATATACAATCTGTAAACATACGAGGAAAACCGTTCTTCTCCGTTGAGAAAATTGCGATTTCTCTACAGGAAGACCAATGCGCTTCTATGCGCTTCTGCTTTCCTTGTAAGGATGGTTTATTGAATGCCTTGCAAATAGAAAATAGGAACAGATTACCACCATTGTGTTTCAGTATCAGCAAATCAGTCAAAGCTAGCGCTGACCCTACCTCTTCTCTTTTGTGCCCCTATATTCATGAAAGCCCCGGACTCCAAATATGTGGTATCATAGCCGATACGGATAGTAGACCGCGATGGATCAAGCCAGTCATTCTCATCTTCAAGGGCCGTTTGAATCCACTCCGGGTCCGACGCAAGATTTTTCATGCTCTCCAAGTCATAAACCCAATACTCCAATGCGACATCGCAGTCATTCACCTTCCAACCCGGCCACACTTGATCCACCTCAGCCTGGAAGGCGGCACCGACTTTGGTATCTGTCTTTTGCTAACCATCCCATGATGTCAGTAAGCCCTTCTGGTCAAGATAGTTGAATTCTCATCACTTACTACTGCATATTTCAAGATATTATGCTTCTTCATGATAGGTACCGCCCGGGGCAGATATTGGTTAGTGAACCAATGCATAAAAGCTTCCTCAGATACGCCATCTTTGCGGTGATGCTCCACTGTATACTTGATAGCACCGCCCGTGGCTTTTCTTGGAGAATCAGAGGTCATGCCGTGCAGGGTCATTTTGACTGTATTTGATTTGAAAAGTAAGCCTTCTTTCTCACCCGACTGTAGTTATGTGCGGTGATCGAGCGGGAGCATGGAATTGTAATCACAGATTAAGCAGTGGACAGGGCGAGCTGACGGGAACAGAGACGACAGTGGACCAAGAAAGAGCGCGATTAATTTGTTGGGAAAGCTCCTTTTCTAAAAGGTGCAGAGGCAGGCAAGTTGCATATAGCCACACTGATAGCTGTCAGCTGAGATGCAGCTTACATTTTTTTGGGGTCCATAGAATCAAAATGGACATGGCACTGCGCCTCACAAAGCCGCAGTCTGAGACGTTCCACTGTTACAGAGGGGAGGGGGAGGGTGGGGGACTTTTTCGTGTTTATTGTTGCATAGGTTATCGGGACAAAGACATAGTACGAATGATGGCTTGTTTCCGATCATCCTAATTAGGTGTGCTGTTCGAGGTACGGGTCCTCGTTGTATGTACCGTAACAGTACGGAAATACGGTACACCTTGTACACGAGTTCCATCAAAGCCCCACTTTCCGGATCCCCAGATCATTTACTCCCGCCCCTCCCGCCCACCGTGATAGTGGACACTCCTGTCTCAATTCTTGGTCGAGCAGCCAGTTCACACTTGTGTGGTTACTGGTTGTCTGACGATTCATTCCATCCAATGTCTGAGAAGTCTACCTGAGGCCATTGTACTCCACACGCTGCATGTCTGAGGTCAAGGCAGATTGGAGGCAACTTCCCAGATAGGCATGTCTGTATACGTGCAAGCTTGCATGAAACGCAAATGCCGAGCCTCGTAGCCGATTACCATGAATCCGACCAAGTTCCAATTTTACTCAATTTTCATGTGATTCTGCGGCCGGTATTCCTTTAGTAATCATCTGACATATGATCATCGGATAGTCGTCGCTTGCGCATCTCTTGTGTATAGGCTGTTGATTGTACCAACTGATCTTTCTACCAACCCATGTCGGCTTCTTCTTCAAGTTGCCTCCCTCATTGACAACTCATCAAAATCCCAAACACTAAACTTGAAACCCCCAATATTTGACGACTTTCCTCAAAATGACCATTTACGCGATCACCGGGGTGTTCAGTTCATCTCGCAACTTGGCAACAAGAAAGCGACTATAGATTTGGTGTCACTGGGCAGCTAACTTGTTCCTGATTTGCCTTTCTTTTTTGCTACTAGGCTTTAATTTCTGTGATTTCAGAAGTTCCAGTATATTTCAAATGCCCTCTGTTTCCCCAGAATGAGATCACATCAGTAATTCACAACTCAGACTCTTCGTAGTAGTCCGGCTCTATTAAACGCGAAATTGGTGATGTATGTCGAGCACATGGATCTGCGTACACTTAACAAGATATAAAGGTCATTATGTTGGTCACCCTCGTACTGTGGCATGGTACTATGCCTCATGAGCGCAGCTCCCCGAGGCGTGATCCATCTATTGTATGCGATGTCGTCGAGATGAAAATGTGAGAGTCACACTGTCGCAATTTCAAACCATCAGCTTATCGAAGTATGGATAATTACCCCTGTCGAAGTGCAGCACCCAGCAGCAAAAGCAGTTACCACTGTCTGAGTCATCATGAAAGCGGGGCGGGTGTCCTAAGTAGACGCAGGCGCGATCCCACAGATACTAATGTATACATAGAGCAATGTCTTAAACTGAAGGATGATTCCGAGTCATTCGAGACTGTGATCAGCGGCGAGATTTACCTCCGAATACGGCTGTCGTCGAGCGTCGTGGCTCAGGCCTCCTTGGACCGTACGCCTCAGCCGCGTCATCAGGAGATCAAGTTATCTCCGTACGCCAGTCCCGCGGATCGTCCAGGAACACGAGCTCATACAGAGTTTGCCTTCCGAAGCCAGATTCTGAGTCTGTTTCTTGGGCGTCTTGGCAATCTAACCCAGAACAGAATATGCCCGACATGGAGAGGGGTAACAGGAGCTGGAAACTTGAGCCCCTCACCTGCAAGATAAGGGAGAAAGCAGACGGTGGTAGGGGTTACCTAATCGTCAACAAATCAGCAGGACCCATCATGTTTTAAAAAGAGCCCTTTTTGAGGAAACGACGTTGCACTACATGATACGAGACCGCCATGTGTGTATGCGGATATACTTCAAGTTTATTTGCTCATATGTCCATACGTAAATCATCAAGCTGAGAACACCAGGCCTCAACCACCAAGTCTTCTAATGGCCTATCCAATTGACCACAGCATCCTACAAAAGATCTTCTGTATTCCTCTTGATGCTTTCCTCCAAACTCGTCCATCCGTCCTGGCCCATGGCCCGCAATAGAGCCTCGGCTCGTTGGCGTGGCACAATCTCGCTCAAATCCTTCTCAGCCCGAAAGTCGGCGGGAAAGCTGCGGCTCGGATAGAGCTTACGAAGAATGGCCAGAACACCGTCCGCATTCACCGGCTCGGCGAAGGCAAAAACACGCTCAGAGTGGACATCGGGGTGAATGGCGGCGGCAACATGGAGCAAGGCGGTATCTTGCACATCAATAAAGTACTCTGAGAACCAGATCGGTGGCTGTTAGTCTCTCTTTCTTCTTTAGTGATTTACAAACGTGGGGACCTACGTGGTGTAATGCCGCCCAGAAAGTTGTGATTTCCCTTGAAGAGCTCGGAAACGAATGCGGAGGTGGAGGGGTGACCTTGGTTGGCGACATCGAGGCTTGCGCCGAAATTGATATTGGGCAGAACGGCGTTCAGAGTAAAACCGGGCTTTTTCTCATCCATGAATTTCCAAGCTTCTCTTTCCGACAAAGTCTTACTGGCAGCATAAACAGGCAACGCGCGCTCCGGCTCATAGGGTGGGTCGGCATATGCCGCCTCCACAGCTTCGTCGTTCCATGTATCGGCGGTCACCTTTACATGGTTGTTAGGCTCGGGGATCAGGACGGCATTGGAAGAAGACGTGAGGACGAAGCGCTTTACGCTTGGCTCCTGAGCGGCTGCCTCCAGCGCATTGATAGTTCCTGCGATGGTTCCAGGGATCACGTTGTGAGGATTTGGGTCCAGGGAAAATATCGTTGCTGAATGGACAACTACCGAGACACCCTTGACAGCTTCGATAAAAGCACCTGAGGCCCCCATATCCGCCACAGCTACCAACTCGAAATTACCTGAACCATACTTTTGGTTGAATAGCGTAGAAACCCAAGCATTCTTTTCAAGGCTACGGGTAGTCCCTCGTACCTTATAGCCGAACTTTAGAAATTGGTCTGCGATGTTGGATGCAATAAAGCCATTAACCCCTGTAATGAGCACCGTTGAGCCTTGGGGAACGGCATATTGTTCGATTGAAAGTGACATGATGTTGATTAGTGGTAGGGTAACATGTAAGTGAAGCGCAGATAAAGGAGATGCAAATGCAAGAAGTAGGAGGTAGATTAGTTAAATATAAGTAGTGGTTGTACCTGAGCATTCAGGGAGGGGAGTGTACCCCGCTCCCGTGGGCCCCGAAGGAAATGGAAATAAGTACTCATCTGCAGTGCGCAATTTTGCTTGAGTCACACAGAGTACACAGAGTCTGTCTGTCCTTTGGATTCTCTGTCCTATACTTCCGCCATGCAGGCTGCCATCCCTGGTATTTCTACTCGTTTCTTTTGAATCATCGTCTGTCTACCTCACCATACGCAATATGAATAGCAACTCGCGAAATAGACTAATTTGTCGCGTCTATCTCCGATATGCAGGACGGTGCATTAGCCTGCCTTTGGGACCTTTGCCCCCATCCAAGTCGGAGAGACGCCATGGGATTAGATATTAGTAGATCAGAGTTCATAGGTACTTGAGCACACAAAGTCCTATTTCGAGTACAGGCATTGAAACCTCCTAATGGTCACATTACATCTTGTAGTCCTGCATAGAAATGAAAATATTCGACACGCGTCCTAAGGTCCCAATCTATAATTTGATCGTGGGCATTATTTTTCACGTAGAAATTACACCTGGAACACTTATAACCCATAGTTTCTGGGAAGGGATGGGGTCCTACTCGGTATGACCCATCCCAGGATGCTTCAATTCGACATCATTTATGAAGACTATGTTCATGACAACTGACTGAATGCTTCATGAATTTCTGGTGTATTCGGGGTACGACTTCTCATACCTGGAAACCGCGAAGGGTTAGCGAGTTCAAGGATCCATAAAAAGGTTGACGTCAGAGAATCATGTAGTTGACTGGATTCTTACCCTAACACACTCTCTGCAAACCAGGCAAGCCCACGGTGCACTGGAATAAGCAACCACACCGGCATCCAGTTCAGGAATGGAGGGCACAAGAGGGAGGATGCGTGCTCAGTGAACAGAATGATCTGAAGAACGGATGGCTTCAGGCCAGCCTTGAGGCAATCATCCACATAACCCGAAAGGTTGCGGAGGAAGTTAACATCAAGGATATGATCATCGTTCTGACATGGATCCAACCATACGGAGAAGACGAGAGTTTCCGTGCCTGATTTATGAGACCAGAATCGATGGCTGGAAGGCCAGAAGGCTTTTAGTCAGTCAAAGTAACCTTTGAAGTAATGACGTGGGATATTCTGTCTGCCCGGTTATGACTTACCGCGTGCCAGCAGGGATGTGGAATACTCCATCGTCCTTGGTGACAGAATATTCCACCCCGTTCTTGACTGCACCCAGTACGCCCTGATCAACTTTGAAGTATTCGTCCTGTAAGCGATGTATATGTCTGCCACCCCAATTAATCAGAATCTTTCCATCGAAATGATAATCTGATCCTTCTGACTTACAGTGGGGGCCCAGTGAGTCCAGCACGGACGAGTGCGTTTTCTATGTAATGCGTCTCTCTGACATACCAACTCCCGTCTGGTCTCTCAAGAGGCTCATACAGGGCTGCATCACCAAGATGTTTAAACGACGATTGGGAATTGTTGCTGGTGCGCCGCTCCGGTCGCCGCGAGAGCCATTGTTGCCACGCCCACACCATTCTGAAAATAATCAAAAAATGGATGACAACACAATAGCTGCTAAGACTACAAGCTATCTATATGGTGAAGATATTTCTTAGTGCCCAGTTCTTTCCGTATGAGACCTGGGTGATAAACGAAATTTTAGGACGATACTGGATTCATCTAACCCGCTTTTTACGAGCTCGTACCTACTGTATCCACCGGATGCACCAGGGGTATTGCCCCAAAACTGCCTAGCCGTCTGACTTGCATATGCCGCTCAAATTGTCTTTGAGAACAAGGCCGCCAAGAGCTGATATTCTCACGGAATGTGTATCCTTCAATGACTGAATCTCCCTCATGAATGTTGAGTAGAGTGGGGCGGTCTTTTCAACCAATAGATAAGCACGGATCCAAGACGATTCAGACAGCGCTGGCACGTACCACGGGTTGGCATACGCAGAGATCTAGATCTAACCAATTGCTGTTAGCATAGGAAGGTCCCCGAATCACTAGAGCTTATTTATCCATAATAAGCGAAATCAGCTGCCAAGGGAATAATACTTGCCATACAATGCCACTTGGATCTTACTTGCATAATCCAGCAAAAGTACCCACATACACCCGTCTACCCGTCCGCCCGTTCCGTCCCACCTGTCTCCTGTCGAATCTTTGTGGCGGCAGTGCAATAACTGTAGAAAGAACTATTGGAAACACTAGACGATAGCGGCAATCGGTCCCTTTGGCTCAAAACCCACTATCTAATCGTGCCATCATTTTATTACCTTCAATCTTCTGTTTAGCATTGAAATCTGATTTCCGATCGAATGCTTCAACGCTAGGGCCCTGAGCAAATTCCTTCTTGGCTTACAGCCTGCATTTTCTTAACCTCCAATTTAGAGCAGACAACACTCAAAACCACTTTTATCGGACTTTGTTTGAATCCGAGGGTCACTGTACAATATGATTACCTTTCTTGGTTGATGCTAATACACTGGGATTTCTCAAGTCTTCGTCGATCTAAATCCACTGCCTTCGATCAGAACACACGGCCTACTTCCAACAAACTCAACCGAAAATCTACATGTTTTATATCAAATATATATTGATGAGTAGTAGCTGGCATACGTTCGATAATGGTCGTTTTGAGAGCGAGTTTTGTTGATTTAGTACGTTCCGATTACTTACAGGATCCTTTGGCGCCCCAAGAGCTTTAGCGCGGGGATGAAGACTGTAGAAATTTCACCCTGAGATTAGGCAAAGCTAGGCCGAAGCGAAATTACATCTATATCCAGCTCAGCAGTATAAGGTCGCGAGGCTCCGTTGCCCTCCGTCCATGCGATGAATTAAACAGTACGAGACCATGCAGTACTGTACTGTACAGTACCATTGATACACCAGCTGGGGAAATGGCCAACGACAGGGGATCTCTAATTGGAGGATATCTTTCCTAGGAGAGCTTTGCATCTCCAATAGGGAGAGAATCAAGTTTTAAACATCTTTCGCTGAAGCAGCATCTGTTTTCTCTTTGAGAGGCTTCCCTCCATCGTGGTGTGGTGTGGTTTGTTGGCTTGTTTGTTGATCCATCTCATCCTGCCTGCATTCGCAGGCTTGCCGTAGAGCGCCCTGGCTCAGTACGTATTATGCAGAGGACGGTGAATGCACTATACGGCCATATATTTCACAAATATTCCAAGTAATATATATTACATTTCTAGGTAGTGTTAAAGTACCCAATTTTAGACCACAACCTCACGATATCTTTATACTGAATGATTGGACGATCATGCTTTGGAACATGTTGAAATTGACAGTATAATAATACATAATTACGCTAGACTTTTGTATTATAGATTGTTGGATCATACTATGAGCTCGGCAAGAATAATAGATTATTTTCTTGGTTGCTTAAAGGAAACCCTTAGTTCAAGTTTTTTTGGAACATTCTTAACCGTCTACTGTCAGATTCGCAGTCGCGTAATAATACGAATGGATCCTGAAACGTTTCACATAATTTTGGAATGACTTGACCTTTTTTTAATAATAATAATAAAAAAAAGACATTTGATCCCTGCTAGAAAATAGGTCTATCTAAGGTTATTAAAAAATACAAACTGGCATAATAAACTTCTTCAACAATTTCTAGCCGCTAATAAGCGAATTAAAGAATGCCAATGCTATCCGAGGCAAACCGGGCCGAACGCCTCGTGTTGCCTGAGCACGGGCAATTTAAACCGAAGACGATTAGTCGAAAATTCTCCTAACAAAACCTAGTTCTTGAATGATCTTCCCGTTTTGACTTGGCATAGTTTTCGCTTGGGTTAGAGAATACACTAGATCTAAGACATAAGTACTTGAGCGAAGTGGACGGAAAATTATAGCCAATAAAATTTATCTCCTATTAACCAGTATACTCAGGGATTTCCTATGCAATTATGCAAGATAACGCGTCATCGTGTAACGTGAAGCTGACAAGGAGGAAATTCGAACTGAAGGTGATAGAGGGATTCCACTAATAGAATAGCGCCATTTCTTACAAAAGATTGTGAAGAATCCTTGTAAAGAGGCCTGGGATCTAATGAATGGGGAGGCCTTGTGAGATCTCATTCGCGCGATACCATAGCAAATTTCATATATAACGCCGGCTAAGGGAGGCCTTATTACAGGGGGTGTGATAAAATCCTAGTAATTGTGCTGTAGGACCGCCCCAATACTCAACATCGCAATGGGTGGTGGGGCGGGCCTACCTACAGCACTATTACTGATTTTCAGTTATTTTATTTGCTTGACTTTAATTGGTCAAGGCCATATGATACTGCATCAAGTATTTAGTCGAAGGAACGGCGTGCTGATTGCTTGCTGCATTATATAATACTGGTTTGATTACTGTAATTTGTACTAAAGGATGCTAGTGGTGGTGCCCAGAAATGAACACTGCAGATACTGCAGTCTGCTTCCTTCCTATTTGCCAGCCAACCACTTCTCTAGGAAGCTCCATCACATAAAAGTTCCAACAGCCACCTTCCACTGAAGGCGTCAGTGGCAAAGGAGGCGTATTTAGCAGAAATAATAGCCTGCTTGCAGAATGGAGCAGAGCGGACAAGATGGCCTAAGATTCCACCCATAGTCCCACTGACGTGCTTTCGAAGACCAGCCAGTATTAAGGCCAAGCTTTTGATCAGCGTAAGCTCGTATTATTCGATGTAACCGCGGAATGCCTAAAAAGGTGAGCGTTTAGATATAATATCGATGTGACAGGCTTAAGGATTTCCGTCTACCTTACACTGCTGATATATGTTCTGGATATCCAGGTCCTACTGATCAGTATGGCTGGTATGCAAGAAAACCAAATGGTAACATGTCAAGGTAGGTAGAGAACCTAGAAGAAAACAAGAAGATTCCCTAACCTGGCCAGGTCGTGCCATCAGCTGCGACCGCGTCAGGTCGGCAAAAGCCTGCACGAGCTGTTCTCGATTGAATCGAAAGTGCCAGGGGTATGGTCTCAGATTGTCCTGGCCCCGTCCAAACGATCGCCGGCGTGCTGTTGTCTGCAAGTCGGGTCCGCCGTCCCCATTGCCTGCCATGGCGGGCCAGATTTCCGATGCACGATTTGTCCACACGTCGCATTGGGATATTGAGTTGCATCACAGCTTGACAAGCCCCGTTCCGGTGCGCAATCTATCTTTGCTGGGCGTTCCAACCTTCTGGAACCCATCTCAGCTGGAGAGTCTTGATCGAGACCTGTTAGAGTACTGTAGGTTGTACAAATTTAGCATAGCTACTTGCTCAATTGATCAGGGGATGGTGTGCTAACAACTCGATGCACTCCCCCTGTAGTTTGCTGTGTAGCGTCCACATCCCTTGCTACCTTTGGTCATGACACTGCGGCCCTCAGAAACATCCTGGTTCAAATTGCACTGCAGGGGGAAACGGCCACATCTTCGGCAGTGCTCCAGGCGCTGCTAGCGTTTTCTTCGTTACATCGCTACGGCTTACAATCCCAGGCCCTGGAACTGAAAACCGCTGCACTGGGAAGCTTGGCAAAAGGATCGGCAGCACAAAATCTAAGCGCGACAGCGACCATGCAGCATACCGCCACGGGGATGTTGCTTTGTTCTTTTGAGGTCCATCAGTCGTCTTGCGCCTCAGGCCAATGGACTTTTTATCTAGGTGGAGTCAAGACGGTTCTCAATGCGTCCCCTAGCAAAACACTACTTCAGATTGGTAGAGATGCGGCTGTTTTACTGGATTGGGTGCACTACCACGATGTTCTCGCTCGCTTTTCCCTGCTATATTGGAAAAGAGAAAGGACCTCAGAGCTCCCGTATATCAAATATGTATGTGCTACAGGATATTCCCCCTGCCCACAAGTTGATGAAAGACGAGGATTATATCGCTGCAGGAAGTTTTGGTTTGACCTTTGAGCATTTCAGGCATCCGATTTGCCAACACCCATTTTCTCCATTCTGGATCTGCTGTCCCAAGTATGTGACACCATATCTAGCGGCACAATTTCGCCAGAAGCCGGCGGCGATTTGGATGATTTCAGGGGGTTTCTAGAGGTTCTGGACTGGAGAATCAGGAACCTACCAATACCCGAAGTCCCAGACGATGATTTACATGTTTCAGATGATACGACGTTGGTAATGAAACTATATCAGCTCGCTATACTGTTGTTTCTCAGTCGAAGCTTCGAAGGCCTGATCGACCAACCAATCAGGACTCGACAGCATATTGACAAAGCCTTCGCTATCCTCTTCCGACTGAGATACTGTAAACAGCAATTTCCCATTCATGTCATTGGCTGCGAGGCGCGAACAGATGAGCAACGGGCCGTTGTCCTGGACGTTATCTCCCGGACGGAGAAGATGAGCTCGTCAAGATCCTTGAACTATTGTAAGAGAATATTGCAAGCTGTCTGGGCCCAGGATGACCTTGCAAGTGGGAATAACGTTAGCTATCGCCATAAGTTGACATCCGTAATGAGTCATTGTCTGATCATTCCTAGCTTTGTATAGCTAGTCACATTGTATAGTATATAGACCTCCATACACCGGACCCCTCCCGGGGATAGAAAGAGAACAAATGTCAAATTTGAATCACTGCCCTGTGTTTGAATTTGAGTACAAGATTACGATGTACTGCTGAGTAGTTTATGATTTAGGATAGTCTGCAGAACCCTAGTAATGGGATAAGTGGGGTAAACTTCGATGAAATCAAAGGTGCGCCGAGTTACTCGTTCGCTCGTTATGTTTGAGATATGCTTACCAAGCCAAGGTATCACTCTGCATGGGCTTACATATTCGGTTAGCAGTTCGGCAACCGGGCTAGACCGGATGAATACGAAATAGTAAAACCGTGTTCCTATTTTGATTCGGATACCATGGCTGCAGATGGTCAGACATTAGCGTTGAAATTTAAAAACCCCCAGCACCCCGTAACATTTCCAAGATCCCCAGGGAATAATAATAGAAACCACCAGCATCATTTCCAACATGGCGAGCACTTGTAATTCACGACCCGTGTTTACTATTCTCATTGTGGGCTGCGGTCTTAGTGGACTGGCATCTGCACTGGCTCTTGCTCAGGCCGGTCATCGTGTGACGGTCTTTGAGCGTAGTGTTAAACTACAAGAAGTAACTTCAGGGCTTCCATTAACCAAAATATGAGATTATCTAACATAGCCTAACAGATTGGTGCTGGAATCCAGTTATCACCCAATGCGACGCGTCTGCTTCAACATTGGGGCGTCTTCGAGGAGGTCCTCAAGTATGGTGACCGACCAGAGGCCGGCACGTTTCGCTCCTACCGAGGCGATGTTCTCTCACAATCCCCCCTGTATGTCATCCAAATCTGGTTAGCGAGGCCCCCTACATTGTGATTCATCGTGCCGATCTCCTGAGGGCCTTGTTATCGGGGACCGGGAAGCATGGGATAGAGATCAAACTAGGCAGCGAAGTCAAAGATATCAACTTTAACAAGCCCTCACTACGCCTCTCGACTGGCGAAGTCTACGAAGCAGATCTGATCCTTGGTGCTGACGGAGAGAGATCCCGCTGCAGAGGTGGCCTATTGGGTCGTGAGGATCCTCCTTACAGTCCCGGAGATGTCGTATACCGAGTCTCGGTCCCTATGAAAGACATAACGCCAGAGCATCTGGCTTGGGACCTCAAAAGAAGATCTAGTGTCAATTTCTGGATGGGACGGGGCGGACATGTGGTCTCGTATCTCATCCAGCACGATATGCTGAACATAGTCCTGATTTACGCTGAAGGTGGAAGCGGCAAAGTGATGTATGGTCCGCAAAGAGCTGATATTGAAGAGTTCAGAAGCAAGATTTTGGGCTGGGACCCGGTGCTCCATGAGCTTATCAACGTGGAAGGGTCTGTTTGCACGAAATGGACGTTATTCCAGATTCATGAGCCCATCAATTGGTGCCATGACAGTGGACGCTTCGTACTCATTGGTGATGCCGCCCACGCCATATTGCCATGCCTGTGAGTGACGAATGATAAGAATCTCAGTATATGGTTTGAAACCGGCTAACCCTTGCTCAGAGCCCAAGGTGCTGCACAAGCCTTTGAAGATGCAGGTGTCTTAGGAGGAATCTTCAGCCAATCAGTGCGACACGACCAAATTCCCGATGCTCTTCGGGTATTCGAGGAAGTTCGAAAACCACGGGCTTCGGATGTCCGACATCACACCTTGAAGCAAAAGGCCATGTTTGCCCTTTCTGATGGTCCGGAGCAGGAGGAACGCGACGCAAGGCTCCGTGCGGGTGAAGACTTTGCGCTTTTTGAGTGGCTCTGGAGTTACAATGCTGCTGAGATGGGTCGAGATGCGTGGAGTCGGGCTTTAACCGAGACTCGCGCAAATAAAATCAAAGCCCGCAACTAAGATCTAAGAAACAGGAGAATTGGGTCTTCTCCCCCCCCGCAGTTCCTCCATTTTTGACATTGATATATTTGAGGATTTTGTGAGTTATCGTGGATTTAATGAATAGAGTATACCTCGTACAAAAAAAAATTGGCCGTAGATAATGCTTTGAGTTCTCTATGAGCACGATAGACTGACACGCTGTCTATAGCGCTTGTTTTGGGTTTACTTTCTACTCCCTCTTTTGAATCCATCATGTCTACGAAGGTGAGAATTTTGCGTCTTCTGTTTCTCCTGGGTGGCGACGCCTGTTATGGAATACCTGGAAGGCAATTGGCCTCAAACATAAAACATGGACCCTCTCGCCTCGTATTCGTCGGCGCACGACATCATTCCGACATGGCTGGGTGGCGCCAAGCCGTCTCTTGGCGAAAGTCTTGGACGGCCGATAGAACCTGAGAACCCGAGCATTCGATTTGTGACATGTAAGATGGCATCTCTTGGCCTCTCGTGTGGCTTTCCTCACGGAGGTTCCAGCAGCAATTGAGAATCTCATCAGCGGAACGGCCCGCTGCCGTGGACAAAAGTACTGCGGTCAAGGGACGGTATCAGTACCGCACTATAGGATGACCCATGACTACAATCAAGTTTGTCCTGCAATTCTATGGTACGAAGCCACCGCTCTATGTTGAGAAGTGTGCAGAAGTCTTTTCTAGGAAATCAATTCATATTTCTATAGTCCTTCTATATACAAATTCTGTGAATCCCTCGCACTTCGCGTTTCGATACCCTCCCCATATCAACATGATGATAGAAGGCTGTTGTATCCCCCGTGTAATCTGTCAAATAAAAACAGGAACATTCTAGTTATGATTTCCATTCGTGGTTCGCTGCGCCTCCACCTCTTGGAAGCTCTCCAGGACGACATCGTACAAACGTCCCGACCTGATGGACTCGTAGACCCGTGTGTTGTATAGTCCCATGCTCGGGGTGACACCGTCGGGCCTCGCGGCCTCCGTGGAAGCCAGATGCGCCTCGCCCAGAAATGGGATGCCGAGGTCGTGTCTAATGAAGCTGTACATGCGCTGCGAGGCCTGGCCAATGTATGGAATTGCATTAGGCGGAACGTCGCCGTTCCGACCCTCAATCTCAATGGTGCGGAGATCGAGGGCCTGGCACACGGCCAGAAGGTGCGCTGAGACAAGTTGGGAGAGCACATCCACAGCCTCGAGCGTATAGCGGGCCGACACGAGCGCCATGGAGTTCAGGGCCTGGTTGCCCATCTCGGCTGTCTGGACATGCGACCCGACGGGGTTGGCCAGGAAGCCCAGCTCCGAGGTAAGGGCGGCAACAACGACATCAAGCCCCTTGAACAGGAAAGAGTCGTTGGCGTTGTCGGAGCACAGGTTGGGCGGCAAGCCCCAGCTGGTAGCCGGGTTGATCATCTCAGTACACTGGGTGAAGAGCATGCGGCCGATACTCTGGAGACCTTGGCGCAGCTTCTCGGCCGCCGACGTGACAGCGCGCGCCTGGAAGTTGCCACCATGAAGCACGCGACCTGTCTCTGTGTCAATAAGCGGGTTGTCCGTCACGGAATTGAGCTCGATTGTCAGCTGGTCGTAAGCCAAACCAAAGTCCTCCAGCACGGGGCCGATCCATTGGCTTGCGGTGCGCAGCGAGTATCGATCTTGTCGTAGTGTCGCCACGTCCCGGCTGTCGTGCCTGTTCAGCAGCCGTGATCCGGCCAAGAACGCCTTGATATTCTGAGCGCTGTCGATCTGCCCAGGGTGCGGCCGCACCCGGGCAATGAAGGGCTCGAAGCTCTCATCGCTCCCCCGTAGCGCCTCCACGCTCATAGCAGTCAGCACCTGCGACAGCGCTGCGAGTTGGATGGACTCGTGTGCTGCGAGAGCTGCTACACCGGCTGACACGGCTGTGCCGTTCACGATAGCGAGACCCTCCTTGGCGTGTAGACTGATGGGCTCGATGCCGGCTTCCACCAAGGCGATGTCAGCTCGGGTCACTTTTCTACCGCCCTCGACGTCTCGTGGACCGCTGAAAGCTGTAGCAGATGTCTTTCCTTGCATCAGGGCACCGATCCACGCGAGAGCGCTAAGATCTCCAGACGCCGAGATGCTGCCACGGACGGGGATGCGCGGCACAATGTCCTGGTTCAGGAGATTTACCAGCGAGTCCGCGATGTCGACCCGGATGCCTGACGCACCGCCGGCTAGGGAGTTCAAGCGGATAAGCATGGACGCCCTGGCCCATGACTCCGGCATGCAGGTAGCAGCAAGAGGATCATTGAGGGGAAGTGAATTTCGCACCAAGTGGCGTGGTTGTTTTGCTTGTCCATTCAACTTTCCATTGGTGGAAGGGATCGCACCGTTGGCTTTGCTGGAGACTCCATTGCTTGGGTCGGAATGTCCATTGGTTTGAGTTGCATGTCCATTGGTTTGGGTTGAATGCCCATTTGTCTGAGTGGAATGCCCATTGCTGTTCGGGGACAGCTCCTGCTTGCCATCCGCGACGATGCCGCACGTCAGATGGCTGATCAGGCTTTGTTGAACCCTCTCCACATCATTGGACCTTGCATCGGCACTGCCACCGAATCCTGTATTGACGCCGTAGATGACTTCACCCTGGGCAATCTTGTCCGGGATAATTTTGCTGCACGCTTCGATGGCATCGATGGATGCCGCAGTGAGCTCCACATTTGCGAGGTGTCGCGAGACTGCCACCACATCGGCGATAGTTAGATCACCTCCGCTCACAGCCAATGTTGACTGGGCCGATGAAGAAGGATCGCGCCACTGCGACAGGACTAAATCCGTGAACATGCGGGCTGGAGGGGCCATTTTGATCCAGGGGGCGCACAGTGAGAAACTGAGGAAGAAAGAGATCTAGACAAGAGAAGCTGCTGGTCAGAGAGCGGTGCTACTTATAAACAAGGCCTCAAGTGGCCGAAGCAGTGCTTGCATTCCTATCAAAGTCCGTGAGCATATACCCTGGCGACTGAGGCGGCTGGGTTAAGGTTGATACGACATCGCATGCTCCGGCAAGCAAGCGCTGCGACGAGTTACACGAGATCCTCAAGGCGTCCCCATTGGATACCCACTTACTATCACGACACAGGGGTTTCCTGTAGGCTTCATTCCTGAAACATTTGCAGAAACCTCGTCCGAACGCTATACGAGATGCTTGGCACGAACATCGCACGGTAGTACTGGAACGGGTAATGTCATTACCTATACCGTATGACGCAGGTGAGACGAAACATGTAGCACAGGGCAAGTATGATCCCCGGGCTCGCATCTTCTCGGAGCCTGTTAGGACTTTCCGGTATGCACAAGCACATGGAGATAAGGTCTCCACCAGAAAAGGGAAGTCGTCCAAAATCGGGATGTGCCCCTCTGTGCTCCGTCCGCCGTGCCCTAGAATGGTTGGGGGGATAATAAGAATGCGCGGCATTCTCGACATCCTGATACTTCCCTCCGATCTCCCTTGGCATGCCACATGCATATTTTTGCCTGGTTCATGTCAATTTTTACATGAGCTATCGGAGGTCTCCGTACAATTTGAGATTGATTGGTTTCGGCCATTTCGATGATAGTCTGACCCACCGATTGCCTGCATGCGCTCATTCAAACCGCCAGCCCCCGCGCTACTCCGAGCTGAGCATCTTAGTTGCCCCGCAGTGTGAGTTCGGCCTCACTTGCATAATATGAGCATAATCATCTAGACTCTTGCAGAAGCTCCCACAAGCGGAATAGTACAATAGTACGCAGTAAGCTCTGGCACTGACTAAGGTAGTAAGCGTCTTGCTAACCGAGGACCCTCTCCAACTGCAGCGTTATCGGGTACGAATGGCATTGAGGGTATTTCTTTCTTCCTCACGGTCTTGAAAACAGCATCAGAACTTGACCTCCCCCTGCCACCTGGTCTCTTTGCCGTTGGCTGTCAGCATGTATCTTATCCAAAGCGCGTACTCCCTGTATTTGGGTCTCTTGCTCTTGCTCTGCGGCAGCGGTGCAGCACTCGTCCACTTCTTGAAACCTACCGACTTGAAACAATCGCCTGGAAAAAAGAGATGGGCAATGCCGCCAGGGCCACCGGGTGTCCCAGTCCTGGGAAATTTGCGACAGATGATGCACGCCCGCCGTGGGGCCCTTTCATTCAATCAATGGGTGAGTCTCAAGCTGGTCCAACCTGAGAAGGTGCCTTGATCTAAACCTCCGGCCGGCAGTTGACCTCGTTGATACCGTACGGTGAAATGGTGACGTTGCACATGGGATCCAAAACGTGGGTGGTGCTCAACTCCGACCGTGTCGTCTCGGAAATCATAGCCAAGCGAGGGAAGATCACCAACGAGAGACCCCATATGCCCGTTGCCAGTGACCTTGTGAGCAATGGAAAGCGTACAGTGATACGACAAGAAGAGGAGTGGCGAGAAGGACGCCGTGTGATGCATCAATTGCTCAGCGGCTCCAACCTCAAGGTGTATGCCGGCATGCAGGAGCTCGAGAGTGTGGATATGCTACGCCGATATCTTCGCGAGCCCAACCTTTGGTTTGCGCACAACTTTCGCTATGCTACCTCCGTGCTTTACCGAATTGTGATGGGCTATCCCTTGAACAAGACCAGAGCAGAGCTTGATGACTATCAGAGAGTGACGATCGAGTTCGTCACAACCATCAACCGCAGCTACGTGGATTTCTTCCCGTCAATCAGCAAGCTTCCCCATATCCTACAGCCCTGGCGTCGTTTCTGGGCTCAGATGGGTTCGTTTCACCGCCGTGTTTTCCAGGACTGGTGGACGCCTATCAAAGCTGCGGTAACCAACGGCTCAGCGCCGCCCTCCTTCGTCCGCGACGTTCTTCTTCATCCTGATATGAGGTTCTCGGGAGATGATGAAGAGGCCATGTACCTGGCTACGTCGGTCATGGCAGCCGGCGGTGACAACACACGCATGACGATCAACGTGTTCATCATGGCCATGGTCACCCGCCCTGAAGCGCAGGCCCGCGCACGCGAGGAAGTCGACCGAGTGTGCACGGATGGAGAAGCGCTCAGGCTCCCCCGGATGTCGGATCTATCATCCATGCCCTACGTGGCCGCTATGATCAAAGAGGTTCTACGCTGGCGTCCAACGGTCCCTGTTGTTCCCCCTCACCAACTCACCGAGGACCTGGAGTTCGATGGATATTTTATCCCTGCCGGCACCAATTTCCTCATCAACTCGATCGGGCTGTCGAGTGAATTTGACAATGCCCATGAATTCCAACCCGAGAGGTGGATTGACGCTTCAGGAGCTGAAAAGATACCCAACTTCTGGGGATTTGGAGGCGGTCGTCGGATCTGCGTCGGATGGAAAGTCGCCGAGCAAGCTTTATTCATTGCATTTGCCCGGTTGCTTTATTGCTTTGAATTGACTCCGGTTCGTTCCTGTTCTACCTTATATTCTTTTTTTTCTTGCTCAGAGCAATGTGTCGCTAATATATGAGACGTCTAGAATGGACCTATCGATGACAAGAGACTCAACCACCAGGGCCTTAACGAGCCATTCCCTGTGAAGGCGACTGTTCGCAGCGCCGCGCACGCATCGCTCATTGAGGGGGAAGCGTCTAAGTATGAAGCATCATTCTCCACATTCGGGGCTAAGTGAGTCCCTTTCAGCGGGTCTCGACAATGTATATCGGAGGGTCTAGGGAAAACAGAAGACGGGAGACTTGAAGAACGTTGTTGGGATTGGCAGTCGGGATGCCACAAACGAGAGCCTCAAGAAGCACATGATCACATAATTCTTTCATCGCACATGATGTCACTGTTCCCAGATACGTGCTTCCAGGCAGGACATATAGCTGAAATGCTCCGAGGAATGATTCTGAAAATAGATAGCTGTGGTGAAGACCACGATAACCGTGCCCTGAGGGCTTCAAAAAAATATCGCTGCTTGCTATAAAAGTCAGTCGCAGACTGCGGATTATTGCTAGGACCTCAATGTATGGCGTGAGCACTCTCAGTCTGATCTTGATGAATACCTTCGAGCGCCATTTTGATTCCAAAATTCGCCGAATACTACGCTTGGGCCGGATGAGGAAGAGCTGGCCAAACGGCTTCTCTTCGGGTCCATAATGAAGCACGAGTTGGATGGGTCGAGAAGACAGTCAAATCAGACATATGGTCGCAAAGACTGCCAGAAGGCATTCGAGATAGCAAGGGGAATTGGAAGCGGACAATATATCTCCACGTAACTTAGGTCGGCGCAGCATATCAACGGAGAGAGTATCCCCCACATCTGTCAAGCCATGCATAGCCCTTCAATAGTTACGAACTGGGCGATCGGTTATACCTGGCTGATTCACTGCCAGATCACTTAAAACAGGATCGTTGTTCCGGTGGAAAGCACAAAAACCCCAGGGTAATGTTTTATGCATCTTTTCCAGGCTCCATATCTCTAGGACAATCAGAAATAGACTGGTGGCAGAGATCATCTCATTGACGCAATTATTGGCTCTTAGCTCGTGCAAAGTGGTCGCATTGAAGATTGAGTTGGACTTCTTGGTAATTAGGATGGCCATTTGACAGGTGACAAGCTGACCTGAAGAAAAATAGAGTCCCATGGAAATAATTCACGAGGTTCTTTTTGAACACAACGTTATACATTGACTCGAAGTGTCGGGGGAGGTCATGATTCCCGTATTGGGGTGCGTAATCGTAGCGGGTTTCCGATGTCGTCTGATGGATCAAACAATTAGAGAGAAGAGACCGAAGATTCGCAAGAGCAACCAGAAATAAATAATGGTTATAATCAGCATCAGGTAGGACACCAAGATGTAGAAAGCGGGTGAGCCGGATAGGATATTGGAAGTTTAAGATTGAGAGTACTTACTACAGGACCGGCAATATCGGTGTTGACCGTGTTGCTGGCTTCATTGCACATATCGCTGAAGTACCAATAGTACCAGTTTTGCAGACCATACACCTGGAAATCGAGACTGATCGAGCCATCATTGAATCCCACACAGACACTCACTTCAGAGTTAGGTATTTCACAGTAATCATGTAGACGTGTCTGGACTACTGTCGTATTACTGCTGCCTGTAGTGTTATATAAATGATGGAAGCAGGTGCCCAAGTTGTCGAAAGTTTCGATAAGAAACTTGAGATCTTCATATGAGGTAGCGAAAGTACCGCTCACCATCGCGGCCCGTATCGGTTTCTAAAAATGAGTTGTGCCCCAGCAGTATCAGAGACCGGAAATGGTATGCTGCACATAGGAGACTTGCCGAGGTCGGAAAATGGACGGATGCAAGAAATCTGTGTGGCTAATGAGCGCTGATCCAGGAACATCCAGTTGCTGTTCTATAAAAACCTATTAGAGGCTAGGAAGAATGAGGAACGGATACTACAATTACTTTCCAACAACCCTTTTCGCGAATGATTCTCGGCTGGGAAGGGTGGATATCAATCATGATTACGGAGCCCTGGGAAGCCACGTCTTCACCACGCCCATTGAGATATCCATTAAGTTTATAAATCAGTATATATGGCAAGAGAATGGGCCCTCTTGCGCCGAGCGCGAGGAGTTTTGTTGGTAGGTTGGGGGCAGTAAAGAATTACAGCGCTTTCAGCCCCATTAGTACTGGATGTGGACCATTGTAGATACGTAGATATAAACAAAGATTGCCAGGCTGCTTCTGGGGAATATACATTGAGAGAAGCCAGAGCCATGATCAAAATATGCTGATTTTAAGTAAGATGGAGGAATACTCGATCTAAGAAGACAAAAAAAGACCATACAGAGACGAAGACGATGGCAACAAACGATTTGAATACACAATCCTTAAGTCAAATTATCCCTCACAAGTTCAAAATCATCTCAATTGATATCCCGAATACCCAGGGCCGGCCAGCGGTGTCTGGGGGTACGCGTTCTGATTGGAAATATAGCCCCCAGAATAGTCTCTCAGTATTTTGCTCAGAGCAGTAGAATCTCGATCAAAATCTTCCAAAGGCTTCTGCAGATCCCACTTCCTGGTGCAGTAGCTCAGCAGCTCACGCACGTACGTGAGACACCTAATTGCGCGAGGTCGGCAGTTGATCCGATCCTCTTCCGCCAGTATTGGGGGATCCGGGGTTCCTGCTGGAACGACAGGGGGAGGCGGAACTGTGGAGCCCAACAGAAGGTCGAGATTTTCGGAGAGAACATCAACAAAACGACGCCCCACCTGGTGAACACGTTGGATATCTATAAAGGTGAGAAATGGCAGCACACTAGGATTCTCCAGCACTTGGTGAACCTGGCTAATGAAGTCCATGCATCGATCAAAAAGAAGGGCTTTGTTATAATCACAGAGGATAGGATATCGGTTGGATGGAGAAAGAAGTATAATGATGGTGTAAAGGAGCTCGAGTCGGTAGAGGAGTGAAAAGTGATTTGGAGCGTCCTTGGGGCATTCGTGAAACCATTGCCGGGCTTGAAGGCAGAGGGTCCAGATTTGAATAAGAGGCTGGGGGGATGGCTCGCGGTCGCTGTAATACATGTCTTGATAACCGACAGAAAGAATCTGACGGATCTTGATTATATGCAGAGCAGGGCCCGGGTTTCGCAAGAAGATATGACTTTGGTCGGCGGCTGACAATCCAGTGGCCGTGGTGGTTGTTGGAAGGGCGACATTGACGGAGGCATCGGAGAAGGAGAAAGTTCTTTGGAGAGATACACTCATTCCGCTAAAGAAGGGTTAGCAATGAAGATCATTGGAATCGACTCGTTGTGAACATACCGATCGAGGCAATACAGACAATGGAAGATCCGGCGACGGAGGTCAAGCCTATCTGGATTGGACAGCACCTCTGTGGGGGGATCCTGATGAAGACCCAGGTCGATTGCCACTCTCACGGCCATTCCAACCAGATACCAACTTCTAAAGTGGCCCGGGTCAACAAGAGCATATTGCGCGAGGAGCAGGATGGCTTGGATACACGTGAGGGAACCCGGCCGAAGGACATCTTCGGCGTACGTCCGTGCTTCCGATACCAGAACCAGGGCCTTTTGATGACTTTTGTCATTATTCTGATAGGAAACGGATGCCGAGGCGATAGCAAGAACCATTCGGACCATCCAGTGGTCAAAAGGTTTTGCGAAGCGACCATTAAATTGGTAAACAGCGTCTACCGAGGTCCAAAAGCTAGTTTCGACAAAGAAAGGCAATTGTACGAACACATTGTCGAAATAATACTGTAGCAAGGGTGTGGCCTCATGGCGTGGAGGTAGCGTATGAGTCGATGGTGGCGAAGGATATCCCACCGTAGCAATGGCGAGGAGGAGGTTGGCAAATGTAGTCTTGGAAGTAATGCCTTGGAAGTCTCGCGAGGTTGCATTGACAGAGAGAAATCCGAAATCGCCGACCAAGTCGTCGATATCCGATACTTCACGGTGATGGGCGGAGCCTACAGGGCCATCCGATGAGGTAGACGTGATGGACATCTCACGCGCCACGCCATTACTCTCCACGGGCAAGGAGTTTTGCCGACGGCGAAGCTCGCCGATTTTCTTTTCGAGTTTTTCGCAGTAGCCCTCCAGAGAGGCGACATAGCTTCGCTCTTTACCTTTCGCAAACTCATCACTGGCCCCAGAGCAACTACTCGCCTTGCCCACCTTCTCGCACGCGGTGCAGGCGGGGAGCTTGCCATCACACTTGATTTTCGCGGTGCGACACCGAGAGCAGGCGGCGACAGGGCGGCTGACTTTCAAGAGGGGATTTTCGAGGAAGGTGGTGGCCGAAGCAGGCATGCTGGTTGCTCATGGTCCACCAGCACGGTGAGACGGACGAGTACTTTGTCTGCGTCGGAGAGAGGGACCAACTGTTAGCGGGGACTTCGAGTCAGTGAGTAGGTGGAGGCGTCCAACACCTGTTGGCTTGCGACTGGGCCCAATGATCACCCCGCCAGATCGCCGTGCATTTGCATTGGGCGGGACATCCTGGTTGTCGGCAGGACAAAGGACTAAGACGAAAGCGAGGGGGGATGGAGTTGCTCACATGATGAGGTGAGGTAATTTCAACCGCGCCAACCTTGAAATCACGTTGACTTACGAAGCCCACTTCTAACGGTCGACAGATCTACTGCTTCAGCCTCTCATAGCCAACAGAAAAGAACCTGCATGTGCTGAAGTGTCCCTCGCGACTGTCATTTGCGACGCGGCAATCAAACACCCAGAAAGCAGAGAAGTACGAAGTCAATTTACTTGGAGCTTCGATCCCACCGATACAGACAGACCGACCAGAAGGATTCTGGAGAATGAGCAAAGCACAGTAACCAAGTGACCAAGTGACCTCGCAGACAACGAAGCACTGTCGAAGCAGCAGGAGAAAGGGAAAACCCCATGGGTCACTGAGATCGTGGAACCGCACGGACACGCGAATCAGCGATCACCGCTTGGCGTCAAATCACTACCGGGCAGCCCAAGCAACAAGTAGCCCATCAGTCCACCAGTCCACCGGTCAATCCCCCGTCGCGCCGCATTGCGCCCTCTTCGAGACCCGAGAATCCACCGAATCCACCGAAATCACATCAAAATCACATCACAGTCTGAATCAGATTCCAAACCAACACACCAGCCCCAGACGGCCTTCTCAGGATTCCAGACTTGAAACAGATCAGGGGGTCCCAGACTTGATTTGACTTGTGCTAAGACTTGCCCTCGTATGTACAAATCCAGACCTCTTGTGTATTGTTCCTGTGCTTGTGCTTGTGCTTGTGCTTGTGCTTGTGCTTTTGCCTCGTCGGATTCCATCGAATTCGCGCCCAATTCAAATCAAACCAACACCACTCCGACCGCATTCCTTGTTCTCTTTCGTCCGTTCTCCAATCCCCTTCCTTCGTCTTCCCATCTGCACTCTGCCGCCTGCAGTGTCTGAGTCTCCCAACATAACAGTTTCATCTCTCTTATTCTTTGCCTCGCCACAATCCTATTCGCCTAATCCTCTTTCCTTTCAGCTGGCCTCGGCCTTGGCTCAGCGTATCTACCGTGGTTCTCAGCCCGATTAGACCACTAGACCGCTTGACCCCTCCACCACTTTCTTTCTTCCCCCACTCCACTCTGCGCGAGGGTGTGCTTCCGTCGCTTCCAAACTCCCCCAGTCCCCTCTCTCCGTCGATCCAGATCTGGACCGAGGCCGCCCCTCCCCTCACACCATCTGTTCTCACACTTCCTTTCCTGGTCGTGCAGTACGCGGTACCGGCATGACTTCCCTCTGATAGGATCCTTTCGCATCCTGCCACACTATCCACACCCCTTGCTGGCCTCTCTTTTTTTTTTGTCGTAACTCCCCCTTGGTGACCATCGAAACCCTTGCGGCTCCTCCCACACGCCCGCACTGTTCCCTCCCCCAAGTCTCGCGACAAGACCATGTCGATAGCGCCAAGGGCATTTGGTGGACCGATTGAAATTGCTTTGGATGGCATCATTGCGCAACGTCTGCGCATGTGACTTGCCTCCTATCTCTGACCTCGCTCCAGGCTCGGGGGTCTCCAACGAGCCATGACCCAGAGCGCCCAACCCTCCTTGGGGCAACCTTCGCCGGACTCGTCTTTCTTTGAGCTTCCGGACGGTCGCATTGCGCACACTCTGACCGCCTGCACAAGATGTCGACAGGTATGGTGCCAAAGTCAACAAAACTCCTCCCTCATCGTATCTTGCGGCACCCTGGATTCGTTCTCCTATCCTGAGCCGTGATTTTTCAAATTCGAGGTTGATTATGCTAACTGTCAGTCGGTCCATGTATAGCGGAAATCCAGATGCGACCCCGGTATCCCACGATGTGCGCCCTGCGAACGAAGTAATGCGAGATGTGTCTACTATGATTCAACTCGAGACACAACCATTCCGCGGACCTATATCGTGTCCCTTCGAGAAAAAGCTCGTACTCTTGAAAAGGAGCTTGCCAAGGCCGAAAATGAAATAAAACACACGGCAGATGCGGAGTTGATGGTGCGGGGCGCTGGACGTATCCGCTTCAAGGACAACGATGAACCCCGGTATCTTGGACCCTCGAGCGGCATCGCCATGACTCGACTGGTCATGGAGATTGCCAAGCAGAATACAGATTCCAAAAGTATTAAAGATGTCGTCCCAGAATTGACCGCGCAAGAAATCAAAGCGGCATTCACGCAGGAAGATACCAAGCCAACCTCGAAGATATACCCAATGATCAGCTCGATTCCACAGGAGACCTTACCCCCACAAAATTTGACAAACAAATTGATTGATCTGTTCGTGGCAAAAGGTACTTGAGAGGATATTGATTAATTTAGTGGCCGTGACTGACTTTGCGTTCGACCAGCCCAAGCGCTTCTTCCAATTGTGCATGAACCGAGTTTTCGACAAGAAGCCGAGGAAGTTTTTAACGGCTCTACTGACCCATGTCACAACTTTCAACTGCGAATGGTCATCGCTATCAGCATGCAGAAATTGAGCCCTGACTATGCTGGCCTAGCAGACAGTTACTATCTTGCCGCTTTACCTTTCTTGGAGCCTACGTTGAAAAATATGGACCTAAGAGCTCTGCAGTGCCTCGTAATGATTGCGCAGTATTCGACCTTGACACCAACGAGGACAGCTGCGTACTGGGTTGTAGGTACGGCTGCGAAACTTTGCCAGGAGTTAGGATTGCACGAAGAGGCGACTGTCACCATATCACCCTGTGGTCAATCTCTGAATCCATTGGAGATTGATATGCGTCGAAGATTATTTTGGATTGTCGCATCCATGGAATTTGGTTTGTCGCATAGCTTGGGTCGTACCAGCTCTTATAGTGTGTCACAGGACAACGTCAACGTCAAATTCTTTGAGCTGGTGGATGATCGCTATATCACAGCGAAGGCGATTGACCCAGATGCAAAACCCGTCCTCGGGAAATGTATCGCGGTGCATTTCTTCAAAATGCGTCTCCTTCAATTAGAAGTCCGACGTGCGCTCTACTTGAATCGGCGTGAGACCCCGACTCATGACCAGGATCCGTGGTTTTCCCAAATGTTGGCCAAGATCGACCACTGGATGGTGACTTGTCCCAAGAACGACGACGGTAGTGGCTTGAATGTGAAATGGTTTGTTCCCGAAAATTTGTCCTTATTTCCTGATGGTAATTAACATCATTACGTGAAGGTTCCAAGGCAGAAGAAATACAATTGTCATTCTGATGTACCGACCATCGCCTCAAATACCTGAACCGTCTGTTTACGCCGCAAAGATCTGCTATGAAGCAGCGACTTTCAATATTGCCATGCATCGCGAGCAGACCATCACAGGATCGGTTGATTTGACCTGGATCTTCACTCAATCTCTTTTCATGGTCTTCAACACGACATTGTGGACCCTTTCCTATCCCGAAATTCGCAAAGAACATCCCATCGAGGAAGTCCAGGGATACTTGGACATGGCTTTGGAAGTGATTGAATTCGCAGCTGAACGGTGGCCTGGTGTTCAATCGGCTTTACTCCTTTATAAACGCCTTGTTTCGGCCTGCTTGAAGGCATACAGTACTGAAGAATCATTCGTGGTGCACTCACCCTCAAATCATCCCACTCCCACCTCATCTCAAGGCGTGACGACGCCTCCCGCGATGTCCAGTCCTTCGAGTACCACGACTTTCTACTCGCATCACTATCGTGGCAACCCCTCGGTCAGCGATAATGCATCGGCAGGGACTTATTCACGCGGCCACTCCGTCGATCCAAATATTCCTTTCACTCAACCTTCCCAGGAATTTACGCCTCCGGCCTTTGTTCCGAAGTCTTTAGAATCTACAGGACTTTCTCCCGCGGCTCCAGTATATGGTATACAACAACAGCAAAATCAAGGGCCCTCTATTTCAAGCGCAGCCTCTCAGTACACGTCACAGGCCTATTGCGTGCCAACTTCCCTATATCCTGATGTTTCTATCGACCCTAATACACCCTACAATGCCATTCCTTCTGTCGTCCCTGGCCTTCAAGGCTGGGATCCTCATTTCTCACTTGCATCGACCACTGCCAGTCACTTGGCGTACATCGATGCCACTGTTGATCCGATGCAGTGGACATCTTCTATCGGAGACCAATACTCTCAGTACTTCAATGAACCATTCCCTGTGCCACCGTGGCGAGAACGTACACTCAGCCAGCAGGAGCAGATCGAACTCATGGCATCACTTGAACACGATATACCTGACGTGTCTGCACAACTAGTTCATGAATCTAATGCCTTTTATCAGTCGTAAGTCAGCAATACGGCGGTCTGACTAAACCAGTCTTGTTTCCATGAATCAGCCCTTGGCCTCACTGGGGAACTGGTGATGCAAGTCTTATATAGCATAGCGATTGGGCGAAACATCTTTGCTTGTTTGGTTTCTTCTGTTCTCTTGGACCGCCTAGTCTCTTAGGCTTATACCTCTTCATACGCATGTCTTGTCGCCGATACGGTTACCTTTTTGCGGGGAACCAGCTTTCTTGTAGATATAAACCAGTACTTATAAACGATTTGAAGCGAGTTCCTTCCGCTTTGTTTCAAGCTAAGAGCCCATCATATGGCAACCGAGTGCTCTCTATTGTGTATTCGATTTTTTGATCAGACCGAGTTGATGAAAATGGATCTGAAAGTATATTGATCAGATTAAATTTCAATAATATTCAAGAAGAATGCGAGAAGGGTTTGGAATTGCCGTTTTAATGAGCTCTCCGGTACCCCGGGGTCTTTGAATGTGCCGGCGAATGCCGTTCTTTCATGCAGCGGGTTGCATCGCCGAAACAGCTGAGGCCGAGACCCACGTCACGTGACCGGTCCCGTTTTGCCTCCATCTCAGCGCCGTCAACTAGCATCTCGATCATCCACCACCCCCTCCTCCGCCATCTCATCAACCACCCGGTCTTTCTCGCCTGAAAGGGTCTCTCATTTGTCTTCTGGAATGCATATGATCTAGGTAGGCCGTTGAACGACCTGCTCGCCCATCTGAGCGACCGTCGACCGTTCGGCTCGGATCCCCCTCTGCACACACCCAACGCTCGTGTCGAAAGCCTTCGAATCGGACTCAGCTTAAGGTGGAACCAAGAATCTTCCGGTGCTGCAATCTCTGCGCTCCAGTGCTCATCCCCTCGGGAATTCCTATGTCGGATCGCGCCCCTTCAACTCTCTTTGCAACAGGACCTCCTTCGCCATCTTCACCCACTGACGGGTCCCTTAAAGAGAACTCCCGGCCGCTTATCTCTTCGGACCATATTCCCCAGACTCCGACATCGCCTCCGTTGATGTCGGTCAGTGATCAAAACCATGTCTCCAACTTTACATCCTCCCAAACATCACCGAATCAGGCGACGATCCAACGATCGACTACTTCCTCTCCTCCCTCATCCACACCCATGTCAACTCAGGTTTCTCAGCAGCCTACAATGAGTACGACAAACTCATTTCCCACCCCCGCAAGTAGTGTAAGTGGGCATGCGAACGCGATCTCGGTGGAGGACTCTGAGCGCAAATCTTTCACTACGGGAATGCAGGACACAGTAACGTCCACGAGGGATGCTCCCAACCACCAAATTATAGACGACAGACGACAGGAACACAATCAGCAGCACTCATCGACAAGAACAGGGATTCGCGATTTCGCTCTAAGTCGAGTGACGGCTATGGACGCCATGGACGTGGACAAGGAACCTGTCTCAGATGTTGACAGTCGGAATCTCGGCTTAGAATCTCTTCAGAAGGAATTCACATCGGCTTTCCATCTGTGCAAAAGCTGTAAGAAATCCCTGGCTTCAATGCTGGCTACTTATGTTCCAGCAGTGAAGTTATTGCATTCATCTTTTACACATGGGAACCAAACTTGTTAACACAGTGCTATTACAGCGCCGATTGCAACTGGTCCTGACCCATCATTGGATCTGATATCTCTCTATGGACTCGGCCCGATAGCACAGTCGGTAGCAAGAATTCACCCAATAACTGGCGAGAAGATCAATCGGCTACGCAAGTCTTACGAGGGAAAATTGAAGGGCTTGGGATTAGCAGGTCGAAACAAGCCCGTGAAACAAGAACCAGGCGCCCCTGGTAGTCTCCGGCATCTAATCATGTGGCCTGAGGAGGAATGGCAGAACCAGAAAGTTTTCGGCAAACAGATCAAAGTTCCAGATATCGATTCCGCCCTGCAGAATCTTCAGGGCAGAGCTATGCAGCTTGAGCCTGGTACTGTTCCCAATAACGATTTCTGGGAGGATATTCTTGGCCATGAAAAGCCAGCCAAAACCCAAGGCCCGGGCGATTCCAGCAAGAAATCTGCCCTGCCCCCTGCTGGGCGTCCCACTGCCCAGGCACCTCTCGCCGCACAAGGAGCCCAGGAACCCGAACGGGCTCGGCCCAGCCGTGGCCGCAAACGACACTACGATGATAATAGCTTTGTCGGATATGGCGAAGGCTACGCAGATGACGATGATGAGACTGGATTCTATTCCAATGGCGAGGGATCCGGAAAGAAGAAACGGAAGAAGGTATGTGTCGAGCGATCTCACGAATATATCACCAAGTGATATGCCAAATTAACATGTCGTTAACACAGGACCATGTTTCCAAGGTATCTACCCCGCTCTCCGAAAGAAGCGGAAGCTACGGAGTTGGCATGTTTGGCATTGGTGCTCGATGAGATAGGTCCCTGGTGATCTACCCTTGCCCCCAAAAAGCTGTTTTCTGTTTTCGATCTTGTTCTCCAAGGCTATGAGGCGTTGGCGTTGGGGTTCATTAGCATGCCCCTCGCGCAACAAGACTCATATGCCTTGTCTTGTTTCATGATCCTTTTTTTTTCTCAGTACATGTTGCATCACGGTGCTGGATATACCCGGCTTCATCTATTGGACGGCGTTCAGGCGGGATGGGAAATTACGTATTCCCCAATGTGGATACGACTTGATTGCGTTTTTCTCCCCGCGCGGTTTGTTTTCTTGCAGTGTTGTTCTATATTGCTTGTGTTGCTCTCGATATTTTCATTACTGTAATGGCTGGCTTCTTTCTCTTTCTGCTAAGGATTTTCGACGCTTGAATCTTGTCAGTTGCTGTCTTCTCTGCACAAGTTTGAACTCCCGCCCAGGTTCCGGCGGGCACTGTGCATGTCTTTATTTTTGTTTGTTTTTTTACCGTTTCCTTTACTTTTTTTTCATGGGAGGTTGGCTAGATGAGCCTATGTGATGCCCTCGCCTTCCATGTTTTTTGATACTCACTTTTCGAACCGGCATTCGAGTCGTCTTATCGGATGATGCGGCTCGTTACTGGTCAAGAATTTAGGGAATTGAATAGATGAAAATGTGCAAACTGACCTCTTATGCTAGAGTAGATTGATGTATGCTATAGCTAATAAAAAGAGCCCAGTCAGGAATAAAGCACCATTCAGCCTGTAGGCCGGTAAGGCTTTATGGCTCGACCATGTCTCTAGGTCATGACCCGAAGTATGTCTCTCGCTAGGGGTTATCATAGGTCCAACCTGTAGGGTCCAAAACACATGTACAGAATACAAACATATGTAATAAACAGTTTTGAGGTCAGTTCGCTGTCTACTCATTTCAAGCTCTTGATGAGAATTATAACGAAAATCAAGGAAGTCATGTTTGCCCACTGAGTCATTGACCGACTTCTTTACGCCAGTGATTGGTCACAGGGCGTCGGTAGACGGTAGTGCACAGGATGCGTGTACAAAATACTGTTGGAAGGCAATATGAGATGCCTTTCAAGTTGGACCAAGGTAATATCCCCTGTTTTCAATGGGGCATCTCCGTTTGCTCCATGCTCTCTGGCCCATAGAGTCCGTATAGAGTCTATTCTGTCAGCCCAGCCCAACGCCTCATGAACTCGTGTGGCGCTGAAAATAAGTCCACCTCAGCAACCATCGGTAACCCCGATCCCAATGGCTTATTTGCAGGTATACGTGTCTTAGCTAGGTTTTTTATTCGTTGCGTTGTTCTGGTGCGCCATGGCTGGCATCTAAGCATTTGGCGAACGAGTAAACGAACCGACGGACCAGCGAGAAACGAACTACCGGGATCTGTGCCATTCGGCAATCTGGAGACTGGAATCTAGAATCCTTTGAAATTTGGAACTTAGAAAATTTCTCTTTCTCCCGGAGATATTTCGCATCCGGGGACTGAACTGGACTTAAATGCCGAGCTTCACAGCATGACAGAGCAAGCGATGCCCGTTCTGGCCAATCACGATAAGCTCTGCCGGCCTTCGCGTCGCAACTTGGGACCTCCTCAGTTGCGGAATGCTGGAAGTGCCCGATTGGCTCCCTGTGCTCGGTCTTGAACGCCCGATTATCGCTGGGCCTAAACGGCCCGACCAGTGAGGCTCTGACCGGGGGGAACAGCGTGCGGGAGCAGCTTTGTTCCCTGCCTTGATTTCTTGGGAGTTCTTTTTCTGTTGTTCACTGCGGATAGAGAGGCCAGACGGCAAGGCTGGCGTGGTAAACCGCCCCCACGGACCTAAGCTCCCAAAAAGGCACTGAGTCCGAACTGCGATGTGAAGGATCGTAAGGCATAATCCTCATGTATGAACAAGCGCTGTGATGACGAAAGATAGTGCCGAGTGGCTGTTGGGAACCTGAAGCGCCACATTTACCAGGGTCGGCGGAGGCATTTTCCTTCTCCTAGAGACCTCTCCAGATCTCTATGGACCCTGATAAACCCAATTTTGAGTAATGCCTCTACAATATGAGGCCCCATGGAACATCGGAATAGCGAGGGATGAGGTACAGTCAGGATCATTTCTACGAGACAAGGCCCCCCGGTCTCTTCTAAATATTTATACAAAGAACCCAAGAACCTGTAGTGATGATCCGGGGGGAGATTCCCAGAAATAGCAAATCGGGACACTCTTTCGAGTGTAAACGTGAACCGGGCAAGCGTCGATTTCCAGGTAACACTATTGCGGTTATCAGACGTAGGGTACCTCTTCTATCTTCTCTGTACCACCCAGCCTCTAGATCCATCAATTTTAGACCCAATCTAGAGAAACCAGGATCCTTCAGCTGGCATCCTTAGCCCCCAGCCTGAGAAAAGGCGAAACTAGTCTTTTGGATTCTATTTTTATCTCCGCGCAACTAAATTGCTCCTTTTGCATACCGCACCCCAGCACGCCAACACGCTGGAGATGCCCCACGCTGAATTGCCCCCTATGCCCCCAAGGAAGAAGCCTCGGCGCTGACGTGAATTGGCAGGGCTGGCTGCCACTAGTTGGCCCGAGATACGCACGATCGTCGATCTGTGGTCCCTCCGTTGTCCTGGTTTTGAAAAAAAAAAAAAAAAAAAAAAAAGAAAGTACACAACATAGCTTGTTTCTTTTTTTGTTTCTTCCTACTTTCCATTTGTTGGGCTCACAAGCTTCGCGAGCTGAATGGAGATCATCTAGCTCTATTTCCTGCATTTCTAGACAAGTGCATCGAAGTCAATTTGGAACTTTGCTTGGGGTATGCCATATCAGAAGATCTACGAAGGTGGACTCGGGGGCTATGCCGAGAGGCCCGTCGATGGATCCGTGATACGGCAGACCGGCGCGCCCACTGAGTTGATCGGCTGCTCCGAACATGGGCATGGACCAACATTTGATTTACCTAATTGGGAATGTGACGCGAGTTGTGGATAGCTGGACATGGACAGGCAAGATGTTGGCGTTTGATCAATATTCTGGCTGCCGTGAGATGCATAGATGGGAGGATACTTAAGGCCTGCCAGGGTCTCACACTTTCGTTATCCTCTTAAACTTATCGCCTCCTTCGTTGCTACTCCCTTTTACCCCTGATCTGTGTTCGTGTCGGGTGTTTGTCTCTGGGGTTGAAGTCGACATGTCAGATATGGTCAATGAGAAACAGCCTGCAGAGGATCAACAGCCGGAGTGGAAGCCAACTTGGCAGCTCAAATGTATATTTGCAGTCCTTGGGCTGCTCAATTTTGTTGCAGCCCTAGATGCAACTTCTATCTCAGTATCTCTGCCGGTATGGGTGTCTCGCTTCTCATTCTTTATTCAAACCCCTTCGTATCCACTCGCTTCTTACTGATCAACCTTAACTAGACCATCTCCAATGACCTCGGCGGAACTGCTACCGAAGCCTTCTGGGCCGGCACCTCGTTTCTGGTGGCTTCCTGCTTATTCCAACCAATTTTCAGTCTCGCCTCCGATATTTTTGGCCGAAAAAGTATCCTTCTGACTGCCGTTACCTCTTTCACGCTCGGATCTATTCTTGCCGCTGTCGCCCAAGGGTTTGGCCTGTTGCTTGTGGGCCGGTGCATCCAGGGTGTTGGGGGAGGTGGTATTATGGCACTGACTGAGGTGCTCATTGCAGACTTGATTCCGCTCCGAGAGCGAGGCAAGTGGTTTAGCATACGCTCGGGAACCTGGGCACTCGGTACAGTGATTGGACCTCTCATCGGAGGTGGCTTTACCCAGTCTTCTGCATCCTGGCGATGGATCTTTTGGATCAATCTGCCCTTCTGTGGATTGGGATTGGTGTTGATCCCGATCTTTCTAAAACTAGACAGGAAGCCAGCTCCGCTACTAGAGAGTCTAAAGTGCGTCGACTATATCGGCTCGATTCTCTTTGTCGCCTCGTTGTCGTCATTCCTCATCCCTCTGACATGGGGTGGAATTATGTACGAATGGGACTCCTGGCACACACTCGTGCCACTTATACTGGGACTAGTAGGACTGGCTGGCTTTGTACTATACGAGAAGGATTTTGCGCAGCAGCCTCTTGTGCCCATCGTTATTTTCAACAACCGGACCATATTGGCTAGCTACATAGGGACCTTCCTTCACGGCATTATCTTGTGGGCCCTCGTCTACTATCTACCCCTTTATTATGAAGGTGCTCTGGGATATAGTCCCGTTATTGCTGGTGTGGCCGTGTTTCCCGAGACCTTTACTGTCGCCCCAATATCAGTAATCACCGGCATCATCTCAGCCAAAATGGGTGGCTACCGCTGGGCTCTGTGGGCCGGATGGCCAATGTCCTCTTTGGGTCTAGGGCTTCTCTGTCTCTTGAAATCGACGACAAGCATCCCTCAGTGGATCTTCATCAATTTGACAGCAGGTATTGGTCTGGGCATGCTTTATCCGGCAGTTATGCTCGCCGTGCAAGCCGCAGCGGACCCCGCATATTTGACGATGTCGGTCACCATGTCGCCTTTCTTCCGTGTGCTCGGCCAGGCTGTTGGTGTCGCGATCGGTGGCGTGGTCTTTCAAAATCGGATCAAGCATGAATTCGGCGCCCATCCTGAGCTCGGCGAGACGGCTATTTTTTACGCGCAGGACGCGTCTAGCCTGGTGGAGTATATCAAGACTCTTCCCAATGGAAGTGCGGAGCGTACTTTGATCGAACAATTATATGCCAAGTCTCTGGTGATTGTTTGGGCTGTAATGTGCGGAATAACGGGATTGGGACTCGTGACGGCTCTGTTGACCAAGGGATATACCTTGAATCAAACCTTTACTTCTAAGCAGGGACTAAAACCATCGGCTTCTGATGTTGAAGCTCATCAACAGAGCCCATACCAATCGTCAGACTCCGAGTGCACATTGCGAAACGAGGATTTTGAGTTTCAATTGAAACAATAGTTTTCTTTTCTCGAGGGCGGTGAATTTGCGAGCTTTGCAAGACTTATGGGGTCGAGGGGACTCACGATGTTATGACTTTTCTGAATCGGAGTTCTTTGGTATTCTCTGGATAATCATATATTTGACTTATTTTATATTTCTGAAAAGATAACTCCATCCGTTTTACTGATTCTTCGATTATCCCAGCATGACCAGACTTCTGCGATGCAGCCTTAGCCTCAAATGATGAAATATGTGACCCAAACATGTTCTAGATACAGGGATTAATTCGCATGATACCCGTTTTCCAGCAATACCTCACATATGATTTTCGTAGCTCTCTGATGTCCGCATCTAGAGATACCTCATTAATGCTCTAATCGATGAGTCAAGGCCCCATAGATCAAACAATGACCTCTACGCTACTCATGGGTTTCATTTAAACGTTCGAGTGGCGACAAAGTTTAGCTCGAAAACATGGAATGATTTTTGAGCTTCATCCTGAAACTTTTCAAAAGAATTGAATTTATGAGGTAGTTGGCAGGTGATACGAAGCGCTGGAATCAAAAAAAAGAAACTTGGACGGAACAGCACCAGTAATTCCGAAAGTAGTGTACGATATGCCGAATATTAAGAGGAATTGTACAGTCTATATAATTATGGAAGCATATAACGAAATAAAAATTATGGGCGTGGGAGAAAAAAGGGGAATAAGAGGAATGAGAAAGGGAAAGCCAAATAATATACTATAATTAGCTCTCGGGTTTGATGAGCCTAGTCCTGTGATCTCATGTAGTTTTCGTGGAACCACGAAGGAGTTGTTTGTACCCAAGGGCTAAGTACCTGAGAAGAGACTAATAATAGTAGACGCTCGGTATAATGATATTGTATCAATGCAGACTAGTTACGGGGTATTATTTAAATTAATATCAGTGAAAGTACTGCTCCTCTCCTTACAATAGTTCATGGGAGTGAGGCTCATGCCGTGGTATTGAAGGAGGCGTGCTTCCATTCAGCTCTTGTGGAAGAGGTGCGACATCACCACTTAATTCCTGCGAGTGATGTGTGGTGCCACTGCTTAGCTCGGGGGGTGAGGTAAATAACTCCTGTGGCGAACGCTGAACGATCCCCCCAGGAGTATATAAAGCGTTGACTTTCAATTCCTGCTGCTCCTGCCGCCGCCGACGACGTTGAATCAAGAACCAAGACCCAACGAATATTAGCGCAAATCCTCCCACGCCACATCCAACTCCAATGCCAGCCTTGGCTCCCGTTGAAAGTCCAGATGATGATTGAGTAGAGGACGCGGCACCATTTGGCGTAGATGATCCAGATGATGAGCTAGATGATGAGCTAGATGATGTCGCAGATGAAGATAAAGGAGTCCAGTAGGACTCCCAACTTTCTTCCCAGGAATTACTCGTACTCGAAATTGCTGTTTGTGATTCTGAAACGGAGGTGATTTCTGAAGTTGCGTTCAGTCCAGGACCAGGAGCTTGGGATAAGTACCAATTCCCATCACCATCCGCGTTTCCATAGTTTTCGAGAACAAAAGCCGCCTGAAGGAATGCACGCCCAAGGAAATAGGATTCAGTGGTAGGAAAGCAGGGAAAGTATGGTGTGCTATCTTCCACAAGGGGCGCCTCCAGGGTGAGATTCAGTAATCGAAAGGGAACCTTGATCGCGATAGTTTCGTCATCTGCTGAATTTTTCTGGAAAGTGAATGAGAGGTAGGCAGGAGACGTCACAATGGTTTGAAATTGATCATTTTGCTCCCAAAGATAAAGGCCAAGACTGTCATTGAATTGCACGGGTAGGTTTGCCGCAATGGCGTCGCAGGTGCTTCCTGGGAGATAGAGATAGGGGCGCGTCGGGTCGACTTCTAAGGTGACGGGGGCACTTATACTGGAATTGGACTCGGCAAGGAGCCCTGACTTTTCCGTGAAACTCCATGGAGATCCACCCGTGGCCACTCCCAGCCCGATATCTTGTAGGCCAATTACCAAATTCCCCCCAGGATGACTGCTGTCGAACGAAGTAAATGGCTGCGCCGATATATCTCCCATAATTCGATTTTGGTCGTAGCCTCCCAGCATCAGCGAACCAGGAATTCCAAGAGCTGCTGACCCGATGTGCATTGCCCACGAATAAGACGGAATTTTTGAGTCATCAGAACCAGATGCATACAAGTAATCGGCTATGAACATCATTGTTTTGCCATCCCAGATATGGGTTGGGGCGGGTGCACCCATTGATAAAATTCCAACGGAATCTGGATAGTTGTAACCGTTCGGGTATGTCTGATAAAACTCTTTCACACCAGTAATGCTAACATTTGGAACATTCGTCCCTCCGCCTAGTTTGAGTGTCTCATAGAAAACGCCCTTGTCAGCGTATCCATCCACTGAAGCGTGCATGGCTCCCCAAGACGGGTCTGTGATATAGTCCGATACAGTCACTGATTTTCCGTAGTTGAACAGCCCGGCCGTTTCCGCGAAACATGTCGATGATACTAGTTTGGTCGTGTTGTCGCAGAGTGTCGATAGGAGGATTGTGGATGACCACTGCCCACCGGGATAGAGAGCCACTTCTTGCTCTGGTGATCCCACTCCCACTGAAATGGCCTGCCATGGTCCATCGGGGCCAAAAGTCTTATTTGACCAAGTCATTGTATATGGCGAAGTCGAAGTCGCATCGATACCGCCGGGTAGGCAAAGGACCCAATGCCACCATAAGAGGGACATTGGAAATCTTGCGAACCGCATTTTGTGTGTTATACGGGTCGTGCTCCATATATCGGTTTCAAGTAAACGTCGGGACTTGCCGAACAAACCTGTCGGGGATCATGCTAGTGATTCAAGTGAGCTTGATTCAAGTAAGCCGATAGGTGACTGAGAAGCAAGCCGTTGCTCTATCCGCAGAGAAACTTTTGAGGAAGGCCGGACCGCGAGGCTTGAAAAAGGGACTCTTGCGCAATAAATCGCATGAACGTGCTCTTGAGTTGTCCTGTGCTCTCCTGCGGCCTCCCAAGTGGCGTAGATCTCCATTAAACAGGCAAAAGGGGGTAAAGTGGGACATGGGGCCAAAAATTAGTCAAGTACGCTAAGGCGGTTCATGCAAAGATGATGTTATGTATTGCCTCGTTTTGATTGAAGGCGAAGGTAAAATTCGGCGCTTATATCTCCGCGTGGCATTCATTCATCCTTTAGTTCAATTTGGTATCCAATACATGGGCCTTTTTCCGTAGATAATTCCTGAATAGGCTTGACTTGGTGGTGCTATGGCCACTCTGCTTGTTCCTTGATGGTTTCCGCTACCTCGCTGACTAGCGTGTTACGGCGCTGGGCTCCGAGTGTACGGGATACCATACAAAACAAGCAGGGAATCAAGTACTGTACCTCCTCTCCATAGATTGCCACCTCATATCTCGGATTCATAATTCAGCGCATCCTCTCAACTCAAGATTATTATTTTGTACGTACCATGAAGGTAAAGCCTGTACTGGCTATACAACTAAATCTACCAAGTTGATCCATTTGTCATTGCTGAAACTGACAGTGTCCTTTTGCGCATCTGATACATGCAGGGTTTCGTCGCCAAGCGGGGGCATATTGGTTTCTGATTCGCTCGCCTAAGCATCGTTGACTCCTTGGCGGCATAGCATCTACGCGCCCGAAAAACCGCTTCTGCTGCAAGGTACGCGCCGGTCTACGCCACGAGAACGATGAGCAGGAATTATTGCCTATTACATGAATCTTGGCAGCTTCCCTGAAACCTCAATTTCCGAGGCCTGCGCAAGCGAGCAAGTTTAGTCTGGCTCGCTGAATGTGTGTGTGTATACAAGTTCCGATGGGACAATTCGTACATCCAAGCTAGCTGAGCGAAAGAGCTTTCTCCAATTTTCTTTTCCAAACATCGGTACCATCGCACCGGTACACCGTTTGATTCCACGGGCAGACGGATAGATCTGACAGACTCTCATCACGGCGGCAAGCCCTCTAGTCGACATCGCCAATAACACTCAGAGTAGGAATTCAGAGATCTCCGTCGCCATTTCAACAACCCGGATAAATGTAGATAGTTCAAAGAGAAAAAGTTATTGTCACATCCGGTCAGATTCCTCGTTTATCAGTCTTCGGCTCAGATCAATCATTTTCAATCTCTTCGATTTTTCTCATATGTAGCTCCGCCCGACGTGGCACGCCCCGCAATTGGGCTCTTGTTTGGTTTGACCTTTCTTCATGTTCAAATAATGTGGGTGCTACGATTTCAATCAGACCTCAGAGGAGACTATACGACCATTAGAGAATGCAGAATAAGAATTAAACGCCGAGGCAAAAATAGTTTCCTTGGCACGTTTTGGTCCTTCTCTTTGAGTGTGATTTCAGGGGGCCTACGCGCCAGTGGTTCGGCTTCCCCAGCAGCTTGGCACCAGGTCTCAAAATACAATCCACTCAATTGAACTGGTCAAGACGGAGCATCTAGGCAGAACTATAGCTACATAGATAATTCACTCCAAGTTCAAGCAATATCTAATATCACTTTCACTTAATGGTTTTCGCGCGTGTGCTTCACTCCTGCTGGTCCCGAACGAAACCGATGAAAGTTCCTCTTTAGCTCTGCTCCCTACAAGACACCACAGCCTGGCGATCTCCAAAAAACGCTCGAGACCACCGAAGGGAACAGTAAAATCAATGATAATTCATCCACAAATAAAATTGCGACATATCCTTTTCGCTCATCGCTTCATGTATCTTCACGTTAGATGCATTGGTTGATTGATAGACAATTTATCCCATAATCTAGGAGGAAGTCTGTGAATGAAGCATACGCAAGCTCCAGACATGCCTGCGACAAAAACAGTCTTGCCATGGTAGTAGCAGTTACATGTAGGAGATCTTCGTTTGTCAAGATGAAATTCTACCAGTACAATCGTTGTGGGTAGAAATTGAGTTTGCTCTTGACACGAGTTTAAGTTCGCAATGCTTGAATAGCTGCTTCATGCCTCTCCGCAATACCTTCCTGGATAACTCTCTCCATTTCTTCGCCCCAGAACGAAGCGTAGGACACCGCACTGGGAAAACGGCCCTTCACAAATGGATCAGCTCCTTCTTTGAGGAGCCACTTGACACGCTCCATCGCTCCGGCCATTACTGCGTAGACAAGCGCATATTGAGGCTTCATATGCCGTGTTTCAATCTTGTAGTTCACATCAGCCCCATACTCCACTAAAAGGCGCATCACAGGAATTCGATCCGTGTCAAACTCCTTGCTTGGCTCTACCCGGCCGGTATGAGGATTTGCTCCCGGGGGACATACTCCAGCAGCGAAGTGCAAAGGTGCTCCATTTTGAATCCTTGCGCCGGCATTCAAAAGCATCTGCACGCTTTCGAAACTATGATGCGCCGCAGCGAACTCGAGAGCATTGCAAGATTCAGTGTCAGAGCTACCATGCCGGTCACGAAAGTCTTTCTGTGTGCCTAGATTGGGATTCGCGCCGTGTTCCAGAAACCATGACAGTAAGGGCAAGTTCCCAAGTACCCTTGGAAGGAGTACAGCACCGTAGTATCCCGGGGTATTCGGAGTCCAGCCGTGAGCAGCAAGGAGCTCGAAAAGGGCAATGCGCTGGTGGAGTGGTGCCTTGAGAATAATTTCTGGGGTTTGTCGGACGATAGGTGCACCATTTTCAAGAAGATAGCGAGCAGCGTCGACGTTTCCGACTCGAAGAGCGATTAGCAGACCTCGGTGAAGGAAAGCCGGTGTCCGACTTTGCGAGGACACGATTTCCTCGATTGCAGATACGACACCCCTTTGGCAAACAGAGTCAAATGTCAAAAAGGATGGGGGCTCGGGCAATATATGGTCCAAATCCTCTGCCTCGAGTATAGGTATATCATCATAGTGGGAGCCCATTGCCATGGAACACGACTGGGCACTTTGACTCGCGGCAGCAGCTTCCCGTTGCTGCCTCGCCCTCATCACCATTTGTTGTTGACGTGCTTTCATCATCAAGTCCCTCCGAATTTGCTCTTGCGATGGCATGTTGTGTAGTTGGTTGAGTTCCTGTCAACAGGTACCAGATCTAACTTTTATTGCTGGGTCTACACGATATCACAACCGGCCTGTGATGGGTAATGCGAAGTGAGCAATGAAGGAAAATGTGCTGCGATTAACAAACGGGTCCATAGCCTCCGAGTGGTCTCCCGATTGGGAAAGAGAGAAAGCTATCTACATTTGGTGGGACAGTGACAGCGACATGGAACCCAAGGCTGAAAGGAGGCTTAGTAAGTGCATGTCAGGCTGATTACAAAGCATACGGGCTTAAAATCATGGGAAACTAGTTGTTCCTCAGGCTGTTGGGACTGATGGCCCCAAGGAATATTGGTTGATTGGTTAAGAAGAGGAAGGCTGAAGCTATCGTGCTTTATTTAAAGCATCCAGCGTTGAGAGGAAAGGCTCAATTGTCATGTCTCTACCCTACACGCCCTTGGGGGAGTGAAAGTGAACATTTGAAAATAAAATATAGAAGAGCTAGCTAAGTAACTAAATATTAGTCTAGGAAGATCATTGACTACGATAATAATTCAAGATCGCTCATGAAAGAACGAAGTACATCGGCGGATTGAGGAGGTGCCTCTAGTTCTGGTCAGCACCCGACTTGAACTTTTGGGGTTCCAGCAACCACTCGGTCGGGCGAACTAGTATATCTCCATGATTCAGGCAATTGAGGGGTCTGTGAATATCTCGAGACCGAGCTGACTACAGCAGATGCTTAGAGAAATCTCCGTCCTGCCGCCTCGATACCTTGTGATGAGCCTCTTGATACTTCGCAAACCCTCTCTTGTGGGCGCCAATCAGCGCCCACCTGTTACTATCCTCCCCGCCCGCACGGGCAGTGCGTATCGACGGGCCTACTTTCCCCTCCACACGACCACTTCCACTTCGATAGTTCTATTCTTGACAATCTATAACTCAAAATACCAAGGCAACACCCTCAATCCCCCCTTGACTTGTCTCGGTCAATTCTCCCGGGCCGCAACACCCACCCCCAATGTCCAAATACGAACGGGCACTCGCCCTTATCGACGCCGCGCACAGCGACGACCCCACCACCACCGGCGAACCCCCGGCCCCCTACGAACTGCACTACGCCCAAAAAATGACGAGCTACCTGGAAAAGCTCGATCCCTCCGCCCCAGACCTTCTCCGCCTCGCAATCCGCGCCCAGCACCTGCGCCGCTGGGAAGTCCCGCGCGCCTCGTACCCGCAGACCAAAATAGGGTACCACAGCTGGCGCGCAGGGCTGCAGCGGCGGCAGGCGGAGCTGGTCGAGCAAATGTGTGTGGAGGCCGGGTACAGTGCGGCGGAGGCAGGGCGGGTCGGCGCGTTGGTGCGCAAGGCAGATTTGAAGAGCGGGGATCCGGATACGCAGACGCTTGAGGATGTGGCGTGCTTGGTGTTCCTGGATGACCAGTTTGATCGGTTCGAGACGCAGCTGGCGGATGAGGAGAAGATGGTGGATATTTTGCGGAAGACGTGGGGGAAGATGTCGGAGCGTGGGCGTGAAGAGGCGTTGAAGATTGGGTTGTCGGCGAAAGGGGGAGAATTGGTGCAGCGGGCGTTGGGCGGGTGAGAGACCTTGTTTCGTTCGATTATTGGTTTGGAATATTGTTGGAAGATGGTGGCATAGGATACGCGAAGAGCTTTTTTTTTTGTCGGGGTATATGGGATATCCATTTATGGGAATGAATTTACGATGGTTTCGATATGAGATTTGGTCTCAGACTTGCGAAGGTTCGTCATTAAAACAAATGTGTTGAGATGGTCTCTCGAGATGATCTATCTCCATGATATCTGATTTAAACAAGAGAAGAAAAAAATGAGAAAAGAAACGCCCGCTGATGTGAGTTCCGCAGAACAGGCCGTCGTGAGAATCATTAAGAGTAGAGAAAGAAAATTGGAAACAAACACCATCAAAACTCCAACCCATATGCATACCTCTTTTTTATTGGCCTGGAGGAATCTCCTCCACATGCATGAAATCCATTGGAACAGGCACTCAAGCATTGCCGGTATCAATCAACCGGACCAGCGCGATGGCCGCACCGGCCGCGGCGCCGCCAACGAAGCACATCTGGACGCCGCCCCAGATCGCAGCCACGATATTCGCGCGGCCCGCCCAGCCGCGCACCACACAAGTTTTGAGATATCCAAATACAAACAGGGTCACCGCCATCACCCCGACACTCCAGTACAACGCCAGTAGAACCTGGGATGCGATGAAGTAGGGAATCAGCGGGATGAATCCACCGACAAAGTAGCCCAGCGCAAGAGTGATAGCACTGATCCAGGCCTGATTGCAGTCCGGAGCAGACTCGCGATGGTGGAAGGCCAGCAGAAACTCCAGCAGCCGCTCCTGCGAGGCATGCAGATCCCGTGTGATATCTTCGATTGCCGCGCTGGACAGACCATACGGGGCAAAGGTTTCCCGGACCATGACGCGAGTTTCTTGCGGGTCGCTCTCAATGAGCGCTTGGGTTTCGCGGACGGTAGCTTCATAAGATTCACTGGGACAGTTTAGCAGGTGGCTTCACCATGGGGACCAACAGGCCTTGATATGGAAGGAGGAGACTTACGCTTCGCTCTTGGCCCCGACGTACCCGCCCAGGCCCATGGAGATAGCACCGGCCGCGAGCTCGGCCAGACCACCCAGCACGACAACCTTGGTATTGCCGAGCGCGGAGAGGCCGGCGCTTAGAGCGAATGGCACGGTGAGGCCATCGGAGAGACCGAGAATAGCATCGGAGATGATGCGCGGGTTGATACGAGACCGGCTGCTACTGCTGCTACTGGTGGATCCGTCATGGCTATCAATGCGGCCAAAAGTATCATACGAGCGTTGCGACTCTAGGTCCTGGTCGGAGTCGCCACGGATGGTGTCGTCGTCGTCGATGCGGGCGAGAAGAGGCTTGCCTAGATCGGAACCGCGTTAGTCTTGGTGCGGCCAGAACGAGATCTCATTTGATAGATCACGAGTTTGGCGACAAGGGGCAATATTGCACTCACTCTGTACGTGTTTGGATTCCCGATTGGGGAACAACTTCTGTTTGAGGAAGAGCAGTGCCATGATGAACACGAGGGGAGTTTCTCAGTGTCGCTATTTCAGGTTCGTGTTCTGACGAGGCCGGCTTGGTTCGCAATGTGGACGTCTTATATTCGTCGTCCGCGGCAATATCAGGTTCGGAGATATCACTCTGGAGATGTCGGAGACAAGCTCACAGCTACCGGAAACGCAGGAAGAGCTTCTCCGACACGCGATGGATTGTGGCAAAGCAGTTGGCTGACGTCAGGCCCGATACAGGATCAACAGGACCAGGCAGAGAGGGAACGACAAAATGAGGAAAATGAGGCAAAGACTAGAAGGCCAAGATGGATACCACAAAAGCAGTAATCTCGATTGCTCTCTGAAACCCGTGAAACAACTTGAACGCCGGGATTGGCAGTGCTGACAGGTCGATCAATGGATCTTTGGAGGTGCCGTGCAACGATGTCTGAGAGAGAGAAACGTCCAAGAGCCCAATGTCCACTTAAAGCTTCCTCCACGGCGTCTGCCCCTTTTAACTTGCCCCCTCCAACACACCGGTCCTCACCAGTGCCAACAGTTTTAGCAGGTCTCCATTTGGCCCATCGAGCGGAGACCAGTAACCAGCAGAACCGCCCGTTCGAGATGCATTCATCGGGGCCTCAGATCCAATCATAAGCCCGCCAAATGTCAGCAGATGACGCCTGGGGGGCCATCACAGGCATTGATGACCACCATTGGACCGAAATGGGCGCAATAAAGTGCAGCATGCAAATGCAAATGCAGCGGCTGCGATTGGATGGAACGGAATTGCTGACCATTCACTCGGTTGTGAGTGGTGCATCTGGGCGATCGACGCGGGATCCGCTGCTGGTCCCGCTTCTGGTTCCCTTCGATGAGTCGCGAACTGACCTTTAGGCCGCGGGTGATTGGGCCGTCGGAGCAACATCAAGAAAAAAAATGTTGGACTTGGCGTTACGGACTCGGTGTTCATTTCCTCTTTCCCGCTTCTAAGGACAGAGAGGCGAGGAGTCCCAACTCCGTAACTGCTGTCGCGGACTTGCAGGCTCGGTTTTAGTGGAGTACGACATACGCCGTGACTCCGGGCTCGCTGGAATGGGAATTGCCCAAGCTGGGGCTTAGCAGCTTCACAGGCCAGTGAGAACAAAGATATATGAGAACTCGGTCTATAGAGTTGAACCTCTCTATATGTATGAGATAGACGAGACTGAAGAAGTACCGGTCGGCAAACCCTCCATCGGGTTCTAGGCTTCTATACTCCCGAAACTGTTGGATTATCTCCGAAAAAGAAGAAATTATGAAACGTCTCACTGCAAGTATGCTCGGGAAATAACAATCCCCCACTTTGTTGTTCTCTCTTTTTTTTTGGCTTCTTCCGTTGGGACTGCAGAGAACAAAAAGGAGTCTGTTGCGAGCCAAGAGCGAGGAAAACAAGATTCTAGATGGGTCGCAGTGGAGCTTGATCCAGCTAAAAATTTGGACTGTGGGGACGACAGACGGTAGTACAGCAGTAGTCTACTTCTTGGAAGAAATAATATTCATAATCTGGCCAAATACACGACAGCGCTTCTTGGGTAAAAGTCCAGATGTAACTGGGCGCGGCCGCGCTAAGGATCTTGTGAGAGATTTTATATTTATATTCTTCCCAACAAGAATTACCTCAATTCAAAATAGAGAATGTTCCCCCATGTTCAAATTAAATTCCGGATCGCCGTCGCGCTCCAGCTATGTAAGCTCAGTAGGTAGTTACAATGTATACCAATAAACCCAAAAGGCAGGATAAACAGCAGACCTCCACCCTTGTTTACAAGGCCAGTGCCATTCCCAAAAGACCCATCGCACCGGCCATACCCATCGCCATACCTCCTGTCGCAGCAGGTGCACCACCAGTCGACGTTGACGTCCCTGTCGACGAGCCGCTTGCACTTGGGATTGACGAACTGGCAGTCGAACTGGCGTCACCACCACTCTTGGACGACGTGCTCGACCCGGAGGCGGTCGCCGTGGCCTCCGCCGATTTTGCGCTCTCTTCAATCGCCGTGATGTAGGCCTTGAGGTTGGGGTCGAGGGTCTTCACGAACTCTTTGGAGGTCGCGTACACGGCTATGACTGAGTCCAGCGCCTCAGTGTTGGTCTTCAGCTCCTCTTGAACGGAGGAGGGCAGAGCCTCGACGAATTCCTTCTGGATGCGGGCCGGCACGGAGGTGATCTCACCCGAGGCCGAGGTGATAGAGTGGTCAGCCTTGGTGCCAGTCGTGACTTCATGCTGGTTGCTTTCACTAATAATAGTGGCCTCGTCAGAGGTTGCGTTCGGCGCTGGGGCCGCGATGGCCAGCGTAGAGAGGAAGAGAACGGTCAGGGTCTTGAGTTGCATGGTGAGCGCTACCGGTAGGTTGTACTTGAGAGAGTAATGGATAGAAGGGTAAATCGTGTGATTTTTCAGTATTCAAGTATCAGGATGTTGGCAGGCTGCTCTGTTGAGGGCTGGTTGCTTAATTGTGACAAGCATCGTACCGGGGCCACAATTCGCCTTAAGTACTCTGTAGAGCGTGGATGACTGGGGGAACCCTCGGCGGCAAGATTCAGGGTTCTCAAGCAAAGCGACCAACGTCTAAAATTATCGTCCTACGATGAGCTCCGTTGGTCTCTCAGCCGTTTGTGATATGCAGATCGAAAGGGTCCAACGCAGGGTTTCCGGGGCTAAACCAATGACATCCTGTTGGCCCCCAGTTGCAGATCTGTCAGGGTCCCATATCACACCAGGCTGTGCTGTCGCAGATTTGGGGGGAGTTGGGGGCCTTGGAGCTGTAAATCAATCAATGCGCCACGGGGGTATCGCGAATTGAGGAAGAAGCGCTGTCCATCAAACCATGATGCTGCAGGGGCCTCCCCGGGAGGCAGGGTAGTCAAGTTCAGGCGCCACTGTCGTAAATGTTGCAAATACTTTGAGTGATCGAAGCAATGGTCATGAGCACGGAGACTGGCGATAGGTATCCAGTCTACATATGATTGAAACGATCATTTTAATACAAGATCGAAGATATAGCATGGATCTGAAAGGTCGAAGCCTCGAGGAACAGGGCCTGAGTGGAAACTGGACGAGCCGCAGTGGGTCCGCAACTCCGCCGCAAAACCAGGCCCCCACGACGTCATGCCGCGCTTAGCTACAGTCACATTCACAGCTCCTATGTCTCGTTGTTGTGGCTGTTACACTCCAAAGACCAAAGGCACGAGATGGCACGATGCACAGCGAGGATCCTACAGCTGCAGAAATGTTGGGAGAAAAAAAGTGTATGTTGTAGTAAAAAGAGGTATCAAAAGAGGTATCAAAAGAGGTATCAAAAGAGGTATCTGTGTTCTCATCTATAGATTCATCGCCCTTCAGCGCGCTCAACCAACTGATCTTCCAGCCCCATCGGCTCCCATGTGTCCTTGGCCTTCTTATTTTGTACCCACACAATATCCCCTTGGAGGAATACCACCACTCCGCCTTTGCCAGTGGCACTGGCAGTGATACGGAACAAGGGCAGTCCATTTTTCGGGTGGGCCTCACGCAACGGCAGGATAATAAGTCCCTGTTCGGCACACCATTCCTCCACAACGTCTTTGAAAGCAACCTCCTCCATGGCCTTTGGTTTAGGGGCTGGGGCCGCAGCTGAGACGGTCGCTGCAGCTGCAGCTGCAGCCGCAGCCACGCTTTCTTCTTTGGTAGGAAGCACAGGGCGGTCATGAGGAGTGGGGCGTGCGAGCTCGGCGGCTGCACGATCGCCAAGTTCAAGGGCTTGGTCCATGGTGTGCATGCCCTTGTTCCACTCATCTTGTACCATAACCAGCTCATTGATCTCGGCTGGGATTTGAGTCTGCCACCAGGAAAACCACGCGCCGACTTCTTCGTAGTTTGGATCGTTGGTGAGCCAGATATATAAAATCTCATGCCACTTCGGAAAGAAGTCAGACACTAGGAGGAGGCCCATCACCTTGGGTTGGAAGAACTCCTTCCAACGGAAGACATCCTCCAGGGCGGTCAAATCCTGGTCCTGGGGATTTACCGCAAAGTCTTCCCGGAGATGACGGGCAAGGCGTGGTAGAAGATGGTTGCGCAAGCATACATCAAATTCAGTTCCCAAAGCATCCCGCCAAAGCTCGATACCATTGATCAAACCACGGTGCAAACTCCAGGAGTCAAGCACCACACGAAATTTCCTCTTCGCATCGGACATGAGGCCTGTGGGCTGGGTTGGGTTGGTGTGACGGTCGCCCAGGTATTGTAGCCATGTGAATAGCCACCACGGGAACTTTCCATCGTGCTGTGAGGGATTTCGACGGCTGCTCCGAGGTTTCCATTCTTTTAATGCCCCACTTAACTTTGGGACGACCAGTTGGTCAAGAACATTGGCAAATACAAACCCAGGCACAATCGACTTCCAAGCGATAACCAGAGCAGTCGCCGCATTCGGATCGTAGACATCCCAATCGTTCAAAAGTGCCGACCGCACGCGTGGTAACCAAAGAGTGTATATCATCGTTTCATAAGGTGACGTCGATTGCCGCTGTCGACCCTCTTCATTCTCGGTCCGGCGAGACAAAAGAGGTTGGAGTCGAGCGAGGTTGGAAACGAGGAAATGGGGGTCCTGAAGAGGTTCCCATTCCTCCATGGCTTGTCGAAACAGTGGGTGGATGGCAGCAACAGCTGCCTCTGCAATCCGATATTCATCCATCACATCCCGATATTTGGTTTCCATGGCCTCGAACTTTTCGGTCATCTCGTTGAATTTGGAAGCAACGCTTTCGTCGTGTTCGAAGATATCCAGCTCCTCCACGGCGGCGATCAGTCCGGTGAGATGGCTGACACGGGCTTGGTACGCATCCAGCTCATCCACTACCTGGGCCTCCTCAACCTCGATGAATTTCTTCCGCTCAGTCAACCCCTTCCATTCGTCCGCGAAGGCTTCCAAATCAGTTCGAGCACGTCGAGCGATTTTCATCGCTTCCCCCTCGCCCTGACCGACAAATTCCTGCTGGGTCATCAAACCGGCCGTGGACGTCAACACCCGTTGTTCCTTCCCTGTGGCGTCGACGAGCGACTTCAGAACGTTTGGTACTTCGAGGCCCTCCATATCGTCCTCCATCTCGCGTGCGGTTCGGAACTTGGGCTTGGCGCGCGCAACCGGAGTACCTGTTCCACTGCGACTCTCTGTCTTGCGTTCATCCTTCTTCTTACGCCGACGGCGTTTTTCTTCATCTGAGCTGTCCTCCACAGATTCACCACGTTGCGTGGCCGCTCGTTTTTCTTCCTCGCGAGTCTGCTTGCTCTTCTCCCGAACAGCTCCCAGGCCTGCGCCCTGTGGTCGCAGCTGTGCAGAGATCGGGTTGACAATACCCTGGCCACTGGAACCCAGGCCTTGTCCCTCCACGTAGCCCATCTTCGCCATCATGCGCGCGGCGAACGAATTGCCCCCCGAGCCCTTTCCTCCTCCACGAGAGGCTCCAGCACCTCGGGGCGCTGCTGTCGTCGTTGCGCTCGCCATATTATTCCATGGATTGCGAGCTGCATTGCCCAATCCACTCATCGCGGGAGGTGACTCGGAGCGCTCACGGGCTCTACCGAAGCCTCGAAAGCCGGTGGTCGGGCGCGCATCGTCTTCGGAGGAGCTCATATCGTCGACCTTACGCTTCTGGCCAGCATATGACGAAGGTGACTCCATGGTGCTTAGATAGCCACCATAAAAGAAGTCCCTGTCAAAGACAATTCTCTTTGTAGCTCGAACAGTTTTAAGGTTGCGGCGGGCAAAGACTCTCGAGCTCGGTGAAGTTCCCGTGTGGAGTCAGCGCCAGTCACGTGGATCCGAAAACAAGATGACGTTAAGCTCGGTTACTTCATACCTCGAGTTCCGATCCTTTCCCTCTTTTCTTTCACTCAATAGAAGGGATTCTTCTTTTCAACATACCCCTAACTCAATCATTCCATTCGCAAATCTCTACAATGGCTGCCCTCCTCTCCAACTCCGCCCGTGTCGCTCTGCGCTCGGGAGCTTCGGCTACTTCCAAGGCCGGAGCTGCGGGCTTGACTTTCACCCGCGGCAAGGCTACTCTGCCTGACCTGGCTTGTAAGTTGGGTTCCTCCAATGCATTTGATACTCTGGTGATGCATTCTGGGCGCCATTTAAACCTGCTAATCTTGAATCGTAGACGACTATGGCGCCCTTGAGCCTTCCATCTCTGGTCAGATCATGGAGCTCCACCACAAGATGCATCACAACACCTATGTTACCAACTATAACAATGCTATCGAGCAGCTGCAGGAGGCTCAGGCGAAGAACGACATCGCCGCACAGATTGCCCTCAAGCCCGCCATCAACTTCAATGGTGGTGGTCACCTGAACCACACTCTCTTTTGGGAGAACCTGGCCCCCAAGAACTCTGGTGGTGGTGAGGCCCCATCTGGCGCTCTGGCCCAGGCCATCGACAGCACCTACGGCAGCCTTGGTGAATTCCAAAACAAGATGAACACTGCCCTCGCCGGTATTCAGGGCAGCGGCTGGGCCTGGCTTGTCAAGGACAAGCAGACCGGCCAGATTGGCATTCGCACCTACGCTGTAAGTGATTTGTCTTGATTCTCAAATTAGATATCAGTTGCTAAACCTTTAATCAGAACCAGGACCCTGTTGTTGGTCAGTTCCAGCCCCTTCTGGGCATTGACGCCTGGGAGCATGCCTTCTAGTAAGTCCAACGAATATCGGCGGTAAAATTGCACATTCACTAACAAGCCCAACAGCCTGCAATACCAGAACCGCAAGGTTGAGTACTTCAAGGCCATCTGGGATGTCATCAACTGGAAGGCGGTTGAGAAGCGTTTCTCGTAAATGCGTCTTGTATAGCGACTTCTTTCAAATCTGCCCCTTAAATCTGTATTGTAGCATGCGCCTAGCAACTCCAATCTGGACGCTTTTTGGTTACTTCATCGTGCTCAGCCTCGTAGCTCTAGGTGCATCCTCCCACATAGGTAGTCCTCTCAGCCTGTAGTTGTTCAACTGCAAAACGGTCGATCGGAAGACGAATCCAATATAGAATATACACTCCAGGCCTGTGCAGCCATATATGAATCCTATCCTTGAAAAGACCCAAGCGCTTTATTGGAACATCATATCATAATAGAAATTGAAGAAGTCGATTCCTAGTAACCAAAATTCAGGACTTTAGATTGCCTATCACGTGAAAGCAACTGCCAAAAAGCGCTTTCAGGGCCACTCGTTAGTCCCAGCCTTGCAACTGCGGGCCGAACCAGCGTACCAGCTTGGCCCCCATTTTACATCGCAGTATAGGCTCTATAAATGTTGATGAGTGGTCGGCCCCGATTTTTCCGATTGATGTTAAATCTAGGGGGCCTTGGATAAATACCGGTCAACCCCCGCGATCTTCTATTGTTCCTTCTCCTCAGACCAGATCCAGCCTCTAAATCAGCCGCAAAACTTATCGAAAGCGAGAGCACTCTAACGTTTATTGTCAGATTCTCACCTTCAACACGGGAAATGGCGACGGGACGCTCATCTCTCAAAGGTCAAGCTGCCATCGTAACTGGTGGTGGCTCCGGTATCAACCTCGCCTTCTCACAACTTCTGGTTGAATTTGGTTGCAATGTACTTATTGCTGATCTCGGCCTTCGCCCTGAAGCACATGAATGGATCAAAGCTACAGAGAACTCCGGCAATGCGAATCTAGGCCGCCCCTTTTTCCTGAAAACTGATGTGACTGACTGGTCCCAATTGGAGCGTACGTTTACTGAGTGCATTGCACGATTTGGACAGAGTCCCACGATTGTCGTGCCTGGTGCAGGGATCTTCGATCTTTCGACGAAGTCCTTCTGGGATGACTGCGATACAGACAGTCGGTACAAGGTACTGGATGTCAATCTGACGCATCCAATCAAGATGACTCGTCTGGCTATACGGCATATGCTTGATGCGAAGAACAATACTGGCCATGCTGGAGTTTATGGCACCATTATTCACGTTTCGAGCATCACGGCGCAGCTTGCGAGTATGATTACGCCGCTCTACGCAGCGAGCAAGCATGGCATCAGCAGTTTTGTCCGTAGCATGGCACCTCTTCAGGAGGCTGCCGGCATTCGAGTGGTCGGCGTTGCTCCTGGGTAAGTGATACCATAGATATTGGGATTCTGAACACCAAGTTTGGCACTTCATATCGGCTGACTTGGCACCATTCTCATCACAGCACGGTCGCAACTCCTTTGATGACGGAGCATGCTGCAACTGCGAGCCTCCTGAATCTGAAACGGGATTTTTTACTCCCCCCGGAAGAGCTCGCTCGGGCAATGATGGCTCTTGTCCTTGACATAAAACGTTACAAGGCCGGTACCATCCTTGAAGTGTGTGACATTGAGGGAAGATGGCGGGAGGTCTCGCTGCTAAACGATCCAGGACCTCAAGGGCCCGCAAGCAACATAACTGGAAGTAAACGGGCAGTGGTAAACGATATCTGGAAAATTTTGGGCCTTAGAACAGGGGCAAAAATATGATATGTATTTTTTCGCATCTAGTGGTTGCCAAGATGGGAGAGAACATATGGATTGGTATTGGGTATAATTGATCAGGGGCCCCTTTTATTAACGGAATGATCGCATGACTTCGATAGCATATGCATCAACCGAGCCATTAAAGCTACGCGAGACTGTCGACCGCTCCCTTTGATCTTCTGCTTGGAGGATTTCAGGTCATTAGGCGGGCCTACTAGTGGGCATCTCAATTTATCCTTATACTCTCGCGAGATGGATCCAGGGAATTTTGCCTCTACTCCGTATGCCAAACCACCGTTAGGCCTGGGACTTCTACAGCTGTCCCGAAACAAGACAGCGGGCGAAGCAAACCCGGCAGATCGAGTTTGGAATTCAACAAGATGACAATGTTCGAAGCAAATGCGGACACCTTTGCGCCATTTCCCCAAGTGATCGTAGAGATAAATGTTGCGCTAAATCGGTGTTCATTTCGGATTGAGAAAAGGATCCATTTAGGGAAGCCCCCTTCAACTCGAAATTGAGCTCGAGTTGTGAGGCGCAGCTAGATCCAGTAGATTCAATTGATCGATATTTCTGAGACTTGATGAGCGAAAGGGATCCCAGGCAACGGAGCCTATATCTTTATGCCTTGGGGCCGTCCCGTACGTTGCCTATGCTGGGCTTCTCTTGGCCCCCACGCAGGGACAAGATGCATTTAAAGGAGGCTTGCGGCCAAGCTTTCTCACGCTTGTTCCCCAGTCGCGTGGCCCGATGCTGCTGAAAGGATCAGCATATGCTGCAGCCCTATCATATTCGTGTGCGGTAAGGAAGTACTACCAGCAAGATCATGCCGGGGAAGCCTTGGCAGTCGGGAGGGTGTGGTACGTGTAGAAGGCGCAGGGTCAAGGTCAGGGAGTCGGCACAAGTCAACCTGAATCATTCTAGGCTGACATTCACTGGTTCTAGTGCGATGAAACAAAGCCAAGCTGTGCGCGATGCACTAAGTTGCGGATTAAATGCCTCGGGTATAGAGATGAGGGACGCCTTTTCTTTCACCAGACAATCGAGCAATGGCAGGAGAAATCCAAGAAGTCGGCGTCTAGGTCGCGATCCCGTCACCATGCACACCAGCTAGTGGTTCCGACACATGTACAGAATGGCCCAGCCTTGCGTGTCCAGATTTTCTCTTCTTTTCTCAATATCTACTTCCCCGTCGATGTTCGAGAAGTAAGCGGACCAGATTCCTGGCACTTCATGCTAACGGGACTGGGCATGCTTCCAAAGAAGGCGGAGATAATGGATATGGCTCTTTCGGCGATGGCAAGTGTCTATCTAGGCAAAACAACTGGCGATAATACTCTGTTTCACCATGGGATTGGACTCTATAATAGATCCATACGGCTCTTTTCAAGGATGATCGATCGAAGAGACTTTTGCGACGACCTGATATACACTGCCCTTGTGTTTCAAGAACTAGAGGTCAGTAGCATCTCCTCAAGATATTCCGTTCCACGCATGAAGTTGACAGCCAAACAAAAAGTGTTTCTATTGTCCCCATGGCCTGCAAACATGGATTGCTCATGTGATAGGCACGAATGCGCTTATCAGACAGTACAAGGAATATTGCCCCCCACCCACAAATCCTGTCATGAAGGCAATCGTCAATAAATACCATAAGCTTCGCACGGTATGTCAATCATCATCCGGTAACCTCATCATGTTCAGCTTGCCGTATTGACGCTTGAAAGCTTTTCACCATGGGCATATCCGGTGACGAATACAAGTATGTCTTGGATTCAGAAAGTGATGCAGACACCCCGATCGATGAGCTTGCTCGAATTTATGCAAATGCTGCCGTCCTTAATGATACATTCAATAATATCGATTCATCCGACTATGATGCTTGTCAGAACTTGCTACATGATTGTCTCGCGCACAGAGAGCAAACGTTGGCTTGGTATGGAAGTAGATTAGGCGTCAAGGCAGGACCTTTCGAGTGTGAAAAAGGAGACATTCTTTGTACAGGGCTGCCATCAACAGATGAACTATTTGGACCCCCTTATCGGTTTCTTTCGCTTGATATCGCGAGAGCTCATTTTGTCTTTTGGAGTGCGATGTTGACCATTCAGCCATTTATCTATCATGTCAAAGCTATGATTCGAGCTCAAACAGACATGGGGTCTCCAATTGAGCCATCCCAGGATGACGACTATCTTATCGCGGGATGGTTTGCCGACCAAGTAGTTCGGACTATGCCGTTTTGCGTACAGGATAAGTACAAGTTATCTGGAGCTCATATCCTTATCTTCCTTACGGGTCAAATAGCCAAGATATACAACGACCTTGGCTACGCTAGGAAAATGGCCTGGTGTCTGGAAGCATATGGACTTTTAGCGAATCTCGGTTTCAACGCCGGAAACCATTTGAAGGAATTGGTGTGGGAACAGTGGGGAAATGCACATAAATCTGATCTGAATACCTCGGTGAAAGAAGAATCCAGGAGAAGTGTCAGGGGTCATGGTGTACCTGCATTGCAGATAGCGCAATGCAGTCTAGATTTGCAGAGTCTGAAGACGCTAGCTATTCCGGATATTATCTTCTTGCCAGCTCCGGAGCCAACGTCACTTGATATTCCAGAAATCACAGGACCTTGTCAATAGCGGACCAGAGACAATTCATTTGAGAACACTCGGAGTCTTCTTCATATGCCAATATATATTGTTAAGATCCTGGACCTGAGATGCTCAAAGTATTTCGGTCTCGTTCCAAACATCTCATTACGTGGTCAATATACGTACTATGTGTAGTTACTGAAGCGATTCAAGCGCAGCACTGAGGTACAATCGAGAGTAATCGACTAACAAACGGGGCCAATCAACGATTCCACACCTTGCTTACTGAATCTACCTACTTGCTTGAGGAGGGTCCTTCGTATATGTTTGACTCTTAATTTTCATTTCTGGATCACTTCTGATCTTTTCAAAATCACAATTTCTCCGTGATATATATGCTAACCTTAAAGACTCCCAAGAGCCTATTAGGCGTTCTCGGCTCATCGATAAATATCATTGAATTGGATATGTCAAGCAGTGTTTGATCGACAGTTACTATCACCAAGATTGTAACAGCGATCTGGTTGATTATGTGGTGACAGAATGAGGCTCATGGAGCATTCTGATATTGTAGCAAAGCATTACAGTGCCACCATCCGCAGATTACCGGCAATCACGACGGGAAGGGCGACTAGCCTGGCCAGCCGGGCCGATGCGGGCCGTCACGTATGGTAAGCGCGTCACCGATCCCAACCCGACTACTGTTAGCTTCATCCTTGACCGTCTGGCCACTCTCTCCACCATTTGATTATTTTAGTCTATCTCCTAATTCCTCCTTCTCCGATTCACCTGTGTACTTTGAATCTACTTTCCAGTCCAGCTCTATTTCTCCATTCATAATGTCCGCCGAAAGCCCCGGCCAGAAACCAGGCCTCCGGTCCTTCTTCTCCAATGCTCTACGACCCAAGAAATCGCGCCAAACCCTACGGAAGGGCAGTCGCTCCACGACCGACCTGCGGCTAGCTATACGTTCCAGCGTCGACGAGGCCCCACCCCCAATGCCTGACATTGCGCCGCTACAAGCACACCGGATCAAGTACAAGGAAGTCCATGCGAACCTAGACTCGCAATTGGGCGAGCGCCGCGATTACACGACCATGATCCACACGCTAGGCGTGCTCGAGCCCGAGGACAGCTACGGACCGGCCCAAATTGAAGGTGAATTTCGGGAGCCCGGGGAAGGCGATATCGCAAAGCTATCACCGACGCTGTGGGCGCGCATCGTGGAATACCTGGACCCCGCGGAGGCGGCGAGCCTTGCAATAGCTAGCATTACTCTGTACCGCCGGCTGGGCCCGGGGTTCTTCCGCGCGCTGGAGATGCCCGAGAACTATGAACACAAGATCCAGTTTCTGGTAGGGCTGGACCGCTCGCTGCCGCATCACCTCTTGTGCTTTCCGTGCGGCCGGTTCCATCGGCGCACGCAAGAAGGCCAGGAACGCATGCGACCCGCGCACGTCCTCAACCCGCTCTTCAACTGCCCCAACGCGCAGAACTCGCTCAATCCTCCTCCGCGCCACCGCATTACGCACGGGCGCACGATGCCCTTTTCGTTCGTGCAGCTGACGATGCGCGCGCACCGGTTCGGCCGCGGCTATGGCGTCCCCGCCGAGGATCTGGGCCGTCGGTGGCAGCGGGATGGGTGGTCGCACAGTTCACGATTCTATATCAACGAGGGCCGGCTGCTGATGCGGGTCACAAGCCAGACATTTGCGACCCCCGCGCTGTCACCGTCGCAGCAGCGGATGCTACTCTATTCGCGCGAGGACTATTGGCCGTTCTTCTCGGCGTGCGCGCATTGGCGGGACGGTGAGCTCATGACGGCGTGTAAATGCGCGCTAGACCACATTCCCGCCCCGCGCTCCACGGGCGGCCTCCAGCCGCTTGAGCACAAGGTCAAGGACAGGTGGCAGGGGCGGACATTTGATCCGAATGCGCTGACGACGCTGTGCGGCTTCTGCCGACCCATGCGCCGCTGCCCCGAGTGTCCATCGGAGTACTTGATTGAAGTCAAGCTCTCGGAGGACCGGAGTGACCAGCGCGGAACGGTGTTCAAGCAGGCGATCGTCGTAACCCGCTGGACGGATCTGGGCGACGGCACGGTGCCGAGTCATCTAGAATGGGCCGCAATCAATGGCAAACGCGATGACTACGACTCTTTTAAGCACTATGAGAAGCGCGGCATTGCGAGTATCTTCGAGGCTGCTTTTACGGCGGACACTTTGCCGGGCCAGAGAGTCATTTCAATGAATCCGAAGCATAATAAGAAAGGCGAGGACGGTAATGATTGGTATTAGGGCTCTCCTCTTCTCTGGGTAGAGAAAGAACCACCATTTGCTTACTATGTATTTTATACTTCTTGTGCGATTTGGGATGCGGAGTCTACTTCTCTTTTTTATTGCTAAATAGATAGGATCGGAGTTAATTTTGGAAAGGGTTCGGGCTAGGTGCCAAAAACAGAAGGAAAATTGGCTTATAAGGCTTTTATTGGATATCATGCAGGCATGAAGGAGTCTCCAAGCAAATTGCAAAATTTTGAATGAAACTCAAACCTGTCTGAATTGGAAGCAGTTCAATTATTCAATTAGTCAAATCGGAAACAATATTCAAAGAAAACAAAAAAATGAATCAAAGACATTCTAACAAATAAGTAGTCACATTTTTTGCTCCTCAATAACTAGTTAGGCTTTTTCATTGGAAACACGTAATCCTAGTTACCATCTCATAACCTGGGGGGTGGGGGGTTATTTGGAAAGATCAAAATACTGCAATAGTACGAGAAATCTGGTCCTCCTTGGTCTCTGAATAGTAAATTTTCACTAGTGCGGCTTGCATTCATATTTGTGTTGGCAAATGTTACAGTGGCCATGCCGGCAACATAGAGACGCTCTTTCAAAGCCTAGATGACTAATGCAAATAGATCACGCGACACAACCAAAAACGTCATAGAAATATGGTTCAGCGATCAAGAGTATTCGTATTCAGATGCAGTGCTCAACGCATGTTTGGAAAAAAATCTTTGATAAAAATAGGGCTAATATCTCAGAATGCAGCCAGAAGGCAATCCACCACGTTCCGAAGTACGATTCTCCCCTACCCTGGAAGCAACGGTGCTGACACTATTTCTGCAGCTGTTGTCTGAAAGTGAGAAACGTCACTTCAGTAAGTACGGAAAGCTGCCGTGTGGAGGCTTACTTGGTCACAAATCCAAGGTATTTTGAATATACTCTATCACAATATGTGCTCAATAACAGCCTGAAGGAACGGACGTACTTTGACTCTGGCGATTTCGCTCTTTCCGCCGCTGATCGCGTGACCGACAACGGCGCTTTTCAAACAGGAAAAGCGCATCCACAGCGGGACAGCATTTCGCATCCTTATGCCCCTATCCCAGCTGCTAGTAATGTCGACCAGGATGCCATTGAAGACTTGTATAAGAAGACTGCGAGTCCTGAGAAGAGTCCTCTCCTCCAGCATTCCAATATTGAAGATGCAAAACCCCCAATTAGTGAAGGTCAGGATAATTCTGTCTCTCAGAATGATTGAAACCAGGTTATCGCATGAAATTGGAATAAAGCAACACGTTATTCGGCAGGACAGCATGAACAGCACAACATTCCGTGGGTATCATATGCCCTCTATTGTTAAGTGAAGGCTGCTCATGAAATTTTTCTGGATTTACAAAAAAGCATTTTAAACGTGCGGTCTATGTACTTTACCCTTGGTGTTAGGGTTTGAGAGTCAATCAAAGAGTGTGTTGACCGATTTTCGAAGCCGTGTACAGAAAGTCAACCCGTGTGTTAAGAAAATGACTGCTTGAATCGGTCCGAATGATGGAAAGATCCATTGTCCATACCTTTGGTTCCGGCCATCTCCCACACTGCTTAAAAGCTGTAAAAAAAATCGACGAGGGCAGCGTCGATTGGCATTTTGGAAATACGAGGCAAGATGATACCCTTTAGAGAATACGCCGGCAGTATTTGATAGTGTTTGTTGGCTACCATGAAATTTAGATATTTGGGCCATCCAGTCCACCTATACACCACCTGTTTGTCACACCGGGATTCATCAACAAAACCCAGATTATACGAAAGAAACTTGAATGTTTAGGCTGGTACAAATATCGAGTTGAGGGGTTCAAGTGATTGTATGTTTATTCTGAGAAGCTGACTATGTCTTTGTGAGGATCAGGCTACTTAACATGCCAAGGGCTACGATTTCACGAATACACAATATCTGTTCTAGAGCTTGAGCAGCATCTAAGAAGCCTTCCTTACATTTCAGAAGCATATATCCTCCCAGTCAAGGACCATGAATCCGTTGGACTGGCGGCCGCTCTAATTTGACTTCGGAAGCAATGTACGCTTGAATAGTCCTGTGGCAGTATTACTCTTCAGAAAATACGTGAAGACCTTATAGCGAATGGCATGGTCTCATACAAATTACCTACACTGCTACGGATTATGCAGGATAATGAAAAAATCCCTCAGACTGCCTTTGACAAAGTGAGAAAGAAGGAACGTCTCCAGAAAATACTTCAGCAGATCTGATTACTTGCCAGATCGATATTCCGCGAATGGTGTTGAGAACTGTGGTAACAAGCTCGACACATCCAATTCGGCACGCTTGTTTGATTGGGGTGACCTATAGCGCAATACGTTTTATCTCAGTCGTATAATGATATATTCGTTTCTCATGAACTAGACAAGTAAAGACAACTCTTAAAGGTTCAAAATACGTGCCAGGGCATATGAGGAGCAACTTACCGCTGGGACCGACAGATAGCACCCTTTATTTGCAGTACGCATTCTTGTGCTAAGCTGCGGCGCCGAAGCGCGCGAGAGCCAGCGTGTGGGATCTAGATTAGCCTGCCATGTGAATAGGGTCCGGAATAGAATCTCCATTTTTCCTGATATAGAAGGCAATAACGGTCGCCAATGTAAAGTACATGATAGTCCCGTCTACTGAGCCAGCAGAGACGGGGCAGTTTGCAAGAGAATTGATTTTCAAAAACACCGCCCAGACGTAGCTGCGTAACAAATGAAAGACTTTTTCCAACAAGCCAATGGCACATTGGAAAGATCGGTAGGGACAGACGATTAGTTAGAATTCTTTTTCAAGTCGACAACGACCTCGGAGATGCCATCCTAGTCTCTTTTCGTAGTCAGAGTATAGGTCAATACGGGGCGGCGCGGTATACATTGGCGTAAAATGCAAGGATGGTGGAAGGGGTATCATAAAGTACATGAGACGGGGGTGCTGGGTATATCGGGGCAAAGACTTGGAGGCTCTCGTATCTCTGGTTTTCGGGTTATCGAATAATTATAGCCGACGAGATCGGCGACCCATGTATCTGGGGCGCCGACCGTGATCCTCAGAATGCATTGTTGTCTGAGAGCGAGGTCGGACAACAGAGGCATCCATGATCGAGTCTGGGGTTGCTGAACGAGGGGCAGGATCGTCTTGTGCCAGATGCGATGGAGCGCGAGGTTCCTGCTCGTTAAATTTGTCTGGAAAAGCAGGAGTTGCGGGCTCGGAGCGCTTTCCGCTTACACCCTTCATCCACCCAAAGATGCCAAACGAGCTGCGACGTTTGTGGTTTTCCATGCTGTGGGATGTCGTAGGTCGTCCGGAGATAGTCGCAGCACCGTTTTCTAGAGATGCGAGCTTTTCTCGTGTCTCCACGAGGGACTGATTGGAAGGTCTCGAGGTGAAGTTATCATCGAAAGCAACTTTGGTGATAGGCAAGCTAGACGAATAGAGGTCGGTGGAAGGAACTATTATTTGGGACACGGGGCGTCGCCGAGCACCACCCGCATTACGGGTTTTCGGTATTATGGGAGACGGGGCACCGTCATCTTCCTCGTCTGCAAAGTCATTGGCGATGGGTGAAGATTGGGGGCTTTGGCCAGTATTAGAACGTTTGAAGAACGCTGGTCGGAAACTGAAGCGTCGACGCGGCTCCGGTTCAGGTTCATTCTGGACTTGAGGTGAAATAGGTACTTCAGCAAATGGCTGTTCCAGAATGTCAAGGATATTCATATCCAGGGTTGGGATCCCCGGGCCGTCAGGCTCAGTTATATTGGAAATAACGCTATGATCGTCATGAAAGGCGGCTTGACTGATGACATTTCGCGGCAGGTCAGGGTGTTTGCGGGAGCGAGGAGCTTGTTTTGCAGCTGCAACCCAATCGGTCGGCGTTAAAGGCGGCGAGGGTGTATTCCATCTGTCAACAAGGTCCGGTTCTGGTGTCATAACCTTGGTAGGAGTATGACCGCGATTGATAGTCAGAGGGGCGGCTTTATCACCGCCATCTTGGTGACAAAGATCAGTGAAGGATTTGACAGCCGGGTTATTGGGACTTCCAGGGCCGAGCAATTCGCTGGCCTTAGAGGCCACATGATTAAAGGAGTTGAAAGGCAAGAAGGTCGGGGAGCCATCATTTGTAGCCCCGAGGCGAGGGGTATCGCTGCAGTTTGTCTGCATACTATCTGAGACTTCGCTGCCATTGAAGCTGCGTTTGGTAATGAGATCACCGGCAGAGCGATGGCGGTCAATGGGTGGTCCTGCGAACCATGCTTCTCGTTCTACCTTGGGACTCTTTTGGGCTGCAATACTACCGTTTGACCCGTTGTTGACTGGGGCACATGCGGTACTCATTGTATCTGGGGTTGGAGGGAGTCGGGCGCCCCCAAAAAGCCCAGCGTCGAGACGTGGACGACCACGAGGCTTGCTTGAATACAGATCGCCGATAAAGGCGGGTACACTGCCCTTCGACGCATCAGACATTGCCCGGTTCTGTCGTCGTCGGATGATGGTCTGGGACATATCCGGCCCCGATTGCATCCAACGACCTATTTGGTCCTCCTTCTCGTCCCGTTCTGCTGGATTATAGCTATCCAAGCTGCCTGTGGTGGACGATGCTTTACGTACTGGAATATCCAGTTTATCAAATTCATGGAATCGTGACGGTGTGTCGAATGGGTTGAGCTCACTGCACTCGCTAAGTACACTGAGTCTAGGCGAGCCAGCTTCCGTCATGTTCATGGTATGGAAACTTTCGGATTTGGTGAGCTCACTCATACCGGTGCATGAGTGATTGATATCTGGAGCATAAAGACTGCGCAGAGTGGCAGTGCTGTGATTGTCGGTTCGTAAGAATGAGGGAGCCTTAGTGATCTGATGCAATTCAGAGGATCTCTGTTGGATTGAACGAGTCTTTGTAGCGGATCCTCGTTTGGACGAAGACCTCTCGGGAATTTGGATGGCAGTCTGAGCCTTCGGGGTCGTAGCTTGCGGACCATCAAGTACCAGCCGGTTCATGGACATCTGAGATGTTCGTCCCCCAGACTCTAGCTCCTCGATCTTTGCTTCCAGCTGGCAGATTAACTGGACAGCCTCAGTGACTGCCACATTACGCTTGTCGAGCTCTGTTTGAAGCTGCGCATTCGCCTCCCTCAAGCTGCAATTCTCTTTTTCGGCGGCTCGGAGTTCCTCCACTTCCTCTTCTAGTCGGTGCATCTGTTGCAGCTCCTCCTCCATCTCCTGCATGCGCGCCAATTTCTTCTCCAACGTGCTCATTTGCTGCGTGCGGTGGAAGATCTCCAATTTCAAGTCGAAATTCAACTTGTTCATTTTTGAAACGTACTGCTGAGCGGTTAGGTTTTGTGCCTATTTCGTGGTTCTACCGAGGCGGACCCACCTGATCCATCTCTCGCATACCCATCTCCTTCGGTTGCCGCAGCCCTGCGGCGAACACATCGTTGATTTTCCGGGGATTTTCCGACTCGGTTCCTTCATGTCCTCGCGGGCCTTCGGGTGTTCGCGGTGCGCTATCGACCCAATCATCTGATATAATTCCTCGAGAACCACGGTGGGCACGCTGCTCTTTTAAGAGATCCTGCAATAAAGTAGAAGCAGGGTTCACCAAAGTTGGAGTCCCGTTTTCTGGTGTTTCTGGCCACATGATTAAATGTTAGTGCTGTTCGCTCCCCGCTGGGTCTGAAAAAGATTCAGAACACAACTCGATAGGAGTCAAAAACATACTGGAGTGTTGAGGTGTCCGCGCCTCAACATGGACGGGAGACTGGTCTCTCAGCCATGAGACTTCATGGCTCAAACGCGGCGGGGTATACATATTGTCTCTGCCCTTAACACGGGACAGCGATGGGTGTTTTGGACGCTCCGATTGATCTGTGCGACAGCTCGATGAGAAGACGATTAGTTATTGATATGGGATATATTGAAGGCCGACCTTCCTCAGACCGAAAACAACTATCTGTCAATGGGGAGGGGATGTCCACATACGGCTCGAACGACGTTGGGAAGAAACCCTGCGGGCAGCGGAAAGTGTCTCTGTATGATATATGGGGTCTGGGAGGGGTGGAGAGGCGCTCGATGGCGCATGCTGCATGGCCGAGCTGCGCCTTTGAGTTTTCTTATCCATCATAGCGGTATCCATTGACAACTAATGCACATAGTTGATGCAATGGCAATCCCCCGGCAGTGCGACGTGCAGCTGCTTCCTGAGCAATCAGATGAGCATGCAGCAACCAGATCCAGCCGGGGACCCCACTTGCATCGGAGGGTTGTTTCGCGGAGTTGCACGGCGGGGGTCGACAATTGGGTGTTCGCACGACACTAAGGAATAGTAATCGAGGGGCGCGGGGGACGGTTTACCACGACGCGAGGGAGGCGAGAGGGAGAAAGGCAAATGCGCGCGAGGGAGCTTGATCGAACCTGTGGTGGGGACGATCGAAGGTTTTGGGGCCGCTAGTTGCCCAAGCGGCCGGGCAGTGATTCCTAGGGAAATTAAAACGACCCAGGCCCCAACCGGCCCCTCTGGTGTTTCCAAGCAAACGGTGCTGTGTGAGACCACTGTGGTTCTCTGTGGCGATCGCAGGCATTGAACGATGGCTTTCAAAAGCGAGTCCAGGGCGCGCCGTCTCAGAATGGCGATGCGAGGAGAAGAAACCCCTAAAGGGGATTGTGACGAGTCAATAGATCCACAGGTCTGCGATGCCCATGCGATCCTCTCGGGGAGAGGTAATGGAGGGAAAGGGGATGTGTCAGAAAAACAAAACGGAGCAAAAAGAAAGCCTTGATTCCCCGCACGAAGGACAGGAAGTCCTTGTTATGTATTGGTGGCCAAGTGGGAGACGAGTGGAATGGAGGAATGGAGGAATGGAAGAAGGAATGGAAGATAAGATCAGACGATGTTGACGAGTTCATGATCACCTGCGCCTTCACGTCCTACTTGATACTACCAGTGACACCTCTACATACTTCAGAACCAGCTACTCCGTACTCCTGTGTTTCTTGTCCGTTTGACTCTCGTCTTCTCCGCCAGCCTTCAACTTTTTTGCCTCTTTTTGCCTCCAATCGTTCCAATGGCGTCGCCCCGCGCGACGCTCGCTTTCGATAGGCCGAAACGGATGACGATCGACTGTGCCGTGGCTGTTCCTGACATCAACCATCACCAATCGGAAGCCGCCCGTGGAGCAAGACCGTCTCAGCTGGCCCTTACTCGGGACTCACTCTCTCATTGCTCAAATTGACTGGGTTCGCTGAGTGGGAGTAGGGACTTTCGTGGGCACCTTTTTCGAGATGAAACATTCAAATCACTCCCTGTCTCCCTGTGGTTTCTTATCGTCAAGGACTTTGGGGATCCACGGAGACCAGCGTGTTTCTCTCTTTTTGTTTCACTATGTATGGAGTGCATCCATCCATTTGTTCAATGTCCGTATACTTCGACGGGTCGCACCACTCAATTTATGCGAGAAATTGATCCATCACTTTTGACTGTTCCAGGTTGTTCATTTTGTTTTCTTACCCGTCGACTTCGGACACCACGATAGGTCGACCCATTTTATACTTCTCCGTGATATTCCAAGGCTCCGGTTTGGTTCATCCCGAGTCTCAACCATGGGCCGGTTGGATCGGTTGGTTTACCAGTTCCCCACTGCCACGAACCAAAAAAAGCAACCTTGCCATGGCTCCCTTAGCCCCTTTTTGATACATAACATGGTGACGTGCGAACGATTATGTGGAACTAGCGAGACCAAGCAAGATAGTGTCATCTTGACCACTTAGCGACCGATGGAACATCTGGGCTGCATAAATGACACTAGCAGCGGTCGGGAACGCAACTGCGGGAGTGCGCACTTTCCATGCGGAGGCTAGGCTGCTGCCCGGACCCTCTGCCACCAGGCTGCCAACGAAGATGTGGTGAAACTGGTGTCAACGGTTCGTTCTCCACGCCACGATCGGAACGGGTCAAATGAGATCTATCCTACGGACACAAGACACAGATGCCCCCGGGAATTGACGGTTCCTTGTGGGAAGTGCTAGCCACTTGCCACAAGGACTGAACCTATTGATAACTTTTTCGGCGTCAAGGATTATTTTATCTCGCAAATTTTTGAGTTCTCAATAGGAAAGTAATTTGGCAATTATATTCAGGTCAAAATAGAACGGCAAGGAAGCGGGAAATATAGGAAGTAGTAAGGCTAATCGAAACATATACAGTGATCATAATGATAGGACCCAGGTTCCTCCTGGATATCTCATGGATGCTGACTGTTACATGGAAATCCATGAGGGAATTTTTCTCCTTGGCGGAGCTTGTCTTTAGCACCCATTCTATATTCTATATTTCCTGGTCTCCTGTGTCAGGTCCAATCAACACCCACGCCCTGTAGGATCAATCGAAACGGTGCGACGAGCTGATAATATTAATCAAAAATACTACATGTCATTCGTAACTCTCATTTCTTGTGTATAAAAAGATACCGGGTGAGGTACCAGAATTACGCATTTTGCCCTCACGGTCACAGCTCAAAGAGACGAGCACAGCTCAGCCCCCAAGTTTTCAAAGCCTTTCCGCTGGACACATTTGACAACTTCCGGTATGATTTGTGGTGAGCTGATAGAGCAGACCCAAGTCGATCATTTTTTCTTCGCTTCTCCGGCCCAAATGCGCATATCCTTCGCCCGATCATGGGCCGCTCGGAACACTACCAATGATCAGTAAGACATCTCCCAGATATCAGACAAAGCGACTAGCGCATACATTGACGTTCTGTCTCCTCCAGTCCCCGAAGAAAATCCACACCATCTCCAACAGCACCTCTCGGATTGTGTGCGTGGTCAGAAATCTCGGCTGCCCGCTTCTTGAAGGTCTAGTCATGAGTGTCAGCCAAATGGCCCTCTCGAATAATCAATAGCCAAGCCATACATCACTTAACACGTCCACCATCTCCTCTTCTTCAAACAACTCCAGGATCCGCTCGCTCAATGTGTAGAAATGTGGCGCCAATGCACGCAAGTCGACAGTGCGGGGATCCGCTTTCAGCGCATTCATCACCCGCTCGGACAGGGCATCGGGCATGTCGAGCGTCACCAGGCGGGACGTCCCCAATCGGGCACTGTGTCCAACAACCATGTCAGAGAGTACAGTTCTAGCCGCGCTGCTGCATCAAATTCGAGAATCGCAGGGAATCTAGATCGCTTACCCTATAGAAAGCATTTCACCTAGCCATAATGGCAAATCGATGCGGGTTCCCGCTTTGATCTGGACCTGGTAAGTACTGGGACATATCAAATGCCGGTATAGGTTCATGCACTTCGTCACCCGGGTTACCTTCCAGAATCCCTAGACCAGGGACTTCCAGCTCAAATGTACACGGCAGTTTCTAGTGTTAGAGTACGTTAGTCGTCCCGGCGCCCGAGAAACTCCACATAGAAAGCGAAAATACCTGTGCATCTGTCAAAATAGAGTCAATATCATAGTAAGACATATTGGCACATCGACTGAATCGCGATCCCCGCGCGGGCCGGTGTTGCGGAGTGTTGGCGGAACGATTTCTCGAGGCGCGTGTGTTGACGCGTAGTCACGTGATTTTACTTGAACTACTTTCCTCGTTTGGATACGTCTATTATCTCTATTATCTCCACGTGATAGCAAACGGACAACTAGACGGTCCAAAACTTGAAAGTTGAAAAGCATTTCCGTCCATATTGGCATTCTTGGTCTGTTTTTACAAGCGAGTTATTTAGCACCTCTCGAAATAATCACCCAAGTCTGCTCATTTAACTTCTCAGATCATGAGAGACTGGTGATTCCATCCCGGAAGTGGCAGTGTCTCGCCATGGAACAAATTCACGCCACTCCATGAATCATTTTTATGTATACTCCCCAGCCTGTCCGTTACTCTCTGGTGACCTCTATTGTCTCAATGCCTAGTATAAGTCTCCTAGTTTAACACATATGAATAATCACGTGCTGTTAGATATCCATATACCCGTTCTGATGACTAGCTCTGGTATGGATGTGCATGAGGATAATGGTGATATCAATTTCTCAAAGCCTTTTGACCGAGAACGAGTGATATTTCCAGATGATTGTCCTTTTGATCAAGTCAAAAACCCCTGCGTTGAAAGATTTTTTCTTCAAAGTCTAGCGGTGAGACTAGAAAAATCTGCTAGAGATATATAGGTATATATTTTTATTACCTTCCAATGCAAGCCAAAAAAAAGAAAAGAAAAAAACCTACTATTTCCTTACTACTCACTCTATCCACCTTCCAGTCCTGCTGATAGTATCCTAGAGCTCTATAGACAGGTGAATTGCATAAGATAGTGTCTAGTTTGATGAATGTAGATACATTTCACCCAAGGCAAAGCTAATAGATGATACCAGGCCTAGGATTTAATCATCCCAAGCCATACTGGTCTTGGAAAGGAAGTTGTGTCATCGTCATGTATTTTCTCAAGTTCAAGCTGTAGTCTGAAAAGTGACCCACCCTCAACAGAGCGACACAAACAATACATACTACCTCGGAAAAAAGATCATATCTTCTTAACCAGGGCTTAATTGCCTCTTGTCTCATCTTGCAGGACTAAAATGTCGGTGGCACTAAGCGAACAGATTAAAAAGCTTATAATTGTCCGTTATCAGCCCACTGTCAAGCAGACACGGGAATGTTTGGGGGGAAATTCCGATAGCGCCAGCTAAAGGGGCAAATCCCCCGTCGGGGCCAATTCTTCAGGGAATGGATTGCCCTTTAGTGTTCAGACTAATGCAAATCCCGGCCAAGCGACCGGTTATCCCGGAGAATCTGAGAAGCTAACGCTCTGACTTCGCTCTCACCTTGTCCCCCTATCCCCTGACGATCCAATCACTATTAAAAAATCATCGACACGCATGCAGGAGAGTGACGTTATGGGCTGTTATGAGCTTATTGTGCTCCGCTTCGGTTCGAAACGGTCAATCACTGCTTAATAGAGAGAAACGTGCCATGGCACAATGATGCTTCATCTCGGCAGCCCTGTTCCTTAGTGTCAAGTGGCGGAGAAATTATTTCGCTCGGACACGACGTTAAGAGCAGCATTGCTGGAAGGATAGAGCCGAAGCTTGGTTTAAAAGGGCTGCTTTGATGTTCTTGCTTTCTGAGACGATCACCACCTAGTCAACACATTTAATACGGACAGGCGACCGGCACAACATGTTCGTTCTTCGGTGGATATATCTCGCGGGCCTTTTAGGTCTTGCTTTTGCCTCTCCGCGCAAATCGCTCGCGAAAAGAACAACCGTCAGCGAGCTTTTGACGGATATTGAGGATGCTGTTACCTGTACAGCATGCGAAGTAGGTCACTTATTGTCAATGTATCTCCTTGATGTTTTCTGATTAACAAATGTATAAAAAATACAGGCTCTGCTAGTTGTTCTCCAAGCCTTGGCTCATCTGGGCAATGATGACTTTGTTGATGTGATCACCGAAGTCTGCATCTTGGCCGGGGTGAGTAGCTCCATGACAATGGCTAGACAACATTTCTGAGAGTCTACTTATAGGTTGAAGACAATGATGTCTGCGAGGGTGCGATTGCCCTTGAAGGACCAATCCTTGCTCATGACTTGCGCAACATGGATATTCCATCCACGACCGCAACTCTCTTCTGCACTACCGTATTTGGACTCTGTGACTACCCAGATGTCACAGAGTACACCGTAGACTTCCCAACCTCAAAGCCGTCTAACGCCTCTCGCCCGTCATCTAGTGGAAAAACCCCGATCCAGGTTGTTCACATCAGTGATATCCATGTCGACCTCTCATACGAGACAGGTGCCAGGTAGGCCTATCCTTCTGAAGGGAATACAGTATTTGCCAAGCAATGTTAATGACGTATATTAGCTACAATTGTACCAAGAATATCTGCTGCCGCCCATACACGGCGGCTGATGCGCCTGGTAACACTAGCTACCCAGCAGGCGAATACGGAAATCACAATTGTGACTCGCCTCTGACTCTGGAAGAGAGTATGTATGAAGCAATTCAAAGTTTTGTGCCTGAAGCCTCCTTCACTATCTTCACGGGCGACGTTGTCGAGGGAGCCGTATGGCTGGTCAATGAGACCGAGGTAACAAATGACCTGAATGACGCTTATGAAACGCGTATGCCTTCATACCTCGATCTTGTATATGGAGTCATTGGAAATCATGACACCGCACCGGTTAATTCATTCCCGCCCGCCGCGATCGATACGACCATTTCCAGCCAGTGGGCCTATGATACCCTTTCTTCCGACTGGGCACAATGGATTGGGTCGACAGCGGCGACGACTGCCGACGATTATGGCGCCTACTCTGTCAAGTATCCCGGTGGTAACCTTCGCATCATCTCCTTTAACACCAATTTCTACTATAAGGAGAACTTTTGGCTCTATGAGAAGACCATGGAGTCTGATCCTAGCGGACAGCTGGCATGGCTTGTAACCGAGCTCGATGCCGCAGAGACCGCAGGTGAACGTGTATGGCTGCTAGGCCACATGCCTATGGGTGCTAGCGATGCCCTCCATGATGGATCCAACTACTTCAACCAGATCATTCAGCGCTACGATGCGACCATCGCTGCTGTTTTCTATGGTCACACCCACAAGGACGAGTTTGAGATCGCGTACTCCAACTACAGTAACCCGTCTGCCAACACAGCAACGATGATGTCCTATATTGCGCCGGCCCTCACTCCCACGTCCGGCAACCCGACATTCCGAGTCTACTCAGTCGATCCGGTGACTTTCGGCGTGCTGGACTTTACCGTTTACTTCACCAACATGTCTAGCTCCACCTACCAGACCAAGCCCACGTGGGAGAAGTACTACTCTGCAAAGGAAACCTACGGTGCTCTTCTAAGCCCGGCTGTAACTGACAGTGCGGCGGAGCTCACACCGGCTTTTTGGCACAACGTCACCACCCTTTTCGAGAGCGACGACTCTGTCTTCCAGGACTACATTGCTCGTAAAAGCCGGGGATGGGATGTTTCTTCTTGCACGGACGACTGTAAAACCGAGGAGATCTGCCAGCTACGTGCTGCTGAGTCCCAATACAACTGCGTGACCATTTCCCCGGGCATCAACTTTAAGAAGATGAAGCGCTCCTCGAGCAGCGCTACAAAGGAGGAAAGTGCATGTGGTGAATCTGTCATTGGGGCCATGTTTTCCAACTTCGAAGATAGCGTGTCCGCCCTGAAGACCTCGGCACAGTCCAAGCTGGGCACCAGTTTTTTGAACACCACCCTAAACACCACCATGACGTAAGTCCTCGACAACTAGTTGGCTAGATAGATTGAAGTTTAGATGAACTTGAATGGACAAGCTTGCTAGCTTTTTGAAAATGCACACTAAGTCGATCCTCTGGATAAGACCGAAAGGAGGGCATGAAGCACGTTCCATAGACCGTATGAGGCCATTGGCCCGCGGTTCACCCTTAATCGCATTAGGGTCGGACTAGCGCCGCCATTGGGCCCAGATGAAGAACACAGGCGAGCTTCTGAGCCACGTAGAACAATTTTCCGCGCCACACTAGAACTCATCTCGGTTAAATATCGCCGACTGCTCGCAAATTGACACGTGGGCCGGCAATAGGCCTGTGGACTTTACGAAACCTCCTGTTGACGCTAGTTGCGGCTACCTGTCGACTAACGCAGGTCCCGGGGCAGCCGGTGTCTGGACCGGTGATGTTCGGAGAATGAGTACGGAGTATATAGCGTCCGTGGATCGCCAGAGATTTAGCAATGAGAGAAGCAGGTTGAACCATTCTTTCTCTTCTTCTTTGGCTTAATCTAAGGGATCGGATCTGTTCAAGATGCCCTCCTTTGCCAATACAGCGGTTTCTTCCCTGTTGTTCGCTGTGGCCGCGGACTGTACCAAGGTCCTGGCTCCGGCGAACGATATTTTGTTTCCATCGAGCAGTTCGGCTCAGAACCCTTTGCAATACGCGGGAGGAAATTCCCCATATTTTGCTGGGCCCAATGTCAATGGCGTGGAGAACACTGTGCCTGACAAGTGCACGGTCCAACAGGCTGCATATGTGGTGAGACACGGTAGCAGGTGAGGATAGATTAATTGACGTTTCGGGATTGATAGCATATTAATTGAGTTCAAGATTTCCGGACACTGGCTCTTATAACTCGTGGGTCGGCATTCAGGAAAAGGTAGGCTGCCTTTTGATCCTTGTACAGTCCATGTGTATAGATCTGATGGTTATGCTGTTGTGTAGATCCAAATTGCGGTCGAAGGCAAGGGCTTTGATGCCCGAGGATCGATGTCTTTCATCTCGGATTGGAGCCCTGTCCTGACCAATCCGACTTTACAAATTGCTCAGGAGTCTATGACTGGCTGGAAGGAGGTGCGTCATTCATTCATGCAAAATATGTCGGTCCATGTGTGCTCATGATTATACACCAGGCCAGCGATCTCGGATACCAACTCCGTGCCAGATGTAAGGACATTCGAGACCAATCCTTCGATATCTGATATCGACTGACGTCTACTGACTGCGCTTTACTAGATCCCGATTTCTATGAAGACGGAAATCCATTCTATGTCTGGGCCAACCAGTATAAGTACCCTATCAACGAGTCCCGCGTGGTTCAGACTGCGCGTGCCTTTGTGAATGGCTATCTCTACGAGTATGCCGATACGTACGGTACGGTGGTCAGCGTCAACTCCACTGGCTCGGTCAACGCCATTGGCAACTCACTGGGACCTTCTGACACCTGCCCAACCTTTTCTTCTACTTCCAGTGGAGGGAGTAATGTTACGGACTGTAAGTCGATGCGATCTCGGTTATACTTATATAGCGGCCTCAATCAACTGACTTTCCCCTCCTTCGCCCAGTCGATGCCACTTGGACCCCCAAGGCCCTAAAGCGTATCAACTCGCTCGTCAGCGGTAACCTGACCTTCAGCGAGACGGACATCCTGTTCTTCCCCTACCTGTGCGGGTACGAGAGCCAGATCACTGGCCGTCTCAGTCCTTGGTGTGGCGTGTTTACCGACGAGGAGCTGCGCAACTATGCCTATTCCCAGGACCTGAGCTACTACTACACCGTTGGACCTGGCTCCGATGGCCCCGCCTCTAAGCTCTTCCTACCTTTCCTGGAGAGCCTCCTGACGCTTCTGAGTAAGGGGCCCGGTCAGACGGGGACGGCGGCCGATGGCGGCAGCTTCACCGTACCTGACCTGATCATGGCGTTCCTTAACGACAACCAGATCGCCGAGATGACTGCGGCAATGGGAATCTTTGACAACGAGGCTGCGTTGCCGGACACTCGCATCCCAGCCAATCACCTGTACAATATTGCACACTTCATCACCATGCGCGGTACGGTTGCCTTCGAGGCGCTCAACTGTGAGGTTGGGTCAGGTCGGCACACGGCCAACGAGACCTACATCCGCGTGCTGTTCAACGATGCGGTCTACCCCATTGCCAACTGTCACAGCGGCCCAGGCAAGAGCTGCCTGCTGTCGGATTATCTGGCGCTGATCCAGAAGAAGAGCAAGGCGGCGGGCAACTGGATCGATTATTGCAATGTGACCGAGACCGGGCATCCGACCACGGTTGCCGGCGCTAGCTTCTTCAGCGACCTGTCGTTGGACTTCCTGACTTTTGTCAAGCCCTGATTGGACTTGTAATCTGCTTATCCGGCAATTGCTTTTTGCGCCGACCGCGCGCTGACCTTCTTTCCTACTCGACTTGAGCCCCCTTTTGTGTGCGGAAGATGTTGGTCGTTATGGCCTTGTAAATTCACTATTTACTGTACAATCGTTTTTATATAATTTCTTATTTTACTTATTCTTTCTTTTTCTTCATCATCTCCTTTCCATTCCGTTGAATATGTTATCTTCAACTAAGCGTGAGCGGTTGCGTGTGGCGTGTTGATGCATCACGATAGGTGACGAGATCACATTCTGATTGGAACGGCTGGCCGCTGCCAAGCAAGTTATCCTGACAGGCGCATCTCTTTTAAAGAGGCCCCAACGTGGTGGATGCATGGATGGAGTACAGGCGACTAGAACATAATAGAGGCCGCAGGTCAGTCTGTGTATATCCGCACTTGTGTCTCGCCTGCTATTATGTGGGTGTACTATATGCTATTTATATACCGGACAGCAGCTGGGAAGACAACGATTTCAATTTGTAACCCTAGCGGAAGCAAGCAGGCCAGTCCTTGAGCTGAAAATAGATTGAGACCACGATGCAATATTTGCCCCCTTTCCGATTATTGAACCGCAGTGGCGTAAAAGATCGGGTGTTGGGCGCTGCATTGGCCCGGACTAGCAGAGGCACAAAAGCAACGAACAAGGCAAATGGCGCCGGCCAGTCGAGTCGCGCGTGTGCCCTGTTCCTTGTCCCTCGTTCTCCGTTCCTCGTTCCTCGTTCTGCCGTCAACCACACCTCCACTCTCCACTCTCTACTCTCCACCTCTCAGTTTCCACTCTGGAGGGTCTCAGACCGGACCAGTCAAACCAGGCCAACCGGGCCGACCTGGTTCGAGACACTGCGCTAGTGGGCCCATCGCCTTGTTTTTTGCCTGTCGAACATGACGGCGCATTCCAGGGTCTGCGCCGGGAGTACGTCCAAGACATCGCCCAACACCTAGAAAATTCGCCCTGGGGTCACACAGATGAAACATCTTCTCCTGGCTTCGGGCTTCTGGCTTCTTGTCCCTGAATTTGAATCACCCCCCCGGGCGCTCCACTTCCCCCCAACCGCCAAACCTCCACCTGGACCTTTCCCCTTCTCTTGGACTTGACCAGCACACGACACTGATTTCCCCCACCTTTGGCTAGGAAGAAAACCACACCATCCTTGGTCCCGTTTCGAGCCCGACCGGGTCGGGAGGTCGGTGATAGCGGAGGACAAACAGACAAAAGGGAAACAAACAAACTAAGCGAAGATCGTGACAAGAAACGCCGAGATCATGGCATACAACGCCGTTGCGCAGGTGGACGAGGTCGCCTCCGGTTCTGACTCCGACGATTCGCGCAACACCTCGCCGGTTCAGGGCCATGCCTCCTTTCAGCAACTACGAGATGCCGATCACTTGGCACGAAGTGATCTCGAAGCCGCCAGGACAGAGAATAACCAAGGTCTTGGGCCTTTGGGTTCGATGATCCGATCCATGACTGGCACCAGCTACGATGTAGTCGAGGCCGATGACTATGTCGATCCCTCCCCCGAAGAGCAAGCCAGTAGTCTCCGCCGCATTCCTTCGCCCAACATAGCTGTCGCGCGACAGTGCTCGCATTCTGGCCCCAATCACCCCTTGCACAGCGCTTCCCCCGACATCCCCATCCCTCTCAACCATCCAACTCCAGACCTACAATCGCGACAAGGTGCCTACATTGGAAATGTAGAGCGCTTGGAACAGAGTGCGGAACAGCTGAGCTTGAGTTCAGCAGACATTGGTAGTGAGATTCGCAAGATGGATCAGGAGCAGAAGCGACGTTCCTGCAGCTCGGCGTCTAACTCGGTCGTCCTGCGGAATGGTGCATTCTCACCGGCAACCATCGCATCTCACGGATCTACCTTTTCCACCCGTCAGCGCTCGGTCTCTGGAGCATCGCGTCTCGCACAGGTTGCCGAGCCCGATCACGATGAAGACAGTCGCTACTTGGATCACCTCCCCGCCCCGTTGCCCATTCTTCCCGCCCCACAACCCACGATCTACAATCCTCAACCTGACGACGGCCTCTATTACCATCCATATGATGGTCCAGAGCAAGCACAAATCGCCGCACATGAGCTAGAGCGCCCGAATTCTGCTGCCTCAGGCGATACCTACCAACAGGCGCGAACCTTGTTCACCGACTTCGATGGTGTCCATTTCGCACCGTTGGACTTCACAGAGCCAGGGCGCCAACTATCCCTGAGCCAACCACCCCTTGCCAGCAAGCCGGAATCGTACAAGGCGCCACCGGCCGGTGAGCAGATGGTTTACTACCCTGCGCCAGTTCCCCGCATGCTTAATCTCCCTCCGAAACTCTCGCGCAAGCCAATCGCAGACCGCGAGAAACGTCGTACCCAACTCTTGACCAACATTGTGGCAGAGGATAGAAAATCCGCACCCTGGCTAGCTGGATCGGACCAGGACAAGCAGAAGGACCACAAGGAGAAGCGGCAGTCCAAGATTCCAGCCCAATTGCGCGCGAGTCTCTTCTTCGATAAACCGAGCACCACTCTTGAGGTTGACGTCAAGCACGACTCCGCCGTTGCAACACTTGATAGTATCCTCGACGCTTCGGCGAACGCGCCTGTGTCGGCCTTTACAGATCATCCCTACGCTGGTCACGTCGGTTCTTACGTGTTCCATCAATCGAAGCGCAAGACGCTTCACAAGGATTCCTTACGGCAGAAACACGAGCGCAATTCCAATATCCCCATGGGCCAGCAACATAGTACCATCAGAGATGATGATGATGAAGGTTCGGTCAGTTCCCGTGACAGATCGCAGCGAGAGGACGATGAGCATAGTCACGAGCGGTCAAGTGACAGCGAGGAGACCGATGGCGATGAGCATTCGCTAGAAAGTGAGGATGAGGACGACGAATATGTTGATTACATGGGGCCACCGAATACACTCCTGGCAGAGCTGGAGTTGCGGAAGCAAGAATTGAAGCAGCGGCGTCGGACGGTTCTCCCATCAGCCGCCGAAGCGCAAGGCTTGCAAACCACCCTATTGGAGATGGATGCTATGGCCCAGAAGCAAAGCGAGAAAAGGCGACGACGACCGGTCACGTTGGCGTGGGATGGCCGTGATAACGGGGACGACGATGATGTTCCTCTGGCGATGCTATATCCTGAGCAGAGCAATAAAGATGACGACGGGCGTCCATTGGGCTTAATGGCGAGGCAACAATTAGAAGAAAATGAGCCTCTGAGTACCCGTCGCGCCAGGCTGCGCGGTGAACCAATCCCCGAAAAGCGCCCCGTCACGGTGTATGCCAACGACATCCCACAGCCTGCCGATCCAGAAGCCGAGAGTGGGGATGAAGGGGAGACACTGGCGGAGCGGATGCGCCGCCTACGAGGTCAGAATCCGGCCGAAAGTGATTTCACCAGCGATCTCTTAGCCGAATTCGACAATCGAGCAGGGAACACACCCAAACAAGCTCAGGCCGCACCTGCTCCCCAGCTTGTTACTAATGACGACGAGACTCTCGCCCAGCGGCGCCTTCGTCTACAGAAAGAGAATGGCGTCCAGGGACATACTACAAGGAATCCGCGCATGCGGCAAAGTATGGCAGCTCTCCCGCAGTCTCGACCTGCCTATATCGCCCGACAGTCGTCTTACGATGCATTTCGACCACCCACCCTGATGCAGTCGCATCAAAACCGCATGTCTATGCAATCATTTCCAATCAGCATGGGCTACCAGGGCCAAGCAGGCTATCCTTTGGGTCAGCAGTACAGCACTGGGATGCAAAGCCCTGCTGCCTACGCCTATAATAACATGATGACAGGCGTGCCTGGGGGTATGGGATATCCTATGCCGGGCTGTGGGCCAAATATGACCCGGCAGCCGGCTGAACCACCGCAGCACGATGTGATTGATCGCTGGAGACAGAGCATTCGCTGAGGTTCTCTTTTTCTATCCTTTAACTATTTCTTTCTTTCCCTCACACTGTCTTTTTTTCATCTTTCTCATCGTCATAGCGTTGTCGTTTGGGCGTCTTATATTTTGGACTCTATGGCTTTCTTTCCTTCGTGAGGGTCTTGCCTTTGATAGGTATTCTTGTAGAATAGTCGCACTGATTTTGTATGATGTATAAAGACAAAGAATCTAGCGTCTCCTGCTCCTGTCCCAGAACTTACAATGTATCTTTCCGTTTCACTAGATGTACGTCAGCTCTGGAGTCTCAATATTGCCCTCTGCATGTCGAATACTATGGCCGGGTGGCAATTAGCTGTAGTTGACATAGGTGTATAGAATCAATAGACTAAGCTTCTTATATAGAAGGGTGGTCATGCAACCTGAAGTCTTCATTCAGCTCGAAATTTCCGAGAGGAAATACATTTGCTAGAAGACCTGCCCAGGATTCTCCAACTCGTTGACTGAATCATGCAAAGATTAACAGACAATTCCCCGAAATTGCAAGTTCTGTAATCTAGATTTCCTTCCCCCCTTTTACTCACAATTGGCCATGTGAGCGTAAAGATGGTGAGATCTGCATGTTTACGAGGGATGGCGAATGGGTAAATATAGATCGGGCCCAGGCACGTCACAGTGGAACACGAGGGACAAGCTGGGGGTGTAACCCAAACTAACCCAAACCTTGGATCCATGGGAGCCGCTGCCGATTACGTTTCCTATCGCCGGCGCTTCCATTTTATCTTTACTCCTTTTTCTCGACTTCACTTCAATTCTTACATCTTATCTCCTTTTCTCGCGCTCGAGCTCTTCGTTTGTGGCTCTGTGGGAGAAGAAAGAAAAGAAGGTGACTCGAAAAAAAAAATCCTCAACGGTTCCGACCGGGCAGGTCTTCTGCGCGCCCCACTGGATCTCGTCTGGTATGTGAGGCCGGATGGTCAACTCTCCCGACCTCGAAAGCCTGCCTGCCGCAAAACAGACCGTGATGGAGTCTCGCGTTCCCTGAACAATCACACCGGCCTTACCCTGCACCCCGTGTGGCCACTGGAGCAGCAGTCAGCATGCCTCCATCCACGGTTTTCTCGTATTGGCGTCGAGACCACCGGCGCTCGACCGCGCCCGCGTCCTTGCTTGCCCCGACTCTAGCACCGAAGGGCGCTGCAGAAAGCCCGATCAACACTCCTCCCCAGTTGCCAGAGATTCCTGATACTCCGACTCTCACCTCGCCATTCGAGGACGGCCCTCCCTCCCTCGATGCCCCGCCGTGGATTGATTCGCCCGTGGAACAAGATGCCTCGAAGCTGAGCTACAATACTACATCAATCCCGCTGTCCTCCTCCGCAAGCCTTGCTGCTCCCTCTCCGTTGGCCGAAAGAGACAGTCGCCCCCACTCGAGTCCTGAAGAACACAACCCTGAATTGGTCTTCACATCGCAACCCAATACCTCCCAGCTGTCCGTCTCTGGCCTCCGGCCTGACCAGGGCGATGGCGATTTAAATTCAAAGCCGACATCACCGTTTCGACTTTCATTTGGAAAGGGGCTGCGGAATCTGCAGGCACCTTCCAATGATCTGCAGAAGCGGTCGCCGACAGCAGGATCTGGACAAAGTCATTTTCGACTGAGGAGCTCACCAGAGGATTCACCGGCGGATAGGGTCAATCTTTCGCAGAGAGACTTTAAGACAGATGGGGGATAGTTCGCCGCGCAGGCGATCGCGATGTCTCCATGGAACATACTCACCACAAGTCGGGCAAAGCAATGCTTCATCTCTTGAATCCGATGTCCCTTCTCGCCCGCAGACGGTCCTCTCAGATGAGCAACTCTCGTACCGATGAAGTGAAGATCAGCGCGCCGAGTCTGATACCTGCTATCCCCGATGACTATGACCCACGGATTCGGGGGAGCATTGTACATGATTTTTCAGCTCCCCGACCCCGTCGTATTGTGTCGGGCAACACGACTGCCCTGCCCGACCCGAGCACCTATAATGCACAGGAACCACAACTATACACATCCAGTCAAAGCGCAGCGAACCGATGGAATGACCAAACCAAGCGATACAGCGATCACTCGCCTGTCTTTAAGGAACATTTTGAGGACGACCAACATGCATTGCAGGTAGAGAATAAGGGATACCTGCAGTCCACCTTGTTAACGAACCCGACTCAGCATGGATACGGGAATTCTGTACCGGCTTTTGCAAGAAAATTGCCTGCTAGCTTACCCTCCCAAAGTACGGAGGCTGTTGAGCCCGCTGTGACTTTGCCAACGGATCTACTGGTGGAGTTACCAGGGGATACTCCATCAACGGAATCAACAAACAAGATGCCATCAACTTCACCCGCAACAGAATTTCCGTTAGACCAGCAAGGTCAAGATACCATACCCTATGTATCGCATCAGAGCTCCGGTCTGCCTAGACATCTAAAGAGTAATGCTTCACGCTTTAGCTTCGACATGGGCGGTGTGGAGTCCTCTGCACAAGAGAAACTCCTTGAAGAGAAACACAAGGCCAAAGAGGCCCAACGTAAGTTGGAAGATGGCTATTTCGATGATTTCGATGATGAATTCGACCATGACCTCTTGGATGACGGGGATGGCTTGGAAGAGAAGATTCCTGGCGTCAATGTTGATGCAGACGAGGATGATTTCTTGGTGTCGGAGCTTTCGCACAATATGAATGGTGTCAAGTCTTGGGCTGTCCCTGGATTATCGCCCGTCGTTGCAAGCCCAATTATACCTGCACCGCTTGAACCCCCAAACAAAGTGATTGGTTCCGGGAGTGTTCCAATTGCGGATGAAGCAGACATGACTCTCCAGCAAGAACAATCTTTGCTAAGGGATGAGGCCATAGTCGCTGAACAACATGCTCATGCGCACTTACCGCTTGCTATAGATACCGATTCTTCACAAGCGCATCGCCAGACACATGGTATGCACGCACAAAGTCTACCGGTTCTCGATGATGAAGACGATCTGTATTTTGATGATGGAGAATTTGGAGACCTTAGCATCGACGACCAGGATGGAGGGTTCGACGAGTCTGTCTTTGACGACGAGACCAGCCACCTATACCAAAGAAAGTCAGTCAGCAAGCAACCTGCTGCTCAGCCTTCTCATGACACCGTGTCCGATGGAGATGCTTTAGAACAGGAGGTAATGCTTGAAGAAGCCACCAGTCAAGGCCTGAAGCATATGCCCAGTATTGCCAGTGAATACCGAGTAATGCCTGCGCCTGTCAAACGTGGTCCGCTCGGCGAGCCAATACCAAATATGGGCCCTGCACGAGCCCATGGCGGAGTGCTCACAGAGCAAAACCTGGAGGTATTACACAATGCACTCGCCTTCGCTGCGAATGAAGCTGCTGGCCAAGGCCGCTTCGAGCGTACATTCAGCACCAGCAATCGGTCTCATACCCAGGAAAGTATCTCCCAGGCTTCAAACACGGGGGATTCGCAACCCGGCCTGGTGTCTGACGATAGCCGGCTGAGCCAGGCCGCAGAGACCTGGGGCTTCGACGATGTTTTTGATGACCATATCTATGATGATAATGACGATACGTTCTACGATGATGCAATTGTCGCTGCGGCCAACGCGGAGGCATTGGAGAATGACGACGAAGGCTTCTACGGCCAGGAATTTGGGTTCTACGCGCAAGCACATGGGACCTGCAGCTCTGAGCTCACGAACGGGGGCTACTTTGGTCCTCGTGGTGTCGAAGGCATCACGCGCAGCCATAGTAGCCGTGGCAAGTTTCAGGAACCTAGCCTGACCCCGATCACGGAGCGCAGCGAATGGAGCACCCGCAACTCGGTCATCTCGTTAAAGGCACACGGTGCAACCCATTCCAATCCATCCCTGGCCAGCCCAGGGCTGGCACAGTTGGTTGATATGGGAAACCTGGATGACGAGATGACCTTGAGCGCGCTCATGAAACTGCGTCGCGGAGCATGGGGCGGCAGCAACGGTAGCCTGCGAAGCAGTGCCGGTAGCCCGCCGCCCCATACTCTGCCGTCCTCGAACCGCGGCAGTTTTACTGGTGTCTCAGAGGCAAGCCCAGACACCAGGCCCTCTGCGGACGAAGGCCTGGCGGGTATCGGGTATATGTACCCCGCGGACGAAGGGATCCATGGATATACCGCTTCGCCGCTTCAGAGCAATTTGGGGTCCGCAGGCGATCTCCCGTTGAGCGGAATGGACGGGCCGAGTTGCGCAGACGACGAGGACGAAGTGCCGACCACCGGAACATACCCGCAAGACGGCAACGTCTTGTAAAAACAATGTCACCAACCATCCCCCTTTTTTTCTTCACCTTTCCCCCTGGACATAATTGATCTCTACCTATATCTCCGGTCTTTTCATCCACATTATTGCTGACCTGACCGCCTTCTACATCACGATTTTATGAATTTTCGAGAGCAGTTTTGTTTGGACTACATAATTTTTCCTTCCTGGACCGGGCCGGTAGTTTGCTTCCACCTATCAATGGGCTATTTTTTGGCCTGCCATGGGTCTTGGCGACCTTCAACCTCATGACCCATTGCAGCATTTGCATCGCATTTGTGTTTAATACTGCAAGGAGAGACTGGTGCCAGGTGGCCCTGCATCTAGGATTCCATGTATATAGAGCGAAGTAGTATGCCGTCATTACAATCCATGGTTGTCCGATTGGGCCGAAATCACCCGCGAAACGCCGAAATGCTTAGCCGGTGGTGGAGGAGGTGGAGGAGGTGTGGCGCGGTCGGACGCTGGCTGCACACTCCCGGGACTCTCGGGGGACCCGGGGGCCCCGGCCAGCGCCTGCTAGTGGGCGATGTGCCGGGTCTCTTACCTAAAGGCCGAGCCAGGCAGGCACTGGTACTGGCCATCGGCTATGGTTCGGGCTGACTCAGCGCACCAGCCTCATTCCAGCCCTGCTGGCTCCGTCACTGCCGTTCAGCTCATCCTGCTTCTTCTTTTTGCACTCCACTCTTCTTTTTCCATCCCCTTATTCTTGATCAGCAGAGTTTCTGCTCTCTGATGAGTTCCGTTTCTATACAGGTGTTACGGCAATCGTAGTCGACACCTGTTTTTCGCACGCGATTTTTTTCACATCTGTATGTCTACACCCTTTCGTCCTCGGTACGATCGGCATCAGAGACAGCCTGGCCACTCGAAACACAGGGGGACTAACGTGTACATGGACAGCGTTTTTTTTTTGGTGATATCGCCAATTCTAGACTCCCTTTTCTCTGATTGAGAGCGCTATCCCGACTCTTTCCCCCTTCTTACTCGTGAACCACATCGGATCCTTTCCTTCGATCGTCGGAAAAATCCCGCAATGTTCAGGAACACCGCCTTGAAGGCCACCCACAGCGGTATGCTGCGCGGTGCGACCTCTTCGACGTGCCGTCGGTCCTTCCACCTGGCCTCCACTGCTCGGAGTGCCTCGAAGAACTCGACATTCGGCCTGACTGCGCGCCGTCCTCTTGCCGTCGTCGACCGTGCTCTCAACGGCACCCGACTCTATGCCTCGTCGGCAGAGGGTAACGCTCCTGGAGTGGTAAGCAACACAAACTAGCCTCTTGAAACCGCTTTTTTTTGCGATCCAATGATGATACGCGATGAGCGACATCACCTACTCAATCCATATCGGCCATTCGGACTAACCACAACGGCGCGACTTTTTGTGCTTCCCTCGTGACTTTAGGACCCCAACGATTCTTTCCTCCAGGGCAGCACTGCCAACTATATTGATGAGATGTACATGGCATGGAAGCAGGATCCCGCCAGCGTCCACATTTCCTGGCAGACCTACTTCAAGAACATGGAGGAGGGCAAGATGCCTATCTCCCAGGCCTTCACTCCTCCCCCGACCATTGTTCCCACCCCTACCGGTGGTGTTCCCCAAGATATGCCCGGCACTGGCCTCGCAGCCGGCACGGACGTTACAAATCACTTGAAGGTCCAGCTTCTGGTCCGCGCTTACCAGGCCCGTGGTCACCACAAGGCTAAGATTGACCCCCTGGGCATTCGTGGCGAGGCCGAGGCTTTCGGCTACAACAAGCCCAAGGAGCTCGAGCTCGACCACTACGGTTTCACTGATCGTGATCTGGACCAGGAGTTCGCCCTGGGTCCTGGTATCCTGCCCCGTTTCCTGACCGAGACCCGCAAGAAGATGACCCTGCGCGAGATTATTGCCGCCTGCGAGAAGATCTACTGTGGCTCCTACGGCGTTGAGTATATTCACATCCCGGACCGCAAGCCTTGCGAGTGGATCCGTGATCGCTTTGAGATCCCCGAGCCCTACAAGTACTCCGTTGATGATAAGCGTCGTATCCTCGACCGTCTCATCTGGTCGTCCAGCTTCGAGTCCTTCTTGGCCACCAAGTTCCCCAACGACAAGCGTTTCGGTCTGGAGGGTTGCGAAACCCTCGTGCCTGGTATGAAGGCCCTGATCGATCGCAGCGTCGACTATGGCATCAAAGACATCGTCATTGGCATGCCTCACCGTGGTCGTCTCAACGTTCTCTCCAACGTCGTCCGCAAGCCTAACGAGTCTATCTTCTCCGAGTTTGCCGGTTCTACCGAGCCTTCCGATGAGGGTTCTGGTGATGTCAAGTACCACCTGGGTATGAACTTCGAGCGCCCTACCCCCTCGGGCAAGCGTGTCCAGCTTTCTCTGGTCGCCAACCCGTCCCACTTGGAGGCCGAGGACCCTGTCGTCCTGGGTAAGACCCGTGCCATCCAGCACTACAACAAGGATGAGACCCACTTCGACAGTGCTATGGGTGTCCTGCTCCACGGTGATGCCGCTTTCGCTGGCCAGGGTATTGTCTACGAGACCATGGGTTTCCACTCCCTGCCCGCCTACTCCACCGGTGGTACCATCCACATTGTTGTGAACAACCAGATCGGTTTCACCACTGATCCTCGTTACTCTCGTTCCACCCCTTACTGCTCGGACATTGCCAAGTCCATCGACGCCCCTGTGTTCCACGTCAATGCCGATGACGTTGAGGCCGTGAACTACGTTTGCCAGGTCGCCGCCGACTGGCGTGCCGAGTTCAAGACCGATGTTGTTATCGACATCGTCTGCTACCGTAAGCAGGGTCACAACGAGACTGATCAGCCCTCGTTCACCCAGCCTCTGATGTACAAGCGCATTGCCTCCCAGAAGGCTCAGCTCGACACCTACATCGAGAAGCTCATCAACGAAGGCACCTTCACCAAGGCGGACATTGACGAGCACAAGAAATGGGTTTGGGGCATGCTGAATGACAGCTTCGACCGCAGCAAGGACTACCAGCCCACCGGCAAGGAGTGGCTGACCTCCGCCTGGAACAACTTCAAGACTCCTAAGGAGCTGGCCACCGAGGTCCTTCCTCACCTGTCCACCTCTGTTGGCTCCAACATGCTGAAGCACATTGCCGATAAGGTCAGCGGTGCTCCCGAGGGCTTCACTCTCCACCGCAACCTCAAGCGTATTCTCGCCAACCGCAAGAAGACCGTTGATGAGGGGAAGAACATCGATTGGGCTACCGCCGAGGCTCTTGCTTTCGGTTCGCTCGTCGATGAGGGTTACCACGTCCGTGTTTCCGGTCAGGACGTTGAGCGTGGTACCTTCTCTCAGCGTCACGCTGTCCTGCACGACCAGGAGAATGAGGCTACCTACACTCCTCTGCAGAACATTAGCGACAAGCAGGGTAGCTTCGTCATCTCCAACTCCTCTCTGAGCGAGTTCGGTGCTCTTGGCTTCGAGTACGGTTACTCTCTGACCTCCCCCGAGGCTCTCGTCATGTGGGAGGCTCAGTTTGGTGACTTCGCCAACAACGCTCAGTGTATCATTGATCAGTTCATTGCTTCTGGTGAATCCAAGTGGCTGCAGCGTTCCGGTCTGGTTGTTTCTCTACCCCACGGCTACGACGGCCAGGGTCCCGAGCACTCTTCCGGCCGCATGGAGCGTTGGTTGCAGCTTTGCAACGAGGAGCCTCGCGTCTTCCCCTCGGCTGACAAGCTTGACCGCCAGCACCAGGACTGCAACATGCAGATCGCTTACATGACCGAGCCCTCCAACCTGTTCCACATTCTCCGTCGCCAGATGCGCCGCCAGTTCCGCAAGCGTATGTTGAATATCTCCGAATGCTTTACTTTCTCTTTGATATAGTGTGATACTAATTCTCCTGGCCCCTATAGCTCTGATCATCTTCTTCTCCAAGTCGTTGCTGCGTCACCCCATCGCCCGCTCCGATATTGAGGCCTTCACCGATGACTCTCACTTCCAGTGGATCATCCGTGACCCTGCCCACGGCACTACCATCGATGCCCCCGAGAAGATTGAGCGTGTCATTCTCTGCTCTGGCCAGGTCTACGCTGCCCTTGTCAAGCACCGTGAGGCTCATGGTATCCGCAACACTGCCATTACCCGTGTTGAGCAGCTGCACCCCTTCCCCTGGGCTCAGCTGAAGGAGAACTTGGATAGCTACCCCAACGCCAAGAACATCGTCTGGTGCCAGGAGGAGCCCCTGAACGCCGGTGCCTGGTCCTATGCCCAGCCCCGTATCGAGACCCTGCTCAACTCCACCGAGCATCACAACCGTCGCCACGTCCTGTACGCCGGCCGTGCTGGCAGTGCTTCCGTCGCCACCGGTCTTAAGGCCGTCCACCTCAAGGAGGAGCAGGAGTTCCTGGAGGATGCTTTCTCCATTCACCAGGAGCGTCTCAAGGGCGAGTAAATGTCTCATGCCTGAGTCTGAATCCTTTCTCATCTCCCTGGAACGGGAGTCGGAGGACCATACACGGCATTTGTTAATTTGATCGGGGGTGTTGTTATTTCCTATGTCCATTGGTTCTCCTGGAAGCTAGCGTCCGATTTTCTTTCCCTTTGTACCACCCTTTTTTTCTTTTTGTTTGCATGAGTTCTCTTGTGTTCTTGACGTGTGGTGTATACGACCTGTCTTTGCTGTGCGCTCGGACCCGGAACCGTTTATACCTAGAATCCATGTTTATGTAAAATACAAGTTTATTTAAAGTTGCATTGTTAAATTTCAAGGATGTGGGAAGCTCAAGACTCCAGTTTCCATATCGCTGTAGACTGTAGATTATTCTGTTAACTACTTCCCATCGTTGACCGCAGGTCTTTGTGATATGGTGCCTGAGCATGACGTCAGGCTTGAATTACTTGACTAAGCGTCTTCATGCCCGACATATCAGGCAGAAACTCACCTGATCCGCTGCTCTTCTCCGCACGCAAACTTGCCGATTGCTGCTTCTCCCACGCCAACTCTCATCATTGCTGTACATGCCGTCGCAGAAGCTGGAAAGTTGCAGAACATCCCCCTCTTCCCGCTGTTTCTTCTAGGTTTGGCCCTTTTCTATCGAATCGGGCCAGGTGCTCCCAGAATCCTCTTCAAAGACGGTGCATTGCAATCTCACATCGTCCTTTGCACACCATGTCCTCTGTGCAATCGTCCGTTCTAAATCCCCAGAGCCAGGGGATCCGTCAATCAGCCCGGCAGACACGCACAAATCCTTCGCGAACGTCCAAGACCATCGGCCGCTCCTCCTTCGGCTTCGGTCGAGGCTCAACAGCCGAGATTCCCCCAACACCCCCTGTTCCTCATGGGTTCTACCCGGCGCTCACGCATTTCACGGACGCGATTACGGCGCTTCCGCGCGAGTTCCGCAGACACAACTCTTTGCTGAAGGAGGTGGATGCGAAGGCATGGGCGCTCGAGGAGAATTTGCTCCAGCTCTTGAAGTATTCTTCTGAGTCGCAGCCCGTACCTCACCCGCCTCACCCGGCGCCCATCGTTGGCGGTGTGGTGCGTGAAGATGTCTTGCCCAAAGTTAGTTTGATCGGACGGCTTGAATTGCTAATCTAGCCATGATAACTGTATGCTAATCGCTTTTTTTTCCCCCTCCAGGACCTTCCCCAGTCTCCCGAGTCGGCCGAGAGCAAAAACCGCCGTCTCCTCTTTGATCGTGTACGACAGAGCCTTTCTGATCTCATGATGACCGCCGACGAGAAGAATCATGTAATTTCCAACGCAAATGAGGAGCTGGATCGCCAAATTGTCCGGCTGGATACTGTGTTTCCGTACATTGCGGGTGAGATTAGCGAAGAGGCTCGGCTCGGTAGTCTGTCGCACTGGGCCTACTCCAATAAAAACGCAGCGGCGAAGGCAGCAACTAATGAGCGACCGCGTCGGGAAGCTGTATCTCAGCGACACGATCTCACACACGCGCTACAAGAAGCTGAGGCTGCCAGCCGTAGCGAGGCGCGGCGCGAAGCCGTTCTGGCACGGAAACAGCGTCGCACCAACGTTGATGCCGACTACGAGGATACGAGAGGTGCTCGCAAGACTACTACCGGTAAATCTCGTGGTGATAACGCGGCGGCAGACCAAGGCGCTGCACCCAAGCGCCGGAAGGTGGTAGACAGGTCTGCTGCTGTGGACATGGGCGCGCCAATGGAGCGCTCTGCAAGTGGCACTGGAAGTCAGCGTGCTTCAAACAAGGACGGGGCGGAGAAGAAGCGATCTCGCGCTCCAAACCCCAATGCGGCGGCTGCCCGCAAGAAGTATGTTCCCTGTTCCGGACTCGATATTGTTGACTCGACTAATCTGTTTCTTCCCACCAGAACTACCGCCGCCTCTAATGCGGGCTCCCCCATCCTAGCTCCCTCCCCTCTTGTTGGAACCTTCAATACCCAGCGCGGCGCTGCTAGTCCTGGACCCAACCCGGCTCGTCCACAGTCTTCTCGAGCCCAGCAGAACGCCGGCCAGACAGGCAATTCCCGACAGCGGCCCTCATCCTCGGCCTCCAACCGCGTTAACCAGTCCAACCCAAGTACATTTTCCCCACAACTGCGCTTTTCACGTTTAAATTTGCTAACATGACTTACTTCACTTAGCTAAACCCTCCGACCCTCGCTCCAACTCCCGTGACGGCCTTGTCAAAAACGAAGTCGCCATCCCAGACCCGACCCGCGACCCAGACGGCGATGCCAATGGCCGCATTTCCGTCCCCGCCGGAACCAAGCGCGAAGACACGAACCGGCCCGCCGATGTCCCCGAAACCGAGAGTGCGGCCAAAGGACGGAACTCGAAGACCTCTACCCCCGTGTTGGCGACTTTCGCCGAACCCACACAGCCGCGCGCACGACCGACGCGCAGCACTGACCCAGCACCCAAGCGCACCGCCAAGAAACCTCTTGTGCAGGCTGCGATCCCGTCCGACGAGGAATCCATCCACGAGGGCGACGATGAGGATGAGGAGGGCGAGCCACGATACTGTTACTGCAACGAGATCAGTTTTGGCGAGATGGTGGCGTGCGACAACGACGCTTGTCCTCGCGAGTGGTTCCACCTGTCGTGCGTGGGCTTGACCAAGCCGCCAGGAAAGAATGGTAAGTTTCGAATAATCCGTTTCTGCATCTGCGCTACTCCGGGTGGTTGCTAATAAATATTCCGCAGTCAAATGGTATTGCAACGAGTGTAAGCAGAACATGCGGCCTGGCCGCAATGGTCGATAATGGCATAGTTGGGGGAGGATCTTTGAATGAAGTGCAGAATGATAGACATGAGCGGCGTTCTTTGTGTGCATGATTTATAGCCTCTGAGCTTTATATATGCTTTTTTTTGGGATTTCATTGCGTGTTTGTCCCAATTTCTATACCTAGGCTGGTCATGGTCACTATGCCACGAAGGAGGCAGTACGTGTCATAGCAATCCATTCGCAACTCGATCATGAGTGCTACATGCTCTGTCCGCCCTTTTCCATGATATCAAGTTCAGACCAGAGACACGGCAGTGTTCTGAGAGTAAATCCCGAGATAAGTCCATGTAGTCTAGTCTACACTGCAGGCTTATCACGATTAAATGCACGGGGGTATTTGAATTAAATTCTCCCAATTCCAGCCCGCAGCACCAAGAAACCCACGCAAAAGAAAGACAATAATCACGCGTCCCCAAACGGGGCGCATCACCAAGCACCCCTCAACCTCTCCACAAAGCCACTCCCTTCTCCCCCACTGCCATCATTCCCACTCCTCCGCAATCGCTGCGCGCCTTCTGCGCCCTCTGCCCCAGACGCCGACGCCGCAGCCTCGCCCTCCAACCTGCGCCGCAGGTCTTCGTACCGCTCGCGCTCGCGGTCTGCCGCTCCACCCGCCCCCGCACCACTACCACCGCGCCGCTCGCGCTCACCAACCGCCCACGCAGGCACGCGGAACCCCGTGCTGGCGGGCGACAAACCGGGCAGCAGTTCCGCGCGCCAGGCGATGCCGACAATCCAGCCGACAGCGGCGGGGAGCAGCGTGGTCGGGAACTGGGAGAGGGCGAGCTGCGCGGCGATGATGTAGGTGGTTGATTTGTCGGAGAGCAGGAGGGACAGGCTCGGAGGCGCGGGTTTCGGCGCTGGGTGAGGAGTGTCAGGGCTTGTGGGCGTGGTGGTGGTAGTGGTCGTCGTCGTCGTCGTCGTGGCGGGGGCACGGGAGGTGGTTGTTGTGCCGATGCGGTAGCTGAAGATTGGGGGGATGACGGCGTGGTATTGGGCCAGTAGAGCGAAGACGGTGGCTGTTGGGCCAGAGGGGAGGTAATTGAAGGTGTTGAGGGAGAGGGGGCGTACAAGCAGGGCGAGGAGGAGCGGGGGAAGGAGGGTTGTGTAGGGGGAGGGTGGTGAGGAGGAAGGTCTGCGGGGGAAGGTTAGCGAGTGCACCTGTTTCATTTGCAAAGATGTGGTGGTTCTATGCGATTGTAGACTGGCTTGAGGGGACATGGAGGGACATACAGCCATCTTGCGCTTGCCCCATGCGCGCTCAATCACGCGTAGATGGTATACAAGCATTGCAGCGAAAAGGGCCTCCGTGGAGTTTGAGAAGCCGGCGACCTGCCAGACGAGGGCGCGCCAGAATTGAGCGTAAGGCCAAAAGTGCGGAGATACATAGATTGCGGCGAGATGCTTAATGTCCAAAATGGACAGGGCGATTGAGGCGGTGATCGTGTAGATGAGAAGAGATTTGGTGAGCGGGGTGTTGGTGAGCCCCGACGTAAGCATGGTTGGCGGCGGGGATATTTTATTTCTTTCCTTTTTTCTCGCGGATTAGTACGGGCACATGAATAAATTGCTCATCCGGCCGGCTCGAGAGTGAATTGATTCGACTGGGTAGATGAGGGTTGAGTGAAGTGGCGGGGGGTGGAGAGATGGAGGGTTGAGAGGTGTTGAAGTTCGACGGGAGGCCAGATTGGCAGGGCGAGTCCGGGGAACCTCGGCATGCCGAGCCTGACCTCCCACATCTTTCACTACTCCGAACTTTTAATAGCACCGCCTAGCATCCACAACCTATGTATAATGGAGACCTGAAGCATCTCTCTCGATTGTTAGTGTGATCTTCAAAGCTACAGATCCTATAGACGAATCCAAGACAAGATGCACGAAACTCAAGATGCTATTGTGATAGTATACAATTCAGCTATGCCCAACTAAACGCCAAAGGCCAAAAAAAATAGAATAAAAAATCAAGCCTTCCCGGCCTTTTGTGTTTTATAAAAGGAAATTTGTTTCCTCATCTCCACGTCTATACGGCCAGAGCAGCAGCCTCTCTAGTCTCCGCCTCCAAGGCCGTTTTATATTGGTCTAGCGCGAGCCGCAACGCATGCAACGTCGGGCCCAGCAGTTGCGTGACCACTTTCTCGCCACCCTCGATGGTGCTCAGGTTTAACTTGTACTTGCGCCCCGTGCGCTCATAGGCGTCACGGGCTTGCTGCTTGAGCCGGTCGACTTCGACCTGACGCTCGGCTTCGGCATCATTCGCGACAGCGTTGATCCGGTCGATAGCGCGCTGCAGGGACTCGGATAATGACTGGACTTCGCCAGCACGTTCGGGGTTGCCGGAGAGGTAGGCTTGCCAGAATTGGTGCAGAAATTCGGTTGACGTGGCGTGGGTGAGCGTAAGCCGGTCGTACAGGCTGGCTGAGAGACCCTGCGTTTCGGACCCGGTGCCGTCGTTCATTTGATCTCGTTGCTCGCGCACTGCGCCAAGAATTTGGGCAAATGCATCGTGCAGGGCAGCGGATGATCCAACTGGCCGGCGGCTGGCGGGTGCGTCCTCCATTTCTTCGTCTTCGTCATCGGCGGGGTCCACGAGCTTTTGCAGGGGTACAGAGCCGCCGAGCGGAAGGCTTTCGGTTATTTCCGTTTGAAGAGCGTGAAGAATCTGACTCGGGTCTTGCTGTGCAAATGCCCGGTTCTGCTCGTCATCCTGCGTCTGAGAGAAGAATCGGTCCTGGTCCCGAATGTTGAGAGCGATACGACACTGCTCCTCGTCGCCACGGAGATCTCGTAATTGCAGCTTCTGCCAGGCTTCCTCATCCATACCGATGGGGGCAGTTACGTCGCCATCAGCCGGCGCAACATTAGCCATAATCTTCTCACTCAAGTTATTCAACGTGCGAATGATCGGCACCTTATCCACACCAGATGGCCGCATGTCCAGATCTGGCCGGTTTCCACGGCGCTGGCTGTTATGGCCTTCATTTCCAGCAAGGTCCAAAAAGTGAGGAACATTAGCCTCGCGACTTTCCTCTGTATTTTCCTCCCGCAAATATTTATCCAAAATGGCATCGGTGGCATCTGCTTCGGAGATTCGCTCGCCACGCAGCTTTTTGAACAAACGACTCTGGAAAAACCGTGACCAGAACTGCTGCTCGCTTAGCTTGGGCACGTTCTCATCATATACCCGCTTGACCAACGGGTGCTGCGAAAAGATCAGCTGGATCTGCTCCTTGCTAATATTCAGCCTAGTCACATTATCTTCCACGCGTGGCTTCAGCGACGAGAGAACATTATATGAGCCGCGGGTCTGGGCCCGCTCGATTGCGTGCGCGCGCAGCAAATGCAGCCGCGTCGACCAGAACTGCGACATGAACTGCGCCGCCGTCAATGTCTCCGGCTTGGTATGGAGCGAGTCCATGAACATCCGCTGCAGCGTGGAATCAGCTTTCAGCAACGACTGCTGCAACTCGACGTCCCCTTTTAGCCGGTTATCGTCGTCCCACGGATTCTTCGACGACGCTCCAGAAGAGACGGCATTCGCAATGGCCATGGCAGCAGACATGCCTCCTCCACTCCCGCTTGGAGTCGGGGTTGCGACAGGCGTACCATTTTTCAGCGCATTGACCCGGGCACTAAGGACTTCTTTGATGGCATCGGCCTGGGCGCGGGCACCCGTCGCGGCGGTGAATAGGAACACATATGCATCCGGCGAGGTATTAGGCGAGACGTTCGAAGCGACTGCAAAGATTTTGAGCATCACTTTCGCACTCGTAGCGGGGGTCTGTTGTAGATCTGGGGCGATGGTATGTGATTAGACGGGCCTAGCCCAAAAAAAATATAGAAGATTGGAGAAGAGCAGCATGGGAGAATTCGTTGCATACTTGTAATGCTGGCCACGGTGATTGTGAGACCGGCAGCGCCAGCGGCAGCTGGCGTCCAGGTAAGCGTTTGCTCGTCATCGCTTACGGTCAAGGTGCCGTCTTTCTTCTTGTACGAGGCTGCGCCGCTCGGAGGTGCCATCGTCGCGTGTCTCGGCAGCTTCCACTGTCCTGGGCGGCGACAATGAAACCACCCATCGGGATAAGCAGATCCCCGGGGGTAAAGACTGTGAACGGCGAACGTCCGGGGGGCGTCAAGAGTTTGGTAGTTGAACTGCGGAGGAGGTGAACAGCTCAGAGCTGCGGCTCTTCTGATCATGATCACGTGATCAATCATATGGAAGACCATACCCTAACTTTGGGAAAAAGCACAGATTAAGAGTTGATGACTGGATGCTGCGAGCCATCACAGTGCTTTATACAAATAAGAAAAAATCTATGAAAAATCTACTAGAGAAATCCACAAGTTAAATATGTTTATCAAAATAATTGTGTATGAGGAGAGATGCGACAACGCCAAGTTATACACGGAACGCCAGACGACAAATACATGAGCAAGCATAAAAGCATAAGGCCGGACAGGAAGAACGCTGGAGAGATCCTTGAAATGCTATGCAAAACCAGAGAACAGACGCAAACCGAAACCACGAACCCGAAGAGCTAGGAGAGCCAGAATGCCGAAATTCGTAAATCATGTTGCGCGCCGCCATGCATAGACCGGATATCATGATTTGCAAATATCATCGTCAAAAAGAAGTTAAAAGAAACCCGCCCCAAAAAAAACAGATGTGCACAAAAAAAAAAAAGTGAAAAAAAGCGACTGATCGAATCAAGGGTATTGGCACCACCAGCAAAGAACAGAACAGTAAGAAAAGCGAGATATCGCCAGCATGCTTTTTTTGGTCATCAAGCAACGCGTTGAAAGGCAAAGCATGGGAAAGAAAAGCGGAGCGCTCGGATCATTTCTTGAACATGTAGTGGCCGTAGATGCCGCCGACATCGCCCACCGCCATGGGGATCTTACGCATGCCCCACCAACGTGCGCCCATCTTCCAAGAACGCGAACCGTCGTCAATGGGCTCGTTAGGCATGTAGGCCGGATCGCGAACGTACCAGCCGCGGCGACCAAGATCCCGCACAGTCCAACCCACCGAGACGCGTTGAGTCTTGCTACGCTCCCGCAGGGGCGTGATAATCTTGTCGCTGAACTCAATGACCTGCAGCGGGTAGCTCTGCTCCGACAGCACAAGGCACGAGCTGGTGTTAAAGATGGCGCCGATGGTCATCTGTGGCACCTTGGCCAGATCGAGGTAGCACAGGGTGCTGGGAGCCGCATTCCCGTCGGCCGCAGCCTCGCGGGATGGAGTGAAGAACGAGTTCACGTCTTTAACAGATAAATCGGCAGAGCTAAGGCCGAGTTCCTCCAAATGCTTGGTCAGAGGGACTAACAGGGGAACGTGGTCGGAAGTAATCTTGGCACCGCCGAGGTTCAGAGAACGAAGGGTGCTTGGCAGCTTGGGTAGCAGGGCGGTCACATCATCTTCCTCCAAAAGGCGGAATCGGGTCGGATCAGTCAAGAGGTTCAGATACACCAGCGAGTCGCGCACAGCCGGGTGGGTGGTCAAAAACTCCACCAGGGCGGAGCTGCGAAGACGGGTGCACCGGGACAAGCTCAGGTGGGTGATGCGGGCGGTCTCGGGGATGGCGAAAAGCGCTGAGTCGTTCACCTGGGTGTGAGTAAGATCCAGGTGGGTCAGGTTGGTCAGCCGCGAGAGGAGCAAGTCGAAGATCGGAGCCGGAATTGTGCTGCATTCATGTAGCGACAGCCGTTTCATGTTCGGCAGGCTCATGGGAAGGGCCGGGCCTGCAGTCAAAGCCTCGGTGAAGACCTGGGAGAAAGACTGAGTCGAACAGCCGCAAAAGTCCACAGCGCGCAAGTTTGGCAGGCCCATGAAAAGTTTCCGAACCACATCCACACTCAGATCGCCCTCCAGGTGTTCCTGCAGCAGACATTCCTTCAGGTTGGGCAAGAGGTCCAAACACTGTAACAAGGTTCGCGAGGTCAAGTTCTGAATCTCGGCGTTCATCTGCTTGGTACGACCCAGGCCGACGGAGGTGAAGTGAGAAAAGTCCAGGCGGCGCACCAACGTGCCCAGGGCCGGGTACTGGGACATATGGTTGAGGGCCTTGGAGAAGATGATGGAATGCGGGAAGGTCATATTCCTGTACAACACACTCAATGTCGCCGCGTGCAACGTGTGCGAGGCCAACAGGCATGAGACCAAGTCGACATTGCGAGGGGTATATCCATTGGGCGGCAGATCCAGTGCCAGGTTGGAAATGATTTGGTCTATCGTCGCAAAAATCAGTCTTGTTCTGCTGGTCCCACCCCCCTGATGCTACTTCATCTTCTTCTCCTTTGTCTTGGGGACTTACCGAGAACTTCCGGGGGAGCTTCTCGAGAGGCGAGGTGCCCGGGGTTGGTCGTGCCTGTTCCACGACGGCAGGGGCCTTGGGCGGGACGAGTTCTCTGCCCGAGTCAGTAGTCTCCCAGGCCCACCCTTTGGCCTGCATGCTGCCGAGCATGCGCAGGTCCCCATAGCTGCGGCTCAGGCTCTTGCCCCCAGACGGATTTGCTTCCACCCCAGGAAGCCTCCACATGGGCAGCAGAAGTCGGGGGCCTGCTGCATCTCCGGGATGTCCAGCTTGCGGGATTCTTTGGCCGATGGAGAGGGCACGTGTTGAGTGTCCACAAAAGATTGCGCAATGCCTAGAGCGCGAGAGGCATAAAGAAACCACGGTCAGTCTTCTCTTTCCGGGAAATGGTTTGGTAAATCACCTCTTTGCCCGCCAACGTAGTTTCACATACCGTCGACGTCTTCTTTGATAGAGCCGAACGATGGGCGGCGGCTGCTGGTGGAGCGGGATCCGTCCGGTGTATCACACGATGAAGGTGACGAGGCGCGCGAGTGAGAATCCTCGCAGCACCCGGTGTTGAAGCGCGGCAGAATGGGTTTCTGGTGCGTAGGGGAAGTGGCCGGGGGAGAGGTTGGGATGGTGAGGGAGGCCATGGTGGGAATGAGGGTCTCTATAAAGAGGCCCAGTTGGTGTGTCTCGTTTGGGACGATGTGTAGTCTTGCAGGCACAGGTACTTTTTTTTTTTACTCCGTAGGGTACTCCGTCGTAGTGTAGTAGTGGACGGACTAGTCGGGAGGTACCCGTTCGGAGTCGTGGTAAGTGGACACGAAAAAAAAACCTGTGTGGAATTTAGACGAGTAAGACGCAGCTTCCCCGGATTCCTGGCAAAAAAGAGTTTCCCGGTCAAGCGACCAGGGCCGCGTCAAGGAGCGTTAGGGCGAGTAGTGTCGTGGATGGAGGCGTTAGGGCTTGGGGCCAAGGGAACGGGGTCAACGGAGGGGAAAAAAAGAGGAGAAAAAGGACAAAGACCCGGTGAAGGCTGGGATGAGGAAGGAAAGAATCGAATAATGGAAATACTGGGAGGGGCGGCGGGGACCACAGAAATAAAAAAAGCGAGCAAGCTGTTAGTCACGGAAAAGGGCGAACCGGCGTAGGACGAGTTGGAGGCCGAGAGACGGTCCACCGATCGGATTCGGGCTAGGCCAAAGCGGTCGTGATGGAGGATCCAAGCGGATGTGCACGATGTCGCGGGAATGTGCAAGAGCAGGAGTCCGGGAGTCCAAGAGTCCAAGAGTCCGAGAGTCAAGAGGGTAAGTACGAGAGAGAGAGAGGGAGGTTGTGAAGAGCAAGCCGGTCTTAGAAGTAGTCCAAAGTACCGCAGAGTTACTCCGTCCACGAGTCAAGCCCAGTGACCATCGGAGAATAGGGAACCGATGACTCGATGGCGAAAATCCTTTTAACGGTGGCGGAGATCGCCTCGGCCGACTAATCAGATCGCGCCCAAACGCTGGGGGACCAGCCCCAATGCCCGCCGTCCCCCCTGCAGAATGCGATTGGCTTTATTCGGCTTCCCTTTTTTTCTTTGGGTCTTTTAAGTCTCTGGGTCTATTTTGAGTTTGGGGAAAGCAAGTCATGCCCTCTCAAGCAGCTATCATAATCTATAATTACTTTTCCTGGGCTCCTTGCTAGGCGAAACACCACAACAGGTCGATCTGGTGGCTTGAGACCATTGACGGTGCTGGTTCGTGCCAGTGTGGCTACGCGGAGCTCTCCTGGTCGCAGGAGTCCGTACCTCGCCCGCGGTACCTCCGAGCTCCTGTGATCCCTGTCGCTGGAATCGGCGGGTTTATGCATGCGGCCAGCACATGGCGTCATCGACCATCGCATTGTTTTCTTCACGGATCAGGGGCAAGAGAGAGCAGGAGCAGTCGTCGTACCTGCTCCGTTTATAGGTCCAGGGCCCCCATCGCTAGAGAATGCTATAGGTTCCAAAACTGTCCTAAAATAGGGAGGTCGAGGCGGAGGCATATACCAGCGACTTTTAAGGCTGCGGCCCTGGAGGGCGGAGTACACTCCACCCTCCCCCAGCCGCAGCAGTAATACATAGCCGCTTCTGGGACGAGAATGCCTGATCTGAATGAGAGAAAAAAAATAATATATTTTTATCTCTAAATTTTCTCGAGTTCTGCCGTACGATGTCAGTAAATAATCATCTATTTCACTATTGGGAAACAAGACCAGATGGGGACTCGGGGGCTCGTGCCCGCACATTCTATGACCTAACGAGAAAGCGGCCGACTGGACACCACGTTGCGCGGCCTCCAACAACCCCGCCAACCCGTGAACCCGCGACGGCGTCTATTCAGCACCCTCGGCGCTGCGCCGGGAGCCGCCTGGGCGAACGCCCAGAACAAGACAGCACCCGGAGGACCATGCACACGGGCCAACCGGCACCGCCCAAGGCTCACCCAACCCCGAACCAGGGCGTCCGGTCCCCCCAGTCACTCTGTCACCCTGTCATCCTGTCGTCCTGTTGTCAGGCTCGACAACGCCATGTGACTTGGCTCCTCCTTCTCCTCCTCCTCCTGCCACCTCCTTCCCCTCCTTGAACCTCCGCGCTGGGATGCTCGGACATAACGTGGTTCCTGTACCCCAGACCACGGGCGTTCTCGTTAGGTAACCGCTACGACCATCCCTGCGCCATTCGCCAATGCGGCCGATCATGCGGGGACCCAGCCGATCCCATTACCTAATAGGAATCACCTGACCCCCGCCTCCCGTGCTCGTTCCTTGGATTCCTGGGATTCCAGCAACGGGATTCGATGATTTGCTTGAGCATCGAGTCTGGTCTAGCATCCCATCCCAAGCACTTGTTGGTGCTGCCGCTGCCGCTGCCGATGCTGATGACACCCGTGCTTGTTTCTTCGAAAACCTAATTCCTCATCAAACACGATTCGGGGCCAATTGGTCTCTCCTCTGCCGCATTGGTCTCCGGAGCTTTCGACGATGCTCCCACGATGGCACCGTATTGAGGGGGGGGGAAAGGCAAGGAAGAAAGGCGGGGCTGGCAATGATAATAATGAAGTGGGTATTGTCTTTCCCTCACACCGACATTATACCCACAACTTCGTCCTGATGGATGAACTGTCCGATGCGCTGGCACTTCGACATATCCCAGGGATCCCCTCCGAGCCCGGAGAAACAGAGTCACAGCGGTCCCAGCATGTTTACTTGCTTGATACAGTAAAGTGCACTATGCCCCATCCCTTCTTGGTTTATGATGAGAAGAGGTGGAATTTCTCGGCGCACATACTAGCTTGGCAGCCCTGCATTCTTAGTCCCCCAAGGTTGACGGTCCTGCTATCGCGAGATGGACCAGCACTGCATCCTCCGACCGTCGGCATGGGTAGATGTGCTACGCGGCCGACAGGATTGGCAAAGGCTTACTTCCTTCCAACCCGGTCCAGTCGGCGACACAAAGTCGCGTTCACCAGGCCTGATGACGTTATGAATTATGCCATCGAGGACTGGTCATAAGCCCGAGCAATCCGTTTCTCCTCGGAGTGTCTCTCGTAGCGTCGCAGGGTCAAAGGACACCGCCCGACGGGAAACTCATCACGCAACGCCGTGCCAAGCTCTCCACGGCATGAAATTGGGGACCTTCGATGAGCTCAGCCCCAAACTCTGCTCCTGACGAAGACACGAACAACAAGCCAAGCCTGGAAACAAGGCGCGGATCATGTTGATCGACGTCTCCTTGCTCTGCCAAATCAATAGCGACGATGCTCGATGGTGGATGCCCAGCATGACTTGCACTTTCCTTGGTCTCGTACACCCCAGCTACTCCGTAGACAAGACAATAGTTTGCATACTGGTGCAGATGCCGGCGTCGGTACTGGAGCCTTGGCTGCGGCGATTCTCCACCCGTGTTTTGATGATCACGAGACCCTCATTGGGGCCGGGGGCAATTAAGAATGACCCCATCGGCGGCCCGGCCATGGAGCAAAATCCGCAAGTTTGGTCCACTTGGGAAGGAATCCAGTCATCGATAGTCGGGGTATGGTTTGGGCCCTGGGTTGCATGATTCTCCGTCCCCTATTTTGAGTTGCACCATCCAACGTCCGCTAGATGAGGTGGGGAAATACCACTAAGGGAACGATCTAGTCCGCAATCGACTGGAATTTGAGGCTATGGCTGATTATATTGGCTTCGCTGCAATCACTTGACATAGACCATATACAGGTCTAGGCTCAAATATACGGAGTCGACTCTCTTAGATCGGCAACTACACAAAGAACCCGTATCCAGTCTGCCGGGATTATCTTTGCCACCCCCTCGAGGTGGAGACTTCCAGCCATAGTGGAGTATATTCTACCTGATTACTCCATAGTTGCTTCATGGCTATCTCAAATAGTGTAGGTTAATAGAAGGGTGCAATTGTGATCTGAAAGTCATTTTCTCCTCTCTGTGGAGATATTGTTCTAATCTAAAAGTCCCATTTTGGGAATGCACACCATATTCATTTCGTCCATCACATAGCTAGCTTCTAGTCAGGTTGGTAGGTTCTAGGACTGTAGTAGAGGCCAGAGTCACATGAAAGCTTAATCTTATATTCTCTCGGAGCATAAAGAGAAAAGTGGCCAAAGAAACAATATTGGGGAATTGGGTGAACGCTCAAAGCGTGGTGAGGCACGCGTTACATTCATTCCCAACTTTACCTCAAGCTCAAACATCTGAATCCTGACATTTTCTCGATAACAGTAGAGTTATCTTTTAGATGGGAGAACAGGAAGAAAAGAGGGAAATATAAGAAAATGTTCATGTACAAGGCAATTATATCTCTTTGCCTCACGGAATGGTAATGTGTACTTGTGGATGGAGATCATATAAAATAACAAAGATCTAGTTTACAAATGCGATATGCCATTCAGTTAGAACACCATCGCGCAATATACAAGCTTCTAGCAAGTTCTCAATCTCATGTCCTTCGTAGCCATAGCCACCGCTAGCTTCTCACTACATCGACGAGGAAGGCGATTGTAGATCGAGAATCAACGTCAAGACAATGCTGGATCGGCTCAAACTTGGAAGGAAACAATGTCGTAATCACTAATTGGTAGTAACTCGCGAATCTCCACAGACGCTTATCAGGGTAGAAATGACTGATCTTGGACTGTGACTGACCCGCGATAGCAAAGATGGTGTATGATCATTTACCGAGCCAACCGTAAGCCTGAAAGGCATCATTCACCGAGGCTCAAGGCCAAGGCCGCAAATTATCCCGCCGTAAGAACCAGAACTCGATGATGGCAAAAGATTGGTGGAGGAGACTTCTAGATAAATAAATAAACAAAGGTCGCGCTCAGCCAGCAGTGAAAGGTTTTATACTGGCTCTAAAACTTGACGATCATTTTGTCATGGACAGAGAAGCAAATCTACCCCAGTACTAACACGAGTGTCCTATCTGATAATTGTTTGAGAGATACAGGCAACTAGTTGATAACTGCAGCAAACTTTCCATTCGCAGAGGAGGGCAAACTGCGGGACATTCAGTGTTCTGTATTTCCCAAGAAAGATAAAGTCGAATTCTAGAGTATTCGGGAACCACGCCTCCATTCTTTCAAGGATCCGCTGGCAGAACCAAGTTAGTTTGAGACTCAATAAACCTGATAGATGTATATTTTGAGCCTCCTGTCTGATCTGATATTTTGAATGACGACTAACATATCGGATACTTACCAGAAAACAATAAATGTATATAGCAGGACACCGTGATCATTTATCGCTCGTGCGGGCAGTCTATAGGTTCCAGTTTCTCCCATCTCTCAAAAGATAGCCACCCCTTTCGACACCTGGAGGATGATATCTAATGAATGGATGTTCTCAATCGAGATGATCATCATGTAATTGTCGTATCATGTAGCTTTGGGGACAGCTGTATCAAGAATGGTTTTGTTACCATGTCTCAAAGAACCTCTCCATGAAATACTTACTCCCGTAAAACAAAAACCCGTGGATGAAGAAAGGAAAAAAACTCAACATCATCTTTTCAAAAATTACCACTGAAAATTTCAATTCATTTTTGTTTTACCCCTTTCGAGCTGTTGAGCTGTCTGAGAAGTAGTGGATCCTCTTCCTAAACCTTGAGTCACAACGTTTCCAAATCATCCATCAACACCTACACCAACTCCAAATCTACAAGTTGATGCCGGCATGTAGTCCGCAAGACATTCTACTAAAAGTCACTCAATGCACCCCGTATTCCATGCCACATGGCATCTAGACCCTCCGAGCCTATCCCAGGGCTTGAAAGCGGGAGTAGCAAACCTAAGACCTGAGACCATGTTTCTGGTAAAAAAGCAAAGAATATCAAATAAAAGCCAAAAATGCCCCTCAAATGAGTACACATCCCCATTCACCACTAGCATTATCACTGCAGCTACCCGGGACCGCGGGAAACATGGCATCTAGAGACGAGCCGGCTAAGATATTTCGCTACCCGCGCTCAGACGGCAAGGGATAAATCCAAGACCCCTACTGCAGGGATGTGGTTCTATTTTAGCTTTGACTAGGGGCGGAGCGGGAAATGATGTGTGAGAGGTTCTGGGCGCTAGAAGTTTCGAAATTGCTTCTGTCGCCAGTGGCGTTGCATTAGGGCGGGTTCTAGATCGCCGGATCGGGACGTGTAATTGCAGGACTGTTTCACTGGTTTAGGAAGAGGGAAAAATCAGAAAGAATAGGCGGTAAGTTAGATTGATTCCTATCAATATCTATTACACAATATGTAGAATCTATCACGACGACTCATTTCAGTGACCCGAAAATTTACAGATTCGATCATAGATCTAGTGACTAGTATACTTCGCTTTTCCACTATGATCTTCCCCACCCACGATCTAATAACGTTTCCATATTTTGGTACTTTTCAAGTAGAGATTTTCCAATTTTCTGTCTTGAGTGCTTACAATTTCCATTGAGCGGCCCTTATTGTCGGACTCCTCCAAACTATCCATCGCCACGATAGCTACTTCACCCTTTAAATTTGCTGGGGAATTTGCTAGACATTTTGCTAAGAAGGGCCTGTCACAGTTTAATGCTTATTCAGCTCGAAGCAAAAACAGAGGCGACCTTCACATTGAAGGGGTACTGATAGTAGAAAGAGTTTTTGTTCAAAAATGAAGAAAAGAAATGGTATTGATATATGCAACGGTGGCCATTCCCGCCGCTTAAAAGAGATGGAGCGCAAGGCCGTATATTCTCATAATCAAATCAGAGCATAAAACGGGAAGGAAAAGAAGATAATCAAGAATCCAGTCTAGATGAAGGGAGGATATAAATAGAAAAAAAATTGAAAGCATGAGTCTGCTTTCAAGTCGTGGGTCATGGGTCCAAACCGACGACATGGATATCATAGAAAGTCCTTGTAAAGCTCTAAGAAGCCCCAAGGAGCCCCAAAATTCAACCAGGAAACCAAGGGGGCACATGCAAAAAAAATATGACAAAAAGTCCAAAACAGGTCTAGTAGTCGAGCCAAAAAAAGGGAAACTGATGACCAAATCACCATAAAAAAACGCCAGGGAAAATGACCTTTCCAAAGGTTCCAGCGATCACGACTTTGGTAGGTTCGGCAAGGGGGCTGCCTTCTTCACCAAGTTTTGTAATCGAGGCTTATAAATTCGTGATCGCGTTGTGTTTTTGTGTGGTGGCTGAAAAGTGGAAGGCAATGACAATGGCCTTACTTGTTTACTCAACAGCCGAGAGACCCTCACCGTGAGTGACAGGGTTGACCTTGGGGTTCCACTTGAGCTTGAAGTCCTGACCCAGCTCCTTGCGGACGGCAGCCTTGACAGCCTCGAGGACATTGTCGAATACACCGAAGTTGGCGGGGTTGTTGGGGTCGTTCTCGCCCTCCTTGCCCTGGAAGACACCAGTGCGGACCAGGCAGGTATTCCAGCCATACATGTTACCGCCAATGATGTCGGACTGGGGGTTGTCACCGACCATGTAGACGTTCTCAGGCAGACGGTTCTCGTTGTGGATCTGTTCCATCCAGGACTTGAGAACCTCATCGGCGTAGGTGTAGGTGGCACGCTCAGGCTTGCCATAAACGACACGCTCCAGATCAACGCCAGTGAGGGCCTTGTACTGAGCTTCGATGGAGATACGGAAGGCACCCTGGGTCAGACGGGGAGGGCCCTTGTGATCGGTGGGGAAGACAAGGTCACCCTGGGAGAAGTAGATGGGGATGCGGCTGGCGACAGGGTCCTTGGCGCGAGTGAGGAGCTTGCCGTCCTCAGCAAGAAGAAGATCCATGATCAGCTGCATATCAGTGGCGTAGTCACGGGAGTCGGCAAAGACAAGGACGGCGTCAAACTTCATCTTGGAGAAGTCGCGGGGCTTAGCGTCCGCGCGGTCCTTCTCCGAAAAGCAGCGCCAGGGTGAGACGGTGGGATCCCAAGCCAGGACATCCTTGGGGTGAACGACGTTCTTGAAGCCGTAGCTCTCGGCAACCTCACGGACCTTGTAATCCTCACCACCGCACACGAGAACGGTCTCGTAGTACTCTGCCAGGGCCTGCATGGGAGTGTGCGACTGGATGAATTGGTCGGTGGAGATGGGGCACTCCAGAATCTCCGAGAGCTGCTCGCAACGGGCGACCTCAGTCTTACCACCGCCGTTGGTGAGGAGGATGTAGGGGATCTTGATGCCCAGCTCGTTGTCGCCGTTAAGCATCTTCAGGGCCTCAATGGCTTCCGGGATGGGCTCATTGCCGTGTGCCAGCACACCGTCAATGTCAAAGGCAAACGCCATGTTCTTCGCGGTGGCGACCTTCTCCTTGGACATGTCCTGAACCTGAGAGGCCAGGATGTCGCGAGAGACGGAGGTAGCACCAGGGCGGCGAGCCGAAGACAGGCGGGAGTGACGAGGAGAGCGCGGGATGGGCAGCGAAGTGCCAAAGGAGTTGCGGGAACCGCGGCGGTCCTTCATCGAGGGGGACAAGCTCAGGTTGTGCATGAATTGCGCAGCATCGCTGATGGAGCTGCGAGTGGCGGGGATCTCAATGGTATTGCCGCCCTCCGAGGGGATGGCGAGGCCGCTGCCCGCGCGGGTGTCGCGAGGGTTAGCATCAGCAGGGCGAGCAGAGTCGACGCCCAGATCAGCGTCTTCGAAGCGAGGCATAATGACGGTTGTGGGGAAGAAAGGGGTGGGAGAAAAGATAAGAGACTGAGGGGATGTAGTAGATATCGGGATCGTCAAGGAATCACCGGTGGAGGGACAACCAGGACCCAGAAAAGACGAAAGAGATAGGAGGGAAAGGAATGAACAGTCAAGAGGAGAGGAAGAATCCCAAGAGGTATTTGTGTCGTTTCAAAAGAAAATGAAACGGAGGATGCGAGGATAACGCGTATATATAGACAGTTGAGGACCCTATCTCATCCCAAGGTTCTCCCAATTGGCGCCACCAACACCCTCAAACTACAAAAAAAAAGAATAATAAATAAATACGACCATTTCATGATTACGAGGAGGGGGGTTCCACTTGGTCGGGTCTCATCATTCCTAGGAATTATCGTCATCGTTTGGCAACAGAATCCCTCCTCTTATTGCGGCTGGGTGGAGCGTATGGTTCGAAGAAGGTGTGGTGCCTTCCGCGTACACGGTACCTGAGTCACTGTGCGCAAACGCCACGTTTCGTCGGGTACCCAGTACTTTCACGCGCTCCCGTACTACCCAGGGGCCTTTCCGTCTGCTGGTTCTCCGGCCGACTCAATAGGCGGGCTGTGATTGGCTATGATTGGCCGGGCCAGGGCTGGGCCGGTGTGAAGCAGCGCTGCACGCCGAGTGGACAGGAGAAGGGCCTTGTCGGTCTGCAGCGGCCGGTCATTGGCAGGCGCTATCAGTTCGCCCGTGGAACCGGCATGAGATCGATGGAGCCGATGACGATCGGGCGGGTCAAACGCTCCGCGACGTTTCGGTCGTGACGTCATCGCAGGTTCTCGGGCTGAGTTCTGCAAATCTGGGCCCGGCTGCCCCTTTCGGCCTAATCTTACCACGACCGCACTTTTGAAAATTACGGGCGGTTCGCCGCCGTACACCCTATAATACAGGCACCCCTGTCCGCATGCGAACTATACCGAACGCAAGTCCCTTGTCAAGGAGTACAGAGCCTTTCAAATGCGGTTTGCACGGCTCTCCAGGGGCATCGCCGGATTTTGTCTTGACTCGACGCCTCGCCCAGAGCATGCCAAAGTATACTACAGAACCGGCCATGTTCCCCTTGAATCTCACTGGAAGCGACAGTCGTAGAATGCTGCGATGAAGATTAAGTGGTCAAATACCCAGGGTCGCAGCTCGACAATTTTTTAAATCCCGCATTAATTCCCTCCTTCAAATCTCTCATCATCATCACAAGTATCATCACGCTCATCATCACTCCTGAACTCCTGTTCGAACCCGATTTCGATCGTGGTTTTTGATTGTTACCCAAGTGACCCGCCCATTATTACTGCCCGTGCTCCGTACCCAGTTTACCCATTACCCATCACCCGTTACCCCATTACCTGCAGCTCGACCCCTCCAACCACCCCTCCACCCCACTTGCCTGCCATCAACATCGTCATCGTCTGCCCAAACCTTTAACCACCCCACTAGACTTACTTTCCTCCTCTTCCTTTCTGATCGCGAGCTATTCTATCTCTCAACCAATTGATCATCACAATCATGTCGAACGGAAAGACTTTCACATTGAGCAACGGGGTCAAGATCCCTGGCGTCGGTTTTGGCACCTTCGCCAGCGAAGGCTCCAAGGGTGAGACCTACGCTGCTGTTACCTGTGCCCTCCGCGCTGGATACCGTCACCTCGACTGTGCCTGGTTCTATCTCAATGAGGACGAGGTCGGTGAGGGTATCCGCGATTTTCTCAAGGAGAATACCTCGGTCAAGCGAGAGGACATCTTCGTGACCACCAAGGTCTGGAACCACCTGCACCGCTACGACGATGTCCTCTGGTCGGTGGACGACTCTCTCAAGCGTCTGGGGCTGGACTACGTGGATCTGTATCTCGTGCACTGGCCGATTGCCGCCGAAAAGGACGAGCAGCGCAACCCCAAGATTGGCCCGGATGGGAAGGTAAGCACGCGCCCCCTCGATTGTCAACCCTCACATCAAGCAACTAGCTAACGCGCTTGGTTTTGAATAGTATGTCATCCTTAAGGATCTGACCGAGAACCACGAGGAAACCTGGCGTGCCATGGAGAAGCTGTACGCAGACGGCAAGGCTAAGGCCATCGGTGTGTCCAACTGGACCATCCCTCAGCTGCAGCAGATGGAGAAGTTCGCCAAGGTCCAGCCGCACGTCAACCAGATTGAGGTGCACCCCTTCCTGCCCAACGAGGAGCTGGTCCAGTACTGCTTCTCCAAGAACATCCTGCCCGAGGCCTACTCGCCCCTGGGCTCCCAGAACCAGGTCCCCACCACTGGCGAGCGGGTCAGCGAGAACAAGACCCTGAACGAGATTGCCGAGAAGGGCGGCAACACCCTGGCCCAGGTGCTGATTGCCTGGGGTCTGCGTCGTGGATATGTTGTGCTCCCTAAGAGCTCGAACCCCAAGCGGATCGAGTCCAACTTCAAGAGCATTGAACTCAGCGATGCCGACTTCGAGGCAGTCAACAAGGTTGCGGAGGGCCGTCACTTCCGCTTTGTCAACATGAAGGACACCTTTGGCTACGATGTCTGGCCCGAGGAGACCGCCAAGAACCTGTCTGCGTGAATGGTGAACCAAAAGTTAGACATGAAGGAGTCCTAGATGAGAAAGATACCCGTACTCGGGGAAAGTTAGTCCCTCGGTCCCTTGGGCGGACGCAGAATGTGTTATGAATCCCAGAATCAACTTAGAGAGTTGGATATACGATTAAATCCAAGCGAGACCAATTATCTACCCACAAATTTCCTATAATAATGACTTCTATGTAGACATCAAGTCTTCCATAATCACCTGTACACGCTCGCATGGCTTCTTCAATCCGTTCTCTCGGTACTCGAAGCCTACAGAGAGTTTCCTTCTCTCCATCTCTCATCCCACGCCAGCTCCCACCACGTCTCGTCCTTCCCCCGCCCGGATCCACGCCCATCAATAGCGCCCTCCCGAAGTCCCATAAATGAGACCTTGGGAAAACACCGATCAAAGAACTCAAAAAACACCAATACCAGCCCGTTTGCAAAAAACTAAAGCACCCAACCCCCAACCCCCTAGCCTTGTATTGATCCTGTATTCCGCACCACCAGGGATGCAATACCGCACAGGGGCCGCGCGAGGAACACACCAATCGGAGCTACGAACCTCCCACCTTATCCCATCGCCATCCATGCCCTGTCCCTCGCCTCCAACTCAAGCTTTTGGCCACCTTTTTGATTAGAGAAAAAGAGGAAAAAAGTGATGAAAACTCTTTAAAAAATTTTTAATATGGCCAGGGTATGTGCGGGAAAGTAGTCCTTGCTCTGATCGATGGGCGTCTAGATCATTTTCGGCGTGCACGCCGTGGCGCGGGTGGCGGTAATTAAACTACTATATTGTTATAACCCATTCGTTCAATATAGGCACAACATGATGAGTACAGTAGACTACATCGATACATACCATACTCTATTAGAATCTGATATGCATTCCGTGAAGCTAGCAAGGGGAAAATCCACCCCTCCTCCTCCTTCCCCCTCCATCCCCCACCCGAAGCTACAAGAGTCTTGATCCCATGTCAATCATTGATCCCTCGGCATCGTTGCCAAAAACATACGCCTACAATGCCCTCATCGCTGCATACCTTCCAAGGCGCCCCATGCCGCTGTAATTGCCGGTACGTGCCTGGTATCGGACCCAGGAGCACTCTGCTCCGACATCTGCAGCGACGATGTCATCCCGCGTGTGGCTCGGAGCCCCTGCGCCACTTGTTACAGGGCACGACAACCCCACATACCGAGCCTAGCGCTCGGCGGTGCGGCCTATATGGAATACAGAGGACGGAGGATGGACGACCGTCTAGCGATCCGGGGGGGGGGGGGTCGAAGCGCCGGGAAAAGTCGGGCGCGTTCGGTGGGCAGATCCGGGGATTCGTCGTGCATCACCGAGATGCCGAATGAGGCATGGTTCTTTCTGAGGGCGGGCCGAAAAGGTTGCACTTGGAGAGTTTGTGTTTTTGCTAAGGTTGGTTGGTTGGTTGGAGTGGGGGAGGGGAAGGAGGATACAATGGGAGTGTTCATTTCTCGAGGCATTTGGATTTGGGAATGGCGGATGATGGTTGGATGAGGGAGATTGGCATGTGGCTCGGGCTGGTGGTAGCCGGTACTTGGCTGGTGGCTGTTTCAGCCGCGTCGGGGCCGAGTACTCGGTACCTGTATTCAGGTGTATATGCATGTCTGATCGCGTATGCAACCCGTACTCTGTGCAATTTCGCTGCGCTGCTTGGGGAAGAGGAGGGGAGGGTTGGTGGAGTGGTCTTGGGCGATTGGCTCGGGGATGCCAGTGCACACAATGTCTCGTCTAGTGTGTATACTGTACGCCGGAGATCCGGGAGTCCTGCATCTCCAACCAGTGACGTTTGTTTCTCTGCTACACGACCCAAGTCGGGCGTAGTCTGCCTACTCCTGGGGCTCCACTTCTTGTCCTGGTTCGGGTAACGTGCAGCCACTCCGTTGGTGGCCGCCTGGAGTCCCCACGTCGAGCGAATGGTCTGTGGTGACGGAGATTACTGACTCGTTGGCCTATCTCTGGTGGCATGAAAATGCCTCAAAAGCTAGAGGCCTCGGGGGTTAGAAGAGTGGATCGTTGGACCATGGGCTCTTAGGGAAATATCTTTAGATATCCGCTCATGAGAGTTTTCCCGGCGTTGCTTCGGTTTGGGTTGGGAGTATCTTCCGGATTGCGCATTGTATAGGCCGAGTGTTGGTGGTTGGGAGATGATCGGACGGCTCAACCGAGAACCCAGGGCGGAATATGTTGTGCAGGGGTCAGTATAAGGACGTCTGGGCTACCGAGAGCACGCAGTACATTGATTATGAGATGGGTAACTAGGTAATATCTTGAGCTTAGGTAGGATGTAACTTGCTGACATGTCGATATTCTGGATGTTTGCCCATTGCCATGACTCTACGGAGCATGCGTCTGAGATAATACGGCTAATGCAAGAACACTAGCCCCCAAGTAATTTCTGTTTAAGACGAGTGATGATACACTGTGAACCAGTCACTACATAGTCGTATTACTCGGGATCACCTTCTCTAGTTAGACCGAAAACATTCGATTCTACCAATATGAATTCGGGATCACACCCTCCGACAGGATGAGAATCAGTCCAGACCAGAGTTAAGAAAAAAAAAACAAAGTCCAGCACAGGCTTGAAGATCAGTCTGACCCTGATGCGCCAGAGCGGCCAGACCACGCCGCATGGACGATCAGATAGGCCGATGTGAAGATTGGGGCGCACCAGCTAACGGCACAGACGTCATCCCGCAGGTGGCTCCCGGAGTGCAGTTGCCAACTGCAGCTGTGGCTGCAGCTCTCGGGACCCTATGTGATCAACAAAATCCACTTGGACTTCGAAACATCTTAATTTCAGGGTTGAGGAAATAACCCAACACCGACCCAACTAATGCAGGAACTAAAACAGAAGCAGTGGCAATCCCATGAGTGGTATCTTTGCAAACAAAAAAGAGAACAAGCACAAAACAAGTGGGAAAGAAAGGCACATGATAATCAAAAGTGAACTCCAGATTTCAATGAAGGAAGAAACCAGATGCGAGGTGGACAATGCGCTGATGAGATAAAAATGAGAGTCAATGCGTGATCTTGGGCTGTAGTGGGAGCAGGGTCAACACGACTACCCCATGGACAGAACTATATTACCACCCTCACAAACAATCATGTCCGAGCTCGAACGCGTCGAGGCATCGGAGTGCACCCCGCGCTAGCCTCCAGCATACTCTTTCGCTTGGTATTCTCTGAGTTGGCTCCACTCCGCGTAGGGATTCCACTGACAAAGCTTTGATCGGAAGTGCCGTTCACCTTGGCCGCAGGAGCTGGAAGCAAAGACGCACTGGGGGACTTGGGGATCAGCTTGCGGCGCGCCTTAGTGGGCGTCAAAGGTGCTGCAGCCGAGACAGCCACAGCGGGGGCCGATGCAGCGGGAGGCTTGCTGATGCGGCCACTGCCTGTCTTGACAGGTGTGCCGGAGATCATCGTCGAGTCGGCTAGGCGCCGTACCCGTCGTGATCGTGGGGTTGCACTAGCAGGTGCGAGCATCGGTGCGGTCGGGCCACCCTCGAGCTCGCTGCTAGCTGTGTCGCGATTGGTTTTCTGCTGTGCTAGGCTGCGGCTGCTGCGGGTACTGGATGCGGTTTTCTTCTCCGGACGCTTGCTCTCGGGGCATGAGCGCGAAGAGCCTTCGCCGACGTCATGCGTGCTGCTCTCACCCTGCTCTGCTGTTGCTGCGTCGTCAGAGGACAGAAGGATATCGTCTTCATACTCCACAAGGCGCTCCTCATTCCAAGAAACCTGCTTGCGTGATCGATGGGTGCGGGAGACTTTGCTATCGGCTGCGGCGGACTCGTTATGCTGTTGCTGAGCAATAGCTTGCAGGGTGTATTTGGGCATCATCGCGTCTCCCCGGTTATGCTTGGTGTTCCGCTTCGTAACTAAGGCTAGCTCTTGGGCCTCGGTCCGCTGCAGGAAAACAAACTCTGTACCTTTGGCCCGACGCAGGGAGATCATATTGCGCGCCGGGGGAGCATTGGGTGCGGGAGCTTTCACGCGGGAGCTTCGTCGACATACAGGGCTGGCAGGTGCGGGTTCCTCCACATCTTCTGCTGTCAACTTCGTAATGATGCCGTCACATGAATCATCGTTGGGAATACCATCACCCTTGGAAGGTGAGACCTGGATTTTAATTGGCGAAGGCGAATTGGCGTCCAAATCCTCAAGAGCCCGACGTGATCGTGGTGTTAAGCACTCGGTATCTGGAGACTCCTCCGAGCCGGATGATTTCTCTGCACCGTCCGTATCTTGCGACGTGATCAAGGCAGCCTTGGCCGCACGCTTGGCCTTTGCCTTGGACAAGAAGTCGCTGAGCAATTCAGCATCCTCGCCGTCTAACGAGCTTCGCAGCGCTGATCGCACTAAAGTTCCCTCTTGGGCCTGGGTTAGGCTTCGCACAACCTTTGAGGGAGTTGCCATCGCGCCGTTGCTATTGCTATCCTGAGTCACGTTGTCGATCGTTGTGTCTGCCAATCTTGAATATTGATTCTCCATAGTCTTTGCGTCAGCGGCCGGTGAATCCAGGCTTGCGGCATGCAAGCCATCATGGAACACTGGGGTTCGAGATGGGCTTCGCAACTTCTTGAGGAGCACAGGTGACGCCGTCATTGAAAGATCTCCCTCTGCACCAAGGTCATGGTGGATGTGAATGTCGCCCTCGCTGATTGGCCCTGTTCTCTTGTTTTGCAAATTTTCATCGTAGACATTAAATAGTGCGTCGGGCATTTTGCCTGCAGTTGGCTGTCAGCGACGGAAATGCCCTAAAATTATAGTGAACCTGACGCGGTCCGGGAGCTCGATACTCACGTCGTTTCCAGGAAATCTCCGACTCCCACTTGGTCTCGAGAAAGGAATTCTCTGGGCGATGAGATTGAGGTCTCGTGCGGTCCTCAAGCTCATCGGATTCAATACGCAGGCGTTTCACGCCACGCGCATGCGATGCATCTCCCGAGGCGTTCACGGCCGTCTGCCACGCGTTGTTATCCAGCGCGGTTGATGATTCTAGAGATTGCATGTTGGAGAATGAGGTTTGGAACCGCTTCCACAACTTTTTCGACTTGATACCACCCTTGAAGGGCGTGGATGGTTTGCGCTCCCACAGTCGGGGTAATGCCTTCAGGGCTTTGATCGGTGTGAAACTAAACGAGCTCTCGTCAGGAGCAGGATTGACCGTGTCACTGAAGAGATGAAATGCGCGAGCGCGCTCTAAATTAGCAAGCGATGATAATGGTTGAAGGAGCTCGCAAATCCCGATCACAGGTATGAATTCTGGTCACCAAATGGAGCGGGATCGCAGAATCAACAAGGAGAAACCACCCCCTGAGCCCGGGAAAAGTATGCAACGAGACCAAAAAAAATGGACAGGGACACCGGTCAAAGGAAGAAAGATTCATGGAAGAAGATGTGACCCACCATGTTTGCGCCTGCGACAAGGCAGGGTCGGTGTCCATTGTTGGTGTTGCGCGTGTGGAATGTGTCAAAAGTGCACTGGAATCTGCGCAATGGGATTTCTGCGGGAGGGAAGGCGTCGAAGAAGTAATTGGCGAGAATAGTAACAAATCCAGCCCTCAAAAATTGCAGGCAAAGGAGATCTGTTGGTAATTCATATAGCGATGTAAGTAATGCCGTGGGGGAGGTTAGAGTTGTGCTGAAGCCGTCAGTTTTGCTTGGGTTGGGGGCGCTTGGGCGGTTGCACGTCAGTTGCCCTGCCAACCAGCGCATGGCCTTGTCAACGCTCGGGCGATCCTGAGCCACGATTGGCTGGCTCAAGATGCATGCGGGCGTGTCGGCGAGGCCACACGAGGGAAAAATCTACTTGAGAGGGTTGAAATTTCTAGTCAGAAGCCCGACATTCAATGTGAGGATCTGAATCGGAACTCTCCAAACCGACACGTGATGTCAAAGGTCAATAACCAAAACCTTAATTTAGTAGAAGAGTAGACTTGTAATGATTGCCTAGTATTGATAAATATATCGAAAGTTGGCTAGCCTGTAGCGAGGTTGCTAATAGTCAGACTCAGAGAGGAGTAGAAAGATTAGCTTAGAAAACCAGATTAGAGCCGTCAACAATACGTAATTTCGGATCACGGCACCAACTTGAATGACGTCTAAATGTTTCTCAGACCCATTTAAATGAGGTTTAATCGCTATCACATGATGCCCGACAGACAATTCAGAGTCGGAGCTGCGACATACCGAGTTCCATGAGAATTAGATTGCCTCCTATTTTCAGGAACCCTTTTTTGCCATATTTTCCAATCTTTGAAAGTATCATCTATCCTTCTAATTCTATGACTATGTCTATTGATCCCAGGTATGTCAGGATATCATTTCCATCTGATTCATTCAAGGAAGTTGCTTATTGTGATAGAAATACGAGAAGTTTCACTTTTGAGTTCACGTTTCCACGCAAGAGCAGAGAAGGGCTTATTTATCGTGGTAACTTTTACCGACGAGGGGGAATAGTCAAATTGTTTCTTGCCGAATATGCCGTACGTGAACTCGTACAGCGCGAAGAAATGATAGAACTCAGAATCAGAGGATTACAAAAGGCTGCAGATATTGAATGTGATGTTGATCAGCTGCATGAGGCAACTCAAGAGCTTGAAATCATTCGAAGAAAGCTTCCCCGGGAAGAATATATGTTATACCGGGCGGAATCTATGATGTGCTCCACTCTGAAACTTGGATATGATCTTCTTAGACAGGATACTACATGGTTCATGCGCAAGGAACTGGTTCAGGATTGTTTGAATCGTCTTGGATGCTGTAGCCGAGGCTGCGGTTGCTGCAAACAAAGATCCTTGTCAAAAAGACAGAAAGGCAGGGGTCATTGCACCACAGAATGTTGGTGCTGCGCAAATTATCGAGGTTTTGAGCTCCCTGAAGATGAGAAGCAAGATATCAGGAGCGACCTAGAAGAAAGACTGCAAGCAGAGAATATGTCATATATTTTATTGCTCGGAAACACCTTTTTCTCCCCGCTGAGATCGCAACTTAGACGATATATGTGGCAGTGGATATTTGCGCGAGGTATTAAAAGCTGATTTGGTGACGGAGATATCTTTTGGACGAGGAGTTGGTATCTTGCTTAAAATTACTAGTACGTCCGATCTCGCTCTATATTCAAAGGGCTTTGAATAAATACTTACCTACCATTCAGGTATTATGATAATATGACAGTTCTAGTCTATTTCACTAATTTATAAAGTATCATGATTGCTTGACAATGATGCAGCATGAAGAATTGTTATTTGAAGGGTGTCATTGCATAGCACACAAAAAAAACTCAAGCGCCAAATCTATTTTTGGTATATCTCATGGACTATCGTACCTAGCGAGCTAGGGCACTCTATGGCAAACCTGGCATACAGGTAGGATAAGATGGATCAACGAACAAGCTAACAAACCACGCAGAATGTTGGCACTGCGCAAAGTTCCCAGGTTTTGAGCTCCCAAAAATGAGAAGCAAAAAAATAAAATAAGAAGCAACTGAAGGAGGTACTAGAAGATGAATATTGTTCACACATTTTATTGTTTGGAAGTTGGATTTTCTCTCCGTTGAAAAAGCAAAGGGGTCCATTTTGGTGGCACAGGACGTCTAAGTGAGGTATCAAACGTTGATATACGGGACGAAAATGTGTTGAAAACTAGTAATAGATATTTTGTCTTCATTGCTAGCCCGCATTGTCAATCTGTTTAAGACCTCTCTCGATCTCGCTTTATAATCTATAAAATTTTGACCCAATCTTTACCGGTTATTAGGGGTATTATTGTGACATGATAATTCCAGTCCCATTTTATTAATTTCTCTTTCCAATAATAATTGCTTTGCAATGACGATGTATTTGTTACCGCGAGAGAAACCTTACATACCTCAGCTTCTCTGCTGAGATTGATATGAATTATATGTGCAACTCGCCGGGCGTGAGTTCAAATTTCTGGGAGGTATGAACCCTGGCATATGGACAGCTCAGATGCAGCCTTGATATTTGCTTGAGGAATCATATTTGATGAAGTTCACAAAGAACATGGGATAGCTTTTCACTCATTTATCTCTGTAAACAGGTCATACGAAATGTCGGGATCTACACTTGAGGATTGGACATAGACGATGAAAATCTAAGCCACCCGAAGACGTCTAAAGGATTTGATACAAACAAACCGCGGAATAAGAAGAAACAAAATGAAATAAACATAGAATGGGTCTATGACCCGAGGGTATAAGGAAACAAAAAACAAAACAAAACAAACACAACACAACACAACGGCATCTACACCGCATGCCTGGGCATCGGAATCCGCACAACAACGAAAAAACAAAAGAAAATCCTCCTCTTGCTAGTGCCACGGCCGGTGGTGGTATAAACAGACAAAAACCGCAAACAATCAGTATACATAATCCCACCACGACCGTGACACCACATCCTTCCCTTTCCTTCACTTCATCCCAGCGAGTAGCGAGCCTACCGTCTTGCCTATACCAGAATGAGAGTCTGGCGGCCGGCTTGGCAAGGCGGGCAAGAGGCAACCGGGCGGCACGACGATGAAATCAACCCCGCAATCGGGGGCATCAGCGGCTCCGGGGGCCGAGGAGGTCGACGAATGCTCCAAAGTGGAGCCATCAACCAGCACACGGAGTCGAGGGCGGGGGAGGGGGAGGGCAGGCGGGAGTTCCTTTACGCCCTCATCGGAGGGCGACTCCCGCCTGTTTTTGCCCTTATTGGAGGGCCCAGCGTCGTCGACGGAGATCCCAGCTGTATGCACAGGAATCGGTCAGCATTTCCAGATTCAGCAAAGCCTACAATGCTCAAGAATACATGCTCTTACTGTTATCGGGGGTTTCCCCATTGTCGGGGGCTTTCCCTTTCTTCTGGGCGTCCTTGGAGCCCGAGGAGGAGGAGGAGGAGGAGGAGGAGGAGGAGGAGGAGGAGGTGGTGGTGGTGGCGGAGGAGCGCGGCTGGGAGGCTATATTTCATTTGATCAGCGCATATCCAACACAGTATTCCAAAGAAAAGATCATCTTACCGGAGTCGGATTTTTTAAAGGGCCAACAGGCCCGGGCCTTCTCGGCCATCTTCTTCTTCCTCTCGGCCCTCTTGGCGGCCGCACGCTCCTCCAGATACTCCATGTTGAGTATCTCCTGGGGGTGGCCGCGGCGCTCCCCGCGGCTACATGGTTCGTTTAATTAGTCTAAAAGTCACGAAAAATCGCCAGAGCTACAAGCCAGAAGGAACACCATACCGCACCCGCCAGCACCGGTACACCACCAGTATCACCACCACAAGCAAAACCCCAGGCACCAACCACGGATAGTGGGCGTTGGCAGCCTCGGCGGCAGCAGAGGACACGGCGACGGAGGGCGAAGGAGGCGAGGGAGGGGGGGGGGGAAGCTGGCGCGGGCGAGCAGTGGGAGGGGGGCCATCTTGGATGTGAAAGGGGCCATTTTTGATGGAAACAGTCTACATGGGAGCTGATTTTCCATCTATATAGCTACGACTGAGCTGCTGCCGTTTTTCAGATCACGCCCGTAACTTTGCTTAGCTTTACTATGTGTACTGCGATGTTTGATCCTGCTTTACATGCAGGTTGATCCGCCGCACCTTGGTCAATTTGAGAAAAATATTTCATCTCCATCGAAAAAGTAGTGAAAGACCCAGCAAAATTTCCATGTCTCTCATGAATATTACCAGTAGAAATCAGGAATCTGCATTAGGATGTCTGCATCAAACAACGAAATGGTAATAATCGAACCATGGGAGTCAATAGATTAGCGACATCTTGGAAGGCTGACCAATCAGCGACCAGGAACTTCGAATATAGATTGTGTTTGACCAATAGAATTTTAGAAAATGTAGTTGATTGTCGACATCATTTGAAATTTTACCTCCCATTCAGATAAGTTTTCCTAGCTCTGATCTTCATCTTGCTTTGAGGATCACAAAATTATTAAATGTGAGAGTGATTATGATTGATATTCAGTCAGATGGAGGGTTCGGCTTGGCTGGTCGCTCTTGACTAGTCTGCTCGACTCGGATCATGTAGCAAGGCAGGTGCGTGGAACGATTTTTGTCACACGAAACCCACAGTCTCCAAGCAACCAGGAGATTGAACAAGTTGACGAGATGAAATAGAAGGCCCGAATTACCGAGGCTTATGGTCTGATCAAAGAATAGACGCGAGCCGAACCAGGCGTTCCCAGCAAAGTCCCCAATGTATGTGGATATCAAGCATGTGATAGAAATTGATGCTATGATTGGTCAAATGATCGAATTTCTCCAGGTTAACTACAATTTTGCCGATGACCCATCTCTCGTACCATAAATATACAGATCTGCATTGAAATAGAATAAACAAGAAAGGCGTTACTGAAACTTGAATATTAATTTACAAAGATCCGGCTGCTAGGATATAACCACCATCCACTGCAATTGTCTGTCCGCTTAGGTATTGATTAGTAGCTGCAAAAAGCACGACGCTCGCCATTTCTTCATCTTTGCCCGGCCTTCCTGCAGGAATCTTCTGCTCGTAATTCTCCTTTGGAATGAAGCTTTTCTGGTTCTTATCGCTCTCGCCTGCTGTCATTTCACTCGGAAACACTCCGGGCGCAATATTATTGACGCGAATCCGTAAATTTGATGTCATGGTTTCGTGTGCTAGCATTTTGGTCAAATGGATTGCGGCAGCCTTGGAAGCGTTATATGCGAAATGGTGCTGGGAGACCTTTATAATGCCCGAGATCGAAGTGATGTTTATCACAGTGCTAGTCCAACCGTGCTCCTTTTCGGAGCCCTTCTCAAGCAGCGGAAGAAAAGCCGATGTCATGAAATAAAGCTGCGAGACATTTGTGCGGAAAGTTTTGTCCCAGTCACCAAAATCACGCGATGGATGTTCGAATAGAGATTGGCGTAACTTTTCGGGACTCTGACACTCGGTGTCTTGATGACCAGTGGAGATTCCAGCATTGTTGATCAAGATAGAGAGGAATTTCTCGCGGGAGCTGACTTCTTGAACCAACTTATCGATCGAGTCTTTATCGGTTACATCGGCAGTAATAGGTATTAGCTGACCAGGGATATTTTGATTGTAGAGCTCGCTGACTCTCTCAAGCTTTTCCTGTGTTCGACCTGTGATATACACCTTTGCGCCATTCACGGCTAATGCCTGGGCTGCCATAAGGCCAATACCCGATCCTCCCCCGGTGATGAGTGCCACTACATGTATTAGCTGTGGTTCTGATATTTTGAGAAGGTACTAGTATATATACCTTTATTTTTGACATTGAACAGGTTATGTAGCTGAAATTTATCGTTGCTTTCTTTCCCTTCCATCGTGACTTTTGTTCGGAAAATCAAACGTTGGATTCTTTTTTCGAATACAAGCTAGATACCGGGTGAAACTAGAATGCGTCTTATTCAAAAAGACACCGATGAAGATACCTCAGAAAAAGGTAGTCTGGGCAGTATCTATCAGTGACGAACAGAAGGATTGGGATGGGCATCCTGTGAAATTTATTTATTCACTCTGCCTTAATCCAAACGATTACCAAATGAAAGCAAGTATAAATCAGGTTTTTCTCGCGTGTGGTTCAATTCTCATTTTTTCCGCTTTGAGAAACTATATCAGAATGACGTCGACTGTACCAAAGTTACCCGCCTCAGTATCATAAGAGTGGTTACAGTATTATATTTGAAGATTTACTGTGCTTGAAATTGCCATGCAATAAATTTCAACGGCTAAAGGGATTAAGATAGTATTACTCGCAAGATCATATTATTTGAAGGTGTTTCCAAGAATGATGTCGAGTCATCCAATGAGGACAACACCCACCTGTCAGCGCCCTCGGGTTACATAATGAGTGATAACGTATTTCACTAGCAGTGTCTCCGCCCACCCACACCGCTTCGCGTTGTGGGTGTGCCACACACAGATGCATAACCACACACAGATGCATAATCTTTCCTATTTCCCCTATCTACTACTGCATCCCACTAGTATCTATATAGAAACCCTGCCTGTTCTGACGTGCTTCCTCTGCTCTATCTAACGATGCCTGGCTTTCCTGTGTAGGTTCTGGTGGTGGTGATGTTCCATATGTTTTCTTCCACTGCTTCCTCACCCGCTTCCGCTCTATATCCGCTTCCTTCTCCTTTCTTTTAGCAATAGAACGATTTGCATCTCTAATAGAGAGGACCCCTGTTTTGCTAAGCGGCGTTTTAACCTGGCGCTTGGTGATTGGGCGCTGTAGTGGTTGTTGAGCTTCCCTAATCTTGCGAATAGTATCATTCGCTAGATTTAGGTTCTCTATAGCAATCTTGTTATGATGAAACACACGATCAAGATTACGTTGCTGCCTTGGTGTAAGATCCTCTTGATATCTAGCAATCTTCCTTTGATTCTTTTCTAGATCCTGTATAGATCTAGGCGGCGATTGGTCGATACTAGAAGAAGATATAGGTGGTAGTGAAGGTGTTGTATGAAGCGTTGAATGAAGCGGTTGTAGATCTGGCGCTATAAGATCTTGACACTCTTGGATAGGAAGGCTATTAATAACCTTGCTACTATCGACTGGATATATCCCACGATCTTTGAACGATTCACGAATGATTCGCTGGCTAAACGCTCTATTCCGAATATCACCGATTATTCGAAGGAACTCGGATCTCCCGATAGGGCTTCCACCCCAAAACGCGTGATCGTTATTCGCTAAGCGGAAGTGTTACTTATAGCTTAGAAACGGCTTACCGTCAAGCGGCTAGCAAAGATGTGTAGTATGTGGTAGGAATCCTATTGGTAGGATATCGTTCTTTTCGCAAAGGTGTAGAAATTCGAATGTAAGATGCGAGCCGTGACCGTCGAATATTAGGATACGTTTTTCACCTAATTTCGTACGGTCGCATGTTGATTCTATAAAGAATCGAAGCCATTGAACTGCTATATCGTCGGTTATCCAACCGTTAGGCGATGTAGTGATAGTAGTTCTTGGTGGTAGGTCGTCTGTTTGATTAAACCAAGATTCTATAAAGATCCCGTTGCCTTTGAAAATAAACCAAGGCTCCATCTGCTACCCGTCGGCAGCGATACACTCGATAGACGTGATATTTTCGCCTTGGTCTGGCTGAGGAAGATCTACTACCTTCCTACTAGTAGTAGTAGTAGTAGTAGTAGTAGTAGTAGTAGTAGTAGTAGTAGTAGTAGTAGTAGATATAACGTTTCTAGATCTTCCTTCGCCTGGTTGAAAGCCGCATTCATCAAAGTTATAGACTAAGCGTGGTGGTGTAGTCTTCTTGATCGTTTGGGCTAGTAGATCGTACCAATGCTGTAGTGCCGCTGGATCCTCTGCTAGAATTCGCTTCGACTCCTTCGTATACTGCTTAGTAGGCCCTAATTGAAGATGTTTAGGAAGCCTATTAATAAAGCGATACGCCCACATCTTGCTAATCGGCGGCTTGCCGACGCGTTGGCATACACGATTCGCCCACGCTTCTAGTATCCTAGGAGTGATAGGCATATAGCAATCGTTCATATATTGAATCCAGCGAATCAAGGCTTCTTCTTGATAGGGTTCTAGGGCCTGTTTAGCATTGCGTTTAGCTGTATTAGGCCCTGTTCCCTTTTTAACACGGCGATAGAGAGTGCTTTGATTAACGCCAAATTCACGTGCTAAACGCGCGATATTCGGCTTCTCCTCTCGTGATGCAGCTAGGCAGGCCTCAGCCATACGAGATTCATCAAATTTAGGCATATTTAGATAGTGGTGTTGGATAGAGAAGCAAAAAATAGGGTGATAGGAAAGATTATGCATCTGTGTGTGGTTATGCATCTGTGTGTGGTTATGCATCTGTGTGTGGCACACCCACAACGCGAAGCGGTGTGGGTGGGCGGAGACACTGCTAGTGAGTTGCCACCACTAGTGAGTTGCCACCCTTACCACCTACTACTTTTTGAAAACACTATTTTTCCACCATAACGCCATATATTTAATTCAACTATTTGCTAGGGCACTGAGTAATCTTATGCCCTATATTCCCACATCCGGAACACCGAAACACACGCTTGGTAGTAGGCTCAGCGCCTATAGTAGGCTGCTGAGCAAGCTCTGTAGCATCGTTTTGAATAGCTTCAACGCTTGCTGGCAACGTTGAATCTAGAGATATAGATTCGCCGACCGTAGGATCTTGCTGCCTAGATATCTGGCGATTAGACCGTGTGCGTTTTTGACGCTTCTTCTCGTTGAATCTATATAGTTGCCGAATCTCTTCCGCTTGCAAAACAGTGTTATGAAACGCTAGTTCAGCACCTTTAACTAATTGATCTAGCGCTCTCTCTGTAGGGCTTCCTGGCGACTGTGAGCGCCTATATAGTAGAGCTTTGATAGATGATGCTTGCTTGCTAAGCTGCTTAACCGTATGTGGCGTAGTAGGCACGAAAGCGCTACTCCTACTACTAGGCCTACTAGTAGTAGGAGGTGTAGGTGTTCGAAGCGATATATTAAGCTTTGATAGGACTCGGTCGGCATCTAGCGGAACTAGGCCGGCGCTGGCGAAGCTTGATTGTATAGTGCTAGGTAGGAAGGCTTCCTAGCGTGCTAGTGTATAGGATTCTAGGAAGTCGAGCTTATCGATATGGTTATATCCTAGGCAAGCTTGGGCCTCGATTAAGCGACCGTATAAGCGCTTTAGGATAGCAAAACATCCTATATCTAGCGGCTGTAGAAGATGTGACGAATGCGGCGGCATACAGAGTGGTATAACGTTATTTTGCTAGCAGATTTGGTCGAATTGTGGTGTTAGATGGCTTCCATGACCGTCTAATATTAACAAGCGATATTTGCCTTGCGTACGACTAGTAGTTGCTGGAATAAAGAGCTTTTCTAGCCAGCGTAGGCCTATATCATCGGTAGTCTAACCGTTCGGTGATACTTCGATTCGCTAGTCTTTCGGTAGGTTATCAAACCAGCTAGCAATATAAACCTTCCCTTTAAATACTATATACGGCGGAAGCGAGTAGCCGGTTGCCGATATAGATTCAATTGCTGTAACCCACTCCCGATTTCTAGGTTGTAATAGAGCTTTCCGACCGTATAGATCCTTCCGTGTAACGATTCTAGTAGTAGATATCAAGCCTATTGCAAAGCCTATTTTATCAAAGTTATAGATATCGTTAGGAAGGATCCCGTTTTCATTGATCGTACGCTCTACTAGCCTAAACCACGCGCGTAGGCTAGTAGGGTCTTCGTTTTGCGCACGTTGATAGTCGTAGCGTCTAGAGAATCGTGTATAAAGCTCTGGTCGACGTTTAATATAGCGTGCTACCCAGTTAACACCTATATTAGGAGGTAGGAGAGGAGGGAAGATATCACTACGCGCTACTAGTAGAAGATTTGCCATATCTCTAATATGCGAAGGCCTAGGGGAAGCACCACGCGTATCTAGAGATAGGATCCACTGGCAAAGCGAATCCTCTTCTTCTTGTGTCAGTTTAAGACGTGGTGATCGTGTATCCTCGCGATTAGGCATTCCATGAAGCCTATTGCGTAGCGTTGATCGACACACGCTATATAGCGACGCTGCTTGGGATACAGAGCTTACTGAGCTATTTTGAATAGCTTTGATAGCAAGTAGTATCCTTCCCTCCCTACCTGGCGATTTTGAGCGTTTTTCAGAACGTTTTGGTGGCATGGTGTGTGATGGAAGATAGTAGGTGACGCGTGGGAACGCGAAATTTGATGGAGTGGCAACTCACTAGTGGTGGCAACTCACTAGTGAAATACGTTATTCAACCGTAGTCAGTTAATCAATTTCTTTTCACAACGAGCCAATAAATATCCAACTTCAAGGCATCTTTCTTCCGGAACATCAGCATCAAGCCACAGTGAAGTGTGAATCTTCAAATCTAAAATCGGCACCGGGCCAAGGTTTTCTGCACAATAGCGGAGCTGGAATCGAAAGCAAAAATAAAACATCGCTGATTGGCTTGAAGTAAGTACTAAACAAATCCAGCTAGGCCAATCAGAATATTTGGAAAAGAAGCATAAACGAATCTCAGGAAGAAGCAACGTGCAGAGAAAAATGCGTGCAGTTGATGATGGATCTATCTGCGATCTACATATATGACGAAATAGGCTCTAAACTAGCTGATCTGGGGGCTCCAAAACCATATTAGTATATTGGAAAGCTGTCATCAGTAGGCCGAATCCATGAGGACCGAACCCGAATATAAACGGAGATACTCGGGTCTTGCAGGCTGGCACTCTTACTGAAGCTCAGTATCATGGTCAAATAGAAAGGATGTAATCTAACTTTCTAACTATCTAACATATTGGCTGAGGACACCGGTCAGTTGACTCACCCAGCGGCCCCGGAAATCAGGATATACAGGCTCAAGGTGTTACCCTCCAAGCCAGGTCCCCTGACCCCAGGCACCTTCTTAGCTAGTTCAGAGCATAAACGATATGATCATCTTCACATCTCCTGACTCTGTCACAAAAGGGTTGAAATTTTCGGGGTCTTTCCCCGGTAGGACTCTCGGAGAAGTCCATAATGAAGAATGAAATGGATGAGAGAACTCTTTCCACAGGGTCTGGGGAAGCGACTTGACTCCCAAGAGTATGATATCATTACATACCCCTGGTGCCTGCTTTTCTAGAAATGCTGTTATCGGGAAAATTTTCAGAATCAACGCGCTGCTGGAAATCTATCTGATATGTTCTAATGTAATGAGCATCTACCATTGGATCTACTAGTAATTCCGATAAATTTTAAGGCAGTCGGCTTCTAGATTTAACAATTTCCGAAAATCTTCTTGGACCCAGGAAACCTTAGAGCCCCCACCACTTGAATGGTGAGGATCAATGTGGCGCGGACTATATAGAAGCCTCGAACTATTAGTCCACATGAATGAATAGGCAGTCAAAAATAGACTGTTTGGTAGCTAACGCCTGGTCCGGTATAGAGGGATACAGTCTGATTAACTGTGGCGACTGAAACTTGGGGCCTCTTTGTGTGGCTCTTGGGGTCCTGAGCTGATCAATATTGACCACGTGGTGTCTGAATGACCGACCACTTGCTCGGCCTGCAAAACTTCAATTCATCACCTGACTTTGATGCACCGACCTCCCTGTACGTGTCTCAAGGTAGGCGAAGGAGCCAGTGGGGACGTGTGCCTTGGCCATGACTCACTTCCTTTTGTTCTTCGGGCACTCAATGAATCGTCTCACCGCTCCAATTCTTGACGCCTTTGGATGAAAACCATTAAGCATGAGGAGACACGAAACCTGGACATGAATCAATCTTGTACCACTGGTGGCTTACTATGTCCTCACTCACTCAATGATAGATACTAGTTGACTAGAATCACTAGCTCCAATTCAAAAAGATACGTCTAGCAAAAGAAGAGGACACAAACAAAGATTAATCGATTCAGACTTTGGTGAAATTGTGAGATCAATTGTGCCCCCTTACGCCTCCTGTGGGCCTTGGGCCCACGCTACGTTGGGGCGGTAAACAGTAGGCAAGGTTAGACTAGGTGATTGATTGTATTAATGACGATAGGTACCGAGGTAGTACTCCCGCTATACTATTTCCAATGAAAAATAAACATGGATGTCGGCACCATGGTATTCCGAACAGCCCTCTCGGCACGTTCTCCGTACGACGCTTCCAGAACGACGGCAGGAAATAGGGTGATGTGGACGTCGGACGTGCCGGAATGCGGGGGAACTATTCGGTCCCCGCGTCGGCGCTCCCTCGATGGGGTCATTGGATAATAATGCCGCAAAAGTCGCACGCATCATGGGGCCCTGACTTCATTTGCCCCTGTGCGTTTCTGAATATAGCAACCGTTGAATAAGAGAAACGTAAAAAGCTGGCTGGGCCCCTGGTCACTTGACCCGGTTGCGTGCCCATTACCTAAGATTACCTAAGGATTCGGTTGTCGTCGGGGACACACTTACCCGATCCGGTCTCGCGTTGCCGTTTGGGATCGCCCCCGAGGTCTAGATCCCCACAGCTTTACGTGATGGCACCACGATCGCCAACCATTTCCCAGCGATCACCATGGAACCAACGGATCACATGGATTGTATGGGTTTTTGCCCAGACCTGCTCAGGGTTACTCAACAATTTTCCACGCATCCAGACATTCAGACGGTGGAGAAAAAAAACGCATAGGGGAATGGTTCCTATAGCGTCATCATGATCTGCCGCCCCCGCAAAAACCTTTAAAATGCCAGAGATTTCCCCGGATTTGAAGGTTCAACAGTCACTCAGGCTATTTTACCTCGATAACTTGCGCTACTTCTTCAAGTACCTTATATTTATTTGCCTTTGCTCAATTCCGATGTAAGTCATTAATCAAAGATGTTCAAGACTCCCGAGCCGAGCAGTCGTTGACAAGAAGGCCTTAGTTGCAGTTACGGAATCACATCTCGCCCATCATGGTGACTATCGAAACTTCAGAAGCTCCCGCTCCAGGCTGGAAATGCCCACAATGTGGACTCCCTGGGGTGCGTTTATCGAATGAGACTACCGACCGAGCGTACTACAAATGCGTTCCATGCAATCGCTCCCTGGGATTTTGCCCTTGCACCACACCCGGCGCCCGAACAACCTCAACATGCCCGTGTGGCGAAAACAGTGATGCCGAATCACCCGGCCTCGAGGAGGTGCCGCGAGGTGTCTCTATGCTTGCTACGAAGAAGCAATCGTTCAACCCACACAACCCGAACCCCGGATTTGATGAGGATTGGGAGTCAAATTGCAGCCCGGGCTTCATGGTTTCAAGATTCAAGGCTGTGGGCATGGAATTGCTTCCGAGTGCGTGAAAGTGATGCATTTTCTATTTTTCTTTTCCTTTTTGTTCATGTACCACCAGCGAGCTTTGTTTCATTTATCAAGACCTCATACTCGATTGTTGCCTGTCGAGGCGACGCTGACATTCTTTGAGTCAAAAAAGTTCATAAACATTAATTATATGCGTCAATCGTGACCTTGGGCAATCGATGAACACCATTCTCCATCAGCGTTATTTGCATAGCCGACTGTATCGGTTATCTATCGATCTAGTCAAGGGCTTTGGTCATTCGGAGTTAAGCATCTCGCTAGAAAGCGTATTTTAGCTTGCTCCATAATTAAAAATGTTATTTCATGGAATCATTTGAAAGTTGGAATATTACTAGTTGTCTGCGTGATTTACTTTACTTTCACTGTAGCTATCCATTAGCTAGGTATCGTAGTCCATGGTATGGAGGCCAGAGAAACCAGTCAACCATTTGCCAACAGAAGCGAAATAATCGCTGCATTATGAAAGTAGAGCTATATCACTCGCTTATTCAATCTCAAAATTATTTTCATCACTGAATTGTCACCCTAGGCATTCAACGCCGTCCTTTTTTCAAAACGCCCACTATAAACGTTCTCATAGTGAGTCGCACGTGAGCTTCAGATCAAAGGAAGGGCGAAGGTTGTCGAAGATAAAGCGCAATTGGCTTCTTCACCTTGTCAAGAAATTGGCCGCTTAAACTTTCAATAGAAGCCATTATGATGAATCTCAATTGAACAGAGCACAATAGAAGAATATGAATAAGGAGAATGAAGCGTTGAGAAATTCTCTAGCTTCTCCAGAGGGATGCATAATATGGCGCGTGGTGCTGTTGAGCGTTATAAAAGTGTTGATGGAGCTTGAGAGTCAGATATGAAAAATTGTTTGCACCCGAAGATTTCGAACATGATCGATAACCCCTTTTGAAGTACCAGACACCACTTTTACTGAGAAGCTTCGCAGAATTTACAGTCGGAATTAGGTGGGGGGATCATGCGCGGCAAGGATCGGGATTAGGAGAACACATGCACAGGATCGGAAATATCTACTTCAAGACTCATCCCCCGACTGTCCCTTAGCCTAACCCATTGGAATAAATCGTGGAAGAGAATTCAAGGAAAAAAATCAAGTATTTTTCTCTTCCTAATTCTCTTCATACTCCATACTTTTCCATACTTCTGAAATGGGCTGGCCCATGTGCAATTTGACCGAAGAAAATGAGGCTAGTGCGCGCCACAAACTTATCTCACACTTATATCTTACGGCTCTGTGCAGTTGTGGAAACTGCCCTCTGGGATCGCCGATTGGGCAGGAGTCGCGCGGATTATGGTCAGGGAACGCAACGTCTATAGAACTTCCAAAGATGTTCAAGGAGCGTTGATGGCCGAAGAATTGTCATTCTGTGTGACTCTCGCAGTCCGAGGACACGTTTGTGACAGTATAGCATATAGGCCGTTCATTCCCAACTGGCTTTACTGAAGACAAGCTTTCAAGTCGTTCTGTGCCAAGAGAGGCAACTTCGAGAATGGGTTGTTGCGACATATACGGAAAGCTATCTCTAGTAGGAAAATGAAATCGACACTCATATAAATATATCTTTGAGCATACAGTGCTCATTCCGTTTGCACAAAACGTGCGCGGAGAAGCCGCCGTATTCTGCGATCGACGCTCGGAGACTCGGAGATGCCTAATATGTCAAAGGGTCATTGACCTTAGTCATCAGTGAGTGGCGACATTGTCTCCGAATATCTTTCCGTCATCTCCGATCCACCTCAAGGGCTCCATTCGTTAATCGAGATATCTCCCCCACTGCCAGATATTTCCGAACATATTCATTCTCCATTTCTTGCCCGGCCCCCAATGGAGGACACTAGCTGTGAAGACCTTCCAAACGCCGAGGCTAACGGATCCGCCCCCACTCCCACTCCAGCCAAATCAACCTTCACCACATGGAACAGCAAGTCAACATCAGCTCGGGTTCACAACCGGCGACCCCGGCAGCCCATCAACTGTGCCCCATGTCGGCAATCAAAATTGAAATGTGACCGGCAGCAGCCTTGCGCATCCTGTAGGCGACGGGGCTACATCGATATCTGCACATATCTGGGCAGACAACGCAACACCCAACACAACACCCAACGTAGGATCCAACACAACCCCCCAGAGTCCACAGACTATGATTCCATCGCAAGATCGTCACCGGCCAGGCAAGGCTCAGTGCAAACATTGCCCCCAGATTCATCACCACAAAATTTTCAGCAGTTTATTCCCAATATCCCCCAACCTATCTCCAGTTCCCACGTGCCACAGCAACAGAATGACACCCACACACAATGGGATGCTCTCCTTCAACGTCCAATTGATAAAATGAGCCAGGCGGAAATAAATCAGGATCACCCTTTTACTCGCCCTGGAAACTTCTGCTTTCCATTTTCTTTCGGCTCCACCATTTCTCAAGAAGAACTGCTAGCCATGCTGCCGCCAGCAAACTGTTGCGACTACCTAATCACGGAGTACTTCGTGCGTTTGTCACCACTTTTTCACATTCTTCATGGTCCAACATTCCAAAAAGAGTATAATGCCTTCCGGACTAGTCCTTCGCAAGTTGATCTTTCTTGGTTAGCTTTATTATTCGCCATCTGTTCAGCAACCATAAATACAATGGAACCGGACGACGGCATTCATGGTGAAATCTTAAGCAGCATACTTGGGACTCTCAATGTTAGCAAACTAGCTTACCATTACCGAACTGCTGCTATGATATGTCTTTCACAAGGCCATTTCTTGATACGACATAGTCTAAGTACCCTGGAAGCGCTTCTCCTGCTGATATACACAATAAGTAATAATGAAGGAGCCGAGCATGCTTGGACTTTACTTGGTGAGTATTTACTTGTTTCTTCCTGAAGAAAGTATCAATTTACAAAATCATCAGGTATTGCTCTAAACATCGGTATCGCATTACGATGTAACATCGAAGAAGATGTTCAACGACTTGACTGTACAACCACACAAAGGCGGCGAAGATGCTGGGCTGGGATCTTACTCCTTCACACCTACCAAGCCACTTTTTTTCGGGATATTGATATGTCGTCTTTGCTAAATCTTGATGCCGTTATGCCAGCCGACGTCAATGATAACGATATCAAAACTGATGCCATCTTAGCTCCTTCAAGTCAGCCAACAGAGATGTCTCTGATGAGATTTAAGATCCAGATGTTCCAGCTGTCGACCAAGATTTGCCGTCATCTAGCAAGTCACTCGAAAGAAGACGAAGCTACACTCAGTATATTTGACAGTCAGGTTGCAGGGGAGCAAAGGCAATGGGATGCTGTATATCTTTTGGATGGATCTCCAAATCTCCTAGATTCATCAAGCTACGCACATTGGTGCATTTTACAACTCTACGCCCATCAGCTATATTTGCTTCTCCATCGCCCTTTCTGCAAACCATGCAGCTCACACTTTCGCTCGGCTTCCAGAGTAAAGTGTATCGTCTCTGGTAGAGCTCTGCTTGATGTCCACCGTCAGTTCTGTGAACTGCCACGTTTACGGCACTATCGATGGCTAGTATCGGGATTGACAAGCTTTTATGCCATTCACGGAGCCATGGCATTAGCATCTTGTCTCCTAGACGAGCCAGAGGACGTTGACCTTTCCCGCTATCGTGTCGATTTTGACTCTGCGGTTCATCGCATCGATAAACTCCGGGGTGAAAGCCCAGTTTGTGCTCAAGCATATCCTATTCTCAACCATCTCCAGTGAGCTTGGACCTCCCTATGATGATTGTCTATATAGTTTGGTTTACTGAATACTTTTTCGAAGATCAATGCTCTCGTCCCAGCAAAATCAGCCTGTACCAGCACCGGACGCTTTAGATTTTGGAGCCACTTTTGATACTTGGATCGATGGTGTGCAGTGGCTCAATCCAGAGTCTATCGACTGGGTAAGTAAATTATCTCACGTTAGTTACCATGCCTTCTAATACAGTTTGACAGAAATTTTGGGATACTTTTCTCAATGTCGATCTGGCTTCGTAGGGAGTTAAAGCGAGATTTCTCGCTCAAAGCATTTTCAATTAATTCGTGTGCTCGCATGCTGTGCAATATTCTAATAATATCTCACCTATTCTAGTCTCCGGACAATTGATATAATATTCAAGTATTCTCCGTAGGCTTCCTGTCTTCATAGTCTTCCGTATATTCTCGTAGCACTCATTACAGGCTGGATAAATTATGACGTGGGTATATCGGCACAGCCCATGAGGTGTTGTGAATCTGTCTATTGATTTGCTGGCGTTGAACAAGACAGAACCGAAGCACTGTCGTCATGAGGTCACTTTCGACAAGAGACAACTACCCGCTCTTAGCACGCCTTTTTCTCAGTTTTTTGACCGGCAAGGGGAAGAATTCTGATATTTCGCCGCAGCAGTTCGCGGAGCCAAAGAGTGGGCAAGGGCTGGAGTGTCAGCCACGTGAAGTGACACCCAGCTTTGTAACAACTCTTTCTCTGATGATTCTGGCCCCAGAGGTATAATGTGACTAATCTGCTGATTTCCAGTCCTATTCTAGATGGAAGAATTGCCAGTACCAAATATACTCGTGCCAATGATGGTCCTCGGTCTAAATGTTCCGGTACAACATAAGAAACTGAACCGGTAGGCCATACAGCGATTCTCAATGTGCATCTCGGAATAGGAAAAACATATTAAAAAATGGTGGATACAATTGATTTGTAGATCAGCGTGTCAAAGCAAATAAAGACAACCTTTCAATCTGGAGGCTAGGGAAAGTTCGATCTTAAAATTTGACATAAAAGAATAAAAATGAATAAGACAGAAGAAGCCAGCTTCAAGTAAGATTTCCAGCTCGAAACAGGTTGAAGGCTCTCCAGTGCAGATTCCTGTGCATCTCCAATATATTCAGGAAACGCAATTTTCTGCCCATTATCTAGTCACATGAACATTTTAATAGCACGAGAAATACCTTCAGAATTCTCGTAGATGTGCCAATGGCCAGTGTGGCGAAGAACCTCTAGTTGGGACTTGGGCAGTTTCTCATGAAAATCAATTACGACATTGACAGGCGATGTCTTATCCTCGTCGCCAGTAATGAAGAGGATTGGCATGTTCAGCTTTTCAACCGACAATGGCGACGTTATGCCTGCGAGTGCTGTGCAAGCTTTTGCGTAACCTTCTGGGTTTGTGGCAAGAAGAGACGACCGAACAGCAGCGTAAGCGACAGAATGGTAAATTTTGCTCGCGCTGGATGTTCCCGCTTTACTCACGGCATCAACAGTTCCCGAAGCCATCATGCCTTTATCTCTGACAGCCTGGGCACGGTTGGCCATTCCGACCTTTGCAGCCTCAGGAAGCGGGCAGGGTGGAGGTCCCATCAAAATCATCCTCTCAATCTTAGAAGGAGATTCGATTGCATAGGCCATCGCAATTAAACATCCCAGAGAGTGAGCAAACAAGGTTACAGAGGATGCCCCGGTCATATTGATAATACTCCCCAAGTCTTTAGTGAGACTGTCAAGTGTCACAACCGAGGAAATATTGGTTGGTGACAATCCGTGACCTTCGAGATCATAAACGTAGCTTGTATAGCGTTCCTCAAACCCTGGAGCTTTGATGATAGGAGTAAAATATTCAGTCGATGCCCCAAGACCATGTACAAAAACAGCGGTATCGGACCCGGTACCAGCCTTGCGAAGGTGGATTAGCTTCCCATCGAGCAGGGTCAGTCCAGCTCCACCGGCTGTGTTGTCTAGGTTGATAGTGGCAAGGTGAGACTCCAGTTGAATGCGTTTCGCAACCTCATTCTCAGCCTTCGGACCCGCAATGACGTTCGTAAGACAGCCCAGCCCAGTTACAGACACTTCCACTGAGTACCAAGCAAAGTATTAACTCCATTCTCATAAAGTAGCAAACAAAAAGAGTATGCTAACCTTTGTCGCCTGATTTCAGGAAACTGGCAGGATTCTGGCCGAAGCCAACGCCAGCAGGGGTTCCAGTGGCGATAATATCACCGGGTCTGATTGTCTGAGCTTCAGACACGGTTTTTACCAAATTCGCTATTGAGAAAATGAGATCATCCGTGGTTGCATCTTGTCGCTTCTCGCCATTGACAAACGTCTGAACTCGCAGTTTATTCGGAAGTGCACTTGCTGGAACTGCGATGGGTCCCTGGTCAAATGAATGAGTTTCCCTAACTCCCTTTATTCAATCGAATCATGCTTACCATTGGACAAAACGTATCAGGAGATTTCCCCAAATAGAATTGCTTGTGGTCTCTCTGCTTCTCACGGGCGGTCACATCTGCATGTGGACATTAGGAACTCGACATTTATTGTTATTTCGAAGATTTTCTGCTCACCATTTATAATTGTGTAGCCCCAGACATAGTTGTGTGCATCCTTTTCTTGAATCTGAAATCCCGGCTTACCGATAATTACACCAATTTCCCCTTCGTAGTCTAGGGTGCTTGGAAATCCGTGATGCGGGTAAATCGCGACACCACACGGCACAATACTTGTGGATCGCTTTGTGAATATAACTGGATGTGTGGCTATTGAGATCGTCAGTCTTTTCTGTCTTTCAGATTGCAAACTTATCAGATATTCTTACGTTGATCTGTTTTGTCGCTCGAGTCGTAGCCACTGCGATTGAACTCAACGGCATGGTCAACATAGTTTTTACCAACAGCCAGGATGTCGCGGTCGTCAATTGGAGCTTGAATGTCAACGCTTTTTAGGTGGAAGCTATCGCCATATGCAGCCACTGCATTGTCCAGTTCAATAATCTGGTACAAAGATGTGATAGGAGCACCAGAAAGCATGACCAGCGGTGTCACCATTGAAGAATCCAAATCCAAATGGCCTACGGGGGCTCCGGCCTCGTTCATCCAGGTATGTGATGTAATTGCTGTATTGAATTTTAGGCTGCGTGATTGGTGGCTGGGAAAGAGATCCGTCCTTTGAAAGGACCAAGTCTCTTGGTGAGGCTTTATGGATTCGACCGTTGATCATAATCATATCTAGCTTCGAGTGATCTTGGAGAATAGTGACATTTTCCAGAGGGTTCCCATCGACAATAATCATATCGGCGTAATAACCAGGTTGAACTTTGCCGAGCTCGTGCTCCTGCATGAATAGTTTCGCCACGCCAGCGGTAGCAGCAATAATCGCTTCCATGGGGGTGAAATCAAGCAACTTGACAAAATGCTCCAGGTCTCTAGCGTATGTGCCGTGAGGTGTCCAACCAAACCCGTAATCGCCGCCACTGTAAAATTAGCTGGAGTTCGCGAATGATTAGTCTGTCTTACATACGGCAAAACAGTGATTCCTCTTTGATGCATTTCTTTCATCGCGTTTATTGCAATTTCAAGCTCCATTTTGTATCCGGCTTGCTCGGCATCGTCGAATGAGTAACCAAAAGGTCCAGCTTCGAAGGTTGTAGCATAAAGCCAGTTCAGAGCCGGCGCAACAACGTGACGGTGCTTGTTCTTTTCAAGCTCATCCATTGTGGCTTCATCAATGTAACTTGCGTGGTAAATGACATCCACGCCATATTTCACGCACTGGGCCACAGCATCCCGTGCTCTGGCATGAGAACACACTCGTAGACCTAACCTATGTGCTTCGTCAACACAAGCTTGAGTTTCGGCCTCGTCGAGAAAGCTGTCCTGGGCGGCCCTAGCTTCAAGGATCTAGACTCAGGTCAGTCAATAACGCCGGAAGCACAATGTGTGCTATTTACCTCTTCTCCTGACATGCTTAGTTTGATCTGGTCTACCCCGAGATCCGCATGGTGACGAATGACCTCTCTCATCTCCAAAGGCCCTGAATAATATCAGTATCATGTTTCAACAGTCTGTGGTACTCGATCAAAGAAGCGAAATACACACCATCTGCGTAAGCAGTAATTCCTGGAGTGAGCTCACCCCCTCTTCTGGCAATCTCCTTTCCATTGGCAAGGTAGCGCGGACCGGGAATGCTGCCCTCATTGATCGCATCGCGGATAACACAGTCCAGTCTATCCTTTGCAGAAGCCGCACCATAACACCTAATTCCTCCTCGGTTAGATACGCTGAACTTGTTGTATGGGCCTAAAAGCAAAAGCCTCACATTGTATAACCAGAGTCGAGGTATGTCATTGCAGACCGAGCAGTGGTGATTGTATGTTCTTCTATATTGATCTCTCCAAGGTTGTCTAAATAATTCGGTGCAAAGTCAGAAAAGTGAGCTTGTTTGGGCTCAATTTTCTTTCAACTTACCTAAAGCCGATCCATTCCAGGTCAAATGGGTGTGAGCGTCACCTAAGCCAGACATGATAGTACGGCCATTGCCTTGAATAACGACAACTCCCGTCTCTTGTCGAAGCTTCTCAATGTCTGGCACTACTCCAACATACTGAATGCGCTCCCCTAGACACTTCTTAATTCGGGTTCAAAAAAAAAAAAAAAAAGATTTTTTACTCACCTTGTATATATAAATCACCGGTATAGGGCTTGGCGCCTGTGGAGTCCAGGCTAATATTGTTAGCATTATTTGAGGGTCAAAGAGATGATTCCGTCGAGTCGATACCCACATTTGTACATTCAGAATCAAGACCTTGGAATTGTCGGACGTTGCTAGAAGAATCAATAACGTCACACATATTGATAGATATTAGAAGCAAGGCTTTACCAGTCATACGATGAGCACGAGGCTGCAACGCAGGGTCAAACTGCACGTCCTCGTGGGGCGCTAACTTTCGTGTTGGCAGTGGGCTTCCCCAGTCAGCCATAGTCCTGGCAGATCGTTTGGGAGTTGTGGCCCCATTGGTTTGAATCTGATAAGGCAATACAGATTGGGCTATCCTGGATACCATATTGGCCACCGAGATAAATTAGTTGAAATTGATGGTTTTGAATAAAGATTCACAAAAACGACCGTCACTGAGATCAGTTTTGATGTTGAAATTATAACAAAGGGAATATGTGCGGAATCTGGCCCATATTTATACCCTTTACCATTGAACACAGCAAATGAGAGTCAAAACAGAGATCATCCTTTACTGATACTGGCTCTCCAGGTTTTCTCCGCAGTGCGGTGCTACCTTCTCCAGGTCTTGAGTGGCATTCATCGGACCATGCGAGGAAATAGTAATTCCGGATGTAGATCTCCGGATCAAAGAATCTTACGTAGGTTCCCCGTGGGGTAGTCGACGATACCACCTGTTTTGATTTGGAAATAACTATTGTCGCACATGACTGGTACCTTTGCCCCAAACGCCGCCATCTCCGAGATATCGGAGATGACCTCACCACGAAGCTAGAGATAGAAGTGATAGTCTTACGGTGAGCCCACACTTGCATATTTTGGTCCATTTGAATGAATAATATAACTGGTAGACATTTTCCAACGACGATACACCCCGATCAAATCTTTTGCCTGTACATTTCAAGGAAATCATGGATTTTTTCAGTCTACGACAAACCCCAAGTTTCGGTCTTACGTCTCCTCTAAAACACACTGTGATGCCTGACACATCTCACATCGAGAATACAACAATCACAGCAAAGAATTATCGGAGCAAAAATGACGCTTGTAATGTTAAAAAGCGGGATCCCGATGAACAACACAAAAAGAGTCGTCATCATTTTCATTCTCCATTCCAACGGCGTCATGCCGACCAGCACTTTCACGTACACAAAGACCAACAAATTCAATCCGTATCAAGCAACCTGCCATTATTTTCTGCTGATGAAGTTGGAAAGGCAGATGGAAGGGACGGCTCCCCAATATGTAAGGATTCTCGGCTCTTACCTGGCGAGGTAGCCTCGACCTGTCAAGGTGTTGACAAGTACAGGGATCGTAATTGATGATATCATTTACGATGTGACAAATTTCGCTAATGAGCATCCGGGAGGTGCAATGCCATTGAAAAACTTGGCAGGCATGTCATGTTCATGTACGTGATTTCATTTTATAATTTAAGAATATTATAGCAAGACTGACTAAATCGTAGGGCAGTTTCACAAGATACACAGCAAAAAGACTCTTGAAAATTTTGGATCAAGCTTAAGAATTGGACGAACAACCGGTGTACCTAACCCACATAAGGAGCCGAGATCTGGACTGCTCCGGCAACTTTGGCAATCTCATCACTTCTGATTTGTACTGTTTGAGACATGCACTTAAACACAATTTGATCTTGATCTATTTTTTCCATTACAAGATGCCGTATAAAGCTACTCTGGATATGTATATAGTTGTGCAATTCAGCAGCGACTCGATAGCAACTCATGTGCGATGAAAACCGCGGTACCGTATCAAAACGTCCAGATATGCCAATTTGTTTTAATAACAAAAAGGAAACCGACTCTTACGTGCTGGAATTAGAAACCTTCCACCTATTTTGTTAAATATACTCGAAATTCAGAAGTGAAGACCAATATTTTAGGTAGGGCTTGGCTGAGAGGCCTGAAACGTCATGTGCCCTGGCATAAGCCCCCGCAATCCGGAGGTACGCGGACATGAGCGGGGGAAGCACCAGCGGGGAAGCACGCCCCGCCCGGAGAAACCCAACCCCGCATAATCTCGGAGATGAGAAAATAACTCACTGTGAAAATCGAGTTGGAAGTACCATTTCCGTAAGAAGACATTCATCATCTCCGTGTCGGATTCCAAAGTCTTATCGGCGATCCATGTTGCCCAAATCGTGAGGCAAATACATATTTAATTTACTTAAAGCTCTGCGAATCCCCCTGTGCAACCTATCTTTACATCAGGAATTGTATCACAAGAATTCTTCAAACATGTCGGCTCCATTGACAAACTACGTTACTTACCTGGACCCCGAGCTTCATGTGCCTCGAGTTGGCCATCTCAAGTGGGATGATGAGACCATTCAACCTCTCGCATTTTTTTCTGGGGCACCGCTTGAGAGCTTGTATCAAATCATCGTAGCGGGTCACCACTCCACGAAACCGATCGGAGACCCGATCGCACTTCATTCGGTGCAATTACGACCTCCCTTCGCTGGCCGAGATATTCTTGCAGTTGGCAAGAATTATGCCGAACATGCAATTGAGTTTAACAAGTCCGGATATGACAATTCCGACAAGGCTGATCAGCCAAGTCACCCTGTGTTTTTCACAAAGCGTGCAACCTCCATCGTGGCGCATGGGGCTCCCATTGTTCACCATCCATCTTTCACCAAGACCCTAGACTATGAGGGTGAGATCGGTGTGATTATTGGAAAGGGCGGTCTTGGCATCAAGAAAGAAAATGCTTTGGATCATGTGTGGGGGTACACAATCATCAATGATGTGACAGCTAGAGAGCGTCAACGCGATCACAAGCAGTTTTTCATTGGAAAATCCGGTGATTCATTTTGCCCAATGGTAAGAAATTTGGACTATTCAATTAAAGTTCTTTCAAAACATTTACTCATTATATATTTCTTTCAGGGCCCGGTCGCCGTTCCCGCACACGATCTGCCTGGTATACTTCAGGTACAAACCTTTGTCAATGGTCAGGAGCGACAGAGAGCCACAACAAAAGACTTCATCTTTTCAATCCCCACTTTGATCGAGACACTTTCAGTTGGCATCACTCTTCAGCCAGGAGATGTCATTGCAACCGGAACTGTAAGACCCCACCCGTACTACCAAAGCAAGTAAGGCTTCTAACACGATACAAAGCCTGCCGGAGTGGGTTTTAGTCAGGACCCACCAGTATGGCTCCAGCCAGGTGACGAAGTCAAGGTATCTGTTACTGGTTTAGGGTCATTGATCAATACAGTATGCAAACCAAGCCCGTATGACTCCCTTGCACCTATACCAGATCACTTAAATATAGCGGATAACAATTTATCGAAAACCATCACTGGAGAGTGCCTCACTGTCATAAATGGGAAACGCCTTTTCTACAAGAAACAGGGCACTGGAAACAAGCCAATTGTCTTTATACATGGTCTCGGAAGTTCCAGCGAATTTTTCACGCCCTTAATCAATGCCCTCGACTTGAACACGTCGCATCGGTTGTATCTCATAGACCTCGAGGGCCATGGACTCTCACCTACTTCGCCACTGTCTAATATTACGATTGAATCTCTCGCGAACGACTTAAACGGCATCTTTGAGAAAGAAGATCTTTCATTCGCTTCTCAAGTCACGGTGGTCGCACATTCGATGGGATGCCTTGTCGCTCTCGACTTTGCAATCAAACACCCGGAGAAAGCCAAGAAGATCGTTCTTCTTGGCCCACCCCCGAATCCGTTGACCGCTCTTGCTGTGGACACATTCACCAAGCGTGCATCTCTTGTTAGAAGAAAGGGAATGCTTGCGGTTGCTGATACAGTCGCTACCGCAGGTACCTCACAGCGTACGAAAGTCTCACTTGGCTTCACAACTGTGAGACTTTCCCTGCTTGGAACTGAGCCCGAATCATATGCCAAGGCTTGCACTGCTCTCGCTGAGTGCAAAGCATTGCCAATTCAGTGTATCCAGGCGAAAACCTTGATAGTTACTGGCAACGAAGACAAGGTTAGCCCGCCTGCACTGTGTGCTTCTTATGCGGAACGTATTCCCCATTCATTGCCCCCTGTCGTCTTAGACAAAGTCGGCCACTGGCATATATTCGAAGACTTCCATGGAGTGGCCAATGCAATCAGTGATTTCCTGTGAGTTTTGTTGTCTCGCCAATCGTGTTCAATTCAAGGGTTCCGAGCTCTACAGGTGGAAACAGAGATACCGAGGGCGCTCTGAGGGGCGCACTGAGACATTTGTTGCTTGTATATGAAACCTGTCTGTGTTTAAAAAATGTCGACTCTCACCGGCTTGAACACGGTGCTTTGTCTATAACTACATTCCATTATGTGAAGATTGAATCAATTGTATATATAATTTCAAGGCTTTTCCCTAAGGCCATCCTCTTGTTGCATTGGGGAGAACGAGACGCCACCAATCGACCTCGTCATCTCCGGAAGCCATCTCCGACAGACATCTCCGAAAGTATCTCCGAAGGGCGACTGTGAACGAGGTCGGAGATATTATGGAACTCGGAGTTACTGACTCGTCAATGATTCCATCAAACATGTCAAACCAAATTCTATATTTCTTTGTACGAAGCCAACTCTTCGAAATCTCCGTATTCAATAGAAGCCTCCCCAGGTGGGTCCTCCAAGGAAAACCTTACTTGGAGACTTGATGGGTCGATCCGGTGGCTCCACCATTCCAAAATCGGTATTGAACATTTCACTGGGGGCGTTTGGGGTCTCTTGAATGGCAAAGGCTATAATTTAGGGGTGAAGAAAATCAAATTTATTTATCTATCCTCGTTCGCCATCTCCAAATTTTCCAGCTTTCGAAATATCCCCTCCTTTTCCTCCCAATTTGTTAACTCATAGCCTGTCCTATCATGACAGCTGGAGATATGACAACACAGTCTGATTCACCTTATCCAGATTGCGTGAAGAAGCGTGTAAGTAGGGCTTGCGACCGCTGTCGCCTGAAGAAGTCAAAAGTACGTCGGAAAGAGTAGGTGATGATTAGTGTATTGAGACAAACTAACTGAACAAAGTGCAATGGAGTCATCCCTTGTTCCCGTTGTCGTGCTGACAACACTATCTGCGTATTTGGCAAGCAGAAGCAAAAAGCCTTCGATAAAGTATACCCGAATGGGTAAGCAAGACACACATGCAAAACCACCATGAACTCCGCTGATCACCCACGTCTCCATGCTTCAGATATGTTGAAATACTCGAGCAACAACAAGCCTGGCTCGTTCAGGGTCTCCAGGAGCTCTACCACCGTACTGCAAAGGCTGAAGGTGGGCTTAGGGCCCAATTAAAGCCAGATTCGCAGGGTCACTGGCTTATACAGGATTTGCTTGTTCATTTAGGTATCTTCGATCTATCAAAGGCCGAGTATTTCGAAGAGAGCCCAGATATCCTTCAGCGTCGCCTCTGGAACGACAATTTGCAACCCCAAGTCTCTGAGACAAGCTCCGCGAGCGTCCTTTCTCCGGTTTTTAGTCCACTTTCGTCCCACAGTTGCTCCTCCATCTGCAGCGAGAGAAGTTGTCCAGTTCAACAAAATCTCAACCCCGTAACCAACATCGCCTCGAGAGATAACAGTGATGGGAATGTGCACCGTGAAGCCCAAGATCGCATGTGCATGCAAGGTGTTTCCAATTCGGTGAACGTACAAAGTGTCCCCCAGCGATTATCTGCTAGAAATGACCTTTGGCTGTCCGATGAGATGGATCTCAGCTTGATAGACCAAATTCCTCCGTCAACGCTCGTTTGGCCCCCTATGTCAATGGAACTTCCGCAGTCAAGCGAGTACGACCAAGTTTTCAAGCATTTCGTCAATCCGGATTTTATGGATGGCTCTTTCGACCGAGACTGTCTGACCTGGCCGGAGTTCTGTTTGTAGAGACCTGAATATAATAACGACCGCTATACGATTAAATGTGCTTCGCAATTGCCTTTTATTTCACTTGCATCTGTCTTTCCCCTTTTTTTGCTCTGTTAATTTCTCTGATCACCCGCTTCTCAATTTCATTTTATCGACGCTGTTTTAACCACCTACGTGAGGAATGTACATCCTCAACCAACCAACGTGACGTCCTTACTTGACCGTATCCCATGTACGATTTGCCATTCATAGATACTCCCAAAGCATGATCAATGTCTACAATCATTCCATATCCAAGCATGGCACCTTCACTATCAACAAGCGTTTTGAAAACAAGATTTTCGCAAATGTTTAAATCACGTGCATGTCCGATAAGCCTTATAGGTATTATAGTGGCGGGAAATATCGTACAGGAAGACCCAGAGTCAGCTGACAAAAACAGAGGCCTTTGAAACAAACAATTTGGCTTGTCAAGAAAAAGATCTGCCACATACTGAATATGGCAAATGGGGAGCTTGATATGAACCTCTATCGGTATGTGTTGCAAGGGTAACAGAAAGTGGTGGCGTGTGGATGATGTTCTCCGAAGATGTCTCCGATCCGGAGATAAGCCTTGACTGCATTCACTGGCACTCGAAAATTGGGAATACTGCTGGACGAAATTGAGAAATTTGAAAAGCAGATCAGATTTCTGCGCCCAAGGTCCCTTTTCATCGGCCAGTGCAATAAAACAAAACGCCTTATTTTACAAGTTGAGATAGCGGACAAGTTTCCCCCGGGCGTCTCTGCGTTCGACTCGTTGCCATATTTACCCTTTCCGGTATTGTGGTCTCCGAGGGCCCGATTCCTAAGCCCGATAATGAAAGCCGGGGATTCTCGGCCTCCGTCAAGTATCCGAGACAAACTCATTTATCATCATTATTTTGCCAGAAGTATATCCGATATTTCATCTGACTTTTGTGAGGTGAAGCTTATTCAAGATTATCAACTACATTATCCATCCCACTCACCTTTAATGACATCGGCGCGGGACATCCAAAGAGAGCCCATTGGCGCTGGAAGTGTGGTCGGAAAATCATGCGGAGTACAACGACTGGTTGAGGAATCTGCTAGCTGTGGCCCTTGCCAGTACGAAGCATTGAAATGCAACCGAGAAGATCCCTGCTTTTCCTGCATTAACGGGGGCTGTACTGAGTCCTGCGCATATCGTCAGAAAGTCTCCAGCCACGCATCTTCCTCTCTGGGTCTATCATCTGGAAAACACGATCGGGAGCCCGTTAGTCCTCAGTCGCAATGCATCGATATAGCCTGGGGCCAATCTGCACCGAGTGCTGCTTTAGAATATGGTTTCTTTTCCCATTCAAGCTGGGAATCGATCCTCCACCGGCCGGTCGAACCAAGAAATCACGGCAAGCAGGATATCTCTATTCAAGGGGCTAAATGCCCGCCATTCAATTTTAGCATAGGACCACAGCTCTCCATGCAAACATTTCTTGACATGCTACCCCCAACTCATTGCTGTGGTTACTTGGTGACACTATATTTTGGACGCTTGTCGCCATTATTCCACATTCTACACGGTCCTACCTTTCAGACACAGTTCTACGAATTTCTGAAAGCTCCTGCTCGGGCTGATCTCTCGTGGCTCGCCCTTCTTTTCGCTATTTGTTCGATCGCTACACATACTTTAGAGGAGGATGACCCGATAGTCACAGAATTGTGGCGAGAAGCTCCTCCGACCCAAAGCAACAGAGTTGCCGACCTCGCTTCTCGTTTCAGGGCAGCGGCTATGGTTTGTCTCTCTCAAGATAACTTCCTTTTTCAGCACCGTATTAGTACACTGGAAGCATTGCTTGTATTGATATACACTATCAACCATTATGAAGGGGTCGAGCGGGGTTGGACTTTGCTAGGTGAGATTTCGCCGATAGGCAAATGAACTGGACTTTTATTTAACCAGTGATCATAGGCATTGCTTGCAATATTGGTATTGCATTGAAATGCAATGTAATAGAGGAATCAGCTGGTTTCAAAGCAGGTCTCAACAGCATTGATATAGAGCGAAGACGTCGCTGTTGGGCCGGAATACTCATGCTGCATACATACCAGGCGATGTCCTGTCGTGATGTGGACATGTCTTTTCTCCTCAATTTGCCTGCCAAAATGCCTGCCGATGTGAACGATTGCGATATTTCGGAAACGATAATACGACCGCCTTCCACTCAACCTACTCAAATGTCAGTTATGATGTTCAAAATTAGACTCTTTCGTCTTTCAAGTCGAATTTTTGGCAGAATAGCCGGCGAATTAGACGAGGCTACATTGGTTGCCCTAGACGAGGAAGTCGCAGCGGAGCAGGAGCAGTGGCGCTCTGTATTTCTGTCGGATGGATTGCCAAGCGTGCTGGATAGGTCAAGCTACGCATACTGGTGCATTCTTCAACTTCATGCTCATCAGCTCTATTTAATTCTCCACAGGCCCTTCTGTCACAACCGAAATTCCCTACAATCTCGCCCAGACTCTGTCACAAGATGCTTAGAGTCCGGGGCAGCCCTATTGGATCTTCATGAACAGTTTATGGAGCTACCTCGGCTTCGCCAATACCGCTGGTATGTATTCGGTATGACTAGCCTGGCCGCAGTGCATGGTGCCATGGCTTTAGCCTCTTCTTTACTCGAAGGGGTGAATATCGAGCATGACGCAAAGAAGTATCACTTAATGTTGGACGCGGCGGTCTTGAGAATTCAGACACTTCAGGACCGAAGTCCAATATGTTTCAAATCAATGCCTATCCTTCTTCATTCATTGTGAGTCACGTCCCTACTGCTTTTTTAAAACTTTCATTCAGCTCACGAGTCGGCTTTCCTAGGTCAAGGTTATCGCAGAGCTGCACCCAGTTGAAAGAGATCGAAGACCACGAATTTGGAACCATTTTCGATAATTGGGTTGATAGAGTTCATTGGCTCAATCCCGAGCCGGCTGACTGGGTAAGCTGCATCCATGCGATGCCCATTCCTAAACTTGTACTAACGGGAATCACATCAGGAATTCTGGAATAACATATTAAATACCTCAAAAAATTAGAGCGCTTAATGATGTCGAAAATTATAGTAGCCCTATGTGTAGTACGTAATGCTGGAAAACCTCTATTATAAATATTCCTTTGTCCCTGTTATTTCAAGGGTTTTTCTCTGTCTAAAGCTTTCGTGATACGTGAGGCTAGCCTTCCGGCAGAAAAGATGGAATTTTTCTATGTTGCCCGCATGCTTTCAAATGCGGAACACGGAACTTAGTTAACTGCTATTCCAATGCCAACAAGTATGCGCTGAGGGAGGGGTCGATTATTTGAGTTTCCAGTAACTGACTGCGGGATCAAAGCAGTATTACAACGCAATTCATTACAAACCAAAAACGACCTGTTGCTCAAGAAAGCCAGATTTGCCATTATTGAACATCGATAGAAGCTGAGTAAGGTTCCTTTTTCTCCTTTCATTTCAGCCCCCTTCGGTGAACGGAATGGCAGAGTAGAAAATATTCAGTCCGAGGGAGGTACGTCAACCTTGTCCGACAAACTGAATTACAAGATGGTTCTTCATTCAAATTCCGTTCATATCTTGTCTCAGTTTAACTGCAGTATATATTCAGTGGCTAGAAAAGAAATGAGCAATCTATATTGGTAACAGAGAGGCGCTGAAAGCTAGAGAAGATCTATCTAACAATATGACGGAGGACAAGGATCAGATTATCCAGCATATTTCGTTTAGCCAACAAAACGAACCGAATTCTTTTAAAAAAAGTAAAGCAAAGATCAGAAAGTGAGTGAGCAAGAAAAGACAAAACGGGAATAGGGGACAAAAAGATGGCAGAAGGATGGCAAAAGCCTCACATCTTTCAAGGAATTATCGTCGAACATTTTTCAGAGCTAATGTCACGACTAGGGAAAAGTATGTCTCTTTGAGTGTCGGACGAGACCTTCTCGGGAGCTCCTTGAATCATTTCCGTAGCTTCACACGATAAAGCCATGTGAAAAACCAGATGCCAAGCATGTTAGCAAGGCACCATCCCAAAAGGACAGCCCAGTCTCTCCATCGGTCCTTCTGGTAATAATCCAGTGTGGCTGCATAATCATCACCATAGCTGAATTTGCAGTAGCCACAGGAGCTCGTGGCGTTAGGGTTTGTGAGGTAGCCGGGGTCTTGTGACAGAAAACTTGCCGCATACTCGTAACAAGTGGAGTTGGCGGGTGGATTGAAGATCGTGAGATCTGACTCCTTGCAATGAGCTTGAACCCCGTGGAGCACATTAGAAACCGTACCTCCAAGGAAATACCACAGGGGATCCACCCAGAAGATCCAGTATCGATAAAATGTGTTCATGGCGCTGTGAGGAACCAGCGTCCCGGAAAATACCGTCAACGCTACCCAGAAAAGAGAATTCGCGTACCCAGCAAGAGTTGGGTTAGGGAAAATTGCCGCCATGAGATGGCAGAAGCTCGTCGCGAAGAGAGATAGGATCAAAAACATAAAGTAGACATAGCCCGCGATGCTGGTAATATTGGGATATCCAACAGTCCAGTAAATGCAGAAGTAGACCATAGTATAGCCCAATACTTGCCATGGAATCTCAAAAAGTGTTATAGCGGCAAGCAAAGCTTTGTAGTCATATATCCCGTTGCGTTCACGCGCTTCAAATACTGCCCATTTGCCAAACCAAACGTTTTGGATATCGGCTGCTGTAGCGGGAATAATCCAAATGATGATGAGCAGAGCCAACATATAATTTTGTAGTCCTTGTATATCGGGGCCGGCATCGAAGTATGAAAACGCGATGAACAGCTCGCAAAAGATACACTTGAACAGTTTGCTGAAGTTGTAGGGCCCATTCCTCCAGACAACAATCCATTGTCGCTTAGTTAATTCCAGGATTTGATCCCACAAAGGAAGTGCGTATCTTGCGTTTTTCGTTCGTGAGTGCGATTCGTCGTCGGGATGAAGATGGGATTCAGATTCCAACATGGCAATCTTGTGTTTGAGGTTGGAACATTCTTCAGATTCATTCCAAATCTGAGGCCAATCTCGGGCGGATTGCTCCTTGTTCGTGACGGTTGAAATAATGAACTCTGCAGGGTTCTCAGAGGCCCCCATGACGGCTCCGTTCCGTGCGAAATAATCTATCGCGTACTTGGACTCTGGTCCAGTCTCACCAAAATACACAGTTCGGCCTCCGGGTGCCAAAAGAAGCACATGATCGAACATTTGGAATAGGATTGCTGATGGCTGATGAATTGTGCAGACAATTGGAACGCCTTGTTCCGCAATTTTTTTCAAGAAGGAAACAATTGAGAATGCGGCTTGGCTGTCGAGGCCCGAAGTTGGCTAAAATATAATTAAATCAGTCTCTGAGAAGATATGGAGAGTATAGCCAAGAAAATCAATGCGGCATGGAAAAGAAATCAAAGTACAACGTACCTCATCCAGAAATAGTAGAGCGGACGGCTTAGCAGCTAGTTCGACTCCGATTGTGACACGCTTGCGCTATCATAAGGATCTTCGTCTTAGTTTAAATATGATTTCGTACTTGACAGATTGATAACTTACCTCCTCGACATTTAGGCCACCGTCACCCGGCTCTCCAATGAGTGCATCGGCAATAGGCTCAAGTTCCAGAAGAGAAATAATATTTTCCACGTATTCGAGCTTTTCCGAGGTCGGGACTTCCTTGGGCTGGCGAAGCTTGGCAGAGAATTCGAGAGCCTCGCGGACTGTAGACAATGGCTCATGGACATCCTGCTGCATACAGAAACCGCATGACCGGGAAAATGCGCCTCCAAGTGGCTTACCACCCGGAAGCATTTCGCCTTCAACGCGTCCAGTTGACTTTCTTTGCGAGATAGTGTCCAGCAAGGTCGTTTTTCCGGCTCCAGATGCACCCATCAACGCTGTAAGCTGTCCAGGTTTAACATAGCCACTGACGCTATTCAGAGGCTGTTTCTCATTTCCATCAACCTGAACGTAGTATGACACGTCTTTAAATGAAAAGGCGCGCTGGATGGTAGTTTCTTCGAAATCCTTTTTCTGAGAGGGCTGTTCTATTCCACCCTCTTCAGCTCTTGTGACAGAAGAACTCGACGAAATGGGTTCTAATGGTTCGGTGCGGGCTGCATTATGCTCCAGATCATCTTTTGGTTTCTCGGACACCGAAGCACTAATATCGACAACAGCACTGCGCTTGAAGACCGGGCCCCCGGTTGAACCACTTTCGTCAGTCATAATTGTCAGACCAATTGCCGTGAGTACGACATATAGAAACCACATCACGACGATAATTCCCCAGTTTCGCCAGAGGTGCGACCGGGAGAAGTCGTAGATGAGACCGAGGTAAGTGGAGCCAGAGACTGTGTTGGAACCTGGCGTGCTGCCAGTCAATGAGCACCCTTGATACCGGATATCATCATATCCAGGGCCGTTGGGGACCATTTGGTCGGCGGTGCAGTGTAGGGTGATGTCGGCAAATTCATTCCCCATAAGAGCCTCCAATGCCCACGGGGATGGAGAGATTCTTCTGATCCACGACCCCCATCTGTGCATGGTCGGTACTGGAGGGCCGTACCCAGCGTACGTGAGACAGATTGGCATGGCCGTTCCAGCCATGAAGAACGCAATATTGAGGGATGGGGCCCAGGCTCCAAGCATGCGAAAGAGACTCGAGACCGCTGAGTAGTGGGTAAACAACACAAGTTCAAAGATCCAAAAGTCCGAGGCGGTTTTGTGCAAACCTAACATGAAATAATAGCAGCACGAGAAGACAAGAGATTGGAAGACTGCGACCGGTATGTCGGCAATAGTCTGTGCGATAACAAAGGCCACAGGGTGGATGATGCCGAGTTTGTGTTGTTTCACCAGAATGGAACGTGCGTTAATCGTCGAGGAAACCTCAGCCAATGCATTGAGGAAAAAGTAGATGAGCGAGAAGAAGATCGCACCGCCCTTTTCGAACGAGCCGGTGGCTGTTTTTGGCGCCATGAAATAAGCAGAACCGTTAATGACGGCATTGACGGCATTCAAGAAAAGAACAATGTAGAGATCTCGCTGGTTCTTCCACAACAGTTGGTAGTAGCGCCTTACAGCTACCAGGCTCTGGCTCCAGATCGGCATCGGCTGGAGCGAGCCCTGAAAGATAGCGGTAGATTGCACTCGATGGACTTCGTCTTGAAATGCGACTAGATTTGACGTATCGGCGATCGCTTCATGGCGATAGGTGCGTATGTCTGTCTGGAGCTATTCATAATACGGGCTGTTGCGGAACGCATCCGCGAACTGGTCCGGGGTGCTTGGGACTGGTCCTTGATGGTCGTGACGGACCACCCGTTCTGAAGGCGCGGTGACTGCAGTCAGGAAGTCGGGAGTGGTCTGTCTCTCCCACATATGAAAGCCAAGGTTGATGAAATGGGTCTTCGCATCCTCAGATCGGCCAGAAAAGATCATCTTGCCTTCGTACATCACCAACACCCGGTCAAAGCATTGGCTGTACATGGATTCCGATGCCTGATACAAGGTCACAATGTTGGCCATGCGAGTCTGGGTCGAAATCTCCTTTAGCAAACGCAGGAATTGCAAAGCGGACGAACTGTCCAGGCCGCGGATAGGGTTGTCCCAGCAGGCGACGGCCGGGTTGGTGGCCATCACCTCCGCCAACGACACTCGCTTTCGCTCTCCACCCGAACGAAACTCCACGGACGAACGAATTTCCCACAATAGTGTCCTTGGTGTGCATCATCCCCAGGCTTCCGAGAAGGCGGTCTGTCATTTCGTTGGAGAAGGCTGCATCCGCCTGGTCAACTTGCTTTACTAGTTTGCGAAATCGAAGGGCAAAGTCCAGGGTGTGCTTGACTGGGAGGCTCGGGTAATGTATGTCGTCTTCGGCGTTATAGATCACCTCCGATCCGTACTTTCGGGCCATGGTGGCGGCCGGTATCGAGGAGTATGATACATCACCATCAACCTGGGCGTAGGATGCCCTTTCATTGGCGATGATTTTGAGTGTCGTCGAGCAACCGGAGCCCGGTTGGCCCAGCACTAGGAGCGTCTCTCCTGGAAAGACCACGCCGGAGACGTCGTGGATAATGGTCTTCGTCGAGAGCCTATTTCCTGCGAACCGACGGACTAGTTCCACTGGCAGATTGAGAACACCCTCGAAAATGGCAGGCAAGTCAAGGACTTTCCGGATCCCTCCTCCCTTTCCGTGCGCGGTGATGTTCTCGAAAACAACCCCTAGGCCGCGGCTTTGGGAGCGATACACTGGTAGATTCTCAACACCCATCCTGGCATTCAATACCTGAATGGAATAATCCAGGGATTCGGGACAAAATGAGCCCAACGCCGGTTCAGACTGAATCTGGGATCCTGAGCGTGGAAATCACTTCAGGGTATTATTTATTCGGAATTGAATGAACAATGAACGAAGCGAATTGCAGATTGCTCTTTATAAAGCCCACACCCTCCTATCGTCGGTGGTGTCAAACTATGTATATCTATGGGAAGTGGATCTCCGACGACCTGTGGATCGCAGATGCGTAGTGGAGCATTTTGACCAAAGTAAGTCGCGCCTCTTTCCGTGATCCGAATTTTCCGATCAAGTAGCATCTTCAGAGGTGCAGCTGGGCGCCGGTCGCACTAATAAATTTCCTATAACAGTAACTCCGATGGACCCACCTTGGCCTTCTTAACATCTCCGGTGGCGGTCGGAGACATTGTGAACCGCAAGGAGAGCAGGTCCAGGTCCATGTCGACGGAACTCCCCCCAGATAAGGAACCCCTTTTTATCTTACAGATCCTTAGATATATGCCAACCTCTGTTTTCTTCTTTTCTTCCAGCAGCTTCGATGGAAGAGTAAGAGCCATCGAGCATCATGCATTTTCCACGGAGATTCAGGGCTTATTCCATCACATCCAAATATAGAGAGACCCCAAGTGGCGTGAAGCACCTCACGTTCGTCTCATTTTTCTACTTATATTTGCTTCTGAGTACTACGTTCGTAGAGCTTATTAGAATGCGAAGGAATAGCTTTATATTTCATGGAACTAAGACCATTGAGCTCTGACTTATTATCAAATTTAGCAAAGCATGGCATGACGTGAGGCATCTTGAGAGCCAACGAGAAACTAACGCAATTTTCAATCCTTTCCAAACCAAGTCTTATGTCCCTGTCAACAAGTTATGATGAAATTCGTGGCTACAGAAGAAATACAACAGATTGCAGTACTTACTAGTGCCATTCGGCATAGACTGTAGGTGCAAGCTGAAGTCCCAGTTAGTAAAACATCTCAGCATGAATGTAGAGATACACCCACCGGCAGTAAGAGTGTAGGTTGAGATCAGATAGGGCCACATCAGCCAGCCACTTCTCTCAGTCTGTTATTTAGAAATTGACTATGAGTAACTGGTCTCTTTCGCAAGGGAACAAGCAGCTCGATAATAATGCCCAGATACGAACCTTCCACCACATACGCTTGCCATCATTTGTCTGGAAGAGTTTCTGATAGAATGGGACTTTATTATCCCGATAGACAAATCGGTATCTGTGGAATCGATATTATTCACTGCTTCTGGAGGCAGTAGAAGGAGAGCCGGCTATGAGCTTACCGAGAAAGTTGAGGAAGCGTCCGGGTAAACATGATAGCTCTTTAGATTCCGATGGTTAAAGGGGAAATAAAGGATTAGAAAGCAGATTCCGAGCCTCGAACTCTCCGTTCCAGCCCATTAAATGTCTATCGGAGAAAAGCCAGCTGCAGGAGTCTGGCCAATGCCTAAGTCCGAGGTCTCCGATACCTACGGAAATATCTCCGGCAAGATATTGAGTTTAACCTATTTCTAGCGTGTGGACTTTTTGGGTCTTTGAAAAGGAATAACAATTTTAATCTTCAATTGAATAATTCCATAGTGTTTGTACCCATGTCGAGTCGAGTCGGTCCTAAACTATCAGGTCCGCCAGGGAGCAAGTCTCCAGCAAGAACGCACGATGTTCTCATTTTGGGCGGCTCCTACAGTGGCATGTCAGCACTTTTAACCTTATTAAGTCTTAAAGATGGCCAAAAGATCCCTTTGGCATCCTACGGTGATTTCTCGCATCTGAAGGAAGCACCTCTAATTGCCACTGTCAAAATCACTCTACTTGACAAAAGAGACGGTTTCTGTAGGTTGCATCCTCTCGAACTCAGGTCCAACTGTTTTATGTTAGTATCCGCTAATCGGTGCGGAAATTTAGTTCATACTGTCGGTCTACCCTTGGCCAGCATTTCTGCTGAGCACGCCAACCAAATGTGGATACGATATTCCGAATTTTCCAGCTTGAAAAGACAGGATGTTAGAATTGTTCAGGGTACCGCGTTGGACATTGATACAGACAGCCGGGAAGTGCTCTATATGAACCAGGAGGGGAAGCAGCAAGCGTTGAACTTTGACTACCTTATACTCGCCACCGGTATTTGTCGCCAATGGCCAGTTGCCTCGGGGGCGACCGAGAAAAGTGCATTTCTTGAAGGCGTATCGAAATATACCGAAGACATACGCGCTGCTCAAGATCAGGGGGTGGCGGTTATAGGAGGTGGTAGGTTTTCCTTTGGTGGCTCGGCCGCTCTAGTAGACTTGACTTACAACATTCGTGGTCCCATTGACAGGTGCTGTGGGAGTTGAATTCTCAGGCAAAATCAAGGCGCTTTACCCAGAAGCTCAAGTGACTCTTATTCATTCAGGAAATACGCTCCTCTCCAAAGAAGCTCTTCCACGAGAATTCAAAAGTCGTGTGTTAGAATTGCTTCAGCTGCAAGGTGTTGATATTTTACTTGGTGAGCGTGCAACAGTGACTACTGCCGAAGACAAGGGACTCCTTGTCAAGCTTAATTCTGGTAGCTGCATGTCCGTGGGATTTGTCATCTGGGCTGCGCTAAAAAGAAGCCCCTCGACGCAATTTTTGCCCAGATCTCTTCTCAACGACGACGGGAGCATTAAAATTGATCCTCAGTGAGTTCATGTCCAAATTCCAAAGTCCCCTTTCTTCCTGTCCCTCGAGCTGATTTCGGCCCAATATGTGTCTTAGGCAAAGAGTATTAGGCAGCCCCAGCCTTTTTAATCGTATATTCGCTGCAGGTGATGTCACAGAAAGGCAGGAAATTAAATTGGCTGGTAGTGCTATGGTTATGGGAACCATTGCCGGTGCCAATGCTTATTCAGTGATTGTAGCGGAAGAGCAAGAGACGAATGAACCAACAATGTCAAGCTGTGCTAGTTGTTATCTTCAGCCGAGAATGGCTCTGGCTGTGGGTGAGAATATTGTCTGTTATGGGGCGGAGGAAGTCCTATTTATGACGGGGAAGAGCTCGCGGAAACATGTTTCGGACGCGATCTGGGCTGGCAAAGTAAGTTCTACTGGTAAGAGATTTTCCCGGGCCATGATTTGCTAACTATCCCCGTGGTCCAACTTAAAAGAAGTTTTAAATTCTCTCGGTTTGTTTGAGTCCGGTGGTCGAAAGCAGCCCTTGTCGAGTTAAATATGCACATATTCTTAGCAATGTTGGAATAGACGGACAAACTATATCCATTCATAGAACCCAAACGAACGATGTCAAAACAGGTCCAGCTTCAATAGGTGATGCGCAACCCAGTAAAGATTTCATGGGGTCTCGGGTGTATATTATCAATGTCAAAAGTCTCAAACAGTCAACTCAGCCATAAAGTATGAAGGTTGCAGTGCGAGCTCAATCTTTCCAAGCTGCTCAAGCTTCACTGAGCAGTAGTTATTTACGCTGCCAGTGAGCCTTGGTGATGTAATCACATTTGTGGATAATAAGACCCTGGGATGTCATAAGAAATCGTGAATAAGCGAGGTCAAGTAAATAAGTACAACTCTAAATTGTCTTACGTCTCATTAAATGTCTTCACTTCAACCTTAGATTCTTAACGATTCCTAACAATTAAATCGTTTATTGGGACTAACATTAATATCAGGTTGGATATAGATAAATGTATAGGTCCTAGAGAACTAAAAGAAAATATTCTATTTTTGATATCAAAATCAACTTTTTGCTTATTATAAAGAATATTATATACATAGGGGTTCAAAAGTATTTCCCGATCCCACTTCTACCCTAACATTAAATATACGTATAACGACTATATAGTCAGTGAAATATAGGGAGTAGCTACTAATCAAGCACCTTGAATATCTCAAACATAAGGAGCATTAAAAATTTCCAAGCACTTAACCTGGATGGTATCAGTAATAAGTCGTGAACTCAACGCCTAATAAACAGGAAAGACATATAAGAATACTTATCTACTACCAGATATTTAATTATTCGTATCGAGTCTAAATATTATTACTTAATGCTATCATCGATAATATTTACGGATCAATATGAGCATACACCCCGAACCTGCAAGAAGTTTTAGTGGTCACTTCGGTTCCTATTGTCTATCTAATTTGGCGCTCTCAGGCGGACAAGATCCTCGATCTACTCTATAAATCTGAGTCCGTAGAAGGTCTCAACGATTCGGCAACGGTATGACTGCGAGTTATAGATCGTTGGAGCAGACACTTAATACGTATGGGACCTCTATTTCCCTAAGCCGGTTAACAGTCCTTACTATATACATTTTCTGTAATATCTAGGTGCTAGAGTCTTGAAGAGCATTATTGAGGCTCTAATTAGCTGCAAAGAAGGATACTCAACACTAAGTAACCAGATAATATAAGCTTCGGTCATATATAGAGCTGATAGGATAGTACTTAGTATTAGAAGTCTTTTTTACTTTGAACATAAATTTATACTTATATTACGTATATTATCATATTTTCCTAAGTACCTTATTATCTCCTAGGAATTGATGAGACATATGCTCTCTCTTTCTCTTATTCTTTGTTCCTTTGTTACTCATTCTATTCAATGTACTATTCTTTGTTCGTCTCTAATATTTGGTTCCCCTCGTAGAATATAAAAGCTTGTTCTTCTCCCACTACAATTTTCTATTGTCCATCTTTTCGCCCTACTCACCAAAGGACACAAGAATTCTCAAACCCAAACTAATTCGAGTGACCCTTGCATCAATATTTTCCCCTTCGTCACAATGGCTGATCAGACTGAGCTGTGGTTCGAAGCCGACGATGTCGATGTTAAGCCGTATGAAGAAAACCTCGGCTCAGAGTATTTACCATTTGTTCCATGGGCTATTTCCGTTCTATGGCAAATTTCCGAATGTCTTGAGGACAAGGACACTCGCAGCTCCCGCACGATGCCCCGAACCCTGATCAAGTGGAGTAACCGGATAACACAATTCGCAGAGCTCAATCAGAACTCGCTCCATGGAGACTTCTTGCGCGTGGCAACGTTACTATGTGAAATTTCTGAGCGTCTTCTCCGGGCAAAAGGCTTTGTTCAGGATGTAGTTCTTGGTCTGTACAATGTCCATACAGCTCTACGCTCCCTTCTGCGGAAAGTCATTAATACGTTCTACCGAGTAACATACTCTAGCAAGGGGTTTAAAATGATTGTCACCTCTCTAAGCACTTCTTTTCGCTCCTGTGTAGGAGAAGTCTCCGAGAAGAGCAAAGCCTATATTGACGTATCTTCCCATGTTACCGTAATCGGCTTTCTAGTGGTTATGAAGTTCTTCGAGACCCTCTTCCGGCTTGGAAATATTAAGAGACTTCCCCGCGAGATTTCCCTTTTTTTGGAGACCACTTTGCTGATCGTTTACTTCCTAATGGCATTTACTAGGGATCTTATTCACGGTTACTGATCGGGCTGAGCTTTACTCTTCTTCCTCCAACAATCTCCAGCAATGAAAATTGAGTCATCTCCAAAGGACTTCGTTCTCCAATCAGACTCAGTCTTCAATAGGTACAGAGAATTTCGAATTTAGTTTGACCCTACACTCTTTAAACTTAATTCCCGGAAATTAAATCCTAAATTTGCGAGTCCTAATTGGATACTATTTTAAGCACTTCAGGGTAGACCGCTTTCCAAAATAGTTATTATATTTTATAATATGTATCTCTTACAACGGGGAATGTATTTTAAGCGAAACCGTTATACACGCCCTCTAGTACCCTCTGTACCCCTCTCCTCCCTCTCGTAGTAATCTGCAACTTCCTGCACGAAGACTTCCCGCTTCCCGGTATTAGTCAAGACGATATAGCCCCGAGACTGTCACCTTCAAAGCTTATTCTTATCCGTGATATGATAGAGGATGAATCCTTCACTATATCTGAAATAGCCGAATAGGCTGAATGCAGCAAGCAGACTATTATTAGCATCCGTAATAACTTGCGGTAATTTAGAAGCATTTACGCACCTTAGACTCGAGTAGGCCGGAAGCGAATCCTAACGCCCCTAATACTTAATGCGCTGTTAGGTAATAACTACTTGTACAGGGTAGAAAGCCTGTCGACTAGGTAGGAGGATAAACGTCAAGTAAGGAAAGCAAAACACTGTTTCTTGCTATCATGGATCTCTCCATAATCCTCAATTTATGTACAAGCTTCAACACTTTCCCACATGACCAAAGCAAAGACGATGGATCACATTACAACATACGGTCTGACGTGGCCCCTATGTAACAGAGGTAAGCAAAGGCTACAGGGAAGAGGGGTTCACGAATCCCTAATAGAAGGGCACCGAACCCTCAGGGCCTTGTAGGTCATGCATCTATGTAGGGGAGAAGTGGGGCTGTTATGACGAAGCCTGACCGATAAGGTGTCGAACTGACACCTGAGGCGTTGAGTTAGGAATAGCTTTATGTTGCAATATTATATGACAGCTAGTATCTTTTATACAACACGTTATATATTCGTTTTTTACCTATATATTAGCCTTATTAGTACTTTTATTTCTTATATCTTTCTTATACTAAGACTTTCACTAAAATTAGTATAGTCTAAGGCAAAATAGTTATAATATAGAAAGAGATTAATTTTAGGAAAAAGATAGATAAAAGGATACAATCTTTTCTTTTCTACCCGTCCTAGGTTTTTTGGTTAATAATCTTAGCGTGATAGTAGTAAATAGCGGATATTCTATTAGTGCGTGTCGGTCTGTAATTCGCCCCGCTAATATTTTATAATCCGCGTTTTATAGAAGCAATCACAAACGCGTTCAATAATTATTGTTCTAGCAGCTTCTAGGTAATATTAAAGATATTAATTAGGAGTGACGGGGCTCGAATATACAGGTACCTAGTAGGCGTTTCACTACATAGGGTATTTCATGTCACCGGGATCGGAGTTACCTTTTCTTGATATACTCTTGGTAGTTTGCGGAATTTACCGTAATATCAATTTCCAGTATTAGGCAGACCATATTTCCCAAAACGCCTTGTCCGGACAGACAATAGTTAGCTCCTCAGGCCGTACCCGACTTTAATCTAGATAGTGCGCATTTCTTCTTGTTACAGTAATCTTGAATTCGATTTCCGAGAGGACAGTGCTATTATCCTCAACATATTGTACATACACCCCTAAGCGTTTCCTCCGATAGCGAAAAATCGGAAATAAAACCGCCGGTATCCCTCAGTCCTACATATACCAATCCCAAGCAAGTGCTGCACTAGCCACTATTGCCATCGAGGTTTCAAAAGCTGCAACCTGAACCCAGTTTCCACCGGCTCGATACATCACAAATGCAGCCACGAGCCGAGAGGGCACGGAAGAAGCCATAATGAGAGTGTCCCGCTGGTAGGTTGATATCAGATAGTATGTCCCCAAAGCAAGAGAGGTAAGGCTGTGAAATTGATGCCTTTAGCGATAGACGCCTGATGAGGAATGAGCATTGGATACCTACCCGATACATTGAACCGCGCCGTTGGGAGTTCCTTTGAGCGAAGAGCCAGGGAAGTTGGCTGCGGAGGATGGATAGAGGATGGTGTAGGCGGCATTTCCCAGAAGAAAAGCACCTTGGGCGGCAAATACAGCGCTCGACACGCCACCCATATGGAGACCGATGTTTTGTAGGGGCATTGTTTCTAGTATCGTTCGCGTGAAAGGGAGACAGTGTCAGGAGGGTAATCTATTTTCGAAAAATGGTGGTGACTTCTCCTGACCAAATTCGGGTTAGCGCGATCGGAAGGGGCGCTGGAAAAGAAAGCCTCAGTGTCCGAGGGGTAATCTGTTTTCGAATTCTACTAACAGTCTACACCACAGCACCCAATTGACAATGACTCATCATGTTCGCCAAGAAAACGCCGTAACGCATGAAACAACTCGTCCAGTCTAAAGTATCTCATATATAGGAATCGCTTTCTTGACTTGCTCAGCCCACTTTCCGATATCTTCGACAAAACGTCGAGCGATGCCTATTTTGATCCCCTTCTCAATGAAAAAATTTTGGATCTTGGTCCCTGTAGACCTGCTCAAGGTCGAGACCATTGTCGAGCATCACATCACATACTTGCCGAAATGCCGATTTGAGTGTGTCGTTTTCAACATTCGACATCTGCCACTCACCGTACTCCTTCACAGCTACGTCTCTATAGCCAGGAATCTCTAATAGACTGATGGCCGTCGGTTCAACCACTGCCTTGGGAGCCGAGACATCTAGAACTTCGGCAGTAGATTGAGAGGGCAAGACATTGATGATATTGCAGGGATATGGTGGCCTAGTCCTAGCGACATGACCTTCTTTACGCTTGTCTTTCCCTTGTCTCTCTTGTCTCTCTTGTTCTTCCCTGTACAATTCGTCACGTACCGCTTCTGGCACGTCTTTATGACCCTCTAGAACCCCGCCTTTCTCGACATGCGTGATTAGGCGTTTTATGTGATAAGATTTAAGTGGATAGTGTTTTTCCCTATAGGGTCCACCTAACAATGAGGTCTATTTAGACATATCGATGAGTCGTATCGCACTAGATTATATACGCTGCGCTAGATTAGCTTCTCGCCTGAAGCATATTCCTCCGTATCAAGCTGAGCGTCCCGCTTACCGAGTATTCTTTGCGTAACGGAGGATTTCCCTCTTTTTTCTCCTTTTCGGCCGGTAGACTGAGAAAACTGATGATCGTCTACGTAGTTAAAACTGATCTTCAGCGTAAGTTCCTTACCCTTAGATAAAAGATCTGACTTTGTCAGAAGATGTTTCTCGATAGCAGACTAAGTAATTTCGGTGTCGTTGAATCGTTTCGTTAGTTTGCGTTTAGTGCGATCGCTTATTGATACAACGATTATAGTATTATCGGGTCTCACCCTACGGTAGCGGGCAGTTTTTCGTCGAAGCGCTTTCTCGAGCTTTTTCTCTAATAATAGCTGCTAGAACGCACTAGGAGACAAGACGATATCTTTCTCGGTGTCTATTAATACTTCCCGATTATTAATTGTTACTCGCTACTCTATACGGTAGTAGATATAGGCTAGCGGGTCCTTATTATAGACCCTTCCCTCTTCCTACTCCTATAACGGAAGGAATCGGAGAGAACACGGGCTACGTTTACTCTTAGGGTCAACGCTATTCTCACGTATAGAGGATAGGGATAGGCTTAAGGTAGACGGTGCAGCGTAAGGGCTGATATAGTACCTAGGGGTTAGCGCGTAATCCGAGTTATTCTCCTACGTTTCACGTTTAATAGACTAGGATATATAATCGATATATAGGCTTATTCTAAAGTAATTAGGATCCTTAGAACGTCTATATTAGCTTACGGGATAAGCTATATTAGAGTCGAGAGTAGTAAAGTATACGCGAATAAGACGCGCTGTAGATAACAAGATCTACGGAGAAAAAGTAAATATCCTTCCCTACTAGGATTAGCTCTATATAGCGGAAGCATAGCCTTCTATATAATAACCGGCGGGTATACAGCGATACACGAAAGGCTGCGCTATATGCGGGAAGAATAAGGGGAAGTAGCAACCCGGGGCGTGCGGGAAGGCGGAAAGTAGATAGACGATCTTGCTAGATCGCTAGATCTACTAAGAGGTTCTACGAGATTCTACGTACTATTACAAGATTATTACAATAGGTTATAGTATATAGTATAGCTATTACCTCCGCTTCCTGCCTAACTAATAGAGCAGTGACCCTAAATAGGCCTAGCGTATCCCGGATTTATTTTCCGGGAATCAAGTCTAAAGAGTGTGGATTCAAACTGATTTCGAAATTCTCTGTACGTTGCCGATGTGATACTGGCCCCCAATCAGTTTTTTAGTTGACAATTTATCCTTTTCTATCTGGACCTTGAGTTATTTATTCTCGTGTAGATATTTGATTGTGTAGTCTCCACGTAGAGCTATGTGTAGATTCCTAATACGTATGTAAGTATTTTGATTACGAGTGCTAGATTTGTAGAACTATATAGAGATTCTAAAGACTAGGTAAGTCGCTTTGTTCTGCACATTCTTCCCTTATTTTGATAAATAAAGAGACATACCGAATAAGCCTCGCTTTTGTTCTTTTACTAAATCGCTTGGAAATGCATACTGAATTTTTCATTTATGAAAGAAAAGGAGAAAATAGCCTGAAATAACAGGGACCCGGTTTAGGTTGGGATTTGTTTCTTCTCATAAGGTAGCAGAATATGAGTATCGTAAGGCGATCAGCTCAATCAAGCAAGCGCTGCAGAATAGAAACACTAACAAAATAGTGCTTACTCTTCGCTAGTGCTCTATGGGCGTATTAAGGCAGCAAAGAACCTATTTAGATATTATCTGTAGAAGAGCATAGTAGTGAAATATGTGGCCATATACTAGATGCTGAAGTCCCTCATGGTTATTATTTCGTTACTTGAAAAGATAGCCCCCCTCCCTGAAATGAGAGGACCAATAGGGATAACCTTCAGATTTTCTCGACAGGGCGTGCATCGATCTTTTCAGAGTCCTGACCGAGTGCCCCCATTCGATCCATGAAAGCAATTAACCCCACGTCCCGTTGGGCTTCGTACAATAATCGCGCGTCCCGCTCGCTAGTATGACTGTTGAAGACGCGATCCATTTCTTCCAATGATGCGTTTTTAGTCTCTGGCAAGAAGTACCACACCCAGCCAATTCCAGCGAGCAAAAAACCAGCGAAGAAAATATATGTGCCCCATTCTAGCGTCTCAAACATAGGCGGTACAAAAAATGCGATGGCGAAATTATTTACCCAATTACTGGACGCGCCAATCGACGCACCTTTTGCCCGAATTGAGAGTGGAAAGATTTCCGAGACCAAGGTCCATGAAACTGGGCCCCATGTGGCCCCAAAAGCGCCAATATATAGCCAAATGAGTGCTAGTTGAAAGTTGTAAGCTATTTGTGGTGCGTATTCAGTCGAAAGGCATGACACTCACCAACTGCACTCCAGCCTGCAGCCACGTGCCCAGGCCAGTCATGCTGAAATTTGGCCACAATGACACCCACAATTAACATGCTAGAGAACATCACAAATGATCCGATAAGAAGCATAGGCTTTCGGCCAAACTTATCAATTGAGAGCTATCGATAGTAAGTAGGGGTTTAACTCGATATAGTAAGGATTAAACATACCATTCCCGGTATAGTACTTATAAAGAATACCACACCGGTAACACCAGTAGCCAAAAGGGCGATGGTCCCACTTGTTAGTCCAAGGCTTTTGAAGACACTAGATGCATAGTAGATGACTAATTTGTTAGCTTAGATCTCCTTTGCCTTTGTCAATTTGACGTACTTGAATCAATTCCACTCCACTGCTGAAAGAACATCACTAGCCATGCAGTGCATACCCGTTTGAAATTATCCTTTGACCGAAAGCAATTGGCATACTGTGCAAATTGATTCAAGATCACATTATTGCGCTTTTCAGCGAGGTTTTGGAAGCTTTGTGCAAATTCACGCTCTTCGAAAAGTGCTTCTGCCTTGATTTCGAGGTATTCAATCTGGACCAAGTCGTCTTCAACTTCCAGTTTTCTCAACCAGGCCAACGTCTTCTGTGCTTCCGTATCGCTGCCTTGCTTAACCAGCCACCTTGGTGAAAATGGCATAAACCAAACTCCACAGGCCAAAGCAGCAGCAGGAATACCCTGTATGATAGATGGCAGTCGCCAAGCCAGCCTCGACTGTGACTCACCCGTGCCACCGATATAATTACTGCCGTAGCCAACCCAGAATGAAAGCATAATGCCAAGGATTGTAGCAAATTGATAAAATGACACCAGCAGTCCACGCATGGCTGGGGCAGCAAGTTCGGCATTGTATAGGGGTCCAACTCCGCTAAACAACCCTACGCCAAGGCCAGTGAAGAATCGCCCAGCATATAGAAGAGCGGAGTTACCTGGTGTGGCTCCTATATATAGGTAGCTCCCCAAGATTACCCAGCAGCACGCAGTGAACATGGTGTATTTACGCGAGATGATTTCGCCGAGTACACCGGCTGAGAGGGAGCCCACGATCCCTCCCACCTGTAAAATCGATGTTAACCATCCTGTTGCAGTAGATGATGCTACAACTGCAGGAAAGTCTTCCATGAAGCGAGTCATAACAAGCGATTGACCGAGAACGCCTTGTTGATAGCCATATTCAAACCCTCCTAACCTATAGACTTCTGGTCAGTTTTCTCCTTGAAATGATTTTTGAGTGTTTTTTGGCAAATTATATAGGGAAGATACTGACGACGCAAAGAATGCAATAACTAGAACTTTTGGATTATCCAAGACAGATTTCAGTGTAGACCTTTCTATTAATTGAGTGCGGGGCGGCACACAATCAAACCGCTGTGACTCCATATCCAATGAAAATTTCAGGAATCTTGCCTGTGGTAAACAAGGTCTAATTGCTTAATCTCTATGAGTGGATATTGACTTTTATATTTATTTTCTTTCATTCGACTTCACTGCGGCAGAGTGAGATTGCTGAGAAGTTAGTAATTTACCCCGACCTTTAGTTTTTCCCCGTACTCCAGATACCCCGCATTTAGAACAGAATCTCTGCATCAGGAAGCCATAACCACAAGAAGAACGGAACAATTTAGTACTAATATCAGTAGCTCTCTTAAAGTTCCACACCGAGTACTTGTTAGCCACAAATCCACAATAGATAGTTCGTTCAAGCATCTTGAGCGATCAAATAGTTCATGCCTAGCATTAGCCTTAGCACCGCTGAAATGACATTTTTCAGGCGGGATGGGGTAAACAGTGACGGCATGTGGTGCCTCCGACTTCCATTCTCGAGTTCACTCTGAGGATCTCAGGGTAATTGGCAAGTAATTCAATTCATCGGCCAGTCATCGACACTAGCGAGCCGTCAGCTGCACTAAAAATGCATCCCATGTGCATTTGTCGAGTTACATTAAAGCCCCTGAAGAGAATTGAACCCCTAGCGCCAATCTTGGCACGGTAGGCAATCGGAGGCACCAACTTCCAATTCTGTAATCACTCTAACTGAAAGAGGGCACAGCAAATCGTCCAGCTCCAGGACATTCTGGATGCAGACCTTGTGCCTTTTTACAATTTTCGATAAAATTATATCTGTGTATGCAATCTATCACGCGTATAGAATGTAATTCTCTGAATTTTATCTATGATCTCGCTCTGGGTCTGATATGATTGGTCTGCCTTTTCTGAGATGTAGCTCCAAATGGATTTTCGCTCCAACTTCTTACCGAGCAGCCTTGGAGATGTTCGATTGAGTAGAAGATTCAAGTATTCTGCAAGAGATAGCTCTTAGAGTGTTTCCACTCCATGAAAATGTTCGTGAATAGGATCGTCTGACCCGCAATCAAGTTCTTCTATGGGGCTTTTGGCACGCTTCCAGGGAAGGGAAAATTAACCACCGGAGATAAAATAATTCCATGACTAGCGCATATCCTACCGCTAGTTGTTTCTCCCCGAAATCCCCGCAAAGTCCAGGGACTACCCCGCATTCAAGAATACCACCTTCAACGCATGTTTTTATGGCTCCCTGAAAGTGATTGGTTGGAACTTTGAATATGAACTCAGAGGACTCAGTATGAACTTTTGCCGGTTCATTCAAATTTATATTACCTTCATCATGCATATGGTTTTGGCAATGTAGTATATAATGGGCTCAGCATGCTAGTCTGCGCGAATGGTTTTTTTTAACATGCATGGCTTCCTCACTTCTATCACTCCAGTCAAAGAACAAATTGTGAAATCACAATATGAAGGCCTCCATCCACCATGTCTTTACAATTTTCATAATTGCTATATCTATCTTCATTCGTGAAGCATGTGCCACCGATAGGTCAAAAATGTTCCGCACAGTCGTCACGACAGATATGGAACAGGACGACTTGGCTTCGCTGATTAGATATCTACTTTACACGAATGAGCTCGATACACAGGGAATTATCTACAGTTCCAGTCGTTATCATTGGGCTGGCGATGGAAATGGCACGAGATTCTTCCTCCCTAACCGAAGTTATACTACACCACAATGGACATATCGCTGGACTGGAACGCGAACTATCCAGGATAAAGTTCTAAAAGAATACGCAGAAGTTTACCCGAACCTGATCAATCATGATCCATTCTACCCAACACCGGATGAACTCCTCTCCTTAGTAAAGGTCGGGAACATTGATTTTGAAGGGGAAATGGGTCATGATACAGATGGTTCCGATCTAATCCGGTCGCTTCTGCTGGATGATGACTCTCGACCACTCTACTTGCAGGCTTGGGGTGGCACCAACACCATTGCCCGTGCGCTGAAGTCTATCGAAGAGAAATATTCAGGCTCAAAGCAGTGGAAGCAAATAGAAAACAAGATCTCTCGCAAGGCCATCATTTTGGCCAGCGGGTTCCAAGATGAGACTTATGCCAACTACATTTCTCTTAAATGGCCACGGATCCGTGTTGAACAACTCGAAACTGGGTACCAGACTTGGGGATACAACTTTGACAAGGGCGATGGAAATGTTCGTGGTCTACCTGATGATAATTTATACTTCGCTGGAGACTGGATCAAAGCAAACATTGAGACAGGACCATACGGGAAACTCTACCGTTCCTGGCTGGATGGTCAATCTATGCCAGGTGACCCGATGGATGTTTTTGGCAATTTGTCAAAAGCAAATTCTTCAGACCAGGTATTCTCACCTCTAGGCCCATACGACTTCTTGTCTGAAGGAGATAATGTCGTTTTCAACCCGCTCTTAACGACCGGTATTGAAAATCCAGCTAATCCAAATCTGGGTGGATGGGGTGGTCGGGCTGAGAAAAACAGCTCTTCGCCAAATTTGTGGCTTATGGTTGACAGTGAGAAAGCCCAAAACGGAACAGAAATTTCAGGGTATACAACAAACCGCTGGATCGCTGCTGTTCAGAATGACTTTGCAGCTCGGATGCAGTGGACACTGACACCAGACTATACTCAAGCTAATCACCCACCTTCGGTGAAGATTTTGAACGGAACCACTGTAAAGTGTTCTCCAGGAGACACATTGACGCTATCTAGCGCTGTCACTGATCCAGATCAAAATAAGGTGACGATATCTTGGTGGCAATTCTTTGAAGAAGGCTCTTATCCAGGTAGTGTGACTGTGACCAAGTTGAGCGACAACAACGCGAACATAATAATACCCGCTGATGCAAAGCCTGGCCAAAATATCTCTATTATTCTGCAAGGAACGGATGATGGGAGTTTCCCGCTGACTCGCTATGGTCGCATTTTTGTTCAAGTCATATAATTAAGAGTTCTATGATCACAATTTATTAGACTCGCCTTCATTGTATCGTGTCTATTGGATTAAGCTGCGTGGACTATATCACTCTGGCAAAGATCCCTTGTATGTCCTAGCCCTTAATTTTTGTACGGTCCTTAATAAGTGGGACAGAAGTTGAAGAAGAAAATGTCTAAGTATAAGCCCTCTGTGCTTCGTGATTCAGATTTTTATCTGGGATATATTCTAGTCAAGACTGAAAGATCGTCGGCGTACTCGGTTGGAATGTGTCATCTTTTGTCCTATTGGATATGGATCTACGTATTTCAACCACTTTCAAAAGGAAAGATATAAAGCAGAAGACTTTGATCTGGGAATGCTCAGGTCCATATGGCGAGTGAATAACCTATTTTTCAACCACAACCATCTGGACCTCGCTATTTGGTGGAATATTCAGAATTTTTATGTGAGTCCACCCATCCTGGTGGAATGCAAACCTGTGAAACTGGGAGTAATCTTTGAAAAAATGGGCTTTGGAATCCTGGGGGCAACGGCAAAGAAGTTGACAGAAACGCGGCCGGACGATTTTGCCGGCTCCGTTAGCCTTTACGAGGGATGAATGTTACCGCATCCTGTCAAAATAATGAAGCGAGTATCTAAAATTTGGAGAGTGTATGTACACCATGTGGAGCTCACTCACGATAACGCTGAAGGCATCCTGATCATGCAGGGGTAGTCCTCGGCAGAACAATACTTGCTCTTGCATCTGCCAAGGCCCCTGCCTAATCAGTTCAAGTTGAAGGCGGGGGATTTTCTCCCGATTCTATATATTCTTGTCAACTGGTTGAAACGCTCGTCTGCGTGATCCTCAGTGAGAGCGCGCTCATGAGCTTCGGTCTTTCCCTGCTTGTAACCTTATTGAAACATGAGGGTTAGCATCAACATCATGCTTGTCGCCATCGTCTCTGCCTTTCTATCAACTCTCTGTCAACAAACCATGGGCCGCTTATTTCCCATTAGTATCAATCCTATCTCGAATTATTTCTATCGACGACCAGGGATAGGCAACGTACCAGACGACTGGGCCTCATGCTCCAGGTTCCCTCCTCTATCGACAACTGAACGGACCGAGTTTGACCGCGGAGGATGCATGGTCTACGGCTACCCCTCCACTGGCGGGGTTCTTGCCAAAGAGGCTAACCTTCATGATATGCTCTTCTTATCACTCCGCCGCTCTCATGAATCACAGCGTTCACCCAATGCCGACGAAGAAGACAGGTTCTGTAACGTCATGCGACGGACTGGTGCTACATGGTGGTCAAGTAAAGAGGATAGGCTGGAGGCTCTGATGGGCGCGAGGGAGATGACGGAGGAAGAAGAAAGGGAGGTGGTGTTTGGTTGGCCAACGGATGGCGTGGGTGTGTGGGTGTTGCGATTTGAGAGTGCCAGGCAACTTCCGAGAGATTTTGGGAAGATCAGTTTCGCGATGAATATGGAGGAGAAGATACAGATAATGAGAGAGTATGGCGCCACGTTTGTTGAAGATTCCACGCAGGTGGACGAACTTCGTGAGGCCTGTGTTTAAATAGGATTTGAGGCCTACCGCGGCTGCTTTAGTCGGCTCTGGCGGTCGTGCCGATAACGCGCCAGTTCTCCGGCGTCGACTCCACAGCGCGGAGTACGGAATGAACTATCCTGAAGAGGGGTATCGCCTAAACATCCGAAAGCCAGTTCACCGCATTGAAACCACCCCAATACCACTGCCTGTGAATCAGGAAGTAACAATTAATTATAACCGATGGATTCCGTTCACACTGCCCAGCTCCAAACTTTGGAACCCGAGAAGCATCTTCGAGCTTTGCTAGACACCGCCATCAAAGACTATGAGACATGCCATCCGACGTCGCAGACCTTGCACCAAAGTGCTACTGACGTCTTGCCTGGTGGTAATACTCGCTCGGTTCTTCACACCGATCCGTTTCCCATTTGCATGGAACGAGGCGAAGGTAATAAGCTGATCGATGTTGACGGCCGAGAGTATGTTTTCACACAAGCCAGGCTTGAGATGTCAGCTTTCTGGTTCTGAAACTCTTTCGTTATTTTTCTCTAGGTATCTCGATCTGATTGGCGAAATGACTGCCGGGGTTTGTGGCCACTCGAATCCAATCATTCAAGAGGCTATCATTTCCACGGTCTCCCAGACAGGTCTCAATCTCGGTGCAACAACTGTGACTGAAGCTCAATTTGCGAAGAAAGTTCGCGACAGATTTCCGTCAATGGAGAGTCTCCGTTTCTGTAATTCGGGCACCGAAGCTAATCTGTATGCGCTCAGTATTGTGCGTCGTGTGACCGGGTTATCCAAGATTATTGTGTTCAGCGGCGCATATCATGGCGGCGTCCTGACATTCGTTCATGGAGTAGCTAAAAATAACGTCAACCAAGATGATTGGATCATAGGGAAATACAACGATGTTGAAAGTGTGCGAGAATTAATAGCGAGGAATAAGGGGAAAGCCGCCGCGGTGCTCGTGGAAGGCATGCAAGGTGCAGGAGGCTGTATACCTGGAACTTCTGCGTTTCTACATGCCATCCAGATTGCATCCAGAGAAAATGGCATGTTATTCATCTTGGATGAAGTCATGACCTCTCGACTGGCCCCAGGCGGCATTCAATCCAGGTTGCTCAGCCCCTACGACGGGACGCCCCTCAAGCCTGACTTGACAACCTTGGGCAAATACTTAGCAGGCGGGATGACGATCGGAGCTTTTGGTGGGCGCAAAGACTTCTTGGCGGTCTATGATCCTCGACCGGCTCCCGAGTCGCAAACATCAGCGCATCATGTCCCGCCAATCAGTCACTCTGGCACGTTCAACAACAACACTTTAGCCATGAATGTCGGTCTGGCTGCTATAACTTCAGTCTATACACCAGATGTTTGCACGCAACTCAACACATTAGGCGACTGGCTCCGGCAGAGTCTCTTTGATATATTTCGAGGCACTCGAATGGCAATCACCGGGGTCGGAGCAGTGTGTAACATTCATCTTACTGCTCATCCAGACCAGGAGATTCTATGTGTTGAAGATTTGGAAACCGAAACGTCCGAAACCGACACAGTACTGAGAGATATTTTCTGGTTCTATGCAATCCAGAGGGGATTTTGGCTGGCTCGGCGTGGTATGTTAGCATTGATTGTAGGGACTACAAAGGCCGAGCTTCAGGGATTCCTAGACATGGCAGATAGCTTTGTACGAAAATTTCAGGACTTCCTCGTGTAAGATCAGCCTTTGGACACTTCTCACTTATCCAATACATCACCCATTACTTGATTTTGTTTTTTGGAGGCAGGTCTGCTCCAGTTCGTACAAAATTGTTTTCTAGTGGCAGATGTACGGCTTTCTTGATCATCAATCCTCTAAGCCTTCAAGTGACAGTAACTGTAAGTTTGTTGCCTGGAGCCGTTCATCGTTTGCAAGGCGACTAGATATGGTGACATGTCCCGCTTTCGCCCCCATCGGGCAATCGGGCACGGGACGCCTGGTATGTTGCCTCACAAAGACATCTCGCTAGCATCATGAGGGGAACAACTCCCATCGCTCCTTCATCCAACTTTTTTCTATCCTTATCGACGAGATACAGAACATCGTACCTTCTCTTCCTCTCCTGCAAATATGGTGTGCGTATCTGCGGATGACAAAGTCCCCTGGTTCACTTATATTTTGTGGTCTATATGGACTTTCATTAGCAACTTCTTTGGAACGGTCTGGGCTATAACCAGCGGCTTCTTTGGGGTGGTTTGGTTTAGCATACGAGAACTGTTCTTTGCTTTTTTTACCATCATTCTTCCTGCTGTCGTCGCCATTGGTCTAATTATCTTGGTCCTCATTCTCGCAGTGGGTGTTTTTATTTCTCTTGCCAACCGGCTAGGCTGGATGAAACCCGAATCTTGGCCCTCGAAGAACGGAAATGAGAAGAAAATCTACCAGCCAACGCACTCAAAGGAAATTGGTCAAGATGCAGTCCTGGTCAACAGATCAGATGACAAACAACGGATCGAGATCGAAATCGAGTTTCTTGAAGAGTTATTGCGCGCAAAGCGAGAAAGGTTAGAAACAATGCCTTAGTGACGTCGACACCGACATTCTCTGCATCAAGCACGAGGCAGATTTGATGCCGTCCTTCGAGCGTGGTATTGAATCTTAGCAGCAACCATGTTTTCTTCCAGGTCGGTAAAGATATAGAAGAATACTGGTAGTGACGAAAGGTACGGGCGCGAGTGGTTCTCGGAGTGTTCTAATTCGCCTCGACATATACTATTATATCTGTATCTATGAAAGGGGAAGAAACGGCATGAACATCACATCCAACTGGAACGCGTCTTGGGTTGGGCATAATCATTCATGTGGAATAGTGAAATACAAGGGGCAACATTGGCCCATCAGCGGGGTTTAAAGTCTAAGCGCGATTGCATAAAGTGTTTTCTATCCTGATGTCCAATCCTAAACTAAACGAATGGGTCAGCGGATGCATTCATTCTGCACTTAGAGAGCCCCTCCCACCAGTACGCAACCGAAGAAAAGCAATAGATGTACCAAGTCATATCTCATAAATCGTATCCTCTACCGCTGTTAATAAGCAAGTGCTATTAGAGGGTCCCTTCTCCCCACGTTCACAGCAGTTTTTGCTCCAAGTCACGCTCGTCGAACGGGTCACCGAACTCATCTATACATTACCGAGTCAGTCAAGCCTGCCAATAGTCCATGAATTCCAATCGACTGTACCTAGATTGAAGTCCTTGTCGATCACATGCTCCATTGCCCGCTGGAACTCGTCCTGGGAACGCTTGCTCTTCCAGGCGGCGATGGGCGGTTCCCCACCCTTTCCGGAGAGTTGGCTTGGATCTGCCTCACTGACTGGTTTGAAGTCACCTGCCTTGGAGATTTCCGGTAAATGCTGGGGCTGGGAGCCGGGAGGTGAGAGTTCGGACGGTGCAGCGGCCGCTGCGGAAACTTGGAGGTTGCGAGTCGGGGTGCGAGTGCCGGGTCCGGCACCATCGGAATCGGTATGAAGAGAGCCAACAGAAGAGGCCATCTCGGAATCTCCGTCGGGGTCTCGGGAGTCTGTCGAGTCGTGTGTGAGTTGGGGGGGGGTTGGCAAGGGACAAAGGGAGAGACTCGTCGAACGCGGATTGCGGGGAGGAGAGCTTTCGAAATGCGCCCGTTTGGGTAGATTGGGAACACGGTGCAAAGCGAGGAGAGACTCAACGAGACATTGGAGGGCACTACAACTTACCATGTGCCATGCTGGCAGTAGATGCTCGAAGCAGGACGGACAGAGCAGCTGCGTCGATTGGCTCTCGATGAACCAACGGGGTGGAGCTGAGGAAGCGGAGATCGAAGCGGCCTCGGGGGCGGTGGCCGCTGGGCCCTGCAAACAACTGCGAATTTTCTTCCCTCACTCGCATCCGTCTTGATACATTCTCTGCACATATCGTGTCTTGTTGGTCATCGCGTCCATTGCGTCCAAATTCGCTTGTATCGCCTCCAGTTGACCATCCATTTCGTCCATTTGTCTCTCTGTGGACCATGACTGCAATGCCTGAAGTCCCCGACGCATGGGAAGACGACGACTGGGAGTCCCAAGCTGATGTAGGTCGGATTATGAACGATCGACGGTGCGGGCATTAGGCTGAAGACCGCACTGGCGATGGCCTTTTTTTTCTTGGAAATCCTGGAATGACGTACTGATAGACTGGGATATACAGAAGCTAGCGACTCAGCCTACCCCACCGCCCGAGAAGAAGGTCTCGTCGAAGGTCACCAAAGCACAGCGCAGGGCTCAACAGGCCGAATTCAACCGACAACTATGGGCTGAAGCGTATGTCACCTACGAAGAAAGCTCAAATTGGACGTCATTTCTGACAATTTTGCCTGTAGTGAAACCCCGCAGACATTCCACTTTCTTGAATCGCGCTCCGACGTACCTCTTAAACAAGACATCAAGCCAACAGTCACCCTCCTCAGCCGCAGACCTCAGACCGCAACTCGACAGTCTTCATCTCGCGGGGTGGACTCGGCGGCAGCTGGGTTGGGAGAACTTGGTCTACACGATGACGGCGACTCGGACGAGGACTCGAACAAGCGGTCTGAACCGACTCCTGAAGAACGTCAAGCGATAGCACTCAGGAATCTGGAGGAAAAGCAGCGCAAGTACGAAGAGGTGAGGGTAAGACTGTTTGGAAGCCCGTCAGGGACCACGTCTGGCAATTCATCGCCGGGCAGTACCACTCCTCCTCGGCATCACCAGTCCGGGGAGGGGAGAGGGAAAGGAAAAGGCCGCGGCGGTCAACGCGCCGAGTACCAAAAGAGAGAGTCCTCCTCTGCGTCGAACAAGTCACGGCATCTCTACGATCCATCTCCGGTGAGATCCAATGGTCCCTCACCACAAAGACGGGAGCGTCCGACAGGAGACTGGACGGAGGCAGACAAACAATTTGCTCCACAGCAACCGACTCGAAGCCCTAGGGGGCCCGATGCGAGTGGTAGGGGCGGTTTTAGATTCGGCAATAGAGGTGCCCGAGGAGGCTAAGGTACATGGTGCCAACGCTTTTACTATTATGACTATGGGTTCAGTCCCTCGGGTCAATGTGGGTATGCTTTTCCACAAGATCCCAGGACCCATGAAATCCGCCAAAATACACCCGTCGAGCAACCCAGAATATCTGTCAAGTTATCATGGATCAAGGGAGTGCCCGTCCCGAATTGATTGCATTCGCAAGCTGGGATGTATTTGGCCGGTTCTCTACCATCAGGAATGACCAATATTAGCAAAGTCTTTGAACCCGGTGAACGAGAGGCACTCACGAGCATATCTTTCATAACTGTCGATATAGAGTTGATCTGTGCTGGTCGTTGCTCGCACATGCTCATGTGCGTCGATGGCATTCACCCAAGACGCAAATCTGCTCCCCTCCTCAGCATCCGGCCAGCCTCGATAAGGCTTCAGTACCCTACGAAGCCGAATGACCCAAGGGGCCGCCTGGACATCTACGATCGACAACTCTGACCCCAAGAAGAAGGGACCGTGCGGATGCGCCGCGGCGATGAGGAGATCGAAAGCATTTCGAAGCTCTTGCGCATTGGCTATTTGCTTCTCCTGGCTCTGCTCCTGAAGAACTCGATAGAAGCATGGCACAATATGCCGATTAATCTAAACTTCAGTCAGCAACGGGCCTTGGACAAATGGAGAAGCTAGCTGACATGGTCTCCCCAAAGTCGGCAGTGGGCACGCAGCTTTGGATCCTCTGGAAGAAGTGCTACGCCTTGCTTCAAGTCCTCGAGCTGGATTCAGGTTGTGTTAGCTCACGAAGGATCAAAGAACGACAATGGACTTTTGCCAGGCTCCATACATATTCAAGAAGCACGGTGCTTTCATAACATCCCCAATCATCGTGGCGCAAGGCGGGAACCAGCCCCCGTGGGTTCACCTCAAGTAATGAAGCAGGCTTTTTGTACGGGTCTACTTCAATATACTGATACGGGATGCCTTTCATCTCCAGCGCTATCCACACCCGTTGTACAAATGGGCTTGACATAGATGACGATCAAATTAGCATATAGAAAACGTTCATAAACATCCAATTCATGGGCATACACTCACCAGAAGCAACTTCCATATAACTTGAGGTTAGAATCAGCTGAATGCCGGGCTACAGTAGCAAAGGCTACACCTGTCGCCTTAGTATGATATGTCTTTTGCTGTGAAGTGTCGGCCATATTGTGGTACTGTGCGAATGCGTCAGAATTTCTGGATGAGGTAGAAATCGGCTGACAAAAAACAAGTTAAAATGAAAAAAATGGATTTCAGATGTCCATCCGCTGATCAACGAGAGACGATAATTCTTGGAGTTTGGGAAAGGGGGTTTCGAAGTGACGTAGCAAAGCAGCTGCGGGGAGATTCCACCCCACTCCAAGATCTTGCTTGCATGAGACAAGCATTGGAAACATACCGGATTCTTTTTCCTTTCCTTATCTTCTTTTAAAAGATATCGCTGTACACTGTTCTTCTTCACGCGATCGCTTTCTTCAAGCGTATGGCGATGGCCTTCAGTGATGTCATTCTTTCCATTGACACTATTCCCATTCACTCGTTGAATTGTGAAATATCTTCCCCCGTTTGCTCCGGGATGGCCCTCCGGCAGATTAGAAGGAGGTGTAAGTACTCCAAACCCATGATCACCTTGGAGTGGAAACAATGTTTGGACCCCAGGCAATAGCTCAGCTGTCGGCAAAGGCTCGAATTCCCCAGTTCCTTCTAAGGACTCAGCAGTTGGGAAATATTCCGTAATCTTGATCTTAACATCACAGAGATCCCGTTCTCTTACGGTCCGTTTACGTTTCTTCTTGTTCGGATCGTTGGATTTGGGTGTCCCGGGTGGTCGACCTTTCAGTCGGCAGTCCCAGTAGTGGGAAACGAATGGCCGGCGTTTATATCGTTGTGTCGAGCGATGGGAATAAACGTTGTCCACGTGAGGGAAATAGATCTGGAATCTACCAAATGAAACCTGTTAGTGCACAATCGCATTCTCATTCCGGGCTGCTTCTGACCACGGTCCGTGGAATCAAGCATCAAAAGCACACAATAATGAAGCTAGAACGGCCGACATACTGTTCCTCGCTCAATGTGATCATTTCATCCACATTAAACAGCTTGTTTCTCCAAAGATCCAAATCAGGCGGTTCAGGAACCAGCTTCATGCCTTCCAATTGCCCAGCAAAGCCCGAGGCATCCGGGGCATTTGATGCGAGTGCAGCATAATCATGATGTGTAAAGGCTGTATAGGGTGTTTGTAAGGAATCCAGGCCGCTGCCCGGTGCTTGAGAGGTGCTATCTCCTAAAACGATCGGGTTCGCAATTTGCGAGGTTTGTTGCAGTTGCGACGGGTGGGCTTGTGGGGAATTTTGGAGCTGCGGAACATGCTGCAGTTGGCGGGCATGTTGAAGGTGTGAATCGTGACGAAGCTGTTGTTGCGCATCATGTTGTAGCTGTGAAGAGTGATGAAGTTGTGGCGCATGCGGAGGGTGCGATGACGGTGGGTCACTCCCGGTTGGACGAAAGCTTGTCGCGAAGGGGTTGGCTGGGTTGAAAGGGCCGAGGTCAGTGTTCAGACCAGAGGAAGAATCAAGAATCCCGATGGTCGACACCAAGGGACGGCTGGAGGCAGGGCGTTGGAGGTGCGAATCCATTGTGGAGGCCCTCGCTGCTTTTGGCGCGGAGAAAGAGAGAGCGCGGCGGAGGCGCGGAAAGTTGCGCGGGGTCCATGGTCAGCAGCCCAAACATCTAAACACCAGCGCCCACAAAATCGGTATGCCTGTGTCAAAGACACCTGTAACCCACAATCTGGAATTTAGGACGAGGGGCAATACCAATTCTATATTGTTCAAAACAGATTTTATTTACTAATATACTATTTTTTACAACCTGGTCATCTATCTCGAGTAAACAGTGTCTCTTTGGCCCGACTCCAAATCATCGCAAGGTGGCAAGTGAGACTCATGAAGATTGTCAGAAAATTAAATATGTTTCTTTCCATGCTTTTTAGCAGCCTCTGAGTTTTTAAAGGGAAATCCAGTAGTCCTTCTGTCAGCGCCAGTTCGTCGACTGATTTTGCCGTTGTCATTGGCAAACAACAAACACCACAGCCCAATGCATGCAAGGAGAGAGCCTCCAGCGACTGCAATGGCAAAAGCAGTTTGTCCTCGGGTGACATAACACGTATACGCATATATAGCGGACGTGGCATGGAATACCGAGGTTATCATTAGCGTCGGCAACGCATAGGGTGCCTTCGGATCAGAGTCTTCGGTTGATATGGGCTCCGAAATGGAGGATGTCAGTGGGATTGAGCCGGTCAAAATAACAGTCAAAACTGCAATGGTGAGAAGAGCGAAGCCTAAGCATCGGGAAAGGTAAACCTCAATAGCTATGAGACCATTCAATAAGCAGTTAGTGACATATCATTCGCGTGATTTCGATTTGAATAGAAATTGCCAAAGGCCACGTACGGGAGGCGGGTCGCGTCTCATCCAACAGCATAGCCACTATCACCCCCGGGCTGAGAATTAGAGGCAAGCTTTGTAATGAAAGCCATCCGGCTGTCGAATAGGTGTAGGTTTGAAAGACCTTGGTGCGTATATCAGTATTCCATATCCGAGAGCAGATCTTGGCGCCGAGACGAGTCCCCGTGAACGACAAGGCCGAGCAGTTGTTGGTAGTGTCGGTACTTACATCCATAATTTCTTGATCATACAGCACAGATTTCCAGTTGCGTCAAGTCTAGGAAGCTGTCGTTCGGAGTCAACTTGTGGTTGTCAAGGCAAAGTGAAGCTTACAGCCTAGAAGCTCCGTACCTCTGGACTCATGATCTGACGTCATTTCATTTGCTTTGTTTGCAGCAGAGCTTGTCACGGGTTTCTATGAGAATTGTAATAGACAAAAAAAGGTGTTCAAAAGTATAGGTGCAGGCTACTTCAAGAAAGAACAGGTATGATCAGTCGCCATTTATAGACAGGTTGAATATTTTCATTGAATTCTCCAATGTAAATTTTAAAACTTGGGAACCATTAACCATCAACACCTCAACCCCTAAAAAGCCCCAAAGATGAACAAAACTCCTCAAATGAAACCTCATAATGCCTATCGCCAAGGACTAGTTCATTTGGCTTGCTCGCAGGTACCTTGCGAAACTGTTGTCAGCATCAGAGGGCGGATTTTGCGAGCCCGACAGTGCCTCTTTATATCTCTGGGAGAGACCTTCATCATCACCTGCATCGGGGCCCTCATAGTCGTCATCAGAGTCATCTTCACCGTCAGCCAATCCTCGCTTGATGATTTCATCCTCCTCTTCATCCTCTGCCTCGCTGACAGTCTCAGGACCCGGCTCAGGGCCCTTGCGCTCTCTCCGACCAGAGCCAGAGACACTCATATCCTTCATCAGCTTGCCGAGCTCTAGTTCCCGCTGGGCAGATTTGTTCTCTTCCCGTTCCTGCTTCTTGCGCTCCAATTCAGGTTTGTAGTCCCGCTCGAACTCCTGACGCTTTGTTTCAACGGCCTCAAAAAACTCTTCAACGCCATCGCCGGTCATAGAGCTCACGCCGACGACACTCAGGTGACGATAGAATTCTTCCAACATTAAGCTCATGCTGTTCAGCAGGGATCCCATATATCCACTGCCAGCCCCGAATCCGCCAGCACCACCCTCACCTCCGAAGGCACCAGATTCCTGCTCTTCTTGGAGGGCCTGCTGGAACTTATCGAAATCGGTCATCCATTCCTTGGCAAACTCGGCATCCTTGACATCAGTCTTATTGAAAACCAGGATCATTGGGAGTTTTGTCTTGTAGAGAATACTGCACGCGTACAGCATGTTGCTCATGAAAGTGCTAGTGGAACTGGCCCGCGGGGTATCGATGATATAAGCAATAACGGTGGGAAAAGACGACGCGAGGGTCTCCAGTAGGATACTGCCAGATGCACTCCAGACGAAGACTTCGATCTGACCTGGTGTATCGACCAAGATGTGCTCGATAGGTTTCGCATTAGGTTGCTCGGGGTTCGGCGCCGTACGCTTTTCCAGGAGGGAAATGATTTGGTCGACCTTGGTGGCGAACAGATTGAGGGATGTCAGGATACCGCCGTTCGGTCCCAGGTTATATTGCTTCATCACTTCCTTGTAGTTGATCGAATCGCGGATATCAATGTTGCTGTCGAAGGGGACCGAATGCACTGCGGGGTCAAGGTTCATCACATAGGGCACGGTCTTCTTGGAATGCAAGTATGAGTTGATTCTTTGCATAAAGGTCGTCTTTCCAGAGCCTGGAGTATAAACAGCGTCAGTAACCAGAACGCGAGGCCAAGCGACTTAGATTGATTAAACCTACCTGCCATGCCCACGCAGACGACGGAAACCGCCGGGGACGCCATGGTGAACAGGAGTGTCCTTAGAGATGATGTACAAGAGAAGAGAGGAAATGTAAATAGTGAATAGTATAATGGATATTGAGTCGGCGAACTCACTACCAGAGATTGCAAGCGTGTGGTTGAGGGGAGCTCTTTTTTTTTCTCGGAAATTCTTTAGTCGCGGGGAACCCGAAGATCTGCGCCTGGACCGCCCGGCGCGCCAAACGTCATTCCGGTCCAGCTTTTTGCCCTTCGCCATTCTAGAACAATCACATCCCAGGCAGAGCACGATGACCCTGGAAGATTTCGAGAAGTCATTGGTGGAGGACCAGGGGCGCCGACGCGAGAAGAGCGACAAAGACCGACGCCGTGGAGACCGCGACCGCGACCGCAGCAAAGACCGTTCCAGACACCACCATCGCTCCAATCACCACCACCGGCGACATTCGTCAAGATCGCGAGACCGCGAAAGCAGACGAGATCGGGGGTCTAGACACCATGATGATGACGGTCACCGGCACAAACGTTCTCGCCATTCGATCGACCACGGAGACGGTCGCGAACATTCGCGTAAACGTCGGCACAGAGAGTCCAGCCAGGAGAAGGATGAAATGTCGACGAGCAAGCCAGATATCCAAGAGGAATCCAGTCGCTTAAAGCGTGATTCTTGGATGGAGGCACCTTCCGCTCTGGACATTGAATACGTTCACCGACCCGATCCTAAGCAGACAGAGGAAGCCAACAAGCCCACGATGCTCCAGGCAGATTTCGAACTCAAGATCCACGAGAAGGAACTCAATAGCCATCTACGGGATCTAAAAGAAGGAAAGGTCCTTGATGAAATCGAGGAAGAGCCATCTCAGCATGAGGTAGACTATACTTTTGGAGACTCCGGCTCTCAATGGCGGATGACCAAGCTGAAGGGCGTTCACAGAGAGGCAGAGGACAGTGGTCGACCTGTTGAAGAGGTCGCAATCGAGCGTTTCGGGGACCTGCGCTCTTTTGATGACGCTCGGGAAGAGGAAATCGAGTTGGATCGGCGCAAGATGTACGGCGAGTCTTATGTAGGCAAAGAGAAGCCGAGCGGAGAGTTGTTCCAGGAGAGGAAGCTAAAGGAAGAAGTTAGCCGGGGCCCCCATGAGCATATTCGTGATCCAGCCGAAGAGCTGAAGACTGAAGTTCAAGGGAAAAGGATGGAAGTCGAGCCTCCCTCCAATACAACCCAGCATCTGGACCAGACTGCGTTGAACCGCCTCAAAGCTCAAATGATGAAAGCTAAATTGAGAGGCGCCCCTAACGCAGCTGAGCTTGAGGAGAATTACAACACTTCACTTGCGGCATTCTCTAACCGCAAAGAGTCTGATGTTGTGGTGCTTGGCGTGAAGGAGAACCGTCTGCTTGCCGGCTCGAGAAATGAAGTCAAGCCTGTTGATACAAAGCGAGGGCGTGAAAGAGGCCAAATGCAAGACAACGAAGACATGACCATTGAAGACATGGTTCGCGAGGAACGCAAGACTCGGGGTCAACTGGGTGGGGAAGGGCAGCGATTAGCAGAGCGCATCGCCCGTGATGGGAAGTTTGAGGTAAGCTCATTCAATTCTCTCATAGGATCGAGTCCATCTAACACTATCCTAGAATGATCTGGAGTACATGGACGATCAAGCTTCCAAACTGGCCAAACGAGTGCACAGATCTGAAATCGACATCAAGAACGCTACTATAAACGACTTCCGCAAGATGAACCGCATCCTCGACAACTGTCAGCTCTGCCATCACGAAGATACAAACACTCCGCCAATTGCGCCCGTCGTGTCTCTCGCTACCAGAGTCTATCTGACTCTTCCCACTGAGCCTGAAATCAGCGAGGGGAGTACCACTATTGTGCCCATCCAGCATCGCAACAACCTCCTGGAATGTGATGACGATGAATGGGAAGAAATTCGTAATTTCATGAAGAGTTTAACCCGCATGTATCATGATCAAGGCCGAGATGTTATATTTTACGAGAATGCGGCCCATCCACAGCGCAAGCGTCATGCGTCTATGGAGGTGGTTCCATTGCCCTATAGTCTTGGAGAAACATCGCCTGCGTTCTTTAAAGAGGCGATTCTCAGCGCCGAATCAGAATGGTCTCAGCACAAGAAACTGATCGATACCCTTGCCAAGGCCAAGCAGGGAATGGGGCGATCAGCATTTCGCCGAACTTTAGTCAAGGAAATGCCCTATTTCCACGTGTGGTTTGAGCTCGATGGTGGTTTGGGTCATATCGTTGAAGACGAGAACCGTTGGCCTCGTGGGGACCTATTTGCACGAGAGGTCCTCGGAGGTATGCTTGACGTTGCCCCAGATGTGATCAAGCGACAAGGCCGTTGGCACAGGGGCGGTGATCGCAGAGTTGAAGGCTTTAGGAAGCGCTGGAGAAAATTTGATTGGACTCGTGTCTTAGTCGAAGGTTAATGGTTATAACTACAAGTAGCCGGAAAGCTCAAGTTACTTACTCTAATTACAAGGAAATGAATGACCGCAATCAAGCATACCTAAAGTACACGTATCTTTCTGGGCACTTTATCTGGAAGTCTAAAAAACACCTGAACTCCAATTAAACGCTCAATTATTCCAACGCTACGCTTTCGCATAGTCTATTCCTTCTGCCTTCTAATTAATTCCAGCCCCTTCTGTAAAGTCACTTATTCCACCATTTAAAAGGGTTAATTGGATAGTTCGGAATGCGCACGAGAATAAAATGCACCAAATATAAACCATTGAATGTTCTCTCTAGCGTTCATTGTCAAGTGGAATAGCAACACATATATTACACTTGAAGATCGCTTCTACTCGTAAGAATTTTCATTTAAATTATCAATCTGATTACCAATCCTCCCTACCATCTAATCAGTAGGTGAGATGAAACCTAGGGGTATCAAAGCTCATTGATAATATATGTGATGGATGGATCCACGACGACTATTCTCATTCGTAAGAACCACCCGAGATGGCGGCATTTCCAAGCGGGGAACTCGCCGAGATAAACCCAAGTTTTGCGTGGGGGCACGTTTTGTCATCGGCAGATACCCGATAGACGATTTATGACTCTAACGGCTCCCATGGTGTCTTCTACTCTTCTTTGAAATCTTCCATTCTTGATATATGAATGCTTTGATTTGCATTCTTACCTATAGCCCGACTAAAATTTGCGAATCGGCTCACCCTTGCTCTCAGACGTTGTCGGTGGACTCCCTTTATTCTTATCAGTAAGTGGCACGCCTTCCATTGACATCTTCTGGGTTCCTTCAACGGGCAGATAATAGTTGCGCCTTTGCCCAAACCTGTTTCAATGTTTAGACTGGAAATATTGGCGTAAATAATTGTCAATCAGATCTGACCCAACGGTCTTTTTTTGGCAGACGTTTCTTATATCACTTCTCATTATGGGGTCCCACGGTGCTAGGCCCAAACTTTTGCTTCTTGGAAAGATTGGACAGTATGTGAACATGACCAGTTGGTGTGGAAATTTACAAAGTTGATAACAAGGAAATAGCGCGCAAGACTCTTAAAATGCACTGAGTGAATTAGGCGACCTGGTCACATCAACCGCAACTAACCGCGCCGAATTCCTGCAAGAATGTCGTGATGGCAAACTCGATGGCGTTGTTGCGACCTATCGTACTTTCCATTCCGCGAGTCTCACGGGCTTAGTGGATGAAGAACTTGTCAATGCTTTACCGAAGTCACTGAGATACATTGCTCATTGTGGTATGTGTGAATATCGGGAGCCCTATGACCTATAGCAAGCTGACTCGGCTATTCATGGCATAGGAGCTGGCTATGACCAGATTGATGTCCATGCCTGCAGCGCAAGAAACCCTCCGATTCTTGTCTCAAACGTTCCTACCGCAGTAGATGATGCCACTGCTGACGTGAATATGTTTCTGATCATCGGTGCATTGCGTAATTTCAACAGTGGTATGCACTTTTTACGTCAGGGTAAATGGCGGGGTCAGCCATCAACTCCCCTTGGTCATGATCCCGAGGGTAAGGTTTTGGGAATTCTGGGGATGGGTGGCATTGGCCGTAACTTGAAGAAAAAGGCCGAGGCCTTTGGGATGAAGGTCATCTATCATAACCGCCGCCCATTGACTGAAGAGCTTTCAGGAGGTGCTCAGTATGTCACATTTGACGAACTGCTATCCACTAGCGATGTGCTCAGTTTAAATCTTCCATTGAATGTAAGATGGATCGATACGGATTTTGGATCCCCCCCAGAGGGTTTCGTTCATGCTGACTGAATCAAGAAACACACTCGTCACATTATCGGCAAGGCTGAATTTGCCAAGATGAAGGATGGTGTGGTTGTAGTGAACACTGCCCGCGGTGCTGTGATGGACGAGGCTGCCCTTGTCGAGGCCTTGGATAGCGGCAAGGTGTTATCGGCTGGCCTTGATGTCTTCGAGGAAGAGCCAAAGATTCACCCTGGTCTCCTGAGAAACCCTAATGTGATGCTTGTTCCTCATATGGGAACTTGGACAATTGAAGTAAGTCCTATGATGCGGTCCCAAAGCAGATCGGGGCGACACTGACAATTCTCCAGACTATAACTGCTATGGAGGAATGGGCCATTGAGAATGTTCGCGTCGCTCTAAAGACAGGAAAACTCAAGAGCCCCGTTGCAGAACAAGCTGAGATGTCGTAATATGTAGCCATATGGAGAAGAGCCTTTGGTGCTTCGATTGGTATAGACCGTCTCAGGTTAATTCTGGAGTGGAGGCCCTGTATCAAGATTTTCTTTTGAACAGATTGCAATGAACCGTATTTAGAAAATAGCAAAATCTTCCGCAAGACGTCTAGCTACTAGTTACGATTGGGTTGCCATGCGAAGTTGAGAACTTGAAGTGGCTTGAGGTAGCCCCAAGTCCCATAAACGGTATTTCTGTTTTGGGACTAGTTCGATCGCGGCGGAGCTTCGAATCTTATCGTCCGGGGTGGCCCTGTGATAACTTCAACTTGACCAGTCACTACAAAGATGGCAGAATATTGGAAATCAGCAGTGGGTACTCTTTCATTTCTTTCCCGGTGTCTAGCTCTAACTTAGAAATTGTGCTATAGCCCCGATTTTGGTGCAAACAATGCAAGATCTTCATTCGCGACACACCCTTTGAAAAGACCCAGCACGAAGCGAGTCCCAAGCACCAAGGCAGCCTCAAGCGCTTCTTAAGAGAGATCCACAAAAACAATGAGATCAAACAGAAGGAGACCCTGCGAGCGAAAAATGAAGTCGAGCGTTTGCGACAAGCTATCGGAGGTGGCCCCGCTCCGTCGAAGCCCGAGGGCAAATCTGGGAAGCCAGAGGCTGCACCAGCGCCCGGACCTGCCCAGCGGTTCGTAGGTGCGGAGGAAAGGAAGAAACAAATGGCCCAGTTGGCAGAGCTAGGTGTAGCCATCCCCGAAGAGTATCGAGCGGACATGGCGTTGGCTGGAGAATGGCAAACGCTCTCAGAGACCAACGTCGATTCCCAGGAAGGATTGGAAGGCGCAGCAAAATCCATTGGAATCCGCAAACGTAAACACAATGGCGAGGAGGAGGAAGAGGGGGTCAGCGGGAATCCATCCGAGCGACTTGTGAGTAAAGGGTGGGGTTCAAGGATGAAGATATACCCTGGTGCAGAGGATGACGATGAAGATTTGGACGCTCTCCTCGCATCGACGAAGGATCTAAAGAAAAATAAGACCCCGGCACCAGATTCCGAGTCTAATGACCGGTATTCCACCGAAGAGCATAAGCCCGAGCTTCCATCAGCCTTGAAAGAGGAAGAGAGTGTTATTTCGAATACGCACGAGACCACTGACAAGGCTCGCACTAAGGTGGAAGACACTGCTTCAACGTCCCAACTCGATTTCAAAGAACTAGCCGATGAGACACCTGGCCCGGTTTTCAAAAAACGCAAGGCTAAAGTCATGAGGAAATAGTGGCTTGTTGGGCCAAGCGATATTTCTCGACGCATATTTACCATCACTGGATAAAGAACAATTCGGTCAATGCCCAGGACTACCGAAGTTATGTTCTTACCAAGACTCCCAACCAAACGCCAAACTGAAGGTTGCGACTTGAAGTCCCGGCAGCTTCATTGCGATTGTAAGACTATTAGGCTTTTTTGGAGATGAAAATGCCCAGTTCTAGTTCAAAAGGTGCCGGACAATTTCTGCCCTCAAAGTCAAATTGTTCTCCTCATAGAACATTCATCGGCACGACCCGTTTACCATTTGTTGTTTGTACTGGAGCCGAAGCAGTCAAACCCGCAGTATAGCCGGGCGGATCGTCCTGAAGTTCGACGACGAAGGCGTTGTGTCGAATCGAAAACCAATCGATGACCGATAGGCTTTGAGCACCGATGCAGATATTATGGGGTGTGGCCACAACTTCCATAGATTATAAGGCTGGCAATATGGATTAGCTGTAGACTTGTCTCCAAACACTTTCCTGTAGCCTGTACCTAGGCAGGGAAAAGACAGAAATAAAATAAAATTAACGAATATATCAGTTGTTGTTTATCTATCTATCTTCAAGCATTCAGATTATTGTTATAGGTAGAGTTGTTTATAGTTCGAGTCTATGGGAGGGCGCGGTGCTGGGGTATAGAATTGCCACTCCAATTTTTTTTTCGGCGTCGGGGCGGAGACTTGGATCGCCGGAAAGGAAAGCTCCTTTAGTTCGTGCCAACTTCGCGCATCTCTTTCGAGCGACCACCGAACACAAACCCGCCGAGTGCCCCAGCAACTCACGTCTGTTTCTTTCTTCTATTGCATTATAGCATCTATACCCGGTGAGTTACTTCAAATGGATGCAATCGCGATGTCTCCCCAGCCTAGTTAGCCCACCGAATCCTCTCGAGGCGCACTTCTCTCCAGCCCGCGCAACAGCCCAGGCTCTCCTTCCCAAGACCGCCGCGACTGAAATCTCGCGAAAAAAAAAATGCGTTTACCCTCTGTTACATCGCGAAATGTGACACTGGCCCGCTGGATGGCCGTGGGTGGGGAGGAGAAGTCTTCGGGCCCTCAGCGAACAAAATGCGATCAGCTTCCCCTCGGTCGGCGCGCATGACATTGGAGAAGGTGGCATATTTATATGCCATTGCTCTCTACATATGGATATTCTGCACACGTTGCTATATGCCCCAAACTTTGCCTGGTGGCGGTTGGTCGTTGACCGGCCTGGATTGGACGTATCTCAATCTGCCGCCCGACACGACACGAACAGAGACGAAGTGCCTTGGGAAGAACCTCCATCACGGCACTCTGTGTCTTATGACATGTTCTGATATCGCTTTTCCTCGCCTTAAAGCACTCCTGCGCAGACATTTTGAAGCGACTGGCATCTTGTTATTGTACATGAAAACTTTGGCTAACGTATCGCAATCTTCACAGGCTATAGGGAATAAATGATTTATATGTCCCAATCCGATCGATCTGTTGTTGTGCCTCTGCTCGGCGACAAATTGCACGAACTTTGACCTTAACCCCGGCGTGATTATCGTCCATTTGTTTCCACTTAGAAAGGCCTAAACCTTAGCATCGACCGAAAAGCAGCGCATCGCCTTGAGGGCCGGGCGATCAGACATGGCAGAACCGACAGACCCGAGCTCTGGCGACCCAGCCAACTCATCGTTGGAATTGAGTACGCCCGCTCCAACGACTGATCAGCCATCTACACAGATCGAGCCTTCACCAGAACAATTCAAACAGTCCCAGCCAGAATCCAATCAAACCACTGCTCCTGTATCTGAGTCCCACGCGGCGACAGCGCCCTCAACCAATGATACAAACCAGCCCGGCAACAGCAACAATGGCAATGACAACAGCCACCAGAAAGAGATCAGTCCACCTGCACCTGATCTTGAGGATCCTGCTTCTTCGATTGTATCTTCACTACCGGCGATGGATACTACAATTCCAGCGATGGATACCTCTCACTCTTTTGGAGACACGGGATTACATTCATTTGACACCTCTCTCCATTCCTTGGGCTCTTCTACTGCCCCAGACTTGTCCCTTCCAGCGATTGATACCACTTTGCCTACACTGGACTCCGCACTTCCAGCTATAGGGACTGACATTCCCACAATGGACCATCCATTCGGGGATGACAGCCATTTCGGCACCCACGATTCCCACTCCCCATCTGTGGACCCGACAGATGTAGCAAGCAACATGGGCCAACATGGATCTCTGAATGGTTCGACACATTACCAGACGTCGCCCAATGGTACCTATCAGTACTCACAGAATCATTCGCCTCCACAGCACCTGGACGGACAACAAGCGCCACAGGGACCGTCTCAACATCAGTTTCAATCGCAGCCTCAACAAAATTACCAACAACAGAATTCGGACGTGTACCATAACCCAGGCGGATTCTCGGCGGTGAATTCAAATTCCGGTAACAATGGCCAGGGACAACCCGGACAAATGCCGCAAGCGCCCATTGGATCCCCGATGCCTCCTATGGCGTCTATGGGCCAGTACATGACCGGGTATCCCTCCAATGTGCCGCCTTCCGGCATGAATTCCAACCCGCAGATGCGATACCCCCACCCCGGTGATCCTAATAAGATTCTTTCGGGTGGTCGCCACAAAAAAGAAGTCAAGCGTCGGACAAAAACCGGTTGCTTGACTTGTCGCAAACGTAGAATTAAGGTACGTTGTTCGTTAGTGAGTTTTACATGTTGCGCGTCCGCGGGAGCGCGGGCCTCGCTTGTGCCCGCAGACCCCGCCATCGTTTATTTTGTCTCCCGCTTAACCCACGACCTTCCTTTCCGGGGCTTCTCTCTTGACCAATGACTGACTGCGCAAAAGTGTGACGAAGGACATCCGGTCTGCAGAAATTGTGTCAAGAGCAAGCGCGAGTGCTTAGGCTACGACCCGGTCTTTCGCCCTCAAGCAACCACCCCGTCGGCGATCCAACCGGCGCCGAATCCTCCTCCGTCGCTTGTTGTCAATCCCCAGGGACCCCCAGTTCCATCTGCGCCTTCTTACCCTTCTGCACCTCCTGGGTATATGCCGGCTTCCTCGCAACCTTTTGCACCATCTCTGCACTCCGAATCCCCCAGCAACTCGACTGACCAACCTGATCACGGAGTTGGCCTTGAACAATCCCTTGGGCCTAACAATCATATCGCTGCCCCTCCCAACATGCAGGAATCCAATGAACCTCGGCCCCAGAGCTCGGAGCCTACATACAAAGGTACGTGTGTCAGAAAGTGATGCAAAATCAACTTCTTCAGGAATTCTTTTACATTTTGGGTTCCCACTTGAAATGCGCAGTCGCTAACAGTGAACCTTCCCGATAGCCAAAAATCTTCATGTCAATGACCTCGTTGCGCTAAGGGGCATCGCTCCTCCACCTCCCCACCCCATCGGGACCCTCCCTCCGGGCCGCCTCGAAGAGATTCAAGCTGTGTTTCTTGCCACGTACGCCCCTGCAATTGATAAATTGTTGGAAGTCCGCTGGTATTCGGATAAAGCACTCTCAATCTTGATGGCAGATGCTCAGCTCATGGCAGACTATTCTGCCCTGATCAATGCGTTCAACGAGTGGAATCTGAGTGATGGGAATACGGTTGCGCGCTTGGAGAGTTTTGAGGCCTCCTTGATTTGGCGGAGCATGACTCTGTGTCGCCAGGTTCCCAATTCAGAGAATGGGCAGTATGGGCAAGATTGGAACTTGCTGGCGGCGTCTGCACGTCTCAATGCGATCGAGGCTCTCTTGACCTGGAACTACCTGGATCAGAACACATTGTCACGAGCTCTTGGCATGGATGCCTCCAACCCACCCAACCCTCCAGATCAGTTCGTGCAACGGCAATTGGACTTCTGGAGCGAGCTCGGAGAGTTCCTTACTCTTCACGACAATGAAGCCAGCTCAGCTAAGCAGATCGACGACACACTTAGCCGTTGTCGTCAACTACTCGATACGTATGAAAACCGGGACATCATCTATTCCATCGCCATTGCACGACACCTTGGGCAACGATGGGCCGACTTTCCCAACAGTCTGCCCAAGGTCGGATACACCACTGAGAAGGAAGCCGGTACCAAGCTTTTTGTTGCGCAGAAGTTTATAGAAGAAGAAGCTGAGGGCAAGGGTACTACCCAGGTCTATAAGCGAATCTGCTGCATGGCAGTCCGTTCATGGTGGGTTGCCCGCGAGTAATCGGCCTTCTTGAATGAGCCCTGGCCTGGAATCGCTTCGGCACCCTTTCTCTTCTCTCATTCTTTTTCTCTTTCTCTCGCACCTCTTTCTGAGAACGGCCATCTTTACATTCAGGCCTGCGAACATGAAGAAGTTGTTCGCATTGATTTTAAAAAGCATCATGGTTCAGGCGTTGCCTTTTGGATGAGTTGACTTCGGCACTTGCTTTTGGTTTGATTTTCTTCTTCCATCGTGGCTCGGGGGACTGTGCAGCGAGTGAGCACTGCAACACGGCGTTTCTTGGCCTTTCCTTTCCCCGGACCAATTCCTGTCTGCATATCTCCCTTCTTTCTCTCGCGGGAGTTCCATACCCTGTGGCGATCTATATTCTAGATCAGCTCACCTTGATCAGTTGATATTTGAAAATAAAAAGACAACTTAGTAAATTTCAAAACCCTTTTCATCCATCTAGGAACAAACTCAAGAAGAGTTTTTCATTATGCAATATATCGTAAGCATTATCATCCGCTTCAGTCTATATACAGGCACTATACAATAGGCACCTCAATCCTGATTTTCATCTCGCCACTAGTTCCCTGAAATAAGAAGCCTATATCTCGCGTTGACTCCACCAGCTCAACTTCCCTCCTCACGAACCGGCTCATGCCCCCCGATGGTGTTGGAGCTGGTGCTTGAACTTCATCGTCACTGTCTTCGCTCCAATCGCCGGCGGCCGCGTCCCCGGTTGACTTTTCAATGGGATCCCACTCATCAGTTTCCCAGAAAAGACTGAAACCATACGGAGGAAGGTCGAATAGTCGAGAAACGAGAGCTTTCACCTGATACGCGTCGAAAGACGTCGGGATTTCCTTTGTACAGAATTGCGAGTCCGAGAGCCGGAATACCATCTTGACCACCCGCGCCGCAACGGATCGGGGATGGATCAGTCTTCTGCCGGAGCCATCGTCCTCTACAGCCCTGGTAACTGTGGGTTCTCCGTATAGTTCACACAGTTCGCTGTAGCGGGGGTGGGTGGCGAGAACACCAGCTTCTTCTGCTTCGGAGGTGGCAGTGAGCTCTTTGCCGATGAGAGAGAGGTAGTACATTTCAGCATTTGAGCGATCCTGTGGCGATATTGTGCTGAAATTAAGAGTGCAGAGAGATGGGGGGAAACGGGATAGAGTGAGCATGAATCCCTCGTCCACTGTCATGGGCTTGGAGGCGCTCATTGTTGATGTGGCAGCTGCGATGGCAGGAGGAAGAGGAGGCTGATCGTATAGAGGATTGCTCGAGATGCGAAGAGTCGTAATACCTGGGAAAAGAGTCGGAAGACTATTAAGGAATGTCCATGATGAGATATCGTTTCGTGAGAGATCAACAGAGTAGACAGATGCCGGGAATTGGAAGTCTAGGGTTGGGGATTTCGGATCGTCCGTGATAGTGCTGATGTTATTTCCTCGCAAGGAGATGTGTTCGAGAGTTGGAATCCCTGCAAGATGACGAATGGAAGACAGAGATGTGATGTTATTGTGTTCAAGGGTCAGGGATGTGATGGCGCTGGCAAGGGGGCGAGGTATCGTGCCGAGTTGGTTGCCAGACGCTATGAGAGACGCGAGTGTAGGAAAGCGAGATGCCAATTCAGCAATCTATGCATCAATTGATTAGCACTGAAAAAAATTTTGGACTTGAATTTTCTGCCTACCTCATTCCAGCTAAGAAGGGTTTCTTCCAAATGTAAATCGGTGATGCCGTCAAAGACCAACCCATCTTCCAGAGGATGGAAACGATTTCCACTGTTTCTAAATCAGCACCAATTCGGACGGCAGATTTCATAAAAAGAAGGATCCAGAGATTTACGTACTTCACTTTCAACTTTTTAAGCCTTTTCAGCTGGTTGCAGATCTCCCAAACGTTGCGCCAACTATTCAATAGACTGCGGCTGAGATCCAACTCGATGATCCTGGGACATGTAGTTGCAATATTTTGAGCAGACTTGCGAACTTGATCTTCAGGTTGCTCGTACGATGGAAGTACGCCCGCAATACGTAGTCCATCTAGGAGAACGATGCGCAATTCCTGCAGCTCTGCAAGTTGCCTGCGAATCTTATCAAAGCCGACCTCCTCAACGACCTTGCCGCTGATCTCAATGGCCCTTTGGGTGGGCGTTTCAGCTGGCTTAGATGTCCATACAAGCTGCGACTCGTATTCCGAGGCATATTTTTCTCGCAAGCCTTCCACGAAGCTGCGCGGCGGTTCTGATGGCCTGGAGGGGCGTACGAAAGACCCCGCCGTGGGGTGATTGCTTTTGCCTGTCAACTGTGTAAGTGACTGGTCTATGATGGATTGAGCGGAACTCAATTGGTTTCAGTAATGCAGACATTCAAAATATCGCACGCCCTTGTGCTCTCCTGAGTGTTTTCCTCTGGTCGGATCGTCCCATTCAATGCCCAGCCAGGTGCCGCTTGTGCCTTCAACAGCGCCCACATAGCGAATGGTACAAAGCTGACCGTCGAAGGACCGACGCTGACCTACTAACGAGACAGCCATCTTCCAGGGCGAGTTAAGGGCCCTATATGGCACTTGATGAGGTGATATCTGATATCTTGCATTACGTTGTGTACCTTGGATACAGCGACTTCCGCGGTGCTTATGTAACCCCGACTTCTTTACCTTTCAGGATCAGAAACCTCCTATGCCGGCTTGTCATCTGCACCTTTCGGATTGACTGCCATAAGATGGATTTCCAGGTACGTTTTATACTATTTTATCGGACAAGTCCCTTGGATGTGCTCAATACAAGATGCTAATTTCTTCCAGAACCGAGCAGGCTCCAAGTTCGGCGGCGGCGGTGTCGCCTCCCAATCCGCAACCAATGCAGACCGTCGCGAACGTCTTCGCAAGCTCGCGTTGGAAACAATTGACCTCGATAAAGATCCATACTTCTTCAAGAACCATGTCGGCAGCTTCGAGTGCCGCCTCTGTCTCACAGTCCACCAAAATGATGGCTCCTACCTCGCTCACACCCAGGGCCGCAAGCACCAGACCAACCTCGCCCGCCGCGCCGCCCGCGAGCAGCGCGAGAACAAAAATCAGGACCCGGCCTCTCTCCCGGGGGCTATGGGCGTGCAGGTCAAGAAGCAGACTATCAAGATTGGCCGGCCGGGATACAAAATCACCAAGATTCGGGACCCCTTGACGCGACAGACCGGCCTCCTCTTCCAGCTACAGTTTCAGGAGATCACACCAGGCGTGATGCCGCGCGTGCGTTTCATGTCGGCGTATGAGCAGAAGGTTGAAGACCCGGATAAGAACTTCCAGTACCTGATTGTTGCGGCGGAGCCGTATCAGAGCTGCGCGTTCAAGCTCCAGGCCAAGGAGATTGATCGCCGGGATGGTAGATATTGGACCTGGTTTGATGAAGACAGCAAGGAGTTTTGGTTGCAAATTATGTTCAAGACTGAGCGTGAGGAGCGATTCAGTGGTGTGCCTGGATTGGCGCCCCTACGGACGTGATCGGTCTTATACTCAGTTTCATTGTGGTGTGACCAGTTTCTTTTCTTTCTTTCTTAATCAACGATAAAAGACGACGGCTGTGTCTTTGGTGGGACAGGAGCACTGGCGTTTGGAAATTTTCTTTCATGTCTATACTCTTCATACGAACCTCGAGCGATAGCATTGCTTAAATTAAGGCCTTGGCGATTTGTACTCTCGCAACAACTGCTTTTTACTCCTAAAATAGCGCTTTGAATACCCTCCTTCCCCCGACTTGGATGCTCTAGCAGGTAGTAGTATGTTATCAGATCGATATTCTAGGATTTACCGGATTCATCGTGGTCTAAGCTCATGTATATCATAGGGGAGGATCTTTTTGCTTTCTGAAATAGACTATGAGATGCAAATCACGTGAAATGCAACGAAATATCTGGTCCTCTACAAAACCGCCCATTCTCCGGTGGACAATAGGAGATGCGTATCACAAGTACTGCCCAAAAGGGCTTTAGACATCGACAACAAAAACCAAAAGACGGCGCTCGGGGTCATGATTCGGAAAGCATCGCGCTGATATGCTGAATAATGATTCGTGGGGAAGAGATGAAACATTCCATGCTTCGGCCAGGGAAGGATCTATGAAAAAGATGTGGATGCAAGCCCCGCCTGCTTCTCAACTCATCCGATGCATAGAAGCCACCAGTGACGAATTCTCAAAAAGAAATTGTGACCGAGATTAACTTCCCTGGAAAGCATTAAAGGCCTTGTAGGTATAACCGATGAAAGGCAGACTCATCTCGGCTTCCTGAGACTCCGGCATAGCCCGGGCCTGAGCACGGTGGATGGCACTGGTATCTTCCTGAGGAATCTCATCGATAGGGAAGTATGAGACATCGATGTTGGAGCTCAGTCTCGGCTCGAATGGGGCACGGATATTCCGCAATTGCTCCCACACCACGCCACGGAAGAAGGGGTGGTTCTTGATCTGAGTTGCACCACCATGTTGGCCGCCTTCGCTGCCGATACGGTGCTCGGGGTCGCACAAGAAGCTAATGATTTCAGTCAGCATTCTACATTTTCACTATTCCTAGTCTCAACGAAATGAAAGAACTTACCTTCGAATCAATGACTCTGACTCACGAGAGAGGACCAGCTCATCCGGGAAATAAAGGCATTCACGCCAGTTCACGATCTTGCGGTAGGTGTCGGTGGTATCTTCGGCGCAAAATGGCGGCCAACCAACCAGACACTCGAACATAATGGCACCAACAGACCACCAATCACACAGGTATGTGTAACCTTGACCATTGAAGATTTCAGGTGCGATATAGTCGGGTGTACCAACGGTGGAGTACGCCATGGCACGACGAGACTTTCGCCAGGTGTTGATTTGACCACGGTTTGAGACTGTCAAGTTGATGGCATCATTGAAGTAGCCCGAGTTGCGATTTCGGTCCTTTGATGTTGAATTCTTGAGAAGGTTCTGGTAATAGGCGTTGTCGTGGGTCTTCTTGCCACCAGTAGACAGACCGAAATCAGTGAGCTTAACATGACCACCACGGTCGAGAAGAATATTGTCCGGTTTGATATCACTAGTGGTTATTTGTTAGCGTTGAGGGTCCTTGGGTTGAAGCTATAATCCCACAGTTGGGTCTCAGGAAACCGGTCGGATCCCCGAGGCTGAGAGTTACGTACCGATGAAGGAAGCCAAGTTTGTGGACGGCCTCAATAGCCATGACCACTTCGGCCATATAGAAGCGAGTGATGTCCTCGGAGAAAATTTCGTACTTGATGAGCATGGTCATCAAATCACCACCAGGTAAGAACTCCATGAGCAGGTAGAGGTAAGCGGAGTCCTGGAAAGAGGCATGCAGCTTCACCAGCCATGGGTTGTCCTTGGAGTCAGCCAAGATATCACGCTCGGCCCGAACGTGTGCCAACTGATCCTTCTTGAACATCTCGGTCTTGATCAAAGACTTGAGAGCATAGATCTTGCCATCGGTCTTGCGTTGCACCAGTTTGACCTCACCAAACGCACCCTTGCCAATGATTTTAATGGTCTGGAAGTTCTGCGGGGTCTCCTTGGTCCGAAGGAATCGGAGGAAGTCTGACTCCTTCTTTGAGATCGATTCAGCTTCCTGGCGCTTGTTGTCCGCGGCAACGTTGGAGTCTCGAAGCGTCTTATCAAGGTCGACGGAACTATCAGATACCAAGGATTAGTTTCCAGGTCAAGTGGAGGCAGGCTATACTTTGACTTCGTCGTGGAGGGCACGAAAGAATAGTACTTAGTACTTACCGCATGTTGCGATCTCTGGCGCGCTCAATGTTCTCATGGAAGAACACCGTAACCAGCTCCTTTGCGGCCTTGCCCCGCTTGTGCACATTTTCTGAGTATCGATCCGGGAAGCGCTGCAGTTCCTCGTTCTCCGCTGGGGGTCGAGGGCTGCGAGGCACTGGGGGGGCCAGATGCGCCGCCTGGGCCTGACCCTGAGCAGGAGAGCCCCCGGCCGTGCGAGGGCGTTGGCCGGGGGAGTTCGTACGACCGAAGAAGCCCCCACGGTTGGCGTTGAGGTCTTGGTTGGAGAACTGCTGGATCAAACCGTTGGTTCCGTCGTTGGCGTAGCCCATGCGAGTCTGATATGCTGGCTGGGGCGATTGCAGGGCCTGCTGCTGCGCGTATTGTTGCTGTTGCTGCTGTTGCTGTTGCTGCTGCTGAGCATACTGGGCTTGCTGGGTATACGGACTGGCCACGAAGTAGCCCGGGGCATAGGCAGGGTTAGAGGGATCAACGTATTCCTGGGCCCCCTGAGTCTGGTAGATGGGTTGGGGGAATGCGGAGGGGGTGGTGGGATAGGCACGGCTGTTGGCCGCGTTGTAGTTGCGGTCATTGTACCCGTAATTCATATTCATGCGGTTGTTATTGTTGTTGGGATCCATCTTGACGGTGGCCCCGACTCCCTGGCGATCGAGGGAGAAATTGAACGGTGGATGGGGAGGATGGAGAAGAGAAAGTGGATGGGAAAGGAGAAGGCGGGGAGATGTGAAAGGAGCGGTGGCTGCTGCTCAGGAGGCCATCCGCCCCTTGTGTTTCTTATTCAAACTTGCCCCTGGTTCTCTTGTCCGGCGCGGGGAAGTCCGTCTACTGGTCGACTACAATGGCTGAAACAGCCAGGCTTGGGCTCTTTCTACAAAACTATACGGACGAAAAAATCGTGGTTGGAGGGGTATATTTCGGGCCAGCAGTTGATCTGGCTCAGGACCATATTTGCTGTCTTCTAGCCCCGTTGTAATGGTGCACAATACCAACCTCTCAACCGTCATCAAATCAAGGAAGTTGAGAAATAGAGTACAGACGCCGACTGGGCGAGCTGAAAGGTTCCGGGGTAGCGCATTCCAGTTGGGTTGTCAACACGATCAAGAATTTTAGCGCAACGAGCAGGGTCTCGGGGGGCTTTGACACCAATGCGGTCCGATTGAATTCTCCTTTTCACCGTCAAAATTGGGGATCAGTCGGACGATGACTTTTACCTTGTGTTAGAAAAACAAATAGACAGGGTAGAATAGACATGATCTATATTCTTTGTAGCTCCACAATCTGAAATTCTCTAGGGCTTCGCTGGCGACGGAGCAGGATTTAGTTTGACGGCCACTCAGTATATAGCGCACGTGACACGGGGATCTTCCGGCCCGACTTTTTTTCTGGGATTCGCCGCCTGTTCGCCGCTGCTATTGCTGTATTGAAACCCTCACTCACAATGGCGGACAGTTCCAGCTCGAGTGCCCCGGCTGCGGCCACAGGAGGCACCGGCAAGCCCCAGGCGGCTCCCAGACCACCCAACCCGGTGTTCAAAATGATGGGTATGGACTCCATTCCACTCGTCTGGTCCCTTCGGACACTCCCTCGGAGGTCCTGTCCAGGAGATACTAATGTAATACAATGACCCAGGCATGCCGAATATCCGCTTCAAACTGCCATCCCGGAATTGGATGATCTTCTTCACCATCACGGGTTCCTTTGCCGGCGCGCTGATCTACGACCGTCGGGAAAAGCGCCGCGCGCAAAAGAAATGGTGTGAGCTCGTGGCTCATCTTGCTGATGAGCCACTGGCGGTGGAGCAGATGCGTCGCAAGTTGACGGTCTATCTGGCTGCTCCTCCTGGTGATGGGTTACGTGTCGCTCGCGACCACTTCAAGGAATACGTCAAGCCTATCTTGACCGCCGCGGCCTTGGACTATACGGTGATTGAGGGTCGACGGGAAGGTGATGTGAGAGTAGGAACCGCTGAGAGCATTCGAAAATTGCGGCGAAAGGCAGGCGAGTCGAGCGCAACCGTCGAGGAGCCCACGGTGGACAGCGCAGTGGCTGAGATGCGTGAGCGTATCGGCATTCATGACGAGCCGGGTCCCAAGGGTGACATCGTGATCGGCCGGCATACTTGGAAAGAGTATATTCGAGGTCTGCATGAGGGCTGGCTGGGTCCTTTGGATCCTCCTACTCCATCTCCTGGGCCATCTTCTGAGCCATCTCCTGCACCCGAAGCTGCTACCCCCGAGACATCTAAACCTCAGGTAGAGATTACGGCTGCAGAGTCGTTGGAAGAGACCATGAAAGACGTTGCAGCTGGTGATCAACCGTCAGAGGAGCAGGCCAGCACAGAGAAGACGCCTGAAGATGAGAAAAAAAGGAAGAAGAGAAGCCCGCAAAGCCTTCCGGTCCTAAGGACGCCTATATTTATCCCGCCGAATATCCATCCGCCAACCTTCCTCGCTCTATTCCCCAGTCTTTCGACAGCTCCGTTCCCATCGAATTTCCCCACCTTCTTGGATTTTTGAACACTCCAATCCGCATTTACCGCTATCTCAATCAACGACATGTCGCCGAGAACGTTGGCCGTGAAGTTGCAGGCCTCGTTCTTGCCTCCAGCTCCCGGTCCTACCGCAACGAATCCTTCAGTCAAGACTCCGAGCTGAGCGGAGTCACCGTCGACCTGACTCCATCCTCCGACGACGGCTCGTTCACCGACGTTGCCCGCGGTAACCTCGAGCAACAGACCATTCTGGAGAACGCAGAGAAAGAGTGGCACAAGTCCGTGTACAAACGCGACGATGAGGACAAAGAACGCGAGTGGCTAGACGACGTGATCCTGGACCCGCGGATTGCTTCTCGCATGCAACTTTCCATTCTCTCGCCCGAGGATGAGGCCCGCGCCCAGCGCATCGGGGAAGAAAATGAATATATTCTCGGCAGGGAGCGGCCCGTGCCTGTCGCTTTCTGGCAGCGCATGTGGATCAAATATGGCTATGGCGAGGATGAGGAGACACTGAAGAAGAAGCCGATCCTCGGCAACATTGATAGCGAGGACAGTTCTTGAGTGCTGAAATTGTGTGCAGCGTGTGTATCATAATAGATGGGCTATGAGAGTTCTTTTTTCTTTTCTCCCCTTGCACCAGGATGGCATTGAGGCTGTCATTTTTTGTTTATTTTGCATATCCAACCACCTCCCTCCTCGGCTTGTATATTAGTTTTAGAGGCGTCTGTTTTATTATTCATCGTGAGAGAGCATAGACGATGCGTGCAATATAACCCCTTTTCACCTTGTTTCTCCATGCAAGATTGTATAAGTTCATGCTGTGTAGGATTCTATGACTTTCAAGCTACAGTAGAATCTTGGACAAAAATACTTGTACATTCACTTTCTTCTGTATAGGTTTTTCTGGTTGAAACTGACTCGTGTCAAGAATATAGTCACCCATCAAGTTGTCTATTTTCTGTCCCAAAATTTCTTCCTCAGAAGTATTCGTCACCAGCTTTTTGGTCAGTGGGAAATTTGATGTAGGCCTCAACCAATGCAGTTATGACCATCAAAGTCCACTTGGCTTGTCTGGGAGCGTGATGGATGGAGAGCCCAGGGCTTGTAGTTTGTAATTGCTTCGAAAGCTCAGTTCAGCTGGAAAACGGAAGATTCGGGCCACTTCTTATTCGCCTTCTGGACGTAGGCGGTCTTGTCACAGCTGAACTTGTTGAACAACTCGAAAGCGGCGGCAGCTTCGTCAATGGTAATGCTGGAAGAGTCAAGGGTGGCAAGCAATTCTTTCTCGCACTGCGGCTTGGAGTCCGGCTTCAGGAGTTGGCGGGCAGACAAGGCAGCGTGCACATGAGTAGCACTGGCCTTGTTGGCCGAAAGGTAAGACTCATTCCACTCCTCCAGGTTCTGAGATTTAGGAAGAAGTTTCTCGAATTCGGCATTGACAACCTCGGCGGTTTGAGCCGGGAGGGGCTCAGACAGGTTATCAAGAGCCTTGCGGAATCGCAAAAGCTGGAGGTGAAGAGTAGGGTTAGAGGGGTCTATAGCATGTGCTGCCGACAGACTCTTGAGAGCAAGCAAGTGCTTTTCTATGATGTGGATGCACATTAGCCCTATGCAAAATGAGGACATTCAGCTGCCGAAAACTTACCTTTACGAATATAAACCTCGAAACCGAGGCATTGGGCCTCGATGTTCTGGGCACTGAGATCGAGGAGGGGTGTCAAGAACTTCATGACGTCCTTGAGAGGCTCCTTGGTCTGAACAAGAGTATTGCCAAGGGGATCCGCGTCCTCTTTCTTGACCTCTCCATCAGCGCCCTTGGCGTTGGCAGCAGCAGCCTTCCGGGCTTCGCGCTTGTCGGCCTCGATCTTTTCCAGACGCTGTTGCTCCTTCTTGGCCTTCTTGAGGGCCTTCTTGCGCTCTGCATCATCTTGACCATCAGCACCGTTCACCTCAGTGATAGGGCCATGAGCCAGGTCGGGCTGGTCATTGAGAAGCAGGTATGCCTGGACGGCAGAGAGGGCCATCCGCGAGTAGAAGGGGTGGTCACGAAGACGGTCCTCCCAGCGGACCATATCGACATACGCGCGGATCATACCCTTCCTAAGGGAGAAGCTATGGAAGTCGAATTGGTCCTCCTGCCAGGTGTCAAAGATGGTGTTGACAGCGTGAAAACGCTTAAGCGCCAGGCCCAGCTTCTTCTGACGCAGATAGGATTCGCCATCCTCGGTCAGATACCACACACACTGCATCTCATGCAGATCACCCAAAGCTCCGCCGACAGTCTCGTTGCGTGTGAACTTGCTCATGTTGTCCAACGCCTTGTCATTCTCGTCGTTGCGGAGCTGATACTTCGCGGCCTTGGTGTTAATGTACCGATCCTTCTCGTCCAGAAGACGGGCCTTCTCCATCTCCTCCGCCGCCTTCACAGAGTTTCCGTAGTGCTTCCAGATACGGGCCTTGGTCATCTGGTACTCCACAGCCTTGGGGAAAGCTCAATAGCCTTGTCTACCATTTCCATGGCCTTGGTGAGGTTACGGCTGAGGTGATAGTTGTAATGCTGAGCAAGGAAATAGTAAGATGAAGCTAGGAACTCATCCTTGCCCTCAGCAGAGCCATTTTGCTGGGAGGTGGACTTGCCGGAGATATAGCCCTCCACCAACGCTTGGACGGTATCACGCTTGGCAGGGTTGGAGTAAAGGAGCTTGATGTTGGCAAATAGAGACGGAACACCCTTTTTGAGCATACGCTGCATATAGGCATCGACGGCCTGCTTGAAATCTTCCCCTTCAAGGAAATCGAGAGGAATGCGACGAGCTGCATCACCTCGGGGGTTCTTCTCCACCCACTCATCGTACAATGCCTTTAGAGCTTTCTGGTCATTCTCCGGGATACCCTTGGCCTGGATCAAGCCATTGTAGTAAATAGAATTCTCAGGGTTGCGCTCCAAAAGGGCAGTGTAGGCCGCCTCGGCCTCGGCTTTGCGGCCAAGTCGCAGGAGGTAATCCGCCTTCATTTCCATGACTGCGAGAACATCTGTACACCGGTAACCGACCTTCTCGAGGTGCTCCAGAGCCCGCTCGATATTTCCAGTCTCTGCAATGATTGTGTTCTTATACAAGCAAGCCTCAGAGTGTTCCATATCCGCCACGGGTGGAGTTCCCTTCAAAGTATCCTCAAATGTTGTTAAAACCTTCTCGGCTTCCTCCAAATCTCCTGACAAATGGTGAGCGATCGCCAAAGCTGTCCAATTTTGGCGAAATCCTGGCCGGGCTTGCAGCATCGCGCTTCGGCTCTGGATGTATCCTTGGAAGTCCCGCATCTGTATTTGAAGGAGTGCAAGGTCGCGCTGAATAGGCTGGGATTCAGGTTCGAGGCGAAGGGCGAAGCGGTAAGCTTTGATCGCCTCCTCGTAGTTCTTCTCCTGTCGGTATAGTAATCCGTACACGTGCCAGCAGATGTGCGACTTCATGTCGTTCCGCAAGGCTTCCTTGGCCAACACAAAAGCCTCCTCCAACTGGCCCATATTGCTCATGATAAGAGCCTTCATCGCCTGTGTATCGCCATGATTAGGGTTCTTACGAAGAACCTGCTCTGCCGTTTTGATGCCTGCGCGATGAAAAGGGTATTAGCTAAGCGCCGAGCGAATGACAGGAGGAGCAGGTAAACCTTTCTTGTATTGCTTAAGCTCAAAGTTGCGAACCACTTGACGGAACAAGGCCTGGTCCTTGGAGCTCAATGGTTGCGGCATGATGGGCGGTGCTGGGGGAAAGATTGACTTGTGCGAAGGAGGAATCGATGTGTGCGGGGAGCGACTTCTCCGAGTCCGACCTTGGCAGAACGACTGGGCCGATAAGATAGTCGATCCTGCGATTCTGCTACTCCAACAGCGACAATGACCCAACAAATGTGATAGAAGGATTCCAACTCTTTCCGACCATACTGTTGGTATCCGGGCGCTTGAATTCGAGAAGCCTGGAAATCAATGTGACCGCCCAAAACCTGGCGCTTGGTGTAACCAGGACGAGGCTGTCGAGGAAACTTTTGCCCTACGCCGCACTGAGGGATATCTCCACATGCCTGGGCTTTCCTGCATCGTGACTTCTAATCTGCCAGAGTCCTTTTGGTTACGGAAAGTCGAAACAATATAGTCATATCGTACAATTCATCAAGCTGACGCCACCTATAAATATGCAGTAATGTACATTTGGGAACAACACAAGTCCAGTATAGAGAGGGTAAAAGGTCGAGAGAATGCTATTCACAACCAGGCTACACACGCATACGCATGTGCATACATGCGCTATGATCTGTCCACCCCGACGAGTCTTCACGGTCGATGACTCTTCCGCCAATTGTCGAGGGCCTCTTCCCAAGACACTGAAGAGCCCCCACATCTTTCACTCACCAAGCCCCATGTTCGCATCCGAATGATTTCCTCCACTGTGCGCTGGTTCCGAATGAGGTTTGCTAGCGATTCAGTTCGTGCCTCTCGAGGGAAAAATCGAGCTGAGTATGGATCTAGTCTCTCATTGACAACGCGCTCGCGGTCCCGTGCGGATTCTGTTTCTCGAAGGATCAAATCGGGGTCTTCAGGATCTGGACTGGTCGCCACGCCGGCACAGTAATTCAGAACATCCGATCGAGTCTGCCATGATGAAAAGAGCACGTTATCCTTAAAGCCCTGACAAGCCGCAGAATCGATCGTTTTCTGAGTCCCAGAATCCGTTTGCCGGGCCGCAGTAGAGGATGGATCAAAGCCCGCACGAGCAGGAGTCACCAAGGCATTTAAATTCTGCGCAATCGAGTCATCTATTGTAGACCGAGACAAGCGAAGGAAGTCTAAAGTCAATGCTGGGGTTAGATTGAACAAACAGTGTAGACTCGGCTTGCCAACTGACCTCGGAGTAGTTTTTCATCGAAGCAGAACTGAGGTGTCAGCACAGGGGCCTCTGTGGTTGAGGATAGTGACATTTTTGTGCTGTACCCCCCCCTCAGAACCTCGATTCGTTTTGCTAGCCCAGAACCACTCCAGCTTGGACGGAAATCGAATGAGTGGTGGCAAGGGCGGAAAGGGAAGTAAGGAAAATATGGGCTAAGCCTCTAATGCTTCGGATTGAATAGGCTATGCACCACAAGAGCTTGTTGAGCTAGCTTCCCAGTGAAAGCAGTGTTTAGAGAATTCAACGCCTTGATGAAGTTGTAGCTCTTGCATCTTCGCAGCCTCTCAGCGCAAATGATGTCTTAATCAGGACTAGCTCGTTAGCTGATTAATTATCGATAATGGCATCATGTGATCTCGTGTCGCGCGTTAAGATGGGGCGTGTTGAAGCTGAATGCTAGCTCCCTTGAATGTTACTTATACATACAGGCATCCAAACCTCATTTTCTATACTTTCATCGCTAAATTTGTGAATATCAGAACGCAATGCCCGAGCTTGCAGAAGTTGCGCGCATTGTGCATTTTATTCGGCAGCACTTGGTTGGGAAGACCCTCTCGAAGGTACAAGCGCAACACGATGATATCGTTTATGGGAAAGTTGGCACAACAGCTGCAGAATTTCAAAAAGCTATGCAAGGGAAGAAAATAGTAGGAGCTGGTCAGCAAGGAAAATATTTTTGGATCACAATGTCATCACCACCGCACGCAGTCATGCATTTTGGCATGGCGGGCTGGTTGAAAATCAAGGATGCCGACACATATTACTACCGATCTGACAAGCCTGCCGACAAGGAGTGGCCACCCAAGTACTGGAAGTTCCTGCTGGAGACGAGCGATGACCCAGCAACAGAGGCTGCATTCGTGGACCCTCGCCGACTCAGCCGTATACGATTAGTCGATTGCCCGGCTCACGAAATCCGGAAATACACGCCTCTGAAGGAAAACGGCCCGGACCCTGTTGCAGACAAGGACATTGTCACGGAGACATGGTTGATGGACAAGTTGAAGAGCAGAAAGGTGCCTATTAAGGCCCTTTTGCTGGATCAGGCCAATATCAGTGGAATTGGGAATTGGATGGGGTAAGATATGATTTTGGTCTTTTTTCTAAACCTCGCCTATCTGTGGTTCTAACACGTACCCTAGTGACGAGATTTTATATCATGCAAAAATCCACCCTGAACAGTATAGCAACACTCTGAATAATGACCAAATAAAGGAACTCAACACCTCTATTCATTATGTTTGTTCTACAGCCCTCGAAGTACTGGCGGACTCGGAAAAATTCCCAGAGCACTGGCTTTTCAAACATCGATGGGGAAAGGGAAAGAAGAACCAACCAGCAGCTCTGCCAAATGGAGACAAAATCACATTCCTCACAGTTGGCGGCCGTACAAGCGCTGTTGTTCCAGCAGTCCAGAAGAAAACCGGAGCTGTTGCGAAAGAAATTGACGAAGAAGCCTCTGACATCAAGTCCGCCTCGAAGAGAAAGCGTGTTGTGAAGCAGGAAAGTGATACGGAGGACGAAATTTCGGAGCCGAAAAGCCGTTCGCAAAAGAAGACCGCCGGTAGAAATGTGAAAAAGGAGGGAGCCGAATCGAAACCAAGTACAGAGTCGCTCGGAAGGCGTCGCTCTACCCGGTCACGGAACTGAGGCTCTGTAGGTAAGGTATTATGAAATATCTTGATTTCCACACTAAGTATAGTATCCTGCAAGTTCCCTTTGGTCAGACATCTTCTGGATAGTATTGAGCATCTATTGAATGGTGATGAATATATTTTCTTTAACAAAAAACTAACGACAACCTCTGTCGGATAAGCTCTGGCCACTCTTCCTTCCCTTATGGGGTTATAAATAAAACAGATCCTGAAGTAGATGCTGTATAACTATAGACCGCTCCTAATGCACTATGCCGAGAAAAATGACTTTATAAACTAAGTTCTTCCTACGGGACCACAAGAGCAATGCTATCCATCATTATATATTGTGCGAGGTGGTAAAAGGTTCGAAATAGCTTGAATTTCTACTACTGAGACGCATATAGAATGGAAATACAGTCTCTTCTGAGTGAATTTTTTTCACATCCTAATAAGGTGTAATTCAGGGCCAAAACGTTGAAAATCCTTGCCATCCTTATTGTCTAATACGGCGCATACAATCATTTCGAACCACCCTTAGAATTCGTTGTTTCGGAGTACCTTTGACCGGCATTTGGATACTTCTCCCGGTGGGTGGTGGAATACTCACACCCCAGAGCGCCGAGAATAAGTCTTCGATGGTGATTCATAATTCATAGCCGCTAAACGTAGAATGATGCTCATGTTGTCCTCCATGAGAGTTCGCTCTTTTGAATCACGGTAGAATGTTCGATTTGGCGTTAAGCCTAGGCGGCTCGTTGCTGCTAAGCTGATGGCACTGACTACAGGAAAACGCCCAGGGGCCGCCGTAAATAATCGTTGGCTTCATTTTCACTGAATATGGCGACCTGTAGGGGAGTAGATCATTCAAGAGACCCCAATGGATCTAATCACTGGGAGAGTTGACGACAGAGTACTGTGATGGTAGAGCTGCTCTTCTTGGGTTATGGTGCGCATCACTCCAGCCTCCTTAGTGTACTCATTGGCGAAATTGAGGATGCAGATCGGTTTGTCTGGAATCCTTGCGTCGCTGGGACTCCCGATAATGTCTTCACTAAAATAAAGTGCCAGGGAAGTATCCGAAATCTTCTTATTCAGAGCCGTGACCGGTGTTGTGGGCGAATGGGAAAAGAGGCTTGACATCCTTGGGCTTATAAGGATATACTTTTTCGAGCGGCTCATCTCGCAATACGTATTAAATGCCCAGGAGGGACACAAAAGGTTCTCTGTACGCTTTGACTCGTGCTGCTGTAGACTTTCAACATTCATCCCCCGTGTTGGGAATCTTCGAGTTGCGCCGAGTGCCGACCGCCGAAGCCATTATGGGAGTTGGATCGAGTGGATCTGGATGACGCTCTTGTTGAAGGCATCAATATTTGAGTTTAGAATTTTAGTCTTCATATAGAGGTGTGCCACCGAACTCAGGATGATGAAGTATGTTACTGTGTGATCGTGGAATCTATGTCGTTCGGCCACGAATACGTCGTCTGTGTCTTCCGGGTGAAGGGATTAATTAAGCACTTTTCAGGCCGACTCAACGTAATGTCAGATGTACTCTCCTCCTTAACTTGCAGCCCCTCTAAGTGTCCAAAGAGACCCAATTGGACATGGGACTGAAAGAAAATGCGGCCGAGAGAGGGCGAACTCAAAAAGATGCTGTAGTTCCACACCAGCCAATCATGGTGTCCGGCCGTGACTGCAGGCGGTCAAAGCTTATCGGAGCGATATCGCCACAGATGACAAAGCGCGCGACGCTCGTTGGTTCAAGTCCTCGTTCTTCTTTATTTCAGGAAGTCTTGCAGGTGTTGTAGGTTTCCTCCAGACCTATATCGAGAGGACTTTATCTTGCCATACCCTCGGTAATCAAGGACAAAGGCGTCTCAATACCATACTGAGCCCTTTCTATAGTGCGGGGTTCCTCTCGCCCAACGCGGCATCCCGCCACCATGAGTGCGATTCTGTCGGCAGACGATCTGAATGATTTCATTTCTCCAGGCGTCGCGTGCATCAAGCCTGTAGAGAACCTTCCGCAAAAGAGCTCAAAAGATCAGGAGGTCAGTATTCCCGGGATACATTTTTACTGGCCCTTATGAGCCTTTTTGACTGACTTCGAATATTTGGTAGAACTCATACGAAGTAACAACAGAAGATAAAGTTCAGCCAGAGACTCTCCCTCCGGCGCAAATTTCTTTGACAGATTGCCTTGCCTGTTCCGGCTGTGTCACCTCGGCTGAAGCGGTGCTGATATCCTTGCAATCTCACGCAGAGGTCCTGAACACCCTCGACGCCCATCCGGGAATTCCTTTTGTACAAGGACAGCATGGAACAGCACTCGGAAACATAGCCACCGATGGAGAGGGAAAGATTTTTGTCGCCAGCGTAAGCCCGCAAGTCAGAGCTGGCCTGGCTGCCACCTATGGGATCTCGGAAAAAGAGGCGGGATACATGATCGATCATTTCCTACGTGGGCCCCAAGGATTACGAGCAGGTGGAAAACATGGCAATGGCTTTACATGGGTTGTGGATACGAATGCCGCACGAGATGCCGTTTTGGTCCTCACTGCAGATGAGGTTTCCGAATCTATCACTGACCCGGGCTCGGTTGCCAGTGATTCGGAATTCGCTCTTCCCAAACGGCCGATTCTGTCATCTGCTTGTCCCGGGTGGATCTGCTATGCTGAAAAGACCCATCCATTTGTTCTCCCGCACTTGTCACGCTTGAAGTCTCCACAGGCGTTGTCTGGGACCTTCCTGAAAACAGTTTTGAGCAAGTCTCTCGGTGTTCCACCATCTAGCATCTGGCATCTGGCAATCATGCCATGTTTCGATAAGAAGCTGGAAGCCAGTCGTGAAGAGCTGACAGATGTGTCCTGGCAACTTCCTGGTAACCAAAGTAGCTTGGAACCGCATCAGCCAGTGCGGGATGTGGATTGTGTGATAACCACCCGCGAGCTACTCTCCCTGGCATCATCCCGAGGGATTTCATTGCCCAGTCTGCCACTGCAACCGCTTCCTTCCGATTCCACACTGCCATTCCCTGAAAAAGTACTTGACTTTTTCACATCCTCTCGGCATCCCTTCGCCGATCAATCCATTGAAACAGGTACATCTGGCGGGTATTTAAACCATGTTCTCAAGACCTTCGAAGCCCGGAACCCCGGAAGCAAGCTTGTGACAAACCGCGGGCGCAATGCGGATGTGGTCGAGTATATACTGATGTCTTCCGATAACCAGACCATATTGAAAGCGGCTAGGTACTATGGTTTTCGGAACATTCAGAATCTCGTCCGTAAATTAAAGCCCGCTCGAGCATCCAAGATGCCGGGAGCAAAGCCCATTGCTGCAGGGAGACGCCAGCCAATGTCCCGCAATACTGCCTCTAGCGGCTCATCGGGTTCTGACTATGCCTATGTGGAGGTCATGGCTTGTCCCGGTGGTTGCACCAACGGTGGCGGGCAAATTCGTGTCGAGGACGCCAGAGAGGCTACTGGATCTATGCTTGCAGCAGAGACTCCAAATGCTGATGCTGCGTCTAAGCCATCCCCTCACGAGCAGCGTGCTTGGCTTGCCCGTGTAGACGAGGCTTACTATTCGATGGACTCAGATACAGAGCTTGAATCGAATCAGCTTCAGACCGTCTCGCCCATAGATAAGGAAGCGCACATTCATGAGAAACTGCTTCACTGGTCGCAATTTATGGGTATTCCACTCTCCAAGTTGGTATATACAACCTATCGCAAAGTGGAAAGCGACGTGGGTAAAGAACAGCCCCAGAATAATGACACTCAACGAGTGGCTGAGCTTGCTGGGAAAATTGGTGGGGGGTGGTGAAACACTCACTTTCTGTGTTTATGTTCAATTGATCTACTGCATAGCGCCAGGATGCGCTTCCATCATTACATATCATCCGGGGATATACCAGTGGTTTGACTTTATGATCATTATTAACGGCGTTTTTGCTTTTGCTGTGTTGGATTTGAAAACTTGGATTTTTTCAGTCATCTCCTATAGATTTATCAAAGAATAGAATCAATCCTTTGGCAATAGTCAATCAACCTCAACAGTAGAGGGTTGAGTACTACGTACATGACAAACTTTTCTTCTCGAATACTCCATTGCCGCCTTTGGGGCTTTACAGCCTGAGGCATTAAGTTGACTCATCCACAGTCGATCTTCAAGTATTAGTCAGCGTCAGCCTCTCGCGGCAGAAAAAGAATCTCGCCGACTTGCGTATGATCCCCCATTTTCCATCGCCGACCCCTGCCTTTTTGTCGCATCGCACATTCGCAGAACGATCATCACGCCCGAGCTTTCGAGTTAAAAACCAGTTATTACCACAACCATGTCTCGTGAAGCTTACCAGGTCCCCATGGGTGGACAGAGCGGTTTCGGCGGCAATGAGGGCGGCTTCAGCTCCATGGCTATTGACAGCCCCTCGATCGCCTACCTCTGTGGCGAGTGCTCAGCTCGTGTGCCATTGAAGCGCGGCGACCAGATTCGGTGCAAGGACTGCGGACACCGCGTACTATACAAGGAGCGGACCAAGCGGTAAGACTGATCTGTTTTTCTCCCAATGTCTCTTTGATGACCACTCAGGCTGACTTTCTCTCTCGCTTGGGATAGCATGGTGCAATTTGAGGCTCGTTAAAATGTTTACCTCCTCGCATGTGAAATGAAATGTTCGGGCCTCTCGGAAAAAGCCTTGGACGGTGGGGGAGTTCGAAGGAAATGGACTCGAGTTATCTATTATCCTTTTTTTATTTTTCTTTTGTGAATATGCATCAAAAGGCGCTTTGGAGTTGCAAATATATCAACTAGCTTTCATGGAATACATGAGACTACAATTCTTATGGCTGAGCACAAATGGCTGCTGCAAAATGAAAGTTAGGCCCCGTATTTGCCAGTGTACATTTCCATTGCATTATCTTCTACCCTTTTTTTCTTGGATATCCCCTCCTTGTTAAACAACCGAAATGTGAAATATTTTCAACGAAATTCAAGTCCAGATCCTGGAGCCTCCACAGGGTACATGAGAAAAAAGAAGCATCCTGAGTTATCACAATTCAAAAATAGAACATAACATGACATCAAGCAAAGAGGTAGACTACCCCAAGGACTCGCGAGATGAACATATCGCAAACCCCGAAAAGCGATCAAGGATTAGGCTGATGAAAGCTTGTTGGTGACCGCAATGAAGCTCTCGAAACACTTCAGAGCTTGACCGCTCTCAATCGCCCAGCGAGCTCGGCGCAGGCCTTCCTTCCAGCGGCCACCACCGGGGCCACGCTCAGTGATCACCTTGCCGTCATCACCATGCCCCATGTCACTGGTATCGGCATCACAGATACCAGATGTGACTAGGAGAGCACCCACGTTCATCAAGACAAATTCCAGGATGGGATCATCCCGGGGCAATTCATTTCGAAGGATGCTCATGAGCTTAGCCGCATTGTCTTTTGGCATTTTGCGACCATAGACTTCAGTGAGAGGGTGGACAGGGAGGCCAAAGTCTGAGGGGTGAAGCTGGAAAGTATCAATTTTGACCAGTGTCTTGGGGTTCTCTCGCTCATCACAGGAGCATTCCTCATCATCATCATCAGATGGCTTGTAGTCCGGGTTGGGGTATTCTGAGATTCTCCAGCAGTTGGTTGGCCCAGCACAGCTGATCTCATCCATGTCTTCCTCACCACAGACGACAAGGGCTTTTTTGGCGCCGGCCTGCTTGAGAGCTTCAACGAAGACAGGACCAAGGCTCTGGTAGGCAACACCTACAACTCGGGCTTCAATAGCCCACTCAATGGGGTTGGCAAGAGGTCCCATAAGGTTGAAGATTGTTCGGAGACCTAGTCCACGACGGACAGGGTTGGCATACATCATTCCAGGGTGAAAGTTGGGGGCGAACAGGAAAGCATAGTTTGTCTCCTCGTAGACCTTGCTAATGTTGCTGGCATTGACGGCGGAGATGTTAGGGGGGATAGGCTGGACGGCATTGAGGACGTCGGCAGATCCGGAGAAAGAAGTTTGAGCACGGTTGCCATGCTTGGCTGTCATCAAAAGGGGAGAGGCAATGATGGAGGACGTTGTAGAGACATTGAAAGTCGAATGTGAATCTCCACCAGTCCCGACGATGTCACACTGGTAGAATTGAACACGTCAGCAAAGGGGAGAGAGCTTCAGAAGAATTGTATGAGACTTACCAAGCCTCCCTGGTAGGAGCCTTCACGTCTACCGCGAGCTTTGACAACCTTTCTCAGCTCGGTCTTCTCAATCTGGCAAGCAGCCTCTCGCATGCGGTTGGAGCATTTCGCAATCACATCCGCCTGTCTGTCCTTTCCTGTGGAATGAAGGAGGGTCAACAGAGCTGCAGTCTGAATATCTGACAACCGATCTTCGAAAATCAGAGCAAAAGCCGAAGCTATATCATCGGCAGAAACTCTGATTTCCGCTGTAGCGGGGTATGCCAGGCGTTGGAGCAGCGGCGAGATGGAGACAACCTCCGGCTTTTCGTGCTTGGGAGAAGCCATGATGGTGAAAGGAAAGTCAACTGTGACTCTTCTTCCGGGTGATGAATGCCAATTGTTACACAAATAAGCGAAGCGATACAAAAAAGCAAAAGAAATAGTTCCAGCCGTGACTCAATGTCCCTCATGCCGCCGCATCCATGTCCGGCAGAATATGTGACCGCCTCAATTCACGCCTTTCCTGTTTAGGGTTCAAAAAATATCACCCGTCAACCTGCCTTTGCATCCCCGGGGTCTTGTTGATCCATTTCACCCGCGCCTCACACACAATTTTCACAATGCCACCGAGGGTACCAATTTTGTCGCTTCGACGACAGGCTCTCCGGTGCCACAATGAGCTACGAATTGCCTCCCGGGCAGCCAGCACGGCTGCTGCTGCTTCTCCAGCAATCACCCCAGCTGCATCCATTGAGCAGATGACACACTCAAAAGCGCCGATTTCAAAGACTTCTCTTATTCAGCCACCGTCACACCGCAACCCGGAATATCGTCGGTCACAGCTCCTGCGTCAATATACCTCCCTTCTCCGTACCTCTCCTCTCATGGTGATCTTCCAGCACAACAACCTCAAATCCATGGAATGGGCCTCAATTCGACGAGAGTTGAACAAGGCTTTACAAAAGGTTGACCAGAAGATTGCAGCTGAAGGGCGAACTGCCCCGGAGCTGGCTCCCCATATTAAGCTTCAGACAATCCAAACCAGCATTTTCGAGGTTGCCGTGCGAATCGTCGAATACTTCCGGCCAACTGCGGCCTCCGGAAAGCCCCCAAGCGCCGTCGACCCTGTCACACAGACCTCTGCTGAATTGCCCCTGCACTCTGGATCCAAGGATGACCCATTCCTGAGCCATGATTTGTCTCGAGCTGCGCACGCAGCGGTGAAGCACCTGAAGGGCCGACACGAGCTCGCTGATATCCTAGTTGGACCCATCGCTGTTCTCTCCATTCCCGCCGTTTCCCCCGAACATATGAAGGCCGCCCTTTCAATCCTCACCCCTAAGGAGGCTGGCTTCCCTGCGCCTACGCGTAAAGGCAACCCCGACTACCACGACCCCATTGTCCAAACCGGCCTGCAGAAGATTAACCTTCTCGCGGCACGCGTGGATGGCGAGGTGTTTGATATCGATCAGACCAAGTGGGTTGGAAGCATCGAAGGTGGCATGGATGGCCTTCGCTCCCAGCTTGTCATGGCTTTGCAGAGCATGGGATCCAGCGTCACTAGCACCTTGGAAGGCGCTGGAAAGAGCTTGTATTTTACTATGGAGAGCCGGAGGAGCGTTCTGGAGGAAGAGCAGAAGCCCCAGGGCGACAAGGGCGAATCATCCTAAGTTTGCCGATGCCATTTTCATTCTTGTATAATAGGTCATACTGTTGGTCGTTCATCCTAGAGGATCTTAGCTTTTGTTTTTGCCTAAAATGGCTGTATACTGTGCGAGAAATACACCCCGGTGAAGTGATTCTAACCCGAAATTGGGGATGAATAAGTCTTTCAGAATTCAAAAACAAGACTATGTAGGTGTTAGAGCCTAGATACTGTCACATAAACGACCAATCCGTCCAACAATGTTTTGGACTAATTCTGTCTCAACTGCAGCTTGGCGTTCATGCCAACAATGCAGCGCACAAGATCCCAATCCCCATCCAAACCAACCCAGTCAGTCACCAGAATACCGGTTGAGCAATCGCCATCGTCATTTTTCTGCCGTCGGCAAATATAGTCAACGATGGCAGGGTTTACCTTGGCTGCAATTTTCTCAGGCCAGGTATTGGTTTTCCAGAAATTGCTTGCGCTGAGGAAGTTGATAAAGAAGGGATATTGCCGAGCCTCCTGTGGTCCGGGTAGCACGCCAAACGGATACCGAGCTTTACTCGCACGGTCAATTTGCTCCTTGACGAACTGGATCTTCTTCTCAATGTTGGTTGTTTCCTGAACCTCGTAGAAGTCCTGGATGCATAGCTGGCCACTGGGGCAAGTGGCATTGGGGGTATTATCCGCCCATGCAGCAGCATCGATGCCCCAGCCGTTACCACCATGTTCTTTCTTCAGGTCGTCGGGAAGGTTGAACCGGCGTATGAGGACTACTTTACCCCGAGCCTCACCCAGGGTGGGAGTCTTGGGCCGTACCCACCAGCGGCTGTCGGGACGGGCGTAGTGACGGGACAAGATGTGAGCGAGCTGCTCATCCTTGGCATTACCGGGGCCTTCGCGCTTGAGCGAGATGATTAGGGTCTCGGATGGATTGTGCTCAAGGAAATCGTTGACTTCCTTCATAAGATCGCGGAAATATTTATTGCCCGTGAGCGAGATGGGGAAGACACTGTGGACAAGGATCAATTCATCCTTGTTTGGGTCGTCGGGGTACTGAGGTTGGACTCGGATGTCGAAGAACCGCACTCCATTCCTCAGCTGTTCGCGAGGACTGACGGCCTGACAGCGAACCGACGGCGGCGCGATGAGGCATGTGGGCGAGTTATGCGTGCCGGGGATGGACAGGGCCGAGAGCAGGGTGCCATCGCGCAATTCACCCATCCAGGAATTGAGGTTCGCCGACGAGAAGATCGCGAGATGCGACTCGGGCGTCACATAGATGCCTGTGAGGCGGTGTTTGGGGTGCTCAGACTCGCAATTCATGGTCGCCGACTCAGTGGTCGGCACAGGAGTTTGGATCGAGTGCCGTTCGCCCTCAACCTCAAAGGTGAGTCGCATACGTTCCTTGTCAGAGTGGATAAACGCCTTTCGTTCAGTTTTCTTCGTCGTGAAAGGTTCAATATGAATATCCACGCCTTTCTGCTCGTCGAAGGGACGAGAGTCCGGAAGAATGGCCTTGACTGGCTCCGTGGCACGAGTGGTATTGGTGAGAACTCGAGTGAAGTTCATGGCCAGTGTGGCGATATCATCACCCCTTTTCTCCTTCGGTGCCTCGAAGCGCTCTATGCGCTTGAGGATGATAGGAGTGCTGGTGTTGTTGCGGATGGTGAGATGCTCGGCAACCATGGTGGATGGCGAGGGGGAGGAACCAGATGCTCCAAGTCTCGACAGGTGCTCAGCTAAGGATCAATGAAGACTCAATGGGAGATCTAGAGCTTGATAGACACGAAGTTGAAGAGCTGAGAGGTCCTGGGTCTTACCCCTCCACTGGATCTGCGGGCGATCGCCTATCGTGGAGCTCCCTCTCTTGGCGATCGAAGCTGATTCGAAGCTCACAGCAACCGAGGACGCTGAGATCCCAAGTTTCCCCATCGCCCCGTGTCAGGCACCAGCAATCCTGATTCGTACAGCAGTATTCTCCATCTTGTGGGACACATTGTAGTTGACTGGTGTGGATATTGGGGTATATATATATATATGCAGCTATATAAACCGGACAATATTTAGCATGTGGAGCTTGCCTGTCTGGGCTGCTGCAACGCTTTGATAGACACCATTGACGATATTTCTGGTTTGTTTTCTATCGCCATGAGGATTCTTGAGCCATACCGCAATAGTACCAGGCAGTAAAGGGGGCGCACTTCATGTATTGAACCGGGCCAGCTGCTAAACAGTGGGGACCCTCATTGAGCAGAGCCGGTTCGACTTTCCCACTTGAGGCCCAGTGTCGGCTAAACTGGTTGAACTCAATTCCTGGCTTCTGGACATGGTTTATAAACTAAAGTTGTCACAAATTAATCCGACCAAATGGATTTTGATTTAACTCAGTTAAGCATAACTAAGCCTCTTCGTTCATGAACAAGTTCTCTCCCCGCGACAAGAAATTAACTGCGACTCAAGTTGCCAAAGCCCAGGGTACTCATCGTGATTCGTCCAGACACATTGCATACATTGCGTGAATCAAGTGATAGTCACGATGGCCATCGCTCTTCCCTCTCTCCGCTGGGGAATCATTGGAACCGGGTTGATTTCTTCCCGGTTTGTGGCGGACCTTGTGATGGATCGGAAGGACAAACAGGCAAACCACATTATTCAAGCGATCGGCTCATCCTCCGTCACCAAGGGTCGAGACTTTGCGCATACTCATGCGCCCGGAACGGAGCCTACAGTCTACGGAAGCTACCAAGAACTATACGATGACCCTGAGGTTGAGATTGTCTACATTGGCACACCTCATGCGTTCCACAAGCAGAACTGCCTCGATGCTATTCATGCAGGGAAACATGTATTGTGCGAGAAGGCATTTGCGCTCAATGAGTCGGACGCTAAGGAAGTCTTCTTCGAGGCGGAGAAAAAGAACGTGTTTGTCATGGAAGCCATGTGGACTCGTTTTGTTCCCTTGGTCCGGACTTTGCAGAACCTACTGCATCACGAGAAGCGCATTGGGGATGTGCAGCGCGTGTTCTGCGACTTCTCAATGGTGATGAATCTTCAATCGCTACCGCTCACATCCCGGCTGCGAAATCCGGCCCTTGGTGCTGGAAGCTTGCTTGATATTGGTATTTACAGCGTGACATGGGTTCTCCTGGCCCTCGAAACTGAAGCCGGTCTGGATCGCCCGCGAATTGCTGCATCCCAGGACGTGCAAGATGGGATCGACCTTGCCACTTCTGCGATTATAAGCTATCCAGATGGAAGACAAGGGATTGCTACATGTTCGACAATGACCAAGACCCCCGCTTCTTTCTGTCGAATCGAGGGCAATAAAGGGACCATCACAGTGGAGGGGACTGCCGCGTCTGCTCCAGCCTCATTTACGCTTCAGTTATTGAACCAGGAACCCGAAAGATTCGAGTTCCAAGAAGCCGGCCGAGGATTCTACTGGGAAGCGGATGCGGTGGCCGTTGACATAGCGGCTGGAAGGAAAGAGAATGGGATTATGCCGTGGGCGGAAACATTACGTGTGATGGGCTTGTTGGATCAGATCAGGCATCAAGGACAGATGAAGGAGTTGGAACATTGAGCATTGAGATCTTAAAATTGAATCAGACCAAAAAGAGGGGTTTCCACCCCAATTCCCACTGTCCAGACCTCACTCCGAGTGCAAGGAACGGAATTCGAAATCCGCCCCCGCTCGCAATTCAATTCCAGGGAAACCTCAACAAGGCATATAAAGAACACAATTTATAACAGAACTGCGTAGTGAAGCCTTTACTCAACCGAATCATACTTTCATTCATCGCATCATGATCACAAACAATCTGGCTATAGGAAGCTTGTCGTTGGGACAACACCCTTCTCACTCTCTGGACCACAAAATCCATGTCGCGGCCCAGGCTGGCTACAAAGGAATTGAGGTCGTATTCTCGGATCTGGAGAGATATTCCGAAGCACATAAATTGCCATTGATGAAAGGCGCCGAGAGCATCAAGGAAATTTGCGACAGGGTTAACATTTCAATTCTCTCTTTGGCACCTTTCGAGAATTACGAGGGTGACAGATCTGCGCTGAGTGGCAGACTGCAAAAGGCATCTCGATGGATAAACATCGCGAGAATTCTCAAAGCACCCTACTTACAAGTCCCGGCTCATTACGGGGCCGATGCCATTGGCGATATTGATACAATTGTGTCTGAATTACAGCAGCTAGCAGATCTGGGAAGCTCGGATAAGCCGATCGTCTCAATTGCATACGAGCCTATGTCATGGTCAACCCACCACTCAACATGGGAATCATCGTTGCGCCTAGCGGATGCGGTTGATCGGCCAAATTTCGGTTTATGCCTCGATACGTTCCATATCATCACCAAGATCTGGGCGGATCCTTTCGCGTTATCGGGTAAATATCCCAACGCAGACAAGATACTGGACGAGTCCTTATCTCGCTTCGTACATCAATGCCCGCTCGATCGAATCTTCTTCGTCCAACTCTCTGATGGTGAAAGGTTTGACCCGCCTTTCTCAAAGAAACATGCATGGTATCTAGAAGGCGAAGCACCACAATTTACATGGTCTAAGCACGCACGCCCGTTCCCATATGAAGCCCATTTGGGAGCATACATGCCAGTGGCGGAAGTTGCAAGAGCTTGGATTGTTCAGAAAGGATATAAAGGTTGGGTTTCGATGGAGATATTTGACCGACGCATGCGAAGTAAGGATAGCCGACTGGAGCAGGCAGCATCGCGAGGCATTGAGTCGTGGAGAAGACTTCAGAATGAGCTTGATGTTCCGAAAACGAAGCTCTAGATCGGAGAATTCAAGCGAAGTTGCGGAATGACGCTAACTTTTTCTGATAAGGCAAAAGTCGCAGCACCTTAATTTGAAATGGCCATAGCTGAAGTCAATTGAACAGTTTTAGATGAAGAATGTCCGATCGCTTTTGTTCATCCACCAGTTCAAAAAAGCCAATCAAACAGATTGGACGTAAAAAGCAGCTAAGAAGGGATGGTGTCTATGCTTGTAGTCAACAACCAGTCAATTTCTTCAGCTTCTGACTCAATCCCGTGGGTGCCTTGTTTTTCAATCTGCACTTGAGGGCCGACTTCATCCACAGAGTCATCAGTTTCCAAAGACATTGGCCGATTTCCTATTCGCGATCTTTTAGAACCAGGTGAAGATGGCTGGAATTCGCCGAGGGAGCCTGGAACGGTGCGTTTTGTAGCGCGATAGGCACGAAAACGCGTCTCCCATAGGCCTTGCATGCGAAGCAGGAACGCTTGTGCTCTCTTTGCACTCTCCCACGAAAGCCCAAATTCTTCCAAAGCTCGGAAACATGCATTCAAATGTGCGGCTATCTCATCGGCACAACCGAATTGTTGTTTAAGGATTGTTGCAAAGATGAGTATGAGAGCCGCTGAACATGTTATGGCAACTGCCTGAACGTTCATACGTCGAAATGTGTAGCGAATTTCGTAAAGGCGAAGAAGTTTAGCTATGGCGATGGCAGATTCAATACACATCTCGCGGGCGTGGCCGTAGCCGGGGCCCTGTGCAGGCTGGGGCTGAATGGAGTGTTTGGACATCCATGGTCGATGGGCGTGGATGATGGATTGGTGATAGTGCATACTGAATTTTTGATGTCAGTGGCTAAGCAGATTGAGCTTGAAAGAAAGTCCCACATACTGAAGCAGTAAAACATGAGGCAGGACAGGGGTTACATGGTCGTCCAAGTCCACTTGCAGAATTGCTGGAAGATCAAGCTTCCACTGCAATAGTTTTCCTGTAGTCTCTTCATTTAATTTTTGAAGGGCATGCTTTGAGATCTTCGATGATCCGTATCTAGTTCTGAGATTAGTACCGGTCTTCCCATTCGCAGAGCCATACATACAGCACGTGGCCTAGTGGCGTCATGATTTCACAGAGAGTAATGCGATATCTGCTCAAGGTCATAATTGGACTGGTTATATGTATGCTGTTGGTGGATGTGATCGGATAGGGAAGCCCATATGAAATCCAGTCATGGCTATTGTTTGAGTCTGCATCATTCCTAGGCTTGTCAACAGTGACATCTTCCATGTTGATACGAAATGGTCGGCCAAGTAAAAAGCCCCAATGACTAATTGATGCAGTTAATTAGTTAAATGGTCAGCAAGGGCCACGTATTTAGATATGACTATCTTACTGGTCAAGGGTATAGGCGCCCCAGAAAACCATTCTTCGCAGCTCGGCTTCATCTGTACTGATTGATCCCTTTGCCACATAAGTGGACATGTCAATGTGTAATCCAAGATCGAAGGCCAGTCTCATGGCCATCCCTAAATTCCAAGTGTGAGCAGTGTATGCGACCCATCTAGCTTTTGAGGATATCTCTTACCACTATAGAGCCATCCCCGAGCGTCACGTTTACATCCAATGTCATGACCACTTAGAACCACCATTGCTTGAACAGTAGCCAAACAAGGAGAGTCAAGTTCAATATCAAGTAAGGTCTTTGCCCGATCTGCAAAGAAGTCTGACAAAGACTTTGGATATGTGATAAAATTGGGGTGGTACCGAGGTTCGAAAGCAGCGCCAAGACAGCACCTGAAACAAAGTCAGCTTCCAAAAATTCAACTTCGCAATAATCGTGGTACTGACATGGCATTGGTTAAAGCTTCAGAGTAGTATGGTGTCTCTTCCATATGGTCATGCCACTTTTGTTTGGCGACATTGTACATACCCCTATCCACAACATCAAACAAAGGGTTGTGCCATGTAAAATAGAGATTGAGCAGATGTTCTTCTAGCTCTTCTGGAACACTTTTTCCTAGGCCCAGGCGATACAGATAATCTTCGCCGTCTTTCCGAATAGTACGATGGACGGTGAGGTTATCTGGAGTGGGCATTCGAAGCAGATTAAAATGAGAAGTGGGACCGTAGTATCGAACTTGCCCATCCGAACCAATTTGGAGGCTTCCCATTCGATCTGATAATCGATGTACAATGTCTTCCATGTCATCGCTACTTTTCAGACTCTCCTGCGAATCATGAACAATGACTTGATTGTCATGATCATGTTTGTATTCTTGTCTGGGGGCGAGTTTTTGTGAGAAATGGTTATTCTGCTGTTGGTGACGAGATTCTGTGAAACTATCATTCAGGCCTGTATCAAGTGGTATGCCGTGAACACTTTCTGGTCGGTCGCCAACATCGAGAATCTCATCTTCATGGAGTGGCTGTGAAGAGATGTCAACCGACGCTTCAAGGTCCAGATCTTGAATTATATCGCTATGAAGGAGTTGAGCACTGTCATCAAATATCGAAGGTTCTACCAATAGCCCCATGTTTGCGTCAAGCTCCGTCAGATCGATCTTAGTCGCAGTTGTGTCCGCGCGATTGAGCAAGGAAAGTGGGTCGCCTGGGACACCGGTATCTGGAAGTGGCCGATCCTTTGTCCCGATGCATTCTAGTGCCTTTGTAATATGACCAAGCCCAAGGGTGTCGAGTGCGCTTTTCAAGGCTACTTCATTCTCGTCAAGCATAGGTGGGGGCGATAATCCGCTGTCAGTAATGTATTGGACTACTTCATTGAGTCGATTGACAAGCAGGTCGACCACAAATCGGAGAGACACTCTTGGTGATGTTAGTAGAGTATTAAAATGATCAGATTGCTTATTGCCAAGTTGCATCAAGCCAATATAAATGGCAGAGGAAACGTAGAGGCGCCAATCTCAACATACTTGCGTTTATCCGAGCCAATTCTATAACGACATTCTTTCATTTTATTGTAGCAACTTGAGCAAGACGGCTGGTTGCCATCGCACTATATTCATTTTATGTCAGTCTGTCTCCGTGGGAGCTCGGGAATCGGTTTCCGACCTTCACTTTGCTTTCCCTGCAGGCATCGCAGGCAGTTGTGACGTATTTTCGCCTCGATACATTTGTGTTTAAAGCCATGTATGAGATATAAGATTAAGTTTGGATTTAACCAAGATGATGAGACTTAGGAAAGTGAAGCGAGAGCTAAGTGGCATGCTGGTAGAATAAAACTTGGATGTCGGATCTTGCAGCTTGTGGGTCCATGCGGGGTGATGAAGCCAATAAGGTGAAGTAAAAAGGATATGGGAATCCCAATGATAAGTGTTTCGAGGTACCGATGAACACAATTTTCTGAAGGATTTCGCATTGTGAGTATTTTTTGAGTCAATCTAGTGTATTTCACAGAGTCTAAGGAGCTTTTGATTCACTACCCATCACTTGCACATGGGGCACGTAGCTTTCTATAGGCGTTGACTAGTTGGAAGAGCGAAGCCGAAGGGAATCAACGGTGATTTTGAAACATGAAAGAAAGAGAGAATCAAGTAGAAAGGGAAAGTAAATGGCTAAAAAATGATTTCTTTTTCAAGGCAAGACACCATCTTACAAAGGCACCCGAGTCCGCAAGGCTCCCAGGTTCCAGTGGCTCTCGAGGATGCGCTGCTAGACTTGCCGTTGTGCCGGTTTCCTGATTTCCGGATCTCGTTTGATACTCTCCTCAGTTTTCCCATTCTAGGGCATTTTCTACGTTGTACAGCGGCTAATGCAAAAATGTCCAAAACTCCATCAAAACATCCTGATGATTTCAGACCAAGCCTTGCACGCAAACGGCCGAGGACGTGGGGCATGAATTTGCCCATGTCATTCGGGCGCGCGCAATTGTGCGTCAAGAATGAACTCATCGGCCATGTTTATACTACGTATCTTGTTCATAAACCCCTGAATGATCATCTTGTTCCTCGGGCTTTTCCCTGGGAAAAATTTGTCTTGAAGTTTGTGCTGACTCAATCCAATATTCAGTCATTTCATGGACACCGTGGATCATGGTTCGCTTCCCGCGAGCTTTGTTGTTGCTCGCAGCATTCAAAATTAAAAAGATACATATGTCTCCGCATCGGAGTGGAGAATTGCTCATGCCCTACAGACCTTGCAATTCTGAGGAACTGAAGCCTTAGGCCTGCAGCGAAGTGCTGAGGTACTAAAGGGTTCAAACGAGCAGTATTTGCTAGAACAAACGTCTTTTTGCTTCTAACATCAGGCAATGGTTTCCCCACGCCGATAATCCATCTTTAAATATTCCCTCAAGAAATCACTGTTATGGATTCGAAGTGTTTCTAGTTGTAATTTGTTTCTTTCAAGAGCGGGGGAGAGTCGAGGAGAAAGAGATTTCCCCATGCCAGCATCCGTCCCTGGTAACTAATATCATAAATACATGATCCTCCAACATCTTTCTTAATCAGGTACTGAATCCTTTCCCCGCTGAGAGGAAGTCAAAGAGACGAGAAGATCTACGGGGCTCTACCGCTTTACTCCGATTACGCACATACCCCAGCCAACAGCAGGAAGCCATCCTCTCAGTTTCCCCACATCCGCTAAGTTGGAGAAGTAACCTTGACCGGATTCAATCGCCTTATCTATTACCCCCACGCATAATGTGGGATAGTAAGGTTGCAGTGCTACCCACGGTAAAGAAGTATCTTATTCATTGAGTTGTCCTTACATGTTAATACCTTGTTTGATATATATTCAAGAGCGTTCTGCTGCGTGAATATTTGAGAAAGCGATAGATCTAGCGCTATTCGAACCCCTATTGACCATGACACGCCCTGCTGCAGAACCTCATGGTACTAACACCATCACAGCTGATCTGAACATTCCAAGAACAGAGAATTATGACGAGGAAGGTGCCAAAAGCCCCAGTGGATCTGGGGCACCCGAACTTGCAGAAACAAGAGAATTGAGGTTTGTCGCGACAAAGATGGCTTCTCTGGTTCATGTACTCACTTTGTAACATACAGAAAAGGCCTTAAGCAGCGACATATACAGATGATCGCGTTATGTGGAACTATCGGAACAGGCCTTTTCCTTGGGTCAGGACGAGCATTAGCAAATGCTGGCCCGGCTGGAATATTCATGGGATACTCTTTGATGGGTATACTCATCTCTGGCGTGACTTTATCCATTGGAGAATTGAGTGCACTTGTCCCTCTCAGTGGAGGTGTCATTAGGCCAGCAGCCTATTTTGTGGACCCTGCGTTCTCTTTCGCACAAGGTTGGAATGTAACTTATCAGTACCTGATCTCAATTCCAGCAGAAATTTCTGCCGCGTCTGTGATTGTACAGTTTTGGATTACGGTTAACAACGCTATATGGGTAACAGTCTTCAGCGTAATTCTCTTCGCCAGTAACATATTCCTTGTTCGGATATATGGGGAAGTTGAATTCATTCTAGCCATCTTGAAGCTTTCTCTCATCATTGGGATGAATATCATGGTACTAATCAAAATCTTACAAGTCATAGACGTATCACTCACTCGCTCTACAGGGCCTTGTTATCACCACGGGTGGCGGTCCAGACCATACATCCATCGGTTTCCGATACTGGCATGATCCTGGTCCATTTGTGCAATATCTCAGGGTGCCTGGCGCTTTGGGTCGCTTCATGGGATTCTGGACAGTTTTCACAAATGCAGCATATGCATACTCATCAATTGAAACTATATCCATGGCCGCCGCAGAAACGTATGCGCCCCGCAGAAGCATACCTAGAGCTGCTAAAAGAGTGTTCATCCGTGTGGCTCTTTTTTATGGTATTCTCCATCGCGCTTCTAATCTCAGTATTGCGACTTGCTGCTCATTCTTCTTTTAGTGATCACCATTTTCATGATTACTCTGCTGGTCCCTTCAAATGATCCCATGTTATTAAGAAGCAGCGGCACTGCAGCCCAATCACCATTCCTCATTGCAGCAGATCGAGCTGGAATCAAAGTCGTTCCTCACATCATCAATGCAATTGTATTATCTAGTGCATGGAGCTCAGGAAACTCAAGTATGCTGATTTTCTATTATTCGACGGATGACAGTTTTCTAACATTAGAAAGCTCTATTGAGCGGATCTAGAATTCTATACGGTCTTGCTCGTGAAAATCAAGCTCCGCGCTTCCTAGCACGAACTAACAGATGGGGCGTGCCGTATATGGGAGTTATAGCCATTGGCATATGGATGGCACTTGGATACATGTCTCTAAGCTCAACGGCAGCGACTGTCTTCACATGGCTACAGGATCTTGTGGCTTGTGCCCAGATCGTGGGTTGGCTAGTTATTTGCGTAACATATTTGCGCTTTTACTATGCAATTAAAAAACAAGGCATCCCCCGTAGTAGATTACCATGGGCTGCACCACTCCAACCATATGCCGCATGGATGACACTTTCCTCACTCTTGATTATTCTGATCACAGGTGGCTATACAACCTTTATTCATGGCCAGTAAGTCCCCTGTTACGCCGAAGTTTTATTCTCAAAGAATAATTCGCTAAACCAGTTATCAGTTGGTCTACCGAAACTTTCATATCCGCATACCTTGATATTGGAATTTTCGCAGCTCTTTACTTTGGGTACAAGATCTGGTATCGAACCAAAATTGTCTCTCTCGAAGAATCACCTGTTGCTCGGTTTGTGGAGATTGCAGAAAATGATCCAGATCCACCTGAACTCCCGCGGTCAAGATGGTCAAAACTTAACATTTTGTGGAGCTGAATTTGAAAGGCACCAGAATCCTGCATTCATTTCTCATAGACCCCAGTCAGTACCGATGCAGCACCATTTAAAAAGCCATGCTGATTTTCACACGAGACATCCACTAAAATGTGCTCTACTCTTGTCTCAGAGGCCTCGCGCCTAACCCTCTCCTTTATTTGTTCATTATGGCCCCCTCTTCTCTAGAGAATCCAAGCTCGATGTTCTTGTGACTACTCCTCTTCTTTTTGAATACCTTCAAAATTTCCTCCAAGGTAGGTACGACCTTTTTTTCATGAGTGAAGAAGTATCCAAAAACGAGGATGATTGCGTGCAATGCCTGCTTCAGAGACTCCACTTTCTAACGCATATATGATCGCTACCGTGCCGATCAGATAGATTAGCACTTTGAAGCCATCTTGAATCAATTAAGTCTTCGTATCTTCAACTTCTCACTATTTAGAGGAATTGATTTATTGGTACTATTTTTGATGGACAAATGTTGTGAGACTTTGTTTATATCAGCATGTAGTCCCTTCCTCTTTTCAAGGATTAAAGTTAAATTCTCGTAAATAGGGTTTACTTCCAATCATGCTAGAGCAAATTTATTTCTGAAATTTGCTCGTGCTAGCCAACTATTGAGGAAGCTCAACAAGCCCATGAATTCAATTCAGAGGTCGCTTACTCTTACTCTGCTTGGGAAGAGTCCCACCAATCCCCCACCCCACGAAGAGACCGAGCAAAGTTCCACACAATTCTCCCACGCGTCATGTTTACGAAGCTCACTTATCAAGGATTCCACTCTGAGAGGATGAAAGATAGGACCCGTCAGGAGGCAAAATACTTGTTTCATCTATTGGCCTCGGAGCCCATTGATGGTCGCTGAGTGGTGATACGTGGCTGGTACTGCGGACGCTAGGCATCTAGCGGCTGCTTAGCTGCAGCATAAGCTACATCATTGATTTGATAACCATAATGATCCATATTATGTATGCACGTGGACCATTCGAGCAATCTCCTTTGCGAATCGCCAAAATGACCTGTAGAAAACCTGGATTGTGGTCCATGACGCCAGGCTACATTCCAAGCTACTTAAAGTGGTGCATCAGAGTGACCATGTGTGCTTCTTCACCATCTCATCTTTTCACTTGATCCTTCCATATCCGTCTCCTCATAATGACGATCTCTCATTATGGTGTATGGGCGTGCCAGCCCACGCGCTACACTGCTCAGACCGAGAAACAGGACTCGAAGTCTCCCCACATTTACCTCTACTTTACCGATGGCAGCTCTTCCAGCAAAAAGCTCGAAGCTGCCATCAATGTCAAATCTACCGACAAGGATACACGTCTCGTGTTCTGGTTAAAGCGCAATTTCAGTCACCCTATCACTGAGCAGCTTTCCAGCCTCAGTCAAGGATTCCATTTAGCACAGTCGAGCAGCACTCAAAGCTCATCGAATGAGAAGGATGAATATCATGGGAAGAGCCGTAATCGCCATCGCCACTACCGTCGGCAGGAATCAACCTTCCAAGGCATTGACTATATTCGCACCAAAGATCTATTGGATATCAAGTCGGGTCAGGTTCTCCCACACGATATCCCTGGTCCAAATAACGATATCCTGGATGAATTGGACCCCATTCTGACCAGCGCCATCAACGAGAAGGCGACAGCTTATATTTTTGGATCGTCATATGGGTCTGGAATCCATGATATTCACATGAACCAAGGCAGCCTGCCGAGTTATGATAACGGTATCTATGAGGATGGGGGACTGCTATTTCAGTTTGATGATGGCCACTGGGAGGCTGTCTTCCTGGCTTTTGCCTCACAGAAAATTCCTACGAACGACGAAGGTGAAGCTGAGTCAAACAGTGAGTCTCTGGCTGATATTCTGGGGAAATGATTGTACATATCACAGGACAGTCTAGTGAACAGTGAAAAATCGTTCAAAGTTTGTGAGACAATGTACAGCCTCAACTCCAGAGTTATTCATTTAGCAAACCCCACGCCGTATGCATATCATTGAGCCATGACAAATCATTGATATCAAAGTCAAATTCAGCTAGATCAAGTCCCTTGAGATCAGCCGTTGGTGGTGCCAGATCGTCCGTAAGGCTTAGATTCCGAGAAGCTTGCAATCTAAGAATACTCGAGTCACCTGTATCACTGCTAGGCAGAGGTGTTGCAAGGATTTCGTCGTTATTCTCCAATGTGCTGCTACTTTCGCATGTCCTCCCCGAAATTTCAGCATCTCTGGGGGCAACTTCAAGCATCTTTGATGACAGAATATGTAATGCAGTCACACAGCGTCGTGCCGAAGGACCAAATCTCTCATGCATTTTCAATAGAGACATAGCCTTTCTCCATGATTGCGCAAGGACAGTGATGTCAAATACTTCCGGTTGCAGACGAGCTGTAATAAGGATGGTTGCCGCAGTGTATAAATAATACACTCTGTACCACCAAGCAGGAAGGAGGCCCACTGTCCCATCAAATGTTTGATATTCATCCAGAAGAGCGATAATATTCTCAGCCGTAGTCACACAAAATGTAGCACTCTGCTCGACTATACGATTTTCGAGAGTATCATTGCTAGTTTTCACTTGTCCAGGAGGCGATGAGGACAGGTAAAAGCGCGAAAAAACTGGTCTTAGAAGTAAAATTCTGGCATGAAAGAATCTGATGAATGAGATTTTATATCTTAGCTCCCACTTCCGAATCATAAATTTGACAGTAATTAGAAACATATACGTACCTCACTCGAAGTATTATCAGTTGTCGGCGAACAACCTCATCAACTGTGCTACTCAATTTACCCCACTGTAGGTGATCAGGTAGATTGAGCTCCCATTTGCTTAATGATCTATCTAGTTGGATAACCACGTCTAAATCATCAGCATGTTCATTCTGGCGTTCTTTGCTTGGTTTGCCTCGGTAGAATGCAAGAACAACCCGATGTATAATCTCATATAGTCTCACAGATTCTATGAAAAATGAGATATGATCGGATTTAATTTCAGCCGCAGTGTCCTGCCTTTTATTCATTTCGATTGGTGAAGCAATGGGAAGGGGCACATTTGTTGCATCGTACTGAGAGATCATCGCAGGGCGGCCGTGTGTCACTGAGACCATCCTGGGTTATCGTGTTAGCCAGCACATCTAAAAGTACGGTACGTTTACTCATACCGGTCCATAAGCACACAGCCATACCAAACCCTCCGCTTGAGCTCACGCTGATGATTATCTGAAAAGCCCCAAGATGTCTGTGGTAAATGGAGACCTATGCTCTGGGCATTTCTGATTGCAGAGCCAACAACCATCCATGTTTGTTGAGAATTGTTCGTACTTTGCAGATACTGGCTAGTCAACAGCAAGTTCTGCACCAATTCAAGTGATCCCAACTCCCAGAGGTTGGTTGAAAGGAGAGCCTGGGCTCTTTGAAAAAAGGATTTGCTACAACTTTCTCTCTCAGTCTCGGTAATGGATTCGAGCAGTTGCGTTGAAAGTGCAAATATTACATTCAAAGTCGACAAAAAAAGACGCTCATTTTGCATAACTCTTTGCTCCACGAATACTGAATTATAGTCGTATTCCCACTGGTTCTTATCGATGAATGGATAGAGCGGATCGACATAGAGCCAATATAGTTTCACCAATTCGTCTGCCTGTCTGCGAAGAGGAAGAACATAGGAAGTCGCTGGTGCCTGATCCAACCCAGTATTGTGGGATACTTGATCGTTTATAGGTGGAGGTATAGCTGTATTGCCATCTCCTTGTTTTGGAGTATCAGACTGACATAATCGGCTGTCGATTGCTCTCTTGATTTGCGCTGTAAATGAGCCGGCACTACTGCTGCCAAAATATTCATGAGTGCTGGAACCTTCGCCAACGATTGCCATCATTGAATCAATGGCAGTAGAGCTAGAACAATACCCCGATACCCGGCTGCGACCTTGTGGTTGATTGTTGGAACCCTGATTGGATATTCCCGCAATGGTAATAGGTGATTCTGACGTACTTTTGGGGTGCTGAACAGGCTGTCTTGGAGAGTTACATACACTCTCCTTTCTATATTCGAGACTTGTATTGGGGCTGGCAAAGGGCACGAATGATTGAGATGGATTTGTATGCAATTTTCTGCGGCGTTGTACGGCTGTGGTGTTATCAATATATTGACATGTATCTCTTAGGCTAAGTTTTCTTGAGCAGTAGCCACAGGCTATAATTGATTTAGCATTCGTTTGCCAAGGTACAATTTGATAGTATCCTGTTTGTGCTAACCAAACTGGGATAATGTTAAGATAGGAGGGAGACTTACTGGGACGAACTCCATCACATCGGACCTTCTTCGCCCGACAGGTCTCGCAAGCGACATCAATTTTCAATCTTTTTCGTTGGGGGTATCGTGAAGATAAATTATCTCTCAACTTTGAATCCATAGACAGCTAGTATCGTCTTTTTACGACGATGAAGGCCACTAGAACTGCTTGAGAACCACTAGGTTCCGAAGTATGATGTCCTTCTCACTAGTGCTCAGTCAATGTCCAAATTTAGTTTTCCGGGAGAATAAGTAGAGTAGAATTCGATTCCGAGTCCGGTATGATACACGCAAGTAATTGTATCAGTGAAAGTAAATCACGACTACAGAGGAAGGGAACACTCTCGGAACCCTGTCATCCCGGAATACGCTCCGGACGACGGACGCGTTCCGAGGTTCCCCACAATCAATATCCGAAACTCCCGTTCAATCATTGGCTCTTCTTGCGCATGCTTTCCCATTGCCGGGTTCCGTTTACCGCTGACATCCATTGTGGCCGACTCTTGACAAAGATTTCATTCTCTGGGCGGAGATTGAGTCTAAGTTCGGTCAGTTGATTCGGAAACGATCGGTGGCGAGGTTCCAGACATACTTTTGGCTGAGAAGCGCTGTCCGGATTAAATAAAACTTCCCCCGAGCAGATGAGGGAATAGTCCAAACAGGACAGCCACAGGTGCGGCAAAAAGCCTTTTCCTTCGAGTCTCCGCTGGATGTATCATTGAGGATATATGTTCCCATCGCGGCTGTATTTGCCGACACTCTCACGTCCGCTGTTGGGAATTTGGCAATCTAGACTCGTATGAGATCTTGGCTCTGTCACTCTCGCTGGTTGACATACAATCTGATTCATTGCTCCTGCACCTTTGCTACAGTGCTCACAAAAGCATGATAACACAGCCAAGGGTTCCGAAGTGATTGTCAGGCGAATTGCACCGCATAGGCATGCTCCGGTATATGGTGCAGACATTGTGTTCACAAAGCTGGGAAATTTGTGTTGCAACTTTGATTCAAACAGTAGGGCTGCTAGCTTTATATCCATCTTTACATGGTATCTCGTAATAAACGGAGGCCATACCTTCTAGACTCTAGCTCCGATTGTTTCGGATTCGGACCTTTGACTCGTTCCGGCAGTAGGCACAATGATTCAGCTTCATTGTTCCTTCCGATTCATACCATCTGCTCTTCTGGAATTTCAAGGAAGATTGGGGAGCTCTAGGGAAGATTCAAAGCTAAATTGTTTTACTTTGACTTCATAATTGGATATTGCAAAGTAGCCACAGGTGTTGGGGTATCTTCAGAAAATTTTTGTATTCTCGAATGCCATTGTTTCAAGTCTATCTCTGGTTCTTGCATACGATATTATTCAGTTCTCGAATACAATCTTGTTTTTAACAGATCCTAAGCCGCTGATCTGTACTTCCACCACATCGCCATCATGGAGATACTTTGGTTCCTTCATGCCCATGGCCACACCTGATGGGGTTCCCGTCAAGATGACTGTCCCTGCCTGCAAAGTTGTGCCCTGGCTACAGAAACTCACAATATCTTCAACTCCGAACAAAAGGTCCCCGGTGCTAGTGTTCTGTCTCTCTTCCCCGTTGACCAGAGTTCGCAATGTAAGGTCTGACGCATTCCCAACAATCGAAGGCGACACTAACATAGGACTTAAAGGAGCAAATTTGTCAAATCCTTTACTGAAGCACCATTGTGGAACACCGCCGGCTTTCTTGGGGTCGCGCTGCCAGCCCCTGGCGGAGACGTCATTGGCAGCAAGATAGCCCGCAATATAAGATAGTGCAGCCTCCTTAGGAATATCTTTTCCAGTTTTTCCAATCACAATAGCCTACCATGAATATGTTAGTTTAGTGGCAGCTCCAAAGAACTCTTATCCAATAATGGTCGGCCACTTACCAACTCGCCTTCGTAATCCAGTGTTCCGTCTTGGGCAATCTTGGTGATAGGGATATCTTCAACATATCCAGCCACTGATGTTGAGGGCTTGATAAACACAGAAGGAAATGGCGGTGGAGTGCGACCACCTTCTCTAACTAGAAATGGAGTTAGAGACACCGTTTTCAAGGGCCCACGTCTCAAAAACATACTGTGTTTAATGTAATTTAAACCAATACAGCGGATGATCGGCACATCATCTGGTCGGAGAATATCCAACAAGGCATGCACATGGATTTTTCCACCTGGAACCAGATTTGAGATAGGGTTGGAACCTCTCAACTCAACTGCATAGAGATCACCTCCAGCAATTCGCTCGGTAAATTCTTTATCGGACGAAACAATAGGCTCACCGAAAGTTTCCCGGCCATTGTCGTCAGAAAATCGAATTAGTCTTGTCCACGATTTGAGTGCCATATTGCTTTGATTGCTTTTGAGCATTATCGAAAAAGAAATCGAGGCAGGGTGCGAGCCTTCAAGTATGTCCATAGTCTCGGAACGGCTACTGTTCAGCAAATCATAGCAGGATCCGGTCGGAACGAACGCCCCCACATTGAGCCGGATCGCATACACGTCTCCCGATACTTGAGTGTTGCCTCCATGATACATATTATAAATCCAATCCAGTCTTGTCTAGATTTCTGAAAATAGTATTCAAGAGTTGAATTCTGAAAAATCCCTGCATAGGAAGCGTTACACATATTCAGAGCAGAGTGCAGTGGATATCATATCACGGTTTCAACCGAATCAGATCAACAGTTGGACAGAATGGATAGGTTTCTTTCTGAATTGCCAATTCATCATCTAGAGCCATTATGGTCTCAGATGGACGACATGGTGCCAATCACTCCTAATCCAAAATCCAAAGCCCATCTCTGGAAATATGCAGACGCATTGCCTCATCTACAAAAAGCCAGCCAACTGGTACCAGAAGAGCAGGCAGAGCGGAGGGTCCTTATGCTTGTAAACCCCAACATGAGTGAGTCCAATCCACTGTTCCCAAGAGAAACAGGAAGTGACTGATGAAAACAAGGTCCACCATACACCACAGACACAATCTACGGGGGTCTTCAGATAGTGAATCCTGGTGAGACTGCACCGGCCCATCGACATATTGCCTTTGCCGCTCGGTTCATTATCGATGGCGAGGGATTCACCGCCGTTGAAGGCAAAAGAATGCCCCTAAAGCGTGGTGATGTGATTGTTACCCCGACGTGGCACTGGCATGATCATGGCAATGAATCGAAAGAGCCAGTTATCTGGCTTGACATGTTAAACTTGCCTCTCTTTCGATATGCGCCAGTTAACTTTGCTGAAGATTATATTGCTCCACGATATCCGAGCAAGTAAGTCCTGACCTGCTTTCCAAGTCAACTTGGTCCATGCAAAAGCCGGAAGAAGCTAAAATGCGTCAGATTATGCGACCCATGTGAGTGGTGTATTCCTTGGGATGTTGCTGAAAGTGCACTCGAAAGTTCAGATTTGCCTCATGCGGTGTACTCTTATCTGCAACCCAATGGCCAACCACTTTCTACCACGCTTGGCATTCAGGCGGAACGGCTGAATGCCGGTGCTATATCAGAGTCTCGTGATAGCAGCTCATATGTCTATCATTGCTATGAAGGCCATGGTCGTACTGAAATTGAGTCCCCTAGAGGTGAAAAGTCTGCATTCAACTGGGGTCCAAGAGATACATTTGCCGTGCCAGCCTGGTCGAAGCTAAAGCATATCAATGTGTCCGAGACAGAGAAGGCCTATTTGGTTGCGGTGCATGATGGCCCATTCCTGAATCTACTGGCTCTAAGAAAATCTTGAAACCGAGTCATAGAAAATATGGTAAGACAAGGAAAGATTGATTCTTGATACATTACTTTTTTTGGTGCGACTTTGGCTATACTCGTACTAGGCACATACCAAGATAGCTTCAATAATATGCACAAGCACAAAATCGTCAGGTATCATGCATAGATATCGCCTGTTTAAAATCAAAGTAGCTTTGGAGAAGGGAAGAAATAACCAGTCTCATAGATTTCCCCGCTATGATCGCATCTCCGCAGATGCGGGGAGATCACGTGGTTATCGTCGGTTACCGTCGGCGACGGCAACCCCATAGATAAACGCCATGCGCCAGGCCATCTACTGCAATGCCCCTCGAAATCGACTATCTCACCTCCTCTCCTCCTTCGAGGTGATAAAACATGAGTATCTTGCGCAGTGGGAGAACGATTCCCCGCTTCTTGCGGCCCTGTCGACCCCAGAGCCGACCCCAGAGTCTTCTCCGCACTCAATGTTCCGTACCGCCCGTCCTGAACCGCGCATTCCATGCCGGCGCTTCATTGTTGGGAACCAAGTCACAAATTCTCAAGGACGTTGGCGAAGGTGAGTTTTTCCGATCATGTTAATAGTTTCCTTTGCTCTCCGTCTATGAATAAAACTTGTTGGATTAACGAGATCCAGGAATCACCGAGGTCCAGATCATTCAGTGGTACGTGGAGGAAGGGGCCCATATCGAGGAGTGGAAGCCCCTGTGTCAGTATCAGTCTGACAAAGCTGTTGACGATGTCAGTTTCCCTCGATGTTATTCCAGTCTGTGCACACGAAAGTACTTACTGGAACTCAGATCACATCTCGTTACGAAGGCGTCATCAAGAAACTACATTTCGAAGCAGATGATACGGTTCCTACTGGCAGGGTTTGTTCTATGGATCAAGTCTGAGCTGTTCAAATAACTGACAAAGGTCTAAAGGCCCTCTGCGACATTGAAGTGGACGATGGAAAATATCCAGATGATCACCCGCCGCCTGTATCTGCGCCAGCCGAACCTGCGCCAACTCCCAATGCGGTACCTGCTACAACTGCGGCTGAATCATCTCACCTCGAATATCAATCATCTGAAGAACCCACAGATATCCCCAAGTCCAAGCATGCATCCTTAGCAACACCAGCTGTTCGAGGACTTTTGAAGACCCATAATATAAATATTCTTGACGTCAACGGAACGGGCAAGGACGGGCGCGTTCTCAAGGAAGATGTGCTCAGGTTTGTGGAGACAGTAGGCTCCGCGGCCGCACTTCCCTCCTCCTCCTCACCTCCCTCATCCACTACACCGGACACCCGGCAAATGGAAATGGTGACGGATCTCACCCGTATTCAAGCCGCGATGTTCAAGACAATGACCAAATCCCTGAACACTCCCCATCTGCTATATGCCGACGAACTAAACGTCGGCGACATCACCTCCATCCGGAAGAAGCTTGCCAACGATGCCCGTGACCCGAAGAAGGTCACATCCCTACCTTTTATTGTCAAAGCCGTGTCCCTGGCTCTGAACGACTTCCCCCTACTCAACGCCCGAGTCGATACTAGCGACCCCAACAAGCCCAAACTCATAATGCGAGCCAAACACAACATCGGCATTGCTATGGATACACCCAATGGCCTGATCGTGCCCAACATCAAAGATGTAGCCAGTCGATCTATTTTCGATATCGCCTCTGAGATCTCGCGACTCAGCGCGCTTGGAAAGAGCGGGAAATTAGGGCCAGCTGATTTGAATGGCACTACTATTACTGTTTCCAATATTGGGAACATCGGCGGAACGTATGTTGCGCCAGTGATTGTCCCAACCGAGGTGGCTATTTTGGGCGTTGGGCGGACGAGGACGATACCTATCTTCGATGATGAAGGTCGGGTAACGCGGGGCGAGATGGTGAATTTTAGCTGGAGTGCGGACCACCGTGTAATCGACGGGGCGACCATGGCACGTATGGGCAATCGAGTGAAGGAATTGATCGAGGCACCTGAGCTGATGCTCTTGAATCTGAGGTAGACAGAACAAAAATAAAGTACCCTAGAGAATGTGTATTATTTCTATGCGTTGGGTTTCCAGAGTGAAATTCGTTGCATCGTATTCAAATATCATTAGATTAGCCCGCAGGTAAGTGAGCAATCAGTCGTTTAAGCTTATTAGGACTGCCACTTGAGAGTGAAAGGATTACAGTCATTTAACTTCGAAGTCGTCATGTGGGGTCTTCGATAATAAGTATTATAAAGTCAAGATGTATTGGAAACTTATTCCATTGAACACATAGACATATCCTATGTATTTCCCCTGAGCGCTGGGGGGTATCAAAAGGTGTGCCCGGCTAAGAGCGTATAAACGCGCCACGGAAACTATGCAAGGCAAATGATAGCAACGCCAGTCAAAAACAAACAAGAAACAAGAAGGAGCTCAAGGGGTGCTGATTCCCACCGAAACCGGTTAATTCCACGGTATGCTCATAAAACTCCAGGGACACCAGAGGAAGAGAATTCCTTCCCATGCAAAAGATTGAGAGGTGTCTTTATTGGTACTCGGACAGCTTCGCAGTAACAGCATCAATTACTTCATGCTGGACCTGCTCCTGCGAACCCTCGACATTGATGGTAATAGCATCCCATTCGCCTTTGGGCTCCTCAAGCGCCTGAAGCTGGGAGCGTACCATATCACTCTTCATGTAATGGGCCTGTCGCTGGCTGACACGCTGCATGAGCACCTCTTCACTGAGCTTAAGATACACAAAGTGGATCTGGACTGAAGAAGAACCGTAGGCAGCCACGCGCATCACATCGCGGTATTTCTGCTTCAGAGCAGAGCAAGCGACGACGACGCCGGCGGGAGGGTGATAATTGTTGGATGCGGAGGGAGATAGAGCGTCGGTTGCGGCTTTCCGCAAGGAAATCAGCCAGTCCCATCGATCTTCGTCAGTCAGGGGGATGCCGTTGCCCATTTTGTCTTTGTTGGATTTTGGATGATACTGTATCGAGTAGCCGCGTGTTAGCGCCATGACCGTACAAGAGGGTATGAGATCTGTCGCTGCAGACCCTCACCAGGTATTCAAACATACATCGTCGCCTTCTAGGAATGGTACATCCAGCGCTCTGCGCAAGCCCTGGCCCACTGTACTCTTTCCACAACCAGCGGGGCCTGTCACAATCCAGATGTGCTGAACAGGTGTAGACTCATTTGGATGTCTATTATTTTTTGCAGAGGGGGAGGAAGCCCCGTTGGGCTCGAGGTCGGACATGATCTGCGACTTGCTCAAGGAGACAGCGGATGGATCTACGACAGCAGAGGTGATCGGAGGCTGAGACCGTTCCCCGGCGTGGAGCATGGTGCTGAGGGTATCAAAAATGCGATTCGAGATTCTATTGACGGTAATTCACTCTTCCGAAACTGGAGGAGCAGATGATTCCAGGGTAAGAGGCTCCGGATTGAATCGATGGCAATATGACGCTGCGATGATACGCGGGACAGCGGTGGAGAAGGTCCAGGGAGGGTTTGTGGATAAAAAGATCTCCTGGGAATGTAAGAGACAGCGACACTGGAGCGTGCAAGGAAGCTGGTCAATGTGGGGGGAGTATTCAAGAGGAAAGCGAGAAAAGAAGGCGCGTAACGGGGTAAGGAGCGTTTCCTACTTTTTAAGCATGACGGTGGGTCACGGAGAATGAGGAAGAAACCAGAAGCCGAGTGGGGGAATGCAGGTCGACTGGGGGGTGGCAACCCTGATTGGCCCTTGCATCGAGGTCCTCATTACCCGAGTGGAGGACGAGTGGGAGGAGTGGGATGCAGTCTCCAGGCCGTCGGGAGATCGATCGACGACCAGCCGGACCTTTCGGAACCCACGATTGATCTCTGATTGCTCTCTGCTCCCAAACAGCGTGTTGGCTGGCCATTGGGCAGGCAAACTAGGGGCATTGCAAGGACTCCGTTGGTCACAGCTGGTCTTTCACGACGACATCTGCACCCCAGACACGCGGTTCCGTATGATGTCACTGTATGAAACGGTAACACTGCGTAAACAACCCCCACGCTAACACGACACCGCCGCCTTGGAAACCGAAAATAGGGTGCATACTGTCCCAGGCGCGCACAACTTGTGCTGAATTGCTCAAAATCCTGAGCTAACACAGGCAGGGCCATGATGAGCAACTCCAACTGTGCTAGAATTGAAGCTGACGGCAGACCGGAACTGAAAGTGAACTTCCCCGCTGCAGTTTGATCACGAATTTCCTTCGTACCCGGCCCTGCAAATAAGCGGTGTGATACGTCACAACTCCTGGTTTCGATCTATACAATCCAAGTCACAGAGAACATGAAGACCGCATCAGCATGTCTTGTCCAACCAGGTGCCGAAAAGGGTAAACAACTCCTGGAGGCCGAGCATGAGAGATTTACTGCGCCAGACGGGGGAGATGAGCCAATAGAGAGCCACCAGGGGGGACAGAACCCGATATCGCGGTACCTTTGCTTCAAAGCTCCGTGGAGGTCAATATTATTCCGTGGGGCTCAAAAGTTGTACTGCCCTTCTGTTGGAATCCGTGGGATTAGACCGACTCTGGAAAAGTGGTGTGATTAATTGACAGCCCACTATGATGTTGAAATCAACAATCTGCCAAAAGATTTTGTTCTGTAATTTCTATGAAATTTGACCCAAAATACAGGATTTTGAGTAGCCTAAGTGAAGAGAATGAAGAAGAAATGCCATGAAAAGCTCAACATGTACTCTGTACTTTCCTTTAACATAGTTTGTGGTGGAGACCTCGGATCCAAAATGTATAGAGAACCTCTGAAGTCCAAATACAATCCCGATACAAGGCCCGATAATTCTGTCCAAATTGATCAGAATCAGGATTTTGAATTGAGCAGACCAGAAGAATATCCAGGTCTGAATAGTATATCTCAAATCTCAATGATAAATGTGAGGAGGTTTGTGAGCCTCGTTCGGCCCGTGACGAAGTTCGGCCGCTGCCTGCGGGGGATTACATAATCAACTAGGCCACGTTCTGGATCGTTGAGCTCGCTCGACTCCAAACACCTTCCGCGCTAGACACAATGGCTTCTCTGTTCTTCTCCACTCCGGTCGATATCGACGTCGTTCTTGAAGACCTCGATGAGCGCCAGACCGTCGATGTCAAGCTCGACAAAGGTCGTCGGGAGCGGGTTCCCCTTTACATGGACGGGGAATCCGTCAAGGGCGCCGTGACGATTAGGCCCAAGGATGGCAAGCGGTTGGAGCACACGGGAATCAAAGTCCAATTCATCGGCACTATTGGTGCGTGTGCAGCTCCCGGTCTACCAAGCATGAATCCGAGAAGCTAACAACAACGGCATCCAGAAATGTTCTACGATCGAGGCAACCACTACGAATTTCTATCGCTGGTACAAGAGCTCGCGGCCCCGGGCGAGCTGCTTCACCCGCAGACCTTCCCCTTCAATTTCAAGAATGTCGAAAAGCAATACGAGTCATACAATGGGATCAATGTGAAGCTGCGCTACTTCGTGCGCGTCACCGTCTCTCGCCGGATGGCCGACGTCATCCGCGAGAAGGATCTTTGGGTGTACTCGTACCGCATGCCGCCGGAGACGAACAGCCCGATCAAGATGGATGTTGGGATCGAAGACTGCCTGCATATTGAATTCGAGTACTCCAAGTCTAAGTATCACCTCAAGGATGTGATTGTTGGCCGCATCTACTTCTTACTCGTGCGACTGAAAATCAAACATATGGAGCTATCCATTATTCGACGGGAGACAACTGGTTCCCCTCCCAATCAATATAATGAGAGCGAGACTTTGGTGCGCTTCGAGGTGTGTATCTGTATCAGTCCCCTGCGTCCGTTCACAAGCGGGTCCGCATGTGCATCGAATTTGGCATGTGGCTTTATAGCTAACTCGAGCTTCAGATAATGGATGGATCACCTTCTCGGGGTATGTCAATGAGAAATCTCTCTGTTGTATCGTTAAATTACGGCTTGGATATCGAGTCCAAGAACACGCTTTCGACTTTCGCGGATGCTGACATTTCACAGGTGAAACGATCCCAATCCGTCTCTTCCTGGGCGGATTCGACCTGACTCCTACATTCCGCGATGTTAATAAGAAGTATTCCACACGATACTACCTCAGCCTGGTGCTGATTGATGAAGGTGTGTAGCTGATTCCGTTGCCATTTTTCCTTCTTTCCCTTTCCCCGCATCCGTCCACGGTGGAGAGGGCGATAATTTCATGATGCACATTTCGAACCATCGTCGGAGTGTTACAAGATGCGGTCAGGTGATATCATTTTACCAATAACCGTCGGCTATTGAGTCACTCGGCCGGGCCGACTGGAAATCTCATGCCGTGTGGCGGTTTTCGGTTGAGCCGATCTGCCCCCACGCTAACCGGTCTTGGTATCTCGCGTGGCGCCTCCACCGGGAAATAGGCCATCTGTTGTCCTCCTTGAGTGTTCTTGCCTGCTGACAATGTTCTTGTAGACGCTCGTCGTTACTTCAAGCAATCCGAGATTGCGCTCTACCGACAAGCACCGGAGATTGCCGCGACGCCACAGATCGCTCATCAACAGCAAATCCAGCAGCAGGTCCTCCAGCAGCAACAGCAACAGGCTCTGCCTCCAGGATCAGCGACCGCTGGTCCAGGGCGGGAAATCACGTCGACGGCTCGTCAGCAGAATAATGTCTCAGCACCCGCGCCGGCCCCGGTGCCTGCAGCAACTGCATGAGCTCATATAGTCGAGCATACCGTAATTCTGAGTCTCTTGGCATAGAGTGGACGTGAAGGGACTCACTCTGGCCTGTCTTGCTTTCCTCCTATACCCACGTCATTATTGATTACATGGATTCTCTCTATCTCCCATATTCTGCTTTCACTTCGTTCCTTCTGCCCGGTCATTGGCTCCTCTTGTCACGGCCATGTCACCATTCCACTCTGTAGTCTACTGTTCTCGTTCTTACATACTATCCCCAAGCCCTGTCGTCAGGTTGCACATTTCGCATACACAAATAAACTTGCTTCCAGAGTAGGACGGAGCATATGTTCGAGTAATGCTACAGCCTTCATGGATTCGTGATGGTTTATATGCCTGGGTCTCGTTCGATTACTTTATAAGAGCTTAGGACTGCTTCTAAAAACATGAAACAAATCCATTATCGGGGTTACTGTTATTCCACAAAGTTAATTAGGTTCCAGGCTGACATTGATAATCAGCTTTCCTTCGACCCCTTCGTGGTGTCGTGCAACCATGTCGTTGAAACGTGACCAGGCAAATATTTTGGAGACATAATTGACTCATGGTTGTTCGCAAAAGCGAGTATTTCGCCTTCGGGTGCATTGCTTTCGACCAAACTACCAATGATCGAAATTTGGCGAAAGACGATATCTTGCGTGCAGAAGGTAAACCCGCTACCAGGAAGCGACACCACCACACATATGCTCCAGTTTCTCAGCAACTCGATCCCATTATCAAATACGGCTTGTAATTCCGGGAGAATGATTGTGCTGTAGACCCTGAACCCTTTCCCTCAAGGAAAGTAAGGGCTTGTAAGGGCGATTAGAAAAAAAAATAGAGAGACTATTCAAAGCATGTGAGGTTCATGAGACGATGGGCTCAGACCTTCGTCTCGTCTTATAACTAGCTGACTATTGAGTTTGAGGCTAATTACATGCTGACATCTGCAATTCTACTCAATAAGCTGGAGCCTGAGTGCCGAGCACCGCCCAAACGGGCGAATTCGAAAGCTTATCTCTAAAAACCTTGTCTCTAAAATGTTATGTTGAACACTTGAACACCGGTTATCATTCGGGGGTGGTGTTCAATGAGTGGTAGAAAGAGATGTCAGGAACAGATGAAATTGTGATGTCAAAGCTGTGCGTGGACGAATAATTATCTTCAACTCAATACGATCCGACTACTATAACATTCGCAACCTTCCAATTATTGCCAAGGTACCTTCTTTCTCGCGACAAATGTCTATAGGATGAGGGTTAGATACATAGAAAAAATACATTGCTTTGCGTTCAAGCATCTTGTCATTCACCATAAGTTTTGAACTCGGCTCTTCCGGAATCTAAGTCATCTGATCAGTCGAAATGTGTAATTTCCTGTAACACTTTCCCGAGTGCCTGGAGAACTTGTCCGTCATCCCGCTCTCTGCCAGCAACCTGGACCGCCTTGATGATGAGCGGGTAGAGCCACTCGAGATGTTTGCGATTATGTGAAGCATTTCCATCCTTGGTCACCGTAACAGATACCGTCTTGATAGCCGGTGGATCGGGAATAGCAGATGGCTCACTCTGCAACTGAACCATATGGAATAAAAGGTGAAGCAGGGCCTTGCGTGCGGGGGGTGGGCTGAGGCATTTGTCCACGAAGAGGCTGGTCGGCGATATAGCCCTTGAGTGAGATGGCACAGCGCAAAAGGAGGTATGGGGAAATGGAGCGAGCGAGCAAGGTCCGTGGACATGACTCGGGAGTATCAGACCCTGGTGCTTTGGCAAGGTCGAATAAAGTATCCATGAGAGCATATGCCATGTTTGGGCGCAAAGTTGGTGGTGGATCAAAAGTGCGCCCGGAACGGATTCTGTAGAAGTCCTGTAGAGGAGCTTTTTCAATTGGTTCGGTAGGGAGATCGAAACGCTGGGGAGGATAGATGAAAGAAGAATTGAATAGAGCACAAGCAAAGTCACGACGAACGGTGTGTGGGATGGCAGGTGCCCCAAGCGATGGAAGGATGATTGTTTTCAACCGTGTGAATCCGGAAATGTCGAAGGCTTCATCAGTAACAATTCGTGCATTAGTTAGCTGTTGGGTTTGAAACCCTCGTGCAGAGATAATTCCATGAGTAATATCCACAACACGCAGCCAAAATTGTTCAATCTTTGGCTTATTGGTATCGCTATACTGCCTTTCCACATATGGAACAGATACATTCAGGACATTTAAAGCCGCAGTTGTAGCCTTCTGCCATAGAAATGGTTCGCGATCTTTTCCATGCCACATATACTTCTGCGTAATCAGCGTACTGAGCCGCTTAAGTGTGGTTTCGAGTGCCCCATTCTCGAAGAGATCATGTTTGATACCGAGTTCCACGATATACCAACTGATGAGATCGATTGCTTTTTTCGAAAAGGCAACAAATGTAGGTTTTCTTGAGTCACTACCCGGAGTCCACTTCGATAACGCGGAATCAGAGAAGTCTGCGAGGCAGATGAGAATATTGGCCTGAGACTCTTCTTTCTCCGAGCAAAGGGTTTTAATGCAGTCGATAACCAATTCTTGAACGGCGGATGGGCGGTCAGTATCTGGAGAGTATGGTGGAGAGACTGAATTCCATATAAGTAGGCGTAGATGATGAAGAACCTTCTCAACATTTTCCGTGCCCAAATGGTCCTTGTAGAGGCGGTAAATCTGCTTGAAACTATGCATATAGGCAAGGGCTGCTTCTTGATTTGGCTGATCGGAGTCAAGAAGCTTCTCATCAGCTGCAGGGTGGCCATTCAACCATAGGTTCCATGCACATTGGCAAGCTTCTTTGCTGAAATTACTGGATGACTGAACTCGGTCCAAAATTGTAGAAATACTAGTGAAGGTGGCTTCACTGAATTCCAAAAGCTGCATGTCCACCAATTTCTGCAAGTACTTCAGTAAGCGGGCCCAGGACTCATCAAATTGCTCATCTTGCAGAATAGCATCGAAGAAAACTGTTATCAAGTTCGAAATCCCTCCTATCATCACAACTGTGGTTTCCGTCCAAGATTTGAGATCATCTTTAGTATTGCTCTGCTTCTTTTTGGAAGATGGGAGCTTGCTCTCGATATTTTCCAGCATCAGGAACAGGACTCTGTTCAAGCACAGTCTCCATGCCTTCGGAGATAGCTGTTGTCCATACGCATCGAAAATTCTCAGAAGAGTATGGATGGCGCTGTTACGGATCTCAAACCTTGAGTCCGTTGTTATGTCAACAATCCGAAGCAAAAGCAGAAGCCAAAGAGAATTTCTTGAAACAGAAGAATTCTTGTCACGGGCAAGATTTCCTAGCTCTTCTTCGCTGACAGAAGCATCGACATGGCTCTCAATTGAGAACTTCTCAATCTGACCTTGCAAAAAATCGGACAAGTTCCAGAAAAAAGATGTTGTGGTCAGCGAAATATTAAAGTCTTGAGTTTGAGAAGCAAAGCTGGAGAAAGCATTCACGAGATTCAAAAGACAGTTTGCAGGAAGCAGAGAGATGAAGTCAGACGCCACAAGATGGAGGGACTTGTATGCAGCTCGTACTAGACGAGGCCCACCTGGGAGAGCTGACTTTCTGCGTTCGGTTGTGTTGGTCAATTGGTATTCTTGTTCTGCCTTGTCAACACCCTGGAAAACACCAGATAGCAAATCAAATATGAGGCTCCATGCATCGGAAAATGTTTCTGCGTACTGTTCAAGAATATTCTTGAGAGTTTCCAAGCTTTGCTCGTGGATCTCGATTATCGTGATCGGCAATGACTTGGACGAAATTGTTTCCGTTGAATAAAGTGAAGCCATCTGATCCTGAATTGTTTGTAAATTCCTAGTCTGAAGTTTGTTCCGTATCTCTTCATCATCATTATCTCTTGGCTTCATTGTCAAAAATACCAGCGCATTTAAAAACCCATTAGCCTGCAGGCGGAGGCTTGGGCTTATCACAGCATTGGAAGACGTTGCAATGAGGCTTCTTGTCAAAAGCTGCCATGCTGCAATGTTTTCTTCATCCAGTAATGAGAGTCTATCAAGATTTGCCCTGGCTAGCTCATTGACCTTCTCCAGGACAAACTTAAGTTCTTCATCCTGCATTCTTGACTTGCCAACCGTATGGGAGACCCGGCGAGCGTTTTGGTGTAAGCGTCCTGACTTTCGTGAGGACTGCGGAGAGCGTGGTGCTTCAGAAACTCCTTGTTTTGTTACATTTGTGATTTCCTGCTCCGTAAATGCGGAAAGATTCAATAGTGCAAGCAACATCTCCTTGAAAGAAGCACTTGGGTAGTCACTGGTGCTCTCGAACATCTTAGTGGAAGCAGTTTGTACTGCAATTACTTCCGTTCCAAGATTGGCAGTTGGTACATCATTTCCGGAAACAATAGGATCCGTAGCGCCACTGGCAGATTTAAGCATAGTGCTAGAAGACATGCCAATCACTAGTCCTGTGTATTGAAGAGTCTCAAGGAGAATGGACCAGGCCGGCTGATCTAATGTGGGTCCCAATGCGATGCCAAGATTGAGCAGAGCTCGCAGGCAAAGAAGGTTCCTTGTGCTTAGGGACACAGGATGGGCCTCAAACCCAGATGAACCAGCAGGATCTGAGATTAATGTATTCGATCGAGGCAAATCGGTACTTTTGCGGTTCTTGGGGGAAGTTTCAGTGGACTGAGCACTAGCGCCGGTCGGAGTACCAGGGCTAAGCATCTGATTACCACCTGTATTCGCAGGCATGGCAGCCTTTCCGAGAGTTGTCAAAAAGGCATCACGAGGCACGGACAATCGGAGAAGACCCGCTACATGAGCCAGTTTCTGAAATGCTCTGACAAGATTGTGGTAGTATTCGTCATCTAAAGACGCATGTAAGAACGTGGAACAGGCCGCAAGAACGGCAGGCCAGCAGTGCTCAATGATTCCAGCGCAGGTTATGATGGCAGAATAGTGAATATGGGTTCGCAGCTCCAAAGGATTGATTGGGACTGGTGATGTCTTGGGAGGCGAGGGTGATTGCACTCTCAATCTATCTGATGCTGGAAGATCCTGAGATGACCTGGCTGAATCTGGCCCTTGGTCCGGGCTCATTAATCTGCTCTTCCTCTTCTGCTTCAGATCCGGTACTGTAAGCGGAATGATGAATTTCGCGAGACCTTCGGCAAAGCTGCTGATACAATTCAGAACAAGACTATAGATGTAGGTATCCGGTGGGAGTGGTGGGTCCATTTTGTCGAGCAGCTCTATGTATGGTGTCCGCACCACACTCCATTGGCTGCTGATACCAGGAACCTTTGTTTCTGCCGGTGGACCTGTGGATCCAATCACACCTGCAACACCACCAGTCTCCAGGGCAATCTGGTCTTCGGTTGCGGATCGAGAATGCTCCGCACGTAGAGGTATTGTTGACTGTGCGCCAACGCCAATCAATGCGGGCTTTTCCGATGCTAGACGAACAAGCGAAGCCATATGGTCACGGAGGACATTTTGTCGACCATTCTCTCCGTCGTATAAGGAATATATTAGTCGAATGACTCCCTGCTCGGAATAAAGTCCTCGGAAGACTTCCATGCACAACACCCGTTTCCAAGGCGCTGTTCCATCCGGCTCGAGTAAATGATTGAGCAGACCAAATGCCATTTCACACTCTGCGGTCAAGAGAGACATGTGGCGTTTCAAAAGAATAAGTAAAATTCGAGCGACTCGAACAGTTTGAGAGAACGCATGTCTCTCAGATAGGTATCGGATAACCAGAGGCATCAACCGAACTCGCAATACTTGTGAAAGCTCAGGGTGTCCAACAAATAGACGACCACTGCTGGTTATAATGCTCTCAATAAGTTCTAGGACAAAGGCTGGAGAGAGAGTCTTTGTGCGTAAAAACTGAAGTTGTTCGCCATCAATGAGACGACAAAGATCATCAAGAACCTGGAGAGCATCATAGGCAAATTGCGCAACTTCTACCGGTTGGCCATCAACTTTGATGGTTGTAAAGGATTTGGACTCGCTAGGTAGCTCTGTAATTCAAGTATCAGTCAAAACGTGTTATATCATAGGAGACATGGGACATTAATGACTAACTATCCTCGCTTGCCACCCGCTCAAAGGTTGAGACTACTAATTGTTGAAGGGTAGCTGCTGCTGTACTGCTCACAGCGATTGTCTTGCTCGCTTGCAGAGTAGCACATAATTCCAATGTGTTTGCAAGAAGATCTCCCTTAAGATCATTGGAGTAAAATTGCAAAAGGGAAGGTAGCGATTGCAGGATCTTGAGTTGAATATCAAGACCTTGAACGATATTAGCACAGCAACCCCTTTTTGGTTGGTAAATAGTGTTGTGTCGCTACATACTCAGATTCGTTGTCTCTCTCAGGCCTGCAAGAACATCTTTCAGTCGATGAGAAGGTAATGACTGTGACGCAATTAACCTTTGCAAACAAATTACTCCAATGCCGGCAAGCTTAGCATGTCGAGTATGGCAGGCTATGATGAAAGGCTCGACAAAAGTCGGCTTGCGAACAAGGTCTATTTAATTAATTAGCCATTTCATCAATTGGTTGTAAAAAATTGAAACAAACCTGCCGATATCTGAGCCTCAGATGTTGAAGGCAACGCCTTCAGCTCATTGAGCGACTGCTCGGCGGCCTGCATCTTCTAGTCAGCAACGAAGCATTCGAGCGTTCCCAAGGTCGACCAACATTTCGTAAGTCCGAATTCTTTCGTCGGGATTCCTGAATAAGATTTGCAAGTTCGGTTTGCAAGAATTGGGAGGACATTTCCAACGTGAAACGGTTGCCTTCACCGCATTGCCGACGGCGCTATCTCCAGTGCCAAAGGGCCGCGTGTCAACAGCCGGGAAACCCTGTCTCGTACAGATGGGCTAGCAGGTTCTGTGCACAAGCAAAGAGCTGCAGCACTTCAGGTCATGTAATATACAGATACACGGATCACGGCAGTGGTGCTTGTCCTCCGAGACCAGCGAATCAATGTCACGGTCAACAATCCCCGGCGTGGCATCTCCAACTGCCAAGACCCGATAAGACCCATATCGCACGTGACTCGTCATTGATCCAGCGCCCGCGAGCGGCAGGAAAGTGCCCCTCCCACTAGTCTTGACGAACTCCCCCACCTTTCCAGACGTACTGTTTTCACTCAAACGGGCTTCATTCAGCTTACCGGTGATCGATATGGGGGCCAAAGTTCCGCGAAACTTCCGGCTGTTGGAGGAGTTGGAGAAGGGAGAGAAGGGACTGGGTGCCGGTGCGGCCACTTGCTTCCATATCACCATGTCATAAGCGCTAATCATCCGGTTTTCATTACTGCAGAGGCATGTTCTTATGGCCTTGATGATGGAGAGGACATGATGATGAGTAACTGGAACGGCACGATCCTCGGCCCCCCTCATGTCTGTCTGCCCTCGACCTCTTATTCGACTGTCGTGTGAGCATGGCTAAAGCTAACGGATTCTACACTGATAGAGCGTGCATGAGAACCGTATATATAGCGTTAAGATCCATTGCGGTCCCGAATATCCCGATAGCCCCCCGACCATCCAGTTCATCTCTCGCGTCAACATTCCCTGCGTCGATCAGCAAACAGGAAAGGTAGGGACTTAATTTATACAGATGATATAGTGCAGAACAAAGCAAAGATGGTTGACTGGTTTCTGATAGGTGGATCCAACGAAGCTCCCCTGTCTGGCCCAGTGGAAGCGGGATTACAACATGGAGATAATTTTGATTGAGTTGAGGAGGTTAGACACAACGCCACCATTGCCATCAAATGATTTTTGCTGACCTGATACCTGTTCTAGATACATGGCCTTGCCCCAGCACAAGAAGATGCAGCAGCCTCCCGAGGGTGAGACTTTCTGAAACGTACAATTCATCCATAGGCCTCAGATGGTATCCGGAGTACTGTGGTCGTTATGTTTTGAGGTTTCTTTGCTTTCCCTCTTTCCTGCGATGATTCTATTAGAGCGTGTATAGTCTTTGCATGAAAGCATCGGCGTGGTTTCTTTGTGAAGCCCAATCTTATCTTATTTCAGTCTCATCGGTTTCATTCTGCTGCTCCCTTTTGACATTATGATGAGATCTTAGGCTAGCTATGTAGGTTAATAAAAAAGATCAAAGATGAAACTAAAATCATGCCAATCTTACAAGATTTAACTTACGGGGAATTACCCATTGAGATTCAGATTCGGCCGTATTCTATAACTCTATTCTATACTCAGTCAAGTAAATATTGCAGCAATCTCTGAGACAAAACACACCCCTTTTTAGTTTCCTTGTTCGAGGGTCACTGATCATACTTTACGCTCAACTCCGAGATGCTTCTGAGGTCCTTTTCTTCAAGCTTCAAATTGGTAAATGACAGGATGTATGTTATCACGTGACCGACTCGCAGATCGGCTGGTGACGGCAACCAAATTGATCAGGAACCTCGAATCCGCCATGTCGCAACAGATACGGTTTTCTAAACAGAATCGCTTCTTGAGCTATATTTGCCCTGATCGATTCGAATGACTTGAAGCCGAATCATCTCCCTTTAACGGTAGCTCTGCGGAATGCATAAAGTTGTGGTGCCAAAACACTCTGGAATCCATCGCTTTGCTTGTACGTCAATTCGGGTATTTTGCGAGCGCTCCCATGAGGCTGACATTTTGACTTCTTCAGGCCTATCTCTTTACCGAGCCCTTCTTCGACAATGCGTTCCCTCCATTCGCAACACGCCGTGGCGCACCGAGACTGAGATCCTCATCAAACAGCGATTCCGAAGATACAATGCACTACAAAGCCCTACTCAAATAACCAATGCTTTGAAAGGAGGGTATGAGGTAATTTGCAAGCATTCTCGTGGATTTCAGCCGGTGCTGATCCTGTGCTTCTCTCCAATTGCAGGCCCTAGACTTACTCGACTCTGCATCCAAAGGCCATCAGCAAGACGCCGATCAACTCAGGGCCATTCTTGCGAAAGCTAAATCTTTGAAAGAAGAACGCGCAGCTCGAGAAAGGGACATAGCCCTGTCAATTCCTCAAAGACCAATCTCGCCACGGCAAATGTGCAAGAGAGAGTCAGTCCGCTTTCAACTAGAGACATCGCGTCGACACCCTGATGCTCAATCGGTATTGCTTCGTCCTCGGCAATTTGTAAATGGGAAACGCAAGACACCAGTACTGGTCAATGCACGTGGAGTTCCTTTTCTGCGCTTCAAAAAGCCGCAGCCCAGGAACTTGAGCGGTGTTCTAAGAACCATGTTGGAAAAACGCTGGCACCGGATTGTTGTCCGCGAGAGATTGTCGGCCGACCTCCTTTTCGCTCAGGATGAAGACGCCTGGGACCACATCACGGGCGTTACGGAAGACAATTCATGGTCAGAAGAAGTCAAATCTTCTTTGGACAATGTGTGTGCAAAAATCCGACAGACTGACCAACAGAATCGGAGCTTGGCAGAGCGCATGTGGCAAGTTGTTCTTGACGAGCGAGCGCTGGCTAACAAAGAAGAGAAGGAGCGAAAGGAGCAGCAATCAAGCCTAGACCCAACAGTTGCAGGCCAACATTAAGTTGATCCTCGCGGTTTGGCCCCCCTTGGCCGCAAAGACGTGTCCTGATACCTGTATAGTAATATTTCTTGAATGATACCCCTGGAGTTTCTGCTTCGAAGTTTAAAGTGCAATCAGAGGGGAATTAAGTTCCCACAAAATGATCAACCTGTGATATATCAATAACTCTGTCTGCCCACAGGGCAGATGAGAAAGAAAGAGGTAATAGAATTCATTTAAACAGCCTCATGAGAAATATTTGACAATGGTCTTGTCAGACCGGAAATCATATTTTGGATATAAACAAAGGCTTTTTTTATGCCCTGGTAAACTGAGTCGCTGGAATTGGAAATGTGTACACCTCCGTTATGATTCAAGTCAGGAAATATCACCATCGGGGGCGGTGATCAGGTATGATGGCTTGTAAGAACATAGGGAAAATCATCTTATGCGGCAACCTTAAGCTTCTCAACAGCAGGCATTGCATCCTCACCCTCCTCGTCATCATCGCCTTTGCCGGCCAAACCTCGCTCCCACAGCTGTCGACCAGTGAGTTTCTTCTCTTCTTTGGCGGTCTTCTTCTTCTTGTCCTCCGCCTCTTTCTCCTCAATCTGTCGCTGCTCCTCCTCCTGAATCTCTTTTTGAAATTGTGATAGCCATGCCTCAAATGTCTCTCGGTTGACGGGTGTGCCTTGGAATTTGCGGTTCTCTTCCTCTTCGGCCTTGCGAGCCACCTGTGCCTTCTTCTCCTCCTCGGCCTTTACACGCTCCGACATCAGATTCTCCCCGGCTTCCTTGAGTGCGCTCACGAGCGAAAATACCATTGCCATCCCCAGGTTCTCTTCGATGGTCGACTCGAGAGCGCTGAGGAGGACATCGTCATCTTGTGGGAGTTCGAGCAAAGGATGCTTCGGAGCGTTGGGAGGGGCGGAGATTTGGAGTTCAGGGGCAACATCAGGGTAAGTTTCCGGATATGAGACTTCCAGAAAGATCACAGGTTGCTCTTCTGGTTCAGAGCTACCGTCCGGGGGATCGAGGGGGATCGAGATCTTGTACGAGGTTTCGGATATGTCTAATAGCGGAGGTCAGTGTCGACGGCCGCGCAATTCCCCAGAGCATAAGGCCTTCCGCAGGCATGGATATAGAACTCACCTATAATCTCATCTGGAAAAATCGAGTCAAGAACCTCGCGCTCTTCAATTTGATCCTCGCGGCCCATTGTGTCTGGTCCGGCCGCGGAATGGAGGGGTATCGCGAGAAGTGGCGGATCAGGTGCGATGGAAAGGTTCGAGGTCGAGCAGGAAAGCGGAGAGGTGGAAAACGGAACACAGCAGCCAAAGGCCGTAAGTAATCTAATTAATCAAGAAAAAATTGTCGCATTGCTCTAATCGCATGGCCTCCAACCGTGGTGAGTGCCAACCCGCTTCGGTCCCACATGCAAACCCATCAAACAGCTTCAAAATTTGGGCTGGCGGGGAGCTTCGATTGCGTTTTTACTCTGAACCACCAACACTTGCATGTTAATTATTGTTCTTGTCCTGTCTATAACGCACTAGTTGTGATTGCTCATTGTCTCTCTATAAACCTGCCATGGGAAAACCCAGACCACGCCAGAAAAAGTCCAAATCTCGCGCAAAGTCCGTCCTCGGCCCTGGTGGCTCGGTCTCGAAGTCCAAAATGTCCCAAGACCCTTCCACCCTCCTCGATCAAGCGACAATCCTCCTTCAAACAGGTCGCGCTGATGAGGCACTGCCGACTGCCCAACAAGCGTTGGATCTCGCAGCTGAAAATGCCTCCGTCCAACTACAAGCGGTGAACCTACTCGGAGAAATCAACGTCGAGCTAGGTGACATTGATACTGCCCGGGGATGCTTCCTTCATGCCGTTGAACTAGATCCGAATGGCTCAATACCGGATTCGGAGGGCGGCGGTGCCGAGAAGTTCCTTTGGCTTGCTCAATTGAGTGAGCAGGGCGGAAATGACAGTGTGAAGTGGTTTGAGAAGGGTGTTTCGTCCCTTCGACAGACCCTGCAATCATTGCAAGGGAAAACAGGCAAGGAGGATCTAGCCACCATTGAAGAGAAGAAGTCCAAGTTGTCGAATGCACTGTGTGCTGTTGCCGAGATCTATATGACCGATCTTTCGTAAGTTTCATAACTCTCGATGTTTGGCATGGTTGAATTGCTAGCTAACATTGGAAATCAAAAATAGCTGGGAAGACGAGGCCGAGACGCGTTGTGAAGCACTTATCACTGAGGCTCTGGCGGCCACGCCTGAAGCGCCCGAGGTCCTGCAGACGTTTGCATCTATCCGGATATCACAGCTGAAGACTAAGGAGGCTCAGGATGCGTTGAAGCGAAGCATTGTTCTGTGGAAGGACTTGGCCCCCGAGGATCCGAAAGTCCCGGAATTTGCCGTGCGAATCAGTCTTGCACGACTCTTGATGGAAGTCACGCTGGAATTTGAGGCCCTGGAAGTCCTCGAGCGTCTGATCCTTGAGGATGACCAAAGTGTGGAGGCGTGGTATCTCGGTGGCTGGTGTCTCTATCTGCTGGCGGAAAAACAAGAAGCCCCCAAGGATATTACGGCCGACGAAGCTGAAACACCGCGTCACGCCTCCCTGGTCGCAAGTCGCGAATGGCTCAATCAAAGCTTGAAACTTTACGATTTACTGGAATATGAAGATGAGCGACTCCGTGACCACGCTCTGGAATTGGTTCAGGGAATGAACCAGGAAATCGGGGAGGACATGGATGATGATAGCGAAGCTGAGGGCGACGGCGACGAGGACTGGGATGAGGAAATTGAGGCAGACTCTGACGATGACCACGAAATGGCCGATTCATAGACAAAAGTGACGAAATCCTGCGCGCATGTATAGTTTTTTTGTTTGATACCATGAAACAAGGATCTCCTTTTTGATTTCTTTAGTGCTGCAGTACGCGTTCTCGATCCGTTCCTCCATCCTTCGTCTTCGCCACTAAACCGCGTCGGCGCCGGATTAACCCATTCCGAGCGAGGCAGATGCCAAATTTTTGTTGCTGTCTTCAGTACGAAGAAAAGTTGAGGCTGTCAAAACTCCTACAGGATGGACTTGGTACCAGCGCCGAGCGGGGAGACCCCGGTGAAGTCTCCTGTAGTCGAAGTGGAGGCCGTGGACATTGCGGGCCAGGTCAACGCGGAGACCGTCGCGCTGGAAGAAGCCTCGTCTGAGTATGAAACAGACAGCGATGATTCAGAGGGCTGGGACACTCTGTCTCATAGCGAGGACACCATCCAACTTCTGCGCGATGAACAGCTACGAGATGGGCTTGGTGTGTTACTTCCCCTGACAGCTGGATATCCAACTCCCCCCCTTTACCCCGGACATCCCCGCGATCGGAATCCACAGCGCTCTAACTGACATTTTTCGCGCAACAGTCCCCGGCGCCTGTACCCTAGATGAAGCCGTCGCGTTTCGAAAGCGTCTTCACACGATCGGCAAGGCAGCCTTTGTGGAAGAGACCGTTGCGCGGGAGACCGTGACCGCGAAGAAGCTGTGTACGGCATTTGGAATCATGCCACCGGCTTTTCTAGAGGGAGCACCAGATGAAGCGTTTCATCCCCTGCTTGCCATTGCGATATCACGAGAGTTCTCTCGGCGACCCAAACTTCCTCAATATAACTCGATTGAAGATGCGGTCCGATTGCTGCAGGAGGCCAAAAACATCATCGTATTGACTGGCGCCGGCGTACGTCTCCCCCCAAATCTCCGGGGAAATTTTTCTAATGGTCTTTTTAGATCTCCACTAGCCTTGGTATACCCGATTTTCGTTCGAAGGATACCGGCCTGTATTCCAAGTTGGAGCATCTGGGTTTGAGCGATCCTCAGGAGGTCTTTGATATTCAGGTCTTCCAGGAAGATCCCAGCATCTTCTTTTCGATCGCTAAGGATATTCTCCCTACCGAGAAGAAGTTTTCCCCTACCCATGGATTCATCAAGCTACTTCAGGACAAGGGAAAGCTGTTGACCAACTATACTCAAAATATTGACAACATTGAGGCAAATGCGGGGGTCCTACCGGAGAAGATCGTACAGTGCCATGGATCCTTCGCAACTGCCACCTGTGTCAAATGCAATTTCAAAGTCCCTGGTGACGCGATTTTTCGCGAAATCAAAGAAGGAATCATTCCCGAGTGCACCGTCTGTCGCGAAGCAATCGCACAGGAGGCACTCAAACCGCAAGGTCTCAAACGGAAGAGAAGCTCAAATGGACAACACAAAGACCGCAAGGGGTTCGAAGATAGCTCGGACGAAGATGACTACGAGATCCCGACTCCCGGTGTGATGAAAGTCAGTCTCATACTAGGTTCAAGTTCCTAGAATAAGCCACTGCCTACCCCTGAATTCTATGCTAACTTAATTTGTGTAGCCTGACATCACATTCTTCGGTGAAGATTTGCCCGATGAATTTGGTCAACGGTTGGTTCATCATGATCGAGAACTGGCCGACTTGGTCATCGTCATTGGCACATCCCTCAAGGTAGCCCCCGTTGCAGAAGTGCCGGGGATTTTACCTCGGAATGTCCCTCAGATTTACATCTCACGGACTGTATGTTGCTCCCAACGCCTCCAGAATGACATAACCTCGACCCCAGCTGACTCTTCTCTCTAGCCCGTATCACACACCGATTTTGATATTGATCTTTTGGGCGATAGCGACGTGGTAGTATCGGAGCTCTGCCGTCGGGCCGGGTGGGATTTGCAACATCATATGATACCCGCAGATGAGAAGGTTGAGATTACTCCCGTAGAGGGATATGAGTCACGACATGTGTTTAAGGCGGTTGGCGCATAGCAGTGGAGTTTCAGGATCGGAATTCTGTGTGAAGGATGGCGTAACTTTGTAGCTTCATCCTACTGGCTGAACGGGTTGTTTTCTCGGTAATTACTTGATTCCTGGTCTAAAGCAGTATTTTCCTAGATTTGATTTTTGATTCTTTTTGGTCATGATATTATTGCAAATCTGAGACAACTTCCAGAATACTGTTGAGGCTTCTGTGTACCTGTAACTAATAAACAAATGCATAACGAAAACTAATCATAAGAGTATGTCGAGTTTCTCCAGCATGTGGGACCTACTGCCACCAGACCCTGAAGCAAAATATATATTTCAATCGAACGCGAACAAATTACACCATATACAGAGAAAATCTGCCTGTTCATCTAGATCAGAGAGTGTACACCAAAAATTTCATGGTAGATGGAATCATGAATAGCCTGTAGTCTTCAATTCAAGCATTATGCAGTAATGGCGGGCAGCTGTTGCTGGGATCGGGGACCCAAAGATTGAATCTCAAGGGGGAAAAAAAAAATTAACACCCGCGACACCCCCACCAACCATCGTCGATCAGCACATTCCGCAGTTCTTTCTTCAACGAAGATTCAAAAAAAGCTTACAGAACCCTATTGGGATCTGCTCAATATGGAATATCTGGTTCGCCTGGCTCAATGCCATGAGACTTTCCGTGTGCCGGAGTTGCAGGCTGTGGCTCAACTTTTGGGGATCGACCTTGAGATTGTTTCCTACCATGAATATGTATGGCTCCTCTCTTAAACCTCCTGTTACGTGTCCGTGTAAATTCAAAACCCGTTTTCTTGAAATTTGATTCCTTGAACGATATAGCATCCTTCTGCATTGCTACCGGCCTCGAATTTGCCCGAAACCCACTAACAGAAACCTACCAGACACCCCACTGCGTGATCAAGGTAAAAGATGAAGCCGCAGCTAGTGCCTTGATTTCGCGTACTATCCTGAGCAGAGACATCATGGAGATTTGGGGTCAGGGTGCAACCTATGAAGAACTACATGCCGATGTCAAGCGGCGCTGTGAGCACCGCTGGCCCGAATACCGTGATGTCTCTTTCTCATTTGCAATCGATGGATTCTGTGGCAAGCGCAGCCACGAGAAGAAGGTAGAGATCATCCAGTCGTTTGCATACTTAGACCTTCAAGGCGAAATTCGGATGAAGAACCCAGACACGCAGTTCTGTGTGATTGAAGAATACGTTTCACGTCCGGAACAAATCGCTCTCGGAACAGAGCAGTCATCCGAACCACGAAAGATTTTTATGGGACGTTTAATTGCGCAAAGCGCTCGGAAAATCATCGATAGATATGATCTCAAGAAGCGGAAGTACATTAGCACTACATCCATGGATGCAGAGCTGAGTCTAGTCACGGCAAACATGGCGCTGGCAGCTCCCGGCAAAGTGTTCTACGATCCTTTCGTTGGAACTGGAAGTTTCTTGGTGGCCGCCTCACATTTTGGCGCCTCGACCATGGGCTCAGACATCGATCCCCGGAGCTTCCGTGGAAAAGATAAACTGCCTCAGGAAGACATGGCTCTTGTGAAGAATTTCAAGCAATACAACATCGCAGACAACTTTCTAGATGCCTTCAGTTCCGATCTAACCAATACGCCCTTACGGAACTGCGAGTTCCTTGATGGCATTGTTTGCGACCCCCCTACGGTGTGCGCGAGGGTCTTCGGGTTTTGGGAACTCGCGATGGTGTAGTTAAAGAGCCAGTCATGATCGACGGAGTGTGGGCGCACTTGTATGTTATCCATTTTTTTTTCACGCTCTGGACACGGACCATTCTCTTATGCAGTGGTCTCATCTCTAACTTCTTTCCGCAGTCGCGAAGGCTACGTCCCTCCCAAACGACCATATGGCTTTGAGGCCCTGCAGAGAGACGTCCTCGATTTTGCCGCTCGCACTCTCGTTCCACATGGCCGCCTGGCGATGTGGATGCCGACAGGTAGTGACGAGGACGTTCATTTCCCTGTGCCCATGCATCCGAATTTAGAAGTGGTCAATGTTTCAGTCCAGCCCTTTAGCAACTGTGAGTAATCCACATTCTTGACTAAATGAAATTGGCCTGTACTAATGCCAAATTCGCCAAATCCTGAAGGGTCTCGACGGCTGATAACTTATCGTCGTCTTCCCGAAGGAGAAATATCTGATACCACACATGGACGAGCCAAAACCGACGCTCTAGGTACACAAGCAGATGAACTCAATGCTTTTCGGCAAAAGGTATGTGTTTGAATAACAAAATCAAACGAAAGGGCCGTACCTAATAATCCACACCAGTATTTTAATAGGAATGCTCCGGAGCGGGAACGCTCCTCACTCGGCGCAGATTAGGCAAATTAACTCCGAGGAAAACGCCACCAAGCACCGGCCACTTTTAAAAGTGGATTTGGGCACCAGCTTGCATGGCAGGGGGTCGATTATTAACTTGATGCATGCAATTATACCGTCTCAAATGAATGAGACGACAGCGAGGAAATGTCTTATATCACAATCTACCCTTCCTTGTTGTATGGCTAAGAATCACCCCTTCCTCGTCCTGGACACGCCTAACCTCCCGTGCAAGCTCAGCTCGCATGGCACGAGCTAATATCTCACCCTCGTCATCATCTAGTTCATGCCGTTGTCCACGACCGAACATGGCGAAGCTCGGTTTATGAGCGAAGTCTGATGGACGAGGAATGATATGAAAATGCACATGAGGGACCACCTGTGCAGCTCGAACGCCTGTTATTCTCTGTTAGAGACATCGTTGCCTACCAAAAATGAAAGAAAGAGACTGCAGGACAGTTGATTGCATGATGCTTAGTTGTACATAGGTAGAGGTTACATACCATTGTTCTGGACAACATTCCAGTGTCTGTCAGGGTCGTCACCGAAGATGGTCTTCGTGACAACCCTCGAGATGATCGGAAGCCACTTGCCAATCTAATGGAGTCTTAACAATACTGTATAATTTTCAAGTGGCAGGCGCCCAGCTAAGGTCTCCATGAATCCACAAGGGTCAAAATAGACATACCTCCTGTCCAGCTTGAACCCCCATATCGCCCAGCGTTTCATAGTGCTGTCGCGGTGCTACAAGAACATGGCCATTAGTTAGAGGCATGATGTCTAAGAAGGCTAGAACATGCTCAGTTGCAAGAAGGAGATGAGCCGTTCTTTCGGAAGCCGATTCCGAATGGCTGGGACTGTGTTTGGGGTCATTGAAGGGGGCTGGTGGGTTTGTGGCTGCAATCTCGCAGAACGGGCATGATGGAGAGGGCGAAGACATGACTGAACGGTAAAGAGTAGTGAAGGCTGCAATGCAAAGGGTTTATAGCCGAAGGTGGTTCGTTGCTGCAAGAACGATGTACATCGAGGGCTGCTTGCAGTAGTAATGTGTTGGGACTAGTCGACGGCCCCGGTTTGTTGCTACAGAACAACAGAGCGAATCAAGCTTCAGCCCCAACAATAACCCTGTGCCGAGAATGGAAGCGAGTTGATGCGTCGGATATTGGTCGTCAGGTCTTCTTCCAAATACACCCAGAAATCTTCGACGTCTGGTCGGCGAAGCACGGCCGCGAGCGGGACACGCCAACCTCGGCTAAAACGCCCCAGACGAGGGCGTGCCATCTCCAATGAGCTACGAGCCAAAAGACGACCAAATCCTGGAGGCAAAAATTATTCTGCTCATCTGACCGAGAAGAGAATAGGAAAGACGCCTATGTACACCTCAAAATTAAAAAATAAAAGCCAGAAAGCAAAGTAAAAGATCAGAATTGCAACCAGTAGTCACGCCGAGCACCCGGCACAAGCCAACTATTCTAACAAAACCCCAAGCCAGAACCACGATGACACTCAATACCCCCGCCAGACCAGCTCCTTGAAACAGCCATATCCATGCCAAAGAGGCGAAAGATATCGTCTCTGCCAACCTGGGCCTTCGAGCCGACAAAAGAGAAGACAAGAAACCCCCAAAGAAACACCAACCCGGTTTTTATCCACCAACCCGCAGCAGTACTACCGAAACAGATCAGTAGAGCGGCCACAAGGATCGTTGACATTGTAAGAAGACTCCAAACGAAGCGAAGATAAATCCACAGTGCAATAAGGTAAGATTCCGATCTGAAGAATGAGAAGAAACAAAAAAAGAAGTAAGATAAAAAAAGTCCGACGCCGTCACACGAACGCGAATGAGAATCGAAGAAGGTATCAGGGTACGCAGAGACAAGGCACCCCATGCACAAGAGAAACAATAACAGTACACCACGTGAAAGCCGAAGTCGAAACAAAACCGCATGGCTGAGCGCCGAACACCCCCGTCACAGAAGACAAATGCCGAAGCGCACAAATTCAATCAAGTCATCGTTAAGAATATGCAAAAAGGTATTCGATACCAGCACAATGAAATGCCAACATATGGAGGAATTCGAGTTTCCCTGGTCGGTGTCTCGAGGGCCTTGGGATCGTCATGAAGGACAACAACGGAGCCGACTCAGGGCTAGCATAACATCGTAAATGGCATCATTACTGTTCGCTGTCCTTGATGTAAGTGTACGGCTCCGAGAGAGAGCTGTCGATGTACATGCTGTGGTACTTCTTGGCCCACTGGCGTGTCAAGATGGAGGCTAGATGCACGCGTTAGAAGGGTTCAAGGAGAAACAGGGAATAAGGGAAGGGATTAGCATTACCTTTCAAGAACTTCTTGCTAGCGTATTTCTTGAAGAAGGCCTCGTGAGAGACAGGACGGTGGAGATAGTCGATCATTAAGCGGAAGACCGGGTCGATCTCCTTCTCCGTGTACCCAGCATAGTGGGCAAGAGTGGCATCCCAGGATCCGCGCTCAAGAATGAGGCGTGCCAGATACATGGCAGCGGCGGCGATGTGGCTCTGGGGAAAGCCCATAAATCGATGGTCGAGCAAGCTAATCTCCATAAGATACTTTCCGAGAGTCCGGGTTTGAATGTCATAGTTGTCGGCCTTGGAAATGCGTCGAAGGAAGTTCATCGGGTTGGGGAAGCTCATGTTGTATTCAAGAGTCGCAAGGACGTGACGTTCCGCATCCAAGATCTCCTTGTCGGAGAATGTCTCATCGGCGACATGGCTAAAGTTGGCAACGTGGGGGGACAGAACTTCCTCATACTTGGAGGCGATGAACATGGCGGTCACTCCAACGAGCTGCAAGCGGTCCAGGGCGACGACCTCCGCAGAGAGGAAACGGTCGATGATGTTGACGGCAAGGAACAGGGTTTCTGGGAGGAGGCGGAAACGGGTGTGAACTTCGATCAACCAATCAACCAAGATACCTCGCATCTTCCACTCCAAATCTGGCTGGTGCTCAATGTATTCAGGGTTGGGCATGGTGGTCATCTCCAGATCCTTCAGATAGTCGAAGATCTCCACCACGTATTCCGCGGCCATCAATGGGTCGTCGAGGTCCTCGGTATCCAGGTCCAAATACTCAGGCAGCGCCTCCTCCGGGATTTTCTTGACCCCATCCTTCACGTCATCGACTGGCACGGCCTTCTTGTTGTTGTCGACCTTCTTTCGTGGGGGCTCTTCAGTTTGTTGCTCATCCTTGCCAGTCTTGGTGGAGGGCCGCTTCATGCTGGCCGGGCGCTTAATCTCAGGCTTCTCGTTAAGCTTCCTGGTGTTGCTAGCGACAGTACCAACGGCAGTCCGTGATGAGTTGGTACGGCTGAGCTTCTGGACTCCCCCAGTCTGGACCGTTGCCTTCGAGGTCAGGCCGGCCTTGCCAGCGACGGTCTTCTTTCCATCCTTGATCTCAGTGGCATCGACCTTATTGACATTGCTCACATCTCCCAGGGCAGCACGGCGACGTGGAACGCCACTGGCAGTTGTCGTTGTTCGCTTCGTCTGCAACGGCTTCTTGGCCCCATCAACAGCACCGTCGGTGGTCAGAGCGGCGGCCTTGGCCCGCGTCACACGCGTCGAAAGGCCGTTCTCGTCGTTCTCATTCATGATACCTCGGGTGCGGAGGCTACGGGCCTAAGATGAAGTTAGTCTTTTGATTGCCAATGGAGATCAGACACGCGTCGAGGACGGTTGTGCCAGAACGAGACATGTCCCGCACCGCATCTACTCGAGCTGTCAAGGTCTGGGATAGCTTACCGGAGGCATCGTGGGAGACTAAAGAGAGGACGAAGGGAGAAGGGGACGCGACGAGAGAATAAGAAAGGGCGAGGAATATAATTCTCGTCCTGTTCGCGGGCCATCAAGTCAGCATTCCACTCGACATAACCCCAGTGGGGAACCCAAATACCAGAGCAACCAAGGTCGATGTGCACGTACCACGCGTGAAAATGCGTTGATTCTGATGACTACAGACCTGTCTCAAGGCAAGAAAGGCAGCTCAGATGTTAGAAGATGGGATGAGTCGTGAGTCACGACGCATAAAACAGGATGGTGATATCGAGAGGGTTCGCGAAGACTCTGCTGCCCAAGCTTGAAAAACGCGCGAGAATGCGGGATTGAAGGGCACAGAGGTATTCGAATTTCACGTGGAATCCGTCCAAGAGGATTGGCCCGGGATAAAGGGGAGTTGGGAGGGGAGGAAGGGTATCTTGAAATGGAATGATGATGATGATGAGGGAAAAGGAAGAAGTCGAGAGGGTCAAGCGATGTTTGGCCCTACTGTGCTAGCGTGGAAAACCGGTCAAACCTGAATGACGCCCCACACAGCGAGTCGCGACGGGTCTCTTCCACTTTCGCTTCTTGTCAATGAAACAAATTAGAGATGCGGCAATGGAAAGGAAACTGAAGATAACACAGGCGAAGAGTAGAGAGAGAGGATTCCTTTGTACCGGTTCAGATCGAAGGTAGATCCAGAAATGCAGGGACACGGTGGTTGGGCTGGGTGGCAGGGGCGGTATTGGTAGTATCGGTAACGGTGGATACGCGAGGGCGTCGAAACGTGAGGCGTGTGGGAAAACAACACAGTTGCCCGGCAACCAAATCACGGGATCAAAGGGTTGGTCGGAAACCGAGCCACATTTTGTGGCGGTGACCACAGCCCGACACAGTGTGGCAGATGCAGATACATCACGTGACACAAATCGGGCGACAGAACCAGCGAGGTCTAAGGCGGTGAGAACAACTGTCACGTGAGCACATCCCAGAACTTTTTGCCCTGCAGGGACAGCAAGGTCCAGTCTCGCGTCACGGAGTTGAGTTGTAAGTGCATTGGGCTTGCAATTGGGGAAATTCCACAAGAACCACCGTTGGTGCAACGACTCCAACTTTCCTTGTCTTTGTATCATTATCCGATAACCATGCTTCAACCCCGAATGGCCCTTTGGGGCCTTCGGCTTCCCTTCAGGTGTTTACCGGCCACACCAGTTCGTCAATTTGCAACAGGGATCAATGGAATCGAAACATCCTCCGAAAAGCTTTCTGCCCCGCTGTCTGACTTCAGTGCTTCCTTCGCCCCTCCGCCGACCCGAGATGAATCGGGGGTAAAACTCCGCACATATACTCCTCGCACCCCCGGTGTCCGACACTTGCGGCGGCCCATCAACGACCACTTGTGGAAAGGCCGTCCGGTCCATCGATTGACATTTCCTAAACGTGGTCATGCTAAGGGTGGCCGTAACAATAGCGGTCGAGTCACAGTTCGCCATCACGGTGGTGGTCACAAGCGTCGGATACGGACGGTGGACTTTCTGCGGGCTGCTCCCGGACCTCATCTGGTGGAGCGCATTGAGTATGACCCCGGTCGCAGCGCGCACATCGCGCTGGTCCGTAGCAAAGAGACCACCAATCTGAGCTATATTCTGGCCGCGGATGGCATGCGCGCTGGCGATGTGGTGCAGAGTTATATGTCGGGTATCCCGGAGGACCTGTGGAAGAGCATGGGTGGTACCGTCGATCCCGGTGTGTTGGCGGCCAGGACTGCCTGGAGAGGCAACTGCTTGCCGCTACATATGATTCCCGTCGGAACTCCAATCTTCAACGTTGGTCTCCGTGCCGGAAAGGGTGCCCAGCTCTGCCGTAGCGCCGGAACATATGCCACGGTAGTTGCCAAGGGTAGCGACTCTCGGCAGCAGGAACTCGAGACCGATCAACCTGAAGAGGAAAAGAAGCCTCTGTCGTTTCTTGAGCGTCGAAAGCAGGAGCATCTCGCTCAGCATATCACTGTGCGCCTGTCCAGTGGTGAGACTCGTCTCCTCCACAAGGATTGTTGTGCCACTGTGGGCGTTGCCAGCAACCCCAACTATCATTACACTCAACTGGGCAAGGCCGGTCGCTCGCGTTGGCTCAATATTCGTCCCACAGTTCGTGGGTTAGCTATGAACGCGATGGACCACCCACACGGTGGTGGTCGTGGCAAGTCCAAGGGTAACGTTGACCCGAAGAGCCCTTGGGGTATTCCGGTAAGTCATCCGTCATCAAGCACATATTTCCAGAATCCTGTTCTAATCAATCGTGTTCTTTCTTCTTTTGCGGACAGACCAAATCCGGCTACAAGACCCGACCCAAGTGGAAGATCAACAAGGCCGTTGTGCACCCAAGACCTCGTAACCAAGGCAAACGCCGTCGTGGTTACAACTAAAGGATTCCTTTTCCGCCTTTCTCACTCGGGATACTGAGAGTCACTCGGATTATTGTCCTCTCTACAACTCCTCTGCATCACTCTCCAGACTACGAGCTTTCCCCATCCCATGCCTTGCCTCCAACCACACCCGGGGCGACTGTACGATATTTTCCTTCCTGATTTCTTGCATCTCAGTGTAACTTTCTCCCAATGTCTACTATCACTGGGTATATTCGTTTCTATTATCAGTGGGACCTTGGGTGATGCCGTGTATTTATTAGCCTGAAAAATCCAAGATCATTTGTATAAAAAATGTGAACCAATAGGTCTACTTTATCCCCATTATATTTCTCATCCTACGTCGAGTATGGCTTAGAGAAGTCCTTTATGGCCCATTCCATCACTTGTCCACGTTAGAGACATCGCATCCTGTCTAATTGCCCAGGGATGTATTTGTCTTCGGAGGCGATCGACACCCGGAGCCCTGTCGATCTGCCAAGCCCGCCAGGCAACGCTGTGGTGCGTATACCCCCCCCCCCAAATGCTAAAATCTAGGGTCAGCACCTACACGGGCGATGGGAGATGAAGTGCCTCCACAATAGTTGCGCGTGGAAGGTAGTCGAACCCAAATTAAGGGGGAATAAGTTGATAACAGAGAGAGAAGGTCGGGGCCGAGAATCAGAGCTCAGCCCTCTTCTGATACGAGGTGCCGCCGTCATCCTCACATTTTGTCTTTTGCTCCTTCTTATCCCCGCAGACCCTCACGCCATCTGATAAGAACAACTTGTTGCGCTTGACTTGTGAACAATTCATGTCTCCTACGTCCTTCACGCCGCCCTGAAGTCCCTGGTCTTCATAAGTGTCGCCAAGCCTAGAGTCGTTATCGGTTCTGATTACGAATTACGTCTTTCTCTCTGCGCCCGGCGACCGCGCCCGCTATGGAAAACCTCCCACCCTCGGGATTCGCACAGGATGCTTCGCAGTACTCCATGCTGCCATCATCTCTATCAGAATCATCTCGCACGGAAAACAGCAACCCCGCCCAAAATGCCGATGCGAGCGATAGTCACTTTGTTCCTCGCCCGAAGCGCATCGCATGCGTTGTCTGCCGGCGGAGGAAGCTGAGATGCGATGGAAACCGGCCAAGCTGCGGAACATGCTCGCGCTTGAGTCATGATTGCGCTTATGATGAAGTGCGCAAGAAGAGTGGACCGAAGCGTGGGTATGTGAAGCAGCTGGAAGCGCGACTAGGTATGTATCCTGGGAGAGGGTTTTCTACCAGGGTGGTGAAGATTGTCACTAATCATCGCCGCGCCATCAGCTCAAGTCGAGACACTTCTCAAAGGTCAAGAATCCGATAATGCACAACGAACATCCCCGCCTCAGCCGCCGGAAAATGCGTTCACAGGATCCATGCACGATGACTCCCTGCTGTCTTTGCACGACATCTCTTCCCTGGGGAACGACATCAGCGCCTCAGTGCCTGCAACTTCAAATGGACTTGGTACGTCGCAGCTGGGCCATCCTGTGTTCGAGGGAGTTTCAGGCATCCCCAGCGACCCGCAGTGGGATTTGATCAGCCTGGGCTTGGAAGAGCCTCTACCAGCCCAGGATGTGATAGAGGAACTGTAGGTGAGCCGCTATCTACCCTACTATCCTATTACTGACGTTTTTGGTTTGCAGAGACAACATATTCTTTGAAAAGATCTGCCCGATGCTGCCAATAATCCATCGCCCCCGATACTATTCCGCTCTGAACCTCGCCCCTCACATGCGGCCTCCCATATGTCTACGATACATGATGTGGTCCCATGCTGCTTCCGTTACCGACAAATACTTCTTTCTACACCACCACTTCTATCAGCGATCCCGCAAATACGCTGAGATGGACGAGATGAAAGGATTCGGAGAGGGGGTGGTCAGCCTGGCACATTGCCAGACTTGGATCCTCATTGGTACCTATGAATTTCGCATGATTTACTTCCCGCGGGCTTGGTTGAGCGTTGGTAAAGCGACCAGGCTGGCGCTAATGATGGGGCTGCATCGATTGGACGGTGCCGGTCTAGATGTCAAGCAGTCTATACTTCCACCCAAAGATTGGACTGAGCGAGAAGAACGTCGGCGCGTTTTCTGGATGGCATTCTGCACGGACCGCTATGCGAGCATTGGGACTGGCTGGCCAATGGTCATTGATGAGAATGATGTTGGTTTTTCTATCCACACCCTTGTATGACTCTCAGGATGCTAATTGTTGACAATAAACAGGTAATGACAAATCTCCCAGCCTCCGAAGAGTCATTCTTGAAGAGCAAGCCACAGCGTACGCTTCGTCTATCTGATATTATTGCAGGCGAAGGAGTGTCTACGTTGTCTCCATTTGCATGCGTTTGCGTTCTGTCGAACCTATTTGGTCGGAATCTCGTCCACATCCACCGACCACACCCAAATGATAACGATAATGACCTTAATGGCGAGTTCTGGAAACGGCATCGAAGCCATGATAATATACTCCTTCATATTGCGCTTTCTTTGCCTGACCACCTGCGACTTCCGAGCGGGATGGATGATGTCAATGTTATCTTTGCCAACATGAGCATTCATACCTCGACCATTTGTCTCCACCAAGCCGCAATATTCAAGGCTGAAAAGAACAAGATGCCAAACCAAATTATCATCGAGAGTAAACGGCGATGTCTCGTGGCAGCAAACCAGATCTCAAGTATCATGAAAATGGTTAGCCATATGGATCTGTCAATCGTATGTCTGAGTCCATCGTGCTATCATCATTACTCAAACTAACTGCTGGCAGTTGAATCCTTTCATGTCATTTTGCCTCTACATCTCAGCACGGGTGTTTGTACAGTACCTTAAATCTCGACCTGATGACTCCACGGTCTATTCCTCGTTACAATTTGTTGTCTCGGCTTTGAATGCTATGAAATCCAAGAATCCTCTGACGGAATCTTTCCTCGTTCAGCTAGACGTCGATCTTGAAGGAACTGGGATACATGCGCTTTCTAGCTCAAAGAGCGGCACTAGTCATGTTATGCAGGCGATGGTAAGTCTTCCCTATCATTTCAGATTATCAGAAGACTCGAGGACACTCATTCCAAAACAGCAAACATATTGTGCTGAAAAAATGGAGTGCACTCCCTTGTACACTGTTCGTGAAAATCAATCTGCAGACTCGAATAATGAGGCTCCTCGAAACAACACGAATATGAGAGGCTCTGGAGGTCATGCACAATCCAGTATGACCGCATCACTTCCCCGCCGACAGAAGAGTTCTACGACTTTAGACCTTGAAAGTGGAGCTGGTGGTAATGGATCGCAATATCTCTTTCCCCACGGAATACGATCGGGGAATGGAAACTCAGACCCAATTGGTCAGGGCATCACTGATGTCGATATGGAGTTTTCACCAGATTTTGGCCTTGGAGACAGGAATCCACCCTCTGATCACCCAACACCATCAACTTTGAACTCGTCTTCTAATACGTCCTACTCGATTTCTGGGACAGACAACCCTTCTCCGGATAAGAAGCCAAAAACAAGCTCTGCATACCCATCCCAGAGCTCTGCCACATCTTTTGACAAGGTCCATTCAGCCCATATTTCCCCTGCAACGGCCGAGTCGTCGCAAGTTCCCGATATGAGCTCATTATCTGGACAAGTATATGCGACCAGCACCGCTAGTCCCCTGGGAGCCACCGCGGCGGCAAATGCATTCGCTTTACCTGCTGGATGGGATCTGCCCACACCTAATTCTGGCAATCCCACCAGCATTGATTTTAACAATCTGAATGTTGAATCCTTGAGCGATGCTCAATGGGCACAAATTCTAAATAACGGAGTTAGTAATGGCTGGGAGAATTGGCGCCCATCGTGAAGCCCACCTGAGTGAACTTGCATCTATAATCCATATTACTTGAAGGATCTTATTACAACGATCTTCATTGCGGGATCGCTCATCAAAGGGCCTTTTCTCTTACACGAGTGGCATCAATTTACTCTCCTCTCCAACTTGTTGACACATACAACACTATGAAGTGAATGCTCTCTTCGGATGACCTCCGTGTGTCATCACATCCAGAACCGGTCCACATTGGTCCTAATAGCTGGCGGTCAAGAGGAAACTTACCTAACCCTCACACCAGGTTCCCTTGCGAGCTCCAAAAGGTCTGCTCTCTCGTTGTGCTCATGAATATTATACCCGAAAGTCAAATCTTCTTGATTTGTGGCGTTCGAGGTCTTTGCAACGATTTAATGATGGAACACAAATAACTTTGATATAATTCAGCTCTCCTCTCTGGTCTGATAATTGATCATCTCTTTTCAAGGAAAAACTGTGTGATATGGCAGTCCTTACGATAATACAATGCAGACAAAACAAGAACTATTACTGTGCTTCTGTGGCGTGTCCTTAGGAACGAAATAGTAGTAAACTATTGAGAATACGCCTGATGTGCTACCTGGGCCCTCTTGCAGATCTTTGACCAGTACGAGGAGAATCGCAGAGACACAAAAAATTTAGAGACCACCGCCCGCAGCGCCAACAATCTTCAATCCTCCTGAATTGCTATTTCCAGGCCCATCATTCGTAGTTGAGTATGCCAGCCAATACCTTGACGGGTGCCATGCAACAGCCGGGACGCCAGCATTAGCACCAGTAGTCGGCACAGTGTAGACGCTCTCACCAGTATCGGCGTGAAAGATCTCGATCCCATTCCCACCGCAGCCAAGCTCATCACAAGCACCGCATATGAAGCGCCCATCAAAGCTCCAGCTAACTCCACGAACACCACCACCATTTTCGCTAGAAAGAGTACGCCGGCATATCCAATCAGTGGTATCCCATAAAGAGATAAGCGCGTCACTGCCTCCCACGGCTAGATAGCGGCCTGTAGGCGCAAGAGCGATAGCCATACATGCTGATGTGTGCGCGTGTAGGGTGTGGAGTATGTCGAAGGAAGGGTAAGAAATAATCTTGACGGTACCTTCGCCGGTTGTTGCGAAGAGGTGGAGATCAGGGGAGGAAGGAGAGGCGATGTGGTGGGAGAAGGTTGTGGCATTGGTTTGGATAGGTTGAGGATGCGGCGTAAGGGCTGAGTAGGTTGAAGCGCCAGGCTTTGAGGGGAAAGAGAATGAAGAGGACCCATGGCTTGTGCTTTGGTTGGCTATGATAGTCGGATTTGAAGGCGATTGAACAGAAATTGGGATCAAGGTGTCATCCTAGCAGTAGCAAGAGAGGGTTAGACGATTCTAAGATGGTCGCCAGATGGAGGCAGCAAGAGAACCGACTTACCTTCCTACCAACAACCATAGTACTGCCATCGGCAGACCATGAGAGTGTAAACGCTTCTCCGCCCACATCGAGTCGGCTCACACATGTCTTGGAGCGCACATCCCAGAAGCGTACTGTGCCATCGGTGGAGCAGCTGGCCAACTCGGCATCTCGTACAGGGTTGAAGAGGACTTTCTCAATGCCCGCGGTGTGCCCGCGCAGTTCGGTCGAGTATCGGACAGCAGGACGCTCGGGGTTCCAGATTCGTAATGTACGGTCAGCAGAACCTGTTGCGATTAGCTGGCCGGCAGGATTCCATGCTAGAGTTCGGATACTGTTGGCTCGGAGAGGTCATGTCAGTGCTTGAACGGGGCATAGGAAGGGAAAAAAACTGACGTATGCGATCCTGGCCCTTTCGTGGCTGGGTCATGGTAGTGTTGGGTCTTGACACCCCCAAAGACAATGCCGAAGTGTTCCTTAGCTAGGAGATCTCGGCGCAGCGCAGGCGCCATTTTTGGTATCTCCTGCTGCTCTGGCTGCTGCTGCTATTACTGCTGTTGCTTCTCTAGCAATGGGCAGGAAGTATCAAGCAGATCTGCATTCAAGGTAACAAATGACCCAATTGGCGGAGGCGTGTGGGGTTCTGCGGTCTTCAGTTCAGAGACCCTCAAGTTTCGTCGCGGTGCAGTTGGGATCCATCGCTTTGCGGCGGGAGGCGCGATTGCTGCCTCAGGCGACAAACGTGCTGTCATTGAAGGAGGCGTGGGAAAAGGGACGTGGAAAGACGGAGCACTAAAACTCCTGAGAAAGACTTGCTGTGCGCGTGGAGAGAGGAATGAATGTTCTTTAGTGGCACTCTATTCATCTGGTACAGGCCTGCCTATACTGGTGACTCGTTATCATAACGTTGTCAAGGAGGCTTTCCAGGATGCCGATTTCCCTGGTTTTACTAGACTACCTGGCGATATCATATCGATACTTCCAAATATTTTACTTTATGCTTCATCGTGCTGTTGATTAGCTTTAACGGCTTATTGGATCTAGAAAGGGCTTGCTTCCAAAGGGAGACTTAAGTAGTGGTCTCATATAAGCATCACCATGTCCGATGAGCATACGACCACCTGACGAAATAAATAAGATAGTCTAATTGCTAACCACAGCCGATATAATGAATCTTCAATTCAGTCAAATTTTCCAACACCCTTTCCTTGCGAAGCCGGTGCTATTTCACTTCGGTAGTGAAGCATATTCCTAGAACGTCTATGGTTACCTTAGGATGTGTAACAAACACATTGCAATTTTGACCACATAGAACAATTTTACGCCGTGTATCAGATTAAGACCAATCCGTGCTCAACTTCTTAATTCCCGTAGTAAAAACATCATTAATTCCAAAAATGGAGTCGTGGGTGTGATGCTGAGATCATTGCGGTATCGATAAGAGAAGCTTAATCGAACCTCGAAATCTCCGCCTCCACAGCGCTGCTATCGACAAAATTCTTGCCCGGCAAGTCCGTTTCCCCGACTTAGACAACCATCTTCACTCCAGCGATCAAGAAAAGCGTGCCTTTGATCATTCAAAAGGGCTGCAACATGTTTGACATCACTGACGACGCGTCCAAACGCGAAAAATGCTATACCACAGTCGCTCGTCTGCCTGCTTTTGTCGACCCGAAGCAGATTCCCAGCAAGAAACCTCCTTTCTCTACCATCCTGAACCACCCATTTGTGCATACTGTAAGGCTTTTCACAGCATTAATCAAGGCTCAAAAAATTAATCACTCAGCAGGTCGAACTTATCTTGCCTCAAAATGTTTATGAAAGCATATCCGCGTCATTGGATGCCAAGCTAGAAAAACCGCAGTATGCACGGGTTTTCATGTCACCTTTCGAATTACTCGAACCAGAATTCTTTAACACATACATTAAGACCGGTACAGTCTCTAGTCCCACCAATATTGATGTATTGGTGTAAGGTTTACCAATTTGAATACATCAATACTTCGTTTTGGCCGATCCAAAAAAAAAAAACCCTTCTAATTCCACCTAGGCAATATTCTCATGATTTCGGAAGGCAAAGCTGGGTCAGACAATGTTTTTACACTAAACAATGGTTAGCAGCTCTCAACAAACTCTTGTCGCAAGTTGCCCCTAATCAACACATTATATTAATTTCTGTTCTTGAATAGGAACTATCAAAATCGAATTAGGGAAGGAAGTCTTCGAGCGCACAGGGCTTCCTGGAAAACCAATCCGTAGCGGAGGCAGGAAGCATGGAAAAGAGAGATACTGTATGTGCGATCCACTCCACTAGCATACCGGAGATTGACGAAATCCAGTGGTTGAGTTGAATTTACGACTGCCGTCAATGTTACATGGCAAGAAAGGATTTGACAAAATTGTGTCTGCGTTCAAGAATGTCCTCGACTCGTCCTTGGCCTGGCTGTTCTGCGACCTAGAGCCGACAGTCGGCCAAACCCATGGTTTGTCTCTTCCGCTCTAGGGAAAGAACCCGAAGTTAATTGTCAATAGATACCAGGCCGATCCAAAAGCTTCATCCGCAAGTTGTGGAGCTTGAACAGCTGGAAACGAACCTCGGCACAGTTCTCACTCCACTGCTGGGTGGCCTGCTATCCAACAGTATGTCAGAGGAGGACATGCAAGAAAGATGTGGGGCTCTCTCCGAATGGGTAGCTATGGTCCAGCTGGGGTCCCCTCGGGTGTCTGCTGCCGATCATGTTGACCCATACCTGAGTCGCTACAGCGTCCCAGAGTCCGACGAGACATGCCCCATTGATCTTGTCAGCCTAAAATGGCATGGTTTAATTTCTTCAAAGTGGATAATCCAGCTTTTCTCCGCTTTACTGTAAGTCTGCGACCTCCTCAAACCTTGGCTGCAAAGTGTGAGTGGAGCCTGACCTTGTCTGCCCTAAATGGGCAGCGGCTCTAGGCTTCATACTTCAAAGTTCAGCCCTAAATCGGCTTGGTTCATTTTGTCTGCCTCTGCTCTGGGAAGGCAAGCTATAGAGGGAAAAGACGGTTTTATGATTGCATCTGCTCCAAATATATGCTCCTCTGTCATGGCTGATCAGAAGGATACCGATGCTAAAGGACCCGAGTATCGTCATGCCATCTGCTGGGAGTTTGTTGGGGCAACTGCTATGGAGAATTGAAGGAATGGAAGCCTCAAGATCCAAAATCATTTAAGTGGCCGTGGCGCCTCGCCGTCATCTCGCCGCCGGCTCTGTTAAGGTCGTCGGCGCTCCTCCAAGTTGACAGCATCTTTTCATCATGAACGCTGTCATGAAAGACTCTTTCCATGAGCTCTACCCCCCAGCATTTCCCCCCCTTCTCCACTACCACTTTCTCTATCAAACTCCCTTTCGCTAGAAGCCTCGCTTTTCATATTGCTCTCTTTAATCCTCGTATCGCATATTCACCATCATCACATCTCTCTTTTTCTCCTCTCTCTCTCTCTCTCTCTCGTGTGCGCGCGTGTGTGCTCTCGACCACTCTTTTTTTAACCTTATCATCTGGCTTTCTACATACATATACCAAAGTTGAGAGGCACGATGAACACCACTCTTTCCATTATTTCCATAGAGCGAACTGAAGCTTCTATAAATCAGCTCAATCTACCATTCGACGATGATGAATCGGCCGCGCTCTTCCGCGCGTTCACCAACCAGGATTGGGAAGGGCTTGGACCAAACTCTGGGCTGCACAACAATAACACTTCAGATGAGGCAGGTACGATAAAGCTTTTAAATGACGTGGACCGCACTCTTTCTCCACTACCGTTCATTACTCTCGACATATCAGATCATGAGATAAGCATGCACACCAATACCAACAGTGATGGCTCCAGATCGACTACCGAACTACCTGAGTCTACGACGGACACTGACTCGGTTATTGAGAGGAGCCAAGCAAAGTCATCCACGCCGCCCACGCCGAAAGTTCCAACGCCGCCCTCCACACCAGGCCCTCCATGTCTTGGAGTCCCGTCTGCCGCCAGCCCGTCGATTTCTTATTCAAGGCCTATGCATGGCTGTCTGGAACAAAGCTCCTACCTGACCACAGGCTTCCAAGCTCCAGGACTTGCCCAAATTTTTGGATTCCCTGTACCGGCACCAATGCATAATGTTACGGAGTATCCTGGACAGCCGCCAATATTTCATCCACTGGTCTACCCGCCACCGCCTCCAAACTATCACTTAATGGAGTATTACGGCCAGTTTTCACCTTATAATCAAATCATGTATCCCCCTGTTGGGTTCCCACCAGTACAGTTCTATCCAACTATTCCACCTGCAGTTTCTCCACCTCGGGTACCCACACAACCTTGTCGACCTGCGCCTCCAAAGAGAACATTTGAATTCATTGACCCAACTGTACCTGCGGACTTTGTCGCCAACCCAAATAATCACGGTCGATGGCAGTACGACCAAAATGGCAACAGACATTACCTGAATGCACCAAAGAATAAGAAACCGCGTGTTCGCGCAGAGTGATTATGATGAAGTACATGAGATACCTCGACTTGCTCACTAATTGTATTCAAAATTGTATTTTGTTACTGAATGTGTTTTCTGTCATTTTCTTTTTCACTAAAACGGACCAGCCTGGTTTTATGCATGTTTTGGGGAGTCACAGGATTGTGTTTTGGGCTTTTATTTGCTATCCCAGTCTATCTGGGCAGTGTTTGATGAGTTATCACCTTGCACTTTGTTCAGTCTATTTATATTCTTTGTATCAATAAACAACAACCTATTATGATCAAGAAGATTCCACAGAGTTTAAAATCGTCTGTTTTAGACTGCCAAGAGACTTTTACTCAAAAAATCAAAATTTATTATCACCGCAGTAGCTCTAGTGTTTAGTTGCAGAACCCCTTTGTACGACAACGCCTAAACAAGACTTATATTGATCCATCCTGAGAAAGTCCCCACTACCGAGGGAGTATCTCCTAATCTTTCTCTTGATTTTCGTCTCCTCTCATTTGATCATAGTGTTCCAACAGGTCATGTAGTATTCAGGGTCATATTGAAGCATACAGAACAGGAATCATTCAAACATCAAGCTTGCCTACTAGATCCTTGCGTACAGCATTAGTTCCAACCCATATAGATCGAGTTCCACGCCCTAGGACCCAAGATCGATCCGTAGGTCTCCAGAAACTGAGCTGTCGCTCTGTTATGAAAAAGCTGACAGTTTTCGTGGCCCCTGCGAGAACTTCAACATCTTCAAAGCCAACCAAAGTTGAGACCGCAAATTGAACTCCTGGGTATTTGGAGCTTGAATTCTCTGGGGGGCCAAGGTAAAGCTGGGGAATATCAACTCCATTACGGGAGCCAGTGTTCTTGATTTCGATCGATATTTTGAATCCACCACTAGGTGCTTTCTCGATGGCAAGATTCTTATATTTGAACGTGGTATATGATAAGCCATAGCCAAAAGGAAAGAGGACGTTAGTTTGCGTGCTTAAATACCACCTATAAGCAGAGTTGATGCCTTCGGAGAAGATGGCTGTGCCACTTTCTGTCGCCATCCTTTCTGGATACTTTGGGTTTCTAGTAACTGTGTCATTGACTGACTGCGGATATGTGATTGTGAGTTTTCCCTGAGGATTGCAGTCCCCGAAAAGGAGCGACGCGGTGGCACGACCCCCTTCCTGCCCGGGGTATCCCATCCAGAGGACTGACGAAACTTGCTCAAGCCATGGCATGAGAACCGGATCAGCGTTATTGAGCACAACTACTGTCCTGGGATTCACCGTGGCAACTCGTGAAATGAGTTCATTAAAACCGTGTATCAGTTCCATTCCCACGTCGGAGGGGCTATTGGTGTGTGCGAAGACTATGGGGACTTCCACATCCGACGCAATCTTCTCAGCCGCTTGAAAATTTTGTTCTCGTTGGGATGGAGTCACCCAATTTAGACGGACTTCTACAGGGTCATCGAAGACGTTCGTAACGCTCACAGTGATATTGTGGAGGCCAGCGCTTAGATAAACATCTGTGCCGACTTCATCCCACCCGTCTTTGGAGGCAAGAGGAGAACTCCAAGGGCGAGCTCCTCCATCTCCAAGGAGTCGAAACCCGTCAAACACGGTTCCGTTGACAGTGAGGACCTCGACAGCCCATACACTCAAGTAGTCTGAATCATTGAGTCTGCCGCCGGCGCGGGAAAACCGACGTTGCAAAGACAAACGATAATATCCGTCTTCATTTGCCTTCAGGAAGCCAGCCCAGGAATAGGAGCTATTCCCTGGCAACGCTGAACTTCCAGAAAAATTGATATCTGGATCAAGGGATGTTTCTCCCTCCGAGTTTGTTCGAAGCATTCCAGGGGTTCCATCTTCCTGTTGCAAAGAACTTGCAGGGATGAGAGTCCCGTGGACGTCAACCCCAATTGCTGTTTGGATATGGTCGTTACCAGTAAGCTCTTGAATAGCATTCAAGGCACTCTTTAGCCGTGAGGGTATCCCATATGCCCTCTCGGCAAATCCTGCTCCATGATTATACTGAAAAGCGGCCGGCCCGATGACTGCGAACTTAGAAAGACTCTTGGAGAGGGGTAGTAGGTCGCCCTTATTCTTCAGCAGAATGCCAGATCGACAAGCAATGTCATAAGCGACTGCTGCTGAGTGTTCAACCACCTTTGCCGGTAGTGGATTGGGAATCAAATCCAGTGCTGTCAGGTTCTGCCCAATAAGCCCAAACCGATCATATGTGGAGAGAATGTGATACAGCGCACGATCCAAGTACCCCTCAGAAAGATTCCCATGGACATAAATATCGTTGTATAGAGGTGTGGTATAGTAGGTTCTCGAACCCATTTCCCAGTCCAGGCTTGCCTTGATACTTGGGGCTGTCGAGTGCGTTGCGCCCCAGTCACTCATGACGATTCCCGTGAAATTGAAATCCCCGCGCACAGTACGGTTAAGTAGCTCTTCATACTGACAGGCGGGTATGCCATTGACCTGGGAGTATGAGCACATCATAGTAGCAACTCCAGCATAGACCAAGACCTCATGGGGCTGCCAGTAAATCTCATGAAGTACCTGGAGATCCACTTGGGAATTTGTGTCTCCAGAACTTGCACCACTGCTAGAGGGGCCGATCTGCTTGGTATTGGCCATTATTCCTTCTGCCTGAATGCCTTGGACACCCTGCGCGCCTAGTTGCGCATTCAAGTAGGCATCTTCCGAATAGCTCTGCCAAGAACTGCCTGTAAAAGGATCTCGGAGGAGATTGACGCGTGGAGCCAAGGCCACTCCTGTATGACAATCAGTTTCATATTTACTCTATATGAAATATTTTCAGGAGTCAAAAAGCTCTTACCTGCTTTCAAAAGCCTCGCTTCTAACCCAGTGACATGGCCGGCGGCCTTCGCCATTGACCTAGACCAGGTAGCAGCAACGTTTATTTGGCTAGGAATTGCAGTGGCATCTTGAACTCCATTGATTCCCCTGTTCTAGATTAGCAGTGAATATGAGTCAACTGAGCTTTATTTCGTTCTTACGCCTCTCCATCAGCCAGCTGAAGTGCTGGGATCCCCAGCCTCTGTATTCCTGGGACATATCCAGCATAATTCTCGCTTCCAGCATAGTTCGCACCATGAACAAGAGATATCTTCTCTTGGGGTGTTAGAGCTGTAATCAAAGCATCGATCTTAGTTCTGTGGGCTTCTACACTGGCTAAAAACACCAGACTAGAAATCAGGCGGAAGGAGTTGGCTGAGCGCATGGCGTTCCGGCAAAAGGAAAGAACAAACACTACTGGATGGATTTTTTTCGCAAGAGACAAACGAGCAAGATTCTGGATATATATTCGTCTAAGATTCCCCGCAATGACGCTCAGACGCTTTGGAATGGTCTCCTCTACACAAGAGTCTCTGCTTTCCCCACGAGGGAACACCGGCAAGGTGGACGGCATTTTAGAATACTTCGCTACAACACGCTAGAGATGCGTACACTAGTCCAAGGTCCCACCTCTGCCTCATCCATTTGTGGGGAATTGCGGAGAAAAAGAGCGGGGGTGGTATGCATGGCCCAGAGAGGAAATGATAGCTCTTTAGGCCGTTTGGAGCCTGGCCGTGGCTGACCAAGTAATAAACAGTGATTAACGCCGAGGAATAAGCCCCCGTACCACCAAGTTCTTGGGAAGTCTGTTCCTGCAATAAAAGTCGGTTGGCATATCCAGTAACCTATCTCAAAGCCGAACAATATACTGCAGGTGCCCCCAATGCGTGAACATCAAGCAAAGGTTGAGACGCCGAAAAAAACAATAACGGATTGGATTTAAGACTGCATTTATTAAATCTTCCTTGTTGCATGAGGGGATTTGATGTAAATCAACCAGAGGTGATGCGATACCCAGATCTTATTCAGATAACTATGACCTGGGTGGGATTTGCCCAATTGCAAGCCACAAAAACATTTATTAGACAAAATGAGACCACCGAAACCCTGACGACAAATACCTAAATGCGATCCACGCTATGTGCAAATCAAAATGAGCCTAACGAATGAATAGTAAAAACAAACACAGCCAGGTTCTCTCATCATGAAATATCATTCACTAGGTCCCGAATGATGGGCCTATTGCCGACAACGGTTTCACCATTGAATATCTTCGCACCTATTTTGGCAGGTTTGCGAAGACTAGAAGTTTGCCGAGAGCCCAAAGGGCTAAGTGGCTCTCGGGGAAGTGGACTTTGCTTGGTCGAGGGGCTCGTTTTCTTCTTTCGTGAGCCAGGTGTTCGAGCCGTATTTGGAGATTGGTATGGCATTTGGGTTGGATTCAAGGTTGCTGATTGGAAGACATGGCTTTCGGCTGCATCGACAGGCAGATCGTAGACCCAGCCTTTACCTTCAACCAGACGGACATATTTGCACAAGAGTTCATTACCATCGCGGAGTGTTGATTTGCTACCGAGGACAAGGAGCTTGGTGCGAGCGCGAGTGAAAGCGACGTTGACACGACGCCAATCTCGAAGGAGCTCTCCAACATGGTTGTCGGAGTTACTGCGCACACAACTCAGAATGATGACTTCCTTGTCACGTCCCTGAAATTTATCGGTCGTATGCATTTCAAGATCCGGTGCATAGCAACGAAGGCTTTGACGCAGCAAAGATAGTTGGCTGCGGTAGAATGTTATGACTCCGATATTACGAACTGGAATACCGGAAGCAATAAAAGCTTCAACCAATTGAGAACAGAGGACGGTCTCTATATGGTTCACGATACGCTGGCCTTGGGCTGTCTCGAGAGATGCTGATCCCAGAGGGTCAGTGTTGACAAGAAGGGTTTTGGCAGTGGGATTGAGAAGGTCATTCAGCCAACAATGTCCATGATCGGGACCATGACACATCTCTTTTTGTTCAGGGTCATGTTCATCAATGTGGAATTTCTTGAGAGCATGGATATTCGGTATCTCAAGTGTGCTTGTGGCAACTTCAGGGGTACCACATTTAAGGCGACCAGAGTAGATCAAATTGTTGGAAAGAAGCATGATGTCCTCGCACATGCGATATTGGTGTTCCAGATTGACTACAGAGTCGGGCTGAGCATCGGAAAGTAGCTTGAATAGACTGACGTCTAGACCTCCTTCCTGTGCGGCTTTATTCTGCACTAGAGGCGGGAGTTGATAATGATCACCAACGAGGATGAAAGTGCTTGCCATACGAATTGGTCCCAAACAGACTGGAAGTGTGATCTGTGAAGCCTCGTCGACAATACAATAGTCGAAGATACGCTGATTGAAAATATTGTGATTCACACCCAGACACGTCGTTGCAACGACTTGCGGTTTCTCATATGAGTCCTTTAGTTCTTCAATAGTCTTCTTTGGAATCGCTGCGAGGTCAGCGAACTCCTGTACTTCCGAATGAATTTTGGTTGTAGCACCAATGCGCAGGATGCGGATATTATCATCGCGGATCTTGAGAAGAATGTTGTCCACGGCAGTGTGCGTATAGGAAGTTAGCAGTACGCTTTTCCCTTGAGCAACTAAGGCTCGAATAATGTGGGCAATGGTCGTTGTTTTGCCGGTTCCGGGCATTCCCAGAATTAGGGCATAATCCTTGGCACTCATGACTTTCTCAATAGCTTGCTTCTGGTCGATATTGAGAGAGTCGATATCAGAGATTGGGTATGCTGAGGACGTTGATCTGAAGACAGGTGCTTGGCATTGGATGATCAGTCGTCTCAAATGCCTCGCCTGGAACAAATCATTGTCCATCATGCAAATGAGATTGTTTCGTACGATAGCCATGCCGTTACTGAATTCATCCTTGTCGATTCGATACACTGGTTCTTCATTGTCTTCAAGGCAGGTGGCATTCCCATGGCCAATTTCCATAATACCCTTGAATGATTGATTTGTAACTGCGTTGAAGCCGGATGTTTTGGCTCTTGCATTGTGCAATTTTCGGTCAACGGCTACTGTGATGTGTGATGTGCTCACATGAGTGACATAGCCATTAGAAAGAGCAAAATGGCCTTTCTCATCTGAAACAACAACGGGTTCTCCAACAGAGATTTGTGACTCTGCAAAGGAGAAGCCTGGAGAAGCTTGTTTCTTATGAAAAGTGTATCGAAAACGGTTGATCTTGGAACCGTTCTCCTCCTCATGAGCAGATCTCGGGTCGATCACAACATCCCCAAAGCAACGACCGAGAGCCTCCCGCTCGCTACTCAAAAGCGTCCAAAGCTCTCGTCGGAACTTGACCAAGTTCCCTTCTTCTTTGGTGAGGAGCTCATCCCATTTGCGGAAGAATTGCTGATCGCCTTGGTTGAGATGACGGGTAAACTTGACGAAGTCGTCACCAAGCCCGCTTGTCTCCCCATCGCCGTCTTCTGATAACTTGTGATAGAGAAGACATGGGGTCTTCGCATAACACTTGTTGCATCTTTGTGGCTTTTTCAGCATTGGTGGAAGGCGCATTCGCTCGCGAATGAACTCTGCTAGACGGTTCCGAACTTGGATCATTTGAACTAGCTCGTGCCGTATACCGCGAATACTTAGGGTCTTGGAGAGCTCAAGATAGTACAAAAGTCCAAAAGTGACATTAATATCTGTAAATTCCAATGTTAGCGACTAACGACGATCAAATAGAGAATATAAAGACATAGGTTACCATAACGATCAGAGAGCAAGAGGGTGTAGAGAGCAGTCTGCGCTCTATGGCTCTGGTTCGTATCCCTCTTACCCGTTTTCAACTCGAGCGGTATAACGAGGTTTTTTAATCCGTCTTTGTCCCGGCAGCTAACTTGTACCGTGGCATCAATGTTTCCCTTGAGGCCAAACATGGGCGACCATACATGCTCTTCAACTTCAAGTAACTTATTGATGCTCAGATTGAGTTTGGTGCTGTTGCGGTCCTCAACCAGGGAGTTTGCCTGTTGATACGATTAGATAGATGCTTGCCCAAATTGTCGGGAATCCACGTACCTGGGGTTTGGTGTGAAGAAACACTTCTGCCCAAGCTTGAACAGTCGGTATTTTACCCATTACTGTCTCAACAGCTTCGGGTATACTCATGTTAATTGAATATAACTCTTCTACATGTTTCTTCATAACATTTTCAACCAGTAATCTCAATGAGTCAAGATCCCATCGGTTGGCCTTCAAGGCCTCCTGGAAGATTTCATGAAAGAAGACACCGAATGCCTGTGGTCTTTCAAGCTGACCAAATGCTTTGACACGATCCTGAAGTATAGCTCGCCGTTGGCAATCAACCGAGTCAGCTACAACAGTTGCAGATATCAAGTGGTCCGGATGCAGAATTATCATATTGTGAGCATTATCCACAACACATTGACCAGAGGAGTTGAAGTCCCCAACAAGATGAATGAATGAGTCTTTGCTGCAGGGAGTGTCAAACCACGACTCTCGTAGGATGATAGCTTTCCGGGAGCGCGTTCTCTCGTCTTCGACCGATAGGACCTATGACCTTGTTAGGGGTTGCAAATGGAACTAAGGCTTGCATAGAAAATACCTGTTCGGGCTGAGAACGTCCCCTCGACGTGACATACATGTTTTCCGCAGAATCCATAATCTGGTAACGCTTGATAGCTTGCCGACCATTAATGTTCTATTGTTTGACTCTCTTAGCAGATACCTAGGAGTGAGTCCTCTAAGAGTGACCAACGTGAGATGCATCTTCACCAGTCTGTTTCATGGTCTGCTCAATAGCATCCAGATCAAAATCATCATCAAACTCATCCTCAGAGACATCAACCTCTTGTGCTAAGGGTAAACCGGTAGATATATTCACTCCACCAGCAGCGGGAGCCGTTCCTAATTTCTTCTCGGTTTGTTGTCCTGCAGCGATGAGTTTAGATGAGACGATCTTGTTGGGCTTTCCATCGCATTCCGCAAGAAATTCCTCCAAGTTATCATCGAAATCCCCATACTCGTCTTCCAAGTCTTCGGATTCTTCGTTTTTGGTTTCGTTATTCATAATTTCGTAGACTGTATACAGTTTATTATCCCCCACTAATGATTTCTCCGGCTGACTAGGTTGTAGCTTCTCTGCAGCAACCTTGGACCAGCCAGAAGATCCAAGAGATTCAAATTCGGTTTGATTGCCAGTGGGGGCAGTAAAAGGGTCCGCAGAAGCGTCGACCAAATCCATGAAATCCTGGTCTAGATCGTCATCTCCGAACTCGGATGATGAATCTTCCACCGGAGCACCTAGAGTAGCTCCAGCATTGACATTGGAATAATTTTGGGCAAGGTCAACGGGATATGGGCCTTTTCTGTCCATTGTTGGGGACGAAGACCGGCACCTTTGCGCATCCATACGTTGTCGCAAAGGGGAGGAACCGGGATGGCCCATTTCGGCCTGTGGGGCTGGCTGTAGACTCTTTTCAATTCTGTCAAGGATGAGGTTGATCCTAGATGACTTCTTTCCCGAGTCTAAGACATTACTGTTTGTGCGCGAGAAGATACCTCGACCAGAGCCAGGGTCCTGCCTGCTGACACGCCTTCTCTTCGCCCTTGATGTGGGCCATTCGGCAGCACAACTTATTGACCGCCTCAAACCAGATGAATCCCGACTTGTTTTTCCGGAGACTGGTGTTTGAGGCGACGAAGACAGAAGGTTTGCGAGACGAGTAGGCGGAAGTTCTTCTGACCCATCAACCATGTTTTTGTCCACATAGTTGTTCCACAACTCAGCGGCCAAGTCATGCTGGGGGGTTTTAAATAGTGCTTGGATAGACTGCAGGTCGAATGGTTCTTTCTGGGCTTTCTTTGAGTTTCCATTCGAGGGAGAACCTGCAGACGATGAACTATGGCGACGCTTCCGTCGACGATGGCCGGGGGTCTGGGATGAGCTGTCGGGATTCGAGCTAACTGGAACATGTTGCCATATAACATGATCAACTGGTGTGACCTCCGGACCTGGTGCGGGGTCAAATGCGTCTTCAGCATTGCTGATCAAGTCAGCAAGAGGTATACGATTTCCCGGAGTCTGCGGGCATTCTTTGACTAGTTTAGGATCCTCCGCAGGGGCCTTGACAGGGACCTTTTGGGGCAGAGGATTGGCCTTGTCGGAAGATGTGGGCATTGATTCCACCACGCCATTTAGCCACGAGCTTTGGTTCTCCTTATTCCGATGAACCACGTTCGTCCCATCCTTCGACGCGGTGTTTTCAGGAGCCAGAATTTCGTCTTGGTAGCGGAAAGCGTTTAATTTGGTGCGCGAGTGGGAAGAGACAGGGTATGAGTTGGTGTTTGTTGCCATGATCTCGGCCAGACTTTGTCCAAGAGCTCTCTTCTCAAAACGGGTAATAATACATTCTCGAACTTGCGATCGCAATGTCAGTCCTGGAACGCGCAATTGGGAAAGCTGGAGCTCAACATACCGAATGCAGGCAGCTGTTCATCGAAGGACACGGCCAAGGAATATGGGGGAGGTAGAATGTAATTGTAGAGCGCAGCTCTGTTGGCAGTTCGCGAATAGTATTATTGAACGATGGGGTTGCGACGATAAGACGCGTCGCGTTAGCTGACTTACAGTTACGTGTAGGGCGCCGAGTGTTTCTGCCTGATTTATCGGGGAATAATGTTGCCTTGTTAATTAGGCATAAAAAGCGGCCAGGGAAAATCGCCCAAAGGGGACTAGCGCAGTGACTGGTCAGCTCCCCATCGGCCTTTTGCGGCTTCAACATCAACCGCCGACTAACCCCTCTCCTCTCCATTCCACCAAGCGGTGTCATACCAATTGCGACTGTTGCTGCCACATTGGCAAGGCGACTCTTAGTTGGCCTTGTCCTTGATCCCACAATCGCCTAAGTCACTAGACTTCGTCCGACATCACTTGAGTTCATTAAGCTCCCGTCAAGATGGTTGCCCGACCCTTGTCGCATCTCCTCCGCTCGCGCTGCCTGCTGCGCACGCCTCAGAACGTCCAGGCCTTTTCGACTCGAAGCAATCTCCGCGCTGCTGACCATGGCAACCACTACGACCCCCCGACTGGCTGGCTGTTCGGCGTCAAGCCCGGCCAGAAGTACGTGAAGGAAGGCTGGGAGGGCATCTGGTACTACGGCTTCATTGGAAGTCTGCTGGTTGCTGGTGTCGCATATGTTTTCAAGCCTGATACCTCGTATGTGTCTTTTACACCCCCCTAGTTATTTTCCAGATTCGCACTCCCACAGGACTCCCTGGAACTGGCACCCTTGACGAAGAAGGGATAACCGTTCTGAATCGATTACTAACTTTCTTCGAAAGTATACAAACCTGGGCTCTTGAGGAGGCTCGTCGGAGATTGGAAGCCGAGGGCATCCTGGAGGACCCTGACAAGGTCAAGAAGTAGACGGATCGGTTTTTGCACCTAATCTGTACACTGTACATAGAGAGATCGGAAAAGGATATTTCGGTTGATGCCTGTATTGCCTACAATGGCAGATATGATGTTCCGATCCTTTGGTTAGATGGGTTTTCGCATGTCCTTTCATTTCCATTTTCGTCCACCAACCTGTTGTACTACTTTATATTCGGTTGAACTCACTTTCCTATCACATCAATACAGGTGAAATAAAACAAAATAGTATCTATCATATCCAATCCTAGTATTTCTATCCAGAAAATCTTAGTACATCAGCCAAGTTTGTGTCTTTTCTAGCCTCTATGGACACTCACATGTGCTTAGAAGCGATTCCATTCTCACATAACCCTAAACTTCTAGGTAGATATCAGTTCGCCTGAGCAGGGGCATCTCTCTCCGGATCTTCGAAACGAGATCGAGATCGATGTCTGCAGTTGCAATCTCGGGTTCCTGATATTCGTCACCTAATTTCGCAACCACTTCGCCCCACGGGTTGATAATCATAGAATGCCCATAACTCCGCCTCTTCTCATTATGGGGACCTGCCTGAGCAGCTGCTATAACATATGACTGTGTCTCAATAGCCCTTGCTCGAAGTAAAGATTCCCAATGAGCTTTACCAGTCGGTACAGTAAATGCCGATGGATAAGTTATGACCTCGGCATTCTGACGCCTCAAGGCCAAGCTAATCTCCGGGAAACGCAGCTACATTGGGGAAGAAATTAGTAAAAACTGATGTGGGTGGGTGTTCGCCTTAACCCTGGCCAAATGCCTAGCAAGTTAAAGGGCAGCTTGATGTAAATTATGGCTTACATCAAAGCAGATGGCTAAACCAACACGTCCCACAGGCGTCTCAAAGGGCGGCAGAATGCGTGGTCCAGGTTCAACGTTGCTGCAAAAATACTCCGTATTAGCCTAGAGAACTTGACTATGAAGAACAATGACATACGCGCTCTCTTTTAGCATAGGGCCTCCCTGTATATCGACATCGAAGAGGTGGACCTTCTGATAATTCTGGGTAATGATTCCCTTGTCGTCAATCCAGACCAATGAATTCTTGAGTCGATATTCAGAAGCAATTTCGTGTATGCCGACATTTATGTGAATTTTTTCAAGCTTGGCTTGTTGCTGCAGGGCTAGAATAAAGTCACCACATTCCCCTGATTTGGCTAGAGAAAATGACTCTTCTGCCGAGGAAGCAATATAGTCCGAGGCCTCGGGCAAGAATAGGACCTGATTTATTAGCAACAAAAAGCATTGCGGGTGTGCTGGAAAGCATCTATACACATTTACCTTAGCACCTGCCGCTGCGGCTTTCCGGATCAATGTCTGACATTGGGCTAGATTGGAAGTTATGTTCGCTGTCGAGCAAAGTTGTCCCACGGCCTGTCTCAGACGTAAACAATCAGCGGTGATGAATAATGATATGCAATTACAATCAATGAGCGTACTGCAAGAACCATTGTTACTGGATATCAGCGATAGTCAATTTTGTATTTTTTTTTCTCAAAAATTGTCTTCTCGCAGACTGGTGATCCTTAAAAGGTCTTGATGCGCCGGGAATTGGGGGGAAGGCCGATAGGTGATTACTCAGCTATCGCAATGCGATAGCCTCATCCGCAAAGATTCATTCTCGACTACCACACTTTGACCACCAGCGGCTCCGGAGTGATCAAGGATTACTGCCTGGCAAAGATTTATTGTCACAATGAAGAGCTTAAGAAGAGAATTCTCTTCAAACCCGCAGGCTGCCAATGTAACTAGCAAAGTCTTTGTGAGGTCTACGAAGAGCGGCAAGGTGCAAAAGATTGTTCGTGAGCTCTATCTGAGACAAGATATTCCTTGCTCCTCGAAGCTCTGCACGATATGCCCTTCAGTTGCCCCCGCTGATGCCAATGGAAACAGTATGAGATCTTTTGCATTTTTGTGGATTGAGAGCTTTGGGCTAATTCAAGAGATAGTTGCACCCTTTGTCCTCTCCGATCGTCCCGCCGGCACGAAGACATTCCCTCGCGGCCATTACCTCGTCCCTGACACAAATGCGCTATTGAATGGAATGGATCTTTTTGAGCACACTGGCGCATTCTACGATGTGATCATCCTCCAGACTGTCCTCGAAGAACTGCGTAACCAATCGCTGCCTCTCTACAACCGACTTCTCTCTCTTATCAAGACCGATGAGAAACGTTTCTATCTTTTTTTCAACGAGTTCCGTATGGAGACACATGTGCGCCGGGGTCCCGAAGAATCGATCAACGACCGCAATGATCGCGCCGTACGCATGGTTGCGAAATGGTACGGCGAGCATCTTCGGGCCTCATCCAAGAAGGGCAAGAAGGAGAAATCGGTCCCTGCCATTGTCGTCATTACCGATGACAAGGACAACATTAAAAAATCCAAAGAAGAGGGCGTGACAGCCTTGTCTTTGTCGGACTACATCGGCAGCCTGGAAGACTCGGCGAAGCTTTTGGACATGATCAGTGAAGCGAGGGAGGCACGGGATGCCAAAGGCTCGGCTCGTGGCGAGCTATTCTACCCCGAGTATTATTCTATGTCCAAACTCATGACCGGTTTGCGTGCTGGCAACTTTCATCAAGGAGTGTTTAACGTTTCGCCCTACAATTACCTAGAGGGCTCCATCAAGGTCCCGGCTTTTGACAAGCCACTGCTCATCTTAGGACGTGACAACAGCAACCGTTCCATTGCAGGTGACGTTGTGGTTATCGAAGTTCTACCACAGGATCAGTGGAAGTCCCCATCCACGAAGATCGTCGATGAGGAAGCCGTCACTCGGAATGACAACCCCGAGAGTGAAGAGAGTGAAGCTATTGTTACAGACAAAGAACGCAAAGCTCTTCAAGAAGAGGTGAAGAAGGCTCACGGCAAAAACTCAGAAGGAAAACCACAGCCAACCGCTAAGGTAGTTGGCATTATTAAGCGCAACTGGCGACAATACGTGGGACATGTGGACTCGAATTCGACTGGTTCGCAAGCTGCTTCGGGGAGGCGGCAAGAAACTGTCTTTGTTTTGCCCATGGAAAAGAGAGTTCCAAAGATCAAGGTCCGAACTCGCCAGGCCGCTGATCTGCTTGGCCAGCGCATACTTGTCACTATCGATTCGTGGGAACGGGACTCGCGCTATCCCACCGGTCATTTCATTCGATCTCTGGGGGAACTTGAAACCAAAGGAGCCGAAACGGAGGCTCTTCTTCTGGAGTATGATGTGCAGTACAAGCCTTTCCCCAAGTCTGTCCTAGATTGCTTGCCATCGGAGGGTCATGATTGGAAGGTTCCTGCTTCCAAGGAGCACAGGGGCTGGAATGGCCGCCGGGATCTACGCGATCTACTCGTTTGCAGTATCGATCCCCCAGGCTGTCAGGATATTGACGATGCACTTCACGCACGTCCTCTGCCGAATGGCAACTTTGAAGTCGGTGTGCACATTGCTGATGTATCGCACTTTGTAAAGCCCAATAACGCCATGGATCTCGAGGCAAGTGTCCGCGGTACAACGGTGTACTTGGTCGATAAACGTATCGATATGCTTCCACACCTCCTGGGAACAGATCTTTGTTCTCTTAAGCCATACGTGGAACGTTACGCCTTTTCTGTTCTTTGGGAAGTAACCCCCGAGGCCGAGATTGTGTCTTCTGACTTCACCAAGTCAGTCATTCGCTCGCGTGAAGCGTTCAGTTATGAACAGGCCCAAATTCGTATCGACGATGCTTCGCAAAACGATGAATTGACGGAAAGTATGCGGAATCTATTGCGTTTCTCCAAGATTCTCCGACAAAAGCGTTATGATGCGGGTGCCTTGAATCTTGCCTCGCCCGAAGTTCGCATCGAAACCGATAGCGATGAAGTTGGCGATCCCTTAACTGATGTCAAGACCAAGGCCATGCTTGACACAAACAGCCTGGTCGAAGAATTCATGCTTCTCGCCAACATAACCGTTGCCACCAAAGTCTACAACTCTTTCTCTCAGACAGCGCTACTCCGACGACACGCTACTCCCCCGCCGCAAAATTTCGAGGACCTGATCAACCAGCTAGCCAAGAAACGCAACATGGAGCTTGATGTTTCTAGTTCGGGTGCCCTCGCTAGCTCACTGGACCGCTGCGTCGACCCTGAGAATCCGTTTTTCAATACCCTTGTCCGTATTTTGGCCACTCGTTGCATGACTTCAGCCGAATACTTTTGCGCCGGTGCTCATGCCGAGTCCGAGTTTCGCCACTATGGCCTGGCTTCGCCTATTTACACCCACTTCACATCTCCCATTCGACGATATGCCGATCTACTCGTCCACCGGCAGCTAGCCTCCGCCATCGGCTACGAAGGCGAGGATGGCCATGCTGTTATCGAAGGTGTCAGCACGCGTGGTAGACTGGAGGATATTTGCCGCAACATTAACTACCGTCACCGTAATGCCCAATTTGCCGGTCGTGCCAGTATCGAATATTACGTCGGTCAAGCCCTCAAGGCTCGCGGTGAGAAGTTGTCTGTGGGCGGCACTGACACGGGTATTGATGAGGAGGGTTACGTTATGCGTGTCTTCGAAAATGGAGTTGTGGTCTTTGTGCCCCGTTTCGGTATCGAGGGCGTCGTGCGCCTCGAGGATTTTGTCCTCCCAGGTGAATCTGGTGCGACCTCTGTCTCCGAGAGACGTGAGTTGGCTGTTCATCGCACTACCGACTTTGATAGCGAAGAGTATACCCTTCGCGTGGAAGAGAAGGGTCACTCTGAAAAGGAGCGTGGAGTGACTGTTGAATTATTCCAGAAAGTCCGTGTGAATGTCAGCTCAGTCAAGGAGGAAGGCCGCGGGGCTGGCAAAAGGAGAGTCAGGATCTTGATCACTGGCTAATAATGCCCAGGCAAGCTAAAAACAATCATTTGGTCATAGACAAAGGAACGGCGTTTAATGAAGTCATTTTTAACAAGAAAAATTTGTTTAAAGTGATGTGTGTTGGGTGCTATCTATGTAAATTTTCACATGAACTCTTTGATATGTTCCGATCAGACAATCAAGACATGTATCCATGTATATGTACAGATCATCTGAGGATGGCTAGACGCGTTTTAATGTGATCATTCGCCGAGCAAGGCTCCATGGCGCCCAGAGCTGCAGATCAATTGCACCCTCGGCAGAGACCGTAGACGCAGTTGTAGGTGGACAACCTTGTCTTTCTTTCCCAGAAGTAAAGTCATTGTTTGTCAACGGGACTTCACGAGCAGCAGATTCCCGCCCCTGCTGCGCCCGCTCCAATTCGCCAACTTTCCATCCACGAACAAGCCAGAGACACAGAGAGGCACCAATATATGCAAAACCCGTAAAAATTTGAACGTGGAGATAGGAGGTACCACCGCTAGGGGTATTTCGGCGAAGCTCTAATGCGATTGCCTCGGAGACGGTACAAGGCGCAACAAGAGCCAGCCAGGTAATGCTGAGGCCCGAAGGCAGATCTCTTAGGCCAATGATCTCAGCGAGCACTGGAGAGACAGTGGCCCAGTAAGTTCCGGCAACGGTTCCAACCAGCACGGCAAAGAAACAGACCACGCCCATACTATCAGCAAAGACCCAGATCACAAGACAAAATAGTCCACACATAAAAGTGAGGAAGGTCGCTATATTGATGCGGCCGAGTCGGTCACTGAACATCCCTACAAACGGACGACCAAGTCCCTGTCCCAGATTGAGCAATGCGGAGACAATGCTCCCTTGGTGGGAGGTGAGGCCCACAGAGAGTGCAAAATTGGCAACGCTGAACAACAGTGCCACATATCCAAGCATACTGAATATACCCCATCCTAGAAAGAGGAGAAATTCCGGCCGGCGGAGAAGGGGGGAAGTGAAAGGCAGTTAGCCGGCTCCCGACCAGCTTGTTGCGGTCTCGAAGAAGGTTGCCGCACACTAGATTAACGATGCAGGAAATTATACCGAGAATCCGGAATGCCCAACCAAGGCCCCAGCGCGGAATGATGGCTCCCACCGCGAGCGAGTAGATTAAACCACCGAGTCCAGAACCCGCTGCGGTGATGCTCATCGCAAAGCTCCGGCGTTTCAGGAACCACTGTGGCGCGATTCCGACACTGCCAACGAACAGAAAGCCCATTCCCCAACCAAAGCAGACGCCTTGACTGAGGAAAATGTGCCATTTCTGAGAGGCGAACGAGGATCCAATGAGAGAGAGGGTCTCGAAAAACACGCCGAGATTTACCACGAAGCGGGTCCCATATAGCTGGATCAGGTATGTGGCTAGCGGAGCCACGAGCAGAGCACATGAAATACTCAAGCCACCAGTGAAAGCGTATGCGAGGACAGACGTATTGGGGAAGACATTGTGTGACAAATAGTAGCTGAGGAAGACGCCGTAACTCTGGATATCGAGTCATGTTAGCTATATCCGCCAAACGCGGGGTCTATAAACCAGGAGCACTGACACTGTTGATTCCCCAGGTATGCGCGTTGATCCAGAAGACACAGGCGACGCAGACCCAGCCATACCCACCATCTGGAGGGACGTCTCGTTGATATTTTTCATCGCGGTCGACTTGAGCCTCCATTTGGAGTTGCGGGGGTTCGTGCTCGCGTTGTGAGCTGGCTAGAGAGTCGCGATGCTCATCTTGATGCGACTGGATGACATCGACTGGCACATTGTCGGCCATATCCACACTTGATCGAAAGGAGAAGAAACTTTTCCGTTGGTGAGGTTTTGTCTGTGACGATGCTTGAAAACCGGATCTGAACCCCAGATTTCCGTTTTCGTCCCGACATGGAGGCCGAACAAATCAATGAAGCGTTAAAAGAAGCGAAATTCAGAAATCACGAAAGGAATTCGATCTTAGTCTAGCTTTTCTTTACTAGTCCATAATGGGGAGGCGATAGGACCGGACTTGGTGCCGAGATCTATGGTCCCGCTATGCGAGAGCGAGGTGTCATGTCCGGGGAATCTCATGGAGGCATCTCCACAGCCGTTCGGAGATTGTAATCCAATCACGGAGCTCTGTGGCATTCTCAGATCGCGACGGGGAGAGTAGGGTCCCTTCACAGCCCACGAAGAGCATTGGGGACAGTTGGGGCAGTTTGGGGTATCAGTGGCTCCCTGCTCCCGGACCGGGGTGGAGTGGGGTCTTGAGGTGCCGAAGACCCGGTGCGGAGACATTTTGCACTCCACAGGAAGCTTGCAGGTCTGACTCATGATCAGGGAAGGCGGTCTGCAGCTCATCGCTGGCAAACGTGATTGGTAACAGTTGGGTATCAAGACTTGAAAGATGTTGACCCAAGACGAGTGAGTACTTGACTCTCGGATATATATTTGCTGCATTCGCTGCAGGACATAGTCGTCTGCACCTGATTGCACGTGTTCCCACGTGAGGGTGCCAATACACCACGTGACATTGAACACACGTGACAAGGACGTGCCAAGAGCCCTAAGCCCTATCCGAACTAGGAAAATTATCTGATAGCGTTGCCCTGGAGCTGTTTGTTTTGGGCTCCGCAATTGGGGGAAGATCGCGATTACGGCCCGCCTTGGATGACCCCAGCTCTTTTAGTTCCATAACTCAGGTGATCCTGACGTCGCCTTGACTTCCTCCCTTGCTACATTGCTGCTACATTGCTGTCAGATTAGAGTAGCAACCATGATGCACAAACATACCAAGCCCATCGGCCAGCGCAAGGTCTCACCTCCGGGTCCCAGCTATATGTCCAATGATCAAGTCGGTATGTCGGACTCATTTCCCCATCGGCCCATGATTCGGACCCGGCCTGGCATAACCTCAAGTGCCTTTGGCGCATCGGAGAGAACTAGCCTCAATACGTGGACACAGATGGAGGAATGCTAACGCGATCATGGCATCCACAGCCAGCTACTTGAAAGACCTTCGGACAAATCGTCCGTCTCGTCCAACAGGCTCCCGACCGTACCCTGGCAGGCCAGCGGAGTCGACTAGCAATCTACAGGACGAGATCCCTCCCCGTGCAGCTTCCGCATTCTCAATGTACCGACCGTCCGAAAGTTCTCCAGATGGTGGGCCTCGCTGCGACAGCGCGATGTCTCACCGTCGCACAAACTCCTACGCGCCCCATAGTGGCCCAACAGGACGACCCCTAGCACAGGAACCTCGATCGGTCTCTGTGCGGAAGAATGAGTTTCCTTCTCAAATGTTCTCACGTCCTGTGGCCGCATCTCCTGTTCCCTCCTACAAAGAAAGTAAACAGCGACACCAAGAGAAAGAAGAGGTGCGCGAGATACGTGATGCGCTTCAAGGCATGAACCTTGATGAAGATATTCGGCTTCATCAAGCTGCTCAAGATGAAGCTACCGAATTGGTCTGGATGCACCAGAATCCCGGCATGCCCTACAAGAATCCATATGCCCCCTATCGAAACCCCGACGTGGCTGGGGAAGACCCATCCATCCGAAGTCAATCCGTCAAGAGCTTTGGGTCCGGATCCTATTCGATCAAACATCGCCATTCAGTCACCTCCAGTGGCTCTTCGAGCGGCCCATCAAGCCCCGAGTTTGTGGATGCCAATCTGAATTCGACCGCTCGGAGACGGTCATCACTTGCTAGTAACCTGAAGAAGAACCTAAAGGTCAATTTTGCTCTACCCCCTGAAGAAAGCACTCCAGGTGACGCCCCGATTACGATCCCCAAGCCCCGTAAAGTCAGCGGAGACTCTTCCAAGGGCGTTTTTAGGAATCCTGATGACCATATCTACGAGGAACCGGAAGTCGCCGAACCACGCCCCGACTTCTCCAGATCGGACTCCTCAGCATTGAGGAACAAGCCTCGCAATGCTCTTCCACGTCTTGGTAAACCGCTGCCCTGGCTTCGAGATCGAAACACCAATGGATCTGTTCGAGATAAAATCTCCCAGTTCGACATTCACAAAAACCCTCCTACCCAGTCTCGCAACCCAGCATATACAAAAAACGAGCCCCTGCCCCCTTCGCCTCCATCCGCCAATGAAGAGCCAGTCCCCACAAAGGATGGCATAGAAATCCGCAGTGACGATATCCGAGCAGCCACGAGCAAAAAACTCAAAGACCGAAGCGAAAACCTGCCTATGCCGTCAGCTGTCAGTGATCGCATGGGACGACCGATCGTGAGCTTTGACCCCAAATGGCAACCAAGTGATGCACCAAAACTGGGCCGGCAGCCGTCAAATAGTCAGGATCTAGCGCCTGTAGCACCTCCTCCCACTCCTCCGGTCCCTAGTATTGAGGTTGTTCCCAGTATTGAAGTTGTTCCGAGTATTGAGATATCGCCGTCAGACCCCCCGCCAATCCCTGTCATCAGTGTTCCAAACATCAAGGCGCCTACTATCTCGGAAATGAATGATCCTTCTCAGAGATCAACCCAATCCACAAGGCCAATGCCGCCCAGCACCCACAATCGACAGGCTCTGCCTAGAAGACAAGGGTCAGAGCCTCAAGATAGATGGCGCACATCCTATTCGCGAGCTGGTGTTCCGACAGCACGCTGTGAATCTTGCTCTTTGTCTATTTCGGGGAAGATTGTGACTGCTGGGGGATGCCGATTTCACCCGGAATGTTTTGTCTGCTTCCACTGCCAGACAGCTCTGGAGTGTGTAGCCTTTTATGAAGAACCACAGGCCAGCCGTGCTGAAAGGCTTTCCAACGACTCTGATGAGGAGGCCCGTGTCCCTCGGTTCTACTGTCACTTGGATTTCCATGAGATGTTCAGCCCCCGCTGCAAGAGTTGCAAAACTCCAATCGAGGGCGAGGTTGTAGTCGCATGCGGCGCAGAATGGCATGTTGGACATTTCTTCTGCGCCGAATGTGGTGATGTAAGTGTGGCCCTGCTTTCGATTATACTGCTCTATCACGCCACTAACACACTATTCCCCGGACAGCCTTTCAATTCCCAAACCCCATTCGTCGAGAAGGATGGTTTCGCATGGTGTCTTCGATGCCATTCTCGCCGGACTGCTCCCCGCTGCCTCGGATGCAAGCAGCATGTCTTGGATGACGTTGTTATAACTGCCATTGGCGGGCAATGGCACGAGCGCTGTTTTGTCTGCCACGAGTGTGGTGACGACTTCGGGTCAGAAGGCCGCTTCTTCGTCCGAGAGGGCGAACCTAAGCGCACAGCCAAAGGTCGCATAATTGGCGGCCCCGTCCAGCTGGCTGTTTGTGAGCGATGCGAGGGTATTCGTCTCAAGGCACCGGGGATGTGCTGAGACCTCTCTACATCTGCATACAAAACCAGATCCTCTTCAAACTCTTTAATGATGTACTGCATGATGACTTACTGATTCTGATTTTCGGTTTACGATTGTGCATTGTTCGGTTCTACATTTTGGTTAGATTTTATCTTCTCTTGCAGGGTTTCTTGTTCAATTAGCAAGCGCATGTTTTCAGATTGTTAGCGTTGCTTATGAACTTTGTTGGCAATGCACACATGCATCATAAAGAATATAAAGATTATTCGGGGACAAACGCCTATACACCCAGAGATCTTTTTTTAAAAGAACACGTAGAGGCAAAAAAGATCGCAAGAATCCGCTCCTGGTCCTTAAGCAGGCCATTCTGGATCCGCCCTGCGTCGGAACACGGCCACGTACTTGTTCCCGTTGTTCCGCGTAACTTTCTTCGACTCTTCAGTCTCAAACTTCATCACCTGGACACAAGGATCGGATTCCAGCTCCTCGTCGGAGACCCGCTCCCAAAGATCTTTGATACTACCCAAAGAAGTATTCTCCTCCTCTTGGTACTGGAAATGCCGCAGAACCCAATGGTGGTATTCTTCAACATCGGTGATGGTATACAACAGACCTCCGGGCCGTAAGACGTAAGCATATTCGGTATTCAGAGACTCCGAGATAATTCGGGCTTTGTGCTTGCGTGCCTTGAAGTGCGGGTCAGGGAAACAGACGAAGATCTTGGAGAGCTGATGGTGGCCGAAAAAGTTGGGGAGGAATTTCATCGTGTTGGCGCGGATGCCGGAGATGTTTTCATAATTTCCCGGAACAATAGTTGTCGTCGAGCCAACCTCCTCGTCCTCTTCAGCTGGTGCGGGCGCCGAGGCGTCTGAGGTGGCCTGGCTTGTGTTGGTTGACGCCGCGATCGCTTTAAGGTTTTGCTGTTGCAGGCGCAGAGCCTGGATGCGCGAGCGGACATAGTCGAGCACTGAGATACGGATTTCCATACCTGAAACGGGGCAGTCAGCATTATTGGCTATTTAAATTAGAAATTCAAGTTGAGTTCAAGGCATTGAACCTACCAACCATCAAGGTGTCCGGCAGCAAAGGCGCCAATCCAACAAGTAACCCTCCGAATCCACACCCAATGTCCACTATCTCAACATCCTTAGTCAATTGCCGCGAGCCACCGAGGTTTATCTTCGAAGGATCGGCATTCACAAATGCAGGATAATGCGACGCCCAGTCCATATGTGCAGGGCTCAAGGGACTATATTCCAGCTCGATTAGCATTCATTGTTTCTTGCATCCGGCAAAACAAGCTGCGCGCAGGTCCAATTCCTCCACAATATATACTTAAGGGTACCAGATAGAGATATCAAGCACTTACTAGTCCAGCTTGTGGTCAGAGAAGGGATTTGCGTGCGCGCGCTGCCGGAAGAATCTCTTCTGCGGCATCTTGACGGTCACAGGTTCGCCTTCATTCGTTTGATTCTGCTCCTGGATCTGACGGCGGTATTCTTCGCGCTTTTGGTGCTTAGTCAAAGATGTGGCCATTGTGCTATTCGAGTACGAGACAGCAAACGGCGCTGTTGGACGAGAAAAATTGCCTTGAGGTCAAGATGTTGGGGTTCGTTGGAGGTGGAATAAAATTGCGCGGAACCCCCACTCCGATCCGCCCGGAGCTCTGCTTATCGGCGATAGCCAAGAACTAACCTCTTAACGTCCGCCCGACTCCTTTCTGCTTTGCTCGACATCGTTTGGAGACGTCGCATATTCATCCCATCTTCTGAAAGCGTACACATACATTATGACAACCGCTGTATCAACCGCTCTGGGCCCTTTCCCGTTCCCTCCGACCTATAATTTTCCACCTTTCTTCACCCCGCAACCAAACAGCACCACACGACACTCGCAGCTTGAGAAATGGTCCTCGCTGATTCAAGCCTGGTGTCGCCATCACCGAACCTACCGTCTTTCTCTCATTGAGGCCGTTGATACTCCGCTTTTTCACAACGCTACCCTGCGAAAGCGTCTCGATCTCCGCGAGGCGCGCGTCGTGGTTGATTGGATGGCCAAGAGCGAGGAGGAAGGAGGGGGGTGGTCGGCGCGCAGAGTGGATTGAAGTCCCAGCTAGTGGAAGCCAAGGCCCAAAGAGCATGGCTTGGATCTGGTGGCGAAGGCCGGAGGAATGGGCGGATGTGCTGACAGATTGGGTTGACAGTACAGGACAACGGGGTGTCGTTTTGACAGTCTATGAGCTTTTGCAAGGGGAGGCAACCGTATCCCAAGGTAAGGCTCATTAAATCTCTAGAAATTGGGATGCTTTTTCTGGAAATCATACTGACTGTGTTTAGAATTCCATGGGATGGATACTGAGGCCATGATGAAGAGCCTCAATGTCCTAGTCAAGCGGGGCAAGGCCCAAGTCTTCGGCAACGAGGGCGAAGAGGGTGTCAAGTTCTTTTAAAGGACAAATCTTTATGATGGTTCTATTGGGATGAATCATGGCTATTCGTTACAAAACAAAACGCTCAAATATTCTTCACGTGCGCGTGCGCAGACCAACCCTGACTGCCGACAATCCCTAACATTTACAATAAGCCCGGTGAAGGTGGTTTCAAGTTCGATCTCAAAGGCGACAACTCAACCCGTTTTCGGGTCTCTACTCATCTGCATCCGTGATCATATTCTCGTTCAACTCATATTCCTCCGCGGCTCGCAGCTCCTGAGACATCGCCATGTCAAGCAACCAGTCCACCCGAACAATATGAGGAGTCCGCTTGACATCTCCAGCCACCTGACGGAAGCGAGGCCAAAGCCGAGCATGTTTGGGTTCAACACTGCTGAGAAGAAACACCTCATTGCGGCTAGATTGAGCATCCTCCACCTCACTATCCTCCTCGTCACTCTCCTCACGCCGAGAATGGTTGGCCAATGCAAGACGACCACGAAAGAGTAAGCATTCTCCACCGTTGGCCTCAACAATAGATTTGAATGCCTCAAATCCTCCACGGATATCTTCAACGCAGTAGACACGGAATCCACGCAGGAGCATATTATTGTTCATCTTTGCTCTTTCCGAGGATTTCGCAAGAGAAAACTTGAATTTCGATTCTGCTGCCTTGTCCACCAACGGGAAGTCTTTGGGATCCAGAAGCTCATCTTGCTTGAGGCAACTTGTGATGAAATCGGTGCTTACAATTGTTGGAGCATATGCAAGTGCGTTGACGAACTTCGGTGTGCGCAAAATAGATGGTGCTGCCAGGTGTGTGCACCGGCGAGCATCTTGGACTACCATGATGCCAAGTTCTCGAAGATGTCGCTATAAACATGTGAGCGGGCAGTTCTCGTTGTCGGTATTATAGCAACTAATAGATAGCTTTGACGAACCTTATCTGCATCTTCTTTCTTTTCATGGCCCTTGCCCACCCACTTCTGGTAGCCAGTAATGATTAGGCGTATCGAAATTGGTGGTCGAGATTTCTTTTGCCGTTTGGTTTCAGCGGCCTGATCGCTATCACTTTCATCTTGAGGCTCAGCTGAACGACGCTTCCTGGGATTCTCCAGCGTGACTCGGTCCTCGTCGGATACTCTTCTGCCTCCATAAATGACTCCACCGACTCGTTTCTTCTCCTTTTCGTAAAGAGCGATGTCGGGAGCGATTTCATGTAAACGAGCAGTCGCCGCGTCCTTTGACTTACGGCTGCTAGTTGAAGATGGGGTGTCATTCTCCTTATTGTCGGGAATCATGCGGGATCGGACAGGAGTTTGTATCTTCTTGTTATTCGAGAGTCGATCAGAGATCTTATTGTTCGCCTGCGGGGTGCCGTGGGTGGCCTCATCAGCATTGTCACTCCCCTTGCGAGGCTTTCGAGCCGGAGGTTGCATTGACGTCGTGTTCTGATCCTTCGTTTGCATAGCGCGTTGTGGGCTTGAAGACTTGGAGTCATCCTGAGAGAAAAAGTTTTGCTCCAGGACGTCACGGTCCAGCATTTTCTGGCCAGCAACATCGCCTAGGTTCGTGCGGGGAGGGAAATGGTTGTAGCGTGGGTCGGAGACCGACTTTTGTCGCCATGCGGCGTAGCTATCTTCTAGCCATAAGTGGTTAACAACATGGAGACCCCATTCTCGGGCAGCACTGCATTTTTCACTGGTTCCATGGGCAGTGATCAGGTGTGTGTTTTCCTGCTTTAAGGTTTTTGTGCATTCAGCACCTGCTGCAGCAATCAGATTCTCAAGATAGATTCTGGCTTCGCCCACATAATTGGATAAGCTGATTTTGAGGCCTTCAAATCCTGGAATGGGTGTGCGAGAAACGGGGTAATGAAGTAGCCTGCTCAATGGCCGGGTCCATGAGTTGAACGTCATCAAATGGTAGAGCCAAGCAAGATTTCCAACTACTTTATCCAGCCGTGACGCTGTTCGATAGACAAAGCCCTCTCTGAAACGACACACCAACCAGTCGGCATCCTCAATCTTGGAAGTCACAGTAGCACCGCCTTGCTCAAGCACGGCTTCGATTGATTCCAGGAGATGCGAACCAATACCCAAATCTGGAGAGAGCATAATGATTTTCCTATTAAAAACGTTCGGCTGGTCTGCCGGTGGAATAGGCATTACGGACGGCTCCGGGGTGGATGCGCCTGCCAAATTCTTGTTTTCATTACGTTGAATCGGGACATCGGGACCAGCACGCAGGATTTCGGGATCAGGAAGCATATATGGACGCTCATCGATGCGCTGGCCGATTTTAAGGCAATCGTCGAACCTAGACTGTGTCAACCGCGAGTGTAGCAGAGATCTGCTTCAGAGTGAAACCATACCAGTGTGGGAGGACGATTTTCACACGTAGCCTTTTAGCCTGCACAAGGCGGGCCTTATCCGACTCCATTGTCAGATCCACAAGATGCGTAACCATGCCCGTTATCCGAGGGCTGTACAAACCGCCCTTAGCCAGCACCCCGCCAATAATGGCATCTTTATCCCCCTCTGGTATGTCGCCACAAGTCACAACCACGTCACTCAGCACAAGACGCGGATCGGGGCTGTGTTGGCGCGGATTGGCCATCTTCCGTTTCTCAAGTGAATTGTGTACCCATGATGGCTTCACTACAGGTACCAAGGCCTTGCAGGCAAGGTCGTAAGTAGGGAAGTCGATACTGCTTGAGACAATATGGGTACATTCAATCGTGTCGCTTTTCTCGGGACCGGTCTGGTGGATAGAAGGTTCACCGCCGTATTCTCCGATCAGGGTTGCAAGCTATGGCATCGCATGTTTAGTCAACTTGTTCAGTTGCTTAGTTGTGCAACTCGTCGGAGTAAAACATACCTGCTCTGCAGAATCAAGGGGGATATCTTTCGAGCACACGATACAGATGCGACACTGATCAAAGAGTTTAATCTCCTCATCCGCCATGGTAGCCATGCAGGGGGGTCTTGCGGCTGTCGTTGTGGTTATGAGGAACTACTTCTTGACGCGCCGCGCGTGAAACTCGACGCCTGGTCACGTGATATTTCAGAGCACAATGAAAAGGCGTCACTGCCGTAGTGCTCCTTTGATTGTTGATGAGTTGAAAAATCGAGATTTAAACATGCCATGAACAGGAATAATCAGGCATAGTTCTCTTATACGTAGAGAAATTGGCCGAAAATTAGGTCAAAAACCTACTCTGAAGATCATGCTATCTATATGAAATAATTTGACTAGATATTGAAAAACTCGCGAAGAAGCTGCTTTTGCCGATTAACTCACTAAGGCTTGAACCTACTTACTAGCAAACAAAGCATAAGCGGGCTGGGAAAATATGCATTCCATTGGAAAATAGGACTCAAAAAAATTGTATCTCACAAAGGAAACTCTTGAGGAATTTCTTCATTGTACAATATAAAGAATGCAGAAACGATGTCTTTGTAATCCACAGGCCCGAAACAATCAGAAATAGATATAAGGTTTCCTATATTTCAGCTTTACCTGCAAAGCTAGCTAGCTCAACGGAATTTCGCAAATATCCATTCAACTTATACGCTGACAAGACCAAGAGCATAATAGGGTTTGCCCCTCTGATTGCCATCATGGCCTCCAGTAGGACTATTCTCAGGATGACTGTCCAGGATTTTGAAGAAATTCGAAAAGATTTCGTGCATAAATATATTATGTGGATTCAAGATGAACCGTCTTTAACACCCGAGCAGATGGCAGAAGTTTTGGAGTACATGGCCGATGACTTTCTGCACTTTCGACTGCTGGTAACTAGCGAGACCAGCCTCTGCTTCCCAAAGAAGTGCCATGCCATCCGAGGCATCATTCTTGAGCTGTGCCAGGAGCTCCAGGTACATCGCAGAGTCACCATAGCGATCAGGCATATTATGATCATCCTCAAGAGAGCTATCGGATCTCTCTCGCTTAATGGGTATAGTTTGAAGGACAGATATGCCATGGATATGGCTAGAGAGTCGGCAGAGGCTGGTCCCGCATGGGAGCTCCATGGCCTGCCTAGAACAAAAAGTACCGACGAATTGCAGGTTCGTCTTTGGACAATTTCTCTCAACCTCGGAGTTGCCCTTTCGAACTGCGGGTGTCTCCAGTGCCTGATTGTGTACCCCGATCCAGAGCTGTATTTTTTAACACCTGCATGGCGGCGGGTAGAAGCAGGCAGTGGATAGTTCATGGTTGTCTTTTTTTTCAACTTCGTACTCAGGGGTATTTGGCTACACATGAGTGACGGTTTTTTTCAACTACAAGCCGTCTGTTTCTGCAGTCTATTGTCACTATTCAACTCCAAAAATATAACGTTTACTTCCATTCCAGGTTCCAGTACAGTTGAAATCTTGTGCAATAATAATTATCCAGTACATGTAGAAGAAAGCAATGCAGTGAATACACCTGTCATAAGAATTCCACCCATAGTAAACTTCGTCAAATGTGATTTTGACATGCAATTCAATAGCTATGGGATCATTAGGTCTTGAAAAAGGATGATCTTCGAATATCTTTTCTAAAGACTTTGCATAATGGCTCCTATTCACCCTTGAAATCACAGAAACCAAGCCGATTCCCCAGGACAACGCTTCTCAGCCACTCTATGCACCGGACGTAAATTTGGCGGTTCAAGTCACTTGGCTTGATATCGTATTGTTCCTCCCACTGAGTCCCAAAAAACGAGGTAAAATCTAATGAAATTCTTATTCCGGACACCGGGAAAAGCAAGGCACGGAAAAGAGAAACCACATCATCACCAGTCCATGTAATATATCGATGCTCTTCTCCCACATCTTGGTAGTACGAATCACTTAAAACCAAGTATATTATTCGAGAAGCTCTAGGACAAGCTGGGAGTATGGCACGTTGGTGGCGGCCGTAAAGCTGTCCAACCAACGATTATTCAATTCCATTTCTATTTTTTCTGTTTCCAGAATCTCCAGCCAGATAGTAGCATAAAACCGCATCCATGATTTGATCTCGATCGGGTAGCCCATCTTGATTTGAGAGCCATCGTGATATGTTGACTTTTTCAACGATGTTTATAGAGTCACGATAGATCCATTTCTCGTACACAAGAGATTAGCACTGGTAACCTGGAGTTTTGCCTCTGGCTGAAGAACGGATGCTGTTCGGCCCATGCTATCATGATTGCTGAGATTAGAATGTTTGATAAAGCACCGGTCTCATGCTGCAAGAAAAGACACGGAAATAAGAACCTAGCTGGATTTGGATGTTATGAGGAGTAGCCTCGATCCTCAAGCTGGAGCTTTCCACCCAATTTCTACTGGTGAAGAAGCATGTCCTTCTGGTTTTCGATTCCAGTCTCATCGCATATGAGGCTAGGAGATCACCTTGAACTACCCTGGGGGCTTGCCATCGGTCGCTGATAGCATGGGTTTTCGTTCCTCTCACGGCGTGTTGTTATAGCTCATTCAGACAAGCGGAAGCAGACCCTGCTCAGTGCGTCATGGTTGGAAGACAAAGAATCACGTTATTGACTCAGAGATTGTAGATGATACTGTCAGCGTGTGAATCATTCACTGCAAGTAATAATCCATTCGGAAACTTAGCAAACGACTAATTCCGAGCCAGTCTGATTGGGTGGGGCTATGGGGGCCGGCAGTTGTGATCGCGGAGATGCCACTCGGCGCGACCGAAAGGACCGAGGCTCATCGTCCCACGGCCAAAACCCCGGATTGCTCCTCTGCTTATATTCCCTCGTCTTCTTTTGCTCCACGGTCGACGATCAACGGTCCACCACCATGTCACCCTCTCCGTTTCGCATCGTCGAGCATGTGGTGCCTTGCCAGCACCTGCGCGAGTATCCGGCCGCGACGGCCAATGACCAGGAACAGCCGTTGCACCTCGCCGTGAAGCAGTATATTCCTCTCGACAACCCTCACCCGCGGCCGGGCGATGTGACGATCCTAGCAGCGCACGCAAATGGCTTCCCCAAGGTATGTCGCATTTTGAGACTTCTTGATTGCATACGGCACCAATTTTCAAACGAATAACAATAATTGAATGCTAATTTATCCACAATAGGAACTGTATGAGCCTCTGTGGGAAGAAATCCATGCGCGATCTCAGGCGAACGGTTTCCGTATTCGCAGTATATGGATGGCTGATGTTGCTCAGGAGGGAGAGAGCAGCGTGATCAATGAAGATTCCCTCGGCAATGACCGTACGCGATTTCCCGCTCCAATGCTCATCAGTCTCTCTCATTGCTGACAGTGCCACAGCAAGCTGGTTTGACCACCCACGAGACCTCCTCCATCTGGTGAACGTCAAGCGGGCTGAAATGCCCCGACCTATTATCGGTGTTGGCCACAGTATGGGCGGCGCACATCTGTGAGTGACCGAGACCGTTGCAGCCCTTATTAGGCTACCAGACTGATGATCGGACCCTGTAGTACCCAACTGAGCTTGATGCACCCCCGATTGTTACACACTTTGGTGCTACTCGACCCTGTGATCCAACGGCAGACGACCCAACTAGATAGCCTAACCCTGTTGAACGAACAAAAGGCTGTCATCGCGAAGACAACCCAACTCTCCACCCACCGCCGCGATCTATGGCCTTCCCGCCAAGCTGCTGCTGATGGCTTCAAGCGCAGCCCCTTCTACCAAACATGGGACCCGCGCGTGCTAGACCGCTGGGTCCAGTATGGGCTGCGCGACCTCCCAACCGCAATTCACCCCCTCGACGAAAAGACTGTCACTGATAAGAAGAATCCCCCGGTCACTCTCCGCACCCCGCTCCATCAAGAAGTCTTTACTTTCTCACGGCCAAACTACAACCACGTCCCGGGGAGCCATCAGCCCGTTAACCGTGTAACGCACCCCGATCTCGACGCAAGTCACCCACACTCGTATCCTTTCTACCGGCCCGAGCCGGCACGGATATTTTCCCAACTCCCATTTCTGCGCCCGAGCGTGCTATATATCTTCGGTGGCAAGTCTGATATGTGTACGCCTGACATGATGGCAGATAAACTGCAAAACACCGGCATCGGGCTCGGGGGCAGCGGCGGTGTCACTGCCGGCCGTGTGCGTGATGTCTATCTCAAGGACTTTGGTCATCTGCTCGCCCAGGAAGCAGTCAATGAGTGTGCTGATGCAGCGGTCTGCTGGCTGGGGCCAGAGCTACGTCGTTGGCGCGACGAGGAAGAGAGCTTCCGCACGGCATGGAGCAAGAAATCCAAGATTGAGAAAATGACTGTGGATGCGCAATGGCTAAATAATGTTCCCGCACCGGCACGCCGGCCCAAGAACGGCGAGAAGAAGAGTGGCGAGTCCAAACTGTGAGCGGCACATCGGACTCTTGTACATAGATTAGCATCCTCGCTCTGTTACACTTGGCTCTCTTAGATGGCCACTTGGACCTCCGGTTATTCTCGGCGTTAAGCAACAGGCAAATGGCATCTGAAACACTATCTTCCTGTCATATACAGTTTTCTACGAAGCCATATCTATTTTTATACAGCATTTCATTCATTCTATTCCCTATCTGATCCTAGCGGTGTGGTAACATAGAACAGAGCAACTGACCAGAAAGAAGGAAGAGAGGAGAATAATAATCAATAAGAAACCAGCAGCAGCCAATGAAACAGCCCCGACTCCTATCTATAGCAACAACCTTGCGCCAGATGTCTCCCATGCACAATGCAAATTGAGGCATGCACAGGGGGAGATATATCTATGGTCAGCCGGTTTTCTGTTGTCGGGAACAAAGCTTGTTTGACGATGTCGAAGGGTACACAGCCCAACGCACCCCGAGTCGGCGTAGAGCCAAAGTCAAAGTCAAAGTCAAAAAGATAAAATAAAAACATGACTCAAGTCCAAAAAAGGTGAGGGATAGCATCTAATGAATTTTCGAAGGTCACATTCAATGGGGGCTGTTGTCAGCTGAGGGGAACTGTAACCGCCCAATGCGGGCGAAAAATGACCCGATCTGTTGACGTTCAGGTGGACTTCTTGTCTCGGGCAACCTCATTATTAGAGGTGGGTGTGGTACGAATCACCTCTGGAATCTGCCAGAAATGCGCCCACCGCAAATGGTAGTCATCCTGTCGGCCGTTCAGGCAATGTCGCAACCAGATGCCCCAAATAATATACAAGTATGCACCGATGCCAGTCATGATATGCCTGAGGAATGGGTGTTAGAAAGCGGATCAAAAGCGAGTTTCAAAGCAAAAAAAAGGCAGATAACCAAAGGAAATAGAAGGGAGCCAAAATGTAAATTTGAGAAATAAAAAGCTCGAGACGTACCACCAACCATGGCCCTCGAGGAAAATCCCCCACGGCAATCCCACCTTCCGGCGCAACTGGCGAATCTGCGAACAGAACTGGTTGTCTAGGTTCCAGATGAAGAACCCACCGAGAAACATGCTAAGACCGTATCCAACCATGAACCACATGGTCTTGAGGGTTTTCATGTCGCGCACGTTCTCGTAGTGCTGGCGCTCCTTCGACGGAACCGGTAGGCCCTTCTTCTGGCGTTCCAAGCGGTCTTCTTCGCGGGAGTGGCGCCATTTGGGACGCAGAGTCGTTTCCATAGTATGCATACTGCGCAGCACGACAACTGTGGTCAAGACTGCGTAGGCATTCTGGTGGAAAACCGGGTCTTGCAAGTAGTGGTAGTATAGCGTAATGAAGACTGCCAACGAGGCGAGTGAAATGGCAAGGACCAAGCGTATGCCTGTCGGGCGGGAATAGGAGAAGGACGCGTAGCACATCAGGCAGGTGGTGTAAATCATGGAGAGCTCATCGATTAACTGCATTGGGTCTGGGAACGCGAATCCAACGGTCAGCTTGGAGTCTTGCATTATGTTTGTAGACGGATCTTCAGAGTCGAGCGCATGGAAGGTGTAGTGGTTTGTATGCGAAGTTGAGTCATAACAAGCTATAGGCCACTTACATTTGAGGGTTGAATGGAAGAGAAAACTGCCTGTGCCCACAACGAGGTAGCCCAAGAGGGCAACGAGGAAGATCTGATCATGTTGGTTGCGCCGGCAGCTGATGATCCCTTTGATGCCCAGCCACATAAACAGGAGATTCGTCAAAGCATTCACGATCTCTGCAGAGTATACAGTGGCATAATAATCCTATATTAACAGGTCAGCCAAGTTGGGTCAGTGAGAGCTTGGTGCCTACCCCGCCAGAGTAAAGGATCACGACGGGATGGATGGCCAACAGAGTGACAGCATACCTCCTCGCACCAGTTGAGTGTCGACGTGACGGGACTCCAGAATCCAGCCTTGGAAGGCGGATACGGAAAATGAGGTAGAGGCCACCGCATGTTTGGAGCAGTGAAGGAGAGAGAAAGCACAATGGAAGGTGACGTCGATTACAGGCGCACCTTAATTGGGGCCCGGTGATTGGCCCCCAGTTGGGTCCGCGAGATGCCGGGCTGCATTCGGATGTTTGGCTGCGGTATTTTACCGTCGTAAGCGGCCTGGCAAGGGGTCGATCTGGTACGTGGGTATTTCAAGGAAAGTATCCGACCGAGCGGCCAGCTGGTCATAGCATGGCTGGGTTCATTTTCGTGGATTGTGAACGAGTCCGACGAGACTGGGGAAATGACGTATTTGGAAGGGTATTGTTTGGTTATCAATATACTACGGTCCAGCCTTCGTTCTTACCCATTTTTAAAAGTCAACAAGTGCTCCACATTGAGATTTAACGACTTGATCTAAATCATAGTTCTAATATAGTAGCACAATATCTGTCAAGTCCTCAGAAACTCCAATGGGGATGACTTTCTTCGCAGCGGGTTCAAGTGGAGCTTTCCGCTTTGATGGACGCTTTGATGGACGCTTTGTTCACTTAGAAGGCGCGAACTGCGCTTTCAGCTCCACCATACAACTTAATTCGACACTCAGGGCGCTATTGGTTTTGTATAGTAACTTTCGATATTTTCCGGGAATTTCTGAGTGATCAGCCACCGCGTCTTTGGGCATCTTGAACAAATCACGTGATGTTCCCGATGCGATGCGGCTGAAGGCTCCCCTTATCACTACAATCGCCTTATCGATACCGAGGCCCCAGTTCTCAAGGCGAATCGCTCCGATGACTTCACCAAAACCCTGTCACCGTTCCGGTCCCGACCTCAAGGGCCCTCCCACGCTTTCTCCAGACTTGCTAGGCTGAGCAGGCAACTGGAATTATCTCTCCTGGAATGCCGATCAGTTCATTCCAACATCAATTCTGACTCGTACCGGCCCGCGCGATTTTTATCCCAGTTTTTGATCTTGCATGCAGGGCGAAAAAGAAGGGGAAAAGAAGCAACAGCTCCTCTAAACGCTTACCAGCCCAAATCCAATGAGATTCAAGCCAGAATTGATTCTATACTACACAAATCACGTACCTTCCAGAAGCCTCGAGCCTCGGGCTAATCCGGTAGAACCGGCACCGGCTCCATGTCGAACAACGGCGCCTACGTGGTGCCCCAGGTAAAGAAGACCGGTACCTCCACATGTACGTCGCTGCACCTATCCTCAATAGCATGAAGCTGTCTCGAAATTTCCCGAGCTAATAACTTCTTGATTTGGTAGCATCAAAAACAGTCTTCCACTTTGCTGCGGGCCTTTGCTCTGGGTTGACCTCGTCCATCCTCCTCCAACCCGCTGACCTACTAAAAACTCGCGTCCAGCAGTCTGGCCAGGCTGGCGCTCTCCTACCAACCCTCAAAGCAATCCTATCCTCTCCAAATCCAATCCGCGGCCTATGGCGCGGCACCCTCCCTTCAGCCCTGCGGACCGGCTTCGGGTCTGCCCTCTACTTCACCAGTCTCAATGCTCTCCGCCAGACAATCGCCCAAGCTAATGCTCCTCTCGTCCTCGCCAACACTACCACTTCCAAGTCTTCCTCCGCTCTCCCAAAACTCTCCAACACAGCCAACCTTGCTACAGGAGCTGTCGCTCGCGTCGCCGCAGGCTTTGTGATGATGCCCGTCACCGTGCTCAAAGTCCGCTATGAGTCCGATTACTACGCCTACCGCAGCCTTTGGGGTGCCGGCCGCGATATTGTGCGCACTGAAGGCTTCCGCGGACTGTTTGCTGGGTTTGGCGCCACTGCGGCCCGTGATGCCCCCTACGCCGGCCTCTACGTGCTGCTCTATGAGCAGCTGAAGCGTCGTTTTGCCCTAGTAACCGCCCAGCGCACCAATGCCGACGGCACCCCCCAGGCTGGCATATCATCCTCATCCATCAATTTCGTCTCCGGCGCGTCCGCGGCTGGCCTCGCGACAGCGATCACGAATCCCTTCGATGCCGTCAAGACTCGCCTTCAGCTCATGCCTCAAAAGTACGGCAACATGATGCGTGCAGTGCGGTTGATGGTCCACGAGGACGGCATGCGCAGCCTCTTCGGCGGTCTGGGCCTACGCATGGCTCGGAAAGCGCTCAGCTCCGCGCTGGCGTGGACGGTGTACGAAGAACTTATTCTGCGTGCGGAAAAGCGGTGGGCGGCAAATCACCAGATAAATTTATAGACTGTCTGCTTTCATTATTTTTTGATCCACCTCGGGACTCAGAGAGCCCTGCTCTTCCCTTTTAATGTATTATTAGCTCAAGTATCTCCAAATCTCCGAATCTCCACTTGCGGGTCCTGTCTCCCTGCAGCTGCATCTCATGCCCTTGCATTCCGCCCCTGGGCTTGATAGGAATCTTCTTTTCTTAGTGGTGCTTAAAGTTGATAGATGCATGCTGCAATTATGCGGGGCGTTTTATCTCAATTCAGACTTCATCTGCGAGTTTGCGTTCTGCGCCATTCTTCGAGGCTGTCTTGTTTGAACATCTACAGCTTTCACTACGATCAATCTAGAACAGAACAAGATAATCAAAACAACATACCGACATACATTTGGGTGGACAAAATAACAGCGTGAGTCTGGTTACATAGAAGAGATCGGCATTTGAACCATTGGCATCGCGAAAGTATCCAAAAAAACGAAGGGAGAGGGTAAGAAGTCGTCAACTCATTGTCTCGTTACTGTAGCACCTGAAAGGAACAACCAGCTCCAAGAATCTCAAGTCATATGGCATAAGAAGCAGTTTCAACAGAAACAGTTCAACCGGGGGTCATGATAAAGAGGTAACAAAAAAAAACAAGCAAGATCGTCAAAATGAAACTAACAAAAAGATGGGCTGAAATGCCCCCCCACCCCCAAAAAAGAAAAGACAGGGGAAAAAAAGGAATCAACAATCTTGGCCCAAGATCAGTCGGCGAGGAGCTGTAAGGAGGGGTATGATGGTTGGTTGTGACGACCAGGAGCATTTATGCCCAGATGCGCAGCCGTCGGCTTGGGCTCTTCTTTCGCACCAGGTAAATCTTATCCTTGTCGTGGTCATTGACACGGAGTTCGGTGGTCGAGCTGGAGGTCTGCGCGATCAGCTTCTGGCTATCCTTTGACTCGCGCAGACGGCGAGTGTGATCGAAGAGCTCCTCCTGCAGGTCTTCACTGATCCAACGCTTGATGACGAGATAGTTGTGGTCATGCTGAAAAGAAAGAAAGAGCTAAATTAGTGTCTGACATGGACCATTAAGGTGATATCGGACTTCCGAGTTTGGGTGGAGAAGAGAGGGTCAGACTTACCGCGTCCCAGTCCCAAGGTAGACCATAATAAACCAAAGTTGCGGGAAGAAGGTGTTTGCGGTGGACCTGGTTGTAGTTTGGATGGTCAGTGGCCACCTTTGGTGGAATGAAAATAAAAGTATAGAAAGATGAGCTCCGTACCTTAATCCAAGCGGTCTTCTCGGTCTCATAGTATTCTTCCTTCTCTTTGATAATCTCCTTCTCTTTAATTATTTTCTTCTCCTCTTTCTTCTTCTTGTTGAGCTTCTCCTCAATCTCCTCCTCGGTCAACCCAAACTCCGTGCGAAGGCGGTCCTTGAACTCCTTGTCCCTCTTCTCCGCTTCATCCTTCTGCTTCTGCTTGATACGCTCCTGCTCAATCTTCCACTCCTCAACCGCAGCCGCTTTCAACAAGGCCTCTTTTTTTCTCTTCTCCTCCGCCTCTCGCGCCTTGCGCGCCTCTTCATCCTTGATTTCCTTTATGAGCTTCTGTCGCTCTTCATTCTCTTCCTGTTCTTTAGCAATCAGCCGGAGCTTCTCATCCCGCAGCCTTGCCTTCATCTCCTCCTTTTCCGCCGCCTCTTTTTCCGCCTCCTCAAAGCGCTGTAGCTTCAAGCGGCGCTCCGCCTTGGCCCGCTCCTCCGCCTCACGGGCCTTGTGATCATAATCATCAAGCCGGCGCAGCCGCGCCTTAAGTTCGTCCTCCATCCACTCGTCCTCCTCGCGCAGTATGCGTATTTCCCGAGGATCGCGCGGCTCAGGCTTCTCGCGGTGCCTCTCCAGCTGACGTCTCAGGCTTTTGATCTCCTGCTGCTGGCGCAGCATCTCCTGCTCATGTCGCATCATCTCCATGTCCTGGCGGACGTCGCTACGCTCGAGCAATTTCTGGTTCAGGGCGAGCTCATAGTCGCGATGGATGGGGGAGGCCTCGCGGGAGACGCCACTGACAGCGCGGCGACGCGAAGAGTGGCGGACCTCCTCTTCCTCATCGGACACATCGTAAACCTTCTGCTGCACCCGCCGCGGCTTGTTGGTGTTGCTGCTGGCGTTGCTGGTACGCTGGGCCTGCTCGTTGACGATCATGACGGCGGGGCCCTCCCGCTCGCGGGGGCGTCGGCCGCCGGTCGAGAGGGACCGAAGCTGGCGGGTGCTCTGCTGCACCGGTGCCAGGAAAACCTCACGGGGCTGGCGGTGGCGGGAGACGGATCGCTGGCGCAGGTGGGCGCGGGTGCCGCGTCGACCCTGGACGGAGAAGTCGGTCTCGGAGAAGTCCGACTCCTCCTCCGAGTCGAAGATAATCTGCTGGGGCATGATGGGTCGGACTATGGGTGGGTTGTTCTTGAGAAGCGCAATGTGTAGCGTTGTATTTGTATAGTTGAAGAAGTGGATAGAAAAGCTAAGGCCCTGACTGAACAGCGGTAAGGGCCTGAGCGAGGAGAATCTCTGCTCAGTCTGCACGTGCGATATAAACGAGATAGACTGGCGAATGTGGAGAGAATGAGAGAGGAAGGGGGGAAGTATGTAAAGAGACGTGGGTGAAGTGGGTTGCGGGGGGAGGGGAAGGGGAAGTGTAGAGTGGAAAAATGGACGGTGAGAAACTGGCGGGACGACGAAAATCAGGTGGAATCAGGTGAAGTCAGGTGCAGTCAGGTGCCAGAGGTACCGACGAGTCCAGTTTCGAGGGGCCGAAAAAAAAAGAGATTGTGCGAGCGTTGGTGAAATACGAGTTGGCTCCAACCGGAGCGGGGGAGGGGCTGGGCTGCTCGAGGGTTGGAACGGGACGAGGACGAGAACACGGAGAGAAAAGAAACAGAAAATGCTGGCAAATCCGAGGGGACCCCCGCCTATTTCAAACGCTCTGCTGGGGACAAGACAAGGTCGGGCTTTTCAGCCTCAGCAATCAAGCGTGGTTTCAGGTTCATATATACTCCGTCTCGAGGATGAGGGAGGACTTGGCGTTGCTTGCTATAACCAACGTGATATGCCCGACCTTAACTCTATCGCTCGACTCTACTGAACTCGTCTGGACTCGTCTGGACTCTATTCCACGATCCTGGACAGGCGGACGCTGCCCCCGTTGGCTCGTTGCTTGACTTTGCCCTCACTCGTTCTGACAAGGTTGCCGGGCATCGCATCATCACCACCAGCCACCGCTGCAGGACGAGGGTCCACTTTTGGGAGTCCAACACTCCCCTTCTCACAGTCCGAACGGGCCTGGGGCGTGACAAGACTTACAGCGCTTCGCCCCACTGTGCGCGCGAGCTGCTTGAGTCTCCATTCAATCCTGTCACTGCGAATTGTCGCATTCAGCGAGTGCGGCGTGCTGTCTCCCCGAAACAAACGGTCGCACCGTCGCTGCATCGTTCGCCCCCGCTGATCCACACTCGGGGCGCTTCCAGCAGAGAAGCACATTGCCAGCGCCTCTTGAAACCATTCCTCTCAATCGATGGGTCTGTCTTTCTCTGCCAGTCTTTTCGGATCCCGCTCTCTTGTTATTTTTAGCGCCCCTCTCACGGAACTAGCTTAGGTATTGGGTAATTGGGTATTGGGTGTAGGTCATGGTATTGTGGCTGCCCCTCTCCCAGGGCTTAATGAACCAGCAATCGGGTAGCACCAATCGCTGTCCAAGGAGAATTGGGCAGGAGACATCAACTCCATCTCTCCGATTTCCGAGTCCTGCATACCTCGATATCGCTATCAATCAGTCACGGGCAACCAAGGGACGCGGTCGGGTGTTCCCGCTGACTGACCCAAGGGACACGCGTGATGGCGGCACCTGTGCGGTCCTGCTGCTCATTTGCCGTCTTGGAGAGGGTAGAAAGTCTACAAAAAGGACTGAACCACCCATCTACCACTATACTGATTCCACTGGTCCTGTCAGGGCTGGCCTTTGTAGCCTATCCGCCTTCCCCTGCTGGCAATGATGTGATGCTGTGATCGTAAAAGGCCCGAAGTACAGAGTTCCGTCGCATAATCGGGAAGGCTCATTGAACGTTCCCAACCTGATACACTCGGCCCAATTGACCTCCCTCGATTCCCTTTCAAATGCCCCTTCATAAGCCACTTCGACTCCTCCAAAGGCCTCTCTGGTCGCCCGATATGGACCACATTCAGCCCTCCCAGTCCGACCTGCATCAGATCCTCCTGCAGATCAACCACACGCCCTGCACGCCAAGTGCCGCCGCATAAGCCCGTCACCAGTTTCCCCCTCCATCTCTCACCCTGAAAGGATCTTTTCCCTCCATACCTGGACAATCCCCAGTCAAACACGTTTTACAAAGTCCCCGTGGCCGAGAGGCATCGAGCCAGACCCGTCGCGGACGCCGAGCAAGGACGCCACGGATTGGCGTCCCGGGATCTTGCCTGTTCCCACCGGTCGCTCCCATACGTCATTTTTAATCTCGCCCGCGCTGGCCGGGGTCCAGTGTCAGCTGCAGAGACGTTCGCCAGCCAGAGGCCCGAGGATGACGCCAATGGCGCCGGCGTGTCTCCATGCCACAACCTGTTTTCTCCTTTTCATTTCTTTTCATTTGCTGGAGGTGGATCGGGGCAAGGCTGGCGTGTTGCGGTGTGGGCGGACGTCTAGATGCGATGAGCGGGGCTGCGGGCGTCTGCTATCGGTCATCTTGACTCGGCTGAGAGGAAAGACCAGTTGGCTCGTTTTTGGGATTAATTGTACTCCGTAGCGTAGCTGGGGACTGGGCCTAGACTTGGACCTGATGAGTCGAAGGGGTCTTGTCTGGCTCCCGTCGTCCCTGGTGCCGACTGTGTAGGCTTGGTCTCTCTAATGAAGAGCTGTCGCTGTCGGTGGTGGATCGAAGTGAACACAAGGCCTTGAATGGCTACCGTTCAACGAGACGTCCCACCTCGGTTTTGAGCCTGAGATACCTTGGCTCTCTGTCACGAGTCATCACGTCTTCTGGCCATCGACGCATTCCAGGCTGCCCGATAAGCCCTTATCCGCCCCGCCATCTCTGACAGCCCGAGGCCATTAAATTAAAGAACATTTTAAGCATAATTCAGGCCCCAGCACTTTTGGGAAGCTGATCAAATGCACATCAAGATCGGGTGCCTCAGTGGTGGGATCTTCCACCCATAGTCAAGATCTCATTTATCATGTATACTATCGCTTCTGCAGAACAAACTCCTGGGTATCCAAGTCGCCGGTACATATGCTGCTTATCCCGCAGGGAACAGACAAGTATCGTGCTCTTTCATAAAACAAACAAACAGGAGAAAAGGACCAGGCTATCCTTCTTTGAAGAACTATCTCTCCTGAGCTTCGCTGCCTTCCCGCTCTTCTCATTCGGACTTCAGAACCCATTGGTACAGGCCAGACTCACTGGATCGCAATGCACTCGCAGACTGATCTCTCGGGCATCTGGTGATATTTTGCAGGTGCCAGGGCAGACCAGGGAGCTAGCACAATGAACTCGAATCCTCATCTCCTTGGTGACTTGTCCGAGAATGGCAAGCGCCATAATCGGAATGGTATCTTCCACAACACAGGTCTATATTCCAATCGTCTCGTATCAACGCCTTCACGCCCTGCCCCCAGACTTCAGGATCTGCTCCAGGTTCTCCCGGCTGTTCTTGTGGGTAGTCTCATGGTAGTGCAGCTTCTTCTCGAGGTTGGCGATTTCGGAGGTGGCCTCGTCGCTTTCACGGGTGAGGCGCTTGTTGACGGTGTCGATCGGGACATTGACGAACCTGGAATCGAGACAACGGGGGTCAGATGGCATAAGGTATACAATAGGAGATAAAGAACGAAAGAAAAAGAACAAAGTCAATGGCGGCCAGGATGGGCTCTGCCACGCCTGGGAATAATCACTCACATCTTGCCGACGCCTTCATAAACCCTCGTCTCAGAGGGTAAGTCCGACAGCTCCTTCGAGGTTAGCTGCAGCATGCGGATATCACGTTGTTTGGTGGTCATCTGGGCCTTGGTGATGCCGATCTGTTGCTGCGAGGCAAGGGCGCGGGTCTCGATTTCTTGCAGAAGCTAGAATGTCGCATTGTTAGTCTTTTTTTTCTTTCTTTCTTTTTGAACATTGACAAGACACATCTCAATGTGTGTAATTATGCTCAATTGATATTGCACGTCATTATTCCGGGGACATGATTGCTTACTTTCTGCAGAGCCTCGTTGGGGATGGACATTTTTGGCGGAAAGAGGGGTTCGCGATGTAGCTTTCAAGTTTCGAAGTGGGAGGGGAGCCGCTCGATATGGGAGAAGCCAGTCGGTACAACAACCTTCGTTGTTATTTTTGTCTTGAGAACAACAGGAAGCAAATCTCCGCGATAGACTTGTTGTCGATAATAAAGCTGGACTTTGCTGTTAATCACGAGGTCGAAAGCGGCTTGGTGGGCCAGAGACGGTGGGTGGCCAGAAAGCGGTGAACAGGCCCAAGAGACAAATACTAGTTGAACGAACCGGGGCCACTCACAGGAAGACCACAATAATATTATGTATGGTCTGTTTATCCATCTAGCATAAGCCGAATCTACAATAATTCTCCTTCCCATTGGAATTCAGGCCATTTATCAGGAACAGTCTCTGATGAACATCCAGTCTCAGCCCGGGCCCAAATCATTCAGAAGCACCGGCGCTCCAAGGGTTCGAGACATCCCTCAACACACAGCAAAGAAGTATACTGAGAAACGCTTAATCCGAAAAAAATAAATTAAAACATCATCGATGTATTAAGTCATCGTAAAATATCATACACATATCAAAAGGATTTCTTCGTCCATTAACGTCTCAACGGTAACAACGGGTTTTTCCGAATGACCTCTACCAACTTTTAGAAAGTGGTACCCTTGTTCTGCTTCTTGTCCACACGGTAGTGCTTCCACATCAAAATTGACGGAATAGTCAAGGCGAGAATGCAAGTCGACGCAATAGCACCGTACTTCTGCGAGTAGCCCCATGCGAAGTCAATAGCGTCACGCGTTGCTGTTCCAGGTGCATACTCTAGCTGAGAAGAATAACCGCCCAGGTAGATGGTCTCCCACTCGGATTTGGTACTCTCTGGCAGAGCCTGACGAAGGCCCTGGGGGAATGTATTGGTATAGATGGCTGCAGAAATCGCAGATCCAATGGCGCCGCCGATGCTGGAGAAAAGGCTGATAGTGGAGAGAATGATAGGGATATCGTCCCGTCCGGAAGCGCACATGCCGGCCATTTGTTCACCGATGACGAGCATACCACCCGCGAAAGCAATGAAGATCTGGCACATGATAACATATCCGAGATCCTCAGTTTGTCCTCGGAAGTGAATCATCAGACCAGAGCCCAAGATCATCAGGGGAGCGGCAAAACAAAGACAAGCGTATTTGTACTCCTTTGTCCATCGGACCCAAAGGCCAAAGATAGGGGACCAGAAGCAAGAACCGATCGTGTAAGTAGCGGTCACATAACCGGTGTTCTTGACATCAAGGTTGTAAACTACCATGATAAAGTAATAGAAGTAGCTGTCCCAAAGGTAGAATCCGAAATTCAGAATCGCAGCAAGTACACAGGCGCCGATGATAGTACGATCGCGAAGGAGGTTATAGGGAATGAAGTGAGTGCGGGCAAACCACTTCTCCCAAGCAGCGAAAACGAAGAACAGACAGAATCCTACGACCACCTGGGCGATGAAAGTAGCAGTATGGTACTCAGTTCGTCCATAAGTGGCCATGCTGAAGGGCAGCAGGAAGAGAATGAAGGCGGCCATTAGGATCAAAGAGCCAATCACTGTCAAGAAAAATTAGTCAGAGTGACTCAAAACGCAGCAAAAATGAGCTCGACGTACCATCGAATTCATGGATATAGTGAAGGATCGACTGCATGACACTCCGACCACTGGGTTGCCGAGAGAAGACGCCCATCTTCTTAGCCTTGTTCTCATAGAACTTGAACACAAAAATCAACGGCATGAAAACAAAGGGTTGAATGATGCAAAAGGCGCCATAGGCCCACCGCCAGCCGGAGGTGTTGATGAAAGACTGCGCCGCTAGGGAACCAGTGAAGGCGGTACAGATGTATGGGGTAGTCGAGAAAGCAAAAGCAAAGGCTCGGTTACGCATGCCAGAGGTATCGGCGATGAAGATCTCCAAGATCAGATAAATGGCATCGAAGCCAACCCAGTAAAGGACATAGCCAGCCGCATACGAGTTGGGCCCGGTGCAGGCGGCAAGAATGATCATGCCAAGCAGGTATACGATCAAGAAGACGAAAAGGCCCTCAGCACGACCCCACAGGCCAAGAATCTTGCCAATAGGCAATTTGAGAACACCTCCAATGATGGTGGCCAGAATGTTAGCAGTCGTCACCTGGGGGGCCAACTGAAATTTGCTGTAGGCATAGTAGAGAACATTGGACCCGATGTATTCATGAAGTGACAACATGAAATAACAGACCCAGATCCTTCAAAGTGTAAAGGTGCAGGTTAGCGAAACGACACTTGGACACCTTGTCTTTCCGATATTTGTGGACTCACCAAGCATAAGTCGCCCAAACCGCCTTCTTACTCCAAACGATCGTGACAGCCTCGGCCTTCTGCACACCGATTTGGGCGTCCTTGGTAGTGACATCTGGGTTGAACTCGGCTTCTTTCTCGGCACGGGCCAACTCATCGTTATCGGAGTTGTGGGCATGGGAGTCTTCGATGGGACCAAGGTCTTCCACAACATCCGGGGTCTTGCGCCCCCTCAGTCGATCAACGATAATACCCATAGTGTTTTCTATGTATTTTCTATCCACCCAAGGAAAGGGCGAAGGAAAATTTTCTATGAAAACGGTGACGAGAGAGAGAAAAAAAAACACGGAAGGAACAGGTGAGATCCTGCGGCTCTCACGGTTCATATAGGATTCATTTTTCAATAGCCTAGCTCCTGTCCCTGGTCCGTGGTTGTCGCCCCATGTGGAAAATTTCATCAATAACGGGGCGTTCCCTACTATCTGATCGGCTTTGGAGCTAGACCCTCCGGTGAGACCGGGCCTGGGCATTAAGAACCCTGGATTTGGACCAAAGAAGGCGACGGATCAGATAACTCCCACGCGCGTGGCCTATCCGAGACCCCGAATGGCTGGCTCCACCCCCCACCAGCCGAGTGCACACACAGCCGACCATTCAGCATCGGCTCTTGCAATTGCCATTGTCCAGTCGACTCCACCTGGGCGCACAAACAAGGGAAAGCGGGAGATTGATACCCTTGAATTGCTCCGACAGCCCAGCGGTTATTGGTGGGCGACTCCAGTTCGAGTCAAAATTCTCAAAGCCCATGCCGGAAATGCAACAGTCGGCGACGCCGCTCGTGCATGGTCTCATGCCATCCGGACCCGGGAACAAGCCACAATCAGGCATTTGCTCTGGGTTTCGTGGTCGTTCCTAACTCCACTTCTGAGAAAATCCCCGTCTGCATATTCCTATCCAGTAAATAGCCAATCCTCCCATCGGGTTCTCCGATCCCACCACTTCCCCAAGCTGCAAGGACGCGTCACAACGGGCAAGGCTTGAAAAAAAAAAAGCGGTGCTTGGCGTCTGGAGGCTAAGTCGAAGGAAAGTAAACGGATTTTCGGCCCAATAAGTCGCGTGTTCTCGCTCTTCGAATGGTGTGGGTCAAGATTTTTTGGTCCCAATCAGACCCTTGGGGCTTATACTTCTCACGACATTCCATTTTTCGAAGGCGCAGAATTAGCAACCTTGAAACAAAATGAAGCGGCATTGGACGGTATGCATTTAAATCTAAAGGTAACTATAAAATGCAACACATACATGCATGTACTTCGTATAGACTTGATCACGAGAACACCCAAAGCTTAGCGAAGCTTCGATGCACGCATTGCATGGCGGGGCTCTTGGCAGTAGGCTTCAGCCAAGATAGCCAAGAGACCATATTCGCAATTGGAAAAATATCCATTCTTCTTCAAATCATCATGTGGCAAGTTCTAACAGACGTTAATAGAATATTGATTGATTGATTCTTCAAATCAATCTATTCATGAATTCAATATCACTTTAAATTAAGACAACTATGAAAGCTATTCTTCAAATAAGCGTCAGAAGATGACTCAAATCATCCATCTCTTCACACATGCATAAACACATATGTGCACCATCGTTCATGGTGCTGCTTCACACCAGGACATAGAAAACACGTCAATTGCGACACAAATATAGTCATATTGCATCGCTCTAGCTTCCTAAAGGAGAGATCAGAAGAAAAGAAATTCCTTGTTAGATTATTCTTAGTCTAGTCACTTGAAAATATGAAAGCTCAGCGCTTAAGCAAGAGCCGCATTGCAAGTATTGCTGATATAAGAAGAAGAAAAGAGTATCGTTGATATTCCCCAGAGGAAGGAATTGAAAACGGCCTGGCTGTGAGTCGGTTGTTCTAACGACAATGCGTGATCGAGTATCAGGACTTTTCTGAGATGAAGTGGTTAAGCGATGCTATCTCTGGGGGTAATAGCAAGACTACTTATCTTAACTTCATGGTCTGATGCAAGTCCAAGTGCAAGATAGGAAAATTTGGAGATCTGAGGGCACGGTGCCTGTCTTTAGGACATGGAGAGAACTAAAAGGTTTCAAAGGCTCTGGTTGGGCAAAGACCGATTATTTATGACTAAGAAAGCTTACTTCAACCAATGAATCTTCTAGAAATTCAGATAATTCACAATTCTTCTTTGGAAAACCTAATCTCATCCTCCAAGAGGAGAAAAGTTCCAGTTGAAAGGATCAGAAGCTGTCTTGATAGGAGTTCTTAGCACTACGTCTATGATCGGAAAGAATTGGGATACTACCGGGAAAGAGAGTACAGAGTATTCAAATTGAGTGTGCATTAAGAGTCGACAAATAACCTCCCACCGTTCATCATGATTGGAAAATCTAGAACAAACCAAACACCAAGAACCCCTATCGTAACCCTTCAAGAGAGAAAAGGCATTTGAAAAACTCCCCGCGCGGATCAGAGTCAAAAAAGAGACAAAGGCAAAGACAAATATCCACCGGGCGTAAATCACGAATAAAGCATTCATCTCGAAAGAAGACATAAGAACTAAGACAGAAGAGAAGAAAAGTAGCGGAAAGAATGTAGAAAAGGAGTAAAAAGCCTCAATCCGACTAGTGCGCCATTAACCCGAGCCGCATACCCAAAACTCCAGTCCATGTCCATCTTAGGCTGCGCTTTACAAGGCCTAGAGGCTTGGTACACTCTCAGCCCGGCGCTCATCCAGGAGGCGTTGAGATGAGATGTAAGCCAGCCTATTAAAAAGGGGATGGGAACCCAGTCCGCTGTTGTGTCATGTCTCATTTATGGTCGTTGCTCAACCGCCTTGGGGCGCTTATAAGCCCGACGCATGGTGCTCGAACCATTGGTCCAAATCAACACTGGCGCCTTCAAAAGGCATGAGATCGTGAAACTTGGCATCATATGAGGGGTCATGATGCATATAAGGGGCGTATGCAGACATTGCTCCTGGAGGAGGGGCTGGACTGGGTGTCTGTGATGGCGCCGCTGTTGTAAGAAAAGTTTCTTCACCCCAATGTGGAACTACCTGGGGGACAGTGCCCTGATACAGAGTTGCCCCAGATATGTTTTGAATACCACCATAGTCTTTCTGGTACGTCATCAGTTGCGGGTCCACATTGGAATTCTCCATTTGATGCATGGGGAGTGGAGCCATTTCCTGAGGCTGGAGCAAATCACGGTGCACGAGGCCAGGGATACCGGCTATTCCATCTGAACTGTGGGACAAAGGATGCTGAAGCATTGGACTGGCTTCTCGATAGAGCATGCCTCCCATTTGGGACCCAATGGTGTGAAGGCCACCAGCTTCCATAGGGAGACCATGAGGGGTATAAACACCGGAGGGCCACGGTGGGCTCATGAAGCCATTTGAGACCAAGCGAGGCTCTGGTGTTTGGTGTGGAGTTGAGCCTCGGCTGCTGCGCGCGTAGACGTATCTATGGCTGGGAGTGTGCTGGTGAGGGTGGATCAAGGATGAAGCCAGAGGATACTCCCCTTCCTCAAAGTCAAGTGGAGTAGCTGGATCTGTGACAGGGCCTGGTGCAGTAGATGCCGGTGGAGTCATCTCACTCTGTCGTGTTGTGGCAGGGCCCTTGCAAGGACGAAACTTATAGTCCGGGTGGCTGAGCTCATGCATCTCGCGATCAGTTTTGGCGAGATCCTCATAGATCGCTCTAATAGATGGTGGCTCCAGGTTCCAGCTGGCACCAGTGATCTTGGAGACATCCTGGTGGTTCTCGCCTTTCAGATACTCCATCGCACAACTGGTATAGGCAGACCGGTAGAAAATGAAGGCGTTCATGGGTCGAGAGATCTTGCCTTTCTCCTGTGCCTCCCGGAGTCTCTCTTCTTTGGATCGATGAGCCCAGGCCGTCAAATCTTTGGGTGGCACCTTCCCTCCCTTTGTCAGCACACTCAACGGCTGAGTGATATTGATCTCCTTCCGTGGAGACTTCTTTTTGGCCTTGGGTTTCCTCACCCGCGAGGAGTTGCTGGCCTTGGTCTTCAGGGCCTTGGTGGTCGGTATGTGGAAGCGTGGCGGAGACCCTGGTTGTGAAGACACAGATGGCGAAGAATGCTCCTCTTTGACTAGCAGGATATTATCGTCTGTTATTGCCGGTGGGGTATGATCTTGCAGATCAGACAGTGGCATCTATTCCCGGTTTGATTAGTCGCCAGTCGAGCATCTTTCATTGCCCGTGATCGAGAGTCGGAGCATTACTTACCGGACAAGAAGTGGGCATCGAAGAGGAATAATCGCCGGTGCGAGAGTAGTAAGATGAATGGGTACCCGTATAAAGCTTTAAAGAAATGAGCATCCACTGGGGCTGGGTCAATAGATTTGGAGCCGAGGGGCTGTACTTACCACTGGCTGGGTCTGAGGTGGAGTTCTGAGATCGTCGGGCAGCTCTCCCGACTCAGGCGCAGTGCTCAAGATGGCATACGCGGGCACAGGGGGGTAAATGTCTTCAATTTGAGGTGTCGGAGAGAAGATATCACCCTCTGTCGAAGTCGGTGGTGAAGGAGGCGGACCGCCAACCAGAGCAACAGATGCCATGATGATGCTGGCGGTGGAACTGTCTGAAGGGGAGTCTCTTACGGCCCAAGATGACTGACAACGTTGAAAAGCAGACCGGCTTGAGACAATCTTCCAAGATCGCTAACGTGGCGATAGAATGAGATTATCAGAAGGGGGAAAAGTTCAGCAGGAGACCAGAAAAGACAGGATGAAAAGAGCACTAGAAAAGGTTCTTGGACTGTTGCAATCAAGCTCTTTGTCGGGCCAGAATTGACATTTGGCATTGGAAAACGGTGTGGGAGGGGAGAATAGCAGCTGTACGATCTCAGACAGTGTACTGGATAGCAAGCCTGAGACAACACATGCACTGACACCGGGTAGTTGTAGAAGGATGAAAGGGGATGTAAGCAATTGTCAGAGACAGAAGAAGATCCCAGGTTGAGCAAAAGGAGAGAGAGACGGAAAGTGAACAGTGAAAGGCCAAAGGTGAAGGGGGCAAGGTGAAAGGTGAAAGGTGAAGTTTGAAAGGAGCAAACTGCGTGATAAAGGGTTCTAGTTCGATGGCCGAGCAGGAGTCCACATGGAATTCTTCCCCGGGCGGGTCCCTTGAATAAATAAGAAAGCAAGACCAGGTTTCTGCAAGATCGCGGATATGGAGGCAAGATGATGGAAGCGGCAATTATCGAAATTCTGGTCTGGTTTTATCATAGAATTTCTGGATATTCTGCTTGCTTGTTGCTGGGATTGGGAATCCACGATTTTGGGCCTTGGGCATGTGCGGCAGTTCGCGTTGGGGGTTGCAGACGCCCGCCGAACCAGCGTCTGAAACGGAATCAAGAAGCACAATACGTGGATCGCACTGCCCGTTAGCCCCATTCGGGCTATTTGCGATTTTTTGAATTCGATTTTATTTGGTTTTATTTGGTTTTATTTGAATTTCTGGCGGGTTTTATTTGAATTTTGTGGATTTTATTTTACGGCCCGGCTTTGACGCCATGCCTATGGGGTATTAGTCCTTCCACCCCGCCCATACTCGTGCCCGTTTGCACAGGCGTCTTTGTTGCCAAAGCCACCCTCACTCTCACCCAATTGGTCGAGGAGTCTCTATTTTCATTCGTTCTTTGACGGTGAATGTTGCGTCGATGGGCGGGGATATATTTTTCTTGAATCGGGTTTTCGATTTCTTTTATTTTTATTTTTTTTTTTGGCATTTCAATTTTTCGTGCTGTTTTCAATTTAGGGTTCTTTTGAACATCTATCCTTCTTTCTCTACTTCCCAGGGGGCACAGTATGGTGTGGTAGTCTATTCCATGAACCCCAAGGGTACGCTTTGTGCCATTTATGGGAACATAGGATAGAGTAGTTCCAAAATAGCCATCGAATTCCTCTAAAGTGACAAAAACACAGAATATGAGGGGACTGCGAATGGCAAAAAGAATTTGCGAAGGGGATGGGGAGGGACATCATGTAGGTGCAGGGGATATGGAGATCCATCGAATATCCAGAGCTTGTGCTCTGGGCCATTCGAAACCCTAGCATCTCTGGAGGGGGGGAGGCTCTCACTCCCCTAGGCCATGGCTGTGTGGGAGCTTCCCAACACTCGTTCCACAGCAGCCGGGGATGCAATAGGACCGGTAGGAATACCAAGGTGAAGGATCCGGGTCCGGACAAGCGCCAAATGTCCACTAGAGCTAGCCAGGGTTTGTTGGGCCAGGGTATCCGGACATAAGGCGGAGATATTCCCCAGGAGGAGAGACTGGGGGGAAAAAGTATGGAAAGTACGGGAAAGTATAGGATTTGCGCTGGGAAAAGCAATGATGGATGATATTAACACACCAAGCGAAGTAAGTCTACTAGTTGAGGACACCTCAAATCGTCAATCCATTCTCGTGGCTTTCCTATATTTTGTCCCTTACTTCTACATACTGTGATCGATAGTATGGCCGTTGGAGCACGTTGAGAGACCCATCCTAGGGATGTTTAGATCACAATATTAGCGCCAGAATCGGTGGGGCTAAAAAGCATGCAAGACATGGTAACGGGCGTCATGTACTGAAAAACTATAGACTTCTCATTCACGGAGAAATGAGCCACCCGCCAAGAAGATCTTGTCTAGTTACCAGTTACAGTAGGAGTCTCTCTAGTCCGGAGTCAACTTTGATCTGACGCTTGTCCCAAAGTCGAAAGGTGCCCGCCGACGATTCTGTGGAACCAGAGCCCTGAGCGTGGCTGCCATCTGAGCATGAACGAAGATGCCAGGAGGGAATGCGCATCTGGCCTCGACGTGACATCTGATGACCACATCCCACCAAGAACCATGGATGGGACGACATGGTTGATGAGGGAAACGGGAGAGAGAGGAAGGGAAGATCCAGACGAGGTATGTTCAAGACGCTAAGAATCGCCCTCTCGAGGAATAGTCTCGTTCCACCATGAACTGGGCTCCTACTGGCGAGAACTCGGGGAGCGCCACGATACGTCTCCCCTAGGCCCGTCTAGCTCGGCTGCGCAGGCGGAGTGGAGAACGATCCTCCTGATCGACGGTGTTGAATCATGAACCTGACAGGCCGCGGCGAGACTCCACAGAGATTCGGCTCAGGCCGGCGAGTGATCCTGTCTCTTCTCCCAGTCCGCCACCATCTGGAGCGACGCCACTGGATCATGATTGGTGTTTCCGGAGACGGGCTCGTATTTCCGGGTTGCCTGTAATGAACGACTCTCTGGACTACACTGCAACAGGGATGGTTGCCAAGGCTCCCACGCCAGTCAGTGGTCTCTCGTTGGGGGTTGCGATGCGATCGATTCTCCGTGGAGATCAACGGGGCACCAATCACAGCCGTCACGTGTTGGCTCTCCGGTGGATCGACGAGCCAAAATCCAGAGCCCTAACCTGTTTCCTGTCACGCTGCACGATACGTCAACTTTAAATGTGTAAATGCAATAATTTGCATGATTCCATACTAGACGGGGTCTACAGGCGCCACGATCATACACTATGAGCCTATGCCTATCAGTCAAATTATGGCGGAGCTGGACAGAAAGGGAATTAAAGTGGAGCAATTCCGTTTTCTGTCTCATAGTGCAGGAGGTTCGGCGTCAGATGGCGACTGTGTCTGGAAATCCACAATTTTAGAGAGCATATGCACACCGCTTGGATCGAGTCTCGAGCAAGGCACCCAGACCAGCATCTCTTCTCTTTGATGGCTGCTTGAGCCAATGGGGTGAGCCAATGCAGGGCTCGACGGCCATGTTCGAGGCTGATCTGCTCCCCGAATGCTCACGCAGGAACCCAGGGCCACGTTTTTCTCTTTCTTAGAAGCCGTAACGCCATGTGGGCTTTTTCTTTATTGATCCTGGAGCTTGTTGATAGGCCCACGAGGGGGATGGGGCTCAGTCCTCGCGGAGTATCCTTGTTCTTCTTTTCATATTCTACCCTTTTCGAGCATCATATCGGCATAGACTGCTCAGACTTGGTACGTGGTTCCGCGTCCCGTGCCTTACTATGGCGTGAATGAACACAAATATAGAGCGAGTTGTTCCATCTTTGCCTCCTAAAAACCCAGATACGGAAAGAGCCAGTGAAATTCCATCGGGGAGATTACAGATGGGGCTCAGACCTTCAGAACCACAGTTTTGACATACCAAACCATGCCGTGTGTGACTCTGAATTGACATTCAATGGATCCCCAGGGGGCCATTACACAGGGATCTTCCGCTAGAGAAGCAGGCTTATCTACGCCTTCTAGAAGTCCTCACTTGGGGTCAACGCGAGGGACATAAAGAAAAAGAGACCCGGCCACCGAGCCGCGATTTATCCCTGTCTTTTCAGTCTGCTGACCTCCGTATGGTTCAACCAGACTTTCGCCTCACTGACTGCCAGGCTAGCGTTTCAGTAAAACCTTCTGGGTAACCTATTTTGGCAAATATTCTAAAGATATCCAGAGTCCTATCTCCAAAGTATTCTGGTGTGCTTCAAATATTGTTATTATTGTTATTTATAGTGATTTTCGATAGATTTAGACGATGCTTTGAAAGATCGACAGACCAGGTGGGCACAGCCGAAGCCATAGTGGGTAGAAACGGACAGCACTGAGGGACTGAGCGCAGTGAACGCACCGTACTCGTCGGCGAGAGAGCTGAATCCACCCAGAACCCACCTGGTTGACCTGATGATCCCTGTCTCGCCATGCCGACCCTCACTTTCGCCACGAACCTGAAGGGAAAGGAGAAGGCAACCCAGCTATCGGTCATCATTGTCAGTGACCGACGCATCAAGATCAAAATTTCCAAGTGAAAAAGAAAACCCTTCATCAGGAAACAGTCTGGGGTCGAAAGAGATCTGGATCCGTGCGTCGATCAGTGGATTCGGTCACTGGTTAGGGTTGGCTACTCCCCCTCTTCATACCAAATTTTGTATTGCCCCCAGGAGTATTTGGAATTATCTCACCCTATGGCTGGGGCTTGGACCCCAGGGCGAACCCTATCTCCAGAGTCATCTAGTTCTTTAACCTTCTAGCCTTCTAGCCTTCTAGCCTTCCAGCCTTCCAGCCGGCAACCTTCCACGTTCCTCATTCCACGTTTTGTAATCTATCATGGCCGGGCAAGATCGGCCGGCTGAGGAAGGAGTCGGTAGTGAATCAAAGATTATGGGGAGAAAGTCCAAAAGCTTCATTCTATAATGTGAAGAGATCTCGCCAAGCCACTTTCCCAATTCATCTTCCCTGCTCACCTCGCAAATTGCAACCACAATGGGAATATGAGCGCCATCGCGATCAACCCCCTTCTCCTCTGACCGCTCCTCTGGACAATTCCCGCCCCCTCGGCATCCACGAGGACCAAGACGAAGACCGGACTATACATGGATCAGATGAACTACCCGGTCTTTACGGCCTAATCGAGCCGCTAGATTCATGATTATTCAGATTATTCAACAGTATTCTCCACAAGCCAACTCGCACTAACGCGAATCCCTCCGAATGGTCGAAAATTAGTCGCTGGAGCACAATTCTGAAGTGCGGGCTGTAGATAGTAACCCTCCTAGCACCTCACGGTCCTTATCATTGGCCAATATACGGAACCTGTCCTGCGAGTGGGCACAGCTCGTGCTTACAAAATGCCATTAGCGCGTATGTTACTTCTTCTCTGGTTAATCGAATTTCTGTCTCGTCCCCTCCTGTGCACCTTGCCCGTTCTAGTCTGGTCGCCGTTGGGGCCTGATGCTCCTTCGGTCACTCACTGAGGACGCAAGGTGGTTCCTGGGCCATTGATGGGCTTTTTTCGCTGGCGTCGATCTCTATCTTGCGCCATTTCGGTGCTACGTCGGGTGGAGTCCCCCTCCCAATGTAGAAAAGGGCGGGGGGAGGGAAAGAGTGGACACGGTCCGAACTTAGAGACCACCGTTGCCCAGATGCGGCCGTCCATAATTATAAGCATGACTCTTGTTCCCCGAGTCCCCGACACAGGCCCCGTCCTTACATACATTCATTCCACGTGGTGGTGTTGTGCCTAGCCACGCTTCAGTGCACCAGAGACTGTCCGGGGTTGCGTTGACTGCCATTATGTTCTTATACCCTAGGAAGCCTGTGCCTTGTGCTTGATCTAAACCACAGGTTCAATAAACTTGATGCTGCGTTGGTCGCGAATGCTTCGCAAGGGGTGGGAGAGTGGGAGAGGGCTAAATCTGTTTGGATATGTATCTACCTCTTGTCTCCTTTTTGGTTTGCAGCGACCTATTTTTGTGAGGAGTAGGACATGATGGGTCAAGTTGATTACGCATCCAATACCGCCGGAGTCGAGTATCCTAGCGTGGACACGGGAGAAAAGGCCATTCTGACATACGAAAAGGATCCAAGGGATACAAAACCCGAACAAGACCCGAGCCAATTACACTAGTCAATACGACAGCCTGGTCCATTCCTTGCTCTGGCTTCTTTCACAGCCTGTCCAGTGGCGTCCTTCAGGTGTCTCCGCGCTAACCCTACAATCATGTGGTTTCTCCCCAGGCCATTCAAAATCCATATTTTGATCATTCATCTCTTCTTCAAATCTTCTTCGACAGAATTGCATGCGAGACTTAAAATTGGCACAGTCATTGCTTCGAGGCCCCGCAGGGTTGGCGTACAGTATAGTTTTTTTTCTTCCCCCGGCTTGGTCTTTGCGGATCGCTACTTCATCTCGATAATTTAACAAGCTGAATGTTTCTTTCCCTGTTCTCCGTTGACCACTTTGAGTATTGTGAAGTAATTCAGAGTCATAACGTCGTCACATCCAGCGGGAAGCCGCCACGTTCGAGTACGTTTGTCGACCTCCGAGCTGCACCGAACGGCACAGGAGATCGCGCCAGGCGAGCGTAACAGACGGGAGAGATCCACTAGACCCATGCATGAGAATGAATTGTGCCGCTACCAAGCTATACAATCTAGAGTCGCTAGGTGCCGACCACACCCGTCTCGAGGAATCAACCTTGAAATTCAGCCAAAAAAAATGAACAAAGCAATCCATCGCTCACTCAGACCGGGTAGTTATTTCTTTTGCTCGGCCCTGGCTTGCGCTGGATGGGCAAGACTACCAGTTTAGCATGGAAATCTGAGACATATTATGACATGTTTATTTCTATATGGGAATACATTTCTAGTATTACATACAGCAGATGGAATCCATTTTCATCACATAGCATGCAAGCGGCTTGTTGTCCCTGCAGCGATCCGGAAAGAGGAAGAGCAGAGAGGCCTGTGAATGCAATTGTCTAACTGATTCCAGTCAAACTCCAATAGTCGACCGCAGCTACCCGTTGACAAATACTTCACGCCCCATCGTTATTAATCTGAACCCGCCTCTTCCTTCGCTCCCTCCGTTCCCCACATAGTCACTGGTTCTGATAGACCTGTCCAGACTAGATCGTTTTCTAGCGCGACCAGGCGGGAAGAGAAAAAAAACAAGGTTCATTCCATGGCATCACCGGCACAGACTCCTGACAAATGCGTCGTAGGGCAAGGGATTGTTCCATGGTTCGATGCCTGGCCGGTGACCCCGCGAGTGGTCGGGCCAGCCCCGGCCGGCTCCACATCTATAGAAATGAGCTGCATGAGTGGAGCGTGCGGAAGGGGGAAAAGGAAAGGAGCTATGATCGTGATCGTCCATCGTGATCGCTCCAAGTCCTCAACGCTCACAAACTATATGTCCTTGAACACGGGGTCGCCGGAGATAGGCTAGTTGTAAAAATTGCAGGAGAAGGGGAGACGGGAGGCAGGAGACGAGGACGGAGTAGGGTTACTAGAAGAAAAGCCGCAACCTCCTGTTCTTCCCCCTACTCCACAGCATTTTTACATCGACACGGGGATTCAGGGAATACGGAGAGCTTCGGCAGAGATCATGCGATACAATTGATACGATTAGTATTTTTGAAGGATTGGGTCGGCGGCTAGAGATAAGGTGGGGAAACCTTGACGCTACCCTTTTCCCCCCTCAAATGCCTGGACCTGGGATGGCCCAGACTCCATGTCCTTAACTTTAGGATGTTAAAGCAGCCGCGGAGATCGAATTACTAATTATGTCGCCAGTAATTGAAGCCCCAATCCATGGTTCGGGCATCGTGGCCGCTCGACCTGCTGCCTTTCGAGGAGGCGTATGTCTAGTCTGTTTCCTGGAAGATTCCACAGGCCGGGGAACTCGGAATCATCGGTCTACTCGTGGGATCAGGAAGAGAGTAAAAATAACTTTATTTACGCACTTAGGTATGGCTAGTGGCATGGTAGTGTTACGCCGTTATTTAGGGGGTTCGAATGCTGCGTCAGAGCCGCGATCCACTTATTACAGAGCACGAAGGGGGTAGTTGGACCGAAAGTGGACATCGATGGGTCCGGAGGGCGCGAAGACATGACTCGGAGAAGGTCCACGATCTGCGGCCCATGGGGGCCGCGATCGACTGCGCACGGTTTAGATGTCGGTGCGAGACATACCGAACTCCGATCGATATGGTTATCGGAGGAAGGGATTTTTCAATCTGTCAATCTGCTGTGCTTGAGGGGCGCACCCTATGTGGGGGCTGACAGGAGATGACAGGAGATGACAGGAGATGACAGGAAGTGACAGGTCAATTCGCCGGCGATGTAGCAATCAAGAGGAGCAAAAGAAAAAAACAATACGAGTACATGATCGACCTAAGGGGTTGTAGCTCAGACTAACTGAGATGAAGATCGCGCGCGCCTGTCAGCTAGTGCCATCGCTTACGAAAACTGTGTCAGGGTTAGGGACTTAGTGGGCTTAGTGGGTGGAAAAGGTACATTGACCTTCTTGTTTTGATTAATAAAGATTATAAATATGCGAGGCGGATCATTTTAGGGGTAATCAAGTAATTTCTCCCCTTCCCTGTGCCGTCTCTGCTGAATCGTTATTTCTAGGCCGTTACTTGCCGTCCTATACTCGGTACTAGTGTCTACCCCAGCGTGGGTTCTGTGATTCTGAACGGACGGTACTTTTGTTTGCATTGCGCCGTCTGTGATAGGGATGACTGCGTGCAGATGCCATGATTGTAGCGGCTATTGCATCGGCTTTGTTCTTCCGGTCCTCCATTGAGAACTGGACCGCAATTGCAGATTGATCGATCAATTTGAATATCGATTAGTATACAATAGTTTTGTTGTATTGGTAGGCCCACTGGCCTATATCCATAGCAAACTTTGATACATCACATCTGAACATCGGCAATCAGCTTGATTAGAACAAGTGCCTGTATATCACACTGTAACTTATGCATCTTCCCTTTACATAGGATTCCGGGCTGCGTGTCGTAAAGTATGTGAAAGACCACAGTGATACTGCAAGACCACCTGCAGCTCTACCATGCAATGTATACGAATCTTCTCATGAAAACCTCACCATGATCTGTACATTTAGCATCAGTGAAATTGAAGCACAAAACTGACTCGGATTTAAAAATCAATTGGAATATCTATTAGAATACACATGGTTCCAGCCCACCATCGGTAAAGCAAAATGGAAACAACACCCTCTGTGACCATCTGAGAAAAAACGCCCAACATCCCACCCATTTTAATGCAACATTTGATCAAACATAAGAGGAAAATTTAAAACCCGACTAGACCACCATCTGGATTCCCAGGAGACTCACAACCTCTCTAGGCGAAGAGAAAATCTCAAAGCTCTGGTACAGAAGCACCCGTTCAACTCAACCATGGCCAATGTTGATATGCATAACAAAGACCGAAACTGTTTTTCTTCTTTTCATTAGAGAACTCCTCCAAATGGATAAGAAAAGAAAAATTTCTCATTCATACCCAATCGGAATTTTTTTTCAATTTGTCCAGCTCCACAGAAAGGAAGGTGAAGTGATTTGAAGGGTAACAACTCATACTTGCCACCATTCATTGCCATTTTAAGGCCTTGTACATGAGCAAATGTTTGAAGGAGCATCATCGTAGAATGTCCAAATTGTTCATCGTGAACAATATCATCTTTGTTTCAAATCGGGAGTCGTAATTGTGCTTCAAAGAGTAGTCACTTTTGAAGCGTTGCCTTGGTTCACTGTCGAGGCGCATGTCCACCATGTTGTGGTGAGGTAATTGGTTCAGGATGCTGCGCATGTGCAGCAGGACCTAATGGAGGAATTCGATTCATTGAAGGCGAGGACATGAGAGCCGGTTGACCATTGGCAGGGTAGCCATGGCTATGGTGCAGTCTAGAGACATTCTCACGCTGGCGGCGCTCTTCTTGCTCGGGTGTCATACACTTGACAGGTGGGGGAATTGGGGCGTCCGGAGAGCTACGGCCCATGAGTTTAGGGCTCGGCTCCAGCTTGCGGATTGGAGGAAGCACCGGAGCACCTGCCATGCCTCCAGAAGTCATAGGACGAGGTGACTGCTTGGTGGGGCTAATTCCGGACATGCCGATGCCGTGCGAGCTTTGGGGAGGCGAAGAATGGTTACCATTTGGCGTGGCAGCGGAAGAGAACGACGGGTAGTTTCTAGACATGGCAGGCGTGCCTCCATGGCCAGATTGAGGCCGTGGGGTGGCATAGCTGTCAAATGAAGACCACGGACTAGGACCATTGGCCGGAGCAGTCGATGGAACACCAGCAAGAGGACCGACATCGTGATTTCCCTGCGTAGGAGACATAGATGGTTGAGTCTGGATTGTACCATATCCCGAGTGAGAAGAAGAAGGCCGTGCGGAATGGAAAGATCCAATGGGTGGTAGCTGGGGTCCTGGCTGCATTGGCGGCAGGGTGTGCTGGCCTTGGCCGGGCCCAGATCCGAGTCTGGGGGCTTGCTGGTTCAATGCCGATTGCATCGGGCCTCCGATGGGCTTGGATGGAGAAAATGGAGCTCGGGAAGGGCTAGAAGAAGTGTGTGGAGAGTGGGAAACGGGGTGAGGAAAACGCTGGGGAGATGTAGGAACATAAAACTGGCTTTGCCCTGAATGTGGTTGATTATGATGGGCAGTGAGCGAAGGTAGAGCGGGTTGAGTGGGTTGAGATCCAGGCTGGCTTGGAAGAGGCCCATTCTGAATCTTGGATAAGGCATTGTGAGTATGCTTGATAGGAGATGAAGGGGCAAGTCCATGATCTTCCATCTTGGGACGTGACCCAGCGGTTGGAGCAGATTGGGGCGATGCGCTGACTCGGAACTTGAGCGGTGGAATCTTGGGACGATTGGCCTCCTCCGCCTTTCGTTTACAGTCCTTGCAGACGAAATGGAAGTCATCCTTCTCAGCCTCCTCTTTAGAGATACCAAGGCAGTTACTGTGCTGCCAGACATTGCACTTCTCACATGCAACACTGTGACTTCCATCATCCTACCTGATTGTTAGACGGAAACGTACGTTTATCTCTGGTGAGAAATTCAGGATGAGCTTACCAAATTCTCCCCATGTACACCACAGCCAGAGCAATCAAAAGTCCATTGATCCTCCTGGATGAGCTCTGCCATCTTCTTCTGTGATTTCTCTAGTTCAGATTTGAGATTCCGTGCAGAGACTCTGCCCTCTCCACGCTCAAGCTTCTCCTGTTCGGCACTGATGCGCTCAAGCTCAGCCTCATGAAGGAGACGCTTGTGTTCGCGGTCTTTGATGCGCTGTTCACGCGTCATCATGCGCGACCTGCGCTCATTCTCCATCTGGTGTTGTCGTGCTTGTTCCTTGCGAGCTTCAGCCAGATCAAGCTCTCGCTTTCGGGCAGTTTCAGCAGCCTCACGATCAACGCGCTCTTTTTCTTCCTTGGCGGCAATTCGACTGGATCTCTTAGCGCCAGCGAGCATTTGTAGCTGAACAAGTTCCTTTTCGCGCTTAATGCGCTTACGTTGTTGTGCCTCTTCGGCTTTTTCCAACAGAGGCAAGATATGTTCTTCAATCTGGCCACGCAAGTACTTATCATCATCATCCTTGCTCTTACGGATAGTGTCGAGGAATGCATGATATTCCGGGAGTGTAACCGCAACACATTCCCAGGTGAGCTCAGAAGAAGACCCATCCGCTGCCCCGTTATTATTTTCTTCGTCGGATCCGTCTTCTGCGATCATTGCCGACACTCGCCTCGACGCCCGAGATCCTCGCGAAGCACGGCTCTTGGGTTTCTTCTTAGGGCGCTGAGGGGCAGGAATAGGAGGGTCGGTGCGGCGATAGAGACGGTTGTCATCCAGAACATAATAGGAGCAACCTTCATGATCATAACCAAACTCGTCGACGCGCTATTGAGATCAGTAACTTGTTTGCCAGAGGTTTCAAGTTCCCTTAACGTACCCACTGCAACTGCTCATTCTCTTTCTTCTCTGGCATCTTCTCACGAATACGATCCGTGTTCCAGAATGTCCACACAGTCAATTGATGAAGGACGCGCAGCTTGAGAAAGACATCAAATTCCAGGAATTTCAGGGGGGTTTCATCATATCCGAAAGGGTTGGTGATGTGAGGCGCCTTCGCATTGTATTGACGCCGGGTATATTCATCGAAGTTGTCGAACCTGCATTTTGCTGTCAGTCATGGCTCCCCAGCTCACAAACAAGGTATTTATTCACATACGTGAGACCACGGTGCGATGAGATCCACTTCAACAGACATAGGCCAATCTCCAAAAGTTTGTACGAAGGTTCAGGCTTAAGGCATTCATCCTCTAGGTCCTATTATTGGGAGAAGCGAGGGTCAGCATGGAATGCAATGAAAGGGGCAAAATGCAAAGCTGGCTTCATCCTATCCATCTATGCCGTACAGTGCGCGACATGCACAGCACCCTCCAGGACCCAGAAAGTCAAGAGAACATACCTCGATTCCAAAGTCCTCATCGATCTTCATGACATGTCCAAAGATATGGATGTACTGCATCAGGCTGGCGAACTCCCAGCAGTTTCGAATTCGCTGTAACATCCCAGGCTCCTCTGATGGCTGCTGCTCGGGAACAGCGACCGCCTCTGAGCGGCTGCGCTTTCGCGGTCCCATCGCGGCGGCGGGACGAGGCCGTGATGGCCGAAACTCGTCAATGGGGGCTCGGTGAAGTGGGGATATGCAATGAGTGGTAAATTCACAGTGCCACAGAAGCGGATCTGTGAGAAAACCAGCTTTTGACGCGAAACCAAGGCAGAAGACTAAGGATGGGTAGTTTTGCTCTTTTTTCCCAGTGTCGAGAGGCGACGGAGATGAACTCAGCGAAGGCGCGTCGAACGGGAGTCACGTGAGTGCCGCGTTTGTGACGAGGAGGCCGAGCAGTGACGGAATAAACTTGAGGACCCAGTCGAAGTGCAAGGCGACGTTTAATGGTCTAACAATAGGCAAGTTGATACAAGTAGGGGCTAAGGGGAACATAATTGGAGAAGAAGGTGATGTTGGCCATTTTGGCGGATTGAGAAGCGCCTAAAGGCCACGGGTCAGCCAACGTAATGACAAGGGATGTCTTTGGAGGGCTAACGTATATAGATGCTAGATGACACGGAAAAAAACAAATTGCAATGGAGTCCAGTACATTCATGGGCGTACATGTACATGATAGAAATGGCATATGAGAACCAGAAAGAAGTAAGGCAAAACAACTGGACCGTGGTATCTCTGGCTCAAAGGTCTATCTCATAGAAGCAATAGCAGATCGTCAAAGACGAGAGAAATGCAAACGACAGCGCCAACCAGAAACCCACGCCACCCGACTGCAAGCGCCACGGAAAAGAAAGACGAGAGATAGAGGCAGAGATGGAAACATGTTGCGGGAAGGATGAGCGAGATGCAAAGAATAGAGGGTAGAGAAGGAGTAAAAAATAAAAATAAAAGGACATAGGAATACATTAGTCCCCCTCCCATCGACACGAAAAATTCACCAAAGCCCGAAATCATCCCAGAGAAAATCAAGTACAGAAAACAACCAGAACGAAGGGCAAGGCAGACGATGAACCCAATTACCGTCGATGGAGGACGAGAGTTATATCGGGTCCATCAGCTGCTTTGCCCACAACTTTTGCGCCTTTGTGACCGATACTCGCCTGAAACCTGTCCCATGCATATCGTAAGATGGTTAACAAAAAAGAGGATATCCCGCGATGAAAAGAAGATGCGTTTTCATATGTTACATGGCCGCCGGGACGCCATCGGACACGTTGTCCGACAGGTTGATCAAGAGCTGGGCCAAGCAGCGCTTGGTGGCAGCATCATCACGGAGAACGGAAGAGAACGTGGCATCGCGAAGCGGTTCAGGTAGACATTGTCGCAGAGCCTCCCGGGCTCGACTATTGTCGCTGAGTCTATCTCGATGGTTAACAAGGCAGATGGCAGCATAGTACTAAAGTGAGGATGGCCTTACCTAAGGAAGCAACGAACAACGTGCTTCAGAAGCCGCACAGTCTGTTGCTCTACCAGCTGGGTGACCATATTGCTCAGGACCGTGCCCACCGCGTAGAAACGCTCGTATGTCGCGCAAATGTACGCCAAACCAATGTCGTCGAGAAGTATTTTCTGGACGATGAAAATGGCAACAGTTTTACTTAACTCCGATCCAGTCTCCATGATGCGAAGGCAGAGAGGAATGATCTCGGTGGTGAGAAGGAAGTTGATGACATCCGAGGAGTCATTCTTCACCAGGGCTCCAATAACGCCCAGCGACGTAAGCCGGAGATATTCGAATGGACGGGATTTCGAGGTGGTATTCAAAAATGGGTAGAGGAACAGAGGAATGTGTGCTAGCATCCGCAGTGAAAGTGTTAGTCCTCATTTTCACGGACTTTTGGGAGCTTTGGTGAGCGATTTTACCATTTAAGAAGAGGGTCCGAGTCTCATTGTGGGATGCGACACACTGCAGAAGCGCCAGCGCATTGCAGACTCGGTTGGAGGCGGCGGCGGTCAACTGAGAAGGGTTGAGAAGAGGATAAACCGAAATGATTTCCTGGAGAAGAGCCGTCATGACACCTGCAAGTTGCCGATGAGTTAGTCTCGGTCGCAAGGGTCGCCCCCCACGATGCGACGGGGATCATACCGAATGAATGCCAAATCACCAACGCCAGCTCGGGAACTTGTTCTCGTTTTTTGCTGAGCTCCATGAGCGCTGCCTCGCGGCGAGCGGGGTCCAGGAGTTCCGCAACCCAAATGAATACCTTGCGATTCTCCTCGCTGACGCCGCCATCCATGACGGAGACCGCATTGGCAAGGCCCTCTCCGCCCAGCCCACCAACTCCTCCAGTACCCGGCGCAGGATTTGCAGCGCCATTACCACTCATAGCAAGGCGCCCATAATGTTGCTGCTGCGCCGCAGCAGCAGCAGCCTGGGCATGCTGCTGAGCGACCAGGGACACATGCTGCTGTTGGTGCTGAGGGTGAGGCTGGGCTTGATGCTGTTGTTGCTGCTGCTGTTGCTGATGTTGCAGCCACGATGGATCAGCCTGGGGGTACTGATGCTGGTGCGAAAAGACGTGTTGGCTCTGCGCTTGGAGCATGGCGAGGGTGGTGAGTCGTTCGGGGAACTCGTAATACTCCGAGGGTCGGGGGTGTGGATTCTAGACAAAGCGACGTGGTGAAAGTGCCGGGTAGGAATAGAAATGTTAAAAAATGGGTCAGCAGGCTGAAATCAAGATGAGGGTCATTGATGAATTGGCGCTGAAGACCCAGGAGGAGGAAAGAGAGCGTTGCCTGAAGAACGGAAGAGAGAGAGGGAGAAGAGAGAAGTTCGGGTCGGAAGGCGGGGAGAGAAGGCCCGGCGAGTGTCCACACTAAGGCTTTGTGTGTGTGCGCCCTGTCACACTCTCCCGCCTCGCTCTTAGCTGCTCACGATCGGCTGGGGTTCATCTTGCACCCGTCTTGGCCGGGACTTGACGGCTCCGTGTCTTTATTCAGTGAAGACATCTGAACCCCAAAACAGGTCCCCTTGAGGCTCCATGCAGATGATGCCGGGGGGCCATCCTTGCGAACGGGGTACATTGTACCTGCAAGACCAGCCCCAATCACGGCTTTCTGCTTTGTGCAACTATACTATAGCTATCATGTTGATATTGCACTAATAGTTCATTTTTCTAAATTCCTGCTGACTTGATTACTCATGGTAAGTAACCAAAAAGACTCCGTCTGTTCCAACGATCTGCCCTGAACAAATGTATTCTGTACATTCGCCTCTCCCAGCACGAACAGATTTCGGTCTTTACAGTCCAAATGATCTTTTTTAAGGAATCAAATGGAAATTCTCGTAATCAATCTCAATGTTTTTCCAGATGTGCTAATTGATAAAATTCGTGATCATTCATTCATCGTTGTTAAGATACTTTATATATTTGCTCATCCCAGGTAAGGTGTATGTCAACCCCACATGTTTTTTTCATATGAAGAGAGCGAGCAGTGGTTCCTATGTCAAAAACCATAAGCTCCCAAAATGAACAGGGAGAATGGGCCAGAGGAGTATATCAAGAAATGCATTGGGGTATCAAATAAAACAACGCTAGAACGCGAACACAGTCGATGCTGAACCATCCCCAAAGCACAATAGAGTTCTTATAACTTTTGTCCTGGATAAAAATTCTGCTCCACCATAGCAGGGAGCCCATTCATATTCTATCCAAGCAGCCCAAACTGGACATCCCCAGGGGCCATCGTATATTCAAGTGCCAGTGTGGCTTCGGGTGTCAACGTCGAAGGGCAGGGTAGCTCTAAGCTGTCTGAAGCGTTTCGAACGCTTGCAAGATCGACGTTGAGTTCCCGAAACATTTTTTCGAGCTCAGGATATCGCTCCATCGCCACTCTGAGGTATTCAAGATTTAGTTCACTACTTCTTTCCTTGAGAGTAGTACCGAATCGATCCGCTAGCCAGCAAAGGTCCTCGGCATCATGGGATTTTGAGCGGGTAGCGGCAGCACGAAGCTTGCCCTTGAATAGATGAAAGGGGTCGAAGAAACACGAAATGCCTTTTCCAAACTGTTGTCCGCTTAGAATATGTTCGCCGGTCTTTATACACTTCATGGTATGCTGGGAGCCTATAGAGTAGTCAGTATTCGTGGTGAGTAGGGCGATGAAGGGAAAGGTGACTGACCAGGAAACCTTTCACAAAAGATCTCCACGAGAACTGGATACCTATCTTCGGGAGGGTTGCCACACCAGAAAAATGCAACGTAGTCCTGGCGGCATTGTGGGATGAGAACGAATCCGTCTTTCTTATCCATCATAGAGATAATTTGTTCCTTGGATGCAGATGCGAGGCAATCGATATCTTTGCTTTCACGAGTACCACCGAGAACGCCAATAGCATAACCGCCAAAAATACCAAAAGATACCTTATTCCGTCTCAGCACCCTATGGAGGCTGATAGCGGCGTCATTCAGTCTTTCTTGGATCATGATTCAGGGTCAAATGATGTTGAGGTTGTAGAGGCCAACGGGTGCTTTGATCATGTCAGTGAATACTCGGGATACATTTGTTCTGGAAGGCTGCTTATAGAGTACCAGTAGCTCCTTTTGTATATGGTTTCACGATAGCCTCATGCAAGTGCAGGAATCACACGCGCATCATTTACACATGGACATCGCCCCCCGGCGTGGCTATGACTCCTGGGGGTACTCAACGAAACCTCCGAACAAGCCCAACAAAACCACATCGTGAGTGCCGTAAGGGGAAACCGCCTTAGCTTCAGTCAATCAGCAGTTTTTTATTCTGATGGAGCCCTACTAGTCGGGTACAGGCTATGCAGGGGCTTCGTCCTCCGGGAGGCGAAGAGAGAGATATCACTGCTGAGCCTCATCAGGCAAAAAGGAGTGGTACCAAAGGGGCTAGTGGGAGTCAAGACCTGGATGACGTCGAGCCCATCAGATATCACTCAAGGCTCATTTGGGATACTGCTTTTCCGATAAGCCACTTAGAGCCAATCATCACATCAACAGCTCAGCAGCCTCGATATAATGTCGCCATATAATGTAGCAGCATGGCCCTCCACAGAGGCATACGTGGCAATCTCGCTCCTCGTTGTTGTCAAGAATAGATCGGAACGGCGACTTCGCCTCCTAAGCGTTAAGCGCCAGTAGGAGCAAGCAGGGCCTAAGGCGAGTTGTTGGTGCACGGAAAAAGTATAATTAGTTGTCACGCAGACCACTTGCCAAGGAAAAATCGGCTTATAAAACTATGATCTATACCATTCGTGAAACCCCTTCCTCCTTTACCCCCACTGTAGATCTCTTTCACCTTGAAACGGGCTGTATAGCTGAATTTGCCCTACGATATCCCATATCATCCCTATATTTCCACAGATGTATGTGTGAGTGAATTTCTAGGCTGATTGAATATTCGGCTGGAGTCATCACGGGCAAACGGAGGTTGACATGGCGATTTACATGGTACGGCTAGCCTGAGAATATGTCATCTGCAGTATTCCATATGGAAAATGGGTTAAGACGCCAGTATGGCTGACAGCATAATGTCTACCTATCCACCATGTTTCGGATGAAGTCCACCATGGCCGCCTGTTTGATCCTGAACATCCTGACTCTATTATAGAACAAGTCTGCTTTCCTTTATAGATGAGATCATTCAACAATTTTTCTGATAAGTGCTACACTTTCTGTAAACTAATAAATGTGCTCAACCGGGCTTTCTTGTGAAATGACTCCCATATCGTACTAGCATGCAGATGATATTTCATACTGGGAGACTGCTAGGTCGGTTTGTAGAGTAGGCTATGGGACAGGCTATGGGAATCATCTAGAAGGATGCGGACTATAGGCTTCCGGAATTTTCTCACAGCAGGCGACTGTGACTCAACCCCAGCCTTGCAACCCTCCAACACTCGGGAACACACTTGATCAGCCCCGGCGTTTCATGTTCTTGTTTCAGACATGGTCACATGACCCGCTCCGATGTTGGCTCTGTAGGCTGATCAACCTCACATCTCATATGTTCTTAGTTGACTTTTGCAAAGTAAATTGTGGCTGGTAGTTCCAAAGAAAAAGGATAGGACTACGGCTGATCAAAAAGCCAAAGAGGAATAAAAAGAATGTGGGAAATTGTGCACGCAGCCCGCATGAGGTCGACGGTCCCGGGTCTCGTCTTCGGAAATATCAGCGCATTACACAACCGACAAATGCTTCAAGACAACCATATCAGCAACATCCTCTCTCTGACGAGCACTTGATATGCATCATGAAGCTCTGCCACAAGGCACGCAGGTGCCCCCGAACATAGTCACAAACTGATTCGGTGTGTAGACTCAGGGTGACCTGTGTATAATCATCGATCAAATGACATCTTAATAATCGTCATTAGTGTCCTTAACCCCAGAAAACGAAATGAACAAGGCATAAAACCAGGCGGTCTTGGTCCTGTACAGTCTTGGAATCCTACGCCCACGTGCTGTTATCATTGCCTACCTGATGCGTAAACTCTGGATGCTACGCGCGAACGTACTGAAATACGTTTAAACTAAAAAAACCGCACGCCAAGCTCAAATGCTACCAACCAACTTGATGTGAACATAGGATTTGAGTATCATATATGAGAACATGAAGATAGAACTGTGCCAAAAGCCCCCTCAATACTGATTTCTAGAAAACTGCGCTGCACTTTTGAAAAACAAGGGTCGCACTGAAGGAATAAGTCACCTGTAATACATAATCTCTAAGCTTAGCAGAAGAGGCTTCTTCTGCAAACTGTACCCGTTGAAGTAATTATTATGGGGAATGATCTAATGCAACGTCGCTGTTCTTGATAGTGTCTTGTCTCGCGAATCCAAAGTCATTGTAGTTGTCATTTCCCCATGCAGATTCCTATTTTCATATCGCATATTTACATTTCTCATACCATGCATTCCCTCGGTTATGCCGGGTACAGGATATAAATTCCAAATCCAAAACATCCTCAAATCCATATCAACATCAAAAGGAAAAGCAAAATCATTTCACAATGAAAATAGCAGAAAAAACAATAAGGGTTAGTCGTAATTGTACATGAGTCATATTAACATAATGGCGCCATCAAATGCATAAGTAGATCGTTCGAGTCGTTGAAGAGAAATGCAGGTATGACTGATACAGTCTCAAGAGTTCACAAATTCAAATACGATTCAAGGCTTGACCCGCCCATCACCGTCGTGAACTCCTGCGAGATCGTCGGGATCGTCGTGTGTCTCGAGTCCGCCCGCCAGAGCTTTCAGTGCCTATTTGAAAAAAAAAGTTAATCCTCATCCTGCTCATTCATGATACTTGAAAATGACTGCGTGAACTTACTCTGTGTGTAGTCTGAATAGTAATAGGAACTTGGGTAGGTGTAGTCGGTTCTGTCGTCCTCGTGTTCTCGGTCTCTGTGCCGCTTCAATCCCAGGCAGAGAGCCAATGCTCCCAAGATGATTGCAGCCGTTCCCCAGCCGCTCCACTTTGATTTCTTTTCGCTGAGTTCACTGTCTGTCGCAGCTGGTCTAGATGGCTTGGCGCCGAACCATGTTCGGCCACCTGAAGGACGGGGGCGACGGCCTGAGGAGTGGGTCGAAATGCGCTCTTCAACATAAGTTGTCTCCTTTCTGCGACGGCTGCGGAGACCCAGAGCTGCGAGGAGGGCATCCAGGGCCCCCTTGAAGCAGATACAGCCACAGATGAGCAATAGCAAGATGATGCCCGCGATTGTGCCGATGACAATTCCTGCGATTGCACCGCCGCTCAGACCTCCGCTGCTGGTGGCCTTGACTCCGATCAAGTCTGCACCATCTGTTCCCACGGGTGCGATAAAGGCTTCGGTGGTGGTGGCAGCAGCGGTCTCAGTCACTGTGCTGGCGCCACTGCTAGTTCCTCGCACTCCTGCAGAAGCCGTACCCGTCGCCTCGCCAGTCACCGCGGCAGAGGAGCTCTCAGCCACACACTCGCCATCCTGGCACTCTTCTGCGGCGTCACAACACGTCGTTCCACACGATGTTTCGCCGAGGTCAACCCTACACGTTCCTGTAGATGTCGCTGCGACGCTCGTAACCTGGGTGCTCCATACAGAAGTAATGGTGGACTTGTCGACCTCTGTCACAACAATGGTGGTTGTATAATACTCCCATGTGCCGCTGGTGCTGTCTACACAGATCGCTTCGTCGGCATCATTAGTACCGCAACTCTGGGATGCTGAGCAGCACAGCTGGTTGCTCCAGCCGCAAGTCTTTGCGCATCGTTTTTCAAGCGCATTTTGTTCCAGTTCTTCCACCGCTACTGGGGATGCGGTGGCGATTGGGATCAAGGTCAAGAGTAGAGTCAGCGTCGCGAGTCTCGCGGGAACGACAAAGAAGCGCATCGCTGATGAAGAGCGTCGCCACGCTCGTAGGGCTCGAGGCAATGTTCGGCGAAGGCTTCGGAGAATGTTCTTGAGCTCGTGGAAGATCGGAGTGGTTGTTGCTGACTGAGAATGCTCGGCCTCGATCAAGTACTTTCGAGGTGGGGTTGGTGGTATGTATACAGTCGGGGGAGGATCCGCGAGGGAATCACCACAACGAACAAAACCCGTACAAAGAATGTTGGAATTGGGAGATCACCCCAAGAACGATGGAATGGAGAAGATACAGAAGAGGGACGAGAAAGAAAAGAGGGGAGAAAGTCATGAAGGTGTGAGGTGTTGGCCTGGACCAAGTGCCTTTTTTTTCCCAGCCTCCGCGCATCGTCAACCCAACCACCCGATTTCCCTGCCAATCGCGGGTGTCCCTCCGCCACGGCGATCCCGTCTTTGTTTTGTTTAGTGCTTTGGGGAGGGAGGCTGGGTTTCAGGTACTCGGTAGAAGTGAACTTTGAGTGGCTCCTTCTTTGACTCTATTTATCCTGTTGATCCTAACAGGCCAATTCGTCACCGCATATGCACTCTGCCAGATGTCAGCGATCGAAGTCCCCGCCGGCAGCGATCAACGGTCGGATCGCCTGCGACCACCAGTCGGACAAAGGCAAATTTCTAGGTATGATAATTGATGATTCATATTAATTAGATTTAGATTTAGGTACGGAGCACAGTACTATCCACTCTGTCGACTCAAGACATTCACCGCTGATCTGACTCACCATAAAGTACTCTGTACGCAACCCGATTTCCAAGAAGTCACTGCTTGACAGCCCAACTACGGGGGCAGCATCCAATAATAACAATGGCCGCCCAAAATCCACCCGGTCTACATCCTGAGGGTTCCGAGCTGCCGGGCGCTTTCCCAACAGTTGTACATATCTACGGAGTTCAGAATGACAATGTCTATGTCGAACAGTAGAGAGACAGGGGTGCGAAGAGATGCAAAATCATTGAAGGTTCAGTAATCAGATCATTTCATAACAGATGTCACGGTATGGGCATATGCAGACTCCGTGGGGGCTCATTGGATCCAAAATGGAAAATAAATGGACAGTGAAGAATATACAACATCGAAGCATTCAATAGCAAAAGGGAATATGGGACAAAAGCAATATCCAGGCCGCCAAAAGTCCTGACCATCGACCTATCTCAGGCAAATCCAGTTCATATCACATCAACACATCACACAAAGAGACCCGCAACCCCCACTGCCAGTCCGAAGACTAGGTCGTGGAGAGATGAGGTTCGTCCCGACAGGGCGCCATTCCCACTGGCGCTATTCGAGGACTCGGAGTCCACCGTTGCGCAGTAACTCAACCGAAGACCGTGACAGGCCTCGGCGCTCAGACTCGAGCAGATGGACGTGGCCTGCGATGTTGCGGTGACGGCTTCCACCGTGACGCCGCCTGCGGCCCCGCCATTTACCGTTACCCCGTAGCGGCCCATGAGGGCGGCCGTACATTGCGTATATTCAGACTGGCACAGCGAGTAGTAGGAAGAGCAGGTGGCGGCATTGGAAAATGTCGTCGGCACATAAATAAACGGATAGGCCCCGCTCACCGTTGAGCCGGTGATGGTGGCCGTGGTGGATTCGGAGTCTGTGGTGGTCGCCGTCGCACCCTGGGGGAATTGGAAACTGCTACCAGTCTCGCTCGTCGAGCCAGTCGAAGTCCCCGTCAAACTGCCCGTGCAGCTGGCGCCCGTAGGACAGCAGGCGATATTGTTGGCGGAGTCGCGCGAGCAGTTTGTGCCTTGTGTACAGCAGACGTCCGAGTGACCGAGCTTCGTGCACGCGTTGTATCCGGAGGGACAGTTGTTGTCCGCTCGTTTCAGTAATTGAAGAACCTCGAAGGCTCGCTTGCCAGCGGCATTGTGCGCTGGCGAGAAGGGTGCGGTCTCTATCGAGGCGACTGGTGAGGAGAGGAATGCGGCCCCGATCCCGATCCACCAAGAAGCCCGCATTCTTGTGGTCTGGGGAGCGGCTGTATCGAATGCGACCGAGAGATTTCGTGCGATTGATGCTGGTATTGAGTTGTATTGAGTTCTTGTGTGCTTCAACTGTGCTCAAATGCTCATGGTTCAGGGTGGAAGAGCTGGTTCACTGCAGCTGAGCGGATTGACACTCAGAGTGCTTCAAGGCGGGCTCGGGGATGTGTCAACAAACTACCTAAACTAGTAACGTCAGCATCAGCCGGGGGGCGGTCCGGCGGAAGAACGAAGCACATTGTCCGCGGGATTGAGCCATCTCAAGGTCTGGATAGGACTCACAGATCTAGGATTCTGCAGGTTCGCGAACTCTGGTGTGAAATTGATCCGGGACCCGGGGGTGGATGGGGATGATGTAGTCCAGACTTGCCAAATCTCCACCGGGAATCCCTGCCACAGCAACGAGTCGCACGCTGCCCAACCCGCTTCCCGCAAAGGTCGGGGGTTCTGGGCACCCAGAACTGGCAGATTAGAGCTGGTAGAAAATTCCTTCTCTGCTGTCTCTCGGCGTATTGGAAGTCGGAAGAGTCAAAATAGACAGACAACTCTCTACCGTACAAGTGTGGGGGACTATGAGAGGTAAACACTATTCATCCTAATAACTTCGCTGTATTTTGGGGTAGATTGTATGCCTCTTTTTTATCAATCAATTAGGCAGTCTGAATTAGCCTTGTCCTCCCATGCAGAAAAACACCGCATCCTTCTAAGGCTTGCGGATTGGCGATCTCCTAAGACCTCACACATAGAGTAAGGAAGAAACGAGGGCTCAGCTGCAGGACATTGAACTTTACCGTCATCTGCGGTGACATTTTCGCTTTCAAACCCAGCGATCTCACTGACACCGCCCGGATTGACTCTACTTATACCGAAACATCCGGTCTCTAGATGGAACGTCTTCACGATGGACTCCATGCCCTCGCAGATCAAGATCCCGGTCGTGGACTTTGCCCAGTGGAACTCCGATGATCTCAGTCGCCAGCGGGTAGCGCAAGATATTGTCGCCGCGTGCAAGAAAGTGGGGTTCGTGTACATCGTCAATCATTCTCTCCCCGACTCACTGCTAGAGGAAGCTTTCCGTTGGTCTCAAATCTTCTTCGAGCTCCCACAAGAAGAGAAACTCAAGGCTCCACATCCTGAAGGATGGGCCATCCACCGAGGCTATTCCTGGCCCGGCCTGGAAAAGGTATCCCAGGCCATGAGCGCAGAGCACGACCAGGAACAAGCCCGACAGTTGAGGGAGATTCCCGATATCAAGGTGAGCTTGGTTGGCTCGGTCCAATGGCTATATAGAACGCTGGTCCTTCGCTGTTGCCCTGGCGGACCGAGCTGACCGCGAACAGGAGAGTTTTGACATCGGCAGCGAAGACAATGCTTCACAGCCAAATCAATGGATTCCCGAGGATTCACTGCCCGGGTTCCGCTCGTTCATGACCCGATTCTACTGGGAGGGATATCGTATCGGAAGTGAGCTCTTGCGAGCTCTAGCTGTTGGACTGGGGCTGAACGATGAGGATCATCTGCTGCAGAAACACTCCGGTCATAATAATCAGCTGCGTCTATTACATTATCCACCTGTACCAGCGGCGGAATTGGAAGAAAAGCGCGCTGCCCGTTGTCCGGCGCACACAGACTGGAGCTCAATCACCTTGCTCTTCCAAGACGACTGCGGTGGTCTGGAAGTCGAAGATGTGACGAGCCCTGGCCACTTTGTGGCTGCAACTCCCGTCAAGAACGCAATTGTAATGAATGTGGGAGATCTTCTCCAGAGGTGGAGCAATGGTTTGTGCTAAATCTGCCCTGGTGTTCATTCGTTTGATATTCACATCCAACTCCTTTAGATCAGTTGAGATCAACAAGTCATCGGGTTACTTTGCCGCCGTTGTCAGACCGGTTTGAGGGAGAACAGCGAATGACCCGTAGACGGTTTTCAATTCCCTATTTCCTGTCCCCCGATCCCGACTCCATGATCGCGTGTATTCCATCTTGCATGGGACCTGACGAACCCGCCAAGTACGAGCCGATCACGCAAGCCGAGTACAACCAAATGCGTGCTTCTATGCAATACTGAGCAATGTTTTTTTTTCTCTCAAACCCATTTTATTTTTATTTTTATTTTTTGATTCTGGAGTCAGTCATCTCCATGAAATGCCTATTTTATTACTCTGACCTGTCTGTCATCTGCGAATTTCCAAATTGGACATCATGAACACATCTGTTGCCGATATTGACTAGCGCTTTTGCATAATCAAATCAAGAATTATTTCCCACTTTCAACTTGATAAAGACTAATTCTTCTTGGCTGTAATTGCAAAATTCCGTGGAGCATTTCATCAGCATCGATTATGATGACATTCACCCTAGAAGCGTTATGAGACTCTCTGTATGGAAATGGAACGTTTCACGGGCCTCCAGCCTTTTTTTCTTGGAGTCAAGTCGTTTCTAGGCGCGATTTAGATATCGTCCGAGGGCCCTATCGATTTGATACCTGTCGGCTGACACTGTACATGAGCCTGCTATATTTTCACTGTCGAATTGCTATTCTGGATTGAAGAATGGCACGGACGCAAGTTGTACAACCCTCGCCCCGCGTTGGCGGTGTAGCAGAGAGAAACGCGTGAAAGCCGCAGTTATGTCACCGATTAGGGTTAGTGTCTACTGCGAACAGCAGGCGGTCAGATAGAATGGTCCTGATCTGCCTCCATCACAGGCGCGTCCCGCCATGATTGCACGTCAATTCAGGTCGCGTAGTCACAATGTACGGCGAACTCGGCAACAAACTGGTAAGTGGAATTCTCTCAGAAAAGCACCAAGAACTTTCGAGGCTGCAGTCTCAATATCTTGCAGCGCCCTCGCTAACCGCCAATTTGCAAGCGGAACAGGTCCAGCACGCGAAACGCACGCAATCCCTCGCCCATCTTCCCCCATACCAAACCGAGATTGTCCGCGCGGTGACCCGTGAGGTGCGTGATCTGGATCGCGACGTTGCCCGCCTCCTTGACCCCTTCGAGGGCTCTTTCAACCCCTCGGCCGACCCGGCCACGGCCTGTGCCCTGCTAGTGGACCACCTGTGTATGCGGCGCAACAAACGTTGCCTGCTGGCGTATCATCGTGTACGGACGGAGAAACTGGAGGAGCTGTGCTGGACCGGCGTCGATGTTCTCGAGCAGCAACAGCCGACCGAGGCGTCCGAGGACCGGGGACAATCTCAGAGCGGCCACAGTTCGCTCAGCCCCGAGGAAGAAGAGTATTTCCGGCAGTATGGCGACATGCTGGCGGCATACAAGGGACAATGGACGGACATTGACCTGACGGGGACCTTGGAGCCGCCCAAGGATCTTTTTATCGACGTGCGCGTGTTGAAGGATGCGGGGGAGATCCAGACTGAATACGGGTACGTGATGGTCCTCCGTTTTGGAGATGGGGAGATGCTTTTACACGGGGCAGATTGCACGGCAGCTGCTAATTGACGGTCTACGCAGTGTGATCAACCTGACCAAGAACAGCCAGCTATATGTCCGACAAGGCGATGTCGAGCGATTGATCGCACAAGGCTTCCTCGAGCGATTGAGCTGATTCGAAAAGAGAGAAGGGAGGGGGACGGAGGAGGGCCATACAGGGATTGGGCCATCCCAAGCCTGTCCAACGAAGGAGGAGTTCTGTACTTTGAGATACCCCGCCATGCATCTGATGGCTCATGTGAATGCCGAAATTTTGTTTGCCAATACCGCCATTGTGCATCACGATGTGATTGTCATCCCTTCCTCAGACTCAAGTTCACAAACCGCTGGCCAGAATCCATCCATCGTATCCCGCTGGCGTCGGGACAGACGTCGCCATGACGTGCGGCTGCAGTCGACATGATCCCCTCTCTGATGGATGCATCTGGCCAGGTATCGTGGTTTGCCGATGATAATATGTTGTAAAGCTTTCGTGTAAGAATTGGGTTTGAAGCTCCCCAGACGGTCTTAGTTTAAACCCTAGCAGCTGCACAGGCGGCGAAAGGGCTGCATCGGCGCAGGATAGAACAGGAAACGACCACGCGCAGATAGGATTGGTGGCGATCGTGCGTCCGTCGTCGGAGCTTAGCGGTACTGCGAGGACTGCGAGTCCTGGGGGCGGTGGAATATCATGCAGGTGGTAATTAGGGGGAAACAAATTGGGGCCGTTTAGATTAGGGAGACAGCGGGAGGGGGCAATGCTAACCGGGCCGATGTCGAGGCCCGCTTCGCAAGGTCCCTTTAGGCGTTGTCGCCCAAGGACGCTGTATAGCTCGTTGGATGGCCATGCCCGGTAGATCGGTCACCCCTCCAGGTTCCCCTCAGTAGATCCCGACTGCCGAATCCTGTATCATGCACAATTCCTGGACTACGGAATAACCCCTCAGCATCCCTCATCTCGTGCTCGTATGTTTCTGGCATAATTGGTCGGAAGTCCACCAGATTTCATCCATCCAAGCCCGTTTTCGCCGCCTATCGGACGCTATCCGCAAGCGGTTTAGCCGGCGATAAACCAACGTGACGGACGATAAGACGACGCTTTAGTAACCGGCCGGTAGTCAACCAGACTTTCGCCGATGATTCAATTCTCGTTGCTAATGTCGCCTGGCCTTGATAAGCTTGTGCACTGTGAATCGCCTATATATCGTTTTCCCAGTCGCATCTGTCTCTGGCTCCCGATGCCTTTCGTTCGCCCCGTTGCGTCATCCGCCGTTTTCCCCCAACGCCGCTGCATGCGCTAGTGGAGCCGGGAATCTTCCGGATTTCGTGGATCGGATTTACTCTCATTGCGTGACCTTTTGGGCCATGGGTGTGCTACAGCCTCGTGGGCGGCGTGACTCGCGCGCTTCGGTCCTGTCACATCGCAATTGGGGCTTCGACCGCGAACTCGATGTTGCGATCGCTCCGGACTCACTGGTGGAACACGCCAATGCAAATCTAGGCAGCTCGCCTGGTGCCGGCATGGAGGCGTCGAGCTATAATGGATCTAGCCTCAGGACTCCTAGTCGATCATTCTTCCATCGCTCATTCAATACACCGACAGGTGGGTACTACACTAACCCCCAAGGCTAAAGCAGCCAAGAAGTCAAACATAGAAAAAAGAAAAAAAAAGGGTTAATTCCTGGGCGGAGCGATTTACTGACCACTCGCATTGCTCCACAGACACAGCACACTATGCATCTGACGGCCTGCGGGAACAGACAGCGGAGCTGGCAACTTACGGCCTGTCCCTCAATAAGAAACCCTCGCGTGGAAGGACAAGCTTGCCTGTCTGTCTAGACATCTTTCAAAGCAAGCATTCCCCCGGAATCTCGCACGATGGTAGCGCGAGCTCCTATCCGACACTGGAGGAGGATTCGTTAGGGTCGGATGCTGTCCTCCTCGATCCTGCCTCTGCATCAGCTTCTTCGGCCTTGACCGCAATGATTCGCCAGCCTTCCCCAGAACCTGTCGACGACGATGCTTTAGAAGATACCTCTTTCCCCCCACTGCCGACAATCCAGGATGAACCCGAGCCACAAGACACGGAGAGAACGTCGCTATTATCCAAGACTTGTTCTAAGTCCCCTCATAAATATGGGACAGTAGGAGATATCGAGAATCAGGCTCTACCTACCCGCAGACCTGCCAATGTCATCACCGAGGGGGTTTCCAACCTGGAGAAGTATTCTCGCATCCTTGTCAACCCAAAATCATGGGACAGGCGAGCGATATGGGAAGAGGGAGTGGTCTACCCTGCCTCTCTACTTCCAGCGGTGCTCCTCGGACTTTTGCTTAACATTCTCGATGCCCTGTCCTACGGCATGATTCTATTTCCTCTCGGCGAGCCGTTGTTCGCCCATCTTGGCTCAGACGGAATCTCGATGTTCTACGTTAGCACGATCATCTCCCAGGTGGTCTTCTCCTGTGGCGGCTCGATCTTCAAGGGTGGCATCGGAAGTGAGATGATTGAAGTAGTCCCATTCTTTCACCAAATGGCCTTCGCCATCATGAACCGAGTGGGCAAGGATAACCCACAATCAGTCATCGCCACCACCATTCTGGCGTTCTCCGTCAGCTCGGTTCTGACAGGCCTGGTGTTCTTCCTAATGGGCGCGTGTGGACTGGGCTCGCTGATTGGGTTCTTCCCTCGCCATATCCTTATTGGCTGCATTGGTGGCGTGGGATATTTTCTCTTGCAAACAGGGGTCGAGGTTTCTGCCCGGCTACCTGGCTCACTTGAATATAACATCGCAACTCTACAAAAGCTTTTCCAACTTGACACGTTTCCGTTGTGGATTGTTCCGCTCTTCCTTGCGATTGGTCTTCTTGTTTTGAAGCGTTTTCTTCGGTCAAACTTCCTTGTCGGCGGATACTTTATTGGCGTGGCAGTTGTGTTTTACATTGTCATCTTGAGTGCTCGTGTTTCTATGGATAACTTGCATCACAAGGGATGGGTCTTTGACGCACCCTCGTCGAACAATCCCTGGTATCATTTTTACACTCTCTATGGTAAGCAAATCATCCAGGTCATAATTTGGACACCACCGTTTTTAACATATTGACAGATCTTTCTGAGGTCAACTGGACGGCCTTTGCCGATACAATCCCGGCTATGTTTGCCTTGACCTTCTTCGGTGTACTTCACGTGCCTATCAATGTACCAGCTCTGGGTATCTCCACCGGAGAAGACAACCTTAATGTCGACCGAGAGCTCATGGCGCACGGCGTGACTAATGCCGTTTCTGGATTTGCTGGCAGTATTCAAGTAGGCGCCTCTTATCGCCATTTGTCTCCTAACACTGAACTGACATGGAAACAGAACTACCTTGTATATACAAACAGTCTACTGTTCATTTCCAGCGGTGGTGACTCCCGGTTAGCTGGTCTCATGCTGGCTGTTGCAACAGCTGGAGTCCTTGTCATTGGCCCCGTCATTATTGGGTTCATTCCAGTCATGGTCGTCGGTGCCTTGATATTCTTGCTCGGCATTGAGCTCTTACAAGAAGCACTAGTTGATACCTGGGGAAAGCTCACGCGGCTTGAATATCTTACTGTTTGTTTCCCCCCGTTCTTACCCTGGCCTGAAAATAATCTAACAGCTGTAGGTTGTCATCATCGTGGTCACCATGGGCGCATGGGACTTCGTGGTGGGTATCTTGGTTGGAATCATACTAGCATGTGTGAACTTTGTGGTTCAAACATCTCGCAAATCAGCAATTCGCGCGACCTTTTCCGGAGAAATCGCAGGATCGACGGTTCGCAGGCCTCCGATTCAGCAACAGTTCCTGCACGAAGCTGGCCAGCAGACTCTCATCATGAAACTTGGTGGCTACTTATTCTTCGGCACAATTGTCAATGTGGAGAATACCATGCGAGGCTTGATAGAAGAGGACGCCTTCAACCAGCAGCCCATCCGATTTTTAATTTTGGATTTCTCCAGGGTTTACGGGTTGGACTTCTCGGCTGCCGAGGCCTTTACTCGAATCAATCGTATCCTGCGCAAGCGCAACGTGCAGACCACGATTTCTGGCCTAAATATCGATGGAGATGTCGGTAAGAGCCTCCAGAACGTCGGCCTCTTCGAACCCGAGTCCGGCGTACCGATTTTCGAAGACCTCAACTCAGCCCTTGAATTCTGCGAGAACGATTACCTCAAGATCTTCTATAGTCGCCAAGAAGCCCTCCTCCGCAAACCTATCGAAGCCACTTCGAACTCCTCCACCACCAACACCCTTCATGTCCCCCTTCCAGTCCCCCAGGTTCCGAATGCCAGCCTCTCCGAGACTATCGTCAGCTCTCCACGTGGGCAATACCTCCAGCGGGTTGCAACAACCACAATCCGGGAGCACGAGCAAGAGACCGCTATGATGGCCGCACCGGCCTGGTCCTCCATGCGCCAGCCCCTCCCCCTCCTCCTGCAGACATTCCAAGGCCTCTCAAGCCAGAACGAAGACTTCTGGTTCCCCGTCTGTGCCTACTTTTCGCGCGAGTCCTATCCGGCCGGGACCGTGCTATACCATGAAGGCGACGTTCCTCGTGCCTTCTACCTTCTGGAGTCAGGCATGCTCCGCGCTGAGTACGATCTTCCGCAGGGCCGGTATTTCGAGCTTGTCGTTGCCGGCCGGCCGTGCGGCGAGCTACCGTTCTTCAGCGACACACGTCGCACGGCAACAGTCAAGACGGAACACGATTGCGTGGCCTGGTGCCTGAGTGATGATCGGTGGAAGGCGCTGCAAGAAGCAGAGCCGCGTATTGCACGGGAGCTCCTGACTGTTAGCTTGAAGCTAACGACGGAGCGGATGGATAGTATTACTTCGTGAGTCACCGTCCACTATAGTTTAGTTTTATTTTTTGATTTGTTATTTCGAGAAACTAATGTTGGGCACGCTTATAGGTACGTTTTGACGATGGCGGCTTAGTTGCCCTTTGCATTGTATTCTTCATGTTGCTTTTTTTGGGGGGGGAGCTTTTGATCCTTGCATCCAAACCTGTGCGGTTGTTTGAGCGAATCTTTTGATCTTGCTATGTCTGTATCTATTTTTTCTGGTTTGGTCTCTACCTAGCGCTGCATATTTCTCGCTATAGTGCTGAAGAATCTACCCGATTACGTGTATCGGAAGCCTCTCTACACAGAGGTCGACGATACGAGAGCCACTTTGAGCCCAGAACCAAAGAAAAAACGACAAATGCTCGTTTGAATGCCACATCAAAGGTGGCAGGAACGTCCCTATGCGTCGCTGAAGTAGCCAATGTATTCAATATGCAAATATGATTCTTCGAAAGAGCCCGTTCGATCGCTTTCCTCCTGGGGGGATCGCTTAAAGGAGTTGATGGCAAGAAAACAAAGAAAAAGAAAGGGGATCATAGGTCCACACTGCGTGCTAGTTATGATTGATACCCGAGTCTACATGGCCTTGGTGAAGAGGAACCTCTATATACTATTCTGAACTGAGAGCGAGACATGCATCGACGGCTAGACCAACTCTATAGAAAAATAAAATTAGTATATAGTGTGACAGCAAATGACAAGAAAGTATCCATGAGTGAACTTACCTCCCCTCCTTTATCTTGACCACGTCATCAATAACATCGCGGTCCAGATTCGGGAACATGTTTGAAAGGGTTTCAACAACATTATCGTGCTCGGCACTTTGAATCCGCCGTGCTTCTGCATCCTCGGCGCTAGCTTGACGAGCAGCTGCGTCTTGGGCGTCGAGCACGCGGCTTAATTTTTGCTGAGCAACACCTGGGTCATTGGCTGGGCGCTCGTCGCTAGAGCGGCGACCCTCACTACTGGCACGAGGTGGTTGATAGACGTTCGGAGTAAGACGGGGCGGGGCAATGCCTGGTTGTGGCGTGGCGGCTGGTTGAAGCGGGCGTTCTTGTGCGACAGAGGGTCCTGAATCTGACTCGTCGGAAAAGATACGGCCGATGGTTGAGAGAGGCTTTTGGATAGTGCGCAGAAGTCCTGCAACAGGGGCGGAGGTATCATCATCACTAGACTGTGAAGTTTCCCTGCGACTTGACCCAGCTGAAGGCTGTTGGGACGGGGCCCGAGAGGCAGTAGTGGGTTGGGCTGCGGGCTTCTCCGCTAGAGACTCGGATTCACGGTTTTGTTCAGCAATGGCAGAAACCGCCGCCTCAACATTGCGCTCAAATTCTTCGTCGCTCACAGTAAGGCTAGTACGGTCTAGTGTCTCAATGAATTGAATAGCACCAGACTACAGAAAGTTAGCCATCTGAATAATTCCCCACAAGATCGGGACAGAATGTACCAATGAAGACAGGTAGTACCCTGCCTCGCCACCAAGCTTTTCTTGGTTCCGAAATCGCAAGATATACTGAATATTGGAAACGAGGTGGTCCGGGTTTGCATGTAATACAACATAGATCAGAAGGGGCACAAAGGCATCAGCGGAGGTGTCGGCCTTTTTGGAATTCTTCAGAAGGCCGAATATCACTTTGCAACAATTCAAGATACAAATGACTTTATCTCGAGGTGCTCGGTAGCCATTGATTTTCAAGATCTCTGCATTTCCAGTTAGGCACTAGGAAGAAAGGCACTGCTTCGTAGATCTCATACCTTGTTGCGCCAAATTCAAGAAACGACGCCCACTGCCACTTACGGGAGGAATATCTAGATGCTCCTCGCTGACCCAGCTGTAGATGCGAATCTTCTGTGCAAGGATATCATCTCGTTCAATGTCCTCCTGGTGTTGGCCCCGCCGCCATGGGCCGTGGAGCCTCTCGATCTCCCTCCGCCGGCTGCGGCTAGCACTTCTGGGGATGGTTGGGGGTGCGGGGATGGCAGGCGCAAAGGTCTGAGAGTACAGACGGTTCATAACCAGCTTCTCCATCCCTTCCTTGGCGTTATCAAACTCGCTATCAGATACATCGCGCCAAACCTCGCACATGGCCATTTTATTCGTGATGAAAGCGAGAAAGTCGCTAATGATCTTGACCTGCTCGTGAACCATCCACTGCCGCTTTCCAAACTCGGTTAGAAATGAGCGCAGAAATTTGGCCACGGGGTCGGCTGTTCGGTGTCGCAACTGCTCAAGGAACCGGTGGAAATCGAACGGTTGACTAGGCTCGGGTTCAGGTGGAGGCGGAATCGTTGACGCTGATGACTGTCGGGTCAAGACCAGCTCGTCGGCGACAGGAGATTTGTGGTGTTGCGAGGGAGATGAAGGGGCTTGTCCAGATGCGGGTGATTGCATATGATCCAAGCTGGACTTGCGCGGTGGAAAGTAATTCTGACCACTTCGGAACTGCTCAGCTAGCTCCAGGCGGGGTGACATGATCTCCTGCTGGTCGGTGGTCCGTGCCGGGTCCTGAAACTGACCCATGATGCTCTGAATCTCTGGTTGGGAGTCATTATCTTCTCGCGGTCCGTCTTGGTGCGCAGCTCGTTTAGACTCGGGGTCGCTATCGCTGGGGACGTCTGGCAGCTCTTTCTCGGAGTTTGGGACGGAAGGCTCGCTGGCTGGTGCGCTTCCGGGTATTGTTGAACTCGGGTTTAAATATGTTTCATCTTTCTCTGGCGGCGGAGGTGGAGTTGGAGTGTTCGTAGAAATCGTGAGCCCCGAGTTCGAAATGTTCTTGCCGGAGACTGACAGCGCTTCCAGTTGCCCCGCGAGCGGGTCCGAGTCCTGCTGGGATGCAGCCGATACTGGCGCCTGACCGGCCATGATAGAGTCTTCAGGGGTATCAGTTGAGGCATCTGAAAAGTGCGACTCTGGACTTGTATCCGCCATCATCTCTGCTTGAGGTAATCCCTCTTTCGAGGGGTCATGCTGTATTTCGGAGAGCTCGGTTGGGGGCGCTGGGATGTCGGGCTCCTCAAGGACAGGTTGATCGTCCCTCTTCCCGGGAGCCGAAGAGGGCGAGGCTTCTGTGGCCGACATATGCTATACTCAGCATGCAGGCCACGAAAATAAGTTCAGGGGTGTCACAGCGAGTCACGTTGGGGACTCTTGAGGCTCGCATGTTGACGCGCGGATCATTGGTTCAGCCGAGGCCCGCTCCAGCACAGCGCTGCTTTCGTTGATGGTGAAATCATAGAAAAGGATGAGAAGCAACCAGTCATAGGAGAAGAACGTTGCATATTATTTGGATATGTTATCAAGTCTGAAGTATTCTGTTCAATGCATGATCTACTGTGCTTGAGCTACCAGAGACCGCGGGCAACTACTACTGCTAGTTTGCACATGAATACTGCAACAGTACTATATAGAGCTGACTAATATTTCATGCCTCAGGCAATAGTGGCATAAAAACATCCAACTCAAAATGAATCCCAGATCCAATCCCACGTCGATTGCCATCCCCTATCCCTACCATGTGTGGGATTTTTTTTCTTTGTCGACAATAGCTACGCTACCAAGCCAGGAAACAAGAACTCTACTTCAGAAACGAGGTCCAGACAGCTGTCAGACACACACAATCCTCATTGAGGCTCAGGCACATGATGGCGCGTCTACTCCCTTGACTCACCATCTCACTTTCATATCTACAGTTTTGTCTCTGCGAGGTGATCATACTTACTCACAACCACTTGTAGACTCTGCGACTCGCTCTGTGCTTTGTTGGAATGGCGAAGCCTGGAAGATCGCCGGCGAGCGAGTCTCCGGCAATGATACAGAGCGCATTTTTCATCTATTTCTGAATGCAGTCAATGAATATAGCCAAGATGCAATAGAGAGAATGGCACGAGCTGTAGCCAGTATCTCGGGTCCATTTGCTTTTGTTTTCTATGATGCTCTCAATGCCCGGCTTTTTTTCAGCAGAGACTGCCTGGGCAGGAGATCTCTTCTATGGGGAGTGCAGAAAGATCAAAGCCTGAAAATTTGCAGCTTATGTGATGGAGACTCTTCCTCGAATTTTGAAGAAGTTGGTTTTGACGGGGTTTATATGATTGACCTTCGTTTGTATCAAACCTCTGCATCTTCCAACCAGCCGTATCAGATTGAGACATTACCTTGGAGCTCCGAAGCTTCACCGCCAACCCGTCATATCGTGAGTGAAATATTGTAAACGCAAGCTTCAAATTGTGTGACTGACTCCAATATAGAAAAATCCAATTCCCCCAATGAACATGGCTGTTCCAGCAGAACAGCCTCCTTCACTTGGATTGGAAACACCGTTTGTGAAAGAACTACAGTCCAGGCTTCTCCACTCCCTTGGACTCAGAGTTGAGAATGTCCCCGAACCACCTGGCTTCATTCGAGGCCAGAGCGCTAAAATCGCGGTTCTCTTCTCAGGTGGACTAGATTGCACTCTCCTTGCTCGACTCTGCCATGACATCCTCCCCATCGATGAACCCATTGACTTACTCAATGTTGCCTTTGAAAACCCCCCGAGTTACAGCTGCGGCTGCAAACTCCAAGAATCGAAACTCATCCTCTCCCTTGCCATTACCATCCACCTCCGTCTACGAAGCATGCCCAGACCGAATGACCGGCCGCTCAGCATATGCAGAGCTCCAAAAGACCTGTTCAGGTCGTACATGGCGCTTTGTGGCCATTGACATCCCATATTCTGAGACACTCGCCCACCGAGATCTCGTAAAGCGCCTGATGAGACCACATAACACTGAAATGGATCTGTCCATCGCATGCGCTCTGTACTTTGCCTCTCGCGGCCAAGGCACAGTCCACACATCCACATCTTCAAACACCCCACCAACTCCCTACACAACCTCTGCCCGTGTTCTCCTCTCTGGGCTTGGTGCGGACGAGCTTTTCGCCGGCTATGGCCGACATGGCGTGGCCTTCAACCGGGACGGCTTTCGCGGCCTGGTATCTGAAATTCATCTCGACGTGAGCCGGCTCGGCCAACGAAATCTCGGCCGCGATGACCGCGTGCTCTCCCACTGGGGCCGAGAGACTCGCTTTCCTTACCTGGACGAGGATTTCGTTGGCTGGGTGCTCCGCGCCCCGGTCTGGGAGAAGTGCGGTTTCGGGCTTGCCTCGTTCGCGGAGAGTGAGACTGGAGAAGCACAATCACTCCCGAACATTGACGCAGAGAAAATGTCACTCCGGCTTGTTGCGCTTCGGCTGGGCTTGGAAAGCGTTGCGCGCGAAAAGAAGAGGGCTATTCAGTTCGGTGCTCGAACAGCGAAAATGGAGAAGGGGCGGACAAAGGGAACTGATGCATTGAGCTAATTATGATACCCATATTATTTTTCTCTTTCCGTTCCATCTAGGCTTCCAGTCGCCACGCGCTTCTCTTATCGAGCCCGCGTTCTTGAACTGCAGACACTCAGTACTCATTGTCCACGGTCCAGCGATGATGACAAAACTATGGAAACAGATACTTCCGAAACCACACCCCCACCACTCCTCTTTGAGGAAGTTCGAGTCCTTATTCTCCCCATTACCTTTGAGCTCCCATCCATCAAGACAGAGGTATCTTTGGGTAGACGCCTCGCCTATCTTCATTTTCTCATTCTCCTCAAAGCAACAGCAGTCCCTTGGGCGGCACGTAGCCAGGGGAGAGTGTTAAATTGACTGTGAATGCTGTCTTACCAAGCTACCAAGGTCCCAAGGATGAGGTAGAAGATCGGGGAGAGGAAGGACTTTGTGGAGGGCTGTCGGTTGATGAGGGGTATAAAGGCAAGTCTGAGCTGAATACTGTGGACAGCCCTCATTTCTGCTAAGCTGAAGCCCCTCACTGGGGTCTAAACTGGGAGCTTTTTTCAACATCAAGCCAAGGTCTCATATCTTTCGTAAAGTAGGGCTAGGGAGGCGAACCGAGTATATATACAAATGCAGGAGAGCAGTTGAAGGAGTTGAGAGAGTTGAAGATATCAAAAGGGGAGTAAAAGGAGTGGTAAGAGACGAAATAAGAACATCAGGCGAGAGTAAAAGAGTAAAATAGAGAGCATACACACTTGCCTTACCATGTTTGTCGGCATCATGACGTTTCCTACGTGAGAATGTAGGCAATTAGGGGGGGTCGAATATTTCACTAGAATCACTAACCCTATGGACACTGAAATTCTTTACTCTCGAGATCAAAGGAAAGAAAGCATTTGATCCACTATCAGTAGATGAGGTATAATAATGTTGAGTCTTACACTATTCCCCACCCCCGCATTACTTCCAAAAGCGCCTCCGTAACTCCGAGATATGAGAACATTCAGTTATAGTCCTGGCCTACACCACAACTCCTCATCGCCCATCGGCCCTGTCCACATCGGCTCCACCCCCATCGGCCCTAGTCATAGACATTTATAATTAGGAGACAACGAGCATGTTCAATACTGATGACCAGGGAACTTACGTCCGAACTGAGATAGACCTTTGTCATATTGCTCGATTCATCATGTTTACCCCTGTACTATTCGTCTTCAGTTTCTTTACCTGCTTATGCCGTCATGTTGGAGCTACCTTTGAACACAATCCCGTGGAAGGCATCATCACCAACCATGTCAAAAGCTTCGATTGCCCCACAGCTACACGCACTCAACTGAGCCAACATGAACTACAGGCAGCAATGAACAGATTTGCTTACCTTTTCTATGTGAAGAAAGATGTTGAGGCAGCTTTTAACCAATACGTTGCAACTAATTATGTCCAACACAATCCGGATATACTTGACGGTAGAGATGCGGCAATTGATGGTCTGAAACCATTGTTCAGTGCGAAAGAAAACACATTCAAGGTGGGCACTACCTTGAGACAAACCGTCTACCAGCTCTACTTATATTTCACACAGATTGCAAGAGTAATGGTAGGCCCGGAATACTCGACGATTCATATCAAGTCAATGACTGAAGGCCAGCCATCCTATAATGTTTTTGATGTCTACAAAACCATTGGGTCCTGTATTGTCGAACATTGGGACTGTTTGGAAGAGATCGTGAATAGTACAGTTTCAGATCATCCATATTTTTGATATGACCGTTTTTCCCTGCTGAACTTGACATATTTTGCTCTAAGCTGTGGGTTGTTCGAGCGGCAGTAGTTTACTACTTAAAGAGTCGGAATGGCTCCCTCTATGTTTTCCATATTCGTGGGCCAAAGAAACACTATTGCCACTTTTCATCTCTTACATTTCTGTGCAAACTTTTCTTTTCCCTTCCATATCCACTCGGCCCGAATGTGATGTATGCAGAGGATGGATCGTGTTGCTGGGGAGTCTCAGGTCTCTCCCACTTTGATTTGTATGGCTTATCTCATCGGAGAAATCCACTTTTCTACTGGGTAGGTGCAAAGATATCTGAAACACGAGGGTTGCCTGGGTCATGGCTAGAAACATGAAGAATATGTCACATCTCGAGTTGCGTACCTACCCTCGGGGTAGCCTAATTCATGCTGACGCAAGATTTCTGGCGCCCAGCGTGAGGTCCACTTTCATGTCAGCAACTATCTACATTTCCGATTTTTTCGTCACTGGGTCAATAAATCTTGAATCTGAGTCCACTTTGATTGGTCATTCATTATCTACACATATGAGAGTCTTATGGGCGCGGATGAAGAAGCTCGGATGACCAACTTGATAGAGGAATCAGGATAGCCGCGCTGACGAGAGGGAACTGTATAGAAATAAGAAAAGGATTCGCATCGCCCCTAGCTACGCCTGCAACGCGATCCAATTCATAAAACCTGGCTGAAGTTTCAATGGACCAGCCTCGATGGATGACCATGTCAACGATGTCCTGTTCGGGCATCGAGTGTCTGCATAATGAGAGAAGCATTCAAATAATTTATCTTCGAGAAGGTTTTTTTCTGGAATGCTTAAATATTTGCTCAATCTTGAACTTAGCATGAGACATGAGATACCCATGCTAGTGGGACAAACGAAAGTTTGACAAATTTTATCTTCATCTCAAAACGACAACGGAGTCAATATAGAGCAGGAATAAGGTACGACCATTACGTTCTTTACTGAGGTAGAAGACTCCGAGCCTAGGACGATGGGCAAAAGAGAGGTGCAATAGCAAGAAGAGATCAAATTATTATAACTGAAACTGCAGAAAGCAAGAGCCACGAGTCAATCCCAATAGGGAGACGATCAGAACCGGCCATAACATCAGAGAAAGGAATATAAAGTCAGAAGCATGATGAAAAGCCAGAGACAAGGAAAAAACATGACGTCTCAAGACATTGTTAAAACTTTTTGGTAGATGTACTGTAAAGACACATCTAGGCGAGACGTTCGGGTTGAAAATGGCTTGACCCATTCCCCCGCGTCCATTACACTGTGACCAGTGTCAACTGTGAGAAAGCAAAGCATTCAACGAGAAAAATCGGAACATATCAGGCGTAAACCAGGACGGTGACAAAATATATGATCACTGGAAATTCTGCTGAGCTTCAAGCTGAGCCTCCAGATTGGCAATGCGCTCGTCGCGTTCGGCCAGCTGCCTCATCAACTCAGCAATGCGCTGCTCAGCGTTGGCCTGGCGCTCAAGTTTCTTGGCACGGGACTTCCGGGCTGCCTCAGTGTTGCGAGCACGCTTGGCAGCGACGGGGTCACTGGGGTCGAACTCGACAGGCGAGAGCTCCTTGCGGTTGCGAGAGATACCTGCAACACTGGAAGGCTTCGCGCTGCCAGTGGCGGAGATTGGCGAGGACTTGGCAGCAGCGGCCCGTCGGGAAACAGGAGACAGTGGCATGGCCGGCTGTGACATCTCCTGCTTCTTTTGAGGCTGCTGGGTCTCTGCGAGGGCAGCAGTGACATCAAAGGAAGCATCAAAAGCGTTGGAGGTAGACGCATCATGGAAAAGAGGCGACCAGACCTCCTGGCCCATATAGTCCACGTCAGTGAAGAGCGGGGACGGATTTTGGCTGAATGTGGCAGGCGAGTCATAGGGAGGAGTGCTCAGGTCGGTGAAAGTGCCGGACGGGGGCACTGAAGCGTCAAACATCAGGTCTTTTGGCGAGATGGTGCCAGCAGGAGCGACCGGAGAGAATGCACCATCAACCTCAGAGCCGAGCGGTAGCTGGCCGAGGTCGATAGGAGAGCCCATACCGGTGGTGAGACCAGCAGAGGGGAGACCAAACAGGTCGGCGTCGTTGTCTGGATGGGCTGTGTGAGCGGCGTCGTCGGGATGGACTATGCGAGGGGAGGCCAAAATACCTTGGAAATTGGGAGTCGACATGTTGCGGCGGTAGGCCAACATATTTTGCTTTCTTTTCTCAAATGCGTTGAACTGGGGAATAGTAAGGCGGTGGGGCGAATTGATAGGCACCGACGCTGCGTGTGGCAGTGGGGAGCGCGTATGATTTGGATGAGACCAGTAGGAAGGAGACCGGGTAAGCTTGGTCACTCTGGGGTCCTGAGAAGAGCCAGAGAACTGCTGCTGGAGATGGCGTTGCAACTGCAGGCTGAAGGAGTGTCGTCGAGGATTGTTCTGCGCCAAAAAGGGCTGAAGCGCGGACGGTCTAGGGGCAGTACTCGAGGGTGCTGGCGCACGCAAGTCTCTGGGTCGAGGCTGCGGACGAGAGGCGGGTGGGTTGGGGTAGAGTACGAAGTCCTCTAGCGCACTGTTGTTGTTGCTGTTGTTGCTGTTGTTGCTGTTGTTCAAACTGGAAGCCAAGGGCTGTGGAGGCGGGGGCGTGGGAAGCCATGATTGCTGGAAGTGATCCGTGGTGAACGACGTAAAGTCGATCGGGGAAATAGTGATCTGGGGAGAACTTGAGCTAGCGGGGAGGCTGCTGAAGTTCAGAGGTCCTGGAACAGGAGACTCTGAGGAAGGGTGTTGAGGGGAGAAAAAAGACGTGGTTCCCGAGGGAGTAATGGTGTCGTTCTCAGTGGAGAAAGACGAGGGCTTTCGCGACGAGGAGCTTAGATAGCACCCATTTTGGATCGGCAGAGATTCAAAATGTGGTTCAGATAATGGCAGAATGGTGTTGATGCGATGAGTTATAGAAATATGTAATGTGTGAAAGTGGAAAGGGAGATGGAAGGGAAGGGAAAAGCAGGCATCGAGGTTGGGGGGACTCAGGCACGTTTTAAGGGAGGGCGGTCGTTTTCTGTGTGTGCGGGTGGGCCGCGCAGTCTGCCCGACGACCAATCAGGGTGGCGTTGCTAGATGGGGCTTAGTCGACGCGGTGGGTCACGGGGTGTGACTCATAGCCCAGTGGAGGCAGTTTTAGAATCGCTGATTGGTCTGATGGGTCCGACCGGCCTGGCGCAGGCGGTGGGTCCCGCGAGGGCCAGGGTACAGGAGGGGTACTTCTCTTGTTGGCCGGCCGTTGGTGTTTGAATGTGCGAACTCAGCCGCATGACGGTTCTCATCAAGTACCTCGCCTGTACCCATTCCCCGCTGCGTCTCCAATTGCCCAATAATGGCACTCTCTCAATCATCTCCTGCGGCACGTCCTAGGCATCCGCACGATCCGCAACACTTGACGGCGTGCTAATTCTCGGGCTCTGTTCGAGACGCAATCGCATATGACATACCTGTTTCTCGTTCTTATTGTGGGTAGACTCCGTCAATGTCCCCCCTTTGCATCGTTCCAGGCTCCCAAGAATGAAACCCCCGAATGCAGGACTCCAGACACGAAGCATTACTAATCACTGCTAGGACAAGTTCTGAACCGTGCATCCCGGCCAATCAGGTTACATCGCTCTCGTACTCGGGGAATCCCATCCATTCACCGTTGTCGCTGGCACGAAACGCATCCAAGCCATGGAGGAGGCTGAGCACTCATCTCTTGTCTCATCCATCTCCCTCACCATCGATTCCCGTCCACTCTGATACAGCTGCGGAAAATATTCTATATAGGCAATCATCGTACGTCCAGAATGCATAATCTCTACGCACTAGACTCCATCAGTTCCCCGGCCACCCGAGCACCCCGGGGTCCCCCGAGAAGACATCCAAACGCAAACCAACCCGGGTACCTCTCAATGATACCCGGTTAAACGGGGAATGATGCGCCCCCTCCGAGCAGCCTAGGGTCCCACCGATCCTTTCCTAATTATCTCCCCGCGGCGGGCGGTGCCCGCCCACTGGCCAGTCCAGCGTTGGAAAATGCCACTCGACTGGTCCGTGTGGCCCCTTCACTACCTCCTTTCATCCTAGCCTCACCGAAGGGCGTGAAAATTGACTTTACCTGATCAGCCTTCCAAGGGCGCACAAGATGGCTCTGATAGACATTTTTCTGCTCGGAGTTAATGCATTGTAACAGTTGTCGTCGCGCCCTGGAGGTCGAGTGCGTGATTGAACACCGATCGCGACATTATCACTCACAACGGCCCAACCCCAAAAATCCCCTTTATAGGCGTCCTATATTGCGCTCCTATGTCTTTCCCCTCCAAGATATTATTTCGGCAATCCCCCGGTGAATTTGGTGGATCGAGAACAAGCCGAAAATAAAAATTAAAAAACGAAACACAGAACTGCCCAATTTTGTGAACTAGATTCCTTGGCGGCGCCCGGGCTCTGACACTATCGTCCGCCGGACCACAAAAACCGGCCCCGCGTCACGGGCCACGGCTGCTTTTACTTGCTAATGTTTCATGTGTCGACGAGCGGTGGATTTCACGAATTTGTTTTCAGGGTTCTGCTAGCGATGACTTGTGCGAATACGTGGAAATTAAACGAGACCTCCCAAATAGACCAAGGCCAGAACTTGGGTAACGTAGGCACTAGAATTGAAGCCTGCGGCCGGCCACCTACAGCCGAGCCAGATCAGTCAGGCGGTGCTTGTCGCCGAACCTAAGCCGATCGAGGCAGCTGGAAGACGTGGACATGATGCAAGAGAGGGCGGATGACCAACAGACCTCGACGAATAGATGAAACGAGGAGTTGTCTTTGGACTGGTCCAAGTCCAAAGTCTTGAGCTCACTTTGGCGTCGTGGAACGAGAACGCAGTTCAGTGGGCGCTGTTGCCCGAATCTTCAGGCCCCTAACCGATGAGAGCCGCACTGGGCAACCAATGCATTGGAATGGAGCCCTGGATGGCTTGCATGATAAGTCTGCAGCGGGCGAGGTGAGGGTGTCCACCATCGACCCATCGCTATATTCCACTGCCGATATATCAAAATCTATGCGTAAAAGATCACCGGGTATACAGCATGGTCACGAGATATCTACAGCCGCATAAGGCTTGAATTTCCTACCTTACGCGGTGTATGTACAAAGTGGGAGCCGAGAGCAATATGAACATAGTAAAAGCGAAACTGAGAAGATTCTATTAATTATTACCTATCGCAGTATGGGCCACATCCACGAAGCATCCGACGTAAAGAAGAAACAGCGCGAGACGGGAACAAACGGTAGACAACAGTAGGTGATTGAGTGCCACAGGGTGAAACAGAAGAACGGACAACGGGATCCAGGAACCGATCTACAGCAAATGAAAGGTTTCTTATCGATATTTCCACTCTTCCATTTACACCATCTGAACACAATCCCCACTTTCCTCGAAGGATGATCGAATCGGAAAAGCAAAGCGCACGAAAGAAGAGTGGTATCAATCTAGGAAGGCGACACACCACGTAACGCATGAGCGCGTCGCGAATCGAATCTCGGTTGCGGCACGCAATGTCATAAAGGAGTGAACGGCCGTCAGGATTCTCGACGGCGCCGAGAGTAATTATTGAGGGATTTTTTTTCGGAGCATGGCGATTAAAGAAAAAAAAGGTCAAAGAGAGAAAACAAAGCATCGACAGCGGGTATCTCATTGGCACCCTTCAGATCACACAAAGTCCAAACTTCAAATTAGACGATGATTGACCGAGAGGGCGACAGTGGCGAGGCAAAGCAAACAAGCAAAATAAAACTGCAGGCGACATGGTATAAATTCCGTATTTGCAATCCTTCAGTCGCTTCGTCCTTGAGGGAGAAGTACCAAGGCGATCTGGAGGTTCTGGGGCAGATAACAAGTGGAACTTGTCCCATTATCACTCATCCTCCATGCAGCGCGAAAATGTCGCTTAAGCCGCAGCCTGAACAGGGGTTGAGGTAGCCACGTTAACGTTCTTGGCCTCCTCGGTGGTGGTTTCGGCGGGCTTAGCAACCTCCTCGACAGGGGCGGGAGTCTCCTCGGCAGCGGTCTCAGTGGCGGCAACCTCCTCAGCCTTGTCGGCCTTGGCCTCAGTCTCAGCAGCGGTAACCTCGTCCTTGTCGAGCTTCACAGCCTTGCTGGGCTTGCGGAACAGACCACCAAGCTTGCTAGACTTGGCCTTAGACTCACCATCGGTGGCCTCGTTATCGGAGGTCTCGGTCTTCTTCTCCTTCTTGCCGAAGTTACCGAAGAAAGAGGTGCGGCGCTTGTCCTTAGGGGTAGTGGCAGCCTCAGCAGCAGGGGTCTCCTTGACCTCCTCAGTCTTAGCAGCGTCGCCCTCGGCGGGAGCAGTGACAGCCTCGGGCTCAATGGGCTTCACATTGGCCTCCTCGACGGGGTTCTCAAGCTGAGGAGCGGTGGCAGCAACGGCGTTTTCCTCAGCAGGGGCGGTGGCCTCCTTCTCGGACTTCTCCTGGGAGGGGCTGGTGACCTTCTGGAAGAGAGTGCCGAAGATAGAGGCGCGCTTGGCCTTCTTCTCTTCCTTCTTCTCCTCCTTGGGTTCCTCCTCCTTCTTGTCCTCTACCTTGTCAGCAGTGTCAACGGGAGCGACAGCGGCGGCTGAAATTTCGTTAGTCATTGAGTAAAGTTTCTATATTGTCAGCATCAACATACCCTCGGTGGTCTCAACGGCGGCAGGGGCGGCAGCCTCCTCAGCAGCGGGCTCAGCAGCGACAGCGGTCTCAGCGGCGGGCTCGTCGGCCTTAGCCTCCTCAGTGGGCTCGTCCTTCTTCTCCTCGGCCTTCTTCTCCTCCGCGGCCTCCTTCTTGCCCAGAAGAGAGCCGAAGATGCTGGCGCGCTTGCGGGACTGGGAGCGAGACTTGGCGGTCTCCTTCTTCTCCTCCTTGGGCTCAGCCTCCTCAGCCTTGTCCTCCTGGGCGGGAGTCTCCTCCTTGGCCTCAGGCTTCTTGACAGCAGCAATAACGGCAGCTGGCTTGGTCAGCTTCTCGAGCTCAGCCTTGTAGCCCTCGCTGCCAATGATGGTCTCCTTCTCAGCCTTGGCCTCGGTGGACTTGGCCTCCAGAGCAGCAACCCAGCTGTCACGCTCAGCGCCGGTGGTGGCCTGGAAGGTGAACTTCTGGCCGCCAACCTTGAAGATGAACTCATTGGCAGCCTCCTTGGTGATATCAGAGACCTCAGCCTACAATGAAGAGTCAGTTCGTGCTCCTTCGTTTCTTCCCAATTCGACTATATTTCCAACTATCCACATACCAGGTTGAAGATACCGGCCGGGGTGGCCTTGTCCTCGGCGCGCTTGGTGAAAAACAGGAGACCCTTGCCGGTCTGGCTGGCCCAGGCGGCGATGGGGTTGGCAACGGCGGGCTTCTCTTCCTTGTGGAAGGCAGTCAGCTGCTTGGCCTCAACAGCCTCATCCTGGAAGTAGAAGAAACGCTTGGCGAAGCGGAAGCCCCTGTTTGGCACAAGTATCGTTAGCGGCGCGCAAATTTTTGAGTTCTGCTGTTCGCGATCTAGTGTCGCGATGCGCATGGTGACTGCTTACTTGACAAGACCGGGGGCCTTGTAGCCGAGAGTGCCCTCGCTGGCGGGCTCGACTTCCTTTGCCTCCTCCTTGGCGGGCTCAGCAGCTTCCGCGGGCTTGTCCTCAGTGGCGGCAGCAGTCTCCTCAGCGGGAGTGTCCTTGGTCTCCTCCTTAGGAGCCTCAACAGCGGCCTCGGTGGCAGCAGGAACCTCAGCGGGAGTCTCCGCGACGGGAGCGGCCGCGGGGGTCTCCTCAACAGGCTTCTGAACGTCAGACATGATTAAAGTTATTAGACCGGAACGGTTGGGGTATCGATAAAGAAGCAGAGCTTCGAAGAGAAAAGCAGGTTGGTTGGGGGTATCTGGGTATCTTGAAAGCAAAGAAATAAGAGCTACAAAAGAGCTCGGGTATCACGAACGTAGGAAAAAAGGGGGGGGTATTTTGCTTTGGGAGGGGGAAAGGAAAGAAAGAAAGAGGGAGGGAGAAAGGGAGGGAAGGGGAAAAAAAAGAGAGCGGCATGGGGGGGGGGGAGCAGGGAAGGGAAGCGCTTGTTGACGGCGCTCGGCGCTCGTTTAGGAAAGGAGCTGCAGGGAGCCCAGAACTTTGGGCGATTTAGGTCTTTCGGGATCTTTGAGGGGAGTGGGGGGGGGGGCTTAGGTAATTGGCCTTCAGGGGGGTCGTCAGGCCAGCCGGCCAACAGCAGCCCTGATCTATACAAACAATCCAAGGTGAAACCGTTGGAAGGTCCCCTCCAACTACCAGTCACGGTTGGTGCGTACGTTCGTATGATGCCAACACTATCACCGCCGGATCGCCATTGCGCGCTGATTGGAGAAGCCTGGCAAAAAGACCAATATCAGGACCTCATGGTCTCATAGTACCGAACGAAACCCGACTGGCCCATCATGAAACTGAAAAAAAAAAAAAAAAAAAAAAAAAAAAATCTTAGCAAATAATCTCAAGTCTCTCCAAATCTTTCCAATATTTAGAAATTATCCAAATTCTATTTTCTATTCTTCCAAATTCAAAACCAAATGAACCCTAACCCACTCAAAAATGGAGCCCAAATGCTCAAACAGAAACGACCAGGCGAACACCATTCCAGGCAATAACAGACAACCATCCCATCACACCACCTCCTGAAAGCTCTGAGGATCGGCCATGCAGCGGGCAATCAACGGGCGTCCCCCTAATTTAGTGTAGATGCAATGACCCCATCCGACCGACACTAATGAGCTCCCGCGCTAACGCCCCCCCTCAACCGAGAATCCTCGTCCCTAATTGACCCGTGCAGCTCGGGTTTCCGTCCCATCGCAAATTAGCGGCCTTTCACTTCGTAATTGGGGCCCTTTTTGGTGCCTCTTCTCAGTGGTTCTCACTTGTCGTTGGTTGGCACACGCGACCAGTCTCTTTGGATATTTGCGCTGCGCAAGATGTCTCTATAGTTCCTTCATAGTATCACATCATACCATGCACCTGATTATAGTATTCTTAGAAGGCTGATCATATAGCGAGCAAGTTTACAGTAGTCGAGATGTTCTCCACGATCAGTCTCCATGGATGAATGAGGATGATTGCCGTCTGGGCTGCCCGTTAAATTGGGCGGTTACACAATTAAGGGGGCCGTATCGGTGTATACCAACTTTACTCGGCACATACCACATCTTCGTATTCTCGAGCCTCTGGGAACACATCCGGTCATGAACTCCGTCTTCGTCTTCCGCAGGGTCAAGCGCGACGGTTCGATAGCGTTGATCCTACGATCCCCTTCCTGTGAAAGGATGGACCAGTCGCCGAGAACCAAAGGGGAGGGGGGGTGAGACGAAAAAATGGTCAGAATGTGCGGCCCCCTCCCTGCCAGATCCCCGTCCTGTAGAGTTAAATTCATGAAACAATGACATGAGATTATCCTATCTGCATGATCATGGATGCATGGATGAGGGGATCCCGGTTACGGCACCGTGATCCGGTCAAGGTTTGAGAGCGAATTCGCTCGCCGATCCACGCCCGACGACAGACTCCACGGTATCTGAGTGGCCGACCCGATTTCCCGTGTACGATGCTCATCCCATGACAGCTGCCTCACATTCATGCTTGCTAAGGAGTGGCGTGCGAACCCTCGTGGCCAACCAGCGTCCTGTTGCGCAACCCCTCCCTCGCGCTGGGTCATCTCCGGCCTGCCGTGCCCTATCGCCGGCGTATCATCGTGCAGCGCCGTTGACCGACCACGATATCAACCAGGATCCCATGATCTGCCCCGCGAAAGACCAAGACCATTGTTTGGGTCGCTGGCGTCATTCACGGGAAATCGGGGGCAGTTATACTTCATGTACATGATATGTATTACGTGTGTCACGTTGCCTACCTCGAACAGGCCCTCGCCCCAGGTAAGTATAGGGGGCACAGACATGTTGAGGATCAGTGAAGACCTCATTTGTCGCTATATATCCAATACGATGGCGGAGGCCGTCGATATAGATTGTTAACTTTCAAATACCTTCCGTGGGTCACTCCTGGGAAATGCCGTACAATCACCCTCCACCAGCCCACGCCGGAAAAGGCCCTTAATTAACCCTCTTTCCTTCCTATTCTTTTCTCTTCTCTCCATAAACGTCCTTGTTCTCTAAAATTTTCGCGGCGATGTTCTTTCTAGATGTTCGCTCGGACTAAGGCTCTCAAGTACGGTTGTGCTCCACTTGGTGGTCCCGTGTCTTAAGCCATCCACCATCGGTGGCTGGCCAGCCCTACCCCCTATACGTTACCAAGCCAACAGTTTCTGCATCGGCTGGATGGTCTTGTGTTTCTGGCCCCGAATCACATACATACCAGCCAGTCCACTCATGAACTCCCATGCACGAAGAGCAGGATTCAAGAATCGCTGTGACTCAGAACGGTATCATCTATCAACGATGATCAGGAGAGTCCCGCTCCCGCTAGATTGCGACCACGGAACATTTCCAGTAATGATAGCCCACACGGGGAGCTCCACTGGGTACTAACCACCAATTGCAGCTGCGGGCAGCCCCTTTTCTACCCGTCGGGGGGCCATCCATTTGCCTATCCTGCCAAACCTGCTCTCTTGGTGTCGAAGACGCTGGTTCTTGCCGTTTACAAGAGTTCTAGTCTTGCTCTGCATTTTCAAGGTGTCTCTGATGAGTGGACAGTGTCGCCGTCGATCCTGCTATGCGGACGTAAATGTTTGTGTAGCCGGTTTTTTCTTCTTCTTTTGAGCCTAAAATCCTGCAAGTACCACACGCCTACGACAAGGAGAAAAGGAAGAGTGGAAGTGAGGAGACCGCTTCTTAGTCCAATACGCGCAATATGTATCCCTGATCCAGAATTTTCGTCCACCAGAATCCCTCGCAACAAAAGTGCGGCGCATCGAGTATCGTGTACGGAGTACTCCGTATAGATCGAAAAGGGAATACAAGAAATAAAACGGAAACGCTGATGATTCCACTCCCTCACCCCGAAGGTGACATATTCCGAAGAAAATGGAGCCTTGCCAAGCGCTGACGAGCACGGTGATTAAACAAAAACAGGCCTCTTGTTGATAATGCGGTGTGCAAAAAACTTTCCTGGTCCATCTAAGCTCGCCCCCGAAGCGCTCCGTTGATTCTAGCGTCTACTAGCCCGAGCATCGAGCCTCTCGGGTACCATGGCACCCTTTGATGAGGATGCGCACCCTCTTGTTCCGTGCGACGATGGATTCGCCTGGCCACAAGCCAACCAGCACAAAACAAAAACAATCTACTTTGTTTGGAAACTGGCGAATTCTGGCCTTGGTCGCACAGACCGGACTTTTTCCGAGGCCACAGGAATGGCATGACAATATGTGCAGGACCACACAAAGAAGCATCGCAACACCCAGAAAAATTGGACATGCTAAATGAACGTCCCAATTCCAATTCCAGTTCAACTGGAGTCGCCGGCTCGGGCCACTGTCACGCACTACCCTTCCAGGGCCAATATACAGAGTTGCTGCCCATCCGTGGAATAGGGGCGAGGAACGGATCCACACAAGCTCGTAACTACTGGAGACATCCACTTTTTTTTTTTTTTTCCGCTGGGATACAGGGCCACTTGCACATAGTTCCACCGTCCTGGCGAACAAGGAGATTCTCCAATAATTTGAAAATCCTGGACGAGCCCCCCTCAGCCTACCCAATCCTTCCACGCGGATGGACTTGGGATCGACCGATCTATGGATTCTGGAATGCAAGGTACACGAGCACTCTTGGTGACAGGTCACCCTTTTTTGAGTTGGCTCCGGGTAGAGATGGTCACATGATAGTCATGTGATAACTGAGTCTGCTGCGGTGGCATGACTCGCTTCGTCATCGGTCATGTGATGATCCGCTGCTCGCTTAGGACTAGCGCCGCGAGCGTGGGCTATAAAGGAGGCGCCCCCTCTGCCCCCTTCCTCTTCTTTTTCTTTTCTTCTTCATACTTACCTTGTTTGGGTGGCTGCGATCATGAAGGCGGTCCACCACAGATTGGTCCCTGCATTGCACAGCGCGGCGGAACAGTTTGTTCAACGGCCTTCGGGTCATTGACAGGCGTATTCTTTGGCACCCTCCACTCTGTGGACCTTTCTTTTCATCAAGCCTTGGGTCAGTGACCTGAGTTTGGAGAAGAGTATGCCAAGATACAATCGGTCTTGTAGATAGTAGTAAATAAATAGAGTTGCGGCTATGGAAAATTGTCTGCACCTCACCAAGTTCACGACGACCAGGATCCACATTTGTTTTGGTTAACAAAGGCGTGGGAGCAGCAGCCGCCCGGCGGTTCATTAGTGATATTGCCCGCTGGGTGAAGCGAAACAGATACGAATGGAATTGAGGACTAATAATAATACTTTTCAGGCGTTATATAGTCATTCGAGAGCAGCTCTCTCTCACCGGCATGGCTGTGTTATTCTCGAATCGATGTCAATCTTTTTTTCGCAATCTTTCGTTCCATTTTCATTACAAATTTGACAGTGCCCGACTCTCTTCAAGCGCCGGTGGTCCCGAACCTCTCATCCATTCGGAGTGCAATACCTGCTGTGCTGTTGATCTTTCGTTCGGCCGGAATACTAGCATCGATCGAAGCATCGTCTTGAGAGCCGCCCTCTCTTTCCCTGTCACAGTCTCTAGGCCCGCCTCAGCCCGAGTTTCCTGTATGCAGTAGCCAACTCTCTCGTCCCAGTTCCGGCACATGCCATCTGATCCCTAGATGCGTCTGGTTTCCCATTCACCTCTCCTTCCTAGTTGAGCCATTTCAACCGTCTGTTCCAGGCTTTCCACCATTCAGGAGGTAAGATTCCAATAACCTCGACTTGCCCTGCGGTGATGCGGTCTACAGGAGAACAAAAAGCCTCAAACAAAGGCTGCTGTCCAAAAATATCCCAGATAGTACAGGCAAGTGTCCAAATGTCGGAGGCAAGGAAGGGGCTTATCAGAGAACCTGGCCCCCGGTGGCTGGAGGAGAGGAAGGGTCTTTGGGGAGAATCTGGGGGTTCTTGTGAGGATTGAAAGATGTTCTCCAAAGTCGCTAATGATGATCCTCTCCTCCCCAGGCGCCCTGAGGAGACTTAAGCTTGAGCCTTTCAGTTAATTCCTTCGATGCCAAATCACTCAAATATTTAGACCAACGATTCCCAAACCTGTGCTGTTTTGTAGGGGAGGTTTAGATTCTTAATTATAAAACGGCTACATAGTACCATTTATGTCATTTGTTGCAGAAGAATCATAGTCTACTGTGCCTTATTTCATCTATATCATGGATTCAGTCAGCCCCACTGAGGTTGTGCGATTGATCTAGACAACTGTTTACTTTCCCTCAAACAATCATCTAAATCTGAGCTCTCTGTTTATGATTAGGCGAGAGGGTCCTACTAACATATGCCCAAAACTCCTGAATCATTGATTAATTTGACATGTGCTGGACTTCCGTATTTCATTGTACACCAAATTTGATCGAAGATTCTGTCAAGGAATAACGATTTCAAACGTTGCCTTCGGGGTGGAGAGTAGATCAAGTAGTCCGTTCCAACAAGAGCGATCTCCCTGCTCTTCGCCGAAAGTTCCTAATGCCTGTCTAGCCGACAAGGACTGAACCAATTGGTCATATGTAAGTGTGCATGAGAAATCGGCCGAATCCAGCGCAGATGACTTCGACGAGCCTTTTCCAGTGCGGTGTATCAACGCCCCGTTACTAACTAGTAACCGGCAGTGTTCGTCTCGATCGGTCACATAAAGATCGATGATGAAATCTCTTGTTTGCGCTCGAGTGCCATCCAGCCGAACAGCAACCGAAGCCAAGAGATGGTGAAGTGACAAAGCCTCAGTCAGCCCGGCCTGACCGGACAGTACGTTGTCTTTTGGCTTCACACCACGTAGCTCCCTTGCGCCTGAAATATAAAAATTTCGCCAAGGGCCATTCTCACATCCATAACCCAAAGTTTCGTACGTAGATGCGAGTAAAGATTTGGCATTTGTGTTCTCAGGATCGGCGAACACAGCATGGTTGAGAAGCGATGCAGCGAATCGTAAATCCCCTTTGTCAGAAAATTCCCTCGCTTTCTGGAGCACTGCTTCCATGCCGCCCATACAATACACATATCGTTTCGCCGCTTCGACTGGCGGGTGCTCCCATAGATGAGACGGATTTCCATCGAACCATGTCATATAACGCTGATAAATGGCTTTGACGTTGTGGCTCACAGAGCCATAAAATCCCTGCGTGTGCCAAGAATCTCGCAATCGATCGGGGAGCTCCAACTGCTCGGCAATTTCAATACCCGTTAAGCCATCATTCATTAAGCGCAACGTCTGGTCATGCAAAAATGCGTAAAGGTCACGCTGCTGCGTAAGATAGTTCAACAGAGTTTTTTGGCCCCATGTGGGCCAATGATGAGAAGCAAAAACGACATCTGAAGTTCCAGCGAAGAGAACAATCGTTTCGTCCAAATATGAAGACCATGCAAGAGCATCCCTGACGGCGGCGCCTCGGAGAGTGGCAATATTGTGAAGACATTGAGTCGCATTTTCCGCGACGCACAAGGTTCGCCGTTGCGGGAGATGAAAGTTCATTTCCGCGGGCGCCTCTGTTCCAGGAGTGACTTGAAAGACGAACTCTACTCCGTCAATCACCTCTACTTGGCCGGTATGCGTTATATCGACCGATGGAGGTAATAAGGTCACCGTTCCCGCAGAAACTGTTGCTCCCAGACCGCAGCTAATTTGACCTGACGGTCCTTTTGGTAATTGGTCACCGTACATATACGCAGCCCTGCGAGCCATAGCGTTTCCAGCATAAATATTCTCAGAGACAGCATGTTCAAGAAAGCCATACGGTGCCAATATAGGTACGGTGCAATCTTTATTCGATTCGAAGACTCCCTTCGCACCTCCAAAATGGTCAGCGTGTGAGTGTGTATAGATCATGCCCATCACAGATTTCTTGGCACGATTCTCATAATACAAGTTGAGTGCTGCTCGTGCACATTCAGCGGAAGTGAGGGGGTCCACCACGATGATTCCACTATCACCTTCAATGATAGTCATATTTGAAAGGTCAAAACCGCGGACCTGATATACACCGCTAGTGACCTTGAATAAGCCTTGCTTGCTTACAAGTTGTGCCTGTCGCCATAGCTTCGGATTAGCTGTCTCCGGACAATGCGAGTTGATCAAGAAATCATATGCATCGTTATTCCAAATAACATGACCATCTTCATCTTTGATTACGCAAGGGTCAAGCTTTGCGATAAAGCCACGATCTGCATCTTGAATAGACATCGATTGAGAATCCAACAATTGTTTGGAGTAAGTAGTTTTGAAAGTGCTGGCCGAGATACCTGTCGCCACATATGGTATGTGGGCATCTTAAAAACAAAGGATAGAACTGAGGCCCTCTAGCCGCGAAGCCTATGACGATTACATCGATGGATTAAAATCTTGGCTTGACGACATAAAGAGAAGGGTTTCGACGCAGTGAGACCAGCAGTTCCTCAAGCGGAAGGTAAAGACCTTCCGCGTTAACGCCAATTTCCCCGCATGCGTACCGTACATTCCTGAAATGACATCAGTACAAATGTAAGTGACATAAAGCTCATAATGGTTCGCTACCTTTGCATTAGCTGGATAGCGAGTCTTTTCCTGCCGTGTATTATATAGACAGTCGAACTTCACTACAAGGCTTCGATGTGCCTTGCCGTTTTTTAACGGGTTGAGTAGTTGCTTGTGCGGTGCTCGGAGAGAGGCAATAAATATAGACCCAATGGCACAAAATGCAGTGACTACACAAAAGTCCTGACGCCGTTCTGCTACCGCCTTCCTGAAGTAGCCCTCCCCCGCAATATACCCGGTGTTGGGTTAGTGGAGGCCTGACTGGCAGAACGCCGTCTGCGGGTCCCATGGAAAGCATACCTAAAAATTTAGGTCGTCGCCCACGGAGTCGGAGAAATTTAATTCCGTCTTTCTGAGTTCGCTTAACATTATAACTAGTGAACTAGGGCGCTCTATAGCAAGCCTGGCAAGCATGCTGGATGACGTGGGTCAATGAACAGACCAACCAACAATCATACATCACGATTGAGGAGAGCTTCCCAAAAGAAACAGAAGCTGTTCCAGCGAAAGATGTGTTGAAGGTTTTTTCCCTATCGGAGATGTGAAGCTATATCCTGTATAGACTATATACTAGGAAGGATATCCTCCACTCAAAGATCATCTATCGTCGGCCATTTCCCCACTACAATAGTCTTAGTAGATATCTAACACCACGATCTGATTAAATCTACAAGCAAAATAATATTATATTAGTGTTTATACTACCGTATTTGTCGTATCTTCTGCAACCACTCGATATAGGATATTTTACTATATGAAAGCGTTTATACGGTCGCCTAATCGAAACGCAAGCTCGCCTAGGATTCAATCATATCGATAAGCTCGATTTTTAAAAACTACGCTCTAGCACGCCAGGAAGCCTTCCTACCTAGCACGATTCAATCAAGCTTTACCAGCGCAGGCCTATTTCCCGCTTAATGCTAAGCGAGTCCTATCAAAGCTTAATATATCGCCTCGAACACTAACACTACTAGTAAGCAGGCTGTTATGCGACAACCAAGTGTATAATACCTGACGTCATTCGGGCTGACTTCGGATACGAATTGTATTCATAACGTATACGAAGTATTTTCTCTTTGTTGAGATTCCTCGTCCTTAGCCTCTCTCAAGACACCAAGTCCTTTGCTTGAAAGATTCTAAAATGTAACAAAAAGGTATCATGCGCATATTTCGGCTTTCGTGAAGCCATAAACTATAACGAAGAATACAACTAGAGCCACCGGAATACCTCACAGAAAAACAGTAAGTCTGGGCTGTCGAATGTATTGTTATTTACAAGAGCAGCGAGTGCTCTGTTAGTAAAGGCTTGCGAAAGTAATTGGATTTGAGTATTGACGAGGACACTCGGTCACTCTTTTTCTCTGTTCATTGCATGCGGTTACATATCAGAGCGTAATAAAGGTGTCTCTGTCTGACCTCACCCCCAGCGCCCAGTGTCTTTGAAATTCCTCGATTAAGGTGATAATTTGCGCATCCAGAAATTTCCAAAAATGAGAATGAAGATACTCTTTATTCCTTCACAACCACCGCCTACGAGAAGGTTCTTGTTGCAGCTCTTCGATGTCACTGACGGAACAATTGGCAATTTGAAGGTGCACCAGGCGAGTTTGTCTGCAGCGTGAGACTAAGTCTCTATTACCTCCCAGAGATCCCCCTTTGACCAATTATATAAACTACGAATGTACTCCACCTACAGAAGGCCTAGGGCAACCTTCACCCTGAATTAATTTACTTCTTCCCTTACATCAAGAACGCCTGATTATGCATCAAGTTTCAAAAAGGTCCGTTTTATGCAGTCTACTTGAAAATATTCATCTCATATAAGGATAGAAGGGACTAAACTATACAATCTGCAAAAATCCCGTGCGAATCTACAGTGGAGAGGCATATCGTAACCCCTGAGATGGAGTCTCTGCCTTTTGAATTCTTCGGGGTTAATCAAAATCTGTGAGATTTCCACTGCAACATCCCCTGCCTTATATCTAACCAATTACTATGAATTCCACCCTCTGGAGCTTGGACCATTGGAGGTACAATACCGCCAACTTCTGAGCGGGTTTTGCCCATGGTGCAGAGATCGACACTAGGAGAACGGTGATACTGATAGATTAATTTGACGTGCAACAAAACTTGTTGCCTTGCTAATGTGCTGATTTTGGTAAACTCCGGGGTCCTTGTATATCCTACCCTGGGGTAGAAATAGTGGGGATTGCCCCAATAGTACCTGATGGCAACAACAGTATTTACCAACAACAATCTGAACGACTCATCAATCAGAGATCCTTATGTTCATAATTGGATCTTTCAATCATTATAAAGCACGGTATAAGAGGCGCCAGCCTTCGATTTTCCGTGATATTTATTGCCGGGTTCGAGAAGTAGAAAAGCGCTGACATGGAGGGATGAAGGGCGGCTCCTGCCTAATACAATATTTATCATTCGATCGCTGCCACATATCTTTCAAGCGTTCCGAGCTGAGACTGATGCGACTCTCACAACCCAGTGCGAGGCGAGTGACCTGGTGAACTGACCTCCTTCCCGCCAGCCCCCACCCAGCGCAAAGTCCCTATGAAGCCCGAGGAGGTTCAATTTCGGTAAGCACTGTGGCGTCTTTTTGTCGACCAAGGAATATCATGTCATACTGCGAGGTGCTAGAATTAATCCACCAGAAACCTAGCGTCATTTCGGGGGGAAATACTTCTACCACAAACCGTGATCAGCTAACGTCAGCTTCCTGGGATGAGGATCAAGAATCACTCGGGAATTTAAGTGTGCTCAAGGGGTATCGCCGATTTCAAAGCGGTCATTTATCGCAATAACCAGCAAGAAAATATGAAGCCCAAGATAGAGCGCCTATTGATTGCCAGAAAGTCTCATGAATGTATGACTCGAAACAGAGTTCTTTAGTCTTCAGGCAGCCTAGCGGTAGGGTCTTAGTTAGCTAACTCATTATCTTATGATGGCGAAGGCACTAGGCAGGTCGGAGCTGACTTCATTGAAGGTTAGACCCTGAGCGATGCAGTCAGATACTAGTATATTGAAACATAAATCAAGTTTGAGGCCAGATATTAGAACATATTCTGAACTCAAAAAGTTACCGCACCAAGAAGCACGTTTCTGTGAAATCAAAAGCAGAACCAAACCTAAGCTTTGACCCTAGTCGGCCTGTACTATTAAAACGGCCCCGGGTCTTTGCACAACGAATCGTTAGCCGCCCTGTTTTACTAGCCGTTTGATCGAAAATTCGTTCCCACGCGTAGCAGGGGATTTGGATGCAGTACGATTGAATGACGAGCAATGAGAGATTCTGTAATCTCCTAGGCTTTGTAACATGTCGCGCGCCAAATAATTGCGCCAGGAAATGCACACAAGTGACAACTTTTTAAGGCGTATTACAGGCAATGGTAGAACCTAAAATTTTTTATTTTATTTTAAAACAGTTTCCACAGAAATATTGATATTCTTATGCGAACTTACTGTTTCGTGTAGCCAGAGCACGAAACAAAGCTATAAGTTTGCCCTTCCGAATTGCGCAATATAGAAATTTTACTTCAATATCTACCGTTATTCAAAATCCGAGAAGCCCTGAAGATAAGAGTCACTACTCCTCTCTGAATTTCAAATCGCAGTCTGCGCACCTACTGATCTAAGTATCATCCGTACAAATGTAAGTTCATTCCACGAGAAAAAGAGGGCTTAAAGAGTTGACCGTCGGTACCAGAAAGCCACGAGATGCAGAAAGCACAAAAGCGCCGTCGCCAAGTCAGTGGAAGGGAATGCTGGGAAGAAATTCGCAAACCCGAGCGCGGGACACGGCAAGACGGCTTTCCCAAAAGTCAAGCGGAACAAGAACGGCTGGGGGTTCGATGGGACTATGATGGGGAGATTACCGAAGGGGATGATCTTTATCATAAATTTCAGATGCAACCAAAAGCTGAGAAAGTTCCCTCTTCAATCAAGAGGTGGAGAGAGAGCAATGGTGGAACACATGCTGTCATGGCCACTGCCCTGGTTAAGAAAGATGGTTCTAAGGAAGATGCATAGAAGAGCTTAAGTGAAGCGGCAGATTCAACGAAGAGCTGAAGGTTCGTGTTCAAAATTTTTTGGCTGAGCGCTCTGCGTCATTGATTAAGTTTTTGTTCTATCTTTATCTCATGTGTAGGAAGACCAAGCTTCCCTTCCTTCGTATTACCTGATCAATAACATCCCTAGGACACTAGCGCGTGATCGAACAGATGTGGGAATATATAACACCGGGCTTATCCGTTCTCACCCCATTGGTTTCTTATTCTATTCGACCATGCTTAAGATATCAAGCATTCGATATTTTCCATCTTTCCCAAGTTCCAGCCCGCCCCTTACAGGACGAGCTCGTCCTATGTACGTAGCCTCTCAACAATTCAAAAAATGCCTGAGCCTAGCGAGCTATTCGAATACACGACTAGGCGGTGGATGTATAACGTATTGGAACCTGCTCCAATTTTGAAAATAGTTGGCTAATTGACATACCTAGATACAATGATGCGCTGAGACATCGCGAGAGAAAGCGTATTTTCGATATCCCTGGGCTAAAGCGGCTTGCCGCCCTAGCAGTAAATCAGCGAGAGATTGACATCACCGGCTTTGAGAAGCTTGCCGAGGGAGGCCTCAATCGGACTTTCATGATCACAATGCGAAACGGTTTTCGATTCGTTGCGCGAGTTCCCTACCCAGTTGTCGAACCAAAATCTCTAGTGGTCGCGAGCGAGGTAGCTATAATGGGGTTTCTTCGTGCGAATAGCATCCCGGTCCCAAAAATCTACGGTTATTCCGTCTGTTCTGATAATGCTGCCGGGGTCGAGTACCTCTTCATAGAACTAGTTGAAGGGAGAAACTTGGATGATATCTGGTATACTTTAGCTGAACAGGAGAGAAACAAACTAGTAACGAAACTCGTCTAGTTAGAATCTCGTCTGTTCGCTTTAAGGCTTCCGGCAAGTGGAAGTCTGTACTATGATAACGATTTACCGAATTATTACTCTCGAGTTATAGTTCTAAATCCTGACTCGATTCGCCGCATCTATATTAGCCCTGATACTTCGCTTAGGTTGTAGCACGGGAGAAGGCTAGGGCTACTAGTTGAACGTGGACTATGTAAGTACCTTTCAATTCAAATTCTCGGATTACCGAAAATTTTTGGTTTCTTATTATACAAAGATAGAGATTCCTTGGCCGTTTCGAAGACCGGTGCGACAAAAGAGATCGTATATCTCGAAAGATATAGCCGAGCTCTCCAGCCATTTCAACGTCTTCGCCGAGAAGTCTATAGATATCAAGCTTAGTCGCATTTCGAATATATCGCGTTACTTCAAAATACCTCAAGGTTGCGCCTTACCTTATTCCTTATGATTATGATGCTCTTCATCGACCGATTATACGATATCCCGACCTTCAACCGAACAATATATTTGTAACGGATGATCTAGAGACCACAGGCTTTATAGATTGGCAGCATACCACTATTCTCCTATTATTTCTTCAGTGTGGTATTCCTCAAAGTCTCTAAAACTATAGGGATAAGGTCTCAGAATCACTCTATATTCCTTTTTTGCTAGTGAACTATAATGACCTAGATAAGACAGAAAAACTCCAACAAGCAGAATCTTTTCGTCGACGTCAGCTTCACTATCAATATGTCAAATTAACTACCGACACGAACACTAAATATTATAATGCCTTGACTTATAATTTCAGCACTATAAGACGACGGCTTTTTCATCATGCTTAGGGCCTATAGGAGGGCGATAATGTGACGTTGAAAGCTGATTTGGTTACCCTATTTCGAAATTGGGTCAAAGTCACAGGTTACACGAATGCAGCTTGTCCTATATCTTTCTCAGATTACGAGTTGAGCGAATGCATAAGGCTAAAAAACGCACAATCTGAAGCTGATAAACAACTTCACGCTTGCCAGGAAGCTATTGGAGTTGGGAATGAGGGTTGGGTGCCTACTGCACTCTATAATGAAGCAAGTCGATGTGCGAAGAAGCTGAAAGCAGACGCAATCGATGCAGCTGAAACAGAGGAGGAAAGGTCCAGCATCCAAGAAAATTGGATTTTTGACGACTTTTGTGAGGAAGATTACATGTAAAAGCATCACGAGTCATGTGGGGTCGGTCTCTTTCAAATCCATTGAATTTTAGGGATTTCATTCATTACTTACATGTTATAAAGCCCATTTGCAAGGTCGATCCCGTACGGGACTGAACGACAAGCAATGAAGAGCCTCTGTCGTCGCCTAGTCCTTGTTACATGTCGCGAGCGCGAACGTAATTGGCGCAAGCAAGGAAATCCCTTAGTCACGACTTTCTAAGGCGTATTGCAGCCAATAGTAAAAGCTGGAAAAAGTCTGTTTTTCAAATTTAAATAGTACTCCCATAAAATTATTCTTCTTTGTTGTGAGACTTCATTATGCTAGCGCCTTGGTAATTGCATGGTTTCCCCATCGCCACAGGCTTGTGCTAGGCCACAGGTCAACGGTCGGGGGCCTCGTGTCACCACAAGTTAGGACGGCGGTATTAGCTTCGAGGGGTAATGCTTTTGCTTCTTCAATACTGCCTGACATGAATTCATCCTAGCACCTGCAAAAGAAGAGCGCTTACGGTTTTAGCATCTCCTTCAATTATGGCAATACAAGGATATGCCTCGTGCGTTATTCCTCCAGCTTTCAATGCAACTTCAGTAGAGTGCAACATTAACAACGCACTTTCGTGAGTTTTATCGTTACTGGATCCAATGGGGTACATTGCGTTTGAGAGGCATAGAAAGCCAACTTTCCATCAACGTCTTTAGGATAGGACGCACACAAGGGCGGGTTGAAGACCGGTCTCTTCAATCAATCGACCAGGGTCGGTCGAGGGTAAAGTTTAACATTGACGCTGGTCTTGGAATCCATCCTAGTAGCTCGATACAATAATCACCACTGTGTTAGTCCTATGACGTGGTGGTAAGTCCCAGATTTGGTTGGCTTCTTTGGATTTTAAATTTTGTTGACTTGTTGCCATGAGGAAACTAGAGGTTCGGACCCCTAATTTGACCGTCGTGATGTCAGGTGACCTTGGCCAAGTTTTGCTTCGCTGCGCCATTGCTCCCATGCACCCCTATATGTCGCTTCCTCTTTCCACTAGTTAAGCCTAAACCTTTTAATCACATATCTTCCGACCATTCACTTGTATCACCTGTGAGTACAGCGGAACCGGAAAAGGAGTGACATTGAAAGGAAAGCAGCCCCATGGCTCGACCGAGGAAGACAAAGGTCCGTCGCTACCAGCGCCTTGTTCTAGATTTTATATCTCATCAAAAAAATCTATATAGATCGAAAATCTGGCTCGCATCCGTAACAACCAGCGAAGATGTCGAGAGCGCAGGCGAGGATACATTGCAGAGCTCGAGCGGAAAGTCAAATACTATGAAAATGAGAGGGTTCAAAGCAGTACAAGCCTTCAAACGAAAGCACAAGAGCTTCTCTGCGAGAACGAATTTCTGAAAACATTACTTGAAACATCAAGCATCAATATGGATCGCCAAGACCAAAGTCTCACAGACAGGTTAGAAAGTCATTATACGGATTGGGAAGGGGTTTCGACACTAGCACAAACTCCTTGGCTCATCAATGTTGAGTCTGGAGAATGTCAGGGGGAGGTAAGTGGGTATTTTACATTGCTCGCCTCTTGTCTACATCTTGATCCTCTACCGGAAGATAATACCGAGCTTTCTAACTGCAACTACAGTCTCTTGATAGAGAAGCGTCACATACATTCGGCAATATTGCCAATCAACATCTGCTGCTTGACCAGTTAAACGGTACTGAGCTGAACCGAGTCTTTGCACCTGGACAAGAATTCTTTGGCTCTGCTGCACGTATATACGACGCGAGAATCAATGTACCCACATATTTTTCGACCATGTCCTCGCTTTATGCTCCTTTAAATACAGCAGAAAGTGAGACAATGATCTGCGATAAATTTCAGCCAGTATCGTCTCTGACACTCTGGCCCGTGTTAACAGACGAGATGGCAAGAGAGGATAGATCTATGCTCTGTTCTGTAGCTTACAACCTGATCTTGCATTTCAACAAGAGACAATACGATGACTTGGAGATCGAAAATAAGCTTCGTTGCGGCTTCAGACTAGGCCGTACAATGTCGGAAGGCTGTAGGGTTGATCTTGGGGTTCTCTTTGGGGTTCTTGCGGAAATTTCTCATTAATACATGTATGTTGAAACCACTTAATTTCGTATCATATTCACCGGACGAAGTTACTACAAATCCCCTATTACGCGAATAACTGGGTTTCCCTGTCGTTTTTCTCGCCTGCCATTATAGCATACGGAAAGTCTATATTGGACCCGATGAGAAACAAAGTGATAACATATGTAGCATAAATATATATTTCCTCAACTCGCTCAACTCAAAGCTACCTAATTCCCAGCGTTACACCGGCTATGTTGAATAGTTCTATCTGAATGAGACCAGAATACTTGTGCGCACTGAAACCCAAATTACGGAATGTTCAGTCATGGGTCTCAGGCTTCACGGCAAAGATCTTGAAAGAGCCTTTTATAATATATCCATGCGGAGAATCATTAGTGATGCGTCGATATAGGGTACCTTTGCGGATACACTCACCAGTCCAGAAGTTGAAATCCACGTCTGGCGGGCTGTTTTCTCCCCCAGTGTCACTGTTGTTCATCCGATTGCAGCATGAGCTCGAAGGGCCCAGTCCATTGGCTTCCTCCCTCTTCCACGTTTCCTTGTAAATATTGAGATCGAAATTAGTATCCAGAATCACTGCGCCTATTAGCTAAATATCAGTACAGAATCGAATGAGGAAGGCCCCAAATGATACAGTATGAATACCTTGGAACCCTGCTTCTTTCAAGTATCTTTCATAATCGACAACCTGGCTAGTACCGGCTATACAGCCAACATATAAGGAGAGATCCTTCTTGATCTTTATCGGAAGCTCTCGTTTTGCCAGGATGTCGCTGATAGCAACCCTACCTCCCGGCTTCAGTAGACGGAACATCTCCTGAAAGACCAGAGGCTTTTCGTTCTCCGGCACTAGATTTACCACACAATTACTGATAATGCAATCAGCGGTGGACGAAGGTATCGGTATAGAAGTAATAAATGCTTCGATGAACGACACGTTGGAGGCACCCGCCTTCCTTGCATTTCGACGTGCTAATTCCAGCATCTCCTGCTATATCTCAATAACAAGTGAAGTCAGGAGGGAGGGATCCACGTACCTTGGTCATATCAATGCCGATGGCCTTTCCATTCACTCCAACCTTCTTTGCGGCTAACAAAACGTCAATGCCCCCGCCACTACCCAAATCGATTACGACCTCGTTCTGTATATGGGTATCAGAATTAACGCTCAGGAGCGACCGGTGACAATACGTACCAAGGCTATATTGGCTGTTGCTAATGGATTCCCACAGCTGACACCTAAATTCGAGTATTCTGGAACAGAACACAGATCTTCTAGATTATACCCGAACGCGCTTGCGACTTTGCGTTCATGATCTCCCGACGTACGAGGGTCGTCGATCTGATTCGCAACTCCAGCGTAGCGGACTTGCACACAACGATAAGTGTCCGCTGAGTTCATTGTTGTAATGTTCTCATTCAAAAGCTGGATATAAAGGGGCTTATCAGTCAAATAGAGACATAAATGATATTTTTCTTATGTCCATGATGGGAAGGTATCAAGCCCAAATATATACTACACAGGTTACCAGGGACCTGTTTAGTGATGTCAAGTCTAAAACGTGGTTGATGTGGGACGGGCGCTTCACAGTCCCCACCGATTGGCCGATTTCTGCTACTTGGCATGTCACCGCTTGGCAATGGCATGTCACTGCCGAGGCCATTCGTCATAGATCACTCAAGTCCCCAACCCAATGCTAGGAGCAACGACGTTTGGATGGTATCCACGTAGATAATGAGCGAGGAAGAGTCAGTCAACTGATATATCCTAAACCAATCAAAGGGACGTTACCCCAAGATGGAATGTTAGTACCTGGGGACTGATAAACGCTTCTAAGTTCAACATCGGCGCAGCTTCGACTTATTTGTCGCAAGGTATGCAGATGGAAGGAGCGTTAACACGTCTCCTGGACTGTTCAAAGTAGCGTTCACCCTTATCACCCTGAAATTTGGTGTAGCTCATATCAAAGTATGGTGAACACTGATTATCAATTGTGTTATCCACAGTACATGTGTGCCTCTTGGTTCCAGATTCTTCAAAGTTGATTCATGCGAACAAGGTAGCATCAATTATAAGTAGACCAGAACAATCTCAAAAGTCTAATTAAATTGTGGGCTGGTAATTCCTTCTAAACTCTTCGTTTTAGTCTTTCCAGCCAACTCGTTTAGCTATGAATTTGACAACATAGACAAGGCCCAGCAGTACCGGAACCTCAATCAATGGCCCGACGGTGGAGGCAAGCGCTTGGTTGCTGTTAGCACCAAATGTTGCGACAGCCACGGCAATGGCAAGCTCGAAATTATTGCTGGCAGCGGTGAAACTTTGAGTGGCAGCTAACTTGTAACCGAATTCAAGCTTATAAGTCACTAGAAGGGTCACAAAGAAAACAATGATAAAGTAAACAATAAGCGGAGCGGCAACTCGGACGACTGATACAATTTGATGAACCACCTGCCGGCCCTGGGATGCAAATAACACCAGGATCGTAAAGAGGAGCCCAAGAAGCGACCATGGGGAAGCCCACTTTAGAAAAACCTGGTTGTACCAACGTGGGCTAGTGATCTTCCGAAGAGTAATGCGGGTAACAATTGCAGCCCCAAGCGGAATACCAAGGAAAACAGCCACGCTTTTTGCAGCAGTAGAGTAGGACAGTATAACTTGGCTTCCAGAGTGACTAATTACCTGAATGAAGAAAATAGCCAACGGAGCGAAGAGCACCATTTGCAGTAGTGAGTTAACCGCAACAAGGATGGCGCAGTATTCATTATCGCCTCCAGCAAGACCGGTCCATATAAGAACCTATTAGCAGTAATAATAGATTAGTCCAGTTCAGGGATATTGTAGCGAAAGGGTAATAATGTACCATAGCAATACATCTAGCCAATCCAACTAAAATCAGACCTTCTCGAAGCTCTGGTTCATCCGGTAGGAATGCCCATGCTAGTGCGAGCTAGAGAAATATAAAGTTAGCAAGATTCACCGCGGCGAGTCTAAGAATCTCACCATCAAGAAAGGCGCAATAATCCAATTAACAAAAATGCTAAATGCAATCTGTATCCAGATACCACGTTCTTGGAAGACGTAGTGTAAAGATTCATATCGCACTTTGCAAAGAATAGGATACATCATAACCAAAAGACCGACAGCTTGCAATATTTAGTTAGAGACAGTTTTATTAAAGATTTCTGAAGTGCATACCAATCGGAATAGACACCCCGACAAACTGTCCTTTCTGAAGGGCAGGTCCCATATTCTCCACAAAATTTCCCAGTATAATTCCGATTGCCATAGCAAGAAAGATCCACACAGCCAAAAAGCGATCTAGCCAGCCAAGGCTTTTAAAGGCTGATTGCTTGGCTGTAGATTCCTCGGCTTCGTTTGTACTTTGTTTTTCAACATCCTTGGTCGTAGGATTTGTGAACTGATTATTCAATGTTGTGTTGTGAGATTGCAGTTCGGCCTGCAAGAGCAGATTTTCCTGAGGAATTCTGATAGCCATCTTACGCATCAGTAGATTGAATGCGTGGGATGCTTCGCCTGCGTATGACCTTTGTCGGGAAATTCAATAGTATGAATGTGATTATTTGGAAATTTGCACCAGCTGAGCGAAGTAGGTCCTTAATTATTCAGAACCTAGAGTTCGTCTTAAAAAGAGCTTCTACGGCTAGTTCTGATATTCATTGACGATTCGTGGTAGCCAATCATACCGAGTGGATGAGAGTCTGCTGGTGTTGACCAATCATGATCGGAGAGTGTCATCGCGGCAATGCTCTAGGCAAGTGATTTGTCAGTGATGGAAATGCTGTATTCTCCCTCAGATCGACCAATGATATTGTCGGGGTGACATACCGGTTGCTATCCAGGAGTAGGCACAGAGAGATGGCCATGCAACGTAGTTTCATTGACAAATTCTTATGTGGCTCGTAATACAGTCAAGTCAGCAGATGTTAGCGCAGAATTTCTTTTTCTAGTAGCGAATGTTTAAGATCATTTTTAACTGACTAGACGGTAGTTTTGAATACGGCAATAGTAGCTATCTGAATGTGGTTTCGACATATGCTGCGACTTTGGATGACATTGGTCAAACGATAGTGAGCTGTGGGACAATCTACTGCATGAAAGAATGTTCTGGAATGACGAGTCATTAGTTATCTCTCTTCTCCAGCTAACACCTGGTGTATAAATTCTAGGAACAGCCACTTTGTTCCTCTTGCTTGTACACAAATTGAGGTATCACCATATTGCTTCTTCTTCCATGTGGATTTATACCTTGAATGTACCTACTATTCAAACTTGCCAATTCTGCTATCGCGAAAATTTCACCCCGCATCTTCACCTACCTACTCGCCAGGACTACTCAGCGCATTACTTGAAAGGCATGCCCATTATGACCAACAAGCCCAGTGTCTTATTTGTCTGCGTTCATAACGCTGGACGCTCGCAGATGGCCGCCGGCTTCCTTTATCATCTCGCAGGTGACACCATTGAAGTTCGCTCCGCCGGATCGGCTCCAGCCGACTCTATCAATCCCGCTGTCATAGAAGCCATGCGTGAAGAAGGAATCGATATCAGCTGCCAAAAACCCAAGATCCTAACTGCCGACGCAGTGCAAGCCAGTGATGTTGTCATTACTATGGGATGTGGGGACGTTTGCCCCTTCTATCCTGGTAAACGCTATCTCGACTGGCAACTTGAAGACCCCGCCGGGCAAGGCTTAGAAGCTGTACGGGCTATTCGTCACGAGATACGTTGTCTTGTTGAGAAACTTATATTTGAACTACCAGTCTCATAGTTCAACAATTTGAAGAGGCTTAAACAAAACTCGAGTCATGTGTTGATATTGCAATCCTCAGCACGTGTTGAGGATGGTGAATGGCCGCGTGGCTAGCATTTCCGTTGTTCTGTACTGCGTATGAATATCCTGAAGGCTGTGATATCACACTCGTGCATGACCTTTTGCTTCGCAACTCATCAAGTCGAGCCAACAAATTTCCATACTACCGAAGTTCTTGGATACGGTCAGATTCTACTTTAGCAATATCTTACTTTATCTAAGTTATTATACTATCTCGGCTGGCAAGAGCCATGTTGTTCTGGAACTGAGCTATGGACAGCCGTACATGCGACGAAGAAATCTCGGGTGGGAACACACTCGAGGCATAAACACGAGATGCATGTTCTTGGCAGAGGAAATCAAGCTCTTGGGTGATAACGAAAGAAGAGCTGCGAGACTGTGTAATGCTTTGTGCACGCAGTATTGGTCGGGTCGAGAAGAACGGCCATGCCGCGGCGATGGAGCCGATTATTGGAATGAAATAACCAATGGGTCAAAAGAAGTTCTAAATAAGTCACCAAACTCAGTGGATACTGGGAAATTTCGGGACATTCTAGGCCTGCAATCGAAGCACGGAGTCACGCCAGGCCGAGCAGGAAAGAGATTTCCACAGCTGGGACAAAACGAATGAGACGCCTGACAATCCCTGCAACAGATGGCTGAAGAGCTGGCAGGAAGCTGGACACAACAGCCAAGACAAAGCCGTGTTTCGAGAGGAGCGGGCAAACGTGCAGATACATGCAGGCAAAATCCTAAAACCCTAAAACCTTAAAAGTCAAGAGAAGGCCGGACTAAAAGGCAGAGAAAGATTGCCTAGTTTTGCAGACGCGCACGCACGTCTACGTTGATTAGTTCCCTTTCTCTCAATACGCTCGTTTCAGGGCTCCTGTTCCAAGCTTGTATCATCTTTGATATTTCTTCAGTGAATTATTTTTACTATCATACAGAATACATTTTCTTTGTTTAAAGAAATTGCATATATATTATATGCGTTTGTAAGATAACAAGGCGTAGAAGGGATAAAAGGGATAAAAGGGGTAAAAGGGGTGGAAGGGGTGAAATTATATACGCGCGTAGGCTTACTAGGTCTTCATTTTAGGCACGTTGATAAGCATAGGCGTTAGAGAATCGTTTATCTAGCTCTAATCGACGCTTAATATAGCGTATAACCTAGTCAATACCTATAGTAGGTGGTAGGAGAGGAGGGAAGATATTACCACGCGTTGCTAGTAGTGGATTCGCTATACTAGCAATTGCTGTAGGCCTGGGGGAAGCACAACGCGTATCAAGCGATAGGGGCTACTGGCAAAGCAAATCCCCTTCTCGTCGTGTAAGCTTATTCGAAAATGACTGCTTCTCCTGCTGATTTTGTATGCCCTTCCCACGATCACGAAGTGTGCTCCCTGGCACACGATATATCCCTGCTGCTTTGCGTATCGATAGGGATGGTAGGATCCTAATAGCAATCAAAGATATTCAAAAACGGTCTTCTGATTCTATCCGTATGATTGCAGCGCGTCATAATATATGAATCGTGTTTCTAAAAAATAGTAGGTGATAGGGTGGGCGGAATGTTAGTGAAATACGTTACTAATCATGTCAAATCTTCGGCCAATAATGCAATCCTACTGAACCAGGGCGCTCTACGGCAAGCCTGCGAATGCAGGCAGGATGAGATGATCAGCGAACCGGCCAACAAACCACACCACACCACGATGGAAGAGAACCTCTCAGAGAGGAAACAAATGCTGCTTCAGCGAAAGATGTGTAAAAGTTAATTATCTCCCTATCGGAGATGCGAAGCTGTGTCCTATAAAGACCGTGTACTAGAAAAAATATCCTCCAATCAGAGATCATACCTCATGTGTCATTTCCCCACTACACGACGTAGCGTAAAATACACCTTGCGGGCCCTCGGAGGACAATTGACCTATTGGCTACTTTGATATGACTAGTCCAATCATGTTTTACTGGTGACATACTTTTCTACGCACTCTATCTGCAAAAGCTTCAAGTTTCGGCTGTCGGTTTTCGTTCTCGTTTACCTTCATCACATATTAACTACCATATGTTTCGACATTCTATACGAATATTGCCTCCGAAAATTACGCCGGCAATCTCCTTGAGATCCTTTTTGCTGCGGCAGGTCCATCCAAAAACAATGCATTCCGCTGTCCATCAACAAGTTTCAGATATCCGCGGAACAGAGGCCCTTTATCGATCCTTAGCATTGCCTCTAATTGAAGACGATCCAGATATTCGACAGAAGTACCGACCGTTCATTCTTAAAGGCAATGTGTCTGAGGACTGGGTCAACAACTTAGAGCTGGCCACGGCTCTAGACATGGCCGAGCATGACCTACGGAATACGAATAAGAGGCTGAGAGTTCTGGTGCTTTATGGCAGTCTTCGAAGAAGGTCATATTCACGTCTCGTGGCGTTTGAAGCCTCTCGTATCCTGTTCCGACTAGGCTGTGATGTACGCGTCTTTGACCCTGAAGGCCTTCCAGTGAAGAACGACAGCGATGCAAGCCACCCGAAAGTACAGGAACTCCGAGAGCTCAGCAATTGGAGCGATGGTCATATTTGGGTCTCGCCTGAACAGCACGGCAACCTAGTGAGTTGTCTCTCTACAACAATCATTCTAGTCAATACTCGGCCCAATAATTAATCACTTGGTTTGCCACAATTATAGACCGCGGTTTTCAAAAACCAGATTGATTGGATTCCTTTGACCACAGGGAGCGTTCGTCCCACACAGGGCCGAACGCTAGCAATTGCCCAGGTTTGTGGTGGATCCCAATCATTCAATGCCGTTAACTCCCTGCGGATTCTTGGTCGATGGATGCGCATGTTTACTATCCCGAACCAATCCTCGATTCCCAGAGCATATACACAGTTTCCGGACGAAGGTCAGCCAGAAGACCAACGACTCATGCCTAGTGGAAACCGAGATCGCCTGGTGGATTGCATGGAGGAATTTGTCAAATATACAATTCTGATGCGTCCTCATATCGGGCTCTTTGGTGATCGCTTTAGCGAACGAGAAGACAAGCGATTAAAGGAGGCGAAGCTAGATGCCGCTATATGAAGCTGGATACATGTATTACTGCATATTGTGTCGGAAAATGGAAAGTGAGGAAGGATGCTTTCTGCATAAGAATTTTCTGTTCTTCAGGGGTCGATTGGTTATATTGTACAGTACAAATTGGTGGCTCGGAGGAAACATAGACTAGTAATGAGAAGAGAACCGAAGATGATGCATGGTTTTATCCGTTGAAGCTGACCGCTGTTGAGGGACCGTTGAGTAGTGAGATCTTTTGTGGTCGTGCTTGACCTTCTCTATCATTTTGAAACAATATTAAACCTAAAAGTAGTCTGATAGACGGATTGCCGCTGGGATGCAGATCCGATGATAATTGAGCATCCCTCTAGTCAACCTGTACTTTTATTTGCGATTATTAGCCATCATTTCCGCCTTCCTCATTGGGTAAGCTTCATCTGCATCCGGTTTGGGTTAAAGCTCATCGTTCAATTGTCTTCTTTACCGTTCCCGAATTGGCCATACCCTCTCATCGTTTCGGGGCCAATGCGCGCACCGCCTGCGTCATCCAATTTTGAAACATGGAACCTGTCACATCATACTCAGGGTGTCGTACGATTAGGGTTTGAATGAGTGGCTGTATTTTTCCCGACATGGAAGGCAATAACGGTCGCCCCTGTACCCTGCTCGATGCTGTTCTATTTGTTCATTCTAGGTCGGCAGTGATTTCAAATTCTAGAAGAGAATAAAGGATGAGTCTCAGCTCTGTCATAACCTCTACTGACTGTATAATATATATCCCACAGAGATGGAGAGCCAGACACATTTCACTGCTCGCATTGTGATTTTGAAGATAGCGTACTCACTATATTCAACTCACAGGATGGGTCAACAACAGTATTTCACCCCTCTTGCTCTTTTATCAATACATACAGTATTAAACCCATACCCGTTGCGTTTTATCTCATTAGCTGATAACCAATACTCGGTGCAGCCTCCCAGAAGCGATCATCATATTGTTTAGTAAATTTTATAGGCTAATCCTACCATACAGGCCTCTTGACATTGATATCGGAGGCAGCGATACAATGTGGAACCCATGGACGCATCTGGCCCCCGCAATGCTGTAACTCCTTTAAGCTCATCCGCACACGTGAGCGGCTCCCACCCGACATCCGATCTCGCGCGTGAGTGTCTTCCACGGTATCCGGCTGGAGGGCCAATCATGGTCAATCCCTTTCTCGATTATCGTGGACTGGCTGGATGAACCCATGCCAAAAAAGGAAACCTCATCCATTGCCCCCCAGATGCTTTCCGGGTCTAAGCTTAAGGCAACGAGTTGCACCACAAGCCGAACCTTCCAAGGCGGGATGCTTTACAGCTACAGTGCTGGTATCGATGCTTAAAAAAAGAACAGAAAATATCACGACTGATATACTGCAATGCTGGAAAGATTGATACTTCATGGATGGGGGATAAAGGTCTCGCAGCAGCCCCGCTATACCCATTTTGGGCAATAGGACCCTGTATCCGTCGCCGGTGTACTTCTTCCCGTTCACCTTCCGAGCCGGTGCGGGGTGTGATTGGAATCTGCTCCTCTAATCGAATTGCAATCCTATATCATCAAGATACGCCTCCTGTGGGGGCAAAGCTCTCCTCCCCCGCAGGAGGGGCAGCTCGAGTAACCGACGCTCCATCACCATCGTCCTACATAAAGCGAGATCACCCGCAGCGTCGTCCAGCGAGTCAACTCGGGTGCCTTTACAATGCCGCATACCCAACGTGTCGTTATCATTGGTGCCGGCATTGTCGGCACCAACCTTGCGGATGAGCTGGTCTCACGCGGATGGATCAATATCACCGTCGTCGAGCAAGGCCCGTTGTACATGCCCGGTGGCTCGACGTCACACGCCCCGGGTCTCGTGTTCCAGACCACCCCCTCAAAAACGATGACCAACTTTGCCCGTTACACGATTGAAAAGCTACAATCCATTGAGAAGGATGGTCAAAACTGCTTCAACCAGGTGGGTGGCCTGGAGGTGGCGACGACCCCGGCACGGCTGGAAGAGCTGAAGCGCAAGCATGGATACACTTCGTCGTGGGGAATTGATGCTCGTCTTGTGACCGCTGAGGAGTGTCTCAAGCTCTATCCTCATCTGAACAAGGATATGGTCCTTGGAGGTCTTCATATTCCTAGTGACGGCCTTGCGCTCGCCGCCCGTGCAACGCAGTTGCTGATCGAGCGCACCCGCAAGGCTGGCGTCAAATACCTGGAATCAACGCCTGTCACCGGCATTGAGCGTGCCAATGGTCGAGTGACTGGTGTGACAACCCCCAGTGGCACGATCCCGGCAGACATTATTGTCTCTTGTGCGGGATTCTGGGGCGTGGAGATCGGTGCTATGGTTGGCGTGCCGGTTCCTTTACTCCCGCTCGCACATCAATATGCCAAAACAACGGCTGTACCCTCACTTGTTGGCCGAGAAATTAACAACAATATCAATGGAATGAATGCAACTCTCCCTATCCTTCGACACCAGGATCAGGACCTTTACTACCGTGAACATGGTGACCAATACGGCATTGGTTACTATGGCCATCGGCCAATGCCTGTCAAGGCCTCCTCATTAGGTCTGACTGCGAAGCAGGTCGACGAGAAGAACATGCCGTCTCGCCTCGAGTTTACCAAAGAGGACTTTGACCCTGCCTGGAAGGAAACTCAACAGCTTCTGCCCATGCTGAAGGGAACTGAGATTGCGGACGGATTTAATGGGATCTTTTCATTTACTCCCGATGGAGGCCCCATAGTTGGCCAAGCCCCTCACTTGGACGGTTTTTGGGTGGCTGAAGCTGTATGGGTTACCCACTCTGCTGGCGTGGCCCGCGCTGTTGCTGAAGTTCTCACCACTGGCCGTTCACAAATAGACATTTCCGAGTGTGAGCTGTCTCGTTTTGAGGAAGTCCAGCTGAACCGCTCCTATGTCGATGAAACTTCCGCGCAGAACTTCGTTGAGATCTATGATATATTGCACCCACTTCAGCCCCGAGAATCACCACGACAACTCCGAACCAGTCCGTTCTACTCCCGCCAAAAGGAGCTAGGGGCTTTTTTCTTGAGCTGGGCGGCTGGGAACGTCCATTCTGGTACGAGGCGAATCAGGACCTGCTCAATTACCTGCCACCAAAGTGGAAGCCCTTTGAGCGAGACGCATGGTCAGCACGATTCTATTCTCCCATCATTGCAGCTGAAGCTTGGAAGACACGTAATGCCGTGGCCATGTTTGATATGACCTCTTTCCACAGATTTGAAGTATCTGGACCCGGAGCAGTTGATCTACTCCAACGACTGTGCACTGGGGACGTTAATACAAAGCCTGGGACTATCACTTACGCCCTACTTCTGAATGACCAAGGAGGTATTCGCAGCGACATCTTTGTCTCGCGACTCGAAGAAAACATCTTTCAGATTGGCGCCAACAGTGCCACAGATCTGGCCTATCTTGCCCGCGAAGCCCGCCATCAAGGACAATGGGTACAAGTGCGGGAGATTACTGGCAGCACCTGTTGCATGGGTCTTTGGGGGCCCCGTGCGAGAGATGTCATCAGCGACATCACTACCGATGATTTCTCCAATAAGGGGCTTCCTTATTTCAGCGTGAAACAAGCAATCATCAATGGTATTCCGGTGACTGCATTCCGGAAGTCCTATGTTGGTGAGCTGGGCTGGGAGATACAGACAACAGCTGAATACGGCCAGCGGTTATGGGATACTATATTTCAGGCTGGCAAGATCCACGGGCTGATCGCCGCCGGCCGGGGGCATTCAATGCTCTACGACTGGAGAAGGGATACCGAACGTACGGAGCTGATATGAATACCGAGCACAATCCATACGAAGCTGGCGTGGCAAGTGCCGTACGGGCAAGCAAGTGGGAGGATTACGTCGGGAAAACTGCACTTGAGCGTCTCGTCGACTCCAAGAAGAAGCCTGTGCGGCGTCTGCGCTGTCTCACGGTTGATGACGGTCGCTCTATGATTCTGGGCAAAGAGCCTGTTTTCGTCAATGGAAAGGCTGCTGGATACATAACCAGTGCTGCATTCGGTTACACCGTTAGAAAACCAATCGCCTATGCCTGGCTCCCCGGGACTGTTAGTGAAGGCACTGGCGTTGAGATCGAATACTTCGGACGTCGGGTCAAGGCCACCGTCACGGCCGAACCACTGTATGATCCAGAGAACAAGCGACTGCTTGCCGATGGGCTGTTTGTCGATCCAGAGCTTCAGCATCCTCTCAAGTCTCGCCTGTAACGGGCGTGGCAGCTTGGTAATAAAATTCAGGGCATAGAGTCGATAATGGTTTAATGTGGAACGATTTGGCTTTTATGTTGATTGAATGCGAACTGGATACTTTTTTTCCTGCATGATTATTAGCGAGATGAACGAGGAATAGAATCTTGACCCATCTATTTTGTGAATATGTATAGAAATCCATCGCCAGGGATGGAGCTTCGAGGGAGACCCACTCGGCGCTGTGTTGATAATGACGTCTGACTCAAAAAGCTCTCGCCACGCATGTGGCGGCACCAGCTCCAGGCACACCACACCTTCCATTCCTCCACAACCGCAGCTCTTCATCGATTTAATCATCAACTTGATTACCGGAGGAGATATCATTCTACATAAACTACCACGATCTTGCTCTTCCTATCCGACTCTCTCTCCCTTTACCGCGACCATGCCGATTCCCGTTCCAGACTTCGTGGATCAAGAATCCCATCCCTCCAACACAACTGGCTCCGCCGGACAAGCCTCTTTGGATACCGTCGCCTCTGCAAGTGGTAGCAGCAGCGGTCGCCATCTCGGCACTGGTTCGGGTGGAACTGTCAGTGCGCCGGGCTACTCGGCCTCACAGGAAGGCGATCAGCCGCTGAACAAGGAGGAGGCAGATCGTTTGTACGAGGAGCGCATGGAGGAGGAGTATGCGAAGCGGGAAGGAGGCGCATAAATCGGGAGCGATTGGCGCGGGTATTCTTCTCTTTCCACTGCTTTTTTGCTGCTCTCTGCTCTGCTCTTCCCTCTCTTCTCCTGCTTCCCTGCCCGATGCGACTGGTTTCCGCGCATCTTTACGTGTGACGATTGTATATTAGTCCTCATGTCCAGGCTTCCACCCAGAATGCCATCAAGTCATGACGAATAAAAACATTTTCTTTATCTTATTATTGTCGCGCTTCAATCTCTATAGAGCTTTTCATATCGGGACAGCCGAAGCGGGGGATGCCGATGCGGCCTGAGTCAACCACGGACCCGAGGATGCGACGCTAAGCCCGGCTGGCCGAGTCCAAACCAGGTTGACCGTTCAGTGAGCCAAAACCGTGACTCATTCTAGACCTAGTTTCTTAAAAGAATCTCCTCTGCTCGAGACAAGACTAGGAAGACTCAGTCGCCAACCAACATTGCCGAGACAGTGCCAGTCCCGACATGATCAGTGGCCGCCACTCCCCGCTGGCACCACAATGACCGCGATGAAAACCGATTCCCAGGCCACGAAAGCCTCCTTGTACCCCGAGCAAATCATTCAAGTGATTATACCGGAAACGATAGAGCCAATCCATACCGAAAACCTCTATCTACGCCGCCTGGAGCTGACAGATGCCCCGGCCCTGTTTGAATTTCGACGGCGACAGGATGTGGCAGACTGGCTGTAAGATTTGTCTCTCAATCGAATGCATCATGGTCATATTTTTTTTTTTTTTTTTTAAAAAAGGCACTGACCAAGGCCACTAGCTGGCCCAAAATTCCCCACAAACATATCTCCGAAACAGAAGATGTTATCGCCAAGAAGATATTTAAGACTCCCGATGCATCAGGTGTCACTGGCCGACAGTTTTCTTTTGCTGTCATCGAAGCAAATGACCCCTCTCGAAGGGTAATCGGTGCAGTGACCATCAATTCTCTTGTGCCAGCTCCCTCAATAGGATATGGCATTCATCCTGATTTCTGGGGTAGAGGGTACGTGAGCGAAGCAGTGGGTGGGGTCATTGATGCTTGGTGGAAACTTCCGAGGAAGGACTTTCATGCGTTGGAATCGTCCAGTGAGACGGAGAAGCTATTTGCTGCATGTAATAGGGCAAATATAGGAAGTGTGAAGGTCTTGGAAAAGAATGGGTTCCTGATACAGAGGGAGATACCACTGGAGGATGATATGGTTGCATTATACGCCCTGGAAAGACCGCAAAGGTAATAAAACTAGTAAAAGGGGCAATGGCCTCCATTTATTAATGATTTTTCTAATGGTTTATGGGTATATTGTCATCAGACCTATCTTGTCCATAAAATGTCGATTGCATATATACGTTCCCTGCCTGTACTTGAATTTTACAAATACATGTTAAATTCTGTCATCTTTTTTCTTCATCTTTTTTTAGGTCAATTCCTGGGTAACGGAAGACCATTCCACGACACTACCAATCCGAATACGACTTAGTAGTCAACCCAAAGCCGTATCACGTGACCTTAAACCTCAGGGGCGTATGGATAACGTGATATCACGTGAACAGCGGCCAGCTAGCCCGAGCCAGGAGCTCCCGCTAAGCATGCCGAACCGCCGCCGGACGTCCCATCTGTGTCCCTTCTCTGTTCCTACAGAGCCTTATTTCGACCTAAGCTCATCATCTGTATATTCATCGGTGGAGAGGTGCAGCCCTGTGAGGCCCCCTAACCACCATGACTCCACCGGACACCTTCTTCCGCTCGTCGGAGATGAGCCTGACCCAGCTCTATATCGCCAACGAGATCGGAAGAGAGGTTGTGAGTGCCCTCGGTGAACTCGGACAGGTGCAGTTCAGAGATGTAAGTCCAACAACAGATTTTGTCATCAAGACCGTATCGGTATTGGTAACAGGCCGCTAACCTGCATCGTGCTGTCTTTAGCTGAACCCGGATACCAATGCTTTCCAACGAACCTTTACAAAAGAAATCCGCCGCCTCGACAATGTGGAAAGACAGCTCCGTATGTATACCCAATCGGAAATGTCGAAGGATCATTGCAGTGGGATAATGGACCATGGCTAAGTCTTGGTGTTTAATTGTTAGGTTACTTCCACGCTCAGATGGAGAAAGCATCCATTCCCATGAGACCTTCGTCTGATTTCTCGGATACCCTGGCCGCCCCCTTGGCTTCGGAGATCGATGAGCTGGCTGAACGCAGCGAGAGTCTTGAGCAGCGCATCTCTTCCCTGAACGACAGCTACGAGACCCTGAAGAAGCGAGAAGTCGAACTTACTGAGTGGAGATGGGTTCTTCGAGAGACCGGTGGATTTTTTGACCGTGTAAGTAGCATTGGTCTGAACGTACAGGATGAAAACGGACAGAGGCTGATATTTTGCAATAGGCTCATACTCACACCGAAGACATCCGTCAATCCTTCGACAACGACGAAGCGCCTCTCCTTCGTGACGTTGAGCACCATGCTCCTCAGGGTGCGAACGGTGATACCCAAGGCCAGCAGAGCTTTTCGGAAATGAACATTGGCTTCGTTGCCGGCGTCATTCCACGTGATCGAATTGGAGCATTTGAGCGTATCCTCTGGAGAACTCTGCGCGGCAACCTTTACATGAACCAGTCGGAGATCCCCGAGGCCATCATCGACCCAACCAACAACGACGAAGTCCACAAGAATGTATTCGTCATTTTCGCCCATGGCAAGAATATTCTTGCCAAGATTAGAAAAATCTCCGAGTCACTGGGTGCTTCTCTCTATGGCGTGGACGAGAACAGTGAGCTCAGACGGGATCAGATTCACGAGGTCAACACCCGGCTGGGCGATGTGGGCAATGTGCTTCGGAATACGAAGAGCACCCTCGATGCAGAGCTGTCTCAAATTGCTCGGTCTCTCGCCGCTTGGATGATCATTGTCAAGAAGGAGAAGGCTGTCTATGACACTCTCAACAGGTTCTCCTACGATCAGGCACGCAAGACTTTGATTGCCGAGGCATGGTGCCCTACCAATTCTCTTGCTCTGATCAAGTCGACTCTTCAAGATGTGAATGACCGTGCCGGCCTCTCTGTTCCCACCATTGTCAATCAGATCCGAACCAACAAGACCCCCCAACTTACGTTAGAACCAACCGATTTACCGAAGCTTTCCAAACCATTATCAACGCGTATGGTATCCCTAAATATGGGGAGGCCAACCCAGCAATCTATACTTGCGTCACTTTCACCTTCCTCTTCGCTGTTATGTTTGGTATGAGAATTTCCCACTCGACTTCCCAACAAAATGCGAATTATGAATGTATTCTGACTCGATATTTGAACAAACAGGAGATCTTGGTCATGGTATGCATTGGGCTCTGTACCCTCAAGCTTAATGAAAACTAATGTTTTATCAGGATTCATCATGTTCTGCGCGGCTTCCGCTTTAATTTTCTGGGAGAAGAAGCTCCAGCGAGTTAAACTCGATGAGATCTCTTCTATGGCCTTCTACGGCCGTTACGTGATGATCATGATGGGCTTATTCGCCATGTTTACTGGTTTCATTTACAATGATATCTTCTCCAAACCGATGACTTTCTTCTCTAGTCAATGGCAGTGGCCGGAGGATATCAAGGCTGGCCAGGCGGTCGAGGCAACGTTGAAAGACGGTTACCGCTTTCCGATCGGTCTGGACTGGAATTGGCACGAGGCTGAGAACTCTTTGCTGTTCACGAACAGCTTGAAGATGAAAATGAGTATCTTGCTAGGCTGGTCTCACGTATGTATCGGAACTCTACTCATTCTCTACCTGGTTCATTCTAGGTCCATGCGAGAATGAGAATGTCGTCCTTTAAATGACATCTGAGCTAATCAATTATATAGATGACCTTTGCCCTGTGCTTCCAGTATGTCAACGCACGGCATTTCAAGTCCAAGGTCGATCTCTGGGGTAATTTCATCCCTGGCATGATTTTCTTCCAATCCATTTTCGGGTATTAATTCTTCTCTGACAAATTTCTACAACTTGAGATTCTAACAATTTCCTAGATATTTGGTCGGCTGTATTCTGTACAAGTGGTCGGTAGACTGGAGTACTCGCGCTGATGCCCCTCCTTCTCTCCTGAACATGCTCATTTTCATGTTCTTGAGCCCAGGTATATAGCCCTGTTCCCATGATGACTCGCATTTGCTAACAAACCTTCCCTGAATTTAGGCAAGGTGACGGAAAAGCTCTACCCGGGCCAAGCCACAGTCCAAGTGTTACTACTACTCCTTGCAGTTGCCCAGGTTCCCATCATGCTCTTCCTCAAGCCAGTCTGGCTTCGTCGGGAGCACAACCGTGCCCGTGCTCTGGGGTACCGTGGACTTGGCGAGCAGTCCCGTGTCAGTGCCCTGGAGGATGATGGCGATATGGACGGTGGACTTGGCAGAGGTCGTGACAGCTTGGCAAGTGATGGTGAGGGTGTCGCCATGATTGCTCAAGACATCAACGAAGCCGAAGAACATGAGGAATTTGACTTCGCTGATGTCATGATCCATCAAGTGATCCACACGATCGAGTTCTGTCTTAACTCTATTTCGCACACCGCATCTTATCTCCGGTCAGTATTCCCTGGTTTGACGCTTCATTTGCATTGGAATTCGCGTAATGTTCGATTTTTATTAATCTGATTACGTATAGATTGTGGGCCTTGTCTTTAGCTCACCAGCAATTGTCCATTGTTCTCTGGAAGATGACTATTGGGAAGGGCTTTGACCAGACCAGTCCGACTGCTCGCGTAATTATGATTGTCATCACATTCTATATGTGGTTCTTCCTTAGCTGCGCCGTTTTAGTGGCGATGGAGGGAGTGTCAGCCAGTAAGTTTGCATGCACCTATCTATTTCGGACCGTCACTAACTCGTAAAAGTGTTGCATGCTCTTCGTCTGCACTGGGTCGAAGCCATGAGCAAGCATTTCATCGGCGAGGGTATTGCATTCATCCCGTTCAGCTTCAAGACCCTTCTGGAAGAGGATCCAGTCGATTAGAACCCGAGCTTGTGGTCCTCTTGCATTTCTAGTATTCTTTTCTATTCTCTCTCAAATTTTGCTCGGGCATTCCCGCGGGACTCTATTCGTTCTCTCTGGGCTTTTCTTGTGTCATGTACTATTCAAAGATCTAGAAATACATACATTCTCAAAACGGTGCTGTCTGGCCTGAGGGCCGAAGAACTTGGTCAATGGACCGCTGCGGACTGCTTTACTCCGATGCTCTGATGTTCGTAGGCAATTTCCCTGGATTTAATTCAGGATTGAGACCATACTGAATCTTTTTTTTTCAATATTCAATTACATTGATATACCTGTTTTAGAAAAGTCTGAAGCCTTAGTTACTCTAGATATCCTTTATACCACACCTAGTTTCGTCTGGTAAACACTTTTGACTCTTGAGAAGATCTCCTCGATAGGAATCAAATAAGGCGAACAAAGTAGAAGGTCCTGAGAGGTCGAATTAAACGATGATTTACTAGCAGACTAGGTTTGAGATCTCCCACGGTTAGAAGCGGCACGTTTACTCCAATGACGCCTTGAGCGCCATCAAGATATACGGACTTATTAGACTTGATTAGAGCCTCCATTTTCAAAGAAACATTGAGCTTGTTAAATCGTATCGAGGTGCACATGAATATAGTTTGAAGTTTTTTTTTTCATTATTATATTTAAGAATCATTTTCATGCCCGTCATCACGGCATGCAGAAATATCGCAAAGACGCTGGAAGTAACGGCGACTTGACCCCAGACATCATCACTCGAAGTGGCCCTTGAACATACAAAAAGGGGCAACAGCCCAGCACAGCCTAGTAGACCAAGGAGGAAGATATAGGAGGGAAAAGAATCATGAGAATAAAAGAGGAATCAGAGGGAAAAAAGAGGTAAACGAAGCTGGGCTGTACGTAACGCGGTAGTCCACGAGATGTTGGAGGGGTGGGGGAATTTTATTTCAGTCCAAGGAACCGAGTGATCAAAATCTAGGGGAAAGGGGTAGAGCAAGTAGGGCGCAGTGCCTTTATTGCTTGCTCTTGTGCTTGTTGTAGATGTCGATAACCTTCTGAACCTCGCCCTTAGAGCCGAGGAAGACACCGCTGCGGTCGTGGATGTGCTCGGGCCGGACCTCCATGAGGCGCTCCATGCGCGAGTTGACCGCGAGACCGCCAGCGTTCTCGAAGACCATCGCCATGGGGGCGCACTCGTACAAAATGCGAAGCTTGCCCTTGGGGCTCTTCTTGTCGGCGGGGTAGGCGAAGATGCCACCGTAGAGCAAAGTCCGGTAGGCGTCAGCGACCATGCTGCCGATGTATCGGGCGCTGTAGGGCTTGCCGCCCTCAGCGGGGTACTTGAGGCTGTGGAAGTACTCGTTGCACCAGTCCTCCCAGTACATGCTATTACCCTCGTTGACGGAGTAGATGGCGCGGGTCTCGGGCAGCCTCATATTAGGATGGGTGAGGATGAACTCGCCCAGCGAGTTCTCGAGGGTGAAGCCGTTGACGCCACCGCCACGCATGGTGATGACCAGCTGAGCGGAGGCACCATACATGGTGAAGCCGGAGGCGACCAGGCTAGTGCCAGGGTGGAGGAGATCTTCCGGGCCGACCGTCTTGTTGGGGCCCAGGACCTCATCGGGCAGCTGGAAGATGCCGAAGATGGTGCCGACGGAAACACCGGCGTCTAGGTTGGAAGAGCCGTCAATGGGATCACAGACGACGGCGTAGCGAGCGTTGGGGTGTTCGTCGAACTTGATCACTTCCTCCTCCTCCTCGGAGACAATGATGCGGCATTTGCCCGAGCCGCGCATGGCGGAGATGAAGATGTCATTGCCGATCACGTCCAGCTTCTTCTGGTCGTCACCGGTGGTGTTGGAAGAGCCGGCCAGACCGGTCAGGTTGATCAAGGAGGCGCGACGGATGTAGTAGGCGATCGACTTGAAGGAAAATTGGAGGGCGTGGCACAGCAGAGTGAAGTCACCCGAGGCATCGGGATATTTGGTCTGCTCCTCGGTAAAGAACCGCGAGAGGGTCACAATATCGGTATTGATATTCTCCTGGCCAACCGGAGGAGCGCCGTTACCGTTTCCTGCCATATTGTCTAATTTTTAAATTTGAGGAAGGGTCGATGGATTTGATGGAAGATGATGTGGTGGTGGTGTTGGTGGCGGCGGTTAAGTTCACTCGGAGGGAGATCGGGAAGGGATAGCTCCAGTCTCGGCTTCAATTGAAGGCAGTTTGATTGGGAAGGGCAACAGCGAAGGGCCGAAATTTAAGAGCAAGCCAAATGGTACAGCAAGGCAGTGGCAAGCATGAACAAGGCAGTGGAGCAGAGAATCCAAAGAGTCACGTCAGGGGGGGGAAAGGCAAACCGGCGCAACTTTTGTACCCTGACGCAAGTCCCCGCCGCGGGGGAGCAACCGGACTTGCCTTGGGTTTTCGTCATGGTTCCCCGCGTGACCACCTCCGGTTTTCTCCTCGGCCCCGATTTTGCCCGTGGGTCAAGACTATCTGTTGGGTTGGTTTCTAAAAAAAAGACCACCGAAAGATCAGACCAAGCAGATCAGCCTCTAGAGGATGGGGGACCCCATCCGGCTCCATCGACTAGTTGGCAGCGCTTAAAAACATTTGGACGATCGAAGATTCGCGGCACTGGAAGACCAGCGGACTGGCGGATTCGACAACTGGACGACTCGACGACTCGACGACTCGGGCGCAGACAACCCGAGGAATGCAGCCTCCGTCCGATCCCTTCCTGTGCCGACCCGGGTCGGGCCGGAAGAAAGAAACCCCGGCTCGAGCCCAGGCCTCGTGACCCTCGAGTATGGAGCATCCAGCGTGGAGCCGGTTGGAGCAGGTTGGAGTATGTGAGTATGTGCGACAGTCGTCGTTGACTCGGGAGCTCCCTATCTTGGAGTCTCCCTCACGGCAGATGCCTTTTTGCCTCGATTTTCGGCTGCCAAAAACCCTAGCTCGGAGCTGGCTTCGAGGCCGGGAACCAACACTCTCCATCTCGCAGCTGATCCATATCACACGCTATGTCGGGAAAGCATCAAAAAAGACAATAGAAGGGTCTCCAAGAATTGGGCATCTCTTCAATTGCATTCGCTGTACATAGATTCGACTTCAATTCGACATGGATTCGATCCACGGGACTTAGACAGAATCAGAAGCGGCCGTCTCGGTGCTAGGACATATTATCCTCCGTTCCCTTCCAGTCGATGGGTCCGCCTCCCCGGTCGCGGCTTTGTGGATATCGCAAGAGCTGCCCAGTGGAGAAGGGGTCTCTGGAGTGTCTTCTTTTGAAGGGCTTGAGGTTCAACTTTACTCCGGGTAAGATTTCGACTTCTGATTCGTGCATGAGCAGCGGAGTGACCATCTCCAGCCCTGTACTCTAGCCTCTCCTCTTCAGTGTATACTTCCACAAGTTCCAAAGCTGGGCGACCACCGAGCTTATCGGCAGCAACCCTTCCGCCTGCTCGGCCTTTGCCCCCGAACCGTTCCCCCGCCCTGGAGAATGCGAGCCCGTGCACCGTGACAAGAGTCAACAAACGCGCAACTGCCGACTCGGCAATCTCGCCATTCACCGTACGCCGGCAAGCGAGCTCACTGGTCAGCACGATCGCTTGTCAACGCACAAGGAAGAGCAAGACGATCAGGTTCAGCCAATCAGTAGCGAAAGGGGGGCAGCTTGCCCAATGCACCATTGATTTGACCGGTGGCGTGCTCCGATGGACGGGCCCTAAATGGACTAGACGGGCGACACCAAACCAATGATCAAAGTTGAAGCCGCACACTTATAAGCATGGAATCACCCCCGAAATACCATCGGTCTCAGGAACAGGCACCCAATTGACCATCCATCACCATGTCTGCCGTGGCTGAAAAGTCTCCTCAGATGGTGGAGGCCGCGGAGACCCCCGTCGCGATCTCCAAGGAGGAGGGATTTCCTTCTCGGCTCCCGACCTCGGAGCCTGTCCGTCAGAGATGGTACGAGTGGTATGCGCCGACCGATACCCCGGCCGAGCGGCGGCTGATTCTCAAGCTGGATGGATTGATCATGGTATTCGTCTTTCTGGCCTACTGGGCCAAAGTGCTGGACTCCTCTGCCACGAGTACGGCCTATGTGAGCGGCATGAAGGAAGACTTGAAGCTATATGGCAACCAGCTTAACTACTTGAACACGGTGTATAACGTGGGCTTCATCACCATGCAAATCCCATTGACGCTACTGGTTCGTGACAGGAGGATCCCCGCAAAGATTGAGAGGCCGTGGACCAAGATGCTAACTTCCGTCGTAGATGACTCGCTGCCCCGTCAACTATTTCCTCCCCGCGGCAGATCTTATCTGGGGAGTCTTCACCCTCGCGCAGTATAAAGCAAGCAATGTGACGCAGCTCTATGCGTTGCGTTTCTTCGTCGGCGCTCTCGGTGGCTTTTTCTTCCCCGCCGTTCAATGGTATCTGGGCAGCTGGTACAAACGGTCGGAACTCTCGCGTCGAGGTGCCATCTTTTTCATTGCGAGTCAGGTGGGCAGCATGAGCTCCTCATATATCCAAGCCGGTGCCTATTCCGGTTTGAACGGTCGGTACGGGATTGAGGGATGGAGATGGCTGTATATCATTTGTAAGGGGAAATATGATATCCGTCCATGAGGCTCCCAAAAGTCACTAACTTCCAATCAGGCTTTGCTTGCACAATTCCCATCGCCTTTCTGGGTCTCTGCGTTCTTCCCAGCACCCCCCGACAAGTGCAACTCTCGATTCTTGACTGCCGACGAGATCCGCCTGGCTCAGGAGCGCATGGCATCCGAGAACCGCGAGGCTCGTAAGCCTTTCACTCTCCCCATTATTCTTCAAATATTGAAGGGCTGGAGATTCTGGGTCTTGGTTGCATTTGCTTTCTTCTTCTCCCAAGCCGATGGCGTATACTCCAACAGTGGTCTTTCTCTCTGGCTCAAGGCTGAAGGGTATTCGGTTGAGAGCATCAATACCATCAACACTGTCTCTCCAGCAGTCACAGTCGTTGCTTCAGTGATCTGTGCCGTGCTCTCAGATGCATATAATCTGAAGGCTAGTCTGATTGCAGTCACCGCATTCTTGAATATCTTTGCATGCGTGGTCCTTGCCATCTGGAATGTTCCCGTCGGGCTCAAGTTCTTCGCATTCTTCCTCTCCGGCACAGCCGACGGTATTGCGGCGATCATTTATGCATGGGCCAACGAGATTTGCGCACATAGCTCCGAGGAGCGTGCTGTCGTGATCAGCGCTATGAACACCATCGGTAACACTTTTGGAGCTTGGCTTCCTCTCTTGTGAGTTCCCTTCATCGACGCTCGAATTCCATGCCTTTGACTGACAAACTATCCCTCTGCAGTATGTGGAAGACCGTCGACGCACCACGGTATTTGATTGGGTACAACTGGACTATAGCTCTAGATGTGTGCATGTTGATCATGTTGTTTGTGCTACAGCATTTCTGGACCCGAGAACAAAAACTGGCTCGTTCCTAAATTTCGATGACTAGGGGAAAAAAAGTAAACCATGATACAAGGATGAATATGTACGACAGAATCTCAATTTAGTCAATGCTACCCTGGTTGGTATAATTCAGAAATATTGAGATTCTTCGACACCTAATTTGACTGAGAAATTGGCTTCTCAATCTAAAGCACACCAGCCACTTCAAGGTTTTGAGATAGCTGCTCCTCCGCTCTGCTGTCTTCAGTCGGACGTGTAATGAAATCCTGGCCGGTGTAGGCGTAGAAGAACTGGAAGAGGACAGATCCCAGGGTGACAAAGCTGGTACCAGTGAGCTTGATACAGCGCGTTCTTTTAAGAAAACTAGAACTTACAATGCAATGAAGCTGAAAGCCTCCGCTGCATATTGCCTGCTGCAGACAATCTCGCCATTCCATCGGTTTACTCGGCAGCTGAATCGGTTGAAGTCAAGCGCCAGGAAAATGAATGCCGTGAGCCATCTACCAGAAGACTGATCAGTTTCGGACAGAACGCAAAGATTTTAGCTGGGAAATGCTTACAGGTAGGAAAGTGCCATGTCAGTGAAGTATATAGGCAAAATCTGCCATCGACGACGTCTCCCGATGCAGCTAATTCCGGTGGACACAGCAAAAGCAACCAACGTCAACGTTGCCTGGGCATATTAGCTAGATTCATATTTTGAATTTCTATTTCCCAATTTCAATTTTGTGGATAATACTCACAACCACCAGGGAAAAAATGACTGTGACGGTTTTGGTCTCTCTGACTGCCCATGCTGTGATGCCAAGGACAACGATTGCACTGATGCATTGGAGAACGTGGGCAACCAAGGTGAGGACACCTAGAGGATGACTCCAATAATTTGCCATTTTTCCAAATAATTTGGTAAGTACTGAAAGATCCAGGGGACTAATTGCAACGATAGTATTGCCGGAGGCATTGGGCTTTAAGTACCTGACAGGATTTGGCTTGGCGGACTGGAGTCGAATGGTGATGACCTCACCACATTGCAGATTGGGACATACCAGGAACATTAGTCATACGGCTCTTTCGGGAGACGTTCAAGCAGGATATTCCATAGACTACATCCTGGAAATATCCCGTGTTAGTTTGAGCGACTTAATATATTTGGAAGATAGTTCCTGAGCCCCATTCACGCCGCCACCACGTTCTTTGGATCGGATGGTGAAAACACAACTACACAGGATACTGTATCTAATCATCGAAACCTAAAAAATTTGACATACTTTTTCCCGTAAATGACAGTAGTCGTCCTGTGTTTATGCAAGTTTGATTTTAATTTTGTAAGCTCCCTCTCCACTCTTGAACATGAAAGAGTGAGGATGGAAGAAGTGGGGGAGTGGAAAATTATCCAGAAGCGGCAATAAGGTTGAGATAATCGGAATTTACAGTCATATATAAGCACCATCTATCATGGCAGACAGCCTTGAATTTAATCATGACGCACAAAATGGAAGCATAATATTTCTCTCCTTTTCCAGAGATGGATCTTCGCTCTTGTGTGATGGCCTATAGTCGTCCATGAGCCTGGGTATAAGTTATGCACTCAACTATTCATTATGTACTATTCAATACCTATTATACCTTGTCTAGAATTTAATATCTACCCCTTTCGAATATTGAGATTCTTGATATGTCAAAATTGCAGTAATCGACCGGAGGATCTGGAAAGTCGCTAGGGAGCATGATCTACTTCTATTGATGGCTAGCGATGCGTAGTCTGTTCGAAAAAAAACCTTTGTATAGGCACGGGTATGCCTAGTCATCCCGCAGCAGTAGGATCGTATCTAATTTAAGATTGACAGTAATTTTTCCCAATACTGCACTTTCTTCATATTCTCGACAGCTCGTCGCGTTCGACTGTTTTTTCGGATATCATCTGAATGAAACCCCACAGCGTCGTGGCCCATTGGCCAAAGCGCACCGGTCCAGGTATTCCGAATTTCTGTGGCGCCCGTCATGAGCCTCCGGGGCCGGGGGATGGGTCTGGGTCAACAGACATCGAATTTAGCGATCGTCAAGCCCTAACCGGGACTCACAGATGTTGTAGTTCAGAGGTATTAATTGTGTTATTATTCAGAGGGAAAGATGAGACTATATACGTAGATAAAACGACAAGAACAAGCTGATTAAAACTCAGCTTGGTTCTTCGCATAGATATCTCGGGATTAATCCCGATGATTCGGCTTGGTTCATGATGTGCATCAGCCTCATATCACAACACTGTGGAAAGCAAACGGGAGATAAATGTGATGGGACCAGTCACCCATGAATCCGCCAATCGAACCTCGCCCCTGCCCGGGAATCGCCCCAGTAATGAGCTAGGGCGACCTTTAGGCTGCGGGGCGGGTCGGGGCGAAGTAACGAGTGGGCTGTTTAACGAGTCCGAGGCTCTCGTTGGAGTAGAGAGTTGCATGTCCACCGCGAACTCCATAGTCCTCCAATTTCTTCGCACCAGCCACTTTCAAGTTGATTCCCCCTTTCGACTGTCTTTTCCGTCCTTACTTTCCTTACTGTCCTTACTCTTTTTCCCTGGACGTGGCCTCCACGCCAAGATGTTCAGCTGGCGCGTATTGCTGTCGGTCACCCTAATTTTGGCGGCAGCTCGAGCACAGACCCCCTTTGCTCTTACATGGTCTAACAAGACGTACGGCCCAGACGGCCCATGGACTGCGGTATCTGTCACGGTTGGGACCCCAGGACAGTCAATCGATCTTTACCCCGGCGCCAGCTGGTACAGTTCCATCCTGGTCTCTTCCCTCTGCAACAACTACACCCTTTCACTGCTCTGCTACGCGGACGAGGCGGGCGTTTACGATTTTGAGCAGAGCAGCTCTGACGGCAATGTTACTGACCCGGAATGGGCATACGCGAATACCTTCCCCATGGGTGGGTACCTCGAGACCAATAGCTTCTATGACACCGTCGGTCTAAGCAATGGTGTCTCCGTCCCCAATGTCTCGCTGAGTGGTGTTTTCGAGGGTTCTCAGACATATCCAGATGGCACCAGCTACCCACTTGAAGTGGGCTACCTGTCCATGGGTGCACCCGCCCTCTATGAGAAGGAAGACGGTGACCGGATGATGTATATTCCCAGCTGGCTGTATACCTCCGGAGGTTCGAACCAAACCCCGTCTTACTCGTACACCATGCACCTTGGGTCTGCAGCAAATCCCCAGATCCCTGGTTCTTTGCTTCTAGGGGGATATGATGAGGCCCGCGTACTGGGCAACGTCACCACGCAGTCTTTCCAGTCTGGAAGTAGCCGATTCATTATTGGACTCCAAGACATCGGCCTCGGCGTAGCCTCCGGAAGCTCACCGTGGGCTGACTTCGACAGCAAGTCCGGGCTTCTCGCCCAGTCCAACGATAGTATCATCCCTCCGGTCTCGGCCGATATTGACCCGACAAAACCCTACTTCTATTTCCCTCAAAGTACCTGCGATGCGATTGCGGCCAATCTTCCCGTTTATTTCCAGAAAAAGTACGGCCTGTACTTCTGGAACACCACAGATCCCATGTACAACAAACTGATAACATCACCTGCCTATCTGAGCTTCACCTTCCTCCAGGACTCATCTGATACTGATACTCTTACCATCCGCGTCCCGTTCGCCCTCCTCAACCTCACCCTCGAAGCTCCGCTCATAGCCAACCCAACACCCTACTTCCCCTGCATAACTTCCACCGGCACCATCGTCACGGGCTATAAATTTGGTCGCGCCTTCCTGCAAGCTGCCTTTCTGGGCGTCAATTATGGTACAGGATCAGGCTCGGCTGCAGCCACTTGGTTTCTCGCACAAGCACCCGGGCCATCCCTCCCAGACTCTTCCATTAGTAGTATAAATGTTACCGACACTACTATTGACTCTATGTCCTCAGTTGAGTGGGCAGATACTTGGGCCTCCTACTGGACCCCTCTTTCTAGCAGTTCATCGCAGTCCACATCATCTGCTTCATCGAAGTCCTTAGGCGACAATGGTCTTTCCGCAGGAGAAATTGCCGGTATCAGCGTCGGCAGTGTTGTTGGGGGCCTTCTTATTTTTGGACTAGCTTTCTTCATCTTTCGAAGTCGCCTTAATAATTCTAAGGGCAAAGAAGGGGGAAAAGAAGGGGACCAAACCTCAGACGAGAGCATTTCCTATGGGCGGCGGCAATTAGGACCGCAGATGTTGTCTGATGACATGGAGGCAATTCAAAAGGGGGAACATCATGTTGTAGAGTTGACCGGCACGACACGCCCGGTGCATGAGGTACCGACCTGATATTATACCGATCGGCAGAGGCCCGTTGAAGGTAATGAAACTCTGAGTACTCTAAATAAAAGCTGCGAAAATGCGGGTTATCGCCCTGATAATGAACAACCCATGAAACTCCAGGGTACCAGAACAGTCTAAAAGTTGAACTAAATCAAAACTCTGTTTTACATAATTGATAATTAATTTTTACGCTCCCCCTCAATGATTTCGCTCCCTAGAGCGCAATAATTCTGTTAGCTTCGAATCGCGGCCGCTTTCATTTATCGTGTGCGCAGTCTCTGTCGAGCTGGCCGGGCGCATAGAGATGCTTGCAGTACTAGGATCTGGGCCCGGAGTCAGGCTATTTCTTCCACTCCTTCACTCGCCGCTCCCCGCGCTCGCTGAACGAATCCCCAACAAGGTCCATATGCGACGAATTCCTGCCCTCCCTCCGGAAAATGCGTGTACGCCTTGGGAATAGACGACTGGTTTGAAATGGTGGATATCCGCATCCTACGATCCAGGATCCGAAGAGAGTTCGCGGTATTGAACGACTGCGAAGCGAAATGGACTGACAAATTGGATTTCAAAACGGGGTACCAGACGATGAGCAGGTAGCATAACGACCAAGAATGTATTGATCAAATGGAAGTGTTTGGGAACTGCATCCGTAGTTAAATGCATGAAAAAATAATGAAGCTTGATGGAGATCGAGCACTAGATGTCACCAGTCGGCGATGATTTACCGAGTACACCAGTGACCAAATAATGCAGCCGGCCACACGTCCTGACTGATCGAACTCAGGGATATTATCCGGATACTCGCGTCTCTGAACGCGTAGACCGTCCAGGCCGAACGTAGCAGCTCAAAATACGAGTAGGAGCTTGCAATCACACGTAGTTGCTATTCTAGATACTATAGTGGGGAAGTAGCGTATAGGTATAAACTAGCGGTGTGACAGGAGATATGATATATAGGGCCTACCCCGCTGTTTCTAGCAACTCAGACATCCATTTCTTTTCTGAATTATCCCTAGGTGTCCTCTCTTTCTCTTCCACAAACCCTAGAGGCGGGCCTGGTTAGCAGACAGCGACTGTCTCTGTTCCCAGTTCAATACGAAGCGACTTAGAAGAAACCGTGAGGGTAGCCGAATTGCTCTGAGGTTAGGTAGAAGCTCGGCGTAGTAATATCTGTTGGACATACAGTGCTAGTAGATCACGTGCCACGTACAGCATTAAAGTAGGTATTATATGACACCGCAAAGATCGATGTACATAGCTTACGAAGGAGTGGAGACCGAAGAGCCTTAGTCAAGGTTGGGTTTGGATTGTTGGTATCTCAAGCTGGCCTGGGTGATAGTCATAGCGCACATAGGGCAGGGCATGATTCGGGACGGTTGCCCATTTGGCAATTCGAAGCACAAAAGCCGCCCGGCAAAAAGAAACGAGTGTATATAAAGAGCACAAGTCGTGTACAATGACAAAATCTCATATCGCAGAACCCCTCTCTAGGTTGAATGCTATCGTGGGATACTTGATGAGATAGAAAGGGGGCTTAGATCTGAAGTGTGTTTTCAATACCAAGCCGATGTTGAGCAAACGGCCAAGCAAATACGGAGTAATCAGCATATCGAGTGATCTACAAAGTCAAGCGGGGGTGTTCTTGGCGGTCACTCTGATCAGAGCATCGGGATATCTACGTGATTAAATCTACTAATACTGCCCAGTCATGTAGATGTCTAGATTTTTCAAGCATAAGATACTAGGACAAGTCAACTTCTCAAATTTCATGAATCCACCTTTTACAGCAGAGCTATTTTGTATCTTCACTTCCTCTCCGCAGTGCTGCAGCCATTTCTTAATTTCGCAAGTGGCGTTGCCGCTCGAGGCGCGTGACAGCACCTTGTCAAAACAGTCCACAAAGCTTGTAGATCGCGAGGAGAGCACCATGACGTAGTATCAGCACCTTTGCCTGTTGAACAATTTTTTTAGTTCTTCTTTTCTTATCCTTGCTCTGCACTCATCCTTCTGCGTTTACTCGTTCATCGAACGGGGCTTGATTTCGGGGGCTGGCTTGTCTCCTCGCTGCACAAATTTCCATAAATCACACTTTGTTCGCCATGTCAGACGACGGAAATTCTAACCCAGTGAATATTCCACCTCCAGTCGTTGTATCTGATAATAGCGGTCCTACTCCTGTGCCAGCCAATGTTCACCATCATGATGATAGGAGCGACCCAACACCATTTTTTCCCACCTCAAAGGAGCGGGACTTTTTCGAAAGACCCTCACGACGACCGAGCTTCATCGAGAATGTGGCGGACTCGCGAGAGGCACAGTTTACTACGCAGGATATCAGTGAGCTCGAGCGATACTTTGTATGTAGAGCACGCAAAAAAAAACTGCTTGATCAAGGCAAGATGCTCATATGACAAAGGATAAGCTGACAAGAGTTATACTTAGCACGGGCCCCGAAACATGAATCGACATTCGAAATGGCCACTTGTCATGCGAATTCAAGGAAGCGTATTACCTCAAATGATCATACCTCTTTTCATTGTTGGAGGTTGGGCCACTCTCATCACCTGCATGTCTCAATATTATCATAACCGTAAGTCTTTCCTGTGGTGAAAACATAGCCCAGGCTTTTTAAATGCACCTTATGACGCAAAATAGTTGGTATTAATAATATCCTGCTTACCGTGTTGGGGTTTGTGGTGGGTTTGTCTTTATCATTTCGTGGATCAACTGCGTACGAAAGGCAAGGATCTCAACATAACAAGGAGAATAATCACAAGTTCCCTCACAGACTGACTCTAATCAAGATGGGCAGATGGTCGCAAATACTGGGCTGCGCTCGTCCAGACCTCTCGCAATATGGCTCGAATTATCTGGGTGCATATCGGTGAACGAGAAGGAGAGGACGGCAAAGTGGATATGCTTAGAAAGCTGTATGTGCACTCCTTCTGACCAAAATATGATACCTCACTACAATTTTGGAAGATCCGCTATGAATCTTATTCTCGCATTTGCTGTCGCACTGAAACACAAGCTTCGCTTTGAGCCCGACGTTGCGTACAATGACCTAGCGGGCCTCGTTGGTCATCTCGACACATTTGCCCTTTACGCCCATGACAGCAACTCCATGCATCCTCCATCAAAAACCCCATGGAAGTCTACGGGAGAATACTTACGCTTGCCGTTTGCTCGTTCAAATCCGCGTAAGCTCATTAAGCGATCCAAGAAACCACTGGGCCATCTTCCCGTCGAGATTCTCATGCATATATCGGCGTATATCGATTGTTGTGTGAGGAATGGCACGCTATCTTATGCTCAATATCAGGGCCAAGCGAGTAAGAATAGAACATCCAAAAGCTATACATTTCTGACCAAGGTATTTAGTGACGATGGTCTCATCGCTGAATGAGATCTTAACTGGGACGGAACGAGTACTTGATACTCCTCTGCCTGCTGCATACAGTATTGCAATTGCCCAAATATCTTGGATCTATGTCATGCTACTTCCATTTCAACTTTATAAATTTTTGGGTTGGACAACTATTCCTGCATCTATCGGTAAGCAAGTGAACGCCACACAAAATTTTGAGAAAGCAACATGGCTAATCGTGCCTTTTCGATAGTTGCCGCATACATTATCATCGGTCTATTTACCATCGGTAGCGAGATCGAGAACCCCTTCGGTCAAGATGTCAACGACCTTCCACTCACCTCATATTGTCGACAGATTGCCAAGGAGCTTGACATAATCACAGCGAGCCCTCCTCCGAATGTGGACCACTTCATGACCCGCCCGGAGAACTTAGTCCTTTTCCCGCTCAGCCAGGAGGGCTACCCAGCTTGGGAGGAACGAAGCAAGGAGGATATTCGCGCCGCTCTTCGGGCCAAGATCGTTGCAAACTCAGGCCACAACCCTGCTGTGGATGATTCGAATACGTCTACTATGGGCATGAGTTTCTCTATAAGAAGTACTACAGAGTCCGTTTGACCTACTGTGAAGATGAGCATGCAGACACATCCACTCAATCGACATAGATGTGATACACGAGGTTTAAAATCGGTCTGGAATTTGAGTTTTTTAATGTGAGAATCATGAAGGCTCTACCTGACCACTGCTAATTCCAAATAATCTAGTTTTGCGTCCCGGTTGCATACAGTGCGCAAGAGCAGGTACTGTTGGGGTACTAATATAATTAAACAATTCAACTGATAGTAGCAAACATCAAAATAATCTCAGTTTTCATGAGATAAGGTTGAATTTTGCATTTTGTTCAAGGACAATATGATAACATTTTCGCCATATTAACGTTAGCATTGAAGGACTTCTTAAAAAGTTGCCATGAAGATATTAGATTTTTTTGTGATCTGAGAGAAGCTAAAAAAAGTTTCTACTGTCTTAGAATACATATGCGCTAGTTTTTTGCTGTGAAGAGACTAACGGAGATCGTGATTGGAATGATAGAATATTGGATAAGTGAGGAGAAAGAACTATAGGACTGCAGGATGAAAAAATATAGGACCAGGGCTGCCTCACATGGCAGAAAGCTACGAGAGGCAGCTGTCTGCACCTCATGACGCTTTTGGTATTATATGTTAGCCCTCTGGTGAACGTTTGTCTTCATTATCTCATATCGAAGACGAGCAATCACAATGGGATAACCACCCGTTTTCGCACACCAGTATATAATGTATCGTGACGAGTCTTAGCCACAGACAAAGATCAGAAAGTATTTTGCTATATTCATTATCTTCACGAATTTACCTTCCTCAATTGGACGGTAAAATGTTCATCTGCTCACACAAAATGCCATCTTCTGAAAAGATTCTGGGTTTGGGGGAAGGTGGCCTCATAAAGACTTCTCACTTCGAAGTAGCCGGTTCAGGGATATCTCAAACATGCGCAGCGTTGCCACACCAAGTGTGCGGACGCCCAGGCAATTCAGTCTTCCACGATAGAACATAATTTTTGCAATCGATTCGAGCTTGAGATGAAGGAAGTTCGTGATCAGTGATTGAAAGGGGGAGAGGTATAGCTCAAGTGCAAATTAGAGAGTAAAATCCGGCGTCGATGTGAAATGAATACAAATGAGCACCAGAATTTGATGTGCCTCGGTTTTCCGATAGCCATTATATCTATGAAGAGGATTGATGACACTGGTGGTCGAGTAGCGTAAATTGATCAATTTTATACCAAGCGCTAAGCAAACACCTCTACCGGTCAACACTCCGCGACGAAAAATCAAAAATCTTTCTGCTCGATGGTGGGGTCTTTATATGATATCATATAGCTCGAACCGACTATGTTGTCATTGCTGATTCTTCGAGTACTCCTCTAGTTTTATTAATGTTTTTGGGTTGATTTTTCTTTCCGCAGTCTCTTCTGTCTCCATGTAATTCCATATCGTGTCATGAGCCACAAAATGGGTGACGCAGCAATTGATATAAGTGCTAGTGTGGTGTACGCCCAACCCCAGCCCATAGCAATTTTCATGGGGTTGATGACAGCAGATGCGGCGGCTCCTAGTTCACAGCGCATCAAATTATTGGCCGCAGTTGCTGCGGCTGACTGACCTGGCCATATATCAACCATCAAAGCGTTCAAAACTTGTGAAGTTGCATTAAGTGACCATCCGCTGATGAATAAAAGAATGACAGGGGCTGCCAAGTTGACCCTTCGGCCCATGACCCAGCCAAAACATATCATCACAGCCGTGCTCAGATAGTACATGGGTATAGCGATCTGCAACCTTGCTTTTTCGATGTTGAAGTTGCTGATATCTTGTCTTCTGTTTCTCACGACGGGTATTCCGGCTCCTTTGGCGTGCCGGCGATAATTCCAGTCAACGATTCGACCGGTTAAAAAGGCAGAAACAACCCCTCCTGCGCCAATAGGCAGATACATCAACGCAGTTTGGATATTGTTGAAATGATATACTTCATGGAAAGTTGTGGTGGCTCCGGTCATGACGGCATAGAAGCCGGCGTACATTAATCCAGTTGTCAAGAGAATTGCACCAGTTTCTAAGTCCGTTGCAACTTTCAAGGTTGGAAGAGGTGAAGGGAAACGTAAAGCATGATTCTTCCTTGTTTTGACAATGTCTTCTGGGGATGCGATCTCACCTCTTTCTTTGCGCTTTCGATGGCGAATAATGTCAGTGATCGACATATTGATCAAGGGCGGCGGTACAGATCCGTCATCAACTACCTTGCGGCATGTTTCGGGCAGGAACAGGAGAAGGCACAGAAAGAAAACCCCAGAGAGAATTAGTAGGAACCAGAAAATCCAATGCCAGTCGAGAAACTGGCTGATCAAGCCGCCAATAACTGGTGATAACGAAGGGCCCAGCATGCTGCCCAAGGAGGCAAAAGCAATGTAAGATCCCCGTTCGGAAGAAGTTATCATGTCTCCGACCAGACCATTTGCTAGTGCCACTGTTCCACTACTTCCTGCGCTTTGGAGACACCTGAGAACCATGAGAGCGGCATAGCTATTCTGGAGTCCAAGGCCTAGATTCGCGGCAATGTAAATGGTGAAGCAGATGATATATGCTGGTCTCCTGCCAGCAGTGTCCGAGAAGCCTGCAATGAGCATCGGTGCGATTCCTTGCATGATCTGGCAGCATGAAAAGAAGCCATATGTTAGCTCGAGCTCCAGGGTTTAATCACCGGGCAGCTTACCAGATAAGTAGTGACCGTGAGGTTCACTTTTGATGTTGTCACATTCAAGGCATCTGCGACAGTGTTCAGAGCTGGGAAATAGATGCTTGAAGACAATGGGGAGAAGAAAGCCGCTAAGGATCCAACTGCCACGATGGCTCGTTTCTGGTTGACAGTGAATACCGAGAAGTCACGGTGATCAGTACCCGAGCTCAGGTCAACTTTGCGCAATTGGGGATTGTCGCTATTCTGAGCAGTTTCAGGGTTCTGGCTGCTCATTTTTCAAATGGAAGGAAATTCATAGGACAAGGCAACTTTCCCAATAGGTGATGTGGACGGCGAATATTTTGGAGGCCTTCGGGCTTTAAATAGTAGTTATATTGACAGTTGAAGTTGCCGGTAGCGGACCCTTCTTTCGAGTGGAAAAAGCTATCTCGAATGCACGGAGAAGAAACCTTTGTGCATTTACAATAAAATTGTGCGATTAAACAGCAGTCACTCAGCCTAGAAATAGAATTAGTCAGGGGTATAACCTAACTATGACTCCAGCAATAAATAGAGATTGCTCAATCTTGTCTAAGATGCCGGTGCCGGGATCCACCGGGATGCATACTCTGAATCCAGTTTTTTCCCTATTAAAAAATGTTTTGGTGACTATTCGGAAATTCACCTGAAGCTATTCAATTTTTTCCCTATATGTAGTCGATACAACTTGCACTCTTTAATCACTGCGCTCGATCTATATGCCAGTGTCCCGCTGCAAAGCGAATCTCAAATACTTGCACCATGTTCATCGCCTTTAGTTCGCGAAATGGAAAACCCTTCGAAAACAAATAGAATGGAAATTCTTGTCATATTCATATCATTTGTCCTCAACTTCTCAAAGTTTGGGCCAAGCAGGAAGCTTATTCGGAAAAATCATATTGAGCTCTCTTTAGACATGATGCCGTTAACGGCTTGTTATTCAGCAAAGATGGGCCCGGCATCGGATTGCAATCGTTTTCTTGGAGTATAAATAACATCTGCCGCACAGAACTTTGGGGTTCATTCAACAACGACATAATCCTTCAGGTTCCCTAACCCCTTTGAGACCTCTCAAATGACAGCACTTGCACCTATGTTCGATTCAAAAAATCAGGCTACGCCTGGTTACTATGGTCCCTCTCAAACAGCTCTACTGCTATTAGACTTCCACTCCTTGTTCGTTCAACATGTCGGTGGACTAAAAGCCCCCGTAGCCCTTGGTGTCGCTGCTGAAATGCGAGCATGGGCAAGAACAAAGGGTATTCGGGTCATTCATTGTCTAATCGACATTCATGCCACTCCTTTCGCAACCTGCAAGGATGCTCCACGATTTGTGGAGATCGCCAAAACAATGCAATCAGGTGGAGGAGAAGAATCTACCGAGCTGCTTACAGACAAGGGCAATGATGTCACGTTCACTCGAAGACCCGGTTACGTGTCTGCGCTCAAATCTCCAGGCCTGAACGAATTTCTGCAGAGCAATGGGATCAAGTCCTTAATACTTACCGGGCTGAGCACATCTGGATGCGTGACGAGAACTGCTCTTGCGGCCAATGATGCAGAATACGTTGTTTCGATCCTCTCCGACGGCTGTGCAGACCGAGAGCAAGAAATCCATGATCTTCTCATCGAGAAGATGTTGAATAATCGGGGATTTGTTGCATCCTCAAGTGAATTTCGGAAAGGGTATGAAAGCTGTCTCAAGTAAACGGCCCTAGATATCAGGAAAACATGCGTGGACAGCAGGGCTTGCAGAATGCCAGGTTAATGTTGAGAACACTCATATCGTTACATACTATATGTTTATTACATAGAGGGCTTTCGCATGGACCAATTGAGCACCATTGTATACAGTCATGTTCCGAGAGCTTTGTGTAAATGTTGGAGTGGAGGTCAAATTATGAGCTAAGCGTTCATGCCAGGTCTTTACAAAAAGAGCATTCCAACGGGGCTTTCTAACTAATCTTCAGCCATAGATACATGAGCGGTAGGTTTCTATTGTTTTTAGCCCCTGGAAAAGTTTTGTCAACAGCGACTGCTGTTCATGATGACTCTGCCTCCAGCTTGAGCCGGGGACGCGATCTGACTCTGACTTTGACCTCCTCCAATACCGCTTACCTAAGGCAGATTGCCAGGGAACCCATTACATAATTTTGACACCTCAGGTTAGAGCTCTATGCCTAACATAGGTTAGACCGAATTCGGGAGGACATGTAGTTCCGTTCCGGAACGGCGGACCTTAAAAAATCAAAAAATTCATCTTTGTTTCCTCTTTCCTCCCACAGTGCAGCTCATCTGCTTTCTGGCATTGAATGTTTTTGACCAGGATGTCGGCTGTCTGCATTTGCCTCGGATGATCAGATCATTCTACATCACCCGTTTGACTAACAGTCGCTTCTGACAGCGAGGCATTTTTCGGTAAGCGATGGTTCGATGGATATTTCTGCACACCTCATGGACTCCCAACATGATGATACACAATAACCAAAATTCAAACTAGAGTCTTTGACCCACTCGGGGAATGAAAACTCTGTTATTTGCACGTCAGGCTGATCTTGTCACGCTTGCTTGGAATTTTACCCACTAGCTCGTTGGATGTGACTTGGAAGCTAACTGTGCTTCTGCTAGGACTAACTTGGTCATACTTTGGCCAGCGACATGTCGCTTTGTAAATGGTGAGTTCATGGTCTTTTTACCTTCCTGGCTTTTCTCCAACCCTCTTGCATGATGATCATTTCGTATTATATACGCTGGAAATTACCGTCCAAGGTCTTCGGATCTCTGACGACAACTAATGGCTTGACTGATTGCTACCCTATCTCTTCATCTTTTTACTGGACTCATATTTTCTGGACCATATGCTAATTGTTGAGAAGACAGCTACTCAAAGCTCTCGGCACTTGCGGTGGTAAGCCAACGGCCCGATGACCTCACCTCGAACCCCTCCCATCACGAAGATGAAATGGCACTGGGCTCCGACGGTTGTTTTGACAACATCCGGTCATGACGGATACGCCCTTTTGCGGCAGGCCTAGAAAACCTCGCCCACTGAGAGATGCCTGATGATACTCGTTGAATCACCGATCGCTTCCGTGACGAGACGCTAATCATCTTGAGTAGTAGTCTATGATGTTCGAGATCAACGCATTTGTAGTCAAGTTTTAGGTATGCCTACCGTTTCATCTTGTACATTTCCCAACCATCTTTCGTGATGATCTCCTAGATGACGAGTCTTATTCGAGTTATCGATGCAGACAACATCCTTTTAATACCATTCATGCTTTTCTGACATTTTCCCTGACGCACAACTCATTTGCTTAAATATCAGACAACTGATGCTAATATTTCTCAAGGCAACTCTTGTGGACCAATTGATTTTTATCTTGATCACCCTTGGCTTCGGTCCTCTTCACTGCTTAGGTGTATGTCACACCTTTATCCCCTCCCCCCAACGTTGCTTTTGTGATGAAACGACACAAAAAGACAAGCATATGTCCAAGTCAGCTTCAGCTGGCGAAGACGATAACAGTCATGACTGACCAACCCCTGTCACCTCATTGGTGCCTGCCATGACCCTGTCAGTCCTCGATACTGATGGATCTTCCAGAACAGGGGTCAACGATCGGAGTCGATCCATTAATGTGCTTATCCTTGAACTACTAACGTGAGTTGCTCTTTTCCTGCTTTCGCCCCCTATTCATTTCGTCTTGCCTCGTTTCCTTTCTACATGATGATTCACTATAACATTATCACGACGGTCAACATAAGGATTTTTAATTGATGACCACCGCCTGTGACAGGGCATGTAATCTGACACCCATTTCTGTTCCACTTTAATCGTGTTACCGGTCGCTTGTTTGGTGCACCTGACGCTAACCTCGACCAGTGAATTAGGATTCTGTCTCTTGACATGTCCCGTCGCCCGTCGCGGGTCGCTCGAGCCGAGTGGGAGACGCCGGTCAAGCCTTCGAGGCTTTTAGTGTGCAGTAGTTAGAAGTCAGAATGATTAGAAATGCATCCTCTTTTATGCCCGAAACCTTAGGCTTCCTAAATCGTGCCCTTTTTGTACGAACTAATCTTCCTTACTTGCTCCCGTCCCGTGGAAGCCAACTCTTCCTGTGCTACGACACTGGCTCCATCCCGAGTTTCCTTGAACCCCCTCTCCCTGCCGCATCCCTGCAGCACCATTTGACCCATTTGTCCCCTGGAGATGAAAGTCCCCTATGTTTGTGTGACGGCGACGCTAATTCGCGGAGGTCAGGGTCCGTGTGAGGCGGGAACTACGGTGCTGGGCCTCTCAGCGACGACGATAAGCGCCGGGCTCGGGACCGTGTGTGACGAGCACCTCTAACCTGCATATCCCATGCCCCGCCTTCAGCGAGATTGAGAGCCTTCATCGGCCGTGGTCCGCTTCGACGATCGTCTGGCTGTTCCAAATTTAGGTGTCCCCTCTCTCCTCGTGATGTGGGTATTGCGCCAGTCGCCTGCGCTCGCACTAATTGGCCCTATCGTCGACAGCTGATTCCATTCTGTCCCTGTCCTCTGCGCAACACCAGAAACGAACAGTCGATTTCCAGTCTTTGGAGCTGCTGGCTGTACGAAGAGACCAATCGCCTCCCCTTTCGTGTCCCGGCAGTCGCGATCTTTTCCTATTTCTCTGTTGTGTGGAGACAGACCATGGCTTGGGCTCAGGCTGTCTCCTAGTGACAGCGAAAGTCAGTATGAATAAGTACGGACCTCTGCTTGAGCCCCATATTTTCTTTGTCTTTCCTCTTCATCGGCCTTGTAAAAGAGGAGACATTCCATGACCTTCGTGGCTTTCGTGCAATGCTGATTGCTACCTCTTTCTAGCTGGCAGGCCTCCACACATGTAGGCGACGAGCAGCCGTCGTCTTCTCAATACCCCGGCTGGCCCGTGTCTGCCAATCTTCATAGCCAAACCTCGCCGAATCCCAGTCGTGGAGAGCGTGCAGCGCGGCCAACATTGTTGACGACGGCATTGAGTGGCTCGCAGTTATATCACGCCTCGACTCCTCTGTCCACCACGTCCCTGTCTAGTCCGTTTACCTTGACACAGGCACAATCTCCAGCGGTTTCAACTCCTGTACAAGACATATCCTCATCTTCAATGGCGTTAAGGCATCATGCTGCCTATACCATCCCCTACAACCCACAGGACTGGGGCCCGGTGGGTGGCCCTGCCGCTCAGGCTGCGTATCCTCAATCAAACAATGTACATCGTGTAATTCACCAGCAAAGGGCCCATGCAGGTCGGTCGCTCCCAACGCAAATTAGACCCCAACCAACTTGGTTATGATTAATTATATGATCCTAGACGCATCACTGTCTCCGCCGCCTCCGCCATACTCGCCCCCGCATAATCAGACCCGAGCACCCCAGGATGCCTATGCCCAAGCGGGTCCAAATAATGGAGCCGCCCCTCCTCCGCCGGCGTCTCATCAATCATACAGATCAGGCGAGTTTGAAAATCCCGTGGACTATCAGAGACAGCCAGTCCATCGACCCCGCCCGCTCTCAATGGTATATGGTAACGAGACCGAACTATATCGGCAGTCGTTGCCCCCTCCCCCTCCACCACAAGGGAACCTGGGATCAAGGTCGGTTTCTCAACAACGAAACGACAACTATCAGAATATTGCCTATAGGTCCCCTTTGACCCCATCTCAATCACGAACTTCAACATCGGGATATGACCAATCCGTTTCTTCTCCAGGTCCGTTGAACCATTTGCCAGGGCCAGCCAGTGGCCTCTATGATGCTCAATTGAGGCCTCCTGCGTCTCGGAGAGCCGCCTCTGCTGGGGCTGTCCCTAGCAGTGCAGGATCCTCAAGAGCGCCAGCTTTGTCGAGAGGGCCATCCCCATCGACCAATGGCTGGGGGCTTGGTATGTCTCTTCCGCCGCCACCCCCAGGGCCACCTCCCACAAATAGAGCTGTGAGCGTAAGCGGTTCTTCTGAGTCATCTTCGGCCAGAACACCCCAGGCTCAAGGCTCAAATCGTCCGAGAGCCCGGCCTCCACCATTAATGGGGACGGGACTGGGCAGTATTCCGCCAACACCGGCCGGCTGGGTGGACGAAGAATACATAAATCACCGTCCCGATGTGCAACAGGAATCGCCTCCTGTTGATACTGTCAGCATCGTGCAGAGTCCCGTGCAAAGCCCAGATCCAATCAGCAGTCCAAATCCAAATCAACAATCACAACAGTCTCAAAGGACGCCCAGTAGCGGTGGCAATGGTCTTTTCCGCAGCTCGGCTGTTCGAGATTCCAGTGCTAAAGGTATCCGCGAAAGACGAATCGAGCGACGAAATCGTCAAAGTCAAGTCCTCGATGATACAAACGCGGGCACCCCAATCAGTTCAAACCCTTGGGCAGATGCCTTGGAGCAAATTGTGCCGTCAGATCTTGTTTTCCCAGAGACCACAGATAGTCCAGACCATACTCGCCAAGCTTCCTCGCGATATACTCCTCGAAGCACCCGAAGTATTGGCTCCGACGGCCCATTTCCAACCTCTCGATCTCGAGCCTCTTCTACGGGCCTTTTCTCCGATCAGTCCCCATCTTTACACACGCCGAAAGTTGGACAAAGCCCTGCACCTCCACTTACTTCATTTGCACACACGCCCCCATTCTCTCCAAATGGAGAGTCGTCGTCTTCATACCCAAAAGTAGTGTCCCAAGCGGTGCCACCAAAGGCCCTGCCCACTCCGCCCCTCAATTCGGCCACAGAGTCCCAGCCACGTTCGCGTGCCCCATCTCGCGGTTCGGAGGACCGGCCTATCTCTCATATACTGCATATACCCAACGATACCGTAACAATGATGAGGCCATTGTCACCGCGTCGTCTGCCTCCTCTTCAAACAGGCCAGCAGACCTCATCAGAGCCGGCAGTAAAGCAGGATACTTTATTTGTTCAAAATTCTATTGAACGGTATAAAATATTTATTGAACAAGAAGCCAATGCAGCAGACGAGGCTGAGGCTCTAAAGTTGTTTACTGAGTTCATAATATCAGAGTCCCAAATTCGGCGTCGACGATATGAAAGTGTATTTGACGCTGGCTCTTTTGATTCAGGAAATGTGCTCAAACGACTTTTTGAAATTCCCTCAGATGATCAGTCTTCAAGAAGCATTCGGCCGAACCCGACTTTGCAAATACCCTCCACCAGACCCAGCCGGCCTGAGTCTGCATGGTGGAACAATTATCAACCTTGCCTATCCCCCATTGCCAGTCTCGGTATGAGCAATGATGAAATGAGCTCCAGAGGCCGCGCACCCAGCCGCTGGTGGGAATCCAAAACAGGATCCAGCAGTGATGGAGCTGGACGGAAGGTACAACGATCGAAACGAGAGTCCAAGTACATGGGTCTGCCCAGAGAGGCCATGCAGTGGGATCAAGACCCACAACAAACGCCATCGAAGCTGGATGATATCGCCTCTAATTACACTGATCACCGCGCTTCATACGGCCCTGACGAATATCCAGCAGAGAAAGTTGGCTGGCATGAAAATTCTACGAACACTGCTGCATCTGGCGCTGGCTCGGCTTACTCCAGCGCGGCAAACGGTAATCAGATCATGCAACCACCTACCATCCAGAAACTTGACATTTCGCGTCTGGTGACGCTACCTCCACCGTATCCGCGCCACTATCCCGCAGTGAATAACAGTCACCCGGACCTAGTCACCTATAGAACCATTGTCCGGTCGATTACTGACCTTACGGAAATCAAAGCTACTCGAGAGCGATACCAGGCGGACATCGAAAAAATGACCCAAGACCATCAAAATCAAGTTCGTGAAGGACGTCGGCATTTCAAGTCTAACATTCAAAGTCAGATTCAAGAAGGGAGCCTTACTTTTGCTGAAGCCGCCGAAGCCGAAGCTGCAATGATGGTGGATGATAATAAGCGTGAAAGAGAACTGGTCAAGCGGCAATTAGACGAATACCAAGATAGCTTGCTGCGGCCTATTCATGCTATATTGTCGGATCGAATTGCTAAAGCAACAACCTGCATTGATGAACTGAGCAGCCGACTGTTTGATGACGCACAGCATGAGACGCCAGATCAAACTCAGGAACAGGGTGACGAGAAGCCTGAGCTCTTGGAGAAGTTGACTCAATTGAAATGGTTGTTCGAGGCACGAGAGCAACTCCACCGGGAAACCTTTGATCTCATCAGCGGCCGCGACGAAAAATACAAAGTAGTTGCCTTATTGCCGTATCAGCAAAGCAAGAACGATGAAAAGCTTCGCGAAACGCAAGCCTTCTTTTCCAAGGACGCTTTGGACCGACGAGTCCAGTATGAGACTTCTGCTCTTGCTCGTCTTGAATCATTTTTAGACGTTATCGAGCAAAATGTTGTTCGAGGAGTGGAGGTGCAGCTTTCTGCATTCTGGGACATCGCCCCCTCCCTCCTCACATTGGTGCAGCAAGTTCCCGAAAACCTGCAAGGCTTCCAAGTTCAGATCCCTGTGAGCGAGTATGAAGAGAATCCTAGTTATCATTCGCATCCCTTGCAGTATCTCTACTCACTGGTCTCTCATGCCGAGAGGTCCAGTTACCAATATATCGAGTCGCAGACGAACCTTCTCTGTCTACTCCATGAGGTCCGCTCTGCCTTGATGCGAGCCAACCGCAATCTTGCAGAGGCAGATAGGATTTGGCGAGGCGAGCCCGAGGAGTACGTGCGCCGGGATATGCAAACTGCGCGCGCAGATGAGGAGTTGGCCCTGACTACGGACTTAAAAGACAAGGTGACGACCGTTGAGGGACAGTGGGCCGAGGCTCTTGGAAGTCAAATTGAAGGGCTTCGAAGTCGGATCAAGGATCAGCTTTTGGCTGAGGATGGATGGGAAGAAATGGAACAGTTGGAGCAGGAGTAGACTCAAAAGGAGAAGACCTGGCTAGGGTAGATTGTGTTGATGTGTTAATTTCCTTGATGAGACTTGTGATATCCCCATTCGTTCGCTGTAGATCGGGCTTGCACAGTATATAATCTTTATTTTTTGGATATCCGACAATTATATCGCTTCATGTTCATCTTTTGCTCAGTGTTCCTTTTTCTATACTCTATGCTGTAGTCGGTTAATCCCAAACCCAGAGTCTCCACTACCCACCGCGTCACGTGAAGTCCCTTCTAGAGTCTTCCGTCCGATTCACTCAAATATCGACACTCTTCCCTCATCCTCTCCTTTCCCTTTCCAACTACTTTTCATTCTCCTGTCCGGTGCTTATTCTGGACTACTTCGTGAAATTGTAAGTGTGACCCTGATTTTTCCCCCGTTCCCTGCACCCCCATTGGAAATTCCCTTCACCTCTACCCTTCTACCCCGACCCTCCCACCTGTCCGGCCCGGGAGCCCTCACACCTGCCCAAATGATGAGAATACAGCTGGCACCAGTCCGATCGACGATGGATACGTCTGTCCTCGAACTGCTGATTAGTATACCGTCCGACAATACGCTAGTCGTGACCTGAAATTTTTTGGCATTGCATACTGCAAATCTTTTCACCACTACACACATGTTACGAGGCAATCGTTGCTAACTCGTCTCAATTGAATTGAAGAATCTAGACTCGCTTAACAAGAAGCTCTTGAGAAGACTCGGCCGTGCCGCACCTCTTCCAGAAGAACAGGAGAACTGAAGGAGGAGAACCCATCCCCATCGGCCTCGCGCAATCATCCCACAATCAAATTTTCCTTTTTTTTCCACATAGTCCACCAACTCCATCATGGTTCTCCACAACCCCAACAACTGGCACTGGGTGAACAAGGACGCCTCTGGCTGGGCCAAGGAGTACCTGCAGCAGAACCTGAGTGTCATCAGTGCCGAGGAAGGGGGCGTGTCCGCCAAAGTAGACAAGGTGTTGTCCATGGATGGCGACGTAGACGTCAGTCAGCGCAAGGGCAAGGTCATCACCTTGTTCGATGTCAAGCTGTCGCTAGAGTATTCAGGTTTGTAGACTTGTTATTCCAAGAAAGAAATGAGACTTGGCAGCTGAGACTGTTCAATAGGTAAGGCCCAGGACGAGGAGGTCAGTGGTTCCATCTCCATTCCCGAGGTGGCCCACGATACCGAGGAAGATGAGTACGTCGTACGTTCCCTTATAAAAATCCCATTTTCCGACGATTGTCCGGCAATCCTCTCGAAGGCCCTTTCCCACTAACGCGGAATCTTTTTGCGTCTTGTTAGTTTGAGATTGAGAACTATGCCGATGCCGCCTCCAAGGCTCCCGTAAAGGACCTCGTTCGCTCCAAGATTATCCCTCAGCTCCGCAAGGCATTGAACAAGCTCACTGATGCCCTGATCGCTGAGCACGCCAAGGACCTCCAGCACGCTCCAGGTGTCAACCCGTCCGCTGGCTTCACCCCGGCGACTGTCCACCCGCAAAGCAACAAGTCCGCTGCTCCCGCCGCCCCGACCACCACCTCTACCACCGGCAAGGTTGCCATCAACACCACCACCGTGACCGCGTCGGATGAATTCCGTACCACCGCCGAGGAGCTCTACAACACTTTCACTGACCCGCAGCGCATTGCTGCCTTCACCCGTGGGGCTCCTCGTCAATTCGAGGGCGCCCAGCCCAGCGGCAAGTTCGCCATCTTCGACGGCAACGTCACCGGCGAGTACGTCAAGCTCGACGCTCATAAGCAGATTGTTCAGAAGTGGCGCCTTGCCCAGTGGCCCGAGGGCCACTTCAGCACTCTCGAGATCAACCTCGACCAGAACGACGTTGATGGTGTCACCCAGCTCCGCGTGGAATGGTCCGGTGTGCCCATCGGCCAGGAGGACGTGACCAAGCAGAATTGGGAGCTGTACTACGTCCGCAGCATCAAGCAGACTTTCGGGTACGTAAACCCCCTTGACTCTTTCGCGTACTTTGACCAATGCGGGTCCTTTTTTTCTTCCAGATCCAATTCTTCCCATTCAATTTTGCGAAAATCCTTGCTGACGTTGCTCGTTCTCTTCTTCGCTATAGGTTTGGCACTATTCTCTGATCGATTCCCTGACTTCTTTACGGCCGCAGGATACACCTAGAAAAAAAAGAATCTGTATCTTCTGCGTTCCATTCTTTCCGCCTTGCAGCACACAATACAAAAGAGAAGAAACAAGAGTACACACAATAGAGCACGCCCTACCTTCCGGTGACATACATAAGTTACTAAATCAACTTTTTGCTCTCAGAAATGAGGGGGTTGAGTCTCTTGGTATGGGGTGTACGCCCATAGAAGATGCAGAAGAGTCGTTCGCCTTCATCTAATATCTGTCTCTTGGACTTTTTAAACTTTGGTGTCTGCCAGGTCCTTTTTCTGTTTCACCCTGATCTAGACTCAGTCTTAGTTCTGGACAGGAGATCCCAATGATGCTATGATAGAGGAAAGTGATATGTTCATGATAATGAAGTGAAGAATGTATTGATGTGTTCATCTTCTTGTGTCCCTGTAGCCTCGCCATCGTATCTTTTTGTGCTGTTCATTCACCCCGGCCAACCTGAAGTCCAATTTTCGAATTATCTCAGAACAAAACTGCACCCAAGTGCATGTAGTGGTGAGTCTCACAATTACTTGGAGACGCAAACTGCTTCGACGTTATTCCCGTCCAAGTCAAATATAAATGCCGAATAATAAGGTTGGCGGCTCATTTCCTTTCGAATTCCTGGGCCTCCATTATCCCGCCCTCCATGTTGCCTGTCGAGGCAATAAGCATCTGAGAGCCTATCAAAGGGAAGATGTATCGTCGGGGCCAATGACTTACAGTGCAAGACGATAGAATTCATCCACAGCTTCGGGAGCTAACCAGCATCGTTTAGGGCTCTTTTCTTCTCCATAGACGCACTTGGGATTACTTACTGGGGGCATCGAATGCGATATGGGTTGGCAAAGGCTCTTTATCTTCAGGTAGAGTCTGCAGCCAGAAATAGGGATAATCACTGCCATACCCGACAAGTTGGTCGTTCTTCACACGGATCATCTCTCTATATCCCAGTGGCTGAAGAATAGTGCGGTAAAAGGCCTGCAAGCTCTGGGATTTGGCCGCAGAAGCCCATACAAAGACGTGATTGATAGTCATTTTTGTCCTGAACTTGAGAGATGATTCAATATCTTGCTCGCAACTGGGAAGTATGTCGAATGGCCGCCGGCGGGGTTTTATGCTTGTTTCTTATCGATAAGCAACTCGGAACCCCGAGTTCCTGCGGCGCCTGAACAGCTCGACATTCTTCTATATCATTGGCACCCCGGATCGAGAATGGAGCAAACATACTTCGATGGCAGGCAGTGTCCGTCCTGCTCCGCCTGTTTCAGTCATCGTAAATTATTCGAAACGTTGGTCGGAGGCAAGGTGTTGACGGCATAGTAGGGTCGTCTCTTGTCCGCCACTTGAGAAATAACTGCAACCAATCTCAACAGCAGACACCGCGTCGCAAAGCTTGCCATCAATGTGCTGCAAACAAAACCAGGTGTAATCTGAAGCGTCCCAGTTGCTCTCGATGTTATTTGCGTAATATATCCTGCAGCTATCCCACGTTAGGGACAACGCCGTCGTCGGGAATGGAGGACGGGGATGCATGTGTCGACACCCAGACTCATACAAACCAACTCGACTCAAATGGGACTTTGATAACGCAGCTACAAGAACCACAGCCAACTCTGGACACCAACATTTTTGAATCGCTATTTTCTATTCCAACTAGCTTGGACCTCGCTGTATATTCTCCCCAACTCGCAGAGCCCGTCGAGGGCCTCCTGGGGCATTACCATGCAGACTATCCAAGCTCCCCAGAATTGATTCAACCCAGATCACATCCACCTCAACACCATAACTCTGAGATTTCGAGTCCACTCGCGAATCACAGCATGGACCTCATCTTCCGAGTTCTACGGACCTGGCCAAAAATGCTGGCCGAAGAATTCCAAGTCCCGCCTCTATTCCACCCAAGTCAGATCATACCAACGAAAAAGCTGCCGCAACCATTGGCGAACTGTATAACCCTAGCCAAGACATGGCATGGGCAGTGCGCCGGCTCAGAAGAACTGGTCCGCAAGACGATCATGCGGGAACTAGACAGCATTGTCGATCAAGTGAGTCACTACCTCCTCTTACTTTCAACCCCAATTGATAACTGGATCCCGAAATAGCCCGAGCAACTCGATGGTGTAGATCTCGTCGCTGTATTACAGGCTATAGTCATATACGCAATCATCCTTATCTCCCCGACAGCGAATTCCGAAGGCCCGCGCGCAGACCATAGCGAAGTCTTTCGCCAGATCGAGCGGCTAGTCTACCACGTCGTCCGCACTGGGCTTTTCCTCCCAGAAGAAAAGGATCAGGCGAGACTCAGCTGGGCTGCATGGATACACATCACATCCAAGCGCCGTGCAGTACTTGCTTTGTATCTTCTACATTGGGCGTACTCCGTTCTCTACCGAGTGCCCTGCTTTGATTGTAGGGACCTAGGGTTCATGCCAGCGCCAACAGCGAAGGTTCTTTGGCAGGCGCCGACAGAACAGGAATGGAAGAAAAGCTATCTTCAGTGGTTGGCGAGGTGGAATGGTCAGTTGTATCTGCAAGGGGAGATTGGTAATATTCGGCCGGGTCCTGTCATGGATGCCAGAGCGGAACGATGGCTGCAAGAGGCTGATGAGTTTGGATTTATTTTTATATCTATCGGTATGTGTTATCCTTGGTCAAATTTTCTTTGATGTGAGAGAGCTGATAGGTTGGAAGTGAATGCGACAGACTTTGATCCCCCGGCGCTCAAAGTCTTAGCGCATTAAGAGGATACTTTCGCAAAACTACCTTTACACTCCTTTGGTGGTCCATAGAATAGCTACTGTCTTTAAAGTTGAAGAGATTTTGTTATGGGTTCAACCAAAATCAATGACACGTTCCATCATGTTCTATATCATTCAATTTACTTTTTATTCTACTTTGCGTAGACAGTCTGCGATCATACTTACAGAGTGCGCTCCTCCATCTCAATACCATACTCCTCCTTCAGGGTCTTGATGAGAGGAGCACAGATATCAATGGTCATAGGAGCCAGGACACCAGTCTGGGTGATGGTGCCGTCGAGGACCTGCTTGACAGCAACACCGCACGGCACACCGACCAGCTTGGCCATGGCGCTGTAGCCGGTAGGGTTGCCGTACTCGCACAGGGTGGAGGTGCGGGTCTCCTTGGAGCCGTCCTTGTTCTCGATCTCGAACTTGTGCTGGAGCATGACCATGTCGCGCTCTCCAGCGCCGTACTGCATCTTCTGCTCGAGGGTGGCGCACAGGGTGTCAAGGGGGTTGCCACGGGGGATGATCTGCTCATCAGAGAAGAGACCGATCCAGCGCAGACCGGCGAGCAGACGGTCGCGCTCGTCGTTATTGGGGAAGTTGGTCTTGCTCTGCACGGCCCAGGCAAGGTCCTTGTCGGACGAGGACGTCGCACCCAGAACCTGGCGGGTGGCCTCCTTCCAGGAAATGGCGCTGTCGAAGACGGGGTTGGGCTCATCCTTCAGGAAGCCAATGTCGACCAAAACCTTGATCATCTCGGGGAAACCCTGGAAACGCAGGGTGCCTCGGAGGACAGTCTGGGCCTCGGGAATACCATAGCGCTCACGGAAGGGAGTGGAGTCACGGTTAGGGTAGCCAACGAAAGCGAAACCAGGGTAGATGAAGATGGGCTTGGCAGTGCTCATAAGATCGGGGCCAGCGATATCAACAATCTTGCCGGCATCATAGATCTTGGCGGCGTTGCGGAGGGCAAGCAGCACACCACGGCTAGACCAGGAGAACTTATAGCCCAGAGGGTTGTTGGAGCACTCGGGGGCAGGGAGACCACCGCAGTAAGAGATGAAACCGGTGACCTTGCCGCCAGCAGCGTGAACATCGTTAATCATCTTAACGGCGTACAGGTGGTCGATACCGGGGTCGAGACCGATCTCGTTCATGACAGTAATGCCAGCCTTCTTGCACTCCTCATCCAACTCCATCATGGCGGGTGAGACATAGCTGGTAGTCACGACATTTGTCTTGGTACGGATGGCAGACTTGATGACAGTTGCGTGGAACTATCGAGATAGGTGTTAGGAAAAAGACATTTCCTATGGGAGTGATCTGGCGCTTCTTGTCACGAAGGAGAAGGACTTACGGTGTATGGGATGAGAGAGATACCAACGTCGGCCTGGAAAAGGCAAGAGAAATTAGTGATTGGCTTTCAGATGAAAGAGGCGCACATGGGGAAGTGCGGACAAACCTCGGACATGGCCTTGTCGAGAGCGGCATCATCGGAAACATCAAGAGCAATTGCCTTGGTGTTCTCAATTCCAGAGCAGAGAGCCTCGGCGCTCTTCAAGGTACGGCAGGCTATTTGTTGTAACACCCCCCTATCAGCAACATGGCCCTCCTTGAACCGAAACTGTATCTCCTCATTGGTCTGGCGGGGTAGCTCGGGGCAGGGTCCAGGATGGACGTTGGATGGGTGTTCTGGGATTCAATGGCACGTACCGACAGTGACCTGAACACCGGCCTTGCTCAGAACATCAACGGTGGGCTTGGCGACTAGAGAAAAAGCATTGATTAGCCACTGGCAATCTTCATGTGTCTTTTTTCCTTCGAAAGGGATGGCCATGACGGGATTGCGGGGCGGCCACTCGATAGATGTGCCGATTTCAGGCAAAAGAGAACGTACCGAAGCCCGAGCCGAGGAGAAGAACCTTGGAACCAGCAACTTGCTTGACCATTTTGAACTCAATTGCAATATCAAAAGTTGGGGATGGAATGGAGAAGAGCAGAGGTCTACTTCCACTTCCCCGTGTGCGTTGAGTCACCCGTCACGTGGCCGGTATCGGCGCGGGGGTTTATTAAGCAGGTGGGCAGCTGCCCTAGTACTATTGGGGTCTCCGATAGATAGCATAGAAGTACGGACAGGAGAAAAGTCATGGAGACAGAGGATATGTATGAAATATGTAGAGCATAGATAAGTATAGACATCAGTCGGTAATGCTGCTAATGCTGTTGGTATATTAGAAAACAGAATGATCAGTTGGGGGTGTCGCCCCAAACTCCCAAACTCCGCTGGATGCTGAAAAAAAAATAAAGAAAAGAATCAAAGGTAAAAGAAAGGACAAAATATGACGGGAATGATAAACCTCTATACGGCTTTGAGCTTGCTCTGCCGCAGGACCATAGAATCCATGTCCTCTTCGCTGGATTCGGGACTGTCACCCGCGAAGTTCCCCTCGCCTTCAGGGTTCTGGCGAGACTTGGAAATACGTCGTTGCCAGCCAAGGAGAACAGGAATGAAACTCCATAGATCGAATTCTGGCCAAAGTACATCCAAGAACACAATTTCGGTATTCTCGTGACACTGCCAAAGCATGAAATCACTCAAACGCTCGACGCCAGAGGTTCGCACCAAGATATCCAGAGGCGGATTACCTTTGGTCAACATGTGGTCGGAAAGAGTCTGGCGGGAGATAGTTTCAGGCGACATGTAAACTGGGTCTCCACCATTTGTTGCTGTACTTTGGGCAGCACCCTTTAAGGGATGATGCCCATCGTGCTGGCCAAGGTGGAGAGTCGTCGATGACGAGAATGAAGAACCAGACTCATACACCTTGTTTGAATGATCATTTCGCAAGATCGATTCATCCTCTTGCGTCGAAGACTCCGCCGAGGTCGACTCCGAGTCGCTGTGGGTTTCATTTGTCTTGGATCCGAGGGTTTGGGTCCGAATATTATGCGCAATGTGAGATTCGGAGAAGGGGGTTCGGGCCGCACCATTTGCGGGATGGGCGGGTCGGAGAGGTTTGCTATAGTCCTCGACGGTATCGCGAATGGAGGTGGTAATCTCATCGCGAGAGGTATACGGGAAGCAGATGTTCAGGACGCGATCACCGTTGCGGCTAGTCATGTCGACTGCCTTGTTCACAGCCGCGAGCACGTCGGGTTTGAGTAGATCGAGTCGACCCAGGACGCGCACTTTCGCTCCATACCTATCTAGCAGGTCCCCGTGCTGTGCCATTTGCGACAACTTCACCTTGGCCATATCCATCAGCGCGTCGACCTCGAATTTAGACCGTTTGAAATTCTCGATGCTGAACGCGTAAATGGTGACCACTTTCACACCGCTCTTGTAGCAGACTTCTAGGATCTACATCAAAAAGTCAGTTCCGAGACAATTAGACCAGCTCCGTGAGGTGCTGCGGATAGCAGCAAGCTTGGCCGGACGAGCCGGATAGACAAGGCATACCCTGGCAAGTGCTTCGAATCCCAGATTATGACCCTCTACCGTCTCGATTCCATGCGACCGTGCGAATCGTCGGTTTCCGTCCATCACGAAGGCAACATGTTGGGGGACCGGGCCCTGGCGAAGTGCGCCGATGAGCAGCTCTTTGAGATTCGTGATGGCAAACTCGATCGGCGGCGAAGCGAGGAACCAATTCCGGAGGCGCGACAAATGCATTGAGCTCGCCATGGTGAAATCCACGCAGCGCGAAGCTCATGCAAAGGAAGATGCGAGTTTAGAGAAGGGAGTGGCGAGGGTAAAAGAAGGTCGAAAGTGCGCGGGCAGGGAAGGAGAGGGTTTGGGTTGGACTGGCTGGGGCGACAAGGCCGGTTCGTAGACGGGCGACGTGGTCAGTTATGCGGACTTGGACCGCTTCTTCTAGCAAGTGCAAAACCTCAACGGAATTCTGACGGTAGTGAATGGGAACAAGGTCGAAATAGGAAAAAGAAAGGGTCAAGGAATAGAGGCGATGCTGCCAGGCTACACTATTCTCATGCAACTCGCGTTTTTGCTTTTAATTTTACTCCGGACGCCGAGTAACGGGTGAGTGGCGAGGCTGCGGGCAAGCGTCCGTGGCCGCCAACTTCCAACTACGCAACGGCCTCGACAATTGGCTGGAGGCCCCGCCGGCACCGAGATAGGCCATCAGGAATTATGGCGATAGGACGAGCTCTTTTTGCCTTTCGGTTTCACGTTCACCAAAATGCCGCTTGCCTCGGCGTTGTGTCTACCAAGCTCCGGGTTCAATTCTGGGGTAAACTCAAGGGATCCATGGCGGGTCAAAACAAGGGAAAACACATGGGATATCTTGCATCGGGGTTATATAAAAGCAGCAAATAGATACAAAAGCCCTCGACACGCCGGCCACGTCGGGCGGTCCGTCCTTATCATAGCAGGTCATAGATCCTTCCGCGACTCGTCGCCCGCACTGGATGGTGTTCCCGGGCCCGAGCTGGCCATATCCCAACTACCATCTTCACTGCGGCGACGTCTTCGTTCACCACGTTCTCGCATGGCATCCCGAATGCGGGAACTGACATCTTCGAGCGGATCCTTCTGGGTGGTGAGAGGGCTCAACGGCTTGAGCCCGTGACGCGAACCCGGACGAGGGCCCGTCGAGCTGCTACGACTGTGATCCCGGCTAGGAGGTCGGGTCGAGAAGAAGCCAATGTTGGCCAGGTTGTGGAACGATTCATTTCGAGGAAGGGGCTCTGCAGAAGTCGAGCCTTCGCCCAAATCGCGAGCCCGAGCCCGTTTGATCTCCTGCGTTTCGCCTTCAGCAGCGCCTTCGCCATGACCAACCTCTCGGAACGGGTCAGTAACAATCCGGGCTGCGTCAAAGTCGGGGAACAGCTCGGGTCCCATGGTGTTTATGGCATCGGTTACTTGCTGCGCAAGCATCGCACGCTTCTCTCGAAGTTTCACCAATGAGTTGGCGGAGGACGGATTCAAGGAAAGAACCAACGGCCGGAGTGACTTGACGATGTCCATACCCACCTCGCCGATGCGGAGAGCCGCAAATGTAATGGTAGGGAACAACACGACGCCAATCATCACAATCGTCCAGAGTGGCACCCAGTCCGGAACGTAGCCTTGAATTCGATTCCGATACGTCCAGTAGGTGAACGTCGCTGTGTAAGAGGCATAAACGGCAGGGGCAAATGCAAGGGCGATAAGAAGCTTCCAAGTGGCCATCACATCGCGACCCTGGAGCTTGACGGATGAGGCAGCCAACGCCTCTTTGGACTTTTTGATCGACAAATATTTCGTCGCGACAAAAACAGGCGTAAAGAGAAGGAGTCCAGGCAAGGTTCCAATAGTGAGAAGGGCGAGCTTTCCCAATCGGTAAATCAACGTAGCAATTACTTGCAAAATAGAAAATTTGGCATAGGCCACTTGGTGGTCTCGGATGCCCAGGATTCGTAGTTGTTTGTTGTAACTCACAATCGAGTTCCGAAGATTCACGATTCGTGGATCGTCCTTGAAATGCGCATATCCTTTCACAAGCCGACGGTTGAGCTCCACGACCATCGGAAGCGGGAGTTTCTTGCCTTTGGTGTTGTACAGGCGACGGGCAGCTTGGATGACCTATGATTTGTTAGACCATGGCTGGGAAAAAGAGACAGAGGAAGTATCAAGCGGCCTTACCATGAGTGTCTCATAGTCGGGGCTGGTAACCGTGACGGCCACCAGGCTTTGGTAGATAATGTCCAGTAGGGCACCAACGGATTCACGCCGTTCGCCTTGCTTGAATTGTTCCACCAACTCCTTCGGGACTTCAATCGGATTACCAAATTCGATCACGGCACGGGAACGGAATTTATGGGCATGGAAGTAGTTCATGCCACACGGCACAATCTTCAAACCACAGTCCGGATTGTCCGCCAAGGTACCAAGGGCCATCAAAGCCACACCAGCTAAAAGTAGTAAAAAAAGCCAAGAGGTCAGCCAGAATCAAATAGAAAAAGAGAAAGATAGATCGCCCTGTATATTACCTACCTTTGAGAGGAAGGAGGGAAGGCCGGTCATGACTACCGCCCTCCGGAAAGATGCCGACGCAGCCACCAGTATTCAATCTTGCGAAAACCGCCTCGTAGACTGCAGTTTGGTCCACATGTGGCGCGACCTTGAACTTGGTGCCCTTGAATTCTGAATCCTGGTCCGCTGCATCGCCCGTGAATTTGCCTTCCTCATCGATGTCCTTTCTTCCCGTCAGCTGGGACAAAGCATCTCGGTGTTTGAAGGGTTTCTTGAGAACCAGCTCCTCCGGGCCGCGAATTTCCGCAATGGCCGTACTGTGTGAGGTTCCATTGATTGTTGGAAGAGCGATCGTCCCCTCCGGCTCGAAGCTTGGCCCCTCAAAATTGGTCCCCACGCCGCGCAGCAGGGTAGGCTCGTTGACAGGGTCGGGCAGATACACAGTCCCCGTGCCCGGCTTCAAGTTGTCCATGGCACGCGCCACGGGCAATGTTCCAATGCCCCTTGCCAGTAAACCGATGAACTTGCGACGGAAGGACTTCTCCGCGATGAGCCATGAGATGCGACGGTGGGCTTCGCTCCGGATCACGCGCATGAGAACGAGGGAATCGACAAACTGTGCGGGGAGACGCGGGTTAGCACTAGGTCGTGGATGGGGGTTGGCCGACCACTTTACCTGGTTCGCATGTGGCGCAGCCACGATAATGATCGGTCCTCGTCGAGGAATCTTCCAGGAGCCCCGCGGGTGCACCTCGCGGAAGAAGAGATCAATCAACACCGAGAACGTCCAGAGGACAAGATCATACAACCACCCGATGAGGGGTGGGATGTACGGCGCTTTCTTCGCCATGGTGCGCGATTGAAGCCTGGGATCGATGGTCGCAGAGGCTCCAGTCGGCGCGTGTGGTGAGGGAAGATTAACGTCGCAGAGTTGACATGAAGCGTTGCGGCCCGTTCAGAATAATAGCCGCGAGAGCTTTGACCCTAGTGGATCCGACGTTGGCCCAGCTTGCTTTTTTTTCCTTTCCCCACAAAACAAAATCTTGGAGGTTGGAGGAGCAGTTGTACACAGAAAATCCTTGGGATGAGAAAGATTGAAGGATTATGGAAAGGCCAAGTACTGAAGAGAAGATGCCAAAGCAGAGAATACAAAGGAGGGGGGTCGGAGTCGAGTGAGTCGAGGTCAAATCCGGAAAGTTTGAAGACCGCTTTAGCGCGCTTTCGCCGGACGCTTCTAGAACCCTAGCTAGAGACGCCGTTTGGACATTTTCGGCTGCTTCATTGGAAGGTGATAGTGTGTGAAGCTCCGTGCGAGTATCCCAACAACTGTTGCTTTGGGCGAGGCCCCTATTCACCAATATGGTCACCGATGGGGTTGGGGAGCCTAGTGCAAGGTCCTGCTCACGGAGACAAATCGTATATAGAGCTTACCAGGCATTCCTCTCGTCCAATTTAAAAGTGTCGAGATCAGACCTGATCTAGGCAACTACCCAGTATGTATAGAGAGAGATATCCAAGTCACCAGTGAGCATCATCGCCTCAGGGATGTCCCTTGACATAAAGCCAACCAGAATAAATAGGAAGAGACGGAGAATACCAAAAGTATAAAAAAAGAGTTGCAAAAGACAGCAAAACGCCGGCAATAGGTCTAAGGTCCCTGTGTATTCACCTGCACCTTGTGTTGTAGGTCTTTCGGACTGAAAATGGTAGATACAGATGGATTGTATACTATCCCCAAGCCGCAAACATACATTGCTACTCTTTCCTTCCGACCGAGGTATCGACTCCTAAAATCTTTGAGGTTCTTCTTCTCCACGGCTTTTGAAAGCATTGCCCAACAGATCTTACCTCCAGGGCCTGCAGAACTCTGTTGGGGAGGGGAAGATCGCCCTTGGTTTGGTCTCTCGCTTGGATGCATGGGCGGGGATCCTGGGGGCGATACGGGGCCAGACCTGCCCAGATGGCCGGGACCAAAGCTCTTTGCGTCTGGGACTTTTTTTTAAAATTTTATTTTTTGACGAGGCCATGTGGAATTGCTATGACGACGCAAATGATTCGGTCTCAGGCCTCAAACGGCCAAACGGAGTGGATAAACGGGCAACCCCTGGAACCCGGCCAGGCCCAAGTCGCTGTAAAGTTGTTAACTCTGCAGGTCTTCCCCGCTTGCCCCGCAACTTCGATCTTTCTTCCCTTCCGAATCCTTGACCACGAAGCCTGGGTTTCAGACCCTGAGCCCTTGGGCCCTGACTTCCCTGATCTCTGACCCCAGACCTTGTTCGATCGATCCCGATACTGGCATCTCTTTGTCCGACCTTGTAATAGGTCCCACCCCCGGCCCGGATCTGTTGGCTACAGCTTGATGACGGTCAGATCTCACCATGTCTATCAAGTACGTGTTCTGTCCCTTCAGAGAGCGAGGATCTAGGGGAAACGACTTCGAGAGGTCGGTTCAATAGACTGACCGTCCCCGTCGGTAGCTGGGTGATGCTTCATGACCAGGAGGGCTTCGTGCGCCTTCCCAACGAACGCCTCATCTACTCATCACCTCCCCGCACTAGCCTCGCTCTGACGCCGCCACCATCATACAAGGGCCAAGAAGCTTTATCGGTCCAGAGCAGCGCAGGCTGTATTCATCTCACCAACCAACGGGTATGGTCCGTTTTCTTTTCCAGCGCCGGGGTTTCGCTAACAGTGTCGCAGATTGTCTATCTCCCCGCCCAATCATCCAAGGACTTCCAATCCTTTTCCTCCCCTCTACTCAATGTCCACGATTCCCACGTTTCCGCTCCGTTCTTTGGTCCCAACGTATGGACCGCCCTGGTACAACCCGTGTCGGGAGGGGGTATCTCCCCATCCCTGCCTGCCGTGCAAGTCAAAGTCACCTTCAAAGAGGGCGGCGCATTTGATTTCCATACAAATTTCGAGCGTATCAAGGAACGTTTGGAACAGGCCGTGGAAGTCATGAGCGACGGAGCACGAGGCACGCGAGGCGTGGACCTCTCGGCCGTGCATCTCGAGGAGCTACCTGCATACGAGGCGCATGGGAATACCAGTCAACCTCTTCCCCCCAGCAACGCACCGGTACCACCAACACATAACCGACGAGTCTCCGAGGCTGGTCCCGAGCCAGTGGAGCCTCCGCCATGCTATGAAGAGGTCCAGTCCCAGAGCGTAGCTCAAGAACTGGAAGCCAGATTACGACGGGCCAGCTGAATGGCATGAATGGTCTGAATGAGAAGAAGCGGCGGATGGAAGCCGGAATACTTTGAGAGCCGTTTCAGATAGCTTTTTAGTTCCGAGGTTGGGAGCCAGAGGAAACCGATGACATGTATATTATGAACTTCCTACTTTGTTAGTTACCTAAAGCGGTTATCCCCCGAGACTTACCATAGAGAGGCCGCATCGGAACTGCGCAAGCCGCGCCTCAACTCATTCTGGGATTTCTGTAGCATGCAAAACAATATCCAGACATTCAGCAACCCTTTCAGTGGCAATTTCACCCTTCTATCTCTATTTCTAGCTGTGCTTGGGGCCGTCCTGGCCTCTTCGTCGCAGCCGTCAGGATGCCGTTGCGGTCGCCCGACCGACTGGCCAATCACGTGCGGCACAATTGAGCACTCAGCGGCCGGGGCGTCCCGATTTTCCAGTCCGAGCTTGGAAAACCACATCTTCGACTCAACCGCAACCCCTACCTTCAAACCCCAATCCACCCCACATTTCCAACGACCTCCGGTCATTGCTCCCAATTGACAGTCGCAATGGGTCTCGCCGACTTTTTCACTGACGTTGTCTCCTCCCTGGGCTTCACCGAGGCCCAGGCTGAGGCTCCCGCCGCCGACGTTGAGACCACCACCCCCCAGGACGCCGAGCCTGCCGAGAAGACTGAGGAGACCGCTGAGGAGACCACTGAGACCGAGTCTGCCGAGGACACCCCTGAGGAGTCCTCTGAGGAGGCTTCTGAGGAAGAGGAGACCGCCGAGGAGGAGGAAGAGGAGGAGGAGGAGGAAGAAGAGGAGGAGGAGCCTGAAGACATCAAGCCTAAGCTTGAGGAGGGTAAGTTGATTCTCGCGTCATTGTAATTTCAACATGCCCTTGCCTTGCCCTTGCCATATTCAAGATATTCCAACGTTCGGCTTGAAATGGATGAGTGGTTTCGCAACAAACCGCCCCCGATTCGTGAGATCCACGCCCGCGTCATACAGAGTCCAATGGCATCGGAAACGTCTTCAATTATCCAGTTTCTCAATCCCATATGAGTGACTAACTTTTTATTCATCCAGAGTGTGCCCACTCCGCCCAGTGCGCCCCCTACAAGCACCACTTTGACGAGTGCGTCGAGCGTGTCACCCGCCAGGAGGAGGATGAGGACTACAAGGGTGCCAAGGAGGACTGCGTTGAGGAGTGTAAGTTATTACCACTGGGATGCAATCAACCGCCTCTCTACTCCAATGATTAGTCTTGTTCAAGCAACTAATTCAACAATCATTTAGTCTTCCACCTCACTCACTGTGCCACTGCCTGCGCTGCCCCCAAGCTCTGGCGTGAGCTCAAGTAAACGGATTCTTCTCTCCTGGACTCTCTTTGGTGCGCTTGTCTCCGCGTGCTTACATCGGCGCCTCAAATTTTCTTCGATATAAGCCACTGCGAAGGCTTGCACACCTCGAGAACATGGATTCCGTTTTATTGACGACTGTTCGACTCCCCTCCCTCTCAAACCCACAACAGTCTGCCGTCCTACGTCCTTGATTTTGAAAACGCAGCCGGGGAGCCTCAAAGAGCTCGATTCTCCCATTCTGGCTACTCATTGGCTTTGGGGCTTGTTCCCCTCCTGTGTTTACATATGGTGTTTTCAAGGCAGGGAGTTGAGGAAGTGAAGGAAAGAATAATAGACCTGCCTCTCTCTTGCCTTGCATGTACAGATAGCTGGTCTTCCGCCTATTCGAACTGTGCTTTTATTGTTAGTCTTTTTTTTCAAGACGAATCTCATCTGTTGAATATGGAGATTTGGGGTTTGCAATCCCGGTATCGTGCTCGCTTTCTTCTTAAGTGGGTTTGAATCGTAAATAAATCTTGAATTATAAGATAGCCACTCAAATGGTTCCAAAGGAATTGTTTACCCTTCTAGATTACATGTTAAGTCATTGCATTTGTCAAGCATTATCGAAACAAAGAGCAAATTCAGGGCTACCATTAATACGAGAACAGTACACTCCCTTGCTGCGTCGGATGAAAAGTAGTTCCGGAACAAAATACATTGCCTTATTGAATTATGCGCCTCCGAATTCCCAAATCAACTAGTCAGAATACTTTCAGGCGGCAGCCAGCCAGCCACAATCCCGTCTGACTGGCTCCTCAAAAATTCTCTTCTCCTCCATCAACCCGATCACAATATTTATACCGTCATTATGATGATCAAAAATTGGTCGGAGATTCCAGCAGAAGAAACCATATACCGCACTTGAAGGGGAAAAAAAATTTCAAGAAAAACTGGCGCTAACATGCATGACAGGAACAACAGGAGGGGGTATAAACAAAGTCGATGACCAAGGGAGGAGGGGGCAACAGAATCAAGTCCCCCTACTTATGCTGGATGTCGAAAAAAGAAGAAATAAAAAAGACATAATGAAACCGTCTACCAGCGGCAGAATTGCACGAATGTACGATGATTTAGACGACACACGAGAGGTCCACAGATGTGAGATGCGGCTGTCTAGAAGTTGATACAGACTGCCGGGACTTGGCGATGCGGAAATTGTCTCACACCCCGGCGCCAGCCATCTTAATCGGATTCTCCATGATGATTTTTGAAGGCACCTGCGAGATATCGTCGTTAGGGACGGTGTCGGGATGCGCTGGCAGACTGGTGCCCGGGGTATCCAGTTCGACGCCGCGGTCAACCTCCAGGCGGCGGCGCTTGACCGTCCTCCCGAACAAACCGATGGACAACGGGAATGGAGCTGCGACGGCAGTAAGGACGGCAGAGAAGATGAGCGCGTTGCGCATGTTAGAGGGTGGGCTGGCGGTTGGGCCGGCCTTGAGCGTGTCTTGGATAAGGATGAAGCAGGCGCCGAGCAGCTGACCGCCTGTCCAGCAGATGGTGCTACCAATCTCTGGTGAGAACGGATACGTTATTTCGACGAGGTACTCCAGGACAATGGGTAGGAGGGCGAAAGAGGAGGCGCCCGTGAGCGCCATGACGACGTACGTCGGGGCGATGCCAGCCGAGCTGGCAGGGGCGAAGATCAGCCCGATGTACGAGGCGACGACGATGGGGACTATGACGCGGATCGAGCCCAGGTAATGCTTCCATCGGTCGGTGATCGGCGACGTTACGGCGGCAACAACCAGACCGACGACAATGAGGATGGCGCCGGCGATACCGGCATCAGTCTCGGAAAAATTGTATGGGCTAAGGATCTGGTTGAGCAGCGACGAGACGCTGTTGAAAAACCCCACATAGACGGCGAATGGGATCAAAATCAGCCAGAATTCGAGTGTGCCCAGCAATTGCTTCGTGGCTGGGATGAGCGGGGTGCGGGGGATCGAGGACGAGGCGCTGGCGGGTGTGGGGGGCGCCGCGGGGAGGAAGAAGGATGGGAGTGCAGCGACGGACGACTAAAGGACATCGCCATGAAATCTTTCGCATCAGCATTTCTGACATTTCTCATTCCCACTGCGGACCCGAAGGAACCGTGGCCGAGGAGGCAGGGACCAAGACGGGACTAAGAAAAGAGAGAGGTTACTCACAATGATGGAGATATACAGGACCATATTGGGAATATCGGACGGCTTGGTGGCCCACTCCGCGTCCACCAACTGCCCCAGGGCTGCTCCCAGCGGGTTGGCCAAACTGGCCAGGGCTGTTGCACTGGTGCGACCCTTATCGGAGAACCACAAGTCGCTATAGCGTGTCGGCGTGCACAAGCAGAAGGGCTGCCCAAGACCGATCAGGATCTGGCCGAACATGGCGAGCCCGAAGATACCACCGTTGGCCTTCGTCCCAGCATAGCGCAACCAATTTCCGACAAGCAGGAGGGCCGCAGTGGTGACGATGGCAGGCTTGGGACCACCTCTGTTGAGTGTCCAGATAGTAAATCTATGGCCGCACGAAGAGTCAGCCAGGTGAAGCGTGCATGGTTTCACTTTTGATAAATTCGAGAGTGTCGCTTGCTGCGATATATCGACTTCTATGGCATGGTACTTACGGGCTGGCCACGCAAAAGGCGAACATGTACCCTGTGCTCATCCAATTGATGGCGCTTTCGGAGACTTGGAAGTACTCCGCGGAGGTGGTGGAGATGGATGAGAAGGTCAACCACTGGTTCGGTCAGTAGGAACGCATGACAGATTGTAGGTATGAGAGTAACAGGCGGGAGTTGACACATACATCCCAACTGACAACAATGTTCAAGAGCACGAGCTGGGCGAGACCCCAGAAACGTCGCTTGTAGACCTTGTATGCAGGTCGCATGACAGACGCCTCGTCCGTCTTGGCCGCCATCAAGACGTCCAGCCGCTACCCTGCTCGTAAACTGCAAATCGCAAGTCGCAAATCGCGAATATAGCGGGCGAAGATTATCGAATAATGAGTCGTGAACAACTGAAGACCGACTCGGAGGGAGAGGAATGGAAAAAACCGCGGGAAAGAGGAGGAGGGAGAGAGATACAAGATAGACCGTGAGGGGAGGGTGGAGCCCCGTTGACAAGGTCCAGAAGTTAAAAGCCAAAAGCCCGTGCAGTTCAATCTATTTTAACCTCCTTTCATGCTGTTCGAGCGGACCTTGGTTGAACTCCGTCCCCAAACCAGCGGGGAAGTCCATCCGCAGCGTAGGATTTCCCGAGGCTCAACGGCCTTCGATGCAACCCTATTGACTGCTCCTCAACCGGAGAGCTCCTAACCTCCCCAACCCGAGACTATAAAGAGACGAGCTTCTCTTGCATCGCTTCATTCTCGCCGACTCCTCGGCCGTGGCATGTGCTCCGGCCTCGCTTAGCCCGTGTACGGGGTCGGATTATTTGGTGGCGTATCGGGGCGGGTGGTGATTCGTGTACACATTTCTTTTGGGCTCTTAGTCTTTCACTCGTCGAAAGTCGCTAGTCTTTGTTTTATCTTTTATCTCTGTCGTTGGCGTCTTTCTCATCGTTCCGAGGGAGGGTTGGGATTGAGATCCTGCCTTTCTACGTCATCGCTGATCCGGCCGAGGATGGAAGTATACGGAGAATGCCAGATGCGGAGAACTACGAAGGACAGTGACTTACCCGAGCCCAAAATTAAAAGCATAGCAGGCGAGTCAGGCAGACAGAAATATATGACATGTCCAAGGGCCCTCGACTCATTCGAGATATTCAATCCAATTTAGTGCGATCTATCTCTTTCAGTCCTCACTAAAATGGCTCGCTAATGCTCCGATGATCGTCCGGCGCATACTGGATAGATCGGAATATGTACGCCGTAGCCGCAAACGCATTTTAAGTTTCTGATTCATGATTTTATTGAGATTCCATTGAGTGATTCGTTCCAGTTCGAGTCTTTCTGGCCGATTCGTCTGGTCAACCGGATCCAATACTGGCCCCCATGATATCAGATCGTCGGGGAACACGGGATGCACTTCAAATCTGGTGTGGCTGACTTCCTCAGCCTCCGCGCCGATCAACTTTCTTCTTCTCCTTTTCTCCCCGCCACTCTTTTTTTGCGTTTCCCCCTCGTCCTCCCTTTCAGCCTCCGTCATTATCGGGCTTGCCTCTCCTTTCTATTAGACCGAATCTACGACGTCCGTCCATTTCCCCTGAACCGCCCTTTGTGCGCATGATGTGTGGCGGCTGTGCCTGAACTGCCATCTGAGAATCCCATACCTCAAATCGAATCCACCCTCCGGGATAGAGAGGCATTCTTCACCCCTCACACACACACACACACACACAGAGAGAGAGAGAAGAAGAAAAGAAAGCGTCCACCATGAGCCATAGTGTCCGGTCCAGCCAATCGTCCTACGGTGACCCCCGCTACCTGTCCGCCGCGACAGTGTCCGACGTTCATGCACCCTTAGCCAAAAGCCTCGTCGACGGATATCGCGATGCGGTCAATCCCCAATATGAAGACCGGTCGCAGTACAATCCGGTAAGGGAGGAATCTAAATAGAGACAACCCATGGATCGAGGATCGGGAGCGAGAAAGGGGAGAACGCCGACGCAACCATGGATTGTGCTAACCATGTCTGTATGGGACGCAGTTAAACCCAGCTCACCCGCGAAGCTCAGCCCTCCTGAACACCAGCGACCCCGTCATGATGTACCTGTTGACCGAGACCGCTATGGGCGACAGCACCAACTTCCCGATCCTCTCGTTCGAGGAGGTCGAGGACCTCAAGAAGGAGCGCAGCCTCCTGACTACCCGCGTCGAAGGTACTAAGCGGAAACTTGCGCTGGAGACAAAACTCCGCGACGCTGCCCAATCCATCGGCCGTCTCTACAGCCCACCGAGTCCCCGGAATAGCAACGAGTACGGCGCCAATGGAACCGCCAAGTCACATCGCCGAAGCCGCAGCATCTTCGGTCGCAGTGGCAATGGCACCACCGAGGTCCTCGACAAAAGCGACTCGGAGTTGGCTATGAGCCAGCGGAAATGTGAGGACTTGGCGCAGGAACTGTGGAAGCTTGAACGCAGGGCTCAGCAAATCAACCAGCGACTCCTTGAACACACCGCCGGAGTCTTGCAGATGACCCATAAGGGCTTGAGGAAGGCCCCGCGAAACCCGAATGAATCGAGCGGCTTGGATGATGGCCACGACTTTGACGACCGCAGCCTCTACCGCACAACGGAACATCTCGATAACTATGGCATGCACGGGAAGATAGAGATGAATGGCCCCCCCGCGGCAGTGGACGCCGAATCCCAGAAGAGACTGGAGGATCTGAGTGAGCGCATGTGCAACATGATGATCCAGGCTCATCCGGACGAATTCGTTGATCCACCACCACAACCCGGCGGGCCTGCCTCGACCATCGGGGCTCACATCGCCTATCTAGAGAGTGGCCTCCAGTCCCTCTCGGCGCTCAAGAGGGTGGTGGACACCAGTGCTAATCCTGCTCCCGCCGCAGAAGACGAAGGCGCGGCAAAACAGCAACTGACCTATGTCAACAACCAAGTTCAGAGCATTGTGGACCGCTTCGGCTTAACGCGATCCCCAACCCTCCCCCCGCCTCCTACCGCCTCCGATGGAGAAGGCCTCGAAGAGCAAATCGCCTATCTCCAAGCTGGTGTGGACGGCTTGGCCAGCCGCGTGGATGGATTGCTCGAGCAGAAGAGCATCCTCACCACTCAAATCCAGCAACAACGTGAATTGAACTCCAAATCAGATGCCGAGCGTGATGCCCACATTGCCGATCTCACTGAACAACTGGCCCATGCGCGCAGGGATCTCGACGTCTCTGAACGGGAGGCCAAAGCCTCTCGGGATGAACTGGCGGTGTTGACTGAGCAACTGGAGGCCATGCGCCATGATGATTCGTCACAAGAGGAAGCCAAGGCCGCCTTGATCCAGACAGAGGGTGAGGTCGCTCGTTTGCAGAGTGTCATCGAATCTTTGCATGAAGAGGCCGATGTGCGCGCAGAGGAAGTCCGGGAAGCGCATGACCGTGCTGAGCATGCAGAGCTAGAGATCAAGGCAGCTCTTGAGCGCACTGCACAGATAGAGCTAGAGATCCTGGCGGCTCATGAGCGTGCGGAACATGCCGAAGCAGATACTCGAGCCGCCCATGAACGCGCAGCGCAGGCAGAGTTTGAAATTCAAGCGGCTCATGACCGCGCAGAACATGCAGAGTCTGAGATCAATGCCGTCCGCGATCGCGTGGAGCAAGAAGTTCAAGAGGCCCGGGGCCGTTCAGAACAGGAACTGGCCCAGCTCGAGGCCAATATCCAGCAGGTTCGCTACGAATCTGACGAGCGGGTGAAGGAAGCTCTCGACCAGCGTGCCCAGGCCGAGGAAAATTCAACTCGCCTGCAGAATGAAATGACCGAGTTGGAGGGCGAAGTCGTGCGCATCACTACCGAGCTTACTATGGTCAAAGCAGAACTCGATGGTGCCTACGGTACCCGAGCTCAGCGGGCCGCTGAGGTCGCCGCAAACCCGGAGATTCAGAAGGAGATTGATAATCTGAACACACGCAATATTGAGTTGACTGAGGAGCTCGCAGCGCTGAAGAGCCAGCAAGGTGGTGGCGGTGCTCAGCAACGGGCCGACACTCTCGAGAGGGAACTCCGGGAGACCATTGACGACTATGAGGCTATGACGAAGGCCAGCATTGAGTTTGAGAAGGAGCGTGAGCGGTTCGAAGGTGTGATTGATAGCATGCGCGATCGCTGCGAGCAACTGGAGCAGCAGCTCAGCGAAGAACGTATCAACTGGATGAACCTCAACAGCCCGGGATCTGTGGGCCGCGACGGTACATCGGAAACCACGTCCACCATGGTGCTCAAAAACGAATTCAAGAAGATGATGCGCGACACTCGCAACGAAAACATGAAGATCCTCAGGGTCAGTCCTTTATCGTTCCCGGTCACATGAATGCAAACTAACATTATAACAATTTTAGGCCGAGCAAGAGGAGCGTCGCAGGATCGAGGGATTGTTACGAGCCCTAAGAAAGGAGCATGCCCAAGTCACCGGAAAACCCATGCCCAGTCCCGTGGGTACGCCCTTATGATGATGACATTATTTATTGTTTCTCGGATTCGCTTGCATTTTGATGGACTTGTACATATAGCCTACTTGTGTTGTATATTAATTGCATGAGGGCACTCTCGCGGCAAGCGCGATGATGCTGTTTCCTCGAAGCCGCAAATACTTTTGAGCATGGCAAAATGCTTCGTTCAATGGCCACATCTTACTCCTTACGAACATACACACTCACTCTCCGTCTTGCTGTCTCCTCACTATTGTTCTCACTTATGTTTCAACGACAAAACCGAGGGGCAGGCGACGCCCGGCCGGCTCAGCCATTCAAGCGCAGATTTGCCTCCCAATCACCTTCGTGCGACAATCCTGATTCGGAATCCGTGTATAGTGACGAAAGAGAGATTTTCAATGCGATCGTTGTACCCTCCGCGAGCAGAGACTCTCGCGGATATGAGACAGCCTACCAGATGGGTCCTATCATGGAAGAGGGCCTCGCTGCAAACATTGCTATGTTCATTCCTACTAAATCCGCCGACGGCAGCCCTTCGCCAACGACACATCGACGAGGAAAGAGAGAAGGTCGAAAATTAGACACGGTCTGGTGGCGGAGCCATATTCTGTCTGACCAGTCGTCGGACCGCCCACGGCAGGTGTCATCAAGTCCTCTGAATGAGACTGCATATACAGCAGATACTTCGCAGCCGCAACATCGCAAGGCTACTTCACTTGATGCCCTTGATGGTAACAGCTCTCCATTAACCTGGCCGGGAAAGCCGGGGCCAGCAGTGCTACCTAATCAGCCCCGATATCCACCACCAGAAAGGATGCCCACGCCTCCAGGGCTTCCCTCATTCAACACCCCAGAGGCTGTATACTGTTCAGCTCAATTCCTTTCCGGGCGGAGCCCTGGACAGCCCTCATCAACGCGCTTCTATCAGCGGCACGCTGCTGCTAACGGCGAGCGGCCCACCTCATATGGTGACACTTTCCGGCGATTCCTTGGATTATCGTCATCGCCTGATCCCCGAGTCTCCACAGTTGGTATTGGACGAGCTGATGATGGGACTATAGTTCAGGGCCGGTTCCCATATCGGCAAAGTGGACACAATATGAACCCAGCTCGGCAGCTACAGGATCATCCATTCCATGGCAGCAACCTTCCAACTGCAGACACCGTACCTGAGGATGTTTCTGAAGCCGCAAGCTCCAAAGACAGCGGCTTTCAGCTGCGACGCCGCGCTCGAAATTATGTCCCTCCGAGTATCGGACGGCTCTGGCCCTTTCCAGACGGACATCTATCGTCGACGCCGAACGAGGCTCCCCCAACCCGTCCACGCGCCCCAGCTAGGGCCTGTTCTTTCTTGGGCATGCCGCGAAGCTCAACTCGTCAAGGAGAGTTCACCGGCGGTAGTAATTCGAGACCAGAGCAACTTTCCAGTCACGTCACGAGCACAAGAGGAAACCACGAGCCCTCCCATCATTCACAACTTCAAGCCGTCCAAGCCATTGATGACGAGTCCGTCGATGACCTCCCAAGCCAAGGCATTCACTCACTCTCCGACATACTTGCTTGGTTGCCCGTGCAGATGTATGTCTGCTGTCTCACAAGCTCTTGCCCTTTCCATTCTATTTCCGAGGACCCAGATTCCCTGGAAGCAGTCACCTCTAGAGACACGTATATCACGGCCCCCAGCCGGCCTTTGAGTTCAGACTCTCAGACAGCATCTAGCTGGACAGATCCCAGTCATTCTGGGCAATCCCAACTCTCGTCATGGCTGGACGCCATTCTCAGTCGGATCTCATCGTATACCTCCTCCCAATGGTCCAGTTCCGTCAGCCAGCAGAATACATGATGCAGAGATGGCTTTATTTGCCAAGGGCGGTCTGCTTCGCAGTGTCATGGGTTGGGACTAGGCACTGTTTATTATTACGCATTTTAAATTTCTGTATGAACCCGGGCGGGGAGGCGTGGTTGCTAGGCCGCGTGCGGATGGCTGCTGTATAAAGAAAAAAACCCTATCTAAAATCCTCCCTTTCGCCTCCCGGAGGGTGGGAGGCGGAAACCCTGTCAAAATCAACATCCGTGTCCATTCCTTCTAAAAAAACAAGTGTTCTATGACCTCACACCTGTCGCTAGAGCATAGATGAGAAACGGTCAGGATAGACTACTAGTAGATGCACTCTCAGTAAAAGAAAATAAGCGACTTAGAAAAGCCGATAGTATTTGCTTATGTGAACGCTATGCCGGGATGCGAAGAGAACGCCTTGGAGAAAAGGAAAGCAAACGCCGCCAGACTCTCTGCTAATGAGTGCACGAAGAGCAGGAGAGGGAGGAATGAAGCCAGGCCAACAGACAGAATCAGAATTACTGGAGTGCGGGGGTGTTCATATTCGTCTGTGATGCAAGGAGAAAAGTGCCAGGGAAAAGGTATGTTAACAAGTATGGGAGGAAGAAACGGGGGGGGGGATTGAGGGCATGGAGAAGGAAGAAGATAAAAGATGCGGATATGGTAAATAGAGGAGAGGGAGGGAAGCTGAATATTAGAGTAACATGCAAGCCGGTCAAGTCATTGGGCAGAGGTTCTGCGCCAGGTTCGTCAAAAGGCATCGGGAGGAAAGATTCGCGCCCAGCGCGGTGAAAACCGAGATTAAAAAGGCCTGGTTATTGTAGAAAGTGGAATCGGGCAAGGAATAATAGCAATGAAGGACGGAAGGCACATGTTTCATAGGCCTTGGAAGAACGGGCAGGCTTCAAGAATCTCCTCATCCTCGCAAGCAAAGTCCCACCCTACAATGCGGGGGTCAACGCTGGCGCAGACAATTTTGCGGGAGTCGAATTGGAGTTTGAAGACTCGTGAGGTTGGTGGTGTTGGTTGCAATGCCCGATTTCCATGGCGTGGGTGGCCGTGGACATGATGGTGGTGGTGCGCAGCCGCAGCGGCAGCGGCAGCAGCGACTTGGTTTGGATTCACAGCGGGTGCTGTGGGGGGGTTGGTGCTGCAGTTCCAACTTGGGTGGGAACAGCTGGTTGGTTGGAGGCCGCGCCATCTTGTTGCGTCAGGATAGGAGGAGCGTTGGTAGTATTCATCGGGGGTGTGGGTGTTGGTGTTTCGTCCCCGGCATCGTTATCTTGAGCTTCCTCTACGAGTTGTGCTGGCGGGGCCACAGGCGCCGCATGTCCTGTTGTTGCATTATTAGCCGCGTGTAATTGCTGAGCCTGAGCTAGGATTGCAGCTCTCGCGGCATCGCTGAGATTTCCACGAGAAGAATTGGCAACGGCATCAGCTTGACGCAACCGGTGCCCAATTGACCACGCCCCGTCACGGTCCTTGTGCCATATCAAGAGTGACTCGTCATAGGAGCCGGAGACAATCCGACCCCAAGAACTCCCACCGCCACCTGGGGGGATCTTGGCTCCAAGCGCTGGAATATCGCGAGGATCCCGAGAGCCGGCCGTGTTCGAATAATAGCCAGCACGTCGCAGAGCCCGAGGGCCAAGGCCAACCGGATGACCATCTTTCTGGGCTCGGAAAAATTCATTTTCAACCTCCAGCGCCTCCATCCGCAAAGCCTCGTCGGCACCAGGGGGGTCGCCAAACCCAGCCTGTACCGTTCGAACCAGATTATTATGCCCACGGAGACAAGCGACTTCGGCTCCCGAGGCATGATCATAGATTCGGACAGTGTTATCGTTGCTGCCACTGATGATTCGGCGACTATCAAATTGAACGCAAGCAATGCCCTTCTCATGGCCCATCAATGTTTTCAGACAGGTGCCGTTTCGAATATTCCAGACCTTGATCATCCGGTCACCAGAGGCGGTCACAATCTCGTCACCATGGAGTTCCATTGCATTGACTGCAGCCCCATGTCCTTCGACAGTCATAAGAAGGGAGTAGGCCTTCAGGGACTTGATATGGCGATTGGCGATAGTAGCATCCACTAGATTAGGAGCCATGTCATTTAGATCGATGATATATGATGGGTAAGAGGCTCCGCCGCCTTTGCAAATACGAGGATACTCCTCGTCACTTGGTAAAAGATCGCGGCGGTTCCACACTTTCACTGTTCGGTCCTTAGAACATGTTACCAGATACCGATGGTCAAATTTGAGGTTCAACACGGAGTCGGCATGCGCATTATTGATTTGATGAAGTTTCTGCCCCGTCGAGAATTTCCACATAATCACGGCTTTGTCACTGCTGCCGGAGATGATAACATCTTCTTCAGGGCTTGGATCGAATTGAAGACAGAGGACTGATCTAAGATGTCCAACTAATGGACGGTGCCACAACCGCTTGGTCTCCAGATCCCAAACTCGTACTGTTCTGTCCCGGCTGCCGCTGACCAACCACTTCCCTTGGAATTGAATTGCATAGACACATTCTTGATGACCTTCCTCGGGATGAGATGGATGGGGCAACTGAAAATTGGTGAATCGGGCATGATGCCAATTGGCCTCAAGGCGCCGGCGTTGTTTGTAGAGATGGAGCCAGTTGAGTTTCACTGACCCCTTCGGATGATGTAAGAGTAGAGAAGATTTGACGGGGGGCTGAAGGGAAGAGTGAGCTTGTCTAATGTAGCGGGTTGTCGCTAGTGCTGTTCCGTTTGACGAACAGGGTGCGCCGCGATCACGATCACTTGCGTCGGCCATATGGTGATCACCTTCATGATCCGCCTCCAGTCTGACCTCCTGCGTCTCTGGACCACTAGCACCACGTGAATCATACCAGGTCGGGGGCACGCGCTTCTTATGTTTTGGCTCTCCAAGATCGGGTTCGGAATGTCGTGAGCGTGCTCGGCGGGTTTGCGGAGACATTGCTTCGGAATGCTCTTGCTCGAAATTCCGAATGGCGCGGATATCCACGCGCCAGCCCTCATTGATGTATAGCACGCGCCAGAGACCGGAATCCAAAATTCGGCTTCGCCATGAGCGTGATGCGAGTGACGCTGTGAGCAGCATACGCGGTTCCAAATATGAAAATATCTCGAATGTCAATTCGGGTGGTAGTTTCAAGACGGGATCCATGTGGAGCAGGGGGTTGAGTCGGTCAACTAGGCCGGCAAGGGTCGAGGTTGAGAGAGATCGTAGTAGGTTGTAAGCAAAGTCTGTAGGATTTTCAAGTTAGGCAAGCGAGCACGGGGCGCCGAGGCCAATAGAGGTCCGAGGGAGGGGGGTTGGGGTTGGTAATATAACACGGTCTGGGAAAGACTCAAGAAAAAAAAAAAAAAAGCACTGGGAGAGATTCCCTTACCAGCCCTGTCAGCCTCACTTTGCGCCAGCACCCAGTCTGGAAGAATCATGGCATTATCAGACCCCAGGTCCTTGTCGGACTGACTGCGAGTGTCATCCGAGTAGCCTTCATCTAACTTGAAAGAAGGCGACAGCGATGAAGTGGTATAGGCAGGAAATGCCGTTGCCTGCAGCCGCAGAGGCGGGCGCGAATGGGACCCAGGGACCTGTTCGCCCTCCATCGAGACACCCTGCGTATAGATGATAAATCACTGAGGCGTTCCCGCGAGCTGATGGAGGGTTGAAGAGGCTGCGGTGTGGATCGGAGGGCTTTGCGGAGCGCCCACAAGGAGAGTCCTAGGATGCGAGTGCAATATGCCGAGGCGATTCTCAGGGAGGGTTGGTAGGATTCAGAGTTGGAGTGCAACGAGGGATAATCCCTCTGGTGTCGACAAGAGGTAGGACGGATGATGGGGTTCGCAGGCTCAGGCTGCATGTCACGTCACGTTTGGCGGCAGGATCCACTTGGAAGTTGATAGGTCGGGCGGAGAGTAGTCAATAGTTCCCCGGGTGGTCAGTCAACACATCAGATTGGATTGATAGATAGGTCTAGACCGGCGGGAGGTAAGACGGGAGATGCGAAGATCGAGACACATATAATCTAGCAAGCTCTGTTTTGACGATCAGGGGAGTTAAGATGAGCATAATTAAACTGGCATGAAAATGTCCCAAACAATGTAGGGCGCTGGAATGACTCGAGTCGGGATCACGTGATTTTATGGGCTGGTGAAGTAGTCGTTTTAATGGGCGATCGAGGGTTGTACAGACGATTCTGACGGGGAGATCAAGAGGATGCAAGATTTGGTCAAGGTCAATCAGAAGACCGATGATATCTTCAAGAGGGGCTATGTTTCCTTGTTCCGAGCCATAGTCTCTTATTGCTTGACCGCTAGGTACCGAGGCATTGGACACCACCTAGTATCGTGCAAGCGGAACTAGCGATGGTACCCAACGCAAAGACATTTTTAGTTCGTTATTATTGGGAAGGCCCAACACGATCCAAAGACCGCTCGTAATGAAGCTGTATATCCTTCGTATTTGTGGAATAGTATGTGAAGAAGATATTTCTCTCTCTGTCAAATTGGCATATACCATGAATGTATGCCTGCATTTTTTATGTTGAACGGTATTGCTTGTATATATAGTTGAACGGTCAATTGTTCTCCCGCCTCGAGTCTCTCCACCCAACCTTCTCTGTCCTTTGCTGATACCTATCGTGACTTTTCTAAAGCTCCGCCCTGTCACATTCTCTTCTCTTGCGCCCCAGAACATGTATAGTCAGGCCTAATCGACCTCGAAGCCGCGTCTCAGGTAGATGGAGCCGGACTCGTGCCCCTCCCCACATCCCACCGCCCGATGGAACACGCGCTAAACCACAAAGGGTAACTGAACAGCCCTCTCCTTCGGCTCACCCTCTCCTTTCTTCCTCCGCCTCCATCATCCCTTTTTCTCATCTTGCTCGACCTTCCATCTGTCGCGAGTATCAGCTCGTCTCTCTTCTCCCCGGCAGTTGACTCTTCCCAGTCCCTCGCCCCTTCGCTCGGACGCCCGGTCGCACACCCAGTCCTAGTGACGGGCTCAGTCCTTCCCGACCAACCTAAGGGGGTCCGAACCGCTCTTGCTTGTGTGTTTCGGCACGTCTGCCCGGCCGCAGCGTCTTCTTGTCCGATCACTCGTGTCCCCCATAGACTGGGTTACGTTAGCTACCGGTGTCGACGATTCTTCACAGCTCTATTTGCCTTCGGAGGAAAGGTGGCGGCGCGATTTTGATACTCCGCGCTGTTGAATATATATTATATACACCCTTCCTCGTGTCTCGAGCTTCAAGAGGGAAAGACCTCCCGCAAGCATATACTTCATTCCGCAACTGGTTGCGACCAGACCAGAGGTAACAACCGTCGCGCCCGCAGGTTTTCGATTGCGATCGGACTTCGCTCCAGGTCCGTGTAGGCCTGCCGTTCATTCAATCAACTTTGTCGCGGGGAATCTCATGATCGACTCCCTACTGCCTCGATTGTTGCGCCCTGCGATCATATTTACTCCGATACTCCCTTCGGGTCTGCTGTGCGGATTTGAACTGAGCCCGGCTGGCCTGACTCATAATTTCGGTCGAGGCACACGAAAATGATCGACTCCGCCATGATGAGCGGCATACCGGTCGCCGAGGATAATATTATCAACCGGCGGGGTGGTGAGTCGATTTATCAAAGCTGTGTCAACCTGAAGCGCCGACTTTCCGAAGTCCCCAGCTTCGAACCTTATATGCAGGAGATGGATGAAGAGGATCGGGTGCGGGGCAACACCGATCCGGTCTCGTCGTTGTGGAGCTGTCTGCGAAACGGTTATCCGCTGCTAAGCATTTATAATGCCTCAGAACCCGAGGAGGAGTTGATCGTTGACCCCGTCAAAGTCCCAGAAGCCAAGCGTCCGAAAGCTGCAACCTTCAAGTTTCTGCAGGCATGTCTGCAAGAACTCGCTTTTCCTCAGCAAGACTGTTTCCTGATCACAGATCTGTATGGTGAAAGCACGACGGGCTTCATTAAAGTGATCAAGATGGTCAATCGCGTGGTGGATATTTTGGAGATGCAAGGACATCTGAAGCGTCCATCTGAAGTCACAAACGCCCCGCCTGGTGCCCAGGGAGCGGTGAAGCTCACCAAGCGTGAGCACATCTTGAAAGAGCTTTTGGAAACCGAGCGCGATTATGTTCATCATTTGCAAAATCTTCAGGCCCTGAAGAAAGAGTTAGAGGAGACTGGTGCTCTGACAGGTGATGCGAGCCATCAAATTTTCCTGAATCTCAACAACCTGCTAGATTTTGCTCAAAGATTCCTGATTCGGATGGAACAACACTATGCCTTACCTGAAGAGATGCAAAACTGGGGCAATCTCTTCGCCTCGCACGAGGAACCCTTCCGACAGTACGAACCATTTATTGCCAACCAGATGCGCTGCGATGAGGTGTGTTTGCAGGAATGGGATAAGATCAGGGTTGCTCCGCGCCACGTGGATCTCCAACAAATGGTTGCTCAACCTAAAACATTGAATGGATTCTTTGTCAAACCTTTCCAACGATTGACTCGATACCCTTTGATGCTGTCGGTAAGCTATATCACGAAATCTATAGTAGCACATACCCGAGCCTTTATTTAACCATTGTCCACTTTCTGTTTCCAGGAATTGCGCAAGCAACTCGAAGATCCCCAGCTCCAAGCCGATATCACTCATGCGATTGATACTATCCAGAATGTACTTGACTCGGCGAACGAGGCGATTCATAAAGAGCACCTGGCTGCGGCTGTGGTGGACTTGTCCGAACGAGTAGATGACTGGAAATCGCTGAAGATGGAATCCTTTGGAGAGCTACTTCGCTTTGGCACCTTCGCAGTGGTCAAGGGAGACAGTGGCAAGGACAATGAGAGAGAGGTATGTATCAGCATTACTTGAGTATTCTGTCTCCCTCTATTTCTCTGCGAGGAGTCTTGAAGATGTACCATCCGCTGACATGGCTCAATTTTAGTACCACATCTACCTCTTTGAGCGCATTCTGCTGTGCTGCAAAGACATCAACCCAAACAAACAGAAAACCAAGCTCATAATGAATAAGGACAAGCCGGCTGTCACAGCGAAAGGGAAGCCTCGTCTTCAGCTGAAGGGTCGGATCTATATGGCAAATGTCACGGATATTGTTCGTCTTCAGAAGCCTGGTATGTCTTTTCCGATACCATTGGAAGTTGTAAAGTTGCCGTTCTGATGATACCACCTACAGGCTTTTATCGCATTCAAATTTTCTGGAAGGGAGACCCTGGGGTAGTCGACAACTTTATTATTCGGTACCAGAACGAGGACACCATGCGGAGTTGGTACCAAGAAATTGATACCCAACGTACGATTCAAGCAGAGCGACGCACTCTTCGACATACCGGCACTTCGGATAGCGAATTCACCTACATGGAGGGTATGGCCAACATACCCAATCCATACCAGCAAGAGTACGATGTCGATGATCCTGCCAGAGATAGTAATGGAAACTACTACTCAGAATTCCCTATGAGCCGGAACGCGTCCAGCACCAGCCTGCGGACCCGCTCCGCCACTGGGGGTAGCACTGGATCTGTTCCTCACGCCAACGGCCGCCCACGCTTCGCTGTTGGTGACCCGGCCCTCTCAGTTCATACCCAATTCCCTGGTGCGGCTATGTCTCCTGGTGACCGGAATATGAATTCGTACTTTTCACCAACAGAAACTCCTTCAACGAGGTCCAGCTCCCAATCTGGCTTTTCCTTCGGACGCCAAAATACGAATTCTACCACAGCATCAAGTGTTTGGAATGAAGAATCGAACCGCTATACTGCTCCCGCACTGTCCCGCGGGACTTCAAGAGATGGAAGTACCCCAACGGGATACTTCCCCCGCAGCCCAACGGTCGAGGTGCCCAGAGACCGTCTCTTCCTCCCCTCACTGGATCCCAAGCACCTTCGTCTAATGGCACCGCTCAACGAATGCGTTCGGCCAGTAGTCCTGACATTCACCATCATAATAATGCCCCACCTGATTCTCGGCGTTATATGGGAGTGCATACGATGCAGACCGTGGATAATGTTCCCGTGCCGCCAATCCCCGCACATATGGCCAACATGAAGGCACCCGTCAACCGCAGTCAGAACAACTCTCCTACCAACAGCCAGCTTCCCATCCGCTCCCAACCCCATCACGTTCATCCCACTCATTTCACCGAGCCCGAGTACAATGACAATCGCACCTCAGGTCAGGTCTCTGATCAAGCGACGTCTCCTCTGACCCATGAGCCCGAGGGAGATCCATTCATGCCGACTCAACTCAAGGCGAAGGTCAACTTCGACGACAACTACGTCACTCTCGTGATTGCAACCAACATTTTGTTCCGTTCGTTGACCGACCGTGTGGATGCTAAATTGGCCCGGTTTACCAACCGGTCTATTGGCAACAAGACCGTTCGTCTTCGGTATCGTGACGAAGACGGCGATTTTGTTACAATCGACAGCGATGAGGCCGTCCAGCTGGCTTTCATGGAGTGGCGTGAGCAAAATCGAGATGCGCTTGCCAAGGGCGCGGTTGGTGAGATCCAGCTCTATTGCCAGGTAGTTGATTAGATGAGAGCAGGAGAATTTCTTTTTACTGCCCTTTCTCGCCCATACATGTCTTCTCTCTCCTCGTGCCTTGTGAATCATATCTGCTCCACCTTGTCTCTTCCATTGGCGAGGCTCTATTAGACTGGTCTTTTGCCATCCCCGTTCTGCATCTTTCTCGCATTGTTTTTGCGCCTCTCCCACCCTATTTTGCCATCCCAACTGGATTGGTTTGGGTCTGCTGGACAATCGCTTCTGGGAAAGGGTGTTTCTGTTCCCCCTTTTGTCTTTGTTATTACCCTTCACCCTGGCCATATCATGTGGTTCTCATATCGCTGGGGTCATGGCGTCCTTACGAGGGCATATGCATACCAAGACTGATCGCGGCAGGAACGGCGTCGCGGGAGGCACGAAGAGTCTTTTTTTTTTTTTTTTTTTTTGCGAACATCCTTCCCCTTGAACCTTTCTCCTCATCATTTCATCATCTTCATTCCCCCTTTCCCACTTCCCCCCTCTTCCCCACGTCCCGTTCTCCTCCTCGGGTTTCCTTTCTGTGATGGAAGCGAGTGACGACTGCTATCTATTGACCATATTCTTCGAATGTCCACGAACGTATGAAGCACCTTACACATGATGTATGCATACTTGATTGTTTGGATTGCGTATTTTGAGGAAGCCTGCATGCGGACAGGGTTCCGGCGCCTTTGGAAATCTACCATATTATGTTTCCCCTCCATTTCTCATTCTTCCATTTCCTCTCTCGATCACCGTATCTCTGAATATCCCCGTCTCTCTTTGCTTCTCCTTGCCACTGTGACCTGGGGGCTATTTTTTCGCCGATCGGGATGCCGGGGTCTCGGGACATTCGGGTCGCGCCTTGGGGTCTTGGCAGGGCCGAAAATAGAAGTATAGAAACTAAAGTATAGCAAGTGAAACTATAGATGTATACACGTTGACCTGACTTTGCCCGACCCTTAAGAGCCTCTGGTGCTCGTTGAACCAGGCATTTGGATCCTTCGTCGATCTTTCGTTTCTGATTCTCGATGTAAGCTCTCTGATTGACGTTGCCCCGCGACAAACCAAAGCATCGTTCACCGTAGCGGTGAAGAGCTTGGAGGTCGCCGCAATGGTGAACAGATGCCGACAAGGGCGGGAGGATCGAAAACCGGCCTTGCCCAGTGCCCGAAGAGGTACCGAGATCCAGTCGTTGCCTAAGTTGCCCACGTTGCCGCGTTGTCCGTCTCGGTGGTTTGGTCGAATCGTGGCCCGTGGATTTTATTGGAAAGATACTTCCAGGCGGCCCCTCTCTTCTCCTCCCTTGCTCACCATTTGCTCACCGTATTTTGACCTTGTCCCTCACATTTTCTGCCTTGGACAATTTGAACTGATTCTACCCAGGGAAGATTGATTGATCTCCAGTTTATCAGTTTATCTCGTTGATCTTGCATACTCACCTAAGCGCCAAGCATGTCATTTTCCGGCCGCCGCGTCAGTATCTTGCGCCCCTCCAGCGAACGCCGCTTCTCCATCGGCAAGGGGCTCTCCGACAACGGTTCGTAATGAGATTCTCTCTCTCTCTCTTTCCTTCTCTCGCCCCAACCAGAATTCCCCTGCCCTCCAGGCGGCTTCCGGACTAACGGCCCGACCTTCCTGCAGAGCTACGATCGGAGACTCATCGCCAGTTCCGGACCGCCCACGAAGGCCACCGACCCCACGCCGGCCTTGACGCCTCTCGTGCTTCGACCGGTGTTGTCTGGTGTACCGAGCGAGCCACCGAGCATGGCTACGCCGAAGACCCCTCTGCCTGGGCCAATCTAGGCCAGGGTGCCCCCGAGGCTGACGATGAGATTGAGGGGAGCTTCCCCCGTCCAACGTCGATCCCCATCACGTCCGCGGCGCGGGAATACGGCCCGACCGCCGGTATCAAGCCCCTACGTGCGGCCGTCGCGCGTCTGTACAACGAGCACTATCGCCAAGGGAAGGAGAGCCAGTATACCTGGGAGAATGTCTGCATCGTCCCCGGTGGACGTGCCGGTCTGATTCGAATCGCGGCTATCCTGGGCAACTCGTACCTGTCTTTCCCCATCCCCGATTACTCCGCGTACTCGGAGATGCTCACGCTGTTCAAGAACGTAAGTGTCCCAAGCTGTCTCTCCTGAGCGGGAGGCCCTTCTGCGGTCTGCCAGGGAGATAACAAGTCCTGGATGGAAATCTGGCGTCGCTAACCGTGCCCGTCCTCCGGCGCACCATGTAGATTGCTCCCATCCCCATTCCGCTCTCCCAGGAAGACCACTATCACATCTCCCCCAACAAGATCGCCGAGGAAATTGCGCGTGGCACCCAGGTGCTGCTGACCTCGAACCCTCGCAACCCCACCGGTCACTTCGTGCAGCATGAGGAGCTGGCTGAGATCCAGGATATTTGCCGGGACCGCGCCACCCTGATTCTGGACGAGTTCTACGGCGGCTACAACTACACCACTGACTGCGACGGCAGCACCATTAGCGGTGCGGCGCACGTCGTCGACGTCAACCAAGATGGTGCGTTCCGCGCTCGTCCTTCCCCTAAAAGCCCTCTTCCCCCGACCCCCTCTGCAAAATGCTGGGCACCACTTACTAACTCTCCCCGCCTTGTCCAGACGTGCTTTTGATCGACGGCCTGACCAAGCGCTTCCGCCTGCCGGGCTGGCGTATCGCCTGGGTCGTCGGACCGAAAGAGTTCGTCGACGCGCTGGGCTCCGCCGGCTCTTATCTCGATGGCGGTGCGAATGTGCCGTTCCAAGAAGCCGCGATCCCGATGCTGGAGCCGTCGCTGGTGCGCTCGGAGATGAAGGCGCTGCAGGTACACTTCCGCGAGAAGCGTGACTTCGTGCTGCAGCGTCTGGCGGAGATCGGGTTCCGCGTGCAGGACGTGCCGCAGGCCACCTTCTACATCTGGTTGGACCTGACCAGCCTGGACCCGCCGCTGCCAGCGGAGGCCAACATCTCGGACGGGCTGAACTTCTTCAACGCGCTGCTGACCGAGAAGGTCATTGTTGTGCCGGGCATCTTCTTCGACTTGAACCCGGCCAAGCGCCGAGATCTGTTCGATAGCCCGTGCCACCACTTCGTACGTCTGAGTTATGGACCGAAGATGGACGTGCTGAAGATGGGACTGGATGGTATCGAGCGGGTGATCAAGCGGGCGCGCGAGATGGGACAAAAGAAGTGGGAGGATGAGGTTGCTATTCAGGATGATTAGACCTCTGGAACGAGTGACGATTTTCCATCGTGATGATAGTGATGACGTGGGAGTTCTGTGAATTCTTCTTTTTGTTGATATGTATCGAGAGCTGGACCTTGCGGGTCTTGAATTTGGCTGTGCTTGATGAAGTCCTTTTGTTTTCGCAGTTCAATGAGGCACCACGTATTCGATGAACATTTTTATCGATGCTTTTCGAGGACTGTATCAGTCCGGAGTAGTAAGTAGCACGAGAACCGAAGGATAACATAGAACTCCTGCTGTAATGGTTCACATGGAGACTGTTCGGGTGCCTTTTCAAGTAAGATTTACTTTGAGTCTGTTCTGACTTGTAGTTAGCTTGGATATCGGGCTCGCATGGCCATCCCTTTTCTGGATGAATACTGTAGATGATTTAAAGAGGGCAAGTTTGTGGCATATAGAGGTATATAGGTAGAGAAGTATATAGAGAGAACCCCGGGTTGAGGTAGGGCCAGGACAGAGATCTCGGGGGGCCTCATTGTGTGAGAATCATATGATACACGATGCATTGTGGACATTTTCTGTTAAGACGAAAGCTGCTCTATACTTTGGATATTTTCTGTACATCCTTGTCCCTGGTACATTGCCCGCCCTGCTCTTCTCACACGCTCCCGCGTCCGCTTCCATCAGTGCATGTTCCGACTGCATATTCTCCGGACAAATCAACAGAAAAATCCAATCCAATGAAATGGAAATCATTCAAAAAAAAGGAACAAACTTGAAGTCCATTCCCGTCTCACCCCGAAAGAACCCGTCTCGCACAGGTTGCTGTCTCAATCTCTCACCATCCCATTTCCCAATCTATCTCTTACAAGCCCCCCTGTATCTCGAACCCCAGCTTTTGAGCTTTGATGAAATTACAGGCTCCATACCACGGAAGACCTCGCAATACCATACCAAATTCCGGTCTGTATAGTCTGTATAGTCTGTATAGTCTGTATAGTCTGTATAGTCTGTATAGTCTGTATAGTCTGTATGCCCCTCTTCTCTCTCTCTCCTCTGCCGGTAAGTATCATGCCCCACGCCAAATCACCGAATGAATCCCCATGGATCCTTCGTCTCTCCCACGCTATCAGGTCGCCGAAATCGACCCCGGGAGATTGGCAGCTAACGCGCAACAGGCAAAACTTCCACTCGAACGGCCGGCCAATCACGCCCCAACCAGTCATGAATTCGTCTAGATTTACCGAAACTGGTTTAGGTTTCCCCAGGTGGGCCCTTTAGCTCGGGACGCGCCAAGTGGGTTGGCGACGGTACGCGAAAACTCACGTAGGTTCACCCCCCCCCCCCCCTGTCTCCGCCAGAACCAGACCCAAATGACCCAACCCAGCAGTATCGCGCGCCAACGGTGCTCCTCCCAAAGAGGACAAAAACGGGGCTCAGCGGTCCTTCTCTTGCCTAGAAGGGTAATTGGTCGATGGTCCTTGCGTGGAGGAGAAATGGAGCCCAGGCGGAGTTGGTTGAGACTAGCTCGACTAGCTGACTAGCTGACTAGTTGGATCATGGACGACGGGGATTGGCTCTGGCATATTGGGATCGAGTGTTGAACCATCTCATTACCATGGAATTTCTCCTTTCCTGTTCTCTTGGCTCCTCCCCCCTCCTCGTCTTCTCACCTACCTGAGACCAATCTGTGGACGCTTCTGCCGAGCGATCGATCGGACAACCCCAATGTCCGCGTGGTGCCCCACCTTTTCGGCGTCCTCAACAGTTGAGGAGGCCGGTCGACTGGGACGCGTAGCGGTCCTTTCGTCCCTTGATTGATGGCTTGGGATGCCGGTGCTGTTGCTTTGTTGCTTTTTTGAAGCGGAGCATGGGAGGAGGAGGAAGAAAAGAAGAAGAAGAAGAGGAGGAGGAGGAGGAGGAGGAGGAGGAGGAGGAGGATGCTAGTAGTGGCCAGCAGCATCACTATCTCACACTTGATTCAGGTGTACGGAGGATGAAGTCGAGCTACGTAGAGTCCCAGGTTACTATCCACAACTGAGTGTACAGTGTACCACAGAGAGTATCTCAGACTCCTTATCTAGTATGTAGTATGTATCGACGACCCAGAAGAGTGACAGATTGTCCGGGGTGCGAGTCGTATGTTGGTGTCGCTGACGAGGGACATTCATCGGTTTCAGTGATAATCATCCAGTCAACTCTCTCTAGAACCAATCACAAAAACCACAATTATGCTAACGATGGAAAAGAGCGGTTTGCCATGTGGGAGACAGGAGGAGAGGCCTGTTCATGGAACGGTTCAGATGATCAGAGCCAGAGCCGCAACCCGGGAAGTATACGGGACCCCTCAAACTCTCCGAGTCGATCTCTGGTTCTTTTTATTTTTATTTTTTATTCCCCCCCCCCCCCACTTCTGCCTATTTCTTCCTTCCTCATTTTATGATTCAATTCGATTTGAAATTTCTTGATGATAAATCGATTGATAGTGTTTTTCCTGACTACGTTGGCTTTTTCATTCGTCCTGGCACGACCGGCTTCTCTGGCTGGCCCGAGACTGGTTGAAGAGGGTCTGCGTTGCCGAGAGAGTTTGGCTTCGGGCTGAGCCGCGAGACACCAGCGCAACCTCCGTCGGCTCGGCACCAATCGGCGTTGATCGCTCGTATTGAGACCTGGCCTGCCTCTTCCGGCAACGATGTGACGCCCACTGCTGTATGACCAGGTTTGGGAGATTCGATTTTCCTGAGATTGCTGCACAAAGTGCCACCATTTGCCCTGTGGAGACGTCTCTGAACATCTGAGGACGGAGAGACGCGTCCAAGGGGAATCCCAGGGACAGCTATTCCGCCGATCAGGCCGAGCCAGAGATTCTGGGCGGAGTCTTCATTTCAGTATGGACTCCTGGGACCTCTGGGACTTACTGGACTTCTTGGATACGGGCATACCCGTAACTCCGTACTCCGTACTCCGTACTGCGTACTGCGTACTCTGTACGTGGGCGTCCTGTGCAGCCACCGTAATCCGCCTGTCCAACTGGCCCCATCCCACAAAAGCTTGTTTCCAGCCTTCGGGGGGTGTGCGCCGACCGCCGACCAGATCAGGACTATGACAGATGTCGCAGACGCCAGCATATGTTGTACCACTTCATTTTCCACTCTTTCTCTCAGGCTGGTACTTTTGGGAACTCTGCACTGCGGAACTCTGGGGGCAAGAGGCAAGATGCGGCCCTCTCCCCTTTACCTCTCCTCTCCGCTTCAATTTACAGTTTCCAAGTGCTCTTCCTCTCTCCCCTCTCTCCTCTGAAACTCGATGCTCCACCGAGATCTTCTTGCTAGGGGGTGAAACTCAGCGAGTGGATTCGCTTCTCTCTGTCATTCCGGATCAGGCGGAGACAACGTTCCTCTGGCCCCCTGGGGTTCTTGCGCATTCTGGTGTGGTTGGGTGACTCCGTGGATCGAGGTTGTATTCAATTTTCCGGTAGTCGGGACGATACCCGTCGCCCGATCTCAAATAGAGCGGAGGAGGTCAGGAGGGGGATATCGATCGGAAAAGCAGGTCGGGAGGGGGGTATGTTGGGATGGCGGACATCGTCGTGGCCAGGCAGAGCTGTAGTCGACTCGCGCTGTGCTTGGGGTTCTGACCCAATGAAGATCCCCGTAGCGTGGATCCAGGGACAATGACATTCAGCAATCTTCATCATTCCCAGGAACCGGGAATGGCGGCCGACCCGCACTTTGGCCCGTGACCCATTACCCGTTACTCATATTACTCATTACCAGCGGGCGCCCGTCCTGTGAGTACCGTACTGAGAGGATACGGGGATACCGGTGGATACCTGTATCGTGCCATACCAGTCGGGCAATACGGTACTCCGTACGGGAGTATCAAGTACCAGGTACGGCGCAACGAGACGACTGCGCACCCCCTAAATCCAGCAATCCAGCATCCAGACTCGTTCCCTCTCCATTTGAAAACTCTCTGACCCGCAATCCGCCTAATGATCCTTTTTTTTTTTTTTCCCCTTGTTGAACGTGCTGACCAAATTCTGGTCCTGTCTCCTGTCTGCTTCCTTCTACCCCGTGTCCCGTCACCCGTCTCCTGTCGTTCTAGCTCTCCGTTGACGGCGGCCCAAGCTCCTTCGGGAATCGCAAGCTTGGGATTGGTCCATGCTCCATAACGAGGAGATGGAGCTTGAACGGGCTGTTTGAGCATGCATCCTTTTCCGAGGTCCATCATTCGACAGATCGTCGATGCGTCCGCGGTTCCCTTTTCCTCTTTCTCTGCTTCTCATCTTGCTTCTCGCTCTCGCTTTTCTGATCTGCCCTCCCTTACGTACGAGGCCTCCTGCTCCTCCGTTCGCTCCTCCGGGGCTCTCGGAGCTTTCTGGCCTAGTGCCATGCGTGCTGCATATCGGTACCATGCAAAGCTTCTAAATCAGCGGAGGGGAAGGAGACGGAAGGGGGGACAACCTGCTGTGTGACGACAAGCTGCCTTGGATCCTGGACGAGGCAAAGCAAACCCAAACTGCTCGCTCAACCTCTTGGCCTATGCATGGTAGCCTGTTCTTGATCTAAGGGGAAGGGATTGCAGGATTGGACTATCCGTTTGGTTTTGCCTTTTGGTTCATGGACGATCTACTCCAACGAAACTTCTCGCGCCCTCCCTCCACCCCCCGTCCTCTCTTCTATGAAAAGTACTAACTAGGTCACTATATGTGATGATGAATACGGTCATACTATAATAATGTAATGCGACAGTACAACAGTACTACAATCGTATAATAAATATAATAAACTTAATAATATAAAATTTAAAATACGAGAAATGCTATAATGATATAGAATAATACAATTGTACTCGACTCGCCCATCAATGCTGCCCCCCTCTTCCCCTCTTAGCAATCGTTCGTACAGAAAGTAGCAACCAAAAACAGCCCATCTCCACTGCCCCCGCAGCGCGCCAACAACAAGCGACGGAGCTTGGCGCCTAGACCACGCTGGCGTCATGGCTCCATTGTTTCATCGGCACCCACGGACCAACTTGCGCAGGGGTCATCCTGGTTCACCATCACTCATCTCGACCGCTCCCTTCCTAAGCGGGCATGGGGGAGAGAGGGCGGGCGCATACGCTGCAAATCCATTCCGACGAGAGAATATTCAAGGTGGGGGGGGGGGGGGGAGGAAGCACCTCATACTATGTGATTGACTCTGCCTGGAGCCTGGAGAGGCAGCAGCCCCTCCCTCCTCTCGCAGATTGAGTGACTTTTTCTTGGCGACCTGGTGGGCTCAAACTGGGCTAGGGTTGCGAATGAGGTTGTATCGTGTCTCAACCTCCAACTTCCCTGTTCGGACCTGCCATCTCCCCATACGAGAAAGGCGCTGGAATCGTGATCAAAGACGGATTGAGCTTCCAAAAAAAAAAAAAAACACAAACAAACAAAATAATCCCTTTGCGGCCCCCTCCTGGAGAAACATACACAGAGAAAAATATAAGTAGAAAAAACAAAAGGACAGAACCCCAGGCTCCGACACACTGGCAGCATGCAGCTAGCAATGCTAAACCTTCCACGGGCATCGTTCGGGCATGCTTGATGCAATCCTTCCAACTCAAGTCATCCCGTGGTATGGGGAAAGCAGAAGATCCTTTTGACTCTCCCACAATGCAGCAGGCCGACTTCTTCCCCCTATGCCCCCTTTTTGCCTTTTGCTTGTCTCCGTAGTGTCACAGAAAATCAAAATTAGAATCATGAATCATCGGGTCACATACCAAGCAGATCCCAGTTTCATACTACTGTACATACTCCGGACAAACAACCATCCGCCCCCCTCCTCGCTTTCCCTTAATCCTTAATCGCCTAATGGACAACCGACATGAGACCCGTCCTCCTGATTGGTCGTCGATTCGCGGGCGCCCATCAGTAGCGGCTTAGCTTGTTGGGGGCGGCAAATCAACCTCGGCTACCGGGACGCTCGAGATCGTCCGAGATCGAAACCGACCACACGCTAGACCCAACGTTGCACGCGATGCGATGGCCGCATCGAGCCGTAGTGTCGCTGGACGGTGGAGAGAGGGAGGGGGAGAGCGGGGCCCACTCCCGTAACCGGTCGTGGATTAGAGGGAGAGAAGAGGCGGGGGGAGGAGGGTTGTTTTCCCCCACATGGTGTATTTCGGCGAGGATCGCTAGTGCGGAAACGGTGAACGGGGATGGCATGGGTCTGTGGCAGGACCTTGATGCGCCATTTGCTCAGTCATCATGGCTCCGTCGCTGGCCGAGGAATGATGGGATTGTGTATCGAAAGGTGCCGCGCTAACTTAGTTGGTTCCGATGGAGCGCTGGTGGATGGATGTGTATTGGTCACACACACACTCTCTCCATCTCTTCTTCTTTCTCTTTATCTGATTCTAGCAGGAGCTGATTGCTCTGGCGGTGTAGACTGTATGCTGTGTTGGCTCGGTGAGTCGAGCTGATGTGAGAAAGGGCAAGTCATGGTCGAGTTCCCATCGGAGGTTCCCGGCGATGCCCGGATAGACAGCGTAGACTGCATTATAATACGATGGAAAAGGAGTCCGCTGGAAAACATGAAGCATGATAACATGAAACTTGGGAAATCTGTCGTTCTGTGATGCTGGGCCTTGCTTATTGGCGCATCTGCAGGAGTCCATCTGGCTGGAGATGGCATGCATGGATGATCTTAGGGCCAGGAGCAGCATGGCCGTCGTTCCTTTGAGGCCAGTCGCCGAGGGCCGATCTCATCATTCTGTCCCTGTGGTCCTTGCCACTGGCGTCTTCGCTAAACCTGGGTTGCAAGGGGCCTGCATGGTCACAGGTCAAAGGTTGCAGCCATGGGGCAACGGCCAACAGGCCTGGTGGTTCGTGACGTTGGGAGGAGGTCGTCTATCGTGTATACTTTGGTTGATCGTCCTTGGCGTCTGTCATCCACGCAGTGGACACAGACATAGTTCAGGTGTTTCCGACACGGTCGGAGTGGTCGACCATGTGGATAGGACGAACTGGTCTCATTGGCCCTTTTCATTTCTGTCTGATGGTCCTGATCTTCGTGATTTTCCTGGGTTTCCTGGTTGCCCTAATATTCGTAATATTTTTTGATATACTCGATATACTTCACGAGCCCCTCCCCTCCACCGCCACTGGTAAGCAATTCTCTACCAAATCGAGTTCCGCTCAGCGCTCGAGCACCCGTAACCGCGAATGTGGGGACTCTCCCTTCAGCCTCAACTCCTTGGGACGTCATGCTTATGGGAGGCGATCCAAACTCGTATAGCCATTCCTCTCTTTCTCCCTCCCTCCCTCTGCGATCAATCGATCCCCAACGATATCCAAACATCCCAAGAAAGCAAAAAATTTCCGACTCAGCCTACGTATACGACGACGCGTAGACACTACTTACCATGACGTGCACTCGGAGATAATTGCCAAACCGAGACAAAACATTAGTTCGCCCGTTCGTCGACACACCGCAGGTTCAGAGTAGACGTGCCATCCGCGCCATCCGGAAGCGAGATGCACGATGCACTCTGCATCCCATCTCATCCTTGTAATGTTAGTCACTCGTCCGGGATGCACCTGTCGGTCCGACCGGTCCTTTCCACCGTCACCCTTCCTTTCCACTCCTTCCACCCCCCAAAACTCCATTTCCCCATTCATGAGTCCTGAATCCACTAAGCGTGGGGGCTCCATCTCCCAGGCATCCCTAGGCATCCCACGGCTCTAGGAATCCTTCAGGCCAATATCCTGCCGTACTAGCTTTGCTGTGGCTTCCATCTAGGGCCATTGGCCCATTCCTAGTAGGGAAGATTGTGCGATTGCGGAGCCCGGTAGACCGAGTGGTCCAGAATCAACCTCTTTAGCATGGTATGCACCTTTCCCGCTCAAATTGACCTAACCCCTAAGCCTAAACAGAGCCCCCTGGTCGGATCGACACTGCTTGTATGTATCTTGTTCTGGACTATTATTTATTTTTTTGATACGTGTGTGTGTGTGTAGCTCTTTTCTCCTCCAGGTCGACTGGTCTCGAGGATGGCGCGTATACCGAGAGAAGCGTATGGATTCATGAGACCATCCTTTCCCGGTGATGATCGCACATGTCTCCCCCAATTTCCTCATGCAAGCACTGGCGTGCTTTCTCTCCGTTTCTCCTGATATGCACCTAACCTTTCCTCTACCACTAAGTCAATATTTGCAATAGGGCCGACAGATACAGAATCCCCAATCAGCCCGCTCCTCGCATCGTCAACAAACTTCCCCTTTTCCTCAGTGGTGCCATGCGCAAAACTCAAAAATAAGCAGGGCCAGGGACAAGCAGCAGTGCGCGACCAACGAACACGAAATCAAACAAGGAACGCTCACAGCGAACAACCAGGAGGGATTTAGAACATTTCACAAAATAAAGAAGAGCGGAGGAGCCAAGCAAAGCGATAAGATGTGAGATGAGATGAGAACAGATGGGCCTATCTGTCCATCAATCCAGGTCTAACTCATGCACAGTCCAGACCAAACAAAATAAAACCTCGAATTGGAAGGATTCGGCCCCTCCTCCCTCAAAACCAACCCGAAACCGAAAACCCTAAATCCTTTTTGTTCTCCCCGCCTTCCTATCAAAAAAGAAACTTGAGACACCATTCGCTCCGCGCCGACCCCCCTCCACTGCGCCCAGAGATCATATCCACACCCCAAAACCGGTTCTGAAAGGTTTCTCGTCAGCGCTAAAATGAGCGGTGATGGACAGGAGAGAGAGAGAAAGAGAAAAAGAGAGGGAAAAAAGTGTATACTGGCCTAGGCCCTTAGCTAGACCAACTCAAACTAGTTCTAGTTCACATCCAACGTGATTGTTATCGGGACACTGAATGCCCTCTTCCTGTACAGTTGGATCAAGCAGACCAATTTCCCGATTAGACAACCCTGCAATCCCCCTCCTCTCCTCCTCCCTCTACGCCCATCATCCCTGCCTGGTGACGTCTCTCGCCATCCGCCATCCCACGCTCGCGGTAGCTAGCCACATTGTAGCTAGAGTCAGCTAGGGGTGCATTCAGCGACACTACCTGCGAGTACTAAGGACGTGCTGGTACCTGCTGGTACTTTCTGGTGAGCTACCGCCAGTCTCCCTCCACATCCCCTGCCTTCCGTTCGTATCCCGCCCTCTCCCTCCAAAGGAGGAGCTTTTTCGCGCCCGCTGGCCCAGTCGAGGCAACCTCCGCCGTGATTCCTCTCGGCTATCACTACATCAGACATCGCCCTGGCGGTTCGACTGTGTCTCTCGGAGCGCCGCACCGGCGGATTCGCGAGGAAACTCTACTGTAGCTGCGGTGCGCCGTTGGGCTCGGATGGCGCATTCCATGTCTCACAAGGTTGCCAGGGGACGGGAGGCAAAAGAAAGAAAAAGCGAAGGGGAGCGAGGGATTTTGGGAACGGCCTGGCGGGTTCTGGATCAAATGATGCTCTATTTTGTCTTTATGATAGGAACCCGAGGGATAAAGAGAAGGGCGAGAGTGGGTGGGGTCATTAATTTGGGCTGCTATTGTGCCAGTGCTGTCGATCTGACAATCCCCCTCGCAGTGGTGGTTCCACCAGAAGAGCAGTTTGTCGGAACTATAGATCGTCTCCCATGTTGGAAGGGGATTCCGGTTAGTATGAATTGCTGATCCTGCCTCTGGGGAGGCATGAGAGAGGGGGGTTTTTTTTCTCTATGTTGCTGGGTGGTTTCAATAAGCAAAAGCAGCACCAGCAATAGTAGCGAGTTCCTTTTGATTGCTGACGATAATGTGGCTCTTCGTATCTCGCGAGGCCGCCGAGGAATCGCTGGCGTGCTCCCTTGGGACCCTGGAGCCACCTGGAATGCGCCATGCCGCATCTTTCTTTGTCATGTCAACAGATGACAGATTACCAAGGCTCGGGAAGCATCTTCTGACTTTGCACGGAGCAATCGCATCTGATTTGACTTTGCCGTTGGCGCTCACCCAGCACGCCGAGTGCACCAATCATGGCCCAGGCAAGAAAGGGAGGAGGGGGAACAGCACGGCGTAAAAAGGGGGCTCGCCGAAAAGAGTCTTAGTCTGCTCAGCTCACAGCGAAAACGGTAAGCGAAAACGACCGCGCCAACCAGTGGCCGGCGTCTGTGTTAGGTGGTCTGGCAGGGCGACAGGAGCGCCAATCCCAGACGAGAGAGCGGGGATGTCGAAGGTACAACACAGCTGCTTTGGAGGGAGGGCGTTGGGCGTTGTGGAAGGGGGGGCGCGCGTGGCTTGGCCACCGCCTGTCTTCATTTGAGACAGAATGGGGCCAGCCACGAGTCATGCACGCCATGCATTCTTCGGATCGGACATCTGGAACGCAGGACGAAGTACCCGGGGTTGATGGTGTCTTCGAGCAATGGCTTAGGAGGGAGTGCTGGTACGCTGATCTGAGACACGTTCTTTGCGCGCGCCACCGACAGCGCCCTGGTACGGCAAGCTATCGCAGTCTATACAAGGTGAGTGACGGGACGCCATATACTGAGTCTCCTTCGTCCTTCGTATACCCTGTCCATCCCCCGGAATCCTTGCCAAGGGAAAAGAAAATCGGAGCCCCCGTAATAAAAGAGTGGCCACCAATCAACCCGGCGAGGAATGACATTTATTCCAAAATGAGCAACAGTCCCGGTAGGAACCGCTGTGGAGCAGAGTATCGCCCGGCTTTTGCCTATTACCTATTATCATTCCGAATGGAAAGTTGCCTGGTTACAGTTTGGCCGCCAGGGCCCACCGACTTTACGAATAGGGCCTGTCAGATCTAGGGTTCAAACAGGGAATTTGGGCGATTGGACGATTGGGCGATTGGGAAGATCTCTAGCATCCTCTCAGGCGCAATTTGACTGGGGAGTGGAAAGGAGATTGGATTCTTCGCTCCTCGTAGATAACAAGAGGGGGATCAAGACAATGAAAGGGCCCAAAGAAATTGAGTAACATATCTCATGCCAGGTATCAAGGACTAGAACCAGCGCGGTGGGGTAGAAAATAAGGAGAGAAAAGGACAGCCAAGAGAATCAGAGATGGCTTGGAGGAAGAAAAAAAAAAAGAGATCCAGGAATTAAGAGAGAGACAAAACGCCGGTCCTCTCCTTTTAAATGAGACATGAGAGATCACAGATCACAAGTGAAAAAAAAAACAAGGGGAAAAAAAAACCAAGACATACCAAAATAGTGAGAAGAGGGGAATTCGATCGAAGCGCCCAACAACTTAGCATGGCCAAAGGGTGCAAGGAGGATGGAAACAGAGAGACCTCAAAAAAAAAAAAAACCAAATTATCAAAATAATGAATAGGAACATAAGTATGCAAGGCCCTAAGGGATTCTCGAACGCAGGTTGAAGACAGGGGGAATCGGGAGAACTCGAGAAACAATAAAAAGAGTCGTGACGGGAATTCGTTAAATCGCACCAGACATCCACAGAATCTATGCGGTGTCTCCCTTTAACCTACCCCCAAGAAACCCCAGTCAGTCCCCTCCGGTTGATTCAAAATCCGGGTTGGGGGTTTGTACTGGAAATTGGGATGATATCCCACCATCATAGGCTGTCCCTCGGGGATCTGGTGGCCCGGGTAGGAGGGCTGGTGGTACTCTGGCGGAATATAGTTGGTGCGCGGGGTTTGTTCATAGCGCTGCATCATCTGGATGTATTGCTGCTGTTGCTGCTGCTGTTGATGTTGTTGGGGGTGGGGCGGCGGGTGCGGTGGATGATGATGTTGCGGCGCATGCTGCGGGGCGTGCGGTAGGCTCATCGGTGAGGTGACGGGGACGTTTTGGGTCACAATCGGGGTTGCGCCATCATGAACCGGGACGGAACCGATCGGGACACTCTGTGGTGAGTAGAACTCATGGTTGGGCGTCGCAGAATTCTGATAATAGGGTTGCTGCGCCAGAAGGTACTGGTCGTTCCCGTTCGGAATTGACACGGCCACCGGGGTGTGATGTTGGTAAGAGTGCTCCGAAGTCGCGTCTTCCGAGGAAGGTCGTGTCAAAGACCCGGGCGGGTGGGAGCGGTGCTGATGTTTCGTGAGGGTAGTTTTGCGGCAGAAGCTATCATGAAGAGAGAGAGAGACGTGAGCAAAATGCGCTGCTTTGCGGGAGTGCGGCCGGGCGATCAAAGAATAGCCTTACCTTCGTTCGCAGGTCGGTTCCTGGCAGATATATGGTCGCTTGCCGGTATGAATTCTTCGATGGCGTGCCAGACTCGAGGACTGTATCACTCAGATTAGAAAATGGGGCGACCAAGGCAGGTCTCAAAGTGGTGATCGAAAGACCAAGGTCATGATCGAGGTCGTAAAGCTCACATCTGAAAAGGCTTTCATGCAACCCTCGTGGTCACACACATGCGGCTTTTCGCCCGTATGTGTCCGCGAGTGCACGGTTAAGGCGCTGCGCTGAATGAAGCTCTTATTGCAATCTTTGACGTTGCAGTGATAGGGTCGCTCATTGGTGTGGATGCGATAGTGACGGCAGAGATCTGACTTGCGATTGAACGACTGGAGAATGAGACGAGAAGGGATTAGGCTCTGCCAGACGGGGAGAAGAGGTATGGAAGACAAGATAGCACAATACATACCTTGCCGCAATGCTCCCAGGAACAGTTGAAATCGCGTCCATTGCCAGGAGCCATGGTCGCGACTTGAGGAGGGATCCCTCGGAACAGGCGAAACTTGCGGGGGGAGGGGGCGAGAGAGCGGGTCGCGGGAGCAACAAAGCGCAAGGCGTGGAGATAAGAGCGTTGGCAGAGGACGAGAAGAACCCCCGTAGGTAAAAGGTTCAGTCGGTAAAAAGGACAGAACAAAAAGAAGAAAAAAAAAGCGCGAGCAGGGGGAGGAAAGCGGGAGGTCAGCGCATGCGCAAATAATATAGGGATCCGGGATGGTCCTGGTCAGGCCGGATGAATAGCAGCCGGGATGGGTAGGCGAGCCTGGGGCATAATAGGGAAGATAAACAACCAGGGGGGGGAAGAAGGGGGGGGGGGGAAGGATTGGGATGGGGGAGATGGGGAAGGATGGAGAGTGGAGGAAGAAAGAGAAAGAGAAAGGCGCGACGCCAGAAGAGAAGAAAGACAGATGATTTGAATGATCGAAAGAGGGGGGGGAAAGCAGCAGTAAAGAGGGGGGGGGCTCAAGTGATACTACGATTGCAAGAGCAACGCGAGTGCCTGACGACCACAAATCCCGAAGCTGGCGAGGAGAGAAGAAAAGGAAACCCCGGAAACCAGGGAAGAAGAAGGGAAGATAACGGCGTGCATTCACGGCGCGCGCTTGCTGAGTGGAGAGGGAGAAATAGGAAAATAGGGAATCAAGGAATAAATCAGAATCACCTGAGAATAAATCCGTAAGAAAAGTAGATCAAATAATAATAAATCAGAAATAATCAGCATCCCAGATTAATCAGAATAAACCAGTGCCCGGAAATCAGAATAAATCACAGGAACAAAACGGGAAATAAAATACATGGACTCGCGAATGGGGAACTCCCTTAATTTCCCCACTCGATCAGAGTCCTTCACATTAATAATCTGAGCCACGACGGGTGAGATACGGGTACCAAGCGTAGTACTATGACTAGCACGCCAGAAGCTCCCTACTTTCTTGTTGCCAGAATCCAGCATCTTCCTCACCATTAGGCTCGCCCGTATTGGGACTGAGATGCTACCGATGGTGGCGTTCGGTCCTTCTCGCTCTCTCGCGGACCTTGGTTGGTTTGTATCAGTTGGTCATTGCTCTCAATGGGATGGAGCAAATTGGAGAGACGCAAAAGATTACAGAGCAAGGCCCTCAGAGAAGTATTGTTCGCGGGCCGGAGGGGACTGACTGTACAGTACCTCAACACATGTACACCCGTTACTACCTGACCCGGCGCCTCTATACCTCTGCTGATGACGGAATGATACGAGAGAATCCAAATGAACGATCTGGTCTCTTGATTTCCGCCCCCTCTGGCAGGGCCTTTCAAACATCTTTGCCAAAATCCCCAAGATATCTTTATTGATTTTATTTGACGTTTTGGTTATTCTTGGAAAAGGAGCAAAAATCCCTTTTTATGGGGTTCAAAAAACAAAGGTTCAAAAAACAAAAACAAAAAAGAATGATCAGAAAAGATGATCAGAAAAGAAAAAAAAAAAGTAAAATTCCCCCGAAAAAACAAACGTAGTGGGTTCAGAAGCAACAAGTTGTATCCACCTCCACCGTACGGGAGGATTAATAGATTACACCGGGTCCCCGCCTGTCAAGGATGCCAGTCCATCGGGCATGGGAAAAAAAGGGGGGGAGGGAGGAACTTTTTACCACTGAGGCTTCGGGACGGTGAAATATGTAATATCGAAAGGTACCATACAGAGCAACCTTGTCTGATACGCTCCAACCACGCCGTCTATCTATATCCGGGTTCTGGGCATCGGTACCCCGGAGGTCGCGATGCTCCACGTGAATGCCGAGAAACGCAGGCGTATCGTCTGCCCTATCCTCTGTCCCCTGCGGTGGTAGTCTGATGGCTCATTCGGAAGAGAGTTTGGGGGTGGTATTTTTAGTCCGATTCTGATAGGATGCCCCTCAAACGTTAGGTTGGCAACCGAACTTCCTGTTCAGAAGACGAGATTGCGATGGCCCCTGGGGTGTACCGCGATACTGCAATACTGCGATACTGCAGAATACTGCGCGATACTGCACAGTACTGCGGGCTACACTCCAAACCCCATTCCCAAGTCCGACGATGCCAAACCACGGCACCTAAAAAACCCCCCACACAATACGGCGTCCTCCGTCAACCGGCGGCGGAATGAAGATACTCTCAACAAACTGCAGGTCGGTACGGACCTACTGTTCTTAGCGGGCGCGCCAACTCCCTGGGTCCAGGCCTCCAGGCTCCACCGAGGCAACCGGGCAGACAACTCACTAGGCGGCACTGGGAATGGTGGGGATACGAGGTGGGCTCCAGTTTGAGGCCTCTCAGTACCCTGCCCGGCGGTACGGGAACGATGGGTACATCCAGTACGGGGAGTATCGTACCGGGAAGACAGTCCTGACAGATACCGTGTAATTTACACCAAGACGACTAACTCATCCATCGTCAATAGTACTCATACCTTGAAAAGAATAAAGTTAAGACGGCCTTGGGGATGGGGCGGATCTGAAACGATGTACAGGGTCATGTCAGCAGTGTTTTCTTCTTCTCCTCCTCCTCCTCGTCCTCTAGCACACAGATCACCGGTCTGTTGGAGTGTCGGGAAAAAGAAAGATAAAAGGGAAAAAAAAAAGAAAAAAAGAAAAAAAAGAGAAAGAAAAAGAAAGAGAAAGAAAAAGAAAGAGAAAAAAAAAGGAAGAGAAAAAAAAAAAAAAAAGAAACTCAAACTACTCCAAGTGGCCGCTGGGCTCCACGCGGGTGTTGCACGATGATTCGGTGGGCTCAAAAGGGTCTGGAGCTTGGAGCACTCTGGGGATGGCCGCTTCCAGGGGGAGCTCGCAACAGTTGAAGAGGGGAGAAAAAGGAAAGCAAAGAAAAGCAAAAGTCTAAAGAAACGCAATGATCGAAAGAAGGAAAAACAGCGATCACCGAAAAGCGGGGAGGAGTGCATCGTACCTCTTCTCTTGTACCCCAGGTGCTCCAGGTGCTCCAGGTACTTCAGGTACCTCGGATACCTCAAGCCCTTCTCGTACCCCTGGTACTTGCAAGCCCATCGCAAAGCACCTGGAGACGTACCTAGCGAATACACGCTCGAGGTATTCGAGGTATTCGAGGGACCCGCTTCCTTTCCCTCCTCCTGCAACATCGCTACCTCTCCTTCTCTCCAACCCGTCATCTAGGTCACGATCTCGAGCTATCGAAGGGGGTTTCGACTACGACGTGTACCAATCCCGAGGGACTGGATTCACGATACCTCACCTTCGACGCCCGTGATGTCATCGGCAGCCACTTTCCCACGTCGGGAATTCAGCCACTCATTGCAGCAACCACCGCTAAAGCCAAGCCTAGACGCGACCGAGCTTCTCCAGATGGTTTAGTCCCGTCGGGTCCCTGGTCCCTGGAGGGGCCCACGGAGTCCCAGGCTTCTTAGTGGAATGTCCACGCTAACGCCGATCGTCTGAGAAGTCAGAAGGAAGCAACATAGCCCGGCTGGGCAACGATGCGGAGGCTGTCCCACGACGACATCTCCTGCGCGCCCCCCCCCCCCTCCCCACTCTTCTCATCTGGGCTCTCGTCTCATCCCCCTCTTCAAGCGGAAAAGGAGGGGGAAGAGAGAAGCCCCCCCTTGGAGGGTCATGAAAGCATCCAGAACACGGTATTCCCCGTTAAATGTCCGGCGTCCCCGCAATCGAGGCCAACCCAAGCAAGACTAGGAAAAGAAACCCTCTAAGAAAAGCAAACTATTCCGTATCGCATGCAAATGCAACTCCCACCCGGAAATCAGACCAGAGAGAGGATTATCACTCGCAACGGAAAAGATTTCCTCTCGCAAGGGATATTCGCGCCATGACGCGGGTTTCTTATTTTCTCGCTGCAGGCCAAGCCGAAATTGTCTCCTTTCGAGGACCCGTTCAGAACGCATGGAGGATGGCGTGGGATGTCCCCGTTGTCCAAGATGGGTCCCCAGGTTTTCGCTTTCCCGCCCCCTTGTCTTCTCGGCTTTGCACTGCTCCTCTTCCGACCAGCGTCCAAAAGCGCTTTGCCGGTGTCCCGGGTCCTCCCAGGCCGAGTCATGTCCTTAAGGTTGGGGCTGTTTATGTGGAGATTCAGACTCAGGCAAGGTCCATACTGGAACCAGTGAGAGAGCTCCAGTGACACTGGGGAGAGGAGGGTGGGGGGGAGCACAATCCATATCCACCTTTACCCGTCTCCAATGAAGCCCCCCATCCCCATCCACCTCAATCCCTTTCGATTATACTCTAGACTAAGAACGGGAAATTCCCAAAACAAACCAAGAAATAATCGCATTGTAGACCAGGACCACAAACAAAGCTTCCCCATCGGCGGGAACACAGGGATAGACAAATGAATGGCATCGTACCCAATATCTCCCGCCAACCCGCGATCGAGGGTCGTAGTCGCCGGCACTAGCAAGTTGCGATCTAGTGCCTGAGAGGCTTTCCGGCTGAAGCTACCATCCACACTCTGATTCGCAGGAACTGTACTATAATTCCCCTGGGCCGCTCATACTCGACCCACCGCCTCGAGGTTGTCCTCACCGTCTATTTTGCGAATCCACGTAGCGAGCAATGCATGATCGGAGTCCCTGTACGACATCCCATCATCGTCCGTGATATGGCTCCCAGCGTCTGAACCTGCTTTTTTCAATCTCGACTTCCCTCCCTCTTCTTTCTTTCACTCTCTGTCTATTGCCCCCTTCGAGTGTTCTTGCTCTTTGTGGACGATGTAGGTCGATCTTTTGGGGTGGGGGGTTCTATTTTCGAAGTCTCTCGCTCTCTTCCCGCCACATCCGAGGGAAAAGACTAGAGATAGAGGGCGTCAGGCAGAAATTTTTTCTGCATATTACATGTGTTTTTGTTTCATATATGTCCCTTATTTTTGGTCCTACTCGCGCGCGATTGGCAGTTCAACCTAATGACATCGCCGGTGGCGAGCGATCGATGTGGAAGGTCGAAAAGAACAGATAAGGCCATGTCTACAGTCTTCACGAGATGGCGGTTGGCCTCGGTTCGGTAGCTACCAATCCCCGTTGGCACTCCTTATTTTCCCTCTCCGGCAACGCAGAACAGAAGTGAAAGAGGCTTTTGATCGGCGCAGCCACTGAAACGGTATGCCTATCAGCTGTGCCGGCCAGCCACGGGGCAGGGTTTCTGGGGCTATCCGGTCCCGAGTCCTGGCGGCATTCGGAATACTTGTCGAGATTCTCCTATTCCGTCTGCCGTACGGAGCCCCCCGTACGGGACAGTTCATGGAAATGAGAAGCTGAGGCGCGGTGGCAATCAGCTTCTTTGAACGTGGGGATCCACTGGTCATCTTAAACCCCGCGATCTTTCTGGTCCTCCCCAACCTTAATAACCATCAGCATCAAAGCAGAGGGGTCCGAGACGAAGCCACCAGAAAATGCGCGAAATTAGTTTTAGCAGAGTCAAGGAAACAGAAGCGTTCCGCTCTCAGCGGCAAGCCACTGAAAAAGCAAAAACGAAATTGGCGGAAAGCAGAAAAGATCATACCAAGAGGCCGGGAAGAGTAGATAGTTTGACCAGGAATGGTCGAGTATAATTAATACGAAGTATACAACAGTCGATCGAAAAGCGAACGAGAAAATGAGAAGAAAAAGAAAAAAGAAAATCGAAAAAGGAGTAAGATAGGCAAGTCAACGCATAGACACAAAAAAAGCCACTCACCGAACGACCTCTTGGACCTTTGACGCCAGGATCGGCACTCACTGTTCGCCTCCCCAGAGCTTCTCTTGCGTGATACATACCGTTGGCGTCCTCTGGGCCTGTGGGAGAGAAGCCCGATCTGGGCCCAAACCCACTGACGGGACCCAACTTCGTCCGATCCGCCTATTGACTGTGAAGAGGGTCCTGATGGGTGCATCTGGTCTGGGACCCGGCATCAGACGGGAGGAGATCTTGCCAAATGACTCGCCTCAACCGGCAACAATCGACGCCGTATGCACCTTCAGCCATTGGCGTAATCTGGCATCGAGGGGCGGTGCAGCGGCAGAGAGGGCATGGCGCCACGCGGTCTCTGGGTTAGGATTCGGTGCAGGAGAACTACAAGATTTGAATGCTACGAGAAGATAAATCCTAACTTGGAATCTAGAGCGGCCAGACTGGAAGGAAACGAGCTTTGAACAATGCAAAAGCAATAAAGGAGAGACGAGAACGAGAAAGGTCCAAACAGAAGATGCATACATACCTGAAAACCAAACTAAAAGAAAGAAAGAAAGAAAGAAAGGATCATTCTAATCAAAATTCCAAAAGAAAAATAAAAAAGAAAAGCAGAAATGAAAAAGGAAAAGGAAAAACCACGCGACAAGTGGAGTAATCGGGTGCTGGAGTCTGGAGTACTTTGCGCCATGAATCGTCCTCGGATGAATATTTTTCGATACTCCTCGTTTATTTCCAGTATCCAGTATATACGATGAAATGGTATGGTACAGACATCCTCAACACCACCTTCAAAGTCCATTCGGAACTTGGAGCCAAGATAGTGTATAGACTTTTTGCGGCGCTTCCTCCAACGCTACGGAATGACTACCCGTCAACGGTGATGATGGCGCTAGTGGTAGTGGCCCCACGCCCCAAGCCGATGAGGTATGGCTATCAGCATGGTTCTGTGGCGTCTCGTAAGGGGGGGGGGGTTGAAAGAAGAGAAAAGATAGGGGGCGTAGAAGAGGAAGGATCAAGGGGGCGTTTGGAATACGAAGTATAGAGGGGTTTGAATGTCACTAACGAGACAATTACCACACCCTGAGGGGGAAATGATGTTTTGTCCATCTGTATTCATCGAGACATCAAGGTACCGCCCAGCTCGCCAAGATCCATGAGAGCAAACCGAACAAGATAGTCAATCCGATGGTCCCATCAGAAACAACGGAAACCAACTTCACTACGAGATTGGGAGCTGGCCTGAAGAAGTCCTGCTAGGCCAGTGACTCACTGCTTACTTACCCATGGACCAGGTCATCGGGTATATTTTCTTTCCGTCGACCTCGAGTACCAGGAGTTGGGTGCAGGGGAAAAGTATCCGGCACTACGCAAAAGAGGGGGAGGACACCTTGACGGAGAATAGGTCGGTGGTTAGCACCTATCACGCGTCCAGGCGATTGTGATGGAAGTTGCATGAGACGAAGTCGACGAGCTGGTCGATAGGGCTTCCATCTTGGCAACCCCGCATTCGGCCATTCGCCCGGCACAAATGATGCAATGGGCTGAGCGTGGGGCTACATTTTCGCATCGTTTTATCTCTTTTGGTTTGTCACAATACGAACTGTCCTCGGCCCCTCGGTAAGGCGATATTACCCGTGGGCCCGTAGCATCGACCGACTGCGGGCCAGCAGGATGACGAAGATAGGGTTACTAAATGGAGTTGGTGGAGCCCAGGGTCTGTCGTAGTTCCATGGCTGTGCACAGGACACCCGCCAAATGCTTAACTTTACCCCTGTGATTCAGGGTCCATGTGAAATGGGAAAGAATTGCAGGCCAAGACAGAGAGGGAGAGATAGGAGCTTTCTCGAGAGTGGGAGTATACAGATCCTGCCGACGCTGGCTCGCGCCAACACATACTATTTATGGGAATCTGGGAGTATGATTTACCGAGCAGGTCTATCTTCATTTTAGATTTGGCAGAAGAGAAGAATGAGAACAGCCCCAGAGCAACGAGAAAGAAAGCTCCGGGAGAGGGAAAAAACCCCCTCTCCTCCTGGTAGAGGATTATCGATGCAAGGAGGTTGGTAGGTAATTAATTCGCGAGTGACTTACGTAGCGACACCTTCGAATTCGATTGGAGATCTCAGCCCCGATCCACAAGGGTGGCGGGAGTATGCAAAGTATACAAGAGTTTGTTCGACCGTGAACAATTCAACCAGACCAGACGTCCATCGGACTCGGGCGTCCACCCGGTCCGGACAAGAGTCCGTGGCCAACAATGTTCCGCTAGATTGCCATCTCCATCATGTTGAGTGGTTGCTCATATGTCGGGCAACTGTCCAGACGGTTACTCTGTCTCTGGCCCTAGACTGCTTGAGTGGCCTCTCTGATGGGGCTTCTCGCGACCTTTTTCCGCCCCTATAATTTCCTGCTTCCCTAGGAGCTGGTTAGAATGACCCATCGGGAATAATAGACGTGGCCCCACGGAACCTCCCCGAATATCTCTATTGCGGGGGTAGGTGGAGAAGGTGGCTATCTTGGGGCTGAAAAAAGTCAGCCACCATGTGTTTTGGAGTGGAGGTTCTGACGCCTTTACCTTGTGAAAGCATCAGGAGCAGCAATAGCAGCAGGAGCATACGAGTGAATTTGGCGAATTCCACCTCGAATCATGGACCCGATATCGTGCCACCAGGGCAATCCAAGCCAACCATGAACAAGGCGGGCCCCCCTAGAGCTTTGCTGATTTGCAATCCACTTCCCAAGGCGCCGGCGCGCCGCCACGGACCCAGCTGATACGCTCACCTCCTTACCGACATTCTCACCAGGTGGCCGCAACTGTCCCCATCTCCGTCTTACCGACGATAGGCGGGCCATTCTGGGACTTCCGAATCTAAAAGCCTCAGAGTTAAACCCAAATTCAGGGAAAAAAAGCCACAATTACAACGATGATCATATTTGTCGAAAGGGGGAATGCACATGCAAGATACTCGCCCATGTGGTTGGGAGCGAGCATGAGAGCGTCTCTCCGATAAGCAGCAGTTTGCTCGGCATCCACGAGTTGATGACCACTGAAGCCCGATATCCCCGATGATGGGCCAGAGAATAGGGGGTAAGAGAGCCTTAGATTCTGTATCTCCCCGTGCAACCTCTCACAGCGGGAGCGGGAGCCGGAGTAGCAGAAGCAGCAGAAGATCCGACTGGACGGTTTCGGCGGCTGTGCATTCCCTGTTCATCATCTGATCGGTGCCAGCTCATACGGAGACATTATTACTACATCCTGGTCAAACCCGACCAGACACGGGTGTACGGTGACATCGGTTGAGATACCGAGATGGATGGATGGACCCGCGAATCTCTCGTCAGGCTGTGGCTGAAAATAGCCCCAAATACGGTATAGGAAGGTGTAGAAGAATTAGAATTACACCAGTCCATCCGCGTAGAGCACATTGCCACTTGATTTATACATAGAATACACAGTATACATAGCCGGAGAGTTTTTGAATAGCGCCTTGGTCTACCCGGCTCTACGGAGTATACTTCCTCACTTTCATACATCCACCAGGAGTCATGGAGCCACCGAATCATCGACATGCAAGGTGCAATTGAAAATCCCGCCTATCACCCTCGTTTCTCATCTTCTTTTCACCCTGCCGACCACTCACGTTTCTACATTCTCAAATGATGTACAGTTCCGCCAGGATCCACGCAGAAAACCCCCTTTCCTTTCCACCACGCCACCACCCTGCAATGCCGGCTCGGCACTCGGGTATCCTGCACGGTGCAGAGAAATTGTTTCATGTGGATGCAGAGGGTGGCATTTGAAGGCTTGGAGCAGTAGAGAAGTGAAAAAAAAGGAGAAAGAGAGGAGGGGGCCGCTCATGGAGGCGTGCTCAGCGTACGTCTCTCCCAGAAAGACCGAAACTTGGGGCATGATTATTCAATCAGGAGCCCCTGGTCAGTAATCGATTCTCTCCGCTGACCTCGATGGCTCAGGGCCAATGAGACTCAAACCATTGAGACGTCGGGGTTGGGAGCGTGACGGATAGGTTACGCGGTGCGTTGGCGATGCAGCGATTTCGTACTTTTGGGCTTCGACGACCCTGGTCAAAGTCAGGCGATCCGGAGTCCTGGTTGCCAACTCTCTTAGCAGACGGCTGCTATGCCTCGCCAGGTCCAGATCTAGACTCGTCGACTGCTCGCGGCATTCGCGACGGCATCTAGCAATTCCTCGCCCCTCCCCTCCTCAAGCCCCCCAAGCGAGAGGGCTGTAGTCTCAAACGAAATGGGACAGTATCATTCACGGAATCACCGCGTACTGGGGTATAAAATTATACAGCACGTCTTGTGGCGGTCATGACGTTCATTAGCCTCGTCCTAGCAACCTATCATCCTAGCAGGAGCCAGGGCGAGGCCGCAAAACCCATGGCAAACAAGACACGCCTCCTCTCCTACACCATCCCTTCCACTTCCGCTTGGTGGAAACGAAAGGTCGTTTTGAACGAAGCGAGGGCGCTCAGCTCTAAGAAACACAAGAACCAAGAACGGTATTATTCCAATCATATGCATTTTGAGAATCCAATATCTAAAAGCTCCCGGGGAAGAGGTAGGGCCACAAAAATCCAAAGAAATCGGTCATGTCTAGAATCACATCGCTTACCAGCTAGTCACCCCCCGTTCCCGATCAAACCCACCGCGCAACTGAGAGCCCGGCTTTAGCACCTTGCCCTGCAAGACCGTATACCGAATGATATTCTCGCAATCCTCTGGCCGCACACGCGCCAGCCAGATGCCCTGCGCCGCGCCCTCCTGGTCTGCGTCCGCGCCGTCGCGCTTGTACCACTCGAAGTCGCGGCGCCGGTAGACGATCACATTGGCCGAGTATTTGTGTCCACCGACATGGCTGATGAAATAGATGCCCACGCCGCCGGGCCGCGAATCGTCCATGTCGCGGTACAGCCCGAGCGGGCGGAGATGGCGCTCGAATTCACGGCGCAGAAGAGGGGCAGATTGGCCACAGCGGGCATCACGGGTGCGCTGCGAACAGAGGAGAATGACGGCAGCGTGAGGGCAGGGATGAGAACGGAGTGGTGTGGAGCTGATGGATGTGCTGGCTGGGTGTAGTGGCTGCGGCTGCGGCTGTTGCTTCTCCCCCTCCCCCTGCGGGCTTTGTGGTAATGAGGCTGTCGACGAGGCATCAAGTGGGGTCGTCGTGGTCAAAGACTTGTTGACAAAGTGCTCGATCAGATCCGGGGCAAGTTGTGGGGTGACGTTCTCCACGAGTGTGAAGCTGGGGAGAAGCAGCACGTTGGTGGGCTGCTTGCCAGTCTCATGCATGTGATATTCGTCCGGGACAGGCATGTTCGAAGCTGACAGCTTGAGTCTCTATGGAGGTAAGCCGTATGAGTGACGCGTTCGTTTAATTGCTTTTCGTTCTCTCTGATTGTTCTGCTTTTGGTTGGACAGGGGGTGAGAGTGTAAATATCTTACTCCATTGCTCGGTTCTACTCCTCCTTTCTCAATAGCTTCCATGACACTTCCTACTTCGTCGGCCACGTCGCGCACCCAATCTGACTTGCCGGTGGCTACCAGCACATGGGTTGCCCATCCCTTGACCTGGCCGTATAACTGGTCCTCGTAATCGACATCGAATTTGGCGGGGTATTTCACTGTGCATGTTGCGCAGTCATGCAGACACTCGTCACCGTCTATTGCAGGGTCTACCTTGGTGAATAACTGATCGGATGCCGAGATTGACTGGAACCCCTCCTTGGCCAGGGCGTTGTCACCCACCGCATCAGTGTCCGTGTCAGTGCGGGAGGAGGCGAGGGATACATTGGAGGAGCTAAAGAGGGAAGCCGTGCCCCGGCGGAAGAGATGCATGGTGTCGGCGGGGATTAAGGTCTTCAAGAGCGTCTGTGATGATAAAATAGGAATCGATTCGGGCCTGCGACGAGGGGATGAATCGCCTTTTCCTTTCGCTATCACGCGTAACGCATTTGACACAATCTTATCAATCTTTTTGCATTTCTGCCAAGAGGCTCGGAAAGAGTTCCGCATGACTAAGCCCCCACCGGGGCCGATTGGTGCTATATTAACCCCGTGGAATATCGGTCTATAACTAATGTACACGTTCTGATGGGGTGGAGTGCCAAATGTGGGCCTGTCTAGGTTCTACGACCTGCGTAGTGGTGGATGGTATAGGGCAGATCCCCCGGATTTCGTACAGGCGCTAGGCGAATCACACTGCCTCCTGAGCTGCCCGATTGCGCCGAGTGCACGCGTCGAAGCGATCGGGTCGATGGGGTGCGAATGGATCGTTGCGCGTCATAAGAGCCGCTGCCGAGCGAGAAGCCAGACACTGGGCTCTGGGCGACAGGGGCAGTGTCATACCCAGATTGGGTTTCCCACGTCGATGCATTGGATGGTCGGCAACTATCGCTTCGCACAGGTGTGAAAGCTCCATCGTAACCGAAGTGGTCAACGGTATCAGTTTCCCCTTCTTCATCGTAGGGTCCAATGATGGACTCGCTATCTGCGCGCCCGTAGCTCGCGTTGTCTCGAATCTCGTCTAGGACGAGTGGTGCAAGGGATGTCATCCCTCTCAAGATCTCGGCAAAAAGATGCATGAGCTCGCGGAATTCGGCTTCATAGAGCTGATTTGAAGAAAATCGTGCTTTCTCATAAAGCGCTAGAAATCCAGCACCAAGTTCTGGAGGATTGATCGCTCCCAGCAATGTGAGGTGCCGGATATATTGCCGCAAGCCCATCGATTCTGGCCGCTGCAGCGCTTCCACCACACGTGTATCGGGGAAATAATCGGAGGCATCTGATGCAAGGCCATCGGGTGGGGCAAGTGAAACGGCTTTTGCTTCAATCAAATTGGGCAGTTCTTGGATGATGGTACGGTACGGTAGATCCGGCAAATCAGGCGAGGCGGGCGAAGACCAGCCAGGGTGCTCAACATGACCCCAAGGTGGGTGGTTAGGGTCGACCAAAAGATCCTTGAAACTCTGGAAGTTGTTGGATTCATCTGTAGTATCACGCGGGCGGGCTTGATACGAAATGACTGCGCTGCGAGCAAGCCCTTCCATCACAAGACGCCGTACGCTTTTGCTCACGTCTTCCTTTTCCACGGGAATCCATGCCTTCGGAATGCGAGCTAAAGTACTGCGGTTGGTATAAATGCGAGTCGCGTATATGAGAGCCGCCAGAATAAACGTAATGACATAGGCGCCGGTGATGAAGAAGATATTCGTTAGTCGGCTCGTTTCCCAGCATTGGTAGATGGCATCGGCTGGAGTCAGGATAATAAGACAGAAGAGGACAACAGCAAGTAAAAAGAAAAAGCTCGAATTCAGGAAGCTTTCAAGTCTCGCGATCATGACTGCCCGCGCATGCTGTGCGGACTGCACAACATCTGGTGGTTGGGTCAGTTGGTCGCAAACATTCAAGCCGCGATGCGCTTTCCAATTAAGTCATAGTTTGGTCACGTGTTAGCGGTCCATCGGGGAGTTAGTTTTGTACTTACTTCTTCTGGGGCATATAGGAATTAGCAAACATGGAGTAGTTTTGCATCTATAAGGATTTATACTACAAACAGTTCTTATTTCTTAGTTTCTGAAGCACAACTCTCGACCTCCCGCTCCTAGCCCTGGTGCAAATCATCAACCTCGAGCTCCGGTCCGGTACCTGGATATCACATGATCCCCGCATCTCCGCAACTCAAAAAAAAACAGCGCTCTAAGCTTCAACGTTCTCCAAATAACGAAGCCATGGGTGGAAACGAGGGCTCTCGAGAGCCACAGGAAATTTACATTCTGGTCACCGGGGCAAATAGGTATGCGAAAGTCCCATATCTCCTTGAGAAGAATGCCGTCGGCGCCTTCTATCCAAAAAGGGGTTAACTAAAACTAACTGACCTTCGCAGCGGTCTCGGATTCTCGATATGCTGTCGCCTTGCCGACGAATTCCTTTCCTCACACCCTGAAGAAGACTCACTTACCGTCATATTTACGACACGAAGTTCCCGAAAGGCTCAGGAGACCCGCCGCCGTCTAGAAGCACACCTGAAATCCTCCGCATCCTCCTCCGAGACCCCTCGCGTGAAATTTGTCTCCGAGAGTGTCGACCTCGGCGACCTTCTTTCGGCTCGCAAACTCTCCCGGCGACTTCTACGCACGATCCCCAAGCTCGACGCTATCATTCTAAATGCTGGAATTGGCGGTTGGTCCGGACTCAATTGGCCCGCCGCTGTCTGGGGCGTGTGCACCGACCTAATCCAGCAAGTGACATGGCCTACCTATAAGGTCGCGCCTGCTGGTGTCCTGACGCGTAAGCAGACAGAGAAGGAAGAAGAGCCGCCGCTGGGGTCGGTATTCTGTGCCAATGTTTTTGGTCACTACATGCTGGCGCATAACGTGATGCCCCTATTGAAGCGCGCGCAAGCACCCAGTGGACCGGGCCGCGTGATTTGGGTATCAAGCATCGAGGCGACGGTCAAGGCATTTAATGTCGATGACATCCAGGGCCTGAAAACTTGTGTCCCGTATGAGTCGTCCAAGGCCCTCACCGACATCCTGGCCTTGACTTCGGATCTCCCTAGTGCCGCGCCGTGGGCCATCGATAGTTTCATGCATTCGGACGAGGATTTCGATACTGGGGACTTGTCTCCTACCTCGAATACCCCGGCCATATATCTTTCGCATCCTGGCATTTGTGCGACATCCATCGTACCCCTCCCGTTGCCCCTCATATGGGCCATGGTAGCTGCGTTTTGGCTTGCGCGCATGCTAGGCTCCCCTTGGCACACTATGTCCACATACCTTGGTGCCTGGTCACCTGTCTTCCTCGCACTGTCGACCACAGCTGCGCTGGGCGCCGCCGAATCTCCTTATCGTCAATCGGGCGGTGGCAGGGTGAAATGGGGTTCGTCTGCCAGCCGATCCGGAGTAGGCAACCTGTGTAGCACCGAGATCGAGGGCTGGGGATACGGTGGTGTTGTTGGTGCTCCTGTTGTTGAAGCCGATCGCCTTCGCCGTCGAAAGCGCGGTGCGACCGATTTGACCCTAGAGGAGAAAGAGAATTTTGAAGAGCTGGGGCGCCAGTGTTGGAAACAAATGGAAGAAATGAGAATCAAGTGGGACAGCATCCTCGATGAGGCAGAGAAGAAGAAGCCTACGGCTGAAAACGCTCAGTGAGAAATGACAGAATGATGGGGCTGGCCCCAGGTTCAGCCCCAGCGTACTTGCATAGGCTCCGATCCCTTCGGGCGAGAGCCCGACTGTACTTCAAAACCAGAATCTACCTGTAATCTAGTGCGATCTAATCATATAGAACTCTTCCAATGGATTGAAAACTACCTACTTATTGAATGTTGCCAAAAAACCTTACGCGGTCTTGAATCTTTTTATCAGAGCATGGTGGTTGTTTTTTAAAATTCCGCCTCCCAATTATTTACATCAACAGAACCCACCCCGTGCCCATCATATCATTAAAACAGATATTGCATGTCTTTGCCCGCCAATTGCGAAACAAGTACCAGCAGAAAACACAAAAAGGCGCAAAGGAGTGGGGGGGTAGATAAATAAGAAGCAGACCTTGTCTGCAACAATGTGTACCTAGGAGAGAAAAAAAGGGAGAGCTCTGACTGATATCAGTGCAATAAGAGAAAACAGAAACTACTAAAAGAGGTTATTGTTGCGAATAGCCGAATAATCGCGCATCTCCACCATCTAGGTTTTGGGACGTTGTCGATTATCGGAGGAAACACGAAGAGGATAGTATTGCGAGCATAATTGCGGAGAAAGGCGATCGACTATCGCGTGGGCGATAGGCAAGAGAAGAGAAGATCACGCAAAAAACGACTCCGTTCCATGCATCAAGACGGGAGGAAGAAAGGTATCGGAAAGGCGAGAAGGTGGATGTGTTGTAAGGGACGTATCGACGTGAAGGAGAGGAAGAGGATTACATGATAATCGCAGGAACTAGGAGTTTTTAATTAGTTTTATAACCCTAGGGAAACCGGAATTCGCGGGAAAGAAAGCTTACCATCAATGTTTTGCTTGATGCTCTTGTGCGGCAAGATGGAACCGCCATTGACGTACACTTCGTCGGCAATGGTAACATCATCCCCAAGAACAGTGACGTTCTCTAGACGAGCCCAGCGGCCAACGGAGCTGTTCCAACCAACGATGGTCGACTTGATCCAAGCATGGTCCTTGACCTTGCTGTTCTCCATAACGACGCAGCGCTGGAGACGAACGCCGTCGCCAATCACGACATTAGGACCAATGACAACGTTGGGGCCAATACGGCAGTTGTTACCAATCTTAGCCGAGGGGTCGACCATAACGTTGCCGCCGTGCACGTAGGGTTCAGAGGTGGAGGCGAGCTTCTTCGGGTTGCGCTTGGACAAGGAGGAGAGGTACAGACAGGTACCAGTGAGGAAATCCTTAGGCTGGCCGACATCCATCCAGAAGCCCTCAAGGTCAAAGGAGTGCAGCTGGCCGTCCTTGCAGATGGCGGGGAAAGTCTCCTGCTCGATGGAGGTGGGGCGCAGGTCAATGCGCTTCAGAACACTGGGGTTCAGGATGTAGATACCGGCATTAATACGGTTGCCGACGAATTCAACAGGCTTCTCGACGAAGCGGTCGATACGCGAGGGGTGGCTAGGCTTGTGAACGACGACACCGTACTTGGAGGGCTCGTCGACCTTGGTGACAACAATAGTACCCTCATCACCGTGATTCTTGTGGAACGCAGCGAGATCCTGGAAAGGATAATCGCAGATGATGTCTGAGTTCAGCACAAAGAAAGGCGAGTCGTCCTTACCCAGGATCTTCTCCGCCAGCTTCAGCGGGCCGGCCGTGCCCAGCGGTTCCGACTCGACTGAGAATTCAATGTTGACGCCATATTGCTCCTCGTACTTCTTCAACGCTGCGACCATAACATCGGGACGGTAGTTGACAGCCAGCACGATATCGGTAACACCAGCGGCAGCCAAGCTTTCGACTTGGTGGAGAATCATAGGCCGGTTACCAAACTCAACCAGAGGTTTAGGGAGAGTGAGGGTCTAGACAAGTAGATGATTGTCAGTCAGGGGAACATTAAAAGTCCATTGGCCGATCGAGCCCGTCGAACAAGCAAGCATGAAGGGCATTCCATCGGTCAATGGGGTGAGAGTGGTATGGGAGAGGTCGTTGATCGGCAGCCACTTACCAGAGGACGCAGACGGGTCCCGAAACCTCCGACGAGAATGAGAGCTGCGGCGGTCAGTATGGATGGTATGGAGAGGCAGCGAGGGGTATGTGGAGAGGAGAGGACACCTACCCTTCATGGTGGGGAAGATGGAGACGACAAGAGACACAAATCTAGATTGAGGAGGTGTAGAAGGGCGAGATGCAATGACCCAGCTCTTCACAGCAGGGAGAGGGATGGCATTATTTAGGGAACACCTGGCCGTTGATGGATTTATTTTTATCGGGGGGTAGCAAGGTGGGGCACGTGAGTGGCACCATGATTGGCGGCGAGAGGCACGTTTGCAGCGAAAAAGGGGGCGGACCCTTCGATTTACATCAAACCACCACTTCCTTTTCCCAATTCAAAGTCCGTCCGAGAAATTGAGGTATCGACCAAGTCCTTGAAGGTCACTCAAGTCACTCTTTAATGCAAGAGCCGCTGAGAATCCCCCCCCTCCCCTAATCCCCCTGTTGCAGCGCTTGTTGGGAGTAGTCGGCCTGAAAACTGGGTCGGACTGGGTCTGGCTAGCCCAGCCCATCCCGGGCGATGTATCCAATGCTGCCGCCTTTTGACTGGATCGGGACCACCGAGCTGGCTTCCCCGCGAACTTAGAGCGGCCATACTCACATCACGGGTCAGACGATGTCGCCCCTGAAGGTGGCATTGTCTTTGGTCGGTTGCGGTTACGGCCAACCTGGACGCGTGGAGTAAAGAATTAGACAGGCGTGTTTCGCCCCCATCCCGTCTGTCATCTGCCCGAAACAAACCGCTTGCTGTCAACTGCGGCGCCGCAAGGGCTTCTGCGATGCTTCCATCCCCTTCCGCTTTACTGCGTGTCCGGGGGCAGTCGATGGCCACGTTGTGTCTGAGACATTCCGGAGAGGTGACCGCCTGCTGCATCCGTCGTCGCACTCACAAACCGGAGGATCCATTCTCGTACTCTGCGAGCCTTTTCTAGCGACAGATCGGCGATTGAAGTGTCGGGAAAGCTACTCCGTTGGAGAATACCTTCGAATAGCCCACCCGCATCCGTCACATCTACTGGCTGCCGGTGCAATAAGTCAACTTGGGTCATCCCGCCGCGTAGACTCTGCCCGTAGACCCGATCCCGGAAGGAACCGAGCCCTACAGTTCGAAGCAAGATGATGTCTTGTGGACGGAGCATAGCAAGTGATCGACCAAGGCGATCGGCCTCATGGGTCTTGGCGGCCAATGGCTTTGCCGCTGGGAGCCAGAAGTTGACCCCAAAGCCAGTTCTTGTCTCGTCCCCGACAACCATTTCGATGATATCAAATTCACTTTTCCATTGGCGAGTCACCACGCGCCGCGGTGGATGGACAGCAATGATTCCAACAATCAGGTTGACCGTGATCGTCTGTGGCGTGATGGACTCTAGATAACTCGCAGTGGGGAGATCCTGTAGATCGGAAAGAGAGCCTGGAATGCGGAAAGAAGGTATGGCATGCCCGTCTTGTTCGGTAGGAGCGCAGGTAGTAGATACTTCTATACTCTCCAGTGCTGCTCTGTTTTCTTGTGTGGAATATTCTTGTAGTCTTGAGAGTGAGATCTCCTGTGTTTCATGCACCTGAAATGAACGGTCGTAGAACTCGGAAAGTATCGAGTCTTCCTCCTGCGAGGAATCATTCTCTGCAGTCATCAATTGATTGGAAATCAAGAAGCTGGGATGTTCTGTCCCATAGTAAAAATCATGATGAACATTCGGTCTTTCGAGCAGCCGAGGCTGGAGAACCCTCCACTTGGCGGGTCGTTGGCTGGAGCTTATAGGCCCTTGGTCTGTTGAAGTTCTTTGTAGTTCCGGCGAGTGTCTGTCTTGGAACGGCTGCATGGCTGCATTGAGAAGTTGATCATGATCCCAATCCAAACTGCTTGGCAATGGAGCGCCCATCAAAAAGATCGTCTTCAGGGACATCATGATATGGAGCCTCGCTTCCTGCGGGTTCTATATTTCTCGTCTCGAATGAGCCTCGATTCAAGAATGCAATCTGATGATGCCGGAGTTCGTATGGTCTGGGCTGAGAGTCTTGTCAATTTGCCAGAAAACCATGGGATATAGGGCTGTCAAGGCAGGAGAGATAGTCCCGGCAGTGCAGAAGGGGATGTTGATCTTTGCATAATTACTTGGGACTGTGTTGGTGTAAGTTGTGGAAGGTTGGAGGTTAAGAGACACTAATTATTAGCACAGGAACTGGATCAGACCTAAGGAACCATGGAAAGGTCGCATGGCACATTTATATATACGTATACCAACGCTTCCAATGATAGTCCTCGAAATCCCCCCACGACATCTACTAGAAAACTATATTGTAGTAAATGCCGACTCTTTCAAAAAATGATATTCAATCGATACGTCCTCCCAAGAAGTTCTCACCAGCTCGTAATGATCTGAAGTGGAAATGAGCATGGCTGATGCCTTAGGAGACTAGCACGTGACCTTATACGGGGACCGATCTGGGCCTAAGTGGCAACTGGCAACCGAGAGTCGCCGCAGTCCCGGCGGAGGGTGAAAGCCATCGTCACTATCCTTCCTCTCGCCTCCACTTTCACATCTGGCCATGGCGCTTATCCCGATCAGAGGTTGAAACTTTGCCCGCATCTATTTAGCTACGATTCCCTATCCCTACGCCTAAGAGGAGCAAATTCTCCTCTTTCACGCGGCCGAGTGCCGCTGTATATCGGACAATTATGGCCTTTCAAGTCCCGATCTCCGGACCGGTAATAATCACTTTGTCGCTTTCTCGTCCGAAGAGGTATCGCTGATATGTTTTCTATCTTCAGAATGTGGCCGCGGTGACGTCGGAACTCTGGCCTTCTATGTCCAGTGTCTTGACTGCTCCTTTCAGACAGACTAGCCGAGTCCCGACGGCTGGGACTCGAGAGACCGGGCAAAGGAGCCCTAGAGCAGAAGAGAATACGGTGGTAGGTTTTCCAAGGACCTTGATAGGAGATAAGTATTGACTCAACCAGTCCCGGCAGCGCCTGTCTCTTCCGGAATGCCTTGACACTGTGTCCTTGGAGGCCCTGAGGGCCGGCCTGGTGAACAGGACTGCGTCGCGTGGCTTTTCGCCAGTGTTGAATGGAAGTAAGTTCTGTCTCTCCAAGCATCTCAGATAGTGTGCTCATCTGGCTTCTGTTTGGCAATAGATAACCTGTTGTGGACTTCCTCCTCTCTCGGTTCAGCGAGTGGGCTTGCTTCCTCGACGGCACGATCCTTTTCAACCTTGACTCCTTTCCACCTCCACTCTCTTCGTCCTGCGTCAAAGGTCAACGGCCTGTCTAGACTTCAACAACAACGATTTATCTTTGGTGGACCGTCCCAGAATCTACTAGCCCAGAAAGAGAAGACTGCGAACAACAATCCGAATAGCGCCAATGCACAGAATACGTTCTATCAGGCTCTCCTGCGCGCGAACATGCCAGCGATTGTCGTCGAAAGATATCGCAGTGCTCAATTTGCGAGTAATGCGGCATCCGAGGCGATATATGCGAAGGCGTTGGAACGCGTTGGTGGCACCGAATCCGGCGCTATCGGAGGGCACCAGAATCTCAACCAGGACCAGCTGCAGGCAATCGGCCAAGCAGTTGCTGCGCGGTCTCACGGTGGCCAGATTGGCATGGCAAACAAGCCCAATGGGACCGGTGCCAAGGAGGCTCCTTTGTATGTAGTAGTCGAGGAGTCTCTGGGTAACACTGTCTTCCGCTGGGTCAAATTTTTGCTGATCTTTGGCTTCTTCACATATCTGTCCCTTGTCCTGATCACTATTCTCGTTGAAACCACCGGTGTTTTGAAGAATATCCGCGGTCAACAGAACAATGAAGCCCAGCCCGAGAAACAAACTGTCCGTTTCAGCGACGTTCATGGCTGTGACGAGGCCAAGGATGAACTGCAGGAGCTGGTCGAGTTTCTTCTGAATCCCGAGCGCTTCTCATCCCTGGGTGGAAAGCTCCCCAAGGGTGTGCTTCTGGTTGGTCCTCCTGGTACTGGTAAAACTCTTTTGGCTCGGGCTGTGGCTGGTGAAGCCGGTGTCCCGTTCTTCTATATGTCTGGCTCTGAATTTGATGAGGTCTACGTGGGTGTTGGCGCTAAGCGTGTTCGTGATCTCTTCAGCCAAGCCCGTGGCAAGTCCCCTGCGATTATCTTCATCGACGAATTGGATGCCATAGGTGCGAAGAGAAACGAGCGCGATGCGGCTTACGTGAAACAGACGCTGAACCAGCTTCTGACCGAGCTTGATGGCTTCTCTCAGACTAGCGGTGTCATCATCATCGGCGCTACCAACTACCCGCAGCTGCTGGACAAGGCATTGACCCGTCCTGGTCGGTTTGACCGCAAGGTTGTCGTCGGTCTGCCAGATGTTCGTGGTCGCATGGATATTCTGCGACACCACATGAAGGACGTTCAGATTAGCACTGATGTTGACGTTGGTGTGATTGCTCGCGGAACCCCGGGCTTCTCAGGTGCTGATCTGGAGAACCTGGTCAACCAAGCTGCGATCCATGCTAGTCGCGACCGCAAGCTTAAAGTCGGACCTCTAGACTTTGACTGGGCCAAGGACAAGATCATGATGGGCGCTGAGGCTCGCAGCCGTATCATTCAGGATAAGGATAAGCTTCTAACTGCTTATCACGAAGCTGGCCACGCCTTGGTTGCTTACTTTTCCCCCTCCGCTACCCCTCTGTACAAGATCACCATCGTTCCCCGCGGCATGGCTTTGGGTATTACTCACTTCTTGCCCGAGATGGATACTGTCTCACGGAACTATACCGAATACCTGTCCGACATTGATGTTTCCATGGGCGGCAAGGCCGCAGAAGAGCTCATCTTCGGACCGGACAATGTTACCAGCGGTATTTCAGCTGTAAGTCTCAATATTTCCTTCTTGTGTGGATTTTTTCACTAAACCATCATATTTTTTCGCCACAGGATATCCAACAAGCAACTGAGACTGCCTTTACCCTGATCACTCGTTTCGGTTACTCAAAGAAGTTGGGCAATGTCGATCTCTCGACCAACTATGACAGCCTGTCCTCGGAGACGAAACAGGAGATTGAAGGCGAAGTGCGCCGGCTCGTCGAAGAAGCCCGCGCCCGCGCTGAAAAGATCTTAACAGAGAAGCGGAACGAATTGGAGATTCTGACGAAGGCTTTGATCGAGTATGAAACCTTGACCAAGGAGGAGATGGAGAAGGTCCTGCGCGGCGAGAAGCTCGACAAGATGTCATCCTCACCCAGCGCCCCGCTCAAGCTCCCTGACGCGCTGCAGGCGGCTAACTTGAAGCCATCGACCGCGACAGAGGGTCCGCCTACTGTCGCGGAATAAGCTTGTCTTAGGTCGGCTGTATGGTTTATTTCTCCTCTCTTGTACTTGTTCACCTTTTTTTAGCTCATTTTGATCTGTTTCCCGGCCGTTTGTCTCTATTATTCTCTCAACATTGTGCATTCCCGGATCGTTCGGGCGTCTCTATTGAAATGGCCATGCTTGTTCGCGTTTCTCATCCCCTCATTTTTTCTTTTCTACCAAATTCTTGATCTTATCACCCTTGATGCTACATATTCATCCGTGACCAAAATTTCCTTCTTCATTCTGTCCACTCCGGAATGTCTTATTTCTCTCTCGCAAGTCCAAGTATACTCCTGTACATACAATTCTTGTATGCCTTCCCTCTATTTACTACCCTGTCCTAAACACTAGTCACTCAGACTAGCCAAATGAAAAGCATCTAGGTGAAACCCTCGTATTAGCATTCCACCCCACAAAACCGTAATTCAGATCCCCTCTTCTCCGCCGCACGTAATGCACCATTATCCAAGGAGTATATAGAGTGCATGGAGGCCCCCTTGTTTAACCAAGTCCTACGTCAGGATCTCCCATCCCAACCTCGATCGGCTTCACCAGGCCCAAAGGTCAAGCCCGAAAGACCCACGACCCGTCTCTCCACTTAACTTCCCTTCCCGTTCTCAATGGCTGGTATCTCTCCCGACCACGCCCACGCCCGTCCGGTTCCTGACATGGGGGTGCGCTGGTGCGCCCCGAAGATCCACGGCGGATGCCCAGTTCCCGTGGCGGGATGATGTCGAGCTCCACCCCGCGGGTGGGTGATGTCATCGTCCGGGCCCCGCACTGTCGGCGATCCTTCACATTCGGTGCCTGGTTCGTGAGTGCAATTGACGCAATTGTTTTTCCCAGATTGGGGCAAAGGGTTGGTACTTTTTTCTTTTGTTCTCATTTTGGAGAGAGTTTGCGCGAATGTATACATAATCGGGGCAGAGATGACTGGGATCTAAAGAGGCAAGTGCTTGGATTGGATTGGGTGGGGGGAGGGGGTATTAGGGAAGTTGGTGTTCCAACCATGTGGGGGAAGTATAGTACGAGAAATCCAGTCGGTTAATTATATGTAGTAGATACGGAGAGGAAAGCAGATTTGGATATGACTTTGGATTTTTTTTTTGGATTTTGAATTATTCATTTCACAAAGATATCAAGATTTCAAACGTTCCCGCTGATGTGTACACAAAATGCACCCGGACGTCGAGACGTCATAAGTCAATCGCAAAAGGAACTGGACATGAAAGAGAACAAGAGATAAGGGGAAATGGTTAACACAATGGTAATGTGGAAATAGAGAAGGTGAAAAAAAGAGGCGAAAATAAGAACAGACAAAAACAAGAAGGCCAGCTTTTCGCCGCCTAAATATCATAGCTGGGAAACACAACCATCGTCACGGTCATGAAGACAGGCGGCATATAGTATGTCTTGTCGGGGCGCCTATTAGGGGCAGGGGCTGTCTAGTGAGGAATCTCTAAATATGTATAGCGAGAATGGGTGTATATTGTGGGCGGATATTGGCCCCATGTGCCCTTTGAAAATGAAAAATCACAGCTGGGTGATCCAGTCCGCTCCAGAGAAAAAAGAGTATGGCAGGGAAGAGAAGTCGGTGGTGTTGAAAGTGGGAAAGATTCATGTGGTCGTGGCTCTCTCTGAAGCGGCTTGACGTGCCGAGAAGGAAATGGCATATCAACTGAATCCCAAACGTGCGGATGATAGCAAAGGCTAGCTCGCAGTCATGCCGGTATCATGGAAAGAAGAAAAGCGCAAGTGGTATAAAATGCATGGCGGGGCAGGTTTAATCGACGTCAGACTCGTCGTCGGCCTTGGCCTCCATCCAGCCCCGGGACATCTCCACGGCCTTAGACCACCGTTTGTACATCCGTGCGCTGTCTTTAGGCGAGATCTGAGGGGTAAAGGTGGCGCGATTGGCGCGGTTCATGTGTTTCAGGTCGCTGAATTCCTGCCACACATCGATGGCAAAAGCGGCGGCAATGGCTGCTCCCAGGGCAGTGGTTTCGTGCATTGCAGGGCGTTCAACGGGGATTTGAATGATATCAGCTTGAGTCTGAAGAGAAAAACAAAAAGGTCAGTAATCCAGGAGTGCTTCCTCAATACGGGCTGATCGGGTTGCCTATGATTTCATACCTGCATGCAAATATCGGAATTGCTCATGCCACCGTCCACAGCCAATTCGGTGAGTGCTTTGCCGCTGTCCATCTCCATGGCATCGAGAATTGCTTTAGTTTGGAAGCACGCCGCCTCCATGGTGGCGCGGGCAATGTGTCCTCGTTGTGTGTGATGAGTGATGCCCCCTATGGCTGGAATTAGCGCCGCCGAATGGTTACTCTGTATCGAAGACATGACTTACAAATCGTTCCCTGGGCATCGTCAATCCAATATGGTGCAAAGAGACCACTGAATGCAGTCACAAACACACAGCCTCCACTATCCGGCACGGTGGCTGCCAAGTCACTGACTTTTCGGGAGTCTCGGAAGAAGCCCATGTTGTTCATAAGGAACGATACACCACTGCCTGCCACGGCCACGCTGCCCTCGAGAGCGTAGACCGGTTTACGGTCCCGGCCTAGCTGGAAGCCGACAGTGCCGAGCAGGCCGTGTTTGGAGATAACAGGCTTCTCGCCTACATTGTAGAGTAGGAAACAGCCGGTTCCATAAGTGTTTTTCGCAGTTCCGGGGGTGAATGCACAGTGACCGACCAGGGCAGCAGCTTGGTCACCGAGGCAGCTTGTGATGCGGACACCTTCTAACGGGCCCTCGTAGATCTCACCAAAGCCCTCCTTGTCGGCTGAGGGCAGGATCTCGGGCAGGCGAATCTTGTTGCGGTCGATGTCGAAAAATTTGAGGAGGCGGTCGTCGTATTGGAGTGTCTCGAGGTTCATGAACATGGTGCGCGAGGCGTTGGTCACGTCGGTGACCAGACGCTTGTTCAGGGGACCGCCATTGAGGTTATAGATGAGCCAGCTGTCGACGGTTCCGAAGGCGGCCCGGCCCTCGTCATACGCCGACCGAACGTCGGGAAGGTTGTCCAGCATCCATCGCAACGTGACCGAGGACGGGTATGTGGAGAGGGGCAGACCGCAGATGTTCACCAGGTCGTCGGCGCCGGGCTTCTCCTTGAGGTCACGCACCAGGTTCATGGTACGGGTGTCGGTCCAGGTGATGGCATTGTGCAAGGGCTCACCGGTCTCCCAGTCCCACACGAGAGCGGTTTCTCGCTGACTGGTAATGCCGACGGCCTCGATGTCGGAGCGGGAATGACCCAGGGCGAGGAAAGATTTCATAGCCTCCTCGATGCAAATGAAAACGGACTCCACCAATTCGTAGGGATCTTGCTCGTGCCATCTGTTGGACCCGATAGGGAGCAGCCATGGTTAATTTGGGATGGTTTTTTGGAAAGGTGCGTTCCCTTATTGTGCGAGACGGGGCGGGAAGAGGGGGAGTAGACTCTGGGGGATCCCATTTTGGTGGGGGTGAGAGGGGGAGAGAGGGGAGGGGGTAGGTGGCTTACCCAGGATGCTCGTGAATCTGACGGAATTCCGTTTGGTATTTAGCAATAGGGACGCCTGTGCAATCGAAGATAATGAAACGGGTGCTGGTGGTGCCCTGATCAATGGTGCCAATGAACCGCTCCTTCAAGTCGTCGCCACGATGCTCTTCATCTTGGAGAATGGCACGATCTCCGTCATCGGTCTCTTTCGGTCGCACGTCCACTTCAAAGTGCTGGTCAAACTCATTGGGGGGTTGGAGTCCCCATCCACGCTGTTGTCATCCAGTTCAAACGGATTCCGCATCTTCTGTGTGGTGGTGCGAGAGCTGGAAAGAGAGGGGAAGATAGAGAAAGAGGGAGAGAAGAGGGAGGAGAGAGGAAAGCGAGTGCACGGCGGGGAGTAGATCGGGCCGTTGCAGCTGGTCCAGGGTCAAGCGGTGCAGTGGTGGCGGTAAGGAAGGTGTTGGTTGGGGTTTAGAAAGTGCGGGGGAAGTCGAAGATTACGCGCCTGCAACGAGCAGCGAATCCAAAAAGTCCGGTGAAGAAAGTCGGGGGTGCGAGCTACGGGCGCGTGGGCGGGTAGAGCCAACCGGGTAAAGAGGTGTATGGATATATAGAGGTGGGTAGAAGGTGTAAATGGTTAGGTGGTGAAGGGAATGGGCGAGTATGTAGCAAATAGCGCAGATAGCGAGAATAGGTACGGGAGGACAAGGTTAAGAGGAGAAGCAGGAAGAGCGTTTCACCCAGACGAGCCCAGCAATCCCAGAATCCAAGAAATCCCAGAAATCCCAAGATCCAAGAATCCCTAGGAAGCCAGCGAAAAGTGGAGCGTTGACGTACGAGGGGCGACGGGGAAGGCAAAAACCAAAAAAACCAAAAACCAAACCGAAGCCCGCCGAGCTGGCGACGCTTGGGCGACTCTTTATCCAACCGGGTGGGCCAGTGCCAGGGCGGTGCCCCCCTCAGACAGTCCCCGTAGGGGCTCCAGTAGGGAGCCCCCGTCACCCCCCTATGCCCAGGTACTGTGCTGGACGTGCTGGCCCGGACGGAGTATATCCCACGATCCACTTTCCCCACTCATCTTTCGAACGCCCAAATCCGGTTCGGGGGTTTCTTTTTTTTTTTTTTCTGATCAGAAGACCAAGTTAACTTCCACCGGGACCCCCACTTTGACCCTGAGAAATGCTGGAGGGGGGCAATGGGAGCAAGTACCTCTTGTACTCTATGCTCCATCCAATCTGTCCACTTAATCAATAGATCTATATAAAACCTGGGTGCTTCGCCTGCGATGCGGGATGAGTCCTCTAGATGGAATCACCTGTAGGTCCACGGTGGATATGTCTGTCTCTGGACACTCGGATTCTTGGGATCGCTAGCTCTCCTATTCTGTCAATCCATGTACTCCGTGTAGACGGGGGGAAAGGGACAGAACGAGTTCCACTCGGTTTAGTTCCCAGAAGCCGTCGATCGAGGCACATGACACTCTCCGTTTTTTTCTTTCACGGGTTCTAGACTGCTCGACTGCGCAGGACCTTCCCCCCCTTTTGGCGTCTTGGCCTCTAGTTCGGCAACCAAATAATCCAAGATCGATACCCTGCAGTTTGATACCCGCCACTTTCTTTCCCCCCCCCCCCCTTGGATTTCAGTTGCCGTCTCCTATTCACGGAAGAATCCCACCGGAAGAATTATTCGATTTCCTTCCACCTCCCACTCCCGTGCCATAATCCGCCGTCTTCGGCTTGATCATTTTTCCTGGGCCTAGTCGCGACCAAGAACAACCCTCGAAGCCCCCTTCGTTCCTTCTTTTGTTTTCTTCTTGCATTGCATTTGCTTGGCACCACCCTTGAGGATCTCCACAATCCACTTCATCCGCTATTTACCAATAACGCCTCCCCGATCACCGGCCCAGACTTTTTTTTATACTACGTATTTTATATCCCTTCAGAGATTCGCGACGCCCTCCGTCTGGTCGATCTTCTCCCCTTCCCCGTATTTTCCAGGCCATGATTCACCACACCTTTGTTCGTTCGCTCTGGAAGCTTTAGCGCTTGGTTGCTCCAATCATGTTGCCGCCGTTGGCGGGTGATGACGTCCGAGACGTGGGGAGCAACCGGGCCTGATACCGCCCGGCAGAGTAGTTGGCGGCCTATCGTGCCGGACCTTCAAGGCATACCTACCTCACATATTACAACCTGCTTTCAGGGCTGGTTCGAAGAGCCGATGGCGCGAGAATGTGAATGGCTGAAATCCGGTCGCCACACGCGGGCGGGACCGCGTAAGTTAGATCTGCTGTCAGACCTAGTCTCGTAGGACAAAGTACATTCCAAGATGTTTCTCCTCCCAAAGCACCAAATCCTCCCTCTCGCGGGGAAGAAGAGAGATCGTGTCCGGGCTGCCAGGAACAGGGACGTGCGCGTTAGCAGATCACGCGAGGCGAAGAAAAGCGACGATCCTGCGGGAACGCATGCCCGCATGTTCTCTATCGCAACCGGCGCGGGGGGTTTTTGGGATGCCTCGCTATACCTTCCGCTTTTCACGACCTAAAAAAAAAAAGCTCCATTTCGTTAACCGCCCACCTGTCCAGCGCTCCGCAGGAGAGTGGACAATACATAAGCTAATAAATAATAAATAGATTAGAGAGAGCTGGATAGATGGGTCCTCTCAATAAATACATGCATGCAATTTGTGTGTGTCCTATCTTGTATTCCATTTTAACCTATTGCAAGCTATGGCTGGAGATCGGTCTATATATGATTTCTTCACAGCTGATAAAGAGCTTCAATTAAAATAGGACTCGGCTTTCCGCCCTGGTCGGGATCGACAATGGGTCTCCAACCGATTCTGCTCCCTGTTCCAACCACGGAAACTCGGCCTTGCCCAGGCCCGCCGCCATGCCGATCGGGAATTCGGGACCTCTGACCTTGACAAAATCTGGGTTGCATATGCTAATGAGAACAGGGGGAGGTCATGCGCCGACTCCAATGTCTTAGTTCGGTCTAGCTCGTTATTTCTGTGGTTCGCGGATGCGATAGGCCCTTCGGAGGTGCTGGGATGGAAGATATAAAAATATATAGAGCGAGAGATACAGTAGCCGCCCTTACATACACATCTGAGCCACCTCGAGGAAGTCGGTGCTCTGCTTCTACTTTTTTCTTGCTTCGTGGTGCAACACTCCGATTTTTCAACCCAAAAAACAAATCAAGACATAGGGAAAATAACCAAAGCTTCGGCCCTAGTGCGTTCTGCGTATATTCTACAGGAAATCACGGGGAAAAAATGCAAACATCGAGAGAAAGGACGCAGGAAACTATCTCTCTTCCTCTTCTCTTTCTCTCCGCCCGCTCAGAGTGGTTTTCAAATGGGGAAGGAGATGGGTGAGTTTCCAGTCCACTTTAAGGGGAGACTAGAAACACATTTACTCAGACTCCTCCAGGCCGAGCTCGGCCTTGCGGCGGGCCTCGGCCTCCTCCTTCTCCTTCTTCTGCAGGAAGATCAGAGCGTTGATCTTGTCCTTGATGGTGTGCTCGGAGGTGATGGTCTGGGCGATCTGCTCGCGGCCAATCAGGGTAGCGACGATGCTGGCACCGACAATGAAAGTCAGGACGAAGCGGTACATGCCGTACCAGTGAGGGGCACGTCCGGTGGCGGCAGCGCGGGCGTCATTGTAGTACAGGAAGGTGAAGGCCAGGAACTGGCTGATCAGAGCGTACTCGGTGGGGAGCATCAGAGTAGGCCAGGCGACAGCCGGGGCAATGACACCGGCAGCGTAGCGGCGGTAGCCGAACTTGCCGCCGTAGCCGGCCCACTCAAGACCCCAGTGGACAGCACCGAGGAAGGAGAGGATCTGAGTAGTGCCAAAGATGGATTAGCGGGGCTGACATTGGGGAACAGGGGACAAGAAAGCTTAATATCAACGTGAAATGGAGAGGTGTAGAAGAAGCAAGAATGCACATACCACGGCACCATATCCAACCTGAATGGGCTCCAGCATGTGCAGCATCAGCTCAGCGCTCTGGCCGGAGAAGATCAGACCGTCACCGGCAACAGCAGCACGGTTGATCTCGTAGGAGAGGTAGACAGTCTCGAGGGAGGTAGCCAGGTAGGGGATGACACCGGCCATACCGAGGTAGAGAGCCTCCTTGGGGACCTGCTCCAAGCTGAAGGTGTCCTTGATGACTTTCTATATGGTGATATCTTGGTAAGTCCTTACAATTTACAGTTTCGAGGGAAAATGCTTGGGTGGAAAACTTACAGCCTCAGACTTCATACCAGCCATCATGTCGACCTCCTCGCCGTCCTATCAAAACGCGTACAATTAGCAATTGAATGCCCCCTATACCGAGACGAATAACGTGACATCTTACCTTGGACGAGCTGGAGGCAAAGCGAACCAGGGCGGTGGTAACGGGCTTGTGAGCGGCGATCGCGAAGCTCGGAGAAACGGTTGGGCGGACCGCAGCGCGGGCAGACGAGGTCAGCTGGGCCTTGAAGATGGGGTTGCCCAGAACGGAGCGAGCCACGGAGGCATTGGAGCTCGAGACGGCCCGGAGGACGGAGCGGGCAGCGGTGGTGCGGTACAACATGGCGACGGTTGTTGATGAGGGACGGATATAGCTTTTCGTGTGCAGTCGGGTTAGCAGTTGCGCCGGAACGAAAAGCCTCGGGTATGGCGAAACCGGAGAGGCAACCCACCCAATTGGTCTGTAAAACAGCCGGAGAGGAGATTGGAGAGTGGAGATGAGGGTATCAACCCGGAGAGGGACTCAAGATCGAAGTCAGGGAGGCCGTGAGTTTCCGGGAGGGAGCAAATAAGAATATCCAGAAAAGAGGTGACCGAGTGGTGAGGTGTGGTTATCCGGCGGGCCGCAGCCACCCTTCCGGCAATAGTATTGCCTCAGGCCAGAACAGCTAAGATAAAAACCCGGGGATCCCGTGATTTGGCACGTGATGCAGCTCGGGGGCGCAGCCCTAGAGCGGCTAGCTGCTTTGGGGGCCCAATGCCAGCACGGGACCGACGTCACTCTGCGTGGGAGTAAACAAGGCGTACACTCCAGTACAGTACGGGTACGGACTACAAGCGGAGATTCGGCATTATGACCATGAGCGTCAAAAATATCCAGTATGTACTAGATAGGAGTGACTGACTCAAGAGTTTCGACAGTACATAGTAGTTGTTAGAGTGTGAACTTGTTTATTAGGATAATTGAACAATGGTGTACATATGGGGTACTTAGCCGGTATGCTGTGAACAATTGGGGGCACGGCCATTCCCTGGCGGTACCCCATTGGTACCGCATACTTGGCCTGGGCTTGCCCGCGCCATTGCGTAACAGATAGCGGACATCGGCGACCGTCTCCTTCTTGATCCACGCAATCAGGGCCATTGCTTGGCTTGAATACCCAACCTCAAACCTCACCCGGTTGCGATCACTGTCGCTCCCCTGCCGTCCTCGAAGCAAGCCTTGTATTCGCTCTCCACGTCCTATCACATAAGCCCCCACCAAACACCCTGGCTCCCGCTCACCTCGGAGCTGGTGGTTTCGCCTCGGCATCGCGTGCAGCATTCGCCCATCTTGCCCGGGCTTGGATGGCTTGGATGAGACCCCTGATTTAAGGGCCCCTGCAGTTGTATGGAAGACTGTTTTAACCCCTCTTGGAGTCGGTCGTCTCCGAAGCTCATCCACTAACTTTCACGTTTCATTCGGAGCTAGGCCAATCACCCCATTTGAAGACCAAATCGAACCATCCCTACGCGCTTTCGCGGCATCATTCAGAGAGGCCATAGTGCCCATCCACCGGGCCCGGTCTACGGCCGCCGACCATAGCCATGTTGGAAGGTCTGGTTGCCAACCTACTCAATCGCTTCTTGGGTATCTACGTCAAGAACTTCGACGCAAAGCAACTGAATATTGGCATCTGGTCCGGTGATGTCAAGTTGCGAAATCTGGAGTTGCGCCGCGAGGCTCTCGACCAACTGCGCTTACCCTTGAACGTTGTCGAAGGTCACTTGGGCGAGCTCACATTATCAATTCCCTGGTCCAATCTAAGAGGCAAACCGGTCAAGGTCGATATTGAAGATGTCTTCCTTCTTGCCGCGCCGAAAGAGGATGCGGACTACGACCCAGCCGAGGAGGACAAACGAGCACATACGCTGAAAATGGATCGCATCGAGAGTGCAGAGCTTCTTCGCGAGCGTAATGCGGAAGGCATGAGCCAGGAGGAACAGCGCCGAAACCAAAGCTTCACCCAGAGCATGATCACGGCAGTTGTGGATAACCTGCAGATATCAATTAAAAACGTACACTTCCGCTACGAAGACTCGATCGCTTCGCCTGGCCATCCATTTGCAGTGGGATTGACTTTGAAAGAGCTTAGTGCCGTCAGCACTGACTCCGAATGGAATCCTACCTTCATTCAATCCACCTCAGACACCACACACAAACTAGCGGTTCTCGGAGCTCTCTCAGTATACTGGAATACGGACGCAACCCTATTGGGAACTGGACGTGGCTCTGATATCGGTGCAGAGGCCCAAGGAATCGACCATGATGACTTAATGGCAAAGCTACGCGATGCGATTGACAACGGCGATGGCAACCAATTTATGCTTCGCCCCGTTAGTGGTCGTGCAGGACTCGAAATGGACAAGTCGGGTAAATATGATCGCCCCGCCATGAAAGCTCGATTGCTCTTCGACGAGCTCGGCTTTGTCCTGGACGATAACCAATACCGTGATGCTTTAATGCTGGTCGACCTATTCCATTACTTCATCCGCCACCAGGAGTACAAGCGATTTCAACCCAAGTGCTCAGTGAAAGAAGATCCTCGGGCGTGGATGAAGTTTGCCGGTGACGCAGTTCTGAGCAAGATCCACGATCGCAATAGACGGTGGACTTGGGATTATATCAAAGAACGCCGAGATGACCGTATTTCATACATCAATCTCTTCAAGAAAAAAAGAGAGAGGAGGTTCTCACCCCGGAGGATATCCAAGAATTAAACCGGATTGAGTACAAGCTCAGCTATGAGGATATTCGTTTCTGGAGATCTCTTGCTCGAAACCAGCTTCGCAAAGAAAACGTCGGAGTCAAAAAGCCTGCTCAGCAACAAACATGGGGGGAATGGTTCTGGGGTAGTAAGAAGGAAGAATCAGAGGAAACCGCCATGACCGAAGAACAACGACAAGAGCTCTATAACGCGATCGACTGGGACGAGAAGAAGGCCCTTGCAGAGAGTGTTGATGTCCCTCGAGAATGGGTCAAGCTCCAAGTGAATTGGAGTCTACGGGCGGGTAGCTTCACTTTGAAGCAGGATCCTCATGGCGCAGCGAACGAGGTCATGAAACTTGTGTTTGACAACTTTCGAGCCAAAGCTCTTCAGCGCCCTGATTCATATCTTCTCGACTTGGACCTAGGTGGCTTGAAGATGTACGATGGTACCACTGTGGGTACGCTTTATCCTCAAATTGTCAAGGTAAAGGATTCTCTTCCGGAGCCTACGAAGGAGCCGGAATCCGCGAAAGATGATGACGAGCTTGCCTCCGAAGCGAGTGCGGATGACATCGAGGATGAAGATTCCCTCTTCCATTTGCAATTGGAGAAGAATCCGCTGGAAAGCGATGCGGATTCCGCCGTCAAGGTTAAATTGAAGAGTATCGAAGTCATATATAACCCCCGGTTCATTGTGGGAATTGTCAAATTCTTCGAGCCCCCCGAGCGGCACATGGAATCAATTGGGGCGCTGTTGGATACTGCAGGAGCTACTGTCGAGGGTCTCCGACAACAAACTCGAGCAGGCTTGGAGTTCGCTTTGCAGGAACACAAGAAGGTCGATGCGCAGTTCGACGTCCACGCCCCCCTGATTATTGTTCCAGAAAGCATCACACAAGATAGCTCTATCTGCTTGATTATCGATGCAGGTCACGCTAGTGTCAATAGTGAGCTGGTTGATCGACAGGCCATGCGTGACCTCCAGTCCAAGCAGAAAAGACAGTATGAAGAAGAAGACTATATGCAGCTTGAGCATTTGCTTTACGATAGATTCCTCATCAAGCTGGATTCTACCCAGGTCCTGATTGGGCCTGGAGTGGAAGCAACAAAAGCGCAATTGACATCTGGAGTTGAATCCAAGAACTTCCACATCATTGATCGTATCAATGTGGACTTCGTTTTGGAGATGTGTATTGTACCCAAAGTGACGCAACTCACTCGAACGCGTATATCAGGACATCTTCCGGAGCTACATGCATCAATGTCAGACACGAAGTATAAAGGGTTGATGAAGTTGATTGATATAGCAATCCCACACTTCGATGATGGCAAAGATTCTTCCGGGAATATGGCAGCATCGGCGGCAGCCAAAGAGACCGCAATTGCGACGCGAGCAAGGTCTGCGTCCTTTCAACCGCCTGCACTGCGTGACCTTCCCGTTGTCGATGAAGATGAAGATGCCGAATCTGAGATCGAACATGTGAAGAAGGGCGTGGACTTGAGTAGCAATATCCACCGCCGAGATTTCGAATTCAAGTTCAATGTTGGGCGCCTTCGTGGCTCACTCTTCCGTGCTGACGCTCACGACCCGCAAAAAGACCAATTATTAGTAGAGTTGGTTGCTGAAGGCTTCCAGCTTGACTATTACATGCGTCCTTATGATATGGTGGCAGAGGTTATCTTGAAATCTCTGAGTGTTGATGATTATATCGAAGCGAATCCATTACCGGAATTTAAGCGGATCATATCCTCAACAGGGTTCAACGCAGATGAAAATAACGATCTTTTCCACTTGAAGATGGTCAGAGTGAAGCCCGAATCACCCGAGTTTGACTCGACATACGAAGGTGTTGCGATGAACCTTGACATATCAGTCTCCACGATCAATCTTGTCGTTACTAGAAAGACGTTACTTACTCTCTTGGACTTCATTCTCCTCACATTTACCAATCCTCAAATGCCGGAAACCCAAAACGAGCCATCGGATAAGGCTATCGAAGAGGCAGTTATCGAAGACCAACAGCCCCAGCAAGTGGGTAAACTGCGCATCAAGTCCAACCTGAAGAGTATCGCTTTGATTCTCAACAATGATGGAGTACGATTGGCGACTCTCAGTCTCAATACTGCCGATGTTGGCATCTTCCTCGTTGGCCGTTCCATGACCATTCAATCCCGAATCGGTAGCTTGACATTAGTTGATGATGTCAATCTGGGTGCTTCAGAACAATCCGATGTCCGTCGTCTCCTGACGATTGAAGGGGATAACTTCGCGGACTTTAAATATGAGACCTTTGACCCCGAGAGCGATACATATCCTGGATACGACTCTGAAGTTTATCTGCGATCGGGTTCAATCAAGATTAACTTCTTAGAGGAACCATACCGGAAAATCATAAACTTCTTGGTTAAGTTTGGCAAGATGCAGGCGATATTCAACGCAGCCCGGCAAGCTGCTGCAAACCAAGCCAACCAACTACAAGAAAATCCCTCACGCATGCGTCTTGATGTCGTGGTCAAGACACCTATTGTGGTGTTCCCAAGGGTGATGACGGATGACAGGGCTCGAGACAATATAACAGCCTATCTGGGAGAGATTTACGCCAAGAACGAGTTCGTTCCTATGGATGAGGCCAAGGATAGCCCAGCTGTCAATGTGATCTCTACCGGTGTTCGTAACATCCGTTTAACATCCAAATTCCACTTTGATGAGGGTGTGGCTGAAGAGCTTGAGATGATCCAAAAAGTAAATCTCGACTTCAGTATCTGTTATTTGGAACACCAGGCCAACAACCCGCGCCCTGATATGGAAATTGAAGGATCCCTATCTCCAATCAATTTGAGAATCTCGCAAAGCCAGCTCAAGTTTTTACTAGCTCTTTCAAAATCTATTCCCGGCGCGTTTGCAACTGATGCCGAGCAACAAGAGATCGAAGCCTTGGAGTCTTTGCCTTCCTCATTAACGGAGCCGACAAGAGAAGCCACTTCGAAGGCTGTTCAAGCCCGAAAAGATCAAGACGTTGCAACAGCAGATGATAATGCCCACAAAGAAACATGGGTCCGGCTGGATATGATCTTCAAAGTTGATAGTGTTGGTTTGGAGCTGATCCTGGCCAACGATAATTGTCCAGTGGGCAGCTTGGAAGATTCTAGCTTATCCAAGTTTTCTCTTAATGATACCAGAGTCAAGCTTCGCATGCTGACGGATGGGTCTTTGGAATCTGAGCTCTTGATCCATTCATTCTCTATTCGTGACAGTCGTCGACAGGACTCGAACAAATTTAGGAACATCATGTCCTTGATCAATAACGATGTTCAGCAGCAGTTCATGGCCAGCGTCTCCATGTCCCCTGGGCCAGACAAACATCTGATTGCGATGTTGACCATTGATAGTCCCCGAATCATGTTCGCGTTAGACTATCTTTCTGCTTTACAGTCGTTCAGCAACTCTGCATTTGCGTCTGAGTCCCCCGTAGAAGTTGTTGATGAGGAGCCTGATTCTCCAGAAGAATCTGAACTTGATTCTGATGCAGGCGCATCCACCGACAAAAATACGACCGAGGTATCTGCTGTAGATACCCCAGCTGGGTCGACAACAGTTTCATTTCGTGTCAATTTGGTCGATGCCCAAGTCATCATGGTGGCAAACCCTGCAATTCCTCACTCCGAAGCCATTGTACTTGGCACTAAAGAGGTTTTGATATCCCATCAGAATGTCTCGACTTTGCAGATCCAAAAAGTCGGCATGTTCTTGTGCCGTATGGACAAGTTTGAAACCAGTCGTCTACGAATCTTGGATGACTTCACAATCGAGATGTCAGTTGACAGCCGATCCCAAGAGAAGGGTTCGGCCCTGACCTCGATCGAAGTTCACATTGAACCTCTGGTCCTGCGACTATCATTGCGTGATATCTTGATGGCAATTCAAATTGTCAATAAAGCATCTGAGATGAGAGCCCGAAACGCTCAGCAGATCGAGGGTGGAGAGCCACAGAAGATCAGTGACGGTAAAACGAGAGGCCGGTCTGCCAGCAAGGCATCGTCGACCTTAGCCCATAGGACTCGGCGGCGCGTTAGTCAAACAGTCGAGACTCTCGATAGAAGCGTTGTTCCCCAGAGCTCTGCTGTTCTCAAGCGCGAGGAGTTGTCTGCCAAGATTGACGGCGTTCGTGTCATTCTTATTGGCGACCTGCACGACCTGCCCTTGCTGGACTGGAGCGTTAAGAAGTTTAATCTCGATGTACGTGACTGGTCGTCCACATTGAATGTGGATACCAATTTCGAGACATTTATCAATGTCTATAACTTCTCCAAGTCCGCCTGGGAGCCATTGATCGAGCCGTGGCAGCTCGGCTTCCACATGGCCAAGGATGTGAACCCGGATATTCTCTCAATCGAGGCATATTCACACAAGACGATGGAGCTTACGTTAACGTCCGCTACCATTGCTCTTGCATCCAAATCCTTCCAATTTCTGAATACCGATGAAGACGTATTATCCAAGCCAAGAGGTGCCGATGCTCCCTACAGAATCCGAAATTATACCGGATTTGACCTCAGGGTGTGGGCCGATGTCAGTGCAGGAGAGGAAGGACCGGCTGCCAAGCTGAGTGATGGAGAAGAATATCCCTGGCGATTTGAAGACTCTACTGCAGTCCGTGAGACACTGACTCCTGAGGGTCATGGTGGTATCGTTGGCGTCAAGCTCGAAGGGAGTGGGTTTGATAGCATCAACAGGATTCCGGTCGTGCGTGAGGGCGAGCTTGTCTATAGCTTGAAACCGAAACGTGAAAATGTGCTTCATCGACTTCTGGTGGAGGTCAGCCTCGGTCAGGACAACGTCAAGTACATCACATTCCGATCGCCACTATTGGTGGAGAACAACACCCAAATTCCGGTGGAACTAGGCGTGTTCAGCCCCGAAGACGGTCATCTTTTGAAGATTGAGAAAATTCTGCCTGGCGATGCTCGACCGGCTCCAGTTGGATCGGCCTACGTTCATTCCGTTGTCATTCGTCCAGATCAAGGGTTTGGCTATGACTGGTCGAATGAACAGCTCTTCTGGAAAGACCTCATGCGGCGACCTACCCGAACTGTCAAGTGCGTCAGCGAAGGTGGACAGCAGTCCCCTCCATTTTATTTCCAGGTCAATGCTACCTATGACAGCAAGGACTCTCTTACAAGTGTGTACCCTTACATGCGGATCAGAATCTTTGCTCCAGTTGAGATTCAGAACCTCCTGCCTTATGATTTCAAGTATCGCATCTACGACAAGAATACCAAGAAGGACTGGACAAACTTCCTCAGAAAGGGTGGTGTGAGCCCTGTGCATGTTGTGGAGCTATCACATCTGCTGCTTCTTAGTATCGACCTTCAGGATACTGTGTTCCGTCAGAGTGAGTTCGCTATTATCAATGGAAATGCCCAGGATTACCGCAGGGAGCACACTCTGTCCCTGAAAGACGAAAGAGGACTCCAGTTGAAGCTGAAGCTCCATTACTTCAACATCCCGAACAGTGGTGGAGCTTTCAAGGTCTCGATTTTTAGCCCGTACCTGATCCTGAACAAGACTGGGTTACCAATGGATATTCAGAGCAAGGCGTTCCTTCAGTCTGCACGCAATGCCGCTGGTCAAGGCCTTAGAGTTGATCCGCGAGATGGTGGCCGTGCCTTGCCCTATATGTACTCCTACAATGCCGAAGATCAGAAGAACCGATCGATATTAAAGGTTGGGGACTCCGCATGGAGCAAACCACAAAGTTTCGAGGCTATCGGTAGTACCTTTGAGGTTATTTTCCCCGACAGACAAGGTCGATCCGAATTTCATTCTGGTGTTTCCGTTGCCGAAGGCGAGGGGAAGTACAAAATGACCAAAGTCATCACAATTGCGCCAAGATTCATTTTGAAAAGCAAGCTCAACGAAGATCTCCTAGTGCGCGAGCCGGGGTCATCCAACGTGCTTCAGATCAAGAGTGGGGAGCTGGTCCCACTTCATTTCCTTCGCCAAGTCGCAGAGAAACAGCTCTGTCTCTGTTTTCCCGGTGTGAACAATCAATGGTCCTCCCCTTTCAATATTGCTGATGTTGGAACTGTTCATGTGAAACTCGCCAAGGCGAACCAGCGGCAGAAGCTGATCAAGGTCGATGTCATCCTGGAGAACGCGACTATCTTTCTGCACTTCAGTTTCGAGTCTCGCAACTGGCCCTTTTCTATGCGCAACGAAAGTGATATGGAATTCATCTTCTTCCAAGCCAATCCTAATGTGGAAGATGATGAAGAGGACAGGTCAAGTGGCTGGCGCCCAATCCGTTATCGTTTGCCCCCACGGAGTATCATGCCTTATGCATGGGATTACCCAGCAACCAAGAACAAATCTCTTGTGCTGACGTGCCATGGCAAAGAACGGCACATTAAGCTGGCTGAGATCGGCAACTTGATCCCAATGCGGATCCCCCCTGCGCGACCTGGAGACTACCAAAAGATTATTGATATCAACATCGTTGCTGACGGGCCGACTCAAACCCTGGTTCTGACAAACTTCAAACCGTCAAAGAGTCTCTACAAGCAACAAAAGGGCCAGTCATCTCAGAGCAGCATGAGTGCCGGTTTTGAAGTCAAAGAGTTAAGCTCGGATGTCAACTTCAAGGCTCAACTTCGCTTGGGTGGCATCGGTATCTCTTTGATTAACCAGAATTTGAAGGAGCTTCTCTATCTCACATTCCGTGAGATTGAGATCAAGTACCGCGAATCGAGACTCTACCAGACTCTGAATACCTCAATCAAATGGATCCAAATCGACAACCAGCTCTATGGTGGCATCTTCCCTATGCTTCTCTACCCTAGTGTGGTTCCCAAGACCGGAAAGGAGATGGAAGCACATCCGATTTTCCACGCGATGGTAACCCGCGTCAAGGATGATTCATATGGTGTGCTCTACATCAAATATGCTACCTTGCTCCTACAGCAGATGACTCTCGAACTTGATGAAGACTTCATTTTTGCCATGCTGGACTTCGCCAAGATTCCAGGCGCATCATGGTCAGAGCCTCAAGAGGGCAAGCTATGTGATGAGGACTTCAATATTCCTGAACCGCTGCAGAATGACAACGGACAGGATGTATACTTTGAGCTGCTTCACTTGCAACCTATGCAACTGGATATTTCTTTCATGCGCACTGAGAGGATAAACGTCGAGGACACCATGCAGCCCTCGAATCCTCTGATGTTCGTCGTCAATGTCATGACCATGTCAATGGGTAATGTTAACGATGCACCAATCCGACTCAATGCCTTAATGCTGGAAAACGCTCGTGTCTCCTTTGGCAGACTTGTCAGCAACGTTAGAGCCCACTATACCCAAGAATTCTTGCGCCAAGTCCATATCATTCTTGGTTCCGCGGATATCATTGGAAACCCTGTTGGTCTCTTCAATAATATCAGCTCGGGCGTAGCCGATATTTTCTACGAGCCTTACCAGGGTCTCGTCATGACAGATCGACCACAGGAACTGGGCTACGGAATTGCGAAGGGTGCTACGAGCTTCGTCAAGAAATCTGTCTTTGGTTTCTCCGACAGTATGGCCAAGTTTACTGGAAGCATGTCCAAGGGCCTTGCTTTTGCGACTCTTGACAAGGAGTTCCAGGATCAGCGCCGCATGTCCAAATCTCGCAATCGGCCCAAGCATGCCCTATATGGCATTACCGCTGGAGGCAATGCGTTTGCAACGAGCCTGGCCAGTGGTATCGGCGGCCTCGCGCGCCATCCTCTACAGGGCGCCGAGAAGGAGGGCATGGCAGGCTTTTTCAAAGGCGTCGGCAAGGGTGTCATTGGCTTGGCCACCAAGCCTGCAATTGGTGCCTTTGATCTTGCGTCCAACCTCGCAGAGGGAGTCCGCAATACCACCACTGTTTTCGATGCCGAAGGTCTGGATCGTGTGCGCCTGACCCGTTTCATCGGCACCGACGGCATTGTCCGCCCATACTCGCAGCGCGAGGCCCTTGGCCAGTTCTGGCTCAAAACCACCGACGATGGAAAGTACTTCAACGAAGACTACATCGCGCACTTGGAACTCCCTGGGCGAGACATGCTGGTCATGTTGACTTACGCACGTATCATGCTCGTGCGCACGAAGAAGCTCACTAGCGAGTGGGATATCCGTCTGACAGACATTCAAACTATCTCCAAGGAACGCACAGGTATGAGCATCACCCTCAAGGGAGGTGCAAATGGACCTTTCATCCCTGTCCAAGACGAAAGTTCTCGAAACTGGTTATATAAACAAATTGCTGTTGGTAAGTGTGAAATTGTTTCTCCAAGGGGTTTCCAATATTCATATTGCTGACACGGTTTTCCCAGCGGTCAATGCCTTCAACGAGAAATATAATGCCCGAGGATAGACCGGCTGGACCTTTGTAATGATGTCATGAAAATGGACTGCATTTCTGAATGGGGACAAGCAGCAAAATGATGGATAAACTTGCTCTCGTTCATACTTTCCTGTTTGTTTCTCTTTCTTTCGCCCTTGGATTCGATCAGTCTGATTTGTCTCCTGTTCGGATTCAAGTACATATATGTTTGCTGCACATTGCTTCCCGATTTAGCCTTAGCCTGTTCTTAAAAACCCCTTACTCAACCGCGGCTATCAATAACGAAGTATTGTCAACTTCGAGTGTGTGTTGGTAATTCAGCTAGGATCCTGGTCTAGAATCAGACCTAGTGCCATTTTTTGTTCTTTATTATAATTCCTTCGAATATTTTCCTAAGCTTTTCTAGGACCTGGCCCGGTAGAAGTGACCTCCAGAGGTAACGAGACCAATATTTAGCAGATGCAAACACTCAATGTCCTTACTTGGATTAGAATTTTCTATATTATTGCGACATGGGCCCTTTACCTAATATTAAGCTTCAATTTCATCACGAGAAGTCAGAATTAACCTTTAATTGCAGTCGGCTCCAGGACGCGAAATATGTGCAGCGTCTCTGGACAAGTAATCATTAAGCTAGCCGACATTCCCTGAACGTTAATCAAAAACTCCCACCCCCCAGATATCACCAAGTAAATCTCATGGAACTGCCTTATCATGTCCTATCCCTTTATCCGTATTCTTGATGGTATGGAGGAACATCGATGGGTAGCAAAGTCGACCAAAGCGAGTTTCCGAAGACTGTCGTAAAACAAGATCAGCACCAACCACTGGCCAGAATCTGAAGTTGTCTAATTCAATTTGTCCAAAAAAAAACACTTACCCTCTTCCCCCCCTCGTTCTCTGCCGTCCTGAACCCCAACCATCGCCTGTACAAGTCCTCTGCGGTATGAGTTGTAAACATGTAGGAAAGCCGGTACATAATATGGTCGTACAGATGGTCCCAGTTCCAGATGCTGTCCGGCCCTCCATTGATATTCTCGGGCGTGCCGGGGTTATAAATCCGTGCCAACTCTTGGGACGTCCACATGCCATCCGCGTAGATTGGGTGCGGGACATGCACGGCTTTCAAGCCGTGATACAAAGCCCATGAGGCGCCGGTCATCTCAGAAGCCAGGCCCAGCCCGCGGGTTGCTTGGGCGTGATGAATCAAGTCCAACAAGCGACGGGAATACCGGCCCATCGTGATGACTGCGCTACGGCGGGGGGTGTCGAGGCCGTATTTGAAGTTCCAAATCTTGTCTGGGAATGTCCACTGCGTGTCCTTCGGATTGAAGATTGGGAGGAAGGTGATGAGATCTGCTTCTTCCCCGACACCCCAGGTGAACGAGTCGCCTTCGGCGAGCGCGACTGGGGCATCAGGCCCCATGGGCCGAATCCCTGTGCCATAGACGGGACCCCATACTGTGTTGTCGGATCGGTCTGCAAGGCTTTCGTTTACCATGTCTTTGAATTCTTCCCATATTCCGTGTGCGCCCGGGGTGTAGAAGTAAGCGTTTCGCTCCCAGAGATATTTTCGAGGCTGCTCCCTCGCGAATGAGATGGCTCTGTCAAGGAAATGATAGATATTGCCCGTATGCCGACCATCCATTTCAAATTGCCAGTAGTAATCGAAGTTCGGATACAACTGAGAGAACACTTGCAGTGGCTGGTGGTGCTGCAGCATTGGACTATGGGGTGGTCAGTACTCGAAGACATACAGCGATGTTCACGCTTATCTCACCTGTGCTCCGAGATTCTAGGATACCATGCCTCTAACAGCTTATTGTTGAAGAACAGCGAGATGTTTCGAAACTCTGGAGGAATCGACGTCCGTAGCTCACTCACTGTCTTCCTATCCGAGAAGATCGGAAGCTCATCATCTTTGACATGAATCAGAAGAAAGACCTCATATTCCGCCCCCGAGTGTAGAGAAAGCCCCATAATCAAAGCCCGAAGGTACTCCCTATGGTTTGTCGTCCACAACATACTATGCCATGCCCTAATGAGTACCGCAGATCGCGGATGATATCGCCTTTCCCCAGAGGTGGTGCCCGGCTCGTACGTCTTTCGTGGCGGCTCCCGAAGCTCAAATGAGAGTGGGCGGTGCTGGGACTGATTCATTGCACTGTTTGGTTTGTAACGATCACTGTTTCTCTCCAGACAGAGAGTCTGCAGGTGGTTCCAGTCGACCTCGGACCAAGGCACTATCGGCGGCCGGGTAAATCCAGGGACGTCTTCTTCGCTATCATCGTCATAGCCGTACGCCCCAAATCGTGAGTATCGATCCGTACAAACGTCGCCATCTAGACCCATTGCCTCGTGGGACCCAAAGCGAGACTCAGGGAATCCGATCTGTTTCCCTTTGTACACAAGAACCATGTCTTCGAAGCGAGCACGATCTAGATTGCGGCCCCTGGGTCCTAGACATGGCTGAAAATGACCATAATACTGCTTGCTCCATTTTCTGCTGTTGTATGCCGGGTAAGGGTCATAAATGAAAGGTTTGGGATGAGGTAAATCGGGCCCCGGGTGCTGGGAGCTTGTGAGAGTAAAAGTCCCGCCAAGATAGAACCGCACGTCTCTAAGTGGAACAGCATATGTTAGACAGCGGCGACACCGGAGAATGAGACAAAGTAATGATAATCGAGGTCACTTACCTTTGATCATTCACATGGCCCATCTCATCCAATCCAGTCACATCCTGGGGGGTTGGACTGTCGAGTACATGGTAAATGCCTGTGGTCTCCCGATATTGACCAGGTCGAAGAACCGCGGGTCGGTAGTAAGGGCGCCACTGACGCACCAAGGAGATTTCAGGGCATCTGGAGAGGTAAGAAAAGACCTCGAGGGTAACAAGGATAAAAAGAACGCATCCAAGCCACCGCAGCCCAGCCGAACGACGTGACCTAAGCGACGGTCTGGTCCTGAATAGAACCGGGCCTTTGCCTCGCATCGTCAAACCGAAGACCATGACGACTAGCAATAGACAACGGAGTCCACGATTTGAAGAGCCAGTGCATGTTCCGGTGGTGCGATATGAGAGAACACAAGACTAAGGGAAACGAACGACAAAGAGAAAGGGAAAGAGAAAAAGAGAGAGAAAGGGAAAGGGGAAGGGAAAGAGAGACACGAGACTAGACAAGGAACGACTGAAATGAGACAAGTCGGATGAGTGATCTTGGTCCTTGAGATGCACCACTCCTATATCGCTTCACAATGATTGTCAGCGCAGACATGAACTCGGGGCAAACGGCAGGTAGGCACACCGTCCGACAGCCGCGAGGTCGATGTCATCACTACGGCGGGCATGACTCCATCGCCGACTCAGGATTGGGAAGCGGACGTCGAGTCTCGAGGGAGTATCGCCCTTGCGTTGTACACGGCTTGTAAGCTGTCTTTCTTTACAAGGGTCCTTTTCCTCCTCGACAAAGAGTTGGGTATTAGTTGCTAGTTGGATTCCTGGTTTCTGGTTATACAATGGAACACCCCGGATGACACCGTGCCCCTGCCCTTATGCAGCTTGTTGATTGAAGCTCCCAGAAGTGATCTCGAATATATCGATCGGGTGGAAAGCAAAATACCAGGAAGTATACGATGCGAATTGCGAAGGGTTCAAGGCTGAAACGGGCTTGGTTATCACAAGTTATACGCGAAGTACTGGTTGCATGAAGTTCATGAAAAGGTCCGACACCACGCGAGCCCAATCAGGCCTGTTGCTCCACTAAGATTACGACCGAGAGCAAACTTAGTAGAATGCCGAAGACTAAAATTTCCTACAATTTGTACGGATGACGAAAAGGGATGCATTTTCCCACAGAACCGACCCAGGTATGTACAACCTAAACACGAACACAAAACATGGAAATGAAAGCGCGTACGTGGAAGTGGACATCTCGCCGGACCAGAGAGTCTCAGACTTGGTTACACACAAAAAGTCTTTTTCATTACACCTTTTCTCCAGGGGCTGCAAAGGGTCAAGACTAGAAGATGCCTATACTATACTTCAAACATCAGACACCACAGGTGAGGTTGATTGAGCAGCTAGCTACCTGACTTTAAGCAAAGTAGCTCTTCCACAGAACACCCGACAAATCTTCGAGCTGATCCGGTGTGAAGGCCTAAGAGGGCAGGAGATTAGTATTATGTGTGGTGTTAGTTGGCGTGAGGGTGGGTTAAACGGGGCTTACCTTCGCATCAATGTGCCAAGTATCTTGTCTAGTCTTCTTGAATTCACTGATGATCGACTTCACACTCGAGCCCACGACGCCAGGATCGTTGGCTGCGCGGATGCTCAAAGTTGTCAGAGCCTCAGGCATCCAGACAGGCGGAGGACTGTTATACGGGAACGCTTGGATCAGGGCACCAAGACCCAGAACCGCGCCGTGCCGGACGATGATCAGCCGGTTGTGTTCGGGAGTAGGCGTGCCCGCGCCCGAGGAAACCGCAGAAGAAAGACCGGACCGGAAGTTCTTCGGCTTCTTGGGAAGAGGGTTGTCCGCAAGCAGCTTTGTGAAGCGTTGCTGGAAATGGCGGACCATCTTGTCACGTAGGAAGATTGGCGAGCAGCGAATCATGCCGGACAGGGTTGCAGATGCACCAGCGCGAACTTCGTGCTGTGGGTCTTCAAGCATGGAGCCAATACACTCAAATAGCTTGTCGCGGTCAGAAGGATCTAACAGGAATAGTCGGCGGAAATAGATGATTTGAATATTAATCATGACACGCAGTCGCTGGTGCCATGAGGGAGAGGTCTGCCCAATTTTGATGAGGGACCGAATGAACTCGGAGTTCTTCTCCGCAGGGTAGGGGATGTTGGGGAGATGGCGGAAAACATGGTAGGCGAGAGACTGCAGTTCGGGATCTTCCTTGACATCCATCATATGCAGCAGTTGAGCTGTGAATACATCGGAGAAGAAGGTAACTAGCTGAGTGCACTCATGCGAGGAGAGTGTTGAATCTAGCCACAGGAGAACTGTCTTGCTGCCGGACGTGTATGACGAAGGCGTCTGCTGGCCCGGAGTTCTGGCCTGGCGCCATTGCTCAATCTGATTGAAGACTCCTCGAACCATCGTAGAAAATTCATCAGACGGCAGATACGGGTAAGTGCCAACAGACGAGGCAGATTTCTGTACTTCCAGAAGATGCTGAAGATCTGGGTGCGACTCGTGGTATCTTGTGCGGTAAATAGTTGCGAGAGTCTGACCCATCGCTTCACGCACGCCCTTGTATGGGTGATCCAGATGAGCTAGGAAGTCTTCCACGATTGGCTTTTCCAGCTGGAAGTGCCACCCGGCATCAATGATACATTGATGCAATAGATTAATCTTGGAGCTCTCTTTGAAGGCAGCATTAGTGGACATATCTAGACGGAAGCTGGCCAGCCAATCAACAAGCGGCCAGGCCCGGCGAGGATCCCGGCATTGTAGGATCATATGGAGGAAAGTAGTCCAGTAGCCCGAGTTCTCCGGAGTAAGACCATCGGTAAATATCTTCCGTACAATTGGGAAGGCATACTCCCATACTAAAGCACGCTTCTCCACGCTTGTGTCGGTCACCGAACTGACCAAAGCGCCGAAAATCTCTGCCGTCGCGCGATGTTGATGCTTATCGCTTCCATCCTCGTAGACAGCCTGGATTTCCTGCTGGATGTCCTCGAACGACGCAGCTGTGAGACCATCCCGAATCATGAGCTCGAAGGCATACAGCAGCAACATAGCGCAGGACATGCGGAACTTATCCGCGGAAGGATCCCTCGGCTCTTGCTTCAAATACATGAAGAACTTGGAAAACCACTCGCGCGTAAAAAGCTTACCCATCTGGGTACGCACGTTCCATTCCACTTCATCGTACTCAACGTCACGTTCCACGTTGGACTTGTAGGCAGGCATAGTCTTGCCCCAAACCAGCCAACCTGGGAAATCATGATCAACGTAATACTCGGCCTCGGGCTTCGCAAAGCTCGCCAAGTATTCTTGTGTCCAATCCTTCTCATATGGCTGAGTAGCCACCTTGATTTTGGAGGGGAATCTTTGGTGACCCAAGATGTAATTCTTGTATTCGTGGCTGCAGATGGCGCGGACGTCGATCATAGTGAACAATGCAATGAGTGCCTGAGAGTACATGCCACGCAGGCCTGGGTGATCATCGATCGAGCCAAGAGTGACCAGGTCGATCAAGTTCTCACTTGCAATATAATCGAACCGGAGACCCATAGTGATGACGATTGTCGCAGCACGGCTGGCAATTTTCCAGTGTGAAACTCGGGCAAGGTTCACCAGCTCTTCAGCAAGGCCGGCCTTCTTCTTTTCGATCATAGCGCGCTTGTTATTGATAGCCTTTCGCTTCTGCTCGATTTCACCATTAACATCCTCGCTGGGGGCAATTGCCTCCACGATATCTCGATCCAATATGGCCATGCGCTCCATCGCACGACCGTACTCCATAATTTGGAACACGCTAGTGGAGCAAATCTTCTGCACGGATGGCTTGTCAACCGCGCTGGCATCGATAAAAGTACGGATCAAAGCCGGTGTATATTTCCAGTTTCGCCCGACAGTCTTGGCGATGCTGCTCAGAAGCAGAGAAAAGAGTGCTCCCTTGATACGTGCGTGATCATTATCCTTAACACCCTTCTGCAAGGCTTTCAAAAGAGGAGGAATAACAAGTGACCGAGCGCCCCAGACGGATTTAAGGGCCGATTCACCGGCATTCTGGGCATTCCGTCGTGTCTCTGTGTAGAGGGAGACGCAGGACTCGGCTAGATCAAGTAGGAGAATCTCGTCAAGTTTTGATCGGGGTCGCGGCGCGGCATTGTGGCGGAGTCGTTGGAGATGGTAGACATTGGCTCTGCGAACAAGCAATGCTCGAGGGTAGTCTTTTCGAATACCACTCATCTTGTATGGGTGGATGTCCGCTGCTAGAAGGCGGACCACACGGTCCAGAACATGGGCGGATCTCTCAATTCCAACATCCACAAACCATGATCTGAAAGCCGAGTAGAGCGCACCGAAGCACGGCACATCGTCCTCTTGCTTATCGCTCAAGAAACGGTGCACATCGTGCAAAACCAATCCAGCCCGCTCGCGGATCTCATGAATGGTAGTGTACAAAGTATCGCCTTCTTGGAGAGGATATCCGGTAGGATAAGGGAAGCTTTCTCTGACCGTAGACTCGTCTGAGCTGTCCAGAGACGCGTCGAGATCCTCATCGCCTGCGCCGTTTGACACCGAGGCGGCATCCACCATTTCAAATTCACTTGACGCCACGGACGCTCCATTGGAGACTTCTTGCGATGTCTTCGAGGCGGCCTTGGGGTCAAAGAGGACTGAGATGCCCGACAGGAGAAGCCTGAGAAGAACTAGATTCCGAGTAACTTCATCCGACCAGTCTTTTCCACTCCCATCCCGCTTAATGCTCGACGTCTCATTCGTCAGTCCCGATAGATGCTTTAAAGCCGATTCTGCTTGGTTCTTGAAGACGTCAACCGCGAACTCAATTTCCTCTCGCTTAGGCACATGCCAGTTGATGTTTAGGCTTTGAATGTCGGCTGAGTAGCTCCAGTGCTTGGGCTCAATGCCATTGGCGATGTCCGCCTTCTCATAGAGGGAGTAGTCGCTCGTATATGTACCAGTCAAATTGAGTAGGAGGTGGTGGATGAAATTAGAGATATGGACGGTCGGAATGCCTCGGCACTTTTGCTGCATGTAGACAGCAATGTCAAAGAGCTCCTGCCGATGGGCAAGTACAGCATCACCAACGTGCACCACGCACATGCTCAGCATGCTAACATTCCAAACTAAACCACGGTCGCGAGGAAGAACGTCTGTGCCTGTCGTGCGAGTAGAGCCAGCACCATTCTCCTCGATTTCAGTGCGAATAGCTTGGGTCAGAACAGGAATGAAGCGTTTGAGAGCCTTTTCAGGGTTGACTTTGCACAACGCATTGCAGATGAAAGCCATTGCATCTCGTGCTTGGTGGATGACGTGGTTGGAGACAAAATCCACAATTTTTGACAAGGCGATATCATAATACTCGGGAGACAGTGACGCGAGAAGAGGCATGAATGTTGCGGGGAGTGTGTTCACAATGTTCTCTTCTGGGGAACCATTGCGCACCCTGGTGACATCAGGTAAATTTTCGAGGAGCGTGAATACACGGCCCAAGAAAGAGATAGTGAAGTCTCCAAAGCCACAAGTAGAGGAACGCAAAATCATTTCTTCCGTCTCGTCATCTAGTTCTGTATCATAGTTTAGTTGCACGTTGGCACCTTCCTCCTCCATTCTTTCCATTTCGCCGGTAATCCACTGGAGTGCAAGCATATTGCAATTGATATCCTCTCTTCCCTTCGTCAAATCTACCATCGGAATATTATAGCAGGCAGACTGAATGAATGACAAAGCATGAAGAGACTTCTCCAAATCATTGGCATCGATACCGGGAAGTGCAAGACCGAGAAGGGTCGTCATATGACAACGGTAGCCCTTTGTGCGAGTAATAACGCGGGAGAGTACTTGCATGGAACGAAGAGAAGAGGTTGTTCGATGCACTTCTACCAGGCCCTGCAGAGAAGGGTAGATTCTTTGCAAAGCTCCTGGGAGAATGAGGTGGGGCTCCAGGTAGGCAAGACCTTGTAGAGTTGACAAGGAGAAGGTCATGGCCGTGCTGCTTTTGGCATAGATACCCATGAAGATTACATCCCGGAGACACAACACAAAACGATGTTTGAGCGGTTCATTCAGTCGTCGTTCGGGCGGAATCTCCATTTCACCACTTTGCTCACGATTCCAGCGCATGACGAAGAAATCAGTCAAATAGTATACTAATTGGGATAATGTTTTAGTCCATGCGCCCGAGTTCGAAGGGTGGAAGAACGTTTCAACAGCCTGGATGAGTCCCTCAAGCTGGCTGAGGATCGAGTCTTCGGACTCCAAGCAAGCTGGAGAGAGTGACATTACAATCCATCGGGCAATATGGTGAGCAACGGGATGCTTGCGTGTGTCACGGTCAAGCATGATTCCTAGACCGGAAGAAATATCCACCAGAGCGCTGTATGGGGAGGTAGATTGTCCTACGGGAATCTCCAGCAAGCGTAGGATTGCCGTAAATATGAGGGACGTTTGTTCCTTTGTGAAAATGCCATGCTCGGAGAACGGGATGTGACCCGCTGGCAGCGAATCTCGAGCCAGTCGAGACAAGTAGTCCAGGTATGTCGTATCAAAGGTTTTTGAGCGACCAACCAGAGACCAGAGATGGAATTGTGTTGGCAGATGATTTTGTGGACGAAGATCCTCTCGAGAGGCAGGAGGAGGGGAGGTTGGGAGCAGTAGGTTGATCAATCCTGCCACCACGAAAGCGCCTTCGGAAAACGATGTGGTATAATGAGGTAGGAATTCTTCGAGCATCGCAGGGAGTTCGCAGGGATCGATGAATAGCTGAGCGAACGCGCACAGCTTCGTTAAGGTCTTAACATTTCGCTTCAGATTGGTCGAGTGGACCAGGCCGGACTCGGTGGGGAGGACAAAGGCCTTCAGTTCTTTGTAAAGGGGTTTCCAGTCGAGGACGAGGTCTTTGATGGGTCGGAGATAATGCTTGCGCCTAAAGGATGATTAACGTTGTAATTCTATGCTGGCGAGTACTGTGCCCGCAAGTAGAGAGAGAGCTCACTTGGTAAGAAGCATGAACATGCTCGCGAACCGTTCCGAAACACCTGGATCGATACCAGGTGCCAGCGAAAGCTCATAGTACAGCTTCACCAAGTTGATGCGCTCTTTCCGAGTCGGATCAAACTTGAGCGACAGCCACCCTCGAAGCTCGCGTGTCCAGTGAACAGCTCCAGGACTGAAATCACCTGCTTCCACTGAGATATAGAGCTGGTTCAAGATTTCTCGTAAGGTTCGATCCCGCTCCGCTTCATCTTCTAGGTGATATGGCAGGTATTTGAAGTATGGATAGGTCCGCGGTCGAACCCGAGCTTTCGGCTCGCCGTCACCGTTCATGACGATGGGCTCACCACCGGGCGAGGTGGCCCGCGAGATCTCTAGTCCATGAGGGAAATTGTCGGATGTGAGGATCGCCTTGGGGGCTGAGGCATCCATACTCGCATGCGAGGGAGGTGGAAGAGGGGGTGAGGTCGGGCGACACAAGGTGGAGATGGAGGGGAGGAAGAGGAGTTGCCGTGGACGTCAGATCGGGGTTCTAGAGTCGATACGTCAGCAATCCCAGGGTTCCACGATCTTCATCGCGCTTTGTCGCAGGTATCAACGAGGTGAATTATCTTGGGAGCACATTATTCACCACGAAACTCGAAGTTCCACTCCTCAGAGTGCGGAAATTGAGGCCGGAGGGTGCGTTGCACACGGCCGGGTTCGCATGAGGTACTTGCGGGCGACCGGGCAAAGCTTCAGAATGGTGGGCTGGGTCAGGCCAAATGAGGTTCGCAGAGATCAGCGCCTAGCAATCGGTTGAAGGCGACGATTGGATCAACAAAGGGGTTGGTAGTTAATGACGAAATACCTTGAAGCTGTAGAGAGGTGATGCGATGTCAGAAGTCTCAATGGAGGTCGGATGACATAAGTTCACGGTAACGGTTAATGGAGAACGGGGAACGGAGAGCTTCGGCCATGCAGCTTTGTAATTCTTGAGAACTAGCAAAATGGACGGAGAGCCCTGTAAACACAAATAGTAAAAACTGAGAGGTTCACAAGCTGATACTATGCGCTGTCAATAACTATATCTCATCCGCTGTTAGGGATTTATAAGTTTGCCCAGGCGAGCGAGCACCTTCGCCTCACTGCACCCTATTTAGGCTGACACCCTTACGCAAGCGGCACTGCCCGTCACAAAGCGGAGCAGAAACATCGTAAAGTCACAACGCGCTTTTGCGCTCTACATTAAAGTTAATTTAAATGATTATAACAATATGTACATTTGTAATTTCATGCTGGGGGTAAAAAAGAACCAAAAAGAACCCCCTGGATCAAAGCATAGCCTATCATAGCTTGCGCAGCGACCGAAAGCCCTCGGCGGCTCTTCTGAGGATCCTGCAGGCTGCCCATGGCGCTTGAAACAAGCCACCAATACCACACAGGGTATCCTGATGAAATTCGATTGATGATCTGGACATGATAGCTTGTCAAGGCCATCACGGCAAGCAACCCTTGTGGCACTGCGAGGCGGAAAAGCATGGACCCAGGGCTGACAGGAGACGAAGACTGACCACCAGAGGCTGAGCGCAAGGTTGATGGAGCTTTCAGCGCCCACAGTGAGGACTGAAATATAATAATGATAGCTGGTGCGGCTAGCAAGAAAAGAGGTATATTGGACACTGTCCAGTATCGAAGAAACCCAACATTCCTGAGATATATCAGCAACCATGACCATCACGTTCGCCTCTCGAGAAGTAGAACCTACCAGTAGAATTCTTGAACCCAGGTGTAGATGCTGGGTAATGCCCAGGTACACCACGGTCGGACATCGGGAAGTCCCATGCAATACTGGCGATAGGCCAGAATCTGAGGCAGAACCATTCCCGATGCCACGATGCAGCCACCGAGAATGATAATAGCAAGACGACGAGCTTTGGTAACGGAAGGACCCTGCGTCAGAGTCGCCCATACCAGCACGATGGCGTCGTAGGCAAACAAGAATCCACTCAGGATGCCATTGCTCCGGACTATGGTCGCAAGGGCAAAGAACACGGCCGCGGTGAGGACTTGGAGGTCTCGAAGAAACCGCGCACCATTGTGGTCTGCAATGAGAGATGAGGTGTAGAGATAGAAACCAGAGATGTTCAGAAACGAGAAGATTGGCTCTCCATAAGGGGCCGAAAGAAATGCCCCCGCTGGCGAGATGATGTGCAGGGTTGCAGACAAGAAACAGATGAGCCTCTGCGTGGCAGTCGCGTGACCGAAGATATTGGCTGACAACCGGTATAAGGCTAATACCGAGAGGTAGTGGGCAACATGAGACAGAACGACACCCACCAAGGCCGTGTTGACTAGTCCGCCTTGTCCACCGGACCAGCGAATCACTAGGGATTGGTGTTAGCAGAAGATCTCTCGAGTACTATGACTAAATGGCTGGGTGGGTCTACCTGCGGCGAAGAAGCTCAAGATCCTAGGATAGCTGAATGCCCACTCTTGCTCAAAGACATATCCCTCTTCTGCGATATGCAGAAAGTAAATTGAGTCCCACCGAGTAAACTTCAATGGCCACGGTAGAGACTGGAGTTTGCCGTAGGACAGGTGATTGCCCCGCTCGGAATTGATCAAGGTGGTTGAAGTGTCGTAGCCTGGGCCAGGGCACAATACAACTGCAACGAACAAAAGAGCTTTCCAAAGCCAGAAGGCGAGGGTTAAGCTTCCAATGGGATTGTCCAAACGAAGCAGCTTCGCGGAGACGGTTGAGCCCATCGCAGCCATCGCGTGGCAGTAGTGAGGTGACGTAGGAGAGAGTCGGGGCGTTAGGGTCTAGCCCGAAGGGTCGGGGAAGATGATTCCATTGAACCGAGGTATTCGCGATGCTGACTATTCTGGGATTCTGCCGGGCGGGAAGTCATGATGCATTGCATAACTCTATACATAATTAATCAGCGGATGGGGGTGGCGTGGCTTTTGTCTCCCGCCGACCACTCGTCGATATACTTCTTTCGGCGCGACGCTAAGGCGGCACTAGACGATGGGCGAAAGCCATTGCTGGACACCCGAGCGGCGATCAATTCTGCAGGTGTTCATGCGACCAAAGGGCCTCCGATGACAAAGACCACGGAAATTCGAGGGGGAGCAAATCACGAGCACCAGGTTGCACATACAAGTCATATCTTTTAGTGCCTGTACAACGACAAGTGCAGTATACCTCCCGTGTACCTCATTCTACTACGTACCCTCAAGTATGAGAAGTATGAGTAAGTGTCCACAGTGGCAAAACGGTTGACCGAATCACCATAAGCGTAAGAACTACCTCAAATGTTCAAAATCCCACATTACTAGTCACTCTGGCTGACACATGACAACAGGACCGAAACCTGGATTGGTCACCCGCCGAGCATATTTTTTTTTTCAGGGTCGAAACCCGCCGGGATTAGACCCATGGAACAATCCTCACTTCAGCCCTATCGAGCTTTGTTGCCAAGCCAATGAGCTCAGCAAGGAGTCGAACGCTGGTGAAGCAAGATGACGAGAGTGAGGGAAAAAGCACTCGACAGCTTACAGCTAACAGCTTACATCCAACTGTCCTGATGTACATTGGACCACATTGATCATAAATTGCCCGTCAGCAGCTGAAAGGGGTGACTTGTGCCGCTTCCTAGCTCTCCAAGAGAGTGTCAGACGCAAATAAAGTTCGGGTCGATTCCGTCCACGTTATGATTCAAACCTGCGTCTCTTGAAGTCCGGTCCAGGGTGGGCCTGATGCTCTTCGGCGCATCAATCTGGCCGGTTCCTGCCGGGGCGGCATTCGGTCTTCTTGCCCGCAGTTGCGCCGCGCCGAGGCCGAACGTTGATCAGACAAAGCATAATCATCGTGATTACTATTTTTCTATTCTCTTTTTCGGCTGATTGATCTATCGGCGAGGGCGGCGCCGGTTGCCTGGGCACTTAGAGACCGCTCCACGGACGGTCGGACCATCTCCATCGAAAATCGCGTTCAACAAATGAATTTCTCGTATAGACATGGAGCCACGACAGGCGGAGACGCCAACGAGAAAAAAAAGTCTGTCGGTCGCCATGACCACCCCCCTCCCCCCACCCATCGAGACTGGGACCGAAAGAAGGCCCCTCGTGGTTATTTGGCGGGCAAATTGACCTTTGAGATGGTGTCCGTTAGTCAGCTTTGGAAAGTTCGAAGTAGAAGATCAGCCGAGGGTTGTGAGATCATCACGGAGTATAGTATACGGATACTCCATACAATCGGGACTTGACACCTCGATGGAACTTCGAGACAATGCCCTGTACTTATTCTCATTGCGGTGTATCAGGAAGGGAAAGTACATAACAATCACCCGATGAAGATCAAGCATCGACATAAAAACTTGGTCCTATAGTCGTGCGATCGAGGATGACATAGTTTTCGCCCCTCCCTCGAACAGGGTCAACAGGGTATAAGACAGGATCGATCAGATAGATTCAGGAGGCCTAGGAAATCCTACAACAAGTCATTATGATGCCGCCGTTCGCCGTGCGACCAGTCATCATCCTGGATCATGGCCAGGGCTAGTTTGGAGGGGCGAATAAGGCGAATAGTTCTTGTCAATGGGCGCGCCAAGCACCTGTCGGAGGAGACGAGGCATTTTCGCATGACGCTGGGGGTTGTACGTTTGGTTGGCGGGCGCTTTGGAGGGCGACGTACCTGGGTTCTGTCGGTTCTTGGCTTGTCGGAGCCGCACTGCATCCCACGATCGTCCGGACTCCGGATGTGTCGGAGGCCGCAGGGGCCGATTCCGTCAGGATCAGATGCTGAGCGGAGTGGAGCTGTTGTTCAGCCCTCGCGGGCGGCTGGATGTTGGTATTTGGGATGGTCGAGCAGCTTCCTCCACGGGTCGGAGGCCCTTTCGGCCCATGGTGGTGGTCCACCCTCTATACGTCCCTGGTGGTATAAGGCTGACCGCCCCTTCATAATCCATGATTCTTTTCCTGCCCCCTTGCACCTTGCGTCTTATACTCCTGGCCGTACATCGACCCATCGTGCTGGCCACTTTCTTAACTTGCCCATCTACTGCACATTACGCACTACGCCCTACACCAATCAATCAATCAATCATCCACTTCAGCCACCTCCCCAGCCCTACACATCTTGCACATCTTGCACATCCTGCACATCCTCCGCACATCGTATAATCCCACTCTCTTGCCCTTCGCCCTTTCCTTTCTTCTTTTTCTGCATGCCCATCTCTTCCCTCCCCTGACCTGCCTCGAATTTCCTCAAATCTCCTCATATTTCCTCATATTTCCATACATTTCCTCGAATCGCTCCTTCCCCTCTCGAGCTCCACTCCGCTGGCAAGGCTGTGGCCTACTGCGATCCCACCCCGGTCTAAGCCTCTTCCCCGCAGCTGACGCGTTGACCGGCCTGTGTACGTGGATTGGGGGCAGCCATATCAATCCTGAACTGTCGCCAGTGCGCCCTGGACAATCCCAAAGGCATTCGGGGAATTCAGGGAGTACTGGGGAGACCGATGTTGGCTCCGCTAGAGTCCAAGAATGCTGCTGAATCTTGGCCTCACCGCGGATGCCGCAGCAGCTCACATCAATGAACCCTGCGCTCAGCCAGAATCCCCGCCAGCTTCCAACGCCTACGCCGGTTTCTCTCTTCCTACTCTGCCCTTCCTGGACACGTTCTATAACCGTGCCAGAGCAACGACTGATCCGGTCCCGTCGTCCACACTGACAGGCTCTGAATCCCGTGGAACCATGAGCCCCGTTGCATCATCCCCCACGCAGGGCGAATCGTCCACCCAAGGTATTCCACCAGCGCTCGCCCGGCCCAAGGCGAATCGTTCCTATAGCTCCTCCAAGAAGTCCACCCGGCCCAAGACCTCATACCAGCTCGCCCACCCGGCGCATCATGCGCGACATAAGCGACTCAAAATGCGGCCGAAACTCCTCCTACAACTGCAGCAGGTGTCGCAAACCCCTCGGCCCCTGCCGATTCTAGATATCCTCCCGTCCACCTTGTATTTACCCCGGTTAGCGCGCAAATTCCCCGCAATGTTTCGACAGAGGAATGGACTGGGTCCGAACGACTTGATTATTGTGATGAGTGAACTGTACGAGCGGACGGTGGCCAGCATTCCGGAGAAACAAGCCAGCTCAGAAGATGACGACGAGGACCAACGCGAGGTGGTGGCTACCATTTGTCAGATGCTTCACGAAGATGCTCGCTCCAAAGGTAAAGCCGAGATCTGTTTGAACTTTGGCCCGGTTTGGGAAGCAACGCCGCTGCCCAGTGGCTCGTACGAGTTTGTTGCCCGCTTCGAGAACGGGGTGGTTCAGGTCATGCGATGGGCCCTGCGCGGGGGCCGGAGTCGTCGCGTATCTGCGCCGCCGGTGCCTGGATCACAATCGCAGGAAGATAACAAGCGCTTCACGTTCAGTGTTATTGACCCCAACACTCGCCGACACCCCGTGATCGCCTCTATGACGAAGAATCAGCTCGAAATCAACGATGAATACTCGGCCGTGGCTCGGTCCAGCACCGGACCCACGACCCCAAGCTCGGGGATGTCCGTGGCCAGTGACATGTCCGACACCGAGGCACCGGTAGATACAAACGACACAGTTAAATTAGACGATGGTCTTCGGACGCTGATCATCGTCACTGGGATTTGGGTCGCTTTCCGCGAAGGCTGGTCCCATAACTTCAACTATGGAGATCCCATTTCGGCGCCGAATGTCAAAACGGTGGTCTCACCGACTCCATCCCGATATGCGTCGCCCATTTCCATCAAGAACGAGAACGAGAATGCAGTTGATCGGGACGAATTGTCTCCGGTGAAGGAGCTTCCCAACGGCGGCAAGCGGTGCATGTCGATCACCAGCATGCGCCGATCCAACACTATTACGCCAGCTGAAGGAGCCAATTCCTTCGGCAGTCTCTCGAAGCGTTCCAACTCAACCGGTGCTGCCTTTATGGATCGAGCTAAGCGTCGCACTGCCTCAGGGATCAGCAACCGCCTCAACCGCCACAGTATGTTACCCAACACCGGTGAGAACCGTCGCGACATTGTCGTCTCTCGACCGCCGTCGCTGCGGCAAGCTTCGGTCGAACCCGAGCCGTCATCTCATCAACCCGACCGCTCCAAGTTTTCGAAATCTGAAGCTCAGCCCGCTGCTGCCACGTCCGGATCAGTTCTGAATGCGGACCGCACCCCGGACTTCAGTTTGGATGGCGCCTCCGACCAGCTCTCCAAGGACAGTGACGTCAAACAAAAACGGCGACACCGACTTAGCTCCATTTTTACGATCTTCCACCGAAAGAGCGGGACTCATTGAGCACCTGATGCCCGACACATGTATACCGTATACCCTTGCATATTCTTGTCAGCGACACTGTATCCCCCTCCCCGGCATTTTATTTCTCCTGCCCTGGATTGCATCTGGCTTTGGCGTTGCCTCTTTCTCCCATTTCTTCTATAGCGCTTATCATCTGTCTGGTACAGATCTTGTTACTCTCTTCTCTTTTACGACGCATTCAACTCCTCCATTCTTTCCCAACCTCTCCAACCTCCATTGCCTCACAAAGGACTTCCCCCGGTACTCCATTTTTTCCCCTCCTGCCATGATAGAGATGGCGCGACACAAATCCCATGTCAAGTAGATACCTATGTAGATATACGATCACATTGGTTCTGTACCCTTTTCAAAATCCGTTTGACCACCCTTCAATGAACATTTCTTCTGCATTTTCAACGTTTATGATTTACATGTCACCGTACATACGTGTTATGCCCTTTTTATATATTTACGAAGCATGCCCCTTCCCTCAGACACTTGAACCGTGTACTGGCATCAAGCTAGGGATTAAATCCTTTTATTAGAGCATTACATATCTATATATATAGATATAGATATAGATATAGATATAGATATACGTATGTTTAGCAGTGAGAAAAAAAAGTCCTATAACCTCTCAAGAATTTGGGTAAACACACCAAAAATGGCTTGTCTTCCTTTAAACGAACACTCACAAGACCAGCCTCCCCCGATTCATCCAACACTTAGAACTGGACAGTCTTATCTGCTGGAGCCCCCGTGTACAATTGCTGGCCGTTTTTCTTGAAGCTGGTGATAACGTGCTGGCCCTCGGCACTGATAGCCCACTGGGCGAACTGATCAGCCATTTTCTCGTTCTTGGCGTCCTTGCCGATGAGGATATGGGCCGGGTTCAGCAGCGGGTCGGATGCGCTGTCAGTGGCAGCCTTGTAAATAGTAGTCTGGCTCTGAAGCTCGGGTGAGATGGAAAGATACGTGCCGCGGTCGGTGAGGGTGTACTCGCCCAGGGTGATGGCGGCCGTCAACGCCTGGATCGGGTACGCAACGTATTGGTGGTACCAGGTTGAGTAGGCCGTGGCCCAAGGGACCTCGCCGATCTCGATCCACAGCTGCGATTCTTTGATGTTGGTTGCGGACTTGTCGTAGCGCGTCAGAAAGCGTACCGGCGGGTCGGTGTTGCCGGCCTCCGCTGTGCTGTACAGATTCGAGAACATTGTCTTGATGTCCTGGTCGGCTGACAGTTTGGCCGGGTTGGACTTCGGACCGACGAGCAGGAAGTGGTCGCGCCATGTGTACCAGGCGGGCGACTTGGCAATGCCTTTGGTGATGGCGACCTGCTCGGCTGCGGGCACGTAGGTGATGCCGATGTCGACGGTGCCGTCCTTGAGGTAGTTGATGGACTCTGTGGTGTCAGACTTGTACCAGGCGACCTCGAAGGGGTCGGAGCCATTCTGGACGCTAGTCTTGATGAAGGCGTTTGCGAGAGCTGGCGGGCATGTTAGCAAGATATAAGCTCTATTTCCCTCAAATGGATACCGTTGTGCTTTTGAGGGGCTTTTGGTTCCTGTTCAACATACCCTCGATCAGACCACTTTGGCCAGCACCACCGTTGCCAATACGGAGCTGGATATTGCCAGATGAATTGTAGCCACCATTGTAAACCTTAGCAGGCTCAACGGTATATGTCGAGACAGTGGGTGTCCAGCTCTGGGACACGGTAAAAGCATACATGTTGAAGAAAAGGCCTCCCCCGCACGGTAGAAACAGAATGGATCTCGGATTGACAAGTAAACGAATGACTTGACGAACGACTTGAAGGGCGATCTCTGGCTATATGAAAGAGCAACTTATCGGAAGAGAAGGAATAAAAATGCTATAGAGACCAGCCAAGAAAAATCCATGGCGAATCTCTGTCCAGTCATCTTCATAGCTTCTGGAGCCACGTTGCCTGTACATCCTTTCGAGATCAAGAGTACCACGTATTTACGTGGATGTGAGGACAAACCTTCATGGAACCATGAGACAAACCGATAATAATAGGAAGCAATGGAAACCGAGTCCCATGACTTAATTGGGAGGAACGATGTGCGAGCTTGAGGGTCGTGATAGGGATTGGCCCTGGCCCAAGAGCAAGAACGGATCTGAGAACTGCAACTTTTGCATACTCTTGCTTGTCTTCAGAGTCGCCAGGTTCCACTCAGGCTGTGACGTGCTTCGTTCAACCATATTGGGAGAACGCCTGGGTGGATCTCATGGACGAGTCAAAAGGCTCAGCAGTCCGAATTCCAATCCCGAGTTGGCTCGTTTTCCGGGAAAGTTGACAGTTGGCGGGAATCGAGGTGCAGGCCAGAAAGGTAATCTTAATTAAATATACGATCGATTAATTTTCAATAGAGAAACGGAGGGCAGATGAATGAGGCATGCAATTTGCGAGGATCGAAGAGGAATCGAGATAATGCAGAAAGAGCGTGAGGATGCCGTCATGTCGTGCAACAACAATCCCGACCCCCCCATGCGCTTTTCGTTCACTCCTAATTACGGTACCAAATCATGGTTCTCATCGGTTCAGAACGACGATGGGTCGGTCGAGTCCGTGCTGACTTTTCCTCGCCTTAGTGGTCTTTCTGGTGCATCAGCCAGCACATCCGTGCAGCAGTTCAATTCAACCGCAGTAATCGCGGACGCCACATCTCCACAGGCGTACGGCGAGACGAGCACAGAGGATTCATCGATAGACGGCATGACATGGGAATTCTCGGAGCCCATGAACCGGTAGCCGAACATTATCAAAGAACTATGGATCTGACAGTCCCTTACATTATTCAATTTGCACTGTCAACTACCCTAACCCTATGTCAGTGCCGTACTTTATATGGTAACTAATAATCCAAGCAGCTGTTGGGGTCCCAACATGTTCCATGACATTGGCCCTTTACCGTTCCAGCGGTGCAATCCCCTTAGGCACATACGGCTCCTCCAGATACTCAATTTCTTCCGGGCTCAACTGGACCTGCAAACTGGCGACCGCCTCGTCAATGCGGGCGGTGCTGTTGAGACCCACGATCGGGCACTCGTTGGGGTGACTCAAGGACCAAGCCAGAGCAATCTGCGCCATGCTAACGCCCTTCTTGCCCGCCAGCTCCTCAACTCGGTCCACAATGGCCTTGTCGGACTCCGTCTCGCGACTGCGGATAAGCGCTTTCAGGGCGCCGTCGGTGTTCTCACGCACGGTCGAGCGCGAGCCCCATGGCCGGGTGAGCACACCACGCGCCATCGGAGACCATGGAATAAGCCCCACGCCGCTGTCTAAGCAGTAAGGGATCATCTCGCGCTCCTCCTCGCGGGCGATCAGGTTGTGGTAGTTCTGCATCGAGATGAACTGGTGCCAGCCATTGCGGGCCGCAATGTTCTGCAAGGCTTGGAACTCCCAGGCGGCCATCTGACAGAATCCGGTAGTTAGAAAAACACATATGCTGGTGCTTCACAATCCCCGGCAAAGAAGAGAGAGGGTAAAAGAAATGGCGCACATACCGAGCTCGCGCCAATATAGCGCACCTTGCCGCTCTCCACGACATCATTCAGCGCTTTCATGATCTCCTCACGGGGAGTGTCACGGTCGAGACGGTGGATCTGAAGCACATCAATGTAGGTGCCCAGGCGTTCGACGCTGGCATCCACGGCGTCGAAGATGTGCTTGCGGGACAGGCCAACTCGGTTGACAAATTCCCCCTCATTTCGAGCGGACGCCCAGATCGGCGGGAACTTGCCTTCGTCATCAACGCCGTAGAAGCACTTGGTCAAAATGACCACGCGATTACGGGGAATATTGAATTTCTTCAGGGCCTTGCCGATCACCTCCTCCGATCGACCATGGGAATAGACGTCTGCCTAGATTGGGCCTGCATCAGAAGGGAATTTACGACAGCCATAATCAAAGGAGCATGTCTGTTGATACCTACCGTGTCCCAGGTGTTGATGCCCTGCTTGTAGGCGTGCTCAACCAGGGCTAAAGATTCCTCCTCGTCCAAGACCCAGTCCTGCCATTCCTTACTGCCATAGGACATAGTGCCCAGAATGATCTTAGAGATCTTCAGGCCCGAATTGCCCAAACTGACGGTCCAGATCGTCAGCACTTAAGCTGCGGCTATTGCGCATCGCATGGAATCCCGTTCGGAGCGCGGAGGGACAATTCTTACCGAGTATATTGCATCTGGTTGCTAGACATTGTGACGAAAGACAATGTTCAAAGATAAATATGGGATATCCCTAGAATACTCGTATGCAGAATCAGTGCAAGTCCCAAGTCCCACTGACTTCAAATAACCGGTCGGCTCGTTCAAATTGGAGTCAGGGCAGGACGTCCAATGACCGCTATATGAGGGGTACTCCCTAGCAACCCAAGAAAGTGACTCATGCAGGGACGAAGTGGAGACGAGCTTACAGTGAATAAATTAGGTTGAAATCGATCTAATCGAGTTTGAAAGATATGAGAGAAATAATTTTCATGAAATCAAAATGAGGCGCACCTCTTGCCCCATAAAGCATTAATAATCTTGAAATCGGTGAAGCTTCGACATGCCGAAATCCACAAGCGAGCGTTGACTTAGCCGACGGCTACCCGGTGGGCGGTCATGCGGCGCACTCGCTCACTGGTTACAGTATCGGTCGGACCATAGATCGGCTGCGAATCCGGGGTAATCCCTTGATTGTTTCCGTCTATATCCGGCGGTTAACTTAGAAAAAAGAGGGATGCGCAACATACTGGCTGCCTATACTTCTACATACACATAATGACAGCGGTAGGAATGGAATAATGAGTAATAGTAGTGGAGAGAGAGGAGCGAATTTTTGTCTTCGTGAACGACAGCTGGCAAAGTAGTCATAGTCAGTATGCTGCTCAGCTATTTTGAGAAGGATCATCAGTACGCTCTTCCTTACTCTCTCTGGTGATCTGATGAAGCCAATCGACCACATGGATTTGTATACAATAAACCTGGCTATGTAAATGAAATTCTCTTTAATCCAATAAAACAGACAAGCAAAATAAGATAGCAATCAGGCAACGCAGACAGCCATTGCAAATACGTAGGTGGATGAAAACCACGAGAAGAACAGGCGACGAGATGAACCAGTTCTCCGCGGAGGAACGATTCGCTTCGGCATGCAGAAATAAGCATTCGCCATGAATCAGATATGCTGGGTTCTGCTTCCAAAGCATCCTATTCCGCTTTTCAACCATTTTCTTTTCTTCTTCCGTAAATCAAACCCACGGTGGTCAGCACAGAACCCACATTCGAACGTACAGTGACCAATTCCTTTTTTGACTTCATGGTCAATATGATGCCTTTCACAGCAGCCGCAGCCTCGGTCACAACAATCTTCATTCCCAATACAATCCTTAATCAGTTCTTGGCGGAGGTACCATCGAGGGTTTTGCCTGATCTGATGATAATTTTCCTTTAAGGGTCGGCGAGGAAGCATAGATCCGGAAAAATAGAGATCATGTGCCTTAAGCTGATATTTCTTCGGGCGATCCGAATTGCCGGTATTATCATCCTTGTATCCTCCTATCTGTATTGATCTGGACCTTGTCTTGAGACGCTCTTCAAGCTGCCTACACTCTCGAAGGCGAGCCTCGCGGAGAAGTACATCAATAAAGATAGAAGAGCCGCACACGAGATGATCACCGTATTACCGCCTAGCCTGCAGCCAGCCGCCATGAGCTTAAAGAACTTGGAGAGTTCGATAAAAAGTTACCTCCAAATAGCGTCTCCGTTGGTTGTGGAGATGGTGTGTTTTGAAGCGTTTGTTTCTCAACCTGTGTATATTTTAGTGTAAGCCCCTTTCTGCCCTTTATGGTTGTAAACGCCATTGTTGGCAGAAAAGAAGAGAAAATGGCAGAAAATTTCATGAAGCAAGAGATGATTATAAATCAAGAAAATGATGCAAATACATTCACCAGATAGCTCAGGATCAATGGTATCTCAGGCTACCATCAGCTCAGAAAACCTGATTAGGACTAGATACTATATATCATTTGGAAGCATGCTAGCTAAGTGAGTTCACAGTAAGATGGCTTTACTGTGCTCAAGTTGGATATTTGGAAACCCCTGAGTTATGCAGAACTAGCCCTCGATCCAGGCTCATAGATGAAGAAATATGCACCGTACTCCCCACTGCCCCCATACGCAGAGTCGTCCTGGATGAGCTCTGCTATGAGCTGAAAACCAATTCGTTTATAGAGCTCAGCTCCTTCTCTCAATGCGTGGACGAAAATTCTTAACTTCATCTTGTCCGCCTGGTACATCCCGCTCTTCACCAATGCCGTCCCTACTCCTTTACGCTGGTTATCCGGATGCACAGCAAGGTATTCCAGACCTGTTAAACGACGGGTCAGACCGGGATATAATTTCCTCTAGACTCGCACGTTGATGCGCAACTTACTGATATACGGAGTCTTTGGAGTCACTTCTTTCTTGAGTGCGTCCACGCGATCTGACAACTCGTTGTCATCGCCATTGGGATCCCAAACAACGGTTTCGGCAATCCGCCGGATCTCAGTCTCCGTCTCGGGCTCGACCGCCGGGACCTGAGCCTCAGGCCATGTCGGTGTGCTATCATCTGGGTTGGTCTCATAAGACGATGGCAGGCGCCATCGTGCGTAGCCGAGTATGCGGCCCGTCTCTAGATCCACTGCTTTCTGATGTCGCAAGGCCTCCCGGTTGTTCAGCAGGTTTCGCGGAAAGCGCAGGGCTATCTGCGAAATGTGATACTCGAGGGTCCGATGGCGCCAGGCCAGGACCCAGTTCGGGTCTGCCCAGAAAGCGGGGATACTGTTGGCAGCTAGGGCTGCGCCATCGACGACACTGCATTGAGAGATTTCAAAGGGAGCCATGTTAGGTAAGAGATAATAGGAAGACTGAAGTTTGAGGTAGTCTGGGACAGAAAGGACAAACAATATGTGTCGGATCCTAGGAGCCTGCGCCTCCACGGATCCTTGACGCGAAGAGACTACGGTGGTGACGAATCCTTCGGCGCCTCATTTAACGAAATCTGAAGGCTGTCGGCCCGGTATTCGGCAACCGACGAGATCCTTTTGGACAAATCGACCAACACCTGAATCAAAACCGGTCTGCCGTCCTCACATTGGTTTCCCTTCTTTGCTCACATATCAAAAGAATGTAATCACTACATTTCATGCTGGGCGTGGCCGAGCTACAATGCCAAAGAAATTGCTGAGGCTTAAGAGCAGGCGAGGTACTCAGCCTTCTGTTTATGATTCCATTATTGATTACCAATATGATGCCATTCCAAATCCTCGCGATGCAACCGTGATTCCACTGGAAGTGGTCACTAGTTCAGCGGTCGTCACCGTTTGACCAGCGGCCACGACTGATAGCACAAGCCTACCCTCCGCTCCTTCAAAAGTGGATAGCTCCAGATGTTGGCTAAGTGCGAAACCTCAATGAATGAGGCCACTAATCCGTTAGAGATAACAAAATACACAACCTTCGTCATCGTAGGGAATTTGAAGGTCTTGAATTAGGTCGACCCCGCATCAGCCTGAAACTTATGTGATACAGTAGCTCACTTTCGTAAGTAAAATGGAGATTCAAGGTAGTTCCCAATGCTCTCATTGGGCCAAGGCCTTACAATAAAAACAAAGATGCGCGCTTGAACTAGTCCATACAGCTATCTTTCCAATTGGCACAAGGTAAAGAATTTGGAGGGGGAAATAAAAGGTCAGGCAGCATTAGGCTGCAACTTTTAGCTCCGCCTGTGAAGACTTCAGCGGACACCCACTACGCCGTAGTCAGTCACCACGCTAAATATATTCCAGGACAGGCCGGGGCATACTTGGCAATAGGAAGGATTGGATATACATAGTCCCTCATAAAGCTAGGTACGTTTCAACGCTTCAAGACTAACCACAATATCATATCTAAATTCTTCAAGCATAATGATCCTTTCTGACCAAAATGCATCTTGAAATTACCAACCTTCTTTGCTTTAAAATTGATTATGGTGGTACTTACTTAAGCTTTTTAGAACCAGCTTAGTCCGCTCTCGAGCCGAGAGAGTTATTTCTAAGTATTGGAATGGCCTAGAATTCTGCTCCTCAAGTGTGACTTCAATCCAGAGAGACAAAATATAATGAATTGGAATGATACTGTGAGAAGATACATGGTATTTCGAAGAGTTTGGTGAAGTTGCTCGCCGGACGAGCCGTGGAGATCAAGACGACTTTGCAATGATCTGATCCAGACTATGCCAGATACGGTATGGCGCAGCTTTCCCCGTTACGCTCTGAATCTGTCTGTTGACTCAGTATTCTGCATGCCTTGCCGCCAACACTGACATTGCATTCATCATGCCGATCTGCACCTTTGTGACAGGTAACCCAAATAAGGTGATTGAGGTCAACGCAATTATTGGCGATTCGATACCGGTCCAACCGCTCGCGCTCGACATTCCCGAGATCCAAGGATCCCTAGAAGAAATCGCGAAGGATAAATGCCAACGCGCTGCCCAAATTGTACAATAGGAGAATGTTCCTCGACCTATGTTTGAATGCTTATCGCTAATCCAATGTCATGGTAGATCGATGGACCAGTGATTGTGGAAGATTCGGCACTGGAGTTTATTGCTATGAAAAAACTCCCGGGACCATACATGTAGGTGACTTAAATGTGAGAATACAAGAGAAAGAAAAGACCAAATTTCTAATAAACGTATCATGGTGAAGCAAATACTTCTTGGAATCCCTTGGAAATGATGGGCTGAATAGACTCCTGGAGCCTTATGAAGACAAGAGCGCCGAGGCTGTATGCACGTTCGCGTTCTCCGCGGGGCCGACGATGGAGCCGTTGATTTTTCAAGGAAGACTGAAGGTAGGCAGATGCACATATCCAAGCCATGAAAGCTTCAGGGCACGTATGTGAGGTGCAGTAACTAACTACGTTTCAGGGGAAAATTGTACCTGCTCGCGGTCCACCTGTATTCGGTAGGCCTCTCTTGACAAGCACGTGATGGCTCGATCAAGTACGTACGGAATTTGTTGACTTATGAGTAGGCTGGGAGCCAATCTTCGAACATGAGGGCGAAACTTTGGCAGAGATGCCACATGAGAAAAAGGTGAGTTTCGCTACTGGATCAACAACCGCGGTTGCCCCAAGTACTAAGACCGCCCAGAACAAGCTTTCACATCGATACAAGGCCCTTGCCAAATTCCAGGCATGGTTATCCCACGGTCAAAACCGAATTGTCTATTTTGGAGATCACCGAGAATCACAAGATCGACCGCTCTGGGATTGATGACTGGGAACGCTTTTGGGGATGGGTGATAGGGCACGGGGAAATAGTCTCAGCTGGAATGCTATACTCCGGAGAATAGTGGATAGAAGAAGAACAATCCCTGGTTGCAGGCCGCCTACCGCACCCCATCGTCTGTGATCTAGCTTGGGCTAATCCGATCCTCGGGTCGGGGCTGATATCCCTTTCTCAGAGGGAAACTTTCCCCGTCCCTCCCTGCCCCACATCGCCGCAGGTATGACACAAGAAGCCAGTCAAAACGGGCCATTGGATGCTTGGTATTCGTTGCCCGTGTCATGGCGCATCGAATTGTCAGAAGTCATTGTCATGGAGAGCAGTTGATATGTGCACTCTGACGCGGGGCAAATTACTCTCCATCTCCATGAACGTGGGGAACCCGACGCGATGTAGTCTGGTCAAGTTTAAATGATATTTATATCACCAGCCATCTGGTCGCTTCAAACAAAATATTCACCTCGGTTTTTTCTACAATATACCTGGACAAGATAACCCTTGAGCCTTCGTATTGACGAATTATCCCTTTGAGCACTTTATCAAAGTCCCCAACTTCTGCTTGTTCTTTATTTCACAGCGACCAAGACACCCATTTCGAGAAGATGTTGTCACTAGTCGCAACCGCGCCTTATGCGATTGCACTTGTTCTTTTTCTTTTTGCCTATTTTATCGGATTCCCCTACATTGAATACCTTCGAGACCCGAAAGGTGTGTTTGATTGTATGCAAATTGAAGAGGCAGGTCATCGCTAATGCTCCTCCAGGTCTACGGAAATACCCTAATCTTTCTCCCTTTTCTGGAGTCTCTGCATTACCTTTCATGTTCATGGCCTCGCGAGGCTTCCGATCCATGGAATTGATGCACCTGCACAAAAAGCACCCCGTGATTCGAACGGGACCCAATATGCTCTCTTATGGCGACGTTCGAGCCATCAAAGATATCTACGGTCACAGCACCAAGTGTACCAAGGATGGATCTTACTCCGTTACCGCTGGTAGTCACTTCAACCTGGCTGATGTCGTCGATAAGCGTGACCATGCCAGGAAGCGCAAGGTTCTCTCTTCAGCATATGCGCTCAAAAATTTGGAGAGCTGGGAATACAAAGTGACTGATAAGCTTCAAAGAATGTTCAAGCACTTCGATCAGGTCTGCACCCTGGCTCCCAGGGAGCATGTTGCATCCGGCAAGGTCGCCCCCGATCCGAAGGACCTGACCTTGGATTTGCGGGCTTGGACTAACTTTTTTACGCTTGATGCCATTGCTGACATTGGCCTCTCGGAGAAGCTGGGCTTCCTTGACGCTGGAAACGACGAGGTTGTTGCCGAGAGGAGAGATGGCACAACCTACAAGACTAGCCTCCGTGAAGCTCTCTATCCAACCGCCCGGAAGCAGTCGCTTATCCTGTGGAACTATGACTGGTACCCAACAATCAACAAGCTTGTCAATGTGGTTCCTTATTTTGGGCGTATGCAAAACGCATCTGATAACTGGGACAATATAATGTGGCGCCGAGGCAACGAGCGACTACGGCGCTATGAAGCCGGCGAGAATCTCGACGATTTCTTCCAGGCTCTGATGGAAGATAAGAACGGAAGCCCGAACAACCTCGAATGGGGCGAAGTGGTGGCCGAGTGCAACATTATGATGAATGCAGGCAGTGTGACGACGGCGATTGCCATCACAAACGTGATGTATCAGCTTCTCCGGAATCCGCGATGCCTGAACAAGCTGCGGGAGGAGCTGAATGCCGTTCTTGACGAAGATGATGTCGTTGCAGACTATGACAAAGTCAAGCACCTGCCCTATCTTCGTGCTTGTCTGGATGAGTCGCTCCGAATTTTTCCACCCACTTCCCACGGCCTGCCTCGTGAGACGCCTGCCGAGGGCACCAACATCCTGGGGGAATGGGTGGCAGGAAACACTTCCGTCAGCATGTCAGCCTTGGTTGCACATCGTGATGAAGGTGTTTTCCCTAACGCTGACCAATACATCCCTGAGAGGTGGCTTGAGAGGAAGGTAAGGCCCTTCAGCCTTACCTGATTGCCTTCTCTGCCGGTGCACGCTCTTGTATCGGTCGCAACATTTCTTATCTGGAGCAGACCAAAGCTGTTGCTTCTATGATACATCGCTACGACTTCACCTTGGCCTACCCAGGATGGGAGTTGAAACGAGAGGAGACAATGAATCTTATTCTGGGTGATATGCCGGTTAAAATCTGGCGTCGCGATTTGGGTAAAATGGAATCATAGAGTTGTCCCCTGTTAGTTGAGTTTTCATAGCTGAGCGTCTTTTTCTTCCACGTTTCTTCACTCTTATTCATGATCTCTTCGGTATCAGGGTATCTATTCTTCAAAATTCCAAGCAATGGAGTTGGTCTTTCTTTGGTTTTCATGGACAATTCATGGCAAATTACGTATTTATTGTCAATTTTACACTACAATAAATAAAACCTTTTCCTATTTGCAATTAAAATGCTCTGATCTATGAGAAAATGAACGAAACTAACCTGTACATTGTTGACATGCCTGTTCAATCTATAGAGTTGTCTCCGCTGAGCAGAGTGGCGCCGCCTCTTTGGCCGTGAAGGAGGCCTTGGTTGCAGACTGGCACCGCCTGCGCAACAATTTCCGTAAGATATCCCTAGAGTGGCTGTTTACTTATATCTTGTTCATGACATGTTCACTAACTTTCGTTGAATGTTCAGCTCGGAGATGCAGACCATAGCCGTCATTACTCGAGAAATCTAGGTTATTTGATCCTGCTGTTCTCCCTAAAGCTCAGTGAGCTGATTAAGACGTCCGTTTCAAGATCAGTGATCAAGCAGATTGCTCCGAAGCGGGCACTAGAACAGGCAATGAAAATTCAGCGCTGTCAGCCAAACTTTAATCCGATGCACTGTGCTGTTCGTAGTGTGTGCTTAATTCACATGGCCGCGAATGGCTAAACTCCCCGTGCGGCAGGCGCCCCCGTGCGGCAGGCGCCCCCGTTCGGGGCAACTGCCCCGCACCACCCCTCATTTGGTGCCAAAATGGAAATGCCTTTACCTAGTTGGTCATCTTTCGGCGAAATTAACGGAAATTGGACTCTTGCTTGATGATGATTTTATGGCGATTACCTGGCTACATGTATGAGTGGTATGGCCCTCTATGAGTTTGGCTAGCATACAGTTCCATTGGATCTGCGTGCAAGAAAAGGGCCAGGGATCAATGTGGAGTAAATCATCGTCACTGATTATATACCTGTTCTGTTTTCACCGAGGTGGGAGATCGATTCCGCTAATTTACCCCATAGGGCGTCTCACCTCGCACAGGACTGGATACAGTATCGTTGAATCCATCGATTTCCGATCTCCCAGAGCCGTCTCCTTGTGGAGACCATCTGCTGGGTTTCTATGTCGAGTATTTTTCCCCGACTAATCTGGTGAAGCCTCTCAAAGCCTCACTTTCATTTCTCGCGACCCCGCGATTCTGGACCAATAGGGGCCACCCTCTCTAGCTATTCTATACCCCATGAGGTCCTAAAATCGGTATTTTGAATGCCTGCGGGGTCCACGGTGTTGACATTTTGTCTTCATTCGATGATCCATTCCGGCCGGCCCTTTGAATATATATACCAAGTGTTTTCCGTCAAATTCTTTTAACCCCGTATGAATTGCTTTTCTTTATAGAAAGAAAAAAACACCCGACGGCCATGACGTCCCTCGCTCAATTATCACAAGGGAGCATCTCACCTGAACTACTGGAGGAGATTGCCAAATATGTCGTCCCATCTGGGATCGCTGATTTTACGGCTTTAGCCATCATTGCTGGCGCAGGAGTCACCTTTCTATCCCGAGGGATACTCTGGGATCGACCAGATCCCTACCATCATCTCGCATTTGAACGACCGCAGTTAAAGAATGGTGGCCAGGTGGGATCAAGCAATAAAGAAACCAGAAACATAGCCCAAAAGATGCAGGAGACCAGCAAGCAAATTGTGGTGTTCTGGGGATCTCAGTCAGGCACAGCCGAGGGGTTTGCGCATCGACTGGCTCGGGAGATTGCCGTGCGCTGGGGCCAGGAAAGCATGACAGCCGACTTGTCTGATTATGATCCAGTCTCCATCTCCGAAATCCCGGACTCGAAGCTCGCGATCTTCATCGTTTCGACCTACGGCGAGGGTGACCCGAGCGACAACACCGCCGATTTCTGGAGCTGGATCACCAAGGCCGCGGACCTATCCTTGTCCAACCTGCGATATGCCGCGTTTGGCCTCGGCAACTCAAATTACAAATTCTATAATCGAGTGATTGACGTGATAGTCGAAGGGCTGGATAAATTCGGAGCCCAGACTCTGATACCAGTCGGCAGGGCAAACGATGCAGAGGGCGCGACCGAGGAAGACTTCATGGAGTGGAAGGATCGTCTGTTCACTCTCTTCAAGACACAGCTAGGGTTCCATGAGGTCGAAGCCAAGTACACTCCCAGCTTGAAAGTTGAAGAGGATGAATCATTGGAGCCCATTGACCTTCACCACGGCGAACCTAATAGCACTGTCGATGTGCCCAAGAACGCAGCCCCGTCTTCACCAGTGCGAACCTTGAGCATCTCCCATTCCAGGGAGCTCTTCACGGCCTCAGACCGAAATTGTCTTCACTTGGACCTAGACCTGAGCAGCCAGCCTGAATTGACCTACAAGACAGGCGACCACCTTGCTATCTGGCCCGGAAACCCCGATGCTGAAGTAGAGCGTCTTTTGCAGGTCCTCGACCTGGCTTCCCGGCGCGATGTTCCCATCATCATCAAGGCTTTGGATTCTGCTACAAAGATTACAATTCCTACCCCGACGAGTACAGTGGCACTCTTCCGCTATTACCTAGAAATCTGCGCGCCTGTCAACCGCGACAACGTCCGAGATCTTGCGCAGTTTGCCCCAACTCCCGAGGCAAAGGCGTATCTTTCCAAACTAGGTCAGGATAGAGATTTCTACGCAAATTTCATCAACCACACCCATCTCAACCTCGGTCGTCTACTGCAGCTGGCCTGCCCCGACAAGACCTGGACCGATCTTCCGCTCGCGTACCTCGTGGAGACCCTGCCACATCTTCGCCCTCGATATTATTCCATCTCATCCAGCAGTGTAGTCTCTCCACGGAAACCCTCGATTACCGCAATTGCATCGACGACTACCCTTTCCGATAACTCTAAAGAGCTTGTCCACGGCGTGACTTCCAACTATCTCTTGGCCATCTCTCAACAGTCTCGTTCTCTTCCTCACCCCCACGGACTCACCTATCATCTCGATGGCCCTAGCGATATGCTACAAGGTGGGAAAGTCTTCGCCCACATCCGTCGCAGTAAATTCAAGCTACCGGTCATGAGTAAAACGCCACTGATCATGGTGGGTGCCGGCACCGGACTGGCTCCATTCAGAGCATTCCTTTCAGAGCGGTGTCAGGTCCAGAAAGTCGGAAAGGAGATTGGCCAAATGATCCTCTTCTTTGGGTGCCGCAATCCGGACGAGGATTTTATCTACCGTGAAGAGTTAGAGGAAATGCAGAAGGCTTTCGGTGACAAACTGCACCTGGTGACTGCATTCTCTAGACAACAGGGATCTCCGCGACGATATGTCCAAGACCGTGTTGCGGAACTCGGGGAGGAGGTTGTGAGACTTATTGACGAGGGTGGCAGTTTCTATGTTTGTGGGCGAGCAGGCATGGCTCGCGAAGTGGAGAAGGCTGTCGGTGCCACGATGCAGAAGGCGAAGGGGTGGACGTCCGATGAGGTGAATGGATGGAGCAAGGCCGTCAAGAAGAAGAACAAGTGGCAGGAGGATGTTTGGGGCTGAAGCTAAATTATTTTATCTATTCCTTTCTCCGCTGTTTTGCGACCTTAGCGTTTTGAATTACTGTTCAGACAATTTCAGTCAACCAGGCAAAGATACTTCATCCTGCTATGTTTCAAATTCAAGGTTCATCCCTCTCATATTTCGAATAGTATACTGGATGGTTCACTAACCATCCCTCCCACTATTGAGGTTATCTCCGTATGTCCCTGCATCGCTCCAAATTAGTCAGTATTTAAACGAAACGGACTAGTACAGAGTGACACGACTTATTTTCGATATAAAACAGACGGTATCACCAGATTGGGTAATTTCCTTAACTTCTTTTTGACCAAAATTTGAGGCAAAACTACCCGACTGGATTTCTCAACAACGCGGGATGAGTCACCGAGGGAAGGACATGCCCGCGAGAACCTCCCAACAAGGAGGCTTTCGTGTATGCTTTGACTAACAAAATTTACAGAAGCTTTTATCCCACCTCTAAAAGATTTGACAGCCCTCGTGTCGTATTCATGTCCACTTCCCTTGGTTCAATTACGGAGCGCCTAAATTTGAATGGTCAATCTACAAGATTTATACTGCAGACTTACTGAAGCAGCAAGGCGGTACTCAATATGATTATAGCCCATTATGCTACGCTTTATGGGAAAGACGGATGAAAGTCGAATGCGATCCTTGGATATTGTGCTACAAAAGTAGATGATTACCAGGACGAAAACATGCCAGATAGGGGTACAGTGAATGCCGCGCGGTTGGCGACTCTAGGAAAATATGGACCAATTTGAACTTCCAACCGCACAGAAGATACTGTTGGATAATAAATAGGGTATAGGCTCTGGAGATTTTCTGGAGAGGATGATAATTCAGTGATGAAACGTGGAGTGTTAATCATCTATTCTTGTCTCATGCAGTCATGGCGAAGTCTATAGAGTCTATAGAGTCTACAGATTCTCTGTGAATGAACCTCATCTACTGCTTCTATGCAGCTGGGTAGTCCGTGTAGTGGAAGGCATTGTCCTCAAACGGCCCGTAGAATCTGGTGCGATCATACGGCGCCAAGGGAAGGCCCTTCTTCAGTCGGTCCACCAGATCTGGGTTGCTGATAAAATAGCGACCAAACAGGAGGCCATCGTACTTGCCGGACTCAACCAGGCCCCAAGCGTTCTGGCCGTCGAACCCGCCCGCCGAGAAGAAGGGGGTAGAGCCGAAGATCTCGCGGAACCGGTCCAGAGTGACATTGGACAACCCCCAGCTCTGCAAGAAGGCGTCCTTTTCCATGGGACTGAAGATTTGTTCATAGCGCTAGGAAATTTAGCTGAGGCCAAGGTTTATACTAATAGACGAGATCAACATACCGGCTCAACAAAGCTGACGTACGATAGCGCCGGGTGGGCCTTCTTCAAACCTTCACACAGGTGTGTCCAGGTCTCAACACGCTGCTCGCCGCGAGCCTGGTTGAAGAGCCCAAAGGGCGTCAGGCGAATAGCGAGGTTCTGCTCGCCAATAGTCTGCGCGACTGCGCTCATCAGCTCCAAAGCAAACTTGCACCGCTTCTCCGGGGTGCCGCCATAGGCGTCCGTCCTCTTATTAACATTCGAGCTAAGAAACTGCTCGACAAGATAGCCATTGCCACCGTGGATCTCAACGCCATCGAAGCCAATTTCCATGGCGGTCTTAGCGGCGGTACAATAGTCCCGGATGGTCTGCTGGATATGCGCCACGGACAGCTCAATAGGCGGGTAATCCGCGTATCGGACGGGTTTAGTGGAGCCTACTGGCGGGTGCGAATAACATTCGGTGGGCTCGTCCCACACGCTTGCCGAGGGGCACACTGCGGGCGATCCAGTCATCTGGGGGATTGTCGCACGGCCGGCGTGCCACAATTGACAATAGATGTAGCCGCCCTTTGTGTGAACGGCGTCGACCACCTTTTTCCAGCCGTCGGCCTGCTCCGGGGTGAACAGCCCGGGGACACCGGGCATGCCGTTGCTCTGTGGAAACTAGTTAATTATACAATGACAAATCGCAAATACACCCACATCTCCACTTTGACTATGAACCCCTGAACAGCGGGAGGGCCTGAGCAGCCAGAAACATCACATAGGAGACAGGGGGGTTATTTGCGTAGTGGTAATGGAAGTGGAATTTACCTCTAGCGACGGTGGGATTCCCTCTGAGATGATCAGACCTCCTCTAGTGGCCCGCTGAGAATAGTACTCAGCCACCAGATCCCCAGGGATCCAGACACGATTAGGATTCTCCGGCGTGCTGGTAGAGATTGCAGGCACCCCGCGGTTACGGGTCAGCGGCGCATGGACGATACGGTGGCGAAGAGTGAGGGCGCCATTGGCAATCGCCAAGGGGCGGAAGAGGGCGGAGTGCTCGCCACTGCAGTGAATAGTCATATCTTATGGCTATGGAGTTTAGAATTCTTAGAATGGTCGATGAATGGAAATTGGGGTATGCCGGGGTTGAACCATGAATGTACGGGGTATGTACAGAGTAGAAAACCATTATAGGGAAGAAAAACATAGTCAGAATAGTCCAGAGTAGTCTAGGGCCAGGGACACCCCCTTTTCCGTCTGGCTCTGTCAAAAGTGTCAAATTCGGTTAACACGCGATTAGGGTTCTGTGAAATTACCCACTTTACATCGTCCGGTAAAACAACGGTGCCTTTTGACGTGGGCATCACAGTTTGATGGTGTACAAAACACGAGCTCGGCAATCCACTGAACTTTTCCTGATGGAGGCAATGGTGGAGATCCAGTGGATCTTGCTTTCCTTCATAGCAACCCCAGGGAACCATTGCACTGGGTGACGGCCACGTAATAGTTCCGACTGTCCGAGCTGGCCAAAGTCTATCTGAGAATCCAACGAAAATCCAACCTTCAGGGTGGCCTAGAGCCACTATTGTACGTCGGGTCGATAGCGCGGAGATCCACTTGATATCATTTCCGGCCTATCTTCAGTTGTCTAGCCGGGAAGGTTCCAGGGAACAACGGAACGCGGGAAAGCACCGGGGCCTCCACGAGCTGTCAGTTTCTTTTTATGAGCTGAAACTCCTCGCATTTTCATTTTTCTCTGGTTCATGCAGACTATGCGCGGGTGACCTTACTGCTCATCTCAACATGCCCCAGAGTGGTGCACACGATGTCTATAACACCGTCAATTTGGTGACGCAGTGCCTCTGTATCCCGATCGTATCGGTATTTGTGGCGTTGCGATTTTACACTCGATTTCGGTTTAAGCAGAGCCTCGGAGTGGAAGACTGTAAGTGCACCGGCCCCTTTGACTGGACGGACCTGTTGCCAGGATTTAAGATGCTGACATCAACATATTAGATGGATGCGCTGTGGCTTGGGTATGTCGCGTGCTTTCTTTTTCTCTCTCCATTCTGCTCGCAGCATATACTAACCCAATAGGCCTTGTTTATGGGATACTGTGCAATCTGTATTCTGAGTAAGTCCCGATAAGAATAAGTGGCAATCGCATTGGAGCATCCCCGAGGCACAGCACACTGACATATTTACAGTTGGACAACATGGCGGAGGCTATCATATGGACGACCTAAGCGCGGCTGAAATCGTTCAATTCAAGAAGTTCTGCTACATCGCCACCATTCTCTACTGCCCGATGGCACTCTTCGTCAAGATTGCTCTCCTTTCTATCCTCACGCGCATCTTCGCCCCATATCGTGGAAAAGTATGGTTTATCTACATCCTTCTCGGCTGTCTCTGCACCTATTACACCGTCGCCCTTATCGTGAAGATTCGCATGTGCGACCCGATTCCTTTATACTGGCTAGGGACCGGCGAGGGCTCCTGTCTTGATCAGAATGCGGCTCTCATTGCCGACTCAGTAATTAGTGTCGTCAGCGATATTATCATTCTCGTTTTGCCGCTGCCCTTGACCTGGTCGCTCCAAATGTCCCGGAATCGCAAGCTCCGTGTCATTGGTATCCTCAGTGCGGGAGGTCTTGCGACCGGATTCAGTCTGTATCGACTTGTTCTGGTCTTGAAGGATGGAAAATCCCCCGATTTCAGCATTACATTCACGTGTGTGATCATGTCTGGGTAAGTCGACGGACCTGTTGCTCTTTCTTCCTGTTGCAAACAAATCAAGTCTTACCTACTGACTCTCTATCTCTAGTAACGCCGAGGGTGGCGTCGGTTTGATCTGCGCCTGTCTACCCATCCTCAATGTCCTTTTGGCCCACTACAAGAAAAACTACAGCTCGCAGAAATACTACAACCAGAGCTCGGAGCTGCAACTGGACACCCGCAAATCCTTGAACAACTCCAAGTCCGGCACCCGCTGGGACAAATCGCCAAACTTCGGCGACCAAAGCCATCTCATCTCATTTGCCGGTACCCCCGAGGCAGCCGACTCGGTTTATAATGAAGATGGAATCAGAAAGACAGTCGCGGTGGAGCAGACCGTGGAGACGGCAGATAGTGATACCCACAGCCACTGACATTGCTCACTAATGGCCTATATGATTTTTATTTAATGTTTTAGAATTTTACATTTCAACAATACCTTCCACAAAATCCATATCCAAATCAATTCGAGATTCTTACATATTCTACCGAAGAGGAGGGTTTGGATCGAACAACCCAGAATGATGCCACAGCCCATCTAGCCCTGCATCAAAACCGGCCGACCAGGAGCCATCGATGAATGGCCACTGGAACATGTCGGCCTCGAAGTCATGATGGCCTGCGATTGCACTATGATCTCTGGGGAAGAAAGCCGAGTCGCCTTGGGGGCCAGGTGATGACATCATCGATCCCTGGGTTGGGGGTGTGTTTGGTACGGCACGAACTTCCGCAGTACCCGATCGTGTCACATGAGGCTCACGCGTTGGGCGTGAGCGAATATCTCCGTATTCATCCAAAGTGCCTGCGAGTGCAAAGCGTCTGGGGCTATGCATTCCCGACTCGGGATGTGCCTGGGTGCTTTTCACTGTCTCGTAGAAGCGATTGGCCTCTTGGACAGTCCGCCACTGTAAACCGTTAGTGACCGCTCCTAAGGAAGGAAATTCAAGACAGAAAAACAATTACCCAATTTTGACCCACAGGCCACAATTTACTCAGTCGCTCGAGATAAGTCATGTTTCGGTTCTTTTCTTCTTCCGCGCGCTCGAGCCCTCCCGGGTACCATTGTGGAACAAGCGTTCCATACATATTAATGTGTGCCGCGACAAAAACACTGAACCCTGAGTAGGGTGTCATGACTGCTGCCTCCGAGGCTTCTAATGCCAATAAAACACTACTAATATGCTGCGCGGCTTCAAAAAGTTGCTTGATCGTTTCAGGTTGATAATGGTCGTCATCATTCATGTCATGAAAAACATCTGAGTGGGGCTTCAGATTAGAAAGGAAGAGATCGCGATGCAAGAAAATAATGCTTTGTCGAGGCGTTAGTTTGAAACCAAAATTTCTTTTTTTTCGAATCTGAAACATGCCTCATGAAGTAAAGCAGGTTGATATAAGCGAATAATTCGCCGTAGCCGAGAGCGACATGGGCTTGAGCGCTTGTGGCAGGATATTTGACTGTCCTGTCTTGGAGCGATCTCCATTCGTCCAATTCTCCTTTGAGCCTTTGCCAGGTCTGATGCAGAGGCGATACCGCAGAGTCTTCTGGGATATTGACAGATGTGACTGCTCGTCGATGTTCATTTGCAAACCTGAGAATCCGCACAAAGACATCGAATCCACGAGTCACTATCGTCAATCCATTCTCAATAGTCAGATTATTTGCCTGCGGACACTGCTTATTCATATCCGCAGGCATTAGTCTTCGTTCTGGTAAGTGATTGAACGTGAAGTCTCGGTCACTTATAGGCAGTGGCACTGAAATCTGAGAAAACGATAAAGCAAAGTGTTGCCGTGCACCAGAGCTCAACTCGCAGTCCTGCGCAAAACAGCACCAGTATGTGCGAACAAGCTGCTCGTACTGAGTTTGTGAGGCATGGAACTCGTGTGGGCTATGCTCCATACTATCGTCTGCCATTTTGAGAAGCGACTGAATCATATACGTAGCCATTCCTGCGAACGTCAGCACAAATTCCACGACGACACCATAGGCGTTCTTTCTCGGGAGCCCTACCGCTATACATCCATGCTTGATAAGGCCGGCCTGTGCCCCATTCATAGAAAGAGATCATGACAAGGGATTGGGCGAGGTAAAGCGAAGGTGCTTCCATCACACGCTGCGAGAGATGCCTTTGCGCATAACTGGCGTAGACGCCCTCTTCTTCAAGGCTAGTGTCATTCATGAACCGTGCACATAGCGAAAGGAGTGACGCAATAAAGATTGGATCCACAGAGTCAAAGTCTGTAGAAATATCTGAAATCAATGACGGGTAGTGCAAAAAGTTTGCGATCGGGAATTTCTTCCGATATGTTTCGATAGCAGTGATCACTGTGGATGGTGGTAGCGCCGAAATAGGATTTTCATCGCTTTTGAAGATTTCTCGAGAAGTACTTCTGGTTTTTGGTTGATCCTCACCGCTTGCTAGTGATCTTTTATCTATTGTCCTCCGCTTTCGCGGGGTTCTAGATGCGACTGTGTTGCGCCGTACCCAACGCTCTGAAGCGCGGGGATCAGTTAAGACGCACTGGTCGGCTTTGGTCTTCTGGCAGCGTCGACATGGAGGATTCCCCTCATGGACACACTTTACTTTAGCTCGACTGTAGAATTTGGATTAGAAAAGGGGTTTAATGTGACTTCAGTTAAGTTTGTGCTCGAGGAGACATACCGACAGGCATCACATGATATTGATAGCCTCATTGGGCCTGTGGAGGCCACTTGAAAGCGGCAAAAAGAACCTTTGCTACACAGATTCCATAGATATTCAATTGCAGATATAATGCAGACCGAATTGGATGGTTAATTTCGATCTCATCCACGAAGGGCGAACAGGAAAGTAACCTCGGAAGCAGCCAGAAAAATAAGGTATCATAACGTCGCTCGTCAGGTGACCCGTATTATACTTTGAACTATAAGAAAAGAAGTAACCATATTCGGCCATAAATATTTTTATTCTCGTGCCTGAATCTCGTTTATATTAATGTCTACTAAAAATGTATATAAAAAAAGCGCTATGACATGCCAATAATGCGATACTCTTCAATAGAGGCCACCTCTTTAATTCGCCACGGTCCACTGTTGCACCGCGGCGTTGAACTTGTCGACCTGCAACTCGTCCGTAGCCCACGATGTCACAATCCGAACCACTACTTGTCCATCATCTAGCTGCTCCCAGGTATAGAACCGGAATCGTTCCTGAAGGGTTCGAATTAACCGCTGCGGAAGAATCACAAAGACTTGATTTGTCTCCGTCTCGGCGGCCAGCTTATACCCCAATTCTTCAAAGCTAGCAGAGATCTTTTGCGCCATGGTATTGGCATGCGTAGCAAGAGTGAAGAATAAATCGTTACGGAACAATTCCATGAACTGAATTCCCATGATTCGGCCTTTGGCCAGCAAAGCGCCGTGTTGTTTGAGATGGAAAACGAATCCTTCCGCGATCGCCTTCTTCACAACGATGGCTTCTCCCATCAGGGCTCCGGCCTTTGTGCCTCCGATCCAGAAGATGTCGGTCAGGTCGAAGATATCCCGCAGGGTGAGATCGTTCTTCTTCGAGGACAAAGCAGTGCCGATTCGAGCACCATCCATCAACAGTAGAAGATTCATTTCCTTGCAAAGCGCAGACAGTGTGGTCAGCTCCCGCTTGGTATAGACGGTGCCAGTCTCCGAAGCATTGGAAATATACAAGAGCCGAGGCTTGGCCATATGTGGGAAAAATTGATTTTGTTGCATGGCTTTTTGCAAATTGGTCGGTGTCATCTTGCCATCGACTGCTGGGACTAGTATGAGTTTGTGGCCAGTGGCCTCAATTGCACCGGCTTCCTTGCATGCAATATGGCCCGAGTCTAAAGTAATGACAGCCTCGTACGGCCGCAGGCAGCTGGCGATAGAAATGAGATTGGCCGAGGTCCCACTGGGGACAAAGAAGATGTCTGCCTCATCCTCAGCACAGTCAATCCTTTGGCGGATCAATTGCCTGGCTGTGTTGGAGTACTGATCATCCCCGTAGGCAACTTGTTGAGTGGAGTTTGTGCGGAGCAGAGCTTCCAAAATTTGCGGATGAGCACCCTCGCTATAATCGTCCATGAGACTATACGGAGGACATATCTCGTCTTGGCAGAGACTGGTTGACGGCATGATGTAAATTGTCTCTCCCAGATTTAGTAAGCGTAGATAATGATTCTGAGGACTGCAATCAACAGGCACAACAGTGAAAACCAAAAAAAAAAAAATAGGCTGCCCTGTGGCGATTTTGAGTCACCGACGACTAAATAAAACGAGCGGGAAAAAAAAAGGCGAGGTCGGGAATAATATTCTTCGGAAATGGCGGGCCCAGTATTCCCGAGACCCGCGACCGGGAATCCCTTTCCACGCGGTCCAAGTTATTCTCATGTAATGTGGACCTGTGAACGAGAATGGAGACCGTTCTGGGTTGAATTGGAGCGACAGGGTCTTGTGGAGTTGCATGCGCATTAGTCAAGAATGTCAGTCGCGGGTTGGAGAAGATTCTCGTCCACATAGGGAAACCACCGGAAGCCCGGCGGCTGCTGTGAAATCGGCCTGCGCATTTGTCATCGCGACATGGCCTCACGGAGAGTCTGGAATCAGCAGTCCTACATTCGAAAGCTGCGGGGGCTCTGCCCCAGTTGATCCCTGCAGGGACCTCTGGTCGGGTGGCGTATGGTATATACCACCGGTGTCGTCGGTGTCTGGAGGCAATTGAAGCTGCGCAGATATCCAAGTCCATGAAGAGACGGCGAGGGCGAGCAAAACTATATAAATCTGGTACGATGCGCATGTCGGCAGAAAAAGAAACGAGAAAAACAAAGTAAAACCGAGAAAGAACTTGCATAATCAGTTTATTGAGTGTAGACCAAAAGCGCTGCAAACTATTTACAAATGAAAAAACACGCCATACCGGTGTAACACCAATGTACAAGAACTCCAGAAGCCTATGCGAGACAACTAATTGAGATTCCTTTTGTTGTTGATATGCTTCAGAACACAAAATCAATCTTCCATGCTCGGATGGAGGCGAGCCTCTTCCTCGGGAATTCCGTCCTCCATGGGGATACGCTGATATAGCCGGACCCGCCAGCCACGAATCAACAGATAACTCGCCATGATACCACTCATTACGGCCAGGAGCAGAACGAGAGCAAAGATGCCTCCGATGCTGCGAATGGCCTCATAGGTGTTTATTAAAGTCTGAGTCGCCTTGCGAACTTGGGCCTCGGTCGTGTCACTTAGCGAGGCATCCAGGTCGGCGTTACCGATGACCGAATCCTGGAGAAGGGTCCCATCGGCCTTGTAGATACTCTTCGGATTCTGAGGGCGGGGAAGACCAGAATATCCAGACCAGCCGGAGCTCTCCCAGTTCGGGAATTGAGTACGATGGACCGTGGACTTCCCGAGGACGTTGCCATCCCGGTCGACAGCCTCGGCGGTCACCCAATCGAGATATCCCTTGGCAATATACATAGTCTCGAAATCCAGTTTCGAGACATTGCCGATGAAGACCGGTACGTCAAATTGCGAGGCCTGAGCATAGAACTTCCAGCAGGCAATGTCGGTGGCGCCATTCCAGCTAACCCAGAAGGTGGTGACAAGATTGGTTTCGTCGGTGCCATACACAGAAGACACAACGTCGGGGGGATAGTTAGGACGTCCCGTGAACTCGAATTTGTAGGCGCGATAGTTGGAGTAGCGTGACGACGTGAATTGTGCACTCATGAGAACATCGCCTTCTGCCGAGAATTCCGAGATATAGCCTCCCTGGCTCCAGCACACAAACATGTTCTGGTTCGGGAGAACCTGCGAATTGCCGCGCAGACGGGTCAGATCTCCATCCGGCCGGTTGTAGCGGCGGAGCACCTTGGCAGTCATTGGTGTCGTTCCGGAGTCCACCTCAATGATGAGCGCTGAGGAGATCTCCTCCTCCGCAAACTCTTCGTCGGAGGCGTTATTGAGGAATGAGATGACGTGACGAGTGCCGGACGATTCTAGGAACTTGGCATCGTGTTGTTTGGAAAAGGTAAAGTCTTGGACAAAATCCCCGCCACCACGTCCATTGAGGCGCCAAATGATGTGACCGTCGATGGCAGAGATGAGATAGAGTGTGTTGGTGAATCGCATAGAGATCAGATAGTCACCATTCTCGTTCTTGTCAACCGCATTAATATGCACATAATCCCAACCGGGATCAGATTCCACACGGGAATCGGCGTGGTAGTGAACGCTCTCGCGCAGGGGAATCGTAGCAGCCGAGCTCCATTCATGGACCACCTCGGCGGTGTTGAGGTTGATCTCCGCGAACCCACCAAACTGTACAAATGTCTTTTCCTCCGGGCGATCAAGTTCAGCGAGATCAACCTCATGCGGCAGATAGGCTGTGACGAGCGCCGTCTGTCCATCGTCGAGCACATTGAATTCATGGATGTCGAAGTAGCCAAGATCCTCCCGCAGCGGCACTTTGCGAAAGACTTCGTAGTTTTTATCCAAAATCATTCCAAAGCCGCGCTCGGTCCCATCGTGGTTGTACTGCAGAATCAACGATATATGTGGTTCATCGCCGATGCTGTTGATGACTTTGAAGTCGAACACATTGCGATTGTCGAACATGGACGATCCGGACCAGACGAGGTGCTAGGGACAGGCGATGGTGATTAGTTCTATAAGTAATGAGTGACCGGTCTTCGACAACACATACCCCATCTTGATCATAGATATGTGGGCCAATCTGGAACTGTTCGTACAGACTGGTGGGCTTATCCGGGGCAATGTGCAGATAGGGCGAAACAAACCAGTACCCTGGGCTCACCCGAGCGCGATCCTGGTATGAAATGTCGAACTTGACAGCCCTGACGTCTGGCAGCTGATATTGGGATCTCCAGTTAGGACGCTATTTCCCAACGTGGTGACGCACCGCTTGTGAACAGGTCGCAACTTACAGTGACAAAAGACATCAAATCATCGTCGGAGTGCCAGGCAACGACATTCTGCACGCACAGCAGGAGAAGGCCATACCAGATCATCGTGAGTGCAAAGGAGTGACGCAGTTAAAAATCAGCCATGAAGGAGCGGCGAGAGGGCCAGGGGCAGGGGCAAGACGAATCGCGAAACCAGACCCGAGAGGTTGGCAGACAAGAAGCCGGTCAGCGAGGGGACTTGGAGGGAGCCAGGAAGACGGGGCCCTGAAAGACCCCAGTGGAGCCAATAGGGGTCACGACAAGCATTTGGAACTCCAATGACGCAGGCCGGGCGGCTGGTGCCTGAGCAAAGTCCCGTTCTGCACTGGACACGGGGACATCTTGTTGGTTGGAAAGCGCCAGGTGTACGCAAGTCTCGAGCCACTCGGTGGACCGCGCTGGAAGTACGGGGGGTATGAAATCCTCCGGATTGCGTTTTCCACGACGTGAAGTTGGTGTTGCGATCGGTTGTCCCGCCACTTTGGAGAGCAGGGAGTACTGCACATCCCCCAAGCACGTCAACAGGACCCTGAATAGCGAGTGGATTATTTTTATCCCTAGTTCGATTGATCCAATGCCGAGCCGCCAGTTACTACATCAAGACCCATTTTTCATTCCTACATGACCCGCTCAAGTGTGCTGTATGAATCCTGTCCGCGATACAAGTCTGCAGGCGGTTCCACTGCTGGGGCGATTGTCCCTGGTGCCTTCTGGCACGTCTGAGACTGTGTGCGCGCTCGTAAGGGGGTGGCGAAGTGGACAACAAGAGCCGTGCCATGTGACGATTCGCTGAGTCAGGATTCTCGGCGCTTGGCGCCAATTACCAGGCCGACCGGATGACTGATTTACTGAATATGCCTCGACTCTGAGCGCGCAAGATTTCCTAGGACACGGTGAGAGAGAGTCAAATGTCAGAATGTGATCCAGAAAGCCAAATAGAAAGAGTGGGTTCGCTGGAGTGAGATATGGTTCTTCACAGTCTATCACCATGTTCACTGTGCACTAAATACACTAATCGATAGCGCTAGTATTAACTAGGACTAGTTAGTTACTTTGACCAAGGCTGTCATTACTCAGCAATCCAAACGGTCATGGGGAAGGTGGTTCCGCACCCACCAATCATGATGCTCATGCGATCTGCACGATCTCTCAAACCAGGTCAGTCGTGCCTGGAGCCCCCGCAGCAAGTAAAGCCGGCGACTGGATGGAGGGCAGTATAGGACAATGACGTTGGGTAGTAAGACAGAGTCACCAGAGTCGTTTGGCAACAATCTGAGGAAGATACAACAGAGGAGGCAGGATGTTCCGTTAGACAAAATCTCGATGCCCAAACACTCAAATACTCAATTGAAATTCTAAGAATGCAGCCACCACCGCAAAACTGACACAGGAAATCGCGGAGTAACCTTAAAACCACCCAACATATCTCGGAGTTGTTCCTTTGAGGGGTCGAACATGGAAGTGGCAGTTCTGGGATCCGGTGTGATTGGTCTGCTCTCAGCCCTCACCTTGATGGAGGCAGGATATACAGTGACCATCATTGCGCGTGATTTGCCGGGTGATGACAGCCAGGACTGGGCAAGCCCTTGGTTAGTATCACAACCCAAGATTGAGATCTTGACTCCCTTTCCCAGCCTCCAGGAGCCAAATCTGAGTATTTCCTAGGGCCGGCGCCGCGATATTCCCTCATCCCGATGCCAAAGGGCAGGCACTCGTGAAGGAAACCTTCAAGTATTACTGGGCCCTCGCTCATCGAGACCCAACAAGCGGCGTACAGGTATCGTTAACGAGGAATACCGGGACTAGAATGCAGCAGATCAGACTCGTATCCTGACGCCAACCCTCCCCTAGGTTCTCAAAGCCACTGAGTTTTACAACGACCGCACAGACGACTCGACCATCTGGTACAAGCAACTGGTCCCCCACTACCGTCGACTGCCCGCGAAAGATCTGCCCCCCGGGGCCGAAATTGGATTCAGTTATCAAACCATGACAGTCAACCCCGCGGTGTTCCTCCCGTGGATCAAGAATGAACTAGTTGCCCGCGGGGTACGTTTCATTCGGAAAGAGGTCAAGACAATCGAAGAAGCTAGACAGGTTACAGGTTGCAAGATCATAGTGCATGCGTCCGGATTGGGGGCTTTACATCTCGCGAATGATAAAGACGTCATGGCCATTCGCGGCCAGACGATGTTCGTGGAATCTGATTATGATGAGATCATGATGCTTCAGGGATCCGAGTACACATATATCATTCCACGAATGCACACCGGGGGTGTTATCATGGGCGGTGTTTCGCAGGAGGGAAATTTAGATCGAAGAGTAGACGAAAAGCTGCGGCCAGATATTCTTCAGCGAGTCACGCGTCTTTCGCAGGGGAGTGTGGGCACGATGGATTTAACAAAGGACTCCACAAAAGATATAGTCGGTTTTCGACCAGCCAGGAAGGGTGGGTATCGCATCGAAGCTGATGGAGATGTGGTACACTCATACGGATTTGGCGGTCTTGGGTATACTTACAGTTATGGAGCAGCTATGAGGGTTCGGGATTTGGTGATCGGGTTGTCAAACAAGCAAAATAATACGCCAAAATCCCGACTTTGATGGATGCCAGGCCGAGTTGCCCTGGCTTGGTGCTTGGGAGAGCTTTTTTTGCATATTATGACTGTTGTTCCTACATATCATTTAGATAGTTAAGCAAACTAGACGTCGATCTACTGTACACGCCGAAAAGACTTCGCTCCATCTAGCATAGTGATTTGGTAGAAGCCTTAATCTTCTGCTGATAAATAAATGAAAAGAAAGTTCGAATCTCATTCCTCAAGCCAATGCTTTCGATATGCTGATGTATTTTGAATGATTAATAGAGAATCATTGTAAATAATTCAAAAAAGAGTGTGTGTCACTCAAATGGATGTTGAGATGAACATGCAATGCTTGGATCGCCTATAAGCCACCCGGACAGACTAGAAACCCTAAAAATGGTGCCAGGGACACCTTTCGAATTTTTGACCTTGACACACTGCATGATGATTTGAACTATGATCCTAGGGCCGAATAGTAGCCATAGGTCTCTTCAGGTCGATATCGTAAGACCGTCGGATGATTCTAGAGGTGAAAGAGAAAGGCAAGCAACAAGGCGCGACCGAGCGATTGAGGCAGGACACAGTCCCAACACCCAAGGGAAGAAGAAGGCTTGCTCTCCAGAAGATACGAAGTTGCTATTTATGATTTCTGGGCCTGGAAAGAACGTCAAAAAAGGCGGCGGGCGTGGTTGGTAAATATGTACTCTATATTGCTTGACATAACTTCATTAACTTCCATGTAAAGGCTTAACAGAAAATGGGCCATATCTGTCGCTCCATGACAACATCCATCCAGGTCGGGACAGGCCCCCGACAACGAGTAGAGAGATGCTCATCTTGTCTTTGCCACAGCTCACCCATGATATCCTTGACCATGTGGAAAGGAGCAAGACCAGCACCGACCTCGGCACTCTCGACAAACCCGAGAAGACTTTCTCGTCGATCTGTGGTTAATGCTTCACAGCCAGCAATGAAAACCGGCCATAGAGTTCCATGCCCGTAAGGATGCATATTAGGACACGAGGCATTCAATGCTCGTAATGCCTCAATCACGCAGTCAACCTGGCCCTCTAATATTGCAGGGTGTACATTCCGGACCCGCCTGTAAAAAAGAATGACAAGAGCCGCATTCAAAGCTTTGAGAGTCTGGGAGTAAGTGAAAACTGGGCTGTCGAGGGGCTCTGAATCGTTACTCTGAGAAACGAACGAGTGTATAACACTCTCCAATAAGTCGCTACGCTCTTGAAGGGACCTCCAGATCTTGGATCCAATATCGAGATCATTTTTTTGGGCTATTTGCAATTTTTTCAAAATGTTGGCGAGCCTGGTGGTCTGTGAAACAAGACTGAGCCAAGTCTCTGGCAGGCCATAAACTTGCTTGGCCAGCGTTCCCTTCGATTTTCTTGAGTCTTGAAGATGAATGTCCGACAAATCTTTGGTTTGGTCCTTTGGATCGTCGATTCTAAGGTCGTTATCAGACTGTTCAAGATGGAGGAAATCATCCAGCCGCGGGGGCTGTTCGTGTTCTTTTGAGGTCACTATATTTCCACCGGACTGACGACACCCGTAAGCCTGGATTTGGTCGTCGAGCTCATTAATCCAGGCGGGGGAAGTAAGATCATCATGAAATAGATATGTGCTCTCGCCCATAATCCGGAGCCAGGCATATACATTGGCTAGAAGACGGACTTTGCGCGAAGTGACACGCTTGGGGATGGCCCGGAGACGCAGCAGCCACTCAGCATCGATCATGAAGCATTTTGCATCTTGTTGGTGACCATGAAAGATCTTGATAGGCATTAGTCTTCCACATGGTTTTGCTGTATTTCTGGGGAGTGAAGCCTGGATATTTGCTTACAGCCGACTCGATCATTCCATAAACTGCCATGATTTGATCCTTATACTTGGCTTTTGTTTGCCCCTCAGTCTCCTCTTTCAATGAAATGAGTAGGTGGGACTTCCCTTGTTCATAGTACCGATTGGCAGCTTGTCTCCAATACTCCATTGACTTTGTTCCAACCGACGCTGCAGAGGGCGTGGTTGCGAGGTGAATTGCGGAACATGACAGAAGGCTAAATAGATTGGCTTGGCGCGCGTGATTGACCTCCTGTGATTCTAAGATTGCTAGATCTCCAAGTGTCATCAATGCTGCCGGTACATTGAGAATACTCCATGGTGATCGTTTGCCAAGCGAGGTGACTGTCATGCGCGGAACAATGTTCATTTGGAACATCTTCAGTAAGAACGATGCGTCGGCCAGTAAGTCACCCGAGGTTTCTAGGGCGTCTGTTGAATTTGACAAGCCGCCTATGGTCAAGTAGGATAATCGTTGCTCCTCCGCAAATGTGAGAAACCCAGCATCCTCGGTTTCTGGCGCAGATGAGGTGAAGATATTGTTTCCTAGTTCATCAAACGGCGGGGACGGGTAAAAGGCGGGGAGGCCATTCGAACCCAGGGACTGGTTGGATGTGATCCCGTAAAGTTTGTCATTAAAACCGAAAAGATCAGACCACTGCAGCAAGTCATCCGTATACGGAGGTAGATCCCCCACCGTCAGCGAACAGCCCGAAAAGGCTGGATCGTCGACCGGGGAGTTCAGGCCGGCGGGGTTAGCTGCACTGTCACTCTGCTGGATTTCCAGCGGTTTGTCTGAACTAGAGGCAAAGTTGAGGACAGAGAATGGCCCAACCCGAATATAGGTTTCTGGAAATGACGCGGTCTGCGACCTGACTTCGATCTCCTCGAGAGACGCATCAATCGAGTCCGACACGAGACCACTGCTCAGTGCCGCGCTCATCAAAAGTCTGGACTGTTCTAAAGCCGACTTTAAATTCCAAAATACCACAAATCATCACTGGGCCTGTGCAGGTGGAGGATTTACCTGTGTATAAATGCCTTCGGATTGCACTCTTGTGAACTTGACCGCATTTTTCACCGGCTCTGCCCTTGGAGGTTGCATCCTTCCTGTCGTCAATCCATCGGATCTCTTCTGAGAATCCTTCGCATTTGAATCCCATTGTCTGGCAGGTCAGGCAAGAGGGACGCTCTTGATCGCACTTCACATGCCTACGCCGACAAGTGGCACACCCACCTAGCGAGTGTGTGCGACGCGGTTTGGATTTACGAGGCATGGCTGCCAAGGAGGAATTTTCGATAGAAAAACTACACCATTTGCAAGTCTCTATATCTGAAATAATTTGCAACAGACGTGACTTCATCGGTTCGGGACAAAGAAAGCGCCCTCGCCGTGTGAATGGCCCGGCCAGACCGTCAGGTGACCGGAATGACTTGCTTGGGCAGCGGGCGGGGCTCCTGAACTGCAAGCCGCCAGTCCTTTGACCTAGACGCATGTTGATTCAAAATAGCTGCATTTATATTGATATTTCGAGTGAAATTTGTTATTTTCAGTATATAGATTTTGATCTCCGCTTCTTGCAATCATCTTGAGCAGCGGAATGCAACATAGTATGACAATGGGGTCAAATTGTAAAATATGGTACGAGAGGAGCAAGCTTCGTTTTTTTAGTGTTAATCGCAATGATGTTATATTAATCATTTCCAGAGTGTCATGAGAAATAGGTCCCTTCGTGCCCTTGTTGGTTTATCTTATAATATAACTGCAATTTCAGCATCTCACTAACAGCACATCAATTATCTGAAATAGAACCAAGCTTGTAATTATTCTTAGGTACATGGTAATAAAAATAAAGCTCTTACTGCTAGATGATTCGTTGCCTTACAGGTCAGTATAAGTCTTAAAGTCAAATTAGCTTTATCCATAGACCGGTCTTCACCAGTCGCGGTGAACTGGTCGCGTGGAACGTGGCCGGGTGGTTGTTAGCCTGACGCATCCTTATGTCCCCGCGAGCCGAGAAGGTCAGAGTCACCAGCCTTATCGACACATACTTCCTGAAGAAAGGGAAGAAAACGAGCCTGATTTTTGAGTGTATGCTTAGCAATTAGCCTTATATGCTGTAGCTTGTCAAGAGCTATAACTCCACTGGGCCGAATCTCCATAGATAGCCTAGGCGTGTTTGGACTGGGAAACTTGTGAGTTTTGAACAGTGTACAGGTAAGGAGAATCCCACGGTCTATCATGTTCAAAAAATCTAATATTTGATTCAACAGGTTGAAAGAGAGTCTAGTGCAACTATGGAAGGTAAGGCGAATTAGGGGAGGAAGGAGAGGGAGGGGGAGGGAAAGCGGGAGAAGTTATTAATACGTATTGAATGAGAGCACTCTATAGCAAGCCTGGCAAGCAGGGCTGGATGAGACGGATCAACAAACAGACCAACAAACCACCACATTCCACGATGGAAGAAGCCCCCAAAAAGGGAAAGCAGAAGCAGACGAAGCGAAGAAAGTGCGAAAGTTGATTCTCTCCCTATCGGAGATGTGAAGCTATATCCTGTAAAGATTGTGTACTAGGAAAGATATCCCCCAATTAGAGATCACCCTTCGTTGGCCATTTCCCCACTGCAATATTTAGACGCACTTGTTGTCAACTGGCATTTAAGGTCTAGCGCAGACTCTTATACTATATAGGCTGGCGCCAGATTGCCGTTGTGCCGAGCTCGCCACAAATTCTCCGCACAATAGAAAGCATGAATCTCGGGGAAGAATATTGTATAGTATATACATAGAGCACATTCGATGAAAATTCAGTGATTACTTGAGCTGGATTTGTGACACTCAGACAAATGTTATCACAGACTCGGAGTACAAACCAATGCAATTCAGACTATCTGGTAGAAGAGACTATATATGGAAATAATTTACATAATATTTTGCAAGAGAGCCTTCTCCCTACACTGATCATTCAGTACATGCGATATCTACAAGCTCATTGAAAGCTGTCACGGTGTGAGTCATCCTAGACAGATCAGTCCTTGCTGCCTGACCCAGCCTTCTTGGCTTGCGCGGCCTTAATCCTCTCCTCCTTCGCCTTCCGTTTGGCCACTTTATTCCTCTGGCCCTTCGGCTCCGGCTCAAGAAACCCCAACCCGATTTTGAGATGCTCTTGTGTCGCGTCTTTTCTCGTCAGCTATCTATTCTTCTGGGTGATGCCACAGGCTGTGGGAATTTACATACATCGTTTCGCCGTTCTGAGGTTTTCAAGGGAGGTTTGAGCACTGCTGAGCAAACCCCTTGCCTGATCAACATGGGTACTCCATTCTTTCACAGTTCCAAAGATGTCGTCCCAGTGTTCGAGGAACTCGAGTCGTAATTCCGACGCACTATGAATCCCCATGCCCATTAGCGTAGTCCTCAGCTGGAAATAAACCCAGACAATGAAGCGCACTAATTGATAGAATGCCATCGGAAGGTATAGGTATTGTGATCACTTACTCCACTGCAGCTTTACAGGCTTTATCCGCCAGTAATGCACGTTGAACGTCAATCTCAGCTGTGAGAGGCCCTTGATGTTTCTGTATATGCCTGTCGTAGTCATCGTTTGCGGGGCCGACCAATTGATTCTTGGCTTTGTATGCATCATAGTCCTTTCTCATCTGGTCTGTCCATTCTTCTCTGCGAGCCCCTTTAACACGGAGAACATTCTCGATCCAGAGATCAAGGGTCTCAGCCCTGTGTAAAAGATCCTTGATCTCATTACTCCTCGCACTCGCGATTGATGACAGCGAATGGGCTGAATTAATGGATGCCAGAGAATGTTCTGTTCGCTGCGAAGGACGTGAGCCCTCCGATGGAGGATCTGAGTGATTCGATTGCGCATCTGACTGTCCGCCTCTCACGAGGGGGGGCAAAGGAACGGTAAGCTAGCAGCCCATGAAAACATGTCAGCAATCCAGACTTAGGCCATATTCCAGGCTGAGCTCCCTTACCTGTCCCTGGGATGGCCGGTTCACCAGTTCAATACGGCGGTTAGCGTTAGCCGAGGGAGTTCGAGGACGGGGCCCTTGAGGGTCCCGTTGAGACGATCTACTCCTGCGTTGATGTCGACACGATTCTCTACTCCTACATCCACATGATAGGCCAGGCATATTGTAAATGAAGAGATCAGGAGCCTCCAAAGATAGGGAAGATTCTCTTTCTTTGTATAGGAAAGTAGATGGTAATCTTGCAGAAGATGCTGTCTCAGCGGAGGGGAGATCATTTCTTTTATATGTCAAATCTCATCAAGTCCACCCAAAGGCTACAGCTTCTGATTGGAAACTATTTCCATGATTCGGTCCTGAGAAGTATGTGAATCTGGGATAACACGGGTGACCGTAAATAGCATGGGTCCAACTTGTACTCGGACTCCCACCCACCACATCTCTCGATGATACTATTATTATGATTATGATTGGCTCTCGAATGAACAATGACCCCCGCCGTATCAGAAAAAGCGCTCAAACCCGTCCCCAACTCCCTCCTGGAGACAAGGACTTTGAAATGACAAACGGGTAGCAGCCCGGCAACTACAGAGCTTGCAACCCCCACCGTCAATCCAAAAGTAACTTGAATCCGTGAGGTATGATATTTAATTGACTTGGAATAGTGAAGCCGATAAGATGAGCCATAACTCAAGTCACTTCAATTGTTTGTCGGAAGCCTCCTGACGGAGCGATATTTGTGCTCGTTCGCGTGATTTGTTATTAATGAGCCCAAATTTAGATAAACTATATATGACTGGCAACTATGAAACACCGTCATCGATCTTGTCAGGCCCACTTGTTGGGAATATTAGTTGCTGTTGGACTAAACCATCTGCCAGGTGCTCTGAAAATAGTAACCTAAACACCCAGTCTATAGTGAGCGATATTGGAACTTGAAGCGCCTAGTGTATTTGAATCGATCTGTAAAGCCAATAGTACGTATCTTCTATTTTAGTGGATTGGGGTTTGTCGCTGCAGGGCACCCATTAACGGTGGTACACCTGGACCTTTTTGCCGCTGTTCGTTTCTGTAGACGGGCGCTAATCGACCCGCCATTGAACCGACGGATCCAACCGCCGGGCGATCTTGGGGGCGGAGCAACTTATCTAACGGTGCAAGTCGCGACTTCGTCATTACTTGCAGTGCACACTCAGGCAAGTTCAAGTCCAGACTCGGACGGCCAACACGTTTTATGTAATCACCTGTTGGTGAGTCAAGTTGAACTGGACTCTCCGGACTCTTCAGGTCTCTCAGGACTCCCTGCCCGAACTTGACTTACACGACACCCTTGACGAGAGATCTTGAGCCGTGGGCGGCTACCACGACCAGAGCGGCTTGAACACGTATTGGAAGGGACTGGACGCTTGACCAACACGCCACTTGAGATTCCTCGCTTCCTCCCTTCCCAAAACCGTCGGCAGTCCGACTGTGACGGGTTCGTCGGCACAGACAGCTCTCGCCCTGGCCTCGATTGAAGTCTTTCTTATTTTATTTTTTCGGTATCCTATGGGGTCTCCCCATGTTTCTGTGGTCAGATCTGGCACGGCAAGGTTCTCAGAATGAAGAAGACTCTCTCGAAGCTTAAACGATCCCTCCGACCGTCCACCTCCGCTCCAGATTCAGCCCCTAGCTCATCTCGACTACCGACGACAGCTGAAGTCGGGCCACCCGAGATCAACCCCCAGTCACAACGGGAGGCTTCTCCCGTAAAGACTCCCCGCAACTCTTCGGCTCAAGGTCATGCGTATCTAGAGAATCTCCCTCCTGAAATTCGACGGTACCTTCTATCCAGTCTGGAATGGGAAGAGCTAGATGTCTTGGTCCACGCATCTCCCGTCTTTCATCAGCAGTATGTACTAGATCGCCGTATGTTCCTTTCTCAATCCCTGGAAGACATCCTACAAAACGTCCCAGTGGAGGCTTCTCTCGTGTATCAATCCAGTTCGCTCGGATTTGCAAAAGCTCGCGACGGTGGAACAGTCGCCCTGCTCCTAGAATCATATCAGGATCGTCGCACTAAGCCCCAGCCTCTGGATCTCACCGATCGAATCTCTCTAGATGAGCTTTCCGCTCAAGTAAAATTCTATTTCTTTGTGATCAAGCCTCTACTACGACGGTATGCTAGTTCGGCTCTGGATAGTCTGACCGAAGTGAGCGATATCCCGCATCAACACACTACTCTAAGCCGGTCCGAGAAAACACGAATTGTCCGTGCTCTGTATCGCTTTCAGCTCTGTTGCAATCTCTTCGGCGTGGGAAATCACAAGGACTTCAGCTTACGCCGCCTCGAATACGAGACTAATAGCGATCTTATGAGCACGTTCATGGGTATGTTCGAGCCTTGGGAAGTTGAGGAAATTGCCTGCATCGAGGCTTTCTCGAGATATAACTATAATCGAATATTTGATGACATCCAGTGGGATCTCAACCCGGAGAATCCCAGATTCGCCGATCATCCACGACCGCCCACCCCACCGGGGGCATTTGAGTTAGATGACGGCTGTGAGTTCTCAGCCCCCTCCTTGCTATCATTTGATAGTGTCTCCTATCCCCTATAACTTTCTTTCATGATGATTAACCTAAGACCACAAGCAGGGACAAGATCGACTCTTTTGCAAGGAGTCATCTCCCGGGGGCTCGACCCGCTTCATTCCGTTCTCTTCAAGGCCAAAACCCACTCGCAATTGGTTTCAACAATGCAAGAGTCTTTAACGTGGGGTGGGAGTGGATTCCTTGTGGATGATGCCTTCGGTACAGGATCACAGTCGAAGCGACGCAGCGAGCAGCGCTGGAGTCGGGATGTGAAAGAAGAGCAACGCGATCCACTACCTTTCGAGGGTGATCAGGTTACAGATGCCAACAGCTCACACCCACCACTTGCCTGGACCCTGATCTGGCGAGGAACCTACAGTAATCTGTACGGTGCATATGTCCCGGATCCCATGCGCCGCTGGGGATACATCATGTGGGATCAGTCGCGGCTTGAGGAAACAGGCGCGAAGGAGGTCTTAGCTCGTCAATGGGCAGCTGAGTGGGGTTCCCATGATCCGCGAGACTCCACTTACTACTACTAGACCAGAAATACTACTATTTTGAGGGTATCGATAATTCTCAAGAATATACTTTTTTATCCACAACTTGTCTGACCCTGGGAAGCAGTTTAAAAGAAATCTGTGTAGTAATATTTTTCAAGCGAATTTGCGAATCTCTGCGATTTTCATGCTTTGCATACAAGCACATTCACCGCCGTAAAAGGACGATTAAAGCCAAGACGCTGACCCCTTCTGCTATATAGCTGCCAGTCGGTGCCACTCAGTCTTTTCGTAAATACGATTAGCTCCCAAGTCTAGACGACAATTGTTACCTGACGGCGGTAGTGACAAATAGTGATTCTGGTTCTGGAGCAACTGCAGTGTGGGGCTCGTTTTCTTCCCCTGTTCTAGAAAGTATATGTCGACATGGAACATAGGCCAGGCTCATAAACCACCCGGTTATGTTCCAAGCGACTTCCTCACCGCAACTAGTGAACATCAATCCGTGGATTCCTCAACTCTTGTTGCAATTAATATCCAAGTTGTTGTTCTATTTATCCGTCTATCTGAGATCTTCCCCCTTAAATAGCGGAGGGAAAGGATAGTCTTCGATGAGTTACTAGGAATCTACCGTAGTATCCGTTATCCTCGGGCCTTAATACATGCGATGATCCAAATAATGATTCATCAAAAAACATCAATTCCCCATAAGCGTTGGTTCAAAAAGTGGATCGAGTCCAAGGAAAATTGCGAGCTGTCTCGACGATTTATTTAGTTAAAAGGATCTATTCTTGGGATATGAAGAGCTTCAGAAAAGTCAACCTTGAAGGGAACTTATCGGTCAGATAAGTGCTCTGCGTGGAATGGAGAGCTGCGCGGTCTTACCGAAGTAACATATTCCAAACCGGGCGAATATGGCCGCGTTGGGCGTATCAAGCAATTAATGCCGCAGCACCACCTACTGGTTGCAGTTTGGCGTCAATGAATAATAGGGATTGTTGGTGGACAATAAGTAGAGATCTGTGGATGATAGACGCTGGCAAATGGGGACCCTCTATGTTTGATGCGTTTCAAGATCACACTGAAGGTTTCTGCGAGCCATTCAGTGCCGATTATCAGCTTCTTTATTCCAGGATAAAACAAGACGCTTCCCAGGCTGCGACAAGGTTATCCCAGCATGCTCTCCTATCCTAGAATTTTTGACAGAGTTCCAGGGAAAGTGATATTTGCATGTTGCTTGATGAGTTCGTCCGGAAGGTTCGTGGTCCTAGGAGGTTGTGTTGAGCGTCCTTCCTGCAATGAGTTGTATAAGATACAGGCTAAAAATTTCTCCTGAGGTCCAACAAGAAACTGGTGGTTCTCTGCCGAATTTGGCACATTTTTGTCTTGATCTTGATGTTTCCTTTGTCACGTATGCTCTACTCATGATATGCGGTCGTTGGGCGTGAATGGTCGCCTGATAGAGAGGCATTGCGGTCGGAGCTTGGCTTCGCCTTGTAGTTACGATTCTGTCATACAAAGCTAAGTATCTCACCCAAGCTATGACCTTGACAACAACCTTTGGTGGCTCAGAGTCCAGGCTTCAGGTAATATAGAAAGATGGCCCTATCACTGTGCAATTTCATGCCCCCGCTGGTAATCGAGAAGGAAACGCCGCCGAGTGCCGTGAGGACCCACACGTTCCTCTATGCGTCCCACGATTACAGGAATTTTTGATTCCTCACTAGTTTTGTATAGAATACCAGGTAGACTCGGAATTTAGCATCGTAAAACGCTAGTCAGCGAGACAGGAGATCTTCAGCACCCCTGCCAACCGTTAGACAACATCATATTGAGCATCGCATACCATTAGATCCTACCTTTACAAGCTTATACAGTATCCTACTATCTCGAAATTAAAAAGGATTCTCCAGCAACAAGACGCTTTATAAATGTTAATCCATTAGAAGTCATTAAGTGGTCGGTGTTTATAGCTTCTGAACTGTGTATGTAGCTCAAGTCATCTTCAGCGCGTTGCTCGTCCTAAGATTCAAGACCACCTGGACATGTTCAAAGTTCAGATCCGTCGTCTGAGACCAGGCCAACAGACTGGCCGTCTTGATCATGTTCTTAATCTGCCGGCCGTTAAGCGGGACCCGAGCCAGCTTATCCAGCTGCTCATCCGTGAAAGGCGCCGTATTTGCAGAACGACCCAGGAATTGGGTCCAGATATGACGTCGAGAGGAGGCATCGAGGTCCTTGTAGGCGAGTGAGACATGAATTCGGGATTCGAATGCGGGGTCGATGTGCTCGGCACGGTTTGTGGTGAGGAACAGGATGCCCTCGTAGTATTCCAGCATTCGCAAGAATATCGACACCAGCTCGTTACGCTGCAGATCCGTCGCCGACCGAGCCTCCATGAACACGTCTGCCTCGTCTAGAAGCAGAACGGCACCCCATTTCGGGATCATGCGTAGAATATCCTTGAGGCTGTCTTCAACACTGCTCGCGGTGCTACCAAGATCCCCTGCACTCATGGCGTATAGTGGAACCTGCATGACCTCGGCGACACTCTCTGCTGTCAGGGTCTTCCCCACGCCTGGGGGTCCACTGAGCTGCATGATGATACCGCGGCCTTTACCCTGGACGACGTCGTCGAAACTGTCCAGATGCTTGGATTGGGTGTTGGCAAAAGCCAGGATCAAGTCTTTCAGACCCTGCTGCTCCTGGGGGAGGACGAGGGACTCGAAGGCTCGCGAGTCCCAGACGATGTCAGTGCAGCTCTCCAGGTAGAACTGTAGCCACTCTTTGTCTTTTAGAGAGTATCCATGCAGGCGATTGGATGTCACTACTCGCTCATCATCGTTCAGTTCCTCGGGCATCTCTGAATAGCCATAGACGTAGACTGAGACGTGCGGGTGGAAAATATTGAACGCCTCCGTGTCAATAATCACCCGGCTCTTGACATGATATCTCCGGGTTTCCTCGTCATCCAGGAAGCCAATAGCCGTACCCTCGTACTGCTTGTAATGGTACCCTTTGTATCCCTCCCATACCTTTCCCCGAGCCATGAGCTGATCCCGGATTACTTCCTTATCGGCGTGGTATTTTAGCGGAAACACAGGCAAGGCGGTGATGGGAGTGGTCCCGGTGAAAGGGTTGACGCGGAAGTATTCGTCGCGGTAGCCGAAGTTTTCGCCAGCCCAGTCGATATATTTGCAAGTGGGAATCCACGCCTTGGTTTGGCAATCAATGATATCGCAGACGAACAAGAACCCACGCATCGAGCCGCCCACTCCGCTGATGACCAACTCGTCAGGCTCGAAGAGGGTCCACAAAAGGTTATGGGTGATCACGCCGTTCCGAACGAGATCCTTCTTGCGGGCAATGACATCGCGCAGCTCTTCTTCGAGAATCTTATAGAACAGATCGACGTGCTCCTTTGTCACTGGGTCCAGTTCCTGCTCCTCGCGAGCATTGATGAGGTCCTCCCAGCGGTGCACGAGGGGCCTGAACGGGCTATGGAACTCAAGTCGCTCCAATGTTGTGGTCACACCGGGGTAGCCCGCTAGTACTTTGCCCAAGAAATTCTTGAGAGACTCGCTCTGCACTACAACGGAGTGGATGGAGAGACTCTTACGTCCATCGTAGCATTTGGTGTGACGTACAATCAAGGCATATTGTGCAGATTCCGCGTCTTCGACCGGGGCGATCAGGCTTTCCGGCAAGTCCTTGGTCCATGATGTTTCTCCATTCTCGTCTGGCTTGGTCTGGTAAAGATTTCGAACATCGCATATCGACCCCGGAAGGGCATATTTGACCTCCTCCTCGGCCTTGGAATTCTCTTGATGGGTTATCAACAACTCTGATCACTAGTATGAGAGCGTCAAACATTCACTCACCTGTCTCGTTGGTGGTAGGAGTAGTGGCGTTTGTCGGTTCCTCCATCTTTATTCCATTGGTTTGCCCCATAGTTCAAGATCTTTGGTTGATCCTGAAGGTATATGGAAAATGAAAAAGTGTGCAGAGAAGTTTTCAAAAAAAAGAGAGATAAAAAGAGCTGAGCGACCGTCGATCAAGTTCGTGAGACTAGCCTCTCTAAATCACCAGGTAAGTCGATGAAGTATGATTGTTGAAGAATTCTCATTCTCGTGGACCGGCGAGGAAGAAGATATTTAACCTCCCTCTTGAACCCAACGACTGACAGCAAGCTGTACTTTCTGGCTCGGCTGCCTAACACCAGCGACGAGATGCATTGCATAGCCCATGCGGCTCGGTGCTTGAAGTTGTTGACTGGCCCTGTTGTTGCATCTATAGCCTCCACTGCCACTTGGCAGCCGTCCACGAGTCCTGCGAGCTAGTGTGCTCCGCCTCATTTCTAGTGATTCGACGCCATAAGCAACAAGGATCTTACTCAACAGAGTCCCCGCAAGCCTTTTCGGAGCCCTGAGTGGGGGCCATGGCGATCTATTGGCTTACACGTGTTGTGTGCATAGTCGAGACCTAAATGCTGTTGAGTCATGATATGATAGCCGCAGTTGCAGCCTGGCCATTGAGCCAATAGATTGTCATACCCGCGCCGGGGCCAAAAGAGATACAGAAGTGACGATCAATCGCCGATTCCATCGGAGCGATTTAGTTTCTGGCCGATTGTGAGGCTCTAATCAGCACGCGCTACGGATTATTTCGGAAAGTGAGCGGGTAAGAATTGTTTTATCATCACATCATCAGTTTCGGACTGTCGAGCACCAGAGATGAAGGGATATTTAAAAGGGACCAATCAGATCTATGTAGCACAACGCTGCCAATCGAACCACAGACGCCCCCTCCAAGCTCTCCAATACAAATTCGTATCATTCAAAAAGAAGTTCCAAGCGGCCTAAGCTTCGGTCTTAAAGGCGACCAAGCGAGCTCGAATCGCATCCTCGGAATCCGAGGTGTCAAGCTCGCGCAACACGCCGGAGGCCACATCGTAGATGAGTCCATGGACCTGAAGGCCACGCTCCTGGATGGCACTCAAGACAACGTCCTTTTGAGTGACCACATTCAGGCCCTCGCGCACGTTCAGCTCGACCAGCTTCAGCGCAGCCTCCTCGGTCGACAGGGACTGGAGCAGGGACAGGTTACGCTCGCGCACCTGACGCAGAGGCAACAGCCAGGGGTCCAAGATGCCCAGCTGCTTGTTGCCCATGGCGGCGGCGACACCACCGCAGGAGGTGTGGCCACAGACGACGATGTGCTTGACGCGCAGGTGCTTCACGGCATACTCAATGACAGCACCGGAGCTAAGGTCACCGGCATGAAGGATGTTGGCGATGTTGCGGTGGACGAAAACATCACCGGGTTGTAGACCCAGCATAGAGGTCTCAGGGCAGCGGGAGTCTGAGCAGCCGAGCCACAGGATCTGGGGCTGCTGGCCGGTCGCTAGGGTCGGAAAGAGTTCAGGGTTCTCGCGCGCGGTCTGGGAAGCCCATTCCTTGTTCTGGCGCAGGCCTGCGGTATACTTGTCTATAGACGAGTCGGAGCTGTTAGCTTGCGCCGGGGGTGGGGTGCCGGGGGTCTTGGGAGTCGCGCAGAGGACAGGGGCCGACATCGAAAAAGGAGCCCGACGGCATGAAGCAGCCGTTGGTAAAGAGGGGACAGCGGATTGCTGGCGACCTGCCAACTTTGACGCGAGTCCCGCAGTGTGTGCGGTTCGGCGAAGGCAGGGCCGCACGGCGAATCCTGAGACATTCATGACGAACGGTGGGGGGGAGGAACAGGTGTTCGGGGTCGAACCACGAAGACCAATAGAAGGGAAGGGATTGTGAGTCCAACTCCTAGCAGAAGTACAGGGACAGCAGCGCAAGAAGCCCCGCCTCGACCAGGATGACTTGAGACGAGTAGTGTGCGCCGTGAGTGTGCGACAATCGCGGGACGAACAAGATGTTGGGGAAGTAATTGGGGAAGAAGGAAAATCCCGCCGAAAACGAGCAGAGGCCGGCCGCACTGACGTACCTTCAGACATGGCGAAGTCCAACGGGGGTTGGGATTGAGATAGGGATTAAAATTGGGACGGGGACTTTGAGGGCCAAAATATATAGGATAATCCAGTGAATGAAGAGGATGAGCAGGCAACTGTTAAGTGAAAAGGGCGAGTCTTTCCGAGGGGAAGAAAGGGAAACGGTGAGATCGGCGGGCACGTTGGGTTTTTGGTTGACCGGCGGGTTGAGGAATCGGGTGACTCGGTGATTCTGCGACGCCTCGAATCACTCCACCGCCAGGAAATTGCGGTCATGCAATGATCTATCTAAGAAGGAATACTACAATGGCTGTTGACTACTCCCGCTTTACCCGCCATGTATGCTATCTAGTCCGATTTTCCAGATCTGGCCTATGGGGCGTCAGCGGAGTAAATAAACTCAGGAACTACAGTACTCGGAACACGTGACCAACCGGGGCTCTATATCAACTTTTGCTATGGGATTTCACAGAATCATGACGTGTCAGAAAAAATAAGGAAAAAAAAAAGCAAAGCTCATGCAGAAAGATAATTTTGCGGCAGTTTACGCCGCTCCGCCACGGCCGCCAATGTTCATCAGGGTTTTCTTCTGCTCCTCGGTAATGCCTGCGGCTGGTAAAGGCCGGGCACCGGCGACGGTCGGCGCAGGTAAGAATCCCGTAGCCACCAGATACGAAGCGTACAATCCAACCAGCTCTTCAGTGACACCGGCCCCAGCAGACACATCGATGCCAGACCAGGTAGCATCCGCCTTCAGGGCTGCAGAAGCATTGGTGTCATCCAGCTCGGGGGCCTTGGTGTTGGAAGGAAGATCAGCAGTGACGAAGTGATAAAGCGGCATCCTATCGGAAGATGTTAGCGGTTAAAATCCAGGAATATTTCACATCAGGAGCGAAGGAACCAGGCAGTCAACGTGCTGCTTCAGTGCTCGTCCTCCCCAAGGAAGCGGGCGGAGTAGTGCGCAGGAATGTCACTTACAATGCATGCTGAGAGTCCTTATCATCGTGTTGACCATCACTGACATACTGCTCCAGTGCCATGGCCCAAGGAACATAGTCCACCTGCGGCACATTGTAGCCATAGGTCTGGAGAGCACCCAAGAACTGGTTGAATCGCAGACGCGGGTGTCCAGTGATGTGCGCCACACCAACAGGGGTACGGGGAGGATGGAACGCAGTCGCGATCACTATACGAGCAACGTGATCGGCCGGGACCATGTTAACGGTGTTGTTGACTGTAGGTGGTTAGCTGCTTGTCTTGGAGTCATTTGGAAGCCTCAAACATACTGTTAGGTCTGGCTGAAAGTTGGATGCAACCCTTCATCATTCGAACCAAGAAGTCGTCGGAATTGGAGACACCAGTCGTGGAGTCACCTAGTACATAGCCGGAGCGAATAATAGCTAGAAAGAATGGTGAGCAGCGATCCAACAAATAATAGGAATACAGCCGGTATCTATTCGGAATGTTGTGATTTAGACTTACTGCCCTTCAATCCACGGCGGCCAGCCTCCCGGACGAGATATTCACCGGCCCACTTCGATTGTCCGTAACCAGTTCCAAGACCAACGGCACTGCCTTCCATATCGTCCTCCTCGCTGATTCCCTTTCCGCCAGCCGCAATAATACGTTCGGACTCTTGCACATAATGATCCTTGTCCAGAGCACTGGTGGAACTGACGAAAGCAAATTGCTTGGCCTTTCCGGTGGCGCAGAGCTTCAGCGCATCAATCGTACCCATCACGTTGGCTGGGCGGAGAGTAGAGTAGGGGTAAACCCAGTGAACCAAAGCACCATTATGGATTACGGCATCCACACGGTTTGCAATGTCGTCCCAGGTGGCCTGAGGAAGACCGAACTGGGCCTTACCGAGGTCACCGCAGGGGGTCTCAAGCCTAGTCGCCCAGGCCTCATCCCAGAAACCGTAGGCACGGCAGGTTGAGCGGACACGCTCCAGAGCCTGCTCTTCGGTCTTCGCACGAACCAGAGCAATGACCTTAGCAGAAGGTGACTTGCGGGTAAGCAGGTCACGGAGAATGAAAGCACCAAGGAAACCGGTGGCACCAGTAAGGAAAACGGTGGGTTCGCTGGCGAGCATCGGCTCGCTTCGCGTGGGGAACACCGCCGGAAGCTCGTTAGCCAACCGGCGGGCATCCTTGGAGTATTCAGCATCGGGCTCCTTGGTAGCCTCAGCAGCGGCAGTAGTGTCGTCGGCGCCCGCAGTCAGAGATTCGGCATTCAGCAGACGGTCAATCTCGCCAGCGAAGCCCTTAAGAGTAGGGCTGCGGAAAATAGCGTTCATACTAATATCAATACCACGCCACTTGCGGCGAAGGTCGAAGAACATCTGCTGAGCGAGAATGCTGTGTCCGCCAAGGTCAAAGAAAGAATCATCAGGACCAATCATACGTGCGGTCACGTTGGGAATAAGCTTAGCCCAGATTTGGGACAGTGCTTGCTCGGTCTCGGAGAGAGCCTGAATAGCAGACGAGCGGCGACGGGGTGCAGCAGCACTGAGCTCCTCGGTGTCGGGGAAAGGCAGAGCAGGCTTATCGATCTTACCGTTGGGGTTCAAGGGCATACGCTTGAGGGGAATGATGACAGTCGGCACAGCATAGGCAGGAAGCTTACTGCGAAGATGCTCACGAGCGTCATTGCGGAGAGGGAGGAATCGTCGGAGCATACCAACCATGCCCTCAGCCGAATCGACATCATCTTGAAGACCCTTGCTCTCCAACCATTCAGCCCACTTGCTCATATCGGGTACGAAATAGCTGACCAACGTCGGCTCCTCAAACTTATCACGACGGACAAGAGTCACATTCTCGCGGACTAGTGGGTGGCGGGAGAGGTGTGTATCGATCTCACCGAGCTCAATTCTGAATCCACGAATCTTAACCTGGTCATCAGCCCGACCAGAGCACTCCACGTCTCCGGAGGGGGTATAGCGGCCAAGGTCACCACTACGGTACAGGCGGTCACGAGGTCCCATGTAGAATTCCCTCCAAGGCTCACCCTTAGAGACATCCTTCTCAGTCCAGACCTCAGGCTTCACGAACCAATTGGTCAGGAATTTCTTGGCGTTCAGATCCGGAGTACCAAGATAACCCTCAGCAAGACCAGCCGCACGGACGTAGATTTCCCCAACCTCGCCGACGGCGCAGAGGCGGGTAGGGTCAAATCGATTGACCACAAGCATCTGAACATCAACCATACCACGACCGGCGGGAATGACATCCTTCATAGTATCAAGATAGCCTTCCTGGCTTGAGTAGCTCGGAATTTCATAGTAGCTGACAGCCCGCTGGGTTTCCGTAGTTCCGTACATGTTGACGATGGAAACATTCGGGGCGAGTCCTTGGAGCGATTTGCAATCTCGCTTGATCAGGATATCTCCAACGAAGAAGGCATGGTGCAGAGCCGGGAATTGGGCAGAAGCACCACCAACAAGGATCTGACCCATAGCAGGGGTGAGATGGGTGACGGTTGGTCCGTAGTTCTGCATCCATTCCGCCAGCTTTTCATTTTGAATATCTTCCTTGGCGGGAACCAAAAGTTGAGCGCCCAAAAATAAGGGAGTAAACACATCGCGCTGGATCGGGTCGTGTGCAATACCTGACAGCATCTAAAATAATTAGCAATTATTTCACGAGCCAAATCCATAAGCCCGCGAGTATTCCTCTGAAGGGTACAAAGGGGTCAAACATATAAAACTGCAGTATACTCACAGTAAACTTGTCATCAGGGGTCAGCTTGAATGTATCGGACATCCAAGGGAAATAGTAGGCCAAAGAGAAATGACGACCCCGAACGCCCTTGGGCCGGCCCTCGGATCCAGATGTAAATGACAGTGTAGGTGTCGAGTCAGGACCCACGACGACGCCAACTGGCTTGGTCATATCGGCACCAGCGCTAGAAAGTACATCCTGGCCGTTAATTTGACCACCGAGAAGAGTACCATCGTCTTGAAGAGCCAACGCGGGAATCTCAGTCCGGAGCTCAAGTGTTTCATTTATGAACGAGCGAACGATATCCGACAGCTCTCCGGCGTCACGGGTGGCCTTGGCGATGTTGATCAAGGCACGAGGACGAGCGACATCGAGGTAAATATTCTGACGCTCGGGAGGGTACGCAGGATCAATGACCGAGAAGGTAGCGCCGGCCTTCAGAATACCCATGATAGCGACCACCAGGTCCACACCACGGTAGGCATATACCATGACAACCTCTCCTCGTTGGATTCCGGACTGCACAAGATGATTCCCAAGGATATTCGAGGCCTCGTTGATTTGCTTGTATGTGAATTGGCGGTGCGGGGAGTTTGTAGACTTAGTCTCAACCACGCACAACTTTTCAGGGTGCTTCTGCGCATTTTCAGCGAATATATCATGGATAGCCCCACGGAACTTAGACCAGTTCAGATCAGCAGTAGGGTCGGGAAGCAGGGCGCGCTGGTCTTCAGTCATCATTTGAATAGCCCCCACGGCCTGTTCCGGGTTTGAGGCAGCATTTTTGGCAATCTCTGCCAGCTGCTTTAGGATAATTGCAATCCTTGCACTAGAGAAAAGTCTCTGGTTATAATATGCACCGAGTTCAATATCCTCGGAACTAGGAGTGACGTTGATCACGAGATCCGTACTATCGAAAGTATTTGCGGGGTATTCTTGCGACGACGCGGGGGCATCATATGCAGCAAATCGGAAGAGCACCGGAGAGCGTTCGGCTTTGGATTTATCCTGGATATAGGACCGGAGGCTACCCAAAGGCACTATATCGGAGGCACCCTCATTGAATGCCTATTACTCGACATTAATACCTGAGAAAACATCGTTAAGGAAGAAAACAACGTACTTTGTCAACCTTGGCATAAAGCTGCGCGAAGGTCTCGGACGCATCAATTGGCACACGAACGACAAATGGGCGGCCATCCTCGCCGACGCTTGTTCCCACAGCAATATCCTCGTCGCCGGTCAAGCGAGCAACCAGAAGTACAAAAGCGCCCAGAAAGACTGTGAAGGCTGAGGAAGATCCGGAGAGTTTCTTCAGAGCCAATTGAGTCTCCTTGGGGAGCTTGAGGGATTCGAAGGCCTCAATGGCCCGCTTGGAAGTGGCGCTGGCATCGGGCTTTTGTGTGTCGGGATAGTCTCGTGTCAATGGAGACACGGTGAGGTTATTGAGGCGTTGGGCCCACCTCTCCAGACGATCCTGGAGTGAAGCCATGATTGCAGAGGCCGCAATTGCTTCACGATGGATGTTGAGACGAGTACCGTTGAAATGTATGAGTCAACTCCAGCAGAGGGGCACAAAAAACCATGGGAGGTCCGATTTCGCCGTGATTGCCCCGCTACCATTGGCCGAGAACGCCTCCCCCACGCAGCGGAGGTTCTCACCGCCTTTGCCCCCAGAGCTATTGTTGCGGTTTTCTATCATCGGAGTTTCACTAGGATCGGAAGACGCTTAAAAGAACACTTAAAGGGTGCCGAGGCCTCTCTCCAAGCCAGCCGATATCTTTAACCTGTTACCTGTCTAGATCCATTTATATCCCTCTCCTGCTTGAAGCGAGGCTCCCTTGGAGGGCGTTGATGGAGGCCAGATGATGCAATGATGATGACTCAGCCCGTCTTTCTGCCTGGGGCAACAATAGGAGCTCCTGAGCCCATTTGATTACCGGAAGCCTGGTCTTGCGTCTTCAGGAGCGTGAGTTGGACTTTTCTCTCCTGAAACCTCGGGCAGCTTGCCATCAATACGGTCGCATTGGCATTAACCGATGGATTAATCTCTTGGTTGCTCGAATCCTCCCCCGACTCCCCGATATTTCGCCAAACTCGACTCATCGCCGAATCCGGTTCAAGGTGACAATCCCCTTGGGAGAGCGCAGTATTGCGGCCGGGGTTGCACGCTCTCCATCTTGTGTCTCCCTATACATTTCATCGGTTTTTTGTTTTTATCCCATTGGAGTGTTGGATGTCTGAAAGATGATTCCTCATCGAAGTACGGGGCTGCTGGCGATAATTGTCTTTGTTGCACTGCTCCTGTTTATCTTCTCGTCCTCCCCGATCCCCGATCCGTCCGCCGAAGATGAAGGCTCAGGACCTGCCAAAATCCATGTCCCCCTCCCGAAACTACCGTCGCTAAGCAATTTTCACTTGCCGTCGTTCCGCGCGCCTTCCCATGAACCGCCTCCAGAACAAACGAACAGTACCAGCGGCGAATCGAAATGGTTTAGTGATTGGGAATGGAAAAACCCGTTCTCATCGGCAATCACACTGGATGAGAACCGGTCCGTGCTTCCTCCGCTGCAGGAGCGCCGTCGGATCTACACCTATTATAATCCCAAATATAACCCCAAGAAACACACCGGCAAGGACTTGAAGGATGACCAGAATGCGGACCAGGAGCTCCTTCTCGCCTGGCGACGAGCCTGGTTTGCCATGGGGTTCCGCCCTATCGTCCTAACGCCAGGAGATGCGATGAAGAATCCCCAGTACGAGGTGGTGCAGAAGTTGAAGCTGAGTTCAGAAATGGAGAATGAGGTATTCCGATGGCTGGCTTGGGGCCACATGGGAACAGGACTGCTCGCGGAATTCGAATGCTTCCCGATGTCTCGATATGACGATAACCTCCTGACCTACCTCCGACGTGGAACTGTGCCTGAATTTATTACTCGCTTTGAAAACTTCCAGGGCGGCTTATATTCGGCAGAGAAACAGCGCATCGACGAGGCAATCAATCAGGCCGTAAAGAAACTCGATGATAAATCTACTTCTTTTCAAGACTTGGTCGCCCCGGAACTCTTCAAAGTCGAGAAACCCAGCGCCCTTGCCTATTACAAATCTTCCAACATCAACTCTAAGTACCCGTCGGTGCACGAGAAGATCGCCCAGAATCCTGCAGCCGGCCGCCTGCAATTGGTACAGCTCATCAACTCTCACCTCCACAACACCTTTCAAAACTCCTTCCCGGCTGGTCTTGCTGTGCTGAAGCCATTCCCCCAGTATACCACTGCCTTGGTCGAGCCCGCGCTTCGGCTCGCGAAGGCACTGATTGAATGCCCGGAATCTCCAATGCCTACCTCATGCCCGCCTAATATTCCCGAATGCCGCCCCTGCGTTTCTGCCAAGTCACCCATGCGAATCAGCCAACCCTCGAGCTTTAAAAACACCACCTTTCTCTTTACCATCGGCACTCTCCCTCATCCATATACCCTGATCACTCTGCAGAAGAGTTCTGACGATATCACAACTCGCCGAATCCGCCGGGAGACTGAGCGGGACGCTTGGCTGACAGACGTGACTAAGGACCACCTAGGAGAGGAATTAGGCGGCTCTTCTCGGGGAGCGGTGTTCAAGCAGGTTGTTGCCGGCGAACAGGCCATCGCCAACTCCCTCTGGATGACAGTCGAGTCTCTGCCGGCGGAAGCTGGCCAGAGCCTCCCCGCCGAGCTCTTGGATGAGTTTGAATGGCAATTCGGATTCCAAATTCCCCGTGGGAGTACCATCGACCCGAAAACTGCGACCGACAAGGAAAGTGTGCAGGGCAAGAACCCGAGCCAGCAAGGTGTTGGCAAAGAGTATGAATTGATCCAGAAAGCCCGTGAGGTCATTAAGAGCAAGGAAACAAATCGGATCAACATCAAGGATGTCGCTGAAGCATGGAACCTGGCGGACACCGAAGTGTGGCGATTCGTCAAAGCCTATCGGTATGTGACTTGGCCTCTCATCTCTCCTCCCATGACGTGTGCTTATTTTGGTCTTTGCTTCTTTTTTTCTCTTTTTTTGGGTTCTCTGCTAACTAGGGATGATTGACAGGGCTCGGAGCGTTGTGGAGCGCAAGCAGTGGGAACAAGAGGAGAAGAACTTTGCTGGCTCTCCGCAGTGAGCCGTTCTGTGCTGCTACTTTATATCTTTTTTACCTTCTTCCGGTATATGTATTTTGTACTCCAGCATTTCAGGCGCACTCGAGGATTTGATAGAATGAATATTTTCCCCACGTGGTGTGGGGTTGCGGTACATATTTTCCCATTTGTGCAACATGCAATGAGTAACTTGGAAACTGATCTTGGTCTTCGTTGTTGAGTATTCTCCCATACGCGGCGGTGCAAGCTTCAAAATCCGACCCAATTTGAGCCGTACAGTCAAAATCCGATAGTTTGAATTGGTCGCGATCCAGTAAAATATTTTCGGGTCGTAGGTTGCAATGTATGAGATTGAGCGATTCTAGAAAAGCAACTGCCTGCGCGAGTGCGTCCATCCATTCCTATCGTAGAGTTGGAGCCTCTATCTTCTCCACCTTGATAACTACGCCTGTTAGTTTGTTGCGGGTATAATTGTTATATATTCTCGAGTAGAGGGTTCCATCTAACGAGGTGCTTAGTTGAACAGATTTATGAAATACCGATAAGGGTTGCACCTCGCATGTATTCGAAGATACCGTTGTCCGCGTAAAATAATACCGAAATACGGAAGGGCAGGGCGGATGTTGACAGAAAATCTCATAGATATCGAGCTCCTTCCGAATTGCTCTCTCTCAAATTCCCCAGATTTCGGGACTTTCACCACAATGCGAGGATTCACCTCATGGACAGAGATTGCACCCTTCAAAACCCAGTGCACATCAGGGAATTGCTGTTGGATATTCATAACATGAATTGAATATAATGAATTGGAAAAGAAAATACAGAAAAGCTGTTGCTGAGCGCATGAAAGAGGCGGTGCACATCAGGGAATTGCTGTTGGATATTCATAACATGAATTGAATATAATGAATTGGAAAAGAAAATACAGAAAAGCTGTTGCTGAGCGCATGAAAGAGGCGCGTGAGGAGCAGAAAGGGGGCTTAAGCGGAGGTAGTTAGCGTGCCATGATTTCAAGGAATAAATATCTTATCACCAAGAGGAACAGACAGGTGCACTAATGAGATGAATGGCAAGTCCAGACTGCTACTTAATCCATGATTGATCTTGGTAGGAGATAGTTAATATATCTTGCCTTCAAATATCCATCTATGTTGCTATAATCTGACGTCTTCGTCGTCCAAGGTTGCTTAACTGATTTCCCCCCTTTACGCATTGAATGCAGCAGATAAAACCACTAGGAAATATTTCCAATTTCAATCCACGAATAAGATCCATAACAGGCTGGTGAAAGCGTTGCTTTATCATGACTATCGATACTGTGTCAAAGTCCTTGTTCACTTGTAGATAATGGGTCGAGAAGGAGAAGCTATAGAACACCGCGAGGACCTATAGTTTCCTCTATACTTCCCATTATCATAGGGATACTCGATGCCCTACACGTTTTATATAAGCTACTAGGTATACTCGGAACCTAGCACTATAACACGCTTGTCAACGAGGTAGGAGATATTCAACACTCCCTACTAGCGAGTTGAATGAGACATCATCACATTGAACATCTCATAGTATCAATTCCCAGCTTTCCAAGCTCATACAGTATCATACTATATTGACAATATGGTCCAACGAGTCATTCGACGTTAGTAATACAACGGACCCTGATAGGCGTCCGATCGATCGGACGGTGGCGATCCCCGCATAACGGCGAATCCGGGTCCACGGTGGAGTCTTGTGGGGTTGCGGGTGAGTTGCCGTATCTCGTCCCTGATAACCCGCCATCTCTCTTGGACTTCCCCTCTTCATGACAACATGGTAACCTCCGTCGCAGTGCTGACCTCGTGACACATTTAGGAAGGTCGTTGCGACTCCTCGCGAAATATATACATACGTGCTATGTCCTAGCATGATCCCTCAGTGAAGCTCGTGAAACGTTGATCAGCTTGTTTTGCATCGCTATCGCGTCTTGCCACTGCTAGAACCACCCCCACCTTGGTCGCAATGGCGCCCGGCAGCACGGATTCGGACTCGGTCGGCGAGGTCGAGAGGGAGATGGAAAAGGTGACCTCGCTGGCCCAGCTCACCGAGAAATGGGATGATACGATTCGCTTCTACCTTAACGGCACCAAGGTCGCCGTCGACACTGTCAATCCAGAAGTGACGCTCCTGGAATACTTGCGAGGGGTTGGGTTGACTGGAACGAAGCTGGGATGTGCGGAAGGCGGCTGCGGCGCTTGTACAGTGGTGGGTATTCAGCTTGGCACGACTGGTCGTGCTCTGCAGAATCCGGGCTAATGGTGATTGAACCGCTACTAGGTCGTTTCCCACCTCAATCAAACAACGAAGAAGATTTATCATGCTTCCGTTAATGCCTGTATCGCCCCTCTGGTTTCGGTCGACGGTAAACACGTCATCACAGTTGAGGGAATTGGAGATGTGAAGAAACCACACGCCGTCCAGCAACGAATCGCAGTCGGTAATGGAAGTCAATGCGGTTTCTGTACACCCGGAATTGTCATGGTATGCCCAATCATGTCGCTCTGTCGATAATCTCCAGTATTCATATGTCTTTGGTCAACAACTGACACCTTCACAGAGCCTTTACGCTCTTCTAAGGAACGACCCGACTCCTTCGGAACATGATGTCGAAGAAGCCTTCGACGGTAACCTGTGCCGTTGCACAGGATATCGACCAATTCTCGATGCTGCTCAGAGCTTCAACTCCCGCAACAACTGTGGCAAGGCCTCCTCTAATGGAGGCTCTGGGTGCTGTATGGAGAAAAATGGCTCTGGTGGCTGCTGCAAAGGTTCTGCGGCCGCTGTCGAGACAGCCGAGGCCGATGAGCCCAAATTTCCTGCTCCCGAGTTTAAGAAATACAGTCCTGATACCGAGTTGATCTTCCCGACAGCTCTCAGGAAACATGACTTTGCGCCCTTGGCCTTTGGCAATAAGAGGAAGAAGTGGTATCGTCCTGTGACGGTGGAACAACTGCTACAGATTAAGAGTATACACCCCGAGGCTAAACTAATTGGTGGAAGTACGGAAACGCAGATCGAGATTAAATTCAAGGCCATGCGATATGCTGCGTCTGTATATCTTGGCGATATCCCCGAGCTGCGACAATTTAGCTTCCATGATGATTGCCTGGAGATTGGTGCGAATGTGTCATTAACGGATTTGGAGCACATTTGTATGCAGGCAGTCGAAAAATACGGCCCAACTCGTGGCCAGCCCTTCAAAGCAATCAAGAAACAGCTTCAATACTTTGCTGGGCGACAAATTCGAAATGTCGCTTCGCCAGCTGGAAATTTGGCGACTGCCTCTCCAATTTCCGATTTGAACCCTGTGCTCGTTGCAACGAACACTATCCTTGTTGCCAAGTCACTGAATGGAGAGAAGGAAATCCCCATGACCGAGTTCTTCCAGGGATATCGTAAAACAGCTCTTGCGCCGGATGCCATCATTGCCAGTCTCCGCATCCCTGTTGCTCAGGAGAAGGGTGAGCATATGCGGGCCTATAAACAATCCAAGCGAAAGGATGATGACATTGCTATTGTTAACTCTGCGCTTCGCGTGTCGCTGTCTGACACCAACGATGTCATCAGCTGCAACCTTGTGTTCGGCGGTATGGCCCCAATGACTGTCTCTGCAAAGAATGCGGAGGCCTTCTTGGTTGGTAAGAAATTTACAAATCCGGCAACTCTAGAAGGGGTCATGGCTGCTCTTGAAAAGGACTTCAATTTGCCTTTCGGCGTTCCTGGTGGCATGGCAACCTACCGAAAGTCTTTGGCTCTTGGTTTCTTCTACCGATTTTACCACGATGTTCTCTTGGGGATCGAAGTTAAGGCAGAGGATCTGGATCCTGATGTCATCGCTGAAATCGAAAGAAGTATCTCCTCGGGCCAGAAGGATAATGAGGCCTCTGTCGCATATCAACAAAAAATTCTTGGCAGGGCTACGCCTCATGTTGCAGCACTCAAGCAAGCTACTGGCCAGGCTCAATACACCGATGACATTCCTGTACTGCAAAATGAACTGTTTGCCTGCATGGTCCTATCGACCAAGGCACACGCCAAGATTCTGAGTGTTGACGCGTCAGCAGCATTAGATATCCCTGGTGTTGTTGACTATGTCGACCACAAAGACCTTCCCAACCCTAAGGCAAACTGGTGGGGAGCTCCCGTTTGCGACGAACTTTTCTTCGCTGTCGATGAGGTCAACACTGCTGGGCAACCGATTGGTGTCATTTTGGCACAGACAGCCAAGATCGCCGAAGAAGGAATGAGAGCTGTCAAAGTGGAATATGAGGATCTCCCCGTCATTCTTAGCATTGAGGAGGCCATTGAGGCCGAGTCCTTTTTCGAACACTATCGCTATATAAAGTGTGGCGATACGGAGGAGGCCTTCAAGAATGCCGATCACATTTTCGAAGGGACATCCCGTATGGGTGGCCAAGAACATTTCTACTTGGAAACGCAGGCGTGTGTTGCCATCCCCAAGCCTGAGGATGGCGAAATGGAAATTTGGAGTGGTACTCAGAATCCCACAGAGACGTAAGTTGCACCAATTCCTGTGTTTGAATTCTTTTTCTCTTTCGCAAATTGCCGACTAAGTCTTTTTCATCAGCCAAGCCTATGTGGCCCAGGTCACTGGGGTTGCTCATAACAAGATTGTATCTCGCGTTAAACGCCTTGGTGGTGGATTTGGCGGCAAAGAGACACGCTCCGTCCAGCTGGCTGGAATTTGCGCGACCGCTGCCAAGAAGACCGGTCGACCAGTTCGCTGCATGCTGAATCGTGACGAAGACATTCTGACATCGGGGCAACGCCATCCATTCTACTGCAAGTGGAAGGTCGCTGTCAGCAAGGAAGGCAAACTCCTTGCTCTCGATGCCGATGTGTATGCCAATGGTGGCCATACGCAAGACTTGTCCGGTGCTGTTGTGGAGCGAAGCTTGTCCCACATTGATGGCGTTTACAAGATTCCAAACGTTTTTGTTCGCGGCAGAATCTGCAAGACTAACACTGTTTCCAACACGGCATTCCGTGGCTTTGGAGGCCCCCAGGGTTTATTCTTCGCAGAGTCCTACATATCAGAAATTGCTGACCATCTCAATATTTCCCCCGAGGATCTGCGGGCTATGAACATGTATAAGCCCGGTGAAACCACTCATTTCAACCAGGAGCTGAAAGACTGGTATGTACCTCTGATGTATAACCAAGTACTGGAAGAGAGCAATTACATGGAGCGCCGGAAGGCCGTGGAAGAATATAACAAGACGCACAAATGGTCCAAACGTGGTATGGCTATTGTACCAACCAAGTTCGGTATCTCCTTCACAGCCCTGTTCTTGAATCAGGCCGGTGCTTTGGTACACATTTACCACGATGGCAGCGTGCTTGTAGCTCACGGCGGCGTGGAAATGGGCCAGGGTCTTCACACTAAGATGACCATGATTGCCGCGGAAGCCCTTCAAGTGCCTCAAGAGAACGTGTTTATTGCTGAAACCGCTACCAACACTGTGGCCAACACATCTTCCACAGCAGCATCAGCTAGTTCCGACCTTAATGGCTACGCCATTTTCAACGCTTGCGCACAGCTGAACGAGCGTCTTGCTCCCTACCGTGAGAAGATGCCAAATGCCACCTTGGGTGAACTCGCACATAAGGCATACTTTGACCGAGTCAACCTTTCCGCGCAGGGATACTACCGCACCCCGGACATTGGTTACGTGTGGCATGAGAACAGCGGCCAAATGTTCTTCTACTTCACACAAGGCATCACTGCCTCTGAGGTTCAGATTGATACCTTGACTGGTGACTGGACACCTCTTCGTTCGGATATCAAGATGGATGTCGGTCGTACTATCAACCCATCCATTGATTACGGCCAAATTGAGGGTGCCTACATCCAAGGCCAGGGTCTTTTCACCACCGAAGAGAGCCTGTGGCACCGTGCCTCCGGGCAGATCTTCACTCGCGGGCCGGGTAACTACAAGATTCCTGGCTTCCGCGATATCCCGCAGATTTTTAACGTCAGCCTGCTCAAGGACGTGGAGTGGGAGAACCTGCGGACCATCCAGCGCTCTCGTGGCATCGGCGAGCCGCCCTTGTTTATGGGCAGTGCGGTTTTCTTCGCCATCCGCGATGCTCTCAAGGCTGCGCGGAAACAGTGGGGTGTGACAGACGTTCTCAGCTTGGTCAGTCCTGCCACTCCCGAGCGAATCCGTGTTAGTTGTGCCGATCCCATCGTGGAGCGGGCGCGGGTTCAGCCGAAGGAGGGGGAGAAGAGCTTCTTTGTTGCGATTTAGCGGCGTCATTTGATAAACGATTCACGGCATATACGACAATATCCAGATATGTCCTTTTGGAACCATGTTTAGTTTAGTCAGACTGTATGCTTTTGATTATGAAAGACTGAATTATGCGATTCGTTCTGTAGACTAAATTTCCGTGTAAACTCTTCATTTCTCAAGGCTGCAGCTGTAATGAGCTTGATTACTGAGGTATTTGAACTGAAGGCAAGCCACTGGAGAAGGTTTGCTAGAATGTATTCAAGTAATTCCTTTCTCTGTCTGTATACATCTCGGGCCTAATGGGATCATCGTGGCGCTGAAGTGAGCTTTGGCCTGCTTTGCAACTCATGAGATGGTGAACCTAGCCGATGGATTTGAAATTTGTCAGGAAATCTTGGAGAGACTCGTACATCAAATAGTGTAGACAGACACTATAGCCCACGATTGAATTAATATGTGATATTTCGTCTACCTAAGCATGCCAAGAAAAGTTGAATGCAATAATCGAGGCTTAACTAGCCCTGGCTATATTCTCATAGATGATTGCAGCCCCTAATAGCCCCATTGACCCTGCAATTCGGTCAAGCCAAGTAAAAGCACTCGGGTCATCTTTCTGAATCCCTCCTCCAAGCTCGCAGGTGAGACGAAATTGGGGAATCAGACAATCATAATCGACGACTTCCTGCCGTTGCAGAATAGGCGACTGAAGAGCATCTTGACAGCCAGAAGCAGGCATTTCTTTCTTGTCTTCAATGGGTGGAGTCAATCGGCTGAGAAGTTGCTGAAGGATACCGATGACGTTGACAGCGGCATTGAGAATAAGTGAGGGACTTGTTTCAGGGAACGCGTCGGGCTCTGGGCCAACGAAACTACGAAATATGATACCCTGCTTTCGCTGACTGTCAGATGCGAGCAGTGAGCGCAGCTCGCCACTCAGTTTCCGAAGTCGCTCGGTCGTCGTGTTAATTTGGTGTGCTAGAATGCTGGTCTCACCGAAGCGTAAGGGGGACATTTCTCGGGCCTCCTTGATGTAGCCGGGACATTTTACTAGCTCCATGAAGATTGCTTCGTAGACATCAATGTAGAATGACCATTGACTCTGCTTTTGAGAGTCTTCCGTACGGAGAATAGCGGCCAATTCCTGCCAGTTATCTTCCCCGAGAAAGCAGGGCTCGCACTCGTAAATCGCGGCAGCGATAAGAAAGGGTCGGTATGCAAAATGGCAGACACGTCCGGCGCCAGAGAGGTGGAATTTCATACCACGTTTCAGCATGAGATGCTTCACTGCTCTCGAGTGACAAACCCAACCATCTGGAGTCGTTCGGATGTTCATTTCATAGAACGAGACGAGAATTACCGCAATAAGTAGAGAATCCGAGTACGTCTCATCTGAATTCAGGGCTTGTCGGATTGCCCCCAAAGCCTGAGAGTATTTTTCTCGGCTGTAATGATGGAGTCTCGCGTCCTTTGTGAGATAGGCAAGGTATTCTGCAGAGAGACTTGAGACCGATGCATCAAAGTACTCCTTTGAACCGAAGTGTTTCATGACCCAGTCCGGAAAAGTAAACCCATCTCCGAAACGGAACTCGTTATGATAGAACATGGTGGGAAAGGCAGCACATATAAAGTCCTTGAACATCCGTGGCTGCTGTAGAACGAAGGATTGATGCACCAATGATGGAAAAATGCGCTCGTCTATCGAAGCTTTTGCTAAGCCATATTTTTGTATCAAGCCGTTGCTCTGCACGACTGGTCGCTCAAGTTTGACTTTATTTCCAGTGAGAAGTGCGCACTTCTTCTCATACCGCTGTTTGAGGCGAGGACCTTCGTCCTGAAAGAGCCGAGGGCGCTCGTATCCAGGGCATAAAACGCCATATTTGAGACAGTGCAGGCACTGCGGGCGTGACTGGTCACACTAGCCTAAAGTCAGTCGGCCGTTTAGACGTCAATGTGGAGTTATGACTGACCCTAATGCGTCGCTCTACACAAAGCAAGCAACCTTTACTGTACGGAACACCGACCATGATAAGTAGACTCACGCCAGCCTTCTACCCTACTCCAAACCATGGCGTGTTTTGAAATGAGCGTAATTGCAAAATGGAGCTGATGCCAGCTTTGGAAACATCCTATCAGTAAAGGGGCTGACTGACCGCCCCCTTAGCCTCGTTTCGGGAACGTCCTTCCCCCTCATCGCCTAGCATGAATTGCTTGGCTGCATCTCGTATTCAGTCGGGTGCCTCAGACATAGAAGGATCAGTCACGTGCATCAATATGTAAAGTGTAAACATTTTGTGCCTGAGGTGTCCAGCTTTTAACAGGGTATGGGAATGTGCTCAGAGTGGACCTCAAGTCGCTACTAGCTGGGTGTTGGCATGCTAGTGATACCTGTCAAAACAGACTCTTTTGATTTTGAGAGTTTCTGAAAGGTGTACCTGACTCATTTTTTTCTGAATTCAATTTCAACTTTGAAGGTTGTATCAAGGGGGCATTTATTCATGAATAGTCTCGTTAACAATGAGCCAGCACCATTGCATACAACATAGTCCATATTAACTATAGTACAGGAATGCAAGATCATTTAGATTTCTAAGAGGAAAGAACTCAATTCTCTCAAACCTTCTTCGTATCATACTCCACATAGTTGCTCTTTCTCGCAGCCGGCGCCGACTCGACTTGCACTGCAGACTCGTAGTCTCTCTGCCCTGCAAATCCAAGTTTCTCATCGGCGCATGATATATCACCACGTACACGCATAGTACTCTCGGCAGGAATCTCATACTGCGGAACTGCATGGATAGAACCAAGCTCGTTCTTCGGAATGGCGTTCAGAGGGACATCGGTGAAGCCCCGAGAACCAGAGACCGGGGCCGGAGGATGAGATACCGAATCCATCGCATGACCACCACCTTCTCCACGATTGCGGTCTTGTCTCCAGAAAAGGGTCAGGGCCCTGGCAATACCGATGAGGACGATTAAAACCCAGATCAGGAGAATGGCGGTAGCAATGAGAGCTTCTGTCTTTAGGGCGTTCTCAAGCTTATTGATGACCTGACTGACAACTTCAGTGATCTTATCAGATGTTTCATCTCCGGCATTGGCAAGGAAGCTGTCGGAACCGCTAGTATCATTGGAAATGCTCGCTGCGGCGCCGCGGGAGAATGTGTCATTCGGAAGAAGAGGAAAATCGATATGTGCATGATTGTGAACCCAGGTCAAGCCTTTTTGAACACTCTCAGCCTTCAACAGGACAATACAGTCAAAAAGCTCCATGATAGGTTTTTCGAGAACTGTGCCATAAAATGTATCGTTAATGACACCTGTCGTCTTATCAACAAACGTATTGATAGTGTTATTAACAGCAGTCGTACTCGTATTGACCCAACCGAAAAGGTTATCGTTCAAGTCATCGTCGAAGGATGTGATCGCTTTGTTGGCACCATTTGCCCATTCCACAGATGCATTCTGTAGGGCACCAACGACTTTGTCAGCAAATTCACCGACTTCCGCGCTCAGCGCTGGTACTTCCTTCTTGATGCTATGCAGCAGAAGATACTGGCAGAGACATGATAAAAGAGCGGCAAGGGCTAAGCCAAGGACAAGAAGGGCTGGGAGGGAAGTTGCATAGGCAATAACCCAGCGCACGAGAATCTGCCGACGGCTGTTGCTGAAACGGCTCGCGGCCTTGATTCCGGCCGCCGCTGTGTATGGTCGAGAGACGATATAGACAACATCCATAGGATCATGGGCCTCTTTCCGCACTAGCTGTGCACGCTCCTGCATGTGGCGCCATCGACGGACTTCTTGCCAGGCGACGGGGACGCAAACCAACACAGCTGCAATTATGATAACTATGATGAATATCTTTCGGGCTGTGATAGCGATATCTGTAATCTCGCTAAAGAAGCTATTGATGCCGTCGTTGTCGTCGCAGAAGGTCAGTTGCTTCTTGCCCGGTACCGGAAAGGCAGATTGATCGAAGCTGTAGTTTCCTAACTCATTTTTCACAAGCGTCTTGACTGCTTCGAAAGGGTATCGAATCACAGTTTCAGTGATATTTTCAACCTCATCAAATGTAGGTATTGAACTGTTTAACGCATTGAGTTTGTCGTCAAAACTCGACGATATCTGAATATTTTCAAGTTCGCTCAGAGAGGAGTTGAGGTCTAAGGACGGAATGTCCACGCCCAGCGTGTTGACGACATCGATGGCCTTGTTTAGTGCGGTTTCAAAGGTGCTGACGGTGCTTTCAATGTCTTTGACGGTGCTTTTGATTGTCGAATTAAGAGCATCGGTAACTGCTTCAATTCCTTCGATGGCTACTTCCACAGTGCCTCGTACGGCCATCGTGATCAAGCAGAGGTAGGTCTGGTACATAACTTTGATAACGAAGAGAATCAGCTCCTCCACACCAGTGATTACGAGTGTGAGCATGGTAGTCAGCCCGCTGACAGCTTCATCGATGCCTTTAGCAGTTAACTCATTAACTCCCTGTGACAAGTAGTGTGGCATTGACGCCATTGCGCTGCCCATGTCCTCGACACTTGTGCACGCTGAGAGCGCCTCGCGTTTGGCACTCGCCATGTCACTCTGCACACTTCCAATAGCGATCAAGAGTCTGACCAGCACCAAGATCAGCAAGACCGTCCAGCGGTTGATCCATACTTGGGAAAGTCGCGCGCGCAGACCCAGGTAGGGTGTCAGACCATCAGCATGCAGTGGAATAATTTGCCCACTGCTAGGGTCATGGGCTCCGTATGGTGGGAGTAAGGGAAATATTGATCTTTTGGACCCAGAGAATAACATTGTGATTATATTTTGGTAGCGTAGTAAAGATGACTTGTCTCAACGGCCAGCGAGAGACAGATGGTGATTTTGGACCTGCAAGGCCTTTCTTTGCGAAGAAGAATTTGAAGAAAGAAATGGAATAAAGAAAGGTGAGAAAACACAGGAACAAAATGTAGGGATAGTTTATTCGAGCTCCATGTCATCTAAGATAGGTGATGCTTAGATTTAAGTAAGGATTTAGGTTGAGGTAGAAAAACAATAACAGTCCCAGGTAATCATCGGTGTTGGGGGATAATGTGAATCAAATATAGCTCTAGGCAGAGGCAGACTGTCGCCTCCATTCCAGTCTAGTGAAACACTCTTGTTCTACAAGAGGGTATGACATTTCTTGACAAAGAGCCCAATCTGAAGCAATAAGCGTGCCCGCACGACCGTCAAGGGACCAGTCATCGTGCCCGATCGCCACCTCGAAATAGAAGAAGGATTAAAAATAAAGTCTGCAGAAAGACGATCTGAACCAGGATCTGTTTCATCTTCCATTAAACCATGTTAATGGCTCGCGTGGTTGTGAATAACGCCGGGATGACCAAATATAGCGCCAATTTGTCCTGTCAGCGCTTAACGCCCGACGCTGAGAGCCAATCGCCTCTGGGCTGAAGGCGCTAACTCGAACATGGGGGCATGAATGGGGTTCTTTGACCGGGGCCTGATCTTGAAATGGGCGACTCCCAGGCAACGATCCTGAATTCAAAAGTCGCAGACTAAATAGGCTTCTTTATGTTTTTTAATAGGATTCTTCGTCGATGGTAACTGGAGGTCAATAATGAGAGGTCAAGACGATGAGAGAAGTTCAAAACGGTCTCTTTGGTAACCACGGCCCACGGCTCAAAAAAGGCCAGATGATCCAACTCCTGAACTTAATGGCACGTAAGACAAATAATCAAGACAAAAACAAATGGCATTGATCGATGCTGGGAGGTGTTTACGGTGTTGCAGTTGACGCTCAGACCCGCCGTTGAAACACGCCCAGTCTTGATGAGGCGGGCGGTGAGGCACAGTAGTATCTTTGGCGCCCGCCTCACGTGCCATAAAAGACCCTAGCTAGAGATCAATATCAACCCTATTTCGTTGCATACTTTGATACCATATTGTGGGTGGTTGATCATATGCCCATACTTGATTTAAATTAATGGTACTAGTCCTTTTTTATTGGGAGATTCGTATATCGGATTCGGTAAGCGAGTTTGTTTCATCGAACTCAATTGTAAATGGTCAGCCAAGATATATTTTGTAAGCTTAAACTACAATGTTAATTGAAGGGCTTTATTCCGTAATCTTTGTCGAAGCGCAGGCCCAATTCCTGCATTCTTATAATCGCTTATCATCAAATTCTCTATAGTTTACGTCGACCTGCATACTTTATCCTGCTTCTCACAAGCCATCCTAGCAACATAGTAGAAGCCCCGTCGCCGCCTGCCCTGCCATGTCCCGAGGCAACAATAGACCGCCAGGGAGCAGGAGTCGAGCTCAACCTCATCTAGCACCGAGAATTGCAGAAAATTACCATCACTACGTTGGCCTGGGGAAGTAGATTATGGTCGGGCTGCTGGATGATAGTGGCTGCTACTAGTGCAAGCCAATCATTTTTCCATTTCTCGACAATCACAATCCACTCCGAAGATCTTTCCACAAAAACACATTTTTCACTTGAGCCAGGGTTCCGTAGCTGAAGTCATCGGATTTATCAGGGCGTCTTTTTCGAGACTGTTTTGTTGCATCTTTCGCCGAAGCTTTCTCCCCAACGCCACCTCGGCCAGGGCTATCGACGGGCCCCCATTCTTCAGGATATACTCCAGGGCTGGCATCTTCCTAGGCGGCTGAAGATGGCTTTTGAAATTGTCTTGTTTTGAAGTGCATCGAGACTGGAGCTTGCGGTGGTTGGTATGTGTAAGCCGTTCACCGGCAGTAGAGGGTTGACAGGTTGGAAAGAAACTTTGGAGGAGTTGAAAGGGAAAAATCTCATTATAAGCACTGGTTTGATCACCAGTTTGGCATCTTCAAGCTCCAAGTCGCCCCCCAAGGGTGGTTTTGGTGCATATATTAGATAAGAATTGCTGAACCATGACGTTTGGCTTAACCGCTGATAATGTGTCTCGTTTCTGCATTTAGTCGTCGCATAATGAGAACGGCGTCGATTAAACCATACTGGTTTAGTAGCCGTAGCACATGGGGATCCATATTGCTCCCACACTAGAAGTACTGTTTTAGCGTATCGTAAGTTATCCTCAATTCCTGACTTCTGACACATCTTGGTCTTCACACTCTTTCTTGCTTCCACTTTCCCTCAATACCCCCAACTCGGTTTGGGATTTTCAAAATTCCTAGAGATCTTCAAGTCAAGGTTATTCCTGGTGAGTCCTTTCAGATTTCAAAAATTGCATCTGGGCTCTGTATTGGCCCGATATTGAACATAACCTTCCGTCGGTTAGCCGTCACCTTTTTCAAAACCCCGACTGGATCTTTGGTCTTGCCTCTCTCATCCTCACTTAGACCCTCGATCTTCTCTTTTCCCACACCGACCGAGAAATGAATTAACCTGTTCATCATCCATTTTACTCAGCCATCACTTGATTTTTCCTGTCCAGTCTGCAAATTATTATTTGATTTCCCTTCCTTCCTGTATACTGACAACAGAAACATACCCGCAGCAAGTTCGACCTCTTTGTCCGATATCGTCTTCTCATATTCTCACACCTTTTCTGTGCATTTCACGACACGTCTGACCGCGTCTTCTGAAACATACGGGCACCACAAATCCGCCGCAGTTCACACAGAAGTTTCCGAGCCAAAGAAGAGTATGTGCTGTCACTATGGACGAGATGGTGTCTCATGGCATTCTGGCTGACCCAGAATATTGACAGATCCTCAAACACTGTTTTGTACACAAGTCTACCCAAGCTGATCAGTGCATAGCAGCTCAATCAGGGTACCAGTTGCAAACCCATATTAAGAGTCTCCATGCTTGGGATAAGGCGTATCAGCTAACACAAGTCCACAGAAAATTGATCTCATACTCAGGCTTCAAACTTCTGAAACTTCAGAAGTCATCAGAGTGCTGAGTAGAGGGTAATCGTTGTAAGTTATCTAACAGATGCCCAGTTCTGTATGATTTGAAATGTTGAAAGGTCTTTCACATATTGAGGATCGAGCCATGAAAACCATGAGCTGACTGAGTTTTCATGCGATTCTGTGGTTTTTGCAGGGGTCATGTAGGGCAACCTAGCCCTTCAAATCACCTGGGTAAGTGTCCCCCTATGAAAGACATGCTCTATGCAATTTGGTAAATCGATCACGCTCATGTTGGATGGGTGCAGCTCATACAAGATTTCCATACTGAGGACGTTACTTGTCTTGAAATTCCAGACAAACCAGTTGAGTATGTGTCCCTATCAAGTTGTAATCTCTGCATCGTGGAGCACAAACATGATCCTAGCAAAGTCATCATCTTCATGAACCGAATCAATAATCTACTAACCGATAGTGGGCACATATTCAGCAGAAATCAGTCACCATGGGCAACCAGGGGAGCCATACTACCGATGACTCTGAACAAGGCAGATACAAGATCATTCTAGGTGACGATGACCTTATACAGAGTATTCCTGGTCCTGAGGGAGAAGACCCCGAATCTCCCAATCACGTCCTGGATTTAAAAGTCACTGACTGGAGAACAACTGCTCCATGTTTTGATTTGGGAATTGATCATTCGCGCACCACGGTTCTCTTTGAAAGCCACCTTGATTGGATAGATGACAGCGTTCACTTCTCGTTCAAGCTGCCTGCTGACTACCCTGGCGGCCGAGCTCAGGTTCTGAAGCGGGTACGACAGCTTTGCGATGGAAGCAAGCCACTGGGAATCACAGACATCCATCTCGGCAAATTTGCCATCGGTAAACACTTGTCAGCCACGAAGAAAGGCCGCAAGAAGAAGCACCAGTGGACAAGCGGCTTCTGGGCCTATGGATGCAAGATCAACTGGCTCAAGCGCACTGAGAGTTCCAAAAATGTGCACTTCAAGTTTGCGGCGGAAGAAGATGAGGCCGTGATCTTTGTAGTGGATGAAACCAACCCAGATTTCAGGTCAGCTGTTGGCACTGAGATGGTAAGCAAGAATGCCGAATGAAAACGAAAGAGGGACGAGGAGCTAACACTTGGCAGCGCAAATTCATGGATATCATGGTATTGCCTGTCCGAATCTGGCTGCGCATCCGTGACTTGGCGAAGAATTATGAAAAGGCCAAGGCTGAGCGCCAAGGGGAAGTAGATGCGATTCTGACTGCAGCGCAAGGGACAGCAGGCCTAGGCCCGATCGTTATGAGTTCGCAACAGGACATACAACGGAACTTTGCCACATTGCTTAGAAGACTCAATCAAGCATCTGACACAGATGATGTCGGCGAAACCGAAGAAGTTGTCGATGAACTCACTGTGAGCCAGAGCAGTCAGAGCCAGGTAACTTTACATGAATCGCATGAAGAATTGAATGAACAATCGCATGAAAAACTGCATGAGCAATTGCATGAGCAATCGCAAAGAACGGACAAGGACGTGGATCTTGGAAGCACGGAAGAAAAGCCCCCCGGGCTGAAGGAGAAGGCAGCAGAGCAATCGACCTCAGTCGCACCTCCCGTGATTGAGGTTGATGAGGCGGAGACGCAGAGACGCATGCAGGCAAAGGCTGAGAAGCACAGACAGAAGAAGGCCGCTTACAAGGCTCGCAAGAAGGCTGCCAAAGCACAGCAAGCCCTGGAAGAATTTGGAAAGACAGGAAGTTCAGGGAACGAACCATCAAAGCAAGGAGAAGCTCGCGATGGGGAAGTCAGCGATGCAGCGGGTCCACTGGCCGTTGCGTTGCCTGCACATCTCTCTATAAATTCGCCCGCATCCTTGACTGATTCGTTCACCACTGCACCCTTTTCCCCCTCTTCCAACTCTGCAGTCTCCACAATCTCCGACGTCGCGTATTCCGCGTCATGAAGGTAAGAAACCCATTCTGAATGCGCACCAAAATCACCTACTCACTGTCATCTCTAGAGATCCACGGGGCCGGAGTTGAAACTGTATACTCCGGTGGGCCTTCGTCCGGTGAGGGGCAATCGTCTAGTCAACAAGGCAAGTGGCATGCAGATTCTCTCACATTCAAATGCCAAGTGATGCCAATGAGTGATCACTTGTGATATTCAGAACTCTTACTGACTAAATATATAGAGACTAACCCTTCCTCTTTGAAGGATGTCGCGTTGACTACGGCGATTGCCGAGTCCAGTGTATCGCGTGCAACAGGTAAGAGAAGACTGCTCGTTTACACATCCTTTCATAGACCTTGGCTGACAAAATCCTTCCAGCGATCACTGAGGAACGCACCAGTCCCCAGGAGATTTCATCTCCCAGACCGACTCCCGAGATTATCCCGTTGTCTTCATCTGCGGAGTGCACTGGCTCCAAGGCCGACCTGATTAAGTCCACAGATGCCGGCAGGCCCATGGGTGACGAAGGAGACGAGAAAATCGTTGCCCAAGAGGAGCCGCGCAAGCGGAAGAAGAAGGCTGGCCGCAAGAAGAAGCGCCTTTCCAAGCGCGGGAAGAAACTCGCGGAGGAGAACGGACTCTCGGAGGCACGAGTAGATGCCGATACTCCCCAGCAAGAGGGCCATCAGCAGGAAATGGCTGGGAGTATTTTTTACAATACTGGCCAGCCCCTGCCCCCTCGAGCTGAGCCCACATCCTGTCCTGCGACGCCTCCAATGTCGCCGATGAAGGATGACCAGGGTCAACAGGGAGCGGACAACCTTGCACCCCTGGTTACGGCAGCCCAGTTTCTTGATGTCAATAATCCATCCTCTGCAGCTGCAGCGGATCTATCAAGGAGACTGGGTTCAGATACTCTGCAACACGCCAGACATCAAAAGCTGGCTTCAATTCCAGAGGTCACTGAAGCCGAACCAGGAACGGCAATGCTCATGCCAATGAGCAATTCACAAGGCGGCAGACCTGCCTGGAGTGCCACCCCAGCCACGACGCCCAGTTCTACTGTGGTAGCAGCGGGGCGCATCATCCATGATGCATCGCTTGCGTTGACGCCTGCCATGACGCCCAGCCGCCCTCCTGCGGCAATGCTGTCAGCAGGACGTATGCAAGTCGGTGGGTCACCGGCCAGCATTTCACCGGTGTTTGAGCCCGGTCTTCAGACTGTGGTATCTGCCGGACGTATGCAGGTCGCCGAGTCCGTCCCCGGGGCTATCCCAGCCATGACGCCCGGTTCAAGTATCGAGGTACCAGCGGGACGCACCCAAGAGTTGCTCGTTTCAACTCCCGTCGCAACCCCTTGCGACGCCCATCGCGAAAGACCTTCTCAAAGGCAGCTGGCATCCACACCCGGCGCAGCGTTCATGGGACTACCAGGAGTGCTCGGGATCCGTCATTATTTCCCCGGTCCAGCACCCTACCCCATGGACCTCGTCGGAGGTGCGTATTATGCAACGCTCCCGATCAACATCCCTCCGGCCCCCGTAACGACGCCTGACAGCGTGGTGGTTCACAACAAGGAGCAGATCACCGGACAATCTTTCTGGGATCTGACCTACCACACGTTCCAGTGCGCCCTATGGAGGTGTGAGAAGCAGTGCCACCTTTGGGACTCTCAATCTGTCGTCTGCCCCGCCTGCGGTCCGTTTTCGAGCGTGATATACTGCAGCAAAGATCATATGCGGGAAGACGCGAGTGCCCACTGGCTGTACTGCGGACAGGGCACGTTTGAAGCTCCGTGCAAGGAGAACAGCGTGCCTCCGGACGTGTTGATCGGGCCTCCGCTGATTCCCAACTTACATGGTTGGGACTCCCCAGAGCGCTTCCGTCAAGGCCTCTGGTTCTGTACCGCTCGACAAGAAGGAGACTACTTCATTTTTGCCGATTGGGAAGACCAGGTGGCCGCGGGAATTGCGCCGGGGAGCGCGGATGGTCGTTGTTCGCCGCGCCTGCTGGCAATCGTCCGATTTGACGACCCAGCAGAGAAGGACCGTTTCCGACGGATCCTTGCAGTGTGTCTGTTCGCCTCCATCGAGGTTCAGCCTCTGGTGGGGTACATGTACCGTCTCCTGCGGGACCGGCTGGTGCAAGCCGGACGCTTCCATCCCCAGGTTGATGTCATGCTCCGCCACCAGCTACAGCTTGAACAGGGAGTCACCATCCTCCCACAACTCGTGGGGCAGCGACACGCTTGTGAGACCGAATGGGATGGTCTGGGTCCGCGCCACTGTCGGGATCCGATCTGCATGGCCGAGCGGCCGATGCAGCTGGGTGATATGGGATGGGGTCGTGGGTTCCGGAGCCTGTGTACATTTATGGAGTCCTGTCATTGGATTCTGCGGGCGCACCGGACCACCCATCCAACCACAAGCAGCATCGCCGACCGAACACGCGGAGACGGGTTCGACGACGTCGTCCTGGAGGATAGGAGATCCTTCCGACGTGGCGAGGGTTGGGATGGGGCTGGGACAGGCCCCATGGAGATCGAGAGTCCGGTCTGGCGCTAATCTGTCCCTTAGCGCTGGAGGCCTGGTGCAAACGACATGCAGGGTGAGCTGCATGTCGTGATTATGACAATTTCATGCGGAGTGGGTGGGTGGGCGCGTGGGTGGTGAGGGAAGAGACGGGGCTTCCCTCATCATGGTAGCTTTCCTGTACGGGGGGGGATCCGAGGTTAAGGGTGACGATTTTGTTGGGGGGAGTTCTGCTGCAGTAGCCCTCAAACCTGGATCTCGTTGTTTGTATGAGTAGTGGGGGTCGTCTCACCGGTGTGCTGCAGTGGCCAATCCCCCGTTGCACGAAGGCCAGCGGCGACGATCCATTTGATGATGAGCGAACGACAGAGTGCAGCAAAATAATATATGGCCAATAAAATGGAGAGAATGAAGAAGCTCTCTTTCCTAAATCAATTTTGCTATGATTGTCTGCTATCTGGTGCTTGATTTGAAAGAGCTGCAAATGTAGATGCTAATCAGCTATCCTGGGAACGGGAGATAGAACCTTCAATCATTTAATTGGACGCTTGTATGAGTCTTTCATCTAGCAAAATATCCTACCTTTTATATCAGGTAACTCTATGGTAAGGTACAATGTCCAGACATCCACCATTTTCACTAGGTGATATACTTCCTCAATCCCCGTAGTCTGTCCTTGGCAGTCTCAAGAACATCATCATTCTTGCAGACCGCAAAGCGAAGATAATCCTCGGCAATGTGGGCATTGACGTCGGTGTAGAACTCAGTAGGGGGAATAGCCGCTACGCCAACTTCGTGGATGAGGAACCAGCAAAGTTTGAAATCTCGAGGACGGGAGGCCACATGCGCAGGGAATGGGTAGTCCACAGGGAGCTTGACTGAGGCAAAGTTGGCAAGCACGAAGTAACCACCCTCGGGCTCAGAATACTGTTAAAGTAATCGTCAGAGCAGGTCCTCAAGGAGGAATCCACAACAAAAATGACACACATACCGGGATTCCAAGTTCATCGAATACCTCGCAGAAAAGCTTCATCTTTTGCTGCATTTCGTTCCGGCTCTCATCCCAGAATCCGACCTTATCGGCCTGCTCAAAAGCAACGGCCGCTGCCTCCTGGAGCGGAGAGACACTGCTGTAACAAATACGAGTATGAGCACCCGCCACATACTTGATTAAATGCTCGGGACCAATGAGATAGCCGACACGCCAGCCAGTGGCATAGAAGGCCTTGCCCGCAGAGCCCACAGTCAGGGTGCGCTCGTATAGCTCGGGGGACAAGGTAGCAATGCGGGTGAAGGGAACATAGAAGAGACGGTCATAGACTTCATCAGACAGAATAATAAGGTTGTGCTTGACACAAAGATCTCCAATCCGCTCAAGCTCTTCTCGAGAGAAGACCTTGCCAACAGGGTTATGGCTAGAATACGAGTTAGTTGTCGGCAGCACGAACCGGCTTTTGAGTTAGAAAACAAGCTTACGGCGAGTTCAAGACCTGAGAAGACAAATTAGATGAGATATATATGGAAAGAGCGTGGAAGAGAGACTTACAATCATCTTAGTCTTGGAGTTGATGGTGTTTTCGAGCTCCTCGAAATCAATGGTCCACTCCGAAGCAGGAGAGGTTCGGGTCGCGCCGTCCTTGGGAGGGTGCAAGGGAACATATCGGATCGTGCCACCAGGCATCTCGATATTACTAATGTACCTTTTGTTTGAACTAGTCAATATGCTGCTCCTAGGAGTCGAGATGTTCTTATGGTGGAGAACCTACTGGTCAAAGAAAGGCTCAAAGATAATGACCTCGTCACCGGGCTCAATGAAGCCCATGAAGGCACTGAGCATGCCTGGTTGCTGTTTAGTCTACACCAAGATTCGCTGCACCTGGAGTCTAATCTTACCTTCATTGGCTCCAGTGGTGATCGACACCTCGGTTTCTGGATTCAAAGTCCGACCGAAGAACGGCGAGTATGCATCAGCAATGGCTTTCTTAAGACGAGGGCGGCCCTAGTCACAGTCAGCTATGAGTTGATGGTATGTATTTGGGCGTAGTCGAGTCTACCTTGGTGGGGGAGTATTGGTTGCACTCTACTCGGTCCAAGGCGTCCTTTGCAGCGTCGATCGCGAACTTCGGAGGGTTATAGCCACTATATATAACAGTTTCGGCATCAGTGGAAGGCCCATCGTTGTTGTCACAAGTATTTCGGAGGGTATTTTCTCACAAGAAGCCTTGGCCCATGTTCACGATCGGCTGAACCGGTGAAGCAGCGGCCGCCTCATTGACAATAGACCTACACTCCCGGATTAGAAGCGTATCTCGGCAAATTCTCCATTTGTGGATTCGCGCCGCACCAAACGTCTTGTCGTTGACCAGCAACTCTCCTTGCCGGTTTGAAAGGGTCGGGTCGCGCAGCTGTTGCTGACATTGTTCTTGCGCCGATACCAGAAAGGCGGGGTTGGACCGGAGAAATGAGGGGCACACGGAGTCGAAAAGCGCAGAGCTTGAATCGGACGAGGGTGGAGATGACAGGAGCACGACAAACCGTCATGAGGGGGGAAGTGCGGAGGAAGTCTTAGGTCCCTGGGTTTCATTGCGGAGGCCGAGTTATCTAAGGCTCGCGAATGGCGTGCTTAGTGTTCCGATCTCGGGCATTCCTGGGCGCGCATGGTGACCCCCAAACTCTAGTATAGATTTAGGTAAAGGTGCCCGTTTCTATATCATTGGTTGCCCTCGCATCAACCTTTTCTATATTCTACAAAGTATGGCCAATGGAACGCCGTAGGTTTCTTATCTCAAGTTACTCAAGCGAGCTTGTTCAGTGACGAAAAGTGCCCGCATCGCATCACCCAAATAGGCAGGCGGAACGCGTGAGCCACCGGGATAGCAAGATACTTGCTTAATATTTGACAGACGAGGGCTTCTTGGTGGGGTTTGAAAGGTATTTGGAAGTCCGTTAACAGCCTAATGGTCTATGTCAGAGATTTCATTAGCAATACTTAGCAATCAGTTCCGTCTTGTCTGAGTCTGTCACAACCCACAAGGAAAACTAAGTATCTGACTAAACGGAGCGCAGCAGCTGAGGTCGCTCTCCACAGCTAGTGCTTTGAAAGTAGAATGGCACAGATGGAGTCATGGATTTAAGCTTCCTCCTTTATATAGGATGTTTGGATTCTGAAATAGCAAGCTTGGACTATTGCGAGGAGGATACTTCGGACCGAAGTGGGGAACTCCTGTATGAAGCTATGATATATAGGTATTTGAATTCGGTTGAAGATAAAAGGAATTGATCAGTTGTCTATGCTTTCAAAAATACCACAGCACCATATGGCTGCAGCTCAAATTGGCCTTGTGTGCGACCAACATTTCTCTGGTTCGTAATCAAAATGGAGTAGCCCTGATACTTCTCCATGGAGACCGTCTGCATTTGATCGGAGAGATTCAATAGCACAGCTGCGGTTTGATGTGCCTGGTTGTACTCGTGCTCGTATTCTAGAACCATTTCACCTGACCTAGACTCTTCCAGAGAAGTGTAAGATCCGTAGACGAAAAGATCCGAGTATTGTTTTCGCAATGCAAGCATCTCCTTCCAGTAATTCAAGATGCTCTCAGAATCATCGAGCTTATTAGCAACGTTCCACTCAGTGTAGTCCTTGTTTATAGTCATCCATGGCTTGGCGCTCGGGATGGTGAAGCCAAATTTTGAGAACTGTCCCATTGCATTGACAGTCCATGATCTCTCGACTTCAGTTGTAGCTCCCGAAGGACGTCGTCCATTTTGTCAATATCGCCACTTCCAGCTTTCAAAATTGCATTGTAATAATTTCTTCCTTCCACATCAATAAACGTATTTACCCCATAGTTCTTTGCAAGATTTGCCATGCCCATCTCTTGGCCTGCGAGCATAAACGGAATGCCACTCAAAGTCGTCATACTACAGTGCACTAAAATACAGCCCTCGGAACTCTCAAGTCTTGGCAAGTTATACTGACTTCCTCTATCCCATTCTTCGAGAGTGAAGGGAATTAATTTCTTCCTTTCTTGGGCTTTCCCATATTTGGCTTTGCTCCTCTATACAAGCTTTAAATAGGAATCCTCTAGTGTTGAGACCACCGCGGAAGAATGTTAGGCCCATCCACAGCTTCAGCGGTCAAACTGGAATTCGAAAGATAATTATTAAAGGATAAATTGTACAGATCTCAATTACAGTATCTGTAATTGGCAAGGAAATCATAGTACATACAATTTGAGGAATTTATAAGCCAGAATCGGTCGTGCCTCCTATCACCTCTCTAGATCGGCTTCCAACTCCGACGCCGGAGATAAACCATACAATTCATCGTCAGTCTGATTATTACCCAGATCGCTTAGGTATTTTGGACGCTGAAAGGGCACAGCGAAATCTGATGTGGTCTCCTCAGGCTGTGATCATGGTCTCAATTTCCGGGCAAAATACGCACCCAGACCAGCAACAATGATGCAGGCTGTAGCCACGACTATGCGCATTTTGGCTGCTGCTTCCGAGCTGGCCGAGTAGTGAGATTATGAGGATGGTGCTGAAGATGCAGCAGCTGTTATTATCATGGTATTGGTCGATGTGGCACATACTTTACAGCCTCACGAGTCATTTGAACTCATTAACCAGGCCAAACTAAGAAGCCCCTACATATGGCGTCCTCTAGAGACAAGAAAGCCAAATTTTTTAAATCGCTGGGACACAGGAACAAGATCCCCAAAGCGATCATGGTGGTGATAAATAAATGATAATTTTCCAGGCACCACTTAGTACTAGCCTCACATTGAACCTCAGGCCACTGTAACACATTACTAAGCGACCATCGCGTTCGACGCGTCTCCGCAACTGCCCAGCTACGCCTTTGATGATGGGCGTGCTAGGGGTTCCCACTCTCCTGTTAAAAAAGAATCACCATGGTTTCCTGTCCAATCTGTGACAAAACCGTTCCTCAGCTAAAAATAAACGACCATATTGACTCTGGTTGTCAAAGCTTCATCGAAGACCCATCCTCATCCCCGAGCGAACTATCAGCATCTCAAAAAGGGCCCATCGCGAGCATATTCCAACCAGCCTCCGCGCGCAAGGCCCAAAGCCAGTCAAATATCACAAAAGAATCGCCGTCTCGAACCGGTTTATCTACACCCCGGCCTGTCAATGGCAAGAGGTCATTCGTGCAAGATACTCCGCCCTCTCGGGAACAATCTGGGCCAAAGCAACCAAATGGGGAAGTAGTGGAACCACAGGCAAAGCGTCCCAAGGTCAATGCTTTTCACAAAGCAGCTCCACTAGCAGAGCGGATGCGACCTAAGACCCTGGAAGAAGTCTGTGGCCAAGAACTTGTCGGCGAGCATGGTATTCTTCGCGGGCTGATTGAACAAGACCGGGTCCCGAGCATGATCTTGTGGGGAAGCGCGGGCACCGGGAAGACGACGATAGCACGAGTCATCGCGTCAATGGTTGGAAGTCGATTCGTCGAGATCAACAGTACGAGCTCGGGGGTTGCCGAATGTAAGAAGATCTTCTCCGAAGCTCGGAGTGAGCTCGGTCTTACTGGGAGAAAGACAATCATCTTTTGTGACGAAATTCATCGATTCTCCAAGTCACAGCAAGATGTATTTCTGGGACCCGTGGAGAGTGGACAAGTCACGCTCATTGGCGCAACGACGGAGAATCCATCCTTTAAGGTTCAAAACGCTTTGCTTTCTCGATGCAGGACATTTACGCTGGCAAAGCTTACAGATGAGGACATAAGCTCTATTCTTGAACGTGCGCTCAGAATAGAAGGACCGAACTATTCACCGTCAAAATTGGTGGATGACGAGCTGATCCAGTATTTGGCCAGATTCGCTGATGGCGATGCCCGAACCTCTCTCAACCTGTTGGAGCTTGCTATGGACCTATCCAAGAGACCTGGCATGACTCTTGAAGATCTGAAGCGGTCTTTGACCAAAACTTTGGTCTATGATCGCGCTGGTGATCAACACTACGATACGATATCAGCTTTTCACAAATCGATCAGAGGCAGTGATCCGGATGCGGCATTGTATTACCTAGCACGCATGATTCAGTCTGGAGAAGATCCACTCTATATTGCCCGTAGGCTGATCGTTGTGGCCTCTGAAGATATCGGTCTTGCCGACAATACCATGTTGACTCTCGCCGTATCGACACATTCAGCCGTGGAGAAGATAGGTCTGCCAGAAGCACGCATCAATCTAGCCCATGCCACTGTGGCCATGGCGTTGTCGAAGAAGAGTACAAGGTCTTATCGAGGGCTGAACAATGTCAATGCAGCATTAAATGAACCAGGCGTTGCCGGGTTACCCATTCCGATCCACCTGCGGAACGCCCCGACAAAACTCATGAAGGAGTTAGGATATGGGAAAGAGTACAAATACAATCCGAACTATGTCGATGGTAGAGTGGAACAAGATTACTTACCGGAGCAGCTCATGGGGCGTACCTTCTTGGAGGATTTGGATCTGGGAAAACAGCGAGACCCTGACTTGCTCAGTGCTGTCAAGCGCCAAACGGGGTCTTGAATGGACAATCCAAGCTGCACGCAGTTTATGCGCCTCCAAACCAAATATGGGGCTGATCACCTTGGGCTGTCAGGCGACTTACATCAAAGCAATACATCATTGCCTAATCCCCAGCCATGACGGCATCGAGCGCAGCTACCAACTGCTGCCGCTCTGAAATTAAGCTCTTTGAGAGTGACACTTTCCCTTTTCGGGCACCGGCTCCGCAAAACTCTCGAGAGTCTACTGCCAGCATGATGAAGCATGCCTGGTTACATAAGCTATAGGGTCGTTCCTGCATCGCCGATGGGCTGTTGGTCTAGAGCTCAAGTTTTACTGCTGTTCGAACTATTCTGATATGGTACTTGTGCTCAAGTCACTTTGTCTCACTATTGTTTCTCGTCACTTGTTTCTGGTCACTCATTCGAATATCGGATCACTCCACCATGTTTCTCAATAAATTTGTGATTGAGGATCCACAAAATCCACTGACCTTTCGTGAAAGGAGGCATCGATCCAAAGCGGAACTTGAGACTCAGAAAAAATGCATCCGCGAGTTAAAGGAATTTGGGGGAGCCTGTCTGTGGTGCTACCGGAGCAAGAAGAAGTGTGGGCCTATTCGATCTTGCCCTTCATGCGTCCAAAATAAACGCGAATGCATTCGACACCCTGAGCAACTTTACTTTCCTGAGCCTGTGTCATTTTCCCAGAGCTCTGATCAGGCTGATGGCCCGTGTCAATCTTTCAACGAAGCTGTCGATACACTGCAACGGATCCGTCGCCAAGCCTTCCAAAGGGCGGACGTATTGCATGCTACGATCGATATTCGTGTTGCAGATGAAGTTCATACATGTGCCTTGGAGATTGCTAGCGGCGACAAAGACTTGAGTGACAGCAACAAGTATAGCATCGATCAATTCATATCTCATGCGAGCAACTCCGTCGGTTGCATTTCACTCGTAAGACTCGGAAGTCAATATCCGGGTCACGCTCTTATTCATGATGCCATCAGGATCGCTACCATGTTCTTTACCGCAAGCTCTCTGGCAAAATCCCGACTCTATTTGCATACAGCCGAAGCTGATGCGGGACGGCTAGTCATGTTCTCGATCTTGACCGTATGCTTCCAGAACATAGCCAGTCTTGCTCGGGAGTTCTCAGATCAATTATGCGAAGCCTTGAGACGAAAGGACACACATGACTGTTATTACAATGGGAAGTATCAACCGCAGACGGCAAACAGCCTAAGCCCTGTCTGGGTCGCAAATGCCCTTTATTACCGTGTCGTCTGTGCATTATTGGATCTGCAGACGACATCTCCAATCAAACATCTTTTTTCTTCCCTCAATGAGAACCTTCAGGCTGTTCGTGCTACGCTGTGGTCTATTTTGAAAGCCGTCTCCCCCCGCAAGCGGGCCCGTAGCAAAGAATCCGCCAAGAAGGTTATGAAGGAAGAAATTCCTCCTTTGCCGCCATCTATTTGCTTCAACTTGGTCTTTCACCTGACTCCCACGAGACAGTCTGTGGATGTCCCGATGTCTCATGGCGATGATCTGCTTTCCAACCAGTTCCTTTATATCATGGAGTCGGTCCACGCAAATGAAACCTCCAGTTTGCTCAACTTTGAGCCACATATGGCCCAGCCTGTTAATTTGGAATCAGCCGTGGCTGACATGGCTCAACCAGGCGAAGCGGGCTCATCGATCGACAGCTCGAGAATAGTGCCACTGCCATCAAATCCAGCGGCGATTGGATTCGATTTGCTGGACGAGGCTTTCGACCCTATGCGACCTGAGTCTTGGAGCTGGGGCTACACGACCTCTATTGACGATACATATGTCGAACAAACGCATGGCCTCATCGGGGCTTTGTAGGATGATAGTGCGCTATCGATGCATGTCTGTCTCCTGCGTGTTGGCGATTCATATCTTGCGTCGACAACGATTGACCATTGCTTTCCCTCTCTTTTCCTGTCTGAACCTTACGACCCTTTCCTGCCGTGGCTTTTTTTTTGTTCATGCATGTTGCGAGGTTGGTATAAATGGCAAATTCCCGGATCCAGGCGTACAGTGTTCTTCGACTCCTCTGTTGATGGAGTTCCTGTTCATGGCTGGTAGTTAGGCGTCGCTCTTTTCATTTTCTATTTGGCTCTGATTCAAGCCTACTTTCGCTAGAACACCTTCAATAAAATCCAAATTGAGAACAAGCTAGTTCCCTGTATTCTTCTGTAGTCTTTTGTGTTAGTTGCTATGACTAAAATAGAGAATCCATAGTTTGGCTCCATGTTTCTTCCCCATCTACGCCAAGCCAAAGCGCCGCATCAACCAAGCGGTGGCCTCCCGCGTCCCACGCGCGTCTCAGAATTCCTCTCCACCGCCAAACACCTCGAAAGCTCCACACACGCCCTCTGTCGCAGACTAATCCCTTCGATCATCCCCGCGATTGACATAATCTCCTTCGATTCAAGCTTAAACGAATCCAACCACTGCCGCCATGGCCTCGGGCCAACCCTTCGCGTCGCGCTCGTACGCCGGCACCAAACTTCCAGATCGCTCCGCCAACGCGAACGCCATGCCATTCAGCGCCTCATCATTCTCTCGCCATCGCGGCCTGGGGGCTACTGCTCCTGAATTTGGCGGCGCCGAAGGTCCCAAGCAATCACAGCAGGCCCCAGTGGTCCCGACCGCTGCGCAATCGCACGGCCCAGCACAGGATACGAATCCGCTCAGTCGGTTAACCGAAGAGCAGCGAGAAGAGATCAACGAAGCTGTAAGGATTGAAAACCCCCCAGCCCCTAATCTCCCGCTCCCTCATTTCTACTCTACGCCGAGTCCCTTGCATCGCAAAGTCATCATCTACGCTCTGAAGGAAGACGCTCATGGTCCCCGGCAAAACCCACACTGCGCCCCCCACCAATCCCCATTTGCAAACAATAAGCACAGAACCAAAGCACGAGAAAGGAAGAAAGACCAAGCTAATCTCACTGCTCATCTCTTCCCACAGTTCACTCTCTTCGACCTCGACCGCGACCGCCACCTCGACTACCACGAACTCCGCGTCGCCTTCCGCGCCCTCGGCTTCACTCTCGCCAAACAAGAACTCATCTCCCTCCTTACAACCTACGGCGTCCCACGCCCCCAAGTCCAGCAGCAACAAGGCCACGCCAATCCCCCGCAAGCGCCGAAGGGCAATGCCGGCGCAAACCCGCACCACCCGTCTAACCTGCTCATGCCGTTGTCATCGTTCCAAGCCGTGACGGCGTTGAAGATCCTCGAGCGTGACCCGCGCGACGAGATCCTGCGCGCGTTCGAGCTGTTCGACGAGGGTGGTAAGGGGTTCATTGATCTGGAGGATTTGCGGCGTGTAGCGCGGGAGTTGGGCGAGACAGGGCTGGAGGAGGAGGAGTTGAGGGCGATGATTGAGGAGTTTGATCTGGAGGGAGCTGGGGGGGTGACGAGGGAAGCTTTGTGTGGGGATTTGTTGGCAGTGAAAGGGGAAAGAAAGAGAAGGAGAATGTGTGTGACGAGGGAGGACGTTCGTATGGACGGCTGTGCTCTTGCTGCATGGGGGTTTTTACGGTGTTGGGCTCTGGTGCTTTTTTACTCTCATTGGTTTTTGGCCGACTGGTTCTTGTTTGGTATTTCCACGGTGTTTTGTCTATTTTTGTAGTTTGAAAATTTTCTTTCCATATCAATTTTTTTTGAGACTACTCAGCTCTCTCTCTTTAACTGAATGTGAAGATAAGATATCGTATTGTGAGAAGACCCCCGAGTATATCAAAATATGAACTAAATGTGTTATTTCTGGACCATTCGTCATCGATGGTCTCTAGGAACAATTCGACAGCCGCATCCACTTAGATTCATTTCGTAAGCCGACGCGCGACATTAAGAGTAAACAGTCCAACGTATACTATGCAGGAAAAACAAGCCATTGCACCAGGCAATATCTTCGAGAATATGAAAACCCCTCGAGCATCTTGGAACGCTTGTGTCGCAAAAATCGAAAGAAGATCCAATACATCGATCAAAAAATGAACGCCATTCAGCCCAAGCAAACCCCAGCCCTCCTCCAAATCCAGACTTGGCGCAATGCAGATATCATGATAAAGCCTTAAATAGCGTATAAAAACCCGCGGAATCAGTGGGAAAATGCAAGAGCAAGAAGAAAATAAAAATTGAAAAGGTCAATTAAAAAGGGTCATCAGGCATAACGAGGAGGCGGGGGCACATTCGGATACGCATTAGGCTGGCCGTACCAACCCATCGGAGGGCCGCGCGGCGGTCCTGGAGGCGGTCCTCGCGGGGGTCCAGCAAAGCGACCCATGGCTGGTGGAGGTGCCTTGGCGATTCGGCGTCTGGCATTAGCCATACGACACCGACTGATGAGGCAGTACAGCAAAGCCAGCACGATGAGACTGCCAACGCCGACACAGACGCCGATAACGAGCTTCTTATGATCTCGGACCCAGCCCCCGACGGATGAGCCCTTGCACTGTCCGCTGTAGCATTTGCCGCCGGAATCACAGGGTGTGCCGTCAAGGTAATTCTGGTTCAATCCGATGCAGGTGCCAGCGGGGTATTTGGTGACACCGGCGGGTGCAGCGCAGACGAGACTGCACGAGGGGTCGACGGTGTTTTCACAGGCCCAGGTGTTGTTGCTGTTGACCAGGGTACCCATTACACTTCGACACTGATAGTCGCGGCTGGTGCATTGGCCGCTGGCGCAAGTCAAGCCCTGGCCGGAGGAGCCACAGGAAGAGCCATCATCCTTGTACTGGTCGTCTGGGCAGGTGCTGGAGTTGCCAGTACATGTCTCGGCTATATCACAGACGCTCGTGCTTGCGCGGCATACGGTGCCCGCCGAGGTGTACTGGCAACTGCTGCAACAACTGTCGTTGGAATCATCGCAGACAGCATTATTCTTAAACTTGCAGGTCGTCGCGTCACAACAGGCATTATCATCACAGCCCTGTTCGCCGCCACAGTCACAGTCCTCGCCAGTCTCTACGATACCGTTGCCACACGTGCTGCCGCTAATAGTCACGACGCCCCGGTTATCAGAGAGGCAAGTCGACTTGATGCTATTGCGGCCGATAGCGGAACAGATATTACCGACGGTACACTCGGAGAAATTCGTCATGGTGGACTCGGCATACGGGTTCATGATATATTGGGCATTGGCATTGCAAGTTGACGAAGTGAGGGGGCAGCACTGAGAGGATTCTTCTAGATTCTCCTTGCAGGTCTCTGTGTCGCAATCGTGGACAGCCCCAAAGGTATGGCCTGACTCGTGGGCGAAGATTTGCCAAGTTGAGCCTTGGTTGCCGACGACGACGTTGGCACCCGTCACGGAGCTAGAGCCAGAGCTGACCAAATCAGAGTGACAGAGCCGACCCAGCCACGAGATTCCAACCTCGGAGCCAGTAGGACATCCGGTCATGAGGGTCCAGTAGGCATTGCTATCGGCGTTGTCAGCACGCCACTTGGAGAATTCATTCAGTCGCCAGGTAATATTGCCGCCCGCACAGCCAATATTCCACGGGGTAGCCGCTGTAGCAGTGGTGGGACACGAGACATCGTTGACCGTGAGATTCCGCAGGCCAATCGAAATATTGAAAGAATCTTCATAGACGGTCGATGCGGTGTTGACCAGATTAATGACAAAATCCTTGGCTGCATCCTTGGGCGTGGAATTCGACTTGAAATAGCTGGTCATTTCACAATCCGTGGCCACGCCGATCAGCGCCACCTTCTTGGTCTTGGGACACCCGGAGGTATCGCCAATAGTTGATTTCAGGTTCACACCGGCGGTGTTGCCTGACACTCCGCCTAGATCATCACTTTGGCGCCTGGTCAGACCAAACAGAGAATTCAGCGAGGCGACTCCCCAGCGGTTACCCGCTTGCTCGAAACTAGTGGGGAAGAGTGCATTGGTCAGGTTGGAATTGTAGTCGAGCAGCTGGGCGGTGCAGCCTGACGGGTCTGAGAGGGATCTTTTCAATTCGGTAGGGCCATATCGAAGCATATCCGTGTCCCGATAGACAATCATGTAATCGTTGCTACGGTGCTCGATGTCCGTGTCCATTGGCCGTTTCTTGACCAAATAGGTGGACTGCAGCTCGATATGGTGTTTATTCTCGCCAATGCTGAAGGCGCCCTCGAAGAGCGGTTCTGGACCATCGCGGGTGACTGTGATTCGAGCCCAGCCTGTCGGAGTCCATCTCCCCTTGCCCGAACCGACCAGAGCTCGACCACGGAAGACTTTATGTTCATGTCGGTGGATTGGCTCGCCGTGCCACTGTCCGTCAGTGCCAACATACTGCACATATGCATCGTCGGCGAGAATATCAGGGTTTGGCTCGAGCTCAAGCTTTATCCGCTTGTCATGACGACGCAATTCGAATGTGAGGTCAAAATGGTCCAGGTGACTGATTTGGTGAGATGGCGTGCGGATGATGGCGTTCTCAATAGGTGTGACCTGGCGAATGGCTGCTTGCGCTTGAGATCGCGCTAGACAAGAGGGAACACCAGGGCAAGTCAGTCAATCCGGCATGTGCGGTGGTGGGTAGGTTGCCCTGGTGGCATCGCGGCATTGCGGGCAGAGAGACACACGTACCTTGGATCTGCGGGAAAAACGCCGACACGGCCGCAATGAAGGGCAGGACGCTCGAGGTGAACCTCATTGCCCGAGACTAGCGAGAAACAAGGAGGGGTGAAGAAAAGAGGGAGACACCGAGGCGACGAAAGGGAAAGAAAGGGTAAAAAAAAAACAACGATCAGGAACGGGGTCCAAGGGTCTACCGACAGGCAACAAACCCAGTTGCAACCATGGGGAAGCAGCCTCAGGGATCGCAAGGGTCCACCCGTCGGAGATATCGGGATCGGCAGGGCCCCAGTCAGGGTACCACTGATTCACGGGACGACCGAAGCAACGAAGAGACGAAGAGACGAAGAGACGAAGAAGCAAAAAGCAACGATAAGGCAATAGGTGAGGAAGAGAGAGGCGAAGTTCCAAGTTCGTCAGCGCAGAAATGAGGAGCGAACGGGGATCGCCAAGCACGCCGGAATCCAATGGCCGACAAGGCGGGTCTTGGCAGTGCTGAGACACGACCGAAATAGTTTGAATTTGTATATCGTCATCCGCCGCCGCATCTGATACATGATACAGCGGGATCATGTTGATGCGCCTCTCTTTCTTTCTCTCTCTCTCTCTCTCTCTCATTCTCCCGCTCTTTCCTATCCAGGGTCTATACAGGGGCTCACCTCAGAGTTTCTATCGCGTGGTTCCAGATTCCTGATGGTACATTTGATGCGCCAATCGAGCAAAATGCGGGATCAGGGCTCCGCACTCTGCACACTCGAGCATGACCGTTAAGGGTCTTGACGCTTCCTCCTCGTCCTCGTCCTCCTCCTGCCACTCCCCATTACCCTCCGCCACTCTCGACCCGGTCCCTGCACCAGCCCCAGTATTAGGCTGCTGCGTTTCTACGTCGCTGGGTCCCTCCTTCTTGGCTTCGGTGTACATGTCGTCCTGTATTGTCCAGTCCCGGAGCACTGCCTCCTGCTGACGAAACATCTTCCCAATATCCCGCCCGCTGCTCTGTTTCTGGTCCCCCGCACTCTCCACTAGGTTTGTCACCGCGATATTGATCAATCCCAGATCCCACCCCGATGTCCGGTCCGGGTGGAGTTTGCGAAACATGCCCAGCACCACTTCTTGCACCAGCCGCTCTGCCAGCGCATCCAAACTCTCGTCCACTAGGAAGATGAAGCTGGGTAGCGGCGCCGACCGGGAGATGCGGTTGGCATTGTACGTCCGCACCCCATCGGTTTCTGGGAGATTCCGAGGCCTTGTCGACAATCGGACGGTGCGCGGATGAGCCAACCATCGGCGCTGCGGCTCATCCGGGTCCATCCGGTCAAGCAGATCCGTCCTCATGCGCCGAAGCAGACTCCGTGCTAGCACCACTAGCTCGCGGCGGACGCTTTCCACACTGTCCAGACGCCCGCGCCCGTATGAGTCCTCAATGCTGATCTGGGTCGGCAGGTCGCGCGCCTCTCGCACGTCGGTATTGTCCACCCCGTGCAGGATATTCCAAACCTTTAGGCCGATGCCTTTGGGTGCACCAGGCCCACCGAGGGTTTTCTCAAGCAGAGGCACACCCATGCCAGGGAATTGACGGACGTCCCGGACCGTGAGCTTCTGGTCGTTCTCCTCCTTCTCGTCCCCCGCGTTCGGCCCGACCACACGTGTTCGCAGCTTCTGGGCGAGCCGGGATCCGATCCCTGGGATCTGACGGATCTCATGGTCATCCAGAAATAGAGTCACGTTGCTGGCGGTGGCATGATCGGGGGCAGTGTACGGGGGCAGAAGCGTCGTCTGGCTGTTGGGTTTGTGAACGCTGCCGACTAACTTAGCGAGCAACTTGGACGTCGAAACCCCGCCCGTAGCTGTAAAACCCTTGTCGTGTTCCAGTCGGCCGCGCAAATACCCCAGTAGATGAGACGCCACTAGCAGCTTCATATCCAGCGAGGGTAAGTTCCCCGGCGTCCCGCTCGAGTCGGTGGTTGTAGAAGGATAGGTTTCCCCCAGATACCGGGTGGTATCGAAGGCGAATCCCACTGTCGGGTCGCTGCGATCTAGATGGAAGAATGCTGTCGTTGGGTTATTCGGATTCAAGATCTCCACATTGTATTCGATCATGTCTGTGACGTCGAGAAAAAGCTCGTCAAAGCCCAGCCGCTCCACACGCCCGCCCCAGATGAGGCTCCGCGTAAAGAGATAGAGCGACTTGGACGCGTCCCGAAATTTGGTTAGATCCTCGCCCAGCACGATGACCACATCGGGGCAGATGCGCTTGGCATCTTTGATCAACTGGAGCTTATGCAGACCTCGCCGACGAGCCTCGTAGTTGCAGGTCACCACGATTTGCTTCTGCTGAACAGCCAGCGGCAATGACTTGAGGGCCGGCTGCTCGACCTCGAATACGGACGCGTAGAAGCAGTCATAGTCCTGGACGACATGTGTTAGTGATCATTACCTGGATCGAAACCATTATATAGAGGGGGTGGGGTGATACCAGGTGGAGAATGATTCGTCGGTCATTGCGCACCGTTACAGCAGCCATTCCCGACTGGTATCTCCATGAGCGTGGATGAAGGTTTGCTTCAAATTATCCGGGATGTCTCTGTGATGACAGAATGGACTGCGAAAACTGGCCTGGAGAAGGACGCAGTGGGGTGGTTAATCGGCTGTGGCTGTTGCGGCTCCCGTGGCTGACCGCCCCCGCATATGCCACTGTTTTGGTGTCACTCGTTTGACTTTTGACTCCTCGGAGATTTGTTTGTACCTTCATCAACTCTGCCGCCCCTTATGGCTTTGAGGGACAAAATGAACGAATGGACTTTCTCCATACAGTCCGTGACTGACTAGGTCAAATTGAGTGGTGATTGCTCGAAGTCGGATTCAGGCCCGCCAGGCTGATTCCTTGCTCAAACTATATTTCGCTTGCACCAACGTTGCAGTCCATAAGTGCTGGACACTGACATCCACCAGTCGGCGGCTCGATACTGGACTCCACTCCCCGGATGAGAACCCATGCATCATCATGTCAGTAAAATGCGGGGATCTGGCAAATTTATCCGGAGATGAGCTGACGCTCAGCCGATTCTCGCTTCAACGGTTATAAAATCCCACAATCCCCCGCTTCCCAGCTTGCGGAGCCTACCAAGTAAGCAAGCATCATTGCCATTATAGACAGTATGACAGACCCGAGGTTCCCCCTGCCTGGCCTCGACCGTGGACAGCGCATCGTGGCCTCGGTCATCGAGGCCAGAGCACGCAGGCCCTCAGATCGTCCGTGGGTCTCGATACCCGTCAATGATCAAGATCTCTCGCAGGGATACAAAGACCTGAGCTTTTGGCAACTGAACAACTACGCCAATCATGCGGCGCAGTGGCTGAGCGAGAATCTTCCTCCCACAACAGAAAAATTCCAATGCTTTGCCTATGCAGGCCCCAAGGACCTGCGCTATCCAATTCTGGCAGTTGCGGCGGCGAAGCTGCAGAAAGTGGTACGTGATTGTCATCGGGAAAATGCAACCCGCGATTTTAAAATTAAGAAACAATAATGACTATCTAGCTTAGATGGTTATGCCATCTCCACTGATTCCACCCCCGGCACAGATGCGTATCTTCAACGCGAAGGGCTGTTCGATTTATCTACGGCCAGCGTCGTTAACAGACCAAGTGGCGAAGATACTGCAGGATGCCCCGCAGTTCCAGGTGCTCACGGTTCCTGAAATTGAGGAATTTATGAATGATGAAGAGGCACCCTCGTTTGTTTATCCCAAGACCTGGGAAGAGGGCCATCAAGACCCGTGGATGGTGTTCCACTCCTCGGGCACCACCGGTACTTTCTCCCAAGCAATATCCCACACTCGATAGACTGCATTCTTATTTCCTCCTCCGATAGGGAACCCCAAACCTCTTACTTGGACACAGAATATGGCGGCAACCACGGACATCATGGCTTCTCAGCCGGACCTCGAAGAGTCCGTGCTGCACCGTTTTGCCAAAAGTAGATGGTACACGCCGCTGCCCTCATTGCACGTAAGATACCCCTTTCTCGACTACTTCTCGAAGAATTGATGTTAAAATTCTGGATAAAGGTGGTAGGGACAATGATGGTCCTTGCGATGACGACGTTCCTCGAAACCACCCTTGTTATCGGACCCCCCATCCTGCCAACAGCGTCCCTGATCGTCGACCTTCTGCACTACGGACGCGTGGACGGCGCCTTCCTCACACCCGCACTCACCGAAGAAATGTGTCTGACCGACGGCGGCCTCAAAGCTCTCCGGAATCTCAAGTTCTTGCATTACGGAGGAGCCCCCCTCTCCAACAAGACCGGCGAGAAACTGATCTCGCACATCCAAGTCGTTCCCACAGTCGGCAGCAGTGAAGCGGGCCTGTACCTGACCCGCCTGCATGACAAATGGGATGCCTGGGAGTACATCAGCTTTCAGAAACACGCCTGCGCCAAGTTAGAACACCGGTTTGGCGGCTTACACGAGCTGGTCTTTGTCCGCCAGCCGGACACCATGGTGCCCATGATCTTCCAGATGTTCCCGGACCGGGATCGCTACGAATCGAGTGACATGCTCGTCGAGCACCCGATGTACAAGGGCTTGTGGAAGCTGATCGGCCGGAGCGATGACTGGCTGTCGTTTAGCCACGGTGATGGCATGCATGCTTCATTGGTCGAGCCTGATATCGAGGCTCACCCGGCCATCAAGTCCGCTCTGATTGGAGAAAACGGTCGTCCAGCCCCAGTGCTCCTCGTGGAATTGCTACCGGGCGTGGTCGCGGAGGACGGCAAGGATCATTTTCTGGCTTCTCTGCTTCCCTATATTGAAAGGGCCAATGAGCGCTGCCATGATTGCGTGAAGCTCTCTTCGGCTCGGTTGATTGTGGCACCGAAAGAGAAGCCATTTGTACGCAGCATCAAGGGGAATGTGGTAAGACTGCTGACGTTAGAGCTATATAAAGATGAAATCGCGGCAGTATTTGAATGAACATACTGGCACTTGCCGTTTAGAGATATCTTTCCATGGAATGAATTGATTACCTACATGTCTGCATAAGGAATGTGCTCATAGAGCTGCTTTGAAATACATTTATCTTTTCTTGGCACCCACCCACATCCACTGTGCCGGCGGGATATCAGCCGTGGTGGTGGCTCTGTCAAGTTCCCGAGACAAACGTGTCAAGACATTTAGAGTCAATCAGTGAATCTATTGTCCTGTGCTTCTAAGCTGAGTGATCTCCAGCCCTCTCCAGATCTATCCGATGACCGTAGCTCTGGTCTTCCATCGCAGTCAGATGAATTGCAAACCACAACATTCGTAATCAGATAATCAAGAGATTTGCGCCGAACTCAAGACCAACAAGAAAGACCACATGCAGTCGTGTCAATCAATTTGTCGACTCTCTACGTTGCTTCGCACCCACGATGAACTACATCTAGTCCATTGGGAGTCCTCACCCTTCTAGAAGCAAGCGCATTTAAGACACTCCTTCTCCGACGACTTGACTGCCACAATGCTCGCTAGTCTATTTGTCCACCATACAGGCCAACCCTTGGGACCTCTAATCTATAACTACGTCCCTAAGCTGAACTAGGGCAGTTCGCCGCCGCCATCTCGACCGAGCTAGAGCGTAAGCACTCCAAACCCCCGATGGATGAGTCAACGCATTCGTTTGCGCATGTACCTCATTGCATTTCCCGAACAATGTTGGAAGCTAGGTTCCCCCCCCCCAAGATCCAAGATCCAAGATCCGGTATCCCGCTGACACGATCGTGTCATTATATTCTAGCATTAGTCTGTGACGTAAGAAAGAAAGCCCACCTACGAAGCGTCGTGTTAACAAGCCCGGTGGAAGATGATCATGACCCTTGTGGAACGCAGATACGGGCGATCAATCCGTATTGCGCTTTGACGGGGGTGATCGACGCGATTGGATACGGGCACATGGAGGAAGGAAGGCATTGCCGTGCGGTGTTTCTTTTTAAGGTCAATCTTTGGCGGGTGGCCGCGGGGAGTTGAATGTCGCGATGCCAACTCAATCAGAACGCTGGGCCCGTTGGAGAGCCCACGGCTCTCACCGCGAACAAGATGCGCCTCCTCGAGTTGCGATCATTAAAGTATTTCTGGAACCCCGGGGTGGAGCCCGATGGGTGAATCTGCGCCGATCTCACGTAGGACGATGCGGACGTAGTGGAGATTGCGGCAGTGCGGTTGGGATACGGGGCCGAGGGGAAGCGAGTGGGAGTAATGCAGGAGCCTGAGAAGGCGGGCGGTCAGCCAAGGATTGGGGCCGTTGGATTGTTGTTGGGATTGGGGTTTGGTGGATGGTGTTTTGGTGGACGAAGAGGTCGGACGGAGAAGGCTGCAAAAAGGTTGGACGCGGAGAAATACGAACAAAAACAGTTCACGTCCACGCCACGGTCCAGGGCATCGTAAAAGCGGCTGTCGGCGGAGATATGGAGATGGACAGAGCCGCTTAATGTGGCGACATATACTCAAACAGAGTACAAACAGAGTAGAAACAAAACAAAATAGATCAAGCCTCAGGGCCCTCTGACATGAAACGAACCGAATCATCGCGAGTGATTTAATGGCGCGGCATATAGGCGACCCAGTTGGATTGTAGATTAGGGTCAGTGGGGATCGCACGGTCGGCTACCGGGCCCTAGATTGGATCCATACGGGGGGGGGGGGGGGGGTCCTAGAGGGTCTGGAATCGCTGGAAATATCTGGAATGTCGGAAATGTACGAGAGGATCTAGGGTTCGAGGGAACAGCATTCCGTGGCCGAGGACCAAGTACGGGCGGGTTGCGCTGTCCAGAGGCCACAGGAGGACACAGCATGATATACTCCATCCATGCCCTAACCCCCGTCCAGCTGAACTGGGCATCCGCGTCAGCTCGATCAATTAGAGCCTGTTTGAATCCTCTGCTCCTCCAGGCTGCACCCTATCATCGTTCATTCTGGCCATGCTAGCCATTGTGCCCATTCTGTCCATCCTTTCCCCCCAAGGGCTCGACCAGTCGACGATCCTCGTAGGCTCCACTTTTCTTTTCGTGTCGGCTTTTCTTTAAATAGCACGACCCTGTTATGGATCCCGTCAGCGAAACCAACAGGACTAAGTCGAGAACGGAGTATAGAGACCGAGGGCTATGGGGCTCAGCGTAGCCTGTCTTTTCTTATCCCCTCGAGGTAGCATGTAACTTGTAGCATCTCCGATGCTAATCGTGTCTGTCGCGTGTATCGTTCTATAGCGCCCGGGGTTTTATGGTTTTATTGTCTGAGAATCTTCCACGCTGGGAATCTTTTGGAATCTGGGAATTGGAGGATCTGATGGTCCTATGATCTGATCGCAGAAGGCAAAAACAGAATCGCGGCATTCGGGGGGGAATGGATATTTTTGCCTCCGCCCCACGTTCGGTCGTTACACCTGGCCCTTTTAAGATTATTTTAGAACGGGCAACGATCACAGGCGATCCCCATCTCCGAGTTGGGGCTGGCGGTGGCGTCAATAGTTTGCCCACCCCAAATCGCCCAAGGAAAATTCTGATAACCCCGGCTGTGAGACCACCGACTCCAGAGAGCCGGGAGACGCGAGACGGGATCGCAGAGGATCGCAGAGGATCACATATAGGGACCCGACCGGGCCCCATCTTCCCCGGCCCTGCCCAGCACCTGGACGTCCAGCATCTGCAGGAGATTCGGGGATTCGAGCCTCTCCGTCCACTCCGGGAAGTACGTGACTGGCCCCAGGCGTGCTCTTCCCCCAAACAGTCTCATCACGTCCTCCAAGCGCCGACTATTCTTAGCGCAAAACCCCACCTCGCTATAGTCCCCGTCTGATATTCCCTTCCCCCCTCTCTTCCTCCACTCTCTATACCACGTCATACTTCTCAATGCCCGATACCCGATGACTGGCCATCTCGATGACATTATATTCATCACCGACTTCGCCTGACCCGGGCTCGCAATCTACATGCTCATCAACAATGTCCTGTCTCTCGTCGGACTCCCGATCGATCACATCTCGTCCGAAACTCACCCTCCAAACATCCTCCCTGCCACGCACCTTTGGCTCCTCTAATACCGGTCTCTCCCTCTCCTTCGCAACCGCTCCAACTGCATCCCCCACGGTCCGCAATACCTTCAAGAATGCCTATGAGATCCCCTCGCCATCATCCGCGACCAGCTCGCCCTCCAAGACCCTCCCCAGCCACCGATTTCCCAGCAGCAAATCCCTCTCCCCGTATGTCCATTTTTCGAGCAACACCACCACCGCTACAAATAGCCCGTTCAGCTCGCGCAGTCCCTATCAACTTCCATTAGGGGTGCGCAGTATCCTGCGCAACTCGCCGATCGAGCGCGCCTCGCGAGGGAGTTCGGTGTCCACCAGTTCCACGGGCCCCGGCGGCGCAGGCGCACGCCGGGTCTTTTTCCCCGCCAAGAAACAAGTTAGCTATCGACATCCCCTCGAGGAGGTCATTCGCACCGACCAGTACACCGCTCAGCATTTGGATTTGCTCAAAGAAGACGACACTGCGGCCGGGGCAGTGCAGGAGGCACCCGCTCCGGAAGAACCCACCCCAGACTCCACCGAGGACGACGACTCGGACTCGGCCAGCCTGCTGTCCTCCTCAGAGACCAGCAGTGCCTCCAGTGATGATGTGAGCCTAGACGGCCAGGGCACTGCCGAGAAGGGCTTATCCAAGCTCGAGCGCAAAAAGCGGCGAACCCTCGGCGCGGAACGCCAGGTGCGGGCCGTCGCGCTGCTGGATGGCTTTGCGTCCGCCGACTATCCCTCAATACCGCCTACTCCGCGACATAGCCGGGTCAAACGACGCCGGGAATGGAAATGGACCTTGGGCCCTATTGACGGGAAGTCACAGGTGGAGGACGATCTCTCGATCTCGCCCGCGCAAATCGAACTTCCTCGCTCGCGCTCGCCCGTGCCAGTGGAGCCGCCGCCGGAACTCAATCCCCCGCACTGTGGCTAATCCACAGCTGAAATCTGGTTGAAAAAAAAAATCGCGACGATCACTTTACTTTTGCCTGATATTGGGCACCTGTTTCTCATGCGTAATGGCGATGCATATACATTCTCGACGCATTATGGCTGTGTTTTGACATCTTAGAGGCGCTTAAAGGGGGCCTGTCTTGGGGGCCGGTTTTGTCTTTTTTTTTTTTTTACTTGCTCCAGCGCACTGCTGTTACCCACTGTTACCCGTGTATTTGGGCGCATTGGCATCATTCTACTATCATGTCTACTCTAATCTCATTCTTGAACATACTATTTTCTTACAATTTGAACTATTTCTCGATTCAAATTTCTGAATTCTCTGTATTCTCTTCCTATCGTATCTGTACGGTTCAACATCCGTGTTCCCCTGGAATCCGGGTAGACGCCATGGTGGCCAGGTGCAGATGGACGAATAGTATCGACACACCGAACCGCCCTGGATGCAGCCACGGCGTCATGAAGGCCGCTTGAAGGCCACGAGATAACCATCATGCTCAACGAGATGGACGGGGATTGGTGAAGGTGATGTAGGATGCATAGATAGCCTGAAAAGGCCAGCGACCAGGATTTGAAGGCGCTGCCGGGGGCCAGCTAAAACGTCGTTGCCAACGCGGTCCATTTTTGTTGACGTTGCTAATGTTTTTAATCGCTCATAGACATCTTCAGGCAAATGCCAGAAATCAAAAGGAAAAAACAAAACAAGCAAAACAAAGGTCAAAAACAACCAACAGCGCTAACAATATGACAATCCTACGGCGGCTGCACTCCCCATTTTTTTAAGCCCAATATCGTTCGCAATTATAGCATTCTACCGTGCTACCGAAACGCCGACCAACACCGGTTGCTTTCCGAACCAGAGTCTCCATTTTTTTACCATTTCTAAGGGTGCAGAATGTGGAGGAGGGACATGGGAGAAGCCGTAGTCTCATACTACTTCATAATCCTAAGTACTAGTGTACAATCAAGTCGGAAGTATACAAACAACAACAACAAGGCATTGCTCACCAAACAGCCCAGCCTTCTTATGTCTCCGTCTCAACATCCGGCTCTCGGCCAGTCAGATCTCCAGCCCCAATCTTCTTCTTCATTTTGCGCAACGCAAATTTCGCCTCGTCCTTGGCAAACGCTGCATTACGCGCCGGCCGCCACTGCATCAATCCTCGTTGCTGCCGTTGCTCGCTGCGGCGGTTCGCCTTGTTCATCTGGATACTACTACTAGCCTGCGACGACGAGCCCGCATCCGTGCCGGAGATAGTCGACGGCCCCCTCGACAGCGCCTCTGTCTCAGACCCTTCTGACTCCTCCGAGCTGCCTTCCTCCTCTGCACCAGGCTGGCCCTTCAACGGGGGCGGAGTCACCGGGTCATGGTGAGGCTTCTCGCATCCAGGCTCGGCCACCTTACGGCCCGTAGAGTCGGTATATGCGCGCGGATCCTGCCCGAATGCGCCGCTCCAGTCGTGACCATCGCGGTCGATCCAGCGCCGCCGCTCTACTGAGTCCCTTTGCTTGAGGATATCTCGACCGTCAACAAGCGACTGCTCGTGCTTAGCTTGCACCTCGGGCGGTACCTCGGCGTGCACGCTGCGCGATCGCACCCCCTGCGCCAGACAGGCTTCCCATGTCTCGAAAGTCTCGCGTGAGTCGTTGTCGACGACAAACCGCTCGTGCGACTCGTCAATGCCTGGCGAGAATCGGCATTGAAGCTGCAGCCGCCCGACCTCCGTCAGGTCTTCTAGGCCCGGGACCTCCTTCGCCCGCCAGTTCTGCTCGGTGACGTAGTTCTGCGTCAGTCGCGCGCCGCTCTTGGTTGTCCAGATCGGCAGGTCGATGTCTGTATCCTCATTGTCGACAAGGTGCTGCAGCCAGAGAATCGCGTAACCCGCAGCCGCACGCTTGCCCTGTGTGTGCAATTCGAACACAATCGGCGAACGGTAGCGGTGCTTGACCGGCATGCGCAGCGAGTCGCGGAAGCTCTCGTCCGAGGTGTCATAGACCACGTCGCTGCCGTCGAGGCGGCCTACATGCCGCGTGATCTTGCCCGTGCTGCCACCGGTCCGCAGCTTAATCTTGGCCTGCCGGCCGAAGTTCTTCGCCACAACCTTGTGGCCGACGAATTCGAAGGTCCCCACGTCCCAGCCCAGCATGGTCGGCGGAAGTTTTGTCTCGACATGCCGGAACAGGATCGAAATGCGGATGCGCCCGAAGCCAACGCCGCCGTCCAGCGGGTACCATCTCGTCACCTGGGAGCTGGTTTGGAGCAGGTCCGACAGTTTGATCGGCACAACGCCCAGAATGGGGTCGTGTTCGCGATACCGCTGGTCTCGCACTGTGACAGTGACAACGGCCGATCTCCAGTCGCGAACGAATCGCTCTGTGCCGGCGTTGAAAATTGGCTTCGAGCTCACGGCTTTAGACCGTGTGCGGTAGATCTAGAGAAGCAGAGTGTTAATGATATGCGAGCTCCCTTGGATATAAAATATTCTGAAACCTACCAATTGATCATTCAGGAGAATCTTGCAGTAGCTTGTCGGTAGATCCCCACCTTGCTCTTCTGTGTTCTCGCCGAAAGGCTTCGCGGGTTCATACTCCTTGCCCTTCCGGTTCCCGTCGCTGCCCTTGATATTCGCCAGCTGGAGATTCACAATCTGGTGCACGACGATATGCACGATTCCACTGGGCCAGATTGGATCTGGCGGCGTGTGCATGACCGCGTCCTCCTCTTCAGTATTGATAGTGCCTTTCTCATCCTCAAAGGTTGGGTTGCCCTTCAGGTTCTCAGGTAGGTCCTTCTTCTTGCCGTCGGTACGCAGCTCCGGGCGTAACTTCGGCTTGCCGAAGTATCCGACTTCCCAGTGCAGTTGGCCGGGCATCTCGCTTCCCTCGTCCAGGCCCTGGAGCTTGGAGACTTGCGGGTACATACGGCTGGGATGCTGCAGCATTTCCCGAATGGGCAGCTCCACCTTGCCGACAATATCATCGGCGGTGTTCCGGTCCGAGTCCCACAGCTCGACGCTGAGGTTTTCGTTGGCCTTGATCAACTCGGGCGTCACGAGAAGCGCGGCAGTCTCTTCCCAGATCGGATTGAGGTCGTCGGTGATCACGCGGGTGCAGTACATGGGCTTGCCGTACTTCGAGAAGGAGAGATTGATGTACGGATCGCTGCCGCCACCCTCGCTGCCCCGGCGATCCTGCTTGCTCAAGCCCACGGCGCGATGGATGCGGATCCACATCACGCCCAAGGCCAAGGTGTCTTTGTGGATATCGTCGCCCTTGAGCATCATACTGAGGTCCATAGTCATCGACTTGGGCGCCGCAAACATAGCACACGCCGCGCCGATCGCGGAGTTGACAAAGTTAGAGATCAGAGGCAAGTTGAGGACGTTCACACCTCGCCGAAGCATGGGGACACAGCCAGCCCGAACATGGGGGATGCCGACTAAGCTGAATGTGAGTTCCTTCATAAATGGCGGCTCGGGCATCATCTGCAGCCGCAGTCGAACGGTTCCAACCAGTTCAGTCAACTCGACGAACACAGGGAACGGCACTCCGAACAGGCCGCGGATACCCAGGTAAAACACGAGCTGCATGTGCATGTTGCGCGCTTTAGATGATGCAGATCCGCCACTCGGCTTCGCGTGGTATGCAAAAGAGGCCTCCATGTTGTAGTAACTGCCACCTTCTTCAGTCGCCGCAGCTTCTTGAGGGTCCTTATTTTTCAGGTTATCCTGGTGGATGTTCTCTTTCAGGTTTTGGACATGATCATCTGGGAGAGCTCGCATACTGAGAATGCGGAATGGGTTGTTGCCCTGGTCAATTTCGGCGATGCGGACGTTCTCCACGACTTTAGGCGCCGATGCCTGCATAATATCCTCAATGGTATCGGCCATAGGAGTCAGCATCTCAGGATTCATAAGTCCCCACACGACGCCGAGAAAGCTGTTCATCCACTCAACAGATTCTGGCAGAAGATTTGCAGTGGCCTTTTGAGTAGAAACGTTAGTTTCTCGTTCCATTTGGGAGCCGCTTATAGAGGGTTACAGACTGTTTGGCCTCGGAGCTGCTCGCTACTCCATTCCATCTCCTTGCCGCTCTTGATCACCTCATGCATCCACAGCCACACGCCACTTGTGATACAGGCTGCCAGTGGAATGAGACCTAGCAGGGATCCCCCGAAGAATCGGCCTACAATGATTATGGCAGCGGGTATGGCAATACAGAGACCCATTGCACGTTTCTCCAGCTGGTCAAACATTGGCTGGAATGATACTGTTGGGGTAGGGTGGAAAAGCACATTGGTCTTTTCACCACGAATAGGAACGTCTGATGTTGTTCCCTCAGCAATCGGATCTGGAGGAGCCGTGATGTCTTGCTTCTCCTTGTACACGGAGAGCTCTTGATCCTGGCTCGTTTGGTGTTCCTATGCATATATTGTGAATATCACGGAGCCAGCTCTATCTTCCCGACTATGAGGGCACACTCACGGTATGTTTTCCCAGATTGGCATTGGGAACGGTCAATTTCGGGTCTTTGACGGCTTCCATTGACGACGGCTCTTGATCCTCTACCCCGATCTCCCTGCCTGTCGTTGGATCAGTCACCATGCGCACATTAGCCTGAGAGATCTCTCGAGCTTGGTGAGCCATCACATCCCCAGGCGACTCATCCCGTTTCTTGCCAGCCCTGTCCTTCTTTTCTTTGCCGATGGCATTTTGCTTCTTGATTCTGTTCTGCTCGTCAATTCTAAGGTCTCGCTCTTTCTTTTCTCGGTCCAGATGCTCGACAAATTTCTGGACAGTAGGAATAGGATTTGCCCCACTCCAATGCTCGCCGATATGATGGCTTTGGGCCTCTTCAGTCTCTTGTCCTGATGATGGCATTGTGTCCACAAGTCTATCACCAGTGCGATAGATTCAGTCAAGTAGTAAGGAGTAATTGCAGGCGCTGGGCAGAGTAAACCGGGGGCTGTAGTGTAGGTGTAGAGGATGGCGCAGGAATTCCTTCACAACAACCCCCGCTTTGACGGTGAGTCTAGATAGAAATTGAACTAAATGATCGGAATGCTTTCAATCACGATCAATCGCGATCATCTGTAAAAAAAATATCGAGCTGGAGGTAACAGATGAGCTTGTAAAGCCTGGGCGGACAGCGCAGCTGGGGAGCTCCAGAACTACGTCATCGCTGAGCGGAACCCGGGAAGTGCTACAATGACGATGTCAAACGCGCTGCGATTCGCTGGTCAATTGTTAATCTGCGACTCCAACCCCATAGACACTGACTTCTCTTCCCCACATCCACTGACTTTTCCCACTGAGCTGTTAGCTGCTCCGGCCAGCGCAGCGGAATCCCAGCCTTGGCATTCTGAACTCATAGAATCCACCCTATTGTACAAAGTCTTCTGCAGGATCGCTACGGATAACTAGCTGACCTTCGAAAAATCAATCGTTGAAATTTGTGATAGTAACATGATCCAATATACCTCTCTTGGAAATTGAACCTATCTTCATTATTTGTAAGGACTTGCCATGATGTCACCAGAGGGGCTTGTCATGATGCATGCCAATGTGAATGAAGCACAGCATGCTCTGCTTAACCAAGGAACCCTTCGCATGTCCATCCCTGGAGCAAAAAACCCAGATACCTTGTTGCAGGTTCGTCATAACGAACCAACTTGTACAACCACGAGGGCTCGTCAAATCAGATTTGATTCTCCGGGTGCGGTCCCTAAAGCTAGCGATCAGATCTTTTTGGTCGGATCCTAATGATCAACTACCAGATATATGGATGACGGGGTAGCCAAATAGGCTGTAAATGTTGCTTTGTCTAATGTCAATCAAACTTCGATGTATCTGTACTGTGAGAATATCTTCGGGCCTATTTAGAGCTTCTTGTCTGCACTAGACCAGCAGTGGCGGTCCGACTCATATCGAAGACACTCTCAGGTCTATCTTTCTCTTTGCAATTATACTTTACTTAATAGAAACACTGGTTTTTTGCTATGTCTTGGGATCACCATGTAATTGGGAAGGAGAAAGAGGAGTACATGGAGATATTTAGTCACCGACAATGGGCCAGAATATACATATATAGCCAGCGTTGTGCTCAAGAATAATTACATTGCCAGTAATCGCTTTTTCTTTAAAAAAATAATGTCAATAAGCAAGAATTTTGTATCCATCAGAGACAAATATTTACTTATAGTATGCTTACTTCACATTATTCTGCGAAGCAGTGGAGGTCCATGTTCTTACCCACAATGATGATAAAGGTGAAGCGGGAGAAGTTGATTGTCTTATCGCCACGGGACTTGCTCAGCACTCCCACCTTGCACCTCACCTTTGCACCGGTGGTCACGACGCGGCTCCATAAGTTCTTCTCAACTGATCCGCCACTCTCACAAGCCATTTAAATTAAATATTGCATTTTTTGATATCTGATACAACCCTGATGTCTGCACCAGAAGAGTCCCCAGCCCAGCGCGCCGCTCGTCTACGACGGGAGCGACGTGAAGCCAAAATCAAGGAGGGAGGTTCAGCGCGCCTGGATAAGATCACCAGTCTTAGCGGTCGCACTCCCCAAGCAGGTAAGACATTATATCTCCAAAGAACCATCTATGATTTTCTGTCAAGGAATCTTTTGTTTTTGCCCGCCCGAGACAGCCAATACAGTATGTGTGCATAATGCTAACCACAGTAATAGCCCGCGAGGAGGCCTCGCCATCTCCTCAGAATGCAATCTCGCCATCCCCATCTCCTATTCCGCAGAACCGTACCATGCCCGCACCTCAACCGAATATGCAGTCCGCAGAATCCCTTCAGGCGCAGCAGGAGGCATTCCGTGCCATGCTTCGGCAAGCCGCACCAGAACAAGGTCAGGACGAGGATGTCAATGATGCAGAGGACCCAACGATAAAGCTTCTCAACTCTCTTTTGGGCGCGATGCCAGGTGATTCCAATGGTTCTCCCCTTGGCACCCAAGGTGCTATGCCTGAAGGACAACCCGGGCTTTCACCGGCGGCGATTGCATCGGCGCTGGGCTTGCCGCCCTTTATTGCAAACATGATAGGTGGTGCCACTCAACCGCCGACTGAGAAGGAGCAGAAGACCGCTCAAGTATGGAAGGTTCTTCACATTATTTTTGCACTTGGGGTGGCGATCTATCTACTATTCATTATTGGCACATCTGTTGCGATGTTCGGCAGCCCACCCCCGAAGCCTGCTACTGCGCAGAATCCGTTCTTGATCTTCGTTACTGGTGAGATGGTCCTCACATCTGGCAGGGCACTATTTGGAGGGAAAAAGGGTGGATTGAGTATGGGCATTCAGGCCTTTAGGGACGTGATTCGAGATGGCAGTCTTGTTCTGTTTGTGCTGGGCCTGGGAGCTTGGTATCATCGTGAGTGGCAGGTCATCAAATTCTAAGGGTCGATATCGCATGTAATAAATGATTAGCGTCGCATAAGCATCCAAGCTAGCACAATGTTAAAGTGTAACTTCATTCTTATATATGACCAAGGCAGCTGTGAATATCAAGTAGTTGGACTCGCCGAAGCCCTTTGACCCGGCAAGACAGCATTTCGTAGGTTACTCAAGACTGCTGGGTTAAGTCCCCAATCGCCTTCCCATTGCTCCATGCGGGCGCCATTTTTAAAATGCTCAGACAAGTGTTCAGATCGTGCAGTCCAGGTGGAAAGAGAAATACCGCAAAATCCACACCGGCTTTGCACATTCGACCCCGATCTACGCCATGCGTGAAGGTCGGCCACAGGAAGTTTAGTGCAGCCATGGAATTTCCGCAGATGCTGCCATAAGTAGTCCTTTCGACTGAAGGTACGGTCCGGTACGGGCTTTTCAGCACAAACATGAAACTCATGCTCTTCGAAATGTGCGGCCGAAGGAAAAGGGGCCGTGCAAAATCGACATTCGTCAATAGGTGCGCTCCAATCCTGTTCTAGTTCGATGAGATTCGGTGTGCAGATCCATGAATCGAGTCGAAGATGAACACTCTTCTCATGTCGTAGCCAATCATGCCGCTTTCTGAAGAATTGTGTGCAGAAAGTACACTGGTATTGATTGCCATCTCCTGTTGATCGCTGTCGCTTATGTCGTCGCCGATTTCGCGAACTATTAGGGAGAGGCGAAAATGACATGCCTCCATCCCTGCCAGATTGGTGACTCCACGCCGACGAAACGCTGCCTGAAGTTTCCGATGCCTTGCTTCCAAAACTTGATACCGAAGAAGCCAGGTGAGATGATGATTCATCAAAATTGAAGAAGTCCATAGTAGACAAGTCCAACATAGAAGCAGCGTCAAACGGCTCGGAAGCGATAGCATGTTGAATGGCGGACTCCGGGATATGGTCATCTTCTGGAGGTGATGCTTGCCAGCGCTCCATAGGGGTCATAGAACTCAGAGTACTCGTCACCAGGGGCGAACCGGCGCGATTATAGGAGGCCGAGCCCAAGTTGGATGATTGGAGTTTTTGCTTTTGCCGCCGGCGAGCATTTGCAAACCATGTTGATATGCGCTTCTGTGAAAATCCAGTCTCTCGTGAAAGTTGGATCTTTTCCTCTTCACTTGGATAAGGGAGCTCTTGGCGCTGGTGAAACCATTCTCGCAGAATTCGAGCTCCTTTTCGTACGAATTGTTTTGATTCCTTTTGTTCCTCTTTGTTTTCTGCAACAGAAGGAAAAATTTCACCCTAGTATATAGTGTTAATTTCGAACGGACATGAAAGATTTGCGCCGACGTACATCGATTTCGGCATGCTCTGGAAGGCCGTGCAAATGTCCCATAACGGGTGAAAAGGTCTCGAAGCCAGACGGCAGACGTTTCTCTCCTTTTGCAAGGCTACATTCCCGAAAAAGAGCCACACAACTTGAACAGGATGTTACTGGATTTGGATTTGCCGCTGTTGTTCGAATGATCAGACACTGTAGTCGATGTTTGCGACAATGACTGCAGGATATCGGAGGGCGATAAGCCCCGTCCAGCCATTGAGAGACGTTGGTCAAATTTCGAGTTGGTACTCCAAATTCTGTGATTCCAACTGTTTGGGGAATGGCTGGAGCGCTTGGCATTTCCGATATCTGTAGATATGCATTGCTTTGCTCTTCACCCGCAGTTGAGGGAGCTTGTAGTGTTTCAAAACCAACCCAATCATTCCATTCTAGATTGGCAGGCTCGGATGAACAGAAATAGAAATTATTCAAAGGATCCCAATCAGCGGAGGTGTCTCCAGGTAGCCCGCTGCCAGCGACATTAATATCGAGCATGCTCTGTAAACCCGGGTCTGGCAGCGAATGGGACTGTGGCGATTGACGGGAATAAGACACAGAGGGGTTTAGTGGTTGCCGATCCATACCGATCAATTTCTCGGAGCAGGTACCCCAGTTTTGTAGGGCCTTATCCACCATATACCTCGAAAGTGAGGGGCCGCGGTCGTCGTTCGATTGAATCTCCGCTCTCGAATGACATCGCCATACCGTCGATGTCACTGACTTAACGGACTCGCCCGAAAAAGGCTAGTGGCCTGCTGGTGCCTTCCCAGAACATGCTGACTCATCACCAATGCAAATCACAAGTGCAGAGGAACAAGCTTCCAAGAATACCAACTGTTTATACAAAGCTTTCTTGCGACCGCCGGAAGCGAATGATATTTATCTGATAAATTTGAAATTACAGATAAAATTCAGTGCACTTAACCATATGTCACTATAGTTGAAGACACAGTCGGCAATTATACTAACTATAGTAGTGGGGAAATGGTTGACAATCGGTGATCTCTGGAGGATATCTTTCCTAGCACACAGTCTTTACAGGATATAGCTTCGCATCTCCGATAGGGAGAGAATCAACTTGTACACATCTTTCGCTGAAGCAACATCTGTTTCCTCTCTGAAAGGCTTCCCTCCATCGTGGTGTGGTGTGGTTTGTTGGCTTGTTCGCTCATCCATCTCATCCTGCCTGCATTCGCAGGCTTGCCGTAGAACGCCCTGGTTCACTACGTAGTATGATGACTGAAAGCCAAGGATCACGGTTTTATCTCTTCATTCTCGTCGGGATATTCACAAATAAAGTTGACATAGAATATATAAATAAGTTTGCATTGAGGCTAACTTCTTCAGCGTAGGTGTCGATGACCTCACTGGAGGAGCATTCGATTGTTGCTGTTGTTGAGAGGCTAGAAACAAGCCATAATTACCATAGGATTTTCTCCAGCTCTGAGAAAGCACTGCAGGAGGAATTAACCAAAGGTAATAAATCAAGCCCACATATAATCCCGTCAAAACGTCTAGGATATATTGACGCGGTCAGGGCTCTCCGACGCTTGTCCTATCACCGACACCCCGAAGACTGATATTAACTTTCTTTTCCAGACCCGTGAGAGATAACTTCGTTCTACTGACTCTTACTGTAATTAAGACAAGATCAAATTGTTAACATACTCTCTGTTGGGAGATGAATAAGACCATCTGGTAGCATCCAAGCTCCTGTGCGTCTAATCATTTTCATGATTCAGAAGGATAAGTCTCAAATCCATTTACTTTTTGTTCTAAAGAAATGTAGTCTGGATCTGATATGAAGGCCTCGGAAGTCATGAATCAAATTAAACCAATTAAGTTTATTAACACCCTGCTTAAGGCGTGTGATATCCACAGGAGCCTCAAGAAAACGCAACAACCCTTGCAACGCGACACACAAATTCCTTCTTGGCGGTAGTGCTCATCCTGCTATGTATAAATTCTCGCCCCGAAGCATTAGAATGACACAATTATGCCCTGTCAATTAGATTCGCCTGTTACATACAAATAGAGGGTTAATATGTATTCTCAAATGAATGGGTTAAAAACGAAAGCTTACCTTTCCACCTATTGAGGTAAATTAAGATTGCCAAAACATGCATGTTGTATCTTCTGATCTTCGAAATTTCAGACCCCATCTGTGGCATCTCAAAGATGGCACCACAGCAAGTCAATTTTTGGACTTGGCAGCTTCCACAGACGACGTGGAAGACGCTTTGGGATCTCCTTCCGTGTTTTTTTTGGGCTCTGGCTTGGGATTTGGTTGGGATGACGATCCTTTTCTTGACCCTCCGGACGAGTTCCCGGATGTTGTACCATTGATACCCAGCATAGCCAAATGAGAAGCTCCGATCATTTTAACAAATTTAATACAAATATTCGGAAGTGAGTTGAATTTTTCCTTGCAATTGAATTGAGGATTTGAAGAGTTTGAAGAAAGCTCAGCCATGGAGCGGCCGAAGGAGGGGAATATATAGCAGCATAGTAGTCTTTTGGACAAAGCTCTGAGGGTCAGGCTATCTATCACAAAAGAACGATGAAAGCAGGTCTCAGACAGACTCGCCTATGGCTTTGACAGGCCTGAAAGAATACAATGGGGGCCATCTTTCATGGTCGCATAAAATGGCGTATATGTGGTGATAAGTCGAGTTGTGCTAGGGTTAAGCTCAAAATAGTAGTGATCAGAACCAGTGTAGATCTGGAAACATGGCCCCATGAGGTTTGTAGAATGTTGGAAACAGTTATCCTCAGTGACTGTAATTTTTATTCATTATCATAGGCTAAGGGTACGAATAATCAGGCGGTCCAGAGCGCACGAGGCTCTTCGCTGTGGAAACTCTAGGACAATTGGTTAGAGGTACTCCAGTGAATCCAAGAACGAGAGCGGTAAAATCACCAGTATGCAAGGGCATAATAATTATCTATCGGCATGTGGAGCTTGGCAAGGAGAAACACCTCATGGCCTGCGCCTCAGCAGCCTTACTCAGTATTGGCGGCCGGACGTACAGTTGGCAAGACCAACGTTCAAACGGGATGCATTCCAATAATGTTTTCTATGTATGGTATTACAGCAAGCAAATGTTGGTCCGTGTGTGGCCTAATAAACCAAACGATTGGAGAATTTGTCGTATCGCATTTATTTATCCGCTTAAGGTGCTGAAACTAGCTGCGTTCAGGCAAGACAGATCGAGAACCATTGAGGCGGAAAGGGCCAACTGCTGCGCCACGATTGTTTCACTCTCTCGGCATTCCTAAATTAGTCACAGTCAGCGACCCCCAAACAGAAATATGATCATGAAAGTCCTGATACCCCATTATAAGATGAAAGAACGCATAATGGGATTTCAATATGCCTTCAGTGAGTCTGAGCTGTTGGTTCCTGCTGGTTATCTTACCAACAACCCTACCCTTCAACATCACCAACATCTGTAAGAAACTCTTGTTGGGCGCTTCTCAGTTTTTCTATTTTTGGCTATTCAACTATCCCATTATGAAGCAAGCCCACTGAATTTTGAAAATCGCAAACGAACTGATAGGAGATAAAGGTAACACCAAGTAGTATGATTCCGAGTCCCCTAAAGTCTGATAGTTCCAATGATGGGGTAATAGGTGTCACAGTACTCTGGTATGGGATACAAGACTGCTAAATCCAGCCCTGAAATTGAAAGACCGAGAAGAAGTACGCCAAATCTAGGCAAAGAGCTCTCAATAACTGGCATCTATGCGCACCAAATCTGACAAAATATTCCTTTTTTCCACCGACAGCAATATGGGTAAATTAGGAACAGAAATCTTGAGCCAGAAGCGTAAAGGCCTCCTGAATCTGCTGCAAGCTTTTAACATCGACCCATTCCTCCTTGCTGTGTAGACCAGCGCCAACCGGCCCAAGCACAATTGATGGGACTCCGGCCTCGCTTAACAATGCAGCATCGCACCAGAATGGAACGCTTTGAACTGTCGGTTTGATTTCGAATGCCGTAGTTGCACATTCCAAAGCCTTTTCAACAAGAGGATGATCTATCGCAAGCTTCTGCGTCGGGCGGGTCATCGTAACACGAGGTTCTTCGTATTGGAAATGTGATTTTTCTCTCGCGATGTTGCGAAGTATTTCAGAGATATCGGTCATGATTGATTCTCCTGTTTGGGCTGGAATTGTTCGGAACTCGATTGTGATCGTACATTTCCCAGGATATGAAGACGGCTCTTCGCCTCCCTGGATCAATGAACAGTGCATAGACGCCTGGCCTAGAAGGTTATCCACAGGAAGGTTTGCTTGATAGGATTCAAGGGCGTTCAGGAACCAGCCAGTATGTAGAATCGCATCCCGACCAGCTAGTGGATCCGAACCGTGGGCAGCAACTCCGAGTATGTCCACTTCCACCCACACAAAGCCCTTGTGTGCTGTCACTATCGCGTTCATTGTCGGCTCAGCAACAACCGCTGCATCAGCTCGCCAGCCAGCAGCCAGGATATCTTGTGTGCCTAGGGACTTATCCTCTTCATCAGACACAGCAGCGACAATAATATCTCCCCGGAGGACTTGGCCACTGCCCTTAATGGTGGCAAGCGCGGCGAGGGCCGCTGCTAAACCACCTTTCATATCTAAACTTCCTCTTCCAAAAACGACCTCCCGGCCATCTTTCATTCCCAATGCTCCGGAGAGGGGATCCTTATCGTAGCTAGAAAGCGTGACGGTATCGGTATGGCCGTTGAACATAATCGACTTGCCCCCACCACTTCCGCGGAGAATAGCCACAACAGACGGGCGTCCGGCGGTGGGCTCTACGCGATGAAATTCGATATCTCGGTGAGCAAGCCATGCTGAAATAAAATCAGCAATTTCACTCTCCCCAACACCATCAGTCACAGATAAGGTAGGGTTCGAAGAGTTTATCTGAGTGAGTGCCTGCGTGAGAGTGACTGCATCTTCGGCGGACACATCTCGAGGGACCTGGTACATTCGAGCACCTTCAGTGCTGAGTAGAACAACAACAGAATCCTCAGTGAGTATTGAAGATGCTCCTTGTTCCGAGGCTATCCGATGCAGTGCAGCGAGAGGTCCACCACCACAGGGACCAGCCGCCACTGAATTGGAATTGAGAAACTGAACCGCGATATGACTTTCATGGGATGAGACTGTAACAGCGGCATCGACAAGGCGCTGCAGATCTGGCCAGGCGGTGGATGAGACAGTTCCACAGTTCATGCCATCCATGATAGTAGACGAGGTTCGCACAGAGACAGGCTTCCCTGCACGTAGACTCGATGACAAGCAGGGAGCCGAGTCCGGCTCAACTGCGATGACTGAGATCGGGGAGGCTCTGGACTTGCAGTACCTTGCAACTGCATGTGCAAGGCTTCCAACCCCGACGGGCGTCACCATGACATTCGCTGAGAGGCCCAGTTGAGAAAGCTGTTCTCCAACTTCGTCCATCATCGTGGAATAACCTTCCACAATCCATGCCGGAACATCTTCATACCCTTCAAAAGCAGTATCTTGGATAAGAAGAATTTCCTTCCTCTGCTGCGCTTTCTCCGATGCTTCCTGGACAGCTTGATCATAGCATCCTTGGACAATGACCACTTGGGCGCCCTCGCCTGCAATACGGCCCTGTGTGAAGTTGTCCATCGAGCGTGGAACAAATATCACTGATTCGATGCCTAGCAGCCGGGCCATGAAAGCGACTGCCCGCCCATGGTTTCCCTCCGTCGCTGCGACAAGGGTGATCGACTGCGATTTCGCTTGCGTAGATAACTCTTCCAGAGTCACCGTTGTTGGCAACCCGAGCTTGTCCACAATCGCACGGAAACAACCCCACGATGCGCCGAGGACTTTGAAAGAGGGCAGGCCAAATCGGTTACTCTCATCTTTGACGAAGACTGATCGCACTCCCAGTTCGGTCGCAAGCTCTGGCAAGGAAACAAGGGAGGTTGGAGCATAATTGGGGAGCGACTGGTGGAATTTCGCAACACCCACGGCCGGAAGAGGTTCACAGCCCTCGCCTGCGGCGGCGGGGTTCACGTAAATGGCTCGCCTCGAGGACATTTTCTGTTGAGGGTCTGTTGGTTTTTAGATGGGATATCCATGTCATATGTCAAGGGTCTCAAAAAGGTGCCCCTCATATATATATTCGCTCTGTGGAGTATTCGCCGCCCATGGCAACTCTGGGGCACACGCGTGTGCCTTCGGAAAACACTCACGGCGCGCCTTCTGGCGACATCCCTCATGGAGACGAGTGGAGCTCATTAAGAATTGAACGGCAAAAATTCTATTCGTGATGAAAACTTTTATCCGAAATTATGTGAACTTTAGCCATCCTACCATTAGGTTTATTCTTTTAGTAAACCAATTTGATCGATACCTTCAATTGCGCGCTCGCGACCGAGCAGCCATCGGGCTGGAGAACCGAAGAGTCATACTTGAGCTTTGGCGTTTGTACTCTACTCCACAATACATCGTGCTATATAAATTTTCACGGAATTTTGTTGACTGTATTCTATAGCTGCGCCATTTTCAGTTACTTTGAGGTACAAATTAAAATAATTAGATACTGCTGATGTGGTTCGCGCGCGCCTGGTCGTAGTGAACGACGGCTTGAAGCAGAACCTGGGCACCAAGTGCACTGTAAAGAAGTCAGATACCACACAAACATGGTTTCGTTCAATTTCAAGACGTACCAGTCTTTCGGTGAGCAATACTCGGTTGGGTGATGGCTCACTCCGTCCCGGCATGGCACAAATATCATCGCGGACGGGCAGTGCTTGCTGGTATACACAGTATCATGGCCAGCACCGCTGGTCATATACATCGTTTTTTCAGGACCAACAAGGTGATCGGCGGCCGACTTGATGGACTCCACGCAGCCTTGGTCAAACTTGACAGCGGGAGAGTCGGTATCCAGAGTCCATTCAAACGAGACGCCCTTTCCATCCTCGGATGCAATCGCCTTGAATGCCTCCAGACATTCCCCTTGAACAGCATACACAACACTATCTTGGGGATGGCGGATGTCCAAGGTAAAAGTTACTTCGGATGCCACGGTGTTAGTTGACGCATTCGAGGGGACTCTTAGGATACCCGTGGAGGCCAGCGCGTCGTGTCGCTTAGCGATGGCGTTCGACGCCGCTATCATTTTGGAAGCCGCTAGCAAAGGGTCATGGCGAGCGCTGAGAGGCGTTGTGCCAGTATGAGCATCCTTGCCCTGAACAGTCAAGGTCAACCATCTATAGCCCTGAGCCCCCTGGACAATGCCAATGGAGCGCCCAGTCTCTTGAAGAAGGGGCCCTTGCTCAATGTGCAATTCGAAATGAGCACCCAAAGGATATCCTGTTTCTGGGTCGTGCGAACAGGGGATGTCACCCAGATAGCCATGTTTGTCCAACTCAGATCGTAGAGTTACTTTGGGGTCATGGATATCGGTCAAGTCCCAGGCTGACTGAATCGGAATAGAACCAGCCCAAACGCCAGAAGCACACATCGACTTAGGGAAGCGAGCTCCCTCCTCACTGGAAAACAAAGTCGTCAGCCACCGATCTCTATCGCCGTGGGGGTCAATGATTTTACTTTGTCCAGTTCACTACACCAACATCGTAGTTCGTCTCGAAGTTGGCTTCTTTCATCGTCCGTAGCACTTCTAGGGCAGCCAAAACTCCCAAGATTCCATCATACCGGCCACCCCGAGGTTGAGTGTCTAGATGGCTTCCCATAGCAATCATAGGCGCCGGGGAGCGCAATTTTCCTGGCCGACGGGCGAACATATTTCCCATCTTATCCACAGACAGAGAGCATCCCAGTTGTTGGACCTCATCAGCAAACCATTTCCGTACTCTGGCATCGTCATCGGTTAACGTTAGACGTGCCATGCCTGTTTCAGTAGGGTATCTGGACACATGTTAGTCTATCATTCCAGGTCGAGGAGCCTGATTCCACGTACTCGCCGTATCTGTGAGCCGAACCCCATTCGCAGGTCCTATGTAAAGTTTCCCATAGCCGATTGCTATTGATATTGAGGCGTGGCGATGACGATTGGAATCGAGGACTGGTCGAAAATGTCCTCTTGGCAGAATAGCCAAGAGCACGAGTCACTTTCGGCGTCCCGTGCATTTTGAAAGTCCGATGACAGCAATTCCGTTTGATGCGATTGAACCAGAGCAATGGAATAGAGTTCAGCAAAAAAATTAGCCGTGGACCCGTTGATATTCGACCTTAACCCGATGCTTCACCTATGCTCTTTAAGAGCAAAATTATGAGTGAAGCGCCTTCTTTGAACAGAGCTGGGGCCCAAGCACAAAACAAATCAATCCACTTGGGGCTGGGAATTTGAATTCGGCGACCGTTCGGCAGGTGAAATGCGAACGATGTTGCCGAGCAGGTGTTTCCGCTCCGAAAGATCATGAAATTGACGCCTTCCCGCAACATCCACAAAGCCTAAATTTTTGCTATGCCAAATGCCGCATCGAACCGGGTTTTTGCATACCTTTTATTCAGGATCTACCATGGTTATAGCAATGGAATATATTGCCATTTGAAACTCGAAGAGGGGTTATAAAAAGTGACCGAAATGGCTGATTCGCTCAATCCTCTTTGCCCGCGGGAAACTGCGGGAAGGCACAGGTGGCGACCGTTGCCAACTACATACAAACCCCCAAAAAATTCACATATCTCGTATCTCTCAGTCATCAATAAACAATCTCACACAAAACAATCATAAACAGAAGGGGAGTCATTCCAGTGACCTATCCAATGAGGACCTTCTACCGAGCGTATCCCTTACCCCGACAACAACTGCCAAAACACTGATCTCCTGGGAACGGTTAATATACATGACTAGGGTCTTCTTGGTGCAGGAATACCGTTGTATGGGAGTGGCGCCGTCTCATATGGTCCCCTAGAAGAAGAGTATGTGTTTCTTGTATATTGCTCACTGCGTATCGGTTAGAGGGGGAACTATATGTTATCTGAGAACACCTTACTCTAAGGTTCTCAATGAATCATTATCAGAATTTCTGGAGCTGGAGTCATTAGAGGGCAAAATAGCCTTCACTTTGGCCTTGAGGCCCTTTCCATCTTCCTTTGTGAACATATTGGAGCGTGTTGTACTGGGTCAAGTCTTGAGGTGAAAGCAATTGCCAACCAGGTCTCCTTTGGAAGAGTATAGCACAGAAGTCTCGAGAGAGGTTTTCAAGATGCTTTGCTGTGGCTTAGAAATTCAAGATCAGCTGGGTACGATGCTTTGTTCATATATGCCATGAGAAAAAGCAATCTTGGTACGCGGGATTCAGATCTGCATTCTAGTATCTAGTATGACGCATTGTGGGGGCGAGGTGAGAAGAGGCACTTCGGGGAGCGCCGATTTCCACAGGCACCATTTGATCCAAGATGATAGATCAGACAACAATCATCCCATTCTTGGTTGGTTGCCCTTGCTCTTCAAATCATGTAAGAGATGGAGCTTATTTCCCCAAGAATCGGCGGTGCGCCTCCACAAATGCAACATGGATATTCTTTGGGTTTGGAGTCGGACAGTACTTACTCCCTTGTCACCTTTGTCGGTTGGGATTTCCCTAAAAGTTAGCAGCTATGTCTCGGCATTTACTAGATCCCGATATAAAGGAACCTGTGAGTCAAATTATGTGTCTACGTATGCGACTCCTTTGGTTGGTATAAACCAACTATTTGCACGACGTTTGCTTTTTATTTGGCTGGCATCCAATAGGCTGCACCTGAGATGGCAAGAATCCAATGCTATGTTTCCGTTATCCGAATATTGGTGATTGGATGGCTAGAATCACTTTGAACGTGATGCCTTACCAGTACATTAATAGCCTCTTCGACGTGGCCTTGACCATCTACCACCGAGCACCAAGTCAACTCCGACAAAAATCATGTACCAATGACAACGATGACTGAAGAGATGAGCTGGCAGCGTATTGAACTTCGAGGCTTGTAGGGTATCGTGACCTTTCAATTTAAGGTTTTTGACTATGCTCAAGCTTGAGGGGCACTGGTTGATCTATGTAGTTGTTAGTTGGAATACAACATATTTTTGTCGAAGATGAGCGGTGAAGGGAATCCACATGAGGTATGATCCTGATTTATTTTATGAGAATAGCTTTGGTTTTTCAATGCTACACATTCCCATCGTTACTAGTCCCGATAATGAAATTTTCTCCACTTCAATTAGAAAAGAAGCCGCATGTTTTGATGGCCTTCAAGTACCCCCAATTGAGCCAATCACCGTTGTTACTCCGCCACGGGAATCACGAACCCCCCAAATCGTTGTGCAAGATGAATTCCCGCATGATGGCGGAGTCTCCTTTCTGGACCCTGTACTGGGTTGGCAGTCAAATTTAAAGCTAAGAACGGCGTGTTAGCTTCGTTAAACTACTATTCAAGGCAATTGAAGATTGCTTTTCACTTTTTTGCCTATTCATAATGATTGCTCGTGAACTTACAGTGGGGAAATTAGGTGTCGCGCCCGGGTGCATGGTTAGTCAGCGATTTCTATCAGTCACGATGGAAGCGGGGGTCTTACAGCTGATGCAGATAAACAGCGAGGGATCAAAGTTCTTTACAGATAATCCGAAATGATGAAGGCCTTACCTGGACCATAATGGATACATCAACCGCTGCCGCAGTTGCGGCCCTGGTGGTTGCCATCGTGGCCATGTTCGTCGCCATTATGCAGGCCCTGCAGCAGTATTTTGTGAGCGGGCAGCTTATTCGCCTATGCGATTCTGTTGTGTTTGGAAAAATGCCAGGGCGCGGGCAACGGGTCTGGCAACTAAGGCAATTCAGGTTCCGCATTGTTTATAATGTTCCTCAGGTCAGCTTGAAAAGAGATTTATGGCCGGAAACACTTCCTCACATCCCCTCGTATGCGAAGGGGTCCGGGTCTCTACCAGATCTTGGTCTAATGGGAGTCGAAGATAATGGAGCACAGAGCTCCAAAAACGAACATTCATCCTTTGCTCCCGGAGAGGCATCGTGGGTCTCTTTCTGCCGGGCAGTCCAGTTTTCATCCGGGCAGTCAATGGTTCTTGATCTGATTCAAGGGGATGCAGATAGATGCCCAGTTGACCTGCCAAATGTCCCAATGCAAATGTCAATGCGGGATGTTGCTGTGATGGGGCTAATGTCGGGTATGAAGTGCACACAAGCATCTTTCGCGGAGAAATCACTCTCGATGCAAGGTTTAATTGGCACTATAACTACCTCGCAACACCCGCTTCTTGGACCTTTGCTTCATTTCAGTCCACGCAACTTTTCTGCCTCGGAAATGAAAGATCTACGGGTTGGCAATGGTGCTATTGATCCTCGTTGGATGGCTCACTTGTGGGACGAAGTCGTGGTTGCTGGACATCGATACACACGGCAAGACAGAATCCGGATTGAAAGAGATGAGGCCACATGGACTCAAAGGCCGAGAGGACGTGCAGTGATATTGGCTAATCGAAATCGATCACCTCCCCCTGAGTCTATCTATGGGTTGCGCCGTCGAGCTAGTGTCGCTTCCTCTACATTTTCAAGCAGGTCCAGATACACCGATCGGCCAAAGTCAACTCGGAAATCAAAGGATTTTGTTAGATCTACTTCTCCTCCCAAACATCAGACACTTTGGACACGCTCAGATGGAGACTGGTATCTCATCAATAACCAAACAGCTTCGAGCCATCTTCGGCCTACACTGTGCCAGGATATGGCTCATCAAGAGAAGCCCAGCGAGTTCGATAAACAGGAAGGAATTATAAATAAAATTAGAATGTGGTCAAAAATATGGAATTACATTTTTCGAGATGATAACGTTCATCAATATGGGGGTGGAACTGATCCATTTACCGTCGAAATCGAACGAGGCGAGGTAAAAATCAAACGAATGGACCTCACCCAGAGCGAAAACATGATATTGAGAGACGTGCATCAATTTCCTGCTCCCCCATACCAGCCATTGAGTTTTCAAGATAGAGGCGCAGATCTCCAACCTAGATGGTTCATAAAAGACTATATTGATCAGAAGCGGGAAGAGATTCATGGCAAAGACACTCTGCACAAAAATCGCTCAAATGCCCCGCTTTTGATTGGATGGTACGACGACGAAGACCACGAGATTCCAGAGCTAGGCGAAGCGAAGGAAAGTATTGCGAAAGCCGTCTTGGAGATGTGGCCGCGCTCACAATATGGTTCATCCCAAGAGAGGACAGCTTTCTACGCCCACAGATGGCGCGAGTTGGTTCAACAGAGACAATTTGACCGTGAAAGTCGATCCAGATCGCGAAATCCATCACAAGCACGATCTTCTGTCAGCGGAGTCATGCCTAGATCAATCGATAGATTTCGCCGTGTTAATGTCTCTAGGCATCGCAGCTCTGTCAGTCGCCAAAGTCAAGATTCGCGCTCAACGAGTCGCTCATTCAGAAGACCAGGGTTGGATATAGAACATGAATATCCGTCGATTCATCGCCGCTCATCTTATGACCCTGGTATGGATTCTAGAGATTTGTACCCTCGAAATATCTCTCCGGAGCCCCATTCGTTGCAACGACTTCAAGAGACATATAGCCGCTCCAGCTCTCACGTTCGTTCGCGTCCTGCGAGTAGGAGAGACGTTCAATATGGTGATACTATTCTAGTGCATGATCAAGACAATAATGAGCAGCCTTCTGGTATACCCGAGAGCAAACTCTATAGGTCTCCAGACAAACAAGATACCCGAGAACATACCAAAGTCGGTTTTGGTCATGCAATATATTTAATCGAGTCGTCTAGCAGTGATGATTTAGGCAATGAGACAGACAATGACCACTCAACCGACAGGCAAAATTCTGTTTTAGGAGCAGAACCATCCAGCTCAAGGGCACAGTACCCCGAGCCACCCCCAAAGAGTATTCTTAAGCCACCTAGGCCTAGCTTCCCTGAAGAACCGAATCCTATTCGAGAAGGTGTTGCGCCTTTAAAAGATACAACCCAGAAAGGTATCCCACCCGGCGCCAGGTGGACAAAGATTGATCGCAAGCTGGTTAGCCCGGAAGCACTAGAATCAGGCTTTGAACGATTTGAAGTCAGAGAAAATTATGTGGTGGTTCTTCGAGTTCTACAAAAGGAAGAGATAGAATCATACGCATTGAGGACACAAGAATTGTTGTTTAAAGGTTCGCATGAGACTTTGGTCTACTTAACTGTGTACTTATTGCTCATTCATGATAGGAGGTCGCCGACAAGACCACAGCATGAGCTCGAGGCAATCTAGCAGAACCAATCGAAACGAGGAGAGGCGAGGTCGGCGTCGTCGAAGAGACGGCAGCCTCTCTCCAAACTCTGCACATGAGCCGTTTCGCACGGCCTCTAAATACCCAACAAGATTCAGTGAAGGAGATGTATTGTTGAAAAACCCCTCGCCGCCGACCGCCAATAACTCACCTCCCCAGACGCCTCATCCAAAGTCTTCTCCCCACATGTCCCGCAATGAAAATGAGAATGAGATAGATGATGAAAGCTGCAGAAGCTCCGATGATACCTTCAAAGACATTTCACAGTCCTCCCCTAGAGAGGGACGAATGTTTTTCCGTTTCAACGATGGAAACAGCGACACATCATTTTCTGAGCCAGAAGTGGAAGAGCCCAGCTCAATTTATAGTGGCAGAATACGTAGAATGAGGCCACCCTCCGATTTATTAAACGAAGCGAGATGGAATAATTCGAATGACGATATGTTGACTGATAAAAGTCTTTCTGCTGACGAATATCTCGACTGTGCTTCTGGTGAAATGGGCTGGTTTTGGGTATGTCAGATCGATGTCATTCCAGGATACTTCGCAACCCCATGGACAGCCAGATTCTCAACAGATATTTGCATTGGAGCGATCGCCGTCATTATTGAGGCATTGGGGATAGTTACAGACTTTTCTCAGCCAGCATATCTTGAAATTTCTTGCCACCCGCGCGGCCTTGCCTGGATGAGAAGTGGGTATTCTACCTTCCCTCCTTACGGAGTCAGTGCCAACCACCACCATGGTACCGTCATTTCTGGTGCTTATGACACTCAGTCTCTGCCCGGCTTTCGAGATCCTCTTTTCCCTATTGAGCTTCTTGGACATTATGGTTTTCAAGTTGATGGCCGCCAGCCTTCCGACGCGGCAAATTTACGCGCCCGGCTCACGGAATTAATGGCTCTTGACTCATGGCTTTCATATTGTGGCCGCCAACCAGAGATATGTGGATATGGACACGGGATCAATAATGGTGCAACCGTAACTGGAGCCGGAGACCTCCTTTACACCATGCCGACCCTCGTAAAGAGAACCATGGATAGCTTCTCTTTAGAATTTACGAATCTGGAACGCACAGCTATCAACGGTGGCCAACAGCTCGTTCGACAAATAGCCGTCAATCTCTTGGATACACTTGGATGGAAGGTTGAGGGTCTTTCACCAGCAGAAAAACTCTTCGCGTTGGTTGCGATGCTTCGGGCATCTAAAATGGCGCTGTGCATTTCGCAAGGGACTGATACTTCTGCTCTACGAGATATAATGCTCAATGACGTCCAGGCTCATCTCGTTTAATAACTTTGTCAATCTTGGATATAAATATGATTGGAAGCCCTATATATCTGAAAGGAATACCAGGTACAGTTTTCTGCACCCTACTTCCGCAAAACAATGTCTAAAAAGTTCTTTCCATGGCACAGAGCGCCGAATAGATAGACCGACACATGGGTTCTCTATTTTGGAAGCACTTTCACTGACCAATCTTCTGGTTGATACAGTAAAGTTGACTTATATGCGGAATTTATCATAATGTCAATACAATGTGTCGTAAAGGCGGGCGAGAAATTTGGGGCCAGGTGTATCAGAACTTATGAAAATCGTTTTATATCCTGTTTCTCAGACCTAGCCAGACTTCGTAAATAATTTGAAGACGTGAGCGGTACTGTAACAGAAGAAATTGAGGTAGAGAGATAATATTTGAATGAAATATAGTTAGACAGGTGAGAAACTTTGCCATTCGAATTCTATAAATGCAGGTGACACGACACGGCAGAAAGAAAATGTGTCGAGATGATGCTAGCTAAGAGGCTTGTGAATCTATTGGCAATTTCTGGAGCTTTAATCCATCCGCCCGGGTGGTCTAGTGGTATGATTCGCGCTTAGGGTTAACCCAAGCATGACTGCGCGAGGTCCCGCGTTCGATCCGCGGCTCGGGCCGAGATTTTTTGTACCTGGTGACGGGAGTGGCTGAGAGCCGCCCACTTTTTTTGGAAGTCGGGATGCGCGCACACACAGACATGGTTCGTATAAACTAATAGGCTTTATTAAGGCTGTTCATATTTAAAAACAATTGAGGTTAGGAGACTGAAGATGAAGACGAAGTAGATGATCTGCCGCTATTACTGGCAATTGGAGCTTTGGAGACGTATAGGATATCCATGGACGGAATATACGCAGAACGGGATTTTGGGGTTATATAGTACTATGACTTGAAAAGAAGTTATTTGATTCCCATGTGGCAGTTATCGCCCGAGGCCTTGTCATCTAACCAGTCCTATTTGAACAGTTACAAGAGCTCTATCAAAGTTGTTGTCGATGCTATTTCTGCCTAAGAAAGTGCAGGGGAAAACTCCTTGCGGGTGAGATTAAGGCAGTCGGGGCTCGCCAGACACCCTTTCCCGAAGAGAACGCGGTTGGGCCAAACTGGTATTTATCTACCCCTCTAGGTCCTGGACAGACGGCTCGCTCACTACTGGTGCCAATGACTATGCGCCGGTCGGAAGCATCCTGTCTCATGTGATACACCTTGAGGTTGATCACAAGAGACAAATATCCGGGAGGAAATGATAATAAGGACACTAATGAGTTATCAATGAACGGCGATTATTTTTTCTTACAAGTCTAATTTACCATCTCTTTTGACGAGTCATAGTTTAAAATTTGACCTTCAAAGACCATCCTCGACACACACCACGTGCCAGAAGGAATGCAATCGCAGCCCCCAGATATAAAACTCCTCCGAATACAATCAACCCCCCGTATTCCCCTTGTTCTCGCTGCTGGATCGCTCCTGCAATGGGGATCCCTGTCAGGGTTCCAATACTGGCTATTGTAAAGGTGGTCCCGTTTCTTTTTCCATAATCATCAACCGTGCATACTTGAGATATGCACACTGGAGTCAGGCTGATGGCTGCTCCACTCCAAAACCCAAATAATACGGCATAGCAGATTATTGTCGGTAAGCCTTTGCCAGCGCTGAGCCACAACGACAAAGTCAGAATGGCACAAACAAGTGATGTCAACACCATTATATTAAATCGCCCTAGTCGATCTGCTATTAGCCCCGGCAGAAAGCGTCCCGGGACAGCGCCGAGATTGAGCAATACAATCATCATATAGGACATTGTATCCGGCACACCGACATGGACTGCGTAAGATGTGATGTATGTGATTGGGATGAAAACTGCGAATTCGACTAGGAAGACTGCAGCTGTTGTTGTCGCGTATTTCCAATCCTTCAAAGCACGAAAATCAATGGAAGATCCAGCTTTGCGGTTAGGGGGCAATCTTGTTTTCAGAAGAAGGCAAGCACATAGACATAGAAGCGCGCATATTACAGCAATTATACGGATCGCCCATCCGAACCCAATCCTGGGGGCAGCGAAGAGAATGATTAGAGGGAAAATCACTCCGCCGATTCCACCGGCAGTGCACGCTATTCCAGTAGCATAGCCACGGCGAATGTCAAACCAGTGACCAACTGCTGAGACTGCGGGAGTAAACAGTGTACATGCGGATAGTCCTCCAAGCAGGCTGAAAGAAAGGAATATTTGGTAGTATTCTGTGGATGTTAGCCAGTGTTATCCAGTATATATTGTCCGTAATGGCACACCTTCGCTGAAGCTGAAGCATATCAGTGACACCACCATTCCGATAGAACCCGGAACAACAACATAATTCGGACCGCAAGTGTCAAATATTGGGCCTAGCAGATGTACATATCAGTAAGAGACCGACTTTTCATCTTCTCGGAGTTGACTAACCAGCTTGAGCGCCTCCGAAGTATAGAAAAAATCCATAGGCACCAAATATCCAGCCAATATTAGACTCAGAGTAACCATTAAGTTGGTGATCACTTGTCCAGGCATGAAATATACCGAGGCTATTCAGTATCCCCATTGAGGGAACCATAGCGCACCACGCTCCAAGCACAACCGACCACGCTTCAAGACCCCCTTCAGGATATTCAACTCGGTCTACATCACCCATGCTTCCTGAGATGGCGACCATGGCGGCAGGGGGTCCTGTTCTTGTGAACTTTTTGAAAACCTAGGTTTGTGACTCCGGCTTCGGGTGTTTTTGGCACTGAATACAAAGTGTTCTCGGCACAGGATTAGTCTGGATTAAACGATCTTCTTAGGCGTACTATTTAAGACCCTAAAGATTAAATACTGAATCCTAGCCAATTCATTCCCCTTACTGTTAACGACCCACCATTTTCGGTCTGGCGCTTCTAAGTAGTGTCTCGGCGGGCAGCGGCCAAATAAGCTTCTGATTGGTTTTTTACGTACGCCGGATTAGAAATTTGCGGTGAAAACGTCATTTGATTGGTTGGTCTTAACAATTCGGCGACAGACTAAAAGATGGATGTCGGCGGCACTTAACCCGTCGTGCTGGAGGGCCGTTATGGGTTGGCTTTTGCGGATGCCCATGATGGGTTGGATTTTAATTAAATATTACAACGTATCTCAATAGGTCACATATCAGACCTAGGCTCATGGTTGGCCGTCGCAAAGCGCCGTCCGATGACATCAGGCGCGGAACTTCCGGCATCAGCAAATCAGACCATTCATTCGCCGAGCTGCTCCCGAGAAAGCTATTTCGAAATTATCCAAGGACGCTGAGAGACATCTAGCTTCATAGAAAATGTCTACTTTGCGACCTGGCCATTCAAGCAGATTTTCACAGAGTCAAAATGAGTGAAAATAAGACAAAACACTCAACTCGTCCCTATCGATCGAAAAGACGCCCACCATGTGATCGATGTCGGCATAAGAAGCTCAGATGCGATGCACAGGTTGGAAAGGGCTGCCAGAGATGTGAGGCTGTCGGCTCTGAATGCAGCTTCCGAGCTCATACATCTGCGTGTCGACCTCTAATTCTACCAGAAACACAGTCATCATTACCGGATCATAATAGGCCGAGATCAGAGCATGGGGATATTCACATGGGTCCTCGTGGCTTTGCTCAATTCCAGACAGGACCACTCTCCAGTGCCATTCAGCCCTCTCTAGATTTACATTTGACGACGGAATCAGTTGATGATTTACTTCTCCCTCTGCAGCCCGCTTACCATCTACCAGAAAGACCTACGCCACAAGCAATACAGACTCTGGATCAATTACAGGGTTTCTCATATCAAGTCATTGGATCATCTGGCGAATCGGATCCATATCTTCTGCGGCACTGCAATTTCGACGATCATGGCTTTTTGATGCTCCATAAAGTCCATTATAGAAATGCGGGCGGCGTTCCTCTAGATGAGAAAATCCCAGTTCACTTCCTGGTGACGGAGAATGAATTATACGAACATGCAAGGAAAGATACAAAAGTATGCAACAAGGAGGAAATTCGCGGTGAGCTAAACAGTTTGGTCCCGTTGGAATGTGGCCAGAGATTGGTCTCTCTGTGAGCCCTCCCCACGATTCGCATTGAAAAATCCAATGAGAACTAAACGCTGCTGCTTTAGCTTTATGCAATTTATTTTCCCAAATCTACCTATCCTATCTCGATTTCAGCTCGGGCTTTCTGCGTCGCAGACCGTCCCAGACCAGGCCATCTTGAGAACTAAACCCGTCCATCTTCTTGCAGCTATTTATGCATCGGCGCAGCCTTTTGCCAAGTTCGATGAATACCTTTGCTTGCTGAATGCCTACTCGGTCCCGTCCAGTGATCGACTCTGGCGCATCGTGTGGGAAGTGCTGCAAGAAGAATTACATACTCCCAACCTAGCAGCATTGCAAGCGGGTCTCTTATATCTGCATAAGCCCACCGAGGGCAGTCAAAGTGCTTCCACAGATAGCTCCTTTGTATGGTCTTTCGTCGGTCAGTTAGTTGGATTGGCAACATCCCTCGGCCTGCAATTAGAATGCAAGCCCATGGGCCTTCCAGCTTGGGAACGACGATTACGCCGCCGACTATGGTGGACTGTCTACGCCGAAGATAAATGGCGCAGCCTCTTGATGGGTCGTCCTCCCTATATTCGACAAGACGAATGGGATGTGACGGACCTCGATGACGAAGACTTTCAGATTGGGCAGACCCAGGCCGAGTTCATGCTACCATTGGATGATCAAATTCGTATACACCAATTTCAATACTTTTCTCGACTGTCGCGCATCGCAGACGAAGTCCAACTTCGCCTCTTGTACGTGACTCGTGTCTTTGCCATTTCTGGACACCCCTAGCTCACCAGGATTGTGTGATTCTATAGTTCACTTCGCGCATCACAGCGGCTCTCCTCAAATTTCACCGAGTCTCTTGAAGTCGCACGGGCGTTGCTCGCGAACCTCAAAGAATGGTATTCGATATTGCCAAGTCAATTGAGGGTTCAAAACAGACTCTTCGTCACGATTGATCGCCATGGGCCGCAATCCGGATGTCTGCATTTTGCCTATATTCTGCTCGAAGTCTTTATCTTTCGCTCGCTGCTTCGACCTATGGTGCGCTCTGCGGCGCCGCCTCGACTGTTCGAGGAATTCGAAGACGCGATGAGTCTTACAAATATGGTCGATGATTATATCGCACAGATCATCGAAGCAAGTGAAGTCGAACCAATCCCCGCGATTGACATGTCTGATGAAAACGGAATTGGGAATGCCGTGCTAAAGGCTGCAGAGAATTGTGCAGCAAGGATGTTGCGCTCCGTCATGAGGATGACCTGCAGCGATTTGGGAGGATTCTGGTACTCCTGTAAGTACCTTTTTATACGTCATTTCCATCATCGCCGTCGACGTATAGTTTGAGAATTTCCATCTTCCCTCTCTGTCCCGCTCTGATTGACATTAACATTTCGTTAGGGTCGCGCATCGGATTTGCCACAGCCTCCAGTTTCATGCTGCTGTTGTTTGTACAAGCACCATCCAAGGAACATGCTCTCCGCGCTCGCCGGCTGGTACATATGTGGCGTCAGGCCTTACGTGGCCAAAGCCGAGGCTGCGAATTGATGAATCTGGCGTTGATCCGGCTGGATGGACTACACTGGGCCGGATTGCCGCGGCGTTTCTTCCTCCCCCAACACGTTAAAGATGCATTGGAGACCAAATTGGACCAATAACTGGGTCGGCATACGTATATAGAGGCCGGTTTCCGCAAAAGCCGCCATGATCATAGCCAGGAGATAATCCGGTATTTTCTCGGTCTAAGGGACGTCCGCCTGGCAGTTGAGCTGAGGAACCGGTGGTTCGCATGGAGAACATTCAATGTCCCACCCGCGCCCCGGGATTCGCGCCCGCTTCATTGGCTGCGGCGTGGTGAGTTGCCCCTTTTGCTTCGCTACAAGCCACTAGCAATAATTCCCTCGGAAATCATGCGGACGCCCAGGGATATTTTTAAAAGGGTGTTGCAAGTTTTATGCCAGCCGCGGAAAGAGAGGCGCTGAAAGCCGCCTAGTTCCGGCGAGGTGTTTAGGCTTGTTGTTTTTTTTCTGTTGGGAAACCCGAAGTGGGATGGGTGGAGCAGAGCGTCGGGTTGGAGGCGCATACTGCAGTCTCGCAGCCAGCATGGTCGCAGTGGTAGTCCTATAGTTCGCACACGAACCCTATGGGATTGGATGAAGGAGAAAAAAGCAAGACAAATACCGATGGGTGATCTGTGTTGATCATATAGATCATATAGTAGTGGGCGAAGTATAAAATGAATCTTATGTGTACCTTTTCCCACGGTGGAACTCCAAACTGCGACCGAGAAATGCGACGGCAGCACTTCGTATTGCGTCTTCCCGGTGTCCGCAGATTTTCACTGATGCCACTAGTCATTCTACTACTGTCGTATAAAGGGGAAGTTGCTTAGTGGGTCTCGTGGGTTAGATAGTCGCAGTCAACACGCTGTTGCAGAAAGCCAGGCATCTTTCACGGGCGGAGAGTAGTCGGGATCCATCCACAATGCAACCGATGATCTCTCGAAATATCCCACTTATCCCACGGACAATCTAGAACCCAGTATGTCAGCAATTCCTATTCGCTGCCAGCCATAGCCTTTCGTTTTCGATAAGACGGCAGCTTATATGTAGACTCTCGGTGAGAAACCCCACACGGAAGCAGAGGGGCAAAAAATAAGACCAAAAAAAATACTTCGCAAAACAAACACAATGTGCAGAATCGGGTTGGGGGGTTGGGGAGGGGCCAAAAAGGCTGCGAGGCACATCGATTTATGCCCCTCCGAGAGCCCCTCGAGTCCCTCAAGTGTCCCTCGTCCCCACCAAGTTTCCCTCTTTCCCACTCCCCACAATCCTAGTCTAATGGGAACCCAGATGCAGCAATCCAAACATCCTGCGTCTATATCTCCACCATGATGGTCAATCATGTGCTCGCCTGTTCTGTGTTTTCTTTTTCTCGCCGAATCCTTCGTCGAGTACCGTTTACCACACTCGGACAGACTGCGGCCGGTGGGGTTGCTGACCAGGGTCTATTCCTAGTCAGAAGCTCGACCTGCCATTACGTCCCGCGCCCGAGTCCATCCCAATCATACTAGACAATGGAAGAGGACACTACAGTAACCACTGCGCACTAGGGCCGAATAGGAAACGAACCGGACTGCCTGCAGGGGAAATTAACTTCCAGACGCGCTCATCACCGAGCACCGTTGCCAATTATTGGGCCCTGCGCGGCTGGACTGGGACGCTTACTCAGTACCACCCCCTCCCCCGCAACCCGTGCACGGCGATCCGGCCAGAAGTTTGTGGTTGGATGCCGGCTCGGTCCAGATGGTGCGAGGAGGGCAAGGTAGCAAAGGGCCATAGAGATGACGATTTAGCCCTGGGTTATCCGGTCGGGAGGATTAAGGTCCATGATATCTGGGGGTGGCGGGGTGGCCAAGAATCATTGGCATAGTATCAATCTACTGTCTATACTGACCCCTCCGTCCGCAGTATATGGGGACAGGGGCTAGCCCAACGGATGCTGTGTGAATGGAGCCTAGTCCGCACGAAGAGTTCCTTTTTTCGGTTGAGCAATGCAGTCATTCCTTCTCGCATATGTCCTCCCCCAGTCCGTCCGAAACGCCAAGGACCATCAGGTCTGTAACTAGAGCCGGGGGCTTGCATCGGACGAATGGTTCACATGGATTTGCGCTGATGTGAATGGTTCCCGGGTTGCCGCTGAGGCACGAAGAACGAGGGAACCAGGAGCATGGCCCAATAATGCCTGGGTGCGGGAGCTGACCAGCTTCCCCGGAGCAACGGAAGAGGGACTGTCAACCCCCCCGCATGGCCGAGTCCTAAGTTTTCTGACCCGTCTCTCCTTGCTCCCCTCCGTAGCGTCGTCCGCACCGAGGATATCGGCAAGTCATGACTGTAAAATTGGTACTCCGTAGACGGGTCGATTCGGTTACTCGGTCCCTGAAGCGCTTGCGCATTGTGTCCCTGCCCGGGAGATCAAGGCGATCGAGGGAAGCGGCAGTCTATCGAGACCCAGCATTCCTGATGCACGGCCCACGCCCGCATGAGGCAGCGCACTTTACCCGAACGAGGGACCAGACCAGACGGAAAGGGGCGGTCTTAGCTCCACCATGTTAAGTGAGCTAGTGTGCTGGGAGCAGGTGGGTTGGTTTCGTGGGTTGGGTCGTCGGGTGGGTTTCGGTGGAGGAGAGGCCCGGGGGGTTTCCAGACGTCGAAACTGCCGTTAAATTGGTCACGCTTCCCCGGCTCGCCGCTGGGCTCTCTCTCGATCTTCGACTTTCTCTTCTCTCCCCTCCTCTCCCCTTTGGAAACTTGAAATCTTTCAAGTTGCCTCTCTTCCCCCCTCCCTCAGACTTCGCTGTAGACCGTGGACCAGTAAGTTTTCACTGCCCTCGTGCTGCCTGCCCCTCCACCCCCACCCTTCCGTGTTGCGCCCGCGGCGAGAGCTTATTGATCCCACCTTGCTTTCCCGACGCCCGCGCGGAAATAGTACTCCCTGGCTGACTGGAATTATTCTTCTGAAACAGAGAGGGTTGCGCTGAACCTCATCTCCCAGTCCGCATTCCGTCCACCATTGCGTGCAGCTTTCGCAATTATGTCTGACGCCCCCAAGCCCTCCGTGGTAAGTCCAAGCATTCCCACTCGATTCTCAAAGCGCTCGCCGTATCTTTGGAGATATCCACCCCCCATGATTTGGAGACTTTCTGGCAGAGGGCCCAACTGGCATTGATCCTTGTCGCTGATCTGTTGGCTTTCGTCAGGTGCTGGAAGCGCACGAAGTCGATACCTTCCACGTTCCCAAGGCTTTCCACGACAAGCACCCTACCGGCACCCATCTTAAGGATTTGGATGAATACAAGAAGCTCTACGATGAGTCTATCAAGAGCCCGGATACCTTCTGGGCTCGCATGGCCCGCGAGCTTCTCACTTTCGACAAGGACTTCCAGACCACTCACTTTGGTTCGCTCGAGAACGGCGACAACGCCTGGTTCGTCGAAGGCCGCCTGAACGCCTCTTTCAACTGTGTCGACCGTCACGCTCTGAAGAACCCCGACAAGGTGGCCATCATCTATGAGGCCGATGAACCGAATGAAGGTCGCACCATCACATACGGCGAGCTGTTGCGCGAGGTGTCCCGGGTTGCCTGGACCCTGAAGCAGCGTGGCGTCAAGAAGGGCGACACCGTTGCGATTTACCTGCCCATGATCCCCGAAGCCGTCATTGCATTCCTGGCCTGCTCCCGTATCGGTGCGGTGCACTCGGTCGTATTCGCCGGTTTCTCTTCTGACTCCCTTCGTGATCGTGTAATTGACGCCAACTCCAAGGTGGTGATTACCACTGATGAGGGCAAGCGTGGTGGCAAGGTGATTGGTACCAAGCGTATCGTTGACGAGGCTCTCAAGCAGTGCCCTGATGTGTCTACGGTTCTGGTTTACAAGCGCACTGGTGCCGAGGTTCCTTGGACCCAGGGTCGTGATCTATGGTGGCACGAGGAGACTGAGAAGTATCCCAACTACTTGGCCCCGGAGTCCATGAGCTCGGAGGACCCTCTGTTCCTGCTTTACACTTCTGGCTCGACCGGAAAGCCCAAGGGCGTTATGCACACAACTGCCGGCTACCTGCTCGGTGCTGCCATGACTGGCAAATACGTATTTGACATCCATGAGGACGACCGCTATTTCTGTGGAGGTGACGTTGGCTGGATCACTGGTCACACCTATGTTGTCTATGCTCCCCTGCTCCTCGGATGTGCGACTGTGGTCTTTGAGAGCACACCAGCCTACCCCGACTGCTCGCGGTACTGGGATGTCATCGACAAATACGACGTCACTCAGTTCTATGTCGCCCCTACTGCTCTGCGTCTGTTGAAGCGCGCTGGCGACCAGTACATCCACCACAAGATGAAGTCCCTGCGTATCCTGGGATCCGTGGGTGAGCCTATTGCTGCGGAGGTCTGGAAGTGGTACTTTGAAGCTGTTGGTAAGGAGGAGGCTCACATCTGCGATACCTACTGGCAAACTGAGACTGGCTCCAACGTCATTACCCCCTTGGGTGGCATCACCCCCACTAAGCCCGGCAGTGCTTCTCTACCTTTCTTCGGTATCGAGCCTGCCATTATTGACCCCGTCTCTGGTGAAGAAATTACTGGCAATGATGTCGAGGGTGTGCTCGCCTTCAAGCAGCCTTGGCCCAGCATGGCCCGCACCGTTTGGGGCGCACACAAGCGTTACATGGATACCTACTTGAACGTTTACAAGGGTTACTATGTAAGATTGCGCAAAGCCTGTTCATTGCTCGTTTTTTTTGTACTTACAATACTTTAGTTCACTGGTGATGGCGCTGGTCGCGATCACGACGGCTACTACTGGATCCGTGGCCGTGTCGATGATGTTGTCAACGTTTCCGGTCACCGTCTGTCCACTGCCGAAATCGAGGCCGCTCTGATCGAGCACCGTAAGTGATCCTCTTTCGGAAATTTGCAAAAGCAAAAGCCAAGGTCTCATACTAACCCTTCAATAGCCATGGTCGCTGAGGCCGCCGTTGTCGGAATTTCCGACGAGCTGACCGGCCAGGCTGTCAATGCCTTTGTCGCTCTGAAGGAGGGCAACGAGACCAATGACCAGGTCCGCAAGGATCTCGTCATGCAGGTCCGCAAGTCTATTGGTCCCTTCGCTGCCCCCAAGGCCGTCTTCGTTGTCGAAGATCTTCCCAAAACCCGTAGCGGCAAGATCATGCGTCGTATCCTGCGTAAGATTCTCAGCGGCGAGGAGGACAGCCTTGGTGACATTTCAACAGTAAGTTTTGGTTTCCATCCAATGCAGTCCATCCTGTGATTAACCCAATTCTTCTAGCTCTCCGAGCCTGCTGTTGTGGAGAAAATCATCGCCACTGTCCACGCCGCTCGTGGCAAATGAAAATTTGGGTCCATGAATTGATGATAATGATGATTAAGGAGGTTGAGCTTTTTCTTCTTTTTGGACCTCTTTTGGGTATGATGCCTGCGAGCATCTTGGCATATTCTTATCACCCCGGCCTGGGCGTTGCGAAATTGATCTACTTTCCGATTACGAGAAAGTTGTCTTTGTTATATTTGAGATTCCCTAGTCTGTCTTCTCCAGTAGCACTGTGAATAGTATCTTCCTATGGGTTCAATTTTGGTTGTCTCGTCACCCTGAGAATCCTTGACAGGTTCCAGTACTTCTTTCTAATGGTAGTAATAATGCCCTCCCTTAAGGCATCTGCCCAGCAAAGGTAATTGATAGGTCTAAATTCAAATTCCGCTTCGTGTTTCCACACCGTGTCTTTAAACCAACTTGTTTCAGTTGCGCTACACGCTGGATCCAGGCTGTAAATATAGTCACTATTACCTACATAGATTTATGTGTCTCCTTTCTCTTCATATTTTTTCTTGTATCTTGCGGCTTTTAAATCCAGAGAGCAAGTATCACAGTTGAACCGATCAACCTTATATCATGTGTCTGCCACAGGGTGACCATGGATATTCAATGACAGCATACATTCAAGTTACCTCTTTGAGCAAAATTAAATCATTCTTTACTTCAACTTTGAACTTGCAGAGTAAGCATACTGGCGCATTAAGAGGACATATATCTCAGAAACAATTGCCAGTCAGCTTTATCATTCAAGCCGGAGCTGCTCCACTTAATTCATGCATAAGATACCCCCATACGTTCACACAAGCTTGGTGCAAGAGCCTCGGTTCTTTTTGCCACTTACAAAACCGCTACAGTGCTTTGTTCGAGTGCTATCAGGAACGAATACACAGCTACTACATATAGAGCTACTTTTACCAGAAGAAAATGGGTTCTCATAAATCTTTCATGAATTTGGCATAGAATGAAGATATATTTTGAAAATAAATAAATTCCGTGCGCTGGCACCATTGAGGGACCAAACTCGCGCGCGCAGCGGCTTTGTTTATGATAAAATATATTTCAGAGTTCACTCGGCTTGGAAGTAGCTTGCAGTGGCTTAGATTTGTTATCTGAATATCCATTATATGAGATTCTATGAAATTCATCCAGTGCTATGGGTGTACTGGCCGTTGCAAAGAGAAGAAAATAATATAGAAAGTAGAGTGCAAGGCGTTTCCATGCTCGGAGTTAGAAGACAAAGACCTCGACTTAGCGTGAGCGGTTTTAAGTAAAGTAACAAAACATGAGAGAACAATTACAGAAGGCCCAGACCAGGCTTCTCCAGTCCTCCGGGATGTTATGTTCAAGATATACCGACATTATGAGCATGTTTAAGGAAAATAACGTTTTCCCAACCAATGCAATGCGCACAGACCTTCTTATGATGTTAGTTCATTGTAAAAAGAATACGTCAGAAAAGAGGGGAAGGTCAAGCGGAACCCGTTTGACCTAACACCCTTCATAATGATTCATCGAAGTCCCCGCTATCAGAGACGCTATTACATAAATAATCCGATAGTTAGATCGAATTACACCAGGAATTGGAAGATTGCCTTCCTTGCATTTTCAAGCATAATGAAGCACTATAAAACGCTTGATAATTACTCTTCCATATGCAGCACGGGAGTGATGTTCTTGAACCCAAATCCTCGCACAAGCTCGAGCACAAGTGATATTTGCTGGCAGCAATCTGGAGGAGATCATTAACATTGACTTTCTGGTATCGGCATTGATTTCCAAAATGATCATCAAAGTCGATTCCCGAGTTAACAACGGAGATTACAGTCGCTTTGGGCGGGGTCCCCACACACCTAGACAAGCAATTGTGGGGTGGGCGGGAGAAGGTTTAACCCCATCAATGTCCATCCTCAGTCCGGGGAAATACCCCGGATTGCGGATAGCAGGGTCAGCTCCCTGAAATCAGATAAATAGACCCAAGGTATCTCTAATTTATGCAGCACTTCAGCTCTTACAATTTCTCTTCCCTTTTGATTCATCGCCAATATGCGTTCTACCCTTCAGGCCTGCGCTGCGGCGCTGGCCTATGCGGCAGCAACAACCGCAACAAGCTCGCTCAGTGATATTTGTCAAGTGAGCTATGCCAAGAAAGCACTGCCTATTGGTATCATTGATGGCATTACCATTGATGCATCCTCGGTGTCTACCAAGATGGTCACCAACTACACCGCCAGTTCTATTTGGTTTCCCACGGCAACGTTCGACTACTGTAACTTGACATTTGCCTACTCCCATGATGGAATTGAGGACGATGTTGTTCATGTTCAATATTGGCTACCTGCACCATCTGCATTTAAGAATAGATATGTTTCGACCGGTGGCGGCGGTTGGGCCATCAACTCAGGAAGCTCTTCCATTCCCACTGGTATCGTTGCTGGAGGGTAAGATACTTGTCTCATGTGACCGATACCAGTATTTCTTGATTATCTGACCCGTTTATAGTGTTGGTGGTCTCACTGATGGTGGATTCGGGAATTTCAACACTCAATTCAGTTCTGTTTCTCTTCTGGCCAATGGAACTATTAACTGGCAGGCTACATACATGTTTGGTAGGGCTACACTGCTATTGGCACCAAATTGATTGATCGCTGATCTTCATGATAGGCTACCAAGCCCATAACGAACTTGCGATTCTGGGAAAGCAGTTGACACGGAACATTTACAATTTCGCCTCTAGCAAAAAGCTTTATTCGTACTATCAAGGGTGCTCTGAGGGAGGCCGTGAAGGATGGAGCCAAGTTCAGCGATTTCCCGATCAATTTGATGGTGTGGTTGCCGGCGCTCCTGCTTTTCGCTGGGCCCAGCAGCAGGTTAACCACTTGACTGGCAATGTTATCCAAAAGAACCTGAACTATTTCCCCTCCAGCTGTGAGCTCGAAAAGGTTATGAATCTGACCATTGAAAGCTGCGACCCCCTGGATGGTAAGACCGATGGTGTTGTTTCTCGTTCTGATCTGTGTTTGGAGCACTTGGATTGGAGCAAGATTGAAGGTGCCTCATACACTTGTGCCGCGGCCGCTGGCTCCTATGGAAGCGCTGCCACCCCTGCACAGACAGGAAAGGTCTCATCAAAGGCTGTTGAACTCATTAAGACATATTGGAATGGTCTTCACGACTCGGATGGTCAGCGCGTCTACTTTACTTACCAGCCTGGCTCTACCTTTACCGACCTTGAGACTGAATACGACTCCACTACAGGGAGCTGGGAGCTGGACATCAGCGGCCTTGGTGGTATCTGGGTCGCTCAATTCATTGACTACATCAAAGATGCCCAGAACATCGATAGCCTTACCGATGTAACTTACGATACATTGAAAGAGTGGATGATCTTTTCCCAGAAGAAATACGGCGACATTTTGCAAACCACCTACCCTGATCTCACCGACTTCCAGGCCGCTGGTGGAAAAGTGCTCCACATCCACGGAGAGCAGGATTACTCTATTCCCACCGCTTCTTCTGTCCGCTACTGGGACTCGGTCAGGTCGATCATGTTCCCCGATAAGTCCTACAATGCGGGCACAGCTGCGTTGGATGACTTCTACCGGCTGTTCCTTATCCCTGGAGTCGGTCACTGCTCAACAAATAGCTATCAGCCAAATGCAGTATGGCCCCAGACTACTTTGCAGACCGTCATCGACTGGGTCGAAAACGGCAAGGCACCGTCCACACTTGCTGGTTCTGGGGACGATATCAAGTCTATGTGCAAATGGCCTCTCCGCCCACAATGGACAAATAATGGCAAGACTTTTGAGTGTGTCTTTTCCCAGAAGTCTATTGACAGCTTCACTTATGATCTCAATGCCTACAAGCTCCCTGTGTACTAGACGATAGCTTCTTGATGGGAAGCAAATTCTTCCCATATTAATATACACCAAATGCAAAGACTTCATAATTTTCTGATCTGTTTACAATGACGATAAATATATACGTATTTCTGACTATTTTCTCCGCTGTTTCTGCATTTCTGCATGTAAATTCTGTGTTTCTAAAAAGTTGGGTCAATTTCCCTAGAAAATTTTGTTCGTGTCTACGTTTACGGATTGATACCCAATTCCTCTTTCCAAGAATCAAGGGATGCTTATATGAGGCAATCAGTAACCCTTCACGGCACTGAAATGGTTCTTTTTCGAATTAAAATAATTGTGACCGCTGAAGTGGGAATGCCTTAACTTTCACGATTTCAATTTTCCTGATTGGGCTTGGCACCCGAAACTAGTGTTATGGCAAACAAGTATATTTGACGTCCAGACAGCCTGGGAAGAACGAAGAACATTTTTTTGACTCTCAATGAAGGCTCGTTTTCCCTAAAATTGCACCCAAATTGATCAAACCCTCAATCAGAAATCCAATCTCTCTTTGGAGTCTCTAGAATAGCCATCGAGATCGGATTGCTCTGTCTTCCGAGAAAATATCCACAGCCTGCCTTATCTCCCCCTCCTCCTATTTTAGAGGCGCTGATATTGCCAGCAGAATGGCTGACGCACGTAACTTCACCTTTGGATATCTTCTGTATAGCAGCTCATCCCATTTTGTTAGACCCAAATCTATCGAGCCCTTTGAGAACCCCACTCTTCTGAATACGTTCGAACTCTGAATCGTACCTGGGCTGGAGTAACACCCAGAGAGCGTTGTTAGCTGGGATTTTAGTGGACAGTATTGGTATTTTGAAGCTGTGGTTCTACTTTGAAGCAGCCTTGCCTCCCCAGGATTTTGGCACAACAATAGTACGTGCAGTTGCCTTTCAAGGATGGAGTTTATATATGGTACCGAGAAGCCAGCAAAAAGCCATAGTGAGGGTGGGATTATCACCTGGCTCGGTTAGCAAGCCATGGGCCCCGGCCTTGAAGAGCTTGTTGTATATTTTTAGCGGGATACTCTCTCATTCAGCACATGTTGTCTTGGGTTTGCGCCCCGCTCCCGTATTGAGGAGCGTGACTATGCAGGGCGTCGCTGCATTGTCCAATCGGGACTCAGTAGACCGTAGCAATCATTCCATCTTTCTACCCCATTTAAGATTTCGACTTAGTTTCCGTTGTAGAAAGAAGAAAGCATTGGTATAATATCCTTGTTGATTACTCTATTAAGATTTTTTTCACCATTGGTGATTGAGGAGATTTTCTTTAAAGGAAAAAAATGCTGTGAGTCAGTCTTATCCTGTCATGTGATGAAGATGCTTATTCCGTGTTCCGGAGACTGTCAGCACCGCTACAACATTACTCGGAGTTAGTGAAAGATATCGAGGCGATAGGTAACCTGCATGCCTATATCCTCGAAGCGACCAATAACAATAAAGCATCGAGGATGAATGACTCGTTGATCATATCAGCTGTCTGATCCGTGCAGGAAAATTGCAGGCTGCATTGGGCCCTATTCAGGCAGCACTGTCTCACGTGACGGACAACAGTCCCCCGGTGCTGATGTAAGCGTTGGTCTACCACAGCAAACCTGACTGACTTTACTTTTCTGGCGCGTGTCTCCCTCTCTTCCTCTTCCTATTCCAACGCGCCCTGCATCCGCTTCACGCCGCGGACCTCGTCCACTAGTATCAACATCCTGTCTGCGCTCACCCACTGGATGAAATACTAAATCCTCTGCTCCAACCGACACCATGTCTTTCGGCTTTGGAGGTGGAGGATTTGGGTCCAATAACCAGAGCTCCGGCTTCGGTACGGGGACTGGATTCGGCAGCTCCAACACAACTGGAGGTAGGTCTTTCCTCATTCCCTTCATATCGCATTGCTTGCGCCTTATATTCAATGCGCTTTACCCTTCCTTTGTCCCCCTGCTTTGGTTTTCGCTTTTCTTCGACAATACCCCAACAACACCGGTGCTCCTGACATCGACCCGAAACGGCAAAGGCGACGGCGACGATGTGCGCAATGCCACCATTCTACTCGAATACACCTGTTGGCCGTCTCATATGAGATGACTACCGATCGTTTCGATGCTCAGCGACACCAGTACAAGAGAAGCGAGGCTATAAAGACCTGCTTGAAAAATCGGTCTCTGACACGCGATCCCTCCATGTCATCTAGGCTTTGGCTCAACACCCTCTGCGTTCGGCAGTGGAAATACTGGAAACACTGGCGGTAGCCTGTTCGGTGGCAACGCGTCTAGTGGCTTCGGCAGCGGTACTGGTGGAGGTACGTGCTCACAGCAATTGAGCTTTGCAGTCCTGCTCTCGCTCCTCGGATGGATCTTTCATCGCTGCGCGGATCGACATATTTCCGTTCCGTCTCTTTGGATGTTTGTCATCGTTATGACGAACATGGTCATCGTTTCTCGTGCCCAGCTTTTTTGCGCCTCAAGGAGCAGCCTGTGATAGTTGTCGGTGCCGATCAGCGAGCTAGGGGCTCCTCTGCAGGCCGAGCAAGTCATCTTCATGGATTCTCTCATTCCATCGACTCGCTGTCTACTTCTTTTGCTTGCGTGGACTCTATGATCCCTTTACTAACCTCTGTATTCTCATCCCTAGGCTTCGGCGCCAACAACACTCAGAACCAAGGTGGTGCTCTGTTCGGTGGTCAAAATCGCGCGGGAGGATTTGGAACAACCAACACTTCCACGACCCCAAGTCTCTTCGGCGGTGGTGCCGCAACAAACACCGCCAATACCGGGTTCGGTACCAGTGGTGGATTTGGCTCTTCAACTGGCGGTGGGTTTGGCAGCAGTGCTGCTACCAACACTGCAGGGGGCCTTTTTGGAAATAAAACGGCAGGTGGCTTCGGATCGACCAACACCTCAACTACCGGGGGCTTCGGCACAGGTGGTGGATTCGGATCTGGAGCGGCCCCCACCAGCACTGGCTTTGGTGGTTCGGGTACCGCGTTTCAAGCTGGAGCCCCAGTATGCGAGGGTACTGGAGGTACTCCTTTTAACGCGTTCACCGAGAAGGATTCCAACTCGTCTGCAACGAACCATTATCAAAGCATCAGTTTTATGCAGCCCTATAGCAAGTTTTCCTTCGAAGAATTAAGGCTTGCAGATTACCAACAAGGCCGCCGCTTTGGTAACGGAAGTGGACAAGCTGGTGGTTTCGGCACTCCGGCCTTTGGTGGATCTACTGGTGGCTTCGGATCTCAACAGCCCACGTCAGGATTCGGAACCAGCACTACTACACCATTTGGTGGAGCAACTACGGCTGCACCAAGCGGCTTCGGAGCGACCCAAACTGCTGGTGCTTTCGGCAACACCGGTGGTAGCAATCCCTTGTTTGGCGGAAATAAGCCTGCCAACAACATGTTCGGGGGAGGTACAACAACAGGAACCGGGCAGACTTCCCTCTTCGGCGGAGGATCTGCAACTGGAGCTACTGGCGGTTTCGGTAGCAGCAACACTGGAACTGGTGGTGCTTTCGGCGGTACTAGTGGCGGGCTTTTCGGCAACAACGCCCAGCAACAGAACAAGCCAGCCTTTGGCGCGGGCTCTACTGGTTCTGCATTTGGAGGTGGCGGTTTCGGTACTCAACAAACAACCACTGCCGCCAATCCCTTCGGAGGCACTACTGCTACTGCCTCGCCCTTTGGTCAGCAACAACAAACAGGTACCACGGCTTTTGGCGGTACCGGCTTTGGCAATACCCAGAACCAAACCCAGAATAAACCCGGTGGTCTTTTCGGCGGTGGTGGCGGCAGCACATTTGGTGCCACTCCCCAGCAGCAACAGACCGGGACTGGTTTGTTCGGTAGCGGTGCTACCACCGGTGCTGCAGCTGGCGGTAATTCCCTTTTTGGTGGGAATCAAAATCAACAGCAGCAGCAAGGCACTGGCTCGCTGTTTGGCGGCGGTCAAACTCAGCAGCCTGGTACCACCGGGGGTCTTTTTGGTGCCCAAAATCAACAGCAAAAGCCAGCCGGTGGACTGTTCGGCGGCGGTACAGCAACCACCGGGAGCACATTCGGCAGCACATTCGGCAATACTCAATCCCAGCCGGCTACTGGTGGCTTGTTTGGTAACAACCAGGCACAGCAGCAGAAGCCAGGCGGTCTCTTCAGCGGGTCGACCGGCGCCGGGTCTACAGGTGGATTGTTTGGTGCCCCAAACTCGACTAATCAGGCTGGGGGCTCATCACTCTTTGGTGGCAACCAAAGCCAGCAACAGCAAACTGCTGGAAGTAGCCTGTTTGGTAGCTCGCAACCAGCACAGCAAGTCCAACAGCCAGCACCTGGAAGCTTGCAAGCCTCTCTTCTTGAAGGCAACCCCTATGGTAGTCAGTCCATCTTCTCCGGGCTCCCGACGCCGAGTGCACCATCACCTGGTCCTCTTGCCACGCCACTGTCCTCGAGTATCAAGCAAAAACAGCGAACTCCCCTACCTGTTTACAAGATTACACCCAATGCTGCTAACCGTCTTATTACCCCCCCCCCTAAGCGCCAGGGCTACGGGTTTTCCTACTCTACCTACGGCTCGCCTTCGAGTACCACCAGCACTCCGGGCTCTGGGATGGGCGGCAGTCTTTTGGGAGGTAGCGGTGGCGCTGGTAGCCTTCGTGGCAGCATCAACGGCAGCTTTGGCCGCAGCTTCAGCAAGAGCTATTCTACCAGTAACCTTCGCAAGTCCTTCCTTCCTGAGGATGACAGCATTCTTAGCCCTGGGGCCCTGCAGCCTGGGAGCGCTCGCAGCAGTGGCAGCGGCCTAAAGCGACTTACCATTGATCGCAGCTTGAGAAATGATCTATTCACACCCCGCTCTACCACACCTGCAACCATCACGAACGGGGATGATTCTCACCCCGCTGACAAGCTTAAGAAAAAGGTTAGCTTTGATTCCACTCCCTCCGAGGGCCAGCTTGTTCGTGTGGAATCCAGGAGTCCTGAGCCTACTCCCGATGAACTTGGCTTCCTTCGTTCTGTCCGCAAAAGTGGTAGCCTGAATGGTATCGATGAAGTTTCCAATCGTCCTGAAATGGAATCTACCCGCCGTGACCTGGCTGTTGTTCCAGAGAATGATGAGCCGACCACTGCTGGCTCTACTGTCAAGCGTCTCACGTTCATTCCCAGCGGTGACCCCAAGCCTGGTGAATACTGGATGAGCCCCTCTTTCGCAGATCTCTCCAAGATGACCCGTGATCAGTTGAAGAAGGTTGTAGATTTCACTGTTGGACGTCAAAATTGCGGACAAGTCACCTTCAATGGTCCTGTTGACCTTACAACTATCGATCTGGATAACATCTTCGATAAGATAGTTGATATTGGCGTTCGAAAGATCACCGTGTACCCTGATGAGAACATCAAGCCACCCATGGGCAAGGGACTGAACGTGCCATCTACGTTGAGCATTGAGAACTCTTGGCCTCGTGGCCGTGATAGGAAAAACCCGCTTCCTATTACCAGTGGCCCGCTCTTCGATAAGCACATTGATCGTCTGCGCAAGGTGACGGACACCGAATTCGTCACCTATGAGGTTGAAACTGGAACCTGGGTCTTCAACGTTCCCCACTTTACTACCTACGGCCTTGACTACGATGAAGATGAAGGTGAAAACCATGATCAAAGCACCCTTGGTGCGGGTCCTGATGACACTCGCACCCCCAAGGCTCAGCCCGATCACCCTCCAAGCTTTGAACAATCAGCGACTTTTTCTATTGACGAATCTTTTGTCGGCTCCATGGTCGGCGTAGATGATGACACCTTTGACTTCAAGAAGCGCAAGATTGTTCCCGGATCCTTCGGCAGCCAGGCAATGGGAATCGAGGACCACGATATGGAATCTGAAGGCGAAACGGATTCTTTTTTAGACCACGGCTCCACGGGTTCAACTACTGAGCATGACGACGATGTCACTGAAAGCCATATTGATGGCGACTCAGTTGTTGGATCAGATGAAGATCAGACAATGGACATGGCGGGTTCCTTCCCTGATCTTCGTCGTACCGTGGAGCGGGATGACTCCCAGAGCATTACCAGTGATCTTGATACCACCTACCCTATCTCAAAGCCCTTTGGCACACCCGAAAAGCCACGTCTCGACCTAAGTGGTGACTGGGCAGAACAGCTTCAGCGCACAATCAGTCCTCGAAAGCAGAATCGTGACGCTCTTCGTCAAATTCAGGCCAATGCTTTCACTGACCGACCTCTCCTTGATGATGAATCTCTGAATGAGAAGTCGACAAGCTCACCGAAGAAGAGTTTTTCAACCAGCATTGACTTGATGAATTCTCTTTTTCAGCAGCAACCACGGAAGCAGAGTGCCCCATCTCAGCTGAAAGCGTCCAAGTCGCAGTCCAATGGCTTTGAGGTTCGAACCCCTTTCCTGCTTTACACTTGATTTTCATTCATCCACATACCCTTAAAACCAAATTGCTATGCGCGATTTTGAAATTTTGCAAGCACTTTCACCTGTATCCCCATTTATCATGTATCTAGCACCATGTGTTTCTTTCCCAGTCCCCGCAGATAGTTAACCAAATTTGAGAATACTTGAGCTAAATTTTACTCTATCTTGTGCGCAGTGGCCCTACAACAAACAGCCGAAAACCTTCGCTGGTGACAGTTCACAAATGGACAAAACCGATGCCGCTTTCTACAACTCTTTCAAGCCTCGATGGGGTCCGATGGACACTATTGTGTGCGCTAAGAACGACATCACTGATCCGTTGTCTGACAGTAGCCAGCGCTGGACTGAGAAATTTTCTATTTTCAGCGAGGGAAGAGATATCGCGGTCATGAAGTACACTCCATCCATTACCGTATGTTAATTTCTTCTTAGCTCTGTATTTAAGAAATCCAACTAACGAAGACTTTTATAGTCGACTGAAATGCTCGATGTACAAAAGCATCAATCCACGATCCAACGCGTTGATGGAACTCCATTGGTTCGTTTGTCTAAGATTGATTTGCGTCAGTTCGCATTGTCGCCCGCCAAGGATGAAGAGCGACTGGTTTGGCAGCTAGCCAATATCCTGTTCAACGACGACATTGAAGATGACATTTCTGCCAGTGTACCCGCACAGCTCCGTTCGAAATTTGCGCATCGGATCAAGAAGGATCGCTTAACTCGTCTTTGGCAATCTGTGATACGTGAGAAACATGCCCATACCCTTGATTCTATTCGCTCGCCGGAGGAGCGTGCTGTTCATCTTCTTTGCTCTCATCGAGTTGAGGAAGCATGCAAAACCCTAGTCGAGAGTCAAAATCTGCATCTGGCCACTGTGGTTGCACAGATTGGTCGCGATGCTATCTCGCGGGCAGACATGGCCAATCAAATTGACGTCTGGCGCCAAAGTAATGTTCTTTCGGAGATGAGCGAACCTGTCCGAGCTCTGTACGAATTGGTAGCAGGCAACAGCATTCGCAGCGAAGGCAAATCTGGTGGTGCTCTCGAGGATAGAGCATCCACATTTGTTTTTACTGAGCGCTTCGAGCTTGACTGGTTCCAAGCTTTTGGCCTTCGTCTCTGGTACGGCATTACTGAGGACGAGCCAATCGAAGCCGCGGTGTCCAAGTACTTGGATGATCTTTCTACTGGAGTCGAACCTGCCTTCCCTTACCCCTCACACTGTGCCAATGATCAAGCCTCCTTGCAGCCTGGCTCGGATACAACCGGTCGTGAATCCCCTCTGTGGGTGCTTTTGAAAGCCTATTCGGCGGCTAATGGCCAAGCGAACTTCCAACCTCTCGAGCTCCCCGCGGCTTTGCTTCCCGAGGCGGTCTCCGGTGATCGACTTAAAAACCGTCTTTCATTCCAGCTTCACCACCTCCTTGCGACCGCCATTGGTCAGAATGAGATGATCAAGATCAACCAAGCCCAGGCCGATCGTCTTACGTGGGACTTTGCCTCGGAGATGCTCGCTGGTGGAGAACTTGAGAATGTTCTCTTTGTCCTTCTTCATCTTTCACAGACAGAAGACCGCAAGCGTGCTGTGCAGGATACGCTTTCTCGCTTTGGTGCCTTGCTCCCTGATCCTACAGCCCAGGACGGATCAGGATTCGAGTCTACCTGGCTGCAGCTGACAGTTGAACTTCAGATCCCTGAAGCCTGGATCTGGATTGCCAAGGCTCTTCACGCTCGTGACAGCGGTGATGCTATTCGCGAGGTTGACTGCCTCATCCGCGGCAAGCACTGGAACGATGCCCATGCTACCTTCTGCCGTGCCGTCGGTCCCACAGCTGTCATCTCGCGTGACTACCATACCCTAGATCGACTTGTGTCTGGCTTTGGCGATGGGCCTGAGCGCAAGATACGCGGCTGGGCGTCTGGCGGCGGCATCTATGAAGATTTCTTACGCCTGGCCACTGCTCCCCGTGGCCGCCGTGATCCAACTCGTCTAAGCCGTTTGGTGAATGCTCTAGTGGCCATGGGTGACCGTGTCCGCACTGGTCAGGGTATCCATAGCCTGGAGGAACGTGTGGCGTTCAAGGAAATGAGCCGCGCAGTGGCTGGCTGGATTACCCGAGAGGATGTTCAGGTATGTTTCTGTCTCGATGTATTTGATTTGCTACAAAATTTGTTGCTAACCGCTTCATTTAACAGTCCGTCGAATCCTCGGCTGTCCTCGGCCTACCTCTGACTGGTGATGCTCGTGTCCTGCAGACGGTGGAGATGAGCCGTCGCTACTACGGCATCATAATGGCAGGTGGTCATTGAGATGGTGATGTGCTTTGATGCATGCCACTCCGAATTTACCCATTTTTCAGCAATAATTCTCTGTTTCCTTGAGTCTCTCTCCCTCTTCCTTTTTCTTATGCTATTGTTGACATGACCACGATGTATTCTACACCAAACCTCACAATGTACTGCTACATTACCCTGTTTCTCCATCTCCTATCGTATTACTTATAAGAACCACGTAGAGACATTGTTCAATGCACGCCTTAATCTCGGTACGTGCTAGAATCGCTTGCTAATGAATGGAATCATCATCACATCATTGCCGGTCCAGGCTTTCCAATCCCGGAACCGGCTTTCCGAAGTTGGCAACAGCAGAAAGATGACTATTATAATGGCAATCGCACTGAAGAGCCTTCTTGAAATGGTGAAATTGTTTCGCCCTTCTCTTGCCCTTCCAACAGACTCGAAGACCAGTTCCTTGAGACTCATTTATCTTTCGATGAAACACTGAGCCTGCTGCGTCTGTTCTGACAACACCAGGACACGCTTGACCTACGCTGTACCACACCACATGCATTGATCTCGCGACTCGAAAGCTTATTTCGGTTCTTCAAACAACGAAGCACTCACCTGGCTTCCCAAGGGTTGGGTTCACAACCGTTGCAAGTTGATGTACCGTGCACCGCCATCTGTCAACTGACCGTCCAAGCGGCTATTCTACCTCTGGGGGTGTGTGCGTGTGCGTGTTTTTCGACAGTGTCTCTTTTGGTCGGCCGTTTTATCACCCGAGACTTTCAGCCGACTCCCGATTAGGACCGGCTCAGCACCTCTGATTGAATCACAGCTCCATCTGGAAGGTTCAAGATATTGACCTTCACTTGAAGCTCTTTCTTACTCAGTTCCCGCCGTTCTTGGCACGTCGCCCTGCCTCTAACCCACATTTCAGAGTCATGATGCTGGGTCAACGCCAGTACTCAGATGATAAACAGGAAGATCTGAGGACTGTCTTCAATGGGGACAGGAACGGAGGCCCTGATGAGAATGCCGATCACAGATTTCTAAGCGACCATGAAAATGAGCAGACTCTGGACGTTGATAATGTTCCCGGAAACGATATGACTGAACCTACGACAGATATTCAACCAGCTATAAAGACAGCTCGCTCTGATGCTCCAGGTCTTCCGGACCTGGAAGCTCAAGGTGATATCCCCTCAGCGGTGATAGCAGATACAGGCCCAGCACATACAGCCTTTGGCAAGCATCAGAAGCGCTTCATAGTGCTGATGGTAACTCTGGCATCGTTTTTCTCTCCACTCTCTGGGCAGATCTACTATCCAGTCATGCCGACTCTAGTCAAGAGCTACCATCTCACGACTTCCCTTGTCAACCTCACCATCACAACATACATGATTCTCCAGGGGCTTGCGCCAAGCTTTATGGGAACGTTTGCTGATGCTGGAGGTCGCAGGCCAGCATATATAATTGCATTTGCCATATACACAGCGGCAAATATCGGACTCGCCCTACAGAACAGTTTTGCTGCGTTACTGGTTCTACGCTGCCTCCAAAGTGCCGGCAGCAGTGGTACAGTCTCGTTCGGATACGGCGTCATCGCAGATATCGCGACACCAGCAGAGCGCGGTAAATATGTCGGGCCCATGTCTGCAGGTGTCATGGTGGCACCGGCCCTCGGGCCTGTTATTGGAGGCTTGCTGGCCAAGTTTCTCGGCTGGCGTAGCGTCTTCTGGTTCCTGGTAATCATCAGTGGTGGCTATCTGATCGTCTTTATGATCGCTATGCCTGAGACTGCACGCAATGTTGTCGGTAATGGCAGCGTGCAGCCTAAAGAATGGTGGCGTCTGTCATTGATTCAGTACATGTCTACCCAGCACCTTCGTCGACACAGCAAGTCTATCAAAAGGGATACGAGCGAGGAGCAATCAAGACCTCAATTAAGTCATTCTACGAAGCTCAAATTTCCAAATCCATTGGAAACATTCGTAATATTACTTGAAAAAGATGCATCCATTATCATCGCCTACATTGGGCTCGTCATGTTCGCTAACATTGCTTTGTTGACTAGCACGGCCAACCTATTCGGCCCTCTGTATAAGTTCAACGAACTCCAAATTGGTCTTTGTTTTCTGTAAGTAGCATCTTGTTTTGTCCATAGCGGGAATGTTTAAGCTCTTCAATGCTAATCTAGATCGTTGAGGCCACTCGGTGTGAGCGCCAGCATTGGTGCAGTTCTGAATGGAAAGCTAGTGGACTACAACTACAAACGGACAGCTCGAATCCTCGGATTCCCTGTGGACCGGAAGAAAGGTGACGATCTGAGCAATTTTCCAATAGAGCGTACTCGACTGCAATGTTTTTTTCCCGTTATGGCTGTTGGCATTGCAGCTTTCATTCCATACGGCTGGACTCTTCAATCGCGCACATCTCTCGCCGCGCCCCTGGTTCTACAATTTATTATCGGATTTTGCTTTATTGCTTCGCTCAATACACTCAATACTCTCCTTGTCGACCTATTTCCAGAACGTGCTGCTACAGCAGCTGCGGCATGCAATCTTGTGCGTTGTTGGCTTGGTGCCGTGGGGGCAGCCGTTGTGGATCAAATGTTGACTGGAATGGGTTGCGGGTGGTGCTTCGCGTTCCTGGGACTTTGCATGGCTGTCACCATGAGCTTGCTTTTGGCTGAGTACATCTATGGAATGGGCTGGCGACAAAAGCGACTCGACAAGATTGAATGCAAGAAGAGATCAAAGGAAGCAGCCCCGGATGCAGAATCAACTGTCGATGCAAAGGGCGATAGTAATGAGCAGAAAAAACTTTGTGTTGTGTCCGGTACAACCCAAAGAGAACAGGGAGCCTGATAAGGTGATATGGAAAAAGATATCTCAAGTTTGCACTCACGAATGATTATCTGATAATGCTAGTTCTTTTTTCCACATGTTCAAATATGTATCTTAGCAATGCAAGTCTACTAATGACGATTCATTTCTCGTGTCAGAAAAAATATTTCATTCGATATAATATTGAGTTAGTACTAGTCACTGATATCACTCATACCCTCGAGTCCCATTTGGCGAAGAGTACTTGTCATGAGACCATAGAGCTTCTTTTTCTGCCTTCCCTTCCAATCCAATTGCTCTTTTAAGGAACTTGATTCCTGGAAAACATGAATAAGAATAACGATATTCAATGTCATGTTTCCTTTCGTCTGTATCTGAACTGTCGAGACTTTCAACGCGTTTGAGCCCGAAGGCTGCCGAGACAGTTGAGAACCAACCTCGCAAAGAAGTCTACCACAAAGGTCAGTCTATGAATTTTAAAAATGTGCTTGGCTCTAAATACCTGGGTATACGATGTATCACTCAGTCTATCAAAACACATTCCTGTGGGGATTGATACATCGTCAAGGTGCCAAACCACTCTACAAGCTTTGTTGTTGGACCCAATATGGAAGTTCAATTTGTAGTACTGCGGATCCGGAATGCTGTAACGTCCTCTTTCTTTCGACTGATCGTACGTCAAGCTCCATTCAAAATCATGTTTGTGGTAATGACGGAGATCGTAGCGCTGTGATGAGCGGCCCTGGAAGGAAAGAAATAGATCTGCCTTCGACTCTCGATTCAAAGCAATTTCTAGAGTATAGCTGTTCTCCTGATTGTAGTATCTGCCCACGTATGCTTCAAGAGGAAGTGGAAGAGGATCAGGCATTCGCTCCTTGTTGAGTGTGTTGTGGAGGGATCTAAACTGTTCGATTCTTTTTCCTTGCTTTTCTCTGACCAGTCCACATAGTCAATCGGTTCCGCAAAATCAAAGAGGCCCTGTATAATGATACGTCCAATCCATTCTGCCGGATCGCTGAATGCGATCGCATTGGTAAGGACCACAACAGCAGACTGGGTTTCTGGAAATAACGCCAGGAAGGAATAGTATCCAACTGTTGCTCCTTGATGATAAATCATCAGCTGGGGTGCATTGCGGGCCCCGAAAATAGGCAGTTCTGAAGGTCCCCAGATGTCTGCATTGTCGCCGACTACTCCGACAGCACCCGGGAGTTGCGAACGAACCCATCCAAAGCCATAGGATTGTTCAGAATCACAAGTGCTTTCAATAGAGATCTGATTGCCCAGAAGGTGGGATCCCTGCTTGATTATTGTCTTTTCTGTATCCTTTGCCTCTTGACTGGCAGCTAGCATTGCCTTTGCCCATAGTAAGAGGTCATTCACTGTTGTAAATGCGCCACCTGAACCTTCAAAGAATGTGCCAGCAAACTGCTGCCGATGTTTCAGCAGATGAGCATTGCCGTTGGTGAGGGAGGCATATGGCTTAGCCACATTTTCAAGGTGATCGAATCTTGGTTGCAGTGAGGTTCGGTCCATTCCCAGGGGCACGAATAGTTCCTCTTCGAGGTATTCGTGAGGTGGACGACCGCTGATTTTCTCAATAATATAAGCAGCGATCGAATATCCCCACACACAGTAGGACCAACTCTGTCGTGGTGGTGTAGGCCATGGAATATGTTGGACGGTTTGGAAAAATGCATCGTTGGGGACCAGCATCTCGCCATCTCCCTGCATGGCAAGACAGAGTGCAGCGACTCCGTCCAAGCCCGATCGATGCGCTAGGAGATCACCCACTGTGACGACTCTTGCAAAACGAGCATTATCATGGACAAATTCCGGGAGAATTGTTTGTACCCGTGTTGTCCATTCGATTTTACCCTCGTCAACTAATTTCGCGATACCGGCCGCGATCATGGATTTGGTGAGAGATCCTGCGCCATACAGTGTGTCTGAATCTGGACATATTTTTTTTTCATTGTCACGAAACCCCCAATTTTCCCTATATATTGTTTCCCCGTTATGGAGCACCCCCACGGAAACTCCAGGAATTGCCTCGATTTCACATATTCGTCGAATTGAAGAGCTCAGCTCACGTAGGCGGGAAAGAGTAGGCGAAGTCGGCCTTTGAAGTTGTTAGCCTACCTCCGTTGCCAAGGTCATACATAGTATACAAGCGAGGTAGTATCTCGCCATAGTTTGGAATCGGGTCAACTTGCATTTCACGTGCTCTTTTGCGGGGAAAAAACCATTGCCACTGCCAGCAACTTGGAACTTAAACCTGAACAGCACCCGGGCTGGCGCCGGATCATTATTAAGGGAAAATGGCTACGATTAGGTTGTATAGGATCATCTTCGAAAGGGAATCCATCCTCGTTTTCGGTTGGTAACTATTAATACGTGGAAGTCGATAAATGCAGCCAACCGCCTGTGATCCGGCAGAAGGGATCTCGTTCACATGTGTGAGCGGTATTAGCCCGGGTGAAGAGGCGGTTTCATTACAAGCCCCCCCCCTTACCGCGCAGGCCGCGCTCAACCAGTCGATCTTACCCGTCTGTAGCAAGGCATCCCTTTTCACCCAGGTAAGGTTTTAGGCTGATATCCATGAGTCAGAAAGGCATAGCGTAATACAACATATTTTACCATTGATATAACATGATGCACATTCCTGGCCCCCTAACTCTTGAAACATAAATAATATCCCCGAGTACATGCATATAGATTAGACATAATCGCCAACCCCTCTCATCCCGACGAAGCAGACTTCTTGAGCCTCAAGAATTGGAGCTGTCGGGTCACAAAATTCAAAAGAAACGCAGCCACCTATGCAAAGCCCAATTTTCATCGTACAGGGGGCACGGTGCTCATCAGATCATGTCTCGTCCATTGACCCCTGTTAGGAGTTGCCAAGCCACCAATAGACTGGTTGACTCTGCTCGCTTCGCAGGCTCCCTTGTGGGACAAGTGGCTCTAGTGACCGGAGCAAGTCGTGGAATTGGCAGGGCGATTGCTTTCGCATTGGCGAACGCAGGTGCCCACGTCGTATGCGTTGCCAGAACAGTCCAGGATATCTGGGAGACAGCAAACGAAATTTCAGCCCAGACGGGAATTGAATCATTGGCCATCGCTGCAGATGTTTCCATTCTTGAGGATATTGATTATGCACTCCAACTAATAAGACAAAAATTTGGTCGGATTGACATTCTCATCAATAATGCTGGGATATGCCGTATTGGCCCCCTTGGCTGTGAGCCGGATTTCAATGCCTGGTGGCGGGTCCTTGAGGTCAACCTACGTGGGCCGGCCGCCCTCATCCATCGAGTCCTTCCTGAAATGCTCCATCGAGATCGGGGGGTCATCATTAGCATTGGAAGTCGAAATGCGATCCACAATTTTCCATTCTTAACCGCCTATAGCGCCGCAAAGACAGCCTTACTTAGAGTACACCAATGTCTAGATATGGAAATCACCGATTCGGGTATACGGCACTTTTATTTGCAACCGGGAGATGTGCCCACTTCCCTAATAGACAATGCCGTGAACCTCGAAGCCCTTGAAACAATACCAGCCTTGCAAGAGATGATCAATTCAATACAGTCTGTCTTTAGTGGACCCGATGCATGTTCACCGCAAGTTGCTGGAGATGCATGCGTTGTGCTAGCTGCGGATTCAGATTCTCAAGCGTTGAGCGGTATGTATCTCGATGTCGATAAATTGAGTCTGCATCTGGAACAGGCCAAGAAAGAGTGTAAATCTAAGCGGATCTAAAGCACCCACTTTCACTTGACCCAGCAAAGGTATCGCGTTTCAAAGAGCCTTGAAAACCGTAGATGTTGTGATCTAGAGCGATCACTCTGATATATTAACTGTGGATGAACATATTTGCTAGACAAAGATCTCTAGACCTTTTTAGCCTAGTGGAATGTTGCCCCAGGCCAGGAGACTTTGCCGCTCCAAAGTTGGCATAGTCTTCAAACGAGAGCATTCCTTCCGATAGCCCCCTGTATGTGTCAATTACAATCCAACCATTCTGATATTTATTTTTCAGTAAAAACCATCACCCTCGCCTCAATGCTCTCCCGTGATTGGTGATTTGCTGATCCGAGCTTGGGGAAAGCAGAATGTGGGCAACCTGTTATCATGCCACATCAGAAGGAGCGAAAGAACACAAACTCCACCAGATTATTCCTCACATTTAGCTCGAGTTCTAGGACTAGAGTCATACATCTTGAATATTAAAACCTCGTCTTTGGTTTGCTTATCAATATAGTACCACCGTAGCTGATCAGAATGGAGTAGGGACAGGCTTTCACCAATGTATGATTGTCTGACATGATCCACTGGAATGAGATTTTCGGGGGGAACCGTGCTTCCGTCGCATATGGCTAATGGAAAACTATCGATGACATCCGCGACGGGACGCCAAATACTGTAGAGTTCTTTAGTCTTAGCTTCTGAATTCTTTCAGGTGGATAAATCTTTTTTACTTTAAGATTCGAAAGCGTCCCTTGAGAAGCTCGTCCGCTCTTGGTCCCATATGATGTCGAACGCGTTGGACTGCTGCGAATTCACTCTGATCTAAAGTTCAAATACTCAGGAAAGCTTGAAAGTGTAAAGAAACGGAAGGGAAAGCCGCACCGACGTGAACATAGTGGATGGGTTCGAGAACCATGCTTTTGTCATCGAGTTCAACATCGACTCCTGCCGGAACATATGTCTTCTCTCTATCACTCGAGCGAACCTGGCCAATTAGTCTCATTTTCAAGAAAGTTACTTGTTAGATAAGCGGGAATCTACCCGCCAGTCAAACCAAAACAGTTCACATTCCGACCCGATATTATCTTTTAAAAGCTTCTCCAGTGATGGTAGGTACAACGATTTAACAGTTTCATCAACGAAATTAGTCGTCGCAAGAGGCTGAACTCGGGCAATGAACCCATTATCATCCAGATTATACCTCTCGAACTGTCCTCGAATATCGTGAACAGACTCTATAGGGCCGGGCTCTTCATCATAGTTGCATTGAGGAAAATCTTCCGGGGTATCCATAAGCATGAAGTAAGGTTTTTCAAATTCAAACTTTGGGTCCCATTTAAAGTAGTTGAACCTGGTGTGTTGTGTTCCCGGCATGATTCAACGGGTGAAGAAAGTATTTAGATTTTCGGAGTGGAATACTGAGCAGGAAGATGAGCTATCCGAAGAGAAGGGCGATTTCCAGACTATCTGATGGGTGCCCGACATTATATATGTTCCTTCTGTCTTGATTTAATGTTGACCTTCAGATTCATATCTACCTAACGAACGATTCGGCAAAACTTGAAAGATTTGTGCCCAAAATATGACATTGCAGGCACCTGGCCATTATTTACAAAAGGAATTGGAGAGCCCCAAGAATAACATTCAACATTCAGTTTCAACCAAGTACTCAGACTGAAAATAAGCCCTAAATATTATTGCTAGTCGATTTTCTCATTCTTTCTTTCTCTCCAAGCGCATTCTGTCGTATTCTGTCGTGAAGTTGAGTAAATGTCCGCCCACTAAGAAATTTTCAAGTGAAGCTAATTGTCAATTGAAGAGTACTATAATTTGGACGAGTAAAAGTGGTCTTGGGGGTTCCCTTATGAAAGAAAGGGGACGATAGTGCTTCGCTAGTAGCTCGAAATAGTGAATTGATAACTTACTTATAAGCAAAGAACATCAAGCAGCCAGAAATGGGCGCTTGGCAGAATCCGTGTTGGATTTTATTGTATCTGTTCCTGTTCCTGGCGACCAATTTGGTTTCCACGGCTGTTCACGCGTATCGTTATTTCCTGTGACCTGGTAGGAAGAGGTGCTTCCTGCTTTCGAAGACCTGTGTGCAGTTCCAGCATCTTGAGAGCTAGATCTATTATCACGGTCAGAAAATGTCTTTGAATGGGTATTTTTGCTCTGGTGACAACAAGTAAAAGCGGGGAAGCGATCTGCCTGAGCGGGGTAGAGGAGAATTCACAAGGTCTCATGGATATGATTTGAAGCTGGAGAAGACATTTCGATGAAACGATGGTTCCTCGGTTTATGGCGTCTAAAATGTTTCCTAGTACAGGGTTTGGTAACTGATTAAACATCTTGTGTTTCGTTGCTCTATATAGCGTCTGTTATTACAGCCTCATATCCATCTTGGACATTTGGCCGAACATCTTCTAGAAATTACCCCGACACGGCAAGAATGGGTCCAAGACCTACTGCAACACTGAAAATGAAACCAATTCAAGAAGCTAATGCATGCACCATGTAAGATTTTTCAATCAACCACTATCTTGCAGATGGACAAGCAGTTTACTGGATATCGCATGGAGCATGTGGCATTCGCAAGCATCATCACGCAGTGAACAAGTCATAAGACCCACTGCATAAAGTCAAACTGCAGAGAGCAGTAATAATGTGAGCTTTCAGCCGCCATCTCGTGTTCCCGTTGGGCATTGCATATATGACTATAGGCCCAACTCCAAGCCCTGTCAGGCGAACTATTTTACCCGGGTGATATTTGATTCCAAACATGTGACAAACTATTGGAGTGTTTCAGTAAATTGTAATAATGTATATAATTTCATTTGATCATTGGCTATGGAGTCCCTGATCAGATGTCACCTAGTCAAAAGTCAGGGGAATTTCTCAACATTCAAGTTTCATACCTTAAAGAGAGATACATATCTAATTTGACTCTGCATATAAGGCGGGAAGGGAGGAGCCGGGGGAAGACGGGCTATTGTTCTAATGAACCGCGGAAACCGCCATAAATGACATAACAGAGCCTATCGATTATCATGTTATGAAACGCCCTGTTACCGCTAAATGGCTGCATTTGATGAAAAAGACGGTGGTGATCTGCTAGATTGGCTCGATTGTCAAGACGTGTTGGGATTCGCAGTCTTGTCCGCAGAAGGGAACGTGCGGGGATTTTAAACACTTCGTACACTGACTTGCTTCGAATTTTTTCTTCGGTATGAAGAGATATCATCAAATTCATTCTGAGGGTTGAAAATCATTTGTCTTTCTGTCTTCGTTGTAGTCTATTTTCCGATAAAAGTTCTGAGCCCTCGACGTCCCGTGGGAAGTTATCATAGGAAGACACCTCATTACAATTATCGGGACCGGCAGATGCAATAAACATGCTTTTTTCCATTCCTTCTAATCCCCTTTGTAAAACACTAGCCGGAATATTGTCCTGGCTGATATCGTACCGATTCAAGCTACAAACTATGCTCATACATATTGCTGATCATCATCGCTTTATGATGAGCTTAGATGATCAATCAGAAAACAAATCATTTAGTTCTATTAAATTAAGAACTGACTCCAACAGTCTCTTTAAATTACAATAATCATCCAACAACTTGTCAAAAGCAAGAGATTTACCAGGTTTTCGTGTCCGCCTTTTGCATGCGAGACATGACACGAATGTTTCTAGCTAACTCCGTAGGCTCTCTCAGCATTGATCCATTCTTGGCGCTGATTGTCGTTCTCCCAGCGTTGAGATTGACGAGATAATCAAAGTATACCATGTCATCAACCTTTGGCTGGGGTTCTCTCCATTTATGCTCGGCATGTTCTGCCAGTATTATATTGCGCTTTTGAATCGACTCAGTCCGGTATCTCTCGGCTTCTGCAGACTTGCCAGACCCTTGCAGAATGAGGGATTTGAGATACTTTGCTCTCAATACACATTCAGGAGTCCACTGAACTATATCGCTCTTGGATAAGCACTTGTCAACGTACTCCCTGGATCATATCAGTCAATATACTCGTAGATGCTCCTCGGGGTTGGGACACATACAGCGCAAGTGAAAAGCTTCCGTCTTGATAGTAGCAACTGGCGGCTGCGAAATAACTAAGAAGCGTATCTTCATTTTCTTCTCCCAGGATGTTGATTCGATTTTCAAGAACAAGGGCATGTATGCCCATGGATTCCCAGAATCGGTTGGCATTGAACAAAATGACAGCCAAATCGAATTCAAAGGGGTGAATCGCAGTGGAGTTCTGTCGGTCTTGCCTGGCATGACCGACGGCTTCTTTGGCACAATTCACTGCTTCTATATTTTTGCCCTGAGCCAGAAGCACGTATGCTAAACAAATCTTTGACGACGCAAACTCAAAATGAGGAACGTGAATAACATTCTTCAACTTTTGTTTTATCAGTAAAGAAAGTTCATGATACGGCTTTGCGTTTTCGTAAAGTCCTTCATTAAGGAGTTGAAGGCCAAAGTCGTTGTAGGCATTTGCGAGAAGAATGTAATCAATAGGAGAAGATTCATCAGCGGGACATTCAGTTATGCGTCGCTGGCGTAATTTGATGACCTTGTTCCCTAAGTCACGACCTTGTTTTCGGCCACGGATACTTCCACTTTTCCATTGAATACCCGCCATATAAGCGAGGATATCTGCCTCCAGGCTCGTCAGGCTGGTAAACTTTGGCTGGGGCTGAGGGTTCGGGCTGACAAGGATATCGTCAGAGAAAGTCCTAGGTATGATTTTGCAAAGTTCATCTGCATTTTTTAGGATCTGGAAGCCTGTAGTGTTCAAATCTTCCTCATTGTGTACATGATCTTGAAGACACATACTCGTGTTCTGTGGACCTCCCCGGGGCAGAATCTCACAGGCTTTTTTCGCAGTTTCAAGTATTTCAAAGCCTGTATCTGTCAAAGATCGCTCATAAAGGAATGCACCCGCGTTACATAAGACCTCAACAAAGTCTTTTGTTGGTTTAAGAGGAGGTGACTTTTGAACATAGACGTTGTGAAGTGCAATGACGTGAAGCAAGAACTGTTCGCATGTACCCCAGGACTCAGGGAGAGGAACCATGAGATGAGATCTCTTGGGAAAGGCACGGTATAATATAGCCACTGCGTGATTGAAGCTAGTTTGGAGACCCTTGATATCATTGTGTAAAGAGTTTAAAAGATATAACTGTAAAGAACGATGAATTCTGTACTCGATGTTTTCGTCCCCCGATTGGGAGCCAACGGAGCGCACAAGATGGCGGGCTGTCAAGCTCCGTCGAGTCTCATCAGGATTCCTAGGTATTCAAATTAGATAGGTCAGAATAATTGAAAGTAGTTTACATACCAATTAGCTCCTTCCATTCCAGGATTCAAGAGGAGGTCATTGAGTATAACTTCCGGAATACAGTCGGACAGCATGGCCATGGTGTTAATGGCAAGACGAGCATTGGGATCTAAATCACGGAGAGCGAGATCGAACACAGTCTGCATAGCTAGAGGACTTTTGCCTGATCTTGAGTCATGTGAAAGCATATGGTTGGTCTGGTATGTTTTCAAGTCCGTCAGGGTGCGGTCCAAAGTTACTCCTGACTCGAAGATGTAACCAGCAAGATGTTCAATCAGCAGGGGAAGACCTCCAACTTTTTTTGAAATCAGCTTTGCAAGATCCCTCTTATGAGAATCAAATTCCTTTTCAGAACCTGATAGAGTAGCCAAGAGGAGAGATGATCCTTCATCTTCTGTCAGAGAGTCAAGTTGTACGGGAGACTGTTGTCCAAACCCAGTCGAGTGGTGTTGGCTGGTCAGAAGAATTGAGCCATGGGGACAAGTAGGGCGATATTTTGATTTCACAAGATTTATTGTATCCGCTTCGACATTGTCGAAGACCATTAGCCAGCCAGGGTCTAGAACATGTTAATAGAAATCTTTACAGACTGGGAAGGAATCATAATTACTCACGTCCAATAAGCCATCTCTTTGCGACTTCAATATTTCGTTGCTGATCGATTTGATCCTCCTTCACGAGAGAGAGGTTGCTTGCAATCTGGGCAAATGAGGTTGCCAAACTAGACTCGCTCTCTGCATCAAGCCAAAAGATGAAAGAGAAATGCTGGTCGTTCAGATAGCAAAATTGCGTTGCCAATTCTGTTTTTCCCATTCCTGGCATTCCAAGAATGACGCAAAACTTTTGCAAATTGCCTGACCCTAGCAGTCTCTTGCTCAAATGGTCAAGCTCAGCTTGTCTCGCTTGAAAATTTGCGTTTCGGGGACGTGGAACATAAAAGAATTTTTCGGGTACAGGATTTTTCTTTGGCTCGATCGGGTTGCTGGAGAGATACTGAAGGTGTCTGACTACCTTCTGAAAGGAGTCATTGTTTGGCGATGAGAACTTGTTTAGGTTGAAGTGGTTCAAGTGTAGTTGGAAGTCTCGATATCCATCAAGACAGCCTGATGATTTGTTCACACAAAACTCCTGAGAGAATGTCAGCAACGTTGTAGATGAGTTCAGAATGAGAAAATACCCTTAAGTCGTCTCTGCCCACAATTCTTCCAACTGTAGTTGGTTTTGTTTCGTAAGCACATACGATCCTTATCTTATTAGCTTGCTGTTTACACAGCATTGTGAATTGCCTGACCGTCGAATTCAAGGTCGAGTCTTCTCCATGAAGGTGCCTGAGGACGGACGGTTGCACCTCGCAATTGGCATCAACCGCAACCTCTTGCAACACTTGAGCAGTGATGAACCCAGTACCACGGAAAGGGGTTCCTAGAAACAAGATCCCACTAGTCTGATCATAGATGCCATCATCAGTCCCCATCAGCTGTAGTCTTGTGGTGAGAAGAGCCTGAGGTTCGAAATCAGCAACTGCATAAGCTCGAGAGAACTGTGGGTTCACCTTCTGAATGACCAATCCTCCAAAGCAATGACCGATGAAAACTATAGGGCGATCTGGACAGCCCTAGAATATCCTGGTTAGCTGCATCGTTCTCCAGACATACAATCAATTCTTTCCTGACCTTCCTTGCATCAATTAGTTCTTCCAGAAGATTATCAGCCACGGAATCAAGGTCAATCCTGACCGCATCTTCCCCAAACCAGTTGGACTCGTATCCGAATGTCATGATTCGCGCGGAAGGAAACTTGGAGGGCAGCATTTTCTCGTTTTCCAGCCAATGTATGCCCTTGGTGTACCAAGAAAAGTACGGATCTGCGCCGATTCCGTGGACGGCAACGATACTGGTTGGGTCAGCATCAGCTGCATGCACATCTCTCCAGTCATATCCATTAGTTTGCTTACTCATGGGATATTTCCGGCGAATCTTCATCTTCAGAAGGGCAAAAAACTGTCTTGAGACCCAAGTAATGGGCGTTGATTGGGTTTCTGGCCGGGAGCCCTGGAGACCTCCATTGCCAGAGATTGATGAACCACTCGAAGATCTTCGTGAGCCACTCCATGATATTTGATACGAGACTGCCGGGAGTAGTACGAAACGTGGAACTGCATCTGCTGGCGTTGGATGGATTGCAAGTATTATATGTCAGCTCGATATGACGGGGGTTCGAGGCGCCGCTGGTGCCAGCAAATACTTCTCCCCCGGGTGGTCGATGTGAGCCTTGTCTTCACTCGAACCATACATTCACTATTATTTGCATGCGCCACAAGGGGCGAAGCAACAGTGCCCAACCACCATAGCGACTTAAGGGGGAGAATTCATCACATGGGTGCCAGCCCTGACAAACCTACCAATCCCGTAAGCGCTTCTGCAGGCAGCCACTGGTATGTGTCCGAGTCTGGCTCACATGACGTAAAGTCGAGACTAGATCGGCGTTGGGTATATGAGGAGGAAATTCTGTATGAGCATACCCTAATAAGCATGAACTTATTCGTGTTTCGCGTTACGGATTATATTGTTCATCATGTCCTTCAGGTCACCCTTCCCCAGGCAGGCGCAGCTTTGCAATGATCTTGATATGCATGTCGACTTTGGCAGAGTACTTAGTTCGCACGAGGAAACCGATACGCTTCCAGGATATCCCCTGATCTCCATGAATAAGCATGACAGCATAATAGCCCAACTGAAAAAAGATTCGTATGCGAAGGACTTGGAAACTATAGCACCAAAACTATGGATTATGACAACATTTTCCGGGTCAAACATCAACCCTTTGCATAAACAGAAGGTTAAAGGACGGGAAATCATCATCACTGAAGACCCACGGCTACACCTGGTCTGGATCCACGATCGCATATTTATTAAGCCTCTACCACGCTATATGCTGTGTTACCGGTTCTGGGAAACCATTTCTACGTTGCAGAGCCCAGAAGCCTTAATAACGAGACGATCCGCCCTGGGGCTATTAAGATCTTACATTTATCTCATACGACATGAACTGGATCTTCAGATTTCCAAAAAAGAGCAAACCCAACTTCTACCATCTGACGTCACATGGAGTCAATTCTGCAGGTTTATGTTAAATGTACAGAAACTGGACGATGATCAAGTCTCCGGTCGTTATCAGTACGGCGAGTTGAGACTGTCGAGACTCAACTTCTATGCTCCATTTCTATTGCACAGATTCTATTTCGAACAACTCCACGGACAGTACGGAGATATATTTGGAAGGTTTTATGGCCCACTTCTTTTCATTTTCGCCATCATATCAACCATGTTGAATGCGCTGCAGGTTGCCATGGCAGTTGAGTCGGTTTCTACTACACACTGGCTGTCACTTTGGGCAATTTCTCGGTGGTTCAGTGTGGTCATGTTATTTCTCGTCACCTTTTTCGGCGCTGGCTTCTGTCTGCTCTGGTGCTGGTTTTTTGCAGACGAATGGATCTATACCTTGAAACACCGCCGTCCATGGCCTGAGAAGAAAGAGGCACCCGGTTGGGAATGTGTTTAGGCTGCGTCGAGATCCACAAACTCCCTTGGAGGATTCGGGTCAATATAACGTTCAATATTTCTACTATATATGAGCTGGGTCACTAGTAGGGCGCTATGTCAACGTAAATTACAAATTACTCTACCTCAGTTAAGAAGGTACACCGTTGTCAGTTAAAAGACATAAAATGCATCAATTTGCTACCGACTGTACATGAAAGGAAAGGAACCTAGACGCGACAGGAAGGGGATCGAACAGGAGGGAGTAAAAAAAAGGAAATGTATGGAGACAACCAGCCCCAGAATAATCATTGCCAGGTGGCAAAGTAAGGGTGGTTTAAAGGAGATCTAGTTCTTGCAAAACCGGACCTGTTGTTCCTGCTTCGTTTTTGAGAGACAAGGGTAGAGGGTGATTGAGGAGGCAGAGGGAGGAAGAATGTATCGATTTTCGTTCGGCTTACATGCCAGGGGAGATCAGCTTGCCCTCAGCACGTGCTTCCGGTTTCCAGCCACCAGCGAAGGGAGCACCGCCAATCTCCTTCTCATATTGACGGATGCGGGCCTCCAGCTCGGGGCGGAAGTGGCGGATCAGGCCCTGGATGGGCCAGGCAAAGGCCTCACCCAGAGCACAGATGGTGTGGCCCTCGACCTGCTTAGTGAGCTCCTGGAGCATGTCAATCTCCCGCTCGCGGGCGTTACCCTGCTCCATACGCTGCATCATCTGCATGGTCCACTTGCTACCCTCACGGCAAGGAGTGCACTGACCACAAGACTCGTGCTTGTAGAAGGAGGACAGGCGGGCGATGGCGCGGACGATGTCGGTGGACTTATCCATGACGATGACGGCAGCAGTACCCAGACCGGATTGGGAGTCCTTCAAGGCGTCGAAGTCCATAAGCTGGTCGTCAGCGACGGACTTGGGAATAACGGGAGTCGAAGAACCACCAGGGATAACGGCGTAAAGGTTGTCCCAACCACCGCGGACACCACCACAGTGTTTGTCGATCAGCTCGCGCAGTGAGATAGACATCTCTTCCTCAACGGTGACGGGGTTGTTGACGTGGCCGGAGATACAGAAAAGCTTGGTACCGGCATTACGCTCACGGCCGAAGGACGAGAACCAGCTGGCACCGCGGCGAACAATGGTCGGGACGACAGCAACAGTCTCGACGTTGGTCACGGTGCTGGGGCAGCCGAACAGACCAACAGCGGCGGGAAATGGGGGCTTCAGGCGGGGCTTGCCGGCCTTGCCCTCGATGGACTCGATGAGAGAGGTTTCCTCACCGCAAATGTAAGCGCCCATTCCGCGGTGAATGTAGACATCGAAATCGTAGCCGGTACCGCACGCGTTCTTGCCGAGGAAGCCCGCAGCGTAGGCCTCGTTAATAGCCTGCTGCAGAACAGTCGCCTCCTGATAGAACTCGCCACGGATATAGATGTAGGCAGCATTGGCGTTCATGGCACGGCCAACAACCAAGCAGCCCTCAATCAGCTTCTGTGGGTCCTTCCGCATGATTTCACGGTCCTTGCAAGTGCCCGGCTCGCCCTCGTCAGCGTTGACAACCAGATACCGTGGGCGTGGGTCCTTGTCCCAGTCCTTAAAGTTCATGAAAGACTATAATGTTGAAACATCGACTCCGGTTAGAATGACTGCCACCAAGAGCCACCACAGCAACCCTCCATTTGTGTCCAATTTCATATCGAGTGCCACTTACATATTTCAATCCAGAGGGGAAACCGGCACCACCGCGACCACGCAGGCCAGACGCCTTGATCTCAGAAATGAGCTGTATCACGAACGCAACGTCAGCAATCCGGTTCACTTTCACCGAGCCCACCCGAGGCCATCGAAAAGAAGTTGAATGAACGCACCCAGTCGTGGCCCTTGAGCACGATATCCTTTGTCCGGTGCCAATCACCACCATACTTCATCGCCGACTTCAGATCCGGGCCGTGGTGTCCGTAGAGGTTGGTGAAGATACGATCCTGGTCCTTGAGGCCGCCATAGTGCTTGACGGGAGGAGCCTCCTGCACAGTCGCGAAGGAGCGGGCGGCCGCTCCCTGGGCGCGGAGGGAGCGGCTCGAGAGGTGGGAGAGAGTGGAGGTGGAGGGAGCCGCCGCTCGGGATATCATGATGGCGGATTGAGGCAATGGCGTGGAGAAGGTCAAGCGGTTCTCTGGAGAGAAGGGAAGGGGGAGCTCACGGCAATTCCTGCGCTTTGCTGAACGATCCGTCTTTACGTGGCACCTGATTGGACAATTCCATCACGTGATCTTGCTGAGTCATTGGCTTCCTTATTCGTTCATGACGCAACTTGCACTTGCTTTCTTTGATTTCGTGAGGGGATCGCTCCATCTTTCTATCAAATCAATCTTATCTGATGATTGGAACCCTTAAGTCACTTTGAGCTACTTCGAATTCCCATCTACTCCTGTGGCACATACAAACACCCGAGCTTCGGCATTCCAGGATTATCCGCCTCGAGCACCTGCAGCGGCTCGAGGGGGATCAACACCATTTCCATGTCAACCACCTTGACCGCCCACCGCAACCAGTCTGCATTCAACCATCCAGTTTCCTCCGACAGCCAGACTGCGCCGTCTTGAACTGCCCAATTGTACGCTTCAGCTTCACCAGCAAACCCGATCAACTGCTCCATAGTCTCGGAAGAACCGCTCTCAGCCGCTAGGGAGGATGGAGGATATTGATCAACAAGGAAGTCCACCCAATGGGTGAGACGGGTTGAAAGCTGCGGCCGCGCTTGTGATGAGCGGCTTGTTGCAATCAGAAGAGACAGAACCAAGGCGAATAGCGCCTGCGGGTCAGTCTGCAGCATTGGGATGTGCTGGCCAGCTTGTTCGAGAACGTGGTTGAAACACGCTCGGCTAGCATCTTGCATCTCTGCAGGCAACAGGCCATAGAGTTCTCCCAAGCGGAAAAGTTCACCATTCTTCTTGACGAGAGACTCGCGCTCCAGAATACGCAACTGGATGCGAGACAGCGTCTCTGCGGAGAAACTACCCTCGGGGATCTTGGCCAGATGCTCGTTCAGTAAACTTTTAACGTCATCCCAAGTCTCGCCGCGGACATGTTCCCGCGCACGAGCGAGAGTCCATGTAGCAATGACTAGGGCAGCTTTATCCATCGCAATCTGACCGTGCCGGTACACTTGTGCGAATGTCTGCTTTAAATTCGCAGGCTGCGTAGGCAGATCCTCGGCGGAAGCCCTGAGGATCATGAGGTGCGCAATGAGCTCGAAGCTAATCTGTGATAGTACTGCTAGCGTGCTGTGTCCGCTTCCGTAGGCTGTTGGGATAGATATGCTGAACTCTGTGATCTCCATGGTCTTGCGCTCTCGCTCGTTTGCATGCATGATGGCGAGAGCATTAAACAGGGCTGGTGAAAAGATCGAGTGCTCCATGGCAGTATTGGGAGCCAAAAGAGGGTAGAAGACATTAAAAATATAATAATGATCTTCAATATTCTTGGCCACCTCGGGGAACATCTGCATTTGACGCTCCTTGGCCTGGCTGAGCGGACTATCGGGTTTCACGCCGAGTTTGACGACACGGTAATCCGTTGAATTATTGGTCAGGCAGAAGCCATAGTTCATTAACACTATCCAATGTCAGTAGATTCCAGGATGCATGAAATCTTTGAAATGAAAAGCTTACGCTGTTCATTGTTTCGGGGGCCGTAGTTATTAGAAATCTCTTCGCCGGGAGAGATCTCTTCTAGAACGACCATGCCAATATCTTTCGATCCGGCTCGCCACTCAACCTTTGCCAGAGGCCTATGATTGGGAAGATCAATAAGAGGTAGTAATACCGATACTCCCGAGTCTTCCGTAATCCTTGAGGGATCTATGACACTGGAAAGAACCTTAGGCGAAAAGGCGCGGGAAGAGAGAATAGTCGATGCCCACAAGTACAGATCCCTAGGAATATCAGCTCGGGAATCAACGGAGAATTGAACGCATCAGCATCGAAATTGAGGGTTGTCTCTTACCATGAATACTCCTCAAGACCGGTAAAGCCTAGCTCCTCTAGCTTCGACATGCAATTCTCGTATTTTTCATCCCAAATCTGATATCTTTGCGCCGCTGCTTCGGGAATGCCTGTGCCCTGAAGCCAATCAACATCCTCTTCGTCGAAAAACAGAGGTGTAGTCATCTGGCCTGGCTGGGGCAGGGTCCGCAGATAAGGATACCAAAAGCTTCGAGGGCCACGCAAAAATTGACCCATGAGGAAGAACGTGGATGTCTCCTCGGGTCCAACTGCATCAATAAAGCCACGGGGCAGATCCACGTCATGCTTGGAGAACGAAATTTCGGGTAACTCGAGCCCAATCGCATTGAAATAGGACATCGTCACCGGCAGAGGCGTGCTGAGAACCCTCGTTTCTTTGCTGATTGGCTGAGCCCAGTCTTTCTTGACTTGGATGTGCACGCCGCGCGACTCATCCTGCGCAACACGGACGCAGTCATTGATTTGGCCACCATGGCTGATAATCCAGTCAACCAGCTCCCTATGGGCTTCTAGAGAATGACCGTCATCTCGTCTGAAGTTGGGTTAGGTGATTTGTGTCTGAAGTCTTGAAGATATACGAGGGGCGTAGTTATGATTTCATGGGCCAACTCACTCTGTAGGGGACGTCATGGCTCAAGACAGTATTGCGTTGACTCGAACCCGTCTTCAAATTACGTTTTTGGCAAGACAAAAATCAATTGCTTAGCGCCACAAAACGGGGTAAAGTGATATCATTGCGTGAGAAAAGATTGAGCGGGATGGTGGGCGATCCCGGCCCACTTTTCTTCCCTCCCGCACTGTCTGTTCAGCGCGCACAGAACCAGATACATACAACCGGATCATCAATCTACTGGAAAACAATGGTCCTTGAAGTGAGAATCGGAAGGAAGTATCTGGCAATGCAATCAAAGCATCAGTTCACTACTCTAGGCAACTCAGCTATCGTACAAGGGCATCGACCACCTCAGGATAACCAGACTGGAACCCATAACAATTCTCCCTCCACGATGCATGCGAACTTGTAAAATCACGATCATCAAATGCAACCCTCCCCCAAATTCACCAGACTGATGGAACCATATGTACAGATGCCATGCCCCAGGTAGCAGCATGGATGTAAAACATCCCTGACTAGCGAAAAAGAAGAAGAAAAGAAAAGAGCAAGGCGCAATAGGAAAACAAAAGTGCATCCATCAGACAAATTCCTTCTTAGGTGTATGCGTACGAGGAAATCACTGGCGGATGGGCAGAAAATGCAAAAATGAGAAGCAGAAAGGGGAATCAAGAGAAAATAGAATCCAGCCGGAGTTAGTTTGAGGTCGAGGACTTCCGGCCAGGGACGACGATTTCAACGAGTCCATCATCTTCGCCGTCACTGCTGTCATTTTGGTCATCATCAAAGTGGGAGCTGACAGCCCGCGGCCGGCGGAACCCGCTATAGCGGGTTTGGCCAGGTAGGTTAGAATAACCGAGAGACTCGTTGATGATGGCTTCGTCCTCGTCGTCTGAGTCAATCAGGCCACTGGCACTGGGACCAACCATTTCGCCCATCTCGTCGTCTTCCTCCACTTCGAGGGGCACACGGACGTGTCGTCTGACGGCTTCTGTGCGACCATCACCATCCTCGTCTGACGAGTTATCAGAGAAAGAGTCTGATGGGCTGAAACCGGAGCTGGGGAACGTTGGGGAGAAAGTCTGGTCTGCATTTGCAGCGAAGTCGGTATTAGGGAAGGCCGAGTTACCGCCTTCGGTGTCATCATCAATCCCTGCAATGACAAATGGGTTGGTAGACCACTCTCGTGATTCTCCCTCTTCACCTTTTTCTTCCTCTTCTTCGGCGCCTGCATTTTCAGTCGCCTGCTGTTTCTGGGCGGCAAGACGAGCCGCCAATTGACGACGAGCTCTTGATGGTCCAAGGCTCAGTGGAGCCGGAGGCGGAGGCAAGATGGGAATGGGCTGACTTGCGGAATTTTCAGAGACCTAAAGAAGGGCCTGTCAGTAAAAGACTTGGACTCTCTAGTGATGGGACCGCGCAAGACAAGCTATGAAAAATCATGAAACAAGAACAGACTCGATGTAGAAGCCAGCAGTACCAAAATAGAAGATGATCCAGAAACAAGTGAGTGTGTAAGAGGTCCGCTTCGTCCTTGGTCAAATGGTCCAGTAAAAGAGTAGAAAAATGGTATCGCAAACAAGGCGTACAAAAGGTGGCGAGAAGAGAAAAAAATTCAAAGGTAAATGATCACAGGGACAGAAGTATACAAGGTCGCGGGATGGTGTTCGAGCGCGTCGCAGCATGATCGTCAACGGTGATCCAGAGGAGTTGTACCCACATTCTCGGAATCGCCATGTTCGCCAATGTTGGCATCTCTGTCATCCTGGTCATCCATTTCCTCGTCTTCGTCGTCACTCGAGCTTGCGAAGCCGCTAAGCAAAGAAGTACCACCGCCGCCGACGGCTCCGCCAGACACACTACCTTGGTTGATGTCAAACACTTGGAAAGTAGAGCCACTGATTCCCCCATTCAATCCCGCCTCGGCGAGAGCATTGGAGTTGCTGAAACCTTGGCTGGAGCTAGATGAGCCAATGACGGTTGTTTGACGAGAGCCAACAGCCATGTCCGGGCGTACACCGCCCAAAATGGCGTTATCGCGCTCCCTAGTCTCAGAAAGGGTTTGCTCAACGTAGTCAATCCACTCGGGATTCAGAACCGACTCCATTACAGATCGTGACAGAAGTTCAGGCGGGTGGCGCTCGCTGAATTTGACGACCTCTTCGGCGACTAGCGTAAGGTGGCCCATGTAACCAAGACGGATCTGCTTGGTGCGCTGGGCCTCGTCGCTGCGCTTCTGTCCCTCCACGATTGCGGATGTAATTTGACCAACCTCGAACACGCTAATTGCGAGAGCGCGATTATAACCGCGTTCCATGGGTCCATTAAACACTTGCTGGACCACATCGTAGACGACATTGTGAAGGAAGTTGTTCCAAGGGAATCGGAAGAAGAAACCCTATATAAAGTCAGAATGGAAAATGTGAACGTTACTACAGGTCGGGACTACTCACCAGGATAGTTGGCACCACCTTGTTCTCAACGAACTGGGTCTTCAAATAATCTCCAACCACGGGCCGTCCGTCAGTGTCATACTGAATATACTGCTCGGCAGAATCCTCAGCGCCTCCGTCATTCGCAGGTCCTCTCTCCTGAGCAGATTCAGTGATGGCAGAAGATCCTTCCGGATGATGTTCCGGGTGAGTAGAAGAATCGGATGGCTGATCTTTCGAGGCAAAGAGCGGAGATGGAACATCCTCGGTATTAACAGACCCCGAGACCTGCTCCTTATCCTGTTCAACAGATGTCTGTTGCTCACCGGGCTTTTCATGGTCGAGCTCGATCTCTCCAACTTGATCCGCAAGGCCAGTGGTTCCTGTGGGAGAGTCGGGGTTCTGGGGCGCCTTCGCAGTATCGGGCTCGGCCTTTGGCGCATCTACGGGCGTAGAGTCTGCAGTGGGCTGGGGACATTCTTGTGTAGCCTGTTTGGCCCTAGCCTCATTGGCATTCTCGCCGACCAATACACCAGAGGCACCCACATCCTCGAAGTCCTCCTCTTCCCCAGCACGGGGTTTCAAAGCCTCCGGTGAGCTAACATCCATGGCCGATCCATTGGTGAAATCCACAGTGGTATCGTTATAATCCATACCAGACTGCTCGTCATGGTGAGGATTGAAGACACCCTCCCGAATCAATCTCTCACGTTCAGTATCGCGATGCCGAACATAGTCCTCACTGCCAGGTTCGTTCAGAAGACCCATATTACTGCAGTGAAGCAATTCTGCCATCAATTCACATGTCTTGAAGCGATCAAAGCCGAGGGGCTCGATTTTGGCACCCCATGCGGAGTTCAGCCGGCCTCGATCCACAGATTTCAGCTGGGTGCCATCATGGACAGCGTGCTTGGAGCTTTGAATAAGAGCCATGAAGTCGGGGATATGTTGAGCGAATGAGCGAAGCAGGCTGCCCAGGTAGATCGGGTCATAAGGCGTAGGCATGGAGTCAGGGCCACCGAGGTGCTCGGGGTCATAGTCAGAGTTATTCTTGCGGATGACCTCGATCACAATACCCACGCCCACAGTTAGTGGGTTGCCACCCTTCAGCATTGCATCGATAAGTTGCTGAATACACTCAGGTGAGACGAGTTGTCGGGTAAGGCTGTTGGGGCCAATGCAGGACTGATCATTTGGCGTGGCATTGGCGGAAATGGTGATGATGGCTTTGAGGAAGTCACCTGCGGATGTCTGCACGGAACCGGGGTATTCGGGGGACAGGAAGGAAAGAAGCGTAGGGACTAGGTCCTGCGACTTCAGCCAGTCCACCGTACCTTGGCCTCCCTCGGCTTTTTCTAGACTGATGATCTTGAGCAGGAGATCCATGACCATTGGATTGTCGACATGCTGTAATATCGCGGGAACAATCCCATCAAGCAATTTCAGGAAGTCCAACATCTCCTCCGTCTTTTTATCTAGTAAAGTTTCGTTCACCTTGGTGAAGTAGCTTGCCTGCAGAGAGTCCAGCGGCGCAGGTCGTCGGAGGAAGCCCCAGAAGTCGCGCAAGTACGAGGGATTGGCCATCATCGACTCCAGGATGGACCAAGTTTCAGACGAGAGAACCTCGCACGCCACGTAGGCGTGCTTCAAACGAGTCTTCTCGACCTTATCGAGGTCCTCGGGGTCCAGCACATCTCTCAGCGGGTCGCATTCCTTCTCTTGTTTCCCTTCCTGGTGTTCACTGTCGGCCTGTTCCGATGGTTTTGCCGTGGAGCCTGCATCGCGCGCGGCATCTTTTTCGTGAGAATCATCATCATCATTTTCTTCGTCGTCATTCACCAAGCTTGGTGCAGTCACATAGTCCATAAGCCGTTTCAAGACATGGTCTTCGCGCAGGTATTCTATGAGTTTTGTATTATGCTGTTTCAATTCCTGGATGATCTCCGGCTCATCCAGCAGGTCCTCGAGAGTGACCTCCGGCTTGTCAAGAAGGGTATCGATGGTGGAGATACTGGCATATCCCCCAAAACGCCAGAACATGATGGATTATATAGCCGAAAAGCACGATTCATGAGATGGTTCGTTTCGTGGGTCTCCGAGATATCGTAACGGAGTGGACTATGGTACACGGGGTGGGAGTGGGTGGATTGAAGGGTTCGAGGGGGCGCTGAGAGGGGGTTTTCGCCGGACAGCGCGATACACCGGAAGTGTGTCCACACAGAGGGAGTCGCGGGCGGTCCAGCGGGGGTAGGGAGAGAGATTTGACCGTGGCGTTTGCCCCTGCAAGGCAAAAAAAAAAAAAAAAAAGGAGAACGGTATAGATCGAAACGAATCTAGCGCTGGGTCTGAGGGTCAGCGATCCAGCTCGAATGGTTGCATCAATCACGGAGCTGATGGTGTGCACCCGAGGGGAGACTCAATCTTCACGGGACGGGACTCCCACGCCGATCAGAAGGCTCGGATGCGATAAAGCCGCGCAGAAATTCGTGAGATGCAACGAGCTTGACCACGTACCTTCGAAATCAAGAGAGCGACGAAGAAAAGAGGGGAGGGACTGAAGGCCTCCCGGGGTGGGTGGTGGATGATGGGAAGGGGAAGAACTGGAGGAGCGGGAGAGTCAAAATGCGGGCGGGAATGCAGGACGACTCACTACCCGTCCATCAAGGAACCAGGTGCAAGACGGACAGTTCGGGGCACGCGTGAGTGGGTTTGAGGAGGTTTGAAGATGAGAGGATCAGATACCAGAGCCACGAGCAGGGGCGGGTCGTGGTATTTGGTACATGTAATCAAGTCCGGGCTTTGCAGCTCCGACCAGGGCAGCGATAAGCCCACGGGGCCCCCGGGATTGCATCCTGGCCAGGATCCGGATGTTCTCGAAGGGATGGTCTATGCGACAGCATCTCTCTACTCAGATTGCCTGGATGTCCATATGGTCCATGTCTCGCGCGTCTAGTTGATGGCCTACGATCTCATGCTACAGGGGCGCTCATGTAGATATCCATCTTCCTCCCTCTTCCTCCCTCTTCCTCCCTCTTCCTCCATATCCCTCCATATCCCTCCGCGCGTGGGTGTGAAGAAGACAGCAGAACCGAGAGATTCCGATCCTGGAGACTGGACTTTCCCCGGATATAACTGTGGCGTTCAGGTTAAGATCCTTTCGGAATTCAGTCTGGGGGCGTCCAGCATCTCGAGATATCATCGGGGGCGGGATCGAATCTCAGCAGTTCCCAGGGCGCTTCCCAGGGGGGGAAGCCGAGGCTCATGGACCCTAGTTCACATTGTCAATAGACCTGATCGTGTCCCCGATCAGGTGTCCTCCTCCGGTCATCTGGGTCGGACATGGTGAGCATCGGCGGGTACAGATCGACCCAATCGACCCAGTCGACCTCATCGAGATGTCTGGCCAAAGCTCAATGTACTGGGTACGTCCAGTGGGCACCGAGGGGTAGTGGACCACATGGGTACCCGGTACTCCGCCCTGCCCAATCCACTGCCCAAGCAATCTCGCCTGACGAGGTGGGATGGCCCCTACAAACTGGGACTGGATGCAGATGGCCTCTGCATAATGTCCTGCTGTTATCACTTGCATGACTATGATGGTTCCCGTACCATGTGTCATCGGACAGAATCAATAGCCCGTAGCAGAGGATATCGTCAAACCTTCCCAGGTGCGAGTCGAAGCGATTGATATTCCACTAATATTCCGCCATCACGTGTTTGTGGCCTGAGGCCCCACTGACGTCGTGCTCCGCATTATCGGTGCCTGCGGACGATCGTCTGGATGCGGGACACAACAAGTGGACAAGCATTCGAGTCATTCGTCCCTGACCCCTCCCCATAACTCCCACCGCGCTGGTCACTGGCAACTGGCAGTTGCTTGAGAGTGGTCCAACAGGGAATTGTATGGTTGACATCCCCTACTGAGAATTTGACGGCCCTCTGAATCGGCCAACATGAATCGTTTATTTGGCACGAAGAGTGCGGCTCCCAAGCCGACGCTGGACGGCGCGATTTCGAAGGTAGAAGCTTACTCTTTCTGATCTACTTTGCGATTATTTAGATTCGTCTCTCTAACTCCTCCCCGTTCGCAACAGGTCGAAGGCCGCGTCTCCAGTATCGACGTCAAGCTCGCCGCTCTCAATAATGAGCTCTCCACCTACCAAGCAAAACTCGCCAAGATGCGCGACGGGCCTGGCAAGCAGGCTCTGCGCCAAAAAGCGCTCAAGGTACTCCAACGGCGGAAGCAGTACGAGGCGCAACGCGATCAGCTCTCCCAACAATCCTGGAACATGGAGCAGGCCGGCATGATGCAGGACAACCTTCAGAATGTCATGACCACAGTGGACGCGATGAAGACTACGACAAAGGAGCTGAAGAAGCAGTATGGCAAGGTCGATATCGACAAGATCGAACGCATGCAGGACGAGATGGCCGATCTGATGGAGGTCGGCAATGAGATCCAAGAGAGCATCTCGCGGGCCTATGATCTTCCGGAAGAAGTGGACGAGGCCGACTTGGACGCCGAACTCGAGGCTCTGGGCGAAGAGTCCATGTTTGAGACGGAGATGGGGGCGGATGCGATGCCGAGCTTCTTGCAAGACGAGGTCGCTCCGCCACAGTTTATTGACGAACCACCGGAACAGGCGAAGGTCAAAGAGGCTGCTGGAGGAATTGGCTAATATAGTTTCTTTTCTCCAATATGAAATGGGAAAGACTGGGTATTCATTGGTGGATGATCAGTCCAGGGATCTATTATTCTTTTTTTATTTTTCTCTCTGTTATACTTCGTTACATGGAGACGCGCGAGTCACGACAATTTGTTTTCATTAGTGCGAAAATATCATATGCAGCGTTTTCATTATCAAATAATCGCTATCGGTCTATGCAAAGTTCTATGTATGCAATTGTATGATAATATGTAGAGAGGGTGAACCGAAATGGCAATTGCCCCTAGGGCTCCAGCGCAATGCATAAACAAAGTTAATATACGCAGGAGGTCAATGGTGAGTCAGCTACGCTTTGCCCATCCCGAGCAGGACAAGCAAGGCCACATTCATGATCACAATGAGTAACCAGACGAGGCCAGCAATCACAGACAGAATAAAATGGTTTCGCATAGACACCTGCCCGACCTCAGCCGAGCCATCGCCCTCAGCGGCCTGTTCGGTGGGGACGGTCATGTAGCGACTGAAGCATGTGAACCAAATGAGCGGGGCCGAGACAAATGGCAGAATGACACTGAGACAGACTTGGCTCGCTGTTAGCGTCTTATCCAATCCATTCTTGCCAACAGCAGCTGCAATGATGATACTCGGAATGATGCTGATAGAACGAGTAATGAGTCGCCGCATCCAAGGGCGGATACTCCATCTTAGCATGCCCTCGCTGACCATCTGGCCGGCCATGGTGCACACTATGCCCGCGGAGATACCAGACAAGAGGAGGGCCAAAGCGAAGATCATACCGGCCGCTTTAGAGATGGATGAAGAGAGTAAGTCGTAAATTCCAAACAAGTCGGCGCTAGCTCCTCCGGGAACGTCATAAAGAGAGGCGCCGGCGACGATGAGAATGGCGCTGTTGACAAATAGGGCAAACGTAAACAGCGACAGTGCCAATTCAATGATGGAATACTTCAAGCAACCTCGGATGGCATGGAGAGTCGGACGATACTCCACCTCACCGCCGTTGCTTCCTAGAGGCACGGTAGAGTCAACATAACCTGAATTGACGTCAAACTCCTTCAGGCGAGACTGGACCACGCCGCTTCCAAGAAAGAGGGAATGTGGCATCACGGTGGCACCGAGGATACCGCAACTTTGGTAAAGACTAGATAGCTCATATCAGCAAGATCGATATCTCTGAATATGGCTGAGGTAGGATCGCTTACCCTTCGGACTGCACAATGGCAGACGACGGCAAATACCCCCTGAAGACTTCTCCCACCGATTGTTCTTTGATCAGGGATAGCTGAATGCAAAAGCAAATCACTACGCCTAGAACGAGAGCCATGACGAAGAACTCAAAAAGGCGTAACCCCCACATGGACCCATTTGGGCGCCAAAAAAGGAGTAAGAAAAAGACATCCACCAGAGTGATAGCGCATCCAGCTACCAAGGGGATGTTGAGTAAAAGGTTCAACGAAATCGCAGATCCAACCACCTAATTTTGACTATGAGCTGGGGGACTACATGGTGGGGAGAAAATCGGGCGCAAGACAGCGCAACACATACCTCGGCAATATCAGTGGCAATGATGGCTGCTTCTGCAAAGATATAGAGGATAATAACCAGCCAGCGGGGAAGGTGCTCCCGGCAGTTCTCTGCCAGATTGAGGCCGGTCACTGTCCCCAGCTTGATGCACAGAGATTGCAGAAGGATTGCAAACAGGTTGGAGAGGAGAACGATGAACAGTAAGGCGTACTTGAACTCCGCACCGGCCGAAACATCGGTTGCGTAGTTTCCCGGATCGATATAGGCGACGGCGATAAGAAAACCAGGGCCCACGAAGCGGCTAAACTTCACCAGGCTACGGGCACAGTGCAGCGCAGACGAAGAGATTACATTTTTGAAGGGACGGCGAGGTGATCCGCTGGTCCTCGAGGTTGTCGGTTCACAACCCGAGGCGGCGGCGATCACTTCACCGTCCGCGGTCTTCTTGATCTCAGGATCGCGGCTTTCAAAACTGTGCGGGCGCGGCTCAATGGACATCGTATCGTCACCCGTGCCTGTGTTGGAGGCATTCTTGCGATGCACTCGAGCATTAGCGATGCCGTTGAAATCATTGCGGGTGGTGGTGTCCGGACTGAACGGTGGCGGATTCTGGTTCCAGCCCGGATGCTCGAGAGTGTCGTCGTTTCGCGAGGGGCAATTCATGGCGGCCGATTGGTAGGGATCCCATCCAAGGGGGAGGGGACGTCAGAAACGTTTAAATAGTCCTTGCAGAATCGGACATCACACGCCGATTGAGATATCGGGACGAGACTGGCTACCGAGAACCTTGTGAGCGATGTGGGGGAGGGTCCGACTCTGCCCGATTTTCGTGATGGCGCGGCAATGGCCGTCCAGAGCCAATGACTGTCGTCACGGCGGGTCTCGCCTAGACTGCGCGAAGACTCACCGTGCACACCGGGCACGTAAGGGAAATGAGCAATGGGAAAGGATGAGAGAATTAGAGTGTTGCCTGCAGGTCTCACTTGTCTTGGACGGGCTTGGATGTCTTGGATGGCCCGCAGGCGTTTGCAGATTGGCCTTATCAAGGAGGGGCGTCGCAAACGGCAGGGCGGATCGCGAGTTCCACCCCACCCCATGAACCCGACCCGATGAAGCTATTTATGTTCGCTCGTTCTAGAGTATAGAGCTCCAATCCATCCCGATCGCTGCGGTGCTACCCAATTTTCCCGGAACAAAGTTCAAGGCATGAGCTGGGAATGACGGTCTCCGCATACACGGGACGTGGCCAAACAGGGTCTACCCCGGCCAGACATCGGAAATCAGGAATCCATCGGAAGAACAACCCTACAGTGTATTATTGTTATTCGTTTTTTTGTTGTTTTTTTTTGACTAAAAAGGGCAAAAAGTAAAATTATTTCCTGATTCAATTGGAAAAACTTATGTGTCCCCACCCAGTTCAGTTGCGACCGTTGTGGAAGTATATAGATAGTTCCATCTTCATGATCAAGATGTAGAATATATACTTCAAGACCCTGCCCTGCCACTGCCCTGCCACACTGAGCCTACATTCATGGGAAAGACGCTTCGTCGACCAAATATATCAACCCTGAGCTCAAGATCAGACAAACCCTGTGTCTCCTTTCCACACCCCCCAAAACAGATTGATGCACACAGCCCCAACCAGCATCGCCCCCAAGGAGTCTCGCCATGCACATTGTCCATGATTCGGCCACCTTCACCGCCCGACCGACGCCAACACCAATGCCAACAACGCGTTGCCCCTCGCAACCTCTTCGCCCGCACGTTGTTTACTCCTCCACCCGGCGATCCAGCCAACCCCAAGGATCGACTCACCACGCTAGTTGTACCGGTCGAGGCGAGTGGGGATCCGATCCTCGATGTTGCCGTTGAGACACTGTTCAAATCCCCCCGGCTGCCCGGATTTTGGATTCTTGTTTTCCTCTTCTTCGTCGAGCTCTGTTCCCCTTCTTCGATCTTGCATAGCATTTTGTTTTCTGCATTGATTCCTGTTTGTTTTTGCTTTCGTTTATTCGCCGGACTGTTACTTGACGGTCCAGTTGCGCTTGTCTGCTCGGTTTCTGCTCGCGTTTGTTTACGTTTCAAAGATCCCGTAAGTGCGACGGTCCCTACCCGCGCCATCGAGGAGAACCGATATGCTAATGCGCAGGCAGTTGCTGGTCAAAGAGGATAAGCAATGGCTCCCAGTACTTCCGGCCCTCATATCTTTGATGACGCCAACCGTGCTCCTGCCCGAACCTCGGTTTTCAGGGCGATCATGTCTTCCAAAGCCCATAAACGAAACCAATCTGCCGACGACGCCATGCCCCCACCATCAGTGAACAAGCAATCGGGGCCTGGGCCTTTCCCATGGACGGAGCAGGCTGCTCCCAGCTCGGGTCATCTTCCGCTGGGGGAGATCGTCCCCAACCGGGACGCGGGCGATAACATGCCTGGCCAGAGACCCAACAACAAAGAGAGCAAAGGTGCTCTCCATAAGAAGACCAAAAGCGCAGTGTCTCTCAAGTCGTTGAGAAGCTACATGGAACGAAAGGACAATAAGTCTGACGAAAGATCCATCGTTGATTCAGAGGAAATGAAGCCTAAAAAGGCTAAGTCTTCTAACAGCCTATCTGCTATTCTCAAACGGTCCCAGCGGGGGCGCAAGGATGGCGCAAAGCAGAGCCGCGATAAAGAAAACCGAAGCCCCACAGATCTGGTGGACAATATGCCATCTCCACTTTGGCCTCAAGAGAACCCCCTCTATCAAGCACCCAGTAGCCGATCCAGGCAGAACTCTACAGCGGACAGGCGTCGCAGTGTCGCCGAGGAGGTTTCGCTCTACACACCCAAGGGATACAGCCCAGCTCAGCAACGAAACTTTTATGACTACCATCAGCCCTCTCTCACCCGTACCGGAGAGGCAAAGCCTCGACCCAAGTCGGAATGCCTGGCGGGAAATCGAAAGATGAGGGATGTGATGGGCTCTCTCCAAAGGGCTCCAACCGGAGATAATGTCTCAATTGATAGTGCTTCATCGAAGGGAACAGGACTGACAAGGGCGAGAAAGACATCACCCTCCGAGTCCCCTGCTCCCCCGGCCAAGGATCAGGCCAACCCGAAGAGACTGTCTCGGGTTCAGGCGGCCATCTCGGCTTTCAATGCAAAAGAACGGGATGCAGAGGTACACCAGCATTTGAATTCCAAAGATCTGGAAAGTGAATTTGAGAAGTTGCTGGTTTGTATTCCCCAAAGAAACTCCTGGATTGCTCTTGTGGACTAACATGGGGCTAGGATGCGAGAAATATTCCTCACAATATGCGTGATAAGATGCGGTCTCTTGATACCAACATCAAGGCTGATTTTATCCAGAAGGATCGGTTTGAAAACGGCACTCCCCACAGTGCCGGGGCTCCAGACAGCCGCCGTGGTCGTGGAAAGGAGTCCAAGGATTCCCAGGACCGCAAGGGCTCACGGTCACGTTCTCGAAGCCGTGGGTTTACCTTTGGCCGGGGCTCTTCATCGCCTGGCAAGAAGGCTCGCCCAGATAGTGGGACTTTCAGCCGGCCAAGATCAGTGGATCTGTCGCAGCCTGTGGGTGTTTACACTACGCTCTCAGCCGCAGGGTCAACGGCTTCTCTTTCTGAAGCAGCAGCTGTCGACACTGCCGCTGACCCGTCTGATTTTGTTCACTACCTGCGAGAGATCCAGAAACCAGAGATGATCGAGGTGGGCAAGTTGCACAAACTCCGTCTTTTGCTCCGAAACGAAACCGTAAGCTGGGTTGATGGTTTCATTGCCGAAGGAGGCATGGATGAAATCGTTCAACTCATTTACCGTATCATGAAGATGGAATGGCGGTACGTTACTTTAAGTCCCAACCTGAGTCATGAGCATGTTCTAACCTACTTTTACAGAGAGGACCATGAAGATACCCTTCTTCATGAAGCGCTGCTTTGTCTAAAGGCTCTATGTACCACATCCATTGCCTTGGCACATCTGACTAGCATTGAGGCCGAACTCTTTCCGGCTTTGCTCAAAATGCTATTTGACGAGGAGAAGAAAGGTCCTAGCGAGTTCACCACTCGGGGAATAATAATCAACCTCCTGTTCACTCAGCTTTCGGCGGTTTCTCCCAATGAGCTACCCTCCAAGCGTGCCATGCGGATATTGTCATACTTGAGAGACCCATCTCCAGAGGCGGATAATCAGCCTGTATCCTTCATCGCCAATATATACCAGTCTCGGCCGTACCGTGTCTGGTGTAAGGAGGTAACCAACGTCACCAAAGAGGTCTTTTGGATCTTCCTTCACCACCTCAATGTGATTCCTACGCCCAAAGCAGATCCCAAGTCTGATGATCCCTTCACGGAATCCCGCCGATTGGAGGCAGGCCCCTACTATCAGCGGCATTTCCCTCCACCTCGCCCTCCTGTGCCCGCTGCCCCGTATGTCGGAGGCGTTGAGTGGGATGCAACCAACTACCTTGCTGTCCATCTTGACCTCCTGAACGGATTGATTGCCTCTCTACCAACCACAGATGAACGTAATCAACTCCGATCCGAGCTCCGTGCCTCTGGGTTCGAGAAGGTGATGGGCGGTAGTCTGCGGACCTGCAAGGAGAAGTTCTACTCATCCGTTCACGACTGCCTTCGCACCTGGGTTGCTGCCGCCGTTGAGGATGGCTGGCCCTACCTCCTTGTTCGCGAAGGTCCCCCTCGTGCCGGCGAGCCCGGTTCACCTACGAAATCTCCCAAGAAGTCTGCTCCGGGTAGCCCGAAGAAGGGGCTCCTGGATGAAAAACCACCAAAGCTCGACCTGGCTTTGGACTTTTCAGACAGCCGACCTGCCGCTTCAGGCCCTTTGACCCCATCGAGTGATCTGCGCAGCTGGCTTTGAATGCTACCCTCTGGATTCCAACATATCCGAGGCAGCATTTTTTTCACTTCTTTTCTTGTGTTTCTTTTCACCCTTTTCCTATGGTCTTCTCCGTTCACGTTTCATGACTAGGCGTTATGGGTCATATTTTCCCAAGAGAGTCGCACCAAGAGATTGTTTCTTTGGTTCCTTTGATTCGCCTTGTTGGAGTCTCTTTCCTCTTTTTGCTATTTCTCCGGCGTTGGCATTCCTGGTGTTGTTTTGGAAGTTTGCATATTCATCGTCTGGTGAACTGCTGGCGATGTAATGAATTCAAGATACGTTGCAGGTGGCGGGAGAGAACAGACTGCAAGGAGACACTTTGAACTTGATGCTCCTATGCTCTCTCTCTTTCCCTGGACTAGTGACGCCTGCTGTTTTTAGTGTATTTGCTCATGAACGACAGAAATGAGAATTGAATGATTTGTCACTGATTACGCTTTATCATTTGCCCTCTGTTAAGCATCATGATGTCAAGTGGATGTCGAATGGTTTGAAAGACCATAATACAGGCAAACAACACAAAGCTTGGTTTTTTCTTGAACGGCGTGTAAGTTTGTTTTATGAAGTAGGCTCGCATGCTACATGTAGTATATATCGTACATTTCAATGAAATCAACCATTTACAGAAGTCTCATGATTGCTCTTTCATCATTTACCGTTTTGTGATTCAGCTCCATTGTTACCATCAGCTCTCTTGACCGGGCCGGGAGGGGGAGGGCTGGAAAACACAGCTGAAATGCCCGAGAAGACGCCCTCTCGAATCTGCAATTAAAAAAAGTGTTAGTAGGTGACTGTCGTTGATGACCCAAATAGGTATTTCCAATACTCACCCCATCAAACGGTGTATCCTTGGTATCCCAGTTCATGAAGAGTACCGCATAGATCGCGACAACTGAAGGTACAGATCAGCAAATAGAACCTCGGCAAAAAAGGTCCATCTCTTGCAGATTCAAAAAAGCCTCCGAAATATACTTACATCCAATAATAATCCACTGTGTCAAGGTGACCATCTTGATGAACTTGGGCCGGGCATATTTCAGCGCAGCGCGACGCCGATACTTGCGCTCCAGCCGGAACTGATGCTTCGGGGAGAGCTTAGACATATCCGGGGGCCATTGACGCTTAGGCTTGTAGGCATTGTAGGGATCTTCTTCAGGGTATTCGAAGGGCTTGTGCTTGTCGGTAGAGAGGCGGAAGGGCGAAGCATTTTGGACTGCGGAGGATGCGAAAGGCGTCGGGATCGTGCTGGAGAAGAGTCGGGAGGAGCGAAGGGAGAGCGGTGTTGAGTTCTGGGGATTGCAATTAGGTCAGGTAATCATCTTTAGGTATCGAGATCTTTGCATGCTAATCGTACAGCGTAGAGCCATGTTGACTGTCTGCTGGCTTGGCTCTTGAGAGTTGCGACTGAGGTTGGGGACGCGAGGCGCGCCGCCGGAGCAGCGGCAGTAATAAATTGTCGGATCATGTAGCGCGCTTCCTGCAGGCCTGAGTACGTAAGAACTGGGGTTTTTGGGGGTCTAGCACTGATCGAGAGTGGGTGGGACGAGGGGGAAGATTGAATAATTGGAGTTGCGCGGTCGAGAAATCATCCAATTCGGCCTGGTCTTCCGATCTCCGCAGGCTCTCCGCATCCACGTTTTTTTGGCACAAGAAACGCCCACTGGGACTTGCATCACCACAACCTGTGCTCAACACAAGAGAAAAGAGCTAGATCCCGTCTTGCTCTTCATATGGGCATCTTTGGCTTCTCGGATTGAAAATCTATTTGTGAGCTTTTTTTTTCACCATTTTCCCCCTTATCTTTTCATTGGCAGGATTAGATAAGACGTCAATTTGAGAACTACTCTCTGAGCAAAGAATATATATCTTTGCCTTTGTGACTACGAATTTTTTTTTCTTGAAATCGAAGATATTGCAGAATTTGCAATGCAAATGAAATCATGTCGCTTGCTAGTATATGGGTTCGAAATCTTGGCTGGCTTTTCTCCCGGATACAATAACATTCTTTACAGTGATATCCTGGCACATGATCGATCCAAGCACCAGAATTGTGGTCAACTTTCGAAATTCTAGAATTACTCAATATTGAAAACATCGTCTAAAGAGTCAGACATCTAACACGGCTCTTGATATTGTGTTCAGGGAGGCGGCTGGACTTTGGCTTCTCCAATTTGGTGCCGACTCAAACATTTTCGGACTATCAAATAAGGGAAATCAGACGAGAAGGGCTTCGCAAAAGAACTGTAGAGGATTACAAAGACGTATCGCTTCTCCGATACGCAATTGTGTGAGGGGATTGAGATAGAGTTGACACAGTGATGAAAATTGAGGACTATAGCGGTAGAAACACGAAGTGAACGACGAGGGTGAACGGCGCGAGTTAAACTTAGTGATTGTCTCATAAGGCACAAGCGATTAAACTGTTATATTCGATCAACTATATCTTTCAAAGCTTGTTAAGGTAGCGCGGATGCCGAGTGGAATTGTTAGGGCATGGTTGGGAGGCACATGATCGGCAGCTTCCTTAACAAGCTGATATTGCTTGAACTTCATTTTCAAGACTCGGGATTTCACCAGAGTCTTTGTCATTCACTTGGTATTTCATATCATTACTCACTTCTGAACAGTTCTCGGTGCGCCCGACTGATGGCGCCGCTGATCACTCGACAGAATCATTCGCTTTCCCCTTCGGCGCCTGGCTATGGAAAAGGTCCGTCAATCGATCCAGTTCCAGTGACGAAGTCCATCGACCCAAGCGTCTTCGGTGAGCTTTTCGCGGGAACTATTGGGATATTTGTGCTTGCGGTTTTGTTCTGGAAGGGAGGCAAATTCATGCGCTCGTTGAACCGACACAAGGTAGTGAGAGAAGGCAAATTGACGACGACCCGATACTCAAGGACCTGGTACGGTTGGGTTGCAAGAGAGACTCATGAGAGAAACAAATTGTTTCTCCGCAAGCTATTCAAGCCTGTTCTACGGTGGATGTCTTGGAAGTCAACCCAGGCAGACTATCAATGGGTCTGGTGGAATCCTGGGCAGGAGGTGATGACAGAACGCCGGCACAATGGGCGACGATCGAAGTGGTTACCAGAAGGTCCTCCAAGCTGGAATTTTCCCTCTGCTGATGAGACGCGAGGACTTCCAATACCTATAGGATGCCATGGAGCATTATGTGATTATCCAAATCCTGACTTACTTCGACCCACAGAAGCTTTACGAATATCAGGATGCTCAGAAAGAAATAATGATCCGCAGCCACGAGTCAGCTTGAGTCAAACCGGCAGAGAAGAAAGAGGGACTTCTTCCACATCGCAGGAAATGTTTACGCCACCGTCAATATCTCACCAAAGTGGCTCCGATGATCAACTTGATGTGGATCCGTCGTTTGATAGGAGAGGTCCAAATAGTCTCCCAAAATTGGCAGAGGATTCTCAATCGCCATCAACCCCAAGAAGCACACGATGCTTTCCACAAATGGTGGCATCACAGACGGATCTACGGACATACCGAACGCTGCACCCTTCAAATTGTTTGCACATGACACACAGTTCTTTTAGGCTGACTGAGCCTGGACGCTGCTTACCAGTAAAAGAATGCTCCAGAATCTTGACACAAAACCTTCATCCAACTAGACTTGGCCGATACTCTCAGTCAAGAAGACACCGAGGATGGTCAGCAAGGATGCAGATTGACGCCAAAAAAAGACATGCTCGTGTTGATCTGAGAGATTCGTCCGGGCCCCCTGGAACACCTCTCACAGATTTATTGGCCAGTTTTCTGTCCGAGCAAAGCTGCAGCAGCGTTGCAATCGATCGAATCCATGAAGACACGAGAGGCGCGAAGAGTCTCAATTCAAGTCCATTCGCTAGAATTGACCACCGCCATATACGAACGGAAGTGCCATATCTTACCTCTCCAAAGGTTGTCTCGAGCACTAACAAATATAAAAGTGCGCCGGTTCGAATTCGATCAATCATGAGTACAGAAGTGCTTTCTGTATCCCCTCATAACTCGCCGTGGCACTCATGGCGAGAAATAAAGAGGCCGAAAATTTGCGGAAACTTAGCACATGATGTTTGGGAGCCTGCTACCCCGGTGAAAACCCAGTGCCCACCTTTTTTTGGCCCCTTTGATGGGTCCACGGTCGAGATCACAAGGCGCAAGGACACCCTCCATGATTGGGAGATCCGACTGGTTGATCGACTAGATCGCAAACTAGGATGGATGTATAATGAGACAACGCCTGGACAAAAGCCTTATCATTTTGCTCTGCTTGCCAATCATTGGCTAAATAGAGAAACCTGGCTGGTGATTGATCCAGTCTCGCGAGTTCCGATCCATCATCGCCGCCAGTGGGGGGATCCACGATTCAACGTACCTTACCCAGAACCTGGCCATAACTCTAGACCCAAGTATCCGGCTGCGATTCGGAAGAGAGCACAAATCCCCCGAATTGATGCATGGCGTGCGGCAGTCAACAACCAAAGACGTGCATCAGGGATCCGAGACGTTCTTCGAACAGTGGAGCTCTATGAAGATTCAGCGGAGGAACCACCTGATGGGAAGATTGATCCAGCATGCTGGATCTTGCCCAAGCCACCCCAAGGATTTTCAATGTCAACTTCTCAGAGAAATGCATGGTATGAAGGAGGCGCTGGATGGCAAGAGACACTTGACAATTGGCAGCAAGTCCGCCGAGGATATCGCCTTCGCAAGATTATCCATGAAGGCCGCGCGAATCGGAATCGAGTGAAGGAAATTGCGACGCAAATCAATCGAGGGAGTCGCATCACGTCCCTCAAGCTGCTTCCCAGGGAACGTGAGCAGACGGTGCATTCCAGTCAAGCTGTGCCCCAATGATTCCACTCGTCTTCGTTCCTTTCAGCTTCGAACTTTAACTATCGTACGTATAAAATCGAACATTCGGGAAATTGAGGACACGATCGAACATATATACCGCTTGTATCGCGTTATCCTTATCAACCCTATCCTGTCGTGACCGTTCCACTTTTACAGATTCCTAGATCTAGACACTCTGAATGGAATTCGCTCCCGAAATGAAGAAAATGAATTGGGTAACAAGTTCTAAAAGCTAGTTAATGGAGCAATATAGACCAGCACTGTGTTTTCCCACTGGGTACAGGCGTTTTTTCAATTGCCAAAACTCCGGAAAGCCTTCGTATATTGTTTGAGGCCAGGTCACCTCTTTGTCGACGAAATGACGTGTGTTTGGTGTGTATAGTACAAGGCCAGTAGCAAATCTGCGCAAGAGATGCACCGGCGGTTCGTAGGGGATATTGTTCTTTGAGAGGTACGGTGATCGCGGGTTTAGAAACCAGGAGGGTTCACACGTTGGCTGACACGAGTCCACTTCGGCAGCTCTGGAAATTACAAAAATCAGTTCAGCTGATCCATAATTGAAACTCTGAGACCTCGGTACTGTCTCGCAGTTAGGGATCGTACTGTGAATGCTCTTCCGGTAAGTCTTCTCCTTCTTATCAAAGATGGTGTATTTGTCTTTGGGAAGCATTTCCTCCTCGCGCGGCATTTCCGCATACCATCGCTCAACAGCCTTTGTGCTCTGTCCATTGCGAGAAAGGGCGGCACTGAGAGTATCGACTACTCGGTCGACTGCGCGCAGGCGTTTGCGCTGCCGGGCCTTCTGGGGTGCGGAGAGACGCCACGGAGTCTTCCTGTCGGTTAGGAAAAAGGAATTATTAGCGACACATGCAGGAATGGAACGTGAATCTCCTGTACTCCATACCAAAGAAGACCCCCAAATAGGGCATTTGTGGGCTTGAACATGTTGCTGGTTTGAGAAGAGAAGTTAAGGGCGCGGCTTGAAAATCGTGCGCGAAGTCGGAACTGCAATTGGCCCGTGCGCCGTCCCGTATAGATGCCGCGGGAGGTCGCTGTTGAGTGAGACGAGAAAGAACGGAACCTGATGGACCGCGCAATTGGGGCAGACGTTCACTTTGAAATGAACAAATTAAAGGAGCCAACTCATCGATAGACATTGAAGAAGTTGGAACCGGCGACTCCAACCTTGTGAGTGAGTATTTACCCCGGGTTCGGTCATGTGATCACGAAATATTAAATGTGTTCGCCGAGCAGTTGTTGGCTTCTTCCTCTGCGCAACCTCGTCTCCTCCCAGTAATTAGGGGGTCCAATTTTACCCAGGCCACTCGAAGTGAGCCCGCGACTCGATTCTCGTTCATGGAGTTCGTATAGAGTCGCGTTCCGACACCCAGCACCATGGACTCCGGCACAACAGCAGATGCCCCATCACTCCCCTGGCGGGCTTGGTCGAACATGACCATGTGGGGAGTGGCCGGCCTGTGCCGTGGATTTCTCTCGGTATTAAGCCACGCGGAGGTGCATGGTGGCGAGGCTTTTACCGCGTTGTTGGACTCGCGGCAGGATCCGTCGCAAAGATCGAAGGGTCTGATTACAGGTATTGATCCCACGTCCTCATAACGTCAATTGAATGACATTCGCTGACAAGCCCTGTCAATTTAGTATCGAACCATATCAGCGTGTACGTTCCTACGAGCAATCCTTGATGTTGAGGCAGTTCACCCAATCTTCGGAAATAACTGACAGGATGTCGGGGCGCCTAGCATGGATGATCCCTTGATTTGGGGTCTGCTCCCGATGAGGTTCTGGAACAAACGGTGGTCCTTTGGCAGCCATGATATTTGCTTTCAAACTAGGTACATACAGCTCCAGAGGAAATGCGGGTTGCCTTGTTCTTGTTCTGACTTCAGTCATCCCTTGCAGACCTCTGTCGTTTTTCTTTGCGATGGGTCAAGTTTTACCTACGCACCGCCTAGCACATTCACAATTTGGGGGACTTGGCCAGCCCGCCATGACTCAAGCCATTCGACTCTTGTCTCAGGGTCCCTTCCCCGTGGACCACCACCGAGCCAAACCCGAACTCCAGAGCTTCAGCCTCGAGAATGTCTGCATTGATCCCTTCTCGGATCTCTCTGTCGCTTATACTACTAATGGTGAAGATGCCCACTTGGCACCTTCTGCGTACTCTTGCAATTCCTACTCCTGGGTTCATATATTCCCCGAAGGCAAGATTCACCAGGCGCCCCGGAAGACAATGCGGTACTTCAAATGGGGAATTGCGCGACTCATCCTCGAAACGAAGGAATGCCCGGACATTGTTCCGATGTGGATTGAGGGCGTCGATGATATCATGCACGAAAGTCGCGAATTCCCACGATTCCTTCCCCGCCCTGGCAAGAATGTCAGCGTGACCTTCGGTTCAAAGGTGGATTCCGAGGCGGTTTTCGGAGACATGCGCTCGCGCTGGCAGAAGCTGAAAGCCAAGGTTGAGGCAGCCGATCCTCAGTCTCGGGATCTCCCCGTTGGTGTCTTGAGTGAAGAGCTCTTGAATAATAAGGAAGCTGTTGAGTTACGTAAAGAAGTTACTAGGAAGATTCGGAACCTTGTGTTAGAGGTTCGCCGGACGCGTGGTCTTCCAGATGAAGATCCCAAAGAGGGCCTCGTTGAGACATGGCTGGAGGAAGGCCATAAACGCGAAGGCCACATGAAGGATGATTCCTGGGTTCGAGACATTTAAACCAGTTTGTAAAACTACTTTGTAAATAGCATGTATACATTTTATGATAGAGCTTTTTAGCACTGTTCTTTGCTCTCTTGGCTTTCGTGAGGCTTGGCCCGGGCGATGTCCGTGGGGGCGGATAACGATGACGATGCGGGCAGCTCGGCTCGGGCATTTGGTCTCTTCCACCCTGTCAATCCTCTCTAAAATCGACCTCTCATGCCCAAAAAGCAGAAGAGATCTTTCGTTTATAAGCCCAGCAGCAGCTCACACCCTTCGCTCAACTGCACGCCTCGTGATAATGGCCAGCTACGAAGACCCACAGGCTCTACCCTCTCGGATGCGCCCTCAGTCAATGATCTGATCGGTCACCTTCGTCGCACCCAAGTCCCTGCGCTTTCTGACAGCGGCCCGGAAAGTCCATCCCGGGCTTTTGCTTCTCATCGCTCAGTTCACCCTTCTCTGCGTAACCTTCTCGAACTTCCGGAGACTCCTTCGCCTCGGCCTCGCCCTCAAACTCGCCGTACAGGGATCGGGGGCGACCACTACGATTAGCCCCTGGGCCTTTGCCACCTCAAAGCTGGCTCACAGATGGCGGAAGCGACCCCTACCAGTCATCCGAGAACCCCGAGCGGGCAGCTTCTGAACTCGAAAGAGTTCATATTTTTCGTATCGATAGATTGCCCGGGGCTGTCTTCCCTGCAGAGACAAGTCTCCTCCATGGACTCCTCAAGACTATGGCCCTGAACTGGGCCTGGCACTTGGATTATGATGGAATATTCGTGGCTCAACTCCCTACGCATCTGAAAGAGCTCTTGCTTAGCTATGTAGCACTATATGCTGTTGGCGAAAGGAATCAACCTTTGAAAGGACGCATGAAGGGATTGAAACCGTTATTTTTGACAGCATCGGACCACGAGGAAGCTACTCAAGATGAAATAGAGGCTGACAAGAAGGCCGATGCCGCTATCTTCCGTTTGGATCTGAGCTATGCGCTTGGATATTGGATGACGTTCAAGCAACTTTCCAAGGAGTTATTCCTATCCCCAAGGCCAGTGACTAGGACGCTATCAGGTGAATTTGACGAATGCATTCCCACATCATGGGATGACGTTCAAGATGATGAACATATGGGGGCAAAAATGAATGAGGGTAAAGATAGTTCTATGGCGATAAGCGCGGCGACCAATGTGATTCCCAAATCTTTGAGTCAAGGCCTTCGCTTCAGTAACTTGCGTTACTTGTCCCTTGGACACCCTGTCCCCGCTGCTGCAAGCTGGAACTCTCTTCTTCATCTCCTCTCGCGCCTTTCAATCATCACTCACCTGTCATTGGCCCATTGGCCCGCACCAACTCGCACTCCCAATAATCCTAAACTTCGCATTCGTCCGCCCGGGCATCGCGGACCTGCTCTAGTCCATGGTGGGACAGACATGTATTCTGGTATCGAGAACAACTGGGCCGAAGCGGCAGGGATCCTCCGCCAGCTGTCTCGCTATACATACTGTCTAAAATGGCTTGACTTTGAAGGCTGCACCGAATGGCTTCCTGCTCTAGTTTGGACGGGGACTGATCCAGATGGCAGGCCGAGTCGGCCCGGCTCCTCAGGCCCAGAGTGGAATGGCTCCTGGAGAGATGTCGAATGGATTGGTATGGGACCTGGTTTTGAACTACCTCCAGAAATTGACTCTATCGACGTATCCGCCAACATTCCCGACAGCTCCTTGGCTGCTTCAATCCACGCTCCGGTGGGCGCTTTTGAGAGCCTCAATCTACATCGTGATATCCCTGCGCACGACGATCTTCCTTGGGATGTGGAGCAAGAGCGGTTTCTCAAAAGACGGGGGAAAGAGCGTGCTGCCTGGAAAGAAGCATGCGGAAAGGCATATGATGTGCAGAATCAAATTCAAATTATTCGGAGACTGGAGAAGGGCAAATGGCTCTTTGCTTCTGTTGCAGGTGACCTCCACGATAACAGCCCTAGAAAGAATCTCTAATCCAATGAACTCAGCCATGGTAAGATTCTGTTGTCTTGAAAATAGTAGAGAGAGAGGGATGGAAGTTTAGGTGTTGAGAAATAATATTTTTATAAAATGCAAATAATCGCAAGTGACAATCCCTTTTTTTGTTCCATCTAAACTGTACAATGGTATCATAGCATGGTCTTCATGCACTCTCCACCACGTCTACTTCCGGCCCCGATTAAATGTCTTCAGCGGATCAACTTTACCCCCAGTAGGTCTCTTTCCCTTTCCACGAGCACGGTTACGGTCCCGGGCTTTGCGAATGCGATTCTCATTGGTTTTCGAGAATCCAACATATCCTACGTCCTCCTTGGAAATACCTTTGCGTCCCTTAACGGGCATCAGATACTCCGGCACATGCTTCAAATGAGGTTGAACACGAGCAGCACGCAACTCGCCATCATGACGGAGCTGACGCAGTTCGTCTGGGTTCTCCTCAAAGTGTCGCTTCAGCTTCTCACTTTTGATGAGCTCCTGTCGAATCTCACGAGCACGGGCTTCCTGAACGGCCAGACGGGTGACGGCGCGCAAAGCATCGGTCATACGGTAGCGGAAAGCGTCGACTTGCTGCATCTCGAAATGGTAAGGCCTGATCTCATGGCCAAGCTTGGCCTGTCGCTTGACAAGTTTGGCGAGAACGGCTTCGTCACGCTTGGCGCTAGTGATGGATGTAGGCTTGTGCTTTCCGTACTGATCGGCAGGAACAACAAACGATAAAGCCATGCCGGCTTTGCCGGCACGGCCAGTTCGCCCGATGCGGTGAGTATAGGATTTAGAAGTAGTTGGGAGATCAAAGTTGAGAACGCAAGCAACGTTTTGGAAGTCGATACCACGGGAGATACCGTAATCCTTTTCTTTGGCAGTCATCTTGCGTCGTTTGGACTTTTGCTTGCTACCCGACTCTTCGGGATCCTCCTCATCCTCACTGGTACCAACTTCCTCCTTGTCCTCAGCTTCATCGTCGGCTGCGTCACGAGACTTCTTCGATGGCTTAGGAGTACCCATAACCTCTTGGTCATCCGCCGCGATGATGATATCGTAAACGCCCTTGTTGAATTCCTCGACAACATGTAGTCGAGAGTTGATGGGCAATTCTGAGTTGAGGACACAGCTCTTGATGCCGAATTGTTCCAGAAAGAGTTTGACACGGTAGCAACGGTCGACATCGCCAACGAAAATGATGACCTTTCCCTTGACCAGTTGTAATTTGAAAATGACATATGTGAGGAGGAACTTCTCATCTTCCGCGCAGCTGTATCCAAGGCGTTAGCAAAGACTCTATTGACGTCACGACATCCCTGGGCATTAACTCACTTGACAACGAACTGACTGACACCGGCACCCTTTTCTTCCTTGTCCTCCAGCTTCAGGATGACCGGATTCCGACAGAAGAGGCTCTTCAAGGTATCCACCTCAGAAGTGAGTGTAGCGCTCATCAAGAATGTCTGCACACCCCGAGGGATAGCCTTAGATAGAGAGTTTATGTCTTCATCGTAGCCATAAGACAAGACCAGGTCGGCTTCATCAATCACGAGATGGGTAAGCTTCTCAAGGGACAGCGCAGAGTTGTTCACATTGGCAAGGACTCGAGTAGGCGTGGATATAATCAAATCTGGGAAGTCGGCGAGCATGGATCGTTGCACGGCGTCGGAAACTTTCTGTGTCAAATTGACAGACCGAACATCCTTTCCGCAGAAGGAAGTGAAAGAGGTGACGACTTTTTGAACCTGCTCCGCAAGCTCGCGAGTTGGAACAAGGATAAGGCCAGTAGTGGCTTTAAGCGACGGGTCGGCCTAGTTCAAAGCTTGTCAGCAAATTCTCTCTATGATCACGATATTCGGTAACTCACAGATTTTTGTTGAAGGATGGCTTGCAGGACAGGAAGGACATAAGCAGCAGTCTTTCCAGAGCCAGTTTTTGCTCGAGCTATTCATTTTTGTCAGAGCCAATTCATATGAGCATAGCAAGGGGTGTAGAAAACTTACCTAAAATATCTTTTCCTTCAAGTGCCAAAGGAATCGCTTTCGCCTGAACGAGCGTAGGCTTGGTGAACTTTTCTTTGATCAGGGCTTGGCGCAATCTCGGATCGAGATTCAGAGTCTCGAAATCAGGATCCTGTTCTTCCGCCCCCTTAGGCTCAGGGGACGGCACGTCGTTTGCATCCAGTTTGCGCTTCATGTCTGTTGTGCAGTGTACTCTGCTCTTTCATCTGGGGGCAAAAGAGCGATTAGGGAAATTTCAGCGGGCGGTGAGAATTTTCAAGGCGGTGAGCAAATCTCCGCTGCTGACATCATCATATAGTTCCCAATCCGGGAAAGACTAAACACCATGACACCACCAAGGTGATATTTCGGAGTTTTGAAACATTTTCTGCTTTGAATCTTTGTATTGGAATATAGCTAGATTGATTTCATGTATGGCGGCATATTCTATATGACAACATGATGCTATCATAAATTTACTTCTCCATGATGCTTCGGGTCCGGTGTAGCTCTTGCTTCTGGAGCCGTCGCGAAACCACCCTATGAATTCGGTGGTCATCATGCCCTCTGAGACATTGTAAAGAGTGAAGCAAACTCTGCCTAGTCGTAATTCTTAAGGAAATTTCTGAAATAATTCCTGTGAGATGTTTATTCTGGGGAGATTTCTGACATGCCGGCTCTTTGGTAGTTCTTTTCATCTTAGTCTTGCTGGAATGAATTTGGCAGAGAGGATCTCTATAATCTGAGCTCAGCCTAACTGGTAGCCTTTTTCTTGGTTCTTTTCTATACGCGAGGCGATCATGATATTAATTGTTTCATTATCGGCTATAACGCATTTGAAAGTCAAGGCACGGATGACCCTATCTTTTTTTTATTTCATGCCTAGACTAGATCAATGACATCGTTAGGCACGTCAATTCTCTCTAAAATTGTAGGATCATCTCTAAATTCGCTACTCTCAACATGCTGCTTGAGGACGCCCAACACACTTCGCTCAATGAGCACCGCCGAAGGGTCAACAGGGGATTTGGGGCTGGCGCTCATAACGCGGGACAGGTATTGGAATGCAGAGATCAAGGACCTCTTCTCCTTAATAAAACCAAGGATTGCAGGTGTATATGTTGGCTGAATAGCAGGCGAACCAATCGAGCCATCAACATTGAGGGCATGAATGAGGGCTTCTTTTGCTTTGTCCTCGAGAGAGTTCAAGGCCGTTTCGTACATCTCTGCAGTTTCGAGGGTAATGACGTTACCCATGCACAACAATCGCATCAAAGCACGCTGATATGGATCTTCTTCTATTTTAAGCAGTCGGAAGCCCTTGGCGTGGATGAATTCGGCACGCTTTTTGAGAACGAAGTCATATCCACCGCGAGCGTCGAGAGTTCCGGCCATGACACCCTCACATGCATAGTAGACATTTTGATAGGACTCAAAAATTGGCTGATTGAGTTTCTTTGCACAGGTCCAGTCCATATGACCCGCAGCACCTGCAATGTCCAGCAATTGCTCCATGAAGCGTAGTTGAAAGCTCCGAAATCGACCTTTCATCCGTTGTAAATTTGATAAAGCGACCGGTGCATTCTCTGCCTGTCCTAATTGTCCGAAGTTAAGGTAGGCTCCGAGCTCTATCGCGAGGAGCATATCATCTCTATCCTGAATAGACAGCCTATCCAGTGAAGGGACCAAGCCAGGCTCGCAAGCCTTGAGGAGAATTGCATCGTGGTTCAGAGTTGAGATATCCTTTCCGGTCAAATTCTGGTAGTCCAATGCTAACTGGGGATCCTTTCCCAGGTCATTAATAACGATCGACGTAATCAGGGCGTAGAGAGTGTCGGAGTCCTGGACGATCTGAAAATAGTATCGTCTCACCCAATCGAATGATTTTCTGGTCAGCTGCAAATCCAGAGGTTGCGACTGAATGAATGTCTCATATTCCCCCTCATGGATCCAACGGAGGGCAAGAAAGCCTACCAATGAGCGATTGACTTCGTCGTGGTTGTTCTGGTACAGGACGTAAGAAGGAGACGGGGTGCTTGGAGGGGACCATTGGCTGTCACGAATAGAGTATGCTCGACGGAGGCGATCTATCTCGTCGGGGAACTCTCTGTAGACGAGATGGAGAAGTTGATCTTCAGAAAGTGCAAAGAGGGCGTCTGGATTCGCACACGCCGCTCTCAGGGATTGGGGGTTCTCCATGTCCGATTGCGGGGGTGTTGTTCGCGGGGAACGCGAAAAGGGGCTTTGCTTTAGGAGCAGCGCAGGACTCCGATTAAGGATCAATAAGCTGGCTTGCGCAATAATGAGGTATTACCAGGGCGATTAGATGTGATTCGCGTCGTCCACCTATCACAACCTCCTCGGGCTATTCAGCTCCGTGGCGTGAGAGAGGGGGAAGGGGCTTTGGGCCCTACAATTCAGGCCAAAATACGAACATCTTCGATCGGCGCGAAGCTTCATGAAGTGGTTGCGAAATCCAAGGACTAAGTCCCTCTGAAGTGTCTTATCAGCTTGTTTTGAGAAATATTAGTACGAAGGCAATTAAGATCTAATTTTCAAGATAGAAACAGATTCAACGACTGAAATTATCAATTCCACGTATCTTCACAAAAGCAAGCCGAGAAGGTCAACTGGGATAACCGTCAAGTTGCCATTGCAGAGAATAAATCATACAAAAACAATAAGGGGTTGCGTAGGGGTAAAAAGAGGGAGAGGGCTGGGGGGTATCGAATCAGTGTAGCAGTGTTGTGAATCAAACCAAAACTATCCATCGCTAAATTATTGTATAAAAAATATCGCCTTATCGTTTTTTACTTGCAGAGCTCAGCTCGCATGTAAGCATTGAACTTCTCCAGAGATGCTTCTGTAACCTTTCCCACAGGGAGAACCTTGACGTTGTGTTCAACCGTGTAGATCTTACCAAAATTCACTCGTGACATCGGATCCAGCTTTTGGTCTGGCCTAGCTGGTTCAACCTCCAGCGGCTCCTTCGTCATTTTGGGTTCATTTGACTTCGTAACTGGACGCGCTCCGCGCATATAAATGACCGCATGCTTTCCGCGATCGACTCCTGCTTTGCCAACACCTTGTCCACTATAGGTCGTGACGGGTCTAGCAATCCAATTAGGAACAAAATCTTCCGAGTGAAGAATATCCTTGGAGGCAAACTTACATGCACCAACAGCAGCCCTTCTGCTCCTTAATTACAATCATGCGTCGAATGCTGCTATAGATCGGCTCTTGATATTTTCCTCGGGTACACCCTTGTTTGAGGGATGGGATTTTTTGGCTAACTGGGGTTCCGTTGAGTCCAGCATTTTCGTGCCAGAGCATAGCAAAAACCTATTTTGGAATAAGTTTGGGAGAAGCAAACAAGGCCTGGCTGCATGAACTTACCCTGCCGACACGAAAAAATCTTCGAGGATCATTTTGTCGTTTATATCCTATGAATATTTTATTAGTCTCTGGTATTACCGTGCTCGGTGCTCGGGCGCTACTTACGAGGATCCAATGTCTCGGGTTCCTCGGGGCTTTCGGGGATCGCGTATGAAGGATCGCTTGTGAGCCGCTAGTGGTTCTATTAGCCTCCATGATCTTGCCAGGTATCAAAGCAAATTTCCGTTGCAACTCACAGCCAGCGTGTCATGGCTTCGTTGGACATCTCCCAGGACAGGATCCCAGCGCTGGTACGGAGGGCTGGTGCCGTGTGCAGCAATCAGCTGTGACGACACATGGTCGATAAGGCCTAGTCCTTGAAGATCTTCCGATAATGAACGAGGGCTTGAGATATCACTCTGCGAAGACGTCGTCATATCGCTACGCTCAGATATACTTGACCGAAGAGGTCGGCGACGGTTGAAAGATTGAGTCCCCTCTTTTGGGGACCTAGAGCCCCAGTCTAACGAGCCGTATTCTCGAGGACTAGATGAAACGGAGCTCATTGCTCCTGTATTACTGTTTCGTCGAGAAGGAGTCCGAGGAGGAGTTTGTGGAGGGGTTGAGTAACTGTGCTCCCTCGTATGCGGCAATCGGCGCTGTTGTTCGGTCGGCCAGATACCAGCTGGCACACCGTTTGGAAGATAGTCGAATGGGCCTGGTTGCCAAGGTCGCGGATCAAGACTCGCTCCATAGCTATGGCTGTGGTCTTGTGGAACAGGCAGCCCAAAAGGAGATTCTGCAAGTGCTGGGAATCCTGAAGAAGAATTCGTACGTGATCCTGGGGGGAATTCGACGCCATCAATTGCCAGGCATCTTGAAGGCTTCCTGCTCCAGCATTCGATGGGAGATCTGCCCATCGAGAAGGTCGATCGGGTATTGAGGCCATTGTCGTGGTAGCTTGACTTCCCGGTCGCTCCCATTTGATTCCGGACTCGCCTGATCAATGATTGTCAGCAAACATGAACTCGATCGGCGGGAGCACGCCCTGTTACCTACCGGAGAGGTTGTGAACAGGACGGAAGTACCGTCCTGAATCGGGGTGAACTGTCCAATCTGTCGTCATGACTGCTACATCCCAGTCCAGAACTGATCTTCAGAAAATATAGAGTGGGGGGAATCTTATGTGAATGAAGTATACAATAGTGACTTAAGTTGAGTGCAGAAGGTTGGGTGGCAGGCCTTTTTCATAGTCCTATGAGTGTGGTTCGGGCCGGTCGTCCAGGGCAGAGCCATGCGCCGACGGGGCCAACTCGATATGAAATAATAGCACGAAGTATACCGGCCTTGTCATGTTGGTGCTCGCTGATTCGCGGAGACGGCCATAATGATGCCTCAAAACGGGGGTGGTTGGTGGTGAAGCAACCAGTGGCGGCTGGGCAGGGGTTGACTGGGCGCAGCAGCTCCTGGTAGCACCAACAGGAGTCCTCAAGATGAGAGAAGCGCTGGCGCTAGAGCCCAGAATGGCAGTGGAGGACGTGCTGGAGCATTATGGAGCAAGCTGAAGTCCCGACGATTGGGTTGATGGACGATCGCGTTGGGCCCGCGACTCGACGGGGCTGATTTGCCGGGGCTTGTCACAGCAAAGAATACATGGGAGCGTCACGGGCTTCACAACTCCACTTCCCTGCTTTAACGCTTCTACACCTTTACTACAATCTCACCGTCTCACCATCTCCAACAAGCCAACCCGATCCAGCTTTGCCCCTGAAACTCATCCCGGCGCTTCCTCTAAGGAAACGTGACACCTCTCTTCCAGACGTCACAACTCTAATCAGTTTCCAAACCCCCAAGCTGTTGTTGTTATTCTCTTACTACCCAAGCGCCGGCCAACACTCCATTGAGTTGTTGTTGGGCCTCCCATACTCCCCGGAACAGCATCGATATTCAATAGAATGTGAGATTGTACGGACACCCAGTCGGATTCGGTTCTTGAAGATGGCTTCTTGGCCCGGGGCGCGACGATCCTCTCTCTCCGCGGTGAGATTCTCCCCCGATGACAGGTTGGCAGGGAAACATGCCTTATCCTATGCTTGACATTGTGAGATGTGGAACACTCATCACTTTGGCTCCTGCAGGTACCGTTCCTGGGGAATCACTGGGCCAAAAATAGAAGTGAGATCTACCTCCCCCGAAGCTCCTCGGATGCAAACTTCCCCTCGGAATGGCCCGAGCTATGGCGCAGCAGCCATCAGGCCCTAAGCTCGACGGCCTCTGGTACCCTCCAGCCCCTTTCCCCCCGCTTATCGGAGGCCTCTCCGCCCCGAACCACCTCCACGGCCCCCATCATCGGCCCCCATCACACTGAAGATACTGGGCGCAGCACTACGATGGGAATCAAAAATTGTCCGAAACCCCTGGATCAGCTGGAGCAGTTTTTTCATTCCCCACCGGCATCACAACAGGCCCGATCCTTGCCCCCTGTGACCGCCCCTGCACGTAACCACAGCGCTAAACTAGCGAGGCTCGTAGATGACGTTCTTCATCTGCAAGAAGAAGTCTCTACACAGCGTTTTCAAGCTCGGGATCTACGACAGGCTCTAAGGCAGAAGCGAGAAGAAGAAGACGATCTGCGATTATCTTTGCGCAACCAACTAAATCTCATATCCCTGGAAACCGCACCCGCGGAGTTAATCAGCATCAACACAGCCATTGAGAACCTCCAGGTCATCACGGCCTCGTACCAGATACTTGAAGACGATTATCATCAGATAGAAAATGAGCTGGCCCATCGTGAGTCCATCCTGGATGAGCGCATAAGGAAACTCACCGAACTTCTTTGTAAACATGCCACAACAACAGCAACCACCACCACCACTACCCAACAGCCCAACATCAATGGTTCGGGCTCTGATTCGCTTTCTATTTTTTCTTTCCCCTATAATACCAACCATATATCGCAAGCAATAGCAGAATATCTCTCTCTAGTGGGCGAGGTTCGCCTGATGCGTGAGCAATTATCTGAATTAAAGACCCAATATCTGGCTCTCCTCGACCAACGCGACCGAAGCGAGCGCATCGGTATCACACTCGATAGCGAAGCGCTTGTGTTTCTGGAGTGCTATGAAGAGGCAAAAGCGAAGGCCAAGGCAGATTTGGATGTGGCAATTCACCGCTTACAGTCCCATCCCGAGCACAAGAACCATGACGAATCCGTGTCGCTCAATGATGACTGGAAGCGAGTCAAAGAGGCCTTTCTCCCTGAACAACCAGACAATGCAAATCCTCCGGATCCACTTCGATTGACCGAGTTTGAAGATTTGTCGCCCTTTTTTGAACCAGTGTCCGCAACCTCACTGAACAAAACCGCCTTCATCAACCGATGGCTGCTCCATCAGTTACGTCACTCCGGGTTTGAGATCATGCGGTTCAAATCGAGTCCTGCGGTGATGAATCTCACTGACCAAGGTGTTGATGGCAATACCATCAGTCGAATTGCGCTGAACATGTGGTATCATGATGACCCTAGGACGGTGGCGCCCCCGAGGGGCAACTCTGCTAGTTAGCTTTGTAGTGTAAACGTTGCGAGAATCCGCCAATTTATTCCTCCTATTCTGCTTGACATACTGTACCGACCTGTTTACACTTCTTAAGCTCTCAAATCATAAGAGTAGGTGATGTGAGAAGGGGCGTAGTGTTACTTTCTATGTTTGTGTCATACCATTAAAGTTGGGCTATGCCCCATGGTGTACTATGACTATCTTACAGTGGAGTCTTAAGCTGTTGCCTACAACATAGAATATCAAAGTCATTTATGTTCATCGGCGGAGACCTTAGAGCCCCGTTCCCGTTCCGGGATATCCCTTCCATTTCGGGCGCAGGTGAGGTTATCCTCGGGTGGGCCGATGAGGTTTGTTCCGATACCCGGACTAGCGGACATGTGCTTCAACCAAAACGAGCTTCTTCACAGCCTTTTCTGAGTAACGGGGGGACATTATTATCATTTGCAAATATCACTACGATCCTTCCAACCCAGCACATATTGACTGTAGAGCTCAAGCTTTGCTCTTCCTGTTCCTCTCCACTGCCCCGCACCCCGCAATGGCGGCCCTCAAGGAGCAACTCAAGACGCTAGTGAAGAATTATACAGCCTGCGATGTAGGTATATCTTCCCCCAGTACGGATATCATTTTTGTATACCGTCGCTGTTTCTCAGCCTGTAATTTGAACATTTCTATTCACATCTAATATAATCCAGGTATCGGATGCCCTGCTCAAGCTCCAGAAGGTCCCAGAAGGCGTAGCGCCACGAGCCGGCTTCTTGGCGGATCTCAGTAGGACATCCTCCCCTTGGATCATTTGTCACTCTTTAGCAGAGTCTCAAGACTGCTGATGAAATCAAGCTGATGAAATCAAGCTGATGAAATCCATACCGTATTGGTGATTGCAAGCCGTCGCTGACGTTTTCGTTCTTCAGCCCCCTTCTCCCCGATACTGGGAAGAAATGACACCGCACCGAAGATAGCCGCTCCAGCAACGACTTTCAAGTTCCTCTCGAAGAGTGCCAATTCCCCTGCAATCGCAACTGAGAACCCCGAAAAGCATGGCTTCCCGCCGGGAAAGCATTGGGTCGACTACGCCGGCAACTTTGCCGCGGCGGACCCGTCCCAGACCGGCTCGATTATCGTCATCGAACAACCCGAGGATCAGTACTGCGCGGTGACGGGCGGCATCATGGCCACTCGAATGAAGGCCCTCGGAATCAAGGCTGCGGTGGTCGGCGGGCGCGTACGGGATCTGCGCGAACTGCAGGCAACAGAGCTTCCGGTCAGTGGATTCCTTTCGAAACTACTCACTTTCCGCATCGGCTTCGGCACTAATCCTTGTCGATAGATCTGGGCGCGCGGGACGTCAACTGTCGGCACAGGAGCCGAAGCAAAGGCCGTGGTCCGGGATGTGCCCATCTCACTGGAAGGGGTGACTGTTTCGCCGGTAAGTATTCTCGAAAAACTTCGGCACAGCCTCTTTGTGGCCAATGAGTGACGGAACTATTGCATTAGGGAGATATAATTTTCTGTGATCCGATGGAGGGAGTGGTTGCTATTCCACGCGACCTGCTCGACCCAGTCTTAGAGCTCATGCCCAAGTTGATCAACATGGATGACCAAGCGAAGGAGGCCGTCACCCAGGGCATGACCGTCACGGAAGCCTTCAAGAAGTTCCGAACATAGCTTACCAAATTATGCACAATACGTACGAGCTTTGTATATAGTCATGGAAACGAATCGATCTACCAGATGTATTTGGAACGTTGTTTTCAACCAAGATGTGCCGGAAAAAATGTACATGGAAATTCAATGTCTCGTGGTATCCTCTTGTGCTCGACACATCCCAGAATCCGCGGATGTTGGGAAAAGAAAAAAAATAATTCATAAAATCAAAGAGTCGCTGTGCAATATACAAGAAAGGAAGCTTTGCGTTTACTCCGCAACCCAAACAGCAGCCATGCCCATACCGGTACCGACACACATGCTGGTAACACCGATCTTTTTGTTGGTCCGCTTGAGCTCGGTCATAAGGGTGCTCACCTGGCGAGAGCCGGTGCAGCCAAGAGGATGACCGAAGGCGATGGCACCACCCTTGGGGTTGATCTTTTCCATGGGCAGGCCAAGCTCGTTGACACACCACACACACTGGGAAGCAAAGGCCTCGTTGATTTCGTAGATATCGACATCATCCTTGGTGATACCAGCCTTCTCAAGAGCAACAGGGATGGCCTTCCAGGGCCCGACGCCCATCAGAAGAGGCTTGACACCGACGATGCTGGCTGCGACATACTTGCCGATGATCTTCTGGCCGAGGCGCTCAGCGGTGGAACGCTTCATGAGCAAGACGGCGGCGGCACCGTCAGAGATCTGAGAGGCGTTTCCAGCGTGGATGGAACCATCCTTAGCAAATGCAGGGCGGATCTTGCCCAGGGACTCAGCGGTCATGCCATCACGGATTCCATCGTCAGCCTTGACGGTGATAGTCTTCTCCTCACCCGACTTGGGGTCAGTCCACTTGACCTCAAGGGGAGCAATCTCCTCGTTGAAGAGGCCGGCTTTCTGGGCCTTGACGGCCTTCTGATAGGAGGAAGCGGCGAACGCATCTTGCGCGGCACGGCTGATGCCACGATCCTTGGCCATGTCCTCGGACAGGACACCCATGGGGACTTTGCAGTTGGCAGACTCAGGATGAGCCTCAAGAAGCTCGGAGAATTCGGTCACAGCACCAGGTCTAGAATGGAAATAAATATTAGGTGTTTTGTGTAAATCAACTACATCCGAGCGAAAAACTCACCCGTACTGAGAGGACATGCTCTCAACTCCGGCACCGATGCCAACGTCAATCATGCCAGACTTCAGAGCGTTGGCAATGTCGACAATTGCTTGGAGACCGCTAGAGCACTGACGGTTCAAGGCCTTTACCGCAGTAGACTCGGGGAAGCCAGCCACAAGGGCAGCAGCACGGAACTCTGTCGCACCACCACCGGGGGGAAGGACGGAGCCGACAGCAACATCCTCAACGGCGCTCGGGTCGATACCACTCTTCTGAATAACGGCCTTGAAGACGCCAGCAAGGAGATCAGCGGCAGCAGTATCCTTGAAGCCTCCCTTGCCACCCTTGGTCAAAGCAGTGCGCAGGGCACAGGTCACGACAATGTCATCGGGGTGCTTCTCGATGAGTGCGGCAACTCCTTTCTTGCCGGCAGGGCCGAAGTGGGAGGAAACCTGGGAAAGACGCTGCTGGGCTGAGAAAAACATTAGCTTCACGCCCTCTTTTGCCTCATCCTTTACATGTGATTGTAGAAGCGCAATCCATGTGTGTTTTTGGCGTGCATGTGTCAGATGCATCATAGTGGGCGGTGATCAGTTGCTTACCAGAAGACATGACGTCAATATATGAAGACGTTGGGGGAGGTGGTAAAGGAAAGAAGGAATGAATAAAGGAAAGCAGGATAGAGGACACAATCACGATTCCGGGAGATGACTCTCTTATAAATCACGTCCGTAGATCCGGCACGGTGGTATTTCCCTTGTAGCAGGGTCGCCCGTTGCTGGTGTTGCAACGAAAGTGCCGAGGTCCATCGCATAATTATTGATCCTATCCGAAGTCACGGGGCTGTAGGGCGGTGTGTGGAGGGGAGCATGTGAAGGTGTCGTTTTTCACCGATTCGGCCTGACCTCATGCTTTCACACGTCATACACGTGATCCTTTGCCGATCGGGTGCAAGCCCGACTCGTGAGAATCTCGGCATCTCCGCATCTTGAATGTGATAAGTTTGCCAGGGCTGATACCTGACATGGAGACATACCCGATGAGCGTGCAACTTTAACATTTATGGCAAACTCAATGTGTGTCCTTGTATGTCAAATTTTCCAGAAATAACTATCTATCCTATACGTGCGTAAACAGAAGCTATCCTTCTAGTACCGAGGATAGGGAGGTAGTTACAATATGTTACCTAACTAGGAGCAAGTCGCACTACCCGAAAATCTAATTATATCTACTTACTTCCGAACGATAACCCTGAAGTATAACCTTAGTCAGATAATCGATCTCATAATTAATACTTACGTGGACAATGGCCGAGTAGGCCATAGCTACTGACATGGTAGCGAACCCGAGCGTGATACGATTCACCGCACTAAAGGTAGTCTTACGCTTCTGTGAGATTGGATACAACTGCTTCTGTATTATGAGTCCGAAAATAATCTAGGCGACTGGGTTGGCGGATTTAACTAGATCGGTGGGAATCCCGTGGGTTTCCATTTGCCAACCTGGGAGATGGACACCTGGGAGCCTAAGCCTATGCAAGTCCAGAATATGGGCCGCCCAATACTGGTAGACTCAGTCGACCTATACGACTAGTCTTGCGAATTAGGAGAAGAGGGAGGTCACTGACCAGATCTTGAAGGCTGACAGGGCATCACGGAGCTCGGCAATGAAAGCTTTGTTCCAAGGGATGACTCGCCTATGCCTCTCCAGTTGATTTTGCGGTAGGGCAACGTCGAGTGTGAATCCCCCTTGGGCAGCATACCCTAAACAATGAGCGGCTTGGGGAAGATTGGAGCCCTGGACAGGGGGATGGACTGGCCAGAGAACATTAAACACGAGACATGCACGAAAATGGATACGCAAACGCACTGAATTTGGATTTCATCACTTGGACAATGACAATGCATAGGATCATCATACAAAGATCCAGCAGGTAGGATGATCAGAACCCAATGTATTTTCCATCAGTGTGGTTGCGATGCTTTCTAAGGAGCCAACATTGCCCATCCTTGTCAGTCACAGCCGATCGCCCAAGTTTGCTAGTTATTCTTTTGTCTATCGACTACCTACCAGTAGTATAGATTGTAGATATATTGGATTGTGACTTCACGGTCTTCCACGACCCTTTCCCCCTGTTTGTCGACTCTAATTTTCATTTCATACTCAGTGTACTGATCCGCTGATACCTCGTTAGTACGCAGATCATCATTTGTATAGCTGCGCGTACCGATAAATGGTTGAATGGAGGACTGGACTCCCCCGAGTCCAATAGCAATAAGCATTGTCCCCACAGCGAAACCAGGAGTCGCGACCCCGGCCGCCATCTCGAAAGGAAACGAGGTCGCAAACAGGATGGCTGAGCCGACGGCATAGATACTAGAGACGGATAGTGACAAAAGTCAGTTTCTTAAGGTTCATTTATATCTTCAAGTGCTGTAGGTCGCCTATGCTCCTACCCTGTGAATATCTGGGAGCCTGATATCGGCCTAAACGCCCATCGACGAGGATGGAGATCGGCAGCGGGAGAATATTCACCAGCACAGAGAACGCCAAATTTACCATCTTCGCCTGAGACTTGCCTAATCCCATCGCTCCTGGAACTAAATCGGTCGGACTATTCTGAAGATAGTTTTCTATATTTTAGTTGTGTCAGCGGGGAAGAACAAGCATCACACCCGATACTTGTAGGGCGTATACTGACGAAAGAAACTCTGCGTTCCATAATAGGAAAACCGCTCAGCTCTTCCGATAGTTGCGGCCAGCCAGACTCTTAAAGGAAGAGGCGCTGATACATGGCGCAGTTCACGAATATTGCTTTCGGAGGCGCGATTGCCTTCGGCTGTAGGAGACGAGGCCACCGACGCAGCTTGGGCCTCCAATTTTTCCAGTGATATATCCATGGCGGGAATTTTGCCATGGATACTGAATAGGCATCAAGCCTCTGAAATACCAAAGAGCAAGAGCGGACACTAGCTCGATGAGGTTCCATCCAACATTGGGACGGAGTTCAAGTCGGAGTTCGGCATTCCTCGGTGCCCGTTATCTCTCAGCACGAGGTTTGTCGATACGATTATAAATAATCATAAAAGCAGTTTTGGGGTGGCCTATGGATTATTTTTTTAAAAAACAAGGAAGACCGATAATAGACAGAATATGGCCAACGCAACCATTTCGCCCGAGGTGTGCCTTCTGCTCGATAGGACTCGAAATGGTAACCTCCTAATCCCTAATCTTAAGTCCCGCAATTGCAATGATATTTTATATTTACTTGAGGCGGTTGGTAACTTCCCACTCGCCGGCGTCGCGATGGGGGAGGTCCCTTCCGTCTTGCCACTAGCGGATCTAAGGACACTCAAAGACTCTTCGTTTAAGGCCATTACGCGCCGAAGATTTCGTCACGGTGTCTTTTGATGTCCCAAGTGATTTGAAATGGCGATGGGATTTAGGAACCGCAATTAGACGCAACGTCATGGCTTTCTGCATTTACGGGATATTTATGTAAGAATTGTGCGGAGTTGCCATATCTTTTCACGTCAAAAAGGAGTTTGACTGTAGAATTGTTTAAATTGACTATATGCTGGGTTTTTTGACCTTGTCGTCTCTAACGCTGAAAAGTGTCGAGTGTAAAGGAAAAGAGAGGACCCCAAAACAAACTCGTCTAAAAGCGCAATTCCAGGATGTTCATGTGGGGGAATCGGTCCACTCTCTTAACATATCACTTGGTCAAAAGAAGCCCTGAAATCTTTGTTCTCAAGCAGTTCCAGCAGCTCCAGCTCTTCCAGATCTAAGAGAAAGGGAGCATCGAGCTCGGCTGCTAAAGTGGTATCAATATCTCCATCGGCAAGAGAAACCCTTAATGGTGGTTCCAGAATCTCATCTACAATGCGAGAGAAAATAATTGTTGCCCGTTTGAAAAAAGAAGAACTGGTCTGATCAGGAAGTGCCATGGACTCCATATGCGAGATGAATACACTCAGGTTGCGAATGAGAGAGGCTTGAGACCCCGAATACAACATCCGCTGACCTGTCTTGGCCTGTTTTTGCAATTCTCGAATCAGCACACTGGCTGCAGAAAACCCATAGAGAAGAATCTAGTGTAATTTAGTAGTCTGTGATGAAAAAACAATCATAGTGTCCGGAGGATTCCTTACAATCCAGCTGAAGTCACGCTGGGAGGCAATTGATCGTTCCCATTGCCTACCTAAGGTCAAAGTGGTGGAGAGAATTGTTGCGCTTACGTCGAGCTGGGCGGGATTCATGCCCTCCGAGTCGTTGCTCAGAAGGTTCTGTACTAGAAACTCATTGTAAAGATAAGCCATGTAAGAAATGAGTAGCATCATTTTCACACTAGCAGGGAGGTCGGTCGCCCAACATTCCGGTGTATAATGTAGATGTTCAGGCAGCGAAGCCCATGTCTGATTGCAGCGACGAGAGACAGCACTTGATAAAAGCTGTCAGTTAGCATATTGAGATAGAAGGGATTGTGGTCGAACATTCAATATGAACTTACGTCAATTGATCGGTTCTTTCTTCACTCGGCTTCTGTAAAGAAAGCTCCAGGATTTCTTCTCGAAACGTACTTATAATAAATCTTAAGCGTATCCACGTTGCTCTTTGGTAGACTTTTCTAGTATTCCACCCATTGGCATCCAGAGATGTTTGAGCAGTCTCCAAAATTTCGGCGTTCCCTGCTAGAGCAAGATCTGGGATGTCGAGGGGGAGGGAGCAATCTGAATGTCGCCATGAGATTCGTGGCGGTCGACCGAGAAAAGTCGCAATGCTTTTGTCGAATTGATAGGCTGCTGCGAAGAGTCTCCTTCGGGATTCCAGAATAAGAAGTGGCAGTGGTGTTTCGCTAGCGGTGTCTCTATGTACACCCAGCTCAAAGATATCATTTGCAAGTTCCCCAAGGCGCTGCCAGGTGATTGAACCTAGGAATAGTTCTGTTAGTGCTGATTGGCATTCGAGCGAGATCGGGAAATAGGAACTCACTGGAATCGCCCAGCACCAAACTCGATAGGAGGAGATTTTCGTGGACAAGCCATAGGGTAAGGTCATTCAAAACTGTCAAATTCTTACATGTATTCAAAGCAAAATCGCAAGCAGCGAGCATTTTGCGAGAAAACCGAATTTGGGATTTTGAATTCGAGGTTCTGCTACCAGACAGTCCGAAATAGCTGGCCCGGCCCGCTAGAGCACAGATTATTCCGATAATCTCCAAGCGGAGGTGTGATCCTGTGAAGCTTTTGTGAAACAACGCGCCAGTGACATAAGGTGGGATCTTGAATGATTTCCTCGTATTTTGAACGATAGATGTACTCAGTGTGCTGAATTGTGTGTTGGCTATGGTGTCTGTTGCGGCGGGCAGACTTTCACAGAGAGTGATCTCAATCTCCGCGAGGGCATTGAGGATCACAGGAGATGGGATTACAGCTGCTTGTGTCACTGCATAGTATTCTTGAATCAGGTGTCTGATGGTAGAGAAGCTTTGAAGGCTTCGAAGGACCTCTGCAAGCCTCATTCTCCACCAAGGGATTGGGGAGATGGCAAGTCCCTCAGACGCATCTTGGCTCGATTGTTCGCCCGCGTCGGAAATCAAGTAACCATCATCTTCCAGCCCTGCGACAAAGCTGGTGGGGCCCAAGTAGCCTTGTATTGATCGCTCCATACGAGGAGTTGAATAAATGATGGATGGGGTTTCGTCCTCTGGGCCTAACCTTGAAGTTTCAGATAGAGATTGAGATATCCACAAGGTGTCTGGTGAGCGCGAGCATGGCCTTCTCGCCCCTTTCACATCAGCTATTGATACTCCATGCACTTGAAGCTACTTACAGAGCATCAAAGGTATGTTCGTCCTCTTTTTTTTTATTGGCACCCGTCAAAGGTCCAGGATGGTAGAAACAATGATCGGTGGTGCCCCGTTGTTGGCAACGAGAGCACACAGGCAATACATGGTCGCATCGCACTTTGGCTTTGCGGCAAGGCTCGCAAGATGCCAGTCTTCCATTTCGACGCCGGGAGCTCCTAGCAATAAATTAGCACAACATCCTCTGATTTATGAGAACATGGTCACGACCGACATGTTAGATAGATGATGGATTGGCCACTATTCACCCAAAGTTCGGATTTCTCTCTTACCCCTGTATTTGCCTTCGGAATATACTCAATCAAGTCAATACTATTGCTTAGCTCAAGGAGAGCGAGATCAATGTTTTATCTAGGTATTTATTTTACTCCGGGGCAAAACCGACTACGTACAGGCAGAAGGCAAGGGTGCTTCCACGGTCTTCGGAATATCGGAGTTCGGAGTCTGTCTTGGCGGAGCTAGCCAGAGAATCTTGTCAGAGCTAGGCCAGCATGGGTTAGTATGCATCTATGACGAAATAAACTGAGCGGGGCCCAGCCAGAGTGAGAGAAGTGAGTAATTGAAGAGAGTACAGCATGCTGATATAACAACTGAAGAAATAATCGATATTACGTGACTAGTCACTTGCTCATAATAAGTTAAAATCTACATAAAAAGAGCGAACGGGATACATTTACAACCAAGTCGCTTATCTCCATAGAACCACTCATGAACTTGCGAAATAAATGGGCCATTGGGGCTGGAGGTGCCTGAAGCAAATTCGAAATTTATTATCGGATCAAAGGCAAACTATTCCGGTATTGGTGAAATCTCTTTCGTCATTCTTAATGCCAAAGAAACAGCCTAGGAATGTTACAAACTTTCAAATCGTTGCTTACACTTTTCATTCGAATGGGCGTTCCATCATGAGTCAAGAAATTGTGATGGCAGTCTCAATATCACGATCTTGAGGAGATCAAAGAAGCCGTCCGGGAGGAATATCATGACCGGCATCCTGAATTGATCAATTTCTTTTGCAATAATTTCAGCACCAGATGTTCGCTTGCTTAAAAATGCTGCATCTTGGATGATCCTCGAAACATCACCTTGGTATAACCCTTACCGGAGACGCAGCTCCTTTCATCTCCCCTTTTGCTGGCGAGTGAGTTGATTTGGGGATGGAATATGCCTTGATCTTGTCTTAAGTAATCATGAAAGCTGCAAAATAATTCATCAAATTACAAAATCAGTCTTCTGTTAGCTATTAAAGCCCTTGTGGAGGACTTGTTCGTTCGTACTAAAGAGGCAGCAAATTTGACGAGTGACATGATGCATTGGCTGATGCTCAGCGACGACACACTTGGTCCTGTTATTGAGAAAGTTACTTTGGTTATGATAATATTGCAGAGAAAAAGCTCATTCAGACGGGCAAGATACTCTATGCTAGCCGCATTGGTATGTAGCTATCATCATTTGTTCACAATGCGACACAGGTGATACCTTGGGGAGAGCATCTTTCTACCTTCCCTTTTTGGTAGCCCTTGAATGCCATAGCTAGTTTTTCCAAGATATCATATTCAATACCACCCAACGCTCTCAAAACATTTGGATATCAAAATGTAAGAATGCGATCTACTCTCTTCACCGGTTTTCACATGCTAGCATGCATCCTTCCAGCATTGCATCTCCACATTCACAAATAAATGATATCTAAGTGACATATCATACCTTTCTCGCAGTTGTTTCCCTGATCTGGCCTCCCAAGTAGGCAGCAAGAATATACTGGGCGTCAAAAGAAGACCATATTGACTTTCACATGAAAAACCCGGAGGTTGGGTTCGGGTATCCCGCCTTTTTGGAAGGGGATGATCCATGTTCCACCCAGGAGAATGGAAGCGGAGTGATCTAGATCACTTTAATCAATCAAGTTAAAGCAAAGGAAAATTCAACAAATAGGTCACCGGGGAACTCGGGGTCCACCGATATTGAGCGCCTGATGTGAGAGCTAGGAGTCCTAATCGGGTAAGATACGGAGTCCACCGCCACATATTTCCAGCCACTCCTTGCGTTAGCCACACTTAGCGCCACTGCGGCTGATCATGTGGCGGTGCGACTATTGAACTCCGGTAGTTCCAACTAACCCAACTGGCCTGCGAGCCCCCATTTGGATCAGCATTGCATGTTCAAAGAGCAGAACAAGGTTGGCTTCGTGCCCTCACTTTGCTTTTTGTTGGGAGTCTCTTGGTTTTTGGCCTGGCACCGATGGAGACGTCACCCTGGTCTTCGGAATAACGTCCTGAGTCTTTCTTTACGCATGGGTCGATCTTTTCGTTTCTTGGTCGGACACTGGCCGTGTCGCAGGTTTGTATCACTTTCTACTCCTCTGTTTCAAGGTTAATATTATGTCTTTGGTCATAATTGCATCATCTTTTAGAGCCCTCAGACTGATGCATGCTGGCAGAGGGCTTATGTCTCACCGATACAGCAAATTAGCCATGGCTAGAACAGCAAAGGATCACGGAAGGATGGAAAATTGTTGAGATCATCTCTTTTTTGGCCAAATTTTCGTCATGACTCCATCTCAGGAGCTCTAGACCAGACCCCGTTACACAGTTCTCCTATCACCCGGGAGTTACCGCTACACTGGTCGCGGTGCCTTTTACTGATATGAACTATCGGTTGATCCGTGCTTGATCGGCGGGTTGATCACCTATGTTCGCCTTCCCAGGGCGGGACGTGCCAAGCGTAGGACAGAGCGCGTTCTGGTGGAAGCTTCCCTCGTGGAACCGCATCTCAGATTCCGGTCTCAACCCACACATCCTAGTACACACATGGTGCCAGCGATCCCTCTCCGCTCTGGTTCGTCACGCCTGGGGATCTGCAATGAGTCTCGGCCGTGGATTAAAGCCGAGGCTGGTGAGGAACACTATGCGGAGCTACTGTGGCTGGTGACCGATAGAGCTACCACCACTCTATTCATTTTTTTTATTGTCAGTTTCCCTAGGCAGCACTATTGCGATTGAAAATTTCATCGCTGACACGAAAGCGAAATGGATCAAGGAGGCACGATCTTGGCTCACGGGAGGTGCTCAGCAGAGTTTCGGAGTGCCCGATAGATTGACATTACCAAATACCAGGACAACCAGACTCCACGCGCCACACCTCACCGTTAAGTGTGGCTTGCAGCTTTTGTCTTGGGCAGAGGCTTGACTTCCTGCAGCCATTCCATCCAGACCTTGCGGTCTGCCCCTCCCTAGGGGAGTCCGATACTTACAGTCATCATATGCTCTAAGAATTTCCAGATTTGTGGAGCGAGCAGTCTATAGCACAGACCATGCTATCACTGACCGCAAAAGCTGGCCCAGTTGAGGCGACTGCATACTAGCTTTACGCCACAGCTGGGAACAAATAATCACGGTGACAGCTTGACGGCCCGGGCAGTTGAGCACCGACTCAAAATTACAAAAAAAAAAAAAAACCCTTCACAGAAGGAAAGCACCCGTGAAGGATCATAAATCACAAACTCTATCCCAGAAAGAGCATGGAGCAGAATCTAAGCAGAACCAGCGGCCTCGGGGGGGGGGGGGGGGTTCAGGATGTCGAGCATGGGCAGTGGATCCGTGCACGAACTATTGAGAAAATCAAAAAAGCGGCCTTCAAGACGGAGGGGTCACCCTAACTCGTCTCCACTTGTTTCCCCCTGCACATGAACGTCGATCGTGCATGCCAAGGCGTGTCTGTCAAGTTCACCAGGCCATCTCCCCGGGAGAATCGGTCAGAAGGTGCGAAGAGGTCGAATCAAATGTATCGATGAGTGGAACCGACTCCCCAGCTCTTAAATTGGTGCTCCTCCGTCGACCGAGATCCGCACACTAGCATCCGATCTGCCCTGCCTATCCTAGATCTCTCAGATCTAGTTCCTGGCTTTTCGACCCTCCTTTCCACTGGACTTGGCCCATTTCTGCACTACGTACCGTTGATCAGAGGGGGGGACCCAAGCAGGATAGTTGAAAAAAAAAAATTAGATTAGAACCCGAGATCAGAAAAAAAAATCCAACTTAGGAACTCTATCACCTCCACTGTTCGTGTCTCCAATTTCCCGGAACGTGCTACTGCAAGGATCTTGCAGACGCCGAGCAAATACCTCGTCGGCAGGATGATCTCTCTGTATCTGTGTCTGTTTTCTCCATAGCGGATCTCTATTTTGTTATTTGATTTAATTTGTGACGGCATTATGGCTGCCTTGGCCACGTCCCAACTACCTGGACACCGATCCCTTCATGCGCTCGTCGCATGGTACTTTTGCGGGTGGGCTGGTGGCAATTTCTACTAGTTCCATCTGTTGTTCAACGCCTGCTCGAGACCATAGATCCTGGATATGCCTGTTTTCAATAAGGTCTCGGCTGCTTCTGGGAGGTATATGAAGACTAGACCAGACGCCTCTGTCGACGTGATAAATTTTTTCAAGTTACAGCTCTGACCACCAAGGTTGACTTTCATATTGCAATCCCTTCATCTATTACCAGGACGATAAAACATACATCGTCCCCCATTTTGTTCTTTCTATTTCTCCTACTCTGGAATATCTTCTTGCTCTCGATACTGTCGAGCAGCCCCCCTCCTCGCTTTGCTTCCATCGACTGCCCCTTCAAACTTTATTACGAGATCCACCCCCATTTATACTTCACCAATTCTTCTCTGTTCATTGTTCCCCGATTGGCTCAGAGCAGATCCCTCGAACTTTAAGAGCTTATATCCCGCGGACGATTTCCCTCCCAATCCTGAGACTATATTCACCAGTCAAGACACTCTCAGCTCTCGACAATCATGGCTGCTGTTCGCGAGTTCAATTTGACATTCGAAACTCACCCCCCAGCCGCCGTCCGGCCCGGCTTTCCCTTTACCATCCCCGTCGTGATTGCTGTACGACCCATTGGCACACCCTCCCGCAATGTGCAGCATCTGGTCGTCAATGCCAGCCTGCGCGACGAGATTGGCACCAACCCGGCCACTGGCCTCAGTGGTAATCTGACCGCAAGCGTGCGTAGTCGTACCGACACCGCCATGAGTGGCTACGCCAAGTTCAGCCCGCTCATGATCTCGCAACCGGGACGATACCGGCTGCGAGTGATGCTCAGTGCGGCCTCCTACAACGGCGTCGTGACGAAGGAATATGTCGATTCGGGGGTCATTCATGTCCACGCCGCGGCCGCGGCGGCCCAACGGCCGAGTGGGTCTCCTTCTTTCTCTTTCTCCTATCCCTTTCCGCTTTGTCACCCCTTCCTCTACTTTTTGTCCCGCCGCGATGGTGAGCCCAGGTATTGGGTCATCTCGCGGAGTGGGTGCCCCTCCGCTGCCCTTTCTGGACGCGTGCTGATGAACAAAAAAACTCTAGCTCCCACTACAGTGGCGACGTTGCAGCGTCTGACGGCTGAAAACCTCGATATCTCGGCGGCGGAGATCGCGGTCTGGCAAAGTGCGTGATCCAATAGCGGGGAGGATCTGCTATTGGGTGTTGCTGTGGAGTTCATGGTGTCTTTCTGGTATTAATTTGCTGTCCGTGGCTTTGCTAGACTTCCGTTCATGGCTCGGTGCTTACCTTTGCGGAAGAGATGTCCGACGGGGGTTGCCGTATTGGGAATTTTCTTCTCTATTCACGATAGTGACCGTAGGAAGAGGGGGAGTGGGGGTGGGATAGTAATCATGAATGCTCCTTTGGATAATGATGTCGTTATTGTTTTTACTTGTGGGGACAACTTTTGGGTTCTTTTCGCGCTCGAGTCTCTCGTTGGAGGTGATTGTGATAAAATGGAGATCACGAATCCTTTCTGTTTCCGGTTTACGAACCAGGTCCCCACGTCAGGGGAAAAGAAAAGAGGTGATGAAAAAGAAAATATGAGATCACATTCAGTACCCGCTAGTCTATTTGGAATTCGCAGTTGTTCTTTTTTCTTGTTTCTCTTTCCCTCTCCTAGATGCGAATAGAAATCTTCGATTTTTATATGCCCAATCATGTGAATGACTCCTTAGATAGTACACTCCTGTAGTCACGAAGCTGGCCCAGCTGCTTGGCAGACCCAAGCACATACTGCAAAAATCTGGGGTAGTCCCAGCCCATGCCCTTGGCAGCAAGGCCCATCAAGCTTGTTTGGTCATCACGACCTGGACGTCCCGGCCCGGTTATATTCTATTCCCCGCAAGTTAGTGCCCCTGTCCCTTCATTGGGCAACGCAACTGGATATGATAAGGCTTACAGGTTTCATGTTTATATCGAACAGGGCAAATTTGGATTTTGACCCGAATCGACGAACGTCTATTCGAAGAGGCGCTGTTGTCTGGAGAAGACTCGCAACAGTTTCACATTCCTTCATAATCGTTGCATACGCAGGGTCTGCCTCAATCTCGGCATCAGTAACTGCTCGAGAGTTAACTGTCACGGCGACATTCCCACTATATGGAGCAATGCCATTCACGTGATTAAATCGAGTCACAGGAGGCAGAGCCCAGTGACGAGCAAAGCGCTCAGATGAATCTGACACATGGTCTACTTGGAAAGAGGGCGGCATGATGGTAATGGTGCCTTCTTCGCCAGCCAAGTATTCTTCTAGCAAAACACGTGGTGACTCGCTGAAGAGTTGGGTGACATGTTCAGCCAGCTCGGTTGCGTTTCGACAAATCTTCACACCGTGGCTACCTCGGCCACGAACCGGTTTTGCGACTATGGGATAGTCCTGTTCATGGATGGACTCCAGTAGGCGCTTCGTATTTTCTTCGTCGAGGGATGTTTCTTCAATTCCCTTTGCCTGTGGGTCATCTAAGGTCCATGACTTAGGTAACGTGAGCCCCCCGTGTCGACGTAAGCAGTCGTTCACAAAGGACTTGTCGTCGAATTGATCCGCGCATAACGGCGGTTGTCCAATGACCTTGATCTGGGACTCATACGGCGTTAGCAGTGACGAGGTCTGAATTGGATGCTTTGCGAAGAGCACAGTATTCGCCCAAAGATGTGTTGCGCCCTTCTGCACTGCCATTAGAATACCCTCCTCGGTGTCTGGAAAGCACCAGTGCTCTTGATTTGCCGGGTCAGGGCTCTCAACGGGCGTGAGAACAGTGGTACCTGAACGAGCAAGCGTATATGCAACATCCGAGCCCGAATCCCTGTATCCTGTGCATGGTTAGCGTGGGTGATACAAGCTGAGCCGTGCATATATCGCCGCACCTCCAGGCTTCGGCGGCTTACTAACGCCTCCATACATGGGCGGCGCAAGAGCCTGATACAAAATTGCGACCACGGGCTTCGTTTGAGCCATGGCGGAAAATGATGCAATTCTTGGACTCCGGTGCCACGATTTGTTGGTAGTGGCGCGGAGTGGTGGCCGACCAGGCTGACGGTGGAGGCAAAAGTGGTATACTGTACGGCTGAGGGTAGGAATGCTGCATGGAGGCCAAAGACGACTGCTCATGATTAATGGATAGGAGAAACGGCCATTGGCACCACGTATGTTTAAATGTGCTGTTCTACTCGGTGCATTTCTTTTCTCTGCTTTATGGACATCGCGGGGAACAACGAGATTCGGAGAACTGCCGATGATCGGAGTCCGACCGGAGCTGTCCGTGATGGACGTGGATCCCTCCTGTTCTGAGGAATGTTCCCCTCTCGCCTCATCAATTCTTTCTCGGGTTACAAGAGCACAAATCTGGCTCAGTGGAGGGATATATGGAGAATTTGCGATACTCGGTGCGGAGCACCGCCGGTTCTTCATTTGGAACATATAGTCTATCAAAGTATATGACACAAGATGGCAAGGCATTACAATATTACAAAACGAAAAAGAGACAGCAGACACGAACAACAGCTCCTTCAAGGAACCAAGGGCAAGACTAAATCCTGCCCGCATCGTTAAGCAGAACATCATAGATCCGTCGTATCATAAAACATATGGTCGGTTACCAGCACATGCAGGGCCATAGTTGGGATTAAAAAGGTGAATGGGAATGCTATCTGCGCCGAGAGCAGGTTTAGCACATATTTCCATGTGAAATATTTCCTCATATCGTGGGTTGGTCAATGCATCGAACTGCCCCTGGGATATCGAAATGCATGCCCAAGGGTGGTGTTGTAGCACTTGAGGGTCACGTCAATGGTAAGGAAGAATCATAAGATGTCCGCATAGACACCCGGTTTCGAGTCTGAAGCAGCACCGGAAAATTTCATCGAGAATTCCAGGAGGGCAGATCAAGGCCCTCTCCTGGAGCAAGAACGACTCAGGACAAAGCGTTTCTTCTGGATGGGGATGAAGCCACGTGCATGATGGCAGAGATGAAGGTAAGAGGTAGAAACCTAGAAACACAGAAGAGCCTCTTCAGCTCCCCTTGTCATGGTGACGGAACTTCTCAAAGCTGTCGCGAACGGTGTCCCGCACACTGAAGCCGCCAAAAAGCCAGTCATTTGAATGACGGCCAAAGTGGTTAATAGTGCCGCTGTAACGCCGGTAATCGTCACTGTTCTTGCGTGTTGGGGCTGAGACCCGCTTGATGGGAAAGTCCTCCTGCTTGAGAGAGCGGGGGGACGAGGGGGACGAAGGAGTCGGCGACATTTCGACTGGGCTCGTGGATTGCTGAGGCTGGTCGAAGTAGGAATGCTGCGGGACGCTCCGAGGAATGTCTCGAGCGTGGGAAACGGTCACGGCGCGCTGGCGAGCCTGAATTTGTGGAGTATCGATTGAAATCGGAGAGTTGGAGGATCCCGATCGAAACGTTTTGGAAGTCAATAAGCTGGAGGATTTGCAGTGGTGCTTCTTCTCGTCCGAGCGTTGAGTGCTACGGGAAGAGCTAGTGGTGGTCGAGGTTTGAGACAGAGAGCGCTTGGGATAAGTGTCCTCGTGATAGGAACGAGAGAGCATCACTCGGAGAAGTGGAGAAGTGAAGAAGTGAAGTTCGAGGGATTGCTCGAAGGGAGGAGGAGATGGTGATTTAAGTGCTGAGAGTGACCCGGACCGGTTATTTATGCGTCTCACCCCTCGCTCCCTCGTTTCTTCTCTGTGCCAGTTTCTGGGGATCGTCAACGCCCGTAGGGCAACCAACCAAAATGCAATCCGCCTCCAACTGGCTTCCCAGCCGGTCGACAAGAAACACCCAAACACTCCAGGGCTCGGAACAGCCAATGACACCGCGCCTAGTCGGGCCTGGGGCTCCATCCAGAGCGGACCGGTCCTGAGGAGAACCAACCGGAGGTCAGCAACCTTGACCCTCCAGCTCCACCGGTAAGGTTTAGCGGGCGTCCATGTCGGTGAGATTCACGGAGGACGAGCCCTCCTTGACCCTCTCTGGCCCCGCTGCTGCATCTGTTCGGCCAATCTCGCTTTCTTTCTGCCTTGGAGCCTCCTCCAACAGGCTCTTTCCAAGCCTGCTGGCCTGTGTTGCCCGCTGCTCGCCTCCGCTGGCCTCATTCAGACCCCGCAGTTTCACCGCTCGTTGCATCATCTCGCGGGACACGCCGGGTTGCAGTACGAGGCCAGTCGCAAGCTGTCCCACATAGAAACCATCTCTCTTCTGCCCTCACTCGCTGTCCACTGTCCAGACCCAATCTCTCCTGCAGTCACTGCAGGAGGGACGGCTGAAGCCGACCGACCCATTCTCCTCCCTATCATAGGGCTGACAGGTTTTCCCTGTTTCCCTGTGGAGTTAGGCAACCAGGTTTCGCCAAGGTCTACAGGTCTACAGGCCAAGATTTGCTGAAGATCGTGACTCCTTCTCTCATGGCATGTGGATCGGTCTGCCGACCTGTAGGCCAATCTGGCGTGAGCCTCCTTTGGGGCTGCCTTTTGTTTGCCCCGAAATACGAATGACCAGTGCGCCCATTGCCCTGGTTCCAAACCCACCCAGCCTTATTGCTTCAGGACATCTTGAGCAGGCCTCCCTTCTCGTATTCTCACCCACCTTCAGTCGCCAATCACCATGGATTCGCCGAGACATAGTCCTTCTAGCGCCCTTCGAGAAGGCCACGTAACCGAGGAACGCGGCACATGTCTTCACGGCTCGTTCAGAGGATGAGTGTAATTCGTATCCGTCTCGCTCTTGAAAGTCATTTTGGCCCCCAAGGAAGATACATCAGCCAAGACAGTACATGAGTAAGAAGCTAATGAACTCGGCATGCTTGTTCCGAATCCCTGCTTCTCTGGGTTTAGAATGAAAGTCTATGGAAATTCGCTGGCACCATTCAGATGCACCTTGGTGCGACAATCGCGATCAGTTGACTGAGTTCTCCGCGGCCAGTCACAGACCCAAAAGATAACAGATTATGCGACCAGAGCATGCACTTCATCCCAAAGTGCCAAGTTCGCTTTCCGTCTTTGTCTTCATTGCTTTATGCATGTTGATCGGCCGGGTGACTCATGCTCATAACCGGTCCGCTTTGCCGTCTTCGAGACCAAATAGCCCAGCATCTCCAATTCGGACAATACCGTATTGTCCTACCACACTTTGTCCATTCTTCGTCGGTCGCATAAGACGGTCGAACTTCTCTTCTCTCTGTAACAAAGCCAATCCATCGATGCCCAACATCTCTTCGTCGTAACTTCAGCCATGGTCATTTATCATCAACCCATCGACACTACATTGCTGATGAATTAACTCTTCGAAGTTTGATTGGTAATATTTCCATCCTAGGTCCACAAGTGGTAGATGCTTGGTGGCATCCCCCGACATGCCATGCTCGGAAACTTATCTCGGTAGAAAAGCCACAGAGAGGTGGAAACACCATATTCAAATGGACCCCTAGTTTCTGATCAGATCTCTGTTTCGTATTTTATATCTTCCAGTAAATAGCATTAAATACAATCCATTTGCATGTCTCATTGATATGTCAAATAGTGTGAAGTCAGCGAGGCCTCCGCCCCGATTTGACCTGCCCGCTCGGGCCTTTCGGGCGCTCGGGAGCCAGCCTGTAGTGTTGTGCTGAATAGTTCAATTTGAAGCATTCTAAAGATGGATTTCGAGCTGCTCATGGGATACGTAATTATGGCCGATTCGAGATAATGAATGTACCTTCTCGCAATATTCATTTTCCGTACTCTCCGAGATTCATATGCGGGGTAGTCACAACCCAGATGTTGCAAATGAAATCGAGAAACATCGCTGTTAACAGGCAGTATATATTAGTTGTCCCAGAACACTGAACGACGAGCCGCTGAGGATCAATCTCCGAGAAGACTCGCCATGGACCAATCACTACAGGGAAAGGTTGCATTTGTCACTGGTGGTAACGGCATCAGTGGCTTTTCAATTGTTGAGCATCTGATTCGCAGACCGAAAGACGAATGGTAATGTTCACAGTGTCTTCCACGAACCATCTACTTACCTCAACAGGAGGAAAATCGTGGTCACATCCAGAAACCCTCTACCTATGCCTTGGATTGATCCCCGAGTTGAGTTCGTAGCTGTTGATTTCCTGGATCCAGTCGGCCAGGTTGTTTCTAGATTGAAGCCTGTCTGCTGCGATGTCACGCATGTATTCTTTACATCCTATGTTCACAGTGATAATTTTAAGGAGCTTCCGGTCAAAAATGTCCCCCTATTTCGCAACTTTCTCGATGCCGTGGTCGCAATATGCCCGACGTTGGAGCGAGTATCCCTCCAGACAGGAGGCAAAGTAAGTTCAAGGCTCAGTATTTGGTGATCATTGATCTAATATCGAAATGCAGTATTACGGTGTGCACTTGGGACCTGTAAAGGCACCACTGGAGGAGTGGTTTCCCCGATATGATGACCAGGGATACAACTTCTACTATAATCAAGAGGACCGCCTCAAAGAGCTTCAGGCTCGTCATAAAACGTGGTCTTTCAATATCATTCGCCCCAATGCGATCAACGGCTTCGCGCCTCATGGTTCGTAGGACCACCCTCGGAGACAGCCTAATTGACCAAACTGATAGACTAACTGAACCCTTCCAGCAAATGGAATGTCGGAGGTTCTGACCATCATTATTTATTTCTTGATCTGTCGTGAGCTGAATGAACCAGCTGTTTTCCCTGGAAATGAGTATTTCTGGAACTCTATTGACGACAACTCGTATGCTCCCAGCCTAGCGGATTTGACCGTATGGGCTGCCTCTCAGGCCCATTGCAAAAATGAGGTATTTAACCATACTAATGGAGATGTCTTTATTTGGAAATACATATGGCAAGACTTTGCTCGCTATTTTGGGCTCGAGGTACAGTGTTTGAATATTTTCAGGAGTATGTTACATCTTCATTAACCCACTTCAGACGCCGGAGCCGAAATTTAAAAAGGCCGCGGGTCAGGCAGATACTTTGGCATACGAAATTGATATGAAAGAATGGGCAACAGGCAAACGCTTGATTTGGGAACAAATTGTCTCGAAATATGGGGGCAAGACGGAGGCCTTTGACTGGGCAACCTGGGGATTTTTCAACTGGGCTACAGGCAGATCTTGGATCACAGTGTCCTCTGTCCACAAAGCACGGAAATTTGGATGGACACGCAGTGATAGAACCCTGGATACATGGATCGAAACCTATCGCTCATTTGAGAATTCCGGTGTCCTTCCTTCGCGTTCTGCATTGCTGGGGGGTCACTAGTTTCGAGCAGCAAACCCTCAGTGTGAATATTTAAATGGTAGTTTCATCTTGTCAATCCTTGTGGTCTGTGGCTCGCTATGATTTGAATGTAGTCATATTTCTCGTGCAGTTCTCGAAAATTAAGACAGCAACTGGCACAGTGAAATCTTATGCCTGAAGCATGCAAAGAGCAACAAAGAGCAATCAGACTCTTCGGTCTTCAATCAAGATGTCTTTCTATCATCTTTTCCCGCCATATTTCCTGTATTCACAACGGTAGCCCCCTAGTCAGAGTGACGAGCCAATGACTTGATGGCAAAATCAGCTGGCCCCTGGTATCAGATTAAGCCTGCGAAACAATCGCTTACGCCACGTATTCAGGCTCTATTATTAAACTGCTTTTGATACGCCCGTTGTCCATCAGATTCCGAATCAAGGGAGTTCTGACAAAATCCAAGTGCACAATACTAGAAATCTACATTAGAAAAATGATCGACCAACTTTGTGAACAGTCACTCACGAGGTCCGCACATTCGGAGCTTTATAGACGTGTCGAAGCTCTTGACGGAGTCCCTCATGAAAGGCCATCTCAGCAGATTTAGTGCTTGCACATTCACCATTTCCAGCATGTGAAACATATGAGCCCAGGCTTGAGACCGTAATAATGTGCCCGTGGTTTCATTTTATCATCTCGGGCAGAAACTCCTTGGCACAGATGAAATGTGATTATATATTGACAGCAAATACTTGCTTGATCAAAGACACTGGCGCGTCAAGAATAGGCAGGTGGGACCGTATCGCAGCAATGCTGATCAACATTGTGGAATGTCCATGTTCTGATCCTACTTTTCAGACACCAACTTGATTTCCTCGGCACTCGAGATGTCTACTTTGAAAAATTATACATTTGAAGCTGATCAAAAATTAATCTCTGGTTAAAAGCAATCCTTTATTTCGTTGAGATGGAACGGAGTACAAACCTAGTTCCTCTTGTGGCTCGATAACGTCAAATATGAGAACTTTACATCCACGCTTTGCCAGAAGCGCAGCCATTTTGGAGCCAATGCCCCCGCAGCCTCCAGTGACTATGATTATTTCCGACGGGGATCCCAGGTCTCTCCAGTGACACTGTTGTTGACCACCCTTCGGGAGAGAGATCGATTGTGCCATGCGATCAGCTTAATGGTCACGATGGTGCCACCAAAGGCCCCAAGAAGGTCAAGGTCTTCCGTGAAATCGATATGTTTCGCTGTATTTGCTTGATGACGCATGATACATCGGATAATTGAGTCGACATTATCAGTACTGAAAGTGGAATTGTTAAGGAGGAAATAAGGACGACGGTGGAAAGAGAAAAGTTTAGGGTCAATGCCAAATGGCGCGAGGAAAGGTATTAAGCACCTTGCATGGTCACACTCGGGGTCTATTATTATCAACTATGATCATCATGATATTTGTGATTATATTCAGTTTATTTCAAATGCAGTATCTAGTTCAACTTCCGTTAATGGGAGGCAGATTGATTGCCTAAGGACCCGCTCGCTTTTTATTTTCTCAGATTCGCACCCGAAAAAGTTCGCTCTTAACCTAAATTCAACAAATTAATGCAATCTTTATTCTTTTTGATTTTTGCATCTGCTGGGTCAGCGACATATTCTTCTTTCTTCAAATCTTCAAGTTTGTTGGCCATGGGCCAAATTCAACATGTTTCATCATTCCGCTTCTTTGGCCCCCACAGGATCGGCGGCCTGACTGGCCTGAAATCAAGTGTCTCAGGAGTCATACAGGGGCTAAAAAGAGAATCCTTCGGGATTCTGTCACACTCATCTCAAATAAATTGTCCCTAGTCGCTACCACTCTAGCACCGCTTAGGGAAAACACTGCTCACAAGGTCAGTCGAACCATCAAATGAAAACCATTCGCAGTTCCGTCAAATCTGGAGCAACCCCACTTGAGGGTATAGAAAATCTATTCAACTTTGATAGCCTCTACGAGGCTAGTGGGAGTCCACGTATAATATGCAATGATACTTTGACCATGGCTTTCATTTCATTAAAAGAACCTAGCTTTTTGACATTGCTTCCTACAAAGACAAAGTCTGTTACTTCGATGTCGTTCTTTCTTCTCGATTGTATATAACAAAATGAGGTTCTCGCCCACGCTGCAAACGATTACTAGAATAAGGATAATTCCGTAGATCAATCACATGTATATTGTGACTAGTAGCCGACTAAATTGAATGTGATTATGCTCTATGTTCTATATTTTGTGGGGAATAAATGCGGGGTCATTGATGTTTTGGCATGAGCATAGAATGCCGAGGACCGCTAAGCCTAGATCCATGGTATCTCAATTTTCTAGAACCATTCTCCACAGACTGTTTTCTTGGAGGGTATAGTACTAACTTCTGAAAAACAGATACGAAATTTTTCGCATATATTGATACTCTAGATAATATAAAATAGTGGGGAAGGTATGAAAGAAACAAATTCAAGTCTATCAAGTACTTTGTCTAAATTCCTTTGTCTCCACAATGAAAATGGCAACCCCAATGTTTCTCAAAGGCATCATACAGGTCTTTGTAACTTGTTGCATTTGCCTTGCTGCAGGGGAATTCTGCGATAACACCCCTAGTAGCCGTGATTGCTGGGGCGAGCACAACATCTCAACGGACTATACGGTTATAACACCCGACACAGGAATCACTCGAGAGGTTTGCATATCGATATTATATAGTTCACAAAACGACTCAAATTAATTTTATTAGTACTGGCTATCAGTTGAAAATTGTACCTTGGCCCCTGATGGCTATGAACGACAAGTTCTGGTATTCAACGGTACCTATCCAGGGCCGGTCATCGAAGCAGATTGGGGTGACAATGTCATTGTCCATGTATCCAACAAATTAACAGATAATGGGTATGACTCAAAAGTAAACCTATTGTGATTATTCTAATTTTCCTAGAACATCTATTCATTGGCATGGTATCCGGCAGCTTGGCTCAAATCAGTATGACGGTACAATTATTGGAATTGAATTGAATCAAAGATGTAGCGTCTAATCTCACTAAGGGGTTCCGGGAGTCACACAATGTCCAATTTCTCCGGGGGACACTATGACATATACGTTCCGTGCCACGCAGTATGGTACATCGTGGTATCATTCTCATTGGAGCCTTCAACTTTCTGATGGGTTATATGGTCCAATCGTTATTCATGGTCCGACAAGTTCCGATTATGATATCGATCTGGGTGCCGTGTTTATTAATGACTGGTACCACGCAAGTGCATTCCAGCTTTGGGTGGAAAAGACCGAATATGGTGGATTTCCTGTTCGACAAAATGCCGTTGCCGAAAATGGCTTGATTAATGGGACAAATACGTATCCTTGCGTGAACTCAAATGACCCAGCCTGCGTTGGAACTGGGCGTCGCTCAGAAACAATCTTCCAGAAAGGCAAAAAATATCGTATCCGGCTAGTTGATGCGCAGACTGATGGATGGATGAAGTTCTCCATTGATGGACACAAATTGACTGTCATTTCTGCTGACTTTGTGCCAATTATTCCATACCAGACTGAGAGTGTCATTCTTACTTCGGGTCAGCGGTATGATATAATTGTCGAGGCCGATCAAGAGATCGGCAGCTTTTGGATGCGATCAATATATCAAACAGCTTGCAATTCATTATCAATCGGCAGAAATGATATTCGCGGTATAATTCGATATGATAGTGCTGCAGAGACTGAGCCAACGACAAAGCCTTGGGCCAGTATCACAAATTCATGTGGGGATGAACCGTATACCGACCTGGTTCCCTATATCTCCAAAAACGTAGGCAGTGCAGACAGTCAGAATATTCTAGATATTGGATGGTTTTATGAGACGGATCTTGTCTTTCATTGGGCTATTAACACAAAGGCATTGAAAATCGACTGGCAGCGACCGACAAATCTTCTCATCTACCAAAATCAGTCCATATTTCCAACTGATTATAACATATATGAGATTCCTAACAATCAAGAGGTTTGTTCATATGCAATCTTTCATTGCCAGACCTAATTTTAATCTTGTCTCCAGTGGACATATTGGGTCATCCAAGACTTGGGCTTTGTCAATGCCTATCACCCTTTCCATCTTCATGGTCATGACTTCTACATTTTAGCGCAGGGAATTGGATTATACAGTTCAACTATCCCTCTCAACCGTAACAATCCCCCTCGAAGGGATACAGCTACAATGCCTGGCTCTGGGTATCTCGTTATTGCTTTTGAAAATGACAACCCTGGGTATGTCTCCCATTCTCATTATCTTCTTATTTATAACTATGTTGTATAACCTAACCGCCCTAGTTCTTGGTTAATGCACTGTCATATTGCCTGGCATGCAAGCCAAAGCCTTGCGCTCCAATTCGTGGAGCGACCGGAAGAAATATCTCAATTGGTACAACCTATTGCTACAGATGTGCGGTCGTCTTGTGCAAAGTGGGAGGCTTATTACTCCGAAGCGTTTCACAAGCAGGATGACTCGGGGATTTGATGAACAATATTCTTGGGTTCATCCTGGTACTTAAATTCCCAGGAAAATTTGAGATTGCATAGTCAATAGCCAAGTACAACTGTTTTTCTGCATCAGAGATTGGTAATATAGATCAAGAGAACTAGTTATGAAGTATTTACTTCTAGTGCTAAGCGGTTACTTCATATCGATGACACAGCTTTACCGGGGAAACTTTTTCAAGGTATAGCTCACTTAATTATTTCCCCAGAACTCGGCTTCTATTAGACCTGAATCTCAAATGTCCGAGATGGAAAGAGTATGCATAGTACATGAACAAGACGATCAACATATTCATTTTTAGTGGTGTCAAAATCCCGGAAGAATGGACTCATTCTCAATATAGTTCAACGTATCTTATACTGTATTAGCCTTAGTGTGATGGTTATCTGCCTCTTCGACGGACAGCCTGATTGGTGGATTGAATCTTGCGGTCATTGCAGATATACGTACTCTCTATCTGCCTGATAGTCTGTATCGCGCCTACTGCCTATTTTGGGTATGAGCATGTGTTTACTCCTCGGGAAGGTCTGTTCAACGCCGGTATGTGTATGGCTTAGTGGTTGGTTTGGTGATCTGATTGTTCTTTTTATCCTCCAGACTCAGCTGCGGCTTCCCATACGGAATAGTTAATAATACTATCAAATGCCGTTCGGGTAACGCTCAAGTCTTAGCCCAAGGCTTACCTCCTGAGGCTGACATATAATTCCCTCCTGTCGCCAACGGCCCCCAATCTAATCTCCGCCGATCCCTCCCTTTTTTCACGGGGACTCGGTGGCACTTTAAAAGGGCGCCCGTAGGCGAGTTGATGTCTTCCAGTTAACAAAGCTCTTTTGCAGTCTCACAGCTATGGGCGTCACCTTTTCACAGTTTTTTCCTCCCGCGCCTACTCTAACTGAGGCCAATTTACCCACCCAGAAAGGGAAGGTTTTTATTGTGACTGGGGGCTATTCCGGCATTGGCTTCGAGCTTTGCACTATTCTTTACGAGGCTGGGGGGAAAGTTTACCTCGCAGGTCGCTCGGAAGAAAAATCTTTGGATGCTATTCGACGTATTAAGGCGTCCAACACGTCCTCTCAAGGGGATATCATTTATCTTCCCATTCAGTTGGATGATTTGACAACCATCAAGCCTGCTGTCGAGGCTTTCACCAAGGCCGAGTCTCGGCTAGATGTGCTTTTCAACAATGCCGGTGTTTCTAATCCCCCTCGAGGATCTGTTTCGCCCCAAGGGCACGACCTACAACTAGCAACTAATTGCCTTGGTCCCCATCTCTTGACTCAGCTTCTGCTCTCAACGCTCAAACGCACTGCCGAAAATCAGCCGCCAGCATCTGTTCGAGTTGTGTGGACATCTTCGATCGTTGTGGATATGTCAACCCCGGGAGACGGTGTCCGTCTACATGAACTTCAAGACCGAAAGACCCATCCGCAACGGAATTACGAAAACACCAAACTTGGAAATTGGTTTCTGGCTAATGCGCTATCGTCTCAGGCTGGTGCCGATGGTATTTTGAGCGTGACAGTCAATCCGGGAAACTTGAAGTCGGCTCTGACGCGTCACTTCTCTCCACTAGTGCCTTTTCTAGTCAGCCCTCTCTTGTATCCTGCAAGAAAAGGTGCTTATACCAGTCTTTGGGCGGGACTTTCTGATGAGCTAAAAATATCCGATGGTGGCAAGTACATTATACCTTGGGGCCGAGTACATCCCAGCCCAAGAAAGGACTTGGTCCAGGCAATGAACCCAAGGGAGGATGGGGAACGGTGCAATGCACAGATTTTTATTGACTTTTGCAATGAGGAAACCATGCGTTTTGTATAAATACTCTTAATTATTCTGGAGTGACTCTTACTATTTGCTGAAATACGTTTTTCTTTCTCGGCTTTACACTCGATTACCATGTACCCGTGATTATCAATCGATAAATGACAAAATGTTTGGAAATTCCAACTGCGAATCATCTTAAAGCCACACAAAAATAATTTCTATGTTTCCTCCCGAAGTGGCCAGAGGCTGGCGCTTGGTTCTCTCCATGAGCGGGGTTGTTCGGAATGGCATCTTCGATGTCGTCGCTCGGCGACGAATTTTGCGGAATCAAACCCAGAAAACGCAGTTTTTGCTCTATCAGTCCCGGTTACTGGTCGTGTAGATATCCGGAGGGGCATCCAACCCGAAACTAGGACTTGGTCGCCGGCAGTTGTGGTGGTCGGCACAACAAAGAGTGACCGAGTCTTGTCCAACGGCGGCCGCCGAATTAGTCGTCGCAAAACGCTGCGATGTACGTGCTTCCGGGCATCAACTGCTGCTGGGGATTGTGGAATTCCATCACGTCTGTCTTTGAGTAATGGGAGCGACCAAAGGCGGTGTGTCCGGGATGATTGTGATCGGACAATACCTGCCATGTTGGCATCGTCATCAGGAGACAGCTCTTCTGCGATGAGAGGTACTATCGTTGTTTTTTGAAATAGCCAAGGTAGGTGGCTATTTGGCTCGCTTCCAGGTTTATATACACGTAGCTGGAGGCTGCGTGGCTCGCGCATGCAAATCTCCGAGCCACAATACGGCCAAGAGTGGTGCCTTCTGTGGTGTCGTAGATGAGGCATGGTCCTCAGCTTCAAGAGCTTGGTGATAGAAGGCAAAAGACTGGTATACTGAGTTTCAAGAAGTCAAGGAAGCTTTATTCCACTTCCATTTTTTATAATGAACAAACGGTAGAGCAATTTGTGTTAGAATGAGTAAGGATTGGGGGCCGAGCAGATATCTAAATTATAAATCGACACTCTGTGGCTCGCAGCCTCTCATGGGGCTCACGCGTATTAGGCGTGGGTGTCCCGAAGATAATCCCGGGTGACCTTAAAATATTCCACGGTTCGGGATGACTTGTGGGTGTGAGACACTGTGCGTAGTAAACAAGTTGGAAGAAAGTTAGTACATGAGGACCAAGGTAGGTAATATATATATTTCGGATCGAGTGTTACAAAAGCAAATCTAGCTCATCGTTCAGAGGGAATGAGAAAAGGCCAGGCCCAAGAAGCACCAAAGAACCACATAGACTGGATGGACTTGAACGAATAAAGTCGTATTCCTTTGGCCCCTACGCGTAGGAAGTGACCCCAAGAGTGATGCGGTCAAGCGATCGGAGCACCCGGGGCTGAAATCACGCGCGAATAGTAGTATGACTCAGGTGCTGTGGGCTGAGGCCATCGCCTCAAATTGAAATTTCATTGGAAAAAGGAAATTTGAGCAGACCAAAGCAGAATAATCATCATCCATACCAGAGATCAGTCTGGGTACTAAATTAAGGCTAGTCGGCACTTGGTTGATCGTGACAAAGGAACCTACCGTGATATGTAGGACCAGTGGTATGTGAAAGTTAGCAATAGTTCTAAAAAGTCGATTTCATCCCACCAACCAGCACCAAGTGGTCGAGCAGTAACTCGGCTAACACATCTTCCTTGGTCTAGTGGTCATGATTTCCGCTTGTCATTAACACCGATAAGCGCGGGAGACCGGGGTTCGATTCCCCGAGGGAGAGTTATTTTTTCTTGTCTCTCTTTACAAGATCGGGCAGTCCCATTGAATAAATAGCCAGGCAAAAACTTTTTTTTCCCGTACTCAAAAGGACATTTCAAATCGTGGAAAATTCGACTGGTTGTCATCCTATTACACTCCCATGTCTGCTCTGTTAGGTCTTCCATCCAGATCCTTGTTCACAATCCTCCACATGCTCTGAAACTCCTTTCACGTCGACCGCTTTGGTCGCAGCAACACGTATCTGCCTCGGCTTCAATAGCTTCCAAGGGATGCTTGGTCTGTTTCGTGACAATATCGTGAATAGGTATAATCGTCCGATGATTTGAGTCCTGGTCGAATGTACATATCAATGTCCTCCAGAGTGCGACAGGGAGTTTTGGGTAAAGAAAGTAAACGACCGCAAGGAAAGTAAGATTGAAAACAGCAAATACTAACAAAAATTAGTCCTCAAGGCTTCCCAAACAAACATTTTCTTCCATAGATGGGAGCTGACATACTGATGTAAAACCTATATCCAATGTTTTTAATCCCGGTCGGCATGAATCGGGTGCATATGAATCCCGCAAGCTGCGTCAATTTGCCATTATTAACCGAAACCTAACCCAAACGGACATAGGAATATCCATACCCAGTTTGTCGCTGTGGCTGCTGCTGCGCCGATTGTCCTCATTGCCAGTGAGTTGATCTCAGCCTGGTAGACCCATGGAACCATGCCCCAGGTGCACCCAACTGCAGCATACTAGAAAAATAAAAACGAAACAGCGACAATGCCCCACTGAAATGAAATTAGCTTGAATCAAATTGAAAGGAGTTTACCATTTTTACCTCAAAAGGAGCCTCTTTGAGTAAAGCAATGGAAATCGCGACCCTTACATACGCCAGAAATTGAAGGGATAGGCCACTCAACATGAGGACTCGACGCCCACACCTCTCAATCAGCCAATAGCATACAGCAGATTGTTTCATAACAATCTATTAGCAAAGCGAATCGTCTTCTTCTTGTGTTAGTTTATAACTATTTACGCGTATTTCCTGGCGATTTAAAACACCCTTTATACGCGTTCGAAGCGTGCTCTCTAGCACACTACAAGTCGCTGTTACTTTACTTATAGATAGGGTAGTATCAGTTTAAATAGCTTTGACAGCGAGTAGTAACCTACCCTCCCCTAGTGATTTTGAGCGCTTTTCGGAACGTTTTGGTGGCGTAGTGTGTGGTGGAAGGTGGTAGGTAGAAGATAGGAGACGCGTTTTTGGTAGGGTGCGCAGCTCGCTTGTGGAATACGTTAGCTCCGCAGATTAAGGCAGCAGAAGAAGGTCTACGTCCATTTTATATTCCTAACTAGATATCTACATTTTACTCGTTCGTGTTTTGACCTGCGTGAATGCTTAGGTCTGAGAAATAGGTTCTATCTTTGAATTATCGTTTTAATGTATGATTGTTAATATGGTTTCATGAAATACATGCCAGCTAGTGGAAAGAAACACTGAATTATTTAATAAAGGGCAAAAATTAAGGAAACCCCATAAATTGATTGACATGCAATTCGTAGTTTGACCTGACCATATGAGTTTCATTCCCCTTTCAAAATAAAATTGTCTCTTAAGTAGAATTGGAATGGTGAATTGCCTAATACACCATCAGAGAGTGTTCAGAGTCATCGATTCAAGGATGAACTGATCCTATAAATCAGAAGTTAGATAAAACCGGTATTAATTAAGAAAAAAGGAATGGAGTAGAACGGGGCTTACCCTTTTATCAGCCATCTCTCCCTCAGAAGGTGTATTTTTAGCCATTTCAGCGTGTGCTCCTACCCATATTCTCCTAGTTTCACCCTGTAGAATACCATCGACGACCTTAGTGGCATATTCCATCAGAGGCATTCGTGGAATTCCGTCGGTTCCTCTCGCTGTATGGGCAAGAGTTTCTTCGACTGGCTTGTATAATGAATTCGCAGGAAGTGTCCAGTCCTGGAGATAAGTCTGCCCATTCGTCGAGACCGCACCTGTCACGACAGACAGGACTTTCACATTGAATGGGGTGAGCTCAAGCCGAAGGACTTCGGACATAATCTCCAGGGAGCGCTTGGAGGCACTGTACGAGCCTTCAAAGCGGGAACAAAACCATTAGCAAACAACTTGGAATGACTTTAATTATAGTCTCCTATCAGAATTGGTTGAAATTACCCATTGTAGGCACAGGTCCATGTCCCGCGATGGAAGTAATGTTAACCAGCATACCCTGGGACTTGATAAGAAGAGGCGCAAAAGCTTGCGTCACTGTTAGTGGCCCCCAGACATTGATATCGAAAATTCGTTTAGCGATATCAACATCATCATCCAAGAGAGGCATAAAGTGATTGCGGCCGGCATTATTGATGAGATAGGATAGAGTACCCCCAGTTTCTTCATCGACCAAATCCTTTGTGGCCTGAATATCACTTTTATTGGTCACGTCCAACGTAAGCAATGTAACATTGGGAAGATTCCGAAGAGCTGCCATTTTTCCGGGATTGCGGGCTGTTGCAAACACATGATATCCTCGTTGCTGAAAAACAAGTGCAAGGCCAGAGCCAATACCTCCGTCGCTGCATCCAGTGATCAAAACCGAGCCTTTCGTACTCATCGTGTTCCCTTCTTACTCGAGTGCAAGGAAATCGGGTCTTAATAGAAATAAAATGAGATGAATCCTATATGTCAATCACCATTCTGTCAAGTCTTCCTTAAATAGTTTTGCTCAGGGGTCAAGTTGTCGTTGTCAATCCTCAACACGACGGCAAAATTTACGGGATGTGACAGGCTGTGGCTTCTGTAACCATCACATTGGGCAATTATAGGCCAGCTCGGTAAAAGTGGAGCGGGTCGATGCAGATCTCGTAATATTGTCGGCTAGGCAGCCTTCTGTTTATCTGGGTAAAGGCCAAGGGGTGTTTTTTGAAAGATTGGGTCACCAGGCTGTGTTTGGGGTTCGACGCGTGGCAAAATTATCTTGAAAGTGAGAGATAATTCATCCCTAGAGATTTAGAAGAATCAAGAATGGTTCCATTTATGGTCTTTCCCATCTTTAGTCATTGCTGGATCTTGGTTAGCGAGAGCCCACGACGGCTATCTAGGTTATCGTGTTATCGATGCTATCGACAGTAGATATCGTAGGATCTGGGGTACACAACCTCGTGGATGGCGGGGAATAAACTAAACATTTATTTATATGCATATCGGAAATATACGAATAACAGATGATCTTCTAAAATTCGGAAAAATGTGTTCTGTAACCCAAATCCCACCTTACGATGGCATACTACTTCCCAGGATTCGACACGTCCCAGAAGCAGGGGCACCTCTTGACCCCGAGCCACATCTATCCTTTCCTACAGTAGAAGGCTGAATATTGGACAACCTTGAAGTAATCTTTGAAGAGGCAACATCGTGACCCATGTCGAAATAGTCTCGATTTTGTTTACTTCAAGCAGGGCGATCGGGATCCACCAATGACACCTGAGGCTGCAAGGCGTGGAGCCCCCCTGTGGTCGCAAACAAACCCACGTTTCTCCTGAGCTTCGTTTTGTCTGTCTTACTCCATTCACAGGCCATCGAGCCCAGGCATCTCCAGGACAACGTACATAGAGATTGATTTCTATAATCCCGGGCTTTCAACTTCTTGCCACAGATCGTCATCGGCAAGACACCGAATCATCCTGCCACTATGGCATCCTCCGACTCGTTCACTCTCGACATCCCCACGGCCCTCTGCCTCGCGTTTGCGCTTTCGTTCATGCCAATCGCCTACGGCCTCAGCAAAGCTCTCATCCCATCCACGCACACGCGCAATCGCATTCTTTTCTTCTGGCACGCCTACGACGCGCTGACCCATCTTTTTATCGAAGGCTCCTTCCTCTACGAGTGTTTCTACAGTTACGCGACCATCCCCGCGGGCATTGTCAATGCCGGACCGTCCTTTCTCAATCGCCCAGATCGGATCTATGGCGCTGCGTATGGCTCCGGTCCTAGTGCGCGTCTGTGGCAGGAATATGCGAAGGCGGACCGGCGCTGGGCAGGCGCCGACATTACCGTCGTCTCGCTCGAGTTGTTGACGGTCGTCCTTGGCGGGCCAGCAGCCGTGTATATCTGCTACCTGCTGTGCAGATCGTCCAATGAGACTCTCAGTGCGAAGGCGCGCGGGAGTGCGAAGGCATCCCTCTGGTTTGCTGCTACGGCCCTTGCGACCGCGGAATTGTATGGCGGGTTTATGACCTTTGCGCCGGAGTGGTTGACCGGCAGTGTTCAGCTGGCGACCGAAGATCCAGTCTATCTATGGCTGTATTTGTTCTTCTTCAATACTCTCTGGGTGTTTATCCCTCTGTGGGTGCTGTGGGAGGCAGGAAAGGAGCTGCGTGCTGCATTTGTTTCCAAAGAAGTGGAAGAAACCCAGCGCAAGAAAGAGTAATTGTTTATTCATAATTGACGACAGCCATGGAACTTGGATATTTTGCAAGTTCTTTTGGACATGCCGAATAATTTAGTACAGTTGAGGATTCTTGTCTATTCGGATCTCATTGGCGTGGGAAGTGAATACGTTCTGCTTTGCTTTATTGAGTGCTGGCAGTCTTGCGTTTTCCGGATAATACGGCTCGAAATGATGGATCTGGATACATAATGTTGATGTAGTGCTGGCTGGGCCACCACACTGTTATTGATAATTGGACAAAGTCGTGAATATGAAAAATGCTATGAAAATATACAGTACACGCTGAAAATACAGTAAATTAGTCGAAAGGGTAGGCATCACCCTTGGTTCAAGAGACTCAAACAAACAGAGCGTGAAGCATTATTATCCCTTGTGCTCCCGATCCTTATCCCAAAACCAATGGTAGAAACTCTTCCATTCTGCCGCTTCATCCTCAACATAATCTCCAACCAGTTCGGCGGTCTCATTGACCTCGTCAGAGGTCGGCGGGACCTTCAGCCCGGACGAGGCATCTACTCCATGGCCCGCACTCAAATTGCTTGCTGCAGCTGCAGCCGTAGCGTTCGAGGTCATATCAACGGCCACGTTGCCCGAGTGGTTCTTCAGCGCTTCCTCAGCGCCTCCACGTGCACGTTCTGCTATATCGCGAGCTCCTTCGCGTGCAATTTCACTATATTCTTCAGCTTGTTCACGGGCACGTTCCAGGAGTTCGTCTGGAGATGGATATCGACGCGTCATAATCAAGAGAAGATAGTAGGCCCTGACAATGGATGCATAGACAGCATCTTTAGCAAGCATCGTAAACCCATGTGAGAAGAAACCCTTGAGAACTTCCCCAGGGAGGCCCGCGTACAGAGCGGGAATCCCTTCTTCACGATAAATTCCGGCTACCGCCTTGAATATCTTCGGGGTGAGGGCAGAAACGAGAGAATTTGAATTGGGAGAGTGCGAACTAGTCGACTTTTGAGAAATTCCCATAACCTGTGCCCTGGTTTTCGCTAGAGAAAATGGATAGGTGATTGACGAGGCGACCGACTTGCTCAAAGCGGCCAGCAAGAACGTCGCGGCGGCGGATGGTCTCTCGCGTTTGGAGCGAGGGAGAAGAGCATATTTCAACACCTCGTTGAGGAAGAGAGTGATAGAAGGATTTAAGGTCAAGATTAGAGAAGCAGAGTACCCCGACCAGAAGCCAAGAATGCCCTTTTCAGTCCGGATTTTAGCTGCAATTTCCCCGGTTGTTGCCTCTTTCTCTCCTCGGTCGCTTTTGCGAGCTGCGATCTGCTTGCGAGTCACTATATTCGACAGCGGTGTGGTAAACAATTTTGCGAATGCGCCTGCCACGATACCGATAGCAAGTTCATCGAAGACTGGAAGCACTATATTTCTGCTCTTTGCTGCGCGAGCGGGTCCGACACGTGCGATTATCCTCCGTTGCCGAACCGTGTTGTATGCGAGGAAGAACAAGAATGAATCAGCGACCGTCTTAAAAGTGTCCTGTGCGAGGCCAGGATAAAACCCAGCGACGCCTTGCTCCTCGTATATCTTGTAGGCTGCATCAAGGATGTCGGTGTACTCGTCATCATCACCGGTAGATTTGTCATCGGTGTTGTCTTTCTTGGCTTGGGTTTGGAGCCGGGCGACGATAACGCTGAGAGGGTAGACGACAACATTTGAGATCGCTGAGCCGACGGCACCAGCAACTGCGTTTCCCAGAACTGGTAAGGCTGGACCTCGTAGAGCAGCAGTCTTCCAGTCTTCCCTGGGCTCGCGGCTTTCCCATCGGAAGGAGGGGTGGAAGGCGTCCTAACACGACGAGAATTTAGTAAGAGAAGATGCACAAAAGGAACAACAAGAAGCATACCAACTGCGACTCATAAGATAGCTTGTACTCGGCCATCCTACCTTGTTTGAGCTATTTTTTGGACACGGTCAGAGAGGAGGTGAGAGTTCTTGTTAAGTGAGAGGTATTGAGTGTTTGTACATAGACAATATTGATTGCTCCGGAGGGGGGACTGGAGAGTATCCTAGTATGTCAGGTCAATACCCTCGCAGTACCACGCATAAAAATCACAAAGGATTAAAATGAGGTCAAACTCTCGGCAACTCAGAAAACAGGCTGGGCTTATATGAACGTGAAGGCATCACACCATGGCCGAGGTTCACGTCCTTGCGGAGATCGATTACATCATGCCGCCCATACGGTCCGTGCACAAGTGGGCCTATTTCTCAATTTCTGTGGAGTATACAGCAAAGAACCCGCTGGATTCTTGAAATAGGAAGGAAAATCAAAAGATATTAGCTAAGTCAATATCGTGAGATGGATGACTATACTCTTTCAATATTCAATATGTCGGAAATCTCACCGAATGGCAGGCTGGTGCTCATCTACATTGTCACAAAGCGGGTTCAGCAAAACGAGTCATCCGACTCGGAGCTCAATTTTGACAGAGAATGCATCACATATGGCGAATTGAGAGCAGGTGGGCTGGGGCGAGGACATGATATTCAAATGAAAGAGAACTCCGTAAATTAATCCGCGTAAGGGTTGTAAAACGTTGAGTCCTACGGGAATATTCAAAGTTCGCTTCAAATTCCGGGGAAGCAAAAGAGAGGGCATTGGAAACTGCGCATTGTTTCGAATTATCGGATAAAAGCTACCAGGTCTGCGTTCTGCCGCTAGTATACAGGATGGTCGACGTTCGTCATCCAGAGTCAACTCCGACGAGAGGGTCTAAACAGCGACCCCAACTCAGAGAAAAAGAATGGCTCGACATGCGTTAAAAGCTCATAAGGCCTTTGGAAGCTTCTTTGGATGCTTCTATATCTAGAAGGGAACTGGCGCTTCGGTCCGGATCTAGGGAATTCAAATTTCCCTCTCGAACCGGTAAGGTGTTATCTGCCGGCCACAGGGATGTCATGACGGGGAGTTTGTATTCTTGTGAGAGAACAGCCATTTAAATGAAAAGGTAATATCAACTCTTCTCTTATGAAATCTATTTCAGTCTGTACACTGCAAGGGTCTCTTGAGAAGACAAGTTCAAGATCCGGTATGCAACTATCTCTAGCCTGCCGCTTTAACGTTTCGGACCATTTGACAAGAACTATTTGTGTTGCGTGACGATATGGTCCACGGACAACATGAGAGAAGAATCCTACAGTAATACAGGCCTGAACAGGTAGTGATCTCCGACGATATGTAATTGTGACAGGCAATCTTTCCATTAAGGGCCCCAATAAAGGGCCTGGCAAGAGCCAGGTTAGAAGCTAGCTATCTAGGGAAAAGGATAGAAAACCCATTTCGACCCATCCTGATCGTTTGAAAATCGTGTGAAAAAGAAAAGAAAAAACATTTCCAAACCCGTATCCTCAAACCCCGCCGGCGAAACCGGAATCCAGACCTATAGAAACAACCGAATAGAAACAAAAAGAAAGAAAGGCCATCACACCGTAGCGCGTTAAAGGGACACGGGGCAAGCAGGGAACCGCGAGACACCGATGAGTAATCCAGATGGTATTCCCCGCTTGGCCCCAAGCAGCGACAGGATTGCGCGTGCATATCTAGCCGCCGAAACCGTACAGGGTGCGGCCCTGGCGCTTGAGAGCGTAGACGACGTCCAGCGAGGTGACGGTCTTGCGCTTGGCGTGCTCGGTGTAGGTGACGGCATCACGGATGACCGACTCCAGGAAGGACTTTAGGACACCACGGGTCTCCTCGTAGATCATAGCGGAGATACGCTTGACACCACCACGACGAGCCAGACGGCGGATAGCGGGCTTGGTGATACCCTGGATGTTGTCACGCAAGATCTTACGGTGACGCTTGGCGCCGCCCTTGCCGAGGCCCTTGCCGCCCTTGCCACCTGTTGGGAGAAAATTAGTGAGATGTACAAGGGAGTCTGAGAGTGGGTGTGATGATGAGAGATTATGGAGTCGGAGAGACAAGCATATCTGCGGTGTCGAGGTGCTGATAAGGTCACAGGAGGGGAAGAGACCCTTGCCTGGCTAGGTTAGGTGAGAGATGCATTGCTGCCTTAATGCCTGAGGCACTCGGCAGCCATCACATTTCACGTGCCGCCAGGGGCATCACCAACAACCTCACGACAGCGCGACCGACGGGAACAGGGGCAATAGGCATCAAAACAAGCAGTGTAGAAAAGGATACTTACGTCCAGACATTATGTCAGAGATGGGGGTGTGGATGAATTAGATAAATTGAGGATGAAAATGAGGTATTTTTAGATGTCGACAGCCGCTAGAGGTGGGCGGTCGGACGTGTTGAGAGGTGGCGGAGATAGATGAATGAGGGAAGAAAAAAGGGGAAGGGGAAAGCCAGTTAGAAGGAAGGGGGAACTACTTAAATACGGATGAGGATTACGCGTGATTTCGGGGGGAGTTGGGAGGAAGGGAAGGGTTAGGTAAGCGAGCAGTTTTGCATTCTGCAATGCGGCGGTGATTGGCAGGCGGCGAGGGAACAAAAAGGGTGTTATGAAGGGCAGGTTTCGAGCATGTCTTGTCGGGCATGGGGCTGTCCACGTTTCCCGGTGCGCATCGAAACGCGGGAGAGATCACGTGGTGATAAGAGATAAGCGGCCTTGAGGAAGGAGGAGAGAGATGATGTAAGCTCCGTGCCACGCTAAAGAATGAAAGAATGACCAGGATCTGACATTCTTGCGAGAGGTTTGGAGAGAAGAACTATACAGTAGATGACCGCGTTGCTCCGAAGGAGTTTGAGGATTTGATTTGCTGCCTGCGTTGGCTCAATATTCGCATTAGCATTTTTTCTACTTCCTTGACCGCGCTATGGCGAACGTCCTGGTCACAACTTGAACTTCGTTGTCTACATGTCCACAGGGGAGAAGGAACTGTGTCGAAACAACAATCTACTCATTATAAGAACAAGTCCATGGGTCAAAATCACATTCATTTGTATCCCTCGTGAAGCCGAAGCTGGAAGCATTAAAACAGCAGAAACCATCTCCCATGCCAATCCGTCGCAACTTGCATCCTGATCCTTCCATAGAAAACAGATACAAAGAGAAGAGGAACAAAAATAATAATAATAAATAATAGCCCCGGAACACCATGCAAAGTAGTGAAGAAACAAATCAGGCCAACGAACAGAAATGCATCGAGAGGGGAGGAGGCGAACTAAAAAGACTTTTTTGCAAAAAGGGAAATGGCCGCCAAGAAGGTCGGACAAGAATCGAAAAGGCCTCGAGGTGGTTTAGCTGTGTCAAAGGGGTGCGAGAAAGAGGAAAAGCGCGGCAAAAATAACAGGCAAGATTTCGTGTCATCGTCATGCGTAATCAAAACAGGCGGCAAAAGGTGAAAAAGGTTGGTTAAGGTGGGATGAAAAGACGATGACCACATTCAAAGAAGCCGCATCGATAATTTCTCCCGATGCGCGGGAAGAGATACCCACCAACACGACAAATTCAGCGAAATGGCTCCGCGGTTTATTACACATCGCAAGAACCAAATCAAACCTGTATCTGCGGTCGGCGAGGGCGTACCCCTAGTTGATCATCGTGTAGACTGTAAAGTCCAACCGTGCAGAAAGGTGGGAAATCACTGGGCACCAACACAATGCAAACGTGGAAACTCGACAAAGGATGGGGCTGAAAATGAATTGACCATTCCTGCAGGCAACTCCCCGAATCCACTTTCAATGAGAACCCGTCAATATGATGAAAATTGAACAGGGAGAGGTGGCACGATCAAGGTGGCTGGATGTCGAGGGGGAGGAAGTGGCCATTCAACTCCTAGGTGACTCACCCTCTGATAACTGGGGACGAGTGAGGGTCTTTCATGAATCCGTTCTGCATAGTTTGTTGATAGGGATAGCGAAAGTTTATCGCAGGAGACACGCGAGGCGACGCTCGTGGACTCAAAGAGGCCGGCGATAACGACGCCGGGCGGGATTCTGATCGAGGTGGCTCGGCCGGAGCTGGTTGGGCCACTTGAAGAGGAGCAGGGGAGCGAGGAGAAAGAGGTGGTGAGGGAGCACCTATGAAAAATCGGTTTGGCGCTTCCTCTTTCTTCGAAGTCAGGTCGAGTTGAGGGGAAGTAGGGTTCGAGGCTTTTGTGGGGGAGCCATACTGCAAGAAAAGAATGAGTCAAGGGTCCAGATTGAAAGAAATAAGGCTAGCCTCGTGTGGTTATCACTTACAAAGCAATACTTATCCACCAACTCTTTGTACACGGAAGACTCGTGACACGGTTTGCTAGATACCAATGAGGAAGGTTTCAGATCTTCGTTTCGAGATCCATCTCTCACTGGAGAAGAAATTTGGCCCGATGCACTCTGTGGTGCCTTGTCCACTTGCTTGCCCTCATCTGCCTCCGGGCCCTGAGTCGATCGGGCACGTGCGGTAAGCGTAGTCCGATCGAGGGGAGGCTTGGTCTTCATGGCCGCAGTCAATGAGGCACCAAAGTCATATCGATTACCAAATGCCTGCGGGTGCGGCTTCTCACGGCGCTTCGGTGGACCGACGGTATCGATATCATCCGATGACTTGCGATCGAGTGGAGTTTTGGATTTCACAGAGAACGGATTCGAGAAGGGCACGTTCTTGTTGGACTCCTTACTGCCTGGGAAGTCGTCGAAAGATGTCGAATGTGGGCGAGACGCGGAATGCAAGTCGGTGAACGTTCGACTGCGTGGAAGAGCAGGTCGGACACCACCCGATGGCTTGTTCACAGTGGTCTTCTGGGTCTTAAGGAAATCGACCTGATAGTTCATCCCTTGGTTGTTGTCCCAGAATTCTTGACCATCTACGTTGTATCGAATGCATACAAACATGGTCTTGTGCTCTAAGTTGGCTTGGTCATCCAACTTGATTTCAAATGAGAACCGATCGTGTCCATCCTGGGCATGCTTGCGCCGGATGTCATGGAAGTAAACGGCCCCGACTTCGGAAACAGTTCTCCAGTAATCGAACGTGAAGCGAGCAGCTACGTGCTTGTGGAACGCAAGATTGGCCACTGCAACAGAGCCAATCAAAACGTTCTTGTCAGCTGACAGGTATAGCTTTTCCAGACGAACGGGATGTTTAGCACATGAGGACATGTCTTTGGGAAAGTTGGGCAGCCGAAGCTCCCACTCCCAGGATGAAGCACGTTTCTCTGCATCCGAGCCAAATGGAAACTCGTTGTCGGCATCGTGATTATCAACTGGGGATGTTTCAGCGCTGACTGCCAATGGTCGGTCGAGCTGCAAGAAATGGCGGATGTGTTCCAACTGGGAGTCAAAGTGCACAGCCTTGGCATAGACTGGCGTACCGGGCATGCTCGACGGTCGTCGTCGTGCGGACGGCGGTCGAAGGGCAGGCCGGACTAGCTCGCCAGACTTCTTTCGTACCATCGGCGGCTTCGGGCTTGTTTCAGCATCACTGTCATCCGGTGAGCTGGTTAAAGCTTCTTCTCTCTTGAGGTCAATGGCGGTTTCGGTTGACGATCGCGAGTGCGCAATCTTCCGCGATTCCTTGGAAAGGCGTAGGTAGTTGGGCTTGGATTGGGGGCTGTGAGTTGCGACGCTGGACGAGGATCGAGCCTCTGTGCCGAGCTCTTTGGCGGGGCCCATGCTTTCTCTTTCAGGGGAACTTTCCTTCCGCTGCTCAATAGATCGTACAGCGGCCTCGAGCTCCTCCAGCTTGATAGCTGATCCGTGGCACGGGGACTCCTCGTCGGAGTTCGGGGCCGATTCGGGGGGTGAGATCACCGCCCCGGGGGGAATCGAGGCATTGTTCAATGGAGGCGGCGACTGACGGAGACTGGCATGAGGATCAATGGGGGGCGAAAGGCGAGAGGCAGGGTCTGATGAGGCGTGCTGCGGTGATTTACAGATCGACGGACTCCTCCGGTGCCGGCGGACGTAGGAGGTGGATGAGTAGGCACGGGAGTTCTGTAGACGAGCCGATGCCGAACGAACCAAGCCCGGTCGTTCTGAGCAGGCGTCGGTGGGGCGATCACTATATTCGATGTGCTGCGCGGCGAGCAACGACTTCAACGGCGCAGTGTATGGCATCCGGCCGACTTGTGTGTCTCAACACAAGAGGGAAGAGACGGGATGCAACAGCGAACAGTCTGAATGTGCTCCAAGGCTCAGGGCAGGCACAAAACAGTTCCTGGCAGGAGAAGAAGAAAGTCAGTTCCGGGCTTCATTTAATTTTAGACACTGTGGCGAGGTATGGGGCGTTGAGAAACCAACAGGCAGGCGGGTGAAGAGAAGGCATAACCATGCATTAGCCAGAATTACGATGACCAGGGGCGGCGGGGAGGCTCGCAGGCAGTTGGAGCAAGTCCGCGGTCAAAGGGAATTCGGCGAGGAGGATAAGTGCAGGATGGTGGCACCCAGAGGATGGCGAGAGGAAAGCGCGGACCAGTAGAGGTTGGAGGTCAAAGGTATCACAACGCCCGTGACACAAGGGAATGAAGAGAGTGGTTGCAAAGACAATGGGATGGGTTGAGGGAAGGAGGAGAATGGTTGTCTGGGCCCAGGTAGAATTGAAGGAAGAAATGAGAATGAGGGTAACGGGGGGAAGAAATGAAGCAGTGAAAATTGGAGGTCGAAGGTAGAAAAGAAAGCGCTTATCATACCGTTGAAGTACATCCAGACGGGTGGGGAGTGGCGATAGATGGCGATGTTGGCGTTATCAACGGAGCGTGGTGGGCCGATCGAGGCCGGCAAAAAGTATGAATAATGGAAATATCCGACCACCCGATCCAGGAGTATAGCGCAGTCAAATGTACAATGCACAATCCAAATCAAATCAGAATTACTCCCCAGAAAAGAGAGAGAACAGCAGCAGCAGCGCCAGCAGTACCAGCAACCGAAAATTGAGGGATTGAGGGATTGAGTGATCGGGGGATGCAGTGATTGGATGGGATCAATGATCACCTCACTGTAACTCAGAAGTACCCGGGAAGTCGTGATGCGGAGAGGCGAATTTTGGTAAATTCTAACAAGCCATTACACGCATTGACCGTTGGGGAGGGGAGGGTCACTGCAGAAGTATATCGATAAGGGCCCCGGAGTGGAAGTCAAAGTCCCCAGGCTGGTCGGGAGGGTAATAAAAAGGACTGGAAGGAGGAGAATGATAGCATTATAGCGAAACCAGAGTGCATGGGAACATCCGGGCTGGGGGCAGAAAAAAAAAAAAAGTGGGCATAAATAAAGGCTCGCAAGCGCCTGGCCAAATTACCAGAAATACCAGATTTCCCAGTTATCCTATTCCTTGAGTTGGGGGCCCTGGGACTCGATGCTACCGTCAGTGCGTTCCCGTATAGCGCCTTCGGGACACGCCAAGGTGGGTCTCTAGGACGCTTCCAAGGTCTTTTTTTTTTTTTGCTCTTTTTCTTTTTAGTATCTTTTCGTCACTTTATCGTCTGATATTTTTTTTAATCTATTTTCCTTTTTCAAGTTAGTACAAATGTTGTGTATACAGCAATCTCCTGGATACGGAGACCGGAGGTCTTCAGGAGTCTCCCGACGGGAAGACTCATTCTGGTCTTTCTAACACAAAGGCGGCCCCGTAAGCGCCTCGAATCCAGTCTTAGAAAACACCCCCCAAATGTGATCCAACAATGGCGTCAACGGTCTAACAGCGAGCCATGATTCCAATTATTCTTAGTCGTAGTATTATCCCCAATTATACCCGCCAGGAGGAACGTAAGCCTGGTCCTCCAATGACCCGAGACCGGCGCAGGGAGGCTCCGAAATTTCCGCAGCATGTGGCCCCTTCGCACGAGGGCGTTGGGTGATCTCCATTGGCGTTGGATCGAGATCCTCTAGTCTGCCTCTCCCTTCCCACATCACCGAGCCAGCTCAAATCATCGACTGTGACTATGATTACTCCTTTTTGGCCTGGCAACGTACGGGGTCAACCCCCGCGACCGCCTGTCCCTTCGATGCACGCTCGAAACCCTGTCAGCGCATCATCCTATCAGGCCCCCGGTTCCCGAGCTCTATACTTCCGCGGATAACTGTACCCACGCACCTGGTCGCTAATCCCCCAGATGTCCAAGGAATCCACCGCGAGTCCACTTTGCGACTTGCCGGTGTTCCTTGTTTTCTCGCAACCTGACGTACTGCCATGGGTTTCATTGTATCACCGCATCCACTCTCAGATGCGCTCAACCCCCTTCTTTTCTTCCTTGGTCGCGGCAATTGCGACAGGGGGAGGGGATCATGAGAGATCGTAATCGGGAATGTGGATTGACAAACCTCGCGATGATCCGGTAAGAGCAATCGGTGAGGACAATACACAAAATACATAGATCCCTCGACTCTTATCGACGGGCTAGAAGAGAGGCCCGAGAGCCTCGCCATCACCATCGCCATTCGCCATTGGCCCAAACCCTGAACCCCCAAGAAACGCGACTAGTCTCTAAAAGAGCTCTTCCGCAACTTCGTAACCATCGAGACCGGAGGATTTACATGGACTGAGCTTTGCATGAAGCGAAATGGAGGGGGTAGAGTTTATGCTTCAAGCATGTTCATCAACTGCCCCTCTTCACTTCCTTGGCCTCAGGCTAGCCCTTTCCCCCCCCTGATGCACTTTAATATTGTCCGTCAATGCAGGAATGTGCGATGTTCATCCCCCATCGCGCAGTACTAGACTGCGCGAATGGATTTTAGAGTGAGGGGGGGAAAAGAAAGGAAGGTGACCCCGGTCCGACCATGGAACGTGAACACCAAACGCATCGCATGCCCCAGAGTCGACCAAACACCTGGCTCTCGCTAATGGCGTTAGAGTTTCTTGTTCATAGTTGCGGTCACGGTGGGCTGTAAGGAGGTCGTTTAGTTTTGATAGGCCCGCGATATAGGGACGGTAGACCGCAACAATTGAGTCATTATCAGTATTGTTGCGGTTGGTTATTCTTTTCCCTGTTTTCCTAATTTCCTGGTTGTCGATAGAGGTTACCTGTTTAGGATCATCGCGAGGCTACACAGACGGATGAAGGCGGAAAGAGGCAACGAGGAAGTCGGGAATATGGGGCCCCATGGCCAGCGAAACATAAGCAGGGCATTCCTTCGTGACATGCAGCGTGCAGCGATATCTGGCCCGCCGCTATCTGGAGGTGGATCGACAATGCACTCCTTCGTCGTCTCCAGTCTCCACCGACCGCAGTGCCGCGAAACCCGGAGTTGCTGAGCCCCGAACCGTGATTCCTCAAAAGAACGGAACCCAACTTTCTCGCGCTTTCCGCGACCGGCCAGAAAGCCCGGATTTTAAAGTATTCGGCATTGCAAGGAACAGGCGATGGCGAAGTGCGCTCTGCCAAACAGATCGGCAACTGTTATCAGGAACCATTCGCATGGAGTGGTGTGTCGACGATGCGAGGCGTGGTAATTCCACGGCATCCCGACCGGGGACAATGGATGACGTCAAGATGCAGTTTGACAGGCCTGAGAGTTGCGCATTTCCTTGGTTTACGACCCCTTGGCGAGGGTCTGGGCCCCCCGGCATCTTGAAGCAATTCAAGCACTGAAGCACGCTAACGAGCGTCCATGCTCAACGACTATCCCCAGGAATCCCATCCACGCTCTCCGTCTGCTACGACACGAGAGGATAGCTTCTCTGAGGTGTCGCGCAAGCGAAATACGTAGTCAGCGACTAGCTGGTTGATACATCCTGGTCAATCCCCGTCGGTCGTGCAGGTCCTCCCACCCCCTCCCCCCTTTCCTTCCCCCCCCGATGATTGTTGGCCCGTGTGCAACAATGGTCTCTTCCGGGCACGATGGAGGTGCACTACTGTCGTCGACGAAAGGAGGTTCGCGGGAGAGTCGGAGAACATTATGAGCCGCAGTGGGAACCGGTTCTATCAAATTTCCTCTGTCTACTTTCTGCTTTCTTTTTTTTTTCTTTTTCTTTTTTGTTTTTTTCTTATTTCTTTCGCTTCAGCAAAATACACAATGGCCGGCAGATCTTGTGTCCCTGGTCAATGCTTAAGATCCGGTTTTTGGTCTGATGTTGAATGACCGGCCGCGAGCAGCTGTATAGTTCCGACCGTGGAGTCTGCTGTATGTACTCCGAAGTCTCATCTTTCCAGTGCCACCCCGAGACATAGTAGTACCTCAGGTATCGCCAATGGCTTTGATACTAGTTTTCCTTTGACACCGGGGTACTCTTTGACATGTTTTGTGTGAATTGTTCAAACCACTTGGGGACCATGTCGTCGGACAACTCTATTCCGTGTTTCACCACCCGCTCTGCAAATCAAAACGGGACATGGCTTTGCCCTCCATGTCTCACTGTCTCTCCATCCTTGCCACTTGCCCCTGTTACTTGTCCCCGGTTACATCTCGATATGGGTCCAATGTGTGCGCCACCCCTGGGCTTGCTGTTCTAGTGTCGATTCTGAGTTTCTATACTTTTTGCTATAGTTGCTATTACTGTTACTGCTGCAGTTGTTTTTCTGATGGGGTCTTAGCGGCGCAGAGTTTTCCTTTAGGCCTTGCCACCCGGGCAGATTTAACGTCTAGTGGCTTTGATGCGAATGCCGCTAACGCCCGTCTGGGCAAAGCCGAGCCCTGAGCTTCGAGAGAGTCTGGACTCTAGACTTGCGGGACTCTATAACCATCTGCACTCAGCGAATCAGCCCCGTCCAGACGTCCTGCCCCCCAATATCTCCGCTCCACCCTGCACCTGGTTGGGGCGGTCCCCCACTGCTAAAGGATCCGTTCGCGAAGCTCCAGTCGTGACTTCGGGGTGGATAGCTTGGGGCAGGGAGGGTGTACGACGGGTGTATGGAGTTGTATACGAAAGATGGAGTGAGTACATCTGTGCTGATAAGGTGATGCCGGCCGGATCTCGAACCTGCAAGGTCGCAGGAAGGTTTCGCACTAGGCGTCGTCGGTCTGTAGCAGACAGGCAGGACAGGCAGGACCGTCACGCTCGTTGGCTGGCCTCCCCCCTTTTCGAGGAATGAAATCCTGAATGCCCTCCTGCGACCTGCCGTGCAATTTTTCGTCCACCGGGAGAACCGATATGGAAGTCGGATGAAGGCCTAGGGAGAACGGGGTCCCAGGTCGGCGAGTGCACACTCGGGTGCATCGTCTCGGTCCAACGACCCGTGGCTCGGAGCCCGTATCACCCCCATCGTTGAGGGCCGAAGCGCTCTGACCAGCGCGCAGCCCAGCTCTTGGCTCCGGAAAGTTCAGCCTTGAATCTTAGTTGTGCATACAGCGCTTACTTTCCTCCTATCTCCCTCCCGACAGATTTTGACCTTCTTTTCCATCGAGCACTGCTGGACCGTACACCTCGTCGAACCTCCTTTTCTCTACACCGCCAGAGGACCTTCATGATGCCATATTCGTGTATCCCTGTCGCGCGCCCTCTTTCACTCACCGGGCCCCCCCCCCCCCCAAACCCCAGCGACGGTCGGCCCCATCGCCCCGCCAATGGTGGCTGAACTTTGAAAATCTGAGCTTCGACCGACACAGCCGAGCGCCCTCGACCCTGTCCCCGCCAGGCGCTTAGGGTGAGCTGTCGTCCCCAGGTCCGGGGCTGCGGCGCCTTGCATGGCCTCCGTCCTCAACCCCCCCCCAACTGTGGCGCCCTCTGGCCCCCGCCACAGCTTCGTCACCACGAAAAGTGTTGGGCAACGTCTCCCCCTCCCTCCCCTCCCCGCTCTTGTAAGATGTTGCTCGTCGACAGTCTCTCTATCTCTCCCTAAATTTTGACTTCAGGGCTTTCCCTTCCCCGTGGGGAACATCCTGTACGCGCCCGCCCCCCCCCCCTCATCCCACAAACACAATTCCTCCCATCCCGACAACCCAGTTTCCCCGCGTGCAATCGTAGGATCGGAGGATCGAGAATCTGTGGGGGAGAGGAGGGTGTTTGGCGCTGTGATTGTGAGTTCTTGAATAGGACGCAGGATCCAGGGGATGATAGTCAACAGGTTGGGTGTGCTGAGGACGGCTTCCAATTGATCTTCCCAAGCATCCCAACCCAACGTCTTTGCAACCTCAACTGCTCTGGATAGGCCCTGGCCGTGGAACTCGAGGGAGCCCGTTCTGCACCGAGGACCATCGGCCGTCATCCCGAGAGCTCCAGAGGCGCTTATCGGGCTGCAGTCTCGTAGGCTCTCAGACATCCCAACGTTGTGCTGGGGGGAGCGGGGGGGGAGCACATGACCGGCCTTTGGAATTGCAGGGATGTCGATGCACGCCCCCCCCCTTGGTGAGTTGGTGAGTTGGTAAGTTGATGAGTTGGTGACATGGGAACAGAAACTGAGTACAACAGGGGGTCGGACAACGAGTGGGGGGCCCAGCGTATGTCAGTATACGGTGTATCTCACTTATCTAACCATACCGGGGAGGCTTGGGCTTCCCACCCCCAACAGTTTCTCGCTCAGGCGATCAGGGACCAGCACAGGCCGGCCTAGCGAGTTGTGCGAGGCCAGGTGGATACTGTGTGCCGGGATAGTCAAAACAAGAATAAAATAAAAAAATAGAGGAGCCAAGACGCCTGGTAAGTATAGTAAGTATAGTCAGTATAGGAGGTATAGTAGGTATAGTAAGTCGAGCAAGTATACTAAGTATACTTGGATTCACCACGCTTATGCATGGCATGCGAGACTGGTGGAGCCGAGAGTCTAGAACTTGTCGCGCGTCAGTGCGCGAAGCCGTTGCTGCGACTCGATAGGGTGGGGGCGGCAGCACAACTCGTCCCGAGTAGCTTGGGAGGCTACACTCCGTACATACGGCGCTGCATTAGTGCGGCGAACTGACAATTTGCGCTGCATGGTCGGAGGTCAGTGCTAGGCATCATCTGGCTCGCATTCGGGCTCTTTTGTTTTCGTTCTCCTAGTACGGAGGACTGTGTTCCAGGTGAAACCGGGACCAGGGCGACATCCATTCTATGCAGGTCTATACAACCTATACACATCCTATACAATCCCGGTCTATACAGGTTTCGCCCCGTCCACCCTGACTGTCTCGCCTTTCCAAGTACGGCGCCTGCTATTGCTGCGCGTCATAAAATCAAAAGAGCATTTACCATTGACTTCCTCCAGTTCCGCCCTGTCATTTGATCCGTTTTGTGTAGGGCTTGAGAGACGCGGCGATAGGAGCGGAACCACAGTAGCTCCCGCCCAAGCCAGGTCGATCCGAGGCTGCGGCGCGAGACTATTAATTCCCTAGCCAGTCGATCCGTTCGTCAGGAGAGCACGGTGCGCCTTCAGACAACAGGAGTAACCTCAACGTATTTCCTGCCAAATGTGCCCCGAGTACACGGGCGAACACACCTACACACACATCTCCCCTCCACCCCCTCTCCTTTTTGACCCCGCCAGCAGCAGTTTGCCAGCAGCATTGTTGATCATGTCACGGGGGACGGGTTGATCAATGACAAGGAGTGTAACTTTCTCCCTTTTTTGGGCGAGACCCACGATGCAAGCCGTTGCCCCAATCTGCAAGCTGTCAGGAGGTAAAATTGCGTGATGCGCGATGCGCGATGCTATTCTCAAACCAACTTCCTTCCCTCCTTGGGTTCCGTTATCGACTGCAAGCCTCCGGATCCATCGTGGCGGATGAGGCGTCGCCCGCGCAACTAAATGTTCCGACAGCAGACCAGTCGGCAGGCCTACTGGCGCCCCGGTGTGGCCCTAGGGACGTCTGATCCTTTGTCTGATAACGAAGCCAGAGCGAATCAGACCGCTGAAACCGGCGGTCGTTGGGCGGCGGCGGTGGCACCGCCCGCAGTAGTCGGGTTTGTGGTTGCTCTGTGCTGAGTGCTCGGTGCTCTGCGCGCTGCTTTGCTGGCCGCAGCCCTGGTGTTGAGTCTCTGATAGATGAATCGATGAGTACGAGTTCTTGAGCACTAGTGGCGCGGAGTCATTTACCTTCCCAGTTGCCCGAGTACCCAGGGGCCCTCAACTTTGCTAGTATATACTAGTCGTTAATCGGACTTCTTGTCCACGATGAATAATCATGATGGAATGCTGAGTACAGGCGAATTGACTAGTTTCTCGTCGTGCTCCTCATCATCATCTCGTCATGCAAGTTGAACTATCCCTTGGAGGGCCCACAATTCACAATTGAACCTGCTGCTTGGGGGATCGAGGTTGCCTGGATGTCTCCTCATCTCCAGGGTCTGGAAGCCAGTCCAGAGGTCTCAAGTCCGCGATAGCTTGTGCTCGGCAGGGAAATGAGGGGAAGGAGCAGGCGATATCCCGGTCGTTCCAGCCCAAGCATCGGGGAGCCATTCATGGCCCTGATCTACTACCCGCACAGGAACGCGGGGACCAGCTTGGTCGAGAGTCTGGGGGTGTTGGGGCGTGTCTGAGCTGTGCTCGGTCCCTCAGGGGTCTGTGAAGCTCTTTGCTGGGGCGGGCCATGGGGCCTCACGGCCCCACTTGGAGGAGCGCAAGATGCCGCATCTTCCATCGCGGACCTGATACGAGGTTCCTGAGGCGTCGTGGGGTTCTGGGAGCTGTCGATTCGCATACCAAGCAACAATCACCGACACGAGACATCCTCTCCTGCAACTCTCACCTCGCACATCTCACAGCCCGCGGAGACCCCTTCATGTGCATGCATTGCGGGGTGCAGCCCGATGATGAGGGCTTCTGAGGTGTCATCCTTGTCCACCCCGCGCGAACGCCGAGCGGTCAGCACATCTCCCATCGCCTTTGCATTGAGCTGTACGCGTCATGATGGCCGACATGGATTTGCAAAGCATATTGAGGGGCAGCTTGGCTTGGTGATAGTCTCGTCGTCGTCTCTTTCCTCTCCTGTGCCCCTCCCCCACCTTCTTCGGCGACCTCGAAGTATCTCGGCCTTTGCCAGCCACCAAAGCACGCCGCTGATGTTTGCAGTCGAGGCATGGCTGCCGCTTCCCCCATGTTCTTCTTACACACCGTTGCACTCATGCGCCGGGAGATCCGTGAGGCATGATTGTTAGGACTCTCGCAGAGTCCTCGTTCCCCGTCCCGGCGAGCACCGGTAGCACAGCGCTTGCCGGGCTCACCGGATGCCCCCGTCACGCGTCGTTTTCCCCAGCTCCAGGCTCTAGATCCGGCGTTCCGGCCTCAAGGCATAGCGGGGCCATCACAAGAAGCAGTGCTTACACTATGAGATCGAATAAACCCAATTCCTGACCTTCCCTATAGACTTCACGCCTCACCGCCATCCCCGACGTACTCCAGAGAAGTACTGGCCGAACCAGCTACGCCACCACAATGGTGTCGGCGGCGTCTGAACTAAGTTTGCGTTCGGATCCCACCCCCTCTTACCTCCCTACCCCCCTTTGGAAGGTGAACAGAAGGCGACCAAAAATACCCCGGGCTCCGATTCTGAGGAGCAGGGGCCTGGGTGCTTGCCCCAGGTACTGACTGGGTCACCCACGGGTCACCATGTAACTTTCAATTGACTTCTTCCATCGAGGATTTTCGTTTGCCTCTTGCCTCTTTGCCGCTCTAGATTTGAGACATGAATTGAAGCGGGAAGAAAGCTGCCGAGTGGCTGAGGTGAACGTCGAGCTCAGTTGCATGTCTGCTTTGGAGATCAGCTCAGACCTCGTCCGTTATGCCGCTCTCTTTCTCTCTCTCTTTCAATATATCATCTTCTCAGCCTTGTATCCAGCTCTCATTGCTTTATCCGTCAAGAGTAATTGATTCAAGCTCTTTTTGATGCATTCTCAAAGGATCCTCAGTGCCTATCATAATCTGCTCTGTGCTCACCAAAGAACGCTAGGGATTGTGCCGCTTGTATCCCGTCTTGGGATGCATTTCAGGATGCCAAAATATGAAAGTCTATATATTGATAGTGCGAGCACTGTCCACGTTATCAGTTTTTGTAAAGAGAATCACTACCGGAGGGATATGACTCGAATTCTTTGCAACGTGGTTGTGGTTGAAGCTGGAGACGCTCGTTTCCTCATTCCCATCTCAGTAGACCCACAATCCAACTCAGTTTAAACAATCCGGTCTTCCATGATGCTTCGAATTGATCATGAGAAATATTGATAGGGGCTATATTACCGAACTTTCTGATTCGGACTCCGATACAGGTTCGCCGTCGAGCCAACCAACACTTAAAAAAGTCTTCTTATATCCCGAGACTTTATGAACGCCTCAGCGGCTCTGCCATGCGAATGGCCATTCTCGGGCATACTCTTACGTACTACCCTGTGCTATTATTACCCAACAATAGTCAAATCATATTGACCTCCTTTACATGTCATGGAGTCTGAGATTCATTTCTCCAGCCCTATGGTGAATACACAATAGTGGCACATGGGCAATGAGGGAAAAGAAGGATAGCTTTATTAGCAGCCAAACCATGTATCGTAGACCCTCTACATGGGCATATTTTATACTAGAATTCAAGTATAATGCTTCGAAAAGTATATGCTCTTCTGATATCCAGAACCTTTGATATGAAAGTCGATGTTAATATTTTTTCTGTCTTGCTCTGGTTCATCTCCTCCTCCTTTGAGTTCCCCGGTGGGGATAATGAGGGAGACAGATACATTGCTGAAAAGAATGCGTAAGACTCAAATATGCTGCTAGTCTCTAGCTCCGTCGTACGTGTCTGGACATTATGAGAGGAAGAGCAATGAGACTGAAGTGATCATATTAAAGATTCGGGACTTGGGAAGTTCAACATAACTATTGATCTGCATGACTAATGGATGTGCTTTGCGGCTCACAACTATACGCGTAGATCTATAATGCAATTAGTGATAGGTTTTTTTTTTCTCGAGTAAAACACTCAGTGTTCAGCTATGCGGGGTTGTGTTCCAAGACATATCAGGTATCACCAAGCCCCTTGTCATGGTCGACAGAGATATTCTGTACTCTTCCTCGGCCCTCGACCGTTGTATAGATTATAAGACCATCTAGACTATGATCAAATGATCAACGTTATAGATTAATATGCAAATACTAGACACGCAAATCAGAAAATGAAATGCTCAAGAGACTATGTTAAGATCTCGATAGTGATAATTAGTGATGCTGGTGCATTTAGCAAGAACAAATCGATGTAGCACTCGAGCGGTTTCATAAATGAGCCTAAGATCTACTTTCTCGAAGGTTAAGATCTTTGATAACCGAATTCAAGGATAAGTCTATCGGGCGACCGAGCTTATTCCATCAATCTGACATGATTCAATCGTTGCTTCGGTAGCTGAACATACTCCGGGGGCCTTAAACAGTCTACCAGATCACATAATAGTTATTCTGGGGATGAAACTGTCCATATATATATGTCAATGGGAGTAGTTGATAATCAACTTGTCAAAATTATTGCCGGGGTCTCTCCCATAAATTGGGGTTTCAAATGGACCGAGCTGTGTCTTGAGAGCCAGTTAAACTGCGACAGTCGGTGAAACGACGAGACAGCAGCCCAACCTTCACTGGGCTTGCAGTAGCTGAGTGGGCAAAAACAAGGCGGGAAAGTGAGAGACAGAAACAAAAATTGAGTGAGAAGGAAATCGATTAGAATACATATTCTGTCGTATTTAATTTGACAGCGTTCCTTTCATCACCCATGGGAAGCCCGAAGTCTGATATACTGGAGACGAGGTAATCGCGATAAGATCAGATCGGTGGAGTCGATTTCGCCCACTTTCGCCGCCTCCGCCGCATTTCCCTGGTTGCCACCGTCGCTCGTTCCTTGGGTGTGATCTATTCCCTCCACCCAGAACACTCCCTCAAAAAGAACCATCCCAAAGGCTCTGCTCATGGCTGAAGTGCAGGGTCCTGGGCTGGCCGACCTTGAGAAAGAGCTGGGCTGCTCGGTATGTCTTTGTGCGATCACTAGCAACCACATTGCTTTCCCCTCATTCCTTCCAGAAGCCTTCCATTCTCCCCCTGTTCACCCCCTTGCATTGAGATGTCACTAATCTTGGTTTATCTTCGAGAATAGATCTGTACCGAGCTTCTCTACCAGCCCCTCACTCTCCTGGACTGCTTACATACCTTTTGCGGATCCTGTCTCAAGGAGTGGTTTACCGCGCAAGGCGGCCGCCGTCGACCATCCGGCACGTCTCCCCGATTCACCTGTCCGTCATGTCGTGCTGAGGTGCGCGGTACTCGTCCAAATGCCACTGTTACAACGTTACTGGATATGGTGCTGTTAGCGCACCCCGACCGCGCCAGATCCACCGAAGAGAAGGAAGAAATTGCCCGCCGATATACGCCCGGAGCCTCTGTTTTTCCCCCGCCGCAGGAAGAGAACGAGAGTGAGGATGATGAGGAGGATAGGAGAGTGCTCCAGGAAGTGCAAGAGCTGAGCCTTCGGGAGAACCGTGCACAGGCAAGGCGAGAAGCCCGCCGGACTGGTCATTCAGAGAGGACACGCGAGAGAAGCAGCAACCCTGAGACACATACAGACGACGGTCGGTCTCGTCGACGCCGAGAACATGACCCGGAACGCCAGCAGCGCTCGAGTCGACCGCTTGGCGAGGTAGAGCGTTCCAGGCGTGTCGAGCACCAATCAAGTATACGATCACTACTCAGCCTTTCATCAGAGACGGAGACTATGGAAGAAGAAATTCTTCGACAAATCATTGAAGATGGGCTGCTGGATGACATTGATTTAGACAATCTGGGTCCTTCACAGGAGGAGGAACTTAGCGAACGTATTGCGGACGCTTATCGCCGGAGGCATATGCATCAACCTCGCACTCGTCAACCGCAACGGCGCAGGCAGTCACCCGAAAATGCCGGTCGAACGCATTCACGATCCCAGTCAGTGCAGCGGACTGACGAGACAAGTACAGTAACCAGAGATTCTAGTGATAGACGACCCCCAACCTCAAGACCTCACTTATTTGATCCAATGCCCCAAGATCATCAAAGACGAAATTCTGAGCAAGCCAGCAATCGAATGCGTACATCTCCGACTCGAGTAAATCAAGCATCTCATTCAAATGAAGCTTTGCGGCCTGCCGTCCGATCTTCTAGTGATATGACAGCGGAACGCACTCACAGCTCTCAAAACGGCAGGACGCGAGCACAATCGTCCTCGGCACGCGCTAGGCGAGCAACTGAATCCGATCAGAATATCTCCAATGCATGGATGGGAGGGCCCTGGAGAGAAAGGGGTTCATCCCGTCAAAATGTCACCAGTCAAACTATGATCAACACGCCAACCTCTACTACTTCATCTACCACGAGTCCTCCCCAAGGCGCGACATCAACAGGCCACACGGCAGCAGCATCATCTTCACCCCTGGTTCCCCCCAGGTCCGAAAGGCGGCCTAGGTCATCGAGATCAAATGCCACGGCCCCTTCAAACGTCCCATATGTCGAACCCGCAATTTCCTGTGATAGCTGCGGCAAAACTAATATCCAATACAATTTGCATAAGAAATGTCTCCAATGCAAGGGCGGTAATTACCACCTATGTCTCCGATGCTATCGTGAAGGCCTCGGCTGTCTTCAGTGGAGTGGGTTTGAAAGATCTGCCCAAGTCGCATATGAGCAGATGCTTGCATCCTCGAACCAGCGATCCCCACAGATACTTGATCCAGGACATAAGCTTGTCTCTTTGAAGTACCAGCGACCTCCAGAAACCGCGCAAATTGTCACGAATCGCGAGAAACAGATGACAGATGACGACCCCACACGCCGTCTAGAAACCGGGCTCTTTTGTGATATATGCGAGTCATCAACAAACGAATGCTTCTGGAAGTGCAACCGGTGCAACATGGGAGATTGGGGCTTCTGCAACAAATGTGTCAACCAAGGGCGATGCTGCACCCACGCCCTTCTGCCTATTCGGCGTATTTCAGGAAGTCCCATTCCATCCACGGCAACAACCGCAACCGATACAACCAGTGATCGGCCTCCCCGGATGGACAGCGACGAAAGCTACAAGATTCTCTCTTTCACTACCAATTGCGACATTTGCACATATCCCATCCCTGCATCCGCGACGCGCTTTCACTGTCTAGAATGCAACGACGGCAATTACGATGTTTGCAAAAACTGCTATCTGAAGCTTGTGGCCACCTCCAAGATTAGCAAGGAGAACGGCTATAATGGTTGGCGTCTCTGTCTAGCTGGCCACAGAATGATCATTGTCGAATTTGAAGACCACCAAGATGGCCAGCGACGCGTGATAAAGCGAGATAGAGTTGGCGGGATTGTCGGCCGCTCACCCTCCTCGCTTTCTTCCAGCAGCGCCGGGATCGCTTCTCCTAGACTGGGTAACGGGGACTGGAGCTGGAAAGATGGCCAAGAACGCCGCAAGAAGGCTTCTCGTTTTCGAGCTAGCACGGGATCTCCGAGCAACAGCGCCCAAAACAGCCCGTCCTCAGAAGCTAGTCAGGCCACCGGCACGCCCTCGTCCCCGCATGGGCCGCCAGTTCCCCGTTATACCCCCGATGGTGGTGTTGGACTGGTTGTTCAAGCGCAATGGTCGTTCTACCCGCAGGACGGGGCCACCGATGAACTGTTCTTCCCACGTGGCGCTGACATCAACGAGGTTGAGATCGTCAACGATGAATGGTTCTGGGGTAGTTATGCTGGTCGTACGGGGCTATTTCCCGGAAAACGTGTTGTTGTTCTGGAGGAAATTCCCTAAACCAACTTGAGCATTGTTTAATCTGGTTATTTATTGTTATTTTATCATGATACTCCTCCCCCTGCATGAAATTCATGACGCTGATGACTGAACCTGGAATGCATGACCATGATGTAGTATGTTACTTGAGATTGCATAAGACAAAGACTCGACAGAGTCCGAAATACGAATAAGACGTTGCTACCACTTTTGTTCTCTACTTCGTGGATATTACTCGGAATAAAAAGAAAAGGACTTCAAAGAATTATAATATTTCTCTCCTTATTTCATGCGTACATAAACTCATACTCAATTCGTAAACATGGGGCCGCTGGTATCTGATAATCAAACTATAGCCGCACCAGAAGAGGGGTAAAAGGAATAGAAGGGAAAGAAAAATCGATACAAAATTCCACCGACAATGGGTTTCCCAGTGAAGGGATCTCAGGGTCCTGAACAAGCCCCAGATGCCAAAACAGCTCTCTGTTCTACTGTAGCAGGGCAACCAACAAGCGCTCAAAATCACCTGACGTCTCTTCTTTGATCCGCTGGATCAGATCCGTCTTGAACAGCCGGCGATACCCCTCCTTGACCTTCGCCTTGTGCTGCGGGTTCCAGTGCAACCGGACGACGCGCACCGCCAGCCGCTCATCCTTCGTGCCCATTCCCTTCATGCACTCGTCCAGCAAGATAGCATCGCGCATACCCGGGTCGATCGCCGTGCGCAGCATGTGCAACAGCGCATCTTCCATGTGGCCGGAGAACTCTTTGTCAAGGTGCTTCTCGAGATGCGTGTTGTAGCGGTCGCGGAAGCCCTTGTTGATGGCCCTGAGCTCGTTGTCCGAGGATCGGGCGAAGATGCCGCACACCTCGATGACGTTGTTTTGCATGCGGCCGACCGTCGCGTTGTGGATCGAGCGCACCTCATTGTCAATGATTTGCGGGTTGACAGGCACAGACTCCTCGTGCCGCGTGCAGCGGAGCACCGCGTTGAAGAGGGTCTCCGTCTTGAGAGAGGTCGTCCTCGACGTCTTTGGACAAGTCGCGGCCGTAGCGCCGGCGGTAGCCGTCCTTGATGGCGAGCAGATCCGTGTTCGACCGGCCGAGGAGGACGTCGTTCAGAAGCCATTCCTTGGTGCCGACACCGTCTACTGCCTCGTGCACGCAGCTGATGTCGTACTGGAGTGGACCTTCGATGATCGCGAGCAGGGCATCCCCAAAGAATGAGCCTGTCTCGGACTTGACATCATTGTACAGATCACGTTTGAGGTGTTTGGAGTAGGTGTCGCGCACGGCCGCCATTTGGAGGGGATCCAGGCTCGAGAGAACCTGGATCAGGACCTTTTCATCAGTGCCAAATCCTTTCATGGCCTTGCGCAAGGCGTCGGCTTGCGGGCGGAAGTCGCCCGGTGCCATCTGGCCCGGGACATAGCCCAGGGTGGGCAGAGCCGGAGCTCCCATTGGAGGCATTCCGGGGGAGGTTGTCCAGAGTGGTCTAATGGGCCAGGTGCTGGGCCAGGCGGGCCGAAGCCAGGGCCTTGAGGGTATCCAGGGCTAGGTTGTCCGTAAGGTGCGTAGCCCGGGGAAGGCTGTCCGTATGGCGGATGTTGCGGGGAGGGTGCATATCCAGAATGCGGCGAGGGTGGACCAAGAGATCCCAGATGCTGAGAAGAAGGTGCGCCATATTGCCCTGGATTCGAGGAGAAAGATTGACCATAGGGACCTGGGCTCTGCTGAGGCGGGGAGATGGCCCTGCGGGGGGATCAACCCGCCTGGGCCATATTGCTGGTGCTGGGGCGGGTATCCCGCATGCTGTGGAGGGTAGGCACCTTGTTGCGGAGGATAAGCACCTTGTTGTGGAGGATAGCCACCTTGTTGCGGGGGATAGGATTGCTGCTGCGGGTATCCGTGAGGAGGAGGTTGCTGGGATCCGTAAGGCGGCTCTGGATGCAAATGCACGTCAGTTTGTCAGTGCCCCGAGGCCCCGCATTCAGCGGCTCCGCGCGGGACGAGAGTACTCACGGTTGGGAGGGGGATATTGTTGGTAGGACATGATGGGAACAAGAACTCTCAAGCGAGAGGGAGATGAACGAAGAAGGTCGTAAGACCAAAACGACCAGGGGCAGTGATCCCGACTTAAATAACCCGTGGAACTCTCTCCGTTGGTCCATGGCTTGTCCTCGGGTCGCGCTGTGGCGCAGTCGAGTGGCCAAGGAGTACAGCCTTGTGGGGCTTTCTAGAAATCCCTGTGACGCAGTATAGTTGACTCCGCCCTGCGCGAGGGCAGTTGAGCCGGAGCTACCGAGCTACGATAGTTCGAAAGACCGACATCTACGTGGAATACGTTCACAATATCCTATCCTACCTTGTCGGTATTCGGGGTTCCTTGACGGGCCGTGTTCTATCTATTACGCGCCAAGCATGAAACTTAGCACCAACAACCAATGCTCAACTAGGCTGCGCTATAATTGGCGAAGGCCAAGTCATCGTTCGGTCATTGGGAATTAACTGCGAACCAGATCCAAAAATACACCAGTTGAGAGAGGAAAACAGAAGTGGATTATCCATTAAAAGTCCGGCTTCGAGTATGGAACAAACCAAGGCATGAAAATGCAACATGTAAACATTAAATCAGAGACGCCTCCAGAGAGCCCATGGTACATATAACAGTGACCGCGAGGTCGATATAAATCTGAAATTATCAAACAAACTTCTCCGCTAAGCTGGCTATCAGGTGAATAATAAGAGCGTTTAAATGACCAACACGAATTCAAACGGGAGCTGTGAGGGGGTATTGATCCAAAGCAAAGTAAATCAAATCAAGCCAAACTATAGATCATAGGTCTCGTAAAAGAAAATTCTGTTCGTGAGTCAGGTACATATCATTTCAGTTTCGTTCTTCTTTTCCGTCGTCGTCGTCGTCGTTTTCTTTTCTTTTCTTTTCTTTTCCTTTCGTATTATTAGACGCTGGCAGTCCGTCGCATCTCGCTCGGCTTCTGAGCGTACGCAATCAGCATGCGGAAACCGGTGCCTTGTTTCTGGCATTCGCGGAGGACTTTGCGATCGGTCCAGATGCCAGCATCGGAGGCCCCGGGATTCGGCAAGACCGGGTCCTCGTAACATTTCGTATACCACCAGCGGCCAACACGAGCCACGATCTTGGCGATCGACTCGTCATTTGCGGCGGAGGGGGATGGATCTGAAAGAAGATCGCCGAGCGAGATGTTGTCATCGGAGGGAGAGGACTTGGAAGCTGTATAGGTACTCTGGCTGCCAGTCGCGGTGGAGATGGAGATGGCGGGGAGCGAGAATGCCGTGGACGGCGTGGTGGTCGTGCCGGACTGGGACTTATTGGACGATGAAGTGGTCGAGCCGGATGATCGGACGACCATGCCCGCCACAGGGATGCGGACCATACACCGACGGAGGTTGTCGAAGCCCTGGGTGCCGAGCAGGCGTTGGACACTGTCGCTGGTAGGCTTGAGGCTGATGCTTGCATTGGCCAAATACGTCGCCTCTTTGAGTTGACGGACCGCTTTGCGGGTTCGGATGCCCATATTCACCGGGTCACGGTCTAGTAGGCTCATTTCTAGATAACCACCGGACCGGAGAACCCGTCGACACTCTTGAAGGATATTACTCTGGACTTGCTCCGAACTCGTGGCAGGGAAGCGCAGGACAGCAACAGTAAAGTAATCCTTGGGAAATGGAAGAGGATTCTGCAATCCAGCATGATATACAGTGTGGTGGTTGGTAGGAGGTTGCCAAGCTGCTGGATGAGGCATTGCTGTCGAAACTGGCCTGCCACTCAGACTGTACACCTCGGCGTCCGGGTAGGTCAAGGAGCAGTAGAAGGACCAATCATCATTTCCCAGTCCATCAATCACCAAGATTCTCCCATGGGTTCCGGACTTGACATGGTTGTGCGCTGGGCTGAACAGGACCCGCCCAAATGACAGCCAGCGACTGGTCATCAGCGATGCAGATCGCATATTGATTCGAGTCACGGCATCCCAGTCCCGCTCCGAGGCACTCGAAATGTCTTTGCGGTTAGTCTGCTGTGGCTTGGGTGTCGGCACATTGGCCAGTGATTGTAAAAAAGTTGACTGTTGCTCCTGAACCGGATCCAAAGAAGGCTTTGTGGTACTCGCGGGGCTATTCATTACCTCTGGATTTCCGTAGCTTGCGATGAGATTGCTGTAGGATGGCTGGGTGGAAGGCGCAATGGACGAATGCAATGCCGAAACAATTCTGGAGCGGCGAAGATGAACCGAATCGCCGCTTTCACGATTGGAAGAAGCATAGTGCGGCGAATCCAGTGGTAGCTGAAGAGACTTGGCATTGTTCAGTTCGTCTTGGAGAGTCTTGCTCGCCATAGTCGCAAGTTCAAACCTGTTACTCTTCTCTGATTTCGATGACTCTGTTGTCTGTGGCTCCTCTGGAGAAAGCACATTGTCGATGAGATCATCATATTCATTCCATACCTCATCCTCGGTTGGCGCGGTGCCAGGTCGAGGGACAATAGCCGTTACCGCCGCAAGAGCTCCCGAGCTGCTCGACGAAGGAGAGCCTTTTTGTGGCGAGAAATGAAGGAACTCCTGGGCTGAGTAAGGGCCAGCAAGGAAATCCAATGCACTCACATCCTCGGGGGCACTGAAGGCGGGGTTTAAACCATAGCCCCAACCCGCTGGGTGAATACCACCTATAGCATTCGTACGGTCATTGAGAGGTAACTCATCCAAGCTAGCGTATTCGTTCAGCTCCTCAGGGGTAGGAGCCATGATAGATGGTGAGTCGGCAGCGCTGAAGGGCCGAGAGAATGATTGCACAGCTGGATGATGCCGTCTATCACGCCTTGAGACCACTTGTGGAATACGACCAATCGAGGCCAATCGCCTTGGACGTCGATCCTCAGGGCTGCTTTGAGGCTCCGTTTCCATCATGTTCCGGTTGAACATAGCGGTTCTCGGAGATGCACGCTCATCTCTCTCAAATTCTCCATGGATTTTGGGTGGAGAAGGTAGCAGAATGGACGGTTGTCTTTTCCGAATGTTCAGACCAGCAGGCACTTCCACCGGTTTGATAGCCTCCTCTTCTGTTGGAGGAGAGTCTTCCACTCTGTTGATAATCTCGTCAAGTTCATCTGAGTCGGCATCCACAAGCGCATAGTGCGCAACAGGGCGGCTATTGAGAACTGGCGAAATCGCTGCATGGAGTTGAGCGGTATGCGAAGGAGCAGCAGATACAACCGGAGCAGCGGCTTTTGGTTCAGCTGTACGACTTCGTTGAAATAAATTCCACCGAGATGCCTTGCCTTTCTTAGGTTCCTCCCCCTCTAGTGTTGCAGACTTCTCGTTTATCATGGAGGGAGCCGCGGTGGTCTTTGACGGCTTAAGTTGGGTATCAGACGCCGATTCTTGGATCAAAAGCGACGTCCGATTAGTAGCAGCTTCGGGATTAGCGTAAACTCCGTGTCTCTTTCCCCTGGGAACCGGCATACGAGATCTGGGCGGCTGCCGGCTCGCTGTAGCTGGAGCATCTTCTGGGCTCTTGCCCCGAGCTGGTCCTAGGCTAGGGGTGACCCGTTTTTCACGAGGACCGGTCTCACCGAATGTCCCTGTGGAGGAAGCCAATGATTCGGTTGATGGAGCTGTCGAATATGAGAGTGGAGTTGGCCGACGGAGGTTTGACGAAGAGGCTAAACTGAGGCTGCTGATACTCTGCTCACTTTGGGTTCTTGAGAGTGTGGCACCGTCCAGCCCACCGCCGTTGATCACCACAGGCTCGAGACGGCTCGAAAGAAAGTCATCAAGTTCTAAGTCCGGACGACTGGATGACATGCTGCCTTTGCTGCTCGAAATTGACCGGGACGCGCTCCTCGTTGTACTCGTCGATCGGGTTCTAGTGCCGCTGGCGCTGCTAGCACTGGACTTCCTGCCGCGTTGGGCATATCTGCCATATCCTTCATGACCGGTCCCTGCTGCTGGTCCTTTTCGAGTCGGCTTTGTCTGATCTATAGAAGCAGCATCAAGGTCCGGTTTTGACTTCTTCGCAAAAAGACCGAAGCGTTTTGGAGTTGCCGGCTTTTTGTGCTCGGTCTTATCTTTAGGGGGCTCTTTCACCAAAGTTCGAGGAGATTTACGAGCCAGTACTGGAGAGCCTGTCTCCCGTGAGGGAGTTCTAGACAGATTTCTAGATCGTAAAGAATCCACTGAGGTAGCAGCGGACTGGTTGGTCGCGGGGTATGGCCTCTCGCCAGCCCGAGCTCTTTCTGCAGACTCGCGCCGCTTGTGGCCAGTTGATCGGAGATAAGGAAGATTGCTTTGGATGACCGGGGATGTATCCAAATCTAAGCAATGGGTGCCGTCTCGACTTGGCCGTGGTGGTGTTTTCGGCACGCTTGGTATTGTTGCTTCCGAGCTTGGGGCTGCGATCATGAATTTTTGAGAATTGAAAAGCTCTCGCTCCGCTTCCTCAACTTCCTTCCTGGCTTTCTCAACGTCGATGTCCGAATTTTTTGATGGACTATCCTTGGGAGGACTGAAATTCACAGAAGATTTCCGAGATGGTGGGCTGGGAGGTGGACCTCGAATAACGGTCGAGATAGGCTTGGTGCTTGAGAGTGTCCGGGTATTGAGATTTGGCTTGGTACTTGATTTGGGAGGTCTTCTAGGAAGCCCCGTTCTTTGTGTGCTTGGCTCTGCCTGTTCAATTTGAGCAGTCTGAGGGCTAGCTTGCACCGTTGATGGCGAGACCATCGGTAGTCTGGTCTTGATCGGGCTAGGCTGTCTCATACGGCCAATCTTGGAGGATTGTAGAATTCCAGGAGAGTAAGAGGACAGAGAAGTCGGCGTAGAGCCACGGCTCCACACACCAGGAGATTCTGAGTATCGGGTCGACGGGGTGCTAGAAGAAGGATAATTGGGAGCAGGCGGCAGTGTTATTCCCTCAATACCGACAGTAGTCCGCAGACTTGCCAATTCTGCTGGTCCCTGCGTCCTTGGAGTATCTACTGCACTTTGGTCTGTCTGATCAGAAGTGCTGTAGGAAGAGGCTGAGAGCCCAGCCGAGTATGAATCTGGTAAGCTAGGCAACCTGGGCTCCCTCCCAGCTATCGGCGGAGTCGATTGCGGGATCATCAGGCTCAGCTTCTGGGCTTGGCTTTGCTCCACATGTTTTCCTATTGTCGGTGCCTTTCTTCGGAGAACGTTGCGAGGTCGTTTGGCGGCATTGATAGGAGGAGCCGGGCATGTAGCCGGAATTGGGGAAGGGTTGGTAAGATCCGAAGCAGAGAAAGAAGACGGAATGGAGGAAGCTGGGGTTTGGGGGGATATCGTGGATGCAGGAGAAGCTGAAGATTCCGGGCCACTAGTACTTGGCCGTGGTAGCATCGACAGTCGGTTCGGACGGCTTGCAAGGTGATAAGATACTGGCGGCAGGGCTGTTATTGACCGAGTATCTTCTGCACGGGAGACAGAGGAAGCCCGGCTGCTCCTCGGCGTAGAGTTGACCGGTCTCACTAGGGGTGCCCGGGGGAGTCGAGAGGTATTGGCGAGAGTCGAATCGGTCGAATTAGGTAGCCCTGGATGTGATGCAGGTGCATACTGCGGGAAAGGATCATTCGGAGGCATGCGACGCCCGCCGGTATTGTACGACATGGTGTGACCTTGACTGGAACCTCCAGTTCCAATTTTGAAACAGTGAATCAGGTAGCTGGTACATATACTTCGAAATCGCAATCATCACGGACGTAACCACTCGATGTAGCAATAGCACTATAGGGCGATATCGAGTCTCCCGTGAGTTCCGGGACTGGTCGAACAACTTTGGGCCCAGAGATCGATGAACATACAGGCAATCAACACATTATTTTAGTCGAAGTGTCTCCAGGACGCTTGCGATCTTGGGCGAGATGATAAAAAGTAAGAGGTATGAACAAAAAAAAGCGGAAAGTCTAGGGTATCTCAAAGTGCATATGGTGGGAACTATAAAACCGCAACAAAAATTAATAATTTTCTTCTGCACAAGTCATCGTACATGGAGCAGCGCTTTGACAGGCAAAAAAAGGTAACAGCTGTCAGGTAGATAAAAGATGGAAATTCACCGACTTTGTCAGGTCGATCTGCGGCCACGCCTTAAAGCTGCAGCTGCTTCGCCACAGTCCAGAGCAGTGTGGCACTGACAGGATTTTCCACTAGCCTCGACCACGTCAGAGGCAGGAAATCCATAGGCGGTGGGAGCCTAAAATAAATTGCAGTAACCCGGGAGAATGACAGCATCGAGGTTTGATGCAGATTTCGCAGAGAAAGACCAAAAAAGAAGAACTAGGAAGTAGAGTAGACCCACGAAGACGTTTTGTATGTGCTGACTCGGGAGTTTTCCCCTCGAGAAGTGGGGGGCGCGCACAGAAATCCCTCTAGCCTGCCCGGTCCATATAAAACGTATGGAGGGGTACCATAGGGTTATGCGATCACGGCTACCCCGGGATTGGATAGGTGAGACCGGGGACCAAGACGACGATTGGGCGGATCATTGTGACTACGGCTGTGATGAGTCGCGACTGCGGGCGCCTGGACCCGTGAAGCAGAGCACCTGTGCCGCTGGGTCGTGCCGTGAAGCAACGACCCCAACAAACCCGCTGCAGACCCTCTGCAAAGTTAATCATCCTATCACAGGTGGGAGGATCGTTCTATGGGCAGCGACTGGTGCATACCAGACGGTGCTAAGGATGCTAAGGACAAGGCCGTATGCGCACGGAAGCCCACATGGAGGAGGATGGGGAGGACTCGGACCAGACCCACTGAGTACATTTCCCTGATTAAGGACTACAATCATTGGCCAAGGCCTGGAAATCTCATTGAGGACCATCGAAGAGAGAGAGAAGGGGATTTGAAGGCTAGCAGCGGCATCAACGGGGCTAGTACTCGCCGGGAAGCTGGGTGAAATGCCCAGGTGGGCACAAACATGTCCAGGCTGTAACTCTCAGTGGCGCAGAATGGGCGGCACATCCATCCGCCAGTATACTTCCTGGATGGGCAGGATCCTGCACCTTGGTACATCCGGTTGGACGCGGCTCAAGCATATCAGCTGGAAATACAAGCTGATGGCGTTAAGACAGCGGTCCTCTGCGTTGTCGTCTTCGCCAATTCTCGGGAAGTGAATTTCCTGTCAGGAACCAGAGTTGAGGGCGCGGTTGCGCCTGTATCGCCGCGTTGACAACTCATCGATCGGGGACGCCGACCCCGATCTGACTGCACCGTCGATCCGCCCCAAAAGCATGACGGGCAAAAATGACCGAGTCTGTGTTTTTGTCGGCTTTTCCAGGATTTCTCGGTCAATCGTTAGACCTATGAAGCACGGTCGTTTTCCACCCCATGGCTCGGAGAATTAACGAACGTGCTCTCCGAGGAATGCACGGCCGACGTAAAGTTGCAGGTATCTTCGCACCCACTCTGAGCCCTGGTCTCTGCCGTGGGGCAACGTGACACTCATAGCCACCTTGAACAGCATTGTGCTTGTACTAGCTATAGAATAAAGTAGTTGAAGATCCATCAAAAATTCGCCCTTGACTCTTACTCGGCCTCGACAAAGTCTCCATCCGCCGTTTTAACCGGCCAGACTCTGGTTCAGCAAAGGGCCGTCCCGAGCCTTGGTGCATGTCAACCAGAGTGGCCCCCAAAATCCCATCTGAGTCAGGATAAAGGAATCAGCATCCCAAGAATGAGGATAGTGGGGTCGTGCTCTTCCCTGCATTTCCACTAGGTGTCCCTATTCTTGGACTGGTTCGATCAGAGCAGCCATTCATCGTCACAGAAAGCGTCGAGGCCAGGATTAGTACAACTGGAACCTCGTCTCCAGGCCCGTGGTTGACCCCCGTTTGGGACCGCCGCAGCGGGGTCGGGGGTGGATTGAAGGGGTTGGAAGCCCCGGGGCTTTAGTGCTCCACCAGGCGGCCCAGGAAGGACGGCGTTCACTGCGGTCATGGACGTCGTAACCGCACTGGTTCGCTGTTAGTCGCAACAGCCACCACCTACGAAGAGGCGGCAATGGCCTGGGATTCGCTAAGGAAGTTTTGATTCAAGTGGGGACTTGCGGTAAACGCAGTGATGGCCAAGCTCATTGGAGGATGCGACCAGGGTCTGCGACTTCGTGAGTCGCACTTACGAGCGGCTTCTCTTCCCCGATGCGACAACTATAATGCCGTGGAACTCGTGGGTGAGTCCAGAACACAGTCCGAGCAAGCCTTTTCACAGGACGTGCGGGTTCGTCGATCCTCTCATGATCCGCCGATCTGAAGGGGCCAGGCCAGCTGGGCAGGCCCGTTCTGAAGCCGGACTGGTCAACGCCTACGCTGCAGGAACGAGAGACTAATGCACACTTCAGCTGACTGCGCACGCGGAGTGGAAATGCGACGAGCCTTTCTTTGATGTTCTTTCGATAGGTTTGCACTCGTCAAGGGCTGGGCGGAAGTTTAGGCCAGTTAGAAGGAATGAAACACGAGAAGGCCTCTCACTTGCGCAATATCTACTATCGACGCTCGCTGTTGATAACGTGATAAGAAAACAATGAAGTTCAACAATGTTTATACAGGCAGTAATAGAATCATCAAACAAAAGAAAACCAACGAGTCTGAGGAAGGGGCCACCGAGGAAGCAGATACGAGAAGAAATTCGATTTGAAAATAGTTGACCCGCGATTTCCCTAAGTAGATCTCGATACAAACGCCCCGTAAAGACTTGAATATGTAAAGAAGACAGAAAACAGAAACCCCTGCATCAGAAAGGAGTGACGGCGACGAATACAAATAGCGCTGGGCTCTAAGTGGCGGTCGCAAATCGCTTTTTGCGGGCTTCCATCGCAGCAACGTCCTTGTCACTCCAATTGGTCGGCTTCGGTTGCGCATTCGATACACCATTTCCACCGCCATTGCGTTTCTGGTTGCTATCTCCCCGACGGTTGCGGTTTCGGCCTATATCGCGTCGCTTGCCTCCCCGGCCACTCTGGTCGTTGCGAGATCTCTTGCGAGGTCGTTCCTCCGGAAGGGCCTCATCCAGCCCCTTAACGCCAACATTAGAGCTCGCCTCTGCTTCACCTCCAGTGCCGAAACGCTTGGCTCGTGCCAAAGTTTTCTCGGCTTCCTTCAAGGCGGTCTCGGTGTCCTCAACGATACCAAACTTCTCAGCGCGCTTCTTACGCTTGGCCAGCTCTGCCTCGAGCTCGGTAGCCGGCAGGCCGCGAGTGTAATCAACAGCAGGCTTCTTCTCCGCCTCGGCTTCAGGCTGATCAGCAGTAGCAGCACCTCCTGTTGACTCGACCTTCAGATCATCCGTCGCGGCAGGATCGGTGTCGAGCTTCTGGTTCGGCACGGCCACGGGGTTGGCTACGGCGCCCTTGCCGCCAGCAGCAATGGCAGTCGCACCAGCTTCCGTGGAAGCCTTCGTAGGCTCCGCCGGGACGTCGTCGTCCCAGTCAATGACATCTTCGGCGGTGGCATCAGTCTTTGCAGGCTCGGCGGGAGTTTCAGTTGTCTTCTCGTCGTCTTGCTGGAGACGAGCGACCAAGTCGGCCTTTTTTCCCGTGTGTGGAAGCGAGCGGGACTTTAGGATCTCAACCAACTCGGCGTTGGTCTTCTTGCTGTAGTCGGTCGCCATTTTGTGATTTGCGGGTGACTCGGTATGTGCTGTGACAGAGGGATGCGCCGAGGGTTAGGGGCTCGGTTTGAACGGATAAATTGATTTTATAATCACTAAAAAGTAACTTTCATAATGCGACAAAGATGCGCGTCGAAAGTCAGATAGAATTGAAGATGAAAAGCGATGCTGGTGGTCGCAGACGCGCCTCTGGACACCGTCGCGTTCCCATCACCCGTAGCACGTGACTCAGTGTTAGCCTGATTTGAAGCCTGAGGCATTAATTTCGTAATATGCCTGATTCTGCTAAACCGGATGAACTCGGATATGGCCCTGTTCATCATATTTGTATATATATATATACATCTCTCTCTCTATTAGTCAGAGAAAAAGCTTGAGCAATATATATTGTCTGGTCTCGTTTCATTATCGTATCTCTCTCGAGTTCCCTAGTATTTTCGCCAAACGAGACCACGCCTCCTCAATCGTCACGGGAACATCAACATGAGAGATGAACCCCCGTCCCTTCGGGCCGTATCCATTTATGTCATCTCGAAGTCGTGGAATCTCACCCAGAAGGAGGTCGCAAAATCGGGATAGCGTCCAATCACTGGGTCGATCGACGTTCAAAGCGTATATCTCGAGACCAGTGGAATTCTCTTTGACCTGCGGTACTATAAGCGGGCAGCTGATAAATGACACCTTAGACGGTCCATCCTCATAGATTTTCTCAAATGATGCTCTCGTTCTTAGCATCATCGTAGGATCTTGCAAAATGATACAAGTTCTCATGTCTTGGAGCCCCGCTTTATCCAGTAGCTTCCGGGTGAAACATGCGTTGAGCCCACAATTTGTGGACTGGTCTTCGATAAGAATACGGCATCCTTGAGCTGCTACTGCATCCGGATCAAAAAATCTGTTCATGATTCTTTCGAGAACTCTCGCTTCTGGAAGTCCCCGTATTCCAGGCCAGATCTGATAATAACGTGGGTGGCATCGAACAGCTTCGTAGAGTAGTTCCGTCGAATGACCCACACCACCGCACAATACTAGGCACTTGGCGAGCGATGGACGTCGCGTAATTGTGGCGAAAAGTATTTCGGCTTGGTAAAGTACAACAGAGGCGCAAATGACGATACAATCGACCCCGCCTGATGGCGGAGATGATAGGTCGTCCAGTTGCACATCGCTCAGGAATGCAGACAAAATGTTGATATCCGCCGCCACTGTATTGTCTGTGGCCGTCATGGTGACAGGAGAATGGACAATGATTTCTCTCGGAGGTTGTGAGTATTATTGGGCCAGCATGTCTGTTTCAGGACGTGGTGGGACGAGGTAAGAATATCCGGACCTTTCACTTGTTTTAGGAAATCGACCCGGCGGAACTCCAAAGATTAGTTCACTGGCAGTTTTGGTATTTCAAACCAAGTTCAGCCAATCCACTTGGACCCTTCAGGACCACGAAATAAAAACTTCTATTGCCCTCTATATTATCTGTTGAACGCTTATCCAGATCAGGTTTCTAACGTATGATTATTGATGCTGCCAGAGTTTTTTGAAATACCATTTCTTAATTCAAGGCATTTAATAGAACTTTGGTTTAAAACCAGTGCATCCAACATATATTCGATTGGAATGAAACTCGGCAATCACCTCAAGCTAGGTTGAGCAGCCACGTTCATGACCCATAAAACCAGTATTCTGCAGCATAATCAACTAGAATCGCATCATTTTGGCCAGCACATGTTGTTGGAGAGGAGCCTCCATAGGTCATTACTCGGTACACCTCCTATAAAATGTTAGTTCTTATTTGCTGTCAAGCAAAAAGATCTATCAAAATGAAGCTTACCTTGATACCATGGCCTTCTTTGCATCCAAGCTCAAGCCATGCAACATCTTTGCTTCCGCCATTACCGGAAGATCGGGACGCCCGCTTGGGTGCATCAACCGAAGCATCTTTCTTGGCAATTATCCAGTCATCCGACCCACTCAGCCTTAAGTCAAAGAATGGGTCACCGGATGCATCGAAATAGTGCTCACCAAGGATAGGATCCGATGAGTCCGTAGTTCGACTCAGCATTTCGGCGACGAAAGTCAGAGATCCAAGAGGCGTACTTTGAATGATTGCAGGAAGCTCATTTAATAGAGTTAATGAGGTTGATGCGATGCAGGAAGCGTCGAAAAGGGTAGCCACGGCCCCAGTTGCTACTGGCACAGTTGAGTTTCTAGAGTGGAAGGAGTCTGTCGAGGAGGGGCACGAATAGTTTTGAGTTCCCCGACCTAGAGCAACGTATTTGAGAGACAAATGGGATGAAGGTTGAGGAAGTTGAGGGTTTGTATTATTCAACGGAAGACCTACATTGACTAAGGAACAATCTCCTAGGCCAATATGGTCAAGCTCGTTGGCGATACGCGAAAATGTGGTGGCCAGTCTCAGAGGGCTAGGGGGGACTGGAGTGGCTCCAACAAGCACCATGCCAATGGCCAAAAAGATAATAGATGTCAATATGGCTGGCATACTGGAATGGACAGCCCGCATAAATAGAATGGTAACAATAATGTCTCCAAAGCAAGATCTTTGGTCAACGGCACGGACGACTGGAGGAAAGGCCTGGATTAACTGTTGCTGTATCAGAACTTGTATGGGACATCTTACTAAATAGGTGGAGTTATACTCTCAACATCAAGTGAGAACAAAGAAAGTGCACATACCTTATGATGGCCCAGTCCTTTGGAACGGATTCATGAGGCGTATTTGGGACGTTCATGAAAGTCCACAGTTCTCACCACAAACCGTGGCTTAAAAATTGACAATCTGCCTTAGAGAAGATAAGGTTCTCCGGAGCTGTGTTTAACACCCTGTCAAAATTTCTTCACTTGCATATCGAGGCAGAAACTGACAGTTATAGAGATGGATTACTAAATAATATTTCTTTGTCAATTATCTCCCTACCAGGAAAACTTGGCAAGTAGGAAAACAGCACACAGGGCAGACTAGCCTGTTTGATGTAACTGCATAATCATGTTTGGTGTGTGTTACTCCCCCGCCACTGTGTCACTAGGCGCCGTAAAATGCAACATGCAGTCAAATCTCAAAGTAGCCCAGAAGCTGCTAGGAATCACATATAATGCTGGAAAGAAGAAATATGGTTTGGTCAAACAAAATCTTCTCTGGTGATACATCATCTTCAAAATCTACATATACCTGGCGGATTTCTATGTTTTTCTATGGAAGCTGAGATAGAGAGCTCAAGATGTCTACTTCATCAAAATCATGCTTCATGGTCACATTCAGAATTTGAATCAAATTTGCCAGAAACCTTCCAGAGTGACAAAGCCCGTCATGTGCAAAAGAATTGTTGGCACATTCTGCGTGTGACATAAATAGTCTCTAAGCGCCCAGGAGCGCCACCACTGTTTGAAAACCCATAACTAATGACCATAGACTGCACAGTATAGAGAGGTCAATAAAGAAGAGCAAAGGGTAATTAAATTAAATTGAAAAGCTACAAAGCTCCTTGTAAACCTAAATGTAGTCCATTGAAAGTAAATATTCAATGTAATAGCCAGTTTACTCCTGGGTGTCGGTCCCAGTTGATGTGAGGGGCGCTGCCTGAGTTTGCTTACTCATCTCCAAGATGAGCTTGGTAACCACGTGATGTTGATCTATTAGTCATTCCACTAGCGCGACTTCATGAGCGACGTGCATTTTCCGCTCATCGAAAGGCATCAGCGAAATAGCTACCTTATTGTCCATGCTGCCGTTTTAACGGTGTTGTATCCGGATGTAGTTGGTGCCATCCCTTCTGCGTGACAATATCCTCATTCCTGACCTAACCTCACTTCACCATGTCTGACGGTAGGTGCTTTAACCACGCCCCCTCTCTAACGCGATGCTGATAAATGTTGTAGCCGATATTGAAGCTGTTCGGCGGCTTCAGGCAGAGCGCAATGCCGCTGCTGCTTCTAAAAAAGGTTCTAGGACCTTTGATCCATCTGCTCAGCGCACTGACAACTCCACCAAGGCCTCCCTGACTGAATCCTTCGATACGACCTTATACGATCGAAATGGGCCCGATAAGTTTGCAGGCTATGACACTTCGATCGCTGTCACTGGCGATGATGACGAAGACATGGAGGACGCAGATGGAGGTCATCGCTTGGTCGGCCAGTATACCGCTACGAGGAGTCAAATCGATGAGATGGCGCATGGAAATGGAGTTGAGGAGGAGGATATCTTGCTGGGCCGTGAGAAAGCGGCTCGCATTGCAGACCGCGAGACTGACTATCAAAAGCGTCGATTCAATCGCGGTCCTTTGACTCCGACTCGTGCCGATCCTTTCGCTGCCAACTCCCATGCCAATATTGAGGGAGAAGGCCAAACCTACCGTGAAATTATGGCCCTCCGCGAACTTGAGAAGGAGGAAGAGCGTGTGCAGAAGTTGATCGCCGAAAAACGTGAACGAGGAGAAGATGTTTCCACCATCGAATACCAGGCTACGCTGAAGGCGGAGGAAGGCGATAAGGAAAATCTCGATGCTGGTTCCACTGTTGAAGTGGCTGGTAAGAAGCGAAAGAAGCGTTGGGATGTGTCTACCGCAGAAACCGATGCGCCCGAAGTGGATCAGTCTGCTGAAGCGAAATCCAAGAGATCTCGATGGGACCAGACACCTGCCCCCGGTGCGCCAGAAGAGGCTCCCAAGCGCCGATCAAGATGGGACCAAGCACCATCTCTCACAACAGCAACACCTGTCGGCAACCAAGGCCTTGCGACTCCTATGCACCCGTCTCAAGGCGGTGCAGCTATGGTTCCTCCTAGCTTTGGAACCGATCTGGGCGGTCGTAACGCTCTCTGGACTGATGAAGAACTTGATATGATGTTGCCCACTGAAGGATACAAGATCTTGGAGCCGCCTCCTGGCTACGCCCCAATCCGAAACACTGCCCGGAGAGTAATGGCAACACCAGCTCCTGTTGGCACAGCTGGTGTTGGCGGCTTCATGATGCAAGAGCCAGAAAGCATCAATTCCATCGGGAAGGATCTTCCAACGGATATTCCCGGTGTTGGTGATCTTCAGTTCTTTAAGCCCGAGGATATGGCCTACTTCGGAAAGCTCATGGAAGCAGGAGATGAAAGTTCCATGACCGTTGAAGAAATGAAGGAGAGGAAGATCATGAGATTGCTGCTCAAGGTTAAGAACGGCACCCCACCCATGCGTAAGACCGCATTGCGACAGATTACAGACAATGCGCGGAATTTTGGCGCGGGTGCTCTTTTCAATCAGATTCTTCCCTTGCTCATGGAGAAGTCTTTGGAGGACCAAGAACGTCACTTGCTGGTTAAGGTCATTGATCGAGTCCTTTACAAGCTCGATGACTTGGTCCGCCCTTACGTGCATAAGATCTTGGTTGTCATCGAGCCGTTGCTTATCGATCAGGATTATTATGCCCGTGTTGAAGGACGAGAAATTATCAGCAATCTGTCAAAGGCCGCCGGTCTCGCCACAATGATTAGCGTGATGCGACCTGACATCGATCACGTCGATGAATATGTAAGAAACACCACAGCACGAGCCTTTGCCGTCGTTGCCTCAGCCTTGGGTATTCCTGCTCTTCTTCCCTTCCTGCGTGCTGTTTGTCGCAGCAAAAAGTCCTGGCAAGCTCGGCATACCGGTGTGAAGATTGTTCAACAGATTCCCATTTTGATGGGTTGTGCCATTCTCCCCCACCTTAAGGGCCTAGTTGACTGCATCGCCGACAATCTCAGTGATGAGCAGGCAAAGGTTCGAACTGTCACCGCCCTCGCCGTGGCTGCTCTGGCCGAAGCTGCCAATCCTTATGGTATCGAAAGCTTTGATGAAATTTTGAACCCTCTCTGGACCGGTGCTCGCAAGCAGCGTGGCAAGGGTCTCGCCGCCTTCCTGAAGGCAGTCGGCTACATTATCCCACTTATGGACGAAGAATATGCCAACTACTATACGAGTCAGATTATGGAGATTCTTCTCCGGGAGTTCTCATCTCCTGATGAAGAAATGAAAAAGGTTGTTCTGAAGGTTGTGTCCCAGTGCTCTAGCACCGACGGTGTCACGGCCAGCTATCTCAAGGAGCACGTCTTGACCGATTTCTTCAAAAGCTTCTGGGTCCGGCGTATGGCCTTGGATCGACGGAACTATCGCCAGGTGGTTGATACCACTGTTGACCTCGGCCAAAAAGTTGGCGTCGGCGAGATCCTCGAGCGGGTTGTTAACAACCTGAAAGACGAAAGCGAACCTTATCGTAAAATGACGGTTGAGACGGTTGAGAAATTGATTGCATCTCTCGGAGCTGCGGATATTTCTGAGCGGTTAGAGGAACGACTTATTGACGGTGTCCTATACGCATTCCAGGAACAAAGCATTGAGGACATCGTTATTTTGAACGGTTTTGGCACTGTGGTTAATGCCCTTAGCACACGGTGCAAGCCCTACCTGCCACAAATCGTGTCTACTATCCTGTGGCGACTGAACAACAAATCTGCTACTGTTCGACAGCAAGCAGCAGATCTTATATCGCGGATTGCAATGGTCATGAAGCAATGTGGTGAAGATGCATTGATGGGCAAGCTCGGCATTGTGCTTTACGAATACCTAGGTGAAGAGTATCCCGAAGTACTCGGTTCGATTCTGGGTGCTTTGCGATCAATCGTGACTGTGGTTGGTATCAACCAGATGCAGCCACCTATCCGGGATCTTTTGCCTCGTCTCACGCCCATCTTGCGAAATCGTCACGAGAAGGTGCAGGAGAACACCATTGACCTGGTCGGCCGTATTGCTGACCGTGGTCCCGAGTCTGTCAACGCCCGTGAATGGATGCGTATTTGCTTTGAGCTGCTGGATATGCTTAAGGCTCACAAAAAGGGCATCCGCCGTGCAGCCAACAATACCTTCGGCTTTATCGCCAAAGCTATTGGTCCTCAGGATGTGTTGGCCACTCTCCTTAACAACCTTCGTGTGCAGGAACGTCAATCTCGTGTCTGTACCGCTGTTGCAATTGGTATCGTCGCCGAAACTTGCGCACCCTTCACTGTCCTCCCGGCCTTGATGAATGAATACCGCGTACCCGAACTGAACGTGCAGAACGGTGTTCTGAAGGCCATGTCCTTTTTATTCGAGTACATTGGTGAGATGGCTAAGGACTATGTTTACGCCGTCACTCCTCTTCTCGAAGATGCCCTAATCGACCGTGACCAAGTTCACCGGCAGACTGCAGCTAGTGTGGTCAAACACATCGCGCTCGGTGTTGTTGGACTCGGATGTGAAGATGCCATGGTTCATCTCCTCAATCTGGTTTTCCCCAACATCTTTGAGACCAGCCCCCACGTCATCGACCGAATCATTGAAGCCATCGACGCTATCCGTATGGCAGTCGGCACTGGTACTGTCATGAACTACGTTTGGGCAGGCCTCTTCCATCCCGCCCGTAAGGTGCGCACACCCTATTGGCGCCTGTACAACGATGCCTATGTGCAGGGAGCCGACGCAATGGTCCCCTACTATCCTGGGCTGGAGGGTGACGGCATGGACCGCCCCGAGCTCTCGATCATCATTTGAAACCAACATTTGTAATTTGAATGCCGGATCTGCTTTTTCTTCATGCATAATTACGTTTTTTTCCCCTGGAGACCCCTTCTGTGTTGCTTTTGGTGCTAGCCGGTGTCTTTCCAATTTCTCACTTTTTTCATGTCCGGGTTCTTGTAATGCAGGCACGGGCGGACGTTCGGCGTGGTTTGAATGTATATCTACGTCTTTTTTTTCGAAAAGTTCACAAATTTCATTCCAGCCTGATACATCGTTTCCAGTCGTAGGAAAAATACATGTAGATAGAGAAGTACATGATGAGTAGATACCGTGGTTAATAGGGAAGAATTATTCAAATTGGTGGAAATTTGTGATATCTATATTTCTGTAACAAATAGATCTAAGCCTCTCGATATATGTCAGACGGCTACTGTTTCATCACTTAACGGTCATGGTGATAATATTGAAACCGCCCGCTCTGTGCACAAATCACAAGAAAACCGATATTTAATTTCATCCGAAACGGCACATAAAGAAAACCATCAAACAGATATTGAGACGAATACGTGTGCAATGAGAAATCCCCGGGTTCTTCCCCATAGATGCAATCTATTAGATCGGGCGATAGTACCATTGTCAGCCCCCAGTGGGCCTGTCAAATAGATTGAGGGTGAAAAAATATATTAATTGAATTGGGGCGACGCCCACAACGCGATCGAATTTTAATCTAAATCTGCCGGTCGCGTCTATGCGATATTCTATGTATAGCATATCTGACTAGAAGTATACGATCTTACCGTCGAGAACACCTCAGTCGATCGCCCTGGTTCTCTGGACCCTGGGAACCGTCAAGGCCAAGCATGAGTGACAGGGGACGATTGGGCAGTGATCGCTGTTGACGCCGACAATCATTGTCAATCATGACTATCTTCTCCCTGTCCGGGGCAGCGAGTCTGGGGGTTGACTTCTGCAGAATAGGCGCCACTATAGCGATCTTCAGAAGGTACAGAACCAGACTTTGATATTTTGATCATACCCCTATGCTACTATATTATCTGACAGACACTGAAAATAAAAAGAGCAGAAAGACATGGAGAAAGAGGGGGGGGGAGGGAATCCCTCCACCCCTTTTTTTCCCCATCCTCATCCACTGGGCAACACTTTTGCCACCTGCAACAACAGAAAGAGAGAAAAAAAAAAAAAAAAAAAAGACCAGCCCAGGAGAGGATAGCAATGAACGAAAGGGGAGAACCCGAGAGGGGCGCGGGAGAGGAGAGCAGGAGGGAATTACAGAGGTCGCTATAGGTACCATATTTCCCCTGCCAGGTGGGGCTTCCCTATTCTAGGTGGCGCTGCTTTAGTGACTGTGCCCAGAGTCAGACTCACTGAGTAAATTTCAGTCCAGACTCAGAGACTGATCGGAGGCTCTAACTATCGAGCACCCTGCCTATACTTGGTCCTATAAAACTGTCTATTATGAATTACTTATTAATGGCATAATCCTCTTCGATTTATTGAGGTGTTCTACACTTTAGGCGATTGAGCGAGATGATGCCAAAATAAAAGAAATAAAAATATCTAATCATCTAGCGGCGTAGTCTGGCATTGAAAAAAGCATAGAGTTCTATATTTGCTAGCCTTTAGTCCTCGAGGATATAGCAGATAGTGGCCCCTTCCCTTTGGATAGCTATCTGCCCTCTTACATCTCTCACTCTCACTCCCTAGTTCCTACTAACGCTGTAATCCTTATTCATCCGAACCTTATCCTGTTAGGATAGTAAAATCTATTCTATATTCTATTACTAATAGTAACTCTTAGATAATAACAAAATCTAAGGATATATCTAGGACAAGAATTAACGAGCGTGACGCGTGAGCTCTGATAGGCCGTTTTTTCTATAATAAAGTTAGTCAAGTGAGATTTCAGAGTTAGTAAATATATCATGAGATAGATAGGCACCTTCTAGGTAAAAAAAAAGCGTAGTGCTAGATCTGTCTCGGATCAATATAATTATTAGTTTTATAGAATAACAGAGAATAATGACAAAGTCAGGATCATTTCAGGTCTGAAATATACATATTACGACATATACTACCAGATCGCCCGCCACAGATCCGTTCAAGATGAATCCCTCTTGAAACCTAGGCAGACAAAATGTTTAAGTAGGCGCCACCATCGCTACAATATGATACTAATCAGAGAAAAGCCGGTAGAAATGGGTTCAGCTCTCTCGCGGAAAAGCGAGATATTCGTGCAGAGATAGTGAAAGTGAACAGCAAGCCACAAGGTCAAGAAAGTTGTATCTAATAACCAGAAACTCGGATCTCATCGTCAAAGCTATCTAGATACCCATCAAGCTAATTCTATACCAGTGCGAGATATGCTTAACAAAGATATATAACGCCGGAAGGAGGGAATCCGCAGACTGAATAAGCATATTTTCCACGTCGATGATATACGTTCCGATGCTATGATGTTCTAGACCTACAGAAATACTATAGATCACCGCAGGCCTCAGATCGAGCAGCTTCTATTCTGCTCAGGAATGTTTGGAGAAAAATCTGGCGATGAGGAAGAAACGCGAGGATCTTGTCGCTATGCTGCAGGAGAAGAGACATGAAGAGGCTGGGAAGATGAACTTTTTTCATGTGGGAACGAATCGTTTGTGGCTGAAGAATACTTTTTGTGCTGCCAAAAACCTAGTCATTGCTATTCAATTGATCGTTTCTAAGAAACGACCGTTTTATTATTACTCGTAGTCTTTCCTTCTGTTAGATCTCGGTTGATTCTGTTCACATTTCTCTAATGTGTAAGCCGTACCAGCCTCTATTGCTTACCCTTTCTCTCCAACCCTTGGATTGATTCCTTGGTCTAATCGGTGATAAGCCATGCCACCCTATCTAGTAAAGTGTGGCGTGATCTCGATCAATGTACTTCGTACGGATATCAGAAGCATTGCCCTGGGTGTTACTAGGAGTATATTGTATGAAATTTAGTACTAAATTGATCGATCAAACAGCAGGCTCTATTTTAGCGATTGAATATAATAAGATGACTAGGATGAAGAGTCAAATTGACGATGGCAGTGCATTTTATTGAGGTCGTCTCGTGGGCTGCTCACCCCGACACTCCATACGAGGAAGTTCAGGGGCGTACTCAGTTCTGCTCAGCGAGCCAAAAAGCGGCGAGGTCTGAGCACTAACACAGAAGGGGAAACGCCAAGAAGTGGCAGAAATCCGGTACGAAGGAGCAGAGGTTGGGAATATGAAATTAGAGATTAGTGAACCGGAAAACCAGGTCTCATCTCGTATTTTTTTTATCCAAGATGATTTTCGATTGCAGAGAAGCAGCGTCAGACAACGGGAGAGGAGCAGGGCTCTTCCCACTGTAACCACTCCAACCCCCATCACGGATGCCAAGAAGCGCCAAATGCCTAAGCTTGCTGCGGGCAGGGCTTGGCACAGCAAGTGGCCGCGTAAGCTCTCCATCGCGAGGACGTCAGGCGTGCTTCTTTGGCTCTTGAATTGTGGGGAACGGGTTAAGAAAATTCTACCCTGAGCGCGCTGTCCGCCAATCGTGGCACGACAAGTTAAGAGTCAGACCCTTTTTTTAGTCGTTTTGAGCCTTTCGGGTGGCTCTTTTTGGATTTTTGGATTTCCCTTTCTGGCTTGTTAGGCTAACCTGCTTTATTGAGCTAAGTCGATGCTATGTTAGTTGGTGTTGTGTCTATTGACCACTCTAACTTTAAAAAGCCCTGTGACTTTCAATCTAGAATCACAAACTCTCTTTTGTAGATGTTGAGACATATATAGCATCTGTACTTATTTTTCTATAGATTGGTCGTATCCGAGTATACAAAGATTGGATACTATGATGTGGGAGGCGCAGAGGCTGCATTCTTGCCCTTCCGTGCCCTGCATAAACTACAACCCGTCCTCTTTCGGGACTCGACATGGATACATCTTCCTCCCCCTTCCTCCCCTCCGGGCCGTGTTGGTCGATGCCGTGTGATCGGAGTGTATACCATACAGAGAAAAATCAAATCAAACGACAAAGGATTCCGGTACCTGTGTCCCGGTATCAGAGTATGTACTATGGGACCTCCGTTAGCATGTACGGGAGTCGAACAGACGCAACATCCTACACAGCCTCCCCCTGAATTCAAATGTCCCCAATCACAGCACGCTTTGCGGAACCGGGGAATGGGGAGATGGAGATGACGGGCTCGGTACCAGCCTGAGGGTCGCCGTACACCCTCTCTAACTCCTCCAACGGTCCAACACTCGAATCGGCCTGGCCAATGGTCAATATGGGACGCGCCCCGTAGCCTTGTATTCTGTAAGTACACGCACAAGCATTGACAGATAAGGAGAGGGGGGCATTGCAAGTCGTTACACAGGCGATTGGACTGACTTGGACTGGCTTTTGACTGGATTCTACTGGTTTTCAGTTCCACTGGGTCGACTCCATCCCACCACTAAGCCGGGATCCTCCTCTTAGCCCCCCTTTTGGGGCTTTTTTCTCCCCCCTTTACCTTATTTATTACTGCTTTAGGCAATTTTCAATGGCGGATTTTCAGGGTCTTAATTTCCATTTGGGGGGCGCGCATCGGGGATCAAGGTTTAGAGTTCGGGCTCTGTTTTCTATTCGTTTTCGGCTTTTTTCTTTTCTTTTCTTTTTTTTTTTTTTTCACTTTCCGATTTTATAGTTCCTGGTGGTTGACTAGGCCCGGTGGTGGCGGACACGGCTGAGAAGTGGCTCTCTCAAATGAACGCAAACCCATCACTTCCTTCCACTAGCTGCAAGGAAGATGGAGCCAACGGCTGTTGCTGGTTCATGAGATCCTCCAGAGATCGTTGAGGCGTCGGTGGCACATGCAGGGAATGAACGCCCGAGATGACCTGGGAGAGTGGGCCTCCACCCGGGATACAGAAAAGCTGGTGCTTTTTCAGACGTGCGATGGTTGGACTTGGGCTGGCACGGCTACAGAACGGGGATGCATGTAGGTGCTCGGTGCTCTGTGAATGCACAG